ACAAAGCAGGCAATGAAGCCTTAAATGTAAATCACTCAGAAAGTACGCCACTAAAGGGCACGTGCACAATTTGAGATGCTTTATGCATGCAGGACACCAGGCCCGCTTTGAGTGAGGTTGTGTTGCGAAGGCACATAGATGCGGGGCTGACCGAGGGGCTTCTTGGCGCTGTCGCGGGCCTTCTCGGCGGTGGAGACGATGGTGCCGTAGACCCACTCCAGCACCAGGCCCATGTGGAACGCGTCCTCGCCCTCCTTGGTCTTGCGCGGGTTGCCGTCCTCTCCCAGCAGCCGTTCCTATCACAGCCAATCACCGGAAATCTGTCAATCTCAGATCAGCTTAAAATTGTATTAGGACACGGTGATGTGATAATGCCGTATGTTGTGACCCCGTATCCTAAACATGATGCTTGACAAGTCATGAAAGTGGCACAGAGGGTACCAAAACTAGCAGGATTTGTAGCATTGACCTTACGGCTGACCAATTCAGTCACGTCTGGCAACCTCGTCAGACCACCACCCATCAAAAGAGGCGGTCAATACCTGCAGGTGCTGGAGCCACTTGGCGTTGATGGTGAGTTTGGTGTGCTCGTCGACGAGGGAGAAGAGATCCACATCGCCGATGCCCTCCTCTTCCTCCTCCTCCACCTCTTTCGGCTCCGGCTTTATGCGCGCCGAGAAGCCGTCCACCTGCCAACAAAACACACTCCGTTGCATGTGTGCCCCGCCAACGCAGACAGACATTGACACAATGCAGTGCCCGAACGTCAGACAAAACGTCAGCCAAATCAGAGCAGACCTACTGCAGCACCCTCTACAGCGGCGCATGCAACCACTAAGTCAGCAATGCCTGGATCGACCTTGGTGTGTCTACAACTGCACAATGTGTGCCTTTGTCTGCCACGAAGCCATCCATGTCTTGACAAAGGCATATGTGTGGTGCATCCTTGCAAGCACGCATGAAGGCGATGCCTGGACCTGAATTGTCAGGTGTGCAAGGGGAGATGTGTCAAGTACAAAGGGCATTATAGGGGGGAATAGAGGCGGGCGCACCTTGTCAGTAAGCCACTCGCAGACGCGCATGATGTCCTCGGGCGCCATCTTCTCCAAGTCCTCGTACGCCAGCTCGCCGGGCTTGGTGTCACGCGCGCCCTCCGGCAGCACCTCCACTATGTACTGCGTCACCGGCCCAATCACCGCATTGTACCTGCGCATCCAGATCCCTTCTCTCCCACAGAAACAAACAAGCTGTAATGCATGCCCATGCGGGACACCCATCCTTCTGGGTTCTCAGGAGGTGGGGGCCACCAGTAAGGCAGGACAGTCAGCCATGCTTACGGGCTGCAGCGCAGGCTTTGACACCCAAACTTTAGACACCGTGCTGGAGGTGCAACACATGATATTGCACCAAAGGCTAGGAGTGCATCAACCAGCACGCTTAGAGTTGCACAGGGAACAATGCCCGTGCTGCAGGCTGCAAGTGGGCACCAGGGGTGACTGATGGGAACACAAAAGGGGACGCACAGAAACTCGTGCTCGTTCTCGAGCTCCTGCAGGATGAGGGCGGTGGCGTCGAGGTTAGGGTCGCGCACGACCGCGCTGGCCGTCTCGCGCACTTTGTGGCCGCCGCGCGGCTTCACCGTGTAGATTGGCTCTTCCTGCATCACGCGCTGCATCGTCTGCACCTTCTGCATCAGCTCCGTCCTGCGCGGCCAGACACCCCCGTCAGGCACCCGCACAGGCCATGCGAAAGACACACTCTCACAGCTATGATTTTGGGGTAGATATATGCATATTGCATGCATTTGAACCGCATGTAAGCCCTGCCACATGATGTCAATGGCATGATAACCCATATATGGGAGCAATAGTAGCAATAAGTAGACAAGATAAAGTGGGGTGTGAAATTAGACATGTACAGCACAGGGGGAGAAGGTATGGCAATGGAATGCAGCAAGGGGTTAAGGCGGGTCTGGCCGAAAAGGAAGATGGCAGAAGAAAAGAAAAGATACGGAAAGAGAAGGTAACAAAACCAGCAGTCGCCCTCCCGAACTGAGCCACGATCCGGGACACACATCTTGGTGCGCAGCGCAGCTTCTGCCGGTTTCTCCACTGGCCTCCCCTCCTCCCGAGGCAGGTGCCTAACCAGCTCCTCATCCAGCTGTTCCTCCTCGATGAAGCGCCTGAGAAATTACCAAGCACCATGCTCTCACGCATACACAAACATTGACTTTTCATGAGATCTGTCAACCGACCAAGATATATAAGCATCAAGTAGCTGCACCACAGGTGCAGCAAAACGACGACTGATTTACAAACCATCCGCACACGTTTGTCCCGAAGTGCTGATCAGCTTGCATGAATGGCATCTGCCAGGCGGCTAGATGGACATATCAGACAGCCTGCCTGTAAAAATTCTGCGCCATAAAAGCAAGCTGAATCCGTCACAAAAAAGGAACAGAACGGCAGAGTAGGCCCCAGCATTTAGCTGCACAATTCTCTGCAGGCGTTGGGGGCGCACTTGAACTCGTCGGGCGAGTAGAAGACCTTGTCGCTGTTGGGCCACTTCCACAGCTTCCAGGTGTCGCGCGAGTGCAGCCGCTTGATGCCCTCCTCCAGCAGCTCATCCACTGTGGGCTCCAGGTTCACCCAGGGGATCTCCCCAGGCTCCCCAGTCTCCGCCTCCAGCTCTGCTGCCTCCGCAGCTGCAAAGCACACCCGACAAACTTCAGCCATGCTACAAGAATGCCCTGCTTTTACAAAGATGGCTTTGCGTTTACTTGTACGCATGTATGCAATGTAATCATTTCGTGCCCCTGGGCCGGGGCTTCATTGTGGAGGTGCTGCATAGTATTAACTTGCGAGGCAGCCCCTTATCTCTAGCAATCAAACGCCCTAAATGTCTGCATACCAATTCCTCTCACTGGTGGAACACATCCCGTGAGATTTGGGTTGCTTGTTTGCAACTAAGCACATCTGTCATAGGGGGATGAGATCACCCAAGCAAAGGCAGCGAAGGCAGTTCAAGGGATCGTGAAGGTGTGCGCACCAGCTAGTCTGCGCATGCGCGCGACAACATCCTTGGACCGAGCGCGCAGGTCTTCGACGGTGATGCTGAGCAGCTCAACTCGCTCCTCCTGCGTGAGTGTCTCCCAGAAGGGTCGCACTGCGGCCACCCTCTCCTGAGGAGGCAGCTGCACCTCCCTGCCATCCTCCTGCAACATGTGCTTTGTTAGCTTAGTCCCCTCTGCTCATTATGGATTTCTGTGGACCCCAAGGCCCCAGCTCACCTCCGCGTGTGGTAATCTGTGTGCAGAGGGGCACAATGAACCCTGCCCCATCCTGTCACACACTATAATCTTTCTATTCCCTCCATTGAGCAGTGGAATGCATGGCAAACAAGGCAAGCACGCACAGCAAAGGGCCAGATGCATTGCCCCAATATGACCCGCAAGGGATCTTGAGACCGGTGGAGAAAACTTATTAGGCGCACAAAATTCATCCAAGGATCGAGTATCCAGCAGAGGGACACACCTGATGGCTGTTGGGCCTCCTCACATTGCTCCCCTTGCTGTCCTTCCCCTTTCCACCCTTGCCTTTACTGCTTCCCTTTCCCTTCTTTAGGCCTCCCATCCTAGCCCAGGCCCTCAGGCCCTGGCCACTATCAGGTTGAAGGCCGCTGCTGTTGCTGCTGCTTTGGGTTCACGGGGAGAACAAATAGATTGTGCCTCAAAGACAATTTGGCGGCAGCAGGCTGGCAATAGCTGCCACATAATACGCTTTCAGACAGCCATTGGAGCGCTTTCTCTACGCGCCTCACCCAGATAATCTACTGGCTGTCTGCATGCTGCAATATTCTCTGCACGAAGACGAAGCTATCTCAATCCAAGAACGAACAGACAAAGCTGTGGCCAACCTCTCGACCAGAGAAGATCATTGACTTGATGTATTTCGCATTGCTCTGTATATGTAATAGTGAAGGGTATGCAAATATCTAATGGCGACGAAGATTTTTTGAAGCATACAGATAAAATTAAATGGTTAGCGATGATGCTGAGAGGATGCAGGTTTTTAGAAGGCATCTGCTGTCCTTCCAAACCTAGTGAAGGGCAGTGAGCAAAGAAGCGCACCATCAAAGAATCTGGAAGCTGAACGCACGAAAGTATCATCTCCAGAAGAATGTATCGCAATCCTGCGTTTCGGCAAACAGTGTTGAGAAAAGATATAGCAAATTGCGTCTCAGCCCTCCGATGCCTTTGCTTCAAGGATGGAAGTGTACATCACCCGGACCTAATGCCGTGCTTACAGACCAAAAAGGCTGTGTGCCCATTCTAAAGGCCAAGCTCGATCGTCCACCAGTGCAACAACCCAGGATGCCACTTATTCGTGTTGGCCGGCCTCCATATCAGGAGGCCCTATCTACCACATTTTGCTCCCATGCATTGACTAGTTTTGATTCAGGCACTCTTGCCGCACTCCTAGATCCTGATGTTCACAGAATTGGCACCATGCTGGCCAGAGGCTGGCGCAATATAATCTTGGCAGAGCCCTTTGGCAACGCTTGTTCATAGCCAAGGCTCCTCGGTAAGAAAGAATTCATCACGCGTTGCATGTGCGTGCCATGGCTATTTTTTGCTAGAAAGAGGCCTGTCCACAGCGATCACCAACCCACTCCGTCCAAAATTTCCCAAGTGATTATCTCGTTATCATGGGTGTCCCCAAGCTGCAAAAGCTTCGTGGCTATCCACGCTGCCAATATTTTACAGCAGCAACTCACAATGATGGCTCACCTGGTGTACTTTGGATGTGAGGCAATACTCCTGTCCTGTTACGAGCCAGCTTTATCTTCCTGAAGGCATCCAAGCAAGCCATCTCCCACTGCATTTGCCCACGACCCCTGATCAGGGCTTCAGCTCAGGGGATTGTGGAGCTAGCCCCAGCTGTTCTGCAGTCGAATTCAACGGGCGAACCTGCATCTGACGACGCAATACCAATCTTAGCGCATGATATGCTCAAGTCACTGGTACACAAAGCAACGACATCTGTGTCGATCTGCATCCAGTTGATCTGCCTAAACTGACGGGTCTAATGGGGTGGGTCTGATCTCCTTGTCTTAGTCGTAGCCGAATGTTGGCATTTTCATAGAGGTTAGTTGGTACGAGGAAGAAAGTGGCATCCCCGCTCTTCCTTTTGAGGGCGTGCACCTGGTTCGTCGGTCAGCTCATCGTTCATCGTGCTACAAGTAACGTCCACTGCCTTGCGGCATTGATAAGAAGTTGCTTGATTGCGTCGTGTAGATCATATCAATCATGAAGTCACTGTGGAGATTGCTCCTGTCGGTCAAGACGAACCCAGTGCCCATCCAGGACAGGGTCACACAGCAAGATGGCTCCTTAAGAGACACTGATCACAGCCCCAAGACTTGCCAAAACAATTCAGGAGGTGCACAGGAACCCGATGTTGTAGCAGCAGCTTCCCAGGAAGCCTCATGCTGCAATGGAGCCGGTGCAGAGGAAAAGCATAGCACCGCTAACAGCTCTCCATGGGGAGATGGCTGCAGCTCAAATGCATGTCAATGCACAGCCAAAACAGCAGCTTCAGAGCCTCTTGTCACAGCAGGCATCAGCCCAAGCAGAGGCAAGGTCCTCTTTGGATCACAGAAGGGGACCTCGTCGACCTTGGCTGGCCAGCTCGCAGAGCAGGCTGCAGCACAGGGCGTCCAGCTGGCAGTGATGGACCTAGGGGTCTTTGAGGTCGAGCAGCTGTGGAAGGAGCAGCTGGTGATCATTGTCACCTCCACCTACGAGGATGGCACACCGCCCAACAATGCCAGGTAACCAATCGCTCAGTTGTGTGTTCAAAGGGTGTGTCATGCTGCTGGAATAGCTACGCCTAGCTAAATTCAGAATGCACGCAGGGCGCTTATCTAAAAGTTGCACAGTCTGTTTCGCCTAGACGGTGCAAACGGCGGGTCTGAGCCATCCAAGTGATAGATAGCATGATCACTTTGTGGGAGGGTTGAACGTTAGATTGGACATGCACAGGTGGTTCTGTCAGTGGCTGGGAGCGAGCTCGACAGACTGCCGGGTGGGAGCAGATGCGCTGAAGGATACCAGCTTTGCGGTGTTCGGCTGCGGCAACTCTCTGTATGAGGCCAATTTCAACAAGGTGCAGACCTGACCATTGCACTGTCCACTCATGTGTAACCTGTTTTGCCCCCCCCCCCCTCCCATACCTCTAAGACCCGTCTTCCTGCGTGACATGAGGTTTAGAGGAGCCTGCACCTAAGGACCAGGGCTCAGACTGTTGTTTGGGCAACTGCCGTTGCCACAAGACAGTTGAGACATGTTTGGGCAACTGGAATGGAGGGAGCCAGGGGATTGGCATGACATGCAGGTTGCCATGACTGTTGATGAGCAGCTCGGGGGCCTGGGCGGGCAGCGGCTGCTGCCATGTGGGCGGGGTGACGAGGACACCGGCAAGATGGAGCAGCAGTTTGCGGCCTGGAGTGACGCCCTGCTGCAGGCTCTCAGGGAGGGTCCCCCCTCTGATGAGGCGGCTGTGGAACAGACCGAGGGTGATGCTCGCTCTGACGGGTGCGCGACGCACTCCTACACCTCACCGTCCTCTGATGCACAGCAGGAGGAGCAGTTTCAAGGACCTCTCCGAAACGTCTTGGAGACATTCCCATGTATGGAGGACTTTCACAGCACTGGATATGGGGCCTTTATCCGATGAGTCTTGTGGGGCTGCGGTACATTAGGGACCACAGTGGATTTCGACATGAGGAGAGCTTTCGGGTAGCACTAAACTTCGACGCTGTCTGTGGTAGTCTGACGGCGATACAAGAATGCGTGCAGGTACTGCACCACAGACTCAGATGACGATGAAGCAGAACAGGAGGAGGAGGTGGCAGATCTGGAGGACCTGGCAGGGCCGGTGAGCAGGAACGGCGTCGGAGACAGGGCAGCCAGCACGAGCGGGCGGGCGGCCGCAGATATCGGCGCGGACGCGGCCGCCGGCCCCAAGGAGATGCTGACGCCGCCGCTGCGCGCTGCGCTGGGCAAGCAGGGCTACAAGCTTGTGGGTGCGCTCCTTAACAACCCCCGCCACCTCAGATGCAGTCTGGTGATTGCGTATGGAAGCATATGTAACCACTTCAGAACAGCAAAACACAGTAAAACAGCATGCCTGATCAATTAAGACCATCCTCTGCATTGCAGTGCGCTCCACAGCCACATCAGGATGGCTTGAGGATGCATGCAAGCTTCCGTGAAAGCCAATCATGTTGGAGGTGCATGCATGCAGGCTCGTGCAAGGGTGTATCACGAATCTAGGATTAGGTTTTTGACCTCCCTTCTCCTCATTCTCTTCAGCGCAAGCAGTGCAGTATGCAATGAGTCGGCAGGATATGATGCCGCCTTGGCAAGCTGTCAAGATTGGGAAGCAGTTGAGAGGTTTGCTCTTTGGTGGGCAGGGTTTATCAGGTGTTTGCAAGCTGTCTCCTCCTTCTTGATTAGCATGCAATGCAGCATGCAATGGGTTGCCAGGACATAACAGCGCATTGGCTAGCCGTCAACATAAGGGATAGAATTGAGAGACCGTGGTCTGGCGTGGGCAGGGTCGCACAGCGGGGTGAAGCTGTGCCGGTGGACGAAGAGCATGCTGCGCGGGCGCGGCGGCTGCTACAAGCACGCCTTCTACGGCATCGAGAGCCACCGCTGCATGGAGGCAACGCCCTCGCTCGCCTGCGCCAACAAATGCGTCTTCTGCTGGCGCCACCACACCAATCCCGGTGTGATTTCTGCAGTTTTGCTGATCGTCTTGACATGTGGCATCTGGCATTATGCCCTGGCCGGTCAGATAGGAGAGGAAGGTGCCAGAATCCACAAGGCAAAGCAACCAGTGATGAGTGTTTGCACCAGTCAAAGACACACCAAGACTCCATCCTGCAGTCACCCATCGTACGATCAACCCGGGCCAATTCTAGTTTCAACAAAAGATGAAGCATTAGTATAATCACAATGGATATGCCCCAGAGTGTTTTTTACGCAAACACTCAGAGCTTGCACCCTCAGCCACAGAACCGAGACTGGTAAATTTAACTTGAGTTGCCTTTGTTACTAATGTGCAGTAGTGACTGAGATTGCATGGGTGTGCAGTTGGCCGTGAGTGGCGGTGGAAAATGGATGGACCAGAGGAGATCGTGGAGGGGGCGCTGAGTCACCATGTGCGAATGATCAACGAGTTCAGGGGCGTTCCTGGTGTCAAGGCAGACCGCCTGGCAGAGGGCATGCAGGTGGGGCTGCAGACATGACACAAGCGTGACAACTCCACAAGCTGCTTCATGTGCTTAGACGTATATAGACAGTGGCAGAGCACTCCATCACCGTACCTCAAGGGGAGCACAAGGGTGCTCCCCTTAGATACATCAACTCGCCTTGAGCAGCGCTGAATCGCGGCCAGGCTAAAATGAATGAGCTCAGCTCACTGACAACAAGTCTGGAGCATGCAGTGTGACTAGTGGTTTTCTACAGGCATCAGCAAGTCAGCGCTGTTCATGCAGGTGCGGCACTGCGCGTTGTCGCTGGTGGGCGAACCGATAATGTACCCGGAGATCAACCGCCTCATTGCGCTGCTGCACGCCCGCCGCATATCCTCATTCCTTGTCACCAACGCCCAGTTCCCTGACCGCATCAGGCAAGCCCTTCTCTGCCTTTCAGTGCAGCTGAGAGTGCACAACACATTCACATTGGTAACAAGCCCCAAGCTGTGGAGATGCTCTGATCCATCAGGGCAACACACCCTTCTAAACTGTCACATGCAAGCTCCTTTCATTCGACCCTGCATGCATGTCAGTGCTGTGGACTTGAGCTTTCAGAAGACTGCTCAGCCAGCTCTAGAAAGCAGCAGGAACCTCGCTGTCAGCACTCTAGGACACTACAGTGCAGCCTGCTGTGAGGACCCTTCAAAAGACAGGAGGATTCCTGAGCAGCAACCCCCCAACACAGTCCTCACTGCCCCTACTTCAATTTAGCAAAGGCGATATGCAGACATCAAGTAGTGCGAGCGCCCGGCGTATAAGAGGAAGGGCTGCCTCGCGAGTGCACATTATGCAGCAATGTACAATGATTCCTCAGCCCAGGACCCCTAAGTTTGAACTTGTGATGAGCAGGCAGCTGGCGCCTGTGACGCAGCTGTACGTGTCGGTGGACGCGGCGACGCGCGACGAGCTGAAAGCGATAGACAGGCCGCTCTTCAAGGACTTCTGGCAACGCTTTCTGGACTGCCTCACCACCCTGCGCGACAAGCGCCAGCGCACCGTCTACCGGTGCGTACCTCCATTGAATCCGCGCATGCATGCCTCAGGCTGCAGACGGCTTTGGCACGATTGCCAGCATGCAGGCTTGCAAGGCACTGACTGGCAAGGAAGCTGTTGATGACATGCAGAGACTCGAGCATTTTCTCCAAAGCAGCAGCAGCAGCAGCAGTCTTACAGAACAGCCTGCAATTGACTGCAAGAGGTCAGGTGCTTGAAGTTGAGGACAGTGGTATTTCTTCTTTCTTTGTTGGTTTCTGTCCTCTGAGCATGAAATTGTTGGAGGTTCTCGGAAGGGCAGTCCAGGGGGCCTGCTGTCCCACGGATGGCTATTATCAAGAGGACTGGAAGAAATCCACAAGTGCATGCACGTACAGCACACTTCAAATTTGTCAAAGGAAGGGATGCTGTGGGTGCCAGGTTGACCCTGGTGAAGGGGTGGAACATGGAGGCGGCCCAGGAGTACGCGCAGCTGGTGGCCCTGGGCCAGCCGGACTTCATAGAGATCAAGGGCGTCACCTACTGCGGCTCATCCAGCGCATCCTCCCTCACCATGCACAACGTGCCCTACCACCAGGACATCTGCGCCTTCGGTCAGGTGCGCGGAGAAGCCTTGTTCTAAATCTCAATGCCTCCTGCTGGCGCGTGCAAGAACTTTCTTGTTTGTACTCTGTGGGGTTTGCATGTGTCTTTCCGCTGACTTCTCTGCCAGTGTTCCCAGAAGGCAGAAGGAGATGTTGCAGGAAATTTGTAGGGGCACGTCCTGCCATGCTACAAGTTTGGACGCTGCAAATGTGGCTCGGAATTTAGTCAGCAACAAACTCCCAGGCTGTTGACATGTAAGCCAGGCCATTCATAAAAAGAATAAGCAAATTGGAGTCTCTTATCTGACAAGGAAACATGTTGCATGGGGACTTCTGCTGTAGCCACGCAAATGGACCTGAATAACTCCCGTTCCATGCATGCAGGTCTTGTGCGACGCATGCAACGGCGAGTATGGGCTGTCCTGCGAGCACGCGCACTCGTGCTGCATCCTGCTAGCGCGCAAGTCGCGCTTCCTCATCGAGGGCCGCTGGCACACCTGGATCGACTACAACAAGTTCCAGGTGATCATCCATTCTGTTTCAGCAACCTCAAATTCAAACGATGACAGAGTGCAACATTTACAAGGCATTCAGATGCCAGATAGGGACAACAGGCTGCCTCACGCTTCACATGGAATGAGTTTTGCAAGTGTGCTCAGCAGCGCTGCTGTGAGTACAAGTGCAAGCCAGAATGGGCGTGTAGGCTGCGATGCGTACATGCGTTGGGGATGTGACTCGTAGAGTTCACTCCCATTGGCAGTTTAGTCTCATCTGAATGTGGGTTCTCATCACGTGTAGGAGCTGGCTGCTGGGACGTCGCCATTCTCATCACAGGATTACATGCTGCCCACACCGGACTGGGCAGTGTATGGGGCGCCGGAGGCAGGCTTTGATCCACTGGAGGCCCGAGTGAAAAAGGCCAGGAACCACCCCGCCAAGGCTGAAATCGGAGGGTGCACATAGCGCATGCCATGCAAGCGCTGCATGCAACCGAGCGTCACGACATTTTGTTCAAAGACTGTATTGCGTACTCCAGTTCTGCAAATTGCGGACTGTGGCTTGAAATGCAGGCACACATGTGCGATGTACTGGCATCTGTTCTGATGGTGATGTCGACTGCTTGCTTTCTGACTTTCAAAATATTCTGGCTCAGCGAGCTCTTTTACAGGCGGATATGCATGTTTGCCCTGAATTTCATATATGGAGAGTTTGCCATCGCCAATTTTTTGGTGCAACGGTCAGACAAAATTTGCGGGAAACTCCCTGTACTCATTTGAAGTGTCAAAATCATGGTGTTGCTTTGGCTATATGCATAAAATACCATCATAAAAACATGTACATGTACAGTCACAACTAGTCCAGATAAGCATTCAGCACCATATTCACGGTATCAGTTGCCAGTCTCTGTAAATTCTTATCTTCACATGCGGCAATTTTGCAACAAGAGCCAGGCTCTTGAAGCCTAGTCCATGGGCGTGGCGACCAGACCCAGGAATCCAAGCCATCACACCCGACTTCACTCGTTCCCCCTGATACAAAGCTGTCATAGTAATACGTTCACACCCACAACCACATCACGAGCTGGCTTTCTTCTTGGGCGAGAAGTACGACAGGATGCCTCGCTGGCGACTCACAGAGCCGGGGCCACCCGAACCTGCAGCCACGGCGCCTGCTCTGCCGGAAGCTGTTCTGCTGTTAGGTGAACCGCCCTTTGCACGATTCAAGGCAGCTTGCACCCCTGCTGCACTCTGCGCCGCCAGTGCAGCAACTGGCGCTGTCCCTGCCGCTCCACCGGCGCCTGCCGAAGCGCTCGCTGCGCTGACATCATTACCGTTTGACGGCTCGCCTGTCGGCTCCTGCGTGGCCGCTGGTGCGCCCGCGCGCGGCAATGCGGTGTTGTCAGCGCTGACATCAGCCACGTCGTCATCGTCTGAGTCATCAAGCAGCAGCCGCCGCCGCACCGGCTGGCTGTTGAGCTGCCGGCTGTCGAAATCACCTTCGGGCGGTTCATCTGAGGCTACTGCTTCCGCCCCCTCCGCCGGTGCTTCCTCCACCTCTGCATTGTCCTCATCTGCACTGCCCTCATGGTTCCCAGGTCCAGCTTCGCCCTCCGCCTCTGCGCCTGCAACCACGCACGCCTTCTTAATTTACACAAGCTTTTGGCTGGCAGTTTGCACATGACCTCACAATAGTGAGCCAGAATGGAAAGAGATTGGAGTATCCACAACAGGAAGTTCTCAGAGTTCTGCACCTGTGTCACCTTCGTCCTCGTCTTCCTCCAGGTCTGAGAACTCGATGTCGCTGCCTTCATCTCCTTCGGAGTCCGAGTTGAGGTTGTACAGCAGCTTAGTCACCTGCCGCACCAGATTGCGTCAGCTATCAATCCTGCTACAGTTTTCAAGGCAGCGCTGCTACACAGAGGAGCTGGTGATTATCAGGCATGCACAAACATGCCATGCCACGATGGGGCCCCCACAACAGATTAACAGCGTCCCTCTGGTGGGAAGTAGAACCAGTATAGATGACCACACGCACAGAGTTGTCACATAAGACATAACATCCCCACCAAGGCTGAGCTGCAGAGCATCACGGCCTCGGGATGCGCCCTTCTGGATGCTCTGGACACAATTTGAATTCCATGTGTTCAACACTAGCCGGGCGGGTTTCCCTCACCTTCTCGGTGGTCTTGCGCACAGAGGCGCCGGCGCGGGAGTAGCCGCCGCCGGTGCTGCCCTGGGAATAGTTCTGGGCGGCCCATTTGAGGCCCTGGAAATTGTAGAACAGCGCACTGTACAGTCGCGAATGCTCCGTCACATTCACCGCCGCGTCGATCCAGGAACTCGGCTTCCTGACGTTCTGCATGGGCAGCACTTCATGTCACTTCCTGGCGAAGTGCAGCAAGCCCAGCCAACAGCAGAACATAAGATCTGCAGCCCAAATCCCAACAAGAGGAAAAAGGAGATTCATGGGACAGCGTTGCGAAAAATCCCTAACAAGGCTGTGCTGAACTCAAATCCAGGGCCAACCATAGAAGCAACCTGGGTTAAAACAGCAGCTCATCAGCTCCATTCAAGAGCAGCCCAACCACCTAGCTTCCAAGCTGGTAAAGCATTCAGAAACCAGACCAAGCCAATACAGACAGTGCAAATTTCCCTGCTGTCAGGGACTGTCATGCACTGACACCAGCCCTGGACCCTTGGAAATGGGCATGTCCAAAATGGGTAGAGCAGCAACATAGCAGGGCAGGCGGTGGCACCTCGAGGTACTGCCGGGACTTCTTAAGCTGCTTCTTGAGCTTCCCGCGCATGCGCCGCCTGTAGTGCCACAGCGCATGGTACAGCTGCACACGCACCGCACAGTGCTGCCCCACCACATAGCTCCGCTCCTGCATTCGCCACGAGTATGTCAAGAATTTACGAATTGACCTTGAATTTAGAATTCATGTTGACATGTGGGTGAATGCGAAAACACACATTATTGGCCACGAAGGGTGTAGACAGGGTGTAGACAGAACAAGAAAGGCGTGACTAATGATTTATTTACTCCGAGCATGATGAAGTGGGCCAGACAGGGCGGACCTTCAGCTCTTCTTCCTCCCCTTCCAAATCCGAGTCATAGTCGTCAGCGCGGATCGCCATGTCCGCCAGAGACCTGCACAAGATGGGCCATCTCCATCAGCATGCTCAACTTATCAGGCAGCCACGCGAGAAATGCACATGGGACAAACTGCAGCAAGTCGAGAAGAAGCCGCAAGTATGGGCCGGCGAGTCAATTTACCAGATGAGGCGGAGTCCGCTCTGCTGACTTGAGACAGCAGGAATCAGAGCTGCCTCCCAGCGCTATTCAAAGGAGAAGACCTGACAGGGAAGAGGCACGCACTTGGTCCCGTACTTGTAGTCTGGCCAGTAGGGGCGGCCCTTGAAAAACAGCTCCACGGTGGCCCGGCTGTGCAGCCGCTCGCAAGCAGCGCACTCGCGCACACCGTCTTCGTCATCTTCGCCGTAGTGCGCGTTAAGGGAAGGCTCGTAGTGCCCCTCCGCCACAGACAGCCCCGGCAGATGCTCCAACGCCGGCACAAAGCCCGGCACCGCCCGCTTCCATGCATCGCTCTTCGCGTAGTGCTCCCTGTGGTGGTTCCCACACAAACATGAATATCCTCTCTGTCTACTCTGGGCACGCTGTGAGTGCAAGGGCCATATGCAGCAGCATTCAAATATAGGGTCCACTTACCACACAAGGACTGATCTCAACAAAAACGAGTCTCCCTAAGCTGTGTGGAGTATGTCAGCTCAACAAGGTCTCGAATTTGAACGCTCACAGGTAGCATGTGCATGATCGGCTGCTGACTGGACTCCCCCAGCTCCCCCTAAACATGAACAACCCCTCTGCTATCTTGTTTTTGATTAAGAGGACCATTGCAAGGGATGCAGGAAAGCTAAGAGAATGCACCTCCATGTGGCGAGCTCCTCCTCCTCGATCCGCTTCACAGCCTGCAGGTATTGCTGCCGCTGGTGCCGGTCGGCTTCCAGCTTTGCCTCAAACTCTGGGTCGGCCAGGCTGTACAGCAGGTAGTCCAGGTAGAGGTTGAAAGATGCCTTCAGCTCTGGGCGCTGGTATGGCAGCCCCAGGCCCTCCAAGGGACTCTTCACAGCAGACCTGGCAAGATGTTATCACGAAAGCTTTCAAATGACCGTAACAGTGCCAAACTGGGGCAGACAGTGTCCAATGGAGTCTGCACAATGTGCAGAATCTTGGCAAAACATATCCTATCAGCGTTGCATGAGTCACTTTAGTAGGTCATTAGCAGAGATTTGTCATGCGCACCTTGGTCCGGTGCCAGCCTCTTCGGCAGTATCCTTCTCGATGAAGTCCTGGAGGCTTTCTTCTGACTCGCTCTCACCTGCTGGACTGGCGCTGGGCCCCCCTTCCTCGTCATCATCTGAGATGACAAAGTCTCCGCCCTTGCCTCCACCGCTGTCATCATCTGCATACAAGCAAAGCACACCGTCAACCCTGCTTTGTAGAGCAATATTCCTAGGTCTAAGAGCAACGTAGTCCATTCACATGATTCTTCTTCAGTACAAGTTGTCATGTGGCACCAGCTTAGGCACCTGACAAAGTATAATCCTGCAGCCCATCATCTCCATCTATGAGCTCATCCGATTTCTCCTGGCCCCGCTTCCCATCACCCCTGCCTTTGGAGTGCGCAGCCTGTGCCACAGCAAGAACCCATTTTGAGCTCTGCTGTTTATAACTTGTAAGCAGCTCTGGGGCAAGCCTTCTGCTTCTGTTTGGCAATGCGGCAGTGGACGTCGACATTCCATGGAAGAGACCTGAGGGATCAGCCGTACCTGGTGCTGCTTCAGCTGCTCCAGAATGCTGGGCTTGCTAAGCAGCGTCCGCGTGCGTGTGCGAACGGCGGGCCGGTTGGCCGCCTCGGCCGCCCCCAGCACCGGCGTGACATCCGCCCCACTTGCCTTGCGCAGCCGCCGCCTCTTACTCCCCCGGCTTAGGGACTGCAGGTCCACTTCCACCTCCTCATGCTCTTCTTCGCTGTCGTCCGCCAGTGCTGCGGCCAGCGCCGCATGGCGTGCCGGCTGCTGAATTGGCTGCTGAGTTGGCCGCCACCTGGCATGCTCTGCGCTGGGCCCCGGCTCATTTGCATCCGGCGGCTCTGGCGCGGCCGGCTGCTTCCCCTTGAGGCGGGCAGATCTGGCCGACAGGGACTTGTCATCCCCACTGCTGGAGTCCTCCAGGCCCTGAGGCTCTGGCGGGCCCTGAGGCGTGGATCCTGCGCCAGAGCCGGCTCTCGACAAACGCCGCTGCTTCGCCACTTGTCGGGCCTTCTCTGTCTGCTTCGCCTTTGCTGCTGCTCCTAAAGTCCTGGCCGCAGCAGCCCTCCGATTCTGCCCTGCGCCCCGTGATCTGCTGGCCATGTGCTTTTCAGGCTCCTCTTCCTCATTTGCTGAGGGCTGCTCTTCCTCGTCTGCTGAGGTTTCCCTCTCTGACTCTGCTGGCTCTTCATCATCACTCCGTGCGATGAATTCGTTGATGTCTGCACACACCATCAAGTGTCAGGCAGCTGTACCTTGCATCCCAGATGCCACACAGCACCCAAACAAGCCAAACTGTGAACATTTGGCGTCGAACATCACAACATCAGAACGATACCATAGAAGGCTTGCTTACAAGGCCTCTCACCTTCATCATCATAGTCATCGCTGGACAATTCCCCGCCACCCTCGATCAGCTTTGACCGGCGCCGGCCAGGTCGCCTCACGGACATGCTGGGCGGAGCTCTGCGCTGGGGTAGCTGCCCCTGATGTGGAGCCTCATCCTCTTCAGAACTTGTTTCCTCTGGTGATGACGGCCGTGGGGGCTTTGCCTTCCTCCTCGCTCCTCTGGCAGGCCTTGCCACCTAATAAATCCCCAGGATCACTTGTATATTGGCATTGGGTTCTTTTGTTCGAGAACTGTGTTGAGAAGCATCTTACTTTGCACGAGCACTGATGTGAAAATGAGGCACACCTTCTCGGTGTTGCGCAACCGGGCGCTGCGCCTGCGAGATCTGGGAGGTGGAGCCTCTGCAACCTCTTCCTCCTCAGAACTCTCGTCAGCTCCGCACGAGCTGGAAGTTTCTCCCTGCATAAATAGCAGGAATTTAGCAGGGAATTGTTTGCTGTGGAATGCCTGTTAAAAACCCTGATGGAACTTCACAGCACTATGATCACCTACACATAAAAACACACCTGATACCCTTCAGATTCGGCAACCTCTGGCGCGGGCTTTGCTATCTTCTTGGGATTCAAATTTTTGTTCCGATGATCCTGCGACCTTGTGGTACTCCTTGTCCTGCAGAAAGGAAATAATCTTGGATATCCAGAGAACACAAAATTTCTGGGATCCAGGGCAAGATTGCGACAAAGTCACGTATATCTCAGCTTCTCCCTTATATTTATCAGCATAGTATTCTGATTTGCATCTAAATACGCACGTTCTGCCCCTCTCCGGTTCGTTGGATGTCTCCCTCTGCCTTTTTGCGACACGCCTCTTATCTGGCTCAGCCCCGGAATCGTCTTCACTCCACTCCTGCACATTCAAAGGGTTTCAGCATGTTTGAACGGGATCGATCAGCAGAATGCAGGTCACATGTGCACATGGCAAGAGTGCACCTTAGCGGAGCGGGGTGCAGCTTTGTGACGCAAAAATGAAGCGCTCATGTCTCTTTAATCTGCATGTCGCCGGATTGTTCCAAAGGTGCAATGAGAGATCTGGTCACTCCTGTCGATTGGCTTCCTCCTGCTGCAGATCATGCAAAGCATGCAGTGAGTCACCGCCACGTCGACTGGTAATCTCTGACCACAGCTTTTCCGGAAGTGCTCATTGGGAAACTATTTCAGCAACATTCCTCAACACCCTGTCTGTTGCTTCAGATTAAGCTCTTGCGCCGATGGAGGGCGCATCCTGCAGCTACACCGAGCCCTGTCGAGGGCTGCACACCAGTCGGAGGCCATGCCTTGCTTCTGGCTACCGAGAAATTCCAGTAGCATCAAGATCAATACCACACAGCCATGCATTGCGACGGAGAACGGATTTGAAGCATAGGAAGTGTTCTCATCGGCATCATACCAGAGCCAAGGTACGATTTCCCTCAACAATCTCCTACTGCATTATGTATATTCAAGACCTCATTCTCGATCTGATTCATGCCTATATACCCCTCCTTACTGTGCTGAGTACTGGAGAATTAATAAAGTACCGATTACTTTAATGCATCATGAACGGGTCCACCGGGTCAGGACAATATGATCTGATCTGGAGTGCCGTCTGTCTGTCCCGTAGAAGCAGGAATGCCACGCATCAGCAGCTGCAGCGGCATCCTACCAGCTAGCTCAGATCTCGTCCATCCCCTCCTCCCCTGTCGACCCCAGGCTGCTGGCCATCATTGCTGGGGTTGCAGTGGTTGTGCTGGCTGTCAAGAAGTTATTTGACACGCCCTCACGCACATACGATCCTAATAATCCCAATGTTGGCGACGAATATGACAGCTGGACAGAGTGAGCCCCAGTATTACATGATTCAGTATCAACAGATGTCCCTGATATTGCATGTCTCCCCTTCATGTAATGAGTGATCGCGTCGACATACCCATTTGAAGAATTTCAGCAGTGTTCTTGAGACGTGCTTCCAGGTATAAACGTGAATGTAAGTGCTGGCAGCAGTGCATGGAAGTAAGTCCAAGCTGACTGCTCCAATATTCACAGTCCCTTTGGCTTGGCGCTGGCAGGGAGGGCATTTTGGAGCATTACTGGGGGGAGCACATTCATCTGGGGTACTACACTGAAGAGGAGAGGGCACGCGGCTACAAGAAGAAGGACTTTAAGCAGGCTAAGTTTGACTTCGTGGACGAGATGCTGAGGTGGAGCGGAGCAGAGCAGCCCAAGCGCATCCTGGATGTGGGGTGTGGCATTGGGGGGACCTCTCGCCACCTGGCCGCGAAATTCCCAGGCGCCCAAGTGCAGGGTACATCTCCATATCTTTTGCACGTTCATTGATGGCTGCAATACTCCCATGTGCCCAATTGCAAAGTATAAGTCTGGTTAGACTGTTGATGTCTTTGATGAGCATGATTTCTGTGAGCATGATCGAGACCAAAGAGACAAAAGACCATGCGCCCTTTTTCTATCATGTAGGAAGATATACTGATTGAGCACTGTGCTAAAAGTAGCTGTTGTGTGCTGCTGCAGGCATTACACTTTCTTCAAAGCAGGTGGCCAGGGGAACAGAGCTAGCAAAGGAAAGGGGTCTAACGAATGTGAACTTTCAGGTGAGACTTCCTGTCGTTCTTCATTGGCTTTGCAACACATTGCGGTGCTGTCCCTGCAAGTGCAACCTCAGCATGCGTTGAGCTCTTTGAATGGTTAAAGTGAAAATTGCAGGTAATGAATGCGTTGGCAATGGAGTTTGAGGACGACACATTCGACCTGGTGTGGGCGTGCGAGTCTGGGGAGCACATGCCAGACAAGAAGGCATATGTGGAGGAGATGGCACGCGTCCTGAAGCCAGGTACACCAAGCAGGCCCTCACCCCTGAGAACTCTTTGTTAACAGCAGCAGACTAGCCTGGGCTTCTTGTGTGGACTTGGCATGCGTGAGGCCAAACACAAGCTGCATTTGTCCTTCATCATGCATCTGTCAGAGTCTTCATGTTGCTCCATGCGGTAGGCTGTTCACACTCACAGGAGACACCTTGACCTGTGTTGCATGGCACCATGTGCAGGGGGTCACATGGTGATAGCGACATGGTGTCAGAGAGAGGAGACACCGGCCACGCCTTTCTCAGACAAGGAGCGGGCTGACCTGCAGTTCCTGTATGACGAGTGGGCGCACCCCTACTTTGTCTCAGTGCAGGAGTATGGCCGCCTGCTGGAGGTGACACCGTGAATCACCATACTCAAACTACCTCGATATCTGAAGTTTTTAAAGTGACACAAGACACATGTTTGCAAAGCGGTGCACAGATGATTGTTGCAGCAGCGCGGAGTCCAGTTTTGGGGATGTTCTCTGCATACAACTGCTGGTTCTTTTCTAAAGAGGAGAATGAAAAGCACTGAATGTGTCCGGCAGGGCACTGGGAAGATGGAGTCGGTGGATATAGATGACTGGACGCCTCAGACGCTGCCCACGTGGCGGCACTCCAACTGGGTCGGCGTCTGGGACCCCTGGCCAGTCATCTTCAAGTTCAATCCCTTTGTGTGGTACAAGGTGCGGCTGCCTTCTGATCACTCCATGCCACAGCAAACATGTCTAACCTTTCTCTGGGTATACTGTACAGAGAAGGAGGCTGCTGGTGCTGAGAGGCTGGTTCCGAGGGGGATACTGTGAACTTCTTGTATTGGGTATCCCCCTGGAGTTTCTCAACATAAGTGAGCTAAAGCGCCTAAAGGGTTGTACTTGAAAAGGGCTGTTAATGAGCAGGTGCTGAGGGAGATAGTGACGTTGGAGCGCATGCACCGCGCATTTGACAGCGGCCTAATGGAGTACGGCATGGCCAAGGCTGTCAAGAAGGCGTCCCCTGCACCTGCTGCTCAGCGAGTTGGGGCGGCCGTTGCAGCCCCCTGAGTGGAAGTGACAGAGCGGAGTTGGGTCATGAAATTTTAGGTAGCTGAGGTGCTTGGTGGATTTTGAGATTTTCTTGAGTTGCTGGTGATTTTTGACATTTTGTTGAGTGCTTTCTCAGTGGATCATTTACCTGATCACGATCCCATGCAGATTCATGTGGCCTGAATGTCTCGTTTTGCTTGGCAAACAATTTTGTCTTGGCATGCAATTTCCAACATCCTTGAGGCACTGCTTGATAAGTACAAAATCCGACCATGTCAACGAGACTTTCAGAGCATTGTCCCTGTGATCGTGTTGTTATTTTTCAAATTTGATTGCCATTACAAGGTTGTCAAAGTTGCAAAACACAGTAGGACGTGCTTATGTAGATTTAAGAAGTTCTTCTATGTGCTGCAGCGTGGCGTGCAGCTGCTCTTTCAACGGATACAAGCTTTGCAAGTTCTGTAAAGATTCTTGTCCTAGGACTGGCCAGTCCGCCTGGCCTGGCGGGCCTGGAGACTCTGCACCCTGCAGAGCAAGGCAAATAAAGAGCATCACATCTAGAGTTCCCTCGCATTCGGTAGTTCACACATATCCCCTTGAGGCCAAAATCTCATCAAGCACTGCATGTACATTCACCTGATCGTGGCTTCCATCCAGCCCCTGGAGCGCGCTCTTCAGCCGGGAAACAACATCTGGCTGCAGCTGCAAAATCAATCGGCCATCTTTCACCGCGCACAGTGCAGCTGCTGCATGCATCCGCGTCTGCACCAGCACAATTTAACTGTCAAGCAAAACTGGTCCATAGGTTCTTAGACATCAGCCTTCCACAAATCCACAAGATGCAGCCTGAGACCCGTCCGAAAGCAGACGATTGCCCAAGGAGATCCGCAGAGGCGCATTCCCTGCAGCAGCTAAATTAGAGAGTGTGTGTCGGCATTCGTGTGTCCAAAGACGCACCTTGAAGTTGGCGCCGTGCTGCAACACATCCAGCAGCTGTGCCAGAAGCGGCTGGAGCCCCCCGCACGCGTCGGCCGCGGCGGCCGCCGCCGCGGAGCGCAGCAGCGCGCCGATCGCGTAGCACGCGTTCCACTGCACCTTCCCGTTGCCGCTCGCCAGCGCCTCGTGCAAACAACCCAGCCCCCGCACAAACCAGTCCGGCGGCTGACCCGAGCTCATCTCCGCATCAGGATCCGGCTCTCGACAGCTGCTGTGCGCGGCCTCTGATTTCTGCTGCCTGTCCCTTTGAACGTATCTGTCGTGGGCGTCAGGCTGTCCATGGGTCCCCGGCAATCCTTCAGCAGCCGATGGGGTGTTTGTGAAGTTTTGCTGCTGGACGCAACTGACGGGCGCGTCTGCAGCATCAAGTTTGCCCTGTGAGGAGCTGCATGCTACCTCTGCACTGCTGCATGCCTCATTCTGCTTTGTGCCAGCACTCCTGTGCTGCGGTCCGATTGCCACAATGTACCCAATGGCTCGCACCGCATTTGCCCGGACCTTGTCTCCTGCGTTTGCCGCTCCCAGCGCCGCTGCATGCAAAAACAAGTGATCTCAGAGGCATCGCCAGGAGTCCGAGAAGAGGTGCAGCATACCAAGAATAGGGCTGCTGAATGGACCCTGACAAGATCCGTCAGCCGAGAAGGTGTGCTGCTGCACGCGAGGGGGTCTCACCATGCGCTATTGATGAGCACAGCTCTGGCGCAGGCGTGGGGCTCTGCGTGACAGTGTCAGCAAGGTTGGCGAGCGCCCAGGCTGCTGCAATCTGCACTGACAGCGTGGGCCACCTGTCTTGTAGCCCGGCGTCAAAGATTCCCAGCATTGCCGCAGCACCTGCATCAACATCCAGGCACTCTCAGCCCTGTCTGCTCAGACTGCATCCGCTACCTACCAGAAACATGAAAAACCAAACACCAGTAGTCTCTACATTGCTTAGTCCTAGAGGTGCCTGGCGTGTCCATACTTGGGAGTCTACTGACCATACACGCGCTAGGGGTATGCTCATGCAAGTAGTAAGACCTGGGTAGACTAGCTCATCAAACTGTACTGAGCATGAGGGTGCTAATAGAATGTTCACGCAAGTAGTAGTACCTGGATACTCCAAGGAGCACCGCAGCTGGGCCAGAGTGCCGGCAGTCTTCAGTGCAGCATTGCGCACAGCAGTATTACACTCGATCTCAGCGCTGTCGAACAGCCACCCCCAGAGGCGCTGCAGCTGTGAGCTGCTCAGCGCTGCGCGGGCCGTCTCATCAAGCGATGCCAAGGCTGTTAGTGCAGCCGCCCTCACAGCGGGCACATTGTGCTCCTCGCCCTGTTTATGACACGCCTCAGTCTGCGCCATCTTCACTGGTGGCTCTACCGCGTTCAATGCAGCCTCAAGTGCGCCAATTGACTTGCGCAAAGATTAACAAGACGTCACGATGCAGTAACATCTTACTTCTCTTCTATTAATTGCAGGTAATGCCAGGCGGGTGGCTTGCCTTGGGAATGATCATGGCCAGTGCGTCCCTCCACTGCTTTGCTCGTGCAGCACTGCTACTGTTGCACTTGGAGGCGGGAATATCAGATGGCGTCCGCGCATTTGCAACGGTGGTGTTGTCTAGTCGTGCCTCATCAGCGGGCACCTTCAGGTAGCTTCCCAGAAGGCGCAGCGCATTCAGCGCACACCGCTCCTCACCCCCTGAAACAAGAATTCAAACCCTCACCATGCAGAGAATGCATGGCAAGACCACATGACAGATAATATATGACATGCAAGACCTATCAGACCCGTCCATCAACCAGATTGCAATCTGCAATGCATCCCTCGGGCCTCTGTCACTGCTGCTTGTGATAGAACCATGGAATGGTGGCAAATAAGGGCTTGCATCTGATGAGACATACGCTGCAAAGTGCGCCTGTGCCATGAGCTAACGGTGTTTACCAGATTCCAGGCTGGACACCATGACACTCTTCAGGGAGTCCCAGTGGTCCTTCAAGAGGCCTCGGTGGCCCATCGCAAGCGCCTGCAGGGCCGACAGAGCCTCTGCTTTGACGGCTGAGGACACTCCAGCGCAGAGCTGCAGCAAGTCATCCGCAAGCCGGGGACCAAAGCCTGCACACGGCCACACTATGTTGTCAGAATGTGTTCTTTTTCTGCGCCCACATGCCCTCTGATCTCCATAGAGCATTCGCGCAACATCTGAATTTTCATGATGCTATCAGAGCCCCTTGGTATAGGCAGTGCGACGTCATGTGTCTTGCATGTGCTCACCCTGTGGTTGCGCATCATCTGCACTGGCAGAGTGGCCAGGCAAGAGCAGCTCAGAAAGGTGCCCACGGCTTGCATTCGCGTTTAGAGCGGCTGCTATGCACGAGAGCGCGGCCGCCTGAGCCGCCGCAGCCTCCTCCACGGCCCTCCGTGACCCCTTCTGCAGCCGAGCTGAGCAGCGATGGACGTCCTGGCAAGCACCTCGTTGTGTCAAAAGTAACATACAATCCAGTTGCCACTTGCCATGAAAGGAACAATACAGCCACACTCTAACTCCTTCATTGTACCAACACCTCCAAGGGAATCACAGACAATGCAGCAGCACTGAGCCATATTGCCTTGCTCTGGACATACAGCTTCATCCAGCACAGCGAGAAACAGAATGGACTGCATGCCAATTCTGAGGCATCATACTGTCAATGTGCGAGGCAGCAGCGTAGGCGGCAGGCGAGCGTAGGGCGCTGAGCTGATGAGCACGTGGAGTGCGCGCAGCACGGCTGTGAGGGCGGCTGGGTGGGCCTCGCTGGCAGCATCCTGCAGCAGGCCGTCGTGCAGGGACAGCGCCAGCTTTCCCAGAGTTGCTGACAGCGTTGTGAAACCCCTGTCCAACAAATTAAGATCAGCCCAGGCGCATGCATGCAATGTCTGCAATGCAATGTGACCACCCACGCAAGCATGGTGCGGAGCTTCCAAAACTTTCCAAGACCCAGGTGGGAGATCACCACAGAGTCAGACACCCCTGGATACTCTGTCACCCAGGGAGTTGGAGACGGTACCCCCCTGTGTCACCATGAACGATGGACTCGTGGAGGTTTGCGATTTCTAGGTCAGCATGTGCACGCACCTGACAGGCTGGTTGGCAGATGATCTGCACTCTGCTATGCCCAGATATGCTCGCTGCGGCGCGCCCTCCAACAGCGCGGCCAGGGTGGCTGCTGCAGCTGCGCGCACCTGTCACACAGCAGAACATTTTGCCTCAAAGCTCCCACGCCTAGGACATCACTCTCCAGTTTTCTGTGGTCAGGAAGTACCAGTCTAACAGGGAAGGCCTAAGGAGATGGAGCTGTTGGGGGGTAGACGATTACCTTGGGTGCTGGGTCGTTGACAATGGCATCCATGAGTGTGAGGGAGTCGGGTCGCCTGGCCAAGGGAGTGTGCACAGGCAGCAGGACAACCCAGAAGGGGTGCAAAGCCTTGCAGTCCACTTTGGCAAGAGCCTGAACAGCAGCATTTGGGATCAGTCATCTTTTTGAAAGTGGGCCAGAGCATCAGTAAGACCTAGATTGACAGGGAACCAGTGGCATGCATACCAGAGATTGAGTAGTCATGGTGTGTCACCTGCAGGCAGGACAAGGCAGCCAGTCGGACGCGGACATGGGATGCACGAGAGGGATCGCCCCCCGCCGAGTCACTCTCGCTTTCACTTGCATCGCTGGCGGATGAATAACCCCCATCCTCAGAGCGCCAGCTGCCTGTTGACAAACATACAGAAACGGCTGATGCTCACTGTCTGGCATTGCTGTAGCACAAGGGTTCAAGCCTGTGATCTCCATGTGATAGGTAGCTGAGCAACACAGATATTCCTTAAAACGTCACCTGAACCATTTGAAGCCCTTGTGTTTGGGTCAGACGGCCTGGTAGGGGCTATGTTCTGGGAGAGTCTGCGCCTGGCATGTGGAGGCCTGTATGCTGAAGGCCTGCAGCAGAAAGCAATTGCAATTTTATTGGCAAAATGTATGAGCACCTCTCAAAATTAGCACACATTAGTATATAATATGGGCACATGTGATGCCTGCACTCAGAGCATAGCACAATATCAGGGACGCCCCAATAAACTTGACACAGAAATTTCAGCATGCGCCTCACCGAGATGGAGATGGGCGGTCTGGTGACTCTGCTGCAGAAGAGATGGTGGAAGACTGCGCCACACTGGCAAGAGGCCAGGTCCCATATGCGCACAGTTTCCTCAGGCTGTCCAACAGAATGCTGAGGCTCATTTCCTGCACACTTTTTACCTGCCACAAAGACATACATCCTTGAAATCAAGTGTTCAGAAACACATTTTTCATGTCCGTTCACACGTAGGAAATTGCTTGCCATAGTGCCCCTTGATGCAATGAGGCCAACAAAAACACGGTATTTCATAATACAAGAGTGGTAACAATATCTACTAAGCATGGATCCGGAACTTGCCTGAAGTATGATTGCCTGGAGCAATCGTAAGGCGCCATATAGCAGGTGGCCAGTTGCTCTGTCCACAGACAGGCGAGAGTCGGACACCAGCTCAGCCAACAGGCCGCACAGGTAAGCTGCAATGTCCCGGAGAGTAATCCCTGGTAATGCAGCTTTTCCATCCAATACCAGGTATCCCAGCGCCTGCAACAAAGAATCATCTGTGGATTAGATCGGATGTTTGATCTCATGATAATGGATCTGTCAGGTAATGCTGCCTCTGGTTGATCCCTTACAGCTCTCCTCAGCAGACTGGAGGCAAAGGTAATCATGTGAGCATCAACTTGAAAAAAATATAGAAATCGTGGGCATCAGTGTGGACAATGACGAAGTACCTTGATGGTTAGCTTCTGCACCTCTGCAGCCACATCACCGTGCCCCTGGCCGTTGGCCTGCTTCAAGGCAATATCAACGCAATGAGGACAAGAGAGGGCAGCCACTGCCCAATTTGGAGGCAAACATAAGTCTGTCTCTTTAAGCATAATTTTGGTGTGTACTCTTGCACAATGTTTCTTACCTTGGTCTTTGACGCATGAAGCAGGGCAGCAACTAGGGCCACACACTCCACTTCTGAGACCTGCCATACAGCAGAAACGGCATGCAAGGGTCACTGACTGGCTTGAACTATCGAAATTATCTGTCCAACCTTCCTCTGTCAGGCAATTGCAGACTCCTGGGGTTCCTAATCTTACCTTCGGCGCATGCAGGGACAGAAACTTCACCATCTCACGGAGGGAGTCTGGCTGATCGTTCTGCAACGGCTGGCGCATATTGCAGCAGACTTGACTGAAATGCTGCTGCGCACTGCCATGGTGATCACAGACCTGCAGCAGCATTGACAGTCACTAAAATTTCGACAAGGGGGAATGCCTTCATCCACACCAGGTGGGTCTCACGGAACTGATCAGTGGAGTAAAGCCAGCCATCTTATACTATAAGGGCCCAGGAAAACATCCGTCATACTTTTCACAGGCAAATCACGCGACCTGAAATTGTCGTTACACATACCTGCATACCAAGTAGTGATAAAAGATAGGTCTGTCGAGCAGCTCTGCGCAGGACTACGAAGCTAGCGTTTCATCATCGCCTAAAAGCACGCTCATCCAGGTACCGAGCGTGGGATCTTCATCCAGAGATGTCTGTAGGTGACAATCTTGAATAGCATTACGCATGTGTAAATGCTGCTGTGTGCCTGTATTCAAGCCTCTGCTGGTTCACTGTCGTGCATACTGTTCCCTCCTTGTGACAGGGATAGTGTGAGGATGTGTAATACTTACTCCGAGATTGACATATATCTTCACTTTATTTCCCTAACAGCGACATTGCGGAAGCAGACTGACGTGATCAGTCAACAGGAATGAGATCTCCATCGTGCATCGTCAGCTGAAAATGTTTGAGCAATCAGGTCTTGCCATATAGAACTTTTCGTGCAAGGCGCTCTTATGAGAGGGAAGGGAACATGAGCACTAGATCAGATTAGTTCTCAATTTCCACCAGCGTTTATGGAATGGGACAAAATATCAATATTTTATCGACTCCTCATGCTGATAGAAAGGGGTATTTGATAGAAGCCCTTCCCATGAAGCCTCGGAACTCCCGTCAACTAGCGAAAGACCCTCGTTTGCATTTGATTACTCCTCACTTTTGCTACACGAGGTGGCAATGACCAAAGCACAGTGAAGATCGACGAGGATATGCGTCGCTTCAAGAGTATCACCCTGGCAGACGGGTGATCATTTCGCTCACTGAATGCCCTTGTCCTGTTTGTTTTGCTGCCCAAATACAAGAAGAAAAAGGCGTAATACAAGATATTACCTTCATTAAGGAAATGTATGAACAAGTTTGATGTCTGTACAAACGGTTTTTATCGCCACGTCCTTGTACTTCCAATCGTCCAAGGTTATCTCAACTTCAGGCCGCCATTGATAAAGCTCCCAGATTACAGACAAAGCTTTGCCAGCATATAGATCGCCTTCACATGATAAGATTTGACTTGCGTCCACGCCTGTGCAGAGAACACGCGTAATACCGCTGACAGCCTCGACGTTGACGTTGTGCGATCTGTCGGCATCCTCTTCGACCGGCTGAGCCAGTTCTGGTAAGTTCCCACGTATCAGTTTTCATGTTCATGCTGCAGGAGGTGTGGTGCGCAACGGGCTGCTATAATGTCGGAGCTCTATCGATCATCGGATGCCTTCGCAGGTGTTTGTGTAAGCAACAGCAAGGCTTCATCGCTTCATGGGTGTCAGTAAGCCACGAAATGTCGCCATTACTCTGGCACCAACGAATGGCATCCGAGCCCTGTGCTGCATTGGGATCGTGGTTGCTCACTGTCTCTACTGGGCCAGTCTGGCTTTTGAAGACAAGGCGGCGTTGTACAAGGGCTATGCTGCCCATACCTGGATGAACTTCATACTGCACAATGCAGAACCTTCCATGGATGCCTTCCTGGTCCTGACAGGGTGAGACTCCATCTGCACAACCCAAGCAACCCTGGCACTTTAACATCATCTTTCTCTTGACTCTGTAACTTAAGTGCTGTCTTCCCAATTGCACTTTTCACTTTGGGATTCTCACTCTTCCTATGCGCAGTATTTCTTGAAAATGGCTGGACATGTCGTCCTTCACCGATTAGCATCCAGTGATTATTTTAGGCTTGGATGTATCAATTTCAGAGATCCTTGTGAGGATCAGTCCTTGGCTGGCAGTACTTGATAGACTTGAGCATGCACATATTCACAGGTTTTTGGCTGCATTGTCCCTGGTACCAGCGTTGGAATCATCAGCAAATCTGCCCACAACAGTCTATAGGTAGGCTGCTCCAGCTACAGTCGTTTTGCTGTGCTTGTGCAACCAGGAAGTCTTGCTTGCTGTATCACAACACTGTTGTGACGAAGTACAATGCCATGGCTGTCAATCCAAGGAATGTTACATCGCAGGTACTACAAAAAGCGGCTGCTACGTATACTGCCCACGTACTACGGGGTTTTAGTCATATTACACGCCTATGTGCTACCGCAGAGCAGCATCTCAACCCTACCGGATGAGACCAGGTGCGAGACATCAAAACAGGCCCCAGAGCTTTTCGGTTGCCTTCCTTTGCTCTTGATTTGGGGCATCTGAACTAGGTGTGCATGCACAGGGATCAGAGTAATTCTATGTGTGCGCATGCAGGCGTGCCTTCTTTGACAGGAAACAGCCCTTTGACGCTGCAGTCTGCCAGAAACTAGGCTGGACAAATTTTGTCTTCGCAAACAACCGGCTGGCGAACGGAGGCTGCATGAACACCACTTGGAGCCTGGCTGTGCAGATACAGTTCTACGCTGTCCTGCCCCTTGCACTGCTCATACTCCGCCCTCGCGCCGCAGGCTTCAGGTGAGCCCTGCATGTAGCCACACCTATTAAGTCCGCCTCATCAGATGTGATGCCAACGAAAATGGGGCGCCAGAATATAGCATGCCCGAATCCGCATTGAGGTGCAGAACAAGAGGCTGTGGATCTCGAAAGATACACCAAGCATCGTGGAAAACCACCAGAAGTGAAGAACCTGTGCAGAATTTTATTTGGCTGCCTGCTCGGCACACAGACGGTCACAAATGTGCAATCGGCTGTGACGTGAGGAAGCCCAAGAAAGCTGCTGGAAAATTCTCCATCTGACGTGTTGCAGGGATCGCATCTGGCGCGCAGCTGCAGCGATTATTGGGATGGTGCTGGTCTATAGGGGAGTGATTCTTTTCATCGGACGCCTGTGGCAGCACATGCCGCTGCCCTTCTTTGGGCCATTCGGCCCTGGAAATGAACCCACCTTTGACTTCGTTGGGCTCTACCTCTACCTCAGCTTCTTTGCCCGGCTTGGGCCCCTGTGCCTCGGCGTGCTAGCTGCGCTTGCTGTGACCGATGCTGGCACCCGCAGCTTTGTTGCCAGGTGAGCTTTCTAATCTCATTTCACAGTGCAACACTCCTAGGTCCAGAGCCCTGATGAGTCCTTTTACACTTTCTGGAGATCCTGCCCGTGGATGACAGCAGGGTTGGAAAGTGACTAGCCCGTTCCTGGATCTGCAACATTGAAAGCTGTGCAGTAAGAGTAACGTGTGAGTGGACTTTTCCTTGGTCTACATCATACAAGAAGGCTTTCAAAGCTGGATTTGATTGTTGGGCAGGCACCATGGGAAGCTGCTTGCAGGTCTGGCAGCGATATTCCTGTCGACTGCATTTGGCAGTGCACAGCCCAAAGTGGGGATTGCACCTGACCCTGCGCACCCGCTCGCAGACCCGGTGCTCCTTGGGGTAGGACTGGTTTTCCAAGTGGGCCTTGTGTTGCCCCTGGTGACAGCCCTGGCCCTCGTGCTGACCACCACCGGGCAGTCTGGGCTGCCCAAGCGGCTGGCTGACGCGCTGTCCAGTCAGCCCCTTATTCAACTGGCAGACATCTCCTATGACATCTACTTGCTCCACCCATTGGTGAGTATGTTTTCTTCTAATCAACGTTGTGCATGCATGGTGTGCGGCGGTAGCATAGCATTTCGCAGTCTTCGACACTTGTGTTGCAGATCTTTGCTGATTGCTTTTATCAAGGGGCTTGCATGTTTGATCTCTATATTGAGACCGTCCGTGCATGCGCAGGTCATTTATGGGGTGTGGTCTGTGCTGCCTCCATCTATCTGGTTTTCCTTCAGCAACCCGGCATCCTTTGCTCTCGTTGCCTTTCTCGTCTTTGCTCTGTCTGCGGCTGCAGCTTGGGTCCAGAACAAGGCCTGGAATGCTGTCATAGACAGCATTGGGCAGAAGTGGGGAATTTTTCAGTCTGGAAAAGTCAACTTGCATGCCAGGGCAGGGCACGCTGCTTAAGGGAGGATTTAATTGGCATGCAGTGCTTGCGGATTTATTTAAGTCAAGAAGTATGTTCACTATTTCAAGCATCTTTCATCATGCAAAGGCCTGCCCTGTGGAGGCACTCGGGCAATTGATTATGTCAGCGGAGTCCTACTCCCTGAATTTGCTGGTTGACAGCAGCTGAGCTGAGGCCACCAGAGTTGCTACAGAAGGCAAATGAGCAGATATTGGGCTCAAGTTAGTGCCACAGTGCGATATGTGTGATGTCATTGCAGTGCAACCTGCCTGACATGCTTCTATGGTTTGACAGTACCGGGTTGGCAGACGGTCTGTGACACTAGGTGTGTCACACCACCCTGCCATGTGAAAGAGTATAGCATTTCACAAGTCCCTTGTATCCCTTATAATTTAAGAGAAGGGAGAATGTAATACAATATAATTTGAAACTTGAAGCAGGTTGTGATGTCCACTATGCTCGATGATTAGACATTATAAAATTGGTCACCCCTGGTGCCCAGCATGCACACCGACGACACAAAAATACAAGCTCGAATTCGACCTTTTTCACAGAGGCCACATCATCAGTGCGATCGTCACCATCAAGTTCTTTCAGGGCACTTGTGTTGCCTCCCGGACGCCCTACAATGAGAAGCAGAATAGGTTGAGTCTGCAGCGTGCAGACCTGCGTGTGCTGTCACGGGAATGATCGCTTGTGCTCGTGAATGATATACGGTAGTCCTAGCAGAAAATCCGAGGACGGATACATCAGCAGTGCTTCTGCAGGCTTTTGACCAAAGGCGGTCCCGGGCGACCTTCAGCACGTCTGCGTTCATCATTCCAGCAAGGAAATTGCCTTTGTAAAGGGCAGGCTAGAACAGCTGAAATGGCCACAACAGAAGCCAACGGCACCTGTGCTGGCACTTTGCCACACCACACAGTCAGCCTGGCAGCAACAGCAGGCCTCAGGCTCCTGGCCTGTTTTGCAGCCATCATGTGCAGCATCATGTGAGCTGCCAAAACCTGCGCATGGCCAAATATCCTCCTTCCGTGTGTGTAGACAGAAATTATCAGGGTGCCTGGCACCATTGAGATACCTTCTTCCCACAAGCATGCTTATTCATGCTGACGCCAACAGCATGCACTGATATGCGCAGGTGGGCAGTAAGCCTTGAGGCTGTGAACAAGCCAGCCCTGCACACAGCCTATGCTTCTCAGACCTGGATGGGCCTTGTGCTGCAGCCAGAATTGCCTGCCTACACCTTCTTCGTCCTCACAGGGTGAGCATAGTCTTCCCAATCATCTGATGTGCAAAGGCAAAGCAATACGTTAGTACGTTCTTGAGAGCATGCATGTCCGAAAATTTGCTGTCCACAGGTTTCTGGCTTCCCTGTCTCTGGTACCAGCATTGGAGAAGGCACAGACTTCCACTGCAACTTTGAAGGGGTGCGTTACAGCCTGTGCAGCATGTGAAACTAAAACTCCTCTCAATCTTTGAAGCAGAGGTGTCATGCTGTGATACTCTGGAGCCTGCAGCATGCTATGCAGCGGCTTGGAAAAAGACTGTGTTGTCCGCATCGCAGGTACTACAAAAGACGCCTGCTGCGCATTGTGCCAGCATACTATGCCATCTTGATCTTCCTGCACCTTATTGTCTTCCTATGAGCAGCCACCTTGTGCCAGAAGAGGCCTGGTGAGCTCGATATCCTGCATGCGCTTGGGACTCATCAAAGAGCCTTTTCACAGCACGAGCTCCGGCATTTGATATAAGATTGAATTCTTAATAATCATTACAAGGCCCTTCAGATAGTGTGACATGTGTCGTGCAGGAGAGCTTTCTTTGATGCGGGCGCGACATTCGATGCAGACGTCTGCACAAGTAGGAAGGCACTGGCGAATTTTGTGTTCCAGAACAATCAGCTGGCCAGCGGGGGCTGCTACAACATCAGCTGGACGCTGGCAGTGCAGATGCAGTTCTACCTGCTGTTCCCTCTCTGCCTACTGCTGCTCCAGTCCCGCAAGAGGGGCTTCAGGTATATTTCTGGTACTGCATGCCTTGCCTTGCTTGACATGCATGTCCACTTGTTCTTGGTTGTCCACACAAAACCAGCAAAGATTCACATTGAGATGGCAACCATGATGGTGCACAATCTCGGTTGGATTTGGAGAGGAATGCCATTTATTGCATCATGTCTTATCTGCTGTGAGCTGATGCTCTGGATATATTGTCTAGACCTGGATTACATGTGGCATACTATTAGTGGCAAGACAGACTTCTTTGTAATGTGAATCATGCGCAAGCAAATTGCAGCTCAGCTCGATAATGATCTCTGTCAGGACTCGGGCAGCCTGGTGGAAAATATGTAATTGACTGACTGGCTGCCATGAAGTTCAATATACTCTCCCACAGGAAGGGTGTGGCAGTGGCGTCGGCTACGGTGGTTGCATGCGTGATGCTCTACCGGCGGACCCTGCTGACATCAGCGCCGCTGTGGCGCTACATGCCGCTGCCATTCTTCCGGCCCTATGACATGGTCTCCGCGCGCATGACTCACTTCCTGGCGCACAAGAGTTTCCTCAGCCTTGGGGCTTCCCTGTCGCCGCTGTGCCTCGGGGTTCTGGCTGCTCTGGCTGTCATGAGCGACGCCTGCCGCCGACTCATCATCAAGTAAGCGCATGCTTGCCCTACTGAATAGTTCCTAGCAGGTCCTCTGCCAGGCGATTGTTTAGGCAGAAGTTTGCAACAATTACCTCAAGCTGCTGTGGCCGAAACTTGATGATTTGCAGCCTCTATCTAGCTTTTTGTGGTGGTCTTGATGTGGTATGTGGTCCGTTCATACCAGCACTGCCCTTTGCAACATGTATATTAAAAAACTACAGGGACAGCAGACCAGACCATGTCTTGAAATTCAGGAGAGAAGGACTCTTGTTTAATGTTTGCCACTTCTGTTTGTGCAGGTACCGCGTCTGGCTGAGCATAGCATGGGCGTTGCTGGCCTGCGGAGTTCTCCTGGCTTGCAGACTGGACAGGATCGGCCCAGAGCAAGACCGAAACCATCCCTTGGCGGACCCCGTCATCTTCTTCGCAGCATTCACCCTGGGCCAGGGTTTTCTTCTCCCCCTGCTGCCGGCGCTGACCCTACTCCTCACCACCACTCAACTTCCCGGCCCGCCTGCACTCCTAGCCAAGCTGCTCTCACACTGGCTTTTTGCCAGACTTGCAGAGATCACCTATGAGATGTACCTGCTCCACCCTTTGGTAGGGCCCTTCATATCACACTTATCCGCTCTGGAATGATGTATATCTGAGCTCCATCATGGTGCCCACCATTCACTTGGTTCTGGTTGGATCTGGCAAGTCCGTCAAAGTGAAGCTTTATTTTGTGGCAGCTTCATGCACTATATCTGCAGAGGCACCTTGCCCCTGGCAGGAACAACATGCATAATGTGCTCTGGACCAGGTGTGATCATTCCACGGGTCTACTCGTCTCAGATGCACTGGTGTAAGAGCATGTGTGCGTGTGCAGGTCATCTGTGAGACTTTCCACTGGTTTCCGCCCTCGACCTGGTTCAAGGCTGACAACCCAGTGCCATTCCTGCTCATTGCCTGCCATGTGATCACCATCACTGCTGCCGCTGCATGGCTCCTTAGACGTGCAACTATGTATCTTGTCGCCAAGATTGCGCGAGAGTAAGGTCTGAGGCACATACAGATTCACGCCTGGGCATGGGCTGGAATTCTCGACGGCAAGCTGGCTTGCTGTGGCTTGTCTAGAGTGAATCATTTTATTTTTGGTGACTTGTCTTGTGCTGAATTTTGAGCTTTCATTGGATTACGGACTGCCCACCCATGTGTACCGTTTCCTCAGCAACATTGAATGCTGCCATGTGCAATGATCATGCAGATGCTGCGAATGATACTGGATGTTGATAGAGACTGACAAGTGCAGCTGCAGCCAGCTGGTGACTCATCCTGGCGTGGCTACTCTCGGAGATAGCTCGGAGCTCACTGATGGCATATGCATACGCCTGCATGCAGCCGACTCATCATATAATATATTATGTGCCTGGCAAATGGCAACGCTATGCTCCAACGGAGGGGCACTATCTCTCCAGCAAGCCTTTCCGGGATAGATTCGCATAATGCATTCAGACTCCGACCCACATCCACAGGCAGAGCATGACTCATACTGACCTCGGAGGTCACCTGACAGGCCGCCTTAGTTAGCGCCTTTGTCAGCTGAAGCGCGCTCCCCACGCAGCAGTCGTGAATTTGGGATCCCTGCTACACACAAAACTGCTTGGAAGTTCAGTTCAAGAATTGCATATAGGTGGTGAACTCGTCCCCAATCGTGCTTTTGCCAGAACCATGAGGCAGGGGTCAGGTTGCCTAATCTGTCAGAGTGGCAGGCTCCAATATTCTACGAGACGCAAATTTCGCTCTGAAGGACGCTCTCTCGTCCTGCTATCCGAAACCGAGTGTTCAACAATTTGCCGGCGAGAACGTAACCATTCTTGGTTTAGAGTGCTCGTTAGTGAGTTCCGGAACGGCCACGAAAGACGAGCAAGGAAGGACCAACGGCCACGGGCGGAGGATCGTAAACAGGTGGGACTGCAATTTTGGGGGAACCTAGGAGGAAGTGGTCGTTATTTCTTCTTATCACGCAGCCAGGGAAAGGCGACAAAACTAGCGTGGCCGACCCTTCCGGAGGCACTCCGGCATGCACTTTGTCAAGGGTTGTCACTAACAAAAGTGGGCAAGGTGGTGAAATGAACTCGTTATCTCCTTCAACGATTTCCTGTATCAATATAAGTGGGTTGTAAGTTTTCAAACAATGATATTGCGTCTATAATGTAAATTGTAGCAGGTTCACTGAACAGGCCATTTTGTTCTATACTAGACACCTAGCAGGGTTCCCTAGGGTGCAGATGTCCTGTGAACCTTGCCTACGACATTCACTGGTGTAAAATTCGTAACTACCTGTTCGTGTGGACTTGTCAGAGCTGGGGCAAGAGAGGAGGGAGCCAGACGTGGCAGGCAAAGTAATCTAGAAAGAAGATCCCAGGCAGAGCAACGCAAGTGGCACAGCGAAGTGGCAGCAGGGCCGAGTAGGCTCTAGTCAGCATGAGAGCGCCTGCAATGGCCGCCAGGCTACCAGCAGTGCTGTCTCTGCTCGTGCTGTGCCTCTCTTCATGCTCAGCATCCCGAAGCCTATTGCTAGCTACAGCCCCCCTTGCAGCCCAGGACGCGCTGCTCGCACCAGCAGCTGCGCAAGAACCAGTCTTGCCCCTTAACCCTGCTCTAGCACCTGGTCTGGCAGCAAGTGGCCCCCTTCCAGAGGGCGTTGTCAGCCTTGCAGCCAAGAAGAACACCAACCAGGTTGCAGCACAGGACGCCCTAGCGGCCGCACAGGCCACCCCGGTAAGGCAGCAGTCGCCCTCAGCTTCGTCTTGTTGACTTCTTTCAAGGGTCTCATGTACTGTATGTTGCAGAGCCGTGTGCACAAGTTTGTGTCTCAGAGATTCCCCTCCATATTGAACTTTCATACAGTCCAGTCTGAGACACATGCTTCCCTCTTCGGATGCAAGCACAGGTGCACAGACTAGAATACTCACACTGATTTCAGGGGTGTACTAACCTCGGAGTGTGTGGACGCAGAGGCAGGCGCCTGCACACTTGGACTTGGATCCCACTTGAGCTGCTCATCTGAAGCTGTGCATAAAGTGGCACTTCTGTTGCACTGCAGGAGACCACCCAGACAGGCCAGTACAGCGTGGTGGCAGGGAATCAGAACACTGACAAAGGGCTGCTGCCGGCGGGAAACTCGGTCAACACCAAGAAGCTGTCGGCCAGCCAGCTGGCGTCCGTGCAGGCCGCCAACAATGTCAACGCGCAGCGACTCATCGCCGCTGATGTCACCAAGGTCGTCGGTGCAAACGTGCAGCTCGACAGCAGCGGCCAGCCGTCCGAGGTGCGCGCACATGCTGCACTTTATAGAGCACTAATTACAAGCGCTGAAGAGCTGGCACTTTGTAGAGCATCTTACGGAGCACCTAATCGTAGACACTAGAGACCTGGCACTTTGTAGAGCATCCCTTGGCGCCCTTAGTAAATGCTGAAGGGCTGCAAATCTACATCAAGCATGCTCACCAGCCCACACCTTGCATGGTCACTCAGCAAGGAAACAAGCACTTGTACTTGTTGACAAGCTGTGTGCTGAGCCTGGAGTCCTTGGCAAGATGAATAGAAGCATTGTTGCAGGATGTGCAAGTAAAATGGGTGGCATGCTTAGCCTGGCAAATGGAAGGGCTGGGAACAGATAATGCAGCGCAGGAAGTAAGAGGTTGAGGGCCGAGAGGGTGCCTGTTGGAAGCGCAGGTGAAGGTGAATCCGACAGACATGGCTGCCAGGACCGTGAACCAGGTCAACAGCGACGCGCCCACCTACACAGCACCAAATGTGCGCTCCTCATTCCAGCTACCTTCCTCAGACATGCAGTGTCAGCTGGAAGAGCTTGGGAAGCAAGCAGACCCTCGCATGCTCTTTCCAGGGGTCTCCCATGCTGAGCATAGTCAGATAGATGTGTAGTTTAGCCGGAGGTGCCTTGGAAGCAAGCAAACACACTTCAGGGGTCCCCCTTGGTGAGCATTATGCAGAAATCCTCGTGCCTCTCAAACCGGCCTGCGGCATAGCTGAACACACCCTGCAAATTGCCTTTATACCGGCGAATCTTGGAGCAAATTCTTCATGCTGCGCTTGACTCTACACGTAATGCTATTTATACTCGCATGTGCAGAGGGCCTGTGATCAAGGTCCAGCCGGCAACAGGATCGCGGAGGTCACAATGCGTCAAATTGTATTGCCAACCCCTATGCTGATACTACCGGGGGAATGCGCGCAGGGGCTAGCGATCAAGCCGCAGCTGGCGACAGGGTCGCAGAAGGCGCTGGCCGCACCCAGCGGCTCGGCATCCGGCTCAAAGAGCAACGCCGACGCGGCCAAGACGCGCACAACCACAGCCGCCGGACAGCCGCTCAACGCGGTGCAGGTAGAGCTGCTCAAGTTCTCTCTGTCGAATGTCAGGCCCCTCAGAATGGTATAGCACGTGTGACTTGGAAGACGGGGATGGGACACAGTCCAGGCTTGGTAGATGGTCTTGCATCAGGAACCCTGTTTCCTGGGATAGAACACATGGGAGGGATCTTTCAACAAGTCAAACGTCAGAGCGGCTGCATCAAAATGTATCATCTCCCAACAATTCTGCCAAGTCATAAGTTACTGCCGCTGAGGCATGCAGTGGTATGCAGGGGACGAGCGCTTTGGACGGTGAGGTGATCACGGGTGACTACGTCGGTGCGGTTGTGGGTGTGAGGATCGCCACGCCCTTCTTCGGAACCGGATTCAACTTCTGCATCGGTGAGATTACCATCTTGTTGGCGGTAGTTGCATGGCGTTCCCTCCAGTCCTGCAGCTCTCGGCTGTCTGTCTCCAGTGCACGGGCATGCCAGCAGATTCCTGCAGTCTGCGATGAGTCCTCTTGTCTGGCATAACAATATTGCAGCATGTTGGATTTCTGAGGAGAGTGGCAAGGGGCTGCAAGCACTCCCAATCACAACATGGTCTAGGAAATGCATGCTGCTCTTGCTGGTGTATTGCGATGGTGGCAGCCTGTCAGGTGTGAAAAAGGCCTCAACTCTGGCTCTTGCAAGGCTGCATCACAGCGGCACCAGACTGTGGGCGGAGCACTCGAGGAACGGCGCGTAATGGCGCCATACAGAAGACTTTGGGTGCAATATCTGGGCAGCAGTCGTTTTAGCTGGTCCCTCAGGACTCCTGCCAGCTTCAGGAAGCCAGATAGAACCCGGAGGCTCCAACCCTTGGGCTGGACCCCGATCTCAGGGTCATGCTAGTCAGTCAAGCTGACGGAGAGTCCTGTTGTTGCGCAGACCGCTACTTTGGGAGTTTCCCCAAGGTGGGCATCGTAATCCCCAACGCGGCGGCATGGCTGCTGCCGGAGTTCCAGGACCTGGCGCAAGTGCTGGAGCACACCCTCGACCTGCCCACCATCCTGCCCCACGGCGCCCGCATCGACCCCACCGCCGATGGCTTCCTCCTCTGGCTACCCACCTGTGCGTGCTTTGATCCCCTTTCATATCACCCCTGCCTCTGTGCAGAGGATGCTGTATTCCTTTGGTCATGAGCAGATGGCCTCTAGATGGGACACCCTATTACAGGATGCATGAAAGACAGTTGGAGCTCTAGCAAAGGTTCACCACTAAGACACTTCAACACTAAAGAGACAGAACGTAAGCCAAAACACCATCACTGGTAATGCAGGACGACTAATGTTGCCAAGCTTTCGCCCCCAAGCCGTTGCACATTGTCTCCTCTTTCTGCTTGTTGCGAGGTCCATGCCGCTCGTAAACAGTGCCTTGGTCAGTGGAATGAGCAGTCAACAATATGGAAGGCTCCAGTGTGTTCTTCCATGAGGCTGTACTGCAGATCGTAGCATGTGATGCTCATGTGGTATGGGAGTTCGCATGCTTGCAGCAAGGGGTACTGCAGCAAATCGGGTGGTGCCGCAGTGTGATGCATTCTTGGGATGTCAGCTGATGTTGTGTGGTGTTTACTTTGCTGCAGTCCAGCCGAGCCAGGTGCCGGACTTTGGGCTGCGCTACGGAATCCAGATCGGGCAGGCCTTCGGCTACGACTTCGGTATCGGTATCATCCGTGACATCTGCTTCGTCAGCTTTGTCATCGTGTAGGCAGCTGCATGCGCGCATAGCAATGTCATGGGTAGCAGAATCTGACAAAGGCCACTGCAAGGAGTGATCAATGCTGCCGGCCGCTGTGCATGCTCTAAGGAAGCACATGGATGGCAAGGAGATCCTGAACATGTGCAGTTGGACATGATGCACACCGCAAAGGTTGTGGGCTAGGTGGCTTTGAAGCAACGCAGTGGAGCTGTGAGGCTTGAGCACCATGACTGCTTGAACATCGCTCAATGTCTTCACTGACGATTTGAACAAACACTAATGCAAGCTTAAGCCTGGATTTTATACCATTTGACTGATCATGACAGATTTCAATTCAATAGCCGGAAAAGGAGAGTTTGCAAATAAGTTTGGGCTGCTGTGCATGGAAAGCCTTGTCCTTAGCACTGTTATGCAAGTTGCAGTTGCCAACGTGTTGTACAAAAGTCCCAATAGCAATACCAGGTCAGAACATCCCAAGCCAGGGGTGCACCTCAAGTGAGCCTAGGCCTCGAGCTCATTTGGGGCCCATCTTTCCCTGCTTACAAAATGAAGCGCATGCACATTTAAAGCCTTGCTCTGCTGATTGCAAGGAACATCTTCAGCCAGTGTCCAAATCTATTGCTTGGCGATGGCTGCACAAAAAGACCAACCTTGAGACAATTTTGGGCATGCACGGCTCTGCTCGTCTACCATGGCGTTCCTTCCGAAGCTGGGCTTCAAGGTGGGTCGCCTGGGCCTTGCACAGTTATCTTTGCACTCTTGTGCATCAGATATAGTACCTGAAGAGCTGATTTGATTCTCGGGATGATTTCTGGGGCGATCGCACCGCAGATACCCTTGAGGTGCCAACTGCCTTTTACGACAGCCATCAGGAAGAATGGCCTTTGTGGAGGTCGATGCGCACGCATGCAGAGACTAAGATTGAATGCTTCTTTGCCCGAGGTAATTGCAGATCCCAGCTATGCAAGACATGCATGGACTTTCGGCAAGCCTACAAAGCAGAGAGACATGCCGGACTGCAGATCACCTTGCAGATTAGCTCCATATCTGGTCCACATAGGTGTACCAACTATTGTATTATTGCTCAAATTTTCTGCGGAGATCTCTATTGTTTTCGGTACATCTATCTCACAATGAAGACTTTCTGATCTTGCTGAGTATGCCAGGATCAGGTCCAGAAAAGCCTATCTTTCGTGGCCATGAACAACTTCAAGGTATTCTCATCCCGTATTTAACAATCTTCTGCAAATCGTACTGTTGATATGGCTCCCAAGGGGCAGTACCTTTCACAACAAGGCGTTGAGTACAGGTGAAACCAGAGAGCTGCACAGACTTCGAGGATGTCTGGAAGAACCGTAAGAGCACCTTGTTGGAAACCCCAGGATTCATTCGATTCGCCCTGTTGAAAGGAGACGAAGAGGGTGAGCAAAAATCTCCACAAAGAGCGGCTGCAAGCTTGTACTTGACTCAATCTGCTTCATGCCAGGGCCATATACCCATACATTGCACTAGGTGACCCTTTTTTTTCTTCCTGGCTTCAGGGGAGTACATCAGTCAGAGTGTTTGGGCGACGCGGCAAGACTTTCAAAACTGGAGGGACAGCCAGAAATTTGCACAGGCGCATGGTGGGGGCGGGGACGAGGGAAAGGCATGTTCTCCATATTTTTGATAACATGAGCAATCCGGCAACATGTTCTGCTTGTCTTTGCTGACTGACAGTGCTGTGCATGTGCTTAACATCAGTGGGAGAAGATTGAGACTTGATGTGGTGTGCACCTGCAGCCTGTGGGCTCTGCAGCACCCAAGACAAAGGAAATGCTGATGGGGCCCCCACAGCCCAAGTTCTACGAGGCAGTGACGCTCACAGAGCAGACATTCTTCTGATGATCATGACCTGGTTTGATTATGGCAAATCTGGAGCGGCAAATGTCATGGAGATTCAGCTGAGACATTACAATGCTTTATGCCCTTGCATTGCAACATAATGCGACCATTGTTGACAGGCGGTTCAAGGGCATGCAATGAGGACGTGATGGACATAGATGACGGACATCTAAGTTTTCTTCTATTTTAGACCATACGATTGTACGATTCCATCAGCAGCATGAGGATGTCAGCAACAACTTACATTTTGGGTGTTGACCACTTTCTACTCACAATTCCCACAGGACAGATGCGCATCCCGGGTGCCCAAATATTAATTCTTGACACATGCATGCACTGGGTACCTGTCCTCGCTGGCATTGCACTTCCGTCATGGCAGGTATTGGGAGCATGCATATATTGATGTGGGGGTTCCTGAGCCTCGCTGAAGAGCAAGCAGGGAACCCTTATGAAATGCAAGCACCGGTCTTTCTTCAAGGTCATGCGACAATGCACGCTCTTGCTCTGCTCCATTGCCATGCACATTTTCTGCGCGCCACAGCACCACATCTCAATAAACCAAACAAGTCCCACCCCCTATTCCATGTCAAATGGCAGCACTCAGCTGCTCAAGGGCATCTCCATAAATAATGTCTGACTTTTCCAGAGCAGTTTGCCCCGCATACTGATCAAGTAAGGACAGCTCTTCGGTGTGTATTCCACTGCCAAGCTTCACGAGACCGGCCCAACAGCACCAAATACACAGCCAAGAGTGGAGCGCACCACTGGGAGCAGCTGCTTTTAGCTCTCGGGGCTTTTCTGCAACAAAACCCAGCAGCCGCATGGCCAAGATGGGTTTGTAGGATGTGGCAAAGATGGCAATGCGCCCGGCAGCGCCCTGTTCAGAGGGCTCCAGAGCTACGGCCAGCCTCTCCCCTTCTGCGTCCCATGCAAAGGCTGCCACTCGGGGGCCCGCCTCATCCCCTGCGGTCCAACACACAGCGCCCTGGAAACTGCAGAATTAACATCCACAGCTTGATTGGAACCATGCATTCCAGGCCGTGGAGCTCCGCAGCAGCTTCTGCCAGGAATGAGCGGCAGTGTCTTTGCATTCCAGGCAGATCATTGCTGCCTTCATGCCACTTCGCTGCTCTTCGCAAGAGGCAGCAGCGACAAATTGCGACAAGCACATCGTGACTGGCTGTGTTCATTCCGCTCCCCAGCTCCTTGACCACACCAAACAATATTTCACCCAAGATATATTCTGGCCTCTGGCAGGCAGTCTCCTTTGACGAAGCATGATTTTATGGCATTGTCAAGGAGTCAAGAGGAAGAGGAAGAATACGGCCAGGCATGGCCAGAAAGCCCGATCCCTGTGCTCTTGGCCAGCTGTGTGACATGCTAGGTACACAACAGACACGAAACATATTTCCCAGGTGTGCACCTGGTGCAGGGCATGGCAGCGGTAAAGGGAACAGCTGCGCATCCAGAACTGGCGCCAGCTTGGTCATGTACAGCGCCGCCAGCTGGCAGGCCCCCGGATGCGCCACCACCACCGCTCGACCGTCCGGCGCCCAGGCCGCTCCCGCCAGCGGCTGAGCATTCCCCTGCGATTATAAACCCCACAAAGGTTGAGCAATGCCGAAGACCCCTCACCCTGGGATTGCAGCTCTCCCAGTGGAGGACAGGAAAGTTTCTAGCTGGCAGAACGGCACTACCAGGTCCTCAGGGTGTCAGACCTTGAATTGAGTTCTTTTCATGCACAGCTGATGCAACGCAGTCTACTTGCTTGTGTCGAGGTCAGGAAGGGGTGACACAGGAGCAGGAGGGAAACAAAAATAATAAGATTCGACGTGCCTGTGTGCTCCAGGCAGCACTGGTCCACTTCTGGGTCTCCCAGATGCGGAAGCTGCCATCTGCGCTGCCCGCCAGCAAGTAGCAGCCGTCCGGCGACCACTCCAGCAGCGACACTGCCGCCAGCCCTACAATTCAAATCCAGGTGTTGGGACATTGGTCTTACTGATCTGTATCACACTTTCCACAGCAGCGAATAAAGCTGCATTGGGGTATTTGAAGACAGCGAAGCGGCCATGAAAATCACTCGCATGCTTGGCCAATGCTTAGGTGAGAACAAGAGAGCACTGAACTAAGTAGGGTGTTGGAAAGCCTGAAAAGAAAGGCCGGTTGATTGTGTTTCCCAGATGTGGTCAATGGCACTAAATGTGGCAGGATCTCACCGGCCTGAACAGCCGTCTGAGTGCCCATCGTCACATCGAAGATGACAAAGCCCGGTGCATCCTGAGATGCCGCCGCCAGCAGCTGACCATTTGGGCTCCACGCCAGCGTTGTCACCGATCCTGCCAGGCCAACAGTGCACCTTCAAGTGCTTTGCTTGGCGCTTACACCCATTCATGTGTTGTTGAAATCAACAATATGAGCAGGGCCACCAGGAACGCTTGCGGACAATGGATGCAGGTCATAGGATGAAGAAAACCTTCATCCTGACTCGCTTGAACTCATAGTCAGCTTGCAAATTCCAGGTCACTTTATGACCAAGATGCAAAACTAGCCTGCATCATCTTGCGAGTCACACAGGGCGATCATTAGTATCAAGCGGGTGGCAGCGGCTCACCCTGGCCCCGAGTTCGCAGGAAGGTGAGCCAAGCAGATGTGCTGCTGCCAGCCACCGTGGCCCTGCAGGCAGGTGCGCCCCCAGCTGGGCACTTTCCCAGGCTCCACAGGCACACCCCCCGCCGACACCCCACCGCCAGAGTATTGCTGCTGAGCGGCCTCCATGCCAGTGCTGTCACCTGCGCACGCCCACACCGCGTGCCTCATGTGCTGCAGAGGGTTGTGCATGTGTGAGCTCTCAACGTGCAAATGCGCCCTTGGGCTGTCGGGGTGCGGAACAGATGTTGAGCACCATGCCCACAGCTGATTGGGTCTTGCTTTGATCTGGCTAGTCCATCAAGGAGTAGGATGTGCGGCAGCCTTTACCTGCAGCTTGCCTGCAGACACACCTTGCCTTTGACAGGTACTAGATGTGGCAGGATTCGTTCATGCAGCAGGCTTAATTGCATGCTGCCATGAAGAGATGACATGATGCTGTGGGGGCTTCTGCAATGTTATTGGGACATGACATCAATCAGTATGAGGTACCTGGTGCTGGAAGTCATGGTAGAGGGCCAGCTTGCCAGGGAGGGCGGCAGGGGAGGCAGCTCGTCCGCTTGTGGAAGCTACTGCGCTCGCCTCACCTACGTGCACCCTGTCAGCGCCATCGCTCACAGCCAGGCGGTCTGTCTGTCTGTGCCAGGCCACGGGTGTGCTGGCTGGGGCACTCTGAGGAGCCAGGACGCCTAGTCGCTCTTGCAACCTGTGCAGGTTCGCGTGGAACGGCAATTAGACACGATCGTTGAATTAAACTTGGAACTTGTCACAATTCATCCATCCGCCAAAAGCTCACCATGGAGGGACATTCAGAGCAGCTGATGTCGCTTTACCGAGTCTCCTGATGCTCTCTGGGAATTGGTTGGAATTTGCTTTAAGAGTGTTAATGTGGGGCTCCCTCCCTACAAAAACTTTTGTCAGTATGCTGATGGCCTTGACGGTTGGGCATTGCTACAAACTTGATTAAGGCATACCTTCGGGATTGCTGACACCCAACCCGACAGAATTCTTTGGAACAGTACTGGTATCGTGGCTAGGCAGATACGCTAATTCTGGAAATACAAATGCGCCTGCCTGCTGAGGCATTGAAGGTTGAGTCGACAAACTTCAATTGAGCAAAGAGCGGACATTGAAATATGGAAATCACCCAATTGCTTACCATGAAATCAAAGGCAAATTCTCCGTGATTATATGGACTGCCTACTATTTCATGGGATGATGTGCATAGGAGTCTAGCACATTTTGGTGTTGTATTGCACGCACCAGGACAGATCTTATGATTAACTTCCTTCTTTCTCAGACTGGCAAAGTGATGGACATTACGTGACAAGTAAGTGAACGGCAAGGAAAAGCAGGAATGCCCGTTAAATTCCAACGCCGTTGTCCAGATGCATCATATGCATGCCACCGGTCAGCTCTCAGGCAGGTTCCATTGGGAAACCCAAGCAGGTTCGATCTGGAGCCATGGTTTGATGTGCTATAGTCTTATGCACCGAACACTGTGAGAATGGCTGAGAGTGCAGAAGAAATCGTAAAGACGTTGGCCCTTTATGCGGATGCATCTACGAATAACTACGAATATATTCATATGGTCAGGGTTATTTGCTCACCCTAAATGAGCCTACAGTCACTTTGGCTCTATATAGAGCCAAAGTGACTGCAGGCTCAATTCCAGATATTTCTTTAAAAAGACAGGTGGTGCTGGTCTGGAATTAGACTCTTTGGAAGGATGGAATTTTGTGCCAGCGGCTGCAACGGAGTATGAGAGCCAGAAGCATCTGCTTTGGGGCTGGCACCAAAGAAGACCCTCACAGAGCGCGAGGAATCGCAGGTGCCATACGCATAGTCATTCTTAAGACGGCGCATGCTATGTGTGTTGTTTTGTTCTGTTTTCTGATCTTTCCCTTGCAGAGCCGCTACCAGGCAGGTCGTGTTTGCTCAACCTGGTGCAGTTCTCAAAGCATGCAAGCAGACTTCAGGGAGCAAAATATAGGAGAGACAAAGAGCAGGCAGTACTTATTAATTGGCTCAGCTCGCCCTTGTGCGCATGCACAAAGGGCTGTCTAAGAGTATTTCCAGTTCCAAGAGTCATTTCTTGCATGCTGCCAACTCTGCCCCTCTAGAGCTACTCCAATGGCATGCATCCTGTCAGATGATGAAAGAATGACGTCAGTCAGTACTGTCTTCTATCCTACGCAATATAACAACGCATCCATGAGTCGTGTTATAGCACTCTCCCTGTCTCGTACGACGCGTCATACTTCTAATCCTTGTAGTGGTCAAGGCTGTGTAATGTGCTTGACGCTTGCGCAAACAATGAGCTAGCGAGAAGCTGTTGACATCATCGCCTACTTGATGACATCATAAACCAAGCAACTGTCAAAGTCATCAACGCTTCAAGTGGCGCTTGTATGCAAGTGCCCACCTGCGCAACATCACTTAAGCATATAAGATTACTTGCACACAAAGAGGTTGTGGGAGCAGCAAACACTTGCCTTTCCTCCCTACAACAACATGCGTCTGCAGCAGCACGAAGGCATCTGGTCAGTCCAGACAGCTGGAAGTTGTCCCTCTCGGGAGGAGTGGAAATCTTACCATGCCAAGATGAGGAAGAGCAGGAGGAAGCATGTTTCATAGAGCAGGTTCAGCCACTTGCTCTGCCCCTCCAGATTGTAGAACTTCAACACCTGCACAGCCCCCACAGGATTTTTCAGTCCAGATGAAAAGTTGAAACCAAGCGCTCGCAAGCTTCATCTGCCCACATTCTGGTCACTTGTGTACTCAAGAGGGCAAGAGCTATGCCGTGCAGAATGTCACTCTGCTGAGCCAGACCTGGCGTATTCAAGAAAGCACGCCACGCGTACATTCCAACAATTGTGAAATGGTGCCCTTCAAATTCCAGAGGCCCCTGCCATTCTGCAATACCAGGCGATACCTCTGGTCCATAGAATCAAGATGTACCAGTCACCTGCTACAAGGTTCTGGCCGGGTATTTATAAACACAACAGTTGTGTTTACGGTAGTATCTCCCTGGGGTTGGGGTGGGAAAGGGGCACGCACCGTTTGGAAGTCCAGGGCCATGGCCTTGGACCCCTCAAACTGGTTGATCATCTGGGCGCCCCAGGCATACTTGAGGAAGTCCAGGTAGGAGAACCAGCGCCAGTAGACTGGCTGGTCTTGGTTGCGCAGCAGCAGACCCACAAAGAACAGCAGCACCGTCACGTAGGCCGGCAGCGCTGCATTTGCCATGTCCATGTTGGGAGAGATGGCCGCTATGAAGTATCCCAGCGCTGCAATGAGGCACAGGAACACCTACTCAGCGGGGCATGTTTGCCAGCATAAAATTTTCCCCTAAAGCCAGTTTTGTGATCTCCAATTGACAGATGTAAGAACGGATGTAAGGACAGGCATCATTGCTCAGTGAGTTTACATGCTGGGAGCGGCTCCAGACTTCGAAGACGGTAGTCTGAACATCAGGTCAAGTTGCACGTGGAAATTATCTGCATGCCTGAGAGTGACAGGCACAACGAGTGGCAAACCAATGGCAACGCAGAGTAAGGTCCAGGGAGACAGGTGTAAGGCTGAAAGGTAAGCATGATGATGTGGCGTCACGAGGTTTCAAGCATTTTTGTGTGCAAAGTGCAAGTGCCCGGGAGGGCGACTCACCAATCCCCGTGGCTGTGGTGATAAAGTTGACCAGCCAGAATAGGATGTAGGAGCCGCCGAGGTTGCAGGGAGCAAACACGATGACGGTGAGCACCAGGGAGAGGAAGAAAAAGATGGTCAGCTCCTCGGTCATCTTGGCCACAAGGTAGGTGATTGGCCGATACAGCCCATCGTTTCTCTCCCTGCAATCACAACCAGTTGCACAGCTTTTAAGAGCTCCTCTTTTGGCAAGGACATCATGCAGCTGTTGCATGAGTATGCCAGCTCTTGAGTAGGCTCTCTTGACTGCACTGACGACCTGGGATGCTATCTGTGCAGGGCTGTTCATTTCCGCAGGTGTTGTTAGCACTGTATGAAGCCTCACTCCTCACTCCTGAAATGCGCTTGCTCCCTCTTTGATGCTGTCTGAACCTGATAAGCAAAGCATGTCATGCACACCGCACTGTTGCAGAGGACCTGCGTGCACTTTTTAACAAGACCGGATCGCAGTTCCATCTCCTAACACAAGTGATGGGCGCTGCTGGAAGCGCGCTACTCTAACTGTACGGGTGAACGATGTAGGGTGCTTGGATATCCCATGCAGCGGATGTGCATACCTGACATACAGAGGCCGCTCCAGGACGATGGTGGGCATGTAGGAGGCGGCTGCATAGCCGGGCAGGATGGTCCACAGGAAGAGCACCGCCGTGATGTTGTTCACATTGGAGGGCGCCTGGTTTGCTCCCACCTGCGCAGCACACAGGGCATGCATTTGCTCAGTCCAGAAACCACCCAGAAGCCAACGTCAAAGCAAACTCCTTGACAGAGGGACCATGCGGCTGTGACAATGCCTGCGCACTCAATTTTGCATGGGACACAGCTTGCAGACTATGGCGTGAAGTTTATATACATTTGAAGAAATCAGGATGACCTGCATGCATTTGTTGAACGGCAGCACCGCAAAGACAGCTTGGGGACGGCAACACATTGCACAGATGAGATTGAGGCAATCAAGATGTGAAATTCAAATTGGGTGTCAGGGAGGGGGGGCCTACATTCCAGTAAAGGCTCATGATGATGAGCGCGAGCACAAACTTGTCCATGATGCGGGGGCCCAGGAAGTTGAGGTCCACTATGTCTCGCCCCATGCGGTACTGCACGCAGCGCCACACAGTCAGCGCACGCTATATAATACAATTCATGCATGGGCACAGGCAAAATATCGGTCTACTGCATCCAGTGATGTGACACTGTGGCTGAGTGCTCAACAAGCTCCTTACAACCAGAATCTGAAACCCTGCACGCCCAAAGTAATGCTTGTGCACGCGGGTCAGGCTCAAAGCCCTAGTGCAAGATGACACACAGGCACTTGCTGCAAAGGTGATTGGCGCGCGCACACTGAGCGCACCCTCAGAAGGCGTACACGGTATTTAAGATTGCTTAGGGCAGCTGAACAATTGGGTGCTACGTCTGGCAGCTATTACACTCCCCACTAGGCAAGACGGCATCCTGACGCAGGCGCAAGGAAGGCAAACATCGGAGGTTTTGAGGTTTTGGTTGAGATTCTGTCCCGGGGGAGGGAAGTGTTCGGCGTGCGCACCCTGAGAAGGGTGTATACGCCGTAGTACCAGGGGTTGGCGGTCTCGGCCTTGGTGCCCAGTTCGCGCAGCATTTCAGGGGAGAGCTCCCCGGTCTCACTCATGTGCGCCGAGAGCGCGCGCGCATTGACCCGCTTCAAATCGCTGCCCTGGTACTTCTCTGCAAATACCTCGTGCCGTTCTCCTCGGTCCGCCTGCATGCGCATTTCTGTTTGTCAAGACGCCTTTGCTCAGTTTCTCAATTGAGCAGTGCAGTGCCTGCCAAGAAGCTGAGCGGCTGATGATGGGCAAGGTGTCACGTGAGGTCCACAATCGCTGTCCAGGCCAAAGGCTCAACACGCATGTCATGAGTCCAAGTTACATTCAAGTCATCTGCACGACGCAAGTTGGCCGGCCGCCGACAGCATTATGCACAAATCTCTGCGACGATGCACTCTACCTAACAGCAAAGGAGCCCATTGAGGCAAGCGCTGAACATTGCCAAGACTGAGGACTGTCACAGGACTCACGTCATCAATATTTGTTCTGAGAAAGAAATCGATAGATTGGGCCAGAAAGGCATGCATGCAAGTGTGCAGTGTGCATGCATCAGGTTTAAGCAAGGTCACACCGTGGTAGTCAGGTCCACGATCCACTCAGCCTTGTTGTGCATTGTCTCCGGATGCCCAGCGCCGGAGCCGAACTTGATGACCTCCGGGAAGGCATTCTCAAAGTAGTTGATGGCCGCGAGACCTGCATGCAAGACACAACATGACATCTTATATCAGCATGCGGGGGCGATGTAATTTTTGAGCACCATGCCCGAACTTGATTGGATCTTGCTTGGATCTGGCGAGTCCAGCAAGAGGTAGGATTGTGGCAGCCTAAAACTGCAGCTTGTCTGCACGATGTACATTGCCTTTTGGCAGGAACAACGTGTAATAATAGTAATGATAATATCAGCATGCAGATCCCTAAATAATCTTCTGATGACCAGCATGTCCCAAAGGCTGGTGGGCATAAATGAATACTCTGCAACCCTCAGGAAGGTGCCAGGACTGTCTTCGAGTATCCCTGCCTTGCATGTGACACACCAGGTTGCCTCATCTGACGCCCTTTAAATTTATAGGGGGGGGAAGTTAAGGGCAATCTCAGGGGATTTTTTCTAAGATTTTAGTATATATATTCCCATTGATATAATCCCATTGACCCTAAGCTGCCAGCCTGACCCGCTGAACATATAAGCACCTGGTAGGAAACGCAGGGTGCAAAGACAGGCCTGGCATGGTCATGGGCCACGCAGTTTTTTCAAATATTGAGAGACAGGACATAAATGGTAACTAAGTGCCACTGGGGAGAATGTGCGTCGTCAATATGAGAGATTTGGGCTCGCACCGTTCTCGCCAAAGTAGACGACGTGGCCGCGCAGCAGGATCATGAGGGTGTCGAACAGGTTGAAGCAGTAGGGCGTGGGGGAATGAATCGTTGCGCAGATGGTGATGCCGTTCTTGACCAGGCCCTTCACCACTGTCATCACCTGTCCAGGCATGCATGCATGTTTCACACATGCATGCTACTAATGCAATTTCCTATACCTTGATTTGAATCCTCTCATATCCATCTGACACTTCACGAGCTGACACATGCATGGTCCAGATGGCAGCTAGATACCTGACACTCGACAAGCTGAAAATTTGTGTCTCAGGTCTCCTTTGCACTTCCCCCCCTTCCAATTGACACTCAATGAGCTGACACATGCATGGTCCAGCTGTCAGTGGCAACGTTTTAACTCCCATTTTACACTGGAGACTATCACATGCACTATCCAGCTGGCAGTAGCACCCGTTCAACTTCTATTTGACATTGGAGAGTCTGACAACATGCTTCTCCAATGCAACAGAAGAGGTGCAGCGGGAAAGGACATGGGAGCGTGAGAGATGGAGCACCTCGTTGGCAGTGTAGGAGTCCAGGCCTGAGGTGGGCTCGTCCAGGAACAGCACTCGCGGGTCGGACACCAATGCAATTCCAATGTTGGTCCGCTTGGCCTGGCCGCCTGCGAGCGCAAAATGATTCAGTCCTGAGACACAGTCATCTGGGCCCATACGTTAGAGTTTCAACCAATGTCGGGAAGGGTTAGGGCCTTTGGGAGTTTGTGTGTAGGGAAGGGGCCTTTATAGTAATAATTTTCACGGGGATGCGATGGTAGATGAGGGTTTAAAAGCTATATTACCCTTGCAGGGGGTATGACACTTGCAGTTGTAACTTTGAGGTCAGGGCATCTGGGCAGCAAACGCCGCTTAACTGCTCTGGTGATGCAGCCGCCACATGCAGATATTTGCAGCATGCTTGCAACCCGGCATGCTTGCAGGCAGGAGACATTCAAGACAAAATATTGCCCCCTATGTCAAACGTACCGTACCATGCCTTTCCTGTGTCGTGCAACAGGCACGCTGCCAGACAGGTAAATCGGCATTAAACAATTAGAGTGGTCCACATGTAGGCGCTTGTCGAAAGAATTCCTAGCATACACTCTGAATTATCTGTGAATTCGCTGTTGCTTTGAGATCCTCAGCCCCTCATTTTGCAGCTTGATTTGGATTTGGGCAGGCCATATTTGTTTGGCTCCATTTTCTCAGGTGCTCCTCTAGATTGGGCGGACTAAAGACGCTGCAATTTGTGGATGTGGTACCTGAGATTCCGCGCGTGAGTGCTGAGCCGATGCGCGTGTCCCGGCAGGTGTTGAGCGCCAGCTGGTCGATCACCTTCTGCACCTTTTTGCACTTGTCCAAGAATTTCATGCGCATGTCCAGTTTCAGCTCCGCAGTGTACAGCAGCATCTCAAACACCGTCAGGTTTTCGATCAGCGCGTCTGCGCACACCAAACTCATCCCCTCAGCACTGGCACTCACAAAGGACCCTGGGGTCTGTTACTGGTACTTCTGGCACGCATGCATCTGCATGCATCAAGTCCACTTCAGAGCAGCCTAAAGCTAGATGGCGACGATCAATGACATCTGCAGAAGGTCTGTGCGCTGCAATTGTGGGGCAGTAAATCGTTTGGAGTGACATGCTGTGCATGACATCAGCTGGCAATGCTGTGAGCACGGTGGGCCCGAGAAAGGGGTCTCACCAAACTGCTCCACATAGCCGGTATATCTGCGTAGGAAGGTACGCGATGCTCGCTGCCCGGCGAAAAGGACCTGGCCGCTGATGGTTCCCACCGTCTTCCTCCCAGCCAACACATCTGCAGGGCACATGCACAAGTGTGACGGGGCGGCATTTGGGTCTCACTCAATCACTCAAAGATCATGCTGGGATGAAACGATGCCTCAACTAAAGTGAAGTGTACGCACCGAGCAACGTGGTCTTGCTGCTGCCACTGGGTCCCATCTGGAGCAGCCATAAAATCCTCGTCAACCTTGAATTTATGTTCTCAGCAAGTCTGCAGATGTACTGAAAGGCGACATGCTGGGATGAGTTCCAGATTCAGGCAGCTTACCAGTGCTGTAAGATTAGCAGGAAGCAGGAAGCCAGATACTTTGTGTAGGAGAGTGATGCAGTCACCCCTCTTTGAGTTGCTTCTCACCCTGTAGTTCAGGTCCTGCAAAGAACACGCAGGTATAACTCAGTCTCATGGGCCACGGGCATAAAGAATTGCAGAAGCATTGATGAGAGATTATTCCCGCAAATAAACGGTCGTACTGCGACTTTTAATTTCAAGGCTGAGAGGGCTCTTGTTTACATGAGTATATAACAAGATGCACAGCGCAAGAAAGAAGGGCAGGAATACGTCCATGGCATTTATTATCAAATGAAACTCAATAGTACATGCCTCGTTGCTCACAAGGGGTGGCTGGACGTCTGTCACGTCCCTTATGGGCCAGCTCTCTCAGGGTCGTTTGTCATTGCACGACGAGGCCCGCACCTTGAATGTGACCTTCATCCCACCATTCAGGGGCCCCGCTCCGCAGTAGTCATCAAGAGCACTTTTGACAATGTCTCCATCGTACGTCAGCCGTGGGTGGTGGCCTCCCCGATAAGGGGTTCCCACCGGCCTGGTCTGGCTCTCAACGTCTATTGAAATTATCGGCCTGGGCGAAGAGCCCGGCTTGGATGGTGTAGCGGGCATGGCGCCCCTATCTATCGCCTACAGAGCGTGGGCATGCGCAGGACCTCTGCGTGAAGTGCTTGTTTCAATGGAGCCCAGTGTCCCTTTTTGAACTTGTGACTACTGAGTTGTTCTGTTGGTGGTCTTATTGGTGTCTCTGCTTCTCAACCTACCGAATTAGCCCTACTTTATATTCATGGACCTGCAACTGTCCTTTCTGGTTTCAAGATATATTGACCCGAAGACTCTGTCCAGTGATCAGTCATAAGTTGTGACTCACAACCCACCCTGTGCCAGCGTGCCTTCCCGCCACGTCACCAATCTGTCCTGCTTCAAATTTGGTTTCCTCAGGAAGACCGTGCTTGCCAATAGAAGAGTAAATTTCTTAAATCTAGACTGATGTTGTCGTTCTTTCAGCTTCAGGCGCCAAAAGCGCCTTTACGGGCCCACTTTTATCCACTCGTATAGTACAAGATGTTGATGTAGTGCACTGCCAGAACTTAATCATTGAATTGAGCAAGACTTTGACTAAAGCCCATCTGTATCACATCAATTGAAGAGGATAGCGCTGGCATGATGAAGATATTTGGTCTTCTATTTGTAGCTGTCGTAATCCTTGTACATGAAACCAGCGCTGGAAAGATCATTGCTGTGCCCCTTTGCGGCGCTCCTTCACATGTGTTCATCATGTGGAAAGTATGCCGCGAGTTGACAGCGAGAGGAGATTCCGTTTTGGTGACACCTTGGACCACTCGTGTGTGAATTCTGTGCATTTTTGGCCATGTTTGACCCAGACTGCCCTGCAATGTGGTCAAGACATTGTTTTTCAATCTGGAGCCCTGAGCCTTTTGAAGGGGGGATTCAGGCGTGAGGATCTCCATAGCCAGAACCCACAGCCGATGAGCAATGCTTCTGTACCAGGTGGTGGCAGCACAGAGCGACGCTGACGCATTTGCAAAGCTGGATTGGAGCGGCATGGAGATTGAGACGTACACTGCAGCCTACAACCAGAGCGACTGGAGGGACCAGGCTCGCAAGGCTCGATTCAAAGACCCCATCCAGGGGGGTCTTGAGGCCGTGCGCATGTGGGGGCAGCAATGTGACCTGCTCCTCTCCGACAAGCCCCTCATTGGGCGGCTCAAGGCATGTCCTGCTTCCTTTTCCATGTTCACGTATTCGGATTCACTTCCCCTCAGGAAACCTTGCATTACATGCATTTGCCGAGTGCAAATTTCAGCTCCTTGTTGGGAGTCCTTCCTCCCTTTTGGCTGGGGACTACTGATATGCTGAGCAGACACTGCAGCAAGGCATGGCCTTGCATGCATCTATCTGCCAAAAACCAATTTGACGCCGCAATCTGCAGAAATCAAGTCGATGCGGCAATCAGCGAGGCCCAATGCTTGGTGTGACAATGATCAACATGCAGTATCCTGGTCACACTGCAGGAGTTTGGAGCGGATGTGCTATTTGGCGACTGGGCATACTACTGTACGCCGGCGCTGTCGGAGATGCTGAAGCTTCCCAGGGTGACCGTGTCGAACATTCCCATTCTGGACCCTGTCCACACCACGTGGGACCGCTCCACCGGCCGCCGCATGCATGCATCCAACATGCTCGCTTACACCCCCCAGGTCCACCCCAAATCTGACCCCCTCTACCACTTTCCGTTCTTATTTACTCGCATGCACATCAGACGGGTGGAAGCTCGTGGCATGTTCTTAATCCAGGCTGTCTGGCTGTCAGAGCAGCCTTGAGTAGTGGAGGCACGAGATGTATCAATGATATCGAGTATTGCAGCGGCAAGGGAGCCCAGCAAAAAAAATTAGAGCTCGGCATCATGCGAGGAATATGAATTTGATAAATGGAGGAGACTGGACTCTTGTGGATACTGGGTGATCTGCCCTGCGCAGGTGGGCACGGGCTTCCCCAGTGCCATGAGCTTTGCGCAGCGCGTGGAGAATGTAATTACCTATGCGGTGGCCAGCCTCATTGACTGGGTCGCCTTTCACAGGTGCGATTCGCCCCAGTCACAGGGTCTCAAGACCCCCTTCTCGAATTCAGTGCATTTCAAGTTTCAAGAAAGGCCTTCATCCGAACCGGGACCCACATCTTACGAGCTCCTCAAGGAATCCTTGGCAGCATGCTGTACAGCACTCGCACAGCAGAACAGACCCCGCCAATCAATTTTTGATATTAGCAAGTGCCGAGTCTTATCCACAGGGTTCCATCAGCAGCCATCACTTGTCATTTTTGTGGTTTCAAAAAGGAGATCTGAGCATGGCGCGCAGGATGATCTACAAGCCGATGGGCGCGAGGCACGGCATCGATCTGGGCACGCCCGAGGCGCTGAGCCGCGGTGTCATGCACCTCTTCAACGTGGATTTTGCGCTGGAGTTTCCCCGGAAGCTTCCCCCCAACGTCAAGCTCGTCGGCCCACTCATGCCCGAGCCGCCCAAACCGCTGCCTGCTGATCTGGAGGTGATTGAGCATCCCTGTCTTCCAGGCGCTTTAAGCCAGCATCAATTGGGTGGGCACAAGACTTCCGAGGCGACTTGGAGCACATTTTTGAAGAGACAGGCCAGGCCAGAGAGCTCGCAAAACCATGAAGCTTGCATGCTGTGGTTGGGGGGATCCACCTCAATGCTGCTAATGTGCTCAGCGCAGTTCTCCTACATCCTCGGGATGTTGTAGTCCAGAACTGAGCCTCTATCTCATATGCAGATCTAGTGCACAATTGCTGGTCCCTGCCCATGTTATTATCCGGGAAGCCTTAATGATCCTCCTCTGACCTTGTCATGCGGACGGTGCCTTGTGTGCGCGCAGGAGTTTGTGGGCGGCAGCGCGGAGGCGGGGGCGGTGTATGTGTCGCTGGGGACGGTGTGCTCCATCGGGGCGCAAGAGTTCCGCGAGCTGGCCGCCGCGCTGTCCGCTCTCCCGTCGCGCGTCATCTGGAAGGTTGGCGCGGACGACCTGCCCCAGGGTGTCTCCCTGGCATCCCTGGGCCTCGCTGACAATGTGAAGGTGTGGAGTCCTCTTCTTGTCTCACCAATATGCGGCTCTGCCTCTTGATTGCAGTCAAGAAGCGCATAAGCTGCCTCATAGTCCCCCTGCTGGTCCAAATAAATTCGTTGGACTCCGACCCTGTATTGACCTCTAGCCGGGGCTGTCTGGTATGTGACAATCAGCAAGTGCCAGGAATGCGAGTAGCCTCGTTGGCAGTGAAGGGAATGGTCAGAACCAAAGCAGTTGTGCTGTCCTGCGAGCAAAATATCCATGTAACCAGGAGGGTCAGGATGCTGAAGAAGTCCAAATTGCCCAGGTGGTGCAGTGGGCGCCGCAGAACGATGTGCTGGGCCACTCCAAGATGAGGGCGTTTCTGACGCACGGCGGAGTGAACGGTCTGTATGAGGTGCGCACACAATCTCTCAGTCAGCCTCCACCATTCAAACATACTACTTGGACATAAGATTTGCCAATCTTAGTGGTTCCACAAACCAGGGGCCGATGCCCATATACAACACACAATTCCAATCTTTCACTGTTAACAAGGAGCACGGCAGAGAGCAGCGCCTATGCTCTGACTGCAGGCGGCGTACCACGGAGTTCCCATAGCAGGCATCCCCTTAATAGCGGACCAGAAGGACAATGTGGCAAAGGCGGTGCACCGCGGGTTCGGGCTGGCCGTGGATCCGCACGGCTGCCTGACGGCTGCGCGCATCGGCGGCGCGCTGCGGCGGCTGCTGGCCGAGCCGGGCTTCCGCGCTGCTGCCGCGAAGCTGTCCCGGCGGCTGCGCAGCCGGCCGCGCACTCCCGCGCAGGAAGCTGCAGGTGCCGTCACATGAACACCCCTGTATCAGTATTCTTTTGCTTGGAATTCACTGGGACCCCAAGGTGCCAGCTTGACCTGCCAAGTATGAAAGCACCTGGTAGGAAAGGCAGGATGCAAAACTTGACTGGTTTTCTTAACCATTAGAAGTGTGCTGTTGCTATCTTGAATGGCCCTTTGACTGGCCAGCCTTGATGTTGACGACTGTTTGTGCACTTGTTAGGCCATCCTTTTGTCAGAACAAGTCTCTCGACTGTGCTTTTGCCTTCTTATATACAGCCCGTTTGAGAACACGCTTTTGGCTGATGAAAGATTTGATTGCTGTGCAGATTGGGTGCAACATGTAATCGACACAGAGGGCGAGCCTTACCTCCAGACTCCTGAGGACACAATCCCCTTGGCAAGTCTGCTGCTGCTGGATGTCTTCGCATTTTTCACTGTGGCAACGCTGGCACCACTTGGCATCGCTTGGGCTGTCGGCAGCCGGCTGCTGGCCGCCAGGAGAGCGCCAAAGGCCAAAGCAGCATGAATCCATCACTTAACACTGGCAGCTTGGCTGGTATGACTGAAACCGTTTGGATCGATTAGCAGCTTCTTTTCCACAAGACAGTGACCAGGAACAGGTATTCTGGTCCAAAAAGCAAGCACAATACTTGTGCATTGCAACTGTGATGTGCTATGGGTGTGTACCCATGTCTTATGAAAATGCACATGCAGTTTTGTTGGAGATGTTTCTCGTCTGCTTGCCAAATTCATGAAAAATTTATTTTGTGCTTGACAGTACTGTCACTAGTGAATTGTAATTGCTAAAGTGCACTTGAGCAGAAAGCCAGATACGGCAGTTGAAAAAGATATCCAATCACCAGAGGAATAAAGACATGTTGTGGTCAGCACAAAATGGAGTTACATTTGAGAAATGTCAACATGGCGCAAGTGAAGGTGCAAAGACATATCAATGGTAAGACAGGCCAAATAACTGCATGCAGCACACCCTCATCTCCATCTGGCATGTGCATCTGCTTTAATCTGTCCTGCTAAACAAAATAATTCCAAACGCCCTCCCAAGCTGCTGTTAAAAGTCCACACCTATCTACAGCCTACTGAGCAGGGAGTCCTGACTGCTGCAAGTACCCAGGAGGTTCGCCATGGGATCATCTATTCCCTTTCATCACGAACCCCAATCCAAGCTAATGCCCACGCTTGTCTAACGCGAGCGCACTTGCGTCACTTAGTCTCTCCAATTGCCTTGATAGAATGAGTGAAAGCTGTACTTCCCTAGGCACGCTACCGCCGACCAAACCGCTCCTGCCAATCTTGTCACCTCCTTGCGGCGCAGACAGCTACACTGCCGCTTCGGTCTGAAAATCCATTTTTATGGGTCATCTTGAACTTTTTCTGACTGTCTGTCATGTCTAATGACCACCGGCTGTACGCAGCAGAGCAGCTCAGAGGGCCGTTCTGGAAGCTCCCAGCGTACTCCTGACCAGCAGCCGCCGCGCAGCTGCCGCGCAGCTATCGGTTGTTCTTTTCCCCACCCCGTTCAGCCCCTGAAGGGTTGCGCGGTGCCCTGCGCCGGGCGCCGTGTCGTGGCAGTGATGTTGAAGACCGGCCGTGTGCTGCTGCCCTGCTGGCCAGCGGCCTTGCCCTTTGCAGATCCGCTGTCTGCTGCGCCGCCCAGGCCCACTCCCGGCGCCGCCGGTGCCGTCGCTTGAAGCTCCTGCAGTGAGCAGCCGACACAGAATCACCACCAAGCACAAGGGCCAGAGAAGATAATGGTGTAACGTCTGTGCATGCATACTATTGCTGCACTGCACTTCACCCCGTCTAGAATCGAGCAGGCAGTGATTACATGCACTCAACCCCTGATCTTGTCGGATCAGCCTCTGCGTCCTAAGGAACCTGCCTGGGTGCAGACTGAGACGCCATTCCAACAGGTCTCCACACATCAAAAGCTGCTGAGATTGAAGAGTCACATGAAGCAATAAGAGGCAAATGCACAGCAGGGAGGCTGGCAGGGCACCTTGGTAGGACTAGATGACGCCGCTGGGACTTCACTATGCTGAAAAAAGTGAGGTAGATTGAAACCGGGTGAGTTTGAGGGAGCAGGCACCTGGGCGCGGTGGTGGAAGTGCATGTGGAGCCCCCCGTCGACAGCGAGCGTGAAGGAACTGATCTGCTTCTCCAGCACGCCCGCCACGCCGCCCATCTCCGGCGCCAGCTCCAGCCGGAACCGCCCACAAATCGTTGCCAGCATCACCCGCACCTGCATCCAATAGCCACTCAGAAATGGGTATAGATCTTATGGTGCTCCTCAGCATGTAAAGAGGACGGAAATGCAGTCGATAGACTAGCTGGAATTCATGCCGACATGATTCCACAACAGGGGCTTGTTTATCAGATTCTGTCGGACGAGTTTAGTCAGCTCTTCATTGCATGGAAGCTTGAAGCATGACACAGAGCCTGTGCGTGTCTGCATGCGCAGGTGAGGTGGAATAGCACACTGCTACCTTAGGAGCTCCGCCCCGATCAGACATGCCGGCAAGACAAGAAGGGCCACCAATTGCTGCAGCAGGCGACGAGCACAGAGATTGGTGGCCAGTGCTGCAGCCCCTATTCTCTCTTCCTATCAACCAGTGGTCGTCTTGAGAAGTGTTTGTAGAAGGGGCATTCTGGGCTTCAATTTTCACGGTGAATTGATATTCAGGCCAGGGCTGTCGCACCTCCATCATGCCCATGCGCTGGCCAAGGCAGTCGCGCGGACCAGCGCTGAAGGGAATGTACGGGTTGGTCAGCGAATCCCCCGAGTGAGGGTCGTTAACCACCAATTTAGTCCTCTTCTTCCCAGTATCCTGCCTCCCCACCTCCGCATCTGCACAGAAACTCATGACTTTACGCATCCCTGCTATTCGTTTCTTCGTTTGACCAGAGACTCAAGACAGAAGAAGGAACAGAATTGCTAACATGACTGCCTTGTGCATGGCCCTGATGTCAGCTCCTGAGAACACCCAAACAGCCTTGAAATTGTGAGTGCGCGCTGGTACAAATCTGAACTTCCCATCTCAGGAGCCTTATCAGAAGAAAGGTGTCTGTAGAGAAAAACACCTGCAGGGCTGCTGCTGCCAGCATCTGTGCCGCTGTGCGCACGCTCTGCTAGCTGCCTGCCGCTCTCGCCTGCAATGCATGCATGCTTTTTCGAAAGCGACACACATAATATGCCATCTGGCTGCCATGCATTTGGGGAGGTGGTATTTTTGTGTGCTGGACTCCTCAGATGCCATTTCAACTGGTTGTCAGCGCATGTCGGCTCACCTCCGGGCGAGCTCCACTCTGGTGACTCAGCACCGCCCTTGTCATATGGGCAAGCCTCTGCCGCCGTTGAGCCTGCACCAAAGAGCAGTACGCACTCAACACTTTGCGCTGATATGTGTCTACCTCATTTCCAAATGTCTTGTCCCTGGCATCTGCCTGAGCCCCTGTGGAGCATTTCCTAGTAAGCTGGCTGCACAGGGCGTGAGGGGGCTGCTGCTGCTTCCTAGGCCATGGTTGCCTTCAGACTTTCCATTCCAGCACCGTGAAACACCAGGGACCAAGGAAAAAGGATGCCTGAGTCAGGAAGTTAGCGGTGCAAGTATAACATCTTTGCCTGCTGGAGCATAGACCCGTTGCCCACAGTCTTACCCTTGAAAGAAAACGCGCTGATTGAGAAGCACTGGCAGAGCATCATCTCAGGATGTAGGCTGCCTTCCTTTCCAGGCTTGCGCCTACAATTGCATCACGGACGGTTTGTATTTGAAATTTGGATATGCGCACCTCCCTCTTCCACAGTGGTCAGCCAGCGGTCGGGCTTGAAGGTGTCGGGGTCTGGGAAGTTCCAGGGGACGTTGTGCATGGTGTACAGGCACACAGCCACCTCGGTCCCCTTGGGAATTAGGTAACCGCCCAGCTCCACGTCGCGGTCCGCATAGCGTCCGATGCCGGAGCCGCCAACCGGGAACATGCGCATGCTCTCCCGGATCACCTGCGCGCACATGCCGGCACCTGCCTCAGCATGCCATTCCAGAGAAAAGAAGTCAAATATAGCCAAAATTACTGCTGGTAAACCCTGAGGCGAATGTCGATAGCGGCCCAAAGCCCAATTGTGCCGGCTTATACCAGACCGGAAAGGGTTGAAGTTTCTGCTGGGTGCGATGCAGGCTAACGGCGCATGCCGGTGCATCACGATGCAAAAGGCCAGGAAGCTCTGGAAAAAAATAACCACCGCATGCAGGGAAACTCAGCAAGGGCTCAGATCCCACTCAAAAATGGCCTGCGAGCCCTGCGCTCAGCAGAACTGGGAGTCTCACCGCTTCGAGGACGACTAGGTCCTTCAGGTCGTCCTGCTTCAGCTCGCGAGGCTCTGGCCGCGCTGCGGTCAGCAGGAGCCCGGCCTCGTCCAATTCCGCGATCACCCTCTCCTGCACGCCCGGGTACGCCGATATACAGAACCTGCACACGCGCACCAAAGCTCAGGCGCTGCACGGTCCAACAGAGCATTGGAGAAGCCCAAAGCAGCATTGCTGAGATTACTGTGTGCTTTTCAGAACTGATTGCAGATCCAGAGAGCAGCCACTTGTGCATTGGCTGCAGCGAGCCTGCATGAGTGCAGATGAGCAAAGGGCTCCCAGGCTGCTATGATGCAGGCCATAATTGGGTTCTGGACACAGCAGAAGAAGGCACAAAGAGGTTTCTCCGTAATTGCACCAAAGGGAGGCTAAAACTCACAGCGCCCAGGAGACAGCGTGCGCGGTGGTGTCCATGCCAGCCACGACGACTCCTGCCGCGTGCGCCATTAGCTTCTCCTTGCACCACAGCTTGCCTGCGCGTGCATAATTATTATATATATTACACGCTTTTCCTGCCAAGAGACAAGGATCGTCCTGCAGACAGACTGCAGCTAAAGGCTGCCACAATCCTACCCCTTGTTGGACTCGCCAGATCCAAGCAAGACCCAATCAACATTGGGCACGGTGCGCGTACATACCGCCATGTAAATCAGCACCGCCTTTCTCTCAGCTCATACTGAACCTGGGAGGCAGACTTTGCTCTTGATGTCCCTTTCTTCTGTCCATGGTGACACCCACCCACTGCAAGGCGCAGGGCCTTGCGCTCCTGTATTTGCACCAGCTAGCACTGCAGGGCCAACCTGGCATGCATGGTGGCTCCAGGAATTAAGAAGACAAGCCTGTGTGCAGGCAGAAAAGTTGCATGACAACTCAACAATGTGCAGGCGATGCCTTCAGCGAGCATCAACCTGGCTGCACGCTGCGCACCTGTGGATTTTTCGGTCTGCAGCCCGATGCTGGCGAGGAAGGAGGGGTCCTTCTGGTCGTAGGGGCCCTTGGCGCGGATGGTGTCGCAGATGCGTCCCCATGCCGCGTAGAGGCGGTCGTGGTACCCCTTGTTCTTTTTCGCGCTCGGCAGCCATGGCATCGCCCAGAACAGCAGCCGCCGCCATGGCATCGTCACCCGCCTGCGCAATCGCAACACTGATCACTGCAGCGCCCACTCAACACAGTGCAATTCAGTACAGAAAGACAGGTTGACATCATTAGCGCTGATTGGTGGGCTGCGAATCCACTCCGTTGAGCAGATTGTTTTACTTTTGAGTTTGGTAGCCCTGCAGATGGCTTGGCCCTTCCCGTAGGGATAGGGCAGTGAGGTGCCAAGGCCTGCAAATCTGCTCTGCCCAAGGAGCGGGCTGGGTGCAAGCACCTACCCCAGAGAGATCGATTGATACAGTAAGGCCACTGCAAGTTTTAGCCTCCCTGGGCTGAGGAGCTGGCTGTAGGCATAGCCGGTCTTGTGTGTCTCCTCCAGACGGCGGCAACTTGTATATGCTCTTGACAACTGGATTTGTGGGGGATGGCTCGTTGGTGCAACGGAGGTGCCCACCTGAAGATCTCCTCGAAGCAGTAGTGCAGGCTGTCCAGGATCTCACACTCCTGGAAGTCCACGGAGTTTGTGTCCAAGCCAAAACCCGCGATCATGATGATGTCCAGTGACAGCCGCTGCATGGCATTCTGCGCTTCCACTGACTTGGAACCCATTCGCTCCAGGCTCTTGCACAGCTCCAGAGTGCGGCTCAGGGTGATGGGAAAGTATGTCCTGCGACAGAGGAAGCCTTTAAGAGAAGCCACCGTAGATTGTATGTCAGCGTACGCTGCACGCGTGCATGCATGATGAATTTAAAAGCGTTGCATGTCCTTCCAACGGCAGAGCGAGTATTATATGATGATGGAAGATGGGACAAGAATGGTGCCAAGGAGTGGACACCTGATGCGCTCCATGCTCATGGACTTGGAGAAGGCCTTTCGCACTTCCTTCCACTCCTCATCGTTGTTGTGCTGGAGCACTGTGAAGAGGTTGTCGTGGCCATATGGATTGAACAGCTGCATGCACAGTACCTTTCTGAATCTACTTTCACACACACTAAGGTAAATGTGTTTTTTCTGATTCTTGACAAGGTCAGATTTTCCTGCAGTACAACTGGCCTGGCAATATGGTGAAAGTGAATAGGATGTATCTATTGTTCTGCAGATTGAGAGGCAACATGGACTCACCGTGCGGGTGAGCTGGTAAATGGATGTCTTTGGCAATCCCGGGCGCCCCAAGATGGCAGGGACCAGCTTAGGATCGCTTACTACAACGAAGTTTTTGCCTGGAATCCGAAACCTGTGAGCCAAACGCAGCGAGCGTTTGTCAGTAATACTTTCCTTATGGGAACATGTCCCGTATGGTTCCTGAACTACTTGTCGTCGGCCATACGCACACAAGCTCACAAGATCTGTCCGTAAGTCGCATGACTGAACACGACTGCCTGGGGAGGCCTGCGCCCCCTACGGTACTGAGGCAGCCTTGCAGGTACGAGACTATCTGATAAGTGCAGCTGACGCAACTCTACGTCTATCTGCTCTTGCATCAATGCGACGCCCGCGCCTCTTAGCATTTGGTACACTTTCAGCACCTACAATCCACAGCCCGTCCATCTTGAAGTATAGCGAACGGCAGCGAGTACGTACTTGTAGATTGGGCCATGTGCTAGGGCCAGACGAGTCCATAACTTGTTGATCTGCGGCCTCGGACCCATGTAAACCCTGTGCAAGCTGCGAAGCAGGGGCAGTTCTTTGGGTCCAGGCAGGTCCTCATATCTCTTCAGCCCTGCACAGCCATGCTTGGCTTCAGGCAGTGCTCAGTTGCACAACTCGCAGAAGTGTTTACAGAAGCTCTGATAATTGGAGCAACATCAACACAGCCTTCGCTGACCTTCTCTTGAGGGCTGTTTCCCAAGCAACTTCCACAGGGTGTAAGCCAACACAGCTGCTGATATCTGCACTATGAGCCAGCCGAAGCTAGCTGCCGCAGGTATGGAAACATTTTCGACTTCCATGCTCCACTCTGAGCGAGACTCACTGCCTCGAAAGGAGCAGCCCAGTGCCAGGCTCAGAGAGATTTTGCAGGAGATTCCCTTGGTTTAAGCATACTTCACAACATTTGCCAATCAGAGCTTTCTCTGAAGCAATCTGTAGATGTGTTGGTCGAGCATTTTCCATGCAAAGAGTGTGCCTCGGCAACTGTAATGTTTAACTTTGAATCTTGTGCACTTTTCGGAGCTCGCTGCCGTGATTGTGGCCTGCCGTGCGCATGATGATGGCTTTGCCACCCCCATTCATCATCGTCTTGAGTATCACGAAACATCGTGAATAGAAGGCTGCAGGCAGCTGCTTCACAACTGACTTTTTACATCCGTATTCATTGTCCTCTTACCCAGCGTTTGTGCTGATGATGTAGTGGGGAGATGTTTCCACTTTAGAAAGGATGGCAGCAAAAGATTTTGCTTCCTTCCAGTCAATGCCTCGAGGCGTGGAGCCTACAGAACGACAATTCCATCGAATAACCAGTACGAAGCAACAACCTCTGCATATGGCCATCCATGTAGGAGAAAGCTATAGTACAAGATGGACTCTTCTTTCACGAAAAATCCCAGTTCTTTCAGCAGCACTGCATTAAAGCTGAAAACAGACTTCGCTCTTGAAATGACTGCCTGCCTCACTGCACTGCTGTTGGCTGCTATACCGTCAAGGCCGCCATACCATCTGCAACAGCCTCTGCAGCAGAATTGGACACCTGCAATTCAGCCACACAGCAGTTAAGATCGTGGTTGCCATTACACGCCACACAGACAAATTGAAAGAATTTCAAACGTGAGGGGGCGTGGATTCCTGCATCTCCTCTGTGTCAGATCCTCAAATCACAGGCACAGAACAACCGTGTTTAAGCAGCATCAGAACAGCACCGGTGCAATAGCTGAGACAGCAGCAGTGGCCGATGCAGACGGCTTCTGATCCTCGGGCTTCATGGCTGGGAACAACAGCACCTGCGGACACCATTTTGCTTCGGTCCAAAATTCGGCGCCCATTATACCATGCTATGTGCCCAACCCATGACCCAACACACACATTGCCAACCTGCAAGTGTCTACTGTTGCACTCAGCGACTTGCAAGTGCACACAAAATTGGGCAGCCATCTGTGACGCAAATGCTCCTGCGAATTCATAGCCACTGCATAATGTGATGAACCCTCGCAAGCTGTACAACTTGCGTGAGGCAGGACAGAGCCACACCTCTTTAATGTTGAGGGTGTCTGTGAGCAGCATGGTTAGCCGGTCGATGCCCATCCCCCATCCGCCAGTGGGCGGCAGGCCATATTCCAGCGATGTGCAGAAGTTCTCGTCCACATACATCGCTTCGTCATCCCCGCCAGCCTTTGCCTGACATGCCAAACACCGCATTTTACACCCTCGACCAACCCGCTTCAATGGAAGTCATGTGACCATTACTCCTTTTGCAGGGCTGCAACGTTCTGGGCAGGCCACAACTGTAGATTAGGTGTCGCACGGCAGTGCAATTCTGCAACGGTAAGAGCACATGCAGTGAGCAGTCAGGCTTTTGTACAACATTTCCCTGGCTCAAGGGGTAGGTCACAGGATTTATAAATACCTGGGCCTGCTGCTGGAAGCGCTCGCGTTGCACAATGGGGTCGTTGAGCTCTGTGTAGGCATTGGCCAGCTCCCGATAGTTCACAAACAGCTCAAACCGCTCCGTCAAACCCGGCTCCGACCGATGCCTGGAGAATGTTCACATGAGTGTTCAGCTTTGCCCTCAACCCCACAGAAATGCCTTCCACGACCAACTTGCACCTGAATAAGGAAGCACAGCTTCTTGTACGAGATATTTACTGACGTGAACAACCATGCGACCTGGACAGGCCTGAACATGCACTTCTGCAGATGATTACTAAGGGGGAAAGCAGGCAAGCGCCATTGTGGCATTGCCAATGATGTGCCTGGAAGAATGCAATGTCCAATCCTCAATTGCTCAATCCAGTCCCGTCTGCTGTGCACACTGTAAAATGGCCTGGCTCAACTTGTTGGCAAGAATTACTCACAAGGGTGCAGGGGTGTATGGAGCGGCCCGCACCCCTTGGCGAGCGGGGACATGATCTGGGGCTGGTCGATGAGGAAGGTGGGGTGCCGGCACTGGCTCTCCACATACTCGCCCACCAGCTTGTCCAGCAGCCGCGCTGTGGACTGCGGCGGCGGGCACTCCACCTTCCTCTCCTGGCACTGTTAATGACACAGAGCAGCTTCAGCGCCTTGTGCGCTCACACTGTACGTCACATTGCGCCTTCACGCTTGAATAATATGCCAAAGCAAAGAATTGGCATCAAACACTGCAACACCGTAACACTTCCTGCAAAAGTGTCCTCTTGGCTGGGTACAATAAACTCTTCCAGCAGGAGGATCAGTGATTGAGGACAGCGCAAGATCAACCCCAACAGCCCGCATGCCCCTCACAGGTAGTCCATTTTAATACCATTTCAAAGAGACAGAGAAGTAGATTCAGATGGTGGGGATGGGGCTGCAGCGCACCAGTCTGAGGAAGTAGAGGCGGGCCTCCTCGGTGTGCAGGGTGTTGTTGGGGGGCCACTGTGCGTCGTCCTGCAGGCCCATCGCGTCTCGCAGCCCCGCCATGAAGGGTATCCGCTTGTATGGCGGCGTGAAGTCAATCTCCACCGGGTCCTGATCCGGACCGTCTGCAGCACACAGCAACGATTAATTTGAGAGATAGGCACTGAATCCACTCAACCTTCTTGGCAATTTATGAGAAGGGAGGCGCAAGACGTACAAGGCAGTGCAAGAGCCAGCTAGGGAGATGGCATGCCAAAAAACAATGATACTGTGCGGGGTGAGAATGAACACTGCAGTACAGCTTGCACTCTGATGGAATATCACATGACACGGTGATGCAGTAGATTCCACACAGCCATTTGTGCGCATCAGGCTCGGTTTTGATTTGGCCTTCGAGGCGGTTCCCAATGCTGCACACTGCGGCGCAGCGATAAGGTGCCAGGAGCCCATTAACATAAATATGGTGCGTGATGATACAGGTGATTCAAAGCGATGAATGGGACATTGGAAAGGCAGTGTGCCGATGGACGGGTGAGGGGAGGAGCTGCTCACTGGAGTGGTACTGGATCTGGAAGCTGCCGGTGACGCTCTTCACAAGGCCGCTCACCAGCTCCTCTGTCAGCGCCATCACATCATAGTAGTCCGCGTACGCCTGCACCAGGGGACTTTATTGTCAGCCTTCCTACAGGGAGGCATAAATTGTTTGCGCACACCGCTGCCTGCACACCCTCAGAAGCCCTGCACAAGGATGAGTGAGAAGGAATGTGGTTTTATGATCCTCAATCCTCCTGCTATGGCTGCTGACAATGCAGAAATGGGCCGACACTTCAAAGCAAGTGACTGTCTATCATTCCAGCTGAGCGCCGGCTACTTTGGCACACATCCACCTCATAAATTGCTGTGCGTCGGAAAACTTGACTTACATCCGCCTCCTCTGTTGATTGCTGGTTGCTTAAGGTCCAAAACAGCAAATTCCAGTCCTTTGACAAATGTGTACCATCATCCCACTTACATTGGGTGCTGGGTGCTTAAGGTCCCCACCTGGTAGAACTCGCAGGAGGTGAATTCGGGGTTGTGCGTCATGTCGATGGACTCGTTGCGGAACTGCTTGCCCATCTCGTACACACGGTCCAGGCCTCCCACTACCAGCATCTTGAGGTAGAGCTCGGGGGCCACGCGCATGTAGAGCTGCATGTCCAGGTCGTGGTGGTGCGTTATGAATGGCCGCGCCGTCGCGCCGCCCGGGATCATGTTCATCATCGGCGTCTCCACCTGCGTGCGTGCGCATGTGACAACCGTCTACGATCCTGTTCCCTCTGGTAGGACCATACTTTCTCCCTTGCCAGCTTCAATTTGCGCACAAGACAATTGCTGGTGCTGTTCTCCCCACTGACACGGTGCTCTCTGCCTTTGTAGCGCTGCTGTGCGAGCATGGTATGGTCTTTGACACTCCTCCCTCCACCATTGGAGTCCGTACCTTTCTTAGACTGTTGCAAGCCAAAGACTGATGATAGCTACATTTCTGACAACTAACCCGGAAGTGAAACTCATCAACAGATGCAATCTATTTTGCCTGCCAGCAGTGCATGTCCCTCAGGGTCTCAGATGCAAGTATGCCACAAAACACCAAAGCTTGGCTGCTCATGCCAATGTGGCGCATGCCTGTCTTGCTGAATGGTAAATACCTCCAGGAAGCCTCTGTCGTCAAAGAAGTGGCGGATGTAGCGGATAATGGCCGCCCTGGTCACAAAGATGTCCCGCACAAAGGGGTTCACAATCGCATCCAGGTACCTCTTGCGGTACCTCGTCTCCTGCACCCCAAAAAAGGCAATAACGCTCAGGTCTGAGATCCTCTCTCTGCCTGCTGTGGCTCGTGTACACCTGTGCACACACCCCTAGGACGATTCATTTTATCGAGGTACTTGATGACCGTCGAGTGTGGCATCATCAAGATGGCGGACAAAGCTGCGCCCGCTGCAAAGTTACACGACCTACGCAGCATCAGGGAGCATGCAAAGCTGTCCGAGGGGAATTTCAATGTAAAGAGCAAGGAGTGACTTCAAAAGGCAGAGACAGCAGCGCACCTGGTTGTCGAGGCGCCTGAGGGGTAGCATGTGGAGGCAGGGCGAGAGCACTTGGAAGCTGCGTGGGAAGATGGACAGCTCGCCCTTTTTGGACTTCCCCGGGTGGCCCTCGACGCCCACAATGTCGCCTATTTTGACGCTGTTATGGAGGGTGACAAAGGCCGCCAGGTCATCCCCGGACGTCGCCACATCAGCCATGACCTGGATCTTCTCCCCGTCTGCCTTCAGGTCGTAGAACACCAGCTTACCCTGACACCTCCTGCTGTAGATCCGGCCTGCGCCCCAAAGAAACAAGCCATCCTTTAGGCCCGAATTTTATGTTGCTTCCGAAAAGACAGAGTGAACTCTGTAGGGCAGCTCCTGCTTTGCTGTGCAGAGATGAGCATGCACTCTGTGTGGCCAGGTGTCAGCTCAGTGTTTGCATCCTGCACATTCATGCCGGAGATCGCAGCATTCCTCGATCAGGCAAGCGCTTGTCAAACGGAGGTCATGCACCGTGAATTGATAGCAGAAAATCGCACCTGCGACGCTGACAACCTCCTCTGTTTGGTGGCTTCCAGGCTCCAGATCCTTATACTTGGCGACATACTCTGGCAGGTACGTGCTGATCTGGAACTTGTGGGGATAGGGGTTCCGTCCGCTGGCCTTCGCTGCTGCCAGGGTCCTGACTCTCCGCTCATAGTACTGATTGGGATCCAGGTCGTCTGCATCATCATTCACCAGTTGCGGCCCATCTGCTGCCTTGTTCTTGGCTGCTTCAGCCTTCTTGTCTGCCTCCAGAGCCTGCACACAATATGGGACACTCCCATCCAATCCAAATGTATATCCAGCTCAAGCGAATCGATTGACTTGTCTCAACGAACACTATTGATGGATGCACGATGTAAGGAGCGTGCTATCATGAACTAGTGGTGATGGCATTACTACCTTCTTCTTTTCCTTCTCCTTTGCTTGGAAGGCCGCCTTCTGCCTCTTCTTGAACTCGCTGCGGCATAAATGCAGCTTCGTCATTGCGGTGGTATAAACGAGAACGGCAAATGCCCCCGAGGAAGGCAATCCACACTTCCAGAAAAGCAGTTAGTGATTCATTCTCACGAGCTGGTCATCATGACACGTTCAAGATAAATCTTATCAAATCTAAGAGCCATCAACGTGCCGTAAAGATCCCATCAAGCAAAACAACAGAAGAGGAAGCAGAAGCTACCTCTTGCTCATCTTGTTGCCTTGCTCGTCCACAAGGTCCTCGCTCCATTTCTCGGGCAGAACCCATTCCTCACCCATTTCGAGCGTCTATAAAATACACTCTACAACATCGCAGATGTTCCAAGGATGCGATAATCGTGCGGCAAAGTCTCATCACCTCGCCGCCCGAACCTATATTGGCAACATATGCAGCTTCCTTCCATGGGCAGGAGCTTCTCCAAGAAAATTCCCCTCTTTTGTTTCCGAAAACACAGAAATCCAAATGGATGTGCATGGTCCACGGGTCTGCCAATTAGATGCCAATGATAAGGTATAAGCTCAGGGCCCACACAGAGTGCCTCAGTGGCCGACCGGCCCTGGCATAGTATGCCAGCTAGCATAATCGATGATATCATCATGATGAGCATGCGAATGTGCGCGTCTCGCAACATGAAGATGGCTGAAAGGTTAGAAAAGACAAACAAGCTCATGAGCATTTAATGAACAGGATGGCATCATCCCCAAGACGCACTTGCAAGCGACAGGTGTAGAAGCATGTGATATTGGCTTACGATCACTGTCATTAAATGGCAGCCATAATTCCTTCTCTGTTTTCCAGTAGCCTGATACTGGCCTCTGCATGCATCACGTGATGCATGCACGTGGTACCCAGTGGTTTGCAGCTGACGCGGGGTTTGCTTACTAGCACCGTTAGCTGCGGCGCATGTTCTGTGTTCCAAAGCTTTTGATCATAGCTCAGCTTGCCCAGACCCACAACATCTGTGCGTTCTGTGCATGATCAGAAGAAGACATGAGTTTGTGAACTAGTTCAAGGCCGGAGTGGTGTTTGGACTGGAGGACTTAGCATCACAAAGCTCAACAATCTTCGTGTACAGCCCAACAGTGGCACTCTCAGGCATCTAAATTTTTGTAACATCTCCAAAAACTTCAGCAAGCAAAAAAGGTGGAAGCCTATGTGCAGAGTCAGCACTGTTGGCATAGCGATCATCGATCATCTGCGACAGCTGAATGCAATGACAACGCATGCCCTGCTTGCACACTCATATCAGAGGATCCTCATAAGATTCCGCATCAGACAGCAGCCAAACCCATCATACTTATACACAGTCGTTGGGCAGCACAGAAAAAACCAGCTGTTAACAGCTGTCAATGTTGACATTGCCGTTGAAAACTCTCCAGTCTTCACGCTAGGCTTGCCGCCAATGGCATACTGCGCCAGTGACTCTCTTCACAAAACATCAGGTGATCATGGTTTTTAACGATTTTCATAACTATTCAAATTTGAGACTACCCTCCGGCCGCAGGGCCAGTGGCAGGATTGAAGGGCAGCAGCACTGCATCGATGACATGCACGACTGAGGGCCCGCATGTCTTCAGGTCTGGCTGCACTATGTTGGCGCTGCTGCCCACTCCTTGCAGCTGCACCCACATCCCCCAAAGAAGTCATTTGCACTTTCTCATTCTCTACCCTCCCCTTTCCCCTTTCACCGTAACCAGCTCTGAAGGTGCCATGCTGACAATACAATCTCAACTTTGCTGCGCATTTGCCGCGACACTGAATAGCAATCAGGCATTCCATAAGAGAAACTACAGATACAAGTGAGCTTCATTATGACAGGAAGAAGGGCTCCAGCCAAAAGCTAGAACACAGTGGAGATCACCTTGAGAGGGGCGGTGACATTGAGAATGACTGGGCGGTCGGGTTGACCGGGCGTCCGCTCAACATCCACGGTGGGCAGACTGGTGCCAGGTGTCAGCGCAGACGACAGGAACGCCCCTGCCACCACGTGGTAACCTGTGTGGCAATGTGAAATTGTTGTCATTTCATATCATAACAAGCTGGAGGCCATGTAACAATGTAAACAACACGCTTTTTCTGCCAGAGGCAAGGTGTGTGTGCAGATCAGCTGCAAGTAAGGGCTGCCAAACATCCTGTCCCTTAATGTTTTTGCCAGATGCACGCAAGACTCAATCAACCGTAAGCACAGTGCTCTGTGTTACTGTCGCCCGCGCCAGAACCGAGGCAAAATTTCTACCATAATGTACAGAAAGAGATATGCAGGTATAATGGTAGTGCAAGCGCCAGAGATGAGAAGAACAGGCTGCCCTTGGATTAAAGGCTGCCTCGCAAGTGCAGCACCAATGCAGTGATCTCCCGGCCCAGGGGCATTATATGTGGGCAGTGGGCCGAAGCATGATAGCCGCCTATCTTTTCGGATGTCTCGGGTTTCATGACAGCCCGCTGAGTCAGCATGCATTGGTGACTGCACCTGCAACGGGGGACTTCAGCTCCGGCCGGTTGTTCAGGAGCTGGCCCACTGTTCCGGTCCCCAGATTTGATCCCTGATCACAGTACGGGTACGAGAAAATTGCTTCGGGAGGCTTACGTGCAGGAAAGTTGTCAGTCTTCATCGGGTTAGCCATGTTGATAACACCGGTACTGGGTGCAACCCCAGTGCCTTTTGTGCAATAAAGTACCAAAGTCTTCAAATGGTAGGTGTGACAGCTTGCAATTAGCATTGTAATCTTTATACTCTGACTCTGTGCCCCCAGTCAAACCTGAGCTATTCCACTGGCAACGCTCATGGCACAAGGTGTCCATGTTGAATCACAGAGTCTTGTGGTGACCTAACAAAACAGATTCCGGTGGAGGAAGGTCACACCGCCGGTAGTGGAGCCGCAAAGGCGGAGTTGAGCGGCGCAAACATGGTGATGTTCAGCCAAATCCTATTAGGCACATACTTGTGCTGCCAAACGGCAAAAACTAAAGATAATGTGGTTGAGATCACCTGGAGGATTGACAGCCAAGTGCTGAGAGTGGGGTTGGACTGCAGGATCTGCAGCACATTCTGGCAGGGCCCTGTTGGGGAGGGAGGGATCGCCGGTGGAGCCAGCACCGGTGCCGCCACTGGCGCGGCGGGCAGCACCTGCACACCAGCACGCTATCCTATCAGTTCTCCTGCATTTACACTCCTAAAAATCACACACACACACACACACACACACACACACACACACACAAGTTGTGGGATGATAGGCTGCAGACATTTGCCAGGTACTTCGAGCTTGCTGCCAGCAAGAAAAACAGTTGCTGTCGACAGGAAAGGCAAATGGCATGTTGAGTTTGACAGTAGAATTTGAGGTGCTTTTTATTTTATGACAAATGGTTGGGTGACTATTGCTAAGAAGTGCAGGACACAGAAAGTCACAGGAGCAGGGCTGGGCGGCTGTATTGGCGGGGACGCAGGCGGCGCAGTCGGCGGCGGGGTGACAGGCGCCACCACCGGCGGGATTGCCACGACCGGCGGTGGCGCCTGGGCGGGGGGTCCAAGTGGGAGGATGGGTATCGGCGACAGCGGCGCAGCCGGCGGCAAAGCCGGGGGGACTGGGAGGGGCGACGGTATCACTGGAGCCGGACTCGGTGGCTGCACCGGTGGGGTTACTGCCGGAGACGGTGGAGGGACCGAGGGGACCGGCGGGGGGACTGCCGGGGTTGGCGGTGGCGCGGAGGGGACCGGCGGGGGGACTGCAGGGGGCGAGGGGAGAACCGCCGGGAGGGCCGGGATGACTGGTGGGCTGGGCGTGGGGAGCAGGGGGGAGGCCGGCGGTGGCAGCACCGGGGCGATCGGCGAGGGCGGTGGCAGCACGGGGGCCGGCGGTGGCGAGGGGAGGACCGGGGAGGGGCTTGGCGAGACCGGCACGGCTGCGGGAGAGGGGGAGACCGGCGGCGCTGCACCCGGGCTTGGGGTGACCAGAGGAAACTGCACTCCTGTGGGAATGTCCTCCGCCGCAGTGGGCGTAATTTGCCTGCAACATGACGGACGCTCAATACAACAGCCTCCAGGAATGCTGCGCATCATTGCTAAATGCTTCAACAGACCGGAAACAGGTGTGTACTTTGCTGTTAGAAACAAATTACTCAAAGAAGGCTGCGAAATATATCTCAATCAACTCCAAAACGGAACAGCGGATGTGGCGCAGCACACCTGGCGACAACAGAGTGGCCTGCAGCGTCAGTCAGGCGAATGTCAAGGGGCGCTGGCGGCAGCACAGAAGCCTCCCACACCGCTCCATAGGTGTTCCTGAACGCCTGGAAAGTGGAATCCTGTGCCAATAAACACACTCTCTGTCATGCTGGAATTTCCCTATGCTCCAGTGGAGCTGACGTGACCACTGCATTCCCAGCCTCCACATGGGTGTCTAGATACCCCTCCAAACGAAGGGCCATCCACAAATGGGACATTTACAAACATGTCATGTGGATGATAAGAAGGGAGCTGATACAGCAGGGTGAGGGTCAGCAGCAGCGTTTAAATTGTTGCGCCACGCTGCACAGGATCCGAAGCTGCTTCACTGTAGTCAAGCCTTCAGACATGCTTCACCAAGGAAACAATCCCATCCCTAGGAATGCAAATCAAGGGTGTCAGTCCTGTGTGAGAAGGAAACTTGATGCAGCAGGGTGGAGAGTAAGTGCTTACATCGGCGCTGCTCTGCTTGAACTCGATCTTGCTCACAGCTGCGATGCCGGCAGTCTGCCAGGGTGTGATCTTCAAGTAGCCGCCTGAGGTTGACCGATACTCCAGCACTCGAATTTCAAGATTGCCTGGCGGTGTGCAATCAACCTGCACCGCACCAATAGCTCAATCATGACATGCCACAAATAAATCTTACCGACAGCCATGTGTGCTCTGCAGGAATCCGATCCTTGAATTGCCCAGAAACAGTGAAAAGTACTGTCTGGGCACCCCAGGATCTCTGCTGAGGCACTGTCAAACCCTGCTGCTCTGATTGACTGGTGCACTCAAGGTTTGCCATTATCAGTAGCTTCATGCCCGTTAAACACCCTAGAGGAAGGGAAGCGATGTTGGTACTTCTGTCAGGCTACCGTCTATCGACATACTAATGTGATCACCAAAAAGTGATCGAGTACATCCAAGTCCTGTCGCAATGCATACGACATCTAAGTAATGCAAACCAAAAAGCACAGGGGTCTTCTTCACCTGCTGAAACTGCACGGCAACACTGCCAAGGTTTGTCGGGGCCAGCTTAGAGAACTGGGAGGCTGGGATTGCACTTGAGCAGCTGGGGCAGGAGTCTATGATTGTGACCGTCACTGGTGTTGCATCCGCATTGCAGACCCCCTGCAAGCATGAAAACGCTCATCGCTCTCCCTGTTGGCACACCAGCAGCAACGGAAAATGTTCAGTATGCAGGTCGATCCAGAAATGTGATCTTGACGCTTTTTAAGTGGAAAGGCAGGCCCTGCATGTTTCAGCTGCAGTTGCTCCTAGAAGCAATGCTGATGCTGCTTCCACGTGACCAAGCATACTTCACAGACAGTGCATTGCCAACCAATCGCATCCTGGTATTAGCCCTTGAAAACAGAGACCATGCACACTGTGAAAAACTGCAAAGTACAGTCAATGTGCTTGTTTGCAGCACAGCATTTTGTGTTGGGCCCCTCACCTGGTCTGCACAGGTCAGCTGGATGCAGACACCACAGCCGGACTCTGGCAGCTGCGCAACAATAGCACTGGTGGACCTGATGGATGCTATCGCCGAGTCTGGGTAGGGATCTCCAATTGGACCAAAGCCACAGCTACCTCCTGTCCCCACCCTGTATGCGACCTGTCACAGGCATGCCACCTTTTCGTTCATGGACATGACTCGGTGTTTAGTTTCTAGCTGTGCTTGACTGGGTTCTGCAATCACTTTGCTGCTGAGCTGTTCATCAGCTGGTGAGTTGCTGTGCCACTAAGTTGCAAAGTCAGCAAGTCTCGAACCTTGAATGCCCCCTGAACGCTCTCGGCAAGAAGAGTGACGAAGTCTTCAAAACTGCATGCATGCATATCTGGGATTATGCTGCAGGTGTCGATGCACACCTCCCCACTGGCCGTCAGTATGCCGACTGAGCCGGTCGTCCTTGGCCCAATTGGACCTGCCTGTAAAGATCTGGCGTGCAGCAATCCAATCAGCAGCACTGCCAGTGCCCATCCCGACGTCCGCATGGCCAATGCAGCTCGAAGAAGCAGCGTCAGAGCACTGTCTTCCTTCCGACACTGTGCATGGACAGTGTTCGACAGTATTCTACTGCGGCACTGAAGCTGCTGCTTGCTTGTTTTATAAAGTGGAGGTGATCAGCGTCGATTTGTGATTCTTGTCGGAGATCTCTTGCTTCATTACCCAGGATTCCGCTGGAAAACTTTTCTGGTCGGCCGAGTCTGACAGGCCTCCACCTGTGCAACCTTGGACTAAGTGACAAGGGTCGACACTTCAGGATTCCGGAACATCAAGATTTACAGGTACACTGCACTATAAATTTAGACCGAATGTGAACAGGTTTCTAGTAACTCAGAATAACAGAGTATAGCATTTGATTAGAGTCTGGGATTCTGCGTCCTCATGTGTGAAGCAACAAGTAATCATGGGGAAAATCCATAAACAATTCACACCACAGACACAATCAGGGTGTCACAGTCTTGCTCCCATGTCTCACTTGAGCCCTGGGAAGATCCAGGCTGCACATTGCAGAAACCATTGCCTAGGCAGTGCTCTACACAAGGTATGGATTCGTTTGAAATAGGAGCCACCCAGTTAGAAATTGTCACACCAATCCTTGTCCTATATCGCTTGAATTCCCACACTATCACTTGTCTGAAAACATGTGAGACTCATGCCAAGACTCATTCCTGGCAGTGTGGCGGACTGGCATGTAAACTTGACCAAGGAGAGTACGCTTGCAGTGTGAAAATACAATGGCATTCACACACTCGACAGCCCAGACAAAAGGAATTCTTTCAGCAAAACGCGCATGGCAAACCCAAAGAAAGCCCGCGAGTGAACAGATGACAGTGAGACCATACATGGAAATGGCAGTGCCCCAGATGATACAAGCAAAATCACCCCTGCTTCAAGGCTTCAGAGAACCTTGCTAGTGCCTATGCAGCTCCTCAAGTGTTCAAGTCCTCCGTCCTCTCCATCTTCAGCAGCTTGGCTGCGACTGTATTTTCCCTGGGATGGAGGTTCAAGCTCTTTGACGCATATAGCAGTGGCGAGACAACCCAGATCCCTGTGTTTCATGACATGTGATAGCTTCGGGTTCGTCTGGATCCCAAATCCAGAGGTAGCAACATCAGAATTTTCAAGCATGCTGCGCACTGCCATCACTGCTGCTGGCCACATTGCCAAATTCTGGGCCTTTGGTTCCCTCAACCAGCTGCGCCCAGGCGGATGCTGTGTTGTCCACCTCGCGGGCCTCAGGATCTGCGCCGACAGAGGTGGTTTCCCTGCACAGACAGCACACCACTGACAGCTGAAAACCGAAGCATGCAGGCAGTTCATTCTCGGGCAAAAAGGGGAGAGAATCCTAAGAGAACCTGGAAGATAAGAACCTTGTGCATTGCACTAAGAGATTCATCTTTAAATTCCATGAATGTGGCACTGGAAATACACTGGAAAAATACCTTCGTCCACAGCATTGATTACACAGGGCAGGTGAGAATCATAGGACAACATCCCTCCCAGCAGACCTCAGTACAACAAGACCGCAGCGCAGAAAACGAAGGGAATTTCATAAGGGCCAGTGCCCACCTGCTGTCATCAGGCAGCCCATTGCGCAGCGGTGTCTCGGCCCTGTTAGACGCGGAGCTGACGAGCGCTTTGGCGTGCGAGTAGTGGTGCGGGTGCGCAGCCGTGCGGTCCACGATCGGCGGCGCCGATGAGGCGGCCAGCCGCGGGCTTGCGCCGTCGGCGTTGGGGCCGCTGTGGAGTGTGCCCAGAACGTCCGCCTGCTCCGGCAGCTTCTGCCCCTCCGGAAGCGACCTCCCCCTACAGTTGGGTCCACGTCAGCATTACTGATGATGCCACTGATCAGCGTCTCGCACGGGTGTGCTAGTATCTTTGGTGATGCTAGCACCGATTCATAGAACCCCTTATGACACCAGCATATACAAGTCAGAAGCATCCTAGGCAGCAAATTGGAAGAAGAAAGAAAGGCAGGAAGACATCTGTAGAATATTCATCAGTGCTCAAAGTAAGCAAACAATTGTATGACTCACAGGCAGCTGAGAAGCGGGAGCTACAGACGAGCAGCGCATGCACCAACATGTATTATGGTATCGCCTGCTTGTTGAGCTCAAAAGCCACAACTATTTGTACTGCCACCTCAAGCTGGTGATTGGGTGCCCACCAGACCAAAGTCACCACAGCGTCTGCCTTCCTGGAGCAGAAAATCCAAACAGATGCCAAGAGAGACTGCACCTCTGCAGGGAGGGCGAGGTGCGCGCGGCGCGCTTGGAGAACATCTTTTGGAAGTTGCTGCTGCGCTCGCCGCCGGAGTGGCCCGGCAGCGGCGAGAGCATCGAGAGCCGCTCCAGCAGATCGTGCGCGCCCGCCTGCTGCAGAAGGTTCACCCGGATCCGCGACAGCTCCCAATCCTCCAGCCCCACCTGTGAGCACATGCCGCCATGTCAGCGCCATGTGATGCCATGTCACAAACATAAAATGCCACGTCGGCATAAAAGAATTTATGTCAGCTTGATGATGATGCCACATAAACTGGGGTGAGGTAAGGGTTGGGGTGTTTAGTCAGGTCACTCTGTCCGTCGGAGCCAGCGGGAAGAAAGTGTTTGCTACTAGGGTAGAGGGGAGAGGCAGCTGTGAGCAGCCACCAGTGTAGCATGCACAGCCAGAAGCTGCTGTATGACACAGTTTCAAATGCTGGGGACACGTTTCACATAACATGATCTGGAAGTGGAGTGATTCAGTGGCAGCAGCCCAAGCAGCCTCTGGCCTTTGTGCTTGCTTCTTCAGATTCCGACACATCTTCTCCTGCCCTCTGTCAACAACAACAAAGTGCAGCGGATTGGGTACCTCAGGATCTTTGATTAGTCATATATTCAGTGCTTGTGCTGAGCGGCAGACGCTCACCTCATGCAGATATTTCGCGACGGAGCCGTATTTGTCAAGCAGATATTTAATGGTGTCCTCCATGGTGTCATGCGTGGCGGCAATAACACTGTCCTGGGTCAGGTACACTGTACACACCACACAGAATGCTCATTTGCCCTGCTTTTCATACACATAAAACACATTCACAGCCCTGCAAGATAATGAGACAGCCCTGCAAAACGAAGACAGAAGAAACCAAGAGTGAGAGAAAATGGGATAGAAATTAACAGGATCTGGCAAACCCACCATCAAGATCGAGCTCCTGGTGCAGGCGGCTCTCCTTCAGGACGGCTTCAGACCTCACATAGTCATCCACAATCACCTGTGAATGCCAATCTGGAGAACATGACTGACTCCATTTTGATGCGAGTCTTTTATCTGTCAGGTCCAATGCATCCTTGAGCATCATGCATCATCCTGCATAAGTGACATAAGGGAGCACCTTGGGATCCACATCGCAGAGAAGCAGGAGGAGCATGACGATGATCCCTGTCCTGTCCTTCCCTGCACACAGCAACATCCCCCACATTGAGCATGCACTCTGAAAGCACTGATGGTGCGCTTGATTGCAAGCATCAGAACAAACAGGAACTGATGCCCAGCTGCAAGCCTGGCTCCAAACCCTTCCTGCATGATTACAGCTGCATAATGAGTGACTGCAAGAACCACAAGCAACCCAGAAATGCTCTGTTTCAAGCCTTCTGTGCAGAGGGATTTCCTGAATCGGCAGATTATTGATCCCTGGTGCCCACCATGGATGCAGTGGATGAGCACTGGGAGGTTGTCCTTGTCGGTGAACACGCGCATGGCTTTGGCAATGCCCCGCTTGGAGTCCTCCAGAATTGTCTTGTACAGCGCTTTGTACCCCATGTAAAGCGGATTCGCCACCGCAGGCGCCATCACAGAAGCAGCACCTGCAGATCAACACAAGCAAACACATCAGTCTTTACGCCTTCCCCTTTGCAATCATCGTTTTCAAGTGCACACCTGACAATACATACACTGCATGCAATGGCACTCTGGCAATCAAAATGCTCCAGCAGACAAAGGCATACTGGCCTGCTGCAGAGAATTGACGCAGAGACGTTATTGACGACCATGTGCAGTGGCCATCCATACAAAGCACTCACAGATTATTTCCATGGTCCTGAAGCGAGACTGCAACACTCTGCAGAGCCACTCAGAGAAGCGACCACTCATTTTGCGCATAACTTAATAGGCGAGAGGGCCGGCACACCTTTGCCAGAGAGCGCAGCGAAGACAGTCTTTGCGCGCACGCGAGGGGGCATGGCCTGGAAGATGCGCAGGCCGACCAGGGAGGGAATGAGATCAGCATGGACTACTGAGCCGGGCTCGAAGTCCAGCTTATCTTTTATGCGCTGCCGGCACATCTCACATGGATGCGGCTGCCCGCGCGCAGCGTACGGCTTCAGCCGCTCTGACATCATCATTTTGGGCCCCTGCACCGCACCATATTCCCACATGGTGTGTCTCTGCAAGGGAACTATATCGATCCCTAGTGTGTGTTATCAGGGGGTACTAAGGACTGCAGGGGGTAGTCTTTAGTACACCCTGTTCATCAAAACCCGGTACACAGTAGAGTCCTGCTTTCAAGTGTCAAGAGCCACGCATTTGGTCTGCAAATCGAGAGACTTCTGCAGCTCTTTAGAAACCGGCCAATGTGTTGGCAATGCTGGGTGCAAATGCTGGAGAGAAGTTGTGAAGAAATGCGCAGGAGTCTTGAGATGGGAATATGATGCAGCGGGGTTCTGGACACACCTTCCTCATGTATCTGCCGGCAAGTTTCAGCTTCTCAGTCTTCTTCCCTTTCTTCTTGCAGGGCCTGTCCATGCGCCTCAGGTCCAGAATTGTCTTTATCCCATACCGCTCCATGTCCGTGCCGCTGCAATCAACAGAGATGTATCACCATGTCTGCCGCATTCACTCCACCAACCCTTTGCTCAAGTTGCCCTAACAGCCTTGATCCTTGACCGCTCACAGCCTTGCTGAATCGAGGATGACACCCTGACAGCCTTGACCCTAGACCGCTCATCGCCTTGCTGAAGTAAGGACAGGACGATTTAAGCCAAAGCAAGGAGTCTAGTAAGCAGTCAGAGAGAGTAGGAAACGCTGCTCATGCTATCTCACATAAGCCCAACTAGCTCACGGCCTTGCTGAAATGAGGACGAGAGAGGCAATATAAGCCAATGTGAGGTGTTGGAGCGAGCAGGCTAAGCAGGTAGATGCAGTAACCTTGTATTCATGGTGTGCGTACCTCAGGAGTTCAGAGGACCGAAACAGTGTCCGAGTGCGCAGATTTTCCGGCGCAGCCGCCCCCACATCGCGCAGATTAAGGCACATGGCAATTTGCTTCTTCGACATTGTCTGCTTGCCGTTCATGTGCTTTTGCAAAACATTCGGATGCTCAGTTGGCCCATTCTCCAGGATTGGTGGAACAACCTGCATTCGATCAGCAGTCCTGGTGTTCAGAGGGTTTGGCAGCTGGCACATGCATACCAAGTTTGCAAGTACCGCCAGCCACTGCTCTACAAGTGTTCATACAGCCAGCCAAAGGAGCTGTGGGAGGCCCCTCGTTGAAATGACATAATTCTGTAAGAACACAACGCCAGGTGAACGTGACTGGTGCTGAGCAGGATCGCTAGGGAAACTCAGGGATCCAGGAGAGGTGGAGAATCCTGCCGCTAGTGACAGTAATGGGCAGCTTCGCATACCTTCGTGTCCTTCATGTCGACCACACTGGCAGTGAATGATCCAGCTTCCGCCATCCTTGCCATACTGTTCGTGTCCGAGTCCTTCTTACCAGAACTGAAGATACCCATCGTGCTTATTGTGCACAAACCTGTTGCTAGTGTTTCTCCCGATCCGATGCTATCAAGGATGCCCGATACATCTACTTAGGTACTTGAAGTGTTTCAAGAAGTATTGCATATAATGACTATTCCTACGTGTCTCAGACTACACCGACAGCGCTCCCGGAAGTACGCAGAAGTTCTCTCGTATCCCAATCCCTGATTGACTTCTTTGTCTACAGTCGTAGGGATCAATCAAGCACGATGTTTCAATTCAAGCCGACCACCAATGACGCGAATTGCATTACAAACCGTAAATTCTTCTTAACCTTGGCCAAATTTGCTTAGTAATGACTTCGTCCAGCTTCCCTTCCCCCATATCTTCCTACTTCAAGTCTGAAGCTCAACTTGACTTGAGCTGTTCCCCAGCACTAGAAAGCAATGAATTGGAAAGCAACACCAGCGACTTCATACTCACACATGTGGCACTGGTCAGTCCAGCTCTATGACATCATCTGACTCGTGCAGTGTCCTCTGCCGCTTCCTGGGAGCTTCATCGTCATCAGCCTCACGCTTCTGCTTGCCCTTGGCGTCCCGCTGCCGCTGCGCCAAGTCTGGCGCCTCCACAATGACCAGATCATCGTCGTCTCCGTCGCTGGCTGCAGCTGCAGATGGGCCTGCAGGGCAACACACCCCAATCGGCCATATCAAGCTACCCGCACGTCAAATTTTCCTCATCCTGAATGTCAACTAACGGGCAAGCATGTGTGCTCAATTACAGCCTGCAGCCCATCTGAAATTCGTTCCCAACAAGCACGACCAGCCCGGTGTAAGAGAATGCACAAGTGCTTTGGGTAGAACCGAAGACGGAAAGGTTAAAGCGATGGGTGTATACCTGCTTCAGACTGATCTCCATTGGCGGCCGGTGCAGGCGGCGGCACCGCTCCACCCAGGATGAAGCCCTCTGGGTGTGCTTCCTCGTCCCAGTCATCCTGCCAGCAGCGCACACAGCAGCTAAAGATCTTTTCAATGCAGCAGTGCTGCCCCATAGTGGCCGTGTACATGATGCAGCACCATCCATATGGCTGATGATGACCAAAAGTATCAGGCCATAAGTAGCACCAGTCAATCATGCGTCAACTTTGGCAGTCGCGCTGCCTGACATGATTACATAGCCAGCTGCAATCACAGAGTGCGCAGCAGCCTGGGGGTGTATGCACTCCGCGGCAGGAGCAGGCCCTTTCGATGGCCCTGCCCTCAGCATAGCTGCAGCGTTCTTCTGAAGAAAGAACGCATGGCGCAACCTCGACCCGCTTCCCTCTCATAATATGGCCCAATGCTCTGGCCGCAAAGAGGCTGCTAATGCAAGGGAGTAGATCATAATTGCAGGAGGATGCGCCACAGCAGAGGCTCCCGGAGATAGCATTGAAGCCAGCATGCAGGGCAGACCCGAGACAGAGGCACAGATACATGCACCAGCCAAGGCAACGGGAGAACAACTTGCGTCGGCGCACCTTGTGGGTGATTTCGATGGCCACCTTGAACTCCTGCACCTGGTCTTCCACGTGGGCGGTCACCCCCTGCCCCAGGCCGCCCCCGGGCAGCGCACTGAGCGCCAGCGGCAGCTTGGCCCTGTTGGCCGCCACCTCATCGTCGTCCAGCCCCTCGCCCTCCTCATACTCAAACCCGCCGTCTGTGCGCACTGTCGGCTCCACCAGGGACAGCCTCTTCTTGAGCACCTGCAGCATGGGAGCCTCATCTACCGGGACTCAAAACAAATAACACCATGAGACGCACACCCCGTATAGGTGCGCGCGATGGGTTGCTGCATGCCTCACAACAGCCCTATTAGAGTCCCTGACAGGGCCCTGTCCTATATATCCTGCTGCACGTCGCTGGGTGTCCATGTGCCATAAAGATTGCAAGTGTTGCAGGATGTGTAATTAACATGCACAGAGCTGTCCGATACATGTTTTTGCTGGCACGAAGCAGACAAAAGCTTTCAAAGCCGGGAGCGTGGAGGGACTGGGCCAGTGAGCATGCCTTGTCGATGAGCTGGCCCAGGGTGGTGGCGTTGGTGTCGATAACAAGCTCCAGTCGCGCGGTGCCGCACGCAGCACACTTTGGGGACGGCTCCCCCGGTGCCACCGCGTTCAGCAGGCGCTTCATCTTTGGGTTGGTGATGTGCTTCAGGATGAACGTGGCCTGCACGGGAGTACTCATGTTGGGAATGATCAGTGCATTGCAGCGCTATACAGGGCTTCAGTACGCTGTATATGAATAAGCACACATTGCAACAGGGTCTGTTGTGCCTGCTTGCCGTCGATGACCGTACTAAAACAAGCGCCAGGGTGGTAAGAAGAGGAGGAGGTTGAGAACAGGTAGGCAGCAGCTCCATTGGTTGAGGGTGTCAATGATAGCGTACAGGAGGGCGCACCTTGGAGTGTTCAGGAGCGTTGGCCAACAGCTTCATGGCCTCGATGACAATCAGGCCCCCCACAATGGCGTTTGTGGTGGCAATGGCATGAATGATATTGCCCGCCATGCCCTGCAGAGTACAGCACAGCACAGGTATAGTTTTTGTGACAGGCTGAAATGGCTGAGCAGGCTGACCTCGCTGAGCTGTTTCTTGAAAAGAAGTATGATCTCCTCCAGAACAGCGATGACACCTGCAGACACATAATAATTGCCAGACACATTGCTTCAAGATCTGCCGCAATGTGAGGTAAAAGCAGGCAGATAGAAAGGTGTTTTTCTTGCCTTGGCATCAAACTGAGACTGCTGCAGAATGCCGTACGCAGCAGCGCGCAGATTGGAGGCTGCAGTGACAAACTCCACCGCCAGGTCGTCCTCCTTGTCAAACACTGCCTCGCCCACCTCATTTGGACGTCCCTCCAGAAACTGCCTGATGCTCTCCAGGAACACCTGTTGTACATTCCGCACCCTTAAGAGTCAGGCTCAGGCTAGTCTCCAAAAGTTACCTTTTGTCCAGAGGTTTGAAGCAAAATTACTTTCTGCGGCATCATTTGGGTGATCAGGAACAGCCACAGAAGTATTTTGACAGCGAGAGTAATCGTCAAACTTGGCATGCGAATGCAAATCTTTATGTCTTACAAGAAAAGCACACCTGAGCGTTTTCTCTCAATGTCCAGACCCGGTGAGCATCTGTCAGGCCCAGAGCCTTGCATGCACTGTCTCCTGTCGCCTGCGCGCTGCCATTGCTGTGCGCTGCAGTATTGCCGTTTGATACATCATCGCTAGAGTCTCTCGGAGCAAAATTGTTCTGGGCCAGAATGCTGTTCAGCTGTAGCGGCTTTGGAGAATCCCTGTTCTTCCAAAGGTCCTGTCACGCATCATTGGCGTGGCTCACGATTGCACATGCTCTTTTGTTGGTCTGCAAAAACGCTTCAACAAGCGCTGATGACAATGCAGTGCATAACAATGATCAAATTCAACAGGCTGTGATGAGCATGCCAATTGTCATCCCGCTGCTGCACAAGCCTGCCAATAAAAATCCTGATGGATGAGATGCTACCTCCATCGTCAGCACATTCTCAATGTCCTCAGTAAATACACGGCAGAAGATGCGCGCAGCATATGCATCGGCTGATTCACCGTCCCGGCGCAAGAACACTGACGGCCCTTCCTCCTTCTCGCCCTCTTCCCCCTCCTTGTTGTCGTTTTCATCGAGATCCGTCACCTGGTCTGGCCTTTGGACCACACAGGACCACACATTAGCACAGCCATGCATGTGGGTTCTGGCAAGCATATATGGCTGAATGGGTGACAGATGTACCTGCCGAATAGCCGGGCAAAGAGCAACTCCTTGGCCCAGACAATGCAGTGGATGGGCTTGTCCGGAGTGTTCCGGATGGTGCATACTGGGTAAGTCTTGTTGCGCGACTGTTTTGGCGCGCACTCAAAGCACTCTGTCACATGCGTCGCCTCTCCGGCTGCATTCTTGAGCCTGTAATGAACTGTCACCTGAAGGGCAAACCTCGCCTCGGCACAACTTCATTATTTGAGAAAAATAATTAGCATCCAGGTGAAGTGTTCTACACACCTGACCAAGGTAGCCCTCGGTGCCAGACTCGATGAGGGGAACACCAGCTGACAGGCAGAGCCTGTTGACATGCCGCCTGGCCTCCACATTGTCAAGCCCGTTCAGCACCAACGAGAACTTCTTGAAGAAGTCCTTGTCAAACTTGCTTTCCTTGACGTTTCCCTGCAGCCACACACCAGCTCAATCACTCTGGAACCTTCTTATTGTTCCCCATGCAGGATAGGCATTGGAGATGTCTCACACGTAGGAAAGGGCACAAAGAGGCAGATGTGAGTACCTGGTGCGCAATAATCTTGGCATTGGGGCGAAATGCGCGCACAGAGTCAGCAGCAACCTTGGCCTTGCTTTCCCCGACATGTCTCCTCCGGAACAGAAACTGGCGGTTCAGATTGCTGGTCTCTATTGTGTCCATGTCGACCTGTGAACAAGGACACGTTACATCTGAGTCTGCTCTGGTTGATCAGCATTCATCAGCGACTGCATCATCCAGAGAGCAGGTTACCAGCTCGATGTCCTCAAAGCCCGCTAATACAAGCGTCTTGAGCAGCTCGCATCCAATTCCTCCAGCTCCAACGCAGAGGACCTTTGCAGACTTGATCTATGACAACAGAAGAATGAGTTGTCATGCGATCCAACAGGACTGAGATTTGTGAGCATATATTGCACCAAGCTAGATGAAAGAACCTTCATTCATCAAGAACGTCACGCATCTAGAGCAGCACATACTTGATCTGAGAGGAGAACGTCTTGGACATCACTATTGGCTGCAATGATGTGATATCACATACATCAGCTATTGTCAGATTTGATGTACCTTTTCCTTCAAATGTGAGGAAGAAGCCACAGCTGGCCACGACGTACCCAACATCTTTCTCCCTGAGTGGGATTGTACACAAAGGGGCTTGGAACAATGTACACTTAACAAAATACAGCTAAATCACCATTTCTCAATCAGAAATGCTCGGTGTGTGCTCACATGGCCGATTGGATCAGCTACTGGAAAAAATTTCGTGAAAGAGGAGGCCCGCAGCACGCAGCATACAAACCCTAAGAGTCTAGTTATATCATAATATTTGATCAAGGGAATAATAGGGTAATGAAGTGGAGGATGGGGACATTTGCACTCAACCAATACCAAAGCGTGCCTTTTGTGACGCGATATCTCCCTCAGCTCACCTTGTCAGACTTATCATAGGGCTGATGTAGCCAAAGATCTCTGACCTGCCAATAAAGCCGGGCTGCAAGGTTTGGGAGCTATGCAGAGGCAACGAGGATATGCTTCGGACTCCTCAGCAAGTATTGTTGCTACCTCAGAGCATGTCGTTTTCTGCTTCGAAGTCTTGTCTAGTCATTTCAGCGGAGCATCACCTCTCGAGCCCCTTTTCGACAACTTGTATTGGTGGGTCTTTCTTCACAGCGTGACTTAGCCGCAATCCGTGGGCTGATTAGAGCCAGCTGGCAGACGATAAACTTGTGAAGATGACATCTGCTCAAATTGTAATTGTGTGTTGGAGTGCTCCGTGCTGTAGTGCCACTCGTAGCCTCTCATGCCCTTCACAGCTTGGCTTTGTGTGTGGTGCAGCCCATTATTTGTGACATGGAACAAGCAGTCAAGGAGAGGACAACGGTTGCGAGGTTGTATCGGCACTCTCGAGCCGCGTCATCTTCACACTGCGCTTAGGGACTATGCTCTCACTAGGTGCAGAGTCCCAGTTCTCCTAGTCAGTTGCTTCTGTTGCATTCGAGAGTCCACGTCAACTGCTTAATAGTGTATTATCATTTGTGTGCTTAAGCCTGCTTTGTTTGTGCTGCAGCGCTCTGCGTGACCGCAGATTTGAGCCAGTGTCACATAGGGAGGTTGCCTCACTGAGTTGCAAAGTGTCCATGCTTTGTGCCTTTGAGCAAGCCAGTTCCTGGATGGACTGGACCGTGGGCATCCACGGCCTCATCATTGACTTCTTTGGTGAGACACCTGACGCCTGCACTACTTCATCAAACATCCCTTCCCTTCCTCTTTCCACATGTTGCTCCAGGCAGTCCAGGGTTTTTCCACATGACCTTGGGGTCATGGAATTATCAGACAACTTGTACGGACAATTTCGAGTGACCTTTGCCTGAGAATTGAAGCTTGATGAATCATAATTGGCTTACATCAGCGCCAGTCAGCTCTGGTACAATTAGTGTCTTGATGCATTCATGCAGATCCAGTAGCACGGTGCCAGCGCAGCGCGACCTTCCTCCCAGAGGTGGCCGGCCACGAACGCTGGACGCGCGAGGAGACAATAGACTCGCTGATCGCCAAAGCAGGCTATGTAGGGCCTGTAACGCCCGCGCTACGGGCCAGCCTGACCGTAACCCGCTACCAGAGCTCTGCAGCCTCGCTGACATACGACCAGTACTGCGCCGCCGCGCAGCCGGCCGCCGCGCGCGTGCAGCCGGCCGGAGGCATGACCGTTACGGTCCCGGCCTGACCGTTGCGGTCGCGTCATAACCGTTACGGTCCTCGCATGATTGTCGGCGCGGCCTGGCAGCGAGTGTCAGCGCCCCACTGCCACCAGATGCGCTGCTGGCTTCTGTGCCAGCAAACAATGCCTGTGCATGCATGCGAGTGGCGGCCTTTTGTGAGGGTGGCTGGCAGGTCACTGCCGAGTGAGCAAGGTTCTCTAACCCGGGAGGTTGTGGCACTGTGAAAGACCTGTACTGTGCAGCGTGGGTGCATCAATGCACCCATCTGGAGAGTGCTAGAGCAGCAGACTGGCGCATCCTCCTTCTTAATTGTACGCAGCTGTTTCTGTGTATTGTTGAGGCCGCCAGGCTCCTGACTCCTGACATAGGAGAGACAAACAAGGAATCCATACGTGGGTTCTGAACAAAAGAGGTTTCTGTTGGAGATTGCTGTAATTCATATTGTCAGACTGGCGCATGCCCGTACGTGGCTTCTTGTGAAAGATGCTGGAATAGCATTGCAGGATTTTCAAGTAAGTTGATACAGAAGCTGGCACTTGACCATATGGTACATGCCTCAGCTGTGCTGTAGGCACTCCATAGGCAGAGAGTAGTGCCTATTACAATTGATAAGAGGGACACTGCTTACCCTCCAACATTGTAGCTGCATTTTGTGTAGTACTCATGATGGGCCCCGCTTTGTTTTCAATAATCCTGTCTTGCGCTTGCAGTGAGTCGTGTGCTGGCGTGTAGTCTGCACACAACTTAAAGAATGCTTCACTTCCCAATGTGGCAGCAATGCCTTGTATTTCTAGCTACAGCTGTTCCCTGTGTGAAGTGCTTGCCATGCCAATTGCAGATGAAGCGGTGCCTTTGAGGGCCTGCAGGATGTGAATTAAGTCCATGTGGGGCACTGCCTGGTGTACCAATAGGATCGTATCTGAAGCAAGTGTATCTTTGTGCAAGGTTGTAAACTCACCACGAACATCATGATTACCTGAAAGCTTCCGTGGGTTTAGCTGCATGCCATGCCACCAGTATTTTCATCTGCACACTTCCGACGCTGAAGTTGACTTGCATTCCATTTCCTGAATTCAGGTGTATCCAGGTGCACTAGCGGAGCACTAGTACTCGTGGAGTACTCGTGGAACAGTACTTCTCATGTACAGTGTGACAATTACAAGTATGATTCCCTATTGAAAATAAACTGCCCTCCTGTAGGTCCCAGGAGGTGCGAACGACTATCCAGTCCCTTTCGATTTCGTACTTCACAGCTTGCTTGCTATAATCCACAAAATCTATATTAGGTTGTCTCAATTACTGTTCTAGGGTGCCCTGGTCCAGGGGAATACAAATACAGCCTCTCGCAAACTGTGAGTCATCAATGGCAGAGTTGTGTCTGTTGATACATGTGCTCTCAGTCAAGCAATGGACTTTTGCATGAGCTGCAGACGCGTCGGTCCGCCAGCAAACGATAGCCAGTTGACCTGAGTTCGCACTTTGGTGTACTCATACTTGTTGTACAGGCCGCAGGCCGCCTCGTTGAAAGGGTCGCAGTGCAGGCAGATCATTTTGCAGCCCCAATCTTTGGCGACCTGCACAAAGAGGTCTGACATGGAACACAATACTTGAGAGGGGCTGCTGCTCAAATGCACCTGCGTTTATTGTACCAGGAAGAATGCACAGACCTTTGCATATTTGCAACTGACCACAAGGTAAGATGACATCTGTGCGCAATCAGACAAGCATAAAATTATTTTTTGCGGCTGGGCTGGGGGCAGCGAGCTATCACAAAGTCTGCGCACTTTCTCTGCGGCTGTCAAGAGCTCCTCCCCCACGCCCAGTCTCCTGGCTGCAGGAGACACTGCCAGGTTGCTGATGTAGGCGACATCCTCTGGTCGCTGGTAGGCCACAAAGGGCCCCTTCTCTATGCGCTCTGCTGGCATGTGCTGCCCCTGCATGTCAATCACCACAGCGCCCAGCAGCCCCAGCCTCTCAGGAGACAGTGAGAACCCAACCTGCGCCAAAGCAGAGACTTCATGAACACCATGGTGTAGACCAAAGCACCAGAGGGCACTGTAAGCGCATGCTCACGTGCTGGTGCCAGCTCAGTCATCCACAAGTCCATTGGGCAAAGCATTGTCAGTGCAAAATGAGCAGATGCAAGACAAACGTGAATGGAGGGCAGTTGCCAGTATGTGTTGTATAAGGAAGGGCAGAGGGAAGGTGCAGCACCTGCAGGTTCTCTGAGAGCAGGAACTTGAAGAAGGGTGGGACGTTGGCGCCAGGGTGCCCCAAAAGCGGCTTGACAAAGCTGCTCTCCTCTTCAGCCTCTAAGCTGTGGGCAAGCAGGCATGCAAAACGGCCCCTGCCTCCTTTCACATCAGCATCGATGCCCATCTGTACATGCATTATGTCAGACCCCTTCCTGGACAGCAATGCATGATGTGTTGTGTTGTGTTGTGTTGAAGAGATCTGCACCAAAGCAAACGAGTCTGTGCAATCGCAGGGGGTTTGCAAAAGGGGCAAGGGCACGCTCAGACCTGCAAGGCGCACACTCGGTCTAGCCGGAGCAATGGACCAAATAGCCAGTCCGCAGTTGGGTAGAAGCTCTGCGCATGCACTTCAGCAATCGCCCAGAAGTCAGCTGTCGTGGCCATACGTGTAGTGTACTGCAAGTGGCCTCGATATGACCTGCCTTGCAGCTCAGCCCCTGCATTGTCAGCATGCTTTGTTGACGCGATGCCCGCAAAATGCCTTGCTATGTGCTCAGCCCAGACATCATTAATTTGAAGCATAAGAACTGCTTGGGTACAAATATTGTCCCTGGTATCGAAACAGACCAGATGTAGCACTGCCTGTAGCACAGCTTGGTTTGCAAGCCCTCCTACGAGTCTTCCTATGGGGACGGAGGGCATAGCCATTTGCCCTGATATGACATTGAGTTAAAAATGCTGGACTTGGACAGCAGACTGGGCGCAATTGGCTGCCCCCACACTGCCCAGCGGTGTCTGCCTGAACCATTGACGCCCTGGAAAACATTCTCAACACAATGCAGCACTGCCAGTCCTACTCCAATACTATGTTTACGGTATATTGGTTTCAACAGCAGGTTATTTGGGCCATGTACTGCGTATTTTGGGTACACGGCCTGGTAGAACAGGACACAGTCAGCAGATCGGTGCAACTGAGAAAGGCAGCAATATCGTGCAGTAGATTCCTAGGACTCTGAACAACATATTCTTGGTAATCGTCACACCCGATGCATTGCAGAATGCGCAGGCAAGATTGAATTCGACCCCGACATCGCACGTGACCCTCCAGTACTGTTTTCCTTTTGCCTTTGCGTGGGCAACTCAATCTCCTTCTCTTTTAAGGATACTTCGAATTAAGAGCACGCAAAATCGAATAAATCAAGAGATATCTTCCAAAGGATATCGGCAGAACTCCTAAAATGGCTCATGCAGGCACCACGCATGTCTCGGGCGCGCTTTCTCCTGTTTGCTCTTATGGCTTGCGCCCGTCATTTCAATCGAAATTTATGCCAGGAATTCATCGCTCCTTGAAGCCATTCTCGGCTAAGCAATGCGTCAAGGTTGTCAGGTATTGATCAATCGCTGTCCAGGATGAACTCAGAGTGCTGGTCTTGCAGTCAGATCGCGGATGTGATCTTTTTTGTAATGGCTACACAGGACACAACATGCTTGTGCGATCAAGGCTACAGCTGACACAGCAACCACATCATCCACGACAGGCAAGTCACACCTAGGTGTCCTTGCTTTCTCCTTAGTGCGTTGCATCTACATATAGCACATCATCCCAGAGGTATGTCAAGCTGTGCCATGCATCATATAGCATGACCTCTGTACGGCACTCGTGCAGAATCTACACAGTCTGCTGTGAAGCTCCTGAAGAGTGCAGCACAAGACAAGTCTGTGCCAGGTGCACAGCTTTTGAGCGCCATCCTCAGCCTTGAGAAGGCCAAGCTACCGGTGCGCCATCCTCTGCCATAGTAATAGTAGCAACTCCATCGCTGGGATGTTAATGGCATGTGCATGCGTGCTGGAGCCAAGAAACCAGCTTGCTTCAGCAGACAAGATTTCTATTCTAACTTGCCTGACTCGTTTCTGTATCTCCTGGTGACAGATGGACAACTTGGCAGATTTTGTGGGAGGAAAGCAGCAGAAGGGCGGAAAGAGATGGCGCCTTGTTTTCACTTCAGGTAGTGTATTACTTGAGGCTCAGCGCAGGTTCAGAATTCGAACATTGGAACCCCTCTTTGCCAGAAGGGTTGACACTGCCATTCTCTTGTATGGAGCAGGTAAAGGGCAGGTTTCAAAGGCAATGAAAGGGGAGAAAGCTGGCGGAATCTACTTTCCCATCACAGCTGTGCAGGTTGTACCCCTCTAGACTGACATTGTCCCTGGTTGCCCTCGATAAAGGCGGTTCTCTTGTGGGGCTCGGACATCATATCTCGGTCTCACTGGAAGTTGGTGTTGTGCAGCGCTGGGACACAACAACAGGGGAGATTGAGAACGGGACTTATTTTGGGCTCATTGCAGCTCTGACCTTCAAAGGACCTTTTGAGATCACAGGGGTGGGCTCGATGGCCCTTCTTAGACTTGTCTGCTGTGTGTTACTTTGAGGTGTTTTTGTAAGCCAGTGCATGATGTTGATGTGTGCCTGCAGAGGAAGCTCGGATTCACATTCGACACGCTGCGGCTACGTCTGGGGCCAAAGTGGCTGAACTTCCCTTTGTCTCCTGGGCAGCTGGGAACAAAGTAGGCACTTCCTCAACACATGCCGCGCACAACAGCATCTCATTACCCTGAACAATATGCCCCCCTTGTCATGAAACACCAATGACTATGTGAGCCAGCTTTAGTCAACACAGTCTGATCTACACTGTACGCTGTGCTCAATGATTCAATTCCGTGTGAATAAGTCTGCCTGAGGAGATGTGCGTGCCAAAACAGGAAGGGAGAGGAAGACAAGAAGGGCCCGTTTTTCCTTTTCATCTATGGCGATGAAGACATCCTGGTTGCACGCGGGCGTGGGGGAGGTGTGGCATTCTGGACTGCTGCCAGCCCAAGCTGGGAGGTCCAGAGTGGTGTCACTCTGTGAATGTTGCTTTCATGCATGTTGAACCCTTTTATGAGTCGTTGCCTCAAATGACCGTGTAAGATGCCAATAGTGTGTGTGAGCAGATAACTGAAAGTACTCTGTCTGTACTGTATGTTTGTTCATCTGAATAGCCAGCGTTTGTGCGTGAGATCGGACGGGTGCAGTGTGTGTACAGACCAGTACTGGTCTATCACTAGTCACTTGTGGTGAAAGTGAGCAGATTCTTGTTGCCAGCTGAGTTGAAGCTTAGTTTCATCTCAAGAGCGTTGTTCGTTGTTTGCAATTCAAATAGAGTTCATGAAAAATTTATGTGCGCTCTGCCTCAAGGTGTGCATCTTTCTTCTCCAAGAAGTCTAGTACATGTGCATTACTGATAGAGCATGAGTAAATACAGAATTCATTATGATGAACTGGGATAAGTATTTATGAGAGTTCCTTACAATGAAGCAGGCATAAGCTTCTAAGGTTTGACCTGATGCAGCCGCAAGGCACGCGTGGGCTGACTGTGCATAGGTCTTATATCGCGATCGGAGGTGTGCCCACTTCACAGGCCAAACTTCAAGCAGGTGGGTGCTAAGTTTTAAGGCTTCTTCTGGCGCGCGGTAAGCAGAGCTGATGGTGTCTTCTTTCTCATGCAAGCGGTTTGATGATGCTCATTTCAGCATCATGCCGCATGGGTACAGCACTTCAAGTTTGCAGAGCCATACCGCAACATGTGCCCGGGGCTGATAACCAGCAAGAGTCGTAAGACGCCCAGCAGGTCATCAGCTGCAGCAAGATTTCAGTACATTCTTGGATCCTTTGGGCAGTAGAATTCTAACTGGAGGAATCACAGCCTTATGTATTTTATAATTCACCTCATATAGTAATTACCACATATAGGCCCTTCCGCGCAGCTCAACTAGTACAGAGCCATTGGAGGCTTCACTACACTGTGGCGCACGCAGGCACTTCAAGTTCTTCACAGTTTCTCAAAGATCATTTCATCAGTTCCTTTCTATTTGATTTGTCTAACAAAAAGCATAGTAGAGCTCAGCCACCATGCAATATCTACTGCCAGCTTAATACGAGTTCCGCCAGGTGGTGTCACTTTTGCCTTAAGGTATAACAAGGCACAAAGCAAACCTAAGCTGATAAAAGCAATCCTCCGTATTTTTGCCATTTTTGCCAGTTTGCACTGCAATCAAGGTCAGCCGATAGAGCATTGCCCCTGCTTGTGAATTGTCCTGCTTGTGGTCACACTGCAATCGATTGCCACTGATCTTTACTTTACTTACCACATTTAGCTGGGTTTCGGAGTGAACTTCGCACAGTCGTCAGGCAAGGCAGAAACAACGTTGAGTAGCTCACAAGTCTCTAGGTGATTTGCTTGCCCTTTCCCAAAATCACCGGTATCAGACACAATCATATTAACTGAAGGGGTTCGACAGGTGTCCGAGAATCGTTGCAGCCGCCTGCTTTCCTACTAAAGTTGTTCAAGGTTGTGAGCCAGGTCTGCATCCTTGCAGTTCCTGGGCTTCTTCATGCCTTTGTGATGCTCGTTTATATTTGCAAGTGCTGCATCAAGCAGGCCCCTTCCAAGGAGGGCCTGGGGAACCAAAGCGGAGCCCATGCAGTGATAGATAGATAATAAAGATATGAAGCAAGACTCATCATGATATATCTCACTGTACCTGCTGTGCCACAGGTACAGCGACCAGAGCTGCGGAGCGTTTCAGAATTTTGACCTACCCTCAGCACCTGCGAGCAGGTACATCTTGCAGGCTACTGTCAGTGGTTGAGTGTACGGCTTATTCAATCGACCGCATGGCCTTAGCCCACTTTTCAGGTGTTGAATTCTGCTGGACATCACCTGTCAGCAGATTTTGAAGGACCTGTGCTGCTTCGACCAGGATTGTGATTTGCTGATCGCGCAGGATGGATGCTGTGACCAAGCGGCTGGAGCAGCTGGACAAGGAGATTGCCATTGCAAGCACGAAGGCTGACAACGCCCAGCAGGCATACCGGAGCGAAAGAGATCCTCAGCAAGAAGTCAAGGCGAATCAGATATGGCAGGACCTGCGGGCAGACAAGGAGGCCCTTATCGCGGAGAGAATGGCTCTCGAAGCTAAGCTCACGGGCCCAGGTGTGCATGCTCCCCTGCTAGCTCACAATTGCTCATTGTGAGCCCCAAACTCATGGTATGAGTCGCGCAGGTGAGGCAGCAATGCGTGTCGGTATGCGTGTCCATATGTGCGCGGGCATCAATGGGTGTTGTCGAGCCGTATTGTTTATGCTGGCAGAAGGAAATGTGTCTGTGTGCTCCACAGACTTTAAATATGAAGACTTTTGACTGCAGGTGCTAGTGCTGAAGCATTAGATGACCGCGAGCGGAATGCATCGAGGCTGCAAAAGGGCATGCCAGCCGCATCATCTTACAGTAGGGCAGATGCGACCGATGACAGCTGGATGAGCAGCAGAATGCAGAGGAAGCTGGGCGGCACATTGCTACACCACCGGCCAGCTTCAGCGCTAGGCACCCCTGTGGCGCTCATGGACCCGATCCTGGCACAGGTGGCAGAGGACTGCGAGAAAGCTCAGCCCACAGCTGCAGATTGCAGGTTTGCAGCTCAGGTTGCCACAGACATGTCAGAAGGATACAGAGACGAGGACGCCAGGGTGGAGGTGATGCAGAGGTTGTTGCTGGAGGAGTACGGGCAGAGCTTCATTCGCATGTCGATTTCCAAGGGCATCACAGATGGGTCACTCCTCCATCGGTCCGGGGCCCTCTATGGCAATATGGAGGTGAAGAATGAGGTCGGCGCTGGAGGCGGGTCAATTCATGTGCAGAATGCAGCCTATGCAGCGTTGCATGCTACTGGTCCCGGGCGCAAGTCTGTCAGGGACAGATGCGTCTGTCCCACCCTGCTGCTGGAGGTAGCCGGGCCAAACCTGAGCCTGTCAGGGGCAGTGTTCAGCAACGTGGCCGTGTGCGATCCTCTGTCGCCCATGGTGTCACTGCTGTGGCTGCCGCACTCTCCGCTAATGCTTCAGGCTGCTCGCTGCTTTGCGGCAATCCGTCGGGCACTGCCGGCGCTGGATCACTTCTATGACAGCCTGGAAGGCCAGCAGCAGCCGCCATCCCGCCAGCTGGAGTATCCTTACCCTTGCAGCTTCATGGACGGCCGTGGCAGCGAGGTGCACTTCAGGTACACAGGCATGCTGAACAGACTCGTGTTCACTGCAACAGCCGGAGAGCAGCAGCTGGTCATCAAGTTCACACGCAGCTACAGTGCAGCAGCACACAGGACAGCGCATGCAGCCGGATTCGCTCCTGCCCTGTTGGGCCTGCGCGAGCTCACAGACAGCTGGCTCATGGTAGTCATGCAGCAGGTGACATCGAATATTGCAACTCCTCAGTCAGAATGCGTTGGGTGTGTAATGGATTTCTTGTACACTGCGCTAAATATTTACTGTTGATGCATGCTCCTCTGAGTCTTGGGGCAAAATGCACGACTTCTTATGCCAGTGTTTCTTTGGCAGGTCGCAGATGCTGTCATCTGGAGCGAGGCCATGGACAAGCCGGCAGCCGGGCTTGCAGATGCCGTGAGAGCGCTGCATGCTGCCGGATTCGTGCATGGCGACTTGCGCGATCCCAATGTGCTGGTGAGTGGGGAGAAGGTCTTTCTGATCGACTTCGCCTGGGCAGGAACGGCTGGCGCTGCGTGCTACCCACACTTCATGTCTTCTGAGGTGGACTGGCCGCCTGGTGCATCCGATGGGCTGCCAATCGTGCGTGATCACGACCTATGGCAGCTGGACAGACTGCTGCAGATGTAGATGCGATGATGCCCCGGCCATGCAGCATGCAACGAGGGTAAGGGGCTTTCATCTGGCTTATGAAAAGTCAATGGCATGAAACCCTCCTCGTGGTGGACAGATTCCAAATCCTCATTCTTTAGGCCGGCGTAGAAGCAGTCCAATGAGGTGTTTAGTCTGAAAGCTAAGAGAGTAGCCAAAATGCGATTCGGGCTTGCTGCTGTGCTTCTGGTTGGCAGGGTCTACATGTCAATATTGATGCGGTGCGAAGAGATGCGAAGGTATGTCTATCAAATCTCAAGGTCATGCTGTGTGTAGCGCAGCCCTTAACAGCCTGAGCGGAAGGGGAGAGAGGGCAGCAAGTGCACATGCACAATCTCTACTGGCGACTGCTGCGAGTAGTGCGGCATCATGGATGGCCACCCTGATCGTGGCTAGAGTAACGAGCGGCAGAGGAGCTGTGGGGACGGAAAGGAGGGCTGAAAGCTCGTGTTGACTTTGAATGAGCCAAGAATCTGCCCAGTAAGGACTAGACCAGGCATTGGTGCCAGAGCCGATGATAGTTTTGGCGCAATCACGTAGCAGGTCAGCGAGAGAACATTTTGATGACTAGCACCACTGGGCAAGAGCTTAGCTGTTTGAAGGCATCTAAAAGAATTTCCAAGGGCATATCAGGGGCGAATGGCAAGGTAGTACATTCAGGTCATTTTGAGAATTTAAGCTTGATCAGGCTGGCAGGCAGGTTGCATCTTGCTTTCTGTCGATTGATTATCAATGATGTCATCCAACGTTCATTCAGCCCTGCGCGCAGCTTGCCGCTGAGCGCGCGCGCCTGAGACCGCGCTCTCAAGTGCACATATGTCTGACTTGAGATGTGGAGTGACTGATGTCAGAGTCTGTCAACGCTGAGCCGTTCAGTGACATTGGAATTCCTCAAGTCTCAGGGTCACCCTGCACGCCGTGTGCACCAGCGGTGTACTCGTAGTCAAAATTTGCACGTTATGTAGCTAATCATCATCAGGTGCTCTTAAAAACTTATGGTGCTGGTGGCTGAGAGGGAAAACAAAGCGTCATGTGGGCATAAATGCCATCGCACATTTTATTGCAGGTATCTATTTACATCTTGCAGCATGTAGACCAAGTGCATGCTAAGGTTTCGTTGACGTGGCGCCACGTAGATCGAGATTACCTGTTATGGCCGACCCTATCTTCGTGGAGGCGACTGGCTGTGCTTTGCCCCTCTCCCATTAGCATCGCAGCGTAGAAGAAATTTGGGGAGTAAGGTGGACAAGATGATACTGACTCTACCCAGTCTTCCGCAGACACTCTGTCCTGGAAGAAGGGTGGCTGACAGGCACGGTTTGACAAGCAGCAATGGCACAGCAGGAAAGATTAGCATGAAGAGCAACAACACCTATCATATTGAGGTGAGATGAAGTGTGATCGCAATCTTCTATGGTGCTACTGTGAATCGAGACATCAAAAGTGCGCATCATCAAGGGTGCAGTGTCCAACCACTGCCTCATTCGCACTAGTCTGGGTTTTAAGTTACGAGAAGACCATGTGAAGAGTGAGGATGTTCTTTTGCACAACTGTGGGGTGCTAGTGGTCTGGTGCAAGAATGAATCTCTGTGATTTGGTCAGGCTCTCCTGACAAGCTGTCCTGACATTGTAGGTTCTGGTTGGAGAAGATGAGCCTCCTGAGAACGCTTTGAAGCGCTTCCGGTGGGCGTCAAGGAGCACAGGCGTAGTACAGGAGGTGAAACTTCAAGCTTGGACCTTAAAAGCAGATGTGTACCTGCAATTCAGTGGGCCCAGGACGTGACGGACTAGCCTTGATCTTTATCCCACTTACACAACAAATTTGCCATTTGTGTGCCTGATCATTGAACCCTGCCGTCCCGCGGTGCCAGGCACGGAGGAGACAACACTTTGAGAACACACAGGATGAGAAGAAGCGCAGGATTAAGGACGGGCACATGAAGAAGTCAAAGTGAGTCCATTTCATGTGCCGAAGTGTCGCTTGTTCTGTGTGGTAATGGCCACCTCGACTAAACTTTCAGAGTGGGAAATATGTGAGTTTGCTGTGTCAGAGCGTGGGTTGCATCCAAGTTTTTCACATGATGCCATTGTGTATGCAGGAAGTGGGTTCCGCCTCCACGCTTTGAGGATGTTGTGACCTCCTTGGAGTCACCCCCTTTTGCAGACCTCTTTGGGGACCCTTCGGACATCTTCTCAGAGGTGGGTTGATCCCATCATCTGCCTGACTTTTATTCAGCATTATTATGCATTTCACTTGATGCTTGAGTCATGGCATTTGGGCCCCCGCCCGATCATGTGCTTTGAAAGGGACTTGCAGGGCTGGTTGTTTGTCAACAATGATACCAAGGAAAGCTCCGCAAGGATGGTCATGGCAAGGGAGGAATGCTAAACTTTTCCCTGAAGCATTCTGTGTTGCGGCAGGGCAAGTTGCAGGGGAACTCGAACGGAAATGGCAACAAGCGCTTTCAAAGCCGCTAGAGGATGGATAGGCAGGAGGCGGGCATGACATTTGCCGCCTGGGGTCTCTGTGTCTTTGGCTGCAGCAGAACCAATATGTTGTCTCAATGGCTGTTGGCTGGCATGCGATATAAAAAGCTGATTGAATCCTTCGAGAGTGTACTGTAGTAGGCACTGAGTGCTGCATCTTGAGATTGACCTGTCAGGTACCGAGTGCAGGCGCCAGTATTCTGGCTCGTTTTTTGGAAGAACTCATGCTAACAATATATGCATGCTGATTGATAATGACGGTCCCCTTTGGGAAAAATGCTGGGTAATCAATTGTACACAGAGTTGGGCTTTGGTGCGGCGCTGCCGTTGTTGATTGGCTGCTGGAGCCTGCCAACATGTTGCATTCCCTCAGATCTCCAGAATCATGACCAGATTCTTTGAATAGCCTCTATAGCTGTGATCCGGTCCAACTTTTCGGCCATCACTGATTGTCAGCGTTCAATGCGCAGAACTGCGCATGCGGCTTTGTGCCCGGCATGTGGCTGTAGCATGCGATGCAACCCTCACACAAAAGGCGGTGGCGATGATGATGATGATGTCACTGCGCAGGATGCTGACATTTCTAAAGAACTGAACTCCGGTCCATGCTATCATGGTGATCATGGTGACCAACGGTGTTGATGTCAAAATCAGGATGATCACTGGCATGCATGTCACATGCCAGGATGCCATCAGTGATCACGGTGATCATTTCTGCAAATGCAGCTGCAGGCCTGGGTTTTCAATTCAAAGTTGACTCATATAGTATAGTGACATATGACATATACGTAGGCCTGGACCTGAAAGCTCGCGGAGTGCTCTGAGTGCTATGCTCAGTGCCGGAAGTCGCATTCAAATCTAACGCCTCCTGGTGGGTGACTCGGTGCTTCGCCAACGCAAGGATATTGACGGATCGCCAGTGGCATTGAGCCCAAATGGGCAGCCCGTGACGTGACGACTCTGGGCGATTGTGCGGCCATCAGCGGTGACGACAGATCGTCACCAACTTGAATTTGATCAAAATTCTGAGATGAGATGCACCTTATGAGAAGCAACTTGTAATCGATTGGGAAGGGTACGACCGTGCGAGACGACGGTGCAAGATCCCATATTGCCAGCACGACAGGGTCAGGGCGTTCCGGCTGCAATTAGATGCCAACCCAAGCAGGGTGAACCCTTTGTGCAGTCCTGGGTGTCGATACCCTTTAAGGAAGGGTTCAATTGCTGCTTTGCACGCGCATGGCGTGTACTTTGGCCGTAAGCCTGCCCCAAAGACTGACGACCGGACTCACAGCTTCGGACTACCCCGGCACTTCGGTTGTCCATATTGGAAACGGGGTCCCGCCCGGCGCGAAGGGACAGCGCTACGAGGACGGCATGCTCGAAAAGGTATAGTCTTGGACAGCAAAAGAGACAAAATCGACGTGTCCAGCCGGCTGGAACTTGCCGAGAAGCGATGGAAGTCGCACTTCAACGTGAAGCTGAAGTGTCCCTTTGAGAAAATATTTGCCCATTGCATCCAAGACTTCAGCGCCTTTTTTACGTTTCTGGCTGCATTTGCATGTCTCGATCATGGCTGTTGCCTTTCACTCGCCGTGCATCGCTTGTTCACATACCTAGCTATGGGTCCTGGGCATATTTTTTAGCTGAGGCCCAGCAGCAATTCCACCTGCCCAAATGCCGTAAAATCCAGGGAAATTGACTTTATTGCACGATCTCGAACCCCTACAATGTACGATCTGCGCATGCTCGCAGCTCCCCCTGCATGTGTGGGGACCAGCTGACTGGGGTGCCAGCCTAAAGCTTTCATCCATTCCCTCTCTACTTCAAGACCCTTCAGCAATCATCAGCAAGCCTGCAACTGACCACACCTCATGCACACTGCGCAGGTAAAGGAGGAGACGTCTTCGGCAAACCACGGCTCATCTAGTCTGGGCACCCCTGCACCCAGTGCCTTGGAGGGAGAGACGCACATGGAGGCAGCACACCAAGTGGCCAGCGGCCCCGCGGGGTCCACTCTTTACGGGGGCAGGGAGGACCAGCCAGAGGAGGAAGCCAACAGGAAGGACACATCTGCGGCAGATGACCTGCGCGAACTGGCAGCCAAGGGTGTCTGCGCTCCCCTGTGGCGCACCAATCAGCCAGTACAACCGGTGCGTAGGCAGCCTGCTGCAAGAGCAACAGGACACTGCAACAGCAAGTTGATACTGCAGGATTGCGTGACTGGCTGGTTACAGCACTTAGAGGCAGAGCTGGGCAGCTCTGGACCCAGAATAGAGGGTTCCAGTCAGGCAACATTTGGTACTAGCTTCGTGGCGCTGAAATGCGATATACTGTAGCATGAGAGCTTGGCAGGAGTGCTGCCTCCCACTCTCTCCTGCATGTGGTGGTGTGACCTTCAGATGACGGGCCCAGACAGCGTCGGCAGAAATCGCCAGCCCAAAGCAAATCAGAACAAAGTGGTGATCACAGAATGTGTGGCACAGGGGACTGCAGAGCCAGCGGTGCACACGCTGCAGACGGGCTGGTGCTTCTATGCGGGGCTGGACGCAGCCAAGCGCTCCAACGTGTGGGTGGCGAGCCAGAGCCCTGCAGCGCTCTCCATGCTGGCGGCGGCCGGCGCCGCGGCCGGGGGCTCTCCCGGCCCCGACCGCTCGCGGCCCGAGTCCCTCATGCAGGTATGGACCTCCAATTTTTCGCTGTGGTCCCTTCCGAAAATTTCTCCAATGCACATATCCACCTGGCCGGAAACGCAGGTGTCATTCTTCTACCGGGTGTCATTCTCAACAGTAGTGGCGCAAGTTTTACATTAAATTACGCAGAAATTCCGAAGCGAGGAGCCTGGGAGGCAAGGAAAGTTGCAGAGCACCTACCAGCGCAGCTCAAGTGCTGGGGCCTTCCAAGGAAGTTACTGTGGCAGATTGGCGGCCTGTGCAGCTGATTGAGCTGCAGGAGCTGAAGAAGCATGGAAGGCTTGCGAGTCTTTATAGTCTTCATGCTGTGCAGGCGCTGCGAGGGGTTGCGGAGAAGGGTACGCGAAACAACGCATGGCTGGGAGCAAGTCCGTCGCTGCGCGAGATTCTTGAGGGGCGCATGGCGGACGCCGGGGGGCCCTCCACCCCTCGCTCACCCTTTGACAACGGCGCCGGCCCTGACCTCGCCAATGTGCGTACTCCCTGGAAGGGTTCACCTCTGCAATGCAGTATTTGTCTTCATTACCCCAAAACGGCAACCCTTGTTTTCCACCTCCTGATGCTCATGGTCAGTCATGGCCAGCAAAGCAAATCTGCACATTGATTTTGCATCCCGCTGCATAGTCTTTGACAGACATTGACACGTCAGCAATGAAGATAAGAATTGGGGTCAACGGGGGGGACAGGAAGGCTGGTGTTCCTGCTGCAGCACACTCTTCACATGGGCGCAAGGGTGTGATGTAAAACTGCTGGGTGTGAAACTGCAAGAGGGCCTCGTCGTTGCCTATTTTCAGGTAGTCAGTGGAGAATCAAGTGATCTGATTGGAATATGCTGGTGGGTGCAGATGCAGGGCTACACCACGCCGGAGCAGAAGGATACCTTCAACCTGATGGGCTTCAACTCCTCCAGCACTCCCAGCACAGCCACCAACATTGATCTGGGCAGCCTCCAGGTGAGCCTCCCTTCACACTGCTTCATGCCCATCTTGAGCTCCCTGTAGTTCCTGTCCTGCTTGATCATCATGTAGAGGCCAGTGCAAAACGCCTGCCGAAAATCAGGCCTGCCATGCTCGATTACGGTGTCCGGTCATCTTTGTGCATATATCAACCGGGCTGCGAGACCTGCATGTCAAGCCTGTGAATAAGAAGTTGCAGGGTGTGCGGGGGTGACTCTGCCTGACTGCGATGCCTGCCCGTCAAATTTGGAAGTTTAGGGGCGGGGAATGTATGATTGTGTGCATGCATGCGCGCAGGCCCCCCACTCGCCGGAGCCGGGGCAGCAGGCCGTGCTGGGCAGCTCCCACAGCACGCCCTCCAACAGTTTCCTCGCTGAGCTGCGCCGCCAGCAGCACCAGCAGGTCATGCCCACACCTTTCTCTGCTGACAAAGGGGGTTATGCTGCTGCGGTGATCGCTGCTTTCCAACCGATGAAGTCCTGCGTCATTGGCTAGGTCTCAATTGTGTACTCATGTAAAAGAGTCTAAGATTTGTGCACTTGGCATCGCTGTGTGTGCATCTGGATGAGGGCACATGCCTGGCTGATGGATTTACCTGTACGCAATCTACACATCCGCAGACACCTGCTTGATTCAAAAATGGCCAGCGCGGCCGATCGACAACTCTGCGCTGCACAACAAAATAGTCCATTTTTTTGTTCGGTTATTACTGTGTGGCTGGAGCTGTCAATGGTACTGGTGCAGGGCCGGAGGAGTCTGGACGGGGAGTGGAACGGCGGCAATGAGCGGCTGGGCCGCGCAGGCAACTGGATGGACGAGGATTTCCCGGGAGCTTCGCGGCAGCTGCCGACGCTCAGCGACGGCGGGGCGCGCGGCCGCGACTCCAAGCACAGCCCCACGCACTCCAATATATCGGCTCCCCCCACCTTCGGCGATGGGGGGTCCCCCTTCCGCGGCTATGACGGTGCGTTCACCCCTGTCAACCCTAAACCCTTTGTCCATTGAATCAAGCCCCCAGCTCTCGGTGTGACGGGGGTGTGACGGGAGTGTGACGGGAGTGTGACAGTCTGCTTAAAACACTTCGCTCACCCTCAATGTCAAGGGGCAATAAACAGGATGTTTGAGGGTGCTGCAGTACATGTCTAATGATTCTTCACACTCTGGTAACTCACCTGGGGTCATGACACCGTCTGCAGAGGGTCAAGCAGTCACATGCGAAGTGCTTTTGTTCATGTTGATCAGACAACCTGCATCATGAAGAGCTCTATAGCAGGTTTGGTTTTTAAATTAAAAACTCATTCGCAGGCGCGATGGCGTCCCCGGCAAAGCCGAGCGCGCCGCCGGCGTCGGTGCCGCAGCTGCCAGAGAAAGTCATGATGGCGCTTGTGAGCACGCCGGCCATGTTTGCAGTGCCAACCTCCATCAACAAGGGCTTCAATCCCCCATTTGTGCTGCGCGTGGGAGTTGTCTCCACCGCCCCCACGCAGATCAAGGCCACCGTGGCCGCCTACGTGCTGCAGAAGGACCAGGCACGCCCCCTGACTAATACGCCTCGTCTTTTGGCGCCAACAGTGCCAATTCTCTGCAGACACCCCCATCAGCTGTGAGAGCAAAGTGCAGGTCTTACATTTGCATCTTTGCTTGAAATGGGTGTCTTTTCAAATCTGTGTGGCATCAATATGCTTTCCTGCATAGCATGTCGGCAGCTCCTGCATTCTCAGTGCTGACCCCTTCGAAGGGCCGCGTTGAATTCAGGAGGAGTTGTCACGGTATGTGAGATTTCACACACATACATATATTTATATATATACTTTTGGAGGACCTCCTAGAGGGTGAAAATGGTGCAACCCTTCTACAATCACAGGGCAAACGCACAGCACCATCACACTACAATGGCATCACGCTACAACACATGTATTTCAAAGGGTGGATGATGCGGTGCGCAGGTGGCAAACTTGGAGAAGTGGCACCCGGCGCAGCACGTGGTGACAGAGAGCCTTAGCGGTGCGATAGTGACTCAGACGATCGTATGCCACGGCCCCTCGCACCCCAAGCTGCCGCAGCCCTCCCCTGGCAAACACACCGGCGTCGCGGAGTTTGTCTTCGACGGTGTGCCCTCCCTCTTTATCCCCTTAAATAATTTTTGAAATTGCTCTGTCTGGAAACATGGAAATTTGGTTTATGGTGATTGGTGGAGAGGCATTCAAGCAGTTGCATGTTTTTGTGGTGGCAATCAGTTGCTGCTCGGCAATGCACAGATGCACTTTTCCTTCTCACCGTGCTATAAAGTTCTTGACAATTGGAGGTTCCTGTATGGCAAATGAATTGCTGCCCAGTTATGCACACGGATAGCCGGTGAACCGGGCATGCTTGCCTTGTGCTAGCTAAATCAAAATGGTGTGCATGGGTGTATGTGGGGTTAGTAAAGGGGTAGCTGTGTGCGCGCAGACCTGAAGTTCCACAGCAGCAGCCGCATGAAGCCGCGCTGGCTGGCCTTCGCGCTGACACTGCCCACGGATGATGTGCTGTTTGTGCAGTATACTGTGCCCACCATCGTCATGTCCCGCCAGTGCGACCAGCACAACAAGGTGTGCCACTGGAATGCTCATCTTGCTGATCCGCATGTCGCTCATTCGGGTGGTGTTGTATGCAATGTACCTTGCAGCCAACATATGCAGGCTCTTCTCTCAATGACCACAGCTTTTTTGGGAGAGGTAAGGGAGGTTTGAATCTTGTCCAGTGATTATGACAGAGCCATTTTTCTCTTCTTGTGAATAAGGAGGAACAGCTTTGTGGATGCATCGTGCTGTCTGGTTTCAAGCGATAAGCAACCTGTAAAAACTCATCCTGAGCATGGGCTCTGTGCGCAGTCAGGAATGAGCATCCTGCGGGGCCAACTGATAGGACAGTGAAGGGCTGCACACTTAGCAACTCTACTTTTAAGGGATCTGAACTGCTCGTCCGATTGCTCAAGCGAAGAGCATCCTGCAAGAGCATCTTTGAATGCATTCTCATGTTCTTGTGTGCGCGACCAGGCGATGAGCATCCTGCGGGGTCAGCTGCCGTGGCGCAAGCGGCAGCGGCCGGAGACTCCTGGCCCGGCGTCGCCGGCGCAGCCGCTGCGCGCGACGATGAGCGCTCCGATCGGCAGCCTAGATGGGTTAGGGCCCCCGGTCGAAGACCCCTGCGACGGGGAGTGGCCCCTCTCCACGCCATACACCTTTGACCGCTGGCGCGACATGATCGAGCGGTGAGACAGCCAACCACCATTCTCAGCTTTCAGCATGCCGTGCATAGAAGTGTGTGTCCGTCCATGTGTCTGGAAATCCAACGGTGGGAAGCAGGCATTGCCTTCATGTTCAAAATGTCGGGTCATTACTTCTGTGCTGCAAGAGCGTCGTTCTGTTGATGTGGGAGTTTCGGTTGGGAAGTCCTGGCGAATGATTGGGAATCTGCTCTGGCGGCTGCATTGTTTGTGATGACATGTTGCCGATTCTCCTCCACCAAGAGTATGGCTTCAACAATGTGTGAGCCAGGGGTGTTGCTGCCCAGCAAGAGCACTCTTGTGCAAGGGCAGTGCTGAGGCTGAGGTGGGGAATGATTGTGTGCAGGAACTGCAAGTACTACAGCCTGATTCGGCCTTTTGACAAGGACGACCTGCGCATGCTGGCCAAGGTTGCGGGCTTCTTCAGCAACCAGGCCTCCCAACGCATCGCCCCCTTCGAGCTCACCCCCGGCCAGTGGCAGGTGCATGATAAGCACACTGGGAATGATTTTGTATTGGCAGGCAAAACACTACTCTCTTGACCACTTGTTCATCATAACAGTGGTCTTGAGATTCATTGATGAGTCATGAAGGGTGAAGCAATCTTGGAGTGACCTTATACTGGCAATTTCAGAGAGTGTATGCTTGCTTTGCTGTAGATATGCACGGGCAGCATAAGAGGGTGAAGTGATCAGACTAGCGAGCAGACTAGCAAGCAGACTAGCGATAGTCGCTGATCAATTGTGCTCGCTTAGGCGTTCGGGAACTGGTTCATGTCGTACCTGCGGCTGTTCCGGTGCCACCAGCAGCTGTGGATGATGCGCAATCCCACCGCCATCTGCGGATTCGGCGTCGACCGCGCGCGCTCAGAAATCCTGCTCGCCCACCAACCCTCGGTATAACCACCTTTGCAATCCCCCTTTCACCCATCAGCCTGAAATCAAGGTGGTGCAACCTACTATATGATATTCACCCTTGCTCGCACCACCACTGAATCCCCATGCACCCCTGAAGGAGGCCATCCGCATGCTAGTCGAGACCACCACATGCAAATCTCAGCAGTCTCGTCCAGTTTGCCGGGGCTCTGCCCAGACTAGTTGCTGCTCATGGTGCATGATGCCTTTTTTATACAGTACTTCAAAAGACCCGTCCAGCATCATGTCTGCATATATTGCCCCTCTGCGAAAGGACAGGACCAAACGAGCACTTGTCCTGCTGAGCCTGCATCCAAATGATGCCGTGATCGCCTTATCTTTGGCAATGCGACCCGTTGCTCAGCTAGAAATTTTGTGGTTGCTGTAGGGCACATTCCTGGTGCGGCCGAGCCTGAGCCTGGCTGGAGCAATGGTGCTGAGCGTGGTGGTGGATGGCGCCATCAAGCACATGGCCCTTGACGGCAACCAGCTTGACACACGCTCCCTCGAGGTAACCCCCCTTGCATACACCCCTTGGCCCTGCCATTGCTGTTGCATGTCATACAGGGGGGTTCCCTGCTTTTGAACCAAGTATCCTTCTGGTCATTAGTAAGCACATGACCTTTAGATGGGGCACCCTATCACAGTATGCACAGCAGGGATGCTTGAAAGACAGGTATTTTATTTGTGCCCAGCCAGGCTTGTGCTTGCTCGTGTTATGTGACCGTGTGTCTTGCGGGTTGCAATCCCACATGTGTCAGCACAGGTATCTTTATAGCTGGTCAGGGTGATGGATTGGAGCCTGACTGGCAGCCTGACTGAGTGCTTGCGCCGTGGACATCGAAGTATTATTATTATTATTATTATTATTATTATTATTATTATTATTATTATTATTATTATTATTATTATTATTATTATTATTATTATTATTATTATTATTACCATCTTTATTATTACCATTATTACACGCCTATCCAAGCCACAGTTGGCTTAGGTGCGTCGCAGCAGCGTTTCTATGACAGCCTTCCAGCAAAGATATATAGTCAAAGGTAATCCAGCAGCGTCTGACATGTGTCATTTGGGGCTTGTGCAGGTGTGGGTGCGCGATGTGAGGGAGGCAGTTGAGCTGCTGGACGAGGCCACAGGGCAGCGCACGCCCAAGGAACAGGTGACTGCAATGCACGCTCTCGATCCCTGTTCATGTAATAGCAGGACAGAATGCCAGGTAGCTTGCGCATGGAGCTTCTGTCCTTGCCTGCCTTTCAAAACGGATTGTCTGTGAGCTTGTTTGGCCTCCGCATCAGATCATACAGTGATAAAAAGTGCAAGAGTGCAATTGCCCGGCTGGCAGTGGTATCCTAGTGAGTAAGGGAGCCTGGCGCACTTGCCTGAATTGGCTTAATTCAATTGGTGCCAGAGACCCATCCCAGCCGCGGATGGCATGACTTGGCGTGATGACATGGCATGAATGCTGATGTGGCGTGTCCCGTCTGCGCAGGTGTTCCTGTTGCACTACCGGCGCTTCGGCGTGGTCACGGACCTGGTGAGGCCGCCGGCGACGGGCGGGCCGCTGCACATGTTCAGCGCGCACCATTACAGCCTGCCGCAGCCGGGCAGCCAGATGACTCACCAGCTGCTGCCCAGCGGGGGGTCCCTGATGTCCACCGGAGGGGGGTCCCTCCTGCCCACCGCACTCAGCGTCTCCATGAGCACCGGGGCCAGCCCGTGAGGCCACAACGCTCTCTTAAATTCAAAAGTGACAGACGAATCAACATTTAAAAATCAAAATAGCCTGCGATGGGGGGAGGCTAGCAATGCCGGGGAAGGTTGGCTGACAGTAGGGGCATGCAGCAATGTTGTTTGCTCCACTGTATTGCCCAGAAGCTCCGCAGCTATCTGCTCAATTATGGCCTTGACAGTGTGGGCAGTGCATGCTACCGCCCATGGGAAAAGGACATGCAAAAAGTGGCTAAATGTTCAGCGCCCTACTGCACTAGAAGGATCGGTGCAGGGGCAATGTGTGGCGCGAAGCTTTGCGTTTGCAATCTGGACATGTCAAGCAGGGTGGCTGTGATGCTGACAGCCGAGAACCCTGATAATAATTTATTTCATTAGGGCTGTTGCACAGCCCCCCAGGGGAGGGGGGCGCAGCTGCTCCTTCCTGGCCCTTTTTCCTGACTTGGTGCAAGCGCTGTTGAAGGGCTGCTGTCTGCACCTCCCTTGAAAAGGGGCTTCAATAGACTGATGTTTCATGATTTGCAGGCACCATGTGTGCCGAGCATGCCCTGCCTAATCTGCCCAATGTGGGCGGGGTAATTAAGAGTGCAACTGGCGAGTTTGCTCAGTGCAGAGAAACCTGCACTGCTGCTGGCAAATTCACACTTTATAACTCACTGTAAGTAGGGGACATGAGCAGATACTTCTCACCCCTTGGAAGGGCTTGGCTGTGGGGGGTGGTTAATTACAAGGTTTCTGACCACACTGCAAGCACTGATAACATCACATGACAGTCGCTGCTTGGTGCTGCTACAAGCAGGCTGTTCTGTGGTTAGGATGTACATCGGATGGCGGTCGACTTTGATCAAACGTTTAGAACGTGCACAGGCCCAGCTAAGTATATGCAGCCAGGGCATTTGAGGGTGTTTTCTGGTGGCACCCAAGTTGTACATATTTTCTTGACCCGAGTGCCGGGTGTTTGCATCCTGACAAAAGAGTGATCCGAGGCTTGGAGAGTGATCCTAGAATGGCCGTGCAACGAATGACAGCAGCGCTTACAAATGGACTGCTATGTGCACAGTATTATAAAAGCAAGGGCAATGCAGAGAAGTCATGCCTTTACCAAAAAAATAAGTGAGGCATATTTACTCTGACTAAGCGCACACCTGGGTTTGTGGGTGACACCAGGCACCCACAGGAAGTGGGCAATAGTGCATCTTGATGCCCTTTACGGCGCTAAAAATGGGTCTTTACACAATTGCGTGGTGCCTTTTCTAGTTGCAATGTAGTGTCAAGTCACAGGCATGCATGCAACATGCATGGTGCTGTTTCTTTGATGTTGGTTGTACAATTTGTGCAGCGCTCTTTAAGCGCTCCCAAGTCTGGTCACCACGCGGTGTTGCAACAGATTGGTGTTGTTTGATCTTTTCTTGGACAGCCCAACACAGCCTTGAGGCTACTTTGTTTTCCCGGTTGGAGGCTCGCACAGAGCAGCGGTGCAGAGTTGCGACGAGAGCTTCTGAGGCGCCTCAGGTCTTTGTGTAGCTTTTCTTCTGGCGCAGAAATTTCAAATTTGAAAATGAGCGCTGGGGACCTGAGCACTGATTGGCTCTAAGGCGCACCTGCATTGCTGTTGTGCGGACACTTACAGGTGCTTGGTTACTGACTTTTATATCTTCACATGTCCTTTTCACCTACGTTTGGATTGTCCGGAACGTTTAGTGGTGCAAGGCAGGGGCCAACCTGGCGGGTTGGTTGCCCCTTTAGGGCGAGGTCAATGGGTGAATTCACTTCAAATTGTCACAGGCACTGTCGCACCTTTTGAGTTTGCAACCGTGCTCAAGGTCTTCTAGACTATGGCTCTACGGACATGTCATATGTATTGTGAGAGATCCCTGTACAAAGCGTCTTCTACTGTCCTGATGGATTGATTGTAATGCATGGCATGCAAAGCTAAGCTTGATGTCGGTGCGGACTCGATTAACACATTCATGATGACCATGGCATGCCATCCCCAATGGGCTTTGATCCAAGGGAGGCTGCACTCTGACATATATTTCATTGAATCATGGACTACCACTGGCAAGCCACTCGAGTTGAGCTCACTGCTAATGCAAAATTACATGATTATGAAGGAAGCCTTCAAGGGTGCTGCAGTTGCAACTTTGATTGCATGCTATGTGTTAAATTACTTCAAAATCTTTGTGAGAAAGGAAAGTAGTGAGATGCTCTGATGCTCTGGCCCATAATCTGGGTCCAGATTTTCAACTTAAGTTTGGGGGTTTAGCTGAAACCCTAATCTGAAGGAGGTTTCCTTGCGACTCGCACGCGCCAGTTTTCTTTGTTATGATGTTTGATTGAATTAAAAAGTGGTAGATCGATACGTTAGTCTCCCTGTTGATAGTATTGCTGCACTGTGCATCTTAGAAGCCAGTGCTTCTTTTCCGTTTAACTCTCTACCAGGAGGCTACTACAACATCTCGGGCACGATGTTCTGTCTGACAGCCCCGCGATGGACTCTCGTGCAGATCTCACTGGCGTAGTAACGTCCTTTTGAGGCATCCAGCCATAACTCAGGTGGGCCTTTACGATTGGCGCCTTCTGTAACACCATTTCCGAAACAGAGCAAATGCAGTCCATCAGTAGATTTTGGGCGCGTGATGTATCGTGTGACAGATATGACAAGCTGAATTTTTTAACATTTCAAATCTTGAGCGTTGTATGTGTCTGATTCCAGGGTGAAAGAGCGCCCAGCTGGAAGCTGCTCGGCAGGAATTCTCGGATCGTTCAGGTAGTAGTCTTGCGCCGCAGTAGCTGCAGATTAGCCATACATTGCTTGCATTGGGAGTGTTGTACCGTAATTATCGCATATCTATACACTTCCAATCTGCCATTGTTTTCTTAGATTACTCCTATTTCCACCGGTACATCGCGCACGGCTCACACCAGCGTGTACGCTGACATAGTCGTAGAGCGCAACCGATGCGACTCTCGATGAAGTATCAGCATCAGTAAACCATCTTTGATGATTTCTGTGCTCTGAATGAATCTGAGGGAAGCTTCTCTTTTGCAGGTAGACTCTCGTGAAGCACCGATGCAGATCGAGGCGAGGGGGACTGGTGGGCAAGGAATGGGGAATCCCAACATGTAAGCATATGTCCCAGTGCTCTCTTAAGAGCGTCAGTATTGTCTGTGTCCAAAAGGCCTCTGGCAGCCAGGATTCCTATCACCAACTGGAGCTGCACAGTTGTGAGCTCGCCCTGTGCGTCCGCTTGATGGCCCTGTCCTTGATGTATGCAGGGGCATGGGGAGCTATGCCGACTTTGAGACTGCCATGTACCGCATGCAGCCACTGCCACTGCTGGACAACCACGGCCCCAACAGGTATGACATTGTCACTTTCCCCAGTGATGGCGTCCCCATGCATCTCATCGGCAGGAGGATTTCATGTTCTGCATCACGTACTACCCACAGACCAAGGGGACGGGCATCGAAAAGGGATGCCAGTGATGTACTACAAGCATTTGTAATTGAAGCATCATAATGTGTGTCTACATAAGATGTGAAGCTGAGAAGGATGAATTTCCACTGCGCAGGCACAGCGACAACGGCAGCGGCCAGCCAGACCTGGATGACGAGCAGCTCTTCCACATCTTCATGGATCTGGACATGCCAGGGGTAGACATGCCTCACTCTGCCGGGGGGGCCATGACTAATTCTTCAGATGCACTGCCGGCGGCGGGGGCCGGCCAGGGGCGGCCGGGGACGGCGAGTTATGAGGGTTTCGAGAGCGAGGGTGAGGAGGAGGGTGACGATGAAAAGTGCAGCGAGCGCGGCGGCCGGGGCCGCAGCGGCGGCCGCAGCACTCGCGCACGCAGGCGAGCCGGGAAGACAAAGGATGAGGTGCGCAGCCTTGCATGTGAAACCTGCACCTCTCAAGCAGCATCTCCATCTCACTTAGCCCAGCATACGGCCCACTTGCACGCGCTACCTGTACAGTCCTAGAGATTAAAGGCATGCAGCGCTCTGAGAAAAGCGGAGATTATATCATTTCTGCTTGCACCTCGTTCTTGTTATGTCCACATGGTGCTAGCCTGATCAGATCTGCATCATGCCAAGCCTGCTGGCATTGTCATCGTGTACCAGAAATTCAGCTCGACCAGGCATGCAACCAGGGCATCTTGGTGTTCAGCATTTACATTCCACGTGTGGTGTATATCTTGATGATGGGTGGAACCACTGGCGCAGGCGGATTTGTCATCCGATGACGATGGGGACGAGGGCGGCCGCGGCGGCAGCAGCGGCAGCAACAAGCGAGTCATGGCAAACCGGCAGAGCGCGCAGCGCAGCCGCATGCGCAAGCTGCAGTTCATCTCCGACCTGGAGGCAAACGTGCAGAGCCTGGAGAACGATATCAAGAGCATGAACCCCATGCACAGCGCCCTGCGCCAGAAGCATGCAGGTGTGTGGCTTCCCCAATCAATCACCGGCCCCACGCTCGAAAAAATTCCTGCAACAGTCCCTGCAACAATCAGAGCACACCAGCTTGCCTGACGGCCACTGCTCCTTTGCTTCCGGCCTGCAAAGCTGTGCCCATGCTCATACACAGGAGCCTTATAAAATATGAACTTGCGAGATAAGTGGGCGCCCATCGGCCAATTGGGTTTCCATGCACAGAATCCGGGCTACATTGTGAGATAAATAGATGCCGGGGGTCATTCTAATAGTTATCAAGCAAGATGGTGATGGGTGCAGATCTGGTGAGCCAGCATGATGAGATGCGCAAGCACGCTGTGACGCTGGTGCACAAGTGCCGCCAGGCCGAGACTGTGAATGCTGCGCTGGAACGCGAGTGCTCCCACATGCGCTCCCTCCGCCCCGAGCTGGCCGGCCGGGTGAGCCTTTCGAATCTGAACCTGAATTTATGAAGAATTTGAAGTTGGGTATAAAACAAGAAACTGCTGTTTATGAAGCTGATCAAGTCTGCCGCTGCCTGTGAGGCTGTGATGTGATTTGAATATGGGGTGAAAGAATGAGTAATTTTGTTTCTTCTTGGCAGCCTTGGAACATTATTCCTGGCGAGAAGGCAAGATGGCCCTTGTTGACAAGCAACAACACCAGCAGGGACTGCTGAGAATAGCGCGATTCCCCCAATCGTGCATCGTCCTCTGCAATCCAGAAACACAGAAGATCTGCAGTGCTGCATGCTGAGGGACACCGTATCTTGCAGGGCTACGGAATGAGCAGGTATGGGTACGGAGAGGGCAGCAGCAGCGGCCGCTACAACGGGCTGCAGAGCGCAGGCAGCGCACCAACTAGGCCCTTTGATCGCTATGGCAGCAGCGGAGGCATGCAGGTGTGCCTGAAAAACCCTGCAGCATCACCTGCCACCAAGCCAAGCACCCTCTGCTCTCCAAAAAGGTGTCACATCAGCATGCAGCAGGGAAGGCAGTGGAAGAACCAAAGTTGGACCCTTTGTGGCTTGCTGTGTCGCTGAGCCCTCTGGCAATTTCTGAACACATGGGATGGTGTTGGTCAGGGAGGAGCTCTTGCTGCGGAGGCATCGGCTGAGCCCTGCGCGTATGTGTCATCCGCTGGAGTGCTACAGGTAATTAATCCCTAAATTCAGGTCACCCATTGTACATGCCTTACACTGTCCTTGTTGCTGCAAATGCCCACAAGTTTCCAGTGCATGCAGACATTGACAAGATGCAGCAATTAAATCTGATGCCCTCTGATGCTGTGACTGCGATTATGCCACGCTTTGGATCTGCACATAATGTGCTTTCTCCCTCCTATGGCGCTGGCACTGACTTTCATGTATGCATTCTCTCCTGGGCTAATTTGGCAACGTCCACACTGTGCAGGTGAGCACAGCGCCCATGTCAGGAAGCCAGCCTACGAAGCAGCATGGTTCTGCGCAGCACCGGCCTACCTCTGCCCCCCTCCAGCAGATGGGATACGGACAGCTCTATGAGGGCGGAAACACCTATTCTCCAATGTACATGCATGGTCCGGAGTCTGTGCCCTACTGATGACCACAGGCGGAGAGGACGAATCGAGCATCTGGTCTCCAAGCTGCACGCGCTAGCGCCCACTGTTTGTCTGACCCACCAAGTACTGTGCATGCCCTGATCTGAACAGGCGAATGCCTGCTAGAGAGCCTCGAAATGGGCATGTGGCACGGGCACAGTAAGCCACAGGCTCAGCAGTGATCACTTATATTTGCTTCACATTTCGAAGTATCTCCCTGCAACGTGACAGAGCTTGAGTGCCTGTACTTCAATAAGAGGGGATTTGTTTCCGACCATGCTGTGTTACTTGTTTGCAAATGCGCATGTCTTTCAAAGTGAAGGTGATGTGCATGCAAGCTAGGGGAGTTGGAATTGTTTTATAGATTTATAGATATGCATAGGAAAAATTTGCTCTGTGGTCACCTGGTATATGCAGTTGTGCACAGCCCAATGACTCGAGCAGACACTGCATTGTAATCACAAATGTGCAAGCGCTGATGAATTAAAAGGCAGAGAGGTGCCACCTGCTTTGAGTGTTCCGGAAGCATCAGGACATAAGGTATCTTACAAACCTCAGCAACAGGTCAACTCGAAAGCTCTAGAGTGCAATATGCCATGCACAGGACACCAGAGCTGCACAGAAGAGAACGCAGACAGTGCAAAGTGTGATGCTTGCAAAGGGAGACTGCGCGATGCCTTGACTGCTCCCATCCCCATTCTTGCACTCCAGTCCAGAATCCACGGCTCCAAACGCCCACCAGATCTTCCATATCTTGCACAGGCTTCGGCTCGTGCCCTAAGACACAGTTCAGGGTGCGTGCAAGCAGAAACTTGCCTGTGTGAGGGGCAGAAGAAATGAAATACACGCATGAGGGAGGGCTGCATCGAGTGGTTCTGACCTGTTTTGACTTTCCTGCAGTCCACCCGATGGCACAGCCCAAAATGCACACAGCTCCCCACAAGCACCACAGGCGATCCACTCTCATGCATCCACTGGAATTGACTCGTTGACTTGTGCTTCCACTGCCTGCCCTTGTGTGCCCTATCCCTGGCTGCGGCTTCCAAGCACCGCTGCACTCTGCAAGCCACTGGGCCATATCAAGCCATGGATTGGATGCACTGCCTCCTTTCTTGCATGTCATGCTAGGGCAACGAGTGGGCGCAAAATGCTCATCTGCAGACTGCAGAGCAACAGGCCTATCTGCAACGGCACTGGGGTATGGGGAGAGGGCTCGCACAGGAGAGATCCATCCCACAGCCAGCCGGTCACTCCCGCACAGCTCCCGGGAAGAATATGCAACAGCCATCCATCCATGCAATTCCCTTGCTCCAGGCACAACGCATCCCTAGCAGTCTCCAGTGTGCATCCACAGAAGCCACTTTTATGCACATAAGGTGGGATGCTCCCAGTTCCCGCTAGTGCCTGTTCAGTATGAGAAAATGCCACATCAATTTTTTGTCTTTAAGAGCACAGCTGCCACCCCGGCAACCATGCATGCATGGCAGCCTGGCATGCAGCTGTTGCATGCGGCGCCGCGGCCGGTGCGTTAGTCATCTGCTCAGTCATCGGCCTCGTCCTTGTGGCCTGCGCCATTGGCGGCCGCGGGGCTGTCGGCCTTGTCGTCGTCCATGGGGGAAGGCTCGTCCGCTTTGTCATCGGCGCCGTTGACTTCGGCCTCCTTCTCGCCGTCATCCGCCTTCTTGTCATCCGCCTTCTTGTCCGAGCGGTCGGAGCGGGCCGACACGGAGCGGCTGCGCGACTTGCTGGGAGACCGGCTTGACCTGGAAATGCAGACAGAACACTTCTATCAGACCGACCCTCTACCTACCTCATGTCTCAACAAAAGAAAAAATACTGGTGCAGGCACAGTGCTTACTCTCCAGACGGCCCACAATGTAGCTGACACGTATAAAAATTTGAGGCTGACCCCTGGTGAAAATGTGCTTGGTGCATAAAGAATGCAGCTGGACTCCCTCATCAGGACTTGCTTCTCAGGGAGAATGGTGGTGCACTGAACAGCGCTGCTGCGATAGTAGAGCGTCGCAGCATGTGCATCACGTATGTCTTGGGGCAAGTTGATGCCCAGGTTAGGAAGAGAGGGCTGCGCACTTGCTGCGGCTGGACGAGCGAGAGCGGCTGCGCGAGCGGCTATCGCTGCCGCTGCGCGAACGGCTGCGCGAGTAGCTGCGCGAGTCCCTGCAGCACACAGCAGCAGAGCATGTCAGCTCATCCCTCAAGCCTCTTGGTTTTCTCTCCAACTTGCCGATGCAGACACATGCACTGCCAAATAAGGCACGGCAAAACCATCCGAGAGGCGACCTAAAAATCATCAGATCACTCATCACACCAAGCCCTCGCCAGCCAGGGTACCTTTCAAAATTAGGAGCTCCTGACTGGCATAGCCACATGATCAATGTCTCAAAGGCCGTGACAAAATCCACCGCAACAGAAACGATACATGAGAAGGTAAGTCATGCGCCTCAAGCATCCTACGCCTGGAGCATCTGACCCCGGATGGCAGCTTTGAAAAGCATTGCAGATCGAGGCACTAAGAAAGTGAGAACCCGCAGGTGGCATCGCTCACAGCCTCTGCACACCATTGCACATCCTGAAGGAGAGATAAGTTCAGCAGTGCTGGGGCGCGCCTGGAGCGCGAGCGGGAGCGGGAGCGTTTGCCATGGTTGCGTTTGTCGTCGGAGTCGTCAACGACGCGGATGTAGGCGCGCTCGAAGGGGTTGCGGAACTCGGTGTCGTCCAGCTTGCGGATGGCGCGCGCCAGGTCCTCCGGCGTGTCAAACTCCACCACTCCCAGCACGCCGCCGCGGTCGCGGAACACGTTAACGTAGTTGGGCGTGCACACCTTGCGGAAGTGGTCCTGCGCGCACAAGAATATGAACTTACAGCTCACGCATCACTCCTGACAACGACATCAGTCATGGGCGAGCAGAGCAAGGAGACATACGTTGCAGAAGTAGCTCAGCCAGGAGAGACTAGGGGTTCCTTGTGCAGAAGCAGGGCAGATGTAAGGGAAATTTGCTGCATGCACTACAACACATGTCGGTAATGGCGAGCACGGCAGCCAAGTGGCTTGAGGGTCACAAAGCATCGCGTTGAAAAAGGCGGCTGACAAAGGCACATGTTCTAGGCAGCCTCCAGGATGTGAGGCAGGCGAGCAGGGAGCGAAAGAAATTACCTTGAGGTCCTGCCAGGAGGCGGACATAGGGAGGTTCTTCACAGTGGCGCGGTAGGCGCTGCCCTTCTGGCGGAAGTTGGAGGGCACCGGGGGCGGCGCAGCTCTGCCGAAGGTGGCGCCGCCGCCGCCGCCGCGCGGTTCATCCCTGTCTCTAGGAGGAGCACCCGAGGTCTTATCACCACCGCTGTTCCCTCAAACACGAGCATTCAACACACCATAACGTTCTACTGGCAGGCGGACCACAACAACACCCTGTAAATTGAAATGTATGAGAGAGAGAAGATCTCACGCACCTTCTGCCGCCCATGCCACCCCTGGACAGCTCCACGCGGATGGGGTTGTTGTCAAAGACATAGCCGTCTCGCCCCTTCACTGCGTCCTCAGCATGGCTGCACACAAAAGAAAAATGTGTGGCATGACGGAATGGCACATACAACGCCAAACTGATGGATAAATCATCGCCAGAGGTCCAGCAACTTCTATTGTGCAAGCCTACAACTGGCCAGAGTAGACATGTTGCTGGTCAGTGACTGCTCTTCAGCATTACAACAGGCATACTTTGCTTAGAAGCCTAGAAAGATGTAGGTCACCTTGGCTTTTCGAACTCCACGAAAGCGAAAGCAGGCGGTCTGGGTGGTAACTTCAGGTCAATATTCCGGATGCGGCCATACTGCACTCACAGAGAGATAAATTTTAGACAAAAGTTGATGCAGATGTAGATACTGGTAAAACCTAATCCACTCTGAAGCCATGCAGACCAGGATATGGTTCAGGACTGATGGATCAGATACAGTGACCTTTTCGAGTACATATCATCCCGAGCATAGTCAAAACACCACGCCATGTGCGGAGGCAGTTTGAAAAGATCAACCCAGAGGGTTTTGTCTGTCACCTTGTAAAAGAGGTCCTCGATCTCTCTTTCACGCACGTCGCCTGGCAGGTTGCCAACAAAGATCACACAACCCCTGTGGGCCATCGCTGCACCTTTCCTGCCGGCCTGTCAACTGTTCCGAGATCACAGTAAGAAGTTGACACAACAGCCTTCGGGGTTTGCTTCTTTTGCCTTGAAGTCAAAGGAAGGTGAGGCGATCCGCGCACCCGTCTCGACACTTCGTCTCCCCCGGGGCCCGCTCTCTTATTGATATCATCATTCCCTGGATCTGAACTGGACGCTGCAGCTCGAAGATCGAATCACGGAAGACTCACAACACTGAAATTTTACATTGCACTGGAGTCTCAGAATCTACAATCCGGCAGAGTTGCAGGGTTTGCTTCAAATTTTAGTGGATTCAAAGTATCTGACGGAGCACAGATGCCGATCCTGATCTAGGGAAATTTGAGTAGAATATATTCATTGCGATACTTTTTAATTCAATTGAAATTCTATTTCAGCACTGATGGAGCTGCTGGGAGGGCTCATCGATGTCGCATTTGATGTGTTCTTTCAGGTGTTGATGAGGTCTTTGTTTACAATCAGCCTTCAGCAAGATGCATCCATTGTCACGTCATCTATCTTGTGGCACAATTTGACAAATTTCATGCTTTTGCACGTCTGTGTGATGCTAGATCTCTACATAACAGTGGTTCTTGCTGCACAGAAACTGCACTTGCGGAACCTACCAGCACTAAAAGACATTGGAGGACCAGCAGATGGATGCACCTGCATTGTCACTGGTCCCACTAGGTGTGCTGTGCTCCCAGGGCACCCATACTTATCGTCTACTGCATGCTGGCATGATGCTAATGGTACTTTTTCTGATGCATAGCACATCATGTCTTGTTACAGTGGCATTGGAAGGGAGACAGCGGCGACACTTGTGCGGAGGAATGCCCATGGTGACCCCTTGATTCTCATTATGCATCCCCACACAACCAAACGGATGTATACACATACACCCGTGTGCCAGGGGATTGGTAAGGAAGTGTGGTCTGGTCTGCAGTGGTTCTGGCCTGCCGGAACGCTGAAAGGGGCGAAAAACTGCGGAAGGAGCTCTACGAAGAGGGGGTGAAAGCAGGGAGGCAACCTAGCCTGGAGGCAAGTCTTGAACTTGCTCAAAGGAAACAGAGAAGCATCTTCAATGAATGCCAGGAGAGCCCACCGGTGTTGTGCTCATGCTGCAGGTGCAGCTGCTGGATGTGGCATCTCTTGAGTCCGTGCGCAGCTTTGCCAAGTCATGGCAGCAGCAAAATCGGCCACTGCACATGCTCGTCAACAACGCTGGAATATTCTCAATGGGAGGTGCGCTGGGACCCAGGGCACTGGTCACAGAGACTAATTGGGTTAACTTCGTCAATCAGTGACTAAAGGACTCACTCCACATCTTGCAGCTGAGCGGAGCTTGACGGAGGATGGCTTTGAGGCGCACATGGGCACAAATCACCTGGGCCCATTCCTTTTAACCATGCTGTTGCTACCAAACCTCAGGCAGACAGCCAAGAGGGTAAGACATGCCTATTGACAGATTTATCCTCATGCTTACACCTTTCTGAACAATGATGCTGAATACAGTATATGCTGATGCTGTCACAGAGCAACCACAGCTTACCAGTTCGGATTGTGAATGTCTCTTCGAAAATGCATGAGCTTGCGCCGAGCATCGACACAGCCGACCCTCACTTTGGAGAGCAGAAGGCCTATTCCTCTCTTGCCGCATACAATCGCAGCAAGCTAGCTCAGGTATCCTTCAACTTGTTGCTCTGGCAATTCCAAATACACCTGTAGATTCTGCCAACAGAAGATCCTTCTTATGTCGCCATCTAAAGTTGATTTGTGTACATGTGTGTACACAAGAGTGTGCACTATGTGGTCTTGTACAAGTGAGCGTGTTGGGAGATAACAGTGAAATGTGCCTGTTCTTGCCACAGATTCTCTTCACGGCGGAGCTGCGGCGGCGGCTGCCAGGCGACTGCGGGGTAACCGCGGCGGCAGTGCACCCGGGTGAGGTCATGACTGATGTCGTGCGCTCGCTGCCCGGGTTGATGCAGAGCGCCTACCGCTTCTTCATGCACCCCTTCTGCCTCTCCCCAGCAGAAGGCGTGTCCCTACTTCCATTAATCCGCAGATGCTGAGCTCGCGAGCTGACTGCTCGATTTGCATTTTCTACATTCTATGTCACGTTGCGACAGCATGAAGGTTTGTATGTGGTCACCGTGACTCTTGTGCATGATCCCTTCCTGATTAAAGCTGCCTGCCACCAATGCTTCCCTGATGATTTACCAGCAATCATGGAGCTCAGTGCAGGTCAGTGCATCTGTTGAAAACATGCCGTGGTGCAGGAGCGAGGTCATCGATATACTGTGCGACCACCAGAGACCCCATTCTGACAGAGAGGGGCCAGTCAATGGAGGCGGACAACTGCTACTTTGGGTCAGACTGCCGCTGCTCCTCTCCCAGTAAGCATGCGCTGGACCCTGCCCTGGGACAGTGGCTGTGGAGCTGGTCTGCTGACATGGTCAAGCTGCCTGCCAAATATGAAATCAAGGCCCATTCCAGTTCCTAGCAGAAAGGGATCATGCTTGCAATGGACTTCCACGCAGCAGAGTCCCAGGCTGTAGCAAATTAAACAATAGCATCTGATTTTTTTTATGCAAATGTTGCTTGCTCGAAGCAAGTTGCTTCATGATGTACTTGCTGGTGACAATTATATTTGCAAACTGTGGTGGAGAAATTTTGCAGGACACTGGCAGCTGTACACAGGCATGTGCATAGTTCTAGGAGGTCAATAACCGCCAGTGTACTCTTAGAGGATTTTAGAGGACATGGTGTAAAGCGCACGTGCGTACAGCCGAAGCTAAGCCCTTTAAAGATGGTGGCTGGCATTGTACTGATGATTATATCATAAGCTCTCACTGAATATCAATTCTGGCATGCACGTGCTAAGTGTGTGGAGCAAGTGTTCTTCATCTTCCCAGTTGCCCAATTCCAACCGATCTGCCAGTGGTGCGCATGCGGCACTGAGTGCTGGAATTCCAAGCAGCAGCTGCAGCTCCCGATATTGCTGAGCTGCTTGCAGCACCAGGAATCTGCCAAATCTGCAACTGACTTTCCTGATGACAAAGATGCTGTGCAAATCGCAACACATCAGCCCCCAAAAAGACCATCATAGATTGTCCGGGCGCCTGTTTTGCCTGCCCAGTGCCCGACTTGGGCTGCCCAACTGCGACCGCCACCCGCTCTGCATTTCCGGAACTCGATTTCTCCGCTTATATCGGACAGAATCCCCTTAACAATCACAGGTGAAAAGACGATACTTGAGCAAGAGGAAGTCTTCGTTTCTCAGCGCGTTCCGGGACTCTTGTATTTCACTAAACAATAAGTGCGATCTGGACACTTATAAGAATTTCTATCGCTGCCGTTGAGCTAAATAGTCCATAACTAAATCAAGCTGATTGCAACCTGCAAGCTAGAAAAGGGTTTGCCATCGCCCTTCACAACAGATCATTCAAGGCAGTAGGCATCCCTTCCATAGTAACAAAGCCTCAGTGAGGGGCCTCTAATCATGGGTAAGCGGAAAGCAGCGAAAGAGGCTGCAGAAGCTGAGCAAGCCGATGGGGAGATCGCCGAGGTTGCTGCTCCTCCAACGAAGATTGCAAAGACAGACGGCCCACTCAGCTGGAAAAACAAGGAGAAGGTCCTCTTGCTATCATCCAGAGGCATCACGCACAGGTGACACCCCTTCTTTAAATTGTGAGTGTGACGAGGGGCCTGTGTTTATGCTGTGCAAAGCAAGTATGGGCAGTAAAGTGTAAAGGAAGTGCTTGGCCCTTCAGGTATCGGCATCTCATGTTGGACTTGATCCAGCTGCTGCCGCACTGCAAGAAGGACGTGAAGCTGGACACGAAGACAGACCGGATGGTCATCAACGAAGTTGCAGACATGAAGGTTTGCACCGTCAGACCTTGCAAATCACACAGCACACCACAGCTGTGAGCGTGCCTGTTGGATGTGTAAGACTCCGTCCTGAATAGACTCATGATTAACTTGAGTCATCTCTGCTTATCACAGGGCTGCAGCAGCGTGATCTTCTTTGAAGCTCGCAAGAAGAAGGATCTGTACGTCTGGCTGTCCAAGTCGCCCGATGGGCCTTCTGTCAAGTTCCTGGCTGCAAATGGTGAGCACTCTCCCTCTCTGCAGCAATGTCCACCGCCCTTCTTTGCTGGTACATCCTTAGAAGGGGTTTCGCAGTGTTTAATTTGGACTCATGTTGTTGTGTGTGCTGCAGTGCACACCCTTGCAGAGCTGAAGCTTGGAGGCAACCATCTGAAGGGTTCCCGGCCGGTGCTGAGCTTTCATGCGGTGAGCACATTCCCTTCCTTGCCCTCAGCAGTATCACTCCCTCATGCTGCTCCGCCTCCCATGCATATTGAGAGGCAGAAGCCTGCACATCAGTTCATGATTTGATCTGCAGGCGTATGCCTTGATGCCTGAGCTTTCTGTTAAAATTATTGTGACAGCTGCGATAGAGGTGTGTCCCTTTTTTGCGCAGGCATTTGACGAGCAGCCGCACCTGCAGCTGTTGAAGGAGATGCTGACTCAGGCATTTGCCACGCCCAAGCGGCACCCCAAGAGCAAGCCCTTCCTGGACCACGTGATCAACTTCAGCGTCGCAGAGGGCCGCATCTGGCTGCGCAACTACCAGGTGCTGCGGGCTGCTGTGCCTCACACCCTCCCTCATGCTCCATATCACTGCTCATGCTTGGTGTTCGCTGCCAGATTGGCATCCTACTTGTGGGCAGCATGTAGGCTGCATCCGGTTGTTTTGCTGTATGGACACAAGGTCCCACAGCTGTCAGAGGGCTAACAGCAGAGGTAGCAGTTGCTGCGCAACAGGCTCGTTTTGGGGCATTGTTTAGCATGCATGCTGAAGGGAGTGGGCTGGTGATGATTACAGGTAGTGATGACGCCAGGCAAGAAGGGCAAGGTGACGACAGAGGAGATGTCCCTGGTGGAGGTGGGGCCGAGGGTGTGCCTGCAGCCCATCAAGATCTTTGCCGGCAGCTTCGGTGGCCCTGTGCTCTATGAGAACCCAGGCTATGTCTCGCCCAACAAGGTGAGCGCTATGTCGCGACCAGATACCAAAAATTTTCAGGTATTTGTTCTCTGCAGTGCTGCTCCTTGCTACAAGAAAATGTAGGCATTACATGCAGTTGGCATGCTCAAGGCATGGAGCACATCAATTGCAGACTAGGGTGCAGGTGTGTTGCAATCCCCAGAACATCTCAAAGGGGACCATTGTGGGATTGAGTGTATGCTTGCTGGCGCAGATCCGTGCGGAGATCAAGAAGCAGAGCGCTGGGAAGTACAGTTCGAAGGTCAAGGCTCGCGGCCGCAGACGGGAGCATGTTGCTGCCAACCCCATTCCCAAGGACGAGCTTGGCGATGTGTTCAAGTGATTCATCAAACGCGATGCAAGAAGTTCACGCCAGTGGTCCCTTCTATGTTATGATCACATGTTTACAATGCTATCTGTGAACAAGCTTTTCCTAAAATGGAACTATGTGAGACTGGGACATTGCTAATTTGGACAGCAATTTATGTAATAAGCCAGTGCTGGAATGAATGCAAATTATTCGTCACAGATATCATCTTGCCTCTGCTTCTCTGCATCCTTGGCTGACTTTCCTCCACCGTTGAAGGAGATCTCCTGCCTTCCCGCTCTGCTGCGCTTCCTGCAGACACAAGACAACGCCCTGCTTACAAATTTTGCACTGTGCAATTTTGCAGACAAGAGTCGGTAAAACCTCAACGTTCAAGACACAGAAAATACTTGAAGTTCCTCCAGAGTCAAAGAAGAAGGGATGAGCCGCCACCATCCTGCCAACAGCAGCTCTCCTTGTCGTCCTCACCGGCACACTCCCCATGCAAGGTTGATTTAAAGGGAAGAAATGGCATCTTCCTCACTATCAATTGACTCTGCTTGGATCTGGTGAGTCCACCAAGGAGTAGGACATGTGGCAGCCTTCACCTGCAGCGCGTCTGCAGACGCACCTTGCCTGTTGGCAGGGAGAAAGTGAATAAATAACAATAACCACATTCTGGGAAAGCGCACCTGCGCCATGGCGACGCCCTCGGCCGGGCTGGCAGCGATCTCGGCAGCAGCAAGCGCCACGCCAGCATTGAGGTTCAGCGCGTCGGCCACCGCTCCGCGCGCGCCGCCAAAGACGTCGGTGAGAATGGACGCGTTGAGCTGCGCGTCGCCGCCGGCCAGGTCCGCCACCTGGCATCGCTTGATGCCCAGGTCTAGGGGGTCCAACCTGCAGAGGTACCCAAGTGTTACTGTGTCCATCTCTGAGACACTTGGATGCGCCCGCTTGATCCTACCATAAGCAGGCAGAGGGCGGACTCCATACAGAAGGGCTGCCCGCAGCACATACGCGAGCTGAGCAGTTTCAGTTATGGTGTCCAGTGGGATCGTGTGAGCAGGTACAACATACGCAGTACCAGGATCAAGGAGCCTTCAAGGTTCTGAGGTGAGCAGCACGTGAGCTGCTGAAAGTGCTTGAGCTTATCGCCACATAACATTACTAGCATGCGGCCTTCCCCATTTCTATTGACCAGTCATGCTTTCACAGAGCCGCACCTGTAGGAGCGGGTACCGCTGGGGGTGACCTCCAGGATCTCAGCGTCGCCCATGGGAGTAAGCTCGTCGAGGCCGTGGCTGTGCACGACAAGAGCACGCTTGGTGCCCAGGCGCTGCAGCGTGGCCGCCATGAGGCCGCTGATCGCAGGCGAGTAGACGCCAATGAGGCCGTACGCGGCAGCCGCCGGGTTGAGCAGCGGGCCCAAAATATTGAATGCTGTGCGCACCTTGAGCGAGCGCCGCACCGGCACCACCGCCGCCATCGCCGGGTGGTACCTGCACCGCAGATCGACAGCAATAGTGAAAAAGTTCCTTACGGACAGCAGGACTTAACCCGCAAGGTCATGAACCCATAAGGCCAGCTTCACCGCTGAGCAACATTGCTAACAGTGGTTTGGACAATCCTTTGACAGCTAAGCTAAGCTGTTGGAAACAAAATTTCATTGTCGTTGGTCCGTGGCCTCCTCATAAGCTTCTACATGAAAAGTGGGAAAGCCAAACCCGCCAGGCCGATGTAATTCAGGAAGGCTGTGCATAGAGATGTGGGAACGGAGCGACAGCAAGTTTTTTGTGCAGTTGTGATGCTCACCTGGGTGCAAACATGAAGCCCAAGCCCACCTCCTCGAGGCACCGCGACACCCCCTCCGGCCCGATGTCAACAGCAATGCCTAGAGCCTGCACACGGTCGCATGCTGAGAATTGCGCATCATCCTCAGCACAAAGGGGCTAGTGCAAGCTTGGACCAGCTTGCGGAGTCACTGAACAAGGCACTGCAGGAGCAGAAAGACAACAAACTGCAGTCACAATGGAACAGGGCACTGCAGCGGCAGGAGAACAACAACAACAAGATTGACGCCAACAATGGAACAGGGCAGTGCAGAGACAGCAGCATGTACAGACCTCCAGGACGTCGGCGCTGCCGCAGAGGCTGGACACAGAGCGGTTGCCGTGCTTGGCCACCTTCGCGCCGGCCGCAGCAGCGATCACGGTGGCTCCGGTGCTGATGTTGACAGAGCCGATGCCATCGCCGCCGGTGCCCACAATGTCCAGGACGTCCCCAGAGGTGGCCACGTGCACGCTCTTCTCGCGCATGGCCTTCGCCAATCCTGCCACCTCCTCCGCAGTCTCTCCCTAGCAATATGAAATAACCAATATATTTATTGTTACGCAAATTTACTGCCAGGCAAGGTGCGTCTGCACACAAGCTGCAGGACAGGCTGCCACATATCCTACACCTTGATGGATTTGCAAGATACAAGCAAGATCAATCATGGGCACGGTGCTCAATACTATATTGCGCCCGCCAGCCGGAGCCTGAAAGATATGCCGCACTTTAACCCTGTGCTGGCTTGAAGGCGTCCTGAGAATCTGACTGCTTGGAGCACTATCAAGCAAGACTCATATAAGGATGTAGTGGGATCACCTTGGCTCTCAAGAGGACCAGGAAGGCAGCCATCTGTGTCTGGTGAGCCCCATCGACCAAGGCCTGAATCAGGCACATACGTCAATATATGCTTTGCACATAATGGGCATGGTAGCAGTGTCCAGCACCAGGCATGATGACTGATCAGGATGTCCTCACCGTCAGTGCTTCCTGTGTTTGTAACTCCGTCAGATCCCTCTGTTCCAGCAAGGCCTCCAGGATCTGCATTCCAACATATTCATAATGGCACATCAAAGGGAACTCAAAATTATATTTATTTACGTGTCCAAGCTCAATCGGGAGGCAGACCTCCTTGATGTCAGACGTCTTTGGTGGGCTGGCCACTGCAGCGCTCGAGCCCCTTATTTCGCGTCGTCTACGCTTGCACGGCGCAACGTGTCTATGTCTTCCATTATAGTGACCTAAACTTCTTGTATTATAGAGCTTCTGTTGGCAGGCACGTGTTACAGCACCTAGATCATGCTGCAACAATGCCCCACTTTCAATTCTCATTGTACACCGCCCGTGAATATTCACTCAAAGTGAGAATGACAGAAGATATAATTAATTGACATTTAAACGCCCAAGAACAAAGAATTGCACCTTCATGAAGCCTCTCCTGGATCCAGAGCCTTATCGAGTGACGTCATGGAGTGAGTCACAATCTTGTGGGGCACTGCTTTCGGAAAATTTGCATCACAAAGGCCTCTTTTCAATCTTTTGTAGTGATTATAAAGGGGTCATGCTTTGCAGAACTGAAATTGCGCGCTGTATTGAGCCTCGATCAAGCATCACCAGATCGTCAGCAACTTGCTGACAAGCACGATGGGCCTGGAGTATCGCCTGCATCAGCCTACTTTTTCATGGCAGGATTTAGAAAGTGAAGGATGCTCCCTGGCCGAAAAAGGAGACTTTACAGGCGCTATTCAGTGCTTCAAAAAGGTTGTAGCTGACGAAGAAGGGCAGAGCCACGCCCACATATACGAGATGATGGCCCAATGCATGATGGAGAATGGCGAAAACGAGGAAGCTGTGGTTGCAGCCTCGAATGCTACACAATGTGACCCACAGGTGTAGCACCCTCACTGCTTGTCTTTGCAACAATCTGTAGAGCTTGGACAAGTGCATGACAGAGTCTGATTGGGTTCACAGTGGCAAGGAGGCTTTCACACCCTTGCCAGGGCCCAGAGAAATAATGGGGAGCTCCAGGAGGCGCTGCGCTCCTTCCATACATGCCTGGTGAGGTCAGACCTCATCATGCCATAGGATGTTCCTGTGCCTGTCCTACACCCAAAAAAATTTGTGCCCGCTGCACGCTTCAAGGTATACGGGACAAGTACAGGATGTGGGACGAGACAACACAAGTTTAGAGGAGAGGCGAGCGATAAAAGAGGAGCGCCTTGAAACGGAGAGCCTCCTGCAGAGGGAATGGACGAATCGCATTGCACTGCCCCAATTGTGTATACGCCAAAACATTGGTGGGGCTTTTGCCTTCGTGTCACCCTGCCACAATGCTTTGCAAACCGCTTCCGGCATACTTTCCAAAGCCTGCCTATATGTCTTTGCGGGACAGCATGCAGAGAATGTTGGGGCATTTCTATAACGTTGTACTTATCTTCTGCAATGTCAGGCGATGCATCAGGCCCAGGATGCGTTGTATGGGAGTCAGGGATTGCGCTTGCAGAGTATATGTCCTGTCACCTTGGGACAGGTGAGGCTCTTTTGCAGAACTTTTGTCTTGGATCCCTGGCCTGGGATCTGCAGGATGGCTTCCATTGTTCCTGTGTGCAAATTTGGGCTTCATGCGATCAAAGCAACAGCGCTGATGCATCCTTTTGCAACCTGTTTGCCTTCATGTGGGCTTTGGTGGGCTACTGTAGGTTCTCAATGTTCTGCCTGATGGTGCAGAGAAGTTGCGAGGCAGGCAGGTCTTGGAGTTGGGCTCTGGCACTGGCATTGCCGGCATTGCTGCGGCCCTTCTGGGTGCATTTGTGGTGCTGACTGACCGACCGGGCACCCTGCCACTGCTGCAGAGCAATGTAGATCAGCATGCAGCAGCCATATTAGAAGCAGGTGAGATTTAGCATTTGCTTGCCTTCTTGGCTGTTTGACATCTTGATGCAATGCACCCCATGTCAGCCATGCTTGCCATGTGCTATCTGGGTCTGTACAGGGGGATCTGCACGAGTAGCTGAGCTGAGCTGGGAGCGTCCATCAGAGGCTACATGCAGGGGCCCGTACAGCCTTGTGATTGGGGCAGACCTTGTTTATGCAGCAGGAGATGTCCAGCCTCTGTTGACCACTCTAAGTACTGTACGGCGTTTGAATCCTGCTTGCGTGTTGCTTATGGCGCATTGTGCACGGAGCAACGCAGTGGATGAGCGTCTATCTGAGGGGATGCGCAGTGACGGCTTGAAACTTGCTTTAGTGGCAGCCAGCGAAAAGGACAAACGCGTGAAAGTGTTTCACAGAAGAGATTTTTAATATTTGAGGTGATTTGATAGGCCTGCTGCGAGCATATTATGCCACCTGTTGATATCCGTCGATTACCATATCGATGTAAAATATCAGGATTCCGCAGCGGCGTGACCATCATGATGATGATGATGATCATGATGATGCACTGCATGCGCATGTGATGCAGTGATTGCATGTGGGCAGGGTTGACTTGAGTGCACGCACACCTAACCTACAAAAGTATGTGGCAACTGGTATGAATTTTCTGGAGGACCAGTCTGGCAAGGGCGAGATTGGCTGGCTTGCCTATTGAAGCGTTTCAGTGAGAAAACCCTGGCATATCCCCGTCATCTTCTCATGACCCTCAGCCCTAGTGAAGCTGCAGTGCAGAAGAGAAGACCAGCCTCATCGGATGATCAAATCGTCGATTGTTGAGGCGTAGGAAGCGATTACTTGGCTGACTGAACCTGAAGCTTCCGTGCTGCTGTATGAGGGGCTTTGATAATTCGCAAATCTGTCCTCATCACTGATTGGCTGTCGTTTGTAAGGCCCAATGCAGACGGGGGAGCCGCAACAGGTGGCATACGGACATCCCTGGGTAGCTCTCTTTACTGTGTTCTTCAAGGTGGGGTGTATTTTCCTTCCGAGACACCTTCAAATGGTTCAGTGATGGGTCGAATGTCCAACGCATATAGTGCTTCCTACAGAGTGTTGTGTGCACAATGCTGACTTGGTAGCAACAGACTTATAACGGCCAGTACAAGGGTGGTGAGGAACAGCGAAGGGCCAATCCAACACAGATGCTTCCTCGCATATCTTGAAGATGGAGTAGCCCTTTCAACGTAGATTAAAAATTCCCCTGACTTATGCTCAGGTCTCGGCTATCATTGTATACATCATCTGCGGCCTGTTCAGCAGCAGCTTCGTGACAAATTATGTCATCGTGGTTGTTCTGCTCATGCTGGACTTCTGGACGGTGCGCAGCAAGCAAAGCCTCTGCTTGGATCCCCATAATGGGTCTGCGAGCAATTTGTGTTTTGGTTGTTCGCTGCATATGGATCTCGTTGACATGCACAGTCATGGCTGTCATGTTCCATGCAGACAAAGAACGTGGCAGGACGCTTGTTGGTGGGGCTGAGGTGGTGGAATGAGGTGACTGATGAGGGGAGTAACTGGAGGTTTGAGACGCTTGAGGAGGTGTGCTGCCAAGATATCTGCTCTCTTTTGTCGGGGGTGTACACCACTGGACCTTGTGATAGACCTGGTGTCTGCAAGTAGAAGCAAAAACACGCTGGGGGTGCGCATGCGCAGGGGCAAAGGGCTATCAATGGAAAGGACTCTGCATGCTTTTGGTGGACGCTGTACATTATTGTGAGTGCTCTCTGACAGGAAACATATATACTGTGGTTCCAAAGGATCTGCAAAGCGCTGATGAAGTGGAAGAGAGCTGCAATGCACATGGGGAAATGAGAAATGATGGACGCTTGTGAAGACAACAAGTCATCAAGATTAGTTTGTCTGTTACAGAATCTGTGCATTAAAGCTCTGGGTCGCTTCTCACTGACTTTATGTATTGCTGTGCAGCCACTCGTGTGGCTCCTGTTGGGCATCGTTGCCATCGTCAGGCTGAAGATAGGTCAGACCCCCTCCAGCCCAGACCAGTCACAGATCCAGCCATCTTGGCCGATCAGGATTGACAGAGCTTTCTGCATGCTTTCCGCCAGCAACTTGTTGCCCTGTTGTCAATGCCTTGCAGCCAGCAGGTGGCCTTGTTGCCAGTGTTTTGCAGCTGTTTGCACAGGTTTGTCTTAATCACTACACCGCTTCCAGTTCCTAAGCACGTCCAGCAACACGTGCATCGGAATATTCCAAGTGTTGCTTGTCGCAAAGTTTGGACTCATGTTGATGTGATGTGCTGGGAGCAGACTACCTGCTTGTGGTGGTGGTGGCAGTGGTGCTGAGTGGCGCCAATGTGGTGGGCTACACCAAGTGCAGCAAGCAGGCGTCCGCTCAGCTGAAGAGCTATGCACAGCAGGCCGTCACCAGCGGACTCACGGTACGACTGACCAGAGGACGCTTAGTTATCATTCATGTATGTGGTGTGCTAATCAGTGAGCAACTATGCATGACAAACACTCCTGCATGCAGACACAGAGGTTCCTGCTGCAAGGTTGCATTTTTTAGGTTGAAGAATGAAACACAGATGGGACAGTTGGCTGATACCTGCGTACTTGTTGCATGCAGGCGGCAATCTCCAGAGTATGAGCAATACCTTGCAGGAAGTGCAAGTGTGATAAAATCATTGTGCCAGCCTCTTTCAGTGCAGCTGATTCCACTGTGAACGTCCTAATAGTATCTGCTGGACAAGCCACCTGTTACTTGTCATTTGTATCTAGATTCTTCCCAGTCTTATGCCCTTCAGCGCCCATGCAGGGTTGTCAGTGATCACATGATGAACATGTCTGCAGCTGCCATGACTTACGGACAGGATCATAGAATTCAAGGCATCAAGCTACAGATGCATCTGCTCATGTTTATTAGTCAAGATCAGCTCATAAGTAGGAACATTCATAGCATCTCAATCTGCACTAGTGCACAATCTGTACTGTGCACAATCTGTACTGTGCACAATCTCAGCAACCTTTTGGCATGTCATGGCAATTGATGCATGGCCCCAAGTCAACCACAAATAGTACTACCTCTGAGGAAACACATGTCTGCTGTTATAAATTACCTTCCTGACAGAAATCTCCAGCGAGGACCTCGAGGTCACTCAAGCTTGCAAAAAACAGATATTTATGCCCACAACACTTTCATAGCATCCAGCTCAGAAGACTACAAAACGCACTCGGGTACACCGCTATCTACTGAAATCAATAGAGACATTTCACAGTGGACTGCACAATTCCCCACATGTCCTCATCTGCTCAGTCAGTCTCCCAACAGTCAATTGCTCCCCGCAGCACAGGCATGTCACTTATTTTTGCCCATCCTTCAAGGAAACATCTGAGCTAACAGCAAGGGGCCCATACAGAATCCCTATGCTGTGAGCTGTATGTCGTGGCAGTTGTGAGCTTCCTGAGCTGCACAGCTCTACTCTTTTATAGCATTCATCCCCTTGCAGGTTATCTATGAAACATGGGTTGGATGACCCAAATCAAATCTCTATGAAAAGAATGCACGGACAAAGCTAGTATTGCTTCACACCATCTCGCGAGGTCTGCAGCTCCAATGAACGCAGCAGAGCTGCTTCTTTCACCGTCTCTGGCAAGGCTCACAATGAACAAAGGGCAAGGAACCAGCATGGTGACTAACCAATGGGCCCCTTGGGCTGCCTCCTCGATGGGCAGAGAACCTCATTCTCAGCCGGTGAACCCCTTGCGCCACTTGGGTTCCTTATCTATGGGCAAGGAACCAGCAGCATAGTCACCCTGTGAGCCCCTTGCGCCAGTTGGGGAGCTCGTCGAAGCGGCGGTAGAGCGCGGCCTGCTCGTCGAGAAGCCGCCGCGCATCTGCCAGGAAGCCGGACAGCGCGTCGACGGCCGACTGCAGCGCGGGGCTGGCTCCGGCGCCGTTCCCTCCTCCGGGCATGGCCCCCTGCAGGTCCCCCACCAGCGAGCGGCCGCGCGACAGGATCGCGTGCATCAGCTTATTCTCAGCGCCCATGCGCTTTATCAGCTGCCGCGCCTCCTCAAACTCACCCTGTGGGGCAGCAAGAAACCTCACGAGCAGCAGACAATCTGCAGCACTACCAGCTACAACCCATTGCAACAGGCTAGGATTCTGTTGAGTTGCCAAAAGCCTGGTGAGGACTGCCGCTTTCTCCCTCCATCTGAGAGCAAATAGGAGATCAATCCACACATCACCGCGGACACGCACGATTAGCGACTATACTCTTACATAACTCATACCACCACATCTGATGGACGCCCATTGCGCAGCTGCACATTGCCTGTCAGGTGAGCCAAGGGCAGGGCATTACCCGCAGCCCGCGCTTGGCCCGCTCGGCCTTGGTGACCTCGATCACTTTGCTGTACAGGTGCTTGGTGCGCCGCCACAGCAGCGTCGAGGTCAGCACAGCGCCCAGTGACAGCCCTGCATTTATCAGGAACACCGCCTGGAAGCAGTCCGAGCCGAGACAGGTCAAGCCGGTGTCATGATGCCTGTCCATCGCGCGCTCGTACAGGGTACCTGCCAGATATGTCGCCTGCACATAGCTGCCTGCACGCAGACACACATTAGAGTCAGGTAGCTGCCTGCATGCTGACAGAGATTGGTTATCAGGTGCGAGCAGATCTGGGCCTTTCCATTTGAATTTGGAGAGCGCCTAATGAATTTCACTGGGTAGATGCGCAACCTGCATGGCAGGCTACTCAAGGGCAGGACACAATGACTGGGGGCCCGGAGGAATAGCGCTGCAGACACCAAGACTAAGTATGCGCTGTTTGCAAGCTTCATGTGATATAGAACACAAGGTGTGTCAGGGAGCTCGGCAGAGGGGTGCAAGGCACTCACAGACTGCAGGGCCCAGCTGCAGGAGGGAGTAGTTGGTGGCCAGGTTGCGCAGGCCAAAAATCTCACTCGCAATGGCCGGCACAACACCCTGGAAACACCAAACAGGCCACCTTTGGGATTTGAACACAGAAAAAGTCCATAATTCTGTGCGTGCACAAATGAAGCAGACCGATGCATCCCACCTTATGGAGGAGACCCTTACAAATGTGCCTTGTAGCATGCAAGATAATTCCTTCCGTACGAAGCATGCATGAACAAGCTTCTGAGACTGAGAACACACACTCTAATGTACTGCATTGAGCTGCGCAAGCACCTTGACAATATCGTGCTGTCCTAAGGGCGCACCTGGAAGCCGCCGAATGCAAAGCCGGTGACGGCGGCGGAGATGCCGAAGAACTCGAGGCGCGCGAAGGCGTTGAGGAGGCAGGCCACAAAGGTGAGTGCTGAGAGGAAGATGAGGCTGACGGTGCGCGGCATGTCACGCTCGCTCATCATGCGGTCCGGCAGGAAGCCGCTGCAGAGGCGGCCCAGGCAGTTGGCGATCGAGTACACCGACACAAACACCGCCGTTGACGTCCCGCCGCCCAGCGCATCCACCTGTGTTAGAAATTTGATCTTAATTTTAAACATGATAAGGTTCCGCAATGCGTATCACTGATTGAAAATGGGTGCGATATGCAGGACCGCATGTATAACTGATCGCCGCCATCAGACCAGTAGTGTGCACCAAATACTTTGGGAGGGATGCCACTATCTCTCATTTTTGACATGTATCGCTGGGCGAGTTGCACAGAGCTGAAGCGCAAGCTCCTGCTGCAGCGCACATGCAGACAAGCACCTTTCCCAGACCTTTGCCCAGATGCAAGCAGAATGGCCGGGCAGACCTAGAGAGGAGGATGTGGAGCCTCTTCTGGCAAATCTCCACCTTGTTGTGTTTGCTTGTAAGTTCAATATTTGCTCTAATCGCCAGGCATTGCTGGCATCTTATTGCAACTTGAGGTTAAGAGTCAGACTTGGAGCCGCACCATCTGAGCTGTGTTGTTGAGCAGAGTCAGGCCGGCGCCGGAGCAGACGGCGCTGCTGAAGAAGAGGTACCAGAAGGACTGCGAGCGCAGGCAGCGCGCCGGCGACTTGTCCCGGTAAATGTTCACCGGCGAGTCGCTCGCATCGTCATCCGCCAGGAACGGCTGCAGCTCCGGCGGCAGATCCACCGCCTGAAGATGACAAATCACTCAGGACATGTGCAGGACAGACATGGCGCACAATCTTGCCACGCGCCTGAGCTAGGAAACGCGCCGCACTGCACTCTTGGTGTACCGGCAGCTGCTATGCGCGAAGGAAACATTGCACTTGAGCATGCACTGAGAAGCATCGGAAGTAAAGCATCCGTTGGAATACACAAAGGCGACACCCTTGACAGGTGAGGGGAGAGTGCACACCCTCTGCCGCCTCCGTGCCGCAGCATGCCCGTCCATGGCAGGAACATAATCGTGCGCATCAAAAGTGGACACGAAGAATATACTCTTAGCTACAAACGTGGCCCTTGCGTAGGGGGTCTGCCCACCTCCTGCTGCACCTCGGGAGGCGACAGGTCGCGCAGGCGGCGCGAGCGCAGGCCACCGAAAATGATGGGGATGGCCAGCATGGGGAAGAGCAGCGTGGCGTTGGCGCCCGTCATGAGCACGCCGCCCCAGAAGTCGAATCCCTCCGAGTTGCGCGCGAGCGCTATGACCGCCTGGTAGGCCGCCAGGCCCAGCACGGTGGTGCAGGCCAGGTGGAACGCGTGGGACTGCCCCCACGCAGCCAACTGCTCAGCGGACACAATCAGCATGCACGCCCCAGAAAGGGTCCATGCATCCCGCACAGCAGTGCATGCAATGGTGAACAACCAGCATGCATGCCCCGAAAAGGGTCCATGCATCAGAACAGTGTATACCTTTTTCTAAACGAGGGTGAACAACCATCAATGATCGGGCTCTACTAGCAGCCTCAATTCGGGATTTCAGCATGCACGCTCCGGAAAAGGTCCGTGCAGTGCATTGTATAATTAAATGAAGGAAACGACCACCGGCAATCAGTATGCATAAGGGCCAGGGGAGGGGCGCATGGTTTGGGTCCGTGCAATGCACTGCATAATTGATATGGAAGAGGGTGATCAACTATTGACAACAAGACAAGGCAAGCTCAAATCCTGGATATCACAAATGCATACATCAGCAGCTGCAATGGACCAAAAGAGTGCTTGTTGGATCAGGGTACAAGATTGTACGTGGAGCAGTCGCAAGCATGTTGTCTTTTCGCGTCTATGCAGGCCAAGCAGGAGCAGATGCTGGGCGCATCAAACCTTCGTGTGGGGCTCCACTTGGATGTAGGGCACGTAGTTGACGAAGCATGAGCACGTCAGCACAATGGCGCTGGGCACAATTGCCAGCATCATCAGGAAGGAGACAGCGTCCGGGTCCAGAAAGGAGACATACACAGTCGTGAAAAACGACCCGCTCAGGCCCAGGAAAGCCTTTAGAATGCCAATGACAGTACCCCTGCACAGCACAGCATGCCCTTGCTGCTGCCTGACTACACACACAAAAGTGATGCATGCCTGGGGTGGTTGTGCAGGGAGTGCATAGAGGACTGGTGCAAGTGCATGTGCACAAGAGATTATAGTGATGTACGGGACGACAAATGTGCAGCAACGGTTGCCATGACAGCAAAAGATGCATGGTGGGGTATGCTTCACCTCTCTGTATCAAAATTTCGAATGGAAGTCACCATGCTGCCGGTCTCAAACCAGGTCTGTGCGTTGCAGGCAAGGAAGGTGATGGCAAGCAGGGCCCAGTAGGGAAGCTTGATGTTGCCGTGCGCAGCTGCCCACAATGTCATATAGCCCACAAAATGCATGCCCACACCCACCCATACAGTGGCTCTAGGACCAACCCTGCGCAGCAAAGGGATTGATTGCTGTCTCCAATATGTCTGCGTCCAGAAACACATGCAAAGTGATAGAACTGACAGTGTCATCTCCGCTTTTGAAAGGGCATGCTTCGCACCGGTTCATGCCTCGAGTCCAATCGTAGAACAGGCCTGCAAAGATGGCCAGGTAGCCTCCAATGTTGCCAGCGGTGCCTATGCCAGCTACTTGAAGCTGGCTCAGCTGATATCTTTCTTTGATCGTGGACGACCAGATCCCATCTGTTTCAAGGACAAACAATGAGATCTCAATAAATACTTGCAAGGAACGAAGTAGCCATCGATCAAGGATTTTCATGGATGAAGCGTTAGTATTGTGCTTGCATGTGCAGTCTAGGATCAGGTACTCACAAGAATACGACAGCCCAGCACAGAGCATGATCAGGGCAGAAGCGGAGAAGGTCAGCCATTTGCTCCAGTAGAAGCTCTCCCTTATATTCACTGGCAGCACATCGGATTGTGGAGGTGCCATCGAGGGCCCTCGTGCCCCGCGGCCGGTCAGAGACGACCAACGTCGTGTGGGATCACTGTTGGGCACCTCATACACCTCATCGCGCCCACGTGCAGTGCATATACCAGGGCTGATTCAAAGTGCCTGATCTACAGAATGCCACCGAATTGCTTTTGATTTGGGCACTGGTCTTGAGTAATATAACTCACAGTGAAGCATGCTTGAAGCAGAACATCGAAGGACAGTTACGTGGCCCGTTGCCTTGACACTGCAATGCATAAGACTATCTGTTGATTCTCCACCACTGAACTATTATTGAACCTGGCGTTAGTATCCTATCAGGAAATTTCATGCTGATGATGGATGTTGACTGTGCTGTGAGAGGGGGGACCCGACTCCACTTGACTCGCTCCTCCTTATAACATAAGAATCGATCCTGCACTAAAATTATGCAGGTGCTTTCTTCGTGAGATTTAGCTTGTTGAACGAGGCAGACGATGGCCATTTACATACTCAGCACATCCTCTTGCACATCCCACTACCCTTCAGCTCTCAGGTGGTGATCTGTGATGGTTGCTCGACCATGCAATTGCTGAGGGTGAATAGCAACAACGAACTCGTCGTGCCACCATTCGAGTGTGCATGGCTATCAGACAAGAGTCAGCAGCTGAACGATGACGTTGGTTGCATCGCCTTCGAGGTCAAAGGTGTGAGGCACTGAGATGATTGTCCATCCCAAAAGTTGTTTCATTAGTAACATTCAAGGAAGTTCTTGAAGATCTGATGAGTGTGGAGCCAAAAGTTGATGGGACCTCTGATCCACTTCCTTCGTCTTTAGGTGAGACGGACGCTGCTGTGATTTTCAAACCCACGCCTGGATCTAGACGATGGCAACACATGGCCCGAGAGGGCAGCGATGCTCATGCGGACCAGCTCAGCACAGAGGACAATTATACCGTGATCCTGGGGTCACATAGGAACAGCAGTCTGAAGGTGGAGAAGTGTGGGAATCATTGTGCAATGGTGCGCACGAGGCTTGCTCCTAGAATGCTATCTTGTGCAATTCCCCAACTATCTGCACAGCGATGGCAGCTGCGTCACAGCTGATGGATACTTCAACGTCCTCTGCAGGTGCCGAACGTGCAAGATTTTCAGCTCTCCCCAACGGAGTTCCAACGATACTGGATATCTTTTGACCACGGCTCTGTCAGCGTTGGCACTGGACCCCCAGGAGGCCCCTCCCTGTTTTCCTGGAAGGATCCCAACCCGAGCCAAGGCACCCGGCACATTGGGTTGGCAGCGTGGGACAAGTTTGTGGCATATCGGAACATCCGCATGCACAAGGCTGCATGCTGCACCACCGAGGGTCAGGTCAGTCTCAGGGTCACAACACCTTTTTCTCAAGTCCCCATAACAGAGGCACGACGTCCACTCTGGATGCACATCATCGGTTCTCAAAGTGGACAGGTTCCATTAATTGCGTTTTGCTATGTGCCTTTGCAATGTGACGTGGTGTGTCTGTCAATGCAGGCGCATGACAGAACTGCAACACAGGTGGCATCGCTAGAGCAGCTGTGCAGGCACAGCGTCGTCACAAACCTCACTGTACAGAGTGTCTGTGACGGGGTGCAAGTCGCACACCTCCTTGAGCCAGCGCTGGATGACATGGCAGGCTGTCTGCTGACATTCCTGTCGCAGAACTTGGAGAGCGTGCTGGCCCAGCAGAGCCATGACTTTGTCATGCTGCCGCTGCCCGTTTTGACTGCTTTGTTGATGAATCCCTCGCTGGTGAGCCCCTTGGGATCCTGGCAGCTATTCCACTGTGCTGCATAGACGTGAGTTTCTCACTGGCTCTGGGGGTGCTCTTGCAGAAATAAAATTGGCGCATTGGTGCAGGTATGTGAGGAGGTAAAGCTGTATGAGGCGGTACTCATGTGGACTCAGCATCAAAAATTTGATGCACAGCAGACTGACGAGGCCTTGTCACAGCTTCTCCCGCTCATCCGCTTCCCATTGATGTCACTCGAGGAGTTGCAGGTGGGCTGCCTTCCTGGGGCAGGAGAATGTCACCTATCATTCACCTTGTGCACTTCCATGGACCTCATTAAGAGTGCGATCATGAGCATATGACTGACAAGGGGTCTTTGCACAGGCAATAGAGAGAGGCCCTCTTGCTGAGATGGCTCTGATGAAGGATCTCCTGGCAGAGGCTCTGGAGTCTTTTGGGTGCAGCACAAGTGGAATTGCAGAGGTGTGCCTTCCCCTCCTGGACCCTGTCATGTAGTGCTTCAGGAAGCGCTGCTCCATCGACCATGTAAATTATGTTTCTGGGCTTCGATTGATAGCCTTTCAGAGATGAGATTCCATCTCTTCTGGTATTCCAGACCAGAGAGTGTCTCGTACCGGGCAGCGCATGCTCATTGGACGGCACGCAAGCAAAGCGCGCACAAAAGGAATAGGTGATGATTAGCTCAGGGCTTGAAACTTTTTTGCAGCAGACAAACGCTTGCATGCGCCAGCCAACTGCAGACAAGCGTGAGGGCAGCCATACGGTACAAGGCAAATGGGTAGTGCGCAACGATAACCTTGACAATTATCCGGCTAATGCAGCCGCATGCGCCGCTGCGGGCAGCGATAGCGGTGGAGTCCAAGCGGCATGTGCGGGGCATGGCCGGGGTGGATTCACTCGCGGCTGCGCGATTTCAACGGAGGCTGTCCCCGGCTGCCATGCCGCTGATGTACATGTGCAACGGCGACCACAATGGCGTCTGCCACTACATTGGCACCGCCTATGGCCAGCAGAAATTTGTCAACCCTGCGCTCTCCGGCCGCCTGCAGGTGCGCTGCAACGCTCTCACAGGCTCCTGCAACCTACCCATGACTCTGTATTCTTGCAATTTGCATTAATACAGGGAGAATGCATCAGACGTACAAGGCAGTGCGAGCGCAAGTGCATTGCAAAATGGACTAGCGCACAAGCTGTGCTCTAATGCCGACATACACAAGCTCCTTTCCTTTCAGGGCGTACAGGGTGCTCCTGTTGCATATCCAGCAAGATGGATGGCTGACAGGCAGCATGAACGATGGTCTTCTGCATGTCGCTCTCAGTGCAGCCCAGCCATCAAACTGGAATCGTTAGTTTCCAATCTCACCGAATTCAGTACTGAGTGTAATCGTGTGCACAGGTGACGGCGAGCAGCCCGAGCTGCCGCTTCACGGATCCCAAGGCGGTTGTAAGCGGCCATTTCCTGCGCAACAATGCGGCCGGCCAGCGGCGCGACGGCGGCACGTGGTGGCGCGTGGATCTGGGAGAGCAGCACCGGCTCATGTGCAACTACTACACCATGCGCCACGACGCATCCCCGGACTACGCGCGCAGCTGGGCCCTCCAGGTGACGCCTGCAGTGACATTCATATAAGTGCACGTCTTGGATGCAAGATGCACATGTCTTGATGCCCATCACATCCCAGAGCTGCGCAATATCAAGGTAGAATTTATCTTGGGGGCATGCGGACTTGCAGTCCCTTCCATCAATTTTTCCAAGCTTCTGGGCCGTCTTGATCGAGGAATTGACTGGTGGGTAAAAGCCCATATTACTAAAGAATCGAAGAGGCTCTGACGCCTTGCTGAAATGCATGCTGCAGGCATCCACTGATGGGACAGTGTGGGTCGACCTGCGGCAGCATGCGGACGACTGCACCATCAACATGGCTGGGCAGTACGCATCCTGGCCCGTAACGGGGCACGCTGCACGGCGGCCGTTCAGGTTCTTCCAGCTGCTGCTGACGCCGGCTGCTCCAGCTTCTGGGAAGGCCAATGGGAGGGTGTTCTCTCTCTCTTACCTGGAGTTCTATGGGTACTTTTTCAGGGAGACCCCTCCCAGCCAGCAGTGACTATGTGGTGTGGTGAGTGTGAGAAACTGATTCCTGTGAGCGCTGAAACCGCGCTCCTAGCGCCGATCAAGCTGCTCTGATGCTGTCCAGGGTGCTATCGTTTTCTGCAGAAGAGAAATGCTGCGCTGCACAAGAGTGTAAACTAGAGAGAATTGAACCTTGCAATGTATGGCAAGTGAGTTGGAGTTTTTAGCAAGTTTGAAATGGTTTTAACATGTTGCATGGCGTTCAAATGTATGTACTCTGCTGAGATTGGCATTGAGATCATTTTGGTGCTCTATCTAATTCCTTAGATATTCAACTGGATCCGGAACTTCTAGAGCAATTCTGCGGTATGTTTGTTGGTACCTTCCATCATCCATGTGACAGCACATGGACATATATGATATCAGAGAGCATGTGTATCCTTGCAATTTGAGATCATGAAAGCATTGTGCAAGATCAAATTCCACACTGCACCGGACCCGATGACAGAGCACCTGCCTGCAATGTCATCAGCCCTGCATCTGGAAGAGCCTTGCAATTCCCAACACTATTCCACCCACCCACTGAGCAAGCAGTGCCTAGTTGGTTTCTTCTTGTAGAAAGTACCAGACTTGAGAGCGTTGGGAGAGCCAGAGCATTATGTCTAATGTGTGGAGCTTGCTCCCTTCACCGGAATATTAATGGACCGGTTAGCACGTACAGATAGAAAAATCATGATAGTACAAGATTTTTAGCGGCAGAAGCTGCGGAACACTCCTTGTTGTTCGCACAAATGCAAGTAGCTTGCCAGAATGCTCCCTTGACTGACAGCCGTACATCTGAACTACCGACACATCGCCATGACTAAAGACGTAGTCATCCCCTCTTGCAGTAAAAATACTAGGCTGCTCTGTTCAATTCATCGTCAAAATCTTCTCGCCTCGGCCAGTATGTAAGTGCTCCTCTCCAAACATATGCGGCAATTCCTCCCTTCTGATCACATCTGCAGCTCTGTGCATTTTGCTGTGACTGGGAAAAAACACAGCAATTGAAGCCGCTCCCTGGTCAGTCTTGCACTGCAGCGGCGCTGTTTCATCATCTCACTGCTTACTGCTGCTGCCATTCTCCAGGCATGGGATGCTGTCTTGGAGCTCCGGCAGAGGGCTGCCGTCAATTCCCCTATTCCCTCGTTGCTCCCAGGGACGCGGCGCAGGCACGGCGTTTCTGAACAGCACCGGAGGCGCCGCGCAGCCGCCGCCATTTACATCGCCGGTGCAGCCGCGCGAGCCGGGCATCGCAAACATGTCCAACATGAACTTCTGCGCAGCGAACGACGGCTCCCTTGTCGGACATGACACCTGCGCGACCACATAAACAGTTCAGGACCGCTACTTTCCTTACAATTTCATATAATGAATGCCCTTGCACCGCTCTTGCCCAATGAAGAGCAGCAAACTGGGATTGCATGGCATGTCTCTCGCATCAGTCAATATGCTGATGGGCTCACCAGAGACAGGGTGCGTGTGAGGCGGACTCCAGCAATGTCCAGGCGCTTAAACAGGCCCAGCTCCATCTCCTTCACAATGGCGGCGCTCGACACAAGTGCTGCGCCCAGGCCATACTGTACAGCACTCTTTATGGCCTCCACCGAGTTGAACTCCTACAGGCCCAACACACCACATGTCGGATCACTGTCATTGGTACGCCCAATTATACAGTCCGACGCTGCGGGGGTCCAGTGGGTTGCGGCCTGCCTAAATCTAAATTGTTCTTCCCAGGGTATGCTGGCATTTCTGCCATTATAGCAGGTAATGTTTCGTAGGTGCTCACCATGTCGATCTTGAGGTGCCGCCACAGGATGCCATGCTGCCTCAACAGCTTCTCTTGCACCAGCTGCACCGAGCTCCCCTGCTCCCACCACACGAACACCTTAAATCTTACAGCTGACAATTGCAAATTGACTAACATTCTTCAATCTATAAACAAGCCACTCTTGCACATTTGGGGAGGCAAGCATCAGGCGGTACAAGCACAAAAAGTCTGCGCCCAGAAGAGGGCAGGGGGAAGAGGATGAGAAGAGGCACCTGATTCAGGCTGACCAAGGGGAGAGTATACAGCTCCTCCAGAGCAATGCTGCCCTGCTTGGCCAGGTCATGGTGCCGAGGCACAATCAGCACCAGCTCATCGCTTGCATACGGCGTCACCTGAAGCATGCAGCATCAGAATTGATCCACTTGCATCAGTCTCTTGTAGAGTGCGATCAAGACCGCTCGATCATGCTGTGGGACCTTTAGCAAGGAGCAGCAGCGCACTTGGAAGCATGCGTGGTGCCTGAACCAGAAGCACACGTGGTCCGATCAAAAGTAACTGCAGTCTAATCGCGCATGCACATGTAAGCCCGAGAAGATTTCAGGGCACAAGCAAGTGAAGCATCACCGCCGCGCCTATATTCTCTTCTCGTTTGATGGCAGAACCCTTGGGGTGTGCAAAGTACACAGCTAGGGGACTTGTGATAACCTGCAGCACCGATGCGAGGTCCTCAGGGACATCGCCGCCGATGATGGCGCAGTCGGCCTCTCCGTGCGCCACAGCGTCACAGGCGCGCCGGGACTGCTCCACCTGCAGAGTCACTGTAACCTGCGCACAAGACACCATATTCGCTCCTGTCAGAAGACATGTTGAGAGGATCCCTTGGTCAGGGCCAGGAGTGACAGGGCTCTCCTTGTGCTGACAGAGCCCATAAGAGCAGGCAGGGAGGAGACAAAAGCCGCTGGCTACTAAATGTGGCCACGGGGTATGAAATGTATTTAAATGTAATCCAGTGGATCCAAGGCACCGGCTTCACCCCTAGGTGGGGCAAGTTCCTAAAATGGCATTCACAGCAGGTGTGCTTTTTAGCAGCCTTCCCGGGTCAGTACAAAAGAGTCATTTGTAGTAACCCCTGAAAGAGCGCACCCCGGGGTTGCGGGCGCGGAAGGCAGCGAGCAGGCGCGGCACGACGTATGTGCCGACGGTCTGGGAGGCGGCCAGCGCCACGCGGCCGCTGTGCGCCGCGCGCAGATCGTTCAACGCGCGGAGTGCCTCGCCCGCCACCGCCAGCACGCTAGCGCTGCAGCGTGCAACGGAACGAAGCGTCATTCAAGGGAGCTGCGATCTTCAATCGCTTTTTTTCAAAACAAGGCATGCTTATGCGTGTGCATGTGACATGCTAATTATGAGCAAACAAATGCAGTATGTACAAGTGCAAGCATGAGCCAGAACGCTCGTGCTGTGCCATGCATAAAAAGATGACTCACAGATGTCAGTGACAGTCTGCACATATCCTGATGGCAACCAGGAATTTGCCAGAGTTGGTTGCGCATTGGAGCCCCTTTTCCTGCTCCCTAAAGAGACATTGGGGCTTTTTATATCAGGTCCACAGTATGCACGCTGATGCACGCAATATCCTTGCTGTGATCATCAAGACAGCATTGCTAGGGGCACTTGCCAGAAGGGCAGCAGCGCCTGGCCGGCCTCCGTCAGCCGAGTGGGGCCGCCGCCTGTTCGCCGCACAACCAGCGGGCCCCCAAACGCCTGCATCCAGCCATATGCACTCAGGCGCCCAAAAACACATCATATTCCCACTCTGGCAGCTTGAAGATTTCTGTGGCTGCCCAGAAAGAGGTTTGCAGATCGGGGAATCGCTACAATCAGATTTATCTGAAAGATGGTATGAGAGAAAGACACATACTTGTGTCAAATGGAAGGGGGAAAGCATCCTACTGCCCTGTTGGTGCAGAGCTGGTAGAATCGTTCCCATCCCCCATGTGGCATAGGTCCACTGGCACAGCAGCATGAATAAAAACCCACGCACCTGCTCAAGGAGAGCGAGGGATTTGGAGATGGCGGGCTGGGAGACTGACAGCGTGAGGGCCGCCGCGGCGCCGCTGCCGGAGAGGGCCATGGTGCGGAAGACCACCAGCTGCCCCAGCGTGAAGGGGATCTTGTCAGCCGCGCTCAGTGCCTGATTCGGCACCCCCGACCCTAGATCTGCACACAATCCTTCCCCCTTACACCAGACACTTATCCTCGAGAAGGTTACTGCCAAAAAAATGGAATACACAGATGACTGGATGGGCAGATCTGCAGACTGTATCTCGTCCTGACACAAGATACTTACCCCTGAGAGGACTCCCAATAACCAAGACCTGGTGCACAGGTGACCAGGTAACAGTTGGGAATCTGTGCTTGATGCAGAGTGTATTACCCCATGTTGACAGAGGCCAGCCCAACCAGGCTGACTTGGTCAGCTGGCTGAATTTTATTTTTGCATTCTTAGAAGCGATAAGGTTATGCAAGCGTCTTTCATGAAGCAAGGGAGCACCTTCAAAGTCGAGAGCGGCCGGGTGCGCGTCTGGGGCGCCAAGGAAATCATCCCGGCCGGCCAGGCCAGGGTAGCGCCCCTCATGCAGCGTGGGAATTATGTGGGCCGGCAGGTTGGGGCTGTGCGCCTGTGAGCATCAGCCGCACTATCTACAGCCAGAATGACTTGCATCTACCCTTACTCGTCCTCTCCACAACAGGAGAACAATGACGCTACAAAGGGTCTGCATGGGGTTGTGAAGCAGCGGATGGCAATCTTTTCATTTGCCGTTGCCAACATCAATGGCAATTCCTCGCTGATGACAAGATGCATGAAGGCTTTCATGCAGCGAATCAAAATGGTATTGATGCTTGCGGAGGCAAGAAGCACCCACCCGTCGCCCAACAGAACTCTGCGCCTATGGGCAAAATAAGGCGCAAACAACTTAGACAGGATGTACAATGTTAAATTACCATAACATGAAATTGACAATATAGCCGATGCATGCAAAGGGGCGACGGACCTGCCGCAGGAGGGGGTCTGGCAGGAAGCAGCCCTGCGGCGCGAGCTGCACTTCCAGGCCGAACAGCTCGCGGATGAGCGCGCGCGCGGCCTTGCTGCAGTACCGAGCCGGGTCTGTGACGCACAGCAGCGTGCGCGACAGCCGCAGGCCGGTGATGCGCACCGCGTGCAGCCGCCCCAGCTCCACCTCCTTCTCTATCGCCGCAGCCGATACAAACGCGACGCCCAGGTTCGCCTCCACCGAGCTCTTGATTGCCTCCACCGAGTTCACCTCCTGCCCAGCCGCCGAGACAAGGATTTTCAACTGTCTAGTCTAATTGAAACTGAGCTTCAGATGCGTGCTAACGCGACATGCTCTGCCGAGACTCTGTCATCCTGCTGCAGAATTTGCTGCTGCGCATGCTGCCAGGAGACTGACGTGACCCTGTGGTGTCTCTTGCTGCTCCATAAGCTGCCTTGCATATCCGAAGAGAATGTCTTGAGGGGACCTTCGCACTCTGACTATTCCTCACCCAGCAGAAGAGCGTTTTGACCTTGCATGCTAATTTAACAGCCAAGTGCGGAAAGGAACACTCTACTTTAAAGAGGAACAGCGAGAGTGCAGAACAGAGAGAATGCACACCATGACGGTGCGCAGTGTCTTCCAGTCGATGCCATGCTGCTCCAGGGAGGCCTTGATGCCCTGCACGGTGGAGCTTCGGTGCAGCGACACAAACTTAAGGCTGGCCAGCACGTCCCGGTCCACCTCCTCACAGCCCGCCAGGGCATGGTCCCTGCCCACTATCAGCACCACCTCGTCCTCCTGGTAGGGCCGCACCTGCACCACCCCAGGCACCATACATGACACCTTCTTGACTCTAGGAAATCCTTCTTGACTCCAAGGAAAGCGTACTCTGTCACAAGGGTGCACTGGTGCAATTGATGCAGGCCAGACAGGGCCGGTGCGCACACAGCGTATTATAGAGATCTGCTTTCAAGTTCTGTCAAGGTACAAGACTTGAGCTTCTGGCGCTCTAGGCAGTGGGCAGCTGCGCACCTGCAGCAGATGCTCCAGCTCTCGGGGGATCTCGCCACCCACGATGCCGATGTTGACCTCGCCGCGCGCTATGGCCGCGCAGCAGCGCCGCGTGTTCTCCACCTGCAGGTGCACCAGCACGTCCGGGTGCCGCCTCTTGTACCGCTCTGCGCGACCCCACAAAACTTAGTCAGTGGTCTTGTTGCCTTTGCAAATAGCACCTAATTAGCTTCATACGCCTCTTGTTCTGTTGGCGCGCCCCACAAGTGCAACCACGTGTAAGCTCCTGGACCCAGCAGCAGCAGCCTTCCCGCACCACTTTTCAGAGCTGTAAATACACAGCGCGCTGTGCGGACACATAGCAATAGAGATTGGCTACGTTGCAAGTTGGAGCTGTTGAATGCCAGCGCACCTATGAGGCGAGGCATTAGATACACTCCAGTGGTCTGGGAGGCGGCGACATAGATGCTGCCTGTGCGGAGTTCCTGCAGGTCGCGCGTCGCCCTCATCGCATCTGCTGCGAGCGCCAGAAGGCGCTCTGTGTAGCGCAGTAGCAGGTGTCCCGCTGGTGTCAGCTCTCCTCTCGGCCCCTTAGTGCTCTGTCAGCCGAAAGAAAAGTGAGATTAAAAACTCAGAAACAGCGGTGACAAGGTGCAGTTTTCGAGCCTCGTGTCACGTGCTGATCAGGGAGGAACAAGGGAAGAAGAAGCGCCACCTGGGAGTTGAGCAACTCAAGGCCGAGGCTCCTCTCCAAATTCTTCAATGTCAAAGACACGTTCGATTTTGACATTCCCAGGGTTGCAGCAGCTTCCTCTGGGCTCTGCGAGACTGCGTACGCCTTGAGCACCACGAGTTGCTGGAGAGTGAAGGGGAAGTTGTACGTTGGAACTTGCTCTTGTACGGCCATCTGCGATCAGGAGCTCATTGTCAGTCTTCCAATGCAGGAAACCAGGAAAGAGACTTGAAGACTGTAATTGCATATTTGCACCTGGTGACGCACGAACTGAGGGGGTCTGTAGTCCAGAGGAGGGTTTTGCAAAGACATCGGAGCAGCGTCCGTGACATGCAAGCGCCTTCGAACCTCATTCTTCCGCTTGTTCTCATGGGTCAAGGATGCAAAGGTCCCCGGGGATGCCAAACAGGAAGGCCTGCTTCCAATGACTAGGGGCCTGTCTAGTTGGTGAGAACCCGATGCAGGATACATGCTTGCCCACAACCTATACAGTCCTCTTCCTTGACTCTACAGCCATGACTGAATGTACATGAAATTGAATACAAGTCATAGGTGTGAGTGTACAAGCATTCTGGACAACACATTTTCCAGATGGTCAATCAAGTGTCACCATGGTCGTACTATTCTACTATAGACTAAAGGCCTGTCACAAGCCCACTCCAACGACTTCTCGCGATTTACTAAAGTCTGATGTCGGTACGGTGCTAAATAATACGCTGCGCTTCATCGGCAAACTCTCCTGTATTCATGATCCAGGTCAGACCAGTTGCCTCAATAGGCAGACGGTTGAACAGCAAGCAGCATGCAAGAAACAGAGGATCCAAATCCTCAAGTGGCGATTCCTTAATGACGTGAAAATCCACTCCTACAAGTGAGTTTTGCGTACCACCATCAGGCTGCATTCACAGAAGTTCACGGCAGGCCTGACCTTTCGAAGCTTTCCCTTCACAATGTTTCTATAAGTCTGATTTGGCCAGCGTGAGGAATCCTGCCCAAAAACATCAGCAGGTCAATCAATTTTTGCCTATCCTCAGTACGACTATAGGAAGGCGCGCAATGTCAGAGGAACAGGGTAAGAAATTTATACCTGCCAAACTATGCATCAAGATGTTCCGAGTGCAAAACCGGTTCGTGTGTCCATGTGAACTTGTGCTGACACCTCATCGCCCATAATCACATCATGTATTATTCATGAAATGCAGTGGCAAAGAGGCCCCGAACAGATGAAAAAGGATCTTCTGGGACACCCATGGAACAAGACCAACAGGAAGGTGGGATGAGCGATATTTTATTTGTGGATGTATAACAGTATTTCGGAAAAAGCAAACGCTCATGACATGTTGAAATCGCAGTGCCTGGACCAGCAGGAGAGGGCCCCACAGACAGAAAGCCAGCCAGGAAATCTGTCCAAGACCTTATGAGGCCATACTACGGTAATGAGCAGCACCCGATGGCTTCCTCACCTTCATAAAGGCTATATCATTCTATCAGTGGCACTGTGTGCTTTCTGAATGGTGAAATTGCGTGTATCTTGCAGGTTTGAAGTTCCCTTACAACGAATTCTGCCAGTGGCTGTCGTACGGCAATGGTAAGGGATTCCATTTGCACAGAGATCTATGATCACCCACACTTGATCGCTGGACCATTGACAAACTGATTTCACCTTGTACGAGCAGTGAGATTATTTAGAGACTGCAATACATGCAGATACCAAGCTGCCACAAGCGGACAGCAACTTCTTTCAGCGGCGGGAGTTCTGTTTCACACTGGATGGGGACATCTTTGTGCGATACCAGTCCTTCAAGGTAGCTGCTGAGATTCATGCACTACGTAATGCTTGCAAGACTTGCGATCCTCCACCATTGTTCGGCCTCATGTCCAAGCAAGGACCAACTTAATTATGGTTGAGCGCAGGACAAAGAGGAGCTGCGCCGAGCGGTGTCAGCAAAACTGCCTGCAAAGATTGACATCGGCCCCGTCTACAACGTGGACCCCCAGCGCAGGAAGGCATACACAGGTGCACCGCCAGCCCATTTTGAAACTCCTCCACCATGTCCTGGCTTAGCGGTTTCATATCTGTGGCGGGTCCTTCAAGGAATAGTGGCAGCGTTCACCTTCAGCTGGTCTGCAGCCGCGCCTTGCCTCCTCGCAGGAATTGCGTGTAATACCAATAATACTTTGTGCCGTGAATCAAGTGCTTGCTGACACAATTGAGCCTGGCTCAAGCTGGGTTGATGGTACGACAGGTGGCGCCTCAGAGCGCGGCTTTCTGCCTGTGGAGCGAGAGTTGGTGTTTGATATCGATCTGACAGACTACGATGATGTGCGCACCTGTGGCAAGGAGGGGCACATCTGCGCCGCCTGCTGGCCCCTCATGGCCGTGGCTGTCGAGGTGTGCCCATTTCCCCCATCCACGACCTTATACTGTTCCAGCATACCTTCTAATTCTTTGGGCACATGCTCTGTCAAAGGCTGCAGCCCCCCTGCTGTGTTGACTTTCCCCTCAGCCCAACAATCACAGACTATGCCAAAAATTGCAGCCCAAGTTGCAATGCCAAGCATTGATACTGAATGTTGAGAGCTGATGCTGCGATGATCAGATCATCGATGCGTCCCTGCGGGAGGACTTTGGGTTCGAGCACATCCTGTGGGTCTTCTCTGGCCGCCGAGGCATTCACTGCTGGGTCTGTGACGAAAGGTAAGGATTGTCCAATCTTGCTGCATTGCTGCACATTATAGTGTTCAAGAAGCTTTTTGGGTCTTGATGTTAGCCTCATAAATTGACTTTTCTACAGGGCACGGAAGCTCACAGATGAGCAGCGCAGTGCACTCGCAGCATTCCTGTCGGTATACAAGGGTACAGAGGGAGGCATTGCTCGCCTAGCCCTCAGCACAGTCTCAAATTCAAACCATCCCTCTGTGGAACGCGCCTACCGCGTGCTTTCCGACGCCTGGACAGAGGTGAGTCGTGTAATTAATTTGCCCATGTCAGAGTGCGGGTATCTGCATTGCAGCACTGGCATGGTCGTCTGTGAGCCGCTGTGAAGCTCTGTACCCCGATGCACAAAGTTCACAAACAAGTCCGTAGAGATCCCTACACCACAACGTGCGCGGCACAGCTGTACTGCCCACTACTAATGGCTTGCATGGCTTGGTCGTCATAATTCAGAATCCCAAGACCCCCAGAAAGGCACCATGCCTGTTGTGACCGCACATGCCGGCAACTGTCAGGGCAACTGTGTGATCGAGGCCCGTAAAGCTCGTTTGTTGAAGCTGCTGCTCTTGTGGTGCAGCACATCCTGCCGCAGCAGCGGCTCCTGGCGGATGAGGCTGGGTGGGAGGGTGTGCTGGCGTATGTCAAGGATGATGACGTGGCGGAGCGGCTGCGTGGCAGGTGGGCGCGCGAGCAGGGGCGGCTGACGGCCGGTGACATCAGCGTCGAGCGCTGGGCCGACCTGGAGTCCGAGATCGACAAGGTGTGACACCCTGCACAAGCTCCCAGGAAGTGCTGTCCCTACTTGACGCTGTGTGGCTGCACAGCACCAATCAGAATGCAAGCAGCTGTTGGGAAGACTGTGTTGACGGTGCAGGGCCTGCTGACAAAGTTTTCAAGTGTCCACTGGCTTGCAGAGATGCTAATCTCTGTCCTTGTGTCATGAATATCATTGCGTGGTGACAAGCATTGGAGGAAAAGCAGGTGCCATGCCAAGAGAACGGCCTGATGCATGGCTTGTCTTGCAAGCAGGTGCTGGACTCCAAGAGCGCAGACAGGGCAAGGAAGCAGCTGCTTGTGCGCAACAAGAAGGAGATCATTTTCGCGTACGCCTACCCGCGCCTGGATGTGGAGGTCTCCAAGAAGATGAACCATCTGCTCAAGGCGCCCTTCTGCGTGCACCCCAAGACCGGCAAGGTGCTGATGCACACCTCTCACCTGGCCGTTGCAGTCTGTAATGTAATTCTCTGGCCTTTAGTAACCATATGACCTCTAGGTGGGGCAATTTATCACATGACATTCAAGGCAGGGATACTTGAAGACAGTCCTGGCTTGGCCTATGGGTCTATTTTAAGTGATGCATGCATAATCGGGCAGCCCCCGATCTTGCCTTTTCCTGCCATGACCGCTACTGTCTTAGGCATCCCTTTGTTGCAGAAGGCTGAAGGATCCTTACAGTCATGCAAATTTCTGTGATTGATGTACCAGTGATACCAAGGATGCAGGTAATTATCTGGATGTGGTGCAGGTTTGCGTCCCCATGGATCCCAGCAACATATGGGCCTTCGACCCAGAGCAGGTGACCACTGTGCACGACCTACTGGAGACCGACAAGGACAGCCAGGATGCAGCCACCGCGGAAGCTGCTATGGAAGCGGCCGTAGGCACCTTCCGCCGCTGCTTCCTGAATGGCCTCAGAGCCGCCTCCAAGGCCGGACTCGTCGCCAAAGCACGAGCTAGCGAAGGGCTGGCCTGGTAGATCAAGCTCATGCTCACCATGCTGTGACGCAACGAATTATTCTCATGAGGATGCAGCGAATCCCTGCGCGCAGCCAAGATTGCAGAAGGCCTATAAACGTTATGTCTGTAAACGTTTGAGGCCTGTCGGAACGGTGGTGGTTGGGCAATTCGGCTGAAAACGCAGCTGCGCATGCTGCGCGATGGGAAAGATGATCATGATGTGAAATCAAAAGTGAGCATTGCTGAAGCGGGTGAATGTCAGTGAGGTGCTGGGACAGATATTTTGAGATGTTTCGAATTACAAAGCAGTAGAACATTTCATTTTCTGCTAGTTCCAGCCAGCAGGACAGATGCAGGTTTTCCGCGCATTGTGAAACATAGTAAAGAAACAGGATTGAACACGACAATAATGAGAGATTGTACTTTTACAATCTCTATAAGTAGCACCTTTCTTGACAGTAGTTCATCACGCAACACTGCGCATCTGTAGGACAGCAACCTAGAAAGGGATGTCATCATCGTCCTCAGGCTGCTGCCCCCCTATTGGCGAGTGCGCAGCAGGGACAGCAGGGTTCTGCACAATGGTGTCATTCCAGGGAATGCCCTGCTGCTTCAGTGCAATGACCAGGCGGATCTGGTTGTATGTCAGTCCCTCCTTCTCCACAGCCAGCTGCTCCTGGCTCGCCTGTTTCGGTCCTGCTGATGGATGACCCATCATTGCCTGCATGAATTCCAATCAAACGAGTGCAACGCTGCCAAGGCTTCCGAAATAAATGCGACATCGTACAGATCCACAACATCAAGCCTTCGTCGGAGAGAAGGACTGCAGATCAAGTCAGGGTGGGCGCCAGAAGATGGAAAAAGGGCTGCCTCGCTGTGTGATTGCACTGTGCAAGACATCTCAGGCCCAGGAGCACGATTGCTTTGCAGATTGTCACAACAAATTTGTTGCAATCATCACAATGATAATGATGGACATGCAGAGCCCCACCTCTCTGACTTGCCGCAGGTAGATCTTGTCCAGGGTTGCAGGGCCGCCGTCTGGGCCGACCGATGTTGACAGCACAGTCTCAATCGAGTCATTCACCTCATCTGCTGTGATCCAGGGCTGCAGTGCAATGAATTTCATGTCAAATGCTTGCATGCGTTGGTGCAATCCAAGCAGTGACTCACCAGATCCTCAAGGCGTCCTCATTAGACACGGCAGACACTTTGTAACAGCCGCAAGATAAGATCTTGAGGCCTCACCGATCCAGGAGGGCCCATCTGCAGATCACTGGCAAGCTGCGGCAGATGCGCAAGATTTTCGGGCCTCAAGCTGTCTATCAAGTGGTTTGTCACCGTTCGTACTGCCTTGCCCTGCCACAAACCACCAGCATGAAGATATCAACCGTCAAATTGCAACAGGTGGGAACTTTGTCACTCAACAATCATAAGTCAATAACTAATGTCAATAATAGTGCCCAAGAATGGCTCACCTCCAGGCGTGCAATCTCGGGAAAGCTGTGGCCTTGGGCATACAGTTCCAGGGTTTTCTGTGCGGCTTCACCACCCCTGGAAGACGCCCCCCTTTCTCGCGGCTGCCTCTGCCGTGTTGGCTTGGGCGCGCTCCCTGCTGTGGTGCCTTCCAAAACGCCCTGGCTCCGGTCTACCACCATGACATACTCCGCCACGACCTGTCATCACAGCTGATTCAAGGATGAGGCGACAGATATTGGGTGGAGAGACATACAACAAGGTCTGCAAGTGAGGAGGATGTTTGTGAACATGTGGGAGACTGCATGGGAGGGGATCACCCGCAGTGCCTCTCGACGCTGTCCCGTGGTCTTGTCAGTCCACTTCGATTGCTTCAAGTGCCCTCCCACCGCGATCTGCATCCCCTTATGGACATACTGTGCCACTTGCTGGGCCTGCAACCATAGTACGCCCATTCATGGCTTGAGCCTCACATTGTAAAGATGCAAAGGGGGGGATTTTGGGGGTTGAACTCAAGGGATGGAACAGTAGCGAACCTCTGCATTCCAGCAGTCCACCACAAGCCATGTGAGCTCCAAATTGTTGCCAGACTTTGGCCGGACGCCCAGGCTCACTTGTGCCACCAATTGATCCCCAATCTGCCTGACCTCGGGAGCTCCTCCCACAATCCCAATCAAACGGACCTGCGCACACTTTCATGATTTTTCTGTGGATCAAATGTGCACGAGTGCAGTCACATCCATGCCCAGCAGCGCCCCTTGCGCACCTTGTTGACATGATCTGCGCTCCAGGCACATACTGGAGGAGGCTCAACACTTGGCTGTGGTGGTGACATCTCTGCGCCTGCAGCTTGGGAGTAGGGACTGTAGCTGGTTTCCCCTGCGCTTGTCAGAGACAACTGAATTGATGGCACTCGCAATGCAAAGATATGAAACAACAACACTAGTTCAGACTCCACAAGGAGAAAAGGGGCTGCGTACCCGAGAGATTCGGTCCCTGCCCAGAAAAGGTTGGTCGATCTGGGGTTGGAACTTCCAAGTTTGCTGCCCCCAACTCGTGGTCATAAGCTCTCAGTCTCGTGGTCGTTTGATGAAGGAGACTGCTGGTAGATTGATAATGCCTCCATTGATACAAAAACGAAGCAGGTCTAAGGCCCTTGACCAGCTTCATGCCAGCCAGATGTGATGCCTGGTGTCGCATTCTGTTACACAAACACCATCCCGCTCAAAAAAATCTTGCGTATACTTCCATAGATTCCAAAAGCTGTAGCGAGGCCGCACTTACCAAGGGGTTGGACGCAAAGAACCAAACTGGAGCTGTTGGTTTCAACAGAAAGAGAAGCTGCTCCTTAGTGCCCGCACTACTTCAGCAAATAAAGTCGACTTAAGCAAGGAGATATGCCGACATCAGAAGTGCTAGTGCTGCTGTACAAATGTCTCGGAGCTTCGTGTGTGAAGTGTTTGATGAGTCAGCGGAGCGTCTTGGTGCTAGACTAGAGTAGCAATCTCATGCAACAGATCACCTCGAAAAGGAGATGGGGCTGTCGCACTCTACTGTTGAGCTCTTTAAAAGTATCGAAGAGGACTTTTGCGGCGGTTTGACGCCTTTATATGGTATTTGCCGATCCCATTCGTTTTGCGTGTTCTTCAAAGACACTTCAAAGACACTCGTTGCTTGGATAATATGTATCAGCAATAGGTTTTTTCTTTTGATGAGACTGTTACTTGCTGTGGAGAACTGGTCGGGATGCAATTTTTCCTGAGGGCATGGCATATCTTTGCAGGGATTGCTGGGCACGACTATGCTCATGCGACCGCGTTAGTCTGCAGAATAAATGCGTCTGGGAGCTCACTATTTGATTGTGAAGCAATGTCGGAAGGAGATCTGGTGCAGATCCGGCAGATCGTGCAGGAGGGAGTCTTGCATAACTTTCCTGTGCCAGCCTTGGAGAAAGAAACTTATGCCCTACAATCTGAGAGAAATCAGCAAAGGACATCTAATCCTCTGCAGAAGTATTTGAGCTGCCCCTTGACGCATTTCTTGGCGGAGCTTAGAGAGGTCAGCACTCTGTGCTGATGCAGACTACTTGTGGTGTATGGTTTTGCTAATCATATACCTGTTTGAAAGGCTCCTGAATTATTGGACCTGTGCTGCAGGACGAGGATGTCAGGGCTGGCAAAAAGCACAGTCAGATCTCAACAGGTGGCAGGGAGCTCAAGGGCAACATACTTGAGAGAGCCCTCAAAGCAGCAGGCAGTGCCACTACAGGGACATTACCAGCTGCAGTATCACCGGTGGAAAATGGCGGAGCTAACCAGGGTCTCCATGGAGGTGAACAGGACAGCACAGATAGTCCCAGAGATGCCCCACAGCCAAATGCGACAGCTGCAGAGAGTGCCACATGGCGCTCTGAAGCCTCAAATGGCACAGCTCGGCAAGCTCCTGCAAATAGAGGGCCACCCTCTCTCTTGCAGCAAGTCTTGTGCGCATGGCAGACCCCTGATGAGCAGCGCCTGTATTTGCTGCATCCTCATGCACCCCACAGCCTGGCAGACCTGCTGCGCTTTAACCCCTCCAGCCTGGCAGATGACGTGGCCATCAGACTCATGCTCTACCAGGTAACTGCATGCCACTGATGCAGACAGAGTTCTTGACCTGAATGCATGCAAGGCGATGCAAGCTTGCATGCGCGCTTGCATCTGCACAGATGCCCAGGAACATACGTTTGTAATAGCTGTAATAAAGCTTGCATATGTATGATTTTACTGCAGGTGATCTCAGGCCTGCATGAGCTGCACTGCGCTGGTCTTTGGCACGGATGTCTATCCCCAGAGACTGTGCTACTCAACAGCCAATCACATGTCTGGCTGGGAGGAAGCTGCTCTCTTCCAAGCCAGTCAGACACTGAAGATTCTCTTGCAGAGCTCACGGCAAAGTGGCACTCATGGCAGGTTAGCTGAGGACTCACCTTTTATTGCACAGGGCTTGAGTTTAGCCCTATCCACGTTCTATTGTCACCAAGGGGCTTGCTTGAATTATTCTTCTGATAAAATGCCTCTGTTGTGTGGTGTGGTGCAGATGAGTAACTTTGATTACCTCATGCAACTGAATCACTTGGCGGGGAGGAGGCAGGGCAATCCTGCGTTTCACCCAATCCTCCCCTGGGTCATTGACATGTCTGTGCCACCAGAGGCGACCATGCACCTCACTCTGGAGGTGCTTGCAGTGTCCCATTCACATGCCTTGATGATGCCTTGCTGTATGAGGACAAACTTGCAGAAGGGATGCGCCCATTCCACAGCATTCCATGCCTGTGTCAAGCCTGTCGGGAAGGCAACAGCCATGAACAAGTGGCCATGCAGGAAGAATCTGAAGCACCGGGTTGGCGTGATCTGACAAGGACCCAGTGGCGGCTGAGCAAGGGCGATGAGCAGCTGGACTTCACATACAGCAACTCTGACAAGCCCCACCACATCTCGGATGAAATCCTGTCAGAGCTTGCCTACTGCATCTACAAGGTCAGCCCCCCTCTTTCTGCAAGAGCAAACTTCTGACCATGAAACAGTTCATCGTGCGCATTTCATTTGCATGCAGTCTCCTGCCCGCTCATAGCAGGCCGAGCATGCATTACAGAGTAGTGCATGTTGCAAATAGTGTCTGCCTTCACTGCATGCGGCACACATGTCCTAATTCACAGTACCTAGGAATTTACAAATGTATTCGCTGCAGGCAAGGCGGCTGCCAGTGGAGGTTTTAACAACTGTGGTAAGGGCGGTGTTTGAGCCCAACGAGTATCCTGCCTCCATACAGCGCCTGTACGCCTGGACGCCAGATGAGGCCATCCCAGAGATTTATAATGACCCCACTGTCTTTTCCTCCATCCACCCTGCCATGGCTGACCTGGCCGTGCCTGAGTGGTCGTCTGGGCCAGAGGACTTTGTGGAACGGCACAGGTGGGATACACACAGTGAATACGCCAATCCATGCATGTGTTCAATAAGTGCTACTCACTCAACCGCGTTTTCTGACACATGCTGCTTGCGTTGAAGTATGGCAGCTATTTCCCATCTTTGTATGCTTGGAAGGGACATGCGGAGCCTTGCAGGACAGAGTGAGAGAATTCAATTAAAACCCAAGAAAATTATGTGCTTCTACAGGGCTGCACTGGAGAGTGAGCGGGTGTCCAGCATGATGCACCACTGGATAGACCTCACCTTCGGCCACAAGCTGACTGGGGAGGCTGCAGTGGCGGCCAAGAATGTGGCCCTGCCGCCGTCCAGCACAGCTCAGCGCTTGCATGGCAGAGCACAGCTATTTAACCAGCCCCATCCTCCCAGGGGCCCTCGCCCTGGACAGGTGCTCTGCTAAGTCCTCTAATTCCCAATTCCCTCATGAAAAGGCGATCAGCCAAAGTGTTTGCACTGATAAGCGCCAACATGTATTCACAGAAGCAACTCACCGGTCAATCTGTAATTCTGAAAATGATGTGCCAGCATATTGAACTTACACAGCAAATCCCTGGTCAACGGTGCAGGTGTGCAGATGACTCTATATCACTGTCAGATTTCAATCTTTTTGAAGTGTTTTGCTGGTGTTTGACAGACAAAAGCCCCTCCGAAGAGTCTGAGCGAGGCGACGCAGCGCAACATGACACTGCTGGAGCAGCTGGAGAGCAGCTACAGCCTGCTGGCAACACAGCCAGGGGAGGCAGCTGCAGCAGCCGAGGGAGGTCTTGTGGTGCCAACTGAGGACAGCCCACGGATGGACCAGACGGACAAAAGTTCCAGCTCTCTGGATAGCGAGGCATCAGAAACAGGCAAAGATGACGCCCCAGAAACTGCAGAACCATTGCAGCCTGCTGGATCGGCAACCAAACACAGCATGGAGCCTGCTGAGGCCGGCAGCGGATATGCGAATGACAGCGATGCAGACCGCAGGAGGAGTCATAGCCTGGCCTCAGCGCAAGCGCAGGATGTGGCGGCAGTGGGAGCGCTCATTGTGCAGCTCTACACACGCAGAATGCACTATGTGCGCTCGACAGATGCACGTTACTGGTGCAATCAGATCAAGCAGCTGCCCTCCGCCGCTCGCAGCATCGCAGCCGCCTGCCTGGCAGGGGTAGGGGCTTCCACAGATCAGCTGTTGCAAGACGAATTCTTCACAGGCAGCGTCCGCACGGCCGCCAAGTTCCTTATTGCTATTCAGGCGCCTCTGACAATGAGGGGTCAAGGCTGTGGCACGAGATCTTGGCCCCAGAAACAGCCTGAGGAGGGGTTGAGCGTGCCAGGCGCCAGCGAGAGCGCATCATGGGCGCTGGGCGTGCCATGCGTGCATCGAGTGCTGGAGGACTTGGCAGAGTCGGGGGGCGTTCAAGAGCTGCACAAGACTCCTGGAGCCCTGCACATATGCCTCCCCGCCATTTTGCAGCTGCTGGAGGCGGCTGCCCTGCTGCGTACTGAGCGGTCAGTAGGGGATACAAACGCAGCACAGAGCACTGGTGACGGCGTGCACGCTGCAAGCAAAGTTGCCGGCAGCTTTGTGACGGTCTGGCAGCAGCTGCTGCAGTGCCTGCCTCGACCCGAGGTGCAGCGGGAGTGCGTGCCACTGTGGCAGAGAATGCTCAGCGGCCGGCCACTCGGTGGTCATAGTAGCAGCAGGAGCTCTGGTCAGCCGGTCAGCCCAGGCTTCCAGGCAGCCCTGCTGCAGATCGATCTACTGAAGGGCTTGATATCGTCCATCGGCCTCACTGCCTTCCTGGACAGCGTGCATCCGCACACCCTTGACACCGTCTGCGGCGCGTCCCATGCCGGGCATTCTGCGCGGCCCCCCCAAAGTCTTGTGACCCATGCCAGCCAGGTGCCACACCCTGCCCCATTCTGCTCAAGACCTCTTTGCCTTGCATGCTAGCAACCAACATCACCATCACGATCTGTCCGCAGGTTCAAATCGGCATCCGTGCTAATGCAGTCAGTTGGGCTTCATGTTCATTGTCAATGACGATGGACCCTTCACAGAAACCTGCCAGAAAAGGACCTGGGGGGCTGACTGCTACTTTTGTGAAGTATTGTGCGTGGGTTCTGTATTCAGGCTCTAGTAGATCTGGCGGCGTGCCTGCCTCTGCCCATCACAACCGAGCACATCTTGCGGCCGCTGCTGCTGTCGCTGCCGCAGGGACCGGACGTGGCACTGGCCGCCATCCATCTGGGCGACGCTCTGGGCAGCGCCTTTGTCGCCGCCCACATGCTGCCAGCCCTGCTGGGCGTGCTGACCTGCCGCCCCGGCAGCGCGCTGGCCGTCTCTGAGACCCGCTCCGGCTCTGTCCCCCGCTCAGGTGCAAACTTTTGAACATGAGCTTGGATACTTGTATCTTGGAAAAATTTCATGCTCCTTGCCTGAAGCTGAACTTGAAGACCTGTGTCTCGGACAACCACCAAGCTGCTTGCTTGGGCTCCACTGTGCCCTGCAAAGACAGCGCCGGGCGGGTCTATAAAATATTCTCTGCTCATCCTCCTGAAATGGGCTGTTTCAGGCAATTCAGATTGTGCACGGGTATTCTCAGCTGTGTGAGCATATGAGGTGAAAAATCTTCGGATCTGTTGGGTGTGAGAAGAGCTGGCACAATGTAACAGAAATGCATCGTGGATGTGCAGAGGAGGGGCAGCAGGGCCAATTGGCGGCGGCTGCGCTGAACGCGCTAACAACTTTAGAGGGGCTGCTGCCTGCACTGGGGCGCGACACGGTGCTGTGTCCGCTGCTGGCGGCGCGGCCGGCCTCGGGGGAGCGGCTGCTGCCGGCTCCCCTGCTGGGCCCCCTGCTGTGCCCCCACCCCCAGATGGACCCCCTGCTGCGAAACCGCATTGCCGGTCTAGTCCTGCAGGTAGAGTTACCAGTTCATTTGGTTGCAGAGGTTTCCCAAAGCTGCTTGTATTCTTGGGTCATCATTATGCATGCATGATGCTTGACATGCTTGATTACCGCCCTGTGTTGGGTGACACAGTTCCCTGCCGAGATACAATAACTTGAAGGGAGGTATCAAATGCGCCTGCATATTGTCCAAGGCTTGCTGTTTGACACATTAAAGCCCATTCCAGAGGTTGCAATAAACCGCACACAAGTCGCACGCAAGACTTTGATCTTGATTTACTCCTTCAGACAGACTGCAAACTGCTGTGTGAGCAGGCGTGCAATGCGGCGGGCGGGGCAGAGGTGTTGACGATGGAGGTGCTGCCCCAGCTGCTCCCCATCTTCACATGCTCCGCCACACAGAGGCGAGCCTACGGCTGCTCCATTTCATTGCCGCCTCCGGCCCCGGCGGAGGCATCGCCCGCGCAGACCGGCAGCCTCCCGCCGCCCAACGCAGCCTCGTCAGATGCGCTGACCCTGCAGCGACGCATGCGCGAGGCCATCAGCCTTGCTGCTGGATCTGGCGCCGTGCACTCAGGTGATTTTGAGCTACAATCAACATTTCCGCTGCCTTCCTTGCATGCAATCATATCGCTTGTTACTCTACCGGTTTGGAGTCCATCTTTGCCATGTGTGACCATTTCGCACACACACATGATGACTTTAAATTCTATTTCTGCAATGCGGTGGAATGGGATTATGTGCCCAACATACATGTGTGACACATCAGCATGTTTGTGTGGAAGCAGGTGGGCCGCCAGTGCAATCGAGAATGCAGCAGGGAGGCAGGGAGGGCGAGGGCGAGGACAGCGGCTACTGGGACCTGGTGTATCTGCTGTACCCAGAGGCTGTGGAGGCTGCCGGCCTGGGACTCATGCACGAACTTGTCTCCTCCTGGCCCTTCCTAGAAAGAACGCTCGCGGTGAGCTTATTGAATTATTATTGGCATCATTTTGGTGCAGTGCAGGCCTGTCACAAAATCGCAGTTCTCAAGGTTGCAATGCCATTAGTATGGATTGGCCAATCCTTCTTTTCGTTTGAAATCTGGTCTGGCCGGCTTGGTGCATGGGCTTGTAGTACATTTGGTGCCCTGTGTGTTTGTCAAACCAACCATAACAGCCTGGCATGTTTGCCGCCTCAACTGCGTACAGGACAGTAGAGAAAATGCAACATCGTTTCAACATTCTTCAGGTGAGGTACGGGTGGACGCCAACAGCGGCGTTGGGACCCCAGTTGGCGCGGCTGTCGGAACGCGCAAAGGCGGCCACTCTGCGCGACTGCACGGACCGGATTGACTACGAGGCTGCCTTCGGCTCCGAGGCCTGGCGCTCGCCCGAGAGCCCAGCCAAGGTTAGGCACTGCTGCGCTTCTATTTGACTGTTGCCTGCTGCAAACACTGTTATATTAGCACTGGGTCAGCCCTGTATTATTCTATACGTTGGCTGCAGTCGCAAGTGCTTGCAAGCCCCAAAGCCTTGACCTGCACGCATTTGCGATAGCAATCATCCAATAGAATTGTAAAAACGGGCAGATCCAGTGCTGTGGCCTCGCAAGCTGGCCATGTGAGCAACCAGTGCGTTGCGGATTGTTCTGCAAGTGAACTTTGAGCACGTCATCTGTTTTACGCTAAGGGCAATCAACAGTTGTGCTTGTTTCTGGCCATTTGATTAGGTCCTCACTGATGCCCGCTCGACAGGGACCACCTGCTGTGTGTTAGACCACCTGCTGCAGTCAAGGAGTCAAATTGCCGACCCCTGTGCTGCCGTTCAGGGCGAGGTGAGGCGGGCAGAGCAGACGGCGGCGCGCCTCATTGATGATATCGGCTGGTCCACGCCGCTCGTGTGGCCGGGCGTCAGCGCCAGCGTCGGCTTTGCGCCCGCCGCGGCCGGCGCTGTTCCCTCCTCCGCACCACTGCCGCGGAGCGCCGTGAGCCCATCCGCCCCTCTGCAGCGCCCCCGTACGCATCACTCTGCTGTTCATTCATACTAACTCCTCACACACAATACAGAAGGCAAAATCTCAATTCTCTGGGAGTCTACAAGAATTTATATACAAGGAAATTGGCCGGTCGTGCCTTCATGCCTTGCGGTCACACTTGGCTGTGACATGTTTCTTCCACCCCATTCATGTGTTCCCCATTTGCCATGTTGCCACATTGCGAACTGAGCTTGAATCCGAGTAAAGTGACACCCTTAATTTGACTGCGTAGCAGCTCGCACGCCCAGTGAAGTAACGCACTCCTAATTTGTTGTTGAAGCTGCTTGTATCCGTGTGCAGCGTCCAGGGACGGCGGAGCAAGCCCGAGGGAGTCCCCGACAGCAGCTGGAGGCCGGGCGCGCTCAGCAATGCCGGAGCCGAGCGCAGGCCCTCGAGGTAGCGAGTGGCTGTGGCTGCCTGGGGAGGGCTCCTCTGAGTGGATGGACCCCAGCATTTGGTCCACCCCGGCTGGGCCGCGTTACTCAGGTCACCCCCAGCCTCGTTGTGCCCCTCATCAATTTGTCTCTGAAATTGCAGTTGTTGCCAGTTTTGGGATGAAGATGTGCTGTAACAGCGCCAGAGTGCATGCCTTTGAAGTGCTCCCATGTCTGGCTGCCAACGCTCTACATGCAATCGCCTGGATGCCGGATACAGCCCCAGCAGGCGCCGAAAGGCAAACAAAAGGATGTTTGCCGGCAGGCGGCAAGGCGCGGGTCTGGGCGCGGCCGTGGCGGCTGCAGGCGCGGGTGGTGCATGCGTGGCGGGCGCACCGCGAGGGCATGCATGCATGTGCGGCCGCGCCGTCCGAGGATTTCGTCGTCAGCGCCGGCCGCGCCGCGTCGAGCGGCCGCGAGGCCGACGTGCTGCGAGTCTGGGACCTCGCCACGTCAACCGCAGGTAGGAAGGCCCTTTGGGAGTCGCTGCTGAGGGAATCCAAATCACTCAGATCAAGATGGTTCACACTCACGTTTTATTGAATGACCTCTACAGCCTGACCTCGGACGGTTGCCGGCAGTTGGCTGCACTGTGATGTTCCTCTGTAGGAGACAATCATGTTGATTGGAAGATGGTGGTGCCCTCAAGGATTTCTAGCAGGCTGCACCGAAGCCCTGGATGTGAGCAATGTCACAGGGTTCGATAGCAGACTGCGTGTTACATCTTTGCTGTGTAATCATAGTATGGGGTGTAAAGTGCATCGTCACTGACTTGGGGCTGCGGGGAGCAGGTGTCCAGTATCAGGGCCACGAGGGGGCCGTGACAGCGCTGTGCATCGTGCCCAGCACCGCTCAGCTGGTGGCGTCCTGTGACTCTGGCGGCAGCTGCCACATTTGGTCTGCCAGAACAGGCAGCCTAGTGCACCGCCTCTGTGAACCCAGACCAGGCCAGCTCGCTCAGCAACCCAGACCTGCCTCAGCCAGGAAGCAATCCACCTGTGGTAAGACCTGGCATCTCAAGTGTTTGTGTGCATGTCTTAAGATGTCTATCACTGGACCTTTCCTCAAACATCTGTGTAAATGGCTGGAGAAGTCAATTGCAGAGGAGTAAGTGATTATGGGTGGCACAATTTTGGTGTGCACACATCCTGAGGACATTATGCAATCATGCAGGGTGGACAAACTTTGGTGCGGCAGAAAACGGCGCAGAGGCAAGTGGAAGCGAAACAGCCAGGCCCGGCTCGGCGGCCGCTGCGGCCGCATTCTCGGCAGCCGCAACCAGTGCCGCGTCGGCCGCCGGATCTCCGCCAAAGCAGCCAGCACTGACCGGCTACACATGCGTGGCGGCTGCGGCGCGCGGCGGTGCGGATGTGATCGTGGCCGGCACGGCGGACGGCCAAGTGCGCTGGCTAGACCTGGAGTGCGGAGCGCCGAGCGCTGACCTGTACTGCCGCCCACTCAGCCGCTGGCAGGTGACGGCACGAGCCACTCAGCCCTCCCTGTTTCTGGTGTACCAAGGCAGATTTTTGCCATTCTGGACAGTCTTGGCACCCACGCCTAGACTCTGCAGGGCATTCATGCTGATGAGATCTGCCTGTTGCGCTGCCAAGCTTCACAGCTTATGCACCCTGCAACCACCATGCTCCAGTCGTTCAGATGGCATTTTCTTTGCAGCATATTTTGGCGGACTGGTGATGAGGCTTCACCTGCTGCCTGTTGACTTGCAGGTGCAGGGCAGCAGGGCTGTGGTGGCAGTGCAGCAGGGAGGTGGAAATTCCCACAGTCACGGAGGGTGTCTAGGGGCTGGGCTGGCGAGCGGGCAGGCAGCGCTGGTTGATGCGCGCTGTGGCGGGCTGACTGCCTTCTGGCAGGCACATGAAGCTGGGCTCTCCACTCTGGCCTGCTGCATGGACCACATGCTGCTGACTGGCTCCCAGGTGCCGGCACATGCCCATGTTGACTCACCCTGCTATTGAGCTTCCTTTTAGACTCTGGGGAACTTGGGGGAGAAGGCTTGCAGGATGCGGCGTTGCGCCACCGGAGAGGTGCCGAACGCTGGGGAATCTTGGTGGGTGCAGGATCAGAGCTTGAAGCTGTGGGATGTCCGCATGCTGCCGAGCAGCACAGACAGCGGTGGCGCTGTGGCAGGCGTGCCGCGATGCCTGCACACCTTTGAGGGCCATCGAGAAGCCATAGGCGGGGTCCAAGTGCAGGGCAGGGATGCCGTGTCTTTTGCGGGGCAGCACCTGGGCGTTTTCTCGTTGCAGGTGGGTCCTCCGTCATCCCCTATCTTGCCACCCATGCATCTAGGAGTGCATCGAGACTGGCCGGTGGTTTTGGTCAGAGTGCAGAGCGCTCTCGAGTCATCTCAGAGGTTGCTCCCTGGTGTTGGCTCTGGATTGGCACAAGAGCTGGTCTATGACTGCATCGCTGAGTAAGTGTGTGTGCATTGGACAGGCACCTTTCACGCAGCGGATCAAGCCCGTCAGGCTGCAGGGAGCTAGGGGAGCAAAGGAGTCTGGGTCACTGGTGGCGCTCAACATTCTGACTGAGAGCCGCCTGCTGGTGGCAGGCATGGAGGATGGATACATCAAAGTGTGCACCTGAAAACAGACTGATTATATAGAGTGAAGAGCAGCAAGAGTGTGAGCATGTAATATCAAATCTGTACTGTCTCTCGCAAAGGGTGTGGAGTTGCGCACAATGCTGCCCTCATTAATGCAAACGGTGAGCTCATTAAGAGACTTTTTATCGAGGACATGATCCGTACAGATGGGTAATTCACATATCATTACATCAGCTCAAGCCCTCAGCATGCCGCAGGCCAGCCTGTTGTAACACCTCATTAGCACATAGAGACTAAGTTCACTGTACGGGGGCCCATTGACCTTTGTAGATAAGGACTGGCAAATTGCCAGTCCTGTTGTATCACATCACAGCCGAAATTGCGAACATCATCACATGATAGGGTCCCTTGCCCCAGATAAATAAGGCTGGCAATTTTTACTGAGGCATACTTTTGGGTTGAATCAGTACCCACCATGGACGCAGATGCACCAAGCAGGGTCTCAGAAAATTTCCTCACAAGATAAGGTAGGCTAACATGGAAAGGATCTAAATTACATTCCCCAAGTACATCTGAGTGTGACACCCCCACCATCGCACATCAGCTTCATAAAATAAGTCAAAGGGATCAGAAAATGAGGCATCACTATCCGTATGGCTATGGCAGCACAATCTGGCTCCATTGGCGGAATAGGGCCGCTAAGTGGGTCCACAGCATGGCATGTGGACCCAGATAAGTTTCTTGTGCCTCACCGTGATATTGAAAGCCAATCGGCCTTCCTATGCCTTGCCTCACCTACCAGTCCTCATACAAATGATCCATTTCTAGACAGGGCTTCAGCCAGTATGAAAATAACGGCTGCCAGTAGAGCACTGATGCGCAGATATGCGCACAGCTTTGAATCTCTTGAGCTGCACAAGGAAACCAAAAGCTGCTCATCCAAGACTGCATATAAGAAGGGTCCTAGACATCTATAATGACAAGACTGCTGACCTTTAAATGGCACCAAAATGAAAGGGTGCTCCCTCAGTCTCACCCTTGCACAACATGTGCATTCCCACCATCTGCGCCATAGCTAATTTGTAACCTAGAATATTCAAAGGGGCGATGTGCTCCAGGGCTTGAGACCTGACAAAATGCTAACCTGAGGAAATGAACCTGATGAACGGGTGTCGCCAAAAGCACCCTTGTTCTCACCCTTGCACATCATATGCATCCCTGCCACCTACTCCAAAGCTCACTCTAGCCTAGGAAAGAGCTCGTTCTCTGTTTGCCTAAAGCCCCTACACCATCTCAGCCAAATGACAACAAACCATAATGCATGCCGAAAACAAAAGCCAAAAGCCCAATGGGCGAAAATCCAAACCTTTTATTGCCTGCCGCTTGCTCACCTTTCCATGCTGCACATACTTGGTTGCTCCAGCACACAGAGTGTCGTCCCTCTTCCAGAGACTGCTAATTTAAAACTGTTGCAGAGCATCCTCCAGAGCAGATGTGCTTTTATAATCTCTCCAGCATTTTATTTTAATCACCCTCTGAAAAGAATGCCTGCATGCCCAGAGCATGCTGTCTGGCCACCACATGGCACAAAAACTGGTTGGGCGCAGGCCCTAACTCTGCAATATCCACACAAATGCAGCAGGCAGCCCTTGCTCAATAAGTATACTGCCTTCTGACTGCTTCAAAGTGCTGCTCCAAAAGTACCAAACTGCATGCAACCATCCCCATGATCCAGAGAGCCACAAAGCGCCCGATGACAGCAGGCCTCCTTTCGGAAGGCCTACAACCCCAAATGATACATCTCATGAGACAACCGGACACTGTGCAACCCAGGTCTTTTGCTCTGCCCCAAATTCAAACTGCTGGTTTGGCAGGATGCCCAAACTGCCGCGTCTGCATTGGAGATACCACCTGAGATGCAGCAGCCGCTTCCAAGCCCAATGGCACAGGTGATAGCCACTCATGCCAAACTGCCTTCTTCATTCCTTGAGTGTTGTGCAAGCTTCTGCCATGACGATCCATAGCAGCTCCAAGGTGTTCCATCGTTTGTTGAGTCCTCGGGTTGATGATGTCCAACGCCCTCCAAATTCGATGGTGTAGAAACTTCTCCAGTGCTCACTCACGAGTACTCCAACGTCTTTCAACCCAGTGAGAACTTCTGTGTCTCCTGCAGCGGCATTCACACTTCAGTCACTGCAAGGACAACTGAAGAAAGAGAGATGCACAGCTGACCGAGCAATGAAATCCCCGCCCCTTGAAGGCAACTGGATGGGAGCTTAATGAAATATCTCACCCCCATATAGTTGCGGTTTCCCTGAGCCCCCGGCAGTGCTGCAGTCTCACCTGCACAGCCATAGAGATAACTGAGAGTGCGCCAACGTACATGCACACAATCCTTGTAGCCTCAAGACACGTCTCTGCTGAGCATCAGACACAATTGCAAGAGTCAGCGGCATCGCATGCAACCTCAAATAACGGTAAGCAGCAGGAAGGAAAGATGGAATGGAGACCTACCGGGGCAGCCGAATCCTGGCCAGTCAGCCGCTGGCGGGCTGGAAGCAGTGGGCAGGATGCCAAAGGGGCTGCCAGTGTCGTGCTGCCAGGCTGGAGGCTCCGGAGACGCCATCTGGCCTGCACCGGCCTTGAATGCAACGCTGCCTCCTGGGCTGCCACCAGAGCGGTTGCTGGTGTGCTGGTAGCCGAAGGTGGGCGTGGGTGTGTTCGCCTGGAACGCCAGTGCAAAGGTCGGCGCCTGCCCTGCTCCGCCCCCGGTGCTGTGGCCACCCTGCTGCAGCACCAAATTGATGTCACATTATTTACTAAAGTGTTAAAAACTTCTCATCCAAAAAGAAAGGTGAAGGTGAAGGCTGGCAACTGATGTCAATGCAGCTTTCCAAATGGAGGCCAGGTCTGTCTTGGGCAGCAGGCCTGCGTCAAACAGCACGCCTGCGGCCAACAGCAGCTAGATCTGGGACAGCTATTCAGTGTAAGGAGTGCACACCGGCGGGGGAGTCTTCTCCCGCAGCAGCTGATCGTAGAACTCCTTGAAGGGCGCGTCAGCAGCAGTGGGGGGCGCGTCCCGGACCTCTCCAAAGCCGCGCTGTTCCAGAGTGGACCGCGGCGTGCTGCCGCGGCTCTGGCCGGCATATGAGATGGCGCCCTCGCGTGCCCACTCAGCGCCCATGCCTGTACATGCCCCAAAAGTTTTAATACCCACATTCCATATCTTGATATATTTTCTTCAAATCTCGCTTGCAAATTAGGTGTATACTATGTGCAATGACCGACCACGATGGGCACAGCATTCATTGCAATGTCCTGCACTCTTTTGCTTGCAACAACCGCAACACCACCAATCCTGATCCTTGGTTTCACCCATCCTACCCATGAATCAAGCATGTGGAGATGCTTGGTGATATTCTGACATCTGCCGTACCTGCAGACATGTCATAGGGGGTGTGCTGCTGGCGCGGGTTGGCGTAGCCGATGGCCTGGCCTGTGCTGTCCATGATGGGGGTGATTGGAGCAAACGGCTCGACGTATTGCCCCTGGTTGCCGAAGAAGCTGGAGTCTCCCATGGAGCCGAAAGCGGCGTAGGGGTCTGCCATCATGGGAGCCTGCAAGGACCATTTTGCTCCGTTGCAAACACCCTTGATCATGCTGGAGTTCCTGTCTTTGATGTATTACATTTTACAGTCAATAGACGGCATCAGGTCAGTATGCACATTCTCATTACACCATCTAGACCTGGACAAGTACATACCCACAAAACCATCTCGACCTGTGCATTTTTCCACATATCATATTGACAAACTGCTGGTGCACAGACCTGCATCTGAGGGGTGAAGTTGGCGTATGCAGCGCTCTGCTGGTGGGGAGGCGTCTGGCTGCCCAGCAAGGCGCTGATGGGCATGAGCACATTGGGGGCGACCATTGCGTAGCCCGGAGGGATGACAGGGGGGTCGGGGCTCGGCATCGTGGGCTCGTGCACAGCGTGTCCATGACTGTAAGGGAAGGAGCGTCCCGGCGTGGCTTCGGGCGCCATCATGCCCTTGTACTCTGGCGCATGCGCTGCACGTCCCTGGTGCAACATGCCAGTGTATCAAATCACCTGAGGCCACGCCAGCATGAACAGCACAGTCCTCGTACCGCAGGCCCCGCGATGCAAATTTGGATACCTGAGGACTGTCTTGATGTGCAAGGAGCAGCAGCAATTCAAGGCGGAAAGTGGACGGTGAATTTGCATATCATCTATTCTAAGCTTATCTCCTGAGCAAGGCAGTACATGCCTGCTGCATAGCATGCATGTTCGGGCTTGGAGGGCGGCCGCCCTTGTTGATGGCAGAGGTCTGTGCGGCAGCAGCCTTGACGGCAGACTGGGCACTCAGGCAGTTCTTGACATCGGCCAGGATCCTGACAGCGGTCTGGGTTGCTGCATTCCCGTGCGAGGGAAGCCGCATGCGGCCGCTGCCGCCACCACAGGCAGCACGCACCCTGTGATGCATGGACCCAATGGTGAGCACAATTTGCTTGCAATCCAGCAAATTCAGATGTCTACCCATGTTGAACGATTCTCCTGTGTGTCATCCTGCCACAGAGACATCAGTCATGATCCTCATGTCAGCATGCATGTGAAGAAGATCTGTTGCGACACTTCTTCAAAAGAGCAAAAGATGCCTCACCTGTTGCCCTGTCCCTTCAGCCCAGCTGCATGCGGCACAATGGTGCGTGGGGGTGGCTGGTAGCTGAAAGCAATGCCATGGATGATCTGCAGGCGGGATACCAGATGACCTGCATGCGCACAAATGCCTATCTTCAGCAAACTGCAAAAAGACCATCCCTCAGCAGCACTCCTTAAAGAAGAAGTCAAACCCCTTTTCCTGGTTGTACATGTGAAGAGATGGGCTGGAGGAGGGCATACCGTTGTAGGCACCCTCGCAGAGCTCCTTGTAGCGTGCAATGCCATCACAGATTATGCGCAGGGCGGTGGCCACGCTGTCAGGGTGGCCCTGTACGCATTGCAGGGAATCAGAACGAGCCCCAGTGAAGTTTACAGCGATGGATTCTTGACACCGAAGAAAAAGCCATGATTCATGTCTTAGATATGGAGTGCCAGGTTGCCGCACCTCAATGATGAAGGTGCGAGTGGGGCGAGTGAGGTCATCTTCCATCTTGTCTGTCCAGGACTTGACGTCTGCGCCAGTCTGCTTGATGATCTCACGGATGGTGTAGCCAGAAGGTCCTGCAACACAGCACCTCCTTTCACATGTCATTGCCATGCATGCATCATGACACTTCTGAAGCTAATTTACTCCACATTGAGCTCATAAAAAGGTCATTTATAAAGGCTGAGCTGCTTACCAATAACAAATCCAGATGCCAGAAGTGTGATGCGGAGCAGTATTCCCCTGCATTTCCATCACATGCATCAGGACCAGTAGGTTGCCATCAATGCTGCAGGGTTGTGAGACAGAGATGCAAAACAAGAACCCATCACAGACTCTGCAAAGGAGATGCTTACCCTGCATTTGTCTCCTGAACATCCACAATGCCCTGGACATCATCCTCAGTTCCCTCACCAGGCCGCCTGGGACCTGCATGCATGCATTCCATGCATGTCAGCAACTATATCCAGCAGAGAGAAATGAGAACACATGCAATGTGAAGTGCATGGACTGTGCATGACAGCAGGAGGAGGCACACCGCTGGGCTGGATCCATTTGATGCGGCCGCTGGTTTGCCCCACCAGGCAGATGTTCTCCATGGGAGGGTGCACCTGCCTCACCGGTCGGCACTTGCTGATCGCGTTGCGCTTGATGTTTGCCAGCATGTCTGGGATGTTGAGGCTGGTAACTGCGCTGGCTGAGCCCAGGTGGTCAGGATCATGTGGCCGAACAATGTCACAGTCCCTGCAGCACACCTCCAGATGAGTTGCTCCTGACATGCCCAGTAGGACATTTTGGTACAAAAGAGCATCTTGCATGGCTCGTGATGGCTCACCCTTCATCATCATCAGCAGAAAAGCCAGAGTATGGCTGGCTGAAGCGTGGCGGGTAGGTGGGAGGCAGGGGTGTTGTCAAACCCAGCTGTGCGGACTTGCGCTCCTGATCTCCGACAATCAAGGCCTCCTGCTGCACTCCACGCCAGCAGGTGGAAGGCTGCAAGTCTCCTCCGTTCTTTGGTAGCAAAGAAGATGCGGAATGACTCTGAATGCAGCAGGCATCGCATGACCCTCTGCAGAGTTGGGCTTACCCCGTACGTACGTGGCGACGGAGATCGCATGCTCAGAGACGAGAGGTCCCTCGACATGTCTGAGATTGACACCATGCTGATCAGAAGAGTACTCCCAAGCCAACCTGGGGTGCACAATATCAAGATCTTAGAGACGAATACAGTCAACGTCAACGCAATACACTTCCCGCCTGCCTTGCCTCACGACGCACTACCAGTTCGCTCTAGCTGTGATCTGGATCGTCAAGACGCATGGCAACTTGCTCGATATGCTCTAATATATGCAGGGCCACCCAAAAATTGCATCTCAGTGGACGAAACAACGCATGCGCATGGAGATGTTTTTCAAACGTCCGGCTGGCAGAAAATTCCCACGGCCACCCGACCAGCGAGCTTCTGGCTTTCTGGGCCACAGACACAGCCCTTGCACGATCATATGCATGCAGACGCATCAGAAAAGGCGAGGGGGCGCGGACAAGGGAGTGCGGTTTGGGAACAGCGGGAGGGGCATATTAAGCAACGACAAGGCAAGAGGTGCACATGAGTGCAAACCTCTTGGAACGGCCCCTGAAGTGCAGAGAGCTGCTGCAAGGCGATCAGGCGCTCCAAAACCGGGGCATGAGCTGGCGGCTTTCGCTTGGCCTGCAGACGAGCAGCTCGGGCGGGCAGCACTCCTCCTAAGGTGGTTGGCGTGAGGTTGGCTCTGATCAAACCGCCAACACCACGGCCAGAGCAGGACGACTGAATTGGAATAAACGAGGTCTCAAGTTGTGATCGGGTTGAGGTGGACTTGTGAGCGACCGTTCAACGTTATACGCGCTCATACTGGCATCCTGGATAGGCAACGCGTCAGACTAATAAGTGTCCCCTAGTCGGTCAGGCCTCTACCCCTCAAACATCTTATTATTGAACAGATGCGTGCCTGATGTTCTGGAGTGAGCCCTGGATGTGACCATATGTAGTGATCATGTGATGCAGATCGCGTCTTGCAAGCTGCAAAATACATCATGTGGATGATATGCATGGGAGCCGCAGCACACTGTGGCAAGCGTCATGCATGCAGGATTTTGCAGTCACTGGACAGTCCGCTCAAGGGCTGAGACATGCATAGCTACAAAGGAGTGGCATTGTTTGTAGTCTGATTGCACTAGCCATTACACTCTTGAGTAGACATGCTGCATGCAGACTTGGGGCTTGCAGTGCTGCATGCATGCTGTGCATGCCAATCGAGCATGCTGCGCATGCGCAGTTGGACTATCCATCATGGCATGAACAGAAATTGAGGCCTCTCTTCCAGCATGCATTCCTTTCTCTGCCCTTTTTGGATGACTCAAATGGATGAGACACAGCACAATATACATGCAGCAGCTGCTCTCCAACCAGACACATACAAGCTGGAAACTTCATGTTTGTTTTCCAAATGATATCATGTCACATTTTCAAGGCTGCTCAGATACACTGCTATGTCACCAAATCCCGCCCTTGATACAGCCGGCCCTTCCGGTAGAAAGGTACCTCTATGCTTGAGATCATCCCAAACAGATCTCATCGATGCGCAATTTGCGCGATTGCCACCCATCAGTCCTGTCTAAATGCTCTCTCAACAGACTACTCAACGATCCTTTTCCAGCCTGGACGCCTATTCCTACATGTTCCTGTCCTTCACGGTGAAAAGGAACTTCTCGTTTCTTTGCTTGGTTCATGATCAGTTCGCTCCTCAGAGTTTGCTCGACTGCTGTCCTGTGACTTTTTGGAAGAACTCGACAGCCGCATTGGTAATGGCCAGGGTATCTCTGTCCATCACTCTCGTCTGGAACACCACCTTTGTCGGGGACACAACCCACATTTCTGTGCGCAGTGTCTCGCCAGGGAACACATGCTTTGCAAATCGCCCCTGCAGAGCAGCACAGACTATTATGAGCTTGCAAATGATGGAACCAATCTGTATCGCAGGAATGGCTTTTAACAATCTAGGGAAGAGGCTTGCCTTGATGCTCTTTAGAGCAGCTGGCCTGCCCTGAGCATAGGACTGGAGCACGTGTTTTCCAGCGACTCCAAACGAGCAAAGCCCATGCAGGATGGGTTTGGGAAATCCGCCCATCGCAGCAAAGTCTGGGTCAATGTGCAAGGGATTGTAGTCCCCATTCAACCTGTACAGGGCTGCCAAGTCCTCGCTGGTTTTCTCCTCAACAGTAGCATCAGGGGGCCGCCTGCTCAGAAGAGCACACCAACTCTTTACCTCAGCAATAAGTTTCAAAGCAAGAAATGCAAGGTGCCATATCACCAGGCATTCAATGGGGAGAGTGAGGGCATGAAGCATCCCTTCAGATCAGGCAAATCAGTCAGCAGAGGGAGGTGCAGCGCACTCTGGTGGGGCATTGCTAGCAACTGCAGCTGCATTGCGCTGTGCCGGTGGTCGCTTGCCGAAACCGCCAGCGCCTCGCATGAAGCTGGTGATCTCATTCACTGCAATCACTTCGTTGTTGTCTGCAGAGCGGGTGACAGTTTCGATGACCACAATGGCTGCCTTCCCCTTGTCTTGCACATCCAGCACCCTGGCAGTGGTGAGCAGCTTGCCGAAGGATGGCAGGGGTGTCCTCATCTCCAGGTACTGCTCACCATGCAGAAGCATTGCCTGCACAGATCCCTGGAGCTTCATATCTTGATCAAGGAGGCTGGCCCTGCTCCATGAGTGCCACTTGCAGGCCAGGAGCAGGACGCATGAGCACGCTGTATGCAGCCGAGGCTGTGCTCGTGAGTTATCATCAGCGAGTATACGTATAGCAGCACTTCGCTGAACGGCTGGAACTCCTCAGCTTAGCTGCTTCAATATAAACAAGTTCGCATTGGAACACTTACCGGGTTGTATTCCGGAAGAACGTTGGACACTGGAACCGACGCCAAAACATCGTGATAAGGAGGGATGACAGCAAAGGTTGGCAGGGGCCCGAAGTCACCAGAGCTTTCGTTCACATAGCGTTGCTCGTGCCAGTGACATCCCAAGCTCAAGTTGTACAGGATCACATCACGTTCGGTATACTTCCACTCAAATGGCCCTATTGATGTGGATGCTAATTTCTCTCCAATATGATCAACCATATTGAAGCCTCAAAGACTAATCCAAAAGAAAAAGCACTGTCAGATCACTGGTGATCTTAAGGAAATGGGCCCGTTTGTTCGCACGTATTGAATGACCTGAGGCATACTAAGACAATGAAAAGCTCATTTCCCGAGAATGTGTGTTGCCAATAGTCCAATGGACATACAATCTGAGCTTTGTCTCAACCATGCGTGATGAGTCACCTTGGACTATTTCTGTGGGACGAAGAGATCGCGAAGATGCACGTATCTCCCAAGGATTTCGCAGTATCGGATGAGAAGTACACTTCCTGGTTTTGTTCAAGGTATCAACACATGCTGGAATGAATGGGATTTGGGTGTAAGCAACTCAGATCAGGATCCTTTTTAGCTCATGTTTCTCGATGAGAATCTGGTCCATTTGCGTGTCAGCATGCTCTCGAGAACAATGATTTAAAGAATATTGCTTGTCACATCCTGGATGATGTCTAATCTATCGGCAAAATGAAGGGCCAGCACATCGGCATCCCCAGTGAGGCTTTGAACCCAGTAGGCACATTTGAAGGTGCAATTGCTCAAGAGTAGTCTGCATAAGAATTAACTATTACGGGCATTATGGAAGCCAATGAAAGACCAGCAAAGCGCAAGCTGCCCAGGTCATTCCTCACGCAGAAAAGCAGCGAGCCCGAGAAGAGAAGAACCTTCACTGGATTCGGGAGAGGGAGGTCATACAGGGGTAGAGGGAGAGGCGCATTCACAATGGGGCACACCGGCAATGCCACATCTGGGACAGCAGCAAGTGATGCACAGGTTGCCCCAGGCCCTGAACATTTAACGCCTAGCAATGACGCACCAGTGGCATCCATGCCCCCAGAGGCCTCCAGGGCCAGGAGGCTTCCGTCAACATTTGCTGCCTCTACTGGTAGAACGCTGGGTGGCACAGCCCAAGGGAACGGCGCTAGCCGCACCACACCCAGCGCGCATTCTGAGGCCGACACAAAGGTATGCTCCAGGACAGCGCACAGATGTAGAGAGACATCTAAAATGGCACATAGGCCTTGCTTGTGGCTTTACGTACTGATGACTGCATGCGGGCATAACTTGTTGCATGTGCAGGCAGCCTTGCGGGCGGCACTCCAGGGTCTGGAACTCTGTGGGAAGGATGAGAGGGAGCCGCCAGAGGGCAGCATGACCCTGGCCCTCATGCGCCATCAAAGACTGGCCCTTGACTGGATGCTGAGAAGGGAAGCCGGCTCTGCTGCGCCGGTGGGAGGCATCCTGGCAGATGATCAGGTGCAGGTCTATATGACAGCGATCGTACATGAATTTCTTGGTTACTTGTCATTCACTGTCTGCTAATCATCACTGCGTATTGAGAGACGGATAGGTACTGACTTCAATATATAATATACTCTCATGCCTGCGCATTGAGGTCAGCATATTGGCAAAGGTGATGGGAAGTCTTTGGCTGCAGGGTCTGGGTAAAACCGTCACCACCATTGCGCTCATCTTGACTGCCCCGGCTCCCAATATGGTGCTCTCAGCATTCACTACTCTCTCTGGGAGTGACAGCGGCAGCTCTGTAGAGACAGACGCCCAAAGCAGCGATTCAGGCAGGACGGATGACAGAGCGGCTGAGGACGCTGCAGACAGCGCAGATAGCTCTGGAGGTGATGAAGAGGTAGATGCAGACAGATCGCTCGCAGCTAAAGACCCCTGGGAGAAGGGGGCTCTGCGCGGCGGAACCCTGATTGTGGTGCCAACTTCTGTGTTGCACCAGTGGCACCAAGAGCTCAAAGACAAGGTTGCAACCTTTGCTGGTAAGCGCAGATACATACTTCTCCTTGTGTATCAAAGTGCGAGGACTTTTGCATCTGCTGAGTTGGCAAAGCAATTTGTGCTGTGCATGGAGAGCTGCAGTCATGCTGACATGATTGCCAGTGCAGGCTTACGTACACATGTGTACCATGGCAAGAGCAAAGCATGGACAGGGCAGGAGCTAGCCAGATATGGCGTTGTCCTGACAACCTATGCCATTATGGGCCTTGAAGCTCCGCCCCCGTTGCATGGAAAGAAAGGTGTGGATATCACGTTGTAATTTGCTATGCTGCTGCTTGAGACACTTTGTTGCTTTCCATATTGCAAAACTCTAATGCAATCGCATTGTTTCCTTCTTTACTGTGTAGCGCTATACAGGGCTTACTGAAAACAAAGAGAGAAGGCCATGCCCGCTGTTTGAGGTGGACTGGCACAGAGTCATCCTTGACGAAGCCCAGAGCATCAAGAATGCTCACACCCTTGCCAGCCATGCCAGCAGGTGCCTGCAGGTGCGTGTTGTTCTGACATGCGCTTGGATCAGAACACAGACAGCTGCTTTTGTCATCAGACCTCAAAGACAAATCGTGCAGAGCAGATCCACAGTGGTGATTTGAATTTGACGCTAACCTGACAATGTTGTGCAGACATCAAGGCGGTGGTGTCTTACTGGAACACCCATTCAGAACACAGTCGATGATCTGTACTCGTACTTCCGTTTCCTGCGATACGAGCCGTACTCGCGGCAAGCCGCCTTCAAGTCCATGCTGAAAGAGCCGCTCCAGTCCAACCCAAAGCATGGCTCCAAGCTGCTCAGGGCTGCCCTGCAGGTGAGATCACTGATTCAGCAGTGCTGACTCATGAGTCCATTGGCGCCGAAACTTGACACGTGTGGCTGCATGTGGTGTGTGGGTTGAGTTGGAGACCCTGCATGCAGGGTGTGCTGTTGCGACGGACAAAGGGATCGACTCTGAATGGGGAGCCCATAGTGGAGCTGCCTGCGCGTCAGGTTGAGGTCGTCAGATTGCACTTCTCGGCTGGAGAGAGGGCAGCCTATGATGAACTGCAGCGCAGCTCAATGTCGCAGCTGAAGGTGCGATTGTACTGCAACTGTTTGTGACTCCAGTAGGTTTCAGGAGCATGCAGTTATTCATCGAGGTGAGAGGCTTGCTTGCATGCAGAGTGCATTGGCGTTGATTGCACCTTCTGACTGCCTTCAAGCTGAGAGCATCTTTCTCATGCACACCCAGGCAATGAAAGGTGCTAAGACGAGCTACATGAACATGCTGTTGCTGCTGCTGCGGCTTCGACAGGCATGCAACCATCCATGGTGGGAGGCTTGCGCACCCTGCATGTATAATGTGGGCATCAAGAGCTCTCTTGGTAGTACTTAATAAAGGTTCATTGCCATGTGTACTATGGCACAACGATACTTGGCATGTTGTAAGCTTGTCACACGCGCAGAAAGGACGATGACGTGTTGAATCATTGCAGGCTTGCGAGTGGAGGCAGACAGAGCGATGCCAGTGGAACTTTGAGGGATGATGAGGTGTCAGCCATTGATGCATCACTGCGGGACTCTCTTCTGATCAGACTGGAGCAGCCAGACAGCAGCCTGTGTGGCATCTGTGGTGACGTGGCAGAAGAGCCTGCCATGACTCCCTGTGCCCACAGCTTCTGCCGACAATGCCTCACAACCCAGGTTCAGAACCACGCAGGTCCTCATTTGCACCGCAGTTGGCAATCTTGACCCTGGCATTGAGGTCCCACAGGGTTGAGCCACCGCCACAAACTTGTTCTCAGGAGATTAAAGCTCACCACCACATCTGTACTGATGCAGTAAAGATTGATAGAGAGTCCCCACGAGCAGCGTGAACCTCACATTCAGAGACTTGCTGGCTTCAGGTAGGAGCCTCAGGAGGAGCAGGAGAGCAGAGCTACAAGTGTCCGACTTGCTCCGCTACTATCAAAGATGCCCAGGTCTTCAGTCACGCTGCCCTGCTGGCATGGAAGGCCAGATTACAGCACAGCAGCACGGCCGTCAGCCAAGCTGGAACAGCCCAAGCCTGCTCTGCATCAGGCGCAGCGCCAGCATCCTCAAAGATTGAGAAGCTCCTCTCTTTCCTGGCTGGCCTCCGGCAGGACTCAGATTCTGCAGAGTGAGCCCTTTCCTTACAAACTATGTGATCATGGGTAACATTTTGTCAGAATGAGCCCTTCAATGGCAAATTGTCAAAGACACAGAAGACATGTTGAGGGGAGCTGTCCCTCCCTGCACTGCTTTTTTAATGGCGCGCTCATATTCATCATTTCCAAAAACATTCTTTGGTAGTCTTCAGGCCTTGTTGCACGTGAGCAAGCTGCTTCCATCAAGCCGAAGATTGCATGCATGCGCAGGGGGACCTCAAATGGGGATGGGCGGGTGCCTGCAAAGGTGATTGTGTTTTCCCAGTGGACGCGCATGCTGGACCTCATCCAGTCAGCGCTGCAGGCCAACCACATCCGCTTCAGCCGCCTGGATGGCACCTTGGGAGTCTCTGCTCGGTCCCATGCAGTGGCGCAATTCAATGTGAGGACCCTTCACAGTACATGGTCGATGCAACAGATTGTCGCCATGGTTCAGCTAATAAGCAGACATGCCCTGAAATTGACATGCTTGCCCTGCAATTCACAGCTGCAATGATCTCTGATGTGCCCAGCAGTCCTTAACTGGATGCCTGTCTGCGGTGTGACAGGCGAACAAGGGCACAAATGTGCTGCTAGTCTCTCTGAAGGCGGCATCGCTGGGCCTGAACCTGACAGCGGCATCCTATGTTGTGCTGATGGACCTCTGGTGGAACCCCTCTGTGGAAGAGCAGGCCATTGACCGTGCGCATCGCATCGGCCAGACGCGCACCGTGCGAGTCATGCGCCTGACAATAGCCGGTGTGCGAACATCCCATGCAAGACCTGAAACATAACAAATTGTGCACAGCACGTGGCGCCGCTCGTTAGGGCAGCAGAGCACTTCTCAAGCCTGTGCTCATGTACAATGCATCTGGAACTGACAGAGTGAGGGTTGTGTTCAATATATGAGATTGAATGGCACTGGGAATTGCAGCTGCGTTGCATTAGAGATTGCACCTGCGGTTGAGATTGTCTTTTGCACTGGACCCGCTTGTGCCGAGGTTGGTGCATTTTGGAGAGAGGCTGTTGGATTGCACTGTGCAGACACTGTGGAGGACAGAATTCTGGCGCTGCAGGAAAAGAAGCGCAAGCTTGCCGAGGCAGCCTTGGGAGATGGTGATGGTGGTGTGCAGGCCTCTCGCCTGACGATGGAGGATTTGCAGTACCTTTTCTCAGCATCCTAGTGTTTCCATGGTATTAGCGAGGCTTCTGGGCTGGGCTCAGGCTTTGCTGCCCCATTGAACTTGTCTAAACAAATGTGACTTGTCTAGGACGATCTCAGGGAATCGGCGCATCTTGACTGCCTGACCTTTGAGTGAATGAGATGCACATGTGTGATGAGATTGTCCCAGTGATGTGCAAAATTTCTTTTGGCACATAGAACTTTGTTGACCAGAATTATTATTATTATTATTATTACACGCTTTTCCTGCCAGAAGCAAGGTGCGTCTGCAGACAAGCTGCAGTAAAGGCTGCCAAAATCCTACCCCTTGATGGACTCGCCAGATCCAAGCAAGACCCAATCAACCGTGGGCAGTACCGCCCCCCGCCAGCCGGGGCTTGACCAGGAATACAATCATTTACTATTCTATCTGCATGTTTATGGCGAAATCAGCCCTCAACATGCACGGTGTTCGCACAGCCTTTTTCTTCTGGTTGAAAGCTCTGCTCATTGACGGCTAGAACTAGTATAGAACTTTCTCCAGGTCTGCTGACAATGGCTTAATCCCTCACCACAGCTGTGGTGAGGGATTCAGCCCCTGCTACCGCTCTCCATACCCCTGCTCCTGCAGGTACTCCCACACCTCTGTCTGCACGTCATACAGGAATTGCACCATGCCTGGGAAGGCGACCTTGCCATCCGCACCCATCTCCGGCTCCTCGATGAGGTGGCGCATGAAGGGCGCCACCTCATCGACTCCCTCCCTCAGCATGCGCAGCTGCGGCGTCAGCCGCCGGGCCGCACGCACGGCGTTGACTTTGCGACGCAGGAGGGAGGTTTGTGGGGGTGGGAAGGGTAGATCTGGGGGTGTGCTGGCCATGTAGTAGACTATGACCTCGGTGAAAGCGTTGAGCAAGAAGATGGGAACGCCGCTGGTTGTCAACGCTGCCCGGCTCAGCGAGTGGCGTGGGTATGCCTGCGCAGAACAGTCGATGCCCTCAGAAACGAATACACAAATAGAAGCAAAGGTGGCAGCAATGCCATTGCATGAAAACATTGGACGGCTGCAAGCTCGTTGCAGAACATGCTTGATCGGGTGGCTATTGGAAATGTGGGCGTCCAGTCATTCGTTCAGCAGCCTGCACGCTGTCTGCTGCCATGCAGGCTCTGGACAAAGAAGTACACGTCATCACTTTCCATCAGGCAGGTATTGGATACTGGGCGCAGCCATGCACATGTCCCAAGTCTGACAGCGGCCAAGCAGGCTCCTTGCGTGTGCGCAGACGTCCCCGATTTGTATTGCACTGCATCCAACCCTTGAAGCAGACCTTTGTCCCTCTTGCCGCTCGCAATGCCCTGCATGTCTTTTATTTTCTCTATGACTGACACTCACCAGGCAGATGCCAGGGGCAAGGTATCACTCACCAGGGTGTCGGGGTTGGAGAAGGAGGTTAGGAGCGGGTAGACGGCGGTGCGCAGCTCCTGGGGAGGCAGGCTGGCCCATAGGTGGCAGATGGCTGTGCGCAGGTCCGCGTGCTGCTGCTTCAGCTCTGTCAGCAGAGGGGAGCGCAGCAGCGCGTACACCAGCCTCGGCAGCGGCTGCAGCGCCTCGCTCCCGGCAAACTCTGCATCCACCTTTGAACAACACAGCCTTGCTATAATCAAATTCTTGGCCCCACAGCCACAAACATGTCTGCACACATAGCAGGGGGATCTGTGTCTAATGGGCATGGAATCCATTTTGCTTTCATCCACCTGCACCCAACTCACTCGAATGTCCTGGCCCCACAGCGGCAGACGCAGCCGCGAGCACTTCCCATGACAACAGCATGGGGACCTGTATCGTGGGGAGGACGAAATCTAACAGGATCACAGTCATCTGATGCAGAGTTCATCCAGATTGGTACAAATTGCAAGGACAATTGTCTAGCCAAGCAACACAATGCAGCTGTCAGCTGCGCACAGTGCTTGGGCTGGCTCAGAGGAAGCAATGGACAGAAAAGACAATATGGCAGGACAATAATAAGGCACGGCAAAGATGCTGCGTGCCTGCTCTGCAGAGGTGAGGGGGGTGCTGAGGTGGCGGTTGTAGGCGGCGGTGAAGAGCACGAGCCAGTCCTGCAGCAGCGCGCGGCCCTCCGGCATGCCCTGCGCTGCGGCGGCCGCGCCGATCTTGTGCATGAGCAGCAGCAGGATCGCGTCTGCGTCTACCGCAGCATACACCTGCGCCGGCAGCCTCGCCACGTCCAGGCGCAGCGTCAGGATGCGCAGCCGCCGCTGCAGCACGTACCTGCACAGCCGGCGGAAACTGCTGTGATCGAGGAGCGGTGAAATGGGGATTTGGAGCTGCCTACATTTGCACTTGATGATGAAGGTTGTTTTAGGGCGTAATGCTCAGCAGCCTTAGAAAATCATGAGGTCCTGTTGCGAGAGCCAAGATACACAACGCTGCGCACGAGGAAATGTGAGCTCTCTGAATGCCACGTTATTGTGTCGGTGTCTCGAGTTCTCCAGGGACAGTCTCCCTTCCCCCACCCTCAGCTGCTTACCGTGAAGGAGCAGGGCTCTTCGCATTCTCGTTGGCTTCTGCGCCGCTGCCATCCTTTGACGATGGCACAGCAATGGAGTACTGGAAGGCCATCTGCAGCACGGGCGGGGAGCCCCGGTCACTGCTGAAGCCGCCGGCGTTCGTGAAGTCAAAATCGAACGCGAACGCGGTGCTCGGCCCCGCTGCGATGACGTGACAGAGATTGTCGAAGCGGTCATCTGGGAAAAGGTGGCCGTACGAGCGCACCACGCTGTACTCGGGGGAGGTTCGCAGCCGCAGCAGGCCATTCTGCGCGCACGGCTCCGCCAGCCGCCGGTACACGTCCTGCGAAGCACGTGACAATCATATGTCAATAAGAGTAATACAGGCGGTGCCAGGTGCTTCTTGCCCTGCCTTTCTGATCAGCCATATTTGCTTCTGTGCAGTCATCACGTGGAGACTTGTACTATGCTTAGCTAGACCAGATGGAGTGCTACTATTACATTCAGTGGGGGATTGAGCACTTAGGAAGTGGGATACATATTTGAAGCACGAGAAATTTGTTGGCCGCTTGTGATAACATCTGTCTGGGACTTGTCCACACTCTGGCTCGGGATGATGCTGGCCTTGTGCAGCAGTGTCCTAATGAGATGACAATTGCCTTGAGAGTATTTTCCTTTGTAGCTAAACCCAGGGGATAAATATAGCTTCAGGCAGTGGTCTGTATGTGTTGTACCTGAGGGAGAGCGGCTGCGCCAACATGGGGGTACAGGTACATGACCCCGCCACTGCGGCTGGCCAGCGGCTCAAGTGCATCCAGGCCGCAGCCGCCGGCCGACACAGCATACACGTCCACAGAGACGCCCAGCGCCGCCGCTGCCGTGGCCGCCTCCTCATAGAACGCCTTCGCAGACCCGCTCCTCACCCACTGCGCCACCTCAGCGCGCCTTGTCAGCACACCAAAACAGGCATGCAATGATGCCATGAGTCCCTCCCAAGTCTGCTTGATCTGAGCGCTCCTAGTACGGTAGTTGTACTTGCGAGCGTGGAGAGCTGCTGATGCATCTACTGCAGAGGGGGCTTGCTGCGAATAAGTGAGCGGTGCACAGTGTGAAGTCCTGCAAGTAAGTGCTTAGTGCAGCAAGAACGTTCCACTCAGTCAAGAATTATACTCGGCATGCCTGAGCCTCACCCTGGGCTCAGCGCTGTTGCTGGTGCCATTCTGGTGGTGCGTGTGCGCAACTGCAGGCTTTGCAGCGCTGCCAGAGGCCTGGGAGATGGGGACGTAGGAGTAGGGATTCAGGTCCGGCAAGGTCGCATCATGCACGGGCTGCGGAGAGCGGTCTGGAGATGTCTGAGGAACGTCTTGTTCCAGCACCGCGCCTCGGCCATAGTTGGGCGGACCCCCAAGAAATGTCATCAGCCGCGCTCCTGCAACACATCAGACACGTTGTTTTTTACTTGATACCTTTGTGGGCAAGTGCAGCTGCCAAGAAAGGACAAGCAGCTGACAAGTAATCACAGGGCGCTGAGGAGTAGGCACAACATTAAGGAGCCCATATCACAAAAAGCACACATGCAGCAGCTCCTTAAACAACGCAAAAATTTTTGTGTGTCATAGTGATATTCTGTGTGTCAAAAGGCTACTAGCCAGGTGGTGTGGAGGAAGACTACGCACTATGCGCACCTGCTCTGCCCAGTGAGGGCACTGGGGTCAGCTCATGGCGCCCCGAGACGCCAGCGCTGCCGTTGCTGTGAATGCGTTCGGCGCGCGACCCCTCCTGCGCGTCCCCAAGGCCGGTGCCCAAATACCGCAGCACCGCTTGCAGAGCACTGCCAAACCCGCGGCACCCCTCCCTCCGCTCGTCCCCTGCATCTGCAATAGTTCAACGCACCTCAGCCGAGCTCCTAACACACAACACAATGCAAGCACCCTCAGCCAGCCCATGTAACCAATAGTGGGGACTGCCTGCATGGATCACAATCACGCAAACCTGTTACAAATCACGGCAGCTGCACAACATACAGCACACAACACAACAAATGTGCAGTGAAGCAGTGAAGTGACAGGTGAATAGTTGTGCCATGTGGGCCAGGAGCTACTAGGTCTTCAATTCCGATGTAGTACCCCCTGTGTGGGCAGAGTCGATGAAATGTACGAGAGAATGGCATGGTCCCAAAGCCTCCCAAGTAAGTTGTGGTGCTTGCCTTTTGCTTTCCAGACAATTCGGGCTGCAGCGCAAAGGAGCATCCAAGGGAAGAAGAGGACAAGAACAAAAGCAAAGGCTCACATGGCTCGAGGGTTTCCAGTGCAGCCGCGAGGGCGTCCTTGCAGGAGGCCACCGGGGCCAGGAATGCCCCCAGGGGTAGTCCATCCTGCAGCTCCAGGGCTGTAGGGGAGCCATAGGACTCCAGTATCGGCACTGACCTTATGGACGTCACGCCACCCACCACGTCGTAAAGTTCAATCTGCGTCAATAGGGCAACGCCTCAGCGCGCATGGACAAATGCATGCATGCGAAATGATGGTCAGCACCTGGCTCCTGTATTGGGTAGCCCACCAATGTGTGGCTTGATATTGCGGCAAACTATGCCGAATTCTTGGGCATTGATGCAGCATGCATGCAGTGGTAAGCCTTATGTGGTAGTTGCAGTCTCATGCAGAGCCATCTACAAGCTGTCATCAGGCAGACCTGGTCATTGTAGGTGGCAAGGCCGAAGAGGGCGCATGAGGGCAGGGCTTCAAGGGCAGCCAGCAGCGCGCTCTTCACCAGTTCCAGATACTCTTCGCCCCCCGTGGTGTCCACGAGAGCCACATAGATGGGAGTCACCTCCTGTTCTACAGGGCCCTCTGTGTCCTGCAGTGCGGGCACCCTTTGTGAGAACCGCAATTGCAAGCTTCCATCACACCTGAAGTTCCACGCTAATGTTAAACGCAGCCTCTGTATTGCAACATAGAAGCTAGCAGCATAGGATTGTGCATCACCTCTGGCAAGGTAGCATCCAGAGAGCATGCCACCTCCACTAATGACCGCTTGACTTCTGGGCAGGATTCTCGAGGCTTTCTTGCATACCTGTTGTGTTGGAAGCACGATTTAAAGATAAAAAGCACACCATGGTCGACAACCTCGAGAAATAAAATAAACAAGGCTGGTTGCTCACCTCTGGTTCTTTACGGTGGCATATTCATTGCAAGCCCCACAGAGAGAGCACATCCAGGCCCTCTGTTGGAATGAACACCAGTAGTTGACATACCTGAGCAGTGCAGATCACCGATAAAAATGCAGCGACATTCTACACAATAAGATCGACCTGGCAATTGTATTCTGATCAGTAATAAGTTCATGAAGATCTCACGCATAGCATTCAGCGCAACGACCGATGTCCTCTGCAAGGACTGCGTCTGAATTGTTGCTGATCGATGGCCCATCATATCTCGCAAATGGCTCCACCACACATGCAAATGGGAGGCCGCATTGATCTCTCAAAGATCCTGGAACAATTCTTGTTCATCAGTCATCAAGATTTGATGGACGACAATAAGAACGATGCAAGCATACGAAAAGCTGAGAGCAGACGGGGTCAATGATTACCGTTTTGAGGTGCTGCATTCAAAGTGAGATAAATTGCCATCGCAAACACCACAGCGGAGTTCTCACATCACCTGCAAGGTGTACTTCTTGAGCTCAATCGAACAGCTTGATTGCAAGTGTGCACTTTATCAAGGTCTGCCTGCTAAAGGACTAACATGGATTCGAATTTCAAGAGTCCCAAGAGAATCTCAAAGTTTCCACTCACTTGATCAGTAGCAGACAAATTGAGTTGGGATTTGCTCAAGCTGGACACCAGTTCAGTAAACAATGCTTTGCATGTAGTGTCTTTATAAGACATGTGTGGGTCGATTGTGTGTCACAATACATTGAGATATAGGAGGGAGTCGCTGTTGCCCATCGATGTCAAAGTCCGAGGTAGCTGCTGCGTCTCCACCGGCGCCGTGCCAGCTGGTGCCACAATCATGCATGCCCCACCCGTTGCTGTTTGGTCGTTACTCTGCCTTTCTTATTGAGTGTGGGCACATCTCTTGTAGGAGAAGAAAGTTCTGCTCACATGAGAAATGCACAATTCAAAAGTCTTACATGAACTGCCAGGCAGTGCCTCGTTCACAGCGAAGCCCGCGTCTTTCAGCGCTCAAGAAAACAGAAATTGCAACGTGGATCAAAATCTATATTTGATGGCACATTGCTTGTACTTGGAATAAAATGTGCACTTCCTGACACATCCCTCAAGCTGTCTACATGCCCAACCTTGTTATATTTCTGATAGCCAGGAGGACACATTGACACAAGCTAAAAGAGTGCAGGCGCTTCACTGCATCCGATGCACAGTCTGCATCCAAATTCTGCTGGATTTCCTGCTAGAAGGCCTCACTCATGATCCTGCAAGGCTCCGAGGCTCCGAGAAGGTTCAAGATACAAATGCCGCTCCTCCAGCCCCCGAGACAGATCGCGAATCAGACCATCCCTTTCTGCCGTGCGTTTAGGATGCAATCAGGCCGTGGATGCGGGCGCTGATGGCCTGCTGGGCCAGGGAGGCAGCATGGAGCCCCTGCAGAGAGTAAGCGGCCACGACCTCGTACAGGTCTCCCAGCGCATCCTGCACATGATGCATCAGTGGCTGCGCCTTCTCGGTCGCGCTCTCTGCCAGGCTCGCCGCCTGCACACACGCCAAGCAGTGCAGTCAGCTACAGCAGTGCACCGCTCAGCTCGCTGCCCATGATCTATCATTATCACTCACGCTCCACCCAGAAAGCATACATGGTACAATTTACACATGAGCAGGAGACAATGTTAGCCAGAAGCACTTGATTGGGTGTCAGAGATGGAATGGAGACCCACCTCGTGAGCCACATTCAGCACGACAGGTGGGAGCTGCTCGACGACGGTGGTCAGTTTGCTCATCGCGGCGCGGATGACGCCGGAGTCAGACTGAGCTGCAAAGTCCTGGAAGGGCTTGGTCTGCGACAGGGCGATGGCTGCCAGCGCTGAGCCGCCCACAATCGCCACAGCTGCTATGATGGAAATGCTGGTGCCTGCTATGACATGCACATGACCTCATCACACACTGTCCCATTAGCACTTCAAAATAAGAATATGCAGAGGAAAATGTTGCAATAATTCAATGGCTGATAGGGCTAATGGGGCATCGCTCACCTGCCCCGCTGGTCAGCCTGGTCTTCAGGGCCTCGCAGGCACGCTCTGCAGACTGGGCTGCCGCCAGCTGCTTGCCCTTCCCAGAGGCCAGAGTGCTGCTGTGCTTGTGCTGCAGCTCCTGCAAACCCCCAGCTGTCTTTCAGGCCCTCTCATTCTTTCCTGCCTGGCACTGTGCATCTCATGGGGCAACTCCAACAGCAAGAGCTGAGTATGGATCTACACAAGAAAAACAAGTATATTTCCTTTGCAAAATCTACTCTGGAGCTCACCTGCACCAGCTCAAGCAGGGTCTTGCGGCCTTTGCCAGAGGCGAGCTCCGAGGGGAAGCTGCCGGCCAGGGTCTGCAGCACCGCGGCGCTGCCCAAAAGCTGCTGCGCATGCATGAACCGCCATGCGGCTGCAGACTTGCTGCTGGCAGTGGCGAGGCACATTACGATGGTGTGCGCTGCCTCCTCCACAACGCCCGGCTCGCCTTCTGCAGCCTCAGCCGCAGTCTCCAGGGACAGACGAACCAGCTCTGACGGTGAGACGCCCCCGTGCGCAATGCCTGCAAAATCCCAGTCGACATGCATTTAAACCACATTGAAATTACTCTTGATGTGTGGGCAGGCAGCCTTGTTACAGCGGTCGACTGAAAATATTGTGCAAAGAAGAAAGCAGTACCTTCCAGCGCCAGCTCCTGCAGGCGCACATAGTGCCGGTGCAGGTGGGCGTTGTTCTTCGCGCCCAGCACGGGCCTGCTCCTGAAAGACAGCCTCACTATGGCGTCCAGTGCTGCATGTGGAACCACTGGCTCAACAGCCCGCTTCCCCTTGCGCACCGTCCATCTCACGCCCTGCCTCGCCCCGTGCACCTGGGCATTCAAAATGCACCACAGCCTCAGACGGAATGTAATCATTGATAACTGCCTAGCACCAAATCCTTACGATAGTGTCTTTATTTATAACGATACTCCCAGTGCCAAAAGACCAGTTGCGTGTGCAGGAACCAAGGGTTTGTGGAATTGCCAGCATCGCAACCCTGGCCCAATGTGCTGGGGTTATGCAATGTGGGGGGTCTTGCAAGAAGCTCGTGTGCTGATGGCAAATAGGACACAATTAATGGGTGCAGAATTCACCAATGCATTCTCCTCTGGCGCCAGAGCGACAGTGCCAGCATTCCACTTGGGATAGCCTCTCAGATTTAGCTGCTCCGGTTCATCTGCCGGCCGCACAGCAGCCAGGCACAGATCCACAAAGCCCAGCGCTGCAGCCGCCGACTCCCCACGCAGCTTAGCCGGGGCCGCATCTTCGCTGGCCGCCAAATGTGCCCCCAGCACTTGCGGCAGGAGCACGCGCACCCACACCGCCACTCCCACGCTCACATTGCCACTGCGTCAGATTCACAATATGTATGTCATATACGGTATATGTCAGCGCAGGCAGCTTGGCTGATCAAGGACCACACTATACACCAAAATAGAGCACTTGGATGTAGCATCATGTGCCAAAGATGGTGCCTGATTGGAAAGCAGATGCGGATCTTTACTGCTGAGCAATGCGAGGGAGGACAGTCCTCACATGGCTGCCTGCGCCAGTGTCCAGAGCAAGAAAGGCAGCCGCTGTGGGCTGCTAAAGCGTGTGCTGCCCTGGAGGAGGCTGTCACTCAGCAGCACAGCCACGGCTGGCACAGCCCGCAGCACCAGCGCCAGAGCCACCAGAAGCCCTACCTGCAGACAGATGTGATGCCTTCATGATCAGGCAGGTGGTCTTTCCCCTTGGCAGTGGCATGTGCGCGCGAACCTCGGACCTGCTCTATGACAAATTTGCCTGGTTGAAAGATGCTATCTTTGCTGTCAAGGGCTCAAGAGCGCACGTTGGCCTTTGGCGGCACCGCTGCAGCAGAATCAGGGATGTCGTTGAAGGCAGCCTCCACCAAGGTGCCCGCAAAGGAGGACAGAACGGCGATGTCATACCCCCTGTAGAAGGCCAGGGATGCTTCCACCACCGCAGCTGGAACAGAGTCCAATGGCACCTCTGCTGCCTGCATGCATTGGGCACATAAGTTAGTAGCCCAGCCACAAGAGTAGGACCAAAGCAGCGTGCCCTTCCACAAGGGAAAGCCATGGTGCTTCCGCAGGTGCTTGTGAATGTAGGTGGGTAGGGGACCATTGTAAGCAAGCATATGGCGGTAGGGAAGTAAGCAAACCTTCTGGATAGGCTCCTCTTGCAGGATTTTGCGGAAGGGAAGCTCGCTGCTGCGGTAATGTGTGATGAACACGTCTGTGACAAATCCTAGTTGGCTGCGCTGGTCTTCGCCATAGGTGGACTTGGCGTTCTCTATTGCTGCATTCAGTGCAAGAAGAGAAAGTGGACTCTGATCAGGCGTTGGCTTCGACTTGCGGGTTCTGTTCCTCTTGCTCTTTGCTTTGTGTTCCTCGATCTCCCCGCTCACAGTGGCGGTGCTTGGGCTTGCAGAACGGCTTGTGCGGGATGATGTTTCTGTCTGAGATGCTGATGACTCTGTGACATCCTCAAACACGTCCCTCTCCTTTCGACCCGGTCGATCAAACCCTCCAGTCTCTGACCCTTTCAGCACATCTTCCGCTGCGTCATTATCTTGTCTATCCCCCCGCAGCTCTGCAGCTTTCTTGTGACCTTTCTTTGTAACGGTGAACCAACCTTTACTCTCATCTGCGACCATGGTGGCGCGTAGGACGTCTTGTTCCTTTACCAATTATACACTGTAATAAAGAAGGATAGCAAGGCTGCACGTGTCTGCACCAAACACGAGCAGGACAATAGTTGTGTTTTTGCAAGACTACAAGTTTCTCGTCACTGCGGATTGGAATGAATTGAAGCGCATGTTGCGCAGATGGTTGCCACTTGGCCTGAAGGCCAGGGAGTCACTGCATCTAGAAACATGGTAGCTGACATGGAAGCTGCCTCCCACATGGCATGAAAACTTTGGCTGGAGTGATGTAATCATCCTTCCTTCCTTCCTTCCAGTGCATGGGTTTGAGATTTGACCACATATAAAGTTTGTGTATCGTCGACCACTATTTTGAACTCTTCGGGCCGCAGCGCCAGCTGGCGCCAGATCTGAGCCACAATCATGTATCGGATTGATCGGTGATGATGTAATATTTCTGATCATCACATGCAGCTCGCCTTGCAGATCCTCATGTGACTCACTATGATCACACCCATAAGTGATGGCACAGCCTCAAGGGCGTCGCAATTATTATTACTGGGGTTCTGGCTGGGTAATGGATAAGCCTTCTGGCACATGCACCGGATGCCATCAACACCCAGTGGGCGTTGATTGAGAGCTTGTTCCATTCAAGGTAACAACTGAAGTCTAGGTGGCAACCACTGAATGATCCTTGCATTCAATTGCAGCTTCTGCCATGGTTCAAAAGTGCATGCAAGGTCTAAGGCTGAACATGGTAATGTTGCAGACCATTCAAGCGCAGCTCATTGAACTAAGCGCAGCCAAAGAATGCATCCAGCAGGAATGCTGAAATTGCTACTGGTGCATGTTGCGTGATTCACACTGCAGTCCTCCTGGCAGCCTACTTGAGGAAAACAAGTTGCAATTGCAACCTAGGGGTACCAGAGCAGCCTGACATGCAGCTCAAGACCCACACAAAAACGCTACCACATCTACCAAGTTTTGCAGCACCAGTATCAGAACAGAGGCTCGCTGTCAACAAGCAGCATGCGCCTACCACCAGACAAGCTTTGGCTTGCTTGTGTCCTTGCCCCCGGACCACTTTTCCCTGCAGGCTGCGAGCTGAGTCACCCCAACATCCGGGTATGTGCCGACCTTCAGCTCGTCCATCATTCCATGTGCAATCTTCTCCATTTTCATCATGTGATCCGTGGGTTTGTGGTTAGTCGAGTACGCCTCCCCAGTGAAGGACCGGTTGTAGCCTGCCGAGTTGGGGTGCGGCCGGTGCATCACCCAAGCGTTGGGGTGGGACACAAAGTGGAAGGCCGCCGCGTCCATGTGGTAAATCTGCATCACCTGCATCGGCAAAATGATAACATTACAGTAGTGACCCCAAAACACCTTCTCATGTTTCCAAGATGCATTCATCACAAGGTCTGCCGCCGAACCTTGAATATCAGTCATCCCCACTGTATGGTCATAAAGAGTGTGCAGGCATAATTGCAAGCCAACCTTCACCTAGCTGGAACATCAGTCATGCCTGCAATCTGTCAGCATGCAGCCATGGTTGGGCTAAACAAGAATTTTTTGTTCTGGAATGTAGAAGAGAGGACAATGGGGACACACCTTGTCCCAGCCATAGCCCCTGAAGCGCTCATCATACCAGGGCACAGTGCGCCTGTTGACCAACACATATGGCTCGTAGCCAGTCTTGTATGTGATCGGGTAGGGCTCCGTGCCCTCTGAGCTAAACCACTTCTTGTAGTTGGAGGAGCCATGGCCCACAGGGTAAAAGTCTGCAAATTGGATGATCTTCCCCTCGTCAAACATGCTCTTCAGCTCAGCCTTTGTGCCTGCACACAATAATTCCACAACTCCATTTACAGTCTTTCAAGTGAAAGCTCAACAAAGTACAGTATCATTCAATGGGCTCCAGTGGGTTCCTGCCAGAGCGCAACTCAGCACCTTCGCTTTGGATGTTTCTTTCCATTTTATGCATGATACAGGATATAAACAGTGTCACGCGGATCGATAGGGCCTCCTTGGTTCACACTGGAAAGGGGCCATCAGTATCAAATTTGAAGAGGTGCTTACTGGCTTGAGCTTGGAGCGCGTATGATTTGCCGGTCTCTTCGCTCAAAGTGCGAGGAGTCTCGAATGCGGGGAGCACAATTATCTTCTTGTTGGCTGTCAGGTCCTCCATGAGCGCTGCTGCCTTGTCTGTGGCAGTCAGCGCCTCATGCACACCCTCGCTGACCAGGAAGTCAGCATCAAGCAGCAGCAGCACCTGCGGCACAGCTGCCATCATTCTTTGCTCTAATTGCTATACTAAGCTATCCACTGGTCGCACTTAGATTGGCACAGTCAATCTGATGCTTTAGGCACACTCAAATGTTCCTTGAATGCTGCAAAAATCCCCATGTACCCTGTGTTGTCAAAGCAGCAAAATTGGACTTTGACTTTGGCTTTGCCAACGCTGGCCGCGTACATCAGAAGGGATAGAGCCTTGGTCTCTTCCATTTCAAGAGCTGTAACTCTACAAAATTGTGCAGATATGTTATTAGGTGGGTTGTAGGTCTCACATCGGTTTCTGAGCGAACGAGCGCATGGTTACGCAGGGCGTTGTAGGGGTAGGACCACTCATCATGCGGCTTAATGACCTCAGAGAGCAGCACAATGTCCATCCGGCATTTCCCTGCACAGCAATAGCAGCACATTGTCATTTTTGACCTTGCTCTCAAACCTGTGCTCAGGGTGTGCTATGCCCAAGTCTCTTCTTGCTCTGCTTGGCGACATTTCTCGGTGTTGCATTGTCTTTGCGAAACAGTTTAGCGTTAGAGAATTGGTGCATTTCTTGTCTGTTTGTGGGGGAAATAGTCAAGCAGATTGCGCTCTCCAAATGGAACAAAATTAGCTTCTGAGCCATGGCTATCTAGCATCTGGCATTGGTGCAGTGCTAGGAAGGTATGCTGCCTCACCATGGCTGCGGTCAATCTGCTCATGGAAGTTCTCCACGGTGGTGATGGCTTCGCGCAGCCTGTCAGCATTGGTGGACTGGAAGATGTACAGAGGGTAATACACTGCCACGCTGGTGAGTCCCTGCCAGGTGTTGCACTGCTCCTCTAACATGTACAACCTATCATGCACACATCTCAGAGTCACAGCCTGCTCAATCTACCAGAAACTGGAAGGGCTGCTGCGCAGTGAGTGGGCTGTAAAAGGCTGTATGCACATCACAGGCAGGACAAAAAATGAGCCAGAAGGTGCCACTGTTTGAGGAGGCACCAGGCAGGGCAAATGCATGCAGCGCTCACAGCCATCACTAGTCACCATGTTATCCCAGCATTCTGCATCATGACATATAGCACAGGGTACATTGTCTAGCTCACTTTGAGATTTAGCTTTCAATTAATCATTCGCATTGCATGGCTTCCACTGAAGTTACGGCTGTACACTCAACAGGAGGTGTCAACTCGAGAGGACTCCTGCAGTAGGCTGACCTGTCAAGGGAGCACTGCGTGATAATTGTGATGTCATTCTTATCCCGGGGCTGCTGACTTCGCAGCACGGACTCCACCTTCAAGTTCGGCAGGCGCACTTTCCCATATGTTGTGCCAGGCCTGGTGTCATCTGCACATGTGGGCTTCTCGCCCTTGGACGTTGCAACCTGTAACAAAGGGCAAATCTTCTTTACCCCTCTTGAAGATACGCCAATTGTCGACTCACGAATTTGCAGGTGGAATGCACAAATTTTTTGCGTCGATGCTGCAGTTGACATCTTGGCTAGCCTGAGGATTACTTACAGCAAAGGACAGGTAGAGGACGATTAAGATGGAAAGCAGCCTTGTTGGGGCGATTGCTCCTGCTTGCCTGCGACAAATATCCGTGTAAATCAGTAAATTTCCTGGATTTCACGATCCCCAATCAATGAAGACAGGCTGGAGATGTGTCTCTCAGCAGTGGAGGAGGATCGCTCTCAACAGTGGATGACCGAAATTACCGGCAGCATCTCCCTCGGCCAAAGTTGACCCTCCCTTGCGATTCCATTCTGGTATGCCGATGAATTTGCTGCTGTGGAGTAACTTGTCCCGAAGCTTTATGCTCCGAGGCTGCTCTTCGCTCAGTCTACTGGGCTGATTCGGCACTGGTCATTTCGATTTCGTCCCCTGTTCTTATGCACCACCGCACAGCCCGATCACGATCTGAATATGTCTAGTCTCTCCACGCGTTCTGTGGCAGACAGCTGATGGTGTGAACCACTATCGCGCCTTCTTGCCCCCAGTCTGGGGCGTCACAGTTTGCTTCCCAGTTATTCTGGCATTCAGATGGCACTGCTATCGATGTCGATTTCTCTATCCTGCAAGAAAAAACGTTGCCTATCACTATCATAGCAAGATAATCGCTTGACACTCACGATGTGTCCGCAGTTCCGAAAGCTTTAAAAAGGTTCCGAGACGATTTTTTTTCATTTTACCCCTAGGGCATTGAGGATACGGGTGATGATGAAAACCTACCTTGTTCGGTTTTGCAGCAAGACAGAACGCCTTGGTAGTTCCGTTTGGCCCAGTAATTGATATTTGCGAAAAAGTGCAAATACCTCAACTCCGTGCATTTCGACCGGGGGATTGGACGGGGATATCGCTTCCCATCGATGGGAAGATCCAGAAAGGGATCCGTGGAAGCAGTGTGTTACCCTGCCAAAGAATGCCTTTGACTAACAGCCTTACTGCTGCACTGATGCTGCAGGCCTTTGCCTTCTCCCCACCATCTCACGAACCAGCCGTGGCTCTGCTTGCAACATGATTTTGTAGGATCCAATTGCCAAATAATGGACTGCGAGACACACAGTGTATTTGCACATTGCATCAGTCATCATAAGCCTTTGACCATCTCCAAACAGCCCCCGCCGTCCATTGATGCCTGGCTTGAGTTCCTTCGCTGGCTTTTTCAAAAGCCTGTTGGGATCAAAGAAGGAGCTCACTCTGAGCGGCACTTCATATGCCGTAAGTACTTGCTGATTTCATATCTTCAAACAGCTGCCTGACGCTACACACTGTTGAATCGAATTCCACCACTTGGCATTTGCAAGACCTTGCAATCTGTTTGCGTGTTGGGTTGGACTTACTCGTCCAAGGTGGCCTGATGTAGCATGGTTGTTTGCATTACTAAAATTCATTGCGTCCATCAATGCTCCAAGCGTTTTCATACTCTGCAACGGAGGCGCACATCCTTGAGTCAGAGGGCTAAGGGACAGTCCGACGTTGAGGCTGATCGCTGTTTCAGCCACCACGGCGGCTGAGCAAAGGTGGCATCTACACACCCACGGCATCATGCAGGCAGGGAAACAATCATGATCATGATGATAATAGTGCATAGCTACCAGCCGCGCACGACACACTCCATATTAAAATATTTGTGAACTCGCCATTGACACATTGTCCTTGCAGACAAGAGGTCTAGATGATTAGTAAAGTGCACAAATTTGATGCGACATGTTGCTGCCAACACTGTTGATGTCAACAACAGCATTGAAACGCACCATCGTTCGTAGAGTCCACGCTGGCAAGACCGTCACGTGGTGATATTGTGGTGTTTCTCTTCATTGGACTCTGTGATGTTTGCATAAGGAGCTTTAGATCCTGCGCATGCTATTCTTGCATCAGCTGAAGGGCTTAGCGCCTCAATACAGCCGCAGTGGAGGACCAGATCTTTATGATTGTCTGACACGCCTCTGAACGTGCTAGTGTAATGTAACTGCGAAGCACCCTTTCATCTTAGCAAATTGACAAAGATCAAAGTATGCCGTTCTATGCCTATGACTTCGGTGTCGGGGCCGGATCTGGCAAGAAAACGAACAAAATGCAGGATGAAAACGCACGGGATCAGTCAAGTGTCTAAGCAATTGCAGCTGTTATAAGGTATGAGATAGCTTATATAATGCTGAATTTTTAGTAAAGCATGATTTGATCTGCCAGGATCCAATGAAGAGAATGTGTGCAGGAGGTGGACAGGTTCTTTGCACATCTCGATCACACTCTGCTGGAGGCCTTCGACTTATAAGGGTTGCTGAATCAAATTAAGATAGCAAAGCCGTGAGCAGGTAATCTGCACTCAGATTCTGCCAGCACATTGCGCAAAGACCAAAGTTAAGGATGAACCTTGTGGTGGCAAGGAGCTCTTTGCTGAATCGCCTGATTGTCCTACAGGAAATTTGAAACGCCCAAAGATGTCCAGCTTCCGTTTACCACTGCTCCATCTCAAGCATTGGGTCGTCTTTGCAGCCTTGTGCTGTCCTGCACTGGCAGCGAGTCGCCTGAGTGATGAAAGAATTGTCTTCCAGACCACATTTGGCAACATTGAGATGGCCGTGTACCCAGAGGTCTGCCTGTTCCCCTGTTGTCCTGTGAGCATGCACAACTCCTCCTCATGCTGCAATAGAGTTGAAAGGTTTCTGTACACGAGGAACCATCCTTTGGGTCTGAGGGCATGCACAATGTGCAGGTGGCACCCATCACTGCTCGCCACATACTAAAGCTGGCGAAGCTTGGAGCGTACAACTCGGTGCACTTCTTCCGTGTGGACAAGGGCTTTGTTGCGCAAACCGCCGACGTTGTATATGGGCGCTTGGAAGGTGCACCGCTGGATGCCAGGCAGATGGTGAGCCCTGGCTTTGCTATAACCTTGGAGCAGAGCAGAGCTCTTCTCAAGCCAGGTGTCTGTTGTGCATCACATTCGAGATATCGCTCAAATTTGCAGCAGCACAGAGCTCTGCGCTTTCTGGGTGTCCTGGATCTTGTGCATCGGAGGCTTCGCAGTCACACAAGTCACATGGGGCGATGGCAGCATGCGACGATCTGCAGTCTGTGCTTTTTTTTTATTCAAGACGGTTGTGTCCTGTGCAATCAACTGTCATTGCTTCGCCTCATTGTATTCATATTGCTGTGTGTTCACAGGAGGATGGGGACAAATTTGTGCCACTGGAGGTGTTGCCTGAGGTCAAGCATGACCGTAGGGGTATCTTGTCAATGGGGCGGCATTCAGATCCGGACTCTGGGAAATCATCCTTCTCAATCCTGCTGGGGCCTGCTCCCCACCTCGACATGCAATACACTATCTTTGGGTACGTCCCTAATTTATGAGATCTGCCCTACACTCTGTCTCTCTCTTCTTCAGCAACACATGAACACGCGGCAGGAATACTCAGCAATGTAAGCGATGGACTGAGAAGAAGTGTGGGTGCAGGGAAGTTACAAAGGGCTTTGAGACCTTGTCGAAGTTTGAGGAGGTGGAGACAAAGAAGGATGGCATATTTGTGATGCCAAAGGAGAGGATCACAATTCACAGCTCATATGTCTACTGCGACAAGTGTGAGAAGGAGACGGCGTTTCACACGCACAGGATCGAGTCTCTCTCCAAAGAGCTGCAGACTTGCAGGGCTGCACGACTGCCAGGACATTGAGGTGCAATCATACAGTTGTTCTGGATGCCAAGGGAAAGAATTCTCTGCTGGATCTGATGCTGTCAGCACAGCAGAACCACCTTTAAGAGCTGTTTGGCATGGCAATCTCTTAATGCCAGGCTAACCCATTCTTGTTACACGTCTACCAGCTGCTTGGGAACTCCGATAAAGCCCTGACCAATGTTTGTACGGGTCTCCTTGCATGGCAATTAGACAGTTTCTGATGTGCAATGGAGGCGACAAAGCTCTGAAAATCATCATTGGTAATTGCACACCAGCGAAAAGAACACGAGTATGCATGCAAATGTACTGTTGCAGCTCTCCTGTCTACGCACCTAAGGCAGTTGATGCAAGCCATGTCCTCGCATGTACGCAGAGGCAAACATGTGAAAGCAAGGCATCTCCGGCCATTCTTGTCTGGATTCAATTATAGCGCCAGAGGCTTCAGCACATCTACAAGATTTGCACAAAGTCCAACCTTTGTTCCATGGCTAAGTCATATTTACTTTGACAATCTTTCCCTGAACAGAAGAATGCTGCACATTGCCAGCTCGTGCATGGGCGCTACTCATAAGAACACGTCCTGAACCTGCAATGGCTGGCTCAGAGTTTTTGCATGAACAAAGCACGGTAAACGACGAGCCAGGAAATCATCTATGGAAAGATGACAAGTCCAGCATCCAAAACCGCGAAGAGTGGTTGCAGACAATGTCGCATGAACATGTAAAAGCTCTCCACAGCATATCTGAATACCAAGCAAGCTGCTGTGGAAAACAGCGCCTTCATCCTTCATAACCACCCCCCGTGAGTTACAGATAGTCTGGTCATTGGCACATGTCCAGGACACTGATATCGTTGATGTTGGAAGCTCATCCCATAAGCACATCCAACGTGCCTCATGCACTGTCATGTCCTGGCAATCACAGCTTGCCAATGTCTCTTTTTTCGTTCCGGGGCAAAGCCAGACTGGCGCTAGGAATATGCTGACGCATCTGACCAGGGACGCAGGCTTTACGAGGCTGATCAGGGAATTTGGTCCGCCTTGTTGGGCAGCCGCAGGAGGAAGGAGTATGGCGGCGGAGGCCGCGGCACACGCAGAAATGGAGGGCGCAGCTGCGCGCAAGACAACCCAAGGATACGCCATGAAAACAGAGCAATGGGCAGATCAGTCTAATGCGAGAACACAGGGGAACTCATTCATCACACAATTCCAGGTCAGCAAATTGACCTGCACCAAGAGTTGCAAGGAATAATTCACATGGATGCTGTTCAGCAAGCTTGACGGGGCAGTACTCTGACTCACGCGAGCAGTATCAACAACCCAGAAGCAAACAATCAAGCATGTCAACATTTCACTCAAACCCATGCAGCAGCTGTGGCGGGGGCGCACCATCCAGCAGAGCAGGAAGGAGATGAGGGTGTGCAGGCCTAGCAGCGGCACGAGCAGAGCAGCAACCGTGGCAATGATGAGGAAGAAGGACGAAGCGTTGGGGTCTGCCCAGCACACCACGGCGCGCACCCGCTCAAGCGCGCTCGCGATTTCGTCCAGCGCGTTCTGCACCTTGAGAGCGATGCGCTGCATGTTCTCCACTCTCGCCTGCAGCCGCTGCACCAGCGTCCCCTGCAGCTCGTTGTCCTGCGCGCAGCAAAAATGCACCCTTCATTATATTGCTTGCACAGCTCGGGGGTATGAAAAAGTAAGAAAAAAGAGAAAAAAAACGCACTGTCCAACCTTTTAACTTGGAACAGCCCATGCAGCATGGTACCCCCGACCAGCCGAGTATCTTATCGAATGTCACATGAAACAAATGGCTCATGCATGTTGTGTGGCTCGCCAGAATGCCATTTCTTGACTGCTTCCGCGAGCAAGTCGAGAGGATTTTGGCTGATAGCACTCGCGCAGGAGACGATGAATCTGTCTGGTTGGGGCAGCAGACATACCATGCAGACCCAAAACACCTGTCCAAGGGGAATACACAGGTGGCAGCAAGGTATGAGTGGTGACAGATGTGCATGGGCATATGCATGGCAAGGTTTAGGGGAAGAGGTGAGGCGGTGATCACCCCAGTGTCATCATCGTCCTCCTTGGCCTCTGGGTCTGGCTCCATTGGCATCGGCTCGCCCACACCCTCCGACGGATACGCAAACACCTGCACACCACCCCAGCAGCCTCACGCAGTCTCTGAACACCTCTCTCCCAACATGCACAGGCACCACTTACCACCGTCTACCCACCCTCCTTCATTCAGCAGACATGCACTGCTCTCATCAGGACGTTCAGCAATCAAGCGATGTGCTTAATTCCCTTCCTCTCAGCCTCACTAAGTGCGATTAGAAGGCCCCTACTCCTTGGTAGTGTCAAGGGAAAGAACACTGCATGTATGTGTCCAGCACTTGTTCTCTTTCTCTTGGAGATAACATCTAGGGCAGCGCACCATGTAGATGACGAGGGCAGTGGCGCCGAGAGAGATGGTGATGTGCGGGTAGCAGCACAGGGCGGTCATGGCCGCCATGGTGCCGATCGTGGCCGGCGGGTTGTCCCAGGACTGCAGGTATGCCCAGCCCTCGCTCGCCTCCTTGCCGGCCTCCACCCACACCGACAGCCGCCGCCAGTGAGCCTTCGTGCGCGACATCAGGAACATGTCCCTGTCGGCGCACACGCATGACATCAGCAGATATGCAAGCTGCGTGTAGGCATTTGCAGCACCCTCCCCTCGTTGCACATCTACTCAAGCTCAACAGCGGGAATCAGATGCAAGCATGTCAGTTCCTGAAAGGAGCCTTCCTTGGCAGGTTGAGTGCTGTTTCCCAACTTGTGAGCCTTTCCTGTGATGGGGAACTCGTCTTGGGAGAGGTAAATTTTCAAATCCATCTATATCTATGTTCCCAAAGAGCAAGACCTCAAAAGCCAGTCAAATGGAGGAATAACGCCTATTTTCATAGAGAATCAGACAAGGTGTGTCATCCGCATGGTTGCTTGCATGTCTGCCAGACAGGTTTCTCCAGCACTGACGACAGATCTTTTGCTGCTCCTATTGTTGGACACGTGCTCTAGCCAGGTCATCACTCATTTGTACAGAAAACAGAAATGGCATGAGGAGGGGCGCGCACTGGGGGCTGCGCAGGAGGCAGTCGGCGACGGAGCGGGGAATGGGGGGAGAGGAGGACTCCAGCCAGCGCATGGTGATGCGCGCCGTCTCGCGCTCGAGCGTTCGGCGCACGTCGCCCCCGGCCAGGCCGTGCCGGTACATGCCCACCGGCCGCGGCGGCGACAGGTACCCGCGCAGCAGCCGCAGCCGGCTGAAGTACGACACCTGCGCAATGGAGAACTGCAGGCATTCAGACCTGCATAATTGCCTGCCTGCGCGTCTGTACGCGGAACTGTCCTCAGGTAGAGACTTGCTGCATGGTAGGTTTTGCAGCAAGCCAGTGTGCTTTCCCATCTTTATAGATCTTTGGAGCACACTAGGCAAAAGAGAAGCATCTGAAAAAAGCAGGGTTGGCTGGCACGGAACTGGCCCTGCTCGGCTGCATGCAAACCCACCTCCTACAAGGAGGAGATGGGGGACTGAACTCTGGCGCTTCCTCTTCGCACCTGCCTGTGGCCGGGCTGCCCAGGTACGCAAGATCATCACCACCTGCCAGTTTGGACCAGAAGTGGAAAAACACAGAGTGAGGGCGCGCCTTGATAGCGAGGTCGGCGGTGGCGGAGCGCTCCCCGCCCTTCTGGCGGCTGGCGCAGAGCGGCAGGCGCGCGGAGTGCAGCACGTCGGTGGACAGCGAGGACAGCCGTATGCGCAACTGCCCCACCATTGTTGTGCGCCGCGATGTTCGCGGCCCCGTCTCCTTGAACAGCGCCAGCTGCAGCACCGTGCCGGGGTCGAATATCGGCGCGTGCACCTGCGCATACCAAAATAGACATCTGTGCATGATGAAATACATCCTCGCGTGCGCATGATTAAGCGCATGACAGTATATATCGTCTATGTGCAGGGTGTAGGCTACCTGCAGGGAATGCAGAGGCTGAAAACCCCCAAGGTGCAGCGCTTCTGGGTGGTCAGAGCCAAGCTCAGGCCGAGAAAATAGGTATCTGTCGAAGTATCCTGGAAGAGGATCTTGGGCTTAGTTCATCACAACAATGGCCACAGCAACTAGGACTAACCTCGATTGTACCTCTTGCCTGGTGTATGTGAGAGGAGTAATGCAGCAGGCAAGGGCACACCTCCCAGCTGAATTCGAGATGGTTGGAGTATGGCTGGGTGGTGGACCGGCCCCACAGGGGGCCACAGCGCAGCAGGCAGAAGCAGCTGTCAGACCCCTGTTCCAGGTCGACCGACTTGATCACCAGCTGCAGCATGCCCAGCGGCTGCTTCGCCTCAGGGATGCGCGGCACCCGCTTCGGCTGCACACCATAAGGCACAGTTATGCATCAAGGACCAGTTAAAATTTTTTGAGATTTACTCATGCAAACTTGGTCAGGATCATTACAAAAGGTTCGTCAGGTTAGTTGTCTTTCCTGTGCCAGGCTTGATCGTGCATGGCGTAATATCAAGCTGGCACAGGAATCATAAGTATCCTGTGAAGAAATGGAGAACCAGGTATGGAAATGGTGTGGGATTGTACCTCTGCATATAGCTTCTGCGCGAGCCACGTCCGCCAGGGCAGTGGGCGAGTGGGAGTCTTTTCTGCACCAGAACCCCTTGGCTCACTGATCTCTGCCACCTGTTGCTCCGCACACTCTGGCTCATCCTGCGCTTTCTGCTCCCCACCGCCCTTGTCACCTAATGAGTCTGTCCCTTGGCTGGACTTGCCCGATGATGAGGCCAGCTCATTTGACTGCTCCCTGTGGGGCACAAAAGAAATCTCAGGGCTCCGGCTCAATCGTCTTGACTCATCCCCTTTCAGGATGCTCAAAAGGAGTAGCAGGTTTCCTTCAACGGCCCTGCAGTGACTGCGCAACATGCGGTGCAATCTGCATGAAAAGGAAGCTGCCAACCTGCAGGTGTCGAGCAGGCGTGCAGGGTTTGGAAGGAGCGACCAGCGCCCGGAATTGCGAGTCAGTCTTGCTGCGAGGGACTCCTGGCCACCCTCGGCCGTTGCTGAGTCGCCGGAGCCCATGCTAGCCCGTTGCAGACTGACCTCAGAATTCTCGCTCATCTGCACTGAATGCCTGTGATGCAGAGAGAGACAGAATCATCTCAAAGTGCAAGCACCGCAGCCTTGCTGCCAGTCTGTCTGCCTCCAAGAGACGAAGTCTGAAGAAGCTCCATTCATATTTCACCACATCTGTAGGCGGCCCAAGTTTAGAGACAGGGGACAGCGGTGACTGTGACCTGGTCAGGCGCTGCTCGGGGGGGACAGATATGGGCAGGCCATAAAGCTCGCGTCGGCAGTCCACATCCACACAGGCGGCCGCCAGCGCCACAGCGCCCTCAAAGCTGCTGCCCCCACCGGCGTCATGCAGACGGAACCAATCCCCATCCCGGCCAACTACAAGCATCAAACTTTTCTCAGTAAATAATTGTTACCTTGTAGCTGTTTGCAAGGGTCGTAAACCTCACTGCTTGCTCATCTTGGATAAAAAAAATCACCGGTCTCCCCAGGATCCATGAACAATAATTTGCACGAGACACCGCTTCACACAATGTACCCGCGTCACTTGCATGCATCAAGCTGCCTGAGATGTAGCCCAGGCATGGCCAGTCAAGGCATGCTGTGATAGAAGTGACAGGTGTGCGGCGCACTCTCAGTGGAGCCCTCAGGGAAGAGGGTTGCCAGGGGGATAAAGGCGCGCGCAAGGGTGCGACCCTTGCGGCGGTTGCCGGTGCTCTGGTGCAGCTCCAGCCGCAGCGGCCGCGTGCGCAGCGGTAGCACCACTGCAAAGGCAAAGTCCTGGCCCCACTGCGCGCGCGCTCCCTGCAGCGGCGCCAGCCGCGACCGCTTCGTCTGGTTGCCCACTGATACCTGCGTGTGCGCGAATAAAGGGTACTCAGTGATTTGCACAGCACAGTCCTTAAACTCCGTAACATAACAAGGCCACCAAAGCAAATGCAGTGAACTATAAACCAGACCATCAAACGCTGCAGATAAGATAGAGCTATGCTAACATCAACATTTCTATTTAGCTGGTTTGGGCATATACTGTTTCTGTCCAAAACAGCCGTAGCAGGATCCCAGACCATATTATAATGTTCAATACAGCATGATAGCAATCTACAATTTCTTCGCGAGAATACTACCTCCCAGTAGAGTTGCTGCTCATCCTCAATCTCTTGCTCCTCGTTTTCGTCGCTCTCACTCTCGTCATCATCGAGGTCAAAGTCATCTGTGGTCTGCATCAACTCCCCCTCGTCATCCACCTTGCCAAAGAGCCGTTTGATCTTCCGGTGCACACTCTTCAGGCCAACTTCCCCGCTGTGTCCGCCGCCGCCCTCATCGCTCTCACTTATCACCCTGCACATCCAGCACAGCACGCTCCGCAAACCAACACACCAACTCGTGATCCCTCTCTAAGCACGAGTTACTCCACCCTACAGTAGCAAACGCCACATGCAGTGTGCATGACTTCTTCCTTCATTTCATCAAGAGGCACCAGCAGGTCATTTTCAGTCAGGAGGCCACCAGCAATACATGCAGGGAGCCTCAGTGCACCACCAGCAGGTTGTGGAAGGCGGTTCTGGTTGGGTTTGAGCACGCAAAAGCATGGCTGACCTGTGCAGATTGCGCCTCTCCTTGAAGCGCGGCGACGGCTCCAGGGTCTCTCTGACAGAGGCCACTGATGTGGTAGAAGATGAGCTCTGCTGCCTGCTGAGGGGGCGCCGGCCCAGGCCGGTCAGGGAGCGCCAGCGCGAAGAGGTGTTGGCACCGGTGAACAGCTTGGTGATCAGGGGCGCTTCATCGCTGTCAAGGCTGCTTTGCGAAATGGACGCCTGTGCAGTCGACAAGCCCGGTCTCATTCCTCTAGATTGCGGTATCGTTCGGTGCATGCCGTGAAGCAACGAGTGCAGAGAGCCAGTCATTGGCATCGCACTCGGAGAATGACTTTGTATCTTCTGAGCAAGTGACAGAGTCTGCACGCGTGCCAGTATAAACTGGCCTTGGTGCACAGCTTTCAGGCATGAACAGAGCTTTGAGGCATGAAGGCGATGTTCCTCGACCCTGGATTACGAACGCCTCGTGCCTGCACGATTCGCAGGTGGAGCCAGGCCACGCAGGGCTCCTCGTAGACCGTGTTGCCGCGCTCATCGTGGATCACTGCTGGGAGCTTCTTCTCGACCTGCCCGGGCGCCGGGCACAGCGCGCTGATGGCACTCAGCGGCTGCTCCTCAGCCGTGCCGCGGGTAACGCTGTCCCTGCACTGGATTGCCACCTGAGATGTGCACACCTTGCCATCAGCCATGCCTACTTGCTTTGTGCAGAACACAGCAGCTTGTGCGCAGTACCTTTGCGTGTCCTTTCTACCTGTGCTGTAGGATAGGGTGTGAGCTCACGCCAGTCTCTCATCACAGCTTCCCTTTTGCATCAGCCAGGTGCATAAACTGCACCATGGCAGCACTACGAGCAGAGCAGCACAAACACTCATTCATATGGCAAGGTGATACTTCTGCGAATTCTTGAAACTGTGATCCATCTAGACACGGCACCGATGGACACCGTTCCCGCAACTTTCCTTCTCACCGATTTCCTGTGACTGATAAGCAACGCCTGCCCATGTGCAGTGAAATGGCTTCCTCATATCTTTCGATTGAGGATCTTTCAGTCCAATCGATGTGCATGTTTCGAAGCTGTGCATCTGCTAAATGTGCAGGTGGAAGTTTTGACAGATCCTAAAGGGTTGCAGCTGAAGAAGGCAAACTGAGTCCTGCAGAAGGTGAATAGCCAGGGTGTGGCAGATGGTGCACCTCTAGAAATCCAAGGCCGGTGTCAACTATCTCCCCTTTCGCGCTCAGGTACAGGGGCAGACGAAACACTTGCCCATCCTCTTCAAAGTTGATGTCTGCCAGATTGATCTCCGCCTGGTAAATTAGCAATCAAAATCTTAATATGAGCACTAGACAAACTCCACATGTCAATCATATTGGGCCACAGATTGCCCGGAAGATGATTGCAGCCTGCCACCCGAACCTGCACACATTATTGAAGTACCTGGGAAGATATGGGATGGCAAAAGGTGCGAGCACAGCACCCACCTGCCCAAGGAAGTCATCAGCGACCACACCAATATCGCTGTCCCAGACTTCAAAAAGCAGGCTCGGCAGGTTATCCACAATAGCAGCGTCGACTTCCTCAGCGCCAAATACAAAGGCCTCGTTCCAGTCCGGGTCGAGCGTTTCCAGCAGCACATGCGTCTGTTCGCTGCGCGACCCCAGCCGAACCACCGTATACGGATCCGACAGCCCATTGCTGTCGGCCGCGCGCAAGCCGCGTGCGCAGAGCACCTGTCGACGCATGCGGATTGGGGTGAGCCACTATTTTCTTTGCCAGGCATGACGCATGTATTCCCAGCAGATATAAGGTTGGCACTGCCCTGGTGTCAAAATTCCCTCCAACAAATTGCCTGCAAAGGAGCAGAGGACAGGCATGCAGCCATGGGAGCAAGGGAATTGGGCAAATGGTGGATATGGTCTAGAGTGGCCTCACATGTACGTGCAGGTCCCGGCTTTGGCCGAGGATGCCGGGCGCCATGGAGTGGTGGCTCTGAATCTGAGAGCCTTCATCCACCACAGCAGATTGCGAGGGCTGGCTCCCCTCGGTCTCTTCCCCCTCGTCCATGGTGCTGAGCTTGCCATCGTCCGTGCCTTGAGACTTCTTGCCCTTCAGCATGTTCTTCCAGTGCGGCTTGGGCTTGCGCAGCAGCTTCAGGATGCTGGTGTTGCGCTTGAACTCCTTCGGGCTCGTGCCTCGAGGGGACAGCTTGGGCATGCGGAAGCCGCCAGACTTCACTTTCAAGTCTGCTGGCAGAGCAGCGCTCTCCGTGGGGAGAGTGCTTCGAAGTCTGTCCATATCCAATGGTGTTCCTGGACCTGACTGGCCCTGCAAGGCAGCATACAAATTCGTCAAATATCAATCCAACCAAAGCGTTACTGGTAGATGGTTTTGTAATTGCAATAATTGCTGCAGCAGTCCGTCTGGATTTGAAGGTGAAGTACGCAATTGCGGTAGCTTACATCGGCAGAGAGTGGACTTTGGACTTCTGCATCCTCGCTGCTCTGGAAGGCTCCAAGTAGATTTTGGAATGGAGATACAGGTTTTGAAGCTTCTGGATCCTCCTGTAAAGGTTCCATGGTGCTTTCGAAACCCAAGAGATCTTGGAGTACACAATTACGCGAGAAGGAACGTGTGTGCACTAACGGCTTGTAAGGAAGCTACGACACGCTGCAAATGTCACATGAACACAATACTAGAGTCATTCAAGTGAGCTTGCCGTGCAGCTGTAATTGTAAAACTGGATGGTGACAAGAGAAGCTAGTTGATGTTAATGTGCATTTTAGTAGTACAGCAATCGTTGCTTTCAAGAGCATGCAGGCTTCCATCCAACAATGTTGTCAGCAAGGATAGATTGCTGATTGCCAGCAGAAGATTGAGAAGACTTTCTTCCTCGTCGATTCGTACGACAGCACTCAGCCTGATCTTACTAGCTTCCGCTGAAAGGGAAGCTAGTTAGTACGCCCAATACTGAAGGGGTGCAGACGGAGGGTGGGGCCAATGTGTTATGGCCTGCCCAAATTCCAAATCGATGAACATAGACAGAGTATTTGAGTTGAAAACTGCCCTCCCAATCCCCATGTGCGTACCACATTAGTTAGTACGCCCAATACTGAAGGAAGGAAGGAAGGAAGGAAGATTACATCACTCCAGCCGCCTAGGGCTGATTGGATGAACTGGCAGCATCCAAATAATCAAAACAATCCATCACAAAATGTGCAACACCAACAATGTCCAACTGCCACATGAATTGCTGCATCGTCACAATGGCTGCACCAAACAGCCCAGGATATCTGTCCCGAACAGATTGCAAGGCAGGGCACTCAAACACAAGGTGGCGCTCATCCCCAATAACCTGCTGGGCACAACGCATGCACAAACGCTGGGGCCGGGGAATCCTTGCCCAGCGGCCCGAGACATTGGGCAGACTATGACAACCCATCCTGAACTTCAACAGTATACGCAAGCAACGGGCACTCAAAGGCTGCTGTAAGAGCTGGCAAGGGTGGCGCACACAAGCTGGCCTAGCAAACCATCTGTGATATGTACACAAGGTGGCATTGCTGGACGGGCAGGTCCTAGGGCAAATGTCAATGTCATCCCAAACCTGCAGTGCTTGCGCATCTAGCAGCTGCATCACAGCATCAACTTCCACAGGAACAAGGGTGTCAAACCGAATAACAAACTCATACCCAATTCGGCGCAAGCCCCGCATGAAGGCCCAAGCCCAATTCTTAACATTACGGGTTATGGCATCCCAACAATCATCAAGGGCCACTTGCCTGTGAAAATTATTTGCAGGCAAGGCAGCCAAATTGTTCCAGAACTTGATAATGCGCCGCCACCACACACAATCAAGGGTCTGCTGATTCAACTCCTTAAGCAAGATGGCACCATGCACAGAGGTGGGGACGCCAGCAATGTCTCTCAGAATTTTCAGGTGAGAGGAGGCCAAGGCAGCCCGGCCCCGCCGGCTGTCGCCACCAGGAAGGCTGCGCAGGCCCCACACCTCACAACCGTAGGAGGCAGTCGGCGGCACACATGCATCATATAGGCGCAACAACAGGCCAGCTGACATGCTGCAATGCAACTTCCCATATTGCTGCTTGAGCTGTGCCCACACACCCCACATGTTCCTGTGAAGCTTGCCAAAGGTGAGATTAATGCCTTGGGCACCGTCAAAAAGGGCACCCAGGTACTCAAACTGCTGAACCCAATGTAAAGGCGCACCACCACAAAGCCATTGAAAAGGTCCTGGCAAACTTGAAGAGAACACCACAATCTTTGTTTTGTCAACACTGATGACCATTCCCGTTTGTTCACAAAACTCAGCAGCTGCATCAATCAAGCGTTGCAAATGAGCAGGTGTGGTGGCGAGCAAAGCAAAGTCATCGGCATAGCCTAGATCTGGTACACAACTGCCAGGACGCAACTGCGGGCCAACCCCAGGGCACCTCTGCAGCAAGTGCCTGTGCAGGCCATCTGCAAACAAGCCAAACAGCGTTGGGCTAAGGGGGCAACCCTGCTTCAATCCTGTCTCAGAGGGCAAACTAGGACCCTTCCTGCTCCCAATCTTAATGGCAACCGTAGAATTGGCATACAAAGACTGAATGGCAGAGAGCAGGTGGCCATCAATGCCCAGGCGACGCAGACTCTCCCAGAGCAACACCCGATTCACTCTGTCATAAGCACCCTTCAGATCAAGAAAGCAACAATACAAGGGCTGCTTAGCATGGTTTTGCCGGTCGATAAAATGCTGCAAGGTGAATAGCTGGTGGGCCGTAGACAGTTTTGGCCTAAAGCCAGCCTGTGTGGCTGCACGCAATCCAGCCCCCTCTGTGTACTTCAGAATACGAGAATTCAATATGCCAGCATACAAGCGCATGATGGGCTCAGTAACGGCAATGGGTCTATAATTGAGCATGTCAAGCTTGCTGCCTTTCTTGTGCACAGGGGTGATCAGGCTACCATTCACAGAGGGTGGCACTTGCCCAGCCACAAATGCAGAGTTCAGCACAGCCACCAAAGCATGCGCCAGGACATTTTCCGGAGGAGGCATGCCTGGCGCCCGCTCATCTTTTGCATACCGAAACAGCTCAGCTGGTAAACCTTGCACTCCGGTGGCACGACCATTGTGTAAACTTTTGAGCCCAGCAAGCACCTCCCCAAGAGAGATGGGTGCATTGAGAGCATCAACATGGGCAACAGGAGCACTGGGCTGGACAGGGAAAGACAAGTGGGGCAGCTCAGCAATGAGTGGCAACTGCAAGTTTGCAACCCGCTTGAGATAGCCAGCCCACAATTGCACTGGCTTGAGCTGCTCAGGTATATCAGACTGCTGAGACTTGAGCCGCTTCCAGAAGGCTCGGGGGTCACTGTGCAAATCATCAAGCAGGCGGCGCAGTTGCGCGAGCCGGTGAGCGCGCCGTTTGTGGCGGACGGTGTTGTGGTAGGCACGCTCCAGCGCGCGCACTTCGGCTGGATCGCCCCCGCACCGCGCGCGGGCGCGGACGTCCCGTTTAAGCTGGCGGCACTCCGAATCGAAGAAGGGCGCGTCGGCACGCGCCTTGCGCTGATGGCGCCCGGTGCGGGCCGGCATGCTGTTCGCGGCTGCGGCCTCCCGGATCCCCGCCTCCAGGGTCTGAAAGGCTGCATCAAGTTCCCCAGCCACAGCATGGCCTGTGCAGGCGTCAAGACTTGCACTGGCAACATTGCGCAAAACAGCAGCATACGCATTCCTAGCACTGGGCTGCCATTTCACTCGTGACAATGGCGCCCCAATACATGGTAAGGGAACACTGGCAGCCACATTCACTTGCAACGTCATCTCAATAGGATGATGATCAGAGTCTTTTCTACCAGTGTTCACAACAAGATGAGAAATCAAGGGGAGCGCATCAGCGGAAACGAGAACATGATCAGGTCTAGTTGCCTGAGTATGGGTTCTGGCCTTAAAGGTAGGCACTGCTTCAAGGTCTCCTAGCACTCTGCCAGAGCATATGAGCATGTCAGTTTCCTTGCAAAAATCTAACAGGCGCAGCCCATGAGCATTGACACCTTCATCAGTGCAGCCTCGAGTATTGCTGTCATCAGCGTCAGGCAAATTTGACACACGAGCATTGAAGTCTCCTGCCAGGATCACATTGCCCTGAGCACGAGCGGCAACAACTTCTGCACATAAGCCCGTAAATCGACTGGTCAGGTCCACAGTCTGCTACTGAAGGGGTGCAGACGGAGGGTGGGGCCAATGTGTTATGGCCTGCCCAAATTCCAAATCGATGAACATAGACAGAGGATTTGAGTTAAATACTGCCCTCCCAATCCCCATGTGCGTACCACACTAGTTACATCGTTGCCTGAAGCTCCAGATAAATAGCCAGACAAGCAGCAACTGGATGCACTTATCTTGGGAATGGATCTTCACTACCTAGCAATCCAATTTATAAGCTGAACGTGGCACTGATGTTCTGTTGCCCTCAGATCGGGGCCTTCACTGCTGCAGCTCAATCACTGGCCGCCAGCACTGCGGCATGCATGTCATATGATCCGGTCACGAGTCATCAAGATTGACAGACTGCGCAGTCAACTGCAGTCGATGTTGTTCAGAGTCTGATCACACCTAAGATGCCAGCAGCACCCAGCATAGTCCCGCCCTCACCCTCTGGTAATCTTTGTAACCACTCTTGTCTAATGAGCTGTCTGACCAATTGGTTTCACACCCGGGGAAGGGCCGATGAACACAATGATCATTATTGCAACCTCCCAGACGTCAATTTTGGGTGCCATCAGCAAGCCCCTACTCCGCGCTGGCTGCACCTTTGCATGTATGAAAGCAATATCCTTAGTACAAACTTGAGGTACAGCTGACATATAAATCAAGTGCATCTATTGACAGAGCGCCGTATATACGTGAGAGAAGTTGCCCAACAACCCATGCAGATAGAACTCACCCTGTAGCGGTTTTGCAGCCTGACTGTGAAGGCTGTTATTTTGCTGCACAGAGTAAGTTCATGTAGATAGCCTGCACTTTGCCAGCAGAGCTTTGATCTTCTCCACAGCCCTGACACGGTCTGCTGGGCATGCTGTAAGTGCCAGACTCAAAAGCTTCTCCGCCAACTTAACATCGTGGCTCTCAAGGCAGGCCACGCCGGCCTTAAAGGCCTCCTCTGTCACAGCTGACATCTGGGCTGTGAGACCCCCTCTGACTGCACCCTGCTGCTCTGTACGGAGTGCTGTCAGCCGCTCAGTCAGCCGACGCAGGATCATCGCTGCATCTTGTGATTGAGGCGGGGCAGGCCGCACAGAGCGCGGGGGTCGCCGCGACTGCGCTGGGGACGTCCCTGTGCTGACAGGCTGCTGAGAGGGCGGCGGAGGCTTGGACGAGAAGAGCGCCCTCGGGTGCAGATTGCTGCTGGCTGCTGCTGAGACGTCGCTTGGGGCCTGACGGGGCTCGCTGACGCTGCTGCGCGTACTATTGCCTGCAGCTGAGCCTGCACATGACTAAGATCTATTATCGTTCAAGCTTGCTACACCGTTTCCTTATTGATGACAAACTGAAGCCATTGCCTGCAAGGAACAGTAAGCTGCTGCACTCACCTGGCGTTCCAAAAGGATTGTATTTGGGGCTGCTTCCATGGATTGCATTTCCTGAGCCTGATGACCAGCGGAAACCACTGCTGGACAGGCACTCCTCCTCGCAGGTTTGCACAAGACCACAATAACCTGCTCCAATCACCCAAGATCCTCTCAGTAGCATCTCTTTGCTATTTGTCAATTTAATTGAAAGTCATACGAGACTGGCACTTCGAGCAGTGCAGATGCTTGTGATCACCCAACCTGCCCATCTGAACAGCCTTCAAAATATTAAGGTCAATTGCACGGGACTGTGATCGCAAATTACCATCCCATGGAGGCTCTCGCAAACTTCTGGCGTATTCAATCTGCATGATCTGTGTTTCTGCTGCATCCATCAAGCTGTTTGGCTCAAACCTCGCGGCCATATCAGAGGACGCCTTCCAGCCTTGTGTCTCTTGAATCCTTTCTCACTCTATCCAAAATTCTCCTGTCTTCTCTCTTGATTTGTCCAAACACAAATGTACGCTTGCTCAGCATGCGCCCCTCATGGAGCCTGTTCAGGTGTTGGGAGTGATGGAAAAGCCCATGCATTCAATCAATTGACCTCAAGCATGTCTTAATTGAGTTCACATTTGGGGAAGTCACGATTGTATCACAGCGTCGGGAGCGCTAGTGTCTAGCCCTTGTCTAGGAAAAGAAAGTCAGAATGTGAATGCCCGAAACCAAGGAGGATCTCTTTGTGCTGGTGCTAGTGCGATGAAACCTGCAGTAATGTAAACCGATACATGTGACAAATTTCCTTGCCATGCTTCAAAAGCGTGTATGAGGCTCTTTTGAGGGAATAAATTTAGCACACAGCTCAGAGACTTGCACTCCCTACAAATCGATGGGAGGAAGAGAAGATGGAGAATTGGCATCCAGCAGGTTTCCTTTGAACGATCAAGACAAAAAGTGGTCAGCAAACAAAAATTATCCTCTAGGTGAGGCTTCCCTGACAAGGTTGTCACGCCCACATGCCACACCCTGGTGGGCAAGGATGATCCCAGATAACTCGTTGGAGAGTGCACTCGGTGAACCTAGACTCTTTCAACTGAAGTACCGTATCGAATGTGGTGCAGGCTTGGCAGCCTACATTGTTATACTGGCTATTTCGGGTTTTGCAGAGGGGTGCGGACTCCACTGCCTCCAGATGACTCTGCTATTTGTGATGCTACCGACACATTATTGAAGGATAGTAATCCACATCATGCTTGCATGGCAGGATCCGCGGGTTGCCATGGTGGTACCAGCTCATCACTGGGCTCTGTGGGATATTTGCAATTTTCTTCCTGTGTGTCACTTCCCACATAGATCCTGGGCTCATACCGTGCAGTGCTACAAAAGGCAAGTTCTCAGCCATCTTGCCTTTGACAGGGACATGCAACAACTACTTCAGATCCTTGAGCGTGCTGACCTGCCTGTGCCATGCAGATCCCTTGATCGTCATGTTGGACGACCCAGCTGTGTGCATTGACAGCCATGACCAGTACAAGAAGGACTTCTTGGGGCAGTGGATGCGCCAAACTTCTGATGGCCGATGTGAAAAGTGCGCGCTAGCCATTGGCCAGGGTGTCACACATGCTCCTGTATCTGGCCATGCGAAGGATTATGACCAGAAAGAGTGAGAATTTCTTGGCATTCAATGTGCAGGTATTGCGCGACCTGTAACATATGGAGGCCACCGCGCGCCAGTCACTGCAACACTTGCGGATTTTGCTTTCAGCGATTTGACCATCATTGTGCTGTAAAGTTCCATTCCTCTCGTTGCGCAGCTCTGAATGTGGTGCTCAAACGTGAGACTTTGGATCCATGCCAGCTTACCTCATTTGCAAGCAATTCACATATGAGCCGTGTCTGCAGGTCGTTGGTAACTGTGTTGCAGAAGCCAATCACAGATTTTTTGTGGCCATGCTTCTATTCGGACAAGCAGGGTGCCTTCTTTTGACGGCTGGCGCATCGTGGAAATTGAGACAATCAGGATTTCCAGTGTAAGCTTAAAGAGTTGCTTGCAGGATCTGAACATGGCTACTCTCTGAAGGGCTGTCAATGCATTGAATTGAGTGTGCGTCATGCATGCAGGTCCTGTGATTGGCGTGATGCCGAGATCTACATTCTATTAGTCTTTGATGTTGTGTACGCCTACAACTCTGTCATGCTTCTATTTGGTCTTTGCCATTGCTGCTCGCTAGTCTGCGGTGAGGCCCCTTGACCAATGAGAAAATAATTGGTCTGTACCTTTCTGATATCTGAAAGGTTGTATTGTGTGGAAGTGCGAGCTGCCTGCTGATGCCTCCTGGAGTACAATCTGCTGTGCTGCTCAGATGTGACAACCAAGGATATCGCAGCTGGTGACACATTGTTTCAGGAGCCCATCTGCACGGGGCGCAGAAGTTTCCCAAACCTCCTGCAGAGTTGGCGGAGAGTCTTTTGCGGTCCAATTCAGTCAAAACATGCTGCGAGTGCAAAGCTGCTGCCATCTTCGCCTGTTTAGAGTCGGAAGCAGACTGTAATTCTATCAGCCTTTGCATCATCAGCCCATATTGTTCTTCTCATGTCGGGGAATACGCTAGATTGAGGAGGTTCCTGGCAAGAGAATTTTGCATGTGCTAGCCATGCGACACGCGCAGGCTGCTGCTGCGTTGGCATAAAGCCAGGGGCCGGGCGGTTCTTCAGCTGCATGCACACATAGTTACTACGGTATGTGTGTTCAACACATACCCGGTGTCATACCGTATGTCATACCGTAAGTGACTTGCTTCCTGTTGCTATGCTGTAACTTCTTTGCTCTGCCCTTCCCTTTCCCACTAGTTCTTCGTGACGAAGCTTGACACGATCTTGTCGCTGCACAAATCATCAGTATGCAGCAAAACCATATCACAGTCACTACATGTTGAACATTACCAGCAAATGAATGTACTAGAAGGTGTTTAGATACAGCAGAAAATATAGCCACATCGCTTTAAGAGTGACAGAGATTACTCACCAGAAGTAATTGAAGACTGGGGATGAGAAAGTGTGGCCTTGCTCTGGACGTGGCGATTGAAAACGACCTTACTGCTTGGAGCAAGCCCGATTCGCAGCGAATGATCATCATTCGCCTCTTTGCAGCAACGGCGGCCACCGCTAGACGTGGAGGGGGGGACCGAATGCAGCTTCCTCGGACACTGTGTCATGAAAGTGAATTTTGAGTTCAGAAGCGACCCAAGCAATCCCTATTGTGAGGTCTGTATCCGAGAGGAAGCGACTGTCATCATATTCGTGACAAGCTCCCTCGTCAGTGTGTTGTGCATCCCTCACTCCACTCCTTTGTACTCCTTGAAGTACTTATGACAGCATGCAATGGTGATTTCACGCCCAAAATGCGCAGACAGCAATCGAGTAAGAGCGTCTGGGGCGCGATGGCTGTGCTGGTGGTGATCACGGCGGCAGGGGTGGGAGTGCACCGCAGCGGCATCTCGTTGCAGGATTGGCAGTGGCAAACGTTGGGAGAAGGATTGCCCGTGCTTTGGCTACCTCTGCCATGGTACCGATCTGTGAATTTAGGGGCATCCAATTGCACTGTCCAGGTGCGTCACCCTGTCAGGCGATTTGTGTGGGGAGTGATTGCTTGTGTCTGGACGGATACTCCTTTGGGACTCTGCAGACAGCCTGGCATGTACCAGTGATCATGATGCAGTGGGCTATCTGGCCTTCAGCTTTACCTAGCGCCTGTCACAGCATGGCAGCTGAGCGTTGCAGCCCTTGCAGGAGGACACTTCAGCAGAGGTGGGCGTTGGCACCTGCCAGTTGTCAGGGACCGTCCGAGACTGCAGTGCGTCCCTGACCATCTTCAATGCTTTGAGCCCTTTATGTTCATCTCCCTGGCTCTTGATGATGCGCACATCTGCTTCCACAGGACCTTATAAGTTCTCAGTCAGGCCCAATCACTTCATGTCACTGAGAAGTGCCTGAGGCCTGTTCATGGCCTACTTCTGGAACAGCAACTGACAGCCATGGACAGGCATATAGCCCTTGGACAGGACAGTTTGGGACAATGTTTCTCGCTGCTTCAGGATCTAGCCTGCTTTGTCTGAGATGCTATTAAATGCTGTGCATGGCAGGCTGCGAGTATGCGGCGGTCGAGCGGGTGAACAGGGAGGCGGTGCTGCCGGTGCTGAGGGACTTGGTGCGGCAGCCCTTCTTCCGCTACTTCAAGGTCAGCCTTTACTGCGACTGCCCCTTTTGGCCGGACGACGGCATGTGCGTGCTGCGCGACTGCAGCGTCTGCCCCTGTGAGGACCACGAGGTGCCTGCGCCCTGGAAGGCCGCCGACAATGGCGGGCCTACGCCTGGTTGTGAAGGTGAGCTTGCCTCCTCCAACCCCCTCAATTTATTACTGCCATGTCGTGGTGCAAAGCGCGCACCATTTGACAAGCCGTCTTTCTCCTCATTTTGTACATTCCTGTACACAGCTCTTCGGAGCGCTGCCAGCATGTCATGAGGGAGAGGCAGGGCATTCACATTTCCAAGTTCATGTTTCCAGCCAAGTATGCAACGCTCCTGATATGCGTTGACAGATGTCACGCTTGTTGTCCTTGGAGGGACGTGATGCAGAGATACTCTGACAAAGAGAAAGCAGGATTGGTTGCAGCAAGGCTGATGGGGTGCACAATGGTATGGCAGGCTCGCCGCGGCTGGAGGCGGAGTCAGCGGTGGACAGGAGGGTGGATGCCAGCACAAAGGAGCATCTGGTGAGCATCCGGGGCTGGCGCGGGTTCAACAACCCCTGGATGGTGGAGGATGAGGAAGATGTGGAGTACTCCTACATCAACCTGCTCATGAACCCCGAGCGCTACACCGGCTACCAGGTGCGAAAGCTTGCTAGGACCTAGTAGCGATTGATCAGATGCTCGTTGAGATCACAATCATGTCTTGGATATTTGTGCGTGTCACGTTGCGAAACTGTCAGACAGGTGAAATATGGATGTAGCTGGTGGCTTAAGAAGATGACATTCCAACCAGTGCTGGTTGGCTAATGTTGGTATCACCGTTGCAGCAGTTGAGAATGAGTCCGTGGGGTTGTCTGATTCAGGGTGAGCATGCGCACCGCATCTGGAATCTGATCTACTCCCAGAGCTGCTTCAGCAACATCACGGATCCGGATACATGCACCGAGCGCAGGGTCTTCTACAGGCTCATCTCAGGTGTGACTCCCGCTCATCCACAACACTTGATTGCCGAGCAATTCTCGAGATCTATGCATGCATGCAGCCTGGACAACAATTAGCCCTTCATTCTGTGGGGGTCATGCACTGCGCGCAAGCCAGCGGAATATATCAAGTCACAACACAGATCTCCTAAATTGGAAGTGCCTTGCATGCCTGCTTACTGCAGTCAGTCAGCTGACACCCTTTTTGTGACAAGAGTGTTGACGCGCGCAGGGATGCATTCGTCCATAAGCGCGCACATCGCGAAGGAGTATTTGCTGGATGAGAGAGCGGGCAGGTGGGGCCCTAATCTGGCGCTCTTCCGGGAGCGGCTGGGCAACCCAGGGGTGCGCGAGAGGGTGGAGAATCTATACTTTGCGTACCTTTTTGTGCTTCGAGCCGCGCTCAAAGCGGGCCCGCTGCTGAGGGAGGCCGCGTATGACACGGGATCGCCTCTGGAGGACGCGCGCACCTCCGAACTCGTGCGGAAGCTGGTGAGTGCCATGTCCCTGCTCCTTATCTGGATTTGATTCTTTTGGCTTGCTGTTCTGCCACCAGCGCTGTCTGCTGTGCTTGGTTCACCATTCTGATTTCTACAAAATGAGACACCACCTCTTGCAAGAAGTGTGCTTCAGAGTTGGACATGCTTCATTTCATCAGGCATGAATTCTTTAGATCATTGTGCTGTGCGCAGTCAGGTAATGCCTCACCGAAGGTTTCAGGTGAACAATTTGTTTCCATGCATGTGCAGGTGGACAGCGAGGCGGTGAAGCAGGCGTGCCCGGTGCCCTTTGACGAGGGGCGGCTGTGGAAGGGGGAGGATGGGGAGCAATTGAAGAAGCAGCTGCAGGCGCACTTCCACAACATCACCAAGGCCATGGACTGCGTGGGATGTGAGAAGTGCAAGCTCTGGGGCAAGCTCCAGATCCTGGGTGAGCGCCTCTCTGACATGGTGGAACTGCCGATGCTGTGCAACACAGCTCAGAGAGATAATCATGCAGACAACACCTGCAAAGCAGCGCCAGAGATATGAGAAATGATGATATTTATATGCTGCATTTGCATGCCTTTATGCACTTGAATGTTGTGTATTTGGGCATCTGCATGCATGCTTTTGGTGAAAATTACCACATAATAACGGGGCTGTGTTTTGTGCAGGCATTGCGACGTCTCTAAAGGTGCTCTTTTCAGCGGAGGACTGCACTGAATGCCAGTCGGCAGAGCCGCAGCTGAGGTTGGAGCGGAATGAGGTGATAGCCATGCTGAATTTGTTAGAACGGCTCGCAGCCTCCATAGAGGTGGTCAGGGAAATGAGCCTGCAGCTGGCAGACAGCGCTAATCACCCCAGGGGCCTGGGAGCGATTGAGGATGTCACCCACGAGTCCCTGAATGATGTGCTGCGGCAGAGCCTGATGGGGCATGCTTGAGTGAAAGAGTGGTCCAAAACTCATGTCAGAAAGCAGGGAGTAGCCTTGCCCTTGAACCAAAAGATCACCACCCAATTGGTCTGCATCAACAGTTTGCGACTGATGCGGTGAACCCGACTGAAATTCTTGAACGAACCTCCTTTAACAATAAAGTTGCAGGATGAATAGTTGTTAGTTCACCAGCGCCGCCTGTATAATGTGGCCGCAAGTATTGATTACAAGCAAGTACATTAGAGAATATCATGGATACATAGTTGACAAGTAACCCTTTCTGTTTCTGTGTAAGGTAGTGAGCATTGAGCATTGACAAGATTGCGCAACTCCATTCCCAGTGCACATGAGCAGAATAAAACATTCCTTTGAACACTACTCGTTACATTGGCACTGTAGCCTGCTCTCTGGCTGCAGCCACAGCATCCCGAGGCATGAGCGCCAGAAACTCTTTCAGCTTCACCTGACAACAACAGAAGCCCCTTCAGTAAGAAACCAAAGGTCATGCAGATCAAAACACAACAGGAGTTCTCCTTACACTTGTCCAAGCGCACCTGAGAAGCATCCACTGCTCTTATGGAGAAGTCCGAGAATTGTTTCTCTTGCGAGCCCCCCCTGGACCCTGGTCGCCCCATTGCATCGAAGTACTTGTTGTAGTCTATGCTGTCCAGGCACTCTATGATGTCCCTCGCTAACGCCTCCGCTTTCTCCCTAGTCCGGGCATCCTCGATGCCTGCATCAGTCACAGAGGATGACATTCCTGATGACAAGTGTTTCCCCGGCCTTCACATGTTCCTGTACAGCAAAGCACAGGCAGGCCTTCTGCGATGTCAGGGCAAGTTGCATCTGCAGCTTTTTAGCAGGTGAAGGGGCTCACTGTAAGCTGCATCCCTCAAGTTTGGTTCAGCGTTGTTGGGAGTGCCCTGAATACGCTGCAGAGCCGGGGACAGCTCATCCCAGCGCGCATCTGCCACAACTTCCCTCACATCTGTTAAGAGCGCCTACATCAAAGATGAGACACATCAATGCATGCACCATGACCTTATCATGAAGCATTGCGTCCTCATCAAGTTACAATGCTGCGCAGGAAATGGGAACAGCCAAGTGCAGTGGCTTCAGGAGCCAGACACCTGTATCCTGACGAGGGGTATGAGGTAGAGGAAGAGGGGCTTGGTGGGCTTGAAGATGCGAAGGCTGTCAGTCGGAACCAGCGCAAAGGCTCCCAGCGCCAGTGTCAGAGCTCCACCTATGAGCACCCGCCTCTGTTGTGCGCAGCCACAAACTTAAATCAGTTTCACCCTTCTAGATGCAGCTGCCAAACGTCACACGCTTCCATGAATGAATTGACAGAGGGCGGTTCTTGGCGGTCCCCAGATCTGACAGCAAGAACTGTGCTAAGCACACCTTGACGGTCTCGCCTTCCGACTCGCTGACTGCTTCTGTACCATCTGCCTCACCAGGCCCTTTGCCAATCAGGAAACTGACATCAGCCTCCCTGAGCCAGTTGTCCTTGTCTGCGCCTGCACAAAGACCAGATAGCAGTTCAGGTTGATGGAGAGCCGAAATTGAGTCAGTGCTGCAAGCTTGTAAGACACAAGCAGCCACACATCGCACCAGCAAAGGGATTGAGACGTTTGAGGTCTCCAGAGTCAATTCTGTTGGTCCGGATCGCATCTTCGATCTGGTCAACAGCAGCAACGTCTCCCTGCGCCAGGGCGTCAAAAAGAATGACCTGTGTAATCATAGGGGAACATAGAGTGTTTCTAAGCACTACCTAATGTATCGAAAACCACCTTTGCAACAGCCTCGGCCCTGGCCTTTGCGAGCTCCTTTCTGAGATTTGCAGCCTCTTCTTCGGCTACTCTCAGACGTTGCAGCACATCTTCACTAATTTCTCTTTTCGGGGATGTCCCATTCTCGCTGCGGGCAATATGTCTGCAAGGCTGCAGCTTTAACGGTGCTTGTCTTCCAGCAACGAATGGCCTGAAGCCTCCAGGAGCATGCAAGCTCTGCATTGCAGCTTGAATGGGGGAAAGGGAATCTTGGGAGACTATGAATGATGCATCATTCGCACATTCAAGTAGGTAGAACCTCGAGTCTCAATGTTCATGACGTGGCAGTCAAAACTATCAAATATGAATTCAGACCAAGACAGATTTGCCAGACATCCAGGACAGAACAGTGATGAATAACATCTTCAGAAAAGCAAGATTTGTAAAGCTTCCTGTGAACAAATAAAGCCGAAGAAAATCAACTTGCAGCAACGACACTGATGAAACAGTGCTAGCATGGCCCAATTCTCAATCTGATACCACGGCAAAGAATCGCTTGATACCCTTCTTCTCTTTCCCAACTTGGGCAGCTGCTAGTTTGACCACTTTGCAGACGCTGCTGCTCAAGCCCTCGCCTTCCAGCTGCCCATCCAAGACCCACTTCATTTGAGGTTGCTCAGCCACCCCTGCACTGCTCAACCCAGGGAGTTCCGCAGCCTGCAACAAATCCACAGGCCATCAAACCCCACATCCTGGACGCTTGAATCGTTGCATATACCGTAGTGTGTTTAGATCTCTAGAGAGAGCGTCAATTTTGGTGCTGCTGTGGTGCATTGCGACAAATAGCGTCCATCATGCAAGGAAGGTTGAACAAGTGAACAGAAACATGACATATGCAGCAATGTGCATTGTGGGCAGAGGGCTTGCCTTGACGACGAGCCTTTCCACATGCAGCGTCATGCGAATGTGGGAGAAGATGTGGACAATACTCCCCAAGTGCCTCCTCTCCTGCACTTGCAGATCTGCAAACCCGGCCCCCAACAAGCGGTCCAGCAGAGAGTCCACCTCCGCGCGACGCTCCTTCTCGCTGGCGTCTGCAGGCACTGCTATTGAAGGGAACTCCCACAAACCTGTCACGTTACACCACATTGCTGTAGGCCCACGTCCTGTTATCTGCCTCACAAGATGATGGAGGACACAGGGATTCCAACATCAATTGCTTCTGCACAGAGTCACATTGAGAGTAATTTTGCCCCCCACCTGCCAAAAGGCCCTCCTTGGGCCTTTGTACTAGCAGATACTGGCGGGAGGGCTCCTTTGCATCGGATGTTGCATGCACCTCGAGCACGCAGACAGCCACCGATTGTTCGCTTCTCTTCGCCTTCTCCACCTGAGAAAGAGCACACAACATAAGTAATCAGCATGGTCCGTCCTCACAGAGCTCCATGCTTGAAGACAACAGCTGCAGTGCTTAGGCTGCCAGGGTACCTTCTCCGGGTAGGCAGTGACACTGGGTGCTGTGGAGGGATCGCCCCCTGACACCCTGTGCTCCTCCACAGCTGCATAGGCCTGGCACTGCCCGTTGATGGGGCAGCCGGCGCAGTTGGGCGCCTGATGCACCGTGCACACTGTGGCGCCCAGCTCCATTACTGCCTGACACAGCCATTCATATTCCTTCATCAAGAATGCTTTGCACTACTACTACTACTACTTGCACGCCTCATGGAGTAGAGGAGCCGTGTGCTATAGCTATCGTGCGTCAGAAACTCATTATTATCCAGGAAAGCTGTGGTAGCTTGTACCAGCAGGATCGTTTCCTTGCATGCGATGTGCAAAATAACAAGCGTGTTGCTGATGCAACAATAAAGAGTGATTCCAGGACAAGAAATCAACAATTCACCACCTGGTTGAAGCAGCCAGGCCGCTGAGGATCGAGCAGAGCATCTGCCAAGGCTGCATGCTCCTTGGCAGCCGCACGTGGGTCGCCGGCCATGCGCCTCAGGCGCGCAATCACCCGCACAACATTCGCGTCCACCACTGCAACTCCCTCGCAGCATGCAATGGAGGCGATGGCGTTGCCTGTGTATGCTCCCACCCCTACACCCCCACAGGCATTCAAATTGATGATGTGAGAGAAAATTTGGCAGCTTCATGTAGCTTCCGGCTAACAATACAGAAGGCTGCTCTCCACTTGACCACAGCACTGGTGGAGCTTGTCGTGGCTGACCTGGGATTTTCTGGAGGTCTTTGGAGGTCTTTGGGAAGGCGCCGTCATGGTGTTCCATGACATACTTGGCCCCTTCGAGCAAGTAGCGCGCCCTCCTGTAGTACCCCAGCCCAGCCCACATGGCGTTGACCTCATCCAAGCTCGCCTTTGACAGCGCCTGCAGCCATCAAACAGCACATTGACCCCATGCACTGTTCAAGAGACATCAACCCGATACAGCACAGTGTATTGAACCCCCACTAATAAGAGCATGGCTCACCTCGACAGTGGGCCACTTCTCTGTCCATTTGTTGAAGTACTCTATCACGCGGGGCAGCTGGGTTTGCTGTGACATGACCTGCATTCATGGGAGGGTGCTTGAGTTTATCCAAGGAAACGTCCAACCCGAACATTGATGCAGGGTTGCTGGCGCATGGTGATCACAATCAAAGGCAATGGCTCACCTCACACACCCAAACGTAGTACATGAATTCATTGAGAGGCAGATCAGCTGGCGGGTACTTCAGACTGGGGTCTGTGACTGTGCGTTTGCTGTGTGGGTTACGCCTCCAAGGGAGCACGCGGTGATTGATGTCATACCATTCAAGCAGATTGCGGCGTATCTGTGTTGCCACATAGACATCTGAGGTTCCTCGATTAGCTGCTAATAGCAAGGAATCGATGCTTTGCTTGAATTCATATTTGACAGTACCTCTGTGATCTCCGAGTCTGAGAATTGGGGTGTAAGCTTCGAGGATGCCGCTGTGTTTCCTTCGAGACCTGCTTTTCCTTGGACTTTCTTTCCACTTTTTGCACGCGGTGGCATCGTTAGCCTGCCCCTTGTCAACAAGCCAGGTGCTACAGGGCCACGACTGGGAAACAGATTGATGAACTCTGATTATAAAGGGATGAAGTCCCAGTGGTCTGAATTTAATAAAATTATTGCAAGTACAATTGAATCAGACAGGATCAGTGCCAACGAAAATAAATCACTTCAGCAACAATTCAACATCGCAATCGTAGGCCGTACAGAAATACTATAGCCTTCAACGCTGCTAATAAATCATCGCAATGAAATTACTATCAGAACGATTATAGAAGAAGAAGAAGAAAGAAATGCACAAATTGTGCAGCACAATCTAGGAACCCCGCGATACAAGGATCGATTTAACAGAGAGAACATTTTGAAATTCTCATGAGGGCACGTGTCGGCAGCATGCATATGCAGGCACGCCGCAATCGCCGAGTCACCGAATCGTCTTGCTGACGGAGCCAGATTCCAGGAGCACACGATCCCAGATGGTCCTTTCGTGGTCGCATTCACTTTCACTCTGTCGTTAGTCACAGCTATGGAGACCAGCCGAGGTCTCTCGGAAAGCGGCCTGCAGGGCCGCGGACTCAAGAAGCTTGCGTCCCTTTTTGGCTTTGGAGGGAATAAGCGAAACGCCTCTAGGAATAGAACGCCTTTAAGCCGTCCTGAACGCCAGCAGTCGCATCCAGTGGCCTACGCTGGAGATGCGCCCGCTTTCTCCGAAGTCCTGCAGAGGCACAGTGCCCCCGAGTCACGTGTAGAACCTGCAGCGAGGGAGGGTGAGGCGAGCACGTCTTACGGCCTGCCGATGAATCTGAAGGACCACTTTGATCTTGGCCGCCCACTGGGACATGGTGGAAACGCTGTGGTCGTCCGTGCCATCTCAAGGCACACTGGCAAGGAGTACGCCTGCAAGTGCATCTCTAAGGTGCAGCTCCCTCCACTCTCTTGGAATTTATTAATCGCGACTACAGCTGCCTTTGGATTCCATCTAGCGCAACGCATCAAATGCCGGCTGCAGAAACATGTTGGGCTGTCCTTGCCTAGGTGTGACAGGGTCCGAGTTTCCAGCCTCTCCTGTGACTGTGCATTTCTTACAAAGCTCATTTGATCTGCAGGTACTCACGGACGCAACAGCTTCGCCACTGAAGAGAGCCGACCACAAGTTTGCCATCCAGAGGGAGTTGGATGCCGTCAGGAAGTTGAGAGGGGCGCTGAACATAGCTGCCTTTGAGGATGCTTACGAGGACAACGAACATGTGTACATCATCACAGAGCTCTGCAGGGGCGGGGAGCTCTGGCATCGCGTTGGAGACAAACACTACTCAGAGCGCACAGTGAGTTCCTGTCTTGCTGTGCAACGAGAACACAGTCACGCGCTATGCCTGGCATGTCACTGCCGGAATCAAGATGCAGGAGCACTTGGCTGAATGTTTGAGTCTGGTGCAGGTGGCAAGTTACATGCGAGCAGTCTTGCGGACGCTTGCACAGTTCCACTCCCACAGGCTGCTGCACAGGGATATCAAGCCAGGTGTGATTCATCTTCTTTTTTTAAATTTTTCTTCTGCTGTTGCATAAGTACATAATGCAATGCATTTTGCCAAACAGATGAGCTAAGAACTGAAGGCACATGTGGTGCAGGCAACTTCATGCTGCTGAGCGAGGATGAGCGGTCTCCTCTGAAGGCCATTGACTTTGGCCTGGCAGTGTCATTTGACGCAGAGCAGCTGCCCAGATCAGATCTGGGACTTGAGGGAACCCCCTGGTAAGCCTTGGTCTGACTGAGCTGGCCACATTATGCTCCTTGTTACCTTCTTATTGCCACTTTATTTACAAGAATATTCAGCAGAGAATGATGTGCGCTTGCATGGATGAGCTTGATTGACCTGTTCTAAACGTGATGCAGGTTCATGGCGCCGGAGGTGCTTAGCTCTGCAGTGGTGCCGGCCTCAGACATCTGGTCAGCCGGTGTCATGGCCCACCAGCTGCTGACTGGACGCTTCCCCTTCGATGACAGGGCCAACCCCGGAAGGCCCGCCATCAGCAAGATCTGGTGAGTCCCAATCATACTCTTCGGTGCATCTCAACGGAGTGGCTTTGTGGAGTTCTGGCATGCACCCACACGTAGGCTCTTGAGTTTGTGCCCTGGGCATGGCAACTGGCACATGAAAGAAGGAAAAACCTCTTGCAATGTGAAGGTGTGCTGTAGATCTTATTTAATGTAACAGGCAGTTTCTCACACAAGGGGATATGCGCCTCTGCAGGCAGTCAATCTTGCTGGACAAGCTGAACTTCAAGCGCAGCTGCTGGGACGGCATCAGCGACGAGGGCAAGGACTTTGTGGCGCAGCTGCTCAATAAGGACCCTGCCAAGCGGCCCACCGCCAAGGAGGCCCTGAAGCACCCCTGGCTGCGTGGCTCCGTCTCAGACCGCTCCACTGGGAAGCCACTCAGCCTCAAGGTTGTGCAACGCATCCAGGTGTGCCTCCACCCTCCTCCCGTCTCTGTCCATGACCCTTCTGAGAACAGGTGAAAGCAGTCTTCTCCAGTATCTTGGGCACAGCATGCTTCCTACAAGCTTACTTCTCTGTGAAGGTAGCTTTTGAGAATAGGGAAGATCATACTGAAGGCAGCTGTTAGTCTTGTTGTCCTGCTGACAACCTAGATAGGCAGGGAGTGTGTCGGGAATGATGTTGGATTTAACGCATGTATGAAGAGCGGTTTTGTGACACTTTCGCGCAGAGGTACGGCCAGTCGTCGCAGTTCAAGCGCACGGTGCTGGAGTTCATAGTTGAGGAGATGCTGGCCGCGCGCTCGGCAGAGCCAGCCGACGCCACCTCGTGCCCGGTGGGCAGGGGGGCAACGCCGGTGGTGACCAGCCCCAGTGACTCACCCCTGCAATTCCTGTACCAGCAGCTAGAGTTCAGCGACAGCGACGTCGTCGACCGGCAGCAGCTCTCCCTCGGCCTGCAGCGCCTTGGTGCGCAATTCCAAGCTTTATAGTGGACATCGTTGCTTTGGCAGGACGTGTTGCGCAGCAGTGGCCGCATGCATGTGCAGCTTGAGCTGGACCCTCTCATCTCATATTGACTGAGAACTGGGGGGTGTCCTGTTTCTGCCTTGAAGTCGTGCCTTTGAATTTGACCTGTGCAATTGAATAGTGCACAGGCAAGCGAGATCCCATATATTGGAGGAAAATACACACGCAAAAAAACAGGATACCCTGAAACAACTGCCGGTCATGATCAGGATTAGCTGGAGTAATTTGCTGTGTGGGTGGGGCAGGCTACAAGCTGGACACTGGGGAGGTGGACCGGCTGTTGGACCAATTGGACCTGGGCCACACAGGGCGAGTGGCCAAGGGGCAGTTTGCGGCCAGCCAGATTGACTGGGGCGCGCTGCAGCAGGACCATGCGCGCTGGCTCGACTGCGTCCGCCGCGCATTCGCCGAATTCGACGCTGACGGCGACGGCGTGTGCAGCGTCGACGAGATTGTCGCCTGCCTCAAGACCAAGCTGCCCCTCACAGAGGTGCGCTGCTGACTGGTTGCCAAATGACGGTTGGACTGGCTCGATGCCTTTGTCTTCACTTGATTCTTCTTCGCTGTGCACAGCTGAGTGGTTTGCCGGCTGCATTTGTTGCTCTATAATAGTTGTGTTGGTGGCTTTGCAAGAAGATCTTGAGCGGCAGTGATATGGGGCCCAGTAAAATTCCCTGGGGACTATTTGGTGAGACAGATTTGAGGAAAAACTTGAAAAATTGGGTGCATGAAATGCACAGGTGGCGCCGGCGTTGCGGCACGCGATGAAGGAGGCACATAAGAACGAGGAGAGCATGAAGAACGGGCTGAGCTTCGAGCAGTTCATGGTGATGCTGCGCGCCGACTCGCGCGAGTCCCTCGACCAGTACGACGACCGCACCGGCGGCTCCGGCCACGGCGGCAGCGCGCACGGCGGTAGCTACCGGGGCGGCAGCTACGGTGTAGCTGCCTTGCTGGACCGCTCGGTGCGCGCCGGCGAAGTGTTCCAGCCCAAGTCGCTGGATCCTGTGGCCGAGGCCGCCTGAAAGCCGACACGCCCTTTTTGGGCAGTTTACGGGAGAAGCCTGGTGATCTGTGCATGGGAGAAATGGCTCTTGAGATTCTCAGAGTGAAGGGTGCCTCTGAAGATGCCCATGATGAAAACCTAATGATTCCTCTGCAAGGGTGACCGGATGAGAATGGATGAATATCTGAGAGTGAAGTATGTTAGGAGGGAACCAAATAAAGGAAGCCAGGCGGCTGCTGCTTGCATTCAGAACCGCGCGAAAGCTGTGCGCCACAGGCAGTTGTGCTGCAGTACGCGTGAAGGCAAACAGTGCCGGCTTGCTGGGCTTTCCTTTAAAAGTTTGAATTTAGATGTGAGCAGAGAGCGAGGGAGAGCAGCTCCATAGATGAGACTGATGGCTGTTGAGATTTTGTTGATTTTCGCTGTACTGGTAGCTAATGTGTCACAATGTGCGATGAGAGAGCGTTGATCAGCGAACAATTTGATTACATTATGATCATCTACACATGACTCAAGACCAAAAATAATTGCAGTGCCCTGTGAGGCCATGGAAGTGTCCTTGTCGGCGCCTGTGAAGTGCCGCAGCTTTGGAGGAAGCCAGACATCCTTTCTGAATGGAATGGAATGAATGGTGCAGGATGTCTTAAGGACCTGTGCATCGTCTGAATGCATCTTGATTGCAATATTTGTTTGGTTATTATTGCATTTTCTACTCCAAAGCACATTGATGTTTACATTGTGCAACGTTGCTACTCATGTCGCTGTCAAGAGCTAATTGTAATTAGCCAGCTCAAATTGCCAATGACTTATTTCTATTTCTGTCTCAGGTATCAATACTATCTGCATATTTTCTCTCAAATCTTCAACACAGTTCTTGCGCTTAAGCATCAGACTTGAAGCTTGAAGAGCATCGCCAGGGGCATTGCTGCAGAGCTTTCCAGTTTTACAATGCCCAAATGTTTGTCATTGCTTCACAAACGATCCTCACATCAGTGGTGCACTGCGCACTTGGTCCAATAGCCACACGTAGCGCCAGAGCTTGCGGTGAACATTGGGGTGCAGCCCGACTTCCTCTGCAGTCTCTGGCAGCTCTCCTCTCATATTAAGCTCGCTTACAATGTGACCAACCTGCCACATCAACACAGCACACGTTTTAAACAACGCAGCACTCATAAGGGAACTTGAAATGTCAACATGGCCAAAGGTCAGCTTGAAGTTGTCCCCAGTAGGCAAAGGAATGACAGGACCGCACCTCTCTGCGCAGCTTAACAAGCTCAAACACGGCCGCTTCACGTGAAAGCTGTTCATCTTCCCAGCTCGCTTGGAGTGCCTGCACAATATACAGTAGCATTGTTCAAGGTTGCAGAGTCTCGTTTATTGCATATTGGCGGCCTCAACTTCCTGAGCAGGTCAATTCAACCTTGCTGGAGGGTGAGAATGGACCATACTTGGGTGTGTTGTTTGGGCTGTTGTGCCTGTTGGGTAGCCTGCTGCTGCTGCTTCCGCTTTTGCCAGCGGAGCTTCTGAGCGCGACTCATTTTTAGCCTGGTCTCCTCATCTATTCTGCGGCCCAACCGAGCATGCGCCATTTTGCTGCGGGTGGCTGCATCACAGTGAACTTATTATTAGATAAAAAAATTTACCAACAAACATGTGGGACCTGTAAGTCCAGCTTATGCATGGCCTTCCTCCTTGAGAGGTTTCACCTCTAAGCAATCACCACTCATTGGTCACCACAAGGGAATGTTGTCCCTCCACAACATTTATCAACAGGGCTTTGGGCACTTACTGATAGAGTGCTGTCTTCCCCTATTTGCGAGGCTGATCTTCTCTCGTGTCTCGTCAGATACCACTTTGGGATTTGCTTTCTGAGCTGCAGCGATCTTCGCCCTGTGTTCATCAGAGAGTTGCCTAGGCCTCTTCTCTTTCCAGCTCGCAGCCATTCTGGCTTTGGTCTCATCAGATAATTTCCAAGTCCGCTTCTTCCCAGTTGTATCTCCCCGGGGACGCTTTTCCCAGGCAGCTACCAGCTTTGCCCTGTGTTCATCACTGCACAGCAAAGGGGCATTGCTGAGTAGATAACAAATGACCACAGCCGGTCTTCTACTTGCTTGGTGGTCAGGCAAGACATGGGTTTGGCGTGCATGCAGGCACCTGAACACCCTCTTTTCGGTCTTTTTCAAGTCTTCTGATGCCTCCGCATCGTCATCCCGTGCACCAATTTTTCTGTCATGATCTGTAGGTGAGAGAGTGGCTCCCCTTTGTTGAACCTGGCAAGTCCAGGCCTTTGGACATCGCGTTCTGTGAACACCAGAAAACAATTTTTTAATCATCATCGCCTCATTGGACACGGTCCCTGGCTCCTAGAAGTGTTCCTGTCTCAGAAAACGCCCTTGGTTGTGGTAGGGAGTGGCCCGTAAGGATCCTGCCTGTGAGTTTCTCTTGATCGGAAGGGTGGTCTGTTCGATCCAATAGAGTAGGAAGAATAATGCGTCCAACTCAGCTGCAGGTGCATGACTCCATATCAGCTAGCATGTACACATCGAAATTGTATATCCTCTATGGATCCCATATGTGCAATTGCATTAAAGCCATCACCTCCATAAATCTTGACACAAACACAATTTATAATTTTTGGAATCCAGGAACATGAGTGAAGGGTCTTTCAAGCAGAATCGAATGGCTAATCCTTGCTGAGTCATCAATGGCCCACCTCCGAGCGCCACCCAGTCCGCTACCGACACCATTCTGATGACAATTGACTTGGGAACCATCAATAAAGATATACGTACTCCTGTAGATTATCAAGGAGCTCACGATACGACCCAAAAATGAATCTGAAGGCCAGGACAAACCTTCTTTCCGGCCATGTCTAATTGCCTTCTGCACAATCTTGACCATCTCCTGATTGATGTCAATGCAACAATGCAATGCTGGAATGTTCAAGTTGCAAGGAGACTATTTGAGGCCCAATTGCCAGCTGATTAATCTACGAATCTTTGCAAGAGGTGCAGCATCGCCTCCAGTTGCAACTTTTAATAGAAGCAGGAGGACAAGCATTGGCATTGCCAAACGCAGAGCTTCAACATGTCTGGCATCACGAATCGCAGTGGAGACAGTTGATGACTTTCCACCCTATTTGGTGACACACTCTAGCCTAACAGTACTGGGCATGTCACGAATATAGTACTCACTCTTAATGCCTGTTGCCCGAATTTGTCCCACTGGCCAGAATTGGATTGTCTGTCAGGTACAACTGAATATCGTGTCATTGATATTTCCATCGTTCCTGCGCAGGAAATCGAATACAACCCGGTGAGAAATGCAGCATATTGGAACCTGAGGCCTGTTCTTGTGATCAGCCGGACCCTAGAGATTGGTGAGCCTACGCTGAGCCTCTCAGATGCGCAAGCGACAAGCCATGTGCTGCCAAAGTACCCGTCATCCTCCGTAGATAAAGTGTTCAAGCCTCTGTGTTACCTCTGCAGTGACGCTTTTCGCACAGTGGTACATCCAGTTGAAATGGCAGCGAGGGAGAAGTATGGAGGAGGTTGACAGCCAACAGGTGATACTTCTTCTTCCACTTACTTTACCGCAGGGCTTGCCTTTACCGGGGCGATTTTTCTTGGGGCATGCAACACTCTGCGCTTAAATTGAAATTTTACAAGGAATGTTGAGGGAAAGGAGCATGGTGTGTCCCAGGCGGAGAGATTGAGGGAGATCTTGACAAGATTGGGGCCGGCCTTTGTGAAGATCGGCCAGGTGAGTTACCATCAAGTTTCATCAGAACTCTTGAGCTTACACAACAACTTGCATGGGGGCAGGCTCGGGGGACGTGCTTTTAATGGCATCAGCTCTGTTGCAGGCAATCTCATCCAGGCCTGATGTGGCGCCCCCAAGCTACACACAGGAGCTGGAGAAGCTGCAGGATCAGATCCCGCCCTTCCCCACAGAGGAGGCCATGGCAGTCATGCAGCGGGACATGGGCCAGTCCCCATCGTCAGTGTTTTCATACCTCACCCCACAGCCAGTCGCAGCAGCCTCGCTAGGCCAGGTGCAGATCTTTGTGGCTGCACCAGTGTCATATCTCTCAATCTTTGGATGGCGCTGGCCCCCAATTTACCAATCTCCGCTTGTCTTTTGCATCACCATCTCAAGGATAAGCTTTGGAATCTGGGCTCATCTGCCAGAACAATAGAATAAGATCGAGTGTCAGCATGGCTGCTTCATCTTTGTAAGCCCTGTCACAGCAATCCTAATCAGCAACGGCAATTACCAAGCAGCATTGGGGGCTGCTGACCAGGGCATATGCCGTTGCCTTGCATGTCCCAGGAAGCTGATGCAGCGGCTGTGGCTGGTGGCACAGGTGTACAGGGGGCAGCTGCGCAGCGGAGGGCGTGAGGTGGCAGTGAAGGTGCAGCGGCCGCTGGTGAGGGAGAGCATAGCGCTGGACATCCACATCCTGCGCATCCTGGCAGCCTTTGTGCGCAGGTGGCGCCGCCTCAACAGCGACCTGCCGGCGCTGCTGGATGAGGTGATGAGCGACTCTACATTTTGCTGCAAGTTGCCTCTTCTATTGCCTCCAATACCGGGTGATTCTCATGTGCATTTCCTTTGGTTTGGACAAAATCAATTTGGGATTTGATTGGTATGTGTGCTGGGGTGCGGCAGTGGGCAGAGAGTCTGTTCAGGGAGCTGGACTACAGGAAGGAGGCGGCCAATGGCATCCGTTTCAAGGAGCTCTATGGGAATTTAGAGGTAAGAACGCATCCTTCATTGCCCCTGCCCAGCTTACTAGTGTCTGTTCAAGCATTGCGTGTCAACTTATCTGGTCCCTTGCATCGGTGGAGGAAGTGGAATGACCGCACAGAGTGGAGAAATATCATGCATGTATTGCTGGACGTACCTAGATTCTGGATCTCTAGGAACTGAAAAACGTGTAGAAACAAGGTCTAGTTTGCAGTCTCAGAGACGGTGGTTGTTGTGCGGTGGCTGCAGGGTGTGTATGTGCCGGACATGATACTGGAGCACACAACACAGAGGGTGCTGGTGATGGAGTGGGTAGAGGGGCGGAGGCTGCGCAGGGCAGGCAAAAATGGGGAGGGCCCATCGGCTGCAGAGCTGCAGGAGGACCTGAAATTGGTAGAAATTGGAGTGCAGTGCAGCCTGGAGCAGGTAAACTCTGTGCACCTTGCTGTTTCCTGAAGGTCTTGTGGGTAAACTCACTCCCCTTCTGCTGCACAAGAATTCTGGTTTGTGCTATTGCTGGAGTCTAAGAGTGTCATGTGACCTGTGCAGATCCTGGAGGTTGGCTTTCACCATGCAGGTGGGGAAGTTTGACCACATTGATGAAGTCCAGTGGATGCAGGACTCTTATATATTCCTGTGCACGCTCTGGCCTCAGATGATTTCTATGTGGGGCACCTGATTGCATGATATGCAAAGGAGGGATGCTTGAAGGCTTGTTTGCCTGAGCATTACGCATGCATGGCATGGCATGGTGTGCCAGAAAGTGGCTTTGTGTGTTCAGATCCTCACCCGGGCAATCTTTTGCGATTGGAGGGCAACAGGCTTGGGTACATCGACTTTGGCATGATGGGCAACATCGAAGGACCCATTCGGAAGTGCGTCCCCTGTCTCTTCTGTCCACCATGCATGCCAACGTCAGCACACAGATTTTGCAATAATATCAACCGCAAGAAATATGGACGCCAAACAGTTGAAGTGCCACAGGGGCCTGATACGGGCCACTCTGCACATGGTGAACCGCGAGTTTGGGGCCCTGGCGGATGATTTCATCACACTGGGCCTACTGCCACCCGGCGCTGACAGGTACCTTGTCTTAGCATTGCAGACAATTTTAAAGCCAGCTGCACCGCACTGTTTAGTATTCTTCATTACTAAACAGATGTTTACTTATCATTAAAACCCTCTACATTGCCATGACTGTTCTGGCATCTTGTCATCTTCCATGTGCATGCTCGCGCCATTTTTAAAGCTTCTGGTCAGCTGCGCTCCTGGGCACCCTTTATTTCACCCTCCAGGTTGCCATGAAATCCTGGCATCTCGCCGTGTCTCTGTGTGCCTTGTTCTGATGCGCATGCAATTGCTGTGCCAGGTCTGAGGTGGTGCCGGCGCTCACGAATGTGTTCTCAAAGGCGCTGAAGGACGGGGTCTCCAATGTGAGCTTCTCCACGCTGAGCGCGGACCTGGGGCAAACCATGTACGAATACTCATTCCGCATTCCCCCCTACTACACCCTCCTCGTGCGCAGCCTCTCCGTCCTCGAGGTCCGCCACTTTTCTACCTCTCACTGTTTTCCTCTCTACTATTGATATGACGCTGGTTCTTAATGGTAATGTGACTCTGATTTTTCAAGTGCGCATGCTCATGCAAAGGGCCTCTCTGTCCTTGACATCCGTTGCTTTTCCGCCTGCTTCACTGGTTACCTGGCTACTGCTGACATGACACTGGTCTTAATTGTGTTGTGACGTTTAGATTGGGAGCCTGCATGCATGCTCTTGCAAGATTGCCTGAGATAATGGGTTGCACCAGATGCTGCACTGGGTTGGTCCAATTGCAAGGTTGCCACTGGTGCATACTTGCTCACAGATTTTGCGCTACAAAGTCCTGCTGCTAGCTGCCACTCCTCATTGACTGTTGTGATGTGTCAACAAATTGCTGGACTTGAGGGTAGCGACGTACTATTTACAGCAAAACAAGATCTTACTCAGTGTCTGGCACTGTGCCTGCAACTGTCGCTAGGACGCAAATGCCATTGCTTCTTCCACAGGGGATAGCGCTGAGCGCGGACCCGAACTACAAGGTGCTGGGCTCGACGTACCCCTGGATCGCGCGCCGGCTGCTGAGCGACAGCAGCGCGGAGCTGCAGGAGACGCTGCGCGCTCTCCTCTACAAGGGCTCCCGCTTCCAGTTCGGCCGCCTCGAGTCGCTGCTGCGGCAGGCCGTCCGCTCGCCGCCGCGCTCCACAGTCGCCTCCGGCGCGCGCCCCGGTGCCGAAGTCTCCCCAGGTGCGGCGCACCATGTCACAACCCTCTGCCGCTTGTTTGGCGCCTTGATCAAACAGAAACTGCAACCAGAGGCATCTCACTCCATCGCAATGGCTGGGATTTCCAGCCCGGCTGGCAGTCCAGCAATGATGCTGGACTGAAAAATTTGGAAGGGTTTGGACCCTTCTTCAGCCAATTTGCTTGACGGACGGTGAGCCGGTGGTTGTGTCCAGGGAGCTTTCCGGGGCATCTTCAGCTTCCCCGGAATTTTCAGGATTGCACAGGCCACTCTGGACTCACAGGTGTGTATCAATGTGCTGCAGGCAGCAGGGCGCTGGAACTTCTGCTGGGCTCAGAGGCTGGCTATGTGAGGGACATAGTCACGGAGGAGCTGGCCAAGGGGCTGGATGCTTACTGGCGCCTGTCGGCGGACGACGCGCTCGACGCCGTCCGCGCCAACCTAGTCACCCTGCTCAGGGTGCGCCCACCTGCCTCCTTTCATTTGCCTTCGCTGCTCACCCCTCCGCTGCTCGCAAAATGCTCTTTGATATTCGTGCTTGAAGCCAACATCGAGCGTTAAGTTGCCTGTCATCAGCAATCTGCATGCATACCAGGCTGCCTGATTGGCATCCTCTAACACTGTGCCTGGCACCCTGTGTTTTTTCAGTACCCAGGCCCATATTGCAGTCACGTGAGCAATTCCATGTGAGCAAATGTCAAGTGAGCATTCCTGTGCATGCACTTGTCTATCTTGCATATTCATGTCTGGGTTCACGTCGGCAGATGGAGGGCAGGCCGGACGCAGCGGCGGCTGCGGCGGCCGGCGGCGCCGTCGGCGGCAGTGGGCCGGCTGCGGCGCTGCTTGAGGCTCTGCTGGCGCTGCCGGACCTGTCGACGGCGGAGGACCGCGAGCAGCTGGCCGGCATCACCTCGCTGGCTGCCGCTCTGCAGGAGCTGGCCGCCTCCGCCGACGGCGCGGCCGGCCCGGGCGCCGCGCCGCGACGGGATCCTGTTCCAGACTTTCTGCGACCCCTGCTCCCTGCACAGGTGCCCTTCCTTGTCCTGGTGATTGTCTTTCTTGAGTTGCATGGAGACACACCGCCTGCTGATCAAATATGGCTGCACAGCCAAGGCCAGGATGTGGACAATGCAAGAGGAGCATTGTGTCGTCCATAGGAGGCATTGGCTGTGTGTCCTTATGCTGGATGGGGAATGCTTCTCTTACACCTTGAGAAGCATCTGCAGCTAGAGTAAAATATGTGATGTTGCCTTCCTGTGTTCCTGACAATGGTTGCGCTGCGTAAATTATTAGTATTTCTTTTCTGCAAGCAGGAATGCAATTTATGTTGCTGTGTCATGAGCAGGCTTCCGAGGTGGCGGCACTGCTGCAATGGCTTGGGGCAGAGCTGCCACAGTTGCCCGATGCCGAGCGCATAGAGGCGATCAGGTTGGCGCCACTTCTTTACTGCCTTCTTGATATCTGCTTGCCTCGCTCACAGTTAGTATCATAAGCATGCAGGGTTCAGAAGGACAATGGAAAGAATGCATTTGCAGGTTGCCAATCCTGCTGGGCGCAAAGGTGTCGTCGCGCATAGCGGCCAGGGCGCTGCGGGCCTTCCTGCTTTCCCCGGCCCCGGCCAGCGGCAGTGCGCAGCCCGTGACCCCGCCAGTCCCCGAAACCAGAGCCACATCCTCCCGTGTCACCTCCCCCAGGTCACCTCCCCTTAATTTTTCCCCCTCACTCTCTGACCCTCCACCCCTTGGAGTGCTTCCATTACTAGCAATCTGCCTTCAACTTATTATTGTTATTATTATGATTACAGTGTCGGCAGACCCAAAGCCCGAAGGCCATAGGGCATACACACAGAGTGTCTGCAGCCACATCTGTGGGGCCTGAAGGTCTGGTCTGCAGCCCATATGGTATCATACTAAAAGTCTAAGTCCAAGTGAGGCTTCAACAGATGCACGATGCTGTTCTACCTCCTCAGCCGCATCTTGCTGCAGACGTTGTTCTGACTTGACCAACAAGCCCATTGGTATTTACTGAGCCTTTTGGGGCTTGAGTGACTTTGTGGTGTCATGTGCAGTCCGGAGAGCAGCGCAGTGCGCGCTGCAGCCATGCAGCCCTCCTCATCCAAGCCGGATGACATTTTTACCCCTCCAACCGCTTCTACTCCCCTGCCGCCAACCCCGGGGCAGCCAACACCGGCTGCCTCGCTCAACAGCATGCCCGGCAGAGCAGACGCGCGAGGAACCGCCGCAGCATCATCGGTTGCCGCAGCTCCGGGTACAGCAGCAGTCGGTCCATCCCTGCGCTTTGACGCTGTTGATAGTAACAGCAATGGGGCTGGCCCCGTGCGCATGATCTATCAGGGGAATGGCAAGGTCGGCAGTTAGTGTGAGAGGACCTCATCAGGCTCGTTTAAGGGCGCAGGCTTGACAAAATTAGTGAGGAGAGTAGAGACTTTCTTGTTTACACGCAGTGAGGAAGTATGCAGGCGCTTGAGCTCAGCTAGACGTGCGTTTAATTTGGTTGATACACTCCAACCATGCACATTTGTAGACAGGGATTGCTGCCGCATTGGCACTGACTTGAATCACAGCAGTTCCTTGTTGCCAGTTGAGGTCCTGTGACTTTAAACAGAATTTTGTCTGCAACCAGCACGATTGGACATGAGGATTCCAGGGATTTGAACCAACTGAGAAGGCATTGGTTTGTACTTGCAAGGATGTGGCAAAATTCCCCTGTGCACTCTGCCTCACATCGCCCCATGCTAGCAACCTTCGGCCAGGCATGGTGACAACCTCAACTATTTACAGAAGCTTGGCGTCTAATCACTGTCAGTGATTCACTGTGTCAGACTTTGACTCCTCACTCAGTCTCATGATAGGGACGGTCATGGGATGCAGCAGCTGCAGGTTCCACACTGCAATCTGACAATAAACCTCCGGAGCCCCCCTCGCAATAGAGCAGCGCTCTCAATAAAATAGGTTACAAAATCAAAATTGTTCCTGCAAACAAATGCCATGCATCTTGGAACCGCACTGTCCACTCAAACATCATAAGAACATCGATGTTCATGAAGTTCATGATCATCATGTCTGTGACGAAGCAGTTGTATCTGCTTGAAGTCGCTCTGACAGCCGCCACTTTATGTGTTGCTGGATCAGATTGATAGCCACAATATTCTCCAAGCCACGCGGTACCTAAGGCATGCGGCACAAGAGCATCAGACACCATTCACAAATGTGATCACCATTCACTAGGAGACAACAATTGCTCCAGCACAGCTATGTAATTCCCTTTCTCAGGGACTTCATGGGATATCAACTCAAGCGCGTTGCAAACTACTTTCAACATTGCACGGAGGCAGGTGCGCACAATGATGTGTGCGAACTGCTTTGTCGGGAGTATGAATTGCGCAAAGCTCGGCTTCACAGTCCTTTCGTACTGCTCCAGGACATGCAGCACATCCCTCTTCCTCTCCACGAGATCTCTCCTGATCCTGTGGATCAATTTTGACATCTATTAATTTCTGCATGCGTACACAAATGAGGAAGACCAGGGGCTTGACGTAGGGACAGTGCAGTGTGTGCAATACCAACCTTCGTGCCAGTCGTGTGTCATCATCGACATCCACAAAGAGCATCAGATCAAACAGCTCCCTCAACTCTACACATGCACCAAACTGTCAATCAATTGAGAATTCGGCTCTCTCTCTCACAGGAGCAAGCAAAATGCAGAATTGAAGCTCATAATATCAAGCTGGGACATGCTGACAAAGTATACCTGCACTGTAGAACGCAAGAATGCCATCAAACAAAACAACGTCGGCACTTTGCACCGGGACGGGCTCGGCCTTTCTGGAACTGGTCACAAAGTCATACTGGGGGATGAGGGCCGGGCGCCCAGCCTTCAGGTCCCTCAAAGTTGCCACGATCTCGTTCCATGCGAACGCCTGAAACACCCCCCAAGCTTTTCACTGCGCGGTCAAGAGTGAGGGACACGTTGCAGCGCCTCAAGCTTTGGCTGAGTACATCACTATCAGCAGGTGACAGACGTGTGCAGAGACACAACTGATCGGAGGAACTAGCCTTTGCATGGACCTCACTGAGATATAAGGTGTACCAAAGAGCATGTAGTGTGTGCTCACCGAGGGATGGTCAAAATTGAAGGCGCTCATGTTAGCCTGCTCATCTGGCGTAAGGTCCCTGTAGAAGTTGTCTTGAGCGACATGCAGGAAGCGACTGGTAGACTGGTCCTGGTCAGAGGAATCAACGATGACATCAGGACAATATCAGCCATTCTCCGACTGAGCAGGAAAGTGCAAAAGGGACAAGGTGCTTGTCGCACCTTCACGTCTTTCCGAAGCTGCTGCATGATCTTTTCACCTGAAGCATGGGAGAATAATATCATAAATATGTGTTTTGACACATTCAAGCCCTGCACACATTCGAGAGAGTGTTCCTGGAAGGCTTACACACAGATGTCTTCCCAGAAGCGGTTCCTCCAGCAACTCCAATCAAGAATGTCGTGTTGGCTCCTGTGCACAGCTTCAACTTAGGGAAAGACATCAAGCGTCATCAGTAGCTTGACTGATTTGCAGGGCATCACTTCTCACCTTGACGCAGTGGTGATGGTGGAGGGGGGCCCCCTATATCACTGGGTGCCTTTCTGGGAACCAACCCCGCCTTGAATTCATCGTCTGTGCCTGTTCTAGTCTGCATCGTGGACATTGGCCGTTGGAATCGGATGCTAGTGTTGTTGGGCTTCACTTGGAGTTGAGCATGAAAACAAAACCTGCTGGCTGACAAGCTCAGCTGATATTTGCAAACCAAGAGCATATCCCGGTATGTTTATAGTCCTAGCTCACTAGGTGAGATATATATCGGGTGGCAGAGGTTTCTAAAATACCTAGGCTGCGAACAGAGGCACATGCACAAGTAGATCGCGGGACCATTTAGCCTTGATGCGAAGATCTAAAGTATCAGAACTCATACTTTAGAGCTAGAATGGACCGGCAGATTGAGATTGGATGGGGCCTCAAGCTGTTGACATGAGATTCATGCTGAACTGGAATGCTGACACATCATCCAAGGTGATAGCTTCCACCAACATGTGATCGTTTCATCGGTAATTGCAAAAACTTTCAGAACTCGTGTAAGGATAGAAATCTCTATAAAGTGCAACTGCAAAGAGCGCCTTGAATTGCATGCGGTCATGACAACGTCGGCTGGTGCCCAACTCCTGCTGGCTCAGGCCAGTCAGCAGTATAGAGGCTCACACGTTGCACCATTCAGAGCTGGAGGGCATCGACTATTGAAATCTTGCAATTCATATGGTATGGTTTCAGCTTTGCAATTCATGCACTCCACGATACGACGAAAGATCGCCAGGCAAACGGCTTAGCTACAGGAATTATCCTGCCTGCCAGAGACTTGCTAATACACATGCACCATGCATTCCTGATTCGATTTGCATATATGGAATCTCCAATTGCCTTGGCGTCAACGTTGAGCCTGGATATGGGTACAGCAGGCCTAGTAAAATCTGTCAAACTTTGTCTGTATACACCCCCTACAAGGCTCTCGAGACAAAAATGTGCATTATAAAGGTCTTAGATCCTCTTCAGGGGCCTGAACGGTGGATTATACATGGTTGCAGGCAGTGGATGCAAGCCGCTGCAGGTGAGGAGGCGGCAGGTGCTGGCAGCAGCCGGGGCAGAGGAGCAGGAGAGTGCAGAGGAGGCGTACCAGAGGCGGCTGAGGGAGAGTCAGCGGGTGGAGGAGCGAGTTAACGTCATCTTCAGCGAGCAGGAGTTCCGAGATGAGCTGGAGAAGGCATGCTGCCTCCCTCTTCACTTGCGCTTCAACTGACCGTGTCTTCTCTGTAGCGCTCTGTAGTTGAATCGACAATATCAAATCACACCAGTCTCTGCTGTCGAGCGCTTCATTTTTTATAGACTGGCGATGATGTATTGATTCAAAGAGCACGCTGCTGCAGGCTGGGCATGAGTTAGTGGTGCTGGAGGTGGAGTCCTACCAGATGTGCGAGTCAGGGCTGGGCCCAGAGGCGGAGCTACACTGGGAGGAGGACAAAAAGGCCTCCCTCAGCCGCTGCGCCAATCTGAAGCACGTCTTCGCCCGCACTGCGCGCGACTGCCCCGACGTCACTTTCCTCACTCTGGAGGTGCAGTCTTGGGCCATCCTTTGTCCTTCACTTTCAAAAAAATTGCACCTCAGGCGTGGCTCCTTAAATCTTGGGGTGCCCTCTTCTTGGGAGTGCAGGATAATTCCAATTGCAATGGTGCTGGACTTCCTTTTCAAGAGATCTGTGTATCTGCAGGCGGACAGTGAGGAAGGACAGGCAGCCTGTGATGCACTTGGGGTGGAAGTGTTACCGACAGTGCAATTTTGGCGGGATGGCAAGAAGCTGTGGGAGCACCGCGGCATTGTCCAGCTGGAACAAGATCTGGGTGAAGGTAATTGGCTCCCTCTGCCTGATTTGCTGAAGGCTGATCTAGAAGGACCTGATTGAAGTAGGACCTTTGAATGGTCTGTATGAGCATGTTTAGCCATAGATCCTCCATGAAGGGTGACAGATCTTAATCTGAAGCAAGTGTACAATGATTTCTGCCATGCAATCAGCGGCTCTATGATACGCTGCGCAGGTGTCTTGTTCTATGGTGACTCAATGGCCAACGGGGTGAAGGCCAGCTCATTTGTGGGGGTGAGCGACCTGCCCAATTTGTCCCAGTTGCCCTTGCAACTCTGTGTTACCCCTTCAGAACTGCGCCAGCATGAAAAGTGCAGAGCATCTGTCTGTCTTTACAATGCGGATTCAGCAGCGGCTCATGCCACGCTGTGCCCAACAGGAGCTGAAGGGCAGAGAGGACTTGGAGAAGTTTGTGCAGTCACAGCCAGACACCGTGCTGACAGTGGTTAACGTGAGCTCCAGCAATGCAACCTCGTGCGTGCGCGTTTTTGCGGCGATCGCGGCCCTTGCAAAGAGCTTCAAGGGCTACGCGGCCTTTGCGCGGCTGCTGTACGACACCTCAGACGAACTCACGCAGCTGGCCAGGGAGTTGAGGGTTGTTGAGGTAGGCTTATTTTTCCAACTGTACTGCCATTCCTTGGTTGTTCTCCTCTGACAATGCAAGTGCTGAGCAAAGGTAGTAGGAGTTGAGTGCTGGGGTTAACGGAGATGCTCTGGTAGAAGGGTCATGGACTTGCAGGGCTGACCTGGTAATCCTGGTTGAGTCAGCGGTGATTGGATGCGGATGTGGTGCAGGACATGCAGGGTTCTGCGTATGCTGTCAGGAGCTCAAAGCATGCCCTCTTTGTCACGAGCTATGAGAGATCCTATGTTGTTGTGTGCAGGTGCCTACGTTCATCTTTTACAGGGGTGGCAAAGAGGTGGGCCGCCATGTTGGAGCCTCTCGTGCAGACCTGATCGGACAGATCCTGCAGCAGCAGAACGCTCTCGGCATCGCTCCGCCGCCGCCGCCAGTCGCAGCTGGAACGCCCCGGCGCCGCACCCCTGCCAATGCGTGATCAAGGGAGAAAGTATCACACTCAGTGCCAATTTTGGAAGAGTGGCTTGCGCATTGGTTGCTGGGGACTATTCTGGGCATGTGGAAAGAAATTTGTTTGCATGGGTGGGAGTTGACCTCTCCAATGCAAAGTGAGATATTGGGTACCCGTGCTAGACCTGTGCCATACACAGCTCTGTGCTATAGAAGTGCTGAAAGTGTTGGTGAGTGTTCTGATACACATATTTGTATGCGTCAAATGTAAATGAGTACAGCGTTACTCGACCCAGGGATGGTTCAAAACTCTCCTCTATACAGATCTGAGGGAATTGTTCTAATGATGGATCCTCCACAAGTGCATCTGACCACCATGGATTTTGACAGTCAATGACAGCTGCAGAGAGCCTAGAGCTGAGTTTACAGAGCAGAGCTTTGTGGACTGGGCCATTCCATTACCGGACACAGCTACATGTTTGGAATTACAGCAGCACAGCTGTGTACTAAACCTACAGCATGGCATGATACACCCCATTTCCCCAAAACAAGGATGGGTCATTGAGAGCTGAAAAGACCTTGCAACAAACATGCAGAACTGACACTGTGGACACCATCTAGGCCGAAGGGGCTATCATGAGCTCTGGCCGCACGTAGGAATGGAAGTCTTCCTCTGTCAGGTATCCCAGCGCCAGAGCTGACTCCTTCAATGTCGTCCCCTCCTTGTGAGCTTTCTTTGCGATCGCTGCCGCCTTGTCATAGCCAACCTGTGCAATCAACACCAGCCATCGTGCCATTGCTGGCGCTCGCACTAGTAGTATGCCTTCCCTCACTTTGGCTTAACTGCACTCTTTGACCCCATTCAGCTGTACTGCAACAAAGCTGCGCTGCTCAAAAATCCCTAAGGAGACAGCAGTGGACTATTGGAACGCATGCAGAAGCAGACGTGGGGAGGGTCAGAGCTCTCAGCTCACCTTGTTGTTGAGGGCGGTGACAAGCATGAGGGACTCATTGAGCAGCTTGGCAATCCGCTTCTCATCGGCCTGGATGCCGACGACGCAGTTTTCTGTGAAGGAGGCACTGGCGTCGCCCAGAAGGCGGACGCTCTGAAGGAGCGCATTGATGAGCATGGGCTTGAACACATTCAGCTCAAAATGTCCGTTCGAGCCGCCCACGCTCACCGCCACATTGTTGCCCATCACCTGCACATCCACCATTGCAGCGCTGATCAACCCACTGAATTCCTTCGCCCTGTGCTAGCATGCCTTCAGAGCATAGGTTCCTTGAATTTGTGAGGTCTTTAGGGTGCTCAAAGAAGTCCTGGCTGACAATTTGCACCCCGTGGGTGACATCGCAGCATCCGGTGGCATCGGAGCTCGTATTATTATAATCACCAGACATGAAGATTCTCAAGACATGTGTTTGGTCTGTGCGAGGCTTTGAAGCAATGTGTGCGGTGAGGCAGCAGCTTAGGGGTGGGGTGTCACCTGGGCGCAGACCATGGTGAGGGCCTCACACTGCGTGGGGTTGACCTTGCCGGGCATGATGCTGCTGCCCGGCTCATTCTCTGGCAGCTTCAGCTCTCCCAGCCCACAGCGCGGCCCGCTGCCCAGGAAGCGGATGTCATTCGCCACCTGCGCACGCCCATTGACGCTTTCTGCCTCGATAAGGTGTCAGCCCAACAAGCTATAGCAGCCATCAGCTAAAGATCCAACACTCCTTGGGTCCGTGTAATGGCTACCACTCACAGTGCAGGGGTGGGCCGATGGGCTGACATCTAGGTCGGCAGCTTCTGATCACACAAAACCAAGTTAGAATGCACAACATACAAGAATTGCAAGCATCTGGCAAACAATCACACGTAGAAAGACATGGCACCACAAAGTAGTTTAAATCGAAAATATGCAAGACATAAAAGGCAGTGCGAGCGCCAGGATTGGGATCAGCTAGGGAAAAGGAGGCTGAGAGAGGCACCTTCATGAGCGAGACAGCGACGGTGTTGAGAGCGCCGCTGGCTTCCACAATGGCGTCATGCGCGGCCAGTGCCTCAAACTTGTTGGGCGCCGTCACAAAGGGCAGCCCGGTGTCGTCAGCGACGGCTTTCGCGACCGCCTCCGCAAAGCCTTTCTTGGCGTTAAGCCCGGTGCCCACCGCGGTGCCCCCCTGTGCCAGCTGGTAAAGCCTTGGCAGCGTTCCCTCCACCCTCTCGATGCCATACTTCACCTGCAAATAAAACATTCCCCTTCTGTGAGAGCTTCTCATCATTTCCTTTCTGGGAGGTGTTAGTCATTGGGAACATGCACGCCGGTGCCAAGGCGTCAGAATGAGAGACAAAGAGAGATGGACACTGCGAGACTAATCCTTGAGTCATTCATAGAACGAGCAGGAGCCACTGATAATGAACAGAGATCTTTGAGCATGTCATTGCCCGCATGCAGACCGTTTCTAGTTCAGGACCTTCCCATCTCAGCTGCAAGAGGCGCTGGGTACGTTACGGAAAATGGTGAGTTCTGACACAGGCAGGCAGAACAGAGATGCATATCCTGCTAGGCAATGATTGAGGGGAGACGAAGATTAGGTACACCTGGGTGGCATAACCGCTAAACTCCTGACCCAGGGTCAGCGGTGTGGCATCCTGTGTGTGGGTCCGCCCAATCTTGATGATGTGGTTGAACTCCTGGACTTTCTTTTCCAGCGCTTCCTGCATGCGCCAGGCTCGAGGTCGGTCGCAGTCTATGCAATCTGAGAGCTGGTCACAACAAAGATGGAGATTGCAGCAGTCGAGGATGTTGGGTTAAGGAGCCTCACATATAATGACGTCAACGCCGGAAGCAATCTGCCGGTGATCTCCTGAATTGCTGCAATATGCATCACCTGCATGAAGAAACACCCTCACAATGAGGCCACCTGACTGCCACATTTGTGCGCATTGTGTTGTGCTGTAATCCGAGCAGATCAAATCTATGAGATGATGAAATCACACACCGTGGGGAATGTGTCATTGGAGCTCTGCCCCTTGTTGACGTGGTCATTGGGGTGCACGACAGATTTGTCACCGAGTTCTCCTCCCAAGATCTCGACTGCCCTGTTTGCGATGACCTCGTTGGCATTCATGTTGCTCTGTGTGCCGCTCCCAGTCTGCCAGACCACGAGGGGAAAGTGTTCCAGAAGCTTCCCCTCTGCCACCTCGCCTGCTGCCTGCATGATTGCCTTCCCCCTCTTCTCATCCAGATATCCGCTCTCCATGTTCACCTGTCCATGCAATTCCATGCATCATGCACAGTGGAAGATGCAAGCAAGCCTTTAGTGGTTCAGCAGGGAATGTCCAAGCAACTGCAGCAGCTTTGACAGCCTTTTGTGGAGGTCACAGCCACTTCCCTGCACAGGAAAGTAGGCGAAGTCTGACCTTGGCTGCAGCTCGCTTGAGGACTCCAAAGGCACACACCACAGGCTCTGGCATGCGCTCTGCGCGCCCTCCGATCTTAAAATTCTGAAGCGATCTTTGCGTCTGAGCGCCCCAGTACCTGCAGGAAGACCGAAGTGATTGCACTGAGGCCCCCAGCATGTCGAGTGCGCCACTTGTGTGTCATATGTACGTTGTAGCGACTGTTGCGCATTGTACTTGCTCTTGAAGATGACTCACCTATCTGCTGGGACATCGAGAGGTCCAAAAGTATCACTCTCCTGGCGTGTTGCAAAGAAGCGCACAGTCACTGCAGGCACATCAGCGTTCTCTTGACAAAGCTCACTCACAAGGAAAACAAAGCGCATCGCTGGACGTGGTAATTTCAACGTTACTGAATCCCTCAATAGAGCAGGAGGTAGATCATTGACAGGGTTCCAGATGTGCTGATACCTGAAGGTACGTTGTTGCGTTGCTGGTTGTAAGCTCGACTACAGCGCACGAGCTCAGCACAGGTGCGCCTTAACGCACCCATTTTTGCTCGAAGATGGGGCACTATCTCCTGAAAGTGCCAGGAGAAGATACTAGGGCACCTTTCGGAGGCATTCACGACACTGCTTGATTATGCCCTTCCTCAATTGGCATGCAAAGATCTTGCATGACAAGGGTTTCCTGGGTTTTCATTGAGCTCAGTTTTACCATCACAGCAGCACTTGCTGAACGTCTGTTTAGACCAGTAAATAACCTTTAATTCGTGGAAGAGCATCAAAGTGCCGGACAGTGTTGCGTGTTCACCCACTGAACTTGGTGCCACCAGTGAACCAGGGCCTGCGGTGAAGTCGGACGTCCCAAATTTGATTTTTAATGCCATGGTGGCTCTTGCACAAAGCAAATTAATCATGGTGCTCGTTTAGAGTCTGCTAGGTAGGTCTTTCATTGCCAAGCAGATCAGAATCAATTTGTCCGATCCTTGGACAGGAAGTGTCCCTCCGTGCCCGGGCTGCATCTCAAACTGACAGGTGTGCTACAGTATCCCCGGCGGCGTAAATGCCTCTGAGGCAGCCGCGTATGTGCCTGATGCACTGGGAATGGATTCATTGCCAATACTGGCAGCCTGGCTTGGGAGCAATGCCCAAATATGGCTCGCAGCTGGTCAGCAGGGCGGTGGCCAGCGCGGCCGTCTTTGGGCCGAACTTGCGCGAGAATAGCGGGCAGTCCTCCAGCACCGCTGCATCCCAGCTCAGCTGCGCCGCCCGCTCGCAGTCAAACTGCGCCAGCTCGGATGTGTGCACATACATCGCCCTCACACTCCTGCAGCCAAGCCCCCCATCAGATGCTTCTGCTTTCCACCATAGAATGTATGGAACGACAAGCATCAGACACTGTATGCACTGTATATATGAGCGTTGCCATGCAGGGATCAAATGCGAATACAGGTGCGTGGGGCGGGAGCACTGTTGAATGCACAGGGCACGGGATGAAGGGAGAGGATAGACCGCATTAGAAAGAAGTGATGTAGTGTGGAAGGAAGGAGATGGGGTTACCTGGTGGTGGCAACCTCGTTGCAGAAAAGATCCATGTTGCCAGCCTGGCGCAGCCACAGGAACACTCCCAGGCTGACAGACTTCACACTGTAGCTCATGGGGTGCTCACCAATGTGTTTCCCTGCCCGTGCATAACCAAAGCGTCTAGTCAGGTCGCAAGCGCAGCAGTCCACAGAACATGAGCTATGCACCAAAATATGAGGTGCAGTCCGCTTCCCAATGAGTGTGAAAGAGTCATGGTGAGTTGTGCGTCTCACCTGAGCCGCTGTTCCAGGAGACGTGCACGGTGTTGCCATTGCAGGTCGTCTCATTGTCCAGCCCCAAGTATGCCAGCAGGACCGGCACGTAGTGCTCGTCACTGTAGCAATCCCGTTTCCTGAGCCAACAAACACCCACAGCTTTGGCTCTTTGCTGTGTCACCTTGCCCAAATGAGGCCCCAATTAGAAGACATGGGCAGCACTGCAGATAGTGCCAAGCCAAGTGCTCTTGACTGCCTTCCATCTGAATGCCACTCACTGCCATCAGTGCACACAGCACACAAGTATCTCTCATCAGGGGCCTAGACTTCCGAATCTCTGCAGCCAACATGTCTTGGCTGATGTGCTTGGCGGCACAGCTGCTCTCACCTCCTGAGGTGGGAGTCATAGCCGTAGACACAGTGCTTCTTAATGCTCTTCCGGATGACCGTATCCTCCACCGCACGCATGGCATGCGGCCGTGTCAGCGCCACCCACTGGCTGGACTTGCGCCACAGCGATACAGGGATCATGGGCAGCATCCGCGGCGTCCAGCGCTCCATGGTTTCGTTCCGCCACTGTGCAGCCACAAGCCATATCGCACGGTGCTTCCCGCCCTTTACAAACCGTGTTTTCCTTGTCTTCTACCCAAGGTAGATCCTCATAAGGCCAGTCTTAGGTCCTTACAAGGCCAGGCCTACATCCTTGCAAGACCACAGAGGACACATCCCTGGGAGATCAAGTGAAAGGCAGTAAAATTATCTCATTGGTAGTAAGTGGATATGAGTGGGGAGCTCACGCTCTCCTGCCACTGCCAGTCCTCCTTGACGCAGGCATTGACGCGCGAGCGGGGCTCCTTCAGCAGCTGCTGGTAGATGAGCAGCGGCGACTGCAGCGGCAGCGTGTGCTCGCACAGCAGCTGGAACCGCTCGTTCCCCGGGTCGGCTAGCGCCGCCCTCAGCAGCGACCGCAGCGCCTCCACCATCCCAAACTCGCCCCACCGCACCTGCAAGTAGCTTCCACTGCCACTTACACCCCATCGTGCAGGGATGACACTGCCAGAAGATCGGCGACTTTTTGTGCTTCGCTCATCATTTTGCACTCTCTGTGAGGGTGTGGTTGGTGGAGACCGACAAAAAAACTGATTTGACCTGGGATTGTAATTCCTTGGGGCGATTTGTGGGCCTCACCTGCACTCGATCAGGCACCTCGCGCCCATGAAAGAGGCTACCAGGAGGGTACGGCTGGTGCTTTGGAGGCGGATGGACATACAGTGTGAACAGGTACTGGCCCATGAGGCCAGGACGTTCCTGCATGCACGCACACAGGTATTTGAATATATAGAGGTTTCAAAGCTGCCCACACATGCACACAAGGTAAGTGGCTGGCGAAGATGGAAAAAAACAGAGATGAAGGGTACATACCAGTTGAGGTCGTTTTGTTTCCTGCCCGATGCAGTCAGCTCTGTGCTTTCCACATACAGTGCTCTCGCCCACTATGTCTATTGGGATCATGCCCTGGACACTAGCTAGCCATTGCGCCCATGAAGCCTCATGAGGCATGTCTCCCCTACTCAAAAACAAGAGCGCCACCTGCCCCATACAAGTCTTCATCAGAAACATACATTGAGAGCGCACAATGTAAAGAGAAAGCTTGTAACAGTGGGTCTGAACTTCCGGGAAGAAGAATCCAGCGGTTGCCTAGCGTACCTTGGGAATTTTGATGTCTGGAGAACATTGCTCAATGATTGACTCTGGTGCATGGTGCATTGGAGGCCCACTCCCTGAAAAGCCCCGCCAGCTTCTCCCTTGTCCCATACTGGTGGGCCCTTGTGGTGACATATCTGCATCCTTGGTGTAGAGGGTGGCTACCAGCAAGGCAGTGCCTGTAAGGAAGGTAACCAAGCCAAGAAGCATGAGGCGAACAGCCTTTGGCTGACATGGCCATCGTTCCTTGACCTGCTGGTGAGCTGCCATCTTCCCATCTGATGCTCACGGCTGTCGCACCCCATGCTCGGAGACAGAATCTGACACTTGCATTGCTAGATGTGCCTCTCAGTGTCTGCGATCAATGTCCTGTCTCAATTGTGTCACTTGACAGGCTGTCTATATAAGTAGATGCTCGAGTAAGGCTCTGTGCATTCTGGTGTTCTCAGCACAGCACAAAGCTGACCTGCGCGACAAAATCCATTTCTTAGCCATGAAAGTAAAATAACCCTTGCCACCTTTGCTTTTTTACACCTTTTTCTCGTTTGAAGACTCCAACTCACACCCACTATCAGAAAACTCAATCTTGAAGCTGCAGATCTGAGATGCGAGCTTGCATTATTGCAGAAAGTTTTAGAAATGTCGTCACTGGCTTGCCTTGAAGGTTTGGATACCGCGCTCGTATGGCATCCTGGTAGATTGCAGATCAAAAGGACCCTTGGTGTGACTGATGCGTGATTGAGGTGAGATCTGAAAGTGCTGGACAAGCAGATGAAGCAATGCACACTTGATCCACTTTGCTGATCAATAGAAGTGCCCAGCGTCAGTTCGTACGCTGTCATTTGAACAGGACCTGCGTTGCCAATATTGGCTTTGCATGGGAATGGATCCTGAGTGGCTGTGTGTATCGGATTCACTGCGGCAGTGGGTGCCATGGCTTGGAAAGTAGGCACCCTGCTTTCTTATGCACTGAGAAGTGCTGTCCTTGCCATGGAATGAGAACTTGCACACAGACTCACCTCAAGTTGGCAAGCTTGGAAATTTCGGAAATGGCTCAGCCGCCAAGGCTTGACCGATCGGCCTTGGGCCACTTGCACCAGCAGTTTGATATATGTTTACACATGCGGGCTTTCACTAAAGTATCCACTGAAGGTAGGCAGTTCAAATTGTCTGCATGCACTGGCATGCATGTGCACGCCATGAGACACCCTCCGTTACAGATGCAGTATAAATTCAATACCGGCCAACATTACGGAAGCACATTTTGGTGAACTCCTCACTGACAAATGGCTCTGAGGAGCAGATGTGAGCTGCTCCGTTGACTGGATCCAGCCTTGCTGACTATACAATAGCGAGGTACTGAATACACATCATGTGAAAAGATTTTGCTCATGCTCGGTATTCGCTCGGCTTCCTGTCACGCAGATAGTACAGCTTTGCGCGCCGCACTTTGCGTCTGCCGATCACACTGAGGCTCTGCAGAGTTGGTGAGTACCTGCACATGTTGTTACATACTCAGTCCTGGTTACAAAGTAAATGCATTGGCATTAGCGTCGTTGCATCTTCAGGTCAGAAAGGTGCTTGTACAGGTGGTCAGGTGCGCACAGGGGAAAGGAGCGCTCCACAGGACCGCCGCCCTGAATGAAGTTAAGAATTGTGAAGGCTGTGCGCCATCCCCGATTCTTCTTTGCAATGCAAAGCCCTTTGACAGTAGCCGGCCTGCCTTTGTTCTCAGGGACCACCTGACATCCACATCATCTGGTGTGAGTCTGGCGTGAGTCTGCATTGTGCACTGCCCGTTGCAGAAATCCATTATTTAAATCTCAATTGGTAGTAAGGCAGATCAGTTGGCCCCACCAGCTTCAGCTCTAGGATGTCGCCAGGCTGGAAATCTGGAAACTTCTTTTCTGATGCCGCCTTGTCAGCTGCCTCTTGTTCAAGCACCTGCATGGCCCACCCATGCATTGATGAAGACCCTCATGATGCTGAGGCCTTGACAGAAAGCATCGTCTGCCATGCATGGCATGAACTTCAATGAGCTTCCCTTACTGTGGCAATTTGAGTGCATTGGAATCGCCTCATGAGACACAGGCTTTCAGTGCAGGCTTTCAGTTGGGCAACAGGATAAGTCTGCACACCTGTATCAGATGTCCCATACGCCTGGGCAAGAAGTTGCGCTTCTTCAGCTGCTGTGTGGGTGTCCATGGAGGTGGCGGCGTATTCTGCACTCTTCCTGGTGGAACAGGTGCCGTTGCCGATACAGTCTCCTCAGCAGGGGCAGCAGGAGCAGCTGCCGCTCCTGCTGCCGAGCTGGTGTGGAGAGCGGAGGCAGTCATCGCATGCTGCATGCTGCTAGCCATCCGTGGCAATTCTGCAGAGCTTGCAGTACTGCTGCTGCTCTGGCGTGGCTGTTCAAGAGCACCACTGTGAAGACCAGCTGTTCCAGATATCCGGCCATTGCTGAAGGCCCTGATATGTAACGACCCGGATATGTGACAGGAAGTGTCAGATCTGCAGGAGGATCGAGCGAAGGGCTGCAGACCCACGAGCAGATCCCTCAGGGATGTCAGAGCACAGATCGACTGCCCAATTTCAGCAGTAGGATACGCAGCACGGTGACATATCTGCTTTGCGGCGTTTCGAACACTTGGAAGCATTTGATCTGCAGCTTATCACGGGACAAGCTTCATTCAGAGAAAGACCATATCATCTCAGGCTGATTGCCGCCTGCGGCCACTGATCGTAAAACCAAATATGAACAAACGCCAATTCTGTCCAGGTAGACTTTCCGCAAACAGGACATCTGATCTTTGACCATTTCCTTCCTCCCGAAAGAAAGGTCAAGAGGGAGGAGGCCAATGAAGCGTATCCCGCCGGTTTTAAAACAGAGGTGATCTGATGTGTGTCAGCAATTTCCATCCTTCTTCTTAATCATCAGTCATTTAGACATTGAAAATAGATCATGTACTGTAGTTTTCTAGATGCTAGCAAATCACATGAACAAGAGCTGTGCAATGCAAGGCGAACGCAACTCTTTCAACACCTGAAAGGAGTAGCTAGCTGATAAGGTTGAGTTTTTGAGCAGCAATTGCATGGAAAGATAGTGCGTGGATGTTGTGTAATATTCGTCTGAATCAATTTTGCATGCAGCGTCAATCTACCACACCTCGTTCATCCGTCTAGATGGTTATCATCTTCTTTGCTTGAGAAGCATATGGGAAACCATAACAGCCGTTTATTGCTGGAAGCAGCGAGCAGTGGCAGTGTGTCTCAGCTCAAGAGCGTGCTAGGGAAGGCAGATGTCAATGCAACAGACCAGGTATTATTGCTGCCATCCGGTATGTCGCCTGACAACCCAAGGGCACTGTATAAATTTGCTCTTTTGACGACATTATTGATGGGGCTTCAGGATGGATGGTCTGCTCTGCACTTCAGCGCTTGGGCTGGGCGCCTTGAGGTACTAGAGGAGTTGCTCAAGCATGGACCGGATGTGAACTTGCGGGACAAGGTCAGCTCCCTTCCCCGTGCAGAGGTGCCAGCCTCACATTATCACAAACTTCTGGATGATGCAGCAGCAATGAACATGATGTGGTGCTCGCTGTCAGGTTGGAAGGACGCCATTGCACTTGGCAGCACTCAGGGGCCAGGCAGAAGCTGTGGACGCCCTGTGCGATCATGGCGCACTGGTCAATGCTGTTGATGACGATGGCATAGCTCCCATCCACAAGGCGGTCATCCACAGCAGTACAGAGGTGGCCGAGGAGCTCATTGCCTGTGGCGCAGATGCCAGCCTCCCTTTGCCGGTGAGATCCTTCTCCTGTCTCCCCTCAGTCATGACATGATGATCGTGCCTTTGTGTGTGTTTCAGTGTCCTGTGTAAGTCAATAGCAAAAGCTGATTTGGGAAACACACACATCTGTCCAGGATGGAACCACTCCGCTGCACCTGGCGGCATTCAAGGGGAATCCAGCCATGCTGTTGCTCTTGTTGGCGAACGGTGGAGACGCGAATGCTGAAAACTGCGACGGGCAGACTCCTCTGTTTGAGGCGGCCACTGCTGGTCATGCTGGCGCCCTCCGAGTCCTCCTTGATGCCAATGCAGACACAGGTGCGCGCTCTTGGAATTGCATTCTGAGACATCCAAATTTCAGCACTTTCAGATGGAGCAGAGGCACCACTCGAACATGTGCATTTGGTCACACTTTGAAGCTCGTGCGAATATTTATGAGGAAACATTAAAGTGCGCTTGCATGTGCAGGACACAAGGACAAGGAGGGAAGGACAGCAGGCAGTGATGCACCAGCAAATATTGCAGCACTCCTGAGACCAGGCCAGAACCAGGGGTGGGTGAGCCTGCCTCGCCCACTCGGTGCATGGCCTGCAACTAAGCAGCCAGCAAATACCAGCGGCCAAGGCCAGTCAGCTGAGGCAGCTCCCGGCTTCTGGGCGCGGCTTGCGCGGCTGGGCAGCCCGCAAGTGGCACCCGCAGCGACCGGCGTGGCGCCGCAGAATGCACCCGCCATCGTGCGGCCCTCAGATGCACAGCCCCGGGTGCCGGAGAGAACAGCGGCTGCCACGGCAACCCCCTCAGCGCCTCCGCTGCCCGGAGTCTTCCATGGGGGGTTGTACAGCACCGATGGCAGCAGCAGCGCCCAGGACCTGCAGCCTCTGATGCCCTATCCCAGCTTGCCTCCGGCACACAGTGCTCGGATTGCTAGCGCTGAAGGCGCCCGTGCAGCGCCGCCCGTGCCGCCACCGACAGAGTGGCTGAGCATAGAGCCTGCGAGCGGAACGACCTCTGCCTCGGCAGTCAGAGACTCTGGGAGTGGGCCGACGGACATTAGCAGACAGACGGGTGCAGCGGGTGAGGGAGAAGAGGCGCCAGGAATGGTGGCATGGGCGGTGCAGACAGCAGGTGCCGCGTCTGGTGCTGCTTTCTCTGCGCTGCTCGGCGCCCTGCCGTGGCCTGGTAAGGGCGCTGAGTCAGCTCAGGCAGAGCCAGAAGACGCGAGTCAGAGCCTGCCAGCAGATGAGCAACAGAGGCAGTCTGGCAGGTGGGTTTCTTCACGACATGCTCTCCATCCTGTTGCATACTAAATGCTTGTGCTGTGCAGCCTTGCAGGACACTGTGCTTGTTGAGCAGCCAGAGAGGTCCTTATGGCATCCAAAGAGGGTGGCTGAGCAAGAGCACAGCGTCTCAATTTGGGCTCTATTTGTGAAGGTATGGACTGCCAGATGATGAGGTGGAGGAGGACACAGAAGATCATGCAGGCGCCTTGGACCAGGACATGGAGCTAGATCCATCAGAAGTCCCCACGACTGCATATACTCTGTTCAGGTATGTGGAACGCATGTGAGAGTGCAAGCGTGCAATATTGTGTCTGTCTCACGCATCTTATCCATGGGAAGACTGCAAACCTCTTTGCCTGTCACAACAAATTTGTGCACCCTTCACAGAGACAAGTGTAGAACTGCTAGCCTACTAGAATTTGATCTGGGACTCCAGATCTTGCTTGCTGTTTGTCAGATCTTGTTGGTCGTTCAAACAAAGACAGGCTGAGTGCCACTTCTAGGCCGGAGGTCCTGTGGGAGGCAACTGGAGGCCTCAGCCCAGAAGCCAGGCTGGACCACGGCGCCTGCAGCAGCGCGCACAGAGCACAGCTACCAGCAGGCCTGGCCGGGCCGGGAGAGAGGGCGGTGGCGGTGCGCGCGTATGACTGGGGAGCGTGGCGCGCTCTCAGCCTGCAGCCGACGCTTTTAAACGCGCTGGCAGGGATGCAGCACCCAAACCTGCTGCCGCTGCTCGGGGTCTGCCCTGAGTCTCGGCAGTTCGTGTACGGCCTCATGCAGGTGAGCATTGACACGCGCTGCTCCATTCTCATGTGGAAACAACGCTTCAAACTTGCCCAGTCCTTCATTTGCCTGCTCTCCAATAGCTTGGGGAATGAAGTGCATTTGAGATTCCAGCCGGCATACTTCGCACTGAGCTAGAGCTTTCTCAATCCACCTTGTCATGCATTTCTAATGACATAATCACAAACACGAGTCCATTCAATGCGTGCTGATCATTGGCTTTGTGATGTCTGCAGCATGGCCTCTGACATTTGTGCTGCTGTGCAGAATGGGAGCGTGGACGATGCGCTGCACGGCCGGCGGCCGCCAGGGGCGGCCGGCCCGGTGCGCCTCGACTGGGCTGCGCGCACCCGACTCGGCTGCGAGGCGGCTGCGGCGCTACAACACCTGCACACAGCGCACCCAATGCCCATCGTGCACGGCCGCCTGCAGCCCTCGACCATCCTGTTAGACGAGCACCTCCGCGGAAGGCTGGGCGACGCCGGTGTTGCGGCCACATTTGGAGCGCATCAGGTGAGGCAGCCTGGCTGCCCCTACATCCCATCCTGCAACGTGATAATATGGGAAGTTGCAGCACGCAGGCGTGCATCAGCCCATGGCTTGCTTGCATTCTCACATATGTAATGGACACAGTTACAGCTGCATGGTGTTCAGAAGCTTCTGACTCATTTAGAAGTGTATGCGCACACAACCTCCCGGGAATCCAATCCGGCATGGTATCTGGTTCCATCTTGGAGGGTTGATGCTCAGGCAAGAGCTGAAATGAGATGCGTCGATGGCGCCAGTGGTGCCTGCGAGCAAGCCTGATGAGTGTTTTTTTGCATGCAGGTGCGTCAGGCGACGCCTTATCTGGCGCCGGAGGTGGCGGCGGGCTGTCAGCCGACGCCCGCCAGCGACTTGTACTCGTTGGGAGTGGTGCTACTGCAGCTGCTTACCGGATCGGAGCCTGCCGGGCTGGTGCGGCACATGGCGGATGCGGCCAGAACTGGCGCCATCGATTGCACCACGGACCCTTGCGCAGGCGGCTGGCCGCTGGAGGATGCTGTAAAGCTCTGCCAGCTGGCGCTGAGGTGGCGCCTGACCCCCTCTGCATATCTTGGGGACAGCGTTTCTGCTTTGCAGGCTACTACTGCAGATACTTGTCTAGACTGTTGAGTGTGTACGTAAGTATTTGCCCTGCAGCCGTTCGTGCGCCATGCCCTGAATTGCTGGAAAGGGCCGCTCATAAGAGTGTGTGCCTCCTGCTACTGAAGCATGATAGTTGTAAGCAGTGGGTCACGAAGAGAAGAGGGCCAGAGACACAGAAGCGTGCATGTCATCTGTCAGATGTTTTGCCTGTTTGTATGCAGAAGGTCAGCTGTGCGCTTCTTGAATTTTGCATCACCAAAATAACCATTTCAAGTCTGATTTGGGATGATATGCTGCTGCAGGTGCACGGCTGAGGATGCAGGCAGTAGGCCCAGGCTCGCCAGTGATTTGCTGCCAGCGCTCTGCCGGCTGTCAGGCAGGGCCGAGAGTGCTGTCAGGCTCAGCACCAGCACATCTGCAAGCAGCCAGGAGCCACCAGCCATGCTCATCTGCCCCATCACACAGGTGCATACACCTGCTGCCACCTCCCAACTTATCATTCTTGTCACCTGGCTATTGCCCATCTTCAGGACACCAGGGGCAGTCTGTCTGCTTTGCTGCCTTTGCACCCCATTCAGACTCCATAGGATGGAGGCACAATTTGGATCATTGCGTGTGCATGCTTGAGCAACCATTGTTCATGAGCTGTCAGGCCCACATGATATACTAACATTGGGGTGCTTGTTCGCAGGATTTGATGGAAGATCCGGTGGTGGCCGCGGACGGCTTCACATACTCCCGGGCAGCGATTGAGGAGTGGCAGCGCTCCGGCCACGACACATCCCCCATGACTAACCTGCGCCTGGCCCACAGGCATCTCACGCCCAACTACACGCTGCGCTCTGTCGCGCTGGAGTGGAGGGCTGCGCGCGATAAGGGGCTGTCCTGACTGGCGTGCTTTGTGCTTGATGTGGCAGGGTGTACATGTGGCAAGTGTGCGTTGTCATTATACTGTTATATACTGCGGTGGCAAGCGGTGAGTAGCCTCAAGGTAGCCACAAGCTTGATGCAGGTGAGTGGAGGATGCCGCATAATCAAGATACCTCAGAGGGTGTCTCATCCTGTACAAAAGCTTTTCTCTTGTATGTACTTACCGTTGCCGCATTGCTTCAGCATGCTAGCATTAATGCAAATTCCCTGCAAGCATTTGTATTGGAGTCGGCAAGATCCTTAGTGCACAGTTGACAATAGTGAGGAGGAGCTTGCTTGCAAATGCCAGATCTGCTTTGCAGGAACCTTGTAAGAACACCGTTTGACACCCAAGTGGTGCACAGATGGAAATTACAAATCTGAACGATATTGGATGTTGCATTTCATCACAATGGCAGGCTTGTCAATCGAAGATGTGTATTCCAAGCTGTTCTATCTTTGAACACTATTATTCCAAGGCCGTTTGCTAGGCCTTATTGGAGTATTTGGCTGCCACAAGCTTGGCGCCAAGACACCCAAAAGCATTCCCACAACATCTCTACAGCGAAGCAAATTCAGGCACAGGAAAGTGGAATTCTGCATTGCCCAGCACTGCTCCAAGCTGTCCTGTTGGGATCCACAGAAGTGCATTTTTGAGCAACATTAGCCTGGCCCCACTTTGGGGATGTCATGGTGCTCACTGAGGTTCTGGAGGTAGGCATTAAACTCGTTGACCCTCTCGCGGTGGGACTTGGCGGCCAGCTTGGTGGTCATCTCCCTTTCCCTCTTGGCCATCATCTCGTCGTGCCTCTTCTCCGCTGCTGTGCGCCTGTCATCTCCCTCCAGTCGCGAGTCCAGGACATACCCCTCTGGGGTCTCCTGCAGGAGATCAGACGTGTACCACCTCAATGCATCTCTTCCATACGGTGTCCAATTGATCAGTCGGGAAGATGTTTGTGCTCAGCGGCAGTATTTACCTTCACAGCAATCGAGGGGGCTCCCTCAACGATCTCTAGCGCCTTCTCATCCCCAGAGCTCTTCTTCTTTTTCTTCTTTTTCGTCCCTGCGTCCTGCCCCTTGAGCTTGAGCTTGCCGCCCGTAAAGGACATGTCCTTGCGGCTCAAGCGGTTCTTTGGAGCTTAGGGTCTGCGGCAATGTAGTGGTAGGCGAATAGCAAGAAGACGATCAAGAGGCCAGTCCAGCTCTGCAGAACACAACGGGATCTTCGGAGGTCTGACAATCCTTTCTACCCAAACTAATGTAAACTGCGCAATTGTAAAGATAAGATCTCTTCTCAGCGCCCAACAGACTTATTGAAACAATCGATGAACTGATGAACCATCACAGATGCTGCAGCAGGAATAAATCTGCATCTGTCCTTCTTATTCCCCCGATAATCTTGTACAGGAAAGTCCGGAATGCAGCAATTCGTATGATGTGGCAAGGTTAATACATATTCCCTCCCCATCTTGAGCCAAGGTGATGAGTTATGCACACCACGAAGCGCCCAAGATCCTCGTCGTTGATCATGTCGCCGTGCTATGTCATCAAGCATGAAAACACTCAACGTCGCTGCTGATCCCCTGATAATCTGGGAGAAAGCGCAAGCTCTTAGACATAAAACCCTACCTTAAGTATAAAAACCCTGGATGGTGTTCAGTTCTTCCAAGGCGTTCCTGTTGCGAGCCGCCTGCTGGACTCAGTTCTGAAGAGCATTGGTGCCACAGCAAATCGACAAGGAGGTGCGACACACATGTTGTATTTGGTGCTTGCTATACGTTATGACAACGAAGTGCGTGCGTGTTCGAAACTGGATCGAGCTTAGAAATGGATGTCTGGTTGCACTTGCGATTGGCTTAATAGCAATGATGTGTTGCAGGTAGGGCCGTCTTTGTTGGCGTCTTAGATTGGTGGGGAGCTAACAAAGTCGCCACCATGGGGCGCATGCACAGCAAAGGGAAGGGTCTCAGTCGGTCATCGCTCCCTTACAAGCGCTCACCAGCCTCGTGGGTGAAGATCACAGAAGTAGAGGTAGGGGCACTCTGCATCGTGGAAATGGCAGATCTATGAGCGCGTTATTGGCGCGCTGCGACGTGCTGTAAGCTTCAGAGTGCACAGGCTGAGAAGTGATCCATCAGTGTGGACAACAACACGAACTGGGAAGAGCTACATGGCCGATCTGGGAATCGTCCTTGTGCACACAAGGCATTTCTGTCAGGATTTTGTGTGATGTGCTCACTGCAGCTCTGTGTCATGCACAGGTGAAGGAGAACATCACCAAGTTGGCAAAGAAGGGCTCCACACCCTCACAGATCGGTGTCATCCTGCGTGACTCCCATGGCATTGCTCAGGTGACAAACTTGTGCCTCCTCTCCCTCAATATTTCAGCTGCATCTTGCGCTGCTGCCAGGCTGCATGTCAGCAAGCTGCCTGCTCTCTGCCACATCTCCGCTCGCTTGTGCACATAGCCTGCAATCTGTAGTGGACTGGCGCTGCCAGGTCAGGTAGTGAGAGGATGGAAATTTCAGCAGCGTTGAGGGATCGTAGTCCTGGCTCACAAATGAGGTGCTGGGCTGCAGGTGGGCGCTGTGACAGGCTCCAAGATCCTGCGCATCCTGAAGGGGCTGGGCCTGGCGCCGGAGATCCCAGAGGACCTTTACCACCTGATCAAGAAGGCGGTGTCCATGCGCAAGCACCTGGAGCTCAACCGCAAGGACAAGGACGGCAAGTTCCGCCTCATTCTCGTGGAGAGCCGTATTCACAGACTCGCGCGCTACTACAAGGTGAGCACATTCTAGCTGGTTTTTTGAGGATATTTGGGTGCCTGGCATCCTGTGGGTGACAGGGGTAGATGAGATCTTTAATGTCATAGCCGCGTGTTTTTCTAGATCTCAGGGCTAGGTGCAACGCGATGAGACTTTGTTGGACACAAGTTTGGAATTATTCGCAAGATGCAGGATGTGTTGTAAAGGACGAGGATGGCGCTTGCCTGCATGCCTCTGGTGCTGAGATGAAGGGGAACCATTGCGCTCATGCCTGCATGGAGATGAGTGGTTGGTAGTTTGCGCTCACCCTCGTAGAACAGGTGTGTTGACAGGGTTTATTGTGTGTGCGTGCAGAAAGCGAAGAAGTTGCCGCCCAACTGGAAGTATGAGTCAGCCACAGCCTCTGCCCTTGTCGCCTAAGTGGATGTAGCTGCAGTGGGATCGAGGCTGAGCAGCAAGGGGACCATGCTGTTAGGCGTCTTGGTAGCATCGTACTCTGCTTACGTCCATGTGAGGCATCCGTAACTTCGCTTTTCGACAATGAGGGCAAGAAGCAGTGTGACGGAGGTGCAATTTGTAAAATGGAGAAATTACAACATTGCATCTCCCTTTGAGTGCATCAGATGTAGCGATTGAAGCTGCATCTTGATTGTTCTTCCAACACAGGCCAATTAAATACCTATAGGCTAACAGAGAATCCCCCGGTCACACGAAGCCCTTTCCATGTCTGCAGCTCAAGCGCGCACATTCGAGACAAGTACACCCAGTTATTTGAGGGGAAGGCCCAGCAACAACATAAGTGGAGTTCGTAATATTCCTCACGTCCATAAGTCCGGCTAATCTACTGCTAATATACAACCGACAGGGCGCATAAGTTTTGGACCATCCTTGCTAATTTTGGTGCAATTTTGGCAAGTAACATGAACTACAGGCCAGCACAGAGCCGTGCTTTCAAGAATGATCTAGCTAGGAAGCTACTGGAAACACATTAGCCAGCTGTTCCAGAACCATTTTGCATGTGACGCAAGTGATGAGGCATCCGGTGATGTCACACCACACCTGTGCAAGCATAGTCACAACTTGGGGGTTGGTACATCAAGATGAAGTTCTGGATATCTGGGACAGGAGCTGCTTGCAATGAATTCACTTCCAGCAGAGTCACACGAGCAGCTTACCTGAATGGTGGTCCCAGCATTTGCGGGATCTATACCAACAAAGGCCAGCGCAAAGGGCAGCACAGTGCCTGTGAGCACTGACGTCATAACAATGAAAAACAGCGAGGTGGAGATGGCAAAAGAGTCGAGCAACCCCCCCTCCGACACATACACCCTGGCAAACCCGGCCCCTGCGCGGCAACAGTCATGTGTTAAACAGCAAATTTTTGCAGCACAATCACCTTAAGGAGGCAGATATGGGTTTGATTGCGAGAAGCAAATGCTCATGCTGGGTGGGCCAGGACAACAAAGGAGCTTCACCCGTCAGGCCAACAGCAAGGAGCAGACCAACAAGACTCTGCTGCGCAAGTGTCTGCCTCAGGGACGCGCCCGTCAACTTCATTCTCCCAGTTGCCTGCATGAAATAAGCAAGTCAGGCACACTTCTCCACTCGCTCTAATTCCTGAGAGTCTGTCTTAGCACAGGTCTGCAAAATGATTTTGTGAAGGTTACAACTTCGGTTGCATGCGTGTGAGAAGAAAGAAAACTTGCCAGCCCTCTGATGACCTTGATGGCAGACTGGTTGCCAGCGTTGCCGCCAGCGCCCACCAGCATTGTCAAGAAGAGCGTTATCACCAGATGGTTTCTCAGCAGGTCCTGATACATGTCCAGCACCATCGATGATGTGCTCTGCAGCACTAACAGCCCCAGCAGCCATCGTCTGCAGCAGATTCACCCAAAACTTCAAAAGATTTCATCAGCAGGGCAATGCATGGGATGAACAAGGAAGACGCAAGGGAAAGGTGCTGAATAACACCAGGGCATGAACATAGGGGAGCCGTACCCTCTAGACCATGCTTCGCTGACTACCGCAGTCTCCTTTGGTGGTATGTGCAGAACATCGCAGACCTCGGGATCAGGGAGTCCAGAGTCGCACAGCTCTGCACTGCTCTCCTCCGCACTGTAGTCTGAGACAGCATTCCCTGACCAAGCATGCATGTAGGTTTGATCAAGCATACTCGATGTGGTTGCCATTTGGGGGAAAAAACCAATGCTTTATCGGCTACCACAGGCGTCTAATCGAGGATTCAGCAAGGTTTTAAGACGACTTCCCCAATCTTCTGCAATCGGTTTATGATCCCGGTGTATCAGAGGAATGCAAGTGATCATTGACGTCTCGAACAATCATTTGGAAAATCGGTTGCCTTTAAAGGTTATTTTTAAATGTGACCAAGCAGGCGATGATGAGTCCATAAAGCAAATGGCCTGGACAATTTTCTTCGACTTTCGGGCAGTTTCTTACCCCTCTCTGCAGCATTCAATGCTCCCACACGTTTCTTCGCGTGCCCTCCTGGACTCCATGCCCCGTTTGCCCATATTCTGAAACCACTAGGGCTGCTATTGGTCTTCCCACCCTTTGACGACATGCATATGCGTCTACCCAAAAGCTGCTGTCCAGGGCGTCGGAAGGATGGTTGAGGGCAGCAGCGGCATATTCTTTGACACACCTTCACATGCAATGTTTCTTTTTGCATACCTAACAAACGCCTGCGTTTTGCCAATAGGATTGCCGGCTCATCGGCAGAAAATTGTGTAGACTCTAAAGATGCCAAGCTTTCCGAGGATCGGAGGCATGTGTTTAACAAATCACCAGCACTACTTTATTATTATTGATTGCAAGGTATGGCTGTATAGCTGCCATGGGAAAGAAAAACTAAAGCTGACCACATGCAGCCAAAACTGGCTGTCGGCGTCTTCCGAACCATGCACTTGAACTCGCATTTGTCGCTATAGATATCTGTAGGAGCATTCACCACGTTTCGCAGTTGCAAGGTGGAATCTCTGAGGATTCTTCTGCACAAGTCTTGCCAAGTGAAGCACATTTGTGGAGTGCTTCTATAAGGCAGATCTGCAACAGTACTTCAGCCGAGAGTGTTCAATTGCAGTAGATCACACATTACGATCGATCATGGAAGAAAGTAGTGATGCAGAAATCAAGGAAAAAGTCTCCAAAAAACGGTACGTCCTTTGATAATATTGGTTTTTACTATTGTGAGAGGACGCATCCTGTTTCACCAAGCGAACAACCAGAGAGCATTGATCAGGACGAATCAAATTAAGAGGGATGACAACTTTGTTTGATTCATGGATCTAGGTGTTGACCTAGCTGTCATTTTTACCCCCACCAACTTTTCAGTGCTCACCAGTCAGAAGCAATAAACACCTGCGTGATGATTCTGCTGTTGTAGCATCCGAGTACTCTGAGATAGACAATTTTACTCGAGATATCGCACCCTGGAGGTGTGCAATTCATAACGCTATGCCTCGTCAGCAGGGGGCGAGGAGAGAGCGAGACGGCGCAGCGGATGGCCAAGTTCAAGCGCGGCGCTGCTGTGGCAACGCGCGCCATCGCCGACAAGAAGCTGAAGGGGCAGCTGCGCCACAGCGAGAAGCTGGCGGCAGAGGCGGCGTACAAGGCTGCCAAGGCGGAGCAGTGGCTGCTGCCTGAAGAGGCCGGCACCCTGGAGGCTGAGGGCCTCGAGCGCACCTGGCGCTTCTCACAAGTACTGCCTTTCTCCCCTTTTGATAGACCTGAATTGCCCCTGATGGCAGCCAGTCTCCAATGCGCTGTGTCGCGCGAGGATGAATGCCTCAATATTTAAGCAGCAGGGAGCCATGTTGCGAACCAGAAACATCGTAGTAGACAGTACACAATGTTTGCTGCCTGAAGGGGGATTCTTTACGTTTGCATGAAGCGTACAGTGGCCTCGTTTCAATAAATTACTGACGGCGAAATGTTTCCTTGTGCAGGAGGAGATAGTGAGGGAGGCGGAGACTGGCGCTGCGCAGAAGGTGTTTGATCTGGACCTGCCGGAGCTGGGCCCTTACAATTTGGGGTTCACGCGCAGCGGGCGCCACATGCTGCTGGGGGGCCGCAAGGGCCACCTGGCCATCATGGAGTGGCAGCAGCGGCATCTTGTTTGCGAAGTGCAGGTGTGCCTGTGCTCTGCCAGAGCACTCTAAAATTTGCGCAACTTAATGCACCCTGCCAACAGGTTGTGTATCTGGCAAACTATCTGGTTCAAGCCTTGACCTGAGCATGAACCTTCTTCTTAGAATTTACAAAACCTATGCTATGTGCTTCACCTGCAGATCCTGCATGTTCAGCAAGTGAGCCACATTTTGAGTGCTGACTTGGGCTGCAAGGGTGAGTAAGTGTTGTTGTGATGCAGGTCAGAGAAACGGTGAGGGACGCCACATTCCTGCACAATGAGCAGTTCTTCGCGGCGGCCCAGAAGAAGTACGTGTACATCTATGACAAGAGGGGCCTGGAGGTGCACTGCCTCAAGGTGAGTCAACTGCCCTGCCTTCTGCCCCATTGTTCACGTTGCAAATCCCTTTTCAACCGCATGTACATGACGACCTGTGCCTGCCCCATGCAGATGTGGTGAATGTGATGCAGCGCATCTTCACATTTTGCATCTGCTGCAGGAGCACACAGGAGTGAGGCGGCTGGAGTTCCTTCCGTACCATTTCCTTCTAGCGTCCATAGGAGAGGGAGGCGTCCTCAGATATCAGGTGAGCATTTTTTCTCCAAACAGTCACTCTGCTTGCAATCAAAGCAGCAAAGTAATGTGATCGCTGACACGATGGCAGTTGTCTAGCGATGACTGAAAAAATTTGGGGGTGTGCCGACAGGACACCAGCACCGGGCAGATAATTGCGCAGCACAGGACAAAGATGGGCACATGTGACGCTATGCGGCAGAACCCGTGGAACGGTGTCATGCAGCTGGGCCACGCCAATGGGGTCGTGTCCATGTGGACGCCCAACGTGACCACCGCAGTTGTCAAAATGCTGTGCCATCGGGTATGAGGCCTGCCCAGGAAATGACTAGAAGTGTTGAATCATGTCGACGTTGTCTTGCAGACTGCAGGTGAGATTGCTGGCAAATCAGGGAGAGGGGGCCACCAGAATGCCAACCTTGCAGTGCATGCGCGATAAACACAGCGCTGAGAGTCTTCTCAATCACGCAATGCAGGAGCACCATGCACAGACCCATGTAAATAGTGCAAAGTTATGCATTGTGAGGTGTGATGAACGTAATGTGGTGTGAGAAAGGGAGACTCGAGAGCTTCATATGTGGGTGCATGCAGGGGCCGGTGCGTGCGATTGCGACGGACACGCAGGGGCAGCACATGGTGACGGCGGGCGCGGACGGGCAGGTGAAGGTGTGGGACGTGCGCAAGCTGCAGCCGATGCACTCCTACTTCAGCCGCGCGCCAGCCGACACCCTCGACATCAGCCAGCGCGGCATGCTCGCCGTCGGCTTCGGCCGCAACGTGCAGGTGCGCTGCTGCACTGACGTTTCCTTTGTTGTATCCCAGGCTAAGAATCCTTCACTGGCACGGAGAGGTCGACACAACCACAAGGGCGCATTCCACCCTCTTACATGGGAATCCCCTGAACGCTTGCCCTTCACGCTCATGGGTCACTGCCGGTCGCGGGGCACATGTCGATTTATATCCAGCAGCACATGGCCTTGCAGCCAATCCACTAATGTGCAGTGCTGGACCTGGCTGCCTCAACGGGGCCCTCCAATCACAAGCTGTGCTTGAATATTTGCAGTCCTCTGGCCTTGATTTGAGGAGGGAGTCAATAAATTATGGGATTCATAGGCATGTCCACCTGCACCTTGTGCAGCTTGGGTTGATTATCTAGACAAGAAGGCATGTGGTGTCATGAAGCGTTGACGGCTGTGCAGGTGTGGAAGGATGCGCTTGCGCAGAAGCAGGAGTCGCCCTACATGCGCCACACGCTGCCAAGCGGCGTGCTGCGCGACTTCCAGTTCTGTCCCTACGAGGTAATCTTTCTTGGTCTATTCTCCTCAAGAGTGCAACTTCCTGCCGCTGTACTCTGCACCTGATTTCCCAGTGTACAGCTCTCGCAGTTCCTATCTGCAAGATTGTCGGCATTGCAGCGTCATCCATGGCCTTCCTGTGAGTGTGACAGATGTATGTAAGCGGCATTGATAGTGTCTGTGGAAGAGATAAGGATCGTGCTTGGTTATGAGCCGGGAACGCTCTTCATGGGCACAGCCGCAACTGACTGCTGGACATCAACGCCATCAGGCGATGTGTGAAGCTTGCGATCCTGAGGGGCGCGCATGCGGTAATGATGTGCGAAGTTTGCAGTCCTGAGGGGTGCGCACGCATGGGGTGATGATGTGCCGACTTTGCAATTCTGAGGGGCGCGCATGCGCAGGATGTGTTGGCGGTGGGCCACAGCGGGGGCGTGTCGACGATGCTGGTGCCGGGCGCGGGTGAGCCGCACTACGACTCGCGCGTGGCCGACCCCTTCCAGGGCCGCAAGGCGCGCCGCGAGCAGGAGGTCGCGCACCTCATGGACAAGCTGCAGCCCGACATGATCGTGCTCGACCCCTCCACCATCGCGCAGGCGCGCTCAGTTTCACCCCTGTGCTAACAAACTCAGCTTGAACCACTGCTGTCTCCTTGCAACTAGTACCTTCACCCTTCGCGCTGCGGAGCATCAGGCTCTGCTGCACAGGATTCATAGGGCCGCCCTCCAAGGAGGTGGGCTTGAGATTTTAGTGATTTATCTATTGGGACTATGGCTCCACTGGTTTTTGCTGAGCACAAGGAGGGCAAGAGGGAAACTCTGGGGTTTGATTGGGATACATGTTGCAGAGTGCACGTCGAGAGTTGTTGGTTGGTATTTTTCTATTGTCTGCACATGGCAATTTGAGAGCGGGATGTCTTCTTGAGGGCAGGCAGACTTGCTCTGTAGCATCTCACAGGAGCTAGATGTCTTATTGATGGCATGCGGACTGAGCAGGTGCGGAAGGAGCCCAAGGATGTGGCAGAGGAGAGGAAGGCGGAGGCGGCGGCTGCAAACGCGTCGCGCAGGAAGGAGCAGGAGGAGAAGAACGAGGGGAAGAAGCGCATGAAGGGCAAGAACAAGCCCTCGCGCCGCCAGAAGAAGAAGCAGGCCAACATCATCGAGGCGCGTGCCGCCCCTGTTCTGTGAGGGATTCTGATGTATAGTCTTATGGATGGAAGCTCCACCTCTTCCAGATGCTGTGCATTTCAGCTGCTTGGACTGTGGCATGAGACGTTTCAGAGAAAGCTAGATCACAACAAATTCCAATAACAATGCTCCATGAAGTGGCGGCAACTGTGAAAACTGTTTGGTTATTCCTGCTGTGCAGAAGACCTAGAGTGCCAGAGATCATAGGAGGGTCAGTACGCTGAACAGCGCAGTCAAATGCAGATGATTGAGATGTTTTCTGGGGTGTGCGCAGGCTGGGAAGCCGGAGTTGCGGCAGCGCATGCGGGAGCAGGGCGTGCTGAGCGGAGGTGGTGCCGAGAAGAAGCAGCCCGCGCCCATCCCAGAGGACGTGCCCAGGGCGCTGCACAGATTCTACAAAAAGGGCGTCCAATGATTGTGGTTGCACTCAAACGAAACATGAATTGTACTGCTGCAGCTGTGCTGCTTTCACTGTCTGCTACTTGTTGTGGACATGGCATCAGTGGTTTGAAATGTTGCCTGCCAGGCATGCACTATGATCGTGTGGCTTAGTATCTCAAAGCTCTGCGGCAGGCACAGGCACACACATGCACGGATGTGGATGCATGTGTAGATTATATAAAAGCATGCCATGTCAGTGACACACTGCACGGCAACTGCAGCTGGTCAATCTTGATCATGATCATCATTGCCAATCATTGAAAAGGAGAGGAGCATCAGATCACATGATATCATTGCATTGTCGCGCCTTTGTCGTCCACTGCACGTTATCCAGACTGGGCAACCCAAAGACAACTAGTTTTGCAGCTGTTTCCTCTCCTTCTTTCCTCTATGCAGGCCCCTGGTGACGTCACCCGATCGTTTCGGAGAAGCTTTCGGAATTCTGTCCCGTTGAATCTGGACCAGCTTTCCAAGCGGAACCCATGTTCTGGCAAAATCGCCCATGTACATCCAACGCGAATCAATAAATCCACTCTGACTACCAATTTCAAACTATAACTAAGCAACGTCAAGCAATTATATCGGACGTTCAGAGATCATGTCATTTTCGAGCTGAAGATACACGAAAAGATGGCCGCTGTGGGGAACGTATCATCAATTACATGCTCAAAATTCTCTGGGAAACAACAGAACAAGCAGATAATGATCAGGAAAGCCTGTACAAAACTGGGTGCGTGCCAGCAGCCGCTCTGGATATCACAGGATCCCTGCGACGATTGCCTATTTTCCTTATCAGGATCGCAGACCATTCTAGGGATCTTTCTTCAGAGCTCACGGCAATTGTGGCCTGGCTCAATGAATGATCTGCTTTGCAGGCAGTGCCCATTCTGTGAGCGGGAGTGTGCTGGCTCATCCTTTGCATTCCTGGATCACGGGCAGCAGACAACTACTGCCAAAAATGCACTGCGCAACATTGGCAGAGAGTAGTGTGCATGATGGGTGCGATCCCCTGAAGTCCATGGAAACTCTATCAAAGCTGTGTGGCATCTCACAGCATGTAGCATCTCGGCCGACATGTGAAAAGCTGTCATGCAAATGCAGGACCCCGATCACGGCAGAGCCAAGCACAAGTGGATCAGGCAGACAGCCAACGGATGCCTCAGAGGACAGGCACATCGCCAAACTCACAGATGAGCAGCTGCAGCGCAACCATGAGCTTGTGGAGAGGCTCAGAGGGAAGCTGGTAAGCTACTTGCTCATGTCTCACATCCCTGTGCTTGCTTGTCGCATCCAACTTTGCGCGCCTTCAAACGCGATTTGTGGGCAATGTTTTACAACATGCACTTAGATCGCCTGGCTCCTGAATTTTACCCACTTAAATGTTTTCGTGCAGATATTGGCCCCATTGACAAAGGGAGGCAATCTGCCCTTCCGACGGCTGTGCGCGGACTTTGGGGCCGAGGTGACGATGTCCGAGATGAGCTTCGCGCGAAACCTGCTCAAAGGGGACCCTGGGGAGCGGGTCCGTTTGAGAATGGCTCCCGAAGAGTCCTGCTTCGGCTTCCAAATAGCTACTAACAATATAGGGGAGGGGATTGGCGCCGGCAAAATGGCTCTCGAGGCCGGTGCCTCCTGGCTGGACCTCAACTGCGGCTGCCCCATCTATGGTATGCCACGCTTCATTGTGTGTCTCTCATGTAGGCTTTGCAGCATCATTCCATCCCTGCAGCCCGTGGACAGAGCAGAGAACCCCTGTCAGCCCAGGAATGCTGAGGATGGCTTCTTTTTCTTTTGAAATCGCGTGCGCCTGATAAGGAATCGTGGCACTAATCAGCTGGTTTTCCTGTCGCTTCAATGACAATGCACTGGGTCCACAACCTTCAGACAATTGTAGAACCTTTGCAGCCTCCATGGTGTTTGATTTATGGAGGTGCCCGGTGCCAAATGCGTGAGGTGTTTTTGTTGTGCGCAGAGGCGACCAAGCGGGGCCTGGGGTCGGCGCTGCTGCGCAATCCGAGGAAGCTCGCGCGGCTGGTGGCCGGCATCGCAGAGGGCACGCAGCTGCCGCTCACGGTCAAAGTGCGCACGGGGACGTCCGCGTCAAAGATCAACGTGCAACAGGTCGTCGAACTGCTGCAGGGCGCCGGCGCTGCGGCTGTCATCGTGCATGGACGCACTGCAGAGCAGCGGTGCGAGAATTTCTTGCATATTGCGCTTTGCATCAGAATCTGTGCACATTCTAGCTTGGAAATAGTGTGCCTCTTGTATCATCTAGCCTCATGGGTGGAGCAAGATTTTTGTAGGGTCAAGGACATACACCCTTCGCTACCTTGCATCTATGGACCATTGCACTTTTGCATGGGGAGACAGATACAAATTGAAGAAGGACATGTGTCCTCAGCTGCCTTGCATCTGTGGAACTCTGCAGTTTGGACTCTTGTCGCGCACTGCTGATTGATTGAGATTATGAAAAGAAGGTTCTGGGGTGCTGCAGGTATAAGAAGCCAGCTGACTGGACTCTCCTCACTGAGGTGGCGCGTTCACATGACGTCCCCGTCATTGGCAACGGCGACATTCTGACATACTATGAGGTAAGCCACAGAACTGTTCCTCCCATTGTCACTTCACGGCCAATAAGAAGGATCTCTTTACTATGTACACTATCATTCCTGTAAGATGGAGGGATCGCTTCGCTGTGCCAGACTGTACAGAGGCGCTCCTTGTGAAGCAGGTAGATTAAGAAGTGTGTGGTGTATGGCGACAGGCACAGGAAAGGCTGGATGGCAGCGGCTGCCTGGCACAGATGGTGGGGCGAGGGGCGCTCATAAAGCCCTGGATCTTCCAGGAGGTCAAGGAGGGCAGGGAACTGAATTTAGATGCGTCAGATCGGCTGGGTATCTACCGCCAATTGGTCTCCCACATGAAGGAGCACTTTGGGGACGACGCCAAGGGCCGAAGGAAGGCCTTCTACTTCCTGCCCTGGCACTTTGACTTCTTCTGCCGGTATAGGTGAGGCGTCTGGCCCACTGCTTATCAGCGGAGGACCATGACATTTATGACATCTTCTGAAAATTTTGATTCAGGGCGAGTTAGAGACATTGCTTTAATTCAGGGCATGGGGATGAGATGGCATTGCAGGCAGCGCATTGGCATGGTGTAATTTTCAGATACGCCCCTGCTTGATTGTGATTTTTCTTCAAATATTGATAGGGGTGCCTCGAGCAGGAGCGCAATAATTACAAGGCATGCCTTGTGTCATCCTGCAATATGCAGCTAATATGGTAGTTGTGTTTGCTACCTAGGTACCTGCCAGAGGAGGTGTACAGGTCATCTTCACAGGAGCGGCCCCTGATTGGGCAGCGCATGGACACTGCAGCAGCCGAGCTGGGAGAGGAATTGGAGTCCCTGCCGCTGCTGGAGCGATTGCTGCGCTGTCAGTCAACCGACGCGCATGCAGAGATCGCTGCTGGTCTGTGGGACAGTGGTTCTGACCAGGAAGCAAAGGCTGCCCTGGAAATGCTGGCAGGCCAGAAGCTGAGTGAGTGGGAGGAGAGTGGCAGTGACCGTGAGGAACAGGTTGCACAGGGGTAGCCTGTTGATTTCCGTATAGCAACATGTGCTTAGGATTGAGTGTAGTGCAGCGTCCTCCCATTAGCATTAGCAAGCGCGACCATGTCGATGCTTTATTTTGAATTAGCTTACACATACTTTACCATTATTCTTCACCATCCTGGCAGTTTTCCACCAATGAGATATTGCTTCCATAAATTCGTAACACAATCATTTAGGATTTGACAGTCCCACTTGTGCTACTAGCCTTGATGGCACCCTCAGTCCCCATGAGGCAGGATTAATGCCGCATAAATGCCTCTCCTCGTTTGCCGACCTTCCAAAGTTCACACTGAGTATTTATCACCGCATGATTGCCAGTCTCTTCTTCTCCGACTGCGGCCGGGAATTGATGTCCTTTGCCGAGAGAGAGCGCAGCGGCAGTCGTGACAGCTGCAGAGCATGCAGATCATTTCATGTACCTATTCTGGACAAGTATGCTATGCAAGCCCTGCATTTATTCCACACATGGTGCACACACGCTGGCAGTAAGTTCACCCCAACTTTTAGACAATTCTGTGCATGACTGCTGCTTGTGTAGCACGGCATGTCAGAGAAACCAATCCAATGAGCACCTGAAGACTGCAATCATTATGTCCCAGCCATGCAAGATCTCGGAGCTGAGTTACCTTGGTGGCGCCTCCCTTCTTCTTGGGCTCTTCCGAGGGCCGCTCCTTGTGCTGCAGGAATTGGCGCATGCGCGGCAGGAAGACATCGTTGTACAGCTGCCGGATGTCCCTCACAGGCCCCTCTGTGTCCTCACCAATGCTCTCACTCACCTCCTGAAACAGCTCCATGCCGTGGTGTGGGGCCGCCGTGATCACAGCCTGATTGACTCTCTGCAGCATACAAAGCTCTACTGTCAGTCTCATCAAAGGTCATCTGTATTGGAAATGCTGCATACAGCACAGAACATGCTGCATGCAAATGAACTCCTGGTGGATTGAGGGAATAGTGCAGAGGGGAGGAGGGATTCACCTTAATGGACACGACAACATTGTGCATCCTGCTTGTGCCATACACGCAGCAGGAGACCAGGCGTGAGAGGTGTTGGTTGAACAGAAGGTCAAGGTGGTTCATCAGCATGGCATCCACCGTTGCCAAGCAGTCCTGCGCTCATGCCACTCCTTCGATTCTTGCTTTTTTTGACAGCACAGTCACTCCCAGAGGCAATCCACAGCAACACCTACTTCACCACAGGGGACAGAAAATGTCATTGCATAGAAAAGTTGGGGACGGCACTGCATAGGGCAATATGGCAGACCTGCACAAAGGTTGGGATCAGGGCCAGCTCCTCCAGGCGGTCAATCAGGGACAGGGCAGCTTGCTGTGCCCTGGACATTGCCAGCTGTGATACAGTCACCATGAAATCCTGCAGCACAAATATGACAACGATGGCGGCTTCAGAACATGTTCCTATCATGATAGAAGAAGGAGAAGCAGTTCATTCTCCTTCATGTGCCTATCTTCCCCTCTTCTGGAGATTGAAGATACAGCCCAAAATACATGTATGCATGACAATCAAATGATGACAGCAGGCATGATCGCGGCACCTGCAGGAGGGATGTGTCTCCAGGCTTGAAGGTGCCGCCGCCACCTTCTGCCATGATGACATAGAGGGCACTGCCATGCATCCAGGCCACCTCCTCAGCAATGCGCAGGCGCATGTAGCCCAAGTATCCCAGAACGCTGTCAGGAGTCCTGGATTCATGCACTTGCAAATGCTCCACACTGCCCACCTGTGCATCCAGATCTGCAGAGTCAGCGGCGCTCAACAGATGCATGAAACCCACCCATTTGCAGCATTTAATGTTTGGAGCATGGTCACCAATCCCATGCTCCATGAAATGCATGTCAGGCGCACAGACAAGCCATGTGATCGAGGATTGGATCTGAGGTCATGGAGTGCCGAACCTTCAGCAAGTATTGCTGGACGTAAATCTGTGCTTCCCATTGAGCAAAGATGCAGACGAGGGCCTTTGATCTGGCTGTCAGCGCTGGAAAGCTCAACTGCCCTGTGGTTGCAAAGAAGACCAGCTCTGCAATGCATGCCAGCAGTGCCATCTGGAAGGCTGTGTTGTTCATGATGTTGCTGACAGCATCGGAATCTGGTTTTCCATACTCATCTGTACGTTGCTGGAGCAACACTGTCTGCAGGACCCTGCATTTGCATCTCTTGATAAGATTGGAGCATCCCAGGGTGAGTCATGCAGTGAAGGATTTCTGCTTCTGGAACCGGCTTGTACCTGTAGTACAAGGTTGTGGTGCAGTTCGTGCATTGCAAGCTGTCTTCTCTTGAGCTGAATGCTGTCCTGCAGAATGTATTTGCCTGATTGACAACCTGAACCTGCAAAATCATTGCCAAACGACAGTAGATCAGATCTAGCAAACGCTGATCACTTTGCAACAACTGGAATTAGTGGGTACAGCTCCAAGCGAAAACGAGTGTCCAACAACAGGCAACCAAGAAGTCCTTTGCTCACCGTCGTTTGTCTTCTGAAGAGGTTGAAGATTTCATTTGGAGGTCCTTTGGCTGCCTGAGAAAGAACGTTGTGCATCCACTGTTGTGCTGCGGCCAGAGCGGGCTCGTCAAAAAGGAGCACTTGCGGTGCGTCCTCTGCAACTTGCATCCCTCCCACTTTTGCACACTCCAAGAGACAAAGGAGAAGATAGAGTGTCTCAGATCTCATCGGACTTGCGTTCAACTGCGTTCGCAAGTGCAGAGCAGGCTTCCGCACTTTGCATGCATGTCTTGAGGCTCGTGGGTTAATAGATATCTAGGGGGGCGTATAACGTAATAGAGAAGCCTCATTTGCCCTGTAATGGGAATCGTTGCATCGTATGCCTCAGTTTTTTCCTCAAATAGTCTAACTTTAATCCTGGTATTGAGACCTCTCCAGTAACAAGCAGTGCCCATCTCTTTATTCTGCTATCAGCCTGTGGTGCTGAAACTCTGGCGTTTATTTGTTCCGCTTAATGTCTGGAGTTGTTCACTTTAAATTCAAGTCCGCGATCTCTTTCGATTCAGTGCAGTTCGATGGTGCCTTTGTGACCGTTGGAGAGCTTAAGAACCTCATAGCTGAGAAGAAGGGACTTGGCAGAGAAGCTACTGTTGAGCTCGTACTTTCTGATCCTCGCTCTCATGCCGAGTACAATGATGACGCCCATCTGCTGCCGAAAAGCACTTCCGTACTCGTGCGAAGAGCGCCGGTGTCAAAGCTGCGCGCCCTTGAGGGAGGCACAGAAGATGCGGGAGTGACAAGCACAAGTGCAGCCGCCCCAGCCAGTGAGAGACCCAGTGCAGCACAGAGACCACAGCAGCTACCACAGCAGCAATTTCCTACTTTTCGTCCAGCGCCGCAGGATGATTTCGGCGGCGATTTGTATGCCCAGCAACAGCAGCCAGCGTCAAGTACTGCTGGAGCAGGGAGCACAGAGGAGGACGCGCTTGCCAGCCGTTTAGCACAGACTGGGGCGAGCTGGCAGAAGGAGGTGGCAGCAGGAGGCGGCAGAGGGAGGGGACGAGGCAGGGGCCGCGGCGGCAGGGGTGGAATAGCAATACCTCCTCCCAACTACATCTGCTTCCGCTGCAACCAGGGCGGGCACTACATTGGCGACTGCCCAACAAACGGCGACCCAGAATATGACAGGAAGCGCATCAGGCAGCCAGTGGGCATTCCCCTGTCCCGCCTCGCGATCAACACCGAAGGCGGCCTGGTGCTGCCCGGCGGACACACAGGCTCCCTCGTGCCAAACGAGGATGTCTTCCAGCGCGAGATGTTTGGGGCCCCAAAGCAGCCCAAGCCGGAGCAGCAGAAGCTGGCGGATCAGCCCAAGCCCGCGCTTCCGCAGCCCGCAGCCAGCAGCGAGCGTGCTGCTGGTGCACCCCTGCTGCTCGACAACAAGCCGCACGCAGACGACACGGCTGGCCAGGAGGTGGTGGTCTACCAGGCTCCAGAAGCAGCGCCCACGCTGGCAGGCGACGATCAGCTGTTCCTGGCGCTCGCTCAGCCGCTCGCCACCACCAAGCCCAAGACCTCCCCAGCGCAGGCCAAGAAAGCCGCCCCAGCCAAGCCGCCGGCGGCCGCGCCGGGGAACCCCTGGCTGCCGCCGCTGCCCATGCCCCTGATGCCCCCGGGCGTGGCTGCCCCTGCGCCCTTCATGGCGGCCTTCACGCCGGATATGGGCGGGCCCCTGTCCAAGGAGGCCTTCGAGGCGCTGCGCGTTGCGGCGCTGCGTGACAAGCGGGCCGGCTCCAGCGACAGCAGCCGCTCACGCTCGCGCAGCCCTAGGCGGTCGCGGCGGCGGTCGCGGTCTGGCAGCCCGGGCAGGGACGGCAGTGGCCGCCGGCGCCGGCATGCGGACCGGGGCGCGCGGCGCAGCCGCTTCGGGGACAAGCGGCGCGCGGACGCGTCCGAGAGCCCTGCGCGCAGCGATGAGCGCCCCAGCCGGCAGGAGCGGCGCAGCCGCAGGGATGCCCCGGCAGCGCCGCCTCGCGCAAACGACGGGCACCATGCCAAGCGCCGACGAACTGCTCCGGTGCGTGGTGCACACAAACAAGTTCACTCCGTGCTTGCAATGTGCTGCTGCCAATTGTGTATTCTGCTAAGTTCTGACCCGAACACCTGAGAGTCTGATTGTGATGCATTAATGCATGCGGGCTGTGATTGCCTTGGCTGCTTGTCTGCAGCTGTTCAGCAGTCCTGAAGTGCTAATTTATGTCTGGCAGGAGCAGCGGCGCATGCAGGAGGCGCCATCTGGTGAGGAGGCTCCCCCAGACGAGCGCTTTGGGGCGGCCATGGACAGATGGGAGCCTGGCAGCGATTTTGAGAGCAAGACTGTGGCGCGGTCGCACCGCAGCAGGAGAGCAGGAGCAGCAGCGAATAGTGGAGTCCAGGATCCTGCTGCCCAGCCCCTGATGCAGGCCTCTGATGCTCGCCCGTCAGAGGCTGCCAGTGCAGATGCAGGCACAGGGGCTGAGGCGGCTGTGTCTGGCCCAGCAGCATCAGATGGCGTGGCAGACAGGTTGGGGATGCGCCTCTGTTTCATCTTTGCATGTTGGATTGAATTGGTGTTCTGCAGGTTGCTTGTGCATGTGAGTGGAGCGTTTAGGTTATTAAGTGGTGCAATTCTCAACTCTTGCAGGCAGTCCAGGTTCCACTGTGCTTTGGCAGCGTGTTGCAGCATTGCAGAACAGACAATTTCGCTTGTTGCTTGGGTGGCCAGTTGAACAAAATTGCTGTAGGCACAGCACAGTGGTTGGGTTGCTTGCCTCAAGGACAGATATCTGGGTGCTGTATCTGGCTGCTACAACATGTAACCCGGTCTGACAATGACCAAAGAACAATTGATGCTGAGATTTGTAGTTGGCAGAAGCAAGTCCTGATGTGGGCTGCTGGAAGGGATATGGAAGGCTGTGCTGTCATGCCGGCCCATTGCTACTCATTGAGCAATCCACATTGCGCCCAGAAAAGAAGAGAGAGAAAAAAAACAGGGCAAAAAGCAATGAAGCCTATGACTGTAAAGAGCAGATGCTGGGCACAGCGCCTCTGTGTATTGTATGAGCGCTTTAGATCTGTTGTGCAGTTGTCCATTCAAACCTGATTTGCCTGATTGGCAAAGTATCAACACTGCTAAATCAAGACAGTCGATACTTCTTATGTGTGCCAACCTGTGGCTGTCATCTTCGTGCATAGATATCTGCCTTGTTTGTATGGGTTGTGAAGCTGTTTGCCGATTGCTTGCACTTTTGCATTGTATCTGCTTTGCGTTCTATGTCAGACAGCCAGTGATGTTCCTTGGGAAAATATGTTGTTTTGCATCTTGTTTGCAGAGGCGTTCCAGAGCAGCAGGGACAGCAGCAGACACTGGAGCCCATTGCACTGCTGGAGGAGCTTGATCAGGCGCCTCCCATGGCTTTCAGCAGCAAGGCAGCTCCTGGGCAAGGAGTGCAGAGCGAGGAGCCGAGGGACAGGGGGCGGGACAAGGAGAAGAAGGAAAAGAAACACAAGAAGCATAAGAAGCACCACAAGAAGGAAAAGAAGCATCACAAGAGGGGTGAGCCTGCAGGACTTCTCTGCTCTAGTCCTTAAGCTGAAATGCTTTGTGATGCTCACTGCAGTGCATACGCTGCATGATCGTCAACATGCTCACCTGTTGTGCTCTGTGCAGACCTGCCAGACAAGAGTGACAGGGATGAGCGGGAGAGCAGTGCAGAGGCTGAAGGCGACCAAGAAATGAGCCAGGTGTGCAAAGAAGTGCTGACTGTGCCATGAGCCCTGTTCGCCATGGCATTGTATATGACTTAGGCAAATTAATCCAGTCCTGCAGCTTTTCTGACGAGCTCCCTTCCTTTGTAACCAGGTCCAGACAGAGGCCAAGAGGGCGGCTGCTGTGCCTTCCCTGGTGCCCAATCCCCGCTTGTTCCAGCTTAGCCACTCAGCCGCCACAGCATCAGCTAAGCTGCAGGCGAACAACCGGCACAGAGCTGGCTGACAGGTGTGGCCAGACCTCTCCACGGATTACAGAGAGCAAGTCCTCTTCGAGCCTGTCTGTGCATGCATGCAAGGGTTTGCGCCGCTGTGTACCAGCTATGCTCAGAACTCATACTTGTGTCGTGTTGCCGCAGGTTTGTGCCGTGCTGATGTGGACCAAGCGCTGCCCAGCGCGTTCGTTTTGGCCTTTCAAACAAGTTGGGCGAAGCGCACATGGAGGGGTCTCTGGCAGGCTAGCATGTGTCCAGCTAAGGAGCACGCTGTTGCGAGTTGCACTCCATATTGCACGGGATGGACTCATAGGTTGTTTATGTATTGATACTCGGGGCCATGCAACCTCCACTGGCAGTGGCCGGGCATGGTTTTATAACACAATTTTGGCTCCGGAGACCACCACATTGGGTGCATGATCAAATGTATGAGATTGGCAGCTTTTCTGTTCAAGCACATATATGTATCTTAGACATAGAATGATGAGTTAGAAAAGTCTAGGGAAGAAAGTGCAGAAAGTGAAACACTCAGAGCAGTTGCTCCCTGGTTCAGAAAAGTTGTAAAGGATCTGTGAGAGAGAGATCTGAGGGCCCAGACCCGGGTGCCAAAACAGGCATCAGAGTCCTTCAAATGTACACAATGGCAGAAAACTTGCACGCTGAGAATCTAGAGAATTAATACCATAATGTCCGGTCCTTTTGTAAAGATGCAGGGGTCTACCTGTCTGCTTGCAGCAGCATCACGACCAGTACTGACGCCTTTCCGAGATCACAGATCCAGATGCTCTCAAAGTCACTCATATGCTCGAGTTCAGAGGCCACACAGGATTAGAATCAATACAAAATGTGCAGCAAGCGCACAAGCTGCAGCTGGATCCAGGCCCCTTCGATTCATCCAGCACAAAAAAGAAGCCCTATTCTTCTATGCTTTCTTGAGCCAGGTGTACGATTATATTGGTGAGTACCTCCGTATGTGTCTTCTTAAATCAGTCTGCAGATCACAACAACCTTGTGCGTCTGCACCATAGTGTTCCACGCGAATTTTGCAGTGCCTTGCAGCATCATTTTTGCATATTCACCATCAGGACCAACGGCTGTTCCGCCGCTGCCATCTACATGCAGCTTGCAGAGTGTCTTTTTGATTTATCGTATGACTCTTCGTCATATTCCAAGATGACGGCGGGCAATTTTCGTGTGGACGGACGAGCTAACTGGTGTCCTGCATCATTGCAGTCAACCCTGGCCACTGGACCGTGGACATGCGAACGGAGGCTCTGGAACCCGCCAAACTTGACAATCCTAAACTCAAGGTGCGCATGAGCTCTGTGTCATGATAGCCAAACTGCTGGCATGGAGCGAGGAGCTTGAGAAAGGAATTGCCACCATCAAGGCTGTTGTGAAAGGTTGGCGTCAATATCTCATGTTCATAGACTTGGAGAAGAAGGAAGTTGATACTCCCTTTTTCTCTGGAAAATTATCATGTTTGCTTGCTTGTTGTATGTAGGTGGTGGATGTTGGTGGCGGCACCGGTTTCTGCACACAGGGCATAGTAAAGACGATATCCCCCATCAATGTGGTGCTTATGGATCAGTCCCCGCAGCAATTGGCCAAGGCTAAGAAGAAAAAGGACCTTCAAGGGGTCACCATTGTTGAGGTGCAGCTTCCTTCTGCTGTGCTAGTGCAAGTGCCCAGCAGCGGGGCAAGGTTTCCTCTGAAACATACGAACAGGTCATTTTGGTAAACACGCACCTACTGTTCCTTCAATGTGGCGTAGGGAGATGCAGAGGATCTGCCTTTCCCCACCGACAGCTTTGACAGATATGTGTCGGCGGGCAGCATTGAGTACTGGCCAGAGCCCCAGCGAGGCATAAAGGAAGCATACAGGGTGATCAAGGAGGGTGGCCTCGCTTGCATGATTGGCCCCGTGCACCCCACCTTCTGGCTGTCCAGATTCTTCGCTGACATGTGGATGCTCTTCCCCACAGAGGATGAGTACCGCGAGGTGAGCAGCTCTGCCACGTGTAAATCCCCCAATGGTAATGGTGTTAAGGAATAAGCCAGTAAATAAGCAGTAGGGCTTTATTCCAGGTTTGAGCACTGAAGCAACCGTGCCAAGATGTTATGCATGCTGACCCACATGTGCTGCTGCAGTGGTTCACCAAGGCAGGCTTCACGGACGTGAAGATCAAAAGGATCGGGCCCAAGTGGTACCGCGGAGTGAGGCGGCATGGCCTCATCATGGGCTGCTCTGTCACTGGCATCAAGCCAAAGGTGCGGCCAAGGCGCTGCACGCCCCAAAGGACAATTGACTCGTGCAGAATCAGTCATGCGTGACTTGCGCACGCTGCATTGTACCAAAATGCCGACACTGTGAAGCAGAACCTTCATTGAAGGAAACTTTGGAAAGTAGGCAAACTAGATAGCAAGCAGGATTTGTTGCTGTGTGGGTGGCAATGCTGAGCAACAGCTGATCTGGATGCCCCAGGCTGGAGACTCACCGCTGGAGATGGGCCCGAAGGTGGAGACTTCTGGCAGCACAAACAACATCTTCAGCTTCCTCTTCCGCCTGATCATAGGCAGCCTGGCCGGATTCTACTACTTTGTGCTGCCCGTCTACATGTGGCTCAAGAATCTGATTTGGCCAAGAAATGCACCTGGGTTCTGAGATGGTGATGTGGCTTGGCTTGACTTAGGTGTGGCTTGATGAGTACTGCGCTTGTTCTCATGATCAGTACTGCGGGGACTGTGTGCATTAAGTCATTCACGGCAGTGACATGGTTCCACGACTGGCATTCAGAGGATCATGTGCATTTCTTGCATAGAGTATTTGTTCCTGCAGGGCGGGCCTAGAGAAGATTCGCCAATTGTTTGCTGTGCGGCTTGCGTTGTATGTCTGTCACCTAGACTTGAATGGCAAACTGGACAGAACTGATCTGGCTGAGAGTGGGGCAGCTTGATCGAAGAGGAAGTGTCCAGTGGGCTGTTCTGAATGAATGAACCTCATCAGGGCTCAGCAACTCATAATTGCCATCTAGCTCCATTGTGACTGCATGTGAATCATGATTGCTATAACCGTTTATTGCTGTAAATTAGGTATGATCAGTAATAATGTCATTGACATCATCACTTTGGTTCTTGTCAAGGTCTTGAGGCTTGCGCATCACCAGAATTTATTCAGTACTGTAAAACTGGACACTGGCCCTTGAAGCTTGTAGTACTTATATTGAACATTGGCAGTAGTCTCAAGCTGCTTGGGATGTGTGGCTTCCAGAATACAAGGATACAAAAGGATCATTCATTTTCATACATAGGCCAGATTTAATCCAAGTTGGTGCATGCATGACATGCGAGCATGCACCACGCAGCATGAATGCACAGGGTACAAACCCTGACCGCCACCATAGTGTACAAACACGAACTGATTCAGTGAATAAATGTACAAAATTTCTTCAATTCTACATGGGCAGGAGCAGGCAGAACCCCGATCATCGACATGATTTGGAGTGCAAGGCAACCTTTCCTGGAAGCGACATGAAGCTAGTCTCGATCGACTGTTTGCAATCAACCGATCCTTGTGACAACGCAACTCTGAACGACAGAGATTCTATAACAATCCTGAGATATAAACTGTTTTAGCGATGTAGGGTTGCAGAAACGTTTTCCTGTGCAAGCATTTGTGGTTTTGGCATGTCGAGCTTTCTCTTCTGAGCTCGCTTCAACTCTGGCAGCTGTGCCTGAATGCATCAACAAAGTCCAGAATCACACCAAACACTACGTCTATCGAGACTGCTGGCACTATGCTTCGGGCAATCTGTGCATTTTGGCGCACGTGCGCCTTCTCACTTGTGAAAAGGAGTCTGGTCAGGTTAGACGGACAAATTCTGATAAGACAACAAGAAAGTAGCTAGTCAACTCATTATTTATTGCAAACCAAAAAAAAACCTGGAACCCGTTTGAGGAAAATCAACAAAGACCAGTGTTCATGGGGGCTGCGTCCTCTCTCGCGCTTGCGCTGTCCAAGTCTTCTGCAAGTATCCCAGCTGATGTCCAAAACAAAAAGAAGCACATTACTTTTCGTGCCTTCCTCGTGCCCGTTTTGTTTCTTGTTTGCAGCGGTCTTGTCGCGTCTCGGCTCAGCCCTGACGGCAAAGTAGGACTTGTCTTCAACCCGACTCAGCCGGAAGATGCGCCTCCAGGCCGCCTGGCCGAGAGTTTCATCTTCCCGCAAACGACGTTGTCAGCACAATGCCATGACTGGTGTATCAGCAGAAATGACTCCAGCAGCCATGCTCCAGCGTTCGACAACTGTTTCGCTCAATGCCGTCAGCACCCTGAGGTGATGAGCTTCTTGTCAGCGATGCGGGCTTCTGCGGCTGTGCCGCCTTCTGGAGAGGACCACAACATCATTTTCGCTGCCTGGTATGCCGAGGGCGAGGGTGGAGCAGAGGTGTGCTGCATACCCGGGCCACCTTTGATGATTGCTTTTTGAGGTTTGCCCGTTTACCACTCCTCTCAGGCAAGCGTAGTAATGCATGAATTCAATTTGCATTTTTAAAATCAATACTAGCGCTAGGTTGCTTGGGTTGTTCAAGAAGTGTTGTTCCTGCAGGGTTTTGACTCGGAGCACATGGCGAAGCCAGACACCAGCTTCATATCTGCCCTGCGCCGCTCCAACCCAGGGTGCACCATCGTTGTGCTGACGGATCAAGGCACGCAGATCGAGCTGCCACCGGATGTGCGCCTGTACAGATATGCCATTGACCGCTCCAAGCTAGGCCGCAACCCCTATGCCAACTACTACCAGTACCTTGCGCAGGTGCTGCCGCACAGACCAGCCAGACCAAATCTGTCCTCTGTTTGACAGGGCCTCAACAAAGCTCCAGGATTGCCCAGCCAGCAGTGGTTGGGTTCTCTGGACAATCCCATGAATTTTAGACCTGCTTAGTATTTCTTCACATGGAAGAAAGTGCGGGACACAGTTCTGCGCCCTACGGTAGTCTCCTGTCTTTCCCATGCATGCGCGGGCATGTCAGTGAAGCTGTGTGACCTGTGCATGCGCAGATCTCGTTCCTGCAGCACCTCATGGCGAAGGGCCTTGCGCAGAGCATGGATGTGGTCTTTCTGGACATGGACATCCTCGTGATAGACTCCCTTGCCGAGGTGCTCCACTTCCTCCGCTGTTCAGAGCAGTGCATTTCATTGCAGCAGATTCACAATCTCCTGTTGCCACCGACAAGGGCTTTTGATGGGGAGGACCCTGAGCTCAGGTGACTATTAATATGCTATGGTATAATTAAGAAACTTATTGAGTGAGTATGCATGCCCCCGCCCCTGGTTGTCCCTCAAATGCAGGCTGACAAGACTATGATCTGCTGATAAGCTATGCCTGATCAGCTTATAGAATTAGACAGGATGGCAGGCCGCATGGGTTAATCTTAAGCTGTATTTGATTAAAGCAGACCTGCATGCATGCAGGTCTTCAAGGAGGGGCCAGGATTCGACTATGCCGTGACACTATCGGATGCTGTGGACATGCCAGTCAACATTGGGATGCAGTTCGTGCACCACGGCCGCTATCCGGGCGCTGTTGCCTTCCTGGAAGACGTCTTGGCCGTGTACCCCTTCAATGAGACCTTCGTCTCTGGACAGGTGAGCAGACATACAGCAGCCTCTCTGTGTACTACAGTAATTGCAGTCGTCTTGTCGAATTCTTCTCACCAAATGTGCAATATATTGTTCAGTCCAACCGCTTGATGCTTCTAGATTCACAGGACAGGTTTAACCTGCCTGCCCTTCCACATTGCTCTAGGGTGCGTGCCAAAGGGATTCTATCTGTCTGCCTTGTGACATGCTAGGCAGTACCCTTGTCGTGTGCACCTTACAGCAAGCTGTGCGCCCTGGTCTTGCTCCTCTGCTTTGTTGAGAAGAATGCTGACCAGTGGTGACCGAATCTGTGCTGCAATGGGCTGTCACAGGTGGCGCTAGGAAATCTGATAGGCCTGCGGTACAACGATGAGCAGCTGCTGACTCATTACAAGAGCGCAGTGCGCGACCGCAGCAGCGCCAAGCAGGTGAGGGGTCGCCACAGCGTGCACAGCGTGCGCTTCCTGCCATGCATGCGCTACAACTACTGCCACGCTGGCCAGAGCTGCTGCACCGATCCGGACCGCTTGCCGGTGTCCGTCACCACTGAAGAGGAGCTGACCGACACACGCGTCAAGGTGCGCCAGTGCTGAGCCGCTGCTGTGTTTATCAAGCACTTGTGCACAGTGCCTCAAGGTACATCAGCCTTGGCCAAGTCCAGGTGTCACCCTGCCGAGCAGCTGCAGTAAAGATGAAGCACTTGTGTTTATTTGCCTCAAGATGACCTGATCAGTCTTGGTGTCAAGACAGAAATATGATCCCTGTTGCGGATAAATAGAGCATATGGAAAAATGCAGGGATGAATCTGCCATCAATCTTGACTGTTTAGTCACCAGTATCGGCAGAGGATTGGCATGTGTCACAGATGTTCTTGACAGGTACAGTGCCTGGACAGTAAGAATGCACACTGGACAAAGATTCTTTTTGGCGCTCGCTCTTCCTTGATGTCTGTGATTCATCTTTAAGTGCAGAGAGGACTTGAGAGGCGTGCATGATGCTGATGCATGCTGTGTCATGCCGTGCGCAGGTGCTGCATTTTGTGGGCCACAGGAAGAAGGCGCTGCGGCTGGTGCATCGGGCCTTCATGGAGGGTGGCTTGGAGGGTGCATACCGAGTGCTGTCCATGCTGCCCCACACCAGCGATGACTATGCATCCCTGGATGTGTTCCCCCTGGAGAGCCTCCTGCTGCCCTGATCAAGCCACGTCAATTAAGCGCGCCTGCAGCGCTTTGTAACACAGGAGGAATTAAGACGAGCTGGCTGCTTCAACGCCAGTACAAAGCATGACTCGTAGAGATGTAGGCCGGATAGAGATTCTTCGGGCACTGGCCCAATTTTTGTATGTGATCCAAATGTGCAGTAGATGGATTGCCCCTGCGCCAATCACTTTGGCGAGCCACATATTTTCGTACATGCAGTCTTGTTCGTTCTTGGTGAGATAATAGCTGATCAGTAGTGTGGCCATGTGCATCTATTTTATTCATCAGGTAGGATCTTATTCATGTCATTCTTTCATGTCTGCTATTTATGCAGTTTCACCAAGTCAATTACCGCAGCTCCCAAGCCTGTGGAGCCTTTTTAACGAGCAAGTACGGTGCTCAAGACAAGCAAGTACTTTGCTCACACACTGCAAGGACAGTTGCGCAGACTGCAAAGTGTGTCTGCAGATTTTGGGCCTCCCGGGGTTTGCAGGCATTTTTACGACTCTAATTGTGACTAAGTGCAGCTCCTGCAAAGTATATGTGTGTAGGACAAGTGTGCTCTCTGCAGAGCAAGTCCACTTAGGGGAACAGGCTGTTTGCCCACCATGAGTGAAGCATAGTAATAATCTTGCGTCTGCACAATGCAGAGGATCAAGACTTCCCATAAAAGCAACTGGATCTCTTCGTTGTTAGGCCTGACTTTTCATTATGGACACATGCAAGAAAGCCTTATAAGCCTTTAATCCAACACCAAGAGTGCTGCCATCAGGGCTGCAGCCTTGTGATCATACAGCGATAGCTTGCTTTCTGCACTGGTGAAGCTATCTTGAAATTAGGCTGACCAGCGCTAGTTGAACCATTTTAATAAATTTTGACAAGGAGTAAGATGAAAGGCTGAGGGGAGGCCTTGTCTGCGATATTTGCCACTTTGCAATCGCTCGACTGCACTTTCACTAAAGAGACTGTCAGAGCACTATCTTGGATAGTATTGCATGCGTGCGGCTGATAGAATGGAGTGACTGGCTCCTGAACGAAGCAGGGAAGAGTGGATACAGCCTGTTGTTAACCAAAACATGCGTTTCTTGCAGAGCTAAGATAAAACCACCGCTTCTGCATGCAACTCTCCAGACAACAAGATCCCCAGTCTCTGAGTCTCTTTGCCATTGCTGCAACCAGGCATGCTGCAGGGCTGCCTCAGCAGAGAGCTCCTTGGCGAGCAGGTGCGCTAATAAGTGTGGGCTTCCTGCGAGTCACCCATAGGCAGCACGCTCTGCAGGGCCTTGCCAAACTGCCGCATGTCTGACCGGGTCGTTTATTTGCCCTCATCCAGGTTCAGCTCATCCCAGTTTGTGAAGCCCTCAAATTCCTCAGGCAGGGCTGCGTCTGCCTCTGCTAATGTCTCCAGATCGATGAGCATGAACGGATCTGGCCCCAGCTGCACAATGTTGTCCCACCTGGGGTCTCTGTGCACGAGGGAGTTTCTGTGCAGCATCAGCAGGGCTTCGCACACGTCCCTTGCACAATTCTGGGCATCCTGCGAGCACCAAAAAAGGCCATCCAAATAACTCTGCGCACTCTTGATCTTTGCTCAATTTGACACTTTTGCACAGCCTTGTATATAGAGAGAATGGCTCTGCTCGCGGCAAGAAGTAAATAAGAGATTCAGGCATGCCCGAACTGCTGTCACAAACATGCAGGATGTATTCCAAGGCAAGCATGCGCACCCTTTCGTGGCATATGAAAGCCTTGTAGCCAAGGGGCTTGGTTATCACGTGATACAGCTGTGAGCACCAGGTCCCAATGGTGGGGGCCTTTTGTGCACACAGCAGCACAGGCTTTCCACCATGCACCGCTGCGGCCTCCCCCCACCTTGTAGGCCCGTCTGACGGCCTCCAGGGAAGTGTGCTTTGTGCTGAAGTAATCGTCAGAGTTCTTGATCAATTCTTGCAAAGAGTTGCCCAGCACAATGAGGTCCCTGCACAGCATCACAGCCAATCAGTGGGAAGCATGTTCTGTCCAGATTTCTCAGTATTCAAGCATATACAACACTGCCAACAGAGAGGAGGGTTTTCAGTGACAGGCAGGCATACTGAGAAGCCTCTCACCTGTCACCCCGTGTGTCTCTGAAGAACAAAGCCAGGCGGTCGGGCAGTGCAGGGACATGCTTTCACATCGTCACCATCACGCGGTAGAGGTTTGCCAGGCTCAATATGAAGCAAAGCCTATCCATGCGCTTGTTCAGGAACAGCAACGGGCCCACTGGCACGAGCTGCAGTCCAGCACAGCAGACAAGATTTCGGAGCAGGAAAGACAAATTTTTCAGAAGCTTACAGACATATGCAGACACAGGACAATCTGGTAGCTTTGGGACATGGCACTCTCAAAGTAAACCCTCATTTGGGGACTCTGCGTTTGTTGGGATATGGCGGGTAGGCATAGACATCTCACCGTGTTTCCATCGGCCCCTACAAAGTATTACAGTGGTCGCAGCTGCTGCATATCCACCAGAACTGCACAGGTCCATAGTGGAGCGGTGAAAGGGGCTGCTTCTTTCTGTTCAACTCGGAGGGCGGCAGCTCTGGGATGAGGTGCCTTGCCCATTTGCCGGAGTGAACCACTGAGCTACCTGCAAACTGGACCCTTATCGATCTGGAAGACACCCAGCATGCTTGCTCGCTAGCACAGGCTAAAGAGCACGATGTAAAGGCAGAGGAGGCTAGATGGGCAATTGGCTTTGGGCGGGCTTGCCTGAGTGGCTCGGACCGTGTGGTGACAATCATATATATATGTAATAAGTTAATCACCATGCTCCAAAGTCTAATAAATAGTCCAAAGCCTCCACCTTCTGGTCGTAGTCAGGTGGCCTTGGGCTTTGGAAATCGAGGTCTACTCGGAGCTTCTTGTAGTGTCATATCTCCTCCATATCACCTGCAAGGACCCATCCAACACACTTTAGCCAGTGGCTTTTATAGGTCAGAGGCCGAACGAAACCGCAAAAGCACTGTTACGGCAGTGCATGCAATCAACCCCGTCATTTTCTTTCAAGCTAGCCTCGCAATTGTTCGAGGTACTTACGAGGCACGTGTGAGTAAAGTAGGCAGGTCTGGCCACCAGCTTCAGACACTTGAGGTTCTCAAGATCCTCTTCAAAGACAAAGAGTGCTTGAAAGATAATTCTGAAAATGGTGCTCACAGCAAGCACACATATTGTAGAACAATCGCAACGTCATATTTATTTGCATCCTTCGGGCTGCAGTTTTTCACCCAGCAGAAAATGCCAATGCTGTGACCAGTCTGCCCGAAAAGGGCACCGGGCAACTCGTCGTCCAGTGAGGCCTGGGCAGAGCACAATAACAAAGAGCCGTCAGTGGAAACTCCGGAAGAGTTTCCAGTTCAATGAAGCAAAGCTAGCAGTGCTCTGCGCCTTGATATTGAAGACACCGGAACACGATGGGTCCACAGAAGAAGCGGGTGCGCGATCTTCCGTTATGTCGATAACGGCAAATTGTTCATCTTTGCAAATTTTGTTTCTTCTCTGACACCGATCTTTGGCGCAGGGTCAAGCCGGTAACGCAGTCCAGTATATCACAAGGAACCAAGCATTGAAAAGATTGCAGTTGAAATTGTCGGAATTCAGGTAAGCAGCCCTTGGGCTAAAATCTCTGGTACTATTTTCTTATGATGTGTTGCGATGTATCCCTATGGATGCCATACCTTGCGTCTGCAGGCGGATATGCATATTGAAAGGTATTCATCCACGCGAGCCGAAGAAGAAGACGCAGGGGCAGAACAAGACGTACTACCACGTGAAGGACATCAACTTCCTTGCACATGAACCGCTGCTGAACAAGCTCAGGTAGGATCCGAACTCAGATCTCGCAGCCCGTAATGTTCCTTTCAGGCTGGTGCTGGACCATATGTGACATTGACAACCATATCACGCGCAGCTCTTATGTTTAGCCATTGCTGGCTGCTGCAGGGATGAGCACGTCATTGAGCGCAAGATCAGGAAGGCTCGGGCAAAGAAGAACCGCGACCTGGCAGAGCGCCTTGCGACCCTGCGCCCCAGGCACCGCCTTGATCACCTTGTGAAAGAAAGGTAATTCCCAATCATCTTCCTTCTCCTTTCCAGTGACGACTTAGTGTTGGTCCTAGCTCTCGGGCAGGAAGCCAGACCTTACATCACGCACATTCAACTGCACTTGCTTATACCCTGTGTCCTGCATTTGGCGAATTGTTGCATTAACGTCCATGCTTCCTGGGAGAGCTATGTCGCGTGCACTCGTCAAAACAGGCAATTGATAACATGCAGCGCGCTTACGGCAGGTACCCATCGTTCGTGGACGCGCTGCGCGATCTGGACGACCCGCTGACGCTGGTGCACCTGTTTGCGACGCTGCCGGCCGAGGACGCGCACAAAATCCCGGCCAAGGCGGTGGCGACCTCGCGACGGCTGGCGCTGGAGTGGCAGGCGTGGGTGGTGCGCACGGCCGCGCTGCGCCGCACCTTCGTCTCCGTCAAGGGCTTCTACTTCCAGGCAGATGTCATGGGCCAGCCTGTCACCTGGCTCGTGCCGCACGCCACCTCACAGGTGCGCCAGCATAATGGCTCGCCCCACAATTTGCTCTCGCTGGTCCTGTCATCTGTCACTGCTTTCCCTGCAAATGAGGCGCCTTTGTCCGCTTGGCTGGCTCGTGCCGCACGTCACCTCCCAGATGCGCTAGCAAACGTCAAAGCGCGGCCTTGTTGACAGATTTTTGGAAGATAGGACTAATGACTTCTAGCAGAACTAGAAGAGCTGTATGCTCCTCCCACAAATTTCCCTCTCTTTGGTCCTGTCATCTGTCAATGCTTTCCTTGCAAGAGAGGCGTCCTTGTTCCTTGGCGGGCTTGTGGACTTGTGTGTGCTTGATTGCTCTGGTGGCAGACTGGAGCATGAACGGGATTTGTGATGCATTCTACGATTGCTGGATCCTCATTGCTGGAGCCCTCTTTTTACTAAAATTACATGAGTATGTGCAGGTGCTGCCCATGGACGTGGACTACAGGGTGATGCTGACGTTCCTAGAGTTCCACCACACCATGCTGCAGTTTGTCAACTACAAGCTGTACCACGCTCTGGGCGTGCGCTACCCGCCTATCGTCGACCCCAAGCTCGAAGAGGCGGCCGCCGGCCTGTCAGCCATTATGCAGGTGCCTTTCTCATTTGTCAACCTGGTCTGACCAGCCCCTGCCGAGCTCACGAAATTTTTGATTTGCGCATGCTCTTTTGAGGGCAGTCTTATTGAGTTCGTGGCAGTTGATGAGTCGTCTGTGGGTGCAGGATCTGGCCAAGGGGGCGGGTGCGCAGCTGGATGCCCCTAAAGGGGCAGGCGAGGCGGCAGCAGAAGTGAACCCTGAGGTTGCCCAGCGCATGGCTACCCTGCCTGCAAAGCTGAAGGAGCTGCAGGGAGCGCAGGTGCTCATTTCTGCGACTGTTATCCGTCTCACAGTCCGCAGTACTTTAGCTGTCATTCCTCAGATGCGCACTGCAGGGTACAAGTCTTGGTGCTGAATTGAGATGGTGTGTGTGCAGGAGGGTGAGGCAGCACAGGGCATGGAAGAGGAGGCGCGTAGCGGCAGCAGTGATGAGGATGCGGGCAGCATCAGCTCAGGAGAGGATGAGGACGAAGATGAGGAGCCTGGCACAGACAGGGCAGCTGAAGATGAAGGTGAGGCAACGCATTGTACTTTATGATGGCATCACAACAGAATAGTCACAATAGTCACTACAGAGTAGTCAGTTCAGAGAGGGAAGCAAGTCTGCTGGCCTGAGAAGAGGTGTTGGTCTCATATATTTGGCTTGCTGCCTGCCTGCAACAGCAGGCAGGCCTTGGGTGCCGTTTCTACTGGCGCCCTTGTCAGCGCTATGCCGCACAGCACCACATGGGGTGTGTCTGCAACTTCCATATCCACTGGGAGCACTCTTGTGCCTGACCTTTGGACCCACAGAGCAGCCAGCATTCTACCTTATAAACCCCAACCCACTCCTGAGACGACACCTTCCCAGTCACGCAACACCGCTCAGGCTCTGTACCGAGAGTCCTAAAAGGAATTGCTAGTACAAAGCAACTTTTACAAAACGCAGTGTGCCCGACACCCAGTTGCGTGACGACTTGTACATGTGACACAGACATGGAGGAGGCGGCGGCTGAGGGCAGGGGATCAGACGCCGGTGCGCTTGTAGTGGCCGAGCTGGGCGCGGACGGCGCGGCGGCTGCCGGCGGCGCGGCTGATGTGGACGCGGATGACGAGGCGGCGGTGTGCGGCGCGCTGTTCCGGGGCCTCACGTTCTTCCTGGGGCGGGAGGTTCCGCGCGAGGCGCTGATGCTGGTGATCCGCTCTTTCGGGGGGACTGTGGGGTGGCAGGGGGAGGGGTCACCCATCCAGGAGTCGGACGAGTCCATCACCCACCAGGTGCGTGTTTTTGAAAGTGGCTTGTTCTGATCTACCTTGAGTCACATGCAGCACAGAACTCGTGGACGGTGCTGGCATGCTTCAATGCTTGCCCGAGCATGCCTGCACTGAACACCTGCAGAGCTGTTTGCTGTATGGTGCAATCTCCTGGTTGCTGGATCCCTTTTGCCTGACCTTTCTGCTCGAGATTCTGCCGCTTGCGTACAAAGCAGGCGACTATACTTGCCAGAAGGTTGTTCCTGAGCAGTGTGCTCAAGCAGAATGGCAAAGCACATGCGCACACCTTCGACATCTGCATGATCCTGCCAGCCAGCTACTTTGTTGTGCAGCTGGTGGGCAGTAATGTTCGTGGAGTGTTGGAGTAATGTCTGACATGCATTTTTGTGTGCGATCGCAGGTGGTGGACCGGCCGACGCAGGGGCACCGGTTTCTGTCGCGTGCGTACGTGCAGCCGCAGTGGGTGCTGGACAGCGCCAACTTCCGCGTGCTGGCGGACGCGGAGCTCTACGCGCCCGGCCTCGCCCCGCCGCCGCACCTATCGCCCTTCGTGGACGACGACGACGAGGGCTACGTGCCCGACTACGCCCGCACCCTCCGCAAGCTGCAGGCGCGCCTCTTTCCTCCCTGATTGCCATGATAATGAATTATGCATCTCATTATGGGGGCCAACACAGGCAGTGCGCAAATGTTCCCTTAGGGTTGCTTACACGAGACATCGAGCAGACACCTGCATCCGCATGACTGGTGCTCGTTCTGACTGCTAAGCATGTGCATAGCTCTTGCTCTGAGCGCTCTCAAAGATCACCCGCGCTGCATGGAACGCACGAATGGTGAGTTGTGCACTGGGACACTGGGTATGCAAAAAAATTGCACAGAAGCGTGACAGCAATGGTGCAAACGTGGCCTGATATAGCTCTGCGCTGGAATGCAGGAAGCGGCCGGGGCGGCGCGCAGGCGTGCGGCGGGGCAGCAGCTGGCGAGCATGTTTGACGAGGAGGGGGCGGCGCCGGCGGACTCTGAGGCGGCAACTCTTGAAGACGAGGTGGCAGAGGCCGAGCGCCAGTACACGGCCGAGCTGCAGGAGGAGCTCAGACTCGCAAACGCTGCCGCCGACAAGGCAACCGCCGAGGCGGCAGCTGCATTGGATGATGAGAATGCCGCTGCACCCAGCCAGGTGGGACAATGCTATTGTTACTACAAGAGAGTTAGCTTGTGCAGTTGAGGCACTGGCAGTGCTTGCGCCAGAAGTGCTGTGCAATGTGCATGCATGCTGTGGCTGTTCTGTCAAAATGTCTGGGCTGCCAGGGAAGCTGACATGGGGAAGTTTTTGGGTGGGAGAGCTAAGCAGGTCTGTTCTGGGGCGTTGCAGGGTGCTCAGAAGAAGGCGCCGACACAGGAGGAGCTTGAGGAAGAGGAGGATCGCATGGCGGCGGCGGTGCTGCCTCGCAAGAAGCGCAACCTGTACAACAGCATTCAGAAGCGCACTGCGGCCAAGCGCGCACGCGTGCAGGAACTGGAGCACAAGCGCGCCGCCCTGACCCAGGAGTAGATTGATGTTGGATGGATGGTCCAAATTGCAACGTTACAACACGCAGAATGAGTCCGTGATTTGGGAAATGAATGCATGCGAGGCTGTGTGAGTGCATTTTGACATCTGGCTGGTTTGACTTGTGAGATATCGTGCTGTATGAATCGACAATGTGGGCATGGCTGTGGAGATAATTCTTGCTTTCAGTAGATGGCCGACAAGATAATGATGGGTGTTTCGGCAGTTGAACTGTAAGCAGTGCACTGCGTGATTCATCTACATTACAAAGCGCTGGCGCTGGCATCCGACACTAATCTTCCCCGTTATAACCTTAAGCTGTCCTTTTGCTCATGAGCAATACCCGCAGAAGCATCGATGTCTGCTTACCTCCCTAATAATAATCCCACAGGCCCACAGGTGTGCTAATACGCTGGAGGTCATGAGGTCTCAAGCTGACTTCTTGTCTACTTGCTGATAAACTAAATCATTTGGGACTTAACGCCAAATCAAAATGAAAGTGAACGTCACACAGACAGAAGCATGCAGCTTCACCGCTTACGACATGACAAAGAATTCAATGCTCGCATATGCTAGCAGTGGACAAGACGATGTCACAGGACATATATTGGTACGTTTTCACCTTGCGCATTTCTAGACATGTCCCATAATGCAGACCACGTACAAAGGAGCAGCAGTACGATCTAAATGGCATGGCTTATACCAAGCTGCCAGATGAAGCGCCACAAAGCCTAGGAGTGCTCAAATACAATGCATGATGGATACTTCATGAATTGGTGCTAAAACAGAAAGCAAATGAAGGCATGCTGCTGGAACGTGAGCAGCCAAGATCGATCTCACCCAATGGTTGCAAAGGACGGGATCATCTGCGCAGCGCCCATCTCCTTCAAGTGAGCAAAGTGGGCCCACAGCGCGCTCCGGAACTGGCAAACATACACAAAACAAGTCAGGGCCCTGACATTCCTTGCGTCAATCATCATTGCTTTTGTCCCTGCTGCCGCCACTGCCAGAGCAACAGGGGAGAAAGTAAGTGAAAGGGCAAGAGGCATGAGGTTGAGAACGCACGTTGGGGAAGACTTTGTAGGGGATGTTGTACTCTCGGCAGGTGTCCATCACGATGGGCGCGATTGCCGGGTAGTGCGTGTGGCAGATGTTGGGGAACAGATGGTGCACAACCTTCACAGCACAGCACAGTACCGCACCCTCAGCAGTGCAAGACGAGTCCCCACTACACTCTTGCAAAAGGTGTCCACGTCAACCACAAATTATTGGTCTTATATTGCTACTGCGAGGTAGGGCACTCTTGCAGGTCGTGTCCACAGCACCCGACCCTCAGCAGTGCAAGACCAGTCCCCAACGCACGCTTGCAAAGGTGTCCTCGTCAAACTACAAACGCTTGGTGTGGTGAAAGCCACTCCTGAGATAAGAGGCAGACCTGGTAGTTGAGGCCGCCAGAGAATTGGGTCCAGAGCCAGGAGCCGTGGCTGAAGTCGGCGGTGGTGGCCACCTGGCCGGCCGCCCAGCCGCGCTCCACCTTGCCCCCATCGCTGTCCAAAAACTCCACCTCCCCCGTGATATGCGCCACCTGCTCGCAAGCGCACACAGCCTTGTCACTTGCATGCATGAGTAATCACCACTGCTCCTCCATCTTATGCTGATCTCTTGCATGTCATGCATGAGAAAATCCAGTCCTGCTTGCAGCAGCGCGCATGCTCACGTCAAAACCCATCCAAAGCGTGGTGCTGTGCTGCCGCAAAGGCTACAGGTTTAAGCAGGGCAGCTCTGTAAATGAGTCAAGGCAGGGTCCGTGCCTGGAAGAGGAAGGCCAGCATCCACCCAGCGAGGACCTCAGCGATGATCCACAGGGCGGCCAGGGCGCGCCAGCCATGGGGGCTGTACAGCGCGGGCAGCGCGATGTAGTAGGCCGCATAGAGAAACTTGCACGCCCAGAACATGAAGGCCTCGCCTGGCGTCATGCGCGACAGCCGCAGCTGCCCAATGCTGCCTCGCGCCAGCGCCGCAAAGTCGTCCACCAGCACGGACTTGACCTTGAGCAGCCCGTACAGCGCTGCCAGGTACACGTGCTGGAACGCCTGCGCAGACGCCCGCACAGAAATGAGCGCACGTCCCGCGGCGATGCCTCCCCGGGCCGCGCGCCTTTGACGGTGGTGGGCCGCAGGGGGCCACGAAACATACATCTTCTGATATTCTGACCATAGAGTGTGGTCAGGAGGTCTGCATGCAGGGGAGGAGGGCTTGGGATCAAGCGGCAGGAATCTGAGGAATTGTCAGGGGACTGTAAATCAACTGACTCAGAGCCCCCTGGAATTATGCAATATAGGGGACAGGTGGAGGGTCAAGGGAAATACGTGGAAGGGCTGCTTGGGGTGGTGGGGGGCCACACGGCGGGCGTCACAGTCGGACACGCGGATGTCGGGGTCACAGGCCAGGTTGGTGTACGCGTGATGACCCACCACGTGCTGCTGCCGCCACATGAACGACGACACGCCGACCTGCACACAGCCACCAGAGCCCAACTCATTATACCTTGTACGCCCCTAAGCTGGGACGAGGAATGGTCTGTCACGTACAGGAGTGTGCCCACACAGTAAACACACAATGCGGCACTGAACCAACATGACCGGTTTCCAGTGTTGACACAGGCAGGTAAAGACTCAAAAGACAGTGCTCACCAGGTCCACGATAGCGCCCAGTGCATATCTGGAGCTGGCAGAGGACAGCCCAGACCCATGGTTCACATCGTGCACTATTGAGATCCCCACCTGCCCCATGCTGACACCCAGCAAGCATGCGCAGAGTGCAGAGGCCTGCAGGCATTGCACATCAGTCAAAGCAAGAAACTTCTCCTCTCTTTTCCTGATCTGGATTGTCAGAATCCTGCATGATGCAAAACAACGTGGTTTGCGCCTCAAAGGAGTCTGCAACAAGGGTAGCAAGGTGGGAGCGCCTCACCGCAAAGCTCTGGAAGGCAAAGAATGTTGCGTAGAAGGAAACGGCGAAGGACAAAAGAATGATCACGGACTTCAGACGCCAGTCAAATGATGTGCGCGGGTTGAGCTGCATGCAAAGCACATCACCAGGCTGAATCATGAGCTTAAGTTCTTCACCATGTCATGCAGCGCCGCGGAGGGGATGCCATCATGCAAGCAGAGCAGCCGCATCACAATTCCCTTCATGCATCACAGAGATAGGGCTCCCTCTGAGTTGGAGGTGTCACCTCATTGCCTCGGAAAAATTTCTCTACTCTCCTCTTCAGCACCTCGTAGAACTCCCCTTCCTGTGTGTCACTCTGGTATTCGACGATTCCAGGGGTGTCTCTGTCTGTTTTGTCAAGCTCTCCCACGTAGAACTTCTCCAGGAGGAGCCTTGCAAGAATAACAATCCAAAACTGAGGTACAAGATCAGAGCTGTAGACCGTAAGGATATGAAAGTTGCAAAAACGCATGTGTGTAACCATTTACAACCAAACCGGGAACATTGTGGGAACAAGTGCAACACTAGGTTTCTTGATCAGCCCTTCTGAACTCACTTGCCAGACCTCTGTCCAAGTTGACCAGGTTCACACAATACAGATGAGTTCAGATGCATTAAAATAGGCCCTTAATTCATGTTTTGGGTGTTCAATGGCACACACCTCGTGGCCAGTGGGTGGTATGAGTCAAACAACTGGGAGCAGTCACCGCCAGCTCTAACAAAGATCATGCTGCCGCCTGGATGATGGGGCACCCATCTTGTAACGTCATACACCTTCCCGTGTATGAGCAGCCAGCAGTCGGCAGGAGTATTGTGCTTTGCGACCTCCTCAGCCGTAAATATGTCGGGAGATGTGTCAACTTCTGCATCGCAAACACTCTGGGCATGATCCTGGCCTCTTCGATGCATGTTGCTGGATCTATGAGACGGACTCCATTCTCGGGTGCACAAATGCAATCAAAGGAACTTCCCGAAATAAAGATTCCAGCTTCCAAGTCAAAAACCAGACAACGCCGCATGACTGATGGAAGCAAATGTAGTCTTGGACGAAAGCTCCTTCGACAGTCAATGAATGCGAAGTAGAACGGAGCCGTTGAATTCGAAGACAGCAGCCGAGAGACTAAATACAGACATTCTGTGGTATTTACCAATCGTAAGCAAGGCTGCTCGGTTGTCTCAGCACGCCGTTGAAGGCTGCTGACTAGTAGACGACTGGGTACTGTGTTCCGTGCAACTGCCCTTGGAGACTTCCGGTCTGTCCATTGGGTCATCCTTCTAGAGATGGGAATTTTCACAAGCGTCGCACCGCAGAGGACACCATCAGGGGCTTTGCTTTATAGTCCCTGTAAGTCAAACACAATGTGGAAGACATGCCAATATCAAATATGCGAAGAATGTGCTGTGATCCGCCCAAAAATTGTCAGTTACAGAAAAAATATGATATTCAAGCACGATCGAGACCTTATCTCGTAGGGACTGACACCTTGTTCTGACTAGCATGCTAATATTGCTATGCAGGCAGCCAGAATGTGTTTTTGGAACACTTTGACCTGGGCACGATCGTTGGGACAGGCGGATTTGCAGTTGTGAGGAGAGGCTACGACAGAAGAACAGGACGACAGGTGGCTGTGAAGGTGAGTACAGAGTTTACTTGGGTGTACTTGCCATCATCGACTTGAGCAGCACTGATAGTTGTCTGGCTCAGATTGTGGACAAGAAACGGTACAAGGAGGAGGATCAGAGCTTGCTTCGGGAAATCAACTGTTTGTGTCAGGTGAGTATCTGTGCCAGCTGAGAGTCAATGCATTCTTCAACAGTATGGTTATAGGCAGTGCTGGATACCAAGACCTCAGAAGTCGGGGGCAATTTTGCACATGTCAGTCATGGAAAATTTCTGATCACACCCATCTCCACTTGGGGGCAGGTGATTCATCCGTGCTGCGTCAAGCTTCACGCGGTCTATGTGACACAGAGGAGGGTCTACATTTGCACTGAGCTTGTTTCGGGTGGAGAGTTGCTAGACAGGTGAGACCATCTTTCTGTCTGTCCCCTCCCATCCAGATTCCACTGGTATCTCTCCGCAAATTTTCACAGTTGCAAGCCTGCATAAGATATTCTTGTTCTTCATGCAGGGTGACAGAATTAGGACGGCTTACTGACTTGGCGGCTGCAGAGATTGCTTACCAGATCCTAAGCTGCGTCGCATACCTGCATGCCAATGGTGAGCCCCTCGTGCCTGCTCAAACTCTGCCTGATCATCAGCAATGTGTACCGGTCCCCACATTGCACCAACATTGCCTGTCACTGAAAACACAGCGCGATTTTATTTGCTGAAGACGCGAGGCGGGCACACCGTCTTGATCTTCAGTTGGAGCTGTGGAAACCATCAGAGCAATTATATTTTGGGACACACCAGTCAACAAGATTGGACGCTCCCCTGTGTGCGCAGGGATCTGCAGCAGAGACCTGAAGCTAGAGAACATCTTGATGGTGGACAAGGAGAGCAACCACATCAAGATCATAGACTTTGGGCTGTCGCGCTTCTTCGACCGCACAGCATGTGACCCGCTGTCCACCATGTGTGGCAGCCCCCAGTACGTGGCTCCTGAGATCCTGGAGCTTGCAGACACCAGCAGAAAGGTGCGCACTTTTGCGGTCAATCGCTTTGCGTCGCAGTACTTGCCGCAACATGTGTCACTTTCCTTGACTGTGAGTCCTCCGACAATCAGTCAAAGTACACAGTTTGCTGAGATTGCTCCCAGTCCAAGACGCAGGGGTGAATGAGGCGTCTGATATCTGAAGAATGAGGGGTGTGCGCGCAGGGGTACTCAGAGGCTGTGGACATGTGGAGCGCGGGGGTCATCGTATTTATAATGCTGGCGGGATACGCACCCTTTGATGACGACAATGACGTGGCGCTGTACCGGAAGATCCGGCGAGGGGAGCATGACATGGGCGACCCCGTCTGGGAGGAATCAATCTCCCCTCTCGCCAGAGACCTTGTGGTGCGGCCTCACATGCTTGAGTTGCTGCATTTCCCAGTACCCTCAACCCACCTTGATTTTTATTATTCGTATTGCACGCTTTTCCAGCCAAGAAGCAAGGTGCGTGTTGCAGACAAGCTGCAGATAAAGAGATTGCCATAATCCTACCCCTTGATGGACTCGCCAGATCCAAGCAAGGCCGAATCAACCGTGGGCACGGTGCTCAGTATTTATACCGGCAACCACCAGCCGGGGCACCCACCATTGACTTCTTTGAATCTAGAGAAAGAGGAATGCAGACATCAAGGCTGAACGAGCGCCAGGCAGTTAGAGGGCTGTCTTGCCCAAAAACTGCTATATGTGCAACTTACAAGACAATCGGAATCTGCGCAGTGTGATTTACTTCTGCTGTCACTGGTGATGCAGATTTTGAGGATTCCTGAGAATATTTCGCATGCGCAGGAGAGACTTCTGGTGGTGGATCCTGCGTCGCGGCTTTCAGCCGAAGAGGCTCTGGAGCACCCCTGGCTGCAGGCCACCCTTGGACCGCACCCAGTCATCGCCAATTGGCCCAGCAGTGATCCTGCTCAGAAGTTGATTGACTGCTCCTCACCGCTCATTCAATGCAAAGAGATTTACTGACAGGACTCTTGCTGTTGCTGTTGAGGTACTAAGAACTGACTGGATTCGGTCGTTGAGGAGCCAGATATTATGAACAGTTGCAGATGCTGCATGGGAATGTCCAAGGTAGAAGTTAGGTTGTGCTATTAGAACAGGTTGAGCTGCTGACATCAGCAGTGCTGGAAATGATTGGTGCCATGCAGTGTCTTGGTACAGCCTTCAAGTGGGTGCACCTTTAAATCGTGCATGTGACGCTACAAATATCAGCTTTGGAATTTCCTTTTATATATGCTGTCATTACAGGATGGTTCATAGAAAGCTTCCTGAAGCACAGCTTTCCCAGTATATGCATAGCATATAGCATATGCTCCAGCAAGATATCATTGCTGCTGGCAATATAAATAGGTCATCCGTTTCTTGGGTACTGACGTGCTCATGAAGAGGTATTTTCTACATAAAACAGCTTACGGTGCTGCTTAGTACACGTGTAGGCATTTGTCAAACCTGTATCTAACAAAAACTGTACTGCAGGCAAGCTTGAATTATCAACAGGTGGTCAAAACTGTGAACCGAAGGAAGTAAAGGCTTCCCTACTTATTAGCCTCTGCAACAGATCACAAACCAGAATGGGCAACAGAAACCTGGAACCTGTCTACCAACACACTGAAAAACTGGTCCACCAATATTTAATACGCAATCCAAGTGAACCTGAACCTAGGGCAAAAATGTCTCAATAAAGCTGCCCACAGAAGGAATATGCTCATGTTGGCAAAGTGCTCGGAGGAACAGCAACTATTGCTTCCAGAGCTCAGCCCTGCTCCCACCCTGTAACGACTCACTAAACAACACCAGCCAAATTCCCAAATCTCCTTCATGCACTCTGCAGGACGGCCATCGCAGCGCGAGGCAGGTCCATTTCAGACAGAACCTCCCCAAGCGCCTGCCGCGGGCCGCGCACGGCTGCACCTTCGCGCCGGTACAGCATGTGCGTGGCAGCCTTTGCTGCAGCTTTGTACTGCTCCCTGTCCACAAGATGCCCCTCCAGCAGCGGCCCGAGCAACGCCTTGACCTCCAGAAACGCCTTCTGCTTGCTGTTGAGGCCCTGCGCTGCCGCCTGGGGCCTGTCACTCTCACGAGAGGCACTCCTGCCACCCTGAGCCGCCTCAGTGCTGGCCTTTCGGGCCTGCTGTCCTGGAGGGGTGTGATCACGCCCGTCCTGCCAGTTCTGGGCAGCGGGCAGATGCGGCGCTGCGTCGGCCCGGCGCCGTTTGTGCATCGGCGGGCTGTCGGCTCCGCGCACGCCCACAGCTGCCACGCTGACACTGCTGTCGTCGCTGCCACTGCCGCTTCTTCTCTTACCCCTAGCAGGCTGCTGAGTATGGCTCGGCCCCGGCTGTGACTGAGCAGCTGCTGGCGTGCGCAAGTCGATGGCAGCAGGTGTCGCGGCTGCTGGTGCCGATGCAGCAGGCGTGCTTAAGCCAGGTGGGTGATCATGGCGCAGAGCCCCTGTGGCAGGGCCGCGACCATATGGTGATGCGCTGTGGGGAGGAGGCTGCTGCTGCATGGCTCCTCCATACACGGCTACATGTGGGCTGATTGGCGGTGCGGCGGTAGCTGGTGACAACAGCGGGGGCTGGGGTGGGCGCATGGGAGGCTGGCTGCTGCTCAGGGATCCTGCATGCCGGCGCTGCTGCTGCGCCGCTGCAGAGATGCCGACTGGCGGCTGCGCCGAGGTAGCTGCAAAAGGCTGCTGGCGGTTCCAGGCGGCAAAAGTGTGCGGCGCAGCCGGCTGCGCTCGCAACACGCTGCTCGGCTGCAAGGTCGGGCTGCTGGATCGCGTGAACTGCAAGCCGTGCCTGTGCACGGACGCCAGCCGATCACCGTGGTTGCTGCTGTGCCGGCCCAGCCGCGGCGGCGAGGCGCCGCGGCCTCGATAGCCCGACGACGGCCTGGGACGCTCTGCAGTTCGCGCAGGCGAGGGGGAGACAGCGCTGCACCTGCCCTGCCTGCTGTGCAGCGCATTCTCCCGGGTGGGTGAGCGCCTGTCGGCCTGGCTGGGTCCTGCTGCGGGCGTGCTGCGCTGACTTGACAGCAGCAGCGGCCCGGTCCGCGGGCGCAGGGACGGCCTCCGGTTGCCTTGTGACAGCCTGCATGCGTCAAACCAGATGAGAAGACACCAAGGCCAAAGATGAAAACGTTGCACTGGTAACTCAAATCCACATTTGGCTGGGCAGAACGCTAAATCCGATTCAAGCTGCAGGTAGCTTTGTAGCTCACCTGCCAGAGGGCCCAAGCAGCCTGCCCACTTCACGAGCTTGAGCAAGCTCTGCTCGAATGTCACTTCCCCACGCTGCAGTAGAGGTAAATGACTCCCCTTGCTGCCGAGATCTGCAGAGAGGCCACAACTACATTATTAGCTGTCGTTCCATGCCACAACAGAGTGGTGATCACACACATGTTTTTTTGGGGTGCAGGAACAAGCCATGTCAGCGAGGACAAGCACCTGTGGTCACTGCTGGCTTGTGCTGCCTTGGCTGCCATCTGCGCCTTGCGTGTCTCTTCCAGGGCCTGCCATGCCGCCTCCTCACCATCAGCTGCAGAGCTTGTGCCCCTCTGTGCTTCGGCTTCCACGCTTGCACTCGGCTGTGGGGCGCTGGTGGGTGCGAAGTCCATGTCCCCTTGGCGCAGTGCGTCCCAATTGCACCGCAGGTTCTCCACGTTCCTGACAACATCAGCAATCCAGTGTGATCACCAGACACGGGACCTGTAGGCTACTGTGTATGATGGCACCAACATATTGCAATGTAGGCATAATGAATGGCTCGAACATATGCAAACTATACAATAAACAATATGCTGCGCCTTGGGAAATTTCCTTTTGCGCTCAGGAAGCTGCTGAAAATTCATTGTACGGGACAGACGTGTCCAAATTACCACACCTGTGAGCGGTGCTGGGCAGCTCAGTTGCAGATCGATTGTTGGCTCGCGCTTCCAGGACGTCCAGCAGGTCTGCAACACTGCCGGCATCTGTCGGTCCCCTTCGCCCGCCCACCGGCCCTCCATTCCTGCACATCGTCAACCCCTGTCAAACACCCTACACCCCTGGAACACTGCAATCATAATTGCATCGTCATGGCCAACATCTCCCGAGGCAAAATTGGGAGGCAAGGGAGTTGCGTCACGCACACTCGTTGCAGCCTGCGACGGCGCGCTCGGGGCGCTTCAGGCGAAGCCGACATTGTCAGATCGATTGGCGAGCTGGCAGCCGGCTCAGAGGCGGCGGCGACGCGCCGCCGCCGCCTGGCTTGCCGGTCAGTGCTGGGGCCTGACAGGTCGTCGCCGTCCAAGTCGGGGTCGTGATTCCTTCTGCGTGTGGCCGTAGGTGACGGCTGAGCAGATGCGCGCTGCCTCTGGCTGCGACGCACTGGCAGTGTATCCTCGGGTGCAGCGTTGGCTGCGCAGGCTTCGCAGAACCAGGCTTCCTCTGGGATGCCTGGCAAGCCAGCACAGTAGGTGTGGCAGCCCCTGTCGCAGCCTGCATGTGTCCAAACACGTAGCGTGCTCGGTGTCAGCTGTCTGCACAATGCCAGAAGTCATTGAAGAGAAAATGGCGATGAAGTCGGTGGGCAGTGGCCCGCACCATCACAAAGGAGGAGGTGTGACTCATCATCGCCACTGCCACACTCCATACAATACACCACATCCATAGGGTCCTCGTCATCGCTGCTGCCATAGTACTCCACACCATCTCCATCCACCCTCTGCACAAAACGAAGTAAAGTGTTCAAAGATATGAGCCAGAAGCCTGTAGCAATCAAGCTTGGTTGCATGCTTTTTGGGGTGAATACAGGGCTGAAATGAACGTGCCTGGTTGCGTTCGGGAATCTGCAGGACTTTCAACACTCTGCCTTGGGATTTCTCTCCCTCATCCTGGCATCCGTCGGTGTCCCCAGGCTCTGCTTTCTCAAGTACCTTGTGGGTCAAGGTTGTGAAACGAGCCTTGCAGAAAGGACATCTGCTCTCTATTTCCGCCCACTGTGATATGCAAGGGAAGCAGAAGCTGCAAGCACACAGGTCTCAGCCCGGAGGTAGTCAAGATGGACTTGGTTGAACGCAGGGTTGCTTTCACGGCAGCGTTTATCACCTGTGATCGCAACAATCCAGCTCCCCAACTTCCAGCAAGCCTTCTTCGTGACAGATGCCACAGACCGCCATAGTCTCTGGTGCACAATATAGCACCCTATTTATCTATATGATTGGTCTGCATTGTTATATTGAATCTGCTCGAATCAGCAAGCTGATTGAAGAAGTAAAAGTGTGGTAATAATATTCTCGGATGCTTAGGCATAGAAACTATGCTGTGAACATTTACAAATAGAGTGGTTGTTTTAAGAGATACCAGTCAAGAAAGTGTGACTGGGGATTTGTCAAAAGGTTTAAATTTGCACATGCCAAGTTCTGTCACAGAACTTCTGTGAGTGTGCAATGTTTACGGGTTAGGTCTAGACAGATCTGACTCATTACGGGCAGCTTTATTCAGAATAGAGCTGGACATCGGAACCTCGTTGAATAGCTCTTTGTCTACAATTGGTATCGCCATTGTTGCATTCAATATGAGTAGTTTCGATCTGGTCACCCTGTAGATATAGTTCGTCCCATAAGTAGAATCCTTTAAGATACCATCAGTCTTGGTTTCCTTCTATTGCCTAGTTTCAATGCTGAGGCTTCATGCACGACGATGATGGAATAGTGAAGCCGCATGTAATTGAACCCGCTTTGTATTACAGGTCAGATTGAGTGCTATGTTGAAGAATACTGCCAGGTTGTTTTTGAAGAAAACAGAATCTTTCATTTGTTCAAGATCGATTGCAACTGTGTCGATGGCACGAAAGATCTCAAAGTTTAATGTTGAAGGTGTCTACTTCCACATGACTGCGAAGCTCTGCGAGCTGCCCATCAAGCACTCTTCCCCATCGACTATGAGGACGCCTTCTACCAAGCTGCAGTCAGGGCAGAGCAAGGCATCATTTCGGTAGCTGCAGTGTACAGGTCATTAAAATACCTTTTAGATACCTTTCTCGTGTGTAATCAGTTTTCGGATTGTGTCTCTCTGCTTTTTCAGTGCACGCTTCGACCAATATGAGGCAAGCTCAAGAAGTGACCTGCCGAGCCCAACAGCTGATACATCATACTAGCATTATACTGCTGCTTCAGGAATGGATCTGAGGAGGAGCTAGCTGGGTTCCTGACAGCTCGAGTTTGCTGGTTGCGAGAGTGCAACACTACAGACAGAGTCCTGCTTGGCCTGAACAGCTCCCTAGTAGATGGCTACAATGCCCTCTACATCTTGACTGTTGGGGTGCTAGAGCCACTCAGGCATCGTGGCATAGGATCCAAGCTCTTGGCGGCAGTTTTGGAACAGGCGAAGGAGCGGTGTTGCCTCACTGTCTTCCTGCATGTCATAGACTACAATACAGCCGCCATCACTTTCTACCGGCGGAACTGCTTCCAGGAGATTGCCCTGCTGCATGATTTCTACTACATCGGGTCAGTCGCCTGTCCCTGCGCTGGAAAATATGCGTCCAATAACAGTCTGTGCTATTGGCTGGGTGTTTTTATGGCGCGCTCCTCTATAACGCAGTATGAACGTCCCAGTAGCGAGCAGTTGCATTTGGCATGCCCCAAAATTGTCTGCCTGCGCTCAGGAGTGGCAGGCAGCGGATTCTAGAGCAGACCCGCTACAACGCTTACCTGTATGCACTCCCGTTGGATATCCCTGCAACGTGCCCGTTGAAGCTGTGGGCATGGTTTCATGCACTGCTGTCTCCCTTGAGGTGCGCATGCTGCAAATTCCCACCAGTTGTCGTGGTTGAGCTTTGTTATGCAATGGATACTTCGCCTCCTCTGGGACAAGTCTCAGTGCTGAAGCTGTGCCCGTCTTGCAGGAGGCTGCTCACCCGGCTGCATCTGTGGTTCTTGTGGTCAGTCTGGAATCCGCGGCGTGTTCGCCACTCTGAAGCTCCTGAAAAGGACGATATCGAGCTGGGGTTGGACTTGCCTGGGAGGTCTCAATCAAGGTTGCAAATTTGAGATTGTGGAAGCTCCTGCCTCGGGACTTGCATGCACATATGAGAGCCTTGGCTAAAGAGGCTAAATATCTGTGTTGTACCTTGTAGCTGGACTGTATCAATATGCTTGCCTCAGAGACTGTCTCATTGCCAGGGTGTCATCGGGACTTGTGGGAAATTGTCTGTCACAGTTGCAACGTGCATGCTCTTAGCTTTTTGATTTACCCATTGACCTGGGCAACCATGAACTTCTTGCTATTGCAAAATTGCCCATAAGGTTTATTGCAGACTGACATTTTGTCAGGCAAGGAGGTGTACGATTTGCTTGAATGTGCCATGCGAGCTCAGACCAAACATCCAGTGCACAGTCAATTCGCAATACAGGGACACATACATGGGACAATTGCCAAGCTCAAGGGGTTGCGTCTGGCTCCGGCTGCATTGCTGCACCGCCCATATGTGGTGATTTCGTGTGCGGAGGAAATGGGCGTGAATGGACGCCTGCGTTGCTTGGAGGCACTGGATCACTTCTTAGATTAGCCCGCACTGCATGAGTCATGTCTGATCAGACACCATGAGCCCATCGATGATATCTTAACTGTCACCAACAAGATCTTGCATCCACACGGCATATAGTCTGAACAAATCAAGACGAAGCCAGCAGGACATAGTGAGGCACAGTGACAAAGCAGGCACGAAAAGTCATGATGCACTCAAATGACTCTCATGCCTTCACAAGTTCGTAGTGCACACCAAGGTACCGTGCATGCCAAGCAGGCACAGCGCGCTGTAATGCATCGGGTACAAGCCAAATCCTACGAGTTCTTCAAGATGGCACACCTCTGCTAACTTGTATGTCCAGCACACCAAAAAGAATCTAAAGCAGCCTCTACAAGGCATTTTTCAATGCTACAGCCCCGAGGCACAGAGAACAATGTCCAAGGCCAACAGGAGTTCTGATGCTACCCTATAAATCATGTCACTCACAAACAAGTCAACTCGTTCAGTCCAAACCAGGGCCCACAGGGATGTGGCTGTCCACAAATCTACTACCTACAGCAATGCAGAGACACATGAACAGCAAAAGCACCAGAACATTGCAGGTGTGACGTCATCCTCTATCGAATGGAGCAATCTGCCATGAGGGCTGCGGTGCAATTGCTTTGGCTTTCCAGTACGCTAGACTCAGAAGCCTTCTATGTTGCACTTGGTAGCAGGATACTCACTGGATGGGATCTTCTCGTTGTGTACACTGCAGCCAAAAGGCCACGTGTCATCATACCAGCACTTCTGCCTAACACATGCAGCGATGTAACACTGCTCAAAGCCAACAGTCCTGCTACCCTGGAGCCTGTGTGAGGCTCTGTGCCCCACTGAGCATCCTGCCATGCAGTAATGAGCATCACAAAATGCTTCACAGCTAAGAGCTTCCCACCCCCTCTTGCCTTGGTAACTCGCTTCCACTAACTCTGCAGAATTTGTACAAATCATCAACAAGTATGTGTCTCTAGCCTACCCAATGTCCACTTTGAGCTTGACAGCAGTCTTCCTACACTACTCACAAGTCTGACTATTCACACAACCTGATCCTAAGCTTGAGGACATGCACACTCCTCCAGACAATGGTGCGACAGCAAATCATTAAATCTTGCCTGCATGGGTGATGATCGCCTTGCTGAATCAGAGAAAATTTTAAGGGAAATCACACACAAGAAACCTTCAAAATAAAATGCCGCAGCCCTTGAAAGCTGCACAGAAATGCGGTCAGATTGCTTGGGACCTACACATGTCTGGATGTGTCCTAACCCAATGGGTCCAGGACCCCAAAAAAATTTAGCTGCTCTGCCCCTAGCAACAGGCTCCCTCTGGCCGTCACCTCATAATTGACATCCCTGCTGCACCTGTTCAAGCCACACAGGTCTCTTCCAAGACCAACCCTCCGCCTCCAGTTGCTTCCCTATGCCTACACTGCCCTCCCACACAAGACCTCCTATGCCGGCCCATATTTTCTGAGCCCCTGCTCCCCTTCCAACGCGCCAAGAGACTGCGAACACCTTGGGCCACAGCCTGCAGGATCGATGTGCCCTTAGCAAGTTTGTTAGCGTTATATCAGCACCGTAGTCAGCGCTTACTCAGCGACGCGCGGGCGCTTGGTGTTGCGGGGGTTGGCCAGAGGGTCGGTCTTGGAGACTGTCAGGGCCTCGCCGCAGATGGTGGTGTTGTTCAAAGCGTCCAGGGCGCGGCGCGCGGCCTCAGCCTCGGAGAAGCGCACGATGCCGTAGCGCTCATCGCTGCGCAGGTGTACCTGCGCGCACGCATGCACCGGGGTCAGCTGCAGCTCCTGTGAATGTCATAAGCTGGACTACTGCCAGCAAGAGGACGATGCCAGTGTCGGCAAGCCATCCCCCGGTGAGTCGTCACATCATGCTGCACTGCTTCCCAGGTGTGTGACAAATTCCAAAGATTAGGGCATACAGTGCAATGCGGTAGCAAGACCAGACCAGGAACGGATCATGGTGCATGCACCATGATGGAGCGAGCGGAAGACAGGCCATAATATATCCAGGGGGTCAATTCTAGTTTGGGGGCGCACCCAGTCGACGGCGCCGTGCTGGGAGAAGACGTACTGCAGGGCGTAGTTGGGCATGGGGCGCGTCAGAAAGGTGAAGATGGTGCACTCGTCCGGCGCCGTGATTGGCATGGGCAGCGCCAGCGACGATTCGGCAGACTGCTCCGTCTCAGCCTCCACACCTGCAGAACCCCCACACACGCCCCTTTCAACGCTGCATCCTATTTAAACTAGCAGCCGGCGTTTGCTTGCATGACAAATCCTTGTTTGGCCACTTTAGTGCACACAGGTGATCATGCTTCTCCACAACGTCCACAACAGGAGCGCCAGACGTGAAGTCAGCGAGAGAACGCCATCACCCATGCACACGGCGGATAAACATAAGGCCCTGAGGTCAGCATCAGAGTAGCGTGTAGATGTCAAGCGTTGGCGCGCACCGTTGGCAGTGGGAATCCCGAGCTTGCTGTTATCCTTGGGGACGTCGAAGGCAAAGTCGCGGTGGTGTGGCATGGACATGTGGGCCAGGCTGTTCTGCACGGCCGCCACCTCCACATGGTGCTCGCTCGTTCCCTTCTCATTGGCCGAGCTGATCTCCTCGCCTGCGCATTCGCCTGATACTCAGTCTTACCCAGGACGACAATCTAGTCTTGGTTAGATGCATGTAATGCCTGAAGATGATCAGGCAGCTGGGTGATGTGGCCGGCTTGAAACCCAAGGCATTAACTATGGTGGCTTGGAGATGCCAAAGCACAAAGTGGTGAACCTCAAAAACACACCGAGTAGTCAATGCCATCATGAGCTTACCAGTCAGTGAGCGATGGTGCTGCAGGATGGAGGAGTTGGAGTCGCTGCGCACAGAGAGGCTGCGCGACAGTGGCAGAGGCGGCGTGCTCTTGCCAGGCGTGCCGGCTTGGAGCGGCTCTGCCAGCATGACCTGCAAATCACAGCCCCCATGTCAGAGCTGACCACCTATCACGAGCAGCGCCATGCAGGTGTCTGTCAGAATTTATTACGATAATTTACCTGAGCATGCGTCATCAAGGCAAGGTCAGAACATGCGAGCTAAAACACATGCAGATGCCTACCTTGAGGCGCAGGCCGGATCCCTGCGGGAATTCAACTCCGTTCAAGTGCTCGATTGCGGCGTTCGCGATCTCCGGGCTGGAGTATTTCACATAGCAGAAGCCCTGCACGGCAGCACACAGGCAGTCAGTGCTCCTCCTTCCAAACTCAAACACGTTGCACTATGTATTTCTGCATACAATCTATTCTGACACAAATGCCCTCTGTTCAATACCAAGCCTCCGAAGCTGCATCAAAGCTGCATCAAGTTCTGCAAACATGATCACAGAATCATTTTTCCAGATGGGAGGCTGACCCGGGAGTGGCCGGTGGTGTGGTCGCGCTTGAGGTCGCAGTACTCGAGGCCGGGGAATGCGCGAAAGAGGCGGATGATGATGTCCTCGCTTACGGCCTTGCTCACCACCACATACAGCCGCGTCATGGTCTGGCTGATCGCCCCCGCCAGCCGTGCGCCACCTATGCGCAGATACACGCCATCAGCCACGCGCTTGCAAAACGCAGACTTGTGCCCATCATCTCAGCATTCACGCCAGCACAGTGGCCCAGCAAGACAAAATTGGTTCAGAAATGGAGGATCCTGTGTGTTGGCCAGCCACTTAAGGGATGTGCATGATCATACTCAAACAAAATGTTGAAAGCACGAGTGTTGAGATAGAGTGAGAGCGTGGCGTGCCTGCCATGGTGATTGATTCAGGGCTCTTCTGGGACTCTGGGCTGACGTTCTGTGACAGGACGCCCCTGCCATTTCCGTTCGCTTGCATGTTGTAGCCTGCCATGGCGCCCAAGCCCTGTGAACAGCGCACCGAGAAATCATCAGTCACCCCGCAACACATTTTCTTGTATATTTTGTTACATTAGTGACTAGGGCATAATGCTGTTGACCACAATGTGTCAGGTATGTGGAAGAAAGTGAGAGGGGCGTTACATGTGCCAGGTTGGTGGCTCCATGAAGCGCTGCCAGGGCTTGCAGGTGATGCAGACTCAGGCTGTTGTAGCCGCCAGCCATCATGTTGTCCTGCAGCCCAGACCTACACAACCCCCACACATGACCCCACCATGAGCTCGTCTCCGAAAGTGCTGTTCAAACGCCTCTTCGCTGCGCAAAATTGCACAAAGCTCCGCCACACAGGAGTGATCTGTGGTGCCAGAAAGGTGACAGAGTGCAGGTGCGGAGCGCTGCGACGTCTGGACAGATACCTGTCGACAAATCCATTGCCAAGGCCCAAAGAAGTGACGGTCCCAGGATCCCCGTTGGTTGCAGCACTGTTGAGGCGCGCCTGAAGGTTGTTGGGAGTGCCCAGCCCCTGATGCCAACTCATCGCTCAGACCTATTCAATACCAAACTTCTGCCTTCCATGCATTGCTAGATGCGTCCAGCAACAGCTCTAAAGTGGAGCCTTCAAATCCAGTGTGTGGTGTCGATGCCATTGATTGACATCTCTGTAGCAGACAGGTTGAGATTCCCAATGTGGCACAGCAATCTCAAGCAGGGCTGCAGAGACTGGGCATGCCTGAGGTGGTGTGAAGCCCGAGGTCAGGGAGGTGAAGTTACTGGAGGCAGTGCGAGTGTCAGAATTGCCTGAGGGCACCGTGTTCCCAGACAGCGAGGGAGACTGGTTCAGCAGGCGTGCAGCTCCTGTACCAAAACACCACTGAGAAAATTTTTGCAGGTGCATCATGCTGTCTAGCCCCAATCAGCAACGCAATGCAGAAATCCTTGCACTGGTGGATGCACCCTACATCAAGGCATGTGAAGGGGGAAACAATAGAGTTGGCGCACCAATGGGTGTCTGTGGGAGATAGCCCCCGTTGTAGACGCCACCAAAGTCCTGTGATGAGAGCTGCAAGCAGATAGACAGAACACATCAATCAGTATATTCCGTGTGTTCTTGTACCAAATCGAGTACACCAGCAACCAGGGACATGATCTTGCTGAATGGGCTTGTTGGGCTGGCAGGGAGCAGATGCAACACCTGATTTGCCGTCAGAAGATTGTCATAGTTGCCGGGATCCATGCGTCCCCTCTTGCCCTTGGGCTCAGCAATCATGCACTTCACCTTGTAGCCCGCCACCTGTAAGATTTGCAGTGCATGCATTCGGTCATGTCTCTTATTGAACTGCATTCATGATAAGGCCGAGGCAACAAGAACCTCAACAGTAAGGAGTTTCAGGCAACCTGTGAACGACATGGCTCAGACTGTGCGCACCACATTATCGTTGGCCATGATAGCTTCCAGGGCCAGCAGCGCTGAGGAGGTCTTGGCATACTTGCAGAAGACAATGCCCTTGGATGCGATGAGATCAATCTTGCAGTACTCCAAGTCCCTGAACTTTGCCATCTCCTCCTGCACCACCAAGCCAGCAGAGATGAGAATGTGCAACTGTGTGTGCTGTGCAAGTTCTCGGACGATCAGAGGCAATGATGCAGCATGTGTAGCAAATTCATGTGACTAAATGAGTGCGCATGAGGGAAGGTGGGAATGCGCGGTGGAGGGTCACATGATTCTGACCTCAATGTTGTGGCCGTCAGCCGTCTTGGGGACCACCATGAAGAGGCGTGAGCGTGGCGGCACATTGTCAGGATCAGGTGCCACCTGGATCTCACCAGAAGCCCTGGGCGGGACTGCACGCCTGCAGTCATCAAAGTGTAAAGCTCATGTCAAGAGGTGTGGTTGTGCGGTAATGGATCATCAGAGCTGCACGGGCATGAGCCTCCCCCAGAATGCATCAAGATGGCAGGATCACTGGCAGCTTCCTGTGCCCAGCGGATTTTCCAGTGTTGCCAGCACACTAGCCCTAGCAATGATCACAGGCATGTCTGTTGATCCAGGTCCTTATTGGCATTGAGCACAGTTGTCACCTGGTTGGTGCCTCAGCCATCATGACCTTCAGCATGGGCCCTTGCCCATCATTCAACACAGTCTCGTGGAGAGCCTCAATAGCTGCGGCGGCTGCTGAGGCCTTGTCGTACTTCACATAGGCCACTGCGTCCCCAAATTAATCAGGGCATTCAGAACATAGATTTGTGAAGTGTCTGTGCATGCACGGAGAATTCTGTGGCAAGTCAATGCCATGAGCTGTGATGGAGCCACCTAACACCTTGGTTCACAACTAACGACGCTCTCTATACGGCCTTGGACACCATAGACGAAGACATCACATAACTCTATCATTATTAAGCGATCCAAACTGAGTTGGAATTGCTTATTTCAGTTGCCTCACAACTGCAGTACAAGGCGCTTGTGGCCAGGGATCGAAATATAAGGTATTTCAGGAAGACAGTTTAGACCAAACAGCAGTAATAATGCACTATTTGAACTGCTCATGGAGAGCTGTTTGAACCTACCGCCCTTGTCGCGCACGACTTTCACGCTTTGAATGTTGCCATAGGGAGCAAACGCCATCGTAAGGCCGTCGGCCTGAGTGCATTGAAACAGCTCAGGTAAGCATAGGACTCATATTCAAACAATTCGTGCATTGGTGCCGGGCGAGATCGCACCTCTACTGACTTTCCACAGACAACAAACACCCTCGAATTCATCGGGTCCTCAAAACTGGCCATGGCGGTCGTCGTCAACAAAGGCTTCCAGGGCGATACATTCTCCGATGCAGAGTAGATCTGACTAGTATCCAATGGGAGTACAGATCCAGAAAACATCGAGAAGTTTGCTTTGCATCTGCCGCGGCACTTGGTGAAGGTCTGGGTCTCCAAAAGGTCAGCGCCCCTTTCCTGACACTGCAACTCCCCAGTGAGGCAGACGGGCAGGTTTGGCTCGCAGCCACGCTTTCCCATCAATCTTGAGGATCGTCAGAACCAGATCCCTTTCTTGACAAGGATGGTGACAACGTTGCTGCACCACCTCCTACAGTGCATTTGGATACATGGTGTACTGGGCAGACCAAGCCTTTCCGGCCTAGGGCCAAGCGCTTCGCCATGATCATGATGTCACAACTCAAGCATCTAATAGATAATTCTTCTTGTGCATGTTCCAGCTGGCACCACAAGCCCAGGCTTGGACGTTGCTTCAGTACAACCCGAACATGGTGATGGTGAATACAGCTACGCGCTCGGCCCAGGCAACTGTGTCAGCAAACAAGCGTTTGCTTCGAACGTTCAACTGCTGCCGCAGCGGTTTTTTAGGTCCACACTCGTGCAAGGACTGTCTGGCGGCCACGAGCTTCTACTCTTCAAGTGCACCTGAATGCAGCTCGATGCCAGTGCACTGAAGTAGCTGTGCTGCTCCACAGGCCGTTGCATGTGATCTTTCATTGAGCAGAGCCTTCACTGGCACGCACTTGTGAAGCTCTGTGCGCTTTTTTACCCTGAAGCAACAATAGAGCCCTGTCATTCCTGTACTGCAGCAAGCCAAGCCATACAACGAGTCAACCAAGCGGCCAGAGAATCAACGAAAGCTCCCCGCCTCTGGTCTCCCTGCTGCACGCCAGCAGAGCGCTCTGCTCAGGCTGGTGATGCATGCTTTCTGTGCTTGTGGCTGCCTCTTCCTGGCAACTGCCCTGCAACAGAGGACTCACATCAATCAGGTGCGCATGCATGCTGGTTGAATGTTGTTGAATGATTGCAGCCGCATCAAGGCGGGCCACTGCATGCTCATGATGCCTTTCCCATGTCGTGCATCTACATCTTGCAAAAGAAAATGCAGCAGCAGCGCCTCAATGTATTCATGAGTGTGCGCCATGCAATTGGCATGAACTACTAGAACTACCTGCCTCCCAATAACGGAGCCAGAAAATCTGGTCACGAATGCAGAGGGCGCAAACCTGTTCTGCGCAGGAGCACTTCTGCCGCGCTCTCATCCTGCCAGACCAGATCATGCAGCTTGCCAGTGATGCGCTCCAAATCTGGCGTGCCCTCCCTCTCAAAGAAGTCTATGATCAGGTCCATCTCCTTCGCCCGAATCTCATGAACTGTAGGAACACAATTTCTGACTCAACCTCCAACATGCAGAGCTTTAAGGGCGCATCCATAAATTACAAGCAGGTGTGAGAGGCTAGTCGAAGGGTGCACTTGCGAGCTGCAGATCGTACTTGCTTGAGACGCAAAGAAGGACTCAATAAATACACGCATGTATCCATCATGCAGTGGCCCCTTCTTGCCCAGGTTTAGCCCAAAGTGCTTGACCAGAATGAAGTACAAGGTATCCCTCATGGTGTCCCTGCAAGCCAAAAAGCCAGATCGTTCATCTATGCTTTGGTAGGAGCCTTAAATCTATTATTCTGTTCTTGCAAACCATCCTGCACCATGAGAAGGAGCCAAGAGGGGAAGGTAATCCTCAGGGACGCACAACACATCTTCTGTCGCTTGATCGGAGGGAAAGTTCGAATATCCGCTCTCGTCAATGATGCCTGCAGCTTGCAAGTCCCCGTAGACAGCCTGAGATTGTTCAGGATCAATCTCTGGGGAACGGTCACTGAAAAATGTAGAGTGCAAAGGGTAGGGCTGCATTGTGACATTCTCAGCATGCAGCCCCTGCAGTGTACAAGCAGCCACACTCAGCCATACGTGGTCTCTGCTCATTGCTATGCATGCATTCATAATGAGTCCATATTGCTCGCTGCGCTGCAGACCTCGTACTCATGCAAGTAACAGGCACGATGTCGCTCCTGGTTACACCATCTGCACTTTCAACCCGAAAGGTTTAATTGAGACATGTGAGCGGCGAGAAAAGGGTCACCTGCTGGTTGAGCAATTGGATGCTCCTGAGTATTCTCTCCTTGTAGATGTCCTGGTCATTCTGGGCCTCCAGCAGAAGTACAGGGGGAAATGGCCATGACTTCTGCTGGCCTTCTGGCTGATCCCCATTCCTGCTGACAAGCTGCTCCTCTTGGAACACCTCGTCTGGCCTGAAGCCCATCAGCATGCTCGCCGCTGCCTGCATGGTCGCAAAACTACTTCAGCGCTCCTACATTGTTCTGATACAAACACCGAATGGGAATAACTTAGAAGCACCTGTCTTACCGGCCACAGCCAGTACATCAGTCATTTCATAGTTATGATGGGGCATCATGGGGGCAAAGCTGCCAGAAGTGGGGAAGTTTCCCTGATTGATGGACTGTAAGGAGCCCTGACCTGCACTGGGAAGCGGGAGGCAAACAGCAGCGCCACTGCTCCGCCGGCCGATGCTCCAAGGAGGTATCGGGGCAACCCCCACCAGTCTTGCTCCTCCAGGACATGCCGGATGGCCCTCTTCAGCTGCAACCGCAACCTTCCATGAGAACGAGTTGCACTTGGATAGTTGTCCATTGAGTGCTTTAGTCACCGGCCCAGACATTGGCTTTGCTGAGGGACTTTGCAAGAGGGCTGCTGATGGGCGGGGTCATGATCTTCATGAAGCCAGCATGCGCTTACTGGCTCTTTGCATGCCTCTTTGCGACAAGCAGGATTAGGATACAGGTGAACTAGGTTGCTCACAAGTGTGCTTACAGGAGTGTGCCGCACCTCAGGGATCTCTATGCTGGCCTCTGGGGGCCAAGTCTTTGTCCAGCACCTGTCAGAGGCCCCCGACAGATGCGGTCCCACGGTGACCACTGCATAGCCCCTTTGCACAGCAGACGATACCATGAGCATCTCCTCTGGCAACCCTGCACGCTACTGCCGACATCTCACTCTGTCCGGAGTACGCCAGCCTGTCACAATTCCGCTGTCAAATCAATGGTTCGATCTGCGTTCTCACCTGAACAGAATGGACAATGTTGTGATGGGAACCCCCACTCTGTGGGAAACTGGTCACAGCCAGGGAATGCGAATATAAGACCCTTCAAAGGGCCCTTTGGTATCGATTGCACAAATTCCCTGCCAAATAGTACCTGCACGAAACAGGAAGGCAATTCCTTATAGTGCCAGTGCCAGCAGGGACCTTGTAGTCTTAAGATTGCTTGCTGAGCAGACTTGTAGTGGTGCATCTAAGGACAACTATGCAACCGAAGGACGTCCTACATCATAGTGAGCTTCAGGGATGGCCTTCCAGTCAACGCTTGCCGTGCTGCCCCCCGACATCATCGGCGTGGAAGAGATCATGGCTGTACGCCAGAGTATCATCCACAGCAATATTAGGGGCATATTTGACCCCATTTTCTCTTTCCGTGTCCTCACTTCTAGCGACCTACACGCACAGTCCTGGAGCATCAACCCAAATGGGAGCCACATCCAGAGTCCTACATACCTAAAAATCACAACCATGCTTCAGTGCACAAGAGCTGCAAACAGGCTGCCTGAGAGGGGGCACTCACCTCGTGGATCCCATCGGCGTGCACGCATCTTTATAACCCACTCTGTCGTATTCACTTACATCGGAGCAAAAGGTGTCTCTGCACGCTATGTTGTGTTAGTCCGCAGAATTTCCAACCCTTTTTTCATCTTCACTGGAAGAGGAACCAATGCAGCCTTCAGTCGTCGACAATATCACACCATGGAGACACGGGTTCCGTGGTACCCAGCAGGCTCTTCCCGGGTCACCTGTGTTGACTGTTGCGAGCGGAATCTTACAACGAATATATCATCGAGTTCACTTCTGCCCAAACTGGAAGGATTTGGATTACCTGGACGCCGGCACGAAGCTGCAGCGACCTAGCTAGCGACTATAGGGACAGCCGACTGTGTTGACATCACCATCAGGGATAGTCACCTTTTAGTGATCTCCGTCCAAAACCTTTCGGAAGGCGATTCTTTCAAGATGGCCATCAGCGTGCTGCAGGAAGCATGCGTATGAGATCAAGGGGTGTCGGCAGCAGCTGTAATGATGGTGTCCTTCTGCAGCGAGAAGGAACCATCTAGGGATAGGTCCAGTCTCAGCGGGATATTGGGGTCCCTAGCCGCTTCATTTGCTGTCGGGGCGGCGATGACATGCCTCTTGGTTGTTGTTCTACGGAACGACCTGTACCAGGCAGCCGACACTCCGAGGATGTCAGTCACAACGTCCAATGTGCATCCCTTCGGTCCTCCGCAATCTTCCCGGATCTGCAACAGGATCAAGCTGCCCTTGCGATACACGAATGAGAGTCAGGGTCCATACAATCCTGCTGCAACTCGGCTCCCCAGCAGTGGCAGATGGTACACGATTTTGACCCTCGACGAGGTAAGCGACAAGCTGGCTTGCGAGGGCTTGCGTATGGTTGTGCGTCACAAGCGTTGCTAGAGTATATTTGGTTACGATGTACTTCCCACGGCTCTAATGCTGGTCATGTCACCCACAAGTATCAAACGCAAGTCCTCAGTCCTATTCAAATATCGGACGTGACAATTTCGCTGCCGCTTGCTCAGGTCTGGTTTGGCAACAGCGAGTTCACTCGCTCTGGCACGTATCTGGAGGGACGCATGCGCTCTCACCCCCTGCTTGTAGACATGGGATCTGGCGCCCTACCCTCCACCAATAAAATACACACAGAAGCACAAATGTTGGACCTGGATGAGAGCTACCAGCAGCTGGCGCTGGCTGAGGGTGGACAGGTGTACAAGGCTGCTGATTGGAGGTGAGCCTTACCTTCCATCAAAAGCAGATAGACTGAGCCTCTCGGATCCAAAAGAGTCACCAACCTCCTGTGCGTGCCCCTCAGAGTCTCATGACGGTAAACACAGCTCTTGTGTCTCAAGAAAATGCATGTGCTGCCTTCTACTCTCAGTAACATGCATACGGCAGAATCCTTGTGACACAGTCAAAAAGCCTCTTAGTATGCATGTGCAGGCCGTTTGTTTGGAAGGGTGACTTTTATGTTGGGCATTGGGTGGCTTACATGCCTGGGGAGGAGCGAATGGCCATATCCAGAGTGGACCTGCAGAGAGGGGCTGTGCAGCTGCTGCATCGCTTCAGCACCCTCAACCCAACCGTAGAGGCCTCAATATTGCCAGAGCAGGCCACAAGCCCGGCTGGTGCCATCAGCAGGCTGCTTGACTTTCTGACCGCAAGGCAGCCATGCCAAGTCAAGGGGTTCAGGTATTGAGGCGTGCCTGCCTCTATTTTCTGCTGTACGGAAAAAGTGCATGCCTTGCCAAGCGGCAACAAAGCCTGCACTGTGGGCCAGGAGATTCTCCAATGGCAAGGGTCAAGTTCTGAGCATGGGTCAAGTATATGCTCAGTAGAGGCTGAGACAATAGAGGCTAAGACATCGGTGGCCTGCTGCAGGAGGGAGAAGAACTGGGGCTTCTGGGAAGAGGACGACAAGCTGCTCATTCTGTATGGCATATTGCCCTGCACTGTGGTCCTTGAGTTTGACCCTCTGCGGCCGTCTGAGCCCTCAATTCGCTCACGGACCTGCTACGTGCTTGATACCATTCCCATCCTGCAGGCTTCCGGTAAAACACATGCCATACCTGTAACCTGCTACCATAGCTCAGGGCGCTTGCATGACAGCAGGACTCCTAGACCTCTTGCATGAACGCTCTTTTTGTGCTCTGCATGGCATGGTCACTGTGACATGACATCGCAGTCTCTTCTCAATGTTGTATCAGACGCTGCTGAGGAGAGTTGTCAAGATTTAAGCTTGGCGCATTCACAGTTTATCGCCCTGTGCAGGGCTGGACATAGGGAGGGGCCAGGTGCACATCAGCGGCAACCCAGTGCCCTGGGACATCCAGCATGGCGCCCAGCACCAGCAGCTGTTTGGCATGCTGCACACAAAACGGGGGCAGTACATCAACTGGGCTGTCCGCATGGACCGAGACACCCACGCCATCACCCACATCTCAGCCGGGCCAATCCTGAGCAACCAAGACTACAGGAATGAGGCAAGTCCTTGCTTCATCTCGTTCCTGTGCTGATTTTGAATTTGTGTAGTATGATGTAGACTTCTGTTACGGCTTTGCATTGCAGCACTGGTGCCAGACGTGATGAATTCTATTAAGGCTCAATTTATTCTTGGAGGCATCAGCTTCTGAAGATTATCTCACTGCCGGGTAGAGATTGCATATTTACTTGGCTGCATGCTGCTTCTCCAGATGGCTCCTGCCTTATTAATCTCTGCACAATATCACGAGAAAAAGGACCTGCTGCAAGCTGCCAGGTCCCATTGCCAAAATGAGTGACATTGAGACAGGTCAGCATGTGAGGTGCATACCTGATTGTTGCCTCGTGTGGGCATGCAGGGGTTCTTGAAGACGGCACTGGTGGTCAGTTCCTTCCACGTGCTGCCAAAGGAGGGCAGCAGTGATGCGGAGGCGTCCTTTGTGCGCGTCTTCTATGGGGAGGGGGATCGGTATGGGTGCTGGCTGGATATCGACACAGACACCATTGTGTGGCATGAGCTCAGGCCTAACCGCAGCACCAAGCCTCGCAGGAAAGCTCTGAGGGTTGCGCCCCTCTGAAGCTTGCTTCCAAGTCCTGTAGGAGCTCAATAAAAGGGCACATTAAGGGCCCTAAATAAGGGGGCACACTGAGTGCGCCAAGTGCACCAAATGGAGACAGCCCCTCGACATGAGTTGCCTCTCTTTTCGACACGGTAGAGGTGCTGGTTATTCCTCCAGGCCAGCCAATTATGGGTCTGCAAATTTTGCCAGCGTCCCACACTGTCCAGTTCTGCGCATAAGACAGGCAGCTGCGCTGGTAGCCCATCATATGATATACTGATAAAAGGCTTCTGATTCAGAATGCTTCTGCTTGTCTTTCAAGACTTGGACCTTGTCCATTGTGGGGCTCCAAGGCTTCTGCAGTTGGTGCAGAGGAGTCAAGGCCGCTTGGCAGTATTTTGTCAATGCGCCGTGTGTTCAGGATGTTTAAATTAAAATCAGCCACTTTGTGGATCAGACAAAGATTCTGTACAGAGTTCTTTTCCTATTGGAATTGAGAGTCGAATCAGACCTGCATGCATGCTGGCTTGTACTTTCTGCTTGTGAACACACAGTGTCAGTCTTGAGTGTCTGGCCAGGAAGATTCTGTGTTTGATTTGAGAGGCATCATTTTTTTCTTTTGCAACAACATGGGCATCTGGCAGCCACATATTGGCAAGCCTGGCCAACAATAATATGCTCTTCAATTCGAGGTGCTTTCCAACTGAGCATCAATCTTGCTGAACCAGAGGGTCAGCATGATTGACGCTCATCCCCATTGCTTGCAATCTTGCTTGCAATTCAGATTTTCAGTCAGGAGAGTGAACTCAGGCGTGTGCTGCACTTTCAGCGAATATTAAGCAGTAAATTATCAGCAAGCTGCTAGAAGCGACGTTCTTGCGATTGCCTTTCTTGATTGATGTGGCGATTGTGACGGCTAGCTAACAAAATTATGTATTTCTGTTCAGTGTGCAATTGCACCTGTATTGCCCTGTCAAAATGTGTGTGGTTTCACTGCAGAGCAAGGTCTTCCATGGAAAGCTGGCCAGTGCAAAGCTGCATGGCAGACATTGCTCTGCCAATTTATATTACTGAGTTGAAGGCGCGTGCCACTGGAAGAGCATGTAAACAATATAATGTTCCTGAGGGCAAGCCTATATTGCGCAAGATTGAGACCCTTGCATGCAGATTTACAATTTTGTTTGAGAATCACCGCATCTAGATCTGATCTGCCTTGGTGCTATGCACCCATGGACGCCTGTATTCAGTTCAAAATTATGATCACACACTTGTGAGAGCTGCACAAACTCCTAAATACACCGGCCTCAAGAGATCTGCACGTAAAACAAATATTATTACAATCATTTGTACGATGATATGCCTTTCCTGCCAGTTGCAAGGTGCGTCAGCAGATTAGCCGAAGGCCGCCATATAATTTTTGGCACAAATTCTATACCTTATTAAACTTGGGCAGATCCAAGCAAGACCCAAATCCACCGTGGACCCAGTACTCAGTATTTGAACCACCCCCTGCTAGACGGGGTGGTCAACGACGCCCTGACTAAAACGACTGGCAGGGGGCCTAAACCGCTCAACCTCTTTCACCCCAGTCTCAAAGCAATCCCAGTAATGCTCTGAGGCCAGATATGCACCACTAACATTACTGCCCTCGGGGCAATTTCCCACTAGAGCAGCTTCACTCTGGCGAACTCCAGCAGTCATACTCCAGCGTAGCAAGAGCACATGCTTTGCAAATGCAGCACATAGGCTGCACTCATGCGCTTTGAAGTCCGCCGTTGCAGTGGCGGACTTTAAAAATGCTGCTCAGGCTAATGCGCCTTCTCGTGGACATCAGCTGCAGCAATTCCTCCAATTCTGATGGCACACTCTTGACACCGCCTTGATGGGCGACGCCAGCTAACAGTTGCCAATTCAACAGTCAGTTCTTACTAAGACAAAGCAAGATCATCACCCAACAGGCTCACGACATGTGTCGCAACCCTGCATTGCCACAAAGCTGTATGTGATGACAGATGGAGACCTGCTGATGCAGCTGACCCTCAACGGGCCTCACACGGGAGCCACATGCCGTCTTGCCAGTTTGCAGATTTTCCCAGGTAAGTGTCCTGCAAATAAACCGGCAATGTTATGTGATTCTTGCTCACCATAGCATACTTTTTAACTGCTCCTACTGTCCACGAGCACATCAGCTGATTGCATATCGTCCCGTCCCTCGTTTATAACAGCAATGTGCAGTTTATCTTTGGAGATCTGGGTACTTGTTCGAAGCTTGTAGCAGCGAAGGGAAAATACCATACCTGTTCTGCGTAGGAGCACTTCTGCAGCGCTCTCATCCTGTCTGACCAGATCATGCATGTCACCGGTTATGGGCTGTGCATCTGGCACGCCTTCCCGCTCAAAAAAGTCTACAATGCTGTCCATCTCTTTGGCCCGAGTCTCATGATCTGCATGGATGCCAAAAAGTTTCACTGGCCTCCATCAGTACAAACATTGCAACTTATTACCTGTATTCAAGATTCAGCAAGCCTGAAAGAAGGAATCATGGCTCTCAGGTGGGTGGTCAGTATGAGGATGGGAGCTCACTCGCTTGAGACGCATAAAACATCTCAATGAAGACCCGCATGTAGCCATCATGCAGGGGCCCCGTCTTCCCCAGCTTGCTTGTAAAGTGCTTCACTAAGATTCCAAACAAGGTTTCCCTCATGTCATCCCTGCACCCAGCACACCTCAGCACTCATTAATGCTACGTTCAGATTTCCTGGCAAATGGTCCAAGCACCAATCACAGCATTGCATGCATGAAGATTGGCATGACAAGGATGAGAGTATGAGACGCACTGCCTTGCTCTGTCTTCCAGGTCATGTGGGTACATGGTGAACCCGGTTGCATTGACAATGCCGGCTGCTTGCAACTCCTCATACAGAGTGCTTGACAAGGCAAAAGTGATGTCAGGGACCCGTTCGCTAAACGTGGCAGGTGTCAGGGCATAGGGCTCCATCATGACATGTTCCGCATGCAATCCCTGGGGCACAGTGGCACGACACATATCACGACAAAGCTGAGTCATCTGCAGGATTGATCCAGCCGGCTGACAAACCGAGGGGCCACGTCTGAGATCAAGTGAGATACAAGTCCAGTAGGCGTCACGCACCTGCTGCTTGAGGAAGTAAATGCTCCTGTGTATGCGCTCCTTGTAGATGTCCTGGTCATTCCTGGCCTCCAGAAAAAATACTGGAGGAAAAGGCCATGAGGCGTTGCCTCCTGGCTGGTCAACATTCCGGCTGACAAGCTGCTTCTCTTCAAAGAGTTCATCCGGCCTAAAACCCATCACTAAGCTCGCCACTGCCTGCATTGGTCATGAAAACGCCTTCAACAGGCAGCTCTGTTCCAAGCATGTCTGCTGCCAAGCTCTGGCCAGAATCATCTCAACCCATAAATGCATGTCCTGATGTTCACTCTAATCACTCCTGATCTGCCGCTTGGGTTGCAAATGCAAAGGTCATCTTCTTCAGACACTTCAGTGCCCACTTGCAAAGATTGTGCACCTGCACAGGGAACCGAGTAGCAAACAGCAGAGCTGCCGCTCCGCCCGCAGATGATCCCAGCAGGTATCGAGGCAGCCCCCACCACTTTTGCTCCTCCAAGACATGCCGGATGGCCCTCTTCAACTGCACAGGTGCAGAACAGTAATCGTAGCAGACAACAGACAGAAGCATACTTCTCAATGACTGAGTGTGGTCCTTGTGAAGCAGAGATCAGCCAGTGAAGCGAAGAAGCACTGCTTCTGGCCAAAAGGGCCTCATTTGTGCATTCTGAGTTTTGCAGCGCACCTCAGGGATCTCTATGCTTGCCTCTGGTGGCCAAGTCTTTGTCCAGCACCTGTCAGAGGCCCCTGACAGATGTGGCCCCACACTGACCACTGCATAGCCCCTCTGTACAGCAGTCGACACTATGGCTATCTCCTCTGCCAGTCCTGCAGATCACACCAATGCCTCATTGCATGCCACAGAAGCTCGCTGGACAATCTGTCCAAGTGCACAGCGCTTGCTGAGGATATCATTGATGGGATGGTGACCTGGGTCTGCATATGCTTGCAGACAAAGTGATCAAGATAACAAACATGATGGTACAGGGTAAGGCAAGAGGCTGACCTGAACAGAGAGGGCAGTGACGCGAGGAAAAGCCCCATTCAGTGGGGAGCTGGTCGCACCCGGGAAATGCAAATATCACACCCTTGAGTGGTCCCTTGGGAACATTGTGAACAAACTCCCGGTCAAAGATCACCTGCCAGGCACAAGACTCACTGTGTGACAGTTCTGTTGCCATGTAAAGCAATCCTCAGCCTCTGCGCCGCATAGCAACGTATGTGTGAAGGCGCGCCAAATCACGGTCCAGGTGCAGCCACTAAGGATGGGGCGAAATCTCGCACATCATAGTGTGCTTCAGGTAGGCCTTCCCAAGCAATACTGCTGGCACAGAATGCAATGGTCAAAAGGAGTCCCCATGCTGCAGGCCAGCGCATCTTCACACCAATCTCATGAAAGTCTCAGAGTCCTGCCCATGCACCTGCACCACATGAAGGAAGCTATCTTGGTTGTCCACAGACGGCGACTGGAGCCTGATCTGGGCCATAACACGAATGATGAAACCGGATACTTTTCCACATCTCCTCGATTGTGATGGTAACGCACAACTTCAGAGGACAGATCTGATCTCAGTAGGCACTAAGTCCCCGGCAACTCGTTTTGGAGCAGTTACCCAACGGTTTTCCATCAAAGGCTTGTATCGAAAGCAAATTGTTGCCGCCAACCAAGTGAAGAAGGCAGAAAAATTGATTTACTTCGCCGTCCAGTCACCGTGCGGCATGTGGTGCTTTTTCCTTCCACTCTCACACTGGGGGACACGGTCAAAGGTTCCTTGCAGACCACACTTGAAGGTACGCATACCGTATCTGGCCACAGGGGGACTGCTACGGCCCCATTCATAGCAGCGATCACCGATGAATCAGCTGATGGGAACATACCCTAGGTTATAACTCTTTAGGGTCTCCAGGGATCAGTCACGATCACCAAAGCCGACGCACAAGGATGACTGCACCCTGATCCGAGGATGAGGCCCTCCGAACAAATTTCTCCAAAAAGTTCCTTGAAGAAGTGGACAACATGGTTGCGAGCCCTGACGGGATTTCGTGTGGTTAGGGGGTTGTAGGATGGTCGCTACCTGCAGCGAGAGCCTGCCGAAGGGGCCTGCAGCAGCAGTCGATGGTCCCAGCCGGCAACATCGCTTGTCAGTGTTCTCTTTTGCGTTCGGAGCCCTGACGACATGCATACTGCTGTTCATTTTACGGACAAACCAGCTGTACATGGTGGAAACACCGAGGGTATTCATCACAACGTCCAGTGTGCATTCGACCTACGTAGTGCAATCATCTCGGACTTGCAACAGGATGAAGGTGCCTCCCCAATACATCAACGAAACTCAGGGTCCGTACAACCCTGCTGCAGTCCGCGATCCCAGCACGGGGAAGTGGCACGCCATTATGACACTGGACGAGGTGCGAATGCGCGCCCAGGCTCTGCGTCAATCATCCTGCAGCTAATCTTATATTGGACAGCAGTGTCACTTTTGTCTGTTCATGGGTTGCAGATCTGGTTTGGTATATCAAACTACACTCGTTTCGGGACGTATCTGGAAGGGCGAATGCGATCGCATCCTCTGGTCTTGGACATGGGAAATGGCACGCTGCCCTCAACTGAGGCCTCAACAGCAGTCCGCATGCTGGACCTGGATGCAAGCTATCAGCAGCTGGCAAATGCTGAGGGGGCCCAGGTGTACAAGGCTGCTGATTGGAGGTATGCCCCCCTGCTCTGTCACCATCACAAAAGTGTTCCTTTCGAGGGCCCTCTTCCATCATACAGATTATCTTGCAGACCTTGAAAGTAGGTGCGATTGGCTTCCTTTTTTGTGCAGGCCATTTGTGTGGAAGGGGGAGATGTATCTGGGGCACTGGATTGGATACATGCCTGGGAAAGAGCGCATGGCCATATCCAAGCTGGACCTGCAAGGAGGGGCTGTGAGGCTGCTGCACCGTTTCAGCACGTTGGATCCAAGCTTAGAAGCTGCAGTGGTGCCAGACCAGGGCACTACTCAAGTGGGAGCGTTCAAAAAGCTGCTCGCCTTGCTTGACATCAGGCAGAACTGCCAAGATGCAGGCTTCAGGTGTGGGCCCATGTCCTGCTCATCATTTTTAAATTTACCTGACAAATTTTGCTTGTGAAGTGGCCAGATAGAGCAACAATGCCGGTGCTGTGTGCAGGAGGGAGAAAAACTGGGGATTCTGGGAAGAGGACGGGAAGCTGCTCATACTGTACGGGACCCTTCCTTGCACAGTGGTGTTGGAATTCGACCCCGTGCAACCATTCGAACCCAAACTTCGATCTCGGACTTGCTACGTGCGCGAGACCATTCCCATTCTGCAGGCCACTGGTAGGTCCACAGCCACCCTCAACAATGGCACAGGTGGTGTTCCTCAGCAAGCTAGGAGCATGAAGCTTGACAAAGCATGCAGTCTCACGGGCGTTGTAGATGATATTGTTTGCGCAATCACAGGGCTCTATCACTTGGTCGTGTGCCTTCTGTTTCGAGCTGTCAGTGAGATCTGTACCACAGTTGACACTTTGCACATCCCGCCAACTAACACTCGCAGCTGATATCTGCGGCCCTTTCTGTGCAGGCCTGGACATCGGGAGGGGCCAGGTGCACATCAGCGGCAACCCAGTGCCCTGGGACATCCAGCATGGCGCCCAGCACCAGCAGCTGATTGGCATGTTGCACACAAAACAGGGGCAGTACATAAACTGGGCTGTCCGCATGGACCGAGACACCCACGCCATCACTCACATCTCAGCCGGGCCAATCTTGAGCAACCAGGACTACAGGAATGAGGTAGGTTGATGCCGTGGTTTTCCCCTCTGCTGTGCTGTGTTGTTGCATGTGACTGGTCCTTCCGTTATGCCAAGAATCTGCACCACCTAACACCAATGGTTGCTGCCAAGCAGTAAAGAATTGCTGCTGCCTGCAAGGTGCAGTGGTGAGCATAGCAGACATCCCTACCGCCAGGACCTGAGGCTCACTGGCAACTCTGTGCTTTGCAGGGCTTCCTGAAGACGGCACTGGTGGTCAGTTCCTTCCACGTTCTACCAAAGGAGGGCAGCAGTGATGCGGAGGCGTCCTTTGTGCGCATCTTCTACGGGGAGGGGGATCGGTACGGGTGCTGGCTGGACATTGACACAGACACCATTGTGTGGCACGAGCTTAGGCCTGCCAGGAGCATGAAAAGGCGACCTTCCATGCGAGTAGCACCATTTTGAGATGTCTCCTCTGCAGCCCATTCGCTGCAAGGAGACTGGAGGTGCAGGTATTGAGGTAATTAGGCTTGTCTTTAAGGCAGCCATCGTTGCTGCAGCCAATTTGATTGTCACACACATTAATTCCATGCGCCTGAGGAAGTTGACTTCCTACTTTAGAGGAAGCCTCTGCAACCTGTTGCAGATAGTCTTATCAGAGCACTTGACACACGGGCACCAGCGAGACTGGGAGCCGCCACGGCCAATTTTATGTGGCAGTTTTTCTTCGTTGGGTGGGATTCCTAGGCCTTGCAGCAAGTACAAAGGCCCTCTGCGTGTCTGATATTGTTTGAGAGAGTTGGAAAGTCTTGTGTGACGCTTGCACTCAGAGTTTCAAACTTTGCAGTACTGTTGATTTGATGAATGATCTCCTCAAGGAGAGAGTCTGACAAGCTACCAGAGTGATTACATGTCATTCTCGCTAGGCTACAGGGGACTGAGTTTCAATGTTCAGCACATGTTTCCATGGAGGCAACCTGGACCTCTAGCTTTTGGCAAAAGCATGTGTCTGGACTCAAGTCCACATTTTGGATGTGCAAGCTTTGCTAGAAGCAAACATAGCAGAATGTTGCAACCTCTGCGTTGCAGCTATGATGCTTGGATCTGCAACATCGAGCGGATAATTGTCCAGGCAACAAGATCATTGTGATTCATGGCTTCTTGCCCGCCGCACAACTTGTTCGAGGTTCCTATATGATTGTGGTTGTGGCCATATGCATATGGATATTTTCTGGCGTTCTTTGAAATGCTTTTAGAGTGAAAGTTTTGCATGTGCTGGGACAACTTGTGGATCAGCCGTACATCTGTTGATACTGTTTTCATTGAGTGCGCAAGGTCTTCCAATCCCACGTATTGGTGGCATTGAGTGGCAGATCTTTCTCAGTCAAGCTCTGATATTGTCAATGAGTGAAGATTCACTACATTGTAAATTGATACCTGACTCGCCAACACGTGTAATGGTGCGTTAGCAGATGCATAAGAAGCGAATAGAATGCAAGCATGCATTTCTCACTGGCTGGGTCTGCATTTGCATGTTGGCTATTTCACACCGATTGAACACTGAAAGTTTATCATCTTGACATCATGAATTCTTGGACTTAGGTCAAACTGCAACACCGAGTCAGGTGTCGATATCATCTGTGGACTGAGACATTGGGCACTGCTGCACTGTAGCATCTATTTCTCCGCTCATGATTCCATTGTCATTTGTGCCTAGCATTTCTGTTGTGTCATGTCACAAAGCAGCATGTCAAAAGGGTGGCTGCAGAAGTCTATGCGCCGGTGGCAGTCACATTGTAGAGGCTGCCGAGGCTGACCCAGCGGTACGCGCATCTGTTGCGCAGCTGCTCCACCGCCTTCCTGCCAGCTTCCAAGGCCTCCCTGATGGGCGCCAGCCGCCTGTGGGACGGCCAGCCAGCACCTTCTCAGCTTGATTTACGCAGCTTGCATTGTGGCAAAGCAATGTCTAGCCGTGCATGTTCAGCATCTGCAGCACACGCAGCAGACATGCATGCCAGTGAAAGCTCCCTGGATCAATCCAACGAGCAGCATCACACAGACTGACTGCATGCCTTTGCAGGGCCCACCGCAGCCCACACCGCCTGAGAAATTTCCATTTGTCGGACACAAGACTTTTAAATGGCCATTCACGAGCACCCATGCTGCTCATAAATTACATCAGGGGATAGGGTATGTGGCAGCCTTCTACTTGCAGCTTGTCTGCAGACGCACCTGACCTCTGGCAATAAAAGCGTGCAATAATAATGGTAGGAACACTTCATGGGCAGAGAGGCTGTGCAGGTGCGTGAGGGCCTTGCCTGGTGGCTTCCAGGCGCTCGGTGTCGTCCTTGAGGCGGGCGAGGGCGAGGCTGGGGTCCAGAAGGCGGTGGAAGTGCGACAGCTGCGTGTACAGCGCCGCCTCGCTCATCGCCGCCGCCATGTGCCCCGCCGACGCCACGTTCGGCGACGCCATGCCGGGAGCCGCATCACCCTGCAGCACCCAAATTCGAAATGGTAAACACCTCGGGGCCGGGAACCAAGATGGACTTGAGATCATATCACATGACGTGAAAGACAGGGGTGCTGAAATAACCCTGGCTCTGCAGGCCTGCACCAAGGAACTGTGCACACACAGAGCGCTGCAGAGTAGCATGGCAAGTAGGAGGGGATAATGAGGCAGATCACAGGTGCTTGAAAGAGCCAAGGAGTTCGCTCATTCTCACAGCAGAACAACAAGGGATTCATGGGCAGGTAGGGAGTGCAGCAGGCACGCCTGGCAGGAGCTCGCTCTGCCAGGAGCAATAGCAGGCATGGTGCTATCACATGACGGATTGCACGAGATTGACAGAAGTGAGGGCGCACCTGCGCCCTGAGGCAGACGTTGCGTGTGTTGACGGGCATGAGCTCATCGTCGGAGACCAGCGACCCCTCATAGTACTTGGCCACCGCCTCACGCGCGCGCAGCCGCACCTGGTTAGCCACCTGCGCCGCGCTCAGCCCCGAGCCTGTGCAGACACCCGCACATGCTGTTGGCTACGGCTGGCGGGGGACGGGGTTACTACTGAGCACCGTGTCTTTGGGTTTCCCTGCTTGGATCTGACGAGTCCAACAAGGGGTGGGATTTTGGCAACCTTTGCCTGTAGCTTGTCTGCAGACACACCTTGCCTCCTGGCAGGAAAAGCGTGTAACAATAACAATAATAATAATGCTGATGTCAGACAGTGAAATGCGTGGCGACAACTTCCTCTCACCAGAACTCTGCGCCTGAGGTAACATCAGATCAGCGAGGTTCTGGGTCCTGTAGATAATGTCCTGAATCAGCTTGCAGGGTCAACCATGTAAAGGGTTGGAGATGTTTCGATAGTATTGGGGTGGTTGTTGTGGCTTCTCAATGCTGCTCTTCTTGATAATGAGTCTCTTGGTCAGGGTTGATGAGCACAAAAATCCTACATATTCCTTACACTTCCACACTACCTTTGGTGATTATTAGAGTCACATGCACGAGCTGCGTCAAGGAGGCTGGCTGAGCAGCGCACCAGTGGCGGCGGCGTCCGGGGGAGCGAACGCATCTCCAGGGGCGACCCCCCCGCTGAGAACGTCCTGCACTCCCACGAAGGGGAAGCGGGTGCCGTCTGCACTCGTCAGCCACAGCGGATCGCAGTCCTGCGCACATCAAAATGCATGTGCTAGTCATCAAGAAAGATCTGCAAGCTTGCAGGGCGCTCCAGCAAGCAGAACTTGATGCAGGACAACAATCTGTGCCTTGATGCTGTGCGCCAACTTGATGCCGTGCGCCACTCATGCATGTGCTTAAGCGATTGATGGAAATTTGCTGGCGCTCTGAGGACCTGGCTGTCCCGTTCTATCTATATAACTTTTGTTGTAGGGGTCTTTATTGTAGGGGTCACTTCTGCACAGGCGCCAGGCAAAGATGAACATTGTGCAGATTGACCGCCGCGCAGATTATGAATGCAAAAGCAGCGCTCACCTTGTAGCGGGCGTCGCAGTCGAGGGTGGCGGTGGACGCGATGAGGGCGTCCTCCAGAGCGTCGCGCATCCCCGACCCGGCCGCGGCCGCCGCGTGGTACTTGGCCGGGTCGAGGCCGAGGCAGTCTGCCAGCCGCGCCGCGTCAGTCCCCTCAATTGGCGCGCACAGCCGCGACACCACCGGGTGCACCTGCCAGGCACCCGCTCAGTCAATATTGTTGACTTCCCAGCATCAGCGGAAGGCTTGCTGTGATGGTTGCACAAGTGGAACCATCCTGCAACCTGCAACACTTGTGCAAGCGGACATAAGAATTTCTTGGGAGATGCAGGGTGCAGCAGCTGGTGACCATTTGCACTGATAGCAACTCATATCCCATTCAAACCCAAGCTCACTGCTGACACTGTGTGTGTGGCTTGTCATCATTTTGTAGAACTTGCAGAGATGCATGCCAGACCACCTTCTGGTTTAACTATGCGCCTGGACCACAACCCTAAGGACTTCAGAGTAGGCTTTGGCTGCATGCATTGCATGCTGTCAAAGCACGTGTGCGGATGCACAGGGTCCCACCTGGTTGGCAAGGTAGTACTGGACATCCACGCGCAGCGCCGGGTTGGCGGCCAGCTCCTCCCGGTGGTATGCGCGCTCGGCCAGGCCGCCCGCACCGCCATCCTTGGGCTGCCCGGCCTCGTCAACCTCGATGCAGATTATGTACGGCACCGTCTCTCCCTGCCCACCCAAGGCCCCAACCAACAGCTCTTCACTTTGCAGTCCCAGAAACACAGCTGCAATAAATCATGTACCAGGGAACACCGCCCATCACGGACCAATGCAAGCAACTTTGGGCAGAGTTGATACTGCTCTGACTTTGAGAAAATTGGCTGTCTTGAGCGCGCAGGCCTGGGCCAGCCGCATGAAGAGATCGTGTGATGGTGCCAGGGGGTGTGCATTGCACTGTGCAATGATACTGCCCTACAGAGAACCCCGGTAATTCCCTTCTTAATTACCCATATGTCTGACAGGTGGCATGTGGGGGCATGTGTGGGCACCTGCTTGGTGCCTTCGCGCTTGTGGGCGGCTGCACGGCGGAGGGCGACCTGCACGTGGGGCTGGTTCTTGGCGTCCGGGTAGTCCTCCGGCCGCTTGGTCAGCTGCTTGTGGATCACAAACTTGTCCAGCGTCACCGCTCCAGCATCCACCTTCTCCCGCACCTGCACACCGCCAGCACTTACATTCTCAGAGTCGTCAGCCTATCGTAGTCATCAACCTTTTATAATCATCAGCCTCTGATCACCAAAGGCTGAGTTTAGAGCCCACGGGAGAACACAAATTGCTGTCATACCACTATGTTCTGGCATTTTGGCAAACTTCTGGCTATGCCTGCTATGGGGGGCATTCACACGGCTGACCTTACAGAATGTCACCCCAATCAGAAGGCTATAAGAGAACCGCCCCCAAGTGACATGATGTGCGGCTGAAGAGCAGCTTTTCTTTGCATACCTTGGCATGCATGACCTCACACAACACCACTGAAACCAGAGGCACCTGAAGGAATGCCAGGTTACTTAGCGCATCGCGCATGGCTGGAGAGCAGCTAATGAGCCGGTTTTGGGACATGTCTGGGATGACTGTGTTTGGCACCTGGCGCAGGCGGGCGTGGATGGCAGAGACGACGTCCTCGCAAGGGCGGCCGGACAGGATCTCATCAAGGGCGTAGTTGCCGCAGTCCTTGGCCAGCGCGCACCAGTCGCGCCGCACCATGTCCAGCCCCTTTGCCTCCTTCACCTGCGCCCACGGCCCAGTATTTAGTCCGCCGAGTACCGCGTGATGCTCACAAAAGTGGTCCTCAGGATTTATCCTCCCCAACTCCAAATTGAGTTGCAGAAAACAAAGATTTAGGGATTTCGGAAACACCAGCAAAGTCACGGACAATTGAAGATTAGAGAATGTGATCAAGAATGTGCCTGCACGCGGACCATCTCTAGTGTTATTGCTGTCCTTTTTTGTCGTTTTGAGGCAATACATTGGTGCAGAAATCAATGCAGTCTCTCCCACGTGCTGCATGTTCCAATGTGATGCGAGGAGTTCTAGAGCAGGGAGCATGCAATGGGAACATCATGCCATGAGAGCCAGAGGAGGACTCCCAGTTGCAGACCTGCTCCAGGCAAAGCATGTGGGCAAGGTGCATCTCCACAGCTCATCAGTGTAATTCTTCCCAAGCTACACGCAGTAGGAGAAGAAGTGTTTTTCCCCGCTTCAAGCACTAAAGCTGGGCAAAGGCTGAGGGCACAAAAGCACACGCACCTCTACGGTGCGGCCGGCTGCGTCGCGGTCGAGTTTGATGGCGGCGTACTTCTTCTTCTTGAGCAGCAGCATGCACTTGTACATCGCGTCCAGCTCGATCTCCAGCAGCTTGTAGCGCTTGTTCACCTCACGCTTCACCCGCGCCCCCATCGCCCGCGCCTCCTCCTCCTTCGCCACGTCTGTCCGCACCATTATGCTGTCCGTGTCCCCGTATATCACCTGCGCGCGCGAATCGAGAGGGTTCAGAGACTACATCACGAAAACCCATGTCGCCGTACATGTCCTGCGTGCGCGGGTGAAAAGGGTTCAGAAACCCTAAAGGTCCCGGCTGCAGCTGCTGGTTGCTGTCAGACAGGGCATGTGCGCCCGCCTGCATGAATAGAGTGGGCATCATCATGTGAAAGCATTGCAGTAAATTCAGAAGGGGAGTGGCAAAATCATCAACGGTTATGTTACACTAGCTGTCAGCGCTGCACCCGAAACGATGTTACTGCACCTGGGCCACACAGGCATATGCTACTGCAAGCAAGCGAAAGGCAATAGCCAGAACGCCAAGGACCGGCACCAGCGCAGCGGTCAGACACAGAGACTCAGGTCCAAAGCATGCACATCGGGGGACCTGACTCTCCTGCACTTCCGAATGCATGCATGTGCATGCAACTCGTATCAACGTCATGTGGCATCATACAGCCATGACGGCATAGTCGTGAATGAGCTCATCACCTCGAGGCCGACCGATGACTGGACGAGGTCGACGGTGGACTGGAGGATGTCTCGCCCCTGCGCGGTAACAAGCTCGGCCAGGGGTCGCGCAAAGAAGCGCGAGGCGGAGAAGCCGAGGCAGCCGTACATGGAGTTGGCCGTCAGCTTGAGCGCCTGCTGCCGGATGTCCAATTGCTGCCGCCGCACACCGTCGCGCTCATTCGCCAGCAGAGACTTCACCTCCCGGCGCCGTTGCACCAGCCCCCGGATCACCTGCGAGCGCGGTGATTTTGATTATAAAAAAAACAGAGTTGACGCTCAAGGAGTCCCGCATGTGGTGCAGGGAGGAAACTTGCAATGCCATACGAAGAGCCCTGCTGCTGCTGGGTCATGCTTCATGATCGGGCGCTGACAAGGAGGAATATACCTCGCCTTCTGAACCATGCAACCTATCGGTGCACCCCTCTTCAACGGCTCCACCTCTGCGCTGTGTGCTGTGAATCATATCAAGCCGCCTATGTCTGCTCAAACCAGGGGCGTGCGGGAGATCCCTATCTTCCTACTCTCGCAGTGGCACTATGCGGCTCTGGTCCTGCAAAGAATGCATGAAACAAGACGGATCAGGATAATAATTAGCAGGAATGCTACCTTGGGCAGGACGGCGAGGTCGTGGGAGGGCTCTGGCAGGGGCGCAATGGAGCCGTCCTTGGGGCGGCGCACGGTGGTGAAGCAGATGTTGTACTCCTGGATGATGGAGGGGTAGAGGGAGTTGAAGTCCAGCAGCAGCACGATGCTGTTGTACAGGCCCTTCTTGGGCTCCAGCACAAGGCCCCCCGCGTACTGTGCCTTGCCCTTCTTCCCACCTGCGTCAGGCACGTCCCACTTCTCACTGTGCTGCTTTTCTATGACAATGGTGGGAGAGGAGAACATAAAAGAAGATCCGGTCAACGGCAATCACAGAATCCAAGACCCGAGCGATCACAAACTATGTGATAGGTGGTCTGCTTTGCTGCAACCTGCATGTGAAGAGCTTGCCTTGCTCATCAGTGATCTTGGCGTCTTGCAATGAGATAACAGGTTGCAAATATCCTCCTCCTCCTCCATCCAATCACATTCAGGGAGAAGCAAGTTCAAGACTGCCCTGCAGCCAACTCTCACTGCTGGGAGCCAGAACCATTTCTGACCGTGTATTGCAGTAAATGACCGCTTGAAGTAGCATGCACGTGGAAGCTGTCGCCATGCAGCACTCTGTAGAGGGTACCAACTGTGGGCTTGAGAGGGGTGGCGCACCGGCCTTGACCTCCTCGAAGGCCTCGCCGTCGTCGGCGTGCGCGGCCGCGTGCTGGCGGCGTGCCAGGCGCTCGCGCTCGCGGCCGCTGAGCTTGTCCGGCAGCAGGAACTTGCGCGCGTAGAACTCGTGCAGCAGCAGCATCTCTATGCGCTGCGCCCGCTGGCCCTGCATTGCATCACCGGCCCACGTCGCGAGGGAGCACACAGCCCAGATTTCAACAGATATTCCACTTGACCTAACCAGCGCATTCCAGCAGGGTGCATGTGCGCACAGAATGTGGGGTCGAACATCCAGTGTCAGCAAATGGAGGTGGCGCATGGTGCCTCAGATGACTGCCTTCAGATGCACTAAAAACACTCTTGCAACAGACCGCAGATCCCAGCTCGTAGTGACTCATTCCTGACTTGCAGCTGATCAAGGAGCGCATTTACTTGGGTGTGGTCATGAATGCTGGGTCGAGCACCACGCGCCTGTGGAGGTGTATTAGCAGGCAGGTAGAAGTCTTGTACTGGGGTTTGCCCGTGCATTTGGTCCCTAGAAGCTGCTTCCTAGAGGGATGTGATGCAGAGAGAAGGGAGGGCAGGGGGCATGCCTGGAGGGTGCGGGACCACAGGGATCCGGAGAGGCAGGAGAGTTGGCGGGAGAGGGGCAGCAGGTTGAGGTGCATGGCCAGGGACAGGGCCAGCCACGCGTCGCTCTCCGTGTGCTGCACCAACTCCATCAGCTTCGGCGCCGCCTCGTACTTGCCTGCGGGCACACTTATCCTCAAAGGAGCACTGTAAAGGATCGGTGATAAAAACGAGTCAACGGCCCAAGCAAAATATCAGATATTGACAGTCCGCCCCCCACCCTCAGAAAATGAGCCCTTCACTTGACAAATGGAGACCTTCTCTTCCAAGCTCAATGATACATCCATCCTCACGTCTCATGTCGCTTTGCGATACAGAGAATGCATGCAGATCCATTAGGCGTCATGCCGCTGATGCCTCAGCAGTCCGCAGGAAGTCAAGTTTGAGCCAAAATGAGACCCACCGGGCACGTCGGCAGCGGCGAGGTCCGAGCGGGTCTGGCCGAGGTGGATGCGTGCGAGGGTGGCCATGGTGTAGTCGACCTCATGTAACAGCTCGCGCGCGCCTAGATAGGTGTCGCAGATCAGCCGGCCCGCCATCGCCGTCATGAGGCCCGGCCCCGCGCCGCCGCCGAAGCTGCCGCCGCCGCCGCCCAGGCTAGGGAACGTGCTCCGCCGCAGCCGCCCCACCCGGCTCCACTGCGGCACCTGCGCTCGCACACATGACTCCGCTTGATAGAACAGCGCAGATCCTTGTCATTAGTAGGAGAATACGGCATTTCGAGCACTGTGCTGGCACTGACCGGCGAGCTCTTATTATCCGATTGGACGTCACGCGCCCTCCATGCGCATATCATCTGCCTCCAGAGCACATGTAGTGCGTGGGACAATGGATTCAGATTGGCTAGCCTTGGAGGCCACAGAAGGATGGGCACTGCAAAGGCGTTTAAATTTGTCAAGATGACATTGTTGCGCACATATTTCCCAGTAGTTTTTGCACTGCACAGTGGAAAAGGCCGCATTTCTGGCTTGCGTCGCCTGCGTAGGCACCGAAGATGGGCTCTGCAGATACAGCGTGATGTGTAATTTGGTGCGCACTTCTCGGCAGCCGTTGCACTACAAACAGAACAAGCCCCTCACCTTGTGGTGCTGCAGGCGGTGCAAGAGGACGTCCAGGTCGAAGGCGGCAATGTTGTGGCCCACAAGCACGTCGGCGTCGAGCGCGCGCAGCCGCGCCAGCAGATTCATCAGCAGCGAGCGCTCGGACGCTTGCGCGCTGAGCATGGTGCCGCCGTTGCGCCGCCCCATCTCGCTTGCATTCACCGCCTGCACCTTTGCCTCAAAGCCTGCGCGCGCAGCCACGCACCCGATGTCGTGGCGCCTCCCAATATCGCACAAGGAAGGGCAATGGCAAGCGCAGTCTGTCGCCACATTGTCACGAGGAGAGCCTGCACTCGGGTCGATAGCACAGAATTTCCTGTAGCGCTATTTGAGTGCACAAGACGATTGTGGTCTGGGGTGAGAATGTGCCGCCTGTGCAGCTGTGCGAAGGTGCTGCTGCTGACAAGCGCTGGCTTGGTCATTTCGGCCCCTGCGTTTGCGCTGGTTTATAGTTAGTCTGGCCACAAAACGCACCTGCAGGGAAGGGCTGGCCGTCGAGCTTGCGCAGGACGGAGAAATGGCGCAGGGAGCGGCTGCTGTTCCAGGCCGCCTTGCTCAGCGGCCGGTCCAGGTTCACCGCCGGCAGATACACCACGCTCGCCGCCACCACCTCGTTCGTGTTCGCCTGCGCCGCAACAAAACAAGCCACGGATCAGCCGCTGCCAATCAAAATGACCGCGGGTCCCAGGGTGTGTCTTGCGTTTGGTCTGGACACATGAGCATGAAGGTGCTCACGGTAAGGAGGCTGGCAAAGCATTTATCGGCCTCCCAGTTGTACCTGTGCTGTTCCCCCAGTGCCTCCACTCTGATGTTTGGTCTTGGGCTCACAAGAAAGTAGGTGCCGTTGGGAAATTTAAAGCAAGAGTGGAGGCGCTGAGGGCGCTAACAAAACATGTGTGGGTGGGACAGAAGAGTAGGGCGGGAAACTCGCCTGTGGGTGTAGGGATGTCTTCAGGTTGAGAGCGGCGACGATGAGCGGCGGCGGCTCCTGCTGCCCGGCGCACTTGGAGCTGACATTCTTGTGGCCCTCCACCTTGACTTCCAGCTTGCACCAGCTCACCTGATGCCACGCAAAGCCTCACTTCAGGACGAGCCCTTTGCACGCTGGGCGAGTCTTGATTGTAAGAGAGGTCAGGACCGCAAGGTAAGTCTAACAGTAGGTTCCTTATCCTTTCTGTAACGTGAGTCTCAGAGTAATTGCGTCATACGGCTTACTTGCAGTCAAATCTTTGGGCGAGCACACATTCCTATGCAACTCGCAAGATGAGATGCATGCAGCAGTGCCATTTGTGGGAGAGTGTGCAGAAGGTCTTGGCTGGAAAGGGGCGGCATAAATACTGAGCACCGTGCCCACGGTTGATTGGGTCTTGCTTGGATCTGGCGAATCTAACAAGGGGTGGGATGGTGGGCAGCCTTTTTGCAGCTTGTTTGTAGGACATATCTTGCCTTTTGGCAGGAAACTGGTGTAATAACATTTATAATAATGCAGAAGGTGAAGAGGGCGCGCCTGCTTGCTGGCGTCGACGCGGGTGGGGCAGCTGAGGCTGATCCAGGAGGGGCCCATGATGCGGCGCTTGAGCAGCACAGACTCCAGCACGCTCTGCTGCGCGCCAAACACCCCCACAAAGTGCTCCCCTGCACACAGCAGCAGTGGTGTTCTGACAGACCCTTCCCACTCATGACCGTGTCACGTCACAGTTTCACCCTTACCTGTACCCTCATCTTGCATGCATCGATAAAAAAGCTTTTGTGGCCTGGGCTGGCATCTAGCCCGCTGTGTCAGCACCGTTGAAAGGAGCAAAGGACAATGCCACAGCCACAGGTATGTCAATACAATACGCATTTATGCTTAGATGCAAGGGGTGTCTGCATACAATGTGCAGGTAACAGCTCCCTCTGTTGGGCTCACCAGATCCAAGCAAGCCAGTGCGCCTTTTGACAGGGTAACAAGACAGGGTGCATAGGGCGCGTACCCTCTAGGCCGTTGGGCAGCGAGGGCTTGGCGGCGGAGTAGCGCACTTTGAGGACCCACTGCTCTCCGTGGGGCACGCTGTCCAGCTCGAATGCGTAGTTGCGCCGCACCGGCTTGATCACAAATTTGTCGATGCCGTGCTCTGCCAGCACCGCCCTCACCTCGGCCTTCAGCGCCGCCGCCTGCTCCTGTGTGCGCAAGCAGAGCTGCTCGGTCAATATCTGTTGACCAGGACTCGTGTGAAGGGGACACGGCCCCAGGCAAAGTCTGAAAAATCTGCATTCCGCTGTACGGTTCATTAAAATCTTCAAGAGTTAGCACACATGCGCATCACCATTCTTGTGTCTCGTGGTCTAACTCACCCATCCCCTGTTGGTGTGTCGCCAAGAGAGCAAACCCGAGTAAACTGAAGGGCTGAAGTCTCCAATATCAGGCTGCCCTTATAATGCGCCCTGATCAGCAGGGACACGGCAGAGTGAGAACCATTTCAGAGTGCTCTCTTACATGCAGGTGGCGCAGGAGAGGCCCCTTGGCTCCGGGGTTGGCGGCGGCCTCGGCCTCCAGCCGCGTCAGCTCCGCGCCGGTGAATGTGCCCGGCTGCGGCACGAAGAAGATGCAGCGCATGCAGCCCTCCAGCACCGCGCAGCACGACTGGTGCTGCCCTCCGTTTGGCACCTGCGCCACACTCAGCCTCTCAGACACGCCTCAATTGATTGCTCAGCGCCTTGTGATATACTGGCCCCATGCGCGTTTGCACTGATGCAGGCCTGTGCATGTGCCGCAGTGCTGGATCGTTCACCTCAAGCCTGGGGTCTTGTCTGGCATCGTCCTTCAGGCATGAAGGTCTGCTTGACATCTGAGTTGTTATTCACGCGTTACTGACTGCTGCTGTAAAGACCAGTGCAAAATGACACAGTGGCTTTCACAGGGTGCAGCTTTCAGAGTTGCTCTCAGTCTGCCGCTTGGCATTAGCAACCAATAAACGTGCTCATCTGTGAAGAGAAGGTGCCTGGCGCGCATGTCATTGGCAGAGATACAGGAGTAACTCCTGCAGGGCGGCTGAGACAGGAGGCACCTTGCCGAACAGGTACACGGTGCCCGGGGTGGCGGCCTCTTCGTGCGCATCCAGCAGGAAGAAGGGCAGCGTGCCGTCCACCAGTGGCAGGCTACCATCGTCCACCCACTCCTCTTTTGGCTCCTCCTTCACCTCTCCATCCGGCCTGTCCTCGCCTCCTGCAAGACCCACCAGATCCTTGTCTTAAATCGATATATGTTTGGCGTGCAGTCGACACCCAAGATAGCAATATTAATATTCTATTATTCATTTTAACTCCCCCTTACACATGCCTCCCACTCAATACAGCGCCGCATGCAGTGCACATGCGCATGCTGTGTTCGCAGTCTTGAGGGTGGCATTGTTATGAAGCTCTGCTGCGCAGCATGCAGCAGGTGATCTGTTTGACAAATGGGAAAGGACAGATCAGGTGTTTGTGATGTGATCAATGATATGGGAATTGAGGTTGGCACCTTCGCCGGCCTCATCGTCGTCGTAGTGCTGCTGCCAGCCGGAGGCGGCAACAGCGGTGAGCGGCGTTGCCACCTCAGCAAAAGTCGGCGGAGGGGTACGCCAGGGGGTCTTTGGCGCGCTGCCGCCGCCGGTGCTGCTGCCTGCAGGCGTTCCCTCCTGTGCCCTCTGCACAGCACAGCAAAATTGACCCTCTCGAGGCACAAACGGTGCGGTAACACACTCATGCGCAGCGCACACTCAAGATTGCTGTGAAGCAGTCAGGAGCCACTCATTTGTGCTTGTTTCCCCTTCAAAGTCATGCTTCCAGCCAGGTACATCACACTGGAGGAGACAAAATGCCAGAAGCAGGACATTCGTTGGACAACAATGCACCAGCTGCTGGACGGTGCGATTTGCTGTTGGCGTGGGGGCCTCTGCTGAGTCACTGATGTTGCCGCATGCTGCAGTAGCAGCCTCAGCTTTGCTAGTGCTGACTGGCTCCTCTGCGCCCTCTGCCTTGATGCCTGGCCTACTCGGCGACTCTGGGGGAGGGTCATCCGGCATGCCTGTGTCCATGCCCGCGTCTCCGCCGTAGTCATCGATGTTGTCATTGTTGTAGTCATTGTTGTAGTCGTTGCCGCCATGGTCGTCATAGCCCATGTCCTCCTCTGCCGCAAACCACAGATTGCTATGACACAAACAGCGATTGAAGCGTCTTATGCACACACAATCGTGTACCGTTGCACTTGCGGGAAGGCCCCCACGGTGGAATAAATGGCAGGTAATTGGGAATATTCTGCAATTCTGAATTCCTCATTCCCCAGTCTCTACTTATGTAATTTTTGAACTTTTCCTTCTGCAGCACTTCTCTGTAGCAATAACGGCGCCGCACCTTTGACAGTAGCGTCCAGCATGGGCACATCGCGGAGAGCGCGCGAGAGGCGGCTGGCAGCGGTGCCGGCCAGAGCCGTCTTGCTCGGCCGCGCTGCCGCCACAGACGGCTGCGGACGCGGCTTCGCTCGCGCAACACCGGCAGGAAGTTGTGCAAAGCTTTCACCCGGCCGAGCAGCGGTGCCAGCGCCCGCAGGTGCCAGAGAATGAGCCCTGCACAGGGAATGCCAAACGGCTTGCTGAGCGCTGTGAACACCCGAGTGAGCACTTATCTGAATCACTTCTTGATGTCTGCTTTGATAAGTGTGACTATAGTATTGTAAAACTGGGATTTGTATGTGAAATACCTGCTTGTGCTGGGCTTGCTGTCACCCAGGTCGGTCAGGATGTCGTCCAGCAGGGCATCAGCTGCCTGGCTGGTCTCTGGATCGTTCCTCACAGTAGTGACCTTGGCTGCACCATTGCAACGTAGAAAGTCATTGTTTGCATCGCTTGACACAGATCAAGGGAAAGCCTCTGAAATTTTGACGAAACACCTACCAGTGGCTGCAGAGAACAGCTTGTTAATGCTCTGCTTTGCCGCCTTGGACACTGCAGGAAGCTGCTTTTTGCGCGCACCTGCAAGACAGAACATTAAGAGAATTAGATGTAAAGGTCAGTGGACGAAAGCCCTGATAAGATTTGATGCATGCCAGGTAAGCAGCACAATTATCAACAGGACATCTTGCTATATAGACTTCACCCTTTGCATCTTTGTCCACTTTCTTTCGCTTCTTTCCCTTTTCAGCAGGCTCATCTCGTTGCGCATCTGCGTCTGCGTCTTCCCTATCTGCTTCCCAATAATCTTCCTCGCCGACGTCAACATAGCCCATACCATCGTCATCCTCGATGAAGTCCCCTGGCATGCGCCCATTTCATCATGAGCATTGTGTGATACCTTCTTGTACGTAGGAATATTAAATCTGTATGATTGGAATTTACACGACGCTTCAAGTCTTTATGTATCACAGATTTGGTGCTCTGCCAGATGCATATACCTCCCGCATCGCGCCTCTTGGCAACAATATCGGCATATTCACTCTCCTCGACGACATCGTACACATTCTCCTCTTCTTTGACGTCATACACAGCTCCGTGTTTGGCACCAGAACGCCGAAGCTCAGCCAATTTGGCCAATGCTCCAGCAGCCTTGCTGGCTGGCCGTGCAGCACGGCGGGAGCGAGGCTCATCCGACATCAGGCTTCTATAATAGAAGTCTGCACTGTCAAGTGACCATCAGGCTTATGACTGGATGCTAGCAAACGATGCACGTGCTCAACCTGGGCCAATTAGACCCCGCAAAATGCTGATGTCGAGTCCAATGCAGCACCACAACTTCAGAAAACAAGGATGGACTCAGTCAATAGCAACTGTGATCCAAGATGGGAACTCAAAACTCCCAATTCCGTGGGAACCAATTGAAACCATCCACCCTCATAGGGACGCCGCAGAACTTGTGGTTGGAGAACCCTGAAAGCCTAATCAGGATTAATCAGCTGCGCCTTCTGTCCTTTTCTGACGACGAGGATTTTGCACCGAAACAGGCTGTGCTCGTCTTATAAAGAGTCCTAAAGCCAATTTCAAGGAGCTTCTGACCCCAATTCAGATATACCTCGTCGTCAGTTAGTGCGGTCTTAGTCGGGACGGTCACGAAAGGCGAGCAAGGAAATCCAACGGCCACGGGGCGGACACCAGGTGGGACAGCACTAGTGGCAGATACTAGGAGATAGAGGGCACTAATGCTCAGTAGACTAGTCCAGGACCAACAGACAGCATAGCAGACCGGGCGGCTGTTCCGGAGGCACTTCCGGCATGAACTTTGTCAAGGGTTGTCACCAACACGAGCTGGCGACGTTGTGTATGGGTGTTGTCGGCCATTTACACGACACATTTTAGGCTTTCATTGTAAAGCCCTCACGTCTGAATGCCAAGATCATGCCGACCGGGAGGCTAGGAAGTGCCCAGCGACAGACCATTTTGTTCTATACTAGACAGCTAGCAGCACCTTTTTGGGTTGCAGGCATTCTAGTCCTGCCCGGTGGTTTCTGATAAGGTTTGTAATACGTAAATTGCGGTAGACTGCATATTTACCTGTACAGCTGCCCCTGTCAGTTTCTTGATGTTGCAGAGACACAAAGTTGTTGAGCAAGATGGAGTCCTCCTGAATCCTATCCACCTTCGCATTCCGAGAGACACCGAATTGTAGGCAATTAACGTGATATTTGTAGAGCCCTGCACCCAAACGCAGACCGAGGAAGAACTAGGCCACGGCGATGCTCCCATTATATGGCTCTAAACACAAGGTGAGCAGGACTTTGCAGAACACTGACCACCCCAACTCGTGTGCAGGCTCATAGATCCGTTAGAGGCAGCATTGGCCCAGGAGCTGCAGCTGTAGCTGTGTCCAAGGAAGTGCTAGCTGAGAAGGCAGCCTCCCAGACCAGCCCAGCTAGGCCTGTGTGGCAGGCCGTGGCACACAAGGCAGCGGGCCAAAGGCAGAGCGTCCGTGGCATAGGAGCGCCCACAAATGGCCAGGCTGCTCTTAGCAGCTTTGGCCCTGTGCTGCTGTCTAGGCCTTTCAGCAGGAGCAGGGCGCAGCTTGCTTCTCACAGACCAGGAAGCACAAGCACAAATACAGGGATTGGACCAGGCAGCGGGGTCTATTTTTTCACAAGTTTCAGACGCGGTAGCCAGCAGCGGGGTGGTGCCAACTGCCAGCAACAGGTACAGCGATGATTTACAGCAAAAGAGCATAGCCGCCATCAACCAACATGCCCCACTTTGGAAGTCAGACGTGGGATACTTTATTAGACCACAGGTGACCCCTACTCCGCCCCCCCCCCCCCCCCCCCCCCCCCGTCTCTCTGATTGTATGCCAACGCAGAATAAAGTGACAGCTTGTGTTGGACAGATATTGGCCTATGCCTGTGTGCCATCCATTGTCTGCCACCTAGCAAAAGCCTGCAGTAACACAAAGTGTCTGAACCCCAGTTTGGGATGCTTGTCCAAGCACATCTGCAAATACAAGGCAGTTCTCATGCGGCTGTGCATTTGGCTGACGCAGCTATCATCAGCGCTCTACAACGCGGTGAACCACCTCGGGCCGGCCGACCCACACACCGGCGCGCCAGCCCCGGGCCCGGCCGCCGCCGCGCTGGCCGCGCAATCGGCCGGCGGCCGGCGGCTGCTGCAGGCCGGCAGCAACGACTACAGCCTCAGCTACGCGCTCGCGCCGGCCCCCCAGCCGGCCGCGCCAGCGGCGGCCGATGCCGCATTCGCGCCAATGAGCGCTGACTCACTATCCGCGGCTGCGTCGCCGGACGCCGATCTTTACACCTCGTACGCAAAGAAGAAGAAGAAGAAGCCGGCGGGTACGGCGGAGGCCGCGGCAGGTTCCAGTGCTGTTGGCGGCACTGTGACGTCGGTGAATGGCGCGGCGACTAACGTGGCGCCAAAACAGCTCTCAGCTTCTGCTCCAGTGCGTGACTGTCCCTTGCTTAAATTTCCACTTATGCGCAATTGTCCTATGTTGCGCAGTTCCACATAGCATGGTGGTGGTGGACAGAGGAGGATCTTGAAGAGGGAGCAAATTTCGCAACATTGGAGCAAAGTCGGTTGGGAAAAATACATTTGTGTCCTCTCTGATGGGTGTGGGTGCTTGTCCAGGCGGCTGCAAGGTCGACAGCCACTGCTGACAGTGCGGCAAGCACCTCACTTGCGCAGGTATGCAGCTGCATGCCTCCCTTGCTGGCCAGCACTAGCCTCTGTGGCAATTGTGCGGATTTGGTTTGAGGCAGTGCACACCATTTCTAAAAGGCATGCAGAGGGGTGGCAGCAATCTTGATGTGGCAAAGTGCTCTTTCCAAGCCTGTAGACGCTCTAGGCAGGAGCTCGGCACTCTTACTTCATTGTCAGGAAGGAGTCTCTAAAAATCACTACTTGTCACCATGTCCCCTGCAGGACCTGCAGCCTAAGAGCACCAGCTCAGACAACGGGGTCTCCCTGGACCCCAACCTGCCAAACGCGCTGCCGGGCCCGCTGCGGCTGGCAACGGAGCAGCAGTCAAAGACCGCCGGCTACCAGGCCCAGCCGACAACAGCATACACTGCCACGGACGGCACAGCGTTCGCGGGGACACCTGTCGATAAGCTTCCAGGACCCCTGCGCATCGACGCGACGACCCCCTTTGACGGCCCCTCGGTGTCGGGCTCGGAGATCTCGCTCATCCTGGGCACGCGCATCGCCACGCCCTTCTTCGGCACCGGCTTCAACTTCTGCGTGGGTACGCACCCTTCCTGCCGCTCAGTCTTCTCCCATGCGCATGCAGATCATATCTGTTGCCCGTATATAAAAATGCATGCCTGGCACTGCCGTGTTCTGCAGCAAGATCACCCCATTGTGGAAGGGACGCGGTTGAAATGCGACCAGAGCTGGGAACATGCGGTGGGAAGGCTGCTTAGGGGCACTGCACCCTTGGCAGCGGAATTAGGCTGTAAGTTGAAGAGTGCTGGTCAGCAAGGGCTCCTCTAGGCTTGCGCATTTTACTATTAAATGCTCTGTGCGCGCGCAGACCGCTACTTTGGGAGTTTCCCCAAGGTGGGCATCGTGATCCCCAACCCGGCGCAGTGGCTGCTGCCGGAGCTGCAGGACATCGGACGCACGCTGCAGACGACGCTGCAGCTGCCGCCCGACGCCACCATCGGCCACGGCTTCACTCTGCAGCCCACCTCCGACGGCCTCCTCATCAACCTCCCCGATGGGGGTCAGTTACTCACCCCTCAGCTCTCCTGTTCATGGGTGTTATACGTATAGTCCTTAGTCATGTTTAGGATCCTCTGTTTCCACGGAGATGGATTGTAAGGTTGATCAGTAGCGCCTGATCACCAGGGAGTAACTCTCTAGAGCAAGGCAGGAGAGTGCGGCAGGAGAAGCCGGCTGATTAGGGCACCGAATGAATATGTTGCTTAGGTGCGTACCTGGTGTCCAGAGCATGATCACATTTGGGACGAAGGAGAGTGACCGCGTCAGATTGGGCAGCTCATGCATGTCCCGCTGCATGGTGCACAGCTCTGCATGCAGCACACAAGACTGCTGACGAGGGTGTCTGTGTGCGCTGCAGTGCAACCCAACAACATCCCGGACGGCGGAGTGCGCTACGGAATTCAGATTGGTCAGGCCTTCGGCTACGACTTTGGCATCGGCATCATCCGCGACATCTGCTTCATCACCTTCACCACTGTGTGAGGTGGCGGGAACGCCTCACATGGCTGGTCAGCCAGGCAGGAGGAGACCTGTTTTGGCGCCTGCCACGGCGCATGCATGCAGAGGGCGGCCGGGCCGCCAAAGCGCGCTGCCGTGCCCTCAACAATGGCAAGAGCTCCTGGCAAAAAACTGCCGGCAAAAGAAGAGAAGGAAGAGGTGTTGAATTGCTGCTGTGTGGTATGGGCGCACAGCAGTGGCAGCAATATCAGGGGAGATCCGCCGTCAATTACATGGCAAAGATGCGGACAAATAGGAAGATGATGAAAGCTGATGGGCTCTGCTTCAGCTGATCAGACTTGGCTTGATAAGTCTGAATTGTAGGCAGGTCTGGAGTCCCTGGCATGTGCGAGTCTCGCATGTCTCATGCAGGGGCTCGCAGCGCAGTTCATAGGCACGAGTTGCTTGGTGTCTAAAATGTCCCTGGAACAATCACCTGCCAGATGACTGGTATCAATCAATTGTGGTGGTCCAAATATACATGTTGGCAGCAGCAATGTGGCTGCTGCATTAGGCGCGCTGTGACATGCAAATGCTTAGCGGCAGTCTTGCTGGTGAGCTTTGGGTGACCCCAGATCTCAATCCTTTAGAGTCCATTGCTTGCCGCTTGCTGTGTGTCAAAAGCACATGACGCGCTCTGTTGTGAGCACTTGTGGGAGCTTGGGCAACGCATTAAGGGTCCTGAAAGGCGCACCAGCGCTTGTGCAGTCTTTCCTGTCGATGCAAATTGAACTTGTTCGGAAATAAAACAGGCGGTAGCTGATGAGGGAATCTTCCCAGAATACCATCTCAGCAAACTTAGACCGGGCACTGCTTTGTCCCTTAAGCTTGCATGCCCAATATTCCGCTGTAAAGCTATTGTACCCACCAGGTGCATGTTCAGCAAAGTCCGTAAGCCAAGTCCGGACATTGTATGGCACAGCCCTCCGCCTGCTATTACAGCACCAACTCAACTAAGCCTGCACCATGCCGCAAGCTTTCATGCAAACCATGCAAGGTTGCAGATGCCCTTGCAGTGCATGGCGGGGCTGCTCGCAATCTGGCTAGTCCCAAACAGCACCATGCTGCTTCTTACAACATGGCCAAGCCCACAAAATTGATGATGCTGTCATGCAGAACCTGTCTCTGCAATGTCCAATCCCAATCCTCAATCGCCACTTTTGAATGACAAACCCAGCTGCCCCAAGCTGCACGCAGCAGCATGCAGTCATTCCCGTGCCTCCCAAATAAGGAAAAACACGTGAAAGGCTGTTCAATCGCGCCAGGTGACCTCCACTTCGTCAGTGCGGAAGCGCTGCGTGCAGGTGGTGTCCTGCAGGCGCGTGGCCTGCCCCTGCTTGAAGGCCAGGAGCCCCGGCCACGCGATCATGGCGCCATTGTCAATGCAGTACCGGTCGTCCGTCGAGTACAGGCTCCCTCCGCGCTCAGATACCATCACACCCATCATCTCCTGGGCCCACAAGCACCGCACACATGTCAAGATGCTCTACATGCACTGTGAAGCAGGGAGCAAAGCTATGAATGAACACAGGATTGACACCCCAGAGACGGAGATCAACAAAATACACCATCAAGATTTGCAAGCAGCAAAGGAACTCTTTACAGCAAGCTGTGCTCCTCCACTTTCGACATTGCTTATGCCATGGTGGCATTCTGTACTCCCATATCCAGCACATGCCACACTCTCAAGCAAGGACACTTATTTCAGGGCCGTTTGTCAGAAAGCTATGTAGAATTGCCAGGAAATCAGGGGGTTCTAGATCTACCTTAGTAGGAAAGTTTTGCAGGGGTAATCGACATAGCAAACATTATCAATATTGAGTCATTGCAAGGCCGCACCTGCAGGCGCATGTTGCAGCCGACGCCGCCTACGATCAGCACGTCCGGTGCGTTGCAGTGCGCCATGGCACGCTCCGTAATCTCGACCAGCATGGCAAATACGGTCTCCTGCAGCGAGAAGCACAGGTCCGCAGGTGTTGCCTCCCCTTTGGCCAAAAGCTCCGCCGCGGCCCCCTCTATGAACGACAGCAACCCCGAGAAAGATACGTCCATCCCCTTGACCGCGTAGGGCATCTCGATCAGACGGCTGCCTCCCTTGGCCAGCTGCTCTATGTTGTATCCTGGCCCCGCACAACATGCGCACGGGTCCAGCCAAATTCACTATTAACCAGGCAAGGTCCGGCATGCAGGCATTGCTTAATGATAAGTAAACCATTGCGCTAAGCTATACGGAATTCTGCTGTTCTTCCGAACTCCCCAGCTTCTGTGTCCCTGGATTTCAATTCAACTGGAGCAGGCCATATCCTGGCGCGCCAATTTTTGGCGAGCAAGTCCTCAGTACTGGAAGGACTGATGACACGCAGTGTCTATCTCTCCACATGCAAATTACATTGAGGGTCTGTTGCGGCATTGGTTGTGTTTTGATGGCGGTCACAGTGGTGTAATGGGAGGTCTGCTGACCTGGGCTGGGGTCATTGGACAGGTTGAGCACGCGCGCAAAGCGGTCAAGACAGTTGCCGACCGCGATGTCAATTGTCTCCCCAAAAATCCTGTACCGCCGCTCCGAGTAGGCAATCACCTGACCAGCACACATACCCCTTCATGACTCCTACCATGCATGCATGCACCTTGAGCTCTATGCCTGTGCAACACACACAGCACCAACAGATAGGGTTGCTGCCACCTGCTTTCATGGCCATGCTGAGAGGGCATGCAAGCCTCACCTGAGTGTTGCCACCGCTGACATAGAGCACGACAGGGTCCTTGGCCCCTGTCACAATGCGCCCCATCTCGATGTGGCCCACGCAGTGGTTCACGCCGATGATGGGAACCTTCCACAGCAGTGCCAGCATGCGCGCCACCACTGCACATGTCACCAGAGGCCCTCCCATCCCCGGTCCCTGCAGACAGAGTCTCTCAAAGCAAAGCCTAGCCACTCAACAACATGAAAACTCTGAAATGGCTTCCTGAGACATGCAGGCAAGCATGCAACCACCAATCATTGCATGCAGGAAGACATTCTCTGACATGGCCATTCCCTGTGCCCCAGCGCAGGTGCTGGGGCACAGGGCCAGAGAACTTCATGGATGAGAAATAGGTGGGAGTCAGGCACCCCAAGGTGGAAGATTATCAGCCTTAACACATGGCAGCGGGAAGCATGCCCCACCTTGGTGTAGGCAATGCATGATATGTCAACGGGTGACACTCCAGCTTCCTTGAGAGCTTGCTGAACCAGGCTTACAATGTGTTCCTGCATCAGGAAGCCTGTTAGAGGCCAGGAATTTTGTAGGACAGTGAGGTGCGCAGCATTCTTCTGTGGCCTGTATACAGAAGCGGGTTTCTCACCTGATGATGGATAGCTGTCTCTTTGGGCAGGAAACCTTGTCCTGGCGGAGTTATGTACCTGAAATCGACAGGAAAAAACAGAGCTTTTACAACGTGCTGTTCCTAGCTCCTTCTTTAGTGTTATGATGAGCACCCTGGGACGATCAGCAATAATGTCACAATCAACAGAGCCTGGACACTTACGTATGTCGAGGATTTGACAAGATCGTTCCATCCTCACGGACGATTCCCACTCCCACCTTATTTGCAGATCCCTCAATCCCTAGTGCTAAAGCCATTTGTCACTTGAACGCATCGCGCAATGAAATTAAGCTATTTGATGCATCGCTTACATATGAATTATTCGTCCTCTTCGTCGACTTCAAGTGTCCAAGCTTCGGGGCAAGCCGGCACAAGGGGGTTAGTCACCCCCTGCTTTCGGAGTCAACGTTGACTTCCGCAGCTTCCCTTCGTCCCCGTTCACAACTTGTCCGTTCGGGAGCACATATTGATATTGTATCCAGCTTCGCAGTCATTTATAGACATAAGGTAGCAGAGCATGGCCAAGATGACCAATGTCTGATAGATTCTATTGAGGATCGAGTGTTCAGGCACAAGATCCCCTGACTACGGAACAGGTGTTCATCAACCTCACAAATGATCGCATTATAGCGAACAACATTTCCAAACGTACATCATGCTGGACGATCTTGATTGCCAGATCGCATCCCGAGAAAACCAGTAGCCGGTCTCCTCGCGCCCGATCGCTTGGTTGCGTCGTGACCTTACAAAGTCGCGTACACGCTATGGGACCCCGAGGAATCTTCACATCGATTTACCTGACATCTCTGCTGATCAACTGTATACAGACAGGTGCATCCGATTGGCCTGCTTCTAACCCAAGACAACTACCTTACAAATTAGCTTATATCCTAGTTACGAGGAACCGCTTTGATGACTGATAGATGGTGCAGGATACTCACTGGACACATCGGATCACTTCTTGACCCCGATGCCACACGTGCTTGGGATGTCTGTCAAGCCTGACACAGCGCTGCGAGACAGAAGTTGCTCGGGGTGTGAGGGATCACCTCTGGGGATGAGCTGCTGCGGACTCTGCGCTTTCTGGGTACTTACACCACCACCAATACCTCCTCATTACGGTCGACAAAGGCATTGCATGGTCTGAATTTGCGTGAATCGTGCATATAATTATCCTGTTTGCACAAGCAGTGTGCTGGCAAGTTGTGCAGGAGAATCCCAGGAGTCAGTCTGGCGTTCATCATCATGGCTGGGAGGGGCAGTGCAATGCGCGACAGGTGGCAGGATTGCTTAGTAATCTCAAGGAGCAGGGTATAGATCTGGAGGGCTTCCAGCCACAGGAGCTCTTTGACCAAATCAAAGGGCGCACTCTCTGGTGAGTGATGACAAGTTGCTCCCAGACTTTATCCGAGTGCAGCTGGCTAAGAATATCTGCACTTCTTGAAGTATCCACCGCTGGACACTCAAGAGCTGTTTGTCGCTGACAGGCTGATAGGAGATTCGCAGACGAACTACTGGTTTCTAGCGGTGGAGTGCTTCCTAAAGGACTACTTGGTGCAAGAGAAGAGGGGGCAGCCCACAAACTCGACAGAGGCCAACATGTGGCTCATAAAATTCATTGAGGAGCTCCCCCACAGGGGCAGCAGGAAGGCAGAGCCCAGACCTTCCATGTGCACCTCATACCAGGTACAAAACCAGACCTGCTATATCAATCAGTACCTTCTCATGCACCTATAAGAAGGCTTGTCAGTACCTTTGCTTTCTATTCATGCCATACCCTTGGAACCAGATATTGTTCAGTGCTGTCTCCAAGACGTAAAAAGAACGACCTTTCGTAATGCTTTTGTGGCGTAAGAGGAGAGCTGAGCGAGTTTGTTGCCGAGCAGGAGAACACAAGGGTGTGCTTTGTGCGCATACACAAGGTGGAGGAGGCAGCGCACCCGGTGCTGCGCGTGCTCAAGCGCACGGTGCCAAACTTTCACCGCGACATTGCAATCGTCAATGCCGGTCTGCACTATGGTGTAGGAGACCCCGGATACAGGTATATCTCCCATTCAGGATATCTGATCAAGAATTGCACTTGCCCTCAGCTTGCAGATTGTGCACTTACCCAAGCAGGGCCTTCGTATGCAACTGCTTGTCACCAGCATGCATGCCCTTTGAACCAGCGAAATGGGTATCGCTAGTGCTAGCTCGGAGGGTTGCAGGCGGCCATTACCCTTGTGGAGGTTATACTGTACGCAGACTAGTTTGCCTCGCTTGAGTTAAGGACATGGATGACGCTGTCGGATGTTGCAGGTGGAGCATGGAGTACTTTGCCAAATTTGTGCGCGAGCACCGGCAGGAGCTGGCCACCATTGTCTGGAAGGACACCCCGCCGCAGCACTTCGACTTTGAAAACGGCTACTACTGGTGCGGCCGCTGCACTGCATGACTGGAATTAGAGCAATGTAACAGCAATTGTTCATGCTATTGCAGCCTGCCAAGACGTCATAAATGAGCCCAAATGGTCAGATGGACTTCGTGGGTACAAAGTTGGGCGGAGAAAGGGGCACCTTGCTCATTGTGGCGGCAAAAACAGCCAGCTTTGGTGTTCCAGTTCCTTGAGCTCGCCTCCAGTTGCTGCCTAGTGCTCCGCTCCACCTCTGCAGCAGTCGCGCTCTCACTGATTTGCGCATGTCTGTCAAATTCAAATCATCTGAATGTGCAGGTGGTTTGATGACAGCAAGGGAGGGACAGCAGGCGGCCCAAAGTCGGAGAAGTGCAGGGCGCTGACACAAGAGGAGCTTGGCAGCGAGGAGATCCTGGCGGGCGGCTGGTTCAACCAGGTGGCGTTCGAGGTCATGCGCGCCTCAAGAGTCTCAGTCTTCAATGCCTACAACCACACGCTGCCCCTCTGGGACTTCCACCTGAAGGACAAGGACTGCACCCACTTCTGCAACCCCAGTGCCTATGAGTTGTGGACATACCTTCTCAAGGAGCACCTCAAACACCTGCAGCCCTGGTTGCCTGCCTGAAGAGGCTGAAACCATGCTGCATTCCGTGCCGATTTTATTGTTCTTCAAGAACTGTCGGTTCTTCCGGGACTTTCAGTGAGGATGAGCACAAAGCCTGAGGCGTTGTCTGCAAACATGCCTCAGGTCCTGTGCTGGCATGCACTAGCAGTATGGGATCCCGGGTATAGATCTGCCTGAGTTGCCACAATACATGTTGCGGCAGATTTGTGAAATGAAGATTACTCACCGACTCAAATGAGTTTTATGACTCAGTTCTTGGCACTCCAATCTGACCAGCTGCAGAATAGTTAGGCTGGGTAGAATAAACCTGCCAGGTATGTTTCATGATTGACACTGGTGTATGTGCCCACTGTGATGCCCTGTAGATAGGAGACAGATAGCTGCCGTGGGTTGGCATTCAGTGGGATTTTCCGCATGCATGTGCGTATGCGCAGCGCAGCACGCTCCCTTCAATCTATAGCTGTAGTGTTAGTACGTACTACTAACGTTATATATAACTATTTAGTACCTTAATTTAGAGGGCAAATGAATTAAGGAGGGGGCTTTCTTAATAGCGGCGAACAGATGCGGCTTCAGTTGCAATTGAAGAAATCGGGAACATTGCATTTCATGTAATTTAGGCAAGCATGCATGCAGGAAGATGTGAGAAGTTGTCTGCTGTCCGGTCTACGACGGCACTTGTAACGTCGTTTCTGTCGAGATGGTTGTGCCCGATCAGACAAATTGGAGCCGGCAGTGTGGCCTGGAAGTGCTGAAGATACCATCCCTGTGAGGCGGCATCACACATCTTGCCAGGAACAGGGACAGCGGTTGTGGATAAGCTAGCCTCAAGGTCTCCCTGACGCCTTGATTTCCGGGATCGTGATCGGTAAGGGACTACATGAGCTTGATATTCTCCAACTTGCTTTGTCTTTAGTTCATTTACGCACGCACAGGTATCGTTTTGGTGGGTGTAAAAGGTGATAAAGCTGCTGCGTGCCTGCGCGATCTGTAATATTTCGCTTCGTCATGACTTGTTGTCAGTTCGTTAAGACCTTTCATCATTGCACGTTTCGTACTTGCTCCACTAGATTGTGATTATGATATCAATGCGACTTTTGTATCAAATGTGAAAGATCCGCTGCGATTTGGCTCCTTTTCAAGCAATGCGCTGGTAGTAGCACATTGACATGAGAATAGTTGTCACACACAAAACGCTTGCAATGCTAAGCATATGCCCTTACTAAAGTGCATACATGTGTTCATAATGTATACAGATGCAGACAGGTAGCTATAGATGGTCAACCCGCGAAATTTCTAACTCCTTGAGGTCCAACATGAGCATGTAGTGAACAGTGCACACAGACTCACACAAACGTGTAAGAGAAGATCGGTCACGCTGTGCAGGAATGAAGGGCGCGAAAAAAGGTTCCCTGCTGCTGGTCGGCATCTTTGCACTCTGGTCATGCCACGCTGCGGTGGACCCCTGCTCCGAGCAGTGCCCAATCCTGGGACAAGACTTTGTCACCTCCCAGTCCAAGGTAAATCTGTCCTTAGAATCATCGCCCAAGTTTTCACGATGGCTTACTTCTTTTACTTATGAGCAGCATGTTCCCCTTAGCTGCTTCACCTGCAGACCGGATTCCTTATTGTACTGCCCAGCTCTAGTGCTGTGTCGTCCACCCAATACCATGTAAAGCCAATGAAAGTGGAGACGTCAGGATATGGTCTGCCCATAAACTCAAATCAAGATGCAGAGAGAGAGGCTGGGGAGCTCGACACAGCAGAAACTCCAGTATTTGATGAAGAGTAGATAATTCTGTAAGACAAAGCAAGTGCCCACGTGATGACCATCTCTACGAGGCTCCCAACTCCGTTGGCTTGCAATTGCAGACGGTGGCGCTGACGTTTGATGATGCGCCTGATGCCACCAACACGCCTCGCACGCTGGACGCCCTGACAGCCGCCGGTGTCAAAGCAACCTTCTTCATCAACACCAACAACATGTGGAATGTGGCCAGCAACACACAAGCACAGGTGCGCACCAGCATCAGCCATGCGCATGCTGCAGGAATCTAAGATTATCAATATGATACGCATGTTCCAGCACTCAGGGCTAGGTGCAAATGTAACCACAAGCAGTCATGGCGTTAGGAGAGCGAGAGTGGGATTTCCTTGTAAAAGCGCATGTCTGTGCCCTACAGCTTGTGTCCTCTTCTCAGCAGCCACAGTAAATGGGTCACTGCTCACAGCATCCCCGTTCTTCGTTCTAGAGGTTCTGATTTGCTGCATTCCGGTGCAGTCCGTCTGGCATGCCTGCAACACATGCGCGGTGCCTCAGAAGTCTCTTGCAAGTCCAGGCTTAAGCAGCCTTGCATGCACAGGCTATGGTGCGGCGGATACGGGACGAGGGTCACACGATCGGCTCTCACACAGTGGACCACGCCACGCTGGACAACCTGGACACCACACGCATTGAGTATGAGCTGGGCGGCCTGGAGGGAACGCTGGGAGACCTGGGCATCGCCGCACCAAGGGTGAGGCCATGACTCTTTAGTGAGGCTTAGTCTGCCCAGTACCATGTGATGCCGACCATGGTGGGGAGCCCCTGCAGGGCTGCTTGAACAGCAAATTCACAGATAGATGAAGAATGAAGACTAGCATTTATTCAAGCAAGTGCCTACATGCGGACCATCTCTACTTTAGGAACACATCCTGGCAAGCATGAGGAAGTCTCATGCCAATATGCCTAGGTTTCTCTTCTGCCTCCTTGCTCCGCTAGCTTTCGATGCCTATGCCTGCTCCCAGATTCTTACTTTGTGTTGGGTGTGTGCAAATATCACAAGCAACACTTCAAAAGCTTGGAGCCAGTGGTTCTGTTGCCTTCCTTGTCCACGGTCAAAGAATGCCTGCAAATTGGATTTCCTGCTGTTCAATGATTGGCTGTGCTAATAACTGCTGGCAAGGGTCTGCACATGGGAAAGGGGTGTCTGAAGAATGGGCTGTATTTTTCTTCTGGACCCTAAGGCCGCAGATGACCTCTAAGTGGGGCCATCTATAACACGATACTCAAAGCAGGGATACATGAAGACAGTGCTGGCTCGGTCTAGTGGGCCATCTGTCACTTTGACTTCTGAAAGACAAGAGACGAGGAGATGTGCTGGCAGACGTTTTGCTGACGTGGCGGGTGTTGTCAATGGGCAGATCTTCCGGGCGCCGCACGGGACCCCTTTCCAGTATTCCAACGATGCGGATATTCCGCGGGTGGCGTCCGTGGTGAGGCGTCATGCGGTCGTGATCGGGTGGACGTTTGGAGGCAGCAGCCAGCTGGACTGGGACTGCGACACCAGCGTGCAGTGCGTACTCAACAACTACCTCTCCTACTTCTCCGGGGGGTCCTCTGGCATCCCCCTCATGCACGCCGTGCGCGGCGGCACCGCCGGTGAGCTCTCACTACCATCGGCCAAACTTTTGCTCGCAGCTCTTGCTCAATCACAGAGCAAAAGGCTCTGCAGTAAGCTCATGCCCGGGCATGTACAAGGATTCAATGCTGCCTCTGCTATTCCTAGCCTTGCTGCTGCTGGCACTGCTGCAGCACCCTGGGTCAGACTGGTCTATTTTTGATGCAGCGGTCTCACATTGTAACCACCCGACGAAATGATGCAGTCAGCTCGTGGCTCTCCCATGTCTGCAGGAATGCGCATGTCACATTGTATCTCTGCTTTGCACGACAATCTCTAAATGAGAGTTTTCTACTTTACACGGTGCGGATGAATAATTGCACACGTGTATGTGTTTTCAGGTGCGGTTCCGCAGCTGCTGGCGGCAGGCAAGGCGGCGGGCATCAACTTTGTGTCCGTGAACGATTTTGTGCGGGAGAAATACGGCATGTCCCCAGAAGACGTTGTCTCGCGCGTCAACAGCAACTGCTCAAACATCGTCTACAGCGGAGCTGCCTCCTCTGTTGCCTCTTCTGGCAACGGGGGAAACGGCGGCCAGAACGGCGGTGGCGGTGGCGGCCGCCGGGGCGGACCGGGGGGCCCCGGCAACCCGGGGGGTCCCGGTGGTCCGGGCGGCCCTGGCGGACCAGGGGGTCCGGGGGGCCCTGGGGGAATAGCCAGCTAAGCAGAGGCAAAGCATGCGCCTGCGCACATGCCACCGGGGGGTGTTGCGAGGTACAAAGAGCAGAGCATGTGCCATGCGCCTGGCAGGTACCTATTTGCAAATGCTGAATCCCGCTTGAGTGATGCATTTAAACAAGGAGCGTCCCAAGCTGTTCCATGCTGCTGAATATGCAGAGAATGGAGCAGGCCAAGTGAGGGTGTTGAGCTGGGAGACTAGCTCAAGTGATCCTCACAAGAATGCACATAAGAACTCATATGAGCAGCCCAAAGCCAGAACTACTGGAATCGCCTGGAAACTGAAGTATTGCACTGAAGTAGCAATGTGAACTGTCATTTCATTCCTTTATGGTGAACTGCTGAGAGAGACATGTGCCCACAGTAGTGTTTTTGAAGAATTTGTACGAAATACAGCTGAAGCTTGCTCTCTGGCATTGACCTAGAGCAAGAGTCACTGTGCTGCAAGGTGACCAACAAGGAGATTTTTTGTGAGATTGCTGTGCAACACAGCTTTGGCACAGCTTTGAGGAGGCTAGGGGCAAGCTTGCGCAATGCATGCAGCCAAGCTTGGTCTAGTGTATGCCCCATCACAAGACTTGCAAGGCCACTGTAAATTACCTAGGATTACATACCACAATCATTTATATGGCAAAGCTTGGTGAAGGAAATTTGTTGTCAAATATTTGCAGCTCAACATTCTGTCAGATCTGCAGGTTGACGTAAGGCTTTTGAGCTGCATCGGATAGCAGCCAACTCAATAGTACTGTATTGTACACCTATGCTGCATGTCAGGAGTGGTGTCATCAAGATGACAGAATATGGATTTGGCACTGGACGTCAAGTGGACATTTTAACAGGCTGACAATACATGCACCTACCAAGAACTTGCATGCAGCTGCATGCAACCTTCTTGTACATTCAGACATGGGACCTCATCAAATATCCCTGCTTGGCCACATCTACCCGGTCAGACTGAGCAACAGCTAGTGATTATTATGAAGTCATCTTGATCTGGATATCTCCGGCATGCTGTGCGCACTCAGCACCAAACTGCCTCTTCATTCAAGACCAACTTCTCACGAGTTGACGCTGTCTCCGCCCGGGTCCCCACCATTCGGCCCGCCAGGACCCCCCGGTCCGCCGGGGCCCCCCGGGCCTCCTGGACCACCGGGCCCTCCCGGTCCCCCGGGACCCCCCGGTCCTCCACGATTATTATTGTCATTATTGTTCCGGCTATTGCCCCCACCGCCGTTATCACTATTTCCTCTGTTTCCACTGTTGCTGCTGCTGCTGCCATTTGACCCTCCTCCATTGCCGCTGCTGCCTCCACTGTTCCCTGCACCACTGTTGCTGCTGCTCCTGCTGCTGGCACCACTATTGCTGGAAGAGGAAGATGAACTTGACCATGAGGAGTCGCCAAGATACTGGGAGACCAGAGGCTGCAGGCACTGGCCCAGGGATTCATAGCCGGTCACGTTGGGGTGCTGGCCGTCCTGCAGGTTGCTCAGGCCACTGCCGCTGCTGAAGGCCGCTCCGCAGTACAGGTAGCTCGTCATCGACGTGCTAGCTGCCATTTGCTGCAAGGCCACCACACACAAACCTCAGCCTCACCACTTATCTCTAAAAATGCCAAGTACAGAAACAGAGATGCAAATATTCAGACAGGGCAGCCGCAAGGGATAATACGAGCAGGTGTCTTGCAAGGATATGCCAAGCAGTCTGTTATTTCTTATTTGAGCGAAAATAGCCAGGTGTCCGCTTAACAGGTGAGATGCATAACGCAGCTGTGAGTGCTTTTCACTGTGGACTTTCCTCCAATTCTGAGAGCGCCACGAACAACAAGAGACTGTGAAAAGATCAGTTCAGTTGTACCTGCAGGGCATTGTTCAGTGCGTTGATGGCTGGAGTGAGCACGTTGGGCCAGGTGCGGCTGGCAGACCCCCCGTCCCAGTAACTCGTGCCCCTTGGCAGAATGCCCATCACAATCACCCTTGTGCCCGGCCAGCTGGCATGAATCGTCCCCACAATGCCGCTCACCCTGCATGCAACCCCACACACTTCAGCTGCTTGGATTGTGTTTTCCTCCTGTGCACATTTTCATCCAGCAGCTCAGCTGCGATCAGAAATCCTATCTTTTTGTAACAAAGCAGGTTACTGTTCATGACTAATGCCATGATGACTAGGTTGCCTGTCTAGATTCTGCTCCAGACAAAGCCTCTTGAGCCTCACTGACCTATCTGTGCAGGACACAGAAGATATCTAGCAACTCAGATCTGAGCATATATTTGTAATCCACTTACCCATTACATTGTCCATGGAAAACAACAACATCTTCTTATCTTACGGGCCAGGTCTATAGCATTCAAGCAGGGCTGCAGTGTTGCTTGTAATTGCAGGTCGAAGCACAGCAATCCCAAAGCAAACAGATGATGTGGGCACGTAGACGGTGCGCACTGTTGTGCAATGCTGGCAGCAGCGTTGTAGTAGCTGCTGGAATTCCAGGTGCCGCACTGCACATACGCGGCCGTCAGGTCATTCGCGCCGATCATTACCACTGCCAGCTTGGGCTGGTGGTTTCTCGGCAGCTCCCCGTTCTGCATTCGCCACCACAGATTTGCTGTCGTGTCCCCTGGCACAACCAATATTCAGGATCGGGCGCTGTTCATCTGCACAATAGCTCTGGTGGCAAGAGTAGCTTATTAGTACTTTTCTAGAGGTGTAAACAGTCGAGGGAATGTAGTAAGGGGCAAGAATGTGTGTGGGAGTTGTGTGGGCGCACCTCCAGAACCGCAGATGACAGATCTGTACTGGCCAAAGTAGCGGCTGAAAACTGCGGGGATTCCACCACCCAATCGGGAGTTGTACCCCCAGGCAGTGCCCCGCCACAGCTCGGTCAATGAGTCACCATAGAACAATAGATCAATGCCCCCCTGCAAGACGCAGTAGACAAGTGACAAGATGGCATGGGCAACAACTAAATTTGCACGGCATTTCTGTCAGAGACTCTGATATATGGTGAGTGCTGGTGCATATCTAGTTTGGCAAGTGCGCACGTCCGGGCTGTCTTGTTGCTGGATCTGGGCGGAAAGTCTGTTGTGCCACTGCTGCCACATGCCATCTGACAGTGGTGCAGCCCCACTGGGGACTCCGCAGTTGTCTGCCCACGCTCCTGCAGCTCCAGCCAAGGCCACAGACAAGAGCAGCAACCCTTTCATGCCCATAGCCTGTGCTCAGGAGCACGTCGATGCTTGTTTCTGTACCAAAGAAACATATTTAATTTAGAGAGACTACAGGTGTACCTCAAGCAAAGGCTTCTGAAAGCGTTATGGGATCCAATGTTGTAGGAGCTCACGAGCAGGACGGTGAGATACTGATTTCACTTTCCGTAGTAAATGCACAAATTCCAAAAAAAGCACCATTTTTGAACTTCCTGAAGTTGACTTGAAATGCGAAGAGTAAAAGCAAATGATCGGGAGGTCTAGTCCACGACTTCCGATGTGCATCTCCGACACATGCACTCGGTAACTTTGCAAGCAACGTTGTTGACCAAAAGACCACGTTAAAAGTGAGCACTTATATCTAACCGTTGACTGTTCCCGATCATGAAGCACCCTGATACCCTGCATCGCGACTCAAGATCAAACTCTACTCCTTACAATATTTCCGTAACAGCCTCAATTGCATATAATAGCTCCCTACCTCTCGCGATCGATACCAGAAGACTTTAAAACAGCTCGAGGATCCCGTTCACATTCGCCGTCGCGTGCTCTGTCAGTCACAGTGTCTTCTTACAGTTGCACAGTGATCACGCGCGTATTTCGACGTGACAAAGAATTTCTCTAAGTTGGACATGAAAGTTCTAACATCGGGCTTGCATCGGGAACCATCTTTGACGAGTCGTACTCAGTCTTCTTCGATTCCAGCCAAGAAGCATTAAATGTGCCCACACATTGCTTTCGGATGTTGTCTTGACTTGACCGATGCTCGGCTCTGCCTCGTCCAAATTGGTTCATTTCTTCTCACAAACCACAAGGGCGTCTCTCAATCACATCCTTCCCACCTGACACAGGCGCACCATGCAGGCTCTACAACTCATGAGAAGCAGATCAGAGGCCCTTAAGGGACCAAGGGCGCAATTCTGTGTTTACTGTGACCACTGTACATGTAACTTACTTGAAGTCCTGACTTGCAAGTTGGAGATTGAATCCGAGTCCCCAATTTGCAAAAACACACATGCGCTGCCAACACTACGCATAGTGTGACCGAGAATCCAGTTTGCATCTTAACGACGAGAAGGCAGGCCATCGAATCCATGTTCAAACATTGTTTCCTGATGGCCATGGTACAATTGATCCTCCCAGAGTTCCGGCTCCTCAAGAGCTCTATTCTTGTGCATTGCAGCACCTCACAGCGCACTAAGCAAATGTATAGCTTTGTTGATACATGCTGGGCAGCTGCAGCTGTCCAGCCAAGCATGGCAGCAGCCGGGCATCGAAAGCTACTTCCTTGCCAGCTCTCCCATGGCTTCGTGCACATGGGCCTCTGTCAGAACGCCGCCATTTGCCTGCCCCTTGGTGCGCAGCGTTACCGCCATGTGCTCCACAAAGTTGCGGTAGGCTTCTGCCAGATGCAGCTGATGGTCCATGGGTAGCTGCTGCAGGCGCTGCATGGCCTCTTGCTCCAAGGGAGGAGCATTAATCCTGCCATGCACCACTGCTGTCAAGGTTGCCTGAAAGTAAGAGCCCCAGAAAAAAAAAGTTGGCACCGGCTGACATGGGGCAGTAAAGATACTGAGCACAGTGCCCGCGGTTGATTAGGTCTTGCTTGGATCTGGCGAGTCCAACAAGAGGTAGGATTCTGGCAGCCTTCACTCGCAGCTTTTCTGCAGACGCACCTTAAGGCGCACCAAGCTTGCTTCTTGGCAGGGACGCATGAAATAATATGTGCAAGCAGGTGATTGTGATTTTCAAACAGACCCACGCCCTGCTGACAAGAGATGATGCTCACCCTCCAGCCTGCTCAAGGAGGTCCTCCATAGAGATGAGGGCATCCGGGTCTTCATCCTGACCTTGCGCTTCGTCCTCATCGTACTCGCTCTCCCTCATCCAATGCAGTTCACTCTCCGTGCTGCAGTCCTTCAAGTGCTCTGCAGCAATAATGCATCGCATCAGGAGGTGGAATCCAAATCTTGCAGCGCAGCATGGTCAACTAACTTCATGTTCACTCGATCAGTTATTTTCTCGGCTCACCTTTAGATACAAAGATCACCTCCACATCCTCCTCCTCAAAGCCATCGTGGGCATCGTATCTGCAGTACAAGCCAAATGCATGAGGTGCACTGAAGTCAGGTCAGGAGGACAAGCGAACAGATAATGCTATTAAGGCGCACCTCAAAACTGTTCTGGGGTTCCGCTCATCCACCTCCGTTGTCACGCTCGCGCCCCACCACTGAATGAGCCAGCAAGGGTTGTCAATTCCTTCACCCTTATGGAGTCATCGCGCAATGAATACTTCGATCCTCAATTAAACATACCTTTGATGTTGTGTCTCCATCATTGTCCGTAAGCTCCCAGAGAACCTGGGGCCAACACATGGTCTGCTTGTTGACTGACCTACTGAAAATGCGTACCATGCTCGATGCGGACGTGCTAGCAGGTCAACAGTGCAGTGCAAGAATGCAAATGATTACCCTGACTCTTTCTCCGGTCTGCAATTTCACATGCTCCTGCTCTGATGCCTCTGAATGTTGATGTTCATTTCGAGGTTCTGTTGCTTCAGCGTTAGCCCACGGCAAAGCTTGAGCTGCCATCAAAGAACTACGATGTATCCTTCGATGTCCTTATTGTGAAAGGATTAGCAACTATGTTCTAGAATTTTGCAGAATACTTCGTACCGTAGTCAGCACCATATTTCCCGCATAATATAATTATCAAAAAAATGGGTCGAAAATTAAGACCCTAAAATGCAAAATATAAACCATATGGCAATTTTGAGACCAGATTTAGTAAGCTCTCGCTGAGCCTGACCCATTGGTGATGATGAAACATCATTTCAAGGAAGGAAAGAGTCTTGAAAACAGGTCCAAGCATTTTGAGGGGTGCGGGAATTATGGTGCTGACTACGGTATTTGCGAAGCTTCTCAATTTACGATCATAACTGCGGCAATCAATCACCGCAGCTTGGTCTACGGGACAGTGCAGTTGAACTTTTTTTGGGTCCGAGACCATTCCATCTCATGCATTTCATAGATTTGAAAATCCCGCAAGATCAAGGATATCTCCACAGGTCATGAAGCTGTTCTTGGGAGTGCATCATGCATGATACATGGTTCGAATTCTGGTCAGAATCATTCTGGTCACCGTGGCACGGCACGGTGGCATGCTGCGCACAGCATCATGCTTTTTCATGCTAAGTTAGCTGGCCGCAGTGGCCCGCGCGCGCGCAGTGCTCCGCAGCTTCAAGCTTCAAAGTTTGCATGCAGAGGCCCTCAGAGCCATTACGCCATTACTCTGGTGTCATCAATGCATTTAAGAATATACTACCTGGCTCCTCACGTCCAACGGAACCTCCGATCTAGGTTGTTTAAATTTATGCATATGATCAATTGAACAATCCTGCCCAGCTTTCCAATTGGCTTTTGTCTAGGTGCCTACTTCAGATGATGTTCAACCAGCAGCAATTGCTAATGGCAGTCACGCAGGATGGACATTCAAACAGGTCATTATGAGCGGGCCAGTAGCCCTCAGCAAAGAAGAGGACCTAACACTTGGTTCATTACTCGCGATACGTCATCTGACTCAACCTCAATGTTTCATATCTAGTGGATGCCATGCTGAATGCTAGCACACTTGCAGCTGCATCTCCTGCAACAGAAAAACTAATCTCCAGCTGTTTTCACCTCAACTTGGACCCGTCTTCAGTAGAGACTTCAAAAGCTAGAAACCGGTGAGCATCACCAGCCCAGAGAGGCACATGAAGACATCACAACCTGTTCAACTTAGCTAGTTGTACACGTCAGCAGCATAGAAGTTGCGAGTAAGGTACTGGCCCATTGTTCCCCAGGCTGCACAGAAACCACAATGCCCGCTCTTGCACAGAGCATTTGGCACGTAAGCTGGGGTATGATTAATACACTGCGCAACAGAAGCCTCCCCAAAATCCCATGCTCTGCTAAATTTTCAGCTTGTGGCTGCCACCCTGCTTGACGATCCCGATGCTGCAGCGCTCGCAGGCACTTGACCCCCGGAGGGTCCGGCCGGCTCCCTTTGCAACGGCTGCATTTGGATAGCCACATGCGATGGGGTCGTCTCTGCAAGAGGAATCAACAAAACCTGGGGACTTTGGGGCATCATGGTCTTCATGCTGCAATGCAGGAGACTGCCACAGCACTCAAGAGACACACAACTATGCACAGACAAGAATTGAAGTGCAGGCTCAGACAATGAACAGAAAGGCAACTACAGCTGGGCATGTTGCATGCGTGACGGGGCAAAGCACCTGGGACGAGCTCTGTGAGGGGCCTGCGGCAGAGCGGGCAGGCAGCGTCCTGGTGCGGCTTGGCCACCAGCTGGTCATAGCAGGTGCGGCAGGTCGCATGGTGACAGCCGAAGACGACCCACTGCGCATTGCTGGTGGTCTCCTCCAAGCACACTGGGCATTCGCGCGGAGTTCCCTCCTCATCATCCGGCGGCGCATGTGTCGGCAGCGGCCGCCGCGCCTGCCGCGAGCCATCTGCACCAGATCACTGCTCAGCCCAATTTGCACAAATACCCAGCAAGAGCTGCACAGCACCACGGCTTGCCCAGGTTGCAAGAGCACATGGTAATGGGCAAACTGCGGCGGTGACTCAAACTCGTCCGGCAAGAATTTGGTAGCCACAAGAGGCTTTTGGTGAGAGATATCTGGAAAGAGATGCTTACTGTCTCTGAACCTTCCGCCACTCCTGGTCCAGAACGTTGCAGGCTCCTGCAAGTTTGCTCGTGCCCTGCATGCAACATCCTACATTATTGGCCTTACGTGGCACCGCATGCAAGACCCCGGTATGGCTGTTGATTTATCGCTGTTTTTTTCAACAAAACCACAAGATGAGAAAACTTGCTATGCTCAGCGCACCTGTAGATGCAGATGCCGCATGTCATGAAGGAGATCAGGGCGCCGGCGATCAGAGTGGAGCCCACAAAGATGGCCGTGCAGTTCTGCGTCAAGCAGAAGCCGCTCGCCTGGCAGCAGATGGTCACAGGCCCGCAGCAGCACTGCGAGCTGCCGCCAACCTGATTGTTCTGGCCGCAGCAGCATGCTATGCCATTGCTCGGCCCCTGGCCGTTGCTGCCCCCAGGGCCGGGGCCAGGGCTGGCCGCACCGGTCTGCAAGCATCAAGGGGCCCATAAGACGAGCATTTGAGAGGCACATGGTTCCTTCATACTTCACAGGGTTCGCAGCCATTTTGGCAGTGATGGGCTCATTTGATGAGTGACCCAAACACTCCTCTCTGACATCAAAGGTGAGCTTGAAAATCAATTTTAAAGAATGTTATGACAGCCTGAAAGAAGCAGTGCCCATGAGGCTGACCTGATTGGACAACGTTGCATTTGCTGCAGGGATGCTGGAGTCCGCTAAACGCCTGTGCTTTGTTGCAGCACCATGCCTCATCACCTGCGTGTGATCATGAAGGAATCAAGTCCCATAAGCGTTCGTATTTTGAGCAATTGATAAGTGTCTGGCATTGCTAACTGTTTAAAGGCACACCAGATAGCACGGCAGCGTCACCTGCAGTCCCAAACTCCCCATGTTGCAGGTGCTGTGTAATCGCAGCTGCTGTGTGAATGGCTCCGCTTCTGTTTGAGACTCCCGCACGTCCCATACGTGGGATTCACACTCACTGTCACTGCCGCTGCTACCATATTCGGGGACTTCTGCCGTCAAGAGGCACGTGGCAGCGCTAGCATTGCTCCTTATGCCTGCTGATTGGCTGACTATTGCAGCGTACTCCTCAAGTGGAGCGCTCAGCAGCAGGCTGACGTCTACACAATCAGCAGCAAAGTTTCGTGCACCCAATGGCTGCCAATCCCTGCATGAAAGTAAGATTCTTGTCAGCTTTATCGGAAATTTGGATATCTCCACGTATAATGGAGGAAAGCGCCTCGAGGCATGCAAGGCAGTAAGTGGGGTGATGTTGCGCTGGAGACACCGCTGATCGTACTAGAGGGCCCAAGATATGCGTGAACCATCAAGCTGAATCAAAGAGATCTTCATTCCATGTGACACTCGGAGAGAAGATCGCTGACAGTGCAGAGAGAGACAAGCGCACCTGCCCTGAAAGTCGTCCAATTGATTAGGGGCCCTCAAACCCAGGATGTGGGGCAATATGCTGAGAATGTACAACTTCTGAAAGACTGACAACGCATAATTCTGCATTCGGCTGAGATATAAGAGTGCTGCGCATCTGTCACTGGTTTAGCTTTACAATCTGACGAAGATGCGAAGATGACACCGATGCAACGATTGATCTGTTCATTAGGTGTATGCTGCCACTCAAGAATTGCGCTGAGCACTCGGGGAGCTGTTTCCAAGGCACGAAAGTATGAAGTTACGTGCTCCCTTCGGTGTTGCCAGTTTAGGCAACCACCACAAGCACATTTTCTCGGAAGCCAGGAAGGACGGAGCATTGCGTCGAATGGCAGTCTGATGCGACAAATTCCCTGATCTACGTATGGTAATTTGATTTGATCTTCCTATGTTTATGCAGCTTGACTCCTCGACCATACGAAAGCAGGCTGAGGACAGGGGACCCAGATCCTCGACTTGATAAAATGCGTTAATTGGTGAGGACCTCTGAAGTACAGACAAGATCCACTAGCTGTAGATCGAGAAAGGCTGGTATGTAATCACACAAATCCACAATGCTGCTCTGCACACTTCTTGCTTGGACCGACATGCCGCACGGTGATCTGGTGTTCTAACAGCTGGACAATCTCACTGATGCAGGAATTTTTGTACAAGTGTTCTTGAGTCAAATGACTGAAGGCATCAAGTGCTAAGGATCCCCACGGAGGTACTGATTCCGTGATAGCAAGGTGTGCTTACAGTTTCCAAGTAGTCTCCCTTTCACCGCCCTGCAAAACAAAGAGATGAGACTGGCTCGAAGCACTTAATGAGGATGGCGAGGAGCCAAGGCGCAGTTGTGCTGGCGCACAGGTGCAGCAATGTCTCGGATGACAGCTACCCTTCTGGTGTGCTGCTGGGCTGCCCTCACACTGGCACTGGGTGCAAACCAGGGCTGTCCAGCAGGCAAGCAAGGCAGCGGCCTGCGCAGGCGTTTGGAGCAGTCTCAGGGGCAGGGCAAGACGCCCTTCATTTTTGAGAGCGGTCACCACGCCGAATACCCCTGCCCAGGGGGCGCGGCGAAATGCACCAACCCTCTCCCCTACTACTGGCGCGCCTTCTGCAGCTTCCAGACCGGCTGGGAGAAGACCTGGACCGACTTTATGATCTGCCCCAAGGAGCAGCAGGCCTCCGTGGCTGATTACTACACCAACAAGGACGTGGCCGGCTTCAAGGAGCTCGTGAATTTCTCCCCTTGCCAGCTGTGGCCACTTATCCGGGGGCGCACACTTTGGATAGTGGGAGACTCGCACAGTTATGACTTCTTCCATGCAGCCACCTGCTTCCTGCTGGACCTGTGGGACTACAAGTTCAAGGGGGACTTTCCGATGGCAAAGGAGGCAGAGGCGTTTGCAGCGATGGAGAAGCATGTGCAGCACAGCAAGCCGCCGGAGTGCATCCCCCTGCTGGAGGGAACGATGGTGTGCCACTTCAGGGTGAACCATGGGGAGGTCTTCCTGGGCCACGCCCTGCCCCTGCTGGAGCGCATGGCCAAGCCCAGTGACATTGCCATTGTCAACTTTGCACACTGGCACGGTAGGCCACACCAGAACACATTGCATGACTATTAAGTGTGGCCAGAGGGAGATTTGTAGCCCTGATCAAGACATGGTGTCCTTGTTTGTTTATAATGGCTGCTGAGGGGCGCAAACTGATCAGTTGGCACCTTTGTGCCGTTCTCACAACTATAACTTAGATAGAGTAGGAACCTGTTGTAGCCGGCGTATGCCTTTGCCTCAATGGATATATATTGATATATATATATTTTTAGCAGGTCAGCTGGCACCTTCGGGTGCAGTGGGCTCAGTTGGAGCTCAGTGCAGCTTCCCTCTCTGAACCTCTGCACGTTGGCAAGGGACAGTGTAGCGGAGGGATTGACCGGTGGCAATTGTTGCAGAGTAGGTATCTTCCTACGATTCTCTCAGTGGTGTTTTTGGGTGTGCAACAGGCACCGGGGACGGCGCAGAGTACAAGAAGCTGCTGGAGGAGTTTGCAGATGCGGTTGAGGAGCGTGCAGAGCAGCTGCCGCACATGGTGTGGAAGGAGATGGTGCCCACGCACTACGACCAGCAGCATGGGCTCTACCCGGGGGGTGAACCCCCCTTCACATGCGCCCCCCTGCATGTGGAGCTGCAGGCCAATGGTACCATCCAGGCGAGTCTTCGGAGACTCTCCTATACTATAGTCTGAGGCACTGGCAAAGCCGAATTTCGCCAGCACCATCAATAACAGAAAAAATGAACCGGCTATTGCCAAAACATTTGTACCTGTCGGCAGCTGTCGAGCCGGTACTAGGTACTGAGAGCGGAAAGAGTTGCCCCTACTGAACAAAAGCTGCCAGTATTAGGTAATGGTACTGTAAGCAGTTAGTCATCCAATGCCATGCATGCAGGCGACGGATGACTGGAGCCAGATTGTGGTGGAGGGGGGGCACCACAACAAGGCAGCGCGCGAGGCGTTTGCCGGGAGCGACATTGTCATGACGGGGTACTGGAACGCGACTGTTGAGCTGTCCGACCACCACCGGGACGTCAGTGACGGGAGGGGCCACGAATGCGGGTGCGCTGTTCCCATCAGTGATTTCAACTTTGCCACGGCCATGGCAAGCTTTGATTTTCCCCTGGCTGTCAAGGGATGCAGCATGCGTCCTGCTGTTGATACGGATATAGTAGATTGGGTCTTGTTCTGCAGATGTGCTGAGGAGCAGGTTGTTGTGTGCTGCAGGCATTACTGCTTCCCCGGAGCGCCTCAAGTGTGGCTGTATCATGCGTTCCTAGCTATTCTGAAGGCGCCCTGGAGCCCCCTACCAGCACCTTAAGCCGCAATCCATATGTGTATAATAGACGCTCTTAGTTTGTCTTTTCACTACCTTGACCCTTACTGAAGGGTGCCTGTCAGGCTAGTTAAGCGCCAGACACATGTCGGTATCGGGCGCAGTCTGGAAGTCGCCTGCTAGCAAGAGGCGGCTAGTCTCAGGCTAGGGCATTGCATAGGAATAGAGGCTGGGCCCCCGGGGGTGACAAAGATGAAGAGAGCATGAAGAAACGGTGGTTGGGGAGAGAACCGATTGCCAACTATTTTGAGAATTATAGTCTTTATCCTGAGCATCCGGTCGAGGAAAGTACAGGAGTACAATTGCAGCCTTTGAAAGCTAAAGCTTGTACTCAAGGAATGTGCACTTCCAGAATTCTTCGAAGGCATGATGTGGGCTCACGCATGCGCATGCACAGGAATGTGTAAAAAGCTGCATGCATGCTATGAAATTTAGCGTCTGAACCAAGCAATTATGTCCGTGCCATTGCAGTGCATGGTAGAGTCGATGAAACATCCATCTTCGTGCTGGTGGACCAACAGGGACACCAATCCAGGCTTGGAGGAGACCATGACTAACCTCCCACAGACTTTCCCCTCGTGCACTGCAGACCTTGCAAGACACAATTTCCTCCTCAATCTTTCACGACTGCCTGAGTATTTCTATCGCCAGGATCGTGATAGTTTTTCTGCATAAAATTTGGGCAGCAATTTTTCGGGTTCTCCGGACGACTGGACGGTGTCAATTCTAACAAGTCTTGGACCACGTTGTACGCCCTCAGACCAAGATTTCAACATCCAATAGATCAGATGGTGTATTTTAATATGGACGTGAAGAGAGCTACAGAGTTTTAATTGACACTAACAGTCACAGGTGCCCACCTATGTTCTGCGGCTTCTCTGCTTGATGATGTGCAGTACGCCGAACAGTGCACCTGTTCTTGAGCGAGACCAATAGATTCTGCATTTCATAACTCCAAAAGACCAAACTTACGGTCAAGAACTGAAAGAATGCCGATTGCTGCGCTTTTGCAGGAAGAAGAAGGGAGATCCGGCATGTACATAATAGCTGTACCGGGTGGTGCCCAATTAAATAAGGTAGGTTTCATCTTCTACTTACAAATCATGCTGCCGTAACAAAACTGACCCTGAGAAAGTGCTAAAGTGTTTGCTTGCATTTTCTAATGGGTGGCTAAGGTGTGCCCACCTTCCTCCACAGATGTGCCAACGGAATGCATAAGAACTCACCAAACAGCAGCCTCAGATCTGATGAGGCTCCTCTGGTGCCTTCTGCTGCTGGCTACCAGCCTGTATCGAGCTGAAGCTGAGCAGTCTGGCTGCCCTGAAACTGAGGCAGGCCAGCGAGTGGCCGAGGTTGCAGAGCTCTCAAGGATAGATGGAGAGACCCCTTACCTCTTCAGGAAGCAGGACAGGACGGCCTGTCCAGGGGGGGACGACAAAAGCTGCGCTTCCCCTCTGAGCTGGTACTGGAACAATTTCTGCTCCTTTGAGCAAAGCACGGGTGGAGGATGGGCGGCCTACATGATCTGCGACGAAGCCAGGCAGCAGTCAATCGTCAAATACTTGAGGGAGAGGGGCGTGGCCGGCTTTGAGGGGATCCTCAACTTTTCCCCCTGCGACCTGTGGCCCCTGATACGGTGAGCACCGCACAGCAGCAAGAGCCTTACCTGAAGACTGGCCCACTGAGCAAGCTTATATGTCCCCATGCAAAAGAAGCAATAGTATTCTTGCTGCACGTTACATGAATATTGTTGCCCACGATGCAGACTTACTGGTGGCAAGATCCCAAGCATTGCCTGGCCCCTGCATTGGCTTCCCATCACAACTCCACAAGGCAGCATATATGATGAGGCAAATAAACAAATCCCAGTTAGTAATCCGAAGCCTTGCATGTCAAGGCAGCATGTGTATGCAACGTGGCCCACATTGCCCCAAACCCTGAACCGATGTGTGATGCTGCAGGGGCAGGACGCTATGGATCGTGGGTGACTCGCACTCGTATGATCTGTTCCATGCGCTGGCGTGCTTCCTTGTGCAGCTGTACGACCACGATTACAGCCAGGAGTTCCCATACGCGCGAGAGGCCGAGGCCTTTGCACATCTGGAGCAGCATGTGGAGCACTACAAGCCGCCAGAGTGCCTGCCTCTGCTGGAGGGCACTATGCTCTGCCAAATAAGAGTCAACCGGGGACAGGTGTGCATGACCCAAGCTTTACACTTGCACACTCTCTCCCCTGGTATCCGGGCCTGCTGATACTCTGCACTTTGTTATCGTTGGAACCAGTCATTGCAGAGTCAACCGGGGACAGGCTCGCATGCCACGCCCCAAAGACCTGCACCTTTATCCATCTAGTACCCAACCCTGCAGCCCACAACCTCTGCTGATATTCTGCACTTTGATACTGTCGGTGCCTCCATCTGTGGGCTTTCTTCTGCGGCAGGTGCTTTTTCTGACCAGGGCAGCGGGGCACCGGCTCTTAATTAGACCTCAAGTGTTGGCCACGACTCATCTCTGACCATGCCTGATCTGTGGCTGCACAGATGGTGCGCGAGCACACGCTGCCGCTGCTGCAGCGCATGGCGCGGCCGACGGATATCGCGGTGGTCAACTTTGCGCACTGGCACAACGGCTGGGAGGGGCACGAGTACAGCGACCTGCTGCACGCGTTCAGGGACCATGTGACGGCACATGCCGACGAGCTGCCGCACATCGTGTGGAAACAGATGGTCCCCACGCACTACAAACACCTGCACGGCGCTTACAAGGTAGTCATGTGCACAGCCCGTCTATGTTGCGATTTCACCTGCAGGCTAGCGCCCAACTACGTTGCATGCTTCGGTGCCTCGCCAGAGAGCGAGAAAGCAAAATTTCATATCTTCCACAACCGACAAGGCTCATCAGATGCCTTGGGTGCCCGATCCCGTGTATACCCTTTGAAAAATTATGGCAACCAGCGCCAGATAACTGCCCGTTCGTTAGTTTGGATCCGAGGTTGAGCAATTCTCAAATCCTTGCAGGGAGGGACGCCCCCCTTTGAGTGTGCCCCACTGGGGGTGCAGCTGCAGCCGGATGGCAGCCTGGCCCCCACAGACGAGCTGAGTCAGCTGATGCTGGAGGGCGGCGCGCACAACAAGGCTGCGATGGAGGCCTTTGCCGGCACTGACATAATGATGACTCACTCCTGGAACGCCACTGCGGAGCTGTATGAGTACCATCGCGAGCTGGATGGGCGGGGGCACGAATGCGGTGGGTGCTCTTGGCCTCTCCTCATGCGTGGCTTCCAAAGTAGAAAGCGCAGCAGTGGTGCAAAAATGGCACAGTACACAAGGCTGTTTGCATGTGCAGAGCTGCCAGACAAGCAGATACAAACACAATTGCATATATCTGGTTGAAGTCGTGAAGCACCAAAGTGGGCTTCCTTCTGCGCTCTCACAGAAACTGTGTGATGGTGCAGGCCACTACTGCTTTCCTGGAGTGCCGGAGATGTGGATCTACTATGTCTATGAGGCGATTCGCGATGCATCCTGGAAGAATTTCTGAGAGGATATTATTTTAATTGAGTGAAGTGCTGGGAACGCTGTCCGTGCGTGGCCATGCATGGGTTTCTATTTTACTTTTACAACCTTAAAATAAACTCTTCTCTTATATTTTTATTGGAAGCTATCGACTCAAGCTGCCAAGCAGCTCGAGCTACAGATAGGGTGCACGTGCAATGAGTGGCTGCACGGCTGTGCAAGCAAAAGTTTCTGAGAGCAAGTGAAGTATACTAAAACTTGTAGGGTTGCATCCTTCATGCATGTGTGGAGGGACAGAGTTGGCTGAGGCTTTGGCAGAAGAGATACAGTATGTCAGGAAGTACTCAGAGCTCCTATATAATCAAGTTGGGGATGTCAGGTGGCACCGCCGGTGCTCCGACAGCCTGTGCGCTCTGAGATCAGAGGATCAGTAATACTTCAGATTAATGAAACCAATATGGACCCGGCTGGCGGGGGAGCGGTATAAATACTGAGTGCGCACTGCTAGCACTGTGCCCACGGTTTGGGTCTTGCTTGGATATGGCGAGTCCAACAAGGGGTAGGATTGTGCAACCTTCAACCGCAGCTTGTCTTCATGAAGACCTGATCAGGACGCACTTCCTCATGGCAGGAAAAGCATGCAATAGGAATACTAACAATAATGATAGAATTGGAGGACAATGAGGCGACGAAAAGAATAGTATTGTGGTGAGGCCGGTAGAGAGAATACGTTGCAGATGCTTCAGCAAGTAACCGTGGACTTGAAAGTACATTCTTGTAACATTAACAGCCCCATTCAAAATACATGCCAAGGGGCAGATATGACATGTACTTCCATGATTCAGACAGCAAGCTTGCTTCAGCCAGGAACTGGTCTTTCAACTCTCAGGCAATGATACAAAGGGACTTTTCTGCACTTTCACACATACCATATATCGTTGTCCAAATGCTACAAATATGTGGGAACAAGTGTCATGTCCATGGCGCTGTCAGAGTCGGTCTTTGCTTGGCTGAGGATCGCTAGATCCCGATCATCGCGCCGCAACACATCCTGTAGCTTTGCCAACGCATCTGCATGTCCCTTCAGGACCGTAAACACCTGTGAAGAATTTCCATGGCTTACATGCTATTATCACAAAGGGTAGCAGAATGTTCAGATGCCCCAGGACCTCCATGATGCAGCCCAATATGAGAGTGGTATGCTTGAAGACTCACCTGCTCGAGGCTGGCTGGATCTAACCGCGCCTCCAGCCCTGCCAGCTCTGCCCCTGACCCAGCCTTCCCGCCAGCCTGCATGCGCGCACCTGCCGCCAAGGCCTCCACCCGCTGCTCCAATCCACCTGTGCCAGAGTCCAACTTAGATCCACACTCACCCGTTTCAGATATTAAGAGGTGCTGACAACAAGGCAGAAGGGGTGGCAGATCACACACTCACACATGATGCAAGCTTCAACTGAATCCTCTCGGTGCTAACCAATGCCATATGGCTTTGGCACTGGGTGTGGCAATCTCGCAGTATTAGCATAGTAGTAGATGCAGTCATGTAAAGACGTCAGTGTATGTCCTGACTTGCGAAAGTCCTGGGTAAATTCACCTGAGGCGCCTGGCGCCACCTGGGCCTCCAGGTGGGACAGCTGGCGCGCCAGCTCAGCGGCAGCGCCCTTCTGCTGCGAGGACCAGAAGCCCATTGCTGACGCGAATCGCCCCTCCAAAAGATCCACCCTCCTCATCACCCGCAACAGCTGCAGGCTCAACTCCCTGTGGTTCTTCCTCACCTGCAACCCGCCCCACACACTCGTTTCATGCAACTGACAAGAGACATGCAACCTGTGCCAGGATGACCTTCAGCAGCAGCTGCCATCACAACGCTGACATGCAGAATGTCAGGAACTTTGGGACATTGTTGGACTGGGCCAGCTATCTTGTGTCACAAGAAAGGCGTCAATTGCAGTGTACAAGACTCGCAGAGCACACCTGCTCCACGCGCTCTTTGAGCACGGTGTCCTGTTTCCTGACCAGCTGCCGCGCTGCCTGGGCCGCTGCAGACAGCCTTTCTGTGTGCTCCCGGATCGCGGCATCCTGCAGCCCCAACCTCCAAACCTCAGGAACCCCTCTAGGAATTTCACAACATAACATACCCCGGTTCCCCACTTTCTGTGTTCTCAGCAGGTGAGAAACACGCCCCAAGGTTGCCCGTCATTGTTCAGCTGCTGCCGCCTCTCATGCACACTCACACTCATACCCTAGTCAACGAGCTGAGCATCATCATGACAACAAAGTATATGAACCTATGGAACGAACTTCGTGTACTTGGAGAACGCAAAAGGCAGGCAGCTTCCAAGAAAGCTGCACCTGGGCGTCCTTGCGGGCGAGGAGGTCTTTGGTGCCGTGCGCGAGCACCGGCCACAGGTGCTGCGCATTGCCGGGGCCGCCAGCGCGCTGCATGGCTTCGCGCCACCTCAGCTCATCCACCCCGGGAGGTTTCTGGCAGGCTGCGGGGTTGTCAACCACGTTGAGGAACAGGTGATGGAACCTGTACCGCGTGTTCCCTGGCGCTGCTGTGTAGGCCTCCCTGATCGCCTCCAGCTCCTTTATGGCCGCCAGGTCCGGCTGCGGTGGCAGCCCTGCACGGGGTGCGATCTGGTCAATTCACATATTACTGCCGCATGCTGCCATGTGCGCATGTATAGTGTGCCTTGACAAGTGGCCATGACAAACATGCAAAGCACATGCATGCCTGGATAGATGGCATGCATATGCTGGTAGATGCAGTCAATTTGGTAATGTCCATTGCTGTTCTGTAAACTACAGCTCAGCAGTCTGATACGAAGGAAGGAAAAGCATTGGGGGACCAGGGAGAACTGTTTTTCTTGTAGGTCCAGACCTGAGGCGAACGTTGCGGGAGCCATTTGTGTTTGTGGCTGCTGCGTCGGCTGGGCGCCAAAGAGGTTGGAGCCCCCGAACTGACTGGGGGCAGCTCCACCAAAGCCGCCAAAGGGGGATGGTGCGCTGGCGGGAGCGGCGAATGGGGCGGAGCCTGCATTGCTGAAGCTGAAAGGGGCTGCGCTAGCCGCTGCTGGACCTCCAAAAGCTGCACCGCTCATTCCCCCAAAACCGAAGGCTGAGCTGCTGGCTGCCCCAAACGCTGGTGTGGACGCGGCTCCGCCAAAGGCCGGAGTGCTGAAGCCAGAAAACAGCGACGAGTTTGCTACGGGCTGGCTCTGCAGAGGTGCGCTTGCGCTGGCAAAATTGAAAGCCGAAGAAGAGGCACCAAAAAGACCTGCAGAGACATGTGTCTGAATCATGGCTCATCTAGCTTTGGATGCGCATGCTCTCGGTGGTCTATTGTGGTATGAATTGACTTTTCACCTGGTGTGCCTGCTCCGAATACAGGATTTGATGCTCCAAACTGAGGGGTTGCTGGTGTGCTGGCTGCTCCAAAATTGAAGGCGGAAGCCTGAAGTAGTAAAGTGGTCAAATTAGAAATTTTGGGAAGCCAAACTGATACAGAAGCAAGTTGACACTCGAAATATTGGTGAAATGTGTGAAATGGTCGAAGACTTTACCGGCGTCGATGCTGGAGTTCCACCAAAGCTAAACGCCATGTTTGATTTTATCTTTGAACAAGTTGAATGAATTGTGAGCTACTGGCAGACACAGATATTCGTCATCAGTGGCCCACCATCACAACACTGATACGCTCAAGACAGACCAGAAATGAAGTTGCTTAAATCAATTTGCAGCGCTTATTGTAGCAGGATTGTGACATCTGATTAGAGCTGGACAAGTAAACATAATGGCTCCAGGATGATGCATTCCAAGTTGGCACGCCAGCATAGACAGGTCCATCACGCCCAGCGTCCATGTTTCCTTTGAAAGGAGGTAAATTCAGGCAATTGGTCGCCCGAAAACACCACCTGTCCCCAAAATTTACCAGTCTCGATGTAGTTGCTTCTTGCATGGGCGGTGCGGGCGGCATTGCAGCGCTGCACAGTGCTGGAGGGACTGTCCAGCTGCAAAGGATCTCGTTTGTACCTGCCCAGCACCCAGACACTGCTCCTCTACCCGAGGGCGTGGATATCATTCATCTGGGTGGTAGCAAAAAGGTAGTTGGCGACGCGTTTCTGCTGCAAGAAATCCATCCTTTGTGTTCCGGAAGGACTCAGCCACCACCGGAAGTGGTGGTGGTGGCTGCCGTGCTTTCGGAAGCATAACATCGGTTCTCCAGCAGTCTTAGTGGTTCACAGCAGCTGAGGGGTGTCAGAACATGTTGGCAAATTGTTGGCTGGGATTGTTTGGACAGAAGCTGCAATCGTCTTCATGGCTTGTCTGTGGTTTTTGGGCTGCTTCATTCAGCAACCAGTCCTCAGCGATGTTGCATCAAACTATTACGACCCCTTGAGTATTTCAGTAGCCATTGTGAAAGACACATGTCCAGATAGCGGACTCTTTCCTGACGTCAACTTTGGTGTGGTCTAGGTGTCTCCAGGAATGACGGCCAGCATAGAGCCAAGAAAGCCGGACACTGGGAGACGAAAGACCGAGATAAAGGAGCTCTTCAGGCAGGAGGATGTCAAACTCAATTGGAGCTCCGTGCGCAGAACGGTGGGGCCTGCAGCTCTCACCATACACACTGATCTGCTTGTAGGGTGTGAAATTACCTGTAACATACATCAGTATGTTCCACGTGCGACTGCAAGGCAAACAGCGCTCAAGTTTTTTGGGCCGGGACAGAATATGGTGGCAGGCAGGGTTGACAAGGGTTGATGGGCATCTGTGCAGGGAGCGGGGCTGGAGAACCTGGGCAACACATGCTTTCTGAACAGCGTGCTGCAGTGCCTGACGCACACGCCGCCCCTGGCAGAGGTGCTGCTCAGCAACCGGCCACTCGGCAGCGCAGCCGAGTGGGACTTTTTGCGCCTGACGCAGCTTCATGTGATGAGGGCCCTGCACAACCGCAGCCGGGTCATCTCCCCACGGCCGCACGCCAATGGGCTGCGGCGCATCTGCCGCAGGTGGGCACCCCTCGATTCAAACCGTAACTTTGGTTTTTCATGTGCTAATAGTAGCGATGAGAGGCTTTCAGTGTGGGAGTCGAAAGGAGACATGAATGATGATACTCAACTGTCCGGATCAGCCCTGCTGCTCGCAGCTTGGCTCCAAGATGACGGCAACAATGTCATAGTTACACTGACATGCTCCATTCGATCGCAGCCCCGTTGCCCGCAATTTCACTCATGTCATTGTATTGCACGCTTGCACTGCTTTGAGACATGCGCCATCATACTGACACCTGTCAAGCAACCATGACATGCAGTCTGTTCACAATAGTGTTGTTTAGAGCTGGCTTGAACGTGAAGAACTCCTCTTGGCACCTTGCGTTTGGCCTTGTATGGAAGTGCTCCTTGAAGCCTATGTGCCATAAATATGTTGATTTGTCAACAATCTTTGTTGTGATGGGCAGCAACACAAAATGTGTTGCTGCAGTTTCCGGAGGGGCAGGCAGGAGGATGCGCATGAGTATCTGGTGGCGTTGCTGGATGCCATGCACGAGGCTGCGCTGGCAGGGTACAACCCCAAGCCCTCCAGGGAAGTGGCTGAGACGTCCCTCATCTACCGCATCTTTGCCGGCCAGAGCCGCAGCCAGGCGTGTCCCCAGACCTCCCATTTTTCTCTTACCCATTGTAAACTAGCATATTCCGGCCATTCTTCCGGCTGAGAGCACAAAGTGTGTGATTCTTCTCCTGCATTGTCCTTCTGGCCAGCCACAAGGGCGTGCTTAGGCTAAGCATGATTGCTTGAGCTGATATCTCTGACACGGGCTGACGCGGGCCAATGTCAGCAGCATGGATATTTTACTTGGGAAGCACATGGTTGAGAGCCTTATGGAGATATAATAAGCCCCTGAATTGTCTGTGACACTTTGGTTATTCTCCACCTCGCTCTCTTATTTTCTACAAGGCATACCAGTGCCTGTGGTTGCCGCGCAGGTGAAGTGCTGCGAGTGCGGTTACGAGAGCAACACGATGGAGAGCTTCATGGACATTTGCCTCGACATTGGCCGCGCGGGCAGCCTGGCACACGCGCTGGAGCGCTACACCAAGCCGGAGATGCTGGACCGCGAGAACAAGTACAAGTGCCCCAAGCAGGGGCGCCTCGTGCGTGCGCGGAAGACCATCACCATCGAGCGCGTGCCCAACGTGCTCGTATTCCAGCTCAAGCGCTTCGAGTACTCCATGTACGGCTCCAAGATCGGCAAGAAGGTGCGCCTCCCTGCGCCTCTCATGCACTTCTTTTGGTACCCATCAAGACTCCTCTACCAGGCATGCTGGTGTGATTTATAGTCCATTGCTGCCAGCAAAGTATTGCTCTACTTGCACTTCTCTCTTCACTTTCTTGCATGATATGTGCAGGACAGTGTTATTTTTTCCAAGCTTTGTTCTGCTATGGATCCAGCCTGTGCCCACTTCAAGGAGAGGAGTTCTGAATCTTCTGATGGTGGGCTTGCAGGTTGACTTTTACACGCACCTGGACATGGCGCCCTACATGAGCAACCGGCGGGCGGGCCCCCAGATGTACGAGCTGTTTGGGGTGCTGGTGCACGCGGGCCACTCCGTGCACAGCGGCCACTACTTCTGCTTCGTGCGTGCCCCCAACGGCCTCTGGCACCGCATGGACGACGTGCAGGTCTCCCAGGTACGCACAAGCAACCTTCCTACCGCATTTTAGCCTCCTTCAGACTCACTGTGAGCAAATTTGCCTTCACCTTTGGCTCTTCCCAAGACAGCCTCTAAGTGTCTGTGTGCATTGCTACAAAGTGCATCTCTGTGTATGGCTAGAAGACCAAAAAGATCCATTAATGGGCATCCTGCTGTGTAATATCCATAGCGGTGCAGTGCAATTCTGGGTCATTCACTGTCATGTGCTGAAATGGTCGGGCTTTTCAACTGTCCTGGCAGGTGAGCGAGCGCGTGGTGCTGGGCCAGAAGGCGTATATCCTGTTCTACATCCGCTCAGCCACCAACAACGGCCGGTCCGCATCCGCGCCGCCCCCTCCGCGGCCAGAGCCAGCCCCGGCCCCGGCCGCCGACGCGGCCATGCGCGCATGCAACAGCGTGCCGCAGCCGCGCCGCCCCGCTGGGCCCGCGCTAGCAGCCGAGGACGGCCCGGCTGAGCGGCCAGCGGTGAAGCGCAAGCTTAGCTCTGCCTTCCCGGCTTTAGATGCGGCGGCGGAGGAGAGGGCGGCCGCGGCAAGTCATGCCGCCACACCACAGGTAATACTCCAAGCAATTATGGAGGGTATTGACGGGGAGTTACCTTAAGTATTCCTCTGGGAGTGCACGGCCCTCAGAAGACCTGTGAGTGGAGCTGCTGTTTTTACGTGACATGCAAGCAGGGATGCTAAGAGACATTGCTGGCTGTTGTACACTCACTTTGTGCAAATTGCAGTCTCCTGACCATTGCGTCACCTGCAATGTGTCTGTGTTGGCTTGTCTTAATACGTGTCTGGCAGAGATTGCTGGTTTAAGTTGTTCATAGGAGTCGCTGAAAAGTCAGGGCTGGATGTGCACACAGGGGAAGCCACGGGGAGTGCTGGGCAAGATGGAGAAGGCAGCCATGAGCGCTCCTGCTGATGTGAGGAGGGGTGCTGAGGAGGACACTGGGAAAGCCTCGCATGCCGAGGCCTCTGTGTCGCCCTTTGCCAGCTTCAAGGTGAGCAGCTGTCAAACCTCTTTTTTAAGACTGGGATCTCAGGCAATATTGCTCGAATATGGCACCAGGACACGAAGCTTATGACTGCAAGAGGGTATTTTGAATGTGGCTTCCATTGTTTCTGCTGTGCTGTGGTGGCAATTGGGTTGTTGCGTGAGATTCATGACCATTCCAGCCTGGCCATGTTTGCAGGCAGAAGAGGTCAAGCCATCGCTGCCAGGCCTTGTGGACGGAGCAAAGCCTTCCACCTCTGCGAAGCTCAAGTGCGGCTCTTTGGGTATCAATGTGTGGCAATTGCTGTGGAGAGGGATGATGAAACGCACTGGGCACTGAGCCTCGGCTCTGAGCGATGCGCATTAGGGCCTAGAAAACCCGTTAGCTGACCTCTCGTGATCATGGCTGGAAGCAGCATCATTTACTGCATGCTATCATCTGTCTGTCTTGTTTTGATCATACGATCTGGACTGGATGATATTGATGCTGAATTTTCGCCAGTGAGCTTAGCTCATCTGCTCAGCATGCCATGACAGCATCCTAAACATTCGCTATATTAGTTTGCGCGTGCTAAGCATGTGGGTTTCGCTGCAGACCGCGGCCGAGTATCATCCTGCCACTGAAGCCGGGGCTGGCCGCTTCGCCTGCCACGCGCAGAGTGAGGCGCCTTCAAGAGGCTGTCAGCCTGCAATTCCGGCGCAAACACTCCAACGGACTCTCATCCCTTGACGGCCTCTCCTGCCATTCCGGCGCCGCCCGGGCCTCAAAATTGCGGCCGGCCGCGGCCGAGCGCGCGCACCTACCCAATGGCGGCCCCTCCTCCCGGCCGCCCGGCAGCTCCCCGGCCGGCAGCGCGTCCGGCACAGACAGCGACGGCGCAGCTCCGCACTTACGCTCATCCAAGCGGCGGCGCATGACCAGGCAGCAGCAGGAGGCAGAGGGCGGCAAGAGCAACGGGGCTCTGCCGGCGCCAGACCTGTCAGCTGTGCCCTGTGCTGCAAGGCCTTCGGCGGGGCAGCGGGACAAGCAGGAGAAGGGTTCAGAGCAGCAGCGAAGTGCACGTTCTCAGCAGGAGCCGAGCATGGCGGAGACGTCCGACACAGACAGTGCAGGTGAGGTCTTGTCTGCCCTTAGGCCAATCTTGCATGGAGTGGTTTCAACATAAATATTCCTGCCATGCATTTGTAACGGACCCATACGCGGAGGTCATGCATGTCATCTGTAAATGTGTCTGGAAGGCTGGAGTTGAATCTCTTCATTGATGCGCAGGTGGAACGCCTCCGCCTGGCAGGAACAACGATCTGTTTGGGCTGGGCACAAAGCAGCAAACAACACCTGTCAGCCAGCCAGAAGAGGCGCCCGTAGCAGCAGTCGGCAACGGCCCCGGCAAGGGATCGGCTGCCGGCAGAAGCGTGCACACCTCCAGTGACCCGGCAGAAGTGCGTGCATTCCTGCAGGGCAGCGCTGGCGCGAGCGGCCTGAACGTGTCCAGCTGGGACACTGTCGATGAGGAGGTAGTGAAGCGCGCCGAAGCCTTCTCCAGGTGACTGCCCCCTCCCGGCTTCCAGTGTCCTTGCAGAGTCCTTTCTGTGGCCGCCGACTCAGTCTCCAGTCTCCAGGCCGGTTAACCAATACCTCACTCTACATGCCTGTTATTCTGGATATCAGGCATCAGTCACTTGTAGGCGATGCCTTGCATTACAAGGATGTCAGGCATCACGTGATCCATAGGTGGTGCAGTTCATCGCCTGGCATGGAGAGTAGGGATACTTAGTAAGGCAAGCCTTGGAGAATGGCCATAGATTGCATCATTTTGCGGGGAATGCAGAGAGTGTGGTTGGTGCGCCGGCCTGACTTGTAGGCATTGGTTCTGTGTGCAGGAAATCGGGGCCGAAGAGGGCCAGGCGCGACGAGTGGGACGCAGAGTACGACAGGGGGAAGCAGAAGAAGGTGCGCAACCGGGCGCCGGACGAGTGGGAGGGCGGCAACCAGTTCCAGCAGTTCTCCAACAGCCGGCACCAGCAGAGCGGCCGCGGCGGCGGCGGCAGAGGCGGCAGAGGAAAGCCACAGGGAAGCTGGGGCCGCGGGGGCGGCCGCGGCGGCGGTAGGGGGCGATCCTCCCAGCGCGGAGGCGGCCGGGACCGCGGCCGCGGCCGCGGCCGAGGCAGGCACTAGATTGTGTGACTGTGAACAGCAGCTAGAGCGCGCGTGGATGGAAGTATCCTCACTGCTCCAACAGGTCATCCTGTGATCCGGTCAGTACAAAGTGTGGCAAGAGGGATTTTGTTCATGCTCTAAGTTGTAGCTTATGTTGTAGCGATACAGATGCCATGGGTCTGAGACGTCGAGGTTATCGCTGTGCAGGCACACTGGGTGATATCCAAAGGCAATGTTATCGTCAATATTTTGCCTGTGTCTATTCTTTGCAGTGGCTTTGAGCTGAATATGCTCGGACACTCGACATGTATTTATGGCCTATTACATGTTTGCCTCTGCAGTCTCAACTATTCCCCAACAAGGGTAAGGGCAAGCACAGTTTGTGGCTGAGCTGTAATCAACATTTGGGACTTTGAATACGCATTGGACAGTACGAAGTTGACGATTTTAATACGTTTCTTTCATTCAGCTAGTATAACTTCGTTCACATTGAGCGCACTGCCTTAGATTGTTATCTCATTCTTGCGGGTGCGAACATGCAGTATTGCAATTTACAAAATCAGCCTGATGCCCATTGCATGCTGACTGGCCCTCCTTGCAGAGAGGAATGCGATCAGGGTGCGCTACACTATTTCCACCCACAGTTGTTTGAGGTAGCACTACCTAGGTACTCAGAATTCTTCTGACATAAATTGTGATCCAACAAGGAATATAGACAGAGGACTACAGATTGCGACGTGTCCGGACAAAGTGGTGATAGTCAGGAATTTGCATGACTCAAGACTTCAGCAGCCGACGCCACCCTTACTTCAGTGCAAAGAATTAGTTGAGTGCGCAGTGCATTGCTAGTGCACCCATCTGCGACCGTGACATGTAGCTCCAGATTGAAGCTCCCTTTACTACCCTCACGCGCCTACAGAAACACCAGTTGCCTATTCACTATGATCCAAATTGACGAGCAGGCAGTTGTGACGACAGACTTTGTGATAGTGGGCGCACCAAACAAATGACACATGACACATTAACCTGCGAACAAGCATGCCAAGGACCGCAGCAAAATCCAGAAGCAATGCTGCAGCGGCTGTTCTTATGATGCTTTACATTTGTCATTCTGAGTGAATGTGACAAGAATGACGCTCACCAGCAGCGCTGACAGGGAGAGCTCTGGGCCGCGGTTCCACAAGGGGCATTCGACACAAGGGGCAGCTGGCAGCGCTGCCTGGCAGCACAACGATGCGCTTGTAGCACTGCTCGCACGTCCCATGCCGGCAGCTGAACAGCCTCCACTGCGCGTTGCGCGTCACCTTGTCCCAGCACACCTGCAGACAACTCATCTCAACTCAGCACAGATGCAACATTCATGCGTGCACCAATACGCCAGCTGTCAGTACTTGCAGTTGCCTGTTGCTAAGTGGCGCTGTGCAGATGCTCAGCGGAGAAGTCAGGGACAGTGCTCACAATTGCGTACTCCAAATGAAAGCAAGTGCTTGGCAACGTACCGGGCACTCTCTTGACTGCCCCTCCATATCCACTGACTGCTCCACAGTCTTCTTGGGGACCATCTCAATTGCTGCGTGAGGCAAAGAGGAGCAGCTCAGCAATACACACAGCACGTCACAACACACATGTATCATGTCCGCTCTGAACCGGGCACATATCATGGGTGGACAAAGCATCAAAAATGAAGGAGTCACCTCTTCGTGTTGCTGCATCTGCAGCCATCAATCTAGCGCGCTGTCGCATCACCCTGCAATCAATATGCCCAAAGGATAATAAAGAAGGGAACAACATTGTGAAGCACATGCAGTGAAGACGAGTGTTAAAAGGTTGTCACTGCAAAGTCACAACAAGAGGAGTCCGCCAGGACAGGTTGAATATGAGTAGCTCACCTGGCAGCGTAAAAGAATGCAAACCCGAGGCAGAAGACGAATGCAATGACAACCGACGACACGGTGACAATGATGAAACAATAGTTCCCCTTGCCCTTGCAGATGGCAAGGCCCGTCGAAGGGCAGCAGTCGCTCTGTGCACCACAGCAGCATCCAGTGTTCGTCCCCGCCGGAGTGGTGAATGGGGTGTACGTGGCGTTGTAGCAACAGCACTGCACCTGCAATACGAAATTCTTCCAAATTCAAGCAAATCTTCTCACAAATGACATGCAGCCACATCTTGTGTGAGAATCCCGGCACTTCAAGCGTAGGTACAGTACACGCAACGGACGGCTTTGTTTGCGCAGCTGGCTTTTTGGAGTGAGCCCTTGCAAAACACTGGGAGCTGTATCTCTGTTGCTCGACAAGCATGACCCACCAGGGTGGTTGCAGATCACGGCACAACATGCATGAGGAACGACAAGCACACACCGTGGCGGTGGGCGGGGGGACAATAAATGGCGGGATGGGCGCGTCGGGGAGGTCTGACGACAGCAGCAGCGGCCCGGAGCTGCTATTCCCCGCTATGGACTTGTTGCCCAGCACAAGCAGGCCTGGGAAGGCACTCGGAGCCTTGCCCGGCGAGCCGGCCCCAGGCGGCATGGCCATCCCGGGAGCCGGCAGAACCTCGGCCACCGGGAAAAAGTAGCCGGGTGCGAGGGTCACGCCAGATGCGTTTGCGGGGGCCGGAGCCAGCGCCGGGGCCTGCAGCAGCCGCCTGTCCCGGGTGCGCTGCATTGCCCTGCGATTGAGCACCTGCATGCATGGACAAAGGCTTTGTCACAAAGCTGACCTCAGCCATGACGATGCAAGCTGGTATGCCGGCATGTGTGGGTCGTTGGGCAGATTCAGCAGGGAGCATTGCATGAGAGCCAAGCTCTAGGCCACCGACTTGTTCAGAAACTCGGGCTATGCACGCTGCTAAGCTTCCTCAACGGCAGGCTGAGGACTGACCTGGACAGACAGGGAAGTATTGCTGGGGCAGCTGCTTCGCACGACCAGCAAGGCCACCCCCGGGTCTGGCAGGGGGACTCCATCCGTGGTGCCATGCGCTAAAAAGCTGAGGGCACTGGCGGGCTCTGACAGCTGCTGCACCTCGCACTGCTCCTCATAGCGGAGGGCTGCCAATGCCTTCGCTGCCCCTTCCTGCGTCTGCTGCTCAAGCCTCACCCTGCGCAGGAGACAATGACACTGAGCCATGGGGAGCTTGTCACTGTTCTGTGAGCCTTGCGAAGAATGGTGCAATATTGGAAGCAGATCAGGCAAGGAAGGATAGGTCAGGAGGCTATAAGTAGGCACCTCAAGGCTTGGCCAGAGCAATGCACTGCTGCTGTCCTGAACTGTAAGTCGCTGAGCTTACTGTCCAGATCGATGGCCAGGGCGCTGCATCCAGAAATTGACACTGCCAGGGGTACATTGTACCTGCATTTACCGTTTTACTGAACAAGTACATCCATGGGCTGCATATTGTTCGACCGTAGAGTGCATCTAGCGCAAGATCTCGCACGATGCTGAGCATCAGCCGCCCAAAATATCATATAACTACCAGAGATGACTACCAAGCTGCTGGTTATAACGACTAGTAAGTGTGCAAGTGCTGTGCGGAGATCCTACCGATTTCCACTCCGAAAGTTTGATAAGCTGTCGATCTGTGATAAGTGGAAGCAGTAGCTAGAATGTATGAGAATCAGCAACCCAACACCACATAATGTCCTCATTGCTCGTCATGCTGTCCTTCGGGGTTCCACAATGTGTGGGTTGATCTATGTCTTGATCCCATGATATCTCGCATTACTAGTTACAAAAAGATATTCACAACTATTCAATCTCCTTGTCTCAACCACAAGAAAGCACTACGATTGTTTTCCAAGGAGACAATTATATATATCAAACACCCCTTCAACAGATAACTCAGGGGTTATTGTGCTGCCTTCTCCTGTCAATCCAACTTGCAACATGAATAAACAACACGTACAGATTGCTCTGCTACAGTGCCACTCCACACAGACGCCGCAGCTCCTCTTCGTTTGTGCAATTGTATCCATCCACGTAAGCCCTTGCTAGCCTCCCTGTCCATGACACAGCGGGTGGTTCAAATCACACACCAGCATGCCCACAGAGACAACAAAGCAATCATTGCAGAGTGATGCTCTCTAACAGGGAAAAAATGCGCCTCACCTGCAGTGCTGAAGTCTTCAAAGTGATCAGTGGAGCTTTCCTCGCCCTTTGTGTCCCGAACATCCATCTCTCTTGCCTCCTGAAAAGCCATTCAACAAGCTCTCAGCACAGCGCATCACCATGGATTATTGCAGAACCGTCTTTGCTACACAATGGAACAAAGGCTTGGCAAAAGAGATGCATGCACATCTGGGATTCTCCCACCTCGGCCCAGGTCATCATCCTGGTGAAGCAGCGTCCACTGATGGGGCACACAGGCAGCTCAGAGCTCAGGTCCATGAAGCGCTCAGTGCAGGCGTCACCGCACAGATGCGCCCAGCCGCATTGCTCGCACACGAACACATTGTTACCCAGCTTGCTGCACCATGCAAACACCCATTCAGCATTCCCACTTTTGCCTATCTCACCTACACCTGAAGACAAGCATGCCATGTTGTATATGACATGACATATGTCTTGCAAGAAACAAAACACTGCGCATGGCTGGCACCTGTAAGAGCAGCGGCCTTGGCAGGTGTGATGCGCAGGCGCAGTCGCTGGCAAGCCCCGCGCTCGCCGCCATGCCACCACTTGACCCGTGTACTGCGCGCTCACAAGCGGCAGATCCTCTGGGTGCTGCAACCCCAAGCTCAAAGAGCGCTTGGCTGCTGTCATCTTCAGGAGTGCACACAATTTTTATTCAGCATGGCCCAGTCTGCAATGTGTAATCAAGAGAAGCAAAGTGTGCAAGAATAGAAGCAGTGTTGCAGAACCGTAGGCAGCATGTGCAGGTGGTCAGCCTTCACACACAAAAATGAGTACCTGGGCATAGAAAGGCCGCATCAACTCGGACACCGAGCCACAGACTTCCTGCAGCTCCAGTGCGTCTCTTTCCATGTACCGCTCCCTCCATGTGGGAGGCCGCTCCCACTCCTTAGCATTGTCAAGTTCGTCCCCGATGGGACCCCACCTGCAACACCGTCATTTAGGTCAAGGCATGACTCAGCATGCTCAATATCGGATTCGCCAAAGGAGCCACACAGTACTGAAGAAGTGGCGATGTCCCGCCTCACCTGGCCAGAAAGAGCCTCCGCCATAGCATGCCGCTGCTAGTGGCATTTTGCAGATATCTGCAGGCCTGAGCTGTGCACGTGAGATCATCAGCTGACAGGAAGCTCAGGATCCTGAACAGAATCTCTGCTGGTACTGTTTTGAGGATGCCTGGGATGCTATGAAGTTCCTGCACAGCATGCACAGGCCCTTCTAGCTGTTCATTTCTGGGCTGGTTGACGGTGACGCGGCCAGGCAAGCGTCTTTGCTTTTTTGGCTCTGGAGGTAAATCAGCATCGAGCTCCTGTACATCGCACAGAAGAGACTGTCACATTAGATCAATCATGATGATATGATCTGGACATTATAAAGAAGAGGATGTCCACATCTGGTCAGAGAGCTACGATTCTGCACATTTCTCTTGCATATGCCCATTGCTTTTTCACAAGAGTGGCGTATGGCGTGATCTTTTATTTGGATAGTATTCATTCACACCTGAGAAGCTGAGGAAGCTGCAGGTAAGTTGCCAGGAGGCTCTGAATCGTCTGAGTCTAACGCAAGCAGCAATTCGTGATCCAGGTCATCACTGCCCTGTGCGATAGGAGAAGAGGGAAGTTTCGCTCCGTGTTTGGCCATGATGCTCCAGTTGCCGGTTATATATTCGGAAAATTTGTAGAGGTAGGAGCTTGAAGATATTAGGGCCTGCCGACAGCTGTCCTGCAGGGTAACAAATACTCTCATTCCTCAGTGTTTCCTGGAGAGTTTGCATACAAAATACTGTCTCTTGTGTTGGAAGATTGCCTGTTCACAATCTGCGGTATCTGCATTAGCTGCTTCCTGGGTGAATATTAGCCAAGGTTGCCGATCGTCCAATACATTGCTGGATTGGGGGTCTGTACTCTGCACTTTGACATGTTTGCAGCTCTCCAGAATCGCTTAAAGATCGACGAAGCAACATCTTCTAAGGACGATGTCGCTCCAGGTATTTGCTTGAAAATGAAACTTTGCACATGTGACCAGGACGGGCTTGTTGGTTCCCCATCTGTCGACCATGTCTGATGCCCTTAGAAATTGTTCCTGCATAATATGTTATGGTTGTGCCTTGTGGTTCTGCCGGGTCTCCCTTCACCTGACGGAAATCTCATTTTGAACAGTGTACTTGCTGGAAGAATTATGGCAACTCGTGCAATCCTTGCCGCTGGATGCCAATGTCGCATTGGTTGATTACACAAAGAAGAGACTGGCGAGCAGATCTCCAGTCGTGAAACAAAAGGTGTACTGCACGCCAGCACATTTTGTATCTTGATGCTCACCTGCTGAACCAGCTGCCACGGACAAAGGGAGTTGCCTCAAATTTTCTGTGTCGTGCGCAGACTTTGCGTGTCATTAAGCACATCTGCAGCAAGGGAAGCTCTGACTTCAAGCGGAGCTTCCAAAAACAAGCTGCTCCAGTAAGGTGCGCCAGTGGCCTTGCCGACTTCCATGCCATGCATCGCATATGACAATCTAAATTTCAGCTTGGTGACACCTGAGGCAAGCACGCCACGCTGCCATGCCTGCAGGGAGTTGACGCACTACAAAGGAGAGCCTGACCCCTTCAAAGGCGATGTTCCCAATCAGAAAGTTCGAGACTCTGCCAAGGAGGCCCTGGATGCAATCTTTGCTGCCACAGCAGTCAACCCACCTACAACTCCAGCGCCCCATCAGGTGCACAATCTGGATTTTGTACACGATACAGCCACCAGTGTCATCAATGCGATTATTGTTAGGACCTCAGGGTAGCACAGCACATCTAGAAGCCTTGCTTTGGACGTGGCATATGTAGGTGGTGAACTCAAAGCACGTGCACAAGAGATGATGGCTGCATTGCCTCCTTGCAGAGTCGCATCCAAGGCTTTGGTGGTGGCAGCAGCGAAGCCATCTCGTCCACGTCATCCAGGGGGTATGATGGTGATTTGGGAGGGTCGGCAACTGTTAGCACCTCCCGGATGACTGGCTTTGGCAACCCCAAATTTGAGGGGTCGAGCGGCGGCAATGCGGGGGGTGCTGTGACATCTCCGAAATTGTTGCTGGGTGGCATTGGCAGCAAGGGAGGGTTTGGTGGCACCACGCGGCATGCACCTTTCATGATGGATCAGGTGCGTTTGCTTCTTTTTATGCGCATATGAGTGTGCTCATGCAATTATTGCGCAAGCGACACAGATCTGGTGTGAACCCCCAGCATTTCTGCCTTGGATGTCATTTGAGGAATCCTGATGATCATACAAGGTCCATCGTCCATAAATAGCTCCTTCTTGAAACAAATAAGGTAGCAAGGGCATTGATCCAAAGAAGTCTCTTATTGCAGGGCGGTGCAAATGGCAGCGATGACGAAAGGCCTTCCGGATATCAGCCGAGACCATTGACAGTCGGCACAGCGCCCATCACTGCATCATTGAGTGCACCACAATTATCTGCAAACGACGGTGATGAGGAGGTGTGTCCCACCTACTGCTACACTATAGGCTGTTTTGACAACAGCTGCGGTTTTGCATCACGGGAGTGCAATGCCCAGAAGCATATGCAGAGGTTCTGCAGGAAGCTGACAAGCGTTATTATTTCTGGTCAGGTGAGGTTGGTGGATGGCATCTGTGCTTTGGGAGGCGTCCGAGCGCAGCCGTCAAGGGAGGATCTCAGGCTGTTCGTGGAAAATATTGCCTCCTTGAATGGCACGCGCGTAGCTGAGCTCCTACATGCCAAGATGGTAGGAACCTGGCCGCTGTCCAAGACATGTCTTCACCAAGCAGACTGCCGCCTGCATGACTCAGCATGTGCATGTTTACTGTGAGGAGTAGTGGCAAAGGCTGGAGTACATGTGTGTAGGAGTATGCCTCTTGGCAGACGGTGCTGCGAGCGGTTTCGGCAGTCGAGGCGGTGGTACAACAGGGCAGCACTGCCGCATGTGGCGAAGTTGCTGTCTACTTCCAGGCAAGTCTGGCATGCCGAAATAGCATGGAACTCGTTGCCTTATTTTTGCACAAGCTGTTCTGCAGTGCTACGGGATGACCTGCTACCTACATGCCCTAATGCAAAAGCAAGGAAGAAAGATTAATGGAGTATGCTGAATTCTGACGTATGATGTATGATGGCAGGCGGATCCTGAGCCGGTGCGCAGGGCGGCAGCTTCCGCGCAGGCGTCGGTGCGCCAGCGAGCAACTGCGCTGCTGAAGCTGCTGGGCGCTGACGGCGCAGCCGCCGCCCCCAGCGCGTCTCGGGCATCCCCCGTCGGGGATCTCATCGGTGGCATGGATGAGCCTTCTCCTGCAGCAGCCCCCCAAGCATCCGCCCAAGACCTCCTCGGTGTGTTCCCCTGCACATATTTCCACATTGTTTCTACACTAATTCCCCTTGCGACTTCAACCGTTCATTGGAGTCGCGCATGCGCTTACGCCAAACATGAACTGTGCGCAAGCATGTGTCAGAATGGAGCTCCTGCTATGTGCAGGTGACCTGATGGACCCTGCTCCAGGGCCAGCGCAAATGGCTCAAGCGCAGGGTGGCAGCATGTTCGACGGCCTCGCTGTGGGGGTATCATCACCTGCTGCTCAGGCGCGTGCACCGCAGCCTGGCACAGCGATCCAGGATGGGCCGGCGTCTGCAGCTGACAGATTTGGCGGCCTGTCCCTCAGCGCTCCTGGGCAGAGCGGTGTATCCTGTGGTGCTGGGCAGGCATCTGCTGACCTGCTTGCAGGCCTGACTTTGCCCAGCGCAGCGCCTGCCTCTGCCGGTGAGCCCTGTCTAGCTACAGAGATGGAGCAGTGTGTTGGTTGAGGGCCTTACTGGTTTCTTTGTGACGGAGTTTTGCTCTGCGTATATTCGGGCTCGTGGTGAGCTCCTCTTGGCAATGCGATGCTGTGCTTGTCAGGCGTGGGGAGTGCAGCAAATGGCAGTCTCTTTGGGAGGCCGCAGAGCAATGGCACACCTTCAGCAGCGGGCTCTGGGGCCACCAAATCAGGCAGTCAAGCTCTTGATGCTGATCTCTTTGGTGGAGGGCTCAGCCAGCCTTCTGCTTCTCCTCCAATGGGGATTGCTGCACAGGTGTGTGCATGTCTCCATTGGGAAATATTAAATGTGGCTCACAGCATTGAGTATGATGCATGCGCTGGCCTTATCTCATGAATATCCTCTGTGAGACATGGCAGTGCAGCATTCTGTCATGAAACATTGACGCCCCCTCCTGTGATGTCAGGGGAATGGGGCGTCGACTGACATCTTTGGGAGCAACAGCAGCCCCACCATGATCACCTTGGCTTCACCTGAAAAACCTGGTCAGGCCACCCAGCAGTTTGGCTATGCGCAGCCCCAACCTGTCTTGCCACACAATCAACAGGGTGCGTCATGGACTCCTGTAGTGTCTTATCAAAAATTCAGATTATGGCATTCTCTTAAAATCTTGCTTGCTTTGCAGGAAGTTTTACTTTTTGGGATGATGCTGCAGGGCAAGGAGCCCCACCCCAGATGTATCAACAGCCGGTGCAGCAGTTTGGCATGTACCCAGGTCCTCAGCAGGCCCAGCACCTGCACATGCAGCAGTACCAGATGCAGCAAATGCAAATGCAGCAGATGCACATGCAGCAGATGCAAATGCAGGTGCGCACAGCATCTGATCAAGCCCTTTGCACGCACAGCTGCATTGATGTGCATTTGCAGGAGGTTGTGAGAGGCCAAACTGCGTCTGCTTGCTTGTTGCAGCAGCAGCAAATGGGTGTGGGGGGATATGGAGCACCGCTGTATCATGCCCAGCAGCAGCAGCAATTTGGTGGCCCTCCCAACGGGGCTGCAGTGGGGTCGGACATCTTCATCAGCAGCAAACCTCCCTCAGCGCCCAGAGCTGAGCTCTTGGGCGCCAAGAAGGATCCCACCTTTGATTTTGTTGGGGTACGGACCTCAGTTTCCTGCTGTGTGATTGCATTATGCGTTGACACTTGACCTGGATGATTTGCCTAGTGGTCTAACGGTAGATCCAGCCTCACCTTCTGCTCGCTGCTGCAGGATCACATCAGCAAACTGCGCTCATCCAAGTGACTCAAGATGCTGCGCTCGAAGTGAATTATTCTTCTTCATTTAGAGATTTATCAAGAAGCTTCGTACATGGGAGAGTTTCCTGGAGAAGGTTGCCAGTGTTTGCAGCATATCCTTGACGGTAGATGTCATCTAGATGCCAGAATATTACCTTAGTCAATTAGTTGTATGGTAATCAACAATGATAGGGCGTTTGAATGTTGAAGATCCATAGTCATTGCCGGTGGGTGCCTGTTAGCAAAAAGGGCTGCATATATATCAAGAATCTGTTTGTGCAAGGATAGGGTCTGTAGCAGCAGTGACCATGTGAGGACTGTCGCGGTTGCAATGATCATATTGGTACACCGTTGCAGTGACTGGGCACAACATAAACTCTTCACGTATCTTGTTACATTGCAATATTATAATTTGACCATAAATTAACTACTGAACAGTAATGTCACAACACCTAAGTCGACAGATCCATAAGTTACAGCACTAAAGCCAAGTGCTATCACCTAGTAAGATATCAGAAAAGCAGTCAGAAGACACCCTTTGGCAGCGACCCAATCCATTGCATGCAGATGTCACAGCAGCTCTGCTCGTGACTTTCAGAGCTCCTCATCCTCGTCGTACTCACCCTCCTCCTCAGCTGAGGCATCCTGGTACTGCTGGTACTCGCTCACCAGGTCGTTCATGTTGGACTCTGCCTCTGTGAACTCCATCTCATCCATGCCCTCACCTGCACAATCAGTACTATATGCTCATCCTTCTCCAGCCTCTGACCCAGGAAGTTATTTTTTTGTAAGTCATGCATGCCATACTTTCTTTCTTCAGGACATGCTGGCACTTGTGCAAACATCAGACTCAGCTCATGAATGAAGGGCCAGGACGCACCAGTGTACCAATGAAGGAAGGCCTTCCTCCTGAACATGGCTGTGAACTGCTCGCTGACGCGCTTGAACATCTCCTGGATGGCGGTGGTGTTGCCGATGAAGGTGGCCGCCATCTTGAGGCCCTTAGGGGGAATGTCACAGACGGAGGACTTGACGTTGTTGGGGATCCACTCAACAAAGTACGAGGAGTTCTTGTTCTGCACTTGCAGCAGCTGCTCGTCGACCTGCACAGTAAAACCACCAGTTTCAAACCTTGCCTGACACCTCTCTGCCGCAGGTAATGGATTGCAGCTGAATTCCTGACTCAAGCTCTCTGTCTTCCATCATACAGATGTGCGCAGACACTTATGCATGACACATTGCATGCATGCAACTCAACGACTCTAAAATACGCAAATGAGGAAGTATTGCTGCGCACCTCCTTGGTGGACATCTTGCCGCGGAAGACTGCGGAGGCGGTGAGGTAGCGGCCGTGACGGGGGTCGGCGGCGCACATCATGTTCTTGGAGTCCCACATCTGCTGCGTCAGCTCCGGCACTGACAGGGAGCGGTACTGCTGGCTGCCGCGTGAGGTCAGAGGGCAGAAGCCCACCATGAAGAAGTGCAGGCGGGGGAAGGGGATCAGGTTCACCGCCAGCTTGCGCAGGTCGGAGTTCAGCTGACCTGCGTGGCAGCATCAACCGGCCTCACCCTTTTGGGCCTGCTGTCTTTGTGACCCACTTGTGACACTGCATGCATGCATGCAGGAACAGCTCAGATGACTCGCAATGAGCAGCATGCCGTCTCACAAGTGATGGACGAGCAACAGCAGAACATGAGGAAGGAGCACAGTCTGGAGGCAGGATGTACCTGGGAAGCGCAGGCAGCAGGTGATGCCAGACATGACAGCAGAGATGAGGTGGTTGAGGTCCCCGAAGGTTGGGGTGGTCAGCTTGAGGGTGCGGAAGCAGATGTCGTACAGTGCCTCATTGTCCAGCACCATGCACTCGTCGGCGTTCTCCACCAGCTGGTGCACTGACAGCGTGGCATTGTAGGGCTCCACCACTGTGTCTGACACCTGGCAACGCAGTGGAGCATGTGTCAGCTTTTAATCACCCAGCTGCAGGTCTGCATTTTTAGTGTTATGTGCTGAAATTGGCAACAGAGGATTGGTGAGAATTTGGGAGTGAAAGAGGGATGTTACTGACCTTGGGTGAAGGCACCACGGAGAAGGTCTGCATGGCGCAAGGCACAACATCGTTAGTCTTACAATTCAGCTCTACATTCATTTGAGTACTGTGACATGCAAGCATGGGGAATACATGAGGACATGCAAAAGATGTGCCGGTAGATTTGGCATGGCTTACCAGCATCATGCGGTCGGGGTATTCCTCGCGGATCTTGCTGATTAAGAGAGTACCCATCCCACTGCCTGTGCCACCTCCCAGGGAATGGCACACCTGGAAGCCTACATTGGACAACACATTTGTTGTCAGTTCTTTGGGCAGAAGCCTTCTATGAATGCATGCACGTGGACATCAGCGCAACTGCAGGTCTTTGGGAAAGAAGCTCACCTTGAAGGCAGTCGCAGGACTCTGCCTCCTTTCTGACAACGTCAAGGACAGAGTCAATGAGCTCTGCTCCCTCTGTGTAATGTCCCTTGGCCCAGTTGTTGCCAGCACCAGTCTGCAGTTCAAGCAGTTTTATCAGCAAGGATACAGGTCATCATGAATGCTCTGCATAACCTGTCATGTGTGCAATGTGAAGTAGATGGATGAGTCACCTGTCCAAATATGAAGTTGTCAGGGCGGAAGATCTGCCCATACGGCCCGGACCGGACACTGTCCATGGTGCCTGGCTCCTGTGGACCAAAAGGCGAATGTATTTATGAGCACGAATTTGGTCGATGCTTCGTTGCAGCATTGAAGAAAAGTACACTGGAATTTACAAATCTAAATGCAGGCCCTCAAGCTTTGAAGAAGAGGAGGGAGGAAGGAAGGGAGATCACCAGGTCCATGAGGACAGCCCGCGGAACATAACGTCCTGAAGCATTTTCAATTTGTCAGGAAACGACGGTGCTAACCATAATACAAGCATGAAGCGCCGCATGCATGACAGAGCTTTTAGGACAAAGTCATCGTTGCTTTTGAAAGCAGCAGCCTACCACCGCTGGCTTCATTGAAGTAGACGTTTATCCTCTCCAATTGCAGATCACTTTGTCCCTGAGATTAGAAATCACATGTTCAGAACAGTCCGGGTGGTGCAGCGGAGAAAGCGAGAAGACAACGTGGCCCATCTAGGAATATCGTTTTGTCAGGGTTGCACCTGGTAGGATCCAGCCATGTCGACGCCATGCTCGTCGCAGGTCACCTGCGTTCAGATATTGGGAAAGGGTGAGTTCTTGAGCGCGGCAAAGCCTGAAAGCTGCAGTATGCCCAATCATGCCTCACCTCCCAGAACTTCGCTCCAATCTGGTTGCCACACTGACCGCCCTGGATGTGTACAATTTCACGCATCTTGACTCGTTTTTTTTTCTCAACAGCCGAGCCGAGCGTGCGTCGACGAGATAACGAGCAAGCGCAGCAAAGTGAGGCTCCCGCTTTTTCTGCAGCCCATAGGAGGCAGATGGCATCGGTGAAAGGGCGTGCCTGCGCAATTTCTCAAAATTCGATGTAAATGATTTGTTTATTTGTCAAGACACCAAAAGCAGTTGCAAGTTCTGAAAGCATAATAGTTGACTTCCTTTGCACCTGAAATGGGAGAGTTGCATTTGAACTTTCACGCAGGGCTGACGCGCTAAGCTTGTAGACTTGCTGTATGGTCAGTCAACATCCGCAAGTTGCAAGTTGCAGTCATGCATTGCTGACGCGGGTTGACAGGAACTTTTGAGCGGGAATCAATGAGTGGCAAAGAGAACATGCTGCTGCAGAGCCTCGATGATGTTCTGCAGAGAGCAGAGGAGTCCTTGGGCATCACTCCATCCCCAGCAAAACTCCATACAGATCCAAAGACGTACTTCGGCAGGTAATCTCCTGGGAAACCTGAAAAAAGGTCTTTTTGGGCGGCCATTCGGCAAAGACCCGAGAATCATGGTGTCCAAGGTTTGGTTGCAGTCCTTCTCAGGACTGGGACTACATGTCCCTTCAGTACTTCAAGATAGTACGAAGTTCTCACAAGCTGCACAGTTTTGATAACACCGACTCTACATCGTTATTGGTGCTCATGGGAATGCAGGAAACTCAGAGAAAGCGCGCAGCAGGGAATGCAGCCTTACGCAACAGCGCCACCCGCCAACTTCAGACGATCTTTTGCAGCTTCCCCCACCTCCTCCTCTGACAGCGAGGCTGAATCGGAGGTATGAACAAGTTTGAATTGCATCTTGAAGGTCAGCATGCGTTGACCTTCCCATGCAGAGACTGTCATGTGCTAATGCAAATCTACCCTCACCTTGCAGGGCATTTCCAACCGGACAGCTCTGAATGAGAAGAACATGGAGCTGCTAGAGCTCCGTGAGCAGCACAATCTCCTCTTGGTGAGTGTCATTGCTGCCAGTGTCCAGCTTTGTCCTCGCATAGAGAAATGACCACCTCAACCTCATGACAGAGAGAAGTATGCCACACAGTTGTGTTGCTCTCCGTGGCACAGGCTCGGTCTCAGGACGCTCGGGTGAACTGGGAGGCAGCGCTGGCGTCCAAAGATAAGGCGCTAGCTCAGCTGGAGGAGGCACTGGCGGCAGAGAGGAAGGCAGCCGAGCAAACGCGCATAACAGCGGCGGCAGCGCTGTCCCAGGCAGATGCCAAGCGCAGCAGCGCATCTGCCACGGACGCGGCCCTGGCCGAGGCCAGAAGGGAGGCGGACCAGCTGCGACGGCAGGCATGCATTTCACACTTGGCATGGAGAAGTTTCACAGAATAGAGTGTTCACTGGCGTCAAAAAGAACCTTTTCTTCATGCACTGGGAAGGGTGCATGCACTGTGAAACCCATCTGTATACAGTCGCATGAGTGAGTCGTCAGCTTGCTGCAGGTTGCCGCGCAAGATGCGCGCATAGCAGAGGCGCGACAGGCCGCTGCAGCTGCAGCGTCTGGCTCGGCCGACCAGGCTGCGCGCACAGAGCACCACATGGCGATGATGCAGGCTCAGGTGAGGGACCTGCAGGCGTCCCTTGCGCAGCAGACGGCCTCTGCGCAGCAGCACTTGGGTCGTGCTGAGGTCAGCCTTACGCCCTATGCCCCTGCGTACATCTGATTATGGTGATACCAGCAAGACAATAGTCACATTAGACATTAGCAGGAGGGCGGTGTCATGCTGTAGATGGGTGATATTCATTGCATGCTTTGGATGAGCGAGCAGAGTTGAGGCTGCATCGCCTAAATGCAGATATGATGTCATGTGCAGGCAGCACAGGCAGCCAACTCAGCTTTGCAGAACGAGATAATGCTGCTGCAAGCACGCCTGAGCGAGCAGAATGAGGCGCTGCAGAGAACTCGCCACCAGGAGAACATGTCAGCACCAGGGCCTGCTGACTGGACGCAGCGCCGTGACACTCCAGCAGAAAATCATGTCACCGGTGAGCCATGCGCTTATGTGTACTTTGACTGCATTGTTGTAGACAGGTTGTTTATTTAACAGTCCTCCACATCTTGTGAAGACCCAAGCAAAGGTGTGGGTGTTGTGCAGGTGTGATGCCCTCTGCCAAGACCTTAGCTGCTGTAGAAGGGGACAAGGGGCTTGAGAGGCAATTCACGCGCCTGCAGGAGAGGCTTGTGTCCAGAGATGCATCAGCGCGCAAGTACAAGGTACTCAAGATGGCAACCTTTGCTTTCGAGGTCCTTACGGTCCTCAGTGAGGTTCTTGTTGCTGATCTTATTCTGTGTGTGGCAGGAGGCTGTGAAGGTACTCAAGAGTAGAGTCCTCGAAGCCATCAAAGTGGCGAAAATCAACCAGGAGGATTGTGAACGGCTGCGTGGGCAGCTTGCTGAATCAGAGCAAGCCCAGCAGGTGCTTGTCTCGCCTCAAGTGCGTGTCAGGTTGTGCACTTTCTGCGTCAATTCAATGATTTTACCAATCCCTTCATGCTGAAGGATACTGTGCAATGTTGCAGAATCTGCAAAGAGAGCATCAAGCACATATGAGACAAGCTGAGACCCATGCAGCTCACAACGACGCATTATTGAGGAATGAATTGCAGATGAGGTTGCAAGCGCTGGAACAGCAACTCTCAGAGCAGTCCAAGGCAAACAAGGTAGTCCAACACCCTGTGTTGGCACATGCATGCATGCATGCATGCTGTAGTGTACATGGCTTGCAGGGCCCTAGCTCAATTGTATCGCAAGCCCTCTGCTTAAGCTCTCTAAATGCGTATATGCGCATGAGCATGAGCATGACGGTGGTGTGGCTATGCAATAGGCCATCCAGGAGAGCCTTGGCAGCACGAGAAGCCAACTGGCGACAGCTCAGAGGCAAGCAGCAGATGCTGAGCAAAGTCGGGCCATCGGCCTCCAAGAGCGCGATGAGGCTCAACGCAGGTCTGTTTCCATCAACATGATTACCCACATCCTCTTTTGTTTACCTATTAGTTATAGTGGGTGAAGAGGATGAAATATCTCAAAGTTGCAGTCTGGCTGCAGGGCACAGGCGCTGCAGCTGCGCGCTGAGAAGGCAGAGAAGTATGCACTGAAAGTTCACAGGCTCTTAGAAGCTCTGAGGTCCCACATGGAGGCCGCCCAGAAGCAGGAAGCAGCTGCTCAGCAGCAGGCATCGCCCCATGAGCAGAGCATTACCAGCTTGAAGGCTCAGCTCTCAGAGGCAGCGCAAGCGGCAGCTGCTGCATCCACTCACGCCCACAGCATTCAGGTGCCATAGCATCTTATACAGCCCATGCATGCTGATGTGATGCCATGGCTTCATCTGCCAATTTCAAGATGCACAAAGTATCAAAGAATCTGTCCAACGTGGAAACCAAATGTCGCGCATGCGTCCGGCGTGAAATTTAAAGATGTGTGCAGGAGAGACTGGCCATCAAAGAGGGGCAGTGTGAGCAGCTGCAAGCTGCGCTGTCTGAGGAGCGGCGGCAGTGCAGCCAGGCCAGGCAGCAGGCTTCTGAGCTTGAAGCCAACTTGAAGGTGGTTGATCTTTCCTGCCATTGTGCTGTTTTCCATTTTGCTTTTTCCATTCTGATACTGGTCATTTGTGGCTGGTGAATTGAGAGGCAAAAGTGGCGTGCAGGGACTGTGGGAGGAGGCAGGCACACTGAAGAGCAAGCTGGCAGAAGCTGTGGCTGTACAGGGAAGAGCCCGTGAGGAGGCGGGGAAAGAGTTGGCGGCTGCAAAAATTGCCTGGGAGCTCAGGCGCCGAGATGAGCTGCAGGTGTGCGTTCTGTGCCTGCGCCCACATCTCATAGCCTCAAACTGAGCCAGGCCTGTCTGCGCATGTTCTGGTGTGCCCCAAAGAGAGGTCAGACTGGCCTCATGGTCCAGGAATTACAGATAGCGTTTTGCGAAGAAGAGGTTGATGTGCAGGATCTGCAGGTACAGGTTGATAGGACGCTGCGCGCACAGGAGGCTGCAGAGGCCAGGCTTGCAGAGCTGGAGAAGTGCGAAGCCAGCCGCACGTCCCAGGTGAGCTCATATTTTCTGCTTCGTGCAATGGGTGGGTGGCATTCTTGCCATCTCAACTCAGTCAAAGACTTCCATTGGAACGATGTAGCGAATGATCTGATTGCAACAACAGTGATTCTCAGAATGTCTGTGTTGATTACGGTTTGGCTCAGAGTGCGGCTGGGAGTGAGGCGCATTCAGCCCCAGCAGCTGCGTGCCGCATGCAGAAGCTGAAAGAGGTGCTGGACATGCGGGAGCGCTGCATAGCACACCTGCAGGACAAGCTCCGGCATCAGCAGGCTCACCATGCACAGGTGCTTGCCTCCTTGAGATAGCATGTTTTTAACGCAGAACTCTGTTGGATCATCAGGATCACACATGCAAGATATCAAAATGTTTTGGATCTCCTCGTCCAACGCTGCTGGGGCGTAATCATATTTTTGTGAAAGGGATTAACATAGTGGAGTCTTTGCTTGATGCGCAGATTGAGACTGGGCTGAGAGCGCAATTGGAGAAGCGTGTCAAGGCGCTGGAAGATGCCGACAAGCGATTTGGCGAGTTAGAATCACTGATGCGGCGGTTGTCCGCTCGCTCTGGCATCTTGTAGCATACACACATGGGGTGTGCAGTTCTGTGGTGGCCTTGTGATCACCCTGATAAAATGCAGGGCTGTTGCATAATATATGTTGAATAACACTGTACTGATATTTGAAGACCTCCTGAGATTTGCAACATTGGAATCTGTCAGCTTCTTACATCAATAAGAAATTGCAAATTCTCATTGATCCACTGTTGTGTTATGCGTCACACTCAACACATTCATGCTTTAGGTCATTAAAAAATTCAAGCTGCATAGGTCGAGAAAGCAAATGCACCGGGAAATCTGTCAGCAAAGAAAGGAATACAGTCCACCATCACCGCCATCAATGACCTGAATGGCTGACGCTATCATTCAGCAATCACAAGGATATCAGGCTTCTCCTCATTTTGGCCTTTCTCTGCAATGCGCGCAAACTCCGCGGCCTCCCGCTCCATGAACTGGTTGAAATTGAGGCGCAGCAGCAGCTGACGCAGGTGGGGGACTCTCTGTGGGGCCTGCAGCGTGTTGCTCTGCAGCAGCACATACAGCTGCGCTGTGCGCCTTCTAAAGTCACTGCAGATCTCTGCGGCCCTGCCATCAAGCGCTCCCGTGCTCTCCCTCGCCTGCACCGCCTCTGCATTGTGCTGCAAACACCCCACACCCCATCAGCACATTATGCCGTGGCAGTGAAGATCATGTGAATATACCGTAGTGCTTCCCTGCCTTTCCATGCCAGGTGCCTTATTTTTCGCAGGGCAAGCTGGTGCCTTAGAGCCCAGCGGGTCGCATATGCCAGCCAGTGACAGATCTAGACAGTGGTGCTATAATCACTGATTCAAAAAACACTAGTCAGGGACATCCAAAGGTAGAAGGCCAGTGTACCTGGACGGTGGAGCAGAGGCGCAGGCAGAGGACGTAGATGGCTTCCAGGTTGTCGGTGAGGGGCCGCATGTCCAGGAAGGACTGCTCCACGAGGGAGGTCAGGAACGCCTCATGCGCCGTCTCCGCATCCTTGAAGTCGCGCGCGTACGCTATCTGCTTCGACAGCTCACAGCTTTGCGCCTCTATCACGTCCACCTGCACCCCCAACATCAGGATCAGAAAAGCAATTTCTCTATGATCTACATATCATGCAGGCAGAGGGAACCGTCCAGGTCCTAAGCATCTTGAGGAAAAAGACAACCAAGGTATGTGTACCTGCATGTAGATCTGCAGGTTGGAGATGAAGTGGGTCATGTTGTGCCGCGCTTGGCACAGCAGCTGCTGCGCATGCTGGGCGCCAGCGTGGCGTGCCAGCTGGCGCCCCAGAGCAGCCCACGCTGTCTCGAGCTCCATGCTGACCCGCTTTAGGCGAAGCAGGTGTCTGAACAGGGCGTTGTACTTGTGCATCACCTGCAGAGGTGCAAGCATTGTGGTCTCTAGATTTCTGCCCGCTGCAAGCTGCATCTGCCGGACAGAAGAATTGAAATTCTTTGCAATGTCTCCCTTGCAAGCGCTGTTAATCAGCATGCAACTTGTCGTCTATGAGCAGGACTTGCACACTGCGGGTCTTTAAAGAATCAGCATGCATCACCTCGGGAGTGAGGAGGATGTGCAGCGGCCATCTAAGCTTGTACTCAAGGCAGAGAGCATCCCACTGGTCCAAGCTTGGCACATGCAGAGCCCTTTCCACAGGTGAAGAGCCATCCTGCGCATCTCACTCTCTTATTTAGGGCATGTTCAAGCCAGCATGTAATTGGGTTCCTTTTCGAGAAGCAAAACGGAAACCAAAAGTGTCAATGAGAGAAAGGCAACCTTCACTGCCATCACCTGGTCTGAGCCATGTACAGGCGCAGCAAAGCGAATGCAGACGTTGGAGAAGAAGCAATCACTGTCAGCGCTGCTGTTCTGTGCGGCATGCTGAAAGAGCCTCCCAAGCTCGGTGTTCACCGTCGTCATCCGTGGTGGAAGTTGCAGCATGCGCCGGCTCTGGGCCCCCATTCACTCCATTGGAATCAGCACCCTTTCTGTGCAAGACTCAAGGCACAAGCAAGACGTGTTTGCATGTGCGAGAAGGAGGCAGTGTGTAAGTATGAGGAGGCAGGGGATGTGGGCAGGGATGCCAACCTCGAGCAGGAAGCACTGGTAGAAGTCGCCACGCGAGAGCAGGGAGTACTGCTTCAGGGCTGCCAGGTGTTGGGGCAGCTCTGCGCGCACCGTCACCAGCTGCCACAGCTGTTCCGCTGCCTGTTACAGGGAGCCCCAATATGAGCCTCACTGGCTTTTTCCTTTAAGGAGAGAAAATTTGAGCGATTTGAGCAATGGTTTGGAGGCATTTAAGGGAAGGTCTGTTCTGCACCTGGGCATGCATCCTCTCGACAACACGCTCAAAGTCCAGTCTCTCGAGGGAAGCTTTCGCCTTCAGGCCGCGCAGAGCAGCCGCCCACTGCCGAGTGTCCAGCTTTGGGAGGTTGTTCTCCCCTGCACCCATCAGACACCTTGAAGTCCATGCCTGGCTTTACATGCTACATGCCCAGGATAAAGTACAAGGGTCTTAGATGTGGGCGCACCAGCTCGTTCACTGCTGGTAGTGGTGTGCTTGAGCACGCGCACAGCCTTGCCGATGAACAACACTCGCCGCGCCACCACTTTGGTCAACCCAGGAGGCAGTGCTTGCTCCACAATCTGCAGTGTCGAAATCCAGCCGCGTGGGTCATGAACTGTCAGGTTCCACATGATGACAGCCAGGTTGGGCATGCTACTTCAGGTCCTAGCATGACTTCTGTAAAGGGAGCGGTGCAGATTCAGAATTGATGGGCAAGCGCACCTCAAACCCGCTGTGCCATTCCCGTGCATGCTGCTCGTCAGTCTGGTGCAAACTGTGGGCAGCCAGCACTGCTTCGTCCTTTGCATGTGGCACTTCTTGGATGTAAAACTCCTTGCCCTCATCTCGAAGGATCCCATGCATTGTCCTGCTCAGCAGAAATCCATGGTGGGCTACCAACAGATTCAACAAACCAAAAAAGTATCAGAATGTGTTTGCTTTTCTTATCATTCCCCGATATTTCTTCAGAACTTGAGTATGCAATGGGATTTTCGGGCGATTGGAAGACTGCTGAACCCACCATGCTGAGACCTGGTCAAGCAGGATCTGGTTGCAGTGCCACAAAAGCCTCCCAAAACATGACTGTATCTCAGGGATGCCACAGCTGGCCTTCACATGCAACAAGTGCAACAGCTGGCTTCCTTTTATGTTCTCCTTTTGAATCTTGTAGATCAATCGTTGCAGTGCGGGCAGTAGAACCTGCCATGTCAGAATCACTCAGTACAAATGGTCTCCAGCTTGCTTGCAGATAGACAGAACAAGGGCATAACAATTTGTGATATGGCTGTACCTTGAAATCCTGCAGAGCAAAATGCAGGCTTGCCAAAGAGATGGCTGGCATGCGGCGCAGCTGCTGTTGAGTCTGCAGCACTGCGGCGCGATACACTTCCAAGAGCTCTGCATGCAGTCACACCACGCCTTCTGATATTGCCAAACAGTACTGATTGGTATTGTCAAGTTCCCAGCTTCCGAAGGACAGGCATGGGCAGGGATCATGCATACTCATCGCACCTTCCAAGCCCGTTGCCAATCCCCGCCACATCAGACTTCTCCTTTGCAGCAGGTCGTGTGATCGGCTGATGCCCACAAAGGAATCCAGTTCCCGAAAATGGAATCCCAAAGCAACAAGGGAATTTAAGTTTTGCCTGTCATGACAAACTCATGAATCAGTTCACCAAGGCTGCATGCAGACTTCTCCTGGTGGTTCGGACAAGACTCGACTGGGTCGAGCTTTGTCAAATTGCAGAGCCCTGATGAGCTGCCACACCTGTCTGCAGGAGCAATCCAGTCCAGGTCTTCTGCTAAACGCAGATCACCATTCTTGGGCTCTGCCACATGGGAGAATTCAGAGTCCTGGGTTCTGGGCTGCTGAACGAAGATGTCACCAGGACAACCAAGTAGAGCAAGAAGCAGCTCCTGCAAGACGCTGGTGAGCGAATCTACTGTTGTTACTGACTGCTGGACCATGATCAGAGGTGTTTTGGCTTGGAATGAAAGGTGTTCAACGCCACATCTTCTTCTATTCTGCTGTTGCCGCTTGCGATTGTTCAGGCCCTAAACGTAATCTTGGCAACATCGGAAAGCTGCATCACGAGTGTCCTTGTTAACAACATATCCTTGAGAGTGTGCAGTGAACGATCTGCTTTTTTTCGAAAATCTGTCGCAAGTAAAATTCCTTGGATCTCTTCACCACTGCTCCTTGTTGCACTGTCCCCTTTTCGATCAGTATCGTGCACGAAGCATCAATCTCATTTCTGCCGATTTATTCTGACTATTTATCCTCTAATGCAAGCTTGCAAGTGTCTCGCTTCAAGTTCCTCCAGCACGGTCCTCCCGGTCGTTTCTGCGGAAACGGGGGGTCCTGGCCATGCAATGCCCAACTCGATTTTGTAGATGCCACCAAGATTGTCCAAGATCTCCCAATGGCAAACTTTCCAAACATTACTTTAAATTTTTGTACGTTACTGCATGTGGATCGGTCTACCAGACTGCCTGCGCATTTGCAAAATTGTCACAGATGTTGTCGTGCATCATTCGGGAGGGCGACAATGCCGTACTCGATATCAACAATTCTCATAAGATGTTTGTCACCGTCAAACCGGGCAGGTCAGGCACCTTTGATCGCTTTAAATTCCCTCAGAATCTTGAGGAATAGTGCTCCTGTACTATCTATAAGCTTGGGCGTTCTGGAATTGATCTCTCCCTCATCAGTGCCTTTCTGAAATTATTTCAATGCCAACTGTGCAGCAAGGTGAAGATTGGCAAGGCTATGTGCTCTCTGGAGCCCCTCATTGGCCAGTACTATGGCATACAGTTTGCGCTGGCGGCTGATGGACAGACCCTCGAATTTAAGCGACCAAAGATGGAAAGGTGGGCCACTCATGCCTCCTGTAGCTGTGCAGATCCTTCGCATGTTGCATGGCTCTTTGTCCTCTGTGCAAAGTCCATATCATCACCCTGTCATGGCCTGAGCAGGGATGACGGGACCCAAAAGGATGAGTGGCATGCCAATGGGACCATGGACAAGAACAATAGCGAGCTGCTGGACAGAGGGGATGCCCATCAGAACCTGAAGCCCGCGGACATCGAGGCCATGCGCGAAGCTGGGATGGGAGGCGAAGCCATCGTCGAAGCCTTGCTGGCAAACAGCGAGACCTACGAAAGCAAAACGCAGTTTGCACAGGTGCTGCCATGCATCAGAATCACCCAAAATGGCCCACTATAGACAGAGCAGGACAACCCACTCACTGTGCAGCTGTCATATTTGATGAGCGTGCCTTTGCCGTGCAGAGTCAGCGCGTGCTAACGGGCCAGTGCCACATTCTGTTTGCAGGCAAAATATCGCAAGCGCAAGGCGGACAAATACATGGCACAGGCGACGCTGGTCAGGCCCACAGCACGATCAGTGGCCGAGGCATATTTTGCCAAGTCCCCCCAGAAAATCCAGGGCCTGCGCGCCGACAGCCTGGCCTTGCTACTCTCCCTCGCCAACATTGGCTCGCATGCCAGGGTGCTTGTGATTGAGACCTGCGGCGGCTTAGTCACTGGCGCTGTGGCAGAACGCCTGGGAGGCTCTGGCCTGGTGCGCTGGCCCTCATTGTGTTAACATTGTTCAAAAGCTGCATGTGCTTTCCGAGTATGGCAGCACTGCAACAGGGGACGCATTGGAAGCTTCCTCAAGGGGCATATGTGCAGTGATGCTGCCGTCTGCTCTCTGGTGTGTAGAAGACATGCGCGATCGTGATCTAAACAGAAATTTGTCTGAATGCAGCTGTGTGTGTGCGCAGGTGGTGTCAGGGTACACCGGACTGAGGGCTCCTTCGCTGGACATTGTGCGCCAGTTCAACTTCCCAGCCAGCAGCAAGGCCAGCATGGTGACAGCGCCCATCAATGCTCTCCTGCAGTGCGGACAGCCAGCCCCTGCAGAAATCCCAGTGAGCGCTCCTCCAGAGAGCAACGCAGCAGCAGCAGAGGCCGGAGCAGAAGATACGAAGCAGGACACGCCCATGGCGGATGCAGGCGCCGAGCAGGCAGCAGAGGCGCTGACACCGGCACAGGAGGGGGATGCAGCAGTGCCTGTGGCAGGCACCACTACAGCTAAAGCTGAGCCGGTCAGTAATGGAACAACTGGGGCAGCAGAAGGAGGGGTAGCGCAAACAGTTGCAGAGAGCAGATCAGGGCATGACGCCACCAGCAGCTCCACGCGGGACTTGCCAGACATTGTCCAGCAGACCTGCCGCCAAGGCTTCAGCTGCTGTATTCTGGCGGCTCCCCAGGTTCAGCCCCTGGCGCTGCTGCGCAAAGTGCTTCCGCTGCTGGCGCCGTCTGCTGCGTTTGCAGTCTTTGCAAACTGCTTGCAGCCGCTCGCGGACTGCATGCTGGCCCTGCAGGTGAATCCCTTGGTCCTAATGGGCAGTCTCTGTCGTATTGCACACATGTGAAGTCCGAGTGAGTGCGCATTACGGGGCCTTTATGGTAACGTGAGGAGTTTGCGCATCCTTTGCAGGTCTCAAAGGAAGCAGTGGCGCTACAGTTGCAAGAGTCGTGGTGGCGGGAGCACCAGGTGTTGCCAGGGAGGACACATCCGGAGATGATGGTTTCAGCGACGGGAGGCTACATTCTGACAGGCTACAAAGTAGTGACACCAGCATGATGCGATGAACCGTGGCAGCAAGTATTTTTATGAAGGTTTGCCGACTGCTGAGACATTTAGCGACCCTTGGGCCCAACAATTGATGAAGTGAAATGCAGCTGTAAGGCATATTTACAGGCCGACATGAAGTACTAGCCCTGAAATACTGCATGGACAGGGCAGCTGCTTGAACTCACAGACTGGCCCATGGTCATATCCGGTCACTTGGTTACATCTTTCCATAGCTAATGAGCACGAGGGCGCTGACATTGCTGACATTATCAGTAAGCAGTGCAAATTTCATGAAGCGATTGCAACCACTGTAGGAATGATGACTGCCTTGGAAACCCACCAGCTCTTTTGCCTTCTGTCCGGCTATTTGCGGACCGGTGTATTCGTCCCGGTGCACACGTCCCGATCGGAAGATAGCAACGCGAAGGGACTTTTAAAGCGGACGGTGCCGTGCATGCCGGCATTGTTTCTGAGAAGTGCGGCTGTACAAGGTTGGGGCAGGTGGATTGTGCAGACCACGAGACAGCATCATCAAACCTGCCAATGCACGCCAAAGCAGCCAAACAATGGCACGCACTGTTTGATCATCCACACACTGTGGAATTGGGATGGGAGAGACAAATACCCAACAGTCAAAACACGAGCGACGGGCGACGGTCCTCGGTACAGTACACCCTCGGAAGCTTCCCAAAGGGTCCAGCGATATCGAGAAGCGAAGATGGGGAATGCTGGGTCAGCAGTACCCTTTCACCCTTTCATTCTGCTGATGCTAAGCACTGCATGCAATGCATGATTTTGCTCGGTACAACAGCATGATGTGGACAACCTTGAAATTCCATGTGCATGCATGCTGATCAGCAGACCAGCCATTCAGTGGCTAATGGCTAGCCTAAAGTTAGCCACACACGCATACACTGTCACAAACCTTACAAGTGAATGATAGATCAGCCAGATCAGTGAGAGAGCGACTGACGGACCATGGCAGAGCATGCTGTAGGCTACTTACAGATACACCTTCATTATAATGCTTTGTTCCAGGTCCGATTTTTATATGTTTGCATCTCCACCCGACCTTCATGGGGCGGAGCTTTCTCAGTCCGCCCAGGAGCGATATGCTCTGTGCAGGAGTCTGAAACGCATCAGATGCACTTGGATGCAAAAAGAACTCATACAGGCACTGAGCAGAGTGTTCTGATCAGCCAAGCTCTCAAAATCTCAAACTTACTGTCAAATGTGCGTGCAGCGCTGTCAGAGCTTGCGCAGCTCCTCACACAGCAGGTCCGGCAGGTCCATGCGCACGCGGTAGGGGTTCAGGGGGTTGCGCATGTAGTCCGGCACAGAGCTTTTTGATGCGCCATTGCCAGTCCCGTTGCTGGACGCTGGCCATTGCCGCCTCTCTCCAGCACCAGCCGCCACCTCATCCTGCGCAATGTGCAATCATTGCATCTTACGCGTCTGTGATCTGCCATTCATTCATCAGACTGCTACCACTTATGTTATGTTACAACCTAGTGAACTGCTGAAACATATGACACATCTGTGATATGCTCTTAGCCCAATATGACTTTTGGCTGCAACCTCTCAAAGCCTTCGAAGAGTTGACAGCTCTCTGAAGTCGATGCAGAGAATCAAGCAGCATTTGTTGTAAAAGCCAGCATATTCTGCAACAGTAGAGGACAGACCTCGGAGGGCATGCCCGGGTAGACCAGGCCGCCGTCCTTGCCCCATGCAAATCCCTCGACGTATGGGTCTGGAAACTTTACAACGCCGGCAGCCTCCAGCGTCTCCTCAACCTCTTTCCCTGACATGGTCTCCTTGACCAGCAGCCGCTCCACCAATGCCTGCAGTGGCTTGTAGTTGACCGCCAGGCCGTAGTATGCCTTGGCCTCCGCCCCCTCCACCAGCTGCATGCATAGGAAGTTCCCATGTCAGCCTTTAACCCAAGAGAAGCACAAAATGTCCACAAAGCATTGAAGGTCCACAGAAAAAAATTCGTATACATGATAAGTACACCTCTTACTTGATGATCCACAATAGCCAGTATCAAGAAAGCCGGAACCAGCAAGAGCCAAGTGTAGATCTTTGGTGCTCAGTCACGCATACCTTGTGCACAGCATGCATCCCTCTGGTCATAAATTGTGCACCCGATCTTTCTGAGCCCTCCATTACTTTACATGCCACTGCTTCTGAAGCCCATCTCTGCTCACCTCCTCGATGTCAGTGAGTGCGATGGCGGCGAGCTCGGTGCCGATGTTGGCGACAGCGCGCGTGCGGCCCTTGCCGATGAACACCTCCTCAGTGTCCATCAGCGCCACGGGGCCCAGGCGCTTGCTGAAGCCGCAGCGGTACACCATCTCGCGCGCGATATTATTCACGTTGTCCAGGTCGCCCCCGCCCGCCGTCGTTATGTTCGCCTCTCCTAGCACCAGCCGCTCCGCGCACCTGCACCAAACACCCCACTTTTATGCGTAATTTAAAACTACTCACGGAGGCATCACTAATCAAGCGGGTGTCTTGGTATTATCGAGTGCAAGACTCTCCAGAAACTTTAACTGGTGCCGCTCTGGAAGAGCAGGTAGGAAGGGTCCCTGTCACGGCAAGACACTCTTGCAACAAGATCCCCTCAAAGCTCACTGGAAAGACCCATGCGGAGGTGCATTCAGCCCACCTGATATATACTCAGTGCAATGAGTGGTGGGAAGAGGAGGTGCCAATATAGGCGAATATGGCAGTAAGGCATGTTGCTGCACTCACCTGCCGGCGATGCCGACGACCATCCTGGCCTCCATGTAGCCGCGTGTGATCACCCGGCTCTCCAGGTGCTCCTCCTGGGGGATGAAGTATGTGTAGCCTGTCGGCACCCCGCCCGGGCACACAGACACCTGCACGCAACCCCAACCATCTCAGTAAGACCTGCATTAATGCACACCCCACCTTCTGGCGCAGCGGGCAAATCTTTGCACACCAGGAGGGATCATGGAGAGGGCAGGTTTCCTTGCATGTGCTCTGTTGAAGGGGTGGAAAGTGCACCCCTTCAACAGAGCACAGTCCACTTCTGTTGTGCTGCACAGGAGGTACTAAAGACTACTGTAGCCTTCAGTACCCCCTGTGCTGCATGCTTCAGGGTTAGTTTAAAAGAAGGAAGTGGAGGGCACCTGTGAGATCTCATCGTAGCCAGGGGAAATGTAGCCCAGCAGCACGCGCCCGGCCTCGTACACGGCGATGGTCTTGCGCAGCACGGGCGGCACTATGTCCTCGTCATACTGGGACGCCGTGCTGCCGCGGCCCATCTTCTCCCTGTGGATGTTCTCCAGAGCCTGCACACCGCACCAAGTCCTTCTTTATTCCATTGCAAACATCCCCCCACATATAAACATGCCTAAGCATTTTGCATGCAAGCTCCCATCCTGAGGTGGTGCCTGGGTCAGCAGCTGCTGTAGTAAGAGAAATAGCAGTGTCATCCTGTTCGCATCTAAATATGCAGCAAGTCTGACTATGCAGTGGCGGGAACCGGCAACTTCTGCTCAGAACAATGCAATGGATCACAGAACATGAATGGGTACCTGGAAGACATCAGCCTCTGTGATGAATTTGGCCCCACGGCGCACGGCCACCACGGCAGATGTGTTCATCAGGTTCATGAGCTCGGCGCCGGTGAAGCCCGCAGTGGCCCTGGCAACCTTGTGGTAATCCAGGCCCTCCTCAATCTTCTTGTTGCGCGCGTGCACCTTCAGGATGCCGATGCGGCCCTGCACAAAGACCACACTAGCTTGACATGCGCTGCTTATCGTGTCAGTAATGTCACAGGCGCTGTGATGTCATTCTCAGCAATGCCACAGGCGTGTTGATTATCTCTTTCTGTTCTTAGGCAGGGCAGGGACAAATTCATCAGCGTGAACCACAAATGGTCTGCCAAAAGTCTGCACATAAAAGTAGGTTGTCACCTGCAGATTGGGCAGAGGCAGGTGGATGATGCGATCGAAGCGCCCAGGGCGGGTGAGGGCGGTGTCGAGGGCAGCGGGCCTGTTTGTGGCAGCCATGACGATGACACCCGAGTTGTCCTCAAAGCCATCCATCTCCGTCAGCAGCTGGTTGATCGTCTGCACGCTCTCTGCGCAGTACACACACCATGTACACATCAATACGCCACTCATTGCTACAAATGGTGTCTTGCGTCTCCACTGCGTCTCCACTGCAGCCATGCTGGATGTGCTGAGGCACAGCACCCACTCCCAACAATTGTTTTTTATATAAGCAGCGCCAGGTGGATGGCAATGATTCCCTTCTCTATCACAGCCCCAGAATATGATGACTAGTCATGGAGATAGCAAAAGCATCCCATGTATCCTTCTGAGCAGGATATGAGCAGTATCGAGGCATGCATGACTTGTTACCACTTAGGTAATTAACCTTTTAAGTGGATGCGTTGTTTCAGATATACATCTTCTCCAATACACATTTAGGGGGCCTCACCGTCGCTGCCCATGGAGGTGGAGGAGCGCTGCTGGCCGATGCCGTCAAATTCGTCGATGAAGAGGATGCAGGGGGCGGCCTTGCGCGCCTTCTGGAACATGTCGCGCACGCGGCTGGCGCCCACGCCCACAAACACCTCCATGAACTCCGTGCCAGCCGCCGAGAAGAAGGGCACCCCCGCCTCCCCAGCAATCGCCTTCGCCAGCAGCGTCTTGCCTGTGCACATGCATCGCATCGTACCCTCACACTCCACACAGCTGTCAGTAAAAACGGAAGAATGACTTGGCACTTTAGAATTGTACGATGCACCGTCGGCTACTGGCCCTTTATTCCTATATTTGCAACCCCCTGCCACAGGAAAATAGACACATCTGCTCCCTGGTGCAGTTCCCTACGTTCATGCACTGTCATCAGACAAGCAATTGATGTCTTCTTGTAGCATGACCCTGTAACAGCAAACGCACGCTGGTTGAGCGGGGCAACCCAGATGCAGTGGAGATGCAGGGGCATACCTGTGCCTGGGGCGCCGACCAGGAGGACGCCGGCTGGCGATCGCGCGCCGAGGTCGATGAAGCGCTTGGGGTTCTTCAGGAACTCCACCAGCTCCCGGATCTCCGTCTTGACCTGGTCGATGCCCTCAATGTCCTTGAACGTCAGCTGCTTGTCCCCCTTGTTTATTTGGTCCAGCTTGGCGCCCCCAAATATCCTGCCGCCACCCAAGCTCAAGCCTCACCACACACTGTCACATGCGCAGGGCAAAAACATGGGGGGCCACAGAGCCTCCAAAGCCCTCTGCAAGGGACAGCATGAACCCAGATTTGCCCAAGAGCACGATAGTGGCACTTACTAACCAGCTAAATTTTCTAAGGCCTGCATTTCACGCAATATAATGCTTCATGCACAGTGATCCTGTAACAATTGCATGTGTGGGAGATGATCCTGTCACCTGTCGCGCTTCTTCTTGACGCCGATGCGGAAGGCGACCATGATCATGAGGTAGGCGAACCAGATGGGGAAGAACAGGCGGATGAACGACATGATGACCTTATCAAACTGGTTCAGCGGCTCAGTCTGCACAACACCCCAACACTCAAACTTTAAGCTGACCTCAACTGAAGCTCCAAGTATGGCTTTAAAATGCAAAGGAAAGGCTGCAACACCCCAACAATCAAGACCATTGACTGACCGAAAAAGGAAGCTTAAGGTATGGCATTAAAAGCAAAGCAAAGGTGGTTGCTGCGTAGGTGAAGCGTTAGGCACACCTCTATGTGCACGCCATGCTCCACCATGTGGTCAAACAGGTCTGGGTCATAGGGCAGTCCCACTTTCTCCGTCCGCACTCCCCCGGGCGCCTTGTCATTCGTGGTCACTATCACCGAGCGCTTGTCTGACGTGTATTTGACCTGCAGACCAGCAAACAGCACAATGTAAATGTAATTGTAATTTTGCACTGCGAGCACCAGTTGGCTGAACGTGCCACCATCTGTACACTGCGTCAGTTGAAAAGGCCTTGATAAGGTCCAAGACAATGTAAGAGGCCTTGCATGCAATTACAATTGCAATCACAAGCACGCAGTGCTGTTCAACGCTCACCTTGTCCACCCGCCGCTCCTTGACCAGCTGCCAGAACTGGGTATAGGTCATGTTCCTCATGCGGTCCACACGCCAGGCTGTCTGGGGCTGCACCTTCACATTGTCCCATGCTGCAGGATCTTGCACTATCGATTGCGTCACATCCACCTTTTTGCCCTTCTTCTTCGGCGCTGCAGCACAGCAAAGGTGTTCATATACTAATGTCGAGGATGGCTGTAAAGTTGTTTTGAGCCAAGAAGGTTTAGTTTGTTCTAGAACCAAGCAGGCAAATGAAGCCCACCAAAAAGGCGCCGCTTCTGCTTCTCTGTTGCGTGCTTCTCCAATGCTCGCCGTTTCTCGTTCTCATACTCTGTCCAGCGGTCAGTTGCGGTATCTGCGGCTGCCAGCTGTATGCCTGTGTCCCTGGCTCTGCTGCTGTAGCTTGTCGATGTGTCTTCGTTGGTATCACACACACCGGGTCTCTCTGCGTCGACCAAGGCTGCTACAAGGTCCTCTTGCAACCTGCTGGCCCCAACATAGAAATTGCAGGTGAGGAAGAGGCTTGTCAAGGAAAGGATGAAGGATCAGCAAGACAGCAGAAATCGGATTACATGAGACGATTACAGGATGTCAGACATGTACTCACCTTGGTCTTGAGTGAGCTGGAGGAGCCCAGCTAACTGCTGCAACACCAAGGAGCAGAACACCAGCTCCTAGAGATCGCCAGTAATCACCTCCCTTCCCTTCTTGCTTTCCTACACTATCTGACGCTGCTGGGTCCGGTGAAGCTACATGCGAAGCGTTGGCGTCATCTGAGAAGGCAGCACTGCCAACAATCCCATATCTGCACGTTGAAGACCCTCTCCTCAGCGGGCCTGCGATCCTGACTGGAAGTTGTGACCTCCCAACCAAGGCCCTGGAGGCATATATGCATCTAAAAGGTCGTGCAACTCCGTGTGGGCAATAGAGAGTTGCCCTGAGCGTGCCGGGTTGTATAGAGCACTGCATCCTTCCTGACTGCAATTCGTTTTTCTAGCCACCAGACAAAGTCATGCGAAATGCATCAGTGTAGGAACATAGGCAACCTTCAATATGTTATATATTCAGTTTTCACTTTTCTTGTGCCGTGCTGCTGTGCCAAAACACAATTGAAGGAGCATTTGGTCGCCTCCTATCCTCTAGATGCATACTTCCCTTGACAGGGGTCGATAAATTCCATCCTTCTTGGACTTTCCTTCCCCATTGAATCGCAAAGTTCTGCGTAAGAGAGCACTTGCTAGAGTGCTGTATCCATTTATCTTCAAATTGTCGACGTTGCCGCTCCTCCTGTCGCAATTCTTCCCTTATCAGATCAGTGTGATCCAGCAGTGATCTGAAGATGATTCGCACTGTCTCTGCCAATTTGATGTTTGGACGATGTCGATGTTTCACAACAAAAACATCCAAAACAAATATTCGGATTGCTGGTCGATCCAAGGCCCGTACTGAGACGACCTGCAATGCTGTGCAATCGGAGCACAGGCGACAAATTCTTGCCCAATTTGCATCAATATCTTTGCTAAATGCCATTTTGCCATTAACTGCAACCGCAGCAGAGGTTGATTATGAGATTAAGAGAAGAGACTTGTCAATCGATCAGCTGTTGGAGATCATCCAGGTACCCATTGACTATCAAGCAGAGGCTATATTTGCGCTACAATCTGATATGAAGGGAATATACTGCATATGCTGCATTGAAGCACAGCTTTGGCGCAGAGGGACTTCTCAGATGGTCAATACTACATCACTGGGAAGCTAGATCCTACCATCTTTGCTTATGACTGCGAATTCATTGACCCTACAACCAATGTCAAAGGTCCTGGGACATATAGCAGAGCTGTTGCAGCACTGTTTGATCATGACACGTCTCGAGCAGACCTCATATCAATTGAGGTACACTCCAGGCTGCCTCACCTGATGGATGCTTCGTCCGATTTCGTCACCGATGGTATCACAAATGATATTCGTTATGCCATGCTTTGTTCTTGTACCACTGAGATTGCTGCCTTCTATTTGCAGGTGACCGATCCACATACGATAACAAGCAGGTGGCGTTTTGACGCAGCCATCAATTTCCCAGGAAAACCAAGGATCAAGCCATACACAGGAAGCACGAGGTACATCATCAAGGATGGTTTGGTGCAGCAGCACATTGAGAAGTGGGACATTTCTACACTGGATGCCTTTGTCAGCATTTTCATACCAAGCTTTGGTGCACCGCCGGCCCCTCCTGTGGCAAGCTTGACAGAGCAGTCACAGATTGTGGCATGATTATGATGCTTGTAGATCAGTGTGCCTGGTTCAATCAGTGTTTGAGTACAGAATCATGCTAGAAATGCATGGCATGGAGAGCATCACATATGCATGTCCCAAATTGGCCGTGGTCTGCGGCCTTCTTGCATGAATGACACATATCTAGTGAGTATGTTGTAGTTGTGATTGTGCAGCTACCAAGAATTGGAGAGCATTGCAAGGGTTGTGTGGCAGCCCTGTGTCAGGCTACTAGCTCAACCAACATGGAACTCATCAGGTACAGGATAAGTCTTGAACATGTTCATAAAATTATTAAGTTGCGCATCAGCATGATTTTATTGTCTTGATATCTAATCTAATCCCTTACATCTTGTGCTCAGTCTGCCTTGAAGTCTGCCTTCCTCTTTCTCTCGATACAGCTTGTGGACACTACACCATTTAGCAATTGAATTGAAAACCCTCTAAAGGAATGATCTAAGCCAAAGCCATCTATATTCACAGACTGGGACAAAGCCCAACATGTCGTTCACAAAATTGCTGGGGATGCATCCGCATGCTGCTCTTTGCATATGGACAAATCACTGCAGCCGATGACCTCAATACATGCTTTGTATCATTTCATCGCCTTTGTGACATGCACGCATCACTGGAGACCTTATTTCCGCTTTAACAGACCCTTACATCAACTTCTGAGTCACAGCACATATGTTGGCAAAACCTATCACCCAAGAGAGCCTGTGTGGGCAACTCTTCCACACTCCACTACAGGCAATCACATTCCTCCCGGAGGAGACAGCCGCCCTTCATGACTCTCAAACAGTCAACGCTACTCTACTTGGAGGGCCCTGGCAGTGATGTACTGACAAGCCCCGCAGAGCTCTTCATGAGGGGGGTCACTACCTCCTGCTGGTGTCCATGCGGGTCCATGCTGCTGCGCACGTCTATGCTGTCGCGCATGCCCTCCCGGTGGCCCTCCTGGATGTGGGGCAGGGGCTGCAGCAAGTCTGTAGCAACGTCCGTGTCCCCAGTGAACGGTCGCATTCTAAGTACTTTCACGGGCGCTGAGTACGCATGCTCCAGGGGGTCTCTCATTGCCGCGTCGTTCGTTGACGTGCTGGCTGCTGCATTCTCCTTGTGGAAGCTGCAAAAAGCCAACAACATTGTCACGCAGTCAGTAAGCGCCCAGCCTGATAGGTGTAGAGCAGGCAGCAGCTGTGCCCAGGTGAAAAGGTTCGCTGCTCTAGTATCATTCAGTCATGCCACAGCGGTGCAGGCTGATGTGGCATCAGAGATGCTCTTACTAATGCTGAATGGATGAGCCTTCAAAGAGGGGATAATGTAATGCATGTATGAGATGAGAGTCACCCTGCGCCATTTCTAATGGACGAGTCCTTGTCGCTCTTCCTGAATCCGCGCTGCGACAGGTTGCTGCTGATCCGCCGCAGGAAGGAGCGCTTGCCACCCGAACCAGAGCTCCCACTGCGCAACACCCACACCCAAAAAATTAACTGTGCTCTCCAAACAAGAGAACCTTACATGCAGTGCCTTGCCAGCAGTCGACGTGGGTAACAAAGGGAGTCCAACAGAGGGCACAGTGTCCACACAAGAGTGTCTGAAACCATTGACTGGGGCATTCATGCATATGGAAACCTCAAGAAAACCTGTCAGAGGACTGCTGTGGCTTGCTGCCCTGCCAGAGATCTCTCAGGTCGGAGGCCACGGACTGCAGCAGCTCTGACTTGTTGGGCGCCGGCTTCTTGGATGACTTGAACTCCTCCATGCCGCCTGATTGCAGCTCGAGCATTGTGTTGCTGTTGCTCTTGCCCAACGTCGCCGCCAGGGCCCTATTCCTGCACAGTGTTCCAGACTCTATCTCAGACGCCAATCATCAGTCATCTCTACCCCCTCATTAGGCTCTAATTTTACTTGGGCTGCTTCAATTGCGAGTCCTGCCTGTCTGGCCAGACATGGTGGCAGTTGACATGTCTGGCCAGAGAATGGTCAGCGCTGTTCCTTGAATGAGGGGAATTCTCCTGAAATTTCTACTTGTGCAAGAAAACATTGAGAGACGGTAGAGGGTGCTTGTGACATGATGAGGTGTCTCGATGACTGATCCGTACGAATTAGGGTGCAAGACTGAGAGGCTGGATTATCAGGGCGCACCGCCAGGAGCTGTCGGCGACGGTGGAGTCCATTTCTGAGAGCAAAATGGCGGTGCCGCTTGGCTTGAGCAGGAAGGGGGCGGCCTTGGAGGTGCCGTGGACAGTGTAGAAGTCGCGCGTGGAGTTGACGCTGCCCATTGTGTACTGCCGCCCGCCGCGCACCGACAGGTCCCGCTCCGGCTCCACCGTCTGCCCTGCACGCGGTGTAGCCACCCCCAACCAGCCATCAGCAACCCTGGGCGATGATGCAGAATGAGGAGAAGTTTGGAATAGCTAGGTCTGCCAGGCAGGATGACAAATTGCAGCTTGTCTGCAGGTGCACCTTTCCTCTTGGCAGGACCAGTGTAAAATCCATTACATCAGTAACATTGCTCCACCAGACAGCCAGAGCAGGTGACACAGCACCAGTTGTTCTGATGCCCATCAAGAGATGGATGGCATGTTGGTAAACTGAGAAACATGCCAGCCCAGCTGCCACACAGTTTTGGACAATGCTGAGAGTCAGCCGCCAGCGCACCCTGGTCGTGCTTCTTGGCGAGCGCGCGGCCGTTGAGGCGGATGGCAATGTTGTGCAGCGAGCCCAGCTCCGTGTGCCGCCGCCGCTGCAGCCGCTTGGTCATCTCATTGCGCGCTCGCACGCTCTGCTCCAGGTCGGGGGCGTTCCCCTCCTTCGCTGACGTGTCTGCTGAGGCGTCCTGGCTCAGCCGCCGCATCGCGACCGCGCCGTGCACCAAGTAGCGCAGCCGCCGCAGCGATGCCACGTTGGCCGCTCCACGAACGACGTTGGGGTGCAGTAACTTCGGTACCAGCCCCCCGCGTGTCACCACCCACTCCGCCTGGCACACCTGTGCGCATGTGATGGGCCCATGACTAATCCATGACTAAACAACTTTTATTTCAGAGTGCTGCTCTGCCCAATAGACACTTTCCCACCGCAAGCATTTCACAGCTGGTGTACTGCTGACTCCGCTTCTATGGGAAATGACCTCCATTGTCGAACCACTTTATGGTCCAGGTGGCAATGATGGGATCTGTTGCAAGAGGTGACCGTAGGCTATGATGACATTCTTGTGTTTTCTGTGAAGGAGCCTGTCACAGCATGGAAAGTCACCTGCTTGGACGTGAGCCGCTTGGCAGGGTTATACTCCAGCATGCCCAGCAGCACCGCCTTTGCTGGCTCACTCAGGTCCTGCCACCTGCACAGCGCAAGTCATTCCTTGAAAAACAATAGACGGTAACAGAAATATCCTTATTACTTTGCGGTGTTCCTGCCACAGGCAAGGTGCATCTGCAGACAAGCTGCAGGTAAAGGCTGCCACATAATAGGGGTAATACAGGACTCGCCAGAACCAAGCAAGACACAATTGAATGTGAGCACGGTGCTCAGCATTCACATTGTCTGGTCACTCGCCACCCAGTAGCTGGACATGCACCTTAGGAGTCAACAACTGAAGGTGAAGGGGAGGGCTTGCCTGGCGTCCTGCAGCCCCGGGGAGTCCCTGATGTTGATGTTGCAGTAGGTGAGGTTCTCGCACTCCTTGATGTTGAAGGGCTTCCTGCCGACCAGCATGATGAACAGGACAATGCCCAGCGAGAACACATCCATCGCCGGCGTGTGGTCCTCATTCATTATGATCTCCGGCGCCACAAACCCAGGCGACCCCAGTGCACCTGCGCAGCAGCCCATATCAACTGATGTACAATCTACAAAGTTTCACATCCTGTGCTTTGGGAGTGGTAGGCTCAGCAGAGCCGCCGTGCCAGCAGTCTTGCGTAAAGTCCACTGCAATCAAACTCTACTGCACTCAGATTGTAAATTGATGTGCCGCAAGCCGGAGCAAGTCATCCGGAATGCAATAAATTTGAAAGCAATGTGTGTACCTTGAATGTGCTCGTCTTTATTGTACAGAGTTGCCATGCCCAGATCAATGAACTTCACAATTGGTGGCACCCCCTTGGCGGCAGCTTGGGTCGCAGTGTCCTTGAACACAATGTTCTCAGCCTTGATGTCCCTGTGGATCAGGCCGTACTGGTGCATGCAAGCCAGCGCCTCTGCCAGCTGTGGCCACATCACACCACCACTCTTCAGTCTACTGTTTTGCCACCAAAAAGATCGTCTCCAAATCTTCAAGCAGCTGCCTCGTGACAATCGACAGTAAAAGCCCTTCCTCGTGCAGTAATGTTGGGCACTGCCATGTTCTGGCTTGATGCATCTTGCATGAGCATGCCAGTATCAGGAAAGGTGCTAACAGCCTGGTCAAGAAACCATAGGCAAGGCTAAATGTGATCAAAATGCAGAGTATGTGCTGACCTGCACAAAGAGGATGGCTGCCTGCTGCTCAGAGTAGTGCTGACCGGCCATCTCTTCCAGATTGTCCAGCAGATGGCCGCCTCGCAGCCACTCCATGATGATCACCATCTGCTTCTCATTCTCCACCACATCCTTGCACTCCACTATGTTGGGATGGTCCAGCAACTGCAGGAACTCTGCTTCCCTGCCACCCACAGATGCCACGTTAAGTGTGTCTGCACAACAACGGGAGAAAATTGTACAGGATATTGCATGCAAGAAAACATTATCGGCATGTTTCCCTTCCACCATGAAAAACTGTGCATCGAGGCAAGCATTGCTTCACCTCCTCATAATGGCCAGGTGCTCTGGGTCCTGAAGCATCTCCGGGCTTCTCAGGAACACCACTTTGAGCGCGGAATAGACATTGGGGTCCTTCTTGCTCTGTCCAAGGGCAACCTGAGCAAATAGAGCTTTCTTCACCCTCATGTTTCAACATGATGACATGCAAGAAGAATGCCCATTCACTGCATCCCACCTGGGAGAAGGCCCCCTCCCCCAGATCCATGATGAAGTCATAGTCCCTCCGAACTGGGTGGTCTGCCCATTGCTGCCATTCTGGTACATTTGCTTCTCCAGATATGACACAATTGAAGCACATTGTGCAGCTCTCCCGTCCCCACTCAGAGAGCGTGATTGTGCTCTCACATCAAGGTTCCACTCCGAGAATGAAACACATCCTGCAAATATTGCGGACAGATACCTTAGATAAAAGGACCCCTTTCGCTGATCTCTGTTGGCAGACTAAATGTCCTTCTGAAACGAAATATTTACAGTAAATGAACTGGAACGAACAGTGCTGCCTGTCTGAAATGAGAACCGTAGCAAAAGCTCTGGGAAGCTCTTAGAAATATATTCGGTAACTTGGAGCGACTTAATTTGGGAGAAAAATCCGTCCTAGTTCAGCGATGCCTAGCTAGGAGCTTGTCACCTGCGCGCTTTGCCGTCCACACTGCACAACAGCAAAAGCGCACTTTCGATAGATTCTATTTATTGATCTGCTGCAGCGGTTTTACTATCCTTATACACCGAACGGGGGTCGCTTTCGGGACGATGGCTTTTTGGGCTGCATACGTAGAGAAATTCAAATGACTTTTCGGGATTAACTTTCTTTTCTTATGCTCTCACGTGCAAGCCAACTAGATGATATCTGGATGTGATAGATCCATGTGATCGGGGATGGGACCCAACAAGCTCGATCGGGGCAGCTAGGGCTGGTTGCCTATTCTGGCCGCCTCCATTGAAACCTAAATTTGAAGGAATTTGAAACGTGGGGCACGCATAGGAGATCCCTTCGTCTCCAACCTTCTCATCAGATTAGATCCAAAGATGCAAAAATACAAGTAAATACGTGCTTTTTGTAACAATTCGTGTCTCTTTCCTGACATCAAAGTACTTTTTGGTGGTTCCAGATCCGAAGTCCAAAAACCATGTTCGTGTTTAGTGGCAGTCTCAAGCCTGCAACATGTAAAGATATTTTACCTACCCAGCATAGCTGCTTTTTGAAAAAAAATGTCCGATTAAATCATGGCAATTATAATTTCAATTACCGCTCTCGGAATTTCTCTTCGCGCCTCGATCGGCGCTCCAAATTAGCTTGCAAAGTCACGATGGCTGCATCTCAGGTAATCGTGTGTATCACAGATTATAACACATGTAATTCTGTTCGCATACGGACCCCAATTTGCCCGCAAAGTTGCCTGCACACAGATCGTCAAGGGTACCCTGAAAGCTTTATAAGCATAATGTACTGCGCAAATGCAGGTGCAGCTCCTCAATCCTGTCGCAACCGACAGGCTCGGCCAATTGCCACCTCTTGTGTATTGCCCAGGTGGGACATCCCTTCCTTCAAAGGCGAGATTTTTGGGTCTAGCTTGATTGCATGCTATTGAAATTCATCGAAATTTTTGCGCTACAGGAAGTGATGGGACGGGTAATTCAATCGCTCCCCAGCTCCCAGGACTCACAGCAGCCGGATTTGACGTCAGGTGAGCTCCAAGGCAATGCATGCAGCAAAAACGCACATGCGGCAATCTATCAAGTCATATCATGCCATCTCCGGCGTGATAGTAAATTTCATGAAAACATGCAGGTGCCTGTACATACCACCGTCAGACAGATCGGATTGGAATGAGCTGACCAGGCAGGTGGTGGCACTGCTTCGTCGCTTGGTCCAGGAATCATCTGTCAGCACTCAGGTGCTGCCCCCTTCCATGCATTTTTAATCGCCAGCCAGGAGCCGCCTTTTCAATTTCCTGCCAGAACTGACTGGTCCTTCATCCGTAGGGCAGCTTTCAATAGTGAACATGCGTCGAGCCGAGAGATCACTTCAATCGGAACTCTCAGTCGGCAACATGGATCACCATGACTTGAAGCATTTGTGACAGCCTTGCTAATATTCTCCACATTCACTCGACAGGTGACGTTGGTGGCGGAGTCTTATGGGGGCTGCCTGGGACTGCGAGTGGCGGTGGCTGCCCCAGAGCTCATACAGCGCCTGGTGCTGGTCAACCCAGCCACCAGCTTCTCACGCGCCCTGTCTGGCCTGCCCGCCATCATCGCCAGCACCAACCTGCTCTCCCTCTTCCCTGAGCCCCTTTACCAGGTCTGCTGGCCTTGTGTGGTTACATAAAAAAGCACAGCCGCATGCTGGATGCATGATGTTTGGCTTTCTTTTCATCAAGCATCTGTGGGAATGCTAGGATGTGCTGTCAGGCCTAATGAGGGCGGTGGTGGTTTCTAGTGCTGTGGTCTCCGGACGTTCCCTCAAATGCTGGACTCATCGTATCTTGTCTTGTGCAGGTAGCTCAGGCTGTGCTGGTGCCACTGCTGGTCGACAAGGACAATGTTGGGCCGACAGGCGTCAAAGCCATCCAGTCAATGATGGTGATGCAGCCCACACCGGACTTTCAGGTGCGTCTTCTTGCTGCTTCCCTTCATCCTGTCAGCAGACACCCCTTGCCTTTCGCTCTTTTCTATCTTGCAATAAGCTTGAGAATTCTCTGTGGGGTGCGCAGCCAGAGAATGGTTTTGTAAATGTGGAGGAGCAGAAAAAGAATCAGCGGCGGCGGACAGCGCTGCCTGGCCCTCAGCTGTATGAGCCGGCGGTCACTGCCAGCTGGCGCCTGCGCATGCTCAGAAAAGGGAACGTCCCCGATGCAGACCTCATGCGCATCAGGCGCGCCCCTTGCCCTCTCAAATTATCCATGCCCTGTGAATCAACAATCCTGGCGCCTGCGAGGAAGTGCATGCCAGCTTGCCTCTCTCTTGCTGCGCAATTCCATGAAATCTGGAGGTGCACTGCATGTCCATCGTTTCGACCGCCAGAACAATTACGGTAATGCAGACTATGCCTATGATTGGCTTTCCTGACCTGCCAATTAGAACATGTGTCCAGTGGTGAAAGGTTCTACAATGTCTGGTGCAGGGCGCCGACGCTAATAGTGGCCAGTGCAGCCGACCGACTGCTGCCATCGCTTGAGGAGTCAGCACGGCTGGTGGGCAAAATACCAGATGCGCGCAGAGTGGTCCTGCCCAACTCCGGGCACACAGCGCTGCTGGAGTCTGGCATCAGCCTGGCTGAGATCATGGGCCGGACCGGCTTCCTCCCCGAGGTGAGTTCCCTGTTCATTCTGATTGCGATCACAAGCCAATCTGCTTCCATGCATGTTGGTGGCACACACTTGTACCGTGAGAGACTGCATCCCGTTTTTCATGTCGCTGTTGCTTGCGCATGCCCATTACTGTAAAAAATCTTGATTTTAATCAGTTTGATTGGGTCCTTGCAGGAAGCACAACTTCGGGAAGCACCAGTGACAGCGTTGAACGGCGCTGCGGCATCTGCAGCCGCCCCAAGCAATTTCAAGGACGATGCTGACGCTTTTGACACGACAGTGGATGTCTTCTCGGGAAGGCTCAGCAGCAATGGCGCACAAACAAGCAATGGCAATTCCCTGGTAGCAGAGAGCGCCTCCCCTGCGGCACTTACAGCAGTCCTACAAGTCGGTGTCGGCACCACTGGCTTGGCGAGCAGCATGAGCGCTGAGAGCAGCAGCACGAGTGCTGCACCTGAACAGAATGGCAGTTTGAATGGGCGTTCAAATGGAGCATTGCTGAACGGAGCCCCAGCCAATGGGGCGTCAGCCAATGGAGCGGGGCCAAGTCAGCGGCCTAGTCCGCAGTCGCAACAGAAGGGCACTGTTTGGGGTCAGGGTGCAGCGACAGCGGCAGCTCCCAAGAAGGACAGAATTGATGAGAACTATGAACAGGCCCTGCGGCTGCTGAGCCCTCTCAGGTAAGCCAAAGCTTTCCTGTATTCCCGTGATGGTGTAGGACTTCCCTGCATTTTCAGGCTACCCCTGTCCACTCTACCAAGCAGAGAAGTTTGTACTGGTTTTTTATGAGTTGCTGGCTTGCGCAGGAGCCTTGTGGCGCCAGTTGTGAGGGGGGCAGAGAATATTCCAGACGGGGTGGTCTCAGATCGCGCATGCCTATTTGTGGGCAACCACACGCTGTTCGGCCTTTACGACCTTCCATTCCTCATGCAAGAGCTGTATCTGCGAGGGCACAAGGTGTGCAGCTACCTCTTGCTAGTCTCCCTACACCCCATCCGCATCTCCTCTTAGAGTCTACTGTCTTCCATGAGTGTGTCACAAGCAACTTGCTGCTGAACTGCATGCCAGAGGCCCTGTACTAGCCCTTTTGTAAAGGAAGCCTTGCAGCTCAGGGTGACACACATGGGCTTGATATTGGACCCTGTTTGCAGGTGAGGGGCCTGGCGCATCGGGGGCACTGGAATGGGCCCACAGGGCCATTCTTTGAGCGGTTTGGGGCGGTGCCGGCGTCTGCGCGCGCCGCCTACAAGCTGCTTAAGCAGGGCGAGTCTGTGCTGCTCTTCCCTGGAGGCGGCCGAGAGGTAGGTCCTTAGTGAATCTTCAATTAGGAGCGCGAAGAGCATGGTGATGTCAACTCTGTGCATTATCCAGATGTCTGTAAGCTTCTAGCAAATACATAGGTGTTACATACATTGAGAAAAGGCCTAGGCCGGCTTGGAAGCAAAAGGAGGCCAGAGATGTGTTGACAAAGTTTTTACAGCGTGCTGTGTTGCCCCAGTGAGCGGTGGTGATTTGGCAGGTGAACAAGCTGAAGGGTCAGGAGTACCAGCTGCAGTGGAAGGAGCAGCCGGACTTTGTGCGCATGGCTGCCAAGCTCAACGCCATCATCATCCCCTTTGCTGCTGTAGGCGGTGAGCCTCAATCCCCGTCAACTTGCCATGACCTGTGAAGCTTGCGGCGTGGCTCTGTAGCATACCATGTGATGCTAATAAAGATGATTTAAAATTAAACAAGCTCCAGCCTTGTGAGGCAGGCAAGCGTGACAATGGCAATGCAAGCCCTGTCATTACATGACGGCGGAAATATTGCCTGGAAAACCGACGCTGTTTCCTCGTCTTCTTTCTTTGTTACTCGTTTCCTGAAGATGCGAGGATTGAGTCGAGTCCAATAATCCATGACAAGGCTCGAATTCTCATCTTGCAGGGGATGATGCCTTCGACCTGGCGATGGACACACGGGAGGTGTTGGCAGACTCCATAATGGGGCCGCTCGCGCGCGGTGCACTAGAGAGAGTGGCTCCCGGGCTGGACCCAGAAGAGGCGGTTCCCCCCATTACCAAAGGGCTCTTTGGCCTGCCCAGCCCTGTAGCGGTGCCCAAGCTGGAACGCCTCTACTTCAGGTGCCGCCATCCCTGCCTCACCCTCTTGCATGTCGTCGAAATGCAGCACCCTGTACTCGACCTGACAAGCCGTTTGTTTTACCTGCAAGGCCATCGCACCTCCTCATCATTCTCTGAGGTTGATCTGCCAGGCTGGCTTTCCAACTGTCTGCAGGGGACTCTGAATGAATTTGATGTAGAGGCCCCTGCTGTCTATTATCAGGGTAGGAAGCAGGGGCAGCGCCCATCAGAGGGTGTTAAGAGGAGAAGTGGTCATTGCATGTGCTATTCGCCGCGGTGCAGGTTCATGGCGCCGATAGACCCCAACGGCGAGATGTGCTCGATCGACGACGAGGCCGCATGCATGTCGGCCTATGAGAAGGTGCGTGGCAGCGTGGAGGCAGGCATCCAGCAGCTGCTGGCTGAGCGCGAAGTGGACCCGGAGAGGGACCTCGGCCCGCGCCTGCTTGGCCAGGCCGCGCGCTTCCTTCCCGCCTTCGAGCTTCTGTCCCGCGGCGGCCGCTGAGATGCATTGGACTGTATCGCCCGTGCTGCATAACCATGTTGAGTCCGCCCGATCTAGAGGAGCACCCGAAAATGTGGGCCCAATCAACTTATGGCCTGCCCAAATATCAATCGAGCTGCAGAGACAGGGGCTGGGGAGCTTGAAACAACAGCAAATTCATAGATTGAAGATTAGAGACTAGTGATTGTCCTAGCAAGTGCCTATGTGGCGACCACTCTATCATGTACAATTGTCACCTGTCCACTGGCGGCAGGTGAGATGCCGTGAAATGTGGCGCATCCTGCGCAGTGAGAATAACTGTCACTTGCATCTGGGCGATGCCGGCCGCAAAGATGCCTTGGACTGCGGCGCATGCTGCATGATGTGTAGAAAATCTTTGGAATTACTAGGTAGAAGACTGCTTCTTAGATGCAATTCTTATTGAACCCATGCCAAGCCTTGTCTTGGGCAGAGGGACTCAGCTGCTCTGCGAAGCTCCAACTTTTGGCTCAGGCAGCTTGCTAGGAGTACTGCAGGCGGCTGCACTGGCAAATGAAGTCACTGGTGGGCCCCCAGTGTGTGGGGTAGTTTGGCCAAGCCATTTGGAAGGTAGTACTGTAGTTGTTGCTGCGCCAGTACATCTGCACGAAGCATCCAGGTCGACTAGTAATCACATCAAAGGGGTTGCAGGAGTTGTCTGGAAGGTGAGAGTGGAGTTTGTGCATGACATCAGCACATGTGTGATGACGTCAGCTACATGTGGCTCAAAACACGGTCGTCTCCGGAGGTGTGTTAAAGCAAAGTCGGTGAAGGTTGTCTAGATGGATCTTGCTAAGTTCAAATGGGAGCCCGGTGTGACGCCATTGTCCACGCACCAATCCTTGACAACATGTGTTGCAATTTACCTCTTCACAATAACAGCTCTGAAACTAGCCATTCGTCAACCTGTGAAAGTGCCAACCTGGCTTGCTGCAGTGCACAATTTCATTCTCTGTATTGGATCCCTCATTATGTTTATCGGAACGGCGTACGAAAGCCTGCAGGTACATCTACCTCCATGCAAAACGCAGCTCAGATTTCCTACCTTGTCGATGTGCTTGCGATTACGGTTAATCTCTTGAATATACTCATGATTTCTTGATTGGGTAGGACACATTGCCGAATTCTTTCATCAACTATTACTTCACTGGATCACACCTCTGATCTTCAACCCATCAACCCCCAAACCAGAGTTCCCCTAATTTTTCGAACTCTTCATGTTCTGCAGGTTGCCTATGATAAAAACTCTGTCAGATGGTTGTTCTGCCTGCAGCCTGGCACTCCCATGAAGGTGCAGAACGCTGTCCCTCTGCTTATGAAATACTTGATGTTCCCGGAGAATCTCTGCCCATGATATCTCACCAAATGACATTCCAATCACATGATGTTTGCTGCAGGGAGCCCTATACTTCTGGAGCTATGCCTACTACCTTTCAAAGTACTATGAATTCCTGGATACTGTTCTGCTGGCGCTGAAGGTACCTATTGCGCGGTGTCTGGCAACTAATTGTTATTAACGCTTGCGCAGGCTCTGCTGACGTACGAGACACAACACATTAGTGGTTGAACACCCAAGGGAATTGCAAAACTTGCTGTTCTGCTGCAGGCCAAACCTTTGACATTTCTGCATGTCTTCCATCACACCATTGTGGTGGTCATGGCATATCTGTGGCTGGACGCCGCACAGTCACTGCAGCAGATAGCCTTGCTCACAAACACAGGCGTCCATGTCCTGATGTACTACTATTACTTCATGTGCACAATTAAACGGCCTCCAAGGTGGAAAAAGCTGGTGACACAGAGCCAGATCGTTCAGTTTGTATTCAGGTGAGCCTCCAATTCCTGATGGATCTGCCTTGAACAAATGGAAACTGGAGACTGAATCTGATTGTTTGCTTCTTCATCTGTGCAGCAGCTCTCCATTACATGATGAGCTTGTCTGTGCTTTGCAGTTTTGCTGCATCCGTCCCATTCTGGTGGATGCATGCAACCTCGGAGGGCTGCTCAGGCTTGGGGGCTATGGTTTTCAATGCCGCCTTCAACCTTCTGCTGCTTCTCCTGTTTGCCAATTTCCATAGGAAAAGCTACGCTGCAAAGAAGAGAGCTTGAGTATTGCTTTCACTTCTCGCTGGCATAGAGTGGCTCAAACTGATGATTGAACATTAGCTTCTGCCGTAGATGAGAATTTGCCCAAATCCGCAATCTGCACATGAAGGTCCCTTAAGCTTGACAATGTTGGTGGGGCTTCACTTTCCAGGTGCAGCGTGTGTTAATATATTGCTGTGTGACTCTCGCATGAGAGCGGAATTCCATGTATCGAAGCATGCATTGAAGCCGAGAGCAGCTTGCCCGAGCCCAAGGTTCGTCAAGTGATGGCGCCCTTATGAGACGCAAGGCATCCCAGTTAAGGTTGCAAGGTTTCTTGGAACACCGCACTATGGGGACTGGCAGAAGAATTATTTAGAATAGACTCAGACAATATCGAATGTAGTTCTTTCTGAGAACATTCAGAGAGGCTAACTCAGAAATATCTGAGAATTACCTGGAACTCAGAAAAATCTCGAAAGTGGTAACAAACCCTAGTAATTTATCAGAATGAATCTAATGTAGCCCAAGAGGGATGTCACAGGATGGGCAGACCTAAGTGTAGATTGAACTTCATTTCACTCTTGGGGTACAAGCAAGGCTGCAGCATATGCATGTGACAGGGTCTGGTAGTGATTGCCGCAGCAGCTGGACATCTGAGTACTGTACTTAGTACAGTGTACTAGTTGCACTGGGGGGCATACTCATAAAATTGACAATATCTATGGCAAGCTATCAGACGAATACTCTTCAGCCTTGGATTTGGATGCTCCACCACAGCAACTGGCTCAGCTGCAAAATATTGCGCTGGCCACAGGGACCCGAATTCTCGCTCCTGCCACGCCTCTGCTCTCAAGGCAGGCACCTCCAGCATTGAAGGCATGCATTCCCTCATCTGCAGCTATGTTCAAAACGTTGCGGAAGCATTTGCAGTCAACAAGCGCCACATCAGCTGTACTCAATGTACCATCCTCTGCCAGTTGCCAAGGGACACTTGGCAAGCTGACCTTCGAGTACTGCTTGGCCACCCCAAATAGCTATAGCTTCCATTTTGGAACGGGAACATTCTTTGAAGTTTGGCACCGATACAGCTTAACCTCACCTGTGTTTGAGGTCTCCATAGAATTCAATGGCCATTACACTTGTCCACATTCTGGCATAGCATGCGCCTGCCAGGTTAATAGGTTATTGTGCCATGCAAATGCAATGACAGATTCCTGCCAAGGTACAGCCGAACAATAGATCGCATCAAGATACCCTGATCATTTAATAAGAAGGCGGCTTCGGGCCGGTAGTGTCGTGACTAGCAGCAGCTCGTCAATTCAAGGAGCTTCTCATGTCTTCCTGTACATTGCACAAGTGGCTATAGCCATATCTCCAGCGGTGCTCCCTACGATTCCTAGCGACATCTTCCGATCAGACATCTTCCGATCAGGGATAGCACACGGCAGCCTGCAGGCTGGAAGACACATTGACCAAAACTTAAGAGTCGTACAGAGCGGCACCAAGTTATGCAGTGGCCATCAGCACCCGCACATCTTTGTAAGAGCGCAGCCAACATCTGGTCTGCACCTCAAAGCAAAGTAGACCTAGGAAGTCTGTCCCAAGCCAGTCTTGCTCCAACCTTGCTAGCATCTGCGGACATTGCTGAATTGATCATGTGGTCATAGGCACACACACCTATAATGGCGCCCAAGCACTCGCCGTGGAGGGACAAGGCATTTGAATATGTGTAGCAATATAACTAGGTGAAGAAGAACTGCTTGACATCGTGTTGGCCGAAAGGCGTGCCGCAGCCGGGGCACTTGCGGTTGCGCGACTCAAGGTTCTTGCGGATGCAGTGCGAGCAGAAAATGTGCCAGCACTTCGTAATGATCACGTCCTTCTGGCGCTCGTGGCACACGTTGCAGCGCAGCTGCGTGCGCATATATTCCAACTCCTCTGCGTCGCCGCCGCCGCCGCCGCTGCTACTCTTCCGAAGCCTCTCCACCTTGCTGTTTGCCACCTGTTCACAGCGCACCGCAAATTTCACTGATCCGTCCTGCTCCCACTCAATGACATCATCATTTCCAAGTGCAGCAAACTTCAAAGCCCCTCTGAACTCATCGCTGCACAAGAAATTTGCACACGAGCAATTTACCTCCAAATTTCTTCCCATCCCTTCCCCATTGTGGATCTCTCAGCCCCTCAATTCTTACACCGCGTCATCCACTAATCGCCATCACACTGACAGCTTGACGGAGACCTACTGACAATCACCCCAAACCAGCTAGAGTTATGGAAAGGGATCGCAGCGCACCTTGATGTCTTCCTCCAGGCGCTGGCGCTTGACGCGCTCGCGGGCCAGGCAGTCGGCTTCCTCGTCGGCGGCGCGCTTGCGGTCCGAGGCGGCCTTCTGCGCGGCCTCAAGCGCGGCCTCGCGGCTGCGCAGCGCCTCTGTCGCCTCGCGAGCCTCCCTCGCCGCTCCCTCCAGCTGCACCGCCAACCCGTGCGACCGCTCCCGCAGCGCCGCCGCCTCCTCTATGCTCGCCTGGTGCGAAAAACAAAAGAGTTGGGGATAATTTCCTGCGTTCCACAACTTCACATGCGGGCAAATTGCAGAGAAGCCAAATACTGCGTCCCCCAATCAATATCTGTGGGTCTGTCCAACATCACATGTGGCAAAAAGTGGCCAATTTTACACTTTCGCAAGCAGCGACAGTAGAATGGCCATTCACAGAGTCCAAGCATAAGTGAAACTATGGATGAAAAAGCATATATCAGATGCCTTTGCTCGACTTTTACATGCAATGTAGGAAGACAGCATTGCCCATGGTTTATACAGACACCCTTTGCGCACCTGCAGCTTGGTGTGGAGGTCGTTGACGCGCTCCTGCAGCATGGCGGCGCTCTGCTCGGCTCGCAGCCGCGCGGCTGCGGCCGCGGCCTGCTCCTGCTTGTGCGCGGCGGCCGTGTGGCCGCTCTTGATGCGCTCGGTGACCAGCTGGTTGCTGACCTCGTCTCGCTCCGTCATCTGCTGCAGCAGCCGCTGGTTCTGCTTCTGCATCTCCTCAAACGCGTCGCTGATCACCTCTATCTCCTGCACGTACGCCCCGCTCGTCTCCTGCGCGCACAAGCATTTCAGCGTTGGCACACATTCTGCCAGTCTGCTGTTGCTTTGGCAAGGTAGCAAAACACTCACAAACAGACACCGGTGCAGTTCAGGCCTGGCCTTTCCCTGCAGGTGTTCTGTGGCAAGAAACGAGAAGGCAGATAGGGCACCTTGGCAGAAGCCAGCTCGGACTGCAGCTCTGCAGCCTGCCGCTCCAGTTTGGTGATCTCCAGCCGGAGCCCATCATTGTCCTTCCTGAGAGCATCCGCCTCCTGCTTTGCCTTCACCTGGACACCCACACATCACCTTGATGACATCCGGCTATTAGCCATAAGGCAATACGCACCTTAGGTATACAAAGCTTGCCTAAGAAACATGACCTCAGCACACAGCGGCCATAAAAAAAAGGTACCTCGGAGTGCTTTGAGGCGTCCAGGGCTGCACGGTGCTGGGGGCCACTCAGGCGGCTCTGCAGGTTGTCGACCTGGGCTTCCAGGCGCGCCTCCGACGCGCGGATGTCCAAGATCTCTCGCGGGTCCTCGCTGCAGTTGAGCAGCACCTCCACAAACACCTGCAGGTTCTGCGCCTTGACCTGGGGCGCACACCAAGCAGTAGGATTAGTCATAGTGGTAGAATTTGTCATAGTAATATGATTAGGCATCCTTCAGCACGGTAGGGAGATGGGCCGGATATCAGGAGTACAAGGGCGCAGTGTGATGCTCGGAACATGCTCGATCCCATCTTGGGCTCAATGATCACCTCCCTTGGCATGTGGGGCACAATTGACCAAGCTCAGGCTCACCTTGGCTTCTTCTTCTGAGGTGCGCGCCTCTGCTATGTGCCCGTCCTTCTCAGCTAGTCTCTGCTGCAGATGCTCCACCTCGATCTCTTTGGCCTGTAGGGTGACAATGGCGCAATGTCTCATCACTCACCCAGCGCATTGCAATAGGAATAATTAAAGTATGCCAGGACAATCAAGCTCGTGCAACTGAGGGTTTTCGTGACAGTGGCACTGCAATTGAGAGCATAAATGCGCACAATTACCTTGAGAGCAGTGAGGAGGGATTGGGCCTCCTGTCGCGCCAACGCTGCTCGATCCGCGGCAGCCTTGTGCTGGGCCACATTTGCCTGGAGCACCTTCTTCTCCTTCTGCAGGGCCTCCACATGCTGCTGCAGCTCTGCCAGCGTCCTGGTCTGGCCCATCCGATGCTGCATTGACACAAGTCACAAAAATTCACACCAGGACAAACAGAAGTCAGTAAAATCTCAAGAGAGCCATGCAAGTGACCACGCAAGCAATCAAGCAACCATGCAAGAGACCAAATATAATTTCCAACCCCATGTGCAACTTTCGAGTGGAGCTCAGCCGATGCAGCATGTGGACATTGGTGAGTGTGGAGAGGGGCATTGGAAAACAATCGCACCCTCTCGACTTGCCACTTGAGGTCTGCATCGTCAGAAGCCGCCCGAGCGCGCTGCAGTTCCTTCTCAAGGTCCTGCTCGCGCTTGTTTGCCAGTGCCAGCATGCGCATTGCATGCTCCCCCTGCTTCACCTGCAAGGTCAACCGCTTCCTCTTCAGCCACTTCTTGCACACGACAGAGCAAAGGTGTGTCATTGCTTACACACTCACTCTTACTTTGGAATCGTACTATATACCTGGAGCTCCTGGCTTTGCTGCCTGCTCTGCAAGACAGCACGTTCCTGCTGCAGTGTGCTGATGAGCAGCCTCTGCCTCTCTGCGTCCTCCCTGGCAGCATGTATCTCTCGCTGGGCCTGCTGATACAGCTGTGACTCGGGCACAAAGGAGCCCTTTGCAATGGACTCTTGCATGCCCCTTACTTCCCTGCAGGCCACATTTGCACAGTCCTCAGCAGCGTTGCAGCCAACATGCATTTACATAGAGAGCCCCCAGACATAAATTCGATCCAGAGCAAATCTTTGCCGTCAGATGCACTTGCTTTGCCATAAATTAAATCACTCACCGCTGCAGCTTCAGGTTGGATTCTTTCTCCGCGTCTAGCTCAGCCTCTCGCTTCTCGAGCAGCTTCCTGTTTTCTTCTGCGTCCAGGGCTGCTGCTGCATTGTTGTCATTAGGGTGTAATGCAGAGGCCTCCTGCTTCACCTCCGGCTTGCATGGCAGTGGAGGGCCGTCCGCAACACTGCACACAGTGAATGACAGTCACAATTGGAAGCGTGTCCACAGCGCATGTGTAAGAACAGCATTGCCTGAGATTTTCACTTATGAGACATGACCCGACTGCTCTTTAGAGGGCGCAAGCCACTGTGGGACATGCAGCATGATGGGAAACAATAATCCAGCAGGATAACTTTGAGGAGGCACACTTGTTTGTCCGAGCAAGCAGCAGCTTGCGTTGCGTGGCGGCGACCTCTTCGCTCTTGTCAGCCAGCTCATTGGTGAGATCCCTGATGGTGACCTCATCCTTCATGCGCTGGTCTTCAAGGGTTCGCTGCTGCTCGTCCAAGGCCCTGTTGATGGCCTTCTGCGCGTCGAGCTCCCTTCGACCAGCTGCTGCCTCTGAAAGAGCACGCTTCACCTGTTCATGCGGCAAGCAACAGGTAAGAGGGAGTGCCCAGATTAACAGGGTCCTCCTCTATGGGACGCATAACCAACCATGCTGTTTCAAGGTCTGCTCGAGAACATGACAATGAGAAGAACCAACAGACTGCAAGTAGCATGCATGTAGAGGCTTTTGTTGTTTATGGATCAAATCGACTGTTGCATACCTCATCTTGAAGTGCCACTTCTGCATCCTTTCCAAGACGGCTGGCAAGGTCAGCGACACGCTGCTCCTGCTGGGACTGCAGGTCTAGCAAGCGCGCCAGGCATGCCTTCGTTGATTCTGATCTGCGCAGGAGGGCCGTCTCGACTTCTGTGGCATCCTCTGTCAGCTCTTTGCTCTTGGCTGCCACTGCTTTGGATGCTGCGCTGTGAGACCACACGAGGCGCTGGAGGAATGGGTCACTGATGGTTTGGGCACCCTTTCCTGGAGAACTGCCATTGCTTGTGAGGTGATCCTGGCCAGAGTGCGATGGTGCCTCGCTGGTGTCCTCCTCGAGGGCTGTGCGCTTTGTCAGGAACAGGATGTCATCATTGAGCTGCGTCCAGAGGCGGTCCACGCAGGACAGTGTCTGCTCATAGTCGATCTGCTTGTTGTCCATCTGGGACACCTTGGCCTCGAGGGCAGCGATTTCTTTTCTTTGCACTTCCAGCTGAGCCGAGAGTTTGCCGTTCTGGTAGGTGAGCATCTGAATTCGCTGTCCATCTGGCTTCTCTGCCTCTGGCAGGCCACTGCCTCTGGCTTGGAGCATTATGGTGCTTCCAGTCTGTCGCTACACGACTACAATTGCAGCTGTGCTAATGATCATCGTCAGGGGACTTGCATTCGCCGGACCAAACAGCTGGCAGTATTTGCAACGCATGTGATCATGTCAGAGAAGGCTGAAAGGCCAGCTCACTTTCAGCACATGAGTTGCACCTTAATGAACTCATGTCACACTATACAATACATTGATACGCAGTTTGATAACGTGTTGACAACTGACGGCAAGGTCAGCCAATAGGAATTGATCCCTTCTTAGTGCAACGATTAGAAGAACACAATCCTGCGTGATGCGATGCTGTGTATGCAATGATTCTTCTTGCTGAGTTTATATAACAGTTGCTTGCTGGATCATTTGTACTTCTGACGGTCTGCACGCCTTCATGTCTCTTTTCAGAGCGGGGGGTCCCTTGTCAGTCTCGTGATCAGATTCCATCTTGCAATGTTTCCTTCCAGTAATTCGACTTTAAATCACATTAGAAAGTAGTGGTGGGTTAAGGTCGTAGTGATGGACGCTGCAAACATCCCCAACGTCGGGCCTTTCAGACCAATCCGTGCAGCCATCAGCAGTACATGTGAACAGCTGGGCACCAGATGGCAGTGTCTTTCCAAAGATGTCGATCATCATAGACGTGAGATTCATGCAAATGCTTCCAATTTCTTTTCAAAGGCTGGGGACCACTTGAGACGGGTGCAGGATTCCCAACAGCGTCAGCAAGCACTGGCAGGCATGGCTGTGAGTGTCACTGCCCTCTTTATGTCTCATTGACCATGAATGATGGCTAAGCACGCTTCTTGCAACAGCAAAGGAGCAATTGGCTATTTGTCACTCAGCTGAGATGGTCTACTTAGCCAATGACTGTCCCTGTGAAGACCTTTGCAACCTCCTAGACAGATATCTGTACCTAAATGCACGTCCTGGTCTTCTTTGCAGTCCCTTTCTTTGGGAGCAGCGACCAGCACGTACAGACCGCAGCCCATCTGTGATCTGGCTTACAACCCAGAGGAGATCAAGGCCCGGCTGTCAGGAGTTCCAGTATACACAGTGGCAAACAAGCAGAATGAGTTCGTACTTGTGGCTGGCGAGGTACTTGTCTGAATCCCTTAATGCCTGACTTCTGTGAGCAGAAGCATTGAGAGTGTTGGCGAGGCCAGCATGCACAGCCACTAGACATTGAGTAACATCATGCTGGGTCTTGCGCAGAGCGGTGGTGAGGTCAGACAGCTTGGGCTGATCTTCTTCTCAGAGGCTGATGCACATGCACTGGTGCAGAAGGTGCGACTGACTTGTTCTTGTTGCTCAGTGTTGTGCCTGAATGCTGGCACATGCCGACAAAGTGAAATCGCATTTGCAGGTCATGGAGCAGAACCCCAAGCTTGCCAAGCAGTCGCGCGTCCTGAAGGTCTCCATGGATGCAATCTATGACTTTGCCATCACGAAAGAGAAGGACAAGAGGGCTGCAGGGGTCACCTTCCGATTCATGCCAGACGCCAAAGAGGTCCAGAGCGCGCTGGAGGTAGAAGCCTGCACACCCTACCTTCTGCCTCACAGCAAGCATTGTCGGGCCCACATCGTGTTGGTGATGCTTGATCAGAAGCAATATTTGCTCATGTATGGCTGAGGAAGCAAGACATGATGAGGTGCTGTGAATGCACAGATGTACAAGGAGGCCGGAGTCCCATCCACAAGCTTCACAGGCGTGCCAGTCTTCCAGGCGCAGGGGCTGACAGTGAAAACGGAGAAGTCGCGCTACACGCCACTGTTTCTGGCCAAGGAGGACTTGGACGTGGCTGTGGGCGCTGCCTTCTCCCAAAGGGAGTCCGCGCGCGAAGCTGCCACCCGCAACAAAGCTGCAGCTGCCGAGGATGAGGTGGAATCCGCCAGGACAGCTGTGCGACATCCTCCATCTCCTGATGTACCCCAAACTTCCTGTCATTTTACACCCAAGCACTTAATGTCTTCCTTCTGTAGGCCAGGAAACTGGACATTTGCTGCAGAACGGCTTGGGAGTTGGTTCGCTTGTGTCAACCTGCTGAATTTGTAGGGAATGGGTGATACAATTTTGGAATCGAATGCCTGGGACTGAGTTTCAGAGAAGCAGGGCTTGAATGTCTCAATTGCAACGTGCAGCTTGAGGCAGCCCCAAAGGGAAAGGATCGGAAAGCGGCACAGGCAGAGCTGGACAAAGCGGAGGCGAGGCTGTCCAAGTACAAGGGTCGGCTGTCTGCCATGCACTCATCAGAGACAGCTCCCAAGGTGGAGGTGGGCTGCCTTGAGGAGGTGATCAGCAGAATGGAAGCAGATGCTGATGGAGAGTGGGGCTCTGTCATGTTCATTCCTGCAGGTAAGCTCTTGCAGCAAGCACCCAATTGCATTGATATGCCCAAGATACCTGGCAGCCTCTTTCTACATAGGCGTTCTTCTGCAATGTGCTTACGTCCATATCTGAGGGAGTGTGGCATTTGCAGGCGCATTGGCATCCCAGCAGCAATGAGGCGAGAAGCACGACAATATTTTGAAGACAGGACTGTGCCACCAAACTATACTGACATGACAACTGATTTGCGCTGAGTGGCGCGTTGTGTGCGATGACTGCATTTTGGTTGGTTTGCATCTGTTGGAACATAACATTGATATCACATTTGCAGCATGAGGCTCAATGCCCTCTGTGTTCAGGCTTGCAGACATATAAAAATGTATACCGTAGAAAGATATGTAAATGCAAATCATACAGCTGCGGGTGGGAAGTTACATCTAGATCTGTTAATCGTGCTGGCCAGCATCTTGGACCTTCCCACACTGCAAAATCATGACATTCTTGCTGACATGTCAAATGGAACCCTTGAAGTTTAAATTCACAGGCTTACAAGAAGGTAATGCATTGCAATGTATACTGCACTTGGGTGTACCCAATCATGCACGGCAACACAGCTAGTTACTTACAATTAGCAATTACCATGAAAACAACTTGTACTGGCAGGTGGGCGATGCAAGCCAGTGCAGCTTCTATAATTCCAATTTAGCTACTGAAGAAAACCCAGTCAGATGTCCTACTTCTGCCCAACAACATTTATCCCTCAGAACTGCATCTCGCCTGAGGCCCTGTGGAAGAGATAGTCACGGCCATCGATGGTGATGATGCCGTCTTTCAGCTGGCACTTCCACCTGTTCTTGGTGCGCGAGACCTTCTCGAACTGCGCGATGACCACATTGTCGCACTCCTCATCCTTCTCGTCATCGCTACTGACATCCGAGAGATTGTCTTCTTTCTCCTGTTTGCCTTTGTCGTGCTCTTGTGGATCATCTGACCCATCCTGCAGGCAGCATGGTTAAGATGCAATCAGCAACTCGCTGCCGCTTGTGTGTGTGCACTTCTTGTCATTCTTTTCCTTTTTGTGTCACAGGTCAAGTTCACAGTTTAGCATTGATCCTCACTCAAGCCAGACAGTACGAACTGACCTGCTGTGGGATTGTGCCATTCTGATGAGCTGGAAGTGTTTGCCTCTGCTGGTTTTCGTATGCGCCTGGTGGGTCTTCTGCTTTGCGCTTCCTGCTGTCGCCTGTCAGACCCGGCAATGCAGTGCCTGCAGCTGAGCTGCTGCCAAGAGATGGTCCTGTGCCAGATGGGCCTGCTGGGCCGAAAGCTTGGCGATCTGATGCTGCTGCAACAAGGTCATGTGCTGCAAGGGTGTATGGTGCTTGCAGAGGTGGCTGCTGCACGGATGCTGTCTGAAAGCCTGGGCGACCATACTGCTGCTGCTCTATCTTTGGAGCCTGGAGTCCTGGAGTGAGGTACTGCGGTGGAAGCCCTGACAGCGCGCTGTACATAGCTGGTGCACGTTGCTGGGGAATGGATGACACTGCTTGACTCTGCACGGGTTGATATGGAGAGAGAAAGCTTGGCAGCGGGAGGATTTGAGGCGGAGGATACGCAGTTGTGGCAGGCCTGCAAAAGCGTTCACGCAAGTGAGGGCACAGTCTAGACGCAGACAGGAGGCCATTTTGAGCCAGGCATCATTGTTCTCGACCTATAGTCCCTCTTTCGTGTAATACTAGGATTACGTGAAAATTGCATGTATGGAATGGAAGGGCAGAAACGCACTGTGTGGGTGCGTTTTCAGGCTCCAGAACACCGCTTTGCTGCAGCTTTGCCTCCCAGAGCACACGCAGCTCATCCAGCACAGCCCTATTTCCCAGTGACCAGCATCAGCCAGCGCGCCAAGGATCAGGAGGTAAACAACGTGATGGGAAGTAGTGATTGTGGCAGCGACACACAAAGACAGCAGCCATCATTGCAAGAGAGCCATTGACTCACTCGTCAACGCCCTCCTGCACAAAGTCTGCCTTCACTCGCGCGATGACATCGTCGATCACGTTCCTGTACACGGTAGAGACCGAGGAGTCCTGCATTTTCTGGTGTTTTGGACAGGGATCCGGAGCTGCGCACGCCTATGCTTGCCCACGGTGATTCACAAACAACCACGAAGCAATCATGGAAGATAGTAACAGTCGTGAGAATGGCCGTAGCGGCCAAATCTGCGTGCAATGCAACAAGCGAAGGCTCTTCCAGTTGGAGGTGGATAATATATATATATTACAAGGGTCGTCTATGTATATAGAAGTGTTGCGATGGCAGCCCAGTGGGAGTACGATTCTCATGTTCCACCTGCGACGCACGCTCCTCAACGGCATGTGCTTAGGAGAGGTATGATCTTGCTTCATGACGGAGGCATGGGAGCGATGCTGGCCTGGCCACCTTCCTTCTTCCTTCCCTCTCCACGGCTTTTCTTCCGCGGAGGGATCAGCTGAACTGGCGGACTGAACCCCAATTACCAGCAGAAGCAAGTCAACGGACGACGAGGAGCTATTATAGAATTGAATGATGGCAAGCGTGAGGACATACTGTGAAGTGAGCTCCTTCCGCAGCCTCCAGCCCTCTCAAGCTGACGTGAAGGGCTCCACTCGCGCAAATTGGTGTCCGTGCAGCCACTTGAGCTTGGAAAATATTACAGATCAGTCTCACAGCGCCTTCTCTGTCCTAGCTTGCCTCAGAACGCCATTCTACGTACTGAACGAACATCCTGTGAGCCAGGAGGAGCTTACTGACTTGGAGTGGACTCGGCGCGCTCCAGACTTGGAACCCGGAAGCTTTCTCAGGAAGGAGGATGGCTCAGGCGTCATAGACCCACGCGGAGTGGCTCTGGCATTTGTGAAGGAAGGGTGAGCTCACCCACCTGAACCACAACTACCACGTTCAGGCTCTGCTGTCATGCAGGTCTAACCAGCATGCATGGACAGGCGGGACAAGGTTATTGCTATTATCCGGCTCTTTCTCTGCAGATGTAGGCATGGCACATGTGCAACATGCTGTGGGATAGCTTAATGCTGATAATGCAAGCTTAAGCATGCCAAATCTGGCTACGCAGGTATTTTGCTCAATGTGATGCGATTGGCTTGCCACGGGAAGAACCTCACTGGACATCTTTGGCATTGAGGAGATCACAGTCTTTGCAATTCACAAATCTGAAGAGGTTCAGCCGATTAGGGGCACCCACAGCTCAAAAGCTCGGTATGCAACCCAGCCCATAACAAGGCAGTACCCAGCCATACTGATATATCTCTCTTAGTAATGTAAGGGTACCTTTAGAAGTCGCTGAGGGTTTCTTGGCATGCAGGACTGGTGGAACTCTGCACTGTGGTGTCAGCTACATATCACAGGCGCATACTGCCAGAAGACAATGTGACCTTCTCCCCAAGGCCGAGCACCCATACCCCACCAGAGCCAGAAACAGTCCTGCAGGATGCGGCAATGGCAGCCTCTGCCTTGCAACCTTCTGATTCCACCCAGCCCAATGCCACCTCGAGAGGGGCAAGCCCAGCAGTCGCAAGTCCCGATATAGCACAGGCAAGCTCTGCAACCATTTGCATTCTAAATGTTGCTGATGCTGATGGCAAAAAGCGCCAATATGTGGCACATCTGGGCCAGCTTTGCATCCTGTACAGCTTAAAGGGCCTTGATTCTCCCTTCTCAATGCTGCAGGTGTGGTTACCAGACCCAGTTGCACAGCCTCAGACTCCCGAGGCATTTGCGCATCCTGAGACACCCGAGGCCGTCCCAGACACACCTGCCATTGACACTGACAGCGATGCGGGTGTCTCAGCGCAAGTCCACAGGCGGCGAGGGCAGTTTTTTGTGAGGCTGGTGCTGAAACAATCTGGAATGAAATCCTATAACAAGGGCGCATTGACCACAGCTATCGACTTCTATGTGGACAGCGGGACAGGAGAATGGCTGATTCCCAGGTGCCCTCCCTTCCCGACTCATGCATGACAAGCCACTTGTTGCTATGCAGCCAGAGAGCAGCCAGCACTTCTGTTGCACTCTGCAACACTACCTGCAAGCCCAGTCTTATGCACAAGACCTGTGTTGCCATTGCATCCCAGAAACCTCTCATGCACGACTCTGGCTTGACCCTGTGGATTCTCTGCGGCCAGGTCGCGGTATGAGGAGGCGCAGAGTCGGGCATGGAGGAGGGGCAACCGCTTCAGGATGTTTTGGGATGCCCCAGAGACGCCAGGCGTGGGCATGTGGTGGCATGGCGTCGTGCGCGGCCGGGTGCAGCGCGACCGCTTCGACCCCCTGCGCGACTCCCCATGGGAGGCCCTGCGAGTGCGCTGGGACAGGTGCAGATTTCCTATGCACCCCTGGCATTGGCACATGCATGGACTGGCATGCAAAGCATTTTGATGTCGTTTAGTTGAGGCATGCTCACTGTGGGTGTTGGATGTGCAGCGGCGGCTCGGAGACGATGGTGAGCATGTGGGAGATCCAGCCAGAAGAAACTGCATTCTACATCTCAGAATTGCGGTATGCTCTGAACATGCACAAGCTGCTTTGCGACGTGGTGATGCCTATGCTTTTGTAATTGCATACCGACAGTGTTCAAGTCAAAGGCAGACATCTCCGTGCAGTTTTACATGAGGGACTGCCTGCAGGGCGACGACATCGAGCAGGGAAGACCATGTGGTCTCAGATGACGAGGCTGAATGGCAGCCTGACTGGAGGAGCGGCAGCGACAGTGAAGGTGCGTAATGCTTGATGTGAGAACTTGCGTTTCTCTTCACACCAAACAGGAAACCCACAGGCGAGCCCCTATTCGTAGTCATGAGTTACCGGCTTCTTCAGGTCTTGTCTGCACGCTATAGCAGGTGACTCGGACGAGCAGCGGCGCAGGCGGCGGCGGCGGCAGCGGCAAGTAGTTCTGCCTGGCGAGATCGAGACGGAGCAGCACCTGCGCGACCCGGCACGGAGGCAGCGGCGCGGCGGCTCCTCACAGCCGCGAACACAGGGGCAGAGTCAGGCGCAATTACCAGCCAGCCGCAGCAGCGCAAGCCTGGAGGAGCAAGGCGGAGAGAGCGCCAGGATACTACCTCCACCACTTCTCCCTCTGCCTCAGCCCCCCAGGGACCTCTCGGCCCGCCCACCACTCACCATGCAGCGGCCTTCCTCCAGGCACCTGAAGGTGACACCTCTGCAAGCCGTGACAAATAGCTGCATGCTGGTGAACGCTGCATCATGGGTGCCGAGAGGTGATGGGAATGTGCACCAGTCTATGGAATGGGTCCTCATAGAAGTCATTGGTAGTGGCAGATGGACTGGAATTCGCTGTTCTGCGGCCGCTGTGCGGATGGCGGGGAGCTGCTGGAGTGTGATGGCACCTGCCTGCGCTCCTTCCACCTCAATTGCCTTACACCCAGTGAACGCCCCAGCCCGGATGACCCGCCTGAGGCCCCCTGGTGAGCCTGTGTTCCTGCTTGACATCATTTCCTGTTCACAAGCATGAGGGGGAGTAGTGGCCCCATCTGAGACTTGTTTGGCCGCTGCACCAGGTAGGGTGCATGCTGCTCCGAATGTTATGGCATTGGATTTTGTGATAGTAGATGTGTGCTGGTGTGCAGGTACTGCCCGGACTGCCGTCTAGGCATCGGGGCCTGCGCAATCTGCAAGCAGACTGGCGTTGTGGGGCAGCACATCCTGAAGTGCAAGATGGGCAGCTGTGGCTACTATTTCCACAATCAATGCCTGAATGGCTTGCGCGACTCAGGCCTCCTCAAGATACACAGGTGCCGAGACTGGTCCCTTCACGTTGCCATGATGCGCCCCTGCCTGTACTTCACTCGATTGTGGCTTTCAAAAGGATATGATAATGCAAGTGTGGTCACCTCGGATAAAGTGTGGTCTCCTCGGATCTGCTGAAAAAAAGCTCTGTGATTGTCCAGGGAGGACCCTGCTGTGGCGAATGGAGGGAATGGGGAGCGAGTCTTCACATGCCCGGCTCACTTCTGCCATGTCTGCCGCATGTCTGGAGATGCACAGCGCATGGTCCGCTGCTGGCGTTGCCCGACTGCCTACCACTCACGGTATGTCATCAAACAAACCACATCACCCAGGACTGCTACGCAAACGTGACAGGACAGACAAGGGGATGATATGATGTTCAAGGGACTCCTGTGATTTTTGTGTAGGTGTCAGCCGTCCACTACGAAGAGGATGAGTCCCAAGTACGTGGAGTGTGGGTGTTGCAGAGGGCTGTCTGCCCCCAGTCTTGGCACTGCCTCTGTGCAAATGATCGCGCCTGTGCCCACACCTCGCAACCAACACGAGGCAGCACCCTCCAACAGGGCCGTCTTTGACTGGTGAGCTCCTCCTGTAAAGCTCGAACGCGATTGCTGCTCATGCGCCATGAAACAGCATCGCTCTCTGCTGTGGTGACGTGCCTGAATTATCAGCAGAAAATGATGCTGTCTCATGAGCCTGTGAAGGACATGATGTGCCCGAGTATCTTGCAAATGCTTTTGTGTAGCCCACTACCTGCAAAACACAGAGTGCTCCTGGGTTGTCATGCTTGATGTGCCCCTGCGCCAAGCTGTCCCTGTTCCTCAGCCCTCATCAGGAGCTGAGGCTGCATGATACAATGCAATTTCCCATCTCAAGCGCCGCTTGTGAGTGTGCCGCAGCGGCGCCAGCGAGCAGCCGGTCGAGAGGAAGCGTCCAAGGAAGCCCAAGAAGGACGGAGGCAACGCCAGCCGCAACGTGGCCACCAAGCGCCCTGACACTGCGGGGCCCAGCAACGCCATCAGACAGCCGCAGCCGCAGCAGCCGCCAGTCGCGGCGCGGCCGTCCACCGCGGTCGAGCCGAGCTCGGACGCAATGCAGCGGCCGACGCGGCTGGCCGTCCTGGAGGCGAAGATCATGGAGGATGCTGCAGTGGAGGAAGCCCTCGGCTGCACCGGCCGCATCGTGCCCCTTGAGGTGACAAACAACTGTGCCTACATGACATGCATGCGCACATCGCATGTCATTTGCAATCCTGCTTATTGCGACCTCAAGTTTTGCGCTTCTCTGGCAGCCTTATGCAGGCCATGTCTGAGGGGACTGGGATGTCTGGCAGGGGAATCAAGGATCGAAGGACCTGGTGGGCAAGACAGTGTTCACCTTTGGCGCTCAGAAAAAGGGCGGCGACTTCTATGTGCCCTCCGACCGCATCAAGATCCACTCGCAGCTTGTCGTGCACGACGGCGGCCGCGTCACCATTGGCTTCTGCAATGCCCAGGTGATTCCCTGTCACTCCTCCTACCTTGCACTGCCACTGCCTGTGATAACTCTGCACAGGCCAAGCAATGTCGTGTGTGCTGACCTGCCCTGTTGAGCACCGATTCTGGGGTTTGACGAGATCTACTGGGCGTGACCAGGCAAGAGAGAGGTATCCGATCACAATCATCCATGCGGAAGGAGAGCCGACCACGCTCACCAACATGCAGTCAGTGCCACTGCGTCACCAGGACGTGATCACCATTGCAGACGCCTGCTTCATCTTTGAGCGCGTGGGCATTGAGGAGGCCTTTGCAGCCCGGTGACACCGGGACCCACGCATGTGGTACATCCTTGTCACACAAGGCCTAGGCAGCAATTTTGTCCTGGTGGGATGCGTCTGGAGTTCTTAGTAGTAAGAATGTCTTGTTTTTTCTTGAAGCTATTCTGGGGAAGGCATGGAACGCTATAGCAGCAGCCTTGTCACCCAATTTGTTCATTTGATAGCGCTGAAAACAAGAGGAAAGTTGACAAGCTGGAATGTATGTAATTAGAAGGAAAGTGTCATGAAGGGTGGGTACTTGCTTCAGTTGAATACTGTTATTTGATTGCTTCTGTTTTAGTTTTGTAGCAGCAATTTCTGTACAGAAACTTATGTTTTCAAAAATATTGCAATCTTGTTTCAGAGGCAAGGGCCATTGATTGGCAATGACAGGAAAGTTTAGTGGTATGCTTGAAGCAATGTGGGATGTACGGCATCCAGAGACTGTCATGGTAGATCAGGTGTCATTACAATTACAATCCAAGAATTTAATCAAGCAATCTTGATGTGATGCTCTTGGTGTAGCTTCAACATCACTGTAGCACCATCTGTAAGAATTACATCAGAAATGTTACTAAGCGCCACAGGCATGCATCGCAAGCTGCAGCATCTTGCATGCATATAGCAGTCACTGCACTGGGTACCCAGTTGCTCACTAAAGCTTGTGTCAACAGTTTTCCGTTCCCCGTTTGATTCGCAAGCCATGATCCACCACGTCTTGAACAGCACCATCCTAATGCTGCTTTCCTAGCTGTTCATCATAAAACGCTGGATTTCCCTCATGTAGATCTTTCTCTGCCAGGCATTTACAGAGGTGTTCTGATCGTTATACAGGTCAAGAAGAGACTGCATCTGCTGTTTCTTGTCTATCTCACTCAAACTTGACAGCTCAAAAAAAAAATTAGTGAATGCTCTGAATTTATTTAAACGCATGTCTCCATCGTTGTCTGCTGTGAGTTTACTCATGTGACCAGGATGCACTACTGCCAGGATCCACCAGTTCTGCCCAGCATGGGCAGCATTTCAGGATGTAAGCAGCCCTCCCGAGACGACTCTGTCAGCGCGCAGCGCAGCAGTCACATGTGGAAGATCTGCTGCACGGACTGCAGCTTGGTGTGTATGCGCTGCACATACTTGAGGGTCATGGGGTCCGAGCTGGAGCTCAGCCGCTGCAGGGTCCGCTCGATGCCCAGCCGCAGCATCACTTCCGCGCACTCGCGGTGCGCCGCCATGTTGCCCAGCGAGAAGAGCGCGATCTTGGCCGGCTCGCCGAGCTCCCCGACCGCTGACTGCCGCCGTTCCCTGCCCGGCTCATTGATCGCCGCCATCAGCGCCTGCGCATGCATCACCCCCAACCTCAAAACACAGATGCCTCACAGCCTCCCAGGGGAACCAAATGTACTGATCTAATCAGCGCCCCACGCAGATTCTGGCATGGGGACTACAATGGCCACACACACTCAGGCATCCTACCGGGACGGGGAGCTCCATTGCAAGGGATCCTTGACAGTGCTTAAGCCAAGGATCTAATCATTCTCAAGGAGGGAGGCAATAGGAAGCAAGGGCTGCCGAGTGGGGTGAAGTAGGGGGCGCGCCTCGAGGGCGTGGGCCTGCAGGAGGGTGGGGCAGAGCATGGGGGAGTTGCGGACGAGGTTGCCGAGCGCGCCGGCCGCATTGGCGCGCGTCTTGTCCTCGTCATCCCCCAGCAGCTCCACCAGCGGCCGCACCGCCCCCCGCAGCGCGTGGTACAGCGCCGCGCTGTGAAACCCTACGCGCGCACAGCCCCCGCATCTATAAATCCCTTTCTTGCTCCTCTTGCATGTCACCTGACCTCGGCACGCTGCGCGATGCAAGATGATCCAGAACGGTGGGCGACTGAGTGGAGAAGCTACGCACTGGTAAATTTCCTCAATGTCACCCAGCCTGTTGTATTATTGTGATGATATGCATGCAACATAATGCAATGATGAATATTGATATCAGCAGCGCATGCCGGCATTTGTCTGCCGGCAGGTGAGGGAAAAGGCATGGAGGCAGCGCTGGGCGGCGCACCGGCGTTGCCGATGGCAAAGCAGGCGAATTTGCGTGTGGAGCGGTCAAAGTCGCGGCAGCGGTCGATGAGGACCTCGATGAGGCCGGCGCCGGAGATGGCTTCGTAGAAGGCGGTGTTGTAGCGGCACAGGTTGCCGATCAGGTTGCACGCACGCGCGCGCACCTCGCCCTCCCCGTGTTCCAGCAGCGGCCGCATGTGCTCCACCAGACGCGCCTGCACGCAGCCAGGGAAGGTCAAATTACACTTTCGAATTTCCAAAAATCCAGCAACCTTTATCTGACCGCAAGAAGTGTCCTCTTCAGACAGCAAAAGCAGGGCTGACCATGCCCAGCAAGTCTGATAGGTGACCGTCCTTCATAAAGTATAACATTGTGGTTCATGTCCCGTCCCAAGAGAATGCATGTGCTCTGCAAGGCTGTTGGGGAGTTCTGGTTGGTATGCTCTTTTACGGAGGCTAGGGACTCGAGGCGCACCTCTGCCAGCACTGGGTAGTTCTCCCGGCTGAGCCGCGCCAGCTGCCCGTAGTTGAGCATTGCCGGCACCAGCACGCTCGCTGGCTGGTCGGGCCGCAGGAACCTGCACCAAGAAAGAATTTCCTTTTTTTATTACCCAAAGTAGAATTTGATTAGTGGAGCAATAACACAGAGAAAGATAGCGCCAAAGGTAGCACCTGTGCAGGTTTGCGGGGGAGGCGCCCCCGGCTTCCACAAACTGAGCAGCAAACTGCTTGGCGGGGACGGCGGTGATGAGGGCTGACATGTATGTCAGGGGCGCAGCCACAGCCTGGTCTGACAGCGAGGGCAGCACAGCCACCATCGCAGCCACCACCTTGGCCTGTCCCACCACCTGCACCCACCGATACGCCAGTCACATCCCTCAAAACTTATACCAAAACCTTGCTCTGACACAAAGGCACACGGGGTCGGGACAAGAGCCTGATCCTGACATAGGTCTTGCAGCAAATGTTCCATAACAAATTTCATAAGGCTCAGTTGTGCAATTTGGTGCGACGCTGTAATGTCAAATTGCAGCACCTGGTAGACACTGCTGAGGGCGGCCGCCTGCGCATGCATAATACCCTCGTGGAGGATGCCGGTCACCAGAACAGGCACGGGTGCCACGTCAGCGCCAGCTGGCGCCACACGCGCGTGCCAGTCGGCCTGCGCGGCCAGGTGCTGCGGCCGCATGAGGGCAACCAGCGCCGGCACGAGGCCCGGCTGCAGCAGCACCTGATGCCCCAGCACGTCCGATGCCGCCAGGCTTCTGGCCGCCTGCCACATCACCACTTATGTCATGCATGTCATTTTCATGTCCATTCACATGGTAAATAATAAGTACCTACAGGGTGAGGGCGGTGCAAAGCAACAGGACAGAAAATATGCAGCGGGATTGAGCAGAACAGAGCGCAGCACGGCCCACCGCACCACAGCACATGCGGTGTGCTAAACTTGACGATAATACGTGTGTGCAAGGCAGTGCCTGGAAATTTGAAATAGATGTTTTGATGCCTCCAAGGCTAGGTTCAAAAGGGAGGGCGTAGAAGGGCACCTGCAAGAGAGAGGCCGCGCCTGCAGGCGACAGCTCGCTTAGTGCCGGGTGCGCCGTGCCCTGGCCAGCCAGCTTCAGCAGATGCAGTACAGCATCCCCGATGCCGCCCTGGGCACACAAGCCGTCAGAATGCATGCGTGGCATGACTGAAGCCTCCATGTGCTCGCATACCAGGCAAGACGCCAGACTAGGTGTAAGAATGGCTGTCATTCTGCAGCTGAGGAGGGAAAACAGTATTAACCTGGTCACCATTCTTTTCCACCTTTCCAAGAACAACCTGTGACACAGAGAGTAAGGCGTAATGTGACATGAGAGGAGCCTGGAGAGGTGAGTGGGCAGACCTGCACGGCCGCGATGGTGGCCCGGCTGCGGCCCCCGCACGCCAGCAGCGCGGCGGCTAGCGCGGCTGGACCGTCGAGCAGGCCGGTGCGGCACAGCACGCCCTCCACCGTCTCAAACGCCCTGCCCCCTGCCGAAGGCCCCGACCATGCCTGCGGCATCGACACTTGTCTCCGTTGCCATGCATGCCTTGTAGATCGCTATCTCTGACCATGCTGTCAACAGAAAGGAATTTATCTAGGCATCAACATCACCCCCATATATCGGTTGAAACGCTATCATCATGTTTTGTGAAGGTCTTGGTTCTCAGTAGATCGATGGGATGGTGTATTTCTTGGAGACGGGAATCTTTTCTCACCAGCAGCCGCTGCAGGCCGGCAATGCTCCTGTCAACGTAGAGGTCGGCAGGGAGGGCCTCATTGGAGGCCCGCCCGCTCCTGAGGCCCTGCTGGCCGTTGGCGTGCCCCGGCAGCAGCGGCAAAAGCGCCGCCATCGCGCCAGCTGCCGCACTGGACGCCCTGACATCGCCTGCCGACGCCTGCTGTAAAGAACAAATCTCACACTCATTTCCTGCAGCACTTACCCAGAGCACGTTCCCCTGCTGAAAACAGTATCATTTGCAGAGAAAAAAATCCTCCTGGACGCAATGGCTGAACAGGTCTACATGCCTGAGGATGGGCTGGTTCAAAACAAAAGCAGGTCATGTCCTGGGTCGATCGCTTGCCTGCAGAAGGGGTCTGATGCATGCGAAGGGAGCCAAGGGGTTGCCAGGGGATACAAGCGCCGCCTGTGCAGCGTCCCATCGCAGCTCTGCCCCGCCGCTGCTGGCCCTCGACTCGGCCACGTCGGAGTGCGCCAGCTGTGCCGCCACCTGGCGCGCCAGCGTGCTCAGCGTGAGCAGCGCAGCCGCCCCCTGGGGCCCCTCGCTGGCCGCCAGCAACGCCTGCGCAGAACAGCACTGCACCTCACGCCAGACTCCACACCGCATAGCAGCCACATTCACGCAACATGATGCGCGCATGAGATGCCGGATGATGCAACAGCATGGCCTGTTCTTTTTATTTACGCACTGACGTATATGTACGGCTAAGTAGTCTGCTATCAGAGCTCGAATCTATGATCTGGAGAAGGTGCTGTAGAATATTGAGGCGTTTTGGGAGTGTGGCGTGCCTGTGGCAGGCCAGCGCTTGCAGCCGCGCAGCAGAGGGGCGGGTAGGCCGCGCAGGTGCCCTGCAGGAGCTGCAGTGCAGCCAGGGAGGCACCCCTGTCACCACCGGACACCGCTGCCGCCAAGCTGCTCAGCAGGGAAGAGTCCCCACTGCTGATGCACTCTGCCACCCTCGTCCGCACCTACGGTAAGCATGCCTCGATACCACACAGTCGAATGCAACCTGCTGACTACTCTCATCCTGGCAACTGGACAAACACAAGAGGATGAGCAGTTTACTGATGCATGTGTCTGCTTGGGACTTACAGCGCTCTGGAGCTCAGTTGTAGACGGCCACCCTTCCGAGGCGCCCTGGGCTGCAGACACCAGCGGGAAAGGGTGCGAGGACTCCTGGCCCGGCGGCGCTGGCGGGACCACTGCCAGATGCCGCAGAGCACTTATTGCCGCCTCCCTCAGCGCTTGAGCGCCTGCAAAACATTTGAAACACACCTTCAATCTCAGCATGCCGAATGGCCCAGATTGTGCAATGCTCTAGTACAAAGTAAGCAAATGCACCGACAGCTGCAAAAGGCCCAGCAAAGTCAGATGCGGCAGGACCTGGTGAGTTGGGCGCAGCAGCGCAGTCCTCCAAACAGCGGCACAGACGCACGACGACGGCCCCCCGCAGCGTGCTCTCCAGGATCTCCTGTGCCATGCTGGGGGCCTCTGATGGCGCGCCCGTACCTCTCCGCATCAGCACGACCTGGTGCACAGCGCAGGTGACACATCTCTGTTGCTGTGCAAGAGTAAGTGGAGAGAATTAAAATCCAAAACACCAGAAACCGTGTCCGACAAGGCATGCAGCAGGGTTCTTTTGAATGGTGCATCAAAATTACAAGCATGCAGGGGACTTGAAGTGCACCTGCGCTCGTCTGTACACCCCAGCAAGGCCGCTGGCGCCAGCAGAGGCCACCGACCAGGTGCCAGCCGGATTTCTGCAGCCGAGCAGGCTGGCGTACAGCTGGGGCGTCCCTTGGAATGCCACAAAGTCGGACGGGGAAGACGGCCCGGCGTCGGCTGCGAGCAGCTCCTCTGCGCCGCGCAGGGAGCTCACGATCGCCGTGGTGGTGTCCGGCGACACCGGCAGCGCCGCCTGCAAGGTTTTGAGCAGGTCCTCGGTCATCCTCTGCCATCAATTTGGTTTATACATCAGAAGAATCATCTGATGCAGCGTCTGAAAATTGCGGTGCAGAGGGACTGTCCCAGGGCTCAACACTCAGCAAGGATGAAAGCATGGGGCATCTAAGCAGACGCAGGTTTTATATTTAAGTAGTACTGGCGGAAGGTATGCTGAACAAACTAGTATCTGTGAACCTGGATTCTTGGATGGAGTCAGGTCCAGAAGCAGGGGCACTAGTAATTTGGATGGAACGCGGGGCACCTGGGCGGCGGCTGCAGTGGCGCGCTGGAGGTCGGCGGCCGCCTCGGGCCGTGCGGCGGAGAATCGCAGCAGCCGGGCGGCCACGCGCGCGGCCTGGCGCAGCTCGGCGCTGCCGGCCCAGGCCGTGTATGCGGAGCCGCTCGACGGCCGCTTCAGGCCCTCCACGACCGCCGCGAGCGTGCGCTTGTCGGCCCACACGCCGGCAGCGCCCTCCGGCCCGGCCGATGCGCGCGCCTCCGCGTCCACCAGTATCCGCGTGTATATTGAGCCCTGCTCGCCTGGCTTCGGCCCCTGCACGTTTGGAATGCCGCTCACCTTGAGCCCTCAAATAGCTGCTGGTGTGCTGAGCTGCAACCATGATCTGATCATGCAAACACATTTGACGGTGTCAGGAAGCCCTGCAGATTTTCTGAGCTGGCTAACAGGATTGTAAGCTGCCCATGCTGCAACGGCCAGGAGGGTGTTCTGGCAAGGGGTCGACAAGGGGTGAATCACCTGGGTTGGCGGAGATGCGTCGCTCGGCAGGGCGTGGTGTGACAAAGTGTGTTGGTGCTCGCCGGCTGATGACTGCCGCCGAGCTGCAGGCTGCTGATGCCGCACTGTGGCGTCCGCATGGATCTGCACAATGGGGACACCGCAGTGTCTTCAATGATACATTCCAATTTGATGCTTATCAGGATACAAACACAGCTGCTCCTGGTTAATAGCGCTGCATTGAGAGGCAGAAGAAATGATGGTGCACCTGCGCTGCGAGAGAGGATGCCCTCTTCAAGGGCCGCTCGATTTGTGGCATGCTGGGTTTGGGCGGTGGATCAGCCGCTGGTGTAGCGAGTCTCAAGGAACTCGGTCGAGCCGCCATATCAGCCGCCTTGGATGTCTCTCCGGCAGGGCTCCGTGGCTCACCCACTCTCTGGCCTGGTGACCCATCAGATAATGGCGAGCCGGCCTGCTTCCTACCTGATGCAGCTTGGCCGGGTTCCCTGCTACCTGTCCGCCCACCAAACTGCGGCAGCGGCCGCGGCGACGGCTGTACAGGCTGTGGCGGCTCGCTCCGCCTCTCGCTTAGCGGAGCCGCCGCCTGCGGCCCTCTGCCCTCCCAGTGCCTGGAGTCCCCGCTGGGGCTGCACTCCCCATCAGACCTGCCCTGCCTGCTCGGCCCAGCCGCCTTTCCCGACGTGCGGCCGTCCGCCGCCCTGTTCTCATCTGTCCTGCCTGCGCTGCGCGGCCGGGTTGCCGATTGGGGACTGCCGGCTGCGCCCGATCGGGCCACGCTGCCCGGCGAGTGCACCGAACCTGCCTCTGCCTGCGGCCTGGCCGGCGTTAGCTCGTACTCGATGCTCTTCACCCTTTTTGGCGCAGACTGTAGCTCATAGTACTCTGTGGTGCTAGCCTTTGAGCTTGATGGCTGGCTGGGAGCTGCTGCTGCTTCTGCACTATGCGCAGGTGTCCCTCTGTCTGCCGGTCCTGTGGCGTTCCCTGGGTGCTGATGTGCTGCCGCGCTTGGTGCGCCGGAGGCATGCCGAGGAGTGGGGACAGTGCCATTTCCCTGTGGTACAGGGGTATGCCTGCCAGCCTGCTGTGCAGCAGCGGCTGCCTGGAGCTTCTGGGCGAAGGAGACTGGAGCCATCAACGGCGCTGCGCCGTTCTGCAGTCGCACAGGCGCCGCGCTGGCCGGCGCAATTCCAACAGCCGCCCTGTCAATGCAGTCTGCCGTCAACGCACAGCCTTACTTACTTGAACAGAGGCCTGACATACTTAACCAAGCCTGTATGCATCACCAGGAACAACGCAAAGAGGCCTTCAAACAATCAGCATGGCTGCAAGGCTCAACACACCTGAGCTCAGCTGGCTGGCCACCACCGCGAGCGGGGTAGATGGCAGAGGCGGCGGGCTGGGCCGGCCGTTGGAGCGCAGGAGTCTGCAGTGCGCCCTGATGCAAATAGCCCCGCCGCAGCTCTGATGATGGCTCCACGAGAGGCGTGGCCGCCGCCGTCTGGCTCCTCTCCACTCCAGAGGGCGGCGTGCCTGCAGACAACGCAGTGTAGTACTTTCAACAACATGTGTGCATAATGGCGCTAAAGACTGTCCTTGGACTGCAATCACCAGCTTCTCACGGGTTCACAAGCATCCAAGTGCATTCAGGGCAAGCTCAATTAGGTGCACCTGCTACAGCGCCCAGTTCCCCCTTCCACGCTCGGCTCTCCTCTGCAGCCCGCGCTGCTTCTGCCGCCGCTGCCTCGCGCATCTGCCGCTCCTCTGGCGCCTCGGCCACAAAGGGATGCTCCAGCAGCTGTGGCCACGACAGCCTCTTTGCTGGATATTTGTTCAGCAGCCCCTGTATGCAGCACAGGTAATTTGGCAATGCAAGCAGTGAATGTCTTGCTCTGGGAGTCACCAGAGAGGATGCATGATCAGCAGACATCTGCGTAGAGATTGCAAGGTCGACCCACCTTGAGGAATCCCCTGAACTCCCTGGACATCTCTGGCGGATACTTGACTGAGTCCTGCACGATCTGATGGATGAGTGAGTAAATGGACGTGGTGTAGAATGGAGGCTGGCCCACAAACAGCTCGTACAGGATCACACCCAGGCTCCAGAGATCCGCCTGCCATGAGAAGTACGCCCAGAGTCATATCCCATTCGCCGTCGGACATCACAGCATGTGGATGACACGCTGCTTGCATGCATGCCCGCTGCATGGCAGGGATGGCAGCGAGGGAGGAGTGTAGGAGGGGAGCTTACGGTGTGGTTGTAGGGCTGCTCCTGCACAAGCTCGGGGGCCATGTAGAGTGGCGTGCCCTTGATGGAGGTAACAACGAGCGTGCTGCAAGACATGGCGCGCGCAAAGCCGAAGTCGCACAGCTTGACGCAGCCGTGCGCGCCGATGAGCACGTTCTGCGGCTTCATGTCGCGATGGATGATGCGGTTGCTGTGCAGGTAGTGCAGCGCTCGCACCAGCTGCTTTGCTATGCTTCGCACCTCCTCCTCTGGAAGAGTCTTGTCATCCTCCAGCACCTCAAATAGCTCCCCTGGTGACCACATGCAGGAGCTGTGAGCTACAGCTAAGCTGAACCGAGATTGTGAGGCTCTGGACTTGATACGGCAATGCTGCTGTCGTGGCCTGTTTGCTCCAATTGTGGCTCGGTTAGCGCTGCCCAGGAGCAGGTTTGAAAATTGTAGCTGGAAGTCTGGGCAGGTACAGCTTGTGGGGTGCCCAAACCTGGTGCCAAGCGCTTGCAGACTCTTGAACAGGATCAAAAGTGTCAAGGAGGGTATGCAAGTGGGTGTTGACTGGATGAAGGCAGCGCCCCGGGCATACCTTGTGCAAACTCGGTGACGACACAGAACTCCTCCTCGGTCTCAAACGAGTCCAGCATCTGTATAATGTTCTCGTGACGCAGGCCGCGCAAGATTTCGATTTCTTGTCTCAAGCTGACAATGTCCTTCTCACTCTTGTTGTGCTTTAGTATGAACTTCATGGCCACTGTTTGCCCAGTGTATTTCCTGCGCCCCTTGTAGACCTGCACACAGTTACGTCGGAGTATTTATTTTATGATAATAATTATATGCTAGCACTTTACGTCGCAAGCACTGTATCTAGCAGAATGCAGAAGTATATATGGTGATGCAACGGTGTAATGGGCTCTGGGGCACTGCAGGCTGATACAATACAATCTCATGATGTTTAAAACTTTGAAAACAACCTTCTACGCCTACCTTGCCAAAGGAACCTTCTCCAATGATACCCATCCGGTGGTAATTTTCAGCGCCCATGTCGTTCTGTCTAAGCCTTGGTTGGGCAACGAACGCCACTCAAACATATGTCACCTCCATAAGAATCATGCTTTCACGAAGCACTGTACACCTTTTTTAGTGCCAACATTGGTGTGAGGGAGGTAAGCATGAGCGTTGCGTTCCTTTTCTGACAGCCCGTTAGAACAAGTATTCTGTACAACATGCACAAACTGCCTTCCCTCCTAAATTGCTGCATTCATGACCATCATGACATCTTGATGTAAGATAGCTGGTCCAAGCAGCTGTGTCAACCCACACATTGGTCGCGGGAACTGTCCTGCCAGGTGGTGGTGGTGAGTCACCATTGCTGATGTCACCCCAATTGGGGGCTTGCGCCCGAGTCCAGGTGTGCAGGGATCAGAGCAGGATTTTGGTCCATAATTCAGGGACAGGATGCTTAGAAGACTGGCATCAATCCATGGCCATGTTCAGGCACCATATTTGAAAATTCAAATGCTGTGCAGCAAAGCATATGCATGCACAGAACTACCGCAGAAGCCAATACTGGTATCATGATGAACTGACTCAAAGTGCGACCGCATGCGCATGCAATGCATAACATGCATGGACGCGCGGCACATGTGAGCCTCTGATCATGATGAGCTCAGCTTCGGGCATCTCCATGCCTGGTAACCAGGCGTAGGCCTTCAATTGAGTGTCCAAACGATCGCATTGCAATGAAGAGATCTCTTCTAGACTCAAGAAGAAGGAGTAGTTTGCAGCTGTGCAAACAATCTGGCATGCACTGCATGGAATGGCCATAGCCATCCCCTGAACACGGCCTCTCATACCAGAAGCGTTACTGAAAGCTGCAGGTGACTGTACAGCGGGCCTTCTGTGCAGCACATAGAGCATCTCAAGTTGCACCAGACTCTTATCAAGAACACCCCGTGTTCTGGAACCAGCCTCTGATGAAGCAAAAGAGACTAAGCACAACTTCATATGTACTGCAGCAGATCAATGAGACAAACCAATGGTAACAGCTCTGTACTCCTCTATATGATCATTGTTCGGCCTGCTTCTGTATGTGCAACTCGCGCAGCTTCTCTCTTGTGGCATCAGCTCTGTTGTCCTTTGTGGCCTGCCGGGCGCGTCCCAGCGCCAGAGCATTTGCTGGCACATTAGAGGTGATGACTGAGCCAGCGGCCACCAGTGCCCCCTCACCAACCTCCACTGGAGCCACCAATGTAGAGCTTGATCCTATGAAGGCATTGGATCCTATGGTCGTCCTGTTCTTGGCAATGCCATCTGCAAGCAGCAAATGAACTGCTCAGGACATGCCATCTCTTCCTACCCTCTTTCATGACCATGACTGTGGCCACATGCATGCATGCATGTCATGCCATTCACCTTTCATCAGAACCTTGCACGGATATGTGCCTTTGTGGTGTCACTCGTGTAAAGTGGGGATCAAGTGTCATGGGAATGTGCTCACTGTAGTTGCATGTGATGGTGCCGGCACCAATATTCACATTCTCGCCCACTTCCGCATCGCCCAGGTAGGAGAGATGGCAGACGTTCGTGCCAGCGCCCACGTGCGCTGCCTTCACCTCGCAGAAGTTGCCCACATAGGCGGAGGACTCCACAACAGCGCCCACTCGGAGCCTGGCAAAGGGGCCGACCCCGCTGTTCTCTGCCATGGTCGCCTGCTCCAGATGCGAGAATGCGCCAATCTTGCAGCCGCTGCCCACAGTGCTGTTGATGATCACTGTGGGCCCATCTATCCTTACACACCTGCGTAAAGTGATGAAAATGGACTGCATTCTTCAACAAGCTATGACTGCTGTCCATGGAATTGAGTTGTTCTGAAAGGCAGTGGGCCAGGGGCAGTTGCCCGTTGCACAGCTGCTCCTCATACTGTATAAATTCTGAATGGCACACTGATATCGCTGCAACAAGCACCATTTTAGTCTCAGCATTTGACATTGAGCGAGTGAGCAGTGCTCTCAACCTTCCAATGGAGGTGTTGCCGTACAGCTGCACCCCGACGCCGATCACACTGTCGCGCCCGATGTCCACCCCTGCCGAGATAAAGGTGTTGTCGGGGTCCCGGAAGGTCACCCCCTGGGCCTGGTGCTCCCGGATGTGCCTCCGGCGCAGCACAGTTTCAGCTTCCACTAGCTCCTGCCGTGTGTGGACTGCCAGCGTTGCACTTGGATCACTGGCAGAGCACCTCTCGCATTGCCCATCCACCAAGCCCTCAGCATCCAGCGAGTCTGACATGCCTGGCCACAGCATCGTGAGAGGCTCAATGGCTGTGCAGGAATGCCATCCCAGTGTACAGGAATGCGTAGCATGCAGAGTGCATGTTGCTTTGACAGCAGTGGGTGGAGACGCAAGCAGGGCATACCATTTGGCAGATCCCGCAGTTTCTCTCGAAGAAATGCCGCAGCAGCCCAGAAGATGCCAGAAGGCTCGTTGTAGTCTGATGTGCACAGCTGTGTCAGGCCCCTGTGCTTATCTATTGCCGTCCTCTGCCCTTGCTGCACTACCTCTAGAAGGGTTTGGGATGTCAGCAGTGGCAGGTTGCCAGGTATGACTAGCAGATCCGCTGTGGAGTCTGGAAGTGACTGCAGGCCCGCCATCACTGCATCTCTGAAGCCTGTCGGCTTCTCTTGGAGGACAATGTCATGCCCCAGACTGGGGAATGCTCCCTCAAGAACCTGCACCATCACCCTGATGAAGCATTTGCAATAATGTTGGGACCAAATTGCGTGCTGCAGAGATAAATGTAAGAGGTCCATCTGGCTGCAGAACTCCGTGGCAGTCATCACCTGCTGAACAGCTGCTCCACTGTGAGGGCTGCCAACGATGACAACCTTGGAGTGCTGGAGTTCCTGAGCTGCTCTCACCACATGACAGAGCATGGGTACCTCAGACACAGGGTGGAGCACCTGACAGTAAGAAAAAGAAACTTGCTCAGGCCATAGAGCGAGTTGAAAACCATCACAAGACACTGTGCTTGTAGAATGCAAAACCCACGGCAGGACATTCAGGCTTGTATGAGCAAGAGGAAAAAAATGGCCACACCAGTGGCAGGTCTGAGTTCATACGATACCCGCTTCCAGCAGCCAGAATCAGGACACATAGACCTTGATTGAGATCTTTTGCATCCTTATACTTTTGGATCCAGCCTGGTACACCCATATCTTTCTTTCGCATAAATTTTCCGAGACCAGATCCCTCTTTGCCTTTCCCAAACATTTGGCCGGAAATCAGAGCAGGTGTCAAATTAAGTTGTATCTTCCTCCATAACTATTCTGGAGATGCTCTCTCAGCTCCTGTCATCACGTTTCTACTGGGTGCTGGAACCAAATTGGCGAGATCTAGCAGAAGCTGCGCGCTCTTGGAGACAATCGGAAGTTGACCAGGGTCAATTTCTGAACAACTACGAAATCCCTTCTTTAGGATTGCCACCAGGACGATTATTTGGACTTCAGCAACCTGGACAAGTGCATGCCAGATATTGTGCCAAACTTGGCTCCTTGCTGCATGCATAAATGGCTTCTTGCACATAAACACTTCGTTTCATTTGCTTTGAAGTGAGTCATGATGTCGTCGGGTGTCTGCAAAGCTAAGATCTCGTGGCTTCAGAAGCTGTTGCTTGGAGGAACCTAAGTGAAATACATAACATAATGACCATCGCAGCCTTCCGCAGGCAGTGCTTGGTGTGGCACGTGAAGTTCAATACCTCTCTCAATCAATCACCAAACAGTATGGATGAATAGACTTTCCAAACTCTCGTATGTGTCAATCCATTATTTTTCACTAGAGGCAAGTACAGAGCAATGCTTCAAGTCAGCTTCTGAACTCCTGGAGTAAGACTTGATCGTCTCTGTTGAGAACTGACAAGAATACTTTCAGCAAAAATGGCGGCAGACAACATCGAATGTTCCTGTGCGGGTCCAAGAGGACAATTCGTACTAAACAATATATCAAGATGACAGGACTGATCTACTACTGTGATACCTCATGCAGGTTTTCAGAACGATGTGATGAATGACAGCATCCGATTTGGAACTCTGCAAGTCCTTCTGCGCGAGTACTGGGGTACTGAGCTCTTCAGGCCTCTTCAACGAGAAGCAGTAGAAGCTCAACTAGAGGTGTGAGAACTCATTCCTGCCATAATCAGCGTCATAACATGAGAACTGCGCAAATCTCAGGTGCAAGGCCTGCAGGGGACCTTATTTGCAAAACTGCTGTTGTAGGGCAAAGATGTCCTCTTGTTCCTTCCAACGGGCGGTGGCAAATCTCTGACTTTTCAGCTCCCGCCCCTCTGCCACCCCCATGCTGTGACAGTCGTAGTTTCCCCCTTGATTTCTTTGGCAAAGGATCAGGTGAGCAGCACAACAACGTGCATGGAACCTGCACAACTGTGTGCAATGTGGTGCTGTACATGTGCATGATCGATCAGTCTGTCAAATTCTCCTGCCAATCATTGTCCTGCTTGCAGGTAGATGCTGCTCTAGACCGCGGTATTGACTGCGAAGTGTTTAACAGCACAGGTGATTGTCAATGCATGAGATAGTAATTCTATTCTTCTTAGTCTCAGGCAGATACAACAAGGCAAACATAACATGCGCCAACCTTTGGGAATGCTGCTGCAGTCTCAGAGTCCAAGAAGGCTGCCATCATCTCAGAGCTGTGCAGCGGCACACCCAGCACAAAGCTGCTGTACACCACGCCTGAGAGCCTGGCCCTTCCACAATTGCGGGATGCACTCAAAGAGGCCCATGCAGCGTGCATCCTGCGTTTCGCCATTGATGAGGCACACTGTGTGTCGCAATGGGGCCATGATTTCAGGCATGCCATGCCCTTCCCATTTCCAGATTTTTCTTTTTTGCAAATCTATGTGCGTCCATGATATTGAAAATATTGTAGTGCCTATGAGCTGTGTCATGTGTCGCAGGCCAGCATACCTTGCCCTCTCAAGCCTGCACACAGAGTTTCCAGGGGCCCCAATCCTGGCATGCACAGCCACGGCAACAAAGCAAGTCAAGGCTTCCATCATAGAACTGCTCAACCTGAAGTCTCCACTCGTGCTGGAGTCCAGCTTCAACCGTGAGTAGCCTCCTCCAATCCAACCTACGGTTGCCCCACTGTACAGCCCATGCATGCTGCCAGTATTTCTTCCCAGAGGCGACTTTGGCATGTGTTGAACAGGGACGAACCTGCGCTATGAAGTGCGCTACAAAGACCTGATAGGAGAAGGCTCAGATGCTGCAGCCCTTCAGGTGTGCATCAGATCAATCCTGGCCGGCAAAAATGCACAACAGCCTATATGCAATGCCTTGGTGGGCTGCATGCGAGGACACATGACGGGAAAAGTATGCAGGAACACAGCATGAATGAATCTTGGTGTAGGACATGGAGGCATTTGTGAAGAGTCAGCCACCTGGCACCTGTGGAATCGTCTATGCCCACCAGCGCAAGACCTGTGACTGGCTGGCCTCGAGCCTGTGCAATGCTGATGTGGACGCCATGGCTTACCATGCTGGCAAGGACGCAGAGCAGCGCTCAAGAATCCAGTCACAGTGGCTGGAAGGAGACATGCCCATTGTCGTGGCGACGATTGCATTCGGCATGGGTGTCGACAAGGCTAATGTGCGCTGGTGAGTGCACCTGCATGCATGCATGCAATGTGTGCATGTCACTTGGATCTCGGTAAAGGCTGCTATTTTGGTGGCATTGAAATTCCTGTGTTAGTGCATGTCTTTTGTGTCATGCAGGATTGTCCATTGGGATGCGCCCAGCAGCTTAGAGGGATTTTCGCAGGAGAGCGGGCGAGCTGGACGTGATGGCCTGCCCAGCCTGTGCATCATGTATGCCTCCAAGGCGCACTTTGAGCAGGTAGCCTTCCCTGATGAAAGCCACTTGCCAAATTATTATCCTTCATCAATAATAAATTGGCCAGACCTGATTGTGATCAATGGGATGAGCAGTGTCTCTATAAGTGGTGATCAACGCTCTAACCTATATATGCCCAGATCTTGACAAGGCTGTGGTCCGCTCAGAGCCAAAGGAGGCGGTCATGCCTGATCTTTCTGTGCTTATCATAGGGGATTAATTAGCTCCTTTTCTTTGCTCCTCCCATGCATTCTGCACAGGTTGGCAATCACAGAGTGATTGTTGTGCCAGATGAGGAAGCTGGAGAGGGGGGACCGGGTAGGCAGCACAGCTGCAGTGGCGGACATGGCCCTGAGCGCATGCTGCAGGCGCAAGGCGATCCTGGAGCACTTTGGAGAGCGCCGTGGCCGCTGCATTACCGCAGAGGAGGAGCTGTGCGACTTCTGCCAGTCTCCCAAGCAACTTGTGCGTGCTCCCTGCATGTCCAACCACACTTGAACAGCGCCTGCATGTCCCTCTTCTCATGGACACCGGGGTACTCTAAATTGAGTAATCAGTTGATTGAGAGTCCCCTGTGGGCATGCATGTTCTGTCCTTTCCAAATAAGGAATATGGCCAAGACAGGGTCTGAGCAATAACCCTGCATTGTCACAGGCAGCCAGTGTTGCACGCTTGGAGGGAGCATGGGAGCACAAGGAAGCAGAAGCAGCTCGTGTGGAGGGGTCAGGCGAAGGTGCAGATATAGAGCAGCAGACAGATGCAGCAATTGCGGCTGAAAGCACAGCCAAGATGACAACCCCACTGGGACTCCCAGCCAGGAAACGCAGCCGACTGCACCCGCAGGCCGCATGGCAGCCAGCTCGTGCACTGCCCCCATCTTCCCGTCCTGCGCTGCAGCAAAGGGAGGCTCAAGGGGGCGGGTCTGAGAAGGATCCAGCAGAGGTTGACTTTGCGCAAGGTGTCATGGTGCGTCAATGTATGCTCAGCAGCACTGTTTTGTTGAGCTTGAAACGCAGACGTGCTGAGGTAATTATGGCAGATATTGTTCATGGTGTCTGCAGGGCAACAGCAGGCCCCAGCCGACAGTGACTGAGATCTGTGCTGGAGAAAGGAATGTGCAGAGCTCTTCTCAGCCCATCAGACCAGTCCTGCTCGCCAGGAAACCCATCTGCAATGGTACAGGAATACTGTCCTCTAAAAACCCAGTATGTTGTGCTAGCAGACAATGTCGCTTTTGACATGTCAGCTGCCTGCATTGAAGCACAATGACAGCAAGTCAGAGCAGCACTGTACTTTGTGTCCCTTGCCTAATAATGTGCTTTGTTTTGCAGGGCTTGAAAAGGAGAGGGCGCCAGAGCCTGTGGTTCAGCAGCGTTTTGTCAGCGGCTTGCGCAGGAAGGGATTCAAGTGCCCACTGCGGAACCCCAATCTGACTGCTGCGGAGCCCTGAAGACTTGAGTGTGTAGAACATCTGTATGATATCGCGGATTCACTTTGCAAGTTATAGTAGGAGAATTGCCGGTGACAGTTGGTCTTTGAGTGTGCATGTTTCGGTCTTGTGCCAATAGTTTCACTTCATGCATTTATGTTGACTTACAACTCCAGAGGTGCTGGACAAATAGCGAACCTGCTTCCGAGTCAGGCGAGTTGGTGAACCCTTCATGCTGGACTCTCGGCAAGAATAAGAAGGATGTGATTCTTTGGAAAAAGCACACCTGAGCTGGGAACGCCTTGAGATCCTTGCAGTTTTAGGCAATATTTGCAATCGTTTGCATGCAGTCGCAGGAAGCTGTTCTGCTCTGCGTGCCCTCTGCCCTCAGGGGCAGGGTCCTGAGATTTTGGGCAGTACGAAATTCGCGTGGCCCGCACAAACCGCGATCCAAACCCATCCTGCCCGACCAGTGAGAGCGGGAGGTCATTATACCCTGCCCAAATCCTGCTACAAAGCATCCCCACTCTCCCATTCCAAACCACTTCAATCGGCTGCTCGCTCTCCCCCTTCTTCATAAGCAACAAAAAAAACAAACACAATGGCTTCCGCACTCATGTGTCAGAGCTTCCTGGGCGCGTCCCTGCGCTCCGCTGTGCCCACCAAGGGCCAGGTACATCCCAGTCGCCTTCTTCGTTAGTGGGTCGATAAGTCTGCTGTATGGTGGCCATATTATTTGCTGCTTATTGATTGTTTGCATATACGTGGTGTCTCCATTCGTATGCCCTCTATCCAGAGTTGTGGGGAAAGTGCCAGGCCGCTCGGCTCTCACAGAGGTTGTCTTCACCTTGAACTTTTGGTCGTCAAACAAGATCTGATCTTTTGCGCTTGCAATCTGTGCAGGGAAACAAGCAGGTGACCCGCGCCGCCATTGAGTTCTACGGCCCCGACAGGGCTGGAGTGAGTCCCCACCGATCACCCTGCTTGCAGATGGGATGACAAGTTGACGGTTGCAGCCTTTCGCCCTCAACGGGTTAGCAAAGTGTATCAGTAGTTCAGTTTTGCGCTTTTTAAGGAGTTTGTGTGGTTTTTTGTCGCACATCTGGCCCTCACCCTGTTCAGGACCCAGCCGTATCCGCGCCTTATCCTTAAGGATATCGCGATGCCCAAACTTGATGGGTGACCAACGGGACCTCAACTGACGCTGGATGCTCTGTTTTTGCAGTTCCTGGGCCCCTTCACCGAGTCTCCCTCATACCTGAAGGGTGAGTTCCCCGGTGACTACGGCTGGGACACCGCCGGTCTGTCCGCCGACCCCGAGACCTTCGCTCGGTGAGCTGACCCCGCCCCCGAGTCTCTGTCGCACCCTTTCGTAATTATATGTTTACTTGATGATATTGCACGCCGCGCAGTTGCATCCCTCACACCAATACCTTGCAAATTTCGGTCGTTATCTGTTAGCACGCAAGGTGTCCCACCTTGGTCGTCCTGCAGCTCGAATGCCCACTGATGTGTGCTGCCTATTCTGCAGCTACCGCGAGATCGAGGTCATCCACGCTCGCTGGGCCATGCTCGGAGCCCTGGGCTGCGTGACCCCAGAGCTGCTCGCCAAGAACGGCGTCTCCTTCGGCGAGGCCGTCTGGTTCAAGGCCGGCGCTCAGATCTTCGGCTCTGACGGCCTCAACTACCTGGGCAACCCCTCCCTGGTGCACGCCCAGTCCATCATCGCCACCCTGGCCTGCCAGGTAACCCCTCCTCCCCTCCCAACCTGCCTGCTTGCCCTTCTTTTCACTCCACCGTTTTACAAGTCCAAGATTCTGGCTGGGAGAGCAAGCTCCCGCCTTCGCTGGCCTCTGCAGCAGTCTGTTAAGAGCCTCGGCTTGCCTGTCCTGCCTCTGCAGCATTTCCTGCTTATCTAATTGCACAGCGGTCTTCAAGTCCTTGGCATGTCTGTTGTCCTCTTGCAGCAATTTCTGCGCGTCTGCTGAGCAGTGGCTGAACTGCGTTGATGGCTGCAGGTGATCCTCATGGGCGGTGCTGAGGCATACCGCGCAAACGGCGAGGGCCCAGGCGTTGAGGGCCTGGACTCCCTGTACCCCGGTGGCCCCTTCGACCCCCTCGGCCTTGCTGACGACCCGGACACCTTCGCCGAGCTCAAGGTACATTCCACCACTTACTCCTCCTTATTATAAATACCTCGTGCCTGCTCTTATCACCTGTAAAGAACTGTCGCCGACCGCTGTGCATTATTGCTGCTGTGGCTCTGAACTTGCTTGCAGCACCTGCTGCACTTTCAAAGACAGCTGGCAGCAGATGCATGTGTCCTGTGGAATCAAGGAAAATGGGGTTCTGACAGAGTTTGTGTGGGTGTGCGCAGACCAAGGAGATCAAGAACGGCCGTCTGGCTATGTTCTCCATGTTCGGATTCTTCGTGCAGGCCATCGTCACCGGCAAGGGCCCCATCGAGAACCTGTCCGACCACTTGGCCGGTGCGCTTCCCTCTGTGCTCGTGAAACACCGTTGCTCTGTGCTTACAGGCCCCCACATGTCTGAATCCACCTTGCCCAGCAGCTGCTTCCCCTGACTAGTGCTGTTGTCGATTGAGAGCTGGTAGAAATATTGGTGAGATGTGAGAAGGCCTGCGTGAGAAGGCCTGCAGCACCACTGCCAGCAGTGGCATTTTGCATTTTGCGTCACTGGACTGCCAGCAGAAGCACTCGGCTGTGTGACTCAGGAATGGTTAGCTGACCAGCTGGTGTGTGCATGTGCAGACCCCGGAGTTAACAACGGCTTCGCCGCCGCCACCAAGTTCGCTCCCTGAGCATAGGTCTCTGTGCTTATTTTTGTCGATACTGGAATTTTGAGCTGTTGTGATGCTGTGGCCGAGGGCTGCCTGCTGATTGTTTGTCATGATGTGGGGCTCAAAAGTCACTGCGAGTGTAGCGTATAAGCTGCCAGGCTTGCTCAGTGCGTTTTTGGTAATGCTATGATCCGGGATGAGAGCTGAGCGCCGTAAATGGATCATGACACTGACGAGCGCTGTTGCAAGTGCTGGCATGCTAGAATTTTGAGATGAGAAGACTTGAGAGGGAATGTAGATGTTTCATCCTGTAATGGTGAGATGAACCGGGAAATATGAACTTGGATTTTATACTCTCATGCATCTGAAAGTCGAACCGTCCCTTCTCAGCTTCAATTCGCCTCCTCAAAAATTATCTTGCACTTTCCATGCCTGACACAACTGACCAGCAATGCTGTACAGTAAAGCTCATAACACCGGCAGTATCTCGGTATCTAATCAACTCACGCCCTCACGTGTAAATGCTGCACACTCTGTCTCTCACTCCTCTTCAGTGTTTCTCTGGCCGCCACACTGGGCAGCTCTGCGGACCTGCAAGACACACAGGCATCTGTGAGCATAAGTATCCTGTCTATGCTGAAGGACAAGAACCAGATATGGATTACCCTGCCCAAACAGTGGGGCTGCACAGCTGTTGTTTGTCATCCGTATGAAAGCTGCATGCCTGCCTGCAATGCAGATTATCACTCGCTTATACAGCTGAAATAGTAGCGTGTAATAATAATAATAATAGTAATGCAGCTGTAGCCCCGGCTGGCGCGGGATGCTACAATACTGAGCACCGTGCCCACAGTTGATGGGGTCTTGCTTGGATCTGGCGAGTTCCTGGAGGGGTTGGACATGTCACATGCCACGGTGGCAGCCTTTCCCTGCAGCTTGTCTGCAGATTCACCTTGCCTCTGGCAGAAACAACGTGTAATATAATAACAATGATGATGGTTATAATAATAGTCGACAGTGAGCTCACCCTCCTGGTAGTCCCCTGTGGGGATCTGCACGCCAATGGCTGACAGCAGCGCCTGCACAGGGGAGCCCTCCCGGGAAGCTGCCGGCTGCTGCTCGGGAGACCTGTCGCTCGCCGCCGCGCCGGCCGACGACGCCGCGGCCGATTCCGGCCACGCGCCGTCGGAGCCTTCGGCGTCCTCTCTCAGCACCGGCAGCAGCCGCGCGTTGCTGCGCGGCAGCAGGGCGCGCAGAGTCTGCATGCACCCACAGCATCGTGTAAACTTCCTGTGTAAACTTCCTTCCTTCCTTCTGTCACCTGAGCATTTTTCAAGCGCGTTCATGTTCATCTATGGGTGTTCAGTGTAGTGCTGACACAGCCCCATGTGCCTTTGATGCTATCTTGGGTCATCACCACATTCCTTTGATCAGCCACAGGATTATTCGTGAATAATGACCTAGCAGGTTGCTGCTATTTGTCAGGGGGCACATGCAGCTCGCCAAGAGAGAGTGCTTCAGAGTAGAGCGGGAATGACTCCACAAATGGCTGCAGGGCTTCTATGCAATCACAAGGACCAGCAGAGACTGCTTCAGAACATAGCGGGTGAGACTCCCCTACCGGCTGCAGGGGTTGTATGAAATCACAAGGACAATGGCGTCAGGGTGGGAGTGCGCACCTTGATGTGCAGGGACTCCTGCTGGGCGGCGACGCGGCAGAGGTCGTCCAGCTGGCGCTCCACGCAGCAGGTGTGCACGCACGCCAGCCACAGCATCCCCAGGAAGCCCCATGCGATGTGCAGCAGCACTGCCACCCCCAAATACCTCGCCGCCCACGCCGGCACCCCTGCAGCACTCAAAAATTTCACTTAGTGACAGCAGCTGCCCTGACTATTCCATGACTCGTGGAGTTCGCAGCACGGTACAAACACCGCAACAAGAATTGCACAATAATTGCAGATTGCTGCAACCATTTGGCGGCATAAAGCCCATCAGAGCTATAGTTTCCATTGCCCCTTTGCTTGAGCCAAGCCCCTAGTCCTTCACGCATCCCTGCTATGCATGCTGGGATAGGTACCCAACCTTTATGTCCTTTAACTACAAATGACGAGAGGTATGCGAAGTCCAGGTGAGACAATGGGAAGCTAGATGTGTACGGTGGTGCAGTGTGCACCTGCGCCCCAGAGGAGGCCCAGCAGGCAGGCGGCCTCGGTGGCGATGAGGGTGTTGAATGCCGGGAAGGGCACCAGCCGGCTCTTCAGCGCCACGTCGCACGCTGACCGCCGCCCGCACATGCGCGATCGCCACCAAAACCGCCCTGCGCGCATTAACAATCCTCTTACGTCACTCTGCATGCTTCCTAGGACCCCAGTACCAGGCGTCTGCCGAGGTGTCGATCTCCTTTCGCCTTCTAGCCTTGGCATGACTCAGCAGTAGTCAGCATCAGAGTCCAACAGGGGGACTCTGAACAACCTCTCCCAGCTATAAGTCTTACTTCGGTGAATTGTGTGATGATGTATGTACCCGCAGCACTCATCTACTGCGCTCTTGGCATGCTCCTGAGAATTAGCAACACAGGGCTGCAGACAGGGGAGGAAATGCACCTTGAGCGTCGGTGGCGTCAGAGACAAAGACAGAGGGCGGCCACGCCATGCAGGCAACCAGAAGCTTCACATCATCGAACCTGGGCACCGGCATTTTCACTGCGGTGCCCAGCTGCGCCTGGGTGCTGGCAGTGGCCTTGTCCCATATCCTGCGCTGCCCCCTGCAGGTGCACAACAAAACCACCACCTCTGGTTAGCAAACAGAGTTAGCTAAAAACCCACCCCACTGTTCAAAGTTTGATTCCTTTTTGAATTATGCTGGGCATTTGAAAAGTGTCATAGCCAACATGCAGAGCTGCATGCTAGTTTCGGGATCGTCCTCCTGGTTGTAAATGACTCAAGTAGCTTTTCACCCACATGGGTGCCAGTGCTGTATCATAAACTGGTGAGTAGATATCAATCCTTGCCGGGCAGATCAGAATATGACCGAGTTCCAGGCCTTGGCACTCCCTTGAGAGACACTTCCTGCGCTTGATTGGGATGATGTGCCAGGATGGCTTCTTCTGGCAGCCCTTGGAGCAGTACTTGGCCTGATGGTTTCTAGAACACACCTGCAGGGGCTGAAGCGCAGCAGGAGCACTACTGCCACAGCGTGCAGGCCCAGCGGCAGCAGCGTCCAGAAACCATATATGTTCTGCGGGGACAAATACACTGATCAGGAGGGACTGAATTTAGGACATGGCCAGTTGAAATTGGCAGTCAGTGGAAGAATACTCCACCAGAAGGAGCTAATTGACAGGCCACGCAGCAACAGATACTGCCTTGCTTGCACGTGCAGGATTTGCGCCAACAACAGGGAAGCAATAGTATAGGCGTTGAGGGATCATGGACAGATTATGATTACAACTTCAGCTGAATCTCACCGCAAAGAGTGCCAGGAGAGTGACCCGCGCGCTCAGCTCTGCCAGCCGGTACATGAAGAAGCTGGCCAGCTCCACCTGATATGCCCTGCCACATCAAGCTTTACAGTCAGCAGTCACAGCCCCCTCCTATGACAATGAGTCGCCTACACCCATAGCTTTGACCGCTGCCCAGCAGTGAAGTCTTCTAAATGGAGTGGATTCTGCTTCTTTGAGGAATACACAGGGTGTACTGAATGCCAGCAGTCTTGCACTACTGTCTTGCCGCCTTTCTACGATTGTGTTATGTATGGAGAAAGTATTGATGTTTCTCAGTGCTGGGCTGCAGACTGACTTATCGGATGTGGCTGCAGATGCCTTGCACGTGTGCCCTAGGACGTTGGCTTTGGGTGTGGCGATCGAGCAATGAGTTAGCCTAAAGAGGTACCCACATGAGAGGCAGGGAGCCAGGGGCGTGCCTGTCCTTGATGAAGCGGTGGTCATTGATCTCGAGGGACAGGAAGCAGAGGGCCGAGGAGGAGAGCGAGGCGACGATGGAGGCGCAGGTGATCCAGTCGAAGCCGCCGCGCAAGTGGTACATGCAGCTGGCCGACTGGTGCACGCAGCGCATGCCGATGTAGACTTGCAGCAGGCACACTCCCAGCGTCAGGAACACCGTGTCCGCCAGCCGCATGCCCCTGGAAGCACCAACCATGCATTCTTCAGGCCCAGATTGTAGTTTCATCTCTCAGCATGACACCTGAAAGTTCTGGCAGCCGATGCTGCTGGCAGCAAGGCCGGTGAAGCTAAATTTCAGGCACGTACATTTCAGAGGGCACATGCACAGCATGCCCCTGCAGCCCCCTTGATGCACATCTTGCAGCCAAGGTTGAGTGTCCTCAGGGTGATGCACTTCTCGACAACGGCATAGACAGATAGCCCTTAGCATGAATTCAAGGCAAATGCTGGCAGCCAGAGCTCAGCCGCCAACAGGGCCGGCACTGCAGGTTGTGGCAGGTGCACTCTTCAGAGCATGCGTGCAGGGACAGGATGCACATGGCAGGTGTTCTAAAGGGCACAAAAAGGGTGAGCCTTGCCTGAGGTCCATCTCGACAAGGCGCTGGCGTGCCTCGCTGGAGAACAACGCGCGCGTAGCGGCGAAGGCCGTGCCCAGCTGGCAGACCGCGCACAGAGTACCCAGCCGCCGCACCCACCTCTTGAACGTCTCCTTTCGCAGGCCTGCATGCATGCATGCAATGACTCACTCCACCTGTGATTACCGTAATATCACCCGTCGCTCTGTGATGCACATATCTATTCTTTGGCGCCCATGCTGCAATAGTTCCTTTAATCTTATTGATAGTAGCTGTCGCTAAGCGATCTATGTATCTCTGCACTGGTAATGATGGGTGGATCAGGACGAACATTTACCGTGCACGCGCGCTTCGTAGAGATCTGAGCGCTGGAACTTGCTACGGCTGTCTCGCAGGTCTTGGTCAAGGGCGGCGGTGGGGTAGTGGGTCATCCAGTACATGACACACACCGCAGAGGATATGGTAAAGAAGCCCAGAGTGGCGCCAAACCACAGCCACCGCTGCCGGTGCGCAAAGCGCCACAGAGAGATGCACAGGCTGGCCTTGGAGCTGACGTCCAGGCCTATCCCCAGCCACAGCAGCGCCTTCTGCTCCATTGGCAGCGCCTGCCAAATGGACCTTCCATCATCATACATGGTCTGACCGACACAATTTTTTATTATGGAACCAGCAGATCTTGACAAAGCACACCCAGGGCTGCATGCGCGTAGCAGTGCAGCAACCTTTCGTGGCTTGCAGTGGGCCTGTGTAAGCCTGTGTTCCAGCAGTGACGGTGAGAGCTCATGCAAAGGCATGAAGATGCCAGTATGCAGCCATCTCACCAGATGAACACTTCTTTTGCTCTGTCAAAACAGAAAAAGAAAGGGGTGAAGAAATATACCGGTCCAAGGCTAGTAATTCTGTCCTCCACATCTCTGCTCAGCGGCAGGGGCGTTGAGAGCGCCACCCGGGGCATGTACGCTGGTATCCTGTCGTCCGGCCGCCTCTTTGGCAGAGAGCGCGCCACAAAGGGCAGTGCTGCTTGTACATCTGTGGACTCCATCTCAGAGCCTTCCAGTTGCTGCGCGAAGAGACTGCCCTCATGTCTGACCTGGAGGGCTGCCAGTGTCACCTCTGTGGGCACGGAGCTGGCTGACAGGTGGAAGCTCTGTGTAGGGCTGTCCTCAGAGTACTCCGGATTCTGGATCATGACTGGGGGAGAGCCTGTGACAGCAGACTCATAGATTAGAGCCAGCGCAATGCTGATTCTATCGTTGCCAGTGACAATGACTCACTGGAATTGGAATGGGCATGGGGTGCACCTGCAGACGCTGTTGCATGGATCCCGTCAGCACTGCCGATAGGATTGTTGAAGAGCTCAATGTCCTCTGCAAAGCCCTCTGCAAGCCGCCGCGCAATGTTTTCCTGCCTACATACAGCACAACAGCCCTCAAGGCCTGATCACTACTGCTTCGAAATTGTCAGCGCTCAAGGTAGCCTGCTTCTTGGTGGAAAGCCGGATGTTTGAAGCCATTACCTGGAGTCTTGTAGAATTATTCTTTGGGTGAGGGGTGTCGTGGAGACCGCAGTTGTGGGCGTTGACAGGCTGGAGTGGCCGTCGGACTGGACAGAGACGTAGTGGGAGCCGCTGTGGCTTGACTCTCTGCTGCTGTCTGAGAGCTGCACTGACAGGTCCAGATGGCCATATCTGTCGTTGTGATGCACCACACTGGTGTGCAGGCTGCCAGGCTGAGCAGTCTCAGATCTGGTTCTGCTCAAGCCTCTGACATCTACGACAGTCGAGCTGTATGCTTGTGCTGGAGCATCCTTTGACACTTGGCCAGCTGTCGCTGTCGAAGTTGTGCAGATGGACGTCTGCGTTTCCAGTCTGTGTCGAAGAGAGTTAACTGTCCCTGGGACAATTGCTGCCACTGAAGGTGAAGCAAGATTGCAGCTGTCGCTGTCTTGCATTCCGGAAAGGTGTAGTGTGGATTTCTGTCCGTGACTGCCGCTTTGCAGCAATTCGTGTCAACGTTATGTTTTCTTAGCCCACTGCGATTTTAGGGCACCCAGCCACTGGCGTTTTCAACGCCACTCATTAAGCTAACAAGCTATACATTTGAGCATACAAATGAGCCTACAGAGTCCACTAGGATTGCTGTACACGATAGAGGGTTGTCCAAGCTTTCAGCCAGGGTTACATGCCACTAGCCTGTGCCAGACGAGCAAGTTCCTGTAAAGGTATCACCGTTTATCAGGCCTACCTAGAGTGTGAAATTGCAGAATAACACGAATGCAGAGGGGTCAAGACGTACGGCACTACTTTGCAAATTTCCTAGTGAGACTATATAGTGAGACTATACATGATATATCATGACTGTCGACAGCTGTCGACGCGGATTTCGTACTGTCGGCATGCCCTCCAGTGCACAGCAACTTCCCATTCCTACTTGTGATCCTCAGCCAAGTTTTTTCGAAATTCTATCATAATTGAAGGCCTCTTTCATTGTCTAGCAAGATTCCAAGTCAGCTTGAGTTTGTTGTTTTGTAGCTGATCCTCCCATCATCTGATCTACTCTCCTCGCCTCCAGCAACACCCATCAATGCAATCAATCGAGATCTTATCATCATGGAGAAGAAGGACGAAAGAGGGAAACGGAAGGCAGAGGATCACGGTGCAGGTGTATCGAGGTGGGGGTTCAACTTGGGAACATATCTAAAGGATACAACATTGGGCAACTTAAATTTTGTGTATGAAAATGAAAAGCACTTTCTTACCCGACCAAAGGTCACTGGATGCATGCCCTGCTTTCACATATATGGGGACAGGTCTGATCTGATGCCCGAAAGGTAAAGAGACTAAATTATAATAATGTAAGCATTTTTGGATGCACTCAGGCGTCCAACAGCTCCAAAAGTCCTGAAGGCGCCATCCTTATCCGCGGCTTGGGCGACAGCATTTATCAGTGAAGTCTCCAGCGCAGCACAGGTTGCCCTTCAGCAGGCAGGACCTGGTGATGCCAGCCAGGCGCCCCTTGCGTCTGTCAGCGACGATGATGACCTCACAGAACTGCAGCAGGAGCTTCCAAGGCGCAGCATTGGAGATGCGGAGGATCTGGCTGGAGAAGGTGTTGTGTTTGGTGGGCACGGTCAGGTCTGGGAGGTGTGCAGGGAAGAGCCTTCATCGCTTCAGGCAGCAGCCTTCAGCCTCAGGTAGGGAAGACTCATGTCCATCTGTGAGAAGACTTCTCCTGCTGATTGAGGCCCCATCTTGCAGTAAACATGCCATGCATGCAGCTGCGCGGCTGTGAACATCTGCATGGCATGCGCAGGGGGAAGCCAGCGGGTGAGCTGGCGTTTGTGGGGGAGCATCCGCCAGTGCTGCTGACGTCAGCACATTTTGGCCATGCCTCCAAAAGCCGCGCATTGGCAGGAGCCTCTGTGCTGGACAGCAGCTGCGGCCTCGTCAGGCCCTTTGTCCTTCACCAGTCAGGGAACACAGTCCAGCTCAGCGCAATCGACAGTGCCAGGCAGGAAGCTCAATCAGTAGTCAGCTTCCAATTGCCGGGCCCGGCAAACGCCTCCTTGCACTCATGCCGCATTGCAGACGGGCCCATGATAGTTATTCAGCAAGGGCAGCAATCGCTCCTGGTGGGCTTCAGAGACCCAGAGGAGGCCTCTTGCCGCGCAACTTCAGCACAGGCTTCCATGATCGCGGGGGAGCTACAATCGCAGGACGTCAGCTGGCAGGTGCATGAGCTGCCGCTGCCAGGAGACTGTAAGCAGCGCTCCCTGCTGTGGGAGGCCATGTCAGGGGGCACACAGCCGCATGTGTGCGTCCTCATGGGCTGCAGCTGTGGCGTTGAGGAAGAGGGACATGCGGTGTTGGAGCTCCAGTACACTCCACAGCTCGGCTGGAGAGCAGAGCAGGTGGCTCAGTCAGCTTCAGGGCGGCTCTCAGCCGTCTGCCAGGTGCCCCAGGAAGCCTCCGCTGCACTGGCAGCTGGCATCAGAACGCCCGCGCCGCGATTCGCACTTGCGACCGACGCAGGAGAGCTGCTGGTGTTTGAAGCTCCTTCCGGTCAGCACCATCTGAAGGCTTTGCTGCGCGCCCTTCCTGAACTCCTAAAGGCGCAGCCAGATGCCAGCACAAAGAGCAGTGGCGCTGAGCGGATGGTCCTGAGAGGTTCCCTGGCAGAGCGCATGCAGTGGCCGGCGCCAGCCTCGGCACAGGGGCAGGAGCCCTCCTGCAGGCTGCTGGCAAGGGCCGGGCTGCCGCATGTTGCAGCCCAGCTGGCATTTGTGCCAGATGGAAAGGCCGGTCAGCTCGTGGCGATGTGCGCAGACAGGGATCGGGCCATGTGCTGCATGGACTGGCCCCTGCTGCAGCAAGGGCCTCAGCTGATGGGCATCTCTGCCCTGGCGGCCGATCCAAGCGGCCTTGGCATCTTCATCAATGGTGCAACTTCATGCACCAATGTCACCACCCATGAGGCACACTTCCACGGGCTTGATACATGGATCTCATTACTGCCATGCACCTTTCTGTGGCATTGCTGGGGACTGACGGCTCTCAACTCGCGCAGGGCAGGCGGGCTGGCTGGCGCCGGGACAGGCGCGCAAGTCTGCTGCAGCGTTCCTTGACGCGGGTGCTGCTGCTAAATCGCCAGACATCGTGGAGGGCATGAGAAAACACGCCCTCATGCTGCCCCGTGCAGGTGCGGCATGAGACCTTGTCCTGCCTTAAGCGCTCTTGTCATGCTAGTGCACATGCATCCCATGCACATTGCTGCCTTTGCTTGCCAAAGAATGGATGCACACCCACAATCGTAAGTTGCTGCCATCAATAGGCGACTGCAGGCTGTTAGGACGCGTTTGGAAGCGCGTTGGACGCTGGGAGTAATGCATTCCTCATATGAATTGATGTCGGTGGCAGTTGGAGCGCCCGGCAAGGAGGAGGCAAAGGCGGCGGAGGGCATGCGTGCTGTGCTGGGCGCGCTGCGACGGCGGCTGGAGGATGGCTGCCGCGCGGTGCAGGACGCGGAGCAGCTGGCCGCTCGTAAGGCCGCCCTCATTTGCAGCTCGCTGCAGCTGCTGCACAACCACTGCGCCCGCACCTTCCGGCCTGCGCGCAGCACTCTGCAGCAGCCCGCGCCACAGACAGCAGGCGCGGCTGGCCGATCTGCTGGCGGCAATGAGCAGCATCCCAGCAGGGGCGATCAGCAGCCCTCTCATGGATCCTTCAAGCCCGCATCAGCAGTTGACGGCACGACCGCTGCGCCAGCGCTTGTGTGTGAAGAGCTGAGCGCAGCTTTGGAAGGCGAATGTTGTGTTGTGCACGCTCGGGTATGGGACAGATCTGGCACCCTCGACTTGCGCAGCGCACAGCTCCTGGCCTCCTTTGCGGACGGACCCGTCATAGCGGCAATGCAGCCGCCACAGGATGCAACCCAGCAGCCAATCTCCTCGCAAGGCTGGGACCCTCAGAGACAGCGCGGAAGCAGGGGCGGCTCTTATCGTCTGTGCTCTCGCGTGGACATCCAGGGGCTGGTGTCAGCGTCCAGCAGGGCCTCCTTAGACATAATAGCTGTAGTGTTCATGCGGGCGGGCCGATCAGCTGACAGTCATGCGCAGGCAGCTGCAGGCAGGTCAGGCTCAGGGCAGGGTGTGACAGCTGTGCAGACAGGCCAGCACATGCAGCACCTAGGGTCCTTGACACTTGATTGGCCAGAGATGCTGCGCCGTCAAGCGCGGACAAGCTCAGCTGCTTCTCTGGGCGCTTCAGCAGCGCCTGAGCCAAGGCTGGGAGCAGAAGCGGGTGACGGAGGTGCTGTGCCTGACAACTTTGAGCCTGAGAACGCAGCCGCAGGCAGCACAGCGCCCATGATGCATCAGCAACCTAGAGCAGCCACAGGAGACGCACAGAGTGATGCCCGACAGCAGGAGCAGCCTTGGCAGGTTTATCAGCAGGCATCAGCTGCACGCGGCCCAGAAATGCCTAGTCAGCACCTGTCAGAAGCGCGCCTCTGCCTGGAAGCAGACCAGGGCAGCGTTGGGGATGTGCCGAAGATTTTGGAGGATGCTCTCGGGCTACGAACAGAGTGGATCACGAGTGAGTGCCTCTTCCCCGCAGGCCCTGCTAATATGATGGGTGATTGCTGGTTTGCTCAGGTTGCATTGGATGCTGAGGTTACTCTATGGGGTAAAGTAATTCGTTTACTTTTTGATGGGATATTATTTCCATGTACTCAGATCATGAGGAATGATACATGACACAGGTCATGGAGCACGCCTCTCAGCAGTGGACGACAGTACTGTAAACTTGATGTTCCATGGCAGCCGACATGCAGAAGTCATTGTGCAGTCAGCAAATGCCAGCACATGCCATCTGATGGAGCGATGCATGCAGACGGCTCTGGCTGAATCAGGAGTGAAGCTACAACGCATGTGGAGCGGAACAGATGAAGTTGCTGCACTTTTAGGAGCAATTGAAGTGCTGTGTGCCGAGTTGAACGCCTGTGTTGAGTATGTTGACAGGGAGCTGTCACAGTGCAAACATGATGACGTGGCAGAACTTGACCAGACAAAAGGAAACACGACATTGGCAGACCTTCGTGAGCGCGCGATCAAAACAGACTTGAAGTGCTCATCTATCACTTTTCTGTAAAATGTATCTTCATGATATATACTCTTCTCATTGCCTTATGATGACACAGTAGCTATTAAAGGATTTGGACTCGACACTCAGTGTATGGTGCATCGAAAAATCCAGCAAAAGTGGTGTGTTCTGCAGTGCGACAGGCAGCATATACACAAGGAACAGGGTAGGATGCCCACAAAATAGCGTTTTAGACAAGTTCTTCCCAAATGCCAAACTTATTGCTCAATACAGACTATACTACTGCTTCTTCAGGAACATTGAGCGGAAGTCTGCATTTGACTTGGGCGCTGCGCCGCTGCCCGCATCTGGCCGACCCTGCCCGAACCCCTGCGCATCTTGCCCTGACAGGTCCAGGTGCTTTGCATGGTGGTCCGGCAGCTTTCCCACATTCAAGTCCTCCCGGTCCCCCCGGCCACGACCACCGCGGCCACCCCTGTCCCCCCGGCCACCGCGCCATCCTCCATACGCACCGTCACCCCTGCCCTGGCCCCCCTCACCGCGGCCCCCATGTCCACCTGCACGCATCCAGCTCATCAATAAATGACCTCCCACAAGAAGGAATGAGCCTGACATTGAAGCCCTTGTTCAAAAAGACAGTGATAATCTATGGAGGGACAAACAAAAGTAAGTCCTACCTCGCGGGGGTCCGCGGCCGCCGCGGAAGCCACGCCCCCCGCCGCCACCGCGGGGGGCCTTGTCCGGAGGCGGTGGCCGCGACACCTCAATGGACAGGGGACGCCCCTGGAAGTCTGCACCGTTCTTCGCCACCGCCTTCTCCAGCGTGGCTTTGTCAGGGAAGTCCACGTACGCCAAGCCCTGCAGCATGAGTTAATATGTGAGGACACCGCCATGCACAGCATCGTTTAGAACTATCCTCTAACCAATGAAAGGATGCAAGGGAGCATCAGCAAGGGTTCAGCTGTAGTGGTTTCAACCTTGGCGCGCCCATCTGGACCCTTCAGGAGGCGGACTTCCTTGGCACCCCCACACTCTTCAAAGAACTTCTCCAGCTCCTCCTTCTCCGTCTTGAAGGGCAGGTTCTTCAGGAAGGCTGTGCAGTTGTCCCTGTAGAATTGCCGCTCGGCTGCACTGGGCCTGCCAGAAGGCCCCTCCCCACCATTCGCCTGACACCACCATCATTACTCTGTCAGAAAACCTAAGTGAACGCTGTACAAAGGGCAAATTAATCTCAACAACCAAAGGCATGAAGGAAGAAGTCGGCATTGCGGATATCCAGGAATGTACGATAGGCATGTGGCCCTTAAGCAACCCAGGAAGACCATTGCCAATTCCATCCCAGGCAGCAAATGACACAGGGGCAATGGCAAAAGCACCTGGGGTTGCTGAGGTGGCGCTGAGGTTTCAGCCAAGGTGTCACCAGTCTCATTGATGGCATTGACATCCTGGGCGCCGGCAGAGGCAAAGGTGGCCTCCATCGGGACGGCTGGCCCATCGCCCATGGCTGCGCCAGATGCTGCCTGCTCTTCAGGTCCAGACGAAGTGGAAGCTGCAGCATCTGCAGCTGCCTCATCCCCCCTGTGCCGCTTCGCCTCCCGCGGTTCCTGTACACAGCAGGACATGGTTACTTCTCTGCCTAAGGAATGTATGCCTTCCCCAGAGATTCCATGACAAACAGCAAGATCCTTTGGGGCAAGACAGCAGCAAGGTGCACAGATCAGAGGTTTGCAGTATGAATGCAGCACTCAATCTCAGCATGATCACCTGGTAGCCAAGGCCCTTCTTGCGCTTGGGCGGCATGCGGCTGGGGGGCGGAGGCATCGCCGTCGTATCGGCCTCTGCCTTGGCCACCTGAGCCTTCCTGAAGTTGGGGTCGCGCTCCTGGCGCAGCTTCTTCATCTCCTCTGGTGTCAGCTGGGGCGCCTTCTGTGCGGCCGCCTGCGTCTATCAAGAGCCCCCACAGCGCTCAATGAGATGCTCTTCAATTATAATAACCTTCAAGTGTGGGGCCAGTTATCTGGGAGGCTGACTCGTGCCTGTAGTTTAGCCGAGTTCATATCCTACGTGGAATTCTGTGCAATACAGGCACAGTTTGCAGTGCGCAGTGCATGAGAGACAATGAACGAAAGGTGAAAGAAGGTAACCTGAGCAGCTGCAGCGGCTTGCTCGTCGGCTGCGGCCGCAGCGGCGGCGGCCGCTGCTGCAACGATGGGCTCTACCTTGAGCTCTACCTGCAGCTGCTCATCAGCACTGCCATGCTCCCTCTCAAAGCGCACCCACGCATCACATAGGACAGCCTGCATCGAACAGAAAACCATTCAATCATGCATGACTCCAAAAAGAAACAGTGCAGAGCCACCACCCCCTGCATGTATGATGGCCTCTGCCAGTCGAAGACAAAGGCAGACTTGTCATGCATGTGACAGCATATCTGGTACAGGAGATGAGAGGTCGGTACCTGTCCACCTTCCTCCAGTTTGCGGCTGCTGGCGCGCTTGTAAAGGGCGCGTGCCTGAGGAATGTTTTGCTCTGCCGTCTCTGCAGCGATGAAAGCCACCCACGTCTCCACATACCTGTTACAAACCAGCATGGACGCTTTAAAAGAGTCCTTCATCGCAAGGCATCATAGATGAAATTTCCTTTTGGGATTGTGTGCCTTCTCGCGGTTAGGGACGCAGGTGTATTGCAATACCTGCCAGCTGGGCTTTTCAGGGCTGCATTCCAGACATCTCTAGCCTCTTCAATGCCCCGTCCAAGCCTCAGTGCAGTGTCTGCTCTGTACGAGGTCAGCTGAAGGGTGCGGTCCATCCAGTCTGGAAAGTAGACGCCGAGCAGCTCTTGCGCAGCTTGGAAAGCCTCTCTGGTCTTCCCATATGCTTCCTGCCCCTTTCTGCGCAAGCAGTCGATGCGAGCAAGCTGCACCTGCAAGTTCAATAGCAACACGTAAGATAATGGCTGAACAGTGCAACTCTGTGGCAACGTCGGCCACAACCACACAGGCATAACAGATGCGTGCGCCTTTCCTGCAGTGCATGCATAGCACCTTTCTCTGCACAGATGGAACCATTGCGATGAGCACTCCCATGACACAAGATCTGTCTGCTGTGCAGACTAAGAAAGTAAAGTGCATGTGCCAGCTTGCAAGGGAGTACACATCTGCAACAATTGGTAGGAAGTCTGAGAGTGAGCTCTCACAAGTCGTTGATGAGATTGGGTTGCACATTGAACAAAGTGCTTAATCACCTGCTGCCATCAAGGAATGGATCATAGCTCCCTGAATTGTTGCAGGGCGCACCTCAAGGTAGTCTCCTGGAGACTGCAGGCCGGCCTGCAGCGCCTTTGCATGGAATGCCGCATGCTCCTCATCAGGCGCCACACCCCTCTCCAGAGCTCTCAGGCCCCTGCACCATCAGGAACCCCATGCTTGCACGCCACAATCTGAAGCACGAAAGTAGAGTCCTGAGCACCATGCAAACATACACATGCTCATAATTTGTCCCTAGTGATTGATCACTAGGCGTTTAGAGAGATTACCTGGCCCAAAGGGAACCAATCCAGGGACAGTTGCGCACAGCACGCTCGTACACGCTCCTCACAACACTGGGGATTTTGATGTGTGTCTCCAGGTAGCGGGCGAATTGCAGCCAGAGGTAGTGAGTGACAGGGAAGACCGCAATGGCCCGCTCATACAGGACGGTGACACGGCCTGGGTCACCTTGAGCCTGAATTTGGCATGGGCGCACATTTCACACATCTGCTGAGACGTGTTTGCACCAAGTGGACATTTTGCCATGCTCTGAGTGATATAAAGCAGAAGAGGGGGGGTTGCTAACCTCCTCCAGATTGATGTAGGCCATGTAGGCAGCCAGCAGCTCAGTATCGGCTTCTTTCCCTGGTGCAACAGCTTCCTCATGCGCCTGTCGCAGCTTCACTGCCGCCTGTGCCTTCTCATAACCCTTCTCGACATGGGCAGGCATTCCCTGACTGTTCTGGTGCTTGTCCTCCCAGTCCTGATATGCTGCGAGGGCCTCGCTGTTGCCAAAGAGCGGCACCTGATACACACCAAATGTTATAGCTTGCAGGCTGCATACCATGTAGGACATGGGACCCTGAAGAATTCAACAACAGTGATTAGCATGATAAGAAAACACAAGTCATGTACCTGTAGCTGTCGGTGAAAGAGAGACCTCACTCTCTGCACCTGCTTCTCCCCATCGACCCCTTCTGCTGCCAGCTGTTCCTCAAACCCCCTGCAAGCGGCTGCCCCATAAGCATGACACGATTTTAACTGACTCCTTGACAGTGTCACATGCAGGGAGACCGACCACCCACTGAGCACATGGTCAGCATGCAGGAGCACCAGAGATTGGTCCTTTCCAATACTTAGCATCACATAAGATTTACATCTCTTCAGTCTGCTTTAACATTTATATTCCCGGAGGTGATGCGATTGTCACCTGTACGCGTTCCACAGAGCTGAACCTTCTGCCAGGTGAATGCCTCCAGCTGTCAGAGCGCGCTCGCCCACATCTCTGAAGGCCTCCAGGCTCTCTTTGCTGTGGTCTGACATGACCACTTGCTCACTCACAAACCTGTGAAAAACGCTTTTCCTGAGTCAAGTTTCCTTGCAGTGATGCCATCTACTGTCCTACACTTCCATGCTTCAGTCACTCCGTCAGGTAAAATATTTGCATATAGTACTGACCTCACATAGTTCGTCCAGAGTTGGATTGACAGGTAATCCTTCACTGCTAGTTCGTAAAGCTCTTTGATGAGGGCCTCATCCACCCTCTTCTCTGCGCACTCATCTTGTAGCCATTCTAGCCAGAGTCCTTCGCTCAACGGGAAGCGCTCTTGCATATCCCGTCGAGCTCCTTTCAAGCGCTCTCGCATTCTGCACTTGCGCAGTACTGTGATGTACTGCAGGCAAACGATGGAGCCTCTTAGTTACAGTCTTCGAGCATGCCTCAGCACTAGAATCTTATTAAGGATCTGCCATATATGTAGTGGTTGTTTGCGATAGTGATCAAGTGGAGTAAGCGTGGAAGACTATGTAAAACTTGATCAATACCTGCAGGTGGACATCGTAGAGGTTTGGATTTGCTGCAAGGTCTGTCTCCAATTTTGTGATGCTTGCCATATCTTCTACACTCACGTCGACTTCAAAGTCACTGTCGTCAGAGTCACTGCTCTCCTCGCTGCTGTTCTCATCCTCCATGTTGTCTTCGCCCATCTCTTTTCCAGCGCCACCTTCCACCGGTGATGCCATGCTTCCACAATGTTTTCTGAAATCTCCTTCCAATGTCTTGAGGGACGCTCGCCAATATTCTTTCCTTGAAGTGCAGAGAGAGGTTGCAGTCGTGACCATGATGATGACTAAGCAGGGACATGCATGTCCTTGGACCTTCAAGCTCGATCAGCATACTTTCTATTTTCATCTAAAAGTCCCGTATGTTTGATCTGCAAGACTTATTCTCTGGTAGTGCAAACGCAACAAACGTACATCAGTTTCCCAGCTTCCCAGAAATTTTACAACACTGCTTGATCACCGGACCTGGCCGCTGGTGAGTGTCCTGCCGTTTGTGCTCCATGTGAGAATGGGTTCCTGAAGATTCTTTCACAACTCCCGTGAGAGACGCGATGCGTACGTCAACCTTTAAAGTGCATCTGGATCCTCACCATGACATCGGACTGACTTTCACTCATCTTTGTGTGGTGTTATTGCAGTGGCAAAACATCCATATTGCTGCACTACGCCTACCGTGTCGCTTCGAGGGGAAAGTCAGTGCTCTTCATTTGTCAGCGAGCAAAAATTGAACAAGTGCCACCACTCCTTCCACCAGGAGTTGATGGCCATGATGGCGCATTCTCGAGAATATACATGAGGTACAAAACCTCTGGAGCTGTGCTACTCTCTGCATCAGCTGCTTGCGCTCATGTGAGGATGCGTGATCAAGTGTTCTGCATGCATGCATGCCCGTAGGTACTTGTCTACTGCTGCAGATCTGCAGAAAATTGCAGCAAGCCTACACCTGTTAGATGAGCTTCCAGAAGCCATCATAATCGATGATCTGAGCAGCTTTGTTGATGCAAGGTAGGCAAGCATCGTGTGGACTCCCGAATGTCCTCTTTGTCAAAATCTGTTCCTCTGCAATGTGCATCTTGCTTCCTAGATGCACTAAACCATGCCCGGAACCAAGCACTAAATTCTGATGCTGTAAAGGGGCGCTGAACATGCTGGCGAGAAGCGACACAGGGATGCGGTGCTTGTGAAGACTCTATCATTCCTGCACGAAGCCACTGCCTATGCATCGTGAGGTCTTCCACACAAATTTGCAAAATCGCTGTACGGCAGCACACAAGCAAGTTTGGCAGACGTCCTTGCCTTCACCTTTCCTATCCTGCTTCTGCTGCCATAGTTGCTCACATTTGCGTGTGTGCAGGGAGAATCTTGCATTTGCTTCTCGATTTCCTGGCGGTGCAAAGCGCAGCTGTCATCTACTTGTTGCAGACCCTGCAGCAGATGCCCCCCAGAGCATGCACCTGATGCAGCGCTGGTTGCCTTTGGTCCTCATGATCCGAGGTGACCAGCACTGCCTCCCACTTTACGTCCCACCACTCCTGCTTCCTCACACACCTGCAGTGCTCAAATTCCTTCTGTATATGATGACATGCAGAGCAATAGCTGCAGCTACTGTGTGCGCTTATGCAGGCACCGGCCCGGACTTCATACTGTCAGTGCTGCCACAAGCACTCAAGGCCAACAGATTACCGGCGGCTTGTGCTGTGCAGCTCTGCTACCATCTGGCGCCATACTCTGCCATAACGCTCACAGACATCAAGCCGCCGGTTTTGGAAGCTGATGCAACAGCTGTGGCCATGTAGAAGCTGTTTATGAGAAAGAATTCTGCTTTGCATTGAATCCTTCAAGGCTGGAGTGATTCAACGGCTGATTGATGTCGCACAGCATAGCTCACATCCCAAGAAATCATCAATCTGCAAAATCCGGCCCCAAAGAGAGCGGAAATAGATTTTACATCAATTGCAAGCAACTTCCTTTTTACAAAATGTTCTAACCTTTGCCAGAGCTCCAGCTGGCATAAGATAACAACCTAAAAATAGTAAAACACTAGGAATGTGGACCTCATCTCTGCGCTCAAGCTAGGGGAGCCCAAGTACACATCGACACCGAAGGAACGCCTGGCACTCTGCCATAATGTCTAGGAAACATACAACGTCATGATGCCCCCGCGATCACCCACCAAGGCATGCTTGGGCACATCTCTGCAGGCTTGTATTTTGGCACTAGAGTTGCCACTGGCACGATTGTCCCAGGAAGCGTGACTACACAGCAGTGCTGGATCAACGTTGCAAAGTGTCCGCCCAGTCTACTATAGCTATTGCATGATGACCTCCTTGGCCACCCCACACCGCAACAATATTGATGCATGTCTCTTGACCCATTTCTCAGCTGATTATTTGTGCACATGCAGCCTTCGTTCTCACAGACCCGCCCTGACCCGATGAGACTGTTAGGTTGGATCACTGCTTCTTCTTGGGAGCAGGCCTGTACACGCCAACCACCATTGCGTGATCGCGCTCATACGGCTCGAGCGTGACCTGTTCCCTGGGCTTGAGCACCTGCTCCTGCAGCTTCTTCACCTGTACCAGCCACAAGAACACATTTAACCCACAGGACTTCAATGAAACGCTACTTGAAGAGATCAGTATTAGTCTTTAGCTGGGGTACACACTCTGAAATACCCAGATAATTCAATGTCAAGCAGTGGAATGCATTGTGGATTCAGATTGATGTGACTGCACACCTCGCGGGCGAAGACAGCCTCGGGCGGGGCTGTGGAGTCAATGCAGGAGGCCTTGATGGAGATGACAAAGTTGCCGCTGTTTTTCAGGAAGTACTGCGCGTTGATGCCCACAATACGGGCCTGGTCTGGCTGCGCCACATCTGCACATGCACATGAACGCTTGTCAGCCAGGGTGAAGGCTGCATGCTGACAACAAGCACAGTCCAAAGAGCAATCAACACTCATATTTTCTAGCGATGCATGCCTGCAAAAGTATGCCGATCCACGATCGCCTGCAAGTTACTGTTGTGTCTGCTGTTGATGGTCAAACCAGCGAAGATAGAAAGGCACCTGCAAAGATGGTGTCCACCATGGGCACGAGCATGCGGTACTTCTGCGGGTGGCGCGCATCCTCAATGATGGGGATCACGTTTGGCCGCTTCTTGGCCATGTTCACCAGGTCACGCCCTGCACCACGCCATTTAATCAACCTCTAGAAAGCGCTGCATCTTCACGACAGCCTTTGCATCTTCACAACAGCCTCCCCACTCATCCTGCCTCATGTCTCATTTAAGGCAAGACAGCTGTTGGAAAGAACAACTGCTTGCCACTTAGAACATTAAGTCTTCAGCATCTGCAGTTCTGCATTGTCTTGCGTTTGCCTGCTCAGTTTGGTTTGGGCAGGCTACAAAGCCGCTGACACACCTTGACAAGCATATTTATGGAGTTGGGCGTACTATTAGTGAGGGCCAGGTTAGCAAGTTGTTCTTACCGCTGCGATGTGAGAACTCCACTGCGTAGACGACGCCCTCAGGGCCCACGATGTCTGAGACATGGGACACTGAAGTGCCGGAGGCTGCGCCCAGGTAGAGCACCCTGGAGCCGGGCTTGATGTGAATGTTGTCCACGCCTGCCAGCACTGAAGCCGCCAGCTTGGAGCGGAAGGGGTTCCACACCCTGTACTCTATCTTCTCTCCCTCATTGGGGCCCTCCACGCTTATCCTCTTCTCGCCATACACGCTCTCACCTGCAGCACGGTACAAGTTTGTGAGCAACCTTCAAAGGCCGGCAGCAGACACATATAAACCAGCGACACCCACTGCAGTGTAAATCCCCCCCACTGAGCAGAAGTATTCAGGAAAAATCCTGTCAAGAAGTATGCCACATTGCACTTTCAGAACTGCTGTGCAAGGCAGGGAGAGGCAGTCACCTGGCACCATGTTCTTTGTGACCAGGGCATCCTCCTTGCCCCTGGCAATGAAGACTCCCTCGTGCCTGTGCTGCTCGATGACCACCTTGGCTCCGCCCTTCATGCCACCCCTGCCACCTCCGCGGCCACCACCACGCCCTCCCCTCTTCATCACTCCCCCTCCTCGGGCACCAAAGCCCCTGCCACCACCTCTGCCTCCTCCTCTGCCTCCTCTGCCGCCGCCATCAAATCTGCCACCGCCACCGCCTCTGCCGCGTCCTGCAAGTACAGATGATGTTCAGAAAGTGTCAGATCGCAACTTAATACAGATTCAACCAATCTGCAATAGTGGCGCGCAGAGAGATTTAGAAGATTGAAGCTTCTATGGGCAGTGTTTGTAAGTCATCTTCACGAGATGGAGACGTACCTCCGCCTCTGCCACCACCACCACCTCTGAAACCACCTCTTCCACCTTCCCCAAACGCCATTCCGCCCAACCCTGGTTCAGATCTTCAACTTTTGATCGATCAGCAGTAGAACAAATCGTTGAGACACACGCTCTCTCCGCACGCCTAGTCGTCAAGTTCACTTTGTCTCGAAGAGCGAGACTCCGAAAGTCAGCCGTCAGCCGTAGGCTAATTTGGCATCTGCAAGGGAGATGTGGTGGATGTTGCAAGGGTACTAAATTAGGCTCATCTGAAAATTATGAAATGAACACAAGTCAGGCCCAAAACGTGTGTGTTTTGTGGGAGGCAACATGATCCGCTGTCATGTATGCCCCAAAGAAGGGTACCTGAGCTTCATTGGCCTGCTGACGTCGACCAGGAAATGAGTGTTTGTCACACTGGCAGTGCCAGCGCACAGTGGCCACGTGGCACCGTGCCTAGGTGATCATCCCGTGATGGGCCCGGCCCATCACGGGGTGGGCCATCCTATGGTCCTAGGACGTCATGACATCCGGCTACGGTGGTGACGTCACGTGCGGCACATAAACGGCGGCGGCCCCGCCGGGCGCAGCATGCCATGCAATGCATCCATGTGTTATCCATGCACATGACAGTGGGCAGCAGTAGGAAGCAGTCACTCTGCCAACTGGCAAAGTCCAAACAGAAGAAAAGCCTGCCAGGAGAACAGTGTCACACGGTTGATTAGCTGAATGAGCGGTGCATGCTGTATACATTTACCTTCATTAAAGTGCAACTGTGGCTGCAGTGCAGGTATGGGATCGGGACCAGAAGCCATCAGTGACCCTGAGGCTGATATTTGCATCACTTTCTCAGTGAGCCCAAATTTTATAACCAACAGCCCCACTGGCTGTAACAACTTTGTACCAAGCAATTGCAGTACTCAGACTTTTGACGTGTTGCTGCAATCATGACGACTGCACCCCAAAACAGAAATTGTAAAGTGAGGTGAAGAATAGTCTAGACTTTGCAACGATTCCGTTGGTTTCCATACACAGTGCCGATAAGCACGTGTCCTGCATTTTGTCTTTTATTGTACTGGCTCGCCAGTGGCCGGCAGCGCCTGCCAATCTGTGAATCCACGGAACTCCACCATCTCACTTCAGAGAGCTGCTGACCAGTTCGTACACCAGGAAGCACGCTCCATTGGCCGGGAAGCTACGCGCCAGTGCCGGCCCGAATCCTCTGTACAGGCCGCCTACCCCCTCGGCCTTGACTGTCTGCATGCGTCACAGAGCACCATTCTTCAGCCTCTGCCTGGCATACATGCCTCTGCCTCATAAGTACTTTATCTTAATGACATTTGGAAGGCATCAAATGGAAGGCAACCCGAGCACCATGAGCAAGTCAGATGGGCAGGGCGCGCACTTTGCTGAAGCAGTCCAGCATGCCCCTGTACTGGGGGTTGCGCAGATCGTCCACCTGCATGCGGCTCTTTATGACATCGGCAGGGTAGACTGGCCCCCAGTATGCCGCCCCTCCCAGCCCGCCTGCCAACACCAGGCTCCCCACTCCCAGCTCCTTTGTGTCCTTCAATCCCTGCACATAGTAACTACCATCACCCATAGTCCAGCACCATCTTTTCCTTGTATTTTAAAGCTGTCTTGGATGTTGGCCAAGGAGCAATGCCTGAGGCAGAGGTGTAGACAGAGAGGTTGGCGCACCTGTGCCGCTGCCAGTTGCCGCTTGAGGTAGTCGTACACTCCAAACATGACAGCGTTGCCTGTCACCTCCCTCACAAGTGTGGGGGTGAACCCTTTGAACAGCCCCAGCGTGCCCTTCTCCGCCCTCACGTGCTTCAAGACATCAAAGGGGCCCCTATACCGCACTTTTGTCACCTGGAAACCACATACGTAAAGTGTCTATCTCCATGCACTCAATGCGCCTCCCTGCTGTGCAGATACGGCGCCTTCCTGGGCGCAAATTCTGTGAAAAGAGCGCCTGAGTGTACAGCTTGTGGCATTTCATTGACGATGGTGTATTCGCTTACCTCAGCTGCTTCTGCTGCCTTGGCTGCATCCCCCTGCGCCTGTAACCTGCACTTCAGCAGCTCTGTCGGGCAGGCCAGGAAGCTGACAGCCACTCCCGCCCCCATCCCAGCCACGAACTGATCTCCCACTGTCAAAGGAGAACCTGCGGACCCAAAAGGAGTCAGTGTGCACCGCGTATGCCTGAGACACTGGCACAGGTGTGCCGATCAATATGCGATCACAAACAGTCACAGGAAGCCCGCAAAAAAGGTGTGTCACTTGCCATAAGAACATGTCAATTACCGTCTGAGTGAGCCAACAGCTTCTCCATTTGTCCTCGGGTGGCAAACAGTACAGCATTGAAAAGGGCGACTGTGGCCAAGGGTGCTCCCATGCCCTTGAAGAGGCCTTTGATGCCATCAGAGGCAAGCGTCTGCAGCGGCATACAAATATGTTTCATTCATTCGCAAGAGCATATGCCGGCATGATCAGGACGATGCAGATGCCAAGAGATAAGCTTCAGGGAGCACCTTCCTCGTGGCATCGAAGGCGCCAGCAAATTGAGGCAACTCCCCAAGTGCTGGCTTTGGCTGACTCTGAAGTTTGACTTTGATCGTGTCTATCAGCCAGGCACAGGGCACACACACATGTCAGCAGGGTGATTTCATATGATTCAGGACATCAACGAAAATGGTCAAGTGCAGTCCTCAACAAGGGAAGTCAAGGCCTCACCAAAGGGGTGCCCCACAACAAGCTGCGCAGCTCCTGCCACCGTACCAGAGATGAAGTCCTACAGCATTGTGCCCATTTGTGTCACTCTTCTATAGAAATAAGTAATTGGAGAAAGTCTTGCTTCAACATACTGTGATGGGAGCAAGAAAAGGTGGAAGTAATTGAGACCAGGTCATCCTCACACCCCCGTGAAATGCCTTATAATACAGCGTTGAGATTTAATTGTAACAAGGAATACTCACGACGACAGCATCGGAGCCCATTTTAAGGCCCCACTTTTTCAATGAAACTCTGTGGCTGTCGTCTGGACTTTCAAAGAAAGATCAATTCTCAGGAGTTCGTAAAAGAAAAGATTGACTGCAGCAAGTAAAGTTTACTGAATGATTTCAAGTAAAGAAAGAAGACGATGTTCATCCTGAATCGACGGTCAGAACGAGCGCCTTAAACGAATGGCCCATCGTGTTTGTTCGATCGCCGACGGCGTTTGTGAAAAAAGAGCATTTGCGGATTCGCTCGACAAGATTTCTTCTGAAGATCTTTACCTTTCATTCTCTTTCAGCGGCAGTCCCATACAGTCTCTGCTTTGGATGTCAACGGGGCGCTGACAAGTGGTCGTTGGAGAGATTTATCCGTCCAATAAGTGCTGCAGAGCTGTCGATATGTGATGGTGGGAAGGTGACAGGACGTTGCCTTGGTATCTGCTCTCAGACATGCATCGTACAATCTGTCAAGCCATTCAATGTCCTAGGCACCCCATCTCTCGTATCAAGGACAGCAGCAAGGTCCTGTCGAAGCCCCTCTCACGCTGGTGCAGACCCTCTGTGAGGCTGTCGAAGCTGGTGACAAAGGCTTCTGAGAACACACCAACCACCGAAGAGGCAAGTGGCACAGATGATTATCAGCTGCAGCATAATGCGAAGAGCGTGGCTCGCTCTATGCTGGAAGGAAAGCCTCTCCTGTCAAGGGAAAGGGAAGAGGTCGAGGAAGAGGAAGCCAAGGAGAGGTTTGTGGGCAGACTGATCGTCCTTGTGCTTGGGGTGAGCACCTCTGCCTATTTTACAAGTGACCATTCACTCCAAGGTGCCCTGCAGAGCAAAGGGGGAGCAGCCTGCAAAATGTGTGCCGTGTGTCCTCGGACCAGATCATACCAAGCATTGTGCTCTGCCAACGCATCATTGCTCGGTCCAACGACCGGCCACTAAGGCTCTTGCGTCTGACAATGCAGGCTGTGCTGCTGGGGGAGCGCATCACAGGCAAGGGCGCAGTGCAGGCCCTGGATCATGCCGTGGGGGTGCCACTGTGGGAGATCGAGCCTGTGCTGGGTGCGATGGTGGTGGGTCTGCTCATCGCCGCGCTGTATCCCCGGCGGAAGCAGCTGGTTGAGGACGCGCAGAGGAGGCAGAAGGAGATGGGCGATTGGCTGGCTGATGCACAAGTGTGGGTTCGACGGCTGGCTTGCGTCTCGCTGGCATCCACCATTGTTGTGGAAGTGGTCACTGGAAAGGTGCAGTTCACTTTGGCTACTGACTCTTCTCAGCAGAAAACTGACTGATTTTTGTGAGGGTTTGCTTGCCCTGACAATCAGATGGCAATGAATCTGGGTACCAACCACAAAGCACAACAAAAGCCAGGGATCGAGCTGAGGTGCTATTGCAGGGAGCTTTGGCGCTTCTGGATATCGAGACTGGGGTGGAGACTTTGAGCGAGATCGAAGCAGGGGCTGCATTCTTGATCATGCTTTTCCTTACTGCAGCGGAGCCTAGGAGATCACGAGCCTGATGTTGAAGTGGAAGAGAGATGTACATTACTGATAGTGCGAGTGGCACAAAATTTCTGTGACAGAAGCCATGGGATTGGAGCAGAGTTGAGAGATGAAAACAAGGCTAACATTGACGGCACATTGGCCACAATTAAGAGAGGGCAGATTCTTTTTTTTGCCAGAGTCAAGCAAGGCTGTTGTTGCCTTTTGGAAAGTTACAGAATCTCCGAGATCATTAATACAGAATATGAAATTTGTAGAGCTTGAGGGTTTATATTCTGAATTTTGCGTGTATTAGCCATTCTTCTTTCGTACAGTCAGATGGCTCATGAGAAATGGAAGACTATCAGATCATGATTCAGGATTGGCCACATATTTGCATGGTGCAAGGAAGAGCATTTGCATGGTTATAAACCATTATTTGACTAAGTTTTTGGGCACATACTTGAAAGACCATGGACATCCTTCAGACAGTTGTGATTTCACAGTGCTCGTGTTTAAGTGATACCATAAAACATTTTTTGACCAAACTGTACCACTTGGCATGGCTGCAACAGAAATCTGCCGGTCTGAAGCCTGAAGATTATTGTTGGACACGAACCAAGCTAGAAAAGGTTTCTCAATTTTTGAAAGTTGCACACAGTGGTTACACACGGCGCTGGCGCTGGCAGCACTTTGAGCTGCAATATTGCTGCAAAATGGCTGTCTCTTCATGATGTACATGTCCTCATTGAGGCTCACTTCGATTCCATCCATTAGCATGCACTTCTTCCTGCTCAACTCATCATACACTTCAAGGTACTCTCTCCTTTTTATACATTGCCATCGCACTTTGAGCCTTATGAGAACATATTCACAAGTGTACAAATGGAATGAGTAAGCCATTAAGGGTTGACAAATCCCTGAGTACGTAGCAGTCTTATTTGGCACAGTGCAAAGATTGCACGCACAAGGCGACCGTAGTCAGTGCCGAGGGCCTTCAGTGCCAGATCTGCGCCCAAGCAGGCCCACATCAGGGGCCCCAGCATTCCCAGCGCACCATTCACAGCCCCATAGCGAGCAGCCGCCCTTGTCACACCATTTGAGGCCGCCTGCAACAGCACACCGCACTTCACCAATCCAGCATTGCATGCAGGAGCAAAATCCCTGCTATTGCTATTCTCCATGCCACTCCTTGGCATGAATTTTCCTCTCTAGAATTTCAGTGCAAGAGGAGACAGGGAGAGAATTCACAATAGGGACAATCATATTTTCAGAATTGAGAGGTCTTGCCTGGATCTGGCGAGTCCATCAAGGGGTAGGATTTTGGGAGTTTTTACTGCAGCTTGTCCCCAAACGCACCTTGCTCCAGCAGGAAAGTGTGTAATGTTAAGAATGTTCTCAGACTACAACTAGTGAGCCACACCTGCACAGCCAGGCGGCGCTCGAAGGAGGCAGTCACGCCGCGCGCGCCACTCTGGCAAAGCGCGCTCAGCGCGGCCTCGTAGCGCGCGCTCTGCACCAGCAGATTCCTGCCCAGCTGCTGCAGCGCCGACTTGCGCATGCCTGACAGGCTGACGGCGCTGCCCAGCTTGACCAGCGTCGGCAGCAGCTCTGCCCCTCCCAGCTTCAGCGGTGCAATCAGCCTGTTCACCAGTCCTGCACCAGCCGACGTCCTCCTCCTGTCACAGCCCACACATGCCGTCAGACAGACACCAAGACATGTGCTTCTTCAGCAGCGGACATGTCATTTCAAGTTCTGTGGGTGTCTGTCCAGACCAAAACAAAGAACTGTGCTATTTCAGCAGCAATCAGCCCATATCTGATACTGCTGAATGCCTGTCTGTGAAATGTGTACAAGGAAAGGCAGCAATGAAGCACCTGACAAATGCCATGCCATCACCATCTGCAATGGTGCCCCTCATCGATGCCTGCTCCTCCACAAGGCCGGTGATGGCCCCACTGTGCTGGTGCAATATGTGCAGGAATATTTCAGTCTCCAAATCCTGCACATGACATCCCATATTAGTTTACTGACACACCGTTGCTCTGGACGCCTGCACCGGTGAGCACCTCATGTTGACACCACAGAAGGAAAAAACGAGGCAGTCAAAGACTCAGATACATGACAATAAGAGCTGCACACCGCTGTAGCCAGGCCACTGGGGCAGCGCACATCCAACCGGTCCCGAATGTACTGCAAGGTCTCCCTGTAGCTTGGCCGATAACCTCGCAACACCGCCGCAGAGCTGGCCTGTCCGACCAGATTGGTTGGGTCAGGCCCATACCATGTGCCGTGTCACAGCCTGTTTTGGAATAGATCATTGCAAGATGACACCTGCAAAAGGGGGTGCAGTATAGGAAAGGGTTCTCACCGCCAGGAAGCGGAAGCGGGACTCAATCCGATGCATGATGGAGGCTCGGCCCCTTGCTGCAATTGCCGCAGGCTCGTTGTCAGCCACCAGGGACTTGATGAGAGGACTAAGAGGACTTGCACCTGAGCATGCAGACAGCCATCAGAAAGGCAGGCACAAGCATGACGTGGCTTCCATATTGACTAAAAGTAAGGAACGGGAGTGGCTTCGGACTCCAGACCAGTGGGCCTCACTGAAGAGTATATCGTGGACGGCCTCCAACTCATCGTCGTTGGCTAGATCCAGGAGATCCCAGAGCTCCCTGTCTACATCCTGCTCACTGTAGGGGGGCGTGATGGGCTCCAAACTCCTGACCTCTGCATTTGTAGAAACACTCCTGCAGTGGAACAGCAATTTGTGACCCCTATGCCTGATCCCAAAGTGCCACGGCTACAGTACACAAGGTATGAGATATTGCAAATATCGAACAGCGTCTTCTTAAGAATGTAAAGATCATACCGAGCGCCAGCGGTCGTCGTCAAGGTCCTAGGTTTCCACACTGTTCCAATCCCCATGTTATGCTGATGCCTCCATGACATCGGCCGAGAATTGTTCAAAGAAGCCACTGGGGCTGTTCTATGCGGCAAGGCCGCGAGAGATGTGTGGGCCTGACACATTTGAGTATTGGAGTTCATGAGCGCGAAACTGAGGTGTTACATTTTCTGTGACATCAGCAACCCCGAAAGCTGCAGATCAAAACGAATTTGCAGCAATAGTTTTAAAATTTCCTAAGATCGCTGCAATGAAGGAATTGAGGAGTAAAGAATTGCAAGCGGGCGATGTCACACACGCATTGGATCCTGAGTGCAGATCCAACGTTCATGCAGAAACCAATGCGCACTTTCTGGATGTGTAGAAAGCTCTACCATAAGTGCGTGTGAATGTTCTCAACGCCTGAACTCTCCAACTCAATTGCAGATTTCTCAAAGCTTCTGAGGTCCAGATTCCAGATATCATGACGCCCTGGTCTGCAGAGGGTAATAGTGAAGGCCTGCATTCCTTCACTGCATTCAATTTTGCCAATTCTGTGCGTGTAATTTGGTGTTCCTCGATAAACTGAAGGGATTCTTTGGCTCAATATTCATGATTTCATCCCATCATGAATTTGGCTGAGGGTTCTTGACGCATGTGTCGATCATAACCTGCTGGCTGCACGCTGCAACATGGGGCTCGCAGTGCCCAGGAGCTCCTTTCTGCTGGCGCTGCTGAGCGTTTTGCTGCAGTCATGCCAGGCACAGACGGATCACAGAAGTGGGTGGCTTTCTTCAATAGCAGCACAACTGTTAGATGGGAGTGGACGGAGGTTGCTTGGGGAATCGGACCACAGATACGACATGCATGACCCCATCAAGCTGTATGCCAACAAAGTGGGACCCTTCAGCAATCCCAGGTGCGCCAATCCGCGCTGCAAGATGTGCCACTCTCGATGAAAGTTTGTGCTGCTGATGAACACAACCTTGTCGCAACGTTTGCGTTTTGCTAAAAGATGCCTAACCTCCTCAGTATTTCAAGGATTTTGTGTGAATTTGTATCCCTTCCGGTGAATGCCTTACTTATCAGATGGTGGAACAGAGGTCAGGGACTGATAGGATCATCCTTACCTCCGTGAAACGGGCCTAAGTTTACAGAAACCTCTATAGAGTCAAGAAGGGAAAAAGAAACACTTTAATTTCCTGTTTGTTACTACTTAATAGCATCGAGGCTATCAAGACTGAACAGGTCTGCAGAAGTATACCGTGCCAGTCCCATATGGCCTGATCAACTTCACCCGTCATGCGCAGTGAGACATACCAGTACTACAATTTGCCCTTCTGCACACCGGAAGGCGGCAAGGAGTACAAGACGGAGGGGCTGGGGGAGGTGCTGGAGGGAGATCGGCTGGTGAATACACCCTACTCCATCAAATTCAGGGTGGACAAGGAGAATGAGATCCTGTGCTCGAGAGAGCTGACTGCCAAGGACTTGAAGAAGTTCCGCAAGGCCGTCAAGAAGGACTACTATTTCCAGGTTCCACCTCTTATCCCCACTTTTCCCGGAAGTGACACTAGATAGTGCACCTGCCAGGATCCCGCCAATTCAAAGCGTCATTACTCTCCCTGCTGCTCTGTGCAACACGTTGATATCACGATTTGGATTTTCAATCGCCGCATGCGCGCAGATGTTCTATGACGACCTGCCCATCTGGGGTTTCATTGGCAAGGTGGAGAAGATCATGAGCCAGCCGGGCGGCAAGACCTGGGAGAAGCACGACCTGCGCTACTACCTCTTCACGCACATCCACTTTGACATCCTGTACAATGGCGACCGCGTGATCGAGGTCAATGTGTCCACCGACCCCTCGCGCACAGTGGACATCACAGAGGGGGAGAATACCATCGTGGACTACACCTACTCTGTCAAGTGGCGCGAGACCACCATCCCCTTTGAGAAGCGCATGGACAAGTACTCCCGCTACTCCTTCCTGCCGCAGCACCTGGAGGTGATCATTCTGCATGCCAGCACTTCCACAACTTGTGGCTTTCTTCTGTCATTCACTACATGGTATACTGCGTGCTTCGTGTGCGCTTGATTGTGCCTACAGTGATGGGGACCGAAGTGTGGGTGCAGATCCACTGGTTCTCCATCATAAACAGCTGCGTGACGGTGCTGCTGCTGACGGGGTTCCTGGCCACCATCCTCATGCGCGTGCTCAAGAACGACTTCGTCAAGTACACGCGCGACGACGAGGCTGGTGCGGCCCCGCCACAACTCCATGGTTTTTGCTGTTCTACTGTCTTGTTCAAGGGGACCAACACACGTCTTGGCAAGCTGGGAGTGCATGCATGCATGCTGTTCCAGACTTTGGGATATTCTGAAGCATTACAGGCGCTGTTCATCTGATAGAGAGAGCGGCCCACACGGTTGCTTGCCACCGGCAATCGCCCACAGGGGAAGACCCACCTTTGCCGCTGTGCATGTCGCAGAGAGAATGACTTACACGTCTAATCAACCCCTGAGAGCGACCCACATGGTTGATTAGCCCATGGTATACCTCACCTCACAGGAGAGGACCAGGAGGAGACGGGGTGGAAGTACATCCACGGGGACGTGTTCCGCTTCCCGCCGCACCTGTCGCTGTTCTGCGCGTGCGTGGGCACGGGCAGCCAGATCCTTACCATGGCCGTGTGCATCTTCGCGCTCGCCCTCGTCGGCGTCTTCTACCCCTACAATCGCGGCGCCCTCCTCACCTCCTGCGTAGTGCGTTCACACCTCCACACCCCTTCATTTCTCCCCAGCGTGCAGCCGCCAGCGCACATCTGACTGCAGGCTCCCGTAGCATTGGCATCGCTGCATTTTTTGACTGATCACTTGCATGTCACGCATCCAATTTCCTTTCCACCACGATGGTGCTCACTCACAGATGTTCATCCTGTATTTCCAAAAGCTGGTATGACTGCTTATTGCCGCATGTCACCTGCAGAGCGTGCCAGGGGGCTCCATATCAGACTACCTGGATGTCTGTTGGGCCCCTTGAAGTGCTTCAATTTTAAGTACCAAGATTGGGGACTTGCCTGGTGCAGGTGCTGTATGCGCTGACGGCTGGGGTGGCAGGCTACGTGGCGGCGGTGTCGTACAAGGTGATGGGCGGCACCAACTGGGTGCGCAATGTGCTGCTGACGACGGCGCTCTTTTGCGGGCCCATGCTGGCCACGTTCTCCTTCCTGAACACGATCGCCATCGTGTACCGCTCCACAGCCGCGCTGCCCTTTGGCACCATCTGCATCATCCTTGTCATCTGGGCCCTCATCACCTTCCCACTCACCGTCCTCGGCGGCATCGCCGGCAAGAATTCCAAGGTGCCTGTCTGTGCTCTTTGTGGCTATGACAGATCTGCCACATGCTGAAACCAATTGGTGCACCTTCAACACGGGGAGATCGGGCAGCAACAGCATCAGATGCAATGAAGTATTGGCAGTGTGCTGTGGAAGTCGAGACCCGTCGTTATGATGGGCAGGCGCCAAGTAAGAGAGTTGCTGGTTCTTCTGCTCCCCTTGCAGCCGTGTTAGGCTGGCCCCCATGTCCTTGACCCATGGGAAGTGTGTTAGCGCGTGGCGTTTTTGTCAACAGTGCAGTTGGTCTGTGGTGATGATACTCCTGCAAATGTGCGCAGGCGGAGTTCAATGCACCGGTACGGACGACCAAGTACCCGCGTGAGATTCCGCCGCTGCCCTGGTACCGGAGGGCGTTCCCTCAGATGCTCATGGCCGGCTTCCTGCCCTTCTCCGCCATCTACATCGAGCTCTACTACATCTTCGCCAGCGTCTGGGGCCACAAGGTGCACACCAGTCGTCACACACATTCTTTGAATCCAGAATCTTAATGTTCGCGCCTCCTTGACCATGTAGGATTCAGCCACAGACAAAGCTCAACACCGACACCAAGGTGAATGGATATCAGTCTTTGTGTCCGGATTCCTCTCCGGCGCATTGGGATATCAGTCTTTGTGTCCGGATCCTCTCCGGCGCGTCAGTGTTGAGCATTGCCTGTAAGGTGCACCGTTGGGCTTCGTTTTGAAGTTCTTCCCAGGCAAAATTGTACTTGCAGCATCTGCATGCTGGATGACTGTGAGGAGGTGGGATTTGTGTCTGCAGGTGTACACCATCTACTCCATCCTGTGCATCGTGTTCATCATCCTGGTCATTGTGACGGCCTTCATCACCATCGCTCTGACCTACTTCCAGTTGGCAGTGGAAGACCACCGCTGGTGGTGGCGCTCCTTCCTCTGTGGCGGCTCCACAGGTTGACCCGCTGAACTCCATTAAACGCCTTCATGCCTCAGACTTCGTGCCTTTGCTTTCTTCCTATTCAGCTGCCATTTTGCGGATGTTGGTGATCCTGGCTCTCCACACTTTGATGCCACATTGTTGCGACCATGCAAAATGGCATCAAGTTTGGCGTGTGTGGCTGCAGGGCTGTTCATCTTCGCGTACTGCTTCTACTACTACTTTGCGCGGAGTGACATGAGCGGCTTCATGCAGGTATGACTGCATCCATGGTTTCCATTGTATAGTCATGTGTGACCTTTCCTGCCGGTTGGCGTGGTTGTGCTGATATTGTGTCCTGCCTGCCGCAGACAAGCTTCTTCTTCTGCTACATGGGCATGATCTGCTATGCCTTCTTCCTGATGCTGGGGGCGGTGGGCTACCGAGCAAGCCTCACCTTTGTGAGGCACATCTACAGGTGACAGGCAGCATGCGCTTAACAGTTGCAAGCGCTCTTTCCATGTTGATGAACCTGTGGGGTGTCTTATTGGTATTGTGAGTGTTTAGCTGACCCAACAAGAGAGGTGTGCGGCTATGATGAAGAAATTTGGACCAGAATTCCCATGTTGGCCAATCATGATTTAATGAGCCTGAGCCGCACCTTCTCTTGTGCTGTGAGATGTCAAAGGTCTATTGAAACTATGAGCCTGTAGCTTCTCAATGCTGACAATGTGCATGTCTGTCTTCTGCGATGCAGTGCCATCAAGAGCGATTGAGCTGCATGAAAGCAGTTGCATGGGATGATGGAAGCACTCATTGCTTGGAAGGATTGCAGAAGAAAGCAAGGAGATTGAGGAGGCTCCTTGTTGTCAGTGGAGGCTGTTGGCATGCGCATGCGCAGTGTGCATGTGCACCTTCCAGCCCAGTGTTTGGCGTTGTGAAGGGATTGAGGACTCAGAAGTAACATTAATTTGAGCGCAACGTTCCTTTGTGTGCAGATTGCGCAGGACATATACCGCAGACAACGCTAGTATGTTGTCATAGAATTGTAGTGCAATTGCAAGATGCCAGTGGCATTGTGATAGTTAATGATGCTACCAATGCTGCCTGAGGCCATTCATGAGGAGAGCTGTGTCTATTGTTTCACACTGTTGTGACGGGCTATTGGCAACTCCAAATGAAAGAAATGCGGACTAAAGAAGCATACGCTGGCACCAAGCACTGAGGGTCAAAGGACAGCGCCTGCTGAGTCATCAAAAGCCCAGCTGCTCTTCAGCACTGACCGAAGCATTTAATTTTACACTTACGATTTTTGTTGCAATATTATATTTCCTTTTACATATATAATCTCGAATCAAAGACTGCATAAAGTTCTGCTGAGGGCGTGGTCGATCCCTCACCAACACCTCAGATCCTTTCGTGTCAATTTGGCTAGCTTATTGAATATCACAGTACTGAGAAGATATACATAGCTCGAATACTTTCCGGCAAGGAACAGATCGCAGTAGCAGGCCTGCATAAAGTATTGGTCCCTTCAGCGGTTGATGGATCACCACCACGAGCAGAAGTGATGGGATCCATTCAACAAAGATCACAATGATAAAACTGAGAGAATGTGACTTTCAGGCATATGAATATGTATGGAGCCAATACTGTTGCCATTTATATACCAGAAACTCTTCATTGGCGAGTGATGCATCAGGCATCGGCACAGCGATCTACTGCTGATGGGGGCTGCACAGAGTCTGGTTGTGATTCTGCAATGCCAAGGTGCACTTATTGGCATCCTTCTTGCGATTGGATGGGCATGGGCAGGTTTGATGCGGCGCAGGGAGCTCAGTGTGCGGAGGAATATGCCAGGTACATGCTGCAATTCCTCATGCATTACAGAACCCAGATCTTAGATAAGAAGACTTAGATCTTCAGCTTCTGACTGCTTGCATGTCATCAGGAGGTGCCTTAGCAGGAAAAGGGGCCGTGTCGACGCCTGTTGTCAAAGCTGTCATCTGCAGCGAAATAATGAGCGCAAAGGTAGAGCACAAGGTTTTTCTCACTGAGATTCTTGCCATCACAATCATGTCAGGCTCTTCAGGCCTCCTCATGCAAACATACATGTGGGTCCTCTGAACGCACTTGTTCTTCTGCAGGATGAGAGGGAATGGCCTGGCCTCTCAATCTTGCTTCCAGTCAAAGGCTGCCGGAAGCATAGCCTTCAGAATTGGCGGTCTCAGCTGCAATCAGCATACAGCGGGCCCATAGAGTATCTATTTATTGTGGACAGCCAGGTACAGAAGATTGCCACTCCCAAAAAGACTGCATGCTTTTCAGATCCTGCGAGAGATGTTTGATGACTGCAACTCTCTTTGCAGGCTGACCCTGCTCATTCTGCAATAAGGAGTCTCATAGACAGCAACAAGGGAGCAATGGCTCAGGTCCTGATCAGCCAAAAGGCCACCTGCACTTCGCAGAAGATTTGCAACTTGCAGACTGGCATCATGGTATGCGCTATGCGGTGTTACTGGCAAGTAAAAGACCAGTCAATTCTCTTTTCTTGCAAGGAACAAGAGTCTGCACGTAAGATCTCAGAAGTCACTAGGTACTGATCGTCATTCATGTAACTGCAGCGCGCAAATCCCAAACACAAGTGGATCCTTTGCCTTGATGACGACGTGCTGCTCCATCCCACCACACTGAATGACTTAGTCGCCGCTGCTGAGGCAGATCCCACGAGCTTCATGGTGACAGGTGCGCTGCATGCCAATCATCATGGAGTGCCCAGATCTATTTATCTTTATATCCTCCCACAAATGCTTATCCATAATTGAATACAGTAAGTTCGTAGGGTGTGTGCAGGGTACCCCTTTGACGTGCCAGAGGCAGGAGCCAGCCTGCTGACCTACTGCTGCCTGGTATACCATCTGCCGCTGGTCATTGCATTCTCTGTGCGCCAGCGCACCAGCTTTGTGTGGGGCGGCTGCATGCTGCTCCCCCTGGCTGACCTGCGCTCAGACGCCAATGGCATCATGCACTCCTGGAGTCAGGTATGCCATTTCACCACATAATCAGGAAGCAAGACCCATCTCCTGTCTCGTCGCTAAGAGGTTGGCAGGGTTGTGAGAGCTTGGACTCTTGCTGTGTTGTTCTGTGGGGCTGAGGAATGGGTGTGGGGCTGCAGGGTGGGTACTCAGATGACCTCACAGTAGCATCGGTGTGCAGCGAGCGTGGTCTTCAAATACTGTGCCCTTCCTTTGCCATCTTTCCCCAGTGGTGAGCACCCTAACAGCGCTAGCTGAAACCTAGTTGCTCAATATGGGCAGAACATCTTTGACTATTCTGCGCTTGGGACATTAACAGCCAGAAATGTAGTCCTGTGCCATCTATCAACCTTTGAGGTGTCTTGTGTCCTGCAGGCTCGACAAAGCGTGCAGCTTTGGCCAATTTTGGAACTATCTGCGCCGCCAGCTGTATGTGATGGACACATATGCCAGTAGCCACAACAGGCGCCTGAATCACACCATGCTGGCCCTGCACTGCTACCTGTCCTGGGCATTTGTCGCTCCAGCTGTGATTGACTCTCTGCAAGCGGCTATGTGGATCTACGACACTATTATCATGGGCTCCGCCACTGCCTCATGGCCTCACGTGCCATGTCTGGCATTCTTTGGGGCTTTCATTGGAGCGCATGTGGCACTGCAGTGGATGACTGGTGCAGCCCCTTCCTTGCATGTGCTCAGCATTTCACTTCGGCTGGTACACGCCATGTAGGCAAGATAATGGTGCCATTCAAGAACATATCAGAGAGTGCTTGTGAAGCACACCTTCGAATTCACATGCCGGTGTGCAGGTGTCATTCTGGACCTGTTCACTGTTCTGGAGCTTGGACAGCGCAGACCTTCGATGGCGCATTTCAGCTGGATCAAGCTCTGGCTTGCATTCTGGATCAGCAATGCTCTGTTGCCCGTTTGTGCTGCATGCACATGGCTGAAGCCTGATGTTGTTTGGTCGGGTGTCAGATACCACAAGAAGAATGGACGTATTGTGAAGGTCCTGCATCCTCCCCATTAGGTATTGTTAAATCTCGAATGATTCTGAGTGTCTGTAAGTTTGCCTGCTCAATACAGCCCCATGACTTGGTATGCGATACTGTACGTCAAGTACACGGTCTAGCTCTGTTGTCTGCTGGGCTGCCCGAATCGTCCCAACGGGCTGGCCATTGGGCAGGCCATGAGGAGCTTTGTTTCGAGCTACGAACTGCCCCCTTGAAACAATGTCGACCCACGCAATTCAACAATGATTCAAGCAATGGTGTCCCCTTAGTGGTTGACATCATCGATTGCTTGCGGACCCGACTAGAGGGAGCTGGACAAAAACAGATCGTCGTCTTGCAGAGTAGGCCAGAGTGGAAACGACGTCAATTAAACCACAAACGTAAATGTGGTGCCTCCTAGCATCCTTTCACAATCATGGGACAGCACGATCATGACCACTTGCACTGCCAATGTCATAAAAGGGCTCCTCCAGCCGTTCAGAGTCTGGACGAGTTGGACTTCTTGAAGAGCGCTTGCTCAGCAGCTCAAAAAGGGAATGTCATCAAACTTAGAAGCCTACTGCAGAGGCATCCGCACTTTGTGCATGACGATGGCGTTGGAGGTGACACTTCTGAGGCGCTCCATCATTGGGCTAGATGCTCTCTTTGTGCAAGACTGGATTTTGCGAAATCTGTATGCGCAGTGTCTCTACAAAACATTCAAGTTCACGGCATCTACAAAGACATCGTTGTCGACAAGCAGGTGACAGTGGCTACACTCCTCTGCACTATGCATCAAGAGCAGGTCATGCTGACGCAGTGCAGCTCCTGCTAGACTCAGGTACCGTACGTGCGTGACGCCACCTGGCTAGAACTCGTTCTGTTAATCTTGTTTCTCAATGTAGCCCGTCAGTAAGGTACCCCTGGCAAGCTGACTGTCCCTCTTTATAACGCAGGGGCGGATCCAAACAAGGCAACTAGAGCTGGCTTAGCCACGCCCCTCCATAGAGCAGCATACATGGGCCACGCTCACATCGTCAAGCTCCTGTGCGACTGGACTCATGCCCTTGCACCAACACAGCATGGGCCTTAACCTACCTGTGAAAGAGTCACTTGACATGAAAATGGACCCTGATCTTCCTGTTCCCCTTCTCGCAGGCTGAAACACCGCGCGAATGGCTTGCTGCAAGATGCTGACGGCCAGACGCCGCTGGACAAAGCACTTGCTCAGGTGTGCAAACAGGCATTACATGAGATGGTCCAGTACTTAGGATGTGGCCACCTTCTGCTCCAGGCTGTGAGCCCCTTGTTCTGGCTGCTGCAGGGGCATTTATATGTCGTGCAGATCCTGCAGGAAGCCTGTTCCTGATGCACAATGTCTAGCAGATTGGAACGGCGTGAAACCTTTACGACCCTTTGGCGCATCTTATCAGCTGCCTGAGCAAGGAGACTCCATGGTGCATCATCCCTGGAAGGTAATCGGTAAATCTTTGCTGATCCTAGCCACTGGCATGCAGATGGGGCTGCATTGTTCTCGATAAGTATAAGCATGCGCACTTGAACTTGTCTGGCAACGTGCGCCTCGCAGGCGTTCACCAGCATCCAGCAAGTGGACGTGGACATACACAGAAACACGGCATTAAAGTTCCTTCTCAAAGCGGTAACAAGATATGCTGAGACCACAATTGAAATAGAATTTGTGCGCTCGGCTGCGCTGCACGCCGCTCTCCAGCAGCAATCTGCACTTGCAGAATTAAGTGGGATTGAATGTGTCAGAGTTCTCCAGGAACAAGATGTGAGCGACAGTGTCAAGCGCTAAAACATACTTATATTCAAACAAGGCGGCAGACCTTTTGCAGCCTGCCTGTCTGGCGGCATCCTCAAGATATGCGAATAGGGCTTTCCCATACCCCTTGCCCCTTTGTGCTGGCAGCGCAACTAAGTCTGCCACATACATATACCTGCAGCAAGCAAATTCTCCAAGAGTGTAGATTCTGTTGTCTGATAGTCTGACATCAGCACACCAACTTGCAGTTGGTGACTTGAAAGCATCTGCGCTCATCTGTAGTAGGCTCACAGCTCCATGGCTGTCTGAACCAAGAGGCAGTCTGGATGGCATACCGGGGTTCTGATATCTCCAGGTGCTCCCTGATGCGATAGCCAGCAATTGCATGAATTTCACCCTCATCCCTGACGTAAACTAAATGATATCCATCTTGCTGCTGCTTCAAAACCCTAGGAAGAAACTCTGATACGTCAGTGAAATGTAATCTCAGTGTCTTCAAGACTGGAAAGCACTCTCTAATCTCATCCTCGGTGATCGCTTCTTTAATCTCCATAGTTGCGGTCAGATCAAGTGCAGATCATTACTTTGACAATACCAAAATTTTCGGCTTCTCTCCGTCTGTACAAATTTATCAAGCTGTGTCCAAAGGTCCCACCTACTATTCAGAGTACAAAGCGCATTGATCCAGAGATGACCTGCGAGGCAAGGAAGCAGTGCAAGCCCTTGCGATTACGTCAGGATGACAAACGGCTTCCTTCAGCTGCAGGTGGCTATTTTGACTTCCTTGGCGAGGCTTCTTCACAATAATCCGGGTCCCAGTACTGAGCGTCATGGCCTTGCAAGATCTGCCTATCGAAGAACTCGAGAAGAAATTTGCTGACAGCGAAGAAGAAGGTGATGAGGCCGCCATGAATGTTGGCTCCTCAGAGAAGCCAGCTGCTGCAACGCCTGAGGCAGGAGATGTCATTGTAGATAAAGGTTATGTTTCGACGGATTACGGTTATTCGTCTGATGAAGATCTAGACAGTGAAGCAGAACTTGACTGGGTGGACGAGATCGAAGGTGCGCCCCAAAAAGTTGTTTGCTTGAGTACTATGTTATCGTGTGTGATGCTTGGAAATAATACCACCGGCTCTCAGCTGATGATCGAAGCATTTCAAGTTTCTCCTATGGTAGGTGCATGGACCGCCGTAGGCTAATCTTGGTGCACCTACCAACTCTCTTGTGGCCTTGCACAGGGCTCGACTTGAGTGAGGGCGTTGGAGCAGCCACGACAGCTGGTGTTCCCAAACAATTCAGGCCCAACGCTCAGAGCGGCCAGGCCAGCAGTACCATGCAGCCACGCACAAGTCAGATGCAGGTATCTTACCACACCTTGCCGTAACGCTGTCTTTGGACTGTGAAAGCCCACCAAATCTCTGGCACTTGTGCAGGTCGTCTTTTCATGTGCATAAAATTGGATCTGGTTCATGCCCTAGTGTGCCTGGTAGACTTGCCTAAAGGATGGCTGAGCTGATGACAATTTACTCCAAAAGTTGAGCTGTCTTTCATCTGCTTTGCAGAGGGCAGACCGGCGGCTGAACGCACAGATGCAGACGAGGCAGCTGGACGATGCTTTGGAGTCGCTGGGCGGGCAGAGAATGCACTCCTCTGTGGCAGCAACGGTGCGCGGCACTGCTAGGCAGCAGGCCACAGGTGCCGACCGCACCAAGGACAAGGCAGACCGAGCCACCTACCAGACTGTGCTGGACCCTCGCACCCGCCTGGTGCGCCGCCTGCCTCCCCTTCTTGCATGCAGCCCCCAAAACAAGCTTTCCTAATGCATGCAATACCCTTGCACCTCTGCCCATCGAGCCTCCCAATCAAGCCTTTGCCATGCAAGAATTGCCGCTGAGTCTCTGTGCATCGAGCCCACGAAACAAGCTTTTTCAATGAAGGCATTACCCTTCAATTTCTGCGCACATTGCGTGTCATTGCCCTGGTGGTTAAGGCTGCTGCGAGTGTCGAGAGCTGTGGCCAATGTCGATTGGTATGGCAGGCGTTGGTGAAGATGCTGAACAGCGGGTTGTTCTCGGAGCTGAACGGCTGCGTGTCCACGGGCAAGGAGGCCAATGTGTACCAGGCAGTCACAGCAGGCGGCGAGGACCTAGCAGTCAAGATCTACAAGACCTCTATCTTGACCTTCAAGGACCGCGACAGGTCAGCTGCGTGCTCCCACAGTTGTGCGCACAGAACGATTATTACCCTATACCGCAGGATCTTGCAACACTCCATTCTTGCACGTTGTTTTGAGCATTCAAGTTGCATGAATCGCATGGAATGCCAGTTTCCCTTAGAATTCACATAGTGGGGGTGTGTGATGGGCTGAGTCTTTGCGTGCAGGTATGTGAGCGGGGACTTCCGCTTCAAGTCGTACTGCAAGAGCAACCCGCGCAAGATGGTCAAGGTGTGGGCCGAGAAGGAGTTCCGTAACTTGGCGCGCATGCGTGCGGCCGGCATCCGCAGCCCGCAGCCCATCCACCTGCGCATGCACGTCCTCGTCATGGAGTTTGTCGGCTCCAATGGCGTCGCTGCCCCCCGCCTGAAGGTTCGCGCCCCTTTCCAGCAAGTTTTTCAATACTGTGAATTTCCCTGAGCTTCTTTCAGCTTCCTTGATCCTTCAATTTTATTGTTTTGGAGCGTCCTGGCAATGTCCCTTTGACTCATGCCCAAGCAGGTTGCATAGAATGGACACAAATTTAATAACAAAATCTGGTGGTTTTGCAGGACGCGAAGGCTCCGCAGCAGCAGATGCAGATCTTCTACACGCAGATGGTGCTGTTTGTGCGCCAGATGTACCAGGAGTGCCACCTGGTGCACGCTGACCTGTCCGAGTACAACATCCTCGTCCACAACGTGTGACTTATCAACCTGCTGTTCTCAGTGAAAATTTGGAGGCTCTGAACTCATCTGCCTTCTTGCAATCCATTGTGAAGCTGCCAGTCATCCAATATTTGCTTCTTCTTGCCGCCCATGCGGCCGTGTCACGGTTCACAGACGTAAGAGAATAGTGGCTGACATGGCTGCACCGCTCTCACAGGAGGAGCTGTGGATCATTGACGTGAGCCAGGCGGTGGACCTGGACCACCCGCGGGCGCTTGACTTTCTGCGTGAGGACGCGCTGCACGTCAACGACTTCTTCCGGCGCGCTGGCGTGGCGACGCTGACCGTGCGCGAGCTCTTCGATTTTGTTGTCGACCCCCACATCAACCCCGGGAATATTGACGCCGCCGTAGACGCGCTCATCTGCGTGGCATCCTCGCGCCCAACTGTGCAGGATCCCGAGGACGCCATGGCTGACAAGGTTTGCACCCACCCTTGTAATAGAATGGCTCCCTTACCATCGCTGCTGTTCTTTTTCGCTCTGCAGGGCCAGGAAGGGCTCTTCGTTGCGGATTACAAGGAAGGGAGGTGCCTTCCTAAAATTGCAATTCTGGTGTGTGTCCTTGCATGTTATTGTACACATTGCCAGTAGCTGTGCTGACCAGCCAAATTGTTGTTGCCTGCAGATCTTCCAAGGGGCGTACATCCCGAGGAGGCTGGAGGAGGTGGACGACCACGAGGGGGACTTTGAGCGGCTTGCGGCTGGGGGTGACAAGCGCGCGACGGAGGGTATTTACTACCAGACGATTACCGGCATGCGACCGGACATGACCGGCGCGGCCGCGGCTCCCGCCGTCGTCGAGGCGGCTGCCCTCCTGCCCGGCAACCGCGCCCGGCCGGGCAGCTCCGCCTCCGACGAAGAGGACTTCGACCTGGAAGCGCGACTGAGCGGCGCTGCCGGTCGCAGCGCAGAAGCCGCCCCAGCAGGAAAGGCTGAGCAGCAGTCATCTGAGGCGGATCCAGCAGCAGCAAAGCACAATGCTAGTGGGGGCTCTGACAGCAGTGGTAGTAGCAGTGATGAAGAATCTGACAGTGATCAGGATGGAGAGGATGGCGGGGAAGGGAGGGAGGAGCGGGTGAAGAAGGACCCGGAAGCTGAGAAGGCGGCCAGGAAGCAGCACAAGGCGGAGGTAAAGGAAGCCAACCGTGAGAAGCGCAAGCACAAGCTCAAGAAGCACGTCAAGAAGCGCGCAATCAACAAGCACAGGCACAAGTAGCTGGCCGTTTTCGGGACATTTAGGGAGTGCCATCTGTGGATCCAATCAGTCATGCGTGTGCTTGTGGGGCATTGCTTGGCCTGCATAGAGCCTTATTGAAATGCTGAAGTGGTTAAAAAAGGAACGGAAACGAGAACAAAATCATGAACTGGTTGAAGAACAAACATTGTGAACATACATTAACAAGCTTGGAATCTCTATACTATAATCACACCCAGGAATGATCCTCGCCCATGATCCCCCCACGGAATCCATCAATGGTGTCAAGCAGCTGCTCCATCACCACATCCACAACCTGCGCATGACATTGCACAATCTTTAGCATTTGGGGAATGTACCTGTTGTTCATCCCACAAGGCATGCCATCTTTGCGAGCAATTTTACGGCATTTCAAAGGTGGGGCATTGTTGAATTTTGTACTGAATTTCTTTGCCTCTCAATTGCACATTATTTGCACAAGAGGAATGCGCAAAGATGATGTACCTCGCGGTAGCGTGAGGACACAAAGTAGTGGTCTCCCTGGATGGGCACATTCGTGAAGCGGCCGCTGGTGTACTGGGCCCACTGCTCCATGTTGCCGCGGTCGATGGTGCCGTCTGCGAGGCCGTCAAAGGAGGTGATGGGAAGAGGCAGGGGCGGCAGCGGTGTGTGGCGGTACTGCACGGCCATCATGATGTCGTTGACACCCATGGGCGCCACCTTGTTGAACAGCCGCTCGCTCTTCTTCATCTCCTCCAGACCGGCAAAGTTGCCCTTCTCAAAAACCTGAGCAGAAACATTGAAGGGTTTTACGATGAGATTAACATTGCCTTAGTACAGAATGGAGAGACCAAGGGCCAGGTCATAGTCTTGAAACACTGTATACAAAATGGGGCTTGTACTGAGGGCATCTACAGTTAACAGCATCCTTTACGTGTCGGTCTTGATTCTCACCAGCATGAGGGTCTCCTTTGGCAGCTTGTCCCAGCCGCGCAGCTTGTCCATGACTTCCTCAAAGGGCGGCGGCTCATCCGCCGCCAGCTGGCGAGTCATGTAGAGCTTCATGACAGCAAACGCATACAGGTGCGGCGGCGACACTGCTGCGGCAAAGAGGGCAACTGGCATTGGCGCGTTCTTCTCTCGCTCCACCACACGTGCCACCTCATAGGCTGTGATCGCGCCCAGGCATGTTCCAAACAGCGCGTACGGCTTGCCCTGCAGCAGAGAACAAAGAGACTCCCGTTTAGGCAAATGTCAACAATATACGTGTACGAGGAAGCATTGGGAAGGCCACAGCTAGCCTTGCTCAAGCACTGTGCTGCATGATCATCAATGGAACAAGCGCTTCATGGGGGAAGTCAGGCTGCCCTCACCTGCAGAGGCAGGGCATGCGCCAGCGCTGTGGCCAGCTCGGAGATCTCGTTGATGGAGGGCTCTCCCTCTCTGCGACCCCTGCCAGGTATCTCGATGGGGCATACTTGAATGCTGGGAGGCATCATCATGGCCCACCTGCCACCAAGCACTTGAAGGTCAGCAACCTCATCTCACAACTATCATATCGGCCCAAGCCTTCAAATAATGAAGTCTGTGCCCATATGTGAGGAGAGGCACCGGAATGGGTCTACCTTGCAAAGACGTTCTCAGAGACGCCGCCAGCGTACGGCAGGCAAAACAGCCGCAGCTTCACAGTCACGGGCGACGGGGAGATCCAGAGGGAACCCCGCGATCCGGACGACCGCGCCGCGCCATCCGCGCCGCCCGTTGCGGAGACGGCCTCGGCCACCAGCCGCGCGATGGTGGCACCCTCAGGATCCTCAATCAAGACTGTCAGTATCACTCCCAGCCGATCCTGCACCGAGTGACCGCAACGCGACATTAGCTATGATCCTTTCAACACTTCCACTGGTTCCAAGGGTCTTCCTTCCGTTAGGAAGTCAGCTGTGGGAAGTAGTGGTTTGATGGTGGTGGGCAGTAGGCAATCGGCCATACAAAATGGCCTAGAGGGAAAAAGCAGCGCACCTGCAGCTTCTGGCGGAGCTCCATGGCGGCCAGGGAGTCCAGACCCTGGGCAGCCAGCGGCATGCTGACGTCCACATCCGCGCCCACATAGCCGGACACCATGTCCCGAATCTCTCCCTCCAGCTCTGCTGGATCAATATCGGTGTGCCCTGCAGTCTCGCCGCCTATCTCCTCGATGACATCCTGCACCCACAGAAGGCGATATTTCCGCCAAGTTTTGGAAGACTACCGTCGCATGCACATGTGGGATGCTGGCCCGCAGCATCAGAAATATGGCTGTGTTATTTTCATATGTGATACTTTTTGCATCAGGAGCTGTGCAGCACCTGAGGATCTGGCAGCGCTGGTTGCGCGGGGCCCACCCAGGAGTGGCCCTCTCCGAGAATGCCTCCAGCGCCGGCCTTGTCCATGAAGTCCAACAGATCCGTGGCGATCACCTTGGTCACCTATAGCGAAAGTCACACCTCTCAGACTCCCACAAGCAACAAAGCCCTGCTTGCCCACCTGCCTGTTGCCCTGCCTTTGCCTACTGGATCAATCACTGCCAGGGAGATAAGATCTAGCATGGCAAGACGGGCGCAAGGACATCAACATATTGCTTGTCTCTGCTATGGGTGTATTTAATATGTTGAAAGTTTCAATAGAGAATGGCAACCCACCTCGCGGTAGCGGGAGGACACAAAGTAGTGATCTCCTTGGATGGGCACATTAATAAATTTGCCGCTGGTGTACTGAGCCCACTGCTCCATGTTGCCGCGGTCGATGGTGCCATCTGCGAGGCCATCAAAGGAGGTGATGGGAAGAGGCAGGGGCGGCAGCGGCGTGTGGCGGTACTGCACGGCCATCATGATGTCGTTGACACCCATGGGCGCCACCTTGTTGAACAGCCGCTCGCTCTTCTTCATCTCCTCAAGGCCGGCAAAGTTGCCCTTCTCAAAAACCTGCACAAGGCGACAGCACCAGGGCTTCACCAACTTATTAACTGGTGGCAAGGTTTTAGAGACAAGAGTCTGGGCTCCGTGAAAGCGTTGGCACTGCTTTTTGTGAAGAGGAGCCTGAATGCTCCACACGAATAATTCATAAAAACTGCAATCCAAAGAAAGGCGCATGACTCACCAGCATGAGGGTCTCCTTTGGCAGCTTGTCCCAGCCGCGCAGCTTGTCCATGACTTCCTCAAAGGGCGGCGGCTCATCTGCCGCAAGCTGGCGAGTCATGTAGAGCTTCATGACAGCAAACGCATACAGGTGCGGCGGCGACACGGCAGCCGCGTACAGCGCCACGGGCATGGGCGCCAGCTTCTCACGCTCCACCACCCGCGCAATCTCATACGCTGTTATTGCCCCAAGGCAGGTGCCAAATAGCGCGTACGGCTTGTCCTGCGCATCCAGTAATGAATCTCGCTGATGTGTTTCAGATCCTCCCTCATGGTGTGGACTTGGCAAATGCAATGGCATGCAGTTAGGAAGCAGGCAAGCATGTTAGGGTAGCAACCTTTAATGACAGCTGTAATGCAGAGGGAATCGAAGGTCACCTGCAGGGGTAGAGCATGCGCGAGGATGTTGGCCAGCTCAGAGATCTCGTTGATGGAGGGCTCTCCCTCTCTGCGGCCCCTTCCAGGTATCTCTACAGGGCACACCTGGACGCTGGGTGGCAGCATCATTGCCCACCTGCAGACACAATTGTCCAGCACTTTGGCCTCCCTCAGAGTTTCTATGAATAATGCGCACTATCGGCAAATACTCCATGATGGCCTCGCTGCCGAGCATCAGTCAAACGTCAGGAAACGGCATCGGCAAAAATGGCAACGGCATCTCAATTTGTCTTGAGGGGATCTGAATCATGCGTGAGAGAGGCTTGTGCGCACCTTGCAAAGACATTCTCAGAGACGCCGCCGGCGTAGGGCAGGCAGAACAGCCGCATCTTGATCGAGACAGGCGTCGGCGAGATCCATAGCGAGCGCTCCTGCGCGGCTGCGGCGCCGCCGCTGCCGCCCTCTCCGGCCGCCAGCTTGTTGCGTGCTTCCTGAGCCAGGCGCCGCACTGAGGCGTTCCCGGGGTCCTCGATCAGCGCCGTCAACTCCAGGCCAAGGCGATCCTGCACACGGCATTGCACAGTCTGTACGGTGTGATACGCCAGCTGCCAGCTGCATGCTGCACATCTGTAAACCATCTGTGAAAGTGATCAGCAGGGGGTCAGGTTGTCAAGACGCACCTGAAGCTTTTGTCTGAGCTCCATGGCAGCCAAGGAGTCGAGTCCTTGGCTGGAGAGGGGCGCGTCAGGGGTCACATCGGGACCGATCAGGTCGTGCACCAGAGAGAGGATGGTGGCTTCCAGCTCTGCCAAGGATGGCATGCCCTTCTTGGTTACCTGCTTCGCCTTTGCCTCTGGCACTTCTGCCTTGTCACCCTCCTGCATTTTGCACTTTCCACACTCAGGCCAATGCAGATACATCAGGCGCCCTGATGCTTACCGTCAAAAACACCTACCGCAACCTTGCAAGCTTCAGGAAGGTTCTGTGCGAGCCAAGAAGTGCCAAGAAGCGCTCACCTCATCTGCAGAGTCCAAGACAACAGCGAACATGGCAGGCTTCTGCTTGACACCCTGCAACAGCAGGCGCCAGTAGCCGGGGGCGGCCGCGCCGCGTACGCCAAACGTGGCGCCGCGCAGAAGCCCCTCCATTGCTGCAACTCCAGCCGCCGGAGACAGCATCCCCAGCGATTCAGCCTGTGCTGCGCTCACCGCATGCTTGTCCGCTGCCATGCCTGCACACAACACCAACAATGATTTTATATATGTCGGTGGAAGTGCAAGGAAGCAGGAGCATGGGTGGAAGCAAGCATGCATGCACATGATACTCTCTGCCATATCGGCTTGCCTGGTGAAGTTTTGTCATCCAGTTTTGAAATTAAGGTTTGAGATTTCAAATTTGAGGTGAGTGTTCTCACCGACAGCGGCCCAGGCGCCCCACTGGACGGCCAGGCTGGGCAGGCCACGTGCGGCGTCGTGACCGGCGAGCGCGTCTACAGCGGCGTTGGCGGCGCAGTAATTGGCGTGGCCCGAGAAGCCGGCCAGCGAGGACACCGACGAGAACATCAGTGCCTGCGACACGGCCGCCGCCGCGGCTGCCGCCCCGATGTTCTGCATCGCGCCTATCTTGGGCGCGATTACCGCCCGCAGCGTGCCCGGTGTCTGCTTCAGCAGGCGCGCCTCCACCTGGCAAACACACATGACGCCCGTTCAGCATCAAGGCGTTTTGTTGTGATTGGACCATTATTAGTACTGTGTTCTGTGCTCATCAATGTACTAGCTATGATGCCGCACCAGGCCGTGCTGACCAGCCTAAATATGCAAGGCTGCAGGGGGACACAATCAAGGCAATTGTGCCAGGAACAAGGGTCTTGCCTGCAGGCCCGCTGCATGGAGCAGGCCGCCGAGGCGGACAGGGCTGTTGCGCGAAGCGGCAACGGCGTCGCCGGCCTCAGAGCGGCCGCAGACGTCGGCGCGGAGCAGCGTGACGCATGCGGCGTTGCCGGCGTCGGCCAGGAGGCGCATGTCGGCTGAGTTCGCGCACCGGCCGGAGCGCCCGAGCAGGATCAGAGGAGCCGCCCCGGATGACAGCATGTAGGACGCTGTCAGCAAACCCAGCCCCGCTGTCCCACCTGTCTCACAAAGTCCACATTTTCTCTGAATGAGCCTCATTGTAGGATGTAATTTTTATTCTTAGGCGCATTTTGAAAGGCGTGAATAGGCAAATAGCAGAAACGCTTGCCTGTGATGATGTAGGCAGAGGATTGCGCGCTTGTGACAGCGCCCAAGCCAGCCGCTGGGCTGCTCCTGTAGAGCATGAGCGGGCGCCTGAGCGTGTTTGAGCTCGTGTGAACACCATACATGTCGCCCTGCTCCAAGCCAGCAACGCTACTTGACATTGCCTCTGTGCTGGCAGGGTCTTGGTCAAAGGGCTCATTGGCGAGGGATGGTAGCTCGTAGGGCAGGCACTTGCAGATGCCCAGGGCTGAGCTGTGTCCCAGTATGGCTGACAGTGGTTGCATGGGAGCTGGCTGGGCGGCTGTGGTGTGCACTCCCGTGCTAGGCAGGCTGATACGCTTTGTGCCATGCAACTTGTGGTGCTGCAGCTCACGCAGCAGCGCTGCAGATGCTTCGGCGGCTGTTGCAGCCAGTGATGTGCCCTGCAGAGGCGCCTTCCTGCTTCGCACAGTGAAGCCTCCAAGCTGCAGCTGTGTGGGCTTGACACCTACAGAAACAACAAAGCCGCTCGAATTCTTTTCTTATGGTGCATGACATTAGAACCAGCCACAGTTTGAAGCATATGTTCACACTGCAGAATTAAAGCAAATGCTTCATTCATATGTTATGCAACACTTTTTCAATGAGGACAAGGGGCATTGATGCATGTACCTGATGATGTCAAGCTGCCATGCTGGACAGGAGACGCAGTCTGCCACTCCACCTCGTACACAAGTCCAGCAGCCGCCTCCATGGCATCCTGCTTTGCACGCTTCGCTACCTGGAAGCTGACCGCCTCAAAGCATGCCGACAGCTCACCCGAGCCTCCTGTGATACCTGCACCGCCTGCACTGGCGCGCTGACCTGTCCTGGCAACCACCCAAGCCCTGCTGTCCCTGATTGACAGAGCCGTCACAGTAAACGCGTCTGCAGAGCGCAGCACTGTGGGCGCCAGCATCTGCTGAGGGCCGCTGCTGCCGTTTGTGAGCAGGTCAAGCGCTGAGGCGCTGACTCCCGGCATGCAGAGGTAGCCGTCGCAGGACACGCCATGCGCGTCTCCCACAGCGATGCTGCTTGCCTTCGCAGAGTCCTCTGCGGTCTCTGATGCTGAATTCAAAGCGAAGCATGTGATGTCTGCCAGTGCCGACGTGGGCGCTGCAAGCTTGACTGGGCCCTGGGATTTCTGTGTAGCTGCAAAGGGCTGAGCTTGCAGGAGCAAGCCACCACTTGGCTTCTTGCGGTCACCGTGCGCCCGCACAGTGACCTCCGCTGCCGTGGTGAAGGTGCACGTGAAGGCGGCAGAAGCTGGCAAAGCTGGCAGCGGCACCTGTTCAGGCAGCACCACTCGCGCCATGGAGGCACATGCCAGCTGCTCGTCCAGCGTGCACATGGCGGCGGCAGCAGCTTCCAGCAGCGCGGAAGCCGGCATGAGCTGCTGGCCACACACCAGGTTCTGCGCAAGGGTCGCCGTCTGGGGACCCAGCAAGAAGCTGAAGCTGGCAGTGGCAGAGTCTGCGCCAGGTCGAAGGAAGCCCTGCACCAGAAGGTGCGCCCTGGGCAGCGGATAGAAGCGGGCTCGCTCCCAGGGCAAGCTTGCTCCTGGCTGGCCAGGCAGGTGGCCGGTGACAGCTGGCGAGGCGAGCAGCATGTGCGCGTTGACTCCGCTCATGCCAAAGGAGCTCGTGCCTGCCAGCTGGCTCGTGTTGAAGCCCCCTTGCAGAGCACCTGCACAGACACACTCCATTCTGAGCACAGCCGCGCAATATACGTTTCCTTATCCAACCTTTTTAGCAAGTTCTCTCAAGGGCTTCAGCTGTGCTCAAAAGATAACATTGCCGGGCGGACAGGTGCGGCACCTGAGAGTTGCCGGGGAACAGCGGCTGCATGGCCGCCGTGGCGGCCCCAGTCCTTGAGGGCGGCGGCCACGTGGGGGTTGACGTTGCGCAGGTGCATCACAGGGGCCGCCATGCCTTCCCGCAGCGCCGCGCTCGCCAGCAGCATGCCAGTCAGACCTGCATGGAACTTAAAAGTTTCAGCAGAAACACTGTCGTCGCCATGCACAAGCTATTTCACATTCCATATCCAGAAAGCAGATGACATGGGGATGCAATATGATTGTACCTGCAGTTCCTTCAGTGTGACCATAGCAGGATTTGTTTGAGAGCAGGGCCATGGGGCCGTCCGCTCTGACGCCGGCCGCGCCGAATCCCTGGCCGAGCGCGCCGACCTCGATGGGGTCGCCCAGGGGCGTTCCTGTGCCGTGGATGCTGACCAGGCCCACCTCTGTGGGGGCTGCTCGGCTGGACTTGAGGGCTGCCCTGATCAGAGCACTCTGTGAGGGGCCGTTGGGCGCCGTCAGCCCGCTTGACCGGCCGTCCTGCACAGAGGAAGGACATTTCTTTTGTCATGACATTGCGTGAAGGGGAATACTTCTCGCTTGGAATTTGCTGAGCAATCTCTCAAGGCAGACATGCAAAGAGGGATCTGAATGGCATGGAGACAAAAAATCTGCTATTTGCCCGGTGTACTGGGAAAAGAGTGCACCTGGTTGACAGCGGAGCCCCTGATGAGCACTTGCACAGAGTCTGACGCATCCCTTGAGAAGTCGCGCAGGACGGCCACTGCGCAGCCCTCGCCGCGGCCGTAGCCGTCGGCGGCTGCATCGAACGTCTGACAGCGGCCAACGGGCGACAGCGCCTGCAGCTGGCAGATGGCGGCTGTGGTGCCGGCCAGAAGCATCAGACTCACCCCAGCCGCCACTGCTGCATCGTTGTCCTCCAATAGCAGGCTCTGCAATTGCCCGACAGAATACTTTGCTGCTTATGACTAAAAATATTCCAGCCTTTAATGTCCCATTCCTTAATGCACGCATCGCAAAATTCGACAAAGCCACTCAAGACCTTGTTGGGAAGATGGCAGATAACTTCTTTTAGAAATAGCAGTTCTGGCAAGGGGCATGTTGTAAAAGGTGGAGATTGGATCTGCACCTTGTGTGCCAGGTGGGTGGAGACGAGGGAAGAGGAGCAGGCGGTGTCGGTGCTGATGCAGGGGCCGGTCAGGCCGAAGGTGTACGACAGGCGCCCCACCATGAAGCTGAGGCCGGAGCCCACCACTGCCTGGGGCGGCAGCTTCCCGGCAGCCGCCACCATGACATCCGTGTACTCTTGGTACATGCAGCCCACATACATGCCTGCAGCCAGCACACCTTTCAAACCCGCTCCGTGACTGGTGTGTCTTCTATCTTTTACTCTGCGATTTGTTTTGCGTCAGATCTTTATTGCTGGCTGTTCGCACGTGATTATCATATAATTGATAGAGGGGTAAAAGACAATCCGCGTGCCTGTGAAGCTGCTGACTGGCTGCTTGGTGGCGCTGGCCGCATGCGCGAGCGCAGAGCCGACCTCCTCCATGAGCAGCCGCTGTTGCGGGTCGAGCGCCACCGCTTCGTTGCGCGGAAGCCGGAAGGCAGCCGAGTCGAAGAGGGCAACGCCGTTGCAGAATGCGGCGCAGCGCGCGTACATCGTCATGGCGGATGACGTGGCGTCCGGTGAATACGCTCGCTCGATGTCCCAGCGATCCGCCGGGACCGGCCTCGGCAGATCCGCCCCAGCCGCCGCATTCGCCCAGAAACCATTAAATCCTGGCACAGATTGAACAGCAATCAACGCTCAGGACATTCAAGCATGAAGATTGCGTTGAGCTGCTGATTGCAGGCTGCAGAGCTGAATCATTCAAGTTGAATGTCGTACTGATTACTGACAGGTAGGGTGTATATGGCGGCACCTGTGCCAGCTCCGGGGTAGCGGCAGGAAATGCCGATGACCTCTGATGCGCGTGACTGCCACGCAGCGTCCCGCCTCTGCACCAATTCTGGGAAGCTCTTGGGCACCGTTGCGAGTTCTGACGCGGCAGCGGCTGGCCCTTGCACGGAGGCCAGGTGGCCGGCCAGAGCATTGGCAGTTGGATAGTCGAACACGAGCGTTGCTGGCAAATCCTCAATGCCAAACTTTGTGGCAATGGTGTTGCGCAGCTCCACAGCTCCCAAGGAGTCCAGACCGGCCTCCATGATGGGCTGGTCTGCTGCCACAGCTGCGCCCAGGATACCCTCCACTATGCCCTGAATGTCTGCTGGGCTGATGTTGAAAGCGCGCACCTACATATTCATAGCACATGCCTTTTCAAAAGGTAGGCCTTGGTCCTGGGGGTAACTAAGGGCCAATTGCAGGCCTTCTCTTTGAGAGCGAAAAGGTGAACCTGAAGGCAAAATAGCTGCATCTCGGTAACTTTCGACACTGAGCGGGGGGATATTTTGGTCAAGAAACTCACAGGTTGTGGTCCTGTTGCAGGTGCAGATGGCGGCGCCTTCTGGCTTGCAATGTAGGTGGACAGGTTGGCAGCAGTGGGGTAGTCAAAAGTGACAGTTGCTGGCAGCTCCAGGCCGAAGCGGGACTGGATGCTGTTGCGCAGCTCCACTGCTCCCAAAGAGTCCAACCCAGCCTCCATCAGAGGCTGGTCTGGCATTGCCTGTCACCAAAGAATGAAAGAGTTTAGCCACGCTTTTACATGCTTCCCACAACCCTTACAAACCCCGCAGATTGAACAAGATTACACATGCGAGGAAGTCCTTTTGAAGACTCTGCCAAAAGTAGTTGAGTGCTGCATGCGCACCTGCGGTCCCAGCATGCCCTTTACAATGTCCATCAGGTCACGCAGAGCATCTGCTGGGGAGATGGCTGGGCCTGTGGTTGCCTGCAGCTTGGCTGCTGATGCCACCGGCTGCATCTCTGCCACTGCTTTTTGCTCTGCAGGTTTGAACTCATCAAACAAGAATGGCACTGGCTGCCCTGGCCTGTTCAAGCGGTTCCAGATGAAGGGGTTGGCAACAACCTGCATGCACAAAGATGCTTCTCAACTGACTATTGCATTGCATTGCCTCTGTCAAGTAGACCCCAATCTTGTTGACTTGCCTCTGAATGCTATTTTGCAGCTAACTTGAAGCTACAAGCTCATATTATTAGGCAAGGACACTCGTGGTTCCCCCAGAATTTGTGAGATGTTGCCACTTGCCTGAGCATCTGGCATGGGCGCTGACAGGGCTGCTGAGAGGGCCGCAAGGCCCGCTGCTGGCTTGATGGATCCCATGCCCAGCCGCTCAAAGCGCTGCAGGATGGCTGCATCCGCCGCAGCCATGCCCGTCGCCCACGCACCCCACATGACACTCACGCTCTCCACCCCTGCATGCAAATGTTTCCCAGCACCATTTCAGCCCTCCTCTTACACATACGAGTCAGGATGTATTGCTCTTTTAAGAGGAATGCATACATGAGACAAAACAAACGATAAGAACTGATAAGCCCACCTGTGGCTTGTGCGTGCTGTGCCCATGCATTGAGCTGAGCGTTGGCGGCCGCATAATTGCCTTGGCCGGCCGGACCCAGCAGCGCAGCCGTTGATGAGAACAGCGCCACGTTCTCCAGCGGCGAGCCTTGCACCGTGGCCATCAGGTTCAACACCCCGGGAAGCTTCGGGGCGGCTGCAGCGCGCATCATGGCCGCCGTCTGTTTCGGCAGGGTGCCGTCCTGCAAAATTCCCCCGGCGTGCCAGATCTGGCGCAGGGGTCCCTGCACATCGAGCGAGCGTGTTTCCTCGCGCATTCCCACATCGCAGCGAGAGATGGTCACGAGGGGCATGGCGGCAATTTTTGCTGTCAGCGCCGGCTGCACGTGGCCGCTGCGGCCCAGAAGGTGCACATGCAGCCCGGGATCCTGGCCTGCCCACACCCCCAGCATCGCGCCAATGTCTCCCAGGCCGCCGGATATGACTACGCTGCCAGAATGACCCATGACTGGTGCGGAGTCATTTGCTGCGGTGCGAGGCTCAGAAGGCAGCATTTGCGGCAGGAAGGTGACGCCATCTGTCAAGCGTACGCCAAAGGCATCTGTGCCCGCAGCAGCTGCAGACTGCCTGCTGGCGAGTGCGTCGCTGGCATGTGCCTGCCACATCATGGCAGGGTACTCCTGTGCCGCCGTTCTGAGCAGGCCGGAGGCTCCCGCAGCCGCAGTGGCGCTGCTGAGGCGGCCCGGCTTTCCAGGCCCAGCGCTGATGACACCCAGAGTGCTGAGCTGCAGCCCTGCTGCCTCACCAGTGCGCCCAGCCAGCACCTGTTGTATGCGTGCTAGGCCGGCAGAATTCATTCCTCCAACACCGCTGCCACTCTCACTTCCCAGCAGGAGAGAATCCGCTGACATGTTTGCTGCGGGCCTTCCAATGGTGCGCCAGGAGAGGACGTGTCTGCGGTGGCGTGCCAGAGGAAAGGGGGCGGCCCCGGCAGGAGTGGCTTCTGCCGCCTTCCAGTGCAGCGTGTACAGCATCTCAGTCCGCTCCCGCGCAACGGTCTTGGGTGCTGCTCTGGGCGCGCCAGTCATCGGCTTGGCTAGCAGCTGCTGCATGCTTGCGCCGCCGGCGCGGCCGCCGGGGAAAGCCAGCCAGTAGCTGCTCAGCGCTGAGTCATCCGGCTGCAGTGAGACGTCCCCTGCCGTCGCCCATGACTGGACCTGTCCGACGCCGCCGGGAGTCCAGAAGGCTGCAAGCGCGGACGGCACCCGCACTGTCACTGTGCCGGCTGTGGGCTGCTCGCTAGACTTGATAGTGTCTGTGGCTGCCAGCAGGGCGCCAAGGTGGAGGGAGGCGTCCAGGGTGGCGGGGTGCACATTGTAGCTGTCATTGCTTCTCTTCTGGGCGAGCTCACCATGCGCTGCTGCTGCCTGCTGCGGGCTTGGACTCTGGCTTGCACCTTGTGCTGCTGCTGTGCTGACCAGTATTTTGCGCAGGACGCTTCTGCTCAAGTCTTGTCCTGCCTGGCTGGGTCCTGTGATACATGAAAATTCTGCATCAGGTTGTTGCGCATGGCCTACATGATTTGTAAAGGGGAGAGGATGGCAGAGTGAGCATATCTATCATATCATATGCCAAAATACAACCAATTATATGTGGCAAGTTTCGCTTCCAAGATGCAAAGTTCTCACCTAACAGACCGGCTAGGAGGCCTTGAAGGTGCGCAGCAGACGCCTGGCCAGGTTTGTGATTGCTGTGCACTGAGACCGATGCTGCGCTGGCCGACAGTGAGAGCACGCATTCCATCGTGGCTGGCTTGGATGCAGACAGCATCAGGGGCGCTGGAATGCTGACACCCAGGAGCGCTGGAGACAGATCGCCAAGGCTTGAGCCATGTGCCAGCAGGTGCGCAGCTGACAGCGCAGCTTCCAGCATGGCGGCACCTGGTATTAGGGCCTGCCCAAACACCTGCAAAGATAATGGCTTTAGGAGCTTATTATATTATACTGCATGCACGCAGTCTGGTGGACAATAATCTCAAACATTCAGTATGAATGATGGCTCGACTGATAGCAGCATGGGGCTCACCTGGTGATCATGCAAATAGGAAAGCACAGCTGCCTGCAGGTTGCACTGCAGCACCAACGATCTGGCTGAATGGCCATGTACAACCCCCCGCAGCAAGGGATGCACGGGCGGTGAACACCAGTGGCTGCTGCGGCTGAATACCAAGTCCTGCAAGCAATAACAGTCACTCAGGTCACACAGGACAAGGTTAAGAATCTTTGCTGCATGCCGCGCACCGAGCACAAGTCTCAGGGCACTCCCCAAAATATCTAGAGCAGAAAACACCCAGCGAGAGAGCTCAGCGATGAGCTGACCAAGGGTATCTGACCTTATCAGAAGCAATTAAAGCCGGCTGTGCAAAGGCCCCTGGGGCCACAAGCGCGTGAGCATTGACGCCGCTCATGCCAAAGGAACTCGTGCCGGCTACCGCCGAGCCCTCTTCCGCGCTTGCTGCGGCGACGGCCGGGCCGGGCTGGAGGGGCACGCAGGCGCGCAGGCCGCAGTGACGGCGCCAGTCCGACAGAGCCGCAGCCACGTAGGGGTTGATCGTGCGCAGGTGCTTGACTGGCGCCGAGGCGCCGCTGTGCAGAGTCATGGCTGCTAATAGCAGGCCGGTGAGACCTGCAGTCCGCATGCATGCAAATGTCTCAAATCACCTGCTCAATCGCATAGCTTTCCTAGACTTCAGAGGGCCTGATTTGTAGTTAGAGGACAGAAGTTTTGAGCATGCTATTTTGTGATGTTGGGCAATTTCCTTCCAAAAGGAAGAGGCTTCTGCACTGAGGCACACCTGCAGCGCCCTCGGTATGCCCAAAGCAGGATTTGTTGGACAGCATGGTCAGCGGCCGCGCCAGGGGACCGGACACGCCCTGGCCGAGCGCGCCAACTTCAATGGGGTCGCCCAGAGGCGTTCCCGTGCCGTGCACCGACACTGTGTGGACGCGCATGGGATCGACACTGCCAGAAGCCAGCGCTGTGCGGATGAGTGCGCTCTGTGAGGGCCCGTTGGGCGCTGTCAGCCCACTCGAGCGGCCGTCCTGCACACCATTCACAGTAAATGTTGAGCTCAACTCTGCAGATTTTGCACCTGTAAGACTTTTTTTTTTCTTGCTCCAACAGCAGGCATGCAGCTCACAATATGCATGAGCATGTGATGAGGTGCCAGCTTCTGCAAAACCCATTTGTTTCAAAATACAGGTAGGCTCACAGGCAGTTGCAGGCCTACCTGGTTCACAGCTGATCCGCACAGGACACCCATCGGAGTGTAGGGAGCTGCGGAGTCTGTGGGGCAGAGCACCGCCACAGCAAAGCCTTCGCCGCGGCCATAGCCATCTCCAGATGCATCAAAGGATCTGCAGCGTCCCACAGTCGACAACGCCTGCTCCCATGCACTCCGTGTTACAGCCCATGCCACAACTTGTTCAAGAGCATCATGTATGGCTAGCGAGTCCATCAAGGGGTAAAAGATGTGGCAGCCTTTACCTGCAGCTTTGTGCTGCAGACGCACCTTGTTTCTGGCAAGAACAGCAGATAAATAAGAGTACTAATGATAATGTATTGCTGTGAAAGTGAGCAGGTGCAATGCTCACCTGGAGCTGGCAGATGCCGGCTGTGGTCCCACCAAGCAGCATTATGTTGATGCCGCCTGCCACGGCCGCAGCCGACTCGCCGTTGAGCAGAGCCCGGTGCGCCAAATGGGCGGCCACCAGAGACGATGAGCAAGCGGTGTCGGTGCTGACGCAGGGTCCAGTCAGCCCGAATGCATAGGACAGGCGGCCGACCATGTAGGGCGGCCCGTTGCCAATGAACGCCTGGGGCGGTAGCTTCGCGCCAGCCGCCACCTGGACGTCTATGTACTCGTGGTACATGCAGCCGATGTAGACGCCTGCGCATGAATTTGAAAATTTCCAAAAGCATTGCTCTGCCTTGTTCAAATCCCTGCCGCGAGTCCCTTGAGCAGGTGCATGCTTGAGAAAGGCCTAAGCATCGACAGAATCAGGAGAGACAATGCATTGGGCAAGACAGGGGAAAAGAGAAAAAGTGAACCTGTGAATGAGCTGACGTCAGCGTCCAGGGTGGCGCACGCGTGGTGCAGCGCCGAGGCCGTCTCCTCCAGCAAAATTCGCTGCTGCGGGTCCGTGGCCGCCGCCTCCGCAGGTGACATGCGGAAAAGCGCAGCATCAAACCTGTCGACATCCGCGCAGAAGCCCCCAAACCTGCGCGCATGCAGCAGCATGGCTTGATCGTCTGACATGCAGTCTGAGAGCTGTCCCTTTCTTAACATTTGAATGCAGGGAAGCTCACCCTGTGCATACTCGGGATTTGATCGAAGAGAAATTACTGGACCAAACTTGCAGAATTCAGGACAATTCTCTGAAGGGCGTCCAAAGCACGTACCTGACATTGATGGACATTTTGCCGGGGAGGATGTCTGGGCTGTAGACGGCATCCATGTCCCAGCGCGCGGCCGGCACCACGCGCTGCACATCTCCCTCGCCCATCATCGTGCCCCAGAACCCTGCAGCCCCCGATGTTGACCCATCCCCTGCAGCACACCTCATTTCAGCCACAGCGCACAATGTAAGATTACTTTGAGATACACATTCTTGGATCTCCCCTTGCCATGGTTTGAGCTCTATTTGTGCTCTGATCAGGAGGATCCTCAGAAAAATGATATGCAGAATATCTCCAATTTTTTCAAATGCAGAAAATTTCATGTATGCCGAATAGAGCACACATTGGAGGGTTGACTGGTGCAGCCTCACCTCCAGGGTATCTGCAGACCACGCCGACAATGGAAGACATGTCTGCAACATGGCGGCCGGCGCCGCGATTGTCACTGGCGACCAACATGCTGCTGTGCAGGTCCACGGAGGCAACGCCGCGCTGCGCATGGCCGGTCTGGGGCGCCAAGAAGGCGGCCATGGCCGAGATGGTGGGGTAGTCGAAGGTGAGGGTGGCAGGGACGTCAAGACCAAAGTGTGCGCTGACACTGTTGCTGAGTTCCACTGCTGCCAGGGAGTCGACTCCGGCCTCCATCAGCAGCTGCAAGCACATGTGCAACATGTGTGAGCCTCTGCATTATTGCTGGCGCTCATTGGGATTCTTTGATTGCTTGTAAGTTTCATAGATGTAAATTGTCTGCAATACACTTGCAATGCCAGGGAAACTCTCCACCTGCGTGCAAAGACTTCCGTTTGACGACAAGCAGGCAGTTGTGCAAGACAAGAGGCTTCCCATTTGGTAGGTCTGGTTCAATGGCTGGTCGTGTAATCTGACCTGATCGGGCTGGATGTCAGCGCCCAGCATGGCACGAAGGATTTCCTGAATATCCCGCTCCACAGAATCTTGGGACCTCGCGTGTGCGCTTGTTGGCGCATCTGCAGCCTGGTTTGGCTGCGCAGGAGACATGCGTGTTGCCAGGAATGACGCCAGTGCGGATGTGGTGGGGTAGTCAAAGGTGACAGTGGCTGGCAGCTCGGTGGCCAAGTTGGTTTCCAGTTTGTTGCGCAGCTCCACAGCTCCAAGGGAGTCCACACCAGCCTCCAGTAGCGGCTGCATCAACAACAGGCTCATGAATGTGGGTCACAAAACAGGATGCACTTTGCACACTTGTGTATATTGTAGATGTTGTAGATATTATAGATATTTTGAGCTGAAAGGCAGGGAAGAAAGGACGCAAATATCTACACCTGGTCGTCAGGAATGCTGGTGCCCAACATGGCAGCAACGGCTTCTTTGACCTCCTGGAGGGCCCTTGCTTGCATGGAGGCTTCGGATCCCCCTTGAGGCGCTCTGGAGGTCACCTGCAAGGAGCCCCATCCTCGTCAAATGCAACCACAGTGGCCTTCGCATTTCTCAAAATATCTGGCTCGGTTGAATGCGCAGCTGGGCATACTCTCAAGCCTAGCCGAAACTAGAAAAAGCACCCCACCTCGATTGGTGCTGGCGGCGGCAAGGCTGCAGGAGCGAACGCCTCAAAGATGGGCGGTGCGCCAGACTTGAGCAGCCTGTCCCACATGACGGGTGCTGCCACAAGCTGGCTGAGCCCAGACGCCATCGCAGCCGAGAGCAGACGCAGGCCTAGGCCTGGCGTGATGGTTGTGAGTCCTGCCTTAGAGAAGCGAGCGTTCAAGCGCGCATCGTTGGCGGCCATGCCGGTCGCCCATGGGCCCCACATGATGCTGCTTGCGGCAATGCCTGCCAAAAAGACCACATCATGTCAAGCGCACCTATACAGCTACTTGAGAATGGCGCTATCTAGCGTTTGCACTCTGTTGATGAGCAGGAGAGAGGATTGATGTAAGAGGGTGTCACCCGAGCACTGCTGCAGCTCTGCCCACGTGTTGAGCTGGGCGTTTGCTGCTGCGTAGTTTGCCTGCCCAGCCGTGCCGAGCAGCGCCGAGAGCGAGGAGTACAGGGTGCATGCTTGGACGGGCTCGCCGCTGGACGCATGCGCCAGCCTCTGGGCCGCCACAAGCTTGGGAGCTGCCGCGGCGCGCATGCCTTGGGCGCTCTGCACAGCCATTTGCATTTGATCATGCTCACCAGAGGCAATAGTCGAGCCTGAAGAAAACTACCTTAAATTGCAAATCTGGATTTAAAGAAAGGAGAGTCTGCCAGTGGTTTGACAAGTTGATTACCTGCTTTGGCAGCATAGCGTCTTGCAGCACACCGCCGGCATGCATGACAGAGCGCAGCGGCGGCCCACCACAGCGCACAGCCTGCAAGAGTGCATCCACCTCACAGGATTGCGCTGCATCGCAGCGAACAACATGCACAGCCGCTGTACCAGACAGCAGAGCTTGCGGCAACATCTGAGCGGCTCGCCCCGATCTGCCGATGAGGAAGATGTGAGCTCCCTGTGAAGCCTCTGCTGCCCATGTTCCAGAGAGAGATCCGATGTCCCCAAGACCGCCTGTCACAATGATCGATTCACCGATAAGTTGGATTTGATGGCCCAGGAGTCCATGTGCTGAGCCAGCTGCTTGTGAGGGCTGGAGGCGCGGGGCCAGGCTGAGATTGCGGCTGCTGCACACGCCGAATGCATCCGCTGGCTGCACGTGCGCGTCTGAAGCGGCAGAGCTGCCTGCGTAGTGCTGCCAGGATGTGCCGGAAATCTCCTGTGCAGCCACGCGCAGCAGCCCGCTGGCACCGGCTTCAGTCTCAGCCGCCCTGCTCCATTGCTGGGAGACACCGGCGCAGCTGCGCAGGACATCCAGCTGCGGAGCTGAGGTGTGCAGCTGCACGCTGGCTGCCTTTGCAGATGCAGCAGCTGCATTTGCTTGGATGAAGCGCAGGCTGCCGGCCAGCGCAGAGCTGCTCTCGCCTATAGCAAGCCTGGCAGTTGCTGTCTTTACGCCGCCGGCTGACATGGCTGTCCAGGTCAGCACCGGCCGGTGCTGAGCTGGCAGTAAAGGTGGCGCAGCCCCCGGCGCTGTGACAGCCCAGCACAACTCGTACATTGCATCCTGCGCTGAAACTTTGCTGATTGCTGGCGCCGGCACAGGAGGCGCCTCGCCCTTGCCGCGCGAGACCGGCTTGAATAGCATCCCAGAGATCGCCATGGCCGAGCTGCCCTCAGCCGCAGGGACCAGACAGTAGTCGCTGACGGCTGTGCCGTCCGCCAACAGACCCATGACCGCGGCGGACGCGAAGGTTTGCGCGGACGCCAGCCGCCCGCGAATGGCGCAGGCGCGCAGGCCGGCCGGCACCCGCGTGACGGCCGGCGCGTCTCCCGGCAATGCGTGCGCCGCTCCGGCCTGGGTGCAATTGTCAATGACGGCCGGGTGGATTAGGTACTGCCCGCCCGGCTGGCGCACGTTCTGCGCCATGCTGGCAACTGCCACTGCAGCAGTGCTATGCCTCTTGTGCACTCCGCTGAGAGCTCCGCTGATAATGGCAGAAAGGACTTGCTGAGAGGGAGCAAGCACAGCTGCTGCATCTGACACTAGCATGCAGGTGGCTGCGGCTTTGAGATGAACCTGGCGGCCTCCGGAAGCTGACGCGACCTCGAGAGTGCCAGATCTGGCGAGCACTGTGACTCCCAAGCAAACAGCTGTCCTGGTCTGCTCCATTGCACTGGGCAGCACGAGGGGAGCGGGGATGCTGGCATCTGTCAGAGCAGCCAGCCCCAACAGAGCGCCGGGCGCGGCCGAAAGCATCGCAGCGGTGGCAGCTGCAGCCGCTTCCAGCATGGCTGCTGCCGGGAAGAGCGCGCGGCCCGCTACACGGTGATCCCACAGATAGCAGAGCGCCGTGTGAGACAACGTTGCCTCCATGCGCGCCTCTACTGGTGTTGCTATGCAGCGCGCCAGTAGCATGTGCGGCTCCACTGGAGAGTACCTGCACACGGGGAGAGTGTTTTACTGCTGCTTGCTCTCTGCTTGACCGGCTTGATACTGAGATTCAGTAAAAGGGCCCAGCTGAGCATCAGAACATTTGCGCGTATTTTCTTTCTTCTCTCTTCCATATCAGGAAACTGTTAAGATGGCAGTTAATGTTATACAAGAGCAAAGCAGGGGTGCGCACCACAGCCGACGGCGCTGCCAGAGCGGCCTCCTGGTCACAGGGGTTGCCAGAGCGCCTGATGAGCGGCTCAGCACAGCGTGGGCGTTGGTGCCCTGGAAGGCAAAAGCGCTCACACCGGCCGCGGCAGAGTATTCGGCGCTGCCCCTGCCGGGCTGCACGCCTGGGCCGTGCTGGCGGGGGATGAAGCGCGGCCGCTCGCCCAGCTGCTCCTGTGTCTGCAGGATCCTGCTGACATGCGGGTTTACCTGCAGATTTGCAACAAGCATTAGGTTCAAGAAATGCCTATCCAAGAGTCACTGAGTCAAATAACAATGCTTCTAGCCCACTTAGGGCCGATTCAATGCCCCACTCTGATTTTCCTAGGAATTATACCAAAAACTCCAAAAAATCACAGGGTGAAGACTTCATGAAGGGCTGGGAATCTACATTCTGCATTTGCTCAACAAAGATTTCAAGGTGTTTCCTGGGTACAAGCAAGAGTTGTTTCGAGCTGCATTGAATGAAAGTGTCAACTTGGCGTACCTGGCGCAGGCTGCTGATAGCGTGGGTGGTGGCCTGCCCGAGCATGGTGATGAGGTTTGAGACGCCCACAGCGCCGGCCGCCGGCTCCGCATGCCCTAACCGAGACTTTGTGGCCGTCATGCGCACCGAGGCTGACCCGCCTGCACAGACATACCCTTCAAACAGGCATCCTCATGCAGGGGTGCAGGATGGAGATGGAAGCAGCATGTTCAGCAGAACGTCAATCCAAGTGGAAGTGAAGCACCTTGCAGCACTGCTGAGGCAGCTCCAACTTCGATGGGGTCGCCCAGGGGCGTTCCTGTGCCATGCATCTCCAGAGTTCCAATTGCCTGCAAGAGAAGCAGTCCCTCTGAATAATCTACCTTGTTTTCTGCAAGAAGCTTGCCAAGCCCTGAATGGGGTCCTTCATACCCTGCAAGGGTCTATGCTTTAATTTGAACAGCCAAAATTTTAAAACTGAGCTGCCATTGAGTATTCGCCCACCTCAGGAGACATGTGAGCTGCGCTGATGGCGCCACGGATAACACTCTGCTGGGAGGGGCCGTTGGGGGCAGTCAGGCTGCTGGAGCGGCCGTCCTGGTTCACATAGGTTCCCCTCAGCAGAACACCGCAGTGTCCCAGATCCTCACCGTCCACAGACGCCGCCGCAAGGTGCATCACAATGCATGCCTCGCCCCTGTCAGCCACAGCGCGCCAAGCTGTCAGTCTTGTGAGATAAAACGTATTATTCTGGCGCTTTGCAGAAATATTCAGAGAAGTTTTTGAGACGTAGAATATCAGCAGAAATACAAGAATGTGGTCTCTTGGCTGACCTAGCATCAGTTTGCTGCTGTTTTTAACTCTCTGTCAGCTCACATTTACATGCAGAGAGAAGTTACTATGATATCATGCATGCAATTTCCCAGCTGTGGTGCACATTCCACTGGCAAAGGGGTTGCCACAAGAGGTGGCAAAGTAATATAAAATAATGCCTAAAGGGCATGTGCGGGCACATGGGGGGCATGTGCGCGCCTGACGTAGCCGTCGGCGGCGGCGTCGAGCGTCTTGCAGCGGCCGTCGAGCGTGAGCATGCCGGCCACCTGCGCGGCCGCCGTGGTGGTCTCGGCCACCATGAGGTTGACTCCCGCCGCCAGCACGGAGCCGCGGTGGGTGCGCAGGTGCTGCATGCCCAGATGCGCGCCCACCAGCGCCGATGAGCACGCCGTGTCCATGCTCACCTGCAAAAAAACACCATCAAGTGTTATCTGCTAGAGGCTTCTCAAATCAGGAGAACCCACAGCATGTTTCCAATCTCTTACTCAGGAGTGCCGGAGTACAGTTGCATGCTTGGCTGTGGTGGCTTGTACAATGGAACGGCGATTGTTCTGGCAGCTTGGAAATACAGAAATGGGCAAGTTCTGCATTGAGGGACCTATGTGCAAGCATCTCGTTGAGAGACTGTAAAATAGAAGACACGGAGGGTTGTGGGTGCACCGCGGGCCCTTTGAGGCCGTAGATGAAGGACATGCGGCCGGCGGCGACGCTGAAGGGGCCGCCCGTGGCCGAGAAGGGGCCGATCTTGGAGAGGTAGGGGGCCGCCATGCCCCCGTATTCCATCTGCTGGATGCCCACATACACGCCCACCTCCGGCGCTGCACCATTGCCGCTGCTGGAAGTCAGAGTTACCTCGGACTGCATCAGCTCCCATGACACCTGCATGTTTCCACCAGAAACTCTCAGCAAGACATCTTGCAATTCACCAAGTATCTCGTCACCCTGAGCATGTCTAATTTCGCATAACGCCTCACACAACTCGTACTCGTCAGACAGAAGAGCATTCAATTTAGGTATCTGTGTACCTTGAGCACTGCCAATCTCTGCACACTGCAGATTTTCACAGGTGTAGCACAAGGCATGATCAGCCCCTTCCCCATGACTTCATTTGATCGGACCAGCACTGTTCTGCAAGTGATTTGGAAGAGGTCACCTCCAGGAGGAGGCGTTGCTGCGGGTCCATGAGCTCGGCTTCAGGGATGGTGATGCCGAATTGGGCGGCGTCAAATTGGTCCACGCCCGCCAGAAAGCCGCCAAATCTGGCGCGCAGCTGGCTCTTGCCGTTGCGCGGCGCCTCCAAGTCCCAGCGCGCATGCGAAACATGAGTAATGGCGTCGCAGCCGGTGCCATAGTGCGCTGCCGCTGCCTGATTGCCCACTGGCAGCCGTGTTGCAATGGACACCTGCGCACAGGACATAAACTTGTGTCATCAACGCTGGAGTTTTCTTCCTGGCTCTGCAATGTCTCTGCATGCGGTGAATCCTTCTTACAAAGTCATACACACGACATTCCACAGCACAGGATTCGCCAGCTTGTATGGCAAAGCAAATCGAACTGGAACTCTTTTGCAGACCCACCTTGCCTTCTGGCAGGAACAGTATGTGATAAGAAGGTAAATGTGCTGGCCAAGCTACAATCCTTGCAGGATTGACATGACTGCGCACCTTGGCCAGCAGCTGCGAGGGGTGGGCGTCCAGGGGTGAGGTGACCAGGGAGGTCGCGGTTACATGTGCCGGCACCAGGGCGCCGGCGGGGGCCATGAGGGAGTGCACATGGGCAGCCATGGCGCTGACTGAGGGGTAGTCGAAGACGAGCGTGCCCGGCAGCTGCAGGTTGAGCGCCGTGGCAACGCCGTTGGACAGCTCCACCGCCGACAGTGAGTCAAAGCTGCCCGCCGCAAACTGCCCATCCGCCCCTGCAAATGCATCAAGACACTCTGCTTATATACACCCACAATTATCAAATGCCCTAATGTATGAATGCCTTAGGCACTCCACCGCTGTATTGCAGGACAAATACCCTTTCAAGTGCCCAACATCCCTCACTGAAGTGCGTCTTATGCCTCCCGTTGTCAACGTTACCAGCCCACTCCGTTTTTAGGTGTAAAATTGCACGTGGAAAAATGAGGGCGCGCCTTCGATAGAGTCAGCGCCCAGGATGCTAAGTGCAGCGTCCCTGACCACCTTTGTGACGGCCTCCAAAGCCACCGCTGGCTTCTGCACGCCAGCTATGACAGCAGGAGCCTGCGCTGCGGCTGCATGGCTGGGTGCAGGCAAAGCGGCAGTCTGTGAACGCGCATCGACGGCTGAGAGTGAGCGCAGCAGCGCCCAGGGGCCCTTAGCAGAGTAGATGCTGGTGAAGCGTGGGATGTCGATGCGCGCATACACCATCTGGGGGACCGATCCGGCCGCCACCCCAGCCTCCCACACCTGAAACATGGATTCATTTTGATGTTGGTGCTTTTAAGATGAATCAGTAATCTCAATTGAAAAAGGTAATCTGGGTAATCTTATAGCAATTGATAAGCTCAAACCAATTCTTGATGTCGGTGGAGGGGTCCCTTCAGGTTATGCATGAAGGGAGTACAGCACATGTTCTTTAGCAGAAGTAATAAAATCTCTGGTAAAGGGAATCGGTGTAATATGACGTGCCTCTTTAGGAGAGAGGCTGTGCAGGCCCAGCGAGGCGAGCGCCGCCACGTGTTCCGAGGCCATGCCCGTCTCGGCAAAGGGGCCAAACTGCACCGCGGTTGCAGGCAGGCCGGCATGCTGCCGCTGTGTGGCCAGGCCGTCCAGGAATGCGTTTGCGGCCGCGTAGTGCCCAGCGCCGGACTGGCTCCAGACTGAGGATGTTGATGAGAAGAGCACCTGTGACTGCACTGGCAGCTGCATGGCGCTGGCTGTCCCCGCACCAATCACCTGCGAGCAGCAGATATTTCTGTTAACGGCAAGTTTGGCATTCTTGCAAAACATTGCGATCCATGAAGCCTTAGTGATGTCACCAGCTACAAGTCTCTCAATATCAATGTTGACAAACCAAAAAAAATATGAGAGGACAGGCAGACAGAGACATGCGTACCTTTGGTTTCGCGACGTCCCAGAAGTCTGCTTCGTTCATGCTGTCGAGCATGGCAAAGCCGGACACCCCAGCTGCATGCGCGTAGTGCTGCACGGCCGGCAGGTGCTCGTGGGCCCAGCGCAGAGCGGCTGCGGACTCCTTGGCGTCGCCCGAGTCGGCGCTGACGGTGAAGACTGTGACGCCGGCCGATGCGAATTCCTGCAGCACATCGAGTGGAAGTGTGCCAGAGCGGGAGGTGAGCACCAGGCACCGGCAGCCCGCCGCCACCAGCTGGCGAGCATACTCCAGGCCCAAGCCCTGCGCAGAAGAGGATATTTTAGGGCCTGTCATTTAATCGTCTCTCTAGCTGGTAATCAAATGCACTCCTCAATGCGAAGTGAAAAGAAGGCAGTGACTGATATGACGATTCAGTTCTTGCAGGTCCTGCTCATCTCTCAATATTTTTTTAAGTTCAACATCTCTTTCTGTGTGGCAATTGATCAAATGCTGCTGCGCAGCAATTTTCCAGAAGGTACAGAGATGCTCACGCATGCATGCGCACCATTATTTGCTGAGCTGCTGCAAGCAATTACAGGAGGTATTGAGCTCTCACCTTGGTGCCTCCAGACACGATGCTGGTGAACGCTCCATCCATCGGCAGCGGCCGGGGCATCATGCCAGCGCTGGGCACCATACGCAGCCCAAATGCTCTGCCGCTCCTGAAAGAGACCGCAAACTCGCCGCTGCTGCATGCCATGTGGCCCAGCTGCACAGCGCTCGGCAGGCAGCCGCCACTTTGAAGGTCAATGGTGGTGCCAAACAGCGCCCTGTCCTCCATGAAGAGCGTTCTGGCCAGGCCTGCGCGCATGCAGAGCACGACAGCTGAGTTTCATGGAGAAGGGACATCATTCAATCTTCTTGAACAGAAGTTGTAGGCAGCAGTATCAAGGAGCACAAGATAACACAGGCCTGCTAGATTGTGCTGTATAAGCATATGTGTAAAGTAGGCAAGGGGGGAACGGAGCTTACCGAGGGCCATCAGGCTTTCTGGCTTTGCGTGGGCTTCATAGGGGCCAACAGTCTGGGTGCCCCAGGTGACAAGGCTGAGCTTGGTGCGCGGCTGCGCCCTTCTGAACGTGCGGAAGGCCCACAGCATGGAAGCTGACGCAGCCAGTGACTCAGCCGCCACCTCAGCACCCGCGTCCTGATCAGGCCGCTGCTGCACCAGGAAGCAGTGGTCCGACTGCGCCTTTGCCATAAGCAGCTGCAGATCCACATAGCAGGTGACCACTATGTCAGCTGTGCCCTTGGCAGCTTCCTTGTCAGATTCCTTGCTGTAGACAATATTCAGTGCCACAACAGATCCTTCTGCGTCCCTGCACAAGTCCTGAAGCACGCATGGCTGGCTGCTGAGAATGAGCCACTTCTGCGGCAGCGGTTGGATTGGCACTGCTGGCTCGGACGCGATTGGCTGCCACATCAGGCGCATGGCTGGGCTATCGGCTGCCCGACTGCTGCCCTGCAGCTTCCTAGAAGCCATGACAAGCCCTGAGAAGGCCGCTGCCGGCGTGGCCGCCTCTGCTTGGCGGCAGGAGATGTCTACTGCGCTGAGCCGCTTGCTGGCAGGGAACACTCCATCCACGGCAGCAGACACGCTGAAACCGTGCGGCAGCTGGGGCGCGCACGATGCCACATAAGCCTGGCAGGAGACCGCTGCTGTGAGGGGGGCTCTGGCAGAGCCCACAGCAGCCTGCAGCAGTGTGGCAGCCTCTGTAGCTGCCGGGTGAGTCAGGTAGCCACAGGTGGGCTGCAGAGGCGGGTGGCAGACTGTTGCGACTGCATTCGCTGCTGACAAGCGCTGAGCTGTCGGCACATGCTGCAGCAGCCTTCTGATCACCCCTGTTGAGCTCTCACTGGCTTTATTGGTTGCCAGTCCTACAGCACACTTGGCGGCCTGTGCTGTGAAAAAGCTGGCCCCGCCACTGCTGATGCGCGCTGCACCGGTCGCTGCATCCACTGTGCAGAGGTGAGGGGCCTGTGTGCTGCCAGCCAGATTAGGCAGCGTTAGCGCTGACTGGACTGCACAGTCAGCCAGCTGGATGGGCTGCGCTGGCTGGCCATCCAGGAGCATGTGAACGGATGCGGCGGCGATCTCAAACAGCGCTGTGGCCGGCAGCACGCAGGCGGTAGTCAAGCCTGTGCCGGCCTGGCAGTCCCTCAGGAATGCCAGAGCTGGGGCGCTGAAGCTGAGGGCGAAGATTGCTGTGTTGGTGCCGGTGGCTCTTGCGGCGCTGATGAGGTGGAAGGGCTGCGGCAGCGGCCAGACTCTCGACCTCTGCCACTGGATGGGTGCGGCCACCTGCAATTGACAAACAAGCACTCAGATCTTTTCTTTGCATCTGACAAATGCTCAGTACGGAATTCACCTCCCCTCTCTGTCCGGATCTTTGGGTGCAAAGAAGGCTATCCAGCTTCGGGCTCCAACTAGCCAAAGAATAATTATGCTCTCACTGATGAAGAGGCCTCTTGCAAGCAATTGGGGATGTTGTCAATACTGAGATGTATATGCAGTTGATGGTGCTACAAAGCTCAAAGAAGCGAAAACTCACCTGGGCAGTCTGACGGTCAGCTGACAGCAGCATATGGGCGTTGATGCCGCTCATGCCAAAAGAGCTGGTCCCGGCCACAGCCGCGCATCCGTCTTGGCCGAGCGCTCCCGCCTGCCCCGGTGACAGCTGGCGCGGTACCTGCACACCCTCGCTCTTTTCAGGGAAGCCAGGTTGTATGTTTATATCCCAGCAACTGATTTCCCACCTGCAATCTTCTACACATGCAGCGGGGATTCTTAATTGCAAATAAATGCAGGTTGCAGACCTGCGCGGAGATGCGGTGCTGCTTGCGCCAATCCCCGAGCGCGGCCTCAACATAAGCGTTGGGAGTGCGAAGGTGCATGACGGCCGGGGCGCAGACTCTGTTGAGGCTCTGCGCCGCCAGCAGAGCGCCTGTCAGGCCGGCTGCGCCCTCGGTGTGGCCAAAGCACGCCTTGACAGATGCGATGGCGACAGGGGCTCTGACACCTGCCAGCGGACTATCCCGGCGCGCAGAGAGCGCCTGACCCAACGCTCCCACCTCGATGGGGTCTCCCAGTGGAGTGCCTGCAATCAGGGTGTTATCTAAGATATGGGTGCAGATTCAAGCTTGGATGGCACACTATATTTTAGGGCAACAAAATGCGGCAGGCTTCTATTAATATGCAGCAAATTGCTTTAAGATTTGGCTACAGCATGTACAAAGAGTTTTGAACGTGCCTGTGCCATGCACGGCAATGAGGCTGACGCATCCAGGCTCGATTTCACCAGCGGCGAGCGCATTTGCCACGAGCTTGCTCTGGGAGGGCCCGTTGGGGGCGGTCAGGCTGCTGGAGCGGCCGTCCTGGTTCACTGCGCTGCCTTGCAACACCGCAATCGGCTGCAACGCCGTGTGCGCGTCGCGCTCTGGCGCCATTACAAAGACCACAAAGCCCTCTCCGCGGCCGTAGCCGTCTGCCGATGCATCGAATGAGCGGCAGCGGCCGGCGGGAGAGAGCGCCTGTTGCAATGCAGACAGATTGTCATTTCAGTAGCTCAAAAAATGATAAGGCAAAGCATCCAATGTTCAAATGAACAAAACCTGAGATCCGCCAGTCAGGCAGTCACACTACAGAGCTAGCAGCCAAAGTAGGGCTGATTTGATGCCTCAATATGCTTGCCAGAATCAGCGCCCAGCGGGTATCCAAACAATCAGAAATAAATTTAGCTGGAGAAATGACAACATTCAGAAGGGGGGAAAGTGTGAAGCATAGCATACCTGCAGCTGGCAGATCGCGACAGTTGTCAGTGATGACAGCATGGTGTTGACTCCGGCAGCGACCGCCATGCTGGCCTCGCGGTTGAGCAGGCCCTTATGCGCCAGGTGGCCTGCCACCAGGGATGACGAGCAGGCCGTGTCAGTGCTGACGCAGGGTCCAGTCAGCCCGAACGTGTATGACACCCTGGCAGCACACTCAGCCCTCTCAAATGACTTGACCTGCAGTCCTTTGCGTCTCACTGCAGGCAGCATGCATCAACAAGTCGAAGATTCCATCAAGAGAAACGGGAAAACTTCCTGTGTTTTCAAATTGCATGCAACCGGAGCATGGACGCACCTGCCAGCCATGAAGCTGAGGGAGTTGCCGGTGGCGGTGGATGACGACAGCGTGCCGCCGGACTTGGCAAGCACGTCTGTGTACTCCTGGTACATGCAGCCCACGTAGAAGCCCATCTCCGTGCCGGCCGCGCCGGCCGCGCCGGCCGGCCCGCTGTGCTGCAGCGCGCTAAACACCTCCTCCAGCAGAATCCTGCCCTGGGGGTCTGTAGCGAGGGCCTCCGAGCGCGATATCCGGAAAATGCCGCCGTCAAAATCCCCGACCCCGGACACCGTCGCTACGAACCGCGCGTACATTTTCCCGGGTGCAACCTCCGGGCTGTAGAGCGCATCCATGTCCCAGCGCTCGGCAGGAACCACTGTCGGCAGATCCGCGCAGGATTCCATCGCGCGCGAGAAGCCGTCAGCGCCGTGCTGCGCCGGAGAAGGGTAGCGGCAGGAGACGCCTGTAATCAGCGAGGCGGATTGTGTATTTGTGGCGGCGAGCGCGGCCTCCGAGTGCGCCGAGTAGAAGGAGGACCGGGGGCTGATCAGCGCCAGCTGGCCGGCGGCTGAGTCAGTGCTGATGTCATCGTAATCGGCCCTGGCTGCCAGGGCCGCTGTGAGATAGCCGGCTAGCGCAGACGGCGTTGGGTAGTCAAAGGTGACTGTGGCTGGCAGGTCAACGCTGAAGCGCTCAGTCAGTGCGTTGCGCAGCTCCACAGCACCCAACGAGTCCAGCCCGGCCTCCATCAGCGGCTGCAAGATTAACATCAAGACTGCCTCACCCATTCTACAATTGATTCTTGTGAATTCTGATTGGTTGATATGTTAAACTGCAGATGTGCTCTGGGCAGGGACTGCAAACAACAGTATAGCCGCAAAAGAGACAGATGGAAACATCAGCAACAAACTTTGAGAGGCTGCATGATGGGGGAGGCTCACCTGATCGGGGCCCACAACTCCAGCAATGCCCTCGAGCACAGCATTGACAGCCGCAAAGACATCCGCGCTGTCTACAGCGGCCATCCTGCGCCTGCCCTTTGTGGCAGGACCGGCCGCCTGGTCCAGCTCAGCGCTTGTCCGCTCCACGAGTACTGAGTGGATGTAGGCGGCCATGGCGGCCATGGTGGGGTAGTCAAACATGAAGGTGGCCGACAGCTCCGCTCCAAAGCGCTCATTGAGTGCATTGCGCAGATCCACGGCTCCCAGAGAGTCCAGCCCAGCCTCCATCAGAGGCTGGTCCTGTTGAATCTGCAGAGACAATGGAGACAATTCAGCCTTTCAGCAATGTGTTGTCAATCCTGCTTCGCAAATGCAGCAAACGCAGCAGGGTCAAGATGCTTGGTGGTGTATACAGCACAGCCGCAATTGCATGCACGTGTTGCAAGGCTCTGCCTGATGTAAGGCGAATGTCTCTTTCACGTTCAAACAAGCTGAGAAAAGAAGAGATGACAAGAAAACATAGAGTCCAGGGGGAACCAGCACCTCTGGGCCCAGCATGCCGTGCACCATGCTCTGGATCTCGCCGAGCAGCGCATCCCTGGTCTGCACAACCACCGTGGCGGCCACCCTCTGCTGCCTCTTGGCAGGCGCTGCTGCTGCCGCTCTAACCGCCTCCGGTGCATGCTCGGCAAACACAGGCGGCAGCGGGCTGGCCTTCTCGAGCAGCCGGCTCCACTGAAAGGGGTTCGCGATGACAGCTGCTGAGGTGGACGTCTTTGAGAGTATCGCGTGCAGCGCGGCAAGGCCGGCGGCCGGCTCGATGGCGCCCATGCCGGAGCGGCGTATACGCGCAAGCACGGCCGGGCTCTTGGCCGCCATGCCCACCGACGCCCACGCGCCCCACTGCACGCTGCTGGCTGCACGCATGCCAATGAAAACAAGTCAATATAATTCTATCAGTAAAATTGAAGGACCAATTCGAACAATTTTCATCCATATGTATCAATTAGTCATGTTCGGCTTCAAGCAGACAATTGAGATTAGCTGACCCTCAAAGCCTTCTTGCATTCCAAGAGCAGGTGAGAAGGCAAATTCCAATGAACATCCATTGGAGCGATGCAGGTGTCTTCTCGTGTGACTTTCATACGAGTGTATCTCGCTGGAGGATTGGAGCATGTACCTGAGACACCAGCAGCCTGCAGGCTGCCGGCCCACGCATCCAGCACGGAGTTGGCAGCGGCGTAGTTGCCCTGGCCGGCAGAACCAATGAAGGAGGCAACGGAGGAGAAGGCATTCAGTGCTGCCAGCGGGGTTGCCCAGGAAGAGCGCTGCAGGTTCAGAGCTGCGTCCACCTTGGGTGCAAAGACTGCCCGCACGCTATGAGGCGCCAGCTTTGCAATTGGGTCGTCTTGGAGCACGCCACCTGCGCGCATGCATGCAGCTTTGGTTAGCATAGTGGATGAGATGAACTTTGATCTTTTGCCCTTTTTTACTTTCCTATGATGGAAAGCTTATGTGTAAGATTTTACCTGCACGTCATAATATTATTACTGTCCTGTAACAGCAAGGGGTATAAAAGACAAGGAGCAGGTGTGGCTTGCCTGCATGGATGACGGCCTGGGTTGGCACCCTTGCATCACCGCGCAAACAGCTGGCAGTCTCCTCTGCGGAGCTGACATCAGCGCGCGTCAGCGTGAGGCAGGCTGTGTCTGCCAGCGCTGACAGCGGTAGGAAGGCGGCATTGGATATTGCTGTGCGTCCTGTGCGGCCGACCAGGCACAGCTCCCCGCGAGACTGGCCCGCCAGCCACGCACCCACCAGCGAACCCACGCCTGCCCACACAGAAAATATGATGGCTGTAGATTAGGTAGTATGCATTCAAATTGATCCCGGTCAACTTAGTGAATTAGTAAGGTCAGCAGAAATTTGAGAAGGAAATGGCCATGTGTGACAGGACAGCGGTGGTCACCTCCAAGGCCACCAGTGATCACGATGCGCCCAGTAACTGCCAAGACAGGCGCCACTAGAGAGGTGTCTTCCTCCTCGGCCAATATCCTGGGAGTGGCTGCGAGGCCGGCATCCAGGATGGTGCCGAAGGCGTCCCCGCCCTCTCGGCCCTGCTGCCCAATCGTTGCTGAGGCAGCAAGATCTCTGGCGGCCCATTTGATGTCTGGGCGCTCGCTGGCAGCAACTCGGACCAAGCCCCATGCGGCAGCTCCCTCTGCAAGGATGTTCAAATTTCTTGTCCCTGATCCGGCGATCTCCTGGCTCTGCACTCCCCGGGTGCCCAGGTCAAAGGCAACGGCCGGCGGCTGAGTCATCGCGCGCTGGATGTTAGTCACGTCACGCAGGCATGACGCGGCCACGCTGCCGGCGGCACTGATGCGCCGTGATGGAGAAGCTGATATTCTCAGCGCCTTTTTGATTCCCAGCTTGCCTCTGGACTGCATGCCTGCGAGCGGCTCGCTGCATTGCCACTGCACCTTGTAGAGCATTCCCGGCTCATGCTCAGCCGCCGCTGTCTTGGTCGGATGCACCGGTGCCATGCGCGCAGGCTTGGCCTGCAGGTCGGCCAAGTCGAGCAGAGCCGGCGCGCTGCAGCCGCCGCTAAGCCGGTAGCTGCTCAGCGCAGAGCCGTCCTGCAGCCTGCCGGTGATCTCGGCCCCGGCCCAGGCGCCGTTGGCGGTTGCAAGCTCGCGCATGGGGCAGAATGCTCCGATGGCGACAGGCACCCAAGCCTGGGGCACAGCCCGCGACTGCTGCAGAGCGTCTGCCAGCCTGGCGCCCATGTGGAGGCAGCCGTCCACCAGCGCTGGGTGTGCCACGTAGCCTGACCCGTGCACCGCGGGGTTGGCCGCCAGAGTGGCGCTCGATCCAATGTGCTGCTGCTGCTGCTTTGCTGCCGGCAAGCTGCTGGCCAGGAGTGCAGCAAGTGAGCTGTGCTGCACAGGAGAGAAAGCTGCAGTTGGCAGCTTGGAATAGAACTGCACAGCCGAGGTGCGCAGGTGAACGGAGGCCCGGGCTGCAGGTCCAGCTGCCGAGGTGACCTCTAGGGAGCCGTCAGAGAGGCTGGCTGAGCACTGCACACCCACGGCAGCGGCCAGTGACAGCAGCAGTGGCGCTGGGATGGTGCTGCTGACTAGTGCGTGGGTGCCTGACTGGTGCACGCCGTCGCCTGCAGAGCAATATAACATTTGAATAAGGAGCTTGCATATGCGGATTTCTCCAAGGCAGCATTTCTCGCAATCTTTGCAGATAGCTGAGGTGCAGAGTCTTTGGGCTGGGAAGAGGTTCTCTCCTTATTACTCTTAGTCAGCGGAGAAACTACTCAATAATCCTGTCTGTGGAGGTATCTACCTGTGAGCAGGCGGCCGGCGCAGGTTGCCATCTCCAGAAGCATGGCGGCTGGAGCGAGCGCCTGCCCCTGCACCCGGTGGTCCCACAGATGCTGCAGCGCCGGAGCGCGCAGATCCGCACTGAAGGCCACCCTCCGCTCGCGCGGGGCTGGGCGCGTCCCTGTAATAGCATGGTATGGCACCGGCGCAGGCCACAACCTGTTAAGAGGAAATCCACAGCTCAAATGCCTTGCCACCCTTCACATCAGCTGAACGGGTTGAAACTTGCAATCTCAATCCAAGCATCTTCAGGGAAACACCATCGATGAAATTTCCTCTTCTGATCTTCTCATCTTGAAAATGGGATACATGTTATGAGATTCGAAATATCCTACCTGGCTCTGTTCCACACTGCAGCGGCAGCAGGCGCTGCCGAGGGAGTGAAAGGCACAGACACCAGCAGGTGCGCATTGGTCCCGCTCATGCCAAAGGAGCTTGTGCCGGCAGCGGCGGTTTGAGCGGCAGCAGCCGGTGACAGCTGGCGGGGCACCTTGGCTGCCAGCGCACACTGCTTGCCCCAGTCAGACAGAGCCGCTGAGACGTAGGTGTTGAGGTTACGGCAATTGAGCACGGCCGCATGCGCCCTCTGCTCCAGCGCCTTCACCGCCATAAAAATCCCTGTCCATCGCCAGCCTCAGTGTAAAGGAAAATTTTGCTTCTTGTGTGATCGACTGTCCACCTTTTCCGTTGCAGTACAGACCGCCAAATAAGGAGACTTGTGTTGTCAAACATACGCTTACTATCACCCCAAAAAGAGATTTCAATGTGCTGATGGCAAAGGAAGGAAATATAAGCACCTGTCACGCCGGCGGCGCCCTCCGTATGCCCGTAGCAGGCCTTGACGCTGCCCATGGCAGCCGGCCGGGCCGGCTCGCCGCGCGCCCCGGCCAGCGCCGCGCCGAGCGCGCTGACCTCAATGGGGTCGCCCAGGGGCGTCCCTGTGCCGTGCACCGCCACAAACGCCACCGCCGCGGCAGAAACCTCCGCAGCGGAGATGACCTCACGAATGAGGGAGGTCTGCGAGGGGCCGTTCGGCGCTGTGAGGCTGCTTGAGCGGCCGTCCTGATTGATTGCGCTACCGAGTAGCACCGCAAACCGACGGCTGTGCTCCTCTGAGGCCCGCGCCAGGATTGCAACTGCATTCCAGAGCAACCCTGGGATCAGTGATGAAGGTCGTGCATGAGAGGCCAGGTGATGTAAGTATTTAGTAAAAAATTGAGCCAAGGTGAAGGGACAGGTTGGGCTGACGTACCGGCAAAGGCCTCGCCTCGGCCGTAGCCGTCGGCCGAGGAGTCGAATGTCTTGCAGCGGGCCTCCGGCGAGAGCGCGGACAGGCCGCAGATAGTGCATGTCGTGATCGGTAGCATCATCGCGTTCACGCCCCCCGCGACTCCCGCCACCGTCTCACCAGCAAGCAAGCCCTGCGCGCAGCAGCAATGCATGCTTGCAGAAAGTGTCTGGCTTGAATTCCACCTCATGTGCTCCAAGAGTTTATGCACTGGTAGAGCAAGCCAGGAAAAGAAGGTGAGGAAAACCCACAAAGTAACAAGATAAGCAGATGTGCTGAGGAGTCACCTTGTGAGCGAGGTGGGCGGCCACAAGGGATGAGGAGCATGCAGTGTCAGTGCTGACGCAGGGTCCAGTCAGCCCAAAGGTGTACGACAGGCGGCCGACGAGGTAGCTGATGCCATTGCCAGTGGCAATGCCGGGGCTGATCTTGTAGCCCAGGTTGTACTGCAGCTGTGTGAACTCCTGGTACATGCAGCCCACGTAGACACCGGTGCGCGTGTCGGCGAGGCTCCCGAGGCTGGCGTGCGCGTCTGCGAGGGCGAGATGCGTCTGCTCCAGCAGGATGCGGTTCTGCGGATCCATCGCCTGCCCCTCCACCGCCGACAGCCTGGCAATTTCCCACAATGACAGTGTGACTTCTTCCCCTTGCAATTCTCATACCCATGGCTCTGCCAAGGCGTTATCGAATCTTGTAAACGCACTGCTGCCAAATCCCTTGCACCGACACCACTATTTGCATGCTCGATGCGCTCCAATATTTGAGGCTTCCTCCAAAAGCTTCCTCCTGCAGAGCTTGTCTTCTCTTGCGAGACCCTCATTTATGTACCTCAATCAGGCGGCAATGAAGAAGGAGTGACACAACAAAGGAAGGGAAGCCCACCTGAAGAGCCCCGCATCAAACAAGTCGAGGCCTTCGAGGAAGGCGGCTGCGCGCGTGTACATGGTGAGGTCGCCGCGCAACTCGGGGCTGTAGTACTGCTCCAGGTCCCACCGCTGGTGCGGCACCGTCCGCGGCAGATCCTCTTCTCCTGCCAAGCTCTGGAAGAATCCCGGCACGCCCTCGCCGCCGCCCGGGTAGCGGCCGGCCACGCCGACAACCTCCGTGGCGGTGTCAGCCTGCGCCTGCCTCGTCGTGCTGAGTGCCATCCTGCACCAAATTTGTAGTATGCTCACTTCGTATCGGAAAGAAAAAAGGCGTCAGCCATGCATTTCATGCACTCACCCACCTGACTGGACCCCATCTGTCATTCATTTGATCAATATGTCAGCAAAATATGCCTTAATACCAGATTGCAGGGTGAGCAAAGCATGGGATTTTTTGTAAGCAGCTTGTGTACGAGAAAGCAAGCAGAGGTGCGCACCCTGTGAAGCTGCCGCTGTAGGCAGGGTGCACATCCACCTGTGAGGCAATAAAGGACGCCAGGGAGGTAACTGTCGGGTAGTCAAACACGACGGTCGCGGGCAGGTCGAGGCTGAACGCCGCGCAGAGCGATGTGCGCAGCTCCACGGCTCCAAGAGAGTCCAGGCCAGCCTCCATCAGCGGCTGGTCTGGCGCCACTGCCGTTCCGAGCATGCCTTCCACCACAGCGCTGACTTGCGAGCGAATAGCTCCCTCGTCCACTGACTGCATGTGCTCCGCAAAACCGTCACCCTGCCACAGCAGTAATAACCGCTCAACAATCCCTCTCTTGCTATTGGGCATGCATATGACTGGTGGAAGAAGTGCATGTCTTGACAAGACTGGAAAGCAGTAAACAAGGTGTTGCTTGATATACCTAGTCCTTCAGACTGGAAGACGTTTAATAAAGATAATACTGCTTATCCCTCTCTTTAAAAGACTCACATGCATGCAATCAGCTCTTGAGAAGACTCATGCTGTCAAGTGTGAAAGCTGGGTGCAGACTTGCACCTGAGGTTTGTCGAGGGTGACTTGGCTGGCCAGGAATTTGGCTAACGCTGCGATAGAGGGGTGGTCAAAGGTGACAGTTGCCGGCAGCTCCATGTTAAAAGCGGCTCCCAGGGAGGTGCGAAGATCCACTGCTCCCAGGGAGTCAAGGCCTGCCTCCATCAGCGGCTGACTGGCGTCCACTGCAATGCCTAGCATCTGCTGCACAATTTCGCTGATCTTGGTGATCAGGCTTGCCTCTGACGGCGCCGCTCTTGCTGCTGGAGTCCCCTGAGCAAGCCGCGGCTGAACCTGCACATTCTCACTCAGCTCATCTAAGACTTCCTTTCATGTTCTTGATCTTGTTTAAAGATGTGATGCATGAACAATAAAGTATGCCTCAATGAAGTGCAAAAAAAGTTACCTGTGCTTGCTGCCCAGCGATGTATTTGGCCAGGGCGCTGATGGAGGGGTAGTCGAAGGTGACGGTGGCCGGCAGCTCAAGGCCGAAGGCGGCCTCAAGGGATGTGCGCAGCTCCACGGCTCCAAGAGAGTCCAGACCAGCCTCCATCAACGGCTGCACAACACATTGCTATTGGGACTCCGATGTCCATTCAAAAAAGGTCTCCCAGAACCCATCAAGACGGTAGTGTGCATGGAAGCCAGTGATGAAAGATGTGGAGTTGTTAGGGTCAGTCAGTGAAGCAACCTCCTTGAATTACCAAAAACGCCCATTTTTAAATTCTTACTGTTTATTGAAGAGAGGGTCACCTGGTCGATGCTGACATCAGCGCCAAGCATGCGCTGCACCAGCCTGGTCACCCCAGCCGTGACCTCTGACAGCCTGGCTCTCTCACCGCCGGAGCCAGCCGCTGCTCGTGCAATTTGTGCAGGTGGATGAGCCCTCTTGACGCTGCCGCGTGCTGCCGGCGCTTTCCAGTGGTCACTGTACTCAGAGAAGATCTGCAACAGGCAGAAATCCAGGTCACTCTTTCGAACAAGACACAAATGCGCATGTGCAGCCCACTCAAGGGCTCACAAACTCAGGAGAACAGACAGCTGGCCCAAGCACCTTAGGCTAATCAAGGCTGCAATGCTTCTACAAAATGGGCAAGTTTGCTCTGACCCACGTCAGATATAGAGTACACTCACCGGGAAGACGCGGTCGGCGCCGGCCATGAGCTTGGGCCACTCGAAGGGGGACACCACAACCTGCGCCGGCGGAGCCGCCCTCGCGCACAGCACGGCGGCCAGAGCGGCCACGCCGGCGGCCGGCGGCAGAACGCCCAGCCCCGACTTGACGATGCGCGGCAGCAGGTTGTGCACCACCGCCATCCCGGTACCGCCCCACGCTCCCCACTGCAGGCTCGTCGCGCTTTGCCCCTGCCACACCCAGCAATTACCTTCGGGTTACCTTCCCTATGGGGTACTATATCTAGTGTATATCCAAAAGGGGTATATCTAAGGGGATTAGAAGAGTACCCTCTGCCTTCCCATGAGTCTTTAAGAGGAATTGCGAGGCTGTGAAAAAGCAAATTTTATGACACACGCCCTGCTCATTTTAAGCATCGTGCTCTCAATATTCGAATCTTTTAAATATCCCGAAATTTTCTAAACCAAAGTATTTGTGCTGCAAAACTATCAACCAGCAAGTGTAAGCTGCGCACCTGAGCGCTCTGCGCATTGGCCCATGCGTTGAGCATGGCGTTGGCGGCCGCGTAGTTGGGCTGTCCCAGGGGCGCCACAATGGATGAGACTGAAGAAAACAGCAGCGTGTGGGGCATGGCTGCCGCATGCAGGTGCGGGGCCATGGCAAGGAGGCCGGACACCTTTGCGCCCAGCACACCCCGGAAGGTTGCTGGTGTCTGCTTCAGCAGCAGCTGGTCCTGCACAGGCACAGCAAAGCAGCATTTCATATCATCGAGACAAGGAAGGTAGGCATTTGGCACTTCCAGCCTGCATTTCTTGATGAAAAGAATCCTTTCATCACATGACAGGAGCTCTTCAATCAGTCTTCCCAGAAGACAAATTTGCAGACACCTTGACATACATAAAGTTTAACAGCAAGGCCTTTCTAGCACAGCCTGAATGATAGGAGCACTGTGCACCTGCAGCAGGCCGGCAGCATGGATGATGCCGCTGTGTGGCCCCCCAGAGCAGCTCAGCACAGCCTGCGCTGCGTCATGTGCACGGCAGATATCGCTGCGGCTGATGGTGACGGCGCCCTGCCCGCTGCCCTGCCCAACGAGCGCCTCGGGCAGGCTGCCGGGCACCTGAATATCCACCAGGTGCAGGTGTGCTGCGCCGTTCGCAGCCGCCCAGCGAGCAAAGAGGAGGCCCAAGCCCCCCATGCCCCCCGTGATCACCCAGCTGCCTCCGTTGAGACTCACCGGCACACCTGCAACGTGATGGTTTGCATTGACACAATCCCTTTGCTATCCTTCAGGCCCCCTGTTTAAATTAAAGGCGCATGTGATCACCTTCAATTGAGAGAGAAGAAGGACCCATGGGTGTAGAGGAAGGGGACGGATCTACCTTCTGGGGTGGATGGTTGGGGTGGGGACTGGGGCAGCATCCGTGGGGTGGACCAGTGGCCGCCGCCGGCCGCAAGGCCAAATGCGTCCGCAGCCACCGGCAGAGCCGGGGCGTTGACGCCGGGCGCGCTGACCTCGGAGCCCACCCATCGCAGCGCCGGGAACTCCTGCAGCGCGTTGCGCAGCAGCCCCCATGCCCCTGCCGCCGCTACATCTGCAGCGGCCGCTCGCGCCACCGGACCTGCACATCGAATATTTCCATCTACCATGGTCGCAAATTTTTGCATTGCCCTGCAATGTCGCGCCATGCACATGACAGGGGATGTTTGCGGGCATGGTGAAGGGGAAAGGTCATTGCAGTGGCAGGGGATGGAACGAAAAGGCTGCAGGGCTAGGGGAAGTGAAAGGAGGGCACCTGGTGAGTCCTGCAGCTGGGGAAAGCTGAGGACGCCGCGGGTGCGCAGGCGGATTGCGCTGCCCGGCTGGCTGCCCCTGACAGCAGCCTGCAGCCACGCCACGCTGCGCAGCGCCTCTCGTGCAGGATACACTCCTCTTTGTTCGCTTGACGGCCGCACGCGGCCGATTCGCATGCGTCGCGGGTACTGGCCGCCGCCGTCTGATTGCCAGGGCAGGCGGTGGGCATTATCGAGAGGACCTGTTGCCTGATCTGGCTGAACGGGTTCTCCCACTTGCCAGACAATGTCATAGGTGCTGGGCACAGCCTCTGCTGTCTTTGGCGCCAGAGCAGCTCCTCTTCCATGCACCACCTGCTTCCATCAACAGTAGTCATCACCCCGCACTTTACAAAAGGCCTTTCCGGTCGCACATCTGCAAAAGATTACCCCTTCAATGTGAAAAGGCTTGATGTTGAGTCCCAATGGCTCCTCATGAATACATATCGGTGCATGTTCTTCAGGGAGGGAGGACAACAGCAGTCTGGCTCACCTTGGCTTGGAAGCCGCTGATGGAGGCATTGGGCCGCCGTGTGGCGTCAGATAGCGAGAAGCCGGTGACCACGGTGCCGTCAGGCAGCAGGTCATGCAGGCTGCCCGTGCACCAGCCGGGAGGAGCGCCCACAGCCGCATTGAAAGCCTCAAGCGCGACCGGAATCCTTGTCACAGCTGCAGCCACCAACAGGCACCCTCAATCAGCAATGCTCCAACATCCTGCTTCTTCCCTCTACTGCGACCATTGTCTGTGAAGGAAACATAATGGTCAGTTTCCCAGTAAGGAGCATGGGGAGTAGGGTGTACCCTTGTCTGAGGAGTCCTTCCCAGAGAAGGCTGCTGCTGTGTGCGTGGCGCTGTCCAGCGCAGCTGGATGCACTGCATAGCCTCCGGGCTGCCCACATGTGCCCACGGGCTCTGGCACGAGGCAGGCCACAGCTGTTGGCAGCTCTGCTACGTCTCCCCGTGTTGGTCTCACCACACTGATAAGCAATCCAGCCTTGTGAGGTTTCTGGACTTGGTGTGAAGCTTCCGTTATTGCCTGGCCTGCCCAGCCGCCCAGGTGGACCTGCCCTCGCTGCCCGGCAGCTGCCGCCAGCTTGGAAGCTGCTGTGAAAGACCGGACCTCCACTCTGCCGGTTGAGTAGGCGACTGCGCAGCTGAGCATCCTGTGTGTGCTGGTAGGAACCGAAGAGACGTCCTCCAGGATGCAGGGTGCAGAGATGCTGACACCGAGCAGCAGGGTGTGCACGGCCGAGGAGTTCATGCAGCGGGCTGCGGCGCATGACATCTCAAACATGGCCGCCCCCGGCAGAAGCACCTGCCCTTGGATGCGGTGGTCGTGGAGATACCCTGCAGCCAGATGTTCAATCTTTAGGCTTAAGTCCTGCAATTTGAGGGGGCGCAGAAGGCAATTTTGGTTTTAGCCTCCAGCAGAAGATGTCTAGGAGACTGCAAGCAGGTTAAGCGAGTTCGTCAACTTGTGAAATCTGGAAGGTGCACACCGAGGCAACTGCGCGCCAGGGACATGTGGAAGGTGGCCTCCCTCCGCACAGCCGACACTGCAGCCGTCTGCAGCAGCTGGTGTGCAGGGCCGGCGTACCAGAACCTCTGCCTGTTCCAGCAGACCGGACGCATCCTATTCTCTTGCCTGCTGCCAGCTTCCAGGCACAGCACAGCGTGCGCATTGGTGCCCTGGAAGGCAAACGAGCTCACGCCCTGCACTGCCTGCCAGGTGCCAGGATCAGACACGCCAATGGCGGCCGGGGCGCGCTGCCGCGGCAGAGCCGGCGCGCGGCCGCCGGCGGCCTTCGACGCTCCCACGATGAGGGGGTTGACGCGCCGCAGGTGAGTCAGCGGGGTAACTCGCTGCTGAGTCAGCATCGCCACGGCCTGCGCGATCCCTACCGTGCCGGCCGCCGGCTCCGCGTGGCCCATGCGCGACTTCGCCGCCGTCAGCCGCAGCGGTGTCCTCGTGTCTGCTTTCGCGAGCACAAAATATTGAGCACTCTGAGCAGAAACCCAGCATTCAACATAAATTTATTAGACAAACTTGAACACTGTACTTGCAGCAGTGTGGGAAAGGCTCATGCAGAGTGCGTTCCAGTAAACCAGCACCTGACAGCACAGCGCTGATAGCGCCGATTTCGATGGGGTCGCCGAGGGAGGTGCCGGTGCCGTGCATCTCCAGGCCCGTAACATCCTCCGCTGCCAGGTCAGCCTCTGTCAGCGCGCCGCGGATGACGCTCTGCTGCGAGGGCCCGTTTGGCGCTGTCAGGCTGCTGGAGCGGCCGTCCTGCATTAAGGATACAATGTTCGTCAGTCAATCATCGCATAATCTGGTGTGCATGCTGTGATATAGATAGCAACATAATCTGAAAAGGAAACTTTTGTAAGGGACGTGCCTGATTGACAAAGGTGCCCTTCAAAAATACCGAGCCGGAGGACTCTGTTGGGCTGTGGGCTGATTCTGTGCCTGTCATGCTCTGCAGCAGCAGCACGATGCATGTCTCTGCGCGCACGTAGCCGTCCGCTGTTGCATCCAGCGTCTTGCAGCGCCCATCCATTGTGAGCATCCCTGCAGTTTACAGGTATTTCAGAGACGCGTGAATAGCGTTCCATTAATTCATTCTTCCCTTTGCAAGGATGCCAAAGGCCCTTGCAATGATGAGACAGTGGAAGTTCAAGCTAAATTGAAGACCTTGCGGACCTGCAATCTGGGTGGCTGCTGTGGTGTGCTCGGCAAGCATGAGGTTCACTCCGGCTGAGAGCGCAGCCCCGCCGTGCTTTCCCAGATGCTGCGCGGCCGCATGCGCGCCCACCAGCGCAGAAGAGCATGCGGTGTCAATGCTCACCTGCACCATCATCAGGGGCACTGAAAGTTGACACTGCAAGATAATTGTAAAGGAGCAGTGGCAAAATCCAAACAGAAGAATATAAGCACTGCCAGACCAGGGTGACTGTCGCGTACTGAAGCACTTGGCAACTTCAACAAGTCTGTTGCAAATATGTGAAGGAAAACGTGGAGTTGACTCGCAGTTGCACAACAGCGCAGATGAGAGCAGAAAGAGTGCACATCCGCAGGTAGCACCTGTCAACTCACTTTCCCGATTGGTATTTAAGATGATAAAGCTTGATTGTGGAGCGGATGGCAGACGGCAGAATCTAGCTGACCCACTTCAATTGGTGCGAAATCGAAATACACGAAACGATGGTGTTCCAGATCAGTCGCACACGTCTGCGCTGCTGGCCAGATTGTCGACATAGAGACATCATCGGAGCAAGTCAAGGCGCTTTCGAGATGCGATGCAGGTCGTAACATCGAGTTTCAAGAATTGCGATTGAAGAAAAGGGCTGCCTTGGATTTCGTTTTCTTGGAATTTTCAGAGCGTATCCGCAATGGCCCACAGGCTGCTAATTGTCGCGCTCCTTTGAACAGCTGAATCACGCTACTCGATTGGACTCGTATGAGGTAGCGCGCTTGCTCACTGTAAGCGGAGGCCTAAAGTCTTGGCAAGCGAATATTTGTCCAACATAGGCTGTCATCACTCAAGCATGCACATGGAGAATCTGTGCATACCGCCGGCCCCTTGAAGCCATAGGTGAAGGAGATGCGGCCGGCAGCCACGCTGAAGGGAGTCCCCGTGGCAGTGAATGCGCCCATTGCAGGCATGTAGGCGGCCGCCAGATTGCCATACTCCATCTGCTGGATGCCCACCCACACGCCGGTGGCTTCGCTCAGCAGACTTGGCCCGCCCCCCTCCTGGACACATGCAAATCCACTTGTCGCCATTCTTTGCAGCAAGGATGATCGCTTAGAAGGTTTGTCTACGCATTACCACAAAACCTGTGTCCTTTGTCTTGCTGTATGAAAGACCACTTTTTATTTGCAATTTAGAAAGGGATAATTTCTGCCTTCACAGGCAGGCTGGCTGAAAATATCCGCACCTGTTGCATGGCCTCCCAGGAGACCTCCAGGAGCATGCGCTGCTGCGCGTCCATGAGCTCCGCCTCGGGAACAGAGATGCCAAAGAAACCTGCGTCAAAGGTGTCTACCGAGGGCAGCCAGCCGCCGAAACGCGCGCGCAGCACCGACTTGCCCTGCCTCGGCCCCTCCAAATCCCACCTGCTCCCATCATATATGCTTTACTAAACTGTCATCACCATCCTTCATAGTCAGACACTCTGTTCAGGCTCTGAAGGTGTCTGCAGGTCTAGGTCATGACACTGACATTCCAGCAAGCCATCTAAACGAGCGCAAGAGCAAGTTTTGCAGCAATGCAAGGTGCATTGGCAAAGGCAGGTTCAGGAGACAGCTCACCTGCTGTTTGGAGCAGTACTGATGACATCCGCGTCGAAGGCATTAGTTCCCGTTGCCAGCTCTGGCAAGCGCGCCGCAACCGACAGCCGTAGCAGGCCGCCTGCCGCCAGCGACGGCTCTCGGGGCCGGATCGACAGCGCTGTGATCGCCTCATCTGTCTTGATCGAAGCAAGTCCCCGAGGCGCCTGTTTTGGCGCCACGAGGCCGTGGAGATATTGCGCCGCATCGCTGACTGAGGGGTAGTCAAAGACCAGGGTACCCGGCAGGTCACGGCCGATGGCCTTGCCCAGAGAGTTTGACAGCTCGACAGCCGCCAGCGAGTCAAAGTGCCCGGCTGCAAAGTGGCCGTCCACGCCAATGTCTTCCCCAAGCAGCTCACTCGCTGCGCTGCGCACCATTTGCACCAGGTCCTCGAACTGGACTGCTGCAGTAGCTGACATCTCCTTTTTCTCCGCCGCGGTTGCGTACTGGCCAAAAGCCGGCTGCTGCGATGCGGCTAGGTCGAGTGAAGCTGCGCTCAAGAGGGCAGTTGTGTCTTGAGGCAGGCGGGAAAGCTGGTCCAGGAACTTCCAGTGGCCGCCAACGGTGTTGACCTTGGCGAACTGCGAGGCTGCAATGCGCGCGTGCACGGATTTTTCGGCGTATCCGGCGTCTTGGAATGCGGTGTGTGCGGCGGAGGGCGGCAGGGGATGTAACCCGATGGCGCGCATGCTGTCCGCGTAGCCTGCCGCCATGCCCACTCCGCCAAAGGGGCCGAAATTGACTGACGTGGCGGGCACGCCTTGTGATCTGGACATGTCATTCGAATGTCAGCTTTGGCTATGCAACCTCAACATTTCCCCTTTCATGTCTTTCAAGTTTGGTAGAATCATCCCATTCATCATCATCCCTTTCCATGCCATAGATGCACAGGCAATACAGTATATGGATTTAGAGGCTCACCTGCATGTGTGTGCAAGAGAGTCGAGGTAGGAGTTGGCGGCAGCGTAGTGGCATGCTCCTGGCTGGCTCCACACCGCGGCTGTGCTGGAGAAGAAGTGACGGCTGCCGACAGGTAGGCTTGTGCTGCACAATTCATCTGCTCCAAGTACCTGCAATTTCCATGTCTTATATTGCCAGATTCTGGATAGACGACACTAGTAGACCCTGGCTTGAACCTGACCTTGAGAATGTCACATGTGTACAATCCAGGGAAGGAGGGGCGCACCTTGGCATTGCATATGCTCCAGAATTGGTCATCTGACACATCAGCGATGGTGTCATAGCCCAGGGTGCCAGCAGCATGTGCCAGCACTGCCACAGAGGGCAGGCTCTCGTGGACCCATTGGACGACGCCTGCAAGTGATTCAGGGTCTCCAGAATCACACTGCACTCCAAATGTTGCGCTGCCCAGATCTGCCAGCTGTATCAACTCTGCTTTCCCCATTTCTGGGTTGCGAGACAGTAACACAGCGCATGCACCGCTGCTTTTATGCATCTCCTGCACATTCATTTCATGTCAGACGTGTGCACGCTGGGACAAAGTGCAGAAGACAGCCCAATATATCCTGGCTTACTGAAGTTCATCTATTTTCAAGGGAAATGCATGTTTGGAGGGCTCACCTGTTTGGTATACTCCAAGCCAAGGCCCTTGGTGCCACCAGTGACGACTAATGTCTTTCCTTTACTTGACTGAACAGGTCGCTGGACAGGATCTGGTGCGATGACTAAGCGCTCAACATAGTATCTGCCATTGTGTAATGCCACACACCGCTCTCCGCTCCTTTCAATGACCGAGCGTAAAACCTGCAGCAGAGAATGGTCCACCTCACAAAAATTGCCTGACCAAAACTCTGAAAATTTGCAAGCATGATCAGACATGAACGGCATTTGCTGTCAAAGTCCCACGAACACACCTCTGCTTTGAGTGGCGCCTCAGGCGGCCATATATCAATAGCAGGCCCACAGGAGGCTTTGTTTTCCATGTGCAAGGTCCGGCTGAGAGCCAGAGACGCTGCAGCAGACGTTGATACTCTCTGCCCGCCACTTGCTTCAAATTCTGGCACAGGACGCTGGGCCCCAAAGGTCAGCAGGGACAGCTTACTGCGGTGCTTGGCTCTCTGGTGCGCCTTGAACGCCCACAGCATGCTCGCGCGCATGAATGCTTTCTTCTTGGCTCTGGTCGCGGTTCTCCAGGCTTCCTTCTCTGGATCTCCCTCCTCCTCTGTCTCTGCATTGCCCCCTTCTGAATTTGTGGTATTCCCATTGCTGTGAGGGGTGTCTCCATTGGCGTAGAGGTGTGGCTGGCTGGGTGGATTGATTGGTGGCTGATCTGGCTCGGGTGCTTCATTTGACTCTGCAGGTGGGTGCACTGCAAAGGTGTGGTCCACGTCCATGCAGGACAGCAGCAGCTCCAGGTGCTCGGCTGAGCTGGCCACAAACTCGCTCTTGGCTGTGGGGCGGTAGACACATTTATGAGGCATGGTGACACTGACTGCAGATACCAGCGGCGGCTGATCTGCACTATTGAGAGTGCAAAGGTCGCTGAGCTGCACTGGCTCAGCACTGATTGTCAGCCACCGGACAGGCCTGCAGAGCACAGCATGCCACCCAATAAAGATAGGACGAGGTATACTGCCATGCCGATGAAACACTGAAAGAGCATTTCAGTACATCAAGTGGAAAAATGCAGGTTGGGAGAAGCATTACCTGTTGAAGGGCGCTTCAGGTGGCGGGGGCACTTGCTGCCAGACAGTAGTGTAGCTGGCGCTGTCAGCAGCAGAGCTGGGACCTGCCAGCAAGGCTGTAACATCCACCATGTGGGCTGCTATCTCGCTGCCGCTGTTCTGCAGGGACATGCTTGTGACGTAGCGCCCGGAGCGGCCGCGGCGGGGCCTGTTCTGGTCGGCAGCTACAGCCCGCAGCTTCCGGGAAGCTGCCCGGCGGCTGCCGGTCAGATACGCGCCGCAGGCGGCTGCGCGCATGCAGCGGCGGCAGCCGGCCGGCAGCGTACGGTGCACAAACGCCTGCAGCGCCGCGGCCGCCTCGGCCGCCGCTGGATGCATCCAGAAGCCGGCGGAGTCTGGCGCCATCGGCTTGTGCGCCAAATCCGCGGTGCATGCAGCCGCGCGCGCATCCAAGTCTCCCTGGTCAGCCGCCATGGTTTTGAGGTCGAGAGCAGCCAGTATGCCACGATGGCGCACTGCTGAAGCGCCAGGCTGGTGGCCTGCAGGGGCAGGTGATTCCTGGATTGCTGCCACCTGGCCGCTGAGGTGGACAACCAGCTCAGCGTTGGGTGCCACGCTGGCGGCGCGGCTGCTGACTGTGACGCTGCCGCTGTGGCGGTGCAGCTCGCTGCGCAGGACTCCACCGGGGGCGCTGATCATGGCTGCGCTGAAGGAGGCTGCTGTGACAGCGAGCTGGTGGGATGCGCTGTCATCGGCCAAAACTCGGCCCATGGCTCCTGCCAGTTCCAGCAAAGCACAGCTGGGCACCACCGTCTGCCCATGTATCTGCAACCGGCAATGCCCTTCATCAGTCAACATCACCTAAACCTCAATCAATGTGTAAAAGGGCGTGGAACACGATTTCTAAATGAGATAGAGCCCGTACAAGCACATGTATAAGGAGGGTGTGAGCTCAACATTACCTTGTGGTCCAGCAGGAATGCAACAGACGCTCTGTCAAGGGTGCCCTCTGCGCTGACAGTGCCGCCAGCCGCCGAGACAAATGCCCTGTGCAGCAGCGCATGAGGCGCTGGCGAGTGCCAGAAGCGGCGGCGTTGCCATGCCGGTGCCGCTGCGGCGCCTGCTGCTGTGATGTCCAGATCCGCTTCTTCTCTTAGGATCAAATGCGCATTGGTACCCTGCAGAGACGTCACAGTGCAGTCAGCAGTCATGAATAACATCATCCTGATGGGGAAACTGCGCAGGTGCTCACCATCCGCACCAGCACTTCCCAAGGTTTTCATGGGCATGTAAAGTCAAGGCCTGCATACAACAGGTGAAGTCTCTGACATTATGCCGCGGCAAATCACTGCAGAATCATCTCATTTTGAGACCTTTCAGAAATCCTTAAGCTAGGGCAATATGCAAGAGGTGCTTCACACCTGGAATGCGAATGAGCTGATGCCCATGCAGAGGTCGCCGGTGCAGTGCCCGGGGCCGTCCTGTTTGGGAAGGCTGACTGGACACTTGCCGGCATCCAGGATGCTGGCCACGTGGGGGTTGACTGTGCGCAGGTGAGTCAGCGCCTTGGCGGCCCCGCCACTCAGCCGCGCGATGGTGCGAAGCATGCCCGTCGCGCCGGCACCTGCCTCCGCATGCCCCAGCGCTGACTTGGCCGCCGCTATGCTCACCGGCCGCCGCACACCCTGCAGCAACCACAGTCGCCTCCTCAAAATCATGTTATTACAACTTTTTCCAGCCCTGATGGGTACGTACCTTAAGCACTACATCAAGCAACACCTGAATTGCTGTCTACCGGTCTTTGCGATTCCGTCACCGGCCATATGCATGTTCCGATGGGGACAAGGTCAGGTAATCTCATGTTCAAGTCATTTCCCAAACCAAACGTCCAAAGCTTTGGGACACAAAGAACGTGCTTGTCTGCCAGGCCTCCAGAGGTGGTCCAGAGGTGTCAAAAGGGGGGATTCGGAATGAAAAGGGACATGTCTTGCCTGCAGGACGGCGCAGGCGGCGCCCATCTCGATGGGGTCGCCGAGGGCGGTGCCGGTGCCGTGCATCTCCAGCGCTGCCAGCTGTGCCGGGGCCAGGCCGCCCGATGCCAGCGCCGCCCGAATCACTTCCTGCTGCGAGGGGCCATTGGGGGCTGTCAGGCTGCTGGAGCGACCATCCTGCACACACCCCAAATTACCCACCTCATATCTGTGGTGAGACCGCATTCAACGTAGCAGGACTACTACACGAAGAGTGCCCCAGCACTGCAGTCATGCAGTTGCATTGAACAGTAGGGGCATGACTGGTTACTGAGAGCGTGAGCAAGAGATATGAGTGGCAAGAGTGGCGTACCTGCTTGACTGCGGAGCCCTGCACAATGGCGGAGGCGAGTGTTCCGTCCAGGAGGGACTCCAGCAGCAGCACGATGCAGTTCTCTGCGCGCACGTAGCCGTCCCCGGCCGCGTCCAGCGTCTTGCACCGCCCGTCTGGCGCAAGCATGCCTGCATGGACACCACAGTCATCCTGAGCATGTTGTCACAAATTCCACACTGGTAAATTCTCCTCTTAATACTACTTGTTTCTCTGTGCTTGCCAATCTGAAGAAAAATTGGAGTGTGGAAGCTATGACATAGGGAATGCCCCAGCAATGAATGTGCTCTACAACTGATAGATTTTCATGCTGGAATTTACTGAAAAAACTATTCAAAATGGCAAAAGTGCAGGTATGCTGAGAGGGGAAAGGACCTGTGATGGCGAAGGCGGAGGTCTTCCCGGGGCTGAGAGTGAGGTTGACGCCGGCGGCCAGCGCGCGGTCGCAGTCGCCGGCTGCTATGTCGCGCGCCGCGTAGTGCGCGCCCACCAGCGAGGACGAGCACGCCGTGTCGATGCTCAGGCACGCGCCCTTCAGCCCAAACATGTACGATATCCGGCCGGCCGCCACGCTCGTGGCGCCCCCTGTTCCAGCACCCATCTATTTGGCCAATGCACTGTCTGAAGCCGTTTTGCTCTCTACAAGAAGCTCATGAGCGAGTGGAAGATGTATGACTATGTGCATGGAAAGGTGTGCCTCCCTCTATCAAGGGCAAGCCCGCATATTCTTGACTGTTGCTTCCACAAAGAGGAGCCTCCCGCCTCCTGGCTTGTTCTGACCGCTGAAAAGGTAACTTGAATTCAAGCTCAAAACTTCAAATAGTGTGTTACCTGTGGCAACGTAGATGCCCACGCCGAGATGCGAGGACATGGAGGTGTAGTCAACGGTGCCGATGCCCACTATGACGGCCGTCCTCGCGCTGTCATATGCGCCGGCCGGTGCAGCCTGCAGCGCTTCCCACGACTTCTCCAGCAGCAGCCGCTGCTGGGCATCCATGTGCACCGCCTCCGGCCTGGTCGGCCACATCCCATCTCCATCTCAAACACTCCTCATTCCACTCAATCTCCACTCTGAACAGCCTTTGCAGCAGAAAATCATGATTCTGCCACAACCCCTCTGCGACAATCACATGCCTCTGCCAGGATCAATCTGCAGCAAGCACAGCCCTTTGTTATTGTATTGAGATGCAGCTACAGACGCTTTTCCTCTGCCACAGCCCTGCTGCCGCATCTAACAATCCCTGCCACAACCCCTCTGCAGCAACACCATGCCACTATAGCAACCGTCTGCTGCAGCCGACGTGCCTCTACCACAACCCCTTACCCCATACATGGGCAAAATTTGCATATCTTGCCGTACCTCGAGATGCCAAAGATGGTGCCGTCAAAGGCGTCTGCGCCGTCCACGAACGCGCCAAACCTGGCTTCCAGGGGCACGGAAGATCCGCGCTGCACGTCGTCCACGTCCCAGCGTTCCAGGGGCACCAGCCGCGGCGCGTCGCAGCCCGGCAGCCCCGGCGCCACGCTCGGCAGCAGGCCCGCCACCGCCGTGACTCCCACCGCCGCAGCCGCCTCGCTGTCCTCATACACCTGTGCATTCCATATAGACACTCACATCCTCAGACAATCCTCAGACAACAGATCGATTCAGACACTCGAATCCTCAAATCAACATGTCAGTTAGACACTCGCATTCCATAAGCCGCTCAGAGAATCATCTGTAAGGAGCTTCAATATCCAGTGGAACTTACCAGATGCTCTGAAGAGCAGTGCAAAGAGTTGCAAGTGCAATCGAATAAAAGAAGTCATGCTGGATAATTTGGCAGGGAATGAAAGTTAGCGGACCTGTAGCTCGTGGGAGTATGAGACAGAGGACGCGTAGCTGGCGACCTCATCGGCGCCGATGACATCATCCGCCGACGTGGCAATGCTGGCGAGATGTGCGGCGAGCGCAGCGATCGAGGGGAAGTCAAGTGTGATTGTGGCAGGCAGCTCCAAGCCAAATTTGGCGCCTAGTGCATTGCGCAGCTCCACTGCTCCCAAGTCCAGCCCGGCCTCCATCAGCGGCTGCATACGAACGCATTGAAATTTAAATTTTACTTGATGATTTGGAGCATATAATCAATGTGTTGAATGGAGGCATGTCTTCACCCTGTGGTGGGGTGACTCTTGCACAGCTCACCTGGTCTGAAGACGGCGCAAAGCCGAGCACGCTCTGAACGACTGCTGTTACTTCTGCAGCCATGGCGGCCTTGCTCGGTGCCTCTCTCTGCTGCTGGGCGCGCCTGTCTGGCATTGTTGCTCTCGCTCTGCGCTTGGGAGCAATTTTGCGCGGCCGATCTTCTTCTTCGCTGCTCCAATAAGCCTGCTCCTCTACTGGCACTGGAAGCGCTTGACCTGCATGGCAGCAGTGTGAAACGTTGTGCGAGCTGCTGTTTGCAAATCTATTCATACGGCGATGTTGCTGCATGTTTTGACACCAGCAAGGGCCTGCCAGTGAGCACACCTGCAAGGAAGCCAGCGATGGCGGCAGGCGTGGGGTAGTCAAAGGTGAGTGTGGCCGGCAGCTCGGCGCCAACCTTGGTGCCTAGAGCATTTTGTAGCTCCACGGCTCCAAGAGAATCCAGCCCGGCCTCCATCAGCGGCTGCTCTGGTTCCACAGCAATGCCCATAACGTTCTGGGCCACTGCGATCACCTGCCAAGCCCCATGCACACAGCTTCAGAAGCACTTTCATAAGCCTTGGCTCGCCCAACAGTATGACAGGGACATGTTTGTAGTCCATGGTGCTTTGCAAGGGATTCCGAGCATATGGTCTCCCACCTCTGCAACTAACGACTCTGCCGAAGTGGTAGCCTTGCCGGAAACATTCTTTGCCTCCTGCTCTCTCCTGGGTTTTCGCGCTGCCTTGCCCTTCCTTCTGCCGGCCGCCTTTTGCTGTGGCCTCGCCTGTCCCGACACAAGCATTATTTTCATTCAAGCTTGCAATGATTCTCTCATGTGAGCCTGCTGAGTAAGCCCCTATGCTTCAGGAGCAAGGGCCCTACAGGGAGTTTTGTGGGCCCACCTGGCCGCTCGGCTTGGCTGCAGCCTCCAGCAGGGCGGGCGCAAACTCCGAGAAGAAAGGCGGCGCCTGCTTGCCACGCAGAAGGATATCCCAGAAGACTGGCGCGGCCGCAAAGGTGCTGGCGCCTCCACCAGCAGAGCTTGACAGCACTGCTGACAACGCCTGCAGCCCAGAGGCAGGTGCCAGAACTCCCAGCCCCGAACGCTTGATCCTTGCCAGAGTTGCAGCGTCGTTGGCCATACCTGCAATTTACAATGCCATGCTTGCGGATATATCTTGAGACCACGACTGACCTTCAGCAGCATATCTCAAGGGTACAGTACACTGGGAGACTGACCCCTAAGATTGCATTAATCTCTCATTGAGATTTTTGCAGGGTGCCTGAAATCTGATGTGAGCCCCAAGGCAGGAATTATGGGGGCTTTGCAGAGAGGGAAGCACCTGCGGCCCACGCGCCCCACTGCACAGCGACGGCCTGCTGCCCGGTGGCTGCCCGGCGGGCAGCCCAGGCCTCCAGCGCGGCGTTGGCGGCCGCATAGTTGCCCTGGCCGGGAGCGCCGAACAGCGCCGCGGTCGATGAGAACAGCACTGTCGCCCGCAGCGGCAGGCTCACCATCGCAGCGGACATTGCTTCTGCCGATGCCAGCTTTGGCGCAAAGGACTGCCGCACATGACCTGCACACAACATTAAAATCCCCATCAGAGCCTTTGACTTGTCATGTGTTATGCCATACCAACCTTGTGTTTGCTTCAGACTCAATTTTGAATTTAGTTTCTGGGCAACTTTCATATTTGCTTTCATTCATTGCTGCAGGCAAGATCTCCCAAAAATTGCCTACTACCAGAACACAAAACTATCCAGGGCTGGAGCGTACCGGCTGTCTGGGAGGTCAGAATGGCGTCGGCCAGGACGCCGCCAGAGTTGATGACGCTGGTGATGGGGGGCACGCCCAAGCGGCGAGCGCCTGAGCCGAGAACGGCGGCCGCCTCGTCAGCGCTGGCCGTGTCGCATCGCACGGCCGTCACGCACGCCGCGCAGCGCCCGCTCACCACGTCCTCCAGGAACCCTGCACCGATGTGATCCATATGAACCAGCAGTACACGCAAGTACCACAAAGGAGGCCTCCCTCTGCATTCATTGTGTTCATCTATTCCTTACCCACACGCAAACATGTACTAGCTGCCAGAACAATGACAAAGCTGCTCGTCTGATGCAGGCCAGTCCAAATTCACCCACAGCTAAATAGCAGGAAGTGTACTCAAGCCTGAAAACCGCTGCAGTGAATTGTCGGAGCAGATGGGAAGGCTCCTGCGCCTAATCTACCTGTGGGCTGCCCGCTCCAGCGGCCGGTCCTGCCCAGGAGGTGGACATGCTTGGCGCCCTGGCCCACCAGCCACTCTGCGGTGATGGCCCCGAGCGCGCCCAAGCCCCCGGTGACGGCCCACGCCTCGGCCGGCCGCCCGGCGCCGCCGTCGGCGGCCGGAGCAGCCGGCGGCACGCGCACGACGATCTTGCCGATGTGCCGCGCGTGCGAGAACTGGCGCAGCGCTGTGACGATCGAGGAAAAGTCGTACACGAGGGACTGCAGCGGCTGCACCGCTCCGGACGCCAACATCGCCGACAACCGCCTGAAGGAGCTGTTCAGGACCTGTCGCCACATGTGTCACAGATGTCACACTTGCAAGTCCATCATCCCAGGACATCCAAAATCCGGGGTCAAAATGTCCTTGATATGGAAGGGCGGATTGCAAGGCCCCACGCTGCATGCGGAGGTAATCAAGAGCAACGCCAGGGGTCTCGAAGATAGAATAGGAGGTTTGTGCTAGGGCCAGTGAAGGGTGAGCAGGGGTCACCGCAGGGGGCAGGAAGTCGATGGCGACGAATTTGTAGGCGACGTCGGGCCGCTCCTGGGCGACGCGCTGGGGGGACCAGATGTCGCGCTTACTAATCTCGGCCATGCGCGCGCCCAGCGACAGGCTCGCCAGCGTGGCTGCCACCATGGCAGGTGATGTCAGCGAATTCAGCGCCACATCCACCGGCCCTGCATGCATCACTCATCCGTCCTCGCTGCCTGCCCTCTCTTTGATGACAGAAAATGCAAGCTGATGATTCCTCACACAAGCTGGTGTTGCTCACAAACTGCCACCAGCGAGTGAGCAATACTAAGAAATACTCATAGCAGGTAACATGAGACAAGAAGCAGATCAGCAGGTGGCTAAAAATGCTGATTTACAGATGAAAGTAAGAGGAGAAGTGGAATCACCTGCGCGGTAGGCCATGACGTCGACAAAGTCGGTGTCGCGGGAGGAAGCGGCGGCCTGTGCGCCAAGGGAGCGCAGCAGGGAGCGCTTCTGGGCGCTGCCAGCCGTTGAGAAGACGCGGCAGCCCATCGCCCGCGCCACGTTGATGGCCGCGAGACCCACGCCGCCCGTGCCCGCATGCACCAGCACCTGCCCGCAGCAAGCACCCATGTGATGACAGGCAACAGGGCTTTATCAGCTTTTTTGCATCCTACAAGATGAGCTTAAACTCTCCCATTCACATGCGGAATCATTCCCGATGGCGTGTTGCCAGAGGCTTGTGGCAAGTACTGACTGCAAGTCAAAGAAAATGTTGTGCCAAAAATGTAGCAAGGGAGAAAAGAAGGAAGCATGCAGACCTTGGTCTTTGGGTTAAAAGTGTCCAGGTCCCCAAAGGCAGCAAAGACGGTAACATAGACGGTTGGCGTGGTGGCGGCCTCCTCAAAGCTGATGCTGGGGGGCTTGGCCACCACCAGCTGCTCCGGCACAACCACCGAGGGGCCGAAGCAGCCAGGCGCCACTCCAAACACCTCCTCTCCCACCGCCACGCTTGTCACTCCTGCCACCGCCCAAGACACTCATCCAGCATTGCACATACAATAAGACAATCCCCTAGGAAAGTGAAGGTGGAAAATTTGTGTGCACACCGGTAGTGTGAGGAAATAATAATTAGATATAGACGAGTGAATAGCGCACCGGGGCCAACGGCGGCCACGATGCCAGAGCAGTCGCCGCCGGGGGGACCCGGATCCCCAGGGTACATGCCCAGAATGTTCAGCACGTCACGGAAGTTCAGCCCTATCGCGCGCACCGTCACCTGGCCACATCATGGCACCCTTCAGCGTCCCGGTAATAAACCAAACCTGCTCGCTGCTGTGGACATAGGCATGCGTAAACGTTGCAATTGGCAAGTGATCTGCCATGCAAGGAGGTTCAAAGATGCACCTTGATCTCTCCTGGGCCGGGTGAGGCCTTGTCCAGGGGGACAGCCCTGAGGTCGCTAAGGGCGCCGCGGGGGCAGGGCACAATGTGGCAGTCCGGCGATCGCGTGTGACTGCTGCTGCGCACCAGCCGCGCCTGCATCTGCACGCCCCCCCGCAGCGCCTCCCCAAATGCTCCATTGGCGCCTGCTGCTCCATTAGCCTGCCGCGCACACAGCCCACAATTCACAGCAGAACAGACTGCGCAAAGAGCACCGCTCAAAGCTTGATCTCTCAGCTACAGCATCAACAAGATGGCCCTTGATGCGCCGGTCATCGTCAGAGGTTTGCAGAGCAAAGGATTTCACCTTATGGGCGTGAGCTGGCAGAGCAAGAGCTTGCTCGGATCCCGTAATGGAGACACCGGGGTTCTCAGTCGCAGCTACCCTCATCAGCGCTGCGAGGGCAGCCGCAGCCACTCCGCCCTCCGGGATTCCAGCCGCGCTGTGCGCCGCGCCGGGAGTAATCAGGTGCAACGCTCCGCCCGCCAGCCTGGGAGCGGCCTCCTGCCAGAGCTGCAGCATGCGCGAGACTGCGCCAACGACGTTGCCTCCCTGAGCTGCTCTCATTTGCGCGGTGACCCTCGCCGACCTGGCAGGAAGGTCCGAGAAGCTCCCAGAAAAACCATCCAGCTCCCTTCTCTTGCCCATGTACCCCACTATAGGGATTCCAGTGGGAGAGTCCCTGGGGACTGCCTCGCCAAGCGCGAAGACAGCATCCGCACATTGAAGTGGTCTCGCCGTTGAACTCCCCGCTGCCTGCCACTGCGTCTCGTACAGTAGCTCAGCCTCTGGCACGCCATCCAGGGCTGCAGACTCGCGGACCGGTGCCGCCACCGGCGCGGCAGCCAGCTCCTTGGCGAGCAGGTCGCACAGCTGCAGGGAGCAGCCCTGCGCGGACGCCATGCGGTAGTTGCACAGCACCGAGCCGTCCGCCGACGGCGGCTGCGGCTGCGCCACCGGGAACGCCGTTGTACAGCCGTGCAGTGGGCTGACAAGGATCGCCGCCAGCCCCGAGGGGACTCTTGTCGGCCCCTTGGCGGGGCCGTCGCCGGCTGCCGGCAGGGCCGCGGCCGACAGGTGCAGCGTGGCGTCTGTAAGCGCCGGGTGGAGCCGGTAGCCGGACAGGTGGCGCTGCGCATCGATCGCCTGGGCCGCGATCACTGCAGGCGGCTGGGCAACAGGCGTGCTTAGCTGCGGCAGCAGCTCAATAAGCGGCGACCGTGTGCTAGTGAGCGTCTCCCCTGCAGCGAAGTATACACACATTTCAGGATCTCATGGTGTGATCCAAATCTTGACCCTACCCACACCTCTGTTCTTACATTCCCACTTCCAGATTAGCTTGCATGCCAGACACACTTGGCTCAAAGGGACTCACCAGCCAAGGTTGGGGGTGCCAGGCGTGCAGCGGTGCTGCGGCAGTGCAGCTGCCGCCCGCGGCCGGCGCCGGCAGCGGCCGAGCGCACCTCCACAGCGCCATCCGAGTGCCCGACAGCCACCTCGAGCAGGGAGTGGCGCTCCAGATCAGGCAGCAGCAGCGGCGCGGAGATGCTCACTGATGTCAGCGCTGACGTGGCGGCTCCCTCTGCCAGCGTGGCCGCTGCCGCCATCGCCAGCTCCAGCATGACTGCCGCCGGCACAATGAGGCGGCCGTTCACCTGCGCGCAGATGCAACTCTGATCATATAAGGAATCAAGCCCAAGGAGCTTCTTGCTCTGCTCTGTGACCCATGTTTTGTAAGCACTTGCATAGGGAGCATGCGACCAACCACTCTATGACTCCTAGTGTGACAGGTAATCTTTTTATTCGTCAATTTATACTCTTCCGAATTATATGTGAAAAGGGCAAAGGATTTGATGTGCTGACCTGGTGGTCTCCCAGGTAGGACAGCTCGGGCTTGAGCAGGTCCAGCAAAAAGCTGCACCGCTCCCTGCCGGGCCGTGCCGGGCCCAATAGGTGGTGCGGTGCTGCCACGGCCCAGCAGCGCTGCCGCTGGTATCGCACGGAGCCTTCCGCCTGCACGTGCGCCGTCTCCGGCGCCGCTGTGAAGATCGCATGCGCATTGACCCCGCTCATGCCGAACGAGCTCGTGCCTGCAACCCAGCTGCATGCTTAAGCTCAAGGAACTATGCATTCTGTGAGAACTCTGACAGCGCTGTTTATGCAATGTTCTACCATTCAGTTTGAGGTGGTGGGAAGGATGCGCACCGGCTGCTTTGAGCTGAGGAGTGGCGGAGGGGTGAGGGGCGGCTTGCAGGGGGACGCTGGGCTGCAGATGGTGTGATTTGCTCCAGTCGCCCAGGGCAGAGGCCACATAGGTGTTCATGTTGCGCAAGTGCATCACAGGCGCAGCTCCCTGCAGTAGAGGATTTCTCTTATGTGACAGTTTTCACTTATAAGACAGGTTACTAGTAATGAAAGTGCCTTGCATTGCAAGACATTGGCAGAACAATGTACGGAAGAATGCCAAGCACCTGGTTATGCAGAGTCTGAATAGCCAGTAGAGCGCCTGTCAGCCCGGCTGTGCCTTCAGTGTGCCCATAGCAGGACTTGACGCTGCCCAGCGTCACCTGAGCAGCGACTTCACTCCCCCTGCAATTCACATCATCACTGTCAGCCTTCAGCTGCAATGCAGCTTTAGCATGGGGGGGGGTAAGGTGAATTGATCCGAGATCCGAGTGCACACCTGTTGGTGATCGCCTGTCCCAGAGCGCCAACCTCAATCGGATCCCCCAAAGGCGTCCCGGTGCCATGCACAGCCACAAAGCCCAGCTCGCCCGGACCAAGACCTGCCACAAAGCTTCCATCAGCCTCAACTTATGAAGACCTTTTGTGCTTATCAAAGATATGTGGCTGAAAAAACAAATACTAGAGAAGAAAACTACCTGCGCTGCGCAGTGCAGAGGCTATGAGGGCGCTTTGGGATGGCCCATTGGGGGCAGTGAGGCTGCTGGAGCGGCCGTCCTGGTTGGTGGCTGTGGCCGTGAGCACTGCCAGAGCCGGCAGCTCTCCGGGCGCCGCCTGCTTGAGCACGGCGACCGCGCAGCCCTCGCCGCGGCCGTAGCCGTCTCCCGATGCATCGAATGTCTTGCAGCGGCCCACCGGCGACAGTGCCTGTTTTGGTACCACAGAACTCTCAAAAGCCAGGCCACAGCTCTGGAGAACTACCCTGTTGAGACTTGAGATTCCTCCAAAATAGATGACGACATCCTACAGACTGCAGGCATCGGCGATGTTCTCTTAAAAGGAGCATCCAGGCAACTACCTGAACAGGGGGTGAAGGTCGAACCCTGTAACCTCTTCTCATAAAAGATTAAGCGGCCCCTTCAAGACAGGCAATCCCAGTGCCAAGCCGGCAATAAGAGGCCAACTGTGCTAGCCAAAGGAGAGCAACTAGCTGACCTGTAGCTGGCAGATGCCGGCCATGGTGCCTTGCAGCAGGACCAGGAACACCCCTGCAGACAGGGCACTGCTGCAGTCGCGCGCGTTCAGGCCATGGACCGCCAGGTGAGTGGACACCAGCGATGAGGAGCAGGCGGTGTGCGTGCTGACGCAGGGTCCAGTCAGCCCGAACGTGTAAGACACCCGGCCGATAAGAAAATCCATGCCGTTGCCTGTCGACACGTTGGGTGTGACTTGTACCCCAAGCCCTGCACACACACCCATGCACATACTATCACCCTCCTGCACTTCTTTGCCTTGCACCGATTTGCAAGAGCCATCGACTTGGGGCTGCACAGTACCAACATCTGCCAGTTAAAGTCACAATCCAGACAGAATGCTCACATTTGAAAAGGCAAAGGGTTGTTTTTTTCAGTATTTTTTATATTTATTCAGGGGTTTTCCCACTAAAACCTCATGCAAAAGGGAGCTAGCATGGTTAAGAAACGCTGGGCATGTGTTGCGTGGCGGTTGGGGAGGGTGACCTGTCATGTACTGGATGTACTCCATGTGCATGACGCCCACGTACACGCCGGCATCCGATGCGACGGATTCCCCGAGGCGTCCGCCCGCGTCGGCCAGCACCAGGCCGCTCTGCTCCAGCAGCAGGCGCCCTTGCGGGTCCATCACCGCCGACTCGCTCGCCGACAGCCTGCAGACACAATGCAAGGTTCCTACCTTGCATGTCTTCAATGATAAAGGGGCTCCCAGCCAGACACAACAAGATGCCTCGAAGGAAAGACATCAAGCCAAAGCAAGCTCTTGCCAAGCGCCTTGACAATGAGACTTGAACATGCAAAGCTTAAGGCCATCACTTCCGTCATCTCTCACTTATCATAGATTGCGAATGTGACTTTCTGGGAAGCACTGAAAACAAGAGGTTCTGAGAAGGAATTCACCGGAAGGCGGCTGCATCGAAGGACTCCACGTCGGGGATGAAGCCGGCGAAGCGTGCATACATTTTGTCCACGGCCACGTCGGGCGAGTAGCAGCGCTCTAGCGCCCAGCGCTCCAGTGAAATCACCGTCTGCCGATCCGCGCCGCGCGCCGCCTTTGCCCAGAAACCTCCTGGCCCGCTCTCCTCCTGTGGGCCTGAACAGGCAAACCAAGACATCCTTTCAGTAAGCCCCTCAATGCATGTTACAGGTATTTCATGACCATTCTGTGGTTTGCAATGCTCACTTTAATGTCTAGAGCTGGCATGTCAGTGTTGCATGTGACCAACTGCAATGCCTCATTCTCTGAAGATCCGCCCACAGAGGGATGAAAAATTGTTGCAAGAGCACAGGAAGGGAAAGGAGTTAGGTGGCAGATCGAAACTATTAGGCCAAACCTGGGTAGACGCAGGACAGGCCAACGAGCTGCACAGCGGCGGAGGTGGCCGCCCCAAAGTCATGCTGCACGAGGGCGTTGTCACGCCAGTGCGGCTGCGCGGCAGCCGCCGCCTCCGGCGCGACGCTCGCGCCAATGTAAGCCGCCATGGCCGCCACCGTCGGGTGGTCAAAGGTGAACGTGGCCGGCAGCTCCAGAGCAAAATGATTGCCCAGAGCGTTGCGCAGATCCACTGCGGCCAGAGAGTCCAGCCCGGCCTCCATCAGCGGCTGGTCCTCTGGCACAGAGGCTCCCATGATGCTGGCAACCGCAGCTGCAACTTGAGCCCTGATACACCCACACAAGGTTGACTCCTACAGCATGGTTGACTCCTACAGCATGTTATCCCTATGAAAAATGGCTGCACTTTCAAGCGGTGGTCAGAACTGCATGTGAAAAGACATGGGGCTGACCTGATAGCAGCGCCATCAATGTGGGCTTGTGCAGGGGAGTCAAGATTGCTGGCGTCCTCCTGGGGTTCTTGGGGCAGAAGGGTGGACATGTAGGCGGCCAGCGCCGGAACGGTGGGGTAGTCGAAGGTGACGGTTGAGGGCAGGTCGACCGAGAACTGGGTGCTCAGCGCATTGCGTAGATCAACTGCGCCGAGGGAGTCCAGGCCGGCCTCCATCAGCGGCTGGTCTGCCGGCACCTGCCGGCCACATGTGTCCACATGAGCAGTGTCGTCTGATGCACCATCTCCTGGACAAGCTGATGCTAGTGCTTTAATTGGGTGGCTAATTTGCAATGGGAAGACATTGTTTGCCACTGAATGGCACGGTCACCTTGTCATGCTTCTTGGGCTTGAGTTGCAGGAGCAAATCCTGAGGAGAAAGAAGAAAGATAAGCGAGCGGACCTCTGTGCCCATGATGGCGCTTGCAGCTGCAGCCACAGCCTTCTGAATGGAAAGGGTCTGCGCAGCCGATGCAGCCACCTGTGGTCTGGCTGCGCCGGCTTTCTGCCCTCTGCCGGCAGCAGCCGCTGCTCTCACAGGTTTCTTCAGCGTGGCGGCTGCCGGTGGGAGCGCGCGCATGAACTCTCCCAGGATGGGCGCTGGCTCCTTCTGTGTCGCCAGGAGCTTGTCCCACAGGAAGACATTGCCTGCATTTTTACATAGCAGTCTTCACATGGATGACCCTATTGAAGGAGGCACTCACACAGATGATCCTATTATTTGACGGAGGCAACCCCCAGCACAGAACTCTGAAAAACCCCATCTTGTGAGCAGCAAGAAGGGACTCGCGAGATCAGGTAAGCAAAGGATATCTAGCCGCTGCAGCTAAAGAAACAGCCACCAGGGGGTGATGAAGGGTTGTCGCACCGACAAAGAGGGCGCGCTGCGCTGCGGCCGGCTGCCAGGCCGAGTTGAGGACCTGCGCGAGGACGGAGAGGCCGACGGTCGGGCGCACGATGCCGAGGCCGAGGCGCGCCATTCTCTCCATGAAGCCCGCCACTGTCACCGCCATGCCGCTGCCGCCCCACGCGCCCCACTGCACCGCCGTCCCGGGAACGCCCCGCGCCTGCGTTGCAAACTTATCATACCAGGCAAAGGTCCAGCAGAAGCGGTGAAGGCACCACGATGGCGCCAGTCTGTGGAGCGGTGTCTTGCCCCCGATTGGCGATGGAGATGACCACCAAGACCTTGGCAGCGATTGAGGGCAGGCAGGCTGAAATGCAAGGTTTCTGTGATGCAGGAGCTTTAATTTTTCTGACCCAGGAATGTGCTGAGTCATTTAGCTTGAAACTCAATGAATCTATCGGACATCAGGTAAGGGCGTGCCTGCAGCGCCTGCGCCCAGCTGTCGAGGACGGCGTTGGCTGCCGCGTAGCTGCCCTGGCCGCCGGAGCCGCTGAAGGCCGCGAGCGAGGAGAACAGATTCAGTGCTCGCAGAGGCGCCTCTCCTGTGCGCGCCATGAGGCTCCATGCGCCGTGCACCTTGCCCGAGAACTCTGTGCGCACGCCGGCTGCTGTGATGTTGCCAATCACTCCCGAGTCCAGCACGGCACCCGCATGCAGCACTCCCTACAGCGTAATGACACCCCATAGTGCTTTTTTGCATAAAACATGCCGTAATCTCTGCACTGCAAAAGAATATCTGAGTGCTTGGAGTCGCTGACTTCAGATGCTCAAATAAGAGCACGTGGTATGAGAAGGCTACATGAACTTGTTTCTGGTGACGTCAGGATGGGCATTCTTACAGCTAACATGTCCTTTATAATTTGCACCCCTTGGTAGAGAGGGGTAGAGGGTGCGTGCCTGCAGGGTCTGGCCATGCATGCGAGCAGCGTGTAGCGTATAAGCAGCTTCCTCCGCAGCCGCAACATCGCTGCGCGCGATTGTGACGCAGGCGTCGCCGAAGGATGCGGCCGTCAGGGCGGAGTCCTTGGCGAGGCGGCCGGAGCGGCCGAGCAGTATGAGCGAGGCCGGCGTGTGCTGAGTCAGCCAGGTCGCTATCAGGGACCCCACAGATCCTACGCCGCCTGCGTACCAGAGCTAACTGATCATGTCCTTGCCAAAACGCTGACGAGGTGATGAGTGTAGGAGGTCAGGTCTTGCAGGAGGAAGAGGGAGGAGGGTTGGAATGGTCACCTGTGATGATGACGGTGCCCGTGCAGGCTTGCTGCGGCTCCGCAGCTGGTGCGGCCTGCTGGTCCAGGAGAGGCTGCTGAGTCGTCAGCAGCCTTGGAGCAACCCATGCATTGCCCTGCGCACAACCCTTGTGTCATAGCTCGCTTTTTTTGCTTTCAAGAAACCCAAACATTTCTGCCTTGCAGGTTGCAGTGATTTGCTTCTCGATCTTTGGTACGGCAAACAAAAAAGCCACCTGCAGAGAGATGCAGTGGGCATCAGCTGCGGGCGCATTTGTCATTGCTGACCCATGCAGCGCGGCGTCGGAGGCATCCGTGCTGCCCCAGGACCAGGCAGGGCTCTCCACGGACGCCACACGCAGCATCGTCATCGCAGACGTGCCCAGCGCACCGCGCAGCATCGCCCCCGGAGCCGCGGATCCGTGCGGCCCGCTGCCCACGCTTTGCGCGCCCCGCGTGACCAGCTTTGCCTCACCTCCTACACACATATGAGTCATCACTGACTCAGGGATCATTTTGCCGTTGGGCTCTTGCTGCACACTTGCAGCCCCCAGAGCTAAGGGCAGCCCTTGCAGAGGAGGTTTATTCAGCAGGGTGAGATACAAGGGGTTCCTCTCATTGAAAGTGAATTCGTATGATTTCCACTCCTCTCCTCCATTCGTAAGAACCAGGAAAGTCAAGCAACACTTTATTTCGTTTCTTTCCATTATGAATGAAGCGAACAACTCACCTGGAGATGAGAGAACATGTTGCAAGACCTGTGCCTGGCGGACAGTGGCCAGCGTGGCGGCTGCAGCCTCGTGACCAATCAGCAGGCCAGCATGTAAGGGGGCTGCCAGCTGCACATTAGACTGGCGGCTGGCCCACAGCAGCATGCTGCCTCTGTGCTTGCTTGGTGCAGTGGTGCTGTGTGGCGCCAGAGGCTCGCTGACCTGCCAGTCTGTCTCGTAAATGCACTGCCGCGCATCCTGCTCCGCTGAAGCTGCTGCAGCGCTGGCAGGCGTCTTGGCTGCCTGCTGACTCACCTCCTTGGCCTAATAAAAAAGCACAGTCACTTATTAGCCTGAAGGTAGAGGACTTCACTAAAACCCAGGCCACATGTGACTGCTGGACAAGCTGGACAAGTGTCTGAGTTATGCAATTTCAATATATCGTGTGTAGGAATGTACCTGCAGGTCTGAGATGGTGAGCACAGAGCTGCTGGCGCCAGAGAGCCAGTGATTGGAGTTTATGCTGCCATCTGCGCGCTCAGGCGCTCGCTGCAGCGCAGCCCAAGCAGCTCCCCTCTTGGGGTAGGGCCTGAAGTTCATTTCAAGATACACACCAGCTCGTTATGCAGAAACTAACCATTAGACAGCGACGCCTCAATCTCACCCTCTGTCATGACACATGCTAGGTCTCAGCTCAAATATCTAATTTTCAGACTTCCTCGGTGGTTTGAAGCACATCTTTGCTCATTAGCGATTTTGTTAAGCACAAAATCAGTGTGAACGTCCTCGCCTGGCCAGGAAGGCAGCTAGGCCGGCAACAACTCGGGTGGTGTTCTTAGGAGCGGCGCTGCTGGCTGCAGCTTCCAGGGCGCCAGTCATGGGCCCCAGCTGCATGCAGTTGTCGGTGACGGCCGGGTGCGCGATGTAGCCGGACCCCTTCTGCTGCCGCTCCAAGCTCACCTCCGCCGTGCACATGTACATGGCCGGCTCGCTGGCCTGCAGAGCCGCCACCACCACGGGGTGCAGCACTCGCGCCAGCGGATGGCTGGAGATTGTGGTTTGTGGTTCAGCCTCGCTGGCACTGCCGCTGCTCGACACAGCGCCGAAGGAAGCCTTCAGGCACGTTGACCGCCCTGCGCAGAATTTGCATCGAGTGCTAATAGCTCCTGTTCTCATCAGGTTCCTCTGGCTTCTTGCATTTTGAGCTCACACATAAATGCTGCTCCAGAGAGGGTGTAATATCCAAATGGCACAGTGTAGGTGTGGCGTGGACACACCTTGCCCCGAGGGGGCAGTACTCTGCAGCTGGACGCTACCGCTGCCCCAGTGCATGACACACTCCACGCTCTGCCGAGCGCCGACCTGCAGAATCACCGGCGCGGGGATGGCCACATCCAGAAGGCCAACGTCCCTTCCGGCAGCCGCATCGGACGCCGTGCGGCCAGCAGCCGCCGCCATCTCGAACATGGCGGCGCCCGGCAGAAGGGAACGCCCCGCCACGATGTGGTCCAGGAGATAGCCCAGCGCGCTCGACGCCAGCTGCATTGTGAACCTTCGCACAGCCAACATGTCTCATTTTAGGACATGCACTATTATCAAGTGCCTTCCCTTTGCTGTGGCAACAAAGATGAGTCAGGAGAAACATGCAAAGCTATGTGTTACTGCACCACCTGGTTTGCATGCGAATCTAGGCCAGAATAGTAGCAGGCTTGCCAGCTTCTTGAGAGGGGCAGACTTTATAGAACATTGTGACACGGAGTTGGACAGTGAAAGAGTACCCATAAATCCAAAGAGCCTCAGGTGGCTCCTCAAATGTCTCTAAGATATACTTGTAAAAAGATCAGAATAGGAGAATACACAATAACTACCTGCAGGTGGCTTCTGAGCGGCTGCAGATGACAGAGTCGAGCATGTGGTGGGCTTGGGGCACCATCCAGTGGCGCACGTGCTGCCATGTCACGTCCGTGCGCGCATGCTTCAGCTGCCTCGGGGTCAGGAACAGGCCGTGCGCGTTCACACCGCTCATGCCAAAGGAGCTGGCGCCCGCTGCCATCATTGGCCTTGCCTTTGGTAGAACAGAGGCTTCCTGCGCAACCGAGGCAAAGGACTCCTTTCAAGTCCCTGTAGGGAGTTATATCTGTTAAAATTTAAAGTCAGATAAGAGGAATGCAGCAGCCTGCATTGAAGCTAAGACGGCATATAAACAAATCCTGATGATTTCTCAAGATGCCATGTGGATGGCTTGGGGGACAAGAGTTGTGCCGGGAGGAGAAAGCACCTTGGGCACAACGGCGGTGAGGTTGCAGGAGGCTTTCCAGTCCGTGATGGCATTTTGCACGTATGTGTTGAGGCTGCGCGAGTGCATGATCGGAGGCGCCGCAGAGTTCTGCACCGCCATGATTGCCAGCAGCGCGCCGTGGATGCCGGCCGCGCCCTCCGTGTGCCCAAAGCACGCCTTCACAGAGCCTGCAGCAGAAGGTATTTGTGAGCATTCCGCCATCACTAGAGCATCCTTTGCTCTGTCATGGGCTCTCTCTGAAACTGTTCTTGCTGTACCGATATCGGGCCTTCTTGCTGTAGAGCACTAAGGCAAATCACAAAATATGGTTGTCAGGCCATGCAAAATGAGGTCATCTCAGGCCGTACGATCCAGAGAACCGCAAAGAGAGGTTTTCAGGGGAGAGAGAGTGAAGAGAGGAGTGAATGCTTCACCGAGAGTGAGGGTTGAGGGGGGTCCTGCTCCGGCCGCGAAAGCTTGGCCGAGCGCGCCGACCTCGATGGGGTCGCCCAGGGGCGTTCCAGTGCCGTGCAGGCTGACCAGCGCCACGTCACGCGGAGTAAGGCCGGCCACGGATAGCGCTGTGCGGATCAGCGCAGTCTGCGCTGGGCCATTTGGGGCCGTCAGGCCGCTGGAGCGCCCCGCCTGGTTGTACGCGCTCCCTGAACGCAGATCTCAGCTTATTTTCCGCTTGTCAACACTGCTTCTGTACAGGCATTCCCACTGAAGCTGCTGTGCTTCAAAGGAAAACGCAATTAGAGGCAAGAATCAGCAAGATGTCAAGAATAGGGAAATGGGCAGCTGTGCGCTCAGCAAGTCATTTCAAGCCGCTGCATGCGGGCTGCCTGTTTTCAAGACTTACAGTAGCAGCAGTGAGAGGAACAGAAGCTCCCGCCTCTCACTGCAGAGAAGTCAATGAATTCAGAACTTAGAATGCAGGAAATCGTTGCCTTGCAGGATGGCAAGGGGTGAGTAAGCGCCATCGGCGCGCTCCCCCGAGCGGCGCAGGGCAAGCACAACGCAGCCTTCGCCGCGGCCGTAGCCATCAGCCGCCGCGTCCAGGCTCTTGGAGCGGCCAGTCGGCGACAGCGCGCCCAGCTGAGCCATGTGCCGCGAAGTGTCCGGGACCAGGATCAGGTTGACTCCAGCCGCCAGCGCCGCGGTGGTCTCGCCGTCCAGCAGCCCTCGGTGCGCCAGGTGTGTTGCTACCAGCGAGGACGAGCACGCCGTGTCCATGCCGATGCACGGCCCTGCACACGCGTGCATGTGAGCATCTCGGAATAAGATTTACCTCATCCTGCTCCTGAGTTCTGTCTGATTGCTGCCAGGATTTCCAATTTGCGGGACCTCTCCTTTCCCAAGATTTTGGGTGAGAAGGGAAGAATGATGTGTCTGGTTACTGCTCAGGCATGTTTCTTGAGAATAGACTTGAGGCTTGAGAGGTTGTGGGGCACATTTGTGCAGGGGAATTGGGCATTGGAAAAAGTGTGCGAACCCTGGAGGCCGAAGGTGTAGGAGACGCGGCCGACCATGAAGTTCATGCCGGAGCCGGTGAGCACGGCGACGGAGGGCGCCACGCGCGCGTGCTCCAGCAACACCTGGTACTCCTGCCACACACACCCCACGTACACACCCGTAGACGCCGCCGCTGTCCCCTCCAGATTCCCCCTTCCGTCCTGCACCCCAAGCCCACTCTTGTGTCAAATCTGCTATGCAGAATGACACGTTCGGTCCTTCATTGTGGCCTGAGAGAGTTTTCTTGGGCATGACTGCACCCAATGTTTTCTGCTGGAGATGAGCTCTGTAATTTCATTTTCAAAGACAGATGAAAGTGGATAATGTGTAGATAAACACTCCCTGATGAGTTGAGAGGTACTCCAAAGTGGCCTGTATTTGGTAAGGAGAATGCACAGAAGAAATGCTGGATAAGGCGAGACCTGCAGGGCGCCGTAGGTCTGCTCGAGCAGGATGCGCTGCTGCGGGTCCATGGCGGCCGCCTCGGCCGGCGCGAGCCGGAAGGCTGCCGCGTCGAACGAGTCAACGCCGTCGGCCAGCGCGGCAAAGCGCAGCATGTTGCTCTGCACCACCTCCGCGCTGGCACCCGTGCCGGCGTCGACCTCCCAGCGCTCCAGGGGGATCGACACCGGCAGATCCACCGCCCCGAGCATGCATGCGGCGAAATCCTCGCCGCCCCTTGAAGACGACGCCATGACGCTTGACAATCCCACCACGTCCGTGGTGAGCGCCTGCCTCGGCCCTGCCTGCCACACCTGTGACATACAAATCCTTTACTCTTAGCAGCCCCTCGCCCATGATCTATATCTACACTTCAATATGCTCTCATACAGGTTGGACGCTGCCAAGCTGCGAAAGGTTAGAATGTGACGAATGATCCGTTTAAATCCTGCATAAAAACGAGCAGTTTTGAGGGCATGCCTGGCGAGCGGGGGCGCCCAATTCAGCAGCAGTGAGAGCTTGGGGGTGGAGCACGACTGCCTGCTGCGGCGCAACCTTGCCAGCCACAAACTCAGCCAGGGCCGCCACCGAGGGGTGGTCGAAGGTGACCGTCGCCGGCAGCTCCACGCCGAATTTGGCGGTCACAGAGTTGCGCAGCTCAACCGCTCCGATGGAGTCCAGGCCGGCTTCCATCAGCGGCTCGTCCCCGCTTATGCCGGAGCCCAGCAGGCCCGACACCAGCTCCAACAGATCCTGCGAATGGACAATGCAGTTGGAGTTTTAGCCCTCTTATATTGCTTCTCACCAAGCAATTGAAAGACTGCAAAGGGCAACTTACTCACACAGACAGTCAAGAGTCAACAAAAAATTCCAATAAAAGACAACATCCGTGTGTGTCCACTTCACCAACATATACAGGGCTGAGTATGAAGGGTGCATAATGTCAGAGAAGGCATGCACAAACATTCAACAAAAACAAAAGGAAACAGCAAATATGAGTTTGCACCTGGGTGATGCTGTCGGTGAGGGCGCGAGTGTCCGGGCCGGTCTGGAGGGCGTGGGTCACCGCCCCAACGGCAAATTGCCCGGCCGGCGGCGCAACCCGGCTAGCGAGGAACTGGGCCAAGTCCTGCACTGTGGGCTGGTCAAATGTGACCGTTGCCGGCAGCTCCACGCCAAACTTGGCACTGACAGAGTTGCGCAGCTCCACCGCTCCGATGGAATCCAGGCCCGCCTCCATAAGAGGCTGGTCCTTTGAAACCTCCACCCCAAGCAGCCCTGCAGAATCATCGGCCGTGTCTTGGATATACAATGGGTGTTGATGCTTGATCTGCCACAGCCTGACTGTCATGCGGGTCCTTGAAGTTGTCCACATGACAGCCTGGTCAGGCAGAGCGATGAGATGGCTAGTTCCACATCAACCACTGCCTTTTCACTCTTCTTCAAGAGGAGCAGCAATATCCAGGCTGCCTGTGTCCTGTAGACGGGCATGCCTTCACCTGTCACGACGCTCAGAAGATCGTCTGCGATCTGCTGCACAAACGTTCCACTGCTGGGCATTGGCACAGACACCATGGTGGGCTGAGCCCAAGCGTCCCCTTCCCTGCCGCTGTAAGCAGCCGGGGCGGCTGTCTTGCTGGCGATGAAGCCTGCCAGTGCGGTGGCTGAAGAGTAGTCAAAGGTGACGGTGGCCGGGAGTTCGACGCCAAATTTGGCTGTCACTGCATTGCGCAACTCCACCGCTCCAATCGAGTCCAGGCCGGCCTCCATCAGCGGCTGCAGACAGTTACACAATGTGTTCTTGGACCGTGTATTCCAAACACAAGTTTGAGCGTGCATGCTTGCAGCCTGACATGTTTTCTGACATCCTTTATTGCAAGCCGGGCGGGCTACAAAGGAGGCCTGACCATTTGCATGCATGCCTGTGTGAAGAGAAATTGGGCTCTCACCTGGTCAGCAGGCACCTCGAAGCCAAGCAATTCACTGACCGTGGCAGCCAGCTGCGCAGCAATGTGCCTCTGATCCACCATGGGCTGTTCAAGAGCCTGTCTTGGCTGCTGCTGCCCAAAGGACTGGCCCGCAGTCGCAGTCTGCCCAACAACATAACGGGCCAGCGCATCCGCGGAGGGATAGTCAAAGGTGGCAGTGGCGGGCAACTCGATGCCGAACTTGGTGCTGACTGCGTTGCGCAGCTCCACAGCGCCAATAGAGTCCAGGCCGGCCTCCATCAGCGGCTGCGGCATCCAGAAGTGATCAGATTTTTGCTTTGGGCGCTTGGTGCACCCCCAGAGAGGTCATGTATGGATGAAAGAAGTTGCGTGAGATTTAATACCTGGTCAAGAGGCACTGTGAAGCCCAGCAGCTCGCTGATAGAGGCCTGCAATTGCTCTGCTACAGCCGCATGAGAGACGCCTGCCTGCTGCTGCTGCCCCTGCACCCGGCACACGCGCCTTTTACTCTCCAAGATCACTTCACCCGAGCCTAAACATCAAACAAATTGCATCCCGTATGGCAGTTGAACCGCACTCTGCTGTTATACAGTGAGGTGAGGTACTGTCAGGAGTCTTGCCTGGAAGGTTGCAGATGGCTGCTCCCCAGCAGTGACAGCAGCAGGGGCTGAGCGCTGCACAACAAAGCGTGCCAGGTCAGCGGCGGTGGGGTAGTCAAAGGTGACGGTGGCCGGCAGCTCGATGCCAAATCTCTCGCTGACTGCATTGCGCAGCTCCACCGCTCCGATGGAGTCCAGTCCCGCCTCCATCAGGGGTTGATCTGCTGGCACTGGGCTTCCCACAAGGCCGCTCAGCAGCGCCTGCAACTCCTGCAACGATCGTAATTCGGGGCACTCGGCATTTATCCATGCATGCATGATAATATTGGAAAGCTTCCACAGCACTCAATAGCCGGGGCAGTTGATATGCATTATGCAAGTATTCCTCCACATGCTTGGACGCATGCAGACCAGCAGTGTTGAGCTTGAAGACGGCGGATTTCCATATCAGCCAAGTGTGCATCTCCACACCTGCACAACAGAGGCGGTGGCTGGAGGTGCACGAGAGGTCTGGGAAGCTGCATGGCTCGGTGTGACGGCGGCAGCTGCGGCTGCTTTGGAAGCAGGAGCCGCCTTCTTGCTCTTATGTCTCGCGATGCGGATGGCGCCGTTGCTCACCCCGACAATGACTGACTGCCGGGACAGCAGCGCGGGCGCCGGCTTGTTTTCACCGGCCACTAGCACGCTGCTGAAGCCCTGCTCTGCCAGGAGAGCTTGCCAGCCCTGCCTGCTCAGGATGGGTGAGCCTGCATGTGCACCCACATAGAATATTAAGCCTATACCTTGCAATTGCACAATAAAAATGCAAAATACAAAAAATGCCAGCAAAACAGGAAAAGGGAAAAGAGAAAAGAAAAGGAAAATTTGAAGCAAAATAGCACAGTATGAGCACAATCAGCACTGTGCATGGCAACATGACGGCTTGAGTCTTCTGTGAGAGGGTGGGAAAGAAAACAAGGGAGGGAGGGTCAGACGGGCTTGCCTGGGATTCTGCGCTGGACATCGTCGTAGAGCCACCAGCCTTCCGTGAGGCCAAAAGTGAGCGTCAGGAACTCAGTCTTGGCAGACAGCTCATTGGCTATGAGCAGGCCGCCCTTGCGCAGCAGCGCCTTGCAGTTCTGAATGGTGACCTCCATGTTGCGCGTCGCATGCAGCACGTTGGTGGCAAAGAGGATGTCATAACGCCCGATGCCATACCCCTGCGAGCAAAGGGTGGTAAACCTGTGAGTCAAGTCTGGTGACAGGCAATCGAGCACGCATGCAATCTGAGGATGGTACTGGATGGCCCCCATCTGAGTTGATTGCCCACACTCTCAGTGAGCACTTCATGCAATTGACATGGTGGGGTGCTTCACTTGGATGGTTGGTCTCACCTGGGGCTCAACATCCTTCTCCACATCCAGGAGCCTGAAGGTGGCAAATGGGTAAGTGGGCCCGTAGGTCTTGCGCCCGTAGGCAACCAGCTGCGGTGAGATGTCCGTGTACACAAACTCAACACGCTCGCCCAACTCTGCCAGTGCTGCCATGACCACGACCGATGTCCCCCCAGATCCCGAGCCCACCTCCACAATGCGCACCCGCTGCCCGGCGGGCAGCACCTGCAAAGACAGCCATTTCACTCCAGTGCAACTGCTTCTCTAGTCACCTTTCAATCCATATCTTTCAATCCACAGTCAACCAGGCGCAGATTGGCGGTAATATGTCGCCATGCAGAGCAGTGGAGGCTAAATGCGCACCTGCATGCGATCCAGCACGTAGGCGCGCACGGCTGCGGCCAGCTGCTCATTGAAGGGCGCTGAGAGTATCTCGTTCTTGTAGATGGGCTCCACCAGCTCAGGCGATCCCCCAGGGAACATCACATCCGTCACCTTCACCTCGCCTGCGCCCAATAAAGGTTGCTTGCTGAGCAGCTAGGCACCATGTCACCCTCCAGCAAGTTACCTCATCATATGCCCTGCAGGCGCGCATTTGATGTGACAGAAAGGGAAGCTATGAAGGAGGGCAGGCACAGGTAGACTGGTGCACCCGATAGCAGGTCTGGCAGGGCCTCCATGCAGGCTGAAAGCAGCTTGATGTTGGTGGCGATGGCTGCAGCCGCGCCGTTCGCCAGTGCTTTGCCGGTCTCCTTCAGGCTGCCCAGCTCTGCAACAGTGGCTGCGCTGCTCACCGCTGATGTCGCCACAAACTCGCCCGGCTGAGCCTCCTCAACATACCCTGACCAACAAAAGCCATGGCTGCTTTGATTTACTCAATTAACTGCCAAATCCATCAAGACAGATTGGGATAGAATCATTTTTCATTTACAAATCCCCCTGCGCATGTTTGCATCCCTTCCCTCCTCCATTGCTACCAGTGCAAAGCATTGATCATTTAGCGATGACAAGACTTGAAGCTGTTGTAGCGCCACAAACCATTATGATGAATAGAGCCATTGATGTCCCCTTGGCATGCTTCAGCACAATTTGAAGTGTAGAAACGCAAGAGGAATGACAGGTGCGCTTGCCAGCATTGCGCAGGAGGTCGACGGTTTCGGCGATGAATCGGGAGAAGTCGGGGCGGACGGCCGCGCGCATGTCGGCCGCGGTGTGGCGCTGGCCAGCCGCCCGGAAGAAGCCGGCACGCTGCAGCGCCTCCAGCAGCAGCAGGCCCACCCACTCCTCAAACTCCACTATTGTCGCATCAAACCCTGCACAACTCATGCAACTACCTTCTCATGCTGCCACCCGCAACATAGCTGTCCTCTACTCTACAGCTCAATCCGTATTCAGGATGACGAGAAATGACGCAAAACTCTGCGGAAATTGTGAGTATTGGAAACAATGCAACATAAGCAGGCATACATGCGCAGATTCTGAGCACATGCACATGTGCAGCCAGAGAGAAGTAGTTGATTGGCAGGATCAGAATTTGGCAAAATTTTCGGGAAGGAAAGGGCGAAGGGAATTGGCACCGGTGAAGAGGTCGTTGCGCAGGGGCAGGTCTCGGAAGCCGTCCAGCAGCTGCTGTGGAAGCTGCGGCATGGTGGCGCGCAGCTGCGCGGGCTTGGTGGGCGGCGGCTTGGCCATGACGCGGCCGTCACTGACGCCCAGCACGACCGACTGGCGGCACAGCAGAGCCGGCAGCGCCTGATCTGCTTCGCCCACGCACAGCGCCGGATCAAAGCCCTGCTCCAGCATCAGCGCCTTCCATCCCTCCCTGCATATTAACAATTTCTTCTACTGAGCTATGATGCTCAACTTTGGTGCTTTCATGCCTGCTGCATTTGCTGAGCAATCCTTTCCTGTGGGACAGGCAGCAACAGAACTTCAGCATGTGCACTTTGATAACAGCGCGCATGATGCTGCAGCTGCTGTTGTTCAAATGGTGCCTTGTAGCACACAACCCCACCATTACCGGCATGTCCATTTGAAAAGATGAATCAAGTTTCCTTGCAAATCTGTCAATTCTGGTCCAAGTCAAGGGTTCCACCAAACCTGCTTAGAATGGGTGAGCCGGGGATGCGGCGCTCCGCGTCATCGTACAGCCACCAGCCGTCGGTCAGGCCGAATGTGAGCGTCAGGAACTCGGTCTTGGTGGACAGCTCGTTGGCTATCAGCAGCCCGCCCTTGCGCAGCAGCGCCTTGCAGTGCTGCAGAGTGTTGCCCATCTCCCGCGTGGCATGCAGCACGTTCGTGGCAAAGAGGATGTCATATTGGCCAATGCCGAAGCCCTGAACCCCAGGCATGGCAAACACTCGGCAGATGTTTGGTGATACTTTTCTTGCATGAACTGCCAGCTGCATTTAGGTCACTGCATAGGAATACGCCACAAAACTGAATACCAGATGAAGAAAAATCCCAGGAGAGGCAAAAGCTCACCTGATCCTCAGTGTCTTTTTCCACGTCCAGGAGCCTGAAGGTGGCGAACGGATACGTGGGCCCGTATGTTTTGCGGCCGTAGGCGACCAGCTGTGGCGAGATGTCCGTGTACACGAATTCTATTCTCTCGCCCAAATCCGCCAGCGCTGCCATGACCACCACTGATGTCCCACCAGAGCCCGAGCCAACCTCCACGATTCGGACTTTCTGATCTGATCGGATCACCTGCACAGTACCAACTGGCATCTTGAACACTTCTCCTTGGTGCAGTCTTCAGCCTGCTATCTGCAGAGGAGACTGCATACTTTGAAACAGTGCCAGTCGTGTGCCCCAGAGGAAATACAGCAAGACTGAGATGCCGCACCTGCAGCCGGTCTTGGACATAGGCACGCGCGGCGGCGGCCAGGTGCTCGTTGAAGGGCGCTGAGAGGAGCGGGTTCTTGTAGATGGGCTCCACCAGCTCAGGTGAACCGCCGGGGAACATCACATCCGTCACCTTCACCTTGCCTGCGCGCACCCACCCGATCCTCTGTCAAGCGCCAAAGCCCCAGGAGCCGTAGCATGCCACAATGGCAAGGTGTGGAGCACCGTGCACTTGCTTTATTACGCGCTGCCACAGGCGAGGTGCGTCTGCAGACAAGCTACAGAATTGTATGGTGAGCAAGAAAACATCTGCCAAGAGATGCAGCAACACACCCAACAGGAGTTCTGGCAGGGCGCGCATGCAGACTGACACCAGCTTGATGTTGGTGGCGAGAGGCTCAGCAGCGCCCTCGGCCAAGTGCTGCCCATAGCCGTCCAGGTCTGCAAGGATGGCTGCGGTTTCTGGGCTGCTGATACTTTCGGTCGCTGTGTACTCTCCACCCGCACCCAGCTCCACAAACCCTGGGCACCAGATTTTATTCAGCTGCTTTGAAATCGCTTTCAAGTCATGACTGATCCAAAGTAGTGTCCAAATGAAAAGCTTGATGAAGCGCGCTTCACATCAACAGGTCTGCAGCAAAGCAAGCCTTGAGTGAAGGTGCAGGCACGCTGAAACATGTGCTGACATGCATGCAGCTGGCTGGAGACAAGAGAGGAGGGTACACAAGTTTCACACCATGCTGCTTCAGGATGGCCAGAGCTTCGGCAATGAATCGCGCATAGTCTGACGCAACGCGGCCCCTGAGGCTGTCCAGCGTGTGGGCCTCAGTCAGCGTCCTGAACAGGCCGGCCCGCTGCATGCCGTCCAGCAGCAGAAGGCACACCCAGCGCTCAAAGTCTGCCACCGCCGCATTAAAGCCTGCGCATGCATGGATGCGTTCATGCATGTGCCCTTTGCTGCTCTGCTCACACTTCTTGCTAGATCCTCAAGCAGGGCATCCTGAAAATGGGTATCCAGGGTCACAGGAAGTCACCATGTGCATAAATCTGATAGCAGGCTATTCTAACTCCGACCTTGGGTTAAGGACGCCGTCGGACTTTGGTGCCTTTATAACAAAAGAAGCACTTCCAAAGAACTGCACCTTGGGGCAGGCTGTTGCGAAGCGGGAAGCTGTGGAAGCTGCCGAGAAGCTGGGGGTGCATCGGGGGTAGGTCGGAGGGGAGGCTGACTGGCTGCGTCGGGCGCAGCTTGGCCAAGATGCTGCCATCACTGACGCCCACCACAACAGACTGGCGCGACAGCAGCCACCGCGCATCCGCCGCCTCGCCCGCAATCACGGCCGCCCCAAAGCCCTGCTCTGCCATCAGCTCTCTCCACAGATCCCTGCCAGGCATCCAAACACAAACTTCCGTTGAGAAGCTCTTGGGTGTGTCCATGAGCCCCTCAGCTTGGGATTCGCATGCATGCAGCAAGAGCCACAGAAACCCAGGGGTTTATTGAGGGCAGCCATGGAACCGTGCTTAAATGTGAATTTCATTTTGAGTTGAAATTTGAAGTTGAATTAGAAGTGGGAATTGGACCTGCTGAGGATGGGTGAGCCGGGGATGCGGCGCTCCACGTCATCGTACAGCCACCAGCCGTCGGTCAGGCCAAATGTGAGCGTCAGGAACTCAGTCTTTGTGGACAGCTCGTTGGCGATCAGCAGCCCGCCCTTGCGCAGCAGCGCCTTGCAGTGCTGCAGCGTGTTGCCCATCTCCCGCGTGGCATGCAGCACGTTCGTGGCAAAGAGGACGTCGTAGACTCCCAGCTTGTATCCCTGCGCCACAATTGGCCCAGTGAGATGGGGTTTCTGTGAGACCCACAAGCCAATGCTAGGCACATGAGCACGCACCAAGCATTACCATGTGGTAATGAACACTCCCAATGTGCACAAATAATGTTTCCCTGTGAAAGATGCAGCAGATAAGGTCTCACCTGGTCCTCGGTGTCCTTTTCCACGTCCAGGAGCTTGAAGGTGGCAAAAGGATATGTGGGCCCATAGGTCTTTCGGCTGTATGCGACCAGCTGTGGAGAGATGTCAGTGTATACAAATTCAATCTTCTCCCCTAGATCCGCCAGAGCAGCCATGACCACGGCTGATGTCCCGCCAGATCCCGAGCCAACCTCAACAATTCGCACCCTCTGCCCGGCAGGCAGCACCTAGCAGAGGATCACAAGGATGAGAATTGCGGCCTCCTTTCTTCACAGGCATTGAATCGAAATTTCCCAGTCAAGTGGCGCAAGTAGCACAAGCAGCCTGAATGAGTGCGCCAGGGAAAAGAGAGCTGCGCACCTGAAGCCGGTCTTGCACATATGCGCGCACGGCTGCGGCCAGCTGCTCATTGAAGGGCGCTGAGAGTATCTCGTTCTTGTAGATGGGCTCCACCAGCTCAGGTGTACCGCCGGGGAACATCACATCCGTCACCTTCACCTTGCCTGCACCTTTCACCACACATGGTCAAAGACAAAATTTAGACTTGTGCTGTTCTCTTGAGCGGAATGGCATGCCCGAAATGCTGTCTGAAGAAAAGTGCAAGGTGCGCGAAGAAAATCCTGACCTGTCAAGATGTCGGGGAATGCGCGCATGCACACGCCGATCAAGCGGATGTTGGTGGCTATCGGCGAGGCGGCTCCGCTGGACAGCTCAGCCGCCATCTCCTCCAGGCGCGCGATGCCGGCCTTTGTCGCGGCGTCATCCACAAGCTCTGTGGCCGTCCAGTCCCCACTCTCCATGCGCCTGTAAACGATCCACGAATCAGCATTTCCGCAATTGGAATGTGTATGCTAGCTAACATATGCTAGCTAATATTGTCCACCTTTCAAAGAACATTGGAAATGCTGAAGCAGCATGTCTCTGAGGATCAATCTCAGTGTGCGCAGGATGACCTTTGGGGGTCATCAAGGGGTGAAGTCAAGACAGATGGACTCAGGATGCTGGGTAAAGATAGTATGAGACAGTGCGATGCCTGATGAAGCTGGCCACCAGAAGGATGTCCAGGGCGGCCTCGACCATGCGCGCGTGCCCGGCGGCTCCCGCGGCGCGCTTGTTCAACCACACGATGTCGGCCGTGGCGACGCGCTGGCCGGCCGGCCGGAAGAAGCCGGCGCGCTGCACCGCGTCCAATAATAGCAGCCGGCACCACTCCTCAAAGCGCCGCACCGCGCCCTCCAGAGCCTCATCTGTGTCGTCCCTGCCAGCCAACATATGCATTTGAAGCACCTCAGTCAGTAGCTCACATTGATTGCCTGCAGCCAGCTTGGGGCTGATCCGATGCCTGACTCCTTATTCTCCCGTGGAAGTATGCTATGAACCTCCAATTGCAACAGGCTTTCCTGCTTGGTGTGATGCAGAGGCAAATGGCCAACTCATCGAACTCACGTTGCAACTCAAAGATTTGGAACTAGCCAGATGCCTCCCCTTGTCAGGTTCATTGACGAACATGAATACAAGACAGATATCAAGAGAAAACACAAAGTCTGGAGGACAGAGGGTGGCTTGCCTGAGCGGCAGGGCTGCGACGCTGTGCAGGAACATCGGGGGCAGGGGTGAGGTGGCGTCCGGCAGCTGCATCCTAACAGGGTCGTCCTCCTTCTCAAATATGCGCACAGCTCCGTCGCTGAGCCCCGCCACCACTGTCTGCCTTGACAGCAGCCGGGTCGCCGCCGTGGCAGCTCCGGCTAGCACCACGCTGTCAAAGCCTTGGCTCATCAGCAGCTCTGTCCAGCCCTCCCTGCATGGCAAACCCTGATCTTGTCAATGCTGCCCTTGAGGCACAAGCAAGCTCGCTACATTGGGTATATGAAGCAGGCAGAATTGAGCATTGCTGGCGCAAGGCATGCCCTGCCAGGACAAAGCATGTGCATGCAGGGAAGAATCTATGTGGAGGACAGTGGGCTCAAGAGCTTGCCTGCTGAGCATGGGAGAGCCGGGGATGCGCAGGGCTGAGTCATCGTGGAGCCACCAGCCGTCAGTAAGGCCAAAGGTGAGCGTCAGGAACTCCGTCTTTGTGGTGAGCTCGTTGGCTATGAGCAGGCCGCCCTTGCGCAGCAGCGCCTTGCAGTTCTGGATTGTTGTCTCCATGTCGCGAGTGGCATGCAGCACGTTGGTAGCGAAGAGGATGTCATAGGATCCCAGCGCATACTTCTGCACATCACCCCAGAACCCATCCCTAATCAAATACATCTTATGTGGGACCTTCCCGCAGTGTCAAAGATCTCACAGGCCAATGCAGGTAAGCCACCAGGGTAACTTTAGATTACTGATAAGATTGACAACCACGCTGCAAGGAACTGAAGAGAATGCAAGAAGGAATATGAGCAACCTACCTGGGGCTCAACATCCTTCTCCACATCCAGCAGCCGGAAGCTCGCAAAAGGAAAGTCCCGCCCATAGGTCTTGCGCCCGTAGGCGACCAGGTGCGGTGAGATGTCGGTGTAGATGAACTCTATTCTGTCGCCCAAATCCGCCAGCGCTGCCATGACCACGACTGATGTCCCGCCAGAGCCAGAGCCCACCTCCACAATCCTCACCCTCTGCCCAGCAGGCATCACCTGCAAAGACAGATTTCAGCACCATTCATCACCATTTTAATCTAGTTACAACCTCTCCAGCACTTTTGAAAAGTCAAGGCTGTTGTCCTCATCCTCAGATTATTCAGATGATGCTGTGGTTCAATGAGGAATGGGAATGTGTTTCTGTGGTAAGAACTCGCTCTGCCAGAGTGGCGGGTGCACCTGAAGTCGGTCCTCCACATAGGTGCGCACAGCGGCGGCCAACTGGACGTTGAAGGGCGCCGAAAGCTTTGGGTTCTTGTAAATTGGCTCCACCAAATGCGGTGACCCCTCCGGAAACATCACATCCGGCACCTTCACCTTGCCTGCACCCACGCCAGCCCTTTCTCAGCCACAAAATGGGGCTCTGCACAGAGCTGTACTTTTCTTAATGTACATTCAACAGATTTGTCTTCCTGACTACAATCACTGATGACACTGTCTTCAGTCAGATGTGCGCAAGAACACAGATGGCTGGGGTACTAAATCACCTGTGAGGATGTCTGGCAGCGCTTGCATGCACACCCACACCAGCTCCACATTGGACGCCAGGTCTGGCACCAACTGAGTCTCCAGTCTGTTCTTCTGCGCGCCGATGTCGGCGACCGATGCCAGCAGTTCTGCGCTGCCGAGCAGGTCTGAGCCCGCGTAGCTGCCTGGCGCCTGTGACTGGATGAAGCCGGCCGCGCACAGGATGTCCAGCAGCTCTAGCGTCAGCCGCCCGTGCATTGCGTCGATCCGCTTCATCATCTCAGCAACAATGACCACCTGCCGCCACAGCAGAGCCTTGTTTTCTGTAGGGTTCTGCCTTCGCTCCAGTCTTAAAGACCAAACTAGGAACTCTGCAATTCCTGGGAACTAAAATCATTGAGTAAAAGTGCTTGCAGCCCCTGGGCGGGTGCTATAATTGTGATGGGATCTCATGCAAGGTGTATGATGATTGGCCCCTTTACTTCGGCCTAGCAGGGCTCAATAGGTGCATGTATGCAAAACAAAAGATAAAAGTAAAGGCAAATTATGGCATTCTCTGCGCACCTGCCCCGGGCGAGTGAAGAAGCCCAGGCGCTGGACAGCGTCCAGCAGAAGGAGCTTCACCCAGGCCTCAAAGCCGTCCACGGCCACATCAAAGCCGTCCGGCAGCGCGTTGTGCACCGGCAGCCGTGCCAGGGTCTCGGCAAATGCGGCCGACACCGGCGGCAGCTGCTGCCTCAGCTGCCTTGTGCTCACGACTGGCTCCAGAGGAGCCACCCAACCAATGTCCGCCACTGGCTGAGGAGGTGCAGCCACCTGGGAGACACCATGCATGACATGCTGGATTCTTTTCATGGACCATTTTCTCCGGCAAGGTTTGCTGCACAGAGGCACAAACATACATTTAAAGGCTCCAGGTAATGCAGTCGCTGTCTCCTCTGCGAGAAGTGGGATTGGTGCGAGCGCACCTGGCGAGAGGGCGTTGATGGGATGGGCTTTGCTCTGGCAGCTGTGGGTGCTGCTGCCTTGCTGGACAAGGGTCGGGCCTCTATGTCGCCCATGCTCAAGACGGAGCCGCCAGGCGCCTCGAACAAACTGTGTGCGCTGCGCACTGTGCCATCCGCAGCCTCGCTGTCCAGCTGTATGCTGACATGGCCACGGTCACCTGCAGCACGTGAAATTTAGAAATATCTTGATGCATCCTGGTTGCACAATCACAGATTGCCAAAACCCAGCACCTGGCATGTGGCAGCCAAGCACTGTACCAAAAAATCAATCGAAGATATAGCTGAAGGACATGTTGCACACGATTTTAGGACTGGAGGCAAACAGACGTACCATGCATGGCTGCCCGAGGCCCATACTGTCCGATGGAGACAGACACCAACATTCCGGTCTGGTCGCTGCCCCTGAGAGCCGCGCCGGCGTGAATGGCAGCATCCGCGACGGTCGGGTGCACCCAGAAGCTCTGCTCGGCGCAGCCACCCCGCGCATCCACCCCCGCAACCACCCCCGGCCGCCTGATCTGGCTCCTCGGTCCCCCCGCTGCCGCTCCGTCACCGAGGACCCCCCGCCCCTTACCAAGGCTCGTCGACTCACCTGCTGCGGGGGTCCTTATTGCTGCTGAGCTGTCATCTGCTGCTCCAGTCAGCGTCAGGGGTGGGGCAGGGGTGTATGTCTGGGACAGCTGCCCGCGCATGTGCAGCAGCTGCCTGCCAGCTGGCTGGCCTCCAGAAAAAACCTGTGCGCAGCCATGCCTCACCCTGAAATGCAGCAAAGCGCATCATGACAAGTGCACAATACGAATTGCAAGCATGCAAAATGGGAATGATTGGGCTGTAAGAGCGCACCTCGGCAATGCCAGTCTGGGCGTTGACTCGCAGGGTAGCTACTGGACTGGAGCCAAGATCGAGGACCATGGGAGCCGGTATGGCTGCTGACGTCAGCGCCACCTCGCACTCCACCGTCTCCATGCCAAACAGCACCTGCACGCCAGCCATGTCTCTCACTGAGCAGTCACTTCAGTGCAGTCTACAATTTGCTGTTTGGTTGTTCATGTGTGGTGCATGACAGTCCGTCTTGTTGTGATCTGGGGCATGGGCACATGCCCCTCTAAAAAGTCTCACACTTCCCCTGAACCTGGTAGATTTGAGAGCTGGGCTGACTTCAGAGCCTAGGGCAGAGACAGGAGGAAATTCCGGGGTTCTCATGACGGGCATGTTGAAAATGTGCGGACCTTGCCGGCAGCCACGGCCATCTCGCACATGGCGGCGCCGGGCAGGATGGTACGCCCCTGCACGGTGTGGTCCCACAGGAAACCCACCGCCGGCCGCCCCAGCTGCGCCTGCACCGCCACCGCCGCCGGCCCCGACGCCTCTCTCCGCACGCTCGACAGCAGAGGGTGACTCGTCACCTGAACGCACATAAGCCCCTGACTCATTGAGCGTCTATCAGCAGCAGCCTGCTAATGGCAGTGGCAAGAGTCTTCCACGGCAGGATTGCAGGGTATTGGGCTGGTGAAGGAAGGTGCACCAAGTGGTACAGAAAGCTTGAGAAGCCCATGAAATTCCTAAGCACCAAACTGCGGGTGAAAATACCGGAGGGAAAAAGCCAATATTACAGTACGGGCAGGCATGATTGAGGCGGCTAAGATGAAGGCGCAGCACCTGAAACCAGAACCTTCGGCGCTGCCACTGCCTCTGCCGCAGGTCCACACGAGCCGGGTTATCGCAGGTGCCGCCAATAATGACGTGGGAATTGGTGCCCTGGTACGCAAAAGAGCTGACACCTGCGCGCGCCCCCTCCCGGGTCGGCATGGCCGAGGCTGCCCGCCGCACCTGCCAGCCCCTGGAGGTTCCCTTGCTCGCATAGCCCTGCGCCAGCACAGCACCATCCTGTATTATAACTCCGAAGTTCAGCCACGTCATGTTCTGCTTGTGGCTCTTGGGTCAGTGTCCCTGTGGAGCCGCCAGCAAAGCTGCAGTTGCTGCAAGGCCTGCGTTTCAGCTCAGACAAAATGCACAAGAGCCATGAACACTATTTCCGTCCTGCTAACAGATGGTGCATTCAAAAGGCTATTAAAGTTATCAAGAACCACAAGTACAGAACCGAAATTTTCCAGTAGTGACGCTTGTACACATGAAGGTACCAATCTAAACTCAGTGATGTTGCTAGGGGGCGCGCGGACCTGGAAGATAGCAGCAACGTGGGGGTTGACGGAGCGCAGGTGGAGGGTGTGGTGGGAGGGCATGCCCTGCAGACGCGCCGCCAGCATGGCCAGCCCCAGCGCGCCAGCCGCCGGCTCCGTGTGCAGCAGCCGCGACTTGGCCGCCTGCAGTTCCAGCGGCACTCCACCCGCCTCCTCTCTTGGGACCTGCAGCACCGTGAACGCCGCGCCCACCTGCCCGTATGCAACACCCTCTCAGCCCTTACACCACTCGAAGAACTGGCATGCACATGCTTACAGGCCCTCTATAGCTGTAGACTGCTTCCAATATATGGCAGGGAGCGTGGCTTTCTCCTGAGCACTTTCGCAACTTTTCTTACTGAAGAGCTACACCAGTAAGGCAGGTGGGTGTGTGGGAGGATGATCACCTCAATGGGGTCTCCCAGGCCTGTGCCGGTGCCGTGCATCTCCAGGATATCCAGCTGCGCGGCCGCGGTGTCGCCGGCCGCCATGGCCGCGCGGATGACCTGCTGTTGGGAAGGGCCATTTGGCGCCTGAACACAGAATAATATTCTCATCAGTCCTCACATGTCCTCACATGTCCTCCCACATCAGATAGGAGCCGTGTGAAGTTGGACAGTGACAGACTGCTGTTGAGACCAGTGAGCCTCAGGTGGCTCCGGACAGGTTTGTAAGATGTGATCATTGTTACTGCGAAGCACTGAAGTGATGCAGGATGCACGCAGGAAAATTGCATTTAGAAAGAGCAGAGGAGGTGGTGCACCGTGAGAGAGCTGGAGCGCCCGTCCTGGTTGACGGCGGTGCCGTACAGGATGAGGGCGCCGTGCGCCAGGTGGCACGCCGCCAGCTCAGCGGGCTCGAAGGCCTCGAGGAGGTGCACCACGCACGCCTCCCCGCGCATGTACCCGTCCGCGCCAGCGTCCAGCGTCTTGCACCGTCCGTCCTGCATGCATGCATTTTTCCCCTCATCTCCCGGATAGATGACCTGCCCCTTTCAAGCAACGAAGAGCAAGAGCACAAATCTGGGTCCTTTCAAGCACAAAAGGAAGTACAATGAGACTGCATCACGATGAATATTCGCTGCGAGACATTCCTCTGCGTGGCGTCATCACGGTGGCAAGCGCAGAGTTCGCGTGACAATAGAGGTATATGCAAAGAGCAAGAGGCAGGGTGCCGTAGAATGCACCCTCACAATGCCAAGTTCGGGAGGGTGCGGTAGAGGGAGCAAAATTATGTACCTGGGCGAGCATGCCGGCCTTGGCGAGGACGGCGGTGGTCTCGGCGCGCAGCGTGAGGTTGACGCCGGCCACGAGCGCGCGCGGGCAGGCCGGCCCCAGGAAGCTGCTGCACGCCAGATGCGCGCCCACCAGCGATGATGAGCATGCCGTGTCTATGCTCACGCTCGGACCCTGCACAATACAATCCTCTCATCATCCAGTTGGATAGCCTCTTGAAAGCGCTGCAGGTAAGCAATGAAGGTTTCCATTTCGGATATAAGGTGCATGATGATCATCCTCCTAGCATTCACTTTCCTTCCGCAGTAGCCTTCTGTCCAGCTCAATGGATCATGACAGCGCGCCCCATTGTCACATTCACCGAGTCTGTTTTGGGCATTGATATATCGCGGTACAAGATAAGCTTGCCTTGAGGCCGAGGGTGAAGGAGAGGCGGCCGCAGACGACGGAGAGTGTGCCAGAGGTGGCAGTGTAGGCGGACATCGGCTGGTGGGAGGAGTTGAGGTAGTACTCCGTGTAGGAAATGCCCACCGCCACCGCCACATTCTTCGCAGCGTCCCCTGCAATGAGACGATTGCAACACTTGAATGGTGTTATCAAAATCCACATGCCATACGGAGCGAAAAAAGTTGGACAGAAATCCGTCTAAAACCACGTGAAATGATGAGTTGTCCTGGTGACAAAATGGAGAAATACAGGGACTGCTAGATATTTTATGGCAGCCAGATGCATTTCAGCAGAAATTGGCAGGGTGCGCACCTGAGAGCTCGCGGGGAGCGCTGAACTGGAGGGCCTCATAGGAGGCCTCCAGCAGGATGCGCTGCTGCGCGTCCATGGCGACGGCCTCGGGCTGCGGCACGCCGAAGAAGGCGTTGTCAAACAGCTCCACTCCGTCCACAAAGCTGCCAAAGCGCTTGTTAGGCGCCACCGTCTCAAACCAGCCCGTGTCCACATCCCACCTGCAGCAGGTAATTGCTGTTTATCCAGCTGCGCAGGTCCTGTACTCGTATGTCTCACTTGTCCGCAGCCGAGTCTGACCTTCACCTGAGTAGAAATGCTCCTTTTGAAGATGTGGGTCAAATCAAACAGGTGCTGATGATGAGGCTGGTTTGATAAGGTCACAGGCATGAGGGGGGTTTTTTAGTTGCCAACACCTGTTGGGGGGCACGGGTCTGCAGGCGTCTCCATTGGGGCTTTCGCGCGCGCCCCTCCACACAGTGGCGGTCAGCACTCTGCTCAGCTGCGGGGGCCGCGCCACGGCCAGCGCCCTGAGTGACCCCTCGCTGCTGCTCTCCAGCCATTCATCCATGTCGCTGTCGTCCAGGCCAAAATAGCCCGGCTTCTCCTCGTCCTCCGACCCAGAGGAGGACCCCGGCTCGATGGCTGTCATCGCCATCGCCTCTCCGCGCGCACTGCCTGCCTGCAGTGTGCAATGGAAGACATTGCTTCTTACCTTGGATGAGAAAGGAAACATATTATTGTACTATCAGTGATTTTGCCACAAGTGGAGTCTTTTTGTAATATCAGAGGTAATATTTTAGTTTTAGACAGCGATAAAGCTGGCAATCTGAGGTTGATGAATCCCACGCCACAAAAGTCTGGCCTTTTCATAGCAGCAATGAGAATGAATTTGATGCTTTTAAACGATGTTTAATAATATTTTTAATCGTGAAGAGATGGCATTGATTTCACCTTTTTCTGCTGGGTCTTCATCTAGCTGTAGTTTTTGGGTGCCCGATCGAGCCACGACGCTCTCTTATACGGCGCCCTTGGATGCCAATTGTACCAGCTTCCAATTTCAGAATAAATTGCTACACTGTGTGAGGGCTGCTCGCTCATCTTAATTGGGTACAGGCCGCTATCAACCACCGTAACGCCGAAATCTGGTGGCCCCCACCACTAGAACAGGTTAAAACACAAGACCAACTGGCTTTCATTCTTTCTTCCACAACAACGATGCGAAATCACAATATAGGATCCACTGCAATTGCAATTGCCCACTCCTCGGCCCCAAATCCAGGCTGGGCAATAACATCACCCTGCAGCTCCTATTGTGGCCTCCCCGATGACGAAGCTTCCACCATTCAATGTAGATATCCACAGCACCGCACCATGATTGCTCTGGATTTAACTTCGCTTGCATCACTTCAATTTCGAAATTCAGTCAAAGCGATCTTGCCATTGCAGTGACAGTTCCAATCTCAATTTTGGGAAGCATTGCAACTACCCACAAGCTGCAGGTGAGGATATGCTGGATGAGCCCATACCTTCGGTGACGAGGTAGAGATTTCTTTTAATCTGTGTTTCCTAATCTGAGCATAAGAGTCCAGAATGAATTGTCTGTGTGGGCCAGATTTAGAGAAGTCTCTCATGATCGACAGCACAAGTGCTTTCTGATGAACCGGAAACTTGACACAGACTTATGATTCTCTTGCAGCGTTGCAGAGGAAATCTTTCAGGAGATTGAAAGTACGACCGAAGCATCTGGTTCCCCAACAAGTACGATTGAGATGGCTTTTATGTGGTTTCACATCAAGCGCAGATAATACTATCATGTGTACTGAGAGGAATTTTCTGTGATCGACAGTAACTGCAGATCAGCTCAGCAGGCAAGCAACATCTCTTCCACAATTCACCCTGTCTGCCATAGTCCTTCAGTAAGAAAGAGGCTGTTCCTGACCGGGGATTGTGGCACCAACAGGCTCAATTTTCTATTCGAGAAGATCTTCAGCAGGGCGCTCCAGGTGCTCGAGAAGGGCCACGTGAAGTGTTACATTGCGGAGAGAAGCCAGCGCAAGGTATTTCAGGTGAGGGACGGCCTACTGCAAGCATGGCGGACAAAGCGGCTCCTGAAAGGAAGCTTTAAAACATTTAAAAGCTTGTGCATCAGGAATGGTGTGATGCGTCTGCGCAGGTGCGAGGCAGCAGGCCGAGTGACCACTACATAGTGTTTCCTCGCCACTACTGTTCCTGCCAAGCCTTCCTGTACGTGGTGGTTGGCCACGACAACCCTCTGGTTGGCCTCTCTCCTGAACAACACATGAAAAAATAGTACATGTGACACCTGAGCTGTTGCAGGGGGAAGTTACTCTGCTCCTGATGCACTGTGCTTGCGCGCAGTGCAAGCACCAGCTGGCAGCGAGGCTGGCCCAGGCCCTGCACAGGAGCCACAACATCACCGTCTCAGACGAGGTCCTTGCGGAATTGCTGCTCTCCACCTGACACTACCTTGAGGGTGAGGCTGGACAGTGCTGGAGATCAACTGCCGACCTCAATCAAGCTTTGGGGCCTCCTGGCAGATGCTATTAATGTGATGGAGCTCTCCTGATGTGCAGCGTTGGGAACGCAGGCAGGATGAGCAAGGTCAAGGTGGTGGCCGTGCAGGACATGCATGACACCGCAGTCTTCGGGCGAGCACACGCTCTGACAGGTGCTCTGACTCTGCCCAGCAATTCTCTGCCTGCCGCTCAAGTAACCCTCCTGCACATTGCTCCTGGACAATGCACACAGGTCAGGCTGACAGCTGCAAGAGCAGCCGGTGCATCATGCTTTGCTCGCTCTGCATGCTGATCAGGTCTGGATGCCTGTGACAGGGATGGAGAAGGCGCAGAGTTTGATGCCCCACCCCACCATGCACATGCCCAGCAAAACAACCGTGTTGCTATGCGTCGTGGTGCTGCACGTCGTGGCTCTCTCATACCTCATGTATGCCCTCTACACAGCCCAGAGGCAAGCCGCCCTCCCACCTCTTGAGTTCCTTCATCCCACGGTAGCTCATGGCATGCATCTGTGTAGCCACGCTCAGCCCTGTCAATGTTGCGCCAAATATCAGTAAGAAGCCTTTTCTTGAGCTTCTTCACTTGGCTCCCTTCCAGGCGAGCAGCACAGAAGGCACAAAAAGCAAGGGAGGCGCCCAGGAAAGTCAACTGCGTGTATGAGGTGCGCGCTGTCCCCTTTCACGAAAAAATTTCCAAAGATTATTACGGGAAGAGATTTTCAGGGTTGCATTGCTTTGCAGATTGCACTGCAGCTTTTAAGGAAGTAGTGTGTGGTGGCGCAGTGGGCGTCTCTTGCTATTCCCAGGCAGAACATACGGATACCCTTGGGCATCACCAAGGCATGAGGGTTTGCAGGGCACGACCCTGTTTCAATCTGAGTCAGAGGAGCCTGTTGGGCCCCAAATAATGATCAATGTGAGGTTGTGCCAGCACTGCAACAACTTGTTAGGAAGTCTGAAAGCAATAGAGGTAGGGTGCAAGACAAGACAATTGCAGCCACAGCAATGCTTCCAGCTATTGCTATTGTCATGATCCAGCGAATGAGAAGCGCTACACAGAGAGACTTTGACACTATAGTAGCTGCATCATGATGAAAGGACTGTCAGCTAAAAGCGACATCTGCTACTTTTTGGAACGTTTGTGTGCCTATTTGACGGCCATGTACAAGTGTCTTAGTCAAAGTGGCCTATATTCATACTTTCACATTGCTCAGCTCCCTTTTGCAGCTAGAGAATGCTGCACAACAAGGACTGCCTATGCTACTGAGTTCACGCCTGACTGGTGTTCTTGTGACTGCCTGTAAAAGTCGAGACATACAGAGACTCAAGAAAGAGAGAGAAGAACACAGTCAGAGCAATTGACACGACACGCTACACATGTTACTTCTAAAGAAATTTGATTTAGTCATGCAGAGCCCTTGCACTTCTGTCAAGACTGAACAGAGCAGAGAATAAGTAATCTCCTGACCCAATAGAAGAATAACTCATTGCTAGAGGTTCTGTGATGTTTATTCCTATATTTTTATGGGTGTCAGTTGCCTACAGCAACTTGGCAACTTTGGTTTACTCCTGCCAGTGCTACAGGTAAATGTGAGATTCCCAAGGAGTTCTGTGAATGCTAGCAGCGCTGTTCAGTGCTTTCAGTGCGCCTACTCAATCCCTGGAGCAGCCACCTCAAAGTACGCAGCCGCCACCGGCTCGCCCAAGTCATACAGCTGTGAAAACTTCTGGGTGTTGAACCTTGCGCGGCTGGCTGGGGCCGGCACCTGGCCCGGCACATGACTCATCAGCTCAATGTGCCTTTAACACACTGCAGAACATTAATCTGTGGAGATCCATCAAGCGTGCAGGTCTAAATGGCACTCTGCAGCGTGAGATTGCAGCTAGACCAGGTAGAAGAAGGGCTCACATTGAGGTTTGTTCCCTTGGGCTGCTGGAAGAGGGAGAAGACATAGCGGTGGACACCGGCGGGAGGAGAGGGAGGCGCATATGGCACAGCAACCTGAAGCGCCAGAATCTTTGTCAGCAACAAATGCATGAGGCACCGTCAGTAGCGAGTACAGGGCATGTCCTGGATCAACAAGATCCAGTCAAAAGGCACCTCAAGCTGCTCTACCGTACAGACAGATCTTGTAAACAGCCATGCCTTCTACCATCATAGGGATGTAAAAGGCTGAAAGAGGGCGGTGCAAAGGAGTGGCCCACCTCTCCCTTGGTGATGTCTCCAAAGGGGGCGTTGGTGACGATCCAGTGCAGGAACTCGCGGCTGGTGGGCATGGCTGGAGAGGGAGCATCTGGGTCGCTCAGGACGAGGGTGTACTTGGTGTCTGCCTGCAGCTTCAGTGGGTCCAGCTTGGACAGCACGTTGCCCACCAGATCTGTCACCTGCATGTGCCAAGGCCCTTCTCAGACGTGGACGATCCCTTTGGTAAGGTATGGGAATTGCAATGATGAGGAACAGCATGAGGTACAAGGAGGCTGTGCAGAAGAGCGCACCTGAACAGAGGGGGCGTTCAATGTCTCTGGCCGGGGCAGGCGGCCGCCCTTGGTTGTGATGGGAGTGTCGCCATACTGGATCTTTAGCGCCACACCAGGAGCAGGGTCTATTCCTGAGATAACATCTGGAATCACCTTGGCTGCAGTCAGATCCTCCCTGCAGCACAAGAGAGAATTTTTGAGAAGATTAGAATACGAACTTTCAAGGAAGATACTTCAGAAGGCCATTTCAAGATGGTGGATGAAGACACCGGTGGTGCCTCTCGCATGCATCAAATATTGATACGAGACAACACTTGAAGTGAGAGGTAGCATGACTCATGAGCGAGTACTAATGAAACATCAGGCTGGGAATCCTGTAGCTGGACATCATACAGGCTGATGTTCCGAAAGCAATGAAACCCTTCGGATCGATGTGGCATTGGATCACTCACGTTTGCTCTTGAGAAATGAGTGTAGCCAACGATGCCGTCGACGCAGATAATGCTACCAGGAGCACAAGAAGACCAGCCGAGATGAACCGCATCTTCGATCCTCAAAGTCTTGGAGATTGGTCCAGCAGTTTCTCTAGACTATCCAATGCAATTTAAGAATCCACAAATTGTCGAAATTGCTTTGCAAGTATGCACGAAGGTACGGGAGTCCGGCAAACCCAGAGCGTTCGTTGGGGACGATTTGAAACTTCGCAGTTGCCAATACAGGCTTCCCCTAGGAATCATGCTTTGATGAAACACAGCAGGGCGCCTCAAGGAATATATATTCCATCCTGCTGACTCTTCGTGATCAAACATGGCTTTCAAAACCGTTCTTCATGCAGCAGATGCATGCACTCCAGACTTCTGAATTTTATTTTCTAATCAGTCAAAAAACTTAAGTTTAAACTTTTAATAATATTCCGAATAGTGAGTCACCGTGACAGCCGGGACGGGGCGCCCTGGCATGCGTGTGACATGTGCATGCACATTGCTTGTACACAATATAGGGTCTCAAACACGTACAGATCACTTGGCAGATAACACAACGTCGACGTTGACGTCAATCTCCCCATAAATAAGACTAGGCTAGCTCGCTGTTGCTGCTGTTAGGCTGACAGTGTTACTCTGAGTCAGGTATCTTGGCGGTACTGGCGTGGCTAAGTTTGCATCTGGGCCTGCCTACAATCTTGACGACTGCCATTGTAGGCTCTCACAGAAGATTGGCCAAAGCCTGCGTGCGAACTTTTATGTGATTGTTTTGAAATACGCGCAGGTCCCTGCACGCCTAAGCATTTCCCAACAGCTGCACTGCCAGCTCAAACAGCAGCGCCGCCTTTCTTGGGAGCCTCGGCGGCGGCGGGCAGGAGGCAGGCCCAGACGGCCAGGAAGGGCGCGTCTGGGAAGAGCAGCTGCACAAGCTCGCGCTGGAATCGGCGCACGCTGACGGACGGCTGCAGCAGCTGCGGGGCGGCCGCAAAGAAGCCGCGGTACTGGTCCGCGCGCGCGGCCACCAACGGGCAGCGCGCAATCTCCTCCAGCGAGTCCAGCTCTGCGCGCGCCTCCAGCACCTGTGCGCAGCCCGCCGTCACATGCGCGCATGCCGCCCCCTCGCTTCTCCGTTGATTGCTTTGACAAAGAGCCACAAAACAGCGGAAGGGATGCTTTGCAACATGCATCGGCTGCCACTTTGAGATGACATCGGCTGGAGCAGCTGTGGCAGGAAACGATTGCCATCCGCAGGGACAGCAAGGCCTCATGCATATTGTGTAGTTTCAAGTGAAGTTGGGCCCGCGCCTGGTCGAGCTCGTGCATGAGCAGGTCTTCGCGCTGGAGCTTGTCAAGGGAGGCGCTGGGCGTGGACATGGCGGCCAGCCGCGGCGTGCCAATCGCGCTCGCACTGGCCAGCGACCCCAGCGACGCGCTCTGCCGCTGCAGCTGTGCGCTGCCCAGCACCGCCGCCGCAAACGCGCCCCCGGACGACGCCAGGTCCGCCGCCTGCACGCACGCAGCAATGCTCAGCATTCATGTAAGCCATTGCTCTGTGCGAGTAGAATTCCCAGGGTGATTCCCTTGGCAGCAAGGGTGTTCTGACATGGCGGCAAGTCCGCGTTGACAAGCTGCCATCCCTTGAAAATGGGCACAAGTGGAGTCGAAGTCTTCATAGGGCTTGTTTGTGAGCTGCAGGCAACAGAGATCAACTTTATATGTAATGTAAGGGTACCAGGCGCACCAGAGAGGCGGAGGACATGCGCGGCGTGTAGGAGGACAACGAGGGGCACAGCACGGTCTTGATGTAGGCCGACACCGCAAATGCTGCCAGCCCCAGCCGTATCACCACATCCGTTGCCACTTCTGCAGCCGTCTCCGCCTCCGCCTCCTGCATCAGCACAAACAAGATCTCTTTCGCAACAAGACGCCACACACCAATGGTTTTGTCGACAGTGTCGTCTATTGCAATAAACACTGACAACTGACAATCTATAAAGTAAATTGCGACGAAGACTAGAGGGGGATGGAGACAAGAATTTGGGTGTTGGCCAGTGAGGTATAAATTATTTACCCTGGCGGCTGCTTCTGCGGCTGCTGCCTCGGCTTTCTTGCCGCCGGTCAGAGCCTTCTTGACATCGCCAGCCAGCCGCGAGGCATACTCCCTGGCCGGGCGGTGCCGCGCCGGGGCCTCCCCTGGCTGAAGCTCTGCGCGCCCCACAAAACAGTAATCAGCAGCTGCGCTTGCGCAGCAAGCTTTCCATGCCTTTGCTGATGAATACATGGTGCCAAATGAGAGTAGTCACCTGCTATATCTGCAGGGAGGCTGGTAGAAGGCGTTCTGACAAAGAGGCCACCAAATCCTCTCCTGTGCGGCTGCTCCTGTGACATCAAGGAGCACAATCAGCTATTCATGGTAACCCTCAGGAACCGGTGCAAAGGCCACAACAAGTCCACAGAACCATTTTAGCGTGCCGTCAACAGAAGTTATATTTCAAGCAAAGGTGTCAAGAGCGTGCCTCTGGAGAGGCAGGCGGGCTGCCGTACTCAGAGGCACGTGAAGGCGTTTGCGGTCGGCTGCTGCCGGCCTCGGAATCGCCAGAAGGGATGGGATCCAGCCTCCCAAAGCGGGGGCCCTGCACCTGCACCACAGCGTGATCACATTAAGCGCAACAAACTCCACCTGGAGGCCATATCGGACAAGAAGCAAGTACCTTACGTGCGTGCAAGTCCTGTGAGCGTTTTATATAAAGCCCTGCTCTTGCTCCTATGCGCCAGCATTTCTAGAATTACCCCTTTGCGGACAAGTTTCGAGCCAATAATTAATGGCCCCAGATGACAGTGGTCACCTCTGGGAAGCCCATGCTGCCCTCGTAATCAAAGGAGGACGGTGGGACGTCCACGGTGGGCGACTCCTTGCTCAAGAACCTTGCCTTCAGCCGGCCAAGCCCCTTGCGCTGCGGGGCCGGGCCTTCCTGCGCCGTTTGCCCAGCATCCCCGCCGCCCTTGCCGCTCGGCAGCATGCGCTTGAAGTTCTGCGTGAGGCGGGTCAGCGTCTTGCCGCCGTCCTGCAACACATTCTACAACTCTTGCACCGGCAAATTTTACCGTCTTCCACAGCCTCTCCTCTTCCCCTGGACAGAGTTGACATCAATTTTAAGATTCAACTCTGCCAGAAGACACCTTGAAGAAATTTAGGGTCGAGAATCCATAAGAAAAGGACATTAATGATTGATATTGAGGGTTCCTGATGTTGTTCTAGTGGTTGCACAAAGCGGGCGAATCAAGAATGCGCGGACCGGGGCCTGCGAGGGGTGGGGCTGCGGGTCAAACGCGTCGTTGCCGGCACCGGAGGGCGTGACAGGGGCGGTGTCATGCGCAGGGGATGGCAGATTCAGCAGCAGCACGCGGCGGGAAAGCGCATCAAGGAGGCTCTCGAGTGCGTCGGTGGGCGCGCCTCCGGTGCGCAGCTTGCGCCAGCGCGCGTCCTCCAGCCACAGCAGCGATGCCAGCCACACCGCTGCTATCAGCCGCGGCGCCCCCGGCCGCGCCTCCGCCGCCGCCGCGGCCCTCAGCACCTCTGCGCCCAGTGGACACACCCCTCATTGCACCATGCACAAGCAACTAGAGAACTATGCCTGGGATGCTTGCTTCACTCACAACAACTGGTAGGCCGTCCTCAAGCAACACAGCGATAACGATGCTCATCAAGCAGAAGGGTGCTTTCTATTCTCAAAGCTGTCCTGTTGGTAGCTATTGCCACCACAGCAGCCCAACGAAGTAGGTTCCAGAAACACTGGCAGACAGAGGCATGACCCCAGATGCCTGATAAGCAAATTTCGCTGGTGAATGATGATATTAAGTACCTAGAGTGCTGCCATGTGGCAAGTTCATTCAAGAAACTTACGCTTGACCAGGACCATCCCGTTTGTAGATCCTCTTATCAGAAAAGGCGCAATTGCACCTCAGACAGATCCAGAGCACACGCCAAACTTTGGGTACCAAACACATAAGGGGCACAAAAGAGGGTCGGGTGCGCACGGCTGACGTTGTGGCGCCAGGAGGCGCGCTCATCGAGGACTGTCGCGCGGCGAGCATTCTCAGAAGCTAGCGCCTGAACCAGCGGCGTGTGGGCGTTGGCCGCATCTGCGCATATCTGGATGACTGCTCCGTCTCCCAGCCCCTCCAGTGTGCGCAGCAGAGCCGCCCCAGCCTCCGCTAAGTGAGCGTCCACATCCTGCAAGGGCGTTGTCTGCTGTCAATATACTAAATTGCCTTCCAAGACCCTCGGGGCAAAACGCACCATCCTAAATTACGAGAAGGTGAACAAAGAGAGCGGAAGGCATCATGTCTGCAAGCTCAACATGCAGGAAATATTTCGTTGTGAGGATAGCTGCATATCTTCCATTGCCAGAAATAGGCCATAGGGTGGAGCGGGATGCTCACGGCAGCTGGAAGCTCTGCAGACTCCACGGTAGTCTGCTCGGTGTAGCTGCGCTCGCGTGCAACAGCGCCGCCATTTGTTGCGGACGGCATAGCAGAAGCCGCAGCTGGCAAATTGGCGGCGGCAGGATGGCTGAGCAGCAGGGAGTGCACCAGGTCCTCCAGCAGAGTGCTGCCCAGGGGCAGCCGCCTGAGGGGCGCGCACGTGAAGCCCACGCGCAAGATGCTCAGCGGCAGATCACCCGCTCGCCGCTGGCATGAATCCTGCAGCTTCCCACGTGCAGCCTCACAATGTGTCCCTTCAGAGATCCCGCACTTCAAATCCATCTTACTTGCGGCACGAGAACGACAAACTTGCCCCATTCACATGTTTGAACAGTGGACAGAGACCTGGCTTGGCCCTTGAGACTTGTACCACGGGAAGGCTCACCTCGATGAGTGCAGCGATGTGGGACTGGATTGTTTGCAGATCAGCCGCCTCCGCCTGCAGCAAGCGCTGCCGGGTCGGGGCGCGCTTTCCCTTCCGCTGGATCTTCAGCCGCCCCGCCATGGAGATGGCCTTGTCCAGGAAGTCCGGCTTGGCCTCGCTGCCGGCAGTCGACGACGCGGCGTCCGATCCTGCGCCGGTGCCGTCGTCCGCGTCCCGGTGCGCCGGGGGGTCCCTCAGGGGCGTCTCGGCGTTGGCGAAGGGCAGCGGGTCGGCTGTGAGCACTGTCCTGGGGCATGCCATCAGGCAGGACAGCAGCGCGTGCGCCGGCACCGCAGCCGCGATGTACTGCTCCTCTGAAATGCATCCCGGCTCGTCGCCGGCGGGCGGCTGAGCGCCGGAGCTGGCGTGTGTCGCCGGCCCGAGCACGGCGAGGCGGCTGCCGCGGAGCATCTTGGTCGCTTGGGGGCCTTCGCTATTGTTCGCAGGTTGAGAATTGCTGGCTGCAGCTGATTGTGGCCCCAGCCTGTCGACCAGTTGCGAAAGCTGCGGGGCGCGCCAACCGGGGACCGAGGCTTTCGGCGTTGCTTCTCCGCGTTCAGCGGAGCCGGCTGGGTTTGCCGGGTGCGCATCCTGCCTACGCAGGATGCTGGCTGCCTGCATGGTGGCCGGCGCATGCACGCGGCAGACCGGTAGCAGGCATTCGGTCACTAGCAGAGAATGCTCCTCGGCAGTCAGGTGCCAGCACTCAATCACCTGGATGAAAGGGCATGTTCCCAACGAATTTGTGCATGAAAAAGCAAAGAACAGGAGTTTTCACGGAACTTGGCTGCTATTCCTGCACACAGCACACAGTTGACCTATGAATGCAAGTGATAAAAGTGCTGCACCTCTGTTGTGCCATGTGCCTCTGAAGGGCTGGCATCAGGGGAGTGGCCCTGGCCGCTGATGAAGCCGCGGCACACCGACGTGAACATGATTCCATTGATGACCGAGGCCGCCATAGCCGCCACCGCAGCAGAACTGCTCATTCTTGCGGCTGCAGTTAGCAGCCCAGCAACCTGGAGCAGCCTCGGACCTGGGTCCCCCTGCATCCAATCCAAAGTAGTAATTGTCAAGACGCGTCTGGGGTTGGTGGACATTTTCATCACGACAGATTATAAAGCCAACCGCGGACTGTTGTTGGTAGTTCTATCAGTGACACACGACTTCTCCAAATAGTGGGGCAGAAGTCTCATAACAGTGAAGGAAGCAACCGAAAACAGTCCACAACTTGAGATGGATAGATACTTGGTGCCCGTCCAGAATAACAATGCAATGCCGCAGACCTGCATGAGGGAGGGGGCATCCACGAGGGGTTGCAGCAGGAAGGGCAGCCCTTCCACGCAGTTGCACAGCACGTCCTGAAGCGCCTGCGCATCGGCCGCCGCTATCACGTGCGGCAGGCGCAGGCCCGCCGCTTTATCCTCAGCCAGGCCGCCGTCGCGCGGCGCGGGAGCGGTCAGACAAAGGAGCCAGCCCGGCAGGTGCTCTGCAGGCAGCAGCACGAGGGCTTGCAGGACGAGCAGCGTCAGCTGCGTGGCCCATTGCTGGCCGTCCGCCGGCAGCGGCCTCGCGCCTGACGCAGCCGCCGGCGCCAGCCGCTGCAGGATGGGCTCCCACGGCAGCGCGTGCAGCAGGTCCAGCGCGCCGCGATCCGGCGCCAATAAATATGCCCCGAGCTCCGCCAATCCCCCTGAGGCCCATGGCACTCCCTCAGTTCCTGCCTGGTGCCTCTGGGTGGCTGATGTTTTTACAATGGAGATTACCAATGAGGAACGATGTTGCTGGTGTAATCCCGTACGTGAAGTACAACAATAGTCCCAAAAGTCATGTACTGTGTCATATTAACAAGGGATGTGTGAGGGGCGTGGGCAGAGGAGGGAAAGGGAATGGTGAAGGGGCACCTGGGGAGATGCAGTGGAAGGTGGCGCGCTGCCAGGGGAGGCAGGCCCAGCACTCGCGGAAGCGGCGCGTGGCGGCGCCGTCGCTGGCGGGCCCGGCCAGCACCAGGAAGGGCTGCAGGGCCTCCTTGTAGAGCGCCCACAGCCAGTCCACCAGCCAGGGGTCGCCCCCCACCGGCTCCAGCAGCAGAGCCAGCAGCTGCGTCAGCTCCTCTGTCATCGATATCCCATCCAGGCCGCTCCCAAACCTGCGCTTGCACAATTTCAGACTCATTAGCGCATTTCTGCGCACCTACATGTGACTTAGAAGTTGACATCTTCATGTCGTCTGCCGCTATGCAACGTAAGGCATATCAGATAGTGAGGCCGTGAAAGGGAAGGGATTGGGGAAAGAGGTTGTCACCGTCTGAGGATGCTCTGCAGGCAGGCGCCGATGAGAAGCTCGATGCGGCCCACAGCATCTCCGCGCGGCTGCACAGCCAGCAGCATCACCTGGGGCGAGCATGTTATCAGAGCAGGGCCCCTGTTGCCGCCACCACTGCTGCTGCTTCCTCCGGCCGGGTCACCTTGTTGTGAGTCGCTGCTGCTGAGTGTCGCTGTCCACGATGCGCCCTGGGCATCCCTGCCGGCTTCCAGCAACTCCCCTGCCAAGCAGCAAACCAGTAGTTCAAAGCTTGGCTGTGCATGCAATGAACGGCAGATTAGAAGGAAAGAGTCTTGTAGCATTGGGGAATGGAAAGGGGAGTACAAGCAGTCACCTGTGCCAGTTGCGACGACCTGGCGCAGGGCAGACAGCGAGCAGGGTGCCTGGACGAGCTTCTGCAGCAGAGCGTAGGGGACCTCATGCCGTGCAGACTCTGCCTGATTCAGATCATCTGTCACCTGCGCGGTAGCAGATCCTGATCAGGCAGCAGCGCCGAGCTTTGTCATCTCCCACTCTGGCCACAAGATCTTTTCATCTTGCCGGAAAAGGTCGTTGTATCTGCAGGCATGGCAGGGGCGGGGACGCCTGACCTGCACCATAGCTTCCACAGCGACGTTGATGGGGAGCGTGTCAAATGGCTGACGGGTCAAGAATATCAGCCCAGCGTCCCGGGCGGCAGCATTGCGAGCGCCCAGCACGACAGCCAGGCATGCATCAAAGTATGCAGCGTGCCCTCCCGCCGCCAGCAAGCCTCCCAGCAGCTCCACCCCGGCCGCCTCGCCGCCGGCCGCCGCAAGCGCGTCCACGGCCAGGCTCAATATGCGCGCGGCTGCCGCCGACGGCTTCTCGGGGCCAGCGGTCCCTGATTCCCGGCCGCCCAGCTGGACCTGCCATCATAAAAATACTGTCACTCAGGTCATGCCTTCAAAGTCACAGTATGGCCGGTAATGCGCGTTATATAGATCCCATGGCGGCAGACATTGGTGAGCGGTGATTGGCAGGCGAGCGCACCTGATCGTGGCCGGTGTCGGGGGTGCCGCGGTGCAGAAGCGCGGCAGAGAAGCCGCCGAGATCGAAGCAGTCGAGCAGGCGGCCGACGGCGGTCGGCGGCAGCTTGGGGACGGCCTCCAGCACACAGGCGAGGCAGCCGTGGTACTCCGTCAGACGCCCCTCCGCCAGCAGCTGTTCCGAGCCCATGCCGGTCGTCAGAAGCGCCACCGCCTCCGCCTCCCTCGACGCCCCCTGGCCGCGGCTGGCAAACGCCGCCATCAAGCGGCCAACCAGCTCCACCTGCATCATGTGGAGAGGCCTGCTCAGAGCTTCTGCATGGGCCAGGATGCATGTGTGCACATGTTGAAGAGGTGCGCAAGCGGCCAGCCGACTCGTCACAGAGGTCCACAAGAAGAGACATAATCAAGAGCAATAATAACTAGTAGGCCGAGGCACAAGAATAAAAAGAAGATGAGTGCGGCAGCTTGATGGAGCAGTACCTTGAGGGCAGGCCTGGTCAGCAGCAGGCGGTGCGCGCTCTGCGTGAAGAGACCAATGAGGAATGGGACGGCGGCTGCGGGCATGGACTCGTCCAGGATGGTCTCGCCCACAACTGCCAGCAGCTGCGCCTTGCAGGACACCTCCTGATCCTCGGCTGCAGCATCCCCAGCGATTCCCTTGCCGCCGATTGCGGCACTGGCACCCTTCTGAAGTGGTGGCCCAAGCAGCAGGACTTCCACCTCATAGAGCAGCCTTGCAGCACCCGCCAAGCCCTCCCCTGTCAAGAACTCTATCGCAGCCGCAAGCGCAGCCTCCCTGCATGTGCAACCAAGCCTTTGTTCACACAAGAAATGTGCATGCACCCTGACACATCTGCACGCCGCAGGAAATAGGCGGTGCTACTGCAGGGCATGCGGGCGCACCTGTTTCTTTGGTACTGCGACTGGAACTCCGGGTCCTCGTCTGCTGGGATCTCATTCACGTCACCATACTCCCCTGCTTCAAATTTTTTAATGTCGCCTGGCTTGTAGCGGCGGACAACCAGCTCGCGCACGATAGCGTTCAGGTTGTCCAGATGCTCTGCCATATTTGATAGGCCCTCCCATAGCCGTGCTTGTGCCTGCCATCCATCAGACTGTTTGGCAGCCCATACTGGTGGCCGGGAATTATAGTTACACCGTCCAGATAGCACATTGGGACACATGCAAACCGACAACAAGGGACGCAGATCCCTGATCTGTAAGCTGACAAGGTGGGCAAGGCAGTACCTGAGAGATGACTTGGGGCACATCGCCATCCAATGACCCTTGGCTCATGCGGGGGCTCTGCACAATCGGAAACACGTCAAAAGGGCCTGCAGAGACATGTGCATAATGCCATGAGATATGATCATTGGCACAACTTTGGTGCCAGCAGGTATCACCTTGAGCATGGGCAGCTCTTCCAGATCATCACTCCGCGCAGGGGTCGGCGCTTCTGAGTCGCTGTCGCTGTTGTCTGCAGCGCTGGAGCGCTGTGCCGGGCGCGGTGGTGTGGCTGCCGCCTGCCGCTTCTCACGGCGGTGAGACCACAACCGCAGCAGGTCAGCCGACGACGCCAGCTGAGCTGCAATATTGTCCTGCACAACAGCAAAATTCCTTTCTTTCCCATCTTCGATGCACTCCTTTCGATGCACTAAGTACAAACTGCCACATTTAGCCAGAACCAAGGACAGGAATGAAAACCTCAGCAGATATTCTGTGCTGGGGTTACTGTGCCGCCACTCTGCCATTGACTTGAATCTTTCGCCTGGGTGCAGTCGTTTTTGCCATGTAGATTGAACTGAACAGGAAACGCCAGAGACAGTCTTCGTGCCTGCTGCTTCAAAATATCCTCATAGGCTGAAGGGGGGATGACCGCCTTTTGCAGGCTCTGCAATGAGGCCGGCTCAGGAGGAGGCGCTGCCGCCTCAGACATCTGTGGCTTCGGTGGCTTCCCGAATTTGAGGGGATGCAGCTGCATGAGGACGCGCAGCGCCTCTGTGTTGCCAGCAATGAAGTTGGGGGTGCCCCCTGTAAGACACAACGTCTGGCTTCAGGGCTGTCACAACCATTCAGTTTTCCTGCATATCCCCCATGCCGAGCCGCCATGGCACAATCAAATCAAGCGAATGGTCAACTGTAAAAGGATGACACTGCCAGCTCTTGCATGGCTGAACTAAGCCAAGGCCTCTGACTTACAACAAGCACAATACCTGGGAGTGATTCAGGGGACAGGGGCGCCAGCAGCATGTAGATGTTGGAGAGCAGGGGGCAGCTGGTCTCATACAGGTGGGACAGCTCTGCCAGGTGGGCGCTGATGTCAGCACATGGCGTGATGGGCTCCAGCTGCTCCTGCACAGCCAGCATCCATGGCATGACACATAGCACTTGCAAACACCTTTCCTTCCGCTTCTTTTCACTCCCACAAACAGCTGTACAGCGCAGGTGAACTTTCACCTTGCCTTGCTGTAAAATGAGCTTCATACAATTAGGTTTTTCAGCATTTAGCAGCCATGCCTGGTAGTGGAAGTATCGCGAGAGGAATTCCTCCCACATCGGCAGCGCGGCTGCCCCATAGCCGACGCGCATGGCTGCCTCCTGCAGCTGCAGCGCCTCCTCTGCATTTCTATCCAGCGACAGCCCTGCCACAGCCAAAGTGCGCATCACATTTCACATCTTGTGACATATGACCGGACCCTTTGTTATTGCTGAACAAGCGCACACGCTGCAGGACAGAGCAAGCGTGCAACGGACAAGTTGTGGTCCTAGAGAAAAAAAGCTGAAGGCTAGGGGAAGAGGATAAAACGGAGGGGAGGACGCACCGGCTTCTTCCTCTGCCCTTTCATGCTGACTGCCCTTGGCAGCAGGAGGGCTGGCGCCTGTGTGCACTTCTGTCTCCTGTCCCCGGCCATGCCGTGTAGGACTCCCCTTGGGCTTCTTGGGCGAGCTGCTGCGGCTATTGGGCCTGGCCTCAGCAGATTTTTTCTGGTGCCGCACCGGCCCTGCCCCTGCCGCGCTGCTCAGCCAACAAGCCAGCAGCGGCAGCCACTGCGCCGTGACTGGATTTGCACTGTGCTGCTTCAACAGAGGCACCCACAGCTGCTGTGCCCCCTCCACCCCAATGGCTTCCGTGATTGCCTCCATGCACTCCTGCAAATCATGCACCAACGCCTGGGAGCATGCATATTTCTTCTCGATAGGCATCAAAACCTCCAGATGATTATTGTGGGGCAAATTGGGATGGAAAGGGATGGATTGGATATGCAGAGAAGTCCAGCTAGTACTTGTCGGTCTTCACAAGCCTACAAAAGTCAAGATTACAAGGCAGCGACAACAGCACTCACCTGGATGACAGGGGAGCCAGCACGGCCCCTGTCCGTGGTGCCGACGGGAGGCTCAGGGGTGGGCGGGGCGTGATAGTACAGCAATTGCACCAAATCGCTCATGAGAACCAATACTGGTGTTGGCAGCGTCCCTCGGGCCGAGGCGCAGGACAGCAGCACTAGCCACTTTGCTGCCAAGCCCAGCGCCTCGGGACCCGGAGACACGATTGAGCCCCTCTTTGGCGGGGTGTGCTCCCTCTGCCCAGGAGATGACCTCGGCGAAGCAGCCGGTGCTGCTAAAGGGGCCTTGCAGGGCAAAGCAACCCCGTAAGTGTGGCCCACAACCCCACAGCCATGCCAATGGACCACATCCCTGGTAGGATGTTCAATACTAGGCAAGAACTGTGTCGAAGGGTACACGAAGCAATGCAGATGAGCTTAGAACGTCCAAGCTTCACCTGCGGGTGGCTGGCGGCCTCGGCCGCAGCTATTCCATCATGGATGACGGTGTGCAGGGCCTCGCGGATAGGCCCAGATACATCACTAGCACTGTTCTGGACGGCGTCCATGAACATCATGGCCATACTCAGGAGCTTGGACCTGAAGCACATTGAGCCAGCTGCTGCCCATCAGACACATGGGGCCCCTTCGCACATGGCATTGCAAAGTTTGCTTGATTTATATCAAATTAAGCACTTTTGATATCATTACGCACCTGAAAAAGGGCTCCCCAATCAAGGTGGCCACATTGAAAAACCGCAATAAAATGCTTATGACGGCTTGCGGCTTGCTGATGTTGATCAGGTGCGCTGGCAGTGAGAAAATCTGCATGCCCTCCAGCATGGCATCTGCGTGACCTGCAGCCTGAGCAGTACAGACCTTCCGTCACCTTTAAGTACAGGGGAATTGAAAGGAAAGACAGCACAAACTCCAAAATGAATATGTAGAAGATCTTTGCAAAGGTGTCTGCTCTGACAAGTGCCCAAGCCAATGCCAATGTGCTCTTCTATCAGAAGACAGGTCATCACACCTGTGTCTTGTCTGTCCCAGCCCATCTCTCCAGCAGCCCGAGGGCCAGATGTGCACGAACCCAGGCCCACAACGCCAACACATCCTCTCTGGCAACCGGGGGCTCTGTCATGCACAGCATGTGCACCTCATTGGCGCCACCATCTGCATCCTCACCCTGCAGCACCGCACATGCTGCGGCTTCAAGGCTTTGACACATCCCAAGCCCAAGCGCTCAAAAACAGCTGGCGTGAGCAATGCAAACCCTGCAATGGAAATCTGTCCTTGCCTGAGTGTCATTGGCAGTGGTAGCTTCCTGTGGCAGCTGGGTCAATGTTGCACCCAAAGGTCCATCCAGCAGGCCCCACATCCAGGCACTGTAGATGCCGCTCGCAGTGGTGGGCTGCTCGTTGCCAAGCCCTTTGTACACCGCCAGCAAGGTCAACAACAGCCGCAGCCGCAGCGCCTGGGGGAGTAGCGGGGCTGCCTTCTCCCATTTGATGCTCTGCAAGACCTGCATCATTCGGCAACTACTTATACAATCTCTATTAGTAATCTGTGTCAGTTTATGACAGCACAGCGAGTGTAGAAACATTGGTAGAGCTACAGAGATTATCAAGGGTCTGGTAATGCAAAAGGGTGTCACCTGCGCTGCCAGGGCAGCTTTGGGATGTACGGCAGCTGGGCTGCTCCAGACCAGCTGGGCAACATTGAGGATGTCAGCGAGTGACATGTCCTGCCCCTTCATGCCCAGGGCTGCTGTGATTTCTGCCACAGTGCTCCCGCGGGCCAGGCAGAGCACGCACAGCAGCACCGCCCCATAGGCTGCTGCTGTCAAATCCGCATGCGATGCAGCCAGCTTCTCCAAAACCTGCACGTTTTTTCATTTTCAGATTGCCGAGTTACAGCTGTGGAGCCTTTCACAGGAAGTGTCAGCCCTAAAAAGGCAGGAGCAACAATCATGACAACAATTATGACAAGTCAACAAGAATCCTGGCAGAAGAACACCTTGGCTATCATAGTTGCCAAGTCTGCATCATCACTGCCAGCTTCCACATCTGTCTCTGCTTTCTGGCCAAGGCAGCTTGCCATGGCCAGAAGGTGCGGTATGACATTCTGTGTCATCTGCTCTGAGGTCAGAACATCGGCTGACTCCCACGGAAATTGAAGCAACAGCCTAATCTGTCCCTTCACCTCGTCACAATCACCTGCACGTTTTCAGGTATAATTTCGCAGCACTCATCAAAAAATATGCATTGCCTGCTTTATTTGGACTGATACAAGGTGAGTTACTTGGAGGCATGCAGGGACAGTACCTGCTGCTGTGCTTGGAAGGCTGCTTAAGCTTGACAGTGATGATCCTTTTACCAGGATTGGGAGCAAGTCTGGGATCTGGGCTGGCAAAGGTTGAAAGATGGCTGAAGCCCATTCAATCTGGCCCGCGTACCGCAGCAGAATCTCTAACAAGTTGGAGTCTGGCTTGCCTGCATGTCACAAGACTTCACATCAGACTGGAAGAGCGCTCAGGAATCGTGCAGGTGAGGCTTAGCAGCAAGATGTGCACGCACCCCCAACGGCCCTCTGGTATGTAGCTGCCACCAAGAACGAGAGATTGCGCAGGGTGGAGAAGGCCGAAGGGGAGCTGAGCAGCACTGGGGCTCCGGTCCCGGCTATGGAGGACAGGAGCCTGTCGAGCAACGCCAGCAGTGCAGCTGGATCCTGCATGGAGTCCTCCAGAACACTGCAACAAGCAGCAGCGTCTTTTAGATATTTACTTCAAGTCCTGATCAACACGCGATGCCCTCCAAGATGATGCTGCATGTGATTGATCTTCGCACATCATTTGCTTCAGGCATGGCATGGGTGTTGTTCAAACCTGCTGGATGCATGCAGCAGGCGCACTTCAGAGATCCCAACTCCCAAGGCAGCGGCTGCCACATCGCCCTCTGCTTTCATGTGCCACTGGGAAAGAGCTCCGCTGAGCACCTTCCGCTCTGCCTCCTCCAGGAATATTTTCTCATGGACACGCACAGACTTGGTCCGTAGCCCAAACTTCCCCCGAGCCTGTCAGCGCCACAGTGGAAGTCATTTATAAGGAGATAGAAGTGGTGAACATTACGTCTGATATAGCAACAGCTTTGCAAAGCACCTGTATTGTTCTGCCCTTCTCCTCCACCCAGCACACAGAGACAGCCTCTGCTACCTCCAACTCAAGGGGCCCACGGAGCTCCCCCACTACATGCATCACAAGGACGTCAAAGAACACGTTTTTATCACCCATAAGGGTACATATTCTCTGGCATGCACAAACATCTGACTGCCATCCAGATGTCTAGTAAACGCGCTCTACGCATACCTTCCTCATTATATCTCTGCGTTGCTGATGCAAGGCTTTCAGCAGATACAGAAGCACAATTTTGCACTGTGTCTGCCATATTGCAAAATCACCACAGAAGAGCCAGCCTGGTGGTCAAGGTGCTAGAGTTTGGCAATCCAGTGCCTTGCTACAGCCCTTGCCTGTGAATTGATCAACAGTCCCGTTGATAGCTTGCAAAAATGTTCCTTACAAGCTTTGATATTACAACAACAATCGGCACGAATTCTCTTGACATCAACTGTGGATGCTCAGCTGTACTGATGGTATGGTACTTGACCGGCTTGGCTGAGATCAGAGCCTCAGTCAAGATGCACATCTTCAACTCAAAACACCAGACCAACACGGATTTAAGAGCGTCAGCATCAGGATGTAACTGCTGAAACTTCATGACTCATCACTCACCCATGCAGGTCACATGCACTTGGGGGAATCAATTGACATCCTGTTCGTACTGATTTGTAGATTGTTGGTTAAAGCTATTATTGCTTTCTATGCGAACATTCACTAGGTGGATCCATGTGTTAAATGCAGCAGTGGCCTTCACTCTCGATGGACATGCCGTCATGGCCGATCGGCAACAAAACCCGATCAATGGTGCAAATCACTGTCGTAAACGTACGAAAGGATATCAGTTGAGAGTTCATTGGGAACATTGAATGGTACAGCATGTGCAATGCTTTTGTGCATTCCTTTTTGTGCAGCCTAGGCGTGCTGCCACCAGACCTAGACACCCTCACCTAAAGAATGCATCAGGTTCGGTCCACAACAATGTTTGATGTAGCTGGCATACAGACGTAGACACTTTGCTGCCTTAGCTGTCCAGCTTATATGGGTCTCCCTGACAGCAACTGAGGTGGGTGTGCAGGCGTTGGGCCCTTGAGGAGCATACGCATGGCAAGAATTGAGGATGTGGAAGCATTAGAAGAGCAGGCTAGGGCCATTGACTGGAATTTAGCGCAGCTCGAGGTGTGTCAATAGCTACGGTGAAAGTCTGAAGGGTGAAGGGCAACCCCTGTTGGTCTGCAATGGTTGAGTGGACTGGCTTGCAAAGGAGGAGCAAAGGAGGACAGCCTGTGACAACCCCAGGTTATGCACATTCCTTGTCAGCGAGGACAGTGGTGCCATGCAAGGATTTGCCATTGGGTGGCACGTAGCGGGCGAATTGCAGGTGCGCTGAGAGAGTAATCCTGACAGATGATCGGGGAAGATGAAAAGCAACACTAAGGTGATGGCGTTCTAAACCGTTAATGTACAACATGTTGGTGCCGGCCATTATGACTGCAGGTGATGGCCCTGGCTGTCAGTGCAAAAAGCAGACGAAGAGGCATTGGCCAACTGTTGTTACGGGAGCTGCTTGACATCTCTAGAAGGTCAGCTGACTTCAGTGCAACCCCAGATTCAAACTGCTTCAACATGCTAGCATGGCGGCTTGCAACTCTCAAATGTGCATGGATGTGGCAGGCAAGGGGACTTCATAGCTATGCTAGAGGTAAAGGCGAGCAACCACGGCGCTCTGTTGATGTATAGCAAGCTGGGCTTTGATGAGGTGGGCAGGCGCCCCAGATACTACTCTGATGGGGAGGATGCCCTGCTCTTACAGAAGCAACTGTGAAGGCGCTCACAGAATTTTGCACATTATTTGACTTCAATTCATACTGTAGGAAGTGTTCTTACTTGTGTAGCATATGGTCCAAGCGGACGTGCCGACCGAACGGAAGGGTAAAAGAGGTCCACCAGGATTGAATCTATGCCCACAATGTCCAAACTATTAATGAGGCTCCTTGGAGCTTTATGTCACTCTATTTACTGCCTGGCGTGTCAAGTTGGGTCCGGCAAGATGGCAACAAGGAGTGAGTGTCTTGTGTCTTGTGAACAAATAATAATCCTATGCAATCTCAGATTTTAGCAAGCCTTGCTTGCCACTGTTGAGTTGGTCAAGTGGTTACTGAGATAATAATTTAATCCAACGTGATGTCTCAGCGCGGCAGTTTGATGGCGTTGAGTTCTCTGTCCACCTGGAAGCCAGCGCTCATGAATGCGCTGCTCTCGAACAGCGCCTGCAGGCTCGTGATGTTGTACTCCCTGGCCCGCTCCTCCAGTGTCCTGTGGTCCGCACGTAGGCACTTGCTTGATGAGATCCTAGTCTCTTATCTTCACCTATCTGTGAATTGCTGTTGTTTGGAGATCCCTAGGGGCTCATTTTGCAACTCGATTTGCATTCGGGCAGGCCAATACAAGTGGGGGACAGATTTGCTCTTGTGCTCGTCTAGATTGGGCGGACTAGACTCAGGCCAGAGGAGCACAGGGAACTCAGGAATCCTCCTCGATGGGTTTGCAGGGAGGGGTGTAAAAGATCAGCTGTAATCTCTCCAAGCAGAGTCTGCCTTCTGCTGCAGCTGGTTGAATAATGAAGCGGCTGGCAAATATTTCTATGGCTGACTGTTGCTGGCGCACATGTATTGGTGGACACAAGAGGATGAGCGCACCCGATGGGGACGGAGACGAATGCTTCGGCGGCGGGCGGGGCGCCGTTCATGGCCTCGTAGCGCAGCTGCTCGCGCACGAGGCCCTGCAGCACGCTCAGCAGGAGCTCCTGGAAGTCGCGCTGGTGGCTGACAAAGCGCTTGAACTTGCGCTGCAGCGTCTTCTGCACGCTCAGCTTCTGCGTGCTGATGAAGCTCTCCAGCAGCACCCTGCACCCCCAGCACACTCGCTCAGCAAGCAAGTCTTCCCACCTGCTGCACCCTCACAGCTTCAAGAGAAACACAGCAACAATACTCATGCTAGGTTTTCAGATCGCACAGCTCAGTGCTCAGCATTAACGAGGCCCGGGTAGATCCACACGGGCAGGAGGTTGAATTTTTGGCGCAGCAGCGGCCAGTCAGACCCAGCATAGTAGGATCAGCAAAGCTGAGCACAAGATGCTGAAGGGCACGCCCCTTGCAGCCTGTAGGGCACAGGGGGGATGGGAGGTTAAGTTTGAGGAATGTGAGAACGGAAAGAACGCGGCGGACCTGATGGCAGTGTCGATGTCCTGCTCCTGCACGTACTCGCGCAGGTGCATGGCGGCGTGAGCCTCGCTCATGCGGATGATGGACTCCAGGTGGCGCACCGCTATCGGCATCCCCTGGCTCACCCCGCTCTCCCGCCGCAGCTCCGCATACACCTGCCATGCTCACACCCTCTCAGCGCTTTCCTTTATTCCCCCTATGGTTTCCTTCATTTCTCCCATGGTGCTCCTGGCGCTGAGGTCCAAGAGCTGCATCACATGACCTGACCAAGCTACATAGCATTCTTGTGATTACACCAAGAAACCTCTTCGGCGCTTGGCCTCATGTTCTAAACAGCGCTGAGGTCCAGTAGCTGCATCACACACCTGATCAAGGTGCTTTACATGCCAGAAATGGCAAGGCACGGTACTAGAGTGGGAGCAAGCTCGAGGAAAGTACTCCCAAATGAGGGGCCTTGAGCTGCGACAATAGCATGACCTGCGTTTGTTGGGGATAAGATGAGCACCTGGGCGATCTTGTCGTAGTCGGCGTTCTGCAGCTTGGGGTGGCAGTTCTGCTTGGCGTACGCAATGTACTTCTTCAGCGTCTCCTGCTCGATGATGTCCGGGTCCTGCTCGCTCGCCTGCGGCCGCGCGTCTGCCGCCGCACCTTCCGCCTCCCGAGCCTGCCGCCAACTCAAGCACTTTCAGCACTTCAAGTAGTACAAATTTTGCTCAATTCCTTGCGCACTTTGTTCCACAGGATTGTGAGCCACAGTGCAGAGCTCTGCAAGGGGAGCCTGGCATGCATATGTGGGACCAGGTACTCTCTATTTTCTTTCAACATCTTAGGTGATTAGGAGGCTGCATGTTCTCCTGTGAAGCTAAAAGAAAATGCAAAGATGAAGACAGAGCGAGTGCGAAAGAAGGTTGTCGGCCACCGTTGAGGGCCTGGCAACGGGAGCAAGGCATGTGTGTGGGGCCAAGAGGATTCAGCGCCTTCACCAAATGAAGGTTATTAGGGGAAAAAGGGGGCGTGCCTGGGCGTTGGGGTGGGATCGGCTGTGGGAGGACACCACAAAGTCGGCCAGCCTGCCGTCGGACACCGGGTCCACCACATCCTTGACCACGCACAGGATGTCAAACCTGCGCATGCAGCGCACCCCTCAGACACCTCACCACTTGAGCGCTGCGACATGACTATGCATGCTACAAGCCAGCTTTTGCTACTGTTGAGGATGAAAAGCATCTTCAATCCACTCAAGAAGGCAGTTGTAGTCGAGGTAGCATCCTGCACTGTGGCTTGATTATCATGCAGAGATGGGAGCAGCTTGGTCAAGCACTCTGTAGGAAGCTGCAGACCCGGTCAGAACAAGAGCGTTGCATCTTGACAGGGTGCTTGAATAGACATTAGGAGGTGATCTTCTCACCGGGACAGGATGGGGTCGGGGAGGGCGACGTTTTCGGCGAAGGTTCGGGAGGCGTCGTAGCGGCCGCCGTCCGGGTTGGCGGCCGCGATCACGGAGCAGCGCGCCTGCAGCGACGTCACGATGCCCGCCTTGGAGATGGAAATGCTCTGCTGCTCCATCGCCTGCGCAAGCATTGCCCACCACGCCACCTCAGTGCCATCTCAAAAGCAAGGCAGACCAGCACCACGCATAGCATTCAACCTCCATGCCGCGCTCAGTCAATCGGTATGACCAAGAATGCCAAGAAGACACATGACTGCAGCCAACTTGGGCATTGGTATTGCGCCTACTCAGAGGTGAGGCTGGTGACTCGGAGTCCAATTAACTTCAGTTGCATGCAAGGAGGGGAGCTCTGACAAGGGTCAAGCAGGGGACAAGCAGGAGACAAAAGGAGGGTTGTTACCTCGTGGATGGAGACGCGGTCCTGCTCGTTCATCTTGTCGAATTCGTCAATGAGGCAGATGCCCTTGTCGGCCAGCACCAGCGCGCCGCCCTCCAGCGTCCACTCGCGCGTCACCGGGTCCTTCTGCACCGCCGCCGTCAGCCCCACCGCACTCGCGCCCTTGCCTGCACACTCACACGCTCAAATCACGACTCGACCGTCCATCAATACATGACACCTTGTCCTGCCTTGTTAGGGCATGCACTGAAAAAAGACTATGGCTTGCCAATTGCTCTGCATCCCAGGCCCAATCTCTGTTTAGCAATGGCATGCAAAGACGAAAGGGAGGTTAAGTGGACAAAGAAAGGCCCAGGCTTGACTCCGCTCCCATGTATTGTTATAAGAATGCTGTAAGCAAACGTCAAGATGCTGTGGTACCCTTCCAGGGTCCAGTGGATTACAAATCCACAGAAATCGTTATATTGAATATTTAAATGAAGGCGTGGCGCACCGGTGGTGTAGACGGCGCGCTGCGAGACTTTCTCGACGTACTTGAGGAACTGGGATTTGGCGACGCCAGGGTCTCCCAGCAGCAGCACGTTGATGTCGCCACGCAGGCGGTGCGAGCCGGAGGGGTGCTTCTCCTGGCCGCCAAACAGCGCCAGTGCGATGGCCGTCTTGATGTTGCGGTGCCCGTAAATCGACGGCGCGATACTCTTGCAGATGCGCTCGGCTGCGCGGACACAACCCGGGGCATTTCAGACCACTTCTCCCCTTCCCATGCCTGCTGAATTTGTCTCTAATTTTCCTGATGATGATACACCTGGTTGCTGCTGGTGCCTGTACCAATTGCCAGGGTACAGAAGAGGTTCCAAGTTCAATGAAATATTCAGTCGTGGCTGCCGCCGCCTCCCGCCCTTTACACAACGATGCAATGCAGGGCGCCCTTGGACATGCTCACCCCCAAGAAACTAATCCCCATCCCATACTCAGTGATATTTGCATGGACGTGCATCAGTTTCCATACTGCCAGAAGCCAGGGCACACTTTGAATCAGGGCGCTCTGGGAGTGTGGTTAGCCCACTGGACCGGCCTTCTTGCACATCAGTCACAGCTCCATGCCATGGGGGGCGGGGTAGGGTGGGCCAGGGGGCGCGCACCGATGCGGGGGTCGCGCGCTAGGCGGTGCAGCTCCTGCTTGTCCTCGTCGGTGAGCTTGAAGGCGGCGAAGCGGTCCTCCTGCTTGTTGATGTAGTTGGCGTCGATCACCGTCGTGAACACCGGGAAGCCGTTCTTGATGTTGAGGCCCACGTCAAACGCGTTGGTGTACGTGCCTGCGCGCAGCGCCCATGCACAGTCAGCACCCTCATATCCCCATATTTGACAGGTTGCCGAGCTCTCCCATGACACTCTCAAACAGCATACAGCCAGAACAGGGTTCTCTCGCTGCCTTGTGTGGCATGGAGCAACCAAAGGACTTTTGAAGCAGAGCGGGCTAGGCTACAGCCTTGCGATTGTGTCATCAACTGGACTTCAAGGTGCCAGCTTGCCCTTCCATCACAAAAGCACATGATGAGAAAGCAGGGATCAAAGTTATGGTAATGTGGTGCAGTCAGGGTGTAGCAGGGGGCGCGCACCGACGAGGGTGATTTCTTCGCCGGGGCGGGCCTGGTCGATGAGGTCGTGGAGCAGGATGACGTCCTTGTGGCGCGGCAGGCGGCCGGCCTGCACCGACCCGGGCGACTCCTGCAGCGTGATCTTCTGGTAGTTGCGGTAGATCGTCTCCTGCACGTTCACCTGCATGCGGCACCACCCGTCCCTCTCAGACATTTGTGGATCCCTTGAATGTATCCCTTCGAGTAAAGCATAGCCAGAGCTTTACTCTTTCGCCATTGCAAAATTGTGACCTGCCGGCCGTGAAACACCCATGCGGATCTGCTGCCTTCGCATCATACTGTGCACCAGAAAGGGCCAAATAAAGTGGAAACAGGCAGCGGTACCATACGCACACTGAGGCCGCCTGAGAAGCTGTGGGGGCAATGTGGTGAGCAGGATGCGCACCGGGAAGGGCCCCTTGCCCTGGCACTGGGGGCACGAGTTGGGCTTGATCTCGGCCTCGCCCGTGTTCTGGAAGAAGGGCCCCAGGACGTAGCCGCAGCGGCCGCAGTCAAACTTGATGCGCTGCAGCTGCGGGAAGACCCCCGTGCGCCGTGTCACCACGCCCGCCGTGCACACCAGCTTGTTCAGGTGCGCCTGCCTGCGCAGCCCAGCCGACACCTCCAGGTCAGTTGTTTGTCATTTGCGCCTGTGTTTGCATTCCTGCCACGCAGATTTTAGTGGCACTTATAAAAGAACTCCCATTCCTGCTCATATGTTCTAGGCAGGCTATCACTCGTTTGTAATTCCCGCAATGCCCTGTTTCCTCTTCCCATCCCCCTCTGGGTTGTTGTCGTCACTCCCAGACCCAACTCATGCCGAATCACAACCTAATGTCCACAACAGCAGCTGGACTGCCAGTAAGAATTGGCGTAGCCGCCAGCTCATCTGCTCCTATGGCAGGCAACCTCCTGTGCTAGCAATCCTGCCTATGCCAGCATAAAACACGGCCAGTAGCTTAAATAGCTGGGAGCAAGGAAAAGGTGAGGAGGTGGCGCGCCTGAGGTTGCGGATGGACTCGACGAAGGAGAGCTCGGGGAAGCGCACAAAGACGTCCTGGTGGATGTTGCCAAACTCCGGGAAGTCCTCCAGGACGACCTCCTTGGCGGTCGCATGCAGGATGTCCAGGACCACCTTGGGGGCGTCCACCACCGCCATCGCCAGCTTCACGCTCCAGCTCACCAGGTGCCGCCAGTCCACCTCCAGGCTCTGCTTGTTGCCTGCCGGATTAACCCGTCCACGCATCAGCACTCTATTGGAGTTGATGCACTATTGACAGCAAGTCGCAGTGCTCCAGTACGCCAAGTCTTATTGTGTGAATTATTGCCCCACGTAGAGGTCAAACTTTGGGTCCTCTGGAGTACAAGCACTCGCTGGCATGCGACCTTAGCCCTCTGCGACGAAGCAAATGAGTGCCCAAACAGAGTTGTTCCAGGATATTTCTTTGGTGCAGTGGGTCATGGAGACAAGCCATTATGGGGTGCATGTTTGGGGCGGATTGGGCGGGCGGGGCGCGCACTGGTGCACATGTCGCGCATGCGCTGCTTGTAGAGCAGCTCGCCGGTGGTCTCGTCGGCAAAGTCGCGCAGGAACTTGCGGAAGATGTACCCGATCTCGCGCTGGATCGCCTCCTGCTGCACCCAGATGCGCGCCGGGCCCGTCTGTGCGTCCAAGTCCAGGCGGATTTCCGGCTGCACATCGCATGCAATCTTATATTTCAATCTAAAGTTATCATCCAGCCACACTTTGTGAGCACGTATGCGAGGTGGTCAAACAGTGCTCATGGGACGGGGATCATTGCAGTGGTGGTGCATAATGTGCGCTTGGAAGATCTTTGGCGCTCGCTCTTCCATGATGTCTGTGTTTCTTTTTCTCCGCATCAGCAGCTGCGCTTTCAAGCCCTTCTGAGCGGGTTCAGTGTAGAGTCAGGGTGCAGCTGCAGGCTAGCTAGGAAGAGGGAAGTTGAATGTTGAGAGCAGTAAGGCAGAAGGAGGGTCAGGGGGTGAGCAAGGTGCAGCACCAGGGGCTCCATGTTCTCATCGAAGCCACCCGCCTGGGCTTCCTCCATGATGCGCCTGCGCTGCGTCGGCCGCCTGTCCTCCTCCTCTACATCATCTGCAGCACCACGAAAGTCCGCTTTAAGTCCCTAAGAGGCCATCTGGACTACCACAAACAGCCTCCATGACAACAACAGTTTTCTGCGTGAGAGAATTTGAGAGCAACAGGCTCAGCGTAGTTTAATGGGCGCACTGAAAAGGTGTCAGGCAGAGTGGGAAGTAGAGGCTGACCTTCCAGGAGGGCGCCAGGCAGGCGCTGGCGCCGTCTGCCCTCAGCCCGATCCATGGCCCGCTCAGCACGCAGCCGCGCCTCCTCCCTCTCCTCGAAGGTCTCCCCCGCAACATCGTCATCGATGTCGCGGTCGTCGTAGCGATCCAAAGCAGGCATGGCCCGGTAGTCCCTGGTGGGATGGACAAGGGAATATTGAGATGGAGCTCCTGATTGTATCTGCTGCCATATTGACACTGGGTGCTGTGTAGAATGATCTTCCTGGTCCTTTGAAAGAGGCACTTGTCCGAAAAGATCAATCTCCTCGCGATTGTATAGGTGACATCTTGAAATACAGTATGTAGGACCCAAATGGATTTGCATGTCTTATTAATGGGCTGATTGACAATTTGTCTTGGCCAGGTGCACGAGTGTGCATACCCTTCCATGTTTTCGAGGAGGTCTTCTCCATCATCCTCCTCAAGCTCTTCGTCATCTCCACGATTCTGCACAACCTCATCGTCGGAGTCCTCCGCGTCTGTGTGTATTCTGGAATCTTCATCGGCAGCATCTCCCCGAGGAGCTTCCTCGCCAGGAAGTGGAGCGTCATCCTGTGATCGCAAGGCAACAATGTCCATTAGTCCTTGTTGCCGCCAAAAGATGTTTCAACTGTTAAGCAAGCACATCCCCACCACGCACCATTGCGATGGAAATTAGTCGTTATATAAATTTTTTTCCTCTTATGAAGGTGCACAGAATCAACTTTTCGAAGCATGAAGTGAACAGAGGACAGAAATCTTCCAAGGAAGCCTTTGGCAAGGAACGCCACATGCATGAGACAATTGGCATTGCTGACATCAGCACATTTCAGATGACCCTGCCTCTGGGATCTCCAACTTGAGAGCAAAAGGGGGAACTAATTGCATATAAAAATGACGTTGTAGATAAGTGAGCATTGGACTTTCCAGATCAAGCAAGTCGTGTGAGAAGATGACCAAGGTGCCCGTGCAGTTGTCCAGTGTCCCAGATTGCCTTCGATTGCCCCCATTTGCCGTCTCAAGCGCTTCAAGAAAAAGGTATTTGCTAGAACTCTTTGTTTTAGGCTCATTTTCCATCCTTCTGCCAATTCCATTCTTTTATTGGGACCAAACAAAGGACCCATTTTTTTCCAGGTGGAGCCCAATAACGCGATGTCAAAGAGAAAGAGCCCAAGAGGGCAGCACTCAACATGATAAATGTGAGAGAGGGACTGCTGATGTGAAGCATCCATCTAGGTGCGCGTTCGAAGCAGCTGCGCAGAAGAAGGCAATATGAAGGCAACCTAGATGTATATCAGCCAACAATCCTTAGTCAGCCGACAAATTATGACTCGCAGGCGGTCCCAGCTATTGTCTGTTGCTGCTGGGGCAGCGCTCTTGGCTGTGCCAGATGCTGCGCATGCAATAGTAAAGGGCTTTGAGCCTATGGCTGCGATCAAAGGGAAGGACTATGGGAAACAACGACAGAGGTGATGCCTATATTGCTGCCAGCAGGACATGTCTGCGTTTCTCATCATGCTGATGCCTGCTGTTGATGGAACCATAAAACAGGCATGCTGTTGACCTGGGCGTGACTCTCGGAGTGCTGAATGTGCAGCTATTCAGACTACACCCGCACAGAGTCAGGTCTCCAGTATCAGGATCTCAGAGAAGGCACTGGGAAAGGTGCAAAACCAGGAGCGCAGGTCACAGTGGATTGGGACGGGTACACCATAGGTGCAGAGCATCCGCATACTATTTTGCAGCTCAACAGCACCATTTCTGTCCGATACAGCTTTTCCAGATCACAACAATATTGCCATCCGGCTCAAATACCTGCTTTGCCTGACAGGGTACTATGGCAGGCCCTTTGAAGCCCGGAACAAGGTGATGAGCCCTGTTTTCTTTCTCTTCAATGGACATAAGTTTGTCATTCCCGTGTCTCAAATATACAAAAGCACCAGGGGCTGACGATGATGGTTTCTAGTATTCAAGGGTGCGCATAGTGTATCTGACAGGCCAAAGGAGGCTCGTTTGCCAAGGACAAGGACTTCTTCCGGTTCACGCTGGGGAGAGGGGAGGTCATTCCAGCCTTTGAGGAGGCGGTGCTGTCCATGAAGGAAGGGGGAATCCGGCGCATAGTGGTGCCCGTGGAGCTGGGCTACCCAGACTTTGACATGAACAAATTGGGGCCCTCCCCCACCACCTTCTCTGTGAGCCTCCGCCAAACAACTGTGTTCCTGCTGAACAATGTGGTCACCCGCTTGTAACATTTTTGCAGCCCTCCCTCCCTTCTTGGCGCTCGCTCTGCCTGGTATGTAATGCACTCTACCTCGACTTTATTTTGGTATCATGTGAGGCAGGACGAGTTCTGGTGTCTAGGGCCATGCAGCGCTCAGAGTGATTGGTCTGTATCATTAGAACTGGGGAATGTGATTGCGTTTGAGCGTGATGTGTGTGTGTGCAGGGGCAGCGAGCGTTGGACTTTGTGTTGCGGAACCAGGGCCTCATCGACAAAACTTTGCTGTTTGACATTGAACTTGTCAAGGTATCGTGAGTGTGCAGCTGCCTCAGCTACGTAGGTATACCTTGGCTATGGGAAGGGGCGTAGGTGAGGCATACAAACCATGAGGGCATACATCAAAATGAGATGCGTTGCACTGGACAAATGGATATCGTGCATGTATCAGGCATGATTACCCTCGTGCCTGGATTGAGTGTGCAAAATTTTTTCTGTGTCATCGGCCGCAGCACATTGGTACCAGCAGCTTGCTCGGACACTTTTTACAGCAATACAGTTCAGGTAGTCAATAATCTTGCATGCAGACACTTTGCCAAAGCACCCATGCTGATTGCATGTGCGCTGGAAGCTGAGGCCTTCTTCTATTCATTTGGAACAACCTCACATGGGCCTGTAGCCTAGTTTGTTCAAATGTAAAACAGCGCATCCCATCTTGAACATGTCTGAGGCTATAGCTAAGACACAGGAAACCACCATAACACAGGAAACCACTTCCTTGCCAGCACTAGGACCTTGCATGCAGTTGCTCTCTGCAAGTCCCTCGTCATTGTGGTTGTGGTCAAAATTTGTTTGTCAAATCCAGCGCCAGGTGCATCAGTGCTCGACTCAATTGTCAGAGCAGATCTCAAATGCCTGAGAAAAAGCAGGCCGGAAAATTAGACATTGCATCACTCCTTTTGTCTCTGGCTACCTCACTCTGAGTCAACTCATATATGTGACAGGTTTCCCTCTCTCACTGGAGCCATATATTGGGCACTTCCTCACAATCAAATGTACCTGGACTTGCGAGAACGGCTTATTGAAGAACGTCACTCTGCAGAGTTTTCTTGCTCATGCATCTACTCAGCTCACTTGTTTGCTGCACACCAAGCCTTGGCAATCCTCCCTAATCTGCCCCAGCCGTGCTACGCGATAAAGGGGCGATGATCCAAGCAGAGCAGTCTTTCAGGATCACACTGAGGCATGCATTGTGCATTTCACTGCCTGCTTCACTCCCAGGATGTAGCCCCGGACATGGTCTGTCAGAGAGCCAGTGTACCATTCTGGGCGCTCCCCTTTGAAGGCCACATACTTCCCTGGCAGGCTCTCGCCCTTCCTGTCCAGGTAGATTGGCATGCCCACATGCTGGTACTTCAGAAGCCTGCACCACGCTGCAACCTCAGCCCAGGCATCAATATCAAGTGCACTTCAAGCTTACCTCCTCAGCACATGCACTGTAAGCTGCAACAAGATTTGATTTTAAAAATTGAGCCAGCCCTCACTTGAATTCAATCACTTGTTGCTTTAATAAACAGTGTACTGTTTAACAGCAGTGCACCATCTTTTTCGTCAGGCCCTTCTCTCGAGAGATATACAAGAGAAGCTACAGTGCAGCTGCTCACCCAAAGCTCTTGAGGGGGAGCGAGGGGACGATGTCCTTGTTGTTGACCAGTCGGTAGTTGTAGTGCACGTTGGCGTCATACCACGCGGCCGCTGCCGGATTGAACACCCGAGGCGACCCAGCCGTCACCACCTGAACCTTCGCCTGCACACAACGCACACAAAGTTCTTTCCATTCCAAGAGCGCTTGTCATTGCAAGTCTGCAGCCCACATGCACACATGCTCGCGATACAGTGTAATGAAAGAAGTGTCAGTAGAGGAAGATTGATGGTGAAGAAGACTCACATTGGGGAAGGTCGCCTGAGCCCAGGGCCCACAGAGGGTAGCCAGCGCTGCCCCAAGACTGAACCCGCTGCAGAGCACCCTGCACCCGAGCATGGTTGACTAATGTCAGCAAGGCTGTCAGTCAAAAGCTTGTACTGAAACAGGCTGAGGAGTGCTCCCATGACGTGGGCTCTTTACTTGGAGAGAGACAATCGTTTGCATGTCAGATTGGTATGTGGACGCACGATGTGACTTCCTCTGCAGCCACTCCGGTCCTGCTGGTCCAGGCTGCAGCGATGTCATACTTGGGGTCACTCGTATTGGTCACTGAGTGGAACGCCCTCAAGAACCCCCGGTGTGCCTGTCGCATCAACCACCCCATAAGGTCATCTGTGAATGCTGGGTGCAAGAACGCGTGGATGCCAGACAGGGATAATTGTATTTGCATCAAGAACCCCTGAGATCAGGGTAACCTTCCTGGATGTCTGCAACCATTCACTCATTCATTTGGGCTTCATCACTCCCGTTAACCATGGTGAGAGGAAGTCACTTTGCAGGCAACAGCAGGGGCAACAGCAGGCCAGAGCGCACACCATGCATCCGTTGCACTGGGCTGTCAGCATGTCGTTGCCAGGCTTGTACGCCGTCTGCAGCAGGTCCGAGTCGGTGGACCACATGCAGGGATTCAACAGCTCTGTTGCAAAGAAGAAGAATGCTGCCTGTGTCCTCGGGGCCGGAGCCTTGAAGTCCACCACAAACACCTGCAGCAGAAGGGAATTGTCACCAATTTTACCATGCCCACTATCCAGATCTGCAGCAAGCAAGAAACAAGAGATAATAAGCAACTTGCATTGAACGAGCAGTGAGCAATAAGCAGTGAGCAATAAGCAATCAGCAATCAGCAATGAGCGATGAGCCGATGAGGAAAAAAGCAAGAAGCAAGAAGAGGCAGTCAGAGTGCATCGGAAGCGAGGGGCTGGCACCTTGGTGTCAGCGCCGATGGGCTTGGGCAGCCGCGCGTTGCCTGATAGCAGGGAGGGTATGCTGTTGATGTACTCTCCAAAGCTGGGCATCTGCTGGTTCTCCACAAACTCTACATTGTTGATCACTCCCCCTCCCACTGCTGGGTACGTGTACCCATCCACCAGCTTCAGAAACCTCTGCACACATCAATACATTGAGCCTTGGTAACCTCACAAAGTTGCCCTGGAGTGTGAAGGCAAGGAAGCAGGCGCCTGGCTATCGAGCAGTTTCCCATGAAGGATGGAGCTGCAAAGGCAGCTTGTTGGTTTTCGGTGCTTGCCCTCCATCGAGGAGTTCTGGATTTAGGATTGCATGGGTTTCCATCCAGAAGTTCTTGGAGTGCCTGACTCACATCTATCTTGCCGCCCATGACATTGTTTGTGGCGATGTTCATGACCAGGACGGGGTAGAGCTCTCTGAGCAGAGCCTTCAGGTCTGTATCCGTCCCTCTTGAGCGGTCCGGACATTGACCTGATGAGATCTGCACGCAGTAATCAACCCATAATGAGTACAAGTCACAAGAGATATTCAAATTATCAGGATCCTTGTACAATTTTTGTTGCACAGCAGTGACATTTTTTGCATGCTGGTGCATGGCTTACCACTGCTGGCTCCAGGAGATTGTACAGAAAGCTGGACTGTCCATAGATGTCTATTTCGCTGCTTGTTGCAGTGTCGCCACATTGGTAGTTCAGCTCATCCAATATCTCCAGTGGTGTGTCGTCTTGTTTGCTCCATTCCGCTTCTGTGAGATGCCGGCAGGAGTCGCCGATGCTCTGCAGTGCAAATAGGATGGTTCAGAAGGATCAGCCCAGAATGTGTGTATGGTGAGGGAGTGCAAGTGGCGCTATGGCAAATTTCTTGCAGTCAACGAAAGCGTGTAACTCACCGTTTCCTCATTAAACGTCTGACCGTGGGCGAACGTCAGAAGGAAAAGCACACCCCAGAAGGCAGTGGCTTTCGGCATGTGGAGAACTTGGGAGTTTGGACAGCAGCGCTCGTGATCTGAAATGTCCAAGCCCCCTTCCTACCTGCAGCCTGTAACATGGCGATTCCATTGGTCATATCTCTGTTTTTGAGCATTGTGGATTGAGATGCTTTCCACCCAGAGTAGTGTACGTCGGATGACGCACCGAGAACTATGACCGATACTACAACTCTATTGACTACACGCCTGTTGGGACATGTACATACGCTGTATCTCATTTCCAAACAACGAAAATTCTACTTGCTGTCAAAGAAGACTTCATGTCCCTTTTTATGAATAGGAGCATTGCCATGTCGCAGTCATAGTAGAGTGATCGCCTCACAGAACACGGTTACGACGCACGCAAGGGGGGATCACCTTGAAGTTGTCACATTTCAAGATGTAAATGCATCCCAATCATTGCACGAAGCCCTGCGAGCGATCGGCAGCAGATCTCCCACGCCACACCCGAGACTCTCCGACTCTATTACTTAGCAGCGAAGGTGGGAGCCGGAACAGGCCTCACCAACAAGAGACTGTCGTGAGGGATGCTGCTTCGAGTCTTTTGTGCGCAGGGCCGCTTGTGATGGTGAATTTGGCCATGATGTTCGTCCATTTTCTTCCTTCAGGCGTTCCGAGAGTATTTCTTGGTTGCCTGCCCTTCGTCGGGCAGGTGCCGGATCTGTCCCAATCGATGACTGTGCACAGTTCCGTGATTCTAGATTCACGCGCGACGGTTTAAAGAGAGGTGCAAAAGGTGTAAGATTTCGTTTGGGTAGGGCCTCTTATACATCGTCTGGGCGTGGCAGGAGCGTGGCTGAACCCTGCCAACCAGTTTCAAATATTGAGCATCTCCTTCACATTCTGGCTGCCAATTTTCTGCGAACAGCTGGCCTATGACTTGTCATCACTCCAGATCTTCCTATCACAGAATTAGGTGAGCTCTTATGTCCCCTCTACCATGCAAGAACCATACAATTTGAAATGTAACTGTAACTGACGTGGAATGCGCAAAACAGGGTGACACTATTGAAAAGTGCAGAGCTAAGAGGTTCACTGGCATGCAGATCTACTGCAATATAGCCATATATTTGTAGCATGATCGCCCAGGACCGTGGGATTGCATAGCAAATCGGGGTGCTGGTCCACTGTTTGTTTGTTGTTGAGAGTGAAGTTTGTCTCAACAGCGTCATGGCCAGGAATGCTCTAGGGCGATGCAGAGGGGAGTCTGAATGAGGTCTGCTAGGCGTTGCAGCTACGCGCTGTGCTATCTGAAGCACTTTTGCTGGGGCACATCTCTTTCAGGCTCACAGTTTGTGTGTGACAATGTGCAGGGCCGGAAGTATTGAGGAGCTAGATTGAGGATTCAGGTCCCTCCCCAGCCACAGAGGACTCGCACTGAAGGGTGGCTGGGGGGCTCTTGGACTTTTGTGACAGAAGGCAGCACCCCCTCAGCAGAATCATGGTCATGATGCATGCTCCTGTATCGCTGAGCTGCAGCAGCGCTCTCAAGGCCTGCTTGGAATCCAGGTCAGCTTGGCCCTCACACAAGACAAGCTAAGCGTGAGCAGGGTGAACAACATGGTGCAATTGCCTCAATCCCTGGACAATGCCGGTGAGTCCAACAGAGTGTGAACAGGAATATGATTAGCTGCTCATCACGGGAATTTGGTGCTGTGCAGCATGGCAGCAAAACTGAGTGAGACGGTGGCAGTGGCCGCGCATGCCTGCCGGGACTCGCTGCTGCGAGCAGAGACCCTCATCCAGCTGGGGCTCATACCTAAGCCCCACTCGCATACCCAGCGCGTGCCTCACATCCGGCAAGTGTTCAACTGGTGCGCACACCTGCGTTATTTCCCTGCCGTCCCACAGGTCCCCAATTTCCTTTACCACAGCTGACTGGGTCCTTCCAAGGAGAACAAAAAGTTGAATGGTGTCTGCTGTGCATTGCAGGGATTGCGGGCTGGCGTGCGTTCTCATGGTGCTCAGAGCGGCAGGGATCCACAGCGAGGACTTCAGCTCCCTTCGCAACCTCTGCTCTATCACCAGGTGCTACTGCTACGCTGACTTGAACCTTCATCTGCTTTTGCAAAGCTGCCCTTGTGGCACCTAGCCCGGCTGTCTGCTGGGGGGTTTGAATAAGATGTGTAATCCTCAGGACCCTAAGGCAGCAGATGACCTCTTGAGTGGGGCAAGCTATTACATAACCTGCAAAGCAGGGATGCTGGGGACATTCCTGACTCGGTCTATAGGGTACTCAGTCATTTTCACATCAGAAAGACAAGAGACGGGGAGAAGATAAAGAGAGAGCATGAAAACTCCAAAACTAACTCACTCTCCTCACTTGTGCAGCATTTGGACTGTGGACTTGGCGTACCTGCTGCGGCGCTTTGGGCTGGAGGTGGAGTTCACAACGATCACCATCGGCGCCAATCCGGAGTACGCCAAGGAATCCTTCTACAGGGAGCACATGGCCGAGGATGGCTCGCGCGTGGAGCGCCTGTTTCAGGTATTTATCGACGCCATGCACCCTTCAAAACATGATACAATAGTGCCTGGAGCGAGAGTTGAATTGTGGAGGGCAAGTGGGTCTTTTCTTTTGGCTCAAAGTGAGGGGTTGACAGAGTACATATGGGTGCAGGCTGCATGGGAACCATGAGTCTGAGGGGGATCTACGTTTTGTCTCTGTGCAGGAGGCGGCAGCGGCAGGGATCACGGTGACGCGCAGGAGCGTGAGCTGTGCGGAGCTGAAGGAGCGCATGCTGGCTGGCAGCGCACTTGTCATTGCTCTCGTGGACAAGACGCGTCTTGCAGGCCACTCCGTGCCGGCCATGCAAGCACCTCCCATCAGCCCCGGCCTTGCCTCCCGCCTGGGATTGGCGCCGTCATACACAGGTGCACCTGCATCCTCGAGCTGCCCAGGACTGCCTCACGCTCTGTTTCCCCTAGCAGCTAGATTGTGTCGAGAAGTCCTCTTGGCCTTGCTTAGTAAAAAAATCAGTTTGGAAAATCTCCGACATGATCTGAGCCGTCTCGCGCGCGGCTGCGGCAGGGCACTACATCGTGATCTGCGGCTACGACCCTGCGACGGACCGCTTCGTGATCAAGGACCCGGCCAGCGCGGCTGAGATGAACAGCGTCCCCTGTGCCAGCCTGGAGGCCGCGCGACACGCCTACGGCACCGACGAGGACCTGCTGCTTGTCACTGCGCCCTCGAGCCCATCCCTCAGCTCGTCTGTGGTCAATTTCTGAGCCTCTCGGCTGCTCAGGATGGCCGCACACGCCTGTACAATAACTGCGGCTGCAAGGGCCATCTTGCCGACCATGTGGGCGCGAATGGGGCAAGATTTTGGGACCTACTTTTTGTCTTCTGCCATGTTGCCCCTGCAGAGTGGCACCTGCGGTCTAACGCGAATAAACAGATGACTATGCAAGACTTGTGTTGCTGCTTGAACCCCCTGTGGTGGGTTGCACCCTGGACCCTTTGACTGGGTGTGTTCTGGTGCCGCATGGGTTCAAGAATATGGGTAAGCTGTGCTCTGCTTCTGTGCCTGCAGTCTGCCATGCTTGCCTGATGGCAAATGACACTTTGCTTCTCAGCAATGCATGGTAGCGCCTGCGAGGCGCAGCAAGCAACCTTTTTGGAAGCAGCCTGGATTGCTTTGATCGAGGCGACTCAGGCGGCAATTGAATTTTGTTCACGGCCTCAAGAGTACGATACTGTGGACAATGCAACTGAATAAGTGTGAGCTGGGAAGGTGCTTCTTTTTGTGCTGCCTCTTTGTGTACCGATACTGAGCTGTCTGTTGTCCCACTGCGTGACAGTTTCTGTTGCGCAAGCCAAGACTACTAGGCAGAGCAGCTTTGTAGAGCAAATGCATACTGTGGACTCCACAGCTGGCAAGTCAAGAACTGCCACAACTGTCCAATGCTTGGAACTCTGTGGCAGCCATGCAAGCAAGAAAATGGATAATTATAGGCAAGACAATTCAAGTGAAATTGTCTCGCCTGTAATCATGTGCATGTAGGCCTGGGCTTGGCTTTGGATATCAATATCTGCAAAGCCCTGAGCAGCATACTATATAGAATATATCCAGTGCATTCAATGCCAAGCTGGCTGCAAGCCAAAACGCCGCCGGCACTTTCCCAGCAATGCTGCCGGCCTGGCGGTCAAGTGCATTGCGCAGTGCATGCTGGCCACATCGCAGCGCTTTGCCAACTTGGAAGGCAACTTGAAGGCACTTGCACCGGTTGCGGCTGCACTGCACTGGCAATTCTGTGACTGCCAGTGCGGATTTAACCAAGCAAGTTGCCAATACCGTACTGTGACAGTGTATGTACTATAGTAGCTACATAGCACGTATACATGTGTACAAAATATTGTATTTTTAACATTTCTACCAGGTTTGCAGAGATGGCATGCCCATCCTGGCAGCATTGCTCAAGGCACCTTGCAAACGGAATCTCCAGGGCGAAGACCATTATGCATGTCGGCCAGTTCACAGGTTTTACTGCGGCATGGGAGCACCTTGAAGCTGATCTCAAGAGGAGCCAAGATTGGCGTGCGTCCACGTCACTCCCCGAAGATAGGCGATCCTGAATGCCCCGAGCTCTGGCGTGAGGCACCCTATTCATGCAAATCTGACAGCACCGATCGGAGACACGATTACATAGTGCTCACCTGTGCGAATATTAGAGCTTGCGGAGCGAAAAAGCAGCAAGCGACATCATGGCCTCAGCTTTAACGGCCTCACTTGTCAGGGCTCCTTTCACAATATGTAAGGGAGAGGCAGGGCCAAAACCATGCTCACAGGCGCAGAGATTGGCATCCGTGCCTGCCATTGCCCGGATGCGCACAGCCAGCACCTCAAATGTGCAGCTGAAGGCTTCACACAGGAGGGGATTAGCTGTCTATGCACAGGAGGGCACCTCAACAGAGACAGCACAGGGTGCGGGTGCTGCTGTCAGCGACGTATATGTCGTATATGTCCCTTTTTGGCCACAATAAATCATTTCATTTGTGCAAACATCAAGCACCTCTCGTGACCAAGTCTCCTGATCCCAAGCATGTGTTTCGCTGCAGCTGGACCAGTGACAGACAGCACTTTCAAAGATCTGGTACTGTCGAGCACGGTTCCGGTGCTGGTGGACTTTTGGGCACCGTGGTGCGGTCCATGCCGCATGATCGCTCCCCTTATCGATGAAATCGCAGTGGAGTATGGAGACAAGGTCAAAGCTGTAAGTCTTCCGAGCGAATTTCTTCTGCCTATGATTCCAATGAAAATTTATCTTTTTAGTGGTCCTTGTAGCTTAACTTTGTTCGCAATTTCAAACTGCGTGACTGAGACTTTTGACCCTGAGTTGGGAATGCCCCTGCATCTGTCTTAAGAACTCGTCCATGCCCAGCATCGAAGCCATTACCTCCTTCGATATTAGTTTAAATTAATTATGCAGCTGGATCGACAGAGCGCTGATTTGGCGTCTTCTCCTGTTGCGCAGTTCAAGCTGAACACGGACGAGAGCCCAGGAGTGGCAACAGAGTACGGCATCCGCAGCATCCCCACAGTCATGATCTTCAAGAACGGCGAGAAGATGGACACAGTCATCGGCGCTGTCCCAAAGACAACCCTTGTTCAGACGTTGGAAAAGTATCTTGATTAGAGGGTGCTGTGAGAGGTGTGCGCATGCAGCAAAGCTTCATCACTTATGGAGTGGGCCAGCAATGCACATGTACCAAAAGGGTGCTGAGAAGACATGATGATGCGGCAGAATAGGCAGGACTTTGTGCAGCAGTAAGTGTTTATTGCTATTCTTTCTCCAGTGTCGTGCCGGGTTGATAGAGTCTATCGAGGTACACGGAGATGCTACATATCTTTGTGCTAATCATAATTACTGCAGTCAGCTGAGCAAGAACTTGTAATTCCGGATTTGTGAGTTCCGTACTTCAGGTTGCGGTCAGCTGCTCCACCAAAAATGCTTCAAAGCTTATCTCAAAAGCAGGGGTACCCATGGTTGAGCCAGAAATGGGGAGACAAGCAGCCTAATCAAGAGTCTGGTGGCTTGTTTCATATGATATGCATAGAAGCGTTTGGATCTGCAGCTGCAGCCGTTCAAACGTCTCGCAATACAGCCTGATATGCTGTGATTTTTTTACATTCCAAGCCTTGGAACTCGAGCACCTCTTGGATGAGTGGATACATCTATTACAGTTAACGCCGGTAATGCCGGTAACCCCGATAGATTCTGCTAGCAGCGCAATGCGCAATCTGTCAGCTGCATCCTTAAAACCTTTGAGTTGTATGCGCTTTTTATCTAGCTGATTACAAACCAGCCAAAGTCAAAGCAGAAGAGAATCTCCTTCTCAGGCATCATGCAGCCTGCGGTCCTCGGCTGATCCTTTGATCTTAGAGAAGCCTGCAAAACCTTTCACAGCAAATCCTTGTTCGTCCAGTCCCTGCAACGCAGCACCCATGTGTCACCCGCCAAGGAGCACAGGAGCTGAAACTTTATGACAGTGGGCGGCAGCGGCAGGGTCAGGATTAATCACAAGGGTGTCAGGGCATCACTTGGTGAGGTCATTCAGGTGGTCATCAAAATCGCTGATTTGGGAGTGCTTTCCCTGCAACAGCATCTCCATGTACAGGTCTGCCAGCCCACCGCTGTCAGCTTTCAGCCTGTTTGCAGCACTTCTGACCCAGCCGCGCCCGTCCTTAACCCATAGCTGCATCAAAATTATACTCTTTATCAGCTCATGATCCCCCGTCGATGCTGCGCAGCCTGAAAGCATGATGTGCGCAGATCTTGCTGAAACAGGAACTACTGTCACCTGAAGGATGTCTGTGGAGTTGTGCTCGGCAAGCCCTGACAATTTGCCATTGTCAAGCTGCGTGGACACATGCACAGCCTTCAGTGCACAGTGCAGGAGAGGGTGATGTTCTGAATACTGAGAGAGGCCATTTCTGTCTGATCCCTTGGTGGGCTCAAAGGCATGATCTGACGTTCAGGAATGTTACCAGCAGTGTTACAGCCTGAGGTATCCGTTGCTGTATTCTGTCAGCAATCTTCCTTGCTGCGGGCTTCAGATCGAGTTCATTCAGCCGCTCATTTGCATGATAGTACCCCACCACCTTGACCTTGCCGTCTGCTCTACAGAAAGCGTCCACCTGCACATTATAGACCTTGCAATCAGATCCTTGCCGGTCCCAGGCAAGCCATTATGCCTGGCAAGCTCCTGCTCTGCCTCACGACTTTTCCTGAGATTCTGCGGGCACCGAGCAAACGCCAAAGGGTTGTGCACATTACCTGGAGCAATGCAGTCTCCAAAGAGGGAGCTAGCGTGAGGAACGAGTGGAACAAAGGAATGGCATCAACTACGAGAAGAGCCGCTTCCCCGTCTGATGCACTAGGCGATTCCCTGCCAAGGAGAACGCCATTGATGGACGCTGACGGATATTTTGCAGCGTGAAGAAGGATCTTGAGTATCGCTAGTCTGTCAATAGAGCAACCCATCGTGCAAGACTTTGTAATTTAACTTTCCTTTGCAAGGCCAGGATTATATTGGCCACCGGATATGTTCAAAAGTGTTTACAAACAAATTTACAGACGTAAGAACTTGGGATCAAAAGTGTCCTTTTGTTTTCCATGGCATGCACCTTACGCGCAGAGGAGAGCAGTTCTTAGGGTTCAACATAACCCTTTCACTTGGCCGAGAAAGGATGCGAAGAGAGGAATAGTCAGTGTTCGTTCTAACAGCCTCGCAGCGCAAGTCGTTGTCAAAAGCACAGCGGGAAATGGAGTAGGTTGTAGGAGCGACCTATTGGCAGCCTTGGGACCCGTGAGACGTTGTAAGCTGACTGAAATGTGGCCGGGGTCACACTAATGAGCGGTTAGACCGGTGGATTCTGGGCCACATGGACGTGAGTACATCCTCAATGGCATTCTTTCACCTGAATATGCAGGACTGCTGGTCAGGGTGCTTGCTTCTGTGTCATTCAACGCTTGACACAACTGAATTCGCGTTCCTTGACCCTGTCTATTTCGCCCGCAGCAATACGAGGATTTGGGCTGCATTGGCGAAGGCACGTATGGGGTTGTCATCAAGTGTCGGCATAGGGAGACTGGTCAACTGGTGGCCATAAAGCAGTTCAAGGAGTCGGATGACGACGAGCAGGTGCGGTGCAAGCCTTCGGACGCACGGGGCCTGACTTGGCGAATGGGGTCACAGAAGGACTAGCTGTTCCGTTCTTTCATAGTCCACTGCTATGAGTGCCTAAGAGCTAGGAGTAAGAGGCGTTATGTGCCATGTGAGCGATCTGTAACCCCACCCTAGCTGGTCCAGAACAGGTGCCCCAGCCAGGGGTTCCAGTGGGTATCATTTCAACAAATTGGCATACAGTCAATTATGAGTGCAAAAAATGTTCAGGATTTTGTTCCAGCACATAAGCACAACCCAGACCAATGTATATATCAAGATGTTTCTCTTCCAAGCCCAGTGCCTGGGTCAGGCACGACTTGCACCCCCACGTTCTGGCACGACCGCATCCACAGCTTATCTCTCAGACAGCCGGTTTCTTTATGGCTGGCAGGTCACCCCTGCTCGGCCTCCCTGGAGGTTACCCATCCATTTTTATGATTGACATCTCTGGACCTTGGCACCCAGATATTTCTCTAGCAGGTCATCAAGGCAGGGATGTTCTCAACATTGTATTTGTGAATTGCGGCAGGTCCAGAAGACAGTGGAGCGCGAGGTGCGCATCCTCAAGGCGCTGGCGCACGTCAACGTGGTGTCGCTGCTGGATGTGTTCTGCGCGCGCGGCCGAGTGCACCTGGTCTTCGAGTACGTGGAGCGCACAGTGCTGGACTGCCTCAAGATGCAGCCGCGAGGATTGGGGGATGCACCCACGCGCCGCATCATGTGGCAGCTTGTCAAGGCTGTGGAGTACCTGCACACCCAGAAGGTGCCCCTCTCAGTGTCAATTTCTTGGCGCAAGAGCGCTCCGCAGTCTGATAGCTGAGCTGTCAGCTATCAGACACACATTAAAGGATGGCTCTCTTTGGGCTTCTCCTTGCGCGTCTGCAAGTGAGTCAGTGGCCCTTGTTGTATGTGTGGAGTGTATGGGGGAGATCTTGGAGCATGCTGTGGGCTTCCTCTCCGCGCCTTGCCCCACTGGCATCTCAGAAGGTGTAGGTATCCTTGGTGCACTCTGCGAGCGTGCCTCCTGACCTCCTGGTCGATATCACTGCACCCTTGACCAGGAAAGAAGAACACTGCATCTTGTGGGCGGCTGTTGATTGCCTAATGAGGTGGAGACCTTGACGACAGGAGGGTGCTTGTGTTTATTTTAATGTGAAGGAAAGAAGAGAACACCAGCTGAGGTGGCGGGGGTATGCACAGGTGCCGCTGATGCACCGGGACATAAAGCCGGAGAACATGCTGGTGAGCGGCGCTGGGCTGCTCAAGCTGTGCGACTTCGGCTTTGCGCGGCCGTGCGCCGGCGCGGGCGGCCGTGCTGAGCTGTCGGACTACGTGGCGACTCGCTGGTACCGCTCCCCCGAGCTGCTCGTCGGCGACCGCTGCTACGGACCCGCCGTGGACGTCTGGGCCATAGGTGCGGACCTGGCCGCCCGGTGTGAGGACAAAACATCTGGAGGTCCACGGTGTACATTGCAGGGCCCTGAAAATCATTTCAGGGCATTTAGGATGATTGCTTGGCTTTTAGGACCATGACAGGGGCTTCAACATCAGGAAAGCCGTGCGTTTGAAAGGGCTGGGAGTGCAGCGGAAGCATCACAGATCAGCCCAAGACAAGCACCAACAACAGTGTGGTATTTGTGATGGAGCATGCATGATGTGGGGGGTCTGGCTGGTGGCAGGGTGCATGGCGGTGGAGATGCACACGGGCGACCCGCTGTTCCCGGGGGAGAGTGACGTGGACCAGCTCTGGCTCATCCTCAAGGGCATGGGCTCCCTCACCCCCACCCACTCCCACCTCCTCTCCAGAAACCCCTACTTCACGGTCAGCAGCCCTGCTCCAAGATGCCAGTTTTCTATAACGCCACCTGCTTCACTGTGAGCACCGCTGCTCGAAGATACCAAACCTCACAGATTGCTCTGATTCACAGTGAGCTAATTTGCTCGAAGATACCAGAGTGCGGGGTTCAGACTGACCGAGGTAAAGCATGCAAGGTCGCCATTACTTTAGATAAGAGGGTGCCTCTTCGAGCACAGAGTGGAGCAGGTGCCACCGTGGTTACAGCATGGCTTGTTGCTGTGGAGACGCTGCGGGGGATACAGACTAATTGTTGGTGTGATATTTGCAGGGCATGCGGCAGCCGGCGGTGTGGGAAATGGAGCCGCTGGAAGTGCGCTACAGGAAATTCGACCTGCCGCTGCTGCAGTTCCTGAAGGTGGGCACCCTGGAGGGGCACACATGGGGCTTTCCATTGCATTTGAAGGCAGTCAGAAAAGGTTCACGGGCCGCTGAGAGGGTACCTATTACAATTGAGATCAGCCGCAAAAAATCATTGCTAGGCTTTAAAGGTGCCCATGTGGAGTGCAGGCGTGCCTGCATCCCAACCCAGAGAAGCGCGCCAGCTGCAGCGAGCTCCTGCGGCTGCCCTACCTCGCCAACGTGGAAGCCTCCTTCGGTGCAGAGTTTCTGGGAGCAGAGGTGGGTACCTGCCTGCTGCTAATCACCTGTCACAGGCCGGCAGTCCCACCAGCAGAGCATCATGCCTCGCTGAGGGTTACATATCAACACACAACATGGTACAATTGCTGACCTTGAAAGGATCCTAAGTGGCAATTTGTGCCTAGTATATATTGTACACCTTCATGATCCGTGGCATGAAGTCTGCCGACGCATCATGCCTAGCTAAGCTGCCGAAGATGCGAAGAATGCGCGCGCGAGGGTGTATTGAGAGAGACTGTGTGTGAGTAGGCGGAGGCGAGACAAAGGCTGGAGCAGCGGGCAGCGGCCGCAAAGGCGCGTAAGCACAAGCGCAAGTCGGCCGATCTGGAGCCGCCGCAGCAGGCCCCCACCTTCAACATCACAGCCTCCGCGCACGCCGGCATCCCCGACGCCCCCAGGTGCCGCGCCGGTTTCTCATCGCATGGCACTTTCAGCATCGCCAGTCTTACAGTTGTACCTGTACACAGGATTGATCGAATGCAGAAGTCATGGAGCTCCCTTCTGACAGTTCCCAGTCAAGAGATAGGGATGTGGAGTGTGTTGCTTCAAAGTTGTCCCTGGAGACAAAGCAAGCTGAACACCCACTGAATGATGTACTGCACAGGTATCGGCCAGCGCCGTCGCTGCGACTGGAGCCACTGCAGCAGGAGGAGGAGGCATGGGCGCAGGCCGGGAGGCAGGAGTCGCCGAGGGCGGAGGCGCGGTGCGCGCCAGCGGCGCAGGCGGCCTCACCGGACTCGCGCGCGTCGGCGCAGAGCACGCAGCAGCACCTGCTGCTGCAGCGGTGGGCCAGCGGCTCCCTGGCCGGCCACAGCCAGCAGCAGGAGCAGAGCTCGCGCTTCCGAGCGCAGCACCTCGCCTGGCAGCATGGCGAGGCCGCGCCCCGGCCACAGCCGTCCGCGCCGATCGGCGGCCAGCCGCTGCTCTGCGCGCAGCTGCCGCTGTCCTCGGCGGCTGCCCACCAGCTGCACTGGCAGCTCGGGGTTGGCGCATCGCTGCAGCCAACCAGCCTGCAAACGTCCACAGCTTCTGCAAACTCCTGGCAGACTGCCTATGACCATTCGATCAACCTGCCGGTGCCCCACCAGCAGCAACAACAGCAGGTTTCCGGGGCCCCGCCGTCCCTGCACCGGCGCGCAGTGCAGGCCTGCGCTGCGGACGTGTCGCAGCATCAGCCGCAGGGTGCGAGGGATTTGGAGTGCGGGCAGATTGTCTCACACTGGCACCTGCGCATGGCAGGCAACGCGGCTCGCAGCGACTACAGCAGGGCTAGAGAGCAACCGTCGTCCGGCTTTGTGGCAGGTGAGTTTGGATTGCATGCTGCTGAATGTCCTTCCTCTTCTTCTTTTCTTCCTTTTCTCATTCTTTTTGATGGCTCGACAGAGCACATGCTGACTTGTCCTGGGTGCATGGAAAAGAGTGTTGCTGCTTTTGGGCTGCTGTGTGGGGCACCGATGGGCCTGTGCTGCTGTGTGGCAGTGAGCGAGTGCATGAGCATCAGCCCGGAGCGGAGGCAGGCCGTGGCGCCCGCAGACCGCTCGACACCAGCCAGCAGGGACGGCCGCCCATCCAGGCAGCAGCGGTTCATGGCGGCAATGCACGCCACCATGAACGGTGAAGCCCCACATGATGTATTCTTTGCTTGCTTAATTCCTTCAAACACTGCCGCCACGTATTTTGTATTTTATGGCTGCATTGCATGCCTTGTAAATGATGTCCCAATTAGAGGTCATCTGAGGTTTTGGGGTCCAGAGAAGTTCATCTTTCTTGTCTCACGTGTGCTCATGCGATCTCAAAATTGGCCCTCTCATGATTTTTTGAATGTGCAGAGGCGCCAGAGCAGCAGCAGGAGAGCAAACATTCGCCACCAGCTCCGCCTCAGCACTCTGGGCAGCCGCTGCTGCCCACAAAGCTGGGGCCCCTCCTGCCCGGCAAACACTTCTTTGGATCCGGCAGTGCCCCCAAGGTGCAGCTTTTCCCTAGCCCCTGACCAATGGCAGCTGTTTGTCTGCAATTGGAACCACTTCACTTCTGTCAAAATGATATCTGACTTCTGTGTGCACCTCTTTGCAGGAGGGCATGATCCCTGCTGTGTATGGCTCGGCGTCCACAATGTCACAGATGGCCGTGTGTATCAGCGCGGCGCAAGCAAACCACCAGCAGCCTGCGCTGAAGGTCAGCCCGCAGAAGCTGCAGCCAACGCGGCGGCTGCCGGGCCGGCAGCAAGCGCCCCTCCTGCACACTCAGTTCAGCAGCACAGACGTGGGGCCGGTGGCGCGTAGCTCGCCGCCAGAGCCGGCCGGCAGCGGCCCGGCACCGATGGAGTTGATGAGCCCCGCCGGCCACGGCGGCTGCCGCAGCCCGGCGCACAAGCCGGCCGGGCCGGCAGCTGCGCACACCGGCCGCGGCCTGGGCCATGGCTACCCGCTGTGCGTGTCAGGCGTTCAGTCGACACTGTTCCGGGCGACGCCGCCGCGCAAACACCCCGGGGCCGGCAGGGGAGATTCCCCGCAGCCGAGCCCGGACGCAAAGCCCGCGCAGCAGCAGCCGGCGCTGCGCCGCAGCCGCAGGAAGCCTGTCGCCACCCGGCTCTTCTGAGCTTTGGGCTGATGTCTGGGAGCGCACCTGTTGCAGGAGGGGTTATTCTTTTTGTCACGGAGATTAATATTGGGCAGTTTGCTGCGGGTAGTCCAGATAATTATGGTCTCTATTTTGGTGGTGGGTACAATGACCGTTCTGATGAAATTCTCAACTGGAATGCTGACGGTATTGACATCATCTAGGACGATGGTCTCTTGAATGCATGCAAGCTGTGGATTTCATCAGAAGGAGCACGCATTGTGGAATTTTGTTGGCACCATAGCTGTGCAGTGCCATATCGTGATCATTTACATAGGTGTTGGGACGCCGAGCAGCCCCAAAGTGGACTTAAAATCAGTGTACACATTGGACATGTAGGAGCAGATTAACTTGACTCATGGATTGGCATTATGGTAAAGATCAGCTGACATCAAGGAAATCAACCCTTGGATCATTACTAGACGACTGTAATACTATACTTGTGAGCACTATTTAAAAATTGAGCAATATTGATATTAATTTGCAGTAGTGATGACTCTGATCAGCAATTAGCTTGTCTTCTGGCTCATTAAGCTGAAGTCCGAGTGTCGACGTCGCGGCATTCAGTGCATGAGAGTAATTCCAGTCGTAATGATAGCTAAGGCTCTGCTGCAAAGGTTTAGGAACATCACAATGCAATCCTCTACAGAGTAGTCACCTGATCACTTAGAAATCCAATAAACTCGGTCGGACGTCGTGATACAGGTCCCCTTGGATGTCCCTAGTATTTAAGCACTTGTATGCTTTTGACTCTTTACAAGAATAACGGAAACATGATGGACACAAGGCAGTACCTTTTTATTAAAATGCAGCTACAGCCAAGCCAAAAGATTGATCAAAGCCAGGCCTTCAGACATTTGTGTGGCCACCATGGCCTCCATGGAGAAGGACATATATCTGCCAATAGGCATGTGCATGCATGTGCAGGGACAACTGGACAGGTACAAGAGAGCTGATAAAATCATCGCTTCAACCTAAACACTGACATGAACACAATGTGCACTCAGAAAGACGCCACGGTGAGGGCCAAGGTGCCAATGGCGCTGGCACCAACTAGAAGCTTGGATGATCTGTCCACCGCACTGTTCTCCAGGGGGCTGCTCTTGTCCGCCTGCACCACACACACATTCATCCTCATCACACTCCCCATGGCCAGCAGAGGACAGGATCTTGAGGCAGGTGGTCCTGATCTCTGAAAGATGTCCTTCTCGGTGATTGCAATGTCCCTGGGGCTTCATCACTGGCGGCACGGTACCACAAGAGTATGCCAGGGCAGGTTTCCATCTTCAAGGAGGCGCCATGACAGACTCAAGCTCCAAATCCCTCCACTATCAGCGATGCCAATGTATGGCTGCATCAAGATGTGTGCGTGAGAGGCATTTTTTGGCTCACCTGGTTCCCATATTTGGCCTTGTCCCAGAAGACATGCCTAACGCCACCCAGGTAATGGTAGACCAGGGGGAAAGCAACTGCAGCCTTGAAGGGGTACAGGATCAGCGGTGACGTGGACTTTATGGCTTCAATCGTGGCTGGCAAGTCGCCAGTCAGCGCGATCCACCCAGCCCCAGTGAAGCCTGCAGCCACAGCTTTACATCAGGCCAGCAACACAAGTGGACTGCCTCCAGCAAAGGTGAGGCTTTTCACCGATGTCATCTGCCTCCTCTTGCAGTCCAAGCTGCAGTACAAGTATGCTTCTGCAGGAGTACTGCTTCTGTCAACGCACCAACAGTGAGCGCGACGCCGGTCGCTCTGTTCATGATTGAGGTGATGGCGTTAATTGGCATGTTGTAGTGGAATTTGGTGCCGCCCTCTTCAAACACATGAGGTGAGACTGGACGGTGCTTCACGCGCTGCACCCGCACATATAATGTATCAGTCACCAGGAAGTCACACAGAGCACAAGACTAGGAGGTATGCTGCAACACTTGCAGAGTACTGCAAATGCTGCAGAGCAGGCTGCATGGGATCTTTGCATAATAGCTGGCAACACCACTCACGTCAAGGTGATCCTTTGGGGTCCCAAGGAAGTCGGTTCCTGGGTGGTATGGAGAATCCTTTCCCCAGAACTCTGGCACCCCACCCCCATGTTGCCTGCAAAATCGAGGAGTTTAATATGATCGTGTCGTCAGTACATCCTAGGAACGTTCCTCGCCGTGGAAGTTCATTTCGCAGAACAGAACGCGATCACGCACGAGACAATCATCAGCACTGTCAAGCACAACGAATGTGAAGGGTATCAGACTCAAAATCCCCACAAACCTTATGAACTGCTGAGATACAGCTGACTGTGGTAGAATGTATTGTTGTCCCAACCCGTTATTCGTTGCAGCACGCAGAGCCTTGCCTAGACCTTGCGCTGCTGCCCTTGACATGTCAGATGCTACGTGCTGTCCCAGCACAGTGCAAGCTGTCTGTTAATCTCCTTCACACCTCAACCTTAGGTGATCCGTTGAAACAAGAATGACCGGAGATCAAAGCGAAATTGCTGGGATTTGCTTTGCATTTGTTGGCCAGGCTTAGTCATGCTCCACGTTGCCCAACTCTTGGGATCGTGATGTCCTTCTGCAGGATCACATATTTGGAGGAAGGGCAGCTTCGTTGTTTATTCTGTTGTTTTATCTAGCACTGACTGCGAGCAGGATCTGCATGTTTGTAACGCTGCCCTAATACACCAACGGAGAACCATCGATCTCGGGTCTAGTCCACTGTTGGAATGGACAAGATCTTGAGAGGTGAGATCAGATCAGTGAAATATGGGCTTTAGCAGCCATTTGCCTTGATGGATATCTGAGAAATGTTTCCTTTGTTTCTGCAGCTGATGCCGCAGGACCGGCCTTTCAGAGGCTTGCAGAAGCCAATCACATCTTTCTAGCCGGTAAGATTTCCATCTTCATGTGTTACTCTTTACATATCATGCACACATTGCCCCAGTGAAGGGTTCGCGTTCCATTCTCCAGCTCGACTTGTCCTGGGCATGCTGCTGCAGTCTAATAGGTTGCATCTTACTCAGCACAATTGTCACAGTGAAAAGGCCTTCCTCTGCGCAGGTGTGGTGCCTGTCGCGGCCTTATCACCAGCGGTGAGAGCTTCTTTCAGGAGCATACCACAATTCCCCAATTTTTCTGAAGGTCAGAAAGCCTTGTACTCTCCAGAAATGCAGAACTGGCCCCTGATATTGTGCCTGTGCTTCAGGGATCGTACCTGGGGAAGGCAGCTGACATTGCGCTCGGCATTGCGATTCCAGTGCATTCTCACGTGGCCATCAACTCAGTCCTTTCAGACTATGTGCCAAAAAGTGTCAGGGGTAAAGCTCTGGCACATGAGACTTTCTTATAAATCATTTGCTTTTGATGGCAATAATCCCTTACAGTAGGTGACACTGGCGTTTCTTTGCTTGACAACTATTGCTGCATGGCAGGTGTGGCTCGAGTGGGCGCTCTGGCTTCCAGCAGCATCATGCTCTTGGGGCTGCTGAAGCTGAACCTCATGGGTCCTGGCCTGACAGCGACCGTGAAAGAGCTCTGGAAGAAGAAGTAGGTCATGCATGTTCTCCAACGCATGCATTGGCGCGCATCGCATCTGTCCTTATTGTCCTTCACGGTAGTCCTGATGCATCCATCAGGGCACCCTGTATTTGTCAGTCACCATTCAGCTTGTTCACTAGCGTTACAACCAGGTCTGTCAAAAGACAATATGATACTTCTCTTTGTGGTCATTGATGTACTCACCAGGTTGGGCTGATTTCACCAGGTTGGGCTGATTGTGCCTGAAGCCATCAAGTCTTAAGCGGATTTTGCAACATGCATACTTGCAACAGCAATTTCACGTATAGTACAGGGGTGTCGGTAAAAGCTGACCCTGCATGAGGGGCGCAATCAGAGATGTAACAATACTAATAAAGATTGACACGGCGAGGCATTTGTTTATCCTCACTTGTGGCGCTCGCTCTGCTCTGATGCATCGATGTCTGCATTTCTCTTTCTCCAATAGTACATGCTGTGCCGCCATAATGGCAAGCGGCAGCCAATGTATATCAATTCTCCTCAGGACAGGGTAGCCTCATCACTGCATGCAGCCTGCAGCATTCTTTTGGCTTCTTCTGCCGAGGCAGGCAGCACCCTCTTGAGCTTCCTCCTGCTGCTGTCCACACTAAAAACAAAGTGGAATGTGTTTGAGATGCTGCTCATGACCTGCTCTGGTCGCGTAACCATCGCTACAACCTCCACATGCATAAACCCCTGCATGGCATCGCATTCATATCGTGCCTCTTTCTACTACAGCGCCAGTCATTTCACAGTAGGCACAAGAGACTAACTTCTGCTCCTTGACACACCTGTATGATGCATGCAAGACAAATGATGAAAGGAACATGAAGTACTTTCTGCTCGCACCTGCTCAGAGCGGCTCTCAGATGTGTGAAGCACAGTGCTGTGGAGCCGCAACAGGTCTCCAACCTCCACTGGCTTCTCAAAGGTTATCTCCCCGACATGCACAAATGTGGGTCGAGACCCTGCAAAGAGGTACGCTGTGGCAAATGCCAGCTCAAATGCACGCCTGCAATAGCACCCTACAACCTCAGGCTTGTTCCAAATCTGGGCACATCAGAAACAAAGGCTAATAACGCAAATAAGTAAGGGGAGCCAGAAATATCCTAACGAAGCACACCTGCTGAGGAAGCCTCCAAAGACGCGGCCATGCACTGCCACAGCAACAATGATTGCAGTCAGGAACCTCACAGGAAGCCATTTTGCCAAATCACAAAAGGCAAAGAATCGACACCGACGGAGAGTGCTGCAATGCGTCAGGGCGACGTGAAGGGTTAGGATCGCACTGTTTTTCTGCTGGGGCTGACAGGTGAAGATGTTGGACAGGCGGGTGTCAGCCATCAGCACAGAGTCTCTGCGCGCCAGGGCAGGCAGGTCCAGGCGGGTGCGCGCCTCTCCCAGCTTCTCCTCCACCCAGGCAGCACTCGCCTCAGCCCCCTCGCCTGCAGTCACAGCCCAGGATCAGCCTCTGCATTGCCATCGGAGATCAGCACAAATGAATCTGCTGTATTGAGCAAACGTTCACCGGGGATTCCAATACCATAAATTTGCCTTGGATCATGAGCTTCTATTCCATGTCCACCCCAATGCATCCAAGTGAAGGGGATGAGATCCAGATTACCCTGCCAAGTGCATGTCTGCCTCGACAGGAGCACCTCAGTCAAGTGGAACCGGGGCAGCTGTCTGCTCTCGACGACACCATCATGCTGCATCGGTGCATAGACGATGTGCAGTTGTACCTTCAGAAGAGCTGCCTTTGCCGGCTTTGCGCGCTTCCTTCCTGCGGTCCGCCACCTGCTGGCGCTCTGCAAACCGCTGCTTCTGCAGCGGCGTGGATGGTTCCAAGGGATTGATCTTCATGGCCTTCTGGCTGAGTGGGTCCCGCGCCACAAAGGTGAACAGCGCTACCAAGCTGGGCTCCTGCTCACTGCCGTCCTGTGCACCCACATATCACACATCAGCAACATCCTACAACCCGGTGACGACAGCACTTCAGGGCTTGAGTTGTAGAGCTGGTTAAGCCACGAATTGCTTCTCAAGCACTATCTTTTGTGTTGTTCTTGACACTGGACAGGTTGCCCATATTCGCGGTGAGATGCGGTGCAGGCAGGACCTGCAGGAGCTCCATGCGGATGTCCATGGAAGAGGAGCCCGTCCAGACGACCTCGCCAGCCATGGTCATGTCAGTGTCCACTCGCAGCCGCTTCCTCAGATCAATCGCATCCACAGATGCCGTCACCAGCAGCGGAGGCCGCGTGTCTGTGCGGCTATCATCGCTGCACAACCAAATTTTGGTTGGCATCAGCCACACAGAGACAGAGCCGTTCCTCCTATGCTGTTTTGCGGGGGATTGGGTTTGATCAGCCTGTATTTCATCCAAGATGGGGTGTCACCAGTGCTCATAGGCAACGTTGCCTGCGAAGGAGTCCAGATCCTCGAGCACCTTGCCCATCCTTACGTACCCCCATGGATTTCTGTACTGCATGGCAGCAGGGAAGGGAGGTCAGCCTTCTACTTAACTGGCTCAATGAACAGGGTCATTGACGTGCAAGTGGCAAGTCGATGCTGACCTGTTCCTGGAGGAGTGGGCTTGTGCTGAAGGGATACGAGATGCTGAGCCTCTTGGGCGGTTTGGGCGTGGGTGCGGACAAAGGCGAGCCTTCCACTAGCTGTTTCTCCCTGTTTAGCCTATCAATCCACAGCTTCTTCGTCTGTTGCCACATGCCACAAGCACCTTCAGGGGGTTTTAACAGGATTGCCTGCTGTAAAGGTGAAATTGCCAAAGATTTAATTTCGATACCCAATATGAATCAGGATCGCGCACTTGTGACGTGTAAATCCCGACGATGTCCTCATGAGTGAACGAGCGATCTGCGAGACCTCGGCAGGCCAAAGCTTGCCAATCAAGACGCAGACTTGATATACTTGCAGGGTTTTTCTGCAACCAAACATTCATGAGTTCTGACGTTCTCTACAGAGCTGTCACAACGCAAAGCTTCGGCATGTCAAATCGTCGGAGTGATCTGCTCCTGGGAGTTGGACCAAATCCACGTAGAATCGCTGGCAAATTTGCAATGTAACCTTGCTTCTCTTTGCTCATTACTTTGGACATGGGGAATTCAGATTGTCTTCCAATTCCAAAGAACAGCACGTGCCAGCGTGCTGGGAGCATCGCCCCTCAGAGATTGTACATGAAGGCAGAATCAAATGCAAAGGTCTGCGTAGTACACGATCGCTTGAAGACAAGCAGCCTTGGGAACTCGTACATTGCTTTACATTGATTAATTCTCAGTCAGCGGCACTTGCACGCTGATCTGAATGCGAGAATCCTAGGCCTGGAATGATGCCTGGCACTCCTCGATGAGGCCATGGAGGCATCCGCAACGTGCTGCCTTACAAGAAGTTTCAAGGACTCGTACACATCCTGACAACTAGATCACAAGACTGGGCACCCCTGTACTACTGCCTGCATTGCCCAAATCTCAGACCCAGAACTTCACAGCAGTGTCCTCTGCACTGAGACCAGACTCCCTCAGGCGCCCTTCAGTCTGAGCCTCTTCTCCTTGAGCTCCTCACGCTGGACGTATGACTTCAGGTTCATCATGGGAGCAAGCAGCAGCAGCGCCATGGCACATGCCACGCCCAGCGCAACAAAGTAGGCCTGCAGCAACATACCCGACATGAGATAACCAAGCCACCCTGCTTGCCTTTGCCATGATGCGGATCATACTCAGCAGTCTTCTCCACATGATCAGAGCATCATGGTGATGAGGGAGGGCGCACCTCCCAGCCGTAGTTCTTGACGATGATGGACAGGGGGATACCGGCATTGGCAGCGCCAAGGTAGGCAACCCATCCCAGGAAGCCCTCACTGGCACCCACAGACTCTGGCCCCACCTGCACCCAGGCAATCACAAGCATCACACATCTGCCTTCCCTCGCATCATGGTGCAACGCACTGCGGGGAGAGGCAGAAAGTCAACTCAAAGACCATCACACTGCCCGTGCTCGTTCCAACAGTGCCATTAAGGTAATATTCTTGCCTACTCCCGCCCATACGGAACAGTAGATATGGAGGCGAGAAAGAGGCCGCACCAGCTCGGCACCACAAAGGCCGATGAGCATCTGAGGTCCGTAGAGGAAGAAACCGATGAAGAAGACGGTGGTCCATTGCACGATCGGCCACGAGGCGGGAGTGAAGTAGAAGGCTGCAAGGCAGGCTGCGATGCCCACTGTGTACGCCATCACCACCTGCTCACACACAGCCGCATGCTTGCATCAGGCGCGCGCTTAGTGAGAGCTGAATGCATAAGCGGTCAACCTGAAACCTGCCTTCTAGCCAAAGGACATATTGTGCATCACAAAAAGTGGACACCTCCAGCTGGCCATTTGTTGCAGGGACAGCATCATTTGTATCCTGTCTGCACCGTTGCTTGCATGTTCGTCTAGCAGGTGCCAGTGGGGTAGTACTCTGCAGCTTGTACTTTGCATGTGCTTAGACAGGCTTGCAGCTAGAAGCACGTGAAGCCGGACAAGACCAGGCTGTCATTGGTTTGTGCAGTGTGGAATGTTGATTTCGGTACCCCATAATTGCAATTCCTCTGCAGACGCACCTTGCTTCTAGCAGGAAGAGCATGGAATGATCATAGGGAACTACAGGGTGGGGGAAGGCGCACCTGGACGCGCTTGCCGCAGTTGCCACCCTTGGGGTCGCGCGCGATGAGGGTGTCGGATATGCGGCCGGCCAGCAGGCTGCCAAAGAGGCCGCCCAGCTCCAGGCCTGACACCCGGAACGCCGCAGAGCCGGCATCCGCCACTCCCTTGGCCTGCGCACCCAGCCAATAGTCACTCAGCAGTCTTCCACCACATGACCTTACAATTGCAATCACATGTACATTCTGCTTTTCGCTGCAAAGTGTCGACCCACATGGTGTCCCCACATGTGGGTACTCGCCCACAACAGACTGCATGCGTTGTAAATCTATCAATCGCCCATTAATGCTTCCCCACATGTGGAAGGGCTGCACAGATAGTGCAACATTTGAAGTGAGTGAATGCCTGACACATTGACCAAAGATCTTGTACATTCCCTCGGATCTGGTCATCGCGGGCAGAAGTGTGCCGAAGGCGAATAAAGGGGTTGGAAAGAGGGGGCCGGCAGCTTACCTTGATGAGGTAGAAGACGAACCAGGAGGTGACGCCCTGGCGCACGACGTAGATGAAGAAGTAGGTGAGGGCCATGCCCCAGATGAAGGGGTTCTTGAGCACGTTGTTGACCAGCAGCGTCAGCAGGCTCTCCTTGGGGCCCTCGCTGCCATCCGCCTGCTTCTTTGGCTTGGCCTTCTCCACCACCTCCACTGGCGGGAAGCCCACCTGCTCGGGCGAGTCGCGCACCACAAACAGCAGGATCAGGCCCACCACCAAGCCTGTCAGCCCGGGCGCCCACATGCCTGCGCACATCAGCAACAGCCCATCAGAACTGAAGACTTTGTGAGCAGGTAGCCCAATGCAGATCAAGCCCCATTGATACGCCAGAGCAAGAACTCGCAACCGCCTGATCGACGTTCTGCACACCTGGCATTGAATGAGGAAATATATCGCAGAGCAGCAAATTACTAGATCACCTGCCAGAGCACAACTTTGCAAGGGACCCTCGGGCAAATATGCCAGGCGAGGGCATGTCTGCAATTCAACTTGCGGTTCAAATGATGTGCAGAGGACGGAACAAGTGCAGAATCTCACCCCACTTCCAGCCATAGTAGCGCGCGGCAGTGCCGGCCAGGATGGGAGCGCCAAAGCCGCCGAGGTTGTGGGCGATGTTCCACATGCCCCAGTAGGTGCCGCGCTCCTTGGTGGCAAACCAGGACGTCAGGATGCGCGCGCAGCACGGCCCGCCAAAGCCCTGCAGCCAGTCACACGCCAACCATTAAGCGCCCCTGTCTTCCTTCTTCCTTGGCACCAGGTCCGTGGGCATGGAAAGAAGCGGCCTTTCTTGGCAACATGAGCATTCGACAGGCAGGTGCGCATGGCAATGCAGCACAGGACGTGGCCGGGTGTTGGGAAGGTGGCAAGGGTGGGTCTTCGAAGGCTAGGGATTAGAGAAAGGGGAAAGAAACGTGCCTGGAGGATGCCGTTGATGGCCCAGAAGGTGAGGAACCAGGGCAGGGTGTTGCCGGCGCCGAACAGGAGGTTGACCGCGGCCGTGGCCATGAGGCCGCCAGCCAGCATGAGCGTGGGCGAGGTGCGAGCCCCCAGCACGCCACTCACAAACTTGGAGAAGCCGTACGCGATGGGGAAGAGCGATGTCAGCGACCCAATCTGCACCAGTGGGCCACCCCAATTTGAGCCATTCGCCTCCTTTCAGGCTTGCCATTTTCAGCGCATGTGACCGGCGATGTGCAAATCCAGTCTGTACTTATTCATAGTCCCCTAAACAGATTATGTGAGCGTTGTCGAGTAAATAAAATTTAAGTTGTGGTGGGTGGCGTACCTGGGTGATGTCCATTCCGAGGGTGGGGTCAGACACCATGACTGGCGCTGTGTAGGTCAGACTGTTCCTCGTCAGGTAGTAACTGGCATACCTGCAGGCCACGGCAGGCACAGAAACGACATCTCCTTAAGAGAGTTTCTCGAAGGACAGGCTTGCTCACGCACTGCTGCACGTGTTTTGAGCTTTGACGTAATGACGCACTTGACACTTTGGAAAGCCAAAAGGGTAGAAGGGGTTTTGACCATACCCGATGACGATTCCAACAAAGACAATCAGGCGTCTGACCACGAAAGCTCTGGGGTATGCTGGCAAGTCCTGAAGCGATTTCACTTTCTCGTCAGAAGCCTGCACACCAGCAAACCCCACCCAAGTCAGTGCCCTGCCATTAGTCTGAATCCCTCCGTATCTGTAAGCTTAGGAAGATCCCATAAGAGTGCATGGTGGCATCTTCATACCGCAGCGCCGCCAAGTGGTGATGGAACTTTTTTGGCAGGATCTCCAACATCGCCCTTCACAAGCGCTTCTTTGTCACCAAGGTTGCCGCTACTGGCAGACGCTGCCACCACTATGGCCGATCGGTGCTGCCTGGCCAGGCGTTGCGGCTGCAAGCATGTGCGCCGCTCATGTGACCTGTGAACAACGCAGGAGTCCCGCATTAGCGCTACTGAGTGGGTGATGCTGCCACATGGGCCGTGGGAAATTCGTGACAGTCTCTGACATTGTCTCGATGCTATCCCTCAAAATGCGTGCATCGTGCAAGCTATGATTACACAAATTTTCAATGTGATGCAGCTCACCTGGCTGGCTGCAGAGACCTGGATGTGGACTGCAGACAGGCAGTCCTGCACGAGGGCCTGGGCCCTAAACCACTCGACAGACCCATGCCCAGCATGTTCAGCCACCAATAGAGATCTCCCTGGAAATCCCGTCAATGGTCCACGAGCCTGACGAAGCCACTCTTTCCTACATGGCAAAGTAGATGTCAAGTCAAACGCCACTTTCGCATCTTCTTTCTCAGCAAGGGACATTCTAACCTTACATATCTAATCAAACACAATACACAGTAGCCGTCGCTGCTCACTCGAAAATGGAGAAACTTTGTGGTATGGCGGACACCCCAATCCTCCTTCCAGATCTCAGCCTTCCATCTCTAACCATACTGACGCCAACATATTCATACCTATCAAAACTACATCAAATAATATGCAAAGTGTCATGTCGCATACACTGGGGCGGTCAAAAGCCCGGCAGCGACTGATCCACATTAGTTTTGGGCTTTATGCAGATGAGTTCAGTTTGGCGCTGGCGGAAATCATGGCGACCGCCGAGATCATCAAACCCTTTTCATTCCAAAAGAATGCTTAATGCGGTTGAACACATCTATTGGTACATTGGTGAGATTCCCGGCGAGCGGGTTCGTCTTGAACTGGGCATGGGACGTTATCGAGACAAATGGGCGTCCTAACCTGCCTCAATGGTCGAGGTGGATCGTTGAGGGCTTTTGGCTCGGAGTTCTATTAGACCGTCCCAGGACGCAGCCAGCAGACGGCCGAAACTCGCTCCCTGCGGTCTCTGTATTGCGCGTCTTGTCCTTTGCTGCTATCCGTACCCTCCAGCCGGCCACCTGCCGGGCCTACCCCACTGCTGGGTGTATTAGATGCACGTGGTGACGCATGGGGAATCTCCCTGTTCCTGGCTCGACCAGTGCACTACCTGATGGCCAAGCACGTGAACAGATTGGCTGCGAGTGATTTCTGAAAGCTGGAGCAGAGCCATTGCATTCTGGTCTTGGGAATCAGGTGGCAGTGGCTGCAATTCTGGTAGCCACCAGTATGCATTTGCGCAACCACTACCGGCCATGCAGCACATAATCTTCACATTGGCAGTCCGACTAGTTGTGCGTCAAACAACTGCATCGGGGGATGCTGCATCACCATTTATTTCCAGTCATTGGGTCTGGCCGTCATGATGTGCATGATGGCATCTGTGCTGTCTCATGCATGTACACATCATGATGCACTGCATGGCATGCCTGATACTATCTAGTAGTATCTAGTGTACTCAGGCAAGTTGCCTGAGGTCACTGGAGGCATGGTGCCACTGCGCAATCCTGCATGGTGCACTGCAGTCAAGCGGTATCAAGATGCGGTACAATTGCCAAGCTAGGACTCTAGCACTGTATATCTGACCCCATCCGTGCCCCCCGCTAAGGAGGATCAAGGTGGGCCACAAACAACCTGCAGACAGCCAAAGCGCAGACAAAAGAATTGGCGGCAGAAAGTCCTGCAGGTTAGCAGCAGACTCTCTGCTAAGAAGAAACGAGCAGCAAATTTGGCGCCTCAAGAGGGCATCTCCGAAGACTCCATAGAAGCTGGGACTCTAGACTTTCTCTATCCCATGGTGTGCAGTGTCAACCTCATCAGTGCAACAACTCAGAAACATGTCTTCTCAGCAGTTTCTGCAGCCCCTCTCAACACTCGCGGCTGCAGACGGGCCTCCCCAGAAGCATCCTGTGAAGTTCTTCAGACGGCGGACTTCACAGTTGTGTCAACCACGGCCTCGTAGACTTCCCTGATCTTGAGACCCACGATGGTCTGGAAGAGGCCAGTGCCGTTGGTGGAGCCGGGGAACTGGGAGTTCTTCAGCATCTGCTGCGTGATCTCGCCATAGAACTTGGCGCTGGTGTTGCTCAGGTGGCTCTCCACGTATATGAGCTCCTCGATCTTGTCAAACTGGCCGTCCATCTCCAAGATCGACACCTACACCCCACGCACAATCCAGCCATCAGCTTTGTATCTACATGCATGTACTCTGATCGGGGTTTTTCCAAATGTCTTGAAGCGGAGCATTCTGAATGATCACATCTGGCAGCAGATATATTTGCCAGAGCTTCACACTGGAAGGGCCCATGGCAGCTGTCCCTTGCACTATAGCAAACTGCGTACTGCTTTGTATGATGCAACGACCCTCTGGCGCCAGCCAGTCTCTTGTGCGGCCATGCCGCACAAACAGCTACCGTGCAACTGCCAAATGGCGCCAGCCAGAATCCTGTGGGGCCATGCAGAAGGAGAAGGAGGCCCTCTTTCTTTTCCTGATACTGTAGTAGTCATTCTAAAACCCGCAATAAATAATCCTTTTTGGCCAAAAAGGGTGGATAAATGAGACCCTTACTCCCAAAACATAAAACCTAAGATTTTTTTGAGACCAGATTCGGAAAGCTCTCGACAAGCCCAATCCAATGGAGCATGACCCTGGTACATTTGATACCAGGAAGACCACTGAAAGTTGCTTTGAAAAATTTCCCGCACCGCCGAGGGTGCGGGTTTTAGAATGACATTACTGTTACTACAGTAATTGGGGGAAAACAGGAGAATTGCAGGCATGGCCGCACCTCCTCGCCGTAGTAGGTGTCAGGTCCGTAGAAGAACTTGATGCCGGGGAAGGAGCAGGTGAGCTTGCGGCCGCAGGGGATCCAGGAGATGGTTGAGCCCTCGTCGAAGAGGAAGGTGGGCTTGAAGAAGTTCACACCCTCCTTCTGGATGAAGCGCACGCGCAGCACCTTGCCCTCCTTCTCATCCGGTATCAACTGCGTCGGCAGCACCTGCCACAGCCCAACAGTCACAGTTCAGTCCCAACACCACCAGCTCCATCGGTGCCAGGGGTGCAGCTGCACGTACTCTCAACATCAGGGTTACAGCGTGCAGATCAACAGATAAATTCAGATCACAGTGGCAGGCCAAAGGGACTCGCTGCCAGCAAAACCTTAAGCACATCGCTTCATCATTTGTCGACGGGCTGCTCATGCAAACATTGGACAGGCCATCACAATTCATTGTCGCCAATGTGCCCACCCCATGGCTAGTTTGCAAGCATGTGGTGCTGGGGCAGGTCTCGAGCAAAAACAAGGATTTGCTAGGCAGCGGTGTGCCCCTTCACACCATGAAGTACGAGATTAATCATTGGAGTGGAAGAAGTATGTGCAGAGAAATGTGGCGGTGTGAAGAGCAGGGAGGCACGCACCTGGATGATGACATCAGCGTGCTTCTTCTGGGGGTCGATGTAGGCGTCGAAGTCAGGGCGGCGGGCCTCGATGGAGGCCTTAATGGACTCCAGGGAGTGGCCCCGCTCCTTCATGTCGCGCTGGATCTTCCAGGCAAACTTGACCTCGTCGCTGATGTCCAGGTAGATCTTGAAGTCGTACAGGTCGCGCACACGCTCGTCGTAGAAGGGGTGCAGCCCCTCCAACACCATGATCTGCGCAGCCCCAGAAAAGAATGTCAGCATGCGAAGAGAACAGGTAGAGAGAGAGAGGGAAACCCACACGGACGCGACTTTGCATGTGGGCTGCAACAGTATTGCATGGTATTCCATTGTATGGGGGCAAAATTACCCCCAAGGAGACGAACGCAATTTGGTTTCCACTCGCTCGGGGTCAGACCGCGTCGGCTGCAGGTGCTGCAGATATATCAGGAATTCGTGGATTCCTAGCTGTGCAGGAATGCATGAAATGGGTGCATTTCTGGTTGAGTAGGGTTGCGCAATGTATCCTGGCAAGAAGAGGCCAGCGGGCTGCACCTTGGGGGGCTTGATGGTCTCGGCGGGGTCCAGGAGGCCGGAGACGTGGTTGTAGATGGGCTTGTCAATGGACTTGCCCTCCTTGATGGCCTTGGCCTGCTCGTACATGAGCTCAAAGTCCTGCGCCTTGGGGTCCAGCGCGGTAACTCCCTTCTCCTTGCGCCCAGTGCGGTCCAGGCAGTGGTAGTCATCCAGGCAGATCACCGTCGCCATGTCTGACAGCAGTGTGTTGGACTCAGGGTTGCCACCTGCTCCCCGCCCAGAACATCGATCAGGCACTGCGCCCATCTGTTCTCCTTTTCTTCAGTGTCAGGATGGTCACAGAAAGCCAGTGGAACACACAGGATGCGGGGGAGTGTGGGCAGGGCGTCGCATGTGTGCTTGGAATGCTGCAAGGGCAGAAGTACCACAGCCCAACAGCAGCCATGCACCCATCTGTTCTCTTCTTCTTCTTCAGTGCGAAGATTTGGATACTCAAGGCCAGAGGATTGCAAAAGACGCTGAGAACTGTGGGCAGGGTGTTGCAGGTGTGATTTGAAATGCGAAGAGGAAAGAAGTCTCACCCTCAGGGGCGCGGGGCGAGCCTCCGAACACGCCAATCATGCGCCGCATGAAGGTGGACTTGCCACAGCCTGCAGGTGCAGCGCCAGGAATCAGGCATCATTGCGCAGGAGGGTCTTCATGCTACAGATACGCAGCACGCAATTCAGGAGGAGGGGCCTGGCGCCCCAAACCCACCAGAGTCAGCGGCCAGCCCAATCATGACGGATCTGTCAGACGCCTGGACGATGAGGGTGCGTGCATTTCCGCGGGTGCGAGATGCCCTGAGCACCTGCAGACCATTGATTTCATCAGAGGTCACACTCCTTGGCTGGATGACCACGAAACAAGATAGCTACTGACAAGTTCGATACGATCAATGTTGCGGCTTCCCAAATCACTCTTCAACGCACCTGAGCAACTGATGTGCGGGAAATGCTCCGTCCCTGCGAAAAGCACCACAACTCTTAACACATCAACTCCATGCCCTTGCCATTCTCTGGGGCTTGACCATTCGGGGACGACATAAGGCTCCAAGACGAGGGCTTCGATGTAATACCTGGTAGAACAAGCTGTGGGCCTTGGTGAAGGCGGGCGCATTGACGCTCTGAGGCCTGCACACAGAAGATCACTTGAGCTGTTTGCGAACGATCGACCCTGAAATCTCGCGCCAAGCGAGTAGCTTACCCAGAACATTACAGCTCTCATCCTTTTATCAAAAATTGCAGCGCATGTTGCCTCCTTAAACACCTTCGTACAATATATCCTCTAGCGCACAGCATATCAGCTCCTCGCCCTACCTGGTGGACAGCATCTGCTTCGTGCTCGGCAGATTACCAGCACAAAGCGGCATAGTGGCTGCCATATTTCCCAGAACCTTCCGACTCTAACACGCCGCACTGCTGTCGAGCAACCTCTCCCTACGCGCTACCGGCCTCTCTTATCTCGTTGGGGAGAGGCATGTGAAGCCCTAAAGTACTAGGCTTCTAGATACCAGATATCAGCCACCCATATTCAGGGGTAGGGAATGTGCGATTCCGACACCCTTTCGGGACAGATGTTCGTGCGCTGCAGAGGTAAGTGACATTGCTGCACGCACAAGCAAACATGCAAGGGTTGGGTTGGCGGTACAGTAACGTCTGAGCCGCAGTTTCTCCATGGCCATGCATGCAGCTGCCGCAGCCGGCCCGCGGCCGGCTCGGAGGTAAGCTCGGGCCCGGGCTGCTCTCCGCATTTTGTCTTGCATTGCGTTACCCCGAGTGAGGCTCAAATTCAGTTCAGCAAATATTTCGGTGGCCAAAATCTCTCTCAACACTACGTAATGTATCCCAGCAATCCACATCAAGAAACAAATCATGATGAAAATTGTCAAATGAAGTTTGGCGGAGCTGACTCGGAGTCAGTGAGGCTCAGGACATCCCAGACCTGAGGACCAATCACGAATTGCCGCCATGGCCAGCATTCAATTGGCAAAAAGTACACCTTAAGTAATACCCTTGCCACAATCTGCAACTTGAAGCACCACTGTCTTGGAAAACTCGCGACGACCCACTGTAAGCAGGACAAAGTCAATCTTGTAACCACACGCCACTCACACACTTCTCCCTTCTAAGTCACATGCGATGTCACCTCCTCAGAAAGCCTGAAGCCTGTCCACCAACCGCATGCAAGCAACACGCATGCATCCGGACTACAAAGCTGTGAGGCTCTTTCAGATGCGGCGCTTTTTGGACAGCTTGCCGCCGTCAGAAGCCTCCAGGGCTGGGGCCGAGAAGGCCTTCTTGTAGTCTCCTCCGTCCTTCTCCAAGATGGCCTGGATCTTGTTCAGCTGGTTGTTCAGCTTGTTGTCCTTGGCCTTGCCCAGCTTGTTGCCTGCCTTGCGGCCGTCGGCTGCCTTCAATCCAAACTGGAAGGCCGCCTTGGGCAACATCTCCTTGCTGTTCTTGTGCTCCTGCAGGCAACAGGAACACATGTCCCTTCAGACTTTATTCAGCACTGCATGAGCTTCTCCTGCATGCATGAGTGTCATGTAGGCTATATCTGCACTGCACTATTATCATATCAAGGAAGGTCTCTTGAAACGAAGTCACATGCGGCTAGGCTAATGATAGGAGAATACTAGCAAGAATGCTTTATTTAGACGTACCTGCCACTGCTCCTCGGTGTCAAAGTCGGTGCGGCTCTTGCCGCCAGTCTTCGAGTCCATGTGTGAGAAATCAGCCTCGTCGTCTGAGTCAGCGATGGTGTTGTTGTACTCGTGGTACCCGGGATAGCACTCGGCGTATGCGTCGCTCACAAAACTCGGGTCCTTCTCCCTCTCATCCACCTCTCTCCTGCCCGCCATTGAAAAACAAGGATGACATCCCTAGATCACCTATGATCACATCATCATGCAGAGCAGAAGATGAAGATGAAGAAAGGCCAGCTTTGCTGCCCTGCACCATGGGTTTCACTCCCTGAACAGGTGGGTGCAGGTGAAACCAAAGAATTTGGGCAGAGGTTCAGAAATTGGGCATAGACAGGCTTGCAGCCTGGGCCGCACCTGCGGGCGAGGTTGTCGTCGTCCCGCTTGAAGACAGAGGCCAGCCCGGCTTCCTTCTGCTGCTGCGACAGCGCGCTCAGTGCCGCGGCGTCCTCTGCATCTGGCGGCTGCCCGCCCGCCTGCGTCGCCAGCAGGGCCTGATACACCGGATCCGTGCTCGCCTGCAAAGCATCGCACAAATACGCATCACCACCGAGCAATGGGTCGTGACAAGCAATTGCATTCAGGCACACTCCTCCTGGAGGTCATTTATACAGATTCAGGAGAAAGCACCCAAGCAATCCTGCAAAGATAGTCACAGAAGTGGGTGGCTGCAGGTAAGTTAGTGGCACCTGATAGGCGACACTGGCCTGGATGTAGGCCTCGTAGGCGGCAGGATCGGCGTAGGCGCTGGACAGATCTGCGTTGGTGGGCGGCCGCGCCGGGCCCACCTCCGTGTCGGGTGGGGGCGGCGGTGGCGGCGGTGGGAGGGCACCGGGGGGTCCCTCTTGCGCCTCGCCCTCCTCGATCTCCATGTCCTCGTCGCTCTTCGCCCCTGCAATGGACACCATCAGCTTGCAGGTTCGGGATCGCACTCTTGTCATCTCTTATTTTGTCTTCGCACCGGAGCAGAAATTTTTATACCTTGTAACACTTTGCCGAGAATTTCATCAGTGCTGCATAAGATACTTGGAGGTCGAGGTGCAGACCTGCTGTTGGAAGGGCAGGGAGGTCAGCCATGTCGTCCTTCTCAGCAAAGTACTGGCCGCGGGTTGACGCCGCCGCTCCCCCGTCCCGGCTCTTGGGTAGCTCGGCCTGGTAGTCCTTGCCGGCGTCCCCAAAGATGTCCTCATCCTCATCAGCCGGCCTCACCACGGCAGGCTCCGCCGCAGCCTGCGTGTTGGACAAAGACTCACACTCCTGCAACTTCTTGCAGTGAGACGAACGCAGCAGAGCGCGGTTTGAGAACACATGCACAGACCACCAGTGTGCGCAGGATGGTGCTGCCATTTAGTAGGGAAAGGCGTAGATGGGACAATTGAGGCATTCATGGGGGAGTGTTATAGGGATGAGGGCACTCACGGAGCCGTTGGTGTGCGGCCCCTTGAGCGCGCCGATGCCGGCCAGGGGCGGCAGAGCGCTGGCGCCAAGCAGCTGCAGCTTGTCCTTGCGCTTGAGGCGCTTGCCCGGCTTGCCGCCCGCGTTTGGACGCATGTAGGACATGATCTTGGCCAGGCGCTCCAGCAGATTGCCATCCACTCCGCCCATCAGCGAGTCCACCACCTGGTCAGGTAGCCGCCATGCTGCTGTCAAGAGCTCACTCAAGTCCTGAGACTCTGCAAAGCCTGCTCATGAGCTAATCGTTGCCCTCCATGTTCTGATCCGTCATTGAGTAGTTCCATGCACTGGTGGTTTGTTCTGCGGGTGAAACGTTAGGGACAAAGCCAGCTTGCGCACAATCAAGACAGGTGCCATCAGTGCCCCAAGGACATGCTTGTCAGTCTGATTGGCGTCCCTTGAACTGCTGGCCGTCACACATCATCAGGCGCACCTTCAAGCACTTGCAGCAGCCCGGCGAAAAAAGAACTGCATCAGACCTACATCAAACAAGGAGACAGAGTGGCATCCCATGTATGAGTGTGTTGTGATCGCACCGGCGGGCAGTCCAGCTTGGAGCGCCTCAGGGTGGTGGGAATGTCAGAGCCGTACTCGTCATCTTCCAGCTCATAGACAAAGGCAGTGCGGCGCGGCAAGAACAGCTCACTGACATTGATCTTCGGGGGATTGAAGACCGAGTTGAACACGCTGCGGCCAGTCGCTGTAACAAACTTCATCTCCTGCAGATACAAACCCATCTCAGCGTTGATAGTTCCACCACCAGCTGACTGATAGAGCCTTCAGGCAGCCTTGGGAACAAGCAGAGCAAATCTGAGTGGAAGAAGCCTTCAAAATGAGGCCTCACCTCCTTCCTGACTGGCTTGACCTTCTTCTTCGTCTCATCTGGGTCTTCTGCGCCGTGTTTGGTCATCTCCCCACGCACCTGCATCGCAAATGACATCATCTTCAACAGTGTCCACGACTATCTCAATGTCGCAAAACAATTATGCTGGCCAGTACGGGGCTTTCAAAGGGTAGGGGAGGTTTGATTGGCACCTTCTGCAGGAGCGCATAATCAAGACCCTTGACCAAATGGGTGTGATCCACATCTCCACCCAGGAACTTGGAGTCCTCCACACTGATCTGCCCAATGTCCTGCTCCAGCAGTGAGTTACCGGTGACGATGTTGGCCAGGTCTGCATTGACTCGCTCATAGTCTGGATTGAATCCCTTCCTTCGCTCTTCCGCGCGATCTCTGCACCAGCAACAAAAGCTCCATGCTCATTGCAAGCTTCAGCCTGTCGATAGCAACAAAGATCCTTCACTGATACATAGCTTTCAGTGGTTGGGTGAGATTTTTACCTGTAGAGAGGCTCGTCATCTCCTGCCTTCTCTTCCTGCACAGGCTTGGGCCGGCCCTTCTTCTTCTGTGCTGCGTGAGGCTTCTTGACAGCCCGAGTTCCCTCCGGTGCATCAGCATCTGCATCGGGTACAACAAAGCGGTGTGAAGCACACACAAGAGAATTACCTTTTGGAAGAGGTTCTGCCTATTCTCATAAAAACAGTCACCACCAGCAAATTCTGCAGGCTGCAAATGAGGATCTCTAGGAAAATAGTTTGTATGATGAACTAACATTAAGCCTCCACCCATCATTGTGCACACCACAAAAGTGCACATCCTCCCAAAACATTCCATCAGAACAACCTTCTTGGAACCTCTGAGGTCGCGGCGTCTCCAGCATGCGCCTGAAGTCAGCATTTGTCTTGAACGCAAAAGATGTTCCCTTGGAAGGAGGTGGCATGTCATCGTCCTCCATTTTAAACTTCTGAAGGTGAGCTTAAGCCACCAGATGAATGAATTGCTTCTTTTATGGAACTTCGTTTGATCGTTTAGTCGGCAGACAGGCTCACAAATGCGTCATCTGCTGCAGATGAAGTGCTCAATTGCACCTATATGCACCTATATTGACATGAAGTCCCCGTTTAGTCAGGCACATCAGTTTAGTGCAAGTGACGAAGGGGCTCGGTGCCTATTCGGGCGCGGCAAGGCCTCGATGGCTGTGATTATGCCCTGCCTGGGTTTGTACTCGGGCCAACTCTGCAGCTTGGCACGGCACGATCTGTCTCGATTTGCGACATCCGGTCATACCTATAGAACTATTGCGCATGCGATTGAACCTAGGTGACATCGTGATGCTGTAAACGGCGTTGCGCCCTTCGTAGAAGCAGTTTGCTCGCCAGATCTGAGCAATCAAAAACAGGGCGGTACGCACACAGGGTAGACGCGATGAGGGATTCTCACAGCTCATTGGTGATGATATCTCTTTTATTAATGCTTCCCGTTTATTGCCTGGGTGGCCAGACGTTGGTCGCATTGCATCGGAAGAATGCACAACTAGATGCGGTGGCCAGCAGAGCTAGCAAGAATGTCGCGGTGAGGCTTCAGCCATGTCCTGTTCTATTCAAAATAGCGGGGCAGTTATCTTGTATTTTGCTTTAAACTAGCGCATGATGCGTCGCCTGGTCTGCAAAACCCCAGAGCCATCTGCAATGCATACGTCCGACGGTCTAGTTGTGGCACCCAGCTCGTTGCTGCATGGCCTGACAGCTGAGACCCTTTGAATATGCCCATCGCATATTATCTTTGCGATCGGGACATGTGCAAGAAGCAGTCTCGAGCCTAAGGAGAAGTTCATGTTGCTAGAAGAGTGAGCTGTCAAAAACTGGTGAGGGAAACTAGACGATTTGGTTAGCAGCCCTCAGCACTTAGTCAAATTGAGTTTGCATCGACCAGAAACTTATTGCAAGACAATGCAAAAAGAGCAGAATATTAAAGGTGTCAAACTGGGCCTCAGCAGTACTTGTCCATATAATCATCAGGTGTTGCAACCTGCCAATTCTGCGCAAGCAATCAGACCTAACATTCCCTTGTGCGTGTCTGCGCAGTACTTTGGAGTTTTTCAGCTAGGCACACCACCAAAGCAGTTCACGGGCTGCTTCGACACTGGCAGCTCTGACACTTGGGTGCCCTCGACATCCTGTGTCAACCCCTCGTGCATGACCCACAACCGCTACAGCACGACCGCTTCCAGCACATTCAATGTGCGCATGCTCCCAGACTACTCATCTTTATATCCGCCCGGCCTGAGAGCTAACTCAACCTCGCCTTGTTTCCTGCTGTTGTCTCTGGCTCGCCTAATCGTGGCCCCACTTGTCCATTTCTTGCTGACTGCCTTGCTTCTGTGAAGGTAAAGGTACTCAGAAAGCCAAGGTTCCTGCTGGATGCCTTCAATTTCCTGAATAGTAAGAGGCAAGGTGCTCTTGCTCCTGAAATTGACATGTGATGCCATGCTGCGTGCAGGCCACGACGCACCCATTCGAGATCACATATGGCACGGGCGCGGTGGCGGGCAGTGTGGCATACGAGACGCTGACACTGGGGACGGGGGACTCGGCCATTCAGGTGCCCCACCAGGGCTTCGGCATGGTCTACGACTCCAGCATGGACTTCCTCTCCGCCTCCTGCGACGGCCTCTTTGTGCGCTCCCGCCTTTATTGCTGATTTGCTCATTGTTGTATTCACCATCAGTACCATGACAACATCAGTGTCTGCATTTCAATATTCCGGAGAAGTACAGTAGTACTCATTCTCAAATCACCATGAGTGTCTGCATTTCATTGTCCCAGAGAGGTGCAGTAGTACTCATTCTCAAATCCACACCTTTTGAAAGCTAGTCTATTAGCAAGGTTCCTGCAAGGATGTCCTGCAGACTGACGAACGCTTTCTCGCAGCCTACATAAATATACATGCCATTTTCAAATTTCACCTTGCAATATTAGCACTTTGCAATGCAGCAGCAGCAATTGCCTCACCTCTATCAGGGACCTTAGGAGGCTTCAGCGTTTGTCAGGCGCCTAATACTTGAACAGGAGGTGAGCCTGGGGGTTGCATGTATGCATGCAGGGGCTGGGTTTCCCGCAGCTGTCCAACATGCGCACGCTGCCGGCATTCTTCAACATGATGACTCAGGGCCTGCTGGACGCGCCCACATTCTCCATCTACCTCAACCCCGACCCGTCCGCCGAGCCGGCCGGCGAGGTCCAGTTCGGCGGCATGAACAACGCCCGCTTCACCGGCACCGTGGCCTGGACGCCTGTCGTGGAAAAATCGTGCGCTGACCCCTTTCCCTCATTTAAGTGCCCCTGGGCTGTTCCTTCCTTTCAACCAAGTACCCCTGGCCCCTCGATGAAACATGCCCCTGGACTGTTTTCTGGTGGACCCTGCCCCCTGTCCCTGAACAGAATGCCCTTGGGCTGTTCTTTGGTGGAGAGTGCCCCTTGCCCTTCAACAAAATGCCATTGGGCTGCTTTCTGGTCCAGCATCGGACGACTGCAATCTGCCCCTTCACAGAACGCCATTGGGCTGTTCTGTGGCAAGCTTGTTGGGACAAACTCTTCTGTGCAGTTCAGTCATCCTGCAGGCTGCGAGCAGTATGTGCTGTGTTGACCGCTCTGTGCGTGCCAGATATTTGTGCTGCTGCATTGTGGGCGACCTTTGTCTTGGATCCATAAAGATTTGACTACCACCACCAGGAGCAGATATGCATTAAAGTGAGGCTCAAGTACAGGGCAAGTATGCCGGGATTTTGGGCGCAGGTATTGGACCGTGTCGCTGACGGGTGCCAAGGTGAATGGGCGGTCGGTGGTGCTGCAAGCCACGACAGCCATCATGGACAGCGGCACAACCGCCATCCTAGTCAGCGCAACGGATGCTGCAGCCATCCACGCGGTGCTTTCCCTGCCACTTGCTGCCTGGAAACTCAGGAAAAAACCATTATAAGCGCCCCTTACCCGAGTCAAGATTGCTTGAAAGCACGACTGTGAAGCACACAGGGTGCCGCTTGCAATACTGCCAGCATACCCTTCCTAGAAGCAAAAGGCGATTGCGGCCGAGAAGGTGCCAAGCTGCTGGCATGGGCCCGCCATGCAGCTGAGCTGAGCTAGTTTGTGAGCGTGGTGAGCAGGGAATCCCAGGAGTGGCCTATGACAGGCAGGGAGGGTACTACAGCATCACCGGCGGCTGCGATTCCCTGGACAGCCTGCCTGACATCGCCTTTGTGGTGGATGGGAAGACTTACTCCATGCCACCGGTGCAATGGACGCAGTCGGTGCGCGCCATCTCTTGTGCAACATGTCATAAATGGCTAATCTCACGTATTATTATATGGACCCTGAGGCACCAGCTTGAAGGTTTTATTGGGGCAACCCATCACATGATTGTCCCAAAGCAGGGATGCATTGAGACAGTCCTGGCTTGGCCTATAGGACATTTGTTCACTTTAAGTGCTGAAAGAAGAGAAACAAAGATGTTAAGCTCTGCCAGAGGGAACACATGCTCTTAGGGATACCGTGGCGCAGTATGTGTGATGCCAACAATTATGCTGTGCAGATGCAAGGTGCGAACGGCGGCGCGACAAACCAGTGTATAAGTGCGATCATTCCAGGGGGCGACGATCACTCAGTGATCTTGGGGGACAACTTCATGCGATCGTGGTACACAGTCTACACATACGACATCAAGACCAGGACTGCGTATGTGGGCTTGGCTGAGGCAGCCGCCATGAGTCAATGACAGCCCCCGGGGTCCTGCGGCCGTCAGATGAGATGCTCCTGCGAGATGATCCTTCCTGGCAGCAGCGGTGGCGGCCCGTGCGAAGTATTGAAGCTTTTTACTGTACGTTATTTGATTGCTCTGATGACAGCCAGCGTTTAGGTGTGCGAGCTGTGCAAGGTCGCTGGGTTGACTGCCACTTGACTGCACTGCAGTCTCAGCGATGTTCTCTCTCTCCGCATTTGCCTGCATCTTCCGTTTTGGATTCCTGTGAGATGCAGGAATGTATGACCGCCTCCTCTCAGGGGAGGCACGCCTGTGCTGAAACGCATGTGCACTTTCTGTAGCTCTGCAATTAGTTATGATTGTGACTCAAGATGACCTGACTGTATCAAGAGAACAGACGAGTTTTGCCCAAGAACACATATGTCTCTGTGCTGCTGGAGGTCTTTGGGATATTGCCCACTTGGCAGCAACAAATTTTGGCGGGCAAATGCATTTGGTGAACAGTGGAATAAGTCATGTGTATTAGCTGCATTGTTTACACCTTCCCCCATTGTGCCTTGCAGCAGATAGGGCAACTAGCTAGCGGCTATAGCGGTTCTCATTTCCAACAAGCCTGAAGCGTTTTATTGTGTTTTGTAAGATAACATCAATGCCGCTTGGCAACTTGGATCCATTAATCCGAAACAATATGAATTTTGGTTTTGATACCTGGGCCGAAAGGACTCTTCAAGATCATGCAAATGCAACAATGCATATACTGTTCCCAGTAGGAAAAATTCATCAGCATGTGCTCGATCTTGCGTGGCCTCACTATTACATCACCCCTAGCGGGCTTTTGAATAATAATTATAAGCCTTATTGCACTTTGCATTCCTGAAAAACAGGGAAGGAACAATATTATTGCTACATTGAATACAAATATGCGGAAGACATGCATGCATGCAACGCTAAAAGATGTGCACTATTGCCTCAGGCTCCACATATAAACAATTCAAGGAAGAAGCTCGGGGCCCTGATGAGGCTCAGCTGAGGCCTTCTACAAACAAAAGGGATCCCGCTCAAAGCCATGAAAGACACAACAGTGCCCATTGCTCCCCCTTGCCATAGATCAAACATGTACACAAGCTCCGCCTGTGCAGCATTCTCAAAAATAAAAGAAGTGCAAGGGCGCAGCCCGGCTGCTGCATAGGTTCCTACCTCTACAAGACCAAAGGACGACAAATCAAGCAGGCACCCACATCACATGCAGGCAGCAGACTTCTATCCTACTACATCGCTCAGACACCACATGTGGAGAATTATACAATACTTCATTTCCTTTCTATCAATCAGCATAATCTGCAGGAATTGCATCCTTGCCCTCTTGCAAGAGCAAGGATGATCCACTGCAAAAGACTCAAACCAGGTCCTCTGGGCGGCAGGGGATTTTGGTGCTCTCAGTGGCGCATGAGCAGGCGCGAGAGGACATAGTGGCGCAGGTCGTCCTTGACAGCGAAGACAAAATCGAGGTGGCCGAAGGACTCAAACTCCTTGTAGGTGACGTCACAGCCGGCGCTGTGCATGCAGTCGTAGTGCTTCACCACATTCTCTCGCGCGATGACTCCATCAGACCGCCCTGCACAGCACCTCTTCTTTCACAAGCGCCTCACCACACCAGGATAGCAAAAGCAAGGGTCCCTGCTGCTTGCATAGAGTGCCAGTGGTGGCATGCACACACAGAAAAACTGTGTTGAAGCCATGTGGGATTGGTCACAGGAGTCAACCGCGCATTCAGGCAGTGCAGGGGTATATGCAGGGGTGGGCCGTGAATCTAAATAATGCAGGGGTGGATCACAGGGGGTCGGGCAGGGAATACGGACCGGCCATGATGTCGACGGGGATGTCCAGGCGGCCGTAGTTGGCGGCGATGTCGGGCGGCTCGGCCGATCCGTAGTGCGCGCGGTTTGCGGCCGCGCTGCCAAAGTCGTACAGCTGGAAGCGCCCCGACCTCGCCCACTGCAGCACCACACCTCTTTCTCAGCCGGCTGCCCCAAACGAAGAATTGCCCTCCTACTGAACCCAAGACCATGAACACAATAGGAGCATAACAACACTTGATGACCTCTTCCCAAGACATGAGAGCTTCACCGGCCACAAGAGCAGGATGCCACCCAGGTCCCAGCAACGGAGCCTCTGGGGGGTGGTGATCGGGTGTTTTCAGCCGCCTCTGAAAAGGGACGAATAGCAAAAATACAAACATTGCAAAGATACTGTATAACACAAGGTCATCCAAGAGTTCCTAAGGGAGGCGGTCGTGCCTGGATGAGGTGCATGCCGGTGTGGAGGGAGATGGCGGGCATGGAGCGGGTATTGTAGTGGGGCATCTGGATGGCGCGGTCCCACTGGGAGGTGTCGCCGTTGAGCAGCAGCCGCAGCGCAGCGCGCGCCAGCTCGTGCAGCGCGGGGATCTGCTGCAGGTCCCACGTCAGCTTGAAGGTCAGGTAGCGCAGCAGCGAGGAGGGGATCAGCACCGCCGCGCCCGTGCCCGGCCGCAGCCGCGCCAGCAGCCACAGCACCCACGGCGTGGACCACAGGAACGGGTACGCCACCTGCACACGCCCAACGCAGGATATTTTTTATATTTTGTATGAATGGGCCCCCTCCAAGCCTATGCCCAAGAAAATCTTCCCGCATGTCCACCGGACCAGAACGCCCATGCAAACTCTGGAATATTTCAAGCAGACAACTGGGCAGAAGGTAGAATCCGGTACAATGTACGCCCGATGAATGCAAAGCACCATTCATCAACTCTCAGATGCTTCAGAGTCACCTGGGAAAGCAGGAACCAGGGCGCACCAGAGGGATTTTTTCGAGGAAGCCGGCGGGGGTGAGCAGGATGATGCGGTAAAGGTGGTGGGGGCGGCCCAGGCGCCGGCACATGACGGCGTAGACCAGCAGCGACGCGCCGCCCAGAGAGTGCGCCACCGCGCGCAGCCGGTACGGCTCCGGGACCCCCCCGCTGTGCTCCATCATGTGCACCCGCCTGTCGCGCCGCCGAGCCTCCCTGCACCCACAATCCCAGTCGTTGATACCCTTCACTTTCCCCCTTGTTCCCCACAGCACCAACAGGCTTGTAGCAATGCGGCCACTGTCACAATATGGCTTGCTGCCGAGGGACATGCAAAGTACGAGAAAAAGCTATTGTCAGCCTGTCTTCATCCGCTGATCGTGCCATGCTGTGCGACAGGCACCATGCTACTAAAATGGGTATCCAGTCAGCTCGTGGAAAGGACAGGAAGGGTTTTGTGTGCGCGTGCCTCTTCTGGGCGGAGGTGAGGTTGGCGGGCAGCTCGCCCTGGCGCTCGACTCCCTTGGAGGAGGACACGTCGGGGGTGAGCATGCTGTCGCCCTGCTCCAGCTGCTGCGCCATCTTGGCCTTGGCCCCGTCCATGTTCAGGTCGTGGCCCATCTCCATCACCTCGCTCAGCCGCTGCAGCCCCGCCTCCTTCTTCGCCGGCGACGCCTTTGGCCCACCTGACGCCATGCGCAGTGTGTTACATGCATGTGGCCTTCTTGAACTTGAACAACCTGAACAAATGCATGCCACCTGTTCTGCGATATATCTGGTTGTAGGTAGGCTGATTACGTACATGCTACATAGCGACAAAGCAGTGTTTCGGTGAAAGGGCCGCCCTGCAATTCTCAATCTGATCAAGATGGCTTTGTGACGATAATGTGATGCGGGCCTCATGGTCACCTTTGGTGGGCGTTGCAGGGCTTCTGCCGCTTGTGGAAGGCTGCAGGTCTTCCAGGCTCTGTTTCAGCGCCTCTGTCTCGAGCATCAGGATTTCTGCAGGGGTGCGGGCGCCCGGGGAGGAGAAGGTGGGCAGGGAGGCTGGGCTGCGCTGCACCAGGAAGCTGTCGGCCGAGTGTCTCTTGCCGTTGGGGCTGCAGGAGTTGCGACTGGGCGGCGACAGGGCCTCTGGAGGCGTAATGTAGCCTGCCGAGCTGCCGCCGCCATCGTCTGAGCCGCATGGAGGGGACGCGAATGGAGACATGACGCCCCTGCACCCCACTCTTGCTCGATGTGAGCTTCTCTGTGCAGTCTTCCAATGGGTGGCCACTGGCAGCCAATGTCCCTGTTCAAATGAATTGTTGGCTATTCGGTGGCCTTTCGCACATATGGTATTGTGGGCACCCGCAGCAGCCATAGGGACTCTTTGGCACAGGACAGTACCATAGATGGGCTGGCAGAATGTCAGGTTGTAGGGGACAGGGGTGGCACCTGGGTGATGCAAAGCCGGCGCTCTCCACGTCAGACTCTGGGGCAGGCGGCAGCGGGTGGGATGGGACAGAGGGCGGTGGATGGTGCCCGTTCTGCATTGGAGAGTGTGCTTTCAGAGGCGGCACTGCTTTTGTGGGCACCAGCAGCTTCTCCTGCACCGGCCCAACATTGCTCAAGCAGGGTGGTCCACACATGCGGTCCAAAATACAAAATCCCACAGCAACCACAATAGGGCGCCTGCACCGGCAGCGAGATACTTATGCTTACTGCAAATCGCATTGAGCAAGGAGTATCGAGATGCTTTGCCAAATGGTCAAGGGTACCACTGATTGACCTTGCAGAAAACCATAGCGGCAAACCAGACTGTTTACGTTCGTGCATGCGAAGATTTCCGGAAGCCTCGCACCTCCGGCAGGCGAGCAGACATGGCGGGGCGGGCGGCGGCGGCGCGGATGCGCTGGTCGGGGATGGTGGCGGGCGGCTGGGACGTGGCGCGCGTGGCAGATCTCCTGCGTGGGGGCGTGGCCGGGAACGCCGTGCTGTAGCGGCCGGTGGGGCCCATGGCGACGGCGCCGCGAGGGTCGTTGGGCGACAGGTACCGCTGTGCGCTGATGGAGGTTGCGTCCAGCTTGTCCAGCGCGGTGTCGCTGGCTGACGCGCGCATGCTGCACCCACCAGACACATCCATTTCGGCATACAAGACTCTGAAATGGTGGGGATCTTTTCCAACTTGCCTCTTGCCAACATTGCAGGACTGCATGTATATAGACCATTGGTGTGAACGCAGCCCTCCGCAGCAGTGACCCAAGATGCCATGCTGGTGAGAACAGCAGCGCACCAGTCTTCTACCACCAGCTCATGTGATGCAGCCAATCAAGAGACATTGTACAGTTGAAAGCAGTGGCTGCGGACACCAGATCGGCATACCCAGAGATGCTGCGGCCGAAGGGGAGGTTGGCTTTGGAGAGGGCGGCGTCGGCGGCTGCCTGGCGCTGGAAGCCGTGCGCGAGGGGCCCTGCCACGAGGCCGGCCGCGCCGCCGCGCAGCTCCGAGCACTTGACGACGTGGAGGTGGTCGATCTGCGCCGCCACGTCCTCCATGCCCAGCTCATTCACCGTGTAGTGCCAATACGTCGACCCCATGCGCGCCGAATCTGGCCGCCCCATAAGAATGCATGTCAACTTTACATTGTCAGGCATTTGCGCCAATGGTTCCGATGGTTGCTAGTTGAAAGTTTGAGCTAGTTTTAGCAAAATTTCTGCTGCAATCCGGAGGTGATGTGATGTGATGTGAAGGGAGATGGCGAGGTACCTATGTGGACGCGAGGCGGGTTGGAGCGCGAGTTGCCCAGCCACACATCAAAGCCCTGGTCGTAGGCGGCAAAAGCCTGGGAGCCCGTGACGCCGTTGGAGACCCAGCCCATGGAGGTGTCCAGGATGCCATGCATGAAGAAGACACAGTCCCGCGCATCTGAACACCACGCCAGCCTCTCAAGAGAACAGCATGCAAGACTCAAGATGCATTGTTGCTGTGGAAAGGTTCTTATGTGCAGCTGAGGCAGAACAGAGAAATCGCCGATCGCATCATAGCACAGCATAGCATGCCTGCCGCCAGTATTTCTCATGGAGAAGGTCTTGTTAGGAGTGTTATAATACATGGCATGCATTTTCGCTGCTGGAATTGCTAAAGATGGCGGGGTCATGGTGTACATGGGTCAGATGCTCACCGCGGCGGGGCATGCGCTCCATTTGGAGCACGTAGCCGTCGGAGGTGGTGACGGTGTGCTCCTCCAGGGGGTAGCCGGCCTGGCGGATGACGTCGCCCGCAGTGCTGACGCTCTGCAGGCTCTCCCAGCTGCTGAAGCTGTTGCTGCGCCGGAAGCGCGTCGGCCGCGGCCGGGACGCCATGTCCTCCCAGGACGCCGCCTGGCACAGGAGCACTGAATCCATCACAAGCTGTGAGGAATGATGGCCCTGTCATGTGGAGGCTGGTTCCAATGATGATGATGTTGGTTGTTGCGTCATGGATCGTGTCAGATTCAACCAGCCTGGTGAGCACCTAGGTGTGTCACTGGGTCCTCCATAGCATGCTCGCCACGACATCCTCTGTGCAGCATGTTCTTGAATATGCTTGGAGGTATAGCACAGATTGCAAGGGCGGCTCACCTCGGTGAAGATGCCGGGGTCCTCACTGCGGGTGCGGCGGCGGGCGGTGGGGGTGCGCGGCGTGGGTGTCCAGCTGCTGCGCGAGGGCAGCGCCAGCACGCGGCGCACCACGAGGCGCACCGCCTCAAACACCGATGTCACGCCGAGCTCGCAGCCCATGCGTATGTCCTCCAGGAAGCCGCGCCGCTTTGTCTTCTCATCCACCGCCCAGCCTGCAGTAACACGAGAAGGGGCTCTCAGGAAAATCAGATACGGAGTACTGACTGCCCAGCATCTCCACAAGGGATGAGTCCTTCATTGTTGTACATGTCGTAAGGCATGCCGGAATGGGAGCATACCGCTGGGCCTGTCGAAGAGGTCACTGGCGCTCCGCCGCAGGATGGGCGCTTTTTGACGGGACTTCCCACCGCCAAACCATCGGCCAAAGAATCCAGTGGTTGCCGCGCGGCTGTCAGGCTGATCCTCCCACTTTGGGGTCTTGGATGCAGGTCGCCACCACTTCCAGCTAGCATGCGCAGCCACTGTCCTGTCGGTTGATGCATGCTGAGCTGGAGGAGCAGCTGTTGCTCCTGTGAGCAGCACAACATGTAGAGTCACGCACATACTTCTACAGTGCAGAGTAGCCAAGGACATGAAAAACCCAAGTTGGGATGGGCCATTCTTGGACTTCCGACAGCTTTGAGCAGAAAATTACTTCAGATGCATGATTGATACAGCAGGAGAAGAGCGCAAGAAGAACAGACTCACTACTCCCACCTTGGCGGCCATCGGAAGAGCGCCTGCCCTGGTCCCGCCTGATCAAGGCGTTGAAGGTACTCTGCTTGTTCTCACCCCACCAAGACTGCCAAGCCGCAGTACGGCTGTAGTTCGTTTGCAGCGTATTGGCATATTCTTTGTCCACGAACAGCGCGACGACCGAGGCGAAGAATCCATTCAGGAAACGGGTCAAATTGCTGAATGCTTCCCTGATAACAGACTTAAGACTTTCTTCATATGTGCCCAGCACGCTTTCCAGCCACCACTCGGCCAGGGGGTGAATGAATTGCTTCTGGATGAATCTCAATACAATGAGCGTAGCCCAGACCACTCCCCCGGCGAGCTGGGCAAAACTCCTCAACACCATAACACTGTTCTGCGCGATTCTTTTGCACAAGCGAAATGACTGATACTTCCCATCTCAAAACAACGTCATAAGAACATGATTCCAAAGCGTAATGCGAGAGAGTGAATGAAGGCACACACAAAATGTGACTGCTTTGGGCAAGAGAACCGGCAAGGAAGGTTGGTGGGCAGAACGGCAGTCCAGTCAGCATGTGGCCCATCATTTGATCCAAAAATTCAAGCCACAGATCGCCTCAATCAATATATTACAGTGGTCATAAACAAAAATGCATTGGATCAGACCTGCAGGGACCAATTGCTTATCTTGTACTGGCTTGAAGAAAAGGCGGGGATCATCGAGCTTTCGATCTGTCTTGCTGTAAGCAATCTTTTGTACGTCCCTGATAGAGAAACTATTTTCCGTCGATGATGGTGGACAGTACCCTCACAGCGAATGTCAGGCGAGAGATTGCCAAGCTGCAGGTATTCAACAAAGTGCACTTTGTGCTGCAAATATTATAATTACGATTGAGCGCCTTAAGCTCATGATCCTGCGTAGGTGGATTTGAATGCACTGAACACGGAAGATCTGCGTCTGAGCGCTGAAAAGGCAAGCCTTCTTGACCCTCCCCTGCTGCTGCATCGTACCCAAGCGTGCAGACTGTTGATCGAGCTTTGTGCTGCAGCTGCAATTGACGTTGGAGAGACTGAACGATCAGCTGAGTAACACGTCCACGCCTGCTACTATGAATCCCGATGGAGGAGTCGGGGAAGAATCACAGGTCAGCCTGTCTCCACTGCCTAGAAGTGTGCCTCTGAGGGAGCAGTGCAAGCACAGTGACGGACAGTGCATTACAGAGCTGAACGTGCATGTCATGCCGCACAGAGCGTGCGTCCCAAGGTCAAGGAGATGAGCGCTGAGGTGGTGGATTCGAACCCCTACAGCCGGCTAATGGCCCTCCAGCGCATGGGCATAGTAAAGGACTACCAGCGCATCCGAGACAAGACCATCGCCATCGTGGGCATCGGCGGTGTCGGCAGTGTTGCGGCCGAGATGCTGACCCGCTGTGGCATCGGTCGTCTGCTGCTGTACGACTATGACAAGGTGCAGCCGCTTGCTGGACCCTGCAGAGACACCTTCTCTTGTCTTGTTTGTCTGTCAAGTCCTCCTGATGCTCACATTCATGGAAATTGTATGGACTCAATGGCAAGTGCATGAAAAAGGAGCATGCTTGAGGCGCCCAAATCGATGCATGCGCTTGCATGGAGGCCTTCCTGAAAGTTGAATCTTGCATTCTTGGCATGACCGTTTCTTTCTGTGTAAACTGCAGGTGGAGCTGGCAAACATGAACCGGCTGTTCTTCAGGCCTGAGCAGGCGGGCATGACCAAGACAGAGGCGGCTGCGCAGACTTTGGCTGGCATCAATCCGGATGTGGCGATTGAGAGCTACACCATGAACATTACCACGCTGCAGGGCTTTGACTCCTTCAAGGCCTCCGTCACTGACGCCCATGGGGCCACCCGAGTGGACCTTGTGCTGTCCTGCGTGGACAACTATGAGGCGCGCATGACCATCAACCAGGTGGGTGGCTGCAACAAATCTGGTCCCTCTATGCCCCTGCGTACAGCATAGATTGTTTGGGGCTTGGCAGTCCCACTGGACTTTGTCTGGGAACCTTATCTAGGGAAAATGGCTCCTGACCAGCCCTGTATGCAATGCAGGTCTGCCTTGAGCTGGAGCAAACTTGGATGGAGTCTGGCGTGTCAGAAGATGCTGTTTCAGGCCACATACAGGTATGACAGCTAGTCATGCCGTTCATAGGATGCCCTGACGTGCATGCATGCAAAGCAGATCTAGATAAGCGCTTGAGGATTCTTCATCCTGTGTGCCAGGTTGTGATCCCAGGAGAGACAGCCTGCTTTGCATGCGTGCCCCCACTGGTGGTGGCGTCTGGCATAGATGAGCGGACACTGAAGCGCGAGGGTGTGTGTGCTGCGAGCCTGCCCACCACCATGGGCATCATTGCCGGGCTGCTCGTTCAGAACACACTGAAATACCTTTTACACTTCGGCCAGGTCTGCCAACAGCCATACTCCTGCCCTCTCCTCTCAATGACGTCATATCAGGAATGTCACTTTGTTCTGTTGCCGGCTGATGCTCATCAAGAACGATTCACAAACTAATCATTGTTGTGCCCTGCTCTGTGAATTAGGGCCTATTCCCCCCAAACAAAGAGGCGGGGATACATACCCGTCCTCTGCCACCAATCAGAATACCGTATATTGCTTGCAAATGCACTATTTGGTGTGGATGTATGGCAGGTGACGAGGTATCTTGGGTACTCCTCCCTGACGGACTTCTTCCCCACGATGGACATCAAGCCCAACCCGGGCTGTGCCAACCCAGCCTGCCAGAAGTTGCAGGCGGCCTTCCAGCTGCTGTACAATTCCGAGGAGGCCGTCGCCGCGCGCTCGGCTGCGGCTGCGGCAGCTGCAGGCACAAAAGAGGAAGCCGCGACGCACGAGGACAATGACTGGGGCATCGAGGTGGTGAACGATGCAGGCCCTGCAGCAGCCTCTGCAGGGCCATGCACTGCAGGGCAACAAGACGGCCTTGCTGCAGGGCTCCAGTATTCCTTTCCGGTGCGTCTGCAATTGTGCTTCTTCGCAGCAATGCGCACAAGCATAAATTTGCTTGCTGTGAGGGCTCAATTTTCCCCCTGAAATTGCGCGTGCTGGCATGCATAATGAAGTTAGGTCAATTGTGGTTGTTATGCGTAGCTCTGCCTGCTCAAGCATCTGTGCAGGCAATCAACAGATCTGTGTTTCACAGGTGGCCTTAATGGATCCGCATGATCTGAAGAAGGATGCGGTGGAGGACTCTACTGCTGATGTTGACGCTCTTATGAGTCAACTGCATGCGCTGAACGCACAGATTCCGGAACCTCTATGTTGAGCAAAACCAAGAGCATAACCAGGAGATGCCATTGAGCTCGCCATTGATCTGCACGATCTGGCGTGCAACATCGTCGTGTTGTCGCTTGCAAATGATGCCTCGCGTAGTGCATAAGGACTTGCTGGACTTGATGCCACATGCCGTTTACATTGTCTTGGCAAGCAAGCAAGATATCCATAGTGCTGGTGATTCATCTGTAATTATCTCAACGCATACGCTTGTGTTGGGACCATGAAGCTTTTGATGCCAAACCCACAAGTAATCAAGTATGACCCCCTTCAAAATTGAACGCAAAGATGAGATCTCTCACGGGCCTAAATCACATTTCTGAGGATACCCGTGCATTCATTATTCAGATCAGAGCAAGCTCACCAAAACGATATTGCAATATACGTTGACATGGCAAAGGAATGCAATTTGACATGTGATATTCTTGCTCGTGGGCTGCATTTCAGCTTGGCTGTCACCATGTAGCACCATGTAGGATGTATGTGGGTTAAATTCTCTGGCCTAGGAATTTATCTGGGAGACTGTTGACCTGAGGCATGGGAGAACCATCTCCAAAGCTGCTGACCCTGACTTACCAGCGCCTGAGCTAGCTTCACCTCACCTTCTCAAGGCCAAGCTTGGGCCACCTGTGACTGTACCATCTAGCTAGCTGCGCACTTCCAGAACCAAAAATGCATATGCATGCACATCAAAACCTGAAATGCAAGTATTATTAAATCATCAACATCCAGCGAGATCTGTTAGAGAGATGTACAAGAGTCTATCATTTTACTATTGTTGAGAGTACTGCGGATACCAGCCGCACAACTCGAGTTGTGAGGCCGGTCAGCATCAATATCAGCAGGAGCTTCTCCGCAGGCTGTTGATGTTGATTAAAACAAGGGAGAATGCAAGATAAGAAGGGAATCATAATCTATCCTTTTACGATCCTCCTGTGACAGCACGTTGTTAAATACACTACAGCAGCTGTCTTCATGACCCTGGCAGCTGCAGTGCAACACCAATCAGCACTGCCATTCGGGCTAGCCAAATTGGTGGAAGCCAGCTTCACCTGTCATTTTCGTTTATAAGGCTGATTCCTGAAACTCTAGTGTCCACCAGCCTGAGTCTGCTTGGATATGTATGAAAGTTCCTCAGAAAAGCTCCGTAAAAACGACTATGAGCACACTTTTAATTGAGCCAGCTTGCAGAGTCGTGCAACATTCAGTGGAGACCCCTTGGCTGTTGATACACATGCAGAATTCTCCCTTTTAGCCATGCTCTGAAGTAAAGTGTTAACTGAGAAGCCCTCGGCACGCTCTCCTTCCTTTCTCCTCACAGACCCCTGGCCAGCTGCAAATACTGCAGAGCAGCCAGCCAGCACAGCCTGCCAGCAAGCGTCCCGACTGGTGTCCGCAGCCATCGCTTCAGGGATCAGCTTGCTGAGATACACCTGCCTTGCTCGCTCATCATGCGCACCCAACGCCACCAGGGTGCGCACTGCAACAATTTGCAGAGCAGGGGCCTCCTCAGAAACAGCGCCAGACTTCTGGTCCGCCAAAGGTATTTCTGGAGGGGTTGTGCATGCTAGATTGACCAGCTGCTGCAGCAAGGCTGGGAAGCACTCCCAGCGCTGCAGGAGCCAGGGCGCAGCCGCAGCCATCTCTTGCAGGCAGGAGAGCGGCACAGCCAGCGTTTCCTGCGCAAGTCACCACCCCGTCAAACGCCAGAAACATGATGGCGTCTTGGCATGCAACATTGGACGTTTCTCCAGAGTCATCATCTCGACAATCTGGTTGTAAGGTGAGCTCGGTACCTCAGCACCGGTGCTGCGCTGTGTAATGGAGGCAAGTGCGCAGCGCGCCAAGTTTAGCAGCGCCGCCTGGGATGACCGATGGCTGTCTGCCTCCGCGCGCAGCCGCTTCACCGACATGCGTGCTGCAGTAAGCAGCTCTACCGATGCCGCAGCCCGCCCTCGCCTGGCACATGCATGCGCTCCGTCAGCCACATATCCAAACAAAACCCCACCGCCTTAACCACAATGCCATCAATGACTCACTTCACCGCTCCACTCCCCACTCTTACTCTTGCAAACAAGCTTCAACAGTCGATAAATTCAACTTGCAACCTGTCTGCACACATACATCACCATACTTTGTGTGAGGTATCAAATGCTTAAATATTTATGTGACAGAGCTCACCGCGCCAGCGCATGCGCCATGCCTGCGGCCAGGCCATGTCTGCAGCCCAGATTGTCCAGCACAATCTGGAGGCCGCAGTGTCGCATGCAGCCGTCTCGGCTGTCCAAGGCGCTCAGGAGGCGCTCAGCAGAAGACTCCAGGGACTGCGTTGCCCACGCCTCTTCAGGCACCTGTGTGATTGCACACACTTAGCCGGAAGATCAAAGGAGCTCGGAATCAGCCGACGTGCCCATGCAACATTATTCCTATTTGTGACGCACACCAAGGGGGCAGAGGCAGAGTAAGATCCACGTGACACTTATGATCTTCTCAAACTGCTCTGTCAAGGATTTATTGGGTGAAGCTAAATCAGGTACGATTGAATAGGAAAGCGGCGCGTGGTCTCTCACCTGCTCTGGCTCTGCTCCGGACATCAGCCAGGGCAGCAGGCCTCCTTTCACAGCGGCGACCAGCCGCTGGGAATCCGCGCCGCAAGCTTCATCATGCACCAGCCCTAACAGCGCGTCCAAGACTAATTCGCGCAGGCAGCCCCCCCAACTGCAGCACAAGCACGCCAGGCTGTCTGCTTGCACTGGCAGGCCGTCACCCCGGCAGCTTGCCTGCACCTGCGCAGCACCAGCTATTCTCACCCAAGCCGTTCATAAAGGCCCTCTGCACGATCACCACTAAGGCCCTCTTCACGATCACCACAGCTGAAAACAAAATGCTCCTGTTCACTCCGTAAGCCTGACAAGTGATATTCCACAAAGTTGAGGAAAAAGCCTGGCACCTGCTGGGGCAGCCACAGGGGCAGCAAGCCCGCATGCACCATGCCGGATTCCCCTTCAGCTGCGCCGGCGCATGCACTACAGTAATCCACGCACAGCGGCTGCAGCGCCGACAGCAGCCTGCCCGGGCTGCATTCCTGCAGCAGCGCATTGTCTGCGCCTTTTTCCAAGTCCTTGGCCCCTGGCAGCGTTCGCTCCCCGGCAGCTGGACACAGCAGGATGTGTTGTACCAAGGCCCCCTGCTCCCCGAGGCTGAGCAGGCCCTCAGCTGCAGGCCTGCCACCTGCTGGTGCCATCCTTTTGAGGCTCTGCAGAGCGCTCTCCAAGCTCCCAACAAAGGCCCGCTGCCGAGTCAGGACGGCCGCAGCAGCCAGCTGCCTCACGAGCCCCGCTAGCCTCTGTCCGCTCTCCTGCTGCCAGGTGTCAGCTGCTTGCACAGGGCTGTCTGCTTCAGCTCCGCTGCACAAGTGTCGCAGGTCGGCGGCCATCTCAGAGACAACGCCGCTGGATGAGGTGGTGGCAACAGCGGGTGTCATTGAATCAAAGAGCGCGTCCAGAGTGAGGCTGCCGGTACCCGCGGTGCCCATGCTGAGGACGGCGGCTGTGGCATATTCGGCCACCGCGCGGGGATTTGCCGCCACAGCCGCCTCCAGCATGGGCGCTCTCATGCATGGCTCACAAGCCGCGCTCTCCTCTGAACGCACAGCCACAGTGAACAATTGTGTGCGAGCCAACAAGCAATATTGTGTATTGTGGAGGCAGATGAGACCTCAAGCAGCATTTTTTTACAGAGCTTCAATGCCCAGTGACAATAAGTTGGCTAACCAGCACAAGTACATGGTCCATGCTAATGGGCAGGCACCGCACCTTCTGGCGGAGTGTCTGGCACAGCATCTGTATCCATGTTGTCCAAGTTCAGGGGCTGCCCACCAGCCTGAAATTTATGACAAGAAACCCTCAAGGCAAACAGACACAGAAGATATAGTGCAAATGGCAAGAACCACTTCAAGCTTGGTACTGCTCACCTGGCCCACTTCCTGGAGCAGCGAGTGGACAAGAAAGCTACTGAGGCCCATGAGCGTGGTGGCTGCATCTACAGGCCAGTCCTGCATCCTGCCAGCCCCACGCCATGCTCCCACGAGCAGAACCGTGGCTTTGGCCAACTGAGTGGCCTGTGGCGGCTGCTCACCCTGTGTCAGGGCCAGCAACAGGTCCATGTCTGTGCCGTGCTGCCTGCACCAAGGCACGTCCACATGTGAACACGACATTTACACACCCCTCAGCAGAAGGTGCACATCCTCTCATCATGCCGGCAGGACTGTGGCACACAGGAAATCTTCAGAAAGGCTGAAATTGCATAAGCGTACATGAGGTAGGTACAAAAAGCTCACCTGCAGGCGTGCACAAAGGGCATCCACACGTCGATGGCTGCAGCAGAGCTATCTTTCGCCAGCACACGTGCTGCCCGCCACGCTGCCTCCAACGATTTAGCACTCTGCGGGCCTTCCACCAGCAAAGGCAGCGCCTGATGACCCTGCTCCCTGCACTGGTCCAGCGCCGCCCCTGCACCCAAGAGCACCCTACACTCACCACCCATTATCAAAGCCTCACAAGTGCCTCCATCCAGTATATTCCAAAGAGCTGCAGAGGGCTATGAATGTCCATACTCTGTGGGGAGAGGAGCACACCTGACTGCAGGGCTTCATGGCGGCGCGCCCAGAGGAGGACGGATGATGGCACGCCAGCTGCGCTATCATGCGCTGAGGTGGCATTGCCGCTGATGTGGCCGGCCTCGGCTGCGGAGGTGTCCCCTCCCGCCGCCTGAATCATCTTCTGCAGGTCCACGGCCTCCTTGCGCACCGCGGGCGCTGCCTCTCCGTGCAGCAGCAGCGCCCCAGCAGCCACCCTGCTCGCCTTCCTGCAGCCCACAAGGTACCTCGATACACCTTCCAATTCTACAGCCTTCTACCATACCATCAAGTGCACCGGTTTGTTTGGAACCCTCTGGTCAGTGGTGACCAGATGGCCTCCAGATGGGGCACCCCATCACCGCATGCATAGCAGGGATGCGTAACCTTTCTTCTCTGAGGAGCCTCAGCCAGCGATGTAAGTGTAGACTCAGCTTGCCTGCTGCAAAACTGTGAGCATCCTTGACAGTGTGCGCATGCATGCAAGCATGAGCGATGATGAGCAACTCTGGGCAATCAAGCATGAACAACCTTGGAACTAGTTGTTGTCCAATGGCACAGCAGTGTGATGGCACACCTGAGCAGGGGGCCGTCAGTGTCTCCCAGCAAGAGGCCGTCGGCAATGCGCTCGCGGGCGGCCTGCAGCAGGAAAGCCAGCCAATGCACGCGCTCCCACACATAGCGCCCGTCCAGGCTGGCGCTGGGACGAGGGAACGTCCACAACAGTGCGCCCTCGCCCTGCAGCGTGCACAGCGCGGCCGCCAGGTGGTCCCACCTTGCTGACGCAGCATTTGTCATCTGCGCGTCACGCAGGGACAGCACGTACTGCACCGCCCCCGCCCAGAAGGCCGCCTCCCCTGCTCCACGGATGCTTTCATCACAATATAATATAATAGCCCTTCCTATGCGAGCTTCCTATGACATGCACACAAGGAAGTTCGATAGCGAGACACTACATGATCGTTCTTGTGCAAGATCCAGACATGCACATTGGGAAATATATCGGGAGCGTACTGAACGATGGAGGCAGGAGGGGATCAGGGAATTACCAGGGGTGTGGTTGCGTTGTGCAGCCATGACTTCCTGCGCGAGCTGAAGGGTGGCAGCAATAGCTGCAGGTGCCTCCATGAAGGCCCCAGCTGTGGCCCAGCAGCGTGGCTCGTTGCGCAGGATCGCCCTGAAGTCCACTTCTTGCAGCTGCGGCCTGCGCCCCAGGTACACCGGATCATCTGATGAAGGTGCAGATCGATATGCATATTCATGCACAAGTCCCATTCCTTGCGACTGATGGTCCTGGGAGCAGAAGCCTCACTGTGCTGTGGAAGCGACTCCATCGAGCTCCAGCAGCTGGACAGCTCCATACTCCACGTTGGCTGTGTATGGCTGGTGAGTCCAGGAGTGCTTCAGGCTCGCCCAAGACATCTCGATGAGGTCACCTCAGTACAAAGTAGGAGACCTTGTGGTGTGTGCAGACAAATTAAGCTCTATATGTATCTGTATTGCAGATTTTCCTTGCTTATATCACTGTATTGCTGAGTACAGGGCCTCCTAAGAATTGGCACATCAGTTCATGGCATGCTTATTGTAAAGCTGACACGATGATCCGAAATAGCGCACGTCGCTGGCTATCCACTGTCTCTTAATATTACAGGCAGGTTTCTCACTGGTGATCGCTTGAATCTCTCGGAAAGCTTGGCTCGAGGGTTTGTTTCAGGGCTTCAGGGTTAGCAAGCTTCCACTCCAGCGGAAGCTGGGGAATTTCCGAGGGACGTCGCCTTTGATCCCACTTTTCGAGGCAACCACCCATCTGAATGAAGCTCTAGTCGGTGACAAGAAAGTCTACCATCGTTTGACATTCCTTCACCGATCTGTTAGGTAAGTTGGAGCGAACACTCCAAGGGCAGCACGGTGCACAAACTCCAACGTTCTGGGAAGCGCTTCGCTCGTGCACTGTAAGTACTCTGGCAAGATCAGATGCGTAATATTGTTGAGGCTACATGAATATGATAGATATGTGCAATTCGACACAATCCCCTGACTCTGAACGTGTACTCGTCTTGGTACAGAACAAGATGGAGTACACCGGAACCGACGTGATCGCGCAGGCACACGTGTTCCTGAACGATGAAGACGCAATGTGTCAATTTCTTCATGATGGCATTGATGGGACACGATCAAGCCGTCATCTTGCCACAAGGAAGAAGCGGTTCCTGTCGGAAGGCACGTCCCAGCTCGACAAACCTTGGAATATGTCCGTCCTTGGTTCAAACTTCCCATCAGGCCAGGGATGACGCTAAACAAGATTACATTGCTCATTTACTTTTCAATGCGCAGATACCGAAGATCAGGTGGCATCGCCCACCAATTCTCAAGGCTGGCTGCCGAACAAGCGGAAGGCGGTCGTCACTCATGAGTATCCTGAACCCAAGGTATCGGACCATGCTTGCAATTCTTCTGATGATCATCCCTTTTTCCTCTCAGCTGCACAACATGAAAATCTTTCGTTCTCTCTGACAGGACGAGCCCACCTGGATTTTTAAAGGCACTGGCGAGGTTTTAGCACCCGACAGTGCACCACAGGCGGTTCCAGATGTGTCGTCCCACGCGCCAAGCAACATCGGGCCTGCTGCAATCAAGAAGCGCTCAGGCCGCTGTGCTTCTTCATCAGCCTTCAGGTGCATCCTGTTGTGACATGACCTGCTGCTTGCAGACTTCCCCACACTCCTGCAAGCCCAAAACCTACTCAGATATTCTTTGCTGCCTCTGCTGTGCCTTGCAATTGACTGGAAAATTTGTGCTTGCGACAGGGGAGTGACCCGCCACTCCACCACTGGACGATATGAGGCTCATCTGTGGGACTCATCTTGGAGCCGTCCAAAGACAGTAAGGCTCAATCTCTGCACTTCCAAGTGACACCAAGACAACAGACAGGATCTGCTCAACAGCAGTATCAAAACAGCAAAGTGTGGTGCAGGTGAAGGGTGGGCGCACGCGTGGCAAGCAGGTGTATCTGGGCGGGTGGCTGACTGAACATGAGGCAGCTGAAGCATATGACAAGGCCGCCATCAAGTACTGGGGGCGAGAAGCATCCCTCAATGTGAGAAGCATCCCTGTCTATTCATCACATGTAGTTGAAGCAAATGTCAATGCATGGAAGTATTCTGCAGAAACCCATCAATGACGCAGTCATCCTTGTGCAGTTCACATGGGAGCGATATGAGGGTATGATGGCAGACCTGGATGCCATGACCCGGGAAGAGGTGGTGGCTATGCTAAAGAGGAACAGCACTGGCTTCTCAAGGTATTCTTCACATTCTGTGCTTCTTCTGACAGCTGCTACCAGCTGCTACCTGTTTCAGCAGCTTGTCAGATGCACTTAACCTCGTTTGTTGAGTGACAGGGGCCAGAGCCAGTATCGCGGGGTGACTCGCCACCATCAGCAAGGGCGCTGGGAAGCCAGGATTGGGCGTGTGCGCGGAAATAAATACCTCTACCTGGGAACTTTCAACAGGTGACCAACAGACTTGCAGCATCTTTTGGTAGCACCGTGCATATCCATGACATACAGCCTCTTGCCTGCTTCCCTGCAGACTGCAGCAATACTCAGCACTGAGCCTCTGTGTTGTGAGCAGTGAGGAGGAAGCTGCGCAAGCGTATGACAGGGCTGCTATTCAATACAGAGGCAAGAAGGTGATCTCCGGCTTGTACCCTCAATGCCTGACTTTCAGGCGATTAGTTAAACTTCAGTGGCAGAATTGCAGTGATGGTTGTGAAACCTTAATATCCTGTCTGCTGCCAGGCTGTCACCAATTTTGGACACCGCTCCTATTCCCCAGAGGGTCCCCACCTTGCGCCAACTTCACACTCTACTTCGCAGCAGAAGCCGTCGCAAAGTCGTAGTGAGTCCTTTCATCTGCTGAATGCACGATGCCCCAGCGTTTGGCTCCGGCACTCCAGTACAGTAGCTTTGAACACTTTCAAAAGAACGAATGTATGTTAATCTGGTGATTCTGGCATGCAGGCGTTGTGAAGACCACTCAGCTGGCGCCGAGCACCCCAGCCCAGCCGGATGCATGCTGGGCAGGAGGACCTGCCCAAGAGCTGTGGTCACAGGGGTACGCCAATGCCACTGATGCCATGCTGCAGCAGATCATACTAGACCTGTGGCCCCACGACCTGCCTCAGTCTGGGAAGATGGCAGCTGTGCAGCCCTTGTCTGCCGGATCGGAGGCATCTGCTGAGTCAGCTGTCCCTGAAGCAGGTGAGAAGCCGTCCATCATGCTGCAAAGCTGGGTCTGTCAGGTTCTGCATCGCTGCATAGACCCTCTTCATTTAAATGGAACTGTTATAGCACTGTCCATGCATGCTGGAATTGATAATAGTGAGATATGTTGTCAGCAGGAGTGTGGGAGGCGACCTCGGGGCTGCTATATAGCGGGCCAGAGACACCTCCATTGGAGCGGTTGCCCAGTGGGTGGAACCTGAGGTCCATGGAGCTGACTCCCTTCGAGCCCCAAGCTCTGGACATCTTCAGCATTGTGACCGATGAGCAGGTGAAAACCTGCCCCTTGTACTCAGTAGTACTGCATGTGCGCAGTTTGTGCCTTTTGCTGCTATTAATGCGATGTGGAGTTCCTGCCTACAAGCTTGGGTTGCCTTAAGGGCATTTGAAGACTGCGGCGAGATGGTCTTTCTGGAAAGTAGTAGCGGCAAGCTGATTCGCTTAAGCCTTCGTTGAAGGTGTATTACGGCACACCTGTCAGCTCACTTGTGTCTGAAATTTCTGCTGCAGGCACTAGCGATGGAGCATATTCTGAACGCTGCCAGTCAAGATCTACAATGACCAGTCCACCAGATCTCTCCAGCATCACAAGTGAAAGTGACAGCCATCGGTCAGACAATAGTTACAGAAAATATTTAGACAGAATATTTACAGACAGCACAAGTCTCAAGGGGTCTTTGTGTTCATCGACGCATTGTGTCGAAATAATGATGCTGGGCGGAAGTATATACAACGAGAAACTTTGCATGTGGAAAATCAGAAAAATTTTGGACTTTAGTGTCACCAGGGTCCTACCCTTGCGCAGCAAGCAGTTTCCCTTGCAAGGCAAAACACGCCGTGCAAATCTAAATTCTGAAAATATGCCACCACCACGCACATAAATATCAGCAATCATGTTATCTGTAACATACCCGCCTCCCTAGAAACAGCAGCTGCACATTAAAATGAGACGTGGTCCTGCGGACAACTGTACTCAATGTCTCCCAGTGGAGGATCTTCCAATATGGTCAGCTTTGACGGCACACCAAACCACAGCAGTCCTTCCAGACAGAAGCCTCCAACTGGGAGTCCCAAGACATGGGCCCTATGCATGAGCCCCAATGGGCAACTTATTTATGTACAACAGCTGCAAAATGCACCTACTCATCTATTCCCCAGCACGCAAGAGCGCCCCCCTTCGGAGCACAAGTCATGAAAGTGTATGGCTATTCTTATCTCTGTTTTGTCTAAGGGGGGACTCTGCATGGTGGATCCTGACACATCGCAAACCTTGGAAAGACATACTAAGCCAGCTTCATCTGCAAGAGCTGAGCTTCACAAAACTCAGATTACTTCATTTTGGACTATCGATGGCACTGTACAACCCGCCAGCTACTTTGTGGAGATCGGCCTTGAAATGACATGCATCTGCCAATCCGTATAAATCCCAAGTCCACAGTCCTCAGCAAATTCCACAGTCCTCAGCAAAATCTGGCCCTCACCCACATGCATCCAACTCCATGACATGGCTTTTAGGTCCAACTGCCCGTCAGCTTACTTGGGATCCTTGCTGTGAATGATCTCCTTGAGCACCTGAATCTCCTTCTGCATTGTCTCAATCAGCCGTTTCTGCTCCTCGCACTGTTTGGACAAGGTCTCCTCCCGCTCCTTGAGGGCAGAGATGAGTCCCTTCTGGCGCTCCCGGAAGCGCCGCTGCGCAGCCCTGCCGCAAGAAACAGCGCCCCTGTCAACTCCCCGGCAGTACAAGTGTATAGCCATGCAGATACATGACACAGCCTCAGCTTCCAGTATGAGAAGCAGAAAGGCGAGGACACTTGGGTTCTTCCTTGTGAGTGTGCTGCTGAACAAAGGGACAACAGGCACAGCAAGGAGGAAGTTGCCTCACCGGTTCTTCTCCTTTGCACACTTTGCCACACCGCCTCCTGCCTGGGAGAGGCCTGCCTGGCCGCTGTCACCGGCAGACTGATGCCCAGCGTCCCCTCCAAGGCTCAGGTGGGGCTGCCTGCAACAGACAAACAAAAGACTTGAGACAGCTGGCTGCAGGCAGCCCACCAGATCTGGAGCTGCAGGTGGGTGCTGCGACTTTGCAGCGCTCCCTTAACGAAGAGAAGCAGCATGCAACATTTCTGATCTGATCACCCTTTTTGGTAGTTACATAAAAGCCGTAAACTTTCGTAACCTTTTCGTCATGTTCTCCAACCGCACTCTTTCTGCAGCAGCAGCAACATCGGCCAGGACACCCAAGGCCTAACGGTATCCAGAGGTTATTTCGCATCATTGTAAAGCCCTCTGGCCGTCCGTGGCCGCTTGCACCCTCGTCTGAGAACACCTCCAACACCACCTCCCATGACTAAATCCTCTCAGGAAACTGTTTGCAAATACAGCACGTGCAGAAGAACAGACAACTTAAGGAGCAGCGGAACGCAACAGTGTCACAGAAACAGAAACGTAGGCGATCTCGTTGCAACATCGCGTTCACGAAATCGAACAACGAGAGTGGGGACGCGGCCGAAGCCAGCGGAGCGACACAGACTGCAGGTCTAAACTCCGGACGCACGTTAATTGCAGCAGAGGTAGCAGTGATGCGGTGTCTATCTGCATGGCCTCCTTGGGGGCGCTGGCGCTGGCCGCAGCGTCGCCCTCCGGCTTCCCAGGGAACACTCGTCCAGCAAGCTCCGTGAATGCTGGTGCGCCCTCTGCGCTGCCTTCCCCGCCTTGTGCCTGCGCAGCTGCCCGCAGCCCGGCAATCCCAGCTCGGCCTTCGGCATCCTGGCCCGCAGCTGCTGCCCCGCCGTTTGGCTTGGGAAGAATCGCTGCCAGGATAGGTGCAATCTGTTGCGGGTCCGCACCCGCCAGCGCTGCCAAAAACGGGGCCCAATCGCCAGGATTGGAGCGCTGCTGTTGCTGCTGCTGCATCATCAAAGCCCAGTACGCCAAGGTCGCCGCGGGCGGAGGCTGACCTTCTGATGGCTGGCCTGGATTGTCACGGGCGAGCTGCTGCACAGAGGCTTGTAACTCAGGCGGGATCTGATTCATGGCAAATCAATACTTTCTGGTCCCAAGGACGCTCCCAGACATCACTAGGCTCCTGTGCACCTGGAAAAGTGTGAGTGAGGAAATTCACCTCATCCCTGACTACATTTGCGTGATGAGCACTCCGAAGGCGGCGTTCCTTGTACAGAAGGAACGCCTCCAAAGCTAGAATCTGGAAGGCAACCCTCACACTTGAATCTGCCTCCAACAGCTCGAGCTAAGTGGAGGAAGTGTGCAGCAGATGTCAGCTTAACTGGCCATCAAGTTTACAAAATGATCATACATTTACAGATCTGACGATAGTGAGGACGTGTCCGACACGGGCCCCGGGAGCTCATGATCATTGATCAAGTTTAGTCACAGTCACTGGCACGGTGCCAGCCTGCCAGGCTGGGTGGCCCCGGGGGGTCCTTGAACGCAACTTGTTCGAGTGTCACACTGGCGGCCACACGGTACTGTGTATGCCACATCATGGTGGTCATAACTGAGATCTTGACACTATCATAACGGCGGTCGTTTGCAAGATGGACCCAGACTCAAGCTTGAGTTACATGAAAATATTCGCTAGATCGCAGATCTCTTGCAGGTGCTCAATCAGTTGCACACGGTCCTGCAACACCCTGCTCGCAGCAGCCTTGTCCACGTCCCTGTGCGCCACAGCTGTTGTGACCCTCCAGGCTGTGACCCTGCATGCTCTGCACAATGCTTGTCTGATGCGCATCCAGCGGCTTACCGCATTGCAAAGTAATGCACCATGAAAACTGGGCATACCCTCTCTGCAGTGCCTGCTGTAGCATGTCCCTCTGTTCTTGGGCTTTCTCCAGCATGCTTCGCGTCACCAGTACAAACTCTTCCCTTCCCACATGTTCACCGGCATCGTCGTCATCATCAGAGTCCTCCTCCTCCTCTGTGCAGGCACCAGATGCCATCAGAAGAATGGCTGTCACGCAGAAGTTGGATGCAGTAATGCCATCATGCGTCCACTCGCTGCTCGGCCACTTTTCTGAAGGGGCGCTCACCCTCTGCAAGCATCGCAGCTGCTGCGAACAAATCGGCAGGACCACTCCCTGCCCTTGGTAAATCAAAGGCAAGCTCCATGTAATCCAGTATTTCCTGCAGAGCAGTCATGTGCCCATATCACAATCCTCCGTCCGTTTTTGAATTCGGTTTTAAAACCAATCTATGAAGCAAGCTGCCTGCCAGTGAATATGACCATCAAGTCAGAAGCTCCACTTCAACGGTGGGCAGGTGTGACCACCTCCTGACTCTCATCTGTGTCTTGTGTGGGGTTGGCCAGCACTCGAAGGCAGTCGTCCAGCAGACGCTCAGCAGGCGAGGCAGCATTCCTCTCTGCTATCAGCCTGATGCGTTTCAGGAGCAGCAAGAGCCCCTGAATACCCACCTTGCCCTCACCTGACCTGCAGCAGTCATAGCAAGGATTGCCAGACGGATCGCTGACATATGGCAGCTCCCAATAGGGAAGAACATGGCAATGCACAAGGGCATGCTGGCATGCATGTCAGCTTGCTGTCAGCGCTGGGTAGGACGGCTCACTTGTATGCAGCTTCAATCCTCTTCTCCATTAAGCGGACAGCAGCAAAGTCCAGCTCGGACGCATGCTCTTGCAGGGCCTCCTCAACCTTTTCACCAGCTGTAGCGATGGCAAGAAGAGTTCTGGTCTTCCTCGCTATAGTTTCCTTGTCCTGCACAGAAGATGACCGCCAACGTAAAGCTGTCCGGAGGTGTACTGGTGTGATCACCCCGTGTGCATTGTACCCTTGGGTTGGCACATCGGGTCTGATGAGGTGTGCTCACCAGATTTTGCAGTACTTTGTCCCCACGCTCAAGCACAGGTGGAGAGGGAGCATGGCTGGTTGAGGCTTCACTATTGCTCTGCTGCCGCTGCTGGTCCTGTTCCTGGACAGGCGAGACTGGCTCCGTTCAATGCTTACAAGTAATACTGAGATGGGCTGCTTTATGTGGGCTATTTTTACATTTAAATGCAACTGTGTGTTGCCAAATGAGAGCTGCAGATCTGATCGCTAGAGGCACCATAGATAATCGTATGCACCTCAGTTAGTTCTGAAAAGTCCGCCTCGATGCGTGGGCCCCGTTGTCCAATGCCACTGTTCACGCAAAGTACTGCAGATCTTCGACGTGATGTGCGGCATGTTGCCGAATGGGTGGGACAAAAGGTGGGTGCATGGCCATGTGTGTGTTTAAAGGGGCCGCAAAAAGGCAGTCTTAACGAGGGAGCAAGCATTGCTGGATCGTAATGAAGTTGCACGCAAGATGAATAGTTTGAGGAACTGTCCTTTTTTCTCTGACAGTAAATACACAAATGATGTCATATGCCAAGACATGCATACGTCACACACAATTGTGCTGGACTTCTGAAGCTGGTCGCCAACGATGAGTATCCTCGATTGTAACCTGTGTAGATAATGAGCATATATAAATTATTCTGGGAAGCATATGATGCCCGCTGAGAAGGTTGTCACTTTCTAATGGCGGGTGATCTGAAGAGCTTGGCTTGATGTGGTGGAGGAGAAATGCAGTCGTTCGATCGTACTGCTAGTGTACAGGAACCAGAGGAGAGCGGATGGTTGTGGTCAAGAATTGAGGCAATACCTCATGTTTCTAAAGCAAAACTGCTGCAGCAAGCGGTCAGTATGGATTTGCATATATGTATAGCATCAGAGCTGAACGTCCGGTCAAAGCAGATGTTATGAAGTGCCATACTTTGTGCTCCTATGCCGCCGATTCTCAGAGGGCAAACATTAAGCTTGCAATTTCTTGTCCTCGATGGCTTGCAGGGCCTGAGCAACCTTGAAGGCAGTTGTGCACACCCGCACAAAGTGGAAGACAATGAGTGGGGATTTGCAAGGCTCCCTTCGTTGGACGAGATGTTTGCAGCAGTACAGGAGGGCAAGGAGTCCCCATTCCTCAGCAGGCTCCAGTCCAGCAGGACTTTCAACTCTCCAGACTGCGCTGGCAGCATGGCAGAGGTGTACAGAATAGGCAGACGCCTGGAAGGCCTCAAGGTGTGTGGTCATGGTGGACACCCATGGGGCCCACAGCTGTGGACTTTCAGTGTAGTCTTGCTAGCACTTGAAGCACATGTTTACAGGCCGAAAGTATGTGCTGCAGGGGAGCTCAAGTGTGTCTGACGTTGCATCTGACGAAGCGCTGGAAGACTTGCGAGATTCGCTGAAGGTTGGAATCAAAGCAGTCTGGTCACAGGAGGCTGTCAGGCGAGGAGTGTCTGCTGCCAAGGTGCTTTTTCTCTATACCGTATGTTGGACGTCTGAACAGCGGAGGGCAATACCGATGCTATCATAGCTCAGCGCATGAAGCAGACATGGTAATGCTGTTGACATGCTGTTGATGTACTCAAGGTCCATGCTGTGACACCCCTCATTGGATGCAGGCTGGCGATTATGAAAACGCACACAAGAGCTACGCGCGTGCTTTGGAGCTGGACAGGCGGAATGTAGATGCATGGGTGGCCCGGGGTGCCGCCCATGCGAATGATCAAAATTTCCAGCAGGCTGCTCAGGACTTTAAGACTGCTCTGGGTACGCAACAGGCCCCAGCAAACCTGCAAGGACCATGTCCTTTGATCGTCACAGCTTACTGAGGGTGCAATCATGAATCTTCGCATTTGAGGTTTGGTTGGTGGATGTTCCTGCAGAGATCAAGCCAGATGACGGCAATGCTGCCAAGTATCTTCAGGCCACAAAGGATCGAATGGCCCAGCTGGGCTTGCGCATGCTGGCCCCTTCAGCTCGCACGCCGCCAAAAGCTGCAGACTTGTACAGAGCAGCTGGCTCAGCGGAGAGGCAGCATGCATCTCAATTGCAAGCCCAGCCCGCCTCCGGCTTTAGGGACAATTACATGGACGCTGCCAGGAAGACATTGGAAGACCCTGACAGGCACCAGTCAGGTATGCATGTTGCTGCTATTTCTCTGTGATCATCATGGGAATCAAAAGGCCGGTTGTATGTATGTGAATGGATTATATTCTTCTTTTGCAGGTGTGGGAGGTGAAAACCGGCCAGCACAGGCATCGCCCAGCCAGGATCAGTCGTCAGGCAGGGAAGGCAAGGATGACATGGACCTGCAAGAGGCCCTCAAGATTGTCACAGAGCACTACAGCAGAAGGAACGCTCAGTTTCTATGCCCCATCTGTTGCTGGAAGGCGTGCTGATTGAGTGCCACTGTTTTCTGCGTATTCTGTGAGTCATTTTGCCACAGTGAATTCCTCCCAAGTAGGGCGTATGTGAAAGCCATCTGCCTTTTTCTGTTATCTTTTGTGTGCATGTGCCTGGCGTGGTGCAGGGACAAGAGAGTTGGAAAGAAGGATGCGCATTCTTCAAAGAGAAAACGGTGTGCGCATACCTCTAGATCAGTGTTACGCTCTTGTGCTTCAAGTCTGGACTTTCCATGACGAGCAAGTCAATCTTACAAAGAAGGCTCATAAATTTTGCAAGCATACTGTCTGTGGTAGCCTAGCTGACCCGAGCCACGTTACTCTGCTTGCAGCCAGAAACGGGAGGGAGAGGATGAGCAACAGAGTCACAGCAAGAAAAAAAAGAAGAAGAAAAAGAGAAGGTCAAAAGGCAAGGATGGTGATGATTCATCAGAGGATGCATGAATGTTTACAGCAGACATGAGAGTCGGATGTCAAATCATGTAGAACACCAGTACACAATGTAAGTGGTTCATCACGGTCCTTACATGGCCTCAATCCACATGATGCACTGCGAATTCGAAAACCTGCCTTTCAGCCTCCTTCACCTCATGCTTGCACAGGTACCAACCTTATACTACATCCATCTGGTGGCTTCTAAGTAAGAAATACAAATCAATCGTCTCTATAACTTTCTCTCAGCTAAATCCTGTGCACAAAGACCTGCCAGACTTGATAGATGTTCAGAAATCCAAATAAGCTGAAAATTACCACTGCATCAGAATGGGGTTCCTAGTCCTCGTCCTCCCCTGCAAATGACAGCATTGATTTGTTCTTGACGCCCGCTGCAGCCTGACTGCGTGCTTTCTTCTCTGGGGGACCAGTCCGCTTGCTGCCTGCATGTGGTAGTCCCCCAGGACCCTCTCGCCTCTTGAACTTATGCTGATGAGCCTCAATCGCCTTCCGCTCGTTGATGTGGGCCCTGTGCCTCGCTTCCTGCATTGTGCGATCATCTGGTTCCAACTCTAGTCCCTTTTCATACGCCTCCCTTGCCTGCAGCAGCAGATCAGTCACCCTTTAGTCTAATCAGGGTTGGACATACTGGAAGTTACATGCTTGATCATGAACACAGCAGACAAGATAATATCAGGGACTAGGGAAAAAGAACACGCAGAGATGTGTATCTACCTCTGCCCATTCTTCGAGCCCAAGGTGGGCAGCTCCAGCTCGCGCCCAGCCCTTTGCCCATTTTGGTTTGAGCCTGACAACCATCTTGGCATCATCCAGGGCCTCTGAATAGCGCTTCAAGGCGCTGAGCGCTGCGGCACGATTGCTGTAGTAGATCTCATTGATCTTGTCGAGCCCTATACATTTGCTGAAGTGTCCCACGGCGTCAGCAAACCTGCAGTGCACAGCCTCAAATCATGGATTTTCAAGCAAAGCTTGTGCACTTGAAAAGATGGCATGCGCAGCACCAGGAAGTATATTGTTTGGCAAGCCGGGCAGCACATGCCTCTTTTCTGAGAATGCCTTGTTCCCCAGCTCCTTTGCCGCCTCAGCCTCATTCTTTGCTACATGGCTCGCCAGTTCTGGATACTGCTGCACCAGGCTGGGATCTTGTGCTACCGCTCTCTGCAGCGCATCCTGCTCAATGCCAGAGACACAGAGTAACCGACATGGCGCATGCCACATATACAAGCACATGATGCAGACTTTGGCAATCTCGCACAATTTTGGGCAGTGCCGGAACTCATAAAATTGGGCAGGTAGAAGGAATTGATCTGCATCCAGTGGGGGTGTCCCGACCTGCCTCTCAGCTTCATCGTCTTCCTCACTGTCCCAAGTGTCTGGAGCAGCTTTCTTGGCTGTCAGCTGCTCCTCCGTGCTGTCTTGGGGCTTGCCTAGTAGGTGCATGTGGCCCTGGAGAAACTTGGGAACATGCCTGATGAAATTCACATTGCTGCCGTGCCTACCACCCCCTGCATGGCACCGCTTGCAAGATTTAATGGAGTGAAGGACATGATCATTCACTGCTGTAAAGTAGCGAAATGAAGGTTCCCGCCCAATAGAAGCTACGCCGGTGGCTTCAAGATCACCTGCATCGCCTCCGCCTCCCATGCGTCCACCACTGGCTCCCCCTCTACTGCTGAATCCCATGTGTTCGTCCCTGTCCTGAGACATGCCCGCATCCCCATACTGATCCTCAAAGCCTCCGCCCTCCCCTCTGCCTCCTCTGCCCCCCCCACCCCCTCTGCCCCTTTTACCGCCTCTGCCCATTGGTGATCACCTTCAAGACTGACTGAAACTTCTAAGCGACCTACAATGTCTTCATGTTACTGAAAGATGCTCCTACTCATTTCCTGACTGATGCAGGCATGCAGGTTTTGATGTTCGTGGCGTTGGTGTTGATCCACGCCAATCAAAGGCTATTTTTATATATAGCCTCTGAGATCACTTTTTCAGGGTGAAATTTCCTTGACAAGCACAAACGGTGGTACTGAGCTTAGTTTGGTCCAGGATTTCGAAAATTCAGAAGACAAAAATTCTTGAGGCAAGACCCGACCTTCTTCCTGCACTCTTCTCCTGATGTCAACACTGTCGCTCAGGAGTCCTGACGTCACGCCGGGAGTGCGGCACGTGCGTGGAATTCTTGATTCCCGGGCTGAGCTGCAATTTTAGCAATAATTCATCAGGATGATGGTTAAGGGAATGACAATGAAGCTTTATGATGGGGGTTGATGCAGCTGATCAGCCTTTGTGTCCTCTCCCATCTGACCACCAGATCAGAAGCAATTCATTCGCCAGCGATCCTATGAAGCAATATCCTGTTAGGAGCAAAATCCAGGAGCATGCCAATATCCTGCAGGCTTGGAGTGGTCCAGGGATGTGTGTTGACATCAGACAACGAGATGGGTCCATTCGTATTCCATCCCCATCAAGCGATCTCTGGTGGTAAACAAGAGCCCTCACTGGATTCAGCTGTGCCATTGCGCTCCTTGAGGCTTGTGGAAAACAGTAGAGGTTATGATGACGTGTGACTGAGGCTTCAAAGTTTGAAGTCGTTCGTCACTTTACAGGGATGCATAAATGTGCAGAATGTGCTGCAGATGAATGATGGCATCTGCTGTGGGAGAGGGCAGCGGCGCAACAGCTGTGGAAGCATGCGCTTGGCCGCAGCCAGCAGCAGCCATCCCACGCATGAGGGTCCTGACTACGGGGGCAGACTTCCGCCTATGCCGCCTCTTGCGATCTGGACTGACAAGGATGGGCAGCCAGAATCTCAACGTGAAAAGGTACAGACATCGACATTCTGGGCACCAGCAGTTAATTACAGCTGGGTTGAAATGTGGCTGCTTGCCTCTTCTCGCTTTGGCAGGGACTTTGTGCAACCTGCTCTGCATGCTCAAGGGCTTCTATCGCACTGTGTAAAGGTTTTGTGGGAGGCGAGGGACATAATTCTCATTCTTCATGCCGCAAATCAGATCATCAATGGTCCATCTGTGACGGAGGCCATGCTTTGTGCTGGTTAGCCCGTGGGGCAGGGAAACGATGGGGCACCTCTGACTCAACGTATGGGGGAGGCCAGTCGGTGTACGAGGTTGAGGAAGGCTGGTGCAGTGTCAACCCCGACGGAGGCCGCTGTGCAGGCCAGTAGGAATGTGGAGCAGGGCGCGGATGGATGGCGGTCGCATGCAATTCAGGCCAGCGCGCATGCCGGTCAGGGTGTGGGACAAGAAGAGGGACAGCCATTAAGTCAAGCCAGTGAGGCAGCCAGGGACGACGTTAGGTGGGCAGCTTGTGGCTTTGAGCAGGGCTGGGACTGCTCGGGGCCGCCCATGAGCCAGGCCATCCAGGAAGCTAAGCAGTAATTTGGGCAAGGGTCCAGAGAGGCCCGCCGCTCTGGACATGGGAAGGAAGCCTTGAGGCCGCCTCTGCCTCAGGCCAGGAGGGATGATAGGAAGGGCGTTGCACGTGCCCTCCTCTGCATCGGACAGGGGGAGGATTGCTCGGGGCCGCCTCTGACTCAGGCCATTGAGGACCACGGAAAGCGTGTTGCGCGTGCCATCCGTTGCATAGGTCAGGGGCCAAATTGTTCGGGGCGGTCTTTAATTCAGGCCATCAAGGACTTTGGAGAAGGGCTTCGCTGCATCGGGCAGGGGAGAGATCGCTCAGGGCCCCCTCTAACGGTGGCCTTTGAGAACGGGGGCAAAAGTGCGTCACACTGGGACCTTTGGAGTGTTCATACTCTGCTGCCATTTGGAGAATTTCAGGAGTCAGCGTGCGTTGACACACATCTGTGGGGCAATGCCTCTCTTGGGAATCAACACGTTTGTTGTGAGGGTGCAGGAACTTCCAGGACTTTGAGTCTGAGCCTAACGCTTGGAGGACTTGGATGCATGGTGAGCGATGTACCAACCGGAGTCTTGTGTGGTGCCACTGTCATCTTCTTATGCAATCTGGTGAGGAGTCCCCTCTGAAAACAAGAATCAGGCAATGTTTGCTGCACTGTATATATGCAAATGGCAGGAAAACTCTGGCAGAAAACAGAAATACCTCAGCAGATCATGCAGGTTCGGCGCATGAAAGCCATCGATGAATGACAACCCTCACTCTTTATGCAGATGTAGCTAAGAGAAGCAGAGAGGAGCAAACTGACTCTCAAGGATTCCCATTTGAGAGCACTGCGATTGTCTGAATTCCCTCGGAGGTATATTTTCGAGAAGTGAAGCTATTGTCCCTTCCATGGGTACACCCAGGACTGATTTGTGACACTGTCAGATATTCAGCAATGTACATAACTGTTTCTGTCTTGCATGGCAATTTCGTTATTAAAAAGAGCAGCTCTCTCCTGCAGCTTTGACATGCATGCCAGTGGACATGATCATGAGCGCACAAATTTCTGGGCAGAAGATCTGCCCCATTCTGTGCTAGCCCTTTGGAGGTGCAGGACATCAATGATAGGCCAATTGCAAGCTAGGAACAGAAATTTGACATGTCAGCATTTGCTGGTGGCATTGCGCACTTCTTGTACAGAATTATGCCTGGCAGACCAGAAGCACAAGTGCTGAAGCTGGCAAACATCTATTTTCACCTTACGTGCCCCGGGCATCATGGGCCATCATTAGAGATGCGTGTGCATGCAAATGGTTGAATCATGCCTCCTCCTGAATATTGAGTGTGGCTCTGCAATTGCAAGATCATTATCATTGATGCGCATCAATATTGCATTAATGTATACACTGTACAGTGACCAACGCGAGGCTATTTTCCTGTTTGTGCTAAAATGTTGCTGGTTTATTTGTGCACCACGTGTGGACAAATCCGAGAATCTGATATAGCCATCTCCTCAGCTGAGCCGGTAACTGGGTCACTTGTAACGTCCATCAGTCTTGACTGCTCTCCTACAGTTCCTGACACTCATGATGTGACAGCAGTAGTACAAGTAATGTGCTGTTCTTGTCCTGTCACATGCCCAGTATCAAAATGAAAATACTTGAGTCTCTTCCAGGCATGACTACTGCATGGATTAAGCAACAGTCTCTAATGTCAACTCTTTCACTGCCCCGTCCACATGAGACTTGAGAGCCTCCAGTGTTCGGCCGCCTGCATGATCATACAAGGTGAGTCAGCAGTGCCATCCTGTAGGCGCTTATCTTCACTTCGTTGCCCCAAGCAGTTCAGCATGGCTGTACATTCCCTGGTCTTGTAGAGCAATCATATGCATGGAAACTTACCTCTGAACACTGCATGGCTCTCGCCATTGTAGTAAGACTTCAGAGACGGGTACCCTGTCACCTCAGCCTTCTCACACACGTCCTTGGCGCTTGTGCAATCGACCTGGGCGATTACTACATCCTTGCTGTTCTTGTAGTTGTCTGCCAGCTGGCTCCATGTTGGCGCAAGCTTTTTGCAGTGGCCTGAGGGTCACAGAATAGTCAGGATCAGGCCCACAGACACGAAGGCATTGGCGCATGATGGACCTGCACAACTGTATTCTGCAGCAGATGTGTCATGCGCCGCTATACAGCTACACCGGTATTTCATAGTCAGCAAACTCACCACACCACGGTGCAAAGAATTTAATGAAGTAGACCCTTCCATCTGCAACCTGTCACAGCAAATGAAAACTCAAACACACTCTCGCCATAGAAGGTAAGCCAAGAGTTACACCATAAACAGGCACGCCCTCAGCACCGAGCAGCAACGTTGACTACTCAAACAGGTCACCCATTCTATTTAGACAACATTTGGGATGCACAGGGCCACATAAACCACATAATAGTCCCTCAAGACGTGGTGATGGTCGTGGAAGCAATCAGGAAAGATATTACTCCAGAATGTTCAGGATGGTGCAAAAGTTTAGAGGATCTTACCTTCTCTTTGAATGTGCTGCTGTCAAGCTTGATCACGTTGCTGTGATCGAACAGGCCCGCACTTCCTGAACAGACAAGTGTGCAAAACACTGCAATCAGCACAACTGAAGCGATCTTCATCCTTGAGGACGTGCACAATTAGCCACCAGGAGTTTTGCTTCTTTCCTGAAGGTTGAACTGCTATTCGTGTCACTTTTTGTCGAAATGCAAAGCCGATCGATGCCCTCGCGGTGTTTCTTTAGATGTTGCATCGACCCTTTCTAATTCACGGGGTTTGCTAAGCGGGCTTCCAGAAACCCCTTCTTGTCTGAGCTTTGCTCAGCTCAAAAAACATCAATTCACCCGAGGGACCTTCCATTCTAGAGAGCTTTGATTGCGGTGATTGACTATGGAAGCTACTGTAGTTTGCATTGACAACAGCGAATGGACCAGGAATGGAGACTATGCACCAACAAGATTCCAAGCCCAGGCTGATGCTGTCAATCTTTTAGCGGGCGCCAAGACCGAGGCGAATCCCGAAAATACTGTTGGTGTGCTGACAATGGCCGGCAAGTCACCGCGTGTGCTTGTCACGCCTACACCTGACCTGGGCAAGATCCTTAACTCGATGCAGGTGGGAGAAGTCCTCTGGTCAAGTCCTTCACAATCGTTGTTTTCGGTATTTCTTGTAAGGGTTGCGTTGTTGACGTGCGGAGGAGGCAGACTTGGCGTGTACCATGCCCTCAAAGGTGATGAACCGTGCCTCTGTGCTGCAGAACCTGGATATTGAAGGGCAGGCAAACCTGTCCAGCGCGGTGCAGATAGCGCAGCTGGCCTTGAAGCATCGACAGAACAAAAACCAGCGGCAGAGAATAGTCATCTTCATTGGGAGCCCAATCGCTGAGGACAAGGTAAGCAATCTTTCTTTGATTATCAAGCCTGCTATCAAGCCAGCTGTACATGTATGAGCCGATCGTTTCGTACGCTTTCCTCGATGCCAGGTCATCTCCATGCTTGCATGAGCTATGTGCACTGCTCTTCCTTTATTCTGAGATTGACAATATTGCAGGACAAGCTGGTCAAGGTGGCCAAGAAGCTGAAGAAGAACAACGTGGCGGTAGATGTGGTGGCGTTTGGAAGTGAGGAGACCAACGGCGAGAAGCTCGAGAGCTTCATCGCGGCAGTCAACTCGGGAGACAACTCGCACCTCATCACCGTGCCAGCGGGGACCATCCTGTCGGACATGCTGTTCGGCTCGCCCATCTTCCAGATAGACGGCGGGGCCGGCTACGGCGCAGCTCCCGGCGGGGAGGGTGCGGCTGGCGGGGATGCGTTCGAGTTTGGAGTGGACCCCAACATGGACCCAGAGCTGGCCATGGCTCTGCGCGTCTCCATGCAGGAGGAGCGCGCGCGCCAGGAGGCTGCCACTGCTGCCGCTGCCGCCGCGGAGGGCACCGCCGGGGAGGCAGGTGTGCACAGTGCATCGTACTTTGCTCTTACGACATTCACGTCCTTCATGCGCAAGCAATCCAATATATGCAGTGTGAAGGGCAGGGCATTTTGTCGATGTGTGACAGTGCTATGAATGGCTCATTCTTGCGAGACGACCTCCTGTGTGCTTATCGGGAGTTTGCTGCATGCTGTAGGGCCATCTGCAGCCCCGGCTGGCGATGCTGACAAAGCCGCTGCTGTCCCGGCGCCTGTCGATGAGGCCACGCCCATGGACGAGGACGCTCTGCTGCAGCAAGCCCTGGCAATGTCCATGCAGGTAGGGCTGCTGTCCTCTCAGTGCCTGATCAATTTAGCATTTCAGCTTTGAGCCGTAAAATGACTTATTTCTGTACCTGTGAATATGCACACCAGTTTGTCATTCTGTGGAGGAGGGCGCAGAGCGCCTTTCACATCCAACATGATTGCTGCTGGGACAGGTTGACAGTGCAGCTGCTGGCGAGGCTCAGCCCAACAGTGCCGCTCCTTCTGCAGCCGCCCCAAATGCAAGCAGTGGCGTAGACGCGGCAATGGATGATGTCGACGATGAGGACCTGCGCTTGGCCCTGCAGATGTCCATGGCGGTGTGTTCTGCGCATGCTCCCCGCGTGTAAAATTAGGCTTGGGCAAGCAAAGTATGCTGTGATTGAGGCAGTACGGCTTGCTGCAGCCCCGTTAAAGGTGTGGTGTCTGCGCAGGGTGAGGCAGCTGAGGCAGGGAAGGCTCCCCAGGGGGATGTGGCGGATGTCCTGAACGACACAGACTATGTGAACTCGCTGCTGGGCAGCCTGCCAGGCGTGGACCCCAACGACCCTGCTCTCCAGGGAGCGCTTGCCAGCCTCACCAAGTCCACAGACAAGGAGGAGGAGGAGAAGGAGGGGGACAAGGGCGGAAAGTAGAGCTTGTGACTTTGTCACCCTGTGCACCAAGACCCACTATGGCGGACTTCTAGCTGGGAACCGTTGAGCGTCTGGCATATTACACTTCATTGCAGCTGGAGTCACGATTATGAGACGCACAGCGTGTCGGAAGAAGAGGGTGTAAGTTTCAGCTTCTAAAAGTTCATCAGCTTGAAGCTAATCACTGGGTCAGCAAAGTTACAATATGCACCGTGCAGTGACTGTCAATGTTACAACACTTGAAGGCATCAACATTGCTTACTTGCTGGTTAAGCTTTCAGCTCAAAGCTTCCTCGCTTCGTAAGATCTGGTATAAGATTTAGATACTTGAACACTAAGGAGCTCAGGATGTCATACACTTGCACTGCAAAGACTCTGGCTTCAGCTCCCAAGCAACTGCAATTATCTGCGCAAGGAACAAAGCATTCTCAGCTGGCAGTTACCATTCATAGAGCAAATGTCAGGGGATGGCTACGAGCAACAATGAGGCTGCTAATTCATATATTAACCTACCCACTGTTTCTAGGGACAGCTCCATCACACATCGCTCCAGAATCTCCCTCGCTCCATTTGTCACCATATGATTGCCCTCAGGGCTAGGCTACTTGCTGGTCTGGCCTTCCAGCTCCTCCAAGGTGAGCTCAAGGGTGCCATCATCTCGGCCACGTCGTATCACTTCTGCAATCGAAATTTGTATTTACGCTCAGTCATCTCAAACACTCACGAGCGCTTAGGGAAGGGTCTGAGCACATGCACGCACCTTCGCCACGCTCGCGCAGGATTTCCTCAATGTTCTGCTTCTCGCCATACCATCCCAGCCGGTCTGATAACAGATGGTGAGACTGGCAACCAGGGCACTTCACGATCACCACGCCGTGATCATAGGCTCGCTTGCTGAAGGGCTTCACCGATCGAGTATCTGTTGCCATTGATGGGACCCATTAGTATTGGTACCATGTGGAATCCAGTTGGCAGCAGCAGGATTTCTCTACATGGAAAACACGTGTCCAGCAGTTCGCACCGCATTTGGTGCAGGTGAAGACAGCAAGCATGTCTTTGCCAGAAGATGTATGAGCTCCTTCTGCTTCAGTGCTTTGCCCATCAGCATTTGAGGTGGCAGCTCCAAGTGACCTATGATCTGCTCCACACAAACTGGAGGAGTCAAGGTGTGCCTTTCCTTGGTTGTCTGTCTGAAAGATAGATGCTCATAGACAAAGCTGAAGCAACATACCGCTATATGGAAGCCGCGTTGCAGGTGCAGTTTGGTTTGCAGACAAGACCCTGAAAGGGAGTTGGTAGACAGCATTAGAAATCTGCTCAGAACATGTAATAAAGAGCAATTGCAGTACTCATGAGCGCAGCAATGAACATGATCATCTACCTGCTTTCCTGCTGTGCTTCTCTGGCTGCACTCCTAAGGCAGGTGGCAGCCACTTTCCTGAGGGTTGATGATAACATTGTATGTGCACCTTGATACCACACCAGTGATAAAGTGCAGATTTCGATGACCTTTGGAGGAGAACGAATGAGGATTGCTGAAGTCACCAGACAGGATTGCAACTGCACATATCTACAATCAAGCCGTGCCTCACGGATTTATAATATGATGACCTCGAGTTGCAGACCCCACGAGTACAATAATTATCATAATACCTTGCAGTGAATGCGCTTTGTCTTTCTCATCTGCTTGCCATCGAGATCTATCGAACCAGCACAGACATCAATAGGACGGCGTTTTGCCTTCTTTGCACGTCTTGCAGCGGGAATTGTGATGCTCATGTATCACACATATACGAAGCTTAGGGGCTTGGAGAAAGCATTCTGAGTTTGCAGTCATCATGTCGGATTCAGGAGCTTCCCGATCGCAGCACAAGGGATCTCGGCGTCAGGCCCATCGAAGAGTTGGAAGCACCAAGCCGTTTCATAACTTTGAGCCTGCAACGAATCATCAGGCCTTCAATTCAGTTGGGCACACTGATCAATTTGGCAAAGGCTTTGAGCCACAAAATGGTTCGTACCATCCGGAGTCTGGGCCAGTGCAGGATGTGCAACTCAACAACAACGCTGCCCGCAGTGAGTCCAGCGAGAGCGAGCGAATTTCAGCTTTGCATGGCAATCTTCATAGCAGAACCCTACCAAAAGATACTCACGGTCTTCAACAGTACCAGGCAGATTTGCAAGGCGAGCTGGGCCGCCTGACAAAGGTGGGGTTGGGATTACCATGATGTGCACTGTTTGACTTTCGGTTCCAGATTTGTCACCCGCACATGTGCTAGTGCGTATTACGGCAAGTTTGCGCGATCATCCTTTGCACACATTTTTCGCCGAGTTTTGACAGTGTGATCATGCATTATCGAGACTTTTTCTTTGTACGACGCTGACATATTTGTGTTCTTGCAATTGCAGGTTCAAGATGTTGTTACTGCGATCCTGCATGATCGGTCTGAAGCCCAAAGGCTGAATGTCGAGCTGAAGGAAGAGAGGGAAAAGGCTGATGCAGCAGGCGAGCTGCACAGGAGCAGGCTTGCCCAAGCCGAGAGCAATTGCAAAGTACGCATGTGATCTCATTTTCAACATCAATTCGTTCCTTGCGATGATACGCTCTTTGCTTTTTTGTTTATGACTTGAACACTCAAATGTGCAGGCAGAGGTGGCGAAGGCGCGGCAACTGCAACAGCAGGTGAATGAGCTACAGGAGCAGGAGCGGCAGCTGCACCATGCTTTGTATGAAGCCCAACAACACGTTAAAAACAGGTGCGCGGCTGCTTGACACGGGCGAATACTAAGGATTCCATCGCAGATCAAAGGTACATTCTGTGACATGCAAACCATGATGCATCTCTCGTCGAATTGCCTGATCTTTTTATTGAATTGGTCCAGGGAGTCGGTGTTGGCACACTGGAAGGAGGAGCAGCGGGCGGCAGACGCCGAGGCTGCGCGCAAGGTGGCGACAGCCGAGGCAGCAACTGGGAGAGCAGAGGAGGAGCTCAGAGCAGCGCAGGCTGAGATTTCTGCCCTCCACCAGAGCGCAGCGGAGAGGTGTGTGACCCATCCTCAGCCCTGCTTTCAAGGTTCTTCACAGGACGTTGGCTTGTGCCACATGTGTTCCAGGTCTGTGTCATGCTCATAGACTGCGCATAGAGACGGGTGGCATGTGGCCTGCTCAATTCTGCAGGCAGCCGGAGGAGGAGAGACGAAAGGCGGAGATGGTGGCTATGATGGATCAGTGGCAAGGATTGGTGAAGGGCAAGGAGGATGAGGTCAGCCGTCTGCAGCAGCAAGTCAACAACCTGCAGTCGCAGGTGAGCTCACCTCCTGCAGTAATAAGATCTGGCACTTCACAAGGAGCTTCACTGGCCTTCACATCGATATCCTTATTTGTCACCTTTGGAAACTGTTCTTTGTTCTTCCATACATGTGCTGTTTGCTGCAATTGCTTCAACACGGTTTCTTTGACTAAGACTGTACTGAGAGTATCCTGGGTGGATGGGTGTGTAGGTGTGGCACTTCCAGAGCGAGATTGCGCAGATGGACGTGCACTACCGCCGAGAGCTGGACGCCCTGGTGGCATCCAAGGCCGCAGTCGAAGCAGAGCTGCGCGAGCTGCGTGAAGGGGCTGCTGTGACCGGGCCTGCGCTGCGCCTGCCACAGCCAGCTGCTGTTCCCCTGCCCTTTATCCCTCAGCCCGCGGCGCTCCCCGGGGTGCGCTCATGCTGTTTTGCTATCCTTCCCATTCCTGACTATTCAGATGATGGTTCGTTGTGTTGCTATGGAAACATGAACTGCAACTTTTGTGGTCTTAGAAGGGACTATCAATGATTGTGGCTTGTGTGTCTCAGGCGCAGCCAGAGGGCAGGGCAACGCCCACCCCTTCCACCAGCCGCTCGGTGCCGCAGAAGGGGATTAAGAGTGGGAGCATGTTGGATGCTACGCAGCGCAGCGTTGCACCAGAGCTGCATCTCATCATGAACGGCGGCCCTGCTTACGGCGCCGTCCCTGACACCGCCCCTGTGAGTCTCTGGCTCACTGCATTGAGCTGCTGAAGCTGACACACCCTCGGTGGCTATTGTTAACAAATCTGCAAAGTCATGCTGACGATGCTGACATGGTCTTTTCTTGCACAGGAGCTGCTTTCAGAGCAGCGACTGGTGGATGCGCTTCTTGACATCGTGCCAAGGGGAGAGGCACACGCCAAGAAACTTTCCCAGAATGACTACCAGAAGCTGGAGGTCAGTCATTGCCTCTTCTTGAAGGTCTAGCTTTGTCATATAAAGAAAGCCATGGCAAACATCATCACTCATGCATCACCTTTTCTCTATTGTCATGGCGCGGTTGCCTGTGCAGGCTTCTCTTGGGGGCAGGAGGTGGGATCAGGCCTACCAGGCCAAGTACGGCAGCTTGGCAGATTTCATGCGCACCCATCCTGAGGCGTTCTATCAGAGCGCCAATGGAGCCTTCTATCGCCCTGAGGCCCCTGCTCGCTTACCACCCGCACCTAACGCAGCATCCTCCACTGGGACTTCCACAGCGTTGATAATCCCACCAGGTGCCTTCACACACCTGGCTTCTTTTGATACCCTCCGATTTTTCATGCCGCTTTTGGATTGATTTGATGTGAGTTGGATTGTCGATTGCGCTGGTTTACAGGCTTCGTAAATGTGTATACTTGGTGCTCACGCGGAGGCGGGGCTGGAGTTGACAATCTTTTGTTGACTTACAGGCGCAGCGAAGGCAGCTGTGGCGCCCAAGAGGCCTACTGTGATCAGCGCGGTGGTCACGCCTGCCGCGCCAGCACACATGCGTGCTAAGCGAGCCGCCGGCGGCAGCGGCGGCTCGGCGAATGCAGATGCAAAGCAGCAGGCGCCGCCGCCGCAGGGGCAGCTGCAGCAGGAGCAGCCGGCTCCTCCTGCACGGACACTCGCTGTGCCGGTTAATGTGGCGCTGGGGTCAGGCCGCCCACAGAAGGCCTCAGAGAAGGGGAATGCAGCAGTGGCACCCTCGCAGCCAGAGAAGAGGTCAGAGGGCCGGAAGCCGGAGCAGGTGAACGGCAGTGCTGGTCCGTCAAAGCAGCAGCAAGGCTACCTCCATGCCGCCAAGAGGAGTCAGGCAGCACCACCCAAACACTCGCAGGCCGAGTATCCTGAGCTCACTGGGGACAGCAAGGACCGGCACAGGGAAGCTCCCGCCAAAGAGCACAAGCCTGGCCTCAGCCTGCCACCCGGCTTGCCGCGGCCGTCTAGCGGAGCAGACAGACAGAACAGCGCCAAGGAAGCGAATGGCGGCAGTGACAGGTTTGCCCCTGGAGTGAGTCAGAGGAACGAGGGGGAGGGGGACAGCAACAGCAGAGAAGCTGCAGCAGATGGTAAGGGGCATGCGCAATCGTCGGCGTCTCATCAAAATGGCGGTGGAGCAGACAAGGAGAAATTGAAGAAGAAGCGGAATGCCAAGAAGGTGAAGAGCGGGAGCGGAGCGGGCATTGTTGGGGCCCCTTGAATTTCCTTTCTTCCAATGAAATGTGTATATTGTAGACAATTCCAAGGTGTCTCTCTCTCTCTTAACTTGCAAAAAACCTTTTGGGGCTGTCAGCCTTTGGGGCACCATGCCTCTACTTGGAATGAAGATATTCGAGATTGAACTTACTTCATGGACGTGCACAATTTGGCAAGTAACATCTGCAAATGCATTTTTGCATTCCTCTTCCTCCTCTTTCCCTCCCCCAGATTCATCACCGATTACTAACATTAGTATGGTGGGCGGTGGACACGAGCAAATGCACAAGCATCTTCAGTTCGATAGCAGATTCTTGTTGCTCATTGAAATATTCTGATGTTTAATTGAAGGCTTGTCCTGTTGAAGTGGTATCGACATGCCGCCTGACGCGATTTGAAGCATCAACATTCCTGACGGTCATCACATAGTCTTCCTGAGAAATTGTTTCTTGGATTGTGTATCGAACATGGCGTCTACGGATGTCCAGAGAATCCTGTCGGATAGAAATGCATTTGCGATGATGATTTCGCAAATGTTATCGCCACAGAACGATCAGCGACAAGCAGCCGAAGCATTGTTCACGGAGGTCAAGAAGAATGCGGACGTAACAGCTACAAACCTGATTGGGCTCCTCAGACAATCCCAAGACATGGAGTCGAGGGCCTTCTGCGCTGTCATGCTGCGTAGGGTATGCCCACCTTTTAAATGAATTGAAGAACATGTGCGCTTGGCTGGCCAATCATGCAGTGTGCTCAGAAGTGCTCCATAATGGTGCAGGTCCTCACGAAAGATGAGCCATCGCTGTGGCCACAATGCAGCCCTGCAGTCCAGGTATGCAAATTGCTCTGCCTGCTGCCTGTCTGACAGCTGTGCTCTGGAGCTCCATCACCAACATACTGCTGGCTCACCTGCAGGCACTCATCAGGACAGAGCTCTTGAACTGCATAAAGGATGAGAAGGCGCAGACCATCTCCAAGAAGGTGCGCAATGATTGGCAATTTCCTGCTGACAGAAAATATGGCAGGTGGGCGATTCAACCTAGTCCTGCGCGGGGGCACTGAGCAGATGGTGCACACCCCAGGTGTGCGACACAGTGGCGGAGCTGGCCAGCGGCACATATGAGGAGCTGGGCTGGCCGGAGCTGCTGCCGTTCATCTTCCAGTGCGTGCAGAGCGCTGACACGCGGCTGCAGGAGAGCTCGCTGCTGGTGTTTGCGCAGCTGGCACGCCACATCATGGGCACGCTGCGCCAGTACATGGGCACGCTGCACGAGGTGCTAGCGCGCACGCTGGCCTCCTCCAGCCAGGACGTGGCCCTGGCCGCCATGCGCGCCACCTCCAACTTCGTGCAGGTGCCGGACCCTTTTTATCGTGCTGAGCGCTGTCGGCCTCCAGTGCTGTCGATGCTAGTGGTGGTGCAGGGGGCTAGACAATCAAGCCTGGGCAGGCTCTTCTCCATATGGAGGACCTCTTTGCGCTCTTGCAGGCTGGCCTGGCAGAATGCTACTGCTGATTGCCTGGTCATTGAGGGTTCTCCTGGATCCGGTGATCAATGAAACTTAAAGAAGGATTACATATTCAGCTGCAGTGCTGTTATGCACGCTGGACTTGTACGGTGTCTGGGTTGTGAGATGGTCCAGGTGGTTACAGAAAAAGCAAGGAGAGCCCTTGCAGCCAGTTGGATTGGTGGCCATGCAGGAGCTTGAGGATCCGGTGGAGCGGGACAAGTTCCAGAGCACGATCCCGGCGCAGCTGCGACTGATCTGGAACACGCTGCAGGCGGGGGATGAGGGGGCTGCGCAGGAGGCGCTCGAGCTGTTCATCGAGATTGCTGAGGCACACCCGCGCTTCCTGCGCCGCAACCTGCCCGAGATCGCAGACGCCATGCTGCAGGTGGGCACACACACCCTCAGCCCATGCCCCGTCAATCTAGTACTTTGGACAGAGAGACTTGGCCTTTAGGATAGCATTTGTTTGTTGTCTAGAGAGGGCCTTTCTCAATACCAGTGCTCACCCAGCTATCTAGATTTACATCGCCCTTCTAGCAACTGCGTTGCCGGTGGAATTGCCTCGCAGAGTCGATGCATGGTGGTGGCAGCCTATGCAGGGACTGGAAGGGTGAGGGGCAGGTTCAGATTAGCTGTTGTAAGAACAGCCGCAAGCAAGTGTTTATGCAATTTTGATAGGTGGCAGAGGCCGAAGAGTTGGAGGACAGCACGCGGCAGCTGGCGGCGGAGTTTCTGGTGACGCTCGCTGAGGCGCGCGACAAGGCGCCCGGCATGATGCGCAAGCTGCCCGCGCAGGTCACCCGCCTCTTCCAGTGCCTAGTCACCTTCCTACTCGACGTTGAGGTGCGCTGCAGCTGCTGCCTGCTGCTCCTTTGTGCCCCACATATACTGGTGCTGCTATATCATAGATTAATCAACCAAAGCAGACTGCCAAATTACCCTTCAATGGCAAAACCTGCTCAACGAAAGCTGGAAATTCAAATGCGGCTGTGCAAGCGCTTCTAAAAATCTATGTACATGCATCCTTGATGGTTCTGGGATTGTGACAATATCAGCAGCTCCTCTGGAAGATCTTCCGGCCCTGGCCTCAATGCGCATGTCACAGCAGGCATCCTCAGGCGGTTCTGCATGCGCGTGCAGGACGATCCGAGGTGGCACGCGGCGGACAGCGACAGGCACGAGAGCGAGGGGGAGGGAGAGCGGTATGAGTTTGGGCAGGAGTGCCTGGACCGCATATCGCTGGCGCTGGGCGGCAACACGATAGTGCCGCTGGCGTCCACGCTGCTGCCGGCGCTGATGCAGGACCCCGACTGGAAGAAGCGCCACGCCGCGCTCATCTGCCTGTCCCAGATCGCAGAGGGCTGTGTCAAGGTCCTCACCAAGAACATCTCCGGCCTGGCCGACCTCTGCCTCCTGGTGCGCCTTGACCTTCCTTCCTCTCCCTGCATCGCCCTGCCTCCAATGTCCTGACCTGGGCCCACGAAGGCATATGGTGTGCATATCAAACACTTACTCCCGTCGGAGAAAGCCTCAGCTGGTCCCGCATGCAGAAGCCAGATGATATGTGGATTCCGCAATCGCTGCATCCGGAGGCAGTCTGAGCAATGCACTACATGTGTGGCGCTCGGCTTGGAAGGCAAGGATTGGTGTCAGTGGAGGAGCTACGCACATGGGGTGGTGGGACGACAGTTGTGCGGCATTTGGGCGGCAACTTTCGTGCGGCGGCTGGGATGAGCAAGTGTTGTCACGTGCGCGCAGGGGCTGCGGGATGCGCACAGCAAGGTGCGGTGGGCGGCGTGCCAGGCGGTGGGGCAGCTTTGCACGGACTTGGGCCCGGACATGCAGGAGGCAGAGCACGCGCGCCTGCTGCCGGGCCTCATGTCCGTCATGGACGATTTTACGCAGCCCCGCGTGCAGGCCCACGCCGCCGCAGCCGTCGTTAACTTCTCCGAGAACTGCGAGCAGGTGCTGCCACCTGTTCTGCTGTCACTCCCTGTCGTATCTGTATTTAGCTGAGTCTGGAGGCCCTTAAATAATGCAGGAATCCTAAAACTGTGACGTCGTCACAGAGATAGCTTCCTGTTAGAGTCCACCGCTGACTGCTCTTGCTCCTTGCCGACCGCAGTGGTGATTTGGACCTCGCAAGAGCAGGACCAAGACTGGCAACCAGTGCTTGAGCATATAACAGAGTGCATCACAAATCTGTGCCAGATGCACCCAAAACTGATGTGATGGACGGGTTGTGCAGGACCTGCTTCCGCCGTACCTGGATGTGCTCATCCCCAAGCTGCTGGGCTTGCTGCAGAACGGGCAGAAGCTGGTGCAGGAGGGCGCGCTGACCGCCATGGCCTCCGTGGCTGACTGTGCCAAGGACAAGTTCGTCAAGTACTATGACCAGGTGAAGCCAGCACCCGGTAGTGAGTCATACTGCTCTGCACAGACGCACGAATTCTCCTGATGATTCGCTGCATGAAATTCGCGTTGTCTTGAGGGCTGACTAAGCCATGATCCTTGATCAGGTGATGCCCCTGCTGCGGCATATCCTGTCGAATGCCACGGACAAGTCGCACGCGCTGCTGCGGGCCAAGGCGCTGGAGTGCATCAGCCTGGTGGGCATGGCCGTCGGCAGGGAGCAGTTCCGCCAGGACGCCCACCACGTCATGCAGTTCATGCAGACCCTGCAGGCACGCCCCTTGCCCGCACTTTGTCCTAATCCAGATCTTTTCTACATCCACATCTTGGTTTACTTAAAGTGATGGCGAGAGACCTGCCCAAGGTGCATGTTGCACGCGGGTGTGGCGGGGCATGATGGCATGCGCTTCCATCACGGTGTATCCACATCCTATCTTATTATATTATAACCCCAACATAAATTGTCATTCGACCATTGCATTCCCATCAAAATATATACTACAAGGGCCCCTTCTATTATTTATAACCATGAGACGCTTGATGTCCATTCCCTAAACTCTGCTAAGTTGAGAAGGTTGTTAGGGGTATTGGAGTGAGTCCTCGGGGTTTGTGGTGCAGGCGCAGCCGGCGGATGCGGATGACCCGACGGGCGGGTACATGCTGCAGGCGGGCGCGCGCATCTGCAAGAGCCTGGGCGAGGAGTTCCTGCCCTACCTGGGCATCGTCATGCCCCCGCTGCTGCACAGCGCCCAACTCAAGCCGGACGTCCGCGTCACCGAGGCAGACTCTGATGATGATGAGGATGACAACGACGAGGATGTGCGTTGCTTGCCGCCTGCCAAGTTTATGCATGTCATGCACTGTGTGACAAGGCTGTGTGTGCCAGAGATGAGCTTGTGTGATGGCAGTGACATGGCAGTGATATGTCTGCAGTGTGCATGCGGGAAGCATTGAGAGACTCCGCATGAAGCATTGAATGGTGACAGGAATTGAGAGGAGAGGCAGTGGCAACCGCATCTTGGCGCACAAGAACTTTATGTGGGCAATTTTCCAGGGCTGAGGGGTGTAGCTGTGCCTGAACAGTGACATGTGCCTGACCGTTGGCTGGCATTCTGTTTTCAGATTGAGACGATCTACCTGGGAGACAGGAAGTTGAGCGTGCGCACGAGTGTGCTGGAGGAGAAGGCAACCGCCTGCAACATGCTGTGCTGCTATGCTGACGAGCTCAAGGAGGGCTTCTACCCCTTTGTGGAACAGGTGAGCCAACCACCGCTGCACACTGCGTGCATTGACGAGGGGGGAAATCACAAGAATCTTAAAATCATATTGCATATTTTGTTTCTGCCCATACGCCAGACAGGGTGCAGGTGCAGGAGAGCTGCAAATGCAGCTGCAGTGGATGTCTTTTGGGTGCCAGCTTGCACACTCCTCATGCAGATTAACCAGCGAGCTAGTGCTGTGCTTGCATGTGACAGAGTGCACCTTGGTCAGCGAGTGATTGAATGTGGGGTGGTGCAGGTGACGGGGATCATGCTGCCTCTGCTGAAGTTCTACTTCCACGAGGAGGTGCGGCAGGCCGCGGTGCAGTCGCTGCCAGACCTGCTGCGCTCCGCCTTCCTGGCCGCGCAGAAGGGCCTGCCGGGCGCCGACGCCGACTACGTGCGCCGCATGGTCGACTTCATCTGGGCGCCCCTCATGGAGACCATGGCCAAGGTGCGGCGGAGGCCCCAGCTGCCCACACACATGCACTTGCCGGACCCACAACGCTCATTGCTTCCACGGACCCGGCCTTTGTCCCGTATCTGTCATGGCTTTTCTAGGCCCGGGCTGTCTTTCGTCACTGTCGTGGATGATCAACAGTTGGGCCAGCTGTCCTGCTCCTGTGACTGCCCACTGCCATAGTGGGGCACAGGCCCTACACACACTCAGAAGAGATGCTTCTGATAATGGAGGGTTCCTGGTCAAGCCTTTGGAGCCAGACTTCTGCTAGCATGTGCCAGAACAGGTGAAGTAACCTTATGTGATTGTGCGGGGCAGGAGCCGGACACGGAGGTGATGTCGAGCCTGCTGGAGACGGTGGAGGAGATCATAGAGCTGCTGGACGTCAGCATCCTGCCCATCGATAAGCTGGGCGTCACCTTTGAGCGCCTGTGCGACCTGCTCGCCGATTCCATGAAACGCCGCGCTGAGCGCCAGCTGCGCCGCAGCGCCGAGGACTTTGACGAGGAGGAGGCGGAGGCCCTGGAGGTGAAAATGTCGTTTCGCTCAGCCACGTCACCACAGGCTTCTATCCCAATAATGCCGCCGCCGCTGCGCCACGAGCCTGGCTGCCGTCGCTTGTTCGGTTGCCAGTTGCACGAGTCGCATTCGGACATTCTAGTGCAGACATTTGGGGACCAAGGAACAAGGAGTTCGGGGCAGCGTAAAGCAGTGAGACAGTTGAAGGACTGTGTGAGCTGTGCCGAAGAATGATTGCAAGGAGCCATCATGGCGTGGAGGCGAGCTCATGTGCGCCCTATTCCCGCTGCAGGAGGAGAACGAGGGGGAGGAGGACCTGCTGGACCAGTTCTCGTCGGTGCTGTCGGCGGTGCTTAAGCGTCACGGGGACAGCGCGATGCCGCTCGTGGATACTTTGCTGCCGTCCCTAGCACCGCTGCTGGATCCGCAGCGCACGCCCGAGGAACGACGCGTCGCCATCTGCATCCTCGACGACATCCTCGAGTTCTCCCCTGCCGGTGCGCGCGCACTGCGGGCTGCGCTGAGGGCAGCTGTAGCAAGAACTGACCACCAAGCGCGCTGCAGTGCCCCTCATTTGAATCTGCCGCCTTGTGCACCCGCACCTGCCACCCCCTTGTGTACACCTAGAGCTCTTTGTGGCCTTTCTTCCTTCATTGTCACTGCATGCAGCTCCTCAGCAGCTGAGCAATGGGGAGCTGGTGTGGAGACAAGAAAGCAGGAGGGTTTTGAGCCATTCCGATTGCGTGCAGGTGCGGCCAAGTACCTGAGCTACTCGCTGCCGCACCTGCTGGAGGGGTGTAAGGACAAGGACGCCAACGTGCGGCAGTGCTCCGTGTACGGCCTGGGCATCCTCGCGGCGCAGCACCAGGAAGCCTTCCGCCCCACTGTCCCCACCGCCCTCGTCCACATCCTCGGCATCGTTACCGCGCCAGATGGCAGGTGACCCCACCTGCTGCCACCTGGCCCGGGCCATCCACTCTATCGCAGTAGGAGTGCAACGTGCATGGTGCCTGTATTGTATGTGCACCCCCAGCCTCTACCGCTCTCCACAAACTATTGTTTCTCTTGTTGACTGTTATGATTGGAGCGTTGGAACATTTTTCAAGGATAGCCTGTCTGCAGACGCATCTCTCCTCTGGCAGGAACAGCATGTTATACTTACAGTGATGATCCAAGAGGGAACCGCAGACTGTCAAACCTCCATTTTGATTGATCAAGCTTGCCTGAAGGGGTTTGGTTGGTGCATCTGCAGGGAAGAGGACAATGAGATGGCGACGGAGAACGCGGTGGCGGCGCTGGGCAAGGTGCTGGAGTTCCACGGGGCCGCCATAGAGGCGTCGGCGGCCGCGCAGTCGTGGGACGTGTGGATTAGCTCGTTGCCACTGCGGGAGGACAAGGTGGAGGCCCGGCATGTGCACGCGCAGCTCGTGCGCCACCTCCAAGCCTCAGACGTCCGGTGCGCGCCGCCAGCTGGCTCATGACATGCCTGTTGCCATGCATGGTTGACAAAGACAGGATAATGATGATCAGTCCCTCTGGGCAGCTTTAGAAGCGCCTTGTATGGTGGAATTAGAGTCATTGTCTAGAGATATAGGAACCCGCCATTCATGGCTAACGAAAAGCTGCGGGTGGACAAGATATTTTTTTATTTGGGTGATTTGCTGTGGGGAAAAAGGTATTGAGGGGTTCTCTGCTGGGAGACAGAGTGCTTGGGGAGAACAACAAGAACCTGGGCAAGATTGTGGCGGTGCTTGCAAAGTGCTTGGGCAAGGGCAGCGGCGGAAAGGACAGCTTGGTGGATGCTGACACGTGGCAGAAGATTGTGACGCTGCTGCAGCAAATGAACAGCAGCCTGCCTCCTACGGTGAGCTGCTCACTTTTTCTTATGGTAGCATGTCTGGCTGCTCATGTCGTGTCCTATGACGCACTGATGATGTGGTGTCATGATGTGATCCATCTCAGTGGGCCAATATTGCCTGGTCTGCAGGTCATGCAAGAGTTCTACAGCCAGCTCAAACCCAAGGAGAGGACGAGACTAGAAGCTGCGTTGTCCGGGCAAGCCGCATCATAGTCGCAACCATGAGGGATCGATGCTTGAAGTGGAGTGTTGCACAGTGGGTGGGCACAATGTGCGGTTGCCAGCATTTGTCACGACCATTTGCGCCTCTGTCCTGTTGCCAAGCAGCTGCAGATTGCTGATCTACGGAAGTTAATATTCTGTGCTATAGAGTCTGATTTGAGGATATTGGTTTTCTGTTTGCTGAGGACGCCCTTTCCAACGACGGGCCCGGGGTCCAAGGGTTGCATGTTGGTCATGCATGACAAATAATAATGATATAATTATCGCACCATGAAGCGCTCATCGAGGATATCCTTACTCTGTGTTGCCGATTGGGTCATCATCCAACGGTGGTGGCATGTGAAACAGCAGGGTACAATCAATCCTGCAATAGAACACCATCTCGTCCAATATTTTCTGTAGTGGCCCGCGGGCCGTTGCAACTTGCTTGAAGGTGGCCGGCTGGGGACACGTGTCCGTAGGTGCACATAGTCATGCATAACCCATGAGATCATCGATGGGTACCTCACTTGAAGAGTTTGGAAGAGCAGGGTTTGTTCCTCAGCATGGTCATGTACATGTCAAGTGAGACAGCTGTCCCATTATGTGAGTCAAATTTGTATGGCGTGTGGGCACCTGCGGGACAATTTTGTAATCGGGCAGCCTAAACAGGATTTCATGCGCAAGGCTCTTGCATCAAGCGAGGCCAGTCAAGCCCTTGGAAGCCGTGGAGCCACAGGGTGTCTCGGAAGTTCCTGGCTATTGCCTTACAACGCAGCAGACACTTGTGCCTCATCTCATCTTTCTACAGCCCTTCTTGTAGGTGGAGGATACCTCGTGGTGTTGGACGTCCAAACAAAGTCATTGCCAGGCCGAAAAGAGAGGTGACGCGAGCAAAGATATCAGCCAGGGAAGGGGCGCCCAAAGGCAACGAACAGAGGCACAAGGCTGTCACCTAAAGGGTGCGCTTACTGCGCCAACGCTGCATCGATACGCACTGTCTAAAGTGTAAAGGACACATACATGTTTCGATCAGCTCAGCAGCCGTGCTTAGACCATGTTCCTGGCTTGGCTGGACAAAGCGAACGCTTGCCAATCGGAACAAGATGTCAAATTGGATCGTTAGGCCGCTTTGGCACGGCCCTGAGGACGCTGTCTTTGCGGGGTTATGTTTCGTGGTTCCAGTAGCTACTGGCCAGCGGGATTGGGGGAAAAAATGAAGGATGGCTGATGCCTACACGTCAGTTCTGCATCGCATCACTAGCGTGTTCTTGGTTGGTTGAGTGAGTCGCATCGTCGATACGACAGGAATGACAGGGAAGGCTCTCCGGCTATTAGGGCCACTTATGAGCACTGGCTATCTACTTTGCCAACAGAGCGGGTTCAAAAAGATCCTTGATGTGTTTGGGTCAATACTGGTGTGCTGTTGAGGAGGAGAAGTTGTATTTCTTTGTTGATGGCGTTTCAATCGAGGCATACAACCAAAGGATGAGATCAAACTTGTGATTTAGGTGGTTTAGTACCCTTCTGTACCTACATTTGTCACTGCGCCTCATAATGTGACATCAGATATTGTCGGTTTCAGTTCTCTTGCGGAAGGAGCCAATTCTGCCTGACACTGCCTATGGAGGGGTGATGGCTCCCTGAAGGCTATTTCTTGTGAGCTTGAGGGCTCCTTGGTTCCCTTTGCACCTAGCAAAATGCATGTTGTGTGACTGCAGCACGGTACTGAGGTGCTTGTTTTTTGCAGGTGGATGGAGACAGGCTTGGGCCCCACAGCCGCAGCATGGGGCCAGCTGTCCTCCATCAATACCCCTGGGAGCACTGGGCTTGACTTCTCTGTCAGGAGCTCAAATAGTGGACTCTTGGATCTGCACTCACACCACTGGGGACCTATTGTGTACCCTCAGTCTGAGGCAAGTGACTTTACATGTGGCACCTTGGCACTTTCCCTCGTAGTTGGGCCGCATGCAAGTTGCTAGTGCCGATGTCCAATACTGCCGTTGTGATCTTCTGACAGGCAGCTGGAGATGCAAGGAGTCAACAGAGAGTCATGTCAAACGCGCCTGTAGGCCCCGAAGGGACCAGTGGCAGCGAGAACATGGCAAACAGCAGCGAGCACAGCCAGAGAGTGTCGAGCTCGGAAGCACTGCTCTCGTCCTCGTCAGCATCCAGCCTGGCGCTGCCGGGCGCAGCCGAGGGGCCCATCCGCGGGGGCCCGGCTGAGAGCAGTGGCAGGGGGTGGGGGGACCTGTCGGGGGACATGCAGCAGCGCCTGAGCCTTGGCCAGGGGCAGCAGCCCCGGCGCAGCTCCGACAGCTCTGCCAGCATACCGCGCGCCTACAGCAACGAGCGGCTTGCACCAGGTCTGCTTTATGCATGCTGCAAACGCTTCCATTCCTGTTTATGTTCCTCTTCTCTTGCACAGCACATGAAGGAATACTGCTATGGGACATAGGCGCACGCTGAGGCATTCTCATTTCACTGCGCAGAGCACAGGAGCATCGGCGACCCACGGCTGCCCACATACAGCTCGCATGAGCGGCTGGATCAGCTGCATGGGTTGTCCGTGAGGCAGGCGTCCAGCTCGGACATTGAGGGGCGCCGGCTGGACTCCTCGCCCAGCCTGCACAGGCGCGGCACCGGCAGCGGAACAGAGGAGGACATCTTCAGCGCTGTGGGCGGCCTGGAGATCGACGCAGACCACCGCAGCAGCAGCGTCAGCCAAAGTGAGCTTCCACGACACATGCCTTGGCCAAATTCCTTGGTCTGTGCTTTGCATTGCAGGCTGTGGTTTGCTAGTACGGAGGGAGACAAATTGCTGGATTACATGTAAATTTGTTTATGAAATCGCAGGTATGGACAACATGTCGCACGTCAGCAGCAGGAGCCACATGTCGATGGAGCCAGCAATCGAGCGGGAGACTCGCACTCTGGTCGTCAAGGATGTGAATCCTGACGTGAGCGACGCAGAGTTCAAGCAGCTCTTCGAGGTAATAATACTAGATTAGGCATCTTCAAAGACAGCTCTGCTTTCATGTTATGTTTGCAAGTGGCCATGATTTATCTTGATGTGCGCGGCTGAATCGTCTCTCGCTGGGTGTGCTTGCAGCAATATGGAGACTTGCGCACCCTGTACACAGCCTGCAAGGAGCAAGGGTGGCTCATGATCAGCTACTGGAATATTATTGCAGCCAAGCTTGCAAAGGTCAACCTAGACAGACAGGTCATTCATGGCAGGCAGTGTGGAGTCCAGTTTGCTCCCAACAAGGAGGCGAAGGAGCTCCAAGAAGGTGTGTACATGCCCTTTAAAGTTGAACCAATCAATTATAGGTTGTGTGGCTTTTCAATATGCGTACTCGAGCAAGAATGCAACAAGCCTTTTCCTAAACATATTGTGCCTTCGTGCTGCTGCTGAGCAGTGTTATTGCTGCAGGCATGGTGACCCTGACGAACCACAACCCAGATCTGACCGATCAGGACATCTGCCGGATGCTCCAAGCAGAGTACGGGGAAGTGTACAGCATCATGACCCCTCCCGACAACCTGCACAAGCGCCACATCGAGTTCTGCGATGTGCGCCACGCCCAAGCTGCAAAGCAGGCGCTGGAGGGCATCGCTGCGAAGATCCCCACCATCAGCGAGGTCAGAACATATTTCTTGCCTGCGTCTTGCGTGTAGCCCTGCCCACCAAAATGATGAACAAGTCGTGCCAAGGAGTGATCCGGAACTGTGCAAATGAAGCATGCATCGGGTCCTGACATGCAGAGGTGTTGGCGTGTGTGCAGCAAGGGACAGTGGGGGGGGATGCACCGAGCGGCATGCGCAACGTGCAGTCCACGCATACCTTCTTTCCGCAGGCCGGCCCGGCCGCGGCGCCATCAGTGCAGCAGGACATGCGGCCGCACTCCTGGGACAACTCTGGCGCCCAGCTCAACAACATGGCCATGCAGTCCCAGATGCTGCACCAGCTCAGCCCCCAGCTGCTTGCATCCCTGAGCTCGCAGGTGAGCATCCTGTGCTCTCATGGCTCTTGAGATGTTTTCATATGCTAGTCCACCATTCCTGCTGGAGACGTCGTTGCGGCAATTCTTGACTAAGTGGCTCCATCGCAGGGCCTTTTCAACCAGCAGGGTGGCATGACCCAGAATGGAAGCAGCGGCAACCTTGCCGGCCTGCAGGCTGATGTGGACAATCTCATGCGCGCAAACTACCTGGACTCTGCGCAAGGAAACAACGCTGCAATGCAGGTCTTGCCTTCTACATCGTCTCGGAAGTGTTTTTGAATTCGTGAATCTCAGATTGCCTTTCAGTCTGGCCATGTGAGATGATGATGCCACTTGCTTGGGTTCTGAGGAGCTCTCATGGTGTTGTGCAGGTCCAGGCGCTGCTGAGTGGCTCCACCAACAGCCTGAGCGGCCTCCAGGGGGGCAGCCACCAAAACTTGGCAGGCGTGTCCGGCAGGGGCATGGGGCCGGGCCCCAACAGCAGTCCCCTGCGCAGTGGGCCCAGCGTCAACATGGACGGCCCCTCCGCCCTCCTCTCTGGGGGCAGCCAGCACCTGTCGGCCTCCCAGCTTTTCTCCCTGGTGAGCCTGCACATAGTCTTTTGTAACCACTGTTGTCATCTCGTTGTTTTGGAAAGACCGGAAAAAAAATGTAGGTCATGTTTGTTCTGAATGTGAAGCATGTTGCTGCTCAGGGGTCGGGCAATCAGCAGGTGCAGAACCCGGACCAGGGCGACAACTTCAGCCGCCGCAATGCGTCCATGTCTACTGGCAACCTGGCTGATCTGTACAACCAGCCTGGCCTGATCAACAATGGCATGCAGGGAGGGCTGCGCGGCGTTGCCTCCACCTCCAATATCTGGGACGGCCAGGTCAGCATTTTCCGCTTTCAAAATGTACATGACCTTGCATGCCCTTCAGATTCGCCAGTGGTGCGTGCTAGAGCATGGTAAGCTTGTCCTGGACATGGGAAGCGAAGGCGGATGTGTGATTGCAATGCAGGGTGATGGGGGCGGCTGGGGAGGGCTGTCGAGCAACCCTAGCCAGGCAGCGATGCAGGCGCAGGCTCTGGCTGCGCTGCAGCTGCAGCTGGCGGGCGGCTTGGACCAGGGCGCGGGGCCCTTCAATCCCGGCGCGCCCACCTCGCTCACCGCCTTTGCGCAGCAGCACCTGCTCCAGCAGCAGCTGCAGAACCTCAGCCTCCAGACCAATCTCAGCCTGCAGCAGAACACCGCCGCCCTCCTGGCCAAGGTGAGCCCTGCTTCAAATTGTCAATGCTATCCGGAATTTGCTTGCAATGTGGTCTTCCAGGTAATAGCGGCTTGCAGTATTGACAATTGCGGCAGGTCATGCAGCATGTGGTGTCAAGGCTGACAAGGAATTGGGTGGTAAGCAGGTACAGCAGCAGGCTGGAGCACTGAGGGGACTGGCGGCGTCGGGCCATGCGCGAAAGGGCAGCCGGGATGATCTGGCGGGCGGCCGCCTCAGCCGGCGCGTGCAGGACCCGGCCGCCGAAGCCGAGCGCAAGGCCGCTCAGGAGAAGATGTACTCCCTCGACATGGACAAGGTCGCCAAAGGTGCAGCTCTCCACCTGATCAATTGAGATAAACCCCGGCACATTCCCAGCGGGCTCTTTCTTCATGTCTACTCCGAATGCTGATGGAAAACATTGTTAAGTTGTCTGTTATGACATATAGTCTCAGCAAAGTTCCATGATGATGGAGACTTACTGGGACTTGCTGTGGTGGCAGGTGAGGACAAGCGGACGACGTTGATGATAAAGAATATCCCCAACAAGTACACGCAGAAGATGCTGCTGGCCACCATCGACGAGGACTTCAGGGGCCAGTACGACTTCTTCTACCTGCCCATCGACTTCAAGAACAAGTGCAATGTCGGCTACGCCTTCATCAACATGGTGCGCTCAGCCCGCCTCGCCACGCTGCTGCGCCTGTTGCTGTGCACAACCCAGCAGTATTTCTCAGCCTGCTCAGTTGAATGCTGATCAGTTGGGTGCCGCATTTGCGGCCGTACTTGCACCTAACGCAGTGTGCTGTGTATCTGATTGGCAACTCCGAGGTCTGAACGTGCAAGGTTCTTATGTGCAGATCCTGCCAGAGTACATTCCGGCGCTGTTCCACCGGTTCCATGCTAAGAAGTGGGAGAAGTTCAACAGCGAGAAGGTGTGCCACATCAGCTACGCGCGCATCCAGGGCAAGAGCAGCCTGGTGACGCACTTCCAGAACAGCAGCCTGCTGCACGAGGACAAGCGATGCCGCCCCATTATCTTCCGCACTGACGGCAATGTCGCCGGCGAGCAGGAGCCCTTCCCCGCAGGGCCCAATGTGAGCGCCACCTATGACTTTCTTTGTCATGCAAATGGACTGCTATGTCTTTGCCCATTGCCTGTATTTTTAGTGCGGCACCACATCGTTGTTCATCCCATGTGACTGTGGCCCAGCACCATGCTCCATGATGGGTGTACTCAGCAGGACTTGCATTGTGAGTGGGGCAGTACTGGCGGTTGTGCTAATTGTTTGATCCCCAGAAGCATGCGCTTTTGTTGTGAGAGAATGTCGGTGGTGAGGATAGGAGCTCTGACTGGTACGGTGTGGTGTGACAGGTGCGGTCGAGGCCGGCGCGGCCGGGCAGTGCAGGCGCGGGGCTCAACACCCTGGCAGCCTCTCCCAGTCTGGGCGCTCTGCCAGGCAGCAACATGGCTGTGCCCAGGCACATGCCAGGCCCCGGGTGGTGAAAGCAGCAATGGGAGGGCCTGAAGTCCCCGCAGGATAAGTTCCAATGACAGCGGTGATACGTCTGAATGACCCACTGGTTGAAGTGGTCTCCTGCCAGTCGCAAGCCTTGGTGTCTGTCGAGGCATGCGCACGGAGCAGCGGGCACAGTCGTGGCAGTCAGGAATCCGAAGGTGATTTTTAGTGGTTTGTTTTGGCGCTGGTGAATCACTGGCAAACGGGACCCTAATCAGGATAGGTATCTCTGCAAAGGAGACCCCACAATTTTCTTCTTTTTTATGAAATAACGGAACGCGAAACCAGACAAGAGTCAGGTCCATCCGGTCGTGCAGGCGATAGGTTGAGCTCTGGATGACATGACAAGGCATGTATGAGCGTGTGAGAGAGGGATAGACATAGTCGCAAGGTCTGAAGAGGCTCAAATGTCACAAGCACAGATTGACTGGGCCGATCATCTGACGTACATGGAAGCATTCTCTTCTTTTCCGTTTGGCCGTCACGACCCAGACGTTTGACGTGCGTTTGCATTTGTCGGGTTTTTGGGCAAGGCTTTTGAGCAGCAACTGGGTGTCTTTGTTTGTGTGCAAGGAGCCCTGACGCGAGCGCCACTTGCCAATGTCAAATCAGTGCCCAGGAAACGCTACCCAGCTGTTGCAACTGGCGGTGCTGCCAAAGCAACTGAGGGGTGGCATGCAAGTTGAGATGGTGGGCCATACAGGAAGAAATAGCCGAGGTGGCACTGGGTGAGATTAGGGAAAACACAAGTTTGGAGGGAGCTGCCTTTGACTGATCGCAGCAAAGAATTGCAGATAGAGGTATTCTTATGCAAGGGAATCTGCATACTGGATGTCTTTTTGTGGGCCTGCAGGGTTTGCTGTCATGTGCAGGGGTGGGTTGCAGGAGCATGAGGTCGTGTTAGTCCAAGGAAATGGGATGTCGCTTGGCACCCCTTTTTTTGCGCTGGTATGCGCCTGATGTGCAGCACTGTGAGTGCTGGATGCGCTATCTTTGTGGCATGCTCCCATGCATGCCTGGATGTAGGACAACCCGCTGATTTTGATGTTTTTCATGACTACATTTTGTTCTGATAGATAGGCCCGTCATTGTGACACTGTTTGCGCCTGCGCCGTGGAACTTGCTGTACATATCGTCAAGAGCTGCTGTGGCTGAAACACACAAAGATCCATTGGAGGTGTAGCCGGCTGAGAGACTTCTGATAAGATTATTACTTCGTGTGAGATTGGCACTGCTCAAGAATGAATGTATGTGTGTCTAGCCGTCTGTAGGTAGGAATGTAGGAATTAGCCATGTACCGTGTGTTGTGCGCTGATGCATGCTTCTTGCATCCCTACGCTGTGCTTTGTGTCCTGTAAGAAATACTCGTGCTGGTCTGGAATACAAGAATTACCACCAAGGCGATCTCCATTGGATTCACGAAACAAATTCACTTGCTCTGGCTAAAACATTCAAAGATTCCACGCATGTCCCACAGAGTGCAAGCCTGTTGCCACAGTCACTTCTGCAGGAGTTTTCATGCCGACTAATTGATTCATGCTGAGCACTTGAGGCGTGCACCGCCCCAAGATCCAGTGTGTACATGTATAGGATCTGACCAGAACAATTGCTGTGGTCATCAGAGGGGCTCCAGGTGATCGTACGTCCAGTCTTCAAACAGCATCGCCAGGTGGTGGCCTGTGTGGGGCGGCTGCACCGCGCCAGCACCGCTGCTGAGATCAAAGGCGCCCTCCGCCAAGTGCTGCATCCTCTCCTCCAGGCTGTCCGGGCCGCTGTCCTTGAACCCTTCAACACCACAATACACTCAGAATGAATCCTTCAGATCATGCAAGCCTCGAGTGATTTCTTGAGGATGGAGTGGTGCCAGCTCCACTACTGGAGGACAGCCTTTTAACAAGATCTTTTTTGGCTGCTTTGGATCAAAGCATTTGATGGCAGGAAACAACATGTAACAGCGGGCGCCATGGGCAAGCATGCGGCTGATGTGACATTACCTGGGTCATCGAGCTGCTGCTGCAGGAGCCCGATGTTGGGTGTGGTGGGGGAGGCTGTGCCGGATTGGGGCTGCCACTCAAAGATGGACTTGGGCGTGATCTGGCGCGGCATCCCCTTGGAGCTATGCACCGCAAGCGCACATGGCGGCATTGAATGTGGCTGTTCGGCACCTGCATGTAGCGCGGGCATGTTGCTGTAGCCCTGCAGCTGCGCGTGCTGCTCATACAGGGGCACCTGTTGGAGGTCGGCTCCTGCGCACATGACAGCCCCTCAATCATTCTTTGTTATACTTCTGAGGCCAGCTTTCAACGACGGTGTCTGCAATGATGACGTCTGCTTGAGAGTTGGGAGCGTGTGCTGCACCTGCTCTGAGTTGGGGGCTGAGGGGAGGGCGGCTGCTGCTGAAGAGCAGGGCTGAGTCGGGGTGAGGTGGATGCTCTGCCTGCGGGTTCAGCTGGGTCTGGGTAGCAAAGCTTGCAGCTGGAATGATGCCGCGCTGGATAGCCAGCTCCTGTTCTGCCGGGCTCAGCAGTGCGCTGTACTCTGACAGGTCAAAATTGGTGACCGCGTCAATGCCCTTGCGCAGGACTGACTCGCGGTCATATGCTTGCGCCGCCTCCAGCTCTGTCGCAAACAGGCCCAGGTACCTGCACGCACCGGCTGCTTGAATGTTCTGCTTTCTGTCTGGAAGCTCCCTACCGAGGCGCTGGCTGCTCAAGCAATGTGCATGTACAGAAACATACCTGCACTCAGTGCAGTGAATATGCAGTGCACTGTGTCACAAGCAGCCCAAGAAGGTGATGTAAAGAGGGCATGTGGTCGCACTTGTACTTCTTGCCGACCATTTGGCCAATTCGGGCTTCCCACTTGCCCTTCTGGTGGCGCGTGACCCCCCGGAACTGGCTGCTCGTCTTCTGGTACCCCTTGCTCTGCCGCCGCAGGTTCTGTACAACCTCCTCTTTTGTGACCTGTGGGGAAACATGCAGCACCAGCTCAGGCTTCAAATTGAATTAACAGGCGAGCAGGAATCTTCGCAGAAAAGTTGACCAAGACGGACATTTATTCGTTGTCTTGGGAGGAACAGTGACACAGAGCAAAGCTCACATCATTGAAGTGCAGGAGCTCCTGCTCGTAATTGCTGATGTCGAAGTTGATCTGAGCGTCTGGCCCACGAAACTTGAGGGCAGCCAGGTCATAGGCCAGAGCAGCCTGCTCCTCGGCATCGAAGCCACCAAGGTAGATCTGCTTGCCCTCCTGCCAGATATGAGCCTCCCACCTCTGCGTCCTGTGCTCACCATGCAGACAGTGCTTCAGCGAGGCCATCAATATAGGATTCGAACATCTACTGGATGAGTTTGTGCATGGTCAGCACCTGCAGTGGTGGGTGACTCCACGGAAACGGGAGGTTGCTTTCATCGTGCGTCGCTCAGGCACCTTCCGCGGCCTGCACAGAGCCGATCTAGTCAAAGTGCTCACCAGGGCGGGCTCTAGGCTGCAAAAATCGCAGGTGTGACCTTACCGTTTCAAGGCACGATTCTTCCTCTGCAGCGTTTCCTCTGCCATTAGACTGGCCTCGTCTACATCTTCATCAACCACTGCCAACCAAAAATATGGCTTAGCCAAAGGGCAGGCAATGATGTACTCGAGATTAGTACGGATAGCTCGTGACACTGTTGCACTCTTTGGATCTTCTTCGTTCCTACCTGCCTTCCTTCTCCGTGTGCCATGCCCGGTCATCGGCTGACTTATGAATTCACCGAAGTGAGGAGCGCGATGTGCTAAGCAAAGGGCTGCGTTGCTGACTTTGCTTGGACTGTCGTCGAGCGAAACAGGATCCTTTGGTTCGGCAGCAGACGCTCTCGCAGAAGATCTATGAAAGTAATGAAATTGCCAGAACGATTCTCTTATGATAATTCCAAACTTCTCGGTATGTTGCGATCGATGCAGATGAACGTTGCCTCGAAATTTGCTTCAAAGTTCGAAAGTCCAAGGTTGAAATGGAAGCCGCATGAAGCCAGCAAGAAGCTGCAGTCTGCTTCTGTCACATTTCTGGAGCCTTGTGCAGGCTGTCACCCACAATAAAATATTCATGGTCGCTGGCAATAAATCGCAATACGATGTACATTGAAAAATGCAGGACATGCATATGCCGCACAGGCCCCCAGCGCTAGCGCTACAGCTTCGCCGAAGTTTAAGTCAAGGCAGCAAGTTATTACCCATAACCCAGCACATGTGTACAAGACACTGCAAAAGCTCCATCTGCACTACCTTGCAGCAGTTCTGGAGACCAACATAAGCCAAGCTAAGCAAATGCGGGGCATAAGCGTCCCTCGGCTAAAGCAGGAACTTCAGGGAGCCTTGAAGGACACAACAATGCGAAAGAGTACTTGCCATAAGGCAATGCATGGCCATTGTCACGGCTGTTACTGCTAGTAGAACACATACAAGATCGATACATTAATGAGCAATACATCTGATTCAGTACCGTTGGAGACCACTAATCAGAGCATCGGCTTAGATATATTGGTTAATTACTGCTACAAAGCAACAGTTCGCATTGCTTGGTGCGCCTTTTGGCGCCCGTGCGCTAATTTACATGCTGCTGCAAGCCAAATGGCTCAATCGCCACCCATTGCACAGCTGCGTACGTAGTACAACATGCCTTGTGTTGCAGTAATACATTCATCCGTTCTCAGCACCTCTCTCAGGTGCAGCAGCATTTATTGATGTCAATTGCTTCCCATGGTACCTTCCACCCCACTGCAGTGTCGTCCCTCCAGGCCCCACCTAAGAAGATAATTTTGCCCATAGACCAAGCCAGGACTGTCCTCAAGCATCCCTGCCTTGCAATTCCTGTAATAGGTTGCCCCACGTGGAGGTCATCTGAGGCCTTCGGGTCCAGGCGAATGCAATGCGACCGAGCCAGGCCTGTCTTTGCGTCCTGCCTTTCCTACCAGGTGCTTTCATGTTGAGCAGGTCAGCTGGCACCTTAGGAATACAATTTGCACAGCTGAGGGGTTGCCTCAGGGCGCCAGGCGGGTGTAGACAACCTCCTTGGCGCCGACCCTGCGGATCTTGGCGGCGGGGCCTTCCTGTGAGAGGGAACGCGCGGGGACGCTGGCCTCGTCCCCCGAGTCGGCGGAGCCCAGGCGCGAGGTGGTGGCGGCCGCATATGCGCCGCCGCTGTCGGCCGTGTAGGGCAGCAGCTCGGAGCCATGGCTGTCCCAGCTCGCCACCCGCTGCAGCTGCCCCTTGTCGTCCCGCACCACCTGCACAGCCACACACCATCTCGCTCACCGCTGACGCATAACCTTTCTGTGAGTCTTACACACGGGAGTGTGTGATTGTTCGTTCTTATTCAGCACTCTCTCCTATCAAAATTCGGTGAGCCCCAAAGGCGCCAGCTTGAATCTCTAGGTGGGGCAATCTCTATAGGACATGCATCCCTTCGTGAAAGGGCAGACCAGGTGATGACAGATATGGCTCAGCTGCTGGGGAAAGGGTCGGGGCGCACCTCGGCAGCGCGGTAGGGGAGATGCTTCTGGCCGCAGACGGCGGTGTAGCTCTCCATCAGCTGCCCCAGCCGCTGATCCAGCGACCCAGTCAGCCCCACCGACATGCGCACCATGCCCATGGGAATGCCTGCAACCACCACCACAGCTTCACTACATCTCCTTCACATGCGCCAATCAGCCCCCGGTGAAGCACGCTGTGCCCAGTATATGGAGAACGTCAACATCACCGAGCCACATAAAATATGTGCTGTATGGCACAAATCATGGCGGTGTGGTGTGCTCACCGGCGGCCTTCTGCTCGGCCTCAGTGAGCTCGGAGGAGGTGGTGGAGCCTGACATGGAGAGCAGCGTCTCAAAGTAGCCCAGGCTGACCGCCAGCAGCCCAAACGCATGCTTGTTCTGAGCCCTCTCCATGAATTGCTCCGCCGCCTGCACAGCCCCCAGACATCATACTGTCAGCCTTCATTCCTGCACAGCTCTCACGGGAACTACCATAAGCCAGGCATGGCTGCAGCAGATTCAAATGAGGCAGAGAGAGGAAGTGGCACCTTCTGACTGCCCAGGTCCAGCGTCAGAATGCCGCCGTAGCCGTACTCCTTGTTGCGCAGCTTCTCCATGATGTGGTGTTGCTCGTGCCTGGGCAGGCCCGGGTACTGGACCATGGCACCCTCCTGGCAGCAGCAGCAAGTGGGCGAGTCAGACAGACAGTCATTTCTGCACTTATGAGCAGCAGCACCATGACTCCCAGCTAGTGTTCAAGGGGCCAGGTAGCCGCACCAGCTGCAAGCGCTCAGCATAAGCCATGGCCCTGCGAGAATGCTCCGCCTGCACGGTAAGGAAGCATGCAGTTCCAATCAGACTCTGGACTCATCCTCATCAACATCATCACAATCAAGTGGAATATGTAGCGATAGGCAATGTGTCATGATTTAACAAGCAGGTCATACCATGCGGATGCCTAGATGAGGAATGCGAAGGCTGAGTTCTGAAGCAATTTTTGGGTCAATTGTGGGTCCAAGCAACATGATGGGCCCAAGGTGAAGGTCCATCAGTGAACGAATGAAGTCAGCTCGACCGCAGATGGCTCCTGCCCCACACCACAAAATGGCAGTCAGCTGTCTCTGCTTCTAGCAAGCTTCAGCTGAGAGGGACATGTCAGGCAATTAATAATCAGTCGTTGCTGCACCTGCAATGATGTCGGAAGCTCCGGAGATGAATTTGGTCATGGAGTGCACGACCACGTCAGCGCCCCACTTTGCCGGGGAGATGATCATAGGGCTGAACGTATTGTCTACCACGAACGTGAGGCCCTGCAGCCACATGCACACTGTCACAAGATTTAAAATGGAAGATCTCCAAATTCTTTCCTCAGGTTGGCAGGGAATGCATGGCGATGAGATGTGGGCTCACCCTTGCATGTGCAATGTCGGCCAAGGCTGGCAGGTCCGCAATGACCAGAGTGGGATTGGAGATTGCTTCGGCAAATATCACCTGCCAAATATACCGTCAGCTGCTGTCAGTAATCAACAACATGGAAAGGCTGAAAAATCGTCGGTGACTCTCACCTTTGTCTTGTCTGTGATGGATGCCTTGACAGCATCTAGGTCAGCGATGTCCACAAAGGTGGTGCTAATGTCGCACTTTGCTGGCAGGAAGGACTTGAGCAGAGCAAAAGTACCGCCTGCACAGTGGAAAAAGTGTAAGTGGCCATATCTGACAGCAAGAGTCTTAAAGGAAATTGACTGCACCAAGCCCTATCTTGATTGTTTACTGCAGATTGAGACTCACCGTACACAGCGGATGAAGCCACGATGTGGTCCCCGCTGTTGCAGAGCTGCAGGAAAGTGGCACTGATGGCAGCCAAGCCTGAACTGACGGCATAGCCCGCCTCGGTGCCCTCCAAGGCAGCCAGCTGACGACCAAGGTAGCGCACTGTTGGGTTGAAGCTTCTCCCGTACAGGTAGCAGGCCCCTGCGCACCATGCAAAGTGAATGCACTCTTTCATCAAGGTAAATGGCTCTTCTACCAGCAAATTTCTGGGTTTGTCCTTGCAAATTGTCATGCTTCGGGCTCAGAACCTGTTAAGCAGGCGCTGACATCCAGTGAACACCCTGACATCACATCCTATGAATCTGCAATTGACATCCGATGATGAAGTTAGCTGCCCACCTTTCTCTGGATTCAGCGTGCCTTCGAAAATTTGCGGCATGTCGCCTGCATGGAGCACTGCAACAGGAGGGCAGCGGCAGACACATCAGTTTTTGAACCAAGATGGGCGTTGAGTGTGAAAAGACATGCTGTTTCAGCGATGACCATTGGCACGATGGAAAATGAAAGATATTCATACGTCTATTGTGCAACATGTTTCGTCCAGACAAACCTGTGAAGGTGGTGCTGCTCTCGATTGAGGCATTCACACCCCCAAACTCTCCGAACTCTTTCTTGTGACGGGAGAGAGATACCGTCGGCTCGAAATCTTCGTTCCCAAGGGCCTGCATTTCAATTCCTGCGCCTATACACCCACGAGACTCGTGTTGGACCCCTCGTGCGTTGTCAGCACAGAACAGCTCAGACAAGAACTCTTCACTCGGAACCTTTCGCGCCGACAAGAGCACCTACGCTACGGAACCAAATGTCTCCTTGTTCTGAGGTAGACGATCCCTTCGTATGCAGGAGAAGCGAAACTGTCGAAGGAATCACAAGATCCAAGAGGATTACGGGAGTACTCACTAGTGTTCAGATTTCGGAGAGAACCGTAAGTGCTGTGAATAGGCATGCAGGCAGGAATTGAGACCTTGGATGTGAAAAAGGCTCGATCTGGTTGACTCTGATCGAAAATATAGCATACTATGGACAGATATTGACCTAAACAGCAGTTGCAGATATCCAAGAAGAGGTGTCGTCTGACTAAGCAATAGAAATTGCAAGTGGAGCGTACCAGTGTTTATCGTCAATTCACATCACAGGTTGATTTCTATCCTTTAACATCTCTTTTACTCGCACCTGGATCAGTCAGACCTGAGGACATTGGCAACGTTTGTTGCGAAGTTTACGGTGACATCCTCCTAGAATTTCTATCGAAGGACTGCGTGGCTCAGGAATTGGAATTGCGAGCGTAACTGCAAGGAAAACGACGCTCGGATAAGTCTGAGTCAGATCATGGAGGTCACTCCCGGAGGTGACACCCCTCAGGATGAAAAAAGCAGCAAGATGTTTTCAGCTTTTACTCAATCTCCTGCTTCTTTTCTTATAAACTGATCCCACCTCTTGCTGCAAATAGGCAAGATGTCCCTGAGCAGAAGTACGCCCTTCAAGCGAATGCGCAGTCCGACTGGAAGGCTGTCCTATGATCCCATGTGCACGCCCTCTTGTGATGGGTATGATGACGCAGCCTTGGACAATGTTCGATCGCACAAACGTTACCTCTCAGAGGTGAGCAGGGCACCTACCTTGCAAAGCTGGCTGCTTTGTGGAGTCCACTGTTGCGCCCCTAACCTATCTCCTCTAACCAGTTCTTGTGAGGCGCAAGGCAGCAATTTGTAAAATGACCGTGGGAATTTCTGTGAATCAGGCGATGGCAACAGACCTCAGCCGGCTGAACATGGCGTTTGGAGAGGAGCCGGGCATCAAGGCCAGCTCCCCATCCATGAGCAGCATGCAGACGGACAGAGACAGCCACTCCGGAGGCTGCTCGTCACCCACTCTGTCGGAGTGCTTCAACCCCTTCGACTCCCCGCGCGTCCACTCGCGAGAGCAACCGCATCTCAATGGTGCGGGCGCTGTACATGCACCTTTGAAGCCTTCCCTTGCCCTAAACATTCATGCACAGGCCTGCCAGGCAGCTGCAATTCTTCTGTGGAGTGCAATATTGCAGACATGATTATGTAATGGCCGTGCAGGCTCGCACGGGAGGGTGTCGCACTCGCCCAGCAAGAGCGGCGTGCATCCATCAACGTCCCCCGTGAAGCCTCACTTGACGGCTGCTGGCAGCTGCCAGGGGTCGCTGGCGTCGCCCATGCAGGGAACAACTGGGCGCAGGGGCCACCTCAGCCGGCGGGGCGCTGCCCTGGATGCAGGCGAGCGGCTGCCTCCGTCGCCGTCCGACCCCCAGCTCGGCATGGACCTGCGCAGGACCGCCCTCCTGCGCAGCCTGCTCCTGCGGACCGAGGTGCGCTGCTCGAGCCCTCCTCCCTGAATTTACAAATGTTGACATGTTGAGGTGAACGCGTCACTGTCTCCAGGCATTCGGAGACTTGGGAAGGAGAGAGCAGGCTGAACTAGCAGCGTAAGGCTTGCGGGTAGACTGTGCGTTGACGGGTGAGCAGGTCATGGAGAATGATTGGTGTTCTGCATGTTCAGGAGAAGGTGCGGGCGACGCCGGGGGCGGCCATGCGGCGGCGCAGCAGGATGTCGGACATCATGTACAGGTCCGCGCCAGAGCCGTACGTGCGAGGTGGCGGCCTCAGGTCACTGTCCGAGCTGGCCTCCCCTGATGGCTCTGCGGACATGGAGCTTGGGGGATCACCCAGCTCTGATGACGAGGATGATATCCAGGTCAGCCTCACATCCTCGCAGGCAAAAGCTTCAAACATGTCTGCATCTGAGTGATTCAAGGTCCTGACTGAAGTGTTTCCTCTGCGAGTTCTAGTACAGAAATTTGACAGAGTGTGCAATGCCAGCAGGGGGCCAGGCAGGGCAACAGCCTGAAGATGGGTGCTATTTTCAGTCTGTCGGATACAGAAGATCTGACCTTGAGGGAGCGAGCCTCGCTGATCCTGGGAGAGGCCAGCAGGGAAGCACATAGGCACCTGGATGATGCACTGGACCCCGACTCCGTCCTGCAGCCTGTGAATTTTGAAAAGACCATCAGGCATAGAACATGATTTCAAATATTTTATTTTATTTGCCGGACGGACTCACATGTCCTGAGATTTAGGAGTCTGATGGGTAGATGAGATGCATCTCACATATGTCAAATAGTACGCTGAACAATAGCAATGTGTGACGTATTTGTAGCTGTAGCCCAATTTAGAGCTCTATGATGAACCACATTCACTGTATAGTAGATCGCTCAGCTCTTTTTTGGGAATTAGATGACATTCCTTACAGAAATACATTCCTTACAGAAAAACATAGCGGAAGGTATAATGCCCAATATTGCATGCAACATGCCAATTGATTCTGGAACAAACAACTGAATTTGCGGTGTTGAGAACAACCTGTAAATATAGCGCCAATTTCCATTGAATTACAAAATTGAATTCCACCGATTCCATGATATGACATTTACAACGAGATGGTATAACATGTGCATGCGCTGCAATTTCATTTCAGGCATAGAATGCACTCATACAATGCAACAAGCCTCTGCAGCAGCCCAAATTCTGACGTCAAAACGCACAAGGCATCTGCTGCCACACTCTGCCGCGCTATCCCTGGACTGTGGCAGGCTGTTTCTTCTGCACTTGGTCGGGGCGGAACATGTACACGTTGTAGATGACATTGCGCCGGATCTTGGCCATCATCTCCAGGAACAGGCCATAGCCCTCCAGCTTGTACTCTGCGAGCGGCTCACGCTGTGCATACCCGCGAAGCCCAACTGCCTGCTGCAGGAACTTCATGGCCTGCCCACACCACCAACCGCTCAGCAATATGCACATGATCTGATGTCACACCCCACCCGCCAGTCAGCACTCATCAACGTGCCTGAAGGAAATTGCCAAATTGCAGGTCTTCAGGTTCCGTAAGGAGTGCAGACCTGCAAATGTTCCTTCCACATGTTGTCTGTCTGCGTCAGCAGGAAGAAACGCTGCGCCTCCTGCAAGAGGCCACTCTCCACCGCCTCAATATCCGCCACCTGCGCAGCAACTCCCCTTGTCAAACCTCCACCTCCTCAAAACCCCACCACCACCCATTCTGACAAAAAATTGCCATCCCTGACAAGTACTATGACCATGGGGAACCACATTGGTTGCTCGGGTTCCCCAACACGCCATGGTGCTTGTGTCTCGATGTTATAATCGGCCCCACCTTTTTGAATCAGCACAAAAAGCAATGGATTTGCCAACACACCTTCTGCTGGTAGGCCTGCGTGCCTCGCCGCCGGAGGTAGGCGCGCAGCTCCTCATAGTCGCCGCCGCTCTCTGCCGTCAGCAGCTCCGGCGTGATGTCCTCCAGCAGGTAGCAGTACTGCTTCATCTTCGCCGCCAGCGCTTCCAGCGGCCACTCCTTTGATGGCAGCGTCGGGTTCACATTCGCCTGCACCCCCAGCACTTGATCACACCCCTGTGATGCTAATTTATAAATATGTATTGAGGACCTGATAGGCAGCAGACATGTGAGCATGTAGAATGGGCAGCGAAGTCCGCCGCTGCTTCGTCCCGGCACGCGAACCCTGTGAACGGTTGCTGCTGTTTTGAATTTGAAATTTGGGATTCAAAAGCAGACCTCGAGGATGTCGTCGACGGTGCGCTCGGCGTATTCCAGGAGGAGTGGGGAGAGGTCCTTGGAGAGAAGGCCGCGCCGCCGCTCCAAGTAGACCTTGTCGCGCTGCGTGTTGAGCACCTGGTCGTACTCCCACAGCTGCCGCCGGATGTCTGCCAGACACAGCACCCCTCAGATGTTTGGTGTTTCAAACCATTTAAATTCAAAAATACCAAAATTATACAATTTTCCAGAATTCCTTGACTGCCAGGTGCAGGGCGGACTATATCTTCAGGGAAAAAACATTGGTGGAGCAAGTGATGCATGGACTGCACGGGCTCTGCACAGACGTTAAAAGTCTCCAAAAACCATATCCTGTGGGCTGATGGTACAGGCGCTGAGAAGGACAGAGTGGGGCTCACCAAAGAAGTAGGACTCCACTTTGCGCTGGGCTTCGGTCAGGGCGTCTGTGAGCATCTTGGACTCGATGGGCAGGTCCTCGATCTGGAACACGCTCATGAGGCCCTTGATGCGGTCTCCTCCAAACACCCGGAACAGGCTGCACCACACAGCAGCTCTTCTTAAGACAAAGTGCCTCAAAACAAAGTCCATACACAGGTTTGTGAGGAGCAGCTGCGGCAAGACTGGTGTGCAACAGCAGGGGGCTCACTTGTCTTCCAGGCTGAGGAAGAAGCGGGTGCTGCCGGGGTCTCCTTGCCGGCCAGACCTGCCCCGCAGCTGGTTGTCTATCCGCCGCGACTCCTGTAGACAGGCACACAGGGAATACAAGTAAGGCTTCATTGTGTCGTGAGACTTGCAGGCACTTCCACATGGTTTTGCTGGCATGCATCAATGCATGTTTCCAGCCTGTGGCTGCTGCGTACAGGGTATTGCTGGGAAAGAGAGAGAAAACACAGGTTGTTGGCTTGTCGGGCCTCACATGCCGCTCAGTGCCGACGACGTGCAGGCCGCCCAGCTGCACCACCTCCGCCTTCTCATTGTCAGTCACAGCCTTGTAGTCCGCCTCCAGCCTCTGTGCACAGGAAAGGCAAGCTGTCAGAAAGCGCTCTTCTATAGCTAGCAGCAGCAGATTGGTCGTTCCGCACATGCCTGCCTTTGGCATTCACAGAAAGAGAGTGCGGCAGCAAGGTATGGGGAACGTAGGCGGCAAGGAAAGGCACCTGGAAGGCAGCTCTGAGCTTGGCAATGACTGGATCTGAGGTTGGCGCACGCTCGCATGCAATGGCCAGCCTGTCCTCAGCTTCCAATTCTGGCAAATGCCTCTCTCCCCACGCACCCTTTGCAGCTGACACCGCCTCTTTCATGAGATCCTTGGCCTCTAGGCTGACGTCACAGGGGAACAGCTTCGGGGAGGCCGCCCAGGATTTGATGCGGGCAGGTCTGCTGCCATTGCTGCTGCCGTTGCCGTTGTTGCTGCTGCTGGCAGCCCTCTCCAGCGCCTCCACTTGGCTCACCACTTCTGGCATCAGCGCCTCCCGCAGCTTCAACTGCGCGAAAATGACACAATTGTCAATCACTGCTTGCATGCACACACCATCACTCCCGTGCAGGGGCCAGAGCCTATGCATGCCCCCAGACTTCTAACTTTGTGGAAACTGCGTGCATGAATGAGTGACAGCCTGCGCAGCAAGCATGTGTGAGGGGAATGAAAGATGAAGGGTGTTTACCCTGGCCATGTACTCGGGGTTGCCACCCAGCAGGATGTCAGTGCCGCGACCAGCCATGTTGGTGGAGATGGTGACTGCACCCCTGCGCCCACTCTGCGCCACAATCTCCGACTCCCTCTCCACGTTCTCCGGCTTGGCGTTCAGCAGCTCGTAGGGGATACCTGCCGCAGCCACGCGCATGTTGCTCACAAAACCAACATTGAGCCGGGCCTCTCTCTGCATCCTGCCTATCCTATCAAATGTGTTATGAACTTTAGCAGATTCAGCTGGCACATCGGGTCCAGTTAATTGCATATCGGGGTGTGTTTCACTCTTCCTTGACTTCTGTCAGCAACACCACCAGTATATATGCCATAGTGCAGAAGCACCGGTGTCAATGATCAAGGTAGCTACCTTCTTGCTTGAGCATGGCTGCGAGGGCCTCAGAGCGCTCAACGCTGGTTGTGCCGACCAGCACAGGCCGCCCCTGCTTGTGGTACAGCTTGATCTCTGTCACTGCAGCCGCCCACTTGCCTGCAACCACCAAGCAGCAGTATGGCATCCAGTATTGTGGGGTAAATACCGAAAGGAACAAGCTTTATCCAGAGCGCCAAATTGTGATATGCAGGAGCGTGACCGAGAAGACACACCTGCTTCGGTCCTGAAGACAACGTCTGGGTTGTCTGTGCGGCTGATGGGCCGGTTTGGTGGGACCTCTGTCACTTCCAAGCTGTAGATGTTGGAGAACTCTGCCGCTTCAGTCACGGCTGTACCCGTCATGCCCGCCAGTTTCTGCAGTTGTCAGCAGCGTTACTTCAAATTGATGGAAGACATCATGCTGCACAGTAAAGGAATCACAGAAGGTATTATAAAACAGTCACAATGATGAGGAGATCAGGCAGTTACCGGGTAGCTTCTGAAGAAATTCTGGTAGGAGATGGAAGCCAGGGTGATTGTCTCGTTCTGGATTTCCACGCCCTCCTTGGCCTCAACTGCCTGCATCAGCCAGACCACACCTTCATCCCACCTCTGCTGTCACAATAAATACACCTCATGGTTCATGCATGATCAGGTGCTTGCCTCTCTGAGGCTATGCAGCGCATCTATCAGCCCCGAGGGGACATGTGGCATCTGGATGGACCGAGGCCAAGACCGAGCCAGGTCAACTATATTGTCACTTGCAGTCCTGTGTATTTGCTTGCTTGCCAGCTTGTACAGGCACCGACGGTAAGTTTTCCTGCCGAGCCCCTTTCTGGTGCACGTGATCTAGGCAGGCTATCACTCATTTGTACATGTCTGACCTGGTGCAAGCCGTCGCCCCAGCGCCTGCCTGGCATGGTGCGGCCGGTGAACTCATCCACAATGATGACCTCCTGGCCGCGCACGATGTAGTTGACATCCTTGGCCTGCAGCTCCTTGGCCTTCAGGGCGTTGATCAGGTACGACGCCCACTGCTCCCGGGGATCGTACAGGTCCGTCAACTGCGGGCCACAATGCACATTGTAGTTATTATCATCCACAGGAGCGTTTCAGCACACCATTTGCCAGAAATTTCCCGGCAGCAAGCCCTTCCTGATGCTTGGAGGACATGCAGAGAGTCCCAGCACACCATGTGCCAGGAGCTCCCCAACAGCAAGCCCGTCCTTTATTTTGATGGAGGTCATGCAGGCCGCCCTTCTCATTGTGGTTGCATACAAGCAAAGGGATCTTGTAGGATCTCTGAGAGTAGGCAGCACATATGACACGAAAGGCAGCCCATCTGCCTGGAAGTTTATTGATTTAGAAAAGGCAGTAGAGAGGATGTCTCACCTGCAGCACGTCCTCAGCGGCCTCATAGCCCTCCTCGGTGATGAGGATGGACTTCTGCTTCTCGTCCACAGTGTAGTGCAGGTTGCGCTCCATGGCCTCCGCCAGCTGCGCCGCCTGCTGGTACTTGTAGGACGACTTCTCTGCAGGGCCCGAGATGATCAGCGGCGTGCGCGCCTCGTCGATCAGAATGGAGTCCACCTCGTCAATGATGCAGAAATTGAAGTCCCGCAGCACCAAGTCCTCCGCGCTCTGTCCCCCAGCCAGCCATGCATCAGGGCCTCCAGCCATGCACCCACCTCTCCCAGACTCCGTCAAGCATGCAGCTCCAATGCAATGTTCATGCCGAGTGCTGCAGGCTCCGCTAAACAAGCAGCTACCATACATGCGCCGGCTAAAATACGCATGCTTGCGTCTGGGGGCAGTGCTGTCGCGTGAGGGGCCAATGGGATGGAATTCTGGGGTGAATGCTCGTTCCGGCAGAATAAGGAGAAAAGGCCACACCTGCGCCAGGTTGTCACGGAGGTAGTCAAAGCCGAGCTCGGAGTTTGTGACGTAGGTGACGTCTGCCCTGTAGGCGGCCTTGCGCTCCTCCTCATTGAGCCCCTGCTGCACGAGGCCCACCTTGAGGCCCAGGAAGCGGTGCACCTGTCCCACCCACTCGCTGTCCCTCCTTGCCAGGTAGTCATTAACCGTCACCACCTGCAACTCAGAACTCCACACTGTTGACCCTACTCCTGATATCCATTCCCTTCTTCCTTGCTTTAATCTTCCACCTCCTGCCTGCAGGTGCATCTGTCAGAAAATGGCGTCGGCTTTGAGGTTGCAGCGGTCATCAGAGCAGGAGTGCGGTCTTGGCAGTTGGGAGTCACCTGCACTCCCTTTCCTGACAGCGCGTTGAGGAAGGCGGGCAGCACAGCCACCAGCGTCTTTCCCTCTCCCGTGCGCATCTCTGCAATCTGCCCTACGTGCAGAATCATGCCGCCGATGAGCTGCACATCAAAGGGCCGCAGTCCCAGCACCCGCTTAGAAGCCTCACGCACCACCTGTGAAGACCATTGAGCACGTGATATTCTGTTCAAGAGACAAAAGATCATATCTGCAGTGAAAAAGGGACTGCAAGACAGACAGAAAAGTGCCAGCATCAGCCAAGGCCCCTTTCAGGTGTGCATACCGCGAAGGCTTCAACGAGCAAGTCGTCCAGAGTTTTGCCATCCTGATACTTGTTCTGCAGCTCCTTTGTCTTGTCTCGGAGCTGCTCATCTGACAGAGCCTGCATGCTGGGCTCCAGGGCATTTATGGCATCCACCTTGGATTGGTACTGTTTCCGGGTCTTTGCTGCCGCATCCCCTGCATGAGACTGGCCTGAGTCAGGCGGTATGAAGCGATCCTTCCAGATACAAGGTTAATTTTCAACCACGATACTTCTGCTGTACAGCTGTCTACTATCAATGGCGCATGTTGAGACTTGACAACAGTGCTGGCTGGGCGCGCACCTGTCAAGAGCTTGCCAAGTCCTCCAAACATTGCTTGTGGGGGCGCGCTCTTCCTCTGCCTACCAATCCTCGAGATGTGATGTATCGAAAATTGTAATCCCCTCTGTCGAGACAGAAATTGCCTTCTATGTGAAGGCAGTACTGTGCTCTGTTTAAGGTGTGGGCAACTGCAGCTGGGAGAGCCAGATGCGAAGACACTAGCTTGACGCTGAGTGCTAATATTTGCTTCCATCTGCAGCATTGAATGCATCAATCGAAATGTCCTCTTTGCACAGCAGTCGACGTGTGACGGTGTCACTGTATAGATAGCTTGTGACTACTGATCCGAAATCGAGCTCAACGCTATGTGTGCGAGTAACTATGAAAGAATTTCGATGTTGTTTAGGAGGAGAATTATCATTGATACGTCTATGAAGAATTGGATCATGCTGTCCTTTCATCCAGCGTGGATCGATGAGCCTCGACAGGAACGCCACTGACGCGTGCCCCTCAGCAGTGGCCTTCATGTGCAGATTTCTTGCATGTAAGTGATGGGCGAAGATGAACATGGTGGCGGTTGGTGTCTCGTTATGGCTTGTCTGTTGAACGACAGAGGCCTGGATGTGACAGAAAGCTTGAATCTCGTAGTGTGGGCCAGCAACATGACCCTTTGAGAGACGGACAGACATCAGAAAAGAGGGTCAGAATATGCATACGGCACTGGAGTATGTTATATAGAATATTCAACTAAGTAAAGGGATGCAAGGAGCCAGCATCGGCAAGTGGGGCCCGAGCGGGCTTCCAGCACGTGCGCTGGTAATTGGCAAGCCAGGGAATCTCTGCTACCACAAAAGTAGATGGAGAAGGACAATACTTGTGTGCGTGGGATGGGGTAGGGTCGGGGGCAGCCAGAGGCAGCTGCCCATCCCTGCTGTAGAGCCATCACCATCCCATCTACAGACTAGAAACTCTAGGTACCTGCTCCCTCTCACAAGCCCACCATTGATTCTGATGGGATTGTAAGGAAGAAAATTTGACCTCAAACATGGTGAGGACCTGGTAGGTGCCCTTGATCCAAAGCATGATGTGATAGAGTGGCAAAATGGCACTGCAGGCCAAGGCCCGCGTCAGTGGCGTTCATCCTGGCGTTGCTAGCAGTGGGAGTCGGGTTTGCAGTCAAGAGGTGGAGAGAAGACCGCAAACAGAGGGCAGATGAGGAGTATGAGAGGAGAAGGTGGGGCCAGGAGAGTGCTCTCGAGGTGCGAACTTCCAATGTCGCTTATGCGGCTGCCAGTGGCCAGCATGCTGCTTCCAATCCCTGATGTCCTGTTCAAATGCTGCTCCAGCTGTAATAGAGCTCCTAGAGCTGCAATTGCATTCTGCACAGCTCAAGCATTGCACTGTGTCCTGGCATCCAGGTGAGCTATGCTCAGAGCCCCTTGGAAGCGAAGGAGTACAACCTGGCGCTAGCGAGGACGCGGCAAGCCATGGGTGTCCACAGGGCTGTCCAGTACATGAACTTTGGCTCACCAGCCAGGTAGGGATCTGTGGGGGTTCATATTGCAGAACTATGCTCTCTGTTCTTGCCAGATGCTCGAGAACTGACTAAGTTGTAAGTGTAAGGAAAAGACTGCTTCTGCAGGGCCATTGTGGAGCTGCAACGGGCTCTCCAGGAGAACTCCACCGCCCGCTGCCCTGTGCTTGGTGCACAGCATGACGGAGAGGACGTGAGTTGTTCTGTACTCATGAGGCAGTCCTGCATTTGCATCGCCATTGAAAGTCTACACTGTATGCATCCTGTGTGATGCTGTGGAGTTCAGGCATGACGTGCACTGATCCATAAGAGTATTGTTTCTACATGCTCAATTCAATAGTCCTGAGATTTTTATGTTTGCATGCAGATGAAACGCTTGTACCAGCTCCACCTGGAGAATACTGAGATGCCCGCAAAGTATTCAGTTCTCTTACAACTGCGTGAGATGCTCGATATAAATGAAGCGGATGCCGAGAAGCTAGAGCAAGAGGTCCTGGGGAGCAGCAGCTCATTTTCCATCTAATTCTAGATGCATGTCTGTGAAGAACACAACTTCTCTGAGGATTTGTAAGGTCGTTGTACACTTGACACAGTAGGTCATGAAGTTGATCAAGGATGCCCTGGAGTGCACATTGCACATGTGGAGATCAGAGCAGATCTTTCTGAGAGGTCAGCAATCATGCTTAGGCAAAAGGTTGAGGTTGGGTTGCCTGTATTGCAATGATTGATACGCCGTAAAAGAGTCCATGTCCGTTCCATATCCTAAGAAATTTACAAGGCTGCTTTCAAAGTATTGAGATTGATAAAGCATCGACATCGACAAATGTTTTTGTATCTTCTTTGCATCCAACACTTGAGCAATTCCTTCTTGGCGACCTCAGCATTGGCAGGTCAACGCCTTGCATGATGCGGCTAGTGACACTGTGACTGCCCAAATTGGATTCGTCACTAAGCAGCTCAACACGCTTGGCCATCTGCACCCCAGTCCTGGGCATCATCATAGGTGCCCCTAGATTTTCTATTCCAGGTAAGGACGTACTCGCCCAAAGGGACACGCACCATTGAAGGGGCACTCATTCAACGGCACAAGCGGAAGGTGCTCCCAATTCAATCCGCAACATCTTAAAGCCACAAAATGCTCGGACAAGGCACACCAGATCAAGTACTGCAGGTAGTACTGGCCGTATTCCACTGTGACGCATGTTAAAGCTACACTATTATAATGTGTGCCCGCCCGCAAAGGCACCTCAAGACCCGGTGCAACGTCTGCCCGGCAAGTAATCACTGCAGGAAGGAATCCGTGGTCCATTCCTCAACCTCCTCCCTCCTGTGACAAGCGTAGATTGTCAGAGTCAAAGAACTAACAACATAAATTACATGGGACCAGCATAATGACAAGCAGGGAGATTCGATCACCTGGGCCATCATCACTTCTAATTGAGCCTCCTCTTCCATGCCCAGCTGCACAAATGCATAGACCTTTAGCTTCTCGAATCATGTTAGGCCATGTGACTTGCAGGCATAGCAAGGAAGACAGGTCCCAGACAGCTCGTTGCTCTTTCGAGCCCAAAGTGATTGAAATAAACGTACATCATTTGGGGTCTGCTCTCTCTGGATGCGAAGGCCTGCAGGAAAAAATACACACATCAAGCTCGCATGTGAGAGGAGCTAAGGATCCACGGTTTGCACGTAGCGAACATTTATGTCTACATCGCCTCAGGACTTCGCTTGTGATGGAAATTCGATAACACTGTACCATCGTAGAGGAAGATGACTGAGCCCTCTTGCAGACCAAGTCTCTCGGTATACGCCGTCATGAGCTTGCGAAGCTGCGCCTTTTTTTTGATCTTGAACTGTACAACGTTGCCATCCTGCGCAACAGGAAGTGCCGGCGACAACCTTAGAAATTTCCTTTAGTATTTCATCACCTGATTGCAACCAGATTTGCATCACAACACTAAGCGTGTAAAGCCAAAAATTGTCTCCCAGCCGGCTCCGATCAGGCGTGTATATTATCAGTAAAACATCTGTGCTGGTGCTGTACCTGGGCAACAACCCTGATGTTGACGTGCTCAGAGGCATTGATGTCTGGCTTCTGGTCAGTCTCCGCCATGCTGTTGTTGACTCTGTTATCCTCACTTCTTTTTCTTGCGATTTTTAGGCAATTGAGAGGAGCTGGCTCCAACTTTGCGATTTCGCGGGAAGGTGCAAGGAAACCACGGTTTACGTGCACGTGCTTGATGACTCCCATCACGTGCGTTTGAGCGTTTCATTTTCTTTCGTCCCGCGACCACACAACACCACAAGTTTCATTGTCTCTCTGTATGTTGTTTCCTTTATCACGTTCCATGTCCTGCTTTGCTTACCTCGCCGAACCCCACACCATCTCTGCAGAGCTCCATCCCGACCAGTTCCGTTCAGTTTGTGCTTCCTTGCGGATTTAAACATCTGCATGGGAAGATTGAAATCAGCACAAATTCCTGGTTTGATGTGGTCCTGCTGTTTGATCAGACCAGCGGCATTTGATTTAGGATAGCACCATCACAAGTAGGCATGTTGAAGGGATACTTCTAGATTCTCCGCCAAGAGATCTGGCTACTTTGATTGAGCGGTAGTTCGGTGCCCGACAAGCCTCCTGGTACAATGGCTCAGGAGTGCAAGCTCCTTGAAGGACCAGCTGCTGCCAGTGCACAGCTATTGCTGGCCACCGCTGCCATTGGTGCTTTGGTATACAAAAGGTGTCCAGTGCTACCTCTTTTCTCGCATCCGCAGAAGCACGCCCCAGAGGAGAATTCAGCTCTGCACTGAAACCATCTGCATACCTTCACAGGCATAAGGAACACCCGCAAAGAAATCTCCAAGTATGGGGCATGGACATCAGCAAACAGATCATATCTGCTGCAGCGGCTCACATCTGTGGTATGATCAGACCATCTGTGCCATATGGTTCCTAGTGTAGACATCTCTTCAAGCCTGCAGCAACACTCAGAACCACCTTCCCAAAGGCTTCACTTCCAGTGTGTATCATCCACAAAGGGGAACTTGTCACAAGCTGCCTAACAACTGGTGGTTTTTTGCAGGCATCTTCATTGCCATTCTGGCAAGTGGAAATGGGACGGGCCACGTATCGCAGTGTGCATGGTGCGAAAGACCCCAAGGTTCCGAGAGATTGCCTTTGGTGCGCAAGCCATGCAGCTGGCTTCCAGCAATGGCATTTGATAGCTGTATTGGGTGCCAGGTACTTTGTTGCCTACTCTTTTGACACAACTCTGGGAGTGGCAGCTGCAGTGGGCATCCACACACTGGCAGTCAGGCTATGCAGCTCAAGGGCGGCTCTATTTCCCCACATTGAGCACCACTGGTGCCGATGCATAGCAGACTGCGGGGAATATGGTGAGCGCCTCCCTTACTTCTTCCTTCACCACTGCAGATTATCTCCTGCTCTTCAAAGTGCAGGTTTTGACCATGTCTTTACTGTGATGCTGAACAATCTGCAAAGTCTTCTTAGGCCCTTGCGTTGACTACTTTCTTGGAGGTGTGTATCTTCGCTTATGTACAGGTCAGCAATCATTCTGAGTAAGGTGTTGTCGTATGGGCAGGCACTCCACCCTCTTGGAAACCTTTCTTACTGCAGCTGGCGGAATGGACAGGAGCTGTGATCCTGGCGCGCATCATTTGTGGATCAGTGGTATTTCCCCTCTCTGCTCGTACCGCTCTTTTACCTCTGGAAAGTTTTTAGAGCTACAGCTGGCACCGTTAAGGCTTCAGACAGATGAGCACCCCTCCCATATGATTGGAGGGAGCATGCACGGCACATGATTTGGATTGTTCTGCAGGTGATTGCTGCAAAGGCAGTGCTTCTGCCCCTGGCAAGAGTCCTGGACAATATGTTCTGGGGACATCCTGTGCTCCTTCTGTATTTTGTAATGATCATGTGCCCTCTTGTCATGAATATCATCCAGGTGCGCATTGCTTCGTTGTTCCCCATCAAATTCTTGCATGCATTCTCCCACAAGCAACATTTGTCATGGCTTTGCAAGCTAGTGTAGAGGTAACAGCGATGCAGAAGACACATGTTGTGCCTGTACAGGCCTTGGTGCAGGATGCTGTACTCAAGTTCAGGAGGAAACACAGCGATGCGCCAAGCGAAAGCCCAGGTGCATCACCAGGGGATTCTGGCCGGAAGAGAGCTGACAAAGAGCAAGTGCGGTTGCTTGCATCGCAACCTGAGTTCTCGGATGGTATTCCACTGAAAGAGAATCATACGACCCTGCTGGGTCGCCCAGCTTTACAGGAGAGGCATTCTTTGGTCTAGACAGTCCATGCATCCCAAGGCTGAAATGCCCTGGCCGTTTCTGAGCAGAATTTGGCATCGCCCACCCCTTGTACGGGTTGAGTTATTCTTTAGTTGGAGTTAAGTAATTCTGGTTGCCAGGTATGTGCTAATCAGTACGTCAGACAAATTCAGCAATGGGTTGTTTCGACCTAGGTATTTCAACAGAGTTCAGTGCTGCTGATTGCTGTCAGGTGCAATCGCAGCCATCCGGCCATCAGAATGAGGTGTTTCATCTCTGACTGCTATGTTTACGTTACACAACCTTTGCCCTTGAAGGAGAGGATTATAATTGTCTCCTTGAGGGTCTGTTGAAGCAAGACATGAGATCTGAGGGCTGGCAATCTTCCTGACAGTGCTTGAAAAGGTACTCAAAGGTAGAAGCCCGCACGGTGCTTGCATCCATTGATCACTAACCACGCTAGTATAGCAGACTCATTGGATGGGCTTGTAAGGAAAGCATTAATGCTGGGAAGTTGGGCGGCCGCAAGCTCTGCGGCAGAGCTCGCGGCGCAGAGTATGCAGCGCTCTTGTGGCGCTCGAAGTTGCTGCTTCTAGCAGGGTCATATCCTCACCCAATAATGTGAGCCAGTCGCCTGTACTAGCAAGAGCTTTGTGACATACTATGACACACTCAGTATTATTACTTTTATTATTACATGCTTTTCCTGCCAACAGGCAAGCCAAGTTTAAACCCGAGGTGCGTTCTGCAGACAAGCTGCAGTTAGAGGCTGCCATAATCCTACCCCTTGTTGGACTCGCCAAATCCAAGCAAGACCCAATCAACCGTGGGCACGGTGCTCAGTTATATATCGCCCCCCGCCAGCCGCCGGCGGGGCCACTCACTGTAGGATCCACTAATAGTATTTTCGCCGCGCCGCGCAGCCGGCGGCTCTTTAAGTTGAAGAACCTTAAAGATTAAACGGACCTAGCTAGCAGGGCCTGTAAGCCTCAAGGCGACTATATGAGTTCAAGGGGAGCAGTCCGCGCATGCATGCAACTGGTCCATGGGCCCTTCCCACCCAGCTTCCTTGCAGGGCACACGAGTCAAATTGCATTACAAATCGTCCAGATGGCACTGCCCCGTCGGGCCTTGGGAAGGAGACAGCTGGAGGCAACCGGTCCATTTCTTTCCCGTGAAGCGAACTGCAACGATAGCACATTGCAAAAGAGCTCGATTGCTGACATCGGCGTGCCGTACGTTTGTTTCTTGTGTCAATCGAGGCTGCAAGAACCTCCCACCATCTGTAGGGCAATTAGGTACAGGTTTTCACGCTCCCGCTCTCCGTCGTGTTCTGCAGCGTGACTTGTTCTGGGGCCTGGCTGTCATGCAGATTGTTGCCCAAGGCTGAGATCGCACCGATCGTGAACGTACGAGTCTTGACCCGGTCTTGGACTGTTTCGCAGCTTGGTGGAGAGGGAGGTCGTTTTCTGTTGGAGCGGAGTCACAGAGGTTAGGTCCATCCGTACATTGGGCACGTTTCATGCAGTATTTGCTTGCTCTCAGAACGGGTTTGGTGCTATTGTGCGGTGATAAGAGGCGCAAGATGTGCTCACGACATCGTGATTGTTTTGAAGCTAGCTATTCATGGGTCAAGTCCCTACTGGTCTACTTGACGTTATCTTACGAGCATCAATATATGATTTTTCTTGTGCTTTCACACTCGTGCCAGCGTTGCCAAGACCACCTCCACCAAGCCTTGCAACATATCGATCTCTGGGATATATATGGGGCTCATTTTGTTTGCCTTTCCCGGTGCAGAACGCAGCAGAATGCAGCGTGGTGCAGTCAGCCTGTTCCTTGCTTCTTTGCTCTTAGCGGCAGTGGCAATTCCAGCACAAGCACAGCCGCCACTCGGCGACGTTTTAAGCCAGGTGACAAATTGCTTTTGCAGCCGCCACCTGTCACAGAGAGTTGCACATTGCTGTTGAACATGTACTAGTCGAGAACTTGTTTGTCGGTGGTGGCAAGGGGTTGCTGAACAAGCTTGGTGGCATGGCAGGCGGTGACTATTGCAACGGGTATTGTGTCAGCTATCCCTGGCGGCAGCGATGCCTTTGGTGCTCTTCTCGGGGGAGGTGAGCAGTGCTCTTCCCTCTGACTAACACTGAATAATGTTGTGCTTTTGCATGTCGATTCAGCCAGTCTTTCTCAGCTGGTGGCAAAGGGTTTTTTGAGCAGGGGATTGATTGGTAAAGACCGGCGCACGATGTGATATCTCATGCATTGAGACTTATCTGTGTGTTCCTGCCTCAGGTGGCGGAGGAGGCCTTCTGGGCGGCTCGTCCAGCAGCAGCAACAGCAGCAGCAGCAGTTCATCGACAGTGCCCATCCTCTCACCCAGGGGAGCACCGGCCCTGGCTCCCCGCGCGGCCAATTCCCTTGTTGCACCAGCGCCCCGCGTAGCTAGGGCCCCCGCTCCCGCCGTCGCGATGATCACCTCTCCAGTGGCGGTTGCCCCCATCGCAGCGGAGCCTGCCACAGCCGAGGGTAGCACTGTCGTCCCAGTCGTGGCAGAGGGCCCGGCTGTGGGCGTGCCTGCCAGCAGCTGGGACACCTCTGTCGCAAAGCTTCCAGCGGTGGCAGCGACGCCTGCGCAGGCGCCTGCTGCCGCCATTGTTGTAGCGGCACTGGTGCCAGCGGCAGAGCCGGTGATCACCGGGCCGGTGCTGAGCGGGCCAGCGCCCGTCGTGGCTGCGGCGGCGGTGCCCACGGCGGCTCCTGCGGCGGCTGTGACAGAGAATGCGCCAGCCCCAACGGCGCAGTCCACCCTCAACGACCCTGCCCCGGTCCTGACAGCCTCCGCCCCAGCGCCGGCTGTGCTGGTGGCAGCTCCTGTAGAGGCGGCAGCAGCTGCCACCACAACTGCGGCAAACGCGGCAGTCGCACCCGCCGCTACTGCGATCAGCACCGGTGCTGCCGATGGTGGCGCGTGTATCCTCAACTGCGGGCCTGCTCCGGCCTCGACTGGCCAGGCTCCCGGCGCCAGGAAGCTATTGCGCGCTTGAATGTGCACCCAGCATGATACCAATTGGCAGGCTGTGAACTTTGACTGATATTGAGGACTCCCGATGTCATCCACAGCTGTGAGGTCAGATCGCGCAGTGTGATTGCAAGTGGACCTCATGAACCCAAAGGGAACCCAACTGCTCTGACGTATTGCCTGTTTGTTTAGTAGCGTGATGAGAGTCGGCACACATTTATGTTCATGGGCGGAATAACATTACATTGCGCGGAATGACAATAAATTGCTGAGATTTGCAGGATTTTTCTTATATAGAGTTGTTCAGATCATTGGCACTACAATTTGTTCGCTTTTGAATAAGGGAAACCCCACCTGCCATGAGCAGATGTAAAATACTTTTGATGCTTTGTCCTGGACTCTCACCGATGCGGCAGCCTGCTCCGAGGAGTCCTGAGATCAGGCTCTGCCAGTGGATTTAAGTAGAGAGTTCAACTCTTCTAGTAATTCTGAAAGTTTCTAGAAGAGGCTCTAGCAGCGCTAGCACCTCGGCAAGAGGGGCAAATGACAAGAGACTTGCACAGCACAGTGCAGTACATGTGACTCAACCATCTCTGTCAAGCCACAAAGTGACATGACGCACTGTGGCAACGCATGCAGTCTTGAGCTTCCATAAAGTGCTCCAAATATGTGCCACGTTGGATGGTCACGTGGAAATTGAACTGCTAGCACTACTTGTTTTTCGAGCCCTGTCCCGAGCCAATTTGCGGACTTCTCGATATCGACATCAACGAGTTGAGTTGCCCACACCAAGGAGTCGTCTGGTCTCGAAAAAAGACCACCTGTTTGATATAAAAACAAAAGGAGTATACTCTTGCCCAAGCGGGAGACAGTCAGCCCTGCTGCAAAATATCGATTCCAGTACTACTGTCATTGACCCATTGATCGGGGAAAAGTGTGAATTTCTGGCCAAGCAAATCACATGGCTAGGCCTGCCGAGATCATCTCGATGTATCGATCGTTCTTGAAGCATGGTGCGTCCACTGGCGCGATTTGCTTCATCACATATGAAAGACTTAGAAGACACTGATATTAAATTGTGCTTGCGTCTCGCAGGCGCAAAGTTTCCCAACTACAATATCAGAGAGTGAGGGCCAGGCTGATTTTGCATTTCAAGTTGTTATTGTGCCAATCTTATTGACAGCATGGTGTGCATAAGATATGCATCGTGGTCTTTCTGTCCAGGTATGTGCGTAGGAAGGCAATGGAAGGCTTCAGGGCGCACAAGGGAGAGACAGATGAGCAGACAGTGTCGGAGCTAGTGCAGGACGCCAAGACAGAGCTGGAAGTGGTGAAGCGGCAATCCATGGTGTACAGCTTGTATGCTAGGCAGCAGAAGAGCATCATGGTGGGCTTCTCCCTGATTTGCTTGGCTGTGACACTGATGAGATGCACTGTGCTTCTCTCCAGCTGCATGCATGCGAAGTGAAGTACAAGGCGAACAGGTCCAGAACTGCATTGAGGCTGCAGGTCTTAGCTTGACCGACATTCTTCATCTTTGTATGCATGTATCCAATGTGCAGGAGCAGCAATCATGACTTGTGAGACATCGGGAAATGGTGCTGTCAGGCGCAACTGCTCGAGCTCCACCAACATTGAAAGGAACTTGCTTGTTGTTGCAGGATATTCCTTTGGAGAGGGTGTTGAAGGACCAAGCAGAGATTCCAAGCGCCGACCTCAAAGCACCGGGCTTGTAATGCAGCAGCACTGAAATGCCACTGGGATGCGCGGATGACAGAAGTGCGCGACTAGCAAGTAAAGCATGAGTTCATCTGGCCCCTCTTAAAAAGGGTTGTCTTTATAGAGACGTAGGAAACATGCATGCAGAATTGTGCGCTGAATAGAGTGTTGGCTGCACGTACGCATGGGCCTCGGCAAATGTGTGGAATCATTAGACATCAAACCTTATACCTAGCCTCATAATCATAGGCCAAAGAGGCCTTTGAGTAATTTAGCTTTGAGGGGATTGCTTACATAATGCAAGAGTATTTTCTAACTTCGCGAGACATTTAAGAATGGTGCAAAAATGATATCAGCATCCTGAGCTTATACAGCAGAGAGCTTATAGCAATATTCATCACTCAGCACGAGCGTCATAGCTTCTAGATGTAGCAACTTGATACTCTCATGTGACACACCAACATGAATGTGTAACAACTAGGTAAAATTCCAAATAGCTTGGGAGAAGGTCTATCTGCATGAGGGCCAACTCACAGCGCAGACTCTGATTGTACGCAATGCTGATTCCCCCAAAGCATAAGTCAAATTTAGCAAGGCCGGCCATGGTCACGGACACCATTCATGGCAACTCGATCAATAACTTGCTTGTCAAAAACTCAAATTGCAATACTCCTCAAAAGACGCCAAGGCAACATTCAGGCAGGAGTCAAACAGGACTGCTGCCTGTCCTGCAGTCACTACGGTAAACAGCCACACCAGCAACAAAAGTGCTTTTATTCTCCTTGCGCCTTGATGAGTTCTCCATGTCATCCATAAACTCATACATTAATTGCAGCAAAAAGAAAACGCCCAGGGACATCACCAAGCATTGTCCTGATCTCATGTGAGAGTAAAACATGAGACCTGCATCGATGAGATATCTCTGAAACGCCAGTTTTTACTTCCAGGAAGCTCTTTGATGAAGTGTCCATGCTGGCCTCACTGCAACTACCACCTTGTGGACAGTCTGACATGATGTGTAGCACTGCCGCCGCAAGATCAGCTATTCAAGACGGGGAGGAGCCAAGGACTGAGAGCAGATTTAAAGAACTTGCATCAGGCTCCAGTTTGGCTGCCATTGAAGGATGAACCTACTTTTAGACGCTTGGTCTCTCTGGTGGCCTGCACACAGCATCCTTGTCAGCATTGACAAGTGACCCATTCCCTAGAGCAAAGACAGCCATGCAGCCAACGTGCTAACTTCAGCGTCCACTCACCTGTTTGCACTCTGGGCATTCAAAATACACCATTTTGTCGCACTCAGCCTTGGTAAGATTGATGCACTTGGGATGATACCTGCCATGGTGCAAACGAATGGATCAGCCTCAGCTGCTCAATTTTGACATGCATCAATGCTTACCATGAAGCTAGAGACAATGTTTAGAAACCGGTTTGCGCATTCATACCGTACAGTAAAGCAGTATTTGCATGCAAGACGCCTGAAATGTCCTTACCATTCTTCACATTTGCTGCAAAGGATCATGAAGTTGTCAGGATTGTAAGGCAGTTCACAGACACAGTACCTGCAGCGTGTAAATATAAGCTTCACACCACGCTCAACGCAATAAAGCATGCATGCATTAAATGCATGTGCAGGACAGTGAGATTTGGAAAGGCAGGAAAGGAGCACAGAGATGAATCCTTACACAGGCACTCGGTCTGGGCGGAACTCCTTCGACACAGGCTGCATCAAGAGAAGAGAACAGAAGTCATGTAATCATCAGCATAGTTAAACTTGCTGAAGATTGCAATACACACAATTGAACGATAGCTACCTTGTATGTGAATCTTGCATAGAAGTCAGCTTCTGTCACCCGGGGCAGCGCCTGCAGTATCACACAATATCAGTATTAGGGAAAGACAACAGTACTTGTCTGCGCTGGAAAGCTTGCCCATATCTGTTTGATTGTACCTGGTAGCTCTGCAAAGAGTGGACCCTGCATTTTCCCTCTATTGTGCTGGCATAGCACCAGTCCAAGTGCTCTGACTTGAAGAGCTCCTTCCCTCCATGGAACAGCTACAACACCAAAAAAGCTTGGACAAGCCTGATGTGCCTGATGTGCAAGCCTACCTAGAGAGTTTTGAATGGCAAAATTTCTGTGTCTGACTGACGGCCTCTCACCTTTCGGCCCCCAGTGGCTTCCTCGGGTCTATAAAACCAGGCGACCTGGACATTGATCTGATCGGTCTTCCCTTGAACTTTGATATCCCTTATTCGTCCCACCTACATAATAGAGAAGTGTCACGACACAGATGTTGTCCATCTGACCCATATGCACGCAACAATCTTGTAATGTCGTGCAGGATCAGAAGTGTGCTCTCACAAATGGGAGCTTCTCTCCCGCGCCGCGCACCAAAACGCAGTCCCCAACTGCGCACCAGAACACATGCGAATGAGTTCAGAGATCAAAATACTGACAGGGCATCGCATCGCAAAGCGTACGCACTTTTGTATGTGACGCTTTTGTGAGTGAAGTCTGTGTGAGCTTTCTGCTCTTCATTGCAGTCGTTGTCTCAGGTGCGTCACATCGCCATTTGTGTCTCCTTCACAAGTGTCTACGAAACTTGTGAAACTAGAATTTGTCAACGAAACTTCTCAGTCAGGCAGAGCACGCTGGAATTAAAAATGGACTACAGAAGGCGACCGGCCTCTCTTCGAGGTGGGGAATATAGTGTTTCGTTAGGGGGAACTTCAAGGCAATCCCTAGTGTGAAATGTCCGAGTTTCTTGCGCAAGCAAGATGCAAGACAAGATTATAGAGTTTGCTTGAGGTGACGTCATTGGTTATCCCATAGCACTGCTGTGCTGGCTTGCCTTGGCTTCTTCTGTTCTGTCTTCTTCTGCTCAAGACACAAAACAGAAAATGAATCGTCTGGGTTACTTCTAGATTGTAAGCTCATGACTTGCACGCAATTCGGCACAGATACTTTCTGGATTGACTCGATGCTTCACCGTTAAACAGCACAATATGTGTTGTTGTGTGAAAGAACACATCATTGGACGAATTAATCAAATCTTTTGCTCGATCTGTCTGCAGCACCTTGAAGCAACGACCAGCAAAGCCTCCTAGGTGACAGACATGGCCTACCCATGAGGCGCTGGACACCAGGAATGACATGGAAGAACACAGAAATGAGGGCGCTCAACTGTGCAATAGCGAGTTTACGGAGGCATCGCAGCCTGCAGATGAGGCCCTTGCACAACAGTCAGGTGAGGGACGAAGACCTTCCACTGCAACCTGCAGTGCCACAGTCTTCTATCATGCTAGCAATACTTGCACTTAAATTGACTGTTGAACTTCACGATGCAATATTGTTCCAGGACATCGGCCAACAGAGCGGCCAAGGGGACCGGCTGCTGAAGGGCATCGCCAAGGAACGCCAGAAGGGGTATCAGAACATGTCTGGCAAGAAGACAACCTTTGGAAAGTTCCTGGTGCGTCAAGGTTACCTTTAGCATGTACGCTAACCAAAGCTCTTGACGCGCAATGCATGTGTTGATGGTCCTAAGGCCTCACCTGGTTCTGCAGATAGAGGAGCTGCATGGCTTGACAGGCTTTGCCAGAGGTCACCACAGACGCACCCTCTCCGAACTCATCCAGGAGGGCGAACTGTATGAGGCAATGAATTCCAGCCAGCGAGAAGGGCACTTGAGAAGAGTGGAGTATGCGCTCGGAAGCTTGCAGTGGTGTGCATTGCTCTGCTTTCCTTCATCTTCATCTTCGAAGCATGTAATGACACAGAACTGCATTTTTCGAAAACTTGCACACTGTTTAGCAGGTAAGGAAAATATACAAGCTGTCTGTGGTAACGTGTGCAGGGAGGCTGAGCAGGTGCGGAGTGTGCCGCTCAGAATCCGCACAGGCCCCGTGCTGCGCATGCAGCAGCCCTCAGCAGGGAGCCAGGCCATTGCAGCGCCCCTGCCTCCGCACCTGAGAGCACAGTGGACACCGCCTGGTGCAGAGGATGCTGAGGATGCAGACTTCAGTAAGCAGCAGGCAGGATATGTCCCTGGCAGCCACCGGGCCCTCCTCAACGGTCAGCAGACAATGGCTCCTTGGCTGTCGGATGGGGCCGGACAGGCAGACGCAGATGCAGCAACAGTCCCGCTTCCCCAGAATGGCAAGGTGGCGCTGCATGAAGGGGTGGATGGAGCCAGCATGGCAGGTGCATCGGAGGCTGCCGCAGTAGTGAGCATAGAGCAGACAGCGTCAACATCAGGACCATACGTGCCTGGTAGACAGCTGACCTACAAGGGCATTGTGTTCGATCTTGAGACGACTGGTGCGTTGGTGGATGTACGCATGCATGTTGTGGGATTGTGCCATTCATGCAAGCGTGCAGTGCGGCTGGCTAATCTCGCTATGTATGGGTGAAGGGTTTCCGTCGAAGAAGAGCCGGATTTTGGAGATTGCAGCGCTGGAGATGGACAGTCAGAAGGGCATGCAGACACTTGTGAACATTTTTCCTCACACGGTCAGATCTCCAGCCGAACTTCCAGCCCCATGCTTAACTCTGATCAACTCTCGCTTTCTTGAAAAGAAGTTTGGGAAAATTGTAATCTAACAAGCCTATGGGAACGTACAGGTGCCCAATTCCGAAATCCATGGAATCACGACAGAGATGGTGCATGATCCTTCCTTGCCTACATCAAGGTGGCCACCAATCAAATAAGCAGTTCTGCATGGCTGCACCAAACAATTTTTTGCAGCCGTTACCAAATTGACTGGTGAGAGCCCAGGGAAATGACAAATATCGATGTGCTCTGTATATTTCTTTGCAGGGAGGCGGTGCAGCAGTTCATGGACTTCATAGACAGTCACTGCGCCTCAGAGGACACTGTGCCAGTCCTGATTGCGCACAACGGTAGAAGATTTGACATCCCTTTCCTGGCCATGGAGTTTGCTCGGGAAGGCTTCAAGATCCCGGCCAACTGGCATTTCATGGATACCCTGATGGTTGCGCAGAAGGTCATCGACAGAGACAACATCCAATCCCTCAAACTGGTGAGCTGTTCTCTGCATGTACACATGACCACAGCACTGGGAAAGCAACATCAACTGGCCCACTGGGCTCATGACAACCACTGAGAACAACCAAGGTGTGATCCTGTTATGTCCATGCAGACGGACATGCGCGAGCACTTTGGCATTTCTGCGCCCTCTGTGGAGCATCGGGCTTGGCAGGATGTAGAGGTGCTGTCTTCAGTGGTCCACCACCTGCTCAGCGCTTGCAATGCGCCCAGCCTGCATCATTTCATGGAGGAAGCATCGAAGCGCAGTGCCAATGGAACACCTGTGACCCACAGCGGCCTCGTCTCAGAACTGCTGGGGAGCTCCAAGAGTTCAGGTTTGTTGGGCCTCCGACATGTGTCCCTGAGCAGCTTGTTTACTTATCCTTGTGTACTTGTCCTTGTGTGCTTCTGGAACTCTCGGCAATGGGGACTTCTTTGCCTAGGAACAACTTACCAGAAAGATTCGTGGGAAATGATGCTGAGCATCTGTTTGGGGTGCACTGGCATGGCAGGTTCAAGGAAGCCTGCACTGGCCAAGCAGAATCAGAGGCTAGCAGATGTACAGAGGGCTGCTGATGCTCGTGTGGAGCTGGATGACTCATTGCCTCAGGTTCAGTGCACCTTATGGATATATCTGCTATACCAGCCATATTAAATTTACCTCTACTCATCTGCATACCCAGCACCTGATGGATTGGCCATCAATCTGTTGCCATCTCCTTCTTAGCGCAAGTTTTGTGGTACAGTTTGAGGTCCGGCGGCGGATAGCAAGCAGGCTGTCAGTGCCAGAAGAGCAGGCAGATAGCACAGCCGAAGGTGGAGACGTGCACACTCTGCTGCAGTTCCCTCTGTCCTCCCATCGCAAGGGCTTCACAGAGAAGCAGTGCGCGTGAGTGGCCTGCCCTGCCATGCTGGGTTACATGTGTAGCCTGAAGGACCGCTTACAAGCCTGGTCTACCAAGTAGCAAGGTGCTCCTGCTCCTGCAGCACTGGCGTTTCAAGGCAATTGCTTTATTCTACAGGGACCTGGAGAAGAGTGGATTTGAAAGCCTGGGGGACCTGCTTTACTTCTTCCCCCGATCCTACATCAATTTTGGTGAGCGTCACACTTCACCTTTTCCCACATTGTTGGCAACCACTCTTTAAGGGAGTGGGAGGACTCACCAAATTGTTTGTGACAACCAGGCACTGTTCTGCGAGACGATGCCTATGTGCACCTGGATGGCACTGTCATGCAGAGCTCTGCAAAGTTCTTCAAGAACCTTTTCTTCAGTGACCTGACTGCATCGGTGGAGGCTGCAGCAGTTCTCCCGATCACAGGTGAGCTGCATGCTGTACCGCTCTGCATGCAACATGGCATAGATCTGATTGCTCATGGGGCGATCTGCAAATCTTGAGATGTAAAGGTAGAGAGACAAGAAGGAGTGTCTTAACGTCTGCAATGCTCTGTTGGATGCAGAGGGGCCACAAAATTGCAGCATTCCTCCTGCCTTCAGCCAAGCTGAGGGGGACGAGCACTGGGTGGATAGGGGCCATGATTCTGCTAGCACCTCTGGAAGGTCCGATGCTTTCTGCATGCCAGTAATCATTCGCTAGTAAAAAAGATTTTGAGGAGGCAACTCAACCCTGCCTGAGAGAGGGTCCGGGCTTGACTGGCATTGTAGCAATGTTGGGCAGGTAATTTAGTACCTGAGAAGATTATTCAAAAATTGAAGAGGGCTTGACTGCATGCAGGCCCACTGCAGAGAACGGCGTTTATGGGCAGCATGTGGTGTGGGGAAAGAAGACGGTCAACTCTCCTTTTGGGTGGAGGTTGGCGCAGAAATTTCAGAGTGCTTTCAGTCCGGGACAGCCAGTCACTCTCCTCGGCAGAGTCACCCGAGCCAATGGTCAGCACAGCTCTGTCCTTCACAAGTCAGTTTGTCTGATACTATCAGGATATTCCGAAGCTTGTTGTCCTAATCTATATCAGCCAGAACAGAAATTGTCAAGAATCTCTCTTCTGCTGCAGGTCGCTGGGAGTTGGATGCTTCCACAGTTGAGTTCCTAGAACCTACTGCAAAGAAGGCAGCAGCTGCTGAGGGCCTGGTCCCTGTATACTCTCAGAGGTGAGCTTTCAGCGAAAGCAAGCTCCACCCATTCCTGTGCAGTGTGTGTTGAAGGCCCGGAACCGCCTTGTTCTGTCACGCATCTGCCCAGAGGTCCGCTTTCTGTGCAGGGCACCCTTGAAGAAGGGAGACATGCCCAAGCTGGTGTCCAAGGCTCTGACCATCCTCGAAACAGCAGGCGCCGTGAATGACATGGACATTCTGCCTGAGCCTGTTCGCGAGGAGCACAGCCTCATGCCCTGGCTCCAGGTATACTGTGCGCGCAGCTTGCGTGGTACTGTTCAGACTGTGACAGAAGCCCTTCCCCTCAATCATGGAGTTGCCTGCCCAGGGACCAAAAGAGGGGTGTGTAATCTGGGGGGCTGTCATTCCAATTTTGACAGCCCACCAACAAAAACTGGAGCAAAGTGGGATCAGCAGGGATGTTACCTGTAGGCGATGAGGAGCAGGCACCAGCCGCAGAGCGAGCAGGAGGCGGAGGCTGCTCGGCAGCGCCTGGCCTTTGAAGAGCTACTCGTGCTGCAGCTGAGGCTGCTGCTCCAGCGCAACGACATCCAGTGCGTTTCCTTTCCAGCCCCAATTATTTGACCAGCCAGCTCGATTTCCAGGCAGACTGTCGCTGTCCAGCATTGTCACCTCGACATCATAGCCTAAATATTCAGAGGTCCCCACTTGCATGAGCCCAAAACATGCACATGGCCCCTCTTCACGAGGCCTGTCCTCCTTCACAGCAGCTGTGCAAGTGCATGGGACATCAAGCGAGGGTGTTTCCTGAGGCACTGGTGGGAGCACTGCAGGGCATCTGCACTGGGGACGGAGGGGGTGTGTGTGACGGAGGTGGGCCTGGTGGAGGCTGCGCGCGAGGCGCTGCCCTTCCAGCTCACCGGCGGCCAGGAGCGCGCATTGGACAACGTCCTGCGCGACATGCAGGGGCCACTCCCCATGATGTGCCTCCTGCAGGTGCAAAAGACACAATCTTACCTTGCTCCTTTCCAGCTGTTGTCTTTCCTCCAGTGTAGCAGCTAGACTGCACATGCTCCACAAGATGAGTGTCTTCCAGGAACGAGTCCTTGAGAGTGAAATGTCATGGTTGTGCCTGCCTTAGTAAGTTGTGGGCTGATGGGATTTTGGCATGGACAGGGCGACGTGGGGTGCGGCAAGACGGCTGTAGCGTTCTTGGCCCTCCTGGCGGCAGCTGGCAGCGGCTACCAGGCAGCCATCATGCTGCCGACCGAGATCTTGGCCAGCCAGACGCATATAAAGCTGCAGCAGCTGCTGCAGAGCATGCCTGAAGGCCTGCAGCCCAAGCTTGAATTCCTCACCGGCAGCACCAAAGCCAAAGAGCGGCGCGAGGTGCATGATCTGTACAGGGCATCAAAAAGAGCCCATGTAATTTTACTTGCTTGCCTTGTGCGTGAGAGAATGGGATGTGACTGCTTGCGTTTCACGTGTGATGAAGTGTACGGTTCGTGCAGATCATTGGGGGATTGGCTGATGGCTCTGTGGACCTGATTGTGGGCACGCACGCCCTCATCAGCGACAGCGTTGAGTTCCAGAACCTGGGCTTTGCCGTCGTCGACGAGCAGCATAGGTTCGCCCTGAGCGCCACAAGTCTATCATGCCGTCTTTTCACCTTTCCATGTCCTTCAGTTACAAGTCAACACAGGGGAGGGCACATTTGTTGCTTGATCATCCGTGGTGCCATCACAAGCATGGGTTCAATCCCCGTTATTCGCCGGTCAACCCAAGATAGTGCCATGAAGAGGCGCGCAAAGCGCGGCCAACGAGGAGCAGGATTTTTCAGCAAAGTCCAGTGCCCCACAATGCGACAATTACCGGGTTTATGGCATGGGTGCAGGTTTGGGGTGGAGCAGCGGGCGCGGCTGGCGGCGAAGGCGAGCCCGGCGCCGCACGTGATGTACATGACGGCCACGCCCATCCCCCGCACGCTCGCGCTGGTGGAGCACGGCGACCTCGCCCTTGTCACCATCAACGAGCTCCCGCCCGGCCGCTCCCCCGTCGCCACGCGCGCCCTCACCGACTCCCCCGCCTCCCGCGCCCTGGTCTGGCCCCCTTGCCTTTGATGTCTTGCCACCCCACGCTTTCCCAGCCCTGGTCCGCCCCGCTGGCTCTGATGTACATAACAGTGGGGAGTGCCTATTCCAACCACGGTCAGGCAATTTGTTACAGTCAGGACACTGCAAGCAAAGTGGATCATTGGCAAGAGCGAAACAGGTATGCCTGATAATATGTTGTGACCCCATGGTGTCCCAGGGGCTTCATGAGAGCCGCTTCACAGCGACATCCTCTGCTGCTTGCTGACCATCCAGGCCATTTGCCACCCTAGTGCATGGTGTTTAGATCAAACAAAGCCTGCTGTGTGCTGCGCCAAGAAAGTCGCCATCAATGGGATGAGCACATGATCCTGGATCAAGGCATGCATCCGCTGCAAGTTGCATGAGCAACATTATGACTATTCGTGAAGTTCCAGACCATGTGGCACAGCACTACGGCGGGCCTCGTGCATTCACGATGCTGAAATCATTGATTTATGTAGGGAGTTGCATTGGAGGTTGGGCGGGCTGTCACATTTGGCTGAACGGAGACAGTGAAGGATACATGATGTAGGGTTGGGATTTGCAGGTGTACGAGGCGATTAAGGAGGAGCTGGCATCGGGCGGCCGTGCGTACATCATCTGCCCCCTGGTTGGCGAGAGCACCACCAAAGCGCTCGCCGACGTCAAGGTGGGCTCCCCAGTGCTGCCCCCCACCCTCGCCTGACCGGCTCCTCTTGACCTCCCCTTGATTATGCTGGCAGGCTTGCTCTCATGCTCGCTTTGATCGTGCGGCCGGGTAGCCGGTGTGTCAGTCAGCGAAGCAGGGCGGTGCAAATGCCTGCTCCACCCAGAACATGCATCACCAGGGAGACCCTGAGAATGACCCCCTAGTACCCCCTAGTATAGCATTGATCTGATCTAAATTAGCTTTGACAGGCAGGCCAGAATGACATGGAAATTGTGCGTTGCAAGCTTACAGGCGAGTCAGTGTGACAGGGAAAGGTGTGTGTTGGTGGCAGGCAGCGGAGGAGGAGCACAGGCGGCTGGTGGAGGGGGGAGTCCTGGGCGAGGGCGTCTCCTACGGCCTCCTGCACGGCCGCCTGAGCGCCGAGGAGAAGGCCGATGCTCTTGCAGCCTTCGCTGCCGGCCGCACCACCGTGCTCATCGCCACCACGGTCGTCGAGGTGAACTTTCCCTCTACCTTGACAGCAGTATCAGTGACCCCTCTTGCATCCTTGCTGTCAGTCTCGTTCTGCTGGGGCCTTCCGTTCTCCAGTGTTACATTGGGCAGTGTCGAGGGCTCTGAAGAGGCTGAAGAGATCAGGGCATGTTGCTGACCCTGGGGACTCATGCAGAGAGAGGCCGAAAAATTGGCCACCACTGCTGCCCTGTCTGAGGGACTTCAATGCTTTGGTGTGGTTAGGTGGTATATTCTATGTGGTACGTCTGCAAGGAAGCGATGTCAGAGTGAGGGTTAAACCCCTGGTTGGGCGCGCAGGTTGGGGTGGATGTGCCGGAGGCGAGTGTGATAGTGGTGGAGGGCGCGGAGCGGTTTGGGCTGGCGGCGCTGCACCAGCTGCGCGGCCGCGTCGGCCGGGGGGTGCGCGCATCGCGCTGCTTCCTCATCACCCAGGAGCCCAGCCAACGCCTGGCCATACTTGAAACCTCCCACAGCGGCTTCAGCATCGCCGAGGCTGACCTTGTGCACAGGTGCGCCCTCATGCCTCTGCATAGCAACCCTGCCTGCGGCTGCCTTGTCCGTTTTGATTAAACACCATCTCCAAGAAACAATTTTTTTGGTATTTGGGCCTAATCAGCGACGGCCTCCCCCACCCTTACACGGGCATCCTTGCCAAAACATGCCTGTCACCTGATGCCTTTTTTAAAGAGCTTCATTGTGATGCTGCCTGAATGCGCCTGACAGTCCTGCCCATAGAATTGGTGTTTGTCAAGGGATGGCAACCTGGATTGGTTGTGAAGGTTTGGCGTCTCTCCAAAGACATATTTAGGAGAGGCTTGTTTGCGCTGCACAGGGGCCCCGGGGACTTTCTGGGCAAGAGGCAGAGTGGGAGGGATGCCTTTTCCCTGCTGCGCTCGGCCAGGCTGCCTGCCGACAAGGACCTGCTGGACGACGCGCGCCGCTGCGCTGCCAAGCTCATCTCCGAATGGCAGGAGGGCGCTGTGGAACCGCCGGCTGCGCTGATGGCTGCTGTGCGGCGGCAGGCCAGCATGCTGTTGGACGTTAACCACGTCCCCGCGTCTCTGGCTCCAGAGAGTTGCGGCAGCTAGCCTCTTGAACAAAGCAATTGTTGTTGGTCTAGATGAATCTGGAACACAGCGCTTGGCTCCGTCGAACAGTGCTTCCGAATGGGAGAAAGGATTAGGCTTCCAGAACTCAAATAGAAACATTGTGGTTTGGTAGATTTAGAGCCATTAAAACCAGAGTAGTATAATTATAGACAGACTGTCGTTGACTTCATAGGATTGCTTGCTGATTTCTATGCAATTGTAATGTAACACAATTCCTTTCACACTGCAGAGATGCCGGACTCCTTTTGCACGTTTGTGCCAAATATACACATGACAAATCACTTCGGAGCGTCAACTTTCTTATTGAAGCCACAACCAACATTGCAGTATTACAATAAAACGAATGAACTGCATGCGCAAGTCAAATTGACTCCGTCAATCTGCTTCAAGCATTCGGGCAGGCACGTCTGGGTCAGGTGCATAGACATCTTCAGAGAGACACAATCACTGAACCGCCTCAAATTCTGGGGGGATCCATGGCCGATAAGTTGCTCGTGGTGCGAATTTCCTGCTGCCGGTCAGCATCTGCATGTCACCGCGGCCCTTCCATCGCCACCGCAGGAGCTTGGAAAGATCCATGTATGTGTCCTTGGTCCCCTTCGTCCTCTGCATACTTGCAAAGTGCTCCTGCACGCATGCCAACAGCCAGCTCAGCCCTCACGCCAAACAAAGGCCAAAGAGCAAGCACACATGCTTCTTCGGCTGATATGCTTTGAAAGATAGTTGACAGAATGACACGGGTGTAGTCGGGCTGACATGCTGGAACATCGCTTGGCAGACCGACAAGGAATTGCAGATTGGCAACACAGATAGGTGGTCCTGGCAGTCATGGGGGCCTCACAAGGAGTGCAATCTCTCCATTGCGCTCGCAGCGTGCGATGAGCATCTCAAGGGAGGACGGCCGGATCTGGAAGCCTGCGTCCAGGGCTGCCTGCTGCACGGCCGCGGCCGCCCGCGCACCGCCCTGCACCACATGGTACTCCACATGCAGGGACCATGTCAGCGCGTTGAAGGCAACCCCTGATGCCTCCATCTCCTCCAAGATCTGCACAACAACACCTTCAGATATCTAAATGTCGTGTGTAACTCCAGTGGAAATAGTGGTAGTGGCAAGAGGAGCAGGCACGGACGACATGCTGCGAGTAGTTGTGCCAGTCAGTGGCAGCGGAAGATGCCAAGCAGACACATATCCCCAGCCTTGATATACCTGCACCAGTCCAAGTGCAACACTGAAAACATGGACATGAATATCCTGCAGCAGCCAGAGGGGAAGCCGTGCCTTGGGCACCGAGGCTGTCATGCCGTGGTGGATGCAGCCCATGAGGACGGCGTTGTAGGCCTGCGCGTCTGGCTTCATTCCCAGAGCACCGTACGCCTCAAAGGTCTCAAACGCGCGGCCCAGGTCGCCCATCTGGCTGCATGCCGCCACCACGCAGTCCAGCATGGGCCCGCTCACCGGCTCCCCCTGTCCAGCCACCACACCTCCCTCAACAGAGCTCACCCATACCAAGTGAGCTTGAAGACACCATGAGACCGCTGAAATCACCTGATTCTGGAGGAGTGCTTGAAAGCTCCTCCCGCAAAGTGATGAGCTGGATATCCGGTATGTCTTCTGATAAATCATTGATTAAAAAAATATGGTCCATGACAATCTTAAACACGGTGCTTGGCAGCACCTTTTAATGACTGGCAACATAGAACAGCTTAGCCGAGCCAGTCTTGGTCACAATCTCACCTTAACATGCATGTCCTCCAGCTCGTAGTAGGCTGCATCGGCAGCCTCAGGGGACTCTGCCGCGGCATTGACCAGTGTGGCCAGCGCCGTCTCGAATGCCACAGCGTCCGGCCGCTCCGGGTGCACCTGCTGCAGCTGCCACACCATGCGGAACGCCTGCCTGCACATGCCGGCAGGTGCCACACTTCAGCTGGCAGCTCCACCAACAAATCAGCAGCTGGACCTGCCCGGCTAATTCTTCAGGTGCAAAGGATCATTCCCCCGACAGGGAATGCGCTTGAAGACAGATCTTCAAAACCATTCATTCTTCCTCCTTTCTTGGCGCTTGCACTACCATGTATGTCTTGCATGCTGCCAAAAGTTGCGCACACCTGATATCGCGCGCGTTGGCAAAGGTGTCTATGAGGCTTTGGAAGGCCGCAATGCTGGGCTTGTTGATCGGCAGCAGTGCCTGCGCGTCTGGCACTCCGCCCGTTTCCTCAGCGTTCCCTCCTGCTGCAGCGCTCTCCGACGCCTCCACCTCCTCAGACCCCTCCCTGCGTCCCTGCCCTGCACCAGCCACCCACCACACCTCGTCAACATTCCCTAAATCCCATGCCAATGTGTACAGGATGCTTAAGCACAACGCGCGTGCAATCCCAGGTGAAGCACAGGCATTTCCTATCCAGGCTGGGAGCAGATGGTTGGAAACCATGTTTAGCTCTATGCGTGTGCAGGTGGCATGGGGCTGCACAGTGCCTGAGCTAATGGCAGACCTACTTCTCGTGTGTATGCGTGTATTGAATGCAAGAGCAGAAGTCTTGGACCATTAGATTCACAAAGTCAGCACAGTTGTGAGGTGTGGGCGGCGGCACTCACAGCGGTCGGGGGTGGCCGGCAGGTCGAGGGGCAGCAGGGAGTACTCGAGGAAGTCCCACGCGCGCAGGGCCAGGCCCACGTGGCCGCGCCGCGCAGCCTCCGCCAAGAGGCCCATCGCCAGTCCCTCCTCCAGGAAGGGCCCCTCAACTCGGCGCTCCGCCCCGGCCGGCAGCGGCAGCCAGCCCAGCATGCGCAGCAGCCACTCCGGATCCCTGCGCTCCGCCAGCGCCACCCGCAGCACCGCCTGCACCCGCGCACATCACTGCACTGACCTCGACACCCTCGCTCGACTGTTTCAGTTCATCAGCCAAAGTTTTTGCAAGGTGAGGAGGCAGTGGGGTGGGACCCATGACGTGTGTCAGCCGCAACCTGCAGAACATCTGCAGAGGCACCTTGTCTGTCCTGGCAGGAACAGCGTATAATATTCAAGAGACTGTGAGTTATGCCTGCTTGAATGCATGGTGAGGGACAGAGGCTTATGCCCGTAAGAAAAGACAATGCCGTATGCCTGTTTCAGTGCATGATACAGAAAACAGTGATCATGCAAATTAGAACCTTGCAGGTTTGGGGCTGACCCATGCACCGAGGTGTGCATGAGAGCTTTGTAACAACCCAGTCAAGACATCCCTGTTGTATAGCATGCCCTCCACAAGATGGCCCATCCTTTGTAAGGGTTGTGGGAGCTTCAGCGCTCACCGCAGCTGGGGTTCTTGGGATGACCCAGCTGTACTGCTGCATCAGCTCTGCCACTTCCATGGCAGTATCTAGCCGATCCGGCTGACCGCACACGGCGAAGATACTCTCGTGGGTCCTCCTCACATGGAAGTCGGCCTGCAGCGCCTGAGGATACCTCTCCCTGATCTCCTTCAGCAGCCTGCAGCAATGCTAGAGCCTGACATAGTGGCTTCTGGTTGTTTCGTTATGCTGTACTATAAATTGTCTCACCCTGACAATTGCTGTGAAGATGCCTGCAATTTGGCAGATAGGTCCCTGTATGTCCTGCAGATGCATTCCAACGTGGGACTGCAGCAGTTGTGTTTGATTTTCATACGGACCTTAGCGCATCATCTACCATCCCTGCGTTCCTGCACGCCAGCGCTGCAAAATTGAGGGCCTTCTTCCCCGCACCCTGCGGACTCTCCTGTACCAAGGACAGACGCTCGAGTCAGTCCCGGCTCACATGGGCTTACATGGGTATTGCATTATCAGCAACATCTTGTTTTCTTTGTTGCTCAGGTTCGTTGACTCACCCCGAAGCCTTTGACAATCTTCAAGGCAAATTCTGCAGACTCCTTAGAATCATGCAGGCTGCATGCCCTGAGCACATTGGAGTACGCCAGGTGCGACAGGTTGAAGTCGAACTCTTGCTCTGCTATCTGGACCGCTCGGTACACCTTGTGGTATCCCTGCCTATCCCTGCAGAGCAAGGCACCCACTTTAGGATTTTCTTGATACAATTTGTAACTGTAATAGTAATACCCTCGAGCGTCACCATTGATGCGAAAGGTCGCCTGACTCCCCCTTTGGTCAAGTAAGGAGATGAATGGGAGGTTTCTCACGCTGCCAAGGCCATGAAGTAGCCATTCCAAGCACCCATGGGTGGCAGCAAGTCTTGACGGATTCTGCCCTTTTCATTCTTGTGTGGGCGGATGCTGTCCAAGTAAAGCTCAAAGACACGCCAGAACTGCTGTGCAGCACCTTCTGGAGACCCTACAGCCAAGCGCGGGCAGGTCAGCAGCCAAGCTACTTTAGCTTGGGATCTATGAACTAATCGCAAGCACCAAAGCACCAAAGTCCAACACACTTGAAAATTTCCGTGATGCGACAAATGGATGCACTGCTCTTGGGAAGCTGGGCTTGACAACCCACTTGAATCCTTCAGGACATCAATGATGCCTGACATGACCACAGCCAGGCCTTTCCCAGTCCGTGGGAGTGGCAGGTTGCCCAGTCTTTGTCCAGTCGGGGCCCATGGCTGACTGCCGTGGAAGCCATCTGGGCTGTGCCTTGTCTCCTGGAACTGCACGTTTAACTCACCCCTGTGTGCGTCTGATGTTGTCGCATGCCGATAGCTCTCTGTCCTCAGATCAGCTGGAGAATCCTGTAAAATTGACAAGCACAACCGTCAACGCAGCACATATTACACCTGGCTTTTCCACCAAATTGTTGATTTGGCGAGACGTTCCTTGAAGCCTTATGCACTGGCTTCTTGAAATAGGCATGTAGCTGTGACTAGAAGGGCATTGGACAGGAAAAATATGGAGCAGCCGGAGACACACTGGAACAGTGTGTGTCTGTAATTCCGCCCCAATACTACTGGACGAATATGTGTGCTTTAATTGTGTTGAATGCTCTGGAATGAAGGCCACCATGCACCCAGGTTCACTATTTTGTGACCAAGCAGATCTTGCGCAATTCCGCAACAACCTCAGCGATCTGTACGATCGCCACATCGTGTGAAAATTTGGAAATTTAATCTTGGAGGCTACAATGCAGAGCAGTCTCAAATCTCTGACGAGTGCCGCTGGAGCCCAATCATATGACAAATCTTACTAAGTGCAGCTTCTCCTTTCCTCGGACAGATCTTTGCCATTGGCATTCATTCTCCACAAAGGTGGAGATCAACAGTCGCTGGAGTAGATAGATCAATGGCATGGGGAGCGCCAGGCACGGGTGCAGGAGTAGAGGATTGGGTTCGGCGACTTGTCGATGACGATCCCAGTCTGACTTCCATCACGGTGTTCAGGACACGTAAATTTGGACGTGAGGTATGCGGTAGTATGTCTCATTACTTTTTTTGTAGCATAAGTAATCAGCAAACTCATTTTTGGCAAAGGTGATCTGGTGCCAAATGGACTCGCTTTCGGACAGCGGCAATTATGTGCCTCTAGCACAATTTCAGATGCAATATCATTTCTTAATTCCTGTAAATGCTATCCTGAACAAGGTTCTGCCATGCAGGAGGTCAAGGATCTGTGCAGTGCACTTGAGAACAACACCAGGCTGAATGACTTCACGGCCACCAGCCATTCGTTGTCTGTGGAGGACGCAGAACAGTTTGCTGGAGTCTTGCGCAGCAACAGCACGTTGCAGAGCCTGTCTCTGGGCACTTCATCCTTCGGCAATGAAGCTCTCTCAGCCCTGTCTGGAGGATTATCAGGTGTGCCTGGATCATCCCCCATGGTCCAGCATGTCAACGATCTGCCTGCATGCATGTGCTCTCTGCATGCAATGCCAGTCATGGCTCATGATGAATGGCTGCAACCAGGGAACACGGGCCTGCAAAAGCTGGACTTGCACAGCAAAGGTGTTGGCGCCCCAGGATTGCGGGCCCTACAGCAGGCCATCGCTGCTGGCACCGGCCTGGACCATCTGACCTTGTCCGGCAACAGTCTTGGTGATGAAGGCGCAGCAGCTGTGGCTGCGGCCATCCCTTTCATACGCGAGGTGACGGTCCCCTCATCCCTGATTAAATTCGATAGCCATGCCTTGCTGTCAGCATGATTGGCCATATCCGAAGGGTCCCATGCATGAATAAATATTTGTATCAATTTCATGGGCACAAAAGAATTATGCAGAACTGGAATTTGTGATGCAGGTGGACCTGCATGACTGTGAGATAGGGGCAAGCGGGGCGAGGTCCTTTGCAGCAGCTTTTGAGGATGCGAGGGATGCATTGGAGGCGGAGGCTAGCGGTGGGGTGGCATCAAATGCAGAGATCAATGGGAGGGCGGCTGGGCCAGCACGGAAGATCCGGCTGCAGGTTCTACGACTGGACGGCAACCCACTCGGCTTCAGCGGCACCAGCGCCTTGAAGCCACTGCTGTCCCAGCTCAAGGAGCTGCACCTGGGCCGGGCAGCCCTGGGAGATGAAGGTGGCTCTTCTGAGGGATCTCTGCTCTGGCACACTTAAAAGTCCCTTGCAATTCTCCATCTTGCGCCGAGCCTATCAAGCTGCATGGCCCGGGCTATCCTCCTTGATCTTTCAATCAGTGCATGCTTCTTGAGTGAGCAAATGCGGCCAGGTGCGGCAAGTCTGGCAGCGGCGATGCCGTCCTCGTCTCCACTGGAGCTGCTGGACGTCAATGACAATGACATTGGGCCCACGGGAGCAGCTGCGCTGGCGGAGGCTCTGGAGAGGGGGCTGCAGCTGAAGGTCCTGCGCATGCGCGGCAATCGCATTGGGGACGAGGGCGCTGCTGCGCTGGGGCGCGCCCTCGCGAAGGGGCCCCTGCTGCAGGAGCTGGATGTGGGCGGCAACCAGGTGCTTACCATGTTCATTCCCCTGCATGCATATAGGTCCACTGTCTTGCCAACAGTATTTTCCTTGAAATACTCTTGTACGTTCTCAAAGAACCATGGCTGAGCATCAGGGTCGACGGGCTCCCTGCAATCTTTCTTCCAACTTCTGTTGTTCATCAGATCGTTAAGTATGGAGGGAGGTTTTGAAGCCAGCTTGCACGGCGCAGATGGGGACAGGAGCGGCAGAGTTGCTGGGGAGCGCGCAGAAGCTGCGCAAGCTGAGCCTGTTTGACAGCCATCTGGGGGACGAGGGGGCGTGCGTTGTGGCGGACAGGCTCTCGGCCGCCAGCTTTGTGCAGCTGATGGAGCTGGAGCTGTCTGCATGCCGCATTGGCACCGTCGGCATGGTCCGCCTCTTCGACGTGCTGGAGTCCCAGGCAGCCCCTGCTCTGGAGGTGCCTGCCACTCTCCCCCTTTGAATCACTGCAGCGCGTCTACATCTCTCTAATTGACCACCATCTCAGCTGTACGATATTTGCAAATCTCAAGGGATGCCTAGGTGGGTTGTTCATGCACATAGAAGGACCTTCTTGGATTACTTGTTGATGTGTGGTTGCCTGTCCAGATGCTGGTGATCGGAGGGGGCAACCCAGCGCTGGAGGAGGATGGGTTCCAGGGGAGGGTGGAGGCTTTGCGTGCAGCGCGCCCCGAGCTGGACGTTGCATGGAGGGCGGGAGACTCTTCATCTGTGCAGCAGCTTGGCGGTGCACCAGTGGTCGACCTGGATGCAGAGCTGCGCGAGGCTTAGTGTTATGATACTCAGGTCAAGTGTATCGAGAAGCCGCTCAAAAGCCACACACGTTAATGTTGGATGTGATGCTGTTTGAGAGGAGGCGAGCTGCTTTTACCCCAGTGCCTGTCAGCAAACGCAAGCTTCATCTTGGCGATTGTGCAAGTGCTTCTAGTGACAAGATGCAATTGTGCCTTGTGGGATAGTTGTAGCAGGTGAGACTGCGCATGTCATGAAGGCAGATGTCTCTTTCAGCAGAGTCTGCTTGAGCCCACTTGAGAGTAGTGCCTGACCAGAGCTCAGGAATTGAAGTGAAGGAATTGATTGAGATAAAGATTGACTGTACACATAATCAGAACTCATTCCTTTTCATCATTGGTACCTCCAGGTGTAATCAACTAATCGATGCTAAGCGAATGTGCTGGATCACGGTTATAAAACATCTTGAAGGCGTTTATTTGACGGCTGTAGAGATCTGCGTATAGAACGCCACTTAAAGTTGCTTCACCGAAAGTCATCATCAACCCGTTTCAGGTCCACCAGCAGATGCTGAAAGACAGCGTCGATCCACATGAAGCCGATGCCGCCATTGTCATACTGCCACAGCCGCCCCTCAACCCACCTCGGCTGGAAGTAGTTGAGGCCTGCAACCTTCCCTTTACCAACGTACGCAGCCACAACCTGCAAGCAGACAGCCTGATCAATAAAACACCAATTTATATTATTTTAGCAACTTGAGCAATGACTGCAGACAGAAGCGTGCCCAAATTATGTCCCTTAGATTTAAGGCAACACTACTGCAGCAGCTGAGGGCAGGGCAGGCATGCTTACATTGCTGCGTGGTTCCTCGGATTCTTCACTGTCGCCGGGTGGAAAGACAGGCACAAGCAGGTCCCGAAGGTCGACGAGATCTCTCTCTTCCCTGCTCCATGGCTCGACAAGAGGTGCAGCCTGTGCATGCCAGGTCCGCCGCCCTGCTGGGACATGATCATCCCCTGTCACCTGCAACAGTGCAGCAGCTGTCAGGAGCTGTCAGTGCCAACTTAGGCAATCATTCGAGGCACTGTCACCAAGGAAGCCAATCTGCATAGGAAGAAAAATCGAAAGTAGCCAATCAGGAGGGAGTGCTGGGGCGCTGGGCCCATACCTTGGTTGCCACGAGTCTTGCTGCAGTGCCAGAAAAGTCGTACATGATCTGCACAACCTGGATGCCGTTCGGGCCATAGTCTCCCTTCCACAATCCTTGCAATGGATGTCTTGTTGTGGGTACGGGTCTGTGGACATGGCAAAGGTGGTGTATTGTGGTGCTCTCCCCAGGACTGCCTGCACCTGGAGCACCATGTCCGTTAATAGTCAGCCATTTGAGCCGCAACCCCTCTTTGTTGCCTGAAGTCCTCCAAAAAACAGGCAGACTTGCAAGATTTCGAAATGGCCATCGCAAGGGCCAGCAAAGGGGCACAAGGACGCACCGCCAGGTGACTGGTTCCTGGATGATCTCCTCCGCCGTTGCTTGCTGGCGACGTTTGCCTGCTCAACAAATGGGCTGCATGAAGGGTGTGGTGATGCATTCCAGAAATCAGGCACCAAAGCATAGGGGCTTGCATGCAAGATTTATGGAAATAAGGCACAACCAAGCAGACCGGTCTTACCTGCATGAAGCGTAGCATCTCATGCTCAAAGCTTCCTTGTGGGCTAGAACCCAGCACAATGTCCCCAGTTGGACTGCTCTGCACAGTCCACAATGGTGCAAGGTAAGTGACCGGGAAAGTCAAATGGAAGTGAAATAGTCGCCCTCCCTTTCATTGCTTTATTGACAAAACAACAGGTTCACTTACCCCAAAGCTGTTCATGGCGACTGCAGCTGCCGACTCAGCAGCCCTTGATGGTGTCTTTTGGATTACTTGGGTCCGTCGCAAAACGCAGTGATGATCGCTGATCAGTTCCGGGACGATCAATCTGTCAGACCCGATCCGATAGAAGCTGCTTCGGACAGGACCCAGCCTGACAGCACACCACCTTCATGTTAACATCCCATTTAATTGCCGAGGACTTCTTGCCGGGCGCTAGTCTTGGCGGAGCAGGAGTGGCAGTGCGTACTGCAATGATTCGTATTGGAGGCCCGTCCCAGCAATGCAGTCAACCTCCCAGTGAAACTCATACAACGTGCTCCTGGCAGCACTGCCACTGCCCCTCCACAAGCCCACAATGAATGCAGAGGAAGACAGCAGGCGGTACACACATCTGCAGTACAACGGCATGTTTGACTAGCGCAATACGCAACACATTATTACTGCTGTAAAACATTCCAAGCAAACTTCGGGGAAGAATAGTGTCTTGCCCTCAAAGCTGCAGCACCTGTAGTTCGTAGGGGCCTGCAGAGATCTGATCCCGGCATTGCGAGGTGATCCTTGTGCGATCCAAAGAGTTGGGTCTGTCTCTGTGAAGCAGGCCGTGCAGATCTTCAACCAAAGCTTGTCGCTGTAGGCAGTCCTCTTGAAAGCTTTGCACACTTGTGCAACCTGGGCGATGGTCCTAAGATCCCTGGAAGTGTAGTAAAGTACTTCCTCTATGATTGCTTCTGGTAGATCTAAGAGGTTCTCCATGTCTCAGGGACAGCAAGAGCAAGTGTAGACGAGATGGTCCAAGGTCGACCGGCTTCAGAATTGCGATGATCACCACGTACGTGACGTTGCTTTTACACTATTAGTGATTCAACATGATTTACATTTGTGGGATCCGGTGTCTCGCATATTCCATTGCTGCTTGCACGAAGGTCTGGCTCGGCATTAACCAGCATCCCTCACGATTAACCCTTCCAAAACTTGAGTGGGGGTGAAAGACGGTCTCATTGCCTTGATCCAACACACAGGCGCGCGCTGTGAACACAATGATCTATTAATGTTAGTAGAATATTGATGCTATACCATGCTTTCACATCATATGGAAGAAGGCTAAGTTGTGTCATGCGATCCTCCCGTGAGTAAGGCAATCCTCAAATGGACTCACCATCCAGACACAGTGAGACATTAAACTTCATTGTGCATTTCCTGCACACCAATGGGCTGTACGCTGCTGAGGAGGCCTTGGTGAGAGAGCTGGAGAACCGTTATCCTGAGGTTGAAGGCTCTTCACCTGTTTCCCAAGCAGAGGCTGGTGAAAGCCATGAGGACACTTTTGCCTTCACAAGCAGTGCTACCAAGAGATATGGGGAGACGTCACACCAAGGAGAAGCAGGAGAAACTACCAGGTAATCTCTTAACTATGGGGAGAGCCCTATTAAGTATGGCCACCCTCCACCCTTTGAGCCCAAACCATCACAGTCACTGTTTTGATCTTGCTCATCAGTACTAGATAACAAGCTTCATCAGCATCCCCCTTCAAGGCACCTCAGGCTTGTGGTAACACAAAGGGAACGCAACTCTGAGGACAGTCGGCACACGGGGCCCTTCCCATAGCCCCTTTCTGGTCCTAGCAGGCACATCTTGATGCTAAATTATCCGCTACCTCAGGGATGAACCACGAGCTGAGCCCTTGCCAGGACCAGGGACGGGAGCGCTGCAGACTGAGAGACAGAGCGAGCCAGACGCCACTGTGCCGGATGGAGCAGGTGGGCTCATCATTACCCTGCACCTTTCTTTGTGTCCTGCACATCCGTCCGTGCCAGCCTGTGCTTGCTTCGCACGGCGGTCACAACCATCTGTGTAGCCCATACTGCGCACTGGTTGGCCGGTGCCTATTCTGGCTGCCTTCGAACCGCTCTTTCCATCCGGCAGGCTCACTCCAGCCAGCTTCTGTAGCCCTTTTAGCGTCAGATCACAAACACATTTCGTGCATGGATTGACCGGTGCCTGATTTGGCCATTGGGAACCTGGCAGGGCGCGATCCGGAGGCCGGGGAGGAGTCAGATGAGTACGAGGACGACGAGGACCCGGGGTACGTGCGCGAGGAGATCCGCTGCCAGGACGCGTTTGTGTCGCGCGAGCTGGACGCCAGCGACGAGGACGGCAGCGGCCGCAGCGAGGACGTGTACCACAGGGCGCTCGCCTTCCAGGGCCAGGCACGCCCCCTGATAGCTTCTTGTGCTAGTTTGTTTCCCCTAGTGCCCATCTTTGCCCGGTAATGCTGTCGCATAGCAGCCTGTGCTGGGGAAAGCGTGGGCTGCTGAAATCGGGGGGTTGCTGTGCCATGCGTGCACTTGCCCCTCTACAGCTGCGCATCGGGAAGTCTCAATGATGGTGACTTGGCAGAAGTTTGGACCTTGCTGGGGAACCTCTATCAACCAGTGTGGCTGATGCGGTTCTGTGTGGCTTTGCAGCAATGGGGAGACGATGGGGGAGACAGCGGGTCCAGCGACGGTCGCGGCTCGTCCTACTTCAGCGGCGAGCGTGTGGAGCGCGACAAGTCTGGCTCGGCCTCCCCACTGGCCCAGGACTCCAGCGCGGACCTGGGCGCAGCTGCTCAGCAGGTGAGACCTGCAAAACCATGCATATGACCCTGCCGATCGGCCTCCTGCCAAATTCTCTGTGGGACTGATGGCGGCTGTGGGGGCAACGAGACGCAGGGGGCACGAAGGGTGGTGATAGCGGAGCCGGTGTATCCTGTGGACAGCCCAGCGCGCTCGGCCATGTCCGCGTCTGCAGTGGCGTCCCCTGCGCTGGGCACGGCCGCGGCTCTGAAGCTCCAGCCCCCCAGAGCAGCTTCCTCAGGTGGGTCTCTCTCACCTGCGGCTCAAGCGCAACCCTGGGCCTTCAAGTGTATTGCAGCAAAGGCATGCCATGTGTATCGTCTTTCCTGCACGCCATCTTGAGATATATCATGATAGCCGTTCTTGGGCACCTGCAGGGGAGCTGCAAAGCAGGCGCAAGGCGTCAAAGAGGCAGGCGAGCAGGGTTTTAGAGAGCGCAGCCACAAGCCAGGCGGCAGCCATCGCTGCTGTGGCGGCTAGCTCGGGGGCAACCTACCTGGATGCTGCAGCCAGGGGCTCTGACCATCGAGGTGCCCCTCAGCCGCCACCCGGCCCAGATGGCAAGGGGCTTGCTTCGGGACCCAGCACCGTCAGCCGCAGCTTTCTAGATCCTCTGGGAGTATTTGAGAAGGTAATGCACTCCCAAACGGGCTGAAAATGATAGCACACATGCAAGCATATAAATGTGAGGGGGTCTTGGGAGTGAAAATGCTCATGCTTCTGGGGTAAGACACTAATGGCATGCGCAGGTCTCTGATGTGTTCAGCCGGCGGGTCCAACCTCGATCAGATTCAGAGTCATCAAAAGTCAGCACGCAGGAGGCAGCAACAATTGAACCCCTAAGTATTTGCAACGAATCTTCGAAGGAAGTGTCCGCCGAGGTATGCTTGGCTTGCTCTTCCTAATCGATACAAGAGCATGTAGTATAATCCTTCGTTTGCTTTCTGTCACATGCAGACATCCTCTTGGGCTTTGGCACTGCTGTGGTCACAAGGACTTGGTCCTGCAGGTGACGGCTGATCCAGTCATCAGCGAGCAACAGGAGCTGCAAGACTCTGCTGCCCAGGAGGAGAGTACAAAGTTTGCGGCACTGACAATCAAGTCGGGAAGAGAGGTGTCCATTGACGCAGAAAATGTTCCCAGTAAAGCAGATACAAAGACTCCCTCATTTGGGTGCGGCCTGCTCCGAGTCTTCCTTGCCCCTGTCATCTGCTTAATGTGGTTGCACGGTGGCTATTTTTTTGCAAAGGCAACATATGTGCGGGCCGCCAAAGCATGCAGCAAAAATCTGGTACAAGGTGGGGAGAATTGCTGGTGTTTCGAGCTGCTTGAGATGAGCTTCAAATGGTTGGGAGCAGGTTTTCGGCAGTGAAGACTCCGGAGCCTGCGTCGCCCTCTGGAAGGTCAGAGGAGGACGAGGCATTCAGCTTTCCGGTGACACCCCCATCCGAGCCCGCAGCTCCTGGGGCCGTCTTCTCCTCTTGGCAGTCCTTCCGCAAGCGCCGCCCCTCCAAGGTGGCCCTCACCAACCACTTAATGCGTTGTCTGATTGTCTTCGAATGCGTGTGTGACGAGTCATATGTGTTATTCTTGAGTGATAGCAGATCTCAATTGGCTCTGCCTTGTGGCAGGGAACGGCATCTTCGGGCTATGACTCAGATGACGACCTCAGCATGAGCCGCGCGAGTGACTCCTTCTCCATGGAACTCTCACCCGAGCTACGAGGTGATGTCCTGGGTCATGGTTCTGATACAACCTTGCCCAACTTGTACAGTATATAAGGGCCAGAGAAGACTTCTTGCTGATACATTGTGGGTGCAATGCAGTGGGTGGCTCCTGCAGCAGTCCGGACATCCAGTCAGCCCTGCGCAGCGCAGCAGCCGACCATGCTGTCAGCCCGTCCGCCAGCGATGCCCCTGGTGCCAATCCCTTCCACAAGCCATCATCTTCATCTAACGCCCACCAGCATCCCCTGCCGGAGCAAGGTCCAGTCCCACCGCCACCCCAGGACACCCAACAGCAGCTAGCCACATCTGACAGCCCAAAAGAACATGCCAAGCCAGCTGCATCATCATCCACCCCTGAGCCCCAACCGCCCCGCCTGCACAAGGAGATCTCCCTGGTGCAGCAGCTGATGGGCGCTGCGCTGGCCCCTGCTGAGGGGGAAGCTCTCCGGCAGCCAACCCTGGATCCTGTCCCTGAAGGCACAGACGTTCCCCAGATGTCAGCCGGTGAGACACCGCCCTCGTCACAGGGCCTGCTGGCGCCGCAGCTGTCGCTGGACAAGCTGGCGCTGACAGAGGCGGCGCAGGATGCCTCTGCGATGGACTTCTCTGCAGAGCGCTTCAGCGTCGCGGAGGTCAGCACGCCGGTGCAGCAGCCCTCAACAGCCCTGCCCAAGGTGGCGTCCGTGGACCTGATGCCCAGGACAGGGCGCCTGCTGGTCGACATGCGTGCGGCCGCGAACAGGGAAGTGCTCTCCGAGGAGCCACCGGCCACGCGCGCCACCGGCCGCGCGTCCCGGCCGCCGCCGGACGGCCCGGCCGCGGTGCCGTCGCGCCTGTCCATGGTGTCGCGCGCAGCTGAGGTGAGCAGCGGCATGGAGCAGCCAGCCGGGGGCGTTCCTGCGCCAGACTCGCGCGGCGAGGCGCTGGCGCCCCTGCCGGAGTTGCAGGACGGGCCGGAGCCGGCCGCAGCGCGCAGCGTCGTTGCCGATTCTCCCCATGCTGCCTCCGGGCTGCCTGTACTGGTCGCCAAGCATCATCAGGTGCTGCACGCCTGGCTATCATGCATTGATCAGCGGCGTTGTTGGACTTGCTGTCTGTAAATGCCACGCACGTTACACTGAGGGCGTTACAAAGAGAATTTTGGCTTGTTTGTGTTGTATTCCGAAGTGATGGACAAATTTGATGTCAAATTAACTGACTGGGCATGTGTTGTGTGCAGTTGGCATTCCCGCCGCTGGCCATCAGCGCATCACTGCCGCAGCATGACCTTGTCGCCCTGCACACCTCTGCCATGCACAGCAACGAGCACGCTCCCGAGAGCTTCCCACACCAGGGCCCATCAGGTGGCGCTAGACTTTTTCCCAGCCTTCTCAGTAGCCCCCGATCCTTGTCCTTGGGAGCGTGAGGAGTGCGACGAGGCATGCTCTGCAGGGCTGCTGCATGGGTCCTTTTCCGTGCAATACCACAATCAAAGGCATGAAACAGGGTTGTGCGTGCAGGTGTGGCGGCAGAAGAGTTTGGCAGCAGGGCCAAGCGCGGCGGGGAGAGGCCTAAAACATCTATTGAGGCTCTTGCTGGGTCCAGCCCGGCCTCATCCGACGCGCGACGAGCAGTTGCTAGTTCACCTACGGCCGCAGATGCAGGCACCTCGCCCGAAGCGCTGGTCTTTGAGTATGACCCAGAGTACATTGAGCGCAAGTACGGCCCCATTTCTCCCACTGAGACTGTCTTTGAACTTTGCAACCTCGCTGTTTTACTGCAAGTTGGGATGGTGTCGTGTGGCAGTTGAAAGCCAAGTCATATGGGGGGACTGTGTGCAGGTATGAGATCATGACTTTGAGCGTGATCCACCGGAGGCGGCGCACCGGTTTTGAGGAGACAAAGGATTTCCCCATCCGCGTCAACGACCTCATAGCAGGCCGCTACCAGGTGCCATAAGCCATCCACCATACCTCTCATTCCCGCCTGCGGGGACAAAACATTGGCAGCAAAGCCATGGCCTGGGACACACTGTGCTACTGGCACACTCACGCAAACATAAGCTCACAAGGGGAATGGGTCAGAGTTTAAAGGACAACCATGCAATCGCAGGTGATGGATTTCCTGGGGTCAGCTGCCTTCAGCAAGGCGGTGCAGGCACTGGATGTGAAGACAGGGCGGCTGGTGTGCCTGAAGATCATCAAGAACAACAAGGACTACTTCGACCAGAGCCTGGACGAGATCAAGCTGCTCTCCTACATCAACGCCGCCGACCCCGCCGATGAGCACGGCCTGCTGCGCCTGTACGACTACTTTTACTATAAGGTATGTGAGAATTACTCACTTGCCTGCAAATTGGCCCCGTTGTTATGTGCCCTGTCAATGCATGGCAGAGCGTAATGATCCGCTCCCTGCGGTGCTACTGTATACATGCATAGCAAATGTGGGCCATTGTAGCTGGGCAATGTGTGTCTGGCAGACCCAGCCTGAAAAGTGGACTTTTATGTGCGCTGCAGGAGCACCTCTTCCTGGTGTGTGAGCTGCTGAGAGCCAATCTGTACGAATTCCAGAAGTACAACAGAGAGTCGGGGGATGCAACGTATTTCGTTCTGCCCCGTGTTCAGTCCATTGCCCGGCAGGTCAGCCCCTTGTGCCCTGCTGCAGTCCATACTCCCAAATTTTGACAGACTTGCCATGAAGGAGGGCATCACTGATGAACCAAACCGTTGCTGTCTGCTATGCAGCTCAGTTATAATTGTTGCTGGGACTGCAGGTCCTGAGAAGTCTGGCGTTCTTGCATTCCTTGGGCTTGATCCACTCGGACCTGAAGCCAGAGAACATCCTCATCAAGTCCTACTCCAGGTGCCCACTAACCTCAGGCTGCCATTCATTTACGCCAATCCTTGCTCTGTGGCAAGCCCTTCTGCTAGCAGGCTAACCCTCAGCTATGTTTGTGGAGACAAACGCAATGTCGCGCAGGTGCGAGGTGAAGGTGATAGACTTTGGCTCGTCCTGCTTCAGCACGGACCAGCTGAGCAGCTACGTGCAGTCGCGCTCCTACCGCGCGCCAGAAGTCATCCTGGGGCTGCCCTACGGCCAGAAGGTGGACGTCTGGTCCCTCGGCTGCATCCTGGCAGAGCTCCTCTCCGGCTTTGTGCTGTTCCAGGTGCGCGATAGCTGCACCCACCAGCTGTCCTGCATGTCTGCACCGAGCTGCTAGCCCAACCCCTGCTGCGGAGCAGGCATCTCAGCGGGGTACTGTATTCTTGTCTCTGCAGCAAAGTGCAGGACCAACAAATGCCGCCCTGGGTGCATTGTGCCCGGCTTGTTTGAGGTGCCCCTCTTTTTGATGTGTGCCAGTGTGCATGAGTCGGTCATGTTGTTGGGGTGCTGAGAGTGCTGGTGGGCATGCAGAATGACTCGCTGGCGACGCTGCTGGCGCGGCTGGAGGGCATTCTGGGGGCCCTGCCGCGGCACATGCTGCGCGAGGGGCGCTATGCGCAGCGCTTCTACACGCGCTCCGGCGCTCTCTTTGACCGCAACCCCCGCTCGGTTCGCCCGTCCTCCGTAATACCAAATGTTACCTTCAATCGTAACCCCTGCTGTCCTTATCCCTGGCTTTCTTAACTGCACTTGATGGCTTGGGGAATTTATTTTGGACTGATCAGCCCTGCTCGGCATCTGCCCATCAGATCAACGATAACAATACCGCCGTTCCAGAAGTATGCAAATAATCCAAGCTGTAGGCACTGCAAGAGATGCTCGTAGCTCTGCTCTTTGGATTTGGCAAGGAATCCATCGCAGTGCTTCTCTGCCGCATGCGTGGTCGTCTGTGCTGTGGGGTTGAGATTGCCGGTGTGCCTTGCAGCACCGGTACGAGTACCTGCGGCCCAAGCGCACCAGCCTGCGCAAGCGTGTGCCGGAGGCCGACCAGGGCTGCCTGGACTTCCTGGCCTTCCTGCTGACCGCCGACCCCAACAAGCGCCCCAGTGCCGACGAGGCCCTGCAGCACCCCTGGCTCCAGCAGTGCTACCCGCCCATCCCCGCCGACTGATGCGCGCGCGCAAGGAGCAGCCTGTGTGCGTGTGTTTCACAATGAGTTGATGGCCACAAGGTGGGCTATTCAGGGAGAGGGAGTGTCCAGGAGAGACACAGGATGGGCGGGGCGGTGCTGTGACGCCGGCCCTTTTTTCTGTCTTTAATCAGGTGTAGAGGATTAGGAATACGGTACCACTTCAGCTGATGGACCCTGTGTGAGCAGCGTAGGCAGCTTTCCGCACTAAATCTTGCCAGCACTTCGGTGGCCCCTGAATAGCTACTGTGTCCTCAATTAAACAGTATACTAAAATGACGGTTTTCCAGGAAATGCTTAGGCGGAAGGGGGCGGCTCATAAGCCATGTCTAAACTTGTAAGAGTGTGAGTATAGTATACTGGAATGCGACTTCAAAGGTTTGCAGGCGTTCCATCAGTAAAGAGTACCTCCAGTCTATTATCGACCATGGTACATTGCATTACCGTAAGTTTGTGATCACGATCGTGACAAACTTCAAGGCAGCTCTCGCAAAAGTTCTGCAAACATATTTGCGAAGAATTGCACATGCATACAAAGCACTTCAGTCTATGTATGGCCTGGCTATTATCATACTCTAGCAGGAGTGTCTGCGCATGTATTCCGGCAAGCGCACCCAAAGAAACGGCGGAGTTGTGATACCGCATGCATACCTGCGTGCACCACCGCGGCCGCGTGCACAGTGCATCATGCACATGGTGCGATTGAGTATGCAGCCACTGCCATGTTGCCGCATAAATTGGCAAGTTGGCACCATCCTGCCGGCAGTGCAGATTTGGCGGTGGAGGTGCCGCGGTGCGCATGCATGCGTGTGCATCGGCCATATGGCATGGTGCCTCTTGGCTGGCAATTCGATGCCACTCCCAGCATGACTCAGGTCAAAGGAGCGCCCAGGATGCGAATGACAAGAACATCATAGCCTCCAACATGTGGCGCATGGAGTGAAGAGGGGTTGAAGAAAACATTCCCCCTCAATACGTGGAACATCATCAGCATGTGCAGCGGAGATATGATAATAAACACAAGTTAGGCAGGGAGGCACCGGTCTGTTCTCTCGATTGCTCTCGCCATGATGACCTCCCTTCCTCCTTGAATGAAATTACAAATTGATATTAGCCCACAGGTTGGACCCGGAGTGGTGGGTCGCCCTGTGTGGCAGAGAAAGAGGCAGAAAGCTGCGCAACTAGTGACCAGAGCTGCGGGCTTCCCAGCCCCTCCCAGCACAGTACGCGAGGCGGAGTCCCTGATGGACCTGTCAGCTGCGCTCAGACAGGACCCAGAGAAGCCTAGCTACCATGTAATGCCTTCGTCAGGCTGGATAAACGACCCCAATGGCCCGTTCTACCACAACGGCAGATATCACTTGTAAGTCTTGCCCTGGCCTTCCCTCGCTTCTCTCCCGGATGATTTTGACCAATTCTCCGGCTATTGAAGCCCTTAATTTCAAGTATTCATGCTGCTGCAACGATCGGGGTAACACTTGAGGAGAAGGCGGCTCTTTCGATTGTGCTTACGTCTGCTTGATTCCCTGGATTGCAAACACGCGTGTATCAGTGCTTCTAAAGCTCAGTAATTGGCACTACTGCAGCACCACAGCTTTTTGCTTATTCGTAGTGGGCATGGCCTGTTGTCCGTGTTGACCACCTGTGTCACCTATTCCCCAGGGTTGAGATTTTCGAGTGCTCGAGGTCCTTCGAGTTCGTCTCTGATGAATGTGCTCGAGCAAGATGGGCACCTTTCTAACAATTATGAGAGTTGTTTGCTGATCCCGAATCTCGATTGGACTTGACAAATCAGGTCCAGGTGGAAGTACCAGGACATGTCTTCTGTTGGGACATGCCTGATGTGACCAGGCAATTTTTGTTGTCATACGCCACTAGACGTATGGAGATCAATAATTGCACACCGAATGTGTCATGATTGCTCAATGTTCCAGACCATGATGCAACCCTGGACAACATTTTGGAAATATCTACAATGTGTGTGGAGGGCGCTTACGCTGGAAGCTGCAGATTTCAGCTCTTGGGATGGTTTACACCTGACTTTGAGGTGTTTATGGCACAGCAACAGGTTGCAGATCTGCCCCAAATGCGCATTTTGAGCGCTCATGCGCAGCGCTGGGCAGAGAAACTTGTGAGGCGTGGTGCAGTTTCTGGCCTTGACAGCTGGGGGACACCCTATGTGAGGGTGCTTTGGGCAGCATGTCTGCAGGGGCGCTCACAAGTAACCATCCGTGTGATGCGCAGGTTCTACCAGCACATCATCAATGGGTGCGAGTGGGACTTTGGCATCGTGTGGGGTCACGCGGTGACAACAGACCTAGTGCACTGGGAGCACCTGCCGCCCGCGCTAATGCCCACGCCGGGGGGCCTGGACGCGGACGGCTGCTTCTCAGGCTGCTGCATCATCGACACGGATGGCACGCCCACCATCCTGTACACAGGGGTGCGCCTGCGCAGCAACCCCGACTGCGGCCCGCTGCCGCCGCCGGAGCACGACCTCAACCTTCCCTTCGTGGAGTCCCAATGCTTCGCTGTGCCTGAGACAGGTCCGGCACCCTCCCTTTTGCCATGCCGTTTGCCTTTCTTATACATATTGCTTTGCCAAGACGGCAGACAGGCCGCAGCGTGTGCTGTGAGCGGACTGTTTGAGCAGCAGAAGGTATCATCTTTCTGCGCTGCGCATGACCATGAAAGGCTGCTGCATGCGCAGGGTACGACGGGGAGCCGGACCCGCTACTGGCGAACTGGGTGAAGTCAGAGGAGCCGTTTCTAGCGTACCCTCCGCCCGACAGCAACCTGGTGGGCTGGCGGGACCCCTTCATCTTCGAGTTCAAGGGCAAGGACGGGCGCTTCAAGGAGTGGGGCATGCTGATGGGCAGCGGCATCAAGGGCAAGGGCGGCAGCGTGATGATCTACCGCTCGGACAACCTGCGATCAGGCTGGCGCTATGACGGCATGCTGTGTGAGGCCGACTCGGTGGACACCGGCGCGATGTGGGAGTGCCCGCTGCTGCTGGCGCTCACAGTCGTGCCCGAGGAGCACCGGCGACGCAGCGCGCTCGGCAGCCTGCACTCGCTGTCAAACTCCTACAACAACATCAGCGCGTTCCACCCCTCGTCCAATGGCAGCCACCCGGCCTCGCCCACCGCCGACCGCAAGTCGGCGGCCGCGGCGGGGCCGCAGGTGCAGGCCGGGTTCTCCCCGCGTAAGGACTTGGCGGCGGCCGGCCTGCGCGCCGGCTGGGAAGAGGATGGGAAGGAGCCGCCGCCCGGGGGCGGCGCGGATGGTGAGGGGGCCGGCAAGAGCCTGCTCAGCGAGCAGCTGCTCAACCCCTACGCGGACGAGGCCGGCAAGGAGGACGGCAACTTCTCACTGTTCGTGCTCCTCTCGCCAATACACTCTTCCTGTATTGCTGCCTCATGTACCTGGTTGTAAAGTACACCCTTAGACTCCAGTGCATTTTTGGCAGAGTGGGAACCTTCTCCAGAGGTTTACTCGTTTCGTGTCTAATCCTGCCCCTGGCATAACCTTGCAAAAGTGGTACCGTTCAGCTGACAGGTGGTGCTGTAAGCGTCTCCTCAGCCAGTGCTGACGCAGTGCGGTTGTGTGCTGCAGAGAGGCGGGCGGGGAGCCGTCGAGCAATGGGTGCACGGGAGCACAGGAGGAGGTGGGCAGCAGCGGGCAGGAGCCGCAGTACACGCACTTCATGTGCGTCTCTCCTGATGCGCCCACCAACCCGGTGCTGTACTGGCTGGGCAACTTTGACGCCGAGAACACGCGGTTCCTGCTGGAGAGCGCCATGGGGCCCCTCCGCCTGGACCTGGGGGACACCCTCTACGCGCCCAACCTCCTAGAAGACCACCAGGTCAGTGCACAACTGACCCAATTTTGGCTCTATCCACACATGCATCTTTGTCCATACAGTCTTGGCCTCGTGAATACTTCCATGGTAGGAATGTGTGAGGTTTGGGGGTGTAAGTGGGTTGGCTGGTGTGTTGCAGGATCGGCACGTGCTGTGGGGCTGGCTGCAGGAGCGGCGAAAGGTGGGCAGCTATGACTATGCTGGCTGCCTCTCGCTGCCTCGCATCATGTACATCAGCGGCAACCGGCTCATCCAGGTAAGTGCACATGCCATCCGTACTCTGCATGTGTTAGAACCTACTGGCATGATTTGCCCGGCCAATGCATTGATGCAAATGCATTAGTATGACCTTGTCACAGGTGGGGTTGGACAAGGTAGTCAAACAATGTGTCGTCCTCGCTGCAGGAGCCTGCACTGGAGGTGAACAGGCTGCGGCAGGGAGAGTGTTGGCGGACCTCCCACCTGCAGATCTTCCCTGAGGAAGCCACCCCGCTGGAGGGCGTTGCTGGCCCAGCTTTGGACATCGTCATCTCTCTGGAGCGGTGAGCACTCCCTCCCGTGTCTTGCTAGCATGGTGTCAGGCAGCAGGAATTCTGTTTTCCTAGTGTTATGTATCAGTAAACTATATTATTCTTCTATTGTGGGGAGATTGATGGGATGAAGTTCAAAGTACGCCAGGACAGGCAAGCCAAGCTGATGGAGGAGGTTCATTGAGCAGTGCAGGTCCAGCGGGTCGCACAAGGTTGTGTCTTGCTGCTGCTGCTGTCAGTGACAGATGCCAGCGCCTGTGCAGGGGGACGGCGACTGCGGCTGGGGTGCTGCTGCGGTCGTGGAACGCTGGGGGCGAGGGCAGCGCGGCCATCCTGCTGGATTGGGAGCGCAACGTGCTGGAGGCCATCTTTGAGGGTGGCGCAGGCCGCGACCTGGCCACCACCACCGACCTGGACCCGGACTCTGACGGCCAGCGCCGCGTCGGCGGCCCAGTCAACCTGCGCCCCGGCGAGCCGCTCACGGTGCGCTGCATGCCGCTCTGGGGGCGCACTGACCTTGCATATGCTCATCATAGGCTTCAGAGCTGGCCCGCCCCTGCATCATCCTGCTAAGTTCACATGCTGAGAAAGGCAGACTTTGTAGAGCCTGAGAGCAGGAGCCACCCTGATGTGTAAGGGCAAGAGACAGGCATCATGTTCCATGGTCCAGCAAAATTTTGAGGACGGGCTCTTTGAGGGTGTAGATCATCTGGGGCATGATGCGAGATCGTGATTCTGCTCTAGAAATAGTGGGCAATGAGTGGGTTGAGCGGCTTGATAACTGAAGGCTGTTGTCATGGGCTGCAGATGCGGGTGCTGGTGGATCACAGCTGCGTGGAGGTATACCTGAGCAGCGGAGAGGTGCTGTCCACGCGCGTCTACAGGGGCCACCCTCCCCACGGCTCCGACGCTGGCATCGACTTTGTCGCGTACGGTGGCATCGCCCGCGCCGAGGTCAGCCCTGCTCTCACCTCTTTGCTGCCCCCTTGCAACCCACTGGATCAACACCTCCCTGCGGCCTGATTCCTGTGGTGTCCAAGCCAGGTCATTTGTATGCCGTCTGCTTTGTCAGATTACCATAATCTGCCTAGTACCCTTATACCTCAGTACTGCTGACAGTAGATGCACTGCTGATGCACCCGTACTGCAGTATTTTAGGCAGGCCATCACTCATTGTACTCCGAGGTGTCTCTCAGGCTGTTGATGGCAAAATATTGTGTTAGCTGAGGAGTGTGTTTGAAACCCTCACTGAGTTATGCCTTGGGGGGTGTTGCAGCGGGTGGAGGCGTGGGAGATGGGCTCCATATGGCAGCGCGAGTACATGAGGGAGCCTGAGAAGTCTGGCAGCTACAGCTCCATGTACGAGCCCATCAACACAGTCATGCCTATGGGCAGCCCAGTGGCAGTCTAGACCGCCACCAGATCTGCTTCACCACCCCACGCCGAATGACTGCTGGCGCGGCACACGGCGGTCGAGTCAGAGGGCACCCTTGGGGTCTCGGATTCATGGGGGCTGCGACAGCAATTTAACTCCCTTGTTTTTCGTGGTCTCCACTGCGGCAGCTCTCAGCCCACACGACTGTGCTCCTGTGGCGTCCTCCTATTCTCTATTTGGGTGGACCTTGTGCCTGGTGGAGGTGGCTCCACAAGAGGCGCTAAGACCAGGCTGTGTATTGCGGCTGTGAGGCAGACAGATTCTTCCACAGCCCAGTACAAGCCCATGCAACGGCGAGCATACATTCTGTGCAGAGACGCTATCTGCGGAACACTGCTTGTCCTGCCACGGAGCAGGACCGAATTCTTTGACCCCTCACAGCCGGAGCAGTTGATCTGCCAATCGTCCTTTCAATGGGCCGGGCACGCGCTAAGCAGACATTACATCTGCTCAACTGGTTCTGATAGACACCAAGCCTCCCTCATGCGCAGCAGCTCTGAGAAGAGCCCCTGCAATGAGTGGGCCTCCATCTCACAGAGACGCCGCAGCACAGGCAATGTGTGTTGAGCACGTTTGAGCAAATAGACAACTGTGCGCTGGGCTACCTTTCTTTTCCAGTGTCTGCCCAAGGGATTTCATTGGTGCAAGATTTCACCAAGGTTTTGAGAGGACAATTGAGAGGAGACCCTCTTCACATTGACGATGTTTAAACACACCGAGAAACTCAACGAGTGTGAGAGAACCTGACGAGAGAACCTTCAGCGATTCCCCAATCAGCGAATGGATGATGGGTGTGGGGTTGCTGGCTGACTGTGATGCCGCACCATTGTGGCAGCTCGAGTGTTGTTCCGTTGCATGAGCCGGATCTCACTTTGAGAGCAGTCTGCCGGGGCCCCGTTCCATTGTTTGTGGAGCAGCCTTTTGCATCGGCCTGCTTTCATTCATAGTCCGAGCAGGCCACGTGCACAGGCATGTGCATGGATGTGCCCTATGGTGTCACCTGGCTTGCACCAGGGACAGGCGGAGTTTCAGATGTGGACCCAAAGAGAGAGGGAACATCGCATCAATGCCATTTTAGTGGATTTGGCAGGGTGCCGATACTGCGGTGGCAGTGGGGAAGACATGACTTGGTTTTTCATGGCAGATTACTGGAGCAGTATGCCTGTTACCAGCTGCGATCGCGCATGACAGGCGACATAGAATAGGGGCCAGGCCAGGGCGATTCGTTTGTGCCAGCTGTGGCCGTGCTCGTGAAGACAAGCTGTTTGGAATACTTTTGCAGGGCTTTGAGGTATCACATTGTATCAGAGGTGTATCGACCACTGTAGATCGCACGATGTTGAACAGGACATTTAGATGCTGTTTCTGTATGGTATTTGCACGAATTTGCTGGTGCCTTTATCATTTCTAGTGTCTGGAGTGAGTCGACAGTACGGCAAGGGAAAATCTTTCCCTTGCCGTGCTGGCTGAATATACCCATTCTTGTGCCAACTTGTGGTATTTGAACTGGCAGCTCTGGCACTCGCAAGCCATGCAGATAGCTCTCTCCAAGTTGGCATATGGATGTCTGAGCCAGTCTTCAACTGAATTTTGTAAAGAAAGAATTGATATTCGGGCTGGTCAGATATCCCGGGTCCTGCCAGTGATGACTACGTGGTCATCAATGATGATGGGAGCTCCGTCATAATGACATGATGTCACACTTCGCTCCGGGTCACCCGACTGTATGCACTTGCATACTATATTAGTAATATTGGCACGCAGGCGCACTATGTGGTCACCGCACTACTGCAAGAGCTACAGTCAGGATACCACATACTCACTGAGACGGTCCCAAGGAGCTCTTTCCTTATACACGTCAGGCCTTCGCGAGCTTCTGAGATGACCTGGCCAACCATGCCTCCTTATGCATGGCACCTTCCGAGACCAATTTAGGCTTCCTGGCAACCGAGGGAGCTCAGGCCCTCTGCAACTTGAGAATATCCACACACGCGCACGATCTTAACGTAAAGTGTAAAGGTTAAGCTGAGCATTGTAGCAGTGCTAGATACCGGTAGTGCAAGCGATCTGGTCTCTTGTTTACATAAGGACATCCTAGTAATAGTAAGCTTCAACTTTGTGTCAAGATCTCGGAGGCTGGTTGGAAGGAGTTCTCCACATTTTTTCGAACCTTCTGAAAAGAACTCCACAAGATGGGGAAGCACAACGGCAAAGCTCGCAAAGCGGGCATGAAGGTTGGGGCTGCGCTGTCGAACAGGCACAAGGTGCGACAGGCTGTAATCTGCCGAGGATCAACCCTCGAGATTACTCGTATGAATTGATTCTTGAGTGCGCCACCGCGCTGCCAGAGTGTAATCAATGTTGGGACAAGCAGAGGGAAGCAGGTAAAAAGTACCTTGTGTGTTCTGCACCGATTCTTGACATCACACAATGATGTACCTCTGCAAACTACCTGAACGGTGATGAGATGTCAAATTCTTCAAGCAACCGGGAGTGCAACTGTTATGTGTGGTATGACTAGGGTGGCGGTCTGAGGTCAGGCGGCAAGCAGACACAAGGACTGCACACAACGGATCAGCCTGCTATGCAAAGTGTGCTGGAAGCAAACGATCTGACAGAGTTGATGACAATGGTGAGCCCTCCCTACCAGACATGAGCTGCCCAGCAACATTGGAGTGTTGTTTCTCCCTTCAGCTCTCCTGAGAGAGTTTGACAAACAAACCCTGATGGATGAACTCCAGGCGGAGTTGGCCGAGCGGGACTTCACTGCCGAGAGGGGGGAAGTCATTGTCATCAGCACTGGAGCTGCAGTGGACGCCAGGGCCGAAGCCTCGACAGCGCGGGAGCGCCGAGCGGCCGAGCAGAGGAACAGGCACAGGTGCTGAGATCTGGCCTGACTGTGCCAGTCCACATCACTCCATTTGCAAGACGCCACCAAACAAACATTTGCCAGAAGATGCTATCTGTCAATGCTGCAGTTGTTCTCATGCATGCGGCCCATCCGTCGATCAGGAGGTGCAGGCGAGATTGCCTTGTAGAGTACGGTTGAAGTACTTGAAAGTTTCTAAAAGTAGGAAGTACAAAAATAAATTAAAAGAAAATAAAGCAAATTTGAATCCAAGGGCGCTGCGTTGCAGGCTGCGCATTCCGCGGCGACCGGCGTGGCGGCGGGAGCAGAGCCCAGAGGAGGTGGATGCGCAGGAGCGCGCGGCGTTCCTGACGTGGCGGCGCGAGCTGGCGGCGGTTGAAGCGCAGGAGCTGCTGGTGCTGACGCCCTTTGAGAAGAACCTGGAGGTCTGGCGCCAGCTCTGGCGCGTCCTCGAGCGCTCCCACATCGTCGTCCAGGCACGCTGCCACCTCCCCTTCCTTGGCTGCTCCCTCCTACTTCGTTGCAGTGGCAGAAAATGTTGTCCGTGGTGCCTTCTGCAATTGACATGACAGATCTTATGAATATGATCTTGGTTTGTGCATGGGCCTTGATGTGGTCCGGGGTTGCTGGTTACTGCAACCACTGAGGTCCAATCCTGTGCAGGTGTTGGATGCGAGGGATCCGCTGCGGTACCGGTCGGAGGACATGGACGACTTTGCGCGCGAGCTGCACCCGGCCAAGGCCTCTCTCATGCTGCTGAACAAGGCGGACCTGCTGCCGCTGCGGCTGCGTTCCGCGTGGGCCGACTACTTTGAGGCGCGCGGCGTCGACTTCATCTTCTGGTCCGCCAAGGCCGCCTCCGAGCGCCCGCTCAACCCTGGTGCGCCCTCTCGCTCAGCTGGCTTCTCTGGTATACCCTGGCCGCTGCATGCCGTTGATCTTGCCGTTGGCGCCGTTGTGCTTGTCACAGGCTTAGGCTTGCCATTGTCAAAATATGACATGTTGCTGGCATCACAATTACTCATGACGGATGAATGATGATCAGATTTCTGATGAGCGATGTGGGTGTGACAGATGTGGTGGAGCCCCCGGCGGAGGATGCGGGGACCCGCACGGAGGTGGTGGGCAGCGACAAGCTCATAAGCCTGCTGCAGCAGCGTGCGCAGGCGGCCGTGGACGCCGGGAGCAGAGTGGAGACCTTGGTGGTGCGCATCCCAACAGTGTCAAACCTTCTGCGCAGCACCTCCTCACCTGCACTTAGGCAATCTTGCGTTTGAGTGAAAAGGATGATGCTGTCAGTTGTGCTTCACGCAGCCTGTGAAGGCATTTGAAAATTCAAGCTTGATGCTGTTGATTGTGAAGCAAGCAGCCCATGAAGGGGACTTCTGTGAGCGTGAAGAAAATACCGTATGCAAGCGAATGGTGGGGGGTTGCAGGGGTCGGAGGGTGAGCGGCTGATGGTGGGCCTGACAGGCTACCCCAATGTGGGCAAGTCATCCACCATCAACGCGCTGTTCGGCTCCAAGAAGACCGCTGTGGCCGCCACGCCCGGCAAGACCAAGCACTTCCAGACCCTCAACATCACCGAGCGCCTCACCCTCTGCGACTGCCCTGGCCTTGTCCTGCCCAAATACGCCGCTTCCAAGGCCGAAATGGTCGCCGCAGGTGCCTCCCCCTCTCTTTCGCACCTGCCATGCTCAGCTGATCCACTACCTTGTTTGATCAGAAAATCAGCACCGGTCGAAATGTTCATGATGTAGAATAGAGATCGTTGAGAGTGCCTTTTCTACCTGTGTGCAGGCGTGATTCCCATTGAGCGGCTGACGGACGTGCGCGCGCCGGCGGAGGTGATAGCGCAGCGCATCCCTCGCACAGTACTTGAGGCCACCTACGCGATGCAGCTGCCACGCCAGACTGCTGACGGGTGCGCTCATCTTCCGTAGCACCTCCTTCTCCTCTCCATCAGCTGTGCAGCGGTCGATGAGCAGCCTACAAAAAGTGTGAGCGCTGGCATGCGATTTGGCCCTGATGCAAGTGTTGTGCGTTGTGTGGTGCAGGGCTCCCAGTGCGGCAGTGCTGCTGCAGTGCATGGCGCGGTCTCGCGGCTGGGTCGTGGGCAACGGTCTGCCGGACGAGGCGCGTTCCGGCCGCATGCTGCTCAAGGACTACACCGCCGGCAAGCTGGTGCACTGCGAGTGGCCCCCAAACTCGTCTGACCCGCAGCAGGGCTCGGCCTCTGCCTCACCGCAAGAGCACCCAAGGGACACGGCCTCCTCATCAGGTATGTCGGCCACCTGAACCTGTCTTTCATTGCACGTTTTCCTGCAACTCATTATAAATGGTATGCTGAGGAATGTCAAAGTCTTTACCAAAATTGGTGCAAGCAGGCGAGGAGAGTGATGATAGCGCTGGAGTCTCAACAGATGAGGAGGAGGGTGGAGACTCCGAGGCTTCAGCACAAGCCGAGGATGCCCCCGGGCCAAGGCCTGATCAGGAGGCAGTGCCAGAGGGCGTTTCTGAGCTGGGGGATGCAGACCTTGATCTGCTCGAAAGCCTCAATATCGATGGTGAGACTGCTCACCTACGCTGATGCAATTGTACCCATTTCATTTCAAAACAAGAGGCACACTTGATTGAATATGATGTTATTGGCATTAGTGGCTGGGGACGTTCTACCCAAACCCTCTCTTTGTTGTACTGGAGAAGTTGGTGCATAGATTCTTGACTTCCAGTGTGCATGCAGACAAGCAGAAGCAGCGGCGGGCAGCGCACAAGTTCCACAAGAAGCCAGCACGCAGCAAGGGCAACCGTGGCCTTGCTGTGGATGCCGGAGGCTATGATGGAGCAGCAGCGGCGTATGGGAAGCGTGGAGGGCTCGTGCGGGTTGGTGTACCAGTCAAGTGATGGCACAACCCCATAGACTTTGTATTCATGCGCCTCAGCTGGCTACGGGGAGACATGCAAAGCATCGCCGTTGCAGAAAAATTCTAGAGAAAGAGGAATGCAGGGTGAAGATTGGAAGTATACTGGATGTGCTGAGAAGGGTGCAAGGAAGGGTGCCTAGTGATTGACCTGCCCTGACACTTAAGAAACGATTGAGATCGGTGAAATGAGGAGGGTAATAGGCCAAATTCTCTCATGGTCATCAGATGAGCATTGATGAGATTCATCACATACAGGATCGGTTGTCACCTCGCACACTGGCATCCTTTGTGTGTACGTCCACCCAGGCATGGACAGGCAGCGGTCCATTGTATGAAAAGCAGCAGCAAAAGTAAACCGAAGGAAGGTCTCCCAGAGACTACAAAAAATCTACCGACATATGTAAAACAACTATCAGAAGACTCGGTGTCGATCAGTGTCCATTGCAAACCGGGCTCAAAAGTAAGCTTCACTCTGCCCCATGCGTGTATCCTAGTGACACAAGAAGTGAACACGCCCGACTCGTCGGAACTTAGTTTGCACTACTAAATCATGCAGGTGAACAGCTTCAGCATCACAGAAGGATCGGTGAGCCTGGCCATCTCTGCACCGGCAAGAGAAGGAGAAGCAAATGCAGCGGCAGCTCTGTTTCTTGCTGAAGTGTTGGGGGTCAAGAAACGACAAGTAGAGTTGGCGATAGGATCCAGATCTCGGGAGAAAGTATTCAAAGTCCACGGTCTGGACAGTGATACAGCCCTGACAAGGCTAATGCAGGCATCAGGGCAGTCTTGAGTGATGGGCTACCCACCTTCAGCAATGTATAGCATCCGAGCAATCAATCACTTTTAAGGTATCAATGAATGTATGCACATGCCCTCAGGGCTGCTGTTGAAAAAAACTGACGCATACACTCAGTCCATCTCTTCACGCATTGATTATGCCTGATCAGGTCTGGAAGATTGCTAGGCTGTTGCAGTGTTTCTCAAAGACTCGCAGTTGCAGACTCGTCTCACCATCATTGCCTATGCTTCAGAATATGCCCCGCTTGCTTTCCACTTCAGAATATCCAATCTACTTGGCTTCAATGTAGCCACATGCATCTTCTATCACACACATCCCTCATGGCTGACCACTGTCGAAGAGTTCAAAGTGGTTTTCACTGGAGCAAAAATCTAACTTTACAAGTAAAGGCCCGGTGCAACTGAGCTGATATTCTCGGCCGCCTCAGGGAGCATGGGCAGCAGGATTAGCAGAGAGAGCAGAACCGCGATCCAGGTGATGCGCTGTCGACCTGGCTCCGGTGGCGTGACACTGTCCTGCAACACACACATCCAAACATCTTGTCAGGCTCGATCACCTGCCTGAATCAGCCACTGAAGATAATGCAGCTCAAATAGAGACGCTTGAAGCATAGGTAGAGGGAGGCCAGGCAGCCCACCTGGATGTACTTCTCGCTGTTCCTCTGGCAGATGAGCACGAAGAGCCCGAAGGGCAGTGACAGGGAGGATGCCAGGAAGCCAAGGCCCAGGCCCACGTATGTGAAGAAGGACGTGGCAGCCAGCGCACTCCGCCCATACGCCGCCTGTCACACATGCATGCAACCTCACCTCAAACATCAGCGCACCGATAGAAAAAACTCCCAGCTGCACATGCTCAAAAGGAGACTTTACCCAAAGGGGGCTCCCAGGCAGGACTAACCAGCGCTCATCTGCCCCCCACACACACACTCAGTGGATTAAATTTAAGACGAAGAGACACAGGTCTTTTCTTGCGGGGGAGGGGGGTGTTTACCTGGACCATGCGGCCGCCGTCGAGGGAGCCGACGGGGAGGAGGTTGAGGGCGCTGACGACGAGGCCGCACCAGCCGGTGATGAAGAGCGGGTGGATGAGCGTTGGCGCGCCGGCCGCAGCGGGGCCCAGCACGGCGCGCGCCAGTCCCCCCAGCAGCAGGCTGCCCTGGAACAGCGACGCCGGCACCGGCAGCAGCTCCTCCTGCCACAACACCAGCACATCAGCACATTTTGCATGGTGCATGTGTGCACTAGAATTCCAGGTGCATGGCAGGGCTTCCTATGCATCTTGTGGAGGTCCTCATTTTGCTCTCTGTGCACCTCGCCTCTGGCTGTTGCTCGGGCGATTTGCGCAATCAGGGTGGGTGCAGGAAGAAGACACAAATGCACACATCCAGATAGTGCACAAAAGCGGTGCTCAAAAGGCGCCGGCCAATTTACTGTAATCGGCTGGTGCAACACACCTTGGGGAGGCCACTGCCGGAGAGCACGAGGCCCACGATGAAGACCACGACCGAGACGGCGCAGCCGGCTGCAGGCCCGGAGAAGGCCAGATCGAAGAGGTCGGTCCGGTTGCGCACCAGGCTCTTCGTCTGAGACAGCGCCCCAAACGAGCCGATCTGCCCGTTCGGCACGAAGAGCGGCGGCCCCAGCTTGATCTGCAAGTCAACCAGTCCTTCTCCCTCAGTGGTACCAAGGAAGCTACAGCACTTCTGTAACATAATAGATAACCGCTGGTAACAGCATTGGAGGCAGTCCCGCATGCATGTGCCACAGATGTGCTGGCGGGAAGATAGTGGTAGGACAGTGTTGGAGGTGGTGGGTGGGCGTGCCTGCTTGCTGGCGGCGACAGAGCGCTGGACGAGCTCGTGCAGCAGGTTGATGCCCAGCACGCCGCCGGCAATGGGCAGTGCGGAGACAAGGTAGGGTGCCACATCAAAGTTCTCCACGAAAGGCGGCAGGCTATCCGCCTGCAGGTTCTCCGGCTTGGCCAGCCACTCGATGATTTCCTGCACAACCCAGCCCAATCCATGTCTCAACCTCCTGCTTGTCCCCGACTGCTCTCCATTGTGACCTGGGCCATCCTCCCATCATACAGTCAATCAGCTCAAAGCAGCGCAGCACGTCCTGCCAGCCGCAGATCGTCTCTAGCTAATAGTCCTTGCTCAATGTTGTGTGGCAGTGAGTGCTGAAGCCCACAGCAGGGCCCCTATCCGGCAATTCTGTATACCGTGCCAGCTGCAGATCTCCAACGATTATACTGTAAACGTCTATATAGAGCACATGCGGCAGTGGGTGCTGAGCATGCCTTGGGGAGGAGGGAGACGTTGGCGGCCAGGCCCAGTTGCAGGCAGGTGGCGGCGGAGAAGAGGAAGAGGACGGCCGCGGCGTAGCTCTGCCACGCGGGCGCCGGCGCCGGCTCCACGGCCGCCGTGGGCATCACCTGAAACGCCACACGCGCGCCGCCACGCGCATCCTCCTCCTCCGCATCCGGGTCCTCCACCAGTAGCACGCTGTACTTGTCGCCTGCAATTAGTCGATGATGAGTCAATTTGCCGCGTTAGGTAAGGACATGTGCATGACACTGAAGTGCTGCAGGTTCCCCAAGGCTCTAGGTGGCTGCCACTGCAGAGCTCTGAGATGCATAGAAGGCCATTTCCATAGAGCAGCTGGATGAAGAAAAGCTCCCGCGAAGGTTGGATCCATACTCCACAACATATGCACAACGGGTCGCTACCAACACATGATTGGCACATTGACATTACATAAAGCGCTCCACCAGCCTGCTCCTGGTCTGTGCACGAGCCTGGGCACTTGTCTTTCCCGCTCGAGCCTGGGCACTTGTCTTTCCCGCTCTGTGTTCATGTGATGGGATGGTTGGATGAGTATGAAGACATGCATGTGCAAGAGAGGTGCAGTCGCTCACCGAACAATTCATGAATTCCCTTGTCCACAATGCCCAGAACCTCCTCCTTCTTCGCTCGAAGGTTCCCTCGTATCTGAGGCAGTACAGCAGGACCCTTGTTTGACTACTTTCACAGTACCAGATTGCGCAGCACCATTTGCAAAAGTGGACGTAAGGTGCATGCTAGTGAAGCATGGAGAACTTCTGTGTCAGGAAGTAGGTTTGGGACGCACGAGCCAGCCGGCGTCCACAGCAAAGTCATCTGTGAGGCGCGTTTCTGTGACGAAGAACGTCATTGGGCCAAAGACTTTGTCCTTCATCTGCTGCAAGTCCTCTTTGTCCATCACACTCTCCGGCCGCAAAATCTGCAGCAGCTTCTCAAACTCTGTGCGCAGCATTGCCTCACCTGCACAATGACAGCTGTCAGAGCTGCAATGCAAGGCGCATACAACATTCAGGGCATTACCCAGAGGCCGACATGCTACCATAATTGATCTTATGGTGAATGATCAGTGGGATCACTCACTCTCCTTCTCGTCCGTGCCGCTTGCAGCGCGCTTTGCAGTCTCTGCAATTTGCATCTGCATGGAAACCCACTCCATTAGTCTACTGTCTCGCCACTGCAGTCCAAAATTCAAATGCCCAGTGCAAGATGCAGGACAGCAGGATTTACCATCTGCTTTTCAAGCTGCTTGATATCAGCTAGATCGCCCGGCTCAGGGCCCCTTGCAGCCTCTGCCTCTGCAAGTTGTCGAAGCACCTCTGGCGCAATTCCCACCTCCAGTCCAGCGCTCCTGTCCCCCTGCAATGGATGTGACCAAAGATTTACTGGCGTTGTTCCCACTTAGTGATGAAGACATCAACCTCTGAAGGGGTGTGCAGAGTTTGATCGTGCTCCTCTCCGTGCGGTGAGCTGCACTAGCTCAAGACGTCGACATCACCGGCACATCCACTGGATATTGAGCCAGACGTTCGTCACCTTGCTTTCACCGTCGTTTATGGGCTTCCCTTTCTCGTCTTCCTCTATGCCAAGCAAGGCATCCAAGTTGCCGATCGTCCGCCGAATCGTGACGTCAGTATCTGCTGGCTCATCAGATGCAGAACTGCTGGATACATTGGATGTTTCAGCCTCTACTTCACTTGAAGCAGATGCCCTTGCATGTTGCCTCTCTGCAGTTGCCAGTCGTGCTTGAGAATATCTCCTCTTGCACGGGCGCAGACTGCTGCGAAAGGCACATATTTGGATATGCGTGGACTGCGGAATATGATGTCGCTCGTTTGCGAAAGATCTTGACGCAGGAGAAGATACACCCCGAATAGTGATGGGATGCACCATTTGTAACCGCGCGCTTTACTTGGACTTGCTTCCAGTAAACTCTGTCACAGGTGTGATGCGCCTTCAGTACCGTCCTCCTAACATTTCGCGATCGCACATTTCAGCTTGAGCTCCATCGAAGGTGAAAGTGAAAAGGCTGATCCCTTCGATGGCGACACGTCAGCAGCATGTCATCAAACACATTTTTGCTTTTGCCCAAAGAGGATAATAGAAAGCAATTCCATGGGGAGGCTCTTCCATCAACCCGAAAAAATGAACTCTGCGTCTGTGATAGACAATGGCACTTGAGTGATAATTAACAATGTGTACAATTACCCAAGGGTCTGCTCAGTGGGCTCGGGCCCGGCCAGTATAACGGGCCGGCGCGGCGCCGTGCGCGGCCTGGGCCGTAAATATGCACATGCATGTGCACACTTTTTTGGCGGCAACGCGATGATGGCATGCAGAACGAAAATGCTGCAGGTGCACCGCCATAGCTGTCGCATGTCAGTTGCAAGTAAGTGGATTTTGAGATTGTGATTTGCTCTGTTCCTGGCAGGGCAGCCAGGCCTGGGCCCGGATACCTTCAGATTACAGCAGTCTAGAAATCACCAAGTTAATAAGCACCAAGTCAGTAACTGCACCGGTCACCGGCACAGTGATACTGTGAACATGTGATAAGAATTGGCCATGCACGATGCACACCGGCGTGATTAAGCCCGCAAAGAATCAGCTCATATCTGGGGCCCTATATAGCGAGAGAGAGTGTAGATTGGGCTGGATTCTTTAATAAACCATCGATGGCAGAGCCTCAGAGACTTCATGTTCATAGCTGTTGTCAATGCAAAATTTGGCTTGTCTAAACTAGAATTCCAATCATTCAATGGGAAGTACAGGCCCAGCACTTGCAAAGAAGTCAATCCAATAGAAGCAGGAAATTGCAGGTGAAGCTGGTTCTTGTCTGCTTGTGCCCGCTGCAGGGCGTTCAGAACCCATAACACGCCTGCCTGGGATTCAGCTGCGGTTTTGGTCAAGGCAGCTTACTGTCAGTAGTCCGTTTCATACTGCCGGGTGCGCTCGAACTCCATGGATGAGCGTTCTGCCGCCACTTTCCTGGCGCTCTCCCGCTCGCGCAGGCGCTCGTCAAAATATCTGCCTTCTGTGTCCGTCTGCTGCGCCGCCAGATCCCTGTTCCACAGCAGTGCACTCTCGTGAATGGCTGGACCACAGCTTGCCAGCATTACCTCTCGCAGAGACCTGATCATGCTAAAGAGAGCAAAGTGTGATCAAGTGAACCTGTTTAACTACAGCGCAGTACTCTGCATTGAAGGGTTGCTAGTCTTGGGCGCGTGAGCCAATGGGTATACTGTATCTGAGCCAGGGATGGGCCACCTGTCAGAACTGTAGATGAGGTCTCGGTCCTGGATGACCACCCGCTCTGCCAGCTTGCCAGCCGCAGCAATCTTGGCTCTCAGGGATGGAGAGCTCAGCTTCCCGAGCGCGTCAAGGCGCGCCTGGTTGCGTGCCTCGATCGCATTGTTCCTCCGCCTGTTGAAGAACCAGCGGACGGCTGGAATTGCAAAGAATGAAGCCGCGTACGCCTGCTTGCCACACCCCACCCTTCAGATACCTCTGATGTGCAGTGAATCCTGATGCTGCAGACAAACACGCACATGTGCTACTAAAAAAGGCAAGATGAAGGGGGATAATTGCATCAACCGGAGAGAACTCACCTGCAGGAAGGGGAAGAGATTGTTCATGAAGCCCAGGGAGCTCTGCGCCAGCATCTGGCTGACACCAGGCTGTGCCAGCAGGCTGCCCAGGTAGAGCACGCCCACGCAGTTGGCCACCCCCAGTGCAATCGCGCCCAGCCGCTGTCCCTCCGACGCGTTGGTGAAATTCCATCGGCGCTCCAGAGCAGCATCCTTTGCCGGTGGGCCCACCGTCCTCTGCACACAAGTACCACATCAGGCTCACAGATGCGTGCACAGCCAGGAATAGGAGAAGCACCTGATACCTGCGCCAAGTGCATGCAGCTCACCTGTGTCCTTGCTGTGCGCTGCAGGGATGGGAAGACGTACAGCAGCTCCCCACTCTGGCTCACCTCCGGATGGCCGTTGAATCTCACCAGGGCTGGCACCTGCTCACAATGCGCACTAAGTCATATGCTGCAATCCTCTACATTGACAACACCATGAATGAAACAGGAGGGACGAGGACAAAAAGAGAAGATGTCTCACCATGTAGCTCTCATTTGTGTAGCCGTCTATCTTCTCCAGATCATCAGGTGACAAGTCCATGAAGGGAGCAAGCTGCTCTGCTGTCACGACGCCTCCCTTGCTCTGAATGAGCTGCCCCACCTGCCATGTGCCCAGATGAAGGTTGATGCTGAGCTCTATAGCACAAAGTATGGCACAAAGGGCTATGGAAGGCTCAAGTGAGGCGCACCATTTTCCAGCGCTGCTCGTCGTGGACCAGGTTGGGATCGCCATCACCAAAGACTGCGATAGCAATTCACCTTGTCAGCTCTCCATGATGCCCAGGGTGAAGCACTGGATTTTTTTGGTCAACCAAGGCAGGCTCTCGGGGAGTAGCTCACCAAATGAAAATACTGACTCGAAAAAATTCATTTCCCCGGGATTCTGGCGGTAGACTGCGCGTCTGCGGCTGTAGTAAGGATCCCAGTAGAAAAAGAGATCACTGACATTGATGAATGTCGAGAATGGTGACCTGCCGTAGCCGTAGCTGCTGCTCCTGCTATTAATCAACCCAAATTCAGCTAACCTGACGCTGACAATACCAGATAAGCCTGGAGGGCAAGCTTGCATGTTCAGCACATGGCAGCAAAAATGGACTGCCATGTGATTGGTTGTAGCAGCCAATGCATGACTCACCGGCGATCGTCTCTGTCACTGCTGCTGGCTGCTGTCAGAATAGCAATGACGGTGAGTGACACCAGCACAATAGATGCCACGAGCGCAGTGCCAAAGCTGACGCGCACAGCATACCCTGCCGCTGACTTGGCTCTGGCTAGTGCAGGCTCAAGCTTCAGTAGCACTGATCTGCCCTGGATAATGCTTTTGAAGTTCTGAGGCAACACATACAGAACATCTCCAGCCTCTGAGACCTGCGTCACAAACATGCATCTCAGCCTCTCACTCCCCCTAAGTGGTTTTTGCTTGCATTTCAGCTCGCATAGAAACAAGAGGCAAAAGGAGATAGAAAAAATCTGACCTGCAGCACTCCCTGGCTGTCTGCTGCCAGGGCATTGAGGGTCCTTTCTGTATCTTCCAAAGACACCCCAGCGCGAGCTGCTACGTCTCCCACTGTCACACGCCCACCCAGGGACTCCACGGCGTCCTCCACACGCTTCCGCAGCGCCTGAGGTATGCTCACGCTCTCCAATTTCCCGCGCAGTGGCGCCGATGGTACCGCCACATCATCTTCGCTACCTGCTAGATGATGTGTCCCTCTCAGTAGCTTGGTGAGCCACAACGCAGAGGTTTCAGCACCAAGCAGATGTGGTTATCTGGAACATCAGTGACAGACCTGAAGAGCCCCAGTCGGACCCGCCATTGCTTCTCTGTCGCGCCTGACACCTGCTGTCCCTCTGAGGCAAGTGGACACCAAAAGACTGCCTGAATATGCTGCCATGCCGTCTGCACTGTGCTAGCGCATGCCGCTCTGTTATGGGCCAGGAGGTTGTTGGCGGCAGGTGGCTGCACACTGCTGCTCGTCTATTGTGGTGCTGAGGCTGCCTGACAGAGAAACCAAAGGGCCTTGGTCCAATAATGGCCTGCATAGTTGCCTGGTACTAGGCACAAGGTCACTCTCCAGCTGCAAGAAACGCCAAATATTATCAGACCGTTATTTCTAAGGGATGCAACGGAGGGGAAGACACCGATTTCTAAGCAGCACCATATAGTTGGAACGACTGTCTTGACAGAGACTCCAGAATATATGTATGATATTTTCAAAGAATGGAACAATTGTAACTGTGATTCATACTGTTCCGGGACAGAGAGGCACCGAGCGGTACCTTGCTAGAGCTTCTTGGACATAATCAGCAGTGCATCAATAGCCCAGTAGCGTAACAACCAGCTTGCGATTGATGAACGATTTGTAATATTTAATTTAAAGTTTACAAAGACATCCCACTGGCGCAAGGAGCGATCAACAGCTTGCAGTGTTCGAGGCGAACGGAACAGCAAGGCACCCAGCAGATGATGAGTCACCGGCCAGCTCAGATTGTTAGTGGCATGAAGCCCACGAACATTCGAGCCATCCATTATTGTGGGGAGACGAAGAAACTCTCTAATGTTTCGTGTGCACTTTATATGAATGCAAACTTGACCTGGGCATCAAGTACTACCATAGAGCACAAGCTCCGACACTTGAGCTAGATGCTCTACCTCTCTTAGCACTTATGCCAAACCTGGTAGCTGTTCGGAATGATTAAATTTTCCTGTTCTAGCTCTGTTGGCCAGGCCAGGGCTCCCCTCTTCTTTCCGAGATCTGCTGTGCTTCAAGCTACTTGCAGGTAGGTATCGCTTATATAGATCAAGCTGCAGAGAAGTTCCCGTGCATTCTTTTATACAATCAATGACGTGCATTGAATTGTCATCACAGGCGGCATGGTGTCGTAGCTCCCCAGCACAGCCACCAGCAGAGGCGAAAAGCGACCCGTGCTCACTCTGACCATAATGGGGCCACGACACTGATAAAGATATGCGGAGTCACCAGTGCGGAGGATGCCGAGCTGGCCGCAGCGGCAGGTGCCAACTTCATTGGCATGATCATGTGGCCAAAGGCCAAGCGGTCTGTGGCGCCAGCAGTCGCGCAGGCCATTGCTGCTGTGGCAAGGGAGCACGGCGCACAGGCAGTGGGTGTTTTCGTGGATGAAGATGCGCGCACAATAGAGCACAGGTGTAGGGAGGCTGGGATTGGGGTGGCTCAACTGCATGGAGACGTGGCAAGGGAGGCAGTGGCATCCCTGCCAGAGTTTCTTCAGATCATCTATGTCTTGCATGCTGACTCCGATGGCGTCATTCAGACGCTTCAGCCAGGAGAGCTTGCAGCATCTCTTGGTCAGGACCTCTCCAGGTGAGCGCCAGTGCAGCCCAAGATTCTGTCTCTTTGTTGGGACATGGGAGGACCAGAATTAGGGTGTATCTTATGTTGTAATTGCCTCAAATCCATTGTGTATACAACCCTGCAATGCAGGTCTGTGGAATGGGTGCTTGTGGATGGGATTGTCGGCGGCAGCGGGGAGAAGTTTGACTGGGCAAACCTTCAGCCGCCCAAGCAGGTTGCCCAACGAGGCTGGTTCTTGGCTGGTGGGCTGGGACCGCACAATGTGGCAAACGCTGTGCAGCAGCTGCATCCCAATGGGGTGGATGTGTCCAGCGGAGTCACTGGCCCAGACAAGCTCAGAAAAGATGCTGCTAAAATCCATGCATTTGTGTCCTCTGTTCAACAGCTGGAGAGTGTACCACAAACAGCCTGACGGCAGATCCTGCATTGAAAATTTGTATGCAAATGTTGGAACACTTTGGAACTACAAGCAGGCCAGCTTTGAAGAATGGGATCTAGTCCCATTTTTAGGTAGGACCTCTGAGACTGCTGATTCTGGAAAGCAGCGGTTACGTATGTTGTGCATCATGCATAAATGGAGAGGAAAATTTGATGGACAAATACGTTTTGAGGCTCGTGCAATCCGAGGTCAAGTGGTCGCAGGAGGTAGCTCTTCACATTCCCTGCCGGATTTTTTACAATGCATGATCAAGGATTAAGGGGACAACATAAATGGCTGACAGGACCGCCGACAGGCCCAGGCCAACCACAACATACTGCATGCTGGCCATGTGGAAGAAGCGGCTCTTGTACTCGCTCTCTTTCTGCGCCACTACATACCTTCTCAATGCATCACTGGGCACTACCAGCCTCCCCTTGTTGGGGTGTTGCTGGAATTCAATGCCCTTGCTGCTCAGGATCTCCAACGCAGCATCCCTCAGCACAGACATTCCATGACTGCGTTTGCCCTGCCCCACAACTATTTCCAAATCTTGCACAGCAATGCCGCTGGCCTCTTCATCGGGACTCCCTTGGCTGCTTGAGGCTCTGCCTTGCCTCCTTTCTCCATCGCGCGCCTGTTTGCTGTAGCCGCCAAAATCGCCATGTCGCTCCTCTCTCTTCCTTCTGTGGTTTACCTTTGGTAGTGTGTGCTGAATGTGTGCGAATGTCAGGTAGTCCAGTCGCTGCAGGCAACACGCTCACTTGGGCTTCTTCCAGGATTGAGACTCGTGAATGTCAGAAGAACATGCGTGAATCCAGATTACATGACATGACAGAAAGAAGCAAGGTGCTAGTTGTACCTGCACAAGAGCAATCCTTGCGGCCGACTGGGAGAGGCCATGGAGGTTGAGCAGGAAGGGGCGGTGCACTGTGGCTGTCATGGGGTCGGCGGCATCGCTGGCTGACAGGTCTGCTCCCCGATGCACACGCAGCCTCCCACCCACACCCTGCCCATCCTCACCTGAGGTGGATGCTGCTTCATTCCTGCTCTCACCCTGGCCAACAGCAGGGCAGCATTGTTGAGGGAACAGTGGCAGAACAATGGCGGTGCTTGACACAGGAAGAGACGCTCTGAAGAACAATAGCTGTATGATTTCTGAAAAGGTGTGTACCATCCTCTGCTGCAGCCAATCCGCCTCCTGGACAATCTGTGCAGCCATGGCTACATTCCCAGCGAATGCCTCTGACAGCGCTCGCTGCATGGCAACGCATTCCAAGTTTCAATATCAGCATGCATACTTGATTGCTACTGTGCATGTGGCATCTAATCACGTCGCAAGCCTGAAGATGTGACCGGAGTTTTTGTCCCCCCAACAAAACAGGCGGCAGATTGAGCTGAAAACACCCACCTGGGTGAAGCGATCCGGAGTTACCCCAGACTGCTGCATCTGTTGCCAGACCTGGTAAGCGCCATCTATGTGCTTGGCCCTGGCAAATGCCGACAGCAAGGTGTTCCAGGTCATCACATCACTCTTGACCCCCTGCGAGGTGAGATCTTCCATGATCTCCTTGGCTCGAACAGGCTGCCTTGTTCGCGCACAGGCGCTCAAGAGGATGTTCAGGGACCATGTCGTGGGTGGCAAGCCCCCTTGCTGCATGGCCTTGAAAGTTCCAATAGCTTCCTCAGCTTTCCCGGCCTTGGCCTGCACGGACATGAGACTTCTTCACATACAAAAACAAAAATCCTAGGGCAGGCCCTGAATCGCAGGCTGCCGTCACAAGCACCTATTGCACCACACCTGGCAGTCCATCAGGGTGTGGTAGTGCACAGTGGAGGGCACAATCCCATTTGTGACCATGTCCTCAAATATCTCTTGTGCGCGCCGAGCGTACTGCTCTGGCAGGTCATAAGGAGGATGCTGTGCCTGCTCAAATCTTTATCATGTGAGGCGAAACACAAAAAGTGGTCCATGAGAGCACTGTCATGACATGACAGCGAGCAAATCTCACCATGCATTGAGCAAAATGTCGAGCTTGATGTGATGTGTTCCATGCATCTATGCCATACCTTTGCGCAGGCATTCAGTAGTCCAGCATACGAGAAAGAGTCAAGCCGGGGTCGAATCTCCTCTGCCTCTGCAAATGCCAGCTCGGGTTCTCGCCTCCTTGCATGCATGTTGATGATGGCATTGTGTACCCAAATCAGGTCTCTGCAAGTCGCCACCCAGCGGGTTATTAGACCGTGCTTCTGCCTTAAAGTTCTAAACTCATAGCTGCTCTGCAGATTTTTCTACAACACGGTCCTGGAAAGTACCTTTCACTGCCAGCCTCCCTCAACTTTTGCCTGAGGTACTGCGCCCTGTAGACATCATTTCTTCTGACAGCCTCCAAGAAATCCATCTTCAAGGAAGCCAGCGGATCCACTTTCTTTGTGTCCCTGTGCTGTGTTGTCATGCACCTTCTGCAAGAAACCATCAGCAGTCGAATAGTTTGGCTACATGAAAGGGGACTCTGCTTTATACCGCGGGATGTTAGTCTTTTCGAAAGAGGCTCCAGCATCATCATGGCTTACGCGGACCGTAAAACTAGTTCCTGATTGATCTGAAGTAATTTCGACACCAAACAACTTGAAAGCCCCTGGTTAATAATAATTTGTATGTCTTCCAAACTTCTGCAATCATTCTTTGCATCGTGGCTCAAACGATCGTCGTCTTACCTCACTTGAGCTGAGAATGAGTTCCCCAAACCGTCGCTTCCTGCTTGCCGGAAGCTTCCTACCTCTTGGCAGCTGCTGCCGACGGGTGCTCTCTAGAACCCAACGAAAGGATAATGAAACGGCTCAGCTTAGTTCATATGGCGCATTGCTGCACTACCATTACTGCAAGACACCAGCTGGAAGCATGCAGCTCGAGCAGCACAGGGCCAAATATTTGCATTAGCCACAGCGCCAAGCCTACTAGGCCTGTACAGGTAAATCATTTGTCATGTCACACGGTGTCACACAGTGCACGGTACAAATTATTAGGGCATGATGCAGTGCATACATACCCATGCAAATCCAGGCCTCGGGCTAGCTCTTATGCAGCCAACGAATCACCTTGCGGTAAGGGTGCTGCAACATCGTGGGTACAGCATGGTGAGAGTGCCATGCATATGTGTGTTACATAAACTTAATTGGTCAATTTACCTTCGCATGTGGTATGATGAATCACTGGAAAGTCAGCAGCTACAATCCCTCTCAAGGTCCACCATCTGGCCAATTTCTGGCTGTCTCTCACGCTGCTACAGAAATATCTATCCTTTCAGCCCGGACAGTGAAAAACATATGCCCTTGGACTGCATATGGTGGAAAGCCTACTCCTCCAGAACTGAAAGAGCACGCTTGCCAAAATCATGGCAGACATGCCAGCAGTCATGAAGTTAACAGGAACAGCTAGAGTCCCGTGATCAGTACCTCATGTGATCAGTGATCACAGCAGGTGTCCTGCTATTAAAACTGCCTTAGCAGGTGCCAGCCATCCTTTGCATTGGCACCTCATCTGCCTATCCAGGGTCCTCTCATGGAGTACTCTTGTGGTTGTTTGCTGCTATGTTAATCTTAGTGTGAAGGCGCGGCTCTGGATAGGGGCTTCTGTGAGAAGGAAACAAACTTCTTGAGGGCACGAGGATCCTCGGCCTTGCCCTGCAGCAGGCTTGTGAGGAACTCCACCATCAGATTCTCATAGTTTGGCAGCTTCTCAAAGCCTGGGAAGTAGTTGATGTCAATCACCATGTAATCAGCCCCATCAGGCACGCGTCCTGCAGGTAAATGGAGAACAAAGTCTGATCAGGGCTGTGTCTGAGCGTCAACGGCAGCTTTGCATATCTCTAAATAAAGCAGATTATCACATTAGACCTCAACAAAAGCTGCAATACCTGGCTGATTTGGAGAGGGCTGGAGGAGATCAAAATTGAACAGGTTCAGCCCCAGTCTCCGCCTCAGCTCTTGCGCCAGACCCTGCCATAAATCACAAATCATGGCAGTCAATATCGAGTCTTAGATGCAAACAACCACAGCAGGAAGCAAAGCCATCGTGTCGAGAGCAATGCATCTATGTGTCCACATGGCACACTGACAATTGATGCATTAAACAGAGAGATTACCTGAACTACCCATTGGGGCGGGTCCCCTTGCAGAACAGCGGTGCCTGCCATTTCTGACTGGAAGGAGGAGATGCGCGCAATGGTCTGGATGAAGCCGGCCTCATCCTGCACATCCTCCGGCGGAACTGGGATGTGCAGGGAAGGTCGCCTCACCATGACCACGATGGGGCCCATAACAAAGACCTGGCACACCACCAGCATCAAGTCAATAGAATAAAGCTGTTGCGTTTATGAGCTGGGTGCGACACAATTCAGGACTTTCAACTTGAGAATTTCTCGTTGTGCCATACGTTGGAGCACGCAACAAACAGGGTCAAGGCACAAGTTTGAGGCTTGAATTTCAAGTACAGGGCAGAGGCATACCTTGAACAGGCAGCCGCCATGTTCCACATACTGCTGCAGCATGGCAGGCAACCCAAAGCCGCTGGGCCCCTCACCAGACACGAGCTGCTCAACACCTTCCACCTGCAAGCAACCCGCACATCGGATTTCAGACCCAGGAGGCCATGCATGCCTCGCGTTGGGACTAGTGTCTCAGAAGGGAGGAATTGTGCATTCGAGGCCAGATACTGACCTCGTGAATGACGGCTAGTCCGTGCGCGCCATCCCGGCCATCAGCCCACAGTGGCTTTGCTAGCAACGGCGCTTCCATGCCTGCCTCTCCCAGCAGCTTCCGCGCCTGCTCCCTCGTGCACCCTGCACAGTCCGCCCCGGCATCAAATTTTGCCTGGAGTAACTCTTCCTCCAAAAGGCACCAAAGGAGAAGCTTGTGGCATTATGAGCGTTTAACGCAGGTGGCCCAATCTTGACAGGTGTGGATGCAAGACAAGCTTGCAGCTGCTCTAAAAAATAGAATCCATACCCTCAGGAATGGAGATCTGCTGCGGCGCACATACGCGCACTCTGCCATGCCCCTGAGGTCCCTGCCACCGACCAGGAAAGTTAGGTTGAGAACGTGCACAAGTTATCAGCTCCAGAAAATTGAGGTGCTGACAGATATACAGAGCCGTGGAACTTAAGATGCTGAGCGCCCTCACCGTGAGAGAGATGTCCTTATCAAACGGAGCCAGCATGCTGAATCGCGACATGATAGGGCGTATTCTGTCGAAGGAATCCACAATGCGCATGTGGGGATGCTCCTTGCTGTACTCTGCCAGCTCTTCTTCCCACTCTGTCACACAATCCTTACCTTTTGAGCCAAATGAATCAACTAGAGAGCATCGGTGTAACAAAGCTCTTACACAGGGCTCGTTGCCACAGGGTCAAAATGGCAACTTTATAGTGGAGGACAGATATCGTGCAGGCAAGGCGTACCTTTCCGCCTGATCTTGTGTAGAAGTATGTCAAAGGGCCCCTGCTCCTTCAAGGGCTTCCCCACATGAACAGGCCGGATATCGATCCCCATCTGTGCTGCTGTCTCAATCAGCTTAGGCCCCAGGTGCTTCTTGGCCTGTGGCAGTCAGCACAAGCTTTAGTTGGTTGTTGCGGTACGCTGACATGCTTGTCTATGCAAAAAACGCAATACTTAGCTCATCGTATGCAGTCTGACACCAACATACAGCCTGGGAACCTTTCATGTTATAGAAGGATATGCTTTTCTACAGCATACCTTCCTGCTCGTATCTGCCCCTTCAATGATGCATGCAGACAGTTGACAAGGGAAATCAAGAATCTTTGGAAAGCTCGGTAAATGCATTGCGCCCATCAGAATTTCTCGCTCTCCACACTTTCCAGGGGGGAGGAGATACCTTAGCAGGCAGAAGTGCAATCCCCACGACTCGCCGTGGTGGCTCTGCCCTGCCATCTTCCGTCATCATATATCTGTCAAACTATCATGAAATCCGATGATTGATCGACCCTCACTCCGACAAGATGCACTCCCCTGCTATCTAAGCTGCGAGGTGTAATGAATATAGGCAGAAAGGGATTCTCACGAGATATATGTACGCTAACTGACCATCAAATATATCCCGAGATCGTCATTAGATTGCTTCTATACTGCCTCTTTCACCCTTGACTCACTGTCTTCTGTGATCTTTCAGCACACCGATGGTCGCTGCAATCGACCACTGGTCACGTCAGAGATTTAGATCAACCTATTCTTGGATTATCTGTAGAGCGACTGATTGTTTCACTTTGCCAGCGCTGTGATCCATACGCACCCATGCCACTGAGTGCTACACACGCTGAGATGGAGCCAAATTTGGACCGATGCTCAGGTGCATGCTTGTCTCTTGTTGGTGCTGTCCTTGTCGCCTTGTGAGAACATGACGCTGCATTGCAATGTGAGAAAGCTTTCTCCTCAAAGTCAATTCTGTCAAGCGACAGAGGCTGGACATGAGCAATATCAATGCTCCTTGGTCTGGGTCATTTCCCTCATGGGCAGTCCATAATCCATTCCTCTTTTGGTGAAACCGCCTCATCGCGTCAAGCGTTCGCAGTGGCTGGTGACGCGTCGCGAGGGCAAATACGTTAGCAATGCACTCGTTTGGAAAATTTTTAGCCTTTCAAGAGATTTGCTGGCAAATTTGGCCTGATAGGGCCTCGCTTGGAGACGGATGCTTTGGTGTTGATGTAGTCGGAAAAATGGGATGTTTGCGATGAGAACGAAGCTGAATTGGTGCTTCTTCTTCCTTGCGACACTTATCTTACTTCAAAGTAGGACAGAGTGCGCCACGGTGCTGTCGTCAAGTCAGCTACAGACTTGTATTCAGGACGGCTCGGTGAGGACACCTTGGACTATGCTGACAAAGCCCACTAGTTGTAGATCTAGCTATTTATATGAGAGATCTGCATACACAGTGGTTCGTAATACGTAAAATTGCTTGTGCTGCTCAAGTACGAGTGTTCCTCTTTGCAGGCTGAAGCCTTACTGCTGCAGTGCTCCAAGAAGCTGATTCTCACACTTGCAGTGGAGAACGGGGCGTCTCTTGCAACACAGTCTCTACAATTCAGTGTCCCATGCATCAACAGGTGATCATGTGCTCATCATGCAAGCTGACCTTTTCCTCCCTTCCTTCAGGCATGGAAATCAAGTATGGGAAGTCCTCTCTGAGTTCCTACAAACAATGCGTATTGCCTATGTCAATGCAGTGGGAGCAGCGGGTGTCCTTGCACGTGTAACTACGCAACGGACCCTGGCTGCACATGCCGGGACCTGAGAGACACCCTGAATGTGACCATCACAAAGGGCGCAGTCTATGCGTCCTACCCCCTGATATACCAGCAGGCTTTCAACAACCGGCCGACAGAGGTGCGCCTCAATGCAGATGCTGTGAACTTCTTCACCTTTTGTAAATTAAAGTAGGATTCCAGCCCTCGAGAAGCCTCACGCATGTGCAACATCAGCGGTAGTGCCTGGGATTGTCAGCGCATCCTTGGGAATGAAAGCTTGTCTGGCACAGGCAATCATCAGGACGGGGGCGAACTTCCCCATATCCTCCTGCAATGACGGCCCTCTCAGCGACACCCCCACCTGCGGCTGGGCAACAGACGCCAACGGAGCGCGCATCCCGGCCAGCCAGGGCTTCTGCTGCTCCTGCACCTCCTCGGCCCTCGCGGCCGCCACCCTCGGCAGCGGCACTGACCAATGTGCGCACCTTGCACTGCAGACACCTATTTGTTCACCACCCCCTTGTTCCAGTAAGCATGACACAGGTTAAAAGGGGTTTCATAATGCCTGCTGTATAAGTTACGGCCGTCTAATTTGCTCTTTAGTGAAGCAGCCCCAACCTTTCTGTGCCCTGAATCACATCTGGAGCTAGTATACAAGCTCTGCTGTCTTTCACTTGGGCTTACTAATGAGTTGTGAAAGAGGCGCCAACACTGCGGAGGTGCTCGCCAATGTGCATATATGATTTGTAGCCTACCCAAATCGAATTGAACAGCAGAACATCTGGCATGGGAATCTAGAGCAAACGCAACCCCACCGTCAATGGTCATTGGAGAGTTGAAGGTGTTTCAAATATGAAAGAAGTTCCAAGTTTGTACTGCTTAATTTGCTTGTGGCAGGAGCCCAGAGCTCCTGCGCTCATGCAACATTCCAAGGGACTGTGGTGATGATCAATTGCAAACAATGTGCAGTGCTGGCATGCAATAGATGTCTTGGGTCTGTGGCAGATACGCGTGCCAGCCTGGACTGCGATCTGTTCCACACATGGCTGCGCACCCCTGGCTCCGCGCATTGCCTGCGCATGGACGATCTCTACTACCAGGTCTGCACTCATTCACTGTATCCTTGCAGTCACGCCCGCATGCAGCTTTCACAGCACAGGTTGCAACGAAGGCAAGCATTAGGAGCTGCTACACTACATGACAGCCGGAATGGGTAGATCTTTGAACTGCCTGGTTGTGTATGTTTGACCCCGGCTGGTGGGGGGCCGCATAAATACTGAGCACCATGCCAACAGTTGAATTGGTGTGGTTTGGATCTGGCAAGATCAACAAGGGGTAGGAATTGGCAGCTTGTTTGGAGCCTCTCAGCAGAAACATTTTGTAAAATGACTACAAGAGCATGTTGCAAGCAGGGGTACCAGGTGGACCCTGCAAGGCTGGACTTTAACATTCAGATCTCCATCCAGTCCGCCAACACCAGCGTGACACAGACGCTCAGCCTCAATCCGACCCAGCCGTTTGTGGTGAATGACGCCAACACAGTGGCCGCCAAGCTGCTGGGAGACCTGGCCACTTACCAGTCCATGCCAGACTTCAGCAGCTACTACCTCATGATCCCCTCCCCTGCAGGTGCGCCCTATGTCGCCCTTCCCTTGTACCGCTGAATCCGCCCGGGCTTGTTCGGGAGAAAAAGCAGTGTCTCAGCTGCATTGTCAAGCTTCTATCTTGACAGTCAAAGAGATGAAACGGAATGAAAGTGAACAACAAATTAAACATCGGCCGAGGAAAAGTAGTACCTTACCACTTGAACAGTCAGTGTGGCTGCATGGGTGCAGACTCCTCGCCGCAGCAGGTGCTGAGCAGCAACACAGACAAGTGGATGATGGTGGACAAGAGCATGGTGTCGACAGACGGCACCACCTGCAACAAAGTTGGGACCAGCTACTTTGCGTTCCAGTACCAATCGGTGACTCCCTTTCTATTCCTCTCCCTTGCACCAGTCCTCTTGTCATCCCCATGCTTTCTTGGCTGTGTGTCATCTTTCTATGCACTCTTGCATGTGTGTGCACTCTTAAATCGGTGCTCGTTTAACTCCATCCTCTCTTTGTGAGGTCCGACAACCACATGAGATTCGTAAGGGCTACAGGGAAGCTGCCAGCAGCCACAGGGCACCTGCTTGGGCAACCAGCTGTATGACCTGTACCAGGCCGATGTCAAGCGCATCTCTCAGGGCACCACTCCCGTCAACTTTGTCAGCCGCTGGGGCGGGGGCCAGCCGGGCGCCAATCAGGTGATTCCAGAGTCATCCCCAGCCCTGTACCACCCACCTGTACACCTTGCAGTGCCTGCACATCGCTGAAGGCTCATGTACAGCCCTTTCAAGACCCACACACAGCAACCCACTGTTTGCACGCCACAGCAATTGGTTACTCAACACACAGTGTTTTAAGTGCCGGCCTTGTGTGCATGTGTGCAGGCGTCCTATAGCAGCAGCGGCAGCCTGAGATTCGCCCTGCCGATCACGAACATTCTCAACAGCGTTGTGACGCTCACAGTGAACGCGGACGCGGTCATGCTGATCGACAACGTGAGCCCCGGCAAGATCCTGAGCGCGCAGGTGTGCCAGTTCAACAACGCCACCTGCGGCAGCTTCCAGGCGCTGACTCAGCGGGGTTACCTCACCGCCACCGTGCAGAACGCCGGCAGCATTGCCGCGACCTTCATCGTCTCGGTCTGCACCGCATCTCTCTGTATTCACCTGACACTGCGCATATCTGGTAGTTTAAGAACAACGGAATTGCTATCACCACTTCCGTAGATTATGTTGTGTACCGCTGACCCCTAGCATGTTGGCGGACTCAGAAAGGCACCTCCTCTTGAGGTCCCCAGCCATGTCAAAATTCCAGCAGTTGCCTGTGCTAAGTCTGCATGGCAAGTGCCCACTGCATGCATGCATACCCCAACCACATCCATGACTGGGAGAAGTTTATCTGCGACCTGAAATTGATCATGGCATGCAGGTTGTGAATTGCACAGCATCCGTGACGCCCATTGTGGCGCAGTCGGCAACTCTTGCAAGCAAGGCCACAAAGGCGCTGACCTTTGACATCTTCCTCACCAGCAACAAAGCGGATGCTGCAATCACCTGTGATGTCGGCCTGACAGACTCGCAGGTGACATACCAGCTCGCATCATAATCTGAACAATTTTGCCATGTGGTGATGCTCAAAGCAAAGCATTGCTCATGCACGCTCAGATGTACAGTAGGGAAGAAGCTACAAGAAGCCACAAATATGGAATGTGGGATGCAGGGTAAATTGTCAGACAGGTTCAGTGTTGGTTTCGGTGCCAACGCGACTGACTTCACACCAACACCCAACCAATCAAACATCACCGATAAGGTTTGCTGTCACCGCTTCTTTGCCGGCTGTTCACGCCATGCAGATTGCCTAACAGTTTGTCACAGGCAGAGTCCTGATGATCAGGACATGTGTGGCAGGTGAATGGGGCAGGAGCCCCACAGACTGGGCCGTCCGATTGTGCGGCGCTGTGTCCGAATGTGAAAGATGTGATGTGCAAAGTGCGCCACCGGTGCTGGAAGAGCCTGGTGTCTCTCTCTGCTGGCCTCATCGGCCTCCTGGCAGGAGGTAAGCACCCCTGCTTTCAGCAGGCTCATACTCGCACTCCATTCAAATTAGACGGTGGTGTCTTATGATACCAAGAGAGATGATGTAGTCTGGGTGTGGTTCAGGCTTCCTCCTTTGGATGGGCTTTTCGCACGGATGGTGGCTGAAGCTGCTGAGCTGCTGCTGCAAGATGATGTTCTCGGCAGCGAAAGGCAAGCTCTGATGCCCGCCCAATTTGAGCAGTGCATATGTCTCTTTATTGGAGCAAGTCATCTAAAGAATGCCACCTGCAGTAGTACACAGCAGAAGAAAGGCAGATGCATGCCAAGTAATGTTAATGTTCCACTGTGGGCTTGCAGGAAGTTCAAGCAGTCCGGGCCTTTTGAGGTCAAGAGAGGTAGGCAGCACATAGATTACTTGGCTGCTAAAATGGCACCACTAACACACTTGTAAGGTGATGGTGAGGTTGTACACAAGTAATGTGAAAGGATGTATGGGGCCATCTGCGATATTACCTGACCCTTTTCTCGGCCCTCACTGACTGCTGCCATTGCATGTGTGCAGTCAATGTACACAGACATGGAGATGTCAAGGACTGTCTTGGCTGGGTATGCACCCATGGGAGCCATCAGTGTGGAGGAGCTCATGGCAGGCTACGAGTCCAGGCAGGTGGCTTATCTGGACCTGCGCAAGATGCGCGTGAAGGGGACCTCCAACCTCATCAACATTGGCCCAAACTCTTGCCTGGCTGGGGACATCTCCCTCATGCCTGAACAGCCTGGCACATCACAGCAGGTGTGAAAATTATCCTAGCACCACGCCAGCTTTTTAGGACAATCACCAATCGAGCTGCTCCACAATTTTTTTGTGCTATGGCGAGATCACCTGTCCCCGCTCTCGGAAGGGCTGGCAGTGAGGGATGGAGTGCTTAAATGCACACTATGACTGCCGCAGGTCATGTTCAAGGTGAAGGAAACGCTGAGATGGCAGCTGATGCACTATGATGTCAGCGCGGGCGCTTATTTGCAGCTTGATGACCCGCGCCCTCTCGAACTGTCCTACCTTACCATGCTCCTACCAGCAGATGTTGCTGAGCAGGCGAGCACTTCTCTGCTCCAGAAATCCTAATGAATACCCATGCAATGTCCGTTAACATATTTGCATGTTGCTTGTGGCTTGCAGGCGCTTCACTTTGAGCCTCAGGGCCGTTGCTTGAATGATGCCAATGCCAGGAGAGGGCGCAAACCTGTCAGGGCGTCCGTACTGGTAATGCTTCTGCATGCACACGTCTCAATTTGCCCGTCTTGTTTGGCTTGTGATGAAAATTCTTGTTTGGCATGCATGCATGACCAAATACTTGTCTGCAACAGGCCTCCGCACCACCACTGCCAGATGTGCAGAGCTTGCAAGACCTGTGGAATGGCTTTAATGCCACAAAAGTGGTGTATCTTGACCTGAACAAGATGGAGCTGCAGCCAGAGACCGGGCTGACGAACGTGGGGCCACGTGGGTGCCTGGCCGGGGACATGCACATGGTGCCTGGCCAGATGGGCGCCTCCTCTCAGGTGCCACATTGCATTTGCATGCAATATGTTTTATTTACACACAACTTGGCAAATCATGCCTCACATCATGCCCTAAACTTTTTGCTCTCACAGATTTGTACATGCATGCGTCTTCCCTGGGCAACCAAAAAACGAGAAGAATCCCATGTCTACCCTGCAGGCAATCTTCAGGATCAAGCATCAGCTGAGGAGCCAGCTGCTGCAGTATGAGTCTGCCAGCGCAAGCTACCTCCCGATGGAAACTCCGCGTGCTCTGGAGGCCAAGCTGCTGACGCTGTTCCTTCCAGGGACAGTCGCGCTCGAGCTGCTGAGCTTGCAGCCGCAGGGTTGCTGCCTTAACGATGCCAATGTCAATGACCCAGAGCTCGGCAGACCCCCTCCACAGACCCTGCAGGAGCTTTGGGACGCCTATGAGAAGCAGCAGGTTGCCTCCCTCTTGCACCCTTCTCTATACGTATACTTTGATTGACTGTAAGGTGCCAGCTTGACCTACTAAATACGAAGACACCTGGTAGGGAAAGCAGGGACGCATGTCAGGAATTCCTCCTCACACCTCTTTGAGGTGAAGAGATTGTCCCCTGGGCATGTTGTATGATTGAATGAAGTGTACCCTTGCCATGTTGTCTTGAGGCTCTCAGCGGGTGCAGGTTGCATTCTTGGATCTGGAGCGCATGCAGCTGCTGCCACAGAGTGGCCTGGAGAACGTTGGCCCTGCTGCCTGCCTGTCAGGGCGGCTGCAGCTGCTGCGCGGCCAATTTGGAACCATGTCACAAGTGCGGCTGTTTGGCAATCTCTCCCTCTCAACCTCAGCATTGTTGCATGAGTGACGTCCTGAATCATACAAACACTCAGCATGCTGATGAGTGCAGGTGCTTTTCATGATGAGGCGGGTGTTGGACAAGCAGCTGGTCTCCTACAACTCCCGATCAAGAGGATATGATTTGCTGCCTGAACCTCATCAGCTGGACAATCAGCATGTCGGAATGCTCCTGCCCGCAGTCATTGCACTTCAGGTAAAGCCCCTGTGAAATAGCCATTTGCGCCAAAAGTACATTCCAGCAATTCTTTATAAATTGACTGCTTATCTTGGTTCCACAGGTGCTCAGCACGAAGCCCAAGGGTGTCTGTTTGAATGACACCCGTGTGACGAGACCAAATTTGCATGCAACGACACCACCTGCATCTGAAGGGCTGATCAATGGTGGTTCTCAGCCAGAGCCTATATCACCTCAGGTAAGGCCTTGTCGGGCTTGCTTGAAGTCAGCTCTCTATATTCTGTCTCAGGCGTGACCTTGTCGCAAGTTTTATTTCTGGAACTGCTTACATGACCTCTGTTGAGGCATGCACATGCGTTCATTTATTTCACACTGTGCAGGAGCTTTTGGATGGCTTTCAGGAAACTCAGGTGGCCTATCTGGACCTTTCCCTGTATCCCACTGCAGCTCTGCAGAGTGCAGGGCCAGGATCGTGCGTAGCAGGGGTACTCAAATTAATGCCTGGCATGTTTGGCACACCATCACAGGTACTGGGCCCACACTTATCAAGCATTTGGCGTGCTCCGAATGCAACCTGATCAGTTTGCAAGTTTGCTCACACTCTTTCAGGGATGCAACAATCTGAGCATGACTCTCATCTATTCCAGGTGATCTTCACGGTTCCTGCAGCTCGTGCACTTCAACTGTCTCAGTTCAACGAGGAGAGTGATAGATACGAATCGTTGGCCGAGCCTCTACAGCTGGATGCCAGCAAGCTGACAGTCATGCTGCCGATGCACAAAGCCACGAATATCATCACGCTGGATTTGCGCGGCCATTGCCTCAACTGACATTAGGCTGGCCTTGGAAGATCCAATCATGCCAATATGCATGTTTGCATGGCGCTCTAAAACCGAAACGCTGAAAGACTTTTCCAAGTTAAGGCAAGAAAGTGGTGCTCCAAGCGTGATCCCGGGCAGACAGTGCCACGAGCTGGATTTTGCTGTGAGGATGTCTGACTGGCTCTAAAGACTTCTGAATATGCCACAATCTGCAATGCCTGCTGTGCTGTGCACTGCTGAGATATCATTGCTAGGATCAGCCTCTGCCGTGCCAGCTTGACAGGGCTTTGCTGAGCTGTGCGGCAACATCGATTTTGAATGGCTCAAGTTTCCCCTCGTACTCCTCTGCGCACCCTGCTAAACAGTTTGCCAGCTTGTCCTGCACAACAAGGAGCAATCTTTCTGGTGCTCAAGTTGTTAAATTGGAGCTTAAATTAGAAAGCGCAGATGTAAACCATAGCCAGACATGTTACAAGCGAAGGGCGGGGGTCAGAAATGTGTGCAGGACCTGTGCCTTGAAGATATCCTTCTCAGTAGGATTTGGTGGCACAGACTCCTGCGCAAGGTCCTGGCATCGCTCCATGCATCTTTGCATCCTGGCCTGCAGGTTTAAAAGACAGCATGGCGTTGGGGCAAATCTTACAACCTTCATACGGTCTCCGGGGCCATGCGGCAATTCTCAGGCAGTGGTGGGCAATGAGCAGTACCTGGAACTCCTGCATTTTGCTCTCAATGAAGGTCTTTGCAGCTTGTGCGCGCTGCTGACAATTGTCCAGACTGTCCGTCATGAAGGAAGCTGTTAGATTCTTAGCCCAAGGTTCCCAAATGGTGTTCTCTCAGCCATCTTCACATGATGGGCCATCAAATGGCACTGCCCGAATGATTGCACACTATTGCAATACCACATGTCTCACCAAATCTGTAGCTCCCTTTCATTTCTGATGTCGCAGCATGCTGCTGAGCATAAGAAGCTCTCCTTCATCAGCGGGTTAAGATGCTTATGCTGGAGCTCTGCAACCATCTTCTGCATCGCCTGCAGGCACGATATACAGTATTAATTATATATTTATCGCCGATGCTTGCTCACAACCAGACAACGCCACACAGATCGCGATAAGTAGTGACAAGGACGACTCACGATCTGCCAGAGATGGGATCTCCCAAACGGCAAATTATGATCTCCATACAGCCAATCTAACAATAAGTATTCATTTGTGCATTGAAATTCAATTCTTGTGACTGATCATGCATCTGGCCGACAGCGGCAAACTAGGTATGCAAACCTTCTGGTAGCGTTCCGCTTTCTCCTCTGGCCTTGCCATTGTGATAAGCGCGCTTTTCGTACCACCCAGTGTCACAATGCGGCAGCGTCAGTCCAACAGTCTATTATCAAATGTTGGAGCGATCAGTCTGTATTCTGTATTTGTCCACGTGTCAGTGCTGCACCTGTTCTCACGTGCCATCATTGAGCTCCAGGGTGCAGACAATAGGGTGCACGTTATCAAGAATAGGACTCCTGCTTTCCTTCATGGCATGTCATGTCTTACAGCATCCTTTAAAGCTGGGGGACCAATGCTAAGGATGCCTTTCATCGCAACGGCACCAGTGTACTCGATTTCCTCTCGTTATTGCAAGACAGGAATGTATACACTGAAGTACAGGTATGTATATACTCAAGGAGCCACACAGGGAACTGGAACAATGGCATGTCTTCCAAAGCTCACCAAGCTCACAACTAGTACACACACAAAAATTCATCGACCTGGCTGACCCGGCTGACCCGGATGCTGTGACCTGGCAACACATGTGCAAGCATTCATTCCTGCACAAGTCTCTCCACCCATCAACATGTCCCTGCATTCCACGGCTATGTGAACTCATCCAGGTCTTCGCCAGTGATCTCGTTGAACAGGGCCGTTAGCTGCCGCAGCTGCGCGGCAAGCAGGGGCTCCGAATGCTCCTTCAGCTCGTGAATGTGCTGCTGAGCCTCTGCGATGCGCTGGGCGTACTCCTCGCGCATGCGCTCCAGCATGGCCAGCATCACCGCCACAGCACGGCTGCGCTCTATTGCATCCTCACTGCGCGTCGCGTTCCACACCTGCCCGAACAGAAACTTCTGCCTCAGTAACTCGCCACACAGACATCTGCTGATCAGGGCGCAGCTGTTACAGGCACTGCAAAGGGCAAGGGAAATGCAAGATCATGTGGTCCTGCGCATGCGGGGAAAGGGAGGTGAATGGAAATTGCACGCGCGAGCTGAAGGCCGCAGAGGCCTGACATTTAATACAACATGAGTGAAGATTGTTGGGCTCATAATTATCCCTAAAAAGCAGGATGTTGTGATGTCAGGGGCACCTGGTGATTGAAGGGCGTCCAGAGGGCGTCAGAGCCGCAGGAGGCACCCAGCTCCACCAGAGCATCCACAGCCGCCCTGCCAAACACCGAGTCCTGGGCCCTCCAGCCGGCCGTCGCATCAGCGCCGCTGCCAGGCGCGACTGATGAGGCGTTCCCTTCCTCGCCAGCCAGCAGCAGCAGCGCGTCCTCGGATGGGAACGCCCCCAGCTGGGCCACCAAGGCCGGCAGGATGTGCCGGAAGCGGTCCTCGTCCACAAACTGCACGCTGTCGTACTGGAAGCACGTCCGCAGCGACTGCAGCACCTGTTCGAACAAAGCACGCCATCTCAACATGCCTTCGACACAGAGAAAGCCAAGCTGGTAGCGGCAAGCCATGCTGTTGTTCACCCGTGCGCGATATGACTTTCTGCAGGTGCTGGTGGCTACCTCTGAGCCCTTTACAGTTTGAGAGTGTGAATGTTGCAGGGGGTAGAACAGAAGGTCACCATCACCTGCATGTTTTTCTCTAAAGCTTTGCAGGTACGTACCAACTAAGCGAGAATCTCTGCGTGCAGCCCCAAATGACAAGGCAGGGGCAGAGACTGAGAAAGCTGCGTACCCTGAACCGCAGCAGCCAGGTGTTCTGCGCGACGCCGGCATCCGCGCTGACCACATCGCCGACGGGCTCGATGGCCTTGCTCTTCCGGCGCTTCTTCTTGGGCTGCGAGGCCTCCTGCGCCTGCCCGGTCAGCACAGTGACGGCGCCGTCCAGCACGTAGCGGAAGTAGGGCACAAACACCGACCGCAGTCGCTCCGTCAGCGCGTGAATCACGCCGTACAGCACGATCTGCCGCCCCAGCGGCTGCACATCTGCACATACCCACCAGGCACAACGTCAAAACACTCGCTTAGCTTGGTATAGTGGACCTCTGCACATTGTGTGAGCCAGCTTCACGTGCGAGAATATGTCAAATTGTGAGGGAGGTTCACCTGGCTGGCCGGCCGGGGGAGTGGATGCCCAGGTGAGCAGCCGCAGGAAGAGCGGCTTGAACTGCTTCTCGCTCAGCTTCATCGTAGCTGCCACGAGGGTGGCGGTGGCCGCTCGCTCCACCGCGGTCGCATCGGTGGAGGGCACGCCGCCGCGCTGCCTGACGTCCAGCGCCTGCTGCAGGAAGCCGAACAGCGCGTCCGCGTTAGCGGCCGCCGTCGCGGGCTGCATGGCCGCCACCGCGCGCTCCACCATCTGCAGCAGCGCCCTCGCCGGAGCCGCGCCGCCCTGCGCAGACAGCAATGTAAGTGTCAGACACAGCAGCTGACACCTTCAATTACAGTCCATGCAGTCAGGACTAGGAGCACCCTGCTTATTAAAGACAAACAAAGGCAATACTGACAAGAATGTGGTAAGAATCTACACTAACAGGCATGCCTCTTGGAATGATTCTCTTTGCATTTTCAAGGCCACACCAAGTAGTCCAAGATTGCTCAGTTCATAGACCCAATCACTGTCACCTGTGAGACTGCTCTCACTGTCCCACATGGAAATTGCCTAAAAACTAAAAAGAAATGCCAACGCACCTGGAGGGCGGTGTTGAGGTGGCCGAACAGCGGCGGCAGCAGCAGGCGCGGCGGGACGGCGTCGGCCAGCACGCGCCAGGCGTGCGCGGCCGTGGCGGCGACGGCGGGCGCCCGGCACGCCAGCAGGCTGCGCTGCAGCACCAGCTCCAGCACGCGCGGCAGATAGGGCGCCAGGAACGCCCCCATGCCCGCGGCCAGCGCGTCCAATGCCGCCAGCGCGCTCGCCGTCTCGACATGCAGCGCCTCGGCCGACGCGCCCGACCTCCGCCTCTCCTCATTCTGCTCGGCCACAATGCCAAAACTCAGCTCCTAGCTATCGTAGGCAAAAATTAGAATGATACATACTTTGAGTGCGCATGCTGGCGACCTGCTAACACCACAGGTAGCTAGGTGAAACAGCCTGAATTGAAGAGGCAAATTTCAATGCAAGGATTACGATTGCATATCAAGGTCCAGAGAGATTTCAAGGATGTCGAACGCACCGCGTTACGTGCTTTGGCTTTGGGGGCGGGCTGCGCGTCATCTGCGGCTGCCAGAGCGGTGCCTGCAGCCTCCACAGCCGACAGCACGGATGTCACGAGGGGCACCAGCTGCGGCAGCGCGCGAGTGCCCAGAGCCGCGGTGCACGCGGCCACGGTGGCAAGCGCGCTGCTACGCACCGGCCGCTGCGCGTCCCGGGTGGCGGCCAGCGCGCTCGGCAAGGCGGCCAGCAGCAGGTCGGGGCGATCCTTGCCACATGCACTCGCCACACTGCTGAGCGCGAGCAGTGCGGTCTGCCGCACTCCGGCGCTCTGGTCAGCCGCCAGCAGCCGCGGCAGCTGCTCCGCCACCACCGAAGCTGCTTCGGCCGCCGTGGAAGCGGCCGCAGATGCAGCCTCCAACCTGCATAGCAATAAAAATGATGTCATCATTATGCGCCCAATAATGAACATATGTTGTCGCATAAACAGGGCTCACCGGACTTGTCTCATTCTTGATGATTTAATGCAAGTTTTCATGATTGGAAGGTCAGTTATATATAGCAGGTCAAGCTGGCACCCTAGTATCCAGTGAATTAGAAGCACATTGCATGGGAAGGAGCATACCCTGGTTGGTCATCGTCCTCGACAGCTTGCAGGGAATTCATCCTGGAGGTGAATAGGCGCAGCGCGCGGCGGCGCAGAGGCTGGCTATCGTGCTGCGTCAGGCTGACCAGGCCCTTGAGATAGTCCGCCGCTGGCATGGCATGCTCCAGAGCATCCAGCAGCGCTGTCATGGTGTCCTCGGCCTCTCCTTTGCTTATCTGCTGCACAGACAACACAGTGCCGACTAGTGTTAAAGAAGCCCCGTTGAAAGCCGATATCAAACACTCTCTTCGCACTGACATGCAGCTTGCCTGAAGCACAGTCAGAGGGTGCTCCCTCACCTAACCTACAATATGGTTACTTTGCAGCTACCAATGATACAGATGTTGCAAACGCAGTGCTCACCTGCATTCTCTCCGTGGCAGTCTGCATGAGCTGCACCAAAGCTTGCCGGACATCGGGCTCCATGGCACCTCCACTGCTCTCCACCAGCGCAGCCAATTGGTCAGCGATGAATCTGAGCACCGCCGCCTGCAGCTCTGCAACCCTGTCCTCTTGCACACACTCCTCCAGCGTGCCCTGAAGGGCCTGGAGCCTGGTCACCCACGGCGCCTGCAAGACCACAGAGACACAATTGTAGTCCCCAATGCAGGACTACAAAATCAAAATAGAGCTCTTAGTTCCATGAAGCAAGCATGTGTTGGATTACAGATCTTATGTGGTGCACATGTGGTCATCACAGAACTGAAGCCTCAGCACGATTATTAGCATCAAAGAATTCAGCCTGACGTGCAATCGTAGGTCATCATCGGCTTCAGTGTGGAACACACACTTCTATCACCACTCTTGCAGGCAGTGACTTGACAATGACTCGCTCCAGCAGGATTGCATGAGGAAAGTGTTTTTCATAGCCCCCCAGGTTTGTTACCACACCTTGCTGCTGAGCGTGGCAGCTGTTGATAGCCACAAGTCCTCCTCGCTGGAGGCTTCCTCCCCACTGCCTTTGGGAGCCTGCACTGCCAGCTCCAGCAGGGCGGTGCACATGCTTTGCAGAGAAGACGCCTGCAGTCCAGATCGCCGTCAACCAACTCTTCAAGCTCAATGCCGTTTGTGCTAGCCACCCCACAAGCTCAAGATGTGTGCCCTGACCCATGACATGACACCCAAAACAGCTGCAGAAAGATTAGGAGACCCGAAGGTGTCTCACCGAGGACATCGGAGTCGAGAGGGCACTTAGGAGCGGCAGGCGCAACTGTGCAGGCACGCGCGCTGATGCTTTGACGACAAGCTGGATCAGCTCTGCTTCTTCATGGCCGGCAGCCACCCAGGCAGCTGCAAAGGCTTGCAGGACGCGAGCACTGGCCTCCGCAGAAACCGCGTCGGCCTCCTGTTCTATTGTGCTGGCTTGCGCAATGACCACCTGCAGGCCCAAGACAGTGGATATCATCATGACAAGTACTGCACAAGAGGACGATGCCCATGCCCACCCAAAACTTCAGAGCAACGGTTTGGCTAGATCAGGAATGATAACTAGCTCACATACACTGCTAGAAAGCAGAGGGGAGCAAATGTGGACTGCGCACCTCGAGAACGTGCTCAAGGGTGGAGCGAGGCAGGACGGAAGCCAGCTGGGCCAGCAGGGTGAGGGCGGCGGTGCGAGCCAGGCTGCCGGGTGCTTCGCGAGCGCACTGCAGCACCAGCTCCAGATCCACGCGGTCAGCAGCGCCTTCATGTGCATGCCTGGCGGCCACCAGCTGCAGAGCGCTCAGCGCCAGCTGTAGCGCATACGCTGCCGCCACAGGCCTGCATATCATACAGTCGCACTTATTTATCCTTCCAACAAACTTGCTTTCTCTGGTGCATAACCAAGCAGAAGTATCGAAATTAGTCGACAACACATTGGGAAAGCCTCGGTTAGTAATTCCTGCATACCTCGAGGACGTTTCTTCTTCGCCCACGGTGGTTGCTGGGGCTGCCTCGCGGGCAATCGCAAGCAGGTAAGGCAGTAGCGAGCTGAGAGAGCCCACCAGCTGCATGCCATCCTGCACATTTGCCTTCCACTGCAGCAGCTCCAGCACAGCGACACAGTCATCCAGGGAGCTCGTTCTGCCGGCTGCCGTCTCCGCTGCTGCGCGGGCCTTCTTGGCTGGGGTGCGCGGCGGCGCAGAAGGCTCCATGGATAGGATGTCTGCCAGGGACGCCGCTGAGACAGGCGCGTCTGCCAGTGCCCGGTGAGCAGCGGCGCGGCATGCCTCGTCAGAGTCGCTGGATGATGCATGCAGCATAGCCTGCGCACAGCATTGGCTCTGCCAGTGAGCGTCCGAGCCAATCTCCAAGCTGTCGCGTGAGTAAATCAGTACATTTACTTTTTCCTATTTTGCGGGCATGCCGAGTGATTGCAAAATAGCACGCGCTGTGCAGTAATCCCAGCGTGCAAAGGCGCTTTATGCCAGGGAGAGAAGCTCGTTCAAAGCAGGCTCACCAGAAGCAGCTGCACTTGCGAATCTGCAGGAACAGCAGCATACAAAGCGGCTGACAGCTGGACAAGCGCCCTTTGCTTGACGGCTGTGGCGCTGGGCTCTGCCCCTGTGTCAGCTGGCCGAAGCGTGATGACCTTCAAGAGGACCTCCAAAGGGCTGTCAGCCGACTTTGGTGTGCGCTTGGGGTGCTCTGTCACCCCTGCCAGGGCCTCCGCTGTGTAAAGGTCTAACAGATCACGGACCAATCGCAGTGCTGCACCATTCACCTGCATTGCCAGACAGAGGGGTCTAAATCAGCATACCACCTATCAGATCAGCACATCCTGCACTCTTCAGAAGTTCGATTTATACAGTGATGCCCATCTCTAGAGGAAGCAACACACCTTCCATGCATCTGTTGCCAGGTAGCGGCTCAGCAGCAAGCTGCCGGCATGCAGGCCCGCAGAGGCCTCAGCAGAGGGAGCGATGCACTGCAGCAGCAACAGCGCCGCTGAAGCGCCGGCCTCACCATGTTGCTCAGGCAGGATAGCCAGAAAGTACTCTCCCACAGCTGTAGCGGCTGCGCTGGACAGGCCAAGGGACGACCTGCATTAAAGACCTCAAGTGAGCATGCTGAAAATCTCAACCTGCTCTTAAATCAATGGAACAGCATCAGCTCTAAAACAGGACGCATGAAACCAAGGATCACCCGTTCTTTGCTGCAGCAGAGGCCTTGCCGCGCTTGGGGCTTTTCACTGCGCTGCCGCCTCCATTCTGCTGTGCATGCCGCAGCGCATCCTGCAGCAGAGAAGCGAGCGCCCTAGGGTCGGTCTCGAGCACCTCTCGCTGCTGTGTGACGGCCGCCACCAGCTCAGCGAGGTGCGGCTGCGCCAAAATCCCATGGGCATGGCTCCCACTGAGGCTGGAGGCAGCCGGGGGCAGGGCGACCAGCGCGGCGGCGCGCACCGATCTGTGCGCACTGCCGATGGCCGCGAGGAGGCGCGGGAGCACGCTGTGGAAGGCGGCCGTGGCGTCCGCGGCCTTGTGAGCCTTCCGTGGCGCAGCGAAGCGGGAGCCGAGCAGCTCCAACGCACGCCCCTGCATTCCAGCTGCACTTTTGAGGGGACGAACGAATCACATTGCCCAAAGTGATTTTCCTCACTTCCGAAGTTCCTTTCTAAGGGATCTGGCAGTACAATGGAACTATCACACAGTGGGCCAGCAAGCCCTCGGCAACATACCTGCATGTCAGCTGAGGCCGTCCCATCATCTCCATGGACGCCAAAGATGTCCGAGAGGAACACCGCAGGCGAGCCCTGGCCGGACACTGCCTGCACGAGCGCACTCAGGTGCACATCGTACGCCTGCAGCGGAGAGAGGCCGGCTATGCGCCGGAAGAGTGCGTGCGGCCCGCCCGCCCATTGCTCGAGCACTTCTGGGCCCGCATGCTGCAGAGCCACCAAGAGGGCGTGGCGGCGCAGGGCTCTCTGAGTGTCCTGTGGCGCCCTGGCGAGCACTGAGAAGTGCTCATTGGACGGCAGCCCGTCGTCCGTGAAGTGCGCTGACATGTCAATCGCTTTGGCTGTGTTGTCGCCGCTCAGGGCAGCAGAGTCTGCCAGCAGCACCTTCAGCAAGGGGGTCGCCGCAGGTGTCCCTGTGCATGCGATCAGGTAAATGCATGAATTGATGTCTCAATTCTTGTGCTGGTCACCCGCTCCGCAGAGAAACAGTAACCCTGGAGTGAAGAGGCCAAAGATGCGTTGCGAGGGTGGTATTTGAGCTGCGTACCTGGCTCAGCTGCCTGTGAGCATGCATGGCACAGGGCCAAGAGCAGCACATGCTGCGCGTTGGCATGGCCAGCTGATGCCATTGTAACGATGTCCTCAACATGAGAACTGTCTTGCAATCCTTTGGCAATGGCAGCAATGATGCTCCTGTTGGTTGGTAGGTCATCGCCTGGCTTCTGAAGTGCTTTGGTGACAGACTCCTTGGAGCTGGGACTCTTCTCTCCTACAGACTCAACCTCAACACTCTCCAGACCTGCATGGCACATCACAAATGATAAAGAACAGGTCCGATCAAGCAGAATATACACATCAAGGACATAAATGCAGAGCCAGATGAGCACCTGCTAGCGGTGGGAAGTCTTGCTTCTTCAGAGCTTTGAGAGCCACCAGGGCGAGCTTCCGCTGCATGGGCAGGAGGAGGACGTCGTCCAACAGCAGCACAAGCACTCGCTGCTGATAGGCTGCATGCTGTCGGAGGAATGGCCCCGCCAGGAGCTTCAACACCTGCCATCATTCCAACACTCTCATCATGGAAGTTTTACAGCACATTTGAAAACAGACCACCCTTGATTTACAGGAAAACTTAGATCTTCCACTGCGCAAGGATCATTGCTCACCTTCTTGGCTATGCCCATCGGCCCTGAACTGTCAGCTGCTGCGCTGCGCAGTGCAGCTGTGGCCCGCTGCAGAGAGGCGCTGAGGCCGTCAAAGAGCGCCGCTGCAGGGATGCTCATGAGCAGGGGTGACTCAAGCACAGCTAACACGACACCGGCATCATCATCTGCCAGCCGCCGCAGCAACACATCCACAGCCCAGTCATCACCAGCATTGCCCTCACCGTCTGCTGTCTTTTCAAGCTGCATGACGGCCTGCAAAGCATGCACATTATGTCTATTGAGCCACTGCACCCTCATGGAGCACTCCTCGAGTCCAGAGCATACTCAGAAGTCCTTTTTGCTTGTAGCCCTGTGTCAGAAGAGTGCAATAGGGATGCCGAAAGACTGACCGTGCGCCGCAGCTCTGCAGAAGGGGCGTCAATCGCATGTGCCAGGGTCGCGCTCGCATCAGGGAGCGGCTTGCGAGCGCTGCGCTTGTCCAGGGCTCCAGTCACAAAATCCAGCACTCTCCTGGCTGCCTTCACCACCTCGTCGTCCCCATCATCTCCCTCTGCTGCATCATCCCCCTTCTTCTTGTTCTTCTTCTTGCCCTTGCCCAGAGGCGCCAGGGCCTTGTTGACAGCTGCATCAACCTGATTTGGGTAGCGGATGTCCAACGCCCTGTGGCACAAATGGTACCTTTTTGCATAAGAGCATTCCTTACAATGACCACACAAAAAATGACATCCCAAGGAAGAATGTCAGCAAACAGCGAGAAACAAACAAGCAAGTTTGTAAGATAGCAAATCACCTCATGATCTGCTGCATTCCAGGTAACGCTTCCTTGTTTGCTGTTTGGAAGGCGTGGAGCAGCTTTGTGGCTGCAGCTTCGGCGTGCTCAGCCATAGGCACCTCGGCAATGATGTCTTGCAGCAATTTCTGATGGGCCTCAGCACTGTCCTCGGCGGCGATCAAACTCGATAGCAGACTCTTCAGCAGCGGAGCCATCTGTTTGGGCTTTGCTGCGAGCTCTTCTAGCAGTTTTGGCAGGCGCTTGATGTGCTGCATCATCAGCAGCTTCCTCTGACATATCCGTTGAAGCCAACAGGAAGAATATGACATTAAACAACGTGCACGCACGGACGAAACCTTTACAGGCATGAAAGGAGAGAATAACAAACCTTGAGTGTCTTTGGAGGCAAAGTTGCATGCCCCGCCTGACTCTTCAGCAATCCCGTCAGGAGCAGAAGCGCTGGCCCAACGGGACCCTCCTTGGCTCCCTTTGTGATCTCGACACACAGCACTGCAAACACAGCATCGCTGCTTGCTAGGCTTACATTACTCACTGAAAAAAATGCATCCATACCGTCCGACCCTTCGAATGAAATAAAGGTTTCAGAAGGCTTGTGTTGAAATGGGAGGGCCTCAGGGAATACAAACTGTAAAGAATTATCAAAGGGGCAAGCCCCTCCAGATTATGTTACTATCATCATCGGCGCCTCCCATGTGTTTTACTTTCAGAAAGAGCCCCCAGAGCGACTATAGCAGTGTCTTGCAGCGCACCATTGAACAGCTGAGGTGCAGGAGTGGATCGGCTGATGAGCTGCATGATGATCATGTAGGTCGCCATTCTCTGCTCCTTGGGACACGTGGCCTTCAGCCCATTCAGGATGAAGGGCAGCAGGCGAGCTATGGCGTCCTCAGTGACCTGCTTGCAAGCGCAGACATCGCGGGTCAGATCCCTGGGGCTGATGTGCTCTCCTCGTTTGATCTGCTCTCAGCGCTGTAACCAGAGGCATGCCATACCTTGGGCACAGCAGCGAGAACCTCGCAGATTACGACTCCGTAGAATGAGAGCCAGGAGGGTGACGCTGCCTGTTGGGCTGCCTGGCACACAAACTCCAGCAGGGCCGCATCGTTGCAGCAGCGCTGCACCAGTGTGCTGCGAGGCAACGGGGCCCCCGACTGCTGCATGGGCGCCAAGAAGGTCCACAGACTCTCAAGGCGCATGGTCTGGACAAGTCGGACAAACTGCAGAGTGGAGTGGAACGGCAGGGCGCAGCCCATCAGCGCGCTCACGTTGAATTCGTTCACCCTGCACGTCAGGCATATTTTCCCATCGGCGTCCCAGTAAGTGATACAGGCCCAAAGGAAGGCTTAGAGTAATTCCATCAAGGCCATGCTCAGGGAAAATCGCACACCTGTACTGGCGGATGAGGAACTCAAGGACCTTGGTAGTGGCATCCTTCAGAAAGTGTCTTGAGAGCAGGGTGAGCAGAGCAGAGAGGGACTGGTCCACTTTTTCATTGACCGCCTTGCTCTGGTGCTCCCGCTCAAGCCCCACACGATCCCTTCTAAATAAAGTGTTCAGGAAGGGCTTCAGGCTATCATCAGCCTGGCAGAGCTCCACCAGGCCTACATTTCCGAAAGCATGGTCAGTGGCTAGTCCAGCTTGTCACACCTCATAAGTCGTACAATGGACAGATTTGCATACTCACGTACGTGTACGATATCCTTGCACATTGTTGCATGCAAAAAACGATCGCACCTTGAAGAGCGATATCATAGATCGTCTGCAGATCGATGTCTGCCGCCTGGTGAGCCTCAAAGAGTAGAGAAGGCCTCCCCTTGCCTCGCAGGAGCGAGGTTCCTGGTTTCCCAAGAGCCTGCAGCTGCTGAGCGAGCATGGACGTCATCGTGTCTCGATCAGATGATAACAGGCCTCTCCACTATGTTTAGTGCGTTGTCGATGTGCAATGTAAGAATTTATATTTCACTAACAACGTCCTCGCATCACTAGACACTCCCATGCGCAGTGCAATGCACTCCAAAATTGCAAAAAGCTTGCTGAAGAAAACAAAAACGACGGCTCCGCCGCTCGGCATTCAGGTTCAGGGCAAGATGAGTCATGAGTCCTGAACAGGCCACCCCCGCGCAAATGAAGGCAGGACGGCACGAAGGAACGGTTGGTTTCCTCGTACGAGAGAGAAAGGGTTTTCGTGTCCAAGACGTTTCGGCCAGAAGACGGCTTCTTTCGTCAGGCCAGGAAGTTGAAAGCAGCGGCAACGGCGCTCTTGCTGGTTTGCATTGTGCACTAAACGGACAGGCTTGGCAGAGGGTGCCCAGCTTGCAGCGCTGTTGGGTGGACCTGGCATGAGAGGACATTAACAATAGGTGACCGAGATGTAACCATTTGTCTAAGAATTGCAAATTTGGAGGAGACCCGTTGAGAAGGGTTCTAGTAAATTGTACTTTGGTATCGTGACAAAAGAGGTGATAGAGGCGGAGACCAAGTCACGTGACGGTCAAGCTCTTATCAATATCAAGAAATATTTCTGTAGGCCAATGACCTAGTAGACATGAAGAACCATACCCGCGCTTCACCGTGTTTTATGAGTTTTTTGTGAGCAGATCTGGCCAGTTGGTCACGAAATTTGCCATTGGGTGCCTCGAAAGTCTCAATGGCATGCAAAAAATATTTTGTGTTGTGCTCGCACACCTCTCTTGGAAGTCTTGAGCAAGAGCAGATGTTTCCATGTGTGAATTTTCCTCTTTACCAGGGGTATTGCTCCCGTTTCTCTTTTCACATATAGCGTGTGCGCTCACCTCGTTATGTTCGCTCGCTCAACAGGTAAATGAGCATGTTTGGCCGGACTCGGCAGCTGAAGGATCCTGGCAAGAAGCCAGGCGGTGGATGGGTCAGCAAAAATGGCACCCAGAAGTCTGGCCAGGGCACCGCCAAGAGTGCAGCGGCCTGGAAACAAGACACCTTGGAAGGGCTTGAGAAGGGTTCACGAGTGTGGTACAAGGCTGGTGCGGACAGCTGGGTTTTGGGTACCCTGCTCACTCGCCAGGAGGAAAGCTGGAAGGTGGCATTGGACTCGGAGGCTGGAGAAGGCACAGGGCAGGTAGGCTCGTGTTCTGCTTGCAGCTCAGAAATAGCTGCCCATCCTGCAGTGGATTTCCGCGCAATGGGGCCATGCTCAAAGCATCTGCATCGAGATGGACAGCAAAGCATGGTAGACTAGCAGCGCATCATGACGTGCATATGTCCCTGATCTTGCCTATGCATTCGCAGTGGAGTTGGTATGGCTTGCACAGGCGTTTGCCAGAGTCTTGCATGGGCATGTCAAATACAGACAGTGGGGCTTTGACTGAGCCTTGACGCATCTTGATGCCCAGGTGATATCGTGCAAGCCTGATGTGCTGGTACCAGCCAATCCAGTGATCTTGGACGGCGTGCCGGACTTGACCGGCCTGACATACCTGAACGAGCCCTCCATCCTGCACGGCCTCAACCTGAGATATGCAGAGGACGAGATCTACACCCATGCTGGTCCAGTCCTCATAGCTATCAATCCCTTCAAGCAGGTACAATGCCCTTTGTTATTATATGAAGCCCAATTTGCATGCGTCCATATAGAGGCCATCCACATGAGGATTGTTGGCTTCTTAACTTACTGCAGCATACGTGGAAATGTCGGGTGCGTGACAATGAGCTTGAGCTGATGGTGTAATGCTCCCTGGGTGCCAGGTGCCGTTGTATACGGCAGAGATAGTGGAGCGGTATGTGACAAGAGGGACGCCGCGGGATGGGAGCGAGCAGCCGGAGCCGCACGTATTTCTCACAGCAGACACTGCCTACAAGGCAATGTGCCGCAGCGGGCTGAGCCAGAGCCTGGTCATCACCGGAGAGAGCGGCTCCGGCAAGACAGAGACCACCAAGATAGCCATGCAGGTCTGCTTCCTGAACATTGTTCACATGCACTCCATGCAGCTTGTATATTAAGATTTCGTAGGACAGGGGCATGCTCATGGTACCGTGTTGGTTGTACCTCTGGGCAATGTGCTGTCATGGATACAGGCTGACCAAGGGTGTTTGTGTTGGTGCACAGTACTTGGCTGGACTCGCTGGAGGCACAGGAGTGGAGGACGCAGTGCTGGCCACGAACCCGCTGCTGGAGGCGTTCGGCAATGCCAAGACGCTGCGGAACAACAACAGTAGTCGCTTTGGCAAGCTCATAGAGATCTACTTTGACAGGGGCCATCACATCTGCGGCGCGCTCATCCAGACCTACCTCCTGGAGAAGAGCAGGGTAGTGCATCAGCTGCCGGGAGAGCGCAACTACCACATCTTCTACCAGGTGATCTTTAATTTTCCCTCATTTATCTCACCTGGTCAGTCAGACACCATTACCACTTATCTCACTTGAGACAAGCAAGGTACCTATTTTTCTTATACCAAGCGAGCAACACAGAATTCGTCATATTTGTGGGCCCCAGCTCACTAGGGGTCCAGTCTCGGCTGCATGTCTGAAAGTGGTATTGGTGCTGTCTGCAGCTGTGCAAGGCGATGAAGGGTGAGCAGGCGGCGCAGCTGCGCATTCCACCGGACGCCCTGAAGCACTTCCGGTACCTGAACAGATCCGGCTGCACCACCATTGCTGGCACGGATGACGCTGCAGACTTCCAGCTCGTGCTGCATGCCATGGACGCCGTCAACATCGACAAGAAATCACAGGCAAGCTCATTCTTCTTGCACTGTTGATTCAACATTGGGTCTTCCCTACCGCCTCACCCTGCCCCTCCTTTCAGTTGGATGAGGATCTTGAGGGGAGGGGTGTGCTGTGCGCTGAAGCAGTCTTTCCTACCGATTAAGCATGTCTGGCAGCTATTCCTTTCATACTTGGATGATGTGCTTTGGGGAGAGAAGTGCTCTTTAGTGAGCAGGCAGGGTGGCTGCACAGGGCCTGGTGTGGATACTGCTCTCCGCGATTCTTTGGCTGGGCAACATCGAGTTTGACAGCGCCGGAGATGACAGCGTGACGGTGCGGCGCGACGAGGCGCTGATTAACGCGGCCGAGCTGCTGAGCGTGGACGAGGACGAGCTCGCCACCGCTCTGTGCGAGCGCACGCTCAGCGCCGGTGAGACGGCTGTAGACCCCCGAGTGGCCTTTACACATGCACAAGAAGCTGTGGTCGTGGCGGCATGCATCGATCTATTTACATGCCCACGACCTCAAAGATCACAGAGCTGCAGTCGCAACTGATCAGCAGGATGTGTTTAGCACGGGCAGAGGCATTGCTCCCGGGCTCCTTACCGGCAAGAGCACCCGCTCCCCTTGCACGTGCAACAGCAAAGCAATGCTCTGAAAGCGGCGTCAGTGCCGCCAGTCTCTCTTCCCGGGAATGTGAAGAATTGCAAGGGGTGGTGAATAACGGGGGGCACGGAAATTGTGGGCTGACGTCGGCAACATGTGGCGGCAGGTGGGGAGACGATCCAGCGGCGGCTGCGGCTGGACGCGGCGGAGGATGCGCGCGACGCGCTGGCCAAGGCGGTGTACGCGGCGCTGTTCCGGTGGCTGGTCACGCGCGTCAACGCATTCCTGGCCGTGGGCAAGAAGGTGTCCGGCACCAGCCTGTCCATCCTGGACATCTACGGCTTTGAGTGCTTCATGGAGAACAGCTTCGAGCAGCTCTGCATCAATTACGCCAACGAGCGCCTGCAGCAGCAGTTCAACAGGTGCTGCAATCCTCCCAGCCATGGAAGATCCTCCTTGTCTGATCTGCATTGGAATCCACTATTTTAACTATGCTTTTTAATACTCAAAAGCTAAGAAATGAGAGGTGATTCTGGGGCGGCTACTGGCATCATCAAACCTTGACAAATTGCATACCAGGCCTTAAAGGGATTGGTGGCTGTTTTATTCAGCTGTGGTGTGGTGTTGGGGCCAGGCACCTTTTCAAGGTGGAGCAGGAGGCGTATGAGAGCGAGGGAATCGACTGGGCGCATGTGGACTTCGAGGACAACCAGGACTGCGTTGACCTGCTGGAGGCGCGGCCACCGCGCGGCACCGGCATCCTCTCCCTCCTCGACGAGGAGTGCCTCTTCCCCAAGGTCCGCCAATTTCCTGCCGCCTGCCCTTCCCCTGGTTTTTGGCTTGTTGGCAAGTGCTCTCAAGGTGGAGTCCTCTCGAGGCTCACCTCGGCTGCACTTCTGCAGATATGTCGCACTGGCAGGGGGACAAGTTACGGCAGGAACCAAGGTGGAAGCCGGTGTCCGAGTTGGTAATGAGAGGGCAAGGGGATGCAAAGGGCGGATACTCAATAAATGGCTTTTCCTCTGGACTCAGTCACCAGGTGGCCTCTAGTAATGGCACCCTATTGAAGTATGCAGAGCAATGCGAAAGTTAGAACTCTGATCAAGGGGGACTGGTTTGTGTGCGCAGTCCACGGACTCCACATTTGGCGACAAGCTGCGGCAGCAGCTGAGGGACCACGCTTGCTTTGGCTTTGACCCGCGCATCCCCTCCCTCGACTTCATCGTGCACCACTACGCCGGTGACGTGCTCTACTCCTGCGACAAGTTCCTCGACAAGAACCGCGACAGCCTCAGCCCAGGTGCTGCCCTCCTGCCCTCCATCCTTCTCTGCACCAACACACTTATGCTGAGAACCTGTCAGCAGCAACATGCAACTCCTGCCCTGCAGTCTGCCATTCGCATGCTAAGCATTGAGCTCGCGTCCTGAGCATGATTTTTCCTGTAGAGCATCTCTGTATTGAGGGCTGTTTTTTGTCTCCTGCAAGTATACTAAGTGGTGTTGGGTTGTGTGCTGCCGAGCACTTCTGCATGGATATCTGTGCATGATGTGTCCTGAAGATTAGTTCTGCATAAAGGGCTGTGCATGATGACATTGACTGCCAAGGAGGCACACATGATGGGCTGACTTTTGGGTGTGGCGGGGGAGCAGACCTGGTGATCTTGTTGGAGGGCGGCGGCAACCAGCTGGTGTCGCAGCTGGCAGAGGACATGGCGCACGACCAGATCAACCGCACCTCCTCCACCACCGTTGGCGCGCGCTTCCGCGAGCAGCTGCGCGACCTCATTGCCCGCCTCGACCTGTGCGCTGCTCCCTCTTCTCTCAACCAAGCCAAGCCGTGCAGACGCCCTGGAATGCTGGAAGGACTGGTGTTAGCTCCAAAGTCGGGGATGATTGAAGGGACGAAAGGATCATTGCATGCATGACACCTCATGGCTAGACTGCAGTCATGCCACTATGATGCGCCGTTTTGGGGTCCCCTGGGGCCCCCGGCCTTTGTTGGCGTGAAGGACAGAGATGGCGGGTAAAGTGGTGAGTGTCCTTACGTTGTCGCGTGCAGGACGGAGCTGCATTTCGTGCGCTGCATCAAGCCCAACAACGAGCAGGCGCAGGAGGACTACGACGCAGCGCTGGTGCTGCACCAGCTGCGCTGCTGCGGCATCACTGAGGTCGCGCGCATCGCCCGCGCCGGCTACCCCACCCGCTATGCGCACGCTCAGTTCGCCCACCGCTACTCCGTCCTGCTCGGCAACAAGGCCCCTCGTGCGCCCCTGTCCCCGCACCTTCTGACAACGGTTCCATCTTCTAAGTTTTAAGGGCTTTACATCTCAGCCCTGTTGGAGGAGCTGAAGGCTCCCGCCACGCAGCAGAACTTCTTTCAGCTTTTGTGTGGGCCCGGATTGCCTGCATATTGAGATGTTTAGAGATCTGACAGAGTTTGGGAATGTTGTCACAGGCAAGGGGGAGGCGGTGCTGGACACGTGCAAGGCGCTACTGGCCCAATTTGGCGTCAAGCCGGAGCAGTACCAGATCGGGCACACCAAGCTCTTTTTCCGTGCCGGCGTGCTGGGCCAGCTGGAGGACGCAGCCACCCGCATCAACAGGTCCCGCCTCTTGAGCCCTGTTCTCTTCCTTGCCTCATCACCCAGTTTTTCTCCCTGGCCCATTGCACCCTAATAGAGCACCGTAGCCGTCCCGTTCGCTGACAGTCCAATCTGATGCGGTGCAGGGCGGTGCTGATGATCCAGAGCTACAGACGCATGCTGCCGGTACGGCGCAATTTCGTGGCCAAGCGCTGCGCGGCGGTGCAAATACAGGCGGCCGAGCGCGGCCGAGTGGCGCGCCGCGACTTTGCGGAGCTCAAGCGCCGCCACGCAGCCGCCACGCAGCTGCAGGCGCGCTACCGCGGCCACCGCGCGCGCGTCGACTACCTGCGCACGCTGCGCGCCGTTCTGGTGCTGCAGATCGCGTTCCGCCGCTGGCAGGTCGCCCGCCGCGTCGCGGCTCGGGCGTCCGAGCGCGCCGCCCGCGAGGCCGAGCTCGCCAAGGTGGCGGCTGCCGAAGCGGCCGCACGCGCCGCCGAGGAGGCCGTCGCCGAGGAGGCCCAACGCAAGGAGCGCGCCAGCTTCACCGCCATCAAGGCGCGCATCCGTCCTGCTGCTCGTAGCACAACCTGCTGTGATCTCTCGTACCATGATGTAATTGTTGCTCCAAAAATGCCTCAAGAGTCTTGAAAGATTGGAGGCTACTGTATTACTTACCAGCAAGGAAGTCTGGGTGGGTAGGAGTTCAGGATGGTGTGATGGTGGGCTTGATGCTGCTGTGCCCAACATGTGATTCAGTCTTGACCCTGGGTTCGTGCGTATATGCCATCTAAGCCAGCAAGGGGTTGCTGATCGTCTGCAGAGCTGGTGGGGCTGACAATGGGCTGCGCGTGTGCAACAGGACGAGTTTGGAGTGGAGCAGGACGACGTATATGAAATTGTGGCAGCCTGGCACGACCATGCGGCGGACGTGGAGGAGTATGTGGCGGTGCAGGAGGAGTTTGGAATGGACGCCAAGGGCATCCGCGAGGCGCTCGAGGCGCATCGGCGCCAGAAGAAGGACCTGGACGACTACGAGGCCCTGCGCAGAGACCTGGGCATGGACGCGGAAGGCATGCGCAAGGTGAGAGTGCCCGCTCTCTGACATCTGACACACTCTCTCCCCAGAGTTGTACATCCAGGCTTTGGTTTTGACAGAGGTCCAGATAAAGGGAAAAGAGTGTAGAAAATATGCTTAGTGACAGTCTTCTTCAGCATGCCCCCCGGCTGCTCTGCTGGGCAACACTGCTTGTTTGATTTTGTCTTGCAGACATTAGGCATGCAACGGGAGTTAAGACTGCAGGTATTTCAGGCATTTTCCAGAGTCCAAAGTTTGGGGCCTGACTGGGGGTCACGTATGAACATGTGAAACATGGAAGGAAAGCAGAAATACAAAAGTGGACAGGGAGGCTGACTCGGCCCTCACCATGTGCGCGCAGGTGCTGACGAGCTGGCAGGCGCACGGCGCCAAGCTGGAGGCGGTGAGGGCGGAGTTTCAGACGGACCCGCAGAGCATGCGCGACATCCTGCGCCTGTGGCAGCGCCACGGCCACCAAATCAACGCCTACCTGGAATCCGGCGAGGCTCAGGGCCTGCAGAACGGCGCCAAGGGCCTCCCGGAGGTCCGGGGTGCCCCGGACACCAACGGTGCGTGACCCTTTCTCATATCCACCCTCCCTTTTGCGAGAGTTGAAGGTCACATGTTCATGAAAAATAAATTACCAGTTTGTACAATGCATAAGGGGACTGAAGACTGCAGGGTGTAGTCTTCAGCACCCTCTGCAATGCTGGCTTCTGTTGCCAGCTCTTTAATATCGATCTGTCCCACCTCCTATGCACTGCTACTTGCAAAGATTTTTCCTATCAATCTGTTGTAGTTGCGGCAAGAACGGCAGGCGACTCGTGGCATTTGGCCATACTGCATGGCAGACTATCAGCGGACAAATTGAGATGCAGAGTGGATCACAGGCGAGTCCCCAGAGCTGGGCGTGCCGACGCCGCAGAAGGTGGCGATGCGCAGCACGACCATCGCAGAGGAGCCCGAGGAAGAGGACGCAGCCGCCTCCGGCGCGCGGCCGCAGGTCCTCTCCGCCTCCGCCTGCCAGCAGGTGCGAGATGTTATTATTACACGTTTTCCAGTTCCTAGGCATCTAGGATCTAGGTACGTCCAGCAACACGTGTCTCAGATTTCTCCATTGTGTGCGGTCATGGCACTTTCTTCACCAATGCAATGACAACCCAATGGACTCCAAATCCTCCCTTACGTAATCATTGTCAGCTCTACGTAATTATTCGAGATATTTGCCATCCTACAACCCAATATGCTGTTTATCGAGTGACGACTATGTAGGAGATGCAACCCAATTCCCGGGCCTGTCTGCTTGTCAGTGGATTGTTTTGGTTGTGAGCAGAAGGCAGGGCAGAGCTTAGCGGAGGTGCAGCTCTTGCCACTCATGACATGTTGAACTGCCGCGGTGCTTGGTTCCCTGCTGGCCGCATGCAAGCCACTGGGGAATGGACGAAGGATAGCGATGGATTGGGTCTTTGACCAATGAAGCCTTTATTTTATTTTTATTGAATTATGCAGAATTTGTGGCCCAATCAAGACTGCAAGCATGATGACGGTGTGGTTCGTGTGGCAGCTGGCGCTGTGGGAGGAGTACGCGGATGAGGTGGAGGAGCAGATGCGCGTGCTGCTGGCGGACAACGCTCTGCTGCAGGCTGCACTGGCCGACGTGCGCTCCAGCCTCACCCACGACCGCCCACCCTCCGCCGGAGCCTCCGGTGCGCGCTCTATACCCCCTGGCTTGTCTCTAAATGATAAATTATGTTGTTTTCAACCTGCTGGATTGCTTGTCCTGTTGGATCTGGAGGTATCACCTTCTTTCGGTTGCAAGGCTCACCTCACTACCGACAAACCATCTCCTTCTGAACCACCTTTCCGATCCAGGGCCTGAGTGCCAAAGTCCTGTCTGGTTGGGGTTCCTGCTTAGCTGCCATTTTGCAATGGCCTGTGGTGTTGGTGTTCCTTGGGGCTGGAGAGGGTGGAGCTGCTTGTGTGGAGGCAGGGGTGGACCCCCGAGAATATTGAGCAGCAGGGACAAGGATGTTGGATTCCCGAGGGGATGAGCTCCGTTGCTTTGGGGCCCGGGGTGTTTTTGGGGAGGTTGCCGGTAAAAATTTGCTCAGTAAGCAGTGCATGCTTTGCAGGGAGGCGGGACGACGGCTGGGCGCTGCCGGCGTCGCGGCCGGGCACAGCGGAGGGCGGCAGCGGCGCACCGGGGCCGGCGGCCAACGGAGGAGGGAACCCCGCTGTAGCCACATACGTGCGGCCGCTGGCGGAGGAGCTGGAACGCAAGCGCGCACTGTTCATGGACGACGCCAGCTTCATCACCGAGGTGCGCAAAAGGCCACGCGATGCATATTGCGCGTCTGGTAGCTCCTCAGTGTCCGACCAGTGTGTGCGCTTCATGGCACGATAAAGGGTCCTAAAATTGACTTGCTGAATTGAATGCAGGTGCGCGAGGGCCGCGCTCTGGCGCCTGGCATGGACGCGGAGGCCGAGCTGCGCACGCTGCGCCTGCGCTTCGACAACTTCCGCCGCGACTTCAAGGTGCGCGCTGCATGATCACGCTACAGAACGGAAATGCTGCCGGCCTTTGGAGTTTGCGCACATGTCAGTGTTTGGAGGACTTCAGATACAGGCTACGCTGTGTCTGGCACCGGTCAGCACTTGCAGTTGGAGTCTGGAGTAGGCTGCGCAGCAGGTGCTCTGGGAAATGGCAGAGCTGTGACAGGTGGTGCGCGTATGCAGGCGCGGCTGGACATCACAGCGGAGAATCTGAAGCGCATAGAGAAGGAGGAGAAGAAGGCGGCGCGGCGGGGGTCCCTGCGCGTGTCGGGCTCTGGCGACAGCCGCACAACGTCGGAGGCCAGCATGGACGCCTCTGGCGCGCACACGGCCTTTGGCGGCGACATCGACGCCTCCAACAAGGCCGGCCTCTCCTCCATGCTATCGCGCCTCTCCTTCAGGCGGCCCCACTGATGACTCACGGCCCGGCACCGGGGCTTCAACATCTGAGGGGGACGAGGGGGTTCTGGGCTGCACCTCATGCTGACTTCCATAAAGACATATTGGGCAGCTGATGAGCCTCCAGGAGTGGCTCAGAGACCCCACAGAATGTCCTCTGGGCATATCCCAGAGATGCCTTGAGGCCCTGTCATGCCCTGCTGATGATGCGGCGCCGCCGTTCTTGCTTAGAGATTAACGAATGATGATATGACCTTGCGGACCCGCAGGCATGCCACACCAGGGTGTGGAATCTGCTGATCCGTGCATGGCTGCCTCTGCAGTGTTAGCGGTGCAAGGCCTTCAGCAGAAATAAAGAACCTTTGGTCTGCGTCCCACCAATTTAGCACAGCGTGACTTACAGTGACCAGGCTCAGGAACCCCATGAAGAAGCACTTGGACCAATTGTTATTGGAAGCAGTCAGATCGTGAGAGAGTATGCAACTGAATATTTCCAGCAACCTGCGGCTTCAGGTCTAAGCTCTGTTGATCAAGTCCGTCACTTTCGGATCTCCACCTTTAAGCATACGGTACATGCGAATATCGCTATATAGAGGATCTACATAGGTTTACCTGCTGGTCATGAAAGTGTATAATCCAAGACTTCTGCCCTTATGAAGGAGTTCAACCACCGCATTCAAATTATTTCCAGTTTGGTCATTCATTGCGTTTTTGGGTGACGAACTCTAGATCTGGGTACGTCAGATTGCAGATCAGGTGTCTGTGTAGTAGCATCTCTGATAAAAAGTCGACACTGTGCTTTGTAAAGAGAGTGGTGCAGCAACGCCCGGAAACATTCAGATGCACTACATATGGCAACCAACCATGAAGCATGACTTAAGCTTGTCATGATCGGATATGGCATATGAAAGACACCATGTTACAACTCATTCTAACTTCACAAATTTCAAGCAAGTCCAATTGTTGCAACATCTGATCTCATGTGTTTTGCAACTAACACAACAGCGTTCACATCCTATTTAATTCCTAAATTATCTTCTCCTAAAGTAGCACTAACACACGATTCACCGTGATAAAATGAACCTACGTCACACCATGAAGGCCTAGTAGAATTGTACACACAACGATATGTTTTACCTAATCCATCAAGATCTGAGCACTTTGCAAGAGCATAATGCCCACCGGATGAGCTAAATTGTCAAAGATACACATAAGATTTGAGTAACACCTACACCAAGCGCCTAAGGTCCTAATTTACAGCCTCACATTTCAATTTTGAGTTCACAATAATGACCACAACAGCTGCATGCTGGCTGCGCTTAGCAGTTCTTCCAGCACGCCCAATAATGCCTGACGGTGAGTTCCACAATGCCTGACGGTGAGTTCCGCAACACCTGACCTAAATCTTGCACTCAAAACACAACGGCAGAGCGAAGACCCCAAGCAGGTGGACCTCGCTCTCCTGCACGGCAAAATTCCAGGTGGCCAAGCCTAAAAAACACCTGTCCCTCCGTCAAAACATTTCTCTTCCCAAAAAGAGGCACCCTAGCTGTGCCCAGTCAATGGCAGTGATTGGCTGTCAAACTTCCACCAGTGCTCACCACAGGGTTCTTGAGTCTGAGGCAAAACACATCCATGCAATCACGGTTGCAAAATTGACCTCGGCAAAAACACGTTTCCTGGAACGAGGTGTGCCAAAATGTCTGATATGCAAGCTCTGCTGATGAGACAACAGAACCACAGGCCACCACATCACAGCATCACAAACTCAGCTCTTGCACATAGAAGCCAGCTCTGCTCAGGGCAGGGCCGCTCGACTGATAAGGAATTCTGGTAGTATACAAAATTGGTGGAGCCGGCCTGTGGCGGGATACAAAATTGCCTGGCCCTGCAGCCCCCTCCCGCGATCCTCCTCTTGCCCATTCAGAGGCCCAGGAAGCGCAGCGGGTGGAACTTCTGGCCTGCCTGCTCAATATCCTCCTCTGACCACAGCTTGCTGTTGGTCATGTAGCTCACCTGTGCGCACAATGACAAAAAAAATCAAGCCCTGTCAGACATGCAATCACTTCCCTGTCAAGACATAAATTCGATCAAGCCCACCACCTGCCATGAAAAGACAAAGCGCAAGCAGAGCACCAGTAGTCGCACAGAACTGAACAGTACAGTCAGCTGTAAGAAGACAAAGTGTGCACGGCTTTTCAAGACTGGCAAGCAGATGTGACGGCTACCTGCTCCAGTGCGCTGCGGAACTGTGGGCGGCCACCCTGGGGAGCTGCCTTGGCACGCTTCTCCTTCTTCTGGGGGGCCGCGCTGACGTCCTCTGCGTCAGGAGGGCAGTCTGGCCGCACGAAGGAGGCCATAGGCACACCCATGCCGTCGCCAAAGCTGTCCAGGGCCGGGTTGAATGCGAAGGGCACTGTGCGGCGCGCCTGGCTGAAGCCATGGGGACGCATCAGGGGCCCTGACGGTGCAGGTGCCACCTTGCTGGCTGGGCGGGACACGGGCATTGCCTGGCAGATGGTTGCTTGCATCATTGTGCCTGCTGGCAACACAGAGAGAGGACAGTCAGCCACCAAAGAGCTGTGACTGCTATGTGGCTTGCAGATACAGTTCTCACCTACTCCGTTGTATACAAGCCTAATTATTTTCAGAGCAGGTGCCTTATCCTCCTTTGCTAGGTCAAAAATATCATACAACCCAACACGTGTAGGTGTGAGTGGTGGAGGTTGCGGGCCGAGTCAACACATAACAAGGCCCCAACACCGACCTCGACAACCACAGGACGCATTGGACGCTGCACTCCAACCTAAAGCAGGCCAAAAAAGGTGGGGACCCAAACTACAAGCTTCAGGCACTGCAGCTGGGCAAAGCGCGGCACTCTACGCACCGCCGCGCCGTCTTGCAAATGCCTGTCTAGCATCGTACGAGGGCAACATAACTGCTCATAGTTGAAGTTTTCCTAAAGGCTGGCCGATCAAGCCCGATAGGCAGCTTCGCAAGGCCCAAGCCCACGTCAGACGACAAGGGAGGTCTTGCACAAACGAGAATATGTGACACTGAGGACCTCAGAGCGCTGCTCGCAGTGCACACCTTTCGTGTTACAAGCTGGCAAGACGGTTGCGGACGACCTGAAGCTGTGCGCGCTGTGTCAGCTGCGTGGAAGGGGTCAAACTTTGAGAGGTCCGAGGTAACGACTCGGCGGTGCAAGAGGCGAAGCTGTGGCGCGAGAAGGAGCAGAGATAAGCGGAAGAAGTTGGCGGAGGAGATCGAGGACAGGAGGAATGTTAAGCCGCAGATTCCGCAATCGTCCGAAATCACACTCCGTGTCAGCTAATGACTACGGCAACACGTGATTCGCACACTGGCGTTCCCTCCACAAGGACGGTTTGGCAAGAATGAGCCTAGAAAGGAGGACTTGTCATCATCTGGCTGCTAGAGCACCTTCCCGTGCAAGCTGGTGTAGTGTATGGCCAGCACTGACTGACAGATGCTTTCACCAGAGATGGGCATATGCCTGCATGCATGGTTCCGGATCTCTGCATGCAGACTGCCTGTACAGGTGCACATGTTCGCAGTATTTCAATCAAGGATCCGGTCACCGGTCCGACCGCCAGAGTCTGTGGCACTACCGGATGTAGTAGACTCTACTCGGAGTCTAGACCCCATCTGCAATTCTGCAGCTGCATTTGCATATTATCAGCTGGACCAGGAACCAGTAATCAGCTAGGGCCTCATGAGTGATCTGATCATGATCAGCGATATCTATTGGGCAGGACAACTTAATTGAATCTAGATCTTTCCACCCTCACGGTGTGGCCCGCCACTCAGGCTGCCGGCAGGATATGGCACATTGCAATGATTGTTGCCGCAACAGAACACTGTGTGTTCACATGATGCAAGATATGCATTGTATCGAGCATCTAGCCCAAGGTAAGCACAAAAAAGTACACATTCTCCATTATTCTGGCACCACTCACTGAGTGGCACTGGCAATCACCAGTGCAGTCACCAGCTGGCAGTCACACACTGGGACTCTTCACAAGCTTATCAACTGGCTGTTGCCTTGGATTGATGAAAAGGTCTTTTGGTGGACAATCGGCTGGTGATCAACAGGTTCATCACACAAGAGCAATTGATCCTTCCTCTTTGCAGGGGGTTTTTTACACCCAACTTGTTGAACAACCAGCTTATTCAGCGCAGTATGCGCTTTACAGCAGTTCAATGGCGAAGGCAGCTTTCTCTGTCGCAGAACCCCTGCACCAGAGGTGCCAATCACTGTGAAGATCTGGAGAAAGCAATGTAATCAAAGTTACTATAAGTCATCGCAGAGATGGAAAGCAGAGGCAGGATGCACCTCACAAGCTATCAAAATGAACGATGCAATTGATAGGCAGGTGGTCTGCTCAGTGGCCTGCACATGTCTGAAAATAGGCTGGGACGGGTTGCTCAACGGGCTTACCTTTAGGGGGCACCCAATGCTCGTCAAGATATTTCTCAAGACTCATGCTCCAGCTGAGGCCATCAATGCCGCAAAGCTGTCATCGCTGGATGCACGTCATGGCTTCCTCCAGCTTGGCTGCCAGCGCCATATTTGCTGCTGCGCGCCTGTTGCTCGAGGCAGCCCCCTCCTGCACCCTTGCCTTCAGCTGCAATATCAAGTCGCCCCAATCATTAGCTCCATGGTTGCTCCGAGCAGCAGGGCAAGCACAGGCGACTTCTGACTGCGCACCTCCAACAACTTCCGGGCACCATCTTCATCTCCTTGCTGCATGGCTTTGAGTGCAGCAGACTTCAAGACGAGAGCCTTGGAATGAAGCCTCTCACTCCGTGTTGAACATGAGCGGGCTGCAAAAGGACGGGGGAAACCTGGTCAGCGTGAGCCAGCACAGCACAGCTGGACACCAACAAGACCGTGGCTGATGTGTCGTGAACAATTCACCAGTCTGAAGAGCAGTTTTGTACTCTTCTTGTAAAGCAAAGAGCTCGTCTTCACTGTATTCTTGCGCTGTGGTGTTTCCTGTTGTAGTCGCCTCGCAATATGCACGATGCGTGAGGATCCGCAGTATACGGCTTTTGTAGTGGATTGGTTTCTGTACAACTCTAGTATGGATGTGCATGCACCTCACGTGCACGTTGGGAGTTGGTACTGGTGTGATGGGCATGAGATCAACTTACGAACTTTCTTGACGATCTAACGGAAATCTCATGATAATGACAAGAGCAACGCACAATATCTTCCAATTACCACCGCTTTGTCGACATCAAGTTTGTTCTCATGAACGAAATCAAAGGGAGAATTTGTCGACCAGGATACGACGGCGCTCTCGGTCCGAAGCCGCCCTCTCTTGAGCAAATTTGTAAAACATTTATCGCTTGGTCTTTGTGAAGGAAGTACAAAATGGCGGACCACGATCTCACCCAGGAGCTATGCAAGAATTTGGACAGGCATCTTGCCTTTCCTCTGCTGGAGTTTTTGTCAAACAAAGAGTTGTACAGCGAGACAGACATCCAGAAAGCAAAGATTGACCTCCTGCAGAAGACCAACATGGTTGATTATGCAGCGGAAATCTACACGGCATTGTACAAGACAGATGATGTCCCCGAGGAGATGAACAGTAGACGCAAAGAGGTCGTTGCAAAGCTGAAGACACTGCAGGTGTGCTCTCTTCATTTAGATCCGATCTGGGTCATTGTGTCACAGAGTTCTTTGTTGCATTCATTACGAATGTGCCAGGTCTCTGTGTTGATGGAGAGTGACACTTGTGTGTTCTGATCTTCTGATTGATCAAGTCTCAGGTCACCTTTTCTATTTGTGCAGGCGCAAGCAGAGTCAATTGTGTCCTTCCTGAGCAGCGAGGACAAGGTGAAGCAGCTAAAACAGGACAAGGCATACAACCTGGCCTTCCTGCAGGAGGAGTTCCAGATTGGACCGCAGCAAATAGACGCGCTCTACAACTTTGCAAAGTTCCAATTTGAGTGCGGCAACTACTCGGGGGCAGCAGAGTTCCTGTATCACTACAGGCACGCACCTTACTACTCAATGCATTGTTCTGCACTCTGTGGCCCACTGATCCAGGAATATGCAACTGAAGTGCTGTTTGCGATTATCACTTCAGGACGCTGGCCACCAACAGCGAGCGGGTGCTGAGCGCGCTGTGGGGCAAGCTGGCAGCAGAGATCTTGATGCAGCAGTGGGAGACGGCGCTGGATGACCTGACCAAGCTGAAGGAGATCATCGACGCCAACACCTTTGCACCCATCCTGCAGCAGCTCCAGCAGCGCGTGTGGCTCATGCACTGGGCGCTATTTGTGTTCTTTGAGCACGAGAATGGCCGCAATGCCATCATCGACCTCTTCTTCCAGGACAGGTCTGGCTTTTTGCCCCCTTGTGGTGCCTCTGTTGCCCTTGCAAGTCCTTGAAACTGCCAAGATTGTCTGTGAAGTTGCCATGGTTAGAGGAATCTGCATGTTCTCTGAAGAGAATTGCTATGGAGGATGCTTGTGCTTGCTCAGGAATGCAATGTGGGTGTGATAGGCTTGATGTGGTGTGGTGCAGGTATTTGAATGCATTGCAGACGACCTCGCAGCACCTGCTGAGGTACTTGGCGGCAGCGGTGGTGGTGAACAAGCGGCGACGAAACACGATGAAGGACCTCATACGCGTCATCGAGCAGGAGTCCTATGAGTACAGTGACCCCATCACCCAGTTCCTGGAGTGCCTCTTCGTGCGCTATGACTTTGAGGGCGCCCAGGTGAGCAGTCTATTTGATGTTGAAATTTGGGGCCCCATGAAAGTGGGGCACGTGCCAGGCTATTGGGCAGGCCCTGTGCAGAAGATTGTCCTGCTGGCACGCTATGAGCAGAGCGCTGCATGTTTCTTGCGTGCAATGAGCTGTTGGGTGAAATGCAGTCTTGATGGGTGCAGGTGAAGCTGCGCGAGTGTGAGGAGGTGTTGGAGAATGACTACTTCCTGGCAGCGCTGAAGGATGAGTTTGTGGAGAACGCGCGGCTTTTCATTTTTGAGACCTACTGCCGCATCCACCAGTGCATAGACCTGCGCATGCTCGCAGGCAGGCCTCTTTCCCGCCTTTTTACCTTGGGCTGGCTTGCTCAGCTGATATTTTGACGACATTGCCTTGTTGTCTCTTTGAGGAGGGGAAGAAACGTGCTGACATGGGTAAATGGGGTTCCGCAGGCAAGCTGAACATGGATGCAGAGGCGGCGGAGAAGTGGATTGTGAACCTTATCAGGCATGCACGTCTGAATGCCAAGATAGACTCCCAGGCAGGCACTGTGGTGATGGGCATGCAGTTCCCCTCAGCATATGAGCAGGTCATGGAGAAGGCAAAGGGCCTCTCGCAGCGCACCTTTGTGCTGGCCAACCTTGTTGTCGGGGCTCCCCAGACATGAGGGCTACCGATGCAGCTTGTACACTAGTCTTTTGTTAGGGTCTGCAAATTTCTTATATTCCTTGAAGTCTATTCCATCTCAGTGAGACTGTTGTCGGATGTTTGGAGGGGAAGATGTCACAAATGAAGCACATTTGTAACGGTGATGAGCCTGAGAGAACAACAACAGACCTGATTTTTCTGTTGAGTATATTCTGCTAATACAAGACACGAACAAAATAAATTAAGGTGTCATCCTTCGGAGTCGAGGCTGGGACCTTTAGTGCGCAATAAGCAGCTTTGCCGCCCGCACCGTCCGGGCCCCGTGCACCGCTCCAATGCGCAGTTCAACACTTAGACTCAAAAGACGCCTGGGCCAATTGCAATAGCTATATAGCATATATGCTGGTGGGTACATGAAGCAGTCTGAGCAACACTAAGATTTACATCATGAACATCACTATTTGACTCATGAACACTTGCCATACTGATTGCTCAGTCACGTTCTGGCATCTCTGCTGTAAATCTGCCTGTATTCCTTGAAGTCTGATCTGGACTGAGAGGGATGTCCAATTCTCGTCACTGAAATTAGCATGCATGTGATATGGGATCTGATATGGGATATGAAACAGCCTGTGATTTGTCTGGCAACTCAGAGCGCAAGCTTGCGATCGTTACAGGATCCTCCGGAGCTACGCGATACATGAAATTTGGTGTCTCAAGGATCAATTGGAATGCAGGATAATACATGGGTGCACTGATGCCTGCAACATCTGTCTCTAGCACCATGCTCCAGAGTCCATATAGAACTGCCTCCTCCTAAATAAACAATTGGAAGACAGATCCTCCTGTGCTTTCTCACTCGTTAGCTAGGCAAAGCAGATCTGCAAAACTGACAAGAACGTGCATGAAATCACAAGCCAGTCTGTCAAGCAAATCTTGACATGTGCAGCAGCATGGATCAAATCGCACCTTCATGCCTGACTACAGCAGCAAGGAGCTGCACAATGTATACATTCGAGAACCACATTCGTAACTTTCACCGGGCGCTATTGGTGGGCCATTTCGCACAGGGTGCCTGCTGCTCACTCGGCTGCACTCTCGCTGACATCTGCTTCGGGACCACGCAGCTCGTGCGCCGGTTTGCTGGTAGGACATGTGTTGCTGGAGTCAGTTTTAGCAGACTCGCCAGGTGCGGGGGCACCATCGGCGCTTGCACTCTGCAGAGCCTTCACCTCCTGCTGCAGTCTGCGCGCCAGCTTCTGCAACAGGCTGTTCTGACCGCGCACCCGCTCCAACTCACTGCCCTCCTCCGCTTGCTGTGACAGCAACATGGATCACTGTATTTCCCATGGTTCAGATACATGCTCCTGTGAGTCGCAAAGAATGGCGTTTGGCAAGTGGTGCACAGGACATGCAAGCAGGATGTCACCTGATTCCTCAAAGTCTGTGCCTCGCTGGCCAGCTGGATGATCTTGGCATTGGCTCTGGTGAGGTCCCTCTTGAGATTCTGTTTATCACTCTCCCTCACCGCTAGCAGGGAATCCATCTTGGCGATCAGCCTCTCCTGCTTTCCACTGTCCTCCGTCGTCTTCTTGAAGGCCTGCAGTGGTGTGAAGGTTCCTTACTGTCTAAGAGTCCTCCCAAGTTCCAGCAGATGCCAATGAAATGGGGCAACACTCTGGCAGTCACCTCGCTGGTCTCCTTCATGGTGGTCTCAAACTGCCTGTACTTATCACCCATGTCGTTCAGCAGCCTTGAGGCCTCCTTGAAGTTTGCCGCCTCAATCTGGGCCGTGTGGAGGTGCTCCATTGCTGTCAGCTCAGCCTGACGCAGCTTTGCATCAGCCAGCTCCAAACGCACCTCCATCTCCCTCACCTGCCCCCAGCCCACTCTTTGATCAGTGCGCATGCAATTGCGGAAGCCAATTTCAGCCAACGCTGCGAGCCCCAGACAGAGCTGGCATGACACTGGCCTAACCTTCCCGAGCCATGCAGCATCCTGTAGTGATCCCATGTGTGCAGATATGGTGTAGGTGTGCCTGCAGTGTCACCTTTGCTTTGTAATGCTGCTCCATGATGTTCTGCATGTCCAGATGCGCCTTCTTCTCATTCAGGCTCTCCTCTCGCTTGACATTCGTTTCGTCCACCCTGTGCAAGGAATGAGGATGTGAGCGGAGCATGTGCATCACAAGGATACTCTTCCTGGTCAGTTGCTATTCTTCAAGGCTCACCTGCTCTTGAGGTCGTTCAAGGTTCTCTGGAAGTTCTCAATCATCAGCTTCCGCTGCATCACATCCTCCTCCTTCATCTCCCTGTTTTGTTGCTGCAGCTTGCGTGCCAGCTCCTGCAGCTTGAGGTTGAGGCTGCTCTTGGCCAAAACCTCAGCTTGCGCTGCAGCAAACACAGCAAGTTTATCATCAGCAAGACAGCCATGCAGAAATGCACAATCACTGTGATTTGTATTCATTTGCGTGTTCCTACCTTCATCCTTTGCCTTGGTGGCTCTGTCAACCTTCAGTCGCAAGGGGATCAGCTCTGCCTCCAGTTTCGTCTGCTCCTTGAACTGCAGCACCAGCATTGTCTCAGACGACAATGTTACGTGGTGCAGGTCTTCATTCAGTGCTGACGGTCTTCTGTGATTATCACCTGAGCCAACAGCTTTTGCTGCAAAAATTCTATGACTTCCTCCGAACTCTTGGCATTTTCTTTGATGAAGATGTCAATGTCCTTGAGCTGTTTTTTCCTCCGCCTCAGAACATCCCGTTTCTCAGGTTCGCCAGTCTCCTGCTCTAGTTCTTTGAGTCTGTTGAGGATGAGCGACTTGCGATCCTCAATGCCGGTGCTTTCCTGATCGCAGCATATTTTCTATGTAAGATCAGCATAAACTTGGCGTGCAACTCCAGGGGGATCAGAAAGTATGCATCTATTCGGGTGGCGCCATCTTGGTATGTGCGAATTTATTAGAGGAGGACCCAGAAGGCTGATCTTAAAGGTGAAACTACACTGTGAAAATTTGCATCACGTCTGGCATGTCTGCCTGGATATCAAGAAGCAGTCCCGGATATGTTGGAGTTGTCAGTAAAGACGATTGAAATATTTGGGAGTTCGCAAGCATTGTGCGACCGCCAAGCACAAAAGAGAGGAGGCAAACAAATACCTTTTGCGAGTCATTGACGCAGTCATTGAGTGCAGCAGCGCCATTAGCTCTCTGTGATATGTCTGCCACCGACGACTTTGGTTCTTCATTGGCGCTCGTGCCGGTTGTTTCAGGAGGATTTACAATCGGCGCTTCTTGGACCGTCACCATTGCCGACTTTGATCAGACTCTGCAGCTGCATGCACGCTCTATCAATGAGAAATGCCTTCCGAGCAGATCGGCTGGGCCGTTTCTCAACGAAGGGCTATACCCCAATAGGTTTAGAAAACTGGGGTCGATAACGAGAAAAGTTTCGAAATGCGAGGGAGCACATTCTCGCATCACCACCGTCAGAGATGGACACTATGTTATGAGAGTAGTCAGGGTATATGCTGCTTTCGGTTTTAACGGTGTAAATTTACATGCCTTTAGAGTTACATGCCTTTCATCGCAATTTCGTAGAATTTAATTATGTCAGGTCCGTCAGAAATTCACGCATAGCTTTGCAAATTATAGGGTCTTGCGGCAGAAAAACATCTGTGTGTCATAGTTTCACATCGGACACGATGTCGGCATTGCCCGCATCACACCCTGCTGCAGACTGGTTCGCTCAGGATTGCTTCATGGGCATTGGTATGTCCTCTTGTGCCTGCAAACCTGGACCTGACGCTTAGCAGATATACATTACACTTGCCGGAACGGATCTTGCAGATACCGAGCCCATGAAAATCTCACCTCTCACAGATGAAGCTGGACGTGGACCAGTACTTGGTCCAATGGTTTATGGATGCGCATATTCTGCAATGAGTCAGATGGAGGCCTTGTCTCAAAGGTGCGGACAGTTCTTTCCTGTCTGGCAGTTCACGCACACCTAATCATACATGAGGGGTGAGTTTCATTTCTTGTGAACAGATCTTTTGCCGACTCAAAAACTCTGAAAGAGGAAAGGCGCGAGAGCCTCTTTCAGGAAATCAAAGAAGACGCATCCATAGGGACAGCAGTCGATATTTTAGATGCCAGGACCATATCTGCCCAAATGCTCCACAGGTAGCCTCCACAACTTTGTCTCCAATAACCAACACGACATTTGCTGAGGCTCAGTAGAAATCCATAACACCAACATTTTTTGTTCTTACCAAATGCTTCACTGCACTGCTTTGCAGCCAGAGGGAGAGCCTCAATGTGCTGGCAAACAATGCCACCTTCAGGCTCATCGAAGGAGTCTTGGAGTTGGGAGTGAGATTGAGGGAGGCACGTTCCTCTCATGCTTTTGAAGCAATACATAGTGTATGCCCCACAGTGCGCAAGCAAAGCCTTGAGCAAACGTGCATGTCATGTTGGACTGAGCTGCAATAGGAAAGTGCGGGCAATTTTGTCTCACAGGTCTATGTGGACACAGTGGGTGAGGCATCTCGGCACCAGGCTCGCTTGACAGAACGGTTTCCGGGCATCAGGTACCTTGGTACTGCCACTCACAAGCTTGCAAGTACCTTCAGAAAGGCACGTGTATCACGGTTTGGGAAGTATATCAAAATCATCATTGTTTTGCAGGTTCATCGTGTGTCCCAAAGCGGATTCTCTGTACCCCATCGTGAGTGCAGCCAGCATCGTGGCAAAGGTGCGGCTCACCGCCAGCTCAAATTCTAGGGGACTGTGTTCAGAAGCAACTTTCGCAAGATGAAACCTCACAATGCTGCTTTGCTGCTAGGTGACTCGGGACAGGCTGGTGAAGGACTTCAGCATCGCAGAGAAAGTGGAAGTCGGCCGGCAGACAGGATCTGGCTACCCAGGGGGTGCGTCAACCCTTCAGACCAGTTCAACATGCCATCTCCTGCTCGCTGTTCCCTGCCCCAGACCATCTTAGCTTGTGGTCAGCAGAGTAGGAGCATCGCAAAACATTCTTGCCCAAAAGTATCATCTGTGCTACTGATGTGCTGTTGGACCTGTGCAGACCCGGACACCAAGGCGTGGCTGCAGGAGCACATTGATCCTGTCTTTGGGTTCCCCAGCATTGTGCGCTTCTCTTGGTCGACGGCCTCCAAGATACTGGAGACGGGAGCCGTCCCTGTGCAATGGTGTGTCATACTGCCCTTGCACACATGGAAATGTAGTGTGTTTCTTAGAAGCAATAGGTTCCGCAACAACAAGGATTGATTGAAGATCATTTCCTACAAGTCTCCTGGTGCCCAAGCAATGTATCTGGTGCATAGGTGACATCTGGTGCATTCTGCAGGGAATGTGATGAGGAGCAGGATGGATCCCAGGGACAGCAGGTGCTGGCTTTTGGCAACAAGCCAGCAAGGGCACAGGTGTCCACGGGCGTGGGACGCCATGCTTTCTTCAGGGCCCACAAGCTGCAGCGAGTTGCAAATTTCTGAAGGAGCCATACCTGATTTTTTTGGTCGAAAGACTGTCTGGCAGAGGTAGAATGAATTGGCATGAATAACTGGGTGTCTCGTCAGGGCCACTCAGAGGGGTGGGTTCCCCTCAGCAGGCTGTGGCGTTCCACAGTGGTACTGAACATCATTATGTGGTGACCAGCTCCTGAGACCAGCCAGTGGCAGACTTAACAACATTAATTGGAAGACTTCAGGGGAAGCAAGCTGCCTTCTCTCATTTGGATCAGAATTGGATGATAATGGCTGGTCCAAGTGGACGTTGTGAAGGGGCGTACGGATGAAACCACACAGACTGGAGAGTCAGATGTAAATCGTATTTGGCTATCCGCCTTTGGACCTCAAGGTTGTGCATTGCATGTGGTGCTCAAGACCGGCACCAGTGCGTGTGGTGCAACTGCACGTGCATGATGCACGAGCGAAATCGCACAACCAGCTTTCAATGTCATCATGAGTCTTGGACCGGCATGCGTGCTAGTGCTTGGCTCCAGCGTTACTGCACCACTGCTGGCAGCCCACCTGGAATACCGTACATGCCGCCGGCGCCCGGCGGCCGCGGCGGACTGGCGCTGCGCATTAGTGACGAGTAACACTAAATTTTGCAGATGCTGGCAGCATGGATTGGAAGGGAGGGGAATATGAGGGCCTTCCAATTGCAACATAAAATAGGCTGGCCTCAGATTTCTGTCTCTCATGGGTTGCATGAAGCTTCCTTTGCATAAGTTGCCCGATTTGGTGCGATGACGTGGGCGACTGTCGTGAGTCCCAAGCTTTCCTAGGTGATCTGTCAAGACTGTCTTATTCATTCTCACAATCAATAACAGAAGCCAAGCTTCTGAGACATCTATGTATTTGGACTGAAGAACTGCACACTGGCGGAAAGGAGTGCACTGCGGTTGGCACGCCCCCTCTTGCAAATGCTTTCTGCAGCTCCGACACAGGCTGCGCGCGGGGCTTTGAGCCAGGTTGCTCAGCGCCCAGGTATCCTAAGATGTAATTGCAAATTGCCTTCCAGCCAGGTATGTGTTTCATAGCCATGCGTGTGGAAGGCAATGCACGCCTGTCTAGTGCATGCAAAACAAGCCATCTGTGCTCCAACGTCATTTACCTCTACGCGATCAATGCGGCATCGTCATTGATTTCTGTAATGCTTGCAATAAGCAGCATTTATTCTGACTTGCTTGGCTTACCACGCCTTTGCTTGCACAGATATCCAGTGGTTACAGGACAAGCAGATACTTTGCAGTGCCTTCACAGCTGAGGATCGCAGCATCTTATGGCAGATCAAGTGAGTGCGCTCGCTTCAACACCTTCTATTTTTTCAGCAATGCTAAGAACGTGTGGAATAGTACTGTTACTGTGAAATGGTGTGCACTTTCTGCTCTGGGGTTTGACAACAAAATTCCTGGATATGCAGGGCCCTTAACGAGCTTTTCACATGGTCTGCGCGCTGTAGCTGCTCCTGTGGAGGTGGGTTCTGATCTACTCACTTGTGCGATCTTCAACGCATTGTGCCTTGTGTAAAATGCCAGCTTGAGGAAGAGACGGTACTGCAGGCTGAGGTCGAGGCACGACCTGCTCCTAAAGAGTTGCACGGTTTTGAGTTGGTGCGGGAGCACTTTGTCAGCGAGTATGACTCTCAGGTCCTCATGTACCGCCACAAGAAGACAGGTGCGTCCTCTTGTTGAGGCTCCACTCTTTCTGGTGTGTTGTATCTCTTGACCAAACCAGGAATGTACCTTGTGGGCGTGGCCTATAAGCAATTGGACCAGCAAATGAAGAGCACACTTTTTGTCGCAGGCGCCGAAGTGATGTCGCTCATCAACAAGGACGAGAACAAGACGTTTGGCGCTGTCTTCCGCACGCCTGTGGACAACTCCAAGGGCATTCCCCACATCTTGGAGCACAGTGTCCTGTGCGGATCCAAGAAGTATCCCATCAAGGAGCCATTTGTGGAGCTCATGAAGGGGTCGTTGAACACATTCCTCAACGCCTTCACATACCCAGACAGGACTTGCTACCCTGTAGCATCCACAAACTTGCAGGTGCTGGCTTGCTCTTGCCCTCCTGTTGTTGAGCTCTGGGTGAAAGTGCTTGTGTGAAATACGATTCTGGACAATACCTGAACATTGATGCTACTGGGACAGGATTTCTACAATCTGGTAGATGTCTATCTGGATGCAGTCTTGTACCCAAATTGTGTCCGGGACGAGAAGACATTTGCCCAGGAGGGATGGCACTATGAATTGGAGAACCCAGAGGTAAGTTGGTTTTCACCTACCCCTCCGGCTTTCCTGTGCTTCTAGTGTGCTCGCACCTTAGATCTCAGCTTTGGGTGATGCACAGTGAGTTGTTCTTTGATGATGCTGACCTTTTCACATTCTGTGCAGGACGATTTGACGTACAAGGGTGTGGTGTTCAATGAGATGAAGGGTGTCTACTCATCCCCAGACTCGATGAACAGCCGAGCGACCCAGCACGCTCTGTTTCCAAACAACACCTATGCTGACGACTCTGGCGGCGACCCTGCTGCCATCCCCGACCTCACGTTCGACGAGTAAGTCTCCATATTCACCAGGCCACCATGAAAAGATTACGCGCTTCACTCATGCATGCAGCTCCAGACAGAAACTGATCTCGTCAGCAGTGTGGTGCGCTGAGGCAATGGTGCATCTCCACGCAGGTTCAAAGCCTTCCATGAGCGGTACTACCACCCGTCGAATGGGCGCTTCTGGTTCTACGGCGACGATGCCCCGGAGGAGCGCCTGCGGCTGCTGGGAAGCTTCCTGGATGACTTTGACGCGCGCCCAGTCGACTCCACCGTCAAAGCGCAGCCGCTTTTCAATGTGAGTACTGACCAACCTGCCGCACACAGAGTGCTCCGCTGCTTCGCACTTATTGCCCGCCCCACACCCTGCTCTTAAGACGGTGGTTATCAGGCCATTATGTCACAGTACCGGCTTACCAATCAATTTTTACAGCATGTGAAATGATGGAGGGCTGTACCATTTTAGTACAGCCATCTGAAAGTACAGCCTTATCTTACTGTTATACAAATTGTTTGTGACATGGAGAACGCCATTGAGTCTTCTCGATTTACTCAGACACCCATACAGTGTGGGCTGAAGTGTGCGTGTGCTGTGAGCAGGAGCCGCGCAAGATGGTGGAGCGGTACGCGGCAGGCGATGGCGTGGGAGAGGAGGCGGAGGCAGGCAAGGCGTTTGTGAGCCTGAACTGGCTGCTGTCAGAGGAGCCGCTGGACCTGGAGACGGAGCTGGCCTGGGGCTTCCTGGACTACCTGCTCCTGGGCACCAGCGCCGCCCCCTTGCGCAAGGCCCTCAACGACAGCGGCCTCGGCGAAGCGCTCATCGGTGAGGCCCTGCTGTGGTGCCTTGCGAGAACTGCCGTGTAATGTATACAGAAACCTTTGGTGGTTGAAATATCCTGGTGTGGGCCGAGCTGCTTCATCCGATACTGCAAGCTTGCTTTGTGCAACGTGGAAGTATGCGTCCTGTTGCTTTGTATCCGGCCTGGACTGAAGTTGGTCAGTCTCCTTTCTTCCCTGCAAGCACGCCTGGAGAAATTACTTGAGGGTTATCATAACATTGACCCGGTGATTTTGTCTTGTATGGCCAGGTGGCGGGCTTGGAGATGAGCTGCGGCAGCCTGTCTTCAGCCTGGGCCTCAAGGGAGTGAAGCCGGAGGACGCTGCCAAGGTGTGCATGTTGTGCTGCACGTCTTGCAGTGCATGTCATACCTCCTAACAAGTAGAATCGATCCGATGTTGAGATATCCTTCGAGCTGATTGTCTCATGCTTCAAGTGGGTGTTTGAGCAGGTGGAGGAGGTGATCATGAGCAACCTGGAGAGGCTGGCAGAGGAGGGCTTCACGGACACGGCGGTGGAGGCGGCCATCAACACGATCGAGTTCAGCCTGCGCGAGAACAACACGGGCTCCTTCCCGCGCGGCCTCTCGCTCATGCTGCGCGCCATGTCCTCCTGGATCTACGACCAGGACCCCTTCCAGCCCCTGCAGTGGACCAAGGAACTCGAGCACTTCAAGGCGCGTACACCACTGCAGACCCGGCTGCCAGCAGAGATCGAAGCGCCATTGGAAGCAAGATTGGGCACTTGCAGCATCAATCTTGATCGGCAGAGCTTGAGGCGCTTATCTTGATGACTGCTGAGCACTGGATATATCAATGGAAATTGAGGCGCTGATGCTGAGGGGTGGCTGTTGCAGGGGCGGCTGGCGTCCGGGGAGGATGTGTTTGGGCCGCTGCTGCGCAACTTCCTGCTGGAAAACAAGCACCGGGTGTCGGTGGAAATGCTGCCAGACACCGGGCTGGCCGCGCAAAAGGAGGCCGTCGAGCGCGAGCGGCTGGCGGCAGTGCGCGCAGCCATGGGCCCCGAGGACGTAGAGGCTGTCATCAGGGAGACCAAGGAGCTCAAGGAGCGCCAGGTGGGCCTGCTACCCCTCAGGCATCCAAGCACGTTGTCCTTGCTCCTTGTAATTCCCTGGAAATGGCTTCTTCTGATATCCTTGTCCCTGAATGTCCCTGAATGGACGCCGGAAGACATGCTTGTGTGACTGAAAGAGGCCATCAGAGAATACCAGCTTGCATGGGGACTATGTTGCATTGTACTAGAGAATAGAGCAGCTGCGAACAAGGGTTGTGGTGTTTGCAGGAGACCCCGGATCCCCCGGAGGCCTTGAGCTGCATGCCCTCCCTGCAGCTGTCAGATATTCCTCGGGAGGCCTCCACCATTCCCACGGACATCACCAGCATCAACGACGCCACCCTGCTCACCCACGATCTCTTCACCAACAACGTCGTCTACGTGGAAGCTGCCCTGAACCTGCGCACAGTCCCGGCCGACCTGCTACCCCTCGTTCCCCTCTTCTGCCGGTGAGCTCCTCTGAATTGCACACTGCGCACCCCTCGGCCCACTGCTCTTATTGCGCTCCGGGTGCAGATCATCAACATGCGACAACGGGGATGAAGTCTGATTGATGGGTGTCATGCTGCGCAGGTGCCTGACGCAGATGGGCACGGAGAAGGAGAGCTTCATCGAGCTGACGGAGCGCATCGGGCGCAAGACGGGCGGCGTGTCGGTGTCGCCGTTCGTGTCGGACAAGCGCGGCACGGATGAGCCGGTGGCGCTAGTCATGATCAGCGGCAAGGCCATGAGCGACAAGGCGGCCGATTTGCTGGACCTCTTCAGCGACGTGCTCCTCACTGCGCGTCTGGACGACAGAGAGCGCTTCAAACAGGTCTGTCTCTTTCTGACACGTTGCTTATATTGATGCTGTGCATGGGTGTCGTAAAGCTGCACCACGCCTCAGCCAAGTCAAGGTACGAGCAGGCTACTGAGCAAAGAGAGGAAGAGCTGTTTGGCAGGGTCTTGCTGTACACAGGGCCATAACCGGCCATCCGGCATGTATTGATTGATGGTGGTGTGCGCTGTGATTGCAGATGGTGCTGGAGACAAGGGCGTCGCTGGAGGCCGGGGTGATTGGGGCAGGGCACCGCTTCGCCGCGAGCAGGCTGGATGCGCAGCGCAGCACGGCCGGCTGGGTCAAGGAGCAGATGGGCGGCATCTCCTACCTCTCCTACATCCGCAAACTCGCAGCGCGCGTGGACTCTGAGTGGGACGCTGTCAAGGTATCTGCCTCTTGTTCCTGCTGCTAATTAAGCAAAACAGAACCCACTTGCCTGCACCGCCACCCTTTGTTTTCATTCTATGAGCACCTCGGCATACTTCCTTTGCTGCTCAATCATAGTCAACATCCTTTGTCTGGATAAGGAACTGCGTGCTTGGATTTGAGTAGTGTGCAGGCCAGGGGCTCATGCAAGATTGCTGCATGGCAGGCGGACCTGGAGGCGATCCGGTCAGCGCTGCTACAGAGCCGGGGGGCGCTGGTGAACATGACGGGGGACGAGCGCACGCTGCAGGCGGTGCAGCCGCTAATAGGCTCCTTCCTGGATGCGCTGCCGGCGCAGTCAGTGACCCATGAGGCTGCCTGGGCCGCCTCGCTGCCCCGCCTCAATGAGGCCATCACCGTGCCCACCCAGGTGAGAGCACCTGTGCAGGTTCTACATCATATGCATTTTCTGAAGCTTAGAGTAAGAATGCAGATTACTACAATTATACCATCCTGGTTAAAGGGCAAAGCTGTGTAGTGCGTCATCAACATTTGACCGTACCTTGAGGCATGCACGACAAACAGACACAGCAGGTCTTGAGGCAGTTGCCGGTTGCATGTGCAGGTGAACTATGTGGGCAAGGCCGTGAACCTGTACGCGGATGCGGGCTATCAGCTGTCAGGGTCAGCGTACGTGGTGAACAAGCACCTGGGCACGACGTGGCTGTGGGACCGCGTGCGCGTGAGCGGCGGCGCGTATGGCGGCTTCTCGGACTTTGACACCCACTCCGGCATGTTCAGCTTCCTGTCCTACCGCGACCCCAACCTCACCAAGACGGTGCTCCCCCCTTTCTCTTGATCCCTGCATTTAGCAACCCCTTGGGCTCATTTTACACCCATTTGCTGCACCAACCTTGGGTTTGGGTACGGCCTCCCATACAGCGCATGTCCCTGCATGGAAAGTAGGAGAATTCTGCAATTTTCCGCAGCCTGCACCTTGCCTTGGTCACGGCAATGCTACAGCTATTGCTGTCATGTCACATCTGCTTTTTCCAGGATTGAATTAGGATTGATTTTGTTTGCATGGGGCCGCGCAGGTGGATGTGTATGACGGCACGCCGGAGTTCCTGCGCACGCTGGAGCTGGACCAGGACAGCCTGACCAAGGCCATCATCGGGACCATTGGCGACATCGACGCCTACCAGCTGCCCGACGCCAAGGGCTACACCGCCTTCCTGCGCCACGTGCTCGGCGTGTCCGACGCCGAGCGCCAGCAGCGCCGCGAGCAGATCCTCGGCACCTCCATCCGCGACTTCAGGTAGAACCGTCCTCTGTACCGCATAGTGTACCTTCAAATTGTAGTAGGAAGCATATCCCCTCTGAGGCCCACTTAAGCTTAAATTGCAGACCCACCAGAATGAGACCCTCATGCGTATTTCCAATCCCATTGTCTTGGATTGACTGCAGCGGATGTCGGTGTGTCTTTGTACATCTTTGACACTGACGTCATGACTGAGGGATTTGGAGCGTTGCCAGTGGCCGAGCATGACTGAGGTTCTGGTGGGCTTGCAGGGAGTTTGCAGACTACCTGAACATTGTGAGCGACCCTCAGCACGCCAAAGTGGTGGCAGTGACATCAGCGGAGCGTGCAGAGGCCGCCCTCAAGGAGCGTCCCGGATTCTTTGACGAGGTCACCAAAATCTTGTGAGAGAGTGTGGTGTGAGTGTCTAGTATTTTGTCCTTTGTTTGGAAGTTGCCTGGAATGACGGTTCAGGATCCTTGTTGAACCTTGAATGTGGTCTTCACGCGTGGCGCTGCTAGACAATCTTGCCAGGTGGAAAACCTTTAATTTGGACAATGCGCTGGAGCGAGCCGTACGTACGGTATACCAGCTAGCTGGCCTGGCTTGTCAAATTTTGGTTGAGTGTACACGTGTGCCTTAGTTGAAAGTATCAATGTCTGATCCTATTTGCAATCTTCATCAGAACATTAATTCAATCTTATCTCTGGATGATCACGATCTTGATCAAGATTGTTTGTGAGTGCTGCAGCTCGCTGGCCAGCTGCCCAGTGGGTCATTGAGAATACCTAATATATAAAGGTACTATTAACAGACCTTGAAATTCATATGCTGTCTGCTGTTTTGCATGCTCTGAACTCCATCAACATTATGTATCTATCCTAATGACCGGTTTGCACCTTCAAAAGCTCTCAGAAAGGAATCATGATGGTTTCTTTCTGAATCTGTCAGAATCTGCCCAATTTGGGCAGCTCCTGGACCGCCATGGGCTCCAAGCGATGCCAACAATTCACATTATGACAGCTTCGGACCCTTTTGAAGCGAATGTTCGCACGAACAATGCATTAGGTAGCAGCTGAGGGTCATCATGGCTCAAACAATGCTGAACAGGGAGGAAGCAGAGTTGGACCTCTGCATCTGCAAGCTCCACGATACCATCAAGCAGGAAATCTTGGATGTTGGATCCAATGCTCCTGATGCTGAGAATCCGAGGAGTCTCCAGGCCAAAATACAGGCGAACATGACCCAGCTGAGAGCGAGGATGCGCGACTTGGAGCTGCTTGCTGATGAGCAAGAAACGTATGTTTTCATTTTTTGATGCAATGACATAAAAATGCTCGCATCGTCACATTAATTATTGCAGCTTTCAACTTTAACTGTGCTCATATCAGACTCTAGTAGCATGCCTGAGACAGTGCATATAACAGACCATCAGCATCTTGCTCTAGACTTTCATGTCTGTCATCTTCCCTGGGAAGCAGTGGTGGGTGCATCCAATGTCTTGAAATCAGTTAAATATGCTGCAGGGTGGAGGAAGGGGAGGCAGTTGTGGCTGTGGTCAACAGACACAAGCGGCAATACCAGGACCTCCAGAAGGACTTCAGAGAAGCGAGCCTGGAGGTGAGAAATCCTGGGAAATTTCCATCTTTGGCCCCAACTGCTGGTATACTCATGATGCACACTGTGGTGACGGGCTTTGTGACCTGACAAGTGATGCCTGGCCTCGTCATAGGTACAAAGGAGGGTGGCTCGTGCGGCCGTGGAGGATCGCAAAGCACTGCTGGGCAGCGCCAACCCGCTGCAGCGCGCGCAGCAGCTGAAGACGCAGGCCGACCTGGCCAACAGCGCCACCGACACCACTGCCAGCCTGCAGCACACCAGGCAGCTCATGGCAGAGGTGCCCCACACTCCCAACCCCCAACATTCGTCCTCTCATCATGGTCCAAAGGGATCCTTGCTGTGATCTCTGCTATATACCTCTCAAATGAGTTCAGCTTGAAGAGCAAATCTGGACATAGCCATCTGATGTGGGATGACAGGAGCTGGACCACACAAGCGCGACGCTGGCGGCACTGGAGGTGTCGAGCGCGACGCTGAAGGGGACGGCGGAAGAGTACGGGCAGCAGCGCGGCCGCATCAAGCAGTCGCACAAGCTGCTGGGCACCATGCGCCGCGCCTCGCTCTGGGACCGCCTCACCCTCTGGGGCGGCGCCGCGCTCTTCGCCGCCGTTGTCGCCTTCATCATCTACAAGCGCCTCGCCTACTTCGTGCCGGCAGCGTTCGTGCCCAATTTTGGCGCGCTCGTCCCTGCCATGCCTGCCTTCGGCCTGGCCAATCTGACTTCCGGCCTTGGCAGCCTCTGGTCGCCTGCCCCCAGCCCGGCCGTAGTGCCAGACGCCGGCGGGCTGCAGGATGACGACCCCAGGATGCAGCAGTGGCAGCGGTGGGCCGACGCCTCCGGCCAGCGGCATGCGGCGGAGGATGCCGGCCGCACGGGGGGCACAGGCGGCACTGAAAGGGAGCTTGGCGGAATGGGTGATGCGGGGTACCGAGAAGGTGGCACTGCGGAGCAATGGCCGGACCCTAGTGATCCGGGCTTTGTGGACCCCGCAGCAGCGCGATACTCCGAGCAGTTCAGCGCGGCCGCGGCGCAGCCGGCCCAAGCGGCGGCGGCCGCGCACCCGCAGCACGGCGGCGCGTTCGACGGCATGATGGGCATTGTGGCTCCTCAGAACAGGAGCGCTGCCGCAGCTGCAGCCCAGGCTGAGCCGGTGGCCGCCGCGCCCGTCAACAAGTCGCTGGACAGCGAGGCAGTGCCTGCCAATGCATCAGGGCCAGCCGACAGCGCGCCTGTAGAGGCGTCTGCTGAGCCTCAGGATCTGGATGGCGGAAATGTGGAAGAGGGCGCCGGGAAGTTTACTGCCACCAAAGAAGAGCTGGTCCCTGGCGAAGGACTGCAGGCACCTCTGTCTGCCAACGAGTCAGTGGTGGCCGAAGGCAATCTGACAGCCACAGACCTGGATGAGGCTGCTGTGGAGCAGCTCCCAGACCAGGCAGCTGAAGTGCCACAGCCTGAAGCGGCCGCTCTGGGAGATGAGGTGGCAGCTGACACTGCATTTGAGGCTGATGCTGAGCTGGAAGTAGATCTAGAACCCGAAGCGGCCACAGCGCAGGAGGATGGCACGGCTGCAGCAGGCGAGGATGAGAAGCCTGCAGTCGAGGCGAGCTTGGAGGGCCTGCCGCAGGACATTCTTGGTGGGGAGGCAGAGGAGGCGGAGATTGCTCACAGGCATGCAGCACCCCACTTTGCCGAGGAGGCGAGCACACCGTCCGGGGATGTGGAAGGACCAGAGTCTGCTGATGAGCAGCCCAGCTCGCCAGAGGAGTCAGATCCGGAGGAAGCCTCAGAGGAGGAGCGATCACAATTGGATGACCTTGTGTCTGCCACACCCGGCTTCGACACTGTGACGGCGGCCATCAGCGCTGAAGTGGAGGAGCCGCCTTTGCTGAGTGAGGACCTGCCAGGCGAGCCTGCTGTCACGGCAGCAAACAGCAGCAAGGAGGATGGCGAGGCAGCCGCAGGGGAAGCCGACGGCGCTGCCGAGTCGACTGCAGGAAGCGGAGGGGAACTGTCGGAGGAGGGAGCGGGCGCTGAAAAAGAAGAAGAGGAGGTTGTGAGGCGCGTGGGCGCTGACAGGCACCAAAGGGGTGCGGCTGGGATGGAAGAGCCGGTGATTGAGAGCAGGGATGGGCTGGACGCGGGCGCGCTCTTCCACAGGCTCAGCAGGGAGGGCCACCAGGCAGCACAGCAGGGGGACAGCAGCGCAGACGCCGCTGCAGGATCTGATGAAGACGCATCGGTGGATGCTGACAAGGACACAGTGGCTGTGGGGCAGCCGGCGCCTCAGGATGCGCCAGGCGGCAAGGCAGAGGGGTCAGGTGCCGAGGAGGAGCCTGACACTGAGTTGCTAGAGGCTGGGCAGGAGCCAGAAGTGGCAGGCAGCCTGCACAATGAGTTGTGACCAGTGAGGGTCTGACGCAGATTTCTAGAAAACATCACTCGGATGGAGTGCAAACTTTTCGTACTAGTGCAATATGTTTCGTGGAATCATGAGCAGTGAATTGAATGCAAGCATATGCAAAGATTGTTTCTTGGCAGCATTTGTACATGAAAAGGCTTTCTGAATGATTTGCACCTCAGAATGACCAAGGGTGTTATCACAGATTATGGCATTACTGTATTTATACTGCTGAGCCTGTCTCAACACATGCCTCACACGGAATGCCTGACGAAAACAGATCTGAGGAACTATGTCTGCAACTCCAAACAATGCAACAGCAAGAACCACATCAAAACCCATTCTAAGTTGATGTATGTCTCAAAACCAAAGCTGGATTTCCGGAAACCTGTTTCACAACTCCACATACTCAGATCCCCCTTCACGCCGACACAATTGTGTTGCAACAAGCCGGCCAGCCGCATCACGCGCGTCACCAGAGCAGCACGTAGAAGTGCAGAAGGAGGATGTACAGCATCAGACCCGCGCGCGCGCCGGGCCGCTTGTCCAGGGCGGCCACGGCGCGGTCCACGCGGCGAGCGGCGTTGACTATCACCAGGTGGTTGAAGGGCGGCGGCGCCTTGCGCACGAGGCCGGCGATGGGCTTGGCTGTGGCGGCATTCCCTGCGGAGGGCCCCCCGGCCTCCACATCGTAGGCGTCCTCGTCCTTCTTGTTGGCGGCCGCGCCGTGCGACAACGAGTCCCGCCGCACCGCCGCCGCCATCTCCTCAACGTCCGCCGCGCGCTTGCGCTGAGCCTCCACCTCGTTCCGCAGCGCCTGCGTCCGGAATTCAGATTTGATTTGTACTTCCTGGAAGCACCTCATCTAAGATATGTCTCCTATGCCGAAGCCATACCTCAAGTGACATGCAATTTGATGGCAAACGGAGTCAGACATCCCTTCCAGCTCGTGGCAGGCTTGATTTGTCGGCTTCAGTTGGGAACTCTGTGGGCATGAGCCAGCGCTGGACCCATGAGCGTGGCAAGATATAAGCAGAGATCAGGGGCTGCTCCTCACCTGATTCTCAGCGCGGGTGCTGGTCAGCTGCACCTCCTGCTGGGCGAGCTGGTCGTGCATCTGGCGCAGGCGCGCTGAGGCGTCCCCTCCCGCTGCGCCCTCCACCGAGCGCGGCCCATTGGACATGCCGGGTGAGCGCGATGCAGACTCGCGCATCCTCTCCACCTCGCTCGTCAGAGAGCTACAGCGCTGTTGCAGCTCTGTGTACGCCGCCTGCATGCATTCGGTGCCACAGGCAAGCTCAGGGACAGGCACGCTTATGGCAAGTGTACTCCATCGATGAATAAAAGAAGTCTGGTGGAGACTCATGTGCTGAACTCCGGGAATTTTGCACCGATTGAATGGAACCCATTCTTGCCAGGAACTGGCCCAATAAGAGTACGCTCTAGGAAAGGGCCTGCTTCACCCACCTGAGCAGCTTCGTACTGAGCCTGCAAGCTCTGGTAGGCTTCGCTCCACTGGCCCACCACAGTGCTGGACTCCTCCACTTGCGCGCGCAGCTGCTCCTGCTCCTCCTGCATTGCCTTCCTCACAGCAGCCACCTCATCCTCGGCCGCCTTTGCTGTTGCCTGGTGCACGCCACAAGCAAAGACCCTCAGCACCGTGCCAGCCTTTGCCACACACCACATAAGGCATTGATAGGCAGATTAAGGAAGCAAGGATGCGCCAAACAATGTGGCTGGCTGTCACATTGTGAGAGGTCAGTGAGGACATGAGGGGCACCTCAGCAGCAGCCAGTTTCTCCTCGGTGACCTTCTTGTCCTTCTGGCCGGACTGGGTCTTCTGCTGCTTCAGGGCTCCATTCTCTGCGCGGAGTGCTGCCAGCTGCTGCCGCCCGCTCTGCAGCTCTGAGGCCATGCCCTCTGCGATGCTCTTCTGCTCATCAAGCTGCTGTGTCGCCTGTGGCAGATAATCGCAGATTTCCCTTACTCGTCAGAAACAGGGCATTACTCGATGTAGCACGTTGCTCAGCTCCATTCAAGTGCCTTGGAGGGCAGTGTGCCACAATGATAACGTACCTGTGAGGTCTGCTCCGTGACAGCATGCAGCTGTGCAGTGAGCTCCTTGTTCTGCTGCAGCAGAACGGAGAGCTGTGCAGACACGTCGGCCTGCTTGCCTTCCTGCGCCTGCAGCCTGCTGACTGCGGCCTCCGCCTGACTGGCCCGAGCGGTGATGGCGTCCACCTGCTTCACGGCCTCGTCCCTGCATAGCCACATCCCACACACTTCAAATCATCAAGAGAGCATACAAGGCTTGAAAGTGTACGCAGGCACACATCTGGTGCACAGTCCTCCTGGCTCTGTGTTAGGAGCATGGGTCGAGGCAGTACAAGAAACACCTAGAATAGTGGATTGTCCATTCAGGCCCAAATCTACAAGGGATCGCCTCACCGCTGCTGCTGGGCGCGGAGGAGGCGGTCCTGCAGCGTCTGCAGCTCCCTGCGCAGCTCCCCCGCAGCTTCCCTGGCGCCTTCCTCCGAGGCTGCCAACCGGGCCGCATCCTGCCCACCACAATCGCCTTCAAAATCTCCATCCTAATCTTCCCCAGTTATATCAAGGAATGGGGATAGCGAGAAGGCGAAGGCTGCAAAAGTTATGAATCGCATGCTTCTCCATGTCCTAAGAACAGCAGCGCCGCACCTCCTGAGCGCGCCGCAGGGATGCCTGCAGCTGCTGCTGCTGCGAGCGGACGTCCTTGAGATCCACCTCCAGCGCAGAGGTTCTCCCTGAGAAGCGTTCCTTTTCGGCCATCACCGACTCAAACTGCGGCACCAGCTCCTCGAGTTCCTTCAGGTAGCTGTCCTTCTCCTGCACCCGAGTAAAATTCTCAGCTGACGCATCTCCTGCACTCAGCTCCTGGCAAGATCCATTATCATATGTCATAATTAACAGCATTTGGCCAGATCTCAGCTGCATCTGCAAAGACCATCCCACAGCTCCTTCCTGTTGCACGGCAGGATCTCACCTTGACGACTTCTGCAGCCCTGGATGACTGCTCTCGAATCTTGGTCTCCAGCGCCTGCAGCTGCTGTGCCATCTGCTCTGCCCTGTCTGTGGCCGCCTTGAGCGCGTCCGACGTGCTGGCTCCACTCGCCAGCTGCTCCCGCAGGGCCCCAAGCTCTTCGCCCCGTTGTGCCAGCGCCGCCTACGCACATCCACATTTTCAGAACCTCTGTTACAAGCATCATCCAGAACACTTATATTTAGCAAGATTTGTCACCCGGTAAGTCAAGGAGTTCTTGATCACTCATCAAAAGGAAGCATGTCAACTCACCTCTGCGCCTGTGAGGCGCTCTGTGCGCTCCTGCAGCTGGCTCTGCAGCTGCTGTGCCTGCTCGGCGGCGGCGGCCACCTGCCCCCGCCACTCGTCCAGCTCATGGCCAGCGCCCTCCAGCTGCCGCCGCAGCTCCTCAATCTCAGCTGCCGCCTGCGCCTCGCGCGCCGCCGCGCTCCTCTCAATCTGCACGCGAACACCTGAATGCTCCTTTGCAGCCCTCAGGAGCAAAGCAATGCCTGACGCACGTTGGACTAGTCAACTCAGAGTTCCAAGAGAGGATTTAGGGATCAGTACGCAAAGCGCCTTGCTACTGATTGGTGGTCAATTCCATCAGCCACTATACAGAGCTCCGTGTGGAGGATCGTGATGAAATGCACACCTCCTCGATGCGGGTCTGCACGGCCCTGAGCTCCTGCTCGTGCGCTTCGCGGTCGGCGGGGGCCGCCACCTGCGCCTCAAGCTCTGCAACGCGCTGCTGCATGCTCCTCAGCTCCTCCTCCTTGGCGGCCAGCGCCGCGCCAGCCGCCTCGGCCCGCTCGGCAGCCGCCGCCAGCTCAGCAATGCGCGCATTGGCCGCAGCGATCTGGGTGTCCCTCTCCGCCAGGCGGGCCTCCAGCTCGCTCAGCTGGCCCTGCAGGCCACCCGAGGCGGCCGCGGCCACTTGCGCTGCCTCCAACCGCTCGCCGAGGACGTAGTTGTGCTCCTTCAATTCCGCGACCTGCTCGTACAGCGTCTCCTGGGCTTCCTCCAGCTGCCGGGCCAGCCCCTCTCTGTCGGTGCGCGCCTGCTCCAGCTTGCCCTGCAGTGACTGTGCCTGCGCCTGCGCTGCCGCCAGCTGCTCGGCGCTGCTGCCGCGCGATTGTGCGTCGTCGCGCGCCTGCTGCAGCTCCTGGGTGAGGGCGTCCACCTGCTGCGCCAATCGCGCCTGCGACTCCAACACCACGCCCAGCTGCGCGCGCTGCTGCTCCGCCTGCTGCAGCGCCTCGTCGCGCTGCTCACCGGCTTCCACCACCGACGCCTATCACGAGTGTAAACTTGTTAATATTGAGCGGTAGAAGACTACTGGATGATGCAGCAGGAGGTGCTAAGAGAGTGTCAGGAGCACATGGCATGCCCCTACCTTGAGACTATTGTTGAGCTTATTGAGCTGATCCACCTCGCCCTCCTTTGCCAGAATGTCTGCTGCCAGCTTGTCCGCCGTCTGTTGTGAGTCCTGTGCAGCTGCCACCTGAACATGACAAGGCGAGATCTCAGAGGAGCAGGTAACTACGCATACATGCCTGTGTTGGGTACAGAACCAAATTTATCATGGAGCACCAGAAAAGGACGTTGTCAGATGAGTCGATTGGGTTCTACCTGGCATTTCAAGGCTTCATGATCACGTTGCAAAATCTCAAGCTGCTGCAGGAGCGCTGCCTTCTCCTCATCAGCCGCTGATGCCAGGGCCTCCAGGCGGGTGTTGGCGTCCTCCAGCTGCAGGTTGGCTGCATCCAACTCAGCCACCTGGACCATCCCAGACCACATTTAATGCCCAAAGGAAGTCTAGCAGACATCAATCCGGCCCGGCAGCATCATGCGTATTTACAGCGCAGAGACAGCTCAACAACATGACCTTTGTACTCCAACCAAGCAGGAGCTTGAGAAGTGATGCATCAAGGTTGGCACTGCCACCAGCTCACCTGCTCCTCCAGGACCTGGATGGTGGCCTCCAGCTCGCGCGCACGTTCGTCACCCTCGCGCTCCGCTTCACCGCTCAGCCGCTCTATGGTCGCCTGCAGCGCCGCTATCCGCTCGTTGTGCGCATCCGCGCGGCTGTCCGCATCGTCCTGCAGATCCGCCACCTGCTGCGCCAAGTGCTGCACCTGCACCAGCAACCAGCACATCGTCACGCGCTCAGTTGGGCGACTTTATGACTATTTTTATGTCAGCTTGGTGGCAGGCCACAATGGGGGACAAGATCTGTGAGTTGCGTCAGAGTATTGACAGCTAGAACATGATGAGATACAGTTGTTAGGTATGTTGTGGGGAGCACACCTGTTCCTCAAGGCGGGACTTGCTGCTCTGCCACTCCGAGGCTGCGGCCGCTTGCTGGTCGGCTGAGGACTGCAGGTCTTTCAACTGAGCATGCAGCTGCCCTATCTCGTCCTCGCGCGCTTGCAGCACAGCCTGCAGTTGCTCGGCGGTTCTGCCGGCCTTGTCCGTGTGGCTGCTGAGAGCAGCATCCCTCTCATGCAAGGCCTCCCTGAGGTGTTGAAGCTCGGTTGCATGCCTCTGCCGCTCAGAGGCCAACTCTGCCTTGAGGTCTGCAATTTGCTGCGCGGCAGCTGCATCCCCGTGTCCAGAAGCATGATTCCCTTGCACAGTGCCGTTCTCATAGCCCGCGACCAGCGGCGCTGCAGCCTGCTTGCTTCCTATGACCATCGAGGCGGCATTATTGGACTGCTCAGGCAGAGCCATTGATGCATGCACACTCTCCTTTGGAGAAGGGGCCGGCACTTTGTCATGTGATGGGGTTGCCGGCTTCGGAGCTGGAGGCTGTTGGGCTGTTGAAGGTTGAGTTCCCTGTATGTGCCCGTTCCCTGACACAGGCTCCCGGGTGCTGCTGCTTGGAGCAGCTTGGGAGCTGTCCTGTGGAGGTCTGCTGGCAGGCGCCGCAGGAGTCCTACTCCTCGAAGCAGGCTCGGGTGCTTTTAAGGGGGTGGGCACTGGCGTGATTTGCGGCGTTGTCAGTGGTGTTGCTCTCTTTGAAGCTTGAGCTGCTGCTTTCTTCTTCTTGAACTCCTCAAGCTGCATGGCATTGTGAAGACCCTTAATGAAGCTGTCTGGCGGGATTCAAACTTGTCGTCTGTAAAGAGTAGCATACATATTCAAGGAACGCGAAGGATATCAAGAAAAAAGTCCTGATCAGACCCTTTTACTTTTGACATCGCGGCTTAGCTGTGCAATAACATTCTTGTTTGTAACCAGAATTCTTGTTAAAGGATTTTCCAATGTGTACCTTGCGTCTGCCTGCCTCAGCAGCTGACGCCTTGGCATCCATGGCAACGAAGTCTACTTAGTTTGGATTTGACACTGCATACTCCTACACATTAGAAGAACCCTTCCAGATCGCCTTCAGCTCCAGGACATTAGTATTGTATCGATACATATGCTAAGGTCCCATCAGTAGTGCTTTAATTAGCTTTTCACCGCAAAAAATTTTCAAAGACGAGGTTTGGAAAATGCACCCGTATCGAGCGCAGAGGTCCGTAAAAATGAATGCCTGCACGAGCACTGTAACTCAGCTTGAGAGAGAGGATGGTCCTCGAGTTTGCTCTTCAGCCTGACATTAGCGTTCAGGAAAGCAGTCATGAGGATTCCAACCGGCGATCCCTGGTCTTCGGTGAGAAATGCTCTCTTGGGTGTCGCGTCGACACCGAGTGCGCAAGCACCCAGATCCATTTTATATGATGCTATTTGATGAACGCAGGTGGAAGATCTAGATGGACTTGCGTTGTACAGCATTCTGCAGCTCGATAAGAGCGCAACCTCAGATGACATTAAAAAGGTGAGGATCTGGGTTGGGTATGAGTCACTGCGGTACAGGAGCTACCAATGCCAATCGTGGTGATCTCAAGTACATTACAAACATCGTGAAATATTGATCCATTCCCTCTGCAACACTACACCATGTTCTGCAGGCCTACAGAGAGTGTGCGAGAATACATCATCCTGACAAAGGCGGGAGTGCGGAGAGGTTTGCGAAGGTCCAGGCTGCCTTTGAAACATTGTCTGACCCCAGAAAACGTGCTGTGTACGATGAATGGGCGAAAGAGCTGCAGTATCGTTACGTTCCTGGGGTCACTCGTAAGGTGATAGATCCCTCGCATTGGGCGTTACACCAAGGCAACCCGTTAATTGTGGCACATACTTTCGCATTTGCACGCATTACATCTCATCAATCTACGATGTGTCCGTTAATCATTCCAGGGGTGAAGTTTGCCCACATCATCTTTCGTATGAGGATCCTGCCTTCTACACTTGGGTGTCTGCCTGAATCCTATTGGTTTTGAAGGCAAAGGGAGGCGAGGATGTGCTGCTCGACGAATTTGATGGCTTGGGATTGCACTGTGAGGCACAGACACAATTGGTTGTGATCTGTGAAGTCTGCGGTCGGCCCTCGACAAAAGAATGCTGGACTTGTGCGATGAAGATCTGCGATTTTTGCACACTCAAACGCCATTGGAAGGTGTGAGTGCGCTCAAACCTCCAAACACAGCAATTACTAGTCGATGCCTCTGTGTCAAAAACGCAAATATTCTTCTATGCGTACTTTAAAATTATTTACACTGCCCACCTGTTGCATAACACCTGGACAATGCTGCAGGACACATTTCCGCTACACTGGCCTCTCATAAACTCAGATCATATGCGCACACGCCTAGCGAAGCGGGAGCTCGAACAGAAGAGAATAGACGATGCCAAGAGGTGCTCTTGGCCAAAAGCTTCTGTTGCTCAGCATGCAGATCGGTGGTGTCAAAGACTGAAGCGGGTGCGTGACTTGCTATGTGGTGCAGGCTCATGCTGCAGGATCCAAACTCAAGGACCAAACAGGAGCTCATCACAATACGTGCATTCAAATCGGCTGCCTATGCGATGTTGAAGCGAGACAACAGCCTGGTGAGGATAGCAGGTGCATTCAGAGGCACTGCAGCTCTTGGACTCAAATAATGGCGGCCTATTGTCCAGGACTGTTGCTGTGTTTGCAGGTCTGCTATGACCTAGCACTTGCACGCTTCTATATGTGGGCACAGAGCGACGAGAAGGTCATCATTGCTGTACTAGTGCCCACAGGTATGGTTTTGTCTTTGCTTCCAACACATGCTTCTCCCTTTTCGCATCGCATGACCCAAACCTTCATTGTGCAAATATTGACCTGTTCAGCAAACATTTCAGAGCCAAGCCTGTTTCTGACAACATCAGCCGTGTCAAAGTCGTACCTAATATAAGAATCAGGATCACTACACCTACTTCTTGTGCAGGATATGAGGACATGGAACTGGACATTGAGTGCACAGAGACAGGGTTCCGGTTGCAGCCCCAAAACTCTCCCCCAGTCATACATCGGGCATTTGATTACTGCATTGACAGATCACAGCCGATAGAGACCTTCAGGTGAGAGGAGTCACTGTGATGCATGGCGAACACCTGCTGCCCATCAGCTTGTCGTGCAGAGCTGACAAAATCCTCAATTGCCTTTTGACTCTGCAGAACAGAAGACAACCGATGCCTTGGCTTGGTGCTGCGGAAGCAAGTCTTTGGAGAGCACTGGAGGCGCATGTTTCGCGGCGATCCTGATGGTGCACGCTGCATGCTACCTCCCTATCAGATCTCGGGTAAGCAGTGTTTCTGATATTATTGTCCACCTGCTCAGTAGACTGATTGCACCCAGGTGTCTCTAAATCATCCCATGCTTGGAGTTTTTTGTGCTTGCAGAGTCTGAGGGCGATGTCCTGATGGAAATCGACCTGCCGTTCTGGGTATATCCAGAGGATGTGGACGTCCGTTTCCTTCCCGACAGCCTGCAAGTGTCTGTGCGGAATGAGCTGAGGCTCAGCCGGACATACTGGCAACCCAGGTGACAAGCTAAATATCTGGGCAGGAGTAAGCCTGCAGCATAATGCAGAGTACAAACTGGCAGCTTATTGATGCGCTGCAGCCCATTTATTGTGAGGGATATTGTGGAATGGCAGGGGCGATGACAGGAAGGATCAGTCTTGGTGTGCGGTGGATGTGGATGAATGCATGTGGTGCCTTGAGGATGATGTCAGCCCAGCAGGAGAGGATGTCAAGACTCTTATGATCACCCTTGTCAGACCGTCCCCAACAGAAAGCGAGGTGACCTGGAAGAAAGGTAATCTTCGCATTCACTGCCCTGCCCTCGCTTCATCTTCATGTCAAGCAAGAGCAATTTTCCTGTCTTCACCATACCTCACCGCGCCCTGACAGATGACAGTGTGCATTTGAGTACAATTGGTGTGCCATTGGTGTCACATGCATGGTGCAGGCAAGCGGCAGAACAACCAGACCAAGGAGCGGCCAGGGAGCCTGCTCAGGAAGGGCTTCCGGTTCTTTGCGGATGATGAAGATGAGTTTGACTTGGAGGACCTCCTCCAAGCGCTGTGTTTCCTGGAGACTGGATCCACCTGGCTGCCCAGCAAGCCCTGGCAGTCAAATGTCCTTGGGAAGCGGGTGGATCAAGCAGATCAACTGCCAGAGCCAGTGCTGCAGCGCCTGAAACACCTCCTTGATCTGCAATAGAGCTCAGTGAGCGTGTGAAGGCATCTGAAGCCTGCGGCTACAGCGATTTTGACAGTGCATACAGATTTGTGAATTTCAACTACACAGGAGCTTTGCCAAGAAGCAGGACAAGAGCACTCGTGAGTTTTCATCCAGCAGTCGGTTCCCTCAGTGCCAATAGTGCAGTAGCTCTGATCTGAATTTGCAAGACTAAGGGTTATCAGCAGCACTGATGCCAGCTAATCCTTGAAGCATGCCAGCTGTGGGGACCTTATCTCAGTAGAATTATGAGCTCGGCAGAGCAAGCTCAAGCTGACAGTACCTTGTCCAGACAAGGATCCTCGTGGGTCTCTACATCGTCGACTCCATGATACATGCATAATAATGGCTTTTCTGTGAAGCACCTCCCACCCTCAGACTTCCTCCTCCTTCTCAGGCGGTACGCCACACGGCAGAAGCATTTTCTGCGTCATGCTGTACTTCACGCGGCCGATGGATTCATTTTCTGCGATGGCAAAGTAGGCAAGAATAGGGTGGTGTCCAATGTACGAGGCATAGCTATCCCGGTGGATGTTCACCGCCCACTCAAAGCGACTCAAATCTGCATGACCAGTTCCAATGTGTTTTGCCTGCGGGCAGCAGCACCAAACTGTATTGAGGAGGGCTTCCCAGAGGCTTTGACAAAACAGTGCATTCATGACTGACTGCAGGAACCATACAGGCAAGTGGGCATTGCACGGCTATTTCAATATCGTTTGATATGTGTGTATTACCTGCAAGTGTTCCAGCTGACTGTTGATATTGAAACGGTCTTGTAGAGTCGCCATCTCTGCAGATGCTCCTTCAGTCCACTATCTCCAGTCAGAACCTCTTACACCTTAAGAACCTCGCGTAGAGACCTGCATGATAGTATAATTAAGGTATCAGGGAGAGAACATGAGCAGCACGGCACCAAAGGTAGATGTCTCAGTTGGAAAGTCTCTTTATACCTTGTAAAATGTATCCTTCTGTGTTCAATCTTCCTGCTCAACAGCTGATCCTCATCATCACCGTTGTTCTACACGATAGTGTGTCCTCTGTGTTTTCGTAATATCTTACTTTTCTGCCTCCAAGAGAAAATTGCTCTTGACCGCGACCCGCACATGCTGCTGCATCGGGATCCGTAGACTTCTCCTGCATGACATGCACATGGACTCAGCTTTCAGACTTCACAGCGTTGATAAAATGAGTGCTTGAGATCTCTGTTGAGTGCCTGGAAAGCATGCAGTGTGCTTCGCCGATAGGCCGCTGCTCTAGGCTACAAGAGCGGAATCCCTCAGTTCTAGGGCAGAACCGGAGTCTCAAATTTGTGTTCCAGCCATGTGATTCTCATCCTCGACGCTTCAACAAGAAAATTCGCATCATCCGCGCTGCATCTGGCGAACAAAATAAGACTCTCACGGCCTTCGCCGTTGAGTCGCCAGGTGACCATGCCCTTGGTCTGCCTGCTCCAAAAATACCTTTCATCGTGCACGATATACTGAGTTGCTAATGTACATGGCTCATCAAGAGTCTTCACGCATCCGATTGTCATGATGTTGTATATGGTAGTATTCCCCATATCGATGCTAACAGTCGTCTTGATTTACAGACGCGAGTGATGAAGTCCTGGAGTGCCCTACACTGCGCGATAAGCTTGAGCCCAGGTATTTCTGTAGGATATGTTGTCTAAATCTGTTTTCCCTGTGCTCACCAATACTTCAAATCATGACTCTTGTCTGGGAGCTTGGCTACCCTGTCTACCCTTCAAAGCTGTCACATTTGCAAAGATGTTGGCTCATGTGAGCGCAGGCCGAGTCCGTACGTGATCAGCAACAATCTGGGGGGTGGATTTGGTGCGTATCATGCATTGACTGGCTGTTGTTTCTCTACGCTTGCATGATCCATTCCAGTATCATCACATGCTCAATACGATGACATGTCTGATCTGCCGGTTTCGGTGCAGTCTCTGATCAGGACAAGGTCGCCCTCACTTCAATGAAGTTTGCATCAGGATCCTCTGCAGGTGTGTCTTCGTTTCCTCAATTGGACCATAACACTAGCTGACAGAATCTTGGACTTTTGCAATGGCAAGATATTCGCTCTTAAGCCTATCCCAACAATTGTGTGTCCTGCCTGGGGCAGGTGCCACCTGTGCTGGTTCGTCGCTCAACCAGGGCGAAGAAAATATGGACCAGGCATATTCCCTCATCTCGTTTTTGGATGAAGGAAGATTCCCATTTGAACTCTGGTGCTTCAAAGCCGCCAATCTGTCTGGATAGAACATGACGTCGGTGCAAATGCAGGTCTGTGTGCCGTTGCCAGCATGGGCGATCAGAGCAGGCGCAAGGGAGACGATCTATTTCAACCCAGTGGAGACAAATGTCGCCATTGTCACATGCGGCGGACTCTGTCCAGGCCTGAATGATGTGGTGCAAGGCCTTGTGCGCAAGCTCGAAGATTACGGTGTCCCAGAGGGCAATATTATGGGCATCAGGTGATGCTTAAATCCTATTTGTTGGATCGGATGTAAAAATTGGGCACCGTCCTGATGGTGAAGGGCACTTGTGATGCGCCTCGGCGCGACAAGCTCTAGCAGACAATCGCAAACTCTTGTGGTGTGCATTCTGCGACAGGTATGGCTACAAAGGTTTCTATGACCGGCGGCACAAGCCTATTGTGCTGACAAGAAGGCTGGTGGAGGGGATCCAGCTCCAGGGCGGCACCATACTGGTGAGCATGGGAAATTTCCTTCAAGCCTTGTAATATTAGTGCAGAGGTCTGTGTATTCCTCAACATTCAATTCGCAAGCTACAGCAAGAGAATTTTAAGAGAGCAAGAGCTGTGCGTAATGGTTGTGCTGTGAATAACAGGGGACATCAAGAGGTGGAGCAGACATCCGCGAGATTGTGAAGCGGATAGACATGTGGGCCATCGACATGGTGTTTGTGGTGGGCGGGAATGGCGGCAATGCAGGCGCCGCGGCCATCCAATCTCAGTGCGAGAAGGCCGGCGTGACCTGCTCTGTGATCGGCATCCCTAAATCCATCGACAATGACATCCTTCTGGTGTGCAGCCTTGGCGCCGCTCTCGTCCATGATGTTGCATGCTGTCCTTTTGTTCTACATGCTAAAAGCCTGCTGCTCATGGGAAGGGTTACTGCTGCTGAAGAGCCTGAAGGGTGCACGTGGTGCGCAGATCGACAAGTGCTTTGGCTTTGACACTGCGGTGGAGGAGTCTCAGCGTGCGCTGATGGCAGGCAAGGTGGAGGCTACTTCTGCCTACAAGGGCATCGGTCTCGTCAAGCTCATGGGCAGGCAGTCCGGCTTCATTGCCATGCAAGCATCCATGGCATCAGGTATACCTGACTTGCTACAGTCCATTTGTAATCTGACATGCGCATGCTGCCTGTCAACACCTGACTTGATGGATACTGCACGCAGGTGTTGTGGATGTATGCCTGATCCCAGAGGTGCCCTTTGTGTTGCATGGTCAGAACGGCCTCTGCGCGTACTTGGACAAGGTGCTCGAGAGCCGGGGCCATGCGGTGGTTTGCCTTGCTGAGGGTGCTGGCCAGGTGCGGCAGTCTGCTTGTTATGAGCTGACACATGCAAGATTCACCTCTGCAGCACAGCTGGATGTCTACAGAAACTTGTACAGTGTCTGTCTACACAATAAACGTTCCTCTGTGGGACGATTTTGACAGAAAGGCAGTGCTGCAGGACATTCTGGCAAAGGGGGAGCTGGGGACGGATGCCAGTGGGAATCCCATCCTGCAAGATGTGGGCGTGTGGATGAAGCAGGAGCTCAAGAACCATCACAAGGAGGCCGACATCAAGTACATCGAGCCCAGCTACATGATCCGCTCCACTCCCACTATCTCCAGTGATCGCATCTACTGCAAGGTGAGCCTGTCTCCATGGTCCCCGTGCTGCTTGGTTTCTTGCAGGCTATGCATCTGACCTTTTCCTCTGATGAGCATGGCCAATTCCTTGCATGCCTTGGCGCAGGTGCTGGCCCACAATGCAGTGCATGCTGCGTTTGCTGGCTACACAGGGGTCACAGTGGGCCTCGTCAACACCCACTACGTGTACCTTCCCATCCCTGTCGTCATCCAGGCTCCTCGAAAGGTGACTCTCTCACACCAATTGAGGTTTTCTGCTGCTTGGAGCTGATGACGAGACCAATAGTTGAGCATCCGGATGCTGGCTTCACAGTCCCAATCTGTGCTGTGTCACCTGCAGGTGGACCCACGCGGAAAGACCTGGAACAGGTTACGGGCCTCCATCGGCCAGCCCAACTTTGTGGAGGAGGGGCAAAGCCAGGACATTTAAAATGCTCCCCTTTCCTGGGCATCGTGACTGTCATTTGGCTTAGCTATGCAAGTGCAGCAAAAGTGTCACAGGTGCAAACAGAATTGAACGGAAAAATCAAATCAAATTGAACACAAAGGCAACCCACTGTCAAACTCTGGGTGCCCCCTTGCTTTTTGGTTGGGTCCTGGGAAGAAGAATGATGCTGGTTGCCAACCAGTGGTTGGGTGCCCTACTTGGGGCGCTAGTTTTTCGGTTCATGTCAGGATGTCTTTCATGTCTGCTGCCATTCATGTCACACCACAAGGGTGTGAGGTCAGATGTCTTGTGAATCGGTCACTCCCCCAGCATGAATTATACTATACGTATGCTGAAGTCTCTGTACATCTTAGTGGCACAGTGTAGGCTTCTATGTAGGTCCTTCATTTAACAGCTAGGCCTATACTAGTCCAGGACGCCTTCAAGGAAAATACTGTTGGTCGAGCTATTGAGGGTGCACTGGGTCCATGGCATGCGCTTACCTTTAAACTTTAAGCTTGAAGCTTGACCTCATGAGCCCTGAACAGCCTGACATAAGTTCTCCATATCTTCACGCCACCTGTGTAAGAGCCTTGTTCTGCTGGGTGGTACTTTGTTTGTGTATCCGGAGTTAGTGCATGTGAACTGCAGATTTACTGTGTGAGGAGCTATACAGGGTTATATATGGGGTTCAAAATTTGTGTACCCCAAACAATGCTGAGTCACCAGTGACTCACACTTCACATGATCGCCATGCAGAGAAGCACAACCGGATATAGAGTAGCAAATTCATTACATATTATCCAAAATTTTGCAAGGGAATCTGGGGCGGAATTCCCACCTAGGGGTGAGACAACAGCAGGGGTGCATGCATAGATGGACCTACAGAACACAGATTTGGCATCAGGCCTCGTGTCTTCCACCTACATACAGCAAGGTGCAGACGCCCTGAGCACACGCCGCCGACTGATCAAGACCTTGCTTTCCCAGCGATGTCTGCCGAAAGTTGGTTGGGATGAAGACACTGTAGAATTGTTCATCAAGGTATGTCAGGGACACTTCATACCTTTTCTTTTCTCTCCTTTGAATGTTGCTTACATGCACAGTTCCAAGAACCCATGAGAACGTCTCATCGGTGAAACAGCTCATCTCAGATCTCATGGCATGCCAGAACATGACGCCTGTTACATTTTGTACCCACAGGACGCAGCATTTATGGACAGCAACAATTTCTTGAGCAGTGTGGGAGTTGGAGAGCGAGAGGCTCGGGTCGCCAACCGCTTGGTCGCGAAGAGACATTTTGGACTAGCCCATGGCATTGGCCGATCAGGGGACGTTGCAGCTGAGCAGCCAAAGGTGCTGTGAACTGCTTTTGTGAGAGCAATATCTTCTTCTGCAATGTACACTGGCCCTCACTGCAGATGCTTTGGTGCAGGCTGCAGGGTCCTCATTACTAGCCAAGCTGACCAACATTCTAGTGCAAGATGCCCTCAAGGTGGCAGGAATGCTGGATGTTGGAGCAGTCACTGTACTGCCACTTGCAACAGGCATGGCATTGACTATGACACTGCTCGCCTTGAAGGCAAAGAGACCTCAGGCAAGGTGATGCACCGAGCCACATGCAAGCCCTTGAGTCTTCCACCCGGTATTGTCTAATAACAGTTGCTTCATTTCCTTTTCATACATGCAGGTACGTACTGTGGCCGCGCATCGATCAGAAGACATGCCTGAAGGCAATAGTGTCAGCGAATCTTGAGGCTGTGCCGGTGCCCTGTAATCTGGAAGGGGATGAGCTGCGGACGAACGTGCCCCTGCTGCGCGCTGAGATCGAGCGCCTCACCCCTGCCAGCATCGTCTGCATCGTCACCACCACCTCATGCTTTGCACCGCGGGGTGCAGACTCACTTGTGGAGGTCGCCAAGCTCTGCATGGACGCAGACATTGGTCACATTGTCAACAACGCCTATGGCGTGCAGTCTGCAGCCCTCTGTGCCCTGGTATGCGCCTGCTTCAGATGAGCTTAGTGACTCTCACAACCGCCATGGAGACCTTTGAGTATTTGTCAATCTGTGCATGGCTTATTCCTGTGACGCGCGCATGGCTGAATGACACATCATCTCAACAGGTGACATCGGCGTGGCGGAAGGGGCGTGTGGATGCGGTGGTGCAGTCGACTGACAAGAACTTCATGGTGCCTGTGGGCGGCGCCGTGGTGGCCGCCAGCAAGCAGGACCCCTCTCTTGTTGCCGCTGTGAACAAGGTGATGACATTCGCAATCCACCACACTCCTGATTCGTTCCTTAGCGTTCGAGCTAGAACATTTGGTAATGGCCTCTCAAGACATGATCCTGGGAGTCAGGCTGTGCTGCAGGTTTCCTGACGAGTGCTTCATGCAGGCTTATCCTGGGAGGGCTTCTATTTCACCGCTGTTGGACCTGCTCATCACACTGCTGCAGTGGGGCGAGAGCGGCTGGCGAAATGTTCTGCAACAGAGGGAAGCAGTGTATTGGTACGGCTGCTGTCAGCCCTGCCCTGCACAATTGCACCATGTTGACATGGCATTTGCAGCATTGTGCTGAAAATCATGAGTCAGGGACATTGAGGGTTGTTCATGCTTGCAGGCGTGCATTGGATAAACTGAGGGACTTTGCTGAGGCCATTGGGGAGCGCGTCCTGGACACTCCAAACAACCCAATCTCAATAGGCCTCACCCTCACGAGTTTGCAGCAATCCTCTGTGACACACCCGCCTTCTGCAGCAACGCCTAGAGATGCTGATGAGCAGATGCGCTCAAGCAGTAGTGAGCCTGCCTCATCTGGCAATCATGGACATGTCAAGGAAGCTGCCTCCACCACAGAGGCCAGCTCAGGTCTCTCTGGCTGTGAAGCTATTCAGACTGGTAGCGTAGGCACTGCAGAATTGTTGTGCAGTGACAGTGACCAGCATGTCAGCAAGGCCTTTGATGGAAGTAGCAGCCAAAAGAGCACAGCGCTGCAGACAGCGAGCAGGACAAAGCCGACTACGTTTCTTGGGTCCATGCTGTTCAAGAGGGCGGTGTCTGGATGCAGAGTGGTGGCTAGGGGTAAGGAGCAGAGCGTGGCAGGGCACTGCTTTACAGGGTACGGTGCCCACTGTGATGCTTACCCATGTGACTATCTGACATTTGCAGCTGCTCTGGGAACCACGGAGGAGGATGTGAATGAGTTTCTTAGGAGGCTAAACCTGTGCATCAAGGAGTTCAAGAAGCAGAATTGTAAATAAATACAAGTTGTAGTTTACAACTCGGATTGCCTACAACTGCAATTTCCTGCACACTGATGTCATTGCAACTTGTACTGATGTTTACATCTGTTCTAGCAGTCCCCCTGGTCTAATCCAACGAGTCGTCTCAGCTATACCTATCATAGGAGAATGTCAAGGATCAACCACGGCCTGCTGGAAGATTTTGTCCGCTCACATGTGCACACCATTCGTAGCACCATCAAGGAGATGTAGGGACCTCATCATAAGGGATGAGCTGTGCACCTCGCTGGAAACCAAAGATCATGGAGGGGTTGTACCGCATCATGTGCCCAACATCTAATGACGGGATCGTCTCTCTTGCATGACTCAAAGCCTGCTCAAAGCCTTTGACATCCAAGAGTTGCGGATGCTCCTCAACCAGTCTGCACATGCACACAAGTCCCAGTAAAAATTTGCATTCACATGACTTAGCCTGTTCTTGGATGCAGGCTAAAATCAGTATAGATGCATTCTCTCCAAAGACATAATAATCGCGATCACGATGGGAGTGGGAATGGCGCACTTGTCAACATCAACATCTGGAATGAGATCCCGAAGCCGATCAGCTGCAGCCTTTATGATGCTAATGTCCTGTCTGAGCATATACATTGGGTGCTCCAAAAATATCTGGGCAGCATCAGCTCCAGGGAAAATGCTTTTGACCTGCAGGAGACGCTCTGCAAGAGCCTGCACATGCACACTCAACCACGTCGGCAGGTGACACCACTAGATTTTAACAGAAGGATCAACTTCAACGGTGAGCGCTCGAATTTCAAGTGTGCCTTGATGGAAGCAGAGAGCTCACCCGCGGGTCTGCACACAGCTGTGCAGCTGTATCAGCCTTGATATATGGCAGACGTGATACAAGGCCAGGCAATAGAGATATGACCTCATTAAGGCGAGCATCCATCTCCTCTGTTTGTAACCTTGCTTTCTCCGCTATACTCCTCTGCAGAACCACAAGACTATGATCAGCATTCTGCTGGACCGTACTGCAAATTAAAGCCTTACTAACAATAACGTACTTTGAGTAATCTGAGCTTCAGATCGTCGTTCCAGACGGTATTTCTCTCGTTCATTTGCCAACCCATTGACCAAGGTACAGAAGAAGAGGAGCTGTTTTCTGCAACGCCATCAGTGTCGCGGTAGATGTGCTCGATGGTCGCCTTCCTCCTTTCGTCGTTACTTCCTGAGTTATAAGAGTACTCATCATGTGCAGTTCTCCCAGAGCTCTCTGCTCGAGGTACAAAGGATACATCTATCCGATGTAGCTGACACGTGAAGGCGGGCGAAGGATGAAGTGCGAAGGACAGTCGTGTCAACATAGTTCCAAATGTGTTCACCTGACAATTTGAGTTTGTGAAATGTTCAAAGAACCATTGAAAGGAGTGGATGTGCATGCAAGCGTATCCCAACCTTGGAAGGTGTGCCTCGGCAAGGGGAAGTAAGTTTACGATAGCGTAGCACAGCATGAGCGGCAAACGTGAACAATTTCATCAAATGCACCCTCTCCTAGCTCAAAGGCGTTTAGTTTTTACTTTTGTTACTTATATATACATCTGAGGACTTTTCGAAACAAATATGTACGGGGGAGGCGGGGGTTATGACGGAGCAAGTCAGTTTGGAGGTGGAGGATTCCTCGGAAGGTGTGTTTGCTCCCAAGTGAGACTGATATGCAATTGCATTGATTCTCCATTACCCCGAGGTTGGTCCACTTGTGATGCACTGTAATGCATAAATGCTTCCATGCTGGTGCACCATCATTGTCACTGAGGTTCCTCGTTTGTCTCACGTGCAGCCAAAACGATGGAGATGCACGATCACCTGCTCCAAAGGTGATTTATTTGCTCAAGATTCTCGCAGTCGTTTTGTTCCTTCCATCACTAAGAGTGATCAAGGCTTTACCCGCATCATACATGTGCAGAGTATTGCATCGAGGAAGGAAGGGCTCCGGGCTGTCACTCTTAAGCAGCTCATCGATGTAAGTTGACTTCCAGATGCTTTCATGCTCCGAGTGATAAAGTGTGCTCGACAGAATTTGCCTCACAAAGTGCCTCTGAGAGCTTGGCAAGATATTGATGGAACCCTGTGTGCTCTGTAGGCAAACAAAGCAGAAATCCACGACGATGTGAACTCCTTTCACAACGTGTGTCCTCCCTTTAGACTTCTCACCTTGTAATTCCCAGCCGATTATGCTCTAATCAAGTGCTTGGAAACTTAGTCGGTTTTGACTTTTGATTTGTGCGAGCAGGTCACTTGTGTGGGGAAGATCCTCAATGTCCGGGAGAACAACAACATTGTGGAAATGACAATATTTGACGGCACTGGCACCTACACAGTGCACTACTACAGCAATGACATAGATGATTCGGTGAGTGCTTCCAAGCAAGCTTCCCTGTCCACTGTTCACACGCTGCTTGCCCCAGGTCTGCTTTATGCGATTTGTTTAAACATTGCTTGCTTCGGCACACCTGAGGTCTGTGCGTTCACCTGGTGAACAGATGGCACAGCGCATTGCAGAGTGGCGGACTGGCGTGTATGTGAGAGTGCATGGCAATGTCAGCGACTTTGATGACAACTGGAGAATCCTGGCCTACAACATCAGAACAATCACAGACTTCAACGAGGTAGGGGAAGGTTCACAAGGAATGCTCTGCACTCTTTATGGTGAATGTAGCAAATCTGGAGCCTGGCGCAAATTACTGTCTGAAATGTGGTTCTCTGCTACCTACAGGTGACGTACCACGGCCTGCAGGCCATCTTCCAGCATGCACACATTGCCAAGGGCGCTCCTGGCAGTGGAGTTGCGCAGGCTCAATCAGGGGTGAGATACCTGACAACTCTGCAAGCATGTGTGTCGGCTCTATCTTGGTTGCTTTGCTCGGTGTGGCTCTGACACAGGGTGTGATCTCAGATCGGCGGAGCGCCAGTGGCTCAGACCGGCGGTGCTGGAGGGACTGAGTTTGGTGGTGGCCCTGACGAGGTCGGCAATGATGGCCTGACCAATATCCAGCGCAAGGTTCTGTCTGTCTTTGAACAGCCGGCGCATCTAGCAAGCAGCGAAGGCATCACGGTTGAGCAGGTGAGACCCTTATTTTGATGCCTTGCACTGCAGGGATGTCGGTAAAGCGCTAGAGTCTTGCAGAGAAGAGGTCATAAAGCTGGCGGCATGTCTCTGAGTCGTCTACATGTTGATGCAGGTTTCAGCCCAGCTGCCAAACTTGACGCCCAAGCAAGTGCGCGACGCCGTGACATTCCTGATGGACAATGCGAACATCTACACGGTCTCTGATGAGTACCACTACAAGTCCACCAAGTGTGACTGAGCAGGTTGTTCTTGTGCTGTATCTATGCTTGAACAGGGTAGAACCCCCCTCGAGAGCTGAATATTCTAGGAACTTGAACCAAATATTACAGGTGCATGTGGGTGGGACGATGATGATCCATTGAACAACTGCTCCTCGAGATTCCATTGTGATGCGCATCTCATGCTATGCTAAGAAATGATTGCCGAGGTACAATAATCTAATAGCAGTTCATGTTGTCTATATCTGCTTCTGTGCAGCAAACAACTACAGCACATGCATGTGCCCATCACATGTTGCCAACATCAGAATTTTGTCTTCCTCTTCCTGCCTGTGTACTTGGTATCGCCAGGAATGCCGACATAGCCCTTGTGCCGCGCCTGCTCCTTCTTCTTCAGGATCCATGCCTTCCCCTTGGCCTCCGGATGTCTGCTGGAGAACTGTGAACACACAGACTTTCTGTAAAATCTCAAGGCACACCCATGCTGACACATCCAAAACCAGCCGATCTTCAAGAAGACACTTTTTTAAAATTGACAAGGTCTCTCAGATTATCTAACAATTATTCAGCCAGGGTCCGATGCTTGTGGACCCATCTGCGCGGGACTGAGGCGCACCCTTGCGCTATCTGCACCCACTCGCCGCCTCTTGCTGCTGTGCTGCCGCCCGGCCACCGCGACCGTCCCTTCCTCCTCGTCAGACGCCTCCCCAGACATGCCCCTAGGAGCTGGCATGGCAGCTGAGCCGCCCACCATGAGCACCAGGAAGTACTTCTTCGCGCGCGTGCTGTGGGGGAAGTCCACCACTAGGCCGCCGCTGAAGCCGGCACGCATGGCTGCTGAGGTCAGCATCTCCGCCTGGCTGCTGTCTGCCGGGTAGATCTGCAGCACCGCGCGGCCGCCCCGGGTGAGGCAGCTGTACATCGTCTCGAAGAACCTGCGCATGCGCCGCCGCGGATCCGCCCCTCGCCGGTCCTGCATGGAAAACCCACAGATGAGCGCTCCATGGCTTGTATTGAACAGCAGGGTTGGCACGCAGTGTCACAGTATTCCCTGGTGAGCTGGCATTCATTTGGTAAGGTGTATACTTCAAGGTCTTTCATGAGCTCTGCATCTTTGTAGGTCTGCTTCATGCTTAAAATGCCAAAACAAGTGCGTCACTTACAGCATTGCACAGCCATTGTACAGCAGAGATGGAGATGGCCCCATCAAAGGCGCCGGTCCGCAGTGGGAGCCCATCGCCCAGATCATGCAGGCACAGGTCCCCCTCAACCTCCCTCTCACGGGCAACATCCAGCATTGCTTCGCTGATGTCCATGCCCTGAAATCAGCAGGGCTCCACGTGAGATCTTCCTGCATTTCTTGAGCCGTCGGGATCTACAAATGCAATGCCGACAGAAGATGCACTCACCACCCAGCAATGCCCCTGCTCTGTCAGGGCCTCTCCGCTGAGGCCTGAGCCACAACCCAGATCAAGCAGCATTTTCATGCGGCCGTCATCAGGCAAAGCCAGGAGCTCCAGCGCACGTTCTGTCAGCTGAGCCTGTGGCACCAGGGGGGCACATCTTCAGCGTTTGCATTATTGCGCCATGCACAGATATCATGGCCGACAATGCAGAGGAATGGACGATCAAAATGCCCACCTGGATTGCCATCATCCTAGAATTTGTGGTGTACTTCCTAGCCTCCTGTTCATTGTAGAAAACCTCAGGGGGTGCTGCATTTTCGGGACGATCCCCTCTTGTCATGCTCGAGAGTTGACACGGCTACCTCTGCTTCTTATTCTAGGACGTTAAGTGGGATCCTGAGAACTTCAAAGCACCAAAACGGGAAACTATAGCAACATTAAAATGTGCGACAAACGATCAAGATCGCAAAGTGATGTTGTACCAGCTGAGTACGCGACACACGTCTCGCAATCTCCAAAGTTAGTTGACTTCCCAACAAATACTGATCTGTTGAAATGAAGTAGAGCTTTCTCGCGACGTCCAGGGCATTCGCAATCCCCTGCAACGAGGGAAATGCACATCTAGATCAAACCCCATTCCACCAGCGCTGAGTCCAGCTTCCAAGCGCATCTTGGTACTTGGTGCACAGCTGCAAGCCTCTGCCTTCGCCTGCCCTCGCATTGGATCTCGATCATCATGGTGATTGGCAACACTGCTAGGGCTTGACGAAGCTGTGAAGCCTCCCAGGGCTTAGGTCGTCCCGCAATTCGTCTGGGGCTATCTTTCCCACAGGCATCAAGGTTTGTAATTAGATCACCTTTGCAAGGGTGTGATGCAGAATACTGGCGTCGGTGTTCCATCAGGTCGTGGGAGCATCTGCTCTGGTCCAGCAAGCAGTAGCTTCATAGTATTTCTGCTACCTGCTGACAGGGTTTCTGCAACTGCTTTTCTTGTTTCCAGAGAGTAACTGTCGATGATGTCACTATTATGGGGAGGTTGAGATGCAGTATCTCGCAGACCGCCCATCAAGCGTCAACAGAAACGCTGATGTTGCTTCTTCTTTTGCTTGCAGGCAAGTAATCGAGGTTGGATTGTCCGGGACAGTAAGGAGTGGACGCGATGTTCAAGCGCATATTTGGACAAGGCTCGGGGGGTGGGGGCGGAGTCGGTCCCAAGCCCTCCGTCACTTCCACAGTTCGCACAGTGGACGCAATCCAGAAGCTGGGAGAAGTGAGTTCCTGTACCCCTGCCTGGACTCATGCAGGATCAATTATTGGAACCATGAAGAACACATTCTTGCACAAAGATCACTACTGGTGTCCTTCTGGTACAGCTCTGTCAGTTGCTCACTACTGCAACTCTGTCTGCACAGACGGAAGAGCTCCTGGTTAAGCGGCGGTCTCTGCTTGAAAAGAAGATTGCTCAGGAACTGGAGAAGGCAAAGGAATACACCAAGGCCCAGAACAAGCGCGGTATGCTTCCAGTGTCATGCTTTCTCAAGGATGCAGGGTGCTGCAGATCCTCCCAAATGCTGAGTGGTCCTCGACGCCGAGACTGATAATGCATCTCTCACCGCAGCTGCCTTGATGGCCTTGAAAAAGAAGAAGATGTACGAGACGCAGCTAGAGCAGTGCGAGAACAACATTCTGCGCGTCAACGAGCAGCAGATGATGCTCGAGAACCAGCGCACCACTGTGGAGACAGTCACAGCGCTGCGCGACGCAGCACAGGCCAGCAAATCCACCATGTCCGAGATGAAGATCACCGACGTGGATGCGGTGCGCAACCTTGCTCAATCCTTGCCTGGTGGTGAAGTGTGTCCATCTTTTGTTACAACATGCATTTGCTTCAGCAGTGCTCACTGGCGTGTGACCTGCGACAGGTGCTGGATGAGATCAATGAGCAGACGGACCAGATGCAGCAGATTCAGGACGCCATGGCGCAGCCCATTGGCCCGGCCGCAGACATGGACGAGGACGAGCTGCTCGGCGAGCTGGAGGTGCCATCTCTTGCCTTGTTCTCTTTGCCACACCCAAGTCACTACTTACACGATCATCTTGCTGCAATGACACTGCTCGCTTTCCAGCCCCAGCATGTTGAAGGGGCTGGCATGGACCCCAATTGTGCTGTCTGGCAAGGAATCTTTGAGCATGAGATGTCTTTTGCCACCACTGCAGAACCTGGAGTCGGAGCAGTTGGACAACCAGCTGCTGGAGCCGGCGCCGGTGCCGACGGCGCGGCCTGCGCAGGCGGCGCGCCCGCAGGCGGCGAGCGCGATGCCGAACGTGCCCCAGGGCCGCCCCGCGCAGGCGGCCAAGCCGGCCAAGACCCAGGAGGAGCTCGAGCTGGAGGCCCTGGAGCAGGAGATGGCAGTCTGACCTGCGCGGTCGCCCCCCACTACTCGGATTTGTATATTGCAATGCTCCGCTCCGCTGGAAGTAGCTCGATGAATAGTGCTGTCGACTGTGGCGTCTTGATGTGAGGGTGTTGTGCGCCCTGGAGATTTGGCAAAGACCTCTGGGACTGTCGTGTGGAGGTCTGGGCGACAGAGCGCCCTTTTTGTGCTGTGTGGGCGTGGACGACAATACAGAAGCCGCCTGATGATATTTGTGATGATGCCCCACCCAGGCAAGCCGGCCCTTTTCTGTCATGTGAGGGAAATTTCAGCAGCGAAGGACTTCTTGGGGGTCTTGTAAATTAGCTGGCCTGTGTAAAACTAGCATCTCTTCCTGAAAATTCAATGTTCAAAGCTATGTCCGTATCGGGCTGCTGACCATTGATCACTGATGGCATGCCATGTGCTGCCAGTGGCTTGCACGAAAATCAAAATTACTTGCCTGCGATTGTCACAGTGCGTGTGGCAGCGTGCCGATTCTGCAAAGGGTGCTTCATGCTTGCTGAGACAGGCCTTTTTGGCTGCCTAATGCGCACGCTGCCACCGCAGTTGTCAATTCACTTCCACCAATGGTTTGGCGGTCTTGATGGCATCATGTGCACTTGGTGTAGTGCTCCTGGGCCGGGTGATCCTCACAGGCTTGTTGGCTGATTTGCCTTTGCAAGGCAGCTCTTCCTCTCATCTCTGGCGCTCGTCTTGCCTTGACGTCTGCATTCCTCTTTCCCTACTCCCATGTTAGGTGGGTCATAACGATCATGTTCATCATGGTGATTCACCTTCATTAGACCAGCCACTGGCAACTGCCTTTGGTAATGGTCATCATTCACTGAAGGCTGGCAGCGCTGTACCGTGCACGGTGACCATGCCATGATCATCATGATGCCCTGGCAGGCAGCATTGCGGTCGAGCCGCTGCGTTGCGCTGGAGGTAGAATATCTTGGCGTGAAATTAATTAAGGTAATGTTTCTGGCGTGAGATCATCTTTCTGGGTGAGATCTGGCATGAGATCATTTTTGAGGCACTGCCGCAGCGGCTGCGACTGCCATTCAACATGATGCATGCAAATTCTGCCGGTCGTGGCTTGCACTGACCTGCTCCACCTGCCAGGGAGTGAGCATGACCACCGTCGCAGCCTGCCCAAGGAAGGAAGGAAGGAAGGAAATTACACATCAACTCCAGCCGCCCAGGGCTGATTGGATGTACTGACAGCATCCAAGTGATCAAAACAATCCATGACAAAGTGTGCAACACTGACAATATCTAACTGCCACATGAACTGTTGCATGGTCTGAATGGCAGCACCAAACAAAGCAGGATATTGGTCCCGAATGGACTGCACAGCAGGGCACTCAAAAACCAAATGGCGCTCATCCCCAAGCACGTGCTGGTCACAATGTAAGCAATATCTCTGGGCCCGAGCAATTCAATCATGCATGTTTGAAGTTTGAGAGACCGTTGCTGCCTATTTCATGCAGAATCCCCTTTCAAATTTCAGCCACGAGTTGCGATATCTTGCATGCGTGGCAAATTAGATCGCGTTCCCTTTCTCTCGTATCTTTCCTGTTTCAGGCGTTCCATTTGGCACTTCACAGGATCGGGGACAAAACTCCACATTAGAGCAAAAAAGGCTGAGCAAGTGAGCAGAGAAGCGCATTCAGGGTAGCACAAAGGAGACCGCCCCGCCCACGAAAGAGAGTCAGAGGGGACACAGCCACGGGGTTGACCGCGACAGGACGCTAGCACCCCGCAGCATCAGCTGGCACACCTTGACAGCTCCTGTGTGAGAGAGGCATGGCGGACGCACCGCCCACACGCAAGCCTTACAGGATAACCAAGCAGCGCGAGAAATGGTCCGACAGCGAGCACCAACGCTTCACGGAGGCGGTCGAAAAGTGAGGCCTCCCCACCGAGGAGGGCTGACTTCCTTACGGTTCCTTGCTGCCGTCCCCTGTCCTGCGCTGGCCTTGCACGCGCAGGACGCTCGCTGACCTACAGAATGTTGCCTTCCAGGTACGGCCGCGACTGGAAGATGATTGTGGAGCACGTCGGGACGCGCTCAGTAGCCCAGGTGCGACCGTCATCACCACCTGCCGGTCATAGTAAACTCGGCCTGGGTGCTGCCTGGCCGAGGCAGCGAGCCTGGCAAAGAGTCACAGCAATCAGGCGTTGGGTTGGAGGCAGCCAGGGGCAGGAGTTTCAAGGCAGGGCCCGCTCGTTGGAGCGCGCGTGTGTAGTGCCATGGGCGCAGTTGCTAGGAAGGACCAGGCTTTGTGGCCTTCCAGTGTGCAAATTGAGTGCTGCAGGCATTCAGAACTGCGCTGCAGAGCTCGCAGACCCTCGTTGCGTCCGAGCACCATCGTGTTAGGTCCCATCGGTGCACCCCCTGTCGCAGAGCAGTTTAGGCCAGCTTCGCGATGACGTTCTGCCGTCCTGCGGAGGCCCTGTGCCGGTCGATATGGTTGTAGACAACTGTCTTCGGGGGCAATTTTCCGGTTCAATGCGGGAAGTCTCGGGTTTGACCAAGGATGGGAGTGTGATCCGGATGGGCCGATGTCTTTGCATTTCCCCCTCATCCAGGTCTTGTTGGCGCATTCGGCAGCTGCAAAATGGTTTGCTATCATCACGCAGGCATAGTCGGCTTTTTCTCTACCGTTTCGGACGGTAGTGCGGGGCTTTGATGGTGATTGGCACCTCCCAGGAAGCTGTCGGCCTTTCTGCCTCAGCACTATGATCTCGTGTGTTTTGGCGACCGCATTCATTGATCTCCTCTTACTGGCCTCGATCATCCGCGAAAGGACGGTGGGTTCAGCTGTTAAGGCGTCTGTCGGCCTGCATGTCATGTGATGCTGATGCCTGGCATGGTGGTGGCAGGTGCGGAGCCACGCACAGAAGTTCTTCCTGAAGCTGGAGAAGTCGGGCCAGGCGGGCGTGGTGCCACCGCCGAGGCCGAAGAAGCGCGCGGCCAAGCCGTACCCGGTGCAGGACCGCGGCGAGGAGCGGCGCAAGTCCAAGCGCAGCCGCAGCAGCGCCTCCAACAGCAGCGCCCACTCGCAGCCGTCCCAGACCAGAGGGGCAGCAGTCTCCCCCAGCACCTCGCCCTCCAACGGGCGCTCCTCGCCCCGCAGCGCCGCAACTGCCGCCACGCTGCCCGTCAGCTCGCGACGGCCCTTGCGCTCCAGCCGGGCCACTCGCAGCCTCGCTAACGCGGCGGCGTCCACCAAGGGGTCCAGCCAGGACCTGGAGGGTGCGTTTCTTGGCTGAATTCCTTTGCAAGACTGCTTGGATGCCTTGGATGCAAAGACATGGGGCCCTGTAAATGTTGCAGAAAGGCACTACATGTAATGGTCATTTGCACGCGCGCAGGCAATGGCAGCAATATTGCGTCGGCAAATGAGAGCAACAACGACCACAGTGAGGGCCCGTCTGCAACCCAGGAGAACTCTGGGTTGTCCACAGGAGGCGCAGATCTGGACCTGCAGTTCAGCGCAGACCCGATGAGCCTTGAGGCACCAGAGGTGAATGCCTCTTCTATTTGGGGTTATTGTGCTGGTTGCACTGTTATTTACACGCTGTTTCCGTGTCGAGCATTGACAGCAATTCTTGAACAGAAAAGAGACGCTGACTTGTTTTCACTGTGCAGGCTGCGCCACGCCCACGCGAAAAAAGCGAGACGCCAGACTATGGGAAGCTCTATTCCATTGTGAACGTCCTCTTCGACTCTGGTGGAGCTGCAAACGATGAGAAGAACCACAAGCAGATGATGGAGCAGCTCGAACCGGGGCAGCGGTGCGCTCACTGCCTGCAGTATCTGCCGCTGTTTTTGTCTTGTTCACAGCAGCGACCTGTAGCTTGGGACAGCTCAGCAGTGTCCAATTGCTTAAGGCCGTTGACGCGCAGGAAGGAGCTGCTGGCCATGATGGACCAGCTGACAGGCAACCTGCGCAGCACATGCCCGCCCGCGCAGAAGCTGGAGCAGCTCAAGGCCGAGCTCAAGGCCAAGAGCCAGTCGCCCACGCCGCCGCAGCAGCCGCCGCCGACGCCAATACCGGCTCCGGCGCGCGCATCGCGACTGGACCACGCGGCGTCGATGCCCCTCATGCCCTGCACCGCCTGCCTGCCCATGCCCCAGACCGTGTCGGAGGAGCCCCTGGCGCTCATGCAGCCCCTGCCGGGCTCCCAGGGCACGGCGCTGCTGCAGCCGCTGCCCTGCGCGCAGCAGTGCTCCTTCTCGCCCGTGCTCCCGCCACCGCTCGCGTCCGACGCCTGCGAGCTGGTACACTGCGGCTCCGGCGCCGGCAGCAGCCTCGGCAGCGGCATCGGATGCGGCAGCGTGGCTGCACTGCCGGGCTTGGCGGCCGACGCGGTGCTGCTGCAGCAGAGCGAGCCGGAGCAGAGCATAGCGGAGCAGCTGCTGGTGGATAATAGCGGGGAAGGCGCGGGCATGGGGCAGGCCATGTTTGACATCCAGCAGGGCAGCGGGCTGGAGGAGGTGGGGCTGCAGCTGCCCAAGAGTTCCTCGCTGGGCGGCAACACCCCCCTGGACACCTGCCTTGCCCAGCTGGAGAGCGGCACCGATCCCACAGTGCCGGAGTCTGATGGTGCGCTCCTAGTCACTGCAGTGGTACTTGGGGGCAGTTTTGTGCCAAGCAAATGCTGATTGCATGTCTGCTTGTCTGTGCTTGGCACATCACTGAAGATATCTTTGTGCTCTGGCTGCAGATTTCTTGGACAGCTGGAAGATTGGCAGCTCGGACCCAGTGTGGCAGACGTTGGAGATGCAGCAACTTTCCCCAACCGCACCCACTTCGCCCAGTTCATTCACGCGCGACACCAACGGAAGCATGTTTGCCTTATGATGCCCGACCAACGTTCCCTAGGTGCAGTGTTTACACAGAGGTGCAGCTGCGTTGAGACATGCCAGGGGTTTTCATTCCAGCTTTCAAGCTGGCTTTGCGGCGCGCAGCAGCCGTGCATCTGGCAGGTTCAGGGCCGTGCATGGATCTGACAACTCGCTACAGCACCGGTGTACATACTAATGCTGTCTGATGTTTCATTTATAAGCTGGTCTAGGAAAGTCTAGAGAGAAGTCGAGCGACAGTCCCTATTAGCCGAGAGAGAGTGAGAGCAAAAGAGGACAATGCGCGACAGCGCGTGTATACTGAGCAGGGCTGGTACAGAGGGGGTCATTGGAGTTTGGCAGGGATGGAAAGCTGAAGCACATATGTGAAGAACACAATCACGCTGAATAAAAAGAGCAGAAATTGGCTGGAACATGCTTGTCTCAAGAAGTTCTCAAGAAACAAATGTACAATGACCACTAGAGGCCACATCAATTCTGATGTTTGTGCCTAGTATGGATTTGCTGGACAATGGAGGGTTGTCAGATGATACTCTGATGTGAACTGCGGACCAGACTCGCATCTTTGGCCTGTATGGTTCTGAGGCTTTCTTGCGGGCTTGAATGCGCTTGTAGTTTGGGACTGTCAGTCATTTCTGAATGCTAGCGTTGGAGCAATCCAGCCATTGAGGCCCCCATGGCCCTTCTGTACTGATTTGCTAGATTCTGCTGGCTAGCGCGCTATATAGTACTCTATGCTGGACAGTGACTCTGTAGACGATCGGACATTTATGTGCGGCCAATGCGCATTGTGGGTGAACCAAGAGTCAGGACATCAGGTGTCCTAGATCTCGTGGTCTCCACTCACCGCACCGGTGTTGCATGACTGTATGTATTGGAGGCTCTTGTAATGATGTCAAAAGCATCGGTTCCGCAGCATCATTATGATCGCATGCCTGGCTCATAATCTAAACTGCATATTGCATTGAATGCCCAATCGGTTGCATCTTGCAGTTGAAGTTGCCGGATGCAGAACCTTTAGAGATATCTTGTGAGGTCCTGCTGCAGCAAATCCGCGAAAGCAAGTATGCTTGTGAGTGGAAGCCATTCCTCTGGCATCTCCAATAGTGCCTCTAATGAACTGATTGAGAGATGTCATTAATGCTTTGGTCTGGATCCTCCCGGGTGCCTGTCCTAATCGAGAGTAACCGTCAAGATCCTTTCGGGATGAAAGGTGTGTAACGCACGCATCCAAGATCAAAGTGCAGAGAGTATTGGCACACTCATTACACTCGAAGTTCTATGTCTCCAGCAGCAATGAATGCTCTTGCGGATCCAGGTGCGTTCAGACTGTGCAGTCCACCAGGACGCAAAGCGATCTCCTGTCTGATCTGTGAACATACAATATGCAAACGTACATGAAATAATCGTACCATCCCCCAACCTAGTAATACGAGATTACATGGTTTTCAGATTGTTCATAATAAACTGCGCGCAGGAGAGGCGGGCTCGATCTGGCGGACAGAGAAAATCGACAGTTTTCAGAAACTGGCCGCAAAAGCTGGATTGGAAGAGAACGAGGAGTACAAACGTCTCATCACACTGATCGTTGCAGAGACAACATCGTTGGAACAGCTATGGCAGGCACAAAAAGTGTGCGCTTTGTCTTTACTCTGTTTCTTGCTGCGGACTCCTGTTTCCAGCTCACATACAGCTCCACATGTCTACAAGTATATCTCGCAAATTTGTTGAGAGGGGCACAATTGATCACGATGCTGTGGCAGGATTGTCAGGAAGAGACTCCTTGGTGGGCAGATGGAGAGTATGACCATGACCGGGCTGACAGGCAAGTGCCAATCATCCCAATGCTAGATTGAGACGCTGGAGCTGCAGACAGAAATCATCCCCCCATTTCAGAAACGCCATGTGCGCCTGCACAGGGAGAACGATGCGGGCATGGCGGCATATGGCGCGGGCGCGCATGGCAAAGCATTCCACCATTTTTCAGAGGCCATCCGGCTCTGGCCCAGCAACTGCATCTACCATGCCAACCGGGCATCCTCAGCCCTGAAATTGGGCCGGGCAGACGTGGCTCTCCAGGATGCCAAGTAACTGCCGCGCACATAAAGCTGTCAATGCAAGCAAATTGACAAGTGGTAGAACTCATTGCTACAAAATATTGCAGAGCAGGCCCACACCAGCTGGGAAACTGATGCTGAGAGGACGCGTGTTGCCAGGAATGCCATGAAGAGAAACCCCAAGTACTGCAAAGCATACCTCCGGGCAGGAGCTTGTGCGGTAGCTCTGCAGCGGCCGTCAGAAGCTCTGTCGATGTACCAGCACGCCCTGCTGCTCAAGCCCAAGAGCTCAAAGGCAAAGGCACGCGTCCAATCACGCTCACCCGACTTTTAAATTCCATTCTAATTCTGAGCTGGCACTTTGCCAGAAACAAAAGGAGAGGGACTGCTGAGGAGACCAACTGAGGTCTTGTGGCCAGTAGGCAGGCTGTGAAGCAGCAGCGAGGATGTGCGAGGAGCAGGCGAGGACGTGTGAGCAGGAAGCTGCTTCTGCGCTGCATGGAGAGCGTCCGCCGATGCCCCCTGCAGCACCCAGCGACGAGGCAGCCGCCGAGCAGCTGCTCAGCGCAGAAGCCATGCTGCAGGCCTGCCCTGACATGCATGCTGCCATATGCGCCTACATCGAGGTCTGACATGGACAACTGCATCTGCCTCCATGACCGTTGTATGCTTCTGTGGCTCTCGGGTCTTCCAAAGCCGAAAGCAAACATACAGATGTGGCAGCTGTGCATCTGCGATTACTCTCTGAAGGAAGTACAAGATGGCGAGGACTTGTATTTCCAACTAAGAGCGCGCGATGTTCATGCAGGGGCTCATCCTGTGCCAGCGCTATGCAGATGCACAGAATGCTTGCCTGCCCCTGCTCCCTGGCGTGGACAGGCTCTACCTGCAGGCGGAGGCATCTTGGAGGGGAGGGGACGCGGAGGAAGCCCACACCAGTCTTGAGGCTGCGCTGGCACTTGCGCAGGACAGCTCAAAGTGCTTGAATCTCAGGAGCCTGGTGGCGCGCTTGCTGCAGCATGAAAGGGCAGCAGCAGCTGCTCGCGAGGAAGGTGCAACCAGTGGCTGTGTCACCTTTTTAGAATGCTTCAGATTGATGAAATTCAAAAGAGCACAGGAGAGTCCGAGGAAGCACATTGTGTGATGCTGACGCAGCCGAAGCTGCAATTTTCAGGCAGATTGGAGGAGTGCATCGGGGAGTGCACAGCAGCCCTGCAGACGACAGAGCACTTCTCGTGCGCGGGGCTGCACTGCCACCTGCTATACCACAGAGGCTCCGCGCATGCGGCGGCTGGTCACTCACAGGAAGCTCTGGGCGACTGCAGCGCTGCACTCCAGCTGAACCCAGCACATGCAGAGTGTCTGCACCTCCGCCACACGGTCTGTTCCTCGCACTTTTCTTCTGGACCCCAGGCATGACACTTAGAGCAGCAGCAATCTCCTGCGTTGTGCACCCTTCACTGGGAGCCTGTGTGTATCTCAGCACCCTGTCCTGCCCACTGCAGGTCCAATTTGGCAGCAGCATGGATGCAATGTTGATTTTGGTGGGGCTGATTTTTAGGTGCACCGCGAGATGGGCAGCTATGTGGAGGCGTACCTGGACCTGCAGCGGCTGCGCACTGCTGCGCCGTCCTGGCCGGGGCTGTTGCAGCTGATGGAGGAGGCGGCCACGCTGTCCCTTGCGCACCGGTCAGACCTGCGCGCTTCAGCGGTACGCTCTCCCCAGGATGGCGACACTGCCACAGCTGAAGCACCTGGCTGTCAGACATGATCTGCCGCCCATCAGTGCAGAGTGCAATGCACTGTGCAGAAATGCATCTTGCAGCCGTTGTCGTGGTCAATTTTATGGGCTCAGAAGAACTGTGATCTGTCCTGTGCTTGTCTTTCTGGATCAGAGCTGGTATTAAGGCATGGATTGTTTCTGGTGCAGAAGGCCGGCAATGTCCCTGGGGGCTATTATGAGGTGCTAGAGGTTCCAGTGCAGGCATCTGCCCAGGACATCCGGCGCGCATACCGCAAGCAAGCTGCTGTGTGGCATCCTGACAAGTGGCTGAATGCGGAGAAAGATGATGTGTTCAGAGCACAGGACAAGTTTCGAGAGGTCACACTTGCATATGAGACGCTAGGGGACGAGCAGAAGCGGTGCATGTATAATGCAAAGAACTTGTGGTACTGAGCTGCATGGCAGTCCATGGGCCATGCCTGAGGACAAACGATGGAAATATGGCTGGTCCAGGACACATTGCCCAAGCTGCCCGAATGAAAGTTATAGTGCCCTTACATCTGAAGGCATCACGAAGTCACAACAGTACTTGTAAGGGGTCCGGACACAGTGCAATGCGAGAACAGCATCATCTTCAGTGCACAGCATGTCAGCCAATGCATTCTCACGCTGCTCATTAAAGCAATCCTCATCTGCATGTTTTGTAATTGTGTGACCGTTTGAAGCTCATCAGAGGCCGTAGGGTCCAGAAGAATGTAAGTCATGCAAGTCCAGAAGAAAGTATCCTGCCTCTCCTACTCATGTTAGCTGGTCAAGCTGGCACCTTAGGGTCTAGCGGATTACAAGTCATTATCATGCTGAAAATCCCTCTTGCCAGCAATTCCTGGTTGCCCAGTGTGGTCTGCCAGTCACTTGGCAAAGCTGGTGGAGCGGCGGGCGGTGCCAATCTCAGTGGCGTTGACCTTTGCAGCGAAGCGCAGGCTGCATAGGGATTCGTTGGCCGCGCTGAGAGTGGGCGCCACGTTGGCGATCATGAGCATTTTGGCGTCCCCGCCCAGGCAGCCCTGCAGAAGCCACGTCAGCTTGCTGTTCCTGTAGGGGATGTGCGCCTCCCTGCTGCCCAGCGCCGCGATCACGTCACCTGCACGCCAGACCATCGCAGCTCAGCATCGAATACATCACAGCAAGAACGCATAATCTGAGTACATCTGACCAGCAGCAGGCTCATTGACACATCACAGAAGCACTGGAATGTGTCAGAGGCCATACTGCAGACAGGTACACTTTACATGTTGTTCGCCATTTCTGGTTCAGCAGTTATTACATCTGCTCTCTTCTTGTCAAGCTTTAGGAAAAGGTGGGACATGGCAGGTGGTCGGCAGGTGGCAGAGGGTGTCTTGAGTGCTGAGGCGCACCCAGGGCGGAGAGGCTTTTGTTGATGGCCTGTGTCTCCTTCAGCCGCTCTCCGCTAGCGCCCGACGTTTTCAGCCGCTCGCTTCCCGCCAGGTCGATCAAGTTCAGCATCCCTGCCGCGCACCACCCTTGCCGTCAGCACACAGTATCCTCTCCTTTCCTGCCAAACAATTATCTGCTGATGCTCAAAGGCAGTCACCCTTCCAGCAAAAAATTTAATAGGACCTATCCTGATGCGCCATGCGTTAGCAAGTTCTGCTTCATGCCCAGGACTTCTGCCCGGTGGCAACAACTTGACTTGCCGACACACTGGTCCAGCTATCTTACGGGGCTCGACAAGGAGGTCAATAAGTTGCCCAGATACGAATTAAGATCAAAATTTGCAGGAGGCCGCAATATGCTGTGCAGCTGTGAAAAACGCTTTCATCTCAGCCCGAGGGGTCCGCACCGTTGAGGCGCTGGCCGGTGGTGGCGTTGGCGCCGCGGATGGAGAGCAGGAAGACCATGTGGGAGCGCGAGGAGCGCTCGTTGGCGGCCGTTGCTCCGACCGCGCGCAGCCGCGCCGCCCGCTCCAGCAGCGCACGCACTGCCTTCGGGTCAGCGCACTCCACCGCCTCCAGGTGCGACACCGCCGTCATCCCCGCGCGCTCGTCGTGCGTCACCGTGTGCTTCTTGCCTAACATCCGCATCAGATCTCAAGTTTCAGAGAAGTCTTTGCGTGCATGCTCCTCCAAAAACTGAGAAAATCCTTTTGCCCTTAGCTTGGAGGGCCAAGATCCTAGGAAACCATGGTCGCTCTTTCAGGCGGGTCTTTGGCACTGCAGGAAAACAGTGACTACTGACTAAGAAGTGAGGGCGCATGTGCCAGACTGCAAAGGGTGAGCACCTGCAGGAGGGCCCTTTCCGAGGAGGTCCTTGTACTCCTCATTGTAGATCTCCAGCATGGAGGCCTGCAGGGAACGCCCCTCTCAGGGTCCAGCATAAACATGGACACCATTTCAGAGACAGTACAGGATGCTACAAGGGTCATTGCATCAGCAGTAGACCGCTTCGCACCTTCATCTCAAATGTCCAGCCCTGGGATGCCTCGAGCGCTCGCGCGGCGGTGAACAGCTGCTCGACCGCCCGGGGAATGAGGCCGGCCTGGTCCGGAGTACCCAGCATGGTGTGTGTCTGCGGCAGAAATCAGGACCGTCAACACAGCAGCAAGGCCACACATGCATGCCAAGAGCTGACGATGTAATTCATGCGTGTTCCGTATTTCTTGGAATCTGCGGCTAGGGGCACACCTTGCCGCTGCCAGTCTGGCCATAGGCGAAGATGCACACCTGGGACAAACCAAGTGTGGAAGGTTAGAAGCAGCATGAGTAAGAGATGTTGTCTGATGACAGGACAGTGCAACGAAGGGGGATGCTGGCATGCACACATACCTTATAGCCGTCCAGAGCGCTTTGCACTAGGAGAGAAATCTCCTCAAACACCTCTTCCTGCAATATGCACAAACATGCTCAGCTGCATGCGTGTGCATGCTCACTGGCGAAAGGATTGCCTCTTTTTGTGAAAACCCAGGGAGGAGAAAGGGGTGCGGACCTGCGAGGCTGTTGGCCCAAACACTTGGTCAAATGTGAAGGTGTTCTTGTTGCCGTTGGAGGCTGTCAGCTCCACGCCAGCTGTCGTGGCATCCCCTGCCAGCCAGCACAGCCAGTACGTGTCTCACCCTCACATTGGGACAAGGCAACAAGTCTGCATCTTTTAATGGGAGGTGCTCAATTGGATGTAAGGAAAAATCTTAGCTAATTCTCACCGGCTGGAGGGAATGCCAGGACCGGCTGCCCACTCTCCAGCTTCTCAACGTCTGAGCTGCCCGGCGCCAGGGGGCGGACACGGCAGAACACTCTGATGTTCCCTTTCAGCGTCTGCACCACCACATGAAATCTCATAATCAACCTGCATCCATTATACAAATCCTCGCTTTTGTATCCCCACTCTGTCCTGCTCAGAGGCACGTCATCTGAACAGCGGCAACCAAGCCCATCCACGCAGAACCCACGAGCATGCAGTGCCCAGAGTCAGGCGCAGCGGGTCTTTCATTGTCGCCTTCCTCTTGCTGTAATGTCAGTGTAACCCGTTGTCGCATCATCGTCACGCTGTCAGGGCATGTGGCATGCGCACCAGGATGGTGTTGTGCAGCTTGCGGCGGGTGGCCTCGCACTCGGAGACGCGCTGCTCGGCGGCCGCGCGCGCGGTTTCGGCCTCGGCCGCGCGTTGCTTGAGTTCCTTGCACTCTGCGCCGCGCGCCGCCACCAGCTGCTCTGCTACTGCCAGTGACTCCTGAGCGATCGCGAGCTGTTCTGCTAGCCCGCGGTTCACCTCCGTCTGCCCACCCAGTGCCACACATCAGCATCTTTTTTCCTCAACAGTTCCACTCGTACAGCAGAATTGAACCTGGACTACAGGCAGATACCATCAAGCTGCTCGCGAACTGCTTGGAGCAGGACCTGGAGGCCTGCGTGCCTTGGGCGGACCTGCTGAAGCACAGCCCCTCTGGTGACTGCTTCTAAAAGTGGGACAGTCACTTGTTGCCTGCTTCCATTCCCATCAATGGCCTTTCTACTGGGGTGAAGCTTGCAGCAAGCAATATGAAAGGGATGTGCATGTGCAAGAACAGGATCTACGGCCCCTGGATCTGCCTCTGCAGTGGTGATTTGGCATTGGGTGACTGTCGAGCGGCTGGCGCTTGAGAGAAGGGAGGGTCCCACCTGAGCGCGGGTGCGGCTCTGCAGGGCGGCATGCTTGGCGCGCTCCGACTCGAGGCCCTGGCCCACATCATCCTTGTACCCCTTCAGCTCCTTCTGGACGCCTTCCAGCGCATCCGCCAGCCCACTCCTCTCAGTCCTCACCTGCACTCGCAAATGTCATTCAATGCATCTCTGACACTGAGAGTACAGCCATTCCTGTCGCCTTCTTCACATATACAGAAGAATGTAACGGACCAAAAGCGGCATAAGCAAAGAGCAGCATGCTGAGATCAAAGTATGAGGCATGGCTCCTCACCTTGTCAAGCTCTGACTGCAAGGTGACTGTCTCAGCAGTGGCGCGCTGAGAGGCGGCCTCGGCGGCAGTGCATGCTGTACGCACAGATGACAGCTGGGTCTCCAGAGCCGCCACTGTGCCTCGCAGCATTGCAATCTCCTCTGAACTCTTGCTCTTCTCCTCCTGCGAAGTAAACATGCAGGGGCTTTCAGAGCATTTAATCAGAGGAGGTCTGCTGGATCCACTGTGATATCGAGCAATTGTGCAGCATGCATCCCTCCTCTCTAAGGCATCAAGATGATTTATCAAGGCCAAAAAGACCGACCTGCAAAACCTTGATCTGCTCTGACGTCGCCTGAGCATCTGTCTGCAGCTTGGCGTTGTACTCCTGCAATTGCGCGCAGTACCGAGTGGAGCTATGGTGCAGCTCGTTGGCATTCGCCACCTGTGCATAGCATCAGTAATTATAGTAAAATTGAGCCAGCATCATGCATCATGAAATTGCGGCCGAGGGCTGCTGCCAGGCAGTCTACCTGTTTCTGCAAGTCTGTTATCTGCTCAAGGGCGCGAGCAGCTCCTTCCTCCAGCTGCTGAATAGTGAGCCTCGCATCCAATTCTGATTTCTGTGCAGACTCTAGCTCACTATTCAATGATTGGATCCTCTCCTCCTGCTGCCTGCATGCCTCCTGCTGTTTTTCCAGAGCGGCCTGCTTGCCACATTATAGAGATTTACAATACCACCGCATCACCATCCACTGGCTCATCACCTCTGAAAAGCGTGCTTACTGTCTTTCATCAATTAACAATTGATGGTGAGAGCATATTAAGAGCGCACCTGAAGGCCTTCAATCCGGGTACAGAGTGCAGCTGCTTTGCTGAGGCTCGCCGTCATGTCATCTGCGCGGCCCCGCACTTCTGCATCATAGGCTGACTGCAGTCCTGAGCGGTCCATCGTCAGTCTCTCACATTCCAAGTGCAGGTGCCAGCCCAAAGCTCGCAGCCTCTTGATGTAGGAGAGTGTAAGTTCCTTGACAGTGGCTGCACTGTCCTTCTTCTTAATGGTGAGCTTGAAATTGAGGCAGTCTTCAACTGTGTCGCCTTCATCTGCGTAATCGTCCCACACAGAATCGGCCTGCACAGGGCACCAACATGCCAGCTTGTTATCGGGCTTCGACACAGACTAGACATTTGCAGAGCTGACACAGCTGACCGAGTCTCACCAGAGAGTGTCCTGAGCCTGCCGCAGGTCGTTTTGTTGGCTGAGCATCCTTGGGCTGTGGACTAGTCATGCCCTTCCGCTTGCGCACGTTGACATCCTGAACGTGACCAGGATCTCAGTTGGATGTTGTTATCCAAGAGCTCTACTCGTGCCTTCTTATTCAGAGCTAAGCATTAAACAGGATGAGCTTTCAGATAAGGCAATGCTTTGAGCAGGAGTGAAGGTCTCTACTCACACTCTCACTGATAGGATGGAGAGGGCCAGCTGCAAGTGGAGGTGGTCTTGGTATCTTTGTTGCTCGCCTATCCATGATACCCAGAACGCTAAACAAGGTTTACTGGATCTTCTGTATTGTGTTGAACTAGGCAGACAGACTTCTTTTTATCAGGCTGTCATTGTTTGCCTGTATCCCAGTAACATCCACATGAGTGTGCTATTCCCTGCTCCCGAGCGCTGCACAACCCTTGAAGCGAACGGAATCTTTTGCAGTCTGCCACTTTGTATTTTGTCGCCCGGTCTCTTGATTCGGAGCAAGATTCATGCAAACAGCTAAACTCGGAGACATTCTTGAGACAGCTGTCAACGGTCAGTTCGTAGTTTACGGCCCGAGGTAAAAACATTGATTTTTCATCTCCCACATCCTCCTGATTTCCATGTCCAAAGCACTATGCACTTCCCCTACAATGTTTCCTCTAACAAGTCCCACCTTCAATCACGAGTGGCAGATATTTCAGGGACTAGTTGGGCTTCACGTCCTCATTTTCCCTGGAGCTGGCCTTTGCGAAGGTCTGGGACACCAGAAGCGGGAAGAGGATTGTTGCGTCCCCGTAGACTTTGACTGGCTGTGCGTCCGCCCTGATCTTGCCCCAGGAAACAGCCTCGTCTGGGCGCGCTCCCGAGTCACTGCCGTCAAACTCCTGGGCAGTGTTCACAAACACGGCAAAGTCTGCCCCATTCTTCATCAGATTGGCGTTGCAGATATGGTGCTTGGCAACTCCTGCATGCACCAACACATCGCATCATCAGCCTGGCATGCCTTGCGCCACATGCAGTTCCCGATGAAATGGTGTGCAGCTTTTTTGACACAAAGAAGCAGAGCTGTGCACCCCGTGCAAGATCAAACACATGAAAGGGCAAAGTGCAGTGCAGGGCAGCACCTCCGCCAAGGATGATCATGCCAGTCTTCCTGGGGGCTGCCTTCAGGGCCTCGTCATTGATGAGGCGGATGTCCTCCACAAGATCAATGACCAGCCCCGGGTTCTTGTAGGTGTGGAAGAACAGCATGTCCCCCAGCGAGCCATCTGTCAGCGCCGGGCAGAAGATGGGGATGTTGTTCTTTTGTGCCCAGTAGCACACCGAGCTCTCATCCTTGATCTCCTTCCCCAGCCTGGCCACCACCTGCACCAACATGCAGATTTCACAAGGAAGGGCAGGCCATCAGGCAATCACCAAGATACAGTACCGTTGTGACAATTACAGGGCATGCACTGCATAGGGAAGCCAGACCTTGGAGGGCGTCCATTTTGTGCCCTGCGACTCCTGCTCCTCCTTCAGAGCGTCCAGGATGGGCATGATCCAGTCCTCAAACGCGCAGTAGTTGCTGTTGGGCACCAGCAGGTTGCCCACACGGTTCAGGCCCCTCTTGCGCAGATCAGCTCCGTTCAGGTGGAAGTCCCCTGTGTATGTCGGCCCCAGGCACTGCACAGCACTTCATCAGTACCTTTTCATGCCCTCCTTTTGTTGGGCCCTAGAAAATTTGATGTGTCATGCTCTGCCTGCTTCAGCTTTAGAATCGCAACAAATACAAATACAGTCAGAATTGTATCATGAAGAGGTTGAGTGGCACACCTTTATGAGGTCCTCCTCAACCCCTCCAGCTGTAGTCACCAGGAGGTCCACCATCTTATGCTGCACCAGATACCTGATGTGTTCCCGCACTCCAGAAGAGATGAGATTCGACGTGAATCCCAGGAATATCTTGGAGCGGACCCCACGCCTCACAGCCGGGTCTGCATATCTTGGATTTTCAGTTGGCCCCACGGGCTCGTCGCTCAGGCGCCAGTATATCTGCAGAAGGACAGACATGGTATGATATGATAGAACAATCTGAGCTGGTGAAAGGTCAGTTCGGTGCTGGAGCAAATAACCACGCACCATGCGGTTGATCTCTGCTACAGCTCGGCCAAATGAGGTAGCCTGGAACCCGGTGCGAAGCAGTGACCCGAGCAGGCCATCCAAGTCACGGCCGCTGTCAAAATCATAACCAGCAACAGTCTCTGCATCCTCTGGCATGCTCTCAGAGGGAGCCAGGACAGCCTGCATAATCATATGCTTGTCAGCCAGCCAGTGCATGATGTAGGCCTGGCACACCAGGTGTACATGTCATGGCACGCAATAACAGAAATCTTTTCCTAAGCTGTTGTCCGGCAGGGAGATTGACCTGGCTGGCCAAATCCAATCCAGTATGGCGCTCCACCATGGCGTCTGCTAGCTAGTGCTCGTTCAAGAATTTGCGGTCCTAGAACCTTCCACTGGCGTCCAAACTGTAGCTTTTAGGTGATCAAGTCTCGAGAGGTTGAAGGATGACGATTGTCTTGATTTAAAGAAGAGCAAACCAAACGCCCTCCTCCAAACAACGCTAGTAAAGCAGACAGTCCGCTATTAGTAGACCGCAATTTCATGCACCCTTTTCAACCAGGTATGACTCAGTATTTTGATGAGCTTTGATAAGGATTCACGCACATTTCCCCCTTGATCTTTCAATCGCAGTCTTCCATCCAAAGCGGGGTCGCCAGCTGCCGTCGACCTGGAAGCTGCCAAGGCTACGGGTATGCATGCTAGTGAAAGTGCTTTTCACGAGAGCCATTCATACCAAACAGAACATTACATCATTCTTCTGCCACTATATCTTTGAGCTGGCACTTTGAAAGCTCTCAACGGCCAATCCAGTGTAAAGTGGTTGTGTTCCATCACCATCAATTATAAATCATTGATGTGAATCTTCGATCATTGAGCCTCGTTTGGTGCTGAGAAAGGTCAAATTTAAGTTTGCAAGTTGTTGATCTGGCGTATTGGATGTTTTTAGAACGAGCAATTCAATGAGGGCGGTCCTCTCCTGTCAGAGGCTCTCTCTGTAAAAGCGGTCGGCATTGGACCTTCTGTACGTGTCAATGTGACACTTGAAGAGATCACATGGGAGCTGTGTAAGCTTACAAAGCCTTCTGAGGCTGCAGCTCAGTCTCAGATGGCAAAATGGCCCCAGACGCATTGCCCATGTATTATCAAAAACGCGTCGTTTACGTGGGCAGAGAGGATGATCTTGAGAAGACTCGCACATCAGCATTAAGAGGTGCGTACTCTGCTGTCATCTGGCGATCATTGCACTGCCTTCCTGAGATAATGTGCTAAGACACCCAGTCTGTTGCAGGTCACCTGGCAGTATCTTGCAACAATGGATCCTTGGCGGTCATACCGAAGCATGAGAATGGTTGTCACATTCTCTGCCTGTCTGCTGCTGGACATGTAGAAGAACACTCGATCTGCAAGCCGTCAGAGCAAACCACACAGCAGCTCTTTGGCCTCTGTTCATGGAGTGAAAATGGGAGGACACTAGCGGTGGCAAATGTTGGACAAATTGTTCTTGCAAACAGGTACATAGATTAAGCTTTTTAATTCCTGTATCAATTTATTGCAGATTATGCAATGTGGAACGGCATGCTGTTTGCACAGGGATGGGATCGAGCAATCTGTGCTGAAGCACTCCCATTGGCAGAAGTCCCGCATCATTAGCATCTTCTTCACAAGCAATGATGCCATGTTGGTCCTTTGCGAGGATGGGAGCCTGTGGGCTGTCAATGCACAGGACAGCAGCACACAGCCAATCTGGCCAGACAGGGTATGATCATGGAACATTGATCTTTGCATTCAAAACCCTTCTCGTGTCATCTCTTCCAAAATACAAATTTAGTCATTTTCATCTGCCCCTCAGGGAGTTGCGGGCATTCCCAGCTGCTCTGCCTATGACCCAGCGACTGGCACGTTCCTCATTGCTGGACGAGGGGCTGGCTCCGAAGCAGAGCCCTTTGTCACTTTGTGGCACCTGGAGAGCGGGACAAGGCCAGCTCTCATGGCTCAGCATGGGCGTCCTGCAAAGCAGCCTTGGATGAGGGCAGCTCAAAAGGGAGGAGAGCTGTGGAGCACATGCATAGAAGGCACCAGCAGATCTGCTCTTGTGGCTGCAGCTGGCCAGCCATTGCATATCTTTACATGGCGGGTGGGCAACCTTGCTCTGTTTTTGCTTGGGTATTTGGCGCTGGTATTTTTCTTTCATCCTGAGGACTGACGGCACTTGCTTGTGGAACAGGAGTCCAGCAATGGCTCCCTCGGGCTGCAGAAGCGGTCATTCCCCGGAGGCAACACGCCAACATGGGCGCAGAGTCCCCGGCAGGCTGTCATATGGAGCAGCTCTCACATGGCAGTCCTGGGCAGCGATGGAACTTTGAACGTGGTTGGCACTGCAACCCTGGATGCCTGCCTCCAAATTCCAGGCTGCGGAGAAGCAGTCATGGCGCCTGCAGGTGCTGGTCACTAGGCCAATGTCTTGCTATTTGATGTTCAATTTAAGACGCATGAAGTTCACGTCCGAACACACGCTCGACAATGCAGGAATAATATCGTGCTGAGCATATAGTACACTTTGATGGTGCAGGTTCAGGTGCAGGGACTGGGTCAGCCGGTGCAAACGTCTTCATGCTGTCCGAGAGCGGCGGTGATTCTGCCACAGACAGCAGCGGGGGCTGGCAAGTGGAGGCGATTGTTGAGAGGACTGCTGCAGAGCATTTGGAGGAACTTGTCTCAGCACAGGACTGGCCTGCAGCCTTTGATCTGACGCGACAGCACGGCCTTTCCGCTGACCCTGTGCACAAGTGCGCCCCGCACGAAGTCAATTTTCCTGGTCAATCTTCCAGATCGTAGCCAGCTTGAAATATGATTGCTTTTCGTGGGCAGAAGCTCAAAATTGGTGTTCTTGCAGGGCCCGCTTCCTTAGTAGAGACCTGAATAGGGAAAGTATTCTGGAGAATCTGGACCCTTTGCTGGACCGTTCATGGGCTGCAGAGCAGGGCACATCCCGGCTTGCAGTAGCCAGCGCGGCGCAGGCAGAGGCGTTGGAGTACAGCCTGGCAGAGACAGACAGGTGGGGCAGGCTGCCTGAGCAGAGAGACAGCGGAGGGGAGCCCAGCACCAGCTATGCTGACAGCAGCGGCCCACCTTACCCTCAGGGCCACCCCTGGTGGCGGCGCCAAAGGCTGCTCGTTCTGCAGCACATCGAGCGCTTGAGCACATTTCTTGACCTGCAAGGAGGGTGAGGCGACTCATGGATTTCTTCTGGATTCTCCTTATGTCCAGCGCTGGAATTAAAGGATTGATTGCAGGCTCCTTTGTCTCGAAAAGGCATGAGGAACACAATGTGTGCTGCAGGGTGTTTGATCCTGCTGGGTATGCGGACTTTCGAGACAGCAGTCTCAAGGAGGCTGCGATGGCGTTTGCTTCCAGTGGGTCTGCGGCCGCAGTCAGGAAGCTGCTCCAGCGCCATCCCTTCACCCTCATGCCACACGTCCTGGACATCTTGAGCTGCTTCCCTGAGACGCTGCCGCCAAAGCTCTACATTGACATTCTTCCCAAGGCATGCTCCTGACCAATACCATGTGTCTCAGATCAGCCTGCTTCTTCTCGCAAAATGAATGTTTCTCCAGAATGACTAATGCCGCTGACGGCAGATATATCGACAAACTCTTGAGTCGCTTGAAACCCAAACAAGTTTTTTGGGTGCAGGCGGCCAGAGAGGGCGGACTGGAGCCTCCCCAATTGCCAAGGGAGGCAGACTGGGTGGAGAGCGGGGAGATGTGCCGGGAGTTGCAAGAGTCCGGGGAGTACGGCATGCTCATATCCACAGAGCATATGGCCCGCATCTTCATCGGCTGGCGACCTCCTGCACCGCATCAGGCATGCTTCACTGGCACACACGTTAGCACTGGCCACTGATGAGCACTTTTCTGCTGAAGACACAGAGTAAAGAAAGTGCTGGTAGTGCAAATGACTTGGGGACGTTGCTTGCGTGCCAGGTGGTGCAATGGTTTGCTCAGAGGGCTCTGGAGGTGGACGCTCGCAGCGGGCAGCTCATCTTGGCTGGGGCTGTGCTGCGGCTGTGCTGCAGGACTGACGGCTCGCAGGGCGTCAAGGACATGCAGGAGGCCGTCAACAGCCTGCGGGAGATTGCCCAGCCAGGTCAGCATCCTCACTGCTGCCTTCATTGACCATGCAAGGCTATTCTCCTGATGCACATATCAGATTTCAACATCACTTTTAGAAATCCATCGCTCCATGAACCTTCCTGCATGCACTGCAGCCAACGAGAGGACGCCTGCCATGCGAACGTTACAAGATGCATCTGCAGATCCTGAGGGGTGCCTGGGGGATGCGGCAGGGGAGGCAGGTGGGAACGATTGGGCCATAGGGCTGGACGCGTGGGCGTCGCTGGACATGTCGCAGCGGCTGCAGCTGCTGGCAACAGGGGACTCGCCCATGGAGCAGCAGCGCGCGCAGCTGGCCAAGCTGGTGGAACGCGTGCCGGCCGCACAGCGCCAGCAGCTGCTCATTGACCTGCTCGAGCAAGTGGCTCCGCTCAGGCTGCAGTGGTGCGCGGACTTCCTGCGGCAGGAAGCCCAACATGCACAGGTGATAGGCCGCTTTCTCAATCATCCCCAGCATGTCAGCCAGCAACATGTGAATGGCTACATGCCTCTTCCGCATGTCTCTTCTGCCTGTCTGTTCTGCATACTGCTCTGCATGTCTGCAATTCCGTCCAATCTTGGGAGTGGTCTGTGCTGTACAGGTGTTTGAGAGCAGTGGCGGCGTCGCCCAGGCTGCCTGTTCTGCCGCGTACGCGTGCCAGGAGGATGCGGATTGGGACCTGGTGCAAGCCATGCTGGCAGCTGCAGGCTCGGCCACAGGCAGAAAGAATGTTGCTGAGGAGTCCCAGGGGTGGGATGACTGGCAGGATCTGGAGGATACCTCTGCACCAGACAATTCACAGCACAAAGAGGAGCTTGAAAAGGTGTGCCAGTCTTGATACAGCACTGCTTGTACCTGAGTCGAAGTGAATGGGATGCAACCACATCAGTTGGGTCATGTCAAGGGTGGGGCTTCGATGATGCAATCATTCAGGTTGTGTGGGATTGGGGGCAGGCTCTGTCGTTGGTTGGCGCCGCTAAGCTGCTTAAGGATCTGGGCTGCCCCATGACTCTCTCGCAGCTGCGAGACTGCGACGGTGCAGCACAGAGCCGTGTCACGCAAACGCTGCTGGCTCGACTGTCACGCTCACAGCCGCCCCCGACAGACCAGCGGTGAGTGTCACAACTGCTGTCATTGCATGCAATAAACACACCTAAAATCTCTTCCTTATGCATGCTGCAATTTGCATGACAGGGTACAGGATTCATCACCTCCTGCATGATGTACTTTGCTCTTCTTGTACTGACAGGAGGGATCCATTGCACAGGTGGACAGAGAAGTGGCGCCAGCTGCGGGACCTTCGGCAGGGGGCGTTCTCACAGCTACCGGCAGAGGATCTGCTGGCGGACTTCTGCGACGCGCTGCTGCGCTGCGCCAAGTGGCGGCTGGCGCAGAAGTACCTGGCCGGCACGGCGTCTGTGCCGCTGGACGCAGGCAGGGCCGAGACTCTGGTGCTGGCCTGCGCCAAGGAATACTTCTTCTCCGCCAACTCCCTACAATCCCCCGAAGTCTCCCAGGTTGGGTCTCACGTCATCCCAGCTGCAATGACAGTTCTTTGGCATCTTCTGCTTCTGCACCAGGCTGATACGTCAAACTTGCGCGGTATACTGTAATGGATATATTGTCCTCTTCTGCACTTTGCGTAGAGCAGTTAATGGGAAAAGGTAGATTGCTGGGCTGCTTGCAAGCAGGCGCTGGCGTGCCTGGACGTGCTGCCCAGCAGTGTGGCGGCCGCAGCGGAGCGCAGTTTCATCAAGGGCGTGCTGCGCCTGCAGGACTTCGGCGTCCAGATCCCTCCCCTGCAGGCCTGCCAGGTGCGCGCAGCCCCACCCTATTCCTTTGCTTGACACATGTCAAGGTCTTGCATTTGATTCGGTTTATGACAGATTCTGACAACATTTGAACCAAACAAAGATCTAGGAAAACTTTAAAGTGCTTTTTGCCTCGCTGCTGCGCGCATACCTCACGCTGCCAGAAGACCGTAAGGGTGGAACTGTATCTAATTGCAAAGCAAGGGACTGGGATTGTCTTATTGCGTGCCGTTCGGAAGACCTGTCCTCTGACACCGTGCGTGCCTGGGCTGAGGGCAGGTGAAGGATCGCATGGAGCTGCTGCAGATGGCGCTGGATGCGCGGCCGGACGCGCACGCGGACGGCGGCCGGCTGGCGCTGCTGGCGGAGCTGCTGGGCGTGGCCGAGCACCACAGCGACCTGCAGCTGCGCCGGGCGCGCGCCGCCCTCGCCGCCGGCGACGTGGCCGCTGCCCGCGAGCACGTGTCCGACCTGGCCGCCCAGGGCTATGTGCTCGCCTGGGAGGTGGCTGCGCAGGCACGTCTCGCTCCTTGCAAGTCCCTTGACAGTCCTGGATAAATCGCAGGCTTCTAGGGCTGTCAGATGTTTTGAAGGGCTGCCTAAAGAAGGTGTAGATACTGGGGCAGCTCATTTGCTCTCGCTCGCAAGAGGGACAAGCAAGTGACTGAAACTTCGGTAGGCTTTCTCTTGCTGGTATCTGATGCATCAGAGACAGGGTCTGAGCACGCACTCTACCATGTCCGCAGGTCATCGCGCTGCAGGAGTCTCAAGGCAGGGAGAATGATGGCGACGAGATGCAGACTCTGCTAGCCTTTTGTCTGGCGCACTGTCCTGCTGATCAGGTATTCATGCCTACAAATATGATCATTTTGCGACATGTTATACCCATTCCCCCACCAACCTCCACAGTAAATCCTGGGCATGTCTTCACTGCCTTTGTGGCTGCAAGCAGGTCCAAGCACACATGGCCAGGTGGAAGCGCTTGAGGCATCTTGCAACGCCGTCATCGTTGGAGGATGTCAAGGCACTTCTGCAGAGGACTGCGGCAAGCGTTGGCAGGACAAACAGTCTCCTTCCCGGTGAGGAACACTGACTTGCGCCCCTGCATTTTCAATGATTTATACAGACTCTTATATCTCTTTGTATTTGCGTCGTAGCAGCAGCTGAGGTGGGTGTGGTTGCCAAACAGATGTGGGCGATGCAGCGCTAGCGCTGTCCTGCATGCTTGCTCTGGAGAGCAGCAAGGACGTGGATGACAGTGCGCTCCTGGAGGGCCTCTCCTTTGCTGCCTCTCGCAGCGTGTTGCTGCTGCGTATGTTTGCCAGCTCCCTGCAGGTGTAATGCAGCCCCCACCACAGTCAACATGAATACAGGATGCTGATGTTCAATATTAAATGAGATCACCAAAGTGTGGTCGGCTGTTTGATGCTCCTGCAAGAACGTTCCCCCACTCAGTGCAGCGGTGTGATTGCGGCATTTCTGGCTTGCGCAGGCTCTCTCACCGGAGACTCTCCCGCTGGATGACATCAGCGGCGCCGTCACGGCTGCCCAGGAGCGGCTGCAGCGCGACCCCTGGGAGGCGTGCCACCTCAGCGCCGCGCTGGACCCGGGCCAGATCAGCGCTCGCTCCCGCGCAGCGCGGCAGCGTGCTCTGAAGGCGCGGTCCCGGCTGACGGCGGCCGCTGACGAGCGCGCGCTCCGTTCCCTGCTGCCCCCCTCTGCTGTGCCATTGTTCACATCAGGCGCCTCTTCCTCGGAGGCCGCCGATCTGCGGCAGGCTGCCCTGTTGCAGGCACGCCCTGCTGCCTGCCTGTCACTTCAGAACCTGCCTATTCTTTGCGAAAATCCCTCAACTGCAGGAAGTGGATCGCTGAAGCATGCCTCCATGTGCTGCATGTGTCGAGCGGAGTCCACGCTGCAGAGTGTGTTTATACTGCTTCCAACATTCTATGTGCTCGATGGAGCAGGTGGTGAGTGCTGCGGCTGCAGAGGGCCCTGGCGCGGCGGCCAAACAACGGCTGCAGCAGGCGCTCATGCTTGCAGAGCGGTACAGGCTGAGCTTATGGGCACTGCAGATGCGCTACACTGAGACCCTGCTGCTGAGGACACATCTAGACAGAGACGTCAGCGAAGCTATTGAGGCAAGTGATACCCTTTCAGCAGCGGAGATTTGATGCAGTTGAGCTGCTAATGTCATGCTGATGTGACGTATCTTTCAATAAATCTCCCTTCGCCTTCGCGATGCAGCCAAACCTAAATGGGCGCAAGCAGGAATTATGTGCCATTTCACACATGCCCAAAACTAAATTTACACATTACTTTGCGGGTGGCCTTGTCGTGCCGTGACGCCGTATGCTGTGGTTTGGATGCTGCAGAAAGTGAAGGAGGATTTACTGAAAGAGCCGCGCGAAGCTATCATTTCCCTTGCAAGACGCGTGTGGCCACAACTGGGCCCAACCACTCACGGGCAGCTGTCACTGCTCCTGTCTCTCTTGCAGGAGTGCCTTGATGCACTGGTGAGTCCACTCTTTGCAATTCATGATGGTTATGTCATGCTTGTATCTAACATTTGCCTGATGAGACAGCTGTTGATTTTCCAACACAGCATGTTGCTGATCGTTTGCAGGACGGCAGCCAGGCGGCCAACCAGCACTTGCCAGCAGCAAAGGAGTTTCTGCAGCGGTGCAGCCGGGTAGTGCCGGCCATGAATGCCAAGCTCTTCCTTGGCCCGCTGCTCGCCGCCGCAGTCACGGTCGCCCACAGCTCTTTGAGCCCGCAGATCATTGCCACAGTGCTGGATGGGTCCTGTATGGGAGAGCGCAATGGCGAGTCACTCCCCAAAGATACAGGTCAGGAGCGGCAGAGAGGAGCAGAGAAGCCCCCGCTCAAGCGCATGCTGTTTGCTGCCGACGAGACGCAGGCAGACAGCAGCCAGCTTCTGCAGAGATGGCAGAGATGTGCCCTGGATGAGATATGCGCACGCGTCACGCCCTCAAACGCAGCCAAAATGGCCGCCCTCATCCGCAGCCTGCCTGACCTGTCAGCACTGCTGAGGCAGGCGCTGCCCGCGCAGCCGCCACAGCAGGACACTGCACACTGGCCGGGCTTGGGCCATAGCACCGTGCTGCTGGCCCTGCTGTGCAAGGAGATGTCAGCCCAGCCGCAGGGGCGCACAGAGGACCAAAGGCCAGAGTCGTCAGATCTGGCGCAGGCGTACAAGGCGGGCAGGAAATATCTGAAGCAGCTGGAGGCCGGCCACCTGGCGGCGTTCCTGCGCTTTCTGCTTCTGCGCAGCCGGCCGCCCTTGCCGTCAGGCGCTCTGCCCGCGGAGCCGGCACAGCTGCCCGGGCCGCTGCGGCTGCACGTCGTGCAGGACGGCATCACCCTGCTGAAGGCGATTGTGGCCTCTGCGGAGAAGGACGAGCCCCTTGATGCCGGTCATCCTGCAAAGGTATGCATGCTTGACTCCAGACGATCTCCGGCAAATCCCAAAAGAACATGAATGACATGTTTTCTGCTCGCCTTAATTACACGAGGAAATTTAGAGGCAAAAGGGCTATGGAACAAAGAAGCTACGTTAAAGCTGCAAAAGAAGGGAGAAATTTGAAGAAATGGTTCTGCAGGTGGAGATGGGGGGTATCAGGGCACTGCTGGAAGAGCTGCGGCGGGAGGCCGGGGCGCTGAGCTTGATGGCCCACCTACGCGAGCAGGCCGGCTTGACCGAGTCGCAGCTCCAAGTGTTACAGCTCCGGCTGGGGCAGGGCACAGCCACCAACGTCAGCACCTCTGAAGGCCCAGACAAGCAGGCAGCGCTGCCCGGAGCCCTCACAGACCTGGCACTGGCGGGCTGCAAAGCTGCAAAGCTGCTGCGCGTGGCCCACGCAGTTCTGCACAAGCCGGGCAGCTCGGCGCCTGATACAGTGCAGGAGGAGGCAGCTCGGTGGCAGCAGAGCAGGGACCTTGTCAGGGCAGCGGTGGTGGGTGTGGTGCAGAGCGGCTTGGCTGATCTAAAGCATGATGGCGCCGATGCGCAGCCGTCAGCACAGGTGCTCAGAGCGGTTGAGGGCGCTGTTGGGTGCCTGGATACGGCGATCGGCTCGGATGTGATGCGGGGGGAGGGAGATGCAGCAGAGTGGCTGCAGGGCGTGAGGCAGGAGGTCTGGCAGCAGCTGCTGGGCTTTGTGCTGGAAACAGCTCAGGCCGACAGCGCTGCCCTGGGACCCGTGCTGGGCCTTGTCGGCGCCATTGCTCCTGACGCCACAGGCTCCTCCCGGTAAAGATCTCCTGGATAACGGCTTACCACACAGCTTGATTGGCTTGTTCCTTGATTACCTGTGGAGTGACCGGCAAAGCAGGTGAGGCTGATTTGACGTGCTCTGAGCAGGTGGCAAGGATGGCGGCCAGAAGGCGACAGCAGCGCTCAGCTGGGCCACCTATTACTGCTCAGCCGCACACAGGCCTGCCTGGCAGCTGACTTCCCAGGCGTCAGCATCAGAGCGGTCGATGTCACGAGTTTGCAGGCTGCTGAGGAGCTGTTCACGCGCTTGCTCGGCAGTGCACAATCCCAGCTACAGCTGCTCAGCCTCATGAAGCTGCTGGGCCAAGTGTGGAACAGTGGGAGTGCCTTCTCTGCCGAGGATCAGGTGAATAGCTGACAGTGCAGATTCTGAGCTGATCACCCTGCATTGCAAAAGAGTCTCTTTGGTCTGTCTATTCACACCCTAGCAAAACACAACACCTGCTGGAGACAGATTTTTGGCTGCGCAGGCTGGTCCTGCCCTTCAGCAAAGGGACGTCATTATGCAAGACGCGTCAGAGAATGGCAACGTGCACCACCGGCAAGACAATCACAATGCTGATGTGGTCTCACTCAACAAGAGTTCAGCACCGGAGATGGCAGCTGATGGAGAAGGCTGGGAGGGGGCTGATGACTTGGACGTGGCTCTGGAAACCGTCAGCGACTCTGCAGCAGGGGCACACAATGCAGCGTTGACAGGGGAGGCTCCTGCACTGGCAGTAGACAATGGGTGGGAGGTGGAGGACCCTCTAGATCTGGAGCCTGACAGCGTGAAAGGACTTTCAGAAACCAAGCAGAGCTGCAAGGTTGGAACCAAGGAGCTTCCCATTGAGTCCTTGGAGCAGGCGGAGGCAGTGCTGCTGCACGGGTGCTGGGCCGCTCTGCTGGCGTGCATGCTGCAGGATGGCAGCCCAGCCCTTGTGGCGAGTGTGCTGCGCACTGTGGAGGATGCCGCCACACGGATGCCATTCCTGATCACCCTCGCAGAGGCGCACGCCCTCACAGAGGCTGCAGATTCTGCTGGTAAACATGCTTGGATAACTTCTGACTCACGAAACATTTTCCCCATTTTCAATGACTCTGTCATGCGGATGCCTGTGTCAAAGTTTTTGAGGATCACTGATTGACTTGTGCAGGGACTGACGTGGCTGTCACCCTGGGCCTTCTGCTGCCTTACCCAGTGGTGCAGGCTGCGGCCGAGGCGCGGTTGCACACTTCGGGGCACCTTTCTGAGGCTCCAGATGAGAGCCTCATAGCCGTGTTGCTGTCACGGAGGCTCTGGCCAAGCCTGGCACAGACCCCTGCCTATCCGCGCCTTACTCAAGCTCTCCTGACGCGCCAAACGCACATGACAGGTACATCTCCGCCAACTTACTCCCACCGGTGCTCAGCGCGGTGGCGGTGGGTGTTCCTTTTGCACGAGTTCATGTGGCCACTCGGCTGTGAGTGAGGATGCATCTTCGACAGCAAGCGGAGATGAATGTTTGCAATGCCACATCAATCAAAGCAGTTGACCAGAGGTCAGGGATGCCAAACGCCACAAGTGCTTGGTTCACGGGCGCAGGGGAGGCAGCAGCGGCCAATATCAAGGCGTCGTCAGCTGCGGCGTCGTTGGCAGAGAGCGGGCAGCACGCAGCGGCCGCGGCCATCGCAGCGACCCACCTGGGGATCCACCCTGCGCTGTCCACCCTGGGCGGCGGCCTCTCCATGCTCGGTCCCTACCTGCGCGGAGCTGCACGCGCAAGGGAAGCGGCTGCATCTTCACATGTTTACACTGATGACAGCGGAGATGTGAGCGTTCCGCAGGCCATTGAGCAAGTGTGGGGCATGCTGTCCGGCCAGTGCGAGCGCGCTCTGTCTCGCCTGCGGCAAGATGCTCCTTAATTCAGGGAGGCCATATGGCTTTTGGGCAGCATCGCAAAAGGATTACAAATAAGAATGGATCAGGCAACGTTGCAAATTCGTGGCAGCGGCCTGAGGACTGATGTCCGTTGTAATTACATTTGAAATGCATGCTGGTGATGGAGCAAAATTGCAGTGCGCACATGCATGCATGCCTCTGTAGAGCTCTATAGACTATACAAATCAGTATGAAATAATTGCAATCTTATTCTCAGTTTTAACATGACCATCTGCAGGCCTTTCGTTGGTGACACCATTGTCACCAAATCAATACCGTTGGTCTCATTTGTTCAACCTCAACACATTGCTCCCAAACGCATCCTTCAGCACTCAAGATCTCGAGATGTCTACTTAGGGAACCTGCCGTGAAGATGCGTCTCATGACGTTATCACAGGACGATCAGGTGCAAAGTTGAATGGTGAGAATCATGTCAAATGAATGCACACGTGCCGGCTCTCAAGAGATATCTAAGCTCACAGACTCCCCATTGCTGCACAGAGTTGCCCATGACCTGGGATGCCCCTGCCTCCTCTGGGCCCTCCACTCTCTCACAACATTCGCTCATTACTCCCTCACGCACTTCATTCGTTATGCCAACACATGGACGACGCACTTGCAGAATTTAAGCAGAGTGTGTCCTGCGCCTGTGAAAGGCTTGCTAAGCCCTGCCTAGGCTGGAATCACGATGTGATCACGATGCAGAGGCTACATCCGTAGGCAGGGCAGCAGTCAGGAGGTGAGCTGCATGAGCTTGATGCAGCCCTGGCTGTTGGCTGCCAGCAGCACCTGAGCCTGCGGCTTCCAGCACACAGCGCTGATGAACTGCGACCCCTCCGACGCCTGCCCGCTCGCAGTAGGGCCGGAGAACACGCGTTTCGCTATGGGCTTTGCCAGCGCTCTGTAGTACACGTACACCTGCGCCGCACCACAGCCCATCACCTCAGCACAGTTGCGGGATAGCATATGCACCAAACTCATCCCGCGTCTTGAGGTGACGTCTCAAGCATGCAAAGCACTCCACACAGATCACCATGCACCATGATCTTTAGAGACAGTGCTTCTTAAGAAGTGAGAGTATATAGGGGGGAGGCAGGAAAGCCCATGAATGCAGGTGTCAGGTGAACAGTGCCAGGCAAGAGCACCTCATCCGTCTCGGAGCCGCAGGCGATGAACTCAGAGTCCACAGAGAGGCCGACAAAGTTCTTCTCGTTGACGTGGCCGCTGAAGCGCCGCGTCTGCGACAGCGTCTGCGTGTTCCACAGCCGTAGCGTGCTGTCGGTCGAGGCAGAGACCACCTCCGTGCTGCTCAAATACCGCACATACGACACCGCCTTCCTGTGCCCTGCAGCAGAAGGACCCGTGCACTTAGTCCTCCAGCAACCGCGCATGCAACACACAGAATCTTCTAGAGACTGTCAGAGCAACCGCCGATATGGTGCAGAACCATACTTGCACGGCAATAAGCAAATATTGCTCCACATAGCTGCTTATCAATTAGCCAGACCTCTTTGAAATGCTGGGCACGTGCGGGGGTGCATTTTGAACGGCAAAATGACTTTACCAAAGGGCTCATGATTGGCGCACCAGCAAAGACGTGGACGGGGGCGGACACATTGCGCAGGTCGTACAGGTGCACGCTGTGGTCGGCAGAGCCAACCGCGATCTCATGCGCGCTGGCCGGATTGTACTTGACGCAGCACACATTCGCGCGCATGTCTATCGCTACTGCTGCCGCCGCCTGGTTTGTCGACCAGACCTGCGCAGCCGCACCCCTCTCATGACGCTGCCGAAAGACGGTTGTTTAGAAAGGACTTACACAAGGGTAGACTTTTAGTTCAGCAGCGCAAGGGGTGGCATTTGTCAACTGCTCGCAGTCATAAATGTAATCCACTGGACCCTAGGTGCCAGATCCTATATGCCCATCCTGTCTCACAAAAGCCACCAAGAGGGCGGCCGAAGCTCCCCAGAGAGAATCCAGACCGGCTGCTTCTAGCAAAGGGCCGCCCCAGTCTTGGAAAGCTTGCAGGTCGCCACGGAGGCAGGCGGCAGGCAAAGAGTGCAGGAGGCGAGGGAGAGCCACCTTGATGAAACCATCGTCGGAGCCGGAGACGAAGAGGAGGGGGTCTGCGGTGGAGTAGTCGACGCTCCATATGCGCTTGTCGTGCGCCTCGTACTCATTCACGGTCGCCTGGGTGTCCACGTCCCACAGCGTCACGCAGCCCTCGTAGTCGCTGCTTATTATGTGGCTGCGCACGTACCTGGCACAGGCACAAAGGACCTCAGACACTTAAGGATCTCCTGCTCTTCAATTCCCTCTCTTCTCACCCTCACATTTCCCAAGTACGCATTGCAACTTGCAAGGCAAATCAGGCAGACTTGGACGGTGGTTCTTGTGGAGGGCTGGCAGTCTACACATGCAGCAGATCAGGAGGCATGGGTTCACCCATGTCCTCAAGGTGGTGAGGTCAACCATGCCCTTGACCTCTGTCTCCTCAATCATGGCCCAGGCTTCATCAGGATTGTTCGTACATTTCAAAAAGCAGGGAGGGATGGAGTGCGTACTTGTTCCAGGAGAGGCAGGAGAGCTTAGAGCGGGTGACGAGTTCGGCGGCGGGGCAGTGCTGCTGCACGTGGGGGTGCGCCAGAACGTTGGCGTAGTCGAACAGCGAGATGCGCTTGGACACGCCCGCCGTCGCAAAGACGGCGCGGTCGCGGTCGAACTCGATGCTGGACAGGATCGCCGCCTGCTGCCGAGCGCTCGCCCGAGGCAGCTCCGCCACCACCTGCCAGCCCCAGACTTGTCTCATTATGCTTGCCCCTTGCAAAGCTATTCATTTGACACCCTTCCGACTAATGGGCAGCAATGCAGTGCCGGTGTGTGGTTCGGCCAGCACTTGTGGCAAAAGCGCTGCCGGGCATGCTATCATGACGGGCAATGGGGATCTGGCATGCAATCCATTGCTCCCCTTTGTTCTCTAGCAGATCCAGGGCTGTGCCTATGTCATGCTTGTGCAGAGGAGTAAGACCTTGATTGCTGGTACACAACTGCTCACAAGCAGCTCCAGATAAAAGAAAGGAGAGCTTTCCCATTGGGGTCAGAAGGACTGGACCGGGGGAGCACCTTGAGCTTGGAGCAGTGGGTGAAGACGGAGAGCATGCGCGAGAACTCGGCGAGGCCGTCCGGGGCCAGCACAGGGCCCACCGCGCCCTCCCCCGCCTGCACCAGCTCCAGCTTGCGCGCGTTCACATTTCCCCCCACCACCATCTCCCGCATCCCCTCCGCTGCATCCCCCTCCTCGCTGGCTCCATCCCTCTGCCCCTCTGATCCTGCGCCACCGGCCAACCCGTGCCCATCACTTTACTATCAGGCGCACACACAAGCGACCTAGTTCTCCTAAAGAATTGCAGCTTTGACTCAATACGTGGCTTTGGAACCTTGACATTAGCGACGTAATATTATTGTGAGGCTGGTGAACTCAAGAGCGGAGAGCACCCTTGCCATTGGCGGTGATCTGCAGCCTCGTGGGAGTGTGTTGCGATGGCCCGGCGCCGTTCTCATCCGCTGCCCCAGCAAGAGCGGCTCTGTTTGCTGATAGACCACCCGACTCGCCCCGCCGCAGCTTCATGTAGCAGTTCTGCAGGTCGTCGAACTGGGACACCACCCGCCGCTTGCGCGCCCTGTCCATACATGAGCTGCCTTTAATACGCCCTCAGATCCACTTACATGGGTAATATTCTGTGACGCTCCGAGCCACAGGTGGAGCCATGCCAGGCCTAGGGGCACTTCCTATCAATTGCGTAGATTTACTACCAAGCACCTCTACGGAGCCCTGTTGTCACATGGGCTGTTCCTGTTCCATTAAGGAGCAGGCAGGGGGCGCGCCTTAGGGTGTCGTCTTCGGTGTCGCAGTCGGCAGACACGAGGCTGCTGCTGGGGATGGCTGAGGAGGAGGGCGGGTGCGAGGCGGCCCCGGCTCCGCCGCTGCTGCTGCCGCCACTGTTTGTCGTCGTCGTGGTCGGCGTCGCCGTGGCTGCCCTGCTCGCCGACGCAGCCTGCTGCGCCCGACCACACACAATCAACTCGCGCAACCAAATTGCCCCTCTGCCGAATAGATGCACTTAACACTCTCAGGCACCAAGACCTCCATTGAAAAGACGCCCCAGAGGAGCATATGTTCGAGGGCTTCAAGGCGGACCTGAGCAGGGCCGAGGGGACCACTCTGTGCGGCAGCAGGAGCTGCGGGTTGGCCATTGGGGAATGGTTGTTGAGCATCGGCAGATGCCGCCCTGGACAGCGTGGATGCATGCGCCGTGGGCGGCAGAAGGAAGGCAGGGCCCCCTCCACGATGCGACTGCTGCGGCTGCCAGCTGGAGCTTTGACGATTGGGGAACCGCGCGCTGTTTGGCAGCTCATTGACCGCTGTGCTCTCGCCTGCACGGCGCAGGCCGCGCTTTAATCTCCCTTGCACAATATAGATCCACAGTCTATCTTAGCGGACATTGCAAGAATGGTGGACATTCCGGAGTGGGAAGAAGATGACTGGGCGCGCCGGGACCTGGCAAGAAGGGCAGCCGGCCATTGTGGAGGACAATGTCTGAGGAGCCCGGCTGATGGCCGGTCTCATGGCCGCTGGCAGATGGGGCAGCCGCGCTGGGGTGGGGTGGAGGCGGCAGCATGCGGCCCTCGCCCACGTCGTGCGCATGATTCTGCCTCACACCCGCAGCTGCGCCTGCGGATCACCACCCAGTCCTGATCAGGACTTATCTTCCAGTTCACAGTGCGGAATCCCTGATCACGGTGATGAGGAATATGACACCCCTGTAAAGCTGCGCAGACAAGTCCATCATTTTCACAGATCAGCACCTGTGGAGGCAAGACCATCCAGGAGGACGCTGTGGTTGTGTGCAGCTGCACCCGAGCCCCTGGCAGCGGCTGTGGAGGGCTCTTCGCTCTCGCGCAGCCGCCTTCGCAACAGTTCCGCCGTGCTGTTGCGAGCCAGGGGCGGGTCACGAGGTGCATGCCCCTCCACTTGGTGGATGTCTGCATCCAGCGTGGTCAGCTCCTCCTGCAACTCCTTCAACTTCTGGGTCTTCTCTGACCTGCGCCACAATGGTCAAGAGTGTCTGAAGGTGAGTGCCGTCCAGTAATAAGACAAAGCATTGCCCATGCGCGAGAAGAGATGCTGATGTCCTAGAGGGCTCACCGCGCATGGTGCAAGAACTGCAGCAGGAGCTGCAGGCTGGCTTCTGCCTCCTGCTGCTCCATGGCTTCCCTCTTCTCCCACAAGCACTGCAGCAGCGTGTTAACATCCTGCAGGCTAAGCTTGCAGCGATCCTCCCTGATATCCTCCACCATCTTCTGCGCCACTGGTTTCTTCTCCCTCTCCTCTGCTGCTGCTGCCCTTGCCACCACCTGTCAAAATCAAAGCCTGTCTTTCCAAAGGGGGTCACAAAGAGATGGGCAGCATGAGGAGCGCAGCAAAGAAAACCAGAGCTTCAGGCTGCTGGTGTCTCACCTTGCTGAGCATGAAATTTGGGAAGGTGCTGTCCTTGATCAGGTACTGCGCACAGCTTGGGCACGTGGAGCGGGCGTTCAGATGGGTAGTGAGGCATGAACAGCAGAATGTGTGCCCACAAGCGGTCACAAAGGGGTCTCTCAACAACGACATGCATATGGGACAGCTGAGATCGTCCACTAGAGACTGCTCAGTAGGTCTCGGTATTGACATTTCCCCTTGTTCCTCCTCCTTTTCTTCCTGATCTTCATCGAGACCCCCATAGTGAATAAATTCTTCTTTCATGACCATTGTGGCCGACGTTCTCTTTGGGATTTACACTGCCTTCGTGATCGGTTGCAAAAAAAATCAAGAACGTGCATCATGCTTTCCCTCAATGCCTGACAGACAATTGATAGGCAAGAATCATGCCACCCCGGTCTGCTTTACTAGAGATTTCCAGCAAGGCCCCCAAGCACCAGTCGAATGCAGCAAATGTTCGACAGAAGCTGCTGTATTAAAGACAATCGAATGTAATAACGAACTTGTCTTTGAATCTGCAGAATGATTCGAGAGATCATGGCAATCACCGTGTGTTCCACGTGGGATACATGCACGTGGGAAACTTTCAGCCAGCGACGCATGCATAGAACGCTCTTGCTCCATCATTGGCAATTCGAAGGTAATTTGAACGGTTGTTCTGTGTTATAGTCCTTAGCTGTGGCGCTGGGCAATTTAGTGCGGCAGGACAGGAGACATCAAGCGCATGGGAAAGTAGCCTTGACTTGTTGCAGCAAACATGTCTTTCCTTACCGTCGGTGGTGATGGTTCCACACGTCCGACATTTTTTGAGCTTATTGCTGCCGATCGTCTGATGCCAAGTTTGAGGGCGGCAGTCATATACTCCTTGTCGGTAAGCTCTCATGCGACCTTCAGGTCCCCCTGTAAGCGCTCCTTTCATGTTATTCTGAGCACTTGTGGACTATTGAGCATCATCGCATGCGTGTGACAAGATGCAACGTGCAGGTCTTTGCACAGCGGCGGCCTGTACTACACAGAGTGCTGGACTGGGAGGACGAGTTCTTCGCCTTGGTGACAGCTTTCCTGGACCGCCAGAGCTTGGCCAACTCATCAGCCACGTTTGCTGACACCTTATATGGTCTGCGACGGGCGCCTTATGCCCCAAATGAGCCATCCCGCAGCTTGACACCCCACCAACAGAATGTCACCCTCTTGCTCCTGGTAAGCTCACCTTGGATGCAGGAGGATGTGTTAATATTCGCAGCCCACTACAGTGGCTGCCACGGTCTCCGCTGTCTGAAAAACCCTCCCTTCTGAAGCTTATTTAACAACTTGCCGCAGGTCGGTGTCCCATACGTGAAGGCAAAGCTGGAGGCGCTTTATAACCGGCATCGGCGTCCCACGGAGGGCTTATTGGGGCTGACATTAAGAAGACCGGTCGCACCCGAGTCCAATGCGGCAAATCAGCAGGTGCTCATATGCACATGCCTTGCACGTGCTGTCTGTCCAGTGCAGCCATATACTCAGCGGAGATCAATGCAGTCAATTATTCTCCACTGCTGCTGACTGCTATATGTCTTTGGACTGCATGCAGAGCGTGCTTCAGAGAGGGGCCAGCAGCGGCAGCACATGGCGGCATCGGGTGGCCCAGGCTCGGGCGATAGGGCTGGCGGCATTCATGCGGCTGTATCCCTGGCTGCACATGCTGCAGGAGGGGCTGTCCTTCTCCTACCAGCTGGCCTACCTGCTGCAGGCCTCGCCCTACTTCTCGCCAACGCTGCACCTCCTCAGGCAACATGTCGAGCGCGCTTCAGGGCAGCAACTGGTGAGTCTTGCGCCCTGGGCTCCCTGTGCTGCACCTAAGAGCAGATACTTCATTTTGTGTCAGTAAGCTCAGCATAGCTCTGACTCACACTGCAGATGGTTGACATCGTGTGGCTTCTGGTTTGGACAGGTCCTTGCGGACAGAGCAAAACGGCAGCAGCGCAGGCAAGAGATTACGGGCGTGCGCAGCTCTGGCAACTTCATTGCGCGGCTAGTTCAGGAAGGGCTGCTGCGGACGAGCTATGCGTTCAGCGATCACACTCGCAACGCGCTCATCCTCGCAATCTTTGGCTTCAAGGTGATCTGCTGTTCTCTGCTGCATTTGCTCTGCCCCACTGTAGTGTGACGGATTCTGCACTGCAGAATGTGCTGCCTGGGTCAGGCAATCGTGTCCAGCAGGCAGTGTCCTCTGATCGGTGTCGTGCACCATTGCAGCTTCTGGAGTGGTGGTACACGTCAGCAGAGGAGAAGCTAGCAGCTGAGAAGAAGCTAGCGCCTCCGCCGCCGCCGCCTCCTCCCATGCCGGCCTCGGGCGGCATGGCCTTGCCATCAGACCCCTCGCTGTGCCCTATCTGTCAACAGGTGTTGCCTCCTTTTGCTAAGCAAGCATGCTGACACCTGTTGATGGCATCCGATGATTGCAGAAAACATGCTTCAGATCGCTGGAAGGCGGTATGTCACGGGGCTCTGTCCTGAGAGTGAACTGTGTTTGACAGGCGCGCACAAATCCGGCAATGACCACCGTGTCAGGCTACGCATTCTGTTACCCCTGCTTGTTCAACTTCATCTCCCAGGAGGGGTGCTGCCCAGTCACGCGCGTCCCAGCCACCGTTGACAGCGTGCGGCGCTTGTACCAAAGCACATGATGAGATTTCAGTTTCTAGAAACCTTGTGCTCAAGGCGTTTAGTGCCCAGTGTGCTTGACTTTTTGACAATGTATGTGTGAGCTCTGATCCAATTTTGAGAATTGAGGGTTTCTCTGCTCAGTCAGGGAATGTATATATGCTACTTGCACAGCAAACATCACATGAATCTGTTGTACAGTTTTGTCAGAAGCTGCAAGTTTTGGCCAACAGGTCAAGGGCCTCCCTGAAGTTGCAATCTTTGCGTAGATCAATGGGTGCTCGTGTGAATAGTGTTAAGAGGCAATATATCTGGCACATAAGCAGGTGTCGCGGTTTGTATAAATGTAATACCGTTTGAATAGCCCTAGCTAGACACCCAAAGCCAAGCAGTACAGCGGTGTTCTGCGGTAAGTCACAGGATGCAGTGCATCTAGCATTCTTCAGAAAAATCATGGCGTCAGCCCCTGTGCTCATTGGTCCCTTGCAATATCTAACAGCACTTCGCAAAGCTCACACATCAATTAGGAGCCTTCTGGGGTCCTCCACAATGTCCTTTACGCGCTTCAGGAAGGTGACTGCCTCACGCCCATCGATCAGGCGGTGATCATAGGTCAGGGCCACGTTCATGATGGGCCTCGCCACAATCTCCTTGCCCATCACCTGCACAGCATCGACAACAATTTCAGTGTATAGCTCTCCATTTTGCAAGGCAACAGATGGCGGGTCCAGACAGTCCATCATTGCAAGATTATGAGGCTGGCGAGAGGCGATGTCTAGTCATAGAATGCAGCGATGTCAGTGTGATTTTAATTGGCAGTGAAACGATTGTCCAGGAATAGGAGGTCATGTGGAGAGGCGCACCATGGCGCGCTGGTTGATGGAGTGCATGCCGAGGATGGCGGACTGGGGAGGGTTGATGATGGGCGTGGACAGCAGGCTGCCATACACGCCACCATTGGAGATGGTGAATGTGCCGCCCGCCATGTCATCGATGCTGATCGTGCCCTCGCGCGCCTTCTTGCCCAGACCGTTGATCGTCTGCGCGCACAACATGCATGTCATTCAAGGTCAGCAGGAAAGCGGCATTCCATGATCCCCCCCAAGGCACCTCTCAAAGAGCACAACACGTCATGTGCCTGCTCAGGGATTGCTTGCTACCGTGATGCTGAGCCTGGTACTCATTCCCAAAAATGCTGGGAGTCCACTGAGCTTCAGAGGTACTACACGATCAGCTTACCCAAAGCTAGAGGCAACAGGGCATGCATGCAGGGCGTCTGCAGCCGCACCTGCGGGGCCTGCAATACTCTGCAGCCCAGCTAAAGTATATATCTACACTCCTTATTTATCAGAGCACGGAAATTGAGGGCATTGACCGTTTGGCTCCTGTCAACAGATGGATGGCACTGTGCAGAGGAGGCTGTGCAGACCCACCTTCTCCACCTCTGCAAAACTGAGGGAGTCGACGTTACGAAGCACCGGGACGACGAGGCCCTTGGGGGTGGCGACAGCGATGGAGATGTCGGTGTAGTCGCGGTAGATGATCTCATCCCCGTCTATGACGGCGTTCACTGCTGGCACCTTGAGGAGCGCGTCTGCAGACGCCTTGACAAATGCTGACATGAAGCCCAGCTTCACGCCGTGTGTTTCAAGGAACAGGTCCTGGCCACAACAGCAGAGGCTGATTCAGCATTAGATCTTAGCCACAGGGGTGCAACAATGGGGCATGGTTAAGAATTGTGAAGTGCATCCCAACGGTGTGCAGAGTTTGAGCTGACCTTGAAGTCTGCGCGCAACTGCATGAGGTTGGTCATGTCAATCTCATTGAAGGTGGTCAGCATGGCGTATGTGTTCTGAGCGCCCTTCAATCGCTCTGCCACCCGCGCTCTCAACCGGGTCATCTTCACCCGCCTGCACCGCGCAGACACTTGCTTGATGGCAGTCCCAACCTCACGAGCATGCATAATGTAGATCCTGCAAATGGTCTGATCACCACTGTCCTTGTGTAGTGTTTGGAGCAGTTCAGATGATTACCTCTCCGGCTTCAAGCTTTGGCCTTCAGCCTGCGCAAAGCAAAGGCCTGTTCAGCAATAGCGCAGCAGGGCCACCCTTCCCCAGATGAGCCCAAACAGAATTTACACAGTGTGAGAGCAATGAATCCGCAGTGTGGTCCAGCCATCTCATCCCAGCAGCAAGAGTGAGCACCTGTGCCGGGGGCGCAGAGGGGGCCGGCTTTGGCTTTGCCGGCTCGGCCTTCTTCTCTGGCTTGGGGGGTGGCTTGGGGGCCGCCTCAGCCTTCTTTTGAGGTGCCTTCGCAGGTTCAGGTTCCTTCTCGGGGGCCTTATCACCTGCTGAGTCATCGTCAGGCACATTGCCGGCATCCACAATCACCACCTCCTGTCCCACTGACACCGTATCATCCTCCTTCACAAGGATCTCCTTCACTGTGCCAGGCTCGCTTCCAGTGTAGCGCACATCTATTGTGACCTTGTCTGTCTCGATCTGCAGCAGGACGTCGTCTTCCCTGACGACATCACCTGCACACCATAGGCAGTGCGCTTCAAAAACTGGGCTGACTAGAGGTCATTGTACCTATGCGTAGGTGAGGAACCCTCGCACCAAGCATTGCAATGGCATAACGAGGCTGCACACAGTGCAAGGATGAAACCATGTTTCCAGTGAGCGAACCTGGTTTCTTCTCCACAGAGGCTACTGAACCCTCTGAAATAGAGTCACCCATAGAGGGCACAGCAACAGAGACATCTGCAGCTGGAGCTGCAGTGGCGTGAAAGCTTCGGAAAGATGCCAGAGGTTGGGGCCATGCACATTGTGCATCACAAGTCCTGCGTTGAAGCATTCATCTGGAAGTCAAACCCTAAAATTAGGACGTCAAACTGCAGTTTTAGTGCAATCAGAAAACAAGCTATCGAGTTGCCGCTTGAAGATGTTAACACACCTCAAGAATCCTGTGCAAGTAGATGTGTTCCCTGCGCGATACACGAAGACCCTCAGTATCGCAATATGCTAGACATGCACAATCACTGGTTTATAAGGTGCAAGGCAAACCTGCAGAAAATGCTGTCGCCTGAATGATCGCGGCATATCTTGCTTCTCCCTGCAAGATCATTCAGTCTTTACTGCCTGTAAATCAACATTTATTCAACTAAAACTTTTATTGCGACCAAAAAGCACCACTTACAGCGAGCTGCTGAGGGGCGCGCCCCAAGTGCAGAGCAGTAGCTCTGCACAGCGCACGTAAGGATCTTGAGGCCATCCTCAATGCTGCTTGTCCCGATCCATCAAAACAATTCTTGCAGAAGTCGAATTCTCATTTTGCCCTTTACGCATTTGTAGATACGCTCTCAAGTATGAATCGCTTCGGGACAGCAATACTGTACACATGTGCTATGATCATTCAGGTCTCTTTGCACTGCTAAAAAGGAGCCGATTGGCGAATAAGGAGAACTCTACAAGTTCATGGGGAGTGTCAGTGGGCACAGCCGCCATTGGCAGCCCGGGCGCTGCCCCATATTTGCTCACACTGGCAAATGCCACCGTGGACATTGGAACACCATGTGGTGATCATGACAGCAGCTCCAGCTTCAGCTGTAGGTTCGGTAAGAAGTGTCAGGCTGGCAGTGACAGCCCATTAGCACAGTGTCATTTTCGATTGCCTGCAGGAGATTGTCAGCCATGGCATCTGTCACTAGTACTTTGCTGATCATATTCTAATTGCAATGGCTGCAGCGCTCACAAGGTGATCATCATGCTCAGCATGATGCAGCGCCATGCTTAGCACCAGACTGGTATCCAAATGCATCATGCTGTTGGCCATTGACCGTTACAAGTTGTAAGCTCAAGATTATTTCCTTGATATTTTTTTGGCAGTATCGGCATGTATGTACTGAAGCTTTTCCCCAACGGTGTCCCAGGGGATTATGAGTGTGTTGCATCTTAAGGACTTCTTCTCATATTGCTTGTCCTCCCAATGTTCTGATGGATTGATCTTGACATCAACATTTGACGTCAGACAACAGGCCAATCGCAGCCAGGGTCAGCCGGCCTGGTCCCAATCGACCAGACACTGCGCATGAATGTTTATTCAGAACAGTAGCGGCCGGGCCGCTAGCAGCTGAGGTGCACCCAGCCGGCTCTAGCTGAACATTGCTGCCCCTCTGGGAGCCACACAAGCAATTTGCTCTGTGCGCGAGAGTGACCGCCATTAAAGGTGCCAAGCGGCTGCCTGTCCATCCTCGCAGTCACTCTGCTTTGCCTGCCCGCTATGGGGTGCCAAAGTGGCTGCTGCATGTATGTCCGCTTTCAGGGCCAGAGGCCGGAGAGGAAGCAGGGGGTGGGGATGGTGATGCCGTGGTACTCCACAGAGGAGGGGATCATGCAGGGGGGCACGATGGCCTGGCCGGGGATGACCACAGCCTTCGAGAAGATGGTGGTGCCTGCACAGTAGGATCCACAGCTTGTTGGACACGTGCCAATAATGCTGCACAGCAGCTTGCCTCGAGGTGCACATGCAAGTGCACAACCACTTTGCACTAGACCACACTCGTCTTCACAAAAGTCACAGACGATAAATCTAAGAGTCAGGGGCTGATGAGATCAGGGGTACAGTGACAGGTCTGGAGGTGAACTCACCAATGGGGTTTGACAAGTGATCGCCCAAAGAAGCAAGGGGTCCCTTGCCGGTCACCTGCAACATGGACAACGCTGGTCAGGTGCCTGCATCTATCATCACTGTACATGAGGCTATTCATGAGGGCGTTGAAGTCCGTGCACGCAAGAAGATCTTAACAGCAGGGACACTGCAGTCACCTGTGCCTGCATGACGAAGCCAGCGAAGGCGAGCATGGCGAGGCGGCCATTCTTGATCTCCTTCAGCTTCAGCTCTGCCAAGTCACCTGCAAACAGACCAATTAATTAGCTTCCTGGCAAGTGGGTCATGAACGGCCCATCATCATGGTCTATTTGCCTGAGAGCTTCTGCGATCCACTGGACAGTGACCTGCCAGCTTGACCTGCTACACTTGGAAAGCACCGGATAAAAAAGGCACGGGGAGACAGACCTGACTCGAGCATAGGGGCACTCTGGGCAGTGCAGTGAGAGCAGGTTCATACGAAGGTGAGGGGATAGGGGACCAATAGGACACATGCAGGCATTCTTCAACTGATGAAGGGAGGCAGGTAGAGTGGAGGGAATCACACCTGGGATGACGGGGGCGAAGATGCCGCCTGGGTAGCCGACCTCGTGCTTGGGCAGCTTGTTGTTGGAGAAGATGGGGTCCTGGTCCTGGCTGCCGGGGTTCTTGAAGTCGTACGCTCGCCTCACCTCCACGAAGTGCATCGCAAACAGCTCAAAGGCCACCAGCCCCAGGATGGCAGCTGGGCTGTTGCCGAACGGCATGGGGCTCTTCAGGGCTGCCTCATACCAGAACACGTCCGGCCGCACAACCTCCTGCACGCACAAACCGCCCGCTCCAGATCCCCGCCAGACCTCACTGCCGAGCACCGGGTCAAGAAACACGTTGCCTGCCCTACAAAGCTTGGCTTTCTGCTCCTGACTTCCTTTCCCTGTCGAAATTTTTGTTGCTTGCATGCCTGCTTGCTTACAATGGAGGCAGAGCTGTCAGAGGCCCCAGGCGATCGAGTTGCTCACAACAGGAGATGGTGTGTGGCGTACCTGCACGGCAATTCCCGCAACCGCAAGCATGGCCCAACGCGCATGCACTCTTTCTGACTCTGCAAACCAAGCCAGACGCTCGGGGTCGGCTCCGAGACCGAGAGGGTCAAACCTGCAGAGAAAATACCGCTGAATGGCCATGTTGATGCTTTAGATCCTCACAAGACGTCTATCTGTGCACAGGAACTCAGTGGTCTACAATTTTGATTGTTTGTGCACCCATCAACAGAGAAATACAAGGAGCTCACCCGAAGTCACCGGGCAGGGAGCCATCCAGGTGTGCTGGGGCATCACCTCCTGCGCAAGGAAAGCACTTGTGGGTATAGAGTTGCAACAGGCCAAATACCTTCTCAGGTACTTCTTGAGCATTTGGTTACTCCCTTGATGCATCCACGAGATATTTGATCATAGCAAATACTTGGGATCTGGTTCGTCAACGGTGAGGACTGGAGGAAGCACCTGGCAGCCACAAGGCACGCTCTGCGCGCACAACAGTCTGGCGCACGGGCCTTGCTCTCGACACCTGCAATACATGCCAGCGAATTCAATATGACTGCCAAGCCTGCTTTCTCAATGTGCTCGGACATTGAGAGCTGGGCACACTGGCAGTGAGGACTGGAATCCAGCTAGTTCGTAGCATGAATGGCTTGCTAGCTCACGAAAGGGGTCAAAGACCCCAGTATCTGACAGAGATCGCAGGGGAGCTGGGCTCCTCAGACCTGGCGTGCTGCGAGAGGGGAGCCCAGGATGGGCCTGGAGAGACCATTGCACGCGAGCAGAGCTGCCATTTTGCGTCACCTTGAGCTGCTGCTCACCGTAATCAGTCGATGTCGCTGAGCGGATTGATAGGATGATACGGATTGCCCCAAGCAATGGATCGTCGTTATTGGAGCCTGCCCAAGCCTCCGAACGAGGATTCTGATTGGCTAGGCTATCAAATCAAATCTTATAGCCTTGGCCTGCGCTTCAGGGTGCCCATCGAGAGCAGATCGGTCGCACCTGTGCAGAGACAAGGTTGTCGATACCAGGGAATTGTCACCATGATGATCCTTGCGCACTCCCAGACAACTCGCTTCGCTGTGGGCACGCCTCTGTTGAGGAGCAGTCGTCCCACGGTGAAGCTCGATAGGAACTAAATGCCCATTAAATCTTGAGCAACCCCCTTCTGCTTGAAACGTTATATTCGCTTGCTTCGTGACTGCGCAAGTGCCCTGGGATCTGAATGTAGACAGCCAAATCGAGATGCGGCAGAAAGACTGAACATGGCTTTCTTTCATCTGTTAGGTGTCTGCAGCGAGGTCAGCTCGTGTTGTGGTGAGGGCTGAGCGTGCTTCATGGCTCCCTGGCTCAGAGATCCCTTCATACCTGAAGGGTGAGCGACTTTAACACACCACCAGGGTTTATCTGCCACACACCTTCACTGTCTGCCTGTTGCTTGTATGCTGGCAAATATACAACAATAAGGTGTGTACTGCAGGCGAGCTTCCAGGTGACTTTGGCTTTGACCCCTTGAGGCTAGGAGAGGACCCAGCAGCCCTCAAGTGGTAAGAACACTTATCCGATCCATCGACGTTTGCGGGACCCTGGTATCGAGCAGATGAAGGGAAGAAAGATACACTTCACAAGACAGTGCATGCACACAGCACTGACAATGATTACTTTGGTGACCCCAGGTACCAGCAGGCAGAGCTGCAGAACGGAAGGTGCGGAGCCACCACACCTCAGTGCATGCAGCGGTCACCATGCCACGTGATGAATTACATGACATGCACATTGCTCCACAAATCCAAAAGAGCTTGAGCTGTAATCCTGGATCAAACCCGCCGATCAATGTGGTCTAAAGACATGATACCATCTGTACATAATAACAACAAAGATAAGGATCTTCCTGATTGTGCAGGTGGGCAATGCTGGCAGCAGCGGGCATCCTTTTCGTGGACCTTCTCGGTCACTTGGGCGCCGGCGGCCCGGCAGCAGCCACCCCCTGGTTCAAGGCCAGCGACTTCACCTACTTTGCCCCCACCAGCACCCTCTTCATCGTGGAGCTACTCCTCTTCGCCTGGGTGGAGGTCCGCCGGTACCAGGACATGGTCAAGCCCGGCAGGTGCACCCCTCCCCTCACTCGCTGCAGGTATTAGTAAATCCTGAATGATTAGTGTGTACGGTTTGGTGCACTATGTGTGCCATGTTGCAGTAGCTGAAGCTGCTATTTCTTCAGATTGGCAAGCATCAGTGCAGCTTGTTACTGTAAAGTAGTGAGGCACACACTGATGCACTGTGCAATGACCACACACACAGACCACACACAACGGCCACACACTGACCACAAGGGGCACTGATGTGGTGGGTTTGGTGTGTGCAGCACCAACCAGGACCCCATCTTTTCACAGTACAGCCTCCCATCCGGCAATGAGCCCGGCTACCCAGGCGGCATCTTCGACCCTCTCGGCTACTCCAAGGGCAACATGGCGGTACGCTGCCCTGCCTGAGGGTTGCTGAAATACTCAGAACGCAATGAAAGTCCTGCAATTCCTGAGACGACGATATATTGCCAGCACTTTGTTGATATTGATCTGTCCTCCTTCGATGAACTATCTTCTTGCTGGCGTGAAGATTTTTGCAAAGGGTGTGATTGAGATCGGTGGTGTGCATGCGCAGGAGCTGAAGCTCAAGGAGATCAAGAACGCTCGCCTTGCCATGCTGGCGGTGCTCGGCTTCTTTGTGCAGGCCAAGACCACCGGAAAGACCCCTCTGGACTCCCTCTCATCCCACTTGGCCGGTGCGCAGCTAACCTCACTTTGTAATTGCCCTTATTCGAGTGCAGTGTGAATATCCTCATCATGGTGTACCATTTTGAGTTTGGTTTGGCATGTTGATTGCAAAACGCCACCAGACTACCGAGATTTCTCTTGTGTGTTGCAGACCCATGGTCAAACAACGTCTTCGGCATTGAGCACGCACGATTGATCCAATGAGGACATGTTCAGTTCTGCTGCAGAGAGGAATGGGCTTAGCAGGGATTCAACTGTTCTGCAGATTGAAGTCTGTACTGCAGCTCTCCAAATTTTGCTGTAAGGGATTCATCGTGAGCATGCTCTCGCATTCTGAAGAACGACTCCAGGCAGACAATCCGTAGGCTCTGCATACAGGGATTGTCTTAAGACCATGGATATGCATTGCCAAAAAAGCAATGAGTTGACATTTGCAGCTCTCAAATATGAAGGGCTTGTTAGCAACTTGTAGCAGCGGACAGAATGCTGCTGAAGATTTAAGGCATGTAATAAGACATGTCACTGACTAGCAGACTCAGTCTCTCCTAGTAGTCGGACTAGACTAGACTGTACAGGCATCGATTGTGGCAGCAAAGACTGCTGATTTTGGCAGTCTTTACTGCGCTGCGTTTGGTCTGGAACTCTGCTAATCCTACTATTGATATATCCAGCAATTTTGGACACATCTTGGAGCATCCAGCATCCAAGATGAGCATGCATGCACGGTCTCTGCAGTTGCCTCATCAGGCTCCAGTGCGAGGTCGGTTCTTTCTCCTGACTTTCCCAAGGCCATAATAATGACAAGCAGATTCCTCTAAAATTTGGCAATAAGCCTTCACAGACTTTACGCAAGTAAAGTTCAATGCAGACCAGCTTTTTAATTCTGTTCGTGAGTGCATCCTGTTGGAACACTAGGACAGAATATTTCTCCAAATAGTCCCTTTGATTCCGGTAACAGCACCCAAAGTCTATTTGGCTCACGGTCAAAGAAGCAAGGTTTGGCCTAGGTCTCGATGGCGTGTGGGACTCGCGAGGATCGTTTCGTAAATCGATCCACAATCACTGCTGAGCGACGCAAGTCTTTGGAGCCGGTGTAGATAGTCTGAAACGGATGGGTCAACGTAAGAAAGGGCACAACTCTAAAGGCTTATCACTCAACGATGCGAGAGAGAGAGAACTCGCTACAATACATCTGATCAACAGCCTGTTAGATAGTGTTCCGGTAAGTGCATCTCATGGTCATTCCAGTTCAGTCTCGACTTTTCAATTACTAAAGCATTGTTTAGTCTGTGCCACAATCCATCCGTCAGCCTTGGCTTGCTTCTCACTTTCTGCCTAGCTCGCTGGCACGGTCACAGGCCCCTCTGCAAAGCAGGGCAACTACGATACTTATAAAATACTCGTTGGCCACAGGTGGACTACGTCCAGCTGCGGAAGGTATCAGCAGTGCGGGGCCTTGTAAACCAACAGGTGGGGTCTAGCAGGAAGCTGCTTCCTGTCGTGAAGGAGACCAGCATCATGTGTCATGAAATCGCTCTAAAGAATACCACAAATTGAGGGTGTGCATCGTGCAGGTGCGCGCTCGGGTGTGGCCGGTGCTGCTTGGGGTGGAAGGCCAGGAATTTGACGAGCGAGCCTACAGAATCTGGCAGGGCGAGCCTCACAGGGACAGCAATGTTGTCAACTGCGATGTGGAGCGCTCGCTCTGGTCCTACACTGAAGGTGTGTCGAAGAGGGTTACTCTCTGGTTCTGTTGACCTGTTGTCGTTTTCCTGCCTCAGTCTATCAACACCAAGTGTGAGCTGTCCTGGGAATCAGCATGCAAATCATCGTTGATAACCTCTTTCTCAGATGACAGCTGGCGGCCTGATCGCACATGAGCAGCACTGGAGATTTCTCTAGGTTAGCTGAGGGAGTGTGTGCCCCAGGTTGGACGAGTGAGGAGCGGGAGGTGGAGAGGGAGAAGCTGCGGAATGTGCTGAACGCGACGGTGAGCTCGCACGGAGGGGACGTGTTCTACTACCAGGGCCTGCATGACATCACCTCTGTGCTGCTGTTCACTGGCGGGGAGCGGCTGGCCCTGCTCATGCTGCGGCGCCTCGTCACCTGCCACCTGCGAGACTGCACGCGGTGCGCAGCAGCTTCTCTTTTGCTGTACATGATGCATGCTGTCTGCAAGAAGCACCGCATGGTGTGCCCAAAAGATGTCTTTTCTTTTGTGTCTCTGCCGATGCAAGTTGGTGATGCTTCAAGACTGGTGACCACTACTGAGCAGTTGCTGGAATGAGTTCCAATGCAAAGTACTTCTGAAAGGGAAAGGTTGTGCTAGCAAGACACCAGCTTGTCAGGAGGAGGATTCTGTTGCGTTAAAGGATCATCTTGAAATGATGTGAAGGAAGGCTGAAGGCAGTATCATTCACACAGATGTGCTCCACTGTGCAGGCCAAGTCTGGACGCGGTGCTGGAGCTGCTGGGCCTGCTGCTGCCAATTCTGGCGGAGGTGGATCGCCCGCTGCATGCGCACATCGAGGCATCGGGCGTGCAGCCCTTCTTCGGCCTGTCCTGGTATATCACCTGGTTTGCGCACAACCTGCCGCACCTCGCGCAGACAGCCCGCCTGTTCGACCTCTTCCTCGCCTCCCACCCGCTCATGCCCCTCTACGCCAGCGCAGCTGTCCTCATCGTGCGTCCTCTGTAACCCTATGCTTATCCAATATCCTGTTGCTTCCATAGTGCCTGTCCCGCAGCTGAAGTCGTCTACTACAGGGCAGATTGTGCCGGGGCTGCAGAATGCCAGAGTACCGACCCTACCATTGAATGGATGGCTTTTGAGAAAGAGGCAGGTGGACATCAAGGCAGAGCGAGCGGCAGGGGGTAGTCAAAAGGGCTGCATCGCGGTGTGAACGCAATGCCTGCAACATACAAGACACCTCCGCTCAAAGAGCACGATGATTTATGTGGTCGAGGATGATCTATGGCTGCATTATGGCAGCGGTGGCTCTTTACTATGTCCCCAGTTTCTCCGGTGTGCCTTGAACGCACTTCGCTATGTTGCTTTCTCCGCAAAGGGCTGCTGAACAGTTCTTCTTGCAGGCGTCGAGGAGGCGGATCCTGAAGTGTGAGGAGGACCCGGCGGAGATGCACCGGCTGCTGACCAACCTGCCGCCGCTGGAGAGCCTGACGGCTGATGAGCTGGCGCAGCAGGCGGTGTCCATTTACCGCCGCTGCCCGCCCAAGCAGCTGCTCAAACGCACGCGCATGCGCATGCTCACGTGCGCTCCCGCCGCTGCCACCGTGCTTGCATCCTAAGCAGTGCTTGTGTGCTCCTCTTCTCGCCATCAGTGCCATGCTGCTCAGATGATGAGCATGCTCAAGTTTGCCTTATCAGTGCTATGAATTCAGTGTGTCAGCTTTCCTTACATTGGACATAGTTTTGAACGGTGCCCGCAAATGCAGGTCTACTGCTGCAGAGTCCTACCTCAAGGACGAAATCTGGCATGTGCCAGACAAGCCTGCGGTGCCTGTTGGTAAGTGGCTTGCTCATGTCTGGCACCTTGCGTGCATCTACTAGTGCACACCATGCCTTGTGGGTAAAACCTTATTGTAGGTAGGTCCTAATCTGTGACACAGAATGGTCTTTTTCTCCAGGTGTGATCGGACGCGATGCCCTTTACAACCTGGCAGCATACGTTATACCCAAGGGGAGAAAGCTGCGCAAGCGTGCCGCCACCCTGGCATCCCTGTCAATAGCCAGCACTCTAGCCGCTCTGTCGCTGGGGCTCTACATGGCGCACTATCAGAGCACCATGCATTGAAGCGCAACTTGTGTTTGCAAGGCTTGCAGTGGTCTGTGCGCTGATGGCATCCCTGTTTGTGCTGTCCTTCTCGGGTTTTATTCAAGACCTGGATAGCTCCAGGTGCATGTTTCAGTGCAGTCAGAGACTCCAGAATAGTAGTGATTAAACGTCCCTTGCATGTACAGTATATACTATAGGTTTTTACCAGGAAAAGCTTCAAGGAGGTAGGCCGGATTGCTACAATGTGATTTTGATGCAGTGCCTGTAATAATGTGATCTGCCAAACATTATTCAACCTCCATGACCGGCCAATGGCAGGCAGCAAATCTGTCGAAATTATATACCACACTTACAGTCATCGCCAGATAGCCCACTAGCTGGGCTATAGCAAGCCCTTCATACAAGAGTTCGATGTTTCAATAAATTGTTCTATAATTTCCATGCGTGCCTGCAATGTGCAGGCATAACACCACGATAATGCGATGCCATCAGTACTCACTCTCGAGTCATTTTGTAGAGCAACTCACGCGTACACAAAATTGGTTCTGTCAGGCATCAAACTGCTTGACCTCACAACACCGCTCAGCCAGACTCTAGTGATGACATATTCACTGCTTCATCATCTTCAACTCCACAGCTACCCAACACAACGATAGCATTCCTTAAAAGTGCGCTCCATTTATAGACACAACAGACAGCAGCGCAGTCCATCACCCATGCTTCTCACTGCAACAGGCACAGCTGCTCTCAGCAATCAAATATTTATGTGCCGATATATTGGGCGCAGATGTGCAACAGCTGAATGCATGTCTTGCATAGAAGAGGGCCAATGGGCATGCAAGAAGAGATTGCTCTCACCTGCTTTTTGGTGAAGCCCAATTCGTTCTCTTCCGCATACCGCTCCATAAAGCGCATGAACCTGCATGCACAGAAGGGGCCACACTTAGCACGTCTCTTTGTCATCACAGCTTGCTGGTGAACTAATGCATATAATCAAGCACTGAAGCTGCGCAAGTAGGTTGTAACAAGACTGTTGGCAGAAATGAGAGCGTACCTGTCCCATTCAAAGCCGCTGCGCATGACATACTTTGCCTCAATGCGGTCTGGTTTGCCATTGAGGAACTTTGCTTGCACATCCACGGTGGTGAGGGTGCCCTCGTCATCCACAAGATACAGCCCAGTAATATCTCCCAGCTCGGAGGAGGCCTCAAACACAGACGGCGACTTGAACACGAAAGATGCTGTTCCAGACGATCCATCCCGTGCTCTAGTTAAGCGCACATCCGGAACAGTTGGCTCATTCACGCCCCTGATAAACTGTATAGAGGAGGCCATCGAGAGTATCGTGGCACTGGCTGAGGCCCGACACCATCTGGTCGAGCTGCTGCTCTGCTGCTTTACCTGCTTGGCTGACATTCGACCTGCATCACACTGATCCCATCATCTTCCACACTCTCAAAGCTGTGTTCAGCTGGCAGGTTCAAGAACTCTCCAGATAAGTAACCCAGATCCTCCCAGATATCCAGCAGCGAGTATCAATGCCCACACCAGGATAAGAAAGCATGTTACATATGGAGGATCCATTACCCACCTAAGCCAGGCCTTATGTTCAGTCTGTTCAGTGTGCAGGTACACGAGTGACATCCTGGTGACGGCGCTGCGCCCGCATACATGGCTCGGAACAGATGCGATGCCTAAAATAATAGCTTTCTGAGACTCTGTTATCTCCGGACGAAGTCTGATTGCAGAATAATCCTACTGGCACCAGCTTCCGACTGTGGCTTCCTGCCGTTCTCACCCTCTCATCTCAGCGTAGGGTTGATAGCTTAGTAATCTAGGGTATGCTGACTCAGTCTCTAGTATTCACATTTAAGTTGAGAAAGACGAAGTTTTCATCTCGGGCAGTTCGGCAACAATTCCTGTTCAGTCACTGAACTTCAGTGTCAAACACTCATCTATATCAAGGGGTGCACGTGCTACCGATTCTGTTGTCAGATTTGCTTGCAAAGCAGCGGCTAGCTGTAGCAGCCAGCATTACTTTTAAACTATGTAACATATATTGTAATTCATTGATGTTTTTGATACACTAACGGCTAGGACTTCTAATCATGAACTTCGGAATTTTATCAAAAATTTGCGCAGCAAATTTGCGCTGCGCACCCGAAGGGCCAGCCCATGCGGGGCATTCCAGATTCGGTGAGAAAATATTCGAGTTGCAATCAAGCCAAATGCAAATCGGTCAAGGCTGGGCCAAATCCCCACTGGGATCTGGCAGCGGGCTGCCCTGGAAACCTAACATGACTCACGTTGGACGTGAATGTTCACCTTGATCTTGTCTGCAAACTCTACTGACATTGGATCCAGAACACTTCACGGCAGCAGAAGGCTGGCGAGCGGGATTGGCTGCCCAGGGTGGCAGTGCTTGTAGGCACCCGGGCGCGATCGCACTGCGGCAAGGAAGGCTTTGAACGCCGGTGCAGTGTCACGGAGGACAGCAGCATCACCCACCTACGCCAGCCAGCCATCCATGTTGCCCTGTTCTTTTATATGTCTATCATCGCACGCTTTGCACAGCAGGTCCTGAAGCCTGACACAAGCTGCTACTGCTTGACAAGGCTTGCATGTCCAGTCATCTTGATCTTCATGCACCAGTGATCACATGAGAATGCGGTGAGGATGGTCCCACCAAAATGAGGTGGTGTTTGGCGCGTGTGAGAGCTACGTTGAGGCGGTGCGGGTCAGCCACAAAGGCCCCCACTCGTGTGACCGCAGTCGACAGGATGATGATCGGCTTCTCAAGCCCCTGCAAAATCAAACAAACATTGCAACCTAATATGCAGGATTCCTGTATGGGAATTGTTGCAAGGCCCGTATTCAGTCATACTGTTTGGATACATCACCATGTGTTCACACGGCTGTTTCCTGGAGAAGGCGGTGGATTACCTGGTAGGAGTCCACAGTCGCGACAGTCACGCCAGCACTGCTGGATGAACTCGCACCGTCACCAGCGCTGGAGTTGGCACTTGCGGTGGGGCGAGACAGCAGCGATGTGACCAAGCCAACCTGCGTATCAGCACCATAGTCCAGGCACTTGTGCTGCTTCCCTAAATGCCCACTAAGTGCCCACAGTTGCTGACAACTGCAGTGTGAGCTAGAGAGTAACGAGGGCTTCTTGCACCTGCGCTCTGTGGAAGCAGATGACCCCAATCGTGTCTGGTGTCACAGGCTTGCTGCCGCTCTCCTCACCATCTTCACTGCTGTGCTGCTGTGCCAGCAGCCCACGCACCACCTGTGCCCCACACCTCCGCTACTCTCACAAGCAATTCGAGTCTGTACTGAATTCACAGACGTTTCAGACTTGCTGCAACAGCCGACACTAGATTCAAGCAAGCGGCAGGATCCCATGGTCCATCTGTGGCCCACCCACACATCCGCAGCTCTGACAGACAGTTCGAGCATGAAGTGAATGGGCAGACAGCTCCACATTTGCTGCAAAAGCCAACAGAATCTGAAAGCAGAGAAGCGAAGCGCAGTCATTAGGGCTTGACCTGAACCACGGCGGTGGCCTCGGCCCTGTTGGATGCGCTGTGGGAGCCGCCCGCATAGTCCTGGCTGCCGCGCACGTCCAGGCACAGCAGCGGCGGCAGCCCGCGCACCAGCGGCGCCCGGTCACCCGCGCTGCAGCCGTCCAGCAGGCGGCCCCCGTAGAACTGCGCGTTGCTGATGGCCGCTATCTCCGGGTGGCACCTGCCCCGAAGCCCCACATGATCCTTGTCAGCCACCACTGAAAATGACTCCCAGTGGACCAGAGGGTACTGGCTTGATCTGGTACACAGGACGGCACCTGAGAATTGTCCAATACCGGAGGGAAGCAAAGACAGGCCTGGTATGGAAAAAGGGGACCACAAAAGCTTGAGCACTGCGAGACAGGACACGGGCCCAAATGCAACCTTGAGCATTAAATTGCAGGAGACACCCTGCTCCAGTACAGACCAGCCAGGCAGTGAGCACTAAAGCAGTTCTGCTCTCATCTGCACAAAGAAGCATTGTGGGGCATGGGAAGAGGTGATTGAGCTATGAGAGGGCTGACCTGTACTGGCGCCGCAGCATGTGGACGTGGTGGCCCATGCTGGCGAGGCGCACAAACACCGGCCGCAGGAGCCCATGGGCCACGGGTCCCCCCGGCCGCTGAGGCAGCTGCGGGGGGTGCGCGATCAGCGGAGGCAGCTGCATTGGATCGCCAGACAGCACTGCAAACCTGCGTTAAACATTTTCAACCCTGAAGCTGACCCATGCCTTCAAACCCGCATGCAATTTCCTGTAGTCCACTTACAAAAGCATGAGCTCTGTTTGGAACAGGGGGTACTAAAGACTACTGTACCCCCTGTTTGGAAGGAAACCGGGTTATAAAATCACCTTTTGACCTTGAACATTGACCATCGGGTACAATAATGTGCAATTACCTGCAGCGGGCGCGTGCAAGGGGCAGGAGGGACAGCGGCTCCACCATCTGGCTGCACTCGTCCAGAAACACCACATCAAACTGCTGCTCGTCCAGCACTGGTAGCACTGCCGAGCAGCACGTCACGCCCACCACCGCCGCCGTCTTGAGCCTCTTCCTTCGCGCCCTCTCTGCACCAGCCTTCACCTGCAACACTTCCATCTCGTCACTCCCTGTTGCGATTCCGCACCAGCCTTCTACTTTGGTTCTAATATTGTCAGGGGAGACCTGCATGAATGCCATTTGCATGTAGTACTGCATGCCATGTACATGCAGTAGTATACTGCAGGAGAGCACCAGAGGCTGACTGTTTACCCTGGCAAGCTCGTCCTTGAGTACGTTCTGCTCTGCAACGGATGTGGCTTCCTTCAGCATGGCCTCTAGCTCATGGGCTGCCTCTGAGCGCTTGCCAGCCGTCGAATGCAGAGAGTGAGGCAGCAACTCGCGGCTGATGCGTCGCAGTGGTCCAACGCGCAAAATGTCTGCATGCGGAAAGAAAAGTGTTGGAGGTTAGATCGTGATCATAGCATGGCGGAGGTTCTTTTTCCCTCAGGCAAATTTCAACCCTCTAGGACGTGTGAACCTTCCCACTGCGTTGTATCACAAAATTCGCATGGGATCCGGTGCTCAACCTGTTTGGCCTGACTGCAGCAGGCCGCACATGACTCGGTCGACGGCTGCATTTGTGTGCGCAGCGACTGCAATCCTGCAGCCCTTCAGAGGGGTGTCCCTGTCCCGCAGCTGCAACAACAGGTGGATCGCGGCGACCAGCAGCATCGATTTCCCCGTGCCAAAGGGCCCATGGATGATGCACAGAGGGCTGCATGCCTGCATCAATGTGGTAGGCCAAATATCAGCAATCTCAAATGCTCACATTGGACCAAAGGCAAGCAGCTGAAAGAAAACCATGCACTTTGCATGCCCTTGTAGCAGGATCCTGGGAGCATGGCAGTGCTGTTAGACAGCGGAACAGACCTTGTTGCCTGGCAGGAACCAAGGCTGCATGGCTTGGAGGACAGCTGCCTGTGCGGTGTTCAGGCCAAACTGCTGGACAACAGTGTGCATAGCAGAGACCACAGCGCTCTGCAGGTCACAAGCCTCACTGCAGCTTGCTGCTTCATCAGGCGCAGCGCTGGCTGCTGCATGCTCATCAGTGCCTGAATTAGGCTGGAGCAGCGCAGGCAGGAGGGGCAGCTTGAGTGCCTTGAGGGACCGCAGAGTGGAGATCATGGCAAGCTCGGTGGTGGCGTCAGGGCCGTGCAGCGCATACACTTGCTGCTTCTTGTGCAAGTTTGCTGGCACCGCACACAGTAGTTCCACCTCAAACCTGCAGCATGTCCATCATCGGACATTATGCACACATAAAGGGCTGCACATGCATCGAAATGTGAAGCAAAATGCAAGGAGATGGAAGGCAGCAATCCCACCGTCCTTCATTGTTGGGTCCATGCCAGCAACTGCGGGCAATGAGGCAAAAGGGCCGCGCCATGCGATCTCCAGGGCCAGTGACTTGTGGTAGGCACAGCTCCGGCAGCGTGCCAATGATCCACAGATCATCCTTCCTGTAATCTGCCGATCTTTCCAGCCCGGAATTCAGCGTCAAGAAGACGGAGCGGCCCCTGATGGCAGCATGCTCAGGGTAACTAGATTACTTGACATACTTCAGATTCTGAAGCTCAGAACATATTTGCCCATGCAGTAGCAAGCGCATCCTCAGCTTGTGCTACAGCTTGGATGAATACTATTGGACAGTATCCATAAGCACCTGGATGCGGACTCGTCTTCTCCAGTCTGCTTCTTCTGGTACATGGTGAGCTCACAGTCTGAGTAGAATGGAACTCCGGAACGCCGCATGAGCTGCTGCAGTTTCTGTGCACTGGCAGCAGTCGGCTTGCCTCTCTCAAAGTCACTCTGCTGCTGCAGCACCTTGTGAAATTGCTTGGCCAGCTCCAGAAGCCTGCACACAGAAAATTGAGGGAGACAATCGCTGTAAGAATTTTGCTCGTTCTCGATGCTGCAGATGAAAATGTAGTATTGTCACGCATGCAAGCTGAACCAAAATGACAAATTTCTGAGGTCAAATCGACACACGTGATCATGATGGTGTGCCAGAACCAGTCACAAGAAAGAAACGCACCTGAGGTTCAGTTCTTCTTCAAGAGCTGAGGACCATGTAGCTGTGTATTCGTTGGGGCCTTGCGCGAAAACATCGGGCACCACAGCTTTCCTTGTTAACTGAAGCTGCTCAGGAGAGGGAAATTGCAGCTGCACCCCCTCTGCGGAGCTGACCGCTGCACTGGGATCTGAGCATTGCTGAGAAGACTCATGCAAAGATGACTGTTGTGGAAATCTTGCCTGTGCTTTTGACTGGACATTTGCACTTTTGATCTGAGGCAAGCCAGGACATCTGTTCTGTTCCTCGCGATTTGTGCTCTGCTGCTTCTGGCTAGTGTTCCATCTTTGGATTGCTGAGCTCGCAGTCTGTTGTCTGGGTGCGCAAAAGGCTCGCTTGATATTTGGCTGCGTGCTATTACTGGGCGGCATGCTGCTCTTTCGTTCTTGTTCTTCATGCCAGGTGTCCTCAGCACTAGGTGTGTCATTTCCAGGGGAAGCTGTGGTCGCCTTGGCTGCAGCACCTTTGTGAAGGACTTCATCACGTGTGGTAATTTCTTGTGGAAAGTGTACTTTATTGCCGCGTTGCAAAGATCTACTGCTGGTTTGTAGGATCAACAGGATTTCATCATCTGTATAAATCAACCAGTACAAGGATGTCAGGATTACAAGAGCTCAACCCATATGATCAAGAAGGATGTTTGACGATTTACCAAACCGCATTGACTATTGTTGTGCTAGAGAAAAGGGAAGGCAGACCTGTTCTTTGCCTCTTCCCATTGGAATTGGACAACAGCGTAAACATGTGGCGTTTGTTTTGAAAATTCAAGGACTGCTATGCCGATCGGACATCACCAGATGGACAAAAAATTCCTGTAAGCAATTTACCTGTTCGTCAGGCAGAGGCTGCGATCGCTGTGCTGTCGACTTCGAATTTCTTGGAGGTTGTGGGGTTGATAACGTATTGGAGTGCAGGTACTGCTTGGCTACCTGCCTTGGCTGCACAAGCAAAGCTTCCCTGTTGCGCAGCTCCAAGCTCCAAGGATCTCCCATTATTATTAACAATCGCAGAGAAAGACGATAAACATTGATCGCGTTGTGCAAGCAGTCACCATGGGGCTAACAAAGCTTCAGAAGCGGATTGGTTTCATAGGTGCCGGCCAGATGGCTGAGGCCTTGGCGAGGGGGTTCATTTCAAAGGGAGTTGTTGAAGCGTCGAGTATGATCGCCACTGATCCTGTGGCTGCCAGAAGGGAAGTCTTCGAGAGCTTCGATGTGAAAGCAGTGAGCACCAACTTGGAGGTATGGCGAGCATATTGGCTTGCGGTGGAAGGCTGATGAAAGGACGATTTTTGTTTGATCTCACTCAGAACTTTTAAGTGTTTGCATGAAAGATGGACCTTTAACAACAAGTATGCGCAAACCTCTCTAGGTGGTCAAGGAGAGCGATATTGTATTCGTGGCAGTCAAGCCACAATATGTGGGACCCGTCCTTAAAGAAGTGCGAGGGCACCTGACAGACAAGCACACAATCGTTTCCATTGCGGCTGGGAAGACCCTGAGCTCCCTCAAAGTAAGCCTCCACCCCTGACGTGACGTGGCAGCGATGATGCTCACTTCCGAATGTGCCTCAGGAACATCTTTTCTGCTCTGAAGATTGTCATTTGATGTGTGAGAATCGTGGCGCAGGAAGCTGCAGGAGATGATGTGCGCATAGTGCGTGTGATGCCCAACACCCCCTGCCTGGTCGGGGAGACAGCCAGCGCCATGTGCTTGGGAGGCCAGGCCAATGATGAGGACGCTGAGACTGTGCGAACGCTCTTCAGTGCAGTTGGCCGCATCGTCCAGGTGTGCTGCTGGCTCATGCATTTCTCCCACCACTCTGGCGCCGTTTTAAGTCCGCCCACTACTGGGGAGGTACTCGCCAATTTCAGGGCGCATGCATGGCCTACCCAAAGTGACATTGAGAAGTAGAAAGGTGCAGTGCGAGAATCATCTTGCATCATTCATAAAAACAGCAGAAGCGTATGTCAATGGACACACCGAAGATAAGTAAATGTCATTGCTTGCCTGCGGACCATCTCCACTTGGGTTTGGCGCATGAAGGGGGCAGTCCCTGAGTAAAGGGTACGTGGGTCTGTTGCAGGTGGATGAGAAGATGCTGAGTGCGGTGACCGGGCTGAGCGGCAGCGGGCCTGCGTATGCGTTCCTGGTGATAGAGGCGCTTGCAGACGGCGGAGTAAAGGCAGGGCTGCCGCGGGACATCTCCATGGCCCTGGCAGCGCAGACTGTGCTGGGCAGCGCCAAGATGGTCCTGGAGACCGGCAAGCACCCAGGCCTCCTCAAGGACATGGTCACCTCCCCTGGCGGTGCGCACCCACTTACCAAATACCTCTTCCCTCCTGTCACATACCTCTTTTGATGAGCTACAGTTCAATGCCGGATGAGCTTGTGTTAATGAGCTTCAGCCCAATGATAGATCTGAGGCATTTAGCAGTGTTTGCAAATGGATGGAAGCTTAAGTGAAATTGGCGAACGCATGTGCAGGGACGACGATTGCAGGGTACCATGAGCTGGAGAAGGGAGGAGTGCGGGCAAGCCTCATCAATGCTGTTGTCGCTGCCACAAATCGCGCCGACGAGATCTCAAAGCTCTAGGAAGCGCTCTTGGAGCTCTGTCAGGAGCTGTGTGCACGTTGGCAATATTAGGTCAAGAAGTTAATGTTCAAGCGTATCGTATCAGGATGCAGCTGCACTGCACGATTTCTTTTAGGCTTACAGTCATAAATGCTACATGCATGCATGGTGTGCACCGTGCAGCAGAAATTTTGGCAAAGCATTGCATGTGAATCGCTTCCAAGAAACTTGGAGTGCCTCTGGAATATTGTTTGGTGACCCCTCAAGTTGCCATAGCACTCTCATCTTGTGAACAGGGGCCCTTTTAGGCAAAAATTGTTGATAAGAAGTTGATATATCGAGGGAATATTGGAACGCTGTGATTATAATTATTAATGATTAATTAACGCGAGCGCAAGCGATGTGAATTGGAACCAAGATCTTGGTGGAAGAGGCCATCTGATTGAAGCCTTTGAAAAGTATAATTGGTGCATGATAGGTGTGCATGATGACTCTTGGGGCCCTTGATTGCCCTGGACCCTGTGACACCCATGGCCTTTGGCCAGAAAAGGTGAGATTCGTCAACAGATCAATGTAACCATTGAGTGCCACAAGTATGAGATTGCGCTCTACTCACAGCTTTGGGGATGAGCTTCAACGTAGAAAATCGTTGCAGTTGAAGGATACCGGCAATCCTATTTTGTGCAGGGCAGCTTACAACCTCCACCATGCATCCATGCGAATGCATGCTGCCAGCATGTGCAGGCACTCTGCAGCATCAGACTCTCTGCACTCTCCGGGATATTGTCCAAAGCTGACCTGCCAATGGACAGGCGCAGGGCTTGCAGCGCCAACATCAATAAGACTGTCATCGTCACTGTCAGAAATATGCCTTTTGCGCTTTCGCTTGGAGCTGTGACTCTTCTTCTTATGCTTATTTTTCTTTTCGAAATGTTTCTCCGACTTCAGAAGTCTTGGTGTCCTATCGATGTCCACTTGTGAGCCCCCATCAATGAGGCTTGCACTGGTTTTGGAGTAAAAAACATTGTTGCATCTGAAAGTGGCAGTGATGGCTTCCTGACCGCTCTGGAAAGCATTTTCCAGAGTATGACGTGATGCAAACAGCTGCAGTATCATGGACTTCATCCTTCTCGTTCTGGAAAGGCTTTTGTCAGCGAGCAGATCAGCCCAGTGATCATTGCTCCCATGCACCTCCTTGAGCTTCTCAACAACGCCCTGTGAGGACATGAATATGACACCTAGTCAGCCTACATTAACGACTCGCATGAGTCAAGTCAATCTCAATTTGTGCTTGTCCCGCACCTGCCATGTTTCCTGCGCAGTGTCCTGCTGCATCATTCGAAGGATTTGCCCGCTGCGCAGAGCCAGGGCATTGTAGAGAAGCAATTCGTCCATGGTCTTGAAGGATGGGACACTGAAAATGGCCATCTGCAGCGCCAATTCTCCACTTTGGAAAAGAGAGCGGTCATGGACACCTGCAGACAAACAGCAGACATGTGAACCTGGCATTCATGACATCAAACCAGAGCAGCTTCCTAAATTTTCTCCTCTCCTCCAAAACAGGATGCCACGAATGCATCAGCTGTTGTTACCGAGCGTCCCAAGTAGCTATGGCTCACCTGCACCATCCGATCTGGAGAGAGCATGACACAGGCAGCTCAACATTTCTTCATCCGTCAGCAGTGGCAATATCTTCTGCACGAGTTCTGTCGAGCCGCATCTTGCAATCGACGCATGTATCAGCTTCTCCAAGGCATCTGCATCCTCTGCTCTGCTACCAAGTATATCGTACAACTCCTGCTTGAGAAGGCACCCACAGTGCATGCCTTCATTTACACAATTGCAAATAAGACATATAAAACATCATCATAAACAAGCCTCACGTTCCGCCATTCACGCGGCCTCACCTCTGTGAAAAAATTGGGATCAATTTTGACAATATCTCCGCGGTGCAAAGAGTCTTGAAACTCTCTTGATCTCCAGAACCCCCTGCTCCCCCTGGCAAACTTCCTCACTGACTCCTCAACATTGAGCTTGCTGAAGAGCTGGGGCTGCGCTGAGACTGTCACGGGTGCATGTGCATGTGCACTCTTCCACACCAGAAGGTCCCAGACCTGTATACAGCATAGCAATGCTAGTATTAGTATTCTGCTATATATTCTAAATATGACACAGTGCAAGTGCAAATCCTGCAAGGAGTGCAGCAGACCTCTTCACGCTTCCTCAATGCATATTGTGCCAGCGCCTTTGCTCCAAACTGGAAGCCTCCCGGGCCATCGTGCGTGAAGTGATCAAACCAGAGCAGAATGTCTTGTGAGCTGCGCTTCTTGAAGAGGGCTGCATATGCCTGAGGCTGGCAATTAAATACTACATCTGCAACCTGCAGCGCCAGTGGTGTCAGGTAGTCCACAGACTGCGCAGCGTGAATGAATAGACAGCATGACTCCAGAGGCCTTTCTATGCCCCTTCTAACCTTCTCAGGTGCGCTATCAATCAGGAGTCGCAACAGGCCTCGACACGCGCGCTCTTGCCTCTTCCTGATACTGGGGTTCAGACAGAGGTTGGTAAAGAAGGAGATCCATTTATCGCTCCCAGGCAATTTTGCAAGACGAGCAGCATCGCTCAAAAGCCACATCCATAACTCTCTGCGCTGGCCTTTGTTTCCCTGCATAGAGTTTCACGGTTGCAGGGAGCTGGAAGGCAAATATCAGAACATCAGATAACAGCCATAGAGCCCGGGAACATACCAGCAATATTTGTTTCAATGCAGCTTCTGCGTTCTCGAATATTTCCAGTGCACCTGCGTCTAATTGTGCAGATGTGCGACTGCAGCTAAGGTACAGATCAACCATCTTATTTTCTCAATGTCTCTTGGTGACTTGCATACATGACATCAAGCTGCTATCGCAGCAACCAATACAATACTGCGATATCATTAGCACCCTTCCACTTTTCTGGATGTTGCATCGATATGCATCGGTGAAGGACATTCACAACAAGCATCAAGCTGATCACCAAAAACCCGGCGGCATTCCATCAAAACTATATCCTTTATGTTGCCTCTCTAACAACTTGGAGTACTTGCACTTTGTTGTAAGTTCGAACATGAATTTCTCGGATAGCCAAAACCCCTGAATTATAGAAGGCCCTACAGGCCCTCGCCAACTTTCAAACTCTCGTTGGGACAGTTGCTTGGGAAAGCTCAGCATTTTGAATTCTCTTTGACACCCAATAAAAATTCCACAAACATTCAGGTGTCCTGCGATCACTGGTACCAGTGATTTAGCTCACGAACTCGCAACTTTGGTGTAGTCAAAGGTACCTACCCTAAAATAAGTCATAAACCTGCAGCCCAGCTTGCACATCGCTAGGATCTCAGTGAAACAGACGGGTACAGGTGATTGAAGTAATTTTTTGAGGTCTGCATGTCTGTCTGATGTTTGGCAACCTTCTCTGCCTATTAATTTCCGACGGCATGTCCCTACTGACCTTTCTCAGAATCGCTTGCTTGAGTCCAAAGGATACAAGCGATGACTCCATAGTGCATTGTTTTACTCCTTAAACAGCTCCATCCAAAAATGCACGTTTTCGAGAGACCTTCTAAAAGAGGATTGAGGGTTCAAAAAGCAAGCACTGTGGAGGTTGCTTACAGCCGTAGGCATCTCCTCATGCACACATGCAGTAGAAGTACACTCTGTTACAACCTGCAAGCGTTAGGACTGATGTCCTGTACTGTGCAGGACTGACCTCTTGCGGACTTGCCCAGGCTTTAGCAGACCAAGCGCATTATGTCAAGCTCTCTCGGAGCCTGGCCCCCTGGAGTATCAGGGCAGACGGTGCTTTTCAGCGCACCTGCTCCTGGGCCAGAGAAGGGACCCGCATGGGCCAGCAGCACCAGTGTCATGTTCCTCCTGTACTTGGTGATTGGCTTCTCGGCCACACTGGCACTGATCCTCCTTCTCCTCAGCATATATTACACGTCAAGGTGAGTACAGCTTTGCAACAATAGATTTCCATAGCCAGGCACACGTTCTATTCATGCTTCGAGCAGCGCTCCCGGCCACCGAGTCCTTTCCAAGTGGACTCACTTTCCTTGTGTAGCAGGTGTCTCTGCAGGAATAGGAGAAGGGCAGCTCAAGACCCTGAAACATCAGAGGCCAGCATGATGCTGACACCAAAAGAGCTGTTTCTTGTCTTGAACCCTGGTACTGCTTCACAGTACAGATACACCCCATGACACTGAGCATTCCTTATGTGCAGCATTTTCAAGTGAAAGTGGCAGGAGGCATAGATCAGGTCACCTGATGTGCAGGTGGGGCAGCCACGGTAGCATACAGGGAGGATGAAAAGCAGAGCATGATGCCCAAAAACAAGACAATTCAGGTCAAGAGCGTTGTCATACACATAGAGGCCACGTCCATGACTGCAGACACACTGATACCCGCCTACCGCAGCTGCAGTCCTAGCCTTGCAGCAAGGAGTCTACCAGGTATGCGCGTGCTTCCACTGATGATGCGCAACAGGAAAGGCAGGCACTGTGTATATGCTAGAAGCAGCGATGCATTGAGTCCATTGCTTGCATGCCTTGCAGGAGCAGGCGAAGGACAATTAGTGGATGAGTCTGCAACATCCTCAAGTCTTGAGCCATGCAGGCAGATAGATCATGCTGGGGTTGATGGGGATCAAGAGCAGGCCGAGCGAGGGACACAGCAAGAGGTAACCATCATGATGCCAAGTATTGTGCATGCTTGTCACGGACGTTGTCAGCATGTTAAGAAGACAGAGAGGCCAAACAACCAAGGCATTGAAGCAAGGCGTGTGATTCAGGCGGGCCCAAGTACATCTGCTATTCAGACAGCTGTCAGCATTGCGGAGAGGGAGTTGCCCGCGCCTGATGGGAGTCAGCTTCACATCCAGAATGATGATCCTAATGCGTCACAGCACAAGACTTACTACATCAATGCTCTCTTTATGCAATCACCTAGGGATGTCGAACAAAGTTGAGGGCTAGTGATCTGTACTGAAATAGCGGAGTCCTCTCAAGAAAAAATGATTCATCAATGAGATTTCCCTCCCTTGCTAGAACAATTCATCACATGTCACATAGCTATGGCCATGGCACGTAAGCTATATAGTACCTATAATAATTATTGATAGTGATAGTAGATAGATACTATAGAATCAATGCCCTGGATTGGTGATATGTTGTCACCCATCAGAATATGGCTGGCAATTTAGCGCGCATCCTTCCCAATGTGTACTACAGAGTCCAGTGCCAAGCCTCAGAGTCGTGCTGGCAGTAAGCACTAGTAAGTACTTGACATATCACCGCGTTTACACATGCGCACTTGTTATCAGTCCTTCAAACAAGAGGTCCGGCAGTCGGGGCACCTGATACACCTGCAGGGAGGCTGCAGGCCACAGATTGCTTCAACGTACCATTATGTAGAGATGTGATCTGAGTTTCTGTGACAAGGAATACTGCAATCAATTTCAGACAGGCTGTGAAGGGAAAACTGTTCGACAGCTCTTCTGTGAACGCAAATCCAGATATGTTGGCCCATGCTGATACAGTTGTCAAAGCTTACAGCAACAGGAAGTTTAGGAGTTCTTCTTGAGCATCAACATTTCCACATCCCATTCAAAGCACTGCTGGCAGCCCTCTGCAATAACCCACTTTGAGAAAAACACCATTCTCCATGGCAGTGAAGGCATGCACCTGCCCCCAACTATCCACAAAATTGCAGGCAACCAAGGCTGGAGCATGTACGCTCAAGAGGAGCGCAGCACTACACGAGCTGAAGCGCTGGCTAATTGAGTATTCAGACCAACGGCAGATGCATCTTGACAGATTTCTGCAGCAACTTTGTTGCGCACAATAGCCTACTGGCTCTTGCGGACTACAGGCTCAGGCTTTGTGGGAGCTGGCCCGCTGCTCTTTGCTGGGGCGTCACCCCTAAGCCTGGCCAGGGAATCCTCCACCTCTGCCTTGTGCTTGAGGATCTGGTAGAATCGGGCAAGCAGGCTGCGCAACACATGCACCGTGAATCATGTGCAAGCCTCAACAGGATGATCACGTCAAGAGCAGATGTTTTCTGCTCACTGCCTGGATCGAGGGGCTCCATGGAAAAAAACTAAACTCAGGACACAGCACGCGAAACAAGGATATATGCACGGTAATAAAATGTAGCAGTGAAACATCCACAAATCCAGAGAGCATGCGGTGCAATGACTCACCACCAGAGCGTGAAGGTGATGAAAGCAATCCAGAAATTCCGCTCTGCCCTCCAGCGCTTGCCCAGATTGGCAGACAGGACGTTGGGGGTCACAGAAGACGGGTCCAGCTTCTGGTCCTTCAGTTGGTAGGTTGTCCGGATTGTGGCTGCCACACACCTTGTCGTCAATATAGCCATCAAGAGATGAGCCAAGATCTGACGTATTCATGATAATATCAACAAGTGTTGGTCCACAACGCAGTATTCAATGATTATGGGAGGACTCACCAAGCAGGGCCGCGCCAGACACCACCAGCATGAAATGTAGCAAGCTCAGGACATTGCCGACTGCAACAAGCAGAAAATTTGACGGTTCAGCAGTCTCTGAAAAGGTCCACAGGAGGGGTGTGACATTCCAATTAATGTCCCGGATTTGTGACAGAACACATACCCAGATTTATGCCAAGAGTACTGTCGACCACTTTCAGGACGCCACGGTGGAACACCCTGCATGGCATGAAGCGATGAAACGATATGGTACCTTGATGCACAGAAGGGTGTGACTAGTGTCCTTAACTCTGCTCGTTCTGCATCTCAAACCTCGAAGGCCATTTGAGGAGGAAAAACCGACATTATAATGTTCCCTTTCGATGTGTAAAATTCTCAAGCTCACCTAGGCGCCGGGAAGCACAAGAGAGCCAACAAGACGATGGGGATGGGGAGGCAGATCTGCGCAACCATGACATCAGTCAATACATTTCTGCAGAAGTCTGCAGAACAATACGAAATAATACAGACACGAAGGTTTCCGTCTTCGAAGGCAGGAATTTCACTGACCTCAACTACCATCTTCCATAGCGACATGTTTAGCAAAATTGTAAGACCCGGAAATGCCGCTGGCTACAACAAGAAATGTTCCTTACAGAAGATTATCAAGATTTTTGCCTTCTTGCTCCGGACTTCACACAAGAAAAGCGATCTGCAATCCGACACAGAAGCAGCTTCGGCTTGGCTAGAAGAGTCTAGGGTTTCGGTCAGCAAGGGGAGTGAGGGGTCGATGTTAGGCGGCTGCGTCGTGCCAGAAGTTGCAGGTCCCATCAAGTTGAGCAAGAATCCAATATATCTGAATCGCTGGTCTGCTCGAAAGCGCTGGGAAGTCATGCAGGCGTGATTGCAAAAATGTAGACCATTGGTGTCTGCTATTTACGATAGGAGCTTGAAGCAGCTTAGCGTTAAAGGATTCATAGCTCAAAAGCACTCAAGCACAGCTGAGAGCATCTTATTTTGAGAAATGCCGAAGAATAAAGGTGCCAACCCCATGATGGTATTGGCTGAACCACAGAATTGAATTAATTCTCTGCTTTTGCACCGTGTTTGCTGAGGTAATGTGTGCCTCGTTTGCAGGAAAGGGAGGAAAGAACAGACGGCGTGGTACGTGTTTCTTGGACAGTCTTTATGAAGTTTTGTACACTTTGTGATCTCTGCAACGGATGTTGACTTGTGTCAGCCGTGCTGAAAGAGCTTTGGAAGTGATGCAGGTAAAAACGAGAGTGAGGAGAAGCGTGAGCTGATCTTCAAGGAAGATGGCCAAGGTAACATTCCTAAGCATACCGTGGACGAAAGGTCCACAAGGGATCATCTTCTTTCAAGTTATTCTGATGAACCACCCATTTGGTTTTTGCAGAGTACGCGCAGGTGTTGCGCATGCTCGGGAACGGCCGTTTGGAGGCAATGTGTATTGACAGCACCAAGCGGCTTTGCCACATCAGAGGCAAGATGCGGAAGAAAGTCTGGGTGAACACGGTGAGCGTCACACTGCTCATTGGCTGTGCGTGAAGACATTTCTGCAGAGGACCATTGTGTTATATTGAGAAGTCTGTGCTGATTTGCAGGGAGACATCATCCTTGTTGGTCTGCGGGACTACCAGGATGAAAAGGCTGATGTCATACTCAAGTGAGTGGCATTCTTGCTTTTCCTATGGGATTCCTGGAGGGTCAAGTACCTGAGGCTCGTATACATAAACATGTTGTTCCATTCAAGGAGCTTGTCCAATGAGAAAAACTAATTCTCACGTGTGCTTGCCAGGTACATGGCTGATGAGGCACGTAGCTTGAAGGCCTATGGGGAACTGCCTGACAGCAGTAAGTCTCTCATTTGTGCCCCTGATGATTTGCTTTCCTATCTGGTGCTTGGTTGCCCGGTACATTAGTAAGCATTTACCTGTGTGCTGCAGTTCGTGTCAATGAGACGGACACATTCGCCGACGAGGACGGTGCAAACGACGAGTACTTTGATTTCGAGGACATCTCTGGTGCGCGCATGCTCAAAATACATATCTACAGCTGGCTTTTTGCCTGCCTGCTGATCAATAGTGCTGCAACTCGTGTGACTGAGATGGTGCGCACCGTCTGTGCATGTTTATTTGATTGGAATATTGGTGCCTGTGTTCAGAGATTTGAGGAGCTGGCTTCCCAAATGTGGAGAGGGAGTGTGGAAGGTAGTTCATGGGACACCACCAGGCACTGGCAGGCTGCTGTTCTGTCTGTGCTTGGGGCTTAAATCTGCGGGGGACTTCAGGATTCACAGGAGCGCAAGGGCACATAACAAGAATACAGTACATTGACTGGATAAACTGGTTGGCCAGGATGGCGTCGGCCGTGTTGCCGCGTCTTTGCATTCTGCAAGCACTGCTGCTATAAGAGCCCCTCAGGAACCTTGCAGTAAAAGTAAGATTAAGGGATTGCCAGTGTTGGCCGCAAAGTCGCGCCAAATCTAGCTTCATGCATCTGATGCTGGGTCAAGAACCTTGCGAATTGCAGCTTGAAGCTCATAAGACATTCAAAGTAGATTTGGAAATCTGAATGAGCCCCTGCCTGCAGCTGCGCATCAGCTGCTGTTCGCACTTGCCTGGTCAGTGACTGTCGACAATTTGTTGACTCAACAGTGATGCGTATCCTAAAAAAGATGTCAAATTTCTGAGTGATTGCCTGCCAGTCGATAGCTTGAAACAGTTTGTCATGTCACATTAATTTACCATGATGGCGAGCTTGGGTTAAGCCAGGCTGCTCGGTGAGCCCATGGGCCAGGCCACCGGGGGCCCCTCAGTGCATGCGCAGCCTGCCGGCAGGCTGCGCATGCACGTATGGGGCATGCATCACTCATTGGGGTGCCGCAGAACACAGGGCACCCCACATTGATTCAGCCTCTTTCAAATTGCAGTGGTCATGGCATGAAACATCATGGAAATCCGTCAGGATCCCCTTTGGGGGACAGTACTGAGCGGGGAGACGGAGATGGAATCATAGATTTCTCGGGAGCGAATCGAGGCCCGTTTGCCCTTCCGTCCACGTGGCGAGCAGGCTTCTCGGCCCCAGGAATGAGATTTGGTGTTTGCCTGGATGCCAAGCAAATTGCTTGGAGCAATTCCAAAACTTGGAGAAGGAAATTGTAAAGTTCTTTTTAGCAAGCATGGCGCTTCTCGGCCTCCGCGGTCCCCACGTTGTGGATGCTGCTGCAGGGTGCTGCCACCACTCCAGTGCCAAGCGCATCTGCACTGGCCTCCCACGAAGTGCTGCCCACTTGCGGCCTCATCAGCTGTCCCATCAGACCCCTAGTGCTTCATCATTTTGTCATCATAGACGAGCCAGGTCGTCGCTCTCGGTATCGGCGGCAGCGCATAGCGTTCAGGCCGGGTGAGGACACGGCTGCTCCTGTATTGCTCCGCTAATTTTTCGGTACAAGTTGGCCTGATTGCTTCTGTTTATGCCTGCTTTTTTTATATGAAAATGTGCGGCTAGCGTTGCTGTTGGGGTGTCTTCCCCGGCGATTGGAGGCAGATGGAATATCTTTTGAATGTATCAAGCTTTTGTATTCTGCAGTGCTACCCTGGCTGAGGTGGATGCGCCAACGGAAATATCCCGAGACCAACTAGCAGAGCTTTCATACAGCGCGCAGTACGATCGTCTGTTTCAACAGCTGTCGCAGCTGGACACAAAAAAGGTGTGCACACCATCACTGTGGATTTGTCAGAGCTCAGCTGCATCTTTGCAACGCTTTTGTGCTCCTGCGCATGCCCTCCTGTTTGGTCTGCAAGACTAGTGTGCAATTGACAGCCTCATCTCTGAGATCACTTTGAACTTTGTCTTGCAGCCTGTCCCCAAACCAAGCAAGGAGGCTCAGCAGGAGGAGGATGGAGCCAAAAAGGTGTTGCTGTCGGACGTGTACGCCACCGCAAAGACAACGCTGTTTGGCCGAAGCTGGAATGGGCAGGACTATGGGTACACAATCTTCATGCTGGTCGTGCACGGGCTGTGCCTTCTTGCACCGTTCACCTTCTCGTGGCCCATGGTGGGACTCTTCTTCGGCAGCTACTTCATCACGGGTGATTTCTGACACCTCCCCAACTTTGTGGCTACACGCCAATAGCCATGTACTGCTGCAGCACACAACAGGAACAAGCCAAAAGGGGCGCTCCTGGAATGAATGGCTGGGTTTGCATGCAGGCTGCTTGGGGATCACGCTCAGCTTCCACAGGCAGCTGAGCCACCGCAGCTTCACGACGCCCAAGTGGCTGGAGTATGCGCTGGCGTACTGCGGCGTGCTGGCGGTGCAGGGGGAGCCCATCGAGTGGGTGTCCTCCCACCGCTACCACCACCTGCACACCGACACGCCGCTGGACCCCCACTCCCCCTATGAGGGATTCTGGTGGTCCCACATGGGCTGGCTGCTCAACAACGGGGTGAGTGCTGCTCTCTCTACACACCGACAATGATGTCACAGCAGTGCTGATTCAGCACAGCCCTTCCCCTGGCATTCTCTTGACCGCAGTGACACGCCTGCTGATGCACAATTTTCTGGGGTGTCAATCACCACGCTGCATGTGTCAGGGAGCTGCCTGGCGCATGTTTGAAATTCAAGTTAACATGATATGCAGGCAACCCTGGAGAGGGTGGGTTCGCGGGGCAACACAGCCGACCTGGACTCGCAGCCCTTCTACCGCTTCATCCAGCGCACATACCCCTGGCACGTGGTGGGCATGTTTGCCGCGCTGTTTGCCTTTGGCGGCCTCCCTGCGGTGGTGTGGGGCGGAGCCCTCCGCGCCGTCTGGGTCTACCACATCACCTGGTTTGTCAACTCTGCCAGCCACTGCTGGGGCTACCAGGTGCCTCCTCCCCTCCTGGCTGCCACCTCTCCCCACTTCTGAACATGCATCAGCACCTATTGTTTATGCATGCGCATATTCTGTTGCTGCTTTGGCTTTTTTCCTGTGAATGCCTTCAACTCAAGTTGGTGACAGATTGGGTTGTGTGTGTGCAGACTGAAGTTGGTGACAGATTGGGTTTTGTGTGTGCAGACGTACAACACCGGGGACCTGAGCCGCAACAACTGGTGGGTGGCCGTGTTGGCTTTCGGGGAGGGCTGGCACAACAACCACCATGCCTTCGAGTTCAGCGCGCGCCACGGCCTCGAGTGGTGGCAATTTGACATGACCTGGCAGATCGTTGCTGCACTGAAGGTTTTGGGCCTCGCAGACAATGTCAAGCTGCCTTCAGAGAAGCAGAAGAGCCGCCTCGCGTTCTCCTGACTTCAAGAGCCGATCTAAACTAAAGAATGACTTGCTGGGCCGCACGCTTCTTTTGGACCCCCTTGGGTGAGTCCTGTGTAGGCCAGGTGTGGTAGATTCAGTGTACAACAAGCACTCGCTGGGAGAAGAGTGCTGTGTGAATGACGCGCCCCCATCGATTGTGAGCCTGTTTCCAATATGAGAGGACAAATATATTCGTTTCTAGTAGTATTCTTGTGGCCATACCTGCCAGCAAGGGCAAGCCTGGTCTGCGCCAAATTCTGCAAAGGGCATTTTTGCAGGAGAGTCTCTTGATTTATCGTGGTGCCACAGTTGGTGTACTCCGGTGTTGTTTGTGGCATTCTGGGAGGGACAAGGGAGTGGTGGGGCAATGGTAAAATTTATTATGGATGCAAGGTTTGCTTCTAGACCTTCCCATGGCATTATTGCATTGCAAAGCTGTTGCCAGCAGCGCTTTTAGTATTAAAAGCCAGGCTGTTGGCACGGTGAGTAGATTCTTTTACGTGCTATGCACACCATGAACTGCTTGCTGCCTCTGCTGAGTCTCGCATCGTTGTGACAGTGGTGCTGTATCGTCTAGGTTTGCATGTTGTGTGCTAGTCATCATTGTGGAAAGTCATTATGGTGATCATGTTGTGGACTTGGACAATGAACGAACAAAAGTTGAGAGTGGTATTCTTTAGATCAGTTGTGCATGGTGCTTTGCAATATTGGAAACATTACAGGATTTACACTGTTATTGATACCATCCCAGCTGTCTTAGGACAGTTATCAATGGTGTGCATATTGAAAATCCTGAAGTTTGACCTCATCTCTGTGATCGCAGCCATTCGCTGCAGTGAGCACTTCTGACATTTGCATGCCAAATTTGCTGCCCTGCCAATGTGCAGTGCTGCACTGTGATCACATGAGGAAGCTTCCTTCATGTGTGCTGCGGCCTGAAGCCCATCATGGAGTCCATGTCTCGAATCCGACTCGGAGCTGGAGCTCGAGAGTCGTTACGAGACGGTCTCACCTTTGAATCTGTTGTGCTGACTCAGTTCGGAGCTGCGCCAGCGCTGGCGGTCCCGACTGCGGCCATGGCCATGGGGAGCTGGCATGTGCATATGATGCAGCCCAGGGCACAAGCTAATAGTGGCTAGTAGCCGTTAGCTAGCTATAGCTGGAGAGTGCCGCAAAACGGCTTTGACAGGCCTAGGCCCGGCCTGTGCAGACCTAGGTGCACGTGCCACGTGGGGGCACGATGAGCCTTCATTCTGCCAGCACCACCGTGGTGCTGTGACAGTGGCAATTACTGCGGTGGTATCATGATCAGTGATGGCTGTCTCTGCTCAGAGTCCAGCGGAGTCACTTCACCTGCCAGGCTTTCAACCCAATTTCACAGCAGGTTATGATAGTAACTGTAGGGGATTTTACGCTATTGATCCCTAAAACCCTATGAGGTAGCGAGGCGGACAGGACTCAGCATCGAGAAGACACCCTGCCATATTTGCTCGCATCCAGACGTCGCGAAGGGTTCACCGGACGTTTGTGAAGGTCTTCCTCCCCGCATCACACGCATAAGGCACCGCCTTGCCCAGCTTTGGCGGACTGGGGTTCCAGTTCAAGGAAGCATCTACACGACTGTATCCTCTGCCTGGCCCCTGCTTTAGCTCAGTGAGCGCGCCAAAGTCATCATGACAGCACGCCTGAAGTCCTTCAAGGAGGAGCACCCGCTTGGTACGAAATGACGGAAGTGTGGGTTGCCACATAGTAAATGGCGATGTCCAGCGCCTGCGCTCTGTGGTTCTGGATTTCTTGCTGCATGAGAGCCAATGCCTGATGGTTGTGTTTTTTGTACAGAGAAGCGGCAGGCCGAGGCAGCTCGCATCCGTGACAAGTATCCTGACAGAATTCCGGTAAGATACTCCTGTGGTTTTGCCTTGCTGTGTTGGGTACACCGAGCAAGGTTGTTCCTTTCCTTGGCTACAATGCTGTTTTTCTGTGCAGGTTATTGTCGAAAAGGCGGAAAAGAGTGACATCCCAGACATAGACAAGAAGAAGTAAGCCCTTTCAATCCTGTGCCTTCACGTGACTTCCTTTATTGGTTGTATGTGTGTCTTTGCATGATCCATGCCATCACATGCCATCCCTTTGTGGCCTCAAAGCTTAATGCTTTGTGTAGGTACCTCGTCCCTGCCGATCTCACTGTGGGTCAGTTTGTGTACGTCATCCGCAAGAGGATCAAGGTCAGCCCAGAGAAGGCTATCTTCATGTTCGTCAAGAACGTGCTGCCTCCCACAGGTGTGCATCTCTCTACCCGGCACAATATCGCCTCACAGCAATGATGTTGTTTGCACAACTGTGCGCGTTGTCCTGCTGCACTCATCCGTGCCTGATGAATTTCCAACATGATGGCATGCTTCTTGTGGTGCAGCGGCCCTCATGTCCGATGTCTATGAAGATCACAAGGACGAGGACGGTTTCCTGTACATCACGTACAGCGGCGAGAACACCTTTGGCTGCTGAGCGCGCCCTGTAAATCTTGTATGATGACTGTAAAGCGCAAGCCACCCCAAATCTAGTCTTGTGTCCGTACTGTTGGCTTCTTCGCACGGGTCATTCAAGAGGGATTGTCGCAAGATAATCTGCAGCCTGTCAGGATGTCGGAAAGGCTTTTCAAACTGAATTTGATGCTCTGGTCTCTTGCCAAAATGTGCGGCTGAATGTCCGCCTGTACATTATTCCAGTTTTGGATCAGGGACCTTGGTGTATTTGTGAATAGACATTGCAGCGGCCTCGCAGACCTTTTGGATGTATTAAATATACCATGAGTGATTTGCTGACCTCATGGTAGAGGCGCTGCTGCCTGTATGATTGCAGCAAGGGTTCATACAGTCGTGAAAGTATCCTCTGAAACCACTATCACTGATTGGCAACATAATGATAACCTGCGGCGCAAGAGGATGGGTATTCCTGACCATCTGCCAGTGGGTGCCACTGAACACAGCATCATCAAGCTGTGAAACCTTTGAACACATGATCATGAATCACAGTCACTGTATGGGACATCATGTCGGAAATGATCATCCGGTGAGTCATTGACAGTCGTGTGATCACGTCCACTCGCAGACTCTGATTCGAAGTTCAAAAGGCACGTCTCAGGCGGCATGCTTGATGAGCCTCTCTTCATTCACGCTTTCCTGCCTGAGGCAAAGTGCGTCTGCAAGCAAGCTGCCAGATAACTTCTTTGAAAGGCTGAGCCTTTATCTGGCAGGCTGCCACATATCATATGATCATCACCCCTGGATGATCCCACCCCTGGACGATCCCACCCCTGGATGGACTTGCCAGATCCAAGCAAGACTCAATCGACCATGGGCGCGGTGCTCAGAAATCAATGAAACAAAAACCCCTTTATGAGCCTTTACTGCATGTTAATCAGACCGATAAACTCGTGAAGTATGCTGCCACAACACTTCCAGCATGACAGTGCTTCTTGATTTTGGGTACGATCATAAGCATGCCTGTTGAAATCTCCCAGGAGCAGTCAGATAGAAGTGCGAATTGAGCCTTGAAACCCCCTGCAGTTCTCTCACATAGACTGATGCAACCGTACAGACTGCATGCAATCTCGTTAAACATGATCACCTCTGAAGGACCCTCAAAGACATGGTGCTAAAATCGGCCTCACACAGCTTGGCCTGTTCAAGAATCAAACCTATCAAGTTGCTCCTCCTAGAGCATCTGGTCGCTTCTCTGGAATGTTTTTGCTCCACATCTGCGACGGGATCCAGCGGGCAGGCGCAGCATGTCTCTGCTCCAACTTCACTGAATGCCTGAAGATGAAGGTGCCCACCACTACAGTGCCCAAGATAGCGAATGCTGTGTTGCGTCGCCAGTGCTTGGGATCTGCATACCAACCTCCCGCGGGAGACCACACACCCTGTGGAGAGGCATGAATATCAGTTGAGACACATGACACGCCAGAAAGCATGCTGTACGTCCTCTATCATACTTTCATTCTTTTTTCAGTGATGAATACATGGGACAAGCAAAGAGTCACTGAAGGTTGGGGTCTGCGTCTTGTAGGGACCAAAAGAAGCACCTTGGGGTAATCTCCGTGAGCATCACCCCCCATCCCTAGCCTAGGTGTGCTTGTGCCTATCGGCAGTCTGTGAACAAGACCAGTTACTTGAAGTCGCAGCGCTCAAATCTGCAGGAAAACAAAACATTCTTTGCAGTTGTAGACGTTACCGCATGTTCATTGGAGAGTGTCCATAAGATCAAATAACGTGACAATGACCATGTAATGGATGACATGTTACAGTGGCAGAAGATTGTGCCTCTCAGGAACAAACGCACCTCCAAAACAGCTGGAAGATCCCAGCTGGAGTCCTATAGTGTGTCCTGCCGATTGATTCTTTCCAATTCAATCTTTCGACAAGAAAAGTTGATGTTCTTATTTCTCACATCGCTGCAGAAGGCAAATTCCACTAGGGCAGGACAGTCTCAGACTGATTTGGCACTTTTGCATCAGTTGCCTGTATAGGTTTCGGCATTTATCTCGACGAGCAACAGCTCTGATTGGCTGAGGCACGACAAGCTCCAAGGCTTGTATCTGATTCCATCTGCTGATCGCAGAAATTTGAGCATTTCTCTTCAGGAACCTCAGCGGGTCAAAATGCAGACCACCATGTCTACCTTCCTCGGCTCGACCACGGCCTTCGCGGCCAAGAGCGCGAGCTCTGCCCGTCCCCAGGTTTGATCGATATGCCTGTTGCTTTCTGTTCATTCCGGACATTATGCCGCTATGGAAATCACCTTCACTAATCCAGTTAATTCGTAATTAGTTGCACATCAGCAGAGCAAACGCTCTTCGAACGCGTCTGTGCGAACGACTTGTTTTTCTGACATTTCCTCCCTTGTTCTGCCACCCACAGAAGATGACCACGGTGATGCGCCGCACTGTGAAGGGAAAGACCACCCCCACCAGCATGTGGTGAGTGCTGCGCTCCTGTTGCAGTGCCCCAGTTGCAGTTACATACTTCAGTCAGCCTTGCCTGGAGCTCTCAATGTCAAGAGGCAGTGTCTTACAGGGCTGAGCGCTGCGCAGGTACGGCGAGGACAGGCCGAAATGGCTGGGTCCCTTCTCGGGCAACACCCCCTCCTACCTGAGCGGCGAGTACCCCGGCGACTACGGCTGGGACACAGCCGGTCTCTCTGCTGACCCCGAGACCTTCGCCAAGTGCGCCCCCCGCCCTCTCTCTTCACATCCCTTCCATGCGCACTGCATCTTCACCGCAGCCTGGTTTGCATGCATGCATGCCAGCCTGCAGAAGGCAATCCATCATCATGCTGCTGGTGACTAGCACCACAGCGCACCAAGCTAGGGAATGAGACATTGTGACATGGCTGAAACACTGTGCAGGTACCGCGAGATCGAGGTGATCCACGCGCGGTGGGCCATGCTCGGAGCCCTGGGCTGCCTGACCCCGGAGCTGCTTGCCAAGAACGGCGTGTCCTTCGGCGAGGCCGTCTGGTGGAAGGCCGGTGCGCAGATCTTTGCCCCCGGCGGCCTGGACTACCTGGGCAACCCCTCCCTCGTCCACGCCCAGTCCATCATCGCCATCCTGGCCAGCCAGGTGCTTACACATTCTCCTATTCAGCCTGTCCATCCACTTTCTATTCGAAGCGGTGCAGACGAATGGTAGCCTGCCTAGAGCAGCAAGTGAAGGACCTGCAGAAAACGCGCAGAAAGCCTGCCGATCTCGCCAGTGGTGCATTAAGGGTTCAGGGTCTGTGAAGCATTGAATACGGTGCGGAATGCACAGTGAGTGAAGCTTGGAAGTGGGTGTGGGCAGGTGCTTCTGATGGGTGCGATTGAGGGCTACAGAGTGTACGGAGGCCCGGGAGGCGAGGGCCTGGACAAGGTGTACCCCGGCGGTGACTACTTTGACCCCCTGGGCCTCGCCGACGATCCCGACACCTTCGCCGAGCTCAAGGCGCGCACCTCTCCTGTGACAATCCTTGTTACCTTTTCAACAGAGCTTCGGCGTTTTGTTGAACGGTTCGGTGTGACGCTGAACTTTCTTGCAGAGCAATGCACGGCCTGTGACAAAAAGGGTCTGACTATCAGCACTGCTGGAAGACTTCTGAGGGGGCGTTGTTTGGGGGCTTGAGGGGAGGAGGAATGTCTGTGACAGGTCAGGCGCATGACGGGCACTGCATGTAAGGGAGTGGGAAGCAAGGTTGCTGAGTCTGAGGTTTGCTTTGGGGGTGCAGGTGAAGGAGATCAAGAACGGGCGCCTGGCCATGTTCTCCATGTTTGGCTTCTTCGTGCAGGCCATCGTCACCGGCAAGGTGGGCTCAAACAACCATGGATTGCATTATCTCTTGACTCGATCAGAAGGTTTCAAGTAAACACTCCTGGCACAACTCCAGTACCGGCTCATTGTGTGTACCATCCTGTGTTGACAAATTCTGATCCACTGCAATGAACCTTTTGCAGGGCCCTCTTGAGAACTTGGAGAGCCACCTGGCAGGTAGGCTTGAATCACATCTCTTGCGTACATTGCAATGCTCACATCACCTCTTATTTATGCATACAATCCTGCTGCATTCTTCGAGCATTTTGCAAATCACCTGTGCAGGCATCAATTACTGACACCATGTGTCTGCGTGTGTTTGCAGACCCCTCCGTGAACAACGGATTCGCTGCCGCCACCAAGTTTGTGCCATAAATGCACATTAGATAATTTATCAGGGGATGCCCCGAGCAGCCTAATGAAGCTTGCAATTGGCAGGCCTTGAGGAATGACTATTGCATATTAATGAGGTTCAATGGGATTTTACGAATGCTTGACGCTCCAAGTCTCCTATCTATCCATCTGATCGTGATGTGATTCAGAAGGGACTGGTTTGCAATTGCAAGCAAGCTGCAGATGTAAATGTGCACCAATGAACCTTCCCCGAGCAAATCATAACATTAGGCTATAAGGTGCATGCTGCTCAAGCATGCCAGCGTATGGCACTGACCGCAGCATCCAAACACTACCCACACTAGTACTCCTATGCACAGGCTCTGACCCGAACTCGTTGCTGCACCACCAGAAGATGCCAGCATGCATGCAAATGACTCCTTAACAACCAAAGCTGTGTATACAGGCAAACTCAATTCACAACAGCACTTGCCGACAAAAACCAGCACGGGCACTCCTAGGATGCTGTGTCGATCCTCACAGACCAGGCCAACATCAGACAATTGTAGCACGGCGGGAAGCTCAGCCCTTATTGGTCATCTCCAGGAGAGGCTTGACGACGCCCTCCAAGCGGCTGGTATCGCTCAGGTACATCAGCATGTCCTCAAAGTCAGGCTCCACCGCATCCTGGCGGCAGCTCTGCAGCAGCAGCGACCACAGCCCCTGCACCCATGCAACATGCTATCACCACTCACCCTCAACGTTGCGCCGTCAACACCTGTCCAGCATCGCCTACTGTCAATATACAGCCGATGCTCCTACACTTTGAACTTCAGGTGACCACCTTATTGTTCAGAATACAATAGAATATGAGCTGGCCGCCGAGCGCACCTGCAGGGCTTGCAGGCAGACGTGGAGTTTGGACTGGTCGTGCATGTCGGCGGGGAAGCTGGCAGCGGCCCTCCTGGCGTGCACGAGCGCCTGCAGCAGCCGCCTGGCCGCCATGTCCTCCCCAGCGCCCCACTGCTGCGCCCCCGCCAGCATCTCCACCGCCGCTTGCATCAGCGCTGCCCACCAGCACTCCCATATCAGTCGCGATTTTCCAAAGCTTCCTTGCTTGGAGACCAGTGCTCTGACATCAAAGAAATTTATTTGAAGTGTGTCATTCTGCCATGTACCAAGACACGCAGCAGGGTATTAGGGAGCTGCAGAGCACTCGTACCTGCGGACTTGAAGCCTGGTCCTCGAGAGTGCGGGCTGCTGGGGGGCGGGTGCTCTGGCGCGTCAGCGTGCATGCCGACCACCCCTCCGCCAGTATTTGCCCCTGCCGGGCCAGCAGGCAGCATGCTGCTGGATTGAGCAGGCGGCAGGTGTTGCTGCACGGCAGGGGAGCCAGAGCTGGCGTGCATGTGTGCGCTGCCCGCTGCAGGAGCAAGGCCGTGCATGGCTGCCGTCTGCATGGCAGCGTTGTGCATCGCCGCATTCCAGTCCGCCTGTGTAAGCACCTGCTGACCCAGGCTGCCTGCAAAGCTGGGGCCAGAGCCCTGCTGGGAGAGCTGGGCTTGCTGCTGGTTGGCCTGCATGAGCGCAGCCTGCGCCAGGACCTGCTGCTGCAGCAATGCGGCAGCCTCGACGTCAGGAGACATCCCTGCGGACGGCAGCCGCGCGGGAAGCTGCTGGTAGCCGGCGCGCGTGCTGTAGTGGCCGCGCACGGCGATGCTGGGGTCCTGCGCATGCGCGCTGTCGGAGCGGCCAAAGCTGTCCATACGCGTGAAGCCACTGCCGCTGAGCTGCGACTGCAGGGAGTGCCCGGAGCCCATCCGGCCAGACACCTCCAGCCCGCTCAGGCTGTGCAGCAGCGCTGGGTCGCCCGCGTGGGGGCTGCCTGGGATCCTCTGGAACTGCATGTGCTGCTGGTGCAGGAAGGGGCTGTGCATGTCTGCACCATTGGATGACAGTATCTGCTGGGGGGCAGGCCTGGACAAGCCCTGATGCGTGCTGGCTGCCGCGGCTGGGTGATGCTGTGCGCTGCGTGCGGTATCACCTGAATTTCGAGGGTTCCGTGCTTGCCGCTGGTTGCCATAGCCTGCAACATCAAGAAGTACCCCTTCAAGTACCCCTCGACACCTGCTTCGTCCCCACACAGCACAGAACCAGCGAATGGGCCATGCATATTAGGTGCGGCATGTGGGCAGGCAATGGGGAGGAACATCGGTGAAAGGAAGGACACCTCCACTGCTGGTCTTGGGTGGATCTGCAACGCGCGGCCGCTCCTTGGCGATCTGGCTGTACAGCTTGTTCATGCGCCTGCGCGCCTCCTTCAGCGCTGCAAACGCCTCCTCAGCATCCACCGGCTGACTCACGCTCAGAGCCACTGCACCCCAGCAAACCAAACATCTCAGCACCATGATTGAGACAGGCATAAGAGGGAAGGCTCACCATGTGGCATTTAGGGAGGCGTATCGGACCCAGGGGTTACTTTTAATCACCTGTGCTGAGAGGCCTTGAGAAGGAGGAGAGGACCATGCGCCCAGCCTCCACGGCCCTCCACAGGTCTTCCTGCTCAGGGTCGCTGCTGAAGAGCTTGAGCTGCTGCAGGGCCTGCATGATCTGGCGCTCATCCTCCGCCTGCACCGTGGTGAACAGGTCCAGCACATGCGGCCAGCCCAGCAGCCTCTCCAGCACCCTTGTCGCACTCGTCATGTACCCCATCTCCTGCTCCCACAAATACGCTGTCAGCAGTGCCAGGTAAATGGCTGTATCCAGCAGATCAGCACTGTTGTACAAATCTCGCACAACCTCAATGTGGAGCGCAAGGGCGGCAAGATCGACATCTATCAAGACAGGTGCTGCCAGCTCCTGTACTCGCTGCAAGAAGACATGGCATAGCACAGGCATGTAGCTCTTAAAGTATGGAAGATAGCACATGCCAGAATTGATAATGAAGCTGACATTGAGCATGACACACACCTGCTCCCATACATTTGGGTAGCGGTGCTGCAGGTGCCACTGCAATGCCAGCCTCATCCCGGACATGAGGCAGTCCAGGATGTCCTCCCCCCGTGATGCCGCAGCGCCCTGCTCTTGCCGAGGGGGGTCTGGGACTGCAGACTGGTGCGGTGGGGGTGGCTGACTGGATGCAGAGGGCTCTCCAGAGGCCCCTGAGCCTCTCCCGAGGCTGTTCTGCCGCTGCACATGATGATCCGACAGCCCCGAGGTCTCTGCATGGAAATGGTCTGGCATGGAGGACCTGCAGTGGGCACAGTATGGTACTTTCATGGACAGGAAATGGGTCTGGAATACTGAAGACTTCAAAATTTTCATCGGTTCCCAGAGTATGGGTGGTCTTCCACGGGGACGACCTTGAGCTGCTGGGGCTGTCTGCGTGAGGCATTCCCTTTGCGGATGCGTTCCCGCTGGCGTGTGGCGAGAGTCCTTCACTGTTGGAGCGAGGCTGGGAGCGTCTGCGGGACCCCAGGCCATGCATGCTGAGCAATCTCAGATTGGGGTCATGTGCCGCCTTCTCCTTGAGAGCTTCGATCCTCCGCTCCTGCATGTGCACATGACTTGCATTATACAGCTAGCTTGTCCGCAATGATCAATCGCAAGACATGCCGTGTAGTTACTTATAGAACGGTGGCAAAAGGCAACCCAAGCTGGCATGCATACCTTGTCTGTCTTCACGATGACTTCAGGGAAGAATTCTTTCAGCAGCTCAGGACGAGTATTAGGCAGGTTCTCCACCGTGCTGCCGGCAGACCCAGCCAACTTCCGGCAAGTCAGTCCAGAAGCACGAGCCTTGAGGGCAAGATTCACGTCGCCAGTCAGCAAGACCTGCATGCCATAAAAGGATGATTGGGTATCCAGCGTCCTTCTGTCATGCCCTATATGAATGAAGGACTGTAATGTAGCAACCCTGACTAATGCCTCATCGTTGCATAATCTTGCAGATTTGGACCGAGGGGGCCTTCAAATGAAACTTCCAGATCTACAATACCGGCGACACCATCTCTAGCTATCAATTCTATGTGACGTTCGTGGACGTACCACAGCATGCTTGCCATCTGCTTTGGCCTTTTGCTTCTGCAGGTACATTGCAGACAGCCGGATGTGATCGTCGCTGTTGACATCAGGACCCCTCAAGACATCTGGAAAAGCGTCCTCTGCCTATTTTCACAGTGAGCTTGATCCTTAGTGCGGGTGGCGGGTCAACACTGGCACAAACAACCATACCATAAACAAGGTGACAAGTAACTTACCTCCCTTTGGATGGCATCGGACTCTTGGACTCCATGCTTGCCCCGACTCAGTACATCATACAGCACCCTGTTGGCCTCCCTTGCCTGATGCTTTTTCAAACCTGCAGAATGTTGCATGCAACCATCAGCCATCATGTCTATGTCCTCAATTCACATCGCATGAAGTGACTGCTGCGAGCAAAAGCCTTGTAAATTTCCTTACCCCTCTCCTTCTGAGCACACAGCTCTGAGTTGACTTTCTTTGGAATGTAGTACATGATGTTGAAGTGGATGTCCTTGAAGGGTCCACCATGGCGTGCCAAAGTAACCTGTCTGTGGAAGTCCTTCAGATGCTCCAAGTCTTCGATGAGGATGTTGGTGTCAATGACAAGCCACAGAGTATAATCACCATCTGTACACCCACATGAAAGGGCCTCAGTCATGAATGATTCGGATTGTTAAATGCTTCACGCTTTGTCACACAGCAGGCGCACCTATGGCCATGTATCCATCGATTGGCACATCCTCAATGCTCCAGCCATTTGGGACACCATCACCCAAGCCCTGAAGGTGTGTGCAACATTTCAGACTCCAACAAGAACACTATCTGATTGGCAGAGCTGTAGATGGAACAAACATGCTCAGAGTCCCCCACAAACCTGTGTTTTATGCTCCATGTCATGATCTGCTGCAGTTGGGGTGTCGCAATCGGACATGTGGTGGTCACTGCCCTCATCTGTCACAGCAATATGCAGCTGTGGACGTGCAGTATCAGCACCACCTGGAATGTAGTGCAGATTCTTAAGCGTGCATTCAACACCCATAGAGCACACTACACAATAATGTCTGCCAGATGATGAGCTGATGATCCTCAAAATGTTCCTAGAGACTTGCAGCTGCGATCCAACTCAGATCTCGTACCTTTGTAGGCATCTTGCATGATTAGGAAAATTGGTGGACGATCCTCAATTCACTTCATCTACTTTCTGAAAGCCAATCAGCTCCTTCCATATCATCCTGCGACACATTTGTCTTTCAGCAGGCATCATGCCACCAAACCATTGGGGTCGCAACGTGACGGATTATAACGGCATTTGGCTCGACACCAGTACTTGGAATATAAAAAAGGTACTGTGAATGTAACAGATGATGTGAGACTCGCAAGTCGAGGTGAAGCGCCTTTCAATAGCTCTGCAAATCTGCGGTGAAGGTTGCACCTGTCGATCCATTCAACTTCTGGGGAAGAGACACAGATCACGAGCTCTACGTTGCCTCATCCTGCAGCGTGGCGATGTTCGCTCTGGTGCCCTCCCAGGAGGGCCAAATCCGAGCCCACTGACCTCACGTGCTTAGACAGGTGGAGCCCAACTCATCACTAGCTACCATGCACCTCGTTCACTTCGTTGCGCTTGACATCCCCTTCTTTCAGCTCCTTCAAATTGTGGTCATGTCATTTTTACATTGGCAGTGACAAGATTGTGCATTGTGCGGAGATGGCTTTGATGCAAGCCGGCTACTGGCAGTAATGCGCTATACACTCAGTGGTACCGCAGCCGCGGTACCGCTCAACTGTCGTACCAAGCTAGTTACTGCTGTAATATATGCATTCATGCCATCCAGATCTAGAGACACTCGCACAAAATCTTGCTTTCCACATTACAGACCATGCTCAATAACATGTAAATTTAAACCAATCATCCGTTCTAGGGCATGAAGCTGCTGGCACCAACACAACTATGCACAGATCTGCCCAAACCATAGCCACCAGTCATGATGGCGCTGTGCCTGACAGTCCCAAAACTCCGTCACCATGTGCGCTCACTCAAACGCCTCATTTACCAAATTAAGGTAAGGTTCTCCAAGCAAAAAATGTTGTTGCTGGCAATGGGTACAATGCATCTGCAATGGTGCCAATCCGAGCATGCTTGGAGCTTGGTGTACGCAATCGGTGTCACAGATACTTGGCACATGTTTCTAAATGTGCATGTGCAACTACCAGCCACATGCTATGCAGAAACACCTGCAGAGCCTGTCTAGAATAAGAAACTGAAGTGAAATAAAATTCTAAATTTTCAGGCCACCACTCTAAAGTCAAACACACAAGGATTTGCAATTGTACAGCATGAAAGAATAGGTTCTTGAGCAGTCAGCTGGATGCGGCCTTCAAGGTGGGGCAACTCCGCAGCTGCGCCCTACTTCTGGCCCGGGCGCTTGGCGAGGGGGGCCTTGCGGATGCGCACACTCATCGGCGTCACCTCCACCATCTCATCATCCACGATGTATTCCAGGGCTTCGTCCAGGCCCATGATGATGGGCTCCACCAGGGGGGTCTTGTTGTCTGTGCCGGACGCGCGCATGTTGGTCACGGCCTTCTTCTTGCACACATTTACCTTCAAGTCGCCTGCGCGCTGGTGGATCCCAATGACCTGCACAGCCAAAATACACTTGATAATCATTTTGAGGTCAGCTTGACAATCCTGTACAATCCTGTACAGTCCTGTACGCCTGCACAACTATGAGGAATGAGCGGGTAGTGCTGCAGAGAGTGAGTAGCGAGGATTCGGGAGCTGCTCCTACCTGGTCCACATAGACCTCCTGTCCAGGGGAGGCGAACAGGCGGCCCCTCTGCTGCACGCTCTCAATGGCGTAGCCGGTCACAGAGCCAGTCTCAAACGCCACAAGACTGCCCAGCTCCCGGGTGTTGATGTCCCCCGCCCAAGGACCGTACTCCTTGAACACTGTGTTCAGGACTGCCGTTCCCTGCAAACACATAGGCATAAGCTCAACAGAGTCCGTAAAAACATGCTGTGCCATGCACTGCATGAAACAATCATGCCATGCCCTGAAGCCAAGAGTGATTGGAGAATAGAATTCGCTCGAAATGCCCTCGTTGGCACTGATGCTGATAGTTGATACCTGTACCAGAGCGACTGCCTGCATGAGCAGGGCAAAGGGCTGAGCCAAGTAGACATCAATTCTGCACAGCAGGATGCACACCTTGGTGGCGGTGAGGATGGAGTTCCGCAAACCCAGGAGGCCGCGGGTGGGGATGACGTAGGTGACGCGATTGAGGCCCTCAGCGCTGGCGGACATGTCGACCATCTGCCCCTTGCGGCTGCCCATGAGGTCCACCACTCCGCCCATGTGCGTCTCCGGCACCTCAACCACCGCCTCCTCATACGGCTCCAATGTCTTGTCATTCTTGTCCTTCTGGGTGATGACCTGCACACAGCACCGCCTTCCTGTCAGCCCCTGGTGGATTCCTACTTGTGAGATTTTCTCATCTTTGGCATCACCTTGACCATGCCACAGGGCAGGATGAGGGTGACTCTCTTGCCAAGCTATGTGCACAGTTGACTTCTGAGTGACATCAAGATGATTCTTGGGGTCAGGAGGGATTCCTCAGCCTCCAGTGTTGCATCTTATTTCGCCACAGAAGCTGCTTAGAGCAAAGACTTCCGGAGGGTCTGCCTGAGTTCTGATTGAGATGGACATGTTTAAGATAATAACAACTGACCTTGGGCGGGCCGACTTGGAATTCGAAGCCCTCGCGGCGCATGTTCTCGATGAGGATGGAGAGGTGGAGCGCGCCGCGGCCGGACACCACAAACTGGTCGGCCGTCTGGCCGGGCTCCACGCGCAGCGCCAGGTTGCGCTCCAGCTCGCGGTCCAGCCGGTCCTTGATGTTGCGGCTGGTCACAAACTTGCCCTCCCGCCCGGCGAATGGCGAAGTGTTCACCATGAACGTCATGCGCACTGTCGGCTCCTCCACCTGCCGTGAGACATGACCTTCAATCGGCTCGCATTGCATGCAGCAAGGTGTATCTGCGGTCCCCAGTCCTCCGAATGGCAAGTTCATCGTGCTCAGAGTTGCGATCAGACCTTTCGAGATCCACAGGAACACCAAAGGTTCACAGCTTCCTTGCTTGGGCACTGCTATGTAGAAATCTATCACGCAGCGATGCTGGTGACTCACCGTGATGGTGGGCAGCGGCACTGGGTTCTCTCTGCTGCACACAGTCTCGCCAATGGATACGTCGCTGAGGCCGGTCAGGGCACAGATGTCACCAGCCTGCACTACGTCCACCGGCACGCGCGAGAAGTTATCGTACACAAAGAGCTCCGACACCTTTCCTCCCCTCAGCTTCTCATCTGCAGCCCATCAGACGTTGACATCAGAATCATTCCCAAGCAACGCCTCAACCAATCTGAACAGCACTGCAAGAATTTCAACGCTGAGACAATGTTTAGGAGCAGTGCAGGTCATCACCAGGTCGTCCAATGAGGATGGTCTCTGCACGTGAGATGCTGCCAGAGGTGACTTTGCCGATAGCGATGCGGCCCTTGTGCTCATCGTAATCCAGGTTTGTGATGAGCAGCTGCAGTGGGCCGTTCAGGGTGACCTTGGGAGGGGACACCTGCAGAGACAGATGCATCTTTGGAAAAGTGACATTTTCATCATCCACGCCATGTGCCAGTTTGCCCAAAGCAGTGATGTCGTTTCGGTTGGCAGATTTGCCCCCTCTGGTGTCTGGGCTGACTGCATACCTCGCGCACAATAGCCTCGAAGAGCGGTGCCAGATCGTCAGACAGCTCTGATGGGGACCCCCCAGCAATGCCATTCACTCCGCTGGCGTACACGACTGGGAAGTCGCACTGCTCATCGGTTGCGCAGAGCTCGCAGAAAAGATCAAACGTGGCATCAATCACGAAGTCTGGCCTGCGACAGCACCGGCATTGTGGGCGCACTCTCTCCCAGACATGTGCATGAGTTGACTCCTCAAATTTCCTACTCTTCGTCATGAACTGATTGGCTCAGGAGTGCTCACCTCGCTGCAGGCCTGTCAATCTTGTTCACGACCACAATGACCTTCTTGTCCAATGCCAATGCTTTCCGCAGCACGAAGCGGGTCTGTGGCATGGGACCCTCGACAGAGTCCACAAGAAGTAGCACACCTGCACCATGGACAAATATTGAGACCCAAAGTACTCCTACACTCAGGCTGCAGGGGTTGATGCAAATGTGAGCAGCGCAAAATCTCACCATCACACATGTTCAAGACGCGCTCCACTTCACCACCGAAGTCAGCGTGACCAGGAGTGTCAATGATGTTGATCTTGATGCCCTGCAATTTCAAGCTGTTACCTCAAAGCCGCCAGCTGAGCTTGCCTTGATTGCACAACATCAATTACTATTGTTGCCAGGCACACGCACTTCCATACATCAGGAAAATTTGATCAAGCAAGTGCAGGAACAGTAGGCCGCGTACCAGGTAGCGCACAGCGGTGTTCTTGGACAGAATGGTGATGCCCCTCTCGCGCTCCAGGTCATTGGAGTCCATGACCCTCTCATCCACGACCTGGTTGGCGCGGAAAACCTTGCTCTGCCGCAGCATGGCATCCACCAGCGTGGTCTTGCCGTGATCGACGTGGGCAATGATGGCGATGTTTCGGATGTTCAGATCATCGTTTGCATCAGCTCCTGACGTCCCTGGTGCTGGAGGCGCTGCAACAGCGAGGTAGTCTGTCTTGAGAGCAAGATTAACGACTGCGCCCATAAGCCATACTGCAATATATAAAGTCAAAATACAACGAATTTAAGAGTACAGTATGCAGTGGCTTGCCTTCCAAGGTAGCTGCTGCTTGTGCCCTCACACTTCTGGAGTTGCTGGCCTTGAGTGGGGTGGCCAGCACTGCAGCAACGACCGGCTGCTGACATCCTGACCACAAAAAGAAAACAAAGATCAGCAGGTGCAACTCACAAGAGCAAAACGCACTTGCAGGACCACAGATGCGAAACTGGCAGGAAGAGTATTTTGCAATCGAGAGCCAGCATTTCAGAACAAAAATGGGATCGTACTGTCACGATCAATTCGCAGGCCGCGACTAGACTGGCGCAAGGACACCGGGGTTCGGTCTCTGACTTCTCTCGGCGGCCCCTGTACTAGTGCAGAGCCAAATACTGCCGAAGACACCATACTTGCTCTGCCTGCCGGTCCCACAACACTCTAAAAAACACTCATCGTGTTTCAATTTGTTGAATTTGCAAAATTATACAGCGAAACTTTAGAATTTGATACTTGCGGCTTGCAAGCGGACACCGGAACTCCCAACCGTGCAAAAGCATCAAATCCTTTACGGCCACGTGGCACGCCTGAACAGGCAACAAGAAGAGGTGGCATGCTCTGCAGACTTCAGAATTTTCTGGCTGGACAAGACATTGGGACCATGCAGCATATCCTGAGGGGCACTTGGGCCTTTGTCCGTGTTGCGCTTTGTCATGGATGGTGTTGATCACTGCCAATTGGATGTTGTTGGTAGTCCAATATTAATACGCCCATGTGCGCAAGCGCGGCCGCGGCTGCGGCGCCGCCGGATCCGGAGTTGCATGACAAGCATGCATCAATCAAGACTGGCAGCAGCCTCTGCGCACGCGTGCGATGACGTATCACATATCCTCAGTGAGTCTGGCAATTGGCAATTGACTCCGAGCCTGTGAGAGATCTGTCACGTGGTGTACAGCTCCGAGCCTGTGGCAGCTTCGAGGAAAACTTTTACTCTGTCATGACAGGCCTGATCAGGCCCTGCCAGGCCGGGCCGGGCCTGGGGCCCCTGAGGGGTCTTCCTATGGCACCGGCGCAGCTCGCACTCAGGGCAGGCTGCTGGCCATAGCTGGCGACACCACGCCACCTAACTATACCTAGCTGCTAGCAAACATGCAGAACCATGCCATTGCAACACAATGCTTGACTTACAGTCACATACGGAATATTCCCGTGCTACACGCATCATCATGCCACGCGTCACAATCACTGAACCTCACCTACACCGTGTACATGTAGGTGACCATGGTGAATGGTCAGCATGATTTTGGAAAATCGAACTCCAGAGCTACAATAGCTGGCACAGTGGCTGCTTGGCAATCAATATGCTTTGCTGCGCATTGATGCCTCGCAGTCAATGTTGCAATTGTCATAAGAAAGGCAGCATAATATTGCAGTCAAGCAACCCAAAAGCATCATAATGGTTAGTTTCTTCAGTACTGCCCCCAACTCTCAGTACAGTCATTGCAACCGGTGCCAATAAGTGAACATACGGGATTGATGAACCTGTCAAAAGAAGTAACGTGTCCTCAAAGGCTACCATCGTCCAGCGTCCCCATACAGGATGCTGAATCAACTGCACTGCATCATCATGAGATGCCAAACCCTCCTCTGTCATTTGATCATCTTTACCCCTCTGTGGAGATATAGATGGGTCCAAGAAATTGCGGAAAGGTCACAGTTGCTACCGGGTGTCGTGATTTTGAGGCTCACAGTCTGAGTGAGCCCTGCACGACATGCCCTAGTCAGCCATCCTTCCCTGTCAAAAGAACAGCATCGGCCTCTCCTTGGAGATATTAATGGACCCAACAGGAAGTGTTGCAGCCGCCAGTCAGGCGCCGTCCGGTGCGTCCTCAGGCTCAGAGTCCGGGTGCTCCTCGCGGTGGATGACCTCCAGGATCTTGACGACCTGCTCCCGGGGCAGCGTGCCGCCGCGAGCCTCGCGCTTCTGCTGCGCAAGCTTGACCAGGTTGCGCCACTTGTCCTTGATGTCCACGCTGTTGCGGCCCGGTGCGAAAATTGTGGTGTAGCGGTCCAGGATGGCCGCCCAGTGGCCGGTGCCCAGGATGGTTACGCCGTTGATCAGCGCGTCCCTCTCCTCGTCCGACCAGCGCTTGTTCTTCTGCCTGGCAGCCACAACACCTGCCCCTTCAGATTCAGCGTCTGAGGTTGTCTGCGCAAGCACTGCAGATCACGGTGGTTGTGAGGGGTTTTGTATAATATGCTCAGGTCTGCTGCTTGAAAAGACTTTGAAAAGACTTAATCGGTTCGAGGTGACGGGGTGCAAGAAATTGCTGAGCAGATACAATTGCATCAACGAGGGCATGATGCCAGCAAGAGCTCATGCCACTGTGAGGTTGCAAGCCGTGCCTGACAGAGGCAGGGCAGGCAACATTGCATCAAAAACCCATGGGCTGATCGGGTCACAAGGCATGCAAGGGTGGAGATCTGACCGTCTCCTGCCGGGCGACTCTGTGGCGGGGTTGGCTGCTGCGTCGGGCGCGCGCGCGGGTCGCGCTGGCGAAAGCTCGGCCTGGTACTGCGCGACGGCGTGCTGCGCCGGCTCTGTGAAGCGCCGCGCTGGGACGGGCGATCCAGCTGCAGCAGGCGCCAGCCTCGAGGGCCCTGCAGCCATCCTCATATCACAAATTCCACTTGCGTATGGGAGATTGCATGAATGCCTTGCTGGATGCTCCAATTAAGGAAACGGGTGCAACAAGCCAGCTCATGATATGTAAGTAAAAACCTCTTGGACTCTTGTGATGCTGTGCATGTGAGTGCACAGCTACAGGGGGTGGGCGCGCCTGGCATGTCGATCAGGGCGGCGGTGGCTGCGCGCTGGTCTCGTGCGGCGGTGTCATCCACCACGATGACCCAGATGTGGTGCTGCTGCCCCGGCACGAGACCGTACGATCTGACAGTCTTCTCGGCGCCGGTTGCGGTGAAGCTGGTGGTCGGGGTGAGGGTGCCCCAGGTGTCCTTGACCTGGACCTCCAGCGCGTCAGCCGGCATGTGCGTGCCCAACTCCTGCACAGGGCACTCAACTTGCATTTGCCGACTGTTTTGCAATGCCCGGCGTTTGGAGACCCATCTGCGCCCAAGATAACTTCCCAATGAGAGCGCCAAAAAGTGCCTTGATCTGAAGGAGAGCCTTGGTGAGTTTGATCAGCATCTGCCCTGAGCCCACAGCTTGCAGATGGCGTACCTCCACTCTGTACTGGATCTGGCGCCTGAGAAAATTGATTGTGGCGTCCTCCGGGACGGCAAGGCGGCTGGGCGGGATCTCTGTTATGAAGGAGTGCACAGCAACGTCCACGTATCTCCCTGACTGCCTGGCTACCTCCACAGCAGCATCCTCTGCCTTCTTGCGCGCCGCATCCTGCAACACCCCAAATAGGTGGTATCTCTTCAATGCTTTCTGCTTCAAGCAGTCACGCCTGCTGGTAGTGCAGGAGGCCAGTACTTTCCTGAAGGATGCAATGAAGCCATTGGCTTGAAGCCAGCATTGGAATTCAGATTATTGCCGAAATTACCTGTGCAAGTCCCCAAGTTGGCACATGCTGCGGCCGTGCTGCAGCTGCGGCAAGCTGTCGCACTGCTCCTGACCCTCCCCCTGCATTGCCAGACACACAGGAATGGAGCACGCTATATGACCAGCTGCACCATTGGAAGCTTTGCGTGTTATCACCCATCAGCGCTGCACCTGTGGGTTGCTGGGGCGGCTCCCTTGCTTGCCGCACAGATGGGCTTGCCGGTGCCGGGCGCTGAGGCAGGGAGGGACCACCTGGACTGCTGGGCCCCACGGACGTAATAGGGGCTCTGAACGGGGCTGCTATTGTTGCCAATGACTTTCGAGGTCGGCCACGGCCTCTCTTGGGACTTGCGCTTGCCTCCTCTGTTGTGTCAGTGTCAAGCTCGGCCTGCTCCGCCTGCTCCGCGGCCTTCTTGGCCTCTCTTTTCCGGAGCAGATCTGTCGACAGCATGCCATAGTGTAAGTTGTTAATTCCTGCTGAGTGTCTCAGAGGCTGTACCAGTGGAACCTCCCAGTGGACTTCCCTGACTTGCCAGCACTGACGTACCTGCGCCCATCTTCTTCTTCTTGGCTCGTTTCGCTTTCAGTTTCTCATGTGACTTCGTCTCCGTTTCCAGTGCCTCAGTGGGTTGGTACACCGCATTCCTAGTCCTCATGGCTGGTTGATGTCAACAACAACACGAGGTTGTCAAGCCCGAACACCTTTCAGAGGTGGTTTCAACTGGGCATAAGACTAAATGCACAATAATAATCTTTCATGCATCCAGAGCTAGATGAGATATTAGACGCCCGTACCTTCGAGACCGTTCACTTTGCTAGAGAGAAATTCACGAAAGGCCTCCTTCCCCCTTCACAATCAGACCCTCCAAGATCACCACTGCACAAATAGTGACAGCCAACATTCACAATTCTTTTTTTGCTGTCCAGCAATTTTTCAACATTCAGGTCCGGCAGGCGAGAATATCCGAGCTTTCGGAAGTTGGTTGACGTGGAACTGGCTTGCGTTTTTGAAGAGAGAAGCAACCTTGTTATAAAGCAGAAGACTTCGGATCCATTTCTTTATGCACCCTTTCCGAACATCGTCTGATTAAGTGGTCAGCTCCCCAACAGGCCTTTAATGACCGAGCTAGGGCTTCCAAATCACCAGGTGTAAGTGGGAAACACTGTCCCACATCTCATAATGGCGGGATTGCGAAACACAATCAAAGCAAATCTTGGATTTCGTGGAACACAGGTAAAACTCAACGCTTGATGCAAGGGATCATGTGATACTCTACTAGTACAACTGGTACAATGGTACAATTGAAGTGTCAATTCTTTCGGAGGCTCTGGTGCAAAGCTCATTATACTTTGAATGCTGCAGAATATTGCTGCTTGGGCTGTGGCTGGAGTCCTTGCATACTATCTCTGGGTGAAGCCGGAGAGGGAGGCTGAACAGGAACGCAAAGTAGGCTCTCGTTGCATGCTTTCCCTGTGTTCAGCAACTGTTTCACTTGATTGGTGGTGTTGCATTTACCAGCGGTCTGAGATCAGTGCATGCTTGGCTAGGCATCTCGAGAGAGGGCGCGGCTATTTGCAACCGAGAAGGGCTTGACTGAAGTTGACAAGCGACGGCCTGTCGCCGGTGAGGCTCTAGAACACAGTGCCTCCACTGAACCACTGTGACTCTGTACTCAACCCTTATGCATGATGTGGACTGCATTCACTGGATCACTTGATGCTCTGCAGATCCTCAGGACACAGGGCTTGTGAGAGGATCGAGGTCATGATCCGCAGCAATGTGGAGGACTGGGACAAGCCGCAATGTCAGCAGTAGCTGACTCCTGTGGCTGTACAAGAGCACAGTGAAGCAAATGAACTCATTGAGCATGTGTGTACATTTAGAAGGCAAGGACACTGTCTGCATTGATTCTTGAGTGTGGGTGACTCCTGATCCTTTCACTTGCACACTCCTCATACTTGCTCGGTGAGGTCTGTGGTCACCAATCTGCTGCTGCAATCCCTGGAGCAGCTGAGACAAAAGCTGATCGCACAGAGTTTGCGTATCTGCATCAGGTTGACACTGGAGGATGCAACAACAATGGCGCACGTGTGTGAGGTGACTAGGTGCAGGGAGCAAGCAATATGTTCCATTGTACCATGGAAGTTGAGTTGCCAGCCAGGGTGGTTGTCTCCTGAAGTAAATCTGCAAAATTTTAAATGGTATTGCAGGGGCATGACGCTGGGCCTCCCAGAGTGACGTCATTTATGTCTGCTATTGCTAGCATTTGCGGTGACATGTCAATGTTCCGAGCAGAGTCTGGAATGACATATCAGAAGGCTTGAAGGTGGCAGTGCCCATTGAATTCAATGGAAGAATACACTCTATTCTTGCCTTGACTACTAGTAAAATAATTTACACTGAAAGAAAATCACAGTGAAGCGTCGACGCTGACGTCAGACGCCTAAAACAGCTGCAAACTAATCATAGATCTAGAGAGAGACGGGCAGGCTCGCAGCACACTGCACCTGCAGAAGCAATTTTGCCGCATGCACATTGTGGCGGCCACCTTTGACCACATGCATGCTGATAAACAAACTCTAATACATTTTTGGAAAACTACATCTCAACGACACAAAACCAGTGTCAGACAAGTTTTCTGTGAGTTGCACTAGAGTACCTGTAACATTCAGTCAGACTGAATCAATTGAAGTCCTTATGCTGCATAATTGCCCATTCTCTGGGGCACATTACTTCCAGGTACTTCAGGAAACAGCTTTATGCATGCATCTCACCACTGCAGCAGCAGGGCACGAGAAGAACACAAGAGTTTTGAATGCATTGTATACTTCTGTGCGAAGAGCTAAACATGCAGCAGCTCTCAAGCGCTCATGAGCTTGGTGCCGGCCATGCCGGTCTGATAGTCATACGCGCCACCAGCAGAGGTGTAAGCGTTGGAGGTGTTTGTCAGCTGGAAGACCTCCAGCAGGATGCCGCGCAGGGCCCACCAAGAGGCATGGTCAGCCGCCGCATTGTAGCCGTTACTCTGCAGAAATCATTGCAACATCACTAAGCCACACCCACCTGAACAGAGAATACCCGAGAGAATTGGCAATCCGCAAGATTTATATAGTGAAGCAATTTGGATGTAAGGGCGTACCACGTTCTTGTTGCCAGTCCACACAGGGCTCTCCAGGAGAGTGAACCCGTGCACAGTGGCCCCATAGTTGTAGTAGCCCCATGTCACATTTGCAGCCCGCATCTCATCCTACAAAGAGTCATAAGTCATGATCTCAATCATTGTGAAGTACACCAGCACATATACTGTGATCCAATTTGCATGCATGCAGCCACGTGCACCATTTAATCTATTGCTGTACGAAACAGGGCCCTCTGGCAGACTTACCTTCCATGCTACTACAGAGTCTCCAGTGATGCCTGGATCCTCAGCTCCCGAGAATGCATATACACGAAGGGGGCTGCCTGGTAACAGTCTTTAGCTCTCAGCGCATTGCAAATGGGCCTGCCTCAGGAAGTCACATGCTTGCATGGCAGAGTGGATTCTTGACTATTGATTTCTTAGAATGAAATCGCACCTGCTTGCATCTTTGGGCCAGCACTCACCAAAGGACCAGGATGGTATCCTCCAACACCTGTCAACCAGCAAAAAAAGTCTGTCAGCAGCAGCTCTGCATCTCTCGCAGAACCTCCAGCATGACCAGGCCATCATGCGTTGCCACAAGCCCTTACCGAGAAGGCCAGGAGTGTTGGGCCAAGCGCGTGCCAGCTCAAACACTCCGCCCCCTCCAAAACAGTACCCGATGGCAAAGATCTTGTCCTTCTGGGCAATGTCGAGGGTGCGCACCTGGGGAGCACAACACTCTCGTTAGCTTCCCAAAATCAGAAAAACGGCAGATATCATCATCTTGCTGTTTGCATGACCAAAATTGCAGGGTGTACTACTTACAGTGTTCAGCGCAGCCAGAAGCCGAGGGCGGTAGTAGGAGGAATTTGAGCGGAAGGGCATCATGAGTGCTGATCGGTTGGCAGCCGGAATTGAGGGGCCCTGTTGAACCGCTTGGGAGTACACATCGGCCACAAAACCTGGAGCAGAAAGAAACTAGGTTCCAAGTACTTGTGATCAAATGAGGGGGAGTGAGGATTTAAGGCAGCCGCAAGAACCAGCAAGTGCTAGTACAATGCAAGCCATGAGGGTTGACAAGGAGCTGGTTCGCACCAGCGTAGCCCATGGACGCGAACAGATTCGCCCTAAATCTCTCATAGTTCGAAATGCCATCCCTGCATGTGAACACAGGACGACTTGCTTGCCTGACCTCAGAATGATGGGCCCACATTGCTAGTTTGAATGAACGCAACACAGATCCAGGCGCACCAGTCAGGATAGATGATGACGACTGGCCGTGGCCCAGATGTTGCATTGGAATAGGCAAGGTAGCCCTGCACCCCTCACGTCAGTCAGAAATCCCATAGTAGTCACGCTGAGGGAGGGAGCGAACACCTTTCCGAGAGGACAAGGAACCCAGCCAACCTTCAGTTTCGCGTCGCCATCGGCATAATCTACTGAAGAGGACACGATGGTGCTGGGATCCCAAAGTGTTGGGTATTCGAAGTCGCTCGTCTGCGCCCACGCAGCTAGCGGCGACAAAACCAGCATCACGACCAGGAAGCATGAGCGATCCTGCGCATATGGGAATAGTGAACACTTGTAAAGTCCAGCATCAAGATCAAAGCTTGCGTCGCACAGCAATAACCCTTTCGTAAAGGCAGAAGTAAAGGAATATATTTGCGCATGGGCGGATGCGGGATCTTCTCCATCTACTTATGATCTCGGGATGTTACCATGGTCCTTTGTTGAAGAATGTTCCTCATGTCCTACACCTGCCGCTTTGCGTGCTTAATTTGCAGCGATCGCGAGCCTCTGCCTCCTGTGGTGCGTTCCGAGACAAGGTGCCAATCTAAGATCCTTCCACGTCGGTTCACCGTTGCTGCTGGCTGCTGACAAATTGCCCGTGCGTGCTGAGCCTGCTGAGAGGCCAAATTTCTCTGCAGGCCTGCACACTTTGGATCCATGCCACACTACCTTGAAATGTCTCGTCTCTGATGTGAAATTAAATGACTATCCTTGCCGATGAAGCTGACTGTTCTTGTACTGTAATCGGATTTCATCAGATTGATCTGGAACGCTGCTTCCGGTTTGTGTTGGAATCTGCATTCATAAAGGACTTTGTTCCTTAACTTACTTTTCTGAGATTATTTCCATTGGAAGACTTCCCGATGGAGGACTTCAGAGAGTATATGCGCCTGAAAAACGAGAAGCTGCACGAGCAGTTCTTGGAACAGCAGAAGGCTGCTCAGGGAGACAGAGGCGGCATCTTCTCGGGAGTCTGCATTTTTGTGAATGGATTTACGAAGCCTTCACACCTGGTGCGGCCTTGCTCGTTATTTGCATCAGGTGCACTACTGATGGCTTGGGCCACAGCTATCTCGTTGACTGATTACGCTCATGCTGCAGGAGCTCAAGCAGATCATGGCTAGTCATGGCGGGATATTCAGAAATTACCTGCAGAAAGACGTCACGCACATAATATGCAGCAATCTGCCAGACTCCAAGGTCAAGCACCTCGAGAACGTGAAGGAGAGGTGCGCTGTCCTTCTGCACACTCTATGGTGACTTCTTGCTATTGTGGGCTCCCTTCTTGTCATGTATTGCTAAACTCCTCATCGTTGTGATGCAGAGATCCAAAACCCATCCTCCTTCCAGAGTGGGTCACGGACTCCTTGGAAGCTGGCCAGCTATTGCCGGTAAGGCTTCACTTGTCTATGTCTGTATGCAGTAATTGCTTGTGCCGCTGTTCAGCTGAGTGCATCGCAAACGTCCATGATCCATTGTTAAACCTCTGAATACATGCATGTGCAGGTGGAAAACTATTCGTTGTGGCGGCTTCGCGACAGACCTGGCCAAAAATCATTGACAGGCTTTGCTGCCCAGAGTTTCACGCGTTCTGCTGCACAAGAAGCTTCCCCTGCTGCTCTCTGGACTGGCGGATCAGGGGCCCAGTCAAACCAATCAGCCTCACAGAATGTGTCGAGAAAGCGAGTCCTGACGCTGGACTTTGCCGGCATCTCAAACGCCTTTGCCAGCAAGGATGTCAAGGAAGGGCAGAGCAGCGAGCCAGCAGCTGATTTGCCACCAGGCAGCCTACATAGTCTGGTCAGCATGGCCCAGCAGCTTGCTTCCAGGCAGGCCGATGGGCACACAGAGGCTCATACAGAGGCAGAACGACAAGGGCCAGCAGAGTGTGGTCATGGAGCTGAGGCTGACGATGACTTCAGCAAGTTACAGCACTGTCAGCTGGTTCAGAGTGCCAGCACTAATGTTAGCTGCACAAACACAAATGGACAGGCAGGCTGCGCAGCTGAGCAGGAAATAGGTCAGTGTGCAGTTGATGCTGCAGTGAAGTATGGTAGTATGCCAGAGGGGCATTCTCCTAGAGCTACAGTCATGGGCCCAGCTCAGCCCCATGCGGTTCATACCACAGGCGCAGAAGAGCAGAAGGGATGTGAGTCTGACATTAGCTTGCAAACGGCGCAGCAGATAGCAGCGCAGGCCAGACAGAGATGTGACATGCTCAAGGGCCCGCCGCGGTCGTCCCGCGAAGACCCTGCTTTCCAGGCCAATTACTTTGCCGCCTCGCGTCTGCACTTTATTGGCAGCTGGAAAGCGCGCATAGAGGCGCTTGCAGCAAGCATGGCCAACAATTCCCCCAAAGCGTGCCCGCCTGCTCGCGGCTCCTCTCGCGCCATCATCCACATTGACATGGATTGCTTCTTCGCCTGTGTTGCAGGTACTCCAGTGTCTGCATGTGTCATTGGATAACTTTCATGTTCAATCTTCACATGTCTTGCAATATAGCTGACGGAGTGATTTTGATTTCATGTCTGCCTGCCAGATTTTGCAATTCTATCATGATGACTACGCGTGTGGTTCTGTGTGATTGCCTGAGCCTGTGCCTCTGCTGCAGCGCTTGGGGAGCCGGCTCTGCAGGGCAAGGCTCTGTGTGTCAGCCACTCTGCCAGCTCGAAAGGAGCAGGCGAGGTGTCCTCTGCCAATTATGAGGCCCGCGCATTTGGCGTTCGGGCCGGCATGTTCATCTCTGAGGCCAAGCGCCTGTGCCCAGACATCATTGTGATGCCCTACATGTTTGAGAAGTACGAGGCCATCAGTGAGAAGGTGAGCAGATGCGCCTTGTCATAATCTGAACTTGAGCCACCAAGTGCTTGGTGTCAGTCTGCAACAAGAGGTCGAAAGTCTTCGCTACATGATAAAATTAATTTGCAGGGTTCTTGTGCTTGGTTCAAGGCTGTTGGTGCCCTGGTGCCAGGTGTACCGGATTCTGATGGAGGAGACATGCAGTGTGCAGCCACTGTCTTGCGATGAGGCATTCATGGATGTGACTGGCCTGGGCGATCCTGAGGCCATTGCCGGCAAGCTGCGCGCGCAAATTGAGGCCGACACTGGCTGCACAGCCAGCGCAGGGATTGGACCAAACATGCTCCTCGCCCGACTTGCCACCAAGCGGGCCAAGCCGAATGGCCAGTTCCTCATCAACTCAGTGCAGGTTGGTGCTCACAGGAGATCCTTCGCAGTAATGACAAGATGGTCCCCAGATCTTTAAGACATGAAAAATAGTAATCTATGCAATGACACCTGCTTGCCTCTTCTCTTCAGGCAGACGAGGAGCTGCTGAAGTTGGCGGCGGAAGACTTGCCAGGGGTGGGTTGGTCAATGCGTGAGAAGCTCAAGGCGCTGGGCATTACAAGTGTGGCCGACGTGCGCAACTCCAGGCTGACAATGCTGCAGCATGAGCTGGGCACGAAGTCTGGTACTCTGGTGAGCAAGCAGCCACTCTCCTGATATCCTTCTTCTATCAGTTCATCCTTGAGTTCCTTGAGAAAATTGGTGGGACAGCAAGCAATGCTTCTCCAATATCTGATTTGTGTGGATTGGGAGCAGGTGTGGGACTATGCCCATGGCCGGGATGACAGAGTGGTTGCGCCGTCCCAAGTGCGCAAGTCTGTCGGCGCTGAGATCAACTATGCCGTGCGCCTGGACAGTGTGGGGGATGCTGACAAGTTCGTGGATGAGCTGGCAGGTATGGAGCACTTCTGAAGTAGCCTTTCTGTTGAATTGCTCTTCTTGAGACTCTCTTTTTATCTATTTTCACAGGAACGGAATTATATGGTAAGCTTCCTTGATGCAAGTTTGCAGGAGAGTTGGCTGACAGAATGCTCAAGGCGGGGGTCAAAGGGCGTACGCTCACCCTGAAAGTGAAGCGCAAGAAGTCAGGGGCACCAGAGCCAATCAAGTTCCTGGTGAGTTGCTGAAATGTTCTGCAGTCTGGATCTTGATCTCGCCCATTTCTGGAGAGTTTCTGAACAAAAATTAATTTCATGGTAATGCAGGGACATGGGATCTGCGACAATCACTCTAGGAGTGTGACCATGCCGAGGTTTGTAGGGACGAGGACGGTGCTAGCCAAGACTGGCAAGGAGCTGCTGCGAGCCATGAATATCCCAGCACCAGACATCCGTGGCTTGGGCCTGACGGTATGTTTTGCTGCCCATATATCATTTAAATGTGATATCGAGAATTGATGTTTGTACGAGAGTCCATTTGATGCCTGTAAGAAGCTAAAATTGCTGTGTATGTGCAGATGACAAAGCTGGACAATGATACTGCCTCCAGTGTTGCTCGCCCGAGCGCACCTGCTCCTGCAAAGGGGGCACTTCCTGCACAGAGCCTATATGATCCCAATGCTCACAACCCCTTCGCAGCATTCTACGACCTCCCAGCCGTCAAGGCTGCCATGCCTCCACAGAAGGGTCGCTCGGACGCTGGTGGTGCGTCTGCTGCCAGGTCAGCGGCAAGCCCCAGCCCCCAGACAGTCCGTGGACCTCTAGAGGGCCTCCTACACAGGCAGGGCAGCCATGATGGCCCTGTAGAGAGCTCTGTGGCAGCGCAGCCGGACATGGGCTACACTGGGACCGCACATACTGTCAAGGAGCTACGTGGCAAATATGCCACTGGGGGCCTAGGTTACGACAGCCATGCGGCGGCAGCTGAGGTGACAGCAGGACAGGACAGCACCGGATGTCTGCCCTCAGCTAATAGTCCAGGAACCTTATTTCACATTCATGAAGCAGGCATTGTCTTGGAAGCAGAGCAGCTGGAATACGAGGATGCAGCAGAACTAGACAGTGGTGGTCACATGGCTATTGCGCCTGAGCCCAGCGAAAGCGCAGATGAGGCGGACATGGATACTATATCACCATCAGAGAGAAGGAATGCAAGACAGCAAGCTGCAGGAGCCAGTATCAGTGGCAGAGGATGTGACGCAGGCAAATTGCCAGAGGTGTCCCTCTCACAGCTTGATGCCGATGTGTGGTCAGAACTGCCACTGGAGGTGCAGCAGCAGCTTCTTCAGGGTGCCTCTGGGAAGCGGCAAATGCCTCCAGACGAGGACAGCAGAAAGCAGGTTTGCATAATTTTTTTACTTGCCTCCTCTCAGCAGGGACTGCTTGGAACCTATTTGGGTCTTCGCTGGGTAGAAGCCGTGCACCGTTGAACCGATGAACAACCAAGACTGATTGCTTGCCAATGCTGACTTTGGGTGCATGTGCACCAGGCAGGGAAAGGCACGCCTATCCAGGCCTTGCCCCCAGCATCACAGATTGACATTGCCGTGCTCGATGCTCTTCCCCTGGAATTGAAGCGCGAGCTTGAACGCGCCTACGGTACGCTCCTGTGATGCATTGATATATGACTATGTTGACCCCCTGTGCTACCAACAAGGCGTCTTAGATACCAACCTAATGTTCTGTGCAGGCGTGGGTGTGGTCAGATCTCCAGTACATAAGAGGAAAAGAGGCGGAGCGGTGCCCCAGGCTGGCAGGGTGGTGAAGAGGCAGAGACCGCTCACTGAGGCATTCCAGTCTCCACCAAAGGCGAGGTATGTACTGGCTGCTGACCTCCTTTGTGCTGATACTTTATTTTCAGCCATCATTTGCACATCTTGAGGAGACATTAGCAACGCATGCCTCTGATTTGCAGCGCTGGTCACATGTGCCTGTAGGGTGGCGGTGGGTGGGCTCACTATGACGCAGGTTGACCCTGCTGTCCTGGCAGAGCTGCCCCCAGATGTGGTGGCGGAGCTGATTGCAAGGCTCCCACCTTCCCATGAGCCCTTTGCAAAGCAGGGAAACCTGAGTCCCGATGCATCCCAGACTGAGGATGGCGCTGATGCAGCCCACGAGGGCAAGGCAACCAGTGGGCATCCAATCGCTGCAGAGCGTGCTGCTGGATCAAAGGTGGGCAAGTCCTGGGTTTTGCTCAAATTGTTCATTGCCCAAGATCTGCAATATTTTATTTCTCATGTCCTCAGTTATATGCCGTATTGCTGCTTGATTGGCCCTGCTATGGTCATGCAGCGGTGGAGGCAGAAGCAGCTCGGTCCAGCAGAAGACGTTCGGCAGGTCTGGTCCGCACTGAGTTCCGTGCTTGAGGAACTGGGCCAGTCTGGGACCAGCGGCTTGGAATCATTACCATCGGAGACAGGCAGCCAAAGCACGGGGTGCAGTCAGTCATCTGCAGAAGAGGAAGCTGCAATGTTGGAGTCTTTCAGCCGACTGGATGCTGTTTGTGAGGTTGTGCGTGAGTATGGCAGCAGCCTGGTTTGCAGTGATCTGGAGAGCATGCAGTTCTTGCTGACCCGGCTTAGGACCGCCAGTCTGCACTGGCAGTGTTTCTCGAAGAGGCTGGACACGCTCTCATTGGCTCTTCAGGAAGCTGTGCAGCAGGAGTACAGAGGCAGAATTGTGCTAAAGTAGTCCGCTGCTGGGGAACTGACTCTGGCCCTGTCATGCTGTCACGCATACTTTTGGCATCTGTTGGAGATTTCTGGCATTGGTGGATCATATCTGACCAGCAGGTGTAAGAAGCTCTGATATTATGTTTTTAGAAACATCCGGATCCAGTCATATTGGTGACTAAACATTCGCTGGACCCTCTAATGATCTCTGGAAGTCATCTCAAGATCTCTACTGTGGATCCATGGAATGATCCGACAAAACGTGAATGCGAGTCTTTGGACTCCTTGTAGGAGCTGGAAAGAGCCCTCTCATGATCATGAGCTCTGCTTGCATATGCATGTGGCAGGCTGCATTAGGAGCTCGGTACTTCTGCATTGTGCGTGCCATGTCTCAGGATCGTTCCATGATGCCATATCATATATGATATGGGTGCATGCATGTGCCAGCACTAGCCGGCCTAGCTGCCAGTGGCGCCAGCTTCATGAATCAGCTGTGTACATTTGTGAGAGGCCTACTAGGACTAGTAGTCCAGCCTCCTGCGGCAGCCCACACATGGGCATTCCTAGCAGGCCTGCTGGCACGATCACGTTCCGCAGGCTCTTCTAATCGGCATTTTGCTGTGAGCTTGCTATGATTAGGGAAGGAGCATGGATATTCCAGGGAGATGATGTGAACAGAATTCCATGTTGCCTGTATAGGTCCCTGGTATGCATCCAAATTTTGCCGCTTGAGATGACAGATCAACAACAGGGACTGCAACCCCAATAAGATTGCCGATCTGCGAAATAATCGATGCAGCACACGCATCTTCTTCTCATTTATGAAAAAATTAGCGGTGTCATACCTTGTCAACAGTGATGAAGACATCTTGATACCTGTTAAGGCACAATGAAAGTCCTGCTCCTTATCGACATCGCAGCATTCAAAGAAGAAAGATATACAGCATTAGACAGATGCCTGCTGACAGCTTCCCGCTTGCTCAGTTGCGCAATACAGCTCGATGAGAAGGGGGCCATTCGTTGGGGCTACAGAATAATTAACTCCCAGTATGAGCCAGAAGCTTTCGCGACGAGATATAAGAACGTAGATGGTCACCCAGATAAAGAGTTCCCATCGGGGAGTCCATTGCAGAAAGGTGGGAAAGTCCATAAGGTCTTCTTTGCCCAAGTCACAGTTTGGTGACTGGATGGAAAAATTCAGGACAACGGTCTTTGATGTCCCAATGAAAGCGATGTGCAGGTGGTGCAGACCTCCTTGAAATCTCTTCTGAGGGCATCATTCAGTTCGCAAGGGTGCTGCAAAAGCTGACACATCCAGAGATCCTGCCTGCGCTGACAAGTCTGAAGAGTGGTGAGCATGTACAAAGGTCCGCAAGAATGTGATGGCAAGGATCATGTGAAAGTTGCAGATGATGGACTTGATGCAAGTTCTACTGCATACGCAGATGATTGCAGCTCGAACACCACAGTTGGCCGCTTCCAGTGCATCCAGAAATACTTTGCACTGCTCCAGACGTACTTTACAGACGGCAAAGGCAGCCTGCAAGATGGTACGGCGAGACATGATGGATCACTCTCATGCGCTTTCCTTTTCGAGTCACAGCGTCTGGAGCAGGACCTGTCATTCCAGCAAGCTGTCATGCGACGTTGCAAGTGATGCGCAGGTGAAAATATAGCATCGGAGCATGGCCCAGGGTTGGTGCTTCTGTTCTCTGCTGCGCCACGGACACCCCAGGATGCGCTGACGTTTCTGGAGCTAGGTGCCCTTCACCATAAAAAGCTGCGCATGTGAGACAGCTCTGCTATCATGCCCAGAGGACAAGTGGAAGCTGCAAGTCTGAGAAGGTTATGTGGTTGCGCAGATGCTGTCAAGACAGACATGGCTAGGGCGGACATCTGGAGCATCCTCTCTGCGGCTGCAAAACCAGGGTTGGGCAGCATCTTTGGCAGCATGGAAGTGCAGCCCTGCTGGATCGACACAGGTGACCACCACCTGTGTGAGCTGGGTACTATGCCATTTCAGAAGGCATCCTCATTGAAATCGACATGTTCTCAGGTGTTGCGGCAGCGTTGGGCCCACCACTGTTCTGCTTGCAGGAGCTCCAGCCAGTGCAGTGCCCCAGGGCGATGCAGCAGAGGACTGGCGAGTGGGCGTACAACAGTTGCATTTTCCCAACGCAAGCTTCCGCTATGGCGTTGTTGGCAGTTATGCTCACGGCCGTTACCATATCCGCTACGATGATGGGAAATTGTACGAGCATGTGGATCCTGGGCGCTGTGACATGGACTGGGTGCAGCCCGATGCTCTCAATCTGGCTTCGGTGGCGCGGAAGGGTGCGCTGCTATTCCTGCTCCCACAGGGGGTTTGACCATTGTGAAAATTGCAGCATACAGTGAGTCATCTGATCTACAGCGCATCTGAATTGCTATGTATACCCTGCAGAAGTTGGACAGACAGGGGGAACCTACAAGGAGCGGTCCTGCACGGAGCAGATCTGCGCCAGTCTGGATCAGATCCTCAGGTCTGCATTCAGCGACTAAAGCCAGCTCGACTTCAGCATTGCATGTCGCCTTTGCCCCCCTTTTCTGCGCAGTGACAGACAATTGGCAAGTGCCCATTTACCGATCTATCCTTGTGCTTCAGGCGCTTTGGTGTGGGCGGTTGTGAGGAACGTGCTGTCTTCAGCCTGCGTGACCTGGCAAGCCCTCTGGACACCCTCCTCATCAGCGCACACTATGCACCACTGTTCAGCCACCTGAAGGCAGTGGACAGGTCCAGTGTCTGCGCACAGCTTGCGCAGCTGGCGAGCGCTGAAGGTCTGGTGACCGATGGCATGGGCTCGGTGAAGCAGCTGGCAGCCTCTCTGCAACCCGCCGCCACTACTGGTGCCGGTCGAAAAGGCGCGCTTTTTCGACTGCTGTGGCCCACACCCACCATCTTCTGAAATAATTGAGATACCCATGAAGGCTGCTGACTCGACAACACCAGAGATCTCCGGCTCATGGCTGCTGTGCTTGCTTGTGCCAACAGGCACCATCATGGACAGAGCAAAAGAGATCAAGAAGGGGCGCAAGATGGAGGAAAAGGCTGCCAGGAAAGCGGCCCATGCGAAGCGTACCGTGGGCCGAACAGGGATGGAGGTAGACAGCGCATGCTGAAAGACCTTTTTTTGGATTGCATTGTAAGTTTGATACCCATTCGTGCCATCAGAGTGTTTGTGATCTGTCATCATGCATGCATGGGTGTGGCGCAGGTGAAGCAGAACAGGGCTTCACCGCCAGAGGTGGGCTCTACACGGCCATCGCCAGGCACGGCCAGCATCCAGGTAACCTGGGGCGAGTCTGTTCATTTGCACACCGTTTGTTGCATTTGCATTGTAATCCATGAAATGACATGGAAAAATGCTGCACAGCAGGTGAATGGGAGGGAAGGAAGGGAACAGAGCTTGCCTCCTGCAGAGAGCCCCGGTGCTATGCGGACAGGTGCGTCTGGCATTCCCCCCTGCATAAGCATGTAGAAGCACACGTTTTGACTGGAAGCCTTCCTTACTGCTAAATTTTCTGTGCAGATGGGCTGTGCAGACCGCAGTATGACTTCCATTCCACCAGCTGTGCGCCTGAAATGCTGGAAGCTGCATCCAGGCAAGTTCCTCCCTGCCTTTGCAAGTTGAAACTATGTGATCCACTTGGCACGCCTCAATATGCCAAGGTGTGCTTACCTGAACTGCCCCAAAACCCTCTCTTGGCCAGCTCATTGTTTGAATAATGACTTTTATTCGTTCACCGTTTCGGGGAATGATCTGAGAATGCAATATTTCATCTTGCTGTCATGCAGATTCCGGGATGAGCTGCACACATCCCTCAGGGATCCCCAGCTCTGTCTGGCAGATCTCTACATGATGGAGAGACGAGCGGATGCCCTTGTTAAAGATGCTGTGAAGGCCTTGCTGAGGTTTGCCACGCAAATTACCTGCACATGCAAACCTCACATACATTAATTTCCACCCATTGCCGTTGGGTCTGTACAGCACTGTCTGTTCTCCAATGCAATGAGTTTTATCATTGTTTGGCAGATTTGAGGCAGCGGAGATGGAGGAGGCAGGCAAGGGCGCCCATCAGAGCGCGGGAGCTCCACAGGCGGGCAGGAAGTGGAATGCCGGCAAGGGCGCAGACCCAAAATTGGCTGCGGCGGTGCGCGTGCTGGCTGCTGGCCTGCTGCTGGGCTGGGAGCAGATCCACGCCAAGCACCCCAACCATAGGTCGGAGACGGCCGGCCAGAAGTGCGCGCGCCGGGATGAGCAGCTGCTGCAGCTCCTGCTTCGCATGCACATCCTGGCAACACTTGCCACAAAGCTGGGTGCGCTCACAGACTCCATTGATATTACCACTGTTGCGGCTGAAGGACAATTTACTTGTGCATGTCAGCCCGCGATCTGAGTTTGCTATCAGCAGCCTCTGAAGTGGCCTTTTATAGCCCAGCAGAGCTGAGCATTTGAGGGATTTGTTGAAGGGGTGCCACAGCTGTACATTACCATGTCAGATGGCATGCGTGGCTGGCCCATGTTTGAAACACACATTCTCTTGCTGTGTGACTCCTCATAGCACATTCTTTGAGCCCACCAGCATTGGCCGGTGATGGTTGAAGCGGCTCGGTGCACGCGCAGATGCAAAGGTGACCAAGCGGCAGAGGCGTGAGGTGGTGGAGCTGTTTGATCAACTGGGCATCAGCCTCATCGGCGACGGCGTCAGCGCAGCAGACGTATACAACTCCGTGCTGCAGCCCTGCTTTGGTATGTTCTCACGTGACCAGCTTTCCAGTCCATCACCTGTCATCTGTCCTTCGCATGTCAGATCACATCATCAACCTGGTGCTTTGGATCTCATAGAGGTTGTATCTTGTGTCCAGGTGCTCAACTGCCGGACCTCATGCAGCCACTGGCCGAGTCGTGTGGGCAAGCAGAGGACAGCCTGCCCTCCCTGCCGTCCTTGGGCACCCGCGTGACAGGGTCCTTCGCAAAGCACTCGCAGAACTCCGAATGCTGCGGCAGCGTCTCCCCTTCGGACATCTCCACCGGCAACGCCAGGTGCATGCTCCACCAAACTCCTCCATGAAGCAGCAGACGATATTCACTGTGCATGAAGTTCTTGATGCAGTACACCTTGCCACCTGTCAATTGCCCGCGTAAGCCATGTCAAAGTGCACCCAATAATGGGGGACTGAATGTTCTGGTGGTGACAGGGACAGCAGCTTTGGGAACAGGCCGCGCGACGTGTGTCGGTCCTCCAGCATGCTGTCTGGCAGCCACTCAGCCTGCCAGACAGGGCAGGGCGGCAGAGACATCCAGCACGCCAGGCCTGCTGCGAAGCACTTGCTGTAAGCACATCTCTTGCCCCTCGATGACCATCTGTCACTCGATGATATAAAACTCCCAGCTGGCTCAATGCTTACATTCTTTGTTTGAAGACTTGCAGCGAGGCTTCTCTTGCATGCACGCAGGGTGAAGCAGAAGGCTGGCAGGCCAGCGCTGGAGCGCATGGCATCACGGTCACGGCTGGCTCCAGTCGGTGAGCCCCTACTGCATCCATCAAATTTATATCACCTGCTCTGTAAATCCTGCGTCTCATCCTTGCATATGCCAGGAATTAAAACAGCTTCAGCTGGGGCATGCATCCGCAAGTGACAAGCCCTGTGGTGTGCGACAGTGGGCAAGCTGTCCATCGCGGACTTGCAGCGCAAGAGGAGGGACCGCAAGCGCCACGGTGGCGGCAGCAGACCGGGCTCCGCCGCCGTGCGTGGGAAGGCTGCGCCCGCCCCCAGCCAGCCCATCTCCACCACCCCTGACGCCCAGAGGTGACCCGCCCTGTGAATCATGGTTCTTTGTTCCAAATACGAAGGTGAAAGAAAAACACATATTTGGAAGTATGCGTCTCCACAGGACCGCTGCATTTTGCCAACAGCATACAGGGCAATGCAGACAGCATCTTCTGTGACTCTCTCTCCATACTGAGGCTTTGTGGGTGCTCGGCAGGACGCATGCGGGTGGCAGCACGGTAATGACGCCTCAGTCGCGCCGCAAGGCCACGCCGGACGAGGATGTGGATGTGGAGTGCATCCCAGAGACGGAGATCAAGGGCGGCGGCTCCCACATGATCAGCGCCGACGTGGCCTCCCGCCCGCTCATGCGCCAGCCCTGCTTCGGTGAGGCCCATTTCACTGTTGGTAATGCTGCTGTAATCACGATACTGGCACACATTCCCAAGCACATCACTGGTTGCACCTCGTGTGGATACGTAAGCTCAGCAATGGCACCAGGATGCTGCAGGTATAAGAATCCTTTGCAAAAGCCATCTGCACGCCTAGCAAATGTGCCTGCCACGCTATTCACTATGTCTGTGCATGATGTCAGGCAGTGCAGTACTGTGAGAGATATCAAGGCATTGCTAGAGGTCAACTTGCTGAGTTTGGCACTCCTGCCGCAGGAGGGATTCCGGTGACTGATGAGCAAGGTGGTGAGAATCTGGCGCTCTTCTCGCGCGATGAGGAGGAGGCACCTCCAGCAGACGGCCGCCCGCCTTTGCAAGGTCATTTACACCAAACATCTCTTTGATTTTCGCTTCTACAGCATCATCGCCGCAGCACTTGATGGAAAGATTTCTGCACAGAACTGACGGAAAGTGATGCTCTTCTGCGCAGATGTTGGCGTGAAGCAGCCGACCGCTCAGGGCACCTGGCTGTTCCCGGCACAGAACAAGCGCAATGCCCCGTCAAGGGCAAAGCTGCAGGCCGCTCAGCAGCCGCCGCAGCTGCCTCCACAGCGATGCCTGCTGGAATCGCTGGACTTTCAAGTTGGCGCTGCAGAAAAGGTCCCCGCTGCGCCACACGAGCATCACTCGCCAGCTCAGCATGACATGCCCCCACTGCCGCACATGGCAGTCAGCGCTGCAGCTGAGCTGCAGCTGCAGTCGCCCAGCCCTATTCCCCGTCACTCACCAGAGGTTCTCCCGGCAGACGACAGCATTGGCGTTTGGCAGGAGGATGTGCTGCCCTCAGAGGTCCAGGAGGACATCGGGGAGGTCGGAGGCCCGGCAGCTGCAAGTGGTGAGGATGGGGACGCCTCAAAGCCGGCAGCGGCATCAGTGGATGGCAGCTTGCCAGCAGACTCGCCTATGGAAGAGGCAGAGGCCGCCGAGGAGGCGCAGGAGCCTCCACCAGAGCCAGAGCAGCCTGCGGCGCGCGATCCGTATGAATTCGATACGGACGAGGACGCTGCCAGCGATGGGAGGGTGGAGCTGTACAAGAGTGCTCCGGCCCATGCAGCCAGGGAGGAGCCTGCCAGCGCTGCACAGCCAGAGCAGCCACAGGCAGCTCCGCCGGTGGGCGCAGCTACAGCGGCTCGGCGGAAGCCCAGCACATCGCCGTGCTACAGCGACGCATGCATGCAGGGTGCAGGCCAGGCGCTGACGCAGCTGGCCGACATCATCAACAGGCTGCCCAGCGAGGCCTCACCGGCTGAAGCTACAGATGCGGTGCCCTCCTGCAAAGGCGGCGCTGACAGGCATCGCCCCAGGAGAGCGCAGCCGCGCAGCGCAGCCCCTGCTGAAGCCGGCGTGCCCGCCTCTGGAGTCTCCACAAGGTCGGGACGGCGGCGGCATGAGTCTGGGGCGGGTGACGAGCTGCAGCACCCCAAGGGGAAAAGGCGCAAGGCGGAGGAACCAGCAGAAGCGGCAGATGCAGATGCGGTGCCCGGCCGTCACCTCCGGAGCGGCAAAGTTGTGGCAGAGAGCGCCGGTCCGGCCAGCGTCAGGAAGCGCAGGGAATCACAGGCAGGGCAGCCTGCGAGGGTGGCTGCAGCAGGCGAAGCCGCGGAGGCACCCAGTCGTCCCGCAACAAGGTCATCCAAGCAGCCGCTGGCCTCTCTGGCCTTGCCGCCAGCGGGGACGCCTGCAGGCCAGAAGCGGAAGGGGCAGCCTTCGCGTGCCACCCCCAAGCCGCGCCATTCCTCTCAGAAGCAGCAGGCAGAGAGCGGCCCAGAGCCCACTGCATGCCCTGAGGACGAGGCTGCAGGGCAAGGGTGTGCGAGCGGAGCAAGGCCGCAGCGAAAGCGGCAGACACCTCTCCGACTGGACGGGGCGGAGTATGAGCTGCCCAGCTTCATGGCAGGCCCAGCAACAGGCGCAGATGCTCCTTGTGGCAAGGAGAGCTCGCAGGAGGTCCCGGTCCTGACAGAGAACCGCTCGTCACAGCCATCGCAGACACTTCACAGCCTTCAGCCGGCTGCACGTCGTGAGGACAGCGCTGCGGCACAGCAACGTCCCAGCGCACTGCAGAATGTGCGACCGCAGCGCGACAGGCGCTTGTCAGCGCATCTGGGCAGCGGAGACTTTGAGCTGCCTGGTTTCATGGCAAGGCAAGCTATGGCGGCCAAGGCTGCGCATCCTGAGCAGCTGACAGAGGACAGGGTGGAGCCTGCTTCAGCACCAGACGGCGGTGCTGACACAGAGCACTGTCCAGATGCTGACCTTGAGGGAGCCGTGATGCCAGAGGTAGCACATGTGTCCGCCTCAGAAAGCGACGGCCCTGCACTGCATGGAGAGGCCGCCCAGGATAGCGGCTGCCATTGGGACACCATCGTGATGAGTCCGCTTGCCGAGGGTTCAGCTGCTCAAGGGCAGGAGCATGCAAACGCGGCTGTTCCACAGCAGCAGGAGCCTCCGTGTGAGGCGCAGCTTCCACCCCAGGAGCAGCCAGCAGTGGCCGGCAGCCAGCTGGGAACCCCGGCACAAGCGGACCCGGACCTCTTTGTGAGGCGCTCTACTCGTAAGCTTGGGGTGGTGGAGCACGAGCCGCTAGATTTTTTCACTCCAGCGCCACGGTCTTCCCGGCCCCGAGTGACCCTCGGCACAGCTGCCGCGCGCACATCTGGGTGCGCCCCGGCTTCTGCTGGAGGCCCTCGTTCAGCGGCGGCCGCTGAGGCCCAGACTCCTGCACCCTTCCGCAGCGAGCAGGTGAAGGCAGCAGCAGAGACCCTGTTGCAGCGGAAGAAGGCAAGAAAGCTGGCTCCTGGCTCCGCGGCGGCATGCAGTGCAGGGCAGGCTTCCAGCTGGGGAACTCAGGCAGATCAGCACTCTGAGGGTGAGCAGGCTACAGCAGAGGTATCATCAGGCATCCTGGAGGGCAAGGTGCAGCAGCAGAACAAGCGAGCTGGCGCCAGCCGACACAACTCCTGCAGCAAGATGACAGGTGTAGGGCAGGCGTCTGGCGATGCAGGGCGATGCAGAGCAAAGAGAGCCTGCAAGACTCCTAAGAGGCTGCAGGCTTCACCGTGAGATGTGCAGATCGTTAGCCGTGTGCACAGTGAAAGTTACCTGTGAAGTCCATTCTGTTTTGCTGCAAGTGCTACAGTATTAGACTTTCTTCCTGATGGCCGTTTAAAGCAACATGAGAGGTTCTGGAGATATTGATTTCAAGGGTGGACAGAATGGTGAGTAGGCATGCATGATAGCAGAAGACAGGCCCCGTCTTGCAGGGTGAGATGAAAGAGCGCAGCCCAGCCCTGATCCTGTATGTGTGCATTAGAAACAGTCGCAGGAATTTGCCATGTGCACAATTGCAAGCTATGATGAGTCTTCTGTGCTTCAATATACATCTACTCCAGTGTCAATGATGTGAGTGACGGCTTGAAACCTTTCAGAAGTGTGACAATTGCCAGCCTGACCAGTATGCTGTCTCTTTCTAATTTGGGCGCATTATGTCGCACAAGCTTCAGCTCGTAACAAGTACAAAAATGCGCATGCACTGCAGGCAGGCCCTCGCACCCAAGTCAACAATTGCATGCAACCGCGACCGATGCCTTGGCTCAAGAGCGCCAATCATGCCCTCTGACCACCCCCCTCTCTGCAGTATACCGGTGCAGTACACCGAAAGTCTCCACACCACCCTCAAAACACACTCTACACGGGCATCATCTTTTTACAGTGGGACTGCTGCCCAGAGCTGCCCCGGGCGCGGCGCCTCGCCAGGCTGTCTGCCCCTGCTGTGCCGGCCACGCAGCGGCTTTGGCGCTGCCTGCCATGGGGCTGGAGCCCTCCGACCTGCTTGTGCCGCCTGCATCTGACGTGTTCTGCCGCGCCCCAAGCGCTGCCTTTGCATCCGGCCTGCAAGCACGCGGATCTTGTCAAAACGCACAGTAGCACTGAACATGTGAAGAAGTTTGTGAAAATCCAGAAAGTAGGAGCAGGGGTTACAAGCAAATGCAGTGTCTAGAGTGTAGCATGGGATGGGATTGCACCTGCTGGGCCAGCCGGCAGGGCTGTTGCCGGCGCTCTGCAGGAGGCCTGCACTGTTTCCGGCCCACACACGCTTTGCGCCGGTGGCAGTCACGGGCGTGGACGCAGTAGAGAAGCTGGGCGAGGTGGGCTTGCTGTCCGCGACCGGCGTTTGCGCAGCCGACCCCGCTGGCGACTGGCCGCCGGGGTTTCCGCGTCTGGAGGCTTTGCGCGTCTTGACAGCCCCCAGCTGCGGGAAATCACCCTCGTTGCTCAGCGCGAATGCTGCCGGCGGAGGCGTCTGCGGCTGCTTCGGCAGCGCTGGCTGAGCAGCCGGTTGAGATGCCTCCTGCGCCCCCTTCGGCCGGCCACCATCGGCCGAGGCATCCGCCCGTGAGCGCCCCTGCGCACCTGCTCCGGATGCAGAGCGGTGGGATGCTGGTGGAGAGCTCCCAGGATGCAAGGGACCCTTGGGGCTGCCAGCAGCTACGCATCTGCTGGCCGCTGACGGCGGCGACAGGGACTGGCCGGAGACAGGGGAGCGCTGCGGCCGGCTGAGCCCCAGGAGCGCACTCGAGTAAGGGCCCAGCTGCGCTTTGGTGGGCGTCGTCGGAGCCGGCCCCGGTTGATGCTGCGTCGATTCCGCCTGTTGCTGTTGCTGCTGCTGTAGGTGCTGCTGCGGTTGCTGCTCCGCGCCCCTCTGGCGACTGGGACCCTGCCGCACGGCATCTGCCAGCGTCCTGACTGGCTGCGGCTGACCCTGCGCCGCCGCATGCCCGTCCGGCTCTATGCACGTGGCGGACGAGGCCTCCACAGGCCTGTGGTGTCCAATGCTGGGCGTCCTGGGCTCCTGCGCTGAGCCTGAGCTGACCCGGCTGCTGCTCTGGGCTGCCTCCGGCTCCGGCTCGACCGGACCCTTTGCCCCGGAAGCCCTGTCTGAGATGTCTGCCGCCTCTGTCGGGGCACCAGCCCGCGCTTGCGCAGTCGTAACCCCGGTAGCAGGAGCCGCCGTGCTGACAGACAGGGGCGGAGTGAGCACTGTCGGCCGCGGCTGCTGGCCGAGGCCGGCCGGGCCCGCCGCTCTGGCGGCCTCGGCTGCGGCGTGCGCGCGAATGTGGCGCATGTCCAGGTTGTCAGCCGAATTGGACCTGGCAGGCGCTCGGGGCCTGTTGTTCGTGACCGCGTTGTCCTTCCTGGTACCTGCCGTCCCCCGTTGGTGCCGCGCGCCGTGCCCCTGGCCTGGCCTGTGCTGGTCGAGGCCAAGCTGCGAGCGTGACGTTCTGCGCGATGTACACAGCAATGGCAATCGCATAAGATTGACAAGATTCCAGTGGGCACTGTGTTGCCAAATATGTCCTCTTCAGATTATGACCACTGCTTCTTGATAATCACTATAAGGCCGCAGCCACAGGAACAAGGATTGGAAGGGCACACACCTGAGATGTGCCGGCTGATGCTGCTGTGGGTTGGGATGCCCTTCTTGGGGCTGCTGCTCCGCCACGGCCGGCGCGCTGTCCTGCGACGTGACAAAGGTGTGGCAGCGGCGAGCGACGGTGAGGTGCTGCGACAGCGTGAACAGGTCGCCCTCCAGCAGGTCCTTGGCCGGTGAGGCCTCGGCCGGGGCCGCGGCCGGTGCCGCTCCCTCGACCGCACTGCTCTGGGGAGCTGGCCTCTGGTACATGAGCCCTGCGCACAGCGCAACGGCCATCAATTTGTGGATTGCTCAAAACGAGGTTCAAAGCTTGAAGGCGCAAAGTTGCCCGGAGTGTGCTGGTGAATTCCCACCAGCTGAAGCGGGGAGGATGGGGGGCTGCTGCTGGTAGATGCGGCCGTTGGGCAGGCTGAGGGTGGGCCCAAAGGTGGGCACTGATGTGGGGTGGAAGCGCATGTGGAGGCTGCCGGGCTGCAAGGGGACCGGGTAGGCCATGCCGTGTAGCGCATACGCGTACATCGGCAGCAGCATCTGCTCCTGGCCCGTCAGCGGCATGCTGACCAGGCCATTACTCCTCAGAGGGCCCTCGTAGTGCCCCTGCACACATGCACTCTGCTCTTCACCCTTTATATTTATCATGACCGAGCCCTCTTCGTACCATAGCCCTGCTCTCACAAGCAGTAGTCTGCATCCATAGCCCAATTCTGTACGTGACAGCACATGCATACAAAGCCACCAACGCACAGGGAAATCAAGCACACCTGATGAGGGGTGCCATTGTCGCGCTTATGGTGGCCGCCGTGGCCTCCAGGATCGAGGCCGTTGGGGCCAGCACGGCCGCTGTTGGACCTGCGCAGCTCTGCGCCGCCTCCGTTGGCCAGCACGCTCTGGGGATGCCCCGTCCCCGACGGACCCCGCGCCCTCGCCTCACCCCCTGCAGGAACTGCAGCCCAACCACATCCGCCTTCAACACTGACGAGGGAAGGCCGTTTGGCACGGGCGCGATCTGCCAAGTAACAAACACCTAGAGGTTGCATTGCAGAAGGACTCACCTGGGAAGGGGCCTGGAGGCTCGCTGCTGGCGCTGATGTTGCTGGCGCTGCTGTGCGGCCGCTCCGGCAGGGGCCCGCTGAAGGCTCGCCCTGCACCGCCCAGGTCCACAGCTGCATTGACAACACATGTCCATATTTCACACACCGCTAGAGCTTGTCCCCTGCAGCTCTTTGCATCAGAAAGAAGTGCTCTTTCTACAATCAGAGTACTGCCTTTGTAGGCTTCCCAGTGTCACTGCAATAAGCATGCACCTCGCCATAGAAGAGGCTCAAAAAGATTTGCAAAAGGCTCTCACACCTCCGTTGCCGTTGCTGTCATGCATGTTGGCGGCTGCAGAGGCGGGCGCGTAGGCCATGAGGTAGGCGGGGTGGAAGGCGTGGGATTCGGCGGAGCGCGGCTGGCTGGGCACGGGCGACATTGCCGCAGGCACCATGAGCGGGCGGCAGAATGCGGGCACATGCGCCAGAAGGGCGTCCGGGTGCAGGCGGCCCAGCGAGGGCAACTGCGTGCGCTGCGCATTCCAGGTGTTGCGAAAGAAGCCGTCCACCGCCTCTGTCGCTTCCTGCCCCACCTGCTCACATCGGGTGCCTTTGAAAACTCTGCAAGGAATGCAGAAATGCTCCACAAGACAGCATGCCCTGTCGCTATCTTCCCCCGTCTTTCTGACAGTCTGACATGCGCCAAGTGAGGGACCAGTGGGACATGGGGGCGCATGCGGACCTTGTCAAAGATGGAGTCGAGCATGTGACAGCCGTGGGCAAGGGCCTTGCGGATGCGGGCCTTGCTGGCCTTGTTCACAGAGCGGCCCAGGTTGTTGGTGGGCAGCAGGGGGTCCATGATGTTCATGTTTTTGATTGTGAAGGCCTTCCCCGGCCCCTGCTGCACAGGGCTGTACATCTCCAGCATCGTCTTGAGCACATCCCCTCTCAGCAGCGCCCCCCCTTCCGCGCCAGCAACTGGCTCAACTGCGCACAGCCAGGACAAACTCTTCTTGCGCTATGGAAGCATTTGTATGCAGCAATAATCCTGTTCTGCCAAGCCCACCAGTCAAGGCAGTCTCCAATGTGACATAAACTTTTAGAGGAGGCAAAATTGCTCAGGATTCAAGGAGTGCATGAAAAGCACCTTGAGGGTCGGGAAAGGATGAGAGCGGGATGGGGCCTTGCAAACTCAGTGCGTGGCCGTCCCAGTCGAACTTGCTGAAGACAACCAGGAACTTGCGCAGGACCTGCCGGCAAAAGGTGGACACGTCGCTCAGTGTGTTTGCCTCAATGTAAAACAGCTACATGGAAAGCAAGATGGGTTTGATGCGGACCTTGAGAGGGGACTGCAGCTCATGGTGGTACATATTGAAGATGTACAGAACCATTGTCTCCAAGGCATATGTCGATAAGAGACCGTGGTGAGCTCCCAGCAGGCGGCTCTCGTAGTAGCACCAGGCCTTCACCTGAAGCAGCATGCTGTATTAGCGTAGTGCGCCTCAAAGGCAGCGGACAGTGGGTAATTTGAGGCTGACAGAAACGAACATGGGAATCCAAATGCAAGCTGCAGCGGGTAAACACACCAAGATGACGCTGCGTTTGAAGAGGTGCTGTTTTCCTATGTGCCTGTCGATAGACTCCAGGAATGCAACAGTGCATAGGCCGCCCAACGTGTCAAAAGAGATGTCCACCACAATATTGTCCACAAGGCATTTCAAAAGCTTCACCTGGAACAAACAACAGCAAGCTATCAGAAGCCTATGAAAACTTGGGAAGCTTTGCAATCCACAGACAAGCTTTCACGCTCCCTATGCAAAGCTTCTGGACTGCCTGCTGACTGAGACGTGCCAGACCTCTGCATTGATGATCTGGACATCCTTGACTCTGTGAGGGTTGAGAGCATTGCGTCCCTCTGCCTCAAGCAAAGCACTCAGCTCATAAGTCCAGACGTCACGCAGTCGTGGCCCCTTTCCTTGGAACACCGCCAGGTCGATGTCCCCATCCGGCAGATAAGTTTTCAATGGTACAGAACCAAACATGTATGCTTCCACCTGTAACATGGTTATTGATCAAAATCTGACATTGGAGACTTGCGAGAAGACCTCTGTAGGAAAGGCAATGCATGCGAACACACCTGTTGTGCTGGAAGGAAACATCTTTTTATCAAGTCTTTAACGTAATTTCCCACTTCCTTTCTTCTCCTGTCCGAGAGATGATTAGGCTTAATTCTCTGAACCAATTCTTCCACTCGTTCCTCAAGGGAAACCAAGTTCTGGGGAGCCTCTGCCTTCAGACTTGCAGAACGGCGTGGCGCCTGCATGCCCTAGGAACAGACTCCTCTTATCGAGTCTGATAAATTCCGTACGACTCTTCGTCACTCATGAGCGTGAGTACTGAATACTGGACAGAGGCATGCAGCAATCAGGCCAGATGGCTTCCTAGGGTCCAGGACCTCCTTCCCTTGAAATATGAATTTCAAACCCTAGGCCTTCAGCTATCTCGAGAGAGAAGGCAATTCAGATCAATCTTGGCCCTGGAGGTAATATTAATAACATAAATATTATGCAGCAATGTAGGAGTTGACTTTACCTTCTTTCTGCTTGCATGCCAATCACTTGTGCCAGACAAACATCTCCACCTAGACTCGAGCTTTCCTTTGGATCCAATATATTCATCCTCGTCTACGCGTCACTCAACGTGTCAGAATGCAGTCTAGATTGAAATCTGCGGCTAAGCTGTCTAGCACGCTGTCAGGTCTGAAATTTGATAAATTTGCAGAAGGTCATGCCTCCCCTGAGTTCCTCAACAGCATTTGATCTATCTCCTTCTTGCAGGGTGTTCCGCATCATGGTCATCACTATTGATACAGACGACTCAGAGAAGCTTGCACAATGACTATAGAGGCACCACTGTTCTCTCAGTTCGTAAGGGTGACCAGGTGAGGCATCTTGGGCTATGCGATGTTCCTGGAAGGACACTGGGCCCTTCTTTTATATTTACTAACTGGCTGGCTGCAGGTAATCATCATGGCAGATGGACAGGTGACGAGAAATTCAGAGATCATCAAGCCCAATGTGAGGAAGGTCCGCAGCATGTTTGATGGCAAAGTGATTGGCGGGTTTGCAGGTAAGTGGCTGACCAGATTGGCGGGAAGCTGCGTAAGAGAATCTTCAAAGGTTTTTGGATGTGAAGAGGCACACTCTGACATGAACATATATTCTGCAGGTGCAACAGCTGATGCATTCACCTTGTTTGAGCGTCTAGAGACTCAACTGGAGACAAATTCTGGTGATTATCTGGCCTAGCTCTAGGCCACAACGTTGATGAATGGCAGGCATGTACTCTGATACATCCAAATGCTGAAATTCTGTGAGGATCATCAGGCCTTCCCAATGTTTTGCAGGCCAGCTCAAACGCGCTGCTGTGGAGCTCGCAAAACTATGGCGGCTCGACAAGTATCTTCGCAAGCTTGACGTACGGACCCCTTGAATTTGGTGGGCTGCTTATTGGTGTGGAAGAACTCTTCCTTGGCTCTCATTATCAAGATGCCTGCTGCCATGTGCCAGGCAACGATGATTGTAGCGGATGCGAAGGAGTCCCTCACAATCACAGGAAATGGGGATGTTGTGGAGCCACACGATGGGGTCATAGGTGCGCAGCACAGCAACATGCATTTTGTCATGCTGCTCAACAAAGCATGTGCACTTGATGCTGGCCATATTTGAGACTCTCATGCGTTTGCTGGACATGCAAGCTCTTCAGACCGTTTGTTGTCATACAGCCATTGGCTCTGGTGGACCATATGCCCTGGCTGCAGCTCGAGCACTGATTGACCTTCCTGACTACGATGCAAAGGCGATAGGTAACAAATCACTGGGCAACCCACTGTGGTGTGACACATCTGAGCATATGGAGGACTGCAGAACATTACATATGGTGGACGGACCCTATCAATCTGACCCCATTGCTCTCTACAATTCACTGAGAGCTCTCTCTTGTCTGCGTGCAGCTGATAAGGCGATGAACATTGCGGCAGACACATGCATTTACACCAATCACAATTTCACCTTTTTGACGCTGAAGGCCGACAGCCCCAGCTCTTGACCAGTCACAGCCAGCAACGCATTGTGCAAAGACTCGGCAGTTCCGCAGTATGCCTGGTGAGGGAGAGCGACTGTTGTTGGGATGCCCATATCTGATGTCTAGATCATCAACAATTTGATATTGTACTTCAATATTCGGCACTTGTTGAGCATTGCAGCTATCATCGAGCTCTGGTCTGCTCATGTGCCCGCAATGCTTGTCTTCTCAAATACTGGAGTGCAGCTCCTGTACTGTTATCACCTAGCAAATGCTCGTGATCTTGTCTGTTAGCATCATTTTGACCCAGTAATATTCTGCACCACAGCCAAGCTGTATGTTGGTCCTGCACACACAGTAAAATAAGATTTTAAAGATATACTTTGCCATGATTGTGCTAGCAGCACAGCCGCAGAGTGCACCTCATGCGCGTAATGCCGTGTGTTGACATGTGACGCACATGCTGCTTTAGTAAATTAGTTTTTCCAGGCCAGTCTGCCAAGTTTTAGGAAACCTCATTGCAGCGGTAGGGGATGGCAGACGCACTCGTGAATATGATAATTTCGTGTATCTGAGACCGCACTCTCAAGAACTGCAGGGAATCCTACATATGCATTACATGCACGCGTTTGAGTCAATGCTGCTTCTCAAGTTTCCCTGGTATCCGCCCCAGGAAATTAGGTGATGATCATGATATTTATGTTGATTATGGTGTGTCTTAACAAAGCTTAGATGAGCGTATATACCTCGGGGTCCAAATCTCTGACAAACTTCTGGCCGAGATAAGAAATGTCAGGAAGAAGCCCTGCATACTTCTTTGCAGGTTCTGGCTGCAAATGCACACATGGGGTTGGATCAGTTTTCTGATGGCACAGATCATGATCAGGTGATAAGAATCAAAATGCACTTGGCAAGGATTAAAGCAGCAAAATTGAGCTGGACTACCTCGAAGCTTGTTTTCAGAATGGCTCCTTCATTATTGAAAACAATATATCCGACGACACCCTGCATTGTAGAGTAAAATATCCAGGCTTATGCCCGTCCTATGCTCGAACCAAATGTGATGCTCAACGTTTAAATAAAGAACTGCTACTCACCTTTCGTTGCAGGACGGTCTGCAGAGCTGTATCAATACCCACCTAGCATAAAATGAGTTATGTCAAGGCCATTGGCGTGTTTATTCTTTGATCTGTAAGTGCTTGCGAGAGAATCCCGTTCGTGCGGTTACTTACCGTTGGAGAAGGTAGTTCCACCATCTTAGCTGACGCCAGGAAAGAGCTTCAGATTGAGCTGATATTTACAAGATCCAATGAAACCGGCATTTGTTGCGATGTACCTCGTCATCGCAGAGGTAACGCTCCTAAAAATTTCCCCTTCGAGTTTTTTTGAGCTTGTGAGATTTTGTCCTTATGACATGCATTGTCGCCGAAATGAGGAAGATCTTGCATTTACTTCATGCCTCTGTCTTCTCCTGTCCAGCTTTCCTCTTGAGGAATGGTTTCTTTTCACCCAGCTTCTTAAGTCCACCTTGGTCAGGTCCCTGCTGCTAATAATAAAGACATGACATCCCCCCATCAGAAATTGCTACTTTGCAGCTTAGGAGTCTCTCATGCAGATACAATCAATACATCCGATGAATCTGAATTGAGGCATTTGATTGTCTGGCTTGAGCATAAGGCGGTATGGGCCCATATCTTCTTGAAATGTCTGCTACTAAAAGGCCAAGCGAACTGTGGCTAACGTTTGTTGAGTTGCACAGATCAGACAGTACCGTCCAGAAGATCGTGGTTCAATTTCCGACACGAAATCAGAGAGGTGGCCGGTAGCTTTTGTGAAGGTGGGTTAGCAGCTACATCTAGCTACCTTCATAATGCTCTGGCTTTTTGTCAAAGTGTGTCTCCGTTTATCGAAAGGGCATACTGACATGGCAAATCTCTTTTGCAGTATTTAAACGACCTGGAATGCCCGGTGGAGCATACTAGTACTGACGCAGCTCTGCAGAGCCATGCTGTCGTTGATTGGCTGCTGCGCTACGCTGTGGACCTGATGCATGGTGACAGAGGTACATCTGAATGCAAGATTCAACATCACTATCTTTTATGTCACCATACATCACTGAAATTGCCACGTGCAAACGCAGCAAAAGAGCTCGGGCCATTAAGCTTGAGCGCCAGCAGACAGTGTCTTGTGGAAGAGTTGGACAAGCAGCCTGCAGAGGATGTCATCTTCTTGGATGGTGCGACACATGCATACCCCCCCTGCATGCCTCTTGAGTAGCTGAGAACATGCGGTCCTTCTTGTTGCAGTTTGCCAAGCATCTAAGTCCTTCCAGCAAATGTGGGTTGCAGTTGGACAGCCAGAGGTGAAGGCAGCAATGCAGGTCCTGCTCAAGCATTTGGGCCTGGAAAACTCAGAAGGTAGTCTGGCACAGAAACTCGCATCAGCCAAGCAGATTCTTGCCCAAACCATCATCCCAGCGGTGAGGGACATTGAGCTGCGAAAGGGCCCCGGCAGCCCAGCCTTCCTGGACATGAGCAGTTATCCGCTTGGCTTTTCAATGGGAGGTATACGCACTACTATTCCTAGGCTCACATGTCGGAATAGTTTCCTGCCAATATAAACGGCTGCGTTGTCAAATCTGTGCCTTTGCTTTCCTTTGCATCACACTAGATAGCATAAAGTTGTTGCCGTCTGCAGATGAGAAGACCGATTTAGCTGCAAAGATCCTACGCATGCTGTACATCAAAGATCTGCGTGCACTGCAGACGCAGATTGATGACATGATCGTGCAGATCCAGGTATGCCTCCTGGCACCATTGAGATCATAGTTGAGCCTTGCATGCTTGAGACTTGCATGTCACCGAGTACCAAGGCATAAGCTTTGTGTCTTTTTGCAGGAATTCACAGCCAATCCCCGCATTGTTGCCAGCCTCGGAGTTGTTGGTCGATGATGTGAAGGGATCTGTTGTGCATCATCTTTGTACCAAGAGTGCCTTCCGCTGGGGATTGGAAGTTTTCCTGAGAGTGGCTATACACTTAATTAACTGCTTTTGCTCTAGCCTTGGGTCTCAGGGCCCTGAGGGCTGCCCTCATTTGAATTAAAAGCTAGGTTTTCCCTGCGCAGCATTGTATCAGTGCAGTAATACTGCAGCGCTTCAATGTGAATAGGTGTTGCATGTCTCTTGGACATGAGTGATGGGCGCTTGTAGGCAGACAAGTGCGACAAACAACTGTGTCATATAGGCATCTTCTCTGGTTGACTTCATCATTAGATCAATGCAATCCTGCAATGTCTTCAGGCGCATGGTTACATGCTCATGCTTCTGTGTACGTGTATAGAACTACCTATGGAAATACAATCTCCTCTCAAAACAAAATGCTTCATTCACGTGTGAGCATTTCATCAGCATGCATGCGGAAACTCTGCCCTGTACAGGTGTCTTATAAGACACCAAAGCTCCCTTGACAAACTTCAAGCATGCCAAGCACAGATCAATTCCTGCCACGTACCCCTCAATCCTCTTCATCTGAGTCCCCAAAGATGTTGCTAATTCGCGCGCGCTTTGCTCCCTGCTCCTCAGCATCGTCATCCACTTCATCCTGTTTCAAAGCAGCACAGAAGTTCACACATCTTGCTGTGGGAGCTACTTTCTACTCACCGGAGACAGTACCTGGTAAATTGGCAGTGTAACAGCAGCCAGGTTCTCAAAACGTCAATCAAGTGGTCGGTCATTTCGTAAGACAGATGATTGGATCAATTGCTGCTGGAAACACACCTGGAAGCCTGGCACAGCCTCGTCCAAGTCATCATCCTCCAGCCCATCGGCCTGCTGCTCTTCACTGCCCTCCGCCCTTTGCCGCTTCAGCAGGCGCCCTCTGCCGCCAGGGCTCTGCATCTCGGCTGCCTCACCACTCCCATTTGCAGCCGCCCTGCCTGCATCCCTGCCTTCACCCTCCCCAGCATCAGGCTCAGCTTTGTCTCCGGCTGCGTCCTCTCCTTCCTCCTGGTACTCCTCCTCATCACTGCTCTCCAGCCCTGCATGCAGATGGTCACATCGATCACGTGTAAGTGTCTGTTGAAGAAAGTCTTATTCCTTTCATAAAAAAAGAGCGCGTATTACGGCATGCCGCAGAGAAGCAATGAAGCTGCTGATGCATGGCACACTGACCAGATATCATGCAAGATGAACACCTCAACTGCTGCCATGATGTCTCACTCCACTGTTGCTCTGTGAAACATCTGAGTGGCTCATTGCACAGTGAGGCCATTGGAAGTTCTGGGGGAGAAGTGGGGCATGGAGCCCCAGGAAGGGGCCGCACCGGTGCCGGCGAGGCGCGAGTCCTGCCCCTGGGGCACCTGGTAGTCCTCCTCGTCCTCGTTCTCCAGGTAGAACTGGGCCTCCTCTGCGGCCGCCTTGCTCTTCTTCCTCCTCTTGTCCGCCTTGCCCGCATCGCCCTGCTCCGCTGCCTGCACGCGCACCCCACCTGTCGCGCTGCTGCGCCGTTCCGGACCAGCAAATACCTTGCATTCACGCAGCCAAAAATTCCATGCATGAGGGCCAACATAGGCCTAGCGCATGCAGTGAGGGTTGGCATAAATGATTGCCGTGCCTGCTGCAGAGCGTGGGTCTCGGCCCAGCCGGCGCGCATGCGATCGAGATTGGCGGCGGATTCGCGCGCCCTGCGGTTGTCCTCGGCCTCGCGGCGTTCGTCCTCGATGCGCGTGCGCTCAGCCGCCACCTCCCGCTGCCGCTTCGCCGCCTCGAGCCGCAGCCGACTCTCCTCCCGCTTCGCCACTTGCACCGCCGCCTCCGCCCTCGCCTGCAGCGCCGAGAGCCACAATGGACTTCGAACAGTTCACTCCCATCCCCCACATGCTGTCCACATCCCAGCATGCAAGCTAGCACACTGGGTATGCAGGTGCAAACTGTTACATGCCGGCTGAAGACTAGACACCGGAAGAAATACGCGTCAGGGTGCAGTCGGTACGGCAGGAGCGGTGGGGACTGGCACCTGTTGCTGGTAGGCCACCGCCTTGCCGTGGGTCTGGACGCAAAAGTCGATGTGCTCGCGGAGCTTCTTGGGGTCGATGCCCGTCTTGTGGTGGCCCAGGTTGTTCAGCTGCTCGAAGAAGCGGTGCGCCTGCAGCAGGTCCATTACTGCAGCATCAAACTCGTCCAGCTTGCTGAGGTCCCCCTCCACGCGAGTCTCCTTCAGGAGGCACACTGCGTAGTTCTGCGCCCACACACATCAACCCAGCATCAATCACAGAGCAAAACCCTGACATGAACGATGCACTTACAGAGAATTGATACTATTAACCCCTTAATATTTCTGAGATATGTCAAGCAACCCCTGTACTGTTTCTCTCCACCCTTCTCGGTCCCTGTAAATGTTTCCAGAATTGTGATCATGATCTACAGCTTGAGGTGATGAGAACTACTGCACTCCATCAACTCATCCGGAGTAATTATGGCCTGCGTGGATGATGGGATTGTCATGCAAGACTATGCAGGAAGCCTGGGAGGGCACCTGCATGGTGAGAGCGATGTTGAAGAGCAGGCGGTGGTCGCTGGGGGCCACATGCACCGCCTTCAACAGCACCGTCCGTGCGATTTTCAGCTCGGTGGCATCATAGTACGCGCGAGCCAGATACAGCTGCAGCGTCGCGTGGCTGCCATGGAAGTACTTTCGTAACACAGAATTGTACACCTGGCAGGAACACACAGGTTTTTCTCAGTATTTACACAATTTTTCTGGCATCATGCATGCATGTTCCCATGCGATTCTCTCTGGTACATGCTCCCGGCGATGGAGGCAGTGAAAGTTGTATAGGGCAGCATAAAGCACCTGTATGGCCAGCTTAGGCTTGCCCAGTGCCAGGAAGAGGTTGCCCATGTTAATGGGCGCGTCCGGCATCCGCAGGAATCCCTCGGAAGCAGCTACTGCCTCTTGCACCTGTCCACCAGTAGGAACGGCTGAGAAGGTTGACCATCGTTCGAGCTTCTTCACATTACCACCAAACATAAAAAGGACAATCACAGTATGAGGAATATCACAGTGAGAATTTTCGCACCTGTGTGAGGATGTTGTGGGCCAGCTCAATGTCGCCCTGCTCTGCTAGAACGGCAGCAATACCATTGGCGGCATACACGTTTGCATGGTTCCTTTCAAGCACGTGCTTGAAGAAGCTCATCGCTCTCCCATACAGCTTCTGTGCCTTCTCAAGATCTTCTCCCTGCGTGACACAGGACAAAATATCCTGCCTCCTGGCTGCCCTCTACCAGGTGAGACTGGGCGGTTCAGAGCCTTCAAGCAAGGGCAACATTCCGCTGCAGGCAACCTCCATTGCTGCCATGCATGGAGGGAACACGTCAATCACCTTGAGTCTCCGATGCGAGGGAGCTGAGGCAAAGTTGAGGCAGGCGAGGCCCAGCCAGCCATAGGCGTCGTTCTTGGCGGATGGCTCCTTGATCAGCGCCTGGAACGCATCCTCAGCCCTCTTGAAATCTCTGGCTTCCAAGTGCAACCAACCTGACCACCACCAGACCACATCCCTCAGCCAACACTCCACCAGATTGTCCACGGCCCAAAGAAGACACCATGACGGCATTGCACACGAGAAGATCATTCTCAGCAAAGAGAATCCGCAATGTCTCGCACCTTGCATGGCCAGGGCGTCGGGCAGGCCGGGCTTGGCTTCCAGGGCCTTCTGCGTCAACTTCAGCGCGCCAGCGAGGTCCCCCCGGTGCTTGGCGATGCAGGCCAGGCGCAGGTGGCAGTCGGTGTAGGCAGGGAACGCGTCCAGCATGGCGCGGTAGCTGCGCGCAGCAGCCTGCGTGTCGCCCGCGGCCTCCTGCACGCGCGCCTGGTTGAATCCCAGCGTCACGTTTGCGCTCGCCGGCAGCGCCCCGCTCGTGTCCTCTTTGGCCGCCTGCGTGTGAAACCACCACCTCCTCAACAAGAGCACTTTTAATTACTTATTTACTTAAGGACCCAGCATGCTTGGGAAACAGTGGTGCCAACACAGTACGGAGTGGCGGCCGCCTGCATGGTGAACTTGGGGTAACGAGGACTGAACCAATGTCGGAGTGTCACACAGGAGGAGGGAGTGAGTGGGTGCTTGCCTGCAGTGCCTTCTGCATGAGGTCCAGGGCTGCAGTCGCTTCCCCGCCGCGCATATGCAGCACGGCAGCGTTGTTCAGCAGCTTGGCTGGCAGCGGATCTAGCCTGCTGGCTGCCTCCTCCTCCGCCTTGTCATCGTCCTGCAGATGTGTATAATCTGTAAGAGGGGCTTGTCACAGGACAAGGTCCTATATCAGCCAAACTTGCTCAGGTGGGAAGGACATTGGTGTGGCAGGTGCCACCTGGTCAAGCACAAACCTCAAGGTCATGGGCTTGGCCGCCGTTTTCGAGCGAGGTGGCCCTGTTGCGTGCTCGGATTGCCCTTGCTCGTTGCAGGGCGCGCAGCCTGGCTTCCCTGTCCTTCTGTGCTGCCTCTCTGTACAGCTGCAGGCTGCGCTTGTACGCTCTCAGAGAACCTGTACACCAAGCACAGTATTCTTGAGAACCCTTCTAATTCAAATATGCCAACGCTCCACATGCATATGTACCATGCCCTCTGAATGTCATATCATCTTCACAAGCTCCTCACTAACCATAAGAAAAGCAGCCTGATCAGCCAAGGATGGATTGGGTACAGAGGCAAGGGCGGACCAGGTGGGTCGATGGGTGCCAGCAGTTCGCCGAGCATCTCCCACACGGAGCCGGAGGTTGAGTTGGCCTCGGTAGCGTCCCGGAAGTGGTCTATGGCGGCCTGGCCCTTGCGCTCGGCCTGCGGGTAGAGCTGGCCCACCATGTGCAGCGCGTCCGGCCAGCCCGGCACCAGCGCCAGAGCGCTCTCCAGCAGGCTGATCGCATTGGTCTGCTCGCGCTGCCGCACCATGATTTGCGCCAGACCGTACAGGGGCAGCGGCAGCTTCGGGTCGAGCTTTGACGCCTGCAGTGCCACTCCACCTCTTCAGACGGCAGCCCTCCATGCATCCCCACAACAATGAAGACTGCGCTCGCAATGCCATTTGCAGCTTGACCGAGGCCAGACATTCTCCTTCCGCCGTGGCCAGAGGCGGCAACAGGGCACACCAAATTTATTGTATGGCAGAATGAGTCTGGAATGGGAGGAAAGGCTGTAGACCTGCTGGTAGGAGCGGTACGCGAGGTTGTAGTTGCCCTCTGCATGGTGCGCCCTGGCCTGCAGCGTGAGCGCGAGAGCACGAGCGCCCGCGGACTCGGACGCCGCATGCGCGGCCGTTGCCAGCTCCCGGGCGCGCTGCCAGTCGCCGCGCTGGATGCAGAAGCGCGCCAGCAGTGACAGCACCCCCGGCTGCCCCGGGTCCGCATCGTACGCGCGGCACAGCAGATCCAACCCCTCCCGAAACCCCCTGGACAGGATTAATCCATCGCAGTCATAACAGATTTGTTGCCTAAGAATGTCACAGGAGAACGACCTGTTCGAGGGTTCCTTTGCCGCCCCCTAAAAGACTCCCATGCCAAGGTCACCCACTGACTTGTATCCTTCCAATGTTGCTTCTTCACTCGATCGGCTGCATATGCTTCCATTCGATCTGAACCTTCAAGGAAAAGCAGGTTCTCACTTCTCGGTGTCCCTGGAATTAAAGGCGATGACGGCGAGGCCGAGGAGCGCCTCGCCGCAGCTGGGCAGCAGGTCCAGCGTGCGCTCGTAGGCGGCCTTGGCCAGCTTACACTGGCCCAGCCTGAACAGGCACGCAGCCAGCCCCAGCCGCACCTCAGGCGGTGCCCCCGGGTGTTCCTTGAGGGCCCTGCGGTACAGACCAAGCGCCGGGCTGTACTGGCCCTGCTGGAAGTGCACGTTCGCCAGCGCCAGCGTGCCGGCTATGTTTACCCGGCCGTTGCACTGAGCCGCCGCTGCGCTTGTAAAATGGACCTTTGCCGACTGCATGTCGCCCTGCACGCAACATGTATTCCTCTTTGGGGCACGAGATAATGATGGGTCTCCTTGAGGTCGACAGGAAGCGCCAGAGTGCATTGCAAAGAGGACAGGGTCAACCGCAGGGAGCGCACTCGAGCCATTTCCAGCTGCCCAAGGCCCAAGAATGGAAGCTGGTCATCGTAATCAATCTGGCGAGCCGTCCCCAGGAGCTGGGCAGCCTTTGCAAAGTGATCGGCGCGGGCATTCCTGTCCCGCTGCGTGCGGCCCTCTGCTGTGTAGTATGCAGCAAGTGCGCAGAATATCTGTAATCGCTCAAACTTGGCACCTTGGAAGTAGTCTGCGACCTCCTTACTGGTACCTTCGTTTAAGATATAGAGGTACTGCTTCATCATGCCCTGCATGCACCAAGCTGCGGTCAGCTTTGTGTCCACTGTGACAGCTGATACAGAGGCCAGCCAGAAGGACGAAGCCCAGACCTGTGCAAGGTACGCCTTGGCAAAGTCGATCCATAGGGATAGAGGTGCCTCCTCTGCTCTCAACACATCCAAAAGATCTTCCACTTCGTCGGGCAGATCATCCACAGGCACAGCCACGGTTTCGTCAGTCGATGCGACAGGGATGAAGAGGTGGTACTCGTTGCTAGGCGCATCAAAGGAGGACATCCTAAAGAGCGTCTACCACTGGGTTGCACCGCTGATCCGTTCACAAGCGCCAAAGAAGGATTTTGATGCACAATGGTGTTTAGAAATCCGACTCTGGCTTATCAAATCTGACACTGTTGGAACGCAGTCGAACAACACTTTTCCTCTATGACAAGAAAGATTCGTGGAAAACTGAGAGTGGGATTTGGCATTTCTATATGGCGAAGTTTGCACCTGGGTCAGCCAGTGGGTGGAGTGCATGGGTGGCATGGGACTAGTCCTGCCGGCACATGTCTCATACGGCGTTTCGTCCAGCGCCAAATTTCTAAGCTGTGTTTTGCATAATTTCTTCAATTGTGCACTCGAGCTCAGCTTCATGGCTCATTCTTGTTGGTGAGCGTGGAAAGGGCACGATGCCGAGGTGCACTCGGAGCCTGGCTCGGCTGCACCCCGCTGGTGCCTACGATGGTCACGAAGCTGGATTGCTGGGCTCATTTTGGCAGAGTTTGTCCTTGCCGCAGCGACGAGAGCTCTTGCGAGTGGACAAAAAGACCTTGTTCCAGACGATCAGGGCGCAGTACTGCAGCAGATGCTTTGGTCTGTTTGTGCTGCGTTTTGAGGAATTGCGGGGAGCTGCGCCCGTAGAATGTCAAGCCTGTGCAACGTTCTATGTGGGTCTGGTGGTGGAGAACGGACAGACGCTCACCCTGGAGGAGAGCATCCTTGAGGACCAGCCCTTCAGGAACTTTGCAGACGCCAAGGCGAGGGAGCGGGAACGAGAGCTGCAGTTTATGAGTGGAGGGATTTGCGGGAATGGCTGGACTCGGACACCTGGCAACACAATGTGCAACCTGCACACTTCCAGCGTGCGTCCATTAGTTCTAGATGTCCTCAAGAACTTCAACATATCCAAGTTTCTCTTTGGAAGTATACAAATATTCGGCATCTTTGCAGATACTTTGCTGATCAGTGACTTATAATTTCACTTTAAACAGCACCTCTTTAAACCCTTTTTTCTGGAACTATGCCTTCCTTTGAATTTAATTGACATGCTAACGGAGGTAGCATTTTGCTATGGCATTGCCTGATCCCCTTGCCCTGCCACAGGGCTTGTTATTTTGGCCCAAAATCCTTTGCAACCTCGAACATATTTTGGGGTTGTGTTATTAATACTCTCCGATGGCAGTTCTCCCCTGTTGAAATCAGCAGCCGTACATGTCCAGAGCATGGTCTGCAACCTTTGCCATCTTTTGACCTCGTGAGGGTCGTTTCAAAACGACCTGAGGCTGGCAAGTTCCCGTATCCTGAAGATATCTGGTTTGCTGTGATTGGGTCGCACAGACGCGTGTGTGCCTACTTCTGGGATCATCATAGAACATTTCACTAGAAGGGTTAGTGCTGAATAACCTTGGTGTTCTGCTGGTTGCTGAGCACATGACAAGCAGGGTGGCTGAGAGTAGGTTTAATGGGATGCAGGTGCCAATAGAGGCGCTGCTGGAGTACTGGTCAGGGCTGCCAGAGGAGCACCACACAGCGCTGTTCCAGTTGCGGGAGGAGGACTTTGCGGCGGAGCTGGACGCGCATCTCAAGTACCAGCTGCGCATCTGCCGCGATTGCCGCGGCAACGTGTATCGCGCCTACCGCGAGCTCAAGGCCAGCAAAGCCGGCGTGCCCGGCACCGAGCTGGAGATCTGCGAGGGGCACAGCCTCGGCCTATCAGACGGCGTGGTCTCCCTCCACGGCGTCGGCAGCTCTGGCTTCTTTGAGCGCGCTGAGGAGGTGGAGGACTGCAAGGTACTTTTCATTGTACTCCAGCTGAAGGATGTGGCTTCATATAAACTCAAAGTGATTTCGCTTTGAATGCGAGCCCTTGTGAGTGATTACATACAAAAATTTTGTATTCACCTGCAAGACGGAGGCACCATGGCACTGTTGCTGCAGGGGGCAGACGGGGAGCTTGGGGATGGCTATGATGAGGGGGTGCGGCACGCTGAGACGCCAGAATTGGCGCGGGAGGCGCTGGCGGACTGCGCAGTGCTCATCTTCAAGGGGCAGGTGGAGGTGGCGTTCCGGGAGCAGACGGCTGGGCACAATGCACTGCTGCTCTTTGTGCACCTGGCGCTGTCCATGATGGAGGAGCGGCTCACAAACGCCTTCAAGGAGCTCCGCGCCAAGGAGGCAGAGGTGCAGTGCTGCCGAGCCTGTCAGCATGCCATGCACTTGTTGTCACTCAATTGCTCTGAAGGTGCCTCTGCACAAGAAACAACTGTCACAGTCAGAAGAGCAGTGCCCTGAGGTACAATGGGCAATGATACAGGCGGAGCTGCTGGAGCTGGTGGCCAAGGATGAGAAGGACAAGGAGAGCAAGAAGGCGAAGAAGAAGGGCAAGAAGAAGGGGAAGGGGGAAGGCAAGGGGGAGCAGCTGCTGTGCGGCTGCGGGGCGGTCTGCGACGCGGCCTGCAGCGCCTCCAGCCAGCGCGCCGGCCGCCGCAGCTCCTCCAGCTCGCCCACCAGGGGTGCCTCGCCCGTGCGCGCCCCTCCGACGCCCCCGCCCGACGCCCCACCGCTCCCAAGCGATGGCACCACTGTTGGGGCCGCTGGCGATGGCAAGGATGCGCCAGTGCGCAGCAAGCCGAGCCCCGGCAAGAGCTGCCCAAGGTCGCCTGCCAGGTCCACGCTGGGCGCGGAGCTCATGTCACCGCGGCGGCCGCCCGCCAAGGCGGTAGCGCAGCAGCCATCCCCGATGGCGGCAGACGCGGCTGCCGGCTGGGAGACCATACCGGCGGGCGGCAAAGGCCGTCGCGGCGGAGTGGCCGGCCCGCGCAAGGCCGTCCCGGTGCCAGAGCAGCGCGGCAGCTCACCGGAGGCGCCGCGGCGGCAGTCGCTGGGCGCCCGACCGGTTGCCCAGCCGGCTGCGGCAGGCGGCGGCAGCAGGCAGCAGGCGGTGCCTGTGCGTGCGTTACCCGTTACAGCCAGCCCCCACACGCACACGGCTGCGCCCAGGGCCAGCCCTGCTGCCCCTGTGCCAGAGCAGCGGGGTGCCGCTGAGGCTCCTGCTGTTCGGGCTCTGCCAGTGACCGCTCCCAAGGCCGCTCCAGTCAAGCTGGCAGCAGTGCTCACCTCTGGAGACCCCATCATTGCGCAGCATTCGGTAGGCCTTAGTTGTCCCTGTGTGGGAGCACTCTGCACTGATGATCCTGCAATAAATCAAATTCACAGATTGCACTGAAGAGCATATCTGGATCACACGCTGGCAAGCCTGCATATTGAGTTGCACGTGGCTTCCAGGGTGCAAGGCATGGCAAGGCATGGCAATCGGCCCAGCATACCCCTGGGAAGGGGCCTGGACGACCTGTGCATGCCGTGCATGCTTCCAGCGCGGTCTGGCCCCATCAATCCGTTCCATCGGTGATCCCTCGTCTCATGCCGAACATTTAAACCCGTGCCCAAGACGGCTGCTTTCCCTTACATGCTCATGTGCACTAACCTGTCCTGATTCCAAGTTGGTGGGCTAGGAATGTGGGGTTTCTGAGCAATGTGTCCACGTGTCCAGGCCAACGATGTGGCGGAGGGTGGGCATCTGCCCTTCTCGCTCTTCCACCACTCCCCGGTGATTCATCACTCGGGTCATGTCAACAACAGCTCCACCTCCACTCCGACCAGCCAGAGTCAGTCATCGTACACCCTGTTTGGCAGCGGGCCCGCTCAAGCCTTCTCTCCCCTGGCCCCCATGCTACATAGCGTGCGCTGATGACATGGCCGGCCGTGCAGAATTGGCTGTGTTCTTGTGCCAGCAATTGGGACCCACTGTAACAGGCAGCGCACATAGGAAAGGCGGCGTCTGACAAGCACTTGCAGCACGCAAGGCTCTGCACTATTAGAGTTTCGGCCCAGCACGCTGCAATGTAGATGAGTGTGGCCCCCTTTTGAGCACTTCTCTGGGTTCTCTTTTCAATTGCACTTGTGACAGTGGCGCTCCATGATCTGCATTATGTGGATGCTCCAGGGAGGCCACTCGTGATGAGCAGAGCAATGATGTCACAGCAAAACGTGCATCAGCTCGGCCTGCTCTTGTACTGTTAGGGTGATGTTGTGTTCAAACGAGATGCACTTTGCAGTGCCAAACTTTTAGATTCCCTGAATTTTGTTGAGAAGAGACAAACAGGTTACAAAACCTGCTTTTTCAGTGTTTTCGTTTTTGTGCTGCAGCTATACATGTGAACTTGTCCATGTGCTTCCATCAGAAAATCTTCCAGCACCTAGAGTGCACCTCAGGATAGTGTGCAGCTTTGGAATGTGTTGATGAGGCCATTTTGAGATCCTTACTTCTGGGGAAAGGTGTAGCACATAGCAGCAGGGGTCTCAACATGACCTGCAGAGTCCAGCATGCAGAGTGCAAGCTGGTGAGTGTGTGCAATTTGTGGATAAAATTCAAGGCTTACCTGGGAGCTGGCAGCATTAATGTAGCAGTTTTGTACAGCGCTCTTCCAGAAAAGATGTGTTACACGATCACTGCTGTGGCAACCTGTAACGATTCATTGTTCAATCGCCATACTATGACATGCATATATGATATCCATGCCAGCCAGCATTAATCTCTCATTTAGAGTGAACAGCAGCATTAAATGTGTTTGCTCACTTCAAGATTCTTGCACAATTGCTCATCGTCCATTATCCAAAAGGCATTCGTTGTACACAAACCTTCTGCACCCATATTCTCAATCTTGAACAGCAGGTAATAAAGCCAGAGAAGGACTCGAACGAAACACTCAAAATTGAAGATACAAGCATGCAGTCTCTGCGTCGCAGCTCACAGAGCAAGCGCATTTGTATCAGACATTGTCCGTCGAGTGGCTGACAGTGTGCCGTCTGCAGGCTCCAAGTTGACCGCTGACAGGCCCACCAGCGTGCGTAGAAGAGTATCCTCCGGCTCTGAAATGCAAACACACACAGACCTCATTCACATGCGCGCCCATATCCAGCACGGCACAAAGACAAAGCATCGGAGTCATCAGTGGTAGTTGCGCTGGCTTTGGGCACAATGCAGGGTTCAGGCTGCAGTATGTTCAAGAAAGCATCTTACCAGCTTCGAATGCGCTGCTGCGGCGCTGCTCTTCGTGCTGGGCGTGTGCCAGCTGTCGCCTGCGGAAGAGGGCCAGCAGCTCGCCAAAGGGTATCTCCGCGCCGCCAGCGCTGCTCGAATTGGAGCTTGCAGTGCTGCCCGAGGATATCTGCTTCCAGACGCCGTTCATGTCGTCCTTGGGCCTGCAGCAAGCAGCCCATGCTCACCTCACGCCATCGTCAGCAGACAGAGTAGCACTTGTACATGCAAGCCTACCACGAGCAAGGGCGTCTGAGCAGGTCTCACAAAGTCAGTGAATGCGGGGATGTCACACCTGTGATCTGTAGGGAAGTCCTGGCTGCGGCGGGGGGCTGCCTCCTTGGGGCTGAGCCCTTGGGCTGGGGGCTGGCCATCCATTTTGAGCAGTGTGACGGTGGGCACCGAGTGCAGCCGCGCATGCAGTGTCTTAAATGCCTCGCTCTGCGGCAGCAGCATGAGCAGCGCGTACATGCTCCTGCACCGCCAGCCACCCAAAACTCAGCCGCTCGTGAGCTGTGCTGGAAAGGATAATAAACTTCCCAAAAAGCAAAGGCATGTGGTTATGTGGGAGCCATGTTAGCCATACATTCCCTTGTGGAGCGCACCAGAGAAGGGCGGGGTAGCGTGCTGGATGCAACAGATGGAGCCGCAGGAAGTTGAATACGGGAGTCTCGAGCAGCTGCACAAGGCGGTCGATCTGCACCAGCACCTCCACTCCCATGGGCAGCTCCGCAAAGCAGGACGCCAGCTCATACGCGTGCCCGTACGCCTGCACACAAACTCTAAACCTTCGCATATTGCTTCAGCACACCATTGAAGACGTTCTGGAAGCACTGACATAACAACGACATGACAGGTAACAAAAAAGGAGGAGCAAGTGTGAACAGCAGTTCACCTCGCTGAGGAAGCACAGGGACAGCACGGCGCCCAGGCTATGGCACCAGGAGCGGTAGAGCGTGGTGAACAGCTGCGCGCCCTCCTTGGAGCGACCCGCACTCCGGAGCGACATCCGCAGATCCTTCAGCTGCGCAGACAAAGAAGCCACCTTATCAAAAGCCCCACAGAGTCTGTGTGGACCACTCCATCACACCAAATGTGTGGCAGCCGCGGTGTGCTGAACGGTTCCAAAGCTTTCCTCTTTGGGCCAAAAGACCACAGTGACCACCACAAACATGCATCACAGCTGAAGTGGGAAATCAAAGCACCTGTCACCACCTGATGATAGCCATGCAAGCTCAGCTTGTGAGGCTGGTGGCTTCATGACTTCATCAGGATGATCATTTTCATGAGAAATGACACAATCAACATATGGCAAGTTTGTTAGAGGAGCAGATCGGCAGCGGGTGAAGCAGCGGGTGAGCGCACCTCCGGGGCGGTGAGGAGGATGAGGTTGAGGGCCTGGACGAGGGCGGCCGCGAAGGGCAGGTCGCGCTCCTCCTCCAGGATGCTGCTCAGCATGCTCAGCACCGCGCGGCCGCCCAGCCGCGTCGCCAGCCGCCGCACCACCAGGCTGCCCCGCCGCTGCAGCAGCCGCGCCCCACTCGGGCCCCGGAACCTGCCCCCCAGCCACAGATACGTAAAGCTCAGACATCCTTGCGCCCGGTGTGACCATACACAGCCTCCATGCACGGTGCAGGATATCCGTCTCAACACTATGCCGACCCTTCGGGAGCTGCATGTTCCTTTGAGAGCTTCCAAAAAGGGCTAGATATGATCGAGAAGATTGTGGTGTGGCAAAAGGGCATACCGGTCCAGGAGCTCCTTCATGAGGGTGCGGAACTGCTGCGGATCGTCGGCAGCGATGGCGGCCTGCACAGACAGCGCCTCGACCACCACCCGCTCCGACGGCGCGTGCAGCGCATCAAACAGCGACGGCAGCAGCACGTCCAAATGCTCCAGCACCTGAACCACGGAAGCACCCTCAGCGCATCCTGGCAAGGCAACTGCAGTTCCACCCTCAGAGGAAGAGAGGAGCAAAAATGACAGCGCCGACAGAGTGATGAGCGAAGGGACTCACTGTGCGGCGTGACTTGGACAGCAGGGTGTTCAGCCAGAGCAGAGCAGCCATGCGGGTGGGCTCCTGCAGGCTGTGCAGCTCGTTGGCCACTGCAGCCAGCAGCGCTGCGGGGTCCGCCGCCTCCCAGCCAGCTGGGAGGTCTAGCAGTTCAGCGTTGGCTTCTCGTGCAACCTGCATGTGGCACTCACCTTTTCGATGTCTTGCTTCTTGTGAGCTCACAGCTTGGTGTGTTCTAGGCTCATATTCATCTGCTGCAGTGTGTGCAGAGAGGGAGAGGAATGGTTTTTGACAGGATAGCAAGTTCATGCACTGACTGACACGCTCAGCTGAAGAATCCAATGCAAGGCCCACCTGCTGGATTTCAGGGGTGCTGGATGACAGAGCCGGCAGGATGGCCTGCAGGATGATTGCATAGAGCGGCAGCAGCTCAGCTTTGGCGTCCACCACAAAGGAGCGGAGCCACCGTAGCGCTGTCAATCTAATGGCATCGTCTCCACTCTTTGCCGCGTCCACCAGCACAGTCGCCAGCGCCTGGTAGTCCAGATTCTGCGTGCTCGCTGACTGGACCTCCATGAGCAGATCCTGTCCAAGACCACCACCGACATCAGAAGTTTGCCCGCACTGCAGATCTGCCGATTCACACTCGATTGAAGCAGATTTTGGATGTGCATGACGCGAAAGTGGCGGGGAGGAGCACCTGCAAGACCTTGGTTGCCTGGGCCCTGACTTCGCCAAAGGGGTCGCAGAGGCAGTCCAGGAGGGAGCCCAGGAAGAGGGGCAGGTGCGCCAGCATGTCCAGGTCGGGCACGCTGGCCAGCACCTGCATCCAGGACAGCAGGAACGCGCGCTTGCGAGGCGCTGTCACCTTCAGCGCCGTCTGGAACTGCCCCACAAACTCGTCCATGTTGAAGTGCTCGTGCGCAGTCACAATGTCCTGTGAACACACCCCAGCCTATTCACATGAGCATCCACCGCGCACTGTCAAATCCCAGGCTGTCAAGGGTAGCCGCAGATACTTGTGAGCAGGTAGGTGCACATGCTCGCACCAAACTAGTGAAGACCACAGCGTGCATTGGCACACTTCAGCCTATCACCATTAGCATTGAATCCCACATTTCTCAGGCGCTACAGTACTTGGGTACATAAGGTGGTCACCTTCATGAGGGCGTCCAGGAAGGTGGTGGCCTGGTTCACGGCCGGGTCTGGGTCCGCCACCAGCCGGAAGAGGGCATCAAAGGTGCAGTTGAAGTGCGGCTCCAGGAAGTCGTCCCTGGACACCTTGGCGATGTTGTAAAGCGCCTCGCAGGCGTAATACCGCACACGAGCGTCGGCATCCACCAAAGAATTCAGCACTGGCGGCACCACGACAGCCAAGTAGTCCGGGCCAGCCCATTCCTCAACGCGCTTCTTTGTGTCCTGTCCCAGCCACACTCGCCATCAGTGGATATTTCCAGCAGCGACCGTGGATCCGTGTGTGGCAGTCACAGTGGGTGGCGACTGATAGAGGGCCACACCTGCTTTCTTTCGGCCAGAGCAACAGCAGCAGCTGCCAGTGCCAGCAGACCACCCTTCCTGCAGTTTGCTTGCGGGGAGTATGCATAGTCTTCTATGAGGTGGTCCAGAATTTGCACCACTGATGCCCAATTCCCCTGGTTCCATCACTACACGGTCAGGCTGAAATGATCGCTTTGAAAGAACCAGGAAATACTGTCCAATCTTCCGTGATAATCTCAGCATATACAATCGTGGCGAATATGCATCAAGAGGAGGATTATTTACCTCCTTGGCTAACGTCTTGACCAGCTGCTCTACTTCCAAAGCAGCTGCCTTGCGCTTATCATAGAGCTTGTCTCCCAATCCTCTCAGGACGACTTGGGATAGCAATGTATCAATTTCAGCTCCAGGAGGCATTTCTGCTGTGACACACATATTCATAAGTGTACAAGCAGTCCCCAAATGGCGTCAGGCAGCTGGGAGGAGCACATCAGTCTGACCGTGGTGGATGTGATCAAGGCAACGTCAGGCAGGCAACGTGCACTGAAGACAGCTGAGGACCAAACAATTCAACAATGATCATGGAGAGCTCCAACCTACTCAGATGGGACCCTGGTCCAAACAATGCTGAAGCTTCGTGAGTCAGATGCTCGCCATCCAGATTGAGCATCCCGACTTTGAAATTCGAATGGAATGTGCCATGATCCAACGCTGACAGTCAAGATCTTGCTAGAATAAGGATGAGTCGATCAAAGGAGCAAAGCTAATCTTAACGCCAGGGTTTGCTTATTTTACTAAACAGATGGTTCCTTCTACAAGGACTCCAAATGATGAAAGTCTTCACAGTATCGAAAAAAATCGATTACTATGCAGATGGGCACATCTGAACTTATGTAGGGAATTCATTTGAGAGACAGAGAGAGGATGTCTTAATTTCCTTCGAAACAGTCACGTGGCAATTCGAAACCTTTCGGAACAGCTGAGGTGGGCCACATTCCACATTTCTGGAGTATTCTCGAGAATTCTGCTGTCCTCTAATCGCAGTGAACTTGCAAGCGCAGAAGCAAGATTATGGGCTCAGGAAAACTCGGCACTGCCCATAGCCCACATCGCAGAAGTTCACCTGCATTGGCTATTGTGAGAAATTGCGCATGAAATGGTTCCTGATGACTTTACAATAGGGCAAGCTGAAAGCTTATTTGGTTACAAGGATTTCAGAGCGACGCAGAGTGCTCCTCAAACTCTGGTGGAGCGCACCTTTGTCAGAAAAAAGAGAAGAATCTTGTAAGTCAGTCCTTCAGAGGAATTATGATTTGCCTCCGTCATGAGAATATTGTAAAAATCTTAATGAAACATTGCTGCTCAACAGGTCACCAAGCACGCCAGTGCAGTGCCAACGAGAAAGCAACTTGGATGCCCCAGATAAATTGCAGTCTTGCACGCATGGTGGAGGTTCAGAAGGATCTCGGAGACGAGACAGTGCATATCGGAACATCGTCAAAAAGCCACTCACGCAGTTGTATCTGGACCTCGGTCAGGTGGGCAGTAGCAGGCAGACACATCCAGTTCACAGCACTGGGAGCAACCACATTGGCAGACTCAATTGTTGCAGTGCTGCAGAGAGTCCACATAACTTCATCCATCTCACTCGGCATGTTTCATACAGGACAACTTCGCTTGCCAGACCTGCAAGCTATGCGGGATGACATATGCTCCGGGTGAAGAAAACGATGAAAGAACGCATGCTGCCTATCATGCCAGTCTCATCCAGGGCGTTCGATTCATGGTGAGGGCCCATTCACATTTCCTCGCCTGGCAGTGCTAGGATGAACAACTTATGCCATGGGGCCTGCCTGATGGAGTCTGACAACTGGGCTTTGAGCAGGGGTGGCAGTCGGAGAGAGTGGTGCGGCGAGATGAGCAGAGCGGACGAATACTGCTTGTGCTGCCGTCAGACTCTGCTGCACACCTCAAAAAGGTGACACTGCTCACCATTCATATTAATCATCGCAAGCGAGTAAGCGCGTTTTGGATGTTGCTTGTTTGTGTGCTCTGACAGAGGACTGTGCTGTGCAGGTCAATGAGCTCTCAAATCTCCTGGAAAATCAGCTGGGTCTGGTCGATGGATGGCTGCTGTCCGTGCCCTGCAAGGTGTGTTTGGCAAAGTCTTCTCTTGAGTTGAATGCAAAACACCATGCAGACATTCACATCTGTGCTTGATCAAGGATTCTGCTTGTGGCTTTCAGGTGTACCTGTACGTTGCTGCCTCGAAGCGTGTGGTGGGCTGCGCCATGATCCAAGCTGTCAGCACAGCCTACAGGGTCATGCCGGCTGATGATGCCAAAGTGTCCACAGCTGACACCAGTCCCTGCGCTCACCTGCCGTCTGCCGCCCCTGCAGCGCACAGAGCAGCGGCCGGGGACGGCAGCGATGCTCGCGCAGATTCACCTGACAGGCAGTGCAGCGGAGGGGAAGAGCGGCCTTCTGTCAGCGAGAACATGGTCTCAGCGGCGGCAGAGGCTGGGCCGAGCAGCTCCTGTCAGACTGAAATAGGGGGGCATGGAGTAGGCGGCGGCGTATTGGGCGGCTTGGGCTGCTGCATTGGCGTGCGGCATGACAGCGTCCTGGGGGCAGCCAATCCCTGGGAAGCTGCCAGCGCCGCAGGCAGAGCCTCTGCTCCACCCGAGCAGGACAGAGGTGGCGCAAAGGTGCAGCCGCAGCAGAGGCAGGTGCCGCTGAGGGTGGATGAGAGCACGCCCGAGGAGGCTGCCTGCGGCGTGCGAGTCATCTGGGTCTCTGTGGAGGCGCGCTTGCAGGGCCTTGCAAGCAAGCTGCTCGATGTTGCCAGGTGTGCTTCCAATGCCGCCGCTGCCTTCTGTCACAGCTTTTTGGATATATATAAAAACACGGATATACGTGTTTTTTACAGCGGCTGGTCAATGACATGTCAGATGAGATATCAGAGGAGCTGAATGGCAGAGGATGTGGTGCAGGAGCACATTTGTGACTGGATACGTCATTCCGCGGCAGGAGCTTGCATTCTCGCAGCCCACTGAGCATGGCCGCAAGTTTGCCGCGTCCTACACTGGATGCAGCTCTTTCTTGGTGTACAAGTAGAATTACAGGTGCAGGGCTGAAGTGACCCTCACGCGTCAATGTCATTGGTTTGAGATATACAATTCTTTGCTGCAGTCTCAATCAGTCAGATATCACAGTAGAGTTCGGTTTGCTCAGAAGTCAAGAGGATCGAAAGTGGTAGAAATATTCTCAGCTGTTCTGGTCTTGCGTTAGACACGAAATACTGAGACACTAGTGAAATGGGTCTAGATAGGTGAGAGATGGGGAGATTACAGGCATTTATATGAGATTGAGAGCGTTCAGCTGACGAGAAAGTTCTTTAATGCAGTTCAAAAATGTATCACTGCACTAGATAAACGTAAAAGGAAATTGCATCTGCAGACAGAAGCCACACGGCAATTCTTGGAGTGGTTCCAGGACAGAACAGCAGCTATTTAGTTGAGGGAACCACCTATTGTAATAACAGAATGCCCGTCTACATAGGAGGATCCCCGTCTATAGCTATGTGTACAACCCAATTTACTCACCATTTCTACAACTGCCTAGGCCTCATTTAGAGATGCACATCCTTCATTCAGACTCCCTACAGTCTGAGCGCTCCCCTCTGCAGAAACGATGGCATGTAAGCCTGTCCCTCGCCTTGAGGTCTCAACAGGGCTGCTGTCATATTCTCATAGGGCGGCAGAGTGTAGCGTACGCCAGCTTCTAGTAATGCCTTTGTAATTACCATGTAGAGGCCATGACGCCCAAGACTCATCCTCCTCAGCTCAGTCCCTGCATGCACTCAGGAGGCACCTGATCAAAAGTGGTCTGCCTAACTTTAGAGCAATATTGCTGTCAAAGGTTGAGATGAGCATGTCAGGAAGACAGTGCAGGGCTGACCCACCTTGATGGCAGTACTCCCACCACACGCACAGCATGTATTTCAAGGGGTCGCCAGCATTGTTAGCGACCACCAAATGCTTCCCAGTGAAATCATTTGGATTTGCGGCAAGGTGAGCAGCAACTGCGGCGTCCACACAGTCAAATGTTGCAGCAGGTGTCGAGATGTCCACCAGCACCTGAACACCCACTCCCCTCATGTCAGGAGAGGATTCAATCGTTTTTTCCCCTCAGACAGCCGGACTTCTGAATATTTCTCTCCTTGCAGCTGATTGCAGGGCCGATTGATCTGCAAGGGAACAGCTTTTGAGGGGGCAGCACACACTTTGAAGCCCTCCCATCTGTTATTGGACCGAGAGACATTCAGGACGGGCTCAACTGAAAGCTTGGTGATGGGAAAGAATATTCTGACACCATCTGCTCTCCTGAGTACAATATTCTGCAGGGCAACCTCTTCTACCTGCATGCATGCAGTCCACACATCTGGAAGGGCAAAATCAGCAGGCAGCATCCCTGCCAGAAATCGAGTGCGTGAGGTATGAAATTGTTTGACCAGCAGTGTAATACCAATCTAAATGCTCACCTGATGCCATGTTGACTCTGCACCGATAAGCAAGACATCTCCTACATCAAATGGATGGACCACAAACAAAAAGATAACCGCCTCATATATGTTGCGGATGGAGTTCCCAAATACAAACACAAATGCCAGCAAAATGGTGGTGATGGTTGCCCACACTTTTGCAATATCCACCTGTGCAAGTCACTGATACTGTCAGATTTCCCTGATGCTATTCCGATACTAATCTAAAAGCCGACAGGGGCATATTGCCAATTGTCCTGTACTTGAAATGCAACTTGTACAGGAGCTGCAGTACAGTGAGAGACTCACATTGAAGATGACAAGGTACGCCCACACAAAAACAGTGTGGATGATTACAGCAAATATGCCTTCCAACCTTCCAACCACCCCTTTCGTGTCCTGGTCAACGAAACAGTGATTTTCCTCAATTCAGTTCTAAAAAAAATGCGGTATGAGAAGCTTGGTACTTCAGCATGTGGCAGCAAATGCTGGGCTAGGGACAGGCAATGATCACACAAAATTATGCGCAGTGAAGCTGTGGCGCACCCGCAGGGTCAATGCCAGGTGCTTCCGCTCCTTGTAGATTGAGATGACAGCATCCCGCATGTCATCCAGTGATATCTTCCCATCACCGTCGCAATCCAGCGTAGACAGTGCTGCCCGGGCCTTGTCCTCTGGCAAGAAGCAGCACAGGTCCTCCAGCAGTACAAATTCCCTGCACTCAGCAACACCACTTTTCATGTCATGCAGGTGACATCTCTACAGCATCAACTCAGACCCAGCAATTATGTGCTTTGTGCAGCGCTTTAGACAGCTGTCATAGTAACATTATTATGGAAGATTGGTAACATAGACCTATGAAAGCTCTTTAACGGAGAGACACCTGTCATGACTGGCCCTCACGTTCCAGAACAGGTAGAAAGCAAGGCGCCGGGCCTCCTTTTGACTGCTGACGCCATCACCCTCAGAGAGCGCCGCTTTGCCCAGCGCATCAGTGAATGTGATGCGCAGTTTGTTCTCACGGATGTGCTTCACCAGCACCTTCAGCTTTGACTGCAACTCTCTTTCATCGGCATCATGGAGGTTTCCCGCAGCCCCCTGTAACCATAACGAGTGAGAGATGTACACAATCTGAAAATTAGTAAAAAATTCTCATTGGGTAAGGTGTTGAAGAGCCGATAGGCATGTCCAGGATGGGAGGCGCGTCATGATAGGCAGTGTTCATATTGGCATGATTACCCTTTTGTGACTTTGTTCCAAATCAAAGTTGCTGGTGAGCATGCGCACAAGATCTTGGATGTTGCTTTTCCGGGATGGCTGCCTGGACTTGCTGCCTGCTACACAATGGCATGTATCTCTGCGATTTGCATTTTTAAACTAGGTGACATGCAACTCTTGGAATTCACTTGAAGATTGCCTGACATAATTAAATGACCTGGTGGCATGTGCTGCAAGGTGATGACACTATTGTGATGTACCTCGAGGGGTTGAAGAGCCTCTATATTGATAGTCCCGAATGGGTTGAGAATCTACTTGTAGATATACTGCATCTGAGCTCAGCCTGCTCATTGCGTGCCTCATGGGGCTCTGCTTGTTGTACATCTGAGGCAGAGGGGCTTGGATCGAAGCTTGCAAGGTTTCCAAGCCTCTAAACCTGCACAAAGACACTTCCTCAATCAGTGTTCTTGTAGCGCTGTTGTCCCCCTTGACTTTGCATGCTAGAAAGTCATTGGCCAGAGACAGGTGCTGAAATGACACAATTGATGGTAATGCATGTATGTTTGATGATGCATGGAGTGACTCACATGGCTGCCGGCACAGCACGCAGCTTCTCAAAGCTGTCTTTGCTGGACAAGCTGCCGGCGCTCAAGAGGGTGCTCTTAGCTTTCATGTTGCCAGGGTCCATGTCACTATCAGCCGCTTCATTTTCATCTCGGGGACGAGCACTGGAGAGCGCGTGGAGATAGTACTCCTGAAGTCATTTGCTCCATGTCAGACTGCCATTGTCAGTGAGCTGTGCTAGGTTTCACTCATATTTAAAATGTACATCAATACAGCAGCATGTGCATTCTCAATGAGGGAACGTGCAGAGCTTTACCTTGTTCAGAGCGTCCTGCATCTTTGTGAAGTGAAGGGAGTTATGGAAATGCCCCGATACATATTTCGTCAGGACAGCTTTGATTAGGTCCGCCACGCAGATGAGCAGAAGGCACAACAGCACCTTTCTGACCGTCTCGTATGTCAGTTGCACCTCTGCTGGCCTGACATCATCATCCCCAAACATGAGCATGTACAGGACAACCAGCAGTGCAGTCCTCACCAATCTGGATGCCGGCTTCTGTGTGGCACCAGATTCGTTATTCAGAGATTTGTAGACCAAATCATTGCAGCCACCGGCTAATATTTTGGAGGCTTTTGCAGGTCAGCTCCCTGTCAAGCGTTCTAGTGCCACTAGAGCAAGTGGGTATTACCTTGATGCTCACTGCATAATAGAATGCATAGCGGAGAGTGAAAAATTGGGTCTCAATAACCAGAAAACACATGTGAACCAGCGCAGCTCCAAGAAGCTGAATTGGTGCGATGCCTGCGAAAAAGAAGCACCAATGCCACACCGCAAAGTACAAAACCTCCTGCGCACCAGGGACATCATATCTAGCTTAAAGCACTTCTGTGCAAGGACATCATGCGCAATGGACACGCTTTTTATGCACTCTTACCTTTTTGGGAGCAATCAAGAGGAATGAAAGGCCGACAGTGAAGGTCAGCAAGGTCCAAACGACAGGCAAAATAAACCTCCAGAATGTAGCAGTGTAGATCTGCTCTGTCTGAGCCTCGCGGTCCTCCTCAAACTGCACATCTTATGAACTTCCAAAAATGCAATGAATTGGATAAAGAATGCTCTGCATACACACTATGCACAAAAAGGCGCTCACATCCAAGACTGAAGGCGCCATAGAGATGGCAGCAGCAAGGCTGCCCGATGGTTTCAACACATCCTGCGATATACTAGCCATTTGAACATGCAGATCGCCAGCAACGGCATGCTTCAATATGGCTGTTTCAAGCTCTGGTTTCCTGAGCAGTCAGGTAACAAGGTATCAGGCCAAAGCCAAGCTGGTGCAAAGTTGGAAGTGAAGCACAACAATGCAAATGCATCTGTAGCCGCACACTGTGTACCTTGTTGAATCTGGAAACACTGGCAGATTCGAATCGCCAGATCCATCCCTCGGCAGGAAGGGTAAGCCCTCCTCATCATCAAGCTTTTTCGATGCCATCCCTCTTTGCATAAGCCGCCAGCTATCTTCCTGACCCATGATGATACGAAATGGGACATCGGAGTAATTTCACTGATCTACAACGAATGCACACCACCTGTTCCATGGTGTGTATAGCTCGCACGGCCTCCTCACTCAGCCAAAAGGTGGCGTTCTAAATATAGCGCAAACTGACCCCCCCGGCCTAGGGGCCTAGGGCCCCTACCCAATACAAGGGCCTGCCTTTGAGATCCTCAGTGAAGGGAGACGAAAGCCAACTTTCCTTTCCACTGTCTACCTGGTATCTTGAGGGAATGTTGAGTTCTCGACATTCCCTCACCGAGACAAGGCCTTTTCTGGCCGTTGACGGTCGCGTACTTGTGTCCTGTACAGTAACTTCCACACTCATTAATCCTCAACCACGCACTATAGCACAATTCTTACTTCTAAGCATTGGATGACGCTATCGAAAACTGCGGCATGTATACCCTGAGATCCTTCCTTAAACAGCACAGAGGCATCCTCAAGTGGGCTCTCCCTGTCTGCTTAACAATAGACGCGATTCACAACGCCTTTACCATCTGGAATCTATACAAAGACAGGCTGCAGGCATGTCCTCCCTGCAGTTGTATCCTGACTGACTTTCATGCATGTCAGCCCCCTTGACCGAACTCAAGAGACTGACAATAACGTCCTCAAACTCTGGCAGAAATGGGAAAAGGAACGCAGAGACGCTATCATGCACATGGTGAGTCCCACTCTGCAACAAGTTCATGCTCGGTGTGAGCAAGAAGACCGCGCCTTCTGGCCAATGGTGCTGTCCAAACCTTGTCTGGACAGCCAACCTCTCTTCATGCACATGGCAAAGGAGATTCCTGCAGCGGACTTTGATGCTCTGGGTGTCGTAGAAGGGTGAGACGATTACCTTCCTCCCATGACGAGCTGCTGCAGTGCTTCATGGAGAGGTCCATGCGTCCTGTAGCTTGCATGTCATCCCTGTCGCTGGCAGCTCGTTCTTGACTTCTATGTTGTACGTTGCCCTGCAAACAAACTATGCCAATTCTGCAGGTGGCCACTTTTCACAGCATGCGCGCATGAGCAGAGCCCTGAGCCTGGCATTGACATCGTGCCATGTGAGCTCAGTACACAAGAAAGGGAGAACAACGGCCTTTCTGTTCTTATCACAGAGAGGTGCAGGCTCGCAATGCACCAAGGAAAAGAAGGATTGGAAGCCTTTGTGAGGGAAGGAGTGCAGAGAGTACAGCAGCAGGTGCCTGTGCGAATGCAAATCAGGAGGAGATCAGCCCTGCGACTCACGATACACTGGAATCCTATCATGCAGTCTCAGGGTTCATGACCCCACTCTTCAGTGCCGCTCATAATGTGAAACAGTGTACAATATACCACATAAGTGTTCTATTGAGATCTGGTCTCGCAAGCAAGTCTAGAGTGTGCAGTTGCAGAAGGCAGCCGCAGTAATGGCGTTAATTCTGGACTACATGTACACTTTTAATATTGTACAATATGATTAGCTAGTAGCTGTAGACATCTGCAGTCTGTATACGTGGGTGAATTAATAATGGATTCGATAAGACTCCTCAATAGGTCTCCGGGACTGGTAGGTGAATACGCAAGCAATCGGGCAATTGCAATATCACGCCCATAATGGATTATGCATGTATAACCAAATGGTCAAGCAGTAACTGCATGCACCGTTACTGGTACCGTAACAGTGACTGTGACGGCGTTACCACTATGGGGACTGATTCCTGAGTGCAAAATCTTTGTTAGAAATTTCCAAGAAGCTGGTCTCAGAATCAAATGCAAAATTTCTGAGAGACTGCTTGACTGGTATTCTTCTGAAATTCTTCTGACTACTTTCATGGCCAGAGTCCCCATAGTATACTTTCAGGCAAGGTGCCACTGGCAAAGCAAGTTGTCTTTAGTAAGGCAGGATTAAAATAATTCTTGATAAATTTAATTAACGCCAGGATTTGTAAAAACAATCACTAGTTATAAAGCTCAATTTCGTCATGACCACAGAGTTACTTGTTGCTGCTCACGAGGTGCTGCCAGCACTGCCCAGCCAGAAATTCGCGTGAGCGCGCCGCGAGCGGCTCGGTCACTGGCCACGTGGCATCATGGTGATCATGGTGGTGCACCACGTGTGGTCGATTGTGATAATTAACATGGCGCCACGTTGACATGACGCTTTCTAAATGGCATGGCACGTCACTTTTGCTGTCCCATCTATCTGTTCATGGCCGATGCCTTGGGTGTTGTGTGTCAGTCAGGTAAGCAGGAAAACGGTGTTCCCTACTTCCCTCCGGGTGGGTGTTGGGCAGCCTGCCCGAAGCGGGCATGCATGCGTTTTGGCTTACCACCACATTAGGCTCCTTCCAACGCTTGGCTAGCAATTTCGACGCAAGGTATTGAAGCAATTGTCCGTTTCTTTGTTGATGCGGTGAGCCGATCGGGGATGGGAGGAACAATGGCGAATGTCATGCTACTGCAGACAACACTTGCCAAGACAACTTTCAATCGGTGCTCTCCTCTGCTAAACAAGCACGTAGTGCACTGTGGGAGGGTACCGAGTAGAGTCACCATTCGGCAAGGAAGAGTGCAATTATCTGTTAGCTGCAATGCGCATGGACAGAAGCACAAAGGGGGTTTTATCGCAAGAGCTTCCTCTTTCGGGCAATCTGCATCAGAGTTTTCAACTGGCCCGAAAGAAGAGGGCGCAGAGATCCCCCTCCCTGATCTTGGTAAGGACTTCTTCACCTCAACATCTGCAATACCCCTTTGCTCGTGGCCGCCCTCTTTCAAAATTGAAGGAGAGGGTTTTGCAGGAAGGCACTTTTCTTTTGCTTGCTCCTTCTGCCAAAGTGTATCGCTTAGTTTACGTGGTCATATTGATTGTCTTGCCTCCGTCTGTGAGAGATCCCTCGCGCAGAAATCAGACGACCATCTGGCTGCAGGTGGAGGTGGCAGAAATGCTGGCAATGGACCCCGCGGCGGAGGTGGGGGTGGTGGAGGCGATGGAGACGGCTCTGAAAGTGGCAATGCCGATTTGGACGCCTCACTGCAGGCCTCTGGCAAATCACTGAGTGACATACCAGCAGGCAAGCCTCCATGCAGTCCTGCACATGGCTTGCAATACCGATGCCCTGACATCAATCTTACGCAATTGCTGCCCTGTACAGATCTGGCAGCAGCAGTGGCCGCTGGCAAAGTGAGCGTGGAGATCCTCCAAAGATACCTGAAGTTTTCAGAAGGGCTGTTGGCGCCCCTGATGAGAAACGGGTGAGTTGATCATGTGGGCAGCCTGCAGTGTGCTTCACACCCTCTGCATCGATCCCCATTTGATGGGGTAATGATAACAATTGACCTGGGTGGAGCGGATGTTTTGCAGGGGTTTCCGAGAACGCCTCCTGGCAGATCCTAGCTTCCTGGTGAAGGTCGGCATAGAGGTCGGCATTGGCATCTTCACCAAGTCCAGCGCAGAGTACGCCAAGCGCGGAGAGAACTTCAGCCAGGTTCTCACTCTGCAACCTTCCCTCGCTCCTCATTTCTGTCCATGCTTTCCAGGTTTGTGTGAGCACTTGTTTTCCTACCCCTGCGCAGGAGCTCGACTTTGTGCTGGCCAATGTCATCATGGCACTTGTTGCCGACTTCATGCTGGTCTGGCTGCCTGCTCCTACTCTGTCCTTCAAGTGCGCGCCCCCTCCTCCTGTACTACAACCTCTACTCCAGCTCAATCACATGGAAGTGCTGCTAGCTCTCTGCAATGCAATCTTTGGCGCTGATGCCCTGGATTAATTTTCCGGAGCACAGGTCCAAGTCCGCGGTCCAGAAGAGTGGCATCCTGGGGTTCCTGGCCAGCTGCCCTGAGAATGCCTTCCAGAGAGTCCAGCCGGGCTACACCCCCTTCACCGTCGGCCAGCGCGCCGGCGCCGTCGTCCGGAACGGCAGCAAGCTGCTGGCTGTCGGGTTTGGAGCCTCGTTGTTTGGAGTCAGCATCACCAACCTGCTCATTGCCGTGCGCCAGCAGCTGGACCCCACCTGGGTGCCCCTGAACTCACCCCAGGTACAACCCTCGCATTGTCCTTGTGTGCCACTGCTTTTTTTCAAGAGACAAGTATCACTTACCACAGGAGGTGCTTAGGCGCTGCTGTGGATGGTGCAGAATGTGCTGGCGATGAGCGCGGCGTACAGCAGCTACATGGCTGTGTCGTCCAACCTGCGGTACCAGGTCATTGCTGGCATTGTGGAGGAGCGCGGCATTGAGGCGGTCTTCGCATCAAACCCGGCCCTGTGCTCTGCTCTGTCCTTCATCGTGCGCACATCAAACACCTTCCTGGGGTCCCTGATGTGGGTGGACTACCTGCGCCTGCTGGGGCTTCAATGAAAATCAAGTAGCGGTGGACCGCTTCTGATTCTACTTTTTTTAACGCCACTGGGGTGTCGGTGATTGGTTTGTTTCATCATGAAACCTTCATGGCATGTGCAAGTTTGTCAGTGTCCAGTTCGTGTTCTCAAGAGCCGGTGCCTGAGACCTTCGATGTACATGTGCCTAGTATTCTTTATATGCTGCATCTTACCTATTGGTAAGAGTATTTCAGTTGTGAATGTTTGCAGGCAATCTTGTTGCGCAATAGTCCAGTAGAATTATCATGCCAGTGTTACAGTAATGCCTCTGGCTGTAAAGATGAAGCTTCTACAATAGCTGACATCATACGTGACAGTGATGTGTAAATTTTTACTTTTAACGTCCGTTTGATGGGAAACTTTCCCTGTCATGTATATGGCGCTGCATACGCCAACCTTCCTTATCCACTTTTCTCAGCTAGCTATACACAACACCAAACAGCTTAATGACTTTCACTCTAAGTCAATCACAGCGAAGTCCTGTGTTCCCCGCCATGACTCTCCAGGCTGCACTGTAGCAGGCGTGCCAAACTTGGCGTTCTCCACGCAACAGAATTTCTTGTAGCAGTCTTCCATTGCTGTCCAAGGACTCCACTGCGAGCACACAGGAGAAAATGATCAGAAAGTATGAAATGGCCTCTGTACTGGGATGTACTTCCTTCAAAACAGTCTGCAGTATCACACTCCACGAATTGGGTAGTGTTGTTCGTTCTTGGGGCTTGGGAGGTCTACCACAACAATATCCTCCCAGCCGCTAGAGGAGATGGCCACAGCTGCTCCAGTGCCAACATCCAGCTCCACGTAATCCTTTGCTTTGAGATACACAGAGTCCACCGGGCCACTGAAGGAGACCACCTCACGATCTTCCTCCTTGGTCTCTGGCTCTTCTGGGTTTGGCACCTGTGAGTCATACCGTATGTCCAGATTTTGCATTCCTCCGCCTTTGTCGTCAAGTTTTTCCCCCCTTTGATCACAAGATGTGGGTGAGTTATAACGGACATCAGCCAAAGAGCATGCACACTGGCCGAATGCGTGCGCTCTTTTAAAACCGGAAGGGCAACCGGGGCTGACGAGAAAGGGAGCACACCTTATCGAGGAAGGTCAAGCCCTGAAGCCCACGCACTTTGGCCACCTACACATACGTGCAAAAAATGAACCCTTACATCTTTACTCAGGTGCATGGGCAGTGAAGATGTTGGTCACAGGCACTTTCAGCAATCCAGGATCAATCGGTACTGTGAGCAGCACACCTCGATGTCAAGAACCTCGATGTACGTGTGCATCGCTGCTGTGAAGTCAAAAGGCTCATTGCCTGTGTTGATGACACGCAGGTCCGTTCGAAGCTGCTCCTCATGCAGTGTCACTGTGTACACAGCCTTGAAAGCGTGCGGCCTGTGCACCAGTAAAAAGAGAGTGAAGATGAATTTAAGAGCAGAGTTGCAGAAGCACAGGGAAGGTGTACAATCATAAATGCAGAAGCTGTAGACAGTGGCAGAGAATAGATCTTCTATGACAGGGCGGTACAGATGCTTACCACATCTTCCTGGTGTAATCATTGTCAGTGAGGGTGAGCTCCACAGTGGGATCGCGCTCATCCGGCTGCAAGTCTGCGCTAGTGGCACTGATCGTCCAATCTAGATTGCGCGCAAAGCCATGCTGCTGCATCGCTGGCCCCGGCCCAAACTGCAGAAGCCATGAAACGCTGGATCAAGTCTTGCATTGTGGGGATGCACTTTGGAGGTCGGACAGCAAGTGAAGGTCTCAATTGGCAGTACCTGCGGGAAGCAGTGGGGAATGCCACCAGATATGGGCTTGCTCTTGTCAAATTTGGCGTCTGGCCGGACATACAGCACTTCATCGCCGCTCGGCTGAGTCCAGGAGGCCACAACAGCTCCGTACAGGTACACCTGCATGCACAGCGCTTGCGAGTCAGGGCTCACATCTAAGGAATCTGTTGGCTGGCTCTATATAGTGACTTGACATCGCCCAATGCCCACATGTGAGCCGTACCTCAGCCTTTGACCCGCATGAATGGCGCAGGACCACCTTGGGAAGGCCCCCCTCGCCCTCAGTAATTTTTACGTGGTCAACAATACCTGGGCCCACCAGTTACATGTAATTCTTGTTACCTGGAGAAGATATCAGTGTTTCAAGATGTATAAAAGATTGATATGGATACGAATTTAGGTGGACATCCCTACCAAACTTCTCTTGCACTTCTGCAAGTTCAGTGGCGACGGCAGACACTGAGACGTTTAACCGCTGTTGTCTCCTGCTAGAAATGGTTTTCCTCCATGAGGTTTTCGATTCAGCTCTGTAAGAACACAGAAAGATAGCCGTCAGTTAGATGGAATCACTAGTAAGTGCGTGCCTTGGGCCCATCAGAACGCCAGAGGCGCCCTGTATTGCGGGATAGTGCGCGGTTGCATCCATTAGATCCCATGAAAGATGGTAAGCAAGGAAACAATGACCTGCTAGGATGAGGAACAAGTGCATGCCATGCTCTAGGGCAGCTGTAGGGCAGTGGGGTGGCGTGTGCACGTCCGAAAGCAGTGCTGGGCGTCAACATCATTTCAGATCTTCAGGAATATCTGATTGGTTTTCCTGGTGTTGATGAAGAGACAGCATCACTTGATGCCCTGCAATGATGCTGACCTAGGCCAAATCCCTGGGAAGGAACAAATCCCCACAATTAGAAATTGTGCACTTCGGTCTGGATCCTTGGAACAAAAGAGAGCACAAAAGAAACTGTGAATATTACCTTGTATGAAGCATTGAGGCTGGAGGTGTGTGCTGCCATTGAGGAGGCACCTTCGAGGGACTCTAGATCATGTATGGGACACATGGCACACAGTAAAACCACACCTCTGCAGATCCTTTCACAGGTAATAACCTTCCGTATCTAGGAATTTTTATTTCTGGAGGCGAAAACTCTTTCATGAATGATTGGGAGTATATGTAATCGCAGGTTGGGGCAGGAGTGACAGTACTGGGGATTGCTTACTTCAGTCTTTTCGTTGGGAAGAAGCCCACGGCTGTGCATACAGCGGTTTATAAGGATAAATCAGCCACAGAGTCGGATATCCTATCTGCCCTTGCCCAGGAGACTAAAAATACAAGCGGAAAGTACTGGAACGGCACTGAAGAAGATACTGAGTCTTCCTAGCGCTTGAATCGGGATCAAACCTCTCTTCACACACGCCAAAGGAATCAAGGAAGATGGGGTCGACTCAAGTCTCTTCAGAGCTGCTGCTGCAGCGCATGGGAGCATCCCTGGTGTTCATCCAACCAGCCAAGAATGGGAAGCCACATGGTCCTTCTTTGATGGTGGAGCTGCAGTCAGGGACTGTGGGCATGGCAGAGCACAGCATGCCCCTGCAGGAACTGGGCGGCGGGCAGGGAATGCCTGAGAAAATCCTGGGCATAATTGGCCTTGCCAAGCTTGTCAGCTGCTCGGTGCTTGCTGTCATCACACACGCAGAGAAGGTACCACTTTGGTCTCTGTTTCTGAAGAAAGAAATATGTCTGCATTGGTACTCCTGATCAGATTTGTTTCTGAAGAAAGAAAGATGTCTGCATCGGCACTATCGATCAGTGATGCAGGCTGATCACAAGATTAAATTTATGCATCGTGAGACACTGTCTTTGCTGCAGGTGGCTGAAATCCGGGGTCATGCGGTCTACAAGGTGACGGGCACACGCCTGATTGAGAGCGGAACCAGCCCTTCAAAGGACGATCCAAAGTGAGAAGCTCCAGCCAATGCCCAGCCTCTTCTCTCTTCTGAGCATGGTGAAACCTCTCAACGGATGCAGCGATGTGATTGTGTGGACTGATTGTACTTTGCAGGTACATCAGCCTGCTGAAGACCGCCCTCAACCCGGCGGAGGCAGGACGAGGCCTCTACTTCTCCTACGGCGCAGACGTGACCCTGACGCAGCAGCGCTACGCGGAGACTCAGGGCAAGGGGGAGGAGGCTGGCAGGTTTGTGGGCGAGCGGGCCGAGCCGCGCTTCTTATGGAACCGCCACCTGCTGACGCTCTTCCTAGGTGCTGACCTCCCCTGCACATGGCCCTCATGGATGGTGTCATTACCAAAGCATGATTGCCACATGTGATGCGCACGGTCCCTAAGCCAGGGGTAATTTTGGCCCTCTCGTTGTTGTGGTAGTGTTCCAGTTGCGACAGACCAGCGCGAGCAGTACCACAATGACCTGATGGCCGTGATCACTATTGGCTAAACTGTCACAAGGGGGTGGGGCCTTACAATCCGCGTGCTGAGCAGCCAATGCAGCAGTGTTTGAATTGCAGTAAGGGCGCCCCGTATGGCAAGTGAGGGGGATGTGGGTGTTGGTGTGCAGAGCCGACAAAGATGCCCATTGCGGAGGGGGGCCCCGAGGTGGAGGTGCCGGCGATGCCGGAGCTGGCGCAATTTGTGCTGCCGCTGATGCAGGGCAGCGTGCACCAGATCAGCAACCTGCGCTTCCAGACCTCCGTCGCCGACTACACCGGCTCGCTCACCCTCATCGCGCGCCGATCCGCCCAGCGCCCCGGTGTGCGCCACTGGCGCCGCGGAGCCGAGCCCACGGTCAGTCTTCTCGCCCTGTCAACCTGTCTTTCTGTGGGTGATATTTGTGCTGGTGGTAGCATGCGGCAGCACACAAGCCAGCACAACCTGACATACGCGCTCCGCGAGCACTTCTGTGGAGAAGTGTCATGCAGGCAGAGTATTAAGTCTTGATTGTACTGGCATGCAGGGGAAGGTGGCCAACTTTGTGGAGACGGAGCAGCTGGTTGAGCTGACTGCACAGGGGTCGTCCAATCCCGCGGTAGTCTCTTCCTTTGTGCAGGTCCGCGGCAGCATTCCGCTGCTGTGGAGCCAGATCCCCAACATCAAGTACAAGCCCACCACCCGCATCAGCCCCCCCTCAGTCTATGAGCCGGCGTTTGACAACCACATCAATGACCTCATCTCGTCCTACCAGGTGAGCTTCTGCTGCAGGCTCATTGCGATTTCTGCTTTTAGGGTTGCATGCATTACTAGCAATCTGACCTGGACCAAGAGCTCAGGAACGCCTCAATGCAAAGGAGGCCATGATCCCCTTGTTTTGCCATGCAGAATGTGCTGGCTGTGAATTTGGCCAACCAGAATGGCAGCGAGGGCATCTTGGGCAAGGCTTTCAAGGAGGAGGCCGAACGCTTTGCAAAGGTCAAGCCTGGCTTCGAGGTCATCAGCTTTGACTTCCACAAGGAGTGCGGCGCCACACGCTACGACAGGTATCTCGCCACAGCACGCCCTCCTGGATCTTCCTATCCTTACTCCAAATAGGATGGCCCCAGGCAGCACTATACAGTATGGACAGGGGATGCCATGATTCTGTTGTGCAATTGCTGTGAAGGCTATTTTTACTGTGTGAAGCACAGCTTGGCTGGCATGTAAGTTTGCTGGTGATGCTCCAGACTGGAGAAGCTGTGGGCGATGATCGAGCCGTTTGTGGAGCGTTTCGGCACGTTCCAGGCGAACGGCGAGCAGCGGCGGCAGAGCGGCGTGCTGCGCATAAACTGCATCGACTGCCTGGACCGCACGAACGTGGTGCAGGGGTGGCTGGCGCGCAAGCAGCTCGACCGCCTGCTGGCCCAGCTCTCGCTGCTGCCCCAGGGCTCCTCTATCAAGGAGGCCTTCCCAGAGGTGCGCCTGCATGCTTCACATTGGTACTGCGGACAGGGGCCATCAAATCCCGACTTCTTCTCCCCATTGAGACAAAGAGGCCAGGGGATGATGGGTGAAAGGCTGGATTGCCCTGCCTCCTCCCTGAAAGTTGATGAAGCTGCATGAGGTAGTCGAAGATAGAGCGTTGGGTTCCCCACTCACACAATGGTGCTCTGCCAGAAGTGCAGACTGCATCATGCCTGTCACAAGCACATTTTTTTGGTCAGCGGTTGAGAGCGTAAAGGTGGCGTCCAGAAGGATCTGATAAGGTTTAAAGGGCAGGGAGGGAATGGCAGAGACGGGGGTGCGCGGGTGCAGGTGGAGCGGCAGTTCAAGTGGGTGTGGGCGGACCACGGGGACGACATAAGCCGGCAGTACGCGGGCACGGGGGCGCTGAAGAGCGGCTTCACGCGCACGGGGCAGCGCACGATGGGCGGCCTGCTGGACGACGGCGCCAAGAGCATGACTCGCTACTTCCTCAACAACTTCCGCGATGGCCGCAAGCAGGACGCCCTCGACCTCCTCACCGGCACCTACGCCATCGCCAAAGGTTTGTTATTCTTTTCGAATTCAAATTTGAACTTACTCTCTCTGGTCTCTCGCGTGCTGCACCGCGTGTGTGGTGGTGCATGGGGAAGATTCACAGAAGGGCTAGAGCCGCAGGACATGACCAATGTAATTAGGTTGTATTACCTGGAAACAGGCTTCGAAGTGCATTGGGGAAAGTACGCAGTGGTGAGCATCGCTTGGAAGGAACGCAAGAGAGAAATCTTGGGATCCAGTGCTAAAATTGGGCTGTGGCTGTGCCTGCAGACAAGCCGTCCCCCTTCAAGGCCTCCTTCACTGGGCTCCCCATCATTGCGGTGGCCTTGTTGCTCATGCTGCTGGCAGCCGTGACAGGCTTCCGTACACTGCTGGTAAGTCATGTGCTGCCCTTGATGGACAAATCCTCTGTGAGTGTGTGCTCCATTATTCTGGATGTAGCCTCAAGATCACTGCTGTGCAGGGCAAGGGCGAGGGAGGGGCGGTGTATACTGTGCAGGCTGTACTCCTGCCCATCGTCCTGGCAGTGGTCCTCCTGCAGCTGGTGGTCAAGAATGGCAAGAAATGGGTCGACAGACCACAGCTCTGCCCAGACATGTCGCAGCCCTGGTGAAGGTCAAAGCCTGGGTTTGTGTCTCAGTCACGCTTGGGCTGCTGCTTGCTTTGCAGGGCAGGTGCCAAGGCACACCAGTGTTCTGATCAAGTGTGTTGGTCAGTGTGTTCATGAACATCAGGATATTCTTTTGTAGAGATTCGCGGATCACTGGCGGCAGCATCAACAATAAAGATGTCAATTGACTGCAACCCAATATTATGAATCATCTCTTCCTGTGCAGACATCTGTACTGTGCTAGGGCTGAAAAAGGGGACATAATCATCTGCCGGCACAGGCGCCTGTGTAAGGGGTGAAAAGAGACGGTGACCTCGACTGTGTGCATTTGTCAGATATGCTTGGTGCATGCATGTATGACGTTGTATTTAGCAATTGCCATTTGAGAGAAGAGATGTCTAGATGCAAGACATACAAGCTCGAGGCATGCACTGCGCAGTGCGAGCGCCAAGCAGGGAGAAAGGGCTGCCTCGCAGTGTATGTGCAATGCTAGTGACATGCAAGACACCTGTATATAGCAGTTGCCAGTGGCAAACGCCTGTATTGACAATCAACGTTACACATTTTCTATTACATAAAGGTATGGCGTTCACCAATCACAAATCTTCTGAGAATTCGAGGCCCCATTGCTGTGACTGTGAACACAAACCACAATCTGCTACTTGCATGGTCAGCGTTTCAGCAATATAATGCTGCAGCCATCTTGCTACCATTACTGGTACTCAAACTCGCCTGAAGAAAGCTAATATCTTGAAGACATTGCCCTCAAAAAGTGATGGCAACAAGCGCCACACTTGTGATTTCTCACATCTCTCATTCTGCTCATCACTTCTTGAACTCAAACATTGTCACTCTCACGCAGACCATCAATGCGCAGGCTGCACATTGGGTTGTACAGATGATGGATGGACAACCCTTGAACTGTCACACCTAATAAATTCAGGAGCATGCGTTTCGGCGTGGTTCTCTCACTTCTGCTCGTCCTCTGCAGCAGGAACTTGGCAGGGCTCCACGTGCCAGATCTCCTCTGCATATTGCTGGATGGTGCGGTCGGACGAGAACTTGCCGGATCCGGCTGTCGACATGATGGACATGCGCGTCCACCTTGCCTTGTCCTTGTACACCTCATCCACCTTTGCCTGCACATGCACAACCGCTGCGTCAGTGGCACGCCCAGGCCCACACACTCCCTGCAACTATAGTCATTCGGACAAATCTGTAGCCATTGTCAGGCTGGCGTGCTGGCACGTGCCCTTGGTGCAGCATGAACAAATGCTTTGGAGTGGATTTGGATTGGAGTGGAGATGCGTTGATGAATTCAAAGCATAGATTGACAGGATCCCTTGCAAGCCTTTGCACATATGGGGGCGGCAGGAGAATGAGTGACAGAAACGAGGCGCTAAAACATCAATTTCTAGGATGTCAGGCACAGACCTGGGCGTCGATGTAGGAGGGGAAGTCATTGGCGAGCAGGTAGTAGTCACCGCCGGACGTGACAGAGTCGACCAGCGGCTCAAAGAAGTCCGCCCACCCAAACACGCCCTTTCTGATCAGACCCACCACGTGCTCAAAACGCGAGTCCGGCTGCACAGCACACATGTTATTTTCCATGAGCCTTCCAAGTCAGGCAAATCACACCAAATGCTCTGCCCTCCGCCAAGACATTTGACTATTGTTTGATTTGCATGCATGGGTGTGTGAACTTATATTCACTGCCCTTTTGCTGCATGTGGTCATGGCGGGCTATCACTTGCTCAAACAAACACGCAACCCGAATTGCCACTCAGCAGGGGAGTGGGTGGTCATCGGGCGCACCTTGAAATTGCGGCGCTCCTGGCGCAGGCGCTGGACTTCTGGCGTGAGAACGCCAAATATGAACATGTTGTCCTCGCCAATCTCCTCCGCAATCTCCACGTTGGCGCCGTCCATGGTCCCGATGATGAGCGAGCCGTTCATGGCGAACTTCATGTTGGAAGTGCCCGACGCCTCCGTGCCCGCCGTGCTGATGTGCTGGCTCAGCTCACACCCTGTCGGACAGCATCCATGCTTCCAACAGTTGCTCTTTAAGGAAACTTCCATCTGCCGTGATCTGCTTGCCCATGCCCTCTTATCGATCGATTCTTTGGATGTCATCAGCCTCACGAAGAGAATACGGTAAAGCTCCCACCCACAGCACAGCCCAAAGTATGGAGGATGGAAGGAAGGCGCTGGGTGGATGTGAGGCTGAAGGGGGAGGGGGGAGAGGGCAGGAGCTTGCCTGGGATGATGACCTCAGCGAGGGACACATTGTAGTCGGGCACGAAGACGAGCTTCAGCAGGTCGCCGACGTCTGGGTCGGAATTGATCTTGTTGCCCACCGCGCTGATCAGCTTGATGATGCGCTTGGCCATCTCATACCCGGGTGCCGCCTTGCCGCCAATCACGCACACGCGCGGCACCACCTGCATTATTATTGTTTAGAAAAGAGTGCCTTGTGATGTGCATGCAAACGGAGCACAGAAGTCTCATGTGCAGAGTGCCCCATGACTCATGTGACCAGTGGCATGGGGCGGAGTACCTGTGCGCGCTGGTCGGGAGACATCTTTTTGATCTGATCGTAGCGCCAGATGATGCCGAACACATTCAGCAGCTGCCTCTTGTACTCGTGTATCCTCTTCACCTGCAGCACCACACGTTGTTCCCATCAGACACTCATTCTTACCCAAGTGCATCTGAATGGGCTGTGCGCAACCAAAGCACTTTGCATGGGAGCTGGAAGGCATGCCTGGATGTCCAGCATGACGTGGTCAGAGATCTGCACGCCGGTTATGTCCCTGATGTGTGCTATGGCCTTGGACTTTGCAATGGCCTTCACGTCCGCCCACTTCTGCTGGAACTCTGGGTCATCTGCATGCGCCCGCAACCCCTGCACCAGGCAGATCACCATGTGTTACCCCCAAAATCTTTGCCTATTTCTTACCCCCTCCTGCCAGCAAGCATCAAAAGTGGGCCTGACTGATTGCTCTGGCTGTTGCTATTAAGAACCACGACAGACTACTCGTCATCTAGTTCTTATTTTGCAGATATATCATTTCTTTTGAAGGATTGAGAAGGGGAGGATCTCAGTCGGGAAGAGAAGGACCTGGAGGGCGTCGAGGTGGTTGATCCAGGCCTCGCTGCCGAGTGTGTCGGTGATGAGGGCGCGCAGGGGGGCGTTGCAGAAAGCGAGCCAGCGGCGGGGGGTGACGCCGTTGGTCTTGTTCTGGAACTTCTGCGGCCACAGGTCGGCAAACTCCTTGAAGATGGTTTCCTTGATGATGTCCGAGTGGATGGCCGCCACCCCGTTCACAGTATGGCTCGCCACAACCGCCAAGTACGCCATCCTCACATACCTGCACAGCAGCAAACTCACTCTTAATGACAATCTTACCCTCAAATTTAGATTTATATGACATGCCAGAGGGCCAGCCTCTAGAGACACTGTTGCAATTTGAGCTGCATGTGAGAGGCGGGCGCACAGCACAGGAAATGACGCTGGACTGACTGATGTTGCAGTGCTTCCTCAAGCGACAGAGGCGGCCTAGCCTCAGGCGCAAAGGCCACCCCTGAGATAATGTATGTTGCAGATGGAAACGGGAGAGGGTAAGTGTGTGAGGGGCGCGCACTTTTCGCCGCCGGAGCCGTCCTCGATAATGGACATGCGGCCAATGCGGTCCCAGTCGTCGCCCAGCTCCGCGCGCAGCTGCTGCAGGAAGCGCCAGTTGATGTCAAAGATGATCTGCATGTGCCGCGGCAGCAGCTTCTCCAGAAGGCTCACCGGCCACTTCTCCAGCGCCTCCGGCAGCACCGTGTGGTTCGTAAACGCAAACACCTGCCCATATTTTCTGCTCAGTCCTCCATGTGCGAGGGTGCCATTTTTATCAGCAAGCAATGCATTGATACATACATTGATGGGAAAAGAGCTCAACATGTGCCTCAGACAGCGCAAATGGGAAGCAAAAGCAAACGCGCAGCCGCATCTCAAAGTGCTGGGGAGCCATCCACAGTGATAGTCCATGCAGTCTATTGATGAGACATGAGGCCGATAGTCCTAGAACAAGCAAGGCAGCCAGATATAAGATGTGGGAGAAAAGCTCCATTTGAGGGGCAAGCAGCACCGAGGCGATTCACCTTGTTAGTGATCTCCCAGGCCTTGGTCCAGCCCATCTTATTGTCGTCCATGAGCACGCGCATGAGCTCGGGCACCGCGATGGTCGGATGCGTGTCGTTCAGCTGGAAGGCCACCTTGTCCGGGAACGCGTCAAACGTGTCGTGCGTCTCCTTGTACCGCCTCACCACATCCTGCGACAGCGCACTCACAGACATTCAGGGTCTGTCACCTCAGCGTTTGGTTGATTGGGTATTCATGCATGAACAGCATGCAAAAATAAATGGGGTATATCGACATGCCTGTATTGTGGCAGAGACGAAGAAGTTCTGCTGTTTGAGGCGCAGCTCCTTGCCCTGGTAGGTGCGGTCGTCTGGGTACAGCACGGATGACAGCGTCTCAGCGCGCTGCCTTGACAGAATCGCCTGCGCAGGCGACCAGTCCAGTTAGCAGAATCGTTGAATGGCAGAGGCATGTGAATGCATTTCTGATCAACTTGTGTGTGTGCATGACAATGGCAGACCATGCGCGCCCCCACCTGAACATAGTCACCGGTGTTGAAGGCCTCCAGGTCAAACTCCTGCCCGGGCTTGGCGGCCCACAGGCGCAGGTTGATTGTGTTGTTGGTTTGGAACCCTGGGATGGGGTTGTCGTAGGCGATAGCCGCCACCTGCATGTCACATGAATTTCATCACTTCACCGGTGCAATATTGCTACCAGTGTGTGGATAAAGCATTTGCATCTGGTGGGCAGAGGTCTCACCGTCTCGCCGGGGTTCCATCTGAACACCTGGCGGCCCTCCTCCTCATGGACAGACACGTGGCCGTAGAAGTTGATGGGGTAGCCCACGTTCAGGCGCTCGATCTCCCAGGGGTTGCCGAAGTTCAGCCAGTAATCCGGCTGCTCGTGCTGGAATCCGTCCACTATGGTCTGCGTGAGCACAGCCATCACAAATCAGACATGGCGTCTGTGTGCTTCATGCATGCACCAGCCTTGGTCTGAATCTGCCATTGAATGTCAGTGTACCCAAAACAGTGATGTGTGCAGCAAGGCACAAAACACTAAAAACAGTATCAACTTCTGACGAGGGTGCCTTTGCAGGTCCAGGGCAAATGGCAAGACACATGGGCTTTTTACCAAATGTGTGTAGTGTGCCCTGGCAAACAACAGGGAAAGTGGAGGTGGAAGCTGGGCGTGCCTGGCGGAACATGCCGTACTGGTAGCGGATGCCGTAGCCCCAGGCGGGCAGCGAGAGCGTGGCCATGGAGTCCAGGAAGCAGGCGGCCAGCCGGCCGAGGCCGCCGTTGCCGAGGGCGGCGTCACGCTCCTTCTGGATGAGGTCTTCCAGCTGGTACCCCATCTCGCGCAGCGCCTCTGTGTACTGATCCACCACGCCCAGGTTGTTCAGCGCGTTCAGCAGCGAGCGGCCCATCAGGAACTCCATGCTCAGGTAGTACACGCGCTTCGCGTCCACGTCCCTGCGCGCGTGCAAGGTTCAGGCCGCTTGTTTGTACGCACTGCTCTGCGTGTTGTGACTGACAGGTTTGGACTGGCACTGACGGCTCTTTTCAGATCCCACTTTGCTGCGCGTGCTTTTGGCAAGCTGCAGTACTCTTTTTGAAGTCCTGTTTTTGCAACATTCTGGGTTGCCGTTGCGCACAGAATGTCAATTACAGCGCCTGTTGATTGCTCTGTCTCGCAGTGCAACATGTGCTCTGGGTACATGTGCACCAGGGACGGGCGGCTCACTTGAAGTACTGCTGGGTGTCGTTCCAGGACTCTATTAAACGGTCCCTCAGGCTGAGCGCGGTGGCCTGGTACGCCTCCTGGTTGTCAAAGCTGTTGCGGCTCCTGGCCAGCGTGTACTCCACGTGGTTCACGATAGACTCCTCGATGCTCAGCACATCGTTCTTGATGTAGGTGTCTGCAGCAGGCTCAGCTTGGTCAAAATGCATGTGCTGAACCAGGGAATGCTCTCAATCACCAGAGGGTTTGTGCTGTAAGGGGTGGCACACACGCACCCTTCAGATTGTATAGTAGGGTTTTATTGTGGGCGGCGGTGTCGGCAATGCCATCACCGACAAGCGGACGCTTCCCTGAGCTGACACGGGCTAGAATGCGCCCCGATGTGTTCGCCAGTCTTTCTAGCGAGGCACGCAGCTTGTCGATGTCCTTCGGGTCCGTGACTTTGCCGCCACCAAGCTGCAAATTCAGGCACTCATCAGAAGCCAAACCCGTGCAAGCTCAAGCCCAAGTGCGAAAGTGCCGGTGGTCTTGTCAGGCTGCAAGCCATACCGCAGTAATGAAGAACTTGTCCAAGACGCGCCCGTTGCTCCCATCCACTTCAGCCTGTTCAGGATCCCCAGCTCTCTCAGCAAGAGTATCGATGGGAAAGGGATCGATCGGCCAAGTATGCAGAAGTTCCATGCAGCAGACAATCCGTGGCTCAGCAAGATGTTCATAGTGTGTAGGCCCACCTTGCCTACATCCAATCCCAAGTCGCGGAATGTCCCAGAGATAGAAGTGAGAAGTCCTGGCCTGTTGAAGCCAGAAATGGTGACCACGGTGAAGTCGCTGTCCTGCGCGTTGTCGATGGAGACGTACACCCCCTCATCCTGTGCTGGAGCTCCCACTGATGCCGCAGCTCTGACTGCAATATTCTGCGAAGCCAAGCTTGGTCGAATAGGGCTTGAAGCGTTGCCAGGCCTAGCACCTCTGTTCGGCAACCGATTGCCGCAGAATCGACGGCAGCCATCTCTCAGATATAGAGCGGACTTGACATGGCCCGGCAGCACGCTGCTAGGCACTCCAGGCGTCACCAGGCCCGGTGCCATGCTGCTATAGATTTCCAAAGAAAAAAACACTAGACAACTCGCCTTGTTAAACTCTTCAGAACATTTTCCAGGTATAGTTGGGCCTGAAAGCACCCAAATGAATGCACAGCCAACGGATTCCTTGGAGATAGAGAGCAGAAAAGTATCCCAAAACGGTATCTTATATCTTCTGCTCCTGTTTAGGCAGCCTGGAGCCGCACGGCCGTGACGCACATCAACTCTCGTGCATGCATGGTCCATCTGGATTGTTGTGCAATCAAAGGATGGTCCTGTAGACTTCATCGCTTAATTGCCTCAAACGTGAAGTGCCACGGCTTGTAATTGCTGGAATGCTTTTGTGCCATCAATAGCGTATTTGAGATGGGCAAGGAGAGGCGCATAGGGGGGCCGACCCGGAGGGCTGATTTGAACAATGCAAGGGGTACTCCCTATAGTAGGCCCTCAGGAAGCACCCAAAACCCAGCGAATGCTCGTGAGAGAGACTTTGTGCGAGGAGGAGAATCAAGTCAGCCAGCTCATCGCCAGCATCCGATGCAGGACAATGATGCAGAACGCAGATCTTCATGGTCTTCGTGGGTGTACACCCCTTTGAAGGCATTGAAGGTAAGAAGATATACCAGGAACATGGCATCGCACTTTTGTGCTGGTCCACCAGATCAGGAGCTCGTCTGACCGGGTTGCATTTTTGATGCAGGAATCGTACATGTATCTGTCCAAATCTCCGATCAAAACCGATGAGGTGGACGACAATGATGGCGGTGCGCTTTGTGGGTCTCCCTGACGTGCAGACAGGAGTGATATCACTCCCACCAATCTTAAAGATAAAAGTTTGAAAGATTTTGTGGGTGGTACAGGACATCTCAACAACCAGACCGCCAGCTCGACAGCTGCAGAATTGGTCGAGGAGGGAGAGGTGGGTGTCAGTCCTGTCAAAGCTACTGCAGCAAGCCATGTGTTCAATTCTTGTAGCTACTGCAACAGGTGCACGGCTGGGACAGAAATCTCTTATGTGGGGCTAACTCATTGCTGAGAGTCAGAATCATCCTGTTGCCTGTGGCCCGCAGGCCCAGTCACAGAAAGCAGCGGACCAGTACTCGTCAATGGAGGAGCAGGCAGGGCCATCCCAGCCAGTAGACATGGCCTTGCCGGAGCGCCTGTTGGGCACTTTGCCAACCCTGCCCAGCCGTCTCGACGCTGTAACGCCAGTACGGCCTTCAGGTGTCTCAGGCGAGGACTAAGGACCACCATGTCTGTGCTGTGTGCATCACAGATTTGCAAATGCTCTTATTCTTTTAAGTATGTCAATTACAATGTGCAAAGAACTCAGACTGAGGCCTGATGCACAGAGGGCGCAGGTTCCTCGTATGAGGATATCAGGGCGCGCAATGTGACGCTGCTGAGCAACAGCCCTCTCGCGGCTGGATCGCCATGGCAGCCGCGGCTGAGGCCGGGATCGGGATCTGTGCAGCCGTCGCCAGCGCAGAGCAGCGGTGCAGCCGGCACACCGATGGGCCAGCTACCCACCTCCCTGTTGAACAGGCCCTTCAACTCCGTTGGCCCCAGCAGATTCGGCCTGCGCGACGGCCCAGCCCCATCACCCCTCGCTCTCACTCCGGCCGTGCAGCCCTTCCGCACCACCGCACACAGGTACAGCTGGTCGATGCTCTTATGACCTGACACTTTGCACACAGTTGCACACAAACGATGCCCGAGGACTGCCAGACGAGGAGACTCATGTGCTGTGCTGTGTTGCCAAGCAGGGGCAATAAACCATTTGCGCGCACGCCGATCCACATGCAGCCGCTGTCTTTAGTGCCACCGGGGAGTGTCCCGGCGTCCGCTGCCGGCGCGGCTGCAGCCCCGGAGCCAGCGCCGCTGAGCTGGACGCCCATGCGCACCTACTCCAGCATGCAGCCCCGCGCAGGTGCCGCGCTCAGCCTCAAGAGGGGCCGCACGGATGGCAGCCCCCTGGGCACGCCCCTCCTGGGCGCAGGGCTCGCCGCTGACTCTGACCGGCGCATCCGCCGGCGCGGCGAGCAGGTCTGCCTACTTCCCATTTCCATGCTCTCAGCCTCTTCAGAGCTTGCAAGTGCTCATCCATATTCTGCCACCCTGTGAGATCTGAGGTGCGTGATCGGACTGTTCGGCGTGCAGGGGGAACGAAGCGCAGAGCGGCGCGTGTGGAAGGCGGGTCAAACGCCCTACAGCACAAAGGGAGCAGCTGGCAGAGATGTGCTGGCCATTGAGGGGCCATCAGCATCAGAAGGCACCCAGGTGGCTAACGGACTGCTGGGCAAGAGGGAGCCGCTGCCAATGACAGAGTCGGCTCGGCGCATCGCCATGGCTCTGGACGCCATGCTCCCTGTGAGTGACACTCCATCCCTTGAGCTGTGAAGAGCATGCTTCCAGTCTGCTTGTAGCGCTTCTGTCAGCATCTTTGGCACCAAGGATAGGCCTGATTTTGTCAATGCCATCTGTGCAGACGGCTTCATCCCAGGGGCCGGCTGATACAGCCGCTGCATCTACGCCGCAGAAGCCAGTGGCCCCTCCCAGCGATTCTCTGGGCGTGGCTCCTGCGCCGCTCCTATCCACCGTCGCTCCGGCCCCTGCCTCATCGTCCTCGCTGGCCCTGCCCCTCACCCTGCCCCTGGATGCATTCCCAAAGCCAGCCACCTTGTCCTGGGGTTCCCAGCCACCGCCTGCCTCCAGCGCGGTGCAGGCAGCACCAACTTTGGGCCAGTGGTCTGCCGCGGCCACTGCTGCACCTCCTGCAGCTTCATGGTCCAGCTGGAGCCCAGCTGTTGCCCTCCCAACAGACCTTACTACAGGTGACGGCTCCAGCACATGCTCTCATCACAATCTCTTGCATGATGTCATCATACAATATTAAACATTAAATCACATGACCAACATTGACATGTGCGAACCTTGTGTGCAACAGGCAAAAAGGACTCTCCTCCTTCGCCCACCCCCAGCGCTGCAGCTGCTCTGCCTCTCACCCCGGTCGGTCCATCACTGCCTCAGCCATCGCTCTTCAAATTCTCAAATGCTCACAAGGTGTGAGTCCATGCAAAAGACTTATGCCTACATCGGAGTTGCCCATGGTGTTGAATACCCTGTGCATGAAGCAAAGCCATGACGGTTGATCTTTCCTGGGCGCCCGCTAAGAGCCAGCATGCTGATGGTCCAATGGATGTTGCTCAGGTGAACAACATCCCCGATGGGCCGGCGGCAATGGAGGAGTCAACAGAGGTAGTGTCGGAGAAGTTCTCCTTCAGGCCGGCAAGGAGCCTGCTGGACAGCGCGGAGAAGCTAAAGCAACAGGCCCCGCCGGTGCAGCCACAGCGAGGGGCAGTCACGCCTGAGAAGGTGCTTGCTGAGAACAACAGGGCGGCGGCAGCTGCGAGCCAGCCCCTGCCGGTCTCAGACAACGAAGATGACGAGGAGAACTTGGATGAGGATGGCAGCGAGGACGGCGACATCAAGGGGGTTACGCGCTCATCGGCTCGCACAGAAGAGAATGGCATTGCCCCGGAGGCCGCCACCAAGGAGGCAGCGACACCCGCCCCCGCGTCCGGCGGCTGGGACTTGAGCTTCCTCAAGAAGAACCAGGCGCAGGCGGCGGCCGCGACGGATGCGGCCGAGAAAGCGATTGCGGCAGAAAAGTCTGGTGCTCCTTCGCAGCCGCAGGCGAGCGCTGCGACGGGTGGCTGGGGCGCGGACTTCCTCAGCGCAAACAAGGCGGCTGTGGGCGCTGCCACTGCCGCAGCCAAGGCTGACCTTGACAAGAAGGCCGGCAAGTCAAGCTCAGGTATGCTGCGCGCCACCGTTGTCCTTGTCGTCTTCTTTCTGCCTCCTTGAATTTTGATTGATGTGCTGACATGCCGGCACCTTGCCTGCAGGCGCCACTCCAGCGCCGTTTACTATCAGCTTTGGCAAGCCGCAGACACCAGCGCCAGACACAGCAGCTTCTTCCGGCTCAGGCACGCATCATACTGCCCGTTGCTTATGTGGTACCTAACCGTCACCTGCGTGGACCTCCATGCCGTTTAGAGTGGTGGTGCTGAGTTTCATGGCGTGTGCGCAGGCTTGCTGTCGTTCCTTGGGTCTGTGGTACCCGGCTCGTCGTCGACAGCATTTGCGCCCTCCACGTTCTCTGGCTTCTCCTTTGGCCTCAAGCAGCCCGCGGAGGCTTCAGACCCGGCCGCCACATGTTCCATCACCGCCGTCGCGCCAGCATCCAGTTCTCTGCCTGCCTTCCTGGCTTCCAGCACGCCCGCTGCTCACGACGCCACTGAGAACGGCGATGCAGCGGTGAGCCCCTACAGCCTTACACTGCTGGCGCATTGCACTGCAGTGCCTACCGCCATTGGTGTGAACCCCGAGTGTGTGTACCCATCGACATGGACTTCATCGAACCTTGACACACCTTTGTGTGGCTTTGGTGTAAGTTTAATTGCCTATTTGCTGCAGGTATCACTGGCGGATGGGCCAGGCTGGGCGCTCCCCAAGAAGGCCAAAGCCAATGATGTTTCTCCTCCAAGCGCTGGCTTCACCTTGGACGGAACCGCGATGACATTCTCCTTTCCAGGGGCCTCCGCCTCCTCGGCTCCAGCCACCACTGCAGCCGCCACGCCCTCGCAGCCAGCGCCCTACAGCTTTGGCGCTGCCACAGAGGGCAGCAAGCTTGCAAAGACAACAACAGCCACGGCGACAGCTGATGTCCTCACAGACGCAGCCGCCTCGGAGGCTCCTGCGGGCGCCAGCATATTTGCTCCAAAGTCCTTCGGCGCACCAGTGTCGTTCGGGTTTTGTGCCGCCTTGCAACCTGCATCCTCGACTGCGGCGTCGACTCCGTTCCCCTTTGGAGCGTCCTCTGCCGCGACTGAGGGGCCAGCCAAGGATCCCATCATGTTCCAGCTGAAGCCTCGGGCAGCGCCCTTTGTGCCCTCCACGGGGTTCCCCTTTGGCAAGACGGCCGCGGACGCGGGCAAGGGGGACAGTCAGGAGCTGCCCGAATCTGTTCCCACTGGGCTGAGCCTCACCCAGGCTCAGGTGCGCCTGCTCCCTCTTGTGCCTATATTGTTTCTCATATCTCGTCATTGATCTCGATGTTCAGTGGTTGCCTCGCAAAGACTGAGAAATCCTGCATGTCTGCCTACAGGGAAGCGGGCGGAGCCTTGACAGCAACATGTCCGTGTCGCCGTCGGCCGGGTCGGCTGGGGCCGCCAACCCCTTTGTCGCGCTCGAGACAGGGCTGACAGCACTGGCGCCCTCCACCACCGGCTTACCCTCCATGATCCCTGCCTCCTCTGCCGCCGCTGCCTCATCCTTTACCTTTGGAGCGGGCGCAGCATCGGCCGCCGCGATCTCAGGATTCCTGGCCCCAGCCGCCAGCATGGGCATGGGCTTCAGTAGCGGCAGCATCACGACGTTTGGGGGCCCTGCTAGCACGCCGGCCTTTGGGGCGGGCGCGGTCTCTGCTCCAGCGCAGTCCAGCGCCGCAGTGGGCATGTTTGGGGCCAGCGCCAACAGCGGCTTTGGAGCGGCGGCCAGCGCGCCGCCCTTCGGCGCACCGCCTGTGACCGCTCCAGCATTTGGGGTGGCCAGCACCCCGGCGTTTGGGGCAACCCAGTCGGGCTCTCTGGTGTTTGGCGCGTCCGGCACTCCTGCATTCGGGGCATCCAGCACGCCAGCCTTTGGTGCAGGCAGCGCACCGGCGTTTGGTGCCTCCACCGTGCCGTCTTTCGGGCAGGCTTCCACGCCCGCCTTTGGAGCCGGCAGTGCCCCCGCATTCGGCGGTTTTGGCGGCGGCGGCGGCGGCGGATTCGGCGCTCCTGCTGCGCCTGCCTTCGGCGGTGAGTGGGCTGTTCTGAAGCATCCCTGAAGTGTACTGTGTCTTCTCATCTGCTCCTTCCTCTACATTGAGTGATGGAAGTGTGGTAGTAGGGCGTGTTGGACGCGATTTCCTCCTTGAATAAGTTCTCGATCCTGCTCTCATGTCCTGGGTGGATTTGTGCAGGCTTTGGCGGCGCGGCTGGCGCGTTTGGCGCGCCCCCGCAGAGCGCTCCGGCCGCGGGAGCGCCCTTCGGCGCCTCCCACACTGCACCTGCCTGGGGCGCTCAAGCGACCAGCACCCCCACCTTTGGTCAGGCGCCCGCGCAGCCCAGCGCGAATGCAGCTCCCGGCCCCTTTGGCGCCCCTCTGCAGCCAGCCTTTGGCCTGCAGCAGCAGCAGCAGCAGCCGGGCCCAGCAAACCCCTTTGGCTTCCAGGGCGCGCCAAGTGGCGGCATCGGCGGAGATGCAGCGTCTGGGTTCACCATGGGCGCGGGAGACAGTCAGCAGCAGGGGCAGCAGGGGCAGATGGCCCGCAGGAAAGTCAAGGTCAAGAGGAAGGGCAGATGAGCCGGGCGGGAGTGCAGAGGAGCTGATTTTGGCCAGAAGTTCAATAGACTGACAGCAGCCCTTAGAGAGGAGTGATGGCATCCACCTTGAGACCAGCTTGTCTGTGTCTGGTAGCCTAGTTGTCATCCTGTTTACTTTCAAGCAGCAGACCCGCATTTGATTAAGGGTGCATTCTTTCTTGGCCAGGATTGATTATGGGGAAGGTCTCCGGAAACTTGGAGACCAGACAATGTGTGCCTCTTATTTATGTCGGGTAGGCAACTGGAGTGATTGGGTTTGTGTTGGCTGCAGTGCAGTTGATTGCTGAAGTGAATGGCATCAAGACGAGCTGAATGGCAACACAGGCAGATTGGCAATGTCGCCGCTATTGAGATCAGCTGGACAGTAAGTGGTAATAACTCTCACCCAGCAGCTGCTGAGCTGCAAATGGACACGTGCCATATCTCCACAAAATCCTTGCAGTGCAAGTTTTCTATCCCCCATCACGTTACACCAAATGCTGGATGTCCTTTCAAGGTTGTTTGCCACAATCTATATCTGAAGTCAGCGGAAGTCATGCAACATAACACATACAAACTCCTGTGCAGTCCGACAGCAAGGACATCCATCTGATAATCCAGCACACCCCATAATTCCCTTATCACATGCGTATGAACGAGTCACCAAAACTCTCTACCTTGAAAGGCTTTGAAAAGGAATTTCTTCATCTCAACATCCTCACACCTGAGTGCATCCTTCAAGCGCAAAGGCTGCCTCCAAATACAGGCTGACATGTATCATACACCACAGGCTTCGGCAGTCTCTGCTTGGCCCTCGCACAGGAAATCAGGTACCTGCCATACACCAAAGGTGCAAAAGCCAGCATCATGTTACGAAGTCCACAAAGAATATCACACTTCCAGAACCTCATGGCATTGAGACCAGAACCTTCTGCGCAGGGGCATTGACCGCCACGATGCGCTTCTCTGCGCCAACAGTGACCTCCAGATTGGGGCCTGCTTTGCACTTGTCCAGGCACTTGCATGGCATCACCTCAACCCCCTCCTCCGCATGCATGCTCAACTCCTCCATCAGCTGGGCACTTCCCCTCTTAGAGCACGCCTTCCCTTGGCAGACTGATACTCTTGCCCCAGACAGGAGGTTGCTCACGACCTCAAGGGCATCTTTCTTGATCGGCATGATCTTTTCCTTCTTGAGCTTTGCAATCATGGGAACCACATTGCTGCTCCTGACTTCCGACACTTCTGTGTCAGCGCAGCTCTGCATCATAGGCACCTGAGAGCAGTTCTCTTGCATGTCCTCGTCCTCAGACGTACTGCTGCTGGAGCTGGAAGACATGCAAGGCTCATCCATGCCACACAGGACACCGTCCACCTGTTTGTTCCACAACCGTTTCTCAGCAAGAGATTCGCTCGACCTCAGAATCTTGTGAGAGATACTGTGCACTTGTGCAGCATAGTCAGGCGCCTGTTGTACCATGCAGAAACTAACCTCCATGAGTTGCTGCTGAAGGACCGTGCTGTCAAAGCTAGGAGAAGCTTGAAGTTCAAGGATTACATCTGCAAGGCGTTTTCTGCCGGCCTTCAACCTAGCTTCAGCCATTTTTTTCTTTTTGTTTCCGCATGTTGTCACCACTGTGCTCCGCTTCACGGAGGGCACGCGGTGTGACGCTTTGACGCCAAGCTCTTTTCCTGCAAGGGCAAGGTTCTCTCAGAATCAACCTTCCAGCTGGCATCATACTCTGCTTGAAACTTGCCTTTTCAAAACCGTGGCCACTCCAATCCCAATGACCAGGTCGTACCTTGGAAGCTGGAACCCAATCCCTTGAGCATATTCTGGGTTGCCATTCTGCTGTTCGGAGCTATGCTCCTCGACACTTGAACTTTACCAACGAAATTTTGTGCGCAACGTGTTCAACATCACCGGATCCGCAACCGTGCTGTCCAAAATTTTGCCCAAAACTCGTGAGGCCCTCCTGATGAGGGCCAAAGTGAAGGATTATGGCCCTGTGGCTAGTTCCCCTGGTAGGTTTAATTTGGCGCCAGCCACGAAGTGGCTGGCGGCCGCAGCTGCATTAATTTCAGGCAGCCACGATGGCTGTTTCAGAGGCAGATGGCTGGAACCTGAGTTTCTTGGTTGCAAGCCCTAGGATTCTTTACAAAGGCTTTGCCTACAAAAAAAGACACAAATGAGCATTAAAAGCATCACTTTGATCAAAGCTGGCTAGAGTCATCCAGTGCCGCAGCGCTGCGCTGCGGCACTGCGGCAGCGCGGCAGCGCTGCGCTAGCGGCTGGCCAGTCACTGTTACGGTTAGTAATTAAATATATTGGTACAAGTCACTTTGACTTTGTGGACATGCCACTGTAGTACAGTGACTGTACAGTGTTACACATGTGTTACGCTGGGGGACCCCAAAATAAATCGTGCCGTCACGGTGCAAGGTTACGAATTCGTTGCTTCGAAGCAGCAACCACAAATATTATACGTTGCAACATTACGTAATATATACCGTAATATGACGTATTGTTAGTATATATGGTATACCCAACCGAGATGGCACCTGGCGCGCACCACCGGTACTATAGTATACCTAGGCTGGCAGTGCATGCAGCTGCGCAGTTGCATGCATGTATTCTCGAACCCTAAAGAATCCTTGTAGCAATGATTACTGCAAAGTGCACTTGTATCCTAGACGAGCCACTGCCAGCACTGAGTGCAGTGCATAATGAAATTACATGAAATTTCCTCTCACGTGACTCTCACGACACTCTCACTTGTTCGCACTGCTAGAACCTCCCCAACTCATCAGTACCAATTGATCTTCGCCAGCGCCCTAAAAGGTGGGGACACATTGCCTACAGCCACTGGGTCGGCCCAAGCATGCTGCAATGAACACAAATATGATACAACAACGGACAATTACAAAACCAATCAAGGGCTCAACAGAGGCTCATCACGTCGGGCAAAGCTGCAACCAGAACGGGAAGTTTGCCAGCAAGATCTAGATCTTTGAATTTTTTTTGGCTATCCAACAGGTGTCATATTGTGGCCAACAAAATCCCAATACATACAAGGTACGCAACCGCACTGTCTCCAGCTTGATAGTACCAGAAGGTGCTCGAAATCCAGCTGCAATGGCATCGCATGTAAACGATGACGAAATCAGACCATGTCTTCATGGAAGGCCGAGTTGCCCCTTCATATGCGCAGGCATGAGCTGCAGCCAATGCTGAACTGAACCTGCATGTGCCTGCAATGCAGAAGATAAAATCTCAGAAAGAGAGGTTTGCAGCAGTACCAAAAACGAGCAGGGACATCACTTGGCATTGCAGAGGTTCAAGGATGCAGACTCACGCACCTTCAAGGTGCCATTCTCCTTGCCAGCTGCATCCAGATGCTCCTTGCTTTGATGCAGCTCAGCCTGTCGCTCAGCCAGCTGGGTCTGGAGAGACTTCAGATTCTGTTTCAGGTGTTCTGCAGGAAGAAGATACTGTCTCAGCTCGCCTTTGTGCATCAACAGAGCATGACCGGACATCAAGCAGCTCAGCCTCTCACTGAGGTCGACAAATGACCCTAACAAACATGTTGGAGGATATCTGAGGATACAAGGCCCAATGCTTGAGGGCAGCATGCGCGCACCCAGCTCTGCCCTGGCATCAGTGAGGGCAGCCTCTGCCTTTGCAGCCCGCTCCACCAGCTCTGTCCGCTCCTTGTCAGCGCTGTCTCGCGCCTGGAACAGCTGTGACTGCAACTTTTCCGCCATACTCTCCGCCTCCTGTCCCACACAAACCACATTTTTGCTTGAGGTCCAGACCTTGCAAAATTGCCCAGTGTCTGCGTCACGATACCTTGATCTCCAAACGTGTTGAACCCATGGTCCCAATTCACCTTGCGCTTCATCTCTGACCCATGCAACTCCTTCTGCAGGTGCTCGCAGGTTCTCTGCATCACTGCTATCTCCTTCTGAAAGCGTTGCAGCTCCTGGTCAGCAGCTTCCTTGCTCTGCATGTGCAGGAGGCTCTCGTTCCGAGCTTCCTCCGCCTTCTGTGCCAACTCCTGCACACACAGCAAGCCCATCTCACATTCCTAATTCCTTTCCACTTGCGCATGAAGCCAAACCATTGCAGCAGAGGCAGAGCACTGCAGCACAGCTCCTTGCCAAGAAGAGAGAGGGCCACGCACTGAGGAGTAAAGGCGCGCTTTCTGTGCAGCCTCGTCTGCACTCTCCTGAGCTCTCTTGGAGTGCACAAGCTCCTGCTCAGCGGCCTGCCTGGCCAGCACCTCCCTCTGCAGCCTGTCCTCCGCTATCTGGTGCTGCCTTCGCAAGGCATGCATCTCAAGGTCTGTCGCCTGCCGGAGCTCCTGCAGCTCAGACTGCAGCCGCCGCTGCGCTGCCTCTGCCGCCATCCTCTGGCCAAGACAAGCAAACCGGGTGTCAATGTAGAGATTCCCATGAATCCTCCAGAGAACAGGGAGACAGCCGCCAAAATTAAGTTCGAGACCTTCAACGTGCCCGGGCTCAGCAGACTGGACATCATCCTTGAGGATGCTTGTGCAGCATGCTGCCCGCTGAAAGGCGCGCACCTGTTTCATGAGCTCGGTGTTATCGACCATGCCCTTCAGCAGGTTGCGCTCGTGGTCCAGCGCTCTCCGCAGCTCCTCATTCTCATGCCTCAAGCGCTCCTCTTCCAGCGAAGATCCACACACCGGGAGCGCAGAGACTGCTGCTGCTCGACAGGCGCCCTGGGCCTGGCATGCCACAGGTGCCGGCTTGATCTGGACTGCAGGCACCTTTGGGACTGCCGCTGAAATATCAACAGCGCTTTCTACAAAGGCTGCGTGCCCGTTGGCAGCGCCCTTCGTCGGGTCTGTGCGTCTGCGCTTTGCCTTCATCCACTGCGAGCCCTCCGCTGCTTCTGCGCCCCCCTGCACAAGCCAAGCGTTTAAACTGACAGCCACCAGACACACGTAACACCCTGCACTCTCTACGCTCGAAGTGCAATAACATGTTGCAGGCTGCACAGGGCAGAATGGGGCATTGTGGATAAGGCCTCACCTGTTGGCAATCAATGGCGGCAACCCTGGGAGCCTTCAGACTCAGGCGCCAGGCATCTGATGCATAATGCCTTACAGACCCATACCCCGAGATGACGTAAAGATGATCTCCCACCAGCGACACGGAGTGGGCTGCTCGCTCTGCCAATGCACAATGACACCGTCAGCACAAAAAGACAATGCATGCACACTGAGGAAATTACATGAAGCCGATTGGAGAGGCAATTGGTTTTACAGCAGTACTCACCACAGGGCCGATCTGTGTCTGAGGGAGGATCATCTGTGCATGACCACCTCAACTGAGTCCTGCGCGAGATATGGAGCGTCCACAGCCGATTGAAGCGTTCCTTCTTCAGATCAGCACCGCCAAACAGAATGATCCGGTCCTCCAGGGCTGCCCCTCTGCAACAAGCAGCCGCAGTACTCAAACGGTCATCATCAAAGACTTGTGCAGGAACGCTGCGTTCCAGCAATCTAGCGCTGAGCGGCAGCAGATGATAGAAAAGATCCGCAGACCTAAGAGAAATGACACCCTCAAGCTACTGCAAAGGCACGGCAGTGAGAAGGAGGATCACCTGATGCTCGACACTGCAGGCGGTGGCTGCCCCTTTATTTCTCGGATGGGCAGCCATTGCGACTGCTTCGTGTTGTAGCAAGCCACGAAGTGCTCCTCTGACACAGGCTTGTGAGTCGTGCCGCGTCCGCCCACCACATAGCAGCAATCTCCCACTCTCTGCATTGTGTGATAGCCTCGCGCAACAGGAGCCACGCCGCTAGTTCTTACTGTCACCACCTCTAGCCTGAAGGAAGGCATCCTCAGTCAGCAGGAGGCCATTAAACCTGCATACTGTCTGCCTTCGCTGTCGGTGTTGCCCTGTCCCAGAATTTGCAGAACCATACAATGCACTGAAGCACTTGCCTCTCTGTGTCAAAATATAGTACATCGTTGAGGAATACATGGCTCTTGGCAGCATCCTTCTTTCTGGCATTTGTGGGGACCTCACTCATGCCATATCCACCAAAAACTATGAGAACTTGTGGCTCTTCAGGGTGTACAACACATCCATGAGCAGTGCGTTCAAGCAGATGCCCATTCCTTCACAGCCACAAATTTCCTCAGTGTGCAGACAGACTAACTTGTTCACAGCAAAAATGATAATTGAGACAGGCGTCAAGCAAATTCAGGAATTGGACCCCACCTTACAGGAACTTTCTCCCAGGACAACGTGACTGTATCCAACACCCAAGTGTCATTGAAGACCACGCTGGCATCTGAGCCACCAATGACCCACACTTTTCTGCCACAGCGCACGGCACTGTGATATGCCCTTGCCTGCATTTTCACAAGTAAAGGCATATGCTTCTTTTCTTGTTCCCACGAGTACTTTGACATTATTCGTTGTTCAATTGTTAGAGCACGTAGCACATTGACTGTGGAAGTGGAAAGCCTTGAGGCAGCTCTGCAGGGGAAGGCAGAAGCCACATGCCTGGAAGGGCAGCTGCTGAAATCCACAGTCCCAACGAAGAAGATGGGTGTCAAATCGTATCCAATCCTTGTAGAATTCGTCCCTGCTGGAATGGACAGCATTTATCAGGCTCAGCAGTCTGATTGATGGTTACGCTGGGTAATGAGCACCATCTAGTCAAACAGAACGTACCCCTTCCTTCCTCCAATTATAATGATATTCTTTCCCACGACTGTTTCCGTGTGACCTGCTCGCTCCAAGATCCGCCCGGCCTCCCGGCAGGATAATTGCTGCCAGAGGCCCTCTACAATCTCTTGATTTCTTAGCCTTCCAAGTGTGCGCATCGCGGTCAGGAAAGATACATGCTCAAGATAATCTGGCAATTATGTTAAGTAGTTCTAGAGTGGAGAAAACATTGCATGCATCTCCTCTGTAATAGACGCTTTTTAATTTTGTTGACTTTCTCGTATGCAACGCACACGAAGACGACGTTTCCTACAAATTTCAACAAAGAGAAACTGCAGAACTTCAACCTACCTTCAAGTTGAAGGCTTCAACCGTAATGCTGGAGCCTTTATCGAAGCGATTCTGTTGCAAGATGATGGCGCAGCGCACGCAGCACGATCCAAATTTGGCCACCCTGCTTAGGAAGCTTCACTCAGTCATCAGACTACCTTACCACACTTGAATGTTTTGCATGCCACTTGCAGATTACCACATATTGTCTTTCACGCTCACTGTGAAGAGCAGACTAGGCCTTCGGGACCAGCCGCAGGTAGCGTGGCCGGTATGCCAGTCTCAAAACCAATTTGCAAATCAACTTGAATTGAAGCTTCCGGGAGTCCCTTATAATTATATAGTTATAGTTATAACTAATATGGGGCATATCATATGATGCATGATGCTGCCGGCGGCGCGCGCGCGCCGTAGCTACCTCGCGCGGCTTTAGCCCAGCGCCGGCCGAGGACCCCGGCCGGCCGCGGTGCCATTATGGCAGAGCCGGCACCAATGTGAGGGTCTTGGTGGCCACGATCCATGAATACGATGCACTGACTGCCAGTGAGACGCGATGCTGAGGGTCCACGGTGTTGTTGCTTCAACCATATTTCTCATAATGTTGAATCATGTATAAGCACCGTGCAATTACACTGTGACTGGCAGTCACTGACGAGCCGTGTGCCCTGATGGCCATACCAGTGTTGCTGCAAAGCAGGTGTGAGAGCCATCCTATAGCTATAACTCATTCAGAACTGACATAGAAATTATTGCAGCAGTACAACCTGAGAATACCAGTGACTCAGACAATTGAAGAGGCCCTCTTCTATCCCGGTTTGGCATCAACTAGCTGCACTGAGCATTCGTGAATTATATCACTAATAAGCTAGTCTAATATAGCCCCAGGTCCTTTCACTCGGTCAGCTGTCATACTGCCAAAGCACAAGGTTCTCATTGCACGAGGCCAGAAAATCAACAGACAACATGCACACCTTTGCGACAGACACGACTCACTGTAATGTGGATCTCTCCTAGCAGATGTAGTGAGATGCGCAGCTCAACTTGCCCCAGCGTCTGAAGGAAGCCTTACACACAGATGCACCATGACGACATCCGTGCAATATTCGATGCCCTCTTGCAGCATTTCTCAAGTGGGCTCTTGTAATGCAAGTCTGCGGTAAAAGTGTTGCCCTGAAGAAACATTCACAAATTGTTGGCCAAAATATGGAATCGAATGCCATCACATAGCAGAACAGATCATCAAGGAGTTTTAGATGAACAGAAGGGTGACGCACCGTAATGCCTCCAAGGCTGTCAGATGGTGCATTGCTGCGTATGGTGCCAATAATCAAAATCACATTTGGTCCCAAGTCGCGGGATAATCCTTTCCAAACACCCATCTGAGGAGGTTGCCATCAGCTGGCTTGATGGACTTGCCACATGCTCTCACTTGCAGAGGGCGCGGCGTCCATTCTGGTGCTGTCTGTGAGACTGTTACTTCAGGCGTTTGATGCATCAGGTGCTCTCCTGCACATGCTCAATCATGTCTTACAGATGATCGAGCCTGAAGCGATTGGACGATCATCAATGCTGCATGCACATATTGCTTTGTGACAGGCACTCACCGCTGATCAGCTGCTGATCGCTGACCTCACTCTCGTCCTCAACCACAAAAACAACTTTTGCCCCGTTTGATTGAGTCACTGTATTGCTCTCTTTGGCACTCTTGGCTTGACGCAGCTCTGATGTATCCAACCTGCACACCATCAGCATAAATCAGGTTGGTAGTAAATCGCTTCACTTATGCATGGAACAAATGTTTTCAGTTGGGAAAGTCAGCCTACCTGCCGGTTCTGATGCTGTCCACTGCTGGATCATCCAAAGCTGATGACCTCCGCCCAAATACAGGGAGTATGTGCGGGGGGTCTTGGGATCCTTCACCCACATGGCTGGGACCAGGCAACAGCTCCTTTGCATGGAAATGGCCTAAGTTCATACTTCCAGGGAAAGGGGTTCCCATTGAACTCTCTGGACGATGGTCAAGCGCCTGGTAAAACGAGCTGGGCGCCGCAAAGTGCTCGTACTGCAAGTTGACTCCTTCCTGTCCCAAGAACAATGGCGAGTATGAGCCATATGCGACTGAATTAAACATTAAATGCCACTCATCAGATACTCATATAACGAAGAAATGGGGAAGTGCAGAAGCACCTGCAGTTCCAGAGTGGGGCGAGGGTAATCGCCGAATGACTGCAAATTGAGTCCCGCACGAGGTGCTCCCTACAATATAGAAATCGGAAAAAGAGGTTGTGCTCATGATTCGTCAAATGGCTTTGCCCTCTGTCCAAGAACCACTGGATGCCTGCCATACTCAACTGACCTGGAAGTGCTGCCATGGAGGCATCGCATGGGGCGTCCCCACGCGTTCCATAGCTGACGCATTCCACTGCTGAAAATTGTCAGAAACAGTGTGACCTTGCTGGTACATTCCGATGTTTCCCTGTCTAGCAAAGTGAACACTAGCCAATCATCGTATGGCAATATGACGCTCTCTGTCAATTGTCCCGAGTGCTAACTTGGATTCGGGAGGCGGGACCCCGAAGAACAACTTGAGAATTGCCTTTCTATTGCCATTGTCACGTGTACATCTACTTAGAGGCAGGGCTACCTTCCTAACGAGAAGCCTGGTAAGTAATCACAGGAATGTTTGCGGTGCACAACTTGGCCCAGACTGGAACTTCTAGGCTTTATCTCAGCAGAGTGTTGCCTGCATGCAGCTGGTGCAAAAGATTACGGGCCATATACGTATACGGGCTTCGACCCTGCAATGTCCAGCACCTGCACACTATATTCTCGGATACGAGGACGGGTTATCTCTGAGTGCGGCCATATTAAGTTTGCATAGCGACAGCGCACGCGATTGCAGGCAGGAGTCCTCAGGACAAACCAGCAAGACGAGTCAAGGCAGTTAGAAATCCACGGAAGATATGTCAGAGTCACAGCCTCCGGTAACGCCCTGGTGGCAAAAGAGCTTGCCCATGGCACAGTGCTACGAAAGTCCGTCCTCCGAGGTGCAGTGCAAGTATTACAGCCTGGCCAGCACAGTATGCAGAGTTCAGAAGGACCAGGAGGGCATCAACCAGCGTCGCTGTGAACGGCTCATAAGGAAATTGCGTGATTGCGGCCGGTATGATTCTCATTGTTTTTATCACTCCATCATTATGTGATCGAGAGCAGCTTCTGATGTGCTCCTCCTCCGCCATATCCAGGGGCTTTGAGGAGATTGAATCCACCAGTGAAGAACTGACAGAGCCAAATTTCAAGGGCAGCGATGCCGATTTGAAGGATCCAGAACGATTCTTCAGGTGAGGCTCACATCTTCTGTCACGTTACCTGTTGACACCTGCCCTAAAACATTGGCTTCACCATCCTCTGGGTGTGACTAGGGTGCCATCGAGCTCTCAGCGCGGAGGTGCCCTGGACGCAAATATTGGCGACGCAATTGAGGAGTTTATGCATTATGCGGAGGATCTGAAACACCAGGTTGCAAATGGTGGGAACCAAGCTTTAAGCTGCCTGCACACGACAAGGCTGCCCTGCGGTCCACACTGCCAAAATAGTCACCTTTACAGTCCTCGAAGCTATAGCATGAAGGCAAGGAAGGGCCTCTGACGGCGTGCCTCCTTGTTCAGCAGAGCCCAGTTCTCAGGAGACGCGCTCAGAAGCTGCATCAGATCTACAAGGTCAAAGGGAAGATGTCTGGCCGAGGAGAGGGTTTGTCGCAAGAATGTTTGCGCGTGAGGCAGAGTGCTCACCAGGTATGCAGGATATGTGGAGATTGTGTTGATTGTTGGTCTCTCGAAGTTTTGGAGAAAGAATAACACCTAATTATTGAGTCGAAATTATTGCAGGGAGGAAGCGGCCAAGCGAAAAGACATGGGAGGAATATGCCAGGGATTTCCAGGAAGTCTAGCGCAAATTCTTTCTGAGATGCACGTCGCGACAGTTGCAAAGGCCCAGGTATACATGCATGCTGATGTTGGGCAGGGCGAGGGGCTTGAAGCAAGATTTGCGCATGCAGCTGACAAAGATATCTATTTTCCTGCATTCATGTTTTGCTATTCCTAGAATAGGACTCCTCCTGCTGTGGACGTTTACTGGGATGCGTGTTTGCATCAGTAATTCAGTAGATTGAGGTACCACCGGTGTCACACATCAAGGCAAGGGCATGGTGCCTTTTGAATCTCTTCGTGCACCACTGTGGTTGTGCTGTGCTTTGCAAAGTTGACAGATTGGGTTGCGTTTTCTGTTGATGATGTCACTATTATAAGTTGGGTCCCCTTCGTCCGTGAGTACCCAGATGGGTCATGAAGTACTTGTGCAAGAGGTTACTGATGTCTTTTGACAACCATCATGCGTCAGGGCCTATGAGAGAGTCCAGAGAGGGCTGATGATATGCTGCATATTATTATTATCACACGCTTTTCCTGCCAAGAGGCAAGGTGCGTCCTGCAGACAAGCTGCAGTTGAAGGCTGCCATAATCCTACCCCTTATTGGACTCGCCAGATCCAAGCAAGACCCGTGGGCACGTGCACGGTGCTCAGTATATGCTGCATGCAATTTGTGAATAGCATGCTTTGATCGCTCCAAAAGGTGCTGTCCTGACTCATATCACGGTGCTAGGGTACCACCGAATTGTGCGACACAATACAAATTCACGAGGCTCATTTCATCAAGAGTATGCGCTTCAGCAACTTACAAGTGACTGTAATTAAAGGCATTTGCACGGATGGGGCGATCTCATGCACGGCAATTTCCGCTGGCCATACCCATGGGTACTTACAAAATCCAGTAGAAAGCTTGTATTCTGCAGAGATGTCTTCAGGACCCAATAATTTCCTTTAAAATATGTATGTACGCGGTACTCACTCTAAAAAAGGGATCCTTGTGGGTACCTTATCAGCATACTCGGCATACTCCTGCCCAAAGAAAGAGTGGAGCTGCTCCTCTTCAAAAGCGATGCGCTGCTGGAAGAAATGCCATGCCTGTTGCAAAACATTGCTTCACTTCATATACATGTCTTCACTCAGGCTCAGAGATGGAATCCTGTGATCTCACAATGAACACTCAACGGAGGAGTTGCAATGTGCAATGGTGGACAGAGTCGTTGTCAGATCTTGCAAAAATGAAACAAGTGCCTGGGGTCTACATCTATAGCGCACCACAAACGCGAAGACAGTGGTGCAAACGGGGTTTGTCAGCAGCAGCTGGGTTCCCAGCATCCACAAATACCAGCCAAAGTAGCCTGGATGTCTGTAGTACCTGAACATTCTATTTCACAATTAATTGTTGGCAGTCCATGACCCTTCAGGAATGCTGCATTTGTACGCACACATCCCAAGCCCTCGCTGAGCCTGGCATTGCAGGGGCCCTTGCAGCGCAGTTTTTACTGGTCAGCTCTTGACAAGAACAAGTTGTGTTGAATACTCTGCACATGAAGCGAAGAGAGCAGAGCTCCTGTGGCTTTGCTTGTTGATCTTTAAGCACGAAGATCAGTGCTCAGCTTCAAGCAGCCTGCGTGCCTGTAGATGCCATGCTTGACAAGTACATGGTTGTCTCGTCGCTCGCTCTGGAGCGTGTGAGTGAAGTTGTGCTTGGCTGTCACCTGCACACCTGGCTCTCATGAGACACTGACAAGCATGATGACAAGCAATCGCGCAGCAGGTGCTCAATGTCTCCCTTGTGAGCAAAGTCTTGACAGAGGGCCATCAAGAGGAGTGGCTCCAGGGATCCCACCATAGCAGTTTTACGGATAATTTCTCCCAGGATGATCATCACCAATCCACAAGAGCTTACCCACTGCATGACAAGGCAACGACATCAGCTGCAGCCTAGCACTCCAAGAAGATTAAGAGTACTTAGCAGCAGGGCCCAAGAGCTGTCGACTAGCTCGTCTCACCTGGTTCTGCAGGGCTATTACCTTCACTTCTGCGAAGTATTCTAGTACAGCTGCCGACATTGCAAGGCAGTAGGGCTTGCTCAAGAGCCATGCTGAACACCATGGTCCCCAGTTGTCAGAAGACCATCGAATCCTGTGAAGACGTCATGAATGGATGTGCAACTTTGCTTGATACTACAAGAAAACATACGGGTGTAGAGACACTCACATCGTCTCGACAGATCCTGTCTCATGTAGCAGACCGCAAGTGTGAATTCGGACACATGGAAAAAAATAAGAGCGAACAAAAATACTGCAAGTGGTAACATTTACACATTACAATCTTCCAGGAATCCCAAACTAATTGATCGTCTTTCTTCTTCGCAAGGACATGCGTTCTCTGCCAAGTGATGCCAGTGACGTCAGATCCACCCTGAAGGAAGCTTCCTCCCTGGATCCAGAACCTTCGCAGCCCCTGAAATGGACGCATGCGAAAGAAGCGAGATGAAAACATGAGAAATTTATTATGATCTCTCCCGGAGTCCATCGGCATTTGCCCACTGTCAATTGACGTCAATGCCAGTGGTTGCCTCATATGCATAGTGGTTGCGCAACTATATACTGCGCAAAATATATGATCACGTTCACCACGGTGACCCAGCCTGCCAGGTCCAGGCCGGTGCGGCCCACCGTGGGGAGTGCAGTCACAATCAGACTCCTTATGATGAGCATGCATGAGCCTGCCGTATGTGGCACTGCCGCAGCTTGCATGCAACATTCAACACCATGGCATCTCTCTAGATCTACGAAGAATACTTATTCCAAATGGATGTTTTCAAGCTCCAGTTGATCAAAATTTAAAAGCAAGGGTCCATATAGGGGACCCTTGACAAGAACACTGGACCCGGGCCTTTAACTGCAACTTATCACTGGCAAGGCTTGCAGTGCTGATCAGTAGTGCCAACAATTAGTTCGCACATCAGGGAAAGCTTCCGGGCATGCAATAATGTTCGCTTGAGATTCTCAGCCTGAGAAGACTCTTCTCAGAAGAGTAGCACCCTCAGACAAAGCCCAACCCCATCATTTGGGCCAACAGAGATCACCATCCAAAGACAATCCCTGGAACTTCCTCTCTTTGAAAGTGAATCAACTAGACACTGGATGGCACGATCCAGGGCGTCTGGCTCTCCACATTCGCCTGATACAGCTGCCGGACCTTGTCAGGTTGCGCTCCCGGCTCCCAGTACTGCGTGAAATTTCCCAGCCTCACCGGCTTTGGCATGACCGACCTTGCGAACGCCATGGTTTCTTGTTCCGCACCTTCTTCACTTTACATACATCTACATGTCACGGATCTGCCTCGACTTCCGCTGCCCATTTCGAGTCCCCCGACCGAGTCACGTGGCACGTCATTCCCGCACGTGCGACCCATCTACAACCCAAACTACTAAATTACCTCCCACCTACTTAGTAGATCTCGATTTCCGCCCACTGTGTGTGACACAGCTAGTAGCGCTGTGCCACACGCAAGTACAAAGCACCATTCCAAACTTCTAGAACTGGTGCTCCTCTCTGCCTCACGCAACCATACAATAGCTACAAATTTTCAATCACCAGAGTCCTCATGTAGCCAAGTCCTCCGCAAAAAAATCTTGATCCTGCCACTAGGTCTAATCCCAGTGCAGTGAGTCTGAAAGAATTAAAAGTCTCCTGTGTCCATTTACCCTCGCAACTCCCAACTTTCAAAGCAAGACTCCCACACAGTTATATGCGATTGTATATCTGATTCACTGACCAAACCATTCCTCGATGACTGCTGGTGACAGGTCCAAGCGGATGCTGACAGCACACCCCACCACAGGTCGCGACGGCAAACCACGCTGTGATTTAGCGGGCTGCTGAAAGAAATCCACTACTGTCTGCGTCTGACCCCAAGCACTGCTCCCACCAGCATACAATTAGCATTGATCATGTGTAATTTCAAACCCAGTGTGGATCTGCATCATACCAAATGACAACAAAAGAACAGCCTGAGATATTGAAACTTGCTTTCATATGCGCAGGCGTACCTGATGTAGGTGGCAATTGTTTCAAGTTTGTCATCGTATTCCTCCTCACTCATAGGGAAAGACTGCTGCTCCACATGTGTCCACATGACATTCAAGGCGACAAGTGTTTTCCCTGAGGAATAAAGGAAGAGGATGTCTGAGCAGGAACTCAAGATCAGCTGCAAACCACACACATCGTTGCCATGACATGCAAATTTGCCCACCTGGAATCTGCCTCCGCACTATTGATAAATCATAGCATTTGCCATACTTATTGATGATGGCGTCCCGAAGAAATTGCCCTGCAGATAGCAGCCCAAAGATTTCATCAGACTCTTGTGAAGTCATGAGCGCTCTATCCGGTTGTGTTACCACTGGTTCCAGAACACTGCGTTCTTAGATCGCATACTTTGCCTGTCAAGCTGTCCATTATCCCAAAGGGTAGAGTACCTGTCAAAACCCCAGTGAAAGCTTTATCACTTGGGCCGGACAACTCTTTGAGGCGCTGGTTGAAGCTCTCTGCAAGCTGACTGTCCTCAATATTTGCAGCCCCACTGCTGGGCTCTTCCTCGCCAGCAGCGAGCTGCACCGGACCTGCTTGGCTTATGCGCGTATTAAGGCTTGAAATTGATGCCTCGTCGATAGACCCCTCTGCTGGTTCAGGAGAGCCTGGAAACAAAAGTAGGAAAGCCGTATTAGTGAGAGGAGCAGATGGACAAATGAAAAGGCATTATAAAGCATAACGCCCTTAGTTTGCTCGTTTTGGTTGTCTGATTTGCAAATCCTGTTGATGTCCTATTCTAGGTGTGCCACGACTCACGTTTTGTCTGTTGCTGCGGGGGCAGTCTCCAAGCTCGAGAGCTCCTCGGAGCCCAATTCTCAAAGGCGAGGGATTCTAATGCTCTTTTGAAATCTTCTCCGATGCCTGCACAGATCCTCTGAGGTTTCTTGCGACTTACGAAGGAAGTGGATGTTCTGAAGGATACTCGATCACCGGTACTGATATGAGATAATAGCTGCATAACGACAATACGCAACAGACCGAACAATTAGATGACTTACATCAAGAATTGGAGACTATACTGCAGGCAAAAAAGCATTCAGGAATGTCTCGAGCCTCTGGGCAATTTGGGCAGATTCGGCCGGGCATGTTGGGCAGAGACTCTTGCGAGTAGTTCTCCTCAACCATATTTTATAGGAAGAAACACCTCTAAACAGTATCTTATCGACTTCGAGTTCCCAGATCGTTCGAAAACGACCACGCTATTTCCCTGTGCCCAACCCGGAGGATCTTTCCTTTGTTGCCAGATGCAACATTTCATGTGGCTGTGATCCGGTAGAAATTTTGCATCTATTGAACAATATGGCTCTACAAATGACCACTCAAATCAACGGAACACTGTTCAGATATAGCAACAAAGTTGCCTTCAGTGCTGGTGAGCTTGGCTCCTCTTTCACTGCGTCCCTTTCTAATCTCGATACGTTCTTTTATGTCAATACCTACGGTTCTCATCTAAACTTAGAAATGTTTCGCTAGGAAAGCTTCATGGCTCCAAGCATTTTGTACTAGTTGGAGGTCTCACAGACGGCCTACTTGATCCTGGGTGTGATGTGGACCGTTACATTCTGTTTGTACTCCTTGCCCGCTATCAAAGTGCATGCCATTGAGTACTACCAAGCATAGAAACGTTGTATCCCAGCTGACTCAAATGTGCACAAACTAGGTACAGCATTCCGCTCGCAGAGGACCTCCAGAGGAAGGGCTGGTGCTTTGTGCAGCCACTTTTAACATCATCATACGCAGGCTATGGTGTCTCGAGCCTCGACAAAGATGCCGAAGAGATACATTCTCTAGTCACAAGCCTGAGGCTCCAGCATGCATCTCAGGTATCATGCTGTGACCTTTGAAAACACCCTGAGAGCACTGTCGTGAGAACACAAACAAAATAGGAACATCTCGCTTTGCTGCACTGCAGGGTGTTGTCTTGATGGGTCATTCCACAGGGTGCCAAGATGCGGTGAGGTGTGTGGAGAGGTTGGGCCCTGAAGAGCATCGCTTCTTGTTGGGAATCATTCTCCAAGCTCCTGTAAGCCATCCATCTAATTGATGCTTGTCACTCAGATGACATGGCAGCTGCAGCTGTCACTTTGTCACTTTGTCTGTGAGGGCAACTGATAGAGTGGCAAGGTACTGTCTATGGCTGGGACTCACTACATCCACAATATGGAGCAGGTGAGCGATCGAGAATGGCTGGCCACCAGGGAGACAACACCTGCACTCCTGGAGACTGCAAGAGCTATGATGGATGCTGGCAAAGGAGAAGAAATACTGTTCAGGGATCATGAGGGAGGAAATGGCGCGCCTGTGTGCGCCCGGCGATTTCTCAGCTTGGCTGAGAGGGGAGGGGATGATGACATGTTCAGCAGCGACTACTCTGATGATGAGCTCAAGGTTGGTCACCTCATTTCCCAAGGATTCCACAGTGATGCATGGCATGTTTCTTTGTTGCCAGTTTGACAGTATAACATTGTCCAGTGATCAACAGATGCAGCCATGTCCATCCGCATCATAGTTATTTTAATGGTATGCAGGAGCGCCTGGGCCACTGCGAGTCTGTGCCAGCTCTGGTGTTGATATCTGGATCGGACGAGTTTATGCCTCCACATACCAAGCACGACATTTTGGGAGAAAGAATAGCCCAAGCACTTGCTGCAAATTTAGGTCACCAAAATATTTCAGCAGTGATTGAGAAGGGTGTGCATGATCTGGCTGGTTCTGAAGAATCTCTGTGGCGTCATGTTGAATCATTTCTACATAGCATGGAGCGATTGCCACACTGATAACCATGCTATTCTGATAATCATGTTGGCAAGACTCATCGGATATGTGTGCACAGTACAATCATTGCTCCATGCGCATGCATAAGGACAGTGCGATGCACATCAGCATTATTGTGCACTCCTCATGTCAATTACGATCACTTTTTGAGTACTGTATGAGAGATTTCAGCACAGGGGCCCTATAATCACCCCTGCATGCATCTGGGGTCGATAAACAAGCTCTCCCTCCTTGGACTCCACAGCTCACATGCAAAATTTGGGGGGATGATGAAGCGCTAGCAGAATTCAGGACAGTACGCAGCAATGGTTTGTCTTTCATTCTTACAACTGAAATCTCTTCACTCGTGAAGGCACTTCTTGTCACCAAGCCTGTAATCGCTACGTTGTGTTTGCCCGATGGTGTGGCCGCAGCACCCCGATCATCACGGTTATGCAAGGTATGCTGGTGGTTTTTATCTAAACGTATTTGTACACGCCTCTATTCTGCGAAAATGCTTTTGTAGAGACAACTGCTTACGCAGGGATCCTCCACACATCAATGGGCACAGAGACTGCATAAGATCCGTCCAGGAACTTCCAGAGCCTTTCCAGCCTATTTTTTCTAGCACTTTCAGGTTTTGGCACATAGTTCAAGGCAACTTCGACCCCCTGCTGAATATAATGTGGTTCTGAGAGGCTCCTGGCTTCTGACAGTGTCCTGCTGCAGGTACTTCAATGCTGTTCAGTCTGAGGCTTTTCCTGTGGCCTTCGATACGGATGTGAACATGGTAGGGTGCTCTTCACATAATGAATAGATTAATTATCAGCTTCCCAGTCAGGTTGTGGTACCTTGCAATACCAGGGCGACAATGGTTGCATTTCGGATGACCAACAGATGAAGTACCTCCACTTATTCCCCAGGTGATAGCTGCGCCAACCGGTTCTGGTAAAACAGTGATACTGGAGCTGGCCCTTCTTCGTCTGCTGTCGACATGCATCAATGATAAGGGCCAGTTCAGCTACAGCAGAGGATCATTGAGAGCGGTTTACCTCGCTCCTAGCAAGGCCTTGGTTCAGGTGATAGTGAAAGTCTATGCACTTGGCCACATGTTCCTAATGATGTCTTGGCAATTCTGTCCAGCCCACATCATGGATACTGCCATGCAGGAGAAAGCAAGGGCATGGCAACAGAGTTTTGGAGCACACCTGAACCTGGCCATTGTCGAACTGACAGGAGACACAGACAATGTGGACTTCAGCACCCTAAGTTCTGCCGACGTCATCTGCACCACACCTGAAAAGCTTGGCAAGCTCTCACGTCCACTCAGACAGCATTAATGATGAAAAGTTCAAAGTCATCTGTGATGGCTGCTACATACAGATGAGGGCATAATGTGACGACTGCAGATTCAATCACAAGGCGCAAAGTTGACCAGGGAGGCGCTCGTTTCTTGGGAGAGGTATTGGCCACAGGATCCCACTCTTCGCCATGACATGCATGATTGATTCATTTGCCGAGGACATGGCATCCTGACATCCTCACTGTAATTTTCAGCAAATCTTGATTGTTCACAGGTGGCACTGCTGCTCATCGATGAGGTGCACCTCCTCAATGAGAATCGCGGAGCTGTACTGGAGGCCGGTGTAGTCAGCCGAATCAAGATGATCAGCAGTCTCCGCGCCATGAGTGAGGTGGAGAGCTTCTTCTTTGTGACGTACAGCACATTTTGCCAAGTTTGTGGTCAAGGCTTCTTCTTCGACCAGACTAAGTGTAAGAAAAATCAGAAAAAAGAACATGTGGCTGTCGGTTGCGCTGCAGCTGCCAATCTCTGGAATTCGCTACATTGCCATCTCTGCAACGATCCAGAACACAGGTGATGTGGCAGAGTGGCTCAAGGTACCACCTCAGGGCTTGCTGGTGTTTGGGGAGGAGACGCGGCCAGTCAAGCTTCTTACCATTGTCAAGGGCTATGCACAGGTAGGCCTGCATCAAACAAACGCCTAAACAATGCGTCCAAATTTGCTCACCAGCCCCTGCTGCAGAATTGACATTTGCAAAATGCTCTGGACTGGTGTGGTTTGGTCAGGGGAAAACTGACTTCCTCTTTGAGAAGCAGCTGAATGAGTACCTGAGAGGAATCATCACCGAGCACAGTAAGGGAAAGCCAACCCTGATCTTCTGCAGGTGACTTCCTGCTCTGAATTTCTCACAATCGCTGTGTGTCAGAAACCAAGGATGTGTCTTTATGATTGTGATCCACTGCAGTTCAAGGAAGGGGACCGAAGAGACAGCAATGCATATTCTGGCCAAGTCCAGAAATGGGCTGCATGGAGGGTACATCCACAACGATGCCCAAAGGGGCCAGCTCCATGCTGCAGCAGATCGGGTAATTGACAAGCAGCTGCAGCAGGCATTGCGCGGAGGGATCGGGTTCCATCATGGGAATCTTGAGCCGCAAGACAGGGCCACAGTCGAAAATCTCTTCCTCCATCGAGCCATCATGGTGTGCACAACCCATCTGGCACATGCATGTCATGCCATCAAATTAAAGCTCGATGAAAGGAGGTGTGAGCACAAGGTCAGAAGTTACTGCTGCATTGCAGGTCCTGTGCACAACATCAACATTGGCGCAAGGGGTGAACTTGCCTGCGCACTTGGTGGTGCTCAAGGGCACCAGGCGCTGGAGCAGAGAGAAGGGAGAGGTTGCTGGCAACAAGGAGTACGATCGCAGCACTGTCCTCCAGATGATTGGCCGCGCAGGCCGGCCTCAATTTGACACCGAGGGAGTGGCTGTCATTATGACACAGAAGGAGGTATGCTACCGTGGCAGCATTGAGGTGCTTCTGTGCTTTTCATGATCTCCCATGGCACAAGGATGGATGAAAATGACAAGGCAACAATGCGGAGTTATGGTGCATGCAGATGGTGCCCCAGTACCAGAATTTGCTCTCTGGCACGGAAATCTTGGAGTCACAGCTCAGGGACACTTTCCCAGAGTACCTGAATGCTGAAATTGTCCTCAGAAACGTGACGGACGTTGCAGGCGCAGTCAGCTGGCTGAAGAGCACCTTTCTCTACGTCCGGGTATGGCGCAGAGTGATCTCAACCATGACACGCTCATGGCATGCTTTTGTTCGTTGCATGCAACAATGTCCGCCAATGCCGCAGGCTAAACGGAATCCCAGCTCTTATGGCTTGCCACAGCATGCACACTCCCAAGAGGCATTTGAAAAGGTCATGCAAGAGAAGTTCATATTCCAGTTCACCAGGAGGCTAGCCATGCATGGACTGGTGCGCTAAAGATCCCAGCGTCTGATTTAAATTGAAGTCTGCAAAATAGCAGGCTTTGTGCTTCTTGTGGCATTCTGTGACACATGTCCTTGAAAATCTGCAGCTTTCAATTGTAGACTTGAAAGTCTGAATATGATTTCCTGCAGGTAGAAGCTCGGGAAGCTGAGGACAAAGGCATGTCAATGAGCCCTCTCGAGCCTGGGACGCTCATGGCACAAATGTACATCAGGTGATATCTGCTTTTTGTCAAGTTTCCTAATGCTTTTTGGTCAACCCGACTGGATCTGGGAATGTGCAAAGCTCAGGTTGCCGACTATGGTCAGTCTGCTGGAGGTCCCGAGCCATGCATCCATGCCAACGCTAATTTCTGTCTTGAGCCACGCCGAGGAGTTCTCTGGGATCTGCCTGCGGAGAGGCGAGAAGAAATCCCTCAACAGCATCAACAAGAACGAGGCTGCCATGCGCTTTTTCATTCCAGAGGCCTCCAAGCCCTCCAAGCCAAAAGAGCGCATCAAATCAGCTGCAGAGAAGATCTTCGTCCTGGTGTGCATGTTACCATGATGGAACAGGCTTCAATGTGAGGCAGTCAATCTTGCATTTGATGAACCACAGAAGAAGAGCCCAGAAAGAAGTGATGGCTGGTGGCATAGGTGAATGAAGCTCTCACTGACCACCCCACAGAGAACTTGGATTACAGCATGAAGCAGGAGATTGACCAGATCGTCAAGGTTGGGGCGCGCATCACCGCATGCATGGCAAAGTGAGCTCATGTCCATCCTGTACAGCAGGCTCCCCGTCGATGTTGCTGTGCATGGATCCGAATTTCTTGTGCTTTCTGCTTGAAATTTTTACCTGGTCTTTCCTCCAGGGCTTACTCCTAATGCATGTTTTGTTGATCCGCTGTAGGCTCTTCCGGCACAAGAGGGCTCTGGCTGCCACGGCGAATGCATGCCTGCTGCAGAAGTGCCTGAAACAGAGGATGTGGGACAACAGCAGCCAGCAGTGCAGGCAGCTCCCTGGAATCGGCAAACTTCTGAGCGAGAGGCTAGTGGCTGCAGGCCTCGGAAAACTGAGGGACCTTGAGGCTGCTGACCCAAGGCTGATCGAAAATCTCACTCAGCGAAAGTACCCCTTTGGTGCGCACAATTGTTTGATGTTGTGTTGCCAGAATGGAACATCCTGAAATTCAGCCCATCGTGATCATGGCATTGAACACTTGTGTCTGGTGCTCTGCAGGCAACCAGGTCAAGCAGCAGCTGCAGGAGCGCATGCCACCCTGCGTGGAACTGACGCTGCAGCCCATCTGTAATGTCCACTGCCCCTCACACAACCCCTTTCTGGACGCTGTGACATGCTTAAATGGATAGCTAAACCGTGCTGCACTGATTACTCCTGGGTTTCTTATTAAGGTTTGTGCGTTTCTGTCTCCTCTGCTGCAGCACGGCGTCCCAATGGAGCGCTCTGCATGGAGGTCAAGCTTGTGCGGCTGGGTGACAAGTCAGAGTTCACGACAGAGAACCATGCGCACCTCATCGTCGGGACCATCCAGGACGATACCTTGCTGGCAGACGAGAGCCTCGTCTTCGAGCGCTTCCCTTCTCCTCTCACTTTGAACATCACCACAGGCACTGCCACAAGCAGTCAGGTGAGTTCCCATTTTCATGCCTAAGCTGCTCAGTCTGGAAGGGGCCTTTTCCTATGAGTGTGCATGCGTTTGCATTCAATGGAGAGACTGTGATATGTGCATGCAGGCAGCCATCACCATTGTGGCGTCTGTCATTCACTCCAACACCGTTGGACTGGACGTCACCCGCAGAGTCACCATCCCTCGCTCTGCACTACCATCCGCTGCTGCACTCCGGCAGACTGTCAGCCAGCCCCAACGAAACACCTTGCAGAGCTCTGGCCAGGGCCCCCTTGCTGACAGCGAGTGCATCATCAGCGGAGGACAGATGAACCAGCAGACAGGAGCAATCCCAGCATGCAGCCAGCTTGAATGCCCCAGTGCAGACAAGAGTCACCAGCCAGAGCTGTGCAACTATGACCCTCCTTGTCAAGCTGCTGAAGTTGAGCAACAGGTGGGTGCACGCCATGGTAGCCTGTGCTTTCATATCACATGCGCTTCCACTACCTAATAGATGCTCATGGCATTGGAGTTGCAGGGAGCAGACAGGTCCCAGAGTACCATCAAGCGGAATGCCAGCAGTGGAAGGCGGCAATCAAGGAGTATCCGAAATGCATCTCAGCCTCAGGCTCCTGTAGGGCCAAGCAGGGGCAAGGCAAAACTTCTGAAGGTGAGAATTGCCTCAACAGAAACTCACAGGGCACATGTGCAACGGCAGAAATCCAATGCTGAATCAGTGCTATTCTGGATTTCAGGCACCTGCCAGGCACCTTAGTGAGGCAGATGATGTGTACACTTTTGAAGCCACCTCAAGTCCACACAGCTATGCCGCCAAATGCAAGACATCGCAGACTCCTGCCCCAACAACTCCTTCTGCGTTTGACAGATTCAAGTTTGGAGCCAATGCCTCTACTGCCAAAGGTGAGACCTGCGTTGGACACAATTTCTGATGCCTTTGTTGATTGGGGTACTGACATCTTTGTGTCATGCCAGGCAAGCGGAAACACAATGACGAGGAGGATCACCAACAATCAACTGCTGAGGATCCAAGCGGGCCAGAAACATACAGAGGCCTGGTCCTGTCAAAGGCTCGGAAGATGGCAGGCAAGCTGCGATCAGGCTCGATTATATGCCAATCTGCACTTCAGCGTCACGTTTTTGCTGATGGGACATGCGATTATTGATACCTTCCTTGCAACAGCAGAGGGACCATCTGCCATGTCAACGCCCAGCAAAGGGCTGTCTCACCTCCTACAGCGACCACTTTCCTCTCGATGTCTGGCACGGAGCCCAGCCGGCCTTGCGCATGTGGAGGAGGGACTATGTTTCCTCAGAGACGATCGAGGGGGCAAGGTAAGTAACCTGCTACAATTTTTCCTGCATGCCCAGTGGTTGTGGCAGTCTTCGCTGTATGTCAATAGGCTGTCCGCTGTTGACCTAATGCATCTCCTGCAGGGTGAAGTCACAGACACCCCTGCGCCAAACGCCACGAACTTCACAAGCCCAAAACCTTCACCCGCAACCAGCCAGCGAGGCAAGCCAGCAGCAGCACAGCTTCCATTGCAGAAGGGCAGCCACACAGTCCGCAGCCCAACAGCAGCCCAGCCGACAGGTGTTCGCACTGCAACATCAGATCATAAAGGCGCACCAGCAACAGCAGGCTCTCTTCGACTTGACAAGAGCAATAGTGGCGTATGCACCACAGACGCGGGCAAACACCGTCTCCTGGTTCCTAACCTGCCGCTGATGAGTCCGCGGACAGCTGAGCTGATGTCTGCCCCCGCAAAGCCGCTGCCTCCCATGCAGAGGGCCGTCCCGCGCAGAGCTGATGAGAAAGGGATGACTTCCCGCGCCTTCCCAAAGAAAGCCTTGTTCAGGGGTGAGCCTGGCCTGAGTGCAGAGACTCCAGCATGCATCGCCACTTCAGTGACACGCAGCTCAGCTGAGGAGACAAAGTGCAGCAGGCAGGAACCGTGCACAGCTCCTGTCAATTTTCCAAAAAGGCAGCAGGGGCTGAAAAGCGAGGAATGTGAGATGCCCGCTGACCAGAACATGTTGTCTGTGTTCTCCTTCCTATAGTAGAGACTTGTATCGGAAACATCGAGGGTCCGTCTTGACCTGAGGGTCTTCAGACAGTAGTTCCAGACTGATGGCATCCGGTGGTGTGCTGTACATGCAAAGTACAAATGAGAGCGCCAGAATAAGAAGAATATGCTGTGTGATTAACCCTGTGCATGTAAGTGGTGACCTTTGGATAGGGCATGGAAGAATGATTAACATGGTTTCACATATCACATGCTCATTCTAATTTCCTCTTGAACGGATCCCGGCAGATGCCAAATCATAGACTCCCCTCCATCCCCTGATGATACATGAGACATGCAGAATGCCTGAACCCTTCATGAGCTGCAGCGACGTGAATGCCAATCTGTAACAAACACTGTCAATGCATCATCATATCAAACTTCTTGTACGTACCAAAAAAGGTGTACCATAAAAGGTGCAAGAAACATAAGTTTCCATGTCACTGAATTTTGTCTCCATGCAGCTGTCCAATCATTGGTCAAATGCTCTCATGTCAGTATGCTCGCACCCTACTACCACCCACCTCACAGTGGCTCAGCAAGGCACTTGACAAGACGCTCAAGAAGGTCGCCCTTCTTCCCCCCGACTGGCAGCTTCTTGACCTTCAAGAAGCACTTGATCTCTGGGATGCTCAGCTTCTCCAGCTGCTGCTCTGCATGCTTTGCCCTGACCTTGGCCTCCACTGCAGCCACATCCAGATCTGCTGCCTTTGTGCGATTCCTCGGCGCCTTCGCAGCAGCTGCCGCAGCTCCTGCCTCGTCTGCATTGCCCTGCTGAGCGGTCCTGATGGCACAGGGTGCTGCTGTGTGGGCACCATCTGCGCAGGCTGCTGCCGGCTGCTTTGCCTTGATACGCGGCGCGGGGGGAGCCGGCTTGTCTGGCATGGGCGCAGAAGCTGCCACTGTGCTGCGCTTTGCCAAAGGTCGCGTCGTTTTCACCGGGGGAGCTTTTGTGGTTTGCTTGGGTGCTGCATCTGCCTTCAGGAGCTTTGCTGGCTGTGTAAGCGGCGCTGTCGCAGGCAGAGCATAGGCTGGCCGCTTGCGCTTGGCAAATGTGGGCTTGGCTGAGAGCTTTGGTGCCGCGCTGGCTGCTGCGGCATCCTGCCTTGATTCGCTGACACATGCACTCTCCAAAAGCTGGTCCAAATTGGATTCCTCCCTGCACCAGCATGCAAAATAATATTGTAAATGACATCCTTGCTGCCGGATGTGCATACATTCTCTACCACTTACAAGCACATCAGCACATGATCAAAAAGGCTGACCTGGAGGCTGGAGCGGTGTCCTGAGCACCGCCTTGCACTGGGGCTCTCCTCTTGAGGGCTGGTCCAGGAGCGGGCTTGGAGGTGATCTTTTGCTGACTGAGCAGCTTTGGCTGTGACAGAGCAGTTAAGAGTTTCGCCAGATCAGGGTTGGGCACACACTGCCGGGCTGCTGATGGGAACAAATTGCTTTGCAGCTCCAGTAGAGGGATGGCTGGGCCGAGTCTGATCACTGCTTGTTCATGCTCAGATGCTGGCAGAACATCCATTCCTCTTGCTGACTGCCATGGCGAGCTCTTCTGCTGCAGCACTTCAATGTCTGCACTACGATGTACAGTCATCTGCCTGTCTGCCCAGAACTGGAACGGGCTTTCTGCAAGATCACCTGCACAAATACAAAAAAGACAAATAAGGTGCACATTTGCATGCCAGTGTTCTGTTGACCACCAGAATTGGAGTAATAACGTCAGAGACCCTGTGCACGTACCTGCCACGCTTTGGAGTACCTTCTGTCCAATGTTGGTCTTTCCAGTGGCTGGCTGGACATTCAGCCCACGGCTGGACCATACACAGCAGCTTGGGACTGTCACAATTGGGGCGTCCTCTTCCTCAGAGAAACGGACATCAAGATAGTACGGCACTTCATCTGGCAGCTCCAAACCAGTGTTGAGCAGCCAATCTGCTCGCATCTTCTTCTCATTGCTGATGCTCAGCTTTGCGCCAACAATGATTGCAGGCCTGCAATGTACATGGTGTATATTGCTGTGACAGTGCTGATTGCCATGCAAACGTCAGAGAAATTTTGAGAACAATTTCTGCTTGCTACTGTTTGCTGTACAAACTCCAAATGAGGTGGCCTTACCTGCAATCTGGGAGAACAGTGCATGAAATCCGCATGGATAGCAATTTTGCGCTGAGCTGCGAAAGATCGCAAGCCGACAATGCACATGTCGATATTCCGCGCTCCTCGCGCAAAACATCAGTGATAGAGAACGGGCGGAACCGTGCCCAACCTGGCATGCAGACACATCTGAGTCAGACATGCATTCTGTTCCAGCAGGTGTCACACGGTGTCGTATGAGTGATATGACACTGACTGTCTGCAAAAATATAGCATGGTAGTGCCTTCTACAGTCACCTCACCTGGCGCCACATTCATCATGAATTGATTGGTTTCCTTTCCTGGAAGAGGCTGCACGCTGATGTGTTCGCATGCATGCAGCTGGCCCTCAGGCATGTGCAGTGCGCGGCATCCTGCAAGCGAAATCTCTATCACAGTGCAGCAAAAAATGTTGTGCTGCTTAACAGCAATCCAATTTGGTGCGCTGAACTTCTACATGCAGACCAATATGACGAGCAAAGCTAGGAAGCATGCTGTTCGCACTGATGAGAGTTGTGGTACTGAGCGCAGTCCAGCCAGCTGCTGTCAGAGAGGTCAGCAGGACGTTCATCACAGCTGCTTGCAACTCTGAATGCTCCAGCTGCAACTGTACTGCCTTCTTGTCAAGCACCACTTTGATCTTGGCTTTCACGGCTGCAATGGCCTTGAAGAGCTTCACAGCCGCAGTCTTGGGGCAGATCATCCTGATCAGCGATGTCTTTGTCTCACTGTCGTGAACACCGCCCACAATGACGGGGTCATGCAGCAATCGCCTGAGCTCTTTGATGGAGAAGACGATCATCTCCTGTCTCGAATCAGCTCCTGCCTCTGAATTTGCATCCGAGAGAGCTGCTGGACAGGGCTTCAGAACGATGCATGCGACTGTGGAGGACAACGCTTGGGGTAAGTTTACACGCAGGATGTATGCGTCAAGCATCATTTTGTTCGGTCATTAGCTATCTGTGTACTAGTTTGGTCTTTAATCACTTTGTATCTTAATTTTCCTGTAAATTGTTCACACTAAACTCCAAGACAGTGAGTCCAACGATCTCACAGGAGCGTATCCAGCAAAAGTCCAAGGTTAGCAAAATAATCGTCACTTCTTAGCATTCTGTTCTTGTATCAGTCCAGCATTGAATTCCGCAAATTTTCTTGCGATGAATCCAAGGGCAGAAGATGCGGACGGACGCGGAGCAGAGCCAGACACTGATGAGAAACTCGGTGAACAGGAACAGGTGACGATCTTTTTCGTTGCAAAGAGGCCAATTGTCACAGACGCAGGCTTTCCTATCATACCTGATAAGGATTGAGGAATTTTATGCACGTCTGTGCAGGCTCAAAATGACGAAGCAAGCGCTTTCATCCAGCAAATGTTCCTGGGCACTCTGAATGGATTGAGCATATCCGTTGAGCAGCTTTTCCTCGCTCCATCAGCACAAACAGAGCAAGATGTGAAGGTAGGTTCGGTTTTGAAGTCCAATATTGTAGGGGATCGGTTGATGAGACTGGACACTGTGCATGCTGGCCACCTACTTGCTTGTGCATTCCTTGAGCAAAGTATTTGACATTGCCGATAGTCTCAGAGGATGTGAGTCTCTGCAGGCACTGCAGTATGAGGCAGACGATGCTGAACAGGACGCTCAGCAGGCGTTGCAGATGGCTGAGGAGCACCTGATGGACCTTGCATGCACAGTCCAGCAGTTCCAAGAGCAGATTGCACAGGTGCTGCCAGATGTGTCTCGCAAGCGGGCTCACGACCAGTTGTGAAATGCCAGCAAAGACGCTTTGTGACACACAATTCACGAACCATGCATGGTGGAATACACCACTCGCAAAGATGCTATGAAATGTGTCGCCGAGTAGCATTCTGGCAGAAGAGTCTAGTACCTCATGAGCGCCTGATCAGATCTGGATTCTAGAATGAGCGGCAGTTTCTGAATAATGCTTCTGTTCAACCGCTTCACACGGTGCATAGGCTCGTGGAGTAATATCCCTCTGTGCTATATTACATACTGATGCATGTTGCGCACATGGTATAGCTTGCTTTGTACGCGATAGAACAGATGTCATTCCGACACAGCAGCTGTTACTAGAATGCCCTCCTTCTGCAGTTGCCTTGCGACAAGTAGATCTTCAGCGTCCCTGCCTTGCAGAAGCTTACGCAGGGGCAGCCCTCTGCCAGAGGAAGGCAACCTCAGCAGCAAGGCTTCCAACGCTGGAGCCCTGTCCAAGGAAAACTCCAGGCGGCCTGCAGAGCTGCCCTGCTCATTATCCTTGATGCTGGCATGCTGCTGCTGGTCATTAGCGAGACAGTGATACACCACAGCAGCATCACCCTCCACCACAAGCCTTGCCATGTTTGGTCTCCTGAGCAGCACCCTGCTGCCCCAGGCAAGAGGTGCTTCTGCTGCTCCTGCCATGTCCCTGCTGGGAGGAAGGCGCTGCTGCATGAATTGGGCTGCCAGCTGATCCGCTGCGCCGTCCAGAGGCAAGAATTGAAGGACACGTTGCACCATCGATTGAGCTGTTGCCTCAAATGCTGCCCGCTTCGCCTCAAGACTGCTGTCATCTGAGAATGGGACGCCCTGCCAGAAGGAGACAATGATGTTACTTTTCAAATTCTTCCTAAGCAGCACTTTTCCATCAAAAATGGCATTCCATTCATGACACAGAGTGCACAGGAAATGCATCAATGCCTCATTTTAGCGACGCACCATGTACTGCATGTAGCCCAGGGGCATTCCCCTGCGCAGGTCCACGCACTCCTCTGCGGCCAGCTGCAGCGCTCTGGGCAGGGCCACCTCCAGGAAGTCTGCCCAGCTGTTGCGCTGGTTGGCCGACACCGTCAGGTGCAGCGAGTGCGTCCCTGGCAGTGCCTGCGCCTGATGTATGGTGCCTGCAAGGGAACAAAAGCTTCGGACTTGCAATGAGTCACAGTGTACTTGCTCGACCACATGCTGCACTGACTGTTGCTGCCACATGCTCAAAAGCAAGACTCACCACGTGGCATGTAAAGGACATCTCCAGGCTGCAGGACGACATCGAGAAAGGGGTCGTCCAGGTCTTCTTGAGCAAAATCAGGGCTGGAGAAACGCGGCAGAACGTGGTCCTCTGTGATGGGCTGGTGCAAGCGCCACCTGTCATGGCAGCAAGCCACTCTGTGCATATGTCTACAAATGGCCACCATGAAGTCACGATGAAGAACTAAGTGCACATGTTGTGAACACATGAAGAGACAATCGTGGTGATACCTCTTGGCGCCCTCCACTTGCAGCACGAATGCATCAATGTCATCGAAGTGAGGAGCAAACCCCTGGGGCAATTCCCACCCTTGGTCAACTTAAGTGTGGCCCTCGCTTTGTAGGACCTCAATTCCTCAAATGCAAGGTACTGCGCGTCTCAACAGAGGTCCATGACATTCACATACCTTCGAGTCTCCAGGAGTCAAATAAACATTGCAGCCAACACACGAAGAGAAGACCTCCTCCAGCTTGGCCAGGGTAGCTGCCAGATGGTCAAACCATCTCTGAGGATGCAGGAGCCGCACAGAACAGCCCTCCTGATTGTACCGAGCCCACAGCACGTCTGCATCTACAGCTTCCTCCACCGCACTGCTCTCTACATTATAATTGTAGTTTGTTCGTTCCTGCATTGCACAGGAAGGGTCATTAGCCGAACAATACAGTGCGCATCAGCCCCCAGTGGCGAGACACATCAGCCCCCGTACCTGGCCGTCATATTTGGTGACGTCGATGTTGTAGGCGTATGAGATGGTCTCCTTGCGGAGCAGGGCTTCCATTGCGCCTTTGCTGAACCAGCTCTCGAAGAAAGTGGGGCACTCCGGCCGCCTGACGAGAAGAACACGCTGCTCCCAGACACGCTTGAAGAAGAGGGACGCCTTGCATGGGCCCAAGATATGTTGCAAGACCTCCCTTCCGCTGCATGGCGCCACACTAGACACCTGGCCAGTGGGCACAGCTGGGTGACTTGCAGGAAAAGCAAAGCAGGTATTGACACCGTGTTCTCTGCAGTCGCAGTAATGTGTCCACTGTCATGAGCGGTTCAGGATCTGCTGATGTGAGACTACCTCTGCTGCAATGCGCCTGTCTTTCACCTCCATGTAGGCATCATTACTCTGTGGATCATTGGTAGCTGCTGTACCTGTGGGAATGAGGCCTTTTGAATCCACAACAGTACTATGAATGCTCTGTGCCCAGGATCACAAATTTCAAGGATGCGCCTAGTCTCCTACAGCACTCACCGCCTTTGGTCTTCTTGTGATTCCCATTCATGTCCTCCGCAGACGAGCCACGTTTCTGTGATAAAACGAAATGTATCAATTTCCTGATCGCGGAATATCAAACAGAGACAGATGGCAGCCTGGGCCTCACCTTTCCCATCTGAGATCACTTAGATCGTCTCCAAGGGTTGCAAAAAATCACTTAGATAATGGGACTGTCACCAAACATAGGCAGATTTCCCGATCTTACTAGATTTCCCAGTACGGAATTGATGTTCTCCTTACTTAACCAATTTGTCCGAACGTCCTTGATGATCAGAATTGAGGTTATCACCCTTGGAAAGATTCAAGGGTTTGCATGCATGCAAATTCTATTCTTGATGGTATCAAGCGGGCCCCTATTTTTATAGCCTGACAAAATCTCGATATGCCCCTCCATCATTGTCTGCCTTGTATGCGCAGCACAGCGGAAGCTAGCCCTCCATCTGTCCGAAGCAGGTGAATCTCTCGCAACTGCGCGGCTCGACTCGGCCGACTCGGAGTATACACAGCTCCGGCCGGAGCTAGAGTCTAGTCAGATCTGCAGCGTCGGTGCAACTGCCTGCTTAGGCGTTCACTGCCTTTATAGTTATGCATCATGCACAGACAACAGTTTGCGGCAGATTAAATACTATTTAGTAAATCAGAATTGCACAATAATTCATCAAATCAGTCGTGGGCACAACATACTATACTTACTAAAGTATATTGTGCCCACGATTGATTGGGTCTTGCTTGGATCTGGCGAGTCCAACAAGGGTAGGATTGTGGCAGCCTTTAACTGCAGCTTGTCTGTAGGACGCACCTTGCCTCTTGGCAGGAAAAGCGTGTAATAATAATAAAATAATAATAATAGTATATTTAGGGTTCGGCCCCGGCTGGCGGGGGGCGGTATAAACACTGAGCACCGTGCCCACGGTTGATTGGGCCTTGCTTGGATCTGGCGAGTCTAACATGTGGTAGGTCTGTGGCAGCCTTTAACTGCAGCTTGTCTGCAGGACGTACCGTGCCTTTTGGCAGGAAAAGCGTGTAATAATAGTATATGTTGCTACCAAAGCCTCGATATATAAGTATAAGCGCTTATCGATCGAGCTTGGCTCCACTGAACGTTTTGCCGGATTAAAGATTGTCGAAAGTTCATTCCTTGAAAATTCTGTATTGCGAGGCAGTTAGGCAGCTGCAGCTGCTGCTGCTGCAACAAAGAAGGTCTTGGCAAGCCTTGAAAATCTGCCCTTCTTGCCACACATCTTGAACACCACTTGATCTCTTGTTCAAATCCAGAGCTCATCCTGAAGAGACATATTTTCAAAGCTATCAAACTGTCAACTGTGTCTCGTCCACTCCAGGATTCTGACAAATCTACGCGTCAGCATCATGCGTCCAGTTGATCCAAATTGCCACATTAGGCAGTCCTACATATTCAGTACTCTGCTCACTCTGTCCAAGCACTCTAGGTGGCACAGCCACAAATTATCAGAAACCAAAATTGCCAAGCGGCATCATGCAACAGTCCCAGAAGTGTGGATTCAAGAAGTCAGTCCCAAATTCTTCAACGCTCCCATTCTTTACTGGCGGCTTGCTGTTTATCTTCCATTGCTTTGATCCCAAGCATGATGCCATCAGGAAGGCGGTTCAGTAGCACTCATAAGTTATTGGTGCCCAGTGCTACAACCTCCTCACGTTCGCACTTGTTCGGCTTCATCTGCGAGATGCCATAATGTCAGCGAGGCACATGTAGCGTGTTTGATGTAAACTTTGTTGGATATCCTGAAGGTTCAGGCTTACCCTGGGCCCTCTTGCCGGCTCTTGTGTACTCCATCAGCCAGCCAATGGTGGCAGATGGGACGATGTCTGTGAATGGTAGGACCTCCTCAATGAAGCTCAACGTCGTCAAGAGCCTGCAGACGCTTATGATCTTAGGTGCCACAGAAGACAGATGAGCGTTGGGCCCTGCAACAGGCTTTGCCATACAGCAATACTTACCTGTTGTTATAGAGGTGGTGCACTATGAATGCCTGCACTGGTGCCCATCCTATGTCGGAGATGTTTCCGGCTCCAGGCACTATGTACGATGACATTCCCACGAAGTCAATTGCGAGAGATACAATTAGCTTATTCCATCTGTTCATTTCTTTCCTGGCCTTCCGCTCGTTCATCTTGAATCCGAAAAGTGCAGATCAAGTTTCAATATTATTTTATTGTCTTGCACTCTAATTTCGGCAAAGACAGCCAACGCAGAAGAATAGGACAACCCAAAACTATGTGACTTCCAAAAAAATCCTGGACGACAGCTTTCAACAAAGAGATATGCAGTGATGAGGAGTCGAGAAGATTTTCAAGTGAGGGCTCACATGTGTACAGACTGTTGAAACGTATTGAATTTTGGAGTGGAAATCAAAGGAGAAGATCAGCTTCTGGCGAGCTTCGCACTCTGCTGGCACGTGATGGGATGATGGACACGTGGGCCGTTGAGCGAATAGATTGCTGTTGCAGTCCCTTGGCCCACCAAATTGGTCGCTAATCGTCTTTATCTCTGCTTGTGCATGGCACAGCTTGTCCATGGCCTCTGCACACCTTTCTACTTCAGTTCATACTCCTCCAAGCTTTGCGTTTATCGCAAATCTCTTCACTAAGTCAAGTACAAAACATAGAAGGAGGGTGTGGGACTTCCGAGATTCGTATTCACAAAATTGCCGGCCGAAGTGCGCTGTTCAGGGAACTAGCTTGAGACATTCAGCCAGCCTCTACCACAAACAGAAAGATGTCGACTGTGAGGTGTCCACAACGGAAACAGGATATGCAACCCAGGCATTTCTTACGCTCTTCCAGAATGCTTATAGGACGAGAGACAGTGCAGCGTGCTTGCAGCTGGTCAGATCGCTTATGGTTGCCATCAATAAGACTCAGGCAAACAGAATTGAGAAGCATGCCGGTCCAACCGCGTCTGCCGAAGGTCCCCAGAAGGAAAAAGCTGTTGAAGATGCAGGTTTTCAAGCCGATGAGGCATGCAGTGAGCGGCCGTCACCAGCAGAGTCAGCCCTCTCTTGTGCGTCTCGGGAATACTTGGGAAACATCCTCCGTGGGAAGCATCAGGGCCTCATGCGTCTGCTGGTAGAGGCTGGAAATTTGGAAGGCGCACTGGAATACTTGACCATGCTTCCTCCAAGTTTGATGCTATGTAGCGCTCTCCTGAAGGAATGCATGGTTGCAAATGATCTACCTGGTGTACTCCGTGTCATCAAGGTGAGGCAATCTACCAGCTCCCTGTCATGGAAGGGACATGCACTGATGTGAAGCACAGAGATAAGCGAGATTTCCCTCTGATGCATGGCGTGTGTGACAGGTACGCGGAGAGTTGGGCTTCAAGCAGGATGCGTACTGCTTCACCGCTCGGGTCGCGGTGTCTGGAAAAATGGGGAATCACGAGGCTGTGCAAGAGGCCTTTGAGAACGCCTGTCAGCACAATGCTTGCACAGTTGCCGTGTGCAATGCCGCCATTGAGGCGCTCAGTAGATGTGGCGACGTTGAGGTGTGCATTGTCTCTCTCACGTGAGATTTTAAGATTCACTACTGTTTTCTATAGGCTCTTGCCATCTGTGGCAGCATAATGTATGCATCCTGTTGTGCTCGCAGGGGGCCATTGCTCTGTTTGAGGAGAGGATGCAGTCCCTGGGCATAGCACCTGAGACGGCCACATTCAATGCCCTGATCCGCGCAGTGGGACGGTCTAGACGATCTGATCTTGTCGGCAGAGCTGCAGCGTACTTCAGCAGGCTGTGTGAGCTGGGCTTGCAACCGGACAAGTACACCTTCAGCGCCTTGTTCAACACAGCCTACCACTGCAAACTGCTGGATGGCGCCTTCTTGTTGCAGGCAAGTCTTGTCGTCTGTGACACTGTCTTATGCAGTACTGAAAGTCTTTCGGCCGAAGTTTTAATGCAGGGCAAAATATGCTAAAATTGCATGGCAGATGGTGAGTGCCAGAGCTGCTGACCGCAGGCATTGTCAGAGGTGCCATACTTTGGCGTGCGCCTGAACAGCCGCATCATGTTCACGTTCCTGCAGTCGGCCTGGGGGGCGCACTTCACGAGGGAGCAGGTTGTGCGAGTGTTTGCAGAGGTGGCCGCCATGCGCGCCCAGATGCAGCCTGACAGGAGCGTCTATGCGGCGCTGCTGATCTTTGCAGAGCGCCAAGGCGTGCCAGAGCATGCCCTTGATGTCTGGGAAGCAATGCAGCAGGTGTGTGGGTTGCCTTCTTCACTCCTGCAAGCAGGATCACGAGTGGAATAAATTCTTCTGCGTTCTGCTAGATTTAGAGTCTCATTTAGGCTGCAAACAGTTTTGCTTGGCTAATAAAGACGGTGCCACACGATGCAGGACACCACAACGCCTGATGCGTTTCTCTTCTCTGCACTCTTCTCGGCATGCGCGTCCGGCCGAACGCCTGACCTTCTGGACCTGGCTGGCAAGGCTGAAGCCGACATGCACATGCGCCGCTCCTCACACAACCAAGGGCAGCGCAGCAACCTTCAACACAAGCAGTGAGCGAACCGCGACACCAATTTCCTTGAAGAAGAAACAGTCTTGTGCATGTGCCATCTTCTGGTCTCTTGTCTTCTGATGGAGATCAACATGCTTTCAGCCTGGATTGGGTGCTTCGTGCAGGGATTGGCTGGTGGCATACAATGCTCTGCTGAACCTCCATGCCAGGAGCAGGCAAGCCAGCGCAGCGGAGGCAGTGTACCAGGGCATGCTGCAGAATGGCCCAAAGCCAGACAGCATCAGCGTCAACACGCTCATTGCAGCCCATGCCGAGGTGCCACTCACTTCCAAGACACTCGGTGTCATGTGTGCACTGCATGTAAATGGTCCTGCCATGGCTTTGCTGAGTGACCGAGCACATACATACAAATGGTGATTTTGGGGACATGGCTGTAGGTGGGCAATGCTGATGCAGCATTTGAGCGTTTCAGAGAGATGCAAGGAATGGGGCTGTCGACCAACAAGAGCACATACGGGTCGCTGCTGCACTGCTGCGCCCAGGTCGGCAACCACAAGAGCGCGGCTCGTGTGATGCAGATGATGCGTTATGCCGGCATACAGCCGACTGTGGAGGCTTACACAAGCCTCATGGACGCATGCGTGAAGACTGGCACGCCTGACAGCCTCTCCCAGGCTTTCCAGGTGGGCATCTCTCTGCCATGGCTGTCATGAAGGCTGGATGCCATGACTTTTTGGCTGGACCTCAACCTTTGTCTGCAACACAGAAGGAAAGATGCAGGAAGTTGTTATGGAGCTGTTGACAGTAGCCTGTTGCGGTGTTCTGTTCTTGGATGGAATCCCCGAAAAACTGGGTGCATGCATGCGCAGGTGTTTGAGGAGATGCAGCAGGAGGGCGTGGAACCAACGGCTGTGACGTACGGCTGCCTGCTGGTGGCCTGTGAGCAGCTGGGGGACGTGGAGCGCGCGTTCCAGCTGTACAAGCAGGCCTGTGAGCGTGGCATTGTGCCCACAGACGAGTGCCACAACATCCTCATCAACGTCTGCGCAGCTACTGGCAGGTCTGCATTTGCCTGCTTCGCCGCACCTTGGCACATCTCCACCAACCCAGCCCGGCAATTGTAGAAAAATTTGCTACATCTCTGCATAAATCGTTTGGTGTTGTCAGGACGTGGGACACAGCGTATGTCTGCTCTTGGCAAATTCAATCGGTCTGTCACTTCTCTGGTGTCTATTATGTAAGCACTGGACCTACCCACTTCTGTAGGATGTTGTGATTGTTGTGATCCGAGTAGGCAGTGCCCACTGTCATTTACCTGACGTGGCCCTGGCATGTGCTCAGGGTGGATGAGGCGCTGGAGCTGGTGAAGGAGCTGGCCCGCTCGCACCGAGCGATGCAGGCGGCTTCGCTAAACAGCGTGGCGCGCGCATTGGCCGCCCACAACGTGGCGCGCGCTCTGCGCATGGTGTCCTTCATGACCACGCTGGGCCTGCCCACCTACCACCAGACCACCATCACCCTTATTGGCGCCTGCGCCCGCCAGCACCGCGCCGCCGAAGCAGAGGACCTCTACTGGTGCGCGCGCGCTTTTAAGCTTGCCTCGCGCGCTTTCCTCCCAATGCTCGGATGTATACAGTATGTATATGATTTCGCTGGCATTGTTTTGGGCATTGCACTCTGTGGATCGGCCTAGCACTGCTGGGGGATGGGAGGACCTATACTACATGGAGGGGATGTTCTTTGCATAGCACCAAAACCAACCTTCATGTGCTGCTTGAGAAATGAGCCCTGCCTTAACTTTAGATGTACTATTAGATTTGCTGATACTTGGAGGTGCTCTTGCGCTTGTATCCCAGCACGGTGGGGTGTGCGAGGGGTGGTGAGCGGTCTCTTGTGCATGCATCAGGGGAGTGAGGAAGCGAGGGATGCTGGTCACGCGTAGCGCTGGGTCAGACCTCATTGTGGCCCTGTGCAAGGCGGGCTGGGCAGGCAAGGCCCTTCGGGTGTACCGGGACATGATGGCCTCTGCCTGGGGAACATCCACTGGGGCCGCCAAGCATGCGCACAGCGGATCCTCCCAGCAGGAGGCCGAGCCACCTGTTCAGACACATGCACATGGCCACAATGAGGCACCAGCAGCTGCTGATCCTTCCCAGCAGTCCAGCCAACGGAGAGCTGTTCCGTCAGCCCACAGCCACGCTGAGCGCCCCATATGCAGCACTTCAGGCGACGATAATCCCCTGACGGACAGCAGCGACAATGATACAGAGCAGAGGGCAGGGAATATCGAGCAGGACAAGCTTTCAGCAGGGGAAGACACTTGCCCACTGTGTCAGCCGCCTGCGAATCCCATGCCCACGCTTGTTGCACCTGTGCGGAGAGCCAGCTTGCGCCCCAGCACTGCCAGCGAACCAGAGCTAGCTCTGAATGCAAAGCACAGAAAGCCCAGTCAGCATGTGGTGAAGCAGAAGGGCCAGCCAATCCTCATTCCCCACATTGCTGCTGTGGGAGCCCTGGTCGGCGCGCTGGCGCGCAGCGGAGACCTTGACACCGCTTTGGAGCTCTATGACCAGGTGCTCTTCTTCTCAATACCTATGCAGCCTCTTGAAACAAAGCTTTGCCTGGCTTGGCTGATTCCGATGCAGCGGTGCTGACTGCTTGATGTGAGATTCTGCCATTTGTCCGCGCAGGTGGGACGAGACAAAGCTGGCGCCGAGCGCCTCACCATGATGGATCGATCGATGTGGCAGTCGCTGCTGGAAACCTGCTGTCACGCAGGCCGAATGGCCACGGCATTGCAGGTCAGCATCTGCTCAAAACCCTCAGCAGCTGATCATGGCAACCACGGTCCAATACATGACATGCCCGTGTGTGCTTCAGACAATGCCGCAATACTGAAAATTTGTTGGCTGGCGCCAGGTGTTTGATGACTGGAAAGCGCATGTGAGCCAGATGGAGGAGAGCGGCGTGGAACCAGCTAAGCTGCCCAGGCTGTCCAATGTGACTCTGGCTTTTCTGGAAGCCAGCTGCAGGGGAGAGCATGAGTGGCGCGTCTTTGATGTGTGCGCCGCGATGCGGCAACAGAGTGAGAGGAAGCGGCAGGCGCAGCTGGTCAAGCCGCGCAAGCTCTCGCATCATTTCCTGGATGCAGAGTGATTTGCTATGCTGCTTTGTATACGTGTGCATAGGTGCATGGTGGTGTGATGCCTCGGTATTGAAGTAGTGGCAGGGACCTTCGGGCGCAGCTGCATACCTGCATATAAATAATGGAAATGAAATCGACAAAAGCTTTTGCTTCAGCCTTGATATCTCATACCCAATGTAAGAATAGCTAACTGCCTAGCTTCTACGTTTTGCGCAGCATCTGCTGTCCTACTGTGCTTTTCGTGTGCTCCTTGTAAGCTGACCATCAGATGTGCAATGAAATGGTGAATAACCCTAAACAAGCAAACTGATACCTTCGCTCCATAGACAACCTCACTGCCATAAGTACAGCTCCGTGTGCACTGTCATCCAACAACGTTTCACACCTCTGCAAAGACCCTGACTGCACGGTATCACAGTCAATGTGAGACAGTCGTCCCAGATTCATGTCTTTTCCGCGATTTCAGGTGCTCTACAATGAATCTTATCTCCTGGTGCCAGCGTCATCGAGTCGCCCAGTCTTGCCGCTTGCTGGAAGCAAAGATGGAGTAGATGATGAGCCCAAAGATCTGGCAGGCAGCTGTGGGGTAGAACAAGCTGGCGCCCCAGTTTTCTGTCTTCTCCAGCAGAAAGCCCACAGATGTCACTCCCAAAATGCCCGGCAGCGCTCCTGCTGTGTTGCTCAGGCCCAGAAGCGCGCCGGCATACTCCGGAGACAGATCCTGAACCAAACCAGTATACTGCCTTAGTCATGGCTCTGCAAGCACAGCATGCTGCAATGACTCCACATGCATGCCTTGAGTTGCTCCTGCCAAGGCATGCACTTTTCCATCATGATCGTTGCCGGTGTTGGAAATGCAACAAAGGAGGAGGAAGTGCTCACCTGGTGATTGCAGTACAGCCCGGCGCGGGCCCAGGCACCCATGGCGAAGGACAGGCTGAACAGCGTCACGATGGCGGCTGTGGGCATGGCACCAGGCAGGTGCGCTGTGCCATGAGGGGTCAGCACTGAGCACGCAATCATGCACAGGGCGGGACCCGCAAATGCCACTCCCTGCATGCCAGCAACCACCACCTCAGCATGCCTTGCACCATACATTGCGGACACGCCAGCCGACGTACTTTCAGAGGTCCGCAGAAAGTCAGGCTTTCCAAGTCAGTTGAAAAAAAATATTAATTTTGCCTTTCATAAGAGACGCGCTGCATTATGGATCTGAGAGCGGTGGGGGTTCACCTGTGCAAGCTTGCGCACATTGGTGATGGACCATCCCCTGGAGACGAGGCCGTCAGCGACTGGCCCCACAAAGGGCGTCATGAAGGTCATGGCCAGGTAGGGGATGAGCGTGAGCAGCGAGGAGGACTCCACGGTGAGGCCCAGGGACAGCTCGAAGAAGGAGGGCAGCCATGCCAGCAGCGTGTAGTAGCCCCAATTGTAGCAGAAGTGCGCCACTATGATGGCCCAGACCGGCTTGGAGCGCAGGAACACACCCCACGGCACCGCCTTGTCTGCAGCAACACCGGCACACACCGCTCATCCGGGTGCCAAGTTTGGGAGAACAACACAGGGATCACAAAGCAACAGGCTGATGGTGCCGTGTCTATAAGCGCCGCACTGATAATCAATTCTCAGCATGCCATGCAGTGCAGGAATAGAAGCAAACAGCAAACAGGAGTGACCCAGAGTGGACAGGGGTTCACAGTACCTGACACGATGGCTGCGGGCTTTGTCAGTGGCACAGAGGTGTCTGGATCCTCGGGCTTCAGCAGCGGCCAGAGGAGGCACCACACGAGGCCCAGCAGCGCAAAGAGGTAGAAGACAGACGGCCAGCCAAAGGTGCGGATGAGGGGCCCACACACAAGCAGGCCAATCACGCTGCCAACATCCAGAGAGCCAAACACGGCTGTGACGGCCCGCGCCCGCTCACCCCTGCAACGCATCAGTCTTGCTCGGCAAGAACAGGTCACTCTGCTTACGCTGATCAAACTTCTGATAAATCCTCGGGAGAAGCCTAGACAAGGGAAGCCCCCAATCCTGCATCATTTCCTTAGCAGCAACTGCCAGCCATGAGGTTGAAAGAAAACATACTCTGGCACGAGCTTTGCCATCACGTTTGTCGCTGAAGACGGCGCCAATCCCTCGCCCAATCCAACCTGCCAAAAAGCCAAGGACATTTGGTGCTTAAATTCCTTAACGAACCACAGATTCGAAGTGAAGTTGACATTGGCAAAATTTTGGAAGAGGGGCATGCACTTGGAATGTGCGAGGACGTACAAAGACACGAGAGGCACAGAGCGCCAGCAAGCTGAAGTGCGCTGCTGGCGGCGCCACCAAAGTCCCCAGAGACCACAGAGCTACCCCAGCCAGAAGCACTTTCGTCCCTCCAATCCTGGCACAACACATTTCCATTCAGGACACACAGCAACGCAAGGCCACCAGTGCCGGACGGATTGCCACAATTTTGTCATCAGCCAATGGATCATGCAGCATCCATTGCAGCCAAAGCAATGCACATAGGCTGTAAGAATACCTCGTCGAGACCCAGCCTGCAGGGATCTGGGTCAGGGAGTAACCCCAGAAGAAAGCAGATGATACAAGGCCCCGATCGCTCGGGCTCCATCCCAACTCTGCCGCCATAGGAATGACTGCCACTGACATGTTGACCTGCATACCATGCTCAGTTTAGGCATGTTCTCCCTGCAGAACAGTGGTGATCTCACAAAAGCCAACTCCATTGAGCAAGGAGACATAAGGTGGCTTACCTTGTCCATGTTGCACAGGACAAAGGCCAAGGCCATGGCTCCCACAATGACCCATCGGTGGGGCACGGGCGGCTTGTTTTGGGGGTCTGGCATGCTCCCATTTGAAGAGCCAGCTGGCCCATTGGTGGGGTCCATGTCTCTGCCGCTCGTGGAAGGTTCCACTGAGCCATCCAAAGCCTTCTCTGCTTTCTGCAGGGCATCGGCTGCAGCGTCCTCGATGTTGGACAGGGTGCTGTAGATGATCGATCCCTGATCATCTCCAGGGAAGGGCACATCTGGCACGATTGCACTGTCTGCCGCGACGTGCACCTGCCTCCTCCTGCACCCTGGTTGGCAGCGCCTGGCTCTGCACTTTCTAAACCCCAAGATGCTTGACCGTCGTCTGAGATCTAGTGGACGAGTTATGCACAGAGGTCCTAAGTTGGCGGCATTGGAAGTGGGGATAGAGCGGCAGGACCAGCTTCCAACATGTGTATGGGCCATCCGATTGCAAACCAACTTCACCCCACAGGTATCGATTTTGCCTCTGAATTTACTATGGTACTCAGAATGTCATAGAGGCTGCCTAATACGTGTTGGGCCAAATATATATGAGCTACACCTCAAACAGATACAGCACAAGATCCCTTTACAGTGCCAGAGCACTGCTTGTGCGTCGTTTGATACACCTGGAGACTGTCTACAGTTACACTCTGATAATCATGGACAGAGAGCGATTAATTTTTTTGATCTTAAAGCACTGGAAGAGTAAGAGTAAGTGCACAGCAGTTGTGACGCACGCGCAGGATTCAGTCACCAGCCAACAAGTAGAAACAGCCTTAGGAATCTTATTGGGTGGTAGATGAAACGGTTAAAGACTGCCACCCTTCTCACAGGACCCCGAATTGCGCGCTAAGCACTCCAAAGCATGTTCGGACAGCGATGGCGCATCCGCGAACAAGCTAGGGTTTTTGGCCAAAGGGAGGGGCAATAAGAGCCTCAAGGGATTTTGAGGGCTAAATGTCTGAGGTGGGCAGGTCTTGCTTCAACATCATCCTGCATCTCGCGTGGAAGGAGAAAAAGAGAAGAAAGGAGGAGTAAACAAAAGTTGTCATCATGCACGCACCGGCCATCCTGGCCCATTCCCCTGCAGTGGTACGCCCCAGATCCATATTGCATCAACATCATTTATCTCCCACTTCCTTTGCGGACACGCAGCAATCGATGCACGAAATTCATGACACTGATTCGTAAGCATGTTCGGATGACGAAGTGGGCAAATATACAGGGCCATCCCATTGGAGCGAGCAGGAGTCCGCACACTGCCAAGGTCAATGCCAGATCACTGAGCAAGTCAGTGGTGCTTCAAAGCGAAATCTTCGGCTCCAGCTGTGGACAATTCCTTCCCAGACAAGCATCGCTTGCTGCGTCACCAATCAGATGTACCGAAAGGTCTCGGAGAAGCGTTGCCCCGACAGCAGCATTCAGCAAAGTCCTTATAGCCAACAGAGGAGAGATTGCCGTCCGCGTGATAAGGGCATGCAAGGAGTTGGGCCTAAAGACGGTTGCAGTGTACTCCATTGCAGACGTAGACTGCCTGCATGTCCAGGTAAGTTTGCATTTCTGCCCCACCAGCGCATGCATGCAATCCATGGACGATCATTGTGTCTTAGAAGACTGCTGGACTGAGGTGTGCCCTTGGCTACAGCTGGCAGATGAGGCGGTCTGCATCGGAGAGGCTGCCAGCTCTGCATCTTATTTGAACATCCCCAACATCATTGCTGCTGCTATCAGCCGCGGAGCTGACGCCATTCACCCGGTCTGTACCAGCATCCAGGGCTTCTCTGTTCTCCACTAAAGAGCTTTGACCCCTGATAGACATTCTTACCGCTCTGAATGCTCATGATTGATTGCCATCACTGTGACTGCAGGGATACGGGTTCCTGTCTGAGAACTCGACATTCGTGGACATCTGCAGTGATCATGGCATTGAGTTCATTGGGCCCAAATCAGACCACATCCGTACGATGGGTGACAAGTCCACTGCCCGCGATACCATGAAGGTGTCTTTCTTATTCTAAAGATGTCATAGAGGTGTATATATGTATTTTTCCCGCTGGAAGCCACAGGCACTCGAACAGCTGTGGGAGCCCACTGAAGTGCAGCACTATTGATTGGTGGATTGTTGACACATGGTTGCTCTGCATTAGGCTGCCGGAGTGCCCACCGTGCCAGGAAGTGATGGCTTGATCAAGGATGAGGCAGAGGCCATTGAGGTGTCCAGGAAGATGGGCTTCCCGGTGATGATCAAGGCCACAGCAGGCGGCGGCGGTCGTGGCATGCGCCTGGCCATGCACGAGGGCGAATTCGTCTCTCTCCTCCAGCAGGCCACTCAGGTGCGGCCTGAATGCTTTCTTTGCTGATGCATCTGAACAGCCATTTTTGTCTAGCCATCAACCTGGAGCCAACCATCAAGCCAGGATACCAATTGGCATTGTGCCTAAGGAGACCAAGAAGGGCCCAAGGGGGGAACCAAGGGGTGGCGTTGAATGTTGCAGGAAGCCGAAGCGGCGTTTGGCAACGGCAAGGTGTACCTGGAGCGGTATGTGCAGAACCCGCGCCACATCGAGTTCCAGGTGCTGGCTGACAAGCATGGCAACTGCATACACCTGGGAGAGCGTGATTGCTCCATCCAGCGCCGCAACCAGAAGCTGCTGGAAGAGGCCCCCTCTCCTGCTCTCACCCCGGAGGTACTGCCCATGCACCCCAGCATGAGGTGCTCGCATCCCTGATGTGCTGCTCCCCACTTTTAAGTTCTCACACGAACTGCGTGTGCTGCTGTAGAATCTGATGAGAGATGCTCAGAGTGTTGGTAAATAGCTGGGCTGCTGCTGATTTGCAGGTGAGGAAGGCCATGGGAGATGCGGCGGTGAACGCGGCAAAGAGCATCGGCTACATCGGCGTGGGGACCATCGAGTTCCTGTGGGAGGCGACGGGCTTCTACTTCATGGAGATGAACACCCGCATCCAGGTGGAGCACCCAGTGACAGAGATGATCACAGGGATCGATCTCATCCAGGAGCAGATCAGGGCTGCCCAGGGCGAAGTGCTGCGCTTCAAGCAGGAAGACATTCAGATCAAGGTGGGTCCGACCTGGATATTTGCGATAAAGTCCAAACTACCCGTACATGCATATAGGCGTGGGGGTCGACAACTATGGGAAGATCCCTTTCCCTTGCACAGCCAGCGCTGCAATCCCTGCATCCTGCCTCGCGTATGCTGTCTTCATGGGCTGTCTTGATATTTGCTATTTGTGGATCAGGGCCATGCCATCGAGTGCCGCATCAATGCAGAGGACCCCTTCAAGAACTTCAGGCCGGGCCCCGGCCGTGTCATTGGGTACCTGGCGCCTGGAGGCCCCCATGTCAGGATGGACAGCCACCTCTACCCTGACTACCTGGTGCGCACTAGCGCAGTCTTTTCCTGCATGCTGGCATCTGAATGCTTCAGATGTAATTCCTTTTGAGGTGGTGCATTCTTTGTGTGAGGCACTGTGTTGATTGGCTGTGTTCTTGCGTGAGGCAATGTACTGATTGGCTTTTGCTGAATAGCTACTGGTATTGCCTGACACGTCCAGGTGCCGCCCAACTACGACTCGCTGCTGGGGAAGCTGATTGTGTGGGGAGAGGACCGCAACCAGGCGATTGCGCGCATGCACCGTGCCCTCAATGAGCTGGTCATCTCAGGGGTGCCCACCACCACCATCTACCACACCATGATCCTGCAGATCGAGGACTTTGTCAACGGCAACGTCGACACAGGCTTCATCCCCAAGCACCAGGCAGAGCTGTCAGAGCCGCCTCCACCTCGCGAGGTGGGTCTGTGTGGACGAGCTTTCTGCAATTGCAAACTGCTGTAATACTGAACTCTGCACAACATGTAATAGCATACTGCTCTTCTCGGATTGTGTTCTCACAAACTGTCCTGTGTTGTGCAGGGTTCAAATGTTGTGGAGAAGGCTGCTAAGCGAGCACACAAGCGTGCAAAGAAGCTGGCTCTTGCATGAGGAGATAATTTCGTAGTATTATTTTGAGAGAAGCAAAGCTTCCCTCTTCTCGATGACTCGATGGAGTCCCAACAGGTGCAACATATGATCATCAACGTGAAATGATCCATTGTCCGAGAGCGTGTGCGGTTGAGAGTGTATATTAGCTGATATATGGTGTGTCTGAATAAGAAGCACTGGCAGTCAATAATGTATGAAAGAGACCGTTCTTTGGCAGCCTCAGAGGTATTGCTTGTGCGATGGTTCCTTCGGTTGAGCTGTGCTTGAGGGTCATTTTGATTTTTTTTCAATCAATTGCATTGATTGTGGTATATCTGGCTCACCAGTCGCTACAGTAGCTCATAAGGGCTGCTGGCATGCTGCTATCGCTGCTTTCAGCATACAAGGTACTGCATTCATCTGCATTCCTTTGCTCTTCTGTAAGTTGCGTGTGTGCAAAAACAGAAGTATGCCCCCGGGGCGTACAGGGCCCGGGCCTGCGTTCTCACCATCCAAGTTTTCTGCAAACCCTTGTGATCTCATATCTCTGCCCTGTCTGATTCTGAACAGCACCCCTGCCTTTGAGAAAATCAATCATTAATATGATAAAGTGCCATAATGGTGCCACCATGCATTGCACAGTGCGGACCTGACTGAAGGGCCCGGGCTGGCACAAAAACCATATGCCTATAAACATGATTCTAATGATCTTGCATGGGATATTTGCGCACCTGTGCACACTACAGGTCTAGAGATCTTCAATACGCACCCTGCGAGCTCTCTCAGTGCCACCCATCGGCCCGCGGCCCGGCCGTTTTCAAAGCAAGTTGCCGACGCGGCGGCCCGGGCCCACTGGGGCCCCCTGGCAGGGCCGCCGTGGCCGCCGCTGGCGGCCGGTCGCGGCCACGGCGGCCGGTGAGGCCAGTGGAATCTTGGTGTCGATTGATATTGTTAGAGACCACATACTAATTAGCTCACAGAAATGGAAATAAATAGAATACACTGGAAAATGTCCAGAAGGAAGGCAACATGCAGCTGTACAGCCCCGGGCTGTACAGCTGCATGTACGTCACGTCACGTGGTACGGTACCTGGGCCAGCACTACGTAGTGTACTGTATACAGGTATTGGTTGTGCCATTGTCTGCCTGACCTCTTGTCTTGCATTGACTCCTGTGTGTTCTCCTCTGATGGACCGAGCCAGTTGTCACGTAGATTTTGTGTGAGTTTTGGTTGGCAGTCCCTGTCTGATGTAATAGGGTTGCACCATCTTTCCCTCTAGGCCTTCCTCTACATATATATTATGCAAGAGAGATTACCCTACTGATATCTCAAGGGCATAAATGTACCCTAAACTCTCCTGATCTATGCGCATTCATCTAGCTCATGCATTTCGTCCATATAAACAGGCAAATCACATTTGTTTCAAGAGGGAAAGAAGATGGAATGCTCCACTAGTGGTCGGCCGCATGTACATAACACCACACCAGTTGGCCTCCATCAGCCCTTACTGAGACAGCACCTCGTTTTCAGATCATCGGCAAGATCATCACTTCTTAATAGTCGACAGGCAAAGACATGTCATATCCGGTCAGTTCGCGGGATCCAATTACTGGGGCGGTCGAAGACAAGCTGCCAAAGGTGGTTCTGCGTGCCAAGCTTTCCAGCAGTCCGTGATAAAGATAGAAGGTTTTCCAGGACAGCAGATGCACTCATAGGTGTCTAGTCATCAGATAGTGAATGTTTTGTATGGATGAGCCTGATCAAAGCCCACAATTGTGACCTCATTCCGACACGCAAGGTGTCCACAGGGAAAGCACACATTGTGGTGTTGTGCATCATCTTTTGTTGCAGACGCAAGATCTGGTTCATACTTCAATGAAGATTGATTCTAGCTGCATAGGGCATGTGGATCACAAGGGCACTGCCCATTTTTCAACATCAAGGGATGGTGTGCACTGGACGGCTCGTTCTGTTTTTGTTCGTCCCTTATGCTGATCTTCTGAATGTCGATTGTGCAGGCAATCATCGCAGTGCAGAAGTGCTCACCACTTGAGCAGTAAGAGCTCCCATGGTTGCGGGGCCTTTGGGATCACCTTTGTGGCCTGTAAGGGAAGAGGCAGGAGGACCGTGGTGACAGCAACCTTGGTGAGTTAGCCTTTGATGTCTTTTATGCTGACCAGGCGACAGTAGTGTCACTTTTCTCTGCTTTGTGACCTTCATAGCCAAAGTCTGAGCATTGCAAGAATCCATGCAGGTGCAGGAAGCTCATGAGTTGGATGTGGAGAGCCTGTTAGACACAAAGCTGGAGCAGCACAAGGACCTTGTGCAGGGCGAGCTTGAGAACGGTTTGCGCTATGTCATCCTTCCCAACAAGGTGCCACCAGAGCGCTTTGAGGCCCACCTGGAGATCTGTGCAGGTAAGTGAAACACCCACTAAATGTACACAGCGTCCAACATGATTGGCGGTGATGGAGGTACTGCATGTGGTTACTTGGGAAGCTGCAGAAGAATGACACGGATTTCCTGATCTAAATCCTGGGATGTGCAGGGAGTGTGGATGAGGAAGCAGATGAGCAGGGCATTGCTCACCTTGTGGAGCATGTCACGTTCCTGGGAAGCCGGCAAAGGGAAGGCCTGTTGGGCACAGGAGCCAGATCAAATGCCTACACAGACTTCCACCACACGGTCTTCCATGTCCACTCGCCCCTCACAAACACAGGGGCTCCAGATCCGACACCTATGCTTCCACAGGTGCTTGGTAACAATATCTCACTGAATGTCACTCTGACTTCCACATCGTCAGTCCCATCCTTTCAACCCTCTGTTTCTGCCAAGAGGAGCGATTTCCCCTTGGATGTTGTGCTGCTGAATGGGCATTTGTGCTACTTGTGCAGGTGTTAGATGCGCTGGCAGAGATAGCTTTTAACCCAGAATTCCTTGTGAACCGGATTGAGAAGGAGCGAAAGGCAGTGTTGGCAGAGGCGCAGATGATGAACACAATAGAGTACCGCGTAGACTGCCAGCTTCTGCAATTTCTGCATGAAGAGAATGCACTCGGTTCTCGCTTCCCAATCGGCAAGACAGATCAGGTGCGGCGGTGCTTTAAATACACTCCTCACTGACTGGAACTGATTGCGGGGAACGTGCCTTTCATGCGGAATATCTGTGCATGCAGGTCGAACTGTGGGACCGTGAGGCTCTGATGAACTTTTGGGAAAAGTGGTACTTCCCAGCCAACGCCGTCCTGTACATTGTCGGAGACTACGACCGGCCTGTTGAGGAGGTCAAGGCCCTCATAGAGAGATCCTTTGGCGCTGTTCCGCGCGCTAGAGAGCGGCTGCCAGGTGTCGAAGCAGCTCCACTGAACAATGGCCACAGCAACGGCTCATCACCCAGCACCAATGGAAATCATTTGCTCGAGGGCCCTTTCAAGCTGAAGCACAAGGTGTGCCTCATTCCTTGCATATTCAATTGCTCATGTGATTGCTAGTCCCCCATCAAAGCGCAATTGAGCCTTGTTGCTTGCACCAGGTCCGCCCTCCGGTGGAGCACAGATATGGGTGCGCGCCCATAAAGGCAGAAGAGACGGCGCCAACTGTACGAGTGTTCAAGCACCGCCTTCTGCAGCATTTCATGCTGTCGCTGTTCTGCAAGCTGCCAGTGCAGCCCTTGACGAGCATAAGGGACATGCGCACAGCGTTCATGGTGAGAATAATCATGAGTGTCATGCTCCACTCTTTGTTTAAAACTTCTCATGTCAAGCCTGGTTGTCTTGCCGAGCTGAAGATATGGCTGTAGGGATGCATGGGACCAGGATTTAGCTCTTTCACTCATGTGCAGGTGCGCATCATGTTGAGCGTGCTGCAGTTCCGGCTCAATCGGCGTTATGTGGAGGCAGACCCTCCATTCGTCGCCATCGAGCTAGATCAGAGTGACTCTGGCCGCGAGGGCTGCGCTGTGTCAACGCTGACCATCACATCCGAGCCGGGCGACTGGCGCGGCGCTGTCCAGGTGCCCATTAAATCATCTTGCTTGTTTTTCCTTTTTCTCAGAATGGTGCTACAGCAACCAACTCTATAGGGTATGTGAATCTGTATATTAATGATGGGAAGCAATGAAGTTGTGGTGGGTCAAGTCACTTGTTGATGGGCAATAAGGGAGGGTCTGAAAAGTTCTGCCATGTGATGCTGCAACAGGTAGCGGTGCAGGAAGCGCGGAGGCTGCAGCGGTTTGGCGTGACGGCCGGGGAGCTGGAGCGCTACAAGATGGCGCTGCTGCGCGACAGTGCCCAGGCAGCAGAGCAGGCGCTGTCTGTGCCGTCCGCGGACAACCTGGACTTTATCATGGAGTCCCTCGCACTCGGCCACACCGTCCTGGACCAGCGCCAGGTGTGCAGCCCTTGTAATGGCAGGAGCTGAACAAGTTCCATTGTACTCAGCATAGTATCTTCTTGGTGCTCTGTTTTGTTCGGAAATTGTGCCGCATTGGCATGGCGCAGAATGTACATCTCTTGGATCATATCAGGTCTTCACTCAAGCCAGCTGCATTGATGACAGGATGTTGACTGGGCCTGTGCTTGCAGAGCCACGAGCTGCTGAAGGACTGGGCTGAGACCATCACGCTGGAGGAGGTGAATGCGGTGGCGGCCAGCTACCTGTCCTACATCTCGCACTACCGGGCGGAGGAGGATATCCTGGAGCAGGCGGCGCGGGGGGAGGGCAACTTTGCAGGCGTTGGCCCCACGCGCGCCACTGCCATTGTGGCCTGCATCCCTGCCTTCACTGATCCCAGTGGCCAGAGCAGCGGTGCGTCCTGGCAAAGCCGACGATAAACCACAAACTTGTGCCTCGTTCTTTTCCTGTGGGACTGCGTAGTATTGCTCTGTCCCGTGCTTCCAGGACAAGATGCAGTATGGACTGTGACCCCATCTGGAGGTCAGATTCGCCTTAGGTCCAGTAGGTTACATACCTTTTGTTGAGTGTTTGGCGAGGGTGCTGGGCGGTATGCAGGTGGAGGGCTGCCAATGGCGAGGGGTGCCAGCATGACGACAAACAAGCATGTGGACCCTGCCGCGCCAGTGCCGGTGGCCGAGGAGGAGGACGGCGATGTCACAGATGTGCCCGAGGGCACCGTGCGCTTTGAACTGGACCCCGATGAAATCGCTGACGCGCTGGCTGCCCCCAGTCTGCAGGTTTGCCTGACTGTGTGTGCCATCTTGCAAGCGCTAGAGTTGTGATGCTCCTGCGGGCTCTCCTTAGATGTGCCTGCCAGATTTTTGTAGATGAGAAATGCAGGTGGAAGTTTGGCATGCCTGACGGCTGATGCCTGATGCTGCAGATTGAGCCACCAGAGGACATCCAGGTGCCACAGTCATTGTTGCCACCTGAGAGGGTAGAAGAGCTGGTTGCAGAGCGCAACCCCCACTTTGTGCCGCTGGAGAGGTTTGGGCCCTCTTCCTCAGCCATGCCTCCACCAGATCCGGCCACAGGTGTGCCTCTGCCCTATGAATTCGCTGTCCACTTGCAGATAATAGCGCCCCCCAAATGCTTGCGGCCATGCGTGTTATTTTGTACAGCATGAGTGCTGCAGACAATATATGCGCGATTTGTCGGGGACATTGCACTGTTTTGATTACAGACTGTTCCATTGCAGGCATCGTGCAGCGGCGGCTGTCGAACGGCATCCGGGTGAACTACAGCCACACGGACAACGAGCCCCGCGCGGCGATGGTGCGCATGGTGGCGGCAGGCGGACGCTCGCTGGAGGAGCAGGGCGCCGGGCCCTCAGGGACGGGTGTGGTCAGCATCGGAACGCGCACCCTCTCCGAGTCCGGCACCGTCGGCCACTGGCGCCGTGATCAGGTGGGCACCCTCTGAGCTTCCTGGTCCAGTGGGTCGGCCCTTGCGCCTTGTCAAATTGCCGGCATGCTTGATAGCAAGTGCTGTGTGATGCTGGATGTTGAGTGGGATCCGCCCTGTGTGGCGTGCAGGTGGAGCTGTTCTGTATATCCAAGCTCATCAACTGCATGCTGGATGCGGACGAGGAGTTTGTGTACATGGACTGCCATTTTGCAATAGGTGAGCATGCGTGGATTTTCTTTCCTGCGCCCCCGTCCATGCACTTGACCTTGTGAAGCTCCACGGCAGTGCTACGCATGCATCCTGCTCCTTCTTGCAGAGTTCAAAGAGCGGTGAAATTGCCCATGCACACGCGCATGTGCAACGGCCAACCTCACAAGCATGTACCCAATGCGTAGGCGAGGGTGGCCTGCAAGCAGTAATGGAGCTGCTGCACCAGTTCCTGGAGTCGCCTCGCTGGGAGGAGAGCGCCATGGAGCGCGCCAAGCAGATGTACCTGTCCCACTACCGGTCCCTGTCCAAGGGCCTCGAGCGCGCCACCGCCGACCGCGTCATGTCCTGCATGCTTGGCCCCGACAGGTGCGCACTGTCTACCGTGTCCACCCACACTCTACCTTCTAACCTCTGTTTTGGTGCTCTGCCTCTATAGAAAATTCATTAGAGTTCATCAGCATGCACAATTGTAGCCCCTGTAGGTGCCTTGTGGCGTAAAATGTGGAACTGGGAGAGCAAGCCTGCGCATGCCGCTGATGCACGCATGGGATGGGTGGGGTGCAGGAGGTTCCGCGATGCGAATCCGGAGGAGATAGAGGCGCTGACGCTGGAGGGGATGCGCGAGGCGGTCATGGCGCAGCTGCACCCGGCCAACATTGAGATCAACCTGGTCGGCGACATCGACCTGGCCGAGGTGGACGACGTCATCCTGCGCTACCTCGGCACCGTCGCGCCGCGCAACACCCCGCCGCCGCCGCCGCGCGTGCAGCCGCCCGGCATCTGCTACCCGCCCGCCCACATCCGCCGCCAGGCCTGGCACCTCAAGGCACGTAGTAAAGTTGTCCTTGCAGCATCGCAAGCCTTACACTGGACTGGTCTCTCCATCACTTGCTGTCATGCTTGTCTTCTGTTAATATACGGGCAGAAGTATTAGGCGGTCTTCATGTGCGGTTGTGAGGGTTTGTTTTGTGCTTACTTTATTCTCAAATTCCATGCAGGATTCTGATGAGCGGGCGGTGGCGTACATTGCCGGCAAGGCTCCCAACCGGTGGGGGCCGTTTGGCGCGAAGGAGGCGCCCTCCGCCACACCGATGCTGGTGGTGCCTCCGGTTCTGCCGCCTCCCAACGCCACAGCGGCGCAGCTGGCTCGCGCGTCGGAGATCAGGCGGGCCCACCCGCTCTACGCGGATGTCACGCTGCGTCTGCTCACAGAAATCATGAACTCGCGGCTGTTCACCACGGTGTGCTTCCTTGACAACTCCCACTGCTTGTGCATGGGTGGTGTAAGGAGTTTGGCTCGTACCCTGATAGCCCTCCAAGGATGCTTGTTGACTTGGCACTTCACAGCTGGAATCTCAACACAAGATTTTCCATGGTGGACATGTTGTCTACAAATAGAGCGTCGCAGCTCATGACAGGCTTTGGGGCTTTAGAGTACTGAAGGCATAGGATTGTGAGAAGACAAGATAGATGGGTACGTGACTTGTTACCTTCCACTGCTCGGGCAAGTATGTCAGAATGAGACACATTTGCGTGCAGGTGCGCGACGCGCTGGGCCTGACGTACGACGTGTCGTTTGAGCTGTCCCTGTTTGACCGGCTGCGCGTGGCCTGGTTTGTGTGCCACGTGACGTCCACGCCCCAGAAGATCAACGAGGCCCTGGACGCCAGCCTGCGCGTTCTGCGTGGCCTGCCCATGCAGCGCGTCACTCCGCGCGAGCTCCTGCGCGCCCGCCGCACCGTCCTCACCCGCCACGAGTCCGAGATGAAGGCGCGCCGCCGCTCTCCTCCCACCCCACACCCATGTCACTCTCCATTCGTAGTCCTGTGGCCCTAGTCAGCAGACATGTGGGAGGGCAGTTTGTTATAGCTTGCATAGCAGGGATGTGCAAATGACAAGCCTGGCTCAGGCAAAGGGGCTCCACTTCCGGCACTTGTCGCTGCCTCTAGACAGATGGACAGTGGGCTGGTACAATATCTTTCGCCATTGGCTTCTTGCTCTTTAGGGGTTCCAAGAGGCGCATTGTTGCCGTGGAGCCTTTTGTTCGACATTGGATGGTTCGTGAATTCAAACTTTGGACTGTCTGACGGGTCTTGCGTGCGCGCAGGAGAACATGTACCGGCTGGGGCTGCTGACGCACCTGCAGAGCAACGACGTGCCGCTCAAGGTGCCCGAGTGCCTGCGCGACCTGCGCGTCATGTACGAGGCGGCTACCATCGACGACATCAACGACGCCTACTCCAACTTTGCGCTCGACGACGACCACATCTTCACCTGCGTGGGCACCTCTGGGCCCACGCCACCGCAGCAGCTAGCCGCGCTGCCTGCCCGGGAGGCTGGCAAAGGCCAAGGGACCAAGCTGGGCCCCATGGACAGCAAAGTGCTGCTGTCAGTCGCGGCTGCGCTGCAGGGAAACGGGCTCGCGCAAGCCATGCAGGAAATGGCTGCCAAGAAGCAGGGCAACGATGACAGGCCCTGATCAGGATCCCACGGATTCAGGACAGGGCAGGCTTTGAACATTCATATTTCCACCACCTTGGATGAGTGGCGAACCTGGGAATTCTGCAACGCTCGATGGGGCAGGCTTGTCTTTTGAGCACAATCATGTCAGATGTTGTCGGACTGTTGGTGGATTGGTGGAGCAATGCAACACAGACCGCATCTTGTATTTGTAATCGTTGTACTGCTATTCATTCCCTGATGGGTTGCTATTTCAACAATGTTTGAAGTTGAGCAGAAGGCTCATGCATGAGCTGGCATGCCTGAACTTGCTGATATCAGAGAGCATCTGAAGCTGCAAAGACACTCATTTAAAGGCAGAGTACAATATAAAACTGATTACAGGATGCGTCTGTCTCCCTATCTGAGATTCACCATGTACATTCCTGAAGTTACACCAGGAATGACAAACGCATATAACAATCTCTGCATGTAGGTTATAACTTGTAATTACTTGCCAAGTCTGTAACTCTCTGGTGCGAGCATATCTACCACGCTCATCGGCATGCCTTTGCTAATATTACAGCAGCTCACAGGACATGGAGAATTTCACATTGCAAGTGAATGAAGGCTTGTTCAATTAATTTTTCTTGGCTTCCTCGCAAATGGCCTTATCAACCTGCTGATTCTCATGCAGACGGTCTGCTGAAGGCCCAGCACGCACCCACCGAATAAATATGCCCAACGACAGTACTGTTAATCATGGAATGACCTAATCTACTTCAAACTGTGAAAAGAACAACAGGTAAAATCACTAAGGGCGGGCAGGTTTCTTCGCGCGGTGCTGGGCATCCAGTATCCTCTGCACCAGCTCTTCTTTCTTGCCTCGGCTATTGAGGCTCTTTGCTTTCAGGATCTCTCCCAATTCCTGGTTTGTCTTTGAACGCAGCAGATCCGCCGAGAAGGTCTGCACAACTGGGGCCTGGCCGCCTGGACCTTCACCTGTGCACAACACCACTCTCATCGGGCTTCATTTGATGATGCAGGAGCTCGAGCTCACAGTTCACCAGGACAATCTGTGTGACTTTTGCAGATGAACGACAGGGCTAGACACCTGAGCCGCCCGCTTCGCAGTGTGACCGCTTGGCCCCTCCCCTCTCATGCACCGCCTCAGCAGGCCGTTTCCCTTTGTCTGCTGCTTTTCCTTTGTCCTGCTTCCCCTTCCCGATCGCCTTGTCCCTCCTTTGCAGCAGCTGGCGGATCAGGATGTTCTCTGGGTCGGTTGAAATTTCCTGGCCCTCTGCAGGGCCAAAAGTCCGCAAATAGCTGGAAGCATCTGCCACAGCTAGTTGCAGCAGGTATCCAGGACGTCTTGAGCAAGATTTGAACTGAAGGATAAAGTGTGCCAATCTAACATGTAACATTGACGATCTGCATGAGAAACTCTCTTGATAATCAATTGCTTGCCTGGAGGCGCAGTGTCGTGGTCTGCAACGTATGTTTTGGGACTCTGAAGTATGGGGATCGTTGAAGTTAAGCAACCCCTGCAAGAGCGCTCTATTTAGGACAAGATGCTATGCGGACAGATATTTAACAAGGAACGCGAGATTCTTCAGCAATCACAACAAGAACTGCCAGTACCTCGATGGAAGGTTGGAAAGGAAATCCATGGACAACATCGACTGTGATAGTCCTTCGTGGTGACAATTGTGCTGCGATACTCTTGATTCCAGTGACACCTTACTTTCCCTCTAAGTAGTTGAATTACTTGGCTTCAAGTCGTGCAAGGAAGGATTTGCTTCATCGATGACGTGCACCGGGTCCCCCCTGTTCTGGCATGCCCTGCATGCATTGCATGCATGCAGGCAGAGACTTGAAGAGGCAGTGGAGTTGAGACCACTGTTCTCACACTGACTTATCGCATCCATTGAGGATTTCTAGATAATATTGCAGTTTCAACCTGCATAACATCGCCGCAAAATTCACATTCACAGTCACCACTGCATCGGGAAGTACTAGTAGTTCCTGCCGGGCCGGCCCCGGGGGTGCAAAAGACAACTTGTTTCAACTTGCAGTGTGCAACATTTCTCATAGTATGCTTATATGAGCGTTGCTCAATGTACGCTTCATCCCTACAGCAACTGCAAATTCAACTCGCAAGGACAACTACTGAGCCCCACATTCAACACAAAGTTTGTGAACAGTGGATCAGCCACAGAACCACTGTGGTGCACTGGCCACAGCACTGCCAATGCTCCTGCCATGGGGTTGCTTAACTGCGCATAAACAACACCGATCACTTTTGATCTCTGCGCTAGCTGAGGGAAAGTCTAAGCTGCCACTGCAGAGGGCATCGCTTGGAAATTGAAGACACTTTCAGCGCTGTGAGAACCTCGGCCTGCATCCCGGTGCAAGGCAAGGTCATCGATGGTTGGCCCGACCGGGACAATTCCTCCAGGGTTCAGGGGGAACAGCGATGTGAAATAGCTGCGCCGCGCCTCGTCCAGATCGAAGCTGGTGCTGATCTGCAAGGCAGCGGCATTGATCAATTCCTCCTAGCACATTTATAGTAAACATGCTGCTATGACCTGGCCATTACAGGCTTGACAGGCAGGTCCTGCAATTCCTTCTAGCTGCAAAGCATTGAGCTGGGTGGCGGGGAATGGGTGGATCACTCACCTGCATCTGCGAGGCATCCTGAACCGTGATCTGGTAGACATCTCTCAACCATGCTGACAGGTTGGGATAGTCGGAGATGCGTTTCCGACAGCACTTGAACAGAGTTGCGTACATGCCATCATATCGAACCACAGTGGGATAAAGCCTCAAATCCGCCTCTGTGAACCTGCAGGGTCAGAAACCAGTCACAGCATCAAATGTCAGCGATAGCTCTTGAGCAAGCTTGAGGTGTTCGTACAAACATGTGTATACTCAGGCAGTGCTGAGGGAGCACCTGTCTCCGACCAGGAATCTGTGCTCTGACAGGCGCTGCTCAACGAGGTCCAAAGCGCCATACAACTCTTGCTGCGCTCGAGCATATGCAGATTGCGTTGTCGCAAAACCAGACTTGTAGACGCCATTGTTTATCTGCGCATGCACTCTATGTCTATACCGCTCTATCTGAAGCCACCGCATAACAACAAGCCTGGGATGTTAGAAAAGGAGCTAGCATTTCACAGCCTGCAGAATCGCATGTATTGCTTCACAGTGCAGGCACCTTGTTATGCACAATGTCGTTGATGGCATCAATCTCGCGGGACAGTTGCGCAGGGTAGAGATCAAAAGGCGTGCATCCTGGCAGCTGCACACTGTTCAGCATGCGCACAATGTCGCTGCTCTCATTGCAAACCAGCTTCCGAGTGCGCTTATCCACCAGCAGAGGAGCTGTGCAGCGCCCTCTGTACCCAGGACTGGCTGCATCATAGACTTCCCTGCCAGCGAGCACCACTGTCTATGTCAACCCATGGCTGGACAGATCCACAGCGAGTAAATTGCCCAGTGTATCATGACTTGCCTAAAAAATGATGGAGGGAGGCAAAATTATCACCGGAGATCTTTGGCGTTGAAGACCGGTTCTGCTTGGTCAAAAACCCAGCCACCTCGAGAGGCTCTCTCCGGGTCATCCACGGCCATTGTGTAGGAGACGTGCGGCAGCAAACCATGCACAATGAGTGCCAGCAGAACCCGATGGCACCAGGGGCATGCGTTGCCTACATACAGATGATACCTTCCTGACTCCGCCTGCAGCCGAAATCATAGTTGGGCGGTGCATCAGGCAAATAGACACTGCAGATCACCAGTTGCTTGGGGGCAATGGAGCAGCCGACATAAGGGCCTCACTGGGAGCTCAGGACTGCCAATGACTCCTTTCAAATTGTATGTGGGCCTCGCGTAGCTGCCATCTTTGGTCTGTGGAGCCAGCTCTTTCATCATGGTCTCCCAGGCAAATTGCCAGCCCATTTTTGCTCCTGCAGCAGCAAGGTCATTGCATGAATGGTCACTCCCAAGAAGCAAGCTTGCACAAGATACACTGTCTCTGAATGCTCACCCTTCACAAGTGTTCCTTGGGATATCACTTTGCCAGTCCACTCAAGCAGTCCAAAACCTTTGCTTGCTTCTGCAGAGGGTCCGCTGCCACCTGAACAGAAACGCTGCCAGTGAAGATTGGACAGGAAATCTTGCAATAAGTTCTCACCGAGACGCATGATTTCAAGATCAGACTGCAGGGCTTGCCTGCGCTTGTCTGCATCATCCGTTGATCGAAATATCTCCCTTGCCGAGGCAATTGCTGCAGATAGAAGAAACGGTGATGACAATCGGCATGCCAAGTGGGGGCCATATAATTTATAATGGTGAAATAAGCGAGTCAACCACATTTCAATCAGACAAGATCAAAAGTTGTTATTACAATATAGGCAAATTTTCAGGAGAAAGCCGCACCTTTCGGAAACAGGAATGCCCAGATGGTGGTGCACCAATCAAACGGAAGCCGGAACCACGATCAATACACTGGCTGGTCATCCCTCACCTTCTCGAATTGCAGATGATTCACGATCGTTTACGAGAGCCAAGTTTCTACAATGGAGATCGTCTTGGACATAAGAATGTAGTGGCATTGGAAGCGGGGTGGAAGCTGGTGGAAGGTGAAGAAAGCAAGCTGGGCTTCACTTCCTTTCAGAGGTGACTTTACAGAGAACAAGTTGGCTACCTATCCAAATGCGAACATGCGGCATACAAGCATGCATGCAACAAGCTTTACTCAGCTTCCCAGGCCCGGAAAAGATCATCATGATGATCAACCATATGGTGCTAGAATCTTATAAAGCAGAGACCCCAAAGGCCTCAAATGGTATTCAACATGTGTTCTCTGTCACAGAATCAAGCTTCAGCTTCTCACGTTTTAGCTAGCCTCTGAACGACACCATTAAGCTTGTTCCCAAAAGCAGTACGTGAGAACGTTTTCTGCACATGCAGGCGAGCCTGTTTGCCCATTTCTGCTGAGGTGTCAGGATCCTGCAGCCATCAGCACGCACAGATCGGTAGCTTGCATGCCCACAGTAAGTTGCCGTCACAGGAAGGAAGGTGCATCTATGGAATTTTGGGTAATCAAGGGCGCGTACCGCCAGCCTAGCCATTGCAGCAGCAAAGGCTGTGGCCTGTGGGGGGCACAGGTGGCCAGTGATGCCATTCACAACAGTCTCCTTCGGGCCACCACTGTCGCATGCCACGACCGGCCGCCCAGCCGCCATCGCTTCCAGGGGCACGATGCCAAAGTGCTCATTCTCTGGCGTGTACAGAACAGCGCACGCTACGGCGAGCAATGCGCTGCGCTGGGCATCGCTGAAGCTGGCCACAAGTCTAACCTGTGGCACAATGGATGTCCCAAGTAGATGACACAGAGGGAATGGAGAGGATTTGGTAAAAGAGCAGCAAAGGCAGCCACTGTTCGATCCATCCAAATAGTACTGAGAGCGGACCTTATCTTGCAGCCCCAACTGCTGGACGAGCTCCTGCAGTTCACAAAAGTGCTCCCGGTTCTCTGCCAGGCGCTTGTCAAAGCCGCCCGCAAGCACAAGCACGCTGTGGGACACCTCGGCCTGTTCTGCACATTTGCCCTGCAGGGCTCCAAATGCGCGCACCGCCAGGCCCAAACTCTGCAGAGGAGTCCCCCAATAAGTCTCTGACTTGCAAGATACTTTGAAACATGGTAGTGACATTGTTATACAAATTAGCAGTCTCAGATTGAGTCAGCACCTTTTTCCGCTCAAAGCGATTGATGGAAAGAAAGACGTGCTTTCCATTCAGGAAATGCACCAAGTCTGGATCGAGGCTCAACTCCCAGTTCGCTTTAGCTTCGCAAAGTTCTTGGTCTGATGGAACCTGCACGGCTGGATAGAACACGCTTGGAACCAACCCCCGCTTCTTCAGACGTCCAAAGGTCTCCAAGAACACCCCTGTTGTAATCAGTTTTGGTAAGACAATTGGTTTTTGGTCGCGGACAATTATTTTTGAATGTCTTGACAAGATTTAAGCAGGATGGAACGTGCCTTGTGTGAAAGTACTGTTCACCAGAAGCTGATGAGCTTGCCCAGTTGTAGATTCTTCAACTGCGTCTAGGACTGTGCGGTATATTGAGTGCAGCCGCGAGCGTCGCTTTGCAAGCAGCTGATCTGGAAAGTGACAATAGAAGAGGACCTACCAGACAGATGAACTCAAATTGTACAAATGATGCGAACAACTGCAGCCACCAAAAATGCAAATTTGGCGCTCAGCAGAGTAGCCCAAAACTCACCTTGCTGCTAGTGAGCAGGCGCAGGACTGGCACAGCAGCAGATACTTGATCCACGAAAACCACATCATACTGCCTCTTCCTTCTGCACATCCAGAACTTAGACCCACTTGTGCCTTCCAGGTGAGCCTATGCTGATATGGCAATTCTGTCTCAGGCACACCTGAAAGCTGTCCAGGCAATGTACGCCGCGATGAGGATACAGCGCACGTAGGCACAGAAGGCATGCAACCTGTTGACGATGCTCCTGGGAAACCAACTCCCACTCACGGTGACAGAAAAGGGACCTCCCACTGTTTCGCTGAAGCACCTGTTTCTGTCATGATGCGCGGTGAAAACATCCACCTACAGCACGATATCCCATGTGACGGATGAGCACGGCAACATCCGGGCAAATTTCAGGGCGAAAGAATTTGTAAATATACATAGGAAGATGGGGCACCGAGTTTCCGTGACTTGCGAGTTCGCATGCTGCGTCCACAACAAGTCGCTCTGCTCCACCTAATCCAAGATCTGGATGGCAAAACGCAATCGCGAGTCTATTCTGCTCGCAAGGCACGTCTGCCATCGCCCAGAATTCTCCACGTTCTGGACTTTACAGGCTTTCCACCCATATATTTGAAGGTGAAGAGGTAATTATCGACATTTGAAATCTAATGGACGTTTATAGCGTTGTTTATTACCCTTCCAATCATTCTATTCCTCCTGCAACCAAGCAGGATCTGCCTAGGAATCCTGGGACGTCCGAATGTAGTACAGTGGAACATACAAGTACAAAGCGGCAAAGAGGAGATCAGAAAGTGTTCGAATTTCTACAGAATGCTCGGCTGATCAGCTGAGGGCGCCATCAAGGCTTACCCATGCAGCCAATCTTGGCTGGCCCATGGGCTAGGTGACTCGCAAGACTTGATTGCAGCATTGACATCAAGATCAGTAGTGTCCAGAAATTTCCTGAGAAGGTATTTTCTGGAGTATGCAAGTACGTAAGATGTGAGGCACTGATCTTAAAAAGACAAAAGTTGAGTTTTGCCTCTGTCCTGAGGGTGATCCTGCAGGTGAAAATTGGACTGAAAGCTACAAGTCGCTTCTTGAGCTTAGAAAAAGGTGCCATAAGTCAAACTTGCGCAAGGTGGCTATATGGCGGTATGTGTATGGACGGTTCTCAGCTCCTGCAGTACCAAAATTCCTGCTTGAACAAAGCAGCTTCATAGTTCGAGTGTGTCAATGGGGTGAGAGTTGACGAGAAGTCCAGATTTGACGGATAATATCATATTTTGACAGAGCTCTCCAACCTGCAGGGGATCAATAGACTAGGAAAGGCACCTCCAAGGCCTGGAAGTTTGAGGCCGCCTGATCCCAACCGCAATCGTGTTTTAGATATATACTCTGAGGGCACAGAAGGGGATGCAGACTACATGCGCATGGTGCAGGATGTGAGTGTTGCAGATCCACCCCTTCAAACCTGACAAGCTCTGGCAAGCTCTTAACCTTACGCATGACCTTTATTTCCCAAGATTCGCATCTGCAGTGATGGCTCAATCACTTGTTTTTGTTCAGATTGAGGATGCACAGCAGAGCCAAGTGGGGTGGCTATTTGGACGAGGAGGTGAGAATGGACATTACCTACACAGCATTGCCCACCTTGTGCTGGATTACATGTGTGCTATTGGAATGGGCAGTCCCGCTCTTGATTTGGAAAGACCCCACAGCGATCACACAGTCTCACAAGCATGTGCATGTGCAGCTTTTGACAAGGGCGACTTGCTGTACCTGCGCGACGAGGAGGAGAAACGGCGCTTCAAGGAGGACGAGCTGCGAGAGTCGGAGCGTGCCATCTTCTTGAAACTGCAGGCTGTGGCAGGGCCAGGCCCAGACAGCAGCAGGCAGGCTGCAGCAGCGCTACCAGCTCGCACAACGTCCAATAACCCTTCCAGGTATGTTGGGCTGTTGCACTGCCGTCCAATTTGATGTTCTTCACAAGAGGATGGTGTTGACCTGGCATTCTGGCACTGCAGATCCCAAGCCAAGCTACTGGCGAATGTGGTGAAAATCAAGGGGAACAAAGTAGCTCCACCTGCCAAGCGAGAGGCTGCGGAGGAAGCTGTCCCAAATACGAAGCGCTCAAAGCCTGCTGAAGCCAGCGAAGAAGAGGATGGTGCCGGCTTGGCTGGCCTACTAGGTGATCGCAAGTTTCCCAAAAAAGTTGTTACGATCATCACTGTAATAGCTATGCGCTGCTGCTGAGATCTTGCATCTGAAGGCAGGAACGATTGCGGTTTGCATTGCTTGCAGTGATTTTTGATCTCAAGCGTGTGACTTGCCATTGTACAGGTGACTATGGAAGCGAGGACGAGGAGGGCGCCAACAGCAGTCGAGAGGGCAGTCAAAGAGTCGAGGATTATTCTGATGCAGAAGAACAGACCCCAGCTGACAAGACTGGAGGCGTCACATCGGGCCCTGGGCCTGGAAGGAACTTGGGTAGTGCTGATAAGGCAGTTACATGAAAATGACTATTGGATGGAGTAGATCGTAGCGTCATTCCTTGACAATCAAAGCTGCTTGGGCACAAGGACCAGCATAAGCTCCAAGACTATTGAGGAAGAATTGAGCCTGTGAGATTTTTGACTTGTCTTTACTCTGGTCTTGGAGTTGCATTCCACGAGAGCAAGGATTGCCATGATGGCCGCCATATGCGGCTCACCATGACAGGCACTACTGGGCACTTTGGGATGACTCATTGGATGTCCCGGCAATTAATGTCCATGAACATATGACTTGCAGCAGAATTGGCCGGGTGCTTGTGACAAAAAGCACAAGGCGGCATTTATAAGATGCTGATGGTTCAGCCATCTTTCAGCTAGAACTTATTAGTGGCATGGACATGCTTTACCTTGTGCAGGATGGATGTTTAGGTATTATACATGCAACAAGCTGCACCGTGCACGTGACGTTTCACGGGCATGGTACTTGCGCCAGTGGGTGGATCAATTTATACATTATGCAATACATACAAGGCACTGCGGGCCAAAATTAATTAGGAAATGCTCCTTGCAGCAACTAAAATCAAACAGACAGAACTCTCCAGCCCAAGAGCATAAACTTCACGTTGAAAAAACGAATTGGACACATGCAATTGAGTGCAGCTGGCTGTCCAGTGGACAGTTGCACACAAGGATGCATGCAGGGTTCTGATAATGCTACAAGAGTCTTGGAATCATTCCTCCTGCCACCAAAGCCATCTATGCATGCTGCAGATCCGTCGGAACGCGGCGCCGGACAGTTGCCAGCCCTGCCAGAGGCTGGCACCTGAGGCTAGCAGCATTGAAGCCGTCTTCAAGCTGATGAGGGTATTCTCGTCTCCCGAGGCAGGAGCAATTTTGCCTTGTGCTGGCTTCGCCTTCTCCTCCTGAGCAGCAGCAGCAGCGCCTGCACCTCGCTTGGACCTGCTGGTCTTGTTCCTGGTCCTCTTGGCTGTGTCTCCTGCATGGAGCCCCCTGCAGCGCACATTTGGTGTGTTTGTGTCATGACCTGGCAAGGAGGCACAGACATCCTCGCACACTTCCTTCCACCACCATACCTTTGGATCACATGCTATAAGCATGCATGCAACATACTCAACACAATGCGAGCTCCCTTCATGCATGAGGGCTGACAAAGAGCTCACTTGTGCTCTTTGTGCTGCCGTGGGTGTGCGCCACGCTCATGGTGTTTATGCACACCAATGATGGCACCTGACTGCTGTGCAGAGAACACTCAAGCCCAGGGGCATCCTCCTTGAGCTCATCATGAATGCTTCTGCTGCAAAAAAGTCGACTTCGTCAGCAAACGTCCGGAGATGTCACATGCCCCACCTCGACTAATTTGATAGGGCTACTCATGCCCTTGCTGCCTGCCGTGCCCCTCCAGACATAGATGCTTCCCACATGTTTGCCAAGGCCAAAGATATCGATGCACGCCTCAAATGTGTCAGCATGCACATACCCTCTATTTGCATGCCCTCGCCGTCACCACCGCTGCTGCGGCCGCTAGACAGGTCTCTTAGCCTGGGGGGTCCTTCCTTCTGCGCATCTTCGCTCCCATCTTCCTGATCCAGCTCTGCAACACACAGGCAATTGCTCTAACACAAGCAATGCTGATGATGCAAGCATACTTTTGCATCGGCAGGACTTGAGCCTGGCATTCAGCCCTTTATAGGTGAAGCGTGTCATCGATGTCGCTGAGTACCGACTGCCTTGCATCACAGTGTTCACAGCCTTCCTGGCAATTGCCGAGCTTAGAGAGAAAGTTTGCCGAGCAAGATGCTCTGAACACCGCGAATAAGGAAAAGGAGCGGCGCATCGGCTGACTGCAGCTGCTGGGGGATGCAAATTACGAGGTGGCGAGGAAGGGCCACCAACTTCGTGTGGCCGGGAAGTGCTGTGCGGCAGCCGCTGACGTTCTACAAGATGAGGGACAAGTACAAGACCGAGGTACTGTTCTTGACAATACTTCTGTTTTCTCTTGATTGATTTCGAGCTCCTGGCCATGGATGGGAGGCAGCAGCATCCATCAAGCCCTGTTGGCTAAGAGGTGCAATGACTCAAGAGTGTGTCTTGTACAAGAGGAGGAAAAACGGTACTCTGGCTATCTCGAGCTGATAAAAGAGGCCACCGGCCTGGACGAACAGGGTTTGTGCGATTTGGACATAGTGCTCCGGGCTGCCCGATACCCCAAGGCCCACATCTCAGAGTCTGACAAGGAGACGGCGCATGTTTCAGAGATCAAGGGCTATGTTGGCGAGATAGTGAATGCCTCCAACGCCACTGTCACACACAAACTGATGGATTTCTTGGCCTCATTCTCCACCGGAGGGAAGCTCTTTGTGCCGGATACACACGAGACAATAGCCAAGAAGTTGGAACTGCTCAACAAGGTGGGCAATGGAAGCTAAGAACTTGCATGCAATATCTTGTTAACCCTTGTGCATCGAAGAGCTTGTTTTCCAGTGTACATCTCAGCAGACACTCTTGATTGAGGAGGCTCATTTGGTGACAACAGGTCAATTGAGGCCTGCAAGATGGGACGGCAGGCAGAGGCTGCAAGGGCTGCTTTGCAAGAAAACCCACAATCAGGTGAGCTTGAAGAACAGATGCATGAGTTCACATGTAGAAGACTTTTTCAAGCATTTGTGTGTCAGTGGCACATGCCTATGGCCACCATTGGAGACTTGGCTACAAAGCCGTAATGTGTCAGCATATGCATGCATGGCATAAATGAAAAGTCTTCTACATGTGAACTTATGCATCTGTTCTTCAAGCCCACCTGATTGTGGGTTTTTCTGCGGAGCAGCCCTTGCAGCCTCTGCCTGCCGTCCCATCTTGACCTGTTGTCACCAAATGAGCCTCTTCAATCAAGAGTGTCTGCTGAGATGTACACAGGAAACAAGCTCTGCGATGCACAGGGGTTAACAAGATATTGCATGCAACTTCTTAGCTTCCATTGCCCACCTTGTTGAGCAGTTCCAACTTCTTGGCTATTGTCTCGTGTGTATCCGGAACAAAGAGCTTCCCTCCGGTGGAGAATGAGGCCAAGAAATCCATCAGTTTGTGTGTGACAGTGGCGTTGGAGGCATTCACTATCTCGCCAACATAGCCCTTGATCTCTGAAACACGCGCCGTCTCCTTGTCAGACTCTGAGATGTGGGCCTTGGGGTATCGGGCAGCCCGGAGCACTATGTCCAAATCGCAAAACGCAAAAATCCCGTTCGTTTAGGCCGGTGGCCTCTTTTATCAGCTCAAGATAGCCAGAGTACCGTTTTTTCTCCTCCTGTACAAGACAACCTCCTGAGTCATTGCACCTCTTAGCCAACAGGGCTTGATGGATGCTGCTGCCTCCCATCCAGGAGCTCGAGATCAATCGGGAAAAATCAGAAGGATTGTCAAGAACAGTACCTCGGTCTTGTACTTGTCCCTCATCTTGTAGAACGTCAGCGGCTGCCGCACAGCACTTCCCGGCCACACGAAGTTGGTGGCCCTTCCTCGCCACCTCGTAATTCGCATCTCCCATCAGCTGCAGTCGGCCGATGCGCCGCTCCTTTTCCTTATTCGCGGCGTTCAGAGCATCTTGCTCGGCAAACTTTCTCTCAAGCTCGGCAAATTTCGCGTCGTGGTCTGTCAACCAGGATACAAGGAGCGTGACCGTGTTTATCAATGCTGTGATGCAGATTTGGAGAGTGATCGCCTTTCTGCCATGTTTTGCTGATACCTCGAGGAGCCTCGGAAGAATAAAATCAAGCACTTCTCTCAGACTCTCAAGTGTTGGGTTTCCTTCCCTCAGGATGGTTAACTTAGCCTGCAGCTCTCCCTCGATGTCATTAAACCTATCACTGAGGCTGCCTAGCTCTTCAGCTACATATTCCAAGTTCTCCATTGTTGTCTTGATCACCCCTTGGTGATCTTGCGTCACCATTTTGGTACCAGCTGGTCAGCAACTCAGCACATCTCAAGTGCTTTCGTGAAACTTGTTGCTTAAGTGAAATTTTCGCGGGCAAGTGAACATAATGATTGTGTACATTTTTTATTAGTAAAAAAGGAACACTACGCCCTTCGAAAGGTTGGGGGTGAGGTTGGCCCTAAAATCCCTTAACCCTAGAATCTCGGACAATTTGCTAGGAGGAATGGTCGCCCAGCGTATCTGCAAGGTCCAGAATCAAACAATAATCAAAAGTGAAACACAAATAACTCCAAAACTCATATCTTTGCGCATACGCCACCAAATTCAGCAAACTCAGTTGCTGTGGAGTGTTCTAAGCGAGCTCTTTCCGTTAGCACATCGAGCGCCGAAAACGGCGACGTCCGCACGGAGTTGCGCGGTCGGGCTGTAGGCATCGGGAAATCGAACCCTTATATCTTGGCAAATACGCGGCCGTTTTACACGAACCCGGGTGCGTTGGAATCATCTAGTTGAGACCATTCCATCGCGACATCAAGCACAGAAAATGAAGGCATATCGAGTGACCTGTGCGTAGCGTGATGTCTGCCGATGGCCCCGAGAGACCCCCCCAAAATGTACACACCCCAAGTGCCCACTAATGGGCACCTTCCCTAGTTTTATAGATGGTATTTGTCTCGAATTGGAACGCCCCTTGCGCGAGGCATGCCACAGCTGACGAACCCTCCCCATATGCATACCCCTTGCTTATTTAGCCTTTGCAAGGGTTCTGAAGGAATGCCCATCCATGTGACTTCCAAGAAAGTATAATCACGCCCTCACGCCTTCCGTCTTCGCAGCACGTAAGAGGCTTTTCAAATGTGCTTGCAGCATATGTTCATTAAATGAACTGACTTCGCTCAAGCACTGTGAGTCCACTGCCCAGATCTTGTCTCAGATCATCGGGAGTCTTTCCCTGAGCTTGAAGAAATAACAATTTGAGTAACGTTCTAGCAATACCTCTTGCACACCATGTGTGCTGCCATTTTGAAAGAGCATCAGCATGGGAAATCGAGGGTGAGGCTAGGGAGAACATGGCGAGAGGGAGATGTCCACCATTTCGTGGAGTGGACCGTGCACACGATGCTGGAGTCTGATATGGCCCATGCATTCCTGGATGGCAGTAACACAGATATGACTGCGACGGACACGCAGAAGAACACGGTGAGGGGACGCGATCGAGCTGATCCTGCCCTAATTGATCTCTCCCCTGTCACTCGATGAATGTCTGCCCATCCACAGTATTTGTAGTATTTGATATGAACAGCTGCATGTAGGTGTACTACATTGCCAAGCAGTGCAACAAGAGATGCAGCCCAGAAGAGTATGCCATCGCCCTTGCCCGGCACTTTGTGGCCACCTACCCGAAGGTGCCTCACTTGCTACCAATTTTTCACACATCGCATCCTTATTCTAAATCTACTGTATGACCATCGCTGGATATTGTCTTCTTTGAGCTTGGCATTTCTGACACCAGGTGAGCAAAGCAAAGGTGTGGGTGGAGCAAGCACCATGGGAGCGGTGTCAAGTGGATGGCCAGCCTCATAATCATGGCGCGTCCTCTGACTGACCATCGCTTCCTAGTCCACTGCTCTTGCTCATGGCATTGCGGAAGCCTCAAGTATACAAATGCCTTGTGTTGCCTCCTGACTATCGGCTCAAAACTTGCAGGGTTTGCTCACACTGGGGCCGAGATCCGGACGACATTTGTAACAGCAGATGACCAGGGAAACACAGCTGTCACAGCAGGTCAGTACTTGTGTATTTCTGCTCAGGCCTCTGGCAGAAGCAAGCTGTGGAGGCAAGCATTGCCTGTCTGGGGTGGTCTGCGGTGGCTGATGGGGATGATTGCAGGTTTGAAGGGCTACAAGGTCCTGAAAACAACCCAGTCTGGCTATGAGGGCTACTTGCATGACCAGTACACCCTCCTGCCTGAGACCAGGGACAGGATCATGGCCACATCTATTGCAGCCACCTGGAAGTACGGCCCTCTGCCATCACTGCCATGCACATGCTTCCCCATTGCGCAAATGTTTGTCTCATATTGCCATCCTATTGACCATTGCTGCCTCTTGGGCTTGGCTGCTCAATGTTTGTTTCTGAGCACCAACCTCATGATGGCAAGCTGTTCTTCCCTCTTTGCAGGTACTCAGGCCCAGTCAACTATGATGCAGCATATGCAGCAGTGAAGGAGGCTCTGCAGACAGCATTCTGGGGTCCGCCAAAGTCAGGAGTCTACAGCCCCTCAGTACAATACACCCTCTTTCAGATGGGCAAACTCGCTCTGGCCAGGTATGTGCAGCGCTTCAGCATGCACCCTGGTGTGCCAGAATGGGTGTGGCTGAGATTGTAAGTTGCATCTATTCCTGGCATGTGCAGGGCCCCACAAGTGGAGTCTATCTACCTGAACATGCCAAACCTGCACTTCCTTCCTTGCAATACAGTGACCAGCAAGGTGACTACTTTCCTGAGGAACAGTGCCGAGGCTTGCTCTTCTGTGTATGTCTTGTGCACAGCCGTCAGTCACTGCATGTTGATGTGTCGGCATGTGCAAGCATTCGTTGCCAATGTCTGAGACCGGCCATGCGCGCAGTTTGAAGATGATGTGTACATCGCCACGAGTGAGCCTCATGGGAACATTGAGGCCACCATCACTAGGGGGGACATCGAGCCGCACTGCAAGCTTTGAGACCTTCATTTACCCGCACCTTCACATTGGTAGGTGTTCAGCCCTGCACTCCTGAAGATCTGTGAGATCTACCTGGGTTTCTGCTTTGATGCCAAAACAATGAAGGGAAGAATGACATGCAATCTGTGTGCAGGTTGACCAAGATTCAATTGACATAAGGCTTGGAACACCGGTCAATGGTACCATTTAAAGGGTCCAGCGAGGGTGTTGACGCTCATCAAGATGAGGCCGCATCATACCTGATGGGACGAGCAAAGCTGAGTCCCACGGTAATATACATTAATTTTGCACTGTTGTGGATAAGACCATTTCAATTTGTATGCTACATCTGTACCATATGCGAGTCTACCAAATGTGAATTTGACGGGAAAAACAGAGAAGGCCCTAAGGCGGGACTTTTCATATGATCAGGGAACCCATTGTCCCAGTGATGCCAGAAAATCCCGCTTAGAATCTAGATTATGAGGATGAATGAGTGTGCATTGGCACCATTCATGAATTGACCCAAGCGAGCTCTGTACATATGTATACAGTATATGATTTTGCTTGCAAGGCTTTTAGCTCCAAGGTCTGCAACTAATTGCAGGTTCACAATGCAAACTTCTGTCGTCTTTGTTTTGCAACAGAGCAGAGAAACAAGATCCCTATGATTTCAACAGGCTGGAGGCTGAATTTCAGCAACTTTTAAAGTCACAAGATAGCCCTTTGGCCCCACCAATGTTCAATACTCCATCAGCGAGTATTTCCAGGGGTCTCATCATGGCAGTCATGGACATGTGCCCCAGGGCGATGATGCACCAACAAGCTCTGTTCTTAAGACGCAACACGGCCTTCCAGGTCTCACTTGATGTACTGGGAGACCCAGCGGAAGCCCTCACCATAACCCATCCTCTTCACCTGCAACCACATTGCAAATTGTCTAAATGCATATCCATGCTTAAATACGTTCCCCTCGAAACATATGCTTGCAAAACCAGGCAACCAAGGATGAATCCGTACCAAATCAGGATGAAGACATAACTTACCACACTGCACATGAAGATCTCGATGGGCCGCAGGCTATTCTCCGTGACTGGAACCTTGCCCTTGCCAGTTGTGTAGTTCATCAAGCCCAGGTTCAGGCGCAGCTCATCCTCGCTGGCAGCCTGCACAATGCGGATGTCCAAATGGGCACTTTGCCTTCCAGCACTATCCAGCATCACAGGGCTGAGAGCACAGCACAGCTGATGCCCCTGGTCTTATTGCACTGCTAGGAACTGAAAGAGCCCGAATAATGCATGTTTGTACACATCCACATTTGACCTCTCAGAGGCCCTACAACAGCTGACAGTTGATTGCGCTTCAAATGAAATTCTGCATGATCAGAGCAAGATTGCCACAAGCCAATCACACCAGAGACGCTCAAAAAACCAAAGAGGATCACCTGAGGGATGTCGATTTTGTTGCCCAGGATGAGGACAGGCACGGCGGCCAGCGCCTCGTCACTCAGCAGAGCATCCAGCTCCTTTTTGGACTCCAAGAAGCGCTCCCTGTCCACCGCATCCACCAGGAACACCAGCGCATCCACCTGCGCAAGATGAAGTTAGTTTAGAGCAATCTGCACATCAAAGTTCACCTGGCATGGGAAGATGGCAGAGGCGAGGGCGCAAGAAATGCACCTTGGCGTAATAGTCCTTCCACACCCGTCTGGCAATCTCGTGGCCGCCCAGGTCAAAGGCCTTGAAATTGATCCCCTGCATCTGGAGCTCCTGTTGTGCACAAGAAATGCTTCAGGCCAAAATTGGTATTTGTCTGTCGGGCACGGCAGCAGAGGATTAAGCACTTGATGAGAGGTGTCACCTCCGAAGTAGGGTATTGAGTTGGTTGATGCTGTGCCAAACGGTCGTCCTTCAGCATGTGCATCAGCGTTGTTTTGCCAGCATTGTCGAGGCCCTGGGTCAAAATGGGAAATTCTATGTGTTACTGCAATTGAAGTTTACCACATCTTTACAAGTTCGAAGCAGACAGCAAAGTGCGGATCCAGGGCTCACCAAGAAGAGAATCTTGGCATTCTTATTGTACAGTCCCAGCCAATTGAGCGTGCCATAAAACCTGCGATGAAAGTTGAACACAATAGTGATGGAGCAAAGGGCACAGTGATGATCACTACAATGCAGGCAGCACGACAAATAACACCTACCAATTCACAAGAAACATCTTGACCGTATCGTCTGCGGTGAGCTCAGACGCACAAAAAGAGGATTACTCAGCAAGTGCGCCAAGACGCCCCTTGAAACGTTGCAGTAGGGTCTTATTTTCGGTGGCGCTTTTATGCAAGATCAAGAACTGATCGAGGGTGGGCGTGATCTTTTCCGCCCTGTACTACTGCTGGTGGCACCGCAGTGGTGGTATGGACTTCGCCTTAAACTTCTAGGCGCTCCTGCTTCCACAGTCTCCAGAGGTGTGACCTCCCAACTGCTGCATCCCCTCTTGCAGATGGTTGGTCCTAATTTAGGACTCCTAAATGCATGCATGTGCAAGATAGGAATAGAAGGCGATTCAGAGCAAGCAGGATGCAGGATTCAATCTTATCATCATCAATTGCCATGCAAGTGTGGTTTGGGACCTGTGCAGGGTCCTGGGTACAGTAGTGCAGTACCCCGGGGCCCGGCCGAGTTGCCGTCACTGACATCAATTTCATGATGTAATTTTCATCCCAAACAAGCTGTACAGGTGCAAGTTGTATCTGCAATATCAGCAGCGGCACAGCAATTTTCTGACAGAGTCAGAGGCTCTTACATGTGGTATTCCTGCCATCCCAAGAGGGGTCAAATGTTCTACAAGACAAAAAGAAAGCAGACAAAAACTAGGCACGCACTGGGGCAGACGTGGGCACCCCACGGCTGAGGCCATCATCCTTCTGAGTGTTCACAAGGTCCTTCACACTCCACACATTATCCTGCGCATCAAAGAGAGTATCAGCAAATCTGCACCATCTTGCACGAACCGGTAACTTGCTACAAATACGACAAGGGACCCACCTTCCAGGAAGCCAACTGCGCACGCAGCTGCTGCCACTGGGCAGCAGTGAACGTTTGGCGAGCGATCTTCGTGACGGTGACAACGCGGCGTAGCTGATCGATGCGCGCTTCAAGCAGCTTGTTGCCACTGGCTCGGATTACAAATGCCTCCTCCTGCCCCTCTTCCAGCGCCAGGGACTCCTGCACCATCAAAGCAAACCCAGTGACGTTCCTGCCTGCAGCATTCCTTGTGCCATCTGCTGCACACACCGTGACCTGCGAATATCCAAGGCTATAAAGAGCAGAACCTCCAGGTAGCATGGGAATGCCAGCTCACCCTGATGGCAGCGAAGGTGAGCACGTCTGACTGCGAGGCCAGAGAGAGGAGTGCCAGTATGCGTCCCTTCGCCAGCAGATCCTCGTAGCTCACTCCAACGCTCTTCAGCACCTCTCCATGCTGCTTGTTGAAGGCCTCCAAACCCTGCATGTGCATCTACATTCAGGCTCTGAACAACCGATAGGCGCACTCCATACTTGCCACAGCCATTTTATTTGATTGCTTGTGCAGTTCTTGGCCAAAAGCACCCCTTCACCTTGACATCTGAGCTTGTTAGGAGCAATGTCAGCAGCTTGTGGAGGGGCGCATGCTGCTTGTCATTCTCCAGCTGTGTCACCGCCTCAGCTTCCAGGAGGTCAAACTGGAACAGCTCTGGAAACTTGATGAAGTCTGCAACGGCCTCCGCGGCAACATCCTTCACGGCAGCGAGTTCAGCTGCGTTGGCACCCTGCATGTGCCGAGACTCCCTTAGTGCAATTTGCCACCCGTTGGCTGTTGCCCAGTTGCAAGCAGGGGACAAGAGAGACAGTAATGAATGCAATACAGGGAGTGTACCCCGCACCTGGAATGTGGAGAGTGCATGCAGTGTCAGCTTGTAGGCGTCCAATGGGCCAGCCTTCTTCTTCTGCAGGACCAGCAGGATCATTCGTCATGGCACTATCACGGCTCTAAAGTATTCTTGCATTCAGATTCAGGACAAAAAACAGCACGGAGAAGCACCGAATGGGTTGCAGACTCTTCTGCAAGATATGAACACTCACTTTGCTGATCCGAAGGACATCTGCACAGGCAAAGTACAGAGTCCGACGGTCTGCCACATTGAGGCTCCATTTCTTTGCCCAGGACTCCGCATTAGCCTAACCAAGCCACACAAATTTGAGGTCCTGTCAAAAACATCAAGGGCGCTCTGGAAACAAGCATCATTTCTTTGTCAAAATACAGAGGTGCACATCTCTTTGCAGGCATCCCCACCTTCACAACTGGCGCCAGCAGCCCAGCCAGACCGGCTTTCTTGGCATAGCCGAGTGTCTCCAGCAGTATGGTGTACTGCACCTTTGCATCAGGCACGGCATTGAACAGGTCTGTCAAGCATGAGAGCCGCTTCTCCGCGTGCCTGTCAACCTGACACCAGAGCATGTCAAGCCACCGGCTTATCTCATTTCCCATGAGGACCATTGCACACCATTTCTCACGCTTGCACCAGTGAGCATGTTGACTTTGGATACCTCTGCCGTGAAGGCTGCTGTCACTTTCGCAGCTGCAGCTGCCCACTCGCCCTCTGGCACCCGCGGCACAGTGAGAACAACAATGTCCAAACAGCAGTCCAGGGCCGCTGTGAGACAGACACATAAGAAAGGCTTGTTACATAAATGATCATCGCATAAAGTGTTCCCAGTCCATGTAGTGACATCAAGAAACGAATCAATTAGCGGGTTGCAGAGCACCTTTGTCAGGAACTTTGTCAAAAATGAGGGTGAGCTGTGAAACGAATTGCTCCAACAGCTTTGAGTAGTCCCCTGAGGCTAGCAGTGCCTCGCATTCTGTGCTGAACTTAGTTCCAGGTGTGTCTGCAAGCGCTGTGTAAGTCTGCAGCAAGAGCAATCCAACATCAGTAATAAAGTAGTTTGCCACTATATTGACGTAATCCAACCAACAATGTAACATGAAATCTAGCAATCATCATCAAGCAATTTTATGATAGAAAGCCTCCGTCACACGAGGAGTTCAGATCACAGAACAAAATCACTCAGCAACATCTAAGCTGAAGCACTTGACAGGCTCTTCCGCACTAGCTGTGGTGGCTAAAAATCCCATCAGTTGCACCATCATTTCACAGATTGTCCATCGGATCAGAGACAGTGGTGACGATTTGCACAAGATGGGTGCTGACGGCTGACCTGCCCTTCGGACAACAGGTCCCCGATATAGCGAGCTACCGCCAAGAAACTGTCCTCCTCTGAGGTCTCGATCAGATGCGAAGCCATGCTTACATTTGATTCCTCGTCACAAAGAGAATGGGGCTTTCTTTAGCTGCACGCTTCATCGCCACCGCCAAGCCCGCACACCGCCAGAATGCCCGTACCGATGTCGACATGATGTGGCATGGATAGATCTCGGTTTGCGCAAGTATCTGGGGAGACGACACTTTTGCAAATTGTTTCATTGCATGTAAATAATTATTGGCCTCAAGGTGTCTATTCGAGGGAAGCAGACTGCACTGCGAAAGAAGACAACCCCCTGCCAAACGCTAGAACAAAATTTTCACAGTAACTTGTGATAGGGCCTTGATAAAGCCACGAATCGTGCATATTCAATCCAACAGACACCATCATGGAGATCCGATGCACAAGTGCCCTATCTCACAGGCTGTCTTCTGGCCAGATCAGACTCCAACAACGGGGCCTCTGGAAGCAATCATCTGGAAGAAAACGATGCTCATTGCTGCAAGTAAGGGCTGTCTCAGACGAGAACACAGACAAGCCTGACGAAGCGCTGTCAGAGGAAGCAAGACTGGAGGCGTTGGAACGCGGAGTGAGGCGCAAGCAAGGTGGGAAGGGCTTGCTTAAATTGATGTTGCAGGTGATCAGTATTGCTTGTCCTCTGCAAAATCAGAGCAAATTTAATGCTTAAGGTGACACGTAAAGTCAGAGAGAACATTGGGCACATGCTGCCTTTGACAGGAGCTCGAACGGTGAACGCACAGATCCGACGGGTGGAATCATCCAGAAGTGCAGCCCAATCCGAGCGTGGCATGGCCCCTTGGAAGGAAGGAGAGCTGTTTCCAGAGGGCTGGGAGGACATGCCAGTCACGCAAAAGATTGCAGAGCTATACACTGGCAAGCGGGGCGTGCTGTTCTGGGCTGGCAAGATCACCTATGCACTCACCTTTGCAGTCATGGCAGGCTGGGTGATTTTCCGGTTCATCCTTCCGCAGCTGGGTGTGCTGGAGCTGCAAAATGGATTGGACTCGCCGCCAAACATGGGCTGATCCTGTCTGTTACTTGAATGCGACATCCCAGCCTGTGTCATGCTGCAGAATCATTGGTCTCACCCTGAGGGAAGACTGTTGCGGTATGCCAACACTTATCATAAGAATTTGCAACATGGGTTGCCCTGTCATGTGCTTGCCACTTCTTCACGCAGCATTTTACAGATAGCTCAAGACAATTGAGTTCAATTCATATTACGGGTCTCAAAGTGTCAGATCGGGTCACGAACATCATGTATGTCGAGGAACCTGTACAGTATGCCAAGGGGCCGGGTATGATACAGGTAGGACCAGAGTCCTGATGAAGGCCATACACCTTGCCTCAGACTAGGAGCCTGGCCATATTGCAGCAGGGCCTGTCCGACCCTAACCAGTGTGGGTTGAACGCTGTTCAATAGCATCAGGATGTCACACGGCATAAGGTAGGGGCAGGGCGCGGGCTGACAAGCTATGGGCAACTGGATTTCAGCCGCCGTTGAGCGCCCACGCAGTCTTGGCAATTTTGGACTAATAATTGAGAGTCTGGAGTAGATCGCATCAGGTTTTAAGCATAGGCTTGCCACTCGAGTCAAGCGGCCAGGGTTTGCCATCGACATCCACCTGCATCTTATTCCATCAACAGCAACAATCCTCAGTCTCTCATCAGGATACTGAAGTTCTTGGTGTGCATTCCGAATTTCCAACGTTTCAACACACTGTGTTGTCAACCAGGGCCCTTGGGAGAACAGGCAATCCAGGATTGAGAGTTGTTGCTGCACGCTGGCATCTTAGAGCGTTCTGCGCTCTGGCATCCTGTTCCTAGCAGGCTGCCCAGGCACTCGGATGTGCAGTGACAAAGATTGCAGCAAAGCCGCCCTTGCCGGAGAGCTGAGCATTGTCTGCTGCAGGTCGCGCGGCATGGCCTCATACACTGCTCCCAGCCCCCTCCGCAGCGCAGCAACCCGCGCGATCGCCTGTCATATTTAATCACAAAGCTCAGAGCGCCCTTTCTGTCTATATAAACCAAACCTAATTAACACAACATGACGACATATATCAGCACCTCCCATTGTCCATTCACTTCCAGCCAGCTATAAAAAATCTACTCAAAGCAGTCTTGGCTTATACTCTACATTACCCTAGGGAATCCACTAGGGTGTATGCGCCGTGCCTGGGCAGGAGCCTTGGGCAGGCGGGCAGCTGCTGTGGCAGCTTCCAGGGTGCGTTCCAGCTCGAAGAAGGCCTCCACGATCTGCACCTCATCCATGCCCCTCAGGTCTGCGCCCTCTCCGCGCACGGCCGCCGCTGTGGCCCACTCGGCCGCTTGCCACCCCCATGCCGCGCCACGCTGCCGCTCAAACCAGGCGCTGAAATTGGGCGACTCCAAGAACCTCCGGTAGAATCCCACCAAGGCCGCCTGTAATCCCACATGGACGCACATCTCAGATACACAGGCCAACTCATGGCAGGCGAGCATGTAGCAACTGTTTGAAAGGCAAAGCATTGCCGCTGACGTTGAGAGGAAGAATCAGTTCGGTTAGAGGCGGCCGCACCTGGTTTGCAAAGCGCTCCAGGAGGATGGGAGGGAAAATGGTGCGGCTGAGCCCTTCGAGGAAGTCGGTGTGGCTGAAGGGGGGAAGGTGGGGCGGGCCCTGGACGGGAACCGGCCCGTTGCCGGGGGGTGGGGGCATCGGCTGCCAGAACGCCGCGAACGGCGCCAGAAACGCGCACGTGAGCTCCCCAAAGTGCTGCCGCAAGGCCGCCGAGTTGGCCGCTGCCAGGCGCGAAGTGCGGCCCGGCGGGTCCCGGGAGGTGGGCCTCAAAAGCCTGTGCAATGCGCAATAAGCTTGTGAGAGCCGCACTTGTAGAAGGCTAGCAAAGCACAGCAGTCATGAGCTCCTTTTGAGCTGACAGACGCTACAAAGTGAAATGCTCAAATCGAAAAAACAAAGGCTGTGGTGACAGTTGGGTGACTCACCGCTCCAAGAGGGATCTGTCAGGACGCGTGAGGGGCTTGTACGTGTGCCACAATGCCTGCACGTGCTCTGACAGCAGCACCTGAGCGCCTGCAGAGCGCTTGCGCACAGCAATGTTCAGCCGCTGAAGCCGTGAGGCTCCCTGTCTGGGCGCGGCGGTGCCACTTGTGTCAGGTGCAGAAGCCCCAGCGCTCCCGTTGGCCGCTGCTGCCTGCCCGTTCATGTTGGAAGGCCGGGTGCCGGTGGACAGCACATTCGGCCAGGTGGGCAACGCCTGCATGCAAGTACAAAATTTGGCCATTGAGTCTGGTACACACAGAGAAATCTGCTTCAAACGTTGTCATATTGGCAAAGACATCGCTGCACAGTAATTACGATGTCTTTTGCTGCAGGAGCACAAGCAGCAAAGAGCAGTAGATTGGGCTGCACCTTCAGGAAGAAGAGGTTTGTGACCCCCAGCAGGCGTGGCAGCGAGTTGGCGTTTGTGGGCAGCTGCTGGGAGGCAAGCTGCGCAAAAGCCGGGTCATGTATTGTGAAATACGGTCTGAAGTCTGCTGAGTAGGGCAGCGGGGTTATGAGCGCTATGAGGGCCGCCACAGCCGCCGAGCACACACCTGCGCAGCAATACACCTTGTCACATGACCGGCATGCAGCCGCACGTCCTTTAAAAACAGCGCTGAATATTAGACCGGTTTTGCAGTAAACACTGATCACCAAGCGCCCACCTGGCGATGGGGCGAGGACCAGCAGGGGCTGTGCCAGGATCATGAGCTCCCACAGCACCCAGGCGCGCTCCACCACCTCCTTCAGCGTCGACCAGACATCCGCCTGCACAGCACACAGCTTCAAAAACCAGGCACCAAATATCAGGGGTGGAGGTCAGCTCTGATGGACAGGCCAGCATGAAAATCTCACCCTCCATCGTGCTCTGCTTCTAGCCAGTAATCAGCTTATGCAGCATGTTGCGAGAGAGCACCAATGCAAGACATTGCTGCAGGCAAGGTGCCGGTAGTCAGGGACTGTGCTCGCTATCCTTGCGTTCTGTGCAGCTACAGTCAATGCTGAAGCACGTGAGATGCTGAGGGGGTGCAAACCTCGAAGAACGTGCCCTGGATAGTGTCGCAGCCGTTGGCCTGCCGCACCACAGGCAGCGGCGCGAAGGGGTGCTCCAGCTGCACGGCCGTGGCTGCGTCGGAGGGAGGCAACACCGCGGGCAGCGTGGCGGACGCCGGCACCTGAGCTGGCAGAGTCATGGCACCGACCATCACCATGCCCCGCAGCCCCGGTGACGGGGGCTCCCACGCCTGCACCTCCTGGTACACCTGCTCCAGCAGCGCAATTATGTTTGCCAGTGCCTCAGATCATCTTGATGAGAGACTTTCTGCAGATGGTCGGGCGGGTGCAATAAATATCAGTGAAAGGGCCAGCTGTCGCCATGGCACAGTTATCCTATTACCCTGCACGCGATGTGCCAGATGTCCTGGAGTATACTTTAGGCTGAATTCATAATGTGCTGCACAGCTTAACCCACCTCTTGCAAGGCGGCCTTGCCTCGATTGAAGTACAGGGGTCCGGCATGCTGAGAAAGAGGTGTCAGCACAGCTGAGTATGGCTGTGAGGACAGCACCACCACCGATTTCTGTTCGCCTCCCCTCTTCAGACGCTCATCTGATCGCTGCCGGCAGAATACAAACCTACAAGAGGAAATGATCTCAGCGTTGGAGACTTGGTGGCTTCTTTATCCAACGCATTCCATTTTCTGCTGTCTGTGGATGGATTGAGAACCCACCCATACAAGAAGTCAGCAGCATCATACTGGCTGCCCTGCTGGTCCTCTGCAGGCCCCTTAGATGGGCTGCTTTTGCTCCCTGACTGCTCACTCTCACTGCCGCCCCGCCTTCTAATTCGGAAAAAGAATGTGCTGCAGTGGCAGGACATAATCAGAAGACACCCCTTTGTAGATCGGCGTTACAGCATATGAAATTATGAGCTTGATCTGACAAGGATACCCATCCATACCTGTCTCTCACACTGCTTCTCGAGTGCAACTCCATGGACATCGAGTCCTGCAGCGGCAACACAGAGAAGATTGGCATGGATCGGGCATGCATCAAATGCTGAACATAAGAACGGCGCTGAAGTTCCTGGAACAATACTGGGTTGCTCACTCCCAGTCTGAGAGCATGGCCATATTGCTATAAGTCAATAAAGCTTTCTGTGCGCACCCAGATCAACATCAAAAAAATGATCAGCACGTACCGGGAAAGAATGGAATGCGATGTCATTCGCCTCGTCCTCCGAAATGGCATTCTGGGGGAAGCAGTCTTCCATTTTCTGTCCTTCATCAATATCAAACACCACCGAGCAAACACCCAGGATCCACGCATTCTTGGAATCATCGCTGCGTCCGTTCATTTCTTGGTATTCGCTGTGCACAAATGGCATTCATTCAACATCAATTGATGTCTCGAAGCCTGTCCAACAGCTATCCATTTGAAAGCCAAGTGCCAGATTAGGTCCCTGCATGCTCCATCAGGTGGCAACTTTCATGCTTGTTGAGCAATGCTTTGATTTATCTGTCCGCAGACGCTTTACAAAGAGCATTACCAATCATAAAGGGTTCTTTCGCCAGGGGATTTTCAAGCCAAAAAAAGGATATCAGCAGCAGCTCTCCAATTGGCAAGATGCCGTGGCACTGCCGCAGCGGCTCATGATGCTGCAGTACTGACACTAGTGACATGATTCTTGACACATACAGATGTCCACAAGCACAATTCACAAGCATGCTGCGTCACAAATGTCGGATCTGCATTCATCTGCTGCTCACTTACTTGCCAGTGGCCATCATTATCATATGATGCATCATCGTTGCACAGGGCACGCCATGTGTGCACAGCTTGTCCTCGAGGAGTTCCACAATATGCCAGAAGCTACCATGTCTAGCGAGTTCTCACTGACAGTGTGTTGACATCAACATGCACCATACTGGGGTTCGGCAGACTGCATCCGACTCTGTCGGTCATGTGCATGTTTCTGAGAACAATTCATTCATAGCACCACTGGTGCATGGCATCCGTGTTGTGTGGTACTGCGCAACCAGAAGCACTGCTGGCATACAGTCAGCTTATGCCCAATTTGGCATGCCAGACCTGCCTCTGAAAAGCATTTGCAGTGGCTAACGGATTCTCCTCTGGTAGTAAGTGCTTCTGAAGCGCGTCCTCCATCTTCACCTTGTTTGCCCCTGAGTGCTGGTGGACGAGGTCGCCTGCACCATGCATGCGGTCATGTCTGAGCTTTGTCGCTCACCTTGCTTGACAATACATGCAAGATCTTGCGTAAACATAAATTTGCGAACACAGCACACACAGTGCTTTGACAGAAGCACCAACAACACAAGCAACATTGGACAGGCAACCAGGAGGCACACCTTGCCGCCAGAACGTGAATGTGGGTGTGTTGGGAGTGTTGAGCCGGTTTTCAAACAAGTGTTTTGTATATTCATTCTCATTGCCAAAGAATTTCAGGAATATTGTGTTCACGTATTGCGCCGCAAACTTCTGCAGGAAAGTCACGGATCACACCTTCAGTAACTTGCCTTCAAGTTGAGGAGATTCACTCAGCATGTCCCTGTAAATTGCCAGTTGAAAACAACAATGAATATGACAGATCACTGGTGGTCGGGAAGAAAAGCACCTGGTAGGCCCGTTCAAAGCCTTTGCATGGCCGGCACCAAGTCACAGAGGCTTCCAGAACTATCAACCGCTCAGCATGTTCTCTGATCACGAAGTCAAACTCTCCCTCGCTTGTTATGAATGTGACCTCCCCTTTTTTGGCCTGTCCAAGTCAGTATGGATGTCGTCAGTATCACTGCAGCTGCCAACGATGCCTTGACTCACAATGCACACATCAGCGGAGATCAACGGGGCGGCCTGTACCTCGGGTCTGGACACAAGGCCATCAGGGGACTTTCCCATCTGCAGAAAGGCCAGGATCTCGCGCAAGTCCAGCAGGTCCGCCCGAAACATCTCAAGAAACTGGGGGAAGTCAATCTTGCCTGGCCTGGCCAGTTGTAGCTGCTTCTCTATGTCAGCCAGCCTCTCAGCATCTAGCGGCTGACCCAGCTTTGCAAACAAGCCGCTCAGTGACTCCACAGAGATGTCGGAGCCACCTGCTGCTTGCCAGGCGCGTTCATACTGCTCAAGCTTGCCGTCGAGCAGTGCGCCTCCAGCGACCTGCAATGCTGTCCGCTGGCGTCATTACAAGGAGGGGCCAGCAGCTGTATATACCGAGCCAACAGAGCTGTGCACATTCTGCAAGACTCCCTTGCAATGATCCGCACCAGTGCCTGAAACTCGTTGAATGAGATGTCTCCGCTCGAATCCCAGTCATACTTATTCAGCCACTTGGAGACATCCTCATCTGTCAGCCAATCCTGCAGTAGGGGTACTGTCGTTAGAAGCAGAGCCCTTCACCTAGCTCACTTTGAAAAGGCATCAGCAGAACACAGCCCTCTCACCGCATGCTTTGTGACCTTTTGAAGTCCTCGATCAGTGCTCTGGAGCAAATTCTTGAGCTCAAGCTTGTCAATTACCCCGTCACTGCAGCAAACCTCACTTTGGTTCAGACCAGATATGAGCAAAGTGCACGCGCATAGGCATTGACAATACTCGATCGTGGTCTCACCCGTTGAGGTCAGCTTTCCTAAAAAGGTCTTTCAGTTGGCTGACGCTATCCTCGTTGCCCTCAATGGAGGACTCTACATCGACTGAAGCCTCGTCTCCAGAAGGAAATTCCGCCCTTTGTGATCCCTCGGAACGTGTGATCAGTGACAGATGATTACGTTCTCGAAAGATGGGTCTGTTCAGAGTCGATTGTCTTCCAGTATTGAGCAGCTTCCTTGTGTGATCAGATGCAAGGGAGATTGGTAGCTTTGCGTTCGCACGGGCATTGGCCAGAAAGCGCATTTGAATGTTCTATCGAACATAAGATTACAAAAATACCCACCTTACTGAAGTAGAAATAATTTGGTCGGGACAAATGGGGAGCCAGGGGTGGAAGCTGTAGGGAAGTTGATGGGCTTGCCCAGCATGCAGCACACGAAACTGCTGGAACCACCAATGAATGCAACTGTCTAGTGCAACTGTCTCAATAATTTTCAAGAGTTCCCCTTCCCTGGAGCTCTAAAAGACAGGGACATTGGGGTAGCACACCGCATTTAACTTTCCATTAGTATTCTTCAGCTGCAATTCCCGGAGTCGGCCGCGGGCCGCATCACTGCTCATTGGCAGTGATTGTGCGGCAGGAGCAAAGGCTGTGAGGTCAATATGATCCTGCCAGAGGATAGAACACACATTGCAGCTGGGCCCTGCAGGACCTCAGTTGCTCTGAGCAGGTCCAACCTTGAAGCCGCGCAACCAGCATGATCCCTGTAATGACCCAGAGTACTGCAGTACAATTGGTGCATAACTGCCAACGTGCCCCTCACTTCTGTGTGGCAGGGGCAGCTGTGCTGCCCATGAACTTCTGCACCTCCTCGACTGCCTTTTGCGCTTCCTCTTCCGTCATGCTCTTGAACTTGTTGGCCTCTGGAATGTCCAACCCCCTTTGGACTGCGGGGCGCGCCTCAATCTTCTCAAACCAGGCCTTGAGATGGGGCTTGTCATCCAAAGAGACTCCTGTGCGCACACCACCAAGATCAGGATGATTTTGAGCCACTGCGCAGTCTATTGCACTGGGCATTTGCCAGAGTAGGGCAGCAAGGAACAGGACCTTGAAAGGCGGTGCAGCTGTCGAGGCAGCTACGTTGCTCACCTGACCATGTGTGGATGAAGACCCAGGTGAAGTTGGCGATGTCAGCAATGGTGTACTGGTCAGCAGCCAGCCACTCATGATCTTTCAGATGGTCGTCAAGGACCTGCAGAAAATCAGACCAGGTTGAGGGGTCACTGGACACCTTCTCAGGCAAGCCTCCCATATTGCTTCAAGCCGGGACGGGCGTGAAAGTGCATCCCACCTGGTAGAGCCTGTTTGTCTCGTTCACGTAGCGATTGATGCCGTACTCGATCTTGACAGGCGCATACCGGAGGAAGTGATTGGCTTGGCCCTGCATTGGGCCCAGTCCGCCCTGCAGCAAGGCAAATCAAGGAATCACAAATTGAGAGCATTACAAATTTTGTGCCTAACAAGCACAAGACAGAGTCAAGTCAGCACTGCTGTCAAGGATGGAGAAAATTACCATCTGAAACATGAGCCAGGACATGACTTCGGCCTGCTTGCTGGGATCCTTTGGGAAAAGCTTTCCTTCTGGATCGCGCGACGCCAGCCACCACATGATGGCCCCACTCTCAAAGATGGGCAGGTCACCGCAGGTATGATCCACAAGGGCGGGAATCCTGAAGGCAGCAGTCCATCTCAAGAAGTGCAGAAGCCCTAATAACGACTGCACCTTTTACAGTGAGAGGGCAAGAATATCACCTTCCGTTGGGATTGATCTTCAGAAACCAGTCCTGCTTTTGCTCATTGTCAGAAAGACTGATCTTCTTCACATCGTAAGAGCTTCCCAGCTCCTCCAGTGTGATCGATGGCTTCCATCCGTTTGGCGTTCCTGACGTTGAAGGGTCGTCAGCATACATTAAGATGGTGGTGATCTTCATCTCAACGGAAAACAATGTAAGTAAATTGCAAAGATGATCACACGTCATCAGATCCGAAGGGTGATTTTACCTGCAGTCAGGAGGGTGTAGCTTTTCCTTGGACCCGCATCGGCCATGTCGAAGATCTTCGCTTCCCTGCGAAAAGGCTCACCTGAGATTGCATCGAGATAATGCGAGGATCGACTCAAAAGCCATGAACAGATGCCTTCATTTTCATCACCACAGGGCATTAGGTCCGAAACTCGTGGAAAGCTCACCTTCCCTTGGCACGAATCGCACCACAACGTTTCTGAGATGTTTTCCACTTGCAGAGATATTTTCTTACCAAAAGATGCTGTATGCTGTACCCGATGTTCATGATCAGGACCCAAAACTTGTATTACGACATTTGAAAGAGTTCTGTGTACGGGCTCATCACGTACTTTACGGGAATCTCCTCTGCCGCTGCCGCTGCCGCTGCCAAACTTCATTCCCTTCAGGTTTTCAGAATTCAGATGTGTATGGATGCATGAGAGGAAGGCGTGAAATTGTGTGATTAAATTGTCTCGCAAAGTCAGCCAGCCCTATGGCGATTTGAAGGACTGCTGGCGGTGTTGCTGGCAGCCTTTTCATGTACACTCTCCATGGGGAAGCCACCCTGCTGATAAGACGCAGCATAAACTCAATAAATTTCCTAGATAGATCGAATAGAAAATGCTCTGCTCGGAAAACGACGTTATGTATGGCATTACCAGCAGCCGCCAAGGGCATTGCTGTGGGCATCGATCTGGGAACGACCAATTCTGTCATCGCGGTGAGTGCTGATCCTTCATGAGTATATATCGAAGATGACGCGATTCTAGTTTTCACCACATGATGAAGTAATTGAAAACCCCAAGCTTTGCAGGTCATGGAGGGCACTTCGCCTGTTGTCATACCGGTGACTCCTCAGGGGAATGTTCTGCCATCAGTCGTGTCATTCGCGGAAGAGGACGAGGTGGTAGTTGGGTGGACCGCCAAAAGGTGCTGCCATTTTTTATCCCTCAATGAAGTTGACGTGCACTCTGGTTGTCACAAAATACTACTTCAAGTTATTCGGCTTCTTACTGGTGCGCATGATGACAGGCGGGCAACTTCATGTCCCAAGGACACATTTGCGTCGGTCAAGCGCTTGATTGGGAGGAGGCTTGACGAGGCAAAGGACCAGGCTAAAATGGTAGGCATGCACGGTGCACTGCATAGCCTGAACCGGCATTTGCACAATTGGAAAAGGGCACTTCTGGCAGTAAATGGACTCCAGGTCAGCATTCAGAAGTATTTTTGAAGTCCCCAACCAGTGGGCAATGTGGCAGGCAGGTGCCTTACAGAGTGGGCAGGGATGAAGAGGGCAACGTGCAGCTCTTATGTGATTTTGTGGAAGGCGGTGTCCTCTACCCTGAAGAGGTGTCAGCCTACGTTCTGGCCGAGCTTCTGTCAGCTGCAGAAGCTATCACAGAGACCTCGATCAAGAAGGCTGTGATATCGGTAAGGTGACACATGTGCTCTTAAAATCTCGTTCAATGTGACAGCTGCTTAGTGCTGTAAGGCTTGCTTGTTGATGTCACTGGATCACTGGAAGAGAGAAATCATAGCTTTAAATTTTCTGCAGGTCCCCGCTTATTTTGGGGAGGAGCAGCGAGAGGCGACCATCCAGGCAGGTCGCCTTGCCGGACTCGACACAGTCAAACTTATCAGGTGTGCTGACTTCCAGCGAAATACTTTGCAACATCTTGGTCCATAAATTACCTCAAAATCACGTTTTGAACGTCATGGTGTGGCCACTTATGCAGGGAGCCTGTCGCTGCAGCGCTGGCATATGGAATCAAGGCCGTGGAGGATGAAGTGATACTTGTGCTTGATCTTGGCGGTGGCACCTTTGATGTGTCCATTCTGGAGGTTGGGGGCGGCACCATCGAAGTCCTGTCCACTGGCGGCGATGCTCTTCTGGGTATGCCCCCTTCCTTATGGTGGGCAGTCGCCACTCAACCTACCAAGACTGATGTCAAAATGCCGGGGGTCACAGCAGGGTCTACGAAGTAGAAATGGTGCTAGGACTTCGTTGTTGAGGTTACTTGTGTGATCTCCTGCAGGTGGCGACGACTTTGACAATGTGATCGTGGATTGGCTGGCTAAGACATATTTCAGCACTGTCGACTGGAAGCACCCAAGCATCTTATCAAACTTGAAGGGCGTGGCCGAATTCGCCAAAGTAAGTTGCGCACTCACTTATTGCTCTCTGTTCTGCAGGATCTCACCCTGCATGGCTAAAGTTCTGTTTGCATAGAGGAAGAGAGTCACTCAGCACTGGGTGTCTTGCTTGCAGATCAAGCTGTCAGAGGCAGCACGCGTGTCCCTGCGGTTGCCTGTGGGAGGCGAGGAGGGCGAAGGGGTTAAGGTAGTGCTGACAAGGCAGCAGCTGGAGAAGATGAGCGCACCATTATTCAAGCGCATGGGCAAAGCCGTCGACGAGGCTTGCTGGCAGGTGCGCTGCAATGCAGCAGATCACGGTGGTTTAGGCAGGGACATCTTCCTGTGTAATGAGTCTGTCGTCCTTCATGGCCATGTGAATGATGAGTTATATGGTCTTCTTTCGTCAGATGGCACCTAGATATGCTGGCATGCTGACAACATTCGCAATTTCTGACACATGGCCAATGAGAGTCTTTTGCTTGCACTGAAGAATCCCTTGTGAAATTCCTCTAGCATCTACCGAGCGCATGCTGTGAATGATGAAAAACAAATGTGCTTTCCTGAGCTGCCTTCAAGCAAAGGCAATGTGCGGATACTTTTCAAGTCATCCTTGCCCTGACACAGCATGCAGGAGTATCCCATGATCATTTGTCGAGTTGCAGTCCGGCCACAATGGCGTGCTCTACCATCGTAGTAATTGCTTGGTGTCCACAGTAGCAAATTGTGTTTTTGCAGGCAGGCGTGGATCTGGGCACAGTCATCGAGGAGCATGCAGCATCGCAGAGAAAGCGCAAGAAGAAGGGCAGGAGGGAGGTAGGCCAGGGTGTGGAAGTGAGGCCAAAACGGCGGGCGCCCATCACCCAAGTATTAATGGTGGGGGGCGCGACTCGAATGCCAGCCTTCCAGCACTTTGTGAAGAACATGACCGGCCTTCAGCCCAGGGGCACAACTGTTGATCCCGATGAGGTGGGCTTATTCTGCATCCTGTGCTGTTTGGTTGCAAGTGTCCAGAGGAAAGCAATTTCCAGCACAACCCATTCCCTTAGCTTCTTCTCGAACAGACATCAATCAGACATTTGATGGGGTTTCAACGGTTGTCAATGAGTCTGTCTTGTGCGGCAGGCGGTTGCACTGGGAGCAGCGATTCAGGCAGGGCTGTATGATGGCAGCGTTTCCGGCCTGATGGTCATGGACATCTGGCAGGCATCCCTCCTCAGAGCGCTTGCTACAAAGAGGCTGAAGGACGACAGAGAGGCCGCTCAAGACTTGTTAGGCGAAGAGGCATCAGAGGAATTTGCTGTTAGTGCTGAGGATGATGAGGATCCTGAATTTGATGATGTTCCAGAAGACATTACATGAACGCCCAACTAAGTGTGCGGCAGATCGGTTTTCGAAACGAGCCAGTATTTGACAGATTTCCTTGCCAGCATGTCACTGAACAGACTCATGAACTCATCAGCTTCAAGCTGAGTAGAACTTCCATTTTAAGTTTGTAAATTAAACGCTCAGTCAAACTATTCAATCAGATTTCATCTTGATAATGTAGTGTATAATTGACAGCAGGCGCCCCTATCAACACCCCGCACTTGGGAGTGCGTGTGCAGCGTACAAGTATTCATCAAGTATCACCAAAGACGCATTGGTCCGTTCTGGACATCTGACAGCAGGGTGTGATCGAGAAGTCATGCACATGCCAAATCAGGCAGAATATTACTGAATCATCTGGTGCGATGGACCATCTTGCGGCCGCGCACAAAGTCGAGGTCGCCCTGCTGGGTGAGGTAGTGCAGCGCGCGTCCGATGAGCATCTCCGACATGCCGCAGCGCACCAGCTCGTCCTTGAGCTTGCGCTCGCTCACCGTGCTGCCGATCGCGATGCGCCGCTTTATCTGCGCCTCCACCGCGTGCAGCTCCGCCCTCTGCTCCTCCGTGAACGCCTGCGCCCCAACAGGTCACCAAGCCTTACTAACGAGTAAGCGCCCTTAGACATCGTGCAGCATTCTGCACAGCACCGGCTCATCCCGACATGTCAGGAAACGGAGCAGGCCTGACTTCTGACAGTGTGCAGGGGTAGCCATGAGGGGTGTTTCAAAGCCCGAGCATTGGAAGGTAAAAGGTGAGCCATTTGCCATGACCCAAGGGTAGGTATAAAGAACAGTAGTAACAAAAGGGTGCATGGGGCCTGAAGGGGGAGCTGCTGCTTACAACGGCCTCCATGACGCCCGACTTGACGGCGTCCATGGTGGACACGGTGAAGAGGTCCAGAGCGCGGCGCACATGGGCCTCCGTCGCGACTGGCTGCAGCTGCATGCGCGCGAACGACTCCGCTATGCGCACCACGGCCTCCAGCTGCCGCACCGTGATGGGCACCACCGGCGCGTCGCTCTCGTTCTGTCGCGCCGCCGCTCGGCCCTGCGAGCCACACCGCCCACCTCACACACCTGCCCCTCTAGCTCTTCGACAATACCGCTGACATGCTTCCTCACGAAGTGTTCTTGGTGATGGTCCAAGACAGCACACATGTGGCAATTGTATTGTGGAGAGGGCAAGAGGAAAGAGAGAGGTGGGAGGGAGTACCTGCTCGCGCAGCTCAACGTACTGGGACACGAGGGAGTCGGCGGCGGGCTGGGAGAGGCGCGGGGAGACCTTGGCGCGGCAGAACTCGAGGTAGCGCTTGAAGAAGGCCTCCTCCCTCTCCTCGTCCTCCTGCCCCTCGTTGCGCTGCGTCGCCGCCCGGTGCACCTCCAGCACGTGCCTGCCACCATAGTGCAGTCAGACCTCAGGGCCCCTGTTGGTTTTTGTGCACGTACAAGATGAGTATGACGATTTGCAGTTCTCCAAAATTTATCAGCAGGAGACAGTCATGCACAAGAGGTACAGGAAGGTTTTGGCGCGCACTTGGCGATCTCACGGTCCCTGTCGGCATTGCGCTCGTCCTTGACGATGAAGATGAGATCGAAGCGGGACAGGATGGTCGTCTGCAGCTCGATGTTCTCCCCGGCCGACTTCATGTCATCGTACCTGCACCATCACACACCCAAACTGTTAGCATTTAACAACCCATGAGAATTGCATGATTCTTTCAACCAAGACACAGCAGCCTGTCCATGCAGGCGCCTTGCATGCCCAGCATGAATACAACCAGAGTATCTCGTGCCGAGCTACACGAGAGCATGGGCAGCGGTGAAGCATGCGCGCCTGCCGGAGGGGGGGTTGGCGGCGGCGAGGACCGAGGTGCGGGACTTGAGCATGGTGGTGATGCCTGCCTTGGCGATGGAGATGGTCTGCTGCTCCATGGCCTCGTGGATGGCCACGCGGTCCTCCGGCCGCATCTTGTCAAACTCGTCTATGCACACCACGCCGTTGTCCGCCAGCACCATCGCACCTCCCTGCACCACCCACCGAGATCTTTGAGCGCTGTGCCACAGTAAGCCTCCACGCCAGTGCCCCATTTCAGGGCCACAAAGAAGATGTTATCACCAGGCCAACACTTGTAGGTCTTAGGAATGCTCTCTGGCCTTCTGCTGGCCACATGTGCCAGGCACTGCTTGTCTGGCGCCTTGCAATTTCTACTGTCTTGTCAGTGGCAGCATGCAACTGGTGGTAGTGAGGAAGCAGGAGCAGTGCTGAGGGGTGAAAGGCAGGGGCAGAGGGCGGACCTCCAGGTAAAACTCGCCATGGCTGTCCCTGATGACGCTGGCGGTGAGACCGGCGGCCGAGGAGCCCTTGCCAGAGGTGTACACGGCGATGGGGGCCGTCTTGGAGGCAAACTTGAGGAACTGCGACTTGGCCGTGGAAGGATCTCCAAGCAACAGAACATTGATGTCACCGCGCCTCCATGTGCCGTCCGGCAATTGCTGCAAGCAGGAAGTTCAGTTTCAGTGAATCCCTTGCGCCTCTCATTCCTTAATACAGGCAATGAAGCAGGGACATGCGCCGTAGGAGCAGCCTGTGACAGCATGGAGGTTTCATTCTCCCCAGAATGAGAATCCAGCAGAGAGAAGTTGCAAACCTTGCGCGAGCCGCCGAAGAGCAGGCAGGCGACTGCCTCCTTGATCCTGTCAGCGCCGAAGATCTGGGGAGCGATGCGCTTGGGGATGAGGTCCAGCACATTCGGCCGCGCCGCAAATTCCCTGAACTCGGCTTCCTCCTGCGCCCTGAATCCCCCGCAGACACAGGATGACACTTTGCTTTGCACAGAGCAGAGATGGGCCCGGGTAACAAGTGCAATATGGGGTCAAGTTCGAGAGTGAGGCAAAGGCCGAGGATGGACCACACACGTGAAGGTGGGTGTGCTGTGAGCGCCCTCCACCTCCTCTTCAATGCCCACAACTCGCAGATATGGCATCTGGATCGCTTGCGACCCACCTGTCTCCCTCTTGTCCTTGCCACCTTGCTGCATCAACCCAACAGCACAGGCCGTCGTTCAAAGAGCACAGCGAGCCTGAAGATGCCTTTCAGGGCACAAGCCATACAGTCACTCTCAGCAATGCCCTGTCCGCAGATTTGTACGACAGACGGGGCTTGTCAGGCTGTACCTGGAAGGTGCTGTAGATGCCCACGGCTGTGACTCTGGTGCCGGGAGCGATGGTTCCCACCATGCACCTGTCCACTGCCAGCAAGATACTGCGCGGCAGCTCTCCTGTCGGCACATCCTCTGGACGCTCCTGCTCCAGGCATGGGGCACTGGGTCAGCAATTGCCAATGGCAAAAGCCAGGCCTTGAGTTCAGGAGCCAGTTATCACTAGAAGGTGTCAACGAGGGACTGCAATTGCAGGGTGGAGATGCAACCCACCTGGAGCTTCAGAGTCTGCAGGTCAGAGAACTTGCTCTTGTGGGGCAGGATCACAAAGGACTCCTGGCCACAGTTGTTTGCGCCGAATTCATTCTCAGCGCCTCCATCGCAGTACCGGGGTATCTGGGCGCCTGCCAGCCCCGGCTTGCAGGCGATCACCTTGGTGTTCTTGCACTTCTGGCAGATGATGGTGACGTGAGTGGCCTTGTGCTGCGCCCACATATATCTTTTGTCAGCAATGTTTCCAGTGCTTGACAATGATATCAGCTACCCTTTCAATTGCAGTCTGTCTGGGCATATTAAAACACCTCACCTTGGGTCTGGAAGAAGCTGTGACAATACCCGGGATCCTCACAAGCCGTGAGACGTGCTCAGACTGCAGCCACACAACAGTATGTTGTCAGCGCAGGAATGGAGTGCACTTTTGCATGAGCTTCAAATTTATGGATGTTCCACATCAAGATCGCCAAATGTCATTTATACTCACTGTGAGCTCTCGAATGGAGCTTGGGCCGAACTGTCTGCTGCTGTAAAGGAGCACTTGGAGATCTGGAAGGTCTATCTCAGCATCATCTCCATCCTGGTTGTGGGCCTGCTTCCGCCGCAGGTTGCTGGCCGCCTCTTCCAGCTGCACATCATGGAGGTGCTTGTGTGAGCTGATGTGCTTAATCCACTCTGCAAGCCAACTTTGGGTTGGATTGCAGACTGATGCAGCAGCAGGATGTAGCTCTGGGAGATCTTGATATATACATTTGAGCTGTGGGGTGAGTCGCACCAATGGCAGGCTCTCTGATGGATTTTCCTCCACGTATCTTGCGAGATCGTCGTTGTAGCTGAGGATGTCAGCAACATCCACCTTGAGCTGGTCACCGCTGATCCCTTCCCTGCCAAAAATGAGGGATACCTTCTCAGGCACATTGCAGTTGTCCTTTCGTCAGGGGAGTACCAAGGTAGTTGCAAATATGTACTTTAAAAACAAAACAAAACTAACGGATATGACTAGCAACAAGATTATGTGACAAATTGTTAGTGATGATGCTGCCATCCAACGGTGCTCTCACCCTACTGTGGCATCCAGGCCTCGATTTCTGTCTTCTTGGCTGATCTGAAAGAAGTCCTTTGTCTTTCTGCGCAGCAAATCCTCAAAATACAATCGTGCCTGTCCCCGTGTGATGCCTTGAGGCTGCTCGTAGTCATCAAATGCTTGTCCAAAGTCGTTGTAGAAGACCTGTTCCTCTGCACATCACACCAGAAAAATCTCGTGTTGACATGAAAATAGCCAATCGCAAAGAACTGCGCAATATTTAACCGGTGAAGAGAATGTAAAGTTGCACATTATTTGTCTGCCACACGGAGCTCTCGAGCGTACCGTCGAAGCCTGCCATCTTTGCACTTGCTTATAAATACCGCACAGACGTTTCAGGCCTGCTGCAATCTGCAAATAATGCAACACAGATGGGGAGGGCTGCTTTGCAAACTCATCCAGCCTCTCTTGGCGCCTTTTGTTCGAAACCTGTCGAAGGGCAGGCCACAAAAAGTGAGTCATCAGCCACGTGCTGACTTGCTCTCACGATCACGATCTTGGCGTTGGACGCACACTCTTTGCGCGACGCCAGATCGGGACGCAATCGGCGTTCCTCAGTGTTGAAAGGATTTTGAGACGCAACGTTTACGCGTTTGGACGAGGGCAATCATCCGTTTGACGTGTTCTGATGAGGGCTGTACTGCCGTAGAACGGAAAGCAGGATAAAAATGCACTGTCTTGGAATAGTGCTGCTGTTTCTGGCAGCACTGTTTAGTGCATCGCACGCCAATGTCGTCCTGATGGTGAGCTAAGGGGTTGCACAAAATACATTGTAGATGCATAGCTAAACGCCACTGTAGCTGCTTTAAATTTACATCGTGCAAGATCTGCTACATCTGAGATTTTCTGATGGTTGATCACCGTTACCTGAAGGACTCACCGTAGCTCGTGTCCACAGACTGGGAATTACACTTTCGATCCTCTTCCTGATATGCCAGCAGATTTTGGACCGAGAGTCCCGCTTGACGGGGTTGAGGGAGTCCTTGTGGTGCGTGGATAATTAATCGATCTTCTGATGTGCTTAACAGTGTTGCAAGCATCTAATTGTTCAGGACATCCTGATTGGGCTGAAGACACCTTGGTGCTTCAGGTTGCGGAACCTGAGGACGCATGCACCAATGTCAGTGTACCTGTGCTCGACGGCAAGCCATGGATTGCCCTGATAGTGCGCTCGGAAAGAGCTAGAAAAGATTGCAGCTTTGATATCAAGGTAAGCTGCTGGTTGACATTACGGGAGTCCATGTTCCCCACGTTGAAGAAGGTTTTGTGCCGGCAAGGTTTGACTTGCATTGCATCATGCAGGTCCAACATGCTCAGGATGTTGGCGCTGTTGCTGCAATTGTGTATGATGATGTGTACGAGGCGCTGATCATCATGTCGAAGCCCAGAGATCACCAGGACCCGGGCATCCCTGCGGTCTTTGTGGCGCAGAAGACCGGCATTATGATGAAGAAGCTCATGTCCCCGGGTACCACCGTTGTGCGCATCACACCGGTGCGGCGCCAAGCTCATCCTCCCTTTATACTTCCCCAATGCCACTTTCTCGATTCAATTACAGAATTGCGGTATATGAACACCTCTTACTTCTCTCTGCCAAAGCAACTTCAGCCTATATTGCTGACTGTGTAATGTGGCTGCCTGGCAGATTGCAGATGCTGTGTGGATGTCCATGCTTCTCAGCGCCTTTGCTGGCGTCTTGGCAGTGACAGTGGTGGTAGCCACATTTTATTTCATCAGGTGTGCCCTCTCATCTCTGCTGGCAGGAGCTGCGCCTCCAGTCCCTTTGCTGTTGCGTGTTGGCAGCTTCCAAACAGCCAGGAGCCATTTTACGACTGGCTGGTGTGGGGTGCACTGCAGTGGGAGGCGGCACAGGATACGGAACATGCCCGGCCGCCTGGGGTACAGCCTGCTGCGGGGAGGGGATGAGGGCATGACGCCTGCAGAGCTGCGCACACTGCCCATCGTCATACATGAGCGACACCACCACCATCATTCCCACGACTACTCCCACGAGCTTGTGGTGAGCGTCCAATTGCTCCTCCACTTGTAAATCCCGTCTTGTGAGGCCCCGAAAGGTGGAGTTTTTGTGGTCCAATTGCGAAAGGCAGCCAGCGTGTGAGGACGTTTGATGGGCTGTGCAGGACCTGGAGGCTGGCATCCCGAGCTCAAACTCCTCGAGCGAGGCCAGCAGCCCCAGAGGGCCCAAGGGCGGTGGAACGCTGAAAACTTGCGCCGTGTGCATTGAGGACTACAGGTGCGCGTCATATCCCTTGCGATGCAAATTGTTGGCCGAAGCATCCTTGGTAGCGATGCTGCAACCGTGGGAACCTCAGCGTCTGTGTGCATGTTGATGCAGGGATGGTGAGAAGCTGCGCGTGCTGCCCTGCAAGCACCGCTTCCACCTGGAGTGCATCGACCAGTGGCTGTCTGCGCGCAAGCCGCTGTGCCCCATCTGCAAGTGGGACGCGCTGCAGCCCTTCACACCCCTAAACGCCGAAGAGGAAGAGGGAGCTGCTGAGCCGCCCGCCACCACTTCCGCCTTCTCCTTCTCCACCAGGAGGTCGGCCACGCTGTCCACTGATGTTCCCAAGTCCCCTCTTCAGGAGAGGTTGCCGAGGTCACTGTGGCATGCAAACGATATGTGTCTCAGGCTTTTTCTAGCTCTCTGGGAGGTCATGCATGGTTGCAATCATCGAGGGAGTGACACAGGCTGTCGCTGGCCAGGTGGCGATGGGCTTGGAGCCGGCCGCGCGCCATTGCAGCGGCAGGCAACCATGGCGGCGGTACAGGGACCGACGCAGGCGCGGCTGGCGCGGAGGGCATGGAGCGCGCCAGCAGCAGCAGGGATGCTGGCCTGTCCACCACACCCTCCAACTTCCCTGGCATGCATGCCGTGCGCCGCAGCCAGGACGCTGGGCAGGTCCGGCCTGAAATGCTCTCCCGTTTCTGGTGGATATCCGTACATGCAAAACAGAGTGCACTGAAGGTGTGCGCATGACAGTGCTGTCACTGGTGTGGACAGCGAGCCTTGGTGCTGAACAGGCCGGAGCAGGCAGTGACGTGGCGGGGCAGCAGGCTTCCGGACCAGCTGCGGACGCCCAAACACAGCAACCAACCTGATGAATGTGATGGCACACCAAGTCTTGCAGAGGTTCCCTGTGTGCTGCAGTGAGGTGACTTGCAATGCATGCGTCCCCTTGGGTTTCTTATTGTGATTATGGTACATACCGAAAAGTGTCCTAATGCTGCATGATCGGCCTGTGTAAATGTGTTCAACTAGGAGCGTGTGCAATACACATCTGGGATACATGGGGGCATATTTTGAATGTGGCTTATGCTGCCATGTTGATGACCAATTTTGCGGTGCTGATGACATGAGTCCGTTGGCAACTCGATGGCATTTTGTAGTTTGTGCTTGAAAGAATGCGATGTTGTCTTTAGGCGTCTGGTTCAAATTTCAGTATTCTGTTAGGTGACAAAGTTTTGATGCCACACCATCTTAAGAGCTTCTGCCATGCAAGGAAGACTGTGTCGATGAAGGCTTGCCAGGCAGCAACTCAAGGTTGACTGTTAGTGGTGATGTCAACAAATCTTGAGCTTATGAGAGGCTAGCTTGAATGGAGATGTTGGAGCTCCTCCACTTTGCATGTATGTACCATATCTTGTACTCACTTGAAACAGCTAAGCATTTTGTTGGTGAAGAGCTACATGCTACTTTGCAAAGATTGTAAATTTTTGTAATCAGTGTCCTTGTTTTTATTCCTCCTCAGCTGATCATAGATCGACAATTGACCTTGAACTTCCAGCTCTATGCTGATGAAGCCTACCCAACCTTGACATCACAGAAAAATGCTCAAAATTTGAGCCTCAAATGCTATGGATGAACTATCTTCCTTGAATCCATGAACTAATTACATATTATTAAGTTTCGATATAAAAGCTCTTTGCAGAGCCCAGTTCGGTTCAAGGGTACAATGCACCCCAATGCAGAGTGCACTGCACGGAATGGCTATTTTGAAGGAAAAAGTGCTGCCTGAAGGCTGAAATCTGGAACAGTTTGTGGGCGTCATGTGACGCACTGAATGCTTACGCTGGCTGCAACTAGTACACAACAAAGGGTACATGTTGTAATAACACAGCTTCCTACAGCATCCGTTCTTCTGGATGTCCAGAACATAACTCCAGCTAGAAACCTGCAGGTTTCTTAATTGCCTGGAGAAAGAATTGCAGTGAATGATGCAGTGCTGATGGAGTCACTGCATTCAGCAGACCCTGGAAAGACCTGGAAGGTAGAGCTCCCTTGGTCAGCAGTCTGTGCAGCCAATGTCCTTGGGTGTCACCATCGTGGCTGTGCCACTTCCCAGCTTCTGAGGAACGCTGCCTTTGGTCACTGGGTCCTGTGCTGCACGCTCCCGCCTGTCTGCCTCCATCTGCCCAAGCCAAATGCACATCAGTCGAACGGAGAAATGCGCCCCTGCGGCTCTTCGCTGCCATGCTAAAGTTGGGTCCAAATCGCCAGAATTACAGCAACCCTTCAAAACGATGTGCAGTGTGCCACAAATTTAATTGTCTTTACGGCTTGCATCAGAATTTCATAATTTCCAGCCGCAATGGATGGGATGCTGCAATGACCTGGGCACGAATCTGAGCTGTTGCCTCGTTGCTTGGATTGGCTTTGGGCTTTGTGCGAGCAGCATCCCGCTCCCTCTTCCTCAGCCTGTCTCTGGCCTCATCTATCAGGCGCACCTGCCACACAACCAGGTGGGCTCCATTGCAAGGCCAAATTAATGCGGCGCACCAGATCAGACATTGGCGGCATCCTTGGCTTACAGAAAGGCTTCATCATCACCAGTTACTGGCACAACAGCTTGTGCGAAACTATAGTAACCAGATGTCTCTGGACACTGTGGCAAGAAGAGCACCGAAGGGCAGCTCTAGGTACGATTTGTAGGATTCTGTGAAGGTCAACTCAAGAGCACGAATCCTCGCCTCAGCCATGGAGAAGTACCGCCCCTTTGGAACAAACAGTGCCTCTTCTTCATCGTCACGGGCCCACCCTAAGGCCAAGAGGGCTTCCACAGCACCTGCATTTGTCAGAGAAAAGATTTCAGATCAACTTCTGCCAGCCTGCTTCACGTTTTGCCACCACCATGCAGAAAGCTGCACTGCTTGCATTTTGCAGTGAGAAGCTGGCGAAGAAGAGACTCACCCGGCACATTGACCAAAGCTGCTCGTATCTTGTCATTCGTCAGCCGCACACGTTTGTATTTCTCCTCTGCACAATGGAGGGAATTGATCAGTGGGGAAGCCAAGCTTTGCTGTTCTTGCTACTGAGAGTCCCTTGCACAGAATAGCTCTACTCTCTGAACATAGAACCATTTTTAGAATTGTACAAGTCTTAAATGGCGAATGTGCTAGCCGGCACACCTGTTGGGTTGACAGCTACGTTTTTGGTGAGCTTCTCAATGACTGTCAGTGTCTCCTGGCTTTGCACAACCCAAAGCGCAGCCTGAACAGGAGAGGGTGGTGGCGGTGGAAGCTTTGCGGCAGTGTATCCAGCATATCCCATGTTGCTGGTTGCTACAGGTCCTGTCACATACATAGGGATCCTCACAGACCTTCAACGCTGTGAACGTCTCTGCCTAAATATTGGGTCGTGCGTTTTGACAAACACAATCACTCTCAATAATATCAAGACAGAACCCTATGTGTCACGAATATCTGCAACATTTCAAGGTAATGCCTCCCTCTTGCCGCTTTGATACGAATTTTAATTTGGAGTATGTATAGGAGCTCTTACCTTAAACAAATGGGCTCGGCTTCTTTGACCTTGGACCCGCGGAAAAGGATATGAGAGTATGGACTTCTGCTTTTGGCGAAGAGGTAACAAATTTAATCCGCCAAATTCAGGTTCAAGCAATTTTCAACCTGAGACCTGTTCTTGTGGCAGACCCTTGCCAGACCAAAGCCACCGGTCCCCTCGCCCGCCAGATTCCGCCCCCCGATTCCGCCCCCAAGGATACCCAAAACGCGGGAAGCGAGTAGAACACGTTGATTTCATACCATTAGTAGACATGCATGCTTCTCCTCAAAAGAACATACCCCTGGCAGGCAATCAGTGAGATGCACCATCCGGCCGCGGCGTGCGCCTGCCTGCCAGCCGCTGCCAGCCTGAGCATGCAGTGAGTGCTCAGCACGGTGGCGTGCACGTGCCAGTGGCTGCCAACAGATACCTGGCGGTGGCAGCTTGCAGAGCTACGGTGATTTGCCCGACATTGTCAACAGGATGAAGAGCGCACTTGACACCATCCATGTCATATGCTTTCATGCCAATGATGTCACCAGCTGGCCCCGGGCCGCGCGGCGGGGGGCGGTACAAATACTGAGCACCGCGCCCACGGTTGATTGGGTCTTGCTTGGATCTGGCGAGTCCAACAAGAGGTAGGATTGTGGCAGCCTTTAACTGCAGCTTGTCTGCAGGACGCACCTTGCCTCTTGGCCGGAAAAGCGTGTAATAATAATTTTAATAATTAAAGTGACATAGTAAGTGACGTGCGCGCGGCGCCGCCGTCTGCAGCCCTGCAGGGACGTCGAGGACCGGACCCCGAGCCTGCAGCTGAGGGGTTGAACCCGAGGCCGCCATCGTGCGGTACGATGATCGGAAGGCCTACCAAGTGAAAATGCCTCGAATAATGCATGCCATCCAGCGCTGGTTACCTGACAGTTCGTGCATGACCATGGGTGGATAGAGCTCTGAGGCCCCCGGGGGGCGGCCCCGGCACTCAGTGACACAGGCTGTCGACAGCAGCTCTTACGGAATGTGCGGCCTTCTTGGGGTTTACCTTGCAAGGTACAGGTTTACCTTCAATTGAAAAAATTTATTTAAGTACAGCTATTTATCATCATAGTCTCAATCTACACAAGGCACAAGGTTTTGCAGTGGGTCAAATACGGGTCTACTTCTACACTGCTCTATCCTCTGAATACATATGGCGCCTTCACCATGATATTTAACCACCTCCTTGGTACACGATACAAGATACTGGTACAGTGCACTTTCTCGTGTGACAGGTGGGTGGAAATCAGGGATGGATGCGTGCGGGGAGGTATTTTTGGGGGAATATAGCGGGACGGGGCGGTACTTCGAGGGGAATACGGGGGGATTGGGTACTTGCCGAGAGGCTGGCCACAATTGGTGATAAGATAGTATGATACACTCAGTATGATACACTCAGCAGGCTGCCAGTAACGCCAGTGGTCCGACCTTCGCATGCGCTGGCTGGGCCACCACCCTGGAATTCCAGTTCATATCTGCTCTTTGGTAAAAGTATCAAAGTCACCTGCTCCTTATCTGATATACAGGGACCAGCAGTTTCCCTCAGCTGATGGGCTGCGACGCGCCCGTCTGCCGTTGTCACAGGGAGAGAGAAGGGCCCAAAGAGTACCAAGCTACTAATGTCACAGCTAGGAAGCAATTGTCTGAGAAGGAATGCTCCATTCTGGGCCTACATGTAAACCAGCACACTTGTCAACGAATGATCAGGTCAAAATGCAGAAAGGAAGCATGACACCACAAAAGATTTCCAACAGAATGGGCTCACCTTGCAGCGGTAGCCACGCTGCCGCAGCCCCTGATCTCGTGAGGAGCCTCTGAAGCGCCAGATTCTCTTTGGCGTGATGCGGCACATCAAATGCTGAGCCATCTGAGCAACTCCCCCTTTCCCCATGGGCCAGTAGCCAGCCTCCCTCTGGACCACGGCATGCACTGGGCAAATCTCCTCCGCATGAAACAGCCCGCCACCTGCCATCCTTGCTGCTGATGGCAGCACAGAGTGACGAGTCCTCCTGCACCTGATGTGTACCACACCACGTTGCATCATGCCAGCTGGTCTGTGCAGATGACGCTTATCACCAGCTGGAGTACCAAGACAGCAACAAACTCACTTCACATTGCAAATTGCGGGAGGAGTGCGCAGACCTGTGATGAGTCTGGATGCCGTGACAGGGCCACTGCAAGCCACTGAAGAGCGCGCTGCCAGATGGTTGGGCGGGCATGTGCAGCAGCAATGCCATAGGGCTCCCCAGGGGCCCATGACCAGATGGTAGCCGCAGCGCGCTCTGGCGTGAGGAGGTCTGGGCAGGGCATGTTAACGCCGCATGCAGCCACGGCGGGTAATGACAGCTCATCCAGTATTGGCCTGCTCCCATGCCAAGAACTTCCATGTCACTTCTGGGCACTACTATGACAGCTCATTGCTGGACCTACCCAGAGTATGCTAGGCTGGTGGTGTCCGAAAGAGAAGAAGGACAAGCAATACATAGTGTTCTCTACTTCTTTGAGGGGGAACGCACAGGTTGTCTGACTTCCAGATGAAGTTGCAATTCAGTGGCCCATAGAGCAGCTCGCAGGTAGTCACTCGGAACAGGGTGCCAGTCAGCGTGTGGCGGTCCCCAGGGAACAGAGGACGTCTGTCTGCCACACAATCCGGGGTCCCATCAAAGTCCGCCAAAGGTGGCTCCTGTAAGCCATGAAAGTTGCTCAAAGATCAAAGTAACTTCATGATGAAAGAAGAGCACCAAATCTACATTTCACCACATGACTACCACAGAGACGTGGCTCTCTCTGGGCATATTGGAGCATGCTGCACCTGCCAATTGCAGACAGTGCCATTGTTGCGCTCGAAGATCAATGGTGCCATTGCTGGGCCATAGTCCTCGCCGCTGACAAACATGACGCGCTTCCCATCCAGCAACAGGTCGTTGATGCTCGGCCACAAGACATTGCCATGCTTGGCATGATCTGGTGGCGTGTAGATGGACCCAGCCGGGAATCCATCCTGGATCTCCTTCATCAACTGAGGAAGGAAGCCCTGCACCGCAGAAATCATTCACGACTAGATCTCAAGCCTCCTGGTGCATAATCAGACTAAATGTATGCCAACACAGTGAGACAAGCACAACCAATGATCACTATGCAGCTTATTGTAGATGGCACACCCATGTCTGCAGGTCCATCTGATCGTCCAGGAAAACCACAAGAAATTCCTCTTTGTTCTCAGGGAGCGCCAGCCACGTGGACAGCTCGGCCAGTGCATCAGCAAAGCTGCGCTGCATGGTGACGGGGATGGATGACAGCGAAGGATTGCAGCCCACGGTCTCAGTGTCCCAGTGAATGGGATGCCCCAGCAGGCTGGCGACCACATTCACGGCGCGTATGAGCACATTGAATGGCGCTGCATGGAAGCCCCCACAGTGTGCAATGCGCAACTCCCCCTGCACAGAACACATTCAATCAGAGTGTGGTCACGTGGAGTGCTGCATGTATATTATCGGGAGCAGCACGGAAGGGCTGAAGCCTCACCTCCACCCAGTGAGTGTCCAACTCCACCGCCCTCACCCCCATGTTCAGTTGGTCTGTCAGGCTGAAGTACTGGTCATTTGTGCGGAGCGTAGAGTCGCTGGACTGCATGAACATCAGCCGCGTTATCCACATGAATTTTAAGCAAAGCAGCATGGGGTTCACTGTCACAATTGACAAGAGCTGAGCCAAAATCGCACCACCCAGCGTATCCACTTGAAGTACAGCTGGAAATACTCATCACGGTTGGCATAGCCATCTGCCAGTGTTATGGCGCTGTTGTGCGTGCCCAGCAGCACAGCCAGGCAGAACGGCAGGCGCCGAACAAGTTGAAGCTGTGAGCCACAACAGCTGGGTCAGGAAAAATTTGGTCATGTAGGACGCTGATTTTGTGATGATCATTAGTCAGCATGCATGGGGTACCTGTGTCTTGATGGCGTTGCTGAGCCACACGTCTATCTCGACAGAGCCTCGCTCGCAGACCTCGGTGCAGAGACCGTCATCATCGCACCTGGGGACAAACAAAGAGCATTGAGTGCATAAGCACGATGTTATTATGATGCCAAGGTGTGAGGGAGGGTGAAATAAGTATGTTTTCTCACCATTGTGTGGCTTTGCATTTCACTCCACTTGGAATGCCCTTGCGTACAGATGTCAGGAGACCATCTGACATACCAGCATCACTCTTCCAACAGATCAGCGGGAGCACTTCTGTTTCTTCAGCTGTGAGGTTGGCTTCCCTGATGCGATCGACCGGTAGAAAGCTGCACCTTTGAGTCTCGGTTGTATTTTCTCGATGCTCAGGACGGATCAAATCAAAGAAAGAGTTGGACACTTCATTTTCTGAAGCTTTACTAGAAGCATTTGTGACTCTGTACAGGTGCAGAAGCACCACGATGACTGTAAGACTCCTCATCTCAGAAACTTGCTAGATCTGCTTCTAACAAGGGACCGGCCGAGGACATCTCCAAAGGAGAAGCAACCTCACATGTGATGAAGGTCACCTCTCCACGCCACCTGAATATAACTGACCTTGTCTTGTCACACTTCTCAAAGGCTCTCTGAAAGGCGAATTTTCACCGAGACAATGTCATGGACAACTTCCAAGGTTCCCAAGTCAACGTTCTGAGTCACCCTCAGGAAGTGACGGGCACTGCCATGGTGATGACTCATCACTGTGCCTAAGGACAGCTTCGAACCTGGTGCCAGGAGCATTCTGATGAATACAACTGAAATGTGTCTTGGTCAGATATTCTTCAAGACATGATGTCATTATCTATTTCCCGTTGTGCATGCATGCAGCATGGCCATGACCATCTTGAAACTTCGACTAGAAATATACATCAATTTGATTCTATACGTCAAGGACTCTTGAAGACGCCGCCGCGATCTCTCACGATCCGATCCTGAGTCATGCATATACATGTGCCCCCACGAGGATCTAGTCTAGTAGATCATCGAGATTGATGCGTCTATAGCATGCAGGCCTCACTCAAGATAAATAGGTTCACTGCCTGCATTAAATCTGTTGTGACCCTTGCAACCTCCATTATCATTGAGCTTTGCGATGCGGCGGCCGCGCATGCGCGATTCAATATCGGTGGACTTGCCACACGTTGAGCTGATCCACTGCAAATGTCGACCGAGGGTCCACCAGGTTCCTTCCAGGTCACAGGATCTTGTCAATGCTTGTGAGCATCAGCCTCGTAAAGAGCACCATTGTATCGGCATAGAAAAGCGACTCTACATCCAATTAAGGGAAGGCACTCATTACATCAGCATGTCTGAAACAGCGCCAGTTGGTCGTTCGGCGATGCCAGAACGGTCTGAGGCAGAACGTCAATCCCCTATATGGCACCATCAATGCAGAGCAGATTTCCACTTCACTCTGTTTTAAGAAAGCAAAATCTATATCTATATCAGGACTTCCTTCGGACTCCCAGGGATTCCGAAGGAAGTCTCCCAGGGAGGGAGTCTTCAAGGGAGTGTAGAACGAAGACGTCATCACGAGCACACCCAAGGTAATGTCCTATATGTCACCAGCAGCAGGTGTCATGGGCCGGCCATCTCTTGTCAGGTCAAAAACATACCAGTCAGTACGTCACTTGCCATGTGTAATATGAGCCATGAAGAGGCACAAGGAATCCCAGCCACTCTGGAGAGTTCAATAAATCCCAGACACGCACGTAAAACCTCCCAAACAAGGGATAAACACTACAAAATTCTGATCGCGCCAGCCACTCCTAAGACAATGTGTTTGAGTGGCACACACTGATGCTGCTGCCTATTGCAGGCTGCAGCAGGCCCCCGATGATGCAGTTTCCCGCGGCATCATCTTTATGAGGTCATCCAGCACCTTCACCACGTCCTCAAAGTTGGGCCGCCTCTCCGGGTTGGGGTCCCAGCACCTCGTCACCATCTTCTTCAATGCCTGAGCACAGGAGAACCACATTCCTTAACGTCAAACAAGGCAGACATACCATATTGGCCCCAGAAGTGGCTTGCATGCCATACAAGCTGCCACGCACTTAAGCTGCCCAAAAGCAGCATAACACAGGCCACCTGCATGTCTATGGAGGGGCTAGGTGCATCACCAGCATGGTGGGCATCTTAGTGGCCAGGCGCATGAGGGGAGGCCGCTCCTCGGCCAGGGCTGCCTTGCGCGCGGCATCCACCGGGTCCATCCCAGCAAAGGGCGGGCACAGCTCAAACAGCTGGTAGGCAATCATGGAAAAGGAGTACACATCCACCTGTGTGCATCCACGCAAGGTCACAACACTGTATGGTGACAACTTAACACAGCCAGAACCCAACAGAACAGCAGGGTGCCTTTGCTGGATATTCGACCAGCCAACGCAGTAACAGCACACCTTGAAGTTGTAGGGCTCATGGCGGAAGACCTCTGGAGCCATGTAGCGGTAGCTGCCAGTCTCCCCTGTCAGCTTGAACTTTGAATCCAAGTCATAGCCAGCATGCTTGTTCACCGGCAAGGACTTGCTGAGCCCAAAATCTGCCAGCTTGATGGTCCCTGTGTCAAAGACCAGGCTGTCCCTGCAACATCAACTTTTGAGTCAGAGCTGCCCCAAGAATTCTGAAGGCATGCTGTACTGACCAAGCAGATCAAGAGGGGTCTTACCTGCTTTGATATTGAGAGCCAGCAATCATAAGGTTCCCAGGCTTCAAGTCCCTGCACAGGTGCAGGATGCTTCTTCAGAGAAAGGCATCTTGTTGTTTGGGTTGCTACCAACTGGACCCAGAGTTATTGCAGACCTGTGGATGATGGCGCCATTCTTTTTGGCATGGAGGTAGGCCAGGCCGCGCGCAGTGTCCACTGCAATCTCCATGGCTCGCCTCAATGTGAAGTGCCGGGACATCCGCATCGCATCCGACAGAGAGCCTCCCACCATGAGCTCTGCACAGCCACAGATTTGCATGGGCCCTCCCTGTACACAAGCCATGCATGCACTACATGGAATATAGAACAATCTCCAGCAACACTCTGCAATCAACACAATGTCTTTTTATTAAAAGCAGCTCTGCATGTTTCTGTTCGGTGGGGCAAGTCACCTGTGACAAGGATGTAGGGCTCCTGCTTGGTGCAAGCACCCAGAAACTGCACTGCGTTTGGGTGATGCACCTTCCGCAGAACCTCGATTTCTGATCGAAAATCCCCCAGCGCGATGGCGCTGCTCCCCTTCAGGATCTTTGCCGCGACCAAGGTGCCATGAAAGAGAGCCTTGTGCACAATCCCAAACTCGCCCTCACCTGCCAGTGCAACGCTCATGAGGTTTCTGTCTATCAACATCGGTCTATCTGATGAATGTAGTTTTGAACGTAGGACACTTTAGCTGGATTTGCGCAGAGCACACACCTATCTTCTCTAGAATGGTCAGTGCATCAGGATCTATCTCCCAGTCCACCTCCAGGTCCACGATGTTCTCAGGGATGTCTCGCATCTTGCCAGATAAGTGCGAGTCGCTGAGGTCCACGAGCTGCACAACACATGGGAGATGTGACCAGGCTGAATTTGAAACACATAGTGTGGCTGCATTGACATGGATTTCACAAGGGATAATTCAATGGGTTATGGCTTTGAGGGCTCACCTTGCCATCCTCAAACACCTTGCCTCCATGGTCAAGCAGCAGCTTCGTCACTTCCACATGATCCCCCCTTGCTGCATCCTGCAAATTTGATACACCTCATCAGCGCTGGCTGAAAAGGCAGAATTTCTCAAGACATGAACAGGGCCTTCCGGAATGCACTCAGTGCAGCTGAGAGTCTGCGTCTATTACCTCTAGAGGCGTCCGCTTGAAGCGATCACGGCAGTTGACCACAGCGTTTTGATCAATGAGCCATTCCGTGACTTTGTAGCAGCCCTCACTGGCGGCAAGATGCCTGCAAAGAATTTAAGGACCCTCAGGATTGCGCTCAAAACTGCAAACTTGAAGACCCCTACTGCCCCTAGGACTGGTACAATCCAAAAATTGAGTGATCACAGGAAAGTATGTTGTGGGCAAAGAGGAAGGCAAGCTCACAGTGGAGTCCTTTTGTCGTAATCGCAGCAAGCGTCATCTGAGACCTGCAAATGCATATCACATTAACAAAAAATTCCACCATCATGTGGGCTGCTTCCCAGATCATTGTGGATATAGAGCTCCACCACAGTGCACCAGATATCTGAGTTGAGTCACAAGAGAAATCCACGCTCACTTTCAATTTCCATAGTCTGACGATACGTTGGCAGCGCCTCAGATCGCCCACGCTCGCAAAGAAGAGCAATTCTGTAATTGCCCTCCGCTTGGCAGCCTGCACAGACACTTGCATCACGTGTTAGTATCTTCTGTCACGCCCAGCTCCAAAACTCTCAGAGCTGAATACCCTGACACTTTCAGACTTCATAATAGCTTTGCGTGTAGCGGGAAGCCTTATTTCTGAGGAAATAATCTCGTGTGCAAATAAGCTGTCCAAGACTGTTTGGGCAACAGTATAAGACCGAAGACAAAGATCGCGCACCATATCGCCATGGATAGACTGCACATCTTTGTAGTATTTGTCCGCTGTATTAGCAAAACCTTCCTCTTGAGCCTTCTTCGAGGGATTGATGCTCAGATCTGTGTCGACAAAACGGACTCCTCGCTCCGGGTTCTGACTCCCAGAGTCGTCGCTCTCATGATCATCAGGCATACTGTCTAATTTAGAGCTGCAGGTCCAAAAGAGACCTTGTATGAAAGTCGGGAACGAATCCAGGCTTCTCTCGGATGCCCTAGGGGAACTATTGATGGTGACCTAATATCACTATATTCCCCTTTCAATTTGAAGTTCAAGCATGCACTGACTGTATGCTAGGAGCATCACTGTAGCAATATGCGTTGACAGGTCACAATACAGAGAGCACGCCGAAGACTCCGCATGGTTGCCAACAGGTGCCATATTCTTTTGAACATTTGAAGCCGGCTGCAGCTGCACTGCAGACTCGCAGTCACTGACGGTCAAAGTGTGCACTGCAATGGCATCTGGCAGCCGCTATTGCATGCCGTCGATGATTTTAGATTTGAAGCCTTGCTGATTTTATTTCCAAGTCATGTTTATCATGACTCAAAGCGGTATATTAGGACGAAGACAGATGCACAGACTCACATTACAGCCGGAAGTGAAAAGTACCATTAGATATCACCGTCACGGTGATGTGACATGCGTACTCAGGATGATACTGCTTAGACACATATGCATGATATAGCAATAGGCCAAGCATGCAGCTTTCACACCGGAGATTACCTCCCAAGTCAGAACAAGGCAACAAACTGAGTGACCGAGAGCCGGTGCGCTGACTCCAAAACCAAGAGTTCTCCTCAGCAGACATTTGGGTCTTTCATGGAAGCTCCTAAAACCACTGTTTGCTTAACGTGATGACATCCAATAACAAGATCAAGTAGATCTGTCAGCAGAACCCATTGCCAGTGGCACAGTTCAGCAGTAATCGGAATCTCATGTGCACCCTAGAACGCGACCTTGCAATGGTACCGAGGGTAGACTCTTCTCTCATGCTCCAATTTCTTCACACGCCTGCTCACCACCCGCGCCCTCTGCATGCACGCCTACCAACACTGCAGACCTAAACGGGCATGCTGTCAAAAGCAAGCGGCAATGCCAGGCTTGTTGTGCACTGCCGGAAGGCAGGACATCTCGCGGTGTGTAGTGCGGTGGGCATGGGGCGCTCAGCCCAGGAGGGAGCCGCCACTCTTGCCGGCAAGCTCGGCTCCACTCAGGTAGGAGTCGGCCAGCTGCACGCGCTTGACGTTCTCCTGCTCGTCCACGAGGAGGTTGCCGTACTTGAGCAGCGTGTTCAGGTCCATCTCGGGCTTCTCAAAGGTCACCTTGGCCTCCCGGCTGTTCACCAGCCGCTTGCCGATGTTCTCCAAGCCGATGGTGCTCACAAACTCACGCACCTTGTCGTCGTACACGCGCGCCTGCGTAGCATGAGCACCACATCAGCATCCATGCATACAGCAAGTGTCTTGATGCCCATCTGCCCTGCAGTGTACAGGCGCTGTCCTGGCGATCACTGGCACAAGCAGACCTCTTCCCCAGAATGTGCACCCGACCCAGCCACCGCACATTACACCCCTCTACCGCAGTGGACAAGCCACGCATGTCACCAAAATGCTCTCTGCGCCTGGCATGCCTCGCAATTAAAATTAGACGCAACAATTGAGGGTCTCAACCCTTGCATCATCCAGAGTAGGGGTAGTACTTAGTAGCTCTCCTGACCCCGGATAAGCAAGCCTGCTCAGCAGGAGCACAGAATGAGTAGGGGCTGCACCCTGAGGGCGCCGAAGAAGTCGATGGACTGGCCGGGGAAGGTGTCGACGAGGTGCTCGACGTCGGTGCGGTTGACGCCGTCGTGCTGGAAGATGCCCATGCACACGCCCACGCGGTCGTCGCGGCTGGGCGCCCAGTAGAACTTCTCCATGCGCCCGTCGCGGATCAGCGGCGCGTACAGTGTGCTGAAGTCGTTACCCGTGCAGATGACGGGCACGCGCGGGATCTCCTCCTGTTGCAGCACAGCAGTGCACCCCTCTCAGTCACAGGTGATCCACTGCAGCTCGAACTGCCAGATTGACCTGCAGAACTTGAAGGCACCTACTATGAAGAGCAGGGATCGTGTGCAGGCCGGACAGACAGGCCTGGCTTGGCCAAGTGCAGGTAGGGTGCTTGTCAAGGCGCACAAGGAAGGTGCATGCGCTACAAATCCCCACTATACAGTGATGAGATGTATAATTGGAAAGTGGATTCTGTGCCAACCTGCTTGTAGACACCGGGCAGTTGCACGTTGGTGGGGTTGTCGGCAATGTTCATGAGGGTGGCGTTGACCATCTGGTTGTTGACGGTGTACTGGGTGCCTGCGCCCATGCGGCCAGCACCGGCATCCAGATCGTTGATGAACAGGGAGGACATCTTGCCCTTCTTGATCACGTCGGACGCCTGCAATGCAGCGCCTCACTCGATTAGGTCATGTCGCACACATACTGAAATAGTCCAGCCTGGCAGTGCCAGGCACAGGAGGCTGGGATGCATGGCACCCTCAAAGCCGGGTTATCTATTTGACATCTGCAACCTTGTTGAGAAGACTCCCTCAGGTTTTTTGCAGAGACCCTTGCTGCTGCACGTGCTTTAGGCATGCCAGGGCACACAATGATGAAGTGATCAACAGCTAGATGCGGTTTTGGAGAGGATGAAGGAGGGCTCACCTCACGGTAACGCTGGCGCACAAGCTTGGCGGGCTCACCGGCGTTGCCAGACTCGAGCTCACCGGCAGACATGACAATGGGGTTGATGTCCAGCTTCTTGAAGGCCAGGTTGCACTGGAAGGTCTTGCCCTGTCCCTTGCCACCCCAGATACCTGCACCCATGCATGAATCTTCAGTGCTGCACGACACAATCACTCGAGCACACCACACGATAGTCATCCTGTGCAGGGCATGGATGCATCTCATGCATGCATCCTGTGCCCATGAATGCATCTTGTCAGCAGAAAGCCACCCCCTTGAGAGGTCTGTGTGGCTGACGCCTAACAATCTCGAAACACAGGTGGTTGCAATTCACAGACGGCTCCAGGACGCCCTCTTCAATGTACATGAGACAAGCCATATATGAAGCAGGAAAGAAGGGAAGTCTTGAGGGCACACCCAGGATGAGGGGGACCTTGATCTTGGGCAGGTCCAGGAAGTTCTTGGCGACGTGGATGGAGATCTTGTCAAGGAAAGGGGGTGAGATGTAGAAGCCGTCCTCGATGTTGTTGAGGGTGCGCTGGGCCTGGGACAGGTACTCCTCAGAGCTGAGGATGGCGTTGTGAGTGCCACCAGCACCGACGCCAAAGCCCTGGTAAAGGGAGTCCACCATGTTGCGGCCGCGAGTGATGTCTTGCTGCACCACACAGAAATTTTGGTCAGTGCCAGGGGCGTACCCTGTGGAAAACCATGCTCCTGGCTGGTTCAGTAGCCTAAAGGAGCTCAATGATGAAGCTGTTCATTCATGCTACATGAACGTCATGATGAAACAAGTTGATGCATCAGGCGATGGCGAGATATATCAAGTGCTCAGAGTTGTGTCAGACCCTTGAGGAGGCGAAGCAATCACCTGGTCATCAGAGACATCCTCGTCCAGACCCTTCCACCTGCCAACCTGTGACTTGCTGCCGGTCTTCTTTGCGAAGACCTTCGCACCGTTCTGCACCTGCACGGTAATACCTGGGTAAGCTTCGTTTACAGATAAGCAGGCACCCCAGCGATGGGCATTCGAGTGGTTGACACTGAGGGGGCGAGCGAAATGTTACCTGAGTGCGCAGGGGCCTTCCAGCAATGCGGCCAGAGGGTGAAGCTACTGATCGACCAGTGAAGCTGCAACAACGCACCACACAAGACTTCAGCTCTTGTCGACTTCGCAGGTACGGGCAAAGATCCGAACGAAAGACACACGTGAGTTGCGCACCTGCTGCCGAGCTCCATGGAGCAGGGAGCCTACATCGAAGACACAAACGACCGTTAGTATCACATGAATCCAACAGCGGCGCCAGAAAGCCAGCAACAGCTAGTACGTGCTTGCCAGTGCACCCCTTACCTGCAGGCCCGTCAGTGCAGCCATTTGCCAGATAGGTTGTCTTTCTTTGACTACAAAAATGATCGAAACTCTTCGTTTGTTGTGAATGTCGCGAGTTGATTCTAGAACGTGAGGATTGCTATCTGTGGCTGTCGTGATCCATAGGGTTTAACACCAACCACACATCTTGGAACCCTTCTAGAACACAGGGGCTGCTATAAATCGAGGCTGATTCTGGAGCATTCGTCCCAAGCATGCACAAAAGCTCGATTTCAAGCTCGATTCCTGCTTTGTTTGGAGCAGACAGTCACACCAGCAGCAACTCATATCACATTGGACACTGTAGGTATCACGAACTTTGCCTCGGATTCATCAAAAATCTTATCAGACCCATTCACGTGCCACTGGCAGTGGCCATATGGCCAGCGGCGCTGCTTTTCTGACAAACAAGCTTGATGCTTAAGCAGGCCGCACACAAAATTCTGCATGCAGCGCTAGCATTCCCTGGTCAGGACTTGGAGTGCTTCTCAAGAATATGAAGGTTTCAGAACATTCCCAAAATTTGTCAGGTGCCCTTGACCATCATGGGATGATCTCTGAGGCCGGAACCATTGCAGATGAGTTTGAGGTGCATTCAACTTGGCAAGCTGCCACTGGTTCATCAATTACAACTTGGTGACCCTGCCACGGTACAGTCTCTGAGAGCCTGGATCTATACTGTCACTAGTCATCATTTATGCAATTATTGCGGTCAACTTGTAGACATCACTCAACACTCTGCAGAAACTTCCAAACCTTGTACAAGCTGCCTTGTGGCATCTAACTCCCAGAGGAGGGCCGCCATTGATCACAATTCGTTCTATTCTCAGTGTCTGTTGGAAGCAGCACTGACTCTGGCTCTCACTTGAGGGGGGGGCCTGCTTTGATACTCCTGTACAGTGCTGAAAGCCCACTTCCCCTGCTCCCCATGCTCCAGCACGTGTGTGTGATACTGGACGAGCTCTGACCGATGACCTGCGCCCCAAAGCACAGCTGCATGAATATCAGAGGCGCTCTGCGGCATGCCACAGCAATGATAGGTGCGGAAGAGATGGAGCAATGTATCATTACGACAGTGACATGCAGCAGCGCATTCCAGTTGCCCACCGACAGAGACGAAGGAAGAGCAGTGTGAGCGAAGAGCAGTGTACAGGGCAGCCTCAGTGGGGGTGTCCAGCGCGCCAGTGGCTTCATCTAGGAAGGCCAGCTGTGGGCAGTGCAGCAGCAACCGCAGGAACGCCACTCGCTGCTGCTCCCCTGGCAGCACTCGGTCCCACATTAGCCTTGGAGACTGGCAGGTCAAGATTGACATTAAACAGATTTATCATATGACCGCAAATACACTTCATCAGGACTGAGGGAAAAATTAGGGAAACCCACCAAGACTGAGCTGATGGCTCCACTCCACCTCTGCATCCAGGCCCCCCACTCTGTCCACTAGAGCTGCACAATTTCCATAAAGGGTCAGCCATAAAGCCAAGACTGCATCTTCTGCATGTGGAGGACTCAGAAAGGGGCAAGGAGAAGTGCTCCACCTGCCAGATGCACCCTCTCCAGTAGGGAGAGCAGCTCTGTGTCTGGCACTGGGCCGTCCCTGTTCGAGATCCACTGTGCTGATTCAGAACCTATGACAAGAGATTGAACCGGTCAAGCGCTTCCCTATGAGGAAAAAAAGAACATCGAGACCAAGGGTGCAGTATTATAGGAGGACAATACAGAGGAGCTCTGGAAAGACAAATCACCAGAAGGGAATAGCAGCTGTGATCTGAGGGGGCCCAGGGGCATGTAGGGCTTCTGAGGAAGGAAGAACATGTCTGTTGGTGGCGGAGCCGTCACACTCCCGCTACCCCTCGTCCACAACCCTGGCCAACAACATTGAGATTCAGTGCAAAATTAGTGCCCTCAATCTTCACTCATGTGCTGATTTTTCTGGGATGTGTGCAACTCAAAAAGGTGAAGAACATGCCCTGTGCTCAATGTCTGCCCAGTCAGATCATCTGTTGCTGCAAGGTCTTCAAGTTTTGCAGATGATCAATTGAGCAAACCTGCAATTGCTCTCAGCAGACTGGACTTTCCGCAGCCAGAAGGACCCACAATCAGCAGAGACTCTCCTGGAGCTAGCGTGAAGCTGAGGCCCTGGTAGCAGCAATGCTTGCATGTGACCGCTGGGCACTGGAAGCTGGCAGGATTGATACCATGTGGACACCACAGACAGCACACACATGCCATTTTCCTTGATCTATTGCTTACCTGGCACAACTGTCTGCTACCATCAGGAGTTGTCACACTCAGACTGTCCAACACAAGCTCCGCATTTTGTGATTTGGAACGAGCAATGCTGGGCCCTGGGCTGTTGATCTGTTTTACAGCTGCGCTGAACATGTAATGAGTCAGTATAAGGTTTGTCGAAGACATCAGTGTGCAACTTCACCTTCCTGTCAATGCAACCTTCCTTGCTTGAGTGATCATATTTAAAGCATATCAACATTTTGACACAGCAAGAATTGAGTGTCACAGATGGGAGTCACAGGATGGCCACCTGACAATAGGGCGTCCAGACGCTCTGCTTCTGCGGCTAGACCACTCAACTCTTGTAGGTGATTCAAGATGTAGTTCAGGGCTGACTCTATCCTAGAAAATGCAAAGCTGACCTGCACCAAAAAAACCGCGTGGGAACTCAGTGCTGACATTGAAAATTGCTTGCATGATGTAGGCGCCATCTTCCTTCAGATTCAACTGGTCAACTATACCTGTGTGATGACACCGAACTCAATTTTCCCCTCAAAGTAGCGGGGTGCGGTCAGGAGGGACGGGAGCAGGATGGTGGCATGCTGATAGAAATTGGTCCACAGGGACAGAAAAGTGCTCCATATGATGCGGATCCTGGCCACGGCAACCAGCATTGCCAGGCGCAGTGTGGCGCAGCTCTCCTCATGCTTCTCGCCATTGTAGAATGCAATAGACTCTGCACCAGACAACGCAGGTGAATACTTGATTTCCTTGCATCGTCCAGTCACGTGAAGGAAAGACACTTAGCCTATCTTTCAAGCTACGCAACAAGAAAGGTATTGGGGGCCAATGTTTGTCACATGAACAAATGCAAGGTATGCCCACCTGAGTTCTCTCGCGTCCTTACCAGGTCAAACCGCAGGTCACCCTCCTTTTGGAGCACAAGGTATTGGAGCTGCATGAGACGCTTCCCAAAAACTGATGTCGTGAGCCAAGTGCCCACCACGGCATAGATAAACAGAAAGAAGACAAGACTGGGCGCAACCGTCCACAGTACACCTGCAACCCCGAGCATTCCCTCGAGTTGATACAAGCCTGCTAAGTTTGAGAGCTCATACGTATGGGGCGGGCTTGGCACAAGCAGCTCCTGGTGCAGTATTGGACAAGCTCACCTGAAAACGCGACCATCATGAAGAACTTTCGGACAATGCCAATGAGGAGGGTGACGCTGGCATCTGCGAACGCCGGCACATCATCGCACATCCTCTGCGAAGGCGCAACAGTCCCCTCAGGCTTTTGTCGCAGACCCTCACGATTGCTGCAGCCAAATTTAAAGGTGCACCATGTCCCACCTGGTCCGGATTGTCCAACAAGCCCAGCTGGTGATGTAGCTTGAAGAAGGTCCTGTTGGCAAAGTAGCCGCTCATCAGCGTGCCTGTCAGCCACCTCCGCCACTCCAGCACCAGCCGCATCTCTACAAAGTCAGTGGCAGCAAAGAGCGGCGCTGCCACCAGGATGACCAGCGCATACTTCCAGATGGCCCCATAGAATCCGCCTGATGCATGGAAGCACTTTAGATGGTCACTCCAGAGACATGACTACAAGAGGACTGTTACCACTCCTTGTCTTCATGCAGGGTCCAGTGTATGCGCACTTCCTGGGATCAGCAGTGGCACATGTCTCTGTGTAACATCTGCAATGGCCAGGCTCACCTTTGTCTTTCCCCGACATTGCCGTCTCAAGGTCGCGGTGCACGTATGACACATGCACCAGCATGAGCGTTGTTGCCAGCGACAGAAGGACTGCCAAGAGGGCCCACCCGCGGGACGACCACCTCTCATCACCTGCATGACGGATTCAGCTCAGGCCGATTGTGGGGTGCACAGACAGTATGACTGACACACGTGTGATGACAAGCAGCAGCAGTGTGTACCTTCAAACCACAGGCGAGCAACGCGTAACCACTTGGGGAAAACTTGCAGGAGGGACGTGTGGGGAGCTTTTGAAGCAGTGTTCTGCCCCTCTTCTATGCCTGCAGGTGTCACCACTTCCGTAAATCAATGTGCAGGGTGCCTACTTTGATCGACATGCATGATGACTAAAAGAAGAATCTGAGCTCTCACCGTCTACATCAAGTCGGAACACAGCACTGGGGTTCTTCTGGTGTGTTCCCAGTTTAATGAGGTTTTCAAGCTCTGCTTCACTGCTATCAGTCTTTTTTGCGATCTCCAAAGATGTTGATCTAGAGTTCACCATGGCCACGACGGAACGAACACCTCTCAGTGCTCTTCTCATTCGCTATCTCAGTCTATCATTAATCTGACGCCAGCTTCATGGTCATCAGAAGTATTGTAGACAATACAACGTTAGTGAAACCCACACAAGCCACGCTAGGCTATTGAAGAGGGGGGAAATGTTGCATTCTGGTGACCTCCCAGCCTATGACCTCAGATCCTTGCCAGTGACTTGACATTCTGTCGTTCAATGACACACAGACAATCTTCTGAGTATGCTTGCAGTGGCCTGTCCCGATTTCGTGGAGGATGGGTTCAAGAGGGAAATGTCGCACGTGATGGAACATGCTGCCACGTGATATCGTCCACGTGTCTCTGTAGGGTTGATGAGTATATATTGGGTGAGGCTGACGATCAGCTTCCCTGTCCCTGTGCCGAGCTGGATTTGTAAAAATAACAAAGTTCTAACAGATTTCGCATCAACGCAACGCTACAAGCGTCCCAAACTCCAAATATAAGGCAGCTGCAACATCACTTGTATCTAGCTTTTTTTGATGAACTGCACTCCATTGGTAGGAATGCCTGGGCAGCGTTCCATGCCTTTATCCATTTTGAGTCCGAAATCTGCAAAAGCATGTACTTGGAGATCAGGTGCGCGATTGGCCCTTGCGCAACCCACTCGACGCATCGCACGCAGTGAGAGACTGCGCACAAGTGCTGCCAGCTCAGCTGGAGAAGATCCTTACAAGGTATTTATGGTTGTATTTGCCGCTCATCACTATGACAATTTTTGCCTCTGCTGCCGCTGCCACAGATTCTTGACATACTTGTGCTTTCCAGGTGCTTGGCTTGAGCAGAAATGCAAATTCGGACGCAGTGAGAAGAGCATACAATACATTGGTTAGAGAAAACCGAGGGAATGATGCTTCCTTGGCTAGAATAGAGGAGGCCCACTCAGCCATCATGATGTCGCAGCTCTCAGCAAGGCTGCAGGTGAGACCTGCATGTCATCGCATGCACTTTCCATATCCGAGTGAGGGTTTTGCAAAGAAATGAGAAGGAGGGGGTCTTTTGTCTGACCGCAAAATTAACGGTGGCACTGCAGGGCGGTGTCACGGTGGAGAAGGACGTCAAATATGCAGACAGAGCTGTATACTTTCCTTGGCGGCCCAGGTCTGAGCAACCTCCCTATTATCAGCAAAGAAGAAAGCACTGTGCAGGAGCCCTTGACAGAACCCATGCGGTCAGCATACTCTTGAAGAAGCCCCGATTGGTCCACAGATTTCTGAGATTCTTCACTTTGATTGGACAGGTTTTACAAGGCCGGCAAGGAGGTCGTCCTGTACTCTGGCATTGCGCATGCGGTGATGGTGGCGTGGGGACTTCTGCTGCAGGCGTCAGCAGGCAGCCAGCCTATTGTTGCATGTGCAGTCATCGGAGCAGGGGCAAACATCTACAAGCTTCAGCAGATCTTTCCTCCAGGCGGCTCCAGCAGCAAAAACTCAGGTGAGTGATACTGACTGGTTTTGCAGCCCCAATCTCACGCTTTTGTTCTCATGGGCTCTTAGCATGAGTGACACGATATTCGAGCTGTGTGCTAATGCTTGAAGATTTGCATGTATTGAAAACCAACAACCTTTGCACTTGTGCAGCCTTGAAGAACCTGTTGCGAGGAGCAGCTCTTGCAACGCTGGCAACGTTCCTCGGGTGCTTCTTGATCTTCACAGTGCCAGACTTCCTGTCAGCGCAGCTGAACCGGCAAATGCCCTACTGGTTCTATGAAAGCGAGGTGAGACGTCCTTCTTGCGATGCCACTTGCATGCATCGCTCATGCACAACATTTTTGTCTGTAAGTCACCATGCAAACTTGTCAGAATCCAACTCCCTTTGCAACACATGCCTAGCCCTTTCCTTGTGTTTGCAGCAAGCGCTTCTGGCAGTGGGTACAGCGCTGAGCAACTGGATCATGTCATCCTTTTTCCGCTAAGGTGTCCAGGTTTTCCTAAACCCACAGGAGCAGTGTACAGTAGGTGGTGTGGTGTTGCTGCTTGCTGTAGAATTGGTGAGTGTCATGCTGAATGCGTTCCTAGCAGCTTGCCTGCAAAACAATGAGGCTTTCCTGTTATTTTGTCTTGCTGTGAAATACAGACAGTCTGATTGCGCACTCTGTCTTTCCTGTGCAATTTTGTGAGGTCCGACATGTGTGTCCACTCTGTGGACTCCCTTGTAAGCTGGCGCCCATCAGTCTGCTCAAGATCACACACGGGCAAGATCTTCGCAGTGCGAGATCCTCTTGCACATGCATGCATGCATGCATGTGCAGGTAGACTCGCCATCATGGTAGATACAGCACAGGATGTACATTTGTTGCCAAACAGTGGCTGCAAATAGTGCATTTTTGTCAGACATCTTTCAAATGCAAAGTCTGAATTAAGCCACTGGCACGCATGCAGGTGGCAGCTGCATGCACCTGCCAGATGAGCGAGCTGTCTTAGATTGACAGCCTCCCCAGCCCTGTCATAAATCGAAATTGTGCTTTGAAGTTGGAGACATTCGCTCTGATCATCGAATGGATAGATGAGAAATGCGATGCCTCTCTGTCCCCACCAACGGCTTGAAGCAATCCACTGGTACAAAGCTTTTCGGCAGAACACAAGCGTTCAGACGAGTATGTCGTTCTCCGCAGAGAAATATGCCACATACCGTTCGATCGGCCAATGGCCCAGGTAATTGTTTGTCTTGCTGAGAGTAGTTCATCTGCATTGATAGTAAGCAGTGACTATATTTATCTGTTTAACTCAGGTCCTGATTCATCTTTAGTCGAATATTGTAGCACTCAAGACTGGAAATCACATATACCTGCATTTGATTTCCCCCAAGGGGCAGCCGTTGCACTGGGAAAATTCGATGCCATGCACACCGGCCATCGGTAAGCACTGTCAATGCTTCGATCCCAGCATGTTTGCAATCTGAAAGAGAGTCTCAAGCGTGTTATGAAATAGGTCTGAATGATCTGAGAAGAGCAGCAGCATTATTGCAGGGGTGCATGACTTGTTCTTTTATGACATATTGGCATGCAGATCTCTGGCATCTGAGGCCACAAAGCTAGGGGGCCACCCATGGCTCGTATCATTCAGCGGCATGGCAGAAGTGCTGGGCTGGCCAGAGCGGCCGCCCCTAGTGGCTGAGTCAGACCGGCCACGTGTGCTGGCTTCATGGGCGCCATTCTGCGGAGGCCGTACGCCATGCCAGAGATTTATACCCTTTGCAGCTGTGCGGCAGCTCAGCCCCGAGGAGTTTGTACAGGCACTGGCCCTGGATATGAAGGTGTGCTCCCAGCATACACCACTACACTACTCAAATGACTGAGGTGCCCCTTCAACCGAGCCAGGCTTGCCTTCTGCACATACCTGCTATGCATGCTGTAATAGGTAATACAACCTGGAGGTCATCTGCTTACTAAAGGCCAGAGAATCACGTACACCCTGGGAGCCCCTTCCCTGCAGTCTGTTGCCTTCAAGATACTCACCCACAAGTGCGATATGCCCAATATCGCAGGTATCGGGGGTTGTGGTGGGAAAGGGGTTCAGATTTGGCTACAAAGCTGCCGGGGACACTGAGGCGCTGGAATCTTTGGGGGCCAAATATGGATTGAAAGTGTCTGTAGTGGATCTAGTAGAGCGCGGTGCGACGCATGGCAGTGAGAAGGTGACCTTCTGTGCACATGTTCACAATATTCTCAATTCCTTGTTTTGATGGCCCCCAACCCTCACCACTTCACTTGCAATCCTCTGACCTTTAGTAACCAGATGATCTCTAGGTGGGGTTACCTGTCACAACATGCATAGCAGCTATGTGCAAAAGGCAAGCTTGGGTCGGGCAAATCGGCACCACTCCAGCTCTGCGCAGAAGAGCAGCCAGCAAGGAGAGGATTCACTGCCTGAACAGGTGTCTTCATCAAGTGTGAGGTCTGCACTGGCAGAGGGGCAGGTAGAGCGCGTTAGAGACTTGCTTGGTCGAAGGCATCGATTGTTGATCCAGCCTGCCAGTCGGACAGCACCTGCCTCAGAAGCACAGAGGTGATCCTTCTCATTATGCATGCATGCTGGGGTTGTTTCATTCCATCCATGAATGTGCTTACATGGGGAGGTGATGCTCCTGTGGAGAGGTGCTTCTGTGCAATTCCTCAGGGGTACCTTTTCACGCCAGGAATTCCAAAATCAGCCACCCAAGGACGGCATCTACATTGCGGATATCACCTTCATTAAGAACACGTCTGAGAAGTCCTACTCAAGGTGCCAAGTAAGATTAGAGCAGGACGGCATAATCATTCCGGCAGATTGCACACCACATTCTTTTTCTTTAGCCATGGCACAGGTACATGTAGATTTCTAAAGACAACCTGTACCTGTCTCGGCCTCCAGGTTGATTTTGATGGCAGCCTAGGATGTTTGATTGGTGAGCAGTAGTCGCTGACTGTTTGGCGAGGCTTACACTTGTGATGGGTGCTACGTATGGGCATGAGGTAAAGGTTGTCAATCCCAGCATCTGCAATTGTCGGCATGAGGGATAAGTGGCAATTACAATGATCTGAGCATTTTTTCGCGTACAAATGTGCCTGCTTGTAATCATGAAACCAGCCTCTCAAAAATTCAGACGTTTTCGATCAATGCATTTAATTGCATATGGATTGCATGGGATGCAATTGTGGCACGACTGTCTGAGGCATAAGTATATCATAATCATTTCTTCGTGACGTGATCACAATCATGACTTCGTGACGTGATCACAATCATGATACAATGATTACAGTGAATCGTTGATCAAACAGACCCGGGAACTCGACATATATATGGACATGTCAGGGTTCAGGGGGCACAGGGGCATACACAAGGTGTTCCGTAGCAATGCATACAAGGTACAAGGTGTAAAATTGCAATAACAGTACCCCTCTAGAGATCCCAGCTATGCACATCTGTACAGCGCATCTATATAATATAAATGTCACCCCTCACCTCTCACGACCTCGGTCCACCACAGCCTCACAAGGCCTTTGCGCTGCTACCAGGCGGCGGAAGCCAGTCAAACAGAGATGGTTTCAGGAAAGGTTGTGGTGCACGTGGTCTGCTCTCCTCCTTTTCAGGAGGTCGCTGCTGCAGTTTGGGTCCTTCTTGTGGTGCTTTGAGATCCACAACTCTGCTCTCCACTAGATTTGCAAATTTTCCTTCCCCCTCATCGGCAGGAGAAGGCCCCACCTTTGCTGAAAAGTCTCTGCTGTCTGAGTAGCCGATGACCTGGTGCACCAAAAAGCAACCTCAACAGTTGCCGTTCCTATTTCCGGTGCTATTCGAACGCCGCAATTATAGAGAGTTTGAGATGCAGACATCAAGGCAGAGCGAGCGCCAGAGACAAGAGGAAGGGCTGCCTTGCAAGTGAATATTGTGCAGCAATAATACAGGGGACGTGAGACTATTTGGACCTGCTCCAAAGGTGTGTTGGCTGTTGTTTCATTGTCAGGTCGCGGTTCATCAGCCCACTGCACTCCTTTGCGCCTTTTCACCTGGATGGTAATTGACACGGTAACAATCCTACACTGCCCTCACGGCAGATGCCCACGATTGCGGGTATTGCGCCCAATTGAGACCTGCAAGCACCTGGCCTTCCTGTGAGGTTCCTGGCGAGTTGTGCCCTGGGCGTTTCATCCCTCCCACAAGAGCAGAGTTTGACTGCTCTTCAGCTGCTCCTGAAGCTCCCTTTGTCTGTGCTGAATGATGCAATTTGTAATCACGAGAGGATGCTGCAAAACGTAGGGTGGCTCCCTCTCGAAGCTCCACAGGAACATTCTGCATTTACGAGCGGCATACTGATCAATCTGCTTGTGATTGTCACGAAATCTGCTGCACACTACAGTAATGCAACATGTTGTGGATATTTGCTGGTGATTCCATGCTTGCCTTCAGTATTTGCTGTCCATTGACCGCAGTGCCATGCGCACTATTCAGATCAATTAGAACCCAATGTCCTGAAGTCCTTTGGTAGCAAAGTGCTGCATGCTGGCGGGATAAGGAAGGGTGATCCAGAACCACATCTGCCGTTGGACTCCTTCAATACATCCACAGTAGCGATCAATGAAAGGATTTCAGCAACGTCCCTGTAGAGTACAACCTAACGATGGGGTCTTCAGCACGAATGTAAGAGCGCTGAGGCATTGCAATGCTGCCGCCATACCTGCCAAATACTGTAGCTGCATTTCTCAGGGTGATCCGATCAACTATTTGCCCAGCTTTGATGACATCCAAAAAGGCTGTATCGGGTGGGACACCCGCCCAGTCTGGAGGCTGGAACTGTCCAGGTGCTCTCTCAGAAATCCTTTGTGATTGAGGAGGCATTGAGGGAGGCGGTGGCATCTGCTGCCTTTTTTGCTCGCGCCGCGAGGCAACCACCTCAACCTTGGGTGCGCCCGCTGCCCCAACTTGTCCTATACATGCAAGAAGGTGAATACCCTGGTACATGAGATCTAGAAAGAACATGAACGATGATGATTACTCCAGGGTTTTTTCTGTTGTCCTGGCAGAAGGATCAGGATGCAGGTGTAAATTCGAGGACGTCGAGCATTCGAGGCATGCAGTGCAACCACAAGTCCCACCTTTTTCTGCCTTGACAAAGCCTCCCATCCCAAGTCTAGCAACGGCACCCATAGGCTTTCTTGGACCTGTGTTGGTGCTATCTCCATCTTCCCACCGATCCATAACGCCAGGGACACCAGAAACGAGATATGATCGTGGATTCGCTGAATAATCTGCTGGACTACTGTCACAGATGTGGAAACTCAAGTGCCCTGGTAATCTCGTGCTTTGTCCCGGAAACCTGCACCTGTCATGTTGGATGATGACGTCACTTCCGGAACGATCTGGTTCCCCACAAAGGCACGCGAAAGGACAGGGGACAATACAGATAGTGCTGAGAATAATGTTCGCTGTTCCTTGATGCAGTGTTCACCTTATTGTGGTCTTTGGCAGAGCAAGTGAAATAAGAGATCTGAGCAACATGGAGCAAGTCCAAAAAGCGTTAAGAGCGAGGATCAGAAAGGAAGGAACCAGTGATTCAAAGTCTCTGAAAAGACGATATTCAGATGCTATCCCAGAAGCGGAAAGTCTTGGTCTTCAAAGGTATACTCGATCTGTGTGGGACTCTGGCACTCTGCACAACTGTCGGGTGCATTGATACATTTGGTAGAAGTGTTACCGCACTGTTGATAAATACAAATATGTTCCGTGAAGACTGGGAGCCTGTGTTGCCCGTTGAATGTTTCCTTTGCGCTCCAAGGTTTCAGGCAGTCCCAAAATAGTTCGTTTTCTCTTTGACGTCTTATTGAATTGGGTTTTCTGCATTGAACTGGGGCAACAATTTCGCTGTGAATCCTTCAGGGCGAGGCAGAGTGACCCCGAGCCACTGGTCTTCATGGTTCTGGATGTGTTGGAGGAAGCAGGAGGCCGCTTCAATATCTGGGGGAAATCAAATGGGGGAGAATCTGTGCTTGTCAGAATTAATGATTTCACGCCCTACTTCTATATGGCACAGCTGACACATGCAGATTATGAACCGAGGCAGAATGGGCAGCCTGCCTTGTTCCATCAAGCGGCGTGCGATCATCTGCAACAAGCTGTCAACAGGTGAGATTGTGATCTCCAAGCACACAACAAACGGCACAGCTGTTGGACTAAAGTGCCTGTGGTAGCAGCTATGCCACGTGTTGACGATTGGGCGTTTGTGCTTCAGATACTTGAGTCCGGACTGCCATGTCCAGAAGATTGAGGCTGTGCACAGGACCCCAATCATGTTCTATCGGCCAAAGGAGCCCACGGGGGGATCCTACTTGAAGGTGCTATTCTGACAGTGGCTCAAAGCAGTTGGGTGTCCTTTTGGGTATTCCAAACAAAATGCCTTGCCCACCCTCTTGACCATTGCTGTGTGGGGTGGCAGTTTCTGTTCAGGCCTGGAACCAATGTGAAGAAGGCTGCAGCGTCTATCTTGTCCATTGCCAGCAAGAATTCGCTGCGGCCTCACAACCTTCTCTGGCAGGACAAGGCGCAATTTGAGCATGAAGTGGGGCTCCTTCAGCGATTCCTTGTGGATGCCCCAATATCAGGAGGTGTGCCACACTTCGCCTTCGGTAACTTCTGGAGATTGTGCCTTGTTGCCCATAAGAACACAGTGCTCTCAAGAAATACAAAAGTCCAAATGGATGCAATTTATTGCAGGTGCGTGGGTGCATTTACCTCCTCAGATAAGACCCGAGCCTGGCTACACCAGAGTGTCTGATGGGGAACGGCAGTCTGAGTGTGACATTGAAGTCACTGCGCCGTGGAAGCAGCTGCAGTGCCTGACGCCAGATGCAACACAGCTGGCCTTGGGGCGGGAATGGAGCCCAACACGTTACAAGTGCGACTCTATCAGCTACACTATACCAGATCTGAAGGTCAATCGTTCCGCAGCTGCTTGCTGATCCCTCTGGAATACGCTTGTATCTTTGTTTACTGCAGGGCACCTGGGGAGGACAAGGTTAGCGAGGAATGGTGTGCAGCCTTGGAGGTGGCTCGCCAGGGTCAGATTGCCAAGCTGAATATGCTCACACTGGACGTGATCATGGCACCAAAAGACGGAGTCGACAGGTATCTTCTGCCCAGTTTTTCTGAGCAAAGTCAGAGACAAGAAAAGAGGACATTGGTATTTTCTTACATGCCTCATTTACAGGACGCTGCTGTGTGATTATGAACGAATTGCTCATTCCTGGCTGATGTGATGTGTGTGTTCAGGGTGCCGGTGCCCTCAAAGGATCCCATTATGTGCATCGCCAACAGCCTCTACAGCTCCGATGACGTGGCGTCCCAGCGCTTTGCCCCGGCGCAAGATATGTCTGACGATGGGGCCTTTGGAGAGGATGGCATGGATGACGCTGAGGGGCCTGTAATCGTGGATCTGACAACCACCGAGGGCCACACCCCACAGGTGGGCCTCATTCCTCTCTGGTCACGACCCATGGCACCCCCATTATGTAATCAGTGCACAGGAAAGTGAGGCAGCGCTGAGAAGGAGCAGAAAATCAGGGGGCCTACATTGCAATCAACAGGTGCCAGTTCCCAGTGCAAGGGAGGGTGGGGCGGCAGTATTCACGTGGAGCCCTGGGGTGCGGGCGCACACAGTGCGACAGGTGTCGCCCAGGGGCGTGACGCGCATGCATGTGCACCCTTCCGAGGAAGCCATGCTGCAGGCCTGGCTGCAGTGGCTGCGCAAGGCCGACCCAGACATCCTCAATGTGTTCCAGGTGATGACCCTCATCCACTCTGCCAGCCATGCTTTTGATTGCTAGGTTTTCTTATGCCTAGTCACTTTTTGCACCGGATGTATCAATGCCTACTCCATCTCTGCGCCTCTTTCCTCTTCGCTGCGGAGAGCAAAGAGCAAACCTTGTGCTCTTCGAGCGGCTTGTCGGTTGAATGTGCCGACAGAACCTCTGTGGTGCTCGCCAGGTGCGTGACACATTGGGGGCGCTGGCAGAGCGATTCACAGCGCTGAAGCTGAACAGTGGCGGACTGCACCTGTCGCGCCTCAAGCGCATGCACGGCAAGGCCCTGGCGCTCAAGCGCATCGTCATGTACTCTCCAGCCTGGGTGAAGAGCCAGAACCGCATGGCCTCAACCTCCAACCAGGTGCACACCCTCAAAAACACAATATCATCCTCCATTGCTTGCAAAGTCAGACTCTATACATGTTGCATGCATTAACAATGGAAGTGATGGTCAGATCAACCAATGCCCGTGGCCTCAAACTGCAACGCATGGGAGGATCCTGGGGCCTGGTTGATGTTCCTTGACGCGCATACAACAGGCAGGACGCTGCAGAGTGATGGTCAGCTTGTTGACACATGGCAGTGTGCAGGAGACTTTCAGGGTGGAGCATATGGAGGGGCGGGTTGTGCTGGATGTGCTGCGGCATGCGCTGACCGCCTGCAACCTGGCCAGCTTCAGCCTGGTGGACTGCTGCCAGAGCCTGCTCAGCCGCCGCATGGAGGTCCTGCCACCTTCCGCCATCACCCGCCTCTCATCGCTCAGCAACCCCGCCAGAAGTATGCCACCGCCCCCACTGCTGACGATAAGCAACTGCATGCCGCGTTGGAGGGTGATGTTAGAGGGTGTATATGTCAGACCAGGCGCATCTCACCACCGATGGTCCTTTTGGGGTCTCACTTCATAGCTTTGGTGCCAATCTGTGGTAGTTGATGGCAGAGCCGTAGAAAATGAATGGTGCATGTGTGGTGTGCAGGTAAGGGGGAGCAGGCGGCGGACCGGGCTCGGCTGGCTTCGTATGCCGCTGACAGAGTGGGGGTGGTGCGGGCGCTGCTCCAGCGGCTGGCTACACTGCCGGAGGCAATTGAGATCGGGCGTGTCACTGGACTCACCCTCGGACAGGTCAGCATGCACTGCTGCCTCTTCAGCAGCTTGAGCGAAATGCTCAAACAAGCATGGCGCATTTGAAGAGCATGCTCTTGCATGCACGCTGGATTTCTGCATAATTGAGGTTGCTTGTCTTCAGGTGCTGTACAACGCTCAAATGATCCGCACTTGGAGCCTGCTGCTGCGAAATGCCCAGCGCTCGGGCTACATTGTGAGCGGGCGGCAGGTCAGTCCTGCACTTCTATGAAAACAAAATGGCCGATCAGCTGATCATCTATTGCATGCAAGTGATAATATGCACAATTGAACGCAAAACCTGTGCATGCCCAGGATGCACTGCCGCTCAGTGAGAGCCCGTACCTGATGCATCCAGTGGAAACAAAGAACGTCGGCTTGTACCAGAGCCCTGTGGCCATCCTGGACTTTGCCTCGTTGTACCCTTCCCTGTACAGAGCCTACAACCTCTGCTACACGACTCTGCTGCATCCAGATGACTCCAATGCCTTTGTGCCTGAGCACGTCACAGTCACCCCCACAGGTAGGAATTATTGCCCTCCACCCCAGTGCGGCTTCCACGTAAGACCCTTTGCATCTGGTGACCTGAAACACTCTCACTACAATGGCGGCAGACTTGCAGTGTGTGTTGCAGGCGACGTTTATGTCAAGCCCGAGATCCGGAAAGGAATCCTGCCCTCAATTCTTGCCGCGCTGATCAATGCTCGGGCCGCCACAAGAGCAGCACTGAAGGAGGCGACAAGTCCTGCGCAGATGGCAGTGCTTGACAGCCGGCAGAAGGCCCTCAAGCTGACGGCCAACGCCCTGTACGGCTTCACAGGTGACCTGCGGCAGCACGGTTGTGCATAAGTAACCAAAGGCGTCTTGGTGACGAGCATGCATGTATTCCATCCTGGCTGCTTTCACTAATCTCAATTGTCACTGCTAGTTCGGTACTGTGAAGTGTTCACGCAGGTGCTCAGGCCTCACCGCTACAATGCGTGCCGCTGGCAGATTCCTGCTTGGCCCTGGGTGCACAGGTGTGAGCAGCCCTCTTCGTTTGCCTTTGTTCACCATTGTCTGCAATGGCTGGCAAAGTGCATAAGGCTCTTAGTTATACATGAAGGATGAAGATTGCTTTTCCTTGTTGTGCAGTCCTGCCGCCGCGCGATAGAGCTGCTGACTGAGGCGTTTCAGAAGGGTGTGTTTGGGAGCAAGGATGCCAAGGTCATTTATGGCCAGACAGACTCCTTGTTCATAAACTTTAGGAGCTCCACAGTAAGTACTGACTTCATATAATGCACTTTCAGGTGGCTCTGACTCAACAATGATTTACTGGCTGCCGCCTGCAGAATTGTGAGCTGAGTTGTAATGCTGCGCAGACTGCGGAGGCCATGCAGTTGGGGAGGGCAGCTGCAAAGTATGTCAGCTCCAATTTCCCAGAGCACATGGAGCTGAAGTTTGAGAAAGTGGCACAGCCTTTCATGCTGCTGCACGTCAACAGGTGAGCCTCCTTCTCATGGAGATCAGTCCGAATATTTCCATGCAGCTATGCTGCACACTTTGAAGGCGAGAGTTGGCATGCGCAGATATGCTGGAAGGGCGTTCGAGAGCGAGGATGAGGTTCAAGAGGGGAAGGGAGTACTGATGGTGAAAGGCCTCAAGTCCATGTGGCGCCAGGCCCCACCCATTGTTCGCAACACGCTGCAGGGCGTCCTCGCCAGAATAATCCTGCAGGTACCCAGCCATCATGCAACCACCTCCTAACACAGCAAGCCCAAGCTTTGAGCGCTCCCCATCCAATTGCCCACTTCTCAAGCTTGCATCTGAGAAGGGTATTTGCCCGAAAACCACAAGTCACGTTCTTAGAGCACTGATAAGGAAGTTTCCAGTGTTCACTCTCTTGTGTAGCTGGTATATTCACCAAGTTAACCTCGCTGCCAAAGACAGTTGACGACGCCAGATGAGCACCTCTACTGGGCACAGGAGGATGTGAGGGGTGCAGTGGAGTATGCGGAGGGGCAGATCCGGCGGCTGCTGAGCGGCCAGGTGGAGCTGTGGGAGCTGCCCCTGACGGGCGGCCTGTGGCGGGTGACGGGTGCGCAGGTCGCTCAGGCCGCCGCCGCCGAGGGGGCCCCGGGGCCGGCCGCCGCCGCTGTGAGCGAGGAGGAAGTCAGAGGGCCCCACGCCTCCCTGGCAGTCAGGCTGCAGGTGTGCCATGCGTCCGGACAACTGACTGTGCACTTTTTGGCTGGAAGACATACATGCGGGCTGCAGAGATGCTTATTCTGGATGCACACGCTATACCTCCCTCTATTGTCAAGGTTAATCACATGATTAGGCTGTTGAAAGGAGCCACATGGACTGAGTGAGGCTTGTCTGCACGACCCTTTCATGTAACAGCTTTCGGGTCCATCTGATATCCGGGGTCCAGAGGTGTGGACATGAGTCTTGGGTCTGATGGAGGTGCGGGGGTCTTGCAGCAACGAGATCCCGGCCGCACATTTGTGCTGGGGGAGCGCCTGTCATATGTGCTGCTGCCGGGCGCGCGCACCCAGGACGATGCAGCCGAGGACCCCCTCACCGCTGCCAAGGCCGGCTGCTCGGCCGACTACGAGCTGTACTGGCAGAACAAGCTGCGCAAGCCCCTCGCAGAGATCCTCGCCACGTGCCTGTCCGCATCTCAGATCCAGGTGCGGCTTAAAAATCTGCTCCTGCTTTACGATACTTTGCATGCTCCAAGACAAGAACTTGTTGCACGGTTTTGGACATGGGCATGCTCCTCTGCAGGAAGTTCTCAATGGCCCCCATACACGGGTGCGAGTGGACACAGTGGCGGCTGCGCAAGTGTCACCCCCGGGAAAGAAGGCCAAGGGTGGCCGGCAGATGGGCCTGGCCAGCTTCTACAGAGGTGAGTATGAGCTTTCATGGCTCGATCGGCAACTTTGCCAATTAGACAGAACCTCATTGGGAATCCATGGTGCAGTCATTGCTTCAAGAACTATGCCTACTGCAAGGTACACATGGTTGCATCATAAGGATGTGCTGACAGCAGTGTGCCTGCAGGCACTGTAAAATGCCTAGCCTGCAGACGACCTGTGCACAGCACTGGCGGTAACTCGGAAGATGGGCCGGCGCTTTGTGAGGACTGCGCAGTCGAGGATGGGGTCAGGGAGGGAGTCCTGCTGGAGCTGCTGGGGGAGCAGCGCCGCTTGGAGCAGCGCAACTGCACCGCCAACTCCCTCTGCATGAACTGCCACAGCGGCGGTCTCACCGGGAAAGTCTTGTGCGAGAATGGGGAGTGCCCGGTAAGGAAATGGCCCACGCTGTGCATCAATGAGGGCCTCTGCATGATAAAGTGCTCAGCTAAATTCGGAATATTGTTTGGGATGCGACTTTATTGGCTTCCCTCACTCTGCAGCCTGTGTGCCACAGGTGCTGTACGCGCGCCTCTCAACGGCCGCAAAGCTCAATAGCCTCGATCATTCTTTCAGGCGCCTGGACTGGTGAATAAAGCTTCATCATGTTGTGAGGCTGATGCTGTTATGTAAGCACACACACACATAAATAAGTACACTAGGGTACGGAACATTACCAGGAACTTGACTCTGATAGTTGTGACCTAATGGAATGACAGGGTGTGAAGAACTGAGAAATATTGTTGTGCGCACATGTACAAATGTGTACCATAGTTGTGGTCGTTGCCTTCAGGCTTGCATGTTTTACAATAATTCATAATTGGTACGCTGGATCAGGTCCGGGCCTAATGTCTGCAGAAGTGGGCAAGATGTATACAGAACTGAATCCAACTACGAGATACTTCATGTCCGCAATTTTGGTAAACTGTGGTAGACATCCACTTGCCCTTATGTAACTACCAAATTGCCTGGACAGGACATCAGGGTCGACCTGCAAATCTATTTGTACAGCTGCAATTCAATGTGGAACTCCCCGTTTCTGTTCATATGGTGCACCAGGAACTGAGCTAGCTCATAAATTTGTCGAGACATGCCCTTGGCAAGATTTGCACTTCTTTAATCGTCTTGATTGTGTGTAGGGTCCAGCTCTCTTACGACCCACAAAGAGTCTCCTATAGTACAGCTTTTTCTGGCCCTCACACAGGGTTGTGGGGCCGATTCTGCATTGCCATTTCAGTGTCCTTGAGGTCCAGATACCGGCGCTGCCGCCTCTTGCTGTACGCCCACCCAATGCTGGCCACGATCCCAATCAGCCCCAAAAGCGCGACCGTGGGCCACAGCCAGTGCGTCGCCGGCGTCGTGCTGTTGCCCACATAGCCAGTGGGACTGCTCGGCCCCACAAAGATGAGCGAGCCGTCCGCCGACACAAACGCCACCGGAGCCGGCGGCGCAAAAGTCTGCTCAGCCTTGAGCTGCATCGCGTTGTCATCCGCTGATACATTCCACAGGATATCTGAAGGGGCTGAGGCGTTGGTGGGCAGAGGCCTGTCCACCTGGGTGAAAGTACCCCCCGCCACCGTCAGATTGCTGTGCAGGGGTTCTGGGCCTGCTGCCACCGCTCCCGGTGTGACTGCACTCGCCACTCCCACCACCTTGCGCTCCTCTGGCGGGAGCAGGTCATACACAGAGATGAGCCCCGGCGCCGGCGCACCTGCCCACCCACAGAAATATCAGTAAAACACTGCTCGCATGCTCGACGACCCATCACAAATGTCAAGAGCTGTTTAAATTTGTGCATGGCATATACGTCCTTGTAAATACCCCCAACGGTGCACACACAATGCCTCTTTTATGTGCATCAGTGAGGCCTAGCTGATTGCAGAAGTATTGGTGCGCACCAGCGCTGGGGCCTGGTGCTGGCGCTATGGGCGGTGGTGAGGCGCGCAGGCGTGCGGCAAGATGGTGCTCAAAGGTCTGCTCTTTCACGACCTCTGATATTTTGAGTGCTGGTGGGGGCGGTGAGGGGAACACATCCCCGAATTCATCCACCAGTGACTGGCCTGCAAGTGTGCAAAAGAGGAATCAGGATTGCTTTCACAGGTCTCCTACAGCACCAAGTACAGCACAGTATGAATCCTAGATCTCGATGCTTCAACAAGTATTTCCTGCACGCCCACATGTGCACATTTCATGCAGGGTCTGTGGCGCGTCCGATACCTGAGACGCTGCAAGCCACAAGAAGCGCCAGGAGGGCGTAAAAGCGCTTGTGCCGTGGCTTCATAATACCAGTTGATGTGTACTTGAGCTCTATGGGACCGTACGCCTGGTTTCCTCTCATCAATCGAGACCAGGTCCGACTGACGCTCATCTAGCTAGGACACTCATTGTATCTAGCTGAGAAGCTGGACCTCACTTGGCAAACCCTCAGGCCACAACGCGGATGTACAAACTATTTTTTCACGATCGCATCATCTGCAGAGGTTCAGGGAGCAACAAGGATGCATGAGGACTGATCGTTGGACAGAGACAAGGCACTCGTGCGGTTCAAAAGAAGTGCTTTTGAAGGCAGTGAATAAAGCTTGCGCCCACTCAGTACTAATTGTACTCGAGTTTTGTTTCACAAGCTTTGACGAGGCCGACTCCTGATATCGCTTAGCCAGTAGGGGAAGTTGTAGGCCTTGGAAACAAAAATTCTCGTGATGTCAACAGTCTTGGGCGTTCCCTCCTCTCCCTAGCAGGCTCCTCTGAAGCAGCATATCAAGATGTGCATATTTTGATTTCATGCAGCTACCACCCCACACCTGGCTCCATTTCGCGCATGATCTGCAGACCTCACTACCCAAGGATGCATGCCTGTGACCAGCCGCTGCCACAGTGACCAGCAGCGGCTGCGCATATGCATCATCTGCATGTGCACCGCAAATCCCGCATGGGCCATCCTGATTTATGACCAAAGCCACTCTCATAGCAATCCAATAACTGATTCAGGCTGTGAACCATGGCAGTGCTATCATGCAGGGACACATAGATCTAATCTTTCAATCAGCAGATTATTATTTATGACGTCATATTTCATTTCTTGCCATCGGCGGAGCCATGAGGGCTGCCAAAGGCCACTGGCAGCTACTGCTAGTGGCTGGCAGCGCTGGCATTAGTGAAAATGATCGTTGCACATATTGCAACAGGCTCTACACGAGTTGCATTACAAGTCAATCGTTGAGTCTAAAAAATCCCACCATTGGAGGTTCTCCTTCCTTGCAGGACAAAACTTACAAGAGGGCTCCCAGACATGAAACCCCAAACTGATTTTTAAGCCTTAGTCCTAAAATGCTTGAATGCATCCACAAGACAGCAGAAGCCTTGCGTTACCGGAAAGTAAACTAGTTGCATTGAGAAGGGCCAATGTGTATCCCTGTCCAACACACATCACCCTTCCAGGATACAGGATCTCGTACGGTAGTAGGCACATCATGCAATGATCAGGAGTGTCAAGCTGTCACGGATGGTTGACCATCTTACGGCCGGACACTGCCAGATGAACAGCCCTAACCAACCAGCAACATCTCCTCCGACAGGAACTTGTACTCTGGAACCTCCAGGTTGAGGGGCGCAGGCCCCTTGCGCACGCGGCCGGACCCGTCATAGTGGCTGCCGTGGCACGGGCAGAACCAGCCATGGTAGTCGCCAGCGTTGGGCAGAGGCACACAGCCTGCATCAACACATGGCAGCTAAGAAGTCAACTCCATCTTAAACCATCCTTCAAAATAGAGGACGCCACTGTCCAACAATCATGTGGCACTGACAGCAACTCCTGTTATGCACAGCAGCATTACATCAGCCAGAAGCGAGATGGAAGATGGCACTCACCCAGATGTGTGCACACTCCCACAAGCACGAGCCACTGCACCCAGCACAGCAACATTCTGTCAGTCCATAAGCGCAAAGTCTAACCAGATAGACAGGTAATGCCAGAGCCATCACAAAAGGCAAGTGGAGCATCTCCGCACCTCAGGGTTCTGTGTGCGCTCTGAGTCTGTTTGCGGGTCCCTCAGCTCCTTGACATTCACTTGGTTGGCCAGGTCAATATCTTCCTCAGTCCTCCGCTTGATGAAGACTGGCTTGCCGCGCCACTTGACGGTTATTGTCTGCCCTGGCTCTATCTTTGTCAGGTCCACCTCCAGAGAAGCCATGGCCAGCACGTCCTTGGAAGCCTGATGACACCAGAAACGTTGCATAAGACCAGAATCACAATCTGGGCTGTCTGTAACTGAACCAAGATCATTGCATAACATTCATTCTCACAAAGCACCCACCGACATAGACAGGATAAACTTCAGCACAGCCAGGCGCAGGGCTGACGCGTAGATGAACCGGCCGCCAGTGAGCACAAAGTACGTGAATGCACGTTTGCTGGGATCTCCAAGCGGAAATCGCTCGTGAGAGCTCTCATCATACCTGCAAGACCAGGGACTGTCAGCACTTTTCTTGACCTAGACTGCTCCCTACTAAAGACGTACTGTGCGACACGTACATGATCTCGGCGGTTGGATTTTTTAACGCATGAATGGTAGGTGGAAGTCCAGTGGGGGTGGGGGCCAGCTCGCTTGTTGCAAAACCTGCAAATATACACAGATGAACTTCAGCGTGTTGCCTTTCTCATGGAAAGCTCTTGCAATTCTGCGTGGACATTCTGCCTCACCCCTGCACGGAATGCTTGCTGCGCTGACGTTACTGCGGTTCTGATCATCTTCGTGGAGGCAAAGTACTCCAGTAGGCTTGACACTCGCAACACTCAGGGGAGCAAGGCCATTCTGCCACAGCCGCCCTGCCAGGCTCTGTCCGGCTCTCCGCAGTGCCATCTGGGTACAATCGTCACTTCAAACGAATTGAAGTGGTCTTTGATGACTGCATTCGCTTGTATTGACGAGCAGACCGTCGTGTCTTTGTCATCGATAAAGCGGCGTTCTTACCCAGTTTCCAAGGAGCGGCAAGAGTTCGGTTCTTGGGACATTGGTATCAGGAATTTACTCCCAGATATCAATCCAAAGAAGCTCTTGTTCCGGAGTGTCGTGATCCCGATTCCACGAAACTGCTTGCAAGTGTCAATTTTGATCAGAATGATGGACTTGGTGTGGTGATCTTGTGCAAAGCTGTGGGATGGGCGACCTCCAACGCCTCAGAAGGCCATGAAGCAATCTAAAATGAGATTTTTGTATTTGGTGCACTGCCTTGTGCTTGTATGGCAGTGGAACGTGACCGTGATGGCAGCTCCAGAGCCTCCAAGCCAGGTCAGGTGGGACTTATATCACAAAAGCGACGCCATTCTTGATTTCTTCAAGAAAACAGCCTTAAAGCTGCCAACACGTGTGAGGTGTGAGCTCCTGGTGTCTGCTCTCCCACAGTGTAAACACCTATGACACGCTTATCCGAGTCAGGGATCACTTTTGGATAAACAGCCCAGCAGCAATTAATGCGAAGTCATCACCAAGCCAAAGACTGTAATTTTGTGCAATTGTCACTGGGCGTGAATATATTGGTGATGATCACATCATGTCTGTGAACAAACTGTCTTAGCCTTGCAAATTTTGCCCAGGTATGAAAATCTGCCAGATCCGGAGACAGATGCCAGCCTACCAGTCGTCACCATCACCGATTTTGCATCGGGGGAGGCTGGCAAGGAGGTCATACTTCTGGTGGCCGGGGAGCACGCAAGGGAGCTCATCACCTCGGAAATCGTCTTCTGGCTGGGCAAGCTCCTGTCTGGCAAGGATGACGAGCTGGCCGATTGGACAGCAATCCAGACTGCCACAGCTCAGGCATGGAAACGCGGGTGGGCTAAGGGAACCTTGAAGGAATGGGCGGAGGAGCTACTGGGGAAGGTCATCTTCAAGGTAGGGCAGGGACCTCTCATTGGGACTGCCGGTGCCTCCAAACCCCAAATGTTAATGGTTTAGTGACATTGAGCATGCCTGCCGCAGATCATCCCCATAGAAAACATACAAGGACGGAAAGCTGTGGAGGGTGGAGACTTGTGCTTGCGCAAGACGACGGCGGGTGTGGACTTGAATAGAAACTGGGAGTACGCCTGGATCAAGGTCGGTCGCCTCGATGTGGCAATGCGATTCACTCGCATTCTTTTGACATCTTGTCCCTTGTCCACTGCTTGAAATACTGTCGGAAAATGAAAGGACACCATGATCGCTATGTCATAGGGAGAGGAGGGCAGTGATGAGTATGGGGGGCCCAAACCCTTCAGTGAGCCTGAGGCACGCATCGTGAAGCTCATCGCAGAATCGACAAGGCCACAGGCCTTTGTGAATCTGCACTCTGGGGAGTATGCGGTCTATGTGCCATGGGACAGCAAGAAGGGCTTGGCTCCTGACTTACCCACCGACATCAATGATGTACTGGAGAACCTGGATGCATATTGTCAATGCATGCACGGCGCAGCTGGCGATGTGGCAGGGTATGGCCCTCTCAATTGCTCTCTCTCTTTCGCAGATCCTTTCATCTGAAGCTCTTGTCTGATGCCAGAGTGGCTTGCGGCTGTTGTCAGGTCGAAGGTGTTGTGAGCTTCTTGCAGGTACCTGGCTTTTGGTAGCAGCATGGACTACATGTATGAGAAGCTGCATGTGAAGTACCCCCTCACGGTTGAGGTGCATGTCCTCTCAAACCCAGATACGTGTCCTCGAATGTAATTTTGGGCGAGCTTGGCACGGCTCTTCATTTAAGATCCGACCCCCCCATTGGTTCTCATGTACCAAGTGCATGTGACAGGTCTATGGTCCAGATGGGCTGGGGAAGACTGCAATGGGAGGCCACCCCAGGCGAAAGCTCCAGGCAGCTGGTAATAGCACAGCTGCCAAGCTGTTGGGTGCAGCTGCTGATGGAAAGGACAGCAACGCAGGCGATGCTGGCAGCAGAGCAATGCTCCCAGGAAAACTGGCAGGCGGTCACAGGAATGAGAGCGCTCTGGTAGAGCGGAGGCGAGCGCAGGAGTCGGGCAGTGCTGGAGTCACTTTGGCAACCAACCAGCAGCAGCAAGCGTTCCGCGTGCATGCAGGGATGCAGGTGAGGGTAGCGTCCTGCTTTGCCAGGTTTTTCCTGTTTGGAAGGAGCATTGTGAAGGCATCAGGTTGAGCTCACAGAAAGAATGTGTGTTTCAAGGTATATCTGTGATGAGGATGCTGATGTTTGTTGTGTGGTCTGGTGTGGCAGGGGCAGCAGGGGACGAGCAGCGAGGCGGCGGCGGCTGCGGGGGCTGACGGCGCGGACGCGGCGTCGCTGGGGCGGTGCCTGAGGGACTACAATCCGATGGAGACGGAGGAGTATGAGAAGGTGGTGGCCACCTGGCTGGCCTCCCTGCTGGTGCTGGCCGACCACCTGGCGCAACACCCGGCCGCCACCTCAGCCGCGGCCGACGCCGAGCAGGGGCAGCTCCCCCTGCCGCCCACGCCCCCCTCCAAGCAGGAGCTCGCAGCGTGAGTGGCCTCCTCATCGTGTTGAAATTCAGCTTCATGATCTGCACGGCACGAAAGCATTCAGATCTGTGCGCGTCGTGGCGGAGGGACTTTTCATGCCGAGGTGAGGTGCTGAGATACTGAGGTAGTGTCTCTGTGGGTGCAGGACAGGCAGGCTTGGCGAAGAACAGCCGTCCGACTTCAGCCAAAGTAAGTATGTCAAAGGCTTGTTTGCACTGTGTTTGATTGTAATATTGCTCGCTCAGATCTGTCCATTCATGTTCCTGGTGCGGTACATGCCAATTAGCTTACTCTAATAATGGCCTGTGTGTATGTTCTGCAGTGGCAGCTGGACCTCCTGGCAAGAAAGCCAAGGCGAGCTTGCCCTGGCTTCCCACTAGCTACTCGCTTCCTGCAATACAGGAGACAGTTCTAGAGCACACAGCAACAAATCCCACGCAGAAGGTGCTCATGGGCAGTGTTCTGTTTTGCGCTGTAGCCGCAATATACTGCCTGTGGGCTAAGATGGGCAAGCCAGTCCCCTGGAACTCATCTCAGAGCCCCAGCAGAAGGCGGTCTGAGGCACGTGCAAAAGGGAGGGCATTCCGGCAATGATTTTGACTACCTAAATGAGTGTTGCTGCTTTTCAGTTTGATGTGAACGTTAAAATTGATGGATTTAGCCTGTACAAGCGCTCTTATTCGTGCATGCACCTTTCCGGCTTTGCCATCCGAGCGAGAGCTCCCAGAATCAGTCAGTAGCACTCTTTTTTAGCTTAGACTTTTGAGCAACAGTGTGCTGCTCACAGTACCTGAGCTAAAATGTTGCCAACTTCTTGAGTGACACCCACAACTTATCTTTGGAAGCACAACTATTACTATTCCAACCCTGCAGGGTGAAATTTAACAATAATACCGCAAGATTTTAGCCCACGGGAATCCCATGGTCCGTGACGGGACCATGCAGGCGCCGGGCCGTTGTGCATTTATCTTATCTTGCAGCAGAGAGAACATCCACATCTGCACTTTTCGCCTAAATCAGTCGAGGCTACAAGCCGGCACGTCATCTTGGGGTCAGCAGGCGCCAGTTCAGATGATTTTCTCAGATCTGCACGTTGCGCCCTTAATCACAGATCAGAGCTGCAGTAGAATTAAGTCCTCACAAGAAGATCCACATCATCTTAAAGACTCATACGAAAGTATCAAGACCCAAATGGTCGCGAGGCCAGTATGAGTGTGGAACGAACACAAGCCCAATAGGGCAGACACAAGAAGATGTATTGTAACTACTCATCGCTCCTGCGTGCGCACAAGCTCTGCAACACGAGATACCGCATTAAATCACGACCTTGCCATCCAACCCGCTGACTGTATTGGAAGCAAGACTATGCACTAGACACTACCTTTGTTACATGCATTTCAAGCACCCTCCCACCCCTGCTCAACATCCTGCTTCTGTTCAAAGAGAGTTCCGGTCTGGACGCTGCTGCCAGAGAGCTAGCATCCCCCCAAACAGCTGCTATGGCAGTTCCAATCAAATTTCTATTGTAGCAGTGCAGCCCGGGGCAGCGCATGCTCTCCCGCCTACTTGTTGATGGGCACCGACTTGGCCTTGACAAAGACAATGCCGGCAATGAGGCCGACAAGGATGCTGGCCAGGTTCTCCAGGTTCCAGGGCACATCGAAGGCGACCAGGCCGATGAGCGCGACCGGGATCTTGTTCAGCGAGCCCACCAGGCTGTAGGATGTGGCCGTGGTGGTCGACAGGAACCACAGCGAGGCAAAGCTGATCCCGAAAGCCACCAGCGCGCTCGAGCAGGCCGCCATGATGAACATGGGGTTGCGCAGCGCCGGGTCGTACATGACAGTGTCCAGCTCGCCGTACCACCACATGAGCATGCCGATGAGCGGCAGCGAGAGCACGTTGTTGTAGAAGACCATGGAGAACTCGTCCAGGCGCGTCTTGTTGACGGTGAGGCTTACGACGCGGTCCATGACCCCACGCAGGTACAGCGAGTAGGAGGCCGTGAACAGGCAGTTGACCAGCTGCCACAGGTAGCCCTCCAGGTCGAAGGCCAGATCCGTAATGGAGCCGCAAACGGCCGATGCGCACATCAGCGCCAGCGACGCCCACACCCCTCCCCCATACACCTGCGCAGCATTTTGCCGCCGTGTCAAGCACAGAAACCTCACATGCTGCAGCAGTGTTCTTGTTGGGACAGACAGCATAAGGGTGCCTGTGAAATGTGTTGGTGTTGAAAGGTGAGCAACATCTGAGCCAATACACCAAACAGAGCTCAACCTCACACCAACAGAACTCAACCTCTGACAAGATGCATGTTTGATGGCATGAAGGTAGTGATGTCTGTCGGATGGCGCACCTTTCCATACATTGTGTAGTCGCCCAGGATCGTGAAAAGATTGGTCAGGTTTTTAAGAACGGTGGCCATGGGGACTCCCAGATTCTTTAGCGCAAAAAATGACGTCCAGATCATTCCCACAAAAATGACATTCACAGGAAGCCACAGCTGCACGATCTTGATGTTCCTGCACAGAAACACAAGGTTTAATGCGACCGAATGCATATTACTATGGTAAATGCTTGTGAACCTGATAACACGACAGGAAAAGAAGCACATTTATAGGTTGGCTAATCATGATCTCACCAGGGCTCCAGGCGTATGAAATTGAGTGCACTGCAGACTTTGACAAGTATGCAGCACACTAGGCACTGGAAGAAGAGCAGAGCCGTTGGCCCGTGAAAATCAAAGCTGCTCAATGCTGCCTTGTTCAGCAAGACCATGCTCGCAGACGCTGCAGACCACAGTACTGTCAGTTGGATTGCTTGACCCATTAAAACCCGCTTCCAGACTCTCTCAGGATGGCTTGATGATCAATTGGGGCTTTCGATGAGAATTTCAACATTTCAGAAGACGTGATCGCGCGGATCCAATCTTACCTACGCAGTAGGCGCCTCCAGCAACCAGCTGCACTGGTAATCCACATATTTGGTGATGAGACTCTTGTAACGGCTCTGGTTTAGGAGGAGTGTCCTTTGGATTCGGCAACAATGATTCGAGATCTAATGTTCCTGAATGCTTCCTTGGGGACACCTGCTGCGATTTCCTAAAAAAATTCATTGGCTCTGCCCGGGCGTCCTAGATCAGCCACCACTGTGCAGCCAAAGCGCGACTGTGCTGTGGGCTGAGCTACATTGAAGCACGGCACATCAATTCAGGTCATTGCATTATTGGCGTGTTTGCATCGAGGCGCTGGCAGAATTTATGGAACATGGCGCGTTTCTGTGTGGCTTCCTGTTCCCCTTTAAACATGGGGTTGATGACAGATCTAAGAAACCCTGCATGATCTGGCCATTGTTTTTGGCAGCGGCGATGACCATATCACACAAACTTTACTATTCTGTTCGAATATTGACATCTGACCGTGACAACCATGGATAATACCTCTGCACATGGCGTCACCGCCACTGCAGCAGTTGCAGCACCTTTATTGCAGCCCCAGACGTCCTCAGGGCAGGCAGAGGCGTCTTTGGCAGCTCTTCCTATTCACGAGCCTTCTGAAATGTCCGCAAATGTCCCATTACCTCCATCGACGGATGCCACTCAAAGCTTTGCAGCCTCTATGGAAGGGCCTGTGGACACACCTCCTGAGCAGCAGAAGGATCCGGTGTTAGAGGCTTTCGAGGTGCAATATGCAGCTGTGAAAGGAGATCCAAGGGACTTCAATAAGCTGGTTGGCCTGATCAGTGCAGCTGAGAAGCTGGTAAGCTCTATGAAATTTGTTGATCACCTTGTGTCTTCCGCTTCTTTCTGTCTGCAGTTTGGCATTTTTAAGGTGTAGGCAAAAGACCCAGGTGAACGCAGGATTCTGAAAGCTGTCACCTGGCAAGCTGCCGTGCGATGTCTTTCCTTGCAGTCTGACCAGCCTCTGCGCTCTTGAGCACACTCCATAGCACTGTGAGGGTTGTGCAATTTGCAAGCTTAGTCTCCGTTACATTGGTTCATTGCAAGAAATGCGCTTAGCAATTTTGCGGACATTGAATGTGTCACACTCTGTGTGCAGGGCGATATTGCAAAGCTTCGAGAGGTGTATGATGCATTCTTTGCAGAGTACCCTCTGTGCTTTGGGTATTGGAAGAAGTTTGCTGATGCCGAGAACCGTCACGGATCCCCAGAGGCAGCCCTGGGTGTCTATGAGCGGGGAGTGGCTGCCATACCTTACAGTGTTGATCTGTGGGGGCATTATGCATCCTTCAAGCAGACAATTGGGGCCAGCTCAGAGGATGTCCAGAGGTGCGTGTGCTGGAACCCTGTGTTGGATGATTTGTTGCACCCCGATCGTATTTCTGCACATCACAGATTCTAAAATTTGCCGCTTCTGCAGTGTCTTTGAACGCGGCTTGCAATTCGTGGGCACCGACTATGCTGCTTATGGGCTGTGGTCAAAGTACATCAATTACACTGCTGGCAATGGAGGCTCGAAAGCAGCGGCACTGATCTACCGCCGTGCCTTGGGGCAGCCCTTGAAGGAGCTTGACAAATGTTTCAACAGGTGTGGACTGCTGTTGTCATTCCCAACTTCAGCTTATAGCAGAAGTGACTGCTGTGTATTGGCTTCCCCACTGAAGCTCTGTTTTTGCTCATGAATGAACAAGATAAATGCAACTGGCATGTCATTTACCAGCCTAACCGCGTGTCCCATTCTTGCGGCACAGCTTGACGGATTTTGTCAGCCAGCTCACGGTGGATCAAGTGGTGCCTGACGAGGAGAGGGCTGCGCTGGAGGCACAAGTGAAGTCCATGCAAGAAGCTGCTTTTGCTGCCCAACAGAAGGCCGCTGAGGAGGCAGAGACTGCTGCTTGCAATGCTGCACAGGAGGCAGCGGAGCATGCAGCAGCGGCAGCCACTGTTCCTGCGGCTCCAATGGAGATGCCCTCGGCTCCGATGGCCCTTGATGGACCATCCACTCCAGGTTGGCTATTCTTGCTCCACTGTCTCTGTGCTCCCAGTGGATTGGCTGATATCCATTGTTGCACCATCTGTAGCGAGGAAGTATGTCCTGGCGCCTTGGCACATGATAGGGAGTCTGAGTGCTTCACTGTGGCTGCAGGGACAGAGAGGAAAGCCTCAGCAGAGGAGATGCCTGCTGCAGCGCCGCAGACGCCCCCTCCCACAGCGTCTGGCGCCCCTCAGGATGCAGCCGCCGACGCCGACGGCGCCATCACACCTCCACCAGCATCTGCCCCTGCAGCTGCCCCAGCCGGCAGCGCTGCAGACCAAACCACTGGAGCGCCAGAGGGTGGTGCAGAGTCAGCAGCATCAGCTGAAGAGCTGATATTGCTGGACACAAATGTGACAGACGAGGATGTGAAGGAGGCTTGGCTGGCGGGCTGCCAGGCCATTTACGAGGTGCGCCCAGCATTCTGTTCAATTGTCAGCTTGTCTGTATGTTAGCAGGTTCACATGAGCTGGCAATTGCCCTGAACTTCTGGTGCTCTTTCATTTGAGAAATGGTCTCTGGTTGCAAGCACCGTTCACAGGCGCAATGTGTGTCTTTAGGCAAGCAAGGAAGAGGTGGGAAGGCGAAAGGTCTTTGAGGACGCAATCAAGCGCCCCTACTTCCATGTGAAGGCTCTGGATGGAGCACAGCTGGCAGCCTGGTCACGGTTGCTGGACTATGCTGAGGAGCGCGGGGATAACTCTGTCACCACCCACCTGTACGAGCGCTGCCTCGTTGCTTGCGCCCAGTACCATGGTAAGATATTTCTTGTATGCAGTAAAATCACCTGTTGCCCTGAGTCCTTTGAGATGACAAGTACTTGGTAGCGCTGTGGACATGGTGCCGGGGGGTGACCGGTCGCTAAATGGCTGTGTGTGCGCAGATTTCTGGGCGAGGTACATTCGCTTTCTGGAGCCGAGGGAGCCAGAGGCAGCCAAGGATGCCATGCTGCGCGCGCAGGGCATCCACTGCAAGGCCCAGCCGGAGATGCAGCTGCTGGCTGCGCGCTTCCTCGAGCGCCACGGCGACATTGCCGCCGCCCGTGCTGCTTACGAGCTCGTGCTGTCCAAGCTGGCCCCTGGCCTTGTCAGCGCTGTACTGGCATGTGCAAACTTCGAGCGCCGCCAGGTGTGCCACTGTGGCACGACCTTGTACTTACATTATACGTATTACCTGCCCTTGCCAGGTACAGACGGACCCTAGTTTGGCTTCCAGCAACATGTTGAACCCTGACAGGGACATGAGAAGCAATGTGATTGGGTGCTGCGCAGGGCGTCAAGGCGGCTGCGTGCAGGATCTTCGATGATGCCGTGGCCGCTGCTGCCGAGAAGGGCCCGCAGGGCGAGAAGACATATGCCTTCCTGGTGGTGTCGCACGCGCACTTCCTGATGCAATCCTACAAAGACATCGATGCAGCCCGGGCCGCCTTTGCAGCCGCGTTACAGAAAGCGCCAGGCAGCATCACCTTGTGGGAGGGAGCAATACACCTAGAAGAGTCTGTTGATGCACCGGTGCGGACCTGTGTAGCCCTTAATTTCTTGTGTGAGGTGTCAATGCTTCTGTTCTATGTCATCTGCTGCATTTCTGGCTTAAGATCTCTGTTCTGGCCCATCCAGTCGGTCTCTGTGCAGTGAATGACGTGCTTGCTGTGTATGACATTTCTGCAGGGTGAGGAGAAGGCGCGCAAGGCTTTGGCACTGTACGCAAAGGCGGCCGGCAGTGACACAGTGCTGTCGGAAGCAGAGCGCGAGGACTTCAGTGCGCGCGCGGCAGCGGCTGCAGACCTCTTGGGCACAGCTCAGATGGTGGAGATGGCAGAGCGGCTGCACTGCGCGCGCTTCAGGCCGACAGAGAGGCTGACACGGCCGGTGTCCAGCGCTTCACGGCCCAGCAGCGGCCAGAAGCGGCCGGCCGACGCCAGTGCAGCCGGAGCATCGCCAGCCAACAAGCAAGCGCGCCCCGCGGAGCATCCTGCTGCATCCTATGCGCCTGCCGCTGCAGAAGCCACAGCAGCTTCTGCTGCCGCCCCTGCCGCCGTTCCTGCTGCAGCGCCTGCCGCGGCGCCTGCTTACTACGGGCAGGCGGCTTATGGCTACCCAGGATACTACGCCCAGTACCCCCAGCAGGCCTACCCTACATACACCTACCCCCAGTACTGACTGTGACTGAGCGATGAACATGGGACCACTTTTGGCGTGTGTTGGAGTAAACGACAAGTGCGATGGTTGGGGTAACGAATGCGTGTTACACATTGCTGTGGTGACTGTAGTGTCTTTGATGAATGCATCGCGACCTGCTTTTCTGACACCTGGACTTGGATAGAGCTGGCAGTATTGCTCACAATACTGATGTTTACTTGCTTTAATTCTTCACATTGTAATTAGAGTGCCTCCCCTGGTGAGCTGGGGATCAGCACCAAGTCTGGGACATTAAGCTGCTACATGTCTGCATTATGGCAGCCTGCTGAGCTGAGCGCTGGCTACCGCAATAAATTGCATTACCGCATTCGCGCATTATTGCTGCCTGCAATGCACCTTGCACTGTACAGGTCTACATATGGCCACTACCGTTGCAAAGGGCACCATGATGGCTAGCGCTAGTCATAGCACCCCTACTTGTGAGAGGTTTGATGCGTTTATCAGGTGTAGTGATATATCAATGCCTCATTCATTAAAGTTGCACCAAGTCTCAGTCCTGGTCCTGATGCTTATCCAGGTGCCAGCATCTCACGTACAAATTGTATTTGCAGGACTACTGCCGCTCAAGCTACCATCATGGTAGTACCATGCCGCATGGTACTACCATGCGGCATGTGCTGTAATCAGCACTGCTTGACAGCCGCATGCATTGTGGGTATTTAGGTCAAAAATCCGTGCATCGTCCGCCTCTCTCCCAGTCCCCTGTAACAGGAGTAAAATGAGTTCAGAATATAGATGGAAAAGGAAGAAAGCAAGGACATGGCAGGGCACGCGCATTGCGTTTGCAGGCCGTCTAGGGAGTTCACCCACCATATCTGGTAGGCTCTGCTCCATGATAGACACCTTTCGGGCCTCCTATCTCGCCATCTGCTGCCAAATCCTCCTGTAGTGCATAGCTGTAAAGTTCAGGATTCTTGCAAGAAAAACCCTGGACTTTACACAGGCATCCCTGCAAGGACGTCATGATGATGTTCCATGCCTCTGATTGTATGCACTGGTAAGGCATACTTGCCTCCTTGTGGTCTCCGGCTTCATCACTCGCCTTGTCCTTGTCCTTCTGGCTGAGGAGCTCGAGCAGATCGGTCTCGGTCTTATGCTGAAGGTGGGACAGAAAAGCATCTGGAGCTATAGACGAAGAACTTTCTTTTTGACCATCACTTTTTGCAGTAGAGGTAGTAGCTGCATCATTGGAAGACATGCGGTGCTGGGTTTGCAGCGACAACGATGCATACCAACCAATACTAGGAAGTATGCTTCTGCTTACTAGGGCTGAGATCGCACTTCTTGTGACGAAGCTCATTTTGATCAAGGAAATGTTCTTAAAAACAGAACTGTAGCGATCAAACGCGAAACGGGAAGCGCACGCCATCGTGGCAATGCCAGCATGCATGCCTCGTGCCTAATGGCTACTTGTATTACCTACGTGGCAGTGACTAACCTCATGGCAGCGCTTCTTCCTGTTTGTGGCGCAGCAGTTGTTTGGTGCGCCACAAGATCGGTGAAAATGTCCATATCGAATGTTTCACAAAGCTAAATTGAATAATTAGTCTCCGCCGAGCAAAATTCAGCTGGGGAAGAAAAAGATGGTGCGCCCACAATGAGTACAAACAGCAACATTGTTTTCAAAGCCATGCGACGTCTGTCGTTTATTAATCTGTTTATATAAAATGATTTGACATACCCATCCATCTACAAGGACTTGTATTGGTAGATTAAATGGTGGTAGCTGGGCGGCAGCAGTTGATAGCAACGTCTTAATCGTGCAGAGTGGACATCGTGAAGTATTGAAACATCGGGCAAGGTGTAGGAAACTTTGTTGGGGACAAGGACTACAGTAAGTGCTCTGTAGGGGTATTGACACACTGTGTTTCTGGTGCAGGTGAGTGAAGCAAAGAAGAAGAGGGCGGCGTTGAAGAAGGCAAAGACACCCGGAGCCACTGCAGCAAAGGCAGATGCGGGCAGTCCCAATGAGAACAGCAGTCCCAGCAATGGCGTGCAAGAGATCACCAAGGGTGTGGAGGACGTGGGTATCTCCAACGACCGCACCTGCACAAGCGTGCTGACCTCACACCCGCAGTCGCGCGACATCCACCTGGAGAGCCTGACCCTGCTGTTCCACGGACACGAGCTTATCGCAGACGGCAACCTGGAGCTCAACTTTGGCAGGTGGGCACAGCTACAAAAGCGCTGCTGCACGTGCACCTCAGGCATGCATGTCAGGATGACCACCATCATATAAATTCTCAATCTTGGAGGTTGCCTGCTCCCAAGGGCATGTCATGGTGATGTGTCATACCGCTCATGTACGGCAGTGGAGATACACTTGTGATAGGGGCCTGTAGCTTATTAGGACCAGCAGATGTGGGCAGTGACATGGTGTATTCTTGCTGCTGCAGGCGGTATGCGCTCGTGGGGCCAAACGGCAGCGGCAAGTCGACGCTGCTGAAGGCCCTGGGCAACAGGGAGGTGCCCATCCCAGAGCACATCGACATCTACTTCCTGGACAGGGAGATTCCCGCCACAGACATGACCGCGCTGGAGGCTGTCATGAGCGTGGACTCGGAGCGGCAGAGGCTGGAGAAGGAGGCAGAGAGCCTGCTGGGGGAGGAGAGCGAGGAGGCCCAGGCTCGATTGGAAGATCTCTATGAGCGGTGGGGCTCCTATCTACACTGCACACAGTGTGCACGAGTGCTCCTGAGGCAGAGGATTACTACCAGAACGTTCACACTGCCAGCTCTGCGCTGCACAATGTGACTGGTCATGATATAAGGGACGTGACAATGGACTGCAGGTTGGATAGCCTGGATGCTTCCACAACAGAAGCGCGAGCGGCGCGGCTGTTGCACGGGCTCGGCTTCACAAAGACAATGCAGCAGAAACGCACGCGAGATTTCTCCGGAGGATGGCGGATGCGGATTGCGCTGGCCAGGGCGCTCTTTGTTGACCCCACCTTCCTCATCTTGGACGGTATGCTTCTGCTTAAAAGACGTGCTGCCTGGTATGACTGTTTCGCAAGAATGAGGGCATTTGGCTTTTAAATACTCTCTGCTAAATCAGTCCTGTGTTCAGGCAAGGGTGCATTCATGAGGAATTCATCTTGTGCATTTTGCAGAGCCGACCAATCACCTGGACTTGGAAGCTTGTGTCTGGCTGGAGGAGACCATGAAGCACTTCAAAAGGATCTTGCTCCTTGTCAGCCACTCCCAGGATTTTATGAACAACGTGTGCACAAACATCATCCGCTTGCATCAAAAGAAGCTACATGCATATGGAGGTAAGGGCTTTCAACCTTACTCTCTGTGTGTGCACTCGCTGCCATAGCAATTTTTTAAACCTTGCTGGCCTTCTCATCAGTAATCGTTGAAGTTCAGAAGGCTGATCTCTTTTGCATGCTGCTTACAGGCAATTACGACACCTACTTGAACACAAGAGCGGAATTGGAGGATGCACAGATGAAGAAGCACAAGTGGGAGCAGGACCAAATATCCCACATGAAGGAGTACATAGCACGCTTCGGTCATGGCAGCGCCAAATTGGCACGGCAAGCGCAGAGTAAAGAGAAGACGCTTGAGAAGATGGTGAGATACTGCTGCCTGCCCTCCTTGTGCACCCCCACATGTTTTGTTGCAAGCAGCTGGTGTGAAACAGCTTAGTCATATGTCATACCACATATGCACTCCATGATGCAGCGGCATCTGTTGGTGAGTGTGTGCTCCATTCACTCGTGTGGCTCTGGCGGTGTGCAGGTCAGGAGCGGCTTGACAGAGGCCGTGAAGCAGGACCATGTGGTCAAGCTGCACTTCACAGATGTGGGGAAGCTTCCGCCGCCCGTACTCCAGTTCATCAATGTCACATTCGGATACTCGCCTGACCGGGTCCTCTACAGTGATGTGCGCACATGCACCCACCTGCCACATTGCAACGCCTGCACTGTTTTATTGCAGCCATTCAGGGCCATGTCTTCAAAAGGTTTCCTTGATTACCTCCAGCAGCAAGCAAGTTTCCTGAAGGGTCTTCTAGCCGCTCGTAGCAAGTAAGCGCCATAAATTTTTGAAGGTCATCTGGATTCCCCACAGGTGGACTTGGGGGTGGATTTGGACAGCAGGGTGGCCATCGTGGGGCCGAATGGTGCTGGCAAGTCGACGCTGCTTAAGCTGATGACTGGAACGCTGGAGCCGCTGGATGGCATGGTCAAGCGCCACAACCACCTCAAGATCGGCGTTTACCACCAGCACCTCACAGAGCTGCTCGACCCCAAGCTCACACCCCTCGAATACATGGTGCGCCGCCTCTCTCTATGTAGAACCCAACACAAGATACCAGAGTAGGAGGGGTGGTGGCCTCTGGGTCCTCCCTTCTCTTACTTTGCTGCAAGAGCACTGCAGGACAGTGATCTGGGATGCAATTTGGTGTTGAGTGCAAAGGCTGGCTGGGACATGTGATGTGCACAGACTGTGTGAAGTGGAGGCTCTGTTGAGCTTTGTGTGCATGGTGTTGTCGCAGCTGAAGGAGTTTCCCGAGGGCACAACACTGGAGGGCATGCGGAAGGCGGTGGGCCGCTTTGGGATCACGGGCAAGGCGCAGACGCAGCCCATCCTGCAGCTCAGCGACGGCCTGCGCAGCCGACTCGTCTTCGCATGGCTGGCCTACAAGACGCCCCACATCCTGGCCCTGGTGCTCCCTTCCCCCTTCCCAAGCGTCAGGCTCTTCTTCTCCGATGGTTAAGTAGCCTGCAGCACTGATCTTGTTCTCGGATGGGTGCCTTCAGAGCATCAAGTGGGTGGACACGAAAGATGCTCAGGACCGTTCGACTTTTCAGGAATGTCGATGTTGAGCTGAAGCGTGGTGTGTTGATGTCCAGGATGAGCCCACCAACAACCTGGACATGGAGACGATTGACTCCCTGGCGCGAGCCATCAACAACTGGGACGGTGGCATGGTGAGCACCTGCAACGAGACTCACTCCTTGCTTCAGCATGCTGCGCAATGCTATGATGCAGGCAATCTATGTAAGTCCCCACCTGGGCGCTGCTTCCTTGCGCTGAGTGACTCTATTTCGGCTGCAGGTCCTGGTCAGTCATGACTTCCGGCTCATTAGTCAGGTGGCTCAGGAGATCTGGGTTGTGGGGGACAACACGGTCACCAAGTGGCAGGGAACCATTGAAGAGTACAAGGAGCATCTCAAGGCGACGCATGAGGCGCTTAATGAAGGCAAAAATGAAGTCAAGAAGGAGATGACTGAGCGATGAGGCTGTCTTTGAGAGTGAATGCCGCACCGTGCGATGTGACATTATTTCTCATTCATTTATTGCATTCTTTTGTAAGAATATTGGGGTCACAAAATACTAGCATTTGGGGTGCAAAGATCAGGTGATACTCATCGATATATATATATAAAAACTTCATAACTTAAAGTAGGTCCAATTTCGCACCAATCTCTGGCCATGGCGACCGGTAAGATTTTAATATCTATATCGTGTGCACAATATCATGTGATTGCTGCAGCTGCAGCGCTGAATGCATTGCTGGCCATCCCGTGAAGTCTGGGTTTTGTGTTGCCTGCATTACTGCAGACATGAAGCAAAGTATCATTCATGTTTATGTCAAATAACACCACCCTGACTTGATTACCATTTGACCTGTTCAAAGTGTAGCATGTGAACAGATGGGTACCCACGTGGCGCTGATGTGTTGCCCTTCCAAAGATCTCCTTGTGCTCAGTATTTCTGATACATGACATCTTGGTGAATTGACTCTCTTTCATACATCGGTTGTGCAGATGCAACTTCAAAAGCTTTGAGAGCTGGAACAAACAAACGTCAAGGAGTCCTCACAGTCGTAAATCCTACATATCACGATGACATCTATGGGGGGCACCTGAACGTCGGATACCAACCATTCAACATCCATAATCCAGAATTCTTATTCGATCTTCAATTTGATGGAAGACCCACGGACCTTGCATTGGTTGCCGTGCTCCATCGGTTATACTGGGGTGGCCAAAGTTGGCGCATACTTTTTGCCAGCCCCAACAGGTGGATCTTTCATTGCAGACTTTACGTCTCGAACGATTTTGAGAGAGTGTGAAGGGTCATTGACACCTTCTCTTCCCCATCTGTTTTTGAATTAATACCAACTCAGGCTTTGAGGTTCCTCAACCTCTCTTCCATATCCAGGTGCATCTGTGGACGGAAAGGCGATCCAAGAGGCGTACTTTAGGGGACGGCAGCTGAAAGGTTGATCACCACAGCATGCTCCAATATGACCATTTACAGAGGAGTCTTGCACCTATCCAAGACGAGACAGCCCCTAGAAAGAAAAGCAGAATCACATGACATTACATCACTCTAAATCGCAACATCATTGGGTGCAGGGACAAGATTAGAGCTGCCAAGTGGGTTCAGCGGGCAAATCTTGAGGCGCACTGCTGAACAGCAGGCAGACCCAAGCACCCATGCCCAATGGTCGTCAGACATGGCTTTCAAGGACTTTGTCTATTGGAAACATGGCCTGGATCCCATACGCACGGACGGTGCACAGCGTCGCCTTGACTTTCTCACAATCTCGGGACAGGTATGGTGCTGTCAAGGGATAGAATTTATGCAATGGAGAATTACATTGATAGGTCGTTGATAGGCACAATGTCTCCCCGATCAGCATCTTGCAAGCTTGCAGTCTTCAATCCCACTGCAATAAAAAAATTGCTTGTCTTGCAGCTGCATGCGCCCGTGACCGCAGAGGACATTCAGCAGGAATTGGAGAATCCGACTTTTCAGAAGACAGGATAAGGACAATTACGGCCCACAGGTTGCTACACATGTGAACAGAGTCAATTTTGGGAACACTGACTGTTGTTGCATGGCCAAGCCACGCTTGCACCTGTTGATCTTGCTGGTGAAATGTTGATCCTGCACAGCTGCAGCATGCTGTTGACCAAACAATGTACTGTGTCATTGAACATTATTACCTTCTTACGGCCTTTCTATCATTTGCTATTTGTAAGTATCTGCTCAATTTGTTGCGTTGCTAAATGATCTGCCAGTCAAGAATGTTTCAATACTCTCAAGCCTTATGCCTTCAGGCACCAACATGCCCAGCTATATATCAAGATCGGGTGCAAAGCTTCTTCAGATTATCTCTCTCGGTCCTGGTTGACTCCAGCTCACTGCGGAGCGTCCACATGCGCTGCTTCAGAGACGCCACTGCATCAGTCTGTCCCGTTCCCAAAGACCCCAACGACATCTTGAAGCCCTTGCGCTCCTTTTCCAACTTATGCTCTGCTTCCTCCCTCGCACGAATTGCAGCAACCAAGTCCCTCTGCAGCTCTGCTACCTGGGCATTGGACAAATGTCATACTCATACCATGCTCTCCCATGGAGTCCATGAGGTCACTTCTGCAGCATTGCATGGTATTGCAACAGGGAACGAAAATCTAACAGAAGGCGGTGCATGCCTGTTTCTCGTGCTGTGTGCGCATCTGGTCCATAGTGGCTTTGCTCTCCTTCTTCTCGATGCTGAGCCCCTGCTGCAACCTGCCTATCTGGTCCTCAGCAGCTTTTTTGGTTGCAGTCATGTCCCGTTCACTCTGAAGCGCCTTTGCATGCAGTTCTGCAGTGAGAGAGCTGTTCAACTTTCTTAGCCTGTCTGCCTTGATGCCATTTTCTGCTGCTGCCTTCACTGACACTGCCAGCTCCTGGCGTGCAACAGCAAGGTCTTGTACTGCCTGATCCAGTGTGCTCAGCATCTTGGAATTATCTGCGCAGCTGTCCTGAAACTTGCTAACAAAGGCAAGCAATTCACGCTGTTCTTGTTTGCCTCTGTCGCAATCTTCTTGCAACTTGTTGCAGAGCAATTGCAGCTGCTTGTGCCTCTTCTCTAGATCATCACAATGAGCCTTCTCGTGCAGGAGGATGCGGTGTAGAGCTGACGTGCTTGGCCCTACCATGCGAATTCTGCAGCTGGAGGCTTTATGAGGATGATGTCCAAGGTCGAAACTATGTTCGAATCTAAAACTACATTGATGAGCCTGTTCAATCCTTACCCTTCTCTTACAATGAGGAAGATTTTTACAGAGTAATGCACAGGATCATCGTTGAGGAATGGAATAAGAAGGGAGAACTCTTTCGAGCATGCATGCATCTTTGCAAACCCTCCCACAGAAATATATTGATCACCTTTTGAATCTCTAAACCCTATGCGGCGTCAGCAAGGAGGGCCCAAGATTGATCCCCATCGAGTCCTTTCCCAATCAACAGGGTCAATCGGATTTCAGAACAGCTTGGATAGATCTAGAAAGAATTTGCAATGGCATCTCTACAACTCCAATGTTCAATGCTTTCCTTGACACCCAGAGTACCTCAAGTTAGCAGAGTCGAAGTGCGCAGTAGAAAGAAAGTAGTTTGTGCAGTCCAAAAGATCGACTATCGTCCCCCTTCATCTAGGACTGCCGCTACAGAGTTGGACTACCTGGAAAATTGGAGCACAGTAGTACCAGATACCTTACTATTGCAGGATATTGAGAAAATTGAAGCTCCCAAAGCAGCGACGGTGTCCAGTGCTGTTCTTGGAGGCATCTTAAGGAATCCTGCTGGACTACAGGAGTACAAGGTGCAGGCACTATGTTTGACAAGAGCTCGTAGCCAGATCATGGTATAGAATGCACCCTGCTTATCCCGTCACGTACCTGGCATGAGCTCGGGTCTGTACCTGCAGATTGCCATCGCTAATGCGATCAACTACGACGTCTGCCAAGCAAAGACGGGTGCAGCGAAGCTGGCCTGTGAAATTGACAAGGCGACTGTGAACATTGGGGCTTTGTTTTCTAGACAAGTCGAAGGGCGAGTCTCCACAGAGGTATGCGTGCATCTTCGCACTGTTTAGTTCTAAGTATCAAAGATGAATCCCTGGGTGAGTGATGCGCTCAAAGAGGCCAATGCACATGCAGGTAGACCCAAGGCTGGCCTACGACACAGGTACAGTTGCCCTGTCTGGCCTCATGTGCTTTAATTTCAATTTGATTGCACTGCATGACTACAATTGCACGAACGCTTCATGTGATCCACATTGGAGTCAACGGGTGTTGATTCATTTCTGCAGAAGCAATCATGACCAGAGCACAGGGTCTCCTGAAGAATTATGAGGAGATGGGCATCTCGCGTGACCGCATCCTGTTGCGGGTACCTGGCACATTTGAGGGCATCCAGGCTGCGAAGGAGCTTGAAGCGCAAGGCATCCAAACCCATATCATCCTCGTCTACAGGTTTGTGGCCAAACCCCATAGTCAAACCTATCAACCCCACGCATTAGGATATTCAATCCACCCCAAGATCCTTGCAAAGTATTGTCTGAGCAAGTACATGGGGCACGACACTGATGTGTATCTGTTTGCTTGGGGCAGCTTTGTGCAGGCCACGGCCGCTGCACAGGCTGGTGTGAGCGTGATCCAGCCAAACATCGGCCGCGTGGACGACTGGTTTCACAAGTACCCGGGTGTCATCCGTGACCCGAAGGTGGCAGCCCATAATTCACCTGGCAGATTCGGACCAATCTAGCCTCCTTGTTGAATGCATTCCTCGATTTGCTGCACCTTACATTAATGCATGCGCATGCTGTGATGGTGCTGGCTGCAGTGCCCTGTCAGTGAAGCAGCATTATTGTGCACTCCAGGGCCCACGGGAGGACAGCGGCTTCCTCAGTGATGTGAACCCTGGCGTGCGCATGGCCGCGCGCATGTACAACTACTGCCAGAAGTACCACCCGAAGACAAAGGTCATGGTGTCTGGGTTGAGGAAGGCCAAAGGTGCGATTCTTACCCATGAAAGCTGCTGCTTCAATTTCCTTTCGATCAAGACGGAATGCATGACCCATACAAGGCAGTGCGAGAACCCAGTAGGGGAGAAAGGGCTGCCTCAAGGTTATGCACAATGCATATATTATACTTTGTTCTCAACAAGATGCCTGCAACATAGCCAGTCATGTGAGCAGTGCTGTGATGACGTGAAGTAAGGTGTGACGCGGAGGGGTTGTGCGCGCAGATGCGTTGGCGCTGGCAGGCGTGGACTATCTGGTGGTGGGCCCCAAGGTGCTGGCAACGTTGTCGGAGACGCCCACGCTGCAGGGCTACAACGACGGCCTCACCACGCTGCCGGGGGATGACGAGTACTACTCCCCTCGCCTGTCGCCTGAGGCAGCCAAGGAGGCCGACTTTGAGGAGTTTGAGCTGGAGCCGGTGACAAAGCAGATCTTCGAGGAAGGCCTTGGGCTGGCTGGAGTGTCGCTGCTGAAGCAGGGGGTGCAGGGCCTCGTGGATGACATCGAGCGCCTGGAGCCCTTCTTCAAGAACCTGTCTGTCGGCCAGGAGTGACCGCCGGGACTGAAGTGCGTCCCTGTCAGCACTTTGAGGGCAAATTCCCACATTCTTTTTCATTGCCAGTGTTGAGCTTCAGCAGGCCTCTGGCAGTCTATCTAGCGATCGCTTGAGTATGCTTCTCTGTGTAGAGACACCCACATCATTGTGTTAGAACTATCTTAGGACGAGGCTGTCGAGACACCGGGCAAGAACTCTTGTACTTGACTATTGCGCCGAGTACACTAAGAAAAGGTCTAGGCAAGAAAATTGGACTTCATAATAGTGGCAGAGAGATTATGTTGCTGTCCTATTTTAGCACAGGTCTTGCACTGCTCAGAATTGCGTAATTGTAGTGAACTTATTGGGAGCCCCGGTCATGGGTCCTTTTCGTTTATAAACATGCAAGATTGTGATGAGATATTTCTGAAACGTATGGCTTACATCTGTTTGCCTTTGACGGCTGTCACAATGCCACTAACATATGAACTCACACAGTGTAACACGCACTCTCCTCACACTCAATACCAGCTCCGCGATCATGCACCAGGCTGCTTAACATCTGCTCCGTAGATTGTTGCAACAGCTCACACTTCTGCTTTGCCTCTTTGTTCTTTGGCTCCAGCCTGAGGACAGTCTCATAATCTTCCAAAGCCTGGCTTTCCAGGTGCAGCAGCTCCCTGCATTAATGCAGCCCAGAAGTCTTCAAAGCAATGACAGAAAAGTGTTGATAGTATTGGAGTCATTGCCATGCGGCAGTGTGGGGTAAGAAAATCTGCTGCAAGACGAGAGCATACCGGGCAGATGCTCGGCGAAGCAGAGCTTTGACATTGTTAGGTTCCAGCAGCAAGGCAGCGTCACAGTCTGCTTGCGCCTCAGACATCTGGCCCAGCTTAATATGGGCCATTGCTCTGTTGTTGAAAGCCGACGCCAGCGTGCTGTCCATTTCAATGGCCTTTGTGTAAAGGTCAATCGCCTGCAATTGCAAGAACCTGTGAATATCTTGGCATTGCTAGGCGGCTGGGTGTTGATCATTGCAGTATTTTCTACCAATATACTGGAAAGGAATGAATGTGTCAGCACCTGCTTGTACTCGCCCTTTTTGTACGCTGCATTACCGCTTTCCTTCTCAGCTTCAGCTGGAGAAAGCTCACGGACCTGTGCTGGAGCTGCTTTGGATTGCCTAACCTGCTGCATGCGCTGAAGCACAACATCTGCGCCATCGGCCCTTTTCTTCCGCTCATTCTGCTGGAATGCATCCTGTTGCAGACATACAGCTTTCAGCGTGTTCTGCAATGTAATTCACCACCATGCAGCAGGTTGCTGCCACAATGCCTGATACTTTTAAAGCCACTGCCTTGTGCCGTACATGCAGAAAAGGCACAAATACAGCAGGCGTAGATGTCCCACCTTCACCCATGGGGCACCGCTGCTGACTTCCCGCAGCGTGAAGTCCAGGCGCTTGAACTCATCCTCGTTATCAAACACCCGTGCCAGAAAGGCATCCCCTTGGACCTGCGCGTCTCCCCAGTGCACATTTTTGCTGAGAATCGGCATGTAGCTGCATGTTGTCCAGTCATGTCTCTGCATTTATGCATGACAATGGGTTCCATCTGTCAAGGGGATCCAACAGTAATTCACCTGCATCTGCTTGCCGCAGCAGAACGCTATCTCTGATGCCCGAGGGTTCATTTGCGCATCAATGAAGGACGCCTCATCATCGCAGTACATGTTCACTCCAATAAAGCCATTGTCGCGAGAGTTGCTGAGCAGTGCGATGTTTTCCACCATGCCCAAGTCAGCAGCTGTGCTGAGCATGCGCTCATCAATTTTGTCCCGCTGCTCTGGAGGAACATTGGCTAGGAGCTGCTCTCGCTGCCGGGCTGCTTGTTGTGCTGACTTGCCAGGCTTCCTGCTCTTGAAGTGGGCCTGTGTTTGCAGATATGTGGCTTCAGAGGTTATACATTTGAGAAGTGCGTACAGAACTTCACTTCAAAGATAGCATTTAGGGAAGGTACTCAGGAACTTTTGGTGAACCATCCTTCAGAGTTAAGAGTTCACCTTTATACGGTTGAGAAGACACTCCACTTCATCCTGGTCCGTGTAATCTTGCGTAAGTTCCTCCAACGCTTCGTAGACATCTGCCGGGATGTACACGAATTTGAATGTGCCTTTTCTCCCTGTCATGATCTAAAATGATCTGGTATCTGCAATGTCTTCCGATATATCTTTTAGGTATCAAGACATACACAATTTTTTAATCCTCACCTGAAATGCAATATCGAAAATTTCTTAAGAAATTCTGATGCGACGTCCAGATTTTGCAACTCCTCGGCATTCAGGGAAAGCAGATGACTGGATGCTGAGTCAACCTTGGCATCAGATGCTGCACAGTGTGCAGTGGCTTTGTGCGACGTTTACTTCAACAGCATTGATGATCCGAGACATTTTACACGGCACATTTCGGATAGTTTACCTTCGGAAAGTCTACAAGGGAATCGCCACGCGGCACAAACACTGTGCACTGCAGTCGCATCATGATGGCATGCGCATGGCACAAGTGCCACACTGTCAGTGACCACTGGCACGACCACATGGTCATTATGATTTTATTGACATCAGGGTATGCTACCAGTACTGCCAATACACTGACGACTGTGAAAGACATGGCATGGAACCTTGTGTCACAGCGCTTGACCCCTGAGCAGGCAACACAACCACTGCCAGTGGTCAAGTCGGACTTGATGGCATCGAGTCCTGGGCACCACGAAAGTTGGAGTATCCCGGAAGGGCCTTCAAGGTATCGCATTATTCACTGGCAATATTTTAGGACATCCTGCCTTGCTACGTACCGCTATCACTGATTGGCTTCTGGATCTAGCAGGGATAAAATACATTCTAAACTGATTTGACAAACATGGCCCTTCACATTATGCTCTAAGATGGTCCCAAGGCTGCAGCAATTGAACAGCTGATGACATGGAACTGCAGAGCAAGCCGACAAAATTTACACACGACAATAGAGGACTAGCTAAATAACTCAAAAGGCCTTGGCATGCAGGGTCTGATGCCCATTGGTGAGGGCATCTGCTGACAGCGGCTGCACAGGTGCGCCAGTGCGGCTCGGCAGCACGTATCTCAGCCATCGAACGAACACTCGCCCAGCGGTCCGGGCAGTGACACCAATTGCCCTGGGCCACTCCCCTGCAAAGCAGATTACTCCAGTTAATCAACTCGACGAGGAGCCAAATCAGTGCAACACGCTTTTAGAAGGATGGACAGGATTGCGCCCTATGTGCCAGAGACTTTCATGTGGAGGTGAAGCAGGCACCTGGATGCAGCCACAGGCGGAAGAGGAGAGAGACAGCGCGGCGGGAGAAGGCACCCATGGGAAAGAGGGCATCCAGGACACGGAAGGCCGCCTTGTTCACTGCTCGGGGGACGTAGCGAGGCCCGCCTACCTGTCACAGAAGGGGGCAGTGCTTCACACATCCTTCCCCAAGAACGTGAGGCACAGAGATCACAACAGGGTTCTAATTTGCTACAGACTGACTGCCAAAGATTCAGACAAAGCAGCAATGGGCAGCTGACCTGGGTCAGGCCGTACAGCTCAGCTTGCAGTCTGAGCCGCGTTATCCGTTTGCAGCGCTGGAAGAAGGGGGAATCTTTCAGGCCCACCAGAGCATCTAGATACCTGCACAAACCAAACAATGCAATGGTCAGGATGTCAGATTACTGCAGGCCTTACATCTACAATTTAAGCATGTCAGAGATACAGCGGAAGTCCTTGTGTGCATCAAGATGGAGTCCTCACTTGAGCAAGGAGTGCTCCGCGCGCATCATCTTGAGGGTGTCACAGACGTCACCGATGACAAAGTCTGCACCCTCCCAGTCCACATGGCCACCATCCTCAGCTGTGTGGCCAGGGGAAGGGAAGCTCGCCAGTGCCTGGCCCAATGCCTGTCAACAGCGCCCAACCAGTCAAGACCCCTACCCCATGCCTGCGAGGTGTTATTCGATCGCCAAAGACAGCCATGGACTCCTTGGGAGATGCTGGGCCAATCCTCAGTTCCTATATAAGGGTGGGGGGAAGCGCACCGCTGAAGGTGTGTAGTAGGGTAGAAACGCAGCGACCACTGACAGGAGTTTGGCGCGCGATTGCGGCGGCAGGGTGTCCAGGCGCCTCCTGTCGGGGCTCAGGACAACATCGTTCGCCATGAATGTGTAGAGGGGCTGGAAGTGTATCAGGCTGCTGTGCACATCGCTCCAGAACAGCTGCCCTGCTCCTGCAAGGAGTGCCAAAGGAGGCTCACTACTTCTTTCATCTCTGCATGCTGAAATCTGACTGATAGAACGCAAATCAAATGGGTAGAGAGTTACCTGCCACCAAGAGATTGACATGCTTCTGCCGCTGCTCTGCACCTCCAGCATCCTTATTTGCCAGCAGCCACTGATAAAGAAGCATTGCATACACAGGAGCAACATAGGGTTGTGACAGCAGCTTCCTGCAGATGTACAGGAGTCCCTCCGCCACATCCCATTTCTGTGAATAGCATCTGTGTTAGACAGCATGATGCCGAGCACATCTCGCAAGACATGCTGACAGAAGACATGCAAGAAAAAAGAGTATTCCACAGTAAACAATCTGCAATTTTGGGCAAGAACAATTGGTTTCCATGCAGAAAATGACCTTCCGGAAATAAGGTGCTAGGATCTCGTAGAATCTGCAGCTCCTCTCAAGGCTTATTTCCAGCTCCTCTGCAAGCATGGGTGGTGTCATTTGATATGGCTGGAGGTTTTGCACTCAGCAGTACCTCACCATGCACACAGCTGCATTGTTGAGTAACCACAGAAGTCAGGATACCTTTAGCAAGGTCATCGAGTGTTCCTGTCAAATCTGTGAAAACTTCGCCGCAGATGATTTCTCTGTCTTCTTTCCTGTCAGCTTCGATAGCCTATATCCGAGCAGAACGTATGGTGAGCCCAAAAAAGTTTGGCGCACAGGGCTGTTTTTCGTAGCTCATCAATTGTCTTGAGAACAGTGGCCTGAAAGGATAGATGGTCAGAGACTCACTAGACGCAGCTTCCGTAGCACCTCCCTGGCTAATCGCTCCGTTATCTTGCTATTAGGCTTCACAGGTGACACCATCGAGAACAGTTCTCGCTGAGGAAAATATCGCGATCGGCAGATTATCAAGCGTATTTATTTAGTATCGGATGTATTATGAATCTCGTGTACAGCGCAAGCAGGGCTGCTAGGAGCACCATGAAGAGCGAAAGGTGGAATAAATCCATCAGGGCGTGTTGCCCGAAATGATCAGTCCTTAGCCAGGTGCCTTAAATGTGAATGACAGCTCAGATTCTTCCAAAGCAGCATACAAATGTTACAGGAAGCTATTCACTTTTGCTCAGAGGTTCGGAGTGAGTCAGAACAGCTCAGCGTTCAATAGCTCATCTCTCTTGCATGGCGAGTTTGGCAAGGGATTTAAACCTCGCTGTGGGGCTGAGCAACTTCATTGCTCTCCTACCATTTCCTTGAGGTGTAATGATGCAGATGCTGTTGTGCTGTAGATGGTTCTTTTGCAGAATTCAATTAAAAAGATTTTGAGGATAAAATGGCGGTCGATGTCAGACAAGATATATCAAATGTAGACCGCCTGCACAAAGGTACGTTCCATACGCCAAACAGATTGATGATCAATACCGAATGCAATACTCGATCCGATCTTTTTGTTTTTTGAATGGCACGACATGCTCCACTGGCGAAAGCAATCGTATACAAATGGTGGGGTGTACTTGCGCTGCCCCATGTGTCTGCGTTGTGCGCATTTCGTCCAGCAAGTATAGTGGTCTCCATTTGAAATATCATAGTATCGCCCTAAGATTATATTTTGTCCAGCACGACACACTTTTATTTGCCCTGTTATGTTTCCTGTTTCAACTAGTTGTTGTCGTCTCTGGGCCTTCGTGCGTGTTGCTATTTGGGCATGACGCATCACTTGGCGCATGGATGCAAATCATGAGCTTTCAGTCATTCTCTTGCATTCTCATGTGTTGCTTTGGCCGTCCCCATCTGCCTGGCACTGGTTGCAGCACCCTCACTAAGACACCCTCTGCCACGCTCTTGCCACCAGATCCCTTCTATTGATGACCTTCATTTTTGGGTCGCGCAGAGCTGGCAGATGAGGTGGCAGGACTCCCGGGGGCGCTACAGTCCTTCACTCCTGAGATTCTGGTGGACTACCTGGCAGCGACCTTCAAAGAATGCGATAGTGAAGCAAGATCCTGGTAATGGGCTGCCTCTGCGATCAAGGAAGCTGCCATCAATATTACACAGCAATGCCCTGCAATCAACTACTCCAGCATTTGCAGATCACATGATCATACATGCCTGCTTTTCTAATCACTCTCCTTACCCCCAGGGACACCATACCATGCAGTGCACCCGCGGAGGAGGAGAAGTGGAGCACCCTGGAGGCCATGATGAGGGAGGGCCCATCATGCAGCAGGGCCCAGGAGGAGGCAGCAGCCATGGATGCAGCTGCTGAGCGGATACAGGTGGGCAAGTCATTGCAACCGACGCCGTGTTCATCACTAACCCATGCCCACACCAGAGCTGATGGACTACTTGCCTGTAAATTGAGATGCATCAACATTGCGGTGCAGGCCACAATAAAGGAGACAGAGCGGACGTCTGTGACGAGAGTGGAGGAGATGGGGCTGCCAGAGGGGGTGGAGGATGAGAAGGGGCTGATGCTGGTGCGGTGCAAAACATGCGCGCACGTGCTGCTGGCGGGAAGCTGCGCAGCACATGAGGAGAAGTGTCGCTCGGCGCCAGCTCCCCTGCGCCCGGCCGGCTCCCCGGCCCCATCCTCCACCACCGCCTCCGTGCCGGCCTCCTCAGGCCCTGGCAGCATATCCCAGGCACGCCCTCGCTGCCCAGCACGTGCTACAAATTTGTATGCCTACAGCGAATCACCTAGGACGATTTCGCGGCAGGGAGCTTTTCTTGCAGAGAGAAGGGCAGATGGAGGTTGTGGGGACCAGCATGGTTTACTGAGGCACAGTTGACATGCAGGGCAAGCCGGCGCCGGCACGACGGAAAAAGGCCGCAAGCATGCCCAAGAGCAAGCTGGGCCCGGGCAAGAAGCAGGCTGCGGCCGAGGCCGGCAAGCCGCTGCCCTGCAGCATGGCCTCGCGCCAGGCCCCCCAGCTGATGAGGCCGCCCCTGTACCCCGGCCCTGCCAAGGGACTGGCGCCGCTGGTGGGCCAGCAGCAGCTGCTGCCACCCCAGCACATGGCTCCCCGCTTCTCCCCAGAGGCCAGAAATCGCCCAGGCAGCACTTCCGGAATGGGAGCTCCGCAGCCCGGCAGCAGCAAGCGGCCAGTGCAGGGGCCTACTGCGAACGGAGGGGCGCCCAGCAGCCAGCAGATGTGGGCCTTGCTGCAGATCCCCAACAATTTCCTCGGCGGTGGCTTGGACGACCTTGGCCTGAGCCTGGACTGGTTGGACCCGGGAGGGGCTATGCCGCCTGCCCTTGCAGCCAGTTCAGTCCAGCCCACCGCCAGGATGGCACCCGCCAAGCCAGCACAGGCCAAGGGGGTTGGCCATGCCCCCACGCGGACTACCAATGCTCACGGCCCCTTCCTTCCCCACCCCCGGCGCCCGCGCTCTGCTCTCCCCAAAAGGTACTCCCCTCGGTGCAACATCAAAGCAGCACTTTGTCAAGGTTTGGTTGCGTGCATGGCTGCTTGTTACATGCTGTGTATTCTGGTCCAATGTAGTGTGGTCCAGTATTCAAAGCTGAAAGGAGCGTGCAGTGGCGTCGCTCTGACATTTTGAATCTGCTGGAGCAGGCGTCTGGCGCGGATGGTGACGCTGCCGCACGTCAGCGCAGAGGAGCCTGGCAGGACCATCCCCATGCCCACTCCCCAGAAGCACAGGCAGAGGCCCGCGGGCAATGCACCTATGGCCACCCAGCACTACCAGCTTCCCAGCAGCAATGGGTCCCTGGCCGCCCCCCAGCAGACAACCTCCCAGCAGCAGCAGCAGCAGCTGGCCTGGCAAATGGCCCAGAGGGCCCAGCAGCAGCCTTCCCACCTCCAGGCGCAGCGGCAGTCGGCGCTCCGGCAATCCGCGCTGCGACAGCCGTCCGGCCTGCCGCAGGCGAGCTGGCAGCAGCAGCATCCACAGCAGCAGCAGCTTCCACAGCAGCAGCAGCAGCAGGGGCGCACCCTTGTGTCACAGGGCACAGTTGTGAATGGAACGCAACAGGTGCCGGGCCAGCAGCAGCGCTCCATAGTCCAGCAGTGGGCCAGCAACGGCATGCAGGCGATCCCGCCTGGCGCATACCTGATCCCCCAGCAAGTGCAGGGCGGAGGGGTCAGCTCAGGCTACCTGGTGCAGCCGCAGGCGCAGAACTCAAGCGCTGCCCAGCAGGGGTACTCCCAGCCGCCCAGCGGCCAGCACATGCCGGGCGGCTACCAGCACATGCAGCAGATGCAGCGGCAGCGGCAGTACATGCCGCAGGCGGGCCGCATGGTGCCCGTGCATGACGGGCAGCAGCGGATCGCGCAGAACGGGCAGCCGTCCCTGCTCAATGGGCCGCGCGTGTCCATGCAGCGCATGGTCCCGGACTTTGTTCCCATCGCGCCGATAGGCTGCGCGGACGGCGGCAGCCAGCGCCTGCCTGAATCTGCAAATCCCCTAAAGCGCAGCTACACGGGAGACTTTGCTGCCCAGCTGCCGCCTGCCAAGAAGGTGGCCTCCCTGCAGCAGCTGCATCATGCCCTGCCCGTGCTGCGCCGCCCTGAGGACTTCAAGCCCTTCTGAGGGGCAATCAATTGGTGCACTTTTTCTCGTGGCATGAAGAGCATTCCTCAAAACTTGAGAGCGCAGTGCAGGCGTTGGTGTCCTGACTAGCAGCTGAGCAGCTGACATGTAGAGGTAGACAAACAATAGAGATTCGTCCAAACTGGCCTGTGGGGATTGCACAGGATTTTGAAGCCTGTAGGAGATTGGTAGGTTGTGTATATAGCATAGCTCTCAAGTGTGCTGGAAGTACCTCCATTTCTGAGGCCCCGAGTAGCTTATTGCAGGTCTGCATACCGCATGATGCTGTACACGTTCGAACTAATTCATGGAAAGGTGATTGTTGGAACACATGATGGACATGATGGGCACTGTACATTTACCGAGTCCAGCATTCTACAGTGATAATATCGTTGCATCGTGCCTGTTTTGGCAGTGGAATAGCATGTAACAAGACGGTGTTGATAAGTAAAACTGGTATTTCCTAGGTATTCTTTGATTGCATCACGCAATCTCGCAATTCTCTGGAACAATGCAAGTACAGAGCAATGTGATTTCTGCACAGGATCATCCTGACACACCAACATAATATTGATCACTGGTAAACGCAATTTTGATTGCAATTGCAACAGGCGGTAGCATACAGTAGAGCTCCTCACAATCGCACACACTTCTTCATTGCCCGATGGGGATCTTCCTGCCACTCTTGCCTGCTCACCCAGAAGCTGTCCTGGGACTGCATGATGTCGGCCAACACAGAACCGCCAGAAAACACTATGTGCTCCCGCAAGGGCGGGTTGTCAATCTTCAGCTTGAAATTCCGCAGGCCTTCCTTGTCCCCCTGCAGCACGGCCCCACACCACTCAGCATACCCTGGTTTGCTCAGTTGCCTCTGCTACCACAATCTTCAGCAGGTGTAAATTTTCTTTGCAAAACGAGGGATGCATGTGCAGCAGTAGAGAGCTCTACCTTCAGCACACGCTGCAGATACAGTGCCTTGATGTCCCTATCCAAGCGTGAGGTCAAGCCGGGCAACATAGTAGAGCCTCCACTGAGGACAATGTGCTGATACAGAGATGCCCGATTGTCCACATCCATCTCCTGACCAGCCAAGGTGGAAGTTTATGTCAGACTCATTATTCCTTCTCCTTCTCTTACTGTAATTGTGATGCCTGTTGTCATTCTGTGCATGTCTGCAATGCAATGTGTTTGTTGGAGGGTAGCAGACCAGTCAAGCAGTTGGGCTTACCTGGATGCACTGGAACACCTGCTCAGCAATGCCAGGCGACTCCACATCAAGGAGCGAGGGGTTGAAGAGGGCCTCCGGCGCCATGAAGCGCTCAGACCCAACCCTGATGGTGCGCCCGTCCGGCAGAGTGTATGCTCGCTGCTGACATGTCGTCTCCCGCGCCAGCTGCACACGCGACAGATCCACACCCTCAAGAGTGCATCCCGGCGGAGGCATGCAAACCCAGGGTGCATGCATATGTTGATAGACGATGCGGCAACAGGCATGCAGCAACCACACACTTGGGGGAGTGAATGCTTGCCCACCAGAGCCGCATTGGAGGCGTGCAATAAGGATTCTTCATGCAAGCCCTGCATGCGAGTGGCCCGTTCGCGCGGCGGACTGTGCATCTGCATGGAGGGAAGCTCATTCATGTGCATAGGAATATGAGGCCGACCTGGAGGTCGCGTTTGCAGTCGGCGGAAACGAAGCAGAGCTGCTCCTTGACGTCGCGCACGGTGTCAAAGTCGGCAGAGCGGTTGAGCGCGTAGCCGCGGCGCTGCAGCAGGTCAACGAGGCGCGCCGTCACGTCGCGGCCGGCCACGTTCAGCCGCTTGGTCAGGTGCGGGAAGGAGCACCCCTCAATCACCGGAATTATGTGCGTCACCCCGTCCCCAACATCCACCACCATTCCTGTGACCAGCCCTGAGCAGCCCCACAGGAGTTCTTTAGGAACGCAGTAGTGTTGCGACACACCATGACAGGCCTCATGCAGGCGTCTAAGAAGAGGCTTGCGAGCCTCCTGGAGGGGCAAGAGGGGTGGTTCACCTTGTGCATACAGTGTGAGGACGGCCTGTATCTGGACTTGGGCGCCAGCAAAGTTGTAGGTCTCGAACATGGTCTCCAGCAGGCGGTGGCGGTTGGAGATGGGGTTGAGAGGGGGTTCGGTGAGCAGGATGCGGCTCTCTGCTCTCGCATGCGAATCCATGCGCAGAACATCCTCAAACGTGTGGTCCCATACATGCTGCATGTCCTCCCAGCTCTGCACAAGCCCGTTGCTGACGGGATAGCTGATGTCCAGCTCGTGCCGTCGATTTGTACAATCATTTCCAACGAAGACCTGTGGGTGTAGACAAGTTCCATCAAATGCATGCAAGCATGAGTGTCTTAGCAAGCTGCCAATGCAGTTTGCCATTATGAAATGGTTTGGTATGCACCTGCAAATTTTAGGCAACGCATAAATCTGTGGCAATTGTTTCGGTGGCACTGTGAGGCACCTTCTGGCCTGTGTCTGCAAGACCATTTATAGGTCGTCCAACAACACAAGGAAAGACTGCTCTCGGAGAGATGTCGCCCGCAAAGCCGCACTTCACGAACTGCCCATCCAAATGACACAGTTTACTTGGGGGCATCTCAAGTTTCTGTACAGTAGACCAGGAAAGTAGCCAAAGATTTCTTAGCCATGCAGCGTTTGCAAATAGTAGGGAAGCATACCCCTGTTCCATTATCGCAGACAATTACTCTGCCAGATACTCCTTCAGTGCTGGAAGGTCCTGGCATGTCCAACAGAACTGTATTGCAAGATGACCAGACTACGAATTACTTGTGACCTTTAAAAGCGATTAAAAGCGGCTGGCTTCTCAGCACCAATATGATACGTAGTAAGGTTGCTTGCACGAGCATGCAGCACGCGACCTTTCAGCACAGGTGACTGAAGGAAAAGCACCGTGTCCCTTGTGGCTGTGCTGATAAGTGCGGTGATCTATTTATCGAGGGCACTGGCAACTCAAAATTGTGATAATGGTCGGGATCTGACAGCCTATTTTTCTTGTGTGGAAAGCAAGAGATCGAAAGCAAATCGCAAGGCTCAAAGACTGAAATGCTTTGTCATCATCTGATGACATCATCAGGTGGTCCCCACCAAACCCAAATTCGATGACTGAGAGGAAGGGCTGTCCATGCTTTTCACAGGGTACCGTTCAATTGATGTCAACATTAGTAAGATGTGCACAGGTGACAGTGCACTGCATACTGTAGTACAATCCTGCATGAGGCAGGCATATGATGACTGCCTCATGAGCTGATCATATTATGCATGAGCTGATCAGTATAACGCGCACGCATGCGGCATGCGCATGCAGCATGCTGGGGGCCGCGGCGCGCCTGTGTCCGAATGCACCAGAGCTGGCGCATGGCTATACATGGGCCACGTCTTCAACCGGTGGGTACCGATGCACTGCACATGCGATGCGGCATATGCCAATTGCATAGGCCTAGGTGCAGCACACTTGATTCTGCAAAATCTCATAATAAAATCTGTGATGCATCACATATGTTGCCATGGCCAGGCAATGGATATGCATACAGGTGAGCTTCTAGAGCTCTGCTGAAGCCCTGTGTTGCAACAGAGGCTGGCCTTGCATGCCAAGTCAGGTGTTTGCAATGATCAGCTAGTTTGGTTTCAAACCAGAAGTTCTCATGTGCACAGCAACAATGCAAAGGTCCATATTTGGTGCAGGGTAATGTGGCACACCCTTACAACAGGATGACTCTGTAAAGAGTCTACATGCACCTTGCGCAAATTGATGAAGCTACTGCTGAGCCCATGCAGCAGTAATCACATGATAAGTCACACCCCTTCTGTGCAAAAGAATCAGCTACACCACTAGCTAGTTAAGGTACTGTGATTAGCCAGCATGTAACTCAACTTGAGAGCTCTTGAGTTTCAAGCCTCAGCTGCAATCTAGAGCAGGGTAGGTGTACGAGTGCTCTCAAAACAGAGTTGCCAACGGGGACACCTTGCATCTCTACTGACAAGGCCTAGTTTCAGGACGGCAGGAAGGCAGCCGCTTGCCCCCACCTCCCTTTGCTGCCTTTTGACCAGCGCTTCATACAGTTCCAGCAAGACTGATGGGGGAATGGCCACAAGGCGCACAACAGCCTCTGAGCCAAGTCTTGCAGGCATAGAGAGGCTGCACAATGCTCAACGCAAAATCTACATTAGCATGTGACTAGGGATAATATCACTGCATTGCTGTTTGCCCCAGACATTGTCGAGGCTGCATTCAATGAGCCCCAGGCGCCAGAAATGTCTCACGCTCCCGCTGTGTATCCTCCATAGAGGTGTCCAGGGAGTTCGCAATGCCCATCTCTGACGAGCTTCATCTGCGGTTGACCAGGTCAACAGCAAACGCTCATCTTGACAGGCTCATGTGAGAATCCATCTAAATGACCCTGACCCAAGGGCCTGAGGTGTGGCATATCCACACCTCTGCTTCCCATATGCTCGCCGACTGCTTGCCATGCTCACTGTGGTGTTTCAAACCACATGGAGCAGCTCGCATGTGTGAGAGTGGCTAGTATCTGCGATTCCCACAGTTCGCAGCATGTCACTACTCGGTCCATTCATACCACACATGGAATGAATCATGCACCAGCAAATCCCGGACAAACAAAGCCCACAGCTGTGACATCCTCTTGCGCAGACGAACAGAAAACGCAGACTAAGAGATTGCATTCTTGGCATCCCACAGGGGTGTGGGATGGCCGGGTGGGTCACCTGCGGCGAGAGCCCTCGGCAGTGGCAGATCTGTTGAAGGTGGACTGGTGGCGCTCCCTCTCGCGGTCGCGCTCCTCGTCCTGCTGCGTTCGCCGCGCCTCCCGCGCCGCCGCGTCCAGCACCGGCAGCTGCCGCGGCTGCGACTGCTGGTACTTCAGGATGGTCCAGTCAAACACGTAGTCCCACTGGTAGCCTGCCAGCAAACCCCAATGGCGGATCAGCCAATCAATTACCTTGCAGAAGACGTCGATCACCTCACGGGTGCCTGCCAACCACCACCACAGTGGCTGATCAGCCAGCCGAGCATTGAGCTCATATAACAATTCTGGCATCTATCAGATCCCCTGTGCAGCCTTGAGCACCTTAGATGCATTAAAGTGCTTGAGAGACAGACGTGTGACAACTCCAGAGGTGCTGCAGGAGCAGCCCCCGTTATGAGGGCTGGGGACAGCGCACCATCTCGCGCAAAGAGGTCCCTGAAGAGCTTGCGCAGGTAGGAGTAGTCTGGCTTGTCATCAAACCGCAAGCTGCGGCAGTACTGGAAGTAGGTCGTGAACTCCATGGGGAAGCCCTTGCATAGCACCTCAATGGGCGTGGCCATCTTCTTCTCGCTGATCTTCTCGTACTTTTGCTTCTTTGTGAGCGCCTTCAGCCCCTGCACACAGGCGGACAATGGGTCAGCCGCTGTCTCTCATCCTCAGGTCGCACGCGATGGCATGCAGAAACATCCATGCCAGTCTGATGTTGGGTGACTTGTGCACAATGCTTACAGAAAGAGGACAACCTTTCCAAGCCCACAGTCAATGATATCACTCAGCATGCCACTTGACATGATGACAGCAGGTCTCACCTGCCAAGGCACAGATCCACGCAGGAAGTACATCAGCACGTATCCAAGAGACTCGATGTCGTCCCTCCGCGACTGCTCGATGCCCAGGTGCGTGTTGATGGATGCGTATCGGGCCGTGCCGGTCAAGTTCTTGTTCTCCCTGTATGGAATGTGGATGTGGGTCTTGGGGTCGCGGTATTTCTTTGCCAGCCCGAAGTCGATGATGTTGACCTGGTTCGCCCGCTTGCCCAAGCCCATCAGGAAGTTGTCAGGCTTGATATCCCGGTGGATGAAGCTCTTCGTGTGCACGTACTCGATACGGGATATCTGCAAGCAATCGAAGCACCGTCAAAAAGGTTCACACAGTCTTGCTATCACATGTTACGGAAGCTGACGATCGCATTCTTGCCGCGAGCCCTACCAACTGGTCTGCGAGCATGAGGACTGTCTTCAGGCTAAACTTCCGATTGCAAAAGTTGAACAGGTCCTCCAGGCTCGGCCCGAGAAGGTCCAGCACCATGACATTGTAGTCGCCTTCCACACCGTACCACCGCACATTTGGGATGCCAGCTGCAGCAAAGCAGCTACTCAGCACTTTCAGTAAAGGTGAGCTGACTCTAACCCAGGACAAGAACTCATTTTCTAAAGGAGAACGCACTTCCTCCTTGTAGGATCTTGTAGAGCTTTGATTCGTAGAGCAATTGCGGGTGCTTGGTCTTCACTGATTCCTGCAGGGCACACAGGAAGCAGACCTTAGATTCAGAATATGATATTTGCGTTCTCCAACAGGCCTTTACAAATCCAAAAGGAGCCTCATCATACCAACTTGATGCCGACTTCCTCTCCTGTTTGAATGTGAGTGCCTGCAAAGGGGAACAGCCATTAATCACTCGAGAAAGACAGACAATCCATCATCTTGCTGTAGCTCCCTCGTGTGCCCTTGAGACCATCCTTCGGTTGCAACAGAGCTCACGAGGTGCAGGAGCCGCACCAAGATATATGTCTCCAAAGCTACCACTGCCTATCTTTCGCCCAAGCCTGTATCTCCCCGCTATGCGGATGTCCAAAGCCATGTGACTTCCACCAGCCATTCACCCCTCAGAGCTTCTGCTGGCCGAACAATGTAGCCCATCCATAGTACTTTCTCAAGGCCCCAGGTCCCCAGCCATGCACCTAGGCAGGATTGCAAGACCCTTCTGTTTGCGAAAGTGGACCTGCACCCGTATCTCTCGTTCGAACGCCGACGGAGACCAGTACTGCCTACGGCGGCCAGGCGACAAGGAGAACGGTGCCCAAGATCTGAGCATTCCTCCCCCCCATTCCTTGTTCTCATTAATGTCTTTTGATAAGAGTAGCACTACAGGCGTGCTGCAGTGTGCCCTGGATAGAGCATTCTGAGATACTGTTGCAGTTTCACAGTGTGATCAGTGGTTGATTATATCAGAAACTTGCCAATATGGCAGCTCCAATCAGTTTCGCAGCGATGGCTGGAGAAAAGAAAGCGGAAGACACCCCATTGAGAATCGTTCAGCTCGATGGCCATGTCATCCTGAAGATTGTGAAGCACTGCAAGGAGGGCATGCCAACCCTTGTGACAGGACAGCTGCTTGGCTTGGACGTTGGACAGACCTTGGAAGTCACAGACTGCTTTCCCTTCCCGGTGCGTAATTTGTCTCGCACTGCCACGATCCTACAGCTATAGATTGTTAGTGCCTTTTCCATAAGACTGTTTCTGGCTCTGATGCAGAGCCGGAACGATGAGGACGATGCAGTTGAGGGGGATGGAGCCAGCTACCAGCTAGACATGATGCGATGCTTGCGAGAAGTCAACGTGGATAACAACACTGTGGGCTGGTGCGCTGCATGCATGGCTTTGCATGGATCTGTTCAAGTTTTGAGTCATTGTAAGGTTCAATTAAGGCTTAAAGCAGTGCGTATCCTGACCTGCTTCAAGCAACGATGGGGTTTTGCCTGTTTTTGCAGGTACCAGTCAACAGTGCTGGGTTCGTTCCAGACGGTAGAGTTGATAGAGACGTTTGTCAATTATGCCGAGTCCATCAAGCGGTGCATCTGTCTTGTGTACGACCCTCAGAAGTCTGCGACGGGGAGCCTCGCTCTCAGAGCCATCAAGCTGCGGGATTCCTTCTTGAAGGTGACAGCTCCTGCCCTCGATGAATAGGGCCATGAGAGGCTGAGCTTTCTCTGATCATTACGAGCACTCTTAACTTGTTCCTGAAGAGTTTGCTGTGCCGCACTGCCTGCAGGTGTACAAGGAGGGAAATTTGACGACAGAGAAGTTGCGCGAGGCAGCAGTGGCCTGGAAAGATGTGTTTGAGGAGATCCCCATCCACGTCCGCAATTCTCCCCTGGCAACCGCCCTCATGGCATCCATCGAGCCGGACACCGTGGCCGACACCAAGGACTTTGAGCGCCTGCACTTGGGCGTCCGGCCCCTACTGGAGAAGAACCTGGAGTTCCTCAACGACTGCCTGGATGATATTGTGGCAGAGCAGCAGAAGGTGTGCAGGATTCCATGCTTGATGACCCAGGAAAAATTATCCACAAAGCGGCGATATTTGCAGGCCTGCATCGGACATCGAGGCGAGCCTATTTTTTTCAGCGTTAGCCAATGTAAGATATGTGGTCTGTGCGCAGGTGTCATTCTACCACAGGAATGTGGCGAGGCAGCAGCAGCAGATCCAGCAGTGGCTGCAGAAGCGGCGGCAGGAGAACGCAGTGCGGCGGCTCGCGGGCGAAGAGCCCCTGCCGGAAGAGGACCCGGCCCTCTTCAAGCCCCTCCCAGAGCCCTCCCCGCTGGACGGCTTCCTCATCAATAACCAGGTACACAACTTGTTCTTGTTCTGACATAGTGAATCAAGGAGAACACCGTGTTTGAAGCAGTCCTGCCGTGAGTTAGCGCTGCTGCATTGGTTGCCGAGCAGCTCCTGACATTCTGTTCCTGATTGACAGATCGAGAACTACTGCCACCAGCTGAACCACCTGTCAGCACAGACGCTGGAGAAGCTGCACCTGCTGGAGAGCCTGCAGAAGGCCCGCATTACTGCCTGAAGTTGCGCGACTGGCACTGGGAAGGTTGTGGGATAAATATGACCCTGTATGTGAGGAGCGTGAAAATTGTCTTACCTTGTAATATATTCCCAAATGAACCATGCAGTGCACTACAGGAGTATGCCAATGGACCATGAGCGTCCGGTCAATGGCAATTTCTCGACAAGCGCATGCACACCCTGCAAGTTCGAACTCCGGAGTCACTGAAAGACAGTCACGATCGATCAATCAGAATTTGGAGAACTGCATGGACACATCATGTTGCTAATCTACACCGGTGTGTCATGATACAGTATTGTTGCTGGAAAGTTCTGGTGCCTGAGCCAAACAGCAAACTAGGCATGGACCGGTCCTCCCGCTCCCGATTGTTGCAGCTTCCCACTGCAAAGAAGCCAGACCATAGTCCCTCAAAATTGTCATCCATCTCCGATCACAAGCTAGATAGGTAGCGAGACCCAGAGGAACAATTACTTAGCTCATTTTACGTGCGATGCATATCGTGGGGGCCTGATCTGTTCGTTCAGGCATGAACGTTGCCTGCAGTCTAACCTCCATCTTGTTCCATAATAGTTGCTGCAACAAGCAGTGCCGTCTTCAGTAGATGCATGTGACTCCAGATGGATTGAATTTCAAAGGTGGATCATCGAAACAAGCGAGACTGATCCCAGAAGCGCGGTCCATCTGGAACTGGGCCATCACAGCAGCTGTGGGTGTGCTTGGTGGTGCTGTTGGAGCATACCTTGCGGCGAGATCATGCAAACGGAAGAAAACAAATCCAAAGAGAGTGAGACATATCGTGACAGGCGGCAACTCGAAGGCGCCTGATGAGAAGCTTGAGGTTTTGGAGGAAGTTGTAATAGACAACCCAAAAAAGGCCGATCCATATGATCCCAGGCCACGAGACGGGTGAGATCAAGAGCGTACCCTTGTATGTCAATTGACTCTACTGTGCTTGTCACCTGACGCTGACACTGCTGGCACTGCCAGGTACCTCTCCTGGGACGACTACTTTATGTGTGTCGCCTTCCTCAGTGCTCAAAGATCCAAGGATCCAAACAAGCAGGTAAGCATGCTCCTTATGACAGAGATGTGATCAGTCAAGTGTAAAAATGCCCTTGCACAGAGAAATGATGGGCGCGGCAGGTGGGAGCTTGCATCGTGAGCAGCGATCAGATCATCTTGGGAATAGGATACAATGGGTTCCCCAGAGGCTGCTCTGACAATGAGCTACCCTGGGCAAAGTGTGCGCAGTCAGGAAGCCCACTGGACACCAAGTATCCATATGTGTGCCACGCTGAGCTCAATGCCATTCTCAACAAGAACACGGCAAGTCTCCAGGGAGCGGTAAGGCCCAATTGATTGATTGAGAAAGTTTTACACTTGAGGGCAAGAAAATACATGTGCAATTTGGTCTTGATCATTGACAAGACAAACGATGGAGCTGAGCGAGGTGTCCGCAGAAAATGTACGTCACCATGTTTCCGTGCAACGAGTGCTCAAAGCTTCTCATCCAAGCCGGCATTCGGGAGATTGTCTTCTATGAGGACAAGGCAGCGCCGCCTGTGAAGTACAGCAGCCCGAACGAGGCTCCAGGCAGTGACATCAGGTGGGCTATCCCCAGAAACTGTTGACTTAGCTGACTTGTACTGTGTCAGCATCGGACGAAAAGATTAGCTGAGGAGAGCAGAACGTGTCGGCAGCAATCAGCAGTCCTCGAGCGTAAAAGTTGACAAGAGATATCAAGGGCCCAAGTGCATTTTCACAGTGTGCACACATGCTGTCTTGCAGGCAGGAGGACGCATATGCTGCATCAAAGCGATTGCTGCATCTGGCGGGCGTGAAGCTCAGGCAGCATCAGCTTGACAGGCCCCTGGTGTTCTGTGTCGGTGTTCTTCCGCGGAAAGAAAGGTCTTGCTGAATCTCTGAGTCGCTTGACAAAAGTACCTGCTGAGCCTTGGTAAGTTTGCCAGATCAAATAATGTCCAAGATTGGGCGGCGCCAGGAACTCTGGACTGGCTGTCACTGCATCTATAGAGTAGCTACATGTATATGGTTGGAGACGTAGTGTGATTGACAATGAAAGATTCCAGTGCCACGAATGTCAAGGATTGCGGTTTGAGACAACCCTTGCAGGCTGCCTATGGGTGGAGTATACTATTACGTAAGCATTGACTGCTTATCGGTTCTTGACAATATTTGATGCAGGCTTGAGCAGTATCCCAAAAGCGCCGCTGGCATATCAGGAGTACTGTCTGAGCTAAAACACCGAGACTGCAACTTTGCAGTTGCATGCGGCACTTCTGTTACAATATCTTTCCAAAACTGAGCAGGTTCAGCCTCTGTCAAGTGATTCACACGTTGTCGTTTGTCACCGGCAGCATGCACTCAAATAAAGCACATATGTGCCTGCCTAGGCACATTCTCCTTTCCTTTCCCTATCACATCCCGTCAACAGCAACCATGCACTCTGCGTGCACGTTTGAATTCTTAGGTAGAAGGTCCACAACATTCTGTACAGCATGCTTCTGCACTCAGTACTCAATTCACCCTCACTTGGGGGCATGCTGCCCTGTGTCAAAGTGAAATCAACAGGGCCCAAGATCGTTTGTGCAGCACAACCCAATCGGAGTGCTATGCCTTCCTCAGGTCAATCCTGTGCCTCCTATCTTCCAGGACTATCGACTATATACCGGCCACACCACAGCAATTATCTCTAGCTCTTTGCAAGCATCCCCGTCCTTGCCTATTGACAGTGCACCAAACACGCATGAGCAAGCATTTGTCCCTAATCGCGAGCACCTCCGCCCTTGACAGCAGGGGAGGAGAGCCGCTGGCCGGCTGCGCCATAGTTGGGCGACTGAGACATCTATATCTAGCAAATTTGTTTGATAAAGGTGGTTAGAAATAGACCCTGGACTCAACAGTGAACTATAGACCAAGCCAGCACTGTTTTTGAAGCATCCCTGCCTTGCATGTGACATAATAGATTGCCCCATCTGAGGCCTCAGGTCCACGAGGCATACACAACTGTTGCGCACTAAGTACACCTGTCAGACGGCGGTGTGGACCTGGAGGGCCTGGAGGATGGAGAGGGCCTGCTTGCGCACGAGCACGGACTGGCTGGCGCCGCGGCCGCCCTGGGTGAGGCCGCGCAGGCTCTCGGCCAGGCCGTGCTGCACCACAAACTGCTTGGGCCGCGGGTGGAACTCGTAGAGCGTGCGCAGGACCTGCAGCAGCTGCAGCTGAGTCAGCGCCCCCGCGCGGCCCAGCATCGCCACCACCAGCGGCGCCAGTCCCCCCTGCCCAACCTCCACCTGCGCCAGTATAAGAACACACCTGTTCAGCCAATATGACTTGATCTCATACATCTCACAATCTCTCTTGCTTTTATTTCCTTTGAGGTTTGACTGCTGTAAAGAGGGTCAGTCTGACATGTTCAGTGCATGGACAGGTTACTGATTGATCACAAGCAAGCCTGAAGGCTTTCATCAAACCATTCGCACTGCAGGCCGGTCTGAGCGCGCGCTCAATGTCAGAAGCTGAGGACAAGCTCAGGCATGGAATGGAAGAGCAGATGCACTGGCAGCAAGATAGCCGTGGCCTTGTTGAGGCTCAGGAGAGGCTGAATGGATGCGGCAGGACATGCAGTTTCACAGGGGCGCACGGTGATGCGGGGGGATCGGCGGAGGATGCGCAGGAATGCGTCGAGCAGGCGGGAGAGCGCCTCGCTGTCGCCTGTCGGCGCGTACGCAGCAAACAGCGCCACAAAGCGCTGGCACGCCTCCTTCGACGCCAGCCGCGGCTCCACACGCGGCCCATCCTCGGCCAGCCAAGCCGCCAGCGCATCCAGCGCCGGGCCCTGCCACGTCTGCGCGCATCACACACCCCCATCATTCAGACCCTCAGCACGGCGCATGCGCAAAGACTATCTGAACTGCTGCCTCCACTACTGGGCCGGAAAGAGCCATGTGTTTCATCCATCAGCGCGCGCGCCCCATTCTCGCCCGGCTAAGCGTCAGTCACGCTGGATGCATCCTTGATGACCAAATAAGAAGTTTTGCATCGCAGCAGGCTGGAGAGCAGTTTTGGTGGGTTAGAGCCAATTTGAGCTGGGGACACATCGTGTGAAAAGTGAGTGGACTGAAGATCCACACCTGTTCTTTGAGCAGGTTGAGCAGGAGGTCGAGGCCGTTCTGGGCCCAGAGCTCGGCGCGCGTGCGCTGCGTGCTGTGGGCCATGCCGCACAGCAAGCTTACTGCCAGCGGCCGCAGCTGCGCGCCCGCGCCATCCCCGACCGCCGCTCCCGCCTGCCACCCACCAGCACACCCTCATCCCATGCACTTCTGACATTCTTCCACCAACCTCAATGACTTGTTCTACACCTTCAACTTTTGGTGCAAGGGTCCATCATGGTACACACAGACACGCCAAGGGCCAGGCTATCTTGCAAAGGTCGCTATGGATACCTTGTGTCAGTCACTGCCACCTGGCGCTTCTTGTAGGTTGATGAATCATGCACTGCAGGCAGCGGCATGGGGGGTGTTGGGGTGTGATTGCACCTGGGCTGGTTCGGCAAGTGCGGCGAGGTAGGGGACGATGCCGGCGACGGCAGCGGCCTCCTGGCGCGTGCGGCTGATCTTGCACAGGTTGTAGAGCGCGTGCAGCGCCTCCAGCTGCACCGCCGCCGAGTGCCGCCGCCCCAAGTACGGCAGCAGCACCGGAATGCTGCCCGCGTCCTGCACCAGCATGTGCTTCTCTGACTGCCTCTCTGAGTTTGCAATGTCACGCAAAACAAGCAGAAATCTCCACTGTGTGAACTTGAGGAAGAAGCTTCTAGTTATACTGCCAAGACAGTTGTGTGGAGGAGAAAGTGTAATCAGCTGGAGGGAGACTGACCTGGAGGGGCTGGAGCAGGGCGGGGTCGAAGGTGAGCAGCTTGAGGCATTTGAGGCACTTGAGCAGCGTGGCCGCGTTGACCTTGCGCATGACCTCAAACATGGCCAGCAGCGTGTCGCGCCGTCCCAGCACGCCCTTCACCACACTGTCCCCGTGCGCCAGCACCAGCAGCAGATTGCCCGCCTGCCCACCATTCCCCACTCTGTGAATATAATTTGCACCAAGCGCACACACTCATAACAAAGCTGAATAAGTGACTTGTGCGGCCCAGATGCTCGCTCTTGCTTGGAGACTTAGAACCTGATCTGAGTGTTCCTTATGCAGGTGTGAGCGAGCATGATGGAGCGGCGTACCGTGTCGATGAGGTCCGGTGCAACATCAAGGGCATTGGCGGCCCAGCTGCCGCCGCGGCGGTGGGAGGGGGGACCCTTCTGGCCCCCCTGCCGGACCCCCCGCTGCTGCTGTTGCTGCTGGTGCTGCTGCGCGGCGGGGCTGAACACGTCGCCGCCGCCGCCACCGCCCGGCCGGCCCGGCTTGAAGTAGGAGTTGAGGCCGATGGCGGAGAGGCGGGAGGAGCCCGGGGCGCCGCGCGAGGAGGATGCCTGCGAGTTGGAGGCCGCGCGGCTGTGCACCTCCTCGTCCAGCGACGTGGTGTCCTCCGCCACCGAGCTCGTCGACGCCTCGCTCGCCGCGTACCGCGACTCTGCCGGGCTCTCCTGCGCCTGCGCACAGCCAAGTAGATCAGCATCTCGTTGTTTCACCCATCGACGTATCACCACAGCACGCTCCCTCCCGAGACAGTACATGGAGAAACCAGTTCTGACCTCCCCAGCCTTTGTTTCGGCAGAATTCAACATTTGTTATAGCCTGCCTGTTTATCCGGGCAGGCTATAACGTGTGGGACAACCTTGGCACTGGCACTTGCAGTATTGGGCGGAGAGACAACACTGCCAGGAGGACTGTGCAGGTTGGCATGAATAGATACCATTTCTATTCAACATGCGCTCTTCACTTGTTTTGCAAAGTGCAGGTCGAGCGCCACTGTACGGTGTAGAGTGCAGTGCATGTGCGTGTTGAGAAGGGAGGGTGGTTGACAGTCAAATATTTACAGCACTCTTTGTTGCTGTGCTCACTGGCATCTTAGCACTTCATCTTGGCCTTCGCCAACCTGGTGGTGATCAAGAAATAGTACAAGTGGTGGGCGTACCTGGTGGGCGGTGGGGGAGGCGAGGAGGTCGGAGGCGATGGAGTTGAGGGCGCGCAGGAGGCGGGCGGGGAAGCCGTCGGCGGCCAGCAGGCGGCAGAGGTGGTTGAGGGCGGACGCTCCATGCAGCTCCAGCACGTGCCATACGCAGCGGATCCCCGTCTGCGTCAGGTAGCCGCACTCCCCAAACCTGTCCTCCACCAGGCTCACCAACACCGGGATGCCCTGCGCACACACCGCCCAATTTTCCCTTTGAGGACCCTCTCCTCTTCTGCTGTGCAACCCCTTTGCTCACCGCTTATCATGCAAGAAACAAGCGTCTCCTGACATTATTGAAGTTTGAGGTTGCCTATCTCCTTTTTCTCCGGGTGAGGACAATTTAGGTGCATGTGTGCCAACGAATATTGCAGTGGCATGCCCTGTCCTGGCTGTTCAAGAGTTCACCAGCATAGATTCACGCTGGAAAAGGCTGCAGAAGTTGAGAAGCACCTGGCAGGCGACAAACATGCGCGCGGTGGCGAGGCTGGTGTGGCACAGTGAGTGTACGAACACGGCGGCCTGTATGCGCAGCGGGGTGGGCCACGCTGAAAAGGAGTACCGCGTCACCGCCGGCACCAGGCCCAGCAGGCACGCCGCCTCCAGGGCTGCTGCATCGTTCGCCACCACAGCGTTTGCAAGCTCCAGTGCCGCCAGCGCAACCTGTACAAAAATGAAACTGTCAGCTCCCACGCACTTGCTCTCCATGCGCTTACATTGCTGTGACCTCCCAACACAACTTCAATTGCAAGCATGGGGTGTGGTTTATAAGTACCATATAATGACCTTGCAAGTTTCTCAACAACAGAAGTATGGCATGCTGACTTGTGGAGCATGGCTTTGCTGAGAGTTTCAGAAGCTTAGGTGGGGACAGCAGGGGGCCGCACCTTGTGGCTGCGCTCTTCGAGGAGCTCGATGATGGCGACGATGCCGTCCTGGGCCAGGAAGGTGGCGCGCCGGTCCGGCTGCTCTGCGAACAGCGCCGCCAGCTGTTGGCAGGCGTCCACCATGGGACTGTCTCGCGCGCTCGCCGCACCCCCGGCCCCACCGCCCCTCCCTGCCGGCCGCAGCGCCGTCACCAGCCGCCGCACCTGCAACAAACCATTGCCTCATGAATCACACCAATCAACGGTGAGTGCTGACTTCATGCGTAGAAAGCATGCAGAGCATGGCTGGACTGCATTTCATGCGCATTTGTTGGAAGTGCAAAAATGCTTAAAATTGACTTCCTGAAGAGGAGGGGGCCACCTCTGCGGCTTGCTGGTGTTTGGGGGCGCTGCCGCCAGTGTCTGGCACGACCGCGCCGGCCGGCTTGGGGCTTCCTACTGCAGCACCGCCGCTCTGCTGATCCCTTTCTCGCAACCACCCCAGCAGGTCCACATCCTGGCGCCCCACACCACACCCTCGATGTCAGGGCCCCCTCCTCGTGCTCCCAAGCAATTGCCTTCACGTTGACAAGTATGAGCCTTCAGAGCTGGGACGAGTAAATGTCCTGGAATTGGCAAATGTGCAGGATGGCGCACCTGGCCGGCTGCGGCAGGGTGCTGCAGCGAGGAGCTGCCCAGCTGGGCAAGCAGGCTGCCCAGAGGGCCGCTGCCAGCGGGCAGGTGTGTGGGCGCGGCTGCCAGCCCCTGCTGGGTGGTGTCCAGGGGCGGCGGCCGCGACCTGTGAGCGCCCGGCCGCTGCGGCTCGCGCTGCTGCGCCGGCGTCACTAGGCCGCCGTCCAACTCCGCCGCTGACGATGACTGCAACCCAACAAGCCAGCGCCATCAGACCCTGTATTGCATGCTTGTTCGATCCCTCTGCCCCCTGGGATCCATATGGACCCGAAAGCTTTCACCTGACATGAAAGATAGGAATATGAAGACAAGGCTTGATACAACACAACAGGACCCAGCGTTAGAAAAGTGGATTAAGAAAAATGTTGATATCCATGGTGCATATGGGCACAGCACCTGCTGCAAGACACTGCCCAGCAGAGAGGGCCGCTGTGGCAGGCGGTCCAGGGAGATGGTGCTGCTGCTCTTGGTGCTGGCGCGCTGCAGGTCCTGCTCCGCGATCGGCTTGGCCAGCCGGCTCTCCATGCTCTTTGCAGAATCCTTTCGCCCCGCCGCTGCCGGCGCCTGCTCGCTCTGCTGGCTGTCCGAGTCCGACGCCAGCCCGTTCGCTGCCGCCTCCTCGCTGTCCGCCTGCAGCACAGCCGGCTTTGCTCAATTCCACAAGCAGCCATGGCGTGTTTCAAAACACAGCTGCTGCGTTGCCAACAAGCCACAGGCCAACAGTTCCAACAAGCCACAGCCCAAAAGGCTGTATGTGGAGTTGAGTCAGTAGTCGAAATGGGCCGGCGAAGGGACAAAGCAGCCAGAGATTAGCTATTGCGCACGATAGCGGGTGGGGGTGCTTAAGACATAGTGCTGTGAAGCTGCCATTGGCAAAGCTGATTGAACCTCGCAATTGCTCCACAACAGTTGACTGAGTCAGTGAGGGGCGCGGTACCCGGAGGATGCGCTCGACGACGGAGGAGACGGAGGCGTGGGCGTCGGTGCGGGGCCGAGCGCGAGCGGCGGCGGTGCGGGACCAGGAGGCGCGCAGCGTGGCTCGCTGGGAGCCCAGCCAGGCGTGGCCCAGCAGTGCGCGCGCGTCGGGGCGGCGCTGCGGGTCCTTTTGGAAGCAGGCCAGCAGGAAGTCCGCCAGGTCCAGGCTGATGCTGTCCGGCAGGCTCGGGTGCTCATCCTGACGCATCCCCCGTATACATTTGGACATGCCTAGCAAGGCTTTTTCACATGTATTCAATGACATGTCCTGTCATAGTTGACTATCTTGTACACTTATCTTCGATCTGCGCAGCCCACCTCTCTGTCCTAGCGCTGATGCGTCAATGTTGCTTCAACCCTGCAGAAATGGCTACGCACAGCCGCACTTGCTTTACCAACAACCGCCTAGGTGGGCTCTACAGTGGCTGTGCCCATGAAATGCCTGGAAGGCTGGTGTGAGAGCATGCTTGGCGAAAAAGCTTGTGGGAGGAGGAGCAGGCAGCACCTGGACGATGCGGAAGAGGGCGGACATGGGCTGCAGGTCAAAGTAAGGGGGCTGCCCCGTGAGGAGCTCGATGGCGAGGCAGCCGACGCTCCAGATGTCGGCGGCGGCGGTGACGCAGGTCATCTCGATCACCTCAGGCGCCATCCAGTAGGGGGTGCCCACCACCGACACGCGCAGGCTGTCCCCACCGTCCTCCAGCTCCGTCAGCTTGGCTGCCACCCCAAAGTCCGCCAGCTTCACCACCCCCTGCAATGACACCTCCCTCTCTTAGCCACTCCAGCATTGGAGGCTTCTTCCAGACAGCAGACTGCCTTCCTCCCTGGCTCACAGAGCAGACTGATATGGGCTGGGAACACATCCATGCAGAGAAGAGCGTGGGGCAGATGAGATGCTTGGTGCAAAGAGATGACCCTGCCTCCATCATGTGCAGCAAAGTGCAGATGCAGTCCCATTGAAGTTGGGATTTGGGAAATGACGTGCAAGCAAAGGGTTGAAATGGCACAGAGAGACCTGGCTCGATGCGCAAGAGCATAGCAGTACTCATGCATGTGCGCGGGGGAGGGGGCGTGCCTCGTTGCCGGTGAGGATGTTGGCGCCCTTGATGTCGCGGTGCACGACGCCCTGCTGGTGCAGGTAGGCCAGCCCCTGCAGCACGTGGCCGATGTACACGGCGACCAGCGGCTCTGGGAAGGCGCCAAACTTGGAGGGGCGGATCACGTCCGACAGCGATCCCTTCTCCATGTACTCCAGGATGATGTACAGGTGCGTGCGCGTCTTGAAGGACCCCACGTACTTGACGATGTTGCGGTGGTTCAGGTTCTTCAGCAGGTCGATCTCGCCCATGATGCCCTGCAGGTTGTCCTGGCTGATGCCCGCCAGGGACATCTGCTTGATGGCCACGTGCTCCCCCGTGCGCACATCCGTGCCCTTGAACACCTGGCGCCCCGCCACGCATGCCCATCAGCGCTGCCTGCTGGCCTGTTGTGACATTATCACTGAAAAGAATTGCACCCCAGGGGCAGCCAGTATTGCACTGCCGTGCTTGGCCATCCTTTGCCTTTCTTGCAAACCACCAACCTGGGCATCCAGGGCATGTGGACCGGTGTTGCAGCGGTTCGTGATATGCTGCATCGAAGGGGCAAACCTGGCCAAAGGCTCCTCTACCAAGCTCTTCCCCGAGCGTGTATTTGTCACTGAGCAAGCCCTTCGAGCCAGGCACGGCTGGCGCCTCTATGTCTTCATCCTGGGTCGAACTTCTGCTGGAAGGCCCCAAAGCAGCCGCAGGGCTCGAGTTCAGGCGACCCATTGTGAGCTTTTTCAGCTAGGCGTTGTTCTGTCTGTCCGAGAAAAGGCACTTTGCCGGTGAGCCTAGGATTACCACTTAGGAAACCGACGTAGAAGTGGCGTGCAATGTCAAACTTTAACCTCTGAGGGAATATATGCACTGCTGCATTAACAGTTTACTATCCGGGCTGAAGTGATGAGTTTACATCGCTTCTGTTGGGACTTGGCGAAACAGAGGCTTGACATGTTAGCATTGTCAAGTCACCTTTTCCCTCTTCTTGCATTACAAACAGAACGTTATAAGCATTTGAGACAGCGAATTTCTCTTGCATTTCCTTGCATTGCAGGTCTATGGACCTCTTCAGGGTTTTGTAGGGTTTCAATCATCGCCAAGATACTTTGACCACGACTGAGCTCTGTCGCTGCGCAGGCCACCCCTCATTCATGACTTCCGATGTCAATTGATGTCTGCTTTCTTAATGCAACGGCCACCGCTACAAGATTTTCCACGCTATTTCGTATATTTGCGCTGGTCGAGTCGTTGACGCTCAACGCTCTTTGGATACAAGCATCGAGAACATGATCAGTGATAGCGAAAGTCAGGTGTCCTATGGCTTAGGTCCACGAGGCCATGTCAGGCCGGTCCAAGCGAGATGGATGGGTGGCACTAAAGTGAGAACATCCATCTAGTACTATACATGCCTCCCCGCAGGGCTTTTTGACAACTGCCAAACGTCCAACCCTTGATAGATGAAGGAACTTTTCTTGGGACGAACAGGTCGACGAAGAGAAGTTTTTGGCTATGCAAGAAGAGTACCTGCGCATGAAGAAAGAGGAAAAGCAGACCACCCAGAGGATGAGAGAGTACGTTGTCCTCTGTTGATCCTTTAAAAGTGTGGCCCACATGTGTAGGCCAGAAAAGCGAGTCTGAAATGGAACAAACATGGGGAGATCTTGCTAGTACAGCAGCATGCTTTGTGCAGGTTGACGGCGCAGCTGGCCAGAACAGAAGAGGCTGCAAAGAGGGCGCTGCTCAGGTCTGATCACCGCGGCACTCAGGGGGGCGGTGCAGCCCGCTTGTTGGACACAGAGCGCCAGCTCATGCGCGTGTTATCCCAGAAGACAAACATGGAAGGCAAGCCGCGATCATGCATGCTTCAGCTTGACAGCGACCATTCAACGGCGTGCTGCAGTTTGTTGCACTGTATGTGTTGAGTTTATGACGGATCTGGCAAACAATGCATCCAGGGAAACTTGCCAAGGAGCGCACCCATGCAAAGGAAGTGAGCAGCAAGAACGCTGGTCTCAAGAGCAGATTGGAGCGGGTCCTGCGCGATCAAAGGCGCCTAGTGGTTGAGGTGAACCATCTCCTCCTCAAGCATTGCATGCCATGATGCCAACTACCAGGGCCCAAGCGAGGTAAATTTATGCGTTCCTCTGTTTATGCTTCGCAGCTGGGAAAGGCAAGAGCTTCCAAGCCATGGCTGCTGGGGAGTCCGCAGCTTCAAGAAGACAGTAAAATCCTGGAGTCTGGGTCTCAACCCCAGGGCTCTTGCGAGCAGACAGAGCCTGCCTCGGCACTTCTGCTGTTGAAGCGCCTCAACCTGAGCCGAGCACAACCAACAGAACAAGCACCTGCAAGTCCTTCTACGCTGTGCCTTGTCACACGCGCAGAACAGTTGTGTGCATCTTAAAGTGTGCAATCCCTCGAGAGTACATGTCTGCAGAGTATGCAATTCAAGCCCAGGTCAGACTTCCCACAGTGCGGGCTGCAGGGGCAACAACAGAGTCGTTCTGATACCAGCTCCCATGCCGAGGAAAAGATGGGGGACGCATTGAGCAAGGTTGAGGAGTTGCAACAGCGCATCACAGACGCTCAGGCACAGCTGCAAGCATTCACCACTCAGTGCCAGGAGGCGACGCTCGCTGCTCAGAAACCGGTCAGACTATCCTCCAGGCAGGCGTGGGGGGATGAGGCAGCCTTGCAGCAGTCTGTCCCTGCGAGAGATGTTGAGACTGCTGCAGTGTTGAATCCCTCATCGAGACATGATGTCACCTGCATCTGGAGATCCGTACCTCCCAATCCTCAGGCAAGGCTTGCCTCATTGCTGACACCAACGGAGTGGTGCTTTAAACACGTCACTGCTTCCTGTAATGACCACATATCAGCACAATAAGTTAATCAATCAATTGATTGATTGCCTTATGCTGAACAGGACAATTCTCTATGGTGTGCCGTGCAGGGCTGGCCAGACCCCACAAGATACCTCACAGTGAGCATTGAAGCGGTGCACCTGCGCGATGGCTTCTTGCTGAATTGCATGCGAAATCAGCAGCTTTTTGTCATGTACAGCTTCTTGCCAGACCTGTGTCCCTCACAGGAACAGTGCACTCACTGCGTGCCGCCAGCTTCCTCCATTTCTTTGATGCATGCCAAGGTAGAGACAGACATCCACACACCTGTGCCTGTTTACACGCCACTGACTTCAAGTCTCTGTGACATGCCACGGTTGCAATGTATTTGATTGCTACTGCATCCCAATATCGGGCAAGAAGTGGGCGTGTCTAAGGCCCTAGGAGATGCTGCTCTATCTGCTGTTAATGAACCTGATGGAAAAGGCTTCTTTGTTGCAGGCATATGACCTGGCACCAGCATCCCTTCAGCTGCAAGAGAGGCTTGCAGGGCAATTAATGAGAGGACATGTGATGCCTGTCTGCCTTGCATGTCAGTCATTGAACGTGAAGAGGGAACCCCATCGGCAGCTTGCCATGGCACAAATTGACCTGAAGGTCTTCTCTGGATACTGCTGCTTGCACTGACAATTGTATTGCATCATGCATGTCATCCTGCACATGCTTATAAACACTGCCAATAGCAGTCTGTTACACATGTCAGAATTTCAGCACTAAGCTTACTGCTGCTCGTGCGCATGTGCAGGATGGAGACATCATGCACCATGCTTTTCCTATGCTGGATGATGAGGGCAGGACGGCTGCCACCCTTACTTTGTCTGTGTATGGCACACATGCACTGCAGAGCAGGATAGCGGGAGTATGATAGTCAAGAATTGTGCACGCAGTTGCTTACATCTGCAGCACAAGAATGTACGTAATTGTAAATTTGCTTCTTGTTCCTAAGAGTTCCGTTTATGCGCATGCATTGACTTACGCTTTAATTTGTATCACACTCCATCTGGTATCTCAGCTGCTCTCTGCTGTTTGCGGAACAGCATAGCAGCCCTACGTGCATTTGCATACGCACCAACCTTGTCCCCTGCACAGCACAGCATCAAATCTCAGTCAGTGCCAACAGCATCACTTTCGTCATTATCCAAATAGCTCACGAGTAGGTCACCCTCAGCCTGATGTGTTTCTACTCACCAGATGGCGAGTAGAAGATTGCATCAATGGCGCTGCCAGCCCCTCTGCTGCACAGCTCCACCTGCCAGCCTGGCTGCAGCTCGTCCAGCTCAGCAAAGCGCTCTCGACGTGATGCATGCTCCTCTGGCAGGTCTGCTATGGGGCCTCGCGCATACACCACCTGGCTGGATGATGCCTCCGCATGCTGCTGCCGTGTGCTTGTTGCAGAGCGGCTTGCCGTTGCAGGCGCCTCTGCTGGCCTGCTTGCACATGTGGCGTACGACTCAGCATGCCAGATCGTGCCTTGCATGTTTATGCATGTGCTGGTAAAGGTGATATGAATTAGAGCATACACAGGTAGAGAGACTAAGATAAACAATTGGAGAGCACTCAAAAGTCTTTGATCTTTTGAAGCACAGGGAATGTGGGCAGACCTTGGAATACTAGCCGCAATGTGGAGGTTGTCCATGCTGTTGGAGACTTCAGAGGGCGTGGCGTGCTGCTGCACTGCCGGCGCCTCCTCAGTGGCTGCCAGTGACACTACCTCCATTCTGCCCTCCCCGTCGCAGGAGCTCTGGACAAAGGTGTGCAGGCTGCGGAAGGCTCCCGGATCCACCAGGCATGTCACTGTCAGCTGCACAATCAATATGCACAAGTGAAGCAATTAGCAACCTCTGTAGGCTCACTCAGGCTGCTGAGCAAGCTTGCCTGACATCAAAAGGATCTCCAAATAATTTTATATATAAAAGCATGCTGAATAAAGAGGCATGTAGACATTCTCAGCTGTCCAACCTGGCTGTTGTGCAGGGCCAAGTCTTCAGACTCTATGGTCGCCTGTTGGCTGGCCAAGAGCTGCATCAAGTCGTTCCTGCATGTGACTGGTATCTGAAGTCTCAACCGCATCCTGGCGCGCTCTATGGGCAATTTCTCCTTCAGCTGCTGAAGCGCCTGGTTACCAAGAAAACCACAAAGTCAGTGAGATAGCTTTCCAGATCCATTTCCAGCCTGTGATCCGTGGAATGACAAGTGCTGCTGTAGATAGTGTGCAGGCAGTGTGGGGTCCTGGGGCACACACATGTAGAGCTTGCTGCTTTGCACCGCGCTTGGGATCCACTGAGAAGTGGACGTCCTTCAGAGCACGCTCGATCATGGAGATGGTGTAGGGCCGCTGTGTATTCGGATTGACGCACTTCTCTGCAATGATGCTCGCCACATCCTTGAACATGCTGGACAGCTCCACATCCCTCTCCTTGTCTGACACCTGTTGTAGCAAACAATACGTGACAAATATGGCCCAAATATATTACAAAGCTGTATCTACACTGGAAGATCAGACATGCCCATGTGACAATCAACACCTGCATGTCCCCTTCAGCCAAGATCCTGACGCAGATCTTCTCTTCATCATCCGTGCCGAAGACATCCACCAGGTCTTCTCGCTTGGCCAGAATGCCCTTGCTGACGTTATTGAAGATGGTGGTGGTCTGAAGCACCTCATCCAAATCTTTCTCACTGGACGAGCAGCAGGACAATTTTCAGACCGTCATGCATTTCAAGCCACTTTTTGATCAATCAAGTGGCAACGAGAACCAATATTACACAACACTGCTCGGTCTGGAAGGGAAGACACTCACACTTCGTTCCTCCAATTCACCACTTTGTTCTTGTAGCAAGCCACCTCAAAACGAATTCCTTTCTTCTTCAGACGGACAACCGCAACATTGGTAAGTCTCTTTTGACCTGATCGCAGTCACAGTATCAATTGAGTAACTGCTTATTCAACAGGCAAATTAAGGCACAGTCCTTCCCACATTCAGAACTTGTAGACATTCGCCTTGGGCAGTAACTGTTGATGCGCATAGGAAAAATTTCTTTGTAGACAATGCATGTTGTAGTACAAGCTGTGCGAACCTATTGGCTGCTTGACAGAGTGCGACATCGTTGCTCAGCAGAATTGTGCAATCCAGCTCCTTGTCTCAAAGTTTACCTTCACCACAATCAAACAATCATGAATATATACATCGCAGATGACCCAGAGAATCCCAGATCACCCAAAACTCTTCTCCGAGACGGCACGTGCGTTCACCTTTACATGCACGTGACGATTTTCAGTGATCTTGCTCTGAGGGATCCAGCCAGGTCTTCTGAATGGTGTGAAAGTGCTCATGTATTAACAATACCGCTTTGATCATACAGCAAACATCTGAGCCTTGCTGCGTCGGTCCAAGCAGAGATTTTCCAGTCATCACTTCATGTCGTTTCACAGTATGACCACTGGTGTGGGCACAGCACAAATCAGGCTGCCGTTTTTCCCGCAAAATTCCAGTTGGCCATCAAATTTGAGTGTTTCGGGATCTCGGCATCCCTGTCGAAGGCGGTCAACTCAGGAGTCAAGACCAGGTCCTGGCACGTCACCAGGTATTAAATGCCCCAAATATCGTGTATCTGATCACAAGAGAGGTGTCGTGTAATTTAGATGAATCTTGCGGACTGCCTGATGCTCCTCTGCTAGCATTAAGCAATCTCCCTCGTGACCTTTCCTGCAGGTGTTGTGCACAGCACCTTTGGCAATGGCCACCAAGATCTCCACACCAGCTTTCCTGAGGCCGAGGTGGGCCCTTTAGATTCAATATCACCTTTTGTGCTGTATTAAGCAGCACATAGTCCTTCAGGCATGATGTGATTGACTGCAGGAACAACAGATACAAAGAGCAGAAGAGTCACAAGCAGGGCCCAGCGAGATGGAACAACGGCAGGAGGCAGAGAAGCAGGAGGAGGAACAAGCACTGGCGTACAGGGACAGAATTGGTTTTGTTGGCGCTGGGCAGGTCGGAATTGTGTCCTTGCATGGCCCCCCTTTATTGGTCAGCACTTGACGTCATGCTCCTCGAAACACTTAAAACAAACAATGGTATTGGGACATGCAGATGGGGGAGGCATTGATATGCGGCTTCATAAGGGCGGGGATCTGCTCTCCCAGCCAGTTGTGTGCGTGTGTACGTTCTGAGGAGCGGAGGCGAAGGATGCTGGAACTAGGACTCCAGGTGGGCAGTCCCTTTGCAACAAAGCATGCAGACGCTCTTGACCCTATCAGTGAAATGCAGCATCACAGAATTGCTGACCTGGCACAGGTGTTTGGAGACGCCACGCTCGGCGGCGCTGCAGAGCTTGCGGCAGCCTCAGACATCATCTTCCTAGGGGTGCGCACATCCTCTCCCTCGGCCATATCCATCGCATTTTGTAGCCCTTTAAATTGTGACCAGGGCGTTCATGACTGCTGTCTGGGGTTCTCGTGTGCTTTTGTACTGGACAACACAAAGTGCGGAGATGTGTGGGCCTATCACAGAGGAGTGTTGCCTGGGCATCCAGGTGAAGCCTCAGTACTTGGACGGCGTGCTGGAGGCCTTGCAGCCCCATGTGACGCCCAACCACCTCATTGTCTCCATAGCTGCCGGAGTGAGGCTGGCCAGCTTGGAGGCAGCCCTGCCAGAAGGCAGCCGTGTGGTGCTCCAGCTTTCCTTGCTGCCAGTGCTGACCTGCACCACTGCCACTGGTGAACTAATTTGAGCAAGTGCTGAACTGAGCTGAGCTGACCACAGGACATGATGTGCAGATCCGGGTGATGCCCAACACGCCGTGCCTCATAGGCCAGGCAGCCTCCGCCTACGTGCTGGGGAACCATGCCACCAACGAGGACGCTGCGAAGATCTACATGCTACTGTCCTCAGCAGGTAAGCGCACTCAACACCCTGACGCCCTCGTGTGCTGTGCCGAGCTTTGACTTGGTGCAAATCACATAATGTGATGGGCAGCTGCTTGCAGGTGGGCCTATAAGTAATCTTATTTGTTGCACGCTTGGCATTTGAACCGCGGGAGAGCCCTTTTTGCTTCCTCTGGCGCTCGCACTGTGGTTCTTGTCCTCATCACTTTAGTCTGAAGAGGTGGCTTGGGGGTGTATGCAGGCCTGGCTGTGAGTGTGGAGGAGCGCATGATGGATGCAGTCACAGGGCTGAGCGGGAGCGGGCCGGCCTATGTGTTTCTGGCCATTGAGGCAATGGCGGATGGAGCTGTGGCAGCCGGCCTGCCCCGCGACAAGGCCCTGGCCCTTGCAGCCCAGACCGTCTCTGGCGCTGCCCGCATGGTGCGAAGCCACCCAATTTGCAGTGCAATAGCATTTCATCAGATCACCATCTATATGCATGTACAGCCCTGTCCGCTCGTTGCATGAACATGAACTGAAGCCAGGTCACAACTGTCTGTCTTCAAGGCAACACAGTACCGAGCATATAAGCATGGGGACGGTACATGCGTCCGAGCAAGAGCTGCGTGCGCTTCAGATAGTTCTACGCCATGTTGAGGCGGTGCTTATGACACAGAATGGCTTTGCTGAGGTCTAAGTCATTTCCAAGTGTTTGGTGGCCGCGACAAGCACCAAGTCAGCATCCTCTAGGACCTTATCCAGGTCACACTCCAGGTCTCGCAGGATCAGTCATCATCGTGTGGTCATGCGACATCATCGTGCTGAGGGGGTTGCGCGGGGGTGCGCAGGTGTTGGAGGGGTCGGGGGACGGCAGCCTGACGCACCCGGCGCTGCTGAAGGACCGCGTGACGTCTCCGGCCGGCACCACAATCGTGGGCCTCGCCGAGCTGGAGACCTCCGGCGTCCGCGGAGCCCTCATCCGCGCCGTCAAGGCCGCCGCCAAGCGCTCCGAAAACCTCGGCTGAATACCTCAGCACTAGTCAAGGATATATCTATCTGTACAAGTTGTGGACTCCCCATCGTGAGGCATTTTACAAGTAAAGGACGCATCATGGGGAGCAGGCATTGTGATACTGGCTGCAGCGGGAGCCTATGCAGCGAGAAGGACTGCCTGTTGAAATCCTGATCACTCTCACCTTTCTTTAGAGGCGCCACAAGAAAGAGCCAATGGCACTGTCTCTCGCAGGTCAAGAATTGCAGGCGTGCCGTTGTCCACAAGATTTCATTGCCAGTTGTTGAGGGATGAACTGGAACAATTCAGGATTGTGAGGGAAGATAAGTCAGAGACAGCGAGAAGGGATTGCTCACAGAGTTTGTGATGGATGCTCGCTCTGAAGTGCACCAAAGAGCATTGCACGATCGATTGCCAGGCATGCAAAGCAGATCATTAAGGGAAGGACCTGGTTTAGAGGCATCACAGCATGCTTGCGCGCCTTTGCTTGCTGCGCCACAAGGTTGCCTTCCATTTATTGCTAGTTGTCTTGTTTTGTAAGAGGAGGGCTGAATCCACTGAAGATATATTTGATTGCGAGTCCTTACAGAGTGGAAATGGAAATGACAAACATGCAAGCAAATGTGCTGTGAAAGATATTTCCAAGGACTCATGCCCCTTTCTTACTGTTTGCAAATTGGACAACATAACAAGGAAGCAACGCTACTCACAGTATAATTAAGGAAAGCTTCATGAATCAGGGGACGTGTGAAAGCTCTGCTCCGAGCCGATGAGTCATAGGTAGTGGAGGTGCCTTGGGAGTCCCCACAGGATAAGAGGTGCTACCTAAGCATATGCATGCAAACCCCTGCTAGATGTACCCACAGCGCCTTCAACTTACTGTGAGTACCTAAAGAAGGAAAAAAGAATTACAAGTAATGTACACATAATAGGGGAAGAAAAAGCTGTTCTTCATTATTGTCAGATCATCACCATGACGGCAGATTGGTTCCTCAAAATACCCCCTGCCGATGCGCCTCAAAGACCAAACTCTTTGATCAAGGTGCAGTCTTGTCCACCTAAGAATTACCATCTGGCCCCCAAATCAATACAACTCGTCGGCAGTGGCCCATCAGCAGCATGCAACCTGGCATCTCACAGCTCAAAAGACAAAGCATAACCGCACACCACCTCGCCAATAAGTAATACTATATGCAGCAGCACACACATGGCTGAACCTTGGTGATGAGTAAACACCGGGGCTGCCCTAGGATGATACAACGTCAAATTTCGTCTTTTTGTCCTCTTTGGTGGTGCCTGTGAAAGAAATACGTGGGTCGATACCCGCAAAAATTATGCACTTGTACCAACAACATAATGAATGTTTTTGGTGCCCTGTTTCTGCACAGTCAACGTCATCTCATGACTTGATAAAGAGGCACGCTATTGAACAGATACATGATCATCTGTTCTGACAGATGCTGCATTTACACTCCAAAATGACCCTGTATCTTTAACAATACGTCTCGTGGTTCTCTATTCAAAACCCTGAAGCCTTAGCCGGTGCTCAGATCACAAGCTCTCGGCATAAAATATGCTCCCTGGCTCGAGACTTGACCGTGCACCTGATATTATGCAGCGGAGACTTGGCAGCATGTGAGTTGCCCCCCATGGGTATCCGTGGAGCCTCATCTTGAAAATTCCCACAGCAAAACACGCTAACCTTAACACACAGACACCCGCGCACACACACTCGGCACACTCGACAAAGCCTAACGAAACACAGCGCGGAGGCAGCACAACTAACACCTCATCCAGAGTAGGATACATGTAGGGGCCCCAACAAGCGTGATCAGCACCTAAGTAAGGCATGAAGGAAGCTGCATGCCACAGGCACATCACCCTTTGGCCACTGCCAGCTGGCTGCTTGCAGGTGGCCTCCGAGTGATGATGCCAAGGCCTAGAAAACACTGACCCCGCAGGATACTTCCTCACACCCCAATATATGATGACGGTCCATCGATGGCGCCGCTTTGTACATCAGTGGAGCCTTCCTCTAGGAAAAAACACAGCAACAGTGTCATTCTCGGGCCCCCTGTGCCCATGCTCCGCCGAGCGTTGTGGAACTCAGGGCGAGCATCCCAACCTTCAACTGCTGCGACACGATTGGGCACCAGTCTAAGAGCGGACCAGCACCCGTTTTTTTTGGACTTGATCTGACAAAATAGGGACCGAAATTTTTCTTCTCAAAAAACTTTGCTGCGACGAGGGCTTTGCGCAAGAGGCAGCAAAGCCTCCAGTCAACGCTATGGAGAGTGGCCAGAAACGACCACTATCATATCTTGAAGTCAGCGCGACAATCACGCCCCTCATTCAAGACAGATACATGGTCGCTTTTGGCAGAGCGAGCATTTGCCTAGCTGTTGCTGGCAGTAAGCCCGTGGAACGTCAAACTTGACCAAACAAATGACTGCGCCCGACACTGCTGCGTCAGTTGTGAAGCTGCAGCGCTGATTCAGGGCCACACATCCGACTGGGGAGACAGGGCTGAGCGGATGTGAAGCTGCAGGGATTTTCTTTTCACCCCCAGTCCATTTCAGCCAGGAGGGTCTGGAGCTCGTTGGCCATGGCCAGGCCGTCCGTGGTGCCAGCGCTGAGGTGCATGTCTACAGAGGCGTCCAGCGGCTCCGGCGCGATGGGCATGGCGGCCAGCGTGCCGCTGCCGGGCGGCGGCTGCAGCGGCTCCTCCAGAGCCGGCGCCTGCTGCTTGCGCATCGCGTCCCACTGCAGCGTCCGCCGCGCGCTCTGCACAACGACACCCAATAGGTGAGGCAAGGTTTTTCTCAAAATGAGGTTGTTCACCGGTGAGTTTGTTCACCGGGGGTAGCATGTGGAGGTCCCACAGAAGAATAGAATGCAGGGTACAAGGAATGGGTAGGTATAGCACAGCACATGCTACATGAAGCCATCAAGTCGTTGGCTTGCAGCCTACGCTGGTGGAAATGGGGCTGAGTAGCTAAGGGTCTGACCTCGGGGGTGGCGGAGGTGGAGGCGGCCCAAAGGCTGGGGCTGCCGGGGGGCGGCGGCTGCGGAGAGAGCAGGCCGGGGAGGTGGACGGCGCTAGTGTCGCTGACCATCGACAGGACGCTGCCGCGCGCGGACTCAAGCGAGCCGGACGTCTCCATGAAAGCCTTGGCATCTTCCTCATCGCCGCACAGGAACTGCGCCACATCCGCCACGTCGGGGGGCGACGCGCCGCCAAGGAAGTCCTTGGCGAGGTGCGACTGGAACTCCACAGAGCCATGCGCGGAGCCGCCGAGCAGGGGCGCGCTGCTGCTGGCGACCAGCGAGGAGCCCTGCTGCGCATCGGTGGTGTTGTCGAGCAGCATGGAGGGAACGCAGGCGGAGCCCAGGTCCAGGCCCGGCAGCTGCATGTCCATGGGCTCCAGGCCGGCCGACAGCGGGGACGCCATGCTGATGGCCTCCGCTCCGCCATCCAGCTGGCAGATCAGCTCGTCCAGCTGGCAATCGGCCGCCGGCGACGGCAGCGTCGACGCGCGCGTCAGCGCCGGCCCGCCGGCGCGGCCGCCGAGCACGCCGAGCGAGGAGCAGTCTGGCAGGCTACGCTGCGTACGCAGGGCCGGGCTGCGCACTGCCTTCGCCGCGACCGGCAGCAAGTCTCTGGAGGAGGGCCAGGCTGCAACATTTTCGTCCTCTGCCAGGGAGGGCAGCTGGTGGCTGAGCGAGCGGCGCGGCCCGAGGCTGGAGATGAGCATTGCTGCGCTGTGGCTGTGCGGCTGCTGGTGCCACCACGCAGCCGCGACGCCGTTCAGCTGCTCGCCGGGGACGGCTTCCTGGGGGAAATCCTCCGAGCAGAGGCCCTCGTCCAGCATGCCTTCGTCGAAGGGCAGCAGCTCACCGTCTCCCTGGCCTCCCAGATCGTCCTTGAGCCAGGCCTTCCCAGGTAGATGGTCTCCACACCTGGCCCAATGCATGCTCAGGTCAGCCCACGCCTTACACCGTTTCAGCACCATTTCCTAAGCTCCCAAGCACAAAGAACAGCTCACAAGACCAACAGCATCAGGCAGCGTTGTCCCATCCGAAAGGGACAAATAGCAAGCACCTGTTCAGAGCGGGCTCGCGCAGCAGAGCGGCTTGGCGCGCGGCCTGGCCGGCAGAGCCGCTCCTGCGCAGAGACCTGCCGCTGGTGGCAATGTCCATGCCCAGCGGCGTGCTCTTGGGCGCTGACTCCTCCGAGCCAGCAGCTTGGCTGCTGCTCACGCTTGGAGGCATCACCCAGCATGTCTGCAAACGCATGCACCACTTCAACAACGAAATTAAGGACGAGGAATCAGCACAGAAGCTGCGTTGCCAGGCGAACTGTCAAGAGCAGGGAGAGAGTGAGCTGAGAGGGGCACCTTTGCTGTGTCCAATATCAGGTGCTCCTGGTCCCCGCTGTCATACATCACATGGTGGCGAAGCGTGACATTGTCGAATCCAATGACCTCGCCATCATAGAACGTGGCATTGTCAGGCCAGTAGATCGACACGCGCCAGCCAATGGCCTCCTGGCTGCTGGGAGCAGCGGTGCCTGAATGCAGTACACGCCAAAGATCAGGAAGAACAACATCGCCTGGTGAGTACTGCCTTCAGCAGGTGTCCTATTTTAAGGATACCATGTTGTCAGAATCCAAAATCCCTGAGGAAGGAGCAGACAATTCGTTTGCTGTGATATTGCACTTGTGGCGCGGTCTTTGAAGGTTCAAGATAAAGGCGCTCACCAGGAGGGAGGCCGGCTGGGTAGGATGCTTCAGGGCATCCAGGCCACCAGGTGTGCGCCTCTCTGCTCAAGCGCACCCACTCGTGCTCCCCATCCTCGTACAGAATCTGGTGGCTCTGCGTCACCCACAATGCACTTTAGCAACCGCCCCTCGCGCCACTGCAGATCAACCATCACAGCCCTGAGCACCGCGTCGCCATTCAAACTTGGCATACACCCTTGGCAATCGCAGCTCAAGGGGGCCAAAGCCATGTATTATTTAACTCCTCTATGCCCGCATTTTTTCACACGCTGAGCTCTGGTGAGAGTTGAATGGCGCACCTCCAGAGTGGCGTCGTAGGCCAAGACCTCACCGCGGCACCAGATTCCGACGCCAGCGAAATGGACGCTGACGCGGCCGCCAACAGCTGCGGCCCCCGGGGGTGCGCGCACCATCGTCATGCCCGTTGTGTCCGGCATCTGCGGCGTCTCCGCCACGCCCTCCGCCCCCAGCCGCGCCATCTCAATCTGCGCAGCGCCACGTCACATCAATGTTTTGAAGGTACAGTGTTGGGCATGATTTCACCAGGAGCGATACATTCTTTGGTATGTTTGTGCTTGTCCCCTTGCCTTGTAAAGCTTGGTGCAGCTTTTCACAGATGCTGCTGCTTCATCAGACTGCCAATGCCAGATGTTGCCGCTCTGATGCGCAGGGATGTGCATGCAAGCTTTATGAAGCTCTCAGAGATTGCCTATCAACCAAATCAGAGCAGAGCCTAACCTGCAGCTCAGCGTTGGCGCCAGCGGTCTGGGCGCGCGGCGCGAGCCACTGAAAGCGCTCGTTCAGCAGCTGCAGCGCCTCATCCATCTCATCATCGTACTTCACCATCACCCTGTCCTCATCGTCCAACACCTCCACGATGCGGCCCTGCCCCCAACCACACTCTCGCTCAGCTCAGCCCACCCTCCACAGTGCTCCACAGACACGGACCTGCTTTGTATCTGCAGCAGCCCCACACGGCAAAAGGGTCCAGAGCAGTGGCACTGAGAGGCACAGCCTGGCGGTGCAGGCGGCACACCTTATAGAAGGCGTGGTCGTCGGGCCAGAAGACGCTGATGCGCACTCCCAGCAGGACATGGCTGGGCGGTCCCACATAGCTCTTCAGGCCCAGGCCGCGCTTGCGCTTGAGGGACCTGGACTCCAGCACGCTCTTCTGCTGCGCCCCAGCCATCAGCTCTGCCGCACACCTCGCCTGCCAATGCGCAACCCACATCACGCGCTGTCCCTAGTTTGCTGTCCTTGACACCCTGCGTGCAGAATGCTGGCAGCATGGGGCAATGCAAAGGAGAGCTGGCCCACCTTTGCGCGCGCGTCTGCCATTGCAGCTTCGGCCATGGCTCGCGCATTGCCGGCCTTCTCCCGGGCGGTGCTGCCCGCCACTTCCGGAAGTTCTCGCGCTCCTGGCAGACCACAGTCTTCAAGTCAACACAAGATCTGGTAGATTTTTATATAATGAAAACAGACTGAGGAGTGACGCAGGCATAGGCAGTGCGCAGAACATAGAAAATAGGCCTTTACTGCTGCATAGCATGCCAGGGAGGATGTCCTCACCGGAACACCCGGCTGTTCTGGCAGGCAGAGACTCCTGCGAAGAGCCGCACTTCAATCCGTGCAGAGGCGAGCTCGAGACATCAGCATCTTCAACCTCCGAAGGTGTGTTGATGCTGGTGTGGCCCAGGCTGTCACTGGTGACATCCGTACTGCACACAGACAAAGGCAGCTTAGCAGATTCTGCATCAATGCCCACCCCGCACCAACTTTGAGCAATGTATATGCAGCCACTGGCACTGCAAGAAGAGACCACGAGGAAAGGACTTCCCACTACAGCTGTGCGCACCTTTCGCTCACTCTGCAGCCCTCAAGCTCCTGCGGCTGTGATGATCCCTGGCCTATGGAGCCATGGCTGGACATGCCACCGCTCTGTGTCCCGCTCACATCCAATCTTTTATTCTCTCCCCTGGCTGACACGCCATCCTGACAGCTCTTCTCTGAGGAACGCTCCTCGGCCACTTCTGGCCTGCTCTCTGGCTGTGCAGACCTCTTGCTGCAGAGGACTGACGGCAGAGCTACATCTGGACCGCTTACGTAGGCCTTTGCGGCCCGAAATAAGGATTGCGGCCCCCTCATGCCAACGATTGAGCTCCTTTACAGGTGCACGTGTCAGGTGAGCTGCGTTTTTCTACCATCTGCCCATGCTGCAGGTTGGAAGAGCTGCTCAACCTGCACCCCACGCGCCCATCATCTTATACTGAATGTAGCTTTCGATTGGCACGCTTGCCCAGTCCTTATCTCAGAGCTGCCATGATGCCGCGTGGCGATCTGGGGACCTCGCCAACGAATATGCGGATGGCCTCCTCAACGCTGTCACGGCAACGGGCAGAACGCTCCCCAGCAAACCCACACAGCCTTCAACCCATCGCGCATGATCGAGAGTTGGAGCTCACAGCTGGCATGGCCCTAAATATTCTCAGTCAAAGCACCGCAAGTGCGCAAGACCCGTGACTGACCCGGCGGATGAAAGCAGGCTCTCCCCTGAACCGCGTGATCTGGTACCCAAAGCTGTAAAACCTCTTCCAATAGGACACAATGTGCTCTTGGCTGTTGCTATCCACCAGAGATGAAGGGTAAGGCACCCAGCTCCTGACATCCCGATGACCTAAGGCCCATTGCGGGGCAGGCAAACATTGCAGAATGACCAGACTATGACTTTCACACCGTGAAAAGCCGTCAGGGTACCGTCTACGCCCAAAAAGATTGGGGCGCCTGCTGTCTGAGTAAGAGGCAGCTCCGCTGAATCACGCTGCCCTGGCTTCCTCCCTCCGTACAGACAACCGCTTGACCCTTCAGCAATCCACTGATTGGATCACACCCCGTTGAAGTTAACGTCACATATGATGCTCGTCATTAGACATCGAAGGGACCACATTATTGGAGCCTCAGTTGCCCGAGACAATCTTCAAACCCTCGAAGGCACCTTCCAAAAAAATTTGGGCGTCCATTTACCCGAAACTTCAGAGACATGCAATGCGCAAATGGCACCTAGCTGCTTCTCCGGTCCTGCCGTGACTATCTCAGCAAAATGTCTGTCTTGGTTCGGTCTGTTCCTCGTGCGCCATTCCGTTCGAGATACAGTACCCCTACCCAGCAGTACATGTCCGGGGTCATCGACGGGGATGCGAACCTGTCAGATAGGCCCATGGAAGTCGGAGCAGATGGCTTGTGAATCTTGTTCCCACGGTTATCGTTGCCCGCTTTCCCACAGGTACCGAACGCTTGACCCCTGAACCCCTAAGAACTTCTAAAAGTACACTTGTCCTGAAATTGACACTGTTCGCAATCAAGGCTCTCAACAGGGCGCATTTGCCGTGTGATTTCTGCTCACCCGAGCAAGAGAACATTGCCCACGGGATCACCAGCGTGCAGAAATTCAGTCTATGATGATCTTATATAGGCTGTGACATGTGATCCCTTATTCACGTGCCTACTTCAACACGTGGAGACCCTTTCTCATTCACGGCCCCGACCCATCCAGGGGGTACAAGGATGGCCCAGAGGGCCTCTTCTGGGCGTCTTTTCCGACCAGGTCTCCCATGACGTCAGGGAGGAAGTTCCCTTCTCCTTCTTCATTGCAGGGGACCTTTACACCGTACACGAGATCAATATTTCCATGCCGCGCATAATGCGCATTACTGAAGGCGCTTATAGTATACTACGTAGCATGACTCGTCGCATGCGCAACTGGCATGCCGCGGCAGCGCTGAGTTCCTACAGGGCTCAAGAGCTTGGAGCTCAGCTAGCAGGCTAGCAGCGGAATCCGTTGAGCGGATAGAAACATGCTGCAGATGCCAAAGTGCATGCGGTTTAGGGTCAAGAGGTTGGCTACACCATGTGACACAAACTCAGATCAGCAAAACATGTGCGCTCCGAGCAGAGGCTGAAGCTGTCCCATGGACCGCGACACAAAATCGGCTGACTGTTTCTGAGGCTCAAATAAGCTCAGATGCTATGCCGCTTATGCACTACTGTCAGCAGTACTAGCACTCACGCAGTGCAATATCCCCGCCGCGGCACTGTGCTCCGAATTTAGTTGTCTGGGAAGAGCGCATCCACAAACGCCTCTGCCTGGAAGGGCTGCAGGTCCTCGACCGTCTCTCCAACGCCCACAAACTTGATGGGCAGCCGCAGCTCGTCCACCACGCTCACCACGGCGCCCCCTCGCGCGGTGCCGTCCAGCTTGGTGAGCACCAGCCCCGTCAGCTGCACCGTCTCGTTGAACTCCCGCGCCTGGTTCAGCATGTTCAGCCCTGCGCACCCACCCACCGCAGGCCTATCAGAGAAAGATAGGTTCAGACATGAATGAAGTGCGAGCGCCAGACATGAGAGGAAGGCCTGCCTGACAGACGAACATCATGCAGCAACAATATAATCAGGCAACCATGCGAAAGCGTGGCCAGGCTCATTCGCTGCTCAGGAGACTCTATGCAACAGAAGATTGTGAGGGAAAGCAGTGCAGGGGCTTGCAGCAGGTGCGGCGTACCAGTGGTGCCGTCGAGGATGAGGAGGACTTCGTGGGGTGCTCCCGGCATGCGCTTGCCGATGGAGCGCTTGCACTTGGCCAGCTCCTCCATGAGGCCGATGTTTGTGTGCAGGCGGCCAGAGGTGTCGCAGATGACCAGGTCTGTGTCGTCCTTCATCGCCTGCACATCAAGTGGTGTAAGACGAGTTACAAACGGGGTGAAAGCCTGCCCTGAACACCTGTAGAAAGCAGAAACCATATGTGCCACTGGAACCTGTCAGGCAGACCTGCAGCAAACCCGCAGACTAGCAAATGACCTGGCTCGGTCTCCAAGAGTGCAAAAGCAGGGGCTAGGACAAGACACATGGCCGGATGTAAGGGCGTCTGCTTGAGCACTGCTAGTAGCAAGAAGCGGAAGTGCGATAGCAGGACGCAGACCTGCTCCACAGCAGAGTACATGAGGCTGTCCGGGCGCTGCTTGGGGCTGGTCGCGCTGATCAGCTGTGCGCTGCTGCGTTCTGCCCAGCCTGCCAGCTGCTCTGCCGCTGCCGCCCTAAATGTGTCACCAGCCACCAACAGAACCTGCTCACAGCAGGCAGCCGTGTGATGCATGTGCAGATATCCTTGTGCTTTGGACTCTTCTACATCCCAACACTCTTCTACGATGAAAAGATACTCAGCCATGTGGGCGTTGCAGAACTTGGGAGGGTGAAGATTTGAGCTGACCTTCACGCCCTCGCTGCCATATTTGTATGCGAGCTTTCCAATGGTTGTCGTCTTTCCCCCGCCATTCACGCCCACAATCAGCAGCACCGCTGGCTTGGCGTCCGGGAACTCAAGGTCGCTGCTCTTGCCACTGGCCTTCAGCACGTCCACAATGCTCTGTTTCAATCTCGTTCTGCAGAGAGACAGCCCAATCTGCTCACCAATGCGGACAGCCAGAAGCAGTCTCACAAAGTGCAGATATTCAGAATGTGCTTGACAGGTTTGGAAAGGCCCTTCAGGACCAAACTGTTCTCACACCTGACATCGTTGCGGGTCTTGACCAGGCCTGACCGGATGTCGCCTCGTATTGCATCCACAACCTTGAGAGCTGTTTTAGGACCAAAGTCAGCAGTCTGTCACACACAAATTACAGTCAGTGGACGAAGCCAGATAAAAGTCCCCACATCATTAGATAGCTGAGCCCCAAGATGTAAGGCATGCTGCGCACAATCAATAGGTCCTCCAGCTGCTCCAGTGTGTCCTCGCTGTCCTCCAAGGTCCAGTAAGAGAATAATTCATCCACAACCTGATCCATCATAGTGCCACAGTGATATTGCCATAGTAAGACTCCGTGGCAGTTGGACAAAAGGATGACGGTACACTACTGTCATGGAGCTGATAAGGAAGGACTCGTGTCACACCCCAAGCTTCTCTCTCGTCTTGCTGGTGCCCTTTGTGATGCGTTCCAGATCTGTGGCTGCCTTCTCACGCAGCACACGCCCCAGCTTCTGCAGCAGGCCTGCACCTGCTCCAGCTGATACTGCCTGATCACATCGATAACTCCCTTCGAAGTGCTTTCATATAAGGGTTGGGCACATAAACATGGCGTTCCACTTGCAAATTCCCATGCTAAGTGTCCTCAAAGCAAACTCGCCTGGACGGTACAGTGTAAATTTCGCCGTCGATGGCATCGACCTAATTTTCTTGTAAAATGGAAGTAAGTAGGGCAGATAAATCTTCGATCATTGATCCTGACGTCTGCGCTGGTGCTTGCATGGCTGCAGGCGTCAGTTAAAAATCGTTCGGACATTCCTAAAGACATGTGCAGAAGAGGGCTTGTAACCGATGGTCACCAATTACGTTTTAAACGAAGAACTTCAAATTTCAGAATTTGTTGACAACATTGACAGGAGAGATGGGCAGAAGTTGTGGATCTTTGATCCAATTTGGAATGGGGATGAGGCCAGGTCATCCCGGTTGAGGTGACGCGAGCATCAGTCACCCGGCCGCCCTTGTGGATAGGAAGGTTTGTGGACCCTCCTTGAGAGGCTGTTACGTTTGACCTGTGCGAGGTAAAAGCATATCAGACAAACTTGGAACTTCATTCCCCACGATGGCTGGACTCATGGCTCCCTCAAGCCTGAACCTCCGTCAGAGTTTTGCTGGCACATCTCTTGGAGTTCAGCACACAGTCAGCCTCTCACAATGTGTGGCGCGCACACCGGTTAGGATGGCACAGAGTCTTCAGGTGAGACCTTTACGGGCTGGTGGGCTTGCCATACAGCAATTGTGCACCTACAGCTTTGTGTACGAGCACAGAGCCTTTTCAGGGCTGTAATCTCTCCTCGATCAAACGGGTCAATCAATTTTCAATGCCTCGGTGCAGGGCAAGGTGGTGTCAACAAGCTCGCAGAAGACAGCTGTTGTAGCGGTGGAAACCTTTGTTCCTCACAGGCTATACAAGAAACGCATGAGGCAGACAAAGAAGTACCAGGCACATGATGAGACCAGCAAATGCACTGTGGGAGACTACGTCGAGATCAACCCATGCAGGCCAGTCAGCAAAGCCAAGCGCTTTACCATTGGAGAGATCCTCAGGAAATCTGATCTCTGAAGGCGTCTTCTAAGGCTGGTGAGGAGCAGCTGACATCTTGAGGTCCCTCATAAAATTATTAACATGACATGGTTCGGCTGGGTTTTGGCTGGGTGCCTCCACTTCTTATGTGACGGGTGCAGTTCATGCGGGTGCAGGCTCTGTTTGCCATTCGTCATTTGAGACAGGAGAATGCTAATCCCAACAGCGGGACCGTCCAGAGTGACTCTGCTGATTTGACCGCCACTAGTTGTATGCTAGTGGAGGCTGCCTGTTGTACTGAGGCAAGGAGCTCAGCCTTCGCATTGGGTGGTACTTGAGCGTCTGGAGGAGGACTGCGAGACAAATATTGACATAGCTGACTTTGATCACGTAAGACAAAATTTGCCCAAATAATGTGTCTGGAGCGTCATGGATGATCTGTTAGCGTGCCGGGTTTGTACGCTTCCCTTATAAATGCCAGTGTTGGGCAAACCGTCCCACTGACGTCAGCAGTGTGACGAGACGGGTGCTGCCTGAAACTATCTGGGTCACTTTGGCACCAGAGACAATGTAAAAAATTACTTTGACAATCTACATACTGGTGATGTGTCACAGGTTGCCAATTCATAGTGCAAAGAAGGCACTTCATCTGTCATGCAATTATTGGCTTTTTAATGCCACTTCGTCAGCCTAAATTAAGCCAGCCTGGTGCAATCATTGCACTGGTATAACGTGCTGCCACTGGCAAGTTTTGATTACCTTAAGGCTTGGCCTCAGCTGATCGATCAGGCTGGCCATAAAATCATTTACCATATGCCTATGCCATATGCCTAGAATTTTGCAATCCCTCGCAGCTGCTGCCAGCCAGGATGATGCTACAGTGTGGCTGCATGCAGTGTGGCTGCATGCAGTCTGGCTGCGCAGCTGCCACCGTGGCGCCCTAATTAGGGGCTGGGCCGGCTGGCATGCCCCTGGGCGGCCAATGCTACGATTGAAACACCTACATCTTTATAATATTATGGCCCACTTCCGTATTTTCTCAAAATGCGTGTGTGCTCCTGGGAGCAGTATTTACTGCCAGTGCTCATTTGACTCCCTTCATCCTTCATCCATGGCAGCTTCCCAGATTTAAGGGTAGCTTCCCTGCTGGATTAAAAAGAAGAGATAAGTGTCCCCTTCAAAGCATGTCATGGAGCGCACTATATCGATCAAGTAGCAACGTATGGCCTCTTCAAGGTCTTCAATTGCCGATACGCACGTCGTGTTTCACAATTATTCACCGGAAGAGCGTCTTTAAGCACATGCGCAACTCACGGATCCTTTCGAAAGAACTGCAGATAGTCCAACCCTGTAGAAATGTGAGGATAAAAGGGAAATTCAGATGCCGGGCAGAGCATTTAAGAGAGGATGAGAGCGAAGTCCAGAAACAGACAACGTGAAATTTCTGTCTGGTCTCACATATCCCTGAGGCAGCGTTGATGAGGTCTAAATTATAGCCGATTCACATCCCAGAAGTCTGATTCGATGTCCCTGAAATTGCAGGTCAGCCCCAGTCAGGAGAAGAGCTTTCCTTCTTTCAGCAGCCTGTGGGGCAGCAGCAAATGCCTTGCCAACAGCGAAAGCAGCAAGCCCAGCTGGAAGCATCCAGAAACCCTTCTGTGGAGTGACGGGTGTGCCTTCTTGGGCCTTCAACACTCCATGGGAAGAGCGGCTTGTTGACTACCATGGGCACAAGACCTGGTGCCGAATTATTGGAAAGGAGGCTACTGAAAGCGGAGGCCTCTTCGGCATATTTGGCAAGAACAAGGCTGACAATGCAGCAAGGTTGACTGTCATTCTGGCCCTTCACGTGCAGCTGAGGCAATGCTTATGATAATTCCGAACACTGCGAGCTTTTACCTTCAATTTGGTCTCATGTTTTGCTCTGCTGCAGGAAGAAGTTGCCTTTGATTATACTGCATGGGGGACCGGGATTGCCTTCGCGGTATCTTGAAACTCTGGAATTGTTGGCAGGGCAGGATCGGCAAGTGATCTTCTATGATCAGGTTCACTCTCCACTGACATTGTCTGTTGGAATGCAGTCGACCCCGAGAGAAAGTACCCCGAGTGAAAATGCCGCAATGCAATGCTGTCACGTTCACGTTGCAGCATACTGCTTCACAGATCGGCTGTGGAAAGTCCTACCTTGCGAGTGGAGACACAGCCCCGCCGGCAGAGGACTATTCATTGGACCTATTTCTAAATGAGCTGAGGGCTGTGAAGAGCGCTCTGGGCCTGGAGCGGTGCCATGTCTTGGGCCATGGCTGGGGCGGAATGCTGGCACTGACCGCCCTCAGCAGGGCTACCGAAGAGGAGAAACAGGCCGTGGCATCTCTGTCGCTAGCGTCTGTGCCACCCTCTTACAAGCAGCTTATTCAGGACAGGCAAAAACGGGTGCGTGACTGGACAGAGCATCCTCACACTGCAGAGGCATAGCTGCTGCGCTACAGCAGCATCATACCTTGTGATAAAGAAACCAGAAGATGCCAGGTGCATCTGCGTAAGTGTGTTTCAGCCTAGCAAAAACTTTTTATTGTCTCCGCGCCATTATTCTAGCTCCTTGAAGCAAGATTATGCATCTGGCAGGCTCGTGAGCTTCCAGGGAAGCTGCGCGATGCACTGGTGGGGGATGCACCAGCGGACTTGAAGGCCACAGCGCTGAATGAGTACCGTCGCCGATTCATCACCAGCAGGCCAGACGCCGGCTGCTTGAATGTGGCGAGCGCTGGACAGTCTGTAGTTGTGCATACAGCCATGATCGGCCCTGACCAATATCAGGTTCGCCTTGCCTCAAATGCCTGTCACGTCCCCAAAGACTGAAACATTACGCAGGAAACCTTTGATGTACGCGTTCATGGCCTCTCAGGTTCTGCAGTGAATGTTCAGATTATAAGGGAACTTCGTCTGTGCATCAGATGCAAAGTGGTGAACTGCAGGTGGGCGGCCTGTTGAAGGACTGGGCAGCGGCTGACTTGCTGTCATCGGTGCATTTGCCGCCAACCATGGTCCTGCGAGGGGAGGATGAGGAGTTGTACAGCAGTTCTGTGGACAGCCTAGTGCAAAGTCTCCCCTCCATTGTGACCGTGAAGAGCTTTGCGGGCGCTGGTAGCTATGCACACATTGATGCATGGGAGCCGTACTTGGAGAGCCTGAATACCTTCATGAGCGATCATGACTGATCAATTATGATGAAACTAGATTGTCCCGGCTGCCCTTCAACAAGTGGGCTTTCGGCAATTGGCATTCTGTCAACCTCAATCAGGAGGATGATTCCTCCTGATCCTATTCCAGTATTATGTTCTTCACCATGGTTCTGCACTTCCAGCTGTCTCCTTGTAATCTTAATATGCCAATTTTGTGTGTTCTTTTCTAATACATGGGGAGCCCCTAAACATTGAAATTGGTGCTACAGCTCGGTTGAATTCATCTCAAGCATCTTGCGGAGCTCCTGCATTCTAGTCGCTATCTCAAATTGCAGCCTCCGAACTGTAGGGCAGTTCTCCCTAAACTTGCCACAGCCTGTGATGTATTCCAGGTGCTCCTGCCTGTCCTCAATTTCCCTGGTGATGTCCTTTAATAAGCTCTCCAGCCCGCTCTCTTGGCTCTGAGCCCGAGACAATTGTGCGGCCTGTGTGTTTCTGCTCTCTGCATCCTCGCTTGGCAGGACATCAGGCGGGCTGCCCCTGAACTCCATGTGCATTGCCAGCCTCTCCTTCTCTGCTTCTCCCAACGCTGTCTGGGGTGGTTCAAGCTGAGAAGAGATCTCGGCTTCCAGCTGCTTCTGGTGTGTTGCGATTACTGATGCTGAGCGCCTTCTTCCAATTGCGGGGTACTTTGTGCCTGGGCTTTCTCTCTTCCCAACCTTAGGGACCTTCACTGCCGCCCTTGACGGTGACTGCATAGCTGCAGATGACACAGATATTTACCGACCCAGCTCCCAGCAGAGACATGACAAAGATCAACATTTTTCTTTCGTTTGTTAATGCAGTAACAAGACGTCGTGTCTCTTATTGTTGTGAAAGAAATTACATCGCAGCAGTGAGGTCCAAGGCAGATAAAAGCAATACCAGGACTGGGCAGTGGCTGAGAAGGACGCCTCCCAGAAGCACGTATCGTCTCCATGTTTTGGGCAGAGAAGCGATTGCCAACATCACGTCCTGTCACATCTTCTCCATAAAGGAAGTGCAGTGCTCTGCCTACTGCCGATTCCCGACCGAAGCTCTGCGACAGGGCTTTGTCGACTTGACGCTCCTCAGCTGTCGCACCCATACGCTGCAGAGCGGGTGTAGCGGCTTTCAGATGTATCAGAATAGTCTAAGTAGTAGACAACATAGGTGACCCGGAGATCCAGCAATAGGATGTGCAAATCTAAATTTGTCAGGTGACATCCAAGGTTTGATCGATGGGGTTCCCTCTGGAGGATCCTTCATGCAGGGTCCCAAAAGGCATCAGCACAGCATCAAGCCAGATGTCTACGGGTGTTGGCTCTTGTCCAGTGGTCAATGATGTATGACTGTTTCATTCAGACTGCTCTGGTGATCTGGTGTGCTGTGCAATGGGCACATGCCGGCAGCGTGACCGTGGCCATGTGACATCAAATTAATGGCATCGGATGCCATTAATATTATGATAGAATGATCCTTCCTCAAGGTCCTCTAAAACATATTCTGGAGCTTTTAAATGAGAACACAACACAACATCCCATTTGTATTCTGAACCCAACAGGGTGAAACTGGGCGGATTACACGCCATCCAATCAAGCAGCCCTACTTCCACAAGGCAATTCTGGTCACCACACGCCCCTTCTCACTGCAATTGCGAGTGTGAGCAATTCCGATTGAGCATACCAGACGTGCACTGCAATGTGCAGGCACACACGCATCACAAGAGAGAGACAAGTAGCCTGCAGCTGACTCTGATCATTGGATCACATCAGCTGCAGACGCTGGAGCGCCTCCGCAGGTAGTTTGAAGCCGCCTTCAGGTCCTCATTGTCGGCGCGCATCATTGCCAGGAACTCCGAGTAGTCGATCTCCCCGTCGTGATTCGTGTCAAACTGGTCAATCATGTTCTGCAAGGCACCACCAGCTCATCAGCTGAGCTCATCTCCAAAGCTTTTTTCAGGAAAGCAAGCATTACTGCACAAGCAATCAATGCCCCATGACACTTGCTGCCAGCACCGAGAAAGGGATGTGCAGCAAAGCGGCAGCATCTGAATGGCATTCTCGGCCAGAAGGAGGGGAGGGGCCTCAGCCATCAATGAGGAGTGTATCTTGTGGTATGGCACGGACAAAGAGTGTGCACTAAAGATGCTGGGCACAATGGAGAAGACCCACCTCGATCTCTTCATCAGTGGAGCCCATGGAGTTCAGGGCCTCGCGGATCTCGTCCCTGGTCAGTGCACCGCTGTGGTCGGTGTCAAACTTGTTAAAGGCGGCCAGGATGTTGGCCTCCTTCTCCAGCTTGTTCAGGTTTGCGGTCGCCGCGATGAACTCCTCATAGTTGAGCGTGCCGTCGCCGTCCAGATCCGCCGCTGCCATGATGCCCCCCAGGTTGTCATCATCCTGCACGTACACACAATCTCAGGAAAGATCACACCAGCCACTGTTTTTCTTGGTCAGTGCATGCTCGTCACCCTAGGCACCTGCATTACGTCAAGGATGGACTTTATTCCCACAACGTGGGAACAAAGTTTTATCGCAAATTTAGACCGAAGGGATCATGGTTTCTCCCACAAGCAGGGGATGCAGCGCGTGGAGCAGGAGTTTCATGGGGTCACCCAAGTGTAGCATGCCAGCTGTGGGTGACACTGCTTGGGCAAGTGGCGGCACAGCAAAATCTCAGTAAGAAGTTGACAGCACCGGGGATGCAGTATATATGTTGGCTTGAGCAGCCTGGTCTGTCGCCAGCAGCAGCTCTTTATCAACTAACAGGCTGCCAGGAGCAATCACGGTAGATAGACTTTTGTACAGGGTCTCAAAACTTTAGCGAAGTGTGATATTCAAGGCGGGCCACCTAGCAGATTGGATAGTTGGCAGGGAGGGCAGGTGCCCTTTGACAGCCTCCGCCAGCCTGCCCCCCCAAAAATGGGGAATCGGTCTCTGAGGCCTTCCAGCCCTGCATTCTATGCACAAAAGCCAGGAGGGGGCACCTGGAGGCGGCCGTTGAGGGAGGATAGGGCTGTGCGCAGCTCGTCGACGGTGATGGTGCCGTTGCCGTCGGCGTCAATGGAGCGGAAGAGCTGCTGCAGGCCGTTGATCTCGTCCTCGCTCAGCGACTGCGCCATGACCACCAGCGCCGCCTTCTTCAGCTTGTTCATGGCCGACAGCTTCTTGATGCGGCTCAGCACCACGCTGTCCAGCGGCTTGTCCAGCGACGCCCCCTGCGCCTTCAGCCACGCGTGCTGCACCCCCGCACGCACAACACCCCGCTCAGACGCCGTCATCACCTGCGATTTATCCCTGGAGGCCTCTTCTTCATAACAAGATTCTCTGTACATGCCATGAGGTGAGCAGGGCTTGCACAGAAACGCTCAAGTGTTGTCTATGCATCGTGTGGCGGACAGGGATTGCACACAATTACCACAGAAACATCTCAAAAGCAGGGTGTCTGCTCAATTCACCAGAGGCTGCGCATGCTGGCACAGTGGACTACAACCAATGACAGACAGCATGCAGCGCGCCCGTCCCTCAACAGTCCCTTCAATGAAGGGCGGAGGGGCCATTGGGTTGCCAGGAGGCAGCGCACCTGCAGCAGCTTGGAGGCTATGGGGCGGCCGTCCGGAGCAACGTTGAGGAGCTGGCGCACGCAATCCTTGGCCGCCTGTGAGATTGAGGGCCAGGGCGGTGTCTGGAAGTCTATGTCTGCCTGCGCAGACCGTATGCACACATTCAGTATCTGGTCCTGATCTTTCAGACAATTCTTCGCCCTCTCCAGGACGGATAGGCGCCCATGCAAGATTGCTGTCTTTTCAGGATTGTGCCAGGAGCCAAGGTAGCACAAGATTATGTATATTTGTGCGATTATTGGAATGCACCGATGTTTGAGCAAACAGAGTGTGTCATGCATCGACTTGCTGCAGCTGGAGAAATCAATGATGCTGCGGGCCACACCTTGAGGACCATGCGGAAGATGTCCTCCTCTTTGTCTCCCCAGAACGGAGGCAGCCCGCTCAGCAGAATGTAGAGCATCACACCCAAGCTCCACATGTCCGCCTCAACCCCATAGTCGCGCCTCAACACCTGGCACCATGCATGCGTGTCAGCAAGTGCTGGCTTCTGATGTGGTCCAGGCTCTCGGTTGCGGCTCATCTCAAGATCAATAAATGGGGCTGACCAGGCGCCACCTACCTCCGGAGCAACATAATAGCAGGACCCCACAATGGACTGCAGTCTGTCCCCAGGTTTCCTGCGTGCATCCAGCCCTTAGTCTTTTCGGTGTAAGGGTGCTAGCAGCGATATTGCAAGGGCTCCAGATCGAAAACGCTGCATACAACACCCCACTTCGTGTGCATTCAAGTGCAATCTGGGCTCATTGAACTTGCCAGTATGAGGAGAGGCCGAAGTCACACAGCTTCAGTTTGGCTCTGTCGCTTTTGTCAGTAAGCAAAAAATTCTCCGGCTTGATATCCCTGCATTATGACCACTTGGTCAGTGCGTACTCCATGGTACTTCAGAACCCATGAGTTACAGAGATTTGGCCTTGCCATTTAACACATCTCTGACCTGTGCATCACGCCAAGTTGATGCATGTGATCAATGACGAGCACCATCGTCCGGAAGTAATCTGCATGCAGCGGTCACATTGAGATCCATCCCCTCAACACGTCACACAATAAGACAAAGACACCAGTGCAATGAATGCAATGCATCACCTGCAGCCGCCCTTTCAGTGAAGGTTCCCTGCTCAACGATGCGATCAAACAGCTCCCCACCATGGCAGAGCTCAAGGATCTGCAAAGATACATTACCTTGAGTATTGCACAGCTCCTGCTTTTTGAAGCTCAGACAATACCTGACCTACTCTACTATCAAAGGTCAGTCTTCTGCAGCGTCACTGCATATGCAAGACTGGTGTGTGGCTCGCACCAAGTGCACAAAATGAGTGTCTTCAAAGGTGTTGACCAGTTCTGCAACGTTTGGATGATCTGAAACCAGATTCAGTATTTCCACTTCTCTCTGGACATCTCTAACATCCTCCTGCAGCATATGGACTGCTTTAAACCATGAGGTGGGACAAGGCATGCCCATTCAAAACTTGCTCTAGGACTGCAACGTCTTTTGGGACAGGTGGCTACCTCTGTCACCAACTTCGCCTTATTAATTGACTTACAGGCATACTGCCTGTTGTCAGCGAGATCTGTAGCGTGGTAAACGATGCCAAAGGCTCCTTTTCCCAGAATCTGAACACCCAACAAAATTACACGGACAAGGTGGAAATATGTAGTCAGAATTGTTTCGGTCAAATTAATGCACAAGATCAACTTTGAGACAGCTTTCCTTTGTAGGATCAGAGGACTGAACGTGGGAGGAAAGAAGCTGCACCTGCCCTAACTTGTAGTGATCGTGGACTCTATGCTCCCGCTTCGAGGGCGAAAGGACCCAGCCCACCATGCTAGCATAGATTGTCCTGTTCAAACATGACCCTCTCCTCGTGGAGATATGCTTTCTGACGGGTGCATACCGGAAACCACAAAGAGCCAGTGTCTCTAAACTTCCGTTGATGTGCTACTTGCACAAACACAGGCTTGTGCTACACCGTGCAGTCAATGCACGATCAGAGATAATGTATGGAAATTCTACTGATTTACCGGCAAGATTCCAATTACAAAGTTCATAATGTCGCTTCATCGGTACGGGCAATCGCATCCGCCCCGGCTGATGCATGCAGATACCCTCAAATGCTTATTGCCAGGCCAACTATGAATTTGTTTCCAAGCTATTACAAAGGAAGCCACTGAAACAAAATCCACCAATTTCTTTCAGAAAGGCCGATAAGCTGCTTATACTGAGTCTGAGCTCAGGTTTGCAGGCCCGGCTCGTAGGTTGGGATGGCCTTCAAGCTCCTTCCAAAGCATTTCAGTCACTATCACTGCCGCTGCTGCCACTTGAGGAGGATGTGCCAGTGCTGCTGCCGCTGCTACTGCTGCTGCCACTCCCCGAGGAGCTGCTAGTCCTGGAAGAGGACGCACTCCTCCGAACCCTTGGCGGCTCTTTGCGCCCATCGCGGCGCCCAGACGCAACGCCTGTCTCAGCCTCCCTTCTTGCTGGCTCCCTCCGTGCGGCAGGGGACAGAGAGCGTGCGCCCCCACGGCGCATGTCCCCGTCCCTGCCTGCATCCCTGTCCCTACCCCGATCTCGCCTGTCATCCCTGTCGTCCCGGCCCCGACCGCCACCGTAGCGCCGCTCATCCCTGTCGCGGCGGGGACTGCGGTCCCGGCCCCGAGTGTCCCGCCGCGGGGGGCTGGCAGCAACTGTGCTCCTGGGCTGCCTGCGACGCGGCGGGCTGGGGCTGTCCCTGCGGCTGCGCGTGCGGGCCGGCGGGGACTTCTGCGGCCGTCCGTTGCGCGGCGGCGAAGGCGGCCGCGGCGACGGCGGCTCCTTCGCCTCCGCGCGCAGCTTGGCGGGGGACGGCGACGGCGGCCGCGAGCGCGCCACGGATGGCGTCGGGCTCAGAATCCCCGTCGACGGCCCGTCTGCGGACGTCTGCCGCGCTGCATCCGCATCCGCGGCTTCATCGTCGTCCGGTGTGGCCGGCCGCGGAACCCACCGCTCCGCCCCCACATGTGGAGATGCCTGCTCTGCAACGTGGCGCTTGCCGGCCCTGGGAGCAGTGTCCTCTGCATGGCGCTTGCGGCTATGCCGTGCGTCCTCCCTGGGCGGGGGCGAGTCCCCGGCGGGGCGGCTGGCGTTGGCTTCAGCGGCATCCTTGCGCCGCTGCGCTCTGGCCTCTTCCAGGGCGCGAACGCGCTCTTCACCCTCCTGTCAATTTTATAACAAGCAATCATTAGAGTATGCTTTTTCCAGGAATGACAATGCCGAGGCTTGCCACACAGACAGCCAAAGACCAAGTTCCTCTGCAAAATGCACAACGATGCCCATCTGCACGTATAGAACCAGAACAGAGCAAGGTGGGCCAGATAAAATTTGTCAACACACCTTCCTCATGCGCTCAGCTTCTTCCTTGTCAGCCTTCTCCTTCTTCTTTGCCTCCTTGGCGCGCCTCTTCTCCTCCTTGGCACGCTTTTTCTCTGCCTCCTTGGCCTTAGCTTTGCGTTCCTTCTCCTTTGCCTCCCGCTCAGCAATCCGATCCTGTTTCTTCTGCTCCTATTGCCAACGCATGCAGTCGTGCCCATTCAGTCCTCGCACAACTCTTCACAGATTGATTACGATAAGAGCTGGAGCTTTCAGGACATTAGCGGTAGACGCAAGCCAGAGCGAAGCCAAACCTGCAGCTCCCGGTCAAAAGCCTGACCCTCCACTGCATCTTTGTCAATTCCCCAGGCATCCCGCAGTTTCTCCAGTTCCTTCATTTTCCTCTCAGCAATCTCGTGCGTCTCAGTGGCAGGCCTGAGGTGAACACATCCTCTCAGCACATCATCACAGTAGTCGATAGGAAGTACAGCACAGAAAGGTCATGCAGAGTTATGACCCAAGAGGAAGATGTAATGTGGTGAGAGAAAGTTGCAGCTCATGTGACCACCACGCACTTGTCTTGGCGCTGTTCAAGCCCTTCTGCCTCCAGCTGCTTGCGCAGAAGTGTCGTTTCCTGCTCAATCTCCTCAGCAGAGTACCTGGACAGCCAGAACAAAGATCTCAGAGGGGCTTTCGCCTAACGCAGATATGCCTGACTCGACATACAACATTGTCATGGGACGATCAAAGTATGAAACTTATTTCCAGAGTGGTGAAGCCCTCTCCTAGACAGCTGAACAAAACACCGATCTAAAAAATGTCCTCACCCTTGTTCCTCTAATGCGTCTGCCATCTGCACCACTTTGAGTTCAATCTCTCTTCTCCTGTTGTGATCAAGAATACCCTGATCGGGCTTTTTGTACGCCTGACTGCTGTCAGGAGCATTGCGCAGATCTTGGGCTTTCTGCTGTGGAGGCCCGCGCAGATTGAACTTGTTTGTCTGCACATAACCACTTGTTCCGGATCCTCTCGGAGTAAGAATCCCGATACCGTTATACATGATGTTCAGTCGCTATGTATGGGTTTACAGGTGCATCTTCCAGCAGGATCAACACATGTCTTACGTAAGCCGTCAGACTCCTAACCTTCTGGACAGAGATATTGCAACAATTACTTCAATTGCGGGTGAATTGAACGGTTTCGCTCGAATTGAACGCATTCTCTCTGCAAGCTTGCCTGCTTCCTCCGGACCCCCCGTTTCCAAGGACCGCCGTCTTACTGCATCTTTGGGGGGACCAGCCTCGAGTCGAAGACCTTGTAAAGACACCATGATGACCACTGTCACAGTGGCACTGTCGCACTGTTCATTACAATACAGCAGCACAAAGACCTATAAACTGCCTCAGACTGAGTTCAATTTGTGTTGACTGGCTTTCTGGAGCTCTGCCCACCTTTCCTGGTGGAGATTGACATCCATTCTTACCGTGGTAACCGTCGCTTTGTAGGCCGGGCGCATGCACCGGTCCTGCTTCGACAAATTTTAGCATGAAACGGCGCATATCAGTTGTCTGAGAAGGTCTCAGAAAATTATTCAACTCTAAACTCAGCGTGGATTTGGAGTAAGGTGGAGTGATTGAGGGCAGGTCCCTTCGCGGAAACGGGTAATCTTCCCAAACTTTGTGAGTGAGCTCCTTTCTAGATCATATCTAATCTGTTGATTCTCACTGGTATCAAAGATGCAATGAATGTATTGGTGTTTGAGGCTTCTATCGAATTCTGCTCCAAGAGCTGTTTAGTTATAAGCTGCCTGTTGGGGCCGCCTGCAGTAAAAAACATTGCTTTGCGTTGTCTAGAAAATCACCTGTCAGCTGTCATCACCGTATCCCTCTGCCATGCGTTCAGGTCCAGACCTCGGTGCTTGGGAATGAGATGGGACGAGGCATCCTGCGGAAGAAGGGAATTGTGGGAAGATTAGCTGTGGATGGAGCAAGTAACATCGAGGGTCCCCACATGGTTCTGGACACTGGGTTTGCTGGGCTGGAGCAGATAAGCATTGCCAAGGAGGTGCCAGACAGCAAGATGGCAATTCAGGTTGGGTCTCCTGTTATCATGCCGGGGCAAGACCCAGCGAAGCAGCACCCCGAACAACAAGAACGGAAGGTGAGGCTTTTGCAGCAAGCTCATGCCATAATGGTGGAAGTAGCTGTGAGTGTGTGGAGACTGCCCTCCCATGTTATGTGAACAGCGACCTGGCACATGGCGCAGGGCAAACGGGAACTGAAGGCTCTTGGAGGAGACACAGTCTTGACAGGCGGCCGCCCTTTGAGGCGGCGAAAAATATGTTCCGAGCCAGTCATCGCATGCAACGGTGTCTTAACAGGTCCTCCACAGCACCTGGCGACAGCATCGATGCAGATGGTGCTGCTCACTCTCTTCCCACAGCCTGGTGATGTCTGTTTGTATGTAGAGCCTAGCCCATGCATGAGGAATCTGGGCTGATATGTAGATGACCTGGTTGCAGGGCAGCGAGAAAGAACCCGGGAGGGGCAGGCGCGCTGCAGCAATGCACGCGGCAGAAGCCATTGCCGCCCAGGCTGAGCATGCAGGCGATGTGGAGGGCGACAGTGCAGACGGGGGAGAGTGGCAGGTGGATGACGAAGAGATGCCGGCCAGGGAGAGCGGCCGGGGTTCCTTCGACCCCGTGAACTCGCCAGTCATCAAGGGGCCGCGCACCGCTCGCAAGAAGAACTCCGAGCACCTGGCAGGTGCGCACTTGCGGCAGACATCTGTCTCAGGCTTGCATGGGACTGCAAGCAAGCTGCCACTCATTACACAGCCCAGGGCATGGTAAGGAGCCTGGCGGTGTCGAGACAGCAGCTGATGTGGCTGTTGGCCGTGCAGGCGGCTTTGCAAACAGCATGCTGCTGAGGCAGCGAAGCAGCTTGCCGCTGGAGGAGGAGGCGGCGCCGGCCGACCGCGGCGGCAGCGCAAGGCCGGCCCCAACGACAGTGACGGTGCAGGCGGGGCACGACGAGGCGCTCAAGGCGACGCTGGTAGATAAGGCGGCGGCAGTGCGCGACATCACGGGCGCAGCAATCGACCGGGGGATCACTTTGCGCGAAGTGCTCAAGGGCGGCGCGCTGCGGGGCCAGCCAGTGTTCTTCCAGTCCCGCCACGGCGACCTCCTGCTCAACGGTGCGCGCATTCCTTCCATCAGTCTCTTGACACAAGTCTAGCAGAGCTTTCCAAGCAAATTTTTTTGTTCGATGCGCCCCTAAACCTGAGCAAGGGTGTGAGCAGTGGAGCTTGTCCATTTGGTTGCAGGCAGCATCACAGAGGAGGGGCAGATTGCGTGCCCCTGCAAGCAGTGCCGGGCGAAGAAGACGCCAGGCGTGAGCTGCAGCGAGTTTGAGGAGCATGCCGGCAGCAGAGAGCGCCGCCCTGGAGAGTCCATTTACCTCACCAATCTCTCTATCTCGCTGAAGGTGCGCATTTGCCATGGCCATGCTTGAATGCTTACAAGGCATCTTGCAATACAGTCCGTGGTGTGCGATTCAAGCATCTGGCTGGCTGCTTCAGGAATTCTGTGCGCTGGTGAACGATGAGGGAAGGAGCGCTGACAGGCACGGCAGTGCCTGTGGCCTGTGCATGGACGGCGGAGACCTGCTCTGCTGCGACGGCTGCCCCACCGCTGTGCACGCCTACTGCGCTGGCCTCGAGGAGGTTCCAGAAGTGAGTACTCTGGACATCGCTTCACTATACAGTCCTGTACAGTCGAAGGCTTGTGGCACAGAGGACATGTTCCTGGAAAGTAATCATCGGGGGATGTCTGCACAGGGGGACTGGTTCTGCGATGCATGCGTGGCGAGGGGGGCTCAGCTCAAGGCGAAGCCGCTGCCCAGCCCGCAGAAGCCCTCAAAGCCCGCCAAGTGGCGCCAGCCCAAGCAGAAAGCGCCAAAGGAGAAGAAGCACGGCGGCTCGGGCGCTGCCAAGAAGGCAGCGCATGCCGGCGCCCCCCGCGTGCACATGGCCGCCCCCGCGCTGCGTGTGGTGTCGGGCGCGCGGCGGGAGCGCAACTCCAACAAGCACAAGCGCCTCTTTCTGCCCGACGAGCCCGGCGGCCTCACGGTGACCGCACGAGCCCCATAGCTCTATACTCCGTTTTCCCTTCCTGCGTTTATGCAGCCTTTCACTGGCTCGCGGATCTGGCAGGACTTTGAGGAGGGCTTCGTGAAAAAGTATAAGAAGAGAATGATACGAGCATGCGGAGTTAGAACGTGTGCCGCTGAGCAGGATAGAAAGTTTGACGAGCGTGTGCTGAGGGTCTCAATGTGTGGCTGAGCAGGATGGGGAGCCGGTGTCGTACATAACGAGTCAAGGCGAGGAGCTGCTGAAGGGCAGCGTGCGCATCGACGCGACGGAGGCGGGCCCCTCGGGCATCCTCTGCGCCTGCTGCAACGGGGTCATCTCCTGCTCCCAGTTCGAGGCCCACGCCGGCCGCGGGTCGCGCCGCGCGCCGTACGACAACATCTTCACCGCCGCCGGCGTGTCGCTGCGCAAGCTCGCCTGCCTCATGCCCGCCAGCGAGGCCGAGTCTCCTATCTCACACCGCCCCGCTGCCCTCTGCGCCGTTGCCGACAGGTGTAACCGGCGTGCACCATGCTTGGATTCCCGGCATTCTTCAAGCAGCCGCAGTGCCTCATGACCACCTGGTCCTGCTTACCGTGTCCTCACTGCATGGTGCCCTTGAGACACTGACGGGATAGTATGGCCCCGCAGGCGGGCGTTGGAGCCGGAGCTGGTGACAGTGTCGGGGGAAGCGGCGCTGCACGGTGGGTGCGTTCTGTGCAAGGTGCCGGACTTTCTGCGCGGCGGCTTTGGCGAGCGGACGATGATCATCTGCGACCAGTGCGAGCGCGAGTACCACATCGGCTGCCTTGCAGAGCACGGCCGCGCCCACCTCACAGAGCTGCCCGAAGGCAAGGCCTCTCTTTATGACATCCTCTTGACTCTGCACTTAAATGGTCGCTTAGACCTGAACATTCTGCAGTCTAGGTTGGGCGTAGGCAGCGTGTCAGATTGGAAGGATGCCTGATGAAGCATACTTCTGCAAGTGGTCTCCTAGTGCTGCAGCATGCCTTCAGGGGTTTGAAGGCAGATCCTTGTGCGGTACAGGCGAGTGGCATTGCTCGCCGGAGTGCAAGGGCATCGCGACGCGGATGCGGGAGCGCGTGAGCAGCGTGCCGGTGCCGCTGCAGGGCGAGTACAGCTGGCAGGTGCTGCGCGGCAAGGACGGCACCCACGCCACCACCTGGGCCCTTAAGGCCGCGCAGGTGCCTTTTCGCCCACACCCTTCCCACTACCCAGTGCATCCCGGCATGCTTCCCGTCACCTGCAAGCACATGCAGAGCGCATGCCAGGCATCAGGTGAGTGATAGCTGTGTGGCTGTGCGCGCAGGAGATCTTGACGGAGTCGTTTGACCCGATCCTGGACCTGGTGACGGGTGCGGACCTGATGATGGCCATGGTGTACGCCCAGGAGCTGGGCGACTGGGACTACACCGGCATGTACACCGCCGTCCTGCGCCGCCGGGTGCGCCCCAGCTCCTCCTTCAGGCCTTCTCTCACCTTCTATTTTCAATCTCCCTGCCCACTGATCACCTCCATGCCCATAAACAAAGTGGGCGGCACTTGGAGATGTAGACATAACTTTGGCAGCTATGGAAACGAACAAGGGAGCAGTGCGCTGGGAGTTTGTATTTGATGAGTCATAGCATGCCCAGACCGCATGCAGCACAAGGGTCAGCAGGATACCTACATTCAGTGCCACACGAAGCTGTCAGGTAGAGACACAAGCATGGATGCAAAGTACAGGCGATTGACCTGGTGTGCCGGGAATGTATCACAGGGCAAGGCAGTGTGCTCGGCGGTGTTCCGGGTGTTTGGGAGGCAGCTGGCAGAGGTGCCGCTGGTGGCAACGCGGCTGGGGGCGCGGCGGCAGGGCCACGCGCGCGTCCTCATGGCCGCCTTTGAGGACTACTTCCGCTCCCTGGGCGTCCAGTCCCTGTGCCTGCCCGCCGCGCAGTCCACTGTGGAGACCTGGATCCACGGCTTTGGCTTTGCGGCCATAACCCCCGAGGAGCAGGCCGCCACCTGCTCCGAGCTGCGCGTCCTCATCTTCCCAGGTGCGTGCTGGCGTCAGCAGCTGAAATGAATTGTGTATGCTGAATGCGCGTGTTGTGCAGCTCCTTTCAATTACTGTCGTGGCTTGGGCTGCAGATTTTCGTGTTTTCTGTGTTGATTTGGTAGTCTGGCGTGATATTACGTTCTGAGGAGGGCATGTTCCGGTTTGTTTACTGTATGAAGACAATGGTGCTGAGTGGAGTGATACATTGGCTCAGGGACGGAGCTGCTCCAGAAGCCGCTCAACCCCACTCCGACACTGGAGATGGCTGAGCCAAGCGTGCACGCTCAGGATGCTCCTGCAGTCACAAAGGAGGCGCCAAAGGCCGCCAAAGAGGTGGCTGGAGACAGCAAGGGAGCTGTAGCGGCCATCGAGGAAGCTTCCCTTGAGAAGGCTGAGGCGCAGTCGGGCGATGCAGCAACACGTCCAGTCACTGCAGCGGAGCCAGGGGAAGGCGGCTTGGAGGCAAGCAGGCCTGAGCCATCTTCCCATACGAAGCCACAGGCTGCAGAGACGCAGCCCAGCACAGCACCAGCAGCAGAGGCACCAGACAGCGGCGAGCAGCAGGAAGCGCAAGCCGCGCCGGAGCAGGCAGCCCAGGGCCGCGGCAGGGGCAGAGGCAGGGGCAAGGCAGCTCAGGCGCCACTGCACAGGAAGGCGGCCAGCGGAGAGCGGCGCAGCAACCGCCTGGGCCCCAGTGGCAACTGTGGCCCCAGCAGTGCACCAGCCGTGCTACCGACAGCGGAGCCCCCCAGCCACACACCTGCAGCTGAAGCCATTGCCGTGCCAGCAAAGGCCGTGTCAGCAGAGGCCCCCCACGACCCCGCTGCTGCCGGTCCGGAAGCACCAGGGGCAGCCCGTACTGCTGAAGATACAGATGCGCCGGCGGCCAAGCCAGTTGCTGCGGGTGTGGATGAGGGGTTTGCCGCAGCGCCTGGCGAGCAGGCAGATCCGTCGGCTGCGACGTCGCCGGCGTATGCCAAGCAGCTGCCCAGCGATGCAGATGCGCGCAGTGCGGACACGCAGACAGAGAAGGGTGCGGAGGCAAGCGGTGGCAGCAGCGCCGGGCCGGCGACTGCCAAGAAGCCGCCGAGGAAGTCGCTGGGGCTGCTGAGGGAGGTTCTGAGCCTGGGGTTCTCAGCCCCCAGCGAGAGCGCCCCTCTGTTCCCAGTCACCTGGGGCGGCTCGGCGGAGAGCACGCGCTCCCGCTCCCAGACGACTGGGCGGCCCTCCTTCTCTGGTGCCCCACCCGCATTGGGGGGTCGCAGCAGCGCAGCAGAGGACGACACCAATGCCAAGCGCACACCTGCCAAGGGGCCGGTTGCTCCCGCAGAGGACCTGAGCGGAGTCAACCAAGGAGCCCCACGCAGGACTCGGCAGGCTGCCGCCTCAGAGAAAAGCATGCGCATAGTAAAGGTGAGCCGCTGGTCTGAAAGTTGGCTTGAAGAGCATGGTTGGGAGGAAGTGTTGAGAGGCGCTGGCAGTGCTGCTGTACATATGCTTGTGACTGAGCAGGGTGCTGTGTGACTCCAGGAGGATGCCTCCATGCCCAGTGTAAAAGGGCAGAGTAATAAAAAGAGGATACAGGAGCAGGGCAGCGTAGCGTCCAGGACTCGTCAGAGAATTTAGGGACTGAAAATGCCATGCATCTGCTGCAAACATGTCAGGCAGATGCTGTGTAACATGTAGGTTTGAATGACTGCCATGCTAGGTGCTGGTGAGAGACTGATGAGAGGTGTTGCAATTTACACTCTGCTCTGTGAGTTGTGCATCAGGACGTTGTACAGAACGAATAAAATACCATGTGCACAAAATGGACATTTTGCTCTACGTGTAGCAATTATGTTGTCTTGGCCTTCCTTTGCTTGGGAGGCTGCGCAAATGTAACCAAGGGCTTCCCAGCCTCTGTGATCGGCAATCCTGTGGCTGTCGCTCGCATCTTGGCCAGGTCTGGCAGCTTCAGCGTCTTGCGTACGGCCGGCAATTTGAATAGCACCGATTGACCCAGGGAGAAGATGTTGGAGGTCACCCAATACAAGAACACGCCCTGCACCCCCACCAGACAGACAGTCGTTAGCACATGTGACATCTGTCATTCCACACTCTAGCTGGTCATGTCTGCACACATCACTATCAGCCTCGTCCGTGAACAGCTGAAGAATCCGGGCCTGACAGGGACATCTTCCTGGAGCAGGATGCACTGAAAGCTAATCGCATGCAGAAGCCTATTATGCAGCCAGGTGCACTGTCATCATATCAGTGCACCTGGCTGCATAATAGGAAACGGTCTGAGCTTGGGAGGGTTCACCTGGGGGAATGATGCGGTGAGGGGCACCATGGCGACGCCGATTGCTCGGAAGATGTTCTTCATGCGCCGCAGCATCGCCTCGTCCTGCCCCTGCATGCCGTCCGCCGCGCCCAGCTCCACCGTCAGCAGGAACACCGCGCTAGACATGATCGGCAGCGCATAATACGGGTCCGCCAGCGTCAGGTCCGTGAACCATGCCACGCCGCCTTCTGTCATCGACGGCACCTGCCAACAGCATTGGGCACTTGGCAAAGCACATGCCTGCATCTGAGGCGCTTCATCCAAAGCATTATTACGATGATATGCTTTTGCTGCCAGAGGCAAGAAGCGTCTGCAGACAAGCTGCATGTAAAAGCTGCCACAAATCTTACCCCTTGATGGACTCGCCAGATCCAAGCAAGACCCAATTAACTGTAGGCACAGTGCGCGGTTTCTATAGCGCCCCCCACCAGCCCAAGCCATCCAACGTATGGGCGCCTTCTGACACTGCACTGGCAGGGTTCATCAGTGCCCAGGGTGCAGCACTCAGGAGGAACTTACCTTGGCGGCAGACAGGGCTCGCAGGGCAGAGAAGAAGCCAATGAAGAGCGGCGCCTGGGCCAGGATGCCCAGCATGCTCTTGAAGGGATTGCAGTCGTACTTCTGCCACAGGTTTGCCAGCCGCTGTTGGTACTCCGTGGTTGCTTTTGGATTGCCTCTCTGCGGGCAAGCCACCGTTCAGATCAGCGTGCCCGGTGAAGCGTTCCAGCAACTGCAGTTGAGCTCACACAATTGGAGGATCCAATCTCTTTCAGAAGTCACTCACCGCAGTCTCTTCAGTGTACCAGTCTTTCAGTGCCATCATTTCTGGCCGAGCCATCTGCATCACACCGGACAAACCTCATGCCTTCCCCAATGTGCTTCCAACCTGAAAGTACAACACTGTAAGCAACAGAAGAAGGCAACAGATGAAGCATGCAGGGACAGACACCAGAGACGCACTGTCATATTCGCGGTGTTCCGTTGCTGCTTGACGACGAGGGGGAGTGTCAGCAAACGAGCTCCTATCGTCGTGTAGATTATGGTGAGCCACCTGCGCAGCTTCATGTTATTAAATCCTTTATAATAAAAGGTTTGGGGCAACAGGAAGATGATGCACGGACGCTGAGAGTGCTGGTCTTGTGCTCTTGCCGTACCATGGTGTCTGAGTGCCACTGTGTACAAATGAGAGCAGCTGCTGGAAGAGTCTGCTGAGGATCCAGGACTCCTCGCTAGCAGATGTCAGGGCATCCAGTTCTCCCAGATGAGCGGCCTGTAGTATTGCCAGAACGCTGTATGGGGAATCAGGTTCTCCTGTTGCAACCGTGCAGGATCAGACTAAGTTCTACCTTCCTGAAAACATGCAGATAGATCTGGCAAAGTGGCGGGACTCGAGAGGTGGGACTCGAGAGAGAGATGGGAGGGAACCTGAGCTGTCAGCAGCAAAACTACTGCTGAGAGGACTTTGGCTGCTCATCGAATCTGGCTCAGTGCTGTAGCATCGGCCAGAAGAGCCAAGCAAGCTATCAGGAGTCCATCTGAATTGTGAATGGGCCCTAAAATGTACCGATGTATCATCCCTCCAAGGGATGCTCTGAAGCACAGCACTAGAAAACTGCCTCCTTAAGGGCTCTGCGTCAGCTGCAATGGATGGAGTTTTGCAAGCCGCTTGCACAGCTCTTGCAAGCAATTTCGAGGCATTGCTTCTCAGCATCAGACAGATGAGTTGACAGGATCACTTTGAAGTGATGCACCAGCATAGATTTTCCCTGCACTCGTTTGTGGCAATTGATGGTTTCGAGAACGAGTACACTTGTTGTCAATATTACCATCAATGATGGACAGGATCGAATTGGACATTGAGAATGGAAACAGGAGAAAATTGTTTCCGAGACAGTGTCGTGAGCGTATCCTGGCCGCATCTCGGCCCCGCCTTAAGTCTCATGCAGCTAGCCGCCTCGCTCCCATTCCTCACATTCGTCCGCCTCGAAGGTGAGCTTGCTCTTTTGTGTTTATGAAGATTATTCTGTACGTGTTGGAGAGGACAGTGGGCTGATCGCTGTGCTGCTGTCCTTGCAGATTGCCAAAGATGGCGTCCAAGAGAGGAAGAGGTGGTGCAGCTGGAAACAAATTTCGGATGTCCCTGGGGCTGCCTGTGGGAGCTATTCTTAACTGTGCAGACAACACTGGCGCCAAGAACCTGTACGTCATCTCAGTGGTGGGCTGGGGTGCCCGACTGAATCGTCTGCCCTCAGCTGCTTGCGGAGATATGGTGATGGCCACAGTCAAGAAGGGAAAGCCTGACCTGCGTAAGAAGGGTGAGTGATTCCAAATAGCTGTAATGTTTTCTCGACTTTTGCAGTAGCGTTGGGTTTCCAAACGTTGATGTTTTCATGATTTCTTCCCAGTGACTGCTTCACTTTTGCCAAAGATATTCGCTATGTTGGACTCTTTGAAGATGCCTAGGTATTAGACTTATATCAATTTCGGCTTTGGGAGTTGTCTGGGTGCACTGGATCTGAGCTGTGAACAGAGTGAGTTTTGCTGAGCAACTCGCCTGGGAACCTTCCGCTCCAAGCAATTGATGCGCTTGACAAGTCGCTGTGTGTTGCTTTCAGTGATGCCGGCAGTGGTGGTGCGGCAGCGCAAGCCTTGGAGGAGGAAAGATGGGGTTTTCATATACTTTGAAGACAATGCCGGCGTGATTGTCAACCCCAAGGGAGAGATGAAGGGTGCGATCCCCAATGTTTCATGTCCCTGGTAGTGCATGAGACCTGCTGCTGTTGCTGGCTGGCCGTCTCTTGCGTGCAACTGACCATGACTGTTCTGCTGGTTGTGTGCAGGTTCTGCCATCACAGGCCCCGTGGCAAAGGAGTGCGCAGACCTGTGGCCCCGTATTGCCTCAGCCGCAAACTCCATCGTCTGAGGTGAGCCTGACCTGTTGCCAACAGCTGTCTGGTATGCTTGATCACTTTTCTAGTGCAGCTTTGATGACACGCATTTAGCATTACTCACCCGAGAACGTCTGGTGTGATCTGCAGGTGGCTGCATGTGATCTTGGGGAGGAGCAGTTCCTAATGATGTTGCTGATGTCTGCGGAGGGACAAGGCGTTCTTCAGGATCTTCTGCTGCCCGTGGATGTTGTCAGAAGTGATGCTCGCACAGTCCTTTGGTGCAAAGTACAGAAGCGGTCACGAAGTGTCTAGCGAGAGTCTCATGATGGCATCTTGTAATCATCGTTCGTACCTTACTATGTATTACATGTTCTGGAATTGAGGCCGACATCTGCTAGGTGCTGTGCGAGGAACACTTGAGAATAATCCACTGCAAACTAATGCATTGCTTGCCAAAGACAGCAATGTAGATGATCTCATGCATTACTCCTCTTAGCTAGCTGAAATACTTCAGATACCTTGACAACTACACACACGCTCGACTGTATTTGGGGTCAAGCCTGAGCATGTCGTCGAAGGATTTTGCAAACCAGCAGGAGAGTGCTTGCATAACAGTCGGTGCGAGCGCCAAGTTAGGGACTGCTATACTTTACAAATGACCATGACAGGTTTTGTCAATGGTCTTCCAGCAAATGTGATCAACCCTGTAGTGACTAATAAGCAATCCTCTGTTCTTCAGGTGAAAAATCGTGACCATACTTGACATGAAGGTTTCAGTTAACTTGATAAAGATCGCCAGTGTTTTCTGTTGTACAGGGACCACCCAACCCCAAAGTTTAATCACTGTGTGCGACCTATTTTATGTCACTACAATCACATCAGTGGAGAGCACGCAGGCCAGAGCAGACACCCCAACAAAAACGACTGCAGCAGGCCCTTTCTTTTCAGCGTGGCAGGGGCCACTCAGCACACAACCTCATGTTGCCACCACCTTGCCCTCAAGGTTAAGGTTGAGGTCTGGCTGCCCTGTTCCGCTGACCTGCTTCCCCAGCTTTGCCGCCTCCTGTGCGGCTGCGGCGGCAGCGTCCTTCACGACTGTCGCCGCATCCTCAATCTTCTTGGCAAAGCCATCGCGGAATTTGTCAATGTTGCGCAGCTCCGCAGATCTGTACGGGCGCTCGCCCAGGATCTCAGTCAGGTCCTCGGAGTTCACAACCTGCACCACAGCTCTTGCCTGTCAACACAATCCTCGCAAAGGTTCCAATTCACAAGACACCAACTCGGATGGGCAACATGCTAACAACAGAGTGTTGCTCAACGGCGAGCAAATCAAGTAAAAAATATGATACACACCAATGCCTCCAGATCAAGGATCATATCTGTCCTGGCTGGGGTGCTTTGAAAGAGATGTCTTTCTTTGCAAGCGACAGTCCAGGCAGCGGCAGCGGCCGACAGCACAGGTAGCAGGGACCGGCGCACCTCTTTCTCCAGGAGGGTTAGAGCCAGCTTCTCCACCAGGTCCTTCTTCTCGGTCAGCAGCTCCAGGGTGCGCTCGTACGCGTCGTTGACCATCTCACGCACCTCCTTGTCGATGAGCTGCGCGGTCTCGTCGGAGTAGGGCTTGCTGAACTGGCCGTCCTCGGCCGGGAAGGACACCAGGCCCACCTTCTTGTTCATGCCGTAGATGGCCACCTGGGCGTACGCCATCTTGGTGACTCGCTCCAGGTCATTCTGGGCACCTGCACCCCATTCACATGCATGCATGCATCAGTCACCATACCCGCATCTGTTCAGCCATGAAAAACCACCACAGGTCCTACAACAATGCACAAGCCATCGTTCTTTGCATGAGGATCCAGAGAAGGGAAAGACTGCCCAGCACCTCGTGCAGCATATATTCCAAGGAGGGTGTGGAAAGGGAGGCACCTGTGGAGATCTTGCCGAGCATGATCTGCTCGGCGGCTCGGCCGCCCAGGGCCATGCAGGTCATGTCGCGCATCTGCTCCATGGTCATCAGCAGATTCTCGTTGGGCAGATACTGCGCAAAGCCCAGCGCCGCCGTGCCGCGCGGCACGATGCTGACCTTGAGCAGCGGCTCCGCATATTCCAGGAACCAGGCCACCACCGCATGCCCAGCTTCGTGGAACGCCACAGTCTTCCTCTCCACCACGCTGATCACCTGCCCCAAGAAATGAACACCTCGAATGTTTGCCTCTCAGCACATGCCTCACAATGACACCAAGGCTTCCTAACTTTTGTCTGGTCCAGTGCTGTCCTCTTCCGGGTCTCCCCACAACGGCAGCATGGGCTCTACGGTGGAATACAGAGCTGACCGTGGCGCAGTGGCGCGAGGGGTGTCAGCAGGGAGAGAGGCACACCTTGTTCTTCTTCTCAAGACCACCAATTACGCGGTCGGTGGCAGCCTCAAAGTCAACCATGCTGACAAAGTCCTTGCCGGCGCGCGCCGCGATGAGGGCGGCCTCATTGCACACATTGGCGATGTCGGCGCCCGCGAAGCCCGGCGACAGCGCAGCCAGGCGCTCGCTGAAGTACTCCACGGGATTGTCCAGCTTCAGCTTGGCCAGGTGGATGCGGAAGATCTGCTCGCGCCCAGTAATGTCCGGGCGGTCAATGGAGATCTGCCTGTCAAACCTGCACACGCGCCCAGACACAACATCAGCCACAATCCAGCGACACGCAGTAGCCCTCCTTAGATCGCTGCCGCAGCACTACGGATTCTGCATGGCTCATCAAGTGCGTTCTGGGCCATGGGGCATGTTTGTAATTGCCCTCAACCTGACCCCATGATTGCGGCGGAAGCATGGGAGGGTAGGGAGGGCTCACCGGCCGGGGCGGAGGAGGGCGTTGTCTAGGATATCGGGTCGGTTGGTGCCGGCGAGCACGATGACGCCTTGCGTGGTGGCAAAACCGTCCATCTCCACCAGCAGCTGGTTCAGCGTGTTCTCGCGCTCGTCATTGCCCCCGGCAAACCCGCCGCGGCCCCTGGCGCGCCCGATGGCGTCAATCTCATCTGCACAGTGCACACATGTCTGTTACTTCCCTGACACAGCAAAGCTTCTTGAAGGCAGCAGAGTACGCAGCCACATGCGGTTTATTGATTGAGCCTGCATGCAAATGGACTGGGATTGGTGAGTGCGGGGCTCACCGATGAAGATGATGGAGGGCGCCTGGGCGCGAGCTTGGGCGAACAGGTCCCTCACGCGCGCTGGCCCCACTCCCACAAACATCTCCATGAAGTCTGAGCCGGCGATGGACAGGAATGGCACTTGCGCCTCACCGGCCGTTGCTTTAGCTGCACAGCACACCAATTGGGTCATATTGACTGCTTTGAGGTGTTCTGCTGTGGTACTGAATGCCAATCACAGGCTGTATGCAGAGACAATTACACCCAGGAAGAGGTACAGAAGGTGTGCGCACCTAGGAGAGTCTTGCCGGTGCCGGGAGGTCCGACGAGGAGGGCGCCCTTGGGGATCTTTGCGCCAAGGTCCTTGTACTTGCCTGGGCTCTTCAGGAAATTTACAAACTCCATGATCTCTGCCTTGGCCTCATCGCAGCCAGCCACGTCCTTGAACATGATCTTGTCCTTGGCATTCTTGTCCAGCACAGAGATCTGCACGCGAATCTTTATATCAGTCCACAGCCCAATACAGAGCCACCTTGCCAGCTTCTCAATCTCCGTCTTTACATCTTTATAATTTTTTTCGTGCGTGGTGAACACCAATGAAGGCAAATAAACTGGGCAATTTTACTCCGGATAGAAATGTCGAGGAAGGGTGCGCATGCCTGCGCCTTGCCGACATTGAAGATGCCGCGGCCGCCGGGGCCCTGACCGCCGAGGCCGCCCAGCTGGCGGCGCGTGAACCACACGTAGCCGGCAATGAGCAGGATGGTGGGCGCCAGGCGCAGCAGCTCCTGCTGCCAGCTCAGCTCGTTGGCATAGGTGATGGGCACCCAGGAGGAGGGCGACCAGCCCAGGTCCTCCTGCGCCTCCTCCATCTTGCGCTCAAAGCTGTCTATGCTGCCGATGTTGAAGAAGAACTTGTACTGGCTGCCTCCAGCTGCCTTTTCCTGCTGTGCGCCCGGCGTCTGGAACCCGTCTGTGTCGGCGTGCCTGCTCCACCCCAGGCGCACAAGTTTCAGCACAGGTGTGGCTTTCAAAGCATTCACAGAGCTTGGACAAGACGCAGATGACAGGATAAACAATAAGACAGCAAGATGCAGACACCACGGAAAGAGAATGTGGCGCACTTGGCTCCCGTGCGCACAAAGACCTTTGCGGTGGTCTTGTTCGTGACCTCCACTTTGTCAACCAGCCCGCGCGACAGCAGCTGTGTCTTGAAGTGCTGGAAGCTGATCTCCTGTGCATCGGGACGGCCCAGGTTCGCGAGCAGCGCACCGATGCCCAGCAGCGCCAGGAGAGTGGCTGCCTGGCCCGTCAGGGCTGTTTGGTTTCCCTGCGTCTTTGGGTTCTCGCCCTCCTTTGCATCTGAGACACAAGCTTTCATGCTTTAGACAAGATTCTGCATGCACGCAGCAAGCAACACGCTATCAAGGGCACAGTCCTGCATATGAACACTGCACCATACCTTTTTCTCCAGGACGTCTTGCCTTCCCTTTAGGATAGAACTTCTCCCACCCTGCACAACAGCAACCACACAGCATTTGGCTCTGCTAATACAATCTGTGAGCTCAAACAACACATCCCAATGGTGTACATGACGAGCTCACCTTTCCTTGGGGGTGGTTCTGTTGAGAAAAATCTCCTAGCAAAGAAGGGCAGTGGGCTTTCAGCCTGCAACAGAAAACAACCTGGTCAAGGCCATTGTCTACGACGACTCCTTGAACAAAATACATACAGAGGTGCATACCAGAACTCGCACAAGAGCCCTCACAAAATATATCAACACAGACAAACAGGGGAGGATGAGCCCAAGCACGAGCTCACACCTGCCGCAGACTCCTGGCCACTGTTGTCTGCACGCCCTGCTGTCGTGCCAAAGACGCAAAAGCGCGCTGCACAGAACGTAGAGTTAGAGGCTCTGCCCCCAGAAATGCCTGGGCAGAGCCAGAGGTGAGGCTGGCCCCTGATGTGCCGGCCAACCTGCCGGAAAGCACGCGATCGACGACCTGTGCTTCCCAAGATGTTTTTCCTGCAACCGCGACGGCATCATGCAAGCCATTCAGCAGGACAGAGCACCGTCGCCCCTGCCTCAGCATACTTACAATCCCTCGAACACGTATCTGTCACAACCACTGTGTATGCCTGCACCTATGACCCAAGTGAGGGTCACAAGATCAAACTTCAATGTGCGGTCCTGCAAGAATGCTCGCAATCATGCTTGTCGTGCTCCTGTAATGCAGCACGATCTTGGCCACGTCACGGCCAGCGAGACCGCGAGTGAATTCACCCCACGTGCACCCAAAACTGAGCAAGAGTTGAAGCTGGAGCAAGTCATGATGCACCTTGATCCACGATCAGAAACTGATGTTTGATAATAATGTAGATTCCATGATCGAAATCTGTGTGTATTTGTGCTGCAAGTATTTCTTGAAATCGGTCTAAAATCGTGATGAATAAAAACATCATAGCAACGTTTGCCTTTAGATTCTCGTCAAGCTTGGCACAAGGGATATGGGATTACAATGCGCTGCCTCAGTATATCTACATCCTCGAGAACTACTCCAGTCAGGTCAGTTTTGCTTCATTTATCCAGCAAGTGGCAACGCCTGATGGGACACCACCTAATTCCTTCCAATTTTACACAGGCTGTGGGTCTAATTGAAGGCTTGCAAGGCACATGCACAGCTCTGGCAGGCTTCCCCGGTGAGTGCTCCCTGTTTCTGCATGAGGAGTTGAAGAGTGACACTCGGCTTCCAGGTTGCAGCTGTGTGCCTGGTGCATAAATTGATGTTTGCTGCATTACAGCTGGGTGGGTGGCTGATCGCACGCGGAGGGACCGCGTGCTGAGAGCCACTGCAGCGGTAAATGCCTTAGCCATTATCTTGACGGTGTATGCCGTCCTCGCCCCACAATACGATGTGTCACTGCTGCACATCACCACCGACAACAAGTTCCTGCTGCTCTGTGGGGCAATGGCCCTGTGGGGGGCTGCCTACGGGTCCTGGCCGATCGTGGACTCCCTGTTTGCAGACTCTGTGCCAACAGGTGCGCTCCCAGCTGCACTGTGCCTTGATCCATGCGCTGTCCATGCATGGTGTTGTGCTCGGATGTGACGAGTCCAACAGATTGAGTTTACCTCGACCTCTAGCTTGTCTGCAGATGCCCCTCTGCCCATTCAGCAGGAGGAAACTCACAACAAGTGTAATACATGGAATGAGGTGTCCCGGTGCGTGCAGGTGGCCGGGACCGCATCTACACGCTGATGTACAGCAGCAACTACCTGGCGAGCGCGATCGGGCCGCTGCTGGCGGCGCTGCTGTTCTGGCTGCGCGGCAACAGCTGGTCGCTGCACACTCTGGGCGCCGTGGTGCTCATTGGCATGGCCGTCGCGCTCGTGCCCATCTGCACTATCTTCATGTTCAACGACGACAACTCCCTGGATGCCGAAGCCGGCCCCATCACCGAAGCTCTGCTGCAGCCGCAAAAGGATGTCGGTGCGCTCCTCCTTTGCCGCAAGTGAAGGACTCCTTTCTCCTCTGTGTAGCAGGGGCTGGCCACGCCAAATGCTCATCGTCGCACAAATGTTTGATTGCTTCAGTGAAAATGACAAAGACCTGTGAAAAGCCACGCGCCAAGTTGGCGCTGCCAATTGTAATCGAGTCCGGAGTTTAATGCAGCACGCTACCTGGAGAGGTAGACAGTGATGTAAAGAGCTGGGACACATGAGCTGAGCAGACTTTATTGGTGCAGAGGAGGGGCCAGGGGAGAGGAAGGGAACGGGCGGCAGGGAGCGGTGGCTGTGCCTGACGCCGACGGCGGTGCCATACCTGCTGGCGGCCTCCGACACGGTTTATGGGCTGGCATCCGGCATGACCATCAAGTTCTTCCCGGTGTTCTGGATCCAGGAGGTGCAGCTGAGCCCCATGGCCGTCCAGGTGAGAAAAGAACAGGAAACGGCCAACACATGCAGCTGCTGAGGCAGCATACACTCTGCATTTGCTGCAGACTGCGCGTGGCAGTAAGGGTCTGACTTCCGGGTTTTGGCGATCACCTTTCAGGGGATGGCTGCCGCCGTGCCCTTTCTGCTCGCGCTCTCGTCCTACGCCATGCACCCGCTAGCGCTCTGCATCGGTACGCACCTGCCACCTATTACCTTGGCAGTGATCAGTGGAATGTCTTCATGTGTAGACAGAAGGGTGCCCCTGTGCAGTCTTTAAGCAGGCTGCTCCGTTGCACTAAGCAGACAGCAGTAGGTGCCTTTGTCAAGTCGTTTCTGGTTGGATGTGTGACTTGATGTGGTGCTTGTCCGCAGGGCGTGTGCATGCAATATCAGCTGTGAAGCTGCTGGGAGGGTTCCTGCTGGTGTGGATGAGCTTGGATCAGGGGATGTGGCGGAATCCGCCGCTGGTTGTCTGCGTCTATCTGCTGCGGACGATGGCCAACAATTCGACATACGCCCTGCAGAAGTCCATCCTGATGGACTTCGTGCCAAAGGTAGCCTTGCCATGGTCCTCTAACTATTCAGATTGTTTTTGGCAGCCCTCTTCATTCCAGCCGTTGTGAGTGGCTTGCACTGTGGTTCATGATGCAGTGATGTCTGTGGCTGTCTGGGGCAAGGCAGGGCCTGACGCATGCTGCCTGGCTGCAGAGTGCCCGTGCGCGGTGGAACAGCTTGGACTCGCTGTTTGTGTTCTCCTGGTCGGGCTCGGCAGCGTTTGGGGGGTTCATGATAGCGAAGTGGGGCTTTGGGGCGGCCTTTCTCATAACGGCCATCATGCAGCTGCTGGCCTGGGCCATCCTGGTGCCTCTGGTGTGGCTGGTGCCCCGCTCCATGCCCATCCCAGCTGCCCTGTCCCAGGCACAGGTGCGTGCATGCGCCCCTCTGCCTCCGCTGTCTCCTCATGTCCAGCAGGCACCTGCTGCTGGGGAACAGCGGCCCTCCAGCACGCAGTATGTTTCTTTCCGTCCAGTGTGGCTTCAGCTGGGGTTGCTCCATATCAGACTGACAAGGACAGGGCTCCTGTGAGTGGTCTGCGGTTGCCAGTGGCGGTGGTGCAGTGTGAGGCTGACGGCTGCCTGTGATTGCAGGATCAGGCGCCACCCACAGGAGGGGTTGAGGCTGAGTCGTGTTTGTCGAGCGCGGCTGCTGAGAGCACAGCCCTGCTGAGCGGCAACTTGCAGGCGGCCACGCCAATCGCTGTCACTGCCACAAACACTGCGTCAACTTCTCCTGTAGGCAGCCTGCGATGACAATTGTTGGGCTGGTCGCTCAAATGCAACGTGTAAACCTAAACTGCTTGGTAGAATTTATTTGAACGTATCCGCTGATTTATAGACAATTAGTGAAGTCAGTAGAAAAGTCTGCATCTCTTGCAAATTTGATAGATGCCAAATGGTAGGTCTGAACAAGCCTGGAGCCATTGATGCAGGGAAATTTAATGTTACATTGACAATCCTAGGTAATGCTTCTGACAAGGAGCCGCGACTGAACATCTGTCATTTAGTCCATGAGTCTCCCATCATTCATGCTTGTGACTGTTTCCAGTCAAGATATTCAGCCATCCTGCTGAATGTATACTGCAGGTAAAACAAATTAAGATATACCTTGACAATTATACAAGGGCTAGACCATGCGGTTCTAAGACATCGTTTAGAGCTATTGATTGTCCTGATTATGATGCAAGATTTGCTTCCAAAACAAGTGCTTGCATTGCAGTGAGATCATCACTCAAGCAGATGATAAGCAATTGCAATGTCCTGGCTTAGGTATTAAAGTCTCAGTCATCCAATGGCTTTGTAGTTGGATCGCGGAACTGCTTGTAAACCCTGTCAATATCCTTCAAGGCCTCCTCTGAAAGATCGATGTCAAATGCTCCAATGTTCTCCTGCAAAGGCAACATAATCATCGTGTGGCACAAAACATTATAACAAGGCCAAAAGGAAGGGGAAACTTCGAAATCAATCAATTCCTGCAGACTTTGCCCACCTTCAGCTGTTCCAGACTGGTAGCTCCTATGATTGTCGACGCAACATTCCATCGCGATTTACACCAAGCCAGTGCAAGCTGCGTGGGAGTGAGACCATGCTTCTGGGCGACCTGTGCATACTCGCCGACAGCCTGCTTTGCCAGGCTCTTAGTGTACCGCTCCATGTAACCTGCACATGTAGAGGGCATCCCTGATACAATGCACGGCAACAAAGTGACAGGATCAGGCATGCAAAGCTGGCATTGCTTCCTCTTCCAGCCCAGGGAATCAAGAAACAAGTGCACCTGGGAAAAGGGTGAACCGGGAGCCCTCTGCCGGGCCATCGATGTACTTCCCAGACAGCGATCCGCCTGCCAGTGGGCTGTAGGCCAGGAGGCCGACATTGGTTTTGGTGGGAGCACACACCTCTGCCAAGTCCGTCTCAAAGCCAGATCTCACCTGCCCAAGATATGTGCCTCAAGAACAGCCACCCCAAACGACTGCAAAACGTGAAATTGTAACTTAATAGACAATAAACCCACACGGCAGGTGTGAGCGAGCCTGCGCGCACCAGCAGACTGTATGAATTCTGGATGCTGACTATCTTGGGGAGTCCTAGCTGCTCTGCCAGCTGCACAAAGCGCATGACCCCGTACGATGTCTCATTGGAGACGCCAATGTATCGCACCTAAGCCGCACAGCTGCACACATTCAGCCCCTTCCAAAACTGCATTGACACAGCAAGGAACCTTTGTATCTAGTAAGGAATCGCAGTGGCTTCAGGCTCTGGCAGAGTTTCACCTTGCCAGCCTTGACAACCTTCTCAAGGGCTTTGAGCTGCTCCTCAAATGGCACATCCTCTCGCTCATTCACTGGATCGTATGCGGCGGCTCCAAATAGCGGCACATATCTGTCTGGCCAGTGGATCTGCCACAAACAATCACGCATGATTGCATATTCACAGCTCAGACGTTCGCTTCCTTCAACAGGCTTCATGCCCGCAATCCCGCATACCCAGAATTGACAATGCGCATGGCCTGGAGAAGAAGCGACAAAGCACCGCTCATCAAGCAGCATGGATTGTCAACAAGCAAAATCACATTCTACCTGCAACAAGTCGATGTAGTCTGTCTTCAGGCGCCTCAAGCTTCCCTCCACGCTCTCCTCCACTTGCTCAGCAGTGATGCGAGTCTGCTCTCCGTTCTTTCTCAGATACTTATTCCCATACCCAGCCACCTTTGTCGCCAGGATTACTTTATCACGAGCCTGACTTTTGAGCCAAGTGGAGATGTATTCATCTGTCTTTCCCTGTGTCTCCGCACTGCACACCAGACATCTGCCTCATAACCCGTGCCTTGCATGCAAGGCACAGGACTGTCTACGAGGATACCCCTGTTTTGCAAATTGTGCGATAGCCCACTCAGAGGTCATCTGAGGCCTTTGGGTCCAGAGAAAGGCACACTAATCAGGCAGGTCCCCTCAGTGCTGCTCAGATCATGTACCTTGGTGGGACAGGATAGATTTCGGCTGTATCAATGAAGTTTACTCCGGAGTCATTGATGGCATAGCTCAGCTGGGTGTGGGCATCTGCCTCGGTGTTCTGGACACCCCAAGTCATCGTCCCCAAGCAGCATTCTGCACAGAAAAGGATGCCGATAGATATGTGAACGTCGATAGCTAAGTATGAAATTTCAAAGGATTTCAATTGCAGTGCTGACCACAACTTGAGAGCAACTATATGATAATACGATTGATCTGATGATCTGGGTATTTGAGACTGTCCAGGTGCTGATGGTTGAGGTCACTTACGGCTTACAAGAAGGTCGCTGTCACCAAGTTTCTTCAATTTTGCAGCCGCAAGAGTTTTATTCTCAGTGGCTGCAGCTGCATTGCAAAGCACAGGCCTACATGTCGCTCGTGATCTGGGTACGATCACGAATTGCGAACATTTTACGAGGCTTCGATCCAACATATTTGTATAATTCTCTCCTTGTTTTATCAATTTAAATAAAAATACAATCGTATCAAAGAACTGAAATCAGCTGGAATGGGTGGGACTGCCCACAAGGAGCACGCCACGTCTCCATTTGCTTTATCGAATCCCTTTTAAGGCTTGCTGCAGGCACGTGACGACATCACACTCCACCACACAAAGCAGCTTTCTTTTTGAAAGCATTGCTCTGCAAGCTGCTATCTGAATTTCAGTTCATCTGTAGATCTCTGGGCCCTTTTGTTTGCGCTGTGGCTGGGATCCGCTAAATGCGCACGCCCCTGGCCCGGCCCTCCTGCAAGGATACTGTCAGTCTCAGCCATCTTACGTGCTGGATCACCCATAATGCTCAAGAGCAAGCCAGGTAGCAATGCAGGTAGCAATGGAGTAAGGACACTGCAATGACCTTCCCCACGGCCTCACCAGGTATGCTGGGAAGTGTTTCCAGCAGCCCTCCTTTCCTCTGGGCCTCCAGTTTTGCTGCAAACATCTCCTGTCCCCGCTCCCACAGTGCAGCATCCACAGTATTCTTGTTCCTGGGTGAGCAAAAACCAAGATCTCAAAGACATGATTCCCTTGGGAACATGCTCCGTTCACACAACATTTATCAGGCCAGGTTGAAGCATCATAGCGGCATGCCTTGGCTGCAGAATACTGTACAAGTCAAGTGCCGCCCAAGTTGCAATGAGGGACACCTGATGCGAGCCAGAATGGCCGGATTTATTGCCGCGCGCGACGCCTTGGAGAATTCTAGGCTGCGGCCCTTCGGCAAAGGCAATGAGCTGAACGAGGATGCCTTGCGCACAGCCGCCTTCTTGCGCGCTCGAGCCACGCACTGCGCGTATGCATGGCCCAGCGGGGCCGGATGCAAGTACTCCTCATCCTCCTTCACCTGCCTCAGCGCTCCATCTGGCCCTGCCTGGAATGCATCTGGCGCTGCCTGCACACAGCCATCCTTCATCGGGGATGATGCATCCCATCACAGCATCTTTGCAAAAGTCACTCTCTGCTTCAGGTAGAGTGTTGAACTCTATAACTTTAAGAGGCCAGCATAACGCTCAGCAGATGCCTGATTAAACTGGCAAAAGAAACCAGCGAACCTTCCATGCTGGGCCCTTCATCTTCAGATGCATGGCGGCAGCCAGGGACAGGATGGACTCCTCCAGGCGCTCAGTGATGCCCACATGCGCAAACGCCTCCAGCTTCTGTAGGGCCAGCTGCTGGATCTGCAGCCGCGCCTTTGGCGTGCCGGCCATGCACCGCCTCAAGTCTCCCGTGTCCTTCCATTGACTGTAATTTGTGATCCCAAGCACCTGCATGTAGATGAAAGTTCATGATTTGAGACCTCGTGCTCAGATCCCAGGCAGCAGCATTTTGGTGGCATTGCGGAGACGCAAGAAGGGAAAAATTGCAGCAAATTACCTGGAGCGCCGCACCATTGTGCAGGAGTTCATGCACGATCGGGGCGTCAACAAAATGCGCCAGGGGCATGATCAAGGGGTTGTCATAGGGGTCCAGGCTTCCACTCAGCGAGCTGCCGTCATTGTTTGACGCCCTCCACCTGATGTCCTCCTCCATCCATGGCACAAGCAGGGACCAGGGCCACACGTCGCGCGTGCTGACCTTGGAAGGGTCCACCTGTTTACATTTTGATTAGTCGCGCAACACTGCATGCAGGCGATACAGAAAATTGAAGACCAATATTTGTGCATTCTGCATCAGACGGCCCCTCACCTTCGCCTGTTTCCGCCCATAGACTGCCCGCGCGGCGACCTCCACAGTAAATTCATAGGCGCTCAGGATGCGATCGAGTGGATCTCTGCGCTCGGGGAGTCACAGTCAGGGGCCGCCTAATTGAAACAAATGCAGATCACAAGCAAGTCGAGACAGTGAATCAGGATGTAAGCAAGCCAGATGAGGGAGCAACCTGAGCTGTGTGACGATAGCTGTATCTGAAGGCAAATACTGCAGGATGCTGAGGTCATCGTGGCTGCCAAGCAGTCCGCATGCTGGGATGCTGGTGTTGAGCCGCAGGAGGTCATAGCTCTTCTCGCATCTGTGGCTGGGTGGTGTGGCCAGCTTCAGGAAGCAGGAGTGATACGTTCTCCCAGCTGTGCGTGGGACATGGAGAAAGAAGACAGTCTTCGCGGCAGCTGCATGCACTACATGCAACTGATGATCCAAGGCACCACCTCTCTGATGAAGATTATGTTGATTCAAGATCTTTAGCCAACGTCCCCTCACTTACCTGGGTCCTTCTTAAGAGGTCCTGTGCTGTGATCGGCCAGGTAACTAGCAATTTGAGCCCCGCATGAATCCTCTGTGCGTCTTTGGGGACTCTTGTTCAACGCCATCGTCCCACAAGGACAGAATATAAAAGTCCAGGAGAGCAATGCGATGGCACATGCTGCCCTGGGTGGCCAGCCTCCACCATTTCCGCTCTTCGCCGGCTTCTGCTCCCGATATAGGAGATGTCTTCTCATCGATCCTTGTCAAAGTGGAGATTTTATTGTATCGCTCAGGTTTGATCACATCTTGCTATGTTGAAAAGAGAAATCAGCCATCACTTAGCTTGTTACAACCTCGATTGGCCCATGCTTTCATTTTCAATATTGCAGATAGCCAACATGTCAGGCAGACATCCGTTGTAGCCTTATGCTTTGCCGACAGAGAAACACTGGATTCTTGCAGATGAGTCACCATGATGGTGGGCATGCAGGCAAGATGCAGCATTGCATTTCCTCTGTGAGAGTACATTCCATTGATGCACGATCGTACTAGATGTGCTGGTAATTAAGTCGCCCACCGTTGGTGGTCATAGTAATTTCATCAGTTGGGCTGCTGCCTGTTCACTTCAACATGTCAATGCACAAGGAGAAGCGTATAAGGGATCGGGTGGAGGGCATGTGCGTTGCATAGAAGGAATAGTGGTCTCATATACACTTTCGTGATACATGACACAATATGGGTCTCATTTTGTCACTAGACACTGGCTTGTGAGGAACCCAGATCGCCTGATGTGCACTGTGCAGATACAACAGACAGGAAATGGAATTCGCCTCCAAGAGCCAATATGACGACTACCTGGAGGAGAGAGAAGATATCAGTATGCCCCTGACGTGTAGTTTCTTTGTCTTGCATGCATTCATCAAGGTCCGGTCCTTGATCAAGCAGTTATGATGGGTCCCTCTGTGCAGTTTACAACCTCATTGAGGGCCTGGAGGTGGAGGAGATGGAAGCTAAGATAGCTGCATATCAGCGTGAGAACAGGGAAAACATACTGCAGAATGACGCGCGGAAGGTGAGGCGCTTCCTCGTCTTGTCTTGGGTTGAAAGCCCGTGCATGGCATGGCATTGCATTGTTTTCCTTTGCCAGCTCCATGACTATGACCTGGCGAGTAACAGGCAGAGGAGGCGCGGGCACGGGCTCAACGCGCTTCAGGGAGCGCAAAGACAGCGAGTACTGCTCCTTCGACTTCTGCTCCTACTCAGCAGCCTGAAGATGCAACCAAGTACAATGCTACAGCGGTCATGTGCGCCCTTCCTCCATGCAAGCCTTCACCACTGATGGAAAGAAAGTGACTTTAAGGCAACCAGTCATGAGGGCAACCTGGAACCGTACACACACATTGCAGATCATATGTCCCGGCATGTTCACATTTGAGGCACGATTGTTTGGTGACAGGCCGGCTGCACCACCGCCTGCCCAGCCGGCGCCACGACAAGCCGCTACAGCTGCAGCTGGCCTCAGTGGGGACGACCCGGGCAGTCGAGAGCGCATAGCACGAGCAAGTGGTTGGGATCCAAACTTCCAGCATGACCGCCTGCTGCAAGAGGCATACAGCACCATATTTCTGAGGCCGCTGCCAAGCCCAGCTGGCCAGCTTGTAGAATAGATACTCGTCAATTTTGTCTGTGAGATTGTACAGTAGGAGAGTTGACAATCCTGCTGCTAGTGCTCATGATCTTCACTGCAGGGGTCTGTTCACAATGTCATGTAACCTCTCTGATGTTTATCAGCCAAGTTTTAAATTTCCTTTAATGGACAGCCAATGAATGACTGCCCAAACCAGAGCTATTGAGCAATTTGCATTTGTTGGTTAATTAGGCCCGTGGTTGCTTAAAAGCCCGATTTGAACGTCTCAACAAGCATTCCTTGATGTCAAGTTGACATCCTCAACACTGAAAACGGTTTGACCACAGACATTTAGATTTGCACGACGCCGGACAGACATCCCGCACAGAGAGGATATCCATGCTTTGAAAGGGCCTCCGTAAGACACATCAACACGATGTAAACAGGACACACAGATAATATACATGAAACATGAGCTGACGCCGGACACCTCACAAGGGGTCCAAGGCTGCAGCCTCAAGGTGGCGGCTCCTTGTCTAGATCCAGGACAACCTTCTTTAGAATGAAGTCTGTGGGCTTGTGCGCATTCTCCGGGTTTTTGGACATGCGCTGCCAGCGCTCGCCATGCCGTGGGTCGGCCTTCTTGCAGCGCTCAACCACAGCGGCCTGCAGCTCGGGCGTCCCAAACTGGCACTCGAACTTGTACAGCAGCGCCCAGAAGTCCCCGATGTCCGGCTTCAACAGCAGCGCTCTGTTGAACCAGCTCCGCGCCTTCTCCACCTGGGCCCATGCACCCAGCTGACTCAAGGTCCCTCCTTGCATGCTCTATCATATACCACCGCACTGCTGCGCAATGTGCATGCTTAAGTTAATCTCCTGTGCCTGTCCCTGCCATGAGAGGCAAGGTGCATCTGTGGGGCAGCTGCAGTTGCAGTTGTCAAGCTTCCTCTCCTACTCTTGTACACGCCCGAACCAATGAACACATGATCAACATCTGTCATGTGCATATAAAAAGAGAACAACAGCCACGCTGCGCACCTTGCGGTCGTTCCAGAAGAGCTGCGCGACAGCGGCAATGATGTGGGGGTCATCATTGCAGCGCTTCAGGGCGTCAAGCGAGCGGCTGCGGCGTTGCGGCCGGGGCGCCATGGCCACGGCCTCTGCATTGAGTGGCCCGCTGGCAGGGCAGTCCTGCAGCGCCTTGGCCATCAGCGCCTCAGCCGCCTTGACGTTGCCTGCCCGCTGCTCCGTGCGCACCGCCGCCAGCCACAGCTCCTCGTTTTTCGGGTTCTTCAGCCGAGCCTGCAGCCAATATTTTGCTCAGTCAGAGCTGTTGGATGCGCGAAAAGAAGGATCAAGGCATCTAAAAGTCTGGCATTGAACCCCTTGCTTCCACATGTCATACAAGACAAATGCCAAATGTCCAAAGAAAGAACAAAGAAGACTATGTCAGTCATGCAGAGGCCGTGTGTGCTGTGAGGGGCACCTGTTCGAGGAGGGCGCGCGCTTTGGCGACGGAGCCAGCGGCTTCTTCCAGGCGCGCGATGGAGCGCCAGAGGGGCACGCTGTCCATGCAGCGCTTGAGGCCGTCCAGGTAGGAGGCGCGCGCTGCCTCCACCCGGCCCTGCCGCTCCTCCAGCTGGCCCAGCATCAGGTACAGCTTGTGGAAGCCCGGGAACTTCTTTATGCCCTCCTGCAGCAGCTGCCGCTCCTGCACACAGCCCCAGGCACCCCGCTTAATCACCCATACCATGTCTGCTTCTGTGTGCAAGCATCTATTGATGAATTAACGCAGTACGCGTGCTGCTTATGACCGCTCATATCCCCGTTGGGATTGCTACTGCTCGCTGTTGGCAGACCACCAAAGACATCCCTGAACAGGAACCTTCACTAGTACATTTATTATCCGGGGATGAAACGCAGACACAATGGCCCCTTCTTTCTGCAGAGACGTCAGCAGCGCCGCAGAGCAATTTTATAATCCTCTAGCCTTCAGTAACCAAGTGACCTCTGGGTGGGGCACCTTATTCCAGCATGCAGAGCAAGAGTTGTGCAGGGAGACAGGGCTAATTAGGCAAAGGGGCACTAGAGAATGCCCTCACCTCGGCGGCGTTGCCGAGCTCGCGTTCGACGATGGCGGACTTCATCCAAACGCGGCGCGTGGATGCGGTGGGCGTGGCGCGGGCACGGGCCAGCAGGGCACGCGCGCGCTGGGGCTCGTCGTTTTCAAACTCGAGCTTGAACGCGGCCAGCCACACCGCCTCGCTGTCCGGGTTGGCGCTGAAGGCCTCCGATAGAATGTGCCGCGCCGCCTCCACGTCGCCCGCCACCCACTTCTCCTTTGCCGCCATCAGCCACAGCACTTCGCTCTGCACAGCACACACCAGCCACGCTCTGTCAGCGTACAGACGCAAGCTCATGACTGCAAAGCCGCGCAGCTCCTCATGGGCAAGCCAGATGAAGTTGGTTTCGTGCGCACAGCGTCACAGAGTCAGGCCTTGCAGTGCAGGAATGAGCTTTGAATCAGACATGTCCGGCCCGTATCTGTCCGCGAGCTTTAGCCTTCTCAACACGCAGCCATCAGAAGCCAAGGGAAGCTGTTGTGCGGAACGCTTGTGAGCCAGCTGCCACAGCTTGGGCAGCGGCTGTATCTATGCTCCAAGATAATTAGTACTTACATCAGAACGACAACCTAGATCGCTAAAGTAGCAGGGGGTCAGGGCAAACCCACCTGTGGGCAGTAGGACACGGCCTTTTTGAGCATAGCATCCAGAGTCTCTGGTGTGCCATGCTCCTTCTCAAGCTTCGCGGCGTTGATCCAGACGGACTTCTTGCCCGGGAACACTTGCAGTGCATGCGTGTAGATGGCGCGCGCCGTCTCAACCATCCCGCGCTTGAGGCAGTCCTGCACCACAGCCACACCCCCATGTATTCAGCAAAGCAACATAAGGGTTATGGACATCGGCGAATCGCCAGGCAAAGAGATGCATCGAAGGAGTGCATGCGACAGGTGGCAGCAAGACATGTACCTCTGCATCTGCCTTCCAGGTGATCTTGCGATCTTCCTCCTCGACCCCATTGCCAATGACTGTCTTCACAATGGCCCTGCACGTGACCACATTGGGTGGATTGGCCTGCTCTGCCGCCTCCGCTTCCTGCACTCCCACACAGCAGCTTTGGCAACTCCCACAACAGGCATGCGCGTTTGTTGCAGGAATGTGCAGACAGCCCACATTGAAAGTCAACGGTGCAGTATGAAGGATAAGGTGCATATTTAGGGTTGCGATAATCACACACGAACGGCTTATCGTGCATGCCTGATACAGCAAGACCCCCGTTGTTGTCCGCCAAACACGAAATGTGCCTTTCTCCGGATACCACCCCGAGCCTTGTTTCTCGGCGCTGGGACTCGGCCAATGGCGGGTGCAGTTGCGTAGGTATAGGAGTCGGAACAATTTGCTCAAGGAGTGGGATACTCACCTTTAGCCAATCTTCCCTCTTGATGACCACGTTGTTGGCCTCCAAGGAGATGATACCGCGATCAATAATCTTCTCCACCATGTGCGTGTTGCCCTGCATCAGAGCAAAGTCTCAAACATGTGCATTGTACTTGAAAGGCCTGAAGACACAGGAGATTTCGAGGCCAGTTCTTGCGCACCTGAGCTTCCTCCAGCTTTGCGGCTGTAATCCAAATGGATGCATCTGTTGGTATGGCCTGCCGGGCTTTGTTGAGAACCTTCCTGGCATTCTCATAGCTCTCCAGCCGTGCCAGTGCCAGCCACAACTCCACATGCTGCACAAGAAAATCCAACTCTGCTCAGTTCTCCTCAACAGAAGGGTCGAGTACACTCGTGAAAAAACGCAGCACACGCAGTGAGACGGTGCAGGAAGAGGAGCAGGGAGCGAAGCACCTGTGGACAGCATTCCACAGCACGTGACAGCAGCACACGGGCATCGTCCTGGTTGGCCAACTCAACAGCGGCCTTCCAAAGCCGCACAGAGGTGGGAATTCGCTCCAGAGCCCTCCTGAGCACGCGCGACTTGGCCGCATCGTCTGTCTCCAGCCGAGCAGCCTGCACACCAACGCATGTCACCTTCACCTCATGATGATATCAGCAATGATGATGGTATGATGATGTGAATGACAGTGCATGGAACCCTCAAGTGTCCTGCCCATAGGACATAGAAGGAAGCCAGAGGAGTGATCCAGGAGCAGGGCTGCATCACCTGCATCCAGAGCTTGACGGAGGTGGGGTTGGCAGCCACGCCGCGCGCCAGTAGCGCCTTGGCGTTGTCCTGGGTCTGGAAGCGCGCTGCCTCCAGCCACACGTCCTCGCTGGTGGGGCACAGCTCGCACCCCTTCATTATCAGCTTCCGTGCCTCCGCCAGCTTCCTGCACATGCCCACACAACTCCTTCATGCAGGCCAGTATCACAGCGAAACAAGCAACAAGATGCATTCCAGGGCTTCTTCATTGCAAGGCACCTTGATGCGGCAGCACAACACATGGTGTCCTATTGTGAGGGGTGTCTGCAGAGGAGGAACACAGCCTGCTACTGCTCTTGTGGGACCCATGACACTTGTAATCCAGCAAACAAAACACTTGCAAGAGGACGAAGGAACGCACCCTGCCAGCTCCTCGAGGCGGGCGGCGGCGACCCAGCCGGGGGCGTGCTTGGGGTTGGTGTTGATGACGGACTTGAGCAGCGTGCGCGCCTTCTTGATGTCCCCAATCTCCGCATCGCTCGTCAGCGTGATGGAGTTGAGGTCTGTCAGGTAGCCCTTGGGGTCCACCACCGTCTGCCCCGACACGCTGTCCGCCATGCGGTCCAGGTTGATGCTCACCACCTTCCGCCGCCCCTCCCCTATGTCTGTCAGGTTCGTGCTGCATCAACGACGCACACACACAAGTCAGTAAGATTCGTCTCACTGCAGGATGGATGAATGTCGGCCGAGAGCACGCTGCAGCCTCCTGGTCAATTTCAGACTCGAATGTGAGAATGTTTTGAGGTATCTTGAGGCGCGGGAAAGTGTGGAGAGGTGGAGCACCTGAGACCACCAGGAGTAGCCAGGCCGTCAAAGCCTCCACGGGTGTCCAAGGTGGTTGTGTTCTCAGACTCGGCAAGCTTCTTCGTCAAGAGATTGTCCGGCGTTGGTGTGAATATCTGCACACAGCACACCACAACATGAGTGTAGGCTGTTGCAAAGCATTGATCAATGTCCCAAGGAGAAACACGGGCGGTGCATCTCAAACAAGGCACAGATGCAGAAGGCAGAGGAGGCCTCGTGCCTGCATCTTGTTGCGCTTGTGCTGCGTGTAATCTCCAATTTCGGGGATGGCCTCCCACTCTGACAGGCTCACTTCCGCCAGTTTCCTCTTGAAGGGTGCAAATTGCTCTGTGATCTTAGGATTCTCCTTCCTATACTTTTCAATCTCGTCCTTCAAGCGTTTTTCTCTCTGATCCTTTCTCCTCTGGTCCATGAATGTATCAATGGCTTCCCATACCTGAATGACACAGATCAGCTGTAAATGTCACCAAGCATACGCTCTAGCAGTGAGAGACAGATAGACCAGTCATTAGTCATATACATGCAGACGGCAAGCCTTCTGAGTGTCCAATGCCAACAAACTTGCAAGTTGGCCATCCACACCTCATCTGCTTCTTTGTCATCCTGGTCATACTCTCCAAAAGTGCCAGCAAGCGCTCCAGTATCATTGCCCATGAATTCATCAAACTTACTGTCGTCCTCCGCATCGTTCTCTGCTGGCTTCGGCGCAGGCTTTGCAGCTGGTGCTGGAGGAGCTCCTGGTGCTGCCTGTGAGACACATGGATGTAAGCATTTCAGGCACTTCACAAGAGTGGGTTGAGGCCCACGACCCAAGTGCTTCCAACAATTAGGCTAAAGGTCTCACGCAATGGACAGATCGACGCTGCTCAGATTATCCTGAAAACTACACAGGTGCCGCCATTGCTTTGATCTATGTGCTATCCACAGCAGGAGCTGGCAGCTTCTTCTGGGTTTAGATCACCAACAGGCAGGAACTATGCTAGCAAATATAAGTAGACAACAAACTGATCTTACCGGCATCTCTGGAGCCATCCTCGCTGGTCCAATATCGGACCGGGTGGTGAATCCAGTGGCACCACGTCCCAAGCCTGGGACATAATTTGCTGGGACAGGCATTGAGTTGAAGCTCACGACGGGAGGCTTCTGCGACCCTGGAGCGCTTGGTGTATGTACACCTGCCATGATTCCAATCAAAAGTCTATCTACTACCAAAGAGTATCTGCTCGTTCCTTGCTCATAAACAAGCCATCACCAGCCGTCCTACAATGAAATTCTATATACGATCATCTGAACGACATTCGGTGCTGATGTGTTTCAGCGACAACAAAACTGGTAAAATTTAAAGGGATGTCGTCGTGATCTGAAGTAATAATTGTTGGTGTCCAAGTTGAGAAGGAAGGGCACCTGACCGGTGGCGTTCCTGACTTTGCATGCAAACGTTTGGGCAACCTGACAACCTTCCTTGGATACATCTCCTAACTACCTTTGAAGGGTCTGGTTGTCCTGTCGAAATCCCACAAATGCTGATAAGCCTCAACCTAGCTGCTGATGAGTAATTCTACCCTGGCTCGGCCCGGTCCTGGCCTGCAGCCAGCTGCACCGGTACCGTGTGACTCATGTCGGACATATGGGCCCCGGGGACCCGGCGGGACCAATACCGCTGGCATGGCCGTCTTTTGGCGGACAGTACCACGGCATACCAATACCTGAGTGGCCAGCAAGGCCCACATGAACCAAACTATTTAGAAAGCTGGCAGCGCCGAATAATGCCCAGTGAACGTTGAAATATTGCACAGAACTCATATATAATTTTCATCAGCTGGAAGCCGTCGCATGCGCAGTCATCATATCTATGATAGTACCACGTAAAACGTACCACTTTGACATTCTTACAAAGCTATTCACTGCACTTGCAACGTTGCGCGGACTAGGTTAGCCAAGCAAAATAGCCTTAGGCCTGCACCTGGTTGGTCATCAACAGGTTTGTTCGCTTCTGTACACTCCAGCATCCAACATCCTACAACACAGCTCTGAAATTGCCCTAGAGACGCTGAGATCTGAACACATCACAAAGGACAATCCATGGGATTTTAAGCAACCTAGGCCCACGATAAAACAAAACGCCAATGCGCATGCGCAGACCAGACTACTGCAACACCTCCATGGGGCTCCGAACACCAACAGGACTTACTGGAAACAAGCTCAAAGATCAGAAGTTCAGGATGGCATTCCAGCGCTGCAATGCTGCAAGAGCTCCATCAGGCCAGCAGTGGCCATACAGGTGGAACTGGAGGGAGTATTCTGGTACCAAAGCAGTGCTGCTACACAAGCACGTGTAAGGGACATCATGGCCATGACAAACGGTAACGTCATGGCTAGCCCGCATCGCACTGAATTTTAATTGACAACAGGCCAGATCAGGAATTTGCCTCCCAACATCGTAAAGAATGAGGAGCAGAGCTGGATGAGATCAGAATTTCAACAGCTCAAGCACGCCCTGCGCAAATTGCTGGCGACCGTCAGGCACAATGGTCCCAGGCCCAATGTACATATCGTACAGAGCGCGGCAGAAGTTCTCACTGGGAAGGTCCTGAGAGACCTCTGCATCAGCAAAGTCCTTGAAGCCAGGCGGGAACAGATCTCCAGTCAGCACATTGTCCTCTGCAGTAAAATTTGCAATCCTTAGTGTCTCTGTAAATCTGACACAGACTGTTGATCCTGGGGCAAAAGATGGGATGACCCACTGCTGCTGTCTCTCCAGTAGGCATTGATGGTCATATAGGGTGCCCACCTTCCCATAGTGACAGCAGGGTCGTTCCAAACTGGAACGACTTGTCCTTGAAGAAATCCAGAAATGGCTGCAGCAGGCCTTGATCGCCCGTCCTCTCTAGCCGCGGTCGCAGATCTTTGCTGATCTCGCTATCAAACTGGCTCACTGATCCAAGGTCCCACAAGAAGGGTCAGAGTAATCCCACAAGAAGGGTCAGGAAAAAGTGATGCATAGGAAGGCAGGAGGACCGATCACTGTCGAATTTTTCACCTGTGGCACTGCGAAGCATCTGGATTTGCAGGCACTTCCTGAATTTCCCTGCATTAAGGGCTGCTGTGAGGCTGTCATCTGTGTAACCTTGTCTCTTAAAAAAGCCCTCATCCTGCAGCCTGCGGAGCTCCTTGCGTGCTACGTCTGCCTCCACATACAAAGCCACTGCATATACCTGCAGCAGAGGAAATTACCAACGTTGGATGCCACCAGCATTCCTTTGGGCTACTTCGACCACGACATGCATAAAACAACATGATATACCTTAACATTGATAAATAGAATTTTCTTGTAGTAAATTCCTGATCCGAGGAATGCAAAATCTCCGCCCTCCCATAGCTTTTCTGTCGGTGGAAAGGACGATGCCGACAGGAGGTGCTCTTGATCTGCAGCGTCAGATGGCCCTCCAAAACAACATTCCTGTGCGTAATGTATACATGCAATTAATGAGACTTTAACGATCGCAATCAACTGGGCTTTGTTGTTGCTAGCTTCCGCAGAAGCTTACCCATGGGAGCCACATCTTGTTTTCGTTGAACTGTACGATGAAGTAGAATGATAGCTTTGGTGTGCAGCAGTGCGTAGGCAGTATTGAATTTGAACAATAGTGAACAAATCAATGCTCTTTGCCTCGACAACGAAGAGCGGACAAAGGTTCCTCTTGGACATTTCGCACGTGCGTGCATTCTGCAGGCAGGTGCAGAGAATGTAGGAAGTTCCTGGGCTCGTTGCTGCTCGTTGCTGCTCTGCCTGCAAAAGTACAGGCACTAGACACCTGTACTGATATGCTGCGCACAGGCAGCTCTTGATCAAGGCATGCTTTCGACCGTTGTTGGGACAGTTGCTGTACTTCCAGCCACCCTCGCATTCCTTGGCAGAAAGCATTTCCCCCTTCCAGTGACACTAGTCTTGGCACATGTAGCTGCTTCAGGATTTGTAGTCGCACTCGCTGCGACCGATAAGTTCGCAGGCTCATCCACATTCCTCTTGGGCAAGGTGACTACTCTGGGTTGCTCCACAGCTGTTCTGGGTGGACATTTCATACACGGAAATTTCCCTCAATTATATCAGACTTACAAATCAATTATTGACTTTCGTGCAGCAACCTTCTGGGAAAATCTCCTGGTGGGGCTGGGCTCTTTTGTGGCCCTACCACGTCTCTCTCAGAACAAAGCTGTGGATCCAGCGTTATACCAGAGAGGAGCCAGTCTGGAACCACATCATTGACGGATGGTGAGGCATATGTCTTCAGCCCTTTGATCGAGATGTTCTTGATTGACAAGGTCAAGTAGGTTTTGAGAAGTAGAAAAGAGCGTTTCAACACCTGCCATAGGTACCTGGGAGGTTGGCCAGCTTCACCAACAATGGTGCCTGACGGAGCTCCTGCCATTCTGGATTGCACGTGCGAGCTGCCACGTCTTCAGAAGCACCTACCCTATGACAACCTTGCGGTCTGGGATACACATGGTCAGGCCTCAACCCAGTTCGATATTCTTGCCAATACCCTATACATGTATTTCTGCATAAAGCAGGCGCTTTGGGTCTAAAGGCAAGCCGAGCCATCTCAAGAATGACCAGTCAGCATTGCTTCCCCTAGATGATTTGTTGATGTCAGTCTCCTGCAATGTGCAGGTCCCAGTGTGAGGCAGATTGACGAGGGCGTGAAATGGGCCCTGAAGCAGAGGGAGTCTGGGCGGCCTGTCCTGGTGCACTGCGCCCACGGCCATGGGCGTTCATTGGTGGTCATGTGCGCCATCCTTGTTGTGAACGGGCTCGCTGGCGATTTCCTGGAGGCCTATAAGATTGTTAAGGCTGCCAGGCCCAAAGTGCGCCTCAACGGCCGCCAGCACAAAGCACTGGTGCAATGGCAGGAGCACATGAAGGGGCGCACAAAAGCCATGTGATGCATGCAGTCCAGTAATATTTTGATTTAGTACCAACCCTGCTTTTAAGCTGGGCCATGATACTCCTGAAAGCAAAAGATGAGTCATTGTTTCCCTTGAGAGTCGATCGACAAAATGCATCACACTCTGCGTTCCAGACTGCAATATGCACTTGCTTTGACATGACTAGCATTGCAAGGTTTATGTGGCCGTTGAAGAGTTCTGGGGTCCCAATTCATTCCGCCCAATGTTCCTCTACAAGAGGGCGTGGCAGCCTGTCGACGCCTTGATTAGCCTGAAAGCGGTGACACATTAGATAATGCGCCGCGGCCGAGGAGATCTTCTGTGAAGTGACCTCTTGATAAAATGCATGCACTCATGTGCATGCTGACATTATAGTTCCCCGCAACAGTATGTGCGACCAAGTTGGTGTGTGTCACCATGGTAGGATACCGACTGATACAGGGTCACCTATGGTGCTCAGTGCAATGACAATTAATTCTTGGCCAAGAATTTATAATAGCGTGCTAGCCTACGCTATACAATATTCGTAATCGAGTCATCACCTGCAATCACCGAATAGATGTACAACCAATTGGTATCAAAAGTGATGCAGCAGCTGCCTGAATGTCGTTTGCCATGTTTGTATTTATAAACAAAGCAAGTGCTTTCAATTATATGTTAGTGTGTAACAGGCCCCCGCAGCACGCGTGCCAGACCATTTTGCAATTGGCACTGTCACAACCGATAATTTCTTCAACTTAGACAGAACATCACACTAGGGCTGACACCACTGCCGGCAGACTGACAGAAACCTGCCATCGCTACTTCACTGGACAGACAAAAACAGTCACAGGTCAAACCCGGCGGAAGGGCTCAGCTAAAGCTGTTTGCATTTATAGCGGATGTCTTCACATGCAGCCAGTCTCCCACGCTGTCCCAATGCAACACCAGTCATCACTCAGCATTGTTGATGTAAAGCACTATCAAGCATTCGCAAAGAGCGGTGATGACGCAGGCGGCGGCTCTGGCCATCGGGAGCAGTGTGGCATCACACAGCACTGCTTGTGAGAGAGTAGTCGCAAGAGAGGGTGTGGAGATTTCTTCATTCGCTTGTGGTGATCAGCACTCCATCAACATCTGGACCTTCGTGACTGGTGTACACATTCACTCCGGCTGCCTCCAGGATCTGTCCCACGAATAGGAATGGCTGATCCGGCTTTGAGCCCTTCAGCGAGCCTCCAGTCTCTTCTGCTGCTGACTGCAATGCTTTCCATTGGACAGTCCCTGGCTGCAGCTCATTGAGGGACTGCCTTGTGATGAGGCTGACCCAGCCGGACTGCGTGCTGACAGACCCAGCAAAGTTGTACTGGAAGATCTCCTTGCGCTTCCCGAAAATGTAGCTGCTCATGGGGTCATCTGCATCGCCCAGCTCAAATTTCGGGCTGGACAGCAGCGGGAGAAGAGTGAGAGGAACCCTAACCTGCAGTGTACCTTCTCCTGATCCCGTTTCCAGGACCTTTCTGGGATCCGCCACGATCACTGCGCACATCATGGACATGTTCTGAAGGAACTGCATCACAACAAACAATATCACGTCGTCCTTGTCCTTGTCGGACGTATATAATCTATACCTTCTGAGACGTGATCCGAAGATGCCGTGCAGACTGTCGATCTGATAGCTCTCGGAAATGTGTTGTAAATATTTGACAGCAAATTTCGAGGAGGGCGGCATGAAAGGGTGTATCTGAAGACTTTCAATGCCTGCATGGGACTGTGATGATTTCGTCAATTGAACAAGAGATGTCCTGCCCGAATTACTACCGTATTTGCCAGGAGCATTAATCTGCAGACATCTCCATTGTGTCGACTCGAACAGGCACATCGATATCAACATTGAAAAATTTACACCATGTGCCTGCAGGTGCTTTGGCAGGTGCTGTCATGCAGGTGACGCATCCCGCGGTTTCTGATCGAAGCCAACTTTTTGATAGCGCAAACTTTCAAAGTTTGGTGAAGCAGATAGCGTTGTTCAAAAGAGAAGGAGTGCAAGAAGACAAGAAGACTTTGTATGGGCTGCAAGCTGAAACGAGATTGTCCATGGACACTGTTGTGCAGCTCCGTGCTCAAGCAGTTTGATTGGTGACCAGAACTACATCCAAAACACTGAGATCATACTCGTCAAGCATGTCCTACGTGGCGGCGTTGGCAACCTTGCTGGAGATGTTTCCAACGGTATGCCACTGCTCTGGCGCATCGTCCAATAGGTTAGGGAAAGCTCTGATGTCTTTTTCTCTCTAAACATGAGTTGCTGGTGGCAGATGCCAAGAGAAGTGGTTGAGGCAGTCCTGAAGGACCATGGAGGCAACCTCCAGGCTGCCACTGAGGCGCTCTTGGCAGCTAGCGGCGAAGACCACAGTCAATCGGTGAGGCATGGACATCAATATACATTTGTCACCTGCATGTGCATCAAGATCAGAAGGTGCAAGTGCAGCTGCTGCTGTCCTTGCGCAGGGCACTTCAGCAAGCACCTCCCAGGTCTGGCAGGACGAGGAGTTGGCAAGAGCGATGCAGGTCAGAACAATAATGCTGCAAGTCTTGTTCCTATAAGATTCTTTATGTGCTGGCTTTGGATGCTCTTTGTCAGATGCTGTGCTTTGGATTTGATCCAAGGGCTGATTGTGAGGACAGGCTCAACTTGATGCTGAGACGGGCAGAGCGGGTGGTGCATCCTGGATCCACGATGAGCCCAGAGATGCTGAGCGCGACGATTCATCGCTCCCAGAAAACTCTCTGTGGGACAATGTAGGACCTCCTCACTCTGCTGACATCTCATGAGGCTGTGAATTTCTGCTCCCCCAAGATTGTCTCGAACAATTGGTTTGCTGCCTGTTGCATGCCCATTTACAGGGCTGCGGGCTGCATTGCAGGGTGCAGAGGACCCCTTTAAAGATTGGAGAGGGATGGCAGAAACTGTGGGGCAGACGCTCTCTGACGGCTTCAGCATGGTGACAGATACGTTGTCGACATGGCTGTCCGCCCCCTTTGAGGACGGAGAAGAGGAGGACCCCCGGCAGCGGCCAGGATCTGCCAGGTGACTTGCCTTAGTCCTGCAGGCCAGATACAGAATGGAATTTTGTGCGAGCGCAAGCCGCTGCTTCTACTATAGATGCCCTGCTATTCCAGGGATTGAGTGCTGATGGTGAGCAGGGATGCTGAACATGCGGATGATGGAGACAGAGGTACAGTGGTCACGGGTGGAGGCGAGGCAGGCTTGCAGGTGGCAGTCCACAGGAGAGCGCAGCTGAGGGAGTCAGTCACGCCGCAAACACCTGCAGCTGGGGCCAGCAGCAGCAGCCATGCCGAGGCTTGGGACGGTGGCAACAAGAAAGACAAATGATGGAAGAAATGCAACACCTTGGGAGGCGTTCAGATTTTGATGAAACACTTTCAGTCTGGGGAAGGCCGGGAATCTGTGGAACTCTATGGGAATTTCACCGCTAAATTACTGCATGTCTGCCTCGGACTCTTTGAATCTGTTAAGAGTCTATGATCATCTGTTTTCCATTCATGCCTTTTGATCAGATCTGCTCGTGATGTTATTGATTTACCAGTGATGCGTTTATCTGTGAATGGCAAGGGAGAGCTCCTCGACACAAATCATGGCTGACCTCGAAGTAACCTGCCAGATCGGCCTCAGAGGCTTCCAGTTGCTTCTGCAGCATGCACATGTACGCCCTGGCGTGGGTGGTTTACTGATGAGTTGTTAGTCATGCTTCAATCAATCATGATCAACATCACAATGATGAACAGGATCACCGTAATCAGAGACTGACAGTACGTTTTGTTTCTTCAACAATTGAATTCTGAGATGAGTAGTCATACTATCTAGTAGAAGTATACTGAGCTGACTAGTTCAGCTCGACTTCAGCTCAGAGACTCACTGCCGGACGCGTCCATCATGCCATGCATATGTGGCACAGACTAGGCCCCACAGTGTGGCTTGTTGGATTCCACGTGCGCACTCTGATCAAGAGCGCACTGCGGCACATCTTCATGGTAATGGCTGCAGGCTGCGGCAGCACATTGCATGAATAATCATGAGCGCTGCCAGCCAGTGGCGCCCATGGCCATATGGCCAAGCTGCATGTTAAATTCACTGTGCAGACATGGGCCTCTTGTAGAGGCAAAACAGATCATCAGCGACTTCTCCTCGCTCTGCTAGCTTTCAAAGAAATTTTGCATGCAGGACCTGAAGCAAGGGCTTCTGACCCTGGGAATATTAAATTTCAGGGGTGAATGGCGTGAATGAGGACTTTTCAGGTGCCACCGTGGCACCCTGACCTAGAGATCTAGATTTGCTTGAGCAGAGCTCCAAAGCACAAAATCGTTCCGGCGACTATTCTGTGATCCTGCCAGAAAATATTGATTTGAGCTTTGCTGAGTGTCACTGGCCGTAAGGAGCAGACAGCAAGCCACTACAGGAATCCTCAGTGTCAAGAGAAAATGAGCAGGCAGTTGTTGAAAGCAGCTGCCCCCGCTCTGTCTCGCAGTCTGAACAATTATGGAGCTCTATCTACCATTCCGGCAGCGTCTCCCAGCAACCGTCAGGTGTCAACATCAAGTGCAGCGTCTGCCAGCCCTGCTGCAGAATTTGTAGTTTCGAAGGTGGACGCGTTGGTGAACTGGGCGCGTGAGGGCTCTATGTGGCCCATGACCTTTGGACTTGGTAAGTTTACCTGTTGAAGGACCAGATTGCCAGTACAGTGATTTTTCACCTTCATTGGCTGAATAGGTTGGCCACGTCCTTCTTCACCCATCGTTTTCGTAAATCTGTGTGAAATGAGAGTTACGGCAAAGGGGTCCCTCGATCCAAACTTTGAGGCCCATGCCTGAGGTTCCTGTGCTTTGCAGCTTGCTGTGCAGTAGAGATGATGCACACCGGTGCCGCAAGATATGACCTGGATCGCTTTGGAATCATCTTCCGGCCAAGTCCTCGGCAGAGTGACGTTATGATCGTTGCTGGGACGCTCACCAACAAGATGGCGCCTGCCCTTCGCAAAGTGTATGACCAGGTGACAACCAGCTTTACCTTGACGGCAATATATTTTCCTATCAGCATTCTCAACAAAGATTGATATCATGCTGATCTCGTAGTGCCGATGTGCAGATGCCTGAGCCACGATGGGTGATCAGCATGGGCTCCTGTGCAAATGGTGGGGGGTACTACCACTACTCCTACTCAGTGGTGCGGGGCTGCGACCGCATTGTCCCAGTGGACATCTACGTCCCAGGCTGCCCGCCAACTGCTGAGGCGCTGATGTACGGGCTGCTGCAGCTTCAGAAGAAAATATCTAGGACCAAGAAGGTCGCCCTGGCATTCCAGCGCTGAATGGGGTCTTGGAATATTTTCAGGTCTTCTTCAATTTGTTGCGTTGCATAGTGTGTACACATATTGAATGTGTAGGATGCAGCGGGACAAGAGAGGACAATTTTAAGCTGCTCTGGTTTGGGACTCTCTGCATCTGTGGCGCGCAAGGACATTGTTTTCCTTCTTACATGAAGTGTTGCGTAGTGGGTTCTGCAGTTATGAGCCCATTGGTATGTGGCATTCACCAAAGGAGATGGGTTTAGATATTAAATGAGTGGTGCATTTGACGGTCGTATACTACAAATGGTGATTTATTGGCCTGCTGGCTGCCCGATTCTGGCAGTTCCAATTTGAGCTGCGCCTTGCTTTGCTGCACTAGGTGATATTGTGTGCTCAGGGGTAACATTTTTGAACAAGCATCATATGATAACCAAGATGGTTAGGAAGATCTCGAGTCTCTAGTGGATTTGATTAAGGGACTCCTTCCTTAGAGTATGAGGAATTTGCAACGAGCAACAGAATTCGAGTACAGGTGTAAGGCGTATAGGGAAGTCTCTGTAGATCCACCAATCACCGTAATTGGCCTAGCCTAGATTATCTGAGATTCAGAAAAGTCTGCTGAACATGGCCAGGCCCCGGGGGGTCAGTGATTCATGAACCCGGCACCATCATCATCATCATCATCATGCATCATAATCTTGTGGCATGTCCTTGCCAGGTTCTACATACTAGTAACACAGCTGCTGCTGATGTGAGGAGCATGCACTCTTCGCCAAAGTCCCGACATGCAAGCCTTGAAGTGGAGAAGCTCTTGAGAACCTAGAGCTTCCTGCTGTGAAGTTAGGGTTTTGGTGGATGCTTGGCAAGTTCCTGGGACATCTGAACCCAAATTCAAGATCTAGAAAGTCTTTCTCACCACCCGAAGTATTTTGCGTAGATGATGTATCGCTTTACATGCTAACGTCGCCGACATGTAATCGCCCCCGACTCGGAGCTTCTTCAACCATCGATCATAGACTTCGTTCCCACTGCCTACAAAAGTACGCGAGCTTAACCTTGGCGTAGTGCTCGTGGTTTCTTGTGAATTCCTCTTGCAATCTCCTCACAAGGCGCAGTCCTGGGAGCAGCTCTGTGAGAGCTGTCTCAGGCGCCCACCAACAGACCCTCCCTACCATTCCGCAACCCACACCTGTACTGATCGCTGCAGCACACCTACCACGACGTGCATGGGTCTCGAACAGTCCAGGTATGACAAGTTGACCCCTTGTATCTTGTAAAGTTGTTCACACCAGGCCTAGGGGAATCCAAGTTGGTGCAATAACTGAAGTCACAATGTGGAATATTTCAAGATCTGCATGGTTGTCAAATATAGGAGTCTATTTTTTCTGTGGAAGCATTCGTAAGATCGGGAGACTCAGGGATACGTTCGACTCAGAAGAAGATTTTAAGTTCCTTGTTCCCTTCCAGGAGGTGATGGCCGACCCAGATGACGGTGGGTTGAGGAGATCGCCGTTGCCTTTTGACGGGAGGCTGATGATGGGCGTGGGGGACGGGAGTGGCAGCGATGTATCTGAGAAAGATCGCACTGCTGTGAACATGCATGACAGAAGCGAAGGAGAGAGGGAGGAGGGCAGGGCAACAGATGACGAGCATGCCTCGTGCTCAGATCAGGTCAGCGTCGAGGGTGGCAGCGTGTCAGACACCTCCCGTCCAGGATCCGGGACATGGGATACCGCACAGCTGCGAGGTTCCTTCTCCCCAGACCGCTGCAGTGCGGAAGCTCAGCCATCCACATGGTCATACCAGAGCTTTGCATTCGCATCGCAGAACTCAAAGCAAGAGAAGGGGGCCACCCAAGCTGATGGCGAGCAGCAGATAAAGCTGGCTCGGCTCCTCTTGTCACGCGGCAAGGTAAGAAGAGTTTTTCTCACCCTCCTTTGATGCAGACGCATGCAAACATGTGGTCACGCTTGCTCAGGGACCTCATATTCTCACTGCTGCTGACAATTTGATTGCATGTTGTTGCAAGGCAAAGGAAGCGTTGAGCCTGCTGGACCATGCAAGGTCAGCGCTGCAGCCGGATGTGGCCACTCTGTGCCTCAGAGGCCAGTGCTGCAGCGCCCTCGGCAACAACGCTGTGGTGAGACCTCCTGTATTCAGCCCCACCAGTACGCCCCAATAGTAAATTACTTAAGAAGGTGATGTGTTAGGACAGGAGAGGCATCAGCTGAGGACTGTTCATCTGGGTGCAGGCTTTTGCGTGCTTCTCCAATGCTCTGTCCATGGAGCCCCGGAATCCAGACACCCTGGTGGCCGCCGCATCGCTGTACAAGTCCTGCGGCCTGCTGCCCGAGGCGACGCGGTCTCTGGAGCTTGCCCTTGAGGAGCGTCCGGACGATGCCGTGATCAAGCAGGCGCTCGCAGTGGTGCTGACCGATCTAGGTGCGTAAATCCTCTCCATCAGCAAGTCTGCTGGGTGGTAACCAGCTCCCTGAGTCGCTGCTGCATCCCTTGCTTTGGGTGTTGTGCCAGGAACAGAGCTTGTGCTGAGGAGACATGAAGGTTCTGCACCTAACATACATTGGAGCTGCAGCACATCTGCGAATGAATCATGAATGTTCCCACTGTAGGGACGAAGCTGAAGGTGAGCGGGCGGCCAGAGGAGGGCTTTGCCAAGTACCGGCAGGCAGCGTCGATCTGCGCCGCCTACGCGCCGGCCTTCTACAACATCGGCGTCATCCACAGCGAGCGCCGCGAATTCAGCGCGGCCAAGGAACTGTACGCGCGCGCGATCGCGGCCAATCCGGGGTACGCGGAGGCGCACTGCAACCTGGGCGTCATCCACAAGGAGGAGGGCCGCCTGGAGGAAGCCATAGCAGCCTACGAGCGCGCCCTGGCCATTGCACCTGAGTTTGCCATCGTGTCCAACAACCTGGCCATCGCACTCACCGAGATGGGCACCCGCGTCAAGGTCGCAGGCAAGTTTCCCGCTGCCAGCCACCACCCCTGGAAGTCGTGGCATCATCCAGGAGAGGTGTGAGGATGAGACAAATGAGGCCCAGGTTTAACAAGATGCCCACCTCCTCTTGACCTCCTGACACACCATTCCAGAGAAACTTGCGCAAGCCTTCAGTGGTTTCTGGGTGCCTGCGCAGGGGACATGGCCGGGGGCATCGCGCTGTACGAGAGGGCGCTGACGTTCAACGCGAAGCATGCGGACGCGCTGTACAATCTAGGGGTGGCATGCGGGGAGACGGGGCAGGTCGCTCGCGCCATCTTCCTCTACGAGCTTGCCGTCCACTTCAACCCGTCCTGCGCCGAGGCCTGGAACAACCTTGGCGTCCTCCAGCGCGACATGGGCAATTTTGAGCGTGAGTTGCTTACTTCTGCAATCTGACTTGATCAAGTCTGCCCTGATGTTGCTTAGTTGTCAACTGAGTGTAAGAGGTAGAGAGAAATAATGGTGAGCGGTGGGTGGCATGCGCGCAGGGGCGTTCTCATGCTACCAGGCGGCGCTGCAGCTGCGTCCCAACTTCCCGCAGGGCCTGAACAACCTGGCGGTGATCTTCACGGCGCAGGGCCGAGCGCAGGACGCGCTGCAGATGCTGCAGGCCGCCATCGCCGCCGCGCCCGACTATGCCGAGGCCTACAACAACCTCGGCGTGCTCCAGCGCGAGGTCGGCGCCATCAAGGTCCGCGCTGCACCCCAGCCCTTCTCAGGCTCACTCCACACATTCTGCAGTTATTCTCTCAGGCCTGAGGAGCGGCGCATGCCAACGGAGGAAGAATTTGATATCAACAGAGCTGAAAAGATGACATCATCTTCAGTTATGCTTTAATGAGATTGAGGAGAAGTGGGGCTAGGTGGAGCCTCCTCTTACAGAAAAAGATGCTCTGGGCATGTAATGATTGTGTATTCACTTGGTCACAATACATCTGTGTGTGCGCAGGAGGCGCTGGCGTCGTACAGCAAGTGCCTTGAGCTGGCGCCGAGCTCGCGCAACGCGGGGCAGAACCGGCTGCTGGCGCTCAACTACATCTGCGAGGACACGGCGGCCGCGCACGAGGAATGGGGCCGCGACTTCCAGGCCCAGTTCCAACCGCTTGCCCCCGACTTTGACGCGCGTTTCTCAGACCTTGAACGGCCCCTCGTCGTCGGCTATGTCTCGCCCGACCTTTTCACCCACTCCGTCTCCTACTTCGCCGAAGCCCCTCTCAGCCACCACAAGCAGAGCAGGTGCGGCCTCCCTCATGTACACCTCTGTCACTGGCATCCCTGCAGATTTCTCCTAGACAGATAGGTTTGTCACTAGATTAGAGCTGTTTGTTGAGTCTGGGTCTGGTGCAACATGTCTGCATGTGCTCTCTGAGTCTGGGACATCTTGAGAGTGGTGAGGAGCGTCAATGCTGAAGTGCAATGCTGAGGGGCTGGTTGCGGCTGCAGGGTGCGGCACATAGTGTACAGCTGCGTGCCGAGGGGGGACGCGAAGACGATGCGGCTGCGGGCGGCGGTGGAGGGCGCGGGCGGGGCCTGGCGCGAGGTGGCGTCTCTGAGCGAGCTGGACCTGGCGCGGCTGGTGCGCGCGGACGCAGTGGACATCCTGGTCGACCTCACCGGCCACACTGCTAACAACCGCCTCGGCGCCTTCGCCATGCGCCCCGCACCCCTGCAGGTCCGCCCCCTCCTTTGACAACCTTGTGCACGCCATGTCCCTTGAGACGTACACATGCAGGAGCTTTCTGCAGCATGATTCCTCGCGCAGCTCAACCCCTGGACAGGAGCACTGTCAGTTGGAAGCGTGACGGAGAAGATGGGTGCTTATGGCATCAGCTGTGGTGGAAGATGCCCCTAAATGCAGCTGCATATGGTCCATTCTTGTTGTGTGGTAGGCCCTCCTATGTTCAGCTCTGCCTTGTGGCTGTATTGTAGGCCGGTGTTATGACAAAGGCATTTGCGCGCAGGTGACGTGGGTCGGGTACCCCAACTCGACGGGCCTGCCAGCTGTGGATTTTCGGCTGACGGACGCGGTGGCGGATCCGCTGGACACGCGGCAGCGCTTTGTGGAGGAGCTGGTTCGGCTGCCGGGCTGCTTCCTGTGCTACACGCCGGCCATCGACGCGCCGCCCGTGCTGCCCGCACCGGCCGCCGCGGCCGGCTTTGTGACGTTTGGATCATTCAACAACCTGGCCAAGATCACGCCGCGCGTCATGGCCGCCTGGGCGCGCATCCTCACCGCCCTGCCCTCCTCGCGCCTCGTTCTAAAAAACAAGCCCTTTGCCTGCGCCAGGTCAGCCACCTTGCCAGTCCCTCTTTCGGCAGCATTCCTGCTGATACTGCCATTGCAGTCTACGAAGAGCCATTGCTTCCAAGCACAGAAGTGCTCCTGTATAGTGGCAACAATACATGGCTTGCACCAGGATGAGCAGGAGGGCAGTCAAAAGCAGGAGGGCAGTCAAAATCAACTAGACTTTCAAGGAACATGGAAAAGAAATAAGGAAGTAACTGTGAGGGTGATAGTTGTTGGGGGCGGGTGCAGTGCGCGGTCGCACGTGCTGGGGCAGCTGCAGGCGGCGGGTGTGGATGCGTCGCGCGTGGACCTGCTGCCGCTGGCTGCGGCCAACAGCGACCACCTGGCCACCTACGCGCTCATGGACATCTCCCTCGACCCCTTCCCCTACGCCGGCACCACCACCACCTGCGAATCCCTCTACATGGGCGTCCCGGTCATCACCCTCGCCGGTGCGCCCCCTTGTTTGCCATTCTCCCACCCCTGCAAACATGCTCATTGACAATGTTGCCATCTGCAAGGCGCAGGATTGAAGCTCAATGCTCACTGATCTTCCGCCATATGATACAAGCTCCCTAGAAGACTATATTGCCCTGCACTGGGTCCCACAGTGAGGATGCAACCGCCTGCATGATGACACATGCAAGATTGCCTCCGCTCGAAATAGCATGAAGCAGCAAAGGCTTATAAAGGGGGTGTCAAATGATTCGCAGGTGGCTGTCACGCGCACAATGTGGGTGCATCGCTGCTGGATGCGATGGGCATGCGAGAGGGCTGGGTGGCGCACTCCGAGGACGAGTATGTGCGCCTGGCCGTCGCAGCGGCGGCTGACGTCCCAAAACTGGCTGCTCTGCGAATGAACTTGCGCCAGCAGATGCTGGCATCGCGCCTGTGCGATGCGCCGACCTTTGTGCGGCAGCTGGAGGACACCTACCGGCAGCTCTGGCTGCGCCGCGCGGCCGTCTCCCGGGTCGCCGGCGGCGGCGGCTCCGGCGGCGCGGCCGGCAGCCGGGTCGATCGGCACAACAGCGCCCCCGTCGCTGATGTAAGTGCTGCCGCCTGGGAGGCCGCGCAGAACGGCCGCGCTGCCACCTCGTGAACAAATGGGTTTCTTCAGTCCCCCGAGCTCTGCCTTGCCGGGGGTGTTTTGTAAGAGGCCAGCAGCTGAGCAGAGCACTCGACCTCAATGTGCACAGCCTGCTGCGGCGGAAGCTTTGCGTCGGGATATTTTTTCGAGGCCTCCTCGGGGCATATGCACTCTTGTGCGAGTTGCCTGCGGGGGCCTGACTGTGGGTGTGCCCTCAAAAGCGCCAGTGCGCTCACAGGGTCTGCTGGAGGAGAAGGGTAGATGAATAGGCATCCAGCAGGCTCTGCTGATCTGGGGCAAGAGAACTTATGTCTATTGTCTGTATTGCTTGGGCACTCAATGTGGGAGCGTACGCCTTTGTGGCGAACACAGCAGCACACAAGTGACCGTACTTTAGCACAGCTGTGGGGATATGAAATCATTCTCCCTTAGGAAGATCTGCTATTTCTGTTGCTGCCTGTTACCTGGAGGGGCGCTAGGTTTGGAGCTGCACCTGCCATCTGCAGAGGCTATTGCTTGCTGGAAGTTTCAAGCAGACAGGTGTGGGCCTCAAGTCTCCATACATGCTGTACCCTTGGGGGTCTGTTGCTGACCAATAGGCAGACAGCTGTGGATTTCTTACATGTCAAATCATGCATGCTTGTCCCAAGAATCCTTTACAGGAGCTGATCTGGGACACCAATTGTTTTGTCCAAATGTGGACCTTTCCGGACGCTTCCTGACCCATAAAGGCACAGTTTGCAGGTTTATACTCTGATAATAACATTGAGGTCTGTGCTGCAAATTACTTGTTCACCACGGCGCAGTTCCATATGTGTGCAGCATGCAGCTGGCCACATGCGCACATTTAGGAGCGTTGATGTGCCCGATCCCTCGTGCAAATTGAAGCCACTGGATACATATAGAGTTCCTGTTCTTCTTGTTTTGCTGTCTTACTTGTTGCAACAGAAGCGTGGGATGTGGATTGAGAGGCCTTCTCTCTTGAGAGTGCCTTTCCTCTTGCCTCTGCATGTCTGATCGTGCCTTCGATGCTCATGCTTGTATGGTGTCTATTCTGTGAGGGATTTTTTCATTGTCATAAGTGGACGGCTAAGGATGTAATAGTCTACCAACTTCAAGGAAGAAACCTGCTGCGTGATTTGCTGCTGGTGATTGCAAAGAATATCAATACGAAGCACAAATGTTACAAAGGTCAATTGCGCGCATATTGAAACGTAGGCCTGGCAGAGCTGCAGCAGGGGACTTTGAACAGCTGCACAACGGCATAGCTACTGGCTGCAGCCCATCAAGCCATGCGCTCTGCACTCTGCTTGGTGAAGGATCATATGTTTGAAATCAGCCAGACACAAAGGCTGCTAGTAATTAATGAAAAATACTCATATTGGAACAGGAGCATCATCAACGTCACCCGGTTATCTGGGCCATCAATATCACTTTTGAAATCAAATCTGAAGAGAACACTTCAACAGCTCACCAAAGACAGAAGTCATACCAATGAATTCAAGGAACTGACTCACACGCCCCAACAGACCCACTACAAAAGACTTCCAGAGCTCAGCCCTCTTTATCTGCTTGTATAGTCACACGACGGAGCTGTTATAAATCCTTTGAACTTTCCTGCACCGGCGTGTCATGCTGTGCAACCACAGCCTTGCAGACCGCAAGCGGCAGGGCCTGGTGATGCCTCAGTGTCCCAGTGGCCCAGTCACACAACCCTGCCCATATATTATTGGGCTGTGCTCCTTGCTGAGGAGGGCAAGTCTTCATCGAGCTGCACCAGGACTTGTTGCGCAGCAGCAGGCAGGAAGGCATGCTGGCCCGCTGCTGCTCCGCCCTCCACTAGGACAGTGGCTCCGGTGCACGGCTCGGTATATTCTGTGGTAAGGTAGCTCCATTTCATGCTCAGTAGGCTCCGCCGCCGCTGTAGGAGATGCGCGCGTTGGTGACCCCCGAGGGCGAGATGGGGGATGCCAGGTGCGCCGGCATCACGAGCTTGACGCCGTCGGGAGACGCGGCGCCCTTGAGCATGCGCAGCGCCATGTCCAGCTGCGACTGCAGCTTGGCCACCATCGCATTACGCTCCTCCAGCTGCACCCACCACAACACTCTGTTCCATCGCCCGGCATACTTGAAAGGCAGCGCGAGCGCCAGAGTGAAAGGACAAGCCTGCCTTCCGATGTAAAAGGAACATGGCAGACGCCGGCCCTGGAGGTGTTGATTCTATCATATCTCGTTTGTCAACTATTCCAGTGTGAAAAGAGGAACCAGGTGAGTCAAAGGGAGATTATGAGAGGGGTGTTGGAGAGAGGAGCGTGCCTGCTGGCGCAGGTATTCGATCTCGTCTTCGGGCGTGTACTTGTTGTTCTGCTTGACGCGGTTCTGAATGGCTCGCGCGCGCGACGCATAGCGCAGCGTGCTCAGTGTGGGCTCGAAGTTGTAGCTGGCCGGCGACACGCACGCCACCATCAACGTCTCTGAGTTGCCCCCCAACGAGTCCTGCACACCCAGCACTTCCATGCTGACTCACACTCTCCAGAGTACCATACAATCGTGGAAAACGACCTGTGGCCCAGTGGGTCATAACCTGATAGGATACAGGTTTAAAATGTCATCTTATTCTGTCAGAGGATGGGTTCAAGACATGTAATTCTGTTGCATGCAATGGTGATGTGGTAAAAAGTGTGTGCAGTCGGGTGTGTTGCCTGGAGCAGGCGGGTGAGCTTGGAGTCTCGGTAGGGGATGTGTTTGCGGCCGGCGCCCTCTGAGAGCGCGCCGATGACGTTGCCGAGCGCGCTGAGGCCCTTGTTTATGTTCACGCCCTCTGCAAACTGCTGCCCCGTCGTCCCCGTTTCCTTCGCGCGCTCGCTGCCTGCACCGCGCCTCACACTCAAGCATCAGCATCAGTTCAAGCATTTTGCTGCACGTGACCACCTTGCACACTCCTTCCTGAATGGGTGTGCAGGGTGGGACTCACTGTCCAGCGGTGCTTGGCAACTGTTGTCAGCAGAAGGGGCAGGGGACTTCAAAGTGAAGGTAAATTGTATCACTCTTGTCAGTATTGACCAGATGTCGTAGGTGAGGCGCACTATCAGAGCATGCGACGGCAGGGATACCATAATTGTACATTGAAGACAGGCTGGGCTCGGGCTAAGGTGCAATGCCGTCCTTCAAGTACTGAGATACAGGGCATGCGAAGAGATAGAACACAAGGGGCAGCGCACCGGCGAGATCGACGAGGTGCAGTTTGGCGCGCAGGAAGCGGGGGGCGTCCTTGGAGGATTGCGCGCCCGAGCGCCGGCGTTGCTCGAGGTGCAGAGTGCAGATGGCGTGGCTGCGCGAGCTGTGCTCGTTCAGGTTGTGCGCCGCCACCGCCCGGTGCAGGTTGCCCGCCTCCAGCAGCCGCGCCGCCTCCGCCACCGAACGCACCTCTATCTCCCTGCAGCCCCACCCACACCCTCTCCTATGTGTCTTGTTTCCCTGCAGTGTCTAGTACAATATTTGCCTAATGCTGCATGCATACACATGTCTTAGAGCTGAAGGAAGGAGGAATCTGTGTTGCTGAAGTCAGTGATCTCAAGATCACGCCGCTCTCTGCATCACGGATGAAGCAAGCTGTAGAATCCTCAGTGCTTAGTTTTCTGTCGAACATTCTCCAACATTCTGTCGAAGGCTGCATGCACGCATTTCAGTGCGATGAAAGAGGGTGCAAGATCAAGTCTGGGCATGTGGTGGTGGCCTGGGGCTCACTGGACGTTCTCGAGGAAGGTGCCGCGGTCGGGGCTCTCGCGCACGTTGACTGGCACATAGCTATCCGCGTCCCCCAGTAGGTCTCGGATGTCATCCTGGTATATCTCGATGAAGCTCACCTGCCGCACCCCAGCCCAGTCCACGTCAGCACTCCACCTCTGACCACCCGCTCATCCACCCTTTGCTCCAGCACATCGAGCGGACCACTGACTTCACTTGCAGTGGTGAAGGCATGCTGGGCTGGGCACGGCAACCCAGCATGCGATGGTTGCCATCCTCCACAGTGTCCTCTTCTGCTCTGGTACAGGTGATGTTTCTGCCTATCTCCTGTCTCTCAATCCTCGAAAGACTGAGTGCCCTTATGGCCTAGCCAGGCCTGTCTCTGCATCCTACCAGGTGCTTTCATGTTTAGCAGGTCAAGCTGGCACCTTAGGGTCCAGTGGATTACAGTGAGACAGCAAGCATGTCCCCTCTTTGCAGGTGGTGGATCAGACCTTGAGCGAGACGTCATAGGCGTCCTGGATGTCGGCGAGGCTGTCAAAGATGAAGCGCATGGAGCGGGGGATTATTCCGTCCCCCTCCTCCCCGCTGCTCATCTGCCGGAACGTCGTTGCCGTGCCCATCGTGTACGTCTTTCCCGACCCCGTCTGCCCATACGCAAACACCTGCCCACCCACACCCGCCCCATCATGACCTGCCGCTGATTTCTGCTACTGCCACGCATTTCCGCTGGCTCAGCCTTCTGCTTGGCATGGTGGTCCCTGCATGGCATACTTGTCTGTACATTGCATGATACTCCCTGCATGGGGTGTGTACCCCGTGGGAGGTTGCAGGAGGGGCACACCGTGGTGTTGAAGCCCTGCAGGAAGCGGCCCAGGAGGGGCTGCACCACCTCGGCAAACATCTGGCGCCCGGGCGAGTTCATCTTATACACGCGGTCGAAGTCGAAGCGGTACCCCTCTGAGCCCCCCCTCTTGCTGGGCAGCTGCACCACGCAGCTCTCCGGCACCTCCACACATGGCGCGCCCCCCTTCTGCTTCTCCTGCTCCAGCAGCGGCCGCACCTGTGCGCAGTGAACAAGCTGTTGCCTACAATGTTCATTTCTCCTCTTCATCTTGCAGGAGTTGCAGTAACTCTGCTTGCATAGCAATGATTATACTCTCTGCAGGTCAGTGCTATGACGTGATCTGATGCAAGATAGGACGTGGAGCAACAGGTCCTACACACTTACCACGACCACCACCTTCACTGCTGAACGTGACTGCAAGGCATTGTATTCGTTGCCCTCTCTCTCCTGCAGGAACAGTCTTTGTGTGTCAGATTCCAGTGTCTCAATAGCACCAATACAGCATCAAGGAGATGCCCACTCTTCACCGTACTGGCAAAGTTCCCCCTTGTTATACGACTAATTTTTAATTTTCAAGGATCTGAGACGCCCAGCATGACCCGGCTGTCCAAAATACAGGAGAACAAGACCTGCATCTAAGAATATAGTTCCAGCATACTATTGCTCCGGCCGCAGAGGACCAGTGTTAAGAGGATACATCTTCATCAAATCATACCATATGCTTCTGATAGTCTCACTCTGAGTCGATGGAAGCAAGATTGGTGGCTTCTGTAGCCACGTGGAATTGGAATCTCACCCTCAAGGACGAGCTGCGGCTGTCGACTTGAAGCGAGCCCTGATCTGAACGGAGAGGGGTGACTTTCTTTGTTCCAACGTCTGGTTTTGAGGCACAGCCTCCCATTGTTCTCTTCTATTAAAGTGCCAGCATCCGGTGCCACTAGAATTGGTGTGTGTTGAACCGCGCTGCTGTCCAGCAACAAGATCACACTATTAGAGGTGATATCTGAAAGGACTGTCTATACGGAGGTACCAACCAGCTGTTAGTGTGTACACATGTGTTTCCATTACCGACGAAGGGGACACAGCCTTCCGACACCACCTGTCGAAAGGCGTTCCATTTTTGCATGCAAACTTTTGTGGGAACAAGACACTGCACAAAACACAAATTTGTGTCAGAATGTTTGGATGTGATGCTGGGCGCTGACTCTGACGATCAGAGTCAGACATCTGATCAGCCTGAGGTGGCTGGAATAGATGTAACCGACTGACTGACTGACTGACTGACTGACTGCACGGCTGGTGATTATATGTGAAGAGTGCGCGGTGCAAATGTTGCACTGCAATTGGCTGAAATGCAACAGCAGGCTTGGCTGAGTCGAGCTTGGACAAAAGCTCAGTGCATTCTATACTACAAAATTCACCGTAAATCTAAGCCTTGACCTCGAGCTCATCATGATCATAATCAGACCCAGGAAACAGTCATGTTTACAAGTGTTCAAATGATCTGTCATCTGGAAATTGTGCCAAATCAATGATATTTTGAAATCTTCAATGCAAAAGTTAACTAAGTTGCACACCCCACTGCAGCTGGCTGGACCCGCCAGGCATTATCTATGGTCATGGACCTCTAGCGAGAACATTCTTAACTCACAAACTCACTGACTTCCAACCTCTCCTCTCACATGAAGAACTTCTGTATGAGCTGGTGCCGCTGCGCCGGCTTGCCACACGTTGGGCAGAGATGCGCCTTCGCCAGTGTGGTCCCCCAGCATCCATAGCATGCCACGTGCCCGCACCTCGCTGCCCACGGCGCCTGCAAACCATGCAGCCACTTCCCGCAAACCACCCCCATGCTCCTGTTACCTTGCCCACGGAACCACCCAGCCCTCACAGCAACTCCACAATCGCATCAAGGGTTCAAGCATGCACTTTGTGAACGCGAAGCAACTGCAGAGACGTGCCTGCATGGGGGTCTTGCCACAGACAGCGCAGCTGGGCTGCCTCGTCTGCGCACCCTCCGGCGCCACCGCCGTCCTGCCAGTCGCAGATGCCGGTGCATCCTGGGGATTGGAGCCAGAGCTTTTGGCAGGGCCGCTGTCCTGGCTGCCGCTGCCAGGCCCCTCCAGCAGCTGCCTGCAGCAGCAGTGCGTAGCCATGTGAGGGGCAGAAGTGGACCTGCTGCTCAGCATGAATGTCCCTGCCATTGCAGGAGAGAACCTGCACTGCACCCACCTTGCATGCATGTGTCCTGGGAATGCACACATTGCCAGAAGAACTGGCGAGGCCGTTCTGTTCAGGGCGCTGATGTCCAAGACTGCAAGATCGTCCCTTATCAGGGCGCCTTTCAATACATCAGCCGCAGCTGCCATGTGTTCAGCGCCTCTTAAGCTGTCCTTTCAAAAGCTTGTTCAGGTAATATGAGGCTGCACTGAGCAAACTGCAGCAGAGGAGAGCCACAGGGTGGGCGCACCGGATGCAGCACACGAACCAGGGCCGGTTGGGCTTGTCGATAAAGATGTGGAAGCCGGGCAGCAGGTGGCGGCGCTCCTTGGGCCGCAGCACGGTCACCACGCCGTCTATGAGGGCGTTGCTGTCCTTGCTGCTCCTGTACGCCTTGAGCAGAGCCACGATGCTGTCATACGCGTCCCGCGGCAGCTCGGTCTGCAGCTTGCTCAGGTACTCCTTCGGGTTGGCAGGCTTCTTGGCTGGCGCCTCGGCACTCCTGCACCACCACAAGCTGGCTTAATGCACAAAGACAAAGCAGAAGGCGGAGCCAGGTGCTCCAAAGGCCTCTTCTTCCCAAGTGTAAGCATACTCAGCAGGAACCGCCAGTGGGTGGCCACCGGAAATGGCAGTTACACCCCCATAATCTGCGCCACATATGCTTGGAAATTGCAGCAAAGCTTTGGCCGCCATTGCATGTGCCTTCTTCCCCTGCCTTGCCTTCCATGTCGGTCATTGACACAACATCAACTTCAAATTCTCAATACTCTGCGTGCACTCTTCTAGTGTACACAAGCGCAAGAACACACTGACCCGGTGGCAGGAGGCTGCTGAGCTGTGTTGGAGTTCTCCTGGTTGCTCTGCGCTGTGGGCGGCCGCTGAGAGCCGGTGGGCGGCTGCCGCTGCACGGCAGAATCGGCAACTTGAGGCGCCGCACGATCACTACCAGACGCCAAATTGGAGCTCGCTCTGCGGCTTGCATCTGCGCCAGCCTGCAGAAAAATACAATTGCGCTATCAAATCTAAGCGCGCTGGTTACTCTTATGTCACCTCTGCGTTCAACATATGCATCCCCTACATGCACAAAGAGACCACTGTGCGGTGGTCTGGCGAGGCACAGTATTACTGGGGCTGGCTGCGTACCTGCTCTGTGGCCGCAGCCTGCAGCTTCTGCTGGTGCTTCCTGATCAGGTCTGGCGGGCCGCACACGTTGCTGGAGACTCCAAAGGCGCCGGCTCTGGCACTGGCATGCTGCGTTGACCGGAACCCAACACCTCGCAGCCCAGACTGTGATGCCATCTGCCCTGGCCTGCACAACAGCACAGGGTGCTCGTGCCGCCATCCGGAGCCTGCTTGTGGAGGGCTTCTTGAGTTTACAAACAGACATAGAGAGGATCGAAAGAAGGGCCAGCAAGTGCACCTGGCCGCATTATGCCTGAGCATTGCTGAAGGCCCAGGTTCTTGTGAGCTGCTGGCTGGCTGGGCACCCTTGCTGTCCAGGCTGAGCAGCAGGTCGTCCATGAGAGTGTTGGCCTTGGGCTGGGCCTGCCTGGCAGCTCCTCCCCCTTGCGCGGTTGTTGTCACTGTGTTCAGCGCGCTCAACAGCCGCCCATGCCTCTGGGGCAGCCCTGTGCAAACGCAGTCACTGCTGATAGATTCTACAATGATATGATTCTACATTCCATTCCTCAGACGTGGCGTGCGAGAGGTCCGATGCAAGCTATAGGAGTACTAGCATATCATATTTTCTGCTCTAGTTGAGTATCAAGTCATGAAAAGAGCAGGTAGCTGCAGAGATGGACATGCAACCTGGCAAGCCGCTGGCATCCGCGGCAGATGGTACGTTGGCCAGGCTGCTGAGGAGCAGGTCTGGGCCCGTGGAGAGGGCTCCGGGCCGCGAGCCGCTGCCGCCGCTGCCCCCGGTGCGGCTGGTCCCAAAGAAGGCGAGGTCCCTGGGCTGGTTGGGCGCCGGCTTGGCAGCCCTGGGCGGCACCTTGAAGTTGGCGTGGTCCGCAAAGAAGCGCTGCAGCGAGGCGGCGGCCTCGCCGAAGTTGGTGTGCGTCTTGGACAGCGGCCGCAGCCACTTGGACAGCTGCCGCTGGTTGGTCTCGCTCTGCGCATGCAATCCCCAGATGTCATGCTGGCACACACTCTTGAGTGTGGCCACCCCTTTTTCGTGCGTTGATCAAGAGTGTATTTGCTGGATGATACGCGGGGAAGGCTGATATGAGAATATTGTGGAAGGCACCTTGAAACGCTCGTCGGCGAGGATGATGGCGCCGTAGTCATGCATGTGGCGGATGACTCGCCCCATGGCCTGGTTGACTGCTCGCGTGGCCTGCTGACTGTACCAGGCCTCCCCCGTCAGCCGCAACGCCGGAGCCGCTCCGTCCCTGGTCCTCTTGGCTGCGCCCGCGCTCCGCCGCGTCTCGTCCAGCACCTCCTTCTTTAGCCGCACCTGCACAATCAGCCAGAGGCTCTTTGAGACAGCGCACAATGCCTTGAAATTAAAAACAGTTGCTTGAGTGGTCACAGTCGCGATGCCGATGCCACATTTCCGACAGCACTGATCTCCACTGAAGCAAGGTAGGCCCAAGATCAAGCTGAAAGCAGCTGCAGGCATGGCAGTTGCCATGTCAGAAGTGTCGTTGCAAGTGCTGAGCAGGTGCAGGTGCAGGAACAGGAGCAGGTGAATGCACCTTGGGATCGGTGACCATGGCAAATGGGAGGCCGGTGATGACGACGGCCCGGCCAGCGCGGTCCGAGAAGTCGAGCCCCTCGCTGACTTTCCCCCGGCACACCGCAAAGAAGATGGCCCCGCGCGACGACGGGTCCTTCAGCTTCGCCCTGTAATCGTCTGCCGCCGCCTGAAACTCCTCACTCCTCTGCAGCACGTCAAGTCATCAATTGGACTGATATAAGAGCTCTGGGGCACTCGGAGCCCCACCTTCACAGGCTCACTGCGTCTCGCAGCCATGCAGACCCTCACAAGCCTGCAGAATAGTCAGAATGACGAACCCCAACCTCATCCTTCATTCCCCCCAGCTATCTGAAAACAGCTATTCCCCCAACCACCTGGTTCTACAACAGGGCATGAAACACAAACTGGGTGAAAATCAAAGGAAGAAGTGAGGGGCCGGGGGCTGACCCGGGGCTCGATGACGGCCTGCTTGTCGCGCACGATGCGGTCCCAGAGGGTGCCGTTGAAGCCGAGCACGCCGCCGCGCTGGTCGCCGGAGTTGGCCTTCCAGTGGCGCAGGCAGGCCTCCAGCACGGTGTAGGAGGCGAAGAAGACCAGCAGGCCGTCCGGCACGATGCGCGCCCAGTTGGCCAGCGCCAGGCCCAGGTCCTCCATGTAGGCCGGGGACGTGCGCGTCGCGTAGCTGCTGTTCAGCACCACCCCCTTGGGGCCCACCGGCACTACTCCCACCCACACCTGCGCGCATGTGCTGCCCATCAGCATCAGTACATGTAATCCTCTGCCCTTGATTAACCAGACGACCTCCAGGTAGGGCACCCTATTCTTGCAGGCCTCGTGGGGATTTGAAGAAGACAACCTGGCTCAGGCAAAGGGGCGGTGCATACTTCTGTGATATTCGCACATTAGTGTCCTTGGCGCTATTGGCTGTCAGGCATGCAGGTCTCTGAGGCTTCGGCAATGTCAATGTGAGGAGCAGAGCGCAGGTGGGAATGGCAGCACTTAAACAGCAGCCTGATCATGTGGTCGGCACAGCTAACCCCATATTCGATTACTGGGTGTGAGGATCAACAGGTGGGAGAAATGCAAGGGTGATGGAGTATTCACCAATGATATTGAAACATGAGAACCATTGGGTGCTAGAGGGATCAAGTGGGAGGACCTGGGAGGTGTTGACGACGTGGGGGTTCTCCAGGGTGACTGGGAAGTCGAGGGAGAGCTCCTGCGCAAAGCTGTCCAGGGGCGCCAGCGTGCCGGACGTCAGCAGGATGCAGCGCACTTTGAGCGCGCACAGAGCCGCCATGGCCACCCCCGGCTCAAAGCACCAGTACGACAGCGTCGGCACCTCCTGCCCGCCTGCATGCATGCACCGCTCCACCATCAACAAATATTTTTGATCACCGCAGGCCAGCTCCAAAAAACTTTGCATGAGGCCAATCGGCCATGCTTGGTCAGCACAGCGGCAATAACCAGGTGGCCAAATTTCCAGTTGACTTGGGTGTCCCTTCATGAGCACTTGCAATTGCACAGCTGGATAGGAAGATGGCGGCCATAAGAAGCAATTTTTCAGCAGAGTTGGAAAGAAGGGTGCTTGCAGGGGGCGCACTCTTGGAGCGCTCCTTGTGCACGTGCACGCGGTAGCCCTTGCAGCTGGGGCGTCCGCCGGGCAGGGACGCCTCTGCCGTGGAGAAGGCCAGCCGCAGCATGTCCGCCACCTCCTGCAGCTTGTCACTGCCTCCCTTGCCCCTGCACCGGGCCGCCATAGTATGAGTATCATGACTCTGTACACCAGCACAACCATGTGCCCACTTGCTCTTCCAAAACAAGCAACAGATAGCATAACCCTGGGATGCGAATACAGACTTGCTGCAATAAAATGTCAATAAGAAGAGCTCGTCAATTTGGAGGAATTGAGGGGCCCACCTGCGACCCTGCTCCGCTGCTGCACCGCTGAGCAGGTCTGCAGCCTCGTCCAGCAGGCGTTCCATGTAAAAGTGGTTGTCTGTGTTGAGGCCGATCTTGGCCAGCAGCTCGAATAGGAACTCCCCCTTGGCGGTGTAACCGTTGTTGCCTGCCGAGGCGGCCAGGCTGGCAATGGCGCCCTCCAGCTTGCTCAGCAGCGCTCCCAACATGCGCAGGTCCTGGATCAACTGGAAATAGTTGGGCCCCTCCGCCGCTGGCCCGCCCTGCACCACATGCAAGATAGTGGTTGCTGCTTCGTCAGGTGAATCAATGGATGATTGATTGCCATCAGTGACTGCGAGCCTCGTCCAGCCGGATGAACAGATGTGATAGGGTCCTCCTTTCCCTGTTGCTGAGATCCTATGGCCGACAACTGGCTTGAGCAAGATTGCGCACTGAACGAGCTCAGGTTGGCTCCCCCTAGGCAGAATGAAATCAGCATGTTCAGGGTTGAATGTGCTGGGCCGTGCTGGGTAGTGTGCGGACCTGGGCTTCGCCATCGCGCTTCAAGAGGGCGACCTCCACTGCAGCCTGCACATCTTGCAGCGCTGTCCCCAGCAGCGCCCCCGTCAGGTCAAACGACGCCGCGTCCGAGCAGACGCCCTGCCTTGGCACCGACACGTCACCCCTCTTCTATACAAATTGCTGCTGAGCATGCACTTGATGGTTCATCACATATTGGTGAATATGCGTTGTGGCAGTATGACAAGTTAAATGTTTCACCACTTCCACTTTCAAACAAAAGCAGATGAGGGCTACGGTCACCTCCACGTTGTGGGCTTCGTCGAAGACGAGCACGGCGTTGTCCCAGCTCAGCATCTTGATGCCGCCGCGGATCTTGGCGTCCACTAGGTAGTTGTAGGGCATGAACACGATCTGCGCCGTTGACGCCATGTCGCGCGACAGGTAGAAGGGGCAGGGCCCGCCCGAGCTGCCCAGCCGCACCAGCTCCTCGATGTCCAGAGCCTCCCCGTTGGCGTCCGGGTGCATCCGCGTCCAGCTCTCCACCTTGTTGTACCTGCACCAGTGCACATTCTCCTCACTCACTCGCTCTCCTACCATGCCCATGAACGCTTATTTACCGGCGTTCGCGTGTTGCCAAAATGAATGGGTACTAAATAAAGCAATAATCTGCACACTGTAATCCTATGCGGCCAGATCAAAGATGGCCGTGATGAGGCGCTGCTGGATGGCAGGATAAGCTTAAGAAGAGCTGAACCCAGTAGGGCCTGCAGCACTTGCGCAGTGACTCCCCATATAGCCCATAGTATGACCACATCAACTTGCGCACCAGCTGCAGGTGCGGGAGCTGACGTGGGCGCGGCAGGCCTGGTTCATGGCGCCACCGGGCAGCCGCTTCACGCCCGGGTTCAGGCACATCTGCTGCCGCGACCCCAGGATAGCTGCGCGAGGCCTGCACCATCGCCACAGAGTCTCTCAAGATTGTCATAACATTGTCTGTCCATCCCCACAATGCGCAATCTGTAGGCAGGAATGAGCGTAAAAATGTAGCAGTGGCAGGAGCGTGCCTGTAGCCGCAGGTGCGCAGCTCGCCCATGACCTGGGCCAGCTGGCTGTGGGTGCGTGAGGCATAGATGATGGTGGGGGTGGCGGAGAGATCGCCGCTGCGCAGGTCGGTAAGGCCCTCTGCCGTCATCTGCGCCCAGCTCTTGCTCGGGTTCGGCTCCACCTCCCCCTCGAAACAAGTCCTGCTGGCAGCCTGAGCCGCTGCCGCTGCCTGCGGAGGCGCAAGCAGCTCTTTCACACTTGTTGACAGCCAAAGCCTCATGCAAGCATACGAAGCTTTTCTTGGTGTGAGAAATATGATTGTGCATTTTTTTTGTTACCTTTCCCTGTTTCAAAGACTCCTGCCACGCCAGGGTGGCGCAGAGCAAGCAGAGAGTTTTCCCTGTGCCAGTGGGGCTCTCCAGCAGAGCGTTCTTTCCCTGCATGATGTGAAGGAGGTCACAGAGCGCTCCAGCGATTAATACACATGCCGGATATCAACAATGAATGCCAGAGCGATTCTGGGAAAAAGTTGCAGGCCGCACACCTCCTGAAGTGCAGTGATGACCCTCTCCATGTATGTGACCTATTCATGTTGGCGATCGTGTCAGATACATTCCTGGTTCAAGTGCAAAAATTATAGAACAAAGCAATACTTACCTGACATTCGTACGCCTCGTGAGGGAATTGCACTTCAATGCCTCTGATACTGTATGTAGGCATGCTGTTCCGCAACTGCAGTCAGGGTAAGGCACCGTTTGATAGCAGATCATAATGTCACCATCATTAATAGGTATAAAAACAATTCACGATGGTGCCAAAGACAAAAAGGACAGAATCATCAGTGTCCATCTTGTTCAATACTTTTGGCACTTGGTCACAGACTGCTGCATGGAAGTTGGCCCTGTTATTGGATGCAAGCGATCGCACAATTAAGTGCTTCGATCGGCTGTACTCCTGCAAAACTCAACAGCAATCGATGTCCCAACAGCGCTCAAGCGGCAGTGATGACGTAAGATTACTGTCTTGCCAGGTCACTGATCACATGTACGCTCACATGTCTCGGGGGCAGACTTTTCCGACTACAGCCTTCCCTACCATAGATGCCATGCTTATACAGTGCATTTGAGAGATCATTCTTGTCTGGTTCGTAAGGAGTGTGGATGGCACTTCCGTGTGCTGTTATTCCTAAGCGGCCCTCGCCAGGCCTCTTGTCAAGCAGCAGGGGTGCAGTCCAATCTACAAGGACACTTACAAACACATCGCGCTTGTCATCCAAGGCTGTGTCTAGGAGACGGCAAACGTCACCAGTGCAAGCAGCTGTAGCCGTTGAGGCTCCCCCTCAGGTGGACTAGACCTAGACTCCTGTTGCACATACTGTGAGTACATAGCAATGATCTCTAATGAAGGAGTCAGCTTTCTCGCATCCATAGCTCCCCATTGAGCCAATCAGGGCTTTGCAGAGCCTGATCAATCAGTTGATTTCCCGCTTGTCTTTGTCAACGTGAACATTGCATTTGGAAAGCAAAGTTTCGTGCTGCCCAGGCCCGCCAGTTCACATCCTTTGAGCGAGTTTCTGTCCTATCAGAGGCCTTACCCTACCTGCAGCGTTTTGCGGGAAAGACGGTGGTCATAAAATATGGAGGAGCAGCTATGAAAGACCCCTCACTGAAGGTGAACACTCCCAACGGCTAGTCTGAGCGACAGCAACTTCTGTAAGGGTTACAATGCAGCTCGAAAAGAAATTGAGCATGAGCAGTGCCCTAGTGTTGACTTATCACATGTGCGGATTGCAGGCGGGGGTCATCAATGACTTGGTACTGCTCTCTGCGGTCGGCATCAGGCCAGTGCTTGTACATGGCGGTGGACCAGAGATCAACTTCTGGCTTGAAAAGTTGGGCATTGTGGCAGAGTTCAAAAATGGCCTGCGTGTGACGGACGGTGCGTGCGCCTGCAACTTGTACTGAGCAGGTCTCGGGTCCACTTTGCCTGCCTGTCAAGTAAATGACCATGTTCACAAGGAGATGCGGTGATGGTGCAGGCGCCACGATGGATGTGGTGGAGATGGTGTTGGGAGGTCGGGTGAACAAGGGATTGGTCACCCTCATCCAGCAGGCTGGAGGTCAAGCTGTCGGCCTGTGTGGAAAGGACAGCGGACTCATCAGGGCCCGCCAGGTGCTGACTGCATGGGGTTTCTTAAAAGACCTGAGCTTCAGCTGCTGAAGGTCGACAGTCGTGACTCATGTCTTTCAACTGGAAGAACAAACAACCTCATTGCAGGCTTGATTTGTGAAGGATGTGGGGCGATAATAATTTGTGTGATGTGCAGATGGTTGAGAAGCAGATTGGCTTTGTGGGTGACATCACCAGCATCCAGCCGCGGCTCTTGAACACCCTGGTGGAGACAGGGTACCTGCCTGTGGTGGCCTCAGTGGCGGCAGACAACAACGGCCAGGCGCTGAACGTCAATGCAGACATTGCTGCCGGAGAGGTGCGCAGCGCCAGCCGGTGCCTTCACCATGAATCCAACAGCATGCAGCTGGCTGTGAGCTTATGGTTACAAGAGAGTGTGTGCTTGTCTTGCAGATTGCGGCTTCTTTGAAGGCGGAGAAGCTGATTCTCATGACAGATGTGCCCGGCGTGTTGAGAGACAAGGACGACGTATCCACAAAGTTTACTGCGCTGGACATCCGGCAAGTCAGGGAACTCGTGGCGGACGGCATCATTGCAGGCGGCATGATCCCAAAGTAAGTTCACCATAGACCACTCTTCATGTAAAGCGGACAAGATTGAGTGCAAGTCTTGACAGAGTTCACCCACTGTGGTTTTGAGAAGTGCTGGTGGTTGATTGATGTGCTGGCTTGGCAGGGTGGAGTGCTGCACAAGGTGTTTGGCACAGGGTGTCCGTGCCACGCACATCATTGACGGCCGGCAGCCGCACTCCCTGCTCATGGAGCTGCTCACAGACGAGGGCGTGGGCACCATGATCACGGGGTGACACACGACAGGTGCCTGTGGCTCATGACATGCCAGCTGGACTGATCATTGATCATCATCCCTGGGAGAGCTCAGTCTGGGATCACTGTTGTGACACTGGTAGACTACCTCACGTTGAATGAATACTGTTACTGGCACTCCTGATTCTTCGATCATCGATTTGATGCCGATGACCATGAACTCATGAATCATCAACGGCCCATCCGGGATACCCGATCAGCGCTATGTAGCACTGCTATCATAGACTGCTACAGTAGCAGCCGTCTGCCACTCTGATGGTAGGGTTGAGACATGCAAAAGACCTGTGTGCATGCGGTGTGACAGCTTTCACTATAGGGGCAACATTTGCATAAGTTAAACTCTGGCCCCCTCCACATCACCCACACTTTTGAGGCCACTGGTGATGGAAACCTAAAACTGGATCTTAACCTAAAGTTCAAGGCGCTCCAGCTTGACACAATTTCTCCTCTCGAATCTGACATACGCAGCAACACCTCCTGAGGCTATGTTGACATAAGATCTGTAAAATTTAGTCAAATTAAAAACAGAAGTCTGGTGAACGATACACAGTGTAGCCGTCGTCCCTCTATTGAGAGTGTTGATCACGAAATATTCTTTGCCCAAGGTTGCTGATTTTGTCGCTCGAGACTATAGAAATAAATTCGTCAGCAATGTTTGCATGATTTGGACAACCTCTTGAGGGGGTCTGATCGATGTCAATCGTATGAGGCGCTCTCCATCAAAGGTAGAATGAAGTATACTTGAAAATCAATGCGTCCCAAGACTGACATTCTCAATGCGATGTAATTTTTTTGCATAATAAAGAGCATTACTTGTGTGAACATAGGCATCGTGAATGTCTGAGGTGCTCTTTTGCAGCATCTAAGCAAAATGATATGGGCATAGAAATATAAATCGTATGGTGTGGTTGAGCCACACGATGGTAGGAAAACAATTTACTGTTCCTCTGGACCGAAGACAGAGAATGGCAGAGCAAATGGGCTGCTGGTGTCATGCAGGCTGGCGGAGATGGAGCTGTCCCATCACAGTCATATGCACCTCCACCACCAGCCCCGCCTGATCAGAAGCCCGTGCACGATGTGATGGCAGGAGCTATGGCCAGAGCGGCCTCGCAGGGCACCATACACCCGCTGGACACCTTGAAGGTGCAAATGCAGATCGGAAGGCGGTCTGGGGCAGCAGGTAATTCCCAAAAGGCCTGAGCGCTGGGTGACATTGTGTGATACAGCATACAAGCAGCGTCACGACTTTGCAATCGTGCATGTTCCATCTGAGATGAATGCACATTGCCAAGAAGCATCGCTCCTCCCCAGCAATGATGGCTCCCTATGCATGCAGGAGGGAACATGAGGAATGCAGGCCGTGGCTCCACAAGCGCTAGCCAAGGGACGTTGCAGTTCGCGAGCGGTCAGGGAGGCCGTGGTGCAGCCACACTGACCACAGGCATGCAGCAACGCCTGGCAGACCTACGGGGCCTGTACAAAGGCGTGTTTGGGGCGGCGACCGGTGCAGGCATCATCATTGGCACATACTTTGCGTTCTACAGCACCACCAAAAATGCTCTGCGCAGGCACACAGACTTGCAAGAAGGTGCGTTTTGCTCAGCCTGAGACAGCCGTGACAGACCCTGGCAGAAATGTGATGCCTTCTTTGCTGCGTTGCCATATCAACATGCCTGTTGCGTCCTCACTAACGAAATACCATGCAGGGGGCCTGGCATTTGTGGCTGGAGCAACGGCGGCGGTGGGCAGCAGCGTGGTGAAGGTGCCTCTCGCAGTATGCATCCGCAGCGTCCAGGCCGGGCTGCACCCCAACCCAATTGCAGCCGCCCAGTCCCTCGTCCGCGCAGCCGGTGTCCGCAGCCTCTTCACGGTATGTGCCACTCCGCCAATCACCACCAGCATTGTCTTGTCCCTCTTTATGGTGCTGTGCAGCACGATACACTTGATCTGAAAATGGTGCAAACTTTGTACAGATAAACTGTTGCATCAAACCCAGAGGACAAAGAATGGTAGCTGTGGTGTGCAGGGGTTTGTGCCGACGCTGCTGGAGGACGTCCCGGACATGGCGGTGAAGTTTGCGGTGTACGAGAGCCTGCGGCCCCTCCACAGCAGGGTCTTTGGCGGCAGACAGGTGCGTGTTTCTTGGCGCACTGCATGCTTTCGTCTGCTGGCGCACATGGCAGAGGGTGGTGCATGCAGGACAGGTTTGTCGGTTGTGCACATGCTACTTCCAGCAGGATAGCTATCTCTAAAGTGTAATTGAGAGCCCCTTGGTGAGAATGCTGACGTGAGTAACGCAAAATCATGTGGACCTCATCATTGTCGCAAGTTCTAGATTCCCACAGATGTAATTCGATGTGGGTTGAGTCGGTCCCAGAGGCAGGCCAAAACAGGCAATAATTATGGGTGATGCTTCTGATGCAGCCGACGGTGGCAGAGGATCTGCTGATCGGCGGGGCGGCGGGGGCGGCGGCTGCGGCGGTGACGACGCCGTTGGACGTGGTAAAGACGGTGATGATGTGCTCCGCGTCCAGCAGGCCCACGCTGCTGTCGGCATCCGCGCGAGTCATGGCCGAGGGCCGCGGCGCCGCTCCCTTCTTCCGCGGCGTCGGGCCCCGCTCCCTCTCCAACGGCCTCAACTCCGCCATCTTCTTCTGCTTCTTCGAGGCCCTGCGCGGGGTGCGTGCCCTTTACAGTTCCTTAAACAAGCTTCACAAGGGAGAGCTTCTCAGGCAGCACAGACCACTGTGCCCAGTTTTTACTGAATATACGGTATTCCAGGATCCTGTTTGCAGGAACTCCTTTGCGGGCCTGATCTAAACAGGTGCAATCGCTGTGCAGAAGAGTGCTTGAGAGCGGGAACACAGATGGGTTGTCTGCTGGGGGGTTCTCAGCGCTGTCGCCCATTGCGCAGGTCTTGCAGCGGCATGAGCAGCGAGCGGAGAGTGCTGCGCTTGCTTCCTGCGCTCTCTCAGCATCCCCTCTACGAATAGCGGCCCAGCCGAAGGCATCGTGTGGGACAACAATTGTGAGGTACGGGGGAGCTGCAAAGGCCCGCTTGAACAGACAGAAGCGCGCACCTGTGGCCTCTCTGAGTCTAGCTCTGCCGTGCTGAGTTCGATCGTGGCTTGTGGAGCATTATTGTGGCATAGCGGAGGGACCATAAATTTGTGACTTGCTCCCTGACTGTGAGGGTGGAGATATTATTCTTTGGAGATGGTGGAATTGATTATTATGAGGCATCATGAGGAGCGTGGGACAGTCTGACATTCAATAGTTGTCAGTAGTGTGGGGTATTGATAGCTAGAGACAAGGTGAAATTGACAGATCTCTTGCGGGGCAAGGAAGAGCAGCATTTGATAATGCGATGTCTGAATGAGCGGAATTAAATGTTGTGCAGAGATGAGAACATAAGCAATCATTGCAATGTCTCGATCCACAGTGAATGCTGCAAGGGCTCCTGTGAGTGGAGAGGGATCTGGATCTGTGGAATCGTTGGCAGTCTGTGAGCATGTGTGGTCCGACTGGCAGACTTGCTTTAATTGTAGCTTGCGTAGAGAGAGGAGGCGTGCACCTTCTTGTAGCTACAGAGACTTACTGAGAGGATGTGTGTGCCACATAGATCGTGGTGGCTGAAGAGAATATCAGTACAAGACTAACAAGAATATTTTTGTTCACAGCAATGCTGATATTGCAGCATCGATAGCTCTATACATCAGCACTTATGTGTCCAGCATGATGTCGTCTGCCTGCCATAAAGAGCTTCTAGTTTGTCAAATAGCTATTGCAGGCTTGGAGATACGCTTGAGCCATATGACTTGCCTCCTCTCAGGGCTGCAAGGGATATTTATAAAGCTTATAGACAGTGCAAGTATGTAAAGCATTCGACATTCAAGCCTGTACAGTTACACTTACAAGTTCAAGTCTCATATGTGAAAGGTATAGTTGCTCATGGCTCAGTGCGCATATTCTGCGCAACTTCGTCACACACACGTAATACTACTGAAGCTTAAATAGCTTGTGCCCTCTATCGTCCAGTCATGGTGCGCAATTTCACAAGACTCTTCATATAACTTTGCAACAGCAATGTCCTACTCAAGAATTCCGATTGATCAGAACGGGGTCAGGATCAAAGTTGTATGAGGTTGAACTATTGTCACCGTGACAATTTGCAACGTGCTGTTCAAAGTAAATCTACCACTAAATTGATTTCCCATTATGTCGGGATATATCTATCATTGTCAACAGTGCTTTGGAAAACTCAAACTGTAGGCGGTCAAGCCATACTCATGAGTGCCTTCATGTTGTCCCCTGCCTGAGAAGCTGAGCCGGCCTCCGCCTCGCAGACAGGCATCTGGCTCAGGATTTCTCGCAGGGCTCCCAGCGAGCGCCGTTTGAGTATGCTCTTCGCCGGCGTCTGCCGGGGCTCTGTGCTGCCGCAGCCTCCCGCGCCCTGCGCTGCAGTGGGTACTGAAGCATAGCGCTGCCGGATGGACCGCAGCTGCTGCCACTCCCTGTCCAGCTGCTCTATCAGCTGCTCGGCAGCTTCCTGCCCCTTGCTCGCTGTCATGCGCTCCAACACCTGCATCAGCATCAAGCATTCTTGCCGCCGCCGCTGCAATATTCCCACAGTCTTCTAAGCAGGGAAGGGCATCTGTGACACTTCTCAGCACAGCAGCAGCATGAGCATCAGAGCATTTGCTGGGAGATGTTACGGGTACGGGAATGCTTACCTCCCGGTGTTTGGCGTGGTGTGCGGAGGCGGCGGTGTGGCTGAGCACGAGGCCGTTGTAGTCGAGGGCGGCCCACTCCTCGCCCGCCAGCCAGTGCTGCGCCAGGCTGCTGTTCATGAACGCCTCCCTCAATTCCTGCTCCACCATGTCCGCCGCCGGCGCCTGCCCACAGCACACCCTCATTTTAGCTTGAAGAGGAACGCACACATCGGGGCCGTGCGAGCGCCGAGCGCACAGGTCTTTTGAAGTGCCCCCCGTCACTTGTGCTCCTCTGGCCTTGCTGACATCCAGGTGGGACACCTTGTTAGATAGCCTGGAACCACTGGATGAAATGCGTGAAGGACAGACCTGGCAAAGGCCAAAGGAGCACTTTTTGTCGATGCCTGCCGCCCTTACAATTATAAAAAGTGCAACTAGTGCTCTTCACGGATCAACACTGTTATGTACAGGGCGGAAAAAGGGCAAATCATTGGGGTGCTGCTGTGCGGGAGTGTAAGCAGCGCACCAGCTTGGCCGGCACTGGGGTGCCAGGGGACAGGCGCGCTCGCTTGTGGAGCCGCGCAGGCCGCTCATAGGACAGGCGCCGCACCAGGTTCAGCAGTCCCGCCTCTTCCTCCTCCGCCTCGTGATCATCCCTGGCATCCTGTGACACACACCCCACATTGTTGGCTCTCAGCTCCTGTAGTTTCTTGTTTCCCCACCGCCTCCACAATTGTAGTCCACTGAACCCCAAGGCCAGCATGGCCTCTAGGTGGGGCATACTCTTACATCAGCCATGCAAAGACACGCCTGGCTTGGCAACGGTAGGCAAGAAACAGCTGCCAGTGCGACAGGGAAATGAGCAAGCAGGATGTCGCACTTGTGGGGGCCTGGCGGGGTGGCTTGCTGCGGGCAGGTGCGGGGGTGCGGTGTGCAGCGTGGCCTGGGCAGAGGGGCGAGCCCAGCAGTGGTGGGGGCTGCCCGGCAGGCGCGACCCTCTCAAGGGCTTGTGCGGCGACTGGCTGCCTGGCCTCCTCTTCGACAGCGCCGGCTGCTGCTGCCGGGACCACGGCGCCACCTGCAGGACAAGACTTATGAGCACTGCGCGCTGCTGTGCAAGGCTTGTTGCAGGCTGCATAATGCCCACCTTGGGGCTTGAGGACGGAAGGGGCTGCACCTTTCTCGGAGAGACGCTCGCAAAGCAGGTGCTGGCAGGAGCGGTGCTGACCTTGGGCTTGAGCGGTGGCTCCGGCAGATTGAAGCTGACCTGCAACCACCAAAACCACCATGAAGATGATGCAAGTGATTGGTTAGAAATATGAGCCATGCTAGAGTGACACCAATGGTCTGGATGGTCGAATCCGAGTGGCGTGCACTGACCCGGCGCATGCGCAGTGGTGCAGCAGGTGCCGGCGTTGCCTCTTCTGGCTCCTCCAGTTCCACAGCTGCGGCCAGGTTCCCCACTGCCGGCCCCCACACGGCCATGTTCTCCATCTCATCGCGCAGCCTGTTGCACGCAGCAATCGCGCGGCGCAGCTCTTTGCTTACGTCATGCTCTGCATCGTCCTCCGGCGCCTGAGCGCTGCTGCACTCAGCTTCATCGGCTGCGGCGGCTGCCGTCTGCCTCGCTGCAGCTTGCAGCTGGGCTCTCAGGCTGCCCAGAGCATTCGCTGCAGTGCCTTTCTGCGGAGACCTGCCTGCCACCTTGGTGACTGTTGGAAGGCCATGCTGCTTTGGTCTGGAAGGAGCCGGTGAGGACGTCATGTCCTGCAGAACACCTGGTGACTTCGTCTCAAATGCTGCACGGCTGCGCTTGAGCTGTGCTGAATGCTTCGCTGAAGATGACACAATATTCTCTGCCCCTGAGGCTGCTGTGTAAATGGCCTGTGTCCTCACTGTTGCCGGCCCTTCGGTCGCAGCTTGAGCTGGTGTGGCCTCCGCGGAGCTACCAGAGGTGCTGGGCAAGCAGGCGGCTGCAGACGGCTGCAGGGGCGTGCAGCAGGCGGCCAGAAAGCGAGGGCTGCTCAGCGCGCGGTTCTGCGGTCCAGGCTTTGGCGTGCTGTCGCTGGATGCCAGCCCAACAGCACGCCTGGGAGCGTCAACGACCGGCGCTGCAGCACGCGCTGAAGCGCCCGCCTGTGATCCTACGCGCCATAGGCTGTTGATTACGGCGTCCAATGATACTGTCTGCTCCAGGTTCGAGGCCAGCTTGCTGTTGAAAATGGGCCTGCCCACACTGTCCTGTGAGATTGTTCTGGCCGACAGGCTGTTGGAGGCAATACTTCTGGCTGCATCAGAGCGCTGCACGGAGGGGCTGCTTTGGCGTTCGCGTTGCAGAAGGTCAGACCCTGCCAGGCCTGCCGGCTCAGATCGTCCGAGGAAGGCCATAGCAGACTGCGTTCCACCCAGAAGTGCGTCACCAACATGTGCAAATCTTCCATGTTCAGCGACGTCGAGACTTAGCAAGGCCGTGGCATGCAAGCATCGGGCCAGAGCAAGCTGCAGCAAGACTCACATCTAAAATATTGCGGAACTGTCCCTTCGCCCCAGTTGCGGTCATTTCCAAGGCGAGGAGAAAATATCTATTCCTCGTGTAGACCTCATTCCCCTACATGCTTCGCCATTTGCCCTTCTTTGGGACCTGCGAGAAAGCATTTGTCCCTGAATTACCCCCCATTAATCAACATTCATGAGGTTGACGTTACTGGTATTAGTCTCAGGGTTTTCTGGCCTGGAAGGAGAGGTGACCCGTTTCAATCACGCAGTGATTAGTGCACCAATAAATTCCCGGGTTATTGCAGCCAGTGCGCATGCATACAATCCAATTCACTGACTGGCACTTCTCTGTCTTGGGATGTCAACTCTCCCGATGCCTGAGTGCGACCTGAATCACGATGCGGGAGGTACATGCATCAGAGTGACGGCCTCGTTTTGAGCATCTGGTTCAGCTCTTGAGAAATGTATAGGACATTTCGCTGACTGGGAACATGGACCGCGTGGACCCTTAATCAGTCGACTCAACAAGGATGCCGCCCCCGAAGTGATAAGGCAACATCCAAAGAATGTCAGATGGGTTTTATTGATTCTCTAATGCTTGCCACGTATGCTGAAAATAAAGGTGTACCTTAATATTTTATTGGGATATACTCTTCATTCCCTGTGCGCCTCTTCGGGCCCTTCAAGTCTCAGATTTTTTCGGTGCCCTCCTCTGTTGTGCTTTTTCTGCACGATTCGTCCATACATTTGTGTACGAGACGGGATGCAGGTGCTGCTCTTGAATTTGGGTAAGGATGTTCGCTGTTCAAGGAGCCATTCGAAAGCTTCAGGGAAGGAATGTATAGAAACAGGTCAATGTTATATCGACCCCCGAATGAAGAAAGGTCGGAACCTTTCTCATTCGAACCTGCAAGAATATGACATCCTATCGGCCAGTTGTAGACTTATGTGTCAGATACATCTTTAGATCTGATTGGACATGTTTTGGATTTTTGTAATTCACTGTGGGGAAAGTTGATCTGTGATGACGCAAAGCGATCTGCTCTTGTTGCTCCGATTCTCATGGTTGGATGTCCGTACCTTCATGGAATGTAAGCGGTGACCATTACTACATGCGTCAGAGTGTCCATGCCTTTTGGGTGAGGCTTTCCAGCCTACCTGAAATTTCCAACCTTTTCAGGCATGGAGCTTGCTGAAAGTTATCATGACAGCAACCTTGCATGATCCTTTCTGTCTTTGCAGCACGGGCCGTGCAACCTACGGAGACTGCCATCTCTCCTTCAAGGGTCAGGAAGTACGCGCAAGAGACCCACAGGGACAAGTGGGCTTCCCAGAGTATTGAGTGCAAGCCAACCCCTCACAGATACAATCACCAGTACCACAAATAGCTATGGTGAGACCACACTGACCCTATAGATTGTTCCAAGGGAGCATGAAGAGCTGCGTCAAATTTGGCATGCCGGTAGTATGACAAGCGCTGAATTCATCAGTGATTGTTGGTTTGCAGTCAAACACTGCTGCAAACTGCGGACCAGCAGGGCATATCGTGAGGAGTCAGCATCGGTCCTCATTGTGGGACACACTCCCATCCAGGAGATTGCTTGCCACACAACAATAAAGACTTTGTTTCTTGGCCCGCAAGTAGACCAATTGCCAGGTACAAGGGATCCTGTACTCAAAGTTTGCTTCACTAGCGTCTTCCTAAGAACCTTGCTACTGAGCATGGTGGTCCCCGTCTCACCGATGGCTTGCATTCAGGTGTTTCGGCAGCACGCACTTTTAGAGTCAGCGAACCTGTTTTAAAGAAGTTGTCCTACCTGGAATCAATCTCAGGTATGCAAGCAAATCTCGCCCCTCCAGACATATAAATTTGCTGTTGGCTCCCATCGAGATGCAAAATAGAACTGTTGCTGCGAAGGTTTAAAGGCTGTGGCGGAGGTGGATGTGCGTCCAACAGTAGACTTTGCCAAGGACTTCCCAGCAGGCCAGATCCAACGGCTGCTAGCTCTGGAATGTGTGCAAGATCCAGGCAACGTTGTGTGTCTCTTCACCTCTTGCCCTGGATAATATGTCCAGTAGAGGATCTGGTACTATGTCTGGACTATGAAAGACACCCTCGTTATGTGCGAGTCAATTCTGAGATGCTGGCATGCTGCAGGGCAGCTTGATGCGGACAGCAGCTGGTCTGGGATGGGATGGTGTCTATCTCCTCCCAGGTGATTACTGGAAAGGCCCCCATCAGTACGACAGGGCATTCCTCGAAGCTCTAGCAATGGCATCTTGCTGCAGGTGTGCTCCAAATCGAGACTGACGCATGCATTGTGCGGCGCAGGGTGCTGTGACCCATTCAATGACAAGGCGCTGCGAGCCAGCCGGGGCGCTGCCTTCAAGCTGCCCATTGCAGTCGGGGACTGGCAGGTGCAGAAAATAGACACAGTGGGTGTCTGCATGCGCCATACATATTTTGCTTTCTGTGCCTTTTCAAGTAGCATGTCTTAAATTTTGTCCACCGTGTATGGCAGGGCCTCGGTCAGATAGCAGAGCATCACAATCTGACATGCTTCGGAGCAGAGCCACATGACAACACTGAAAAGGGACCCCTTGCAGCCAGGAGCAGCAGCAATGATGAAGCGTCGCCAGGTCCTGGAGGGCTCTGCTTGGTGCTAGGCAATGAGGGGCAGGGCCTTTCAGCAGATGCTCATATGAGATGCCGCCCCTTGACAATCCCCATGGCAGGCCGCATGGAGTCCATCAATGTTTCCCATGCTGGGGCAATCCTCATGTTTGCGCTGAGTGATGGGGCTGGTCAGGTCATAGAATCGGTAAGACGTTACACAAAGCAGTAGTAGTGACTGCATTCTATTAGAGCTGGATGTCACTTTCAGAAGTTTTGCATTGTTCAGAAGTTTTGGTCAATGGCTCCCTGCCCAGATTGCCCAGGGCTGGGCAGATCTGCTTGCATTGCAGAGATCAAGTTGAGAAGCATTGCACTGCACTAGATAGGTGCTTCTCCTGTTTTAGTTTCCAGAGGTTGCATCACCTAACGCTCCTATAGATATTTTGTAACACACAATAAGTGACTGTTGCATCGACAATCGGTTGACCTCAATTCCCTGGGGGATTGACAAGCAAGGATCATCTGCACTTCACATCCTCTGTTTTGACATCATGCGAAATATTCAATTTGACGACGGCTTAGTCGCCCACTTCGATCACCTATCTCAGAGCAGACCACAGGCTCAGGTATTGGCATGCGCTTTTAGAACTTGGTACGACGTGAGCAAAGTAATGCATAGTCACAAAATAATGTAACAATGTGTTTTCTGCAAGGTTGGTCTTCTGATCGGTCGCCTGGGGCTTGGCAACCGAGACTTTGTGTTGCTTCTCATCCCGACTCCTCCTGTGGAGGTGAGCCGAATGAATCCTACAAGATCCATTAAAACTGATGCAACTGGATAAAAAATTGCAAACAATGGCAGACGCGCGCAGGGAGAGGTTCAGGCGGTCACAGTGCAGGGTGGACAGCCCCAAGCGAGTGCAAAGAAATTAGGACAGAAGGCGAAAATAAGTTCAACATCAGGCGTACAGATTGAGATCAAGGATGACTGGGTTGCTGAGCATGCAACGCAAGTAGCTTCCCTGGTGCCTGGAGGCAAGGTTCTGCCAATTTGAAGCTGTGGACGTCATATTTATTTGCGCCTGAGATGGTGGAGCGTTGGCCTCATTGATGAGTTCCCTTGTGTGCTTGTCCAGGCCTCGCAGTGGTGGGGCTGTATCTATTCAGCCCTGATGCAGCCTTTGCTGCCGGAAATGCCCAGCTCTGCCGGGCGCTCATGAGTCTGCGCAGCGCATGCCTTGACACAGGTTGGTATTCTGCCAAGCTTCTAATTACCAACTAGTGGATGAAGTCTGCAGTCAGCTTGCTGGGACTGACAAATGCTGTGCTACCCTAGAAGAGAAGGATCTGCTACTGCTGAATGTGTGCTCGGCCACACGCAAAACTACCTTGAAGCACTTCCCCGCGGATGCCGCCAATGCCTCCGGCCTGAAGGCCTGCGAAAGCAAGCCTGCACCTGTGCTTGCCAATATAGCCATGGTGACGACAAGGTGTGGCTAAGCTTCCGCCAGTCGCCCCTTCTGTCGCCACAAGACTTGTTAATTGTGGGGCTGATTTTGGCATACTGACTGTTCTGGCACTGCTTATAGGTTCCCAGTTGATGCTTCATGCACAGTCACAAATTTGGCAAAGGAAGCTCGGCAGCAGCTTGAGGCTGTGCTAGCAAGGGAGAGCCACGCCATTGCAGAGTCCATCCCCTGCAGCCCCACGGGCAATCCATTGGAGGATGACGCCATCCTGGCTGATATCCAGAGCTCAGATGGTGTTGCAATGGCTGTAGACCTCTTGACTGCTCCTGACTGCTTTTCAGACATAGGTGAGCCGCCCGGACAGGGTTAGACATAAGCAAAGTGCAAGGTTTTGGCACTGCAATTAAATTGTTGTGGCCTTGCATAGGCCTTGCATTGGGCATGCTGAGTCACATGGCTGAGGAGTGGTGCATGCAACAGTTCAGCGGGACGGAGATGACGCACATGGGCAGGCGAGAATGACAGGCGTGATTGAGGGCAGAGCCTTTGTGCACAAAAGGGACTCCTTGAAGACCGCAGTGGCCGCCCTGAAGGTGCCTCCTGTCGATATGCTCAGATTCACCCGAGAGCTTGCTGCAAAACTGGCCGTGAATTGGAGTGCCCGTGAGGATATTGTATTTGTTCTGTGCAGGCTGATTTGCGGCGCAGCTTGAGAGCAAGGATGGCAGTGGTGCTCATGGATGCAGAGGACATGGCACAGAGCGAAGATGCAAAGCCTGAATTGCTGCAGGCTGGTGCAGAGTTTTACCAGTCAGCGTTCAGGCTGCCAATGCCTCAAAGGGCGCTGCTGCACTTCAAGGTATGATGCTCAATGGGAAAGCTGCTCCTTTCCTGAGCTAGTGTCTTGACAAAGGAACTACCATATCTTGACATCGGAGTTGGTTTCAGGCACCATTGTGTTTCTCGGACTATCCTCTTGAAGAGGAGGCAGATGCTTCGGTCATCAGTACAGCGCAGGACTTGCTAGCACTGGACGTGGCACAAATCAGCCAGGCAAGCGTTCCCCTATCACTCAAGGTCTCTGTGAATCCATCAATGCACTGTGAAAATCTTCAGTGAAGTAATCTACAGCCAGAAATGCTGTTCTGAAGGTTGCATGTCTGTCTGTGTAGATTGACTGGCCTGAAGGAGCAGCAAGTATACAAGAAGCTCCAGAACTGTGGCAGCCTTTGCGGACGAAGGCTGCGGTCGATAAACCAGTAGCAGATAACAAGGCGTCCTCATTATTTGCGTGTAACGAGTTTGTGGTTGGGGCAGTGTTGGTTGCTGGCCTGGGAATTGCTGCAGGCCTGGCATACATAGCAATGTAAAGCTTAACACCCTCACTCATATGAGTTGTGTGCAATAAAATGAATGTGATTTGAAAGCGTATGCGTCGCAATGGGAAAAGAGGCTGTTTATAGGCGTTCGCAACGCATATGGACAGCTGATGTTGAGCAAAGCGCTTTTGTAGCGTAGGTTGGGAACACCTTAAGCCATTACCACTATGCTGTTCGTGTCCTAACTAATTTCCATTGTGAGCACACGCTACTTTGTAACAAACATCATTTCTGAGCAGCTCCAGCAATATCAAAGCACCATGCAGAAGGTTCATGATCATGTGATTCATGTCATTCAGCAAGCAATCTCATCGACACTATGGCAAGCTTCACCACGGTGCTTTCGCAAAACAGGTCTCTAATGATCTACACTGTGCGACTCTCCTCTAATAGCTGCACAGCTCGAGCGAGCCAAGCTCGTGCACCCAGCGTTGTCCAGCTGCGAATTCCCATCGTCAGTGACACTGGTGCAGCAGGGAGTTGACGAGGTGGATGACATGGCGGCATGCGCGCGCATCGCTGGGCGCGGCCCCCGACTGGCATGCCTGCAGCGCGCTGAAGAGCTGCTGAAGGATCTGGCGCATGTGGGGCGCCAGCATGGTGTCATTGGGGTCCAGCACCGGCGCCGCCTCCTTCAGCCACTGCAGCTTGATGCCCGTATCCTGCCCATGCAACCCCCCCATAAGCCTTCACACAGCCTCTGGCATTGCATGCGCTCATAATGGTATCATGCACCTCGCACACAAGCGCCAAAGGAAAGAGCTAGGAGCCAGTGATGCGGAAAGGGGCGGGCAGGGAGGTTGAGGAGGTGTGCAGGAAGGAAGGGAACAGGAGGCGGACCCTGGCGAGGTCGCTGCCGAGCTGCTGCATGAGGGAGAGCAGCACGCTCTGGCTGAGGGGCAGCGGCTCCTGGTTGAGCAGCTCCGCCGCATCCAGCTGCTGGCACAGCCAAGTCACTCTGCCCACGTCCGCCATGTCCAGCACCCGCCCAAATGCCTCCTCATACCTGCACCCGCCGACCTCCGTCATGCCTCTCGACGCCTTTTTATTCAAGGAAAAAACTAGTTATCCTACGGTGAATAAGTTCATGTCAAGTATGAATAGCAGCAGCAATATTCAGGGCGGTGGGGAGGCTCACTTGTTCTCTTTCAGGAGCTTCATCAGTGCGATGGTGGGGTCTTCCACGCGAGCCTCGATCTGAGACACCGTCAGCGCCTGCAGCCTCGGCCGGGACCCGCCTGAAGCACAGAATGGCACAAAGATTGTCAGGCGGATACCTTTCTTTGCTGTCAGTCCACACACAAATAATAAGTGCAGATTGACGCACAGGTTCTGTGATGCTGCAGACATGCAGAACATCAATGGCATTTTTGCAGCCTCTCAGGGGCGCAGCAATGGACGGGGGTGGGGAGGTGCACCTGTGGCGGCCTCCTCGGCCAGCTGCAAGAGGCGGCGCTGCCCCTCGGACACCTGGCTGGACAGCGCGTCGGCTGCGGTGCCCACGCGGCTGGCGCTCTCCCTCAGCGAGGCCACCACTGCCGCGTTGGCTCCGCCCGCAGCCTGCAGATGCTCCGCCAGCCCGCCAGCAAACGTCGCCTGGACCTGTGATCCAGCGCTCACACGGTCATTGCACGTGCACAGGCAAAGTCACACAATGTGCACACTGTTTCAGAAGCATGCAGAGCACACCCCATACGTATCGCCGTTCGGGATAAAAGACAGAGATATGGTGCTGCAAGCAGCAATGGCAGAACTTTGGGTCGTCTGGCATGTACCTGGGAGAACATGGTCTGACAGGCGCTCTCAAAGGCAGGGATGAGGGTGCTCTGGAAGGTGCTGCGGAAGCTGTCCTGCAGGCTCTTTGTGAGCGCCGTGCGCAGCTGCGTCCCCAACGCCTTCTCTAGCGCCCCCTGCCGCCACCAACAACCGGCCATCATTGTGCTTGCAGACTATTTGGGAACCCCACAAGCAGCCCCAACAAGGAATAATTTACACCAGAATAGTGAGCATTGTTCAAGCAACCCCGACATCCAGAGAGCAGCTGAGAATGCTTTCTGGCCAGGAGACTCTCTTGTGACAGCAGCGTCAGGTCATTCCTTTTGAAGAAGAGACAAAGGGGGGCGTGCCTGCAGCTGGGGCCCAGCGAGGTCGCGGGGGAGGGCCTCAGCGAGGGCGGCCTGGCATGCGGGACCCACAAGCGAGCGCAGGCTGCCGGCCAAGGTGCCGGCCACGCTGCCGCCCAGGCCGGCCACCTCGCGGCGCATCATCTCCTCGATGCGCAGCGGCAGGTCGCGGTTGACAGAGGCCGAGATGGCGGCTATCAGCTTCTCCAGGTCCTTGTGCTGCTCCGCCATCAGCACCGTGCGCTCCGCCTCTATCGTCTCCGCCTGCTTCTGTACCAGCCTGTTCACCTGCACAAGGGCGAACGCACGCATTTTAGCATTGTCATAAACAGACATCAGTCTCTTCTCGCAGATGTCTAGTATACAATGAGTCTTGCCAAAAATTTTGAGGTCTATGGTGATTTGGAAGTGCTCCCAGAGAGAGCTGCAATTGGGGGGTACGATTGAGTGAGCATACCTGCGCCTGAGTGGTCGCCTCAATTCGTTTGGTCTCCTTGCGCATGTCTTCCTTCAGGCCCTTTAGGGTGTTGGCCTGCGCTGCCATCTGCTGGGCAAGAAGCTTCTTGTGCATGGCCTCGATGCGCAGCAGTACAGCCTCCGCTCCCATGCTGCTGCTCTCTGCAGCAGCGGGCCTCGGGGGTGTTTGTGATGGGCCTTTCCCCTGAGGCTCAGGCGTCTTCTTCCCTGCTGCTCGTGGCGCAGCATCCACAGCTCCCTCAGGCTTGGGCTCAGCGCCTGCCGGCAGTGGGATGGGCCCCTCTGACACCCTTGCGTCTGAGACGTCCTGCACATACACAAGGCATGTTGACATCAAAAGGGTGTGTGAAGAGACATAGACAGACCACGCTGTGCATTGGCTGCATTCAATGACAGTAGTATGCACAGCACATCCAGACACACCTCTGGGCGCTCTCCCTCCTTGCGGCGCTTGAGGATCTTGGCAGGCCCCACATGGACGCCGTTAAGGCCGCCCTTCGGTGTGCCGGAGGTAGCTGCGTCGCCCTGCCCATCAGCCGCAGGTGCGGGGCTGCGCGGCGCTGGCGAACCCCCTCCGGGCGACAGAGCCCTGCTGACCGCCGTCTCTGGCGGAGGGTAGGCGGCGGCCGGGGGCGTGCTGTAGGCTGTGAAAGGGGTGGACGGCGAGCGCAGCCCGGCAGACGGGGGCGGCGGGGGCCCAGGTCCTGGGCTGTCGCCTGTGCGCAGGGTGTGCAGGTCTGTGCTGGTAGAGGAGCCCTGGGAGGCGGTGCGGTTGCCAGCCAGCTTGATGAGCTGCTTGGGGGTGAGCAGGCGCGGCTGCGGAACTGCCGCTGCAGGCGGCGTGGTCACCGGGGGAGGCAGCGGCAGTGGCAGGGAGGCTGACGCAGCCGCCGCTGGCGATGATGTCTCGCCTGCCGGCAAGCTGCCTGCCACCGTCGCATCGGGTGCTGCAATGGACGTTCGAGGGGATGGGGTGTCGTTCGTGGAGCTCAGCTGCCTGCTCTCCACTACCTGCTCTGCCTGCGAGCCCATGGCAGAGGTGTCTGCCTCGGAGGACAGCGGGTGCTGTGCCGGCCCTGAGATGCCGGCGTTGGCGGATGCCGCGCTGTAGTTGGGCTCGGCTGCCGCCCGGGCCTTGTCCGCGGGTGCGCGGCACATCTGCGGGTGCAGGCTGCACTGCGAGATGCCCTGCTTCTGCACACAGAACAGCTGCACCGCGTCCTGCCCGTTGTCCGGTGGTGGCGCTGCTGTCAGGCTCAGCATGGGGACGCCGACGCCAAACTTTGCCAGGTAGTCAAAGCGCAGGCTGCTCTCCTTCCCGGGCCCCAGGTGCACGGCATACACCGCACTGCGCCTGGAGTTGGCCAGCACAATCAGGCTGGAGGCTGCATGGTACACCAGGTGGTTGTAGAAGGCCTGCTCCCCCTCCAGGCTCTCCAGCCGCAAAGCCTGCCTCAGGTGGAATCCTGAGGCAACGTCCCCATGGAACAGGCGCAGCTCGCGGTTGACTGCGTCCCCAGCGAGGATCCAGGGGGCGCCTCCGTCCGCGCGCTGCACCCATGTGACGCTCCCCAGCGCCTGCCCCTCAAATGGCTCTATGGTGCTCACCGGCGCGCTGGCCGCAGAGCTGGCAGTGTCCCAAATGTAAATCTGCACCCAGCCATCGAACCCTTCAGCGCACCGCTTGAGGAATCACCGCAAAGCGTTGAAGGTGATGCACTTGTTCAATCTCGCGCATGCATTACCTTGCCTTCGGGAGCCCCAGCCGCCAGCAAGTGCCCGTCAGGGGAAAAGTCCAGCGTGGACGGCTGCAGATCAGACGCAATGTGCAAATGTCTGAGCCCGCTGGGGAGCGTGCTCTGATCGCAGACCACTTCTGTGCTGCCGGCTTCCTGAAGGGCTTTCAGATCAACAACCAGCAGACCGTCCCTGACTGTCACCGCCAGAGTGCTGTCTGACTGAGGGTGCCACGCCAAGTGAAGCTCCTGTCCTTCACCTGCGCAATAGCATAATCAAGAAGGCTGGAAAGGCAACTTCTATGACATCAAATTTTGGGAGATTGCCGTTCCACCTTATGAATGAGTGGGTGCTTGTATAAATGCAGCCTCACCAAGCATATCTCCGAGCGTTAGGAAGAGCACTCGCTCAGCCCTTTTGCCCTCCTCAGCTTCACCGTCCAAGCGCCAGACCGCGACATGGCCTTCCTTGTCAGCACTGGCCAGCAAATCAATAGCGGCACTGTGAAACCTGTCAAACATTACATTTTCAACGTGCTGCATCTGAAAAGATTGTTTCTTCACGACCGAGGCACTTGGCATTCCCACATGCAGAGGACCGGCCAAGACTCGGCTCGACATGAGCAGCGTGCGCTTACCGGATGTCAGTCACTGGTGGCACATGCGCTTTGATCAGGTCTCGCACATTGGCCTGGGTGCTGAGCAAGCGTACATGCCCTTGCTTCAGAGCATAGCATATGAAGTTGCGATTTACAGCAATGAGTTGCCGCATCTCCAGCACCACATCAGTCAGGTACTTTGTGATGGCAGTCTCCTGCGCCACCCTAAATCATTAGGACTGATGCTCCTGTCATCAAAGCATGGCATGACAAGCACATGCATTAGGTACGACCGTGAGTGGCATACCGGTAATTGCGGCTGGCCTTCTCCCTCCTCACTGGTGTCTACATTGAAGACAATGTCAGGATCCTCTGGCAGACTGCGTCCCTGTGGCTCCTTGCCTGCTGCTACGCCGTTTTGTGTGCCTGAGCACAAAGGTGATTGGCTGATGCTGTGACACGTAGATGTTGTTTGTTGAGCACAGTTGTGAGTTTCTCCCAACTAATTGCGTCCAGCAGGTTACCTGCAGACAGTGCAGCCTCAAGAGCATCTACGGCGCCTGATGTCCTTCTGGACTCGAGTGACTTGACTTCCGGGGAACGATCCTTCAGCGTCATGTCCGAAAATCTGCCAACCAGAGGGGTGCTGAAAGCATCTTTGGTCGACGCTTCACTCTCGCCCTTCAGCATCAAGTGAAAGCGCATTAGATATTAGATCAAGCATGAACAGTGACACACTAATGCGTATACTAAGCAAATAAAAATAAGACGGGATTGTTTGAAGAAAGGAAAGCATAGGTGATGTTCAGATCACTTGTGTGTGAGAGAGAAAGAGAGAGGTGTCCACCATTTCATTTTCATTGCAGATTGAGTGTGCTAAAATGTTTGGTTTCAAGCATCACCTGATTACCATCAGGGGCGCTCGAGGTAGACATGGCATTTAGTAGCTGGGAGAATGCATCCATGATGTTTGTGCAGGAAAATGTATGACCTGTAACTTTCAACACAAGTACTTCCCAAACGCATGCACGCTTATATTAAAATTCTGTGGCAAGGAATTGGAAGAGAAAGGCTTTTGTCTAAAGGAGGAAGCAAGTTGGAAAGCCTGCAGGCCAGGTGGCAGAACATAATTTAGCAAATAAAATCGATCCGTCTCTCCGACTTCCGACTCTTTTCGATCCTTCTCAACATAACCATTAGAAACCACGATATAGTGTCTTATAGCCAGTATCTGCATTATTGCCTGTGAGTATGCAAGTTCTCGACGGTCCTATCTCACAGATCGGTTGGGCACGAAAGTCGTCCTCTGTACCGTGACCGTTTCTGAATATTCCAAACAGTCATGAGACGTTAAGACACAGCTAGATCGCCATACACGCGTCTGAGTCAGGTGCAGGGAGTGACCAAGCACACAGAGACGAAGGGCTGAGGAGGATTTTGAGATTGCAGGCTTCGGACTAGGAACAACACCAGATCAGCGTCCAGATCTTTTCGCAGCTCATTTGTAATTCGATTTGGTGTCGTTGGGAGGCAGTGATAGCGTTTTGAGACCCAATATTCCCCAGTAGGAAAGTAGCACCCCACATCTTGTACTACAGATTTTCGGAGGGTCCTCTGCGAAGAAGCCCAGGACAAAGGGGCCCTTCGTCGCCGTGCGAATGAATGCAACGCAGGAGATACTCAGGTCGATCATGTTCAGTACACTTTCTCACTCCAGAGGAGAGGACCTGTTTGAGGAAGTTTGCCTATCACACCGCTCTGATTTGCCTTCAGAGCTTATGCTCAGCGCATCCAGCAGCCTGCAGCTGTCAGAATTCTCCAGCAGTGACGAGGATGAGAGCGAGCATTGTCACATGCGAGCTCTCTCGGGAGCATCACCTTTGCAGCTTAAGGAGCTGCTCGGAAGAGGGTCCTGCGGGAGCGTATACAAAGCAGTGTGGAAGGGCGTGCCAGTGGCTGTCAAGGTATCAGCTTCCTCATACTCCAGCATTGGCATGACTGTGATGGCCTCCAGCATGACATGCATGCAGCCATACCCACGGCAGGTGTTTTGATCACAGCCAGTCATGCATGCTTTGGTGGGATTGAAGCTGTTCACAAGACAGGACTAAGCTGGGAAGGTATTGTGGCTGCAACAGGTCATTGAGCATGATGATGAGGAGCTGTCGAGCCCCGGCCTGTCGCCGCTGTCGTCCTGCGCTGGGCTGCATGCTTTCAGCACTGACGTCGGCCTCTCTGCTGGCCTGGCGACCAATGCCCTTTCGACAAGGGCCATAGAGGAGGAGCTGGAGCGGGGTGCACAGCTGAACACCAGGAACCTGCTTGCGGCCGGCAGAGCAGCGACAGAGCAGTGTGGCGGCCGCACAATGACCAGCAGCATGGCCACCACCAGGGGGAGCCAGGCTCTGCTCGAGGCTGCCATGAGCAGCGCCATCTGCCATCCCAACATCGTGCAGGTGGGCTGCTGCAGCACGCCCTGAACAGCGCATTCCACTGTAAGAAATTGAATGTACACTCTTCAATGTCTGCAAAGATGGAGATGGCTGATGCTGGTGTGGTGCTGGTGCAGACCTTTGACTACCAGATTCTGGATCCGTCATCCTCCGCTGGCTTCTTCGGAGCGCAGGGCTGCAGGGTCAGTCTCGGCTTTCTCTTCCAACTATTGCATGGCAAAAATGTTGCCATATCCTCATACTTCAATTCGATATCATCATGCTGGCATCAATACTGTTCAAGACATTGGGTGATGTGCCGTGTGTGTGCCACAGCCAAACCTGAATGGCCTGAGCGGCGCACTGCAGGAGACGCGGATAATCATGGAGTTTTGTGATGGGGGGACTCTGGAGGATGCCATGCACAGTGGCAGGTTCCATGGGACGGATGCCCAAGGCCGGGCAGTGGCAGACATGGAGAGGGTCTGCCTGACACTGCTGGACATTGTCAAGGCGATGGAGTACCTGCACCTCATGCGCATCTTCCTCAAGGATCTCAAACCCAAGAACGTGCTCCTGGCCTCATCAAAGGTGCGCTCACTCTCTCTCTCTCAAATTTGGCAGGAGGGCTGTGGTACCTAACATACTCTCGCTTCCAGCAGAGGACCTTCCTCCTCACTGAACTGGCAAAGCCGAGACAGTGTTTCTGCCACAACGAATGATAATTTGCCAAACACAGGTGGACAAGCGTGGCTTCATCGCCAAGGTGTCTGACTTTGGGTTGAGCCAGCTCCAGCCAGACAAGTCCCCCTGCAACGAGACCACCTCGACTGGGGTGGAAGCTGCAGGCACTGTCACGCACATGGCTCCAGAGATGATCGCGCACGGTGTCGGCTCCTGCGCATCAGATGTGTACTCTTTTGCAATCCTTGGTGAGGCGCTTTCTCATGCCTCTCAGAAATTGAATTGGGGTTTTCACGTTTGCTAGAGCACTTCCTGGTCTGATACCAGGATGCATGTAAGACCGAATTGATGTAGTGCAGCAATTGTTCTGTGAACGTCACCTCCTGTATTGGCCCAACACCACCACACTGAGCCACCTTTCTGCAAACTTCTGTTGCATGATTGGTTGATTGGGGTCTCTTGCAGCATGGGAGCTTTATGCTGGGAGAGGCGCGCATTCAAGTCTGAGCAAAGTCCAGATCATGTTTGGCGTCGCATCTCAGGACATGCGGCCAGAGTTCCCTCAGCCTACCCCAGCATGGTACAGAGACCTGGTGTCCACTTGCTGGTCAAGAGATCCTCGAGCAAGGTGATCACTGTCACGAATACTTGCCAGCACAATACACATTTCATCGGATTTTGCTCTCCTTGCTTCATAACATCATATAACATTGAAATATATTGGCAATAGTGTTTACCAAGGGTTCCTGCCATTGAGAATTGCTGTGATGCGCAGGCCCACTTTCGCGGAGATCAAGGCTATCCTTCTGAGAGAGATTGCAGGGGTGGACAAGCTACAGAGAGACACATGTGCACAAGCACCATAGCAGTGGCAGTGCAGCATGTACATGTGCATGTGCATTGCCGCCATCAGATTTGGCAGGATTGGCTTTCCTGTAGAGAAGCTGAGTTTGTGGTTCAATCAGATGTACTTCTTGGAACGTTATGGACAGCAGATTTGGAGAGCACAGGGCCTGTTCAAATTTTTCATGTATCATAACACTTAAGTTCTCCCGCCCACATGCGCTCTTAGACATATTTGGTATGTACATACCCTGAATATTCGTGGAGGTTATTCAATGTGCTGAACTGATGCTCCATTGCTATCAGCCAGCTCCAGAATGCTGGCAGTGGTCCGCACGCTGTAAATTGGCGTGCAAGTGTATAATCACATGCTTTGCCACTCAGAGAGAGTTACCCAGATTGGTTTGGCTGGAATAAAAAGCATTAGGATACGTAGCATTCATTATGGTCTCCACACTTAACGCTCAAGACTGCTTTGCAAGCCAACCACGAAGAGCCTCTACGCGCTGCGAGAGGGGCACATATGCTCCTGCTTCCTTCACGTCCCCATCCTCAAGTGTCAGCAGCCCGAGCACTTCCCCAACATCTGGCCCCTGCAACCAACACCCCATGTCCCCTGAGTCCATACCTCACAAGGCACCGCAACAATGACGCCGCAGATGCAGTGCTGTGCAGCGCTACGTTCAGGTGAAGCAGTGCAATCAGTCACAAGAGAAGTGCAACCAGCAAATTACTAATTTCCTGCTTTCACTGGTCACTGGTGGCCTGGGACAAAAAGCCACAGGAACACGAATGAAAACCTTTTGTGAGACAGATGCGCACGTGTGATGTGCCGGTGAGTGCGACTCGGAGGGGCATGAAGAGCCGCTTGCCCTTGCGCTTCTGAGCCTTGCCCAACGCCTTCATCCACCCCTTGTACGCATCAGCTCCCTCTGCCAGCGCAGCCGGCAGCTCCCCGCTGTCAAACGCCGCCACCACTGCATTTGCCACCTGCGCCATAGCACAACATGCCACTGAGCCAACACTACAATCCATGACCCACTTGCAGCACATGCTGCCATGGACAGTTCATTCCAATCCCCTGATTTGCACTCATAAGAAGAGCCATCAATGATGGCAAAATGCTGGAAAGCAGATGAGCGTGATTAGAAGAGAGTCATTTTGTGTCATGGCCCCACCTCTGCAAAGTTGTCTTCCAGCACAGCGGCCACCTTCTCATCATTGGCAATGCTGGCTTCAAGGGGGTAGTCCAGAAGTTCCCTCAGCTGTGTGTCAGCATCCACAATGAGCTCCAGGGAGTTCTTCAAGATGCTCACAGCCCGGTGCACAAACGCTGAGTCAGACTTGGCCAACAGGCCAGATTCCGTCCACAGGGAGCTTGCAATGGATATTACCTGCAGTGCAGATGGTGCTCAGAACGACAGAAGTTGCAGTGCAAATAGCTGCATGGGAACACAGGCTTGCAGCTTTCAGGAAGGAAAGTACAGGCAACCATAATCAGAGGGATGGTTTACCTCCTCATCAGGGAGAGCACGTAGATACTGCCCGTTCATCCAGGACAGCTTGGTCTTGTCAAATACGGCTGCGCTCTTTGTTATCCTCTCCAAGGAAAACTTCTGCTGAAGCTCCTCTGCGCTGAACAGTTCCTGCAAGGCAATGCACCCTGCCTTCGGTTTGCTGCTGATGCAGAATTCAGTCGACACACCCAAGGGTGGGGCCCTCAGACACACATGACTGGGCCAGCTAAAGAGGATATATCTTACTTGCTCCGTGCCATCATTCCAGCCCAGCAGACTGAGGTAGTTGACCATAGCCTCTGGCAGGAATCCCTGCTCCCTGAACTCTCCCACTGATGTGGCGCCATGTCTCTTTGAGAGCTTGGACTTGTCAGGCGCCAAAATGAGTGACACGTGCCCGAATGTGGGGATGCTGAAGCCAAGTGCCTCGTATATGAGCACCTGAAGAAAATCAAGATGCTTCAGAAATGATGCAGCAGTTCTCTACACATTATCCTTGATTCCGTCAAGACATTCAGGTGATGTGCAATGGAGGAAACCTTTCGCAAAACCCAAAGAATGAAACTGAAGCTGGCTATCCCACCTGTCTGAGGGTGTTTGGCAGATGCTCCTCCTGCACATTCTCACCAAATGAGTCCAGGAATCAAAGAAGCACGTAGCATGCTGTTGATCAAATTTTCTCACAGCAGAGGATTTGCTCGACCAATTGCATGATCTTAGCACGTTTCCAAAACAAGCAAGAGCATGTTGAGAGGAGATGCGCACTGCACGGATGACATGTGTGATGCGCATGAGGGCGTCGTCCACAGCTACGCAGAAGTTGTACACCGGCAGGCCGTTGCTTCTCAGGATCACAAAGTCGCCCAGCGCATTCGTATTGAACCTCACATCGCCGCGTATTCTGTCAGGTATGAGGATCTCCTGATCCGAAGGCACCCTGAACCTGTAGCAGTACGGTGTCCCCTGCAACACATAAACTCTCTTCCTCAGAAACTCTGGGACATCATGGCTAAGAAACATTGTTTCAATCTGGAGGTGTCTGCAAGTCATTCTGCAGCCACCTTTGCGAGTTCCTGCTGAACTTCGTCCTGGCTGGCAGAGGCCCACTTGCCGCGGTAGATGGGCGGCAGGCTCTTGGTCTCGGCATCAGCCTTCATCTGCTGCAGCTCCTCGTCTGTGCAGAAGCAGGGGTAGGCCTTGCCCTGCTCCACCAGCGTGTCCACATACTGCTTGTACAGTGCCGTGCGCTCCGACTGCCTGTAGGGCCCATGCTCGCCCCCAATGTCTGGCCCTGCAGACAATGTTGCTTTTGAGAGGTATAGATAGACATGTGAGCTGGCTGCCTCAAGAGGGTGTTCAAGGGGCAGGAGAGGAGTAGAATAAGATACAGGCCCTAGCGAGTTCCTACCCTCGTCCCATTTGATGCCCAGCCATGCAAGGTCCCGCAGCACTGCGGCCTCTGACTCCTTTGTGGACCGAGCCTGATCCGTGTCCTCCACCCTGCAGTGACATTAGCTGTTAAGAAGGGGCATTGGAGGCATCCCCATATTTATGCAGGTGGGTTCAACAGCGTCAAGCATTCTACTGAGAAAGTGGCCAAGACAAGATCTCCAAAACGCCCAGTCAGAAGGCGCACCTGAGAACCATCTTGCCGCCCGTGTTGCAGGCGTATAAGTAGTTGAAGAGAGCTGTGCGCGCCCCTCCGACGTGCAGGTTCCCCGTGGGTGAAGGTGCAAATCGCACACGCACCTGCCCAGCAGAGTTCAGAAACAAATTCAGGGACGTTCCCATGCCAAAAGTAAAAGGGGGGTTGCATTATGAAGAGCAAGAAAACACCGATCAGCACCTCCGAGTTGGGTGCATTTGATGCAGCTTGTGGTGCAGTACTAGGCCTTTCAACCGCTGCTACTGCTGAGCATTGCAAGAAGCCCCTCCGCTGAGATGTCTTCTGCACAGCCAATCCCAATCTTTAGAATGCATAATTGCCAAAGACACCATGCCCAAAGATGACAAAGTAGCAAAGAGTCTATGCATCGTGCATCACCAAGCCGCGCAGGCAGTCCCTGGAGAGGGCACCGTTGCCTGCTCGTGATAAAAGAACATTCACGTTGCACCTCTGATGTTTCAGAAAGAGCGTCAGAGGCGTGCCCAAGGCCACTGCCGTTGACATAGAAAATGCGCCTGTGGTCATCTTAAAAATCTTCGTGTGTGTTTCTTATTGAATCATTCTCAAAGTAAGAGCGGCATCCAGAATTACAGATGCCCAAACACTTAATTGATAATTGTTGTGTTCTTGTGCAAATTAATTTGACTTTCCAGCCTGACCTGCATTGATCCGATAAGGTGGGTCCACGTGGATGTGGGATCTGGTGACGTGGATTAAAATTTCTTTCAGACTGAAAGCCAGCGGTGTTTTCCCAATTCCGTTCGCAAGCACAATTGTACATCTCAAGCCCAGGAAACCACAAGGGATCAATGTACGTGCACATTGTCTAACCATGCCGAGTCAGACGTTTAAATATTGCAACAATTGGGCCCCGGCCCACTTCTGTTGCCAGGCACCCAGCGAATGAGAAGCGCGCTGCTATAACACGCATTGAATAGAAGCTGGCGAAGCAGATCAGAAGTCCATCAGGTCATCTCCCAGCGCTCGCCTCCCGCGCCACCCAGGGGCCACCGCTCGCCGCCCTTCCCGGGCGTCTTTGAGCGGCTCCGCGGCTGCGACGGGGATCGGCCGCGGCGCGGCGGTGTCAGCGATCGCCGCCGCCGGGGGGACCTCGAGCGGCCCCGGGAATGGGATCGCCGCACGCGCAAGGGGCTGCGCGAGCGCCTCTTGCCGGCCAGGGGAGACCGCAGCCGCGATCGGGACCGCGAGCGCCTCTCTAGCCGCGCCCGCCTCATCCGCTCCGTCGTCTCCTCGATGATGTCCTTGCGCGCACAGCAAAGATGTCAAAACAAAGATCGTTTTGCTGTGTCCAGCATCGCCAATGCTGCTTGTACGCGCAAGGCATACCCTCGATACTATTTGTGTTTGTTGTGGCTAATGCCACTTTTGCATACAGTACTCTGAAGGGGTTTGGCTGTTCTTGATGCAAGAATTGGCAGAGATTCAGTGAATTGTAATCCTCACCCTGTATCGAGCAGACCCGGCCACCATTGTAGTGCTGCCCCGCGTCGCCAGATCAACGTAGCCCTGCGCTTGCACAGTCCCATGCTATAGAAACAATAGGCAGCGCAAGCCTTCCGGCAATGAAAGCTGTCTGAGCAGAGCACGAGGTTGGATGATTTATGAAGCTGGCCAATTTACTCACCTCGTCCTCCAGTTTCTTCATGAAGGTCAAGAACGTGGTATTGAGACTCCGGATGTTCCAGGTGCGGTCCTCCTTGCGCATGATGTCATTGATCTGTGGCATGCAATTTTTGTTCAGGCCATGTCATTGTCAGTGGCAGCAGGTTTCGATGCTCATCTGTGCGAATGCAATAAGTGACCTCACCAGGCTGATGTTGAAGGGTATCAAGTGGTGCTCCAGGCATTTCCGCAGGCTAGTTTTGAACAGCTCCATGCTGTACGAGTCAATCTTGTCAAGCTTGGGGGATCTCCGCGCCCTGGTCCGACTGCGGCTCCTGCGCAAGAAAATAATCCTGGCCTCAATTGCTAGTGTCCAGCTCAACCATATTTGTCATACTATAGCTGTCCACCGGATCCCAATGTTGACCCTCTGTCCCACCACAGTCTTGCAACAGCAAGAATGAAAAGCAAACTTACCTGCTGATGCTCCGCCTGCGGCTGCCTGACCTGCGCCTCCTCAGGGGTGGGGAGTCGCTCCTGCCCCTCCTTCTCTGAGGGCTGCCGGAAGGGGACATGCTGGGCAATTTTCTCCTCCTGACCCGCCCTGTGGCAGCGCTTGACACTGACCGGCTAGACGCGCTCCTCCTCCTGCATACTGTGGAGCTGCCTGAGGGCGACTGGCTGCGTTTGCTCAAGTCTGGACTGCCGCTCGCAGCAGCCACATTTCTGATATGCCCGTTCTCCTGCTCACGCTTCTCTGCACTACCATCCTGCTTGCCTTCAGCCCCCTTCTTCTCGCCGTTCGGCAGCGCCCCTGATGCATTGACAGCAGTGGTGGGAGTGTCTGGTGATGCCACTCCGTTGTCCTCATGTGAGGCGCCATTCTGCTGCTCAGGAGCTCCTAACGGTGTGCCGCCGTCACCTGCCGGCTTTTCCTTCTCTGCTGGGGTCTTCTTCCCCGAAGCAGAGCCCTTGCCCTGATCTGAGGTCAGTTTCTCCCCCTTTGGCGGATCTTTGCTGGCCTTCTTCGCAGACGCCTTGCCGGTAGACTCCTTTGCTTTCGCCTTCTGCGGCGCCGGGCTCTTTCTGCGCTTGCGATTGGCTGATCTGCTGCGGCTGCGTGTCTTCCTGCGCCTGCGATCCCGAGACCTGCGCAGGACACTTCCTGACCTCAGCGCCCTTCCGTGGCGCAGGTAGAAATCAAAGTGTGCAGGAAAATATAGGACAGGAGTCTGAGTGTGCTTATGTCGGCGCACCTTGATCTGGATTGGCGGCGGGATCGTTTGGCCGAGCGCACTGGAGAAGGTGAATGTCTTCGTGGCGTCCGCCTGCAACCATGCAAGCACAACCATGGATACACTACTCAGGGATTTGTCCTCATGGAAACACCACGACAGCATTGTGTCGCTGTGCTCATACCTGCTCCTTGCCTCTCGTGCGGGTGAGGCGCTCCGCTTCTTTTTGCGCAGCTCACTCCGACTGTCCTTCTGCTTCGTCTTCTTGTCACCATCACCTACAGACTCCACCTTGGGCTGCAGATGCAGGAACCTCTCATTGATGCCGGTGTCGTCACACAGCTAGGTCTTTTCTGTTGCAAGCAAGATGAAGAAATGACATGCATCAGTGCTTACCGAGACAGGTTCCGGCGCAGGATTTGCTCGTGCATATGTCTTTTCATATTCCTGCTGTGCTTTCCTGTACTTCTCTTCGGATTCAGAGAGGGAAGACTTTGCCAGCTCCTCCACTCCTTTGCATGTCTTTAAGTCCTTCTCACCAGCCCCAAGTTCTTCCTGCAGAACACATTATATTTGCACAACTGTCAGTCACACTGGTGGCTTCAGATGCCAGCACTCCATTGCTGTCTTTTCTGAGAACATCTGGCTAAAGACAGACTCCAATTTCAGGTCGTGAGGCACCTCAACACGGCTGAGCTCCTCAGCAAGCCTCTCAATCTCCACCTCCTTGCTCTTTAGAGAAGTGTTCAGTGCTTTGATCAAGTGCGCAAGTATGTCAACGTCAACCTGGACAGCTGCCTTGTCCTCTGTTGCGGAACAAACTAATGCGGTCAGCGATCATACAGGAGGAGACATCTATCCATTGGAATATGCAAGGATTCAAATAATGCCTTCGTAGATCACTACACAATTACCTGACAGACTCTCATGCAGAAGTTTACTAGCCTCCAAACGGCCCAGAGCAGCTGTCACTTTCCTCTGCGCGCTCTTAGTGACCTCTTGAGCCTTCTGCACCGCAGATTTACATGAAGAACGAAGCTTGTCTGTGCGCACGACTTCTGCTTGGAGTGCAGCTGGCGGTAAGAACTTTGGGGCCCTCGAGCTCATCACTTATACCAGTCCAGATCTTTGGAGCTTTTCAAGATATTGACGTCATGCTATGGTGAATGTCTCTGATGAACTAGAACGGACATAACTTCGAGTTCGCAACGAATATTGCAGGAAAGACCAGATCATGCAGGTCTCGATGCGATCAGAAGCGTGTGTGAGTGCTCTGGAGCACAGCAAGAATTTCGAATGCAGACAAGTTACATGACGGTTTCAAGGATACCCTTGGCATAATACGGGTTAAAAAATTGTTCGTATAGTAGAAGTGCGTTCCTGATGCCGATCGAAAGCGTTGCATGCACAAGGACAGCCATCAGGGCCGGGGGACCCGGCAACGTTAACGGCGGACCGCATTCCTACAACGAGAGGGGGATCCCGTTCAGACTTTGACTAAGGAATTGGACTATAAACCCGTGTGCAGAGATCAATGCACTGCACAAATAAGTGACAATTAGAAGTACGAGTTAAGGCAGGACCCCTGTGAGAAACCTTCGCCGTGAACCTGAGGAGAAGGAGAAGTCTGGGCTATTGTACCTTGCAGGCAAGACTAAAGGTTGGGCCAGCTCCCAGAAAGGCCCAAGATGGCTGCAGCAGCGCCAATAACCTTGAAGGAGGCCTTGCTGGTAAGGCACATCAGGACACGCCTGGCTATAGCTGTTTGTGCACTTGATTGGGTTTTCAGGAAGCTTCTTGGACTCCATCTTACAGTGCCCGTCAAAAATTTTGCAGCAATGTCCCTCGTGTCAGGGCGCAAGTGTTTTGGTTGGTGGGCATGATCGTGTGTCACTTCTGTAGGGACCAGAATTGACATGCAGTACTGAGAAGGGGTTGTTTGTTCGTGCAGTTGCCCAATCTTGGGATCAACCAGCAGTTTATCTCTTTCACCAATGTCACCATGGAGAGTGATAAATTCATATGCATACGGGAGACGGGGGCATCTAATTCAGTCGTCATCGTGGACCTAGCTGCACCTCTGACGCCGTTGAAACGGCCCATCACTGCAGACTCGGCGTTGATGAACCCGGCCTCCAAGGTCATCGCATTGAAGGCGACCGTAGCAGGATCGACGGGGGACAGTCTGCAGATCTTCAATCTGGAGATGAAGTCGAAGATGAAGAGCTTCCAGATTGCACAGCCAGTGGTCTTCTGGAAGTGGATTACACCTTCAAAGCTGGGCCTGGTGACTGCAACCACCGTCTATCATTGGGACATGAATGTAAGTTTTCGATCCTCTTTTTCACTTTGACTTTGATCCCTTCCTGCAATTCAGCGTTGAACATGCATGCACTGAATATGACTTGATCTGTTGATGCTTGACTGCACAATATTCTCACCCTGAGTTGCATCCTGCATGCAGGGTCCTTCGGATCCCGAGAAAGTTTTTGACAGGACGGCTAACCTTGAGAACACCCAGATCATCAACTACAGGGTCGACGCACAGGAGAAGTGGTGTGTGCTGATTGGCATTGCACCCGGCGCTCCCGAGAGGTATGTAGACATCCCAGCTATGATGCGATGAAGGGAAGCTATTTTTGCAGCGCTCAATGTGTTGTTGCCCAAGGGGCGCTGTCGAGGGTATGAGACATTGTGCTCCTTGCCATCCATGCAGGCCACAGCTGGTGAAGGGCTTCATGCAGCTTTTCTCAGTGGACCAGAAGCGCAGCCAGGCACTGGAGGCGCATGCAGCTGCATTTTCGACCCTGAAGGTGTGCATGCCTGCGCAAACATCCAGCATGCTCACCAATGCTCACCCCTAGTGACTGCGACGCTGATGATCTGTGCTTTGCCCTTGCAGGCCCCTGGCTCTCAGACACCGAGCACTGTGATCAGCTTTGCCCAGAAGACCTTCGCGAATGGCGTCCTGACGTCAAAGCTGCACGTCATCGAGCTGGGAGCAGCTCCTGGTGAGCTTGAAATGCTACTGTGAAAAGCCTACTATGCACGCACATGATGCATGCATGCGCTGGGCCAGAAGCCTCTCAGGGCTGACAAAGGATTTGTGTGTTGACAGGCACTGCTCCGCTGAAGAAGCAGGCCGAGCTGTTCTTCCCGCCGGAGTTTGCGGACGACTTCCCCGTGGCCATGCAGATCAGCGAGAAGTATGGGCTGGTGTATGTGATCACCAAGCTGGGCCTGCTGTTTGTGTACGACCTGCAGACGGCCACCGCCGTGTACAGGAACCGCATCTCTCCTGACCCCATCTTCCTGACGGCTTCCTCAGCCTCCACCGGCGGTTTCTACGCCATCAACAGGTACACCCTCTATTCAATTTCTGTTGCCATGGCGACATTACATGCAAACCTCTCTCAAGCACCTACTTGCATGCGGAAGATTTCTTGCTCTTGGCCTTCCTGATGACGAGGCATGTTTGATCCGTGCAGGAGAGGGCAGGTCCTGCTGGCGACCGTGAATGAGCAGACCATGGTGCCCTTTGTGAGCCAGCAACTGAACAACCTGGAGCTGGCGCTGTCGCTGGCCAAGCGCGGCAACCTGCCGGGGGCGGAGGCGCTGGTGGGGCAGAACTTCGAGCGGCTCTTTGCCAACGGGCAATTCAAGGAGGCTGCTGAAGCCGCTGCAGAGTCACCTCAGGCAGGCCCCTGAACATGTCGAAACTTGTCAGATAGATACTATCCAATGCATGCAGATAATTGCAAACAGGCAAAGGCCGGATGCACTTGGCAGGCAGATGTGTCAGGGCAGCGATCACACACAACACTGGAGACAGGGATCTGTCCCAAACAGCAACATTGAATTTGTTGAAACTATTTTCAGTGCCTTTTGCTGCCTGTGCGCAGGGCGTGCTGCGCACAAAGGAGACCATCGACCGCTTCAAGTCGGTGGCGCCGACGCCGGGGCAGACTTCGCCGCTGCTGGTGTACTTTGGCACGCTGCTGACGCGCGGCAAGCTGAACGTGTTTGAGAGCGCGGAGCTGGCGCAGCTTGTGCTCTCGCAGAACAAGAAGCACCTCCTGGACAACTGGCTCAAGGAGGTGCGCCCCTTGTCCATGCAAGAGGATCTTTCAAAAGGCATGCTCCTTTGACTGGCATTGGCATTTGAAGGAAAATAGATCTCGCAGTGAAGACCCCGGTGCTTGCGTGTAGGACAAGCTGGAGCCCAGCGAGCAGTTGGGTGATCTGCTGCGGAGGGCCGGCGACAACGATGCAGCTCTGGCCGTGTACCAGAAAGCAAACGTGCCTGGCAAGGTCATCGAGGGGCTTGCTGCCAAGGGTGACTTCGAGGCGTTGTCAAAGTTCAGGTGCGGTGCTGCCTAAAAAGTGTGCCTCACATGTGACCTCCTTGCTACCACCCATCGTTCCTCTTATCTTCATTCCAGCTATTACGTGCCTTAAATTTGTTGGAGATCCTGGGAAGTCAGCAGTGACAAGTAAGCTTGGCATGGTACAGCGCTGCGCAAGGCTACAAGCCGGACTACCTGTACTTGCTGCAGCGGCTGTGCATGGACAGCCCAGAGGGCGCGGTCAACCTGGCCAAGACGGTAGCCAAGCAGCCGGGTCCGCCCATCGATCTCAACACCATGGCAGATCTGTTCCTGCAGCGCAACATGGTCCGCGAGGCCACCGCCTTCCTGCTGGACGTCCTGCAGGACAACCTGCCCGAGCATGACAAGCTGCAGACAAAGGTCGGCCCCCCTTTGGCATGGATGCTTCTTGTGAAGTTTAGACCTTTTATAAGCTGGGTACCTTGCATGCAAAATGGTCACATCCTGCCATTTGAACGAGTTCATTTACGCTAAAACACAGTGGCTACATGCTTTGTGCATGCGGACAACTGTGGCCCTTTTGAGGAATACATACATAATGCAGTGGGAGCTGACTCTGCAAATATCAATGCTGCAGCTGCTGGAGATCAATCTGATCCAGACGCCGCAAGTGGCGGACGCGATTCTGGCGAACGGGGTGCTGACGCACTACGACCGCCCGCGCATTGCGCAGCTGTGCGAGAAGGCTGGCCTGTACATGCGCGCGCTGCAGCACTACACCGACCTCACCGATATCAAGCGCGTCATCGTCAACACCCACGCCATCGACCCCCAGCAGCTCGTTGAGTTCTTCGGCTCCCTCAGCGCCGAGTGGGCCCTCGACTGCCTCAAGGTGGGTGTCTGCCTCCTTTTCCATGTTGATTTGTTTTGTGCATGCTTGCAAGAACCACAGAACCTGGGCTCCCATTTCTGGTCTTGACATGCACAGGACATCCTACTAGGAATTATCTCATGTTGCTGCAGCACTACAGTATCTAAATACGTAAATGCCTGGTGCTGCTCAGGTCCTGCTGGAGACGAACACGGCGGGCAATCTGCAGCTGGTGGTGCAAGTGGCCAAGGAGTACACGGAGCAGCTGGGGGCTGGCAAGATCATGGAGCTGCTGGAGAGCCACAAGAGCTACCACGGGCTGTACTACTACCTGGGCGGCCACATCGCGTTCAGCGAGGACCCCGAGGTGCACTACAAGTACATCGAGGCCGCCGCCAAGACGGGGCAGCTGAAGGAGGTGGAGCGCGTCACGCGCGAGTCCGCGCACTACCCGCCCGAGCGCGTCAAGCAGTTCCTCATGGAGGCCAAGCTGCCAGACGCCAGGTGCGCGCTCAATTACTCCATCGCTACTGTGCAGATGGGCATGGGCTGCAAGTGCGTTCTGCAAGTAGAACCTGCTGCGCCTGAGCTCTTCTGTATGCACCAGCAACGGCAAAACATATGAACATTGTTTTGGGGCATCAGAGCAGGGCACACTCAAGCGCTGTCTTGATGCGTTGCACCTGAGTGGTAGTGTGAAACATTCCGTCATGTCTCACACTGGTCTCATGGGCTCAGAACGCAGACCTGTGGTATTTCTTCAAGCACTGAGGCGCAAGGCTGTGGCGCGCAGGCCGCTGATCAACGTGTGCGACCGCTTTGACATGGTGACGGACCTGACGCACTACCTGTACTCCAACAACATGCTGCGGTACATCGAGGGGTATGTGCAGAAGGTCAACCCGGCCAAGGCGCCCCAGGTGGTGGGCGGCCTCCTGGACGCCGAGGCCCCCGACGAGTTTGTCAACAACCTCATCCTCTCCGTTCGCTCCCTCATCCCCGTGGAGCAGCTCTGCGCAGAGGTGCCGCCCCCTCACCATTCCGTGTCTCCCGCAAACCCACATGCATGCAAGTTTTTTAGCCATCATATTTGCATTTGCTCAGAAGAAATGGGACTGTTTGGGCACAGTAAATCGGGGATCCAAGAGGCACAACAGTGCGTACAGAATGCAATGCATATGGGTAGAGTAGCCTGGCAGCTGATTAAGATCAGTCCAACTGAGCTATCATATCAAATCAATGGCGTACTATGTTATAATCAACGCAATTGATGAGAAGGTCCTGTGACAATGAGGTGCAGGTCCTGCACGTCCTCACAACTGATGCATGTGCATGCGCGCGCAGGTGGAGAAGCGCAACCGGCTGAAGCTGCTGAACCCCTTCCTAGAGCACCTGGTGTCGGAGGGTTCCACGGACCCGGCGGTGCACAACGCGCTGGGCAAGATCATCGTGGACAGCAACAACAACCCCGAGCACTTCTTGACCACCAACCCCTACTACGACTCCGCCGTGGTCGGTAAGTACTGCGAGAAGCGCGACCCCAACCTGGCCTGCGTTGCCTACAAGCGCGGCTCCTGCGACGACGCGCTCGTCGACTGCACCAACCGCCACTCCCTCTTCAAGGTGCAGGCGCGCTACATTGTCGAGCGCATGGACTCCGACCTCTGGACCAAGGTCCTCGATGAGGAGAACCCATTCCGCCGCCAGCTCATCGACCAGGTGGGGCTGCTGTGTCACCACTGCCTTTTCTGTCGGCCTGCAGAGGGAAGAGCGCTTGGCAGCTCTGACTTGTCACGCTTGTGATCACTGCAATATGGTGGTAAATGCCTGTGCCTGGATGCCCTCGCATGTTGTGAGGATCATGCTTCAAACAACCCACATGGAGCATTTAGGATGACTGATGGTTTTGATGGCTGGCCATGACAGGTGGTGTCCACGGCGCTGCCGGAGTCCAAGAACCCGGAGCAGGTGTCCGTGGCGGTGAAGAGCTTCATGCAGGCTGGCCTCCAGGCCGAGCTGATCGAGCTGCTGGAGAAGATCGTGCTGCAGAACTCCTCCTTCTCCAACAACCACAACCTGCAGAACCTGCTCATCATCACCGCCATCAAGGTGCCACACATCTGCTCGTTCCCCCCTTCTGATAAGTCTAACAAATTCAGCCCAGCCACCCTCCATCCTTGCTCTCAATGTGCTCTATGCTTTGCCTGGCTCGAGCAGTGGGCACCAGTGATAAGACTTTTCCGCGCAAGTGCAAGTGCTGACGAGCATGCTGTGGCTTGTGTGGCAGGCTGACAAGTCGCGCGTCAAGGATTACATCCACCGCCTGGACAACTTTGACGGCCCGGCCGTGGGTGAGATCGCGGTGGGCTACGAAATGTTTGAGGAGGCGTTTGAGATCTACAAGAAGTTTGGGCTCAAGACCCAGGCCATCAAGGTGCTCCTGGACCACCAGGAGGACCTCGATCGCGCCCTGGAATACGCCCTCAAGGTGCTTACCATCACTTACATTGACTGCTCGCCGTCTGAAAAATTCCCGTGTCGTGATTCACTTTGGAGACGGGGGGGGGGGGTGTCCCCTCAAGGGACGGACATGTGTGTGGTGTCAATAAATGTAGCAATGGAAGGGTAGACATTGAGCAACGGTGTGGGCTGGGCAATTGTGAATTTGCAGTGCAATTGTGGGGCAATTGTCAGCATGCATGCTCAGTCTGCGCGCCCATGGCACGTGCCAGGTGGACGAGGCTGGTGTCTGGACGGAGCTGGGCCACGCGCAGCTGGAGGCGGGCGCCATCAACGATGCCATCGGCTCCTACCTGCGCAGCGGCGACAGCAGCCGCTACATGGACGTCATCGCGCGCAGCCAGGAGGCCAACGCGCACGGCGACCTCGTCAAGTACCTGCTCATGGTCCGCAAGAAGGTCAAGGAGAGCAAGGTGGGGCCCCCATACCAGCTCTCACTCTGGCTGTGCAGAGCTGCAGCTCTCCATGTCCTTGTGAACCCATGGTGCATGTGTGGCTTATCAAGAGGAAGTGTCATCAGGAAGTGCCGCTGACATAAGGAGGCTCCTGAATTGCAACTGGTTGTCCATGCATTTCAGGACATCTCTGCTCAGTTTTGCATGCTCGCCACAGCCAGAATATGACCATGCCACCGGCAACTCCGTTCTGACACAAATGCCGCAACCAAACATCTGTAACTTGAAACTGTACAATGGCTGTGGCTGACAGGTGGACACAGAGCTGGTGTACGCGTACGCCAAGACGGAGGACATGGGAGCGCTGGAGGAGTTCATGTCGGGCACGCACCAGGCCAACCTGCAGTCCGTGGGCGACCGCGTCTTCGACGAGGGCATGTTCGAGGCGGCGCGGGCCATCTTTGCTCACATCCCCAACTGGGGCCGCCTCGCCTCCACACTCGTGCGCCTGCACCAGTTCCAGCAGGCTGTGGATGCCGCCAGGAAAGCCAACTCGCCCAAGACCTGGAAGGAGGTGCGCTTTTTGGTCTCTCCACCAATCCATATGCAGTGTTCACAGTGCACTTCTCCTCGTATGCACATTGCAACAAGGCCAAGATTTGGAAAGAGGTGCGATGCAATCAACGACAGTACAGTAATCCACTTAACTTGCTCTGTGTGCGTTGACAATGGCCCCACAGATATGTATCCAGGCTGACTGACTAATATTGCCAATGTGTGGTGCAGGTGTGCTATGCGTGTGTGGAGGAGGGTGAGTTCCGGCTGGCGCAGCTGTGCGGCCTGAACATCATCGTGAACGCGGATGACCTGGAGGAGGTGTCAGAGTTCTACCAGCGGAGAGGCTACTTTGAGGAGCTCATCGCCCTGCTGGAGTCCGGCATCGGCCTGGAGCGAGCCCACATGGGCATCTTCACAGAGCTGGGTGCGCCCATCTTGGTCTTTCTGTGCTCACATGTTTCACAATAAAAGCTTGCATGACTTTGCTGTCTGTAGGGGAGGCCTGCAAGCCATGTTTCAAGCACGATAGGGGCTTCATAGCTCCAGCTTTCTGCGACATCCAGGCATGCCCATTGTGTGAGATGTGTTGGTTTGGCGCACGCAGGCATCCTGTACGCCAAGTACAAGTCGGAGAAGCTGATGGAGCACCTGAAGCTGTTTGCGGCGCGCCTCAACATCCCGCGCCTCATCCGTGTGTGCGAGGAGCAGCAGCACTGGCGCGAGCTGGTCTTCCTGTACGTGGCCTACGACGAGTACGACAACGCGGCGCTGGTCATGATGGCGCACTCGCCCACCGCCTGGGAGCATGTCCAGTTCAAGGACGTCGCCGTCAAGGTGTCCAACGCGGAGGTGTACTACAAGGCCGTCTCCTTCTACCTGGAGCAGCACCCGGACCTCCTCGTCGACCTCCTCAAGGTGCGCATGCTGTTTCTGCCCATGGGCACGCCCAGCGCTGCATTTCTCAATTTCCCGGTCTTGACAAAGTGCCATGGGGCCATGCCGCCCTAAGAGCCATCATCATTAAAGTACAAGAAGCTGACCAAATAACTGCTTTTTGAGAGCCCCACTCCAAGTTGTGTATTGTCAGCTGCTTGTTCTTCAATGATACACGCAACGGTTCCCCATATCTCATAAATCGGGTTGCCAAAAATAGTCTTGGAAGTCACGTCTTTCTTGGCAATCCCTGTGCAACCCCAGAGCCTGTTGTTCGTCTGACACCCAGCGCACCATCGTGGTTGCGAGCACTGTATCTGCTGTAGGGGCCACAAAGTGAATATGTGTTGGTGCCGTGTGCGCAGGTGCTGGAGGCGCGCGTGGACCACGTGCGGGTGGTGGGCATCCTGCGCAAGGCGGACCACCTGCCGCTGATCAAGGAGTACCTGCTGGCGGTGCAGAAGGCCAACCTGGCGGCCGTCAACGAGGCCGTCAACGAGCTGCTGATTGAGGAGGAGGACTTTGGCGGCCTGCGCGACAGCATCACCACCTACGACAACTACGACCAGATCAGCCTTGCCACGCGCCTCGAGCGCCACGACCTCACCGAGTTCCGCCGCATCGCCGCCCACATCTACAAATCCAACCTGCGCTGGCGCAAGGCCGTCGCCCTCGCCAAGCAGGACAAGCTCTACAAGGCGCGCTGCCTCCCCATTGTGCTCCTGGTCTTTGACTACTTTAGAATGAGGTGCAGCACTCTGATCTTATTTGCGGTGCGCTGCTCTCGTTTACCATCCAGTGAGAGGGACTTGAGGTGCATGCTCTTCTCCTGCACCTTGCTGTCTATGGTGGGAGTGCACATGGTAGCGTTCACAAAGATACGGCCTTGCTGAGAGGTGGGGGTGTCATGATGCAGGATGCGATGGAGACGGCTGCGCAGTCCGGGGATGCGGAGATTGCGGAGGAGCTGCTCAAGTTCTTCGTGGAGCAGAAAGAGAGGGAGTGCTTTGCGGCCTGCCTCTTCACCTGCTACGACCTCATCAAGCCAGACGTGGCTCTGGAGGTGGGCACGACCCCTCTTTACTTTTACTCTCCCATAGGATCTCTCAGCATCGTAGCTCAGTGTCATCAGACCCTGGAAAATCTCCTTGTGGATGTGGGCACTGTCTGACGGGGTGTGCGGCGCGCAGGTGGCCTGGATGAACGGGCTCATGGACTTTGTGTTCCCGTACCTGATCCAGTTCCTGAAGGAGTACACGGGCAAGGTGGACCTGCTGTACACCGAGCGCAAGGAGCGCCAGTCGGCCGCGGTGGACGAGGAGTCGGCCAAGAAGCAGCAGGAGGCGCAGTCCAACGCCTACCTGCAGCTCATGCCCCTCGCGCTGCCTGCGCCCCCGGTTGCGGGGGGCCCCGGCGGCGGGGGCTTCGGCGGCGCCCCGGCCGGCTTCGGTGGCGCGCCGGCCACCTTCGGCCAGCCGCCTGCAGACTTCGGCCCGCAGTTCTAGAGGCCTGCCTTGCGGCGGGAGGAGTGAGACATTTGTTGCGTGGGGCTGCATAAGTGCGTTTTTGTGGGATGGGATGCCGCTGTGTGGGAGGATTTTAGCTGGGCGGGTATGGTGTTGTAGCAGGCAGTGCCGAGGGGTACAGGGTCGGTTACCTAGTGCTAGCAAACCTTGCGGCGCCGGCCCGCGTGCGGGTGTTCATCAGTGCTACTCAGAGTCTTGGGGATTCAGGGTCACAGGGTCACCGGGCGGCTCATTTAGACCCCATCACAGTCGCTCTGGACGCTTGTCTGGCGTGTTGCATGCTGCATGCCGATCTCATTGTGTCATTTGCAGAACGATTTTAGAGTGCATGTGGTGCCACCCAGTGGAGCTGGAGCAGTTAATGAAGCATTCTTCCGGGTTGACAGTTTATAGCTCTCTTAGAATATAAATGGGGTCTGCAGGACATTTTGAATTCTTTCACAGGACCTGGGTCTGTTTGAGTGCAATGTGCTCGCGCGTGCCACTCTGTCTCACTCGCTTTGGTCTTAATCAAGAGTGAGTGCACGTACGTGTGGCGTGGTGATTTTGGGTCTGGAATTGTGATGATAGCTCTGTCTCCTTGTACGCGGTGTACTGACCTGCAACAGCATGCGCACATCGGGCTGAGTGGCGCTCAAGACGAAGGTCCGCAAATTCCAAAATCCACATATGTCGCATGGGAAAAGTTCTAACCCTAGGCTTGCAAAAGGGGCGTGGAAGGGCCTAAAAAGGGCGCGGTGTTGAAGCAGTGACGCATGGGCCTCGGCTACAGACATCCGAATCTCCGGAAGCTGTTACTACACGATGACTGGATAGAGCATGACTTTGCGAGCATTCATAATCGAAGGATCCCCTGCTCAGCTTCCAAGACTGTCGAGGTGTCGGTGTCCCACCGTTTCCTGATGCTGCAACGCGAGAGTCACACTTCCACAAGGAACGCTGAATTGCCAAGAAGCCAGTTATGCAAGCTTCACATCATCGACTTATAACGCGACAGGTCTCATTGAGCAGCTGTAAATTCGTTGGGAGCAGATACTCTACTGTTGCACCTGCATCGCTGTCTAGCAGAGGTGGCGTAAGTTTCCTGAGGAACACGCAGGCAAGAAATTGACTTCTACATGTATTAATCAATGATTACACCCGAATATTATTTCGGAGCCGCAAGTGAGCAAAAGTGCCTGTTGTTAGCCTTCACATCCAACTGCTTCTGGCTGGTTGCAAAGCAGGTGTCAGCTGTCAAATATTCTTCGGGAAAAGGGAGGGTTGTAGCTGCACTTGGGTCATACCAAAGTGCTGCAACTACCAGTCTTGACCCAGACGACTATGAGCTTTTTGAGGATGCTTACGACAGTGACGACTATGAGGAGGTTTGTCTTCGTGCTCTTCAACAGCACTGCTGTCAATCTTAGCATAAGAATTTGTAAATGTCTCCTGTCAGTCTGTATGTCTGGTGCCTGAAGTTGACAGCCTGCTTGTGGGAGCAGGGATTGTCAGAACTGTCAACTTCCATGCCATCAGGGACAAACAGGTATGCACTTGCATGCAGTAAGAGATTAAGTGTTTCTTCAAGTAGCTATGCTCACTTTTGCTGCTCTTCCCCAGGAGGAGGTATCTCTTATGAACCAACCTTTGTGCAGGGCAATGGAAGGGCTGTTCACAGCAGTCAGGACCCTACAGATAGCACCTGTCGAAACGGCAAAGGCAGTGCAGGTCACCGTGGAAGGCACAGCTTCCATGGTGGGCCAGGCATTCCAGAGCTGCACAGAAACTGTGAAGGCTGCGACTGAGGAAAGCATTCAGCAACTGGCCGAGTCCACCAGGAATGCAAAGGTACATTTGCACCCTCCTACATGGTCTTGAGGGCAGGGGCATGATTTTCCAAAACCTTTCCCATTGTGCACGCAGCTCTGTCACATGCTCATGCACTACATGGCAGGTCACTGACCAGAAAAGTCCTGTTGGTCAGGTGGTCAGGGAAACGCGCGCAAATTGGGAAAAGGCAACTGCGGATCTGCCCAAGGTGAACACAGTCCTTACCAAACCTTTCTCTTCTCTGGTATACCTGCAAGGCCCCTTTCAACTGTTTGGTTTGCAAGCCAGAAACCTTCACGTGCTGATGAGGCTCGGAGAAAGGCTCCCTCCCCAAGAAAACGCGGTGAGTTGAGGTGTTGGGGGATCCTGGCTTGTGTAGGACCCTTGGGGCCGCGTGCAATGGCTGTGGGACCGCCCACCGGTGAAAAGGCTGCGCATCACCATCTCCATGGCCCAGTGGACTGTCCGCCTGCCGGCCCTGCTCGCCCTCATCGCCACACAGGTGCTCTCCTGCATTTGCCAGGCACAACCGACAACCCATTACCATGTCCCCTCGAGCTAACCCAGCCTCCACCAGCATGTATGGTGCAATTTGGTCTGAGCCAGTGTGTCTTTTGCATGTCCCTGCTATTAGGGTGCTCTTTTTAGAGATCGTCTGAAACTGAAGGCCAACAAGGGAGCTCTTCCTGAAGGTCACCTGGGTATTGAAGGCCAGAATTTTTGCATGGTACCAGGTGGGCCTGGTGGCGAGCCAGTTCAGCCTGCCGATGCTGGCGCCGCTGCTGTTTGGTACGGGCATCCTGCTGCGCTCCATCCGCACCAACGCGTCGCTCATCTTCCCGCGCATCGGCGTCGTGGTCGTGCTGCTGTGGATGCTCTGGTTCGCCAACAGCGTCGTGCAGAACACCGCAGTGTACCTGCGCCGTCAGGTGAGCAATTCTTTCATCGTCTGGGCCTGTCATGAACAGCATATAATTATGCTTCATATTGTCCTGCGGGCATGCTAGCCTCCGTCAGAGCCTGTTTATTTTTTTATTATAAATGTCTCTGCATGTTCTTCTTGAGGCGGGATTCTGAATGGAGTGCTTGCATCTGAAACGTAGTGTTCCTGGGGTGCAGGGCGGCCTGGATCACAGGGTGTCAGGGGCCATCATCACGGCCAGCGAGTGTGCTGCACTGCTGGCAGCATTTGTCATCGTCCTGTCCATGTTGGGAGTCAACGTGAATGCCCTGCTCCTGCCGGCCGGCGTGGCGCTCGCCTTTGCAGCCAAGGACCTCTCCCACAACTTCCTTGCAGGTGGGGCCTTGCTGGGGAGCCTCTCAGCAAGCAAGCCGCAAAAGAAAGTAAATGTGTTCAGGTGGCTGATTGTGGGCCTCTTTTTTGCCGTGCAGGATTCTTCCTGTTTGCAGTGCAGCCGTTCAAGCTGGGCGACAGGGTGGCTGTGAGCTACTCAACACCATCGGCAGGGAATAGGACAGCCTGGTTTGAAGGCGTCTGTGAGAAGGTTGACCTGCGGTGAGTGTCATCTTCACTTTTCTGACCTCCCAGAGTGCGAATGTTACCATGCTGGAATGTGCAGCGGCGTGTGGTAGAGGAGGAGCACAGTTGTTTGCAAACACTCAGTAGATTGAACTTCCTTGTGAGTGCAGGTACACCATTGTGAAGAATGGGCCGCGGCGGCTCTTTGTCCCAAATAGCGCTTTCCTGACGCGGGAGTTCATGGTGCGGCCCTGGCACCTTTGCCAGGACTCTCACCGCTCTCGTTACTTCAGTGCTCCATGCTCTACTTGTCCGCATGTGTGGTGCTGCCTGCTGAGTGAAGTGCTGTCTGTAATCGCAGGTGGTGGACGATCCCTCCAACAAAACCAAGCGCGATCTTGGCGCAGAGGAAGAGTTTGAGATGCACGGCCCCCAGCCGCCCCTTGAGCCGGGCATGTGGCGGATACCATACTTCAGGTAAGCCCCCGCTCTTGTCCCCCCAACGCTGCTCCCCGTGGCTTAGCCTTTGAGCCATGTTGCACCTGGAACTGGCATGACACTGACCTCGCTGCCTGTGCGCCCACAGGGGAGGCATGGAAGGCATGCAGCAGCAGGAGCACTTGGCTCAGCAGCAGCAGCAGCATGCGCCGGCTGGCTCGATGAAGCCTGCAAAAGGGAATGAATATGGGCGTCAGCCAGCTGGGGACCATGTGCGCGAAGCTGCTGGCCCTTCTGGAGAAGATGACACCAGCGAGGGAGCTGCAGGGAGCAACAGCAGCATGCAGCAGCCACAGCCGCAACAGCAGCGCAGCACGGCCGATGTGAGTGGCCCGCAGCATGCAGGCTATTACTACAATTATGACTCATCGGCGCCCGGCTTGCCACAGCAATACTGGGGCCCCTCAGCCTACCCCACCGGCTACCCCCCTCCTGGCTGGACCCCTTCGATGCCCAACAGGTAGCACGCAGTTTGTTTACCAGCTGATGGCAGCCTAAGTGGGCCCTTGTACCCTGTATAGTAGGCATCTCGCCCCTGTCTCAATTTTGCGGCCTGCTGCGTCAGGGATGGCGGCCCTGTGTGGTTTGTAGTGCATTTGGAGCACTGAGTCAGTCACTCATCAGGTCTTTTGAAATTCTGTATGTCATAAGGGGTCTTCTCGTGTCTGGTGAGTTAGGCATACCACGGTGGCCAATAAGTTTGCCTGGGTACTACCCAGGCAAGTAGTGCTTGTCCTGTGTATTCCACAGGACGTCGCTTGCAATTTTGCTGCTGGTTTCTATATCAGCATTCAACCAGGTTTCATTGGCGGGAATTTGAGGGTACCTAATAATGCGTCAGGGCAACGGCCATATGGTATGGGACGGTATTGCCATTGTCTCACAGGTCTGTTGAGATGGAGGCCTGGTGAGCTCATCACCCCCGGATCGTCCTGGGTGCATCATCATGCATGCACCATGGTGGTGACCGTATCATGGGGAGGCTCATATATATGGCTTACAGCGTTTGCGCTTGGACGTTCTTGTTCGATTGGGGATCAATATTGGGCCACTAGTGTAGTGTACTGGCAGGACAGGGAAGAATCTGCATCCGCAAGGTAAGCAATGTGATTGTAAAGGCCTTAGGGATACCTCCCACCAGGCATTCTAATGTGTGCATCATTTGAATCGCACAAATTCAAACCTGGTTGGGCCAGCAGCGCTAGCACCCGAACCGGCCGGGTCGCGTTCCGGCACCCGCCGGCGCCAAGATACTATATAGATATATCCTGTAGTACTGCTCCCGGGGCCCGACGCGTCCGCCCTGCAGGGCCAGTGGACTCCCGAGTCGGACATGTCACCCTTAAGGTGAAGGTACATGGTGCAATACATGCAGCGCGTGCTGATCCTGAATCAATTAGAAGCAAATCAAGCGACATCTTCGTCACTGTTTCTTGCTGTGGAAGGTTTCAGCATGGAAGGATTGCAGCATGTGAGCAGCTGACGCCAACTTAGGCTATCATGGAAAGGGTCCGCCGCTGGCAACAGCTTCGCCCAGAAGCGCAGTGTGCATGTGGGCTCCGCTGCTGCAGATTCGACCAAAGGAGCAGGGACTGATATAATGCGCTGATTTTCCAGAATCACCTGGAGGTAAAGCGGCCAGCACCCCAGGATGGGGATCACCGTCAGCAGAGCAGAAGGTCCTCCAGCAGTGAGGGGATCGAGCAGCAACACCTCGCTATTACCTCCTACAGCAGCAGAACTAGTTCGAAATGTGCAAGCCGGCAAGGTGCGCAGCTCATTCTCAGAGAAATGCGATGCACACAATCCATCAACCAGACACCAGATGTGATCCTCTACGCTGTCCAGGTTGGGATTGCCAAGCCGGCTGAAGTAATCGACTATATGCGTCTTCCGCCTCCCATTAAGTATGAGGAGCTGCAGAGGGAATCCATGAGTACGTCCTGTTTACTTTATGCTGTTCACATCTCTCTGCCTTGCTGTATCTGGAAAACGTACTTGGCTCATTGCAAATCTCATCTCACTTCTGTTTTCATTCCCTTTTTCCTGATGATTTGTTTGCGGCTACGTGCAGTGACCCTGAAACCTGAGCTCTTTGAGGGTCTCAGATTCGACTTCACCAAGCCCCTCAACCAGAACTTTGCCCTGTGCCATAGGTGAGTTGGGTACCCTTGTATCACTTGATGGATGTCAAACGGGTGATTTCAAGACTTTTAATCTATATGGCACAGTATGTTGACTTCCATTCATGTGCTGCAGCCTCTTCATGGGCAACATAGATGTTCCTACCCAGAACAATCAACCTCTTAAGATGCCAATGGGTACCTATGAGTTTGGAGCGAACTTGGTCAGCAACAAGGTATGCTGCTGCTCCATGGAAGTTGCCCATCCCTATGCTCAGCGATCAATAGGCTGCTATGTATTGCTGTTGAGTTTCCATTTGTTTTGGAGAGCTATTCTGAAAAGACAAGCGTCCTTGGCAGGGCAACATGATGATTGGCCGCGTCATGACGGATGGAAGGATGAGCGGCAGGGTCAAGTGAGCACCTCATCAACCTTGTGATTGCTGTGCAGAACCATCGGATCCACTTGCATGTCGCTAGCTCTTAGAACTGGCTCCCAGGCATGTGACGTGACACTGACTTCCTGTGCAGGTACGATCTGAACGAGTGGCTCGGCTTCAAGCTGCAGATGAACCTGGCTCCAGAGGCGGGCGTGTCCCAGGGAATGGTGGATGTCGATGTCAAGGTGGGCCCTCCCGCAAGTCATTGCGATATATGCACCTGTCTAAGCCTCAGACTAAGAAAACTGCCCTCCTGGAGCCGCTCGCGATCTTGAAATCAGGCTGTGAAATAGATTACCCTGTTCCTGTGTGCTCCTCCTAGAGATCGTGGAGGAGTCTGTTCTTGCATCTACATCCAAGGAGGAGTCTGTTCTTGCATCTACATCCAAGAATGGCTGCCGCGTGGGTGCTGCGGATGTATGCTCACGGGGAGAGGGTGCTAGCGCAGGGCTCGGACTGGAATGGGCAGGTGAAGCTGGGCAACAGCCAGTTTGTGGGCGTAAACTACCTGCAGAGCGTGACGCCGCACCTGGCGCTGGGCGGGGAGGCATTCTGGCTGGGCCAGCAGCGCAAGTCCGGCGCCGGTTTCGCCGCGCGCTACGCCAACGATGCGCACGTCGCCACCGCGCAGCTGGCCACCACCGGCCTCGTCTCCCTGACGTACCTCCGCCGCATCAGCGAGAAGGTGCCACGCCCTGCCTCTCCACCATACTGCCCGTCCTGGTCTGAGATCATGCTGAATGCTGAAGCTTCTGGGTTCTTGGTGGATGGCCTTTTTGCAGACCATGAATGCCAGCCCCAGAGTCTGGCACTCTTGAGTGGCCGGTGACTTCAGTTCAATTTGCCTGTTTTCTGCGCTGGCGGAGATCTTGGAGAGTGCTGAGGTGACAATGTGCGGCTGCAGGTGTCGCTAGCGACGGAATTCTTGTGGAACTGGAACTCGCGGGAAGCCACGGCGGCGTTCGGGTACGACTACATTCTGCGGCAGTGCCGGTTGCGCGGCCGCATCGACACCGACGGCAAGGTGGCGGCCTACCTGGAGGAGAGGGTCAACGTCGGCGTCAACTTCATCCTGTCAGCAGAGATCGACCACTGGAAGAAGGACTACAAGTTTGGCTTCGGCATGACCGTGGGCGAGTGAGGACCTGTTTGCTAGCAGTAGGCCGTGCTATACGTTGCGCACTTGCGAAGCCTTTCCCGAGAGACTGCACAGGGCTGTAGTAGGTTGTGCAATGCTCTATTTTGTCTGCATGCCGGGCGATTAATTGAATTGTTTGTCACAGAACTGGATTGAACCCAAGGCTTGTGGTGTTTCTTTTGAGACACCGTTCATCACATGACAACTTTCATGTGACATGTCTGGAGACTGCAGTTCAACTGTTTGTAACCAACACTGTCATCAGTCTGAAAATATGATGGAGTTACCTCCTGGAGACGGCAAGAACTTGCAGTCTACATATATGTGGTACAAAATTGACCCCAGCTGCCAGTGGCAGCCACTGCGATCGCCGCTGCGGCAGCGGTCGTGACCTGCAGCTGCAGTGCATGCACAGTCAAATGCATTCATATGACGTCATGACTTATAACTTGAAGTCATACCGGTAATTACCGGATCATGTGCATTTATGCCATAAGTCTATGGTAGACTGGCACCGGCCTGCATGCTCTTTGGGAATTGTTGTCTGCAGAAGAGCATCATTGCTGATCACTTCCAGTGATTTCTACCTGGAAAGCCTCTCATTAAGAACTTTGACAGAGCAGCTTACCCGCTGCATGCACCCCATTTTTAGGGTGAACCACGACGCGCTGGCATGGCACTGCCGCAAACAGTGTCAATGTAGAGTCCGCAAGCTTTAAATCGCACAGAATTGCCCACTGGTATTGACATGAGTGTTTATACAACATTAGAGGCTAGCACCTTTCGCAACGGGGTTAGAGCACGTTAAGGCCATAAGGATACATCTATTCTTGGGGTCAGAAACATCAATACCTGCTCCTTAGAAGGCTTTGAGCGATTGGAAATAATTGCGTGTAGAGAAGAATGGATCAAGCTTCACTGCTATTGAACAAGCAATTGAAGGGTGAGCCGAAAGTTCTTTACGCGTTGAAGCTTTATCGCTGTTCCCAATCATTCTGGCTGGTGACAGAGCCTGCCTGTTCTTCACCAAAAAGCTGCTTGCGGACCACAAAGACCTCATTCCATCCATGATATCACTGGCAAGAAGTTTGGTCGTTGTTCTGAAAAGCACACCTTCCAGAAACTGCCTTGGGCTCAGTGTGGCAGGGATTGAGAATGCATGTGTGACATGTGCAGAACTCACAAAAAGACCAGTGGATGGATTCTCCGCGGGCCTGGTAGACGATAGTAATTTGTTCGAGTGGCAAATCACCATCATGGGCCCACCTGACACACTCTAGTGAGCCTCCTCCAGCTTGCCTAGAACAGTGCGTGGATGCATTGAATTATGCCCGGAACATCAATCTGTCGAATTGCTGCTGAGCATCTGTAAGTGCTCGAGCACAGTGAGGGAGGCTTCTTCAACGCCACGTTGAGCTTTCCTCAGGACTATCCGCAGTCACCTCCCACCTGCAGATTCACGTCAGAGATGTGGCATCCAAACGGTGGGGCACCCTAAATTGCCTATTGTTCTCGGCTGTTACAAGTGCGTCAGTTACAGGAAGCAGCTGCAGGAGGAGTAGTCACAGTATCTGTCCTGAATTTGGTGGGCCTGCGGGGAACAGTGTATCCAGACGGGCGAGTGTGCATTTCCATTCTGCACAACCCGGGCGATGATCCGCACGGATATGAGCGTGCCTCAGAGCGTTGGTCGCCTGTGCACACAGTGAGGCTCTACTCCCCCAAGCCGACTCGTGCATGGCCAATCCTGTGTCCAGACCCTGATTTGACAAATGAGAGCTATGGAAGAGCTGCAGGGCCTGTGCTTTGTGTTTGCTATTGGGATCTTGCCTTGCTGGCTCTACTTTCAAAAGTGCTGGCGTGGCTGTTCAGGTGGAGACCATCATGATCTCCATCATCTCCATGCTGTCTTCTCCCAACGATGAGTCACCCGCCAACATCGATGCGGCTAAACAGTGGCGAGAGGACAGGGAAGGCTTCAAGCGACGGGTGGCGCGCGTCGTGCGCAAGTCGCAGGAGATGCTTTAGCTGGCCCACTAGGCCGCTTGTGCGAGTGACAGACTTGCAAGCCTTGAGTGCAAGACTTGCACTGTAAGCGTCAGCTTTGACCTTGAAGAACTCAGGCTCGGCCCTGATGCTTGTTGCGACAGCAGTGGCAGGAAGGATGTACCATTAAGTTCTTTTTGTAGGTGGGATTTTTCGGAAAGTCTGTTGAAGAGAATAGGCCCGTGTGAGAGGCGGGTCCAGTGTGCTGCAGCTGTTCACGCGGTCTTCATCAAAAGCCCCTGACTTGGCTCCCTGCTGGTGTGTGTATGTACATGTGTACAATATGTATGTGCAGTGTGGAACTGACTGGTCTGGGTAAAACTGTCGGAGGCACCGCATTGCGCATGCATGCACATGCACATTGCTTGCATGACGACATATGCCTGCAGTGCATGCATGGTCTTCTATCGTTCTCGAGCATGTACCAACACTCCCCAGTCGGGTTGCAAGTCCTTCATAAATTCTACCAAGGAAAGACGAGATTGTTGCACACTTCTGCAAGAATAACGCCATACAGCCGCAAGTGGCAGTCCTCTTCAATCATCCTCATCATACAGGAAGGCATCTACGCAGGCAGGTGCTCCATGCTTCTCGTCCTGCCAAAATCTTGCTCGTGCTGATTTGCTGCTTGCAGAGCGCGCGATGGTCGGCCAAGCCGCAATGACGGTGAGGCCTGCAGCTTGCTTGCGCGCTTCCGCCTATTCCTACAAACGGTGCAAAAAGTCAGCTTTGATGCATAGCATAACTCACTGCAACTGGTCTCTTCCAAGAGGTGTGAGTGCCAAAAGGTACACCGCTTTGTCATTCTGCCGCTCAAATTCATTATATGCATCAAAAGCTCACCTATCAGGAGCCTCTGGAAGTGTAACTTCGTGGGCAGCGGGCATGCCAGAAGCTGAAGGGAGGGCAACTGAAGATTGCACTGCTGACGAGGAGCTGCATGCCCCGACTTGATCATCCTCTGCAGCCTACACAGCACGCACCCAACAAGCCTCAGTCATTGGTTTGAAGGCTCGTCCTTGGATGAGCAGCGCATGCATTGAATACCGTAACGCATGTATTCACAAGGAAATCATCCATGCATGCGCACCTCCATCCAAGGGTGCCGCAGCAGGTCTGTTATGCTGGGCCGCTGGTGGGGTTCCTTGCGCAGACACTGCAGGATGAAATCCTGCGCTGCTGCCGACACAGAGCTCCCTGCCATCTCCACCTCGCGTTCCACAATTCTCTGTGATGCATGCGCGCAACAAGGGTCAACAACACATAATCTGTATCAGGTGCTTATGAGGTTCAGGACTTCCAACACCATCTTGTCATCCCTCTGGCCTTCAATACAATGCAACATGGCATGCAGGGAAGCTGGGGAGGGCCAACCTGTACGGTGACGAGGACGTCGGAGTGATGGAAGGGAGTTCTGCCGAGCAGGAGCTCGTACAGCATAGCTCCCAGCGCCCAGACATCAGCAGACACCCCATAGGTGAGGTCAGGGCACTCCCTGTCTGTGCATCTCAGCACCTCTGGCGCCATGTAGTTCAGGGTCCCCTGCACCCCACAGAACGCTCTCACTCTCCTGTCAATAGGCTGTAAGGTCAAATGTGGACCAAGTGGCTTCCGTTTTGGGGAGTGTGAGGATAGCAGAGCAGCCGCACCAGGCGAGACAGGGGCCTCTCGAGGCGGACATCGATTGCTGTGCCAAAGTCTGCCAGTTTGACGGCGCCAGACACCACCAGCAGATTCTCTGGTTTGAGATCCCTGAAGACGATGCCCTGCACGGAAGTTGCCAGCGTCTTCAGTGCACCTTTAAGAAAATTTTCCAACAGCCACAATCTTTAAGCCACTGCACCTCCAATGCATGAAAATATGCTCACAAAGGCGGACCTGTTGGTGCAGGTATTCCAGAGCCAGCAGAGTCGGCCGCAAGACACTGTCGACTAACCATGCGCCTGTCAAAGGACCAGAGCGGCTGATGTGGCGTAGCAGGTCGCCCTGTGGGGTATTGAAGCATATTTCTCGCACATCAGGTCAAAAGAGCATGTGCAAGTTGCACACAGGAGATGCTGAACATGCGAAGGGGAGGGCGGCCCTCACCCTGGCGGCAAATTCCAAGATCAGCACCAAGCTCTGCTCATCCTCGAAGGCTCCGTACTGCAGTAAACAAAAATGTCAGCCTTCCTCTGTAAAGACATGTGAAGAGGCAGCTCCTTCAGACTCACAACATAACACAAAGTGTCGCTGTGCAGATGATTTCAGGAAAAATTTGCCTCACCAGCTTTGCAATATGGTCGTGATGAAGGCGCCCCTGGATTTCAATCTCACGTTGCACCTGTCTGCGAGTCACTGCAGTCAATGTGCATTTGGTGTAAACTTTCAATGCAACTGCAGTCTTTGAGGAGCAGTGCACAGCTTGGTACACCGTGGAATTTTGTCCACCCCCAATCTTCCTCTGCAGCCGAAAGTCTGACAGGCTCCTGCAACAGAACAGACACAAGCATGTCCTTACCATGGCCACGCACTGATCACCTATATCCAGTACTCTGGGATACCAGCCTGTAAGATATTGCTGCATGTGATGCCATCTAAGCAGAACGCATTAGATATTTGTGGCGTCAGCTCGGAATGATTCTCACCATGCCACTGAATTGCGCAGGCCTTTGGGGCAGCATGAAGATACCAGAAGGTTGTGTGGCCACCTGAGCATTAAGAAGATATCAAGAAACGTACCGCTTAAACATGGATTCACAAAACAGGCAAAACTATGCGTCAGGGGGTCAAATTTTGCCGCACCTAACGCTTGGCCCTGTCGGAAGGAGAGTCCACCGCCGCGCAAATGCAAGATGCGCCTGAAGCTCGTCAGCTGATGTGCCAATGCCTGCATCATTTTGCATTAGGTGTCAGCAGCGCATAAGGAGGAGCAGTGGCCTGTTCGACTCACTATGCTGCCTCGACTCAGGCTGAGGCCTCCGGTGCTCTGAGTCAGCTCTACCTGTTTTCACCTCTTGCACATCCCTAGGCCTCTTGCCTCGTTCATCTGGGCCTCTACAGAAAAAATCTCTCGGAACTTCTATAAATTGTCCTATCGCTCGGGGAGCAATCTCTGGCATTCCTGGCGAAGTAGGGGTCATTTCCTCTGTATATATCAAGATGTCCTGTCTTGCCAGAGCTGTTCAGACTCTCCCAGCCTGTCACTCTCCATACAATATCCATATGTGGCAGACACTGTCTTGAGATGTAAAGTCATCCCTATCCAAGAATACATTTGTCGTCTGTCCCCCAGCGGTCTCACGATAGTCTGTCGGAGGAAGCACACCGGTTGATAGCACTGCCGCGCAGGACGCCGATCTTGGACACTCTGCGGGGGCTTCTTGCAGCTCTAATACAGGATGATGAGGCATGCGATGAGGATGTCTTCAATTAAATCCCACCCTAATTGCTCATGCAACCGAGGGGACTGGGGCTGCGGTTTCTGTGAGTGAGACGGTTTTAGCCCAGATCCGCTTTAATCTGTACTATCTGAACACAAATTCTATCAAGAAGGAACACAAATAATCTTGTCAGCTAGACCGATAACCCCACTAGCCTCAATTCAACCCTAGAGTGGCACCAGTATTGCAGACAAATCCTTTGGTTGGTGACTATCTTGCTTTTCATTCCCCCACGTTTAACAAAAGCATAACACACGATTGCTGAGTATCGTGCTTTTGCGGAATGCGGACAGGGCGAATGGGTGGGAATGTCTGCGGAAGTGTTCCATTGGCCCAAAGGTCGGCGAACAAACCCCTTGCCATAGGGGTCGAAATTTTAGAGAGCTCAGCTTCCCCATGCAAGGCAGTTGCATCCAGAGATCGAAAAGTTTCTCCATTCATTGTTGAAAGAAGTCCTCTTCATTTATTGGGTGTGAGAATAAGATTTCTTCACACAGCGGACGCTCTGCCAACAAATGAGGGCAAATCGAAACTCTGAACCACTGACGTTTGTCAAGCTGAAGCAGTACCGTCCTGATTGCAGCATTCAATACTGCAAACGTCATTTAGGCCGTTAAACATGCCAAGATCATATCCACGTAGGGTGTTGTGCGATTGCTTGGACTGCCAAGAATTGGATCAAGAGACTAGCAATGCAAGACCAGGTCCCAGGACTTCCTTCGATTTCATAAAATTTGGACCTCTACACATTCTGACACACTGGACAAAATGTACGATGTTGATGAGGCAGGAACTAACCACATTGAAAAGTACTGTGTGCTCTGCAGCCTGGAAGGCAGCAGCTTTGCAGGAACCCCCACCAAAGTGCCTCATGATATATCTGGACCTCCAAGAAGGAGATGCAGATCCAAAGGGGCAGCGCCCGCATCTTGATGCTGTGGCAAGGGACGGCAGAACTGGGCACTTGGCACTGCGCGCAGACACTGGAAACCTCGTGGAGCTCAGTGCATTCGCACAGCTGCTCGGCATCCACAAGGTAGAAGGATGGTGTCAATTGCCAGCAATGCCAGAGACTGTTGGATGCCAGTTGATATCATTGTGCAACGTGGGACTTGTACATTTTGCAGGAGTACACTCGCGAGACAAGCTATGCTGGGCAGCCAAACGGGGAATGGCCGTCATTTCCCGATAGGTAATTCTCATACACCATCGCCTTGACAATGTTTGAGCCATGAGCAATGTCGCTGCGCTGCTTTCCACCAGGGTCAAGCTGTGCAGGTTCAAAGGCATGGGCGCTGGAGTCATCAGTGATTCCGAGGAAGCTCTGCAGATTGCACAGAAGGCCGGCTGCTCTTCTTGCAGAAGCTTGAGAGAAGTGTTTAATGCTCAATTGGATCAGCAGCCATCTCTGCTGCCACCTCCCAGGCAATTTGCAATGGCGTGCATGCATGACCTAGGTGCGGCGAAATACCAAGCTGTTGACCTGCAATAATCTGTGAAGGATCTTGTCTGTGCCTCTTGCAAGCTGCACATCTTGTGTCGTGTGCTCTTCTTTCCTCAAAAGCTTGTGCGTGCAGGGCTTCGACAATGTCTATCATCAGCTGCATCTGTAGGTTTAAACATGGACGCTCTCAGAGAAGACGATGACGAGCTAGACCTGCTCCTGGTTCATCTGACACAAACAGCAGGGAGAGGGATGTCCGGCAAATCTCAGGCAGAGGTGTCAGGCATTGCAGCAGAAAGGAGCACGCACAAACCACTATCCTGGGTGGATGCTGTCTGCAAGGAATTTGATGATATTCCCGACCTCGTAGACATGCTCATGTTTGTTGTGCTCATGTCCGTGGTAAGACCACACTGTGAAAATACCAAAATTATGCAATGCTGCCCAGTAGACTCTTGTTCTAAAAAAGCACTGCTCGTTACTTTGTCTATCATTGGAAGATTTAGTCAATGCTGCAGTGGTGTTATGCAGGAACATGATGTGCAATACAGTCCTTTCCAGACAGACAGGAGCTCCTCAGGGATGGGTGTGCAGCGACCAAGGCAGAGTTTTGAATTTGCCGGGCTGGAAACAGTGCGCATCAGGCATGATGCATCTGTGATGTTCGCACAGAGGCTTAAGGGGGTCGTCAGGTGAGGCCTGACGCCTGTGCACTTTGTAGTTTGCCTCAGAAGTTCAGCTGTGCCGACGGGGCATTCTTTAGTCCTGTCACTAATGGCATCTACTTGATGTCCTGCAGGCAGGACAGCAGCACAGCATTCTCAGCTGAGCAGTGCAAGCAGGGGGGCGGTGGGGGCATCCTGCTGGAGCGGCTAATGCCAGAGATAGCTTACAAGCTGGGCCGAGCACACAAGTATGGTGCATGAGCTACAGCGCGACACTCATCATCGCAATAATGCACCCACCAAATGCCATGGTGCGCACGTAACTGCTGCCATGTGCTGGTGTGTAGAGTTCTTGTTTTCTTCTGCCCAAACACTGTGGCCGCCATTGCGGCAATGGGTGCATGATCAGCTCGTCTGTGCCTCCTTATACATTGTTGGTCTTCAGATTCTCTACACAGGCCAGGCGCGGCGCATAGTTTTACTGGTTTTTCTCACACAGCGAGATGACCCGGAGAGACGCCTGGGGACCAGTGAGGACCAATATCCCAAAGAATGATGCCGGTTTTAGCTGGCTGTGTGCACACGTGGGTGTTGGTTCCTGAGTGAAGCTCCGCTGCAACCTTGCATGCATGGCCCCTTGCGATATCTGCGCAATCTGTGGAAACTCAGGGATATGATTCGGTGAGTGTCGGGATGCAATCTGCCTGTAGGAACTTGCCGAGCGGCCAGCGCTTGTTTTGAGTGGCAATTTTAGAATTTTGGCTTGATGTTAAACGGGTGGTGATGGTCAGCTGCCATCCAGAGGGAGGATGACTTGGATGATGTGTAAGTATTGTCGACACCTCAGGCTTGAGGAAAGAGGAAGAAAAAAACTTGGGTACATTTTTCGCCATGCAGAGGCATGTGCTCTGTCTAAATTGGAGTTCCCTCCTTCGCAGCCCTTGAGAGAGAAAATTCACATTCCACATTCCAACATCTTGCATCGCATCTGGCCCATCAGGGCTGCACGCAATGGCTCCTACTCAATACAGTGACCCGATGGAGGGCCTCGTTCAGGCCAGAAAGGTGCTCAATCAAATAATGCGGCTGAAGACCTCAAAGCTGTTGTTTAACGAGCCTGTTGATGCTGTGGCCTTGGGGCTCGACGACTATAACGACAAGGTCACACAGCCAATGGACTTCGGGACGATTATGAGCCGGATGTCACAAGGAGCAGATGTTTACAAGAAGCCTTCAGAAGTGCTTCGCGACGTCAATCTTGTTTTTCAGAACTGCTTCACTTACAACGACAGCGAGGCCGACACCGTAACTCGCGATATCTGCTCCGAAGTTCAGAGCACCTTCCATAAAAAGTGGACAGAGGCAGGACTCAGCCTGGAATTTACGGAAGAATTCAGTCAGCAAACACCGCCCTCTGCTGCGAAATCGGCCAAGAATGGTGCCATCACCTGGAGTTCCGAAACAGCTGTGCCTCCCGAGCTGTCGTACGAGGAAGGTAAAAGCAGTGATTTCAATTTCTGGGTGCCTCATGTTTCTGATCTGATGATTTGCCTCTATCTATTTTTCAGTGCATAAAGCGATTGCATCAGAGACAGCTGTTGTTCACCTGTTCGAAATTTCTTTCTCGCTTGATCATGCGATGCATGTTATCAAAATAGCTTTACAACATTTCAATATTCCAGGGCATGACATACATCAGATGAATTAATTTTTGGGGTTTACGGTGGACTCTGTGCTGGGAGGGTGTTTCTGGCTAAGAGGCAGGCTGGCTGCTTGATTGAACAGTCGATGCCAAAGCCAAGATGGCCTAAATTCTGCTTGTGTTTGGACAGAGGGGACTGAACTTCCAGTGCGCCACCTCGACTTGTTCCAGCTTTGCAGAAGCAGTGATATGGGCCACTTGGTTCCCTTGGAGCATGTGGAAGGCACGACAGAGGAGATCGTCGCGCAAGGAGAAGTGATCCCTGCGGACAAAGTCAAGCCTGGTATGCTCTCAGGCTCCCTGCCGGCTTTGATGCACTCAACCCTGCGCAAATTTTTTGATGCGATGCAGAGTCTGAGACGGTGCCCTTGTCCGCAGGCAGCAAGAGGGAGAAGGTTTATGTGAGGACTGGGCCTGTCCTCGACTGGACCATTGACCGCAGCGATCCTCTCTCTGTGTGGATAGTGACGGGGAGCAGCTGGTAAGTTCGGCTTTCCCCGGGTCTTTGGGCTCTCTCTTGGCCATTGCCGTGGTCCACTGCATACAAGTTTTCCAGGGCTTTGCCAGCTCACGAGAGTTTGGTGCGTGCAACAGGTACAGGCTCCACACGCCCGCGCCTGCCTACGCGAGCACATACACCTCAGCGCAGCAGAAGGTGGAGATGTGCGCGGTGGCGCTGCAGATGCTGGAGCGCAATGCCAAGCTGATGCCCAGGACTGCCGCCACCGCAGCAGCAGCCGAGCTGGGCCTGGACGACGATGACGCTGACATCTCGTTCGCTGAGGAGCAGGTCTCCACCTGGACACAGGTACACTTTCCTGGGGCATGCTTCATGCGCTGCTACACTGCTGTGCTCTAGAAAAGGCTGCCCAGGGTTCAGAGACACCACTGCTTCTCGCATGCCTGCAGGCGGATGATGTGCCATCGGCAGCCGCCGGGCAAGGGGCGGGCAAAGGACGCAAGCGCAAGGCAGAGGGGGCCGGCAAGAAGCAGTCTGGCGACCAATTCGCTCTCGGCCCAGGACAGCCGACGGAGAATGGGGATGAGGGCATCGATGAAGAGCTTGATGTGGAGCTGGACGACTCTGAGGAGGATGATGGGGCCATCGTCCGCAGGAAAAAGAAGCGACGACGTAAGAGGAAAAGCTCGGGCGCTGATGGGCTGGTGAGCACCTGGCCATGGGTTCCTTGGCAGGCAATTTGTTTACAATGTCCTGCAAGTCACCATGGTCTCCACTGAGGTATCTTTCTCAGCGTCCCTGGAGAGTTGCTGTGCTGAGCATTATGTGTTGCCACAAGGGGGTGGAAAACGGGGGCACCCCTTTGGGCCGGAAGGGCAAGCTGGCGGCCGCGCGAGAGGCGGCCGCGGTGGAGGCGGCGGCAGAGCAGCGCGGTCGGTCCAAGCGCGAGCGCGCGGCCGACGCCGAGCGCGGGGCGCCTCCGGAGCCGACGCGGAGCTTCCGGCTTCCGCAGCAGTTGCTGCCTGACCTGCTCGCTGTTTGGGAGCTGCTGCAGACCCTGGCACCCGTCCTGCAAGTGATTCACTTTGCCCCTCTTTGCTGGTCCTTTGCCTGATGTCTTGCCACTATACAGGCGGTTGTAGAGAGCACGGAAGACCATCCTGCTTGCTCCCTGAGCGCTTTGTGCGACTGTTCTGCAGACGCCATACCTGCCTCTGTGGCGGCTGGAGGCGGCCGTGTGCCCGGGCCCCATCAAGGCAGGCGTTCCTGCTGTGCCCGGGTTTGAGGAGCCAGGATCTGTTAAAGCGGGGGAAGATGGCGAGGCAGCCACAGAAGCCACCAGGAAGTCAAAGCGCAACCGTGAGGATGAGGCAGAGGTGCGTTTGGCGTGCACACACATGACACTCTGAATGTTATTCAGCATCTTATGCCAGAGAATTTTCTAGCTTCTCCCTGACCATGTGTCTGTGAAGCAGGAGGCGGAGACGCCAATAGCGACGCCCATCAAGCTGCGCATCAAGATGAGTGCAGGGAAGCACAAGGACAAGAAAACACCCTCAGGCTCGGCCGCACCCACTGGGGTGAGTCACTCAACAAACACTTCCTGACCGTGGCCAGCACAGACAAGTGCATGCAGAGGCAAGGACGACAGGCGCTGACATTGCTGGCATGGTGTGAGCAGGGCGTGGCGTATATTCCTCCCACAGACGATGCTGGCTTGGCGTCTGGGCTGGTGCTGCGGGAGGTGCACTGCGCGCTGTTGCGCGGCGCCGAGGGCAAGGGCCTGAGCGCGGATGGGGCCGAAGCCCCCCGCACCGTCAAGCTGGCGGCCGCCGACGCGCTCGCCACCACCTGGATCGGCCGCGTTAGCAAGGCCGTCCTTGATGCACCGCCCTTTGCTGTGGACGACGATGCGCGGGTGGGCTATTTTGTTGATAAATTATCATGAAAGATGAACTTCTTATGTCGCCAGTTGCAGTCTCGCTCGAGTCAGTCTGTGTCACAATGGTTCCATTTGGTGCAAGAGAAACTGAAGCGTCCTCTGTGCATGCTTAGCGGCCCTGAGAGGTGTGAGTTTGTGGTGTTGTGACTGCACCAGGAAGCTGCAGTGCACCTGGCGTATGCGGAGTATGATGACCTGAGTGTGCTTGAGCGTATCGCCATCCTGCGCGGCCTGTCCGCCCTGGCCCTGAGCGCCGATGCTGTGCGTGACTACATCGCAGCGCGCCTCGATGCCATGCCCGCACCGGTGAAGCGCAAGGTGCGTGCCAACACTGCATTGTCCTCAGTGGGTTGACCTGGTCAATAGGCATGACGGTGTAATTAAGCATTGTTAGGCTATCAACGACTAAGTGACAAAGCGGTGGTGGTTACGGCATTTGCAGAAAGAGGATGGGGACGCTAAGGAGGGTACAAAGGAGGAGGATGAGGCGGCCAAGAGCGCTGCGGCGCCGCCGGTGCCGGCAGCGGGGCCGTCCAAGAAGGCGGCGGCTGCGGCGAGCGCGGCCGGGTCGGCGGAGGAGTGGGAGCGGTGGATGGAGGCGTGTCGCGTTGGCGTGCGCCGGCCGCTCGGCGCGGATTTGCACAGGCGCCGCTACTGGGCCCTGGGCGGCCGCGCCTCCGCATGGCGTGTGTATGTCGAGGAGCCTGACAGCAGCCTCTGGGGCTGGTATGAAGGTGCGGCTGCCTAACATGACCCTCCTGCTTCCCCTTCAAATATACCATTATTCTGTTGGATCAAATCCTCTTGCTCCTGCACTGCTCTGCTCTGCTTTCCTCTGCAGTGTTACTTGCACATCTGTACCACTAGCTCAGGTAGATAGCTCAGGTAGTATCCTGCTGTGACCACCTGACATGATGGGGGTGTTAAGTGAAAGAAAGACGCGGGTGAGCAGGCGACAAGGTGGTGGAGCTGTTGGAGTGGCTGCGCAAGGGCGCCATCGAGCGCGAGTCGCCGCTGCTCAACGCGCTCGCGCAGGCACCCCTGCCGCGCAAGGCCGGCGCACCATCCCACAACCAGAACATCGCCGCCCCCGCAGGTATGCCCCTACTCCTCCCGCTGCTCACCTGCCTCGCGCATGCAATCCTCCGCACACAGTGCTCCTGGGCCGGGGGATCATTGCATTGTTGTTGCACGACGTGCACTCGTGCGGCAGCCCTTTCTCCCATCTCCTGCCGCTCGCTGTGCCTTGATGCCTTTCTGCATGCATTTCTCTTTCTCCTTATCCTGCGTGCCTGCATATCCTCAGAATACTCTAGTTACATGGTGTCAAGTCAGCATATATGAGTTGTCACGCAGGCGATGAGGGCGCGGCTGCGGTGCTGACGGCTGCAGAGCTGGAGGCGCGGCGCTGGGACGGGTACAGGGGGATGGTGGCGCCGCAGCTGCGCGGCGAGGGTAGCTGGCCCAAGGCCTCCCTGCAGGCAGCCTTTGAGCTGCGCATGCAAGCCGCCGTCGACGCTATGCTCATGCGCGTCCCCTTCTGGTTTGCGGTGCGTCCAATATCCCTCTCCTCCTCTCACCTCCTTGCAACATCATCCTTGCAACCCCATTGCCTAGTCCCAGGTGCATGCAGCAAACCTGACAGATGTCAGTGTGCGCTCTGTTGTTTTACTCTGTCCAATCCTCTGTGTTTAGCATGCAACAGATAAGGCTGAACCAAGTGGAGTGGCTGGGCGCAGGAGGAGGATCAGGTGCAGCGGCTGCTGGGAGTGTATGATGCGATGAGCTATGCGCGGACGCCGAGCGAGATGGCCAAGGCGCTGCTCAAGGTGGAGGCGCTTCTGACAGCGGCGGCCGCCATGGGCAAGGCCTGGTACAAGCACTGGCAGACCAACTGGCAGCGCGCTGCCTCCTACTGCGTCGACTGGAAGCACGCCCTCCTCCTCACTGCAACCCTGCAGGTGACTTTCTCATCTCTGAAACTTATCAGTAGCTTTCATTGTCGTGAGATTACTCATCACCTTTTTAACAGGTGCTATGGTACGGTGTGCACACCTGCAAGCACATGTGCGACGTGAATAGAATTGCTTGCGAACGAGCATTTTTAAAGGCTCCCAATACCAGCTATGAATGGTCGTTTGTCCGCGTGCCAGGTGCACCAAGGCCGGGACCGCAATGCGTTTTCGCGGCCGGCCTTCATGCGCATAGCGGCGGAGGAGCACTGCCAGCTGTACTTCCCCGAGCACGGCGATCAGGTGGTGCTGCTGCGCACAGGGCTGCAGTTCCACCTTAAGAAATACATGCAGACCCTGGGCCTGGCCCCCTTGGACCCCCCTCCCCCGCCCTCCCCCGGCAAGGAGGATCCCCCGCCACACACGGCAGAGTCCTCCCCAGCTCCAGACACGCAAGGTCAGGATGCCACAACCCCCCCACACCTATTGATTTGTGCTGTTTAGTTGCAGACTAGCTGGCTCCTTTGCAATACTTATCTTTGGGCAAGAAGGTGATCGAGTGCTTATCTGCGCAGATGAGGAGGAGGCAGCAGAGGAGGGAGAGGAGGGCGAGGAGCCCAAGGCGGTGCAGGTGCCCCAGCAGCTGGAGCTGTCCCTCCCGGAGGACATCAAGGACGAGGTCAAGGCCCAGTGGGAGGCCCTGACATCCTCTGTGGACTCCCTGCGGCCCATCGAGCGCTACCAAGTGGTCGGCATCGCCTATCGCAGGTATGTCCTCTCCCTTCATATTGGAGACCTGTGATCAGTGTCTATCTCATGCTTGACATTCACTCAGGACAAATTCACAGCCTTCTAGGCTTCAAACCACTCCTTGCCGGCTTTGAGCACTTGAAATTGCTTCAGAAAAGTCGTTGAGCTTGGCGGTAGAGTCGGGCTGAGCATGGCGGGTGTGCTTGCAGGACGATGCTGGATGGGAGCGCTGCAGGGCCGCTGCTGGATGGGTTCAGCGAGGAGGAGCTGCTGGCTGGCGGCGCTGCCTGGCCCTGCACCTGGATCCTGCTGCAGCCCTCCAGCAGGGGCCCCCGCCACCAGTCCCCCGTCCAACCCATCGCTGTGCCCCTGCGCACCGACAATGTGCGCGCCGTTCCTTCTTGCGTCCAAGGCTGCCTCCAAGCATCTTTTTATGGCCCTTGAAGATTCACTCCTTGTTGCAGTATAGATTGTGCACTCGGATGCATTCCGCTTGAGGCCGCAGGCGTCAGCATGTTGGAGTCGAAGCTCTTGCGCACTTTGGTGAGCAGAATGAGGTGTCTGTGTTGCAGGCGCTGCCGGACTATATGGTGAAGGCGGATCTGTTTGACAAGGGCATGCACCGCATGTGGAGCCCGGGTGACAGGTTCCGCATGTACTTTGGGGGAAGGGCAGGCTCCAAGCAAGGTGTGCTGCCTGCAGCAGGCTGCTCTGTGTCTGACACGCATCCACTTGTGACAACCTGATCGATTGACAGACCTACCAGGGTGGAGAAGCTTGCTCGCGATGGGCCTGACAGAAGCAAGTGGCGTGCAGGGGGGGTCTACTATAGGGGAGTGGTGTCGGAGGTGTTCCAGCAGCAGCCGGAGCTGGAGGCGCCGGAGGGTCAGTGGGCGGCATACGACCCCTGGGAAGCCGTTGAGGTCGCTTGGGATGGCAAAAGCGGCGGCTACGCAGGTTCACACTCTGCCTTCGCAGGAAAACGGAAAACGGATTTCGGGCAATTGCTCAAACATGCCAGCCTCCCTGATTCAGAAGCAATAATCTTTGGATATTCTGATTCGGAGAAAAGCAGATGTCATAGTGTGACGCCATGGAAAGACCATGAAATACCATGGGCCCACCGTTTTCATGGGAGTGAAAAGTGTTTCATGCATGCTGCAGGCCAGCTGGAGTGCGTGAACCCATGGGAGCTGGAGATGGACCCAGACTTTGAGCGCACAGAGGAGGAGCGGCAGCGCGAGCAGGACGCCGAAGCACGAGCACTCCGAGCGCAGGCCATCGCCCTGCGCAGGCACGCCACCCTCCCATCTGCTCTTGTCCCCATGACTTGCCTGGCTTTGATACAATGGTGATGAGATAGCAACCACAGCTGTGCCTCCCCGTGCTGCCATTCACAGCATCTTTCTGTCTTTGTGAGATTGGCGTGTGTCAGCAAGTGTCCTTGGTACTAGAGGAGGTACATAGAGCAATTAGAGTGGAAGGATGCAATCTGCGAGGTGTTGCAAAAGGCACCCGGTCTTTGACATGGGCAGGCGCGTAAAAAGTGAAATGTGTCCTGAGAGGATTTGGCTTGCAGGGAGGCTGAGGAGAGGGCGGAGGCTGAGAAGTTGGCACTGGAGAGAGCAGCGGAGGAGAAGGCCGCAATGGAGAAGGCCCTTGCGGAGAGGGAGGAGCGCGCGCGAGCGGCTGCCACGCCCAGGCGCGCCTCGGCGGCGGCCACGGCCTCCCCCGCAGAGTCCGGCGACTCGGGCCCGCCCCTGTACATGCCTGTGCAGCACCGCCCCGGCGACCATGGATCTGTGCCCTCTGTGAGCCCACCCCTCACTCAGGACTACATCTTTGCTACAACATCGCTGAGTCTGCGTCACTCTGCGCAGCACCCGACTCTCCAATCAGGCGTTGTGCATCGGCATCGTGCCTGCCCTATAACCAGCAAGAGGGGTGTGTGCGTATTGGCTGCTGACAGAAACATCGCTCATGTTTGAGAGGCTTGAGATATGGTGCAGGATGTGCTGGACATGCTGAAGCCGCTGGGCAGGGAGCGGTTTTTGACGCTGCTGACCAACTGGATGCGCGGCGTGCACGGTAAGTTCAAGGTGCCCATCTTCGCGCACCAGGAGCTCGACCTTTACCGCGTGTTCTGGTCCGTCATGGACAAGGGCGGCTATGAGATCGTCAGCGCCAACAAGCAGTGGAAGGTGCGCATAAGTTCCCACTGTGATGTTGCTGAGATTCCTCAGGTCACTAGTCTTCTCTTATGGTCCATGCACTTGTTTTATGGAGTCTGCTGCGCTGAGATGTGGGCTCTTGAGTGCATCGCACCAAATTCTCCGATGGTGCGTCAGCGGCCAATATTTCCATCAGATCGTGAACAGACGGCTGGCATCATGGCTTCCTGATTCTGAGTGTGTTCTGATCTTATGCTTGCCGGTAGTGTTCCAAACAAATCCTGGCGCGGCGTGCAGGAGGTGTGTCGCTGCCTGGGCGTGGACCTGCGTGGCCAGACGAGCGCGTCCTTCAACATGCGCCAGAACTATGAGCGGTGCCTGTTCGAGTTCGAAGACTACCTGTCGACGGGCGCGTATATCGCCGACATCAACGCCGGCCGCGCGCCGTCGGCCGATGCCATTTTGCCCTTCCAGCCGCGCCACCCCATCGCCTCCATCCCTGTGCCGGGCGTCGCGCCAACGCGCCACACCCCCGCTCCCCGCGCTTCAAGTCCCCAGGAGCGCACCGTCACCACCCGTGGAGGTGCGTGCCCTCCCCATCTCCCCCTCAATGCAGGCCAAAGTCCCTCCTGGCCTGCGTGCTGCCTTGCGCTGTTTTCAGCGCACAGTGTCTCTGCACCATGCATGTTCTTGCTTTCTCAGCCAGGTGTTGATCAGCGTCTAACATCGGAGTTGCTTAAAATGTGCGGGCTGGCGGGGGCGCAGGTGAGGGCAGCAACAGGCGGGTGAGCTATAGGGACATGCTAGTGCACGACGATGATGACGAGGACGCTGACATGGACGTGGACGACGGCGATGACTCACCCGAGGCCACGCCGCCCCCCGTCCTGCGCCGGCCGGTACGTCTTATCCCCTGACTGATCTGGATTTCAGGGCATGCTGCCAGTGCATGTATCAATTCTGGACGGCTCCAATCCATGTCTTCAACTGGGTGAGTGCAACCACAGCGGCACCTAGAATGACTCAACATTGGCCCAGGGGTTCTGACAGCAGTGGGTGGGCTGCCATGGCAGGGGAGGAAGCCGATGGGTGGCAGGGTGGCGACGCGGCGCTTTGGGCCGGCGCTGCACGGGCAGGGGCAGAACTGGGTGGGCAAGCTGGTGCTGCGCTACTGGCCCGACCAGGGCGGCTGGTGGGAGGCCAAGATCGGGGAGTACTCCGCCTCGCGCTCCAAGCACCGCCTCATCTATGATGCAGACACCGACAAGGTGCAGCTCCTTCCCAGCTAGCCCGCCAACTCTAGTACAGCACCTTCTGCAGGATTTAAGGAACTTACTGGGTCTTTATTTGCAGCTGCAAAGCATGTAACTGCCAGGATGTGGGCTGATGGAGCATGCATGTGGTTACAGGAGAGCTTCGAGTGGGTAGACTTCAGGGAGCTGACGGACGAGGAGATCAAGCCTCACTCGCTGCACCCGCTGCCCCTGCCAAAGCCTTCTGCGCCTGTGCATATGCCCATGCTCAGTTCGCCCCTCACAGTTGCCCCAGTCATTGTTCCACCTGTTCCAGGCACCACACCAGCTCAGGTCAGGCCTCCTTCCTTTTGTTGAATCTGAAAGCTTAGCAGGTTTTCGTAGAATGTGCAAGCCTTTTGTGTTGCAAGCAGTGCAAAGGACGTGCAGCTGCCCTTCCTTGTCGCTGATGCAATTTGTATCAATTGCAGAGCGCGGCAATGACGGCCATCGTGACAGCGTTGAGGGCTGGCCTGGAGCGAGAAACGCTGCAGAGGATGGTGGACGCAGCTGATAGCGCACTGCGCCTGACAGACGAGCAGCGCAGGCAGGCCGAGGGCCCTTCGCCTGCGCAGCTGCCCAGCGCAGAAGCAGCCGCCCCGCTTACAGAGGCAGCGGCTGGCCCGTCGCGCGGCCATAGCAGGGCGGCATCTGCAGCGGAGCCGGGTGAGGGTGGGGAGGGGCCCCACTCACGTGACGGGGAGTCGGCGGGCGTGGACAGCGGTGCAGCAGAGGCGCGGCCGAACGGCGGAGTCGGGCGCATCTCGTTGCGCATCAAGATGAAGGGTGGGGACGCCTCATCCTCAGGTGCATTTCTGACGCCTCGTGCGCTTTTAGAAAAGACTCTTTGACTGCCTGTGGATTTATGTCTTTAAATCCAGTGTGTTGGGTACAGCGGGGTTGATTGGCGTTATTGTATCCTGTCTTGCAGACTTGCGGGAGAGGCTTCCACGCAAGAGGGGCTTGGAGGCAGCGGAGGGAACGCCCGAGCCAGATGAAGCCGAGCAGCAGCAGCCGCGCAAGCGGCACCGGCTGGCAATGGCATCCAAAAGCGCGTCGCCCGTCTCGCCTGATGCAGCAGCTGCCAGCCAAGATGCTGATGATGTTGCTGAGCCGGCCAGCCGCGAGGGTGGGTCAGTTCATGGCAATGGCACTGTTGAGGCCGGGCCCGAGGAGGAGGTGGCATCGCCCAGGAAAGAGCAGCCAGACAGCCACATGTCAGACGCTGCGGTAGAGGGGGATCATGCAGGGTCTGGCCAGGATGGAGGGGAGTCACTGGAAACAGCAGAGCTGTCCAGTGAGCCGGCTGAGCAGCAGGAGGGAGTTGCTGAGGAGGAGGATCGGCAAGCGGGCCCAATGGATCATGGTGGTAATGAGGATACATCTGCAGGCGATGTCATGCCAGAAGGGAGGGATGCTGCGCAGGATCTAGCTGCAGAAGATGGTAAGACGCCTCCGGAAGATTCTGGACCATCGGCTGGCGTGGCAGGGAATACCGAAGCTTCTGATGGGGAAGGTGATGCAGCAGATCACATGGGCGACAGTTAGGCCCATGAATGCATGGGTCATTGACTGTGAACTTCGTGTCGCAGTTGGTTGATGCTGAACGGATGCACAGTAGGAGTGACATGATACTATCTCTGCTGGTGCTACCTGGTAGCCTGACAGTCTTGAGGAAAATTGTGCTGGGACACTTGTACCACCAGCATGTACAGCTCCATGCTTGTTTTTGGCATGAGGTTATGTTTTGATGGGTAGCATTCTCTTGTATTGTTGGAGCCTGTTCTCAACAAAACAGCTGCAGCCCAAAGTCCACCACTGCGCCTTGTGCACACGTGTAGATGGCATGCTCCATACAGTGTTAGTGTCAGTCGACTATCAATTCGAAACATCTACTTGAAAAGCTTTTAAGAAGTCAAGCTCTCGTAGCCCGCTCCAGCATTGCGATTGCAGCACATGCATGTATATATATAGTGCTGCCGCGGCGCCGCTGCATGGAAGGAAGGAAGGAAGGAAGATTACATCACTCCCAGCCGCCTAGGGCTGATTTGATGAACTGGCAGCATCCAAATAATCAAAACAATCCATCACAAAATGTGCAACACCAACAATGTCCAACTGCCACATGAATTGCTGCATCGTCACAATGTCTGCACCAAACAGCCCAGGATATCTGTCCCGAACAGATTGCAAGGCAGGGCACTCAAACACAAGGTGGCGCTCATCCCCAATAACCTGCTGGGCACAACGCATGCACAAACGCTGGGGCCGGGGAACCCTGGCCCAGCGGCCCGAGACATTGGGCAGACTATGACAACCCATCCTGAACTTCAACAATATACGCAAGCAACGGGCACTCAAAGGCTGCTGTAAGAGCTGGCAAGGGTGGCGCACACAAGCTGGCCTAGTAAACCATCTGTGATATGTACACAAGGTGGCATTGCTGGACGGGCAGGTCCTAGGGCAAATGTCAATGTCATCCCAAACCTGCAGTGCTTGCGCATCGAGCAGCTGCATCACAGCAGCAACTTCTACAGGAACAAGGGTGTCAAACCGAATAACAAACTCATACCCAATCCGGCGCAAGCCCCGCATGAAGGCCCAAGCCCAATTCTTAACATTACGGGTTATGGCATCCCAACAATCATCAAGGGCCACCTGCCTGTGAAAATTATTTGCAGGCAAGGCAGCCAAATTGTTCCAGAACTTGATAATGCGCCGCCACCACACACAATCAAGGGTCTGCTGATTCAACTCCTTAAGCAAGATGGCACCATGCACAGAGGTGGGGACGCCAGCAATGTCTCTCAGAATTTTCAGGTGAGACATGGAGTCTTTGGAAGCAGCTCTGTCTCACCCCAGGGGTGACTCAGCACCTGTCATTGGGAAGCTGCTCGAGCTTCAAGCCTGATCGGTGCGATGGTACATCCTGCTGTGCTGGAATACACCCAGGAGGTGGCACCATAGTACTCGATATGCGCGACGGTATCTGACGACACTAGCTGGGCAGGATGGAATGTCAAGGCTAGTTCCACTTAGTGCATCCTTCCTCCAGCCCGCATCTGCCTCAACAAGATGTTCTCTTCTGAAATGCTCAACAAGGCATGAAAGGAAGCCAATCATGTGCAACAGTGGAAAGGCGCAGCGGCTTCAGGTGCTTGCTGCTACTATGTTCAGGCTAGACAACACCTTGCGCTGCTATCTCATCCCCACATTTCGATTAAGCGTTATTAAATGCTTTGCAGCTGGTGTTCGTCACTACAGAAGTCGCCCCATGGTCGAAGGTCGGTGGCCTTGCAGATGTCATGCAGGCACTGCCGACAGCTCTTGCCTCGAGGTGTGCTTCTTGTGAAGGATCACACATTCTGCTAAAAACAGTTAAGAAATCACTACTTTTTGCTTGTCTTCATTGGATCATTTGGTACACTGGCTGATGGATCTGGTAGAGATTGGCCTGGTACATGCAGAGGGCACAGGGTGATGACAGTGGCCCCACGGTATGCTGAGTATGGCGATGCTCATGACACGGGCGTGAGCGTGCCAGTCATGGTGCCGCCTGGGACCAGAAACCTGCAGGCACAGCCAGAGAATGGCGATTTTGCTCCTGAGACACCCGCAGAAGTCGCTCCTTCTCATGGGGAAGCAGAGACCGCTACCAGGGCCCTTTTTGAAAAAGAGGGGCCACAGTCTGATGATGTCCATGGCGGGGACACTTCATGGGCGTCTCAGCAATATGTCATGCTGGGCGCGGCTGGAGCAGCCAGCCCACCCGTGTGCAGCATGACAGAAGCAGCGTCAGAGACTGGGGGGGAGCAGGCGGCTGCGTGCGAGCAGCAGGCTCAGTACTACCTCTGTCGCAAAGCCGACGTGGACCACATCTTTGTGGACCACCCCATGTACTGCCGCACGACGGACATCTATGGCAGCAGCAATGTCAACACCTACCAGGAAGCTGGGGACTTTCCGGACCTGGACATCAGGTACAGCATCTTGTGCCAGGCAGCGCTGGCGGCTCCCATGCTGCTTTGGGGCAGGAGCGAGCAGCCTCCAGCCTTGCAGCATGCATGCCTGGAGACTCCGCTGCTGGCCTCTCGGGGCTCACAGCAGGCAGCACCTCAGCCCGATGGATGCTCCGGCGCCGCCAGCGCCGTCATGCTAAAGCTCTGCATAAGCAACTCTACAGAGGCACTGCTACCAATTTTGACGCCAGCAGCGATGGCGCTGGAGGTGTGCCAGCAGCAGGTGCTGTCAGCGCCGCCTGCAGACCGTGGGCGCCCGTCTGGCAGCTCAGGGGATGTCACAGCTCGCGCTGGGAGTTGCACAGTCAGGCCAGCAGAAGCCAGGCCAGGGCCACTGTTGTTCATTGGCAATGATTGGCCCTGCGCGCCGCTCGCGCTGCGCCTGAAGCATTGCGTACAGCAGGCGGCAGCTGCCGGCAGCTGCCAGCACGTCGCGGGGGATGCGGCCTTTGCGTCACGCTTGACGGCATCGCTGCAGCATGCACGCTCAGCGTTCTGCATCCACAACCTGGCCTACCAGGGCACCATGCCCATCAGCGCATTCCCCCGCCTGTGCCTGCCGGACGCCGCCCTGTCAGCCCTGCTGTGGCCTCCACCAGGTTTGAGGAGCACAGGGAGCACCCCATCCGGCAGTGATACAGACAGGGCGCAGAGCAGCGAGAGGGATGCAGCGTGCTCCGTTGCCGCAGCGCCCGAGCATGCAGCAACATCAGTCAACTGGATGCATGTGCGCGCTCGGCCATCACTTTTTTGGAAAGCACAAAATGTATTTTTTGTTCACTTCAGCATGGGCAGTGATTTACCATGCGAAGGAAGACGACACCCGTGTGCTTGGCTGCAGGCCGCCTTGTCTGAGTATGACAGCATATGCACGGTCAGTCCCAACTATGCTCGGGAGATCTGCAGCGACGAAGGCATGGCGTTCGGGATGCGAGAGGTGCTGTGCAGGCGGGGCGTCAGGTGGGACTTTGCATTGCTGTTTTATTCTCCAGCTGTTGACATGGTCAGTGGCTGCAACCAATCCCTGCTGTTGCTTTCCAGATTGCTTTAAGGGTAAGTTGTCATGAGGCACTGACATGGGTCTGGCTGTGGTGCAGCGGCATCATGAATGGGTTGGATACAGTGGAGTGGGACCCTGCTGCAGACGAGTGGCTGCCGGTGGCAGCTCGCCTCCAGGGCCCGAGCGACGCCGCGCGCGGCAAAGCAGAGGCCAAGCTACAGCTGCAGCAGCTCCTTGGCCTCGCCACTGACCCACAGGTGGTGCTATCACCCTTCTGGTTCGAGACTCTCTCCCTTGTTCATAAAATGCACAATTCTTGAGCCTCGGCCGGCCATGACTGTTTTGGGTGCTGCAGGCGCCTTTGCTGGCGTACGTCGGACGCCTGACGGGGCAGAAGGGCATGGACGTGCTGCTGTCATCTTTGCCTCTACTGCTGGGGACGCCGACAAGGCTTCTCGCAGGTGCGCTCTCCATCACCACTCCTGAACACATGACCACTTGTGCACCCAGTGCTCAGGTCGAGGCAGATTTTCCAAGGGCACGTTGCTGCGTCAATTGCTGAGTACTGTGTCCTGCGCTGCGCCGAGTTGCAGACATTCTGTGCGAGCTGCCGGGCCGCCAAGCATGTCCAGAAAGAGGGAGCACCTGCAGAGAAGAAGCTGATCTGCTGCGCAGAGCCGGGGGCGAGTGCAGAGGGCGCGGCGGCCGGCGGGCTGCAGGTGGCGCTGCTGGGTACAGGGGAGGGGTGGATGGAGCGCGCGCTGGCCGCCCTGTCCAGCTCGTTCCCCGGCAGAGCGGCCGGCGTCCCCAAGTTTGACGAGCTGATCGCGCACCTGCTCATGGCAGCGGCAGACTACGTGATCGTGCCCAGCCGCTTCGAGCCATGCGGCCTGGTCGCGCAGTCCGCGGCCCGCTACGGCGCCATTCCCATTGTGACTGCCGTGGGCGGCCTGCGCGACTTTGTCACCCCTGAGGTGCCCCTCCTTGCCCTTCTTGAGTAGAAGAAAATTACACATCTGGATAGCAAGCTGGCATTTGTTTGGCGCCATGCAGTGTCATGACACTACATGCAACACCAGTCTGGCTCTTGGAAGTCATTACTTATAAGGAATTGTACTGTCGATTGCTTCTGATCTGAAGGGGCAAAATGCACGTGAGTTCAAGATGAGATTGTTCTGCTGTGTGGGCAGGTTGGATATCAGATCCCGCCATTTGGGCATGAGGACAAGGGACAAGCACAGCGTGAGGCAGTGGCTTCACTGGTGGCAGTGGTGAAGGCTGCGGTGGCTGAGTATGGCTCAGAGCAACATCGGGAGATGCAGAATCAATGCCTTGGTCTGGATCTCTCCTGGGCAAAGGCTGCAGAGGAGTGGGAGCAGACATTCTTGAGCTTGGTGGCTGAAACATGACGCTGCAGAGCTTCCTGGGAGCATCAGTCAGGCTCGAGAGAACTCACATTTAGATCGCACTTTAAGATGCTTGAGGTTCTGTGACTTTGCGTCTGGGATCTGGGGCTTTAGGCACGTTCAACAGAAATGAACCGTCTTCTTGAACATTTATGAGAGAGTCGACCCTCTATTCAGCTTTGCTGACCAACTTTTCTCTGATTCACAGTGTCCAACCTGCAAGTTGGACGTCCCATTGTGGTGTCTTGAGAGATTCTTCTTTGTTGCACCACGTGGAAATGTCTATTGTGTGCAATTACAAGCAGTGTGCACCATATGAACATCTGACTCTCCGCTTGTTCACATGTATTCATCAGCTAGTGCGGCAATCATGAGAAATGCGTAACCAATGATTGGAAAGCTGCAAAATCAAGTTCCTCGGAGCCTGTCACGTCTGCGGCATATTTCATCATGTTGTTTGCAGAAGTAGGATCCAGCTTGCCCCCGCGCACGTCCTCCCACACCTGGCGACACACCATCACCAACATTATCGTACCGCCAATGCTCAAGTGGCTCGCTCTTGAAGCCGAGAAAGAAACAACAGATTGACATATTGTAAAAGCATCATGCAATTGTATTGCGCACCACGGCAAGAGCTTCCTGGGATATTCTCTTGCTGCGGGGCGCGATCATGGAGAATGCTTTCTTGATCTCCTGTGGGCCGGCCTCCAGTGCTGACACCTTCTTGCGCTTCCCACTACTTCTGACCTTCCCTTGCTGTTCACTGCCATTTCCTCCTGTCCCTTGCCCCTCGGCTTTCCTGCCGTTCCTGCCTGACGGCTTAACTGAGGCGGCCAGGGCAGTTGCTGCGGGCTGCTTTGCCTGCTGGTCAGGCACATCAGTGCCTCGGCCGGAAGGACCCTGACCATTCCCAGCTGAAGTGCTGGGCCCAGCATCAGATCCATTCGCCTCCATGAGGGACATTGCCAGCGCGCGTTGCAGGTCAGCATCGCAGCCGTCGTCCTCATCACTCATGGCAATTGGCTCAGCATCCCACCGCCCTGCTGGCTGCTTGTCCTTCCCTCGGCGGCGGGACTTCCCATTCCCTCCCTGCCTGCTTCTCCTTGGTGGCTGCTGCAGCTCTGCGCGGTCCGAGTCCTGCCCTTCCTCTGACTTCTGCTCGTCTTCTTCTTCTGAGCTCTCTTGGTCGTCCTTGGTATGCTCCACATCAGCCACAGGGTCATATTCAAGTTCCTCCTCACGTGACAGGCCACTCTGTGAGGCTGAACGTTCGCTGTCACTCTCTCCACTCCCGCTCACATCAGCCTTACTCTCTGCATGCTTGGCAAGCTTCAGACGTGTCTGAGCAGCGGTCGCACGTTCAGATTTGCGGCGTGGCTCAACAGCTGCCAGTTCTGCACGGATATAGGCTTTCCTGCGCTCCTCTTCTTCAGCAGCTTTCTGCTTTGCAGCCACCTCTTTTGACACCAGGCTATCAACGATGTTTCCCACCTGTCGAGTATACAAGATGGCAATCAAAGGATTTTGTGGCAGTACTCATACTAGGCCTGGGCAGTGCAACAGGTGTCCCACTTTGTCACATGGGTATCAGCTTAGAGATCTTTAACAAGTAATGAAAATAGGAATGTGTAGTCCTATACGAGCCCAAATCAGCGCGCTTCAGCACCTGCAAGGTGGCGAGCATGGCCTCATTTCGCTTGATCCGTTCCTCCCTCAATCTTTCGTACTCATTCATCTCTTCCATTCTTGTAAATATCTGCGTACAAATTAATTTGCAGGAGCACAGAATGAAAAGTCAATGAAAAGTCCCCAACGAATATAGTTGTCAACGATGAGGGCCTTTTCGATTGGGCATGCATATGCATGCTTTGCGTGCTCTGAGCATGTGGCGATTGAGCTCCGATTAAAGCTGGTCCAAGATGTCACAGTGACGCACCCAATTGTGGCATGAATACATTGCCCACGGTCTATTCATGCTGTGTGAATATGCTCGTCGAGCAGTGTGCACTTCACGTGAAGGATTGATGCATTGATGCTGTCTTGGGCATTGTGTCTGCCTGTGAAAATGAACGAAAATTTACGACGAACACATCTAGATACAGAAAACACAGTTCAGACCCAAGCTTCTGGTCCAATGGAGCAACTGGAGTTGAGTCTCCTGATTCGATTGATGCAGGGAATTCACGATACCAAGTCCAGAGCGAGACTGGCTTGCGTCTGTAAGGTGTCTGGAACACCTATTATCGTTTTAAGTCGTTGTTCTGCAGAGCATTTCTTAAATTACAGCGGTTAGCATGAATGTGCTCCTTAATAACAAAGCTGACCTGTTGTGTTCCAGGCATGGCGTTGTGCTGTGGCTGACTCGTGGGAGAGTGTGCAGCTGACGTTCAATAACAAAGCTCAGCTCAAGGGGCAGCTGTCCTGGCTACTGAAACAACTCCATGAGCGCCCTTGGCTGTTGCACTCATTGGAGTTCAGAAGCGGTACATCCTATGCCGTGCTCAAGACTGAACCTCAGTTCCCACCTTTTTCAGGCTCCAAAGCATTGTACACTCACGGCTGTGTGCCCTACACATTGCAGGGCAGCGAGTGGGTCCCATTTCATTGGCACTCCAGTTGGGGAGGTTCTCTGGTTTGACGTCTCTAAACTTCCTGTGCCAGACGAGTGGGGGCGCAGACGCGAGCTTGGACCAGAAGCTTGAGCAGGGGCTACATGTATGGCGCCCCCTCTTCACACTCCGCCCAGACACGCTTGAAAGTCTGGCATGCACTAGCAGCAGCCTGCAGAAGCTATGGGTAGCTTTCAATGATGACGTCGAGGTATGTTCCTGATTGTATTATACTGTACTATCCTTGCCAACCGTGAGTTTCCAGGCAGTGAGAGCTCAAATTGTGGTTGGCCTATGTGCCTGCAGCACACAACGCTGGAGCAGTTTTCGAGCTTTACAAACTTGCGTGACTTGCATGTGAGTTTATATGGGCACATTGGCAGTCGGCCTGTGTCAACAATGATACGGCTTTCAACCAAGCTCGCAGGTGAGCCCAACATCTTTCAACCTCTGTGAGGTTCTGTTGTCTAGTTACAAAATTTCTGACCTGCTTGCATCAACTATTTGTGAAATAGACAGTCTCTGATACAAACTGTCTCATTATTTGTACTCAATCCTCTACAGTTGCATAGGCTGCTGAGAGCATTCAACTTTTTGCCGGCAGATTTGACAAGACTGGAGACCTTTCGCCTCCAAGGCGCCGGCCTCATTGGCGAGGAGCGACCGGGGCTGCTGGCAGACTTGTGTCGCAATTTGACGTACCTGCTGCTGCATGGAGAGAAATTGTCATCAAGCGAGCCCATCTCCTCGCCATCACTGAAGTTCCTTAGCATAATCTGCCCCCAAACGCACAAGTTACCAGGTGCATATCTATATCCCTGCTCCTGTGCTTTCGCTGGACCTTTGTGTTATATTTATCTTCAGCAAGGTGTTTGGTTTCTGACATCATTGCCTGCTCGTGCAGTGGGATCCTGTCCAGAGCTGCTCACGCTGATCCACTCTGCGCGAGATGTGGCAGCTGCAGATCTGCTCAGGCTGCCAAAGCTGACCACACTGAGGGACACAATTTATGCTCCGGCCCACATTTCGCAGACATTTGTGATGGGGCTGCAACCCCTATCTTGCCTGCAGCACATCCATCTATCGCAGTGAGTACCCACCACTTTCCCACCAACCCATTCGCATTTGCTGTATGTTAAATTTGTACTGTCCCTGACCAACATGCATGCTGTTGGTTCAGGTACCAGGTAGCAGAGGGTGCTGGGTTTGCAGAGCTCAGCATTTTTCCAGCGCTCCAGAGCTTCAAGCTCATGATCGACAATGATGTTATCGGTCTGCAACTGTCGCCATGGCTCGCACGCAACACTGCCTTGCACACCATTGAAGTGCGCAAGAGCTTCACAGCCACCCACTACCAGCCCAGGATAGGTGGGTCCCACATGGTACCCTCTCTCCAAATTGTGCCTGCAGCTTCGCCAGTTCGTTTCACTGCATGGCAATGCCAGTCAGGTGCCAACATCTTCTTGCATAGCCTGATATTGCAGAATAGTTGCACCATTCGGTCAGAACACTTTTTGGGGACCGTATATACGGCCGAATATACGGTCATACGGTATTAAACTATACGGAATACGGTAAAAAACGGCCTATTTTGGCCCAAAACACCGAATATACGACCGAATATTCACCGTATGCCGAATGGCCGAATCCGTATGGTGCAACTTTGTATTGCAGGCAAGACTCTTAGAACACCCGTGTGTGGATGTTGCAGTGGCGCATGGAGTGGCATCCTTGACGGCCTTGAGGTCATTGACGCTGGAGTGCCTGTGCCTGCATGGTCCCCTGTCTTGCCCCTCCCTTGAGTACTTGGAGCTCATTGGGGCTGGTGGATACATGATGCTGGTCAGCCTGTTCTCCACCATTCTCACCTCTTGTTTTTAGCCAAACGCTGTTTCCTGCCAATGATGACCCATATGATGTGCCCCGTCTTGGGTCAAATATGGTAGTGATGTGACTCGACTCTCAAAAATCTTCCACCTATTGCAGGTTTGGCCAGATGTCTCTGGCTGCACCGGGCTGACCACCCTGAAGCTGCGCAACATGGCTCCTTATGACAAGCCATCTCACAGCTTTGAAGGCTTTGCTCGACTGCGGAACGTGCAGATCACATATTGTTACATGGGGTATCTCAGCAACCGCACTGTACCTCTTGAATACGTGAGTCTCCTTCTTGATATTGTGTAATGCTAGCTCAATTCACCGATTATGATGCACTAATACATTCATGCCTTAGGGTGCACTTATGCTTTCACATGCAGGATCCCCGGGTGCATTTTGACAGCATCAGCGACCTGCTGGACCAGCTGCTATGCCTGCCATCACTGGAGGCCTTGCAGGTTGTGGCCATCCAATCCAACATGGCTGTCAACCTGGGGAGGGCGCACCATGCTGGGCTGACCCATCTGGCCCTTGCATGCCGCAGCCTGGTCATGCTGACTGGAGGAGGCAGCCGAGGCCTTCCCTTTGCCTCGCCCCAGTCTCTGCACCTGCTGCTGAGAGTGCGCACTCTTTCCCTCTTTTGCTTGACGACAGTCGTGGAACTCATGATCAAGATGTCTGTTTAATCAGGCCTTCTAATCAGGTTCATCAATGAGGTCAGGTTGGTGCTCATGCATGCAGGGCACCCAGGATGCCAGAACAGTGCAGTTCCTGAGGTCAAAGAGACCAACAGTGTGTGAGGATGAGAGGACTGGGCTTCAAGGTCACAAAATTGGTCTGCCAAATGCACTTGACATCGACTGGGATGAAGTCATGGAGGATGTATTTGAGGTCAGCGTTATTCATGGTCAAGACAACCAGATTTTCTAAGGATATCATTCTCCTCAAAGTAATGTTCTCACCATATGCAAATTTGTTCTAACTTTGACTGAGGCATGCCAAGCTCGGCTACGTTGATCATGGTTACAGTAGTACTAGTGTAGGTATTAAATGGCAGGGGCAGCTGCAATTACTTGTCATTGGAGGCTACTGGTCGGTAGGTTGAAACAGACTACAATGGTGCAGTATGTCAAATACCTAACAACTTATGACAATGTAATCTGTCATGGAATGGGTTGATGGACTCAGGATTCAGGCAAAGACATAGAAAATGAAAATTCAATGGAAGTGCTTGGACTAATTTTCCATATCGTTTGGGGTGTTTATAAACACCGACATTGAAGGCTGGGCCTTCAGAGCATGGGGACTGCCCTTGCTCGCTGCAGGGCAGCAACGTTCACAGACATGCATACAGAACAGACGGACTCAGACACACAGCAACACAAGGCATGCACAACACAACAGTCTTGAAAACAAGTACACAGCTCACATGCAAACTCCTATCCTAACTCCAGTGCGCATCTGCGGACGCTCCTCCTCTACCTGATGGCAACACTGCGCAGCATGCTGCTGCTGCTGCTCCCCAGCGCGCTTTTGGCCTGTGCAGGTTTCACTTAGGATTTGCTTGCAAATTCAATTACGCGCTCTTTCTGCACCAGGCAGGGTGCGTCTGGAGCGAAGGTAAAGGCTACCACAAGAAAATACTGCTGACTCGCCAGATCCAAGCAAGACCCAATCAACCGTGGAATGGTGCCCAGTAGTACTAGAAAACCTAGAGAAAAAAATAGCGGCAGCCCTGTAAAAGTTATGTCATGCGGAGGGTGTCACACCTTCGGAGCGGGGGGCGCCTCTGCAAAGCATTTCCAGAAGCGCAGCGTCTCGTCGGCAGCAGCGGAGCACACCGTGGTGCCGTCTGGGGACTGTGCCAGGTGCAGCACGCGCGACGTGTGGCCCGACATCTCCGCCACCTGTCAGCCCAGCCGCACACCTGTCATTGTGTCTGCCCGTACACAGCAGCACTCCTTCTGATGGTTGATCAAACTTGCAAGCCACGGCAGCACAGGGGGGCAGGCAGCGCGCCTTGGCCATGGAGGGGTACTTCCAGAGGCAGAGCTGGTTCTGGCTGAACCCGTGGCTGCTCAGGATCTCCTTCTCATGCCGGCTCCACTGCAGCGCGCAGACCTGCACGCCACATGCTGCACCGTCTCTACTGCCCTGGCATTTCCAGCTTAGCACAAATACAACCACTTTGCCCAGGGACTCAGGTAGAACTCTACATGGTACAATCTCCGCAGTCAGCAACTCCAATGAGGCTCAGCAGGAGAGGGGGCTGGCGGGCGCGCCTGGGAGTGGGTATCGATGGAGTTGAGCAGGGCGCCGGTGTGGGTGTTCCAGAACTTGATGCAGCGGTCGGCCGTGCCGCCGCCGGAGGCCAGCAGGTTGGACTGGAAGGGGCACCAGGCCAGCGCCTTGACGGCGGCGGTGTGCGCGGTCAGGCGGTGCAGGGGTGCGCCCCCTCCCGCGCCCCACACGTGCAGCAGGTTGTCGTTGCCGCCGCTGGCCAGCTGCGCGCCGCTGGGCGACCACTTCAGCCCGCACACCTCCTGCTCGTGGCCCCGCATCGTTGCCGTTATGTGCTCCCGCACCCTGCACGCGCGCGCATGTCAATCTTTGTGCCTCAAGTGCGCATCACATCGTCAACATCCTGGTGATCTCAAGCTTTGTTGATGAACATCATATCAAGCTCGCGCTGATCAGAGACAGCCGGACAGCTTGACGAGCAGCATTTGCAACTCCACGTGCGCTCAGCTTGGTGCAGGTCAAAGTCAGAGGCACGAGGGGGGATTGGTCATGAGAGGTCTTAAGCCCTGCTAAGGAAAAACGAAGACTGCCCTAGCATGGGAGCATGCGTGCTGCTGGCACGGCATGTGCGCGCACCTGACATCGTGGTTGATGATGAGGGAGTCGCGGCCGCCGGTGGAGAGGGTGGTGCCGGACCAGGCCATGGCGGAGACGCGCGCGGAGTGGCCTTTGAGTGCGCGGATCTGCTTCACGCGCGCCGCGTCCCAGATCTGCACCTGCGCGCTCGCTGTGCCAACCGCCACGTGCTTGCCGTCAGCCGCCCACGCCACGCTCGTCACGTAGTCATCCTCCTCCGCACACTCCATTAGCTGCGGCACCACATCGCTTGTGTTGACTTTTACCCTGCTCAATCCATACACTTCGAGGCCACGCTGAAAAGCCAGGCAGTGTTGCAGCTGGCAGTTTGGATTGGTAGAGAATGTATTTGAGGGAGTTGCACAAAGTTGCAAACCTGCTCGATGGAGCCGGTCGCAGCATTCCAGAGGTATACCTCTTTCCGCAGTGCAACAGCCACCTGCACAGCATGGAACTACAGTCAAGAACAGCTCTGGTTCTTGCGGATCATGATGTGAGCACCTCTGTGTTGACATAGGTGAGACATTGCACTTGGGCCCATAATTGAAGAGGGCAAGAGGGGAGGACTGACCACGTTGTTGCTGCTCCAGTCCAGCAGGTTGAGGTAGTAGTCATCCAGCAGGTCGGGAGCATCCAGAATGCGCTCTGGCGCCTGCGGGATGTTCCGGAAGGTCTTCTTCACTGGTCGGGGGCCCGCATTCTGTGTGTACAGGGATGCCAGGCGATTCTGGTGTCCCTCCGGCGGAGCTGGGGCCTGCATTCCAGAGCCATTAGTTCCAGTGCAATGGCACCCTTTCACAGTATTATTATAAAACAATTAAACCACAGGCAATTAATTGAAAGGTCACCTTATTTTTGAAGGCTAGGATGCGTGAGCGGGATGCCTCTGTCCCAAATCCCTCCGCCAGAAGCTTGGCATATTCCGGCTGCGCACCAGACATTACGATTCAGGTTGTGAGTGTTTGGTTGAATAGAGTAAGCATCACCCGATTGGCAGAACGAAGTCTGGTTACACAGTCAGTGGTCTGGAGATCACCTTTGTGGGTGAGGATGTTCCAGCGGCACTGTTCTCTTTCAGCAAGTTGAAGCTCGCAACGTCCAGGTCCAAAGCGCTCCGAGAAGGAATGAAGCGATCCATCTGCATGACAACATTGTCTCAGAAGGTGCACACTGCGGGTATTAGAGGAGCTGCAGCAAGTTGGCAAGCCAAACCCACCTGTTGCTTGGGCTTCTTGCTGCTCATGCTGCTCTTGCTTGGAGTCTTGTACTCCTTCCCCACATTGCTGCGTGAAGGCGAGAAGGGCGTCCGTGGGTCCATGGTGGTGAGAGTGTAAAGCCTGTGCGCTTTCTGTCTATGAGAATTGGCTGACAAAAGCAAAACGCGAACACGGAGAGGCCTTTGACTGCTTGAGGCTTTCAAAGTGCGTGTTTGCTCGTCAACAGGGGAGCTCTTTGACCGTTGTGCAACGGGAAAAAAAGCAAGCAGCAGCCTGAGACAGCTGGGCTTTGTGCTGTCCCGCCAAGGCTATTCTAGAATCGACCCCGGTTCTTTCTATCATATCTCCCTAGTTCGAAACTCCAAATGCAGCACGAGAAAGCCCAGGCAAGAGTACAATTCACTGGCTAGGCTTCTGACCCAAAGTAGCATCTCGATATTTAGAGATCAGTGAGCTTCACGCAAGGACCAGGACATCTTCAGAAGGACTGGCGAATGCTTCGGTAGCCACGCAGGCATGTCAACAGCAATCACACCCAGCTTCACAAGTGAATGTCTGAGATCCTGGGATTTTAGACAAGCCAAAAACGATTTCCAACGTTATTGTCATGAGCACACTCATTGTAAGATGTGGTTACACTCTATCAAAGGACAGCATTGTAGAATTCTTAACCGTCTCAAGTGGTTGACTTTGCACGAGGAAAAGAGGATAGGCGCTGCAGACAGCGATAAGTTTACCTTTCAAGAGCATTTTGCTCCAGTACTCACAAATTTGGTTCTTTGGTTTCAGCGTGCTACTCAGGGTGAGGTCCACAAAGCAAGGATCAGAAGCAGAGTCTTACAGACCATGCTGTCCGCCATGGAGGGAGGAGGGGGCGCAATCCTGCCAGTGAAGTGCCGCTTGCAGTTCTCACAGAGCTCCCAGCAAACGCCCTCGCAATTCCTCAATACTGCCATGAACAACTGCCGCCTGGGGTCTCAAGCTTTTCAGACCTCATGCACTCCGTCGATGCAGCCAGACGATGCTGAGGCCTCTTGCTCTCAGATGAGACCATCACTGGTCATCCCCAGCTCACAGGACTATGTCCCTGGGTGAGTCCAGCTGCCCCTGCCTTCCAGCCGTGCTGTGCTCTGGAGTTATTCTTTGAAATAATTGAATGTTGGATTTTGTGCATGCAGGTCACAGGATTTCATAACACCAAAAGAACAGCAGTATGAGACAGCACCAGATAACCTCAAAGCAGGGCAGCATCTGCGGTCCCCTGCACAGCTCTCCCCAGCACGCATCAAGCGCCCTCGCAATGTGCTAGGTATGCTGCCGGCCACCTAAATACATATTGATGAGGCCGGGTTTCCCATCCTTTGGTCAAATTTATTCAAATACAGATGCTTGAAGGTGGTCTGTGTCATGCAGTGGATGCTGATCCCATGGAGTACAGCCAGCCCAGCCAAAGCTGTGAGCGCTCCAATATGAATCCTCCCTCCACCTCTAGCGCTGGGGAGGAGTACGGCGGCCCTCGGAAGCTGGTGCGGACGAGGCAGCCCTCACCGCCGTGCGCGCGCAATGTCTTTGTGGACGGCCCAGAGGACAGCAGCGATCTCAGCAAGATCCCCAGGCGGCCGCCGTTTGTCTCGAGATACAGGTGTGCTGAGGCCTTCCTGCCTGTGATACTGCTACTTCAGCTTTTGTGCACTAGCACTGGACGCCCTGTGACTCAATGTTTATGTGAGGGGTGTTGCCAGGCAGGAGTACAGGGAGATGACCATCCTGGGGCAGGGCAATTTTAGCAAGGTGTTCCGAGTGCGCAGCAAATTTGATGGCATGGAGTATGCAATGAAGCGCTCCTTCCGAGCTGTCACCTCTGATGTCGAGGCCAAGCAGTGGCAGCAGGTAACAGAGACTGCCATTGCTTCTTTTCATCACACAATTGTGCGCATACTTCTGGCGTGTTGCCAACGCCCTGCAAAAGGAAATGGTCCTTGTTGAGAATGCCATTGTTACATGGTGATTGTGCTGATCGAGCAGGAGGCAATGGCTCTGGCAGCTGTGGGGTCGCACCCCAACATAGTGCGGTATTACAGCTCCTGGACAGAGCAGCAGGGCGATGGGCAGCTGTTCTACATTCTGATGGAGAAGTGTGATGTGTCCCTGGGTACCAAGCAGAGCCTGGGCGCCCGCTCCTTTAAGGAGGCTGAGCTCCTAGAGATCCTGCGCCAGGTGCAATGCTGTCCCACCCATCCCACAAAATCAATAGCAGAGCGCACAAAATAATCACCATTTGCAGGCATCTAAGAGCTTGTTCTTATCGGCCAAAGGGTGTTCTCGTTTCAGCACTGCACCTGAGTGTCTGTCACACAGCAGGCCACTCCTGCATGACCTTCTCAGTCCATACCTTATATTCTGGTATGAGACTCATGGTCACTCGCTTTGAGCGGTGGGGCTGTGGGGGCCAGGTAGCGGAGGCGCTGCAGCACCTGCATGCGCGCGGCATAGTGCACATGGACGTGAAGCCGGACAACATCTACACCACGGAGCAGGGCGTCTTCAAGCTGGGCGACTTTGGGCTGGCCACTTGCCGATCCTGCCGCCCTGACGTGGCCCTGGAGGAGGGTGACTCCAGGTGGGACACTCAATCCCATTGGGGATGCCTCTTTTGCTTTGACAGCAACTGTGACAGTGTAACCCTCGTGACTGACAGCTTGAATGATGTATCTGTGACAGCCCCAACCTTCCAAATCAACAGCTGAGATGATGTGACTAGAGATGTAGGCAACGTCAATTGTGCAGAGGAACTCAAGCATGGCAGCAGTCAAGATGCCACTGAAAATTTTGTCACAGGTTAGCTGTGGGGCACAGGTACATTCCCCAGGAGGTGCTCAACGACGACTTCCGAGCGCTGGACAGGGCTGACATGTTCATGCTGGGCGCGTCCCTCTATGAGCTGGCCACCGGCACCCACCTGCCCTCAGGTGCACCCTTCTCCTCATCACCCAAAGGCCCTGCTGACCCACGCACTTGGCAATTACCTATTCTTGCTTGACAGCCAGTGCTGGAGCACCAGCTGGAGCACCCGCTGCAGTGTTTTGTGATGGTGAGGGCGACTGTTGGAACTGTGCAGGCGGCAGCACGTACCAGGAGATTCGGCAGGGGAAGCTGATGCTGATGCCCACATTCACATCCCAGTTCCAGAAGATGATCAAGTGGCTGATGGCCCCAACGCCGGCCGAGCGGCCCACACCGGCACGCGTGCTGGCCTCCTCCCTGCTCTCCAAGCGCCCAGCCAGGGACGGGGCCAAGGAAAATTACGGCGCCCTGCCTCTGCAGCCTGCCCACTGAGTATTGCTGCACGCTCGGGGGCTAGGTTTGAGGCCGCCGGGGCATGACAGATGATGTGCACCGTGTCAGCCACGCTTATCACATGCAGGCTTGGATGCTAAAGTTGCTTACTTTGGAGTCCATCTGGGGGTTTTCATTGCAACATACTGTATTGCGCGAGGTAGCCCAAGACCGCTGCCAGTGCCGCACTCTATACATGTATCGATTTAAGGGGTATTAGGACTGTGTAGAGGGTATCACGGGGGCTTTGTGTTGAGAAATTGTTCTGAATTTAAGTGAGAAAGACACTCGCAAGTTCTTTGGGAAGGTGATGTGTTCAGATCTATATTAGTCAAGACAACCTTCCTAGAACTTCTTGAAGTTTTGAGAGCCGAACCAAAAGAAACTTGTAATTACCAGCGCTATGCAAATTTAAATTTCAGTTATATATCCTGCTTGTGCGTGTTTTGTTCCTGTCAGGATGAGGAGTTTGCTATTAGGCTAATAGCAAAGTTGAAATAGTATTAGCAGCTCATGCTGCCATTCTTGGATTCAGGGACTGTAATTGCTGAGGTTTCAATTTTACTCCGACAGCTGTCCCCTGCACTATTTGGATGCGGCAGTGGGAACGCCGCCTGACTGGTCTAGCCGGCTTGGCACTTCCGACATAAGAATTTCTTTAAGAAACTTGATCAAATGGTGTATCTCATCAAAGGGAATATATTCTACCATGCAAGTTGACAAGGCAGCTTTTACTGTGAAGAGGGTGAGCGAAACATTCCCATATAAATCATTCATTAAGTAGACTTCCGGAAAGTCCAGGGGTTCAGAGCTGCTTCATCATTCTTCTATAGTATTACTTACAGCAAATCTGGCAATACTTTTGAATGATCAAAGGGTTACGTAGCGTCATGGATCGATATATGCTCTGCTTACCCATCGATCTGTTGGTCCAAGTGTTTCTGTGTGTGCAGCTCTATAAGGATTGCCTGCGACTTGCTGACTACATTGGAACACAGGTAATATATAGAGTATTGATGGGCTCTTGGATATCCATTGACCGAGCTGTGAACATGATACCTGCAGAGCGATTGTACTAGACCTCTTGAAGAGTGTAGCATACTATGGACAGGGAGGCAATCGTGCGGTATTACGGCAACAAGTCCAGGTGGCATTCCGGAAAAATGTAGCAGAGACTGATCCAGAAAAGGTGCAAAGATCCCTAGATCCATTGAGGGTGTACTCACTCTGACAGCTGTTTAAGAGCTGTCACAGTCATTTGGCTTGATTTGTACTACTTTGTCTGTCTGGATTCTGACCGCCCCCCTGTTGTTCTGCTGCAGATAGAAGAACAGAAGCAAGCGTAAGTCTTATCTGATATCCAACAAGCTGTCAAAACTGCAATATAATTTCTGAGCTTTGATATCAACATTGATGCACTGCTGATGTTGTAATGTGTTGTTGTGTGCAACAGTGCTTTTAGAGGCCTCTCAAACTACATGTTCCATGAAGCCCAGCGCATGGCCAAGGTAAGGATTACTCAGTGCTCATACTGACCTCCAGCGTTTGGTGAAATGCTGGGAGCTCACACTTGCTGTTCTACAGGAGGGGACAGTGACCGCTGTGCGTCCCAGTGAAGACGGGCCTTTCAATAGATAAGGTGAAGAACGGCATGCATGAATCTGATGCTCGGCTGCAGATATCTGTACTCTAGTAATCCGTCTGAGCATGCCATGCTGTGTACAGAGGAAGTGACAAAGCCCAAGCCTACGACAGTCTCCAGGACCTTGACGACTTAAACTCCTTCCAACAACGACACCATGTGGGAAACTCTGGGCTTGCTGCGTGCGCCTGGGCACTTCTGCTCCCAATATATTCCGTCCAAGAATGTGAGTGCGATTCTCACAAGCATGTCTCTTTGCTTCGATATAGAGGCTGTGCACAGTAATTGAACATGTATCTGCTTAGCGCTCATGGCCTCTTACATCCTCTTTGGCCTGCGCAGATGCCGATGGTTCACCTACAAACCCGCGTGAGACGCAGTATTGCGCAGCCTGCCAGACATCTGATTTTGTGTCAGGCGGGGAGGCTGCAGAACGTGGCAGCTGATGAAGCCGCTGTGCAGTTGGATGCTGATGCTGTCTCAGAGAAGGAGCGGCTGATGTATGAGAGGCTTGCTCAGGAAGTCGCGGTGGGTTGCTGCACTCTCAGCATGCAAGATTGCTTTTCAACCAATTGTAATTTGCAGCAGCGATAAATTAAAAAAATTGCTGTTGTTTAGGCTTTCGAGAGCATGGCCATAGCCAGCAGCACTATTGAGGAGGAGGAGGAGGCTGCTCCAGTCAGCCGTGATGCAAAGAAGTCAAAACGGACCCGGGAGGCGCGAGGAAGCATCCCCACCGACAATGGCATACCGCTTGCAGACCTCCCCAAGGTATGTCCCATGCACACTTTAAATGCCTTCAGTCTGTTGGCTACAGTCAGCAAGGGATTTCATGCATTTGTGCCCTGCCATCAGGTTCATGTGATGCGGCTGCAGGTGGCAATCGTGGGGCGTCCAAATGTGGGCAAATCAGCGCTGTTCAACAGGATAACAGGGTCCAATCTGGCGATAGTGTACGACTATCCGGGGGTGACTCGCGACCGGCTGTACACGCGCGCATCCTGGGGCGCCACAGACTTTGTCGTCGTGGACACCGGCGGCCTCATGAGCGACGCGTCGCAGCTGCCTTCAGACCAGCGGATCGTCGCTATCAAAGCCCTCTCGGATGCTGGCCTCCCACAGGCGCGCATCTGCACTCAGTTCACACTTTCTTTGCACCTGCACACAAGAAAAGTATCCGGTAAAAGCGCGCATGGTCGGGATTTAACATCGACCGCCGCCTCTTTTGCAGTGTCTCCAGAAGGCTGTCAAGCACTGACGGTGGCCAGGAAGTGTGAAAGGTTTGGCCATGGTGGAGATGACAGAGAACTGTGCATTGCTGCAGGCCATTGAGCGGCAGGCGGCTGCTGCAGTGGCGGAGGCAAACAGCATTGTGCTGGTCATGGATGGGCAGCTGGGCCTCACTGCAGCGGATGAGGAGATTGTGTCCTGGCTGCGGCGCTCACACCCCAACAAGCCTGTGCACCTGGCCATCAACAAATGCGAGAACCCCCAGAAAGCCGACTTGCAGGTTTGACATCACTTTCTCTCCCTGCCACATTCATTATTTGGCTCTCCGCGCTTTGCTGCATTCTGCAATCCAGCTGCCTGCAGAGACAAAGCTCTGTTTTTCATGTAATCACACCAAGCTGCCCAGCTGGCTTGGAAGATAGGCACAAGAAGTCTGACCACAGGTGTCTGAGTTCTGGGCGTTGGGCCTGGAGCCCATTGCGGTGTCTGCCATCAGCGGGACAGGGACTGGCGAGCTCATGGAGCAGCTGATGGCTTCCCTGGCCCCGCCCAAGTCTTCAGAGAGCGTGGCGGCCCCCGACGCGCCGCTGGCCGTGGCCATCATCGGGCGGCCCAACGTCGGCAAATCCAGCCTCCTCAACTCGCTGGTGCGCTACTCAACATGTCCCTTCCTTGAGCATGCGCACATTCTTTTACTGAGGTGGCGGTGGCGGCTGAGCATGAGGCTGACCAGAGCTGAACTCATGTCCAGCGCCTGCCACATGCAGGGGGCTTGGCATCATTAAGGGACAAAGCTTTTGTGCCAGTCTTGCTGCATCCTAACTCTTGGTGATTTATCACTCTGCAGAAATGGTTTGAGAAGGTCAACAAATTTTTAGTGATGATTCATTGAAGGCACTCAATAGTCAAGCTTTGACACTGTCCAGAGCACATTTTACGTAGTAGGTGGTCAGAAAGGTGTCTATTGCCATGCAGGCGGGTGAGGAGCGGTCGATAGTGAGCGCGATCAGCGGCACGACGCGTGACGCAATAGACACGGATGTGAAGCTGGCGGACGGGCGCCGATTCAAGCTGATCGACACGGCCGGCATCCGCAAGCGCGTGGCCGTCGCCGACTCCAAGGACGGCGCCGAACCGCTCTCCGTCAACCGCGCCCTGCAGGCCGTCCGGTGAGCAGTCCCCACCCACTCCTCTCTGTGATTTGGCTCCTGATTTCTGGGCTGCTGGTGGGCTTCAATTGGTTGCCCTGAGAAGCCTCAATTGAGCGCTCGATCCGCATGGCAGTAACTGTTACTGGCTGTGCACATCAAGCGCCCGCTGCATGGAGTCATTTCCATGGCTTTGATCAGTAATCAAGCAAGCCCTGTTGGTCATGAGTCACCTGAGCGCGCTGCCAGGGAAAGCTGAGCAACCTAAAGCACTGGGCTGGGCGGCTGAGGCCAGCGTGAGACCAGACAGGGGTGCAAGAAGGGGCCCAACGAACAGCCATAGCCATTGGGGTGAAATAAACAACTTCCGCTGCTGCGCAGGCGGGCGGAGGTGGTGGCGCTGGTGCTGGACGCAAGCGAGTGCGCGGACGCGGAGGCCGGCCGCTTCACGGTGACGCAGCAGGACTTCCGCCTGGCCGAGCTGGTGGCCGCGGAGGGCCGCGCGTGCGTCATCGTCGTCAACAAGTGGGACACCGTCGCCGGCAAGGACGCCAACACGCACGTGACATTCCAGAAGGAGATCATCTCGCAGCTGCGCGCCCTCTCCTGGGCCACCATCGTCTTCACCTCCGCCACAACAGGTGCCACCCCTGCACCCACAGTCGCCGAGGCCTCCTATCAAAGGGAGCAATCCCGAGCTTGGGGGACAGTGCTTGTTGGGTTGCCCTTGTGAATAATTGTGGGGAGTGCCTTGTGTTCAGACCCCGCATTGGGTGCACAGTGCTCTAATGACAGCTGCATGCCTGAGTCCCTATTTAGAAGGATTTATTATGACCTACTTCGATGGACTGGGGTCCTTCAGCCCTCATGGCGTGAGGACAAGGAAACAAGCAGATGTGGTGCTGCGTGCAGGGCAGCGTGTGGCGCGCATACTGGAGGCGGCGTACGCGGCGGGAGAGGAGCACAAACGGCGCATAACGACGGCGACCATCAACATGGTCATTCGCGAAACCGTCAACTGGCGCGCGCCCCCCTCCCTGCGCGGCTCCAGCAAGAAGGGCAGAATCTACTATGCAACCCAGGCACGCGGCTGCTGATCTTTGTATTCTTCTTTTATATCTTTGTAAATTAATACCACATTATCTGGCTGCAGTGTTGTTTTTTTCTTCTTAAGAAGGCTCTTCTCAGGTTCAGTCCATGTCCGGTGTCAGAATGACTGGATTGGAGTATGATCGGCTAACAGACCCCCGTGCTGTGCTGTGCAGGCTGCCGTCCGGCCGCCCACATTTGTGTTCTTTGTCAACGACCCCAAGCTTTTCACGGACGAGTACAAGCGCTATGTGGAGCGCCAGCTCAGAGACAACGTGGGCTTCCCTGGGACACCCCTCCGCCTGTTCTGGCGAGGCAAGGCACCTGCAACCTCGATTGGCGGCAGGAAGGTGGACACGGGTGCATACACCTGACGCACTGTCGTTACAATTCTGGTCCAATTTTGGGTGTTCCTCCTGCAGCTAGTAACGGCGGGACCTGTAATGCAGTGCCAGCATGAACATGCGTAATGTGAACGTGGGCAAACAATGTTGTTAATGATCGTCGTTTGGGGATTGTTGCTGGCATTGCATTTGTGACGTTCAAGATGCCTCAAAATCTAATTGCGCAAAGCTTAAGAATCTGATTAGGTTGGACGGATGATATAAAATTGTGGCTTTCAGAGCATGTAGAAGAGGAAAACACAAGAAAGAGTAAATTGTAATTACACCATGCATCTGCCTCTCGTCTGCCCACAATTGTTGTAATACCAACATGTCAAGAGCTTCATGACACCCTTAAGGGTCACATCTAGCCGCAAGGACGACCAAAACTCTGTCTCCTTGCTAGAAGAAAGGGCTGACAAGCATTCCAGCTTTCCATACAAGACTGCCTGAGCCACATGCTATGTGGAGCAAGGCATCATTTGAGGTCCTTCTCTGTGTGCACACTGAGACCCTGCTGGGGTGATTCAATACACCCCCGCTGTTGGCTCTGCAGTAGCTAGCTAATGTACAGGCCAAAAGGGAGAATTATCAGTCCACGGCCATTGATCCGCCAGGAAGAATTTTCTCGATTTTCAAGAAATCCCACTCCTTGTTGCACAGTGGGCATGCAGAGCGCGTCTTGAGCCAGCGCTGGATGCAGTCCAGGTGGAAGACGTGGCCGCACGCACCCCATGCAATGCTCAGTCCCGGGTGATCCGGGTCGCCTGTGGGATTGGCCTGTGCAGACACCACGTGGAGAGCCGCTTAACCAAAGGAGAACATTGTGGTCCAGTCATTGCAGCAAGCCAACAAGATATGGCATCCTCACGCAGCATGGTATGGGTAAGATAAGTAGTAAGGCATGAGCACACCTGGTACTCTATGCTTGGCTCGTACAGGTTGTTGCGGCAGATGGCACAGGTGTCAGTGCAGATGGCCCAGGACCACATAGCTACAGCATTCCACTTCTTGATTTCGAAGCGCTTGACTGGCCCAGCTTTTCCTTTCCCCTTGTCCTCGGCATTTGCAGGTGCTGTCTGCTCCACTTCCATCTCTTCCACGTCCGCCTGGATTGCCCAAAGATCCCACTTTATTCTCCAGGGCAGGACAGCTCGGCATCAGTAGACCACAATCAGGGCAACAAACAAAATAATAAAGCAGGTGCCTCCGAATTCCCTTCATATTATCTGATCATATTGCAGTATGCACTGTGCCAACCGAAATGCTACCCTTGGACAACTAAGCACCATGATCAGCAGTCTTGACAATACATATGCGGCTTGGGCCCAGTTAACGTACCATATCAGGCTGTAAATGGAGAAAGCAGGTAGAACGTCAAGCTCGGGAGCCCTGCACGGCTCTGCACAGGCAGATAGACAGTCGATGGACGGCAGGTGAACAAAGCGTCAAGCTACATGCTATTAGTCTGTCAAGGGGCCATTTAAATATTTCACTTCAGTCTCCAAATCAGTAAGCATCTCTGATTCAATTCAGAGATGGAAGACCCGAGATCAGAGTCATCAAATACTTCACCTGCAGCCAAAGGTCAACGACGGATTCCCGCAGTGTATAGACAATTGATCAGCAATCGATGTTCCTCTTTCGAAGTGCACGCAGAATGCACAGAACCAAACGACCAGAGAATGACATGCAGGAAGAGAAGTGCTTGCAGGAGCACGCGGCAGGGACCCCGCGGTGGTGGTGAGGGGGGACCGTTCTTGGGGATCCCACCTGAAAGTTGCTTGCCGTTTTAGGGACTGAGAAATGCCATCAGCTCTGGTGAAATGGCTTAAGATGTTGTCTGGAACATCTTACAGAGGCAGTGGTAGAGCTGTCGTATTACGTTTCCTGTACATACTGATCATCCAAATGACATGTCATAAATGATCATGACCGCAGTCGTGACTGATCACGGTGACTGCAATGCGCATGCGTGTCCAGTGAATGCCAGCACTGTCAGTGGGCAGCATGCTAGCTAGCTCACAGTGCCCACAACTGTGATTGGCTTGCCCGCACCTGGGAAAGGCAGACATTCAGCAATAGTCCTAGTTATTATTATTATTATTTACACGCTTTTCCTGCCATGAGGCAAGGTGCGTCCTGCAGACATGTTGTACAAGCTGCAGTCCTAGTAATGCTACGTAGGTATACCTGATAATATCTTGATAATCATTGCATGACGGTGCCCGCACGAGCACGGTGACAGCCATTTATGCACCATTGGCAATTTTTGAGGAACCTTGGCTCTAAGTGCATATGAATGCAACATGTGAGCTTGGCTTGCAAATGCTTCCAGTGCCTCCTTCTCGTCTGATCGCTTCGAAGTGCAACAGAAATTCAACATGATATCTCAACCACCTGAACACTACGCTGCATACTTGTGGCTATGCTTGAGCAAGCTGATCCTATAATTTTAGCATGTGAACCTGCACCGCCCTTGCATAATTCCTTGAACAACGTGAAGCCACAGACCCTGGTGGACACACCCTATTACTGCCTGGCAGAAGCTCCTAAAAAGAAGGCAAGCTTTTCATTGCCCGGTTCAAGGGTTGAGTTCTTGCTGGGTCCAGCTGCGGCTGCCGTCTGAGCCCACATCACAGCTGTACCCAGCACGGAAGTCAGGCAGGCGCACATAGTCCACACTGTCCACATCCATGATGGCCAGCGCAAAAGATGGCAGCGCTTTCTCGCCTCGATCCGGCACGGGCTTCTCAAACTCCGCCGAGTCCTGCTCCCGCACCCGCCCCGACGCCGGCCAGGCAAACCAGGTGCGCCCGTTGGTCGACATGCTGTCCCATGCCTCCTGCCGTGCCTGCATGGGGACAGAAGATACTTTTATAGCTCCTTCACTTCCTTGCTGTAGCAGGCAACATCAGGGCTGAAAGGAACTGCAGGAGGCCTATTTTAGACTGCAGCTCACCACTAGCAGGCTATTGTCAGGGTGATCCTCTCCAATAATCTCGAGATTTCCTCCCAGGCGGAACTGCTCTCTTGTCTCTGGAAAATACCAGCAGATCTGGGCCCAGGGGTGCTGCTTTATGTCCTCAACCTTGTAGGTCCTGCAAGCGTCCGGAGCGTTAAAGCAATAACTTGAAAAGCTACATAATCATAAAGTGCCGCGTCTCACACATGACACTATCTGACCTAGTCAGGCAATCAGAAATTACCTGGTGTCTGTGGTGAATGTGATTAGGTCAGACTCATTGTGGAAGCCTCTGAACACAACAGTGCGCACGCTGGGCCTCCCATCAGGCCGCACTGTTGCTAACTGCATGAACTTGGCAACAGGCAGTTGCTTGTTTGCTTCTAAAGATCTCACCAATGCAGATCGCCAGGGAGCAGCCATTGTCCTGCAGAATATTGCAGCTACTTAGGCACCAGGAGTTGAGTGCAGTGTGAGTAAATGCCATATGAACACTGCCAGAACTCGCATCACATGGTATTTCATGAATGCAATCCTCGTACAAACGATTACCTAGGAGCCTCTCGAAAACTGTGTGACCTGATAGCGAATGTAAAGTTGATGGAAATGGCGAGCCTCGACACTCTGCGTTCTGCTTTTCCTAATGTATCACGGAAATAACAGCGTATCGTGTATCGATTTAATAACAATCTTTGGGATAGAGCACTTCGAGATCCCGTTAATCAGGACAGTCGTGTCTTCCGGAAGTGCAGCTTCCTCCGAATGGGAAGCTAGCGGGGAACTGCTTGCTAGACCGTTTGGAAAGGCACAGATGGAAGGAAAGTTTACAGATGGTCTATCTATTCTTACAGGGATATTTTGCAGTTCACAGAAAATTTGAGGACCACAGTTTGCCACCAGCCTAGCCTAGCTAGAGGTACACTAAATTAAAGCGCTTGCAGTCAATGATCAGTCGCAACTGATCAGTGATCGCGGTTAACATCGTTAAACTCATGATTCCTTTGCAGTGTGTTGCTCTGACTTATTCGCCCGAGTCAGCACAACGCTTCTGTGTGGCGCACCCGGCGCTACAAGAAGTCAAGACATCCCTATTCAGGTGCCTTCAGGCGCCTTGTAAATCTGCATCATGCATGTTATTGTCGAAAGGAAAGCCCATTAGCATGTTGCCCTTCCTCCATTCTGAGCAGGCTGGTGAGCTCGATGGAGTCCGGGTGCAGCCGCACAGCCGCGGCGGTTTTGCCGCACATGGCCTCCGAGCAGTTCTGCCGGCAGCCCTTGTCAAAGGGGTTCTTGAAGCTGCCGTCGTCCCCGTGCAGGTACTTGTAGCGGGTCCAGTTGGCCATCTCATTGGTCGTGGTGTTGCGCGCAATCTGCATCGCCTGCAGCAAGACATTACATCACCCTTCAGCCGTGCAAAGCCCACTCTACCTCCCTAGGACTTCCAAGCCTTGCTTTAGGCTTTCCATCATCTGGAGCAAGGCAGCGGGTGAGCTCACAAGGTCAACAGTCCCACCTGAGTGACAGAGAGAGCGCCCACGGACAAGCCCAGGAAGACATCCACGACCAGGAAGACAGCTGTCCAGGTTGTGGCGGAGCCACCCTCCCCCAGGCTGTAGCTGCCCCAGCGCAACCGCGCAGCAGCCAGCGCAGCAGCCACCAGCACGGCCACCATTTCCAGCCAGAGGAACAGCGCAAAGTAGTGGCGGTTGCCCGCGCCGATGCAGTTGCCCACCCAAGGACAGAAGTGGTCAAACATGGCCACGCAGCGGTGTGTGACCGCGCAGTGCTTTGCGCGCAGCGGCCTCACAATCTGCAGCACGGCACAAACTCAACTTTGCTTTGTGCATGATCCGTGTGTATCGTAAGATGATGCGATCGCAACAGAGTCTGTCAGACTATGGCAAGAGCGCCCTCTTCGCACCTTGCATGTGACGCAGAGCTGATTCCAGTTGCCCGCCCTCAAGACTGGGGAGTCAAGTGCTTTCAACTTGTCGTACTGGGGCCCATTCTCGTCCTCCTTCCCGTTCTGCAGACATCACATATTGTAAGGTTCAATATCAGTGAAGCTGGTATATTAATGAATTAGCGACCGTAAGGTGGGGAAACCATGAAAAGATACGCACCCTGCCCTTGGACTGTTGCCGGGAGTCTCGGCAGGGCAGGAAGCCAGGGTCTGCAGTTGTTGTCCTGTACAGCAGCGCAAGGCCGGCCGTGGCAAACAGAAGACAAACCCACGTCCACGCCAGCAATGTAGACGAGGGCGGCCCGTACGCGGGATGCAGGACCACCTGACCTCACCACAAGAGACTCGTGAGGTGGGCTATGTTGGGTTCTGTTGAAAAAGAAGTCCTTGGTCAGAACAGTGCTTGCCTTGTAGACCAAGACAGCAAGCAGGCCCAGGATGAGGGCCCAGATCAGCGGGCAGAGCTGCGTGTTGAGCAGCCATGACACTGCTGCCCTCTGTGTCCAATGCCTGCACGGCAAACCATGATTGATGAATCTTGAGCAGAGGCTTTCAGTTATTGGGGAGTTGCACGCACATGTGCCATTGCCAATGAGGCTGATGCTCGATCACCACACACCTGCTCTTGTTGACATGTCTGGTGGCGTATTCTTCCAAGTAGTGAGCTAGGAAGCGGTGCCCCTTCTCCCTAGCAAGCTGCGCTGGCACCATCCCCGTGGCATCTGGTGCATTCAGGACACCGCCTGCACCGGCCTGCACAGCATCATGCAGCACATCAATACAAGCTACTACAGTAGGACCGCAATTAATGGATCAACTCGTGATAAATGCAGAATCTCTTTGCAAAACCATTCATCCAGACTTGAAGGTCTGCACCTGCAGAAGGACAGTGCATGCTTCGCTGTTCCCCCGGATGGCCGACCAATGAAGAGGAGTGCAGCCTTCCCGATCTCCAAGCGTCAAGCTGGCCTCTAGCACTATGAGCAGCCGCAGCGTGTTTGCATAGCCCTTGTAGGATGCCCAGTGAAGGGGTGTTCGACCATCCACATCGGGGCTGGACACAAAAAATCCCCGATCATCTTCCCACAACAGTGCCTTCCACGAAGTATACCGTATCATAAAAATAAGGGGGGAAGTATTGAATGGCAGAAGGGCACTCCCTGAAGGGCAGGCAAGGTGCTGGGTACTGCACCTGTCCACATCAGCATGCCACCGCAGTGCAACCATATAGATGAAGGCAGTCTGGCCGTACTGTGCCGCCACGTGGCATGCTGTGTAGCCCCTGCCATCCCGCAGCCGCAGGTCTGCTCCATTGCCCAGCAGGGCCTCGGCAGCCAGCAGGGATCCCCTGACTGCCGTCCAGTGCAGCGCTGTCTGCCCCGTGCCATCAGCTCTGCAGGCGTCATGATCACCGTCAAGAAGGGTCCTCATCTTCTGCAACTAAGGTCCCCTTCCATGGTTGCAACAAGGCATTGACAACCTCTGCCCAGCTTCATGCGAGGCTTCAATGCGTGCTGCAGGGCGTTTGGTAAGATGAGACACCCACCTGTTGACATTGACGCCTTTATCAATGAGGTAGGCTATGATGCCCACTCTGTTGTTCAACGCCGCCCACTGAAGCGGGTAGTACCCGAGTTCATCAGGCGTGCTGAGCAGCTCAGGATCCTCCTCTGCTGCTGCAGTCAGCTGCTCGTAGTTGCCATATGCGCAGGCTGTGCGCACCCTCTCTGAAGGCGATTGTGCGTCTGTGTTGGGCTGTGGAGCGGTTCCGCTTCCAGCCTCAAAGTGTGATGTCTCCTGCATGTCCCTTTGTGGGGCCGGAGAGCCTGATGCCTGTTTCTCTTGACGTGCAGACGAAAGCCTCTATGTGGTGCAGCAGCAGGGACCTATATACACTCTCGCCAACCACTGGAGACTAGTGCTGTCTCAGGCATAGCTGTGCACCGTGGGACCACAGCTATGGACCAGGATACTTGAGTCCAGCAATTGAGAAGACATCAATATACCTGAGTTTCCATTTATGAGTGGGATTGCCAATTGTTGGGCGTTGGAGTCACTGTCCGCAAAGCGATTGATGATCAGTTCCCACTTGTGCTGGTAACTCTGCTACAAAGATGGCAGAATCACATGAATGGTGGGATTCAACATAATTGATGTCATCATCAACTAAGAAGGGAAACCTAGTGGGCCCGTACAGCATCTCTACACGATGATAAACATGAAACAAACCGTTACGTTGCACACATCGCTGTCAGTTCATGCTCATCGCAACCTGCGATTAAGAAAGTATATTTCAAGATCTCCTCGAGCTATCTGTAGATGCACAGAAATATCGTGTGATGTCAATGCCATGCCAAAACTGCAGATTAAATCCCTTGTGGCAAGTCGTCCCATGCAATACTCCATTGATATGCTCTTGTTGATGGGTATGTATTTCCTAGCTGTATTAGGAGTACAAGAGCGACGAGAAAGCTAAATGTGCACAGTGCGACGTGATCAATTTCTGTAGTTGAAGTTGGAAGATCTTCACCATGGCCGGCACTGATCTGGACATGCTGCAACAGGAGCTCCGGGACATTGATAGAGAGCGCTTTGAAGTGCGTTGATATTATTTTAATATCATGCAGTGGCCTTGTCATGCTGGCTCGTTGCGGTACTGAGTGGTAAAAACAAATCACGTGTACAATCTACCTTGCCAGGTCTTAGGTTCTGACGTTAGGTGGCATTTCCAAGTGTCATCAAGCTGAACATCAGTTCCTGCATGCCGCGCTCTTGAGCCAAATCATCTTTAGCGCCATCAGGAGGGTATTTTCTTCTGATCTACATCCTCATTTCTTGGCTTTGCACCTGATTGCACAGGTGGAAGAACGCTTGAGGGAGTATTCTGCAAGAGGAAGAGGGAGAGGTGGATTTTCTCAACGTCTTGCACCAGGACCAGGCCTTGGGGCACCTCCATACGCTCGTCCAGTTGGAGGACCAGGAGGTCCAAGACCGCGCATCCCATCATTCAATGATCGACAAGGTGGATGGACCTTACTGTAGTACTGTGTTTGCTTAGAGACACTCTTGTCGGGATAAAGAGATTGGCAGGATTTCCTATGAGATGGCTGAGCCTGTGAATACTTCTCCCTAAGACTGTCTGGCTTGGCTGCAGCATCTGGGGGCTTTGGACCTGTCCGCGGGTCACGGCCCAACCATGATGCAGCAGAGCCCTTGGCGAGGAGCGGGACAAGATCATTCCAGAGCAATGGGAGGCAAAGGCTCGAGGGACGCAGCTCGCTTGAGATGCCGTCTCCTCGTGGTGCCTCTGGGATGGGCAGGTGTGCAGCTTGCTGGGCTTTCATGTAAGGAGACATGTCTTAGATACTGCAGACAGTAGCCTGAGGTTGACCTCTGCTTGTCTGACAGGCATGACGGCTTTGGCAGTAATGACCTGAGAGGCCAGGATGCAAGCTTGTCCCTGCCAGGGCCTCCAGGGCTTCCCACAAAAAAGAAAGTCTTGTCGTCTGCTGTTGTTGTTGGAGATACGCAGGTCATGGTGAGCTCCGCCCCTTGCACAATTTCCACATCTGCTGGGAAGATATCTGCAGGTTGCATTGATATAGCTGCTGTAGCTTAAGGTTTCTGGGAGTAACAATCGGCACTCACAGGTGGGAGAGACAGTGGCGGACGGTGCGCCCGGCATAGCAAAGCGACCAAGGGATGAGAGCGATGAAAACCCTGACCTGAAGAAGAGAAACAAAAGAATGTTTGGAGCTCTGCTTGGGACCCTGCAGAGATTCAAGTGAGACCTTCCCCCTCCTTGGATGGGAAGCACTCCGATTGTGCATTGTGCATCTCCCATCTTCTTGACGACTGTGCTGACACAGTATTCCTTGTGCAGAGAGGACGATGCTGCAGCACGGACGAGCAGGTTGGCCCAGCAGCGGGAGGAAGCTCTCAAACGTGCAGATGCACATGCAGCAGAGGAGCTGCAGAGGGCGCGGGAGCATGAACGTCAGCAGGTGGCCCAGCAAAGGTCAGTAGGCATGTGCGGTGAGGATATTGAATGTTCTCATTGCTTATGCAGTGGACCCCTGATCGCAAGATAAAGGATCCTCATCTCCTTGTGCTGCAGGATTGCCGAGTTGAACAGGAAGAGGGAGCTGAACGCTGCAGCGGAGCTGAAGAAGATGGAGATTGCAGTTGCCAAGCGGTACACGCACCAAGCCATGCTGGCAAATTTCCTCTGCACCGCTGCAAAGCCGGCTCTGTTGTGGAAGCCAGCCAAGCACTGCGCCGACACAATTCTGCTGGAGGAGCAGAGGCAACTCGAGCTCAACATCTGGATGGTGGGCGTCCAAATGTTTTGCCAATGAGAGCTGTGCCTTCACTGGACATTCCTTTTACATTTTTAGTCTGCATCGTGCTACCCATTGTTCTAGATTGACATGTTCATATACAAGGCTCTGAGCAGAGTTTGATTGTACAGGAGCATGAGAAGGGCAAGCTGGATGAGGAGAGGAAAAAGGTCATTGACCGCACAAAGGCGATCATCGAACAAGCAGAAAAGACGAGGAACTCTGCAGTTGCAGGTGATTCCTTCTCTACGGTACTGTCGCCAGCGTGCAGGGAGCGCGAATGACTCTTGGCTCACTGAAAAACTCTGCTTGGCTGATGCTGTTGTGCCGCCTGCAGGCCGTGCAACTGGTGCATACGCGAATGGGCAGCCAGATGATGCTCCAGCAGAAGAGGAAAAGGAAGGGGAAGGCGAAGATGCGCAGGCTGATGATGGAGCTGATGAGGCAATGACTGATGCCCCTGAACCAAACGAGGGGCATGGGCAGCAGGCAGCGGAGCAGGGTCCCAGTCATGACCTTGACGACCGCTATGTTGCAGAAGAAGAGGAAGATCACAGGCACGCGCAAAGACAACATTGGCCTCTTTTTGCCTTTGCAATTGAGTGCATGCGTGAGTGCACATGCTTGGGTCCCATCTTGTGTGGCGCGGCTCTAAACATGAATGCTTTGCAGGGAGGAAGAAGACGGAGAGGATGCCGATGTTTACGGAGATGAGAAATTGGCCGAGACTGTGGAAGACCTCCTAAAGTGACCGTCGTTTGGCCTGTTCTTGTCCTGTACTTGTCCGGTGGACTAGCTCTGTGTCATGACAAATTCCATACTGTGACATCACATGTCCAGATCGTTCTTTATAGGGGGCATTATCCTGTCAGCCGCCCTGTCACATCATATCATGTAAATGTAAGCATTCTCAATGGATTAGGCTAGATGTTTTATCTGTGAACCTCACCACTGGTGGCAGGCATTCTGCATCCAGAACATGTCGTTCGACAGGTCCGATTTCAAGTTTCAAGTAATGTCAGCAATTTGTCACACAGAGTCTGGTCCGGACCTGAATTCATCGCCATGCATCCGATGCATGAGTCATGATCATGCCGCCATGTAGGTGTCTGCAGTAGGGACAACTTTATCCACATGCATGTATAACCAAGGCTCAGACCAAAATGGAAAAGGCATGTGATCTTTGATCAATAAAAGTATCATCACAAAAAAAATCATGGTGTGTGAGGCGTGAGAGATTTGAACTCCCAACCCCCCGATCTGGAGTCGGATGCGCTACCGTTGCGCCAACGCCTCGAACACTTGATGACCAATGGCGATTTCTAATGTTGATATGGGGGCATAAGTTTGGCCAATGGTCATCTCAACATGTAGCTTTTCCAGTGTGGCTGTGCAACTTCAATCTGGATATTAAAGACATAGTCCTGATACAGCCACAAAGGTGCAACTAAGGACACAAATCGAAGCCGCCGGGAGCCTTGAGATCCTTCAGATCGTTCCGGAGAATTTGGAAGGTGCTCGCTGATTTTTAAGTGAATGATGCATTTAGATGGGTCACAATGCGAAATGGTATGTTTGTTATTGCTCTTCGACGAAAAACTTTCGATCCTGGCGTTAAACCACCGAGCTGGCGGCCTTTCTGAAATGCAATGTGTTGCGCAGGCGGTGGACAGAATTTTCAGTGTTTTTGATACATCAGATTGCTGCTGACATTTCAATAGCTTCTATTAAACAGATCAGTGCAAGGAGAGAGATTTTAAACAGGCGTTCCGTCTCCCTATCCGTGCCACCATGACATGCCTGAGGAAGCTCACAACGAGAAGTTGTTTGGGAGGTATGAGTTCCAATCAGAATGCACATTATTTCTATACCTTGTTGAAAATATTCGCTTCTGTAACTTCCTCTTGGTTTGACACTAGTATGCAAGGGTGTCGTAAGCAGGCTTGTTCATGTGCAGTCCAGCCAGCAAGGAGGCAGGGATGAAGTGCAAGCTATAATGGGACACATGCATAAGCTCAACAAGCGTCCTTGTGTGATAGCAAGATGACCATTGCAAGTTGGCCTGGCGATCAGTCCAATGGCACTGGCGCCTATGAGAACGGCGTGCATGAGGCACTGCTGGCAGACCCCTCCAAATTAACACATCCTATCAAGGAGGTTGCAGACAAGTATGAGCTGCTGCCAGCCTTCCTCAAGGTATGCGCAACAGTATTTGCTGTGAAAGAGTACGCATGCATGCATCGCATCACATGCATGTACGAGATCAGCGCAACAAACATGCAGCAGCCTGTTCGGCGCAGCATCAAGGCATGGTGCACACTCTGCAGGTGCGAGGACTGGTGAAGCAGCATATCGACTCCTTTAATTACTTCATCAACCAGGAGATCAAGAAGATTGTCCACGCCAAGGGCAATGAGAAGGTCACCTGCGACACAGACCCCAACTTTTTCTTCAAGTGAGATTCTCACCTTGGTCCTACTGTTTAAATCGGCACACCCATCTCTTCTGCGTTCTGGAGCTGCCTTCTGTGCGTCTGCAGTCTCTCTGCAGGTTTAGGAACTTGATCAAATCTGCGCCGTGGCAACAGGTACACAGATATCTTTGTGGGCCGGCCGCAAGTGGAGGAGGATTACATCACGACAGGGATCACGCCGCAGGCCTGCCGTCTGCGGGACATGACATATGCAGCGCCCATCAGCGTGGATGTGGAGTATACCCGCGGCAAAGAAATCGTGGTCCGTAAAGGCAAGAATGGTGTCGGCGCTGTTGTCATTGGCCGCATGCCCCTAATGCTCCGCAGCGACCGGTGCAGCCTCCCTCTGGATCTTACCATTCTTGCTTCATTGACCTAGAAATCTGCTTGTTTGCTTCCCGTTGTGCTTGTGGTATAACTGATGCAGACAGTGTTCATGGACAGCTTGCTTGTGCAGGTGCGTGCTCAAGGGCAAGTCAGAAGCCCAGCTTGCGGAACTAGGTGCGCCCTTTTGGTGGGATCTGCATTGCTGTCAGCACTCAAATCATGGCAAGCAGCAAAGTGTGGCGCTTAGGCATGTTGGGAAGCTCTGCTGTTCACAGTGGGTTTTGACTGCTTCTTAATTACTTTGTAGGTGAATGCCCGCTGGATCCTGGCGGCTACTTTGTTGTGAAGGTCTGTCTCTCGGCCCTCCGTGTTTCAGTAGGAGATGGCCCCAACTGCATGCAATGCAGACATCCTGATGAATTAAAATGCCGTAAAACTGAGCAATAAATGTGTGCGCCAGGGCGCTGAGAAGGTCATCCTGATCCAAGAGCAGCTCTCAAAGAATAGGATCATCATCGATCTGGACAGCAAGGGCCAAGTGACAGCCTCTGTCACCTCGTCCACCCACGAGCGCAAGTCCAAGACCAACATCGTGCTGGGCAGGAAGGGGCAGCTCTGCCTGCGCCACAATGCCTTCACGTGAGACCCTCCGCCATTCCTGCTCCTGCCTTGCACCCTTTCGGATCACCTACTTGGAGAACAAAGAAGAGGAATCAGGCAACAGATCGATGCATCACGATCTATTTCGGTTCCTCGAGCAAACTCAAGGCTTGCCAGTACTTAGAAGCAAGGGGGCACACCCGATGAATCCATTTCAGCAATCCTTGTGCCTGTGTGCAGGGAGGATGTCAACATGGTGGCGGTGTTGAGGGCGATGGGGGTGGAGAGTGACCAGGAGATTCTGGCGCTGGTGGGCTGTGAGCCCGGCCTGGCTGCACTGCTGGCTCCCACACTGCAAGAGGCCAAGGCCATGGGCCTCTTCATCCGCCAGCAGGCCCTCGAGTACCTAGGTGCTCCCTTGCAACTCTATCTATTTATCCAGTACTTCTGGCTTCGAAATATCAGAATTCAAAGCATGTTGCACTTCAGTTGGAATTGGAAGTAGTAGTTTGATGTGGATATGTGTGTGGTGCCAGGGAGCCGGGTGAAGGCAGGGAAGCAGCAGTACAGCAGCAGGCGCAGCCGCTCGAAGGTGGACGAGGCTCGGGACATCCTTGCCAATGTGGTCGTCTGCCACATCCCTGTCCCCCAGTATGACTTCCAGCAGAAGGTGGGCACCCTTCTTGCTTCTTACTCTTTATAAAGGTACTCTCCGTTTAAGCGTTCTTGGTTTTGTGTCTGCGCAGAATCGACAAAGAGGGGCAGTGGTCAGGTGCACATTCACAAGTGGCCTGCTGAATTATATAATCCAGAAATGCATATGTGACACTGTACTCACTTACTGATGTTCATAGCGCTTGTGCGGTGCAGGTGATCTACATGGCAGTGATGATGCGCCGCATGATTGCTGCGATGCTAGACTCGACGCTGATTGACGACCGGGACTACTACGGCAACAAGCGGCTGGAGCTGGCAGGCGGCCTGCTGGCACTGCTCTTCGAGGACCTCTTCAAGCGCATGAACAACGAGCTCAAGCGCACGGTGCGTCGCTGATAATGCCTCACAAGGGCCATGCCTGCTGATTCCCTGCTGTTGAAGCCAGTGCTCGTGATGTGCACAACCCCACTCTGCGGAATCTCCTGTGACTAGCCCTTCAGCTGTGGGCTGCTGCTGGTTCTGAGATGTGGTGGTGGGGTTGCTGCAGGCGGACAACACGCTGTCCAAGGCTAACAGGGCGAGCCAGTTTGACGCGGCCAAGAACCTGCATGTGGAGATGATCAGCCAGGGCATGGAGAGTGCCATCAGCAGTGGCAACTGGACCATCCGCCGCTTCCGCATGGAGCGCAAAGGGGTCACACAGGCGCGTACGGCACCTGATCAGAAAATAGTTTGTGCCGACGCAAACTTGAAACCGTGTCGAGAGACCCGATAAGTCTTGATTCAGGGGAAGGGCAGGGCTTGTATTCGCACGCTGAGACAAGATTCATCTGCTGCAGGTCCTGTCGCGCCTGTCCTTCATCGCGGCTCTAGGGATGATGACTCGCATCACCTCACAGTTCGAGAAGACTCGCAAGGTAGCATTTTGCTTCAAGGCAGCCCTCTTTGCGTGCCTTGCCATTTGATTTATATGCTACTTTGTCACAAAGAGATCTAGCGCGAAGGCAGATCACTATTCAGTTGCTAAAATAGCTGTGATTGTATCCGCAGGTGAGCGGGCCGCGCGCCCTGCAGCCGAGCCAGTGGGGCATGCTGTGCCCGGCAGACACACCGGAGGGGGAGAGCTGCGGCCTGGTCAAAAACCTGGCGTTGATGACGCATGTGACCACGGATGAGGAGGAGGCCCCCCTCGCGCGCCTGGCCCACCTCCTGGGCACTCAGCCTGCCACCCTCGTCTCCGGCTTTGAGTACAGCTCCCGGTACCTTTCACTCCACCGAGCACCACAATCCCACCTAATGTTGTCAGTTCTTTTACATCTATCGTTGGATGATCTGATGTCTGCAGCAGGTGAGGGGAGCACTCTGGCCACAGCCAGATGTCTGGCAAGGCAATATTATTTGGATGCGCAAGCAAGGGGAGAAGACTGGCTATTGTATGCACAGGGGGGTGGCGATGGTGTTCCTGAACGGCAGCATCCTGGGCATCCACCGGCGGCCCAAGCGGCTGGTGAAGGAGTTCCGGCGGCTGCGGCGCGCGGGGCGCGTGGGCGAGTTTGTGTCCATCTTCCTGCAGCAGGACAGCGTCTACATCGCGTCCGACGGCGGCCGCGTGTGCCGGCCCCTCATCATCTGCGACCGCGGCGTCCCCCGCGTCACCTCCGCTCACACCGCAAAGGTCTGGTTTCCCTTCTTCTCTCTCGGATATTTCTGTGAATTCCTGGGAGCTGCTTTTCCCCCATGCTGCTGGTCTTCCATGGCAATGCCCAGGCATTGCCACTGCCCACAAGTATTCCCATAGTGGCCATGGCTGTGTGCAGCCTCTGAAAGGGACCTGCTGTGGCATGCTGCAGCTGAAGAGCGGGGAGTGGGGCTTCAGCGACTTCCTGCGCAACGGCCTGGTGGAGTACCTGGACGTCAACGAGGAGAACAATGCGCTCATAGCCCTGTATGAGCGCAATTGCGGTGCGCATAAGCTCATGCTCCTTCACTTCTGTCTGGCTGCCCCCTGCATGCGCACTGCATGCCTCCAAATCCTAGTCTCTTATGCAGTATAGGATGAGACAGTCGATGGGGAGAAACAACTTTGAGATTGGATGTGAGGTGTGTGCAGGTGTGGCGACGACGCACCTGGAGATAGAGCCCTTCACGGTGCTGGGCGTGGTGGCGGGCCTGATCCCCTACCCGCACCACAACCAGTCGCCGCGCAACACCTACCAGTGCGCCATGGGCAAGCAGGCCATGGGCAACATCGCCTACAACCAGCTCAACGTCATGGACACCCTGCTCTACCTCCTCGTTTACCCCCAGCGGTATGCTCACCTCCCCTGATCACATTTTCAGAAAGAAGCCCTTGCCCTCTGCTTGCCGGCACAGCTTCTTCAGCCCTGGGTTTCCTGTATAAAATTGCAGAAGTGGCACTTGAATATATGGCAAACTTGTTGTAGGCCAACCTCCGTAGCCGCTTGGATGTCTTCAAGATGGTTGATGGTGTGGGCTGGAAGGAGGCACCTATTGACTGAAACCCGTGTGTGGGCCTGTGCAGGCCGCTGCTGACGACGAAGACGATAGAGCTGGTGGGCTTTGACAAGCTGGGCGCGGGGCAGAACGCGACGGTGGCGGTGATGTCATACTCGGGTTATGACATAGAGGACGCCATCATCATGAACCGGGCGTCGCTGGACCGCGGCTTTGGGCGCTGCATCGTGCTGCGCAAGTATGGCACTGTCCTTAAGAAGCACCAGAACCGCTCCCAGGACACCGTCGTCGCTGCGCCGCTGCCCCCTGGCCAGGTGAGGCCTCACCCCTCCTTGCAGGAATGCACATGCCGCTGCTGTGGGACCAGGATCGGCGCTGCTCCCAGCTCATATTGGTTGGCAAAGGTCATCCTGCGTTAAGAGCTTGCGCGGCACCGGGTGCAAATCGGGCAGGCTATTCTTCTATTAATCAATGGAAGCAGCAAATAACATATTCATATTCCTTAATTCAAGCTTGTTGAAGGACTGCCGAGTATGATTTCTGCGCTGCTCAAATTAAAATTGTGCTGACAACCTGCTGTTTCGGCGCGCCAGTCAAAGCCGACGGGGCGGCACAAGCTGCTGGACGAGGATGGCCTGGCTGCGCCGGGGGAGATCGCGTCTCCGGGGGAGATCCTGATCAACAAGCAGGTGCCCATGTCCACCAAGGACCCCCTGCCGCACGGCATGGTCAGCCTGCCGCCCTCCGCCTACAAGCCTGCGCCGGTATCCTGGAAGGGCCCTCCCGGCGAGTCCTGCATCGTGGACAAGGTGCTGCTCACCAACAACGACGACGGCCACACGGTCATCAAGGCATGCCCCCGGCACCCTCTCATGGCTGGTCTCCTCCTGCTAAGACTGCCGTGCACACAGGAAGCGACAGCATGCTCAACCTGTTTGTGCCACTTATAGCAGTGGGTGATCTACGGGAATTATGGAGGCTATATTTTTTTTGGTGGTGTTGTGAAAATTCTTGGGTGTCAATGCACGCAGACGCTGATGAGGCATACGCGGCGGCCGGAGGTTGGGGACAAGTTCAGCAGCCGGCACGGGCAGAAGGGGGTGGTGGGGTCGATAGTGGCGCAGGAGGACATGCCCTTCAGCGAGCGCGGCATCTGCCCCGACCTCATCATGAACCCGCACGGCTTCCCCAGCCGCATGACCGTCGGCAAGATGCTGGAGCTCATCGGCTCCAAGGCCGCCGTCCAATCTGGCCGCTTCCACTACGGCACCGCCTTTGGCGAGTCCACCGGCCTTGCCGACAACGTCGACAGCATCAGCAAGACCCTGGTGCGCCGCCCTGCCCGTAGGCGCTGCCCTGTGTCTCCTCTACCTTTCACCCTTGCTTAGCAAGCACCCACAAACTCTCCCTCTTGTGCATTCTGAGGTGCATTCTGAGTAGTACTAGGATGGCTGGCGCCCTTTTGCTTGCGATCTGCAAGAGGTAATTTCAATCAGCGGGCGTACAGGTTAGTGCAGGAGAAAAGAGAAGGTGTGATGATGTGATATTGTGGCTGTGCAGGTGGAGCACGGGTTCAGCTACAGCGGGAAGGACCAGCTGACCAGCGGCAGCAGCGGGGAGCCGCTGGAGGCGCTCATCTTTATGGGCCCCGTGTACTACCAGAAACTGAAGCACATGGTGCTGGACAAGATGCACGCACGCGCAAGAGGACCCCGAGTGGTGCTCACCCGCCAGCCCACCGAGGTGCTTCTCCTACAATCACGTCATGTGCCTCTGGGCCTTGTTCCGCCAAAAAAAATGACAAGGGGTCTGTGTCAATTTGTGTCCAACTGTCAGTGGCAGGCTCTGCCTACAAACGAGTGTTTCCTGGGGTTGTGGGATGTAAGAATGTGCGCATGCACTGCTGCAGGGTCGGTCGAGGGATGGCGGCCTGCGGCTGGGTGAGATGGAGCGCGACTGCCTCATCGGCTACGGCGCATCCATGCTCCTGCTGGAGCGCCTCATGATCTCCTCCGACCAGTTCCAGGTGTGCTCATCTCTCCTCTCTGACAAGCCAAGCTGCGCTGACATCTCCTCTGTTTTCTTCTTCCTTCTGTGACAAGCCACCTCTGCTGGCGTCTTGCATGTCTTTTTATGGTGCAGTGCTTTGAAGTATTATCTGATTTGCAGGTGCATGTCTGCAACCACTGTGGCCTCCTGGGGTACTTTGATGCGAACGTGGGCTGCGCAGTGTGCCCCAGCACAAAGTCTTCTGACGACATGTCCACTCTGAAGCTGCCATATGCATGCAAGCTGCTGTTCCAGGAGTTACAGTCCATGAACATTGTCCCAAGGTTGAAACTGGCAGAGGCCTGAGCTTTTTAAGAGCATTGTAGTAATTGTAAGTGGGGAACACAGGAACAAGATTGCTTTTCAAACAACCATGGAATGTATGCATAAGGAAAGTCTGCATGTTTGACAATACTGCATGTTTGACATTAATGATCTCAGAGTCCTTTGATTGATGGTTTGAGAGTTGGAGTGATTCAACCTTGCTGCAGTGAATGCAAACATGATGGTCATGGCTCATCGGGTTGTCATCGGATTGTGTCACTGCGCTATATATATCGGGACGTCCCGCATGCATGCACGTGGTTGCAACTGATTTGCCCTTGCAGTGACTTCTATATATAGTGAATGAATGGCTTTTCACAGGCCTGCTCATGGAAGCTGTGTTCGAGGTAGCCATTGAAGAGCTACAGAAATTTAATTTAATATAATTTAATTCAAATGAAGCATCCGTTGTACTGCGTAACGCAGTCTGCGTTAGTGCTTTAAGGGCCACGTGTGCCAGCCGGCAGCGGGGGGACTAATCCCCCGGTCTCATCGTCGATAAGCCTGGTCAAGTTGTTTCCTCCAAATTTGTTGTACATTAGTATACGAAAATCTGAAATATTCAATGGGCTCTTGTCTGCATTACGGATAGATTTTTATTGTCCTGCAGATCGCACTCAGCCCTGGCAAGAGGACTGGACATCATGTTGTCTAGCAGCCAGGCAGGACATCTGCAACACTGCGGAATTGGAGCATCCCATCGCTCTCTTTTAGGCCCTCTTCAGTTACCAGGGCATAAATCTCAGCTGAATCCATGCGACGTTGCGAGGATTAGGTAGGAAGTCGCTTTGAGACCCAAGTTTCGACTTCCCACCTCAATTTAGCACAGCTGCCCAAAATTTATGTCAAAGAATTCTTGCTTGATCACCTCGGACAAAACGCTCATCGTTCAGCACAATGTCTTACTGGAAGTCTTGGGGGTTTGTTTTATTGCAGGACAACCGACCTGCGAGGGTGCGAACGTGTTATGGTTGCCAGCACCAGCGGTCGGGGACTTGAACATGTAGCACAGAGAGAAAATAGCAGTTTCAGCGCTGTTCGACCATGGCAGTTTGACCTGCCAACCCTGGAGGAAATGAGACACGAGGACTGGCCGGATAAGGTCAGGGACTGGGAGCTGTTTTGGACTCGGCATGCAGTCTGGCAGAACTACATCCAGTACAGTACGCGGAAGAACGCAAAGCCCAGATCGCAGCATGAGGAGTGGTGGGGCCTGCATGGCATTGAGACTGTCTCTGATGTGAGTTGGTCCCTGCTACTACTGAGAAATCATGAGACCAAAAGCTGGCACCATTAAGCTCCACTGGGAGGCCAATGACTGTGCATCCCTACCGCTTTCCTCACAGCCCCTCACTGCCTTCTGCTGTCTTGCGTGTGTGAGATACAGAGGGGCGGCTAAGGAGATGCTTGGGTGTGTGCTGCAGGCATTGAAGGCTGTGGCAGACAGAGTGCCGGACATTTTGGCAATGGGGGTGCCCATTCCGGAGCACATTCCCTTCGACACCTTCAACGTCTTCAGTGACCAACGCGATATGGACATCTATGGCAAGAAGAAGTTAAATAACTTCAGCCTTGACATGGACCTGCGCAAGCAGCGCAACCCTGAAGAGCCTGAAGCGGATGATCAGACTGCACCTGCACCCTGGGAGGTGACCTGCTTGCTGCTCAAAGCAAGCCATGCACACATACCCTCAGGACGTGTCCTGACCTTGCAATATGATTTCTTCCCTTCCAGCCCGCACACTCAATTGTGCAGAAACGTAACACGAACTGTTCTGTGTGAGCAGAGCTGGACCGAGTGGGACTTCAGGGCGTACATGGAGAAGAGGCGACGGCACGAACAAAAGTATGCAGATTTTATGCGCAGGCAGAATGCTGTCGGGCAGTACGAATACCTCAACATAACCACTATGAATGATCATCGCTTCCTGACCAACTACCTCGATCAGACTGGAGAGCTGCCGACCCGTGCAACGCATGAAGAGTTTATGGATGTGCGCACACTTTTAGCCCCTTCATTCTTTACCTGCCTGCTCTTATATACTTGCGCTGCCGTTAGTGTCATATTTTCAGCTGAGCTCGTCCTGGAGGTGTAGCTCAGAAACTTCTGCGCACAGTCATCTCATGAAGAAGAGTCTCTGTGTGTTGCTGCAGCTGATCACCAACAATGGCCGCTCAGTGCACCCGAGCGCTGTGAGCATCCGGGAGCAGGATCCATTGGAGACGTCAGACTACTTCCAGGAGGGGGTGCACTACGTTCCAGAGACCGAGGACTTCCTCAGGGAGCTGGGCCACTTCAGGGACAGTGACACTGACCTCATCTGGCGAAGGTATGCTTCAAGGGCCCCTGTGTAACTCGAAAAGCTTTCCAGAGGCAGACACAGGCCCAGCTCCCAGCCTAGATTTCTTGAGACTTGCCATCCTCTTCCTGGAAAAAGCTCAGAGGTGCATTTATGTGAGGCTCTGTGTGATGCAGCATGGTAGCATGGTCGAAGACCTGAACAATCAATTCAGTCTTTTGTTGTTTAAAACAAGGGACATGAGGCTGAAAGCCTTTACCTGCAGCTCATCTGCAGATACATCTTGCCTGGGCACGTCATACCATGCAGGGAATTCTGGTGCATGCTCTTAGCTAAAGCCCTTTGTGACACGGCTTTGCAGGGAGGAGGCTGCAAGCCCCACGCTGAACGAAGCATTTGCAGATTTTGAGGATGCCTTGCCGACAGAGCGTGAGGGGAGCCCCTTTGAGAGCGCAGAGCAGACCCTGAGCGGCAGCAGCCCAGGCTTTGAGGGGAAGGACATCGATGGCGACGAGGGCGCGGATGACTCATCAGATGCCTTTGGACAAGGCGGCTGAACGACTGGGAGTCATGCAGCAAGACTCTTCAGATTTTTCTTACTTTGCAGAGGAGTCGCGGTGGCTTTCCCTGGTGTTTCACTGAATATTCTAGAGCCCTAGAGTTGATGGTGATCATGCTACACAGTGTATTAAGTGATCCTCAGCTATTGCAGCAAGATTCCCTGATCACATGCATATGCCATGCCATCAGTGATCAGTGATGGTGATCATCATTATATGATATATATATATATATATTCTGTATGAGTGGCGAACCCAGAGCCCAGAGGGCCATAGGGCATACACAGGTCCGTCTGCAGCCGGAACCCGGGGCCGATATGCACAGGCTTGCAGCCTTGTCAACTCGCAAATGCACCCTTGCAGCCTACAGGTCTACACCCCCTTCTTACACGAATGCTGAGGGGCCATCCCTAGCAAACCGCTCGAAACTTCGGGACGGATTTCGACAGCGACGATGCGGGTGTCTCAGGAGCGGCCGCATCGCCGAATGTACCCGAAAATCGATCCGAAAAATGATGATATGCCATGATGATCATGATGATGATCATTCTGAAAACTGTTCAGGTCCACCAATTAGCAACTAGTGCCAATTCATCGGTGTATTCTGATCATCTTCATGCTTTTGCAAATCGATACCGATCATGATCATTGAGCATGCTTCTGCCGCCGGCTGCCGCCTTGAGGTCAGCACATGCTGACGACACATTATCTCCCCGGAAGCATCAGTTTACGAGAGCTCATCATGTTTTCTCCGGGTCTAACGGTGTGTCCAGCTCCACCCTTACGACAGCGTTTCTACTTACTGATTTTCCACTCCCTGCATTCAGTCTTTGGTTCGGATTCTAATTTTTATCAACCTCCGGTGCGCGGTTTCATCTGGGGAAAGGTTAACGAGTTGCGCGCTATGAACTGCATGATATAACAGACGTAGGTGACACTGTCTCTTCGCATTCTTTCTTGCATCAATCGAGGCAACCATTATCCTCATCCGTAACGGTCTTGGCAGGCAGGACGCAGAGGTGCGTGCAGGACACGGCCCTCTTTGTCCACCCTCGCAAAGCGCTAAGAGCTGTTGAATTTCTTTCTATGTATTTCTTTTGTGCTTCCAAAAGGTCTGTTAAGAGCCATTGCATGTTCCTGGCAGGAGCTCTAGCTGGGCCTGCATGACCTCTCTTTCTGGCAGCCTTCAAGACGCCTGCTTTGGGATTGCGACAGCGATCATTTGCTGCGAGCCTCTACGCGGAGCTGTTGCTGCATCTATCAAGGGCAGCGTGCCGGGCCTGAAAACCCTGAGGTGAGGCAAGAGACGCATGAGTGTGCTTTCACTTTGTAGTCTGTGCTTGTGCCTGAGGAGAATTTTTTTTTCAGGGTGTCCCTTGTTGACAAATGTGGAGATCACCTACTCCACTACCCTGTGATTGAGAGGGATGGCTATGTGGAGGGGCCTGTGATAGCGGTGGCCAAGTGCAAGCAGGGCACAGCTGCATGGCAATCCTTTCACTGCAGTCATCTGCTGCGCTCTGATCGACATCCTGACAGGTGCTGTGATTTGCTTTGCTGGTCTCGCATACATCTCATCAGTTGCAAGCAACTTGCTGATCATCCTTAAACAAGGGTTTGGCCCACAGATGCCGTGCATTTGTGGACTGGGATTGCTGGCAGCAATGCCAGCATGCCTGCGATTGTGTGACACTGCCATTGGAGGCTCCAGAAGGCGTGCTGGGGGCAGTCACTGTGACAGTGATTGCACAGCCGTTGACTTCAGAATTCATTTCCCTGCTCAAAGGTCTGGCTGCACACCTCGCGTTGTGCTTGACGCACGTGAGGTGTAAGCATGATCTGGAGGTAACACCATCACTACATCCTCTTTTTGGCATCCAAAAGGACCTTGATGGGAGTCTGATTCACAAAACCTGTGTCGTAGAGCAATTAACTAATAACCTGCCCGTGATTCACTTTGCAGATGGCGATGTCCCTGTTGCAAAAGGCATATCCATCGGACGTCATCACCCGGCTCTTGCCTGATTCTGCAACCTCTGGTCCAATGCAGAAGAAGGGCTCTTGGGAGGCCTCAGCATTGTCAGACAGCCCTTATGAACTGGAGGCAGATGGGTCTTCCATATCAGACTCATCCGACGACTGTGAGATGATGACCCAGATGCAGATGCCTCTGCCACAGTGGAAACGCGCTATGCCGTACCCAGCAACCGGGTCAAGTACTATCACGCCAGCAGACTTTTACAGGAGCTGGATTCAGGAATTCTGGAATCCAAAACAGTCGCGCTGCGCCACGTCTCTGAGGAAGCAAGCGAGTGGTAGCGGACAGTCTCAGCAGCAGCTTGATGCATCGAGCAGTGCAGGGCAGTGTGCAAGCAGCAGCATGCTCTCATGTGAGCCGCCGCTGCAAACTGCCGCAGCCATGCAGCCTCCCCATCATGGGCTGGCAGAGGGGTCCTCTCCCATCCAGGACCACAGTGCAGCTTCTGTGGGAGATGGCCAGGCAAGCTGCTGTGGCAGTGCTCCGCACCAAGCCGGGGGAGATGTGAGGGGTACTCGCCAGGATGAGAGGCTTCCTCCGTCGAGAAGGAACCCTGGTATGCCTCGGCGGCTCCTCTGACAGCTACCTTTGGCAAGAAGTACCTTAGGTCGCTTTTAAAGTCATGAGGATTTTCTAACGAGGAACACTCTGCAGGCCCTGCATCGCCCAGCGGAGTCCCCCAGGCAAACTCCCTGGATTCGAGCAGAGGCAGGCCCTCACGCCCAGCACCCCATTTCCTCCAGCAGCAGCCACGACAGCGCAGCAGCTTGACGTTTGATCGCGGCGGCAGTTCCACGATCGAACCGCATGTTGCGGGGCCGGGCGGCTACGGCGCTGGTGAGGGCGGGTTCCGGGTGCAGTGCGCGCGGCCGGGCTGCGGCGCAATGATGCAGGTGCTGCCGGAGCAGCTGGGTCTGGAGCCTGTGACGCTGGAGCGCGTGGAGCTGGAGCCCGTCACTCGCGAACAAGTGCTGGCCAGCGACCCTGCGCTCCTCTCCGACACCCTCGCAGCGCCGTCCTTCAAGCAGGTGCGGCGCTAAGCATTGCTTGCTCGTCTACCTTGGAATGTGGTGTGCTTGGATAGGGGTTGTACTGCAGAGAAGAGTGATACACAGTGGATGACTGACAGAGTGGCTGTGGCTGGTGCAGAATTGGGACCTGACGTTTGCGAAGAGCCGCCTGGAGCACAAATTCTGCGCTTGGCAGAGTGCTCGGCTGGCGAGGCTGGACGCTGTGCATGCCGTGCTCCTGGTGCTGCTGTCGCTGGCGTCCGTCCTGTGGCCCCTCTTCACAGCTAGCAGCGGCCTGCCCATCACCCTCCTTTGTGTGCAGGGTGAGCAGCCTGCCCTCATCTCACCACTCCAGTACAGGATGAATCGCTGGGTTTCAGCGGCTGCATGTGTTGGGACACCTTGCAGGTTCTAAAGGTGCATGGAATGTGCTTCTGCAGGTCTCTTTTTTGCGTTTGGTGTGGCTCTCTTCCGCGCGCGCAGCTTCTGGAGCGGTTATGCGCAGTATCGTGAGCAGATAGCGTCAGCAGAGCGTCTGGTGGTGCCTCCCCTATGCCTGCTGTACGCAGCGGTGCAAGGGCCAGCTGGATGGACAGCCCTGACACACACCCCTTACATGTGGGCGCTGTGGGGGCTTTTATATTTTGCGGTCTTGCGAACAGTCAGGTGGCGGGTGCACCTGGCCCTGCTCCTGCCAGAAGCATGCACAAGGGCCACCGCGGCAGTTGCAGCCTCTCTGTGCTTGCATGGACAACTTGTGCCTGGGCCATCACTGCTCGTCTTGTTTCAGGTAGCAACCTCTCTTGGCAGCGTTCTGTCAATATCTTTGCTTCAGCGTGCCATACAAACTTGATCCACTCTTGCAAGCTCATCTGCTGCCGGAGACAACATCACATTTTTGGACTTGTATTTGTGATGCAGGGGATGGCAGCATGCACAGTGCCAGCGATGGGATTGTACTACTCAGAATGGCGAGCTCGCCAAAATTTTGTGCGAAATATCTGCAAGGTTCACATTGAGTAAATTGAGAGGGTAATACTTGGAGTGCGCGGCAATTAATGTTGCCAACGTATGAATTTGATTTTACTCTTCAATTGACTCAATTTTTCTTTTGGATTATGAGGTCCCTCAGAAATGTACTATCACTGTGTTTGCCCACTGGGGCTAAGAATTTTCAATGCAATGAACTGACAATGTGTCACGATCGCATTGATATGGGAGCCGGGGCATCGAGGCACCCTGTTTTTTGTGTCTATCCATCCCCATGAATAGATTTTGAGGTCAAACTACAACTTGTGAACAATGTGGCCTTGGTGAGCACCAATTGAATACTTGTTCATGAGGCCATGTTGTAAAGCGCATCTGCAGGCAGCTGTCTCAGAAGTTTGGAGGAATTGGATCGCACACACATTGAATGGGCCAAGAAGTCAGCTGTTGAAGTGTTTGATGAGCATGCACCATGATGGTGCTATTACTAATAGTATGAATTGTCTGGCCAATTTGTAAATAGTTATTATTATCATGTTGCAGGCCAGCAAAACACTCCTTCTCAAATACTGGCATGCAGGCAAATAACTGCATTATGTGCCGGCAGCGGATATTGTGGATTGTCCAGGTACCCGGTCGGCCCCGGCCCCGATCCGGCGGTCACTGACGGTTGTACGGTAAAACCGTTTTTGTGACACCCGGCTTTTAACTCACGTCTGAGTCATGCACATATGCAAGGTGATGAAGATAGCATGATGCATGTGAACTGATCGTTCCCTTCTAGTATGTCCAAAAGCTGGGGGGAAAAACCCGCCCACGGGTCACTGCCATCTCTTTGAGTAAACTGAAGCAGTGGCCTAATCTGGCCTCTTCCCTCCTTTCTTGGAGCAAGGGGAGTATAAGAAGAACTTCTTATACTCCCCTTGCTTGGAGTCACATCGGAGTCTGTTTGGAGTTTGAAATACATTTTCCATCTCTTAATTAAGGAACCGTGCGGTATACGATTTATTGGTGACCTGCATCTGTCCTCGCCATCGTCACTCTTGAGTAGATTGCACAAGTCAAGCACCTATGATCTGAGATCAAGTTGATGGCAGAATTAACACTGGCAATACAAGGACGGAAAAGCTGCTGAGTATTATGTTGATTGGTGACACAGATAAATTGTCACATCTGGCAGCCCTTGTTCAGGTCTGGCACGGAAATCAACTGTGAGTTGTCTTCAAGGATTCGTTTTAGTCTGCACTCTGTGAGGCAATCTTGTAATTCAGGTCTCTGGTTCGGATCCAAAACTGGCAAAAGCCCACGCAAGGCCCTTTCATACTGCTGCTAATGGAGTGACCACCCTCTCTGCGTCAGGTGGGCTGGTGCTCTGCAGTGCTGAGACTCAAAAGCACGCAGGTCCATCATTTCCTCCTGCGTACTGACTGGGACGTGTTGGCATGCAGGCATTGTCTTGACCAGAGATGAAGGCGCTCCAATCATTGTATGTCCAGCAAATCTATTGGTCCCATTCCTGCCCTCCCATCTGCGAAATGCGCTGGCGTCGGCCTCACATGCCTCGCTCCTGCCTGGAACGAGGTGCGCATGCTCACTGTCACTTTCACACTGATCTTCCACTGTCCTGGAACGCATTGCAAAGCCACTCAGTTTCCATTCTGCTGTCCAGCATTCGGAAGTGCAGATCATTGATGCTGTGGTTTCCCCTGATGGCCTCAGGATCTCAGTCTCCACAGACTACAGCACACTCAATGGACATGCTGCAGTCGAAGGAAGATTGCGCAGATTCTTTTGCATCAGCAGTGTGGCGGCCATCTTGACTCGCCTGACGCCCAGTGAGGCTACAGCAATCTGCAAGCATGGTATATTGTGTTAGTATTGCTGCCCAGAGACTGGAGCTGAGGTGTGGATCTGCGAGTGCAGATGGCGGGGACTGGTCAGCAAAATGGCTTTTGGGTGATGCAAAGGAACAGGGACAGGGAAGCCTGCTGCCATGGATGGCAGTCCTGGACTTTCCTTTTGCACCAATTCCTGTGGCCAGACCCCTGGGCCTGGTTGCCTTTAGCAAAGGTGATCTAGGAAGCGCGATGCTGCCTGGGAGCACTATAACAGCCATGGGTTCGCCTTTTGGAGCACTCTCGCATGCCCACTTCAAGAACCACATCGCCGCTGGCATCGTTGCAAATGCAGTGTATGCGCAGGTGCATTGCACTCTTCAATTGCACTCTTTCATTGGCACATTCGCAATTGGCCACCTGCAGGCATGATGCTGACGCTTGATGCATGTGTGAGCAGGATGGGTCCCAAGCCCTGCTTCTTGCAGACATGCATGTGTTACCAGGAATGGACGGCGGACCTGTGATTGACTGCGAGGGGAAGCTTGTTGGTGTGCTGGGGTTGCCTTTGTCCAGCCACACATTCAGAGCTGAGGTGACGCAGCGAATCTACCTTGTGGCTGGATGCACAGCTTGTACTGTTTCACCTTAGTGCAGCCCCCACCTCCTAAACATCCAACATTTACACCTGTCTCTGCCTGACTAGGTGCCTACCATTATACCAGCGGGCTGTCTCATCGCGATTCTACGGACCTGGCAAGCATCTACCTCTGCAAGTGCGAGCAGCATGAGCTTGCCGGAAAATTCCAAGCCAGCTGAGTGGCAAGCAAAATCGGTGAGCCATGACAGCAACTGTGCAAGAATAGTACGATATATCTATCTGAGACTGTCATTTGCTAGCCACACAGTGTATCTTGAACAAGAGGCTGTCCCATTGCAAGGGCAGCTGATCTGGATCGCCTTGTAATTTGCAGGGTGGCAGGAGAAGCCAAAATTTGTCTCCCCGGTTGCCTCACATTGAAGGAAGGAGTCCGCCGTGTGGCGCGCCTGCACCAGGCACAGCCACTACTGGTGGAACAAGCTCTGGCAGCAACTCCTTCCCAGCGCTCACAGCAGCAGTCTGCGCAGCACAGAGCCAGCCAAAGCAATTGCAGCCGAGCCTGCAACGCACTGCTGCAGCGCAAGGCTTGCAGCATGCAGTGACCTCGGCACAGCCTGGCGTGGTGGCCGTCTCTACAAATGGAGGCACCTGGGCGTCTGGAGTGGTTGTGTCTGCGCGCAATGGCTACATCGTCACAAACGCCCACTTGCTGGTGGAGCGCACAGCCGGCAGTGGCCGCAGCAGTCAGGAAGACTCGCGTGCAGCATCAGCAGAGAGAGTGCCGCCGACTCTGAGAGTGCAGGTGTGGCAGAAGGACGGCGGATCTGCAGGAGGGCCCCCGCGTCCGGTGTCAGCCACAGCTGCGGTGGTGTTTGTGTTCCAGGGCGCTCTGGACATTGCCGTGCTGCAACTGGAGGGCAGGGCACGCGTGCACTTGCAGCAACTTGCATTGAGGGATAGCGGGCAGACGCCCAGCACAGCAGCAGGGGAGCCTGTTGCGGTGGTGGCATTCCCATTGTTCTCGCCCCGCTTCTGCCTTGGCCACATTGCGACAGCCGGGGTGGTCTCAAAGGTGCCTGTTGACCCGCCATTAGACTTGCCTCAATGAGCTTGTTGGTTAATGCTGAAGCACTTGCAGCACCACGCGTTATATATTCTGTACACTGATCTCCATTTGCTGGTCCAGGTGGTGTACTCGGAGGGAGACGATGGTGAGAGGCAGGCCGGCATACTGATGACTAATGCTGCTATTCAACCAGGTGGGACCAGAACCCGGGTGACACAATAATTTCTCAGCTCTGTCCTCTATTGGATGATGCGAGGCAATACCTTATGTGACGTGTGTGTGCTGGTGTCAGGGGCGAGCGGGGGTGCAGTGATAGGGCTGGATGGATGCATGGTGGGGCTAGTGACCAGCAACGCGCGCCACTCCAAAACGGACAGGCTCCTGCCAAAACTGAACTTCAGCCTTCCTGCAGAAGCCTTGCAGCCGCTGTGGCGTCTGCTGCTGAGTCCAGCACCGGTCAGTACTGCGGATCTCGAGAAACTTGATGTCCATACTGACGTCCTCGCCAGCATGTGGGATCTCAGCTCGCCGCCTGCGGGAGATCAAAAGCTGCCCAGCGGAGCCAGCCGACTGCAGGATCTGCTCCAGCAAAGGGGAATCGTGGAGACTGGGCGGAATAATACGAACGTTGACTCTATTCGTAGCAGGCTTTAGGAATTTCTATAACATTGTGTATTGCTCACATGTGTATGTACAGGATCTTGTGATCATGAACCATTTCTTGACCAAAGCAGTGTCTTCAGGCTGCTGAACATTGTGACTCACGATGCGCAGGCTGAATTATGATGAGTGATCTTGTGATCTTGAACCATTTCTTGACCAAAGCAGTGTCTCCAGGTTGCTGAATATTGTGACTCAGGATGCGCAGGCTGAATTATGATGAGTGATCTGGAGTCCATTGGAGCTTGCAAGACCACCTCTGATCAAATTAATTATTGTTACGAAGCCATCTCAAATGAACGTTTTCATCAAAGCTTAAGTCTTAAGATCATACATGATATGATGTTTAAGGCGAAGGATTTCGAAGGACTTATATCATGGTCAGACTTGTGTGTCATTATAGGGCATCACATGTTTAGCTCTGTCGACCGGCAGGATGCTTGTGTTAATATCCCTTTCAAATTGCAAGCAAAGCATACTGGGCTGCAGCAGAAACCTCAAGGGGTCACAGCTCACACGCCTCAGGGTGCTTAATAGCAAGGAGTCAGGTCATATTTCAGGACCAGCAAATAGAACTTGACAGCACATTGCCTAGCTCGCACAGAGCACCAGCCCTCCAAGACAGGCGGGTTTGGCACTTCCGAACGAGTTTGTTTTCCCCCGTCTTGTAAGGACACAACCTATTATACATCAGCTAAAGACAAGGACATTGCCTACTGCACTCCACAGCTCTGTTGGAGCGCCTGCTCTTCTCAAAGCGCAGCCACGCATGCAGCACCGACAGCAGGAACAACTGAGGACGGTTGCTGACGTGTCAGCCGTTGCCTCAGAGGCCCCTCTCATCGCGAGCGCATGCACCCGCGGCGGCGGCTCAGTTGTAGATCTTGACAGGGCGCTCGTACTGGGAGAAGCGGTTGCTGTTGGGGTGCGGCCGCTTGGGGCCGGTATCTGCGTGCTCCAGGCCCAGGTAGCTGGTCTCCGTGCTGACGCCGTGCGTCGCGCTCTGCCGCGCAAAGCGCAGCGCCACCACATCCTCGTCCTCCAAGTACTCCGGCTGCCGCAGGTTGACCATAAACGCAAACCTCCACTTGACAAAATCCTCCTCAGGTACGCCCAGTTTCGCCTGCGCCCGAGCGCGCTTGTCAACTGGCCAGCGGCGGTAATCATGCAAGCACTTGGACAATTAGAATGTGCGGTATGTGCAAACCCAACGGCTGGAACCTCCTTAAAAGGGGCAGAGGTCTGCTCAGATAGAGAACACTCGCCTGTATTCGTGGCTTGATGTCTGCTAGTGTCTCCTCCTCACCGATCTGCAGGATGAACGGGTGCCCAAAGTTCACCTGCGACAACATGCAGGCACAGCACGTCATAGACTGCATGAAATCACACGTAAGAATGGGAAATTTCCTGGCGCAAATGGTAAGCCAAGGCCCAGCGCTGTCTCCTGCAAAATTGTTCAGACGTATGACATGCAGAGCACAAAGGGGCGGCTGCGGCGCGCTCACGTTGTTGGTGGCGTCTGGGTTGACGTGGTAGGCGTGGATGCGGCGCGTGCTCTGCGGCGGCTCCATCTCCTCCTCAGGGATGGGCTCCGCGCGCACCTGCCAGTACCGGTCATCAATGCTGTCGATCTTCTCGTCCGGCGCAAACACCTGCACAGCCGCCGTCAGCGCCATGAGCTTAGTAGAGCTGTCTTCGAGCATCATAAATCTGGAACGAAATGAGTAGGACTTTACAGCTTATGCAGAGACCCCAGCAGCACAGTCAGTCCCCAGACCATCCAGGCAGACGCCACAAGCCAACTGTAAATTTCCTGCACATATTCTTGTGAGGCAGTAGGGTCACAACACAAGGAGCATAATGTGAATGAGGAGGATGCAGGAATGCTGCAGGCTGGCGCACCTTGTAGATTTTGCTGTAGAAGACCTCGAGCAGGCGCAGGGCTGCGGGGCGCTTGTCCTCGGGCAGCTGCTTGCGCAGCGCCTCCAGCACGTCGCCCACCGTGTCGTCCTTGGGCACGCGCACGTCGTGCTGACTCACCGGCTCCGTCCTCTCCCCATGGTACTGCACCTGCGCGTATCACCCCGCTGCTCACGCCCACCTCCCCCCCCCCCCCCCTCCTGACATCCCTGTCCGTGGCTGAGAAGGCCCCAACAAGTGCAACTAGGTCGTCGATTCAGTGAAGCATGGCACTGCACGTGCGGCAATAACTCAGCCTGCTGATGCCCACTTCTCCCCCTCCTGAGTTCACTGTCCGCAGCTGTCCCAAGGCCCCAGCCCACTGAAACGAGCGCATGGACATTACTAGGAATATCTTGGGGGCCGCGCCTTGAGGGTTTTGAGCTGCTCAAACTCGCGCAGGGGGATGTCGAGGATCTCGTAGAAGACGGTATCCAGGACGGTGCTGTAGTGGACCATGATGGACGCGAGCGTGTCGAAGCCGTGCCATTTCACGGGCTGCGGCTTGGGCGCATTGACGAAGGGCTGCTGCGCCGTGAATCGCAGCAGCGCCGGGTCTGTCAGGCCTGCCGCCTCGGCCTGCTCCGCCTTGCGCAGCGCCTCTGTGAGCGCAGCCGCCACGCCGTCATAGTCCAGGTCCCTGCTCAGCTCCAGCACCACGCCCGCCTCCTGCACATGCGGCAGCAAATGCTGAACATTTTCTGCAACAGCTCACCCGCGCTAGCCATTAATATATATTCCAAAGAGGGCAGCTTGCAAAGGACAGAAATGGGCGAACAGAGAGCAGCGTCCCCAGGATCCTCAGGGCATGCGCATCCTAGTGAATAGATGCAGCGCGGCCACAGGATGCATGAATCCAGCAATGTCTAAGCAAGGTTGGGTGGAGCGTCCACTGCGCCAAGCATGAGGTCAGGGTGATGGCAAGGGTGGATGAGGGTCACCTTGGGCTGATCGAGCCGCCGGAAGGTGACTGTCATCCTGTTGCGCACCCAGACCAGGTAGTCCTTGACTGTTGGGTAGGGCAGCTCCTCCATGTCATCCTGCGCAACCACCCACACACCCACATGCTCACCACACACGCTTCTTAAACATGCTTGCAGCACTGCTAGCTTCATCCGGACAGCACTGTTCGACCCCTCCAGACATGACCTGTTTGAGTGGGCTGGGCTGTCTGAGTGGGCAAATGGCTGGTGGGACTTCGGCAGCAAGGAAATGCTCACCTCTCTGGGCTGCTCCTGGAGGCAGAGGATGTCCCCGTCCTCCAGCTGAGCGTTGGCCAGGGAGTGGTTGGGATTCTGCAGCTCCACCATGACTGTCGGATCAAACTTGATCTCCTCATAGATGGCCAGCTTTGTGTCCTCCGGCAGCTCCGCCCGCTTCAGCAGCAGCGGGTACAGGTCCGCGAATCTCTGTGTCTTCAACACAAATATCCGCCCAACGTACTGCAGCCGCAAGAAAAGCCTTCAGGACGAGAAGTTCTCTTACAGACGTGCCAGATACATGTGACCATGCCGGTACATGCGGCCATGCACCTGCATCTTCATTCCAGTCTGCTCTATGGCTTAACCAAGAGCCATTGACGCTGCCAGCCAGGTGCATTGACATGTGCTAGCACATGAACAGGGCGTCACTCACTCGCAAGGTCTGCGTTTTGGGCTTGTAGAGCTTGAGGAAGAGGAGGATCATGTTCTTGTTGATCGGTGGCAGCTCCTTGGCGGGCCCAATGGCGGTTTCCAGGAAGAGCGCGATGGTCTGCGGCTGCTGCAGCCTGTTATTTACCGGGCTGTCCTTCAAATCCGTCACCCGCGCCTCATCCTCCGACGGCTGCAGCGCTCTCGCCGGCCTGCTCAGCCCCACTGGTGCCCTTGAGAAAATAGCTGGGACACATGCACCGATACAAGGCAGGGCTGTCTCTGCATCCCTGCTTATTTGGACAGGTGCCTCCATATACGCCAGGTCAAGCTGGGCAGTTTGCGTCGAAGAGGAGTACAGTATGACCAGAATATTGAACAGGGTTGGAGTGCTGGAAGGGGAGCTGCGCGGAACCTGAGCGTGCTGTTCTGGCGCTTGGCGAAGGTCCAGAAGCGCTGCTGCTCCAGGGGCACCCCCAGCTCCTCAGCGACCAGCTCCCTGAACTCCCCGAACAGCATCTGCTTCTTCACCCGGAAGGTTTTCACCTGCATAGTAGCCGACACCAGCCTTGAGCGCACTCCCCAATTCTGGCGCACAAAGCAGAGTAATTCCTGCTGCTCCACCTGAAGGGGCTGTGCAGTGGGACCAGTGCAGCGTAGATGGCAATTGCACCGCTCCTGTGTTCTGTGTGCCACAATAGCGGTGGAATTGCCGCTTGTCAAGGCAGGGAGCCTCCCACTATCTCTGTCCTGACCTTAGCAGCTGCCGGGAAGGCGCGATGCACGGGGTTGGCACTGAGGTGTTTGGGGAATGGGTACCGTGACCATGCAGTCCTGTGGCATATCAGGACAGCTGGAAGTGGAGGAACGCACCTTCTCCTGGTCGGCGAGGTCGAACCAGCGGTTGTGGCCGATCTGGTCGCGGATGTCAGCGTCGGTGACGATGCGGAAAACGGTGTAGAGGTGGGCCTCCTGCTTCTCGCGCCGCCGCGCCTCCTTCTCCTCCTTCTCCGCCTCCAGCCGCATGCGCACGTGGTCCTGGATGTCGCTCTTGCCCACCTCACACATGATCTGCACCAAGCCGGCATTGTTGGCGACGAGTCTTAACTTCACATGCCCCGTTTGAAGGGCCACGAGTCACAATTTGCGTGCAGCCAGAGCTTAGCCGCTCAGATGTTTGACACATGAGACCCTGCCCAAACACTGCACGGTCCCTCCAGATCACCCAAATGCAGAAGCATTAGGACACTGTGACAATGCAGAGTGGCAGTAAAGCAGACATAGAATGACGGGTGGACCACCAGTGCAGCAAGGCAGGACATGAAGTCACATGGGGCCGCACCTTGTCCCAGTGGCTCGTGCGCACGTAGACCAGCATGTAGGCATTGGAGTACTTGGTGAACTTGAAGGTGTTGAAGCCGGTGCCTGGCGGCGGGTTCTCGTCCTCGCCCCCATACTGCTCGTTCAGCGCCTTCTTGGCATCCTCCACCGACACCTGCATGCATGCGCACACCAATGAGATGACCAATAAGTCTCACGTATTGTCACATCATCCATCAAACAGCTAAAAGCAACATGCATGGCTTAAAGCCAACATCAGCTGTCGACTTGCATATGCTTTGAAAGTCGCCAACAGCACAGGGCACCAGTCAATGAAGGCGGGAGGCACCTTCTCGTCGTCGAACTTGAACCAGTGCTTGCCATCTGGTCTGATGAAGGCATAGTAGTGGCCGCCGTGCACGCCGCCGCTGTGCACGAGCACGCTGTGTAGCCTGTAGAGGTTGCGCACGGAGCGGTCCGCATTCTCCGACAGGTACTTGCCATGCTCATAGTCCAGGTCAAGCTCGTCCGGAAACTCATACCTGTCATTGATCTGCAAGCAGGGAATCATCTATTGTAAGGCACCATTATTGCACAGGCATCCGTGCATAAAGCAACCCCGAGTCTTGCATTACAAGCTAAGCTGCAAGCTGATGGAAAGGTGGTGCTGCTGCTGATGTGGAGGTGTGCTGGCGTGCGCACCTTGACCATGATGTCCCTGCGGAAGTCGTACTCAAAGCGCTTCAGCTGCAGCTGCAGCACCGGCGGGAAGTCGTCGAAGAGCACTCCTTTTCGGGCGTCCTGCAGGAACTCCATTTCTGTTCAGTACTGGACGTCTCTATCCATGATTTAAGTGCGTGCAAAAGTAAGGAGCAAGGGGGTCATCACAATTGGAACAGGAAAAGCAGAGATTGCGTCTTGCCTGCAAACCATGGTCGTCTGTCTTGTACTGGTTCTGCCCGTCCATGACCTCCACCTCGCAGTACTTGTCAAAGGAGTCGTAGATATGCTTGCACCCCTTGACATCCAGCTGCAGGTCCATGAAGCTCTCTTGCCGCGTGCTCTTGTAGTCCACATTTATGCACTCGATGAACATGTGCATGTGCCCCTCGAACAGCTGCCCTATTGTCCCCTCCACCTTTGTGCCCTGCACCCAGCAGTCCCAAGTTGGACAGGGCGCTGCCACAGAGCATCAGTATAAGTCCACAATGAGGCCACATTACTTTAAAAATTTAGAAGAAAGGTAAAAATGCAACAGTGCTTGCTCAACGCACCTTCATCTTGTCCTCCAGCTTCTCCTGGAGCACTCTATTGAGCTCTTGCACATCATGCTGCATGAAGGCGTCGTAAGAGTCCCAGCCAAAGGACTTGGTCAAGTCCTTTGTGGACACACTTGACTCGCCGAATTGCAACTGCACACAAACTCAGATCAGGAAGGCTGAGCTGCTTTCTGCATCTATCATGCTTGCTTCAGAATGATACATCCTAACGTCCCAACCCATGCTGGCTTTGAATGAGCAGCGAGGACAGCAGGTGCACACCTTGTAGAAGAGAGACTGCAGCGCCAGAGGGATGCTCTTGGCTATGTCTTCCTCTGCAGTGGGCATGTGGTACACTGCCTGCCTGAAGTAGTTGATGTTGTAGAGGAATTGCAGCAAGGAATTCATGTAGCATGTGGCGCCCTGGTTCTTCAGCCCGACAAATCCCGTCTCTTTCTTGCTGTCATAGTGGAGGTTGTCGGTCTTGTCCATCGACACCTGGGCTGTGATCTGCAAGGTAGCAGATTGTCAGCATGCATGCCATGCTGAGATTATGGATCAGGAACATTGACGAGACAACCATATCAAACTTACTGTGAGCGTGTCATCCACCAAGTAGCCCTTCTTGGGGTCCAGCAGGTCCCTCAAGTTCATGAAGCTTGTGAAGCCCCAGTCCACCCCGCCAGCACTAAAGTTGTGGTCCGCCTCTGCAATTTTACATAATGACAACATATCAGAAAATAAAGTGTCACAAGTTGTTAACATCGAAAAAGGAAGTCTTAGCAAATTGCTCGGCCTGCATCAGCCTTGGCAAAAGAAGTTGGAAACAGCGCAGGCGCTTACGCTTGGTGAAAGACTGCTCTGGACTGAGATGGTTGACGACAGTGAGCTTGAAACTTGCACGCCTCATCCAACCTAAGGGAGCCGTGTCTGCATCTGCCGCATTCAAGTAGAGCGACATAGCCGCATTTGTCCCTTCTCTGTTCCCCCGTGGGAACATCAGAATGTTCCTGCAATCCAAGGATACACATCGTCAGTGCTGTTTCCGTTGCACTTGGTTGGCAGTTCATAGCACTAGCAGACCCAACGAAAAAGCTCACCAGGGGTAGCTGCCCGCTGTGAAATTGTCTGACAATAGTCTGTGCTCCACTGTTTGAGAAAATCTAGGTATCTTCCACTGCGCAGCACACCAGGTGGTTTATATTTTCCCAGTCCATGTGTAGCCTGACTACATCTCAGGAAAGCAGAAATGCAAGGGCCTGTCCCACAGTTGGATTGACCACGCACTGTAAAAGTTCCCTCATTTGCTGGCAAGGTCTGCATTTCCTCCTCCACTCCTGTCCCACTAAGCTCCGTTATTGTAGCCACACCTGTGAGGCAACGCGACAGCGTGAATATTGCAATTATTCCAGCTGCAATGGATATGATATCTCATATCTTGTGGATTCAAGAGCATCGTGCTCCTTAACCACAAGGCCTGCCCGTGAACAAGCGCACGGGCGCATATATATAAGAGCTAGCGTGCACCTTCCATCGGCTCAGTCTCATCAGGAACCTCCTCTATCAAAGGCTCTTGCATATTATCATCGATGCCATCTTCTGTCATCTGTTCATTGATCTGAGTCATTTGCACAGCCTCCCGCTCTAAACACGATACTGGAACGTTTCCCTTTTGTCCTGTTCACAGTGATTCAACCTTCAAGTTCAAGACGCCTGGCGTAAAACTCCGATAATGTCATGCGCATCTCGGAACATCAAGAAGCGAACATAAAGTCTGCAACGAAGTAGGACTGATCTTGAGGATTTTAATATTCCGAAACAATTTGGCCATGCATGCTCCTTCAATGCGCACTTTCTAGCATCGATCTGACGGCGTTCCTGGCCAGCTGGTGCGCTGTAGTGGAATCAATGCTGGATGAAGTGAACATTAATTTGGGGGGCCCACACTGTGAGCTAGGATTTCTCTGTGACAACGAGAATCTATCGTCTGAGATCCATACATGGAGGGAAATGTGCTTCTGTATCACGAAAAACAGGTTGGAAACTGATCTCTACAGTCCGTCTATCAAATTGCAAGCAATATTCACTGATCATTCCTGCAGAGCAACTGAAAGCAATTTTGGAGAAATTCACACCGCTTTGCACTAGTGATGTACACAACAGGCTCGGAAACTCCAAGAAACGAGCGTGAATAATACGCGGAGTTCTACCATTAATCCTGGTACATTGAACTCATTTTCTTGTCAATGTGAAGGAGGCTGCGCTGTGTGGAGTCCACTGCCTAAATACATTGCTGCAAGGGCCGCTTTTTGGCGCTATTGAACTTGGCCAAATCGCCCAAGATTTGGATGCCTTGGAGCGGACGTTCATGTCAGAAAATGGCATAGAATCAGAGGACTACAAAAAGTTCATTGCGGAAGACAGCGGCAATGTCAGCTCTGATGGGTTCTTCTCCATACAGGCGAGTGAACTGTATGTTTTGCAGGCTGATGCCAAGTGTAGGTTCTTGCTTCGTCGTGACAAAGGTTTGGCTTGCAGGTGCTCAGCAAAGCATTGCAAATATTCGGGCTTACCTGCACAAACCTGGACAACCCTGAAGTAGCACAGTCGGCTGCTCAGCCAGAGCTGGAAGACGCTTTCATTTGCAACTTGCGGGTATGCTGCTGTTCAAATGCCTGTGATGTGCTGCACCACTTCTGGACTCTAAGCAATCCAGTTCACACTTCAAGCATTCGCTTGAGCAGCAAAGCAAAACGCGCAGGAGCACTGGTTCACTTTGCGCAAAATTGCTGGAGAGTGGTGGAATCTCAACAGCATGCTCCCAGCACCCCAGCCTCTGTCGCAGTTCTACCTGTCTGCCTACCTAAACCAACTGCGCCAGGATGGGTACAGCATCTTTCTTGTGCAAGGCGCTCTCCCGCCAGTCACCCTGGATGAAGCAGGTGCCTCTGTAGATGCGCCGGGCAGATGTTTCACACCAGAGCAGGTGCGCTGTATGTTAATTTGCTGCACCACTGAGAGCTGTCGCTTGCCCTCGCGCTCAATGGGAAGCTGTGCCAAACTGTTTAAAGTGACGTGGACACTTACAGTACCCTGCAGCGCTTGCTATACAAAGCCATGGAACAAGATGTTGGGAGCGTGCTTTCCTGTGTGACACACCCTCCCTGAGATTTCCTTGAATTTTCTTTGCAGGCCAGACTTGTTTCCATGGAATCAGTACAAGCGCGTGATAAAGGGTACCTGAAAGCAGCGAGTCATGGAGCATTGGCTCGAGCAACACAGGTTTTCTGTCGCCTGTGAAAGTGGCTTTGTTGGTTATTGCTGTGCTGCTTGTGGCCATTCAATATCATTCTTGCTTTGTGACTTTAAAAGTATCGATGTCTCTGGCGGCAGGAGGGAAACATGGTGACTTTGCAGTCACAGCAAGGCAATCGCAGCAGATCTCGATCTCAGTCCTGGGGCGAGGAGGATGAAGATATTGCAAAAGCTATCGCTGCCAGTCTGGAAGGTAGCCCCTTGAGTAAACCTCACGCATCACCCTTACATCATGAGCTTCACTTACCCAGGCTAGTTGCTACTGAAAATTTGACAGCCAAGATTCTCCTTTGCAGGCCATTCTGATGCTGCGCTCCCATCCGCCGAGTGTCTTGAACCCGAGGCAGCAAGCTTGGCAGACGCGACTCAAGTTGCACAGCCTCCCCCTCCACATCCTGGCGAAGAGCCAGATGCTGGTCCAGGTAGAACTTTCTCCTTGCTCGCCTTTCTTAAAGGTAGATGTTTTTTTTTGTGCATGAAAAAAGCAAATCTACCAGCAGAAAGAGTGATTTGAGTTGAGGCTGTGGCTGTGGGGGACAGAGGTTGCATGTTCTATGCAGGAATCATCGAACTCGCCATCCGCTTACCAAATGGGGCCCGGCTCATGCGGCGGTTCAACAGCGGCCAGCCGGTGTCCGATGTCCTGGAATATGTGCGCTACAGCTGCCCTGAAGTGGGGCCCAAGCCTGTCCTGAGTGCCCAGCTGCCGCGCAGAGTCTTGCATGACGTCAGGCAGAAGCTCAGGGATGCGGGGCTGGCCAATCGAGAGGCTCTCACCGTCCAGGCACCTTCGTAGTATCAGCAGCCTCTGCTGGGCATGGCCCATTCCTAGCGCTAGCATGGAATAGACACAACATACAATGGAACAAGATTGGAGTGTGCTGTACAGTGGTTGAAGATGCATAGGCATTCCCTACATTGTGCATGTTTTGTAATGTTTGGTACGTGTGGTCCTGAATATCCTTGCTCAAGCAAGCTTCCATTCTTACACAGATCAGCAGCATAGCACACACATAGCAGTACTAGCAGAAAACAGCAGGAATTTTTAGCGCAGTCATGATGAAAAGACAACATCATCAAATCTTTGAACACGACCAAAGCTCATAAGATCAGGCACCTTGATGTTTGGATCCATCTCCGAAGAGAGCATGACCTCCAGGGAGTATACGAGCAAAGCAACAGCAGTTGCATACGCTACACATTTCTGCAAACAACTACACATGACATGGCGTCCTGTTGCGCCTGCCAAATCCAAGCTTACAAGACAGGCTGGAGAACAGTGATGACGGCGTTGCAAGCAGCGTACAGCTCCCCAGTGCTAGAGTTCCATGCCAGGGCGCAGGCTGCTCCCGGCAGTCGAGGCAGGCTGGTGACCTCAGGTGGCTCATCAAGGACCACTGGTGCAGAAAACAGGCCTCCCTTCACTGTCCCAAATGCCGCGCTGTCGCCGAACGGGCTGACAGCCATCCTCACAATGCCGCTGCAGCACACCACACAAAAGCTCTTGGGCCCATTGTCAGACAAACTCTCCTGGCTGAACCACACCTCAGGTGCTAGTAATCATGGCAGACCTTGTCGTCGGGGAATGATATAAGTACGTTATACATGCTTACCTGCCATCTGGAGAAGCCATGTTGCGCAGAGGCTGCATGGGCCGGCGAATGTCCCACAGGAGTAGGCGGCCATCCATGCTGCAGGTCGCCAAGTGCCTGTCATTGACGAGGTGCAGCCCCGTCACCGCAGCACTGTGGCGGAAGCTGACAGACGGCTTGGACGGCTTTGCCTTCAGCTCCCATCTGCGCCCATCCAGCTTCCTCCAGATCTCAAAATACTCTTAGGTGTCCCTTGCCATGCGTGTTTGCAGAAAGAGAATTGCGGATATCAAGACAGCCCCAGATGAAGGAGGTTGTTTACATTGTTTACACAGCATGCCTTGTGGGATTAAACATGTCGCATGTCTGCAAAGGGACTGGAATTCCAGGGCGCACATGTGAATGGAGCCGTCGCGCGCGCCGGAGAAGAGGTGCATGCCGTGCTGTGAGCAGTGCATGCTGGTCACGTCCGCAGAGTGGGCCGGCCATGCCGTCTTTGACTTGGGGATCTCTCCTGGGGCAATGGTGGTCGAATACACTGCAATGATGCCCCCAAAGGACGCTGCGCAGTAGGTCATCAGCGGTCCTCCCAGCGGGTGTAGCGACACCACCTAAACATGATCACACAAACAAGCTCTTAAAAGCTGCCAGATTGCCTGTTGCCGAGGACTGTACACAGATTCCTGCACAAAGGTGCCTTAAGAAACCTGCACAGCACTGGGAATGGTGTGCTGTAGACATGGATAAATTGCCAGACCTGCGAGAAGCTGTTGTCGTGCCGGCCTGGCAAGGCGGGTGCGTCTGAACCGATCGGAGGCAGGGGCATGCGGCCGCGCGGCGCAAACAAGCCGCTCTCGGCGTGCAGGGAGTGCATTGCGACGCAGCAGGTTGGCCGGCCAGGGTCCTGTGCGGCCGCCAGCAGCAGCCCAGTCCCCACCTCGGGCGCCAGGTTCCATGATATCGTCTCTGTCGTCTGCTGGTGCATGAACTGCAGAGCAGTGCTTCTATCGTTGAGTATGCCAGCCTGGAGCTTCGCAAAATTGGGGCCACACAGGAGGTCTGTGGCCCCACACTGAGATCTCTCCTGATATCATCAGCACAATTTGCCTTGTGTCAAGCAAAGGCCTGCAGCAGCATGGACAACAGCTTTGCCCTTTCCAAGAGCTAGCACCTGCAGGGATGGTTCTCCTCGTCCGCCGCTGGCGCTGCACTCCCAGAGATTCAGTAGCTGCCGGGAAGCCGAGATTAGCCATCCTGACACACGAGCACAGTGTCGATCAAGAGCAAGCAGAATGAAATCTCAGGTACCTTTAAACACAAGTTTCAGCGAGCCCTATCAGCGGGCCTTATGCAAGAAGGGGTGAAGGGTTCACCTGCATGTCCATCGCCTCCCGGCAGGCCAGAAAGCGACGGCATGTATACCAGGGATGTGATTGCCTCACTGTTGTGATCGCCCTGGTCTGTACGCCAGCACTCCTTCCATTGTGGACCCTGCGGATTCCCAGAACATCTGCTCAGGTCAAGGATGACCAGGAGCATGAGTGCTTCGTATAAGAACAGCATGGTAAGAATGTTGGTGCCCCACCAATTCAGCTGCCGAGATGGGCTCAGGCTGCGCCCAGGATGAAAATGAGACGTCCACATCTGAGCGAGGTTGCCGCAACGGCTGCGATGCGGCCGGCTGAGCATGCGGCAGCCACTGCGGAGAGGACGCCGCCACAGGCTGGGGCAGGAGAGGAGAGGTTTGTATGGGGGCCAACACTGCTGGCTTCGGCGCGATGCGCTGTGGCAGCGCACTGATGTGTGAGGGTGCCACCGGCGCCACACCCAGCACCGGGTGGCCAGACGCTGGAGAATATGTGCCGGTCTGTTGCGCAGCAGGCTGTTTGTGGGTTGCGCTTGCCAAGGCCGGGCCTTCAGCTGGGCGTCCAGGGCTGCAACACATAGAAATGCTCACATTGACCACAGGACAAGAGCGGCTGGGGTCTCCACGCTGGCGCCTATGTCCTAATCGCCTTCTTCCGGAAAGTCAGTCGATGGGCAAATTATGAAGGCCGCGAGATAATACGATTCTGGTTTGCTAGAAAATTTCCATGCAATCATCAAGCCAGATTCCAGGGTCTCCGACACGTCATCACTGATGCAGGCATTGGAACTCTGGAGAGAGATTCTACCTTGGCGATCGTTGCTGGGAGTCTGCATACTGCAATTTTGAGAGCACTTCCTTCAGCCGAGCAACTGTGAGCTCCACTTCTGCCCTTGATAGGTCCAGCACCACTGACAGACGTCCACATCCTTGTGGATCCGCTGGTTTCTCCACTAGGCCCATGCGATCAACCTTTTATAATGAGTCAATGATCAGTATCTGATGCTTTGCATCACGAGGGGAGCCATCACCCTGCGTATAATTCTGTAACGAAATCCTGAGAGTGTCTAATGCACTTGATTCTATCGATTTGGTATCACAAGGATCTGACAGTAAGTAAAGCTCTCCTACAGATGTTCCTCCGCACACCAACAGATTCCATAGGCCAGATTTTCAAGAGAACTGGCCATTAGCATCGTGCACATGTCGCCCATCCCGTAGAAGGTGAAGCTACGGAACTGCATCGCATATTACGGATCGGAGATTCCCAAACCGCGCACGTGCAAAATCTCGCTTGCAAATCTTCGAAACAGTGTTTGGATAGACGTGTTGGTGGACACCAGTCACAACAGAGCCTTCCAACACCCAGTCTGCAGCACCTAAACCTTGACAAGATGGCTACAGTAGCGCAGACGCTCCTCAGCGAGGCAGCACAGTCCACCATCCGTCTGAAAGTCGCTCGGTCAGGTGGCGTACATGTTCCCTTGCGCCGGCGCTCTTGCTTGATTCGAGCTGCTGCGACTGGGCCAGGCCCGAAGCCTAAGGCTGATCTCCTACACAATGTTCGGCAAGGTTGCGATACCTTTTTGCAGGTAATTCCTTTCGGCACACGAGCAAGCACGAGTCTCCTGGGTGAAAGGGAGCGTATAGAGTGCAAGCAGTCATGAGCAAGTTGTCACTTTGACTTCAGGGCAATCTGATAACCTCGTACAGGCTGCCCTTGCATCGCAGATTGTCTCAAATTTGTCCGAACCTTTCTTTGCTCGTGAGGAATTAGGGTGCAGAGTGGCCCTGTTCACGGGCAGCATGCATCTGAAGGATTGGGGTATCTCGTCCATTTGGGAACGTCATGTGCTTGCCTTCCCTGACATTGTCTTGGTGGTTCATGGCAGAAATACGACGTGCTGTCATGTGGGTTTGGAGCCCTCTGCTGCACTTCAATCTTCGTTGCTCAAGGGCAGTCGCCAGCTGACGCGCTCTGGATCACTGCGGCGGCAACCGTTACTGGCCTGGTGCGTTCCCTTGTGCTCTAGTGGATATAAGCGGCTTTTGATCTGCTGTTGCAAGGGTGCAGCCCTCCTACGACTGTTTGTCTTCCGCTCTTTCTGAGCAGTTTCAGGGTGGGACTGATTTTTTACCCACGTGCAGGTTGCCAACGAGCTATTCTTTGACAATGCATCCTGAGCTGGTGTCGACCAGGGCGCACATGAAGTCGCGCGGCCTGCAGAACGCATGACACACTAGTCACTTGGCTGCAGAGGCTCTGCATGCCATCCTTTTTCATATTGTAATCTAGCGAGTGGCCATCAAGTACTGTGTCTACTGCCTTTCTGGGCTGCTGTATTCTTGGTTTTCGACGCAATGTACGGATATTGCTGAACAGCACTGGAAAATTGACGTACAAATTGTCTTCTGGCCCGCGGCTGGTCCATCGGGCTTAGTTTGTTGAGGGCAGCCTCAACACGACGAAGAGTTGAGGTGTGTAGACTGTATGGTAGTACTTTGGCATTGCCGGAGACTCACTGTGAGGGTTCCTCGGAGTTGCGAGGCAGAACATGCCAGGTCAGGGAAGAGAAAAGCATGCAGGCTCTTCTGCATTTTTTAGCAAAGCTGAGGCTGGGATCAAACAAGCCAGCATCAGTATCTGCTTAGCAGTTGGATTGCTCATTCGATATATGATTCTGACTATATGAATTCGCAGCAGGTTTGCAGCGCAGTCCAACAATTTTGGTGTGTATTGAAAGAGATTCTGGTGACAGTACTCTGTGAAGCACATGTGCTGCACACGAGCACTTGTGCGGGCATGTGTGGGTGTGAGGAGTGTCGTTTCAATGCCTTATAAGTAGCATTTTTGGAGGCTCTCAAGTGAGAGCCAGTTGCATGTTGAAGCTTGAAGGGTCTAATCAACATGTGTACAGTAAGCGCTGTGCCAAACATTAAGTAACATGATATAATCAAGGCAAATATCATATTTTCATATCATATCTAAACTCCTTGTTTGATTGCTGCATGTGCTCACTGAGTGACTGGCAGTACATGTCATGGCATTTTTATCACAGTCCGACAAAAAGTCTTTAGCCGATAAGCTCAGAGCTGCGGCTAGCTAGCTGTAGCTCATTCCCAATTACAGTGCAAATAGATCTGTACTGCTCTCCAGGGAGTACACAAGACTGCATGCATGGTCAACTTGAAGGATCTCTGCACTCAAGTCCCTTGCAGGATCAAGTTCCGTCAGGTTGCAATGAAATTCACCTTTGTTAAAACTTATTCAAGCTCCATGAAGAACGTGTGCTCATCGGATGGTGGCAAACTGCGACAGCTCCACAGTGGTGAAACCGATCTCTTGCCCAAGCGGCTGCAGGACATCATGTCGCGGGCCAAATACCTTTATCTGGCGCACGTGCGTGTCTCGGCCGTTCTGGTGGTTGGACAGAATGGCAAGCTGCATGCAGTACGCCTTCAGATTGTCCCTGTGGCAACACACACATTTCACGGAAGGCCTTGGATATTCATCTGCTGGCAGGCGTGCATGGGCCCCAAACAGCCAACCTTTCAACAGTCTGGACAATTGATAATGCAGGGGAGCACAGTCCAAGAGTGTGTGGTCAACTGTGTGGCGCTTGGAGGTGTGACGCACGATGAGTAGGGCGGCTGCAGAGGTACTTTCACCCAGCCAATCGGTTCGTTCAGCTCCACCACCCTGATCTCCTTCAGGTCGTGCACACTGGTGCCCGCTCTGACCGAGATCTTGTTGGGCGTGTAGCTCTCATCCAGCTTGTAATCCAGGTTGATGGCCAGCTCTTGCAGGCGAACCTGCCAGAGCAGCATGCGCTCAGCCAGTGATCAAATGTGGCGCCCTGTCAAACTGCTGCTGTTGACAGCTGCTGCTGTGTTGAAGATTTGGAGCACCTTCTTCTGAAACTGGATGTTGACCAGGTGCGGCTGAGACCCATCAGACTGCCAGTATGTGTCTTCGCGCCCATCCCTCAACAGCTCCACACCATTCCCTGGCTTTGCGCTCGTGACTGTCCACACAGCTAGCTTGCCGATCTCGCGGTTGCTGCGGCTGTCTGGAAGGGTGCTTGTCACAAGTACTGGCGGAGCTGCAAGTAATTTAGGGTCAGGCAAATAGTAGTTGTGTAATTGATTCACCATCACAAGGTAGTCTTTCATCAGTCCATTCAGACGATCACCTGTCATCTCAAATCTCTAAGTGCAAGAAAGTGTACTCCTGTCAAGAAGTGCCTCCCATCTTGAAGGCAAATGAGCTTACATAGGACTGCTGCAGGCCTTGAGATCGCGCATCTCCTTGAGTTGGATTGTTCGAGATCTCATATAGGAATGCATCTAACATTCATTGATGATACTGCACATCAAGAGTCCTGTGGAACAATCAATTTCTGATGCTGTAAAGTGAGCTTCTGTGGATCAACATCACAGAAGCAATCAGCCAGCATGCAAGGAGTGTCTGGACAGGTACAAAATTATCGATGATTACTTTTTTTTTTGAGTCCTTGAATGGCGAGGAGGATGCAAAATCGAAGTCCAGCTGGAGCAATGGCTGACGCCCCGGAAAGCTGCCAGATGAGGCAACCCCAGTGGTGGAAATTCCTGATGCGCCGTTCTCGCCTGCAGAGGACATTTTAAGTTACCCCAGCCATCCTTGATTACCCGTTGCCACATTCTGCAGCCGAGCTTTACAATGAATGCGTGGGGTGCTCCCACTCAGGGGGCCTGGGCCGCCCAGGTCGATGAGGAGGAGAAAGCCAACGGGGGAACGCTTGATGCTCCGAAGGAGCCTGTCATCACCTTTGGCCAGGACAAGGCATTTCCCACCCTTGGAGAGGCTGTCAAGAAGAAGGAGAGCAAGAAGGACAAGAAGAAGCCCCAGAAAATGAACCTGGCTGACTTTCAGTCCAATTACAAGCCGCCCTCAGCCAGCAGGCGCCCCACAGTGAGCGACGATCAGCTCAAGATGTCGCTGCCAACAGCACCCCGTGCCAGGGACAGTGATGAGCCCTCTGCTGGATTGGGAGGTGCCTTCCGAGACTACGGAGGCGGAGACCGTGGTGCGAGCTCCACTGTGGCTTTTCGGCAGTACTTGAAGCTTTCACTTTGGCTTGAGCACGAACAACTGTCACAAACCGTACATGTGTAACTTCTGTGAATTGCTCTTGATCAATCAGCATCAGTGGTTGCAATGGTTGATTTATTCATCTTTTTGCCTAGCTGATTGCTTCACCCCCATTATGTCGATCCAGGCCTGTTGACCCAGCTGTCCCCCTGGTGCAGGTGACGGTGACAGGGGAAGGGACAGGGGGAGCTTTTTTGGGCGGCGAGACAGGGATGGCGACAGCCAGGATGGCAGCGAAGGCGCTTTTGGGGACGAGCCTTCCAGGGCAGACGCAGTGGACGACTGGGGCGCCTCGCGCAAGTTTGTGCCCTCGTCCAGCGGCGGAGGCTCCGGCGGGTTTGGCAGCGGCGGCTTCGGCTCACGCAGGGAGGACCGCGACGAGCCAGCAGGGGAGGACGGCCCCTCAAGGGCGGACACCACAGATGACTGGGGCGCAAGCCGCAAGTTCACGCCAACCTCAGCGGGTGGCTCGGGGGGCTTCGACGACAAGTCCTCCTCGCGCGGCTTCGCCAGCTCCCGGCGCGGCGACGACGACTTCGAGGGCGGCCCCTCGCGCGCGGATACCGAGTCGCGCTGGGGCAAGAAGATTGCGCCCTCCTCGGGCGTTTCCAGCGGCAGCAGCGGCGGCGGGTACGAGGACCGGCCCAGCAGGGACCGGGACTCAGAGGAGACCTGGGGCGCGCGGCGCGGCGTCGATGCCGGCGCCGACGCGCCCTCGGCCGGCGGCCGGCCGCGCCTGAAGCTGGCGCCGCGCACCAAGCCGCTGCCGGTGCTGGAGATCCCGCCCGAGGCCAAGCTGCCGGAGAAGAAAGAGCCCGAGCCGGAGCCGCTGCCGGTGGTCACGGGACCACCAAAGCCCAAGGCCAACCCCTTCGGCGCCGCACGGCCGCGTGAGGAGGTGCTCAAGGAGCAGGGCCGGGACTGGAAGAAGGAGGAGGCTGCGCTGGGAACCAAGGACACCAATGACAGGTGTGTGCATGCCAGCTCCTCTGGCCTGTGCGAGAAAGATCACGACCTGTACATGCGATGCTTCTGTGTGCTGGACAACCTTCATCTTCTTTGAAACAATGCATCTGCTTCACGCTGTAATTGGGTGTGGACGCAGGTGGACAGAGAAGACGACCGGAACCAGCGATATCACAGAGGGCCTGGAGAAACTGCCCCAGGAAGTTGCATCGGCGCTGGCGACGGCAGACACAGAGCAGGCGGAAGCTGCGGCCCCTGACAGTGGATCTGCCCCCGCTGCGACAGAGCCGGCAGCTGCTGAAGAGGGCTCTGTTGACAAGTCTGCTGAGGAGAAGGTCGAAGAGGCTGGTGCGTTGCAGAGGATCTCTTCACTTCCTGCTTGCAATTGAACCACATGTTGGGAGGTGATTTCATGTGCAGAAACATAGAAGAGCGGCTAAGTTGCTTTGGCTTAGTCTGGCTCGTTTGCCACAGGTGCAGAGACCGCAGAGTAAGTGCGAGCATCGTCCACTGGGGGCCAAAAGCACCAGATTCTAGGAGTTGTATGCGGCAGAATATAGCGACAAATGTTGCAGCATCTTCTTGTAGTTGTGCAACTGCTTGTGCATATACAAAGCAGTAGGTAGTTGTTAATATCGCTTGCTCTATGTGCTTGTCAATAAGCTTGTAGTGACTGCCGTGTTTGAATAGCTAGGAGCCAGACTGTTGTATCGTGTGGTGCTTTTGTAGAGAGGGAGTCCACTCTTGGAAAGCGCACAGTTGGAAACATTTGGCGCGGTCAGGATCACATGTTTAGTGGCATAAGGTCTTAGCTGTGCACGGCCTGCAGGCAGTACTGAAACTCATGTCCTGCTACTAGCTTGTATGTGACCGGATCCGGAAGGATCTCAGGAAATCCTGTAATGATCGTATTCACGCCTTGAATTAAGAATGTTTGCAATCATGTTCATGCCTTGAACTGCACTTCATGCTTTGCAGCGCAAAGTTTGCACCTCCTTGGCATCATTTCAAGCCAAGTGATCTCCCTAACGAAATCAACAGTATGCCATATGATAAGCCTCCCTAGTAATTTATAAACATTTATTCCGTCATGCAGCTGAGACTTCAGTAAAGGCTATCTAGCACGTAGACCGTACAAAACTCAACATCGCAGCCCTCACCGAATGATATGAATGCATATATTCTGCAGGATGCATTAAAATACAACAAGCATGTCTCATCATCCAAACTATCTAATTGCGACTATCTACATGCAGGACGCGCCACTTGATCAATTGGCAGAAACTTTGATGTTTCTGACAGTCAATCCTTCCTCCAGACCGTAAAACTTATTGCACAGCTCACGCGCTAACAGAAATTCCCACAACTCCCGAGAATAGATTGCTTCTCGCTCATTTAACAACAATATCACATATTCTGATGAGTTCAACACGCCGGGCCTCAAATCGGCAGCTCTGCCACCAGATTCAGATGACATACACAAACGGAGCCTCAGCAGGGGTTGTCAGGAAAGCAGGCGCATAAGTGGGCGGGCGGGCGGTCTCCAGAATGGACAGCTTGACACTGCCCTCAGAATCCATCTGGTAGTCCCACTGCCAAGACGGGCGGCGCTTGTGCAGAGGGAACAGCGCTCGCCGCAGACCGCCGGCCGGCGCAGCCGACACCACCATCTTGTAGCCATCCGGCACCTGCACCCATCAACCCAGCCGCTGTGAGGCAGAGCAGACACACACTGCATATGGAGTCCCAAATGCATTGATCCCTTTCTAGCAGGGCAGGAACGCTCCGTTTGGGGTCCTGCAGTGAGCAGTACTCACAACCTTGGCAGACTTCAAGTCATATATGCTTGAGCTTTCACGCTCTGAGTGCTGACGGGTGTGAGTGCTGAGCGCGCACCTCGAAGGTCTGGTCGCCCTCCAGAACGACGTGGGAGGCCTCGAATTCGGACTGGCCGTGCAGCACGATGCGCGCGGCCTCCTTGCGCGCGACCTTGTGCTGCCAGTAGCAGTTGTCGGGGCTGCCCCAGTCTATGCCCTTGTTGCGCACCACCACGCCCGTCAGCCGCACCCGGCCGCACCTGCGCACCAGCAGCAAGCCAATTGGTCAATTGCGTGCAAGTCCTTGCCACTGTCAGTGGCCAATGGAGCACTAGAGGAAAACATAAGGATTACTCCGGAAGGTCAGACCGTGCATTTCCCCCATGCATGCATCCCTTGATGTAAACTCAGCAAACTGCGGGACAGAGGTATTCAAGGCGGCCCATCCAGTCAAATACGGGGGAGTGCGCACCTGTCGCTGAACACCAGGCGGTGCTGCTCGGGGTTGCTGGCGCGCGTGAAGGGCACAACACTGCTGGCACTAGACCCCTGTGGGATGCTGCTGCTGCTGTTAGAGCTGCTGCCAGGGGCTGCTAGGTGCAGCTGCATGTGGGCCGAGCTGTCGCTGTGCGCAAGCTGCGCGCCGGCCGGCTCGGAGGAGAAGAGAGTCTGGCGGCCGTCAGGGTGGCTGACGTGGATGTCTGTGGCGTAGCTGCGGCTCTGGCCACCGGCTGAGTGCGGCGACTCTACACTGCCGGTGACGCAGTCTGCGTGCACCAACAGGCTGCCCTCCACGTGCACATCCAACAGCGCTGCGTCCGCAACCTGCGCAAATGCAACGCGCACAAGTATGAAGAAAAGTACTAAATCAAAATATGAAGGGCTGCCGCGCCTCGAGCAATTAAACACAACCAGAGGAGCACCAGCTTGACTGCCACACATGAAGGCAGGTGTGCATAGATAGGCCAGGATCCTGCTTCATGCAGGTGTGGAGGCAGGTGTGTACAGACAGGCCAGGATCCTGCTTCATGTGGGTGGGATGAGTGCAGGAGCCTCACCTCGAGGACAAGCTCAGAGCCATGCTTCAGGGCGCCGCCGCGGACTTTCTGGGCAATGACGTCCCAGAGGGGCCCCAGCGCAGGGTGGTACAGGAAGATGAAGCCCGGCCCCTTCTCCAAGTACTGCTCCACAGTCCCCACCTGCCCACACCATATCTTGCTATCAACACCATCCTCCATTCTTTCAACCCCAAGATAACGCTCCTCAACGAGTCATGCACTGCAATTGCCTGGCACAGGCATCACAACCAGGTATTTGGGCAAGGATCACGAAAGAATTGGAACAATTCACATGAGTGGTACCACCCAGAAGAATCATTAAAGATTACTGGGTAAGCAAGTGGTGAGAGCTGGCATGATGGAGGCCCCACCTCTGGGACGTGGGAGAGGCCGCAGCGGGTGAGGAGGTCGGTGGCGTTGCGCATGAGGTCGAGGAAGGAGCCGTCGGGCGTCTGGCTGACCATAGTGCTGCCGGGCTTTCGCCGGCGCTTGGCCGAGGACGTCACGCAGCGCCGCCGATTGTACACCACAAAGGTGTTCAGTGAGCCGTGCAGGGACTCCGGCATTGGCTCGTTGAAACGCTGCGCCAGGCTGTCCACCACATTCTGCGCAGCAATTCGCACCATGTTCAACACTCATGTGCAAAGCACCTGCCAGCTTGCACCCCACAGATCCTTTTCAGCCCACAATGCGCCATAATTTCAGCTTGTGGATGGCGACAAACAGACAAAGGAGTCATAAGGCTTACTCACAAATGTGACAAAGCAGTGACTGGAACAATGCAGAGACACAGACCTGCATTGTGCATTCCAAGCGGCCAGCAAAGGTGCTCTTCTCCTCCCCGCTCACGGCATCTGTATAAGCCACCTTCTTGCCCTGGTTGAAGATCATGCCTGGCAGAGCAGCACCGCCGCCAGACTTGACCCCGGCCTTCACTGCTGCTTCAACCGCCTGCAGTCATCCCAACTTGGTTACCAGAGCCCAACAATAAAGACCGCCTGAACAGAAACACTCCAGAGCTTCGCAGCATCTGCATGAGACGCACAGGCAATGCGCACGCACTCAGTCTGGTTTGCGGTAATGAGCTGACAAGCTGTGCTGGGCGAGAGGCTTGCCTTGAGGCCGATGTAGAGGACGTTGGTGTTGGCAGGGTAGCGGCTGTACTGGCTGCCATCCAGGCACTCGTCCGACACTCCCAGCCGGCCAAACTCAGTGTACTCCACATTGGTGACGTTGTAGACGTACTCGTAGCCGTCCCCATCCGCGCGCTTCAGGCGCCGCTCCATCAGCACATTGACCCCCTCGGCCGCGCCCGCGCGGCGCTCGCAAGAGGCGAAGCCGAAGCACTTGCTGTCTGCGTAGCCCGCGCCAGACAGGGCCAGCAGCGTGGCGTCTGTACCGGCCAGGGGGTTACTGCGACACACAGGGAGACCCCTGTCAGCCTGCAGCCTTACCGCTCCCTAGATTGCAACTCCTATGTGTACTTATGATCAAGCAGCAGCACATCCAAGCAGTCCTTGACGTGGATGAATGGTGCAGCAGCAAGGGACCCTTAATCTTTCACACTCGCAGCACTCATACTTGCAATGTGGATTGTGCACTCAGCCAGTCTCATGATCGAAGAGCAGCATCGTCACTCGTCGAAAACTGGGGAGGGCAACAACATACCTGATCTGGCGCACGATGGCGGCCTCACGGCGGCGGTTGCTGAGCCAGGTGAAGACACCCTCGTCCAGCATTAGCTTCCAGATGGCGCCGTGGCCGCCGGGCTTCATGAGGGGCCGCAGCGGCTCCGGCAAGAGCCAGCTGCCATCCTCAGCGCTCACTACTGGCACCATCGGCTGCTCAAACAGCCTGCGACACAGATGCAGCGCCTTTACTTGTCTTGCGAAGTGTGCTCAGGATGTTTTGCAAGCTTTGGAGTGCTACACCAATCCACCGGCAACTCTAATTCGACTCAGAAAGGGATAAGTAAGGTAATGGTTTGGGAGCATGCCTGAAGGACTCCTTGCCGCGGCCAAACCAATTGTTCTCAGCCAGCAGCTTCTGGACCCTTTCGTGATTGCCCTTTGCTGCTGACGTCATGATTGCGACGGGAGTGATCTCCTGGGTTCCGTACACCTTGTAATAGAGGTACTCTCGCGCCTGCAGACACCGCAACAGAGCGTGATCAGCGCAGGACGGGACAAGATTGACAAAGCCAAGTAGCTGATGCAGAAGATCGCAGGAGGTCACCTGCAGATCGCGAATGATGCCTGACAATAAAGAGCGGCCGCAATAGGGCAGCATGGCTGTTGGTACACTCTCGCCGGTCACATCGCACTGGAGGCCCAGGCGATCACCAGCTCCTATTCACATGGAGAAGCCATCATGGGGGATGCATCAAAGTGCCATACAAGGACGCATAATGACAAGCATAAAAATCAAGGCTGCATCCAAAAATTGTTTCTGCACGCACCGCCGAGAGGAAGAATTTCTGCCATGTATGGAAGTGCTTCCAGGCCTGTAGCAGCTGCAGCAGCTGCTGCGCGTCTGTTTTTGTTACCCGCAATATCAAGGCCCTGTGGCATGTAGAACTTTGGCTCTGCTGCAGTCTCCTCTGCCGAGCTCTGTTCCAACGCCTGGGCGGATGCCGCCATGGTCTCAAGACACTTCAGCTGGTATCCAGCCAGGCCTCCAATCGAGTTATAGAAAGTGTCCACATGGTGTAGGTTTGTGCATAAGAGATGCAATGCCTTGTTGAAGCCTGCGCAACAAGCAAGTCCACACCTTACTTGCAGGCGCAGGGATGAAAGATTTGTGAGGATCTTCTCTGCACATGACCTTCAGTGAACAAAATGGAAAGCCCAAAAACTTACCCTGGCTGTTTGCAGGAACGGCAAGAATGTGCTCCTGCCCAATTGCAACCAAGCAGAGCAGCAGGTATGCGCTACCAGCATCCAATCCACCCAATGCATCCATGAATCGCTGCCCAGGGCTGCATCAAGGATGCAATATATTGATAGCTAGTGGTGAGCATGACAGTCAGGGGACCAACACTTGAACAACAGTTAGAGATGACGCAGCAAGGCACTGAACTTCTGCAGAGTAGGGCAAAGGACACACCTGCAGCTCGTGCCAAACCTCAAAACTCTTTCATTTTGCACAAGGTGGTCCGTCTGCGAACAAAATACTTTCATGTTCAAGTCTGCCACCCGGTAACATGCATGAGCACACCATTGCTGTTTCTTAATGCATCACTATATCATGGTGGGTTTGTTCAACCATGCAATGTACAAGCTCACCTTTGCCTGTGCGGTCGAAGCGTTTGCCAAGGTCTCGACCAGGTCCCGGAGGTAGGCAACCTCGAGAACAAGCTTGCTGTGACGCCCGATCTCTCTCGAATCAGGCTGTTCGGCAGGAACGGCCTGGATCTCAGCCTGGGTCGTTCTGGTGGCACCAGGCAAGAGCCTTGCTCCTTTGTGATTCGGCTTCTCCACAGGTCGCAAAAATATTCTCCTGCCATGGGTGTGGCCCCATCGCGTGGCATGCGGGTATGCTGACTGCCGGCTCAGAAACCCCCTCCTTAGGCAGGATTTACTGTAGACCACTGGGGTCTGTGCCTGGTTGAGCTGACCTGACATTCTCTCAAGTGCCTATACACAGATACTCGCCCTCTCCTGACTCTTCAGCAGCTCCCACAACAACAACAACAACAACAAGAACAATCACCACGACATGACTCTCTGGAGCAATTCTTGTAGCTGGCTGGCAGGTGGATGTCTCTCTGGAGGATATTGCGATGCATCCGATACAGAGGGCAGAACCAGGGTAGAGGTCCTCGGTGGAATACTTTGATGGACTTTCCCAGGAACGGGGAACACGAGCAAACGACAGAATTTCCAGTATTAAAGATTCGGGAGGAAATTCACGCGTCCCAAAAGTTTTTGCAGAATTAGAGTCTGCCGAAGACCTTGTTGACATCAAGTGTTGGGAAGAGTGTTGGTATTGTGGAGTGTTTATATAGGCGGACGATCTGTCCGAAGTAAAAGGAAAGGAGCATTTTAGGTCGCGTGAGCGGGAGTGCATCATAGATCAAGGGATCGATCAGGCTAAAACTCACATGCCGATTCGACAAGCCCTTGTAGCTAGATTTCCGCGCTATCATGATACGCCATCTCGTGCATTTCAGAAGTCAAAGTAACGAATTTACTAAAAAGCCATTTTTGCTATCGAAACTCTAAAGTTTCACCCAGATCACGTAAGGGAATATGGACCTGCCATCTGATCCTGACAGTCTGGCGATGCTTTTGGTTCAGCAGTTCTTGGAGGAGCAGGGATGCACTCCAGGTGTGTGCCCAGGTATATATACAATCAACGCAGAGCTTGGATTTAAAAAATTATTCAATTTAGTCTGTGCGCTGAACAGCTCTCAAGGAAGTAGAGCGGCAATACGGTCTCAAGTATGTTCCAGAGAAACTTCCAAGAGGATCCATGCTGCTTGAGGCAAGCAATTTCTGTGTCTTTGTCACATTTGCATCCAACCGTCCTCAGGGCGACACTTTCAATACCAGCTGTGACAGCTGACGGACGTCCTGATTGGTTGTGTCATCATTGCGCAGCTGGTTTATCAACACCTGGAACAGGCGGCAGCAGAAGCAGCTGCTGATGAAGATGAGGCACGAATCTCAGCAGAGACGGAGGAAGAAGCCTTGCTGAAGGTATCATGATAGATTCCTATGTGTGGTATTTTGCCTACACACCTGAATGGCGGTGAACGGCGGTGAACAAGTAAGTCTCAGTGTCTTGGACAGGGTGGACGCCCAGAGTTTGCTGTGGAGCACGTGGCATGTGTGCAGAATCTGCACTCTGCAAACATCATTTCCATCTGCTGTTGGCCAGGAGCACCTAAATTCATTTCCGGGTCAGGTGTGTCGGGGCTCCATTTACACATTTTGAGACACCTCATCTGCAGGTGGACGGTGGAAGATTCTCACATGCGACTGTGGGTTTATGCAGGAAATGGGCAAGTCCAGCTGATCACATTTGATGGCGACCTGCTCTGGACCCAGAAACTAGCAGGGGGTGGCATTCTTTCACTTGACCTGCATGTTGACGAGAGGTGGGATTCTTATAAACTCCTGCGCAACGGGGTTCCTCACAGATCAATGGTCGCAATTGCATACTTAGTACCGCCTTCCTTATACACCACTTTGTGCATGCCAGGGAGGGGAGGTCATACTTGTTGGTCGGGTCGATGGATGGCACCGTCACTGTCATGGACGCCCAGGAAGGCATAGTGCTGGCCAGTAGTAAGGCGCACACAAAGTACTGCGTGCGTGTCATATGGGGCCCATCGGCCTCCACATTTGTGTCGGCATCTTGGGACCAGTCTTTGGTTGTGCATCGCTGGACACCACGTGCGTCCTTCGCCTTCCTCTGTGCCCTGCACTGCCGTTGTCCCTGTCCAAGCTGCACCTCTCTTTAATCATGCAGTGAAGCAGGTGTCAAGCGCTGCTGATCTAAGAAAACGTTGCTATCAGCTCTGGAAGGCCAGGCAGCAAGCATCGGCGAGCTGCATCGGGAGCAATATGCAACAGCAGTTACGGATGCTGCGCTGTTGGCAGATCAAACAACGCTTGTCGTGTCCTTGCGCAATACCAACTTCCTGCGGCTGTTCTCTACTGAAACACAGAAGGTAGGTGCTTCACCTGATGAGTCATGCTCATGTAATTTTTCTGCATTGGATGCGAGATGGTCAGCAAAAGCGTATACTTGCAGGGAGTGGGTACGGTCAATATGAATGCGCAAGGCGACAATCATGTCTCCTTCACAGCGAGCCATCTGGCTGTGTCACCATGCGGCAAGTATATCTTGGTCTCGACAGATGGCGCACGCATCATCATGTTCAACGTGGCAGGTGAGCATGTGCCATGGCATGCCATGCAGCTCATCTTTGTGGCTGTTTGTAATCCACAATGCTCTCCATCTGCTGGCTTAGCTTGCTGTTGTTGCAGATTGGCACCAGAGCCGCAACTTTTTCGGCTTGCAAATCGAGAGCTTCCATCAGCCTCTGACCACCTGGCACCCCTCTGGCTTCTACTTTTTTGCTGCTGCGGCGCATGGGCAAGTTATGGTCTTCCATGTTGGCAGTGCAAAGGTGAGCCATGACAATCAGTGGACAATTTGGCCTAGGCACCATCCGGCACAACACCTACCATACTAAGATACACCGTAGTACGGTGACCAACTGGCTTCAAGTTGAAGTTGGTGCGCTTGGTTAGGCCATTGCTCTGCCAATCAGATGTATCCTTTGCAGATAGGAGTTTCAGGAATGCAGGATGTGATAGAATGAAGGATTGCCAATGCAGTGAATGAGCATAACCTTCAAGTAAAACTGTTGATGGCATCTGGATGATCATGATGGACCAACGCTGTGTGCTTTCTGCAGGTGGTTGCTACACTGAAAGCCCACGAAAAGAACGTGAGAAGCTTGCACTATGACAAGCAGCAGAGATGTCTTGTCACAGGAAGTTTTGACCGCAATGTGCAGATTTACAAAGACGCCATATGCATGCCTGCACTTCTTGCCACGCCAGCAGAAGACATCAGCTTGGAAACCAAGACCCAACAGCCTTGACCACAATGTTGCTGCTCGCTACATGATCAATAATGGCTGCAAAAGTTCATAATGCTGACCCCTGGATGATCCTTTGAAAAGACAAGGTGTAAGAGACAATGTCACACTCCCACTGATATATGCGTTATAGCTCTCCATATCTGCGTGTCCCATCATATTTCTCTATAATCCAAAGCTGTGCTGAGGTATAATCTTCTCAATGAGGCTGCTTGTGCTGATATCTCCACCGTCATGTAATAGTATATCTCCTAGTGCATTCCAAACTGCTCAGAGCTTCCCCTCCTCAGTGAGCGCTTCAACGCGCAGGAGTACGAAGCCAACCGCCAGTCCCTGCAATAAAACAGCATCGGATGAATGAGCAGACAAAGGGGCCCATCAGAAACATTGTAAATACTGCACCCCACTTCAAACAAGAAGAGTGGGACCCTCACCACAAGAGTGATGGCGAAGCAGACACCAGCTACACCAGAGATGTAGCTGAGCTCGTCGGCGACCTGGTAGATCTCCATTGCTGCAGCAGTCTTCACATTCTGACGGAGGGTCTGTGTCTGCTTTGCGCGAGGCTGTGCTACCAGAGTAGACTGCAGTGATCTGTGGGCACAGCACAGCACTTGATCAGGCCAAACGTCCTCGTATATTTAGTGTCAAAAAATAGAATTTTGATCCAGGAAAAGGCAATCAAACCGACTGTCACCTAAGAGGAGCGCCCTGGGGTCTGAGGCCAGCAGCATGCCCGAGGGATGCCCGCACGGGCCGCCTGCTGGTCTTGGCTGTGCAAACGCACGCAGAGGAGCTGGTAATGGCGGCAGACATGGTGGTTGCCATTGTTTTTTATTGCTGTTGTTCGTTGGTCGCAGAATATTTCGCATTGAATGGTGGAGATAAGGGCAGGGCGCTGTTGCCAATCTGGGCTGTAGATTCACTCCGCTTCGCCTCGGCTTCGCCTCGGCACACGACTTTGTTTGCCACCCAGGCAGGGTGGGGGGCAGAGCACCCACGCCATAGGGATCGATCGGGAACCTAGATGTGTAGTCCGGTGTTTATACTTGTTGTAGCGATCTGCTCTCCTGTTAAAGTGAAGGTTGCCAAGCAGATTTGCATTTTTGCAAATTGGAGGTTCTTCAGATAGTCGCGATATCTCATAATTTTCATGTTTGGCTTGCCAAGCAACATTTGTTAGGCCAGAGATGTTCAATTTCTTTGATTTTGGTTGCGTACTTGTCAGACCTGAAACACCTGCCGTAAAAAAACAGTCACTCCTACCTGAATGGCAGGTGAGGCTTTGGTGTGGTAATGCGCTAAAGATGGTGCAATGCGCCTGTGCAGAGGAGTCGATGAGATGCAAACGAGCTAAGAGCTGATGTTCCACTGCTGTGAAGGAGGGGCGGGCAGCGTTGCCTTCATTTGCAATGGCCCTGCAACAAATAGACAGGCTCTGAGAGGAGCTGAAGCTTGTGCAGCAGAAGCTCGAGGCGAAAGAGCAGGAGCTCCGGGGAGCCACAAGGACCAAAATGCTGTCTGAGGTCATTGCCCTCATCGAGAAGGAGAGGGATGGGCTGATCCAGGACAAGCGCGACATGCGGCAGCAGCTGAGCGCCCTGCAGGCCCAGCTGGCCGGCCCGTCAGGTGAGGTCGCTGCTGCTGCCCCATGACGACTGGCCCTATGGCCAGCTTCCAGGTCTGCTTTCAAGCGCTGCCAAATGCATTAGGGCAGACCTTGAGTCTGTTGACCGCGCTGCGCTCATACCCTGTGGCATCTGCGTCGCACATGTTGATGCGGCAGACTCAGGCTGATTGTGACACCGTCACTGTGTTCGGTAGCTTTGTGGGATCAGTTATAAATAGACTTGCGCGAATCTCAGAGCGAAATGGCACCTCTTGGGTGAGTGCAACTGCTGCTTTGCTGCTGATTTGTTCCTAGTCAGCCAGACTGTCGTCGCCCCGCTCTGTGATGTGCCCTCTCTATCTCTAGAGGTCGCTAGAGCTCAGCGTCGTCTGTCATTATTGTTTTTGCCAAATACTGGCCAGAGGCGCAACATGTGACAGCAACATATAATCTGCCCGAGGGCGTGCGGACCAGCACCATTGAGCTTCAGGGGGCCCCAAGCATGCAAGACGCCCTCAAGGCCCTTCCTCCCTCGAGTTGGCCGCGGCAGAACCAAGAGGTCTCAGCAGCTGCCACCTGGGTGCGGCGGCCATTCCAGCAGCCTTTGCGGGCAAGGGGCTCATACTTCCTTCCCCGCTTCAAGCAGCGTGCAGGATGGCAGCACCGCTTCCAGCTGAGAGCGGCAGCACACCTGCCACACACATGTCGCTCGAGCCTTGCCTTTGGCTAAGCATGTCTCACTTTGACCGGGCATCATATATGTCATTACACATTTTGCATGCATCTGGGGCTGCTGTTGTGGGGAAGTGTGCCCCCTGGCTTTTAAGCAGTGACAATAAATCTAATGGGGCCATCATGATGTTTCAGGGACAGCCGTGTGATGACGCTCCACTCAGCGATGAAGAGTGGTAGGTTTTATGAGGCTAGTGATAGATGCTGAGATCATCTACTATGATAGTAGATTGCACACAATGGACATCTGCTTCATTGCATGAACGAAGTCATGCATCCGCTGCGCTTGCGGAGTTGGCGCTGATCTCAGCAGACGCCTGACTGTATGGACATGCACAAAGGAATTAAAATCTCTCCCTGATGCGATGCCTTCTAGCATGTACTCGCCCCAGTGCCTCCATTCCCGGAGTGCTGGGTCAGCACTCATGAGTGCACTCGTGAGCCACGTGGCCACAGCAGCCTGAGGGTCCCCCGGGAACCCTGTGTGACCGTGGTGACTTGCATGCAGGTCATGCCTCAGCAAGAAATTTACTGCCCAAGCATTTGATCATTGTGCACTGCAGGATTGCATTGTCGACGAACAGAGCCAAAAGCAGGTCATATGTGCATTACGAAAGAAAGTTACATGCATTACTAAAGCTGAGGGTCGTCGACATATCGAAACAGGCTGCTGTGTAAATGAATGGCAGGACATTGGATATTTGTCCTGTGATCGATGCCGAAAAGCTGTGCAATAGTCTGTACCTGGATCGTTGCTTTACCTGGAACAGTGTTATGGACGAGGAATACTGTGAAGTGTGCACAAATGAGCTGGACGCCACAGATTCCTCCATCAGCTTTTGCGACTGCAACTATTCCTTGTGCCTGTGGTAGGCTTCCCTGAAGCTCACGGTTAGACTTGAGTGTAGTAATGTCGGCACGGATCTTGTAGGCGTTGGACGCGTGACTGTCTTGTAACTCGCGAACACTGTGGGTCTTTATCGTATGGACTGCACTCCTCAGCGCGCCTCCTGGTGCCGACAGGTGCTTCCATCGGATCTGTGAAGATGCAAAGAAGGAGAACATGCCTGGGCGTTGTCCGAACTGCAGAGCGGAGTTTGATGAAGAGCGGATACGCAAGCAAAGGCTTGACCCAGCCAAGTGAGTTGTCTCTGCAGCAAGCGTCATAGTAACGTTTTGCATGGTTTGAACTCGCTTGTCTGAAATATCAGTGATTCGAGCTGTAATTTGTTAATAAGCCGGTGCGATCGCGAAAATTTAGTTTCTTTTTGGTTGCATCCACGTGGCTTGGTTCCAAGCTACTTCGTAGAAAAGACTCGCGGTTCTGGCGTGCCATATTTGCGAAGACAACATTTGTACTTTCAAGCAGATCATCAACACAGCCTCGTGGAAGTGTGCCCGTCAGGTTGTGCATTGCAGGCTTCATACTTTTCTTCAGCACCTCGATACTGACACTCTTTGCTGTCTGGCAACAGGCTTGAGGAAGTCAAGAAGAAGCAGAAAAAGGACGAGAAGAAAAAGGGTGCTCCAGCAATGAAGATGAGGAAAGACCTGGTGGTAGGTGCCCAGATGCTTACACACTTCCTGTGGCTGCTGCGCTGATGCTTGATGCTTGATCACCACATTCATGTATGTATTGCACAGTACAATTCACTTGCATTTGCCACACCAGTGACTAACCCTGTAAACAGGGTGTGAGGGTACGCCGCTGCCTGACAAATCCTTCTATGTGCTTGATGCTTGATGATGATACTTGATGCCGGTCTGCTGCGAGGCGCTGGCTGTGTGAGGATGTGATGTGTCAAAGTGCTGAGAGGGACGTTGGGGTCGCAGAATGTGCGGGTGGTGCAGCGGAACCTGGTGTATGTGGTGGGTCTGGCGCTGGAGCTCTGCTATGAGGACCTGCTCAAGGGTCCTGAATACTTTGGCCAGTTTGGCAAAGTGATCAAGGTGCGAAGCCGACATCACCGGCATTGAAGATGCCTACAAGCTTCATATCTGGTGCTGTAGTGCAGACGATTGACGTGTGCCTCCCTTGCAGATCTCTGTGAGCCGAGCTGGACCCTACAGCACAGCTGCAGCAAAGAATGGCCCGACGGGGAGCGCATACATCACGTACAGGAGACCAGCAGATGCCAAGCGGTGCATCGAGACTGTGCATGGTGCCCTGTGGGAAGGTGCACTACCCGAATCATAGCTGTCTCTGTTGAACACACAGCCTTTAAACCAATCTTGTGCCATGAGCGCGTGTGCTTCTTGGTTGGGGACGTGAGCTCACCCTGTGAGTTTTATGGACAGGCAAAATCATGAAGGCGTGCTATGGCACCACCAAGTACTGCAACGCGTTCTTGAAGGGCCTGGTGTGCAACAATTCTGACTGCCTCTACCTGCACGATGTTGGTGAGTCCTCCGCTGCCTCAATCTCATAATGGCATGGTCTTGCACCTCAATGTCAGGGTCCAATTCAGACAGCACTGATTCACTGACTGCTGCCATGATACTGCTGCAGCGGATGACGAAGACAGCTACACAAAGGAGGAGACCAAGACACCCAAGTTTGTGAACCTGGTACATGCGGCATCCATTCAGAAGCAGGCCAGCCAAGCAGTGCAGGCAGCAGCACCTGTGGCCAGTGGGACGCCTCGAGCACAGCCTGCAAACGGCCATGCGGCAGCTCTCCAAGGACCAAGCGAAAGCGATCGCTCAGCGCTTGTGACCAGCTCACTCCCGGAGCCTCTCAACGACCAGCAGGTGACAAAAGCTGACGTCTCCTTTTTGGTCGCCTCACAGGCTCCCAAAATCCCGACCTTATTAAATATTGCCTGAACTATCCTTGCTGTATGCAATAATTTGCTGATGTCATTGGGGGCTGTAATAGGCGGGCACATCTGGAGCGTGGCCGGCGTTGGGAGGGGCCACATGGGCAGCCAAGGCTGTGACGCCCCCGGCTGCACCGCCGCCGCAGCCGCCGCCGCCGCCCCCCTCGGCAGAGGACAGCACGCAGGAGTGGCCCGAGCTGCCTGGCGCCCTCACAGACTCGCCAGAGGCGGCCAGGGCGGGCGGCGCGGCCCCGGTGGCCCCTGTTGCTGTACAACTGCAGCGAAAGGGCAGCACCATGGCCGCAGAGCTGGCTCGGGCTGCATCCGCGCCCAACGGCGGCGCGGCGGCAGCCAAGGTGCCAGCGTCTCGGCAGCCTGCAGCTAACGCGGTCCTTGTCGTGCCAAAGAAGAAGGCGGCGGCAGTGCGGACGCCCAAGAAGCCCGCTGCCGCTGCAGCGCCAGCTGCAGCAGCTGCTGATGCCCAAGTCAGCAAAGCGGCGGAGGCGACCCAGCAGAGCAGCAAGGCAGCGGGTGACGGTGGCGCCGCCGTGGATCCAGGCAGTCCTATAGTTGCCGTCAGCAAGGCTGCTGAAGCCGCATCGGGCAGCAAGGCGGGACGGGAGCAGGAGGCAGCAGCTGTGGAGAGCGGTCAAGATACCAGCAAACAAGCAGGCCCACATGTGAGTCCTTGCAGACATATAAGTCTAGCGCTTTGCTTGTCGAAAACCATTTATGTCTCCTGCCAACCTGGTCCTTCTGTTCTGTGGGCTTCTTTCGGAAAGATGTTCTGTGCGAGCAGGGTCGACAGGCTGACGCGGGCTCTCCTGTACAAGACAATGCTGGCAAGCTGGAGCAGAGCCAAACTTTGTCTGGGGACAGCAGCGGCAAGAAGGCTGGGCCTCCCCCTGGTTTCGAGGCGCTCAATGGGGCTGCAGCAACAAATGGGCGGCCTAAGAAGGTCAGCAATATCACATACAGTACTTTTTGGCTTATCATATTTTTGATTTGTGCTCTCTGATGCTAGGTCTCCAGTGCGCTTGAATATCCTGGGATGTTCTGACAGAGCCCCTGTGTTGACTGCAGGGACCCCCTCCTGGCTTTGTGGCACCGGAGGGCACTGCCTTTGCTGGCGCTGGGTCTCCCTTTCAGTCGTACGGTTCTGAGTCATCGACGACCTCGGCTGCCCGGGAGTACCAGCCCTCAGCTGGCGGCCCCTCTGCCGCTGCTGCACCGAAGCCACCTGGCGCTTGGGATCCTGCGGCAAGCCTGCCGAGCCTGGACAGCATCTGGGGCGGCGCGCCACAGGAGCAGGCGCCCGCGGCCGCGCAGATCCCCTTGCTGCCGCCGTCCAACCGCTCGCGCTCGCGCTTCCCCTTCGCGCAGGGCAGCGAGGACCACTCATCCTCCGGCCGGCTCGCTGCCGCTCCTTTGCCCCCGAACGGCCCAGTCCCCTCGTTCTCCCCTTGGGTCCACGGGAGCGGCGGCGATGGCGGCGGCAGGGCGGCGGACCTGGCCGGCGCGGCGCTGCTGCGCCAGCTGCAGAGCGGCCCCAATGGCACCGCGCACTTCAACGGCTACGGCAACGGCCATGTGAATTTAAGTGGCGCGTACATCGGCGAGCGTGAATTCTCCCTGCAGCCGGGTCCCCGCGCCTACCAGATGATCCCCACGCCCAACCCACAGAAGGCCTTCCCGCCACGCGTGGTGGCTCCTGCAGCTGGTGGCCCGCCAGGCTTTGCCGAGCAGCAGCAGCTGCACATGCAGCAGCAGCAGCAGAATGGCTTCCATGCAGGTCCCAATGGGATGGCTGTACCACCTTCGCAGCTCGGGCCAGAGGTGCAGGCGCTGGAGGCCGTCTGGCTAGATACCAACCAGCGTTTCAGAAACATGGCTGTGTAGCTTGCTGCGCATACTGTGGCATGTAGCAACCCAGGGAGACGCATCAGCACCGCCAGAGTGTTGGGCGCACACTGGCGTCTGTTGATGCGCAACCGAGAAGACAGATTTGCTGCTCTTGCTTGGTGATCAATTTGAAGGTTAGCAGTTGCCACACGATCGGTGTAGATTATCCTGTTGCCCGCAGAAGGGATTGAACCTCAAGTTGGGCTTGGAGGACCCCTAATTAGCCACTATAGAGACTATCATGAGGTAGTTCCCATAGTATGTTGTACGTGGCATAAGCTGTACATTCCACAAGCATGGTATCCTCACAATTGTAAGTCAATCACGATCATTGAGACAGGGCAGTAACAAGCACGATTCACTGAGCCAGAGCCAGAGCAGTTTCTCTAATGGGCAGGATCCAAGTATTGAAAAGGGAACGCCACCGTACCAAATGTAGAAACCCAACACTATTTCCGAAGGCTTGCATCTTGAAAGCAAAGGACTTACAGGAGCGCTTTGGTTGCACGTCAATTCTTCAAACCATAAGCGTTCAATCAGCACAATGGCTAACCGGGGTCAGTATGGTGGAGAGGACGACATGATGATGGAAGACGCAGATGAGGCTCAGCCTCAAAGAGTCAGATCGCAGGTGGTTCCAAGAAAGCAGAAGGGCCGTGGGTTCCGTGAGAGGATGGACACTGATGGCGATCGTAATGGTCGTTATGAGAGCCTCGAGACTGGGAGTGGGCCTGGACCAACAAAGTGTAAGTTACTGATCCTGGGAAAGCAGCCGAAGCTTGGCTGCATGGAAACTTGGTGAATGTCTTTTACTAGCTGTAGTAGTTCCTGGATCTCCAGCATGCCGTCCACAAGCCGCCACAAACGAATTGCCCTGAGAAGTCTTGCTAGTGGGGTCTTGCTTGAGCTTTTGTCCTGGTGGTAGACCACATGTGATGTACAGATGATGTTTTTGTAGTTTCAGCTATATCGTGCATCTGCTTTGCATGGGCGTGTGGAATGAACAGCTATGGTCTGCTCTGCAGCAAGCTTCCTGATACAAGAGTTCTAGGCAGTGTTGAAGCACGTCGCTGTTTTCTGAACTTGCAGCGGTGGAAGGATGGGTCATATTCATTGGCGGCGTTCACGAGGAGGCTAGTGAAGAAGATCTGCACGACACCTTTGCCGAGTTTGGTGAAGTGAAGAACATCTACCTCAACCTGGACAGGCGAACAGGATATGTGAAGGTGTGCTTATGCTGGGCTTCACCTGGATGGTTTGGGCAGCTGCATCGCTCTGCAAGGCACAGGAGCTGATTCTGATGCACCGCAACTGTGCAGGGCTATGCCATGGTGGAGTACGTGACAAAGAAGGAGGCACAGGATGCTATTGACAACATGAACGGCCAGGAGTTCATGACGCAGCCGCTGCTCGTCACATGGTGCTTTGTGAAGGCAGCAGCTCGGAGGCGTGCTGCACGATGAGTGATGGCAATGCCATTGTAGCATGCAGTCTGCATGCTTCTTTGCGTGCTCTCCATGATAAACAGGCCCGGGTCCTGCCGCACTGTGTTGTGTGGTGTCACGTGCATGCGATGTGACTTTGGCCAGACAGTCTGTGTGAGCTGAGCGACGGATTCTGGATGGATTTTTGACTACTGCTGGTAGCAATTTGCACAGCAGCTGGGGTGTGGGCACCCGGGCATGCTGCATCTGTCATGTCCGGCATAACTCTTGAAGCTTTGTCACGGCCCTCCTGAAGATGCCTCTAATTGCCAGCATGTATACAGTATAATTAGCCCTTGGATTGTCAATATACGCAGGTAAACCGAATGTTTGACCCAGTCATGACAGTTTAAGTTGCCTTCTCCTTGTCGAATTGGAGCCTCAATGGGCAAGTTGATGGCTGCACCCCTCAGGGGATAGGCTATAAGAAAGAACCTCATCCATTTCATTGGTGGGTGAATGTTTGCATGCATAAACAGGGAACGCCATGTGCAGTGCAAATGATGTGGGCAGGCAGTGCCATCTATGGATTTAGCATGACGAGCTACATTAGTCTGCTGTCCCAATGTACTTGAGTGCAGGGCCCCAGCAGGATTCTAGAGGAAGCTTTATACAGTGCAAGGTACAGCTATCTGGACAGAAACATACACATTAAAGGTGCTGGTTCTACAATTCGCATGAATATTTCCTGACACTCCAACATGCTCTCAGAACGTAACCCTGTCCCTACCAATAGCTTCACCTAATTGGAGGGGACGCCTTCTCCTAGTTGTTAAACCACAAAACACCTTCTGGTCAGGCCCCAATGGCCCTCGCACCATGTTCCAGCGCTCCTTTCCAGTCTGTCCAATCCTCGGTTCAGACAAAGGGAACTGTTTGACGAAGACTGACCCCTCACAGGGGCACATAGTAGTTAATAATATTAACTTAATATTAACTTAATATACTCCTTACAATGATGCATCACCAAATGGCTTAGATACAGCATTTTGCAAGAAATCGTGTGCTGGGCCAATAAGTGGTATTAGTAGTACTAGGACTACAGGCCAGAGCTGAGAAATGAAGCGATCATGCCACTGAGCCGCTCTCTTGCGGATTGAAGTTCTTCCAGACTCGCGTCATTGCTGAGTTCTGGAACTGCTGAGGATGGTATGCCCATCAGCATTGCTTCCTGGACAACAGACAGGTGTTGAGCAATTAGTTGCTATCATACTGCGCAATACCTGAGGCAACCCTGCAGTGGGTGGAGGACAACGGTGTAAGGAGGACAATGGTGTAAAAGCTCATCAGGGATCCAGACAGAAGTGCCATAGATATACCTCGCGCATGGACTTGTAGGCATTCAGCCAGGTGATCCGCATTCTGTCTGTGAACTCTCCAGATTCCCTGGCAGATCGCAATCTACTCAGACAGCTGTGTACCTGTCACTGGTCTCATTTAGCTGTGCTTTGATGTGCAGAATGTATGATGGATAGTTTTTCAACAGCATTGGCACCGGTCACATCTCAGGAAAATAATACAGCAAGGAATAACACAGCAAATATCTCATTCTCACCTGTTCATCATGTCAGCCAATACAATTGCTGATCTGGAGCTGTAACCAGTCCTCTCTGCCGCACGTGCAGCCTCTAGCCCCTGTGGGGTTCCCGGCCGAGAACCCACCACAGCACAGAGCATGCCTGGACAAAGAGATTTTCATGTCAAAAGTACGCACTGACATCAGTCTCCCATCTCATGTAAGCAATTAAGGAGTGGTCAAGAACAATTCATGGACCTCCAATAATTGTCTTGCAATACTTGAAGTCTGCATCAGGCACCAAAGGAACCAGATGGCACCTTCATCAGAGGTCTCAGCTTGAGGACCATATATTTCTCTTATGTCACAGAACCCTGTGCTGAATAGTAATTGCCTCAAACTTGCAGGATATGACGCAGCACTCCGGTCTGTGCCCTGTGCAGCCCCGACGGAGTGCCTTGCAAGAAGGATCAGATTTCCTCCTGGTTTCAGCACATGGAGCACCTGCTGCAGCGTGGGGGGTTAAGCACACCACTGTGTTCTCGCATGCATGTCTTTTGCTTTTAAGCACAATCGTGTGAATAGGTGCAAATGCTGCACGTTCTGTTAGGGCTCCTTACCTTCTTCAAAGCCTCCTCAGGGTCCTCCAAGGACTTCACCCCACCGCACAGCAGAACAGCATCATTCTGGTGGCTGCCATCAGCAGTGCCATTGCTATTTTCTAAGGAAACTTCCTGCAACAAAAGTGTGCTCATCTCTGCAATGCAAGGTTTCCAGATTGTTGTCTGATGTGACATCTTTGAACAGAAGGTCAAGCATGTACAGTCTGTCAGCAGAGCAAGTGCTTACTTCCAGATAGTGAACTTTATGGTTGGAGGGCAGCACATCAGGAGGCACTGCGAGGCCTTTTGCTGTATATAAGATAAGGACATGCAGCTTGTTATCTAGTAATCTGGCTGTCCAGCATGTTGCCAACAGCTTGCGGATGTCATTGTCATCCAAGCTCTCTTCACTGTCCCAGCATGATGACAACGGGTGCAAGTTCAGCCCTGCAAAACGCAAGCACTGGCGCTCAGCAATCATGAACCTCAATAAATCAAGTATCTGCACGGGTGAACAGGCCTCAGTCTCAATGAGCTGCAGCTTAGTGGCCTCTTACCCGGTCCTGAAAGGTGCAGGGACACAGATTCACTCCCTTGAAAATTGCTGCTTTCAGCTCGAGGAATTGATGTTGCATGTCTTCCAAAATATTGGAGTACCTGTGCAGACACGAAACAATGTCTTATACCTCGATTAGATTTTTCTAGTGATCTGGGATCACTTTCTGATGCTGTTTGACAATAAGCAAAGATCACTGTCAAACAAACCTGCAATCTAGAAATATTGGAAGATTCCCTCACGACATGTCGTTGAGCAAGCAGGACGCAAGGAGATACTGTTGGGATCCTCGTGAAGGTTTTTGGCACATTCATGGCCTTGCAACTACGTGACATATACAAGTGGTGCTCCCCATACAAATTGAAAGGTCAAACTAATGAGCAGTCTTACGCAAAAGGTCCATGCTCCCACAAAATTGAAGGCGATCGCATTTGCAAGTCCGGTGAGCTGTCCAAGGGTCTTTTGAAAAGCAATCCCTTTTAGAGACTTTCATGATCAAATTGCACTTACTATACTTTCTCGTTCCCAACGAAATAAGGCACTGCAGACTAAGTCTTGAGAGGACTGCAAGTGTGAAGTGTTGCTTTGAGCCGAATAGCTATTGTCAGGTTATTATCGAAGCTGGTCAGAGAGGTCTTGTCTGTGTCCTATGGCTTACAGATGAATTGAGATGATAGATTTGCACACCTGGAATGCATCTGCACCCCTGAGCAGCATTGATGGACCGGCTGCCCAGCATCAGACAAATGCACAGAACTGCAACTGTGCTCCTGGCTCCCAAAGTATCCAGACATATGGAAGGCTGCAGGCTTGCCCGCAGTTGGAGGATTGCCTCCTTGTGCCTTCAGACACAAGCTAGTGGACACCCTAGCAAAGTACACAAGCTCTTCAATGAGGGCAATGTGCTCACGCTGGAGCGGGGCACTGGGAGCAACCTAGGGAAGGACGCAAAGCTATGGGGCACAGGATGCTTCAATGCCAGTGTGTACCCAGATCTTCCGGCTTTCATGAAGTGGTCCGACCTGTTGCGCGCCGACAGGTTCAGGTGATCGTTCGGTGTTCTCACGCCTTGACTGCATGAGTTGTCTCTGCACGAATTTGTATTTTGTGGGAGTGTCAACTCCTCAAGATGTGATTGCCTTCTCTATGATTTGGAAAGCAGGCAGGCTATGAAGCCAATGGACTATGAAAAGCTGAGAGCCGAGTCGAGCGCTGGTGACGATCAAGGGCTGGTTGTCAGGACTGTTGGCGTGCAGGTAAGTTTCCGCCTATGCAACAACCCCACCTTGTCGGCTAACAAATGCTAGCAAATATCACAAGCCTTGCCTCCTACACTTTTTCCCAAAGCATGCCGTTGCAGATGCCTTGACGTGTTTGAATCTCCCATGTGCAGCTGCGCGGGCGGGAGGGCGTGCGGCGCCGGCTGCTGCTGCGCGCAGGGCTGCAGGCCGACGGCGGTGCGACGGCCGGGGTGCGGCCTGCGGATGCACTGCTGCTGGTATCGGGCAGCCACCCAGTGAGGGGGGCGCTGGCGTGGAGCGGCATGCTGCAGGACAGTGTGGATGCTCTAAGCATTGCGGGCAGCCTGAAGCAGCAAGGGCTGCTGCCTGCGCAGACCTCGCTGTGGGCTGTGGCCAACCCCCTGGTGGACACAGGAGAGAGCCTGGAGCGCAAGGCAAGCATGGGCTCATCCTTCTTTTGGGGGACGCTTGAGACAATGAAAGATTTCTGCAACGTGAGTACTGCAAAAGGCTCTGTGTTGTCTGGTAGTGATTGGGGCTGTGGCTGTCACAGGTTGCGGCAGGAGCAGAGGTTATTCTCACTCAGCCGCCCTTGATATACCCAAGATTCGAGTCTTGGTTTAGCAGCATTGAAAGGTGGGTGCCTGTCCCTGAAAAAACTTGTTAACTCCAGAATTCCCAAGAGGTATTAGTAATCTTTGGCAAAGAGGGTGATCATGTGTTGTATGTGCAGGTTGGGATTGACCAAAGAGGCCAAACTGGTGATTGGCATTCCCATGCTGACATCCAGTGGGAGCATGCAATTCTGGCTGCAGCTCTGCTCCGCTGCTCATCAGGAGGGGGCAGCTGAAGCACTGTCACCCTTTACCAAGGCTGAGCAGCATGGGCCAGAAGAACTGAAGGACTTCAGTCGCAAATACTCGGCAGAGCTCATTGAGAGGGTCCTGCAGCTTCCAGGAGTTGCTGGTCTCCATCTGATGCCTGTCTCTGGACCGGGCCGGGCGCTGGCCTTTCAACTAGCACAGAACGGATGCTTACAGCCAAGAACGCATGACTCATCTTCTGGTGTTGCGGCACCATCAGCTTAGATCAAATGCAAGAGACAAAGTAGATTTGCCCATCTTCAGCACTCGCACTAGGCTTTTGAGTGGCTGTAATAGAATTGATGGGCATGCCCAGATTGAAAATATAAGACACCTTGCAATCAGCATGTCACATGGCCAAAACGGGCTTGACCATGTCTTCTAGGGGTGAGAAGCCTTCTGGGTACTTTGCCGGCCCATGGGCAGCATCAGCTGCAGAAGCCACATACGGTTTGGGACCCCAAGGCGCTGGCAGGTCCATCAGGGCAGGAATCTCGCCCTGCGAAGGCAAACTTTTTTGGGAACCCCGGGTGGGCCACCCTCAAACATCTGTTGATTGATGTAACAAAGTGCAACGCGCGATATTCAGCTGCAGAACATCATTTATACTTCTGCCTGACCATCTGCCCCTGCACCGATCTGCAGATCTAGCCAGGGGGAAGCAAGGCGAGTTTTTGGCACATGCAGCACGCACCTTTGTGCGCGCTTCCTGCACTGCCTGGTCTGGGTCCTTGCCCTCAGACATGGCGGCAGCCCTGAAAGTGGCCACTCCAGGTGCAGGAGGGGCAGCAGGCAGCAGGCGCACACCCAGGCGCCAGTGAGGGAAGCGCTGCAGCCAGCCCAGGACAGAGAATTGGGACAGAGTCTGTGTGCTCTCATCTACTGTGGGGTCCCCCAGGTACTGCTTGCCAATGCACCTCTCGTTGGGCCCAAAGTACAGGAGCAGCTGATCCCTGGAAATACTGCCGCCAAATGCTTCCTGCCGCAAGCACAATTACTCTCAGCAGAATGGCACGTCATCAGAGTCCTCTGTCAAAATAGAGTGCATCTGTCGGATGTGCTCGCTTGTTCGTGAGGTGCCGTGTATAGATTGGGAGCTGAGACTCATTTTCCTACGGAATTACGCACTGCAAAATTTACCAGCTTGTGAGCAAGCTTGTGTTGGGAAATTTTGTGCCAGCATCGGGGTTCAGGAAAGGTGAACAAGACCTACTAACGCGGAATTTTCACCGGATCCACGTTTCAGAATTATACAGATATTTGCGCACCGATAATTTATCCTTGACTGCCTGGACACTGTCAGAACCATCTGCCGCAAGACTGATGCTACACTCCGGATCTGACCCTTTGGACAGTATTGTATGACCAAACATCACCCTCGCAGCGACATTTATTGTTGCTTTACTTGCCACCATCTTTTCAAATTTGGTGTGGTCCTTTGGCTCGTGGACGAAGTGATGATTTTCTTTTCAGCGAGTGTGTTAGCGTTGGCGTTACATTCAGGGAATGGTTAGTAAGCCAAGCGAGAAGATGCATGACTTGAAGATACTAAAGCTTTATTACCAAATCGACAGTAGGCCCAGCCTGGATGCAGGCGAAGTTAAGGTGGACTTGGGCAAGCTTGCCACAGCACAAAGATCAATCAAGCACGGTACCGCTGGTGCCAATATTGGCAGGTCTGATTGCAATTGCCGGTGCACATGTACATGTCCTACAGGAAACATTGTCACAATGTGAACTTTTCATAAGACATCCTGGCAAGAAAACTTGTTCACCCCATGAGCACGTAGCGGATGCTGAAGCTGCTTTTCTTTATTCCATCCGATGTCGCCAGCCTGGGTATACTGAGTATCCTCATCATGGGAACCGGTGGCTTCCATAGTATTACAGAAAATGCAATAGCTCTATTCCCAGCAATAGCATACAAGGTATATAGTTCACTGCAGAGTCCACGACGATCATGTTGATCGCGGTGCATCAGCATCTGACAATCGTTGCCTACATAGTCTGCCAGTACTACTTAGTAAGACGTTGCAATAGAAATCCACTTCCCAAGTGTCAACCAGATGCATTTGTAGGTATCAACCTGCACATGCATGAGAAGGTTCTATATCTCGAATTTCTCGGCACGAGTTGGTTGAATCGCATTGAGAATAGTCACCAAAGGTATGAGCCGTCACAATTCCCCTCATAATAGAAGATACAGATGCCAAATCACAGCCGCATAGCAGGTGATATGTGCATGCTCACCTCAGCTGACCTCAATATTGAGCTGTGCATTCCATCTTTCTGCAAAAGGCGGCCTTCCTGATCACATCCTTCCACATGGGAGCAACTCCGCCGCCGGCGGTGCCATCTGTAAGGGACAGCATGCATGAGGATGCTGCAGTCCAGCATGCACCAGGGGTGCTCTGAAAATCTCACAAGAGTGTCTCTAATTTTTATGGCCATCAGCAACTGATGATGCTGATCACCATCTTCAACCAGATCTTGATCTAGGCACCAAGCGGCAGCTGAAGGCCACAGAAGGGCCAGCAGTTGCTTGACAAAAGGTGCCAGGCGCATGTTGCTGATCTCAGATTTTTCAGTTATGCCAAATTGCTTGGTGAAGAAATGGGAGAGGACACCTTCAAAATTGGTCCACTAGCCAGACAGCCTTGTGCACCAGCACAAGCGGCAGGAGAGCACCGTCCTCTGGCATGAGATTACATGTCTTCACTCTTAAATCAAAGAAATTCTGGCCATTCCTTCACCGGCTGTGGTTGAGCAGACGCGGAACAGAAAGACAATGCCAACAGCATTGCCCTGTTCCCCGTGAAACTGACGAGCAGCATAAATAGGGGCGACTCAATCTGGATAAGGTATGCACGTTTCCATCTGAAGATTAATCTGTTATTCAGTGCTTCTTCTCTGGATTAGCTGTGCAAATGCATCTGGCAGCCAGATTCTGGCTGCGAGATGGCAACTGAGGGTATTTCCCTCGACTCCTGCATCCCAGGGAGAATGCTGTAATGGAAATTGCTTCAGCTTGATTAAAGTGCTGTAATCGTGGTAAGCCATATCTCGGGCCAAAGTTATCGCGAGTAGTCTATTTGTTTGTCGTCTAGAAGGCAGTCCGGCGGAACATCAGAATTACCTCGGCAGGCTGCCATAGAAAGGACGTGATCTCCTGAACACTTTAGTTTCCTCCAGATTGCGCCTAACCAGGCGCCTTCTCAGGTAAAGGATGATATTGAAATCGATTTGTCATGCTGGGACTGGTTGTGGATGTGCTTGACCAGTCATGGATCTGAATAGGTAAAATGATGATCAAAGTGAAGACACTGACGGGCAAGGAGATCGAGATTGACATCGAGCCTTCTGACACTATTGAGCGCGTCAAGGAACGTGTGGAAGAGAAGGAAGGGATTCCTCCAATTCAGCAACGGTGTGTACTGCGGTTTCATCACAGTAATGGGTACCAATGTTCCTGCAGCTTCAGAATGGAATGAAAAACCATGTGGCTGGTTTCTGCAGGCTTATTTTTGCAGGAAAACAGATGAATGACGACAAGACAGCTAAGGATTACAACATCGAGGGCGGTTCAGTGCTCCATTTAGTAAGTCCCATCAAACACTGGACCTCTAATATCGCGGCTCACATTTTGATGAACTTGCCTGGTAATAAAGTGCGTTGGGAGCTTGTTCTGCTGTCAAAATGCTACTTCTGTGTCCAGGTGCTTGCCCTGCGTGGCGGATGCTGATTGGTCCTGCACATCGCGGCGCCCCTGGCTGATGTCTTGCCTGTGTGTACCTGTTCCCATGGTCAATCTTTAGGAGGGCGCTCTGACGTCTGATCACCATTCCATGCGTAGAGGCACCCTGTTCACCAGAATGGGTGCTATACCCCAAAAATTATTCAGCAATTATTTCTCGGAAAGGCGGAGGATTATAAGACAGGAGTGTTCTTGACCTTCCCACGAGCTAGGTTGTGAATTTGGTGATCGTGAGCCGGCTTCTGTTGTTTGTTAGATACTGATGGAGGCAGACACCTGTGATTCGTAGTCTATGACAGGAGCAACTGCTGAAGCTGAGGTCTCAAACAACAATTATCCTGCCAGCACGTGTGGAGAATGGAGTTTGGAGTTGATCTTAAATGCTTTGAGACACCGGTGATGTTGCCCGAGCCCGTGATGTACATGCATCTTCTTGACACAGGAGTCTGACCTTGATAAATCCAATTCTCTGTCCTGCGATTGCCAGATATCTGCAGAGCTTCCAGGTTATATTCTGGTTGGATCAGGGATTTGCGAGTGTCGCGCGCGCGTGGCATTGCGCAAGAAATGCTCGGCACTGTGGGTGACCCTTCAAGTTGACTTTCCAACAAGGGTCCTCTAATTTATTAGACTGCAACTGCACATTGCTGCCAGCCACAGTGTCACGGTGTAGCCAGCCAGGCAGGCGCCGGGGTAGGCATGATTCACTCAGTGCATTGCACTGCTGGCCAGCACTGCTGGCCACCGTAGCCATGGCAGCCGGGGTACTTTCATCATGGTGATGATCACGATCAAATGCTGCAGCTGGCTGTGTACGATGTACAAACGCATGAGCTGTCTCTCCAAGCAATCACAGGACGCATACAATCACTATACTTCAGTAGTACTGGCTTATGCTTCAAGCAAGTACTTGTTGAGGGCTTCAACCCAGCCAGAAGGGCCGGCCTGATCTGCAGAAAGAGAAATTCTGCTCAATATTCTTGGCATAAGTGACCAACTTATGAAGAGACTCCCACTATTACATTACGACACAAGATTTATAGAGCTGAAGAAGACAAAGGCAATGCATGGCCTGATGTCGACGTGGAAGCTTCCTTTCCAGAGGAAGCCAGGCAGACCTGCCCAGAAAGAGGCGCCCCAAGTAGCATTGCATACAAATGTATCAGCATTGTTTAGTACACAAGTTTTGTAACAAAACTGAGATCGACATGCCGAGATGGTAGAATGCCAGTGCCTCATCATGTTCTGGGCGTTCGACCGAATGCATCCCCAGACGAGGTCAGTAGCTTTCCTCAAAGCATTCCGACGAATCTAGTGCATCCCGAAATGAGATCACATACTATTTGAATGTGATAATTTATTCACATTGTTGTCAACAACTAAAAGCTACATTGCTACATCCTCAGATAAAGAAAGCATTTCGACAAAAGAGCCTCCTTTGCCATCCGGACCTTTGCCCTCCTGCTGAGAGAATCAAGGCAGAAAGAGCTTTCAAGGAGCTGGCAGAGGCGTACGCCAAGCTTTCTGGCCGTAAGTCACCCGCCTGTATGTTTTCACAGGCTGCATCTATACGTAGAAATGCTGCCATTTACTCATCAATTCGGGCGTGCCATGCAAGCAGGCACCCCAATAACTGATTGGGGCGAGCGGAACTACTACCAGCACGCACGGAACAGCCGTGCCTGGACAGGTTCCCGAACGCCAGCAAAGTTCTCAAACGCCGGCCTAGCATTCCTGATCTGCATCCCGCTGGTCTTCACAGGCGTCACCCTCAGCCAGTAAGTCTGGCTGCTTGATGCAGCTGCCTTGCATGCAGTAACCTGCAGCTCAAGGGGCGCTCTTGAATGGTGCATGCATGCACAAAAAGGTAACACGTGGTGAAAGCGGTGGGATATGCTGTGCAGGAAGTACCCAAGGCTGGCACAGGAATCCTGGCGGCAGCATGGCCTGTTGAATCCCCCTACAAATCCGTTCTTGAGGGACGAGTTTCGGCCTCGCCAGCGCACATGGGGTGAGCGGAGAGACAGGCACAGCACCACTGGCACCAGCGAGCAGTAATCCCACGGAGGAGGAAGCAAATGCACCGCATGATTCAAGTCATGCTTGAGAAGCAGAACATGGCAGGAGGACTTTTGCAGGTCTTAGGTGGTGTGAAAGTTGTGCAATGCGCAGCTCTGGAGGTGCCCTAGGGCCTTATCAGCATTTTTGCTGACCACGGCATCAGCGATGCGAATGGCCCACTGCGTGGCGATAGCATCACAGGCTTGCGTGTGCACCTCGGCTATAGAGATATGGCAGAATTGTATAATAAGACCAATCATTGCTTTATGTATGAGTGTTTGAGCTGGCCCGAGGTGCCACTGCTGCTTTAACCACTGTACTTGTGGATTCAACAGAGTTTACAATACCTACTAACAACAATGCCGCCAGTTTCAATGAAGTTGGTGAGCTCAGAGATGTTGGAGATTGAACCTGATTGAATCAGACTAGTAGTCGTTCAATGTTTCTTGCCAGGCTGATAAAGTATTGGTGATGCACGCCTCCACTTTCAGATACTCAGCGTCAGGGTCCCCTGGACATCTGGACTGCAGCACATTGCTGAAACTGGAGATGCTAGAGCTGTTGCTGCAGGACTCCACCAGCATTATGGCCACTTTGGCATCCTGCCTTGTCACCGTGTGACGAGCCAGCAAGCGCGCATGAGCCTGCATGCACGCAGGGATGGGACTTGTAAATAATGAATTGACAGGAACTTGTGTGAAATCAACTGTATCCCGACAACCTCTTTTTGTGTGAGGCATGCAGGCGATTTTGCACATCAGGTGTTTGTAGCGCCTGAAGATGCACCTGGGACAAGCGGACCAGGGACTCCAGCATGCGCACAGTGCTTCTGGCTGCATGCCTGTCGTCTCTGCTCCTTGCCATCTGCCAGTATTCCAGCAGGGTGCCCTCTGCCTCCCTTGACATGTCTGGCCGGAATGTCTCTTTCACCCAGCAAATGTACTGCCTCAACTTCTCCAGCGTCCACACCTGCACCTACAATAAGTCTCATAGCAAATGCAACTAAAATGACTGCATCCGAAAGTATTGGCTTTGGCTTGACACCATAAAGGAGCTTCAAAGATTGCTGTACCTTGCTGTGGCCGTTGGTTGCGTTGTCTGGAGATTGCTGGTGGGGCTGATGGTGTCCCTGATGGCCTGCCAGAATGTGCTCAGAAACAGTGGCATCCCAGTCAGGGCCCTGGGCGTCTCTCAGCACCATGACCAGGTCAAAGCGGCTCAGCAGAGGCCCAGAGAGCCCTGTGATGACCTCCAGGGAATCCCTTGGGTTGGAAGATGCCCTGGGATTAGTCACACCCAGCACTGTGGCCTTTGTGCTCAGTGAGGTCACCTGCCGCCACCACATCACCTGTCATTATTTGGTTGGCAGATCTTTTACTCACAGAATCTGTGGTGCTTAGAGGTTTTGAAAGGGTGTTTGGAGGGCTAGACAGACCAGTCCAGCCTTGGCAACGCTGACGGACTGCTGCTCCATGGCTTCATGGACGGTTGCGCGCTGCGACTCTCGCATGCCATCAAACTCATCTATGCAGCACAGCCCGCCATCCGCCAGCACAAGCGCCCCTGCTTCCAGTGCCCTGCATCACACCATCAGCATGCTCCGTTGCAAATCTGCCACGTCACCCTTGGGACACTCTGCATGCCGATACAGTCCAGGCAAGAACCCATCCGCAGGCCTCCACAGAGGATGAGCATGGTAAGCTGTAGAAGATGCAGGCAGATAGCAGGTAATCATGTCAAAGACCACACCACTGGCCTCCCTCCTTGACTGCTGCAACCGTTAGGCCGGCTGCGCTGGAGCCTCTGCCCGTGGTCACCACAGATCTCTGACTCAGCTTGGCAGCGTACTTCATCAGCTGCGACTTTCCTGCCACAACCAAGCATTCAAAGAGTTAAAGAGCATGTGTACCTGGTGTTTCCTAGACGCAGGTAGTTGACACTTGTGAAGGACACTTCCAGAGCCTGCTGAGCACCATGCTGGGGGCTTCACCTGTGCCAGGGTCACCGACCAGGAGCATGTGGACTTGCCCACGGATGGACGCCCCACTCTCATCCACCCGCTCCACCCCACCAATCAGCATCAGCAGCAACGCGAGCTTGACTGTGAACAGGCCGTACAGTTGTGGGCACACGCTGCACATCAAAACCAACTTTCAGGCCGCTGCCGGGGCACTCTGAATGTGCCGTCAGCTCTGGCACCATGATTTGGAGACAGCTCTTGGGCGCATGTGTATTCCTTCGGCCTACCACCTCCAAGTGGTGCAGTACATTTCATGACACGCAAGGCGGGGATGCATGTAACTCACCTGGACACTATTTGGTTGCGAGTGGCGAGGGGTTTGTCAGCGCCGGCCCTCCACAGGTCACAAAAAGAGTGAACGATGCTTGCAGAGAGGTCAACGGCATCGCTGCGCTTGTTCTGCACAAACAGGCTATTGCCCAGGAGGGTGAGGTCCACCTCACACTGCTCCCCAGGTATCGTCCTTCCCCATTGCCGCGTGACAATGCCGGTCACCTCCACATCGTCTGCACAAAAACGCTGTCATAAGGACAGCTGCAACCAGTCACACATTAGACAATATGGGCTGATCTGCAATCCAGCACGGGGGCACGTATCAACGAGAACATTTGTCATTAAGAGGGTTAGGGCAGCACCTCCTGGCCTGCAGCTGTCTGCCAGGTCATCTGTCAGGATGACAGTCATTGACTGCGGGAGGGAGCCCATGGAGAGGCTCTGCGCCTGCTCCTGCACCCTGATCTCCTGGTAATCCGTGTGCTCTGATTCCTCCACAACCTGGTGGAACTTGGTGGACTTGCAGTCGCCTGAAGGGCAGCTCTTTGGGACTGGCAAGACCACCTGCTTTTGTGCCAGGTCTGCCTCCACCAGAAACCTGTGCACATTGCAGAATGCTCACATGACAGACTTTCGACTGGCAGATTCTTGGTGACACAAACAGGTGCAATACCAGGCTTGCCTGTGTTTGCATCGGGCGCACTCATACATCTGCCGGGCCTCCAATATCTGGACTGGTCCTGTCCGGATGACTTTGCCTGCATGGATGGGGAGTCATTAGCAATTTTGGACATTACGATTCGATATGGACTAGATGTAATTGCTTGATGGTGCTCCGATGCCCGGCTTGCCTGACACGGTGAGGAGGCGGCCAGCATGGGCTGAGCGAACTCCACCAATGGAGGGATGCAGCCAGCTGTGCTCAACATCGAGGTATTGAGGCAGACTGCACAATCTTGGGTGCACACAGTACTTGACTGTGCCGTCCAATCCCTGATCAACGAGCACTTGTTGTGCCTCGATGATAGCTTCCCTGTCCAGCACAGTGTTGCCCACAGAGCAGTTGGGCGTCTTACTCCCGCATCAAATTTGTAAAATTGTCAAGAATAATTGGAAGAGCTTTGCAGGTAGGTTTATTCAGTCCACACGGCCTCTCTCCTGTCATTTGGAAGAAGCTACATATCAAGATGCTAAGAAAACCTCAGAAGGACTACAAGCATCGGTGGGCAAGCACCTGAGAAGCTGCAATGTGGTCAATGGCTCCCTTATGAGAAGCTCTGCTAAGACATAATCGGTGCTTCCTAATTCCAGCAGACTCAGTGGGAGCCTATGATGAGCATCGTCTTCTCTTGAGCTCAGCAGTGCAGTCAATTCCTGTATCATAGCAACACGTAATTATGCAGATAGAAGCAAGGGCAAACTTTGAGCCAATCACTGGATCGCAGGAGCAGTGATCGCTCATCAGCTAATACTGTTGTAGCTCAGTATGAATACCTGACGACAGCAACTGGTAAGGTACGAAAGAAAGTTCGGTTGGACTTTGTCACACACGATTGGCACTTCGTCCTGCCTCACAGCGCAGGCGTTCATTGGCAAGGAGCTTGTGCTACTCCCACTGGCAGGTGTGTCCAAGCGGGTGCTGGTAAAACTCTCGTTGATAACACAGACCCAGAAAGAATTAAAGATACACCTAAATCAGACACAGAGTCATTAGAAATTTTGGATCGATGGTGCCAGAAAAAACGAATGTTTCGTTTCCTGGGAGATTGACATGCATGCTGCCTACTTAGGTAACAATCTCGAGGCGGAGATAGGCTACGCTCCTGACTGAGGAAGTCAATTCTAGACTAACTCTCTTCATGCACACTGGCAGAAGATTGCTTGCAACATGACCCGGCTCAGATCGGCTCAAAAGGCCGCATAGGTACCTTCAGAACAGGTGCCCTTCCCTTCTGCCTCATCTGAGTGATATCTTTCAAGGCATATGAGCACCATATATGCAACACCGTTCTTGCCCTGTGTTGTAGATCTCGCTCGTCTGTCAGTGCAGCTCTGCAATTGATCTCGAGGAGTGTTCTTGTGGTTCAGTGTGGTTCTAACAATGTCTGCTGTAGCCAGCTCGTACGTTTTAAGGAACCTGCCTATCACGAAGGAAATAGTCAATATCTGAGCGACGCGGGACATAGAGTTGCTCGTGGAAGGATCATGTTTTGCATCAAATGGACGAAGGTGGACATGATTGCAGCGGGGCCACTGTTCTGCGGCTGCTGACGACTTTGTCTTCTTTCTGCAAGGAAGGCGAGGAGAGAAAGCGCAGGATTACCAGGCATCAGGACAAGACGTGAGGGCTGCACGTAATCGCCAGTGATCGTGTTGAGATTGGAGCACCGCTACTGCCATCAAAGCGGCCACCCATTCAGAGAGTTGCAGCCAGGCAGCAGCACTGGGCTCCCTAGTAGTGGCCCTATCAGAGAAGTGAAGGCAGCCTACCAAAGAGATCACACATCGCCCGACCCTGGCAATTTCCTCTGCCAAGCAGCTTCCTGCATCTTCTGAAGCGAGCGCTGTGAGCTGTTGAGACGTGCACATAGGTGCACCCTCGCATGCAAATCCGCATGCATCAAGCGAGCAGTACGACTTGAGCACACAGAGGAAATAGCTGCAGGTAGAGCAGCAGCAGCCAAGCAAGGAGATAGATTCACAGGTGGCCAATGCCAGCCAGGACAGCAGCAGTGTTTATTGATGCAACGCCGCAAGAAACCAAGCAGTGATCAGCATGGAGCAGAGTGCCGAAGCAGCCTGCATTGTATAAGAGCGCACGAGCCAGCAAATATCAAGATAAAGAGACAGCACCAGGGCAGATGAGGAAGGAAGGGGAGGTGCTGCAGAGTGGCGCGGAAACGGACAAGCCAGCCACCTTGGAGAGACATGCCTCCGACAGCACAGGTCAGCCGCAGAATGCCAGGAGCGACGCATCGCGTGGCACAAAGAGGTCCCTAGAGGTGAAGCCTGCGGGAGCAGACTCTCAGGCCAAGGGGGGGCGCGGTCAGACCAGCCAGGGAGTTGCATCGAAGCAACGTGGGAAGGACACAGCTGCTGACAAGCCTCAAAGCGGATTCGGCATGAGCCCAGATGCATGCATGCAGCCAAGCGCGGCTGTGAATGCTCAGCATGCCCCAGAGTATGTCTCGGGGGTGGATGCGAAGCAAGAGGAGGGCGATGCAGAGGAGTTCATTGCCAGGGGAGTTGTGCGGAGGTCAGTGGAGGAGATGGCGGAGTGCCTGGCATGTGACCTGTGCCGCAGCATCCTGCGAGACCCCATCACCGCGCCTGAATGCATGCACAGGTGCCGACACCCTCTTACAACACACATGTCCAACAGCATGATACAGGCGAGCAGCGCAGCATACCTAAGGAAAGCTGATGTGTCAAAGATACACACAATGATGCTGTCTGCTGATCGTGCATGTCAGCTGAGATCCTGCACCTCCAGTCAGGCCTTCACGTTTTGAATATGTCCATGACAATTAGGAAACATGGCTGATCTTGATGGTGGCCGATGTGTGGGAAAGCTTCTGCCGGGAGTGCGTGGAGGCGGAGCTGGTGGGCAGCTTGGGCGGCAACATCTGCCCGGCATGTGCCCAAGAGGGTGAGCGCACGCTGCTGGGCGCCAACCCCTTCGCGCACCACCGCCTGCAGCCGGACTTTGTGCTGGAGGCGCTTGTGCGCAAGATCTTCCCCCGGCACATCCTCGAGGACTATGAAAAGCGTCGGCCCAAGGTGTGCCTCCTGGCACGACCCTCACATTTGGCACCTCCAGGCTCTGTCAGAGTGACCTGCTGATGGCATCATAGATTCCTGTAAGAAGCTTCATCTTTTGGGTGATCAGCCTTCAAGACCTGCCGCTTGTGCACAGATGCATGCCAGGGAATGCAATGGCCAGTGTAGAGCGGCTCTAGAACGATTGTCTGTGCTGCGCAGTATGTGGCGCAGCGGATTGGTCAGCTCTCGACGGAGGCGGGTGCAAGGCCCAGCCGCGCGCGAGGGCAGCAGATGCCCCCTGCCGATGTGGTGCCTCTGTTCCTGCACCAAAAGGTGCGTTCTGTGGTCCATCATTCCTTGCATGCTCCAGTTAATTCTACGCTAGACACTCAACAAATGGTGAACACTGATGTGATGACCCCAGAAAAACAACTGGATTACAGCCTTCTGCGGAGCTTGTAGCCTATCTGCTATGCAGGGCAAAGGCGAAGGGAACGGGGATGGCAAGCAGCTGGACATGCCATATCTGCGAGTGCCCAAGGCGCTGCCTGTGGCTATCCTGGCCAAGTATGTGGCGCAGCGGGTCTCCGAGCCGGCAGGAGCGCGGATCCAGCTCTTCTATAAGGACACAGAGCTGTCAGAAGCCCAGACGGTGCGATAATGCTGTCCTTGTGCCAATCCTGAATTTGAATTTAGGTTATCAATGCGATTCACTGACATGCATGGAAGTGGTAAAGAGGGTCGCTGACACAGCAAGGTGTTTACTGGTGCTGAAGCTCATTCTGGCATGGTTCGCTGCGAACAGATCCATGAGGCGGCGGAGATGTGCATGCCGCCTGGCAGTAGCGGTTCTGCACTGCTGGAGCTGTGCTACTTGGTAGTGCAGATTGCTGAAAGGCAGAGCAGTGAAACGGAGAATGATATTGACAGTGTTTAAAGACAGCAGATCTCTAGAGCAGGCCCAGAACTTAAACGGGGCACACCGACTGGTGTTGAGCAGCCTCAAGAACATTTGGTTGAACCTGATTGAATTGCTCACAATAATTTCTCACAATCATTTGAACCTGGAACTTTTGGCCGCTGAACCCATCAGAACACAAAAGCAGCTGAAGTACAGGTCGTCAACGTTGTGCTGTTACAGCCAAATTAACAGCGTGTGTAAAGCAGCTTGTCAACAGTACTGTTTCACAGGAGTAAGCTGTTGCGTTCACGCAATTAGAGACCCTCACGCTAGACACTGCTGGAGTCATCATTCTGTTCATGTCCCAGGAGCGACAACTTACAACTCTTGAAATGCAGCTCACAATCAAAGACTCACTGCGATTCAGAAGCAAAAGTTCAACTACTTTCCCAACGAGCACTGCATAGAATGGTAGGCAGCACTTCAAACATACATTCCAATACAATTAGAAATCTGTGCTGCAAACGTGCAGCAGTGTTCTGAATCTCACACTCTTGGCAAGGCAATCAGGAAACAAACGCTGAATTACTAGCCTGGTAACAAGCCTGGACAAATACGTGGCATCAATTGGGTGAACTTGCTGTGATGGGATGCATGCATTGCTCTGACACAGAAAACAATGCCCCCAGGCAGGCAGAGGCAGCATCCTCAGAAACCAATCCGTTTCCCAGCACGGGGAGCAGCCTCATCAAGATCGAACAGAGCCTTGATGTAAAGCTTTGAGTTCCGAGCCGGGTCCACAATGGCTCGGCGGGAATCTGGCAACAGATTGCTCTCGTGGGCCACACCAGCATGCAGGAAATCGCGTTGCTCAAAGAAGTCTGCTGTGCGAGTCGTCAACAGCACCTGCACGCAACATACAGCACATCAGTGCATGATGAAATGAGCTCTCAAATGAGATCTCATCAACCCTCAACAGTAGCCCAATTGGGAGTGGTCCTCAGTGGAGTGATAACACTACCAGATAAACGGGACGATCCGGGGTGAAGTGACCAATTCTTCAGACAGAGGAGCATGATTGCTGCGGCGCGCACAGAACAGAAACACACCAGTCGGCGGATGCCCTTGTCGCGCGCTTGCTGCTCCACATAGTCCAGCAGGGAGTCGCCCCGGCCGGAGCCCCTGTAGGAGGGGTGCACGCAGAAGGCCGCCAGCTCGCCGCACTCCACCCCATCCAATGACGCACCCAGCTCAACCAGCAGCGCGCAGGCCAACAACTGCACATTCGGCACTCCCATCATTCCAGGGCCATCACCAGTGTTGCATGCACTTGTCCATCTGCATGCATGCGTACAAGCCAGACACCCACGGACAAAAGTAACTCAAGCTGGTTGTCATCGATCATGTTTGCCAGACCAAGGAGGGAGACGTGTGGCAGGGCTGCACCTTGGACTCGCGCTCGACAACGGTGAAGTGGGGGATGTCGGCCATGAGGGCCTTTTTGGAGCGGTGCTTGGTGATGCCCGCGCGCTCCAGCGGCGCCAGAAGTTCCTCTATTGCCTTCAGGTCCGATTGCCTTGCCGGCCGGATGCCCTGCACACCATCAGCACAATACCATCTGGCACCACTATGCGTTTCCATGCAACTTCAGCCACCTAGATAAGCCCATCCGTACTGTGGAGAGATTGCCCCCCTCTCTACGCGGCCAGTGGCGTCCTGTGGTTGAGACGACACTTTAGACAGCCATAAGGAATGGCTTGTCTCTCTCTGGTTCTGGCATAGGGTTGTAGCTGTCCACTCCTGGCTTCAGACACGATCAACAAGGCATTCAGCATGCAAGTCTTCAAGGTCATGGAAAAAAGGGCTGGATGTGTGCTCACCTCATAGAAGTCGGTGGAGATCATGGTGCCGACGCCGTCGCGCGAGTACAGCTCCAGGATAAGGCCGCCCTCAATGTAGGCGCTCACCAGGTGCGCGCGCTTCACCCCATTCTTGCAAGCCACCACCGACGCCAGCAGCCCCGTGGGGATGTGCATCGCCTTCCAGCTGCACATCCACCCCACTCACAGCCTCAGGGCACGGCGCAGAGACATGCATTCAAGGTCAATGTCGCTAGCAAGAAGTGAACTTGATGTGCGGCGTTGGATTTGCCGCCTGTAAAGCTCACCAGTCAAGATCAAACTCCAGTTCATTGATGGAGCCGTTGACTGCCTTCTGAGTGTAGCGCATGACATTGCAGGCGCCGTGGCCGGCATCATCGTCAGCTTCTGCAGCAGCCTGCAGTCAACATACACTGTGCTGAACGCAAGCATCCACGCCACTATGTAGAGCCATTTCCTTCCAAACTTCATCATTTTCTCCTCTGTATCTTTGTAACTGTTTTCTCTTCAGTACCCAGATGACCTCTAGGTGGGGTTCTCTCTCTTTGCAGGATAAGAGCACCAGGCCGCACCTGGGCACGGTCGCCGATGAGCTTCTCAGCGTCACCCAGGGGCAGCCACTGCGGCAGCTGCATGTCCGGCAGGCCGTCCAGCACGCAGATGAACTTGTCAGCCCCCAGCTCTATGGCGGCGTGCGTGGCCACATCATACGAGTTGCAGTTGAGGACCTCGCCCGCTGCAGAGTATGCCAGGCTGGACAGCAGCACCACATGGCCCAACTCCAGCTGCTGCCTCACAGCGTCCGCTTGCACAAAACGCACTGCGCCCAGTAATGCTTCATTAGTCAGCATGGTGCAGGGCATATGGTTGTTTTGTAAATGGACATCCCTTTCTGTCTGAGCCATGTGACAACAAGGCAAAATTAACCATGCAACACGCTTGAGGCCGATGTACCTATCGCAGATCGTGATAGCTTTTGAGCAGTCTTGCAAGAGTGGATGCTTGTGAAAAGAAAAAACACACCTGAGCCCGTGGCCCCAAAATCGACGCCGTCAATCACTCCTCGCCGTTTGCCGGTGACATAGTTGCCGCTCACAATGCGCACGGCGGGGCCGTAGTGGAAGCAGTCTGATGAGTCAGCCCCACCGCGCGCATGCCGCCGCACCACAGGCACTGACAGAGCTCTGCTCAGGTGCGCCTCCACCTGCATGGAACACCCCAACAGTCTGTGGTGGATCTAGTAGATGCCAGAGCTCACTGCTTTTGACCTGGCTAAGGAACAATCAGAATGTGAAGTAGTGTCTGCTCACCTCCATGCGAGTCAGTCCCGCAGCTTCTGCAGATGCTCTGAGGGCGGTAGCGTCCGTGACACGATATCCACCAACAAACCGAGGCTCCAGGCCCTGCTGTTTGAGTCGCTCATCTATCTGTTGCTGATGGCCCACCACGATCACTAACCTTATTCCAAGACCTGCTCAAATCACGGGCTGCCACTGACCAGTCAGCTGCTGCTTGCTTTAAGACAACCACGCGTGACATTCTCACATAGCTGCAGGCTTCCAACTGACCTGAAGACAAGACGCACCGTGCAGAAGGGAGACATCTTCCAGAAAACAGTGCAGATTATCTTTTTCTTGGAAGACCTGTAGGGACCACATGGGGTTCAAATAGGAGTAAGTGCAGCAAAAGGGGGTCTCAATTGTTCAAGTATAGCAAGAAAATACATGTAATAGTCAAGTCTGACGGGACATGTCTTCTGTTACTGGTGAAAAGGCCTTGCTAGCCATCCAAATATAGATTGGGTCTACCTCTCCTGGCAGGACGATGACGAATGTCCGTCCTCTATGGCCCTCAATATAGGGTGATGCCATCCGAAAGAAATGGACAAATTTGCCATGCTCCGACCTGTCAAGTGCCCCATTCAGCCCTGCCGTGGTCTGTTTCAAGGTGTCTGGGTTGAGTTGTTCTGACCTAACATCAGCCTCACGCCCGCTGGTCGATGCCACCTCTGCCACAACACCTCTTCGGTAATTACTACAAGCCAGTTGCTGATCCGCACGTTGTCTTCGAGAACGTGCTCTTACTGACAAGTCTGTGAACGCTCGGTTACAACTATTTGACGGTGGCTTTGCAAAGCAATCGTGCTTGAGCCGAAAGTGGAAGCTGCTCAAGTCAGCCATTAAAACGGTGCACCACGCAATGTCAACTCGGAAGACGCTGCATCGAACTACAAGCCCTTCGACAAGCACGTGAAAAAGTCCACGACGCCAAGACAGGCAACAGGAAGCACATGGGCGCACAGGTCATACGCAGCGTGGCTTGAGTCACAGCACAAAGCCAGGTCACCTTGACCTTTCAGCAAAGCCAGCACTGACACAACATCACGCAGGCCAATCCAAACGAAATCTCGATTCCAAATTCCAAGTTGCAACCAATTAATTGGCCATGGCCAGGCCACTGCCAGTGGCAGTCGTGCAGGCGTGCATGCAATCTGCCACATCAAATTCTCGCCCACGCATGGGACCACCAGCGGCACCCAGGTGGCTCAACACGATTCCCAGGACTGGGCAATGCAGCTATCCATCGCTCTCGTCACCAGACCAATACTCATCTTGCTCAGACTCGTCGTCGGACTCTGGCATCGTCTGGGCACTCGAGGCAATGGCGGCCACAGTACTGTCCACAAGAGCTGGACGCCGGGACACCTCTGCTGGCGCTGACTCTGCCTGGCTCCTCCCAGAGCCGTTGGCCATGCTGCCGCTCTGCCAGCGCTGCGGGTTGCCTCGCTTCCTGATGATGGCATCAATGTACCTGCCATGCACACGCTCAAAATTTTCACCAAGCACGGCGAGGCATGATTGCAGTTCCCTGTCAACTTATCTAGGTTCTAATACCTCCCGTAGAGAAGAGGAAAGTGGAACTGATAAATGCAGGAGTGTTGTTGACATGGGAGAAAGGATGCTTACTTGTCTGTGCGTTGGGCCCGTTGCATGGCAGCCACAAGGTGGGGGTTGAGCGCCGGTCGGCTCTTGCCGTCGGCGGCGTTGCCGTCAGCAGCCGCCTCGCTTGCAGCGCCATCCTGGCTCGCGCGCTCCTGCCATCTCACCTGCCTGGCCCATTTGCGCGTCGCAGCGGCAGGCAGCTTGCGTGCATTGCCTGCACATGCCAGTGAGTCACTACTGAGGAAATCCAGTAGCGTGCGTGTTGCTAATCAAGTTGCCCAGCAGAAGCACTGAATGCGTGAGACTCCCAGCCTGGCTTTCCCATTCAGCCAACGACAGATCACATGAAATGGACCCAGCAAATAATCGTGCAACGCACCGAGCTTCACGAAACCTCCCGGCAATTAAATTGCAACAGCGCTTCTGTCGCAGACAAAATCTTGCGCAGGGAGCAGGGCCGAGTGCTGCACCTGCGGCAGTGGTGCGTGCAGGGGGCGCGAGGGGGGATGAAGCGGCGGCAGCGTCGAGGTAGGCGCGCGGCCCGGCTGCGCGCGAGGGCGCGGGGGTGGGGTTGCCGGCCCAGAACTTGGAGAAGCACTGCTGCGCGTCCTTGCCCGGCACCTGCTGCGCCACTCGCTGCCAGAAGGCGTTCCCTGTCGGATCCTCCTCTGCATGCGCCCTCTGCAGCACACCACAGCCCGCACAAGTCATGGAATTGATGCAAAACTCACTCCCTATCCACTCCAAACAGATGCATGTAAACATGTGTCCTACTCACAATGTGCATAATGTACAGGGTGAGGGAATGCGGGGCTCCCTGACAAGACCTTCCTGGGGATGTCGCAAAAGTCTCCAACACGATGGAACGATGTAATGAACCAATTGCCTAGGTGAAAGCCAATTGTCCGGCAATATTCAATTGGAAAGGCTGTGGGTGCCCTCAGTCCCGAAAGATGATTGTCATATTCATCAGTGATAGGTACCGACCAAAGTCCCGTCAGAGTTTGTTGTGTCTTCATTTGGTCATCACTGGGCACCCACAACCCCCTGAACTACCCCCAGAAAAATGCATGCTCAGGTGCAAGTTGCACCTGGAGTGCATCTCTCTGCGTCTGTGTCCAGCCATCAGCATCCTCCTCTTCGTCATCGCCCTGTGGGCCCCGCACAGGCGTGGCCACCTCTGTAGCGGCAGCCGATGTGTCGCCCTGCCTATCTGGCGTATCAAGCCCGCAAGCCCCCGAAGAGCCGTCCGCGTCCCCTCTCTTGGCTTTGGTGGCCTTGGCCTTCTTCCCTTCGCCCTTCCCTGCTGCAGGGCAGGACACACTTGCTGCACCCCATGCTCATATAAACATGCAGCGCACCTGAGCTTGCTACCTCAAAACATCAAGGTCCCTATGCAAACAATATTCTGAGGACACTGCAGCCTCGTCAAGCTGCCGAAAGAGACATGCAGCATGGAGCAGGGCAGTGCATGCAGCTGAGTCATAAGATCTATGACTCACCGGGGCTGAAGCGCTGCGCCAGCAGTTGGGCAGCAGAAAGCTCCTGCGCATCGTCCTCGTAGTCCTCCAGGTCGCGCGCGGCCGCCGCCAGCTCAGCCGCGTCTTCCCGGGGCGACTCAGCCGCCGTCGCCTTGCGCAGCCTGCGCAGCCCCGGCCGCTGTTTTTCCGCCGCTGCCGCACCACCATCCCTGCCGCCGCCGCTGTCTGCAGCAGTACCCGCTGCAGTGCCCTCCTCTGTGGCTGCCCTGCTACCGGATGACTGCTGCTTGCTTTGGCCGCCCCTTGTGCCGGATGGCTTGCTGCCGGGCTTACCTTTCTGCTGCGCCTTTGCCTTACCGACGCCCTTGTCTGCGGCTGGGGATGCATGCTGCCTCTGCGACAGGGCCTCCAGCTGTGCTTGGATGCCCAGCGTCCTCCCCTTGGACGGTCCCGAGGCTGCAGGGGGATCCTCAACTGCCTCGGTGGGCTCGTTCGACACAGCCGCAGCTGCGACAGGCTCTGCAGGCGACTGATTCTGACCCTGTCCACGTTTGAGGCAGCCTCTGACCGCCCGCTCAGTGCCACAGTACCCCCTCTTTGCCCTCTTGCACACCACGCAGGTCGTGTTTCTTACAGCCCTTACCTGAGCAATTCCAGCAAACATATTGTCAGCTTGCAGGACAGAGCCAATTGTAGCACTGGAGATTTACACGACACATACGCTAAGCTTATGGTGGAGGTCAATTAGATAGACAGCCAGCACACACCCGCTGTCCTGTGACTGCAAGCTTGTCTTTGCTCGAGTACTCCACAGCTTGCGGCTCCTCTGCACCACCGTCCTTTTCTCCTGTTGGCTTCTTCCCGGTTGTGCCGCTATTGACAGGTTTGGGCTTTTTGATTGGTGGTCTGGCCGCCTCAGGGGGTTGCACTGCAGGCCGCTTCAGCCCCTTGCTCACACCCTCGACCTGAGCCACGCAGACGACACAAAAATCAGCACCTGACAGCTTCTCCAAAGAAGCGACAGAGCACAGGCATTCAGGGCATGATTGCGCACCGAAGACATAAATTTATCTGCAATTATTGCGATGAACTTGGAGAGTGTACCATTTTCCTGCCCTTCTGCGGCGCGGCGGATTTAGGGGTGGGGCTCGAGGGAGGGTTGCTGTGGCCGCTGCTGGGTGCCTTAGCGGCGGCAGCGGAGCCGTTGGTGGGGCTGGAGCGCGGCTTGGGCTGCTGGACGAAGCTCTGACACTGCTGGGCCAGCTGGTCGCTGAATCCCTGGTCGATCGCGAGCGCGTCCCGGCTCAGCCGCTGGTTGGCCCAAAACGCCAGCGGCTTCACTCGCACCCTGCCAGTCCTGGACACCTACACGGCCGACACCCACAACTTGTCTTATGATGGGTATACATCATAATGGTACACACACATGCATGATCTGTCGCAAAGTCCACATTGTGGGCAGAAACCAGGGTGATTTTGGGGGATATGCATCTGGTGGGGTACAGACCCGCAGCATTTAACTGCCTTGCACGGACTTTTGCAGAATTTGTCAAAGAGCATATGCACAGCTTTGTGGGTGTCAGCTTCCCCAAACGTCAGGCAGAAGATCATTTGCCCCAGGTGGAACAACATCTCACCTGTAGGTTTACATCAGGTGCAACTTCGGCTTTGATGGCCTGAAGCTGTTGCTCCTGCTTTGCGGTAAGGTCTGCCTGAGAAGAGGCTGGCCGCCTAAAAATATGTCAGCAGATCGGATGAGCTCCCTCTTGCGCATTCAGTTTTGCAAGTTAGATAAGATTTACAATCCTGAAGAAGGAACCATGGGCAGCACAAGATCATGCATAGAAAAATAGCCAGAGTGAAACTGCCCACTTTTTGGCGGGTTCCACAGGAGCAGAAGCCTGCTTCCGCTTCTTTCCCTGGCTCTTCTGCTCGACACCCCAAGACCCGTCGCTGTGCGTGCTTCCAACTGCTTGCTGCTCAGAAGCACCTGCTCCTGATCGGCGCCCTTTCTTTTGCCGACCCAAACCATCAGCAGCGCCCAAGTCGCTTTGCTGTTCTCCTGCACTCGGCTCCACACCCCCCCACTCCCCTGCATCTGCAGCTGGCGCTCCCGAGCCGGAAGCCTGTTCTTGTTCCGCCGCAGTACCGGCCGCATCCTCCGTAGCCTCTACTTCAGTATCATGCGGCAGGGAGAGCGCCTCGTCACATCGGTCGAGGGCCGCGCCAGCGGAGTCAGCAGGCCTGGAGGCAACGCCGCCGGAATGCGCCTCGCCCTTGAACCGGCTGGGGGTGTGCGCAGGCCTCGCGGCGTGCTGCGGCTGCCGGCCGGGGCTGTTGGCGGCCTCCTGGCTGGCATGCTGCGGCGGGGCCTGCCGCGGGCGCTGCGTGTGGGATGTCAGTGTCCTGCACTGGCCCGACGCTGAGGAGCGCTCCTGGGTGGACACTGCTGCATGGAAAGGAGCCTTTGGCGTCGCAGGCCTCGTAGCCGGCAGGCTGCTCCCTGCCAGGCCGACAGGGAACTCTGTGCGGTGGCTCGCGCTCGGGCTGTGCACTGCCGCGGGCGCCTTTTTGGGCGGCTGCTGCTTCCCTGCAGTGGACGGTTCCTGCTGGCTGGCATTCCCATCCTGGCGCTCTTCCAGCGGTGGCCTGAGGGCTGATGTGCTGCTCAGCTGCAAAAGCGCGGCGTTCTCTAGGGGCATGGGGCATGGCACGTCCCTACTGAGATCCTCGTTGTGAGCGTCATTGTGTGTGTCATTGGCGGGTTCAGCAGCTGGGAGACTGTCCGGGTCATGGGTTGGCGCTGACGTTCTTTCTAAGCCCCTCTCAAGGTCCAGGTCAGCGCACAGCTGCTCCACACACTCCACTGCCTCTGCTAGCCCGACTCCCTGCCCTTTCAACCAAGCACTGGCCTCCTGCCCATCCTGGTCTTGCTGCATCTCCTTGCACGGCAGCTCCTGGGTTCTTCGGGGGCCGCTGCCGGCCGCTGTCTGCCTGCCAGGCTCCTCATCGCTGCCCATGTCATTCAGAAATGCCTCCACCTGCCAGCCAGGGCACGCCATGGCGTCCTCCGGCGCCGATGTTCCCTCCTCTGGGCCTGTGCCACTCGCATGCGCGGGCTCCAGCAGATCCGGAAACGGGCCGAGGGTGCCAGGCGCAGCATCGCAGTCCTGCGGTTGGCAGGCTGGCCCTGTCTCCAGCAGAGCTTCCTGCAGCCTGCCGCGCTCCTCATCCCCCGCCAGGTGTGCCCCTTCCAGCGCCCACACAGCCTGCCCCACCTCTGAGTCGGGCTGCTCTGCGTCCGGCTGCTGCTCCGCCTGCGACTGCACAGCGGCAGCGACCGGCAGAAACTCCGCCAGCGGGCTCGCTTCAGGCTCCCGCCGCGCTGCCGGCGTCTGCTCCCCGCTGCTCTGCGCACTGCCCTTCAGCCTGGGGTCCCGGTGCGGCATGCGCGCGTCCTGCTGGGAGACTGGGGAAAGCGTCTGCGCATGTGGGGTGGCCGGGGAGGCAGCGGCATTTCTCGCAGCCAATCGAGGGTCACGGCTGGGAGGGACTCGAAATCCACTGGCAGCTGGTCCTCCCTGTGGTGCTGATGGCGTGCCAGGGCTGGCCTGGGCTGCAGCTGATCCCAGGGCTTTACCACTGCCAAGATGGGCTGTTGTTATGAGAGGCGAGTGCATCTGCGATGCCCGCGACGGCGCCGGAGATGCGGCCAGCACGCTCTGCAGGAGGCCGGCACTCGCAGGGCCAGGGCTGGCCCTCACAGGCTGCGGCCTCTGCAGTTGAGACGGCTGACTCGTGACTGCTACACCAGCGTTGGCTTGCGGCCATGCAACGGTGAAGTTTGGGTGTGGGCTTGGAACGGGCCTCCAGGCTGCATGCTGCCCGCTTTCCGCCCCCCACTGAGCAATCGCAGTGCCGCTCCCAACAAGCGGCGTCGTCGCTGCCTCGGCAAAGGTTGGCGGCTGCGCGCGCCAGTGCTGTCGGTGGGCGACTGGCGTGCCCCCCGTTGGCACCACCAGCGATTCAACAGCCTGCATCAACGCCATGCCATTCGACACACAAGGCATCAGAGTCCCAATGAGAGGCTTTGACAGTCGATTGCAGTCGAGGCTGAGGGGTGCCCAAGTGCTCACCCGGGGCAAGGGACTAGCGCGCACGAGGCTGTCGAAATTGGCCCTGATCTGTCTGGCGATGTCGCTGCGGTTGAACTCGCTTGCAGAGTTGGTCAGGGAGTGGTGAGGCGACCAGGCTGGCTGCTGTGAGGCATGGCCCGCAGCAGGGGCCGTCCAGGGTGAGAGAGGGCCTCTGGCATCGAGTGCTTCAGAAGGTCTGCAATGGAACCATTAACTGTGTCACTTCTGCGGCTATTTCAACCACCAAGCCCCCACTGCAAAGAAAATTCAAGCAGAGGTTTTCTGCAACTATTTAAAATACTTCAAGGATACATAGTCCTGCATCTGCTTTAGCATCCGAATGTGTGTGTTGCGCCTGTCCAACGTCACTTCCTTCATCTATCATCCAGGCCTACCGGGCAATTGTGGGCTGAGGAGTGATGAAGCCATGGGCCACTGCATTTGGGGCCTCCGAATTTCTTCTTTTGAATATGCTGCGGTCACGCAGCGGGTCAACGCGCTTCGATATGTAGAAAGGGACATCCATCAACTTTGGCACATCAGCCACGGACTAAAAAAAATTCTACGCTCTCAAACGCCCCACAGGAGGAGCTCCTAGAACGTCTCATGTGCAGTTCTTACGTTGAATGTCCTGTTGGTGAATCAGAGATTGCATGCTACATAATTTTCTGCACGTGACTTTCCAGGTCAGCTATCATAGTAGCTGCGGGCGCCAAACGTTGGAAGTGTTGGAAGCAGTGCTGCACAGACGCACTCCAATTGCATCGAAGACGGGTGATTTTAAGCTTGTTTTCAGCGTCGCAGATCATAAGTGGCAATTCTTCTGCACTTTCATCGCACGTAACATCGGTCAATTAAAACTCGCGATGGGCAAGGAAAAGGCGTCGGCTGCTCTGTTCGATCAGCTGCAGGCTGCCATCGAGGGTGGAGAGGGAGAAGAAATCGTGGGAAAGATGAAGGTGCGGAGGTTTCCTGACACATAAGCTGACAGCTTGCCCCAGAATACACTGGAGGAGCCCCATAGGCAGGTGATGGGCCAAGTCCCTACATCTCTATTCAGTTATTCTTATCCCCTCTCAGATCATTTGTGCCTGCCGATCACTCAGCAGGATTTGTTGTCGCCTCGGATGCTTGACAGGGTGCCTTTTGGCCCTGTACCCTTCAGCTGTACAAGGTCTTCAGAAAGTGCTGACTGTGCTCATGTGCAATGCAGGGAATTGTGGTGTTTGATATTGATGGTGAGAAGTGGACGTTGGATCTCACGCCCGGCTCACGCAGCGTGAAGAAGGGTGCACCAGAGGGCAAGCCAGACCTGACCCTCACCATCTCTGACGAAAACTTCGTCAAGCTTGTCATGGGCAAGATGGGACCTCAGCAGGTGACATTCACAATTACAACATCAACGATCCTCATTGCCAGACTTCAAGAATGGTTTAATTGAATCCTGCCTCTTGCCTTGCTGTCGCGGTGAGACAAGTGGTGCGTTGCCTGGCCATGCAACAAGTGACATCCTGATCATGTGGTGCTGCAGGCTTTCTTGATGCGCAAGTTGAAAATTGGAGGCAGCATGGCACTTGCCTTGAAGCTGCAGCCTATCCTGGATGCAGCCGCACCTCGCGCCAAGCTCTGAGCCAGTCAGCAGAACAGTACTGTCGAATGGCAGTCAAAACGACTGCCTGCATTGTTGTACATTGTTGCCGCAGTGCTGCACAGAGTGACATCAGAATCACAATTGTGAACTAGGTTCTTGATATTTTTGCACGACAAGGAGTACTGTTGCGCAGCTCTCTTGTATCTGCTGGCTTTCTTTGTATTGTTAGGTCCTGGTTGTTATCAACCACAGACCTTGTGATAGGAACTGCTAGGCGGTATGCCTTCTGCGCTGTCTTGCAGATTTAAGTGTGGAAAAAGCCTGGATCATGTCAGGTATAGGATGCAGGTGTGTACATTGATACTAGTGGTGATGTGCATTTGCAACGTCATTTATAATGTAGGGGCTGTTGCCAATGTGGTGATGTGCGTTTGCAACGTCATTTATAATGTAGGGGCTGTTGCCAACGCTAGCCCAGGAGCATAGCTGTCACCCTTGCGAGCACGATGAAAAGTTGCCAGGCACAAATGGGTGTAATGGGTGGATGAACGCTAAATGCATGTCAGCACCACAATGTTGCATCTGCAGTCCTCAGTCCCCATAATAGTTATGATGATCTTATGCTGCTATCCGACAAGGCTACCGGTGGTACATGCGTATGGTACCTATCTATGCAATTAATGCTCAAGATTGACAGCATTTTTTCTGCAGGCTGTCCCCGTGCAGTGGTCCTCAACCGCTGAGTGGCCATGTCACTGCACGTGCGCGGGGCAACAGGGCTGCCGGCTGTTCACCGCCCACTGCATGCCATGCCTTGCCATCATGCTTCCCAGGCGCAGTGGGTCCCCAGGGCGCTAGCGGCAGCCTGTATACAAATGCACCTGAGCTACCACCTCGCGGTGGCTCATTGGGGCCCTGGCAGGGCCTGCACGTGTGCAGGTGACCCTACAACTGGTCATTGTGAGTACATCTGCCCAAGACAGGAGTACTATCAGCGACTCAATCTGCAGATGATTGCAAATGTTGAGGCGAGTGAATACGTCAAGACATGTTCCTTGGACAAGCATTTCTGGCCTGGCAGGCCACAACGGCGTTCCACAACGGTTACGGTTGCGGTTACATTACCCATTGACTTCGCCTTTTCGGGATATCTGTGGTAAGAGGGTGAAGATTTGGGACGCCATTTGGACGGGGGAGAGTTTCCAAGAAACATCGAGCAAACTTTAGAATGTCACAAGCCTCAGGGTAAGAGATTGGTCACGGGTGTGCGTAGTAGTCGTTGTCTTCATAGCGACCTTTTTAAAATCCCAAATGGTGACGTGATGTGTGTAGGCTGTTGAAGAGACTTACCGCACTGGCAATAGGAGGCGGCTGTGTTGACCGTGGCAGCAGCACAAAAGTTGTGAAAGAAGGCATCTTCCTTACCAGCCCGTTCATTTCGCTAGACTTTCGTTCCGCCTGCAGCTTGATCAACGTATCTAAATGGTAAATATTTATCAAGGTATTTTATCCTGTGTGCGGACTGCTTCAGTCGTAGGAGTCGGTGCATCTTCTTCCATCACCACTGTTGAGAACCAAACTGTCTTCCTGCAAGCACCAGGACAGGTCCGATCATGAACACCTCACTGGACATGGTTGACATCGTAGCATCCTCCAAAAATGTCACTTTTTCTCGAAGTGGCTGTCTACTGCGCCAGTGCTTTTGTCTGAAGAACCAGCTTGGGTGCACAGGCAGAGTGTCTCACTGTAGTCTATTCAGCCTACTCTTGCGCGGGCCTGGATGCAGACGCTTGCTCCAAAGACAACCAGGTGCTCGGGAACTGCAGCCATCCTGCCCTTGATTGTGAAGTGCTCATGCAGCGGCTGCTCTCCTTGAAGGATTTGCTCACTTTGTTTGCAAATGCAGGATGCCTGGGTGATCCATGAGGGCCTGGGAGGTCAGAACAATCTACTGCTGGCTGTCTTTGACGGCCATGGGCAGGAGGGTGACAAAGTTTCCAGGCATGTAGCAGCAACGCTGCCGGGATTGATGGCCAACTCGTCAGCCTTCAGGGTATGGGAGAGCATCTCATCACAAATTCTTGCCTGGTTGCTTAAGCACATACATGCCCGGACAAGCTGGCGCAACAGAAATGCTACAAGATGTGGCCTCGTGCACGATGATGATAAATGTTGTTGACAAGTTGAAGTGCTCAGAGAAGTTCTGATGGTTGCCATTGTTGCAGGCCAAGCGCTTCAAGCAGTGCTGTGAGGAGCAATTCCCGGCCTGCAATGCAAGTTTGCGCAAGCTGAAGACAGTCAACTCCATGTTGTCTGGCAGCACCGGTGTCATCGCTCTGCTGCAGGCAAGCTCCTCCCTCTTTGTTCACTTATAGTAGCGTTCTATTCACAGTGCCTCACCAACATACTCTTCAGCCTAGAAGACAAATCTGCAATGATGACGTTGCTCGGCATGTAATTATGTGACAATAAGCGGGTGTCACATGCAGGCAGGAAGCAGGCTCCTCGTGGCCAACATTGGGGACTCGCGCTGCATGCTAGGCCGCATCTCCAGCACAGGAGTTGTCTCCTCGGTCTCCCTCTCTGTCGATCACATCCCGGATGTCCCCAGCGAAGCTGCACGCATCAGGGCACAAGGGGTGCGCCTGACTTCATCCACCTTTGCTTCACCATACTTGTTCTCAGTGGCCCATACATTCTGATTTCGTGAAACAACATGGGCTTTGATGCTCAGGCATGTCAAGCCATACCATTACAGCACCGCACACAGTGTTTCACATATAAAGCCTCGATGGGAAGAGCCGCCTGCTGCGTGACATCTACTGTGCATATAAAAAAAATCTACTGTCCAGGGTCGCCTGGAGCCCTACACAATAGGAGGGGAGCAGATGGGGCCAACGCGGGTGTGGCTGGCTGACAAAGACACGCCGGGGCTGTCAATGACGAGGGCCTTTGGGGACACAATTGCCTCCAGCGTGGGGGTCATTGCGCAGCCGCATGTGTTGGAGATCACTCTGGAGCCAGAGCACCAGTACCTGGTGCTGTGCAGCGACGGCATCTACGAATTCATGAGCAACGACGAGATTGTCGGCATCGTGCATGCAGAGGCCGAGAAGGGCGCACTGCCCGCCCAGATTGCCAAACTGCTGGTGCGCACTGTCTCCCAAATATGCCATCTGGGCATCCGCATATTACAGCTAAGATAATGGGAGAACATGCCTCTGTAGTCCACAACCGCAGCTACAGCCCCTTTGTATACATGCATTAGGTTGGGGAGCCTTGTAAAAGAAGTCAAATGATTATTGTGGTTGCACTGCCACTGCCATGAGAAGCAGTTTGTCTAGTGATAGTTACGTGCAGGTCCAAACGGCGCGGCACCAGTGGATGGCAGAGGAGGATGGCGGCGTGGACGACTGCACTGCCATCGTCTGCTTCCTTACGCGCGGCAACCTCAAGCCAGGCGCCCTCACTCCGGCGCCACTGCCTCCCTCCCCTGCCGCTGCTGGCATCAGCAGGCCATCCATCAGCAGGCATGCTGCCCTGTGCTACACTCAACAGAGCAGCTGTGACACATCATGTCTATTGTGGCATCAATAAACCACGCATTTTGATGGAGAGGGAAAACATTGGGAAAACATCTAGAACAAACTTGAACAAGTGAATAATGGTGGTTTTCTGGTAAACAGGCGCATGTCGGGGACTCCGCTGGTGGATTTGCCTCAGCAGATCGATGTGGCAGCCAATGCGACGCAGGCTGCCACAGCACCCGTGCCCCACTCCCCAACTCGCGCCCCTAACCGCGCCAGAGGCAAGCCCAGGAATTGGCTTCTTGCTTTTTGTCTTCTCGACTACCCTGCCAGGGACTTTCTGAAGATGCATTTAGACAAAGTATCTGAGCAGATGAATGTGCACATGCAGGTACCATTGTGCAGCTGCCCAAGGCGCCCTCAGGAAGTGCCTCTGGCAGGAAACTGACAGCAGAGGGAGGGCAGTCGATCCTGGCAGCTATCACGCAGGTTCAGCCTCACTGACACCTTTGTGATCTGTCAATATTATCAAATTCATATGGGCGCAAAGGCCTCAGATGATCTCTAAGTGGGGCAATCTATAACAAGACATGTACAGCAGGGATGCTTGAAGACAGTCCCGGCTCGGTCTTTGGGGCCATTGTATGTTCTGCAGGGCAGGTAACGATCAGGGCATGACTAATGTGGTGAGTGCCCACAGGTGCAAACGTCGCTGGACAGAGACAGTGATGTCAGCCGCAGGAACACTCGCAGCTCGCGCCGCTCTTCTGATCTACCTGGTGTGCCTGGCAGCACTGTCAGACGTACCTCGAGCAGTTCCAAATGACTCTGCAAGACAATATCACTTCTCCCTTGCGATGCCGTGATCAAATTTCTGTGAGGAAAATTCTGCACGAACGCTCTCTACAATTCTTTAAATGTGGAATTGGCATGTCACAGTGTGCACGGGTTTGCCATTGACATTGTTCACCAATTGTATGTGCCACATGGGCATGAGCTTGTCAGGCGCGGGCTGTTGTCGTATTTGGGACTTTTGCCCAGAAATCCCAGAAATGCAAATGCGCTTGCAAATATGGCATGCTAACATAAAGCATTTTTCAGCAGGCGATATTGCCTGCTGCTGTCTGTGGATTGTCTATGTGCTGGGGCTGACCATCTTCATGTACATTATCAGTGCGCCTCTTTTAGAAGAGTGGGTACAGATGCTCGACATGGCTTACTCTTGTTCCTCAAAGGTTGAAGATTTATTCACCTGCATGCAAATTGAATGCCATAGAATGCTTGTGGAGCTTGCATACTTCTCCCAAATGGAAGGTTTTTGTCTATTCTTACAGCCACGGTATTCCTTACATTCTCACTATTTGTGCCTACTCTTTCCTTGTTTCTTTGCAGCTGTGTCTGCAACAAGAGGCCTCTTTGAGTGTTGCTGCAGCATGCTCAAATTGTAATCCAGTATCTTTTCCATGCTGCTTCTGTATTCCAGGACAGGAAGTAAAATTTCCTGATTGTCTTTGCACTCATGAGGACTCTGATCAGAAGGACTCAGTCCAGACCTGCAATATTAAAACATCATTATTGATGGCAAGGGAAATTTGTCATTCCAAGCATACAAAAGTCTAGAAAAATTTGATCAGGGCGGGAGTGGTAGCTGACTCATACCGTGCATCCTGCAACAATGACTTCAGCTGACGCCGTGCAGCCTTCATGAGGTGCTTGTCACCCTTGATAGCTGCTACAAAATTCTCAGCAGCCACCCATTGCTGTCTGGACTCCTCTTCAGGGGATTGTGCACTGTCACCCAACCCTGCTCCCCCAAAATCAGCTAATGTCACACTTGTATCTGCGAAATCATGTGCAGGTCACCCCATATCGGAGAAAAGCGATTTCACAGCACCCCCGTATTCGATATGCTCACCTGTTGTGCCTGACTCACTGCCGCTGGGTGCAGTATCTGTTGCAGCGTGCTGTCTGAGCAGGTCTGACGATCCCATAGCATTCAGGCCATCCTCATCAGCGCAACACACCGCAATAGCCGCCAGCAAAGGCTCCTGCGTGAAAGTACAACCCTTTACATGGCAGTGTGCATTTAGCGAGAAAAAATAAGGTGAAGTAGTTCTGAAGTAGTTCTGATATTTGAAATAGACAGAATTTGGCGCTGGGATATTCAGACTCCTAAGAATTGACACTCAGCGTCACACCTGACTTGTGGTCAAGGAGAGAAAGTGTGTCCCGCCAAGACCGCTTGCTACAAGGAGGTTCCTGCACAACTCTGCATGCGGGTGCTCATCTGGAGGATCTATGCACAGCTCAAAAGAATAGCTGGTGTCAGCAGCGCCTGCCAGGAGATCTGCACACGTCAGAGATATTTTCAACTGCGAGTTGTTAGGAAGTGCCCTCCTGATGGATGCCCGCAACGCATGCTATGGTGAGCAGAGGGCCAAGAAAGAATGGAGCTATCCCAAACCCACTCACCGCTACAGCAGGAAAGGCCCCAACTCAGCAGCACGGTCTCAAAGCTGCTGTCCTGGAGCAGGGCTGCATGACTGAGCACCAGCCCGGCCTTCAAAAGCACCGGCGTAGACAGTACAAGTACAGCTTCTCCTGCTGTTTCTTCCCAGCTGAAATCCACAACCAAACTGCGCAGAACCTGCAGGACAGACAAAGATTCGTCAACATCCAACATGGGCATACTTTGTACAAAGCATGTCTTATAAAGAGCTTGGTTCTCTGGGTGTCCCTGGAGCCCACCTTTGGCAAGGCACAGATGAGTGGAAGGATGGCCAGTTGAGATCCAGAGGGGCCTGGAACTCCACATCGGTCCACAACTGCATCTGCCCAAGCAAGAGCTCTTATCGCCTCCCCATGGCTCAGTCCAGGACAAAGCTCATCGCCTGGGGCCCCGCCCTCTGCCTCAGACATGCCATGGCCATTTGCCTGTGCTCCTTTGTTGATGTCTACAAGGGCTGCCCTCATGGAAGGGGCTGCCGCAGCATACTGCTCTTGGTACTGCTCGCTCTCTTCTTGCAAGAGGTCATCAAGCTGTGTTCCTGCGCTCCAATCCATAGGTAAGAATATGACATTAGATTGCCAAGAACCCTGAAGATTCTTCATGTGAAGCCTGAATATAAATTTGATGAGTAATTATCTTACCTGCCAATGCCTCAGCTGCGGAGAGGCTGCCCACATCGCCGGAGAGAAGGGAGGCCGCAAAAGGGACCTCAACATTTTGGATGAGACGGTCTAGCAGCGCACTGCCTTTGGTGCAGCAAGCTTCTCCTGCCGTCTCTGAGGCGTGGCATGCATCGCTGCTCCCGGCTTCAGCAGGCCAACTATCCTGGGGTGCTGTGGCACTGAGCGCTGAGTGCCCCTTTCTAATGTGCATCAGCGCGAGCTGTAAGACTAGACCAGCCCGGCTGGCTGCCACCACGCCGGCGGCGAGCGGCAAGCGCGCAAGCTCCTGCCCTGGCTGACACTCCTGCAGCACCTCCAGCCCCCAGTGCCATGCTGTCCCTGCCAGGTGCTCCCTCAGCGCACCCCAAGATGGCGAATCCTGCTGTGGAATCGATCCAAGGACACTGCCGGGGGTTGCCTGGCTGGAGCCGCCAGTGAAGGCAGCATGGAGCAAGGCCTCGGTCTGCTGTGCCAGCTCGCCCAGTGCTGCATGCGCTATCTCTTTCTGGCCTGCTCTGTACACCTGCGCAATTGCAAACGGTAGATCCATACCGCTTAAAACTAATATTCATCGCGCTTTGCTCCCTTTCATCTAGCAGACTTGTGCAGTTTTTGCCGCAGGGTGGGCACGTTGCAGGAGCTTACAAGGGCCATGTGGGCGGCTGATCCAGCAGGCGCAGCTGCGGCCAGCTCCATGTCACTGTGGAAGCTGCCGCCTTGCAGCTTCTCCATCTTCCCCCTGAGCTGCTGCTTGAGCGCCAGCAAGGCCTGCAGGTGCACTGCCACCGGGCAGGCAAGCTGCAGGCCGCTCCTCACAGCAGGGCCTCCCGCCGGCGCGGCTGCTGCTGCTAATGGGGCCGGCTGCACCTCTATCATGCCCGACACCATCCCTTCCTGTTGCTGCACCTCGCTGCTCTCACCGTGCTTTGCCCCATTATCTGGGGGTCCACCATCACTGGAGTCTGCTGTTGGGCCTGAGGCAGGAGGAGGGGCTGTTGCAAGAAGACTGTATGCTTGGGCGCTGGGCAACAAGCAGGCAGCTGCAGCCACGACCAGAGTCGACGGAAGCGGGAAAGCACGTGTTAGATAAAATTCTGTCTGCAAGCCCAGGCGCTGCAGCAATGCGCGCAGCAGGGCTGCCCTCTCCCTCCCTGTCACAAAAAGAAAGCATCAAGAATTTTTTACCTATGGCCTTGCTCTGGGGGTTCCATGACTCTTAAGGGCCTGTGCCTTTGAGCAAACTTGCCACACTAGTAATTAGGAGATTACCTGCAGCGCTGGAGGCTTCCAAGCCCAGCGATACGCTGAAGTAGTCAGCGGTGTTTGGCTCTAAAACGAATCCATATCCGAGTAATAGCTCCTCATTTGACTTGTGGCCGTAGTTGGAATAGAGCTGGTCGCCCTGCAGTGTTGCATATTGATGGTCAGATGCTTCATGAGCAGTCAAGATCCAATACCATGCCAACACAAATTTGCTGAGCATAACCTTTGTAATTGCAGACTTTGTGAGGAAGCGAAAGTTCTCTTCGCCTGTGTTTCCAGTGTGCCAGGCTACGTGCTGCTGGGGATTATGATCGAGCATGTCTAGCACAGGAATGAGTGCAATGCCTTCCTTCCGCGCAGCTCCTGCATCAACGATGACAAAATTGAACCGCTGCACCAAGTGTCATGCTTGCTGTGACAGGTAGCAGCAAGAATGCAGAAGGCCAATCAAAAATGTGCCCTGACAGATGCTACAGGAGAGGTATCGTCTGCACCACACCCAGAGCTTTGATGTTGAAGGCTCGCGACCACACAGTGGACTTTGCCCATTTGAGAGCTGTCTCTGACATGGCCCACTGCCCACTCTCTCCTTCCAGAACGTTCGCGCCACCAAGCTCCCTGTGCCATCAGTGCAACTGGTAACACATCACAGATTACCACATGATCCCAGGAATGTGCAGGTGATTATGACTGCTGATCAGCAGACGCAGCCATATGTGACCCTAGCAGTGCTTTAAGCATAATGCAGCACACACCTTTGTATGGTGCACAATCGTGCTCTCCAGGCACGCAAGTCCTCCAGACCTTTTGAGTAGTGCTCCACCGCTGCTCCCAGACGAGTACCCTTCAGGATGTTGAGATCCTCCTCTGACCACCACAACGGGTCCTCTGCAGCACGCAATAAGCGGTTCCTTATGTATCCTCTTCATAATGCCAGCTGGCCTTGCAAAAGCAGCCATGAAGCGCTGCATTATAGCGCACCATAGCTCTGCGGGAGGACATTGATGTACTGAGCCCATTTTGAGTCTTTCCCACGAGCTTGCTCAATGAGCAGGAGGAGGCACAGTGTCCACCGCTTGTCCAGGGCATCACCAACCTCTTCCTGGCCCCTCACACATGTGCATGTGAGAGCTCTGCACAATTGACAGTATCTGTCAGCATGCTAGTGGAGTGCGTGCACACCTTCAATTGATGGAAAGCGCTCCCATAGGCTTGGTCATCCCAAGCTTGGCCCTCATGGAGCAGCAGATGCTGCGGAATGTCAAAGAGAGCAGCTGCAGCACCGAGAAATGACCATATACAGTTAGTGCTTTAAACTCAACCAGCAGCTCCTTTTAGTTGAATGCATGCTTTCGCACAATGACAAAGTGTGGTTTTATTTTGTCTATTGGATTTGTGATGGGACCTACCGTCACTCGGAATGTCTCTTTTCGCATGTAGTTGTCTTCCCCTGACTTCTATGTCTGGAAAGCTACAGCCCTTCAAGTACCGCAATATGAATTTCATCAGTATATTGAATAGTATCAAATACTGGAATACTGGCTACAGAAGTAGGCAGCCCTGCAGATCAGCACAATCTTTGCTGTTTGACAAGGTGATCTGGCGACTCTCACCTGGCTTTCAGCCCAATGTAGTAGGAGATCCATATGCTCAATGGAATGCGAATATCACAGCCGCCTGTAAGCGTTCTCGAACAATGTCTGGTCGATGAATGTGATCTCATCTTGCTTGGCAACTGATGACTCATCACCGACATTCTTTGAGCTTCTCTGCCATCCACTTCTTGGCATACTATGAAGTTTAGGCAGACTTAGAGCTCCTGAATTGCTTTTTACAACATGTAAGTGATGATCAGCTTTTAATTCCAGTATCACTTGTAGGAGTGAAAAGTCGATGCAACTGCAGATCGCTGCATTCGTTGGGTACCGTAACTGCCCGAGAAATAAATGCTCTTCATTAATGTATTCTTTACCATCAGGCGACAGAGATGTTGCTTGACTTCGCTCAGGTCCTTCCGGGCTGCAGCAGCAAGTGCAGCACAAGCTCCACAAACGAACTACCGAGATCAGATTTCTCAAGTGACTGCACCATGCCCTGGCACAGTCAAAACCTATTTTCATCACATTTTCTTGAGATGTGCACCTCAACAGACAGAGGACGTGGCCCCTGGGGCATGGTGGCCCAAGGTTGTTGAACGGTGAGGTTCCCTGAGTCCCCATCATTGGTCATGCAGTCATCAATACATTGGCACATTCATAAACTGACAGCAGCAAGCTTTGCAGGCTGCCCCCATTCCTAGCGACCTTCACAGCCATCGCACATCGTCGCAGGCACATTGATGGTGGGTAGTGGTTGACCAAGCCTGACATTGCTGTGGCCACCTCATGGCAGCTTTCTGAGAGCAAATTCTTGATCTGCTGTGCAGGTATTGTCAAGGTGACTGCGTATGAGCATGCGAATCCGGTGTCAGAACCGCCAGTCCCACCAGAGAAAGTGGACATGCTCATCTACCCAGCAGGTATGGGAAAGGTCCTCGAGCTCCAAAGCAGCAGGCCTCACATCACACAGGCTCTTTGACATGATGTGGGTGCTTGCAGGAGTGTGGTTCAAAGGGCTGCCGATCAAGAGCATCGACCATGTAATTGCGTCCCTAGTGGCAGAACCAACTGAGGACGACCCAGACTTCAGCCCGCCAATGCTCAACAAGAAAATCGCGCGCTTGGTTCGCCATGTCCCGCCTCTGGGCCTCTTCGTGTACGGAGCCATGCTTTCTTTTCCTTTGATGCCGCCCCCTGTTGAGTTGACACGGGTGAATGATGGACTAAAGAAGACATGGGCTACATGCAGGTGCTGCCATGGCAATCGGGATCTCAGATGTGGAGTGATCGGGGACAAGCTTATTCAGAGGCTGCAGACTCTGATCCAGGAGCGCGAGTGGCAGGAGAATATAAAAGTGTTCCGCTGTTCACATGTTGGAGGTCACAAGGTGATGACTGCAGACTTTGCTGGTCCTCAAGCAGCTCTCCTGGCAGTGGCAAGCACCGCCTCTAAGCAGCTCGGCGAATGGTCTGATGGGATCTTGTGGTGCAGTATGCAGGCAACATTGTCGTGTACAGCGCAGTCAGCCCATGCGATGGAGACTGGTTTGGAGGCATCAACCCTGATAATGCCGAAGAGTTTCTTGATGCTATGGCCGATGTCCAATTCGGCAGCAGCGGTGGCGTGAGTGATGAGATGCTCCGGAAGCAATGGAGAGGGCGTATGGGTCTCTCCAAGGAAGAGCAACTGGAGGTGAGCCGGTTGGGACCCCTTCAAGCACATGGACAAGGCGCCAATCTGGGTCTGTACTGTGGAGCACTTCCATGGTGGGTTGCAGAGAAGCATGGCGGACAGTAACATCACGAATCAGAAGACCTGAATACTGGAATGGATCCTACTGCAGGCTTTTGAAAGAAAAAGCCTCAGGACTGAAGATGATAATGAGGAGGAGGAGGAGGAGGAGGAGGAAGAGACTGGCGAGGAGCCCCTTGAGGATGAAGCAGACAGCGATGTGGACGGGATGGACGGTCAGCCTTGGTCTGGCCCTGGCGACGAGTCTAGCTCGTCGAGTGATAGCTCGAGTGACTCATCGTCTGATGAGGATGATTGAGGGGCATCAGTGTGCATTCAATAGCACGGATCCGATCAGGCTCAGGGTGCTTGATCTGATCAGCCTGAAGCCTCATCCATGTGGCACATGTGCCAATGTGCGCCACATGTGCCACTCTATAGCTACGTAGCGTATACACTGTATGTACTATTTTTTCATAGATTGATCAGTTTGTACATTAATGCCTTTATTTCTCCTGATGCATGTATCATTGGGTAACGAATATACAGCAAGATCAATTAGCTATTGACGAATTCTGAGGCATGCCCAGCAACAAAGGCAGATCAACACTGCAGGCAGAGCAGGGGCCAGGACATTCTCTGGAGGAGGCATGCCTGGCTCCCGCTCGCCCTTGGCATACCGTAACAGCTCAGGCAGACCGTGAATGGTACTTTATTCACCCCTGTGCACACAAAAGGCAGCAAGCGTGACACATTGAATTACGACCAATTGCAGTGATTGAGCCCATCATGAGCTTGTATGTTAGTAATTTGAATGCTCGTCTTTCAAGCTTACGGAGGGTGCCAAGATGCATGCAGACACACAGGCTGGCTTTAGGCCCAAGCTGTCCGCGGTCCATCAGTTGCTCACCTTGCAGCACTTCATTGATCGGCAGAGTCATGCCCAGGAGCCCCTGTACTGTTCTTTTCTTGATCTGAAGGGCGCGTATGACAGAGTGAAGAGGACACTGCTTGCGGCGTTTGGCCATTGACGGTTGGATACTCGCTGCAGCTGCCATTCAGTCCCTGTATGCTAATTCCACGGTGGCAGTAAAAGTTGTTACTGACGGGGCAGAGCCTGCCTTCTGAGACTGGTCTACAACAGGGTTGCCCCCTGAGCCCCACTCTATTTGGCTTGTTTGCTGATGGCTTGCCAATTCTGCTTCCTATTCTTCTATAGTACCACTTCTGCATGGGTCATAGTGTGTGCTCATCTAATTTAATTGCAAATGGATATCGACAGAATCTTGCTGCAGAGTTTCTAAGGCCCACTTCATTGGCAGTTCCGCAATATCTATGATATCTGTGGTGATGCTTGCGCAGAACACTGTCTTGCAGCAGACACTGTCTGCATGGCATGCATGCATTTGCAGAAGTGGGGCCAACATCGAATATCACTTGCAATCAGGAAGCTTCATCTGACAATCACTGTGACGGCCTGGTAGCTTTTGCACTGAAATTGCAGTTGCCGCAACTGTTGCGACTGCCCCAGCCTCTTTACCAATGGGCTGCCCGGCCGCTGCCGCAGTGCAGCACTGCCAGCTGGCAGCAAGCAAATCAATTGACTTGCAAGACTTTCGCCATGTGACCTTTCATGCATGCCTCACTGAGGCAGCCTCAGCCAGAAGGCATCGAAGAATGATTCAGCCAAGGAGACGAGTCACGCCCTATTTGGGGGCGACTATTTATATTCTGCAGCATGACGCGCTTCCTCCAAGGTTCTCCAAGGTTCCTCCAAGGTTCTGCATTATACTTATACTCGCCTTGCTTCCTCCGGCTGGCCAGATTAGGACCGTTCTCAGAACTCACAACTCACTGCGCAGATGCCCCACTGGATGCATCATACAAGGCAACCTTTGTATGCCCTTTGACTGTTCTCGCAAGTGTATTATCCGTTTGATAAGGTTGACGCAGTCTATGAATGAAACCGCTGCCATCAAACTGGGTTCTCTATATAGGGCTGCAAGTCCTTTTCCAGAGTCTTGCTTGAGAGGCCAGGCTGATTACGGAGATGCTCTCCAGTATACATTACACCCATGACCAGAATCATTCCAATGCAGCGTCCTCCTATTCGCAAGATGTAAATTTCCAGCCAGCCAATGTCTTCCTTCAACAACTGTTGAGCAGGGCAAGTACTTTGACAGAGCAGGAACAGCCCAGCCAGAGTGTAGCAAAAGCAAAGGTGCCTCTTCTGGAGCCTACGTGCCGTCTTATTCGCAAATCTACCTTGCTTCCTGCTTTGCGACCTATAGCTAGCATGAGCTTCAGTACGCGTCCTAGGCACCGTTTTGGACCACCCCACCACGTTTGAAGTGGATTGTACCAACACCAATATCTCATCTTTGACGTCCCAGGATCCACTCGTCAACCTTCTTGTCAACGACGGAGGTTTCGCAACAGCCGTGCACGCACAACAACTCCACACTGCTGCTGCCATTGCTGCATCTCTTTTACGGGTCCAGGACCTCACTATCTTCCCAGAGAAATGCTGCTATGTGATTCAATCCTTATCCTGCACCTCTTTCTCTCAGAACATCAGGCAATGGGGTTCACCTGTCTGCTGCAGGCACATACAGACATACCTGCAGCAAGTGGGCGAAGTGAGATGCCAGCAGGCACAAAGGAGTCATCTGGGGACTTCTCCACACGGGGCAGAGACTTCAAGATCGGAGACAGGTCCACCTACTGAAGCCCTCGCAGTATTTGTTGTTTCCTTAGAGGAATTCCCTCTCATGCATGGATTTGCCATCTTTCCAGCAATGTCCAAATGCATGTTATGCCTGTGGCAGGGTGGTGGTTGCCAGCACAGGCAAGAGGAGCGCACAGCAGCTGACTGGAGTGGATGGGGATGTCATTGGACTGGATGGGAATGGCTGGGTGATTGTGCGCACCTCTGACGGTTCCGAGACTCTGAGAATACAGCAGCGCTACCTCAGCAAGCAGACCAAGGACCGCGAGTACGAGGTACAAGCAATGAGAGCAAAAGGCCAGGTTACATGCTCTAAGGCTCTGTGGGCTTTTGCCGTGGAAACTCGCTAAATTTTGTACCCGCCTGCAGGTGGACATGAATACGCTGAATGGATCTGGCATGGCAGCTGAAGCAGGTGGGCCCTCTGCATCAAGAAGTACCACTGCTGTGGTTGGTGTTCCTGTGACACGTAAGCTATCATGCAACACTAACACTTGACTTTTGCCCTGGCGGGTGCAGACCTGCCGATGGGACAGTCGCTGGCGAATGTGGCAGTCAGTATCCCGGAGAAGAGGGACAGCCTGGAAGAGGTAGGTGCAATACATCTGAAAGCGCACCGTTCGCTACCTCATCTATTGCCCTGTAATGAGAAGCTGCAAGAACACACAACCAAAAGTGTCGTAGAGGGTTCATTGATCTTGCTGTCTGATGGCATGGCAGGCTCGCAGCCAGCTGCTGTCCCTGGAGGACACGGTGCCCTGGCACGCAGTCAAGTCCAGCTGGCGCAACAGGCGCCCCGGCTGGCGCCGCGCTCTCAAGGCAGCGGACACTGTGGTCGAGGTGGCTGCCCGCATGGACGAGTTTCGCTCCCACCTCATGAATGATGGCGCCACGCTGCCGGTATGAACCTCTTCCTTTTAAGCTGCAGACACATCGCTTTGTTCTGAAGCCAGGAGTGATCAATCAGCAAGCGCTGTCACACCTGCGTTGAGGAGGAGGCAAAGAAGAGTGTGAGAGAAGGTACTGGCATGTGCAGATGGGGGCGGCTGCAGCGTCGTGGGAGCAGACATTGAAAGCATGTCTCCAGGGGAGCGGCTCAATTGCCATGCTGGTGACGCTCTGCAATGAGCTGCAGCAGAGCGTGCGGCTGTGGCTGGACCTGAAGCTGGTGCACACGCCTGTCTCCCCGACCGTCATGTCCCAAGCCATACGCGCTGTACAGGTGAGCCTCCCTCTAAGTATCACTGGACAATGTGTTTCACGCTCACTGGCTGATGTGTGACCACTTCGACATCCCAGACTTTGAAGGTGTCTCTCTTTGCTTGCAGGCCCTGCAGGAAGGCTCTCAGAAGGGCTCTGGTGAGCTGTACCAGGTCCCCTTGGAGGCAATTGTGAACCACAGCAGTGAGGGCATCCAGGCAGTCAAGAACTTCCTGGAGAGTGGGAAGACCAAACTGAGCAGCCCTCGGGGCATGGGCAGTCCCAGAGCCATGACAAGCCCCAAACTGACATCCAAACTCATGGGCAACACCTTCCCCATCCTGCTGCTGAGCCCCTTCAACGCCATCAAAGGAGAGTTCGGCAACGACGACCAGTTTGAGAGCGGGGCTGACACTGACTGGGAGACTGGCAGCCAGGTCACAGACATGTGCGACAGCTGCTGCTCTGACTAAGCTCAGCGCGCATGCAGCAAATGCATTTCGCGCACCAAAGTGCTGTGTGTGCAATAGCTGTTCTGCATTTGCAGCTTGGGCTGCCCATGCAGGTACAGGTATGAGCTCTGCTACTGAGCGGCTCTTGACACTTTCTGTTTGAAATGCAACTAAACGCCAAGATCACTGGAGGACTACGAGTTGTAATAGTGATACAAAAGAATGAATGAGTGGGGTTTGAGTCAAGTGGTAATTACCACTTATAAGCCTTTGTTTGAGGTTGTACAAGCTGATGGGCGATGCAGGAGCATGTATATGTGAGTGGTTCCTCACTGAGACGTCCAATTTACTGTTTCATTGTATTCTGAAGGAAGCTACGGATTGAATGCTACCTGCACTAGTGGCACATGCCTTGAGGGCCATATAAATAAGCAGCAGCAGGTATCTGCAAGATTGTGTGCGATGCATGAGCGCTCAGCAACTGTGAATTACCTTGTAAATATCCAGTGTGATGGCTTCTATCTTCTGAATACAGACAAACTCAATATGCATTATCATTCTAGAAGATCTGGCAGAAGTCACTTGATCTGGCAGAAGCCACGGTACCGGTGGTGCTGCCGGCTTCTGTGATAATCACAGTTGACTGTCGTCAGGAGGTAGGCCCTACCCTGTAGAGCTAGACACTTGCAACTCACTGAAGTAGCTGCAGCTTGGTCTTTCGAGATCCAAATTGATGGTTAATCTCATGCATCCAATGCCCTTTCCATTTACCTTGTTAGATTCTGTTCTGCCCAAGCTTGCATGCACCCTTCAAATTGCGTGCTCAAATCGCAAATCTAGTGTGATGATCGTTGCAAGCCCAGCATCTGGAACAGCATCAATATCGCTGCCAATTGCTCAGCTTCTAGTGTTGGCGTCAGACCGAGGTGTCGCTCAAGAGAGGGCACTTTCACAAGTCAACTTCAGTTCATGAGGATACGGAAGCGACCGTCGTCCAGGCACATGTTGGAAACGCCCGATGCCTCCCAAAGCCTTCTCAAGAAAAGTGGCGTCCTTGCTCTGGATCAAACTGAGCAGCAAGGATGCAAGCAAACGTTCCTCGACTATGAACGGTGCTGACTTCGCTTGGCACAAGTCCTTCTTGCTGACTTCTGATCACACAATCTTGTCAATACAAAGATAATGATGGAGGTAGGATAAAGATCAGAAATAATTAGATGACTGAAAGCTTTTTGTTGCTGCAGGAAATCACCAAGTCCTCCAAGACCAAGAGACAGGGACCGCTGGAAAGCATTGCAAGGTAAGGCAGATTTGCATCTCTCTTGACTGAACTGACCTTGAAGTGCTTCCTAGCTGAGGCACCAGGCACTGAGTAGCAAGCACAGGCAGGATGCAGCCATCTGCAGGACTCTTGAAAGAGACAGCCAATGCTATGCCCAGGTCCTTTTAGGCTGCCAGGAAGCAAAGCCTGTACGGAGTGTGTCAGGAAGCATGCATGTAACACCTTCAGATCGTCAATGGTCGCATCTTGTCGAGCCCATTCTTGTGTGTGCAGATGCCGATGAGGAGGATGATCTGTTAGCTTTCCTGCGCAACCCTGCAATCAATATTGATGCAGAATTCATGGAGCCACAGAGGGATGCGGAGAGCATTCGAGAAGCTTGCAGCTTTGGGGATGCCTCACCTACAATCTACAGTGGACACCTCTGTCTGGCCCGTGAGCATCTTTCCCAGGGTTGCGGAAGCAATTGAGTGACGAGTTGTACCGTGAATTTGGGGCAGCTTTGTAGAGTGCATTTGATGCTACTTACCACCTTTTTGCAGCGTAGCCCTTTAGCACAAATGACAGGGCACTCTGCCATGGTTGTTGCCATGCCAATGCTGATGTTTTGCACTGCAGCTGCCAGTCGTTGGCATGCAGTATTATGGACATGCATTTTTGTGGTGCAAGTGACTGACCTGCCCATGCATGCAGGTCATGAGGCATCATGCCATCATGATGATGACCCGGCTCTTGGAGAAGATCAGCCAAAAGAGAAGAGCCTATCGTACATGCAAGGGTACTCAGGATCTAGCAGGAAGGACGCGACTGAAGACGGGAGGCTGGCGTGTCAGAATGGGGGCAATCCAAGGAGTCCTTTCCAACTCAATGCTGGCGCAAGCACTGCGGATACTCAGGCTGACAAGGATAGGCTGCCTGCACTGCTGAGCGCACCTGCACCCACCTGCGGCTCGATCTCCTTCAGATGTGAGTCCCCTCTTGCAATGCAAAGTAATTCTCAGACAAATCCAATTTCTCAAGGGCTTTGCATGTCAAATCTGGTCTGCCTGGATTGTTCTGTTTTGTACACACCAAAATCGAGGGGTTTGAAGATCAAACCCTGCCTCAAGCCCTGCCGAGTCACACAGCAGGCTTGTCGATTTTGGGAACTGCAGTTGCGATCTCTCTTGGGTTGAATTGGTTCTTCATAGCGATCGGGCGGGATAATTGTATTAAAGCCGGTAGTTAGCAGACTTGCAAAGTGTAACCTAGTTGATCATGGGTGGTAGAGCACTCGACCCCGCTTCGTTTGCAGCTTTGTGCGAGATACCACCCTCTCAAGCAGCCGACCTTGAAAACATTCCAGGTGAGAATCCTATGGCAGGGCCTGATATGCCATCCGTGAAAGGAGGAAGTCTACCTGATCAGCCCGATGTCGCCATCTTCTGTGAAGAGAATGAGGCACGGAACTTCTCTAAGATGCACTGTTTCATTCCTGCAGGCTGGAACGATGCGCCTGATAGCGAGAAAGACAGCCCGAGCACTGGCAACAATGATCCTGGGCAGAAGCCAGCATTGACATCCAACAAGCATGGCGACTCCCCTTCATCAGAGGTGAACAATGCAACTGCGATGGATGCAGAGGAAGCAGAAGATCATCCAGAAGAGCCACTGGCAAAGAATTCAAGCGCCCTGGAGGCATCCATGGAGCTGTCCCCACTCCCTGACAGCCCCACCGGCTTGGCTCCGGTCCGCTTTGATGATGAGGAGCATGCGGGCGCCACTGGTCAGGCTGCCTCGCCGCAGGCCTGGTGAGCAATGATTTCCTGGGTTACACACTTGTACACCTGATCATGTCACAGGGCATTGCCTTATCAGATTGGTTCGTCCTGCAGCCGTCCTTCTAATTTCGGAACATATCTTATTTTTTGCTGAGGTGTCAGATGTGTATGTCGCAATGCAGGGCTTCGGATGCGCTGCCCGTCACTCAAGCACCCGGTGTGGGCGGCGACTCTCCTGGCATCTATGCAAGCCTGCCCGTGGACAACAGTGCAGAAGAGGAGGACAGCCCCGCCGAGAAGGGGCAGCCTCAAGAAGCCCAAACTCCCAAGCTCAACACTGAGGCCAGCCCAGACCTTGTTGTCAAAGGCAAGAATCGCAAGGCGTCCTCTTACAAAATGTCTACTGCAATCGGATGGAGTCAATCTCGAAACGGACAATTCAGGTTCTGCTTTCTGTTTGCGCATGTTTCTGCGGAACGAATGTCTGTGACATGCGCAGGTGCAGGAGCAGACAGCAGCGCCAAGCCTCAGACCATGCTTGGGACCATTTCCCGTGTAGTGATGAAGCCTTTTGGCTTTGGAGGCTTTGCGAATGGTGAGTCTCTGCTGCACTGCAGGGCATGTGTCACTGCATGGGCGAGTCTGTAGCGACGTTGTCTGTTGGTAGAAGCTGCAATGTGTACTTGCTCGCTGCAGGCCTGTGGGCAAAGAGAGCGTCAGAGACAACCAAGCCTGGCATGGCAGCATCTGACGCACTGGAGAACCCCTTGTCACCATCGCTTGGGCAAGGCCCTGCTGAAGGCAGCATAGACATTGGAAGCCCCTCCGCTATAGAGGTCAGCAGGACAGCAGCATCCTGATACATGCTGCAGATATTTTGGAGCCAAACGGTGTAGTCTCCGTGGTTTGCCATGTCATTAATCGAGCCAAGTGCTGAGGGCAGTATGTGTGGCATGACAGGCCCGCCTGCTGAGCAGACTGCCGCCGTCGCCGCGCGCTGACGCTATCAAGCAGGGCCTGCACATCATAGAGCAGGCGCACCAGATGGGGCCTGGAGGCCTACAGCTACAGACCCCTGTTGCAGGTGCGACGTTCTTTTCTCGTCTCTCAGCCGCCTTGTGACAGGAAGCATGGCCCTGGGCATCTCATTCACGACGAGCACTCGCTAAATTATTCCACACGGAGCGATGAACACCATCGAGTCTATGTCGGCGGCCTTCATAGTTTCGCGCTCTTGGAAAATGCATGGCATGCATGGAGACAGGCATGGGTGACACCAGGAAGATGCTGTGACATGTGATGATTTAAGCAGTGCTAAGAAGGCACGTTTTGGTTATGGATGACCCCTTTGGGTCTGAAAACCAGTCATCTGGGCCGACCTGTGATAGATACTGTGGATGTGCAGGGTTCGGGACAGACATTAATCCGGAGGTGGTGATGGGCCGCGGGGACAGCGCGGTGGCTGAGGCTATCAGCCAGGCAATGGGAACGCCCCAGGGAGTCGCCGCGGCAGTCGTTGGCGTGCAGCTGGACGGCGCCACAGCCACGGCCAGCCTGCCCCCCACCCTGGTGGGCACCGAGCTGGGCGCCAGCATTGCCCAGGAGAGCATCGCCGTCGCGCAGGCAGCCGCGCAGCAGGCTAATGATCTGATGTCAGAAGGCCCCTCGCGCAAGAGGTCCGCTGAGGAGGTAGAGCAAGGCGAGGAGGGTGGCAGGGAGGTGCAGCAGCCGAGAAGGCGCCGCCGCCTGCGCACGGGGATGGAGGTCGTGTGGAAGTTCTTCGGTGTCAGCAGGCCCGACGCCTGAGCCCCACCTGAGAGCAGCGCGCCAATCAGACCATGCCGTAGCGCGCCTGTACAGGATGGTAGCATCAAGATTGCGATATCGGGTTCAAGCAGCAATAGCGAACTACGGCCCGCGTCAGCCGTGACCCGGGCTGAACACAGGCAAAGGACAGGCTTGTGCTGTGTAGCACTGTCCTGGCCGACGGGCCTGACAATGGCATTCTGATTGTGGAACGCTGTACAACTGTCCTCCCGTTGTACATTAAGGCACAATGTACAATAACAAATGACTACCCCTCCCAGTCAAAGAGAGCTTGGGGCCTCCTTTGAGGGTGAATAGAGATGGCGCTAACTTGAGAGAGCGCCTGAAAAGCTCCCCAGTAAGAACACTCACTTGTACACTCCTTGACAGATACCATTGCTTCGAGTGCTTCAGAGCAAATTTGAGAATGATGTGACAGCCATGCCATGCAGACGTTGACCTTCCATGCTAATCCTGCTTTTGATATGCTCAGCTATTTCTTTCTGTATATATGTTCAGCTGCTGAACTTCAGCAGTGTTGCATGCACAGGCGGGCCCTGGTGTCAAGACCTGGGGTTGACCAAATTCTGTGCACACATGTGATCTGCCCATTGTTTGCTCCATGGCCATGGCAAGGTGCTCAAGCATGCAATTGCTGCAGAGGTGACGAACAACCGCCTATACCATTACATTGATATGCCTTTGTTTTCTTTCCATATCTGCCACAAATTTGTTTGAACACTGTCACTGCAAGTCCTGCAAGAACCTAGATTGCTGTAAAATTACTAAAGCGGTACCGGGTGTAAGGTATACATTGTGTGCCGTTTGCTGGAATCAGAGCACAAAATAAATTGGATAACGAACTGCAATCAAAATTTGTCCAGATAAGGAAAATTCGCCTGAAAGGCATGATAAGACCTGAAATACCATGACACGTACAAGGCCCACTGCTTCTAAGCCAATTTACTTTCCAGCTCACAGTCCAATAGAGCACCATTATCAATCAGAGAAAACTATCACACTACTCAAGCAAGCGCAGACTATTCTGTAAACCTCTGACTCACAAAGCCATCTCTGTCTAGAAGGACGGTCGAGCAGGGTCCTCAGCTCCTCACGTCAAAGGGGCGCGGCTTCTCTGGCAGAGCGGGCGGCCCTGCCAGCGCCAGCAGCACAGGCAGCAGGATGAGGCTGTGTGCGGCCCCCAGCACCACCAGAGCCATGTACACGCGGAAGTAGTACACCTCAAAGATCTTTGTCTTGGCAAACGCCAGCACCATGACGCCTGCAGCACAAGAATTCTCTTGATATATCGGGCTGCCATGCTTTGCCTTTTGAGTCCATCATCTAATTGGATATTTGGCAGCCTTAACCTGTAGCTTGCCTGCAGACGCACCTTGCTTTTTGGCGAGGGCAGCTCGAAATAGTAACAATGATTTTTTTTGGCATGAGGCCAGACAGCAAAGATACTGCCAGTACACGCAGAGGATCAGGAATTCTGGAGCAAATCAAAGTAGCCCATGTGTGTGTTCTGGCGGCTTTCAGGGGAACAAGAGATGGAGCATCTCACCGACAAACTTGGTGAGGGTGATGCCGCTGAGCACGGAGGCGCCCACTTCCACGAGCGCGGTGGCAGTGCGTGCCGGCCGCGAGCCCGGGGCGACCACATATGCGTGCACCAGGTGCGCGCAGAACTCAACAGAGATGCCCAGCGCCATGGTCAGGTTGACCAGGGACACCGCGTTCAGCTGGATGCCCCACACCACCATCACACCCAGCAAGTCCACCTGCCACCCCACCCTCTGTCAGTCCTTTATTCTCACTCACCCGACATTAGCAGACTGCAGCTTTGCCAGACCTGCAATCTGAAATAGAAGATGAAACTTCAACATTATCAGCAGTCAACAGTGCCACACTGTGCAATTGGGAACTCAAACAGACCTGCTATGTAAATTACAAGATCAAACTGCAACAATTACAACAATTACAACAATACAAGATCAAACTTTAACTTTATCAGCAGTCAAGGGTGCCTCACTGTTTATGTGGGAAGTTTAGCAGGACAGCATGCATGTCAAGGTTTGTTTGTGACAAAGCAGGGAAGCGTCCATGTCTAGGAAGTCATGCTGCGTACCAGTATCATGACGAGGACGATGCAGATCAGCGCAGAAGCCCACAGGGAGGCAGTGAAGGCGTAGACGACAGCTGTCACGGCCAGCGTGGCAAAGGTCAGCAGCACCAGCGCATCGTGGCCGATGGTCAGGTACTGCTCAAAGAAGACGTGGAAGATGGAGAAGGAGTACACTTCCAGCCCCAGATCCTGCTTCACCTTGGCCAAGAAGTCGCGCACAGCCTGGACAGGGCAAATCACCAGGTTCTCATCACTTGCATGCAGAGAACTCTGAGGCAAAGCTCTTGATGCATTGTAAGGAAGGAGAGCAGCAGGCAGGGGTGGGCGTGCCTGCATCCCATTGATGAAGTCCTCCTGTTTGTTCAGTGGCACGTAGCTCGTCCTGAAGCTGGATGCCTCAACCACTCCATAGCTCAGTCCCTGCAACAACATGGTTAGGTGATTAGTGTTCCTGCCGCCCCATAAAAAATGATACGGAATGATACGGTGTTGTTTTGTCAAACACCACCCAACCTTACGGGATTCCTGATGAAGATGTTGAGGTGCGTGAGCGACTTGCACCTTGATGCCGCTGGACTCCTTGGAGCTGAGTTGCAGGGCGCCATTGTATGCTCCCGCGCCGCCCTTTGCGCAGTCCTCCGACGGCAGCGCCTTCAGGAACCACGGCAGCCTCTCCTTCACCTGCACCAGGCAACGACCCAGTCATACTTGTACACCAGATCATTGCAAAGTTCACATATGGGCGCAGAATTTCCCAAGCGATCATGGCACTCACTCTGTGTGGGGCTCTGTGTCCTTATGCTTTTGCCATCCCGCTTGAAACGAGCATCGTGCTGACACATGTGGGCATGTGGGTGGGGGCTCCTTGTGTATATGCGGGTCCCGATCGAGGTTCTTTACTGTCAGCAGAGATAGGAAAAACTGAGGGGCACCTGGTGAAGGGTGGGCCGGCCGTCAGAGAGAAAGTCCGGGCCGGGGGGCCCCGATGCGCGGAAGCAGACAGCGCAGTCAGCGCAAGCGGAGGCGTTGACGGAGCAGGGCGGCTGGTCGGGCGGCGGGCAGTAGGCGCCGTCGGAGGTGGCCCGGCAGCAGCGCGGGATCTGCGGCGATATCCACGACAGGAAGTCGTCCAGCCAGGAGGCCGCTGGGGCCGCGATGTACGTCTGCTGGGGCGTGCGAGCCGCGTTTGCCACCTGGCAGCACAGCTGGCATGTCAGACGTAGTCGCCAAGTTTGGACGCTGTATATGACAAGCGCTTTGGCAAGTGGTAAAATATTTTTCAACTCATCAGAACAAGCCTGTCAGGCCTTGTCAGGCTTGCCACTCCCGCGCTCAATTGCATGATTTACCGAGTTACCAGGCTGCTCTGGGGCAGCAATTTGTCGGTTGGAAGCTGAACGTTAAGAACATTCTGAGATTACTGATACATGTCCTGCATGCTGCCAGGGCCACAAAAAGATGCAAATTCTTGGAAAAGGGCCATGTGCCCGGCTGGGAGGCTGACCTGGTTGAGCAGGGAGGAGTCGTTGCAGCCGGAGATGGAGCAGACAGCGTTGATGTCGCCAGAGGAGCGGGTCATGTTGAGATTGTTGACTACCAGCAGCAGCGGCGGGCCCACCCTCAGGTACTCGTACACGTCCTTGTAGTAGGGCTGCAGGAAGGAGTCCCTGGGCAGCGCCGTCTCCTGCTCCAAGCCCCTGCATGCAAGCACAATCTCACATTAGTCATTGCAGGCAGTCAATTGTCAGCGTGCATCGTTTTTTCTTCCCCGAGGGCCAGATATGCCGACGCAAATAGGCGGCGGGTCATGGGACAGTAATTGTACCAAGATGCGCATGATGCTAATTGAAAGGCGTGAATGAGAGGGGCTCACTTGGAGATGTGTGGTAGCGCGCCGCAGCACAGGAGGAAGAGGCCCAGGAAGACTGCCAGGACCACGCCCTGCACTGCAGGCTTGAGGAGCAGCGGAGCGTGCACCTCGGCCATGTACCTCTGCAGCGCCCTCGACACACCCCAGCCACCCTGCGCTCCCTTGCTCACCTCACCTGCAGCGTGAGAAGACCATTGCGTCTAACTTTTGGTGAATTAGAATGCCATAGATGCATCCTAGTGGATGTCACTGCATGTGCACTGCACGTGCAGCAAATGGACATGCCAGTGAATGCATCAGGTTTTACTTTCTTACCTTCCGGACTGCTGGTGGTGGCACCGTTGGTGGAGACAGGGATCTCATCCGATGACCCCGCAGACAGCAGCGGCTCCTCAGATGAGCCATGGCCGTTGTGGCCGTCAGCTGCCGCGCCCAGGTATTTGGGTGGCAGCTGTATGCATGGCGCCACATCCAGCCTCCCTTCGCGTATGCGCTGAGCATCCAGGGCCAGCAGAGCAACAAATGCGGTCACCTGTCATGCAGATACCAAACGTCACAATAGCAGCATCCACATGGGGTTGACATACCGTTTACCGTATATGCTGATATCATTTCAGCAAACCCAAGAACCATCACTGCCCTTAGTAAACTCAAACAGTCAGATGGTCACCTGCAGGCAGAAGTCCAGCAAGACTGCCAGCGCCGCACAGATGGAGAAGTTGCGCACAGCCGGCATCGTAGAGAAGGCTCCCAGGCCAAATGCCACCACCTCTGCAACAGTACACAGTGTAAGCGCGGCACAACCTCCAAAAAGGATTGTGAAGATCAGGAACTTATCGTCATGCACATCAGCCATTGCCATACTGGGTTTCCAGAGTGTCTGTCGGACCTGCAGTGGCAGCAAGGGAGATGGAGGGCCCAGCAGCAGCCAGTGTCCGGCCCAAGCGCTCTGGCAGTGGCAGGCTGGCATCTGTGCGATCGAGCTCATTGGCCAGGATGAACATGTTGTCCACTCCCACAGCCAGCACCAGGAAGGGTATAACCTGCACCATAGAAGACACACACTTTGGCTTCCACAGATCTGCAATGTGCAAGCTACAACTAATGCAGTACCATGCGAATATTGCATGCAAGGAGTGCGCACCTCCATGATGATCAGAGTGGACCACATGCCAAAGAGGCTGCACAGGCCCAGAGCCCCAGCCACGGCCCCAGCCACAATCAGAACGCCGCCCAGGCCCAGGCTCACCCTCCCGGTCACCAGCACTGCCAGAGGGCTGGCACCACGTGGGTAGTAACCCAGCGCCAGTGCAATGTAGGCCAGCATGACCACATAGGAGATGGCCACCTGTGCACACATGTGGAACATGCAGCAAATCAAAGGAACACAGTCAGGGACTACTTTCTTCATCTGGTCATTTCAAGGCAAGCTTTCTAGGAATGCATGTTGGGAGCTAGACATGCGTTTGCCGCACCGTGCTAACATCTGCGTAGCTTTCGCGAGCAAGCTCGTCAGTGACGCTGCGCTCTGCTGAGAACGAAAGGCGCAGGCCAGCCTCATCCGCCATCTGTGTTAGCTTGGTGCGAGCCAGCTCTATGAACTCTGCCTCCCAGGCCTCAGCTGCCGCCCTGCACAAAATATCCCAGATCATGAATTTTGCAAAATTGCTGAAGCTTCAAGGCTGCTCTGTAGGTGACTGCTATTCGATTTCTGCCAGCCATGGACATGTTTCATTAAAAATATCAGGTACAGTTTTGCAAATGCTCAAACGAGAGGCAAGGAGCACCTGTTGCCAGAGGAGCTGTCCACTGGGAAGGTCACAACAAATGCAGTGCTGTCTGCTGAGAAATTGCGGAAGTCTGGGCCATTTGGGAAGCCGCCCAGGATGACGTGGGGGTCCATGGGTGCCTCGAAGGTAGAGCGGCACTGGGTCGACCAGTGAGAGAAGCAAAAGTCCGGGGACAGTTTCATGCCATATGGAGGCTCTCCCTTCTCGTAGATGTCTTCATCCATCTTCCAGAACTGCAACACCCATGAAGCAGCATCATTATTTGCAGAAAAGTCAGCATCACATTGTGATATTGTGCAGATCAAACTGACTAATGGGCTGAATGGAAAGCGGGTTGTCTCGAACAGACCTGTAAGATGCTCTGCGTGGCGCATGCAGCCCCAAAGGGTTTGTAGCAGACATCCTGCAGCGTTGCAGTGGCATTGGAGTCGCCCACTGACACCTCCAGGGCGTCGACTTCAGCTTGCATTCGGAAGAGCAGCTTGATGTTCTCGTCAGTGACTATCGATGGCAGCCCAGACTGGGCAATGTACTGAGATGCGGCCTTTGGAGTTGTTGACAGAATCAGCTGCTCGATGCGATAGAAGGCACCAAAGGATTCCTGCAAAAAAGCAACAAAGAATATTGCTGTTGCTCTTGTGCAAAGTCAGTCAGAAGCTCTGTTCCTGAAATTGTATTGTTACTGTCATGGAGCGACATGCAGGTAATTGAATGCAACACTTACCTCGTATGCAGCCTTCTCGGTTGCCGCAAGGGAGGTTGGGCCGACCCACAGGCGCTGGGGGTCTGTTTCCACTCTGAAGCGCAGCATTCCCAGGCTGCAGATGAGCACAGCCAGCACTGCAAAGCCCAGCACCCGCCAGGGATGCCTTGCGCACCGCTGCCCCTGAGATCAATCACAACTGTTTCAAGGAAATGGTCTACCATGTCCATTTGTCAAAAAGGCCCCTCACATGAATTTCAGGACATGGTCGTGTAAGCAAGATAACATAATCTTCATGGTGAACTCCCAGTACCTGCTCAAAGTACCAGCTGCGCAGCCATTTTTCGACTAAGGAGTACTGGAGACCTGTCCCCAGGGACTTTGGTGGCTCCTCCTCTGCATCCCTTTCTGCATCAGCAGCAGCGGCGAGCTCCTCTGCCCACATGTTGCTGCGCTGGGAGGCTGCTGCCAGGCCCAGCATGTTCCTGAAGGTGAGGGGCTCGCCGCATGAATGCAGGGTCTTGTAGCGGATGCACAGCGCCAGGACAGGCACCAGCACGATGTACAGCAGGATGAGGCTGACGTCCTGGCAGGAAATGGAATCCGGTGCCATCCCCACAGCTGTGCACCCCGTCACTGGCGGCGGCGGTGGCGCAGGGGGCTGCATGATGACAAACCAGATTTCATGTCAGTTATGATAGAATCAAAACAATTGCAACGTGCCAAGTGGTTGCGCCTGTCACCAGCAGTTGTTTGGATCAACAGGTGCAGCAAACCAAAGTGAGCAATGGTCGCACCGGAGAGCATTGAGGTCCATCTGGACAATCACCACAGGAGCATTTGAGCGCGGACTCCCAGCATGCTGGGACGCTCTCATTCGCCGCCAGCATGCCTTGCGGTGTCTGGGCTTCACCAGGGAAGTTCATCTGGAAGGGAGAGCCGGCAGGGGGGACACGCTTGTCCTTGACCATCCCCAGAAACTCAAAGAATTCCTGAAAATTCTTTGCCCCTCCGCCGATGAAGCTCATGGCCTTCATGTTGGCGGCTGCATACACGACATCCTGGGCAAGAGCATTTGAAAGTCATATACAGTACATGATTCCCATCCCCAGTTATGCATGCCCTGATATATTCAATGCCACATCAGGCATGGAAGGGCCACCTTACCTTGCATGAGTCATAGAACTGCTTCCCATAGCTGTCGGCCACAAAGATGTCTAGTTCCTCCACAACTGTCTTATTGTTGTCAGAAGCCTTCTGAATTTCGCTGACATTTGTGAAAGTGGACTGGTCTGGCGAGCATGTGAGGGTGCAGAAGAAATGCTTGAAATTTTGGTTGCAAGCTGGACAACCAACGAGGAAGATACCAGCTATCTGGATCTGCAGAGCATGCACATTGGTGTTAGACAGGCAGAGATGCATTGATCTGAAAATCATTTTGCATGCAGGTCCAATGCATGGTCAAGAACCATCAGATGTGCGCACAATCACCCAGCCAAGATACAGACCTGTTGAGATAGAGTGTCAATCTGCTCCTCAGTGCAGCAGAACTTGCCATTGGTCTCTGCCACAAGCTGAGGACACACGTCCTGCAGCTTCCGTGCAGCAGCATCACTCACGGGTTGTGCCTCTGTGTTGTTCGCGCAATTAAGCACATCTCCATCTTTGCGATGCCCACAGATGCCATAAGTGGCACAGACACCCTTCTCATGTGTCCTGGTCCTCCAATCTGGCTCCTCCCTTCATTCGGAGACGACAGATATCAATATCAGGTGGCTCATCCTCAATATGGAGAAGTAGGAGGAACTTTTGATGTTCAACTGCAATTATTTTGGCAATAAGAATGATCCGAAGGCAGGTATAGAAAAGGAAGGTTGCACAGGTCAAGCAGCGAGATGATCGAGCTCTATCATACCCATAGACTGCTGAGCACGGCACCTGCACGACCTGTGAAGCATTAAGAACACTCAGGCATCAGCTGAAGGTATTCAACCTTAAAAGTAAGCATGACTGACTAAGCTTGGCTAGCAGATCAACAATAGTGGTGAACACTCTTTGTGCAATATGTTTATCAAATTCTCACCACTGAGAGCAGAAATAGAAGCAACACTGTGCAGCAACCTCGTTGCATGCCGTGCAGATGCATTCTCAAGCGCTTTTGCCTTTGCAGATCGGCATGTTCTGCAGATGCACTGTTGTTAGCTGTCTTGCGCAATAAACTGGCTTACAATTGCATGACCACATAACTGGCAATTACATGATCTGATCTTGGAAGCATATTGACGAGGAGACGATCGCTTACAGGCCATTGATCAGGCGCACACAGTCACTTCTTCTGGGACATGTCCAATTTAGGCTGTGCCATGCATGGAACAGCCATTGGCATGCAAAGTAAAAATCCAGAACAACAGTAACGTCATACATGTATTCGTCCTATTATGTACGATTTTGCTTTGCAATTTAATGCCAAACTCCAACTTGGAAGTTCGAACTGGAATCCCGGGGAGACTCTTGTAAAGCATCGAGTCGCTGCTCTGCCAGTGGCAACACATCCTACTGGTTTGAGTGCCCACACCTGCAACCTATAAGGGACAAGTATTCTTCACTTTTTCAGTGTCCTACTATGTTGCAGTTCTTCTGGCAGGCTGACTTGATTGGGGTTACCAAATTTGTGTCAGAATGTTTGGATGTGATGCTGGGCGCTGACTCTGACGATCAGAGTCAGACATCTGATCAGCCTGAGGTGACTGGAATAGATGTAACCGACTGACTGACTGACTGGCACAAGGTCACCACTTGATTTGAAACCAATCTACACACTGAGTTACAATGAATCTATGTGTTGCAGGTAATAACTCTGGCACCACCGGGCATTCCTTGTTGCGTGCGGCACAAGCAATGTCGATCTTATATTCATTAATATACTCTTTTCCTGCCAAAAGGCAAGGTAAGTCGATAAAGCGTGCCACAATGTGCTCAAGATTGCATCGGTCCAGACCGGGGGTCCAGTCTGATCCCCAAAAGATATCACCCTTCATAGCTGGCTATTCGTCAGGCCAATTGTCCAAGGATGATGCATGCATGGAGGGCGCTGGCTGCATTGTTCCATCCACTGCAGAGCCTCAAGCAAACACTGATGAGGTCTCAGCGATTCAGGGCGCTCAAGCCCTGAATGCCTCGCTGGCTGATGGTGTAGTAGCAATACTTCTGCGGCAGGTATGAACTGAACACCACCTGCATGCAGCGAGGCTGCTCCTCCCCAGACGCACCCTGCTGCTATACCCAGCAAATAGCACTGCCTTAGTAATCACATCAAGCTCAAACGGTAACTTTCGTCCCAACATGTGGTGATCAGGTGTTTTAGAAGCAGAGAGAGCTGCTAACTTCCGGTAATATGAGTGAATGGCAGCACCTGAGGCACATACTGCAAATCAGCGGCAGTCAGGCGGGACAGGAAGATGCGGAGATTGACGCAGCAGGCCCATGAGGGGCCAAGGGCAGGGATGACCTCACGCCCAGATGACATCAGCTTGAGTCCCCCACTGTGGAGCGATGCTGGCTCCGGCCCTGCCGTTCCTCCAACAGCATCCATCACCTGTATTTCATGGCCTCCATATCTTAATTGCTTGTCAGCAGGACGCACCTTGTCTCTTGGCAGGAAAGCGTATAATGGTAATAGTAATAGTAATAGTAATAGTAATAGTAATAGTAATAGTAATAGTAATAGTAATAGTAATAGTAATAGTAATAGTAATAGTAATAGTAATAGTAATAGTATGAATAATAATAATAGTAATAGTCATTGGCAAAAGCAGCATCTGTGCACATGTTCAGAAAGATACGAAATGTGCAGTGAAAGCACATAAGTATCATGGAGCACTGACCTGGTTGGTCACTAGAACCGCAATTTTGTACACGCTCGCATATTTCTTTAGTACATTTGCCACTCTGAAGAGCTGCGCGGTCCTCTCTGCATACCCATCTCGTCCTTGCCCTGCTCCAGCACAAGTAGCAACTTATCTCGTGTCTGCTGTGTTATGCATCCTTATCATCCTCTTCACATAAAATATGCCTTTCACTTCACGTGAAAATCCTTAAGTGACCGGCAGTATATTGAGGGTCTTTCGCATGCCTGAGCCGAAGTCTGCAGCATCCCTATAGATGTGCGCAATGGAGTCTATGACAATCAGGCGCAGCGGCAGGCCGGGTGGCTGCTGCAGAAGGCGTTCTGCGCGCTCCAAGCACTGATCCAGGTCCTCCCAGTTGGCTATGTCTCGCTCCACAAAAACATTTTCAAAGGCATTGCCGCTGCCACAGTACCTGCACTGGGTGTCATGCTGCTTGTCAAGAGGAAGTTGCAATGCATGAATGCCGCATTGTGTCATGAATCCCAGCATTTGCAGCATCACGCACAGCTGCGGTCGGTGGGCAGCCAACTCCTGCAGTCTCTTCATGGGCGGCTCGCCCTCTGTGTATATGTACCTGCAAGCAGAGGCATGCTCTAATTCAAGTGCATAAACAATACTTCATGAGAGCTGCACAGCATGCCTTATGATTGCCAGTCCAAGAACTGAATCAACGGACGTACAGTGCGGAGCCTTCCAGTCCGCCATGGGATTTTGGCCACTGGACAGTGAGCAGCTGCTGCAGACAGAATTGAGTTTTGGAAGCTGTAGACTCGCCTGCATTTCGCCAAGAGCAGCACTTAGCAGGTCATGCCCGTGATGAGCAAAAATGTCACCACAAAGTCATTATTTTCATATCGAAAATATGAATGGTTTTTACCTGCGACTTCAGTGATCATCCCACAGGGGAGTCCACCCCTCAAAAAGTCGTCTAGGATGGGACATCCCACTGTACACTTAAGGTCCGTGATCGGTAGGATTGACCTTTGATACTGAGAAATTACTTCCATTATCATCCATGAACATGTACATACGATTTATGGGCATTTCATGCACGAATTACACCAAGGCATTGACACTAGATTGGGCAGTCATGACTGTTCAATTTCTGCAGGCAGGACCACAAACTTGAATTAGATTGAGACATTCACCCTCATACGATGCCGAAGCTTCCACAAAATTCCCAGGAACTGCCGCAAACTCTGGAACTGGCTCTGGAGTGATCACGTGCGACCAGCTCCCGGCAGCTTCCAACCGACCGACATTCTCTGTGGTCTTGAAAGAATGCGTGCAATTAACCTGTAGATCGCATCAAAATATTATAAGGTTCATTGTTGAACTATTTGTATCTTGTGAGAGACAATCAGGCACTTCCATCGGATTTTAGTGTCCACATGCGAGTAGGTGTCGGTCTGCTGCTTGGACAAATACGGCACATAAAACGCTGCTCCGTATCAGAAAGGCTGTGAATCATGTTCTTTCATTTCCATGCAAGTCCGACGTACCCTGCGCTTCATCGTTGACCTGCTAAGGAGGCAGTCCTCCCAAGACGCACCAGGATTCACTGAGGCCTATTTCGCAGGCTTCTGACAATATAATCAATATACAAACTAGAGGGAGATATGTTTACTCCTTCAATGACAGACAATGATGAAATTATCTCCTTGGAGGGCAGCAACACATCCAGTGAGTGGTATGATTCAGTTCTTCACAGAGAACGTGTCCACTATGCTGGCTGGCTGTGGAAGGCTTATAGCAGTGGGCCAAAGCAGAAGTGGAAAAGGCAATGGGTGAGTTATATGCCCTTATCTCATATGCTGCGTGCTTCTTGCCAAAGAGATCTCCTGGTGTTTCTGGATTTTAATCCGTTCTTTGGCTCACAGTTCTATCTCTTGGATGACCGCCTCTGCTACACAATCAATCCCTCATCAAACGAGAGCGTCAAGTACTTGCCATTAGACCGCATCCCTGTACGTCCTCTTCCCAGGCACTATGGGCCCCGCATTGGGGTCAGCAGGATTAGCACCTTGCAGATTCCGAGACGGCCAGTGGGCTCTGTCTTTGGTGTGCACTGCGGCCGTCGCACGCACTTCATGGCCGCTGAGTCTGCTGCATCGGCAAAGGTCAGTACGCAATGCCCCATAATTGCTCTGAACATATTTTTATCATTAGGGATGGATGTCATAAATTTTAAAGGGGTGTCCCGCATCTTCGACAGGTCTGGATTAACAAGATATCAGAGATTTGGGTGCATGCTGTTGAGCACGCTGATCGTGCAACTCAAGGAAGTGCATCTTGGACCATGACAGATGCTCAGGACATGACGCTCCTGAGTGCACTGGGGAGCGCAAATTTTATCAACACACTAATGTAAGATCCAATCCTTGCTGTATGTCATTTACGCTGAAGGTTATCCATTGATGGTGAAGGTCTATAAGGGTGAGAGTTGCTGTACTGAGAATTGTTTGCCAAAGACAAAATAAACAACGTATGGTGTGTCAGCAGAAAAGAGGGCGGTGACAGACATCTTGACTTCAATGCCATTTACGAAGTGCAAATTGTAACTGGGAAATCAAAGGTGCTGTTATCATTCCCTGCCTGCCGACATCGTCGCTTTTTGCTCGGTCCGATTTAATTGCCCTTGAGTCTCTATCTGCGATTCCAATGTGACAAATTTAAGCACTTAAAATGTGCAGGATGTGATGACTGACCTCTCAGTGTACATGGAGCTTCATGACATTGGGGGTGCATCTTCTGGGGAGTACCGATTGGAGGCAATCGACAGCCAGTCAAATCCTTTTCAATCTGGCACCGTGTCACATTGTGAGGTAAAATATTAGCCAATTCCACAATGCGCATCTGGGTACTTGGCTAGCAGATATCTGGCAATTTCCAGATATGCAGGCTGGTATCAACTGCTTTTTCTGTTGGTCTAATGGTGCTTTGTACCATTGGCAGGTCGTATGCCGGAGACTCGCAGATGTGCAATGGCTGTCCATCCATTGTGACGCGGCATCCCCTGGCTGGTTTCTTGAGGAGGTCTGGGTGAGATGCAAGGCTACGGGACCTTGGATGCACTTCCCGTGTGGTAGATGGCTCACAGAAACCGATGGGTATGGAGCAGTTCATGCAAGACAATTCCTCCACTGGCATGATGCATTACACTGACAACCATCAAGAATGCCTGTGAATATTTGAAGTCGTGCTGCTGCACGCAAAAACTACTTTGCAAAATTTTGAGCTGTCCTTGTGCAGGCCAACTTTGCTACAAGTAGCTGCAGCTGCCAGTGCAACAGACAGCCTGCATGGCGATCATCGACATTATGATATCAATAACACTGCAGCTTCCTTTGCTAAGGATGGATCCTTCACATTGTCAGATGGGTTTCTGGTACTGCTGCCAGGATTGTCAGAATGACGATAGGATAGATAAGAAAAGGTTTGACATGATCTCAGATCCACTGGAGCTGGCAGCCTGATCAGGCAGGGCAGAAGTCGAGCCAGCACTAGCTAAATGATACTATCATAAGGTATCATGTGCATACTGACGCTCTAGGTGGTCAGCATGGAAGGCTGGCTGATCTGAACTTTGGGCAACGGCAGCAGCATTGCATGCATGCGGACATATAGTGCGCAATTATCAACTTGAATCCAAGGTGGCAAGCTGGAGGCGGCTGCCGCCGTGGAATGCGCGCATAGCTCAAAGGCAAAAAAGGGATTGCAGTGACTCACAGAAAAGTTTGAATTTTTAAATCTGCACCAATTTGTTGTTGGCACAACTTGGAGAGAGGTGCACGATGATTTACCATGCATTTGTCTTTCAAATTCATATCTAGATCCCAGCAAGCCAAGTTAGGCCACAGCTCTGGTCTCAAAGGCTCAAGCTCGAATCGAGCCTCCGAGATTTGCAATGGCAACGTTTATGTAGGATAAAAAGCGATCGTGTAATTGCACATTAGGAAGAGACTAGCTGAGAAGCAAACGTACTGCTAAATTTCTGTGATCTGTACTATTTTCTCTCCATGTTCACCGTGATTTGCAGGCACATCGCAGGGAATAAGGAAGCTGTCGGTTCAGCATGCACACTAAAATCAGGTAACGACATGCGGTCATTCGGACTGGCATACCTGAAGATCACATCAATAGACAGTGGTATCAAGTGCAACGCTTGGGTGGACTGATCGAGATATCTGCTGTACAGGCCGGACACAAATTAGCTCGGGATATGTAACACTGCCTGCAATTGCAACAGGGCTGAAGCCCAGGTATTTTTGGCGCTCATCGCGCTCAGGGAAGCAGAGAATAGGCCCCTGCTCATGTTCAGGTAAATGCATTTACATGCATTTGCCTGACGAATTAAATTAAATTGTTGCACCTCAAAAGAATGCTTGCCGCAGTTCTGATGCTCATCTGAAAGAGCAGCTGTGACAAATGTCTCAACAGGAGACAATCAGACCAGTCAGGACAGGCAGGCCTCTTCCGCGACAGGGTTGGCCGAGTCTGACCAGACAGTCCCACAGAGCAGCATTGGGGAGTCCGATCCGGCTTTCCTTCTGAAGCTGCTGATCGTCTCTTTTGCAGGTATGCCGATAGGTGCAGTAGATGAGCTTGCAGGTGGTGTGGACTGTTCTCTTTTCGTCATGTTTCTCGAGGGCACTCACTCATTGCCTTCACATGGTGCAGGGTCGGCAGCAGTGAAGTACGGCAGTCTCTTGCTAGATACTCCTTTTCAGCCAAGTCTGCCTCTCGCCTTGATTTTCATTTGTGCACCATGCGTAGCTTTCGGTATATTCTTGACAGTGAAGAGCAACGAGTCAGTGTAAGGGCTAGATGTCACAAACAAATCACCGTTAAAGTGCTGAGGTGCCATACATAACATGACAACCCACTCATCATTATAGGATTGGCCAGGACCTTCGCTGAGCCCGCAATTAAAGTCTTCTCAGATTAAGCTCTACAATTTGACTGCCCACACGACTTCTTTTTTGCATCAAGCAACGGGCCTGTGCAATGCAAACCTCAACAAGTCTGGATCAGTTAGGGAGGCCCAGGCGCATGGTGACGGCCCGCCGGTGAGCATCAAGGCCCTCGACAGCAGCCATGTGGGCCACAGCCGGCCCCACATTGCGCAGCCCCTCCAACGTCAGGCTCTGAACCGTCATCTTCTTCTGGAACGTGTCCAGCGACACCCCGCTGTACATGCGCGCATACCCGTACCTGCATGTCCCACAGACCGTCATCAGGCATGCATGTCACAGAGAGAATTATTACATTGTGCGCCCCGGTCTGCAGGAAGGGTGGGTACCAGCTTGAGAGGGCACCTTGAAGAGGATGCAAGGGAACAATCATAGGGGTCACACAGGAGAGCAAGGCCTCTAGTGGCAACTCTTTGTGTTTTGACATTCCAACAAGAATGAGGGCCAAATGGGAAAAGAACTTCAAGCTGAGGGACTCACGTGGGAAGCACGTGGTTGGTGCCGCTAGCGTAGTCACCCACGCTCTCGGGGGTCCAACGCCCCAAAAACACGCTGCCAGCGTTGTCCAGCAGGGGCAGCCAGTCCTCCGCATCCTCAACGTTCACTATCAAGTGCTCCGGCGCATACATGTTTGAGAAGTTTGCCGCCTCAGCCTGTCCACAAATTGATCTATCAGCATACCTCTGCACGCACGGACCTTGGCTTCAGGCAAAAAGCACAATTGTAAGGTCTTACATGGTACTGATGATAAAAATCAGATACAACAGTCATGGGGGCGTTCGGGGAGGTTCAGCTGCACACCTTGTCCTTAGCGACAACAATGCAGGAGTGAGACAGGGCCTTCCTGGCCACATCGCCGCGCGGCAGAGCGTCGCACTGGCGATCAACCTCATCCTCCACTGCAGCCAGGTCCACCCCAGGAAGCGCCACCAGCACCACCTGATCACATCATCAGTTTCTATTATCAGTACCAGTCTACGCCACACACACCAAACTCATTTCCAAGCTGGTCTATGGCAGGACCGCAAAAGCAGCCATAGCACACAAGAGACACAGTTTCAGGCATCCACGAGGAGGCACCTGGCTGTCTGGGCCGTGCTCGGCCTGTGAGAGGAGATCAGCGGCGACGTGGGCGGGGGATGCCTCCGCATCAGCTATGACCAGCACCTCCGAGGGCCCGGCCGGCATGTCAATGGACACCATGGCCTCGCTGTTCTGCAGCAACATCTTGGCCGCCGTCACATACTGGTTGCCAGGCCCCAGCAGCTTGTCCACCTGCACGCCCATCACTCTTACTGTCAAACTTCCTCCTGCCTCAGATTGTCTGGCCACCTGCAAGACCAGCTTGGCAACTGAACCATGTATGTAGAGGAGTGGTATGCATTTGGCGGGGAGGTGTGACCTTGGGGCAGGACTCTGTCCCCCAAGCCATGGCAGCGACGGCCTGAGCGCCTCCCGCCTTCAGCACGTGAGTCACGCCCGCCTTCTTCGCACAGTACAGAACCTCTGGCGTCACCTGCGCCCAGCCATCCATCCCATGTCAGTCAGCCATAAAGCACAATTTTGTTGCAAACGCGCCTTCTCATTACACAGCGATGTGTGCATGAATGGCGGTATGTCTTGTCTTGGCAGGTTGCCAGGTGGCAGGGTCCTACCTGCCCATCTTTCCTGGGCGGCGTTGCCATGACTACAGTGCGGCAGCCGGCAATTTGCGCAGGCACTGCCATCATGAGCGTGCTGGATGGCAGCACTGCCGTGCCACCAGGCACGTATATGCCAACAGCACCTGGAATCCATACAAAATAAAACACAATTGCTGCCAGCGTGAGATGACATGTCACACACTCCAGTGGAATGATTCCATAGCAGCATAGTCATTACTCAGTGTGGGGCGATGCATGACTGCCTGATTGGCTTGCATGGTGCGAGGCTCACCTATGGGCCGCGTGACTCTCCTACACCTCACTCCGGGCATTGTCTCCACCTCCAACGGCGCGCTCCTCTGCGCCTCGTGGAAGGCTTTGATGTTCTCATAAGCAATGTCGAAGGCCTCCTTGCTCTCTGCGCTGATCTCGGGATCCGCAAGTTCCTGAATATACCCACAAAGATCTCGCTGAGCGTGCCACGGCTATCATAGATATTTGTGCTGTCAGGTCTGAGCCAAGATCTGCCAGATGTGCTGATGTGCAGGGGAAGCACACCTCAATTGGCACACAGACACTGCTGAGGTCCACCCCATCAAAGCGAGCAGTGAACTCCTTCACGGCTGCGTCGCCCCTCTTTCTGACATCCTCTACAATTGGTGTCACCTGCAGAACATAGTAGAGGGGTCTTTGAGGCATGGACCACAAGAAGGCGGAACCATGGCAATGGCACTCCTGACATGCGGCAAGTCTCACCGTATCCAGAATGGAAGTGAAGTCTATTCTGGGTCTTGCAGTGAGAGCTAGCAGGTCTCCAGTGCTCAGTTCACTGGCCTTGTATGTCTTCAAAGACGCAACCTTTTCAGCTGTGACCGCTTTGATCACTGCTGCCATGCGTCCTCTCTGTCTGCAGGCCTGCTCAACCAGAAGGCCAACCCTCACACGTGCAGTTCTTGCAGAAAATTGGTGTGACTAGCCCATCAAAGCATTTGTGAGACTTTGCTGTTCTATTTGCATACTATAACAAGCAAGGTAAGGTCGAAACGCACTGTAGCAGCTGTTCCAGTAAGTGCCGGCTGCAATTGTGAGGGTAATAAAAGTCTCGTCGATGGTGGTCTGGTGCGATTGAGACAGGTAAAAGCGCAATCAGGTCTGACACCGTTAACAAGCTTCATTCACAACACTGGTCTGAGTTTAGGTAAGTCTGCTTCCAAGGGAGATGAACCTTTTTGTGCAAAAGGCAAGATCTGTGGAAGCTGCACAGCCCAAGGTGATCTCCGACTACAAGCTGACAATCGAAAATATAACACATATGATCATGCTTCGTTCTGCAGGAGAAGCTTCATGGACCACCGTTCAGATAGCCACGTGACGGCGATCACGTCACTTCCAAGAATCCTTGGACGTTCATTTCTCGTTGGTTGAGTTTACATCTCCTTGAGATCAATGCAAGCCTTAGAAATGTAGTAGCATCGGATACTGTTTGTGAAACACATTGGTACCAGGGCAAATGGGCGCCCTTACATCAGACTTTCTTTCGGGCCTGAGCACCTGGCAAATATGCTTGATCGTCTTCGCTTCGACGGTACGACGGCTAAATTTATTAAATGAGAAATTCTGTGATAAGTAGACGCCTTTTATGTGCTCAGGAAGCCACAAGGCGTTCATCAGTGAGAATGTGCCAGTTGCATGTAGGCAATGCACTTCATGTGCCTCAGTGGTCCAGGCGTCACACTAGGCATACAGAAGATATCCTTGGTATGAGAGACACTCATACAGGCCACATATGGGCATCAGACATCACTTTAATAGCAGTAAATGTTGATGTGCCTTTCTGGACATGCAGATCACCATTTATGGATTCCGCCCCTTTTATCGATGGCCACTACGCCATATCCCAGGTATTTACTGTAAGACTTGGTGGAGCAAATTTGCAGACTCTGAACAGGGCAGTGTGCCTGCACCACTTGCTTGGATGTCTTGCTACTTGTACCGTGCTCGACATGTTTGCCATTTTGTTCCTGCAGGAAGGCGACCAAAATGGTTCTGGGGCAATCTGATGGAGCTGAGGGCAGGCGGTCCCCCAATGACACATGCCAAATGGGCTCAGGAGTTCGGACCTGTATTCACCAGCTTTGGTGGCACGAGGCCCTTCGTCTTTACTGACCAACCTGACCTGGTCAGGCAGGTCCTGCTGCAGCATTCCAGCCGTCCAATGTTCCCCACAATATGGCAAGGCAAGGAGAGGGAGTTTGACAGGGCCAGCATCCTTGCAGTGCGTGGCGACAAGCACAAGAGTGTTCGCAGTGCATGGCAGCCCATGTTCTTCACTGGCAGGCAAGCACAGCACTATGCACAGTCTTGTCGCCTGCTTCCTGCAAAATTTCAGCATCTCGAATGCTGATATCTTGCGTCCCGGCTTAAATGTATCTGATAGGCATTCTGTGCGCAGCCTGGAGTCATACTCAGCGCTGATGAATGAGGCCACAGATGTCCTGCTGTTGAAATTGGCAGCTGCGGCCAAGGAGAATCGCGTGGTTGATCTGTACACGCTGATTGGAAGCATGACTCTCCAAGTTGTTGGAACGACTGCATTTGGGTGCGTAGCTTTCGCGCCCTCATTTTGATCACTAGCTTCTCGATATGCTCCTTTCTGTCTTTTCACATCGTTTCGAGTTTACCTGCTTGGTGATCGTTCACATCTGGGCTTGCATGCTTGCAGGGTTGAGTTCAACACTCAGGAACTGGACAGCACAGACACAAAGTTGGGAGAGGAGCAGCAGCAAACTGCACAGCGCCTGAGGGATGCCGTTGCATTCATTTTTTCTGTCAGTGGTAGGCTTCTGACCACAGGCAACTACATCTGTGCCCACAGATTGTTACTCTGATTCTGATGCTATCCTGGCATACAAGGACTTGTATGTTCTTATCGAGCTGGCGCGCGGTGTGTCTGCAGTTTTCAATTTCTCAGCGTACAGCCCCTTCATCTTCTTGTTCCCCTTCATGGCACCTCTCTTGCGCGTCCTGGCGGCCACCTTCCCGGATAAGGGCTTGCTCAAGATGAAGCGCAGCCGCGAGATCATCATAGAGGAGGTTGCTGCCCTCATCCGCCAACGCCGCCTCGCCCTCAACGAAGAGGTGTTACCCTCATTCTACAAAAGAGAGTACAGTAGTCCATAACTAGGGATCGCTTTTGCTGAAAAATATGTGCATGGCAGTTCCTGCAGCCCTTCAATGTAACAGCGTCTCAGTGGATGCTGCAATGACTGCATCTTGTGCGCTCATAGTGCGACAATTGTGTGCAGGTCAATGGGGAGAAGCAGGGTGGGGCCAGGGGTCTGCGGGAGGACACGCTGGGGGTGAGGAAGGGGGTCGCGCCCGGCAGCTTCCTGGACCTGCTCGTGAGCGCCAAGGACAGGACCGCGGGCCGGGCCTTCACCGACTTGGAGCTGGCCAACCAGGCGCGTGCAAGCCAGCAACGCCTACCTCAGATACTTCTGAATTATTCACACAGATGCCTTTTCACAAAATGAACTTCCCTGACAGTGTGCTGTGTTTCTTATTCTGGACAACCATCATGCGGCCCTTGTTGCAGTCAGTTCTTGAGAGGTTGAGATGCAGTCAGAACATGCTGTCACCAGAGGTCAACGCATAATCAGACTAATTAATGCGGGTGCGCAGGCCTTTGTGTTGATGCTGGCGGGGTATGAAACAACAGCCGCGGCGCTGTCTTTCACGCTGTATCTGCTGGCCGCCAACCCGGACAAGCAGCAGCTGCTGGTGGATGAAGTGGACAGCTTTGGCCGAGACAGGAAGCCCAGTCTGGAGGACTTGGAGAGCCTGCCCTTCCTGGATGCCTGCCTGAAGGAGGGGCTGCGGCTGTACCCCCCGGCGCCCACGCACATCCGGGAGGCCGCGCGCGACACTGAGATCGGCGGGTACCGGGTCAGGAAGGGGCAGTGGCTGGGATGCGCCGTGTGGTCCATGCACCGCAACCCCAAGTACTGGAAGGTGACCATGCCAGATTGTGAGACCGAATGTCTTGTGAGGGGAAGACCCTTCCCTGATAGCATTTGTTCATCAGACACGCATGATGAGGGGAGGCCTTCCTATCAATGGTCAATTTTGCTGTGAAACTTCTATTGGGCTGGCCACTGTGGTGCTAAAATTCGGAGTGTGTTTGTGTGTGCAAGGACCCGGAGCGTTTCCTGCCAGAGAGGTTCATAGAGGGGGCCGCAGAGCATGAGGAGGGCGTGTACAAGAAGTGGTTCCCTTTCGGCGACGGCATCCGCGCTTGCATCGGCGCCCGTTTCGCTCTCATGGTGCTGCTCCATTGCCACTCCATTGCCACTCTGTGCATGTTGCTGTACTCAAGTACGTTGTTCTGCTATTCCAAGAAGTGAAAAGAGCATGCATGTGCCGACTTGCAGGAGGCCAAGGTGACACTGGTGCGGATGTATCAGCGCTTCACATTTGAGCTGGAGCCCGGGCAGGTGCCCTTGAAGATCCGCAACAACATCACAATCAGCCCTGAGAACGGCGTCCTTGTGCGGACCATTCCCCGCCCTGCCACCCTGCAGAGGGAGCCCTGAATTGGAGTCCTTAGCTTCCATAGAGAGCAGGTCGCCCCAGCAGTACACTCGCTAGTGCCAACGCATCTGTCTACCCGTGTACTTGCTGTAAGCAAGATCTGGACATTAGATAGCAACTCGAGTTGATGCACCAGGAATGGCTTTGGAACCAGCTTGAAGAAAATATTGAAAAACATGGATCATGGAATGTATGGTATGCCGATCATGACTTTGGTGTATTGATGATACAGTCTGCTTGAACAGCAGAATCTGCAAGTGCATCAAGTGGCTGCTCATTCAAAATTCTACTCTAGAAGGCACAGCTGTAGGTGTGATTGAAGCACCAGGATAGCATAGTAGAGCCAGCTTCAAATTTGGTGTTGGGCAAATGCGCAACATGCTCATAGATTTCAATTGTTAGCTGGATAATTTAGCGAACCATTGTATTCTAGGCCTAGCTACTAGGTCCACCAATCACCTTTATTGCTTGTTTAAGGAATACTGGGCAGGTCTAATTGCCACTCGTGAAAAAGCAAGTTGTAAAAATATTGATGCTGATCCCGAAATTCATACGCTTCTTTACTTGTGCGTGCGCAACTTAGAACGAACTCTTCAATTAGAAAAACTCCCAGTGGCTCAGTCAAAGGAGGTTCCGGTCAGGTCAGTATCCACCAAACACGCTCCCACGCATGCGGCTGAAAGCCTGCCCGGCAATCTGGACGCCTGCGACGCTCGTCCGCGCGCCGCGCCGCGCGCCTCCGGCCATCCCGGCCGCCGACTCCGGATCGGCGCCGCCGAACACGCTCGCGCGCACGCCCCCGGCCCGGCTGCCGGGCGCCACACTTTTGCGCGCGGCAATACTCTTTCTCGCGGCCACGCTCTTGCGGGCCGCCATGGACTTGCGCGGCACCGCGGCCTTCGCTTCGGCGGCGGCCGCGGCCTCGAGGCTGTCGTCGGCGGCCTTGGGCGGCGGCGGCTCCTGCTGCCGCGCGCGCACCAGCAGCGCGTAGGCGCCGTCCGCCACCCGCATGAGCTCATCGTGGGTGCCCTGCTCCAGGATTCGCCCCGACTGCACAGCGTGTGCACATTATTGCCTCAGATATCCCGAGTCACATGCGGCTTGACGAGCTAGCTAGCCTTTCCCCAACGATTGAAAGATTCTAGTGCAAAGCGAGTGTTGAATCGAGGTGCACCTGCCTGACCGACCGAGGTGTCACTACAGAGAACCTGCCTTTCACGTCCTCGCCTACACCTTGGCGCCAAAGTGGCCGAAGCAAGTACTGTACGAGAGGGTGAAGGAAAAAAGTAGTGCACCTGTACAACGGCGATGGTGGTGGCGGAGCGGATGGTGGAGAGGCGGTGGGCCACGACGATGGTGGTGCGGCCGTGCATGCTGCGCTGCAGCGCCTCCTGTACCAGCCCCTCACTCTCTGCGTCCAGCGCGCTCGTGGCCTGCACACCCACACCCTGTCTTGGGCACTAGAGCCTTTCGCAGACAGCACATCAAGTGCGGCACATCAGTTTCCTGCACGTATATATGAGGCTGGGAGCCATTCACAGGCGGCAAAGATGGGATACAAACTGCGCACCTCATCAAGGAGCAGGATGCGGGGGTTCTTGATGAGTGCGCGTGCGATGGCGATGCGCTGCTTCTGGCCGCCCGACAGCTGTACGCCGCCCTCTCCCAGCTGCACCAAGACACAGCCTCTGTGACCTAGACGATTTTACTGTGTTTTCCTTTGACAAAAAAGTCACATGCCAGCTCATAAGGATCCTTCAGGAATTGAGTGGGCGTGCGGGTGAATGTTTGGGAGGGCCTTGCCAGTGTGCGGAAGCCGGCTGGTGCTTTCTTGATGAACGCCATGGCGTTTGCTGCGTTGGCAGCTTCCACCACCTGCTCGTCTGTAGCTTCTGGGCAGCCGTACGCGATGTTGTCCCGGATTGAACCCTGTCCACAACCAGTCCTCAACCACACATTTGTACCCGATCAACTTTCTCCATGTCCTGCATGTACCAGGTGGCCTTGAAGCATGCAGGGCATTCAGCGCATGCTGCATGTAATCAGGTGCATGCGTGCAGGCCTCACCGTGAACAGAGCAGGCTCTTGGCTGACAAGGGCCATCTGCTGACGCAGCCATGGCAGGTTGAGCTCTTTCACATCCACGCCGTCAATCAGAACCTGAAAATGTGAACCACTTTGTGTTACGGATCAATTAGACATGACTCATCTGCCACACTATTATTGTCCAATAATGTGCCCAGCTTCAAAGTGGAGATAGTGGTCACAAGGGAAGCCTGACCTGTCCAGAGAGGGGGTCATAGAAGCGCTGAATGAGGCTGACCACACTGGACCTGCAACCAAACACGGCATGGCACATCAGATCTTTGGCTCTGCGGTGCAATTTCACGAAGAGAGGGTGCAGGACACACAGGGAGTGCATTTACAGAGTGGCATTTAGCTGGAATAGAAACAAGGGAGAAAACCCGCACTTGCCGGACCCTGACTGGCCCACGAGCGCCAGGATGGTGCCTGCAGAGACGTGGATGCTGAAGTTCTCAAAGATGCTGACCTGTGGCCGCGCCGGGTAGCGGAAGCTCACTTTGCGCAACTCCACATCGCCCACCAGATAGCTCAGCTTCCTGCCTGCTCGCAGACATCCCAGACACACACGTTTATTACTCACTCCACCTGTGAGACAACGCTGGCTGTGGGAGCATGGCTGTGAAATGGCATAGTGTCTGCAAGGCTGCAGCTTCCGCCAGAGTCTGCACTGCAGGGCTGGCAGGAGTGCATGCAGCTTAGCGGCAAGCACCCTCCCTCACGACTGCACATGGAGACATTGATAGACACAGAGAAACACATACGCATCCGACTTGTTTCAGTGCTTGGGTTGACTGCAGTCATGAGATTGTGGGATTGTGGGCACCAGAGCTGTCTCGGGCGTCGATGCTGGGGCTGCGGTCGATGGTGCCGAAGACGCGCTCAATGGCCGCGGCCGCCTGAGTGATGTCCGGGAATGACATCTGCGCCTGCGCAATGCCTAGTGCCGCCAGCAGGATGGCAAACAGCACCTGCATGAGTACAATCCCTTTCAACAACTGCTCCCTTCGCGCAGCTCAATGCAAATGATCCTCAGAATGCGAGCAGCGGCTGCAAGTGCTCTTTGCAAGAGGCGCCTACTGTTCACAAGCAGTAATAATTTGTTTCCTCTGGCCTTCAGTGACCAGATAGCCTCTAGGTGCGGCACCCTATCATAGCATGGGATGTGTAAAGACAGGCCTGGCTCAGGCGAAAGGGGCACAACAGGCATATGAGTATTTAGATGCAGGGCACGAGCAGGGCACGAGCAAAATAACCATCACCTGCACCCAAGTAATTTGTATAGATAAAGCAGAATGAAAGGCTGGATAGTTCTGTGGTCGGTAATTTGTTTCTCTATGTATTGGAACGGACAGCAATGAACAAATAGAGGGCACACCTTGAGGACCTGGGAAAACTCCATCTGGCCGGCGCGCATGAGTTGGCCGCCGTACCAGAACGCCAGCGCATACACGGAGAACACTGCAAACTGGCTGAAGCCGAATCCCAGGCCGGAGGCGTGCGCGCGCGCAAAGACAGCCGCCTGCGGCTTGGCCAGCAGCCCTTCGTACACGCGGCACAGGGGGCCCGCCAGCTGGAATGCTGCAACCGTGCGCATGGCTGCAAACGCCTCCGAGGCAGTCTGGTTTGCTGCATCGAACAGCTCGCTCGCCTGCGCAGCATCTCATTCGCTAATTGCTCCCACTTTTTGTTCTGACAGGTTTGAAATTAGGAAAATACTCATTTCCACAGGATCATATGCATGCGGCCAAAGTCCAGGTGGTGAAATAAGCAGAGGGTATCATGCCATGTGGACCCTTTTCACCCGGGTCCTGGGGGTGTAGTTGATTACGCTGTGGGCAATTTGAGTGGACTGGAAGACGCGTAATAACAATAAAATAAGCTGTGTGCCAAGCTGAACAGATTTTGAATGCAGGCGATTGTGATTAGGGGCCCAGAAAGGGTGCTGACCTTGGAGGAGAATCCGGTCATGACAGAGGCCTGGATGCCGCCTGCGATGATCATGAGGGGGATGGAGGCGATGACCACCAGCGTCATCTTCCAGCCGGCCGAGAAGGCAATCAGGTACGCCACCGCAAACGTCACCAGGTTCTGCACCAGCAACCCCACCTGCGCGCGCACACCTCACCGCACCGCTCAGGATGCTCAGCCTCTTCTGAAGTGTTTTGCAGGTAATCCGGACAATCAAGCTCAAGAATAAACTGGGCCGCAGCCGTCAGGCACGCTAAATAAGCCTGTCTTGACTGCAGGGGTACAGGGTTTTGCACTGCTCCCCACCCAAGCAGTATCGTGCCTTTGGTGCCTTTTTGCCTTGCTTGACACAGCAAAGTAATCTGTAGATTCAGTACTTGAGCATTTTGATGAGGAGAGGAGAAGCGTACCTGGTCGCCGAGGGCGCCCCGGATGGCGGCAGTGTCGGTGGACAGGCGGGATGCCAGTGCTCCGCTTGCATTCTCCTCCCTGTCATACCAGCCCACCTCCTGCGCACGGCATACCACACACGCAATTCATCCCATGCTCTGTGAACAGATTTGCAACTGCCAGATTTCTGGCTTTCAAGAGGTGCTCCTAAACCGGGGACTCATTTGCTGCATGATGGTCACTTGCGAGGCAGCCCATGTGGCGCTCGCTCTACTTTGATGTCTGCATTTCTCTTTCTCTACAAAGATCGACCACAGAGCAAGCAGAAGCAAGCAGCAAAGCAAGCCGCAAGGCAAACGTAGAACGCTCCAAGCTGTGGAAGTGAATGCAAGCTTCAAGGTCCACAGCAGCGCGCCTGGCGGAGCATGGAGCTGAGCAGGAGTGCGCGCAGGCGCATGGTGAGGCTCTGGCCCATGCATGCAAAGCCATACTGCTGCAGCACGCCCATCACGACCGCGCCGCCGCCAATGCCCGCAAACACTCCGCACCACTTGGACACCTGCCATTTGCCCATCCACACACACACTTTTCAACTAACTTCCCAACGTTTCCTTGATGAAAATCCATGGAGCAGGTAAAGAGGCTCTGAGTCCTGCTGATAGGTTTCTGCGTGCTATGCTTGGGTGGCGGCTGTAGGGGAGTCTTGCAGAAAGTGACCAGCCAGGACTTGCTACGATGCTGTTCTGACAAGGCAGCTCATCAATCGAAGAAGTCTGGACATGAGCTAATGCCCTTCTATGGAGGTCTGCAAGGTGTGTCAGTTTCAAGCACATGGGAAATAAAGAGCAGACCTGGGACTGGATCTGGGCTGGGTCTGGATTGTAGAGGACGGCAATGATGGAGGACATGCAATAGGCCATGCCGGGCATCATGAAGCCCAGGCCAAAGGAGCCCACGCAGCCCATCAGCCCATGCGGCCACTCCTGCCTGTTGTACTGCCACAGCCGCCCGAAACCGGCCTGGCCCTGCATTTTCAGTAGCGCCAACTTAGTCTCTTGTTCTGCAAGAGGCTTTGGCTGTGTTTCCAGCACGTCGTCCTCCCAGCAGCCACACGTTGGCTTCGAGAAAGCAGCCGGAGAGGGGAGACCACGTTGTTCTGTGCAACTTTCACTGGCGCAAAGGGTGATGCAGACAGAAGGGGAAGGATCACACCTTTGGCTCTTCTGGGGTGGCTGCTGCGTCTGCTAGGACTGGCTGCACTTTGGGTGCCAGGGGGGCCGCGCCAACGGCAATGATGGACACTCTCACAGCCTTCTTCACCCCCTGGAGGAGCGGAGCGCTCGCAGAAATCTGTGCACATGCACAGTGTGACTTCAGCACAACAACTTTTGCCAGATTGTACCAGAAAAATTCATTCTGTACCTTTGCAGACTGCGGCCTTTCCGAGTAAATGCTCACCTGCTTCTCCAGGGATTGTTGAGGCGAGATTGGAGTTTCAGGGGTGCCAGCAGCAGTCTCCTTGTCTGTCTCTGCTTCAAGGTCCTGTTTGGTGAGGGGGCTGCTGGCAGGAGTGCCCATCTGCATCTTGGCCAGGGCTGCGTAGGCTCCCTCGGGCAGCGCCATCAGCTGTTTGTGCGTGCCTTGCTCCACAATGCGCCCACCCTTCACAACTGCCCATCACAAGATATTTTCATCAATGCACAATGTGAGTGGCTGGTCCCCCCTCTTCCATCACCTGCCATGAAGATTGGCTCATTGTGATGCAGCAAGTTCGGGTCACCTTTCTGCTGGCGGTCTTATTACTTGCATGCATGCAAGGGATCTCTCATTTGCCATGCTTGCAGCTGCACAAGAGCATGGGGCTTCACAGGCCAAGTATCACGTGTGACTTGCATGCAGCTCAAGCATCACAGGTGTGAATTTCTTTGTAAAAATTGATTGATCCTACCCCTTCTTGGACTCGCCAGATCCAAGCAAGACCCAATCAACCGTGGGCATGGTGCTCAGTATTTATACCGCCCCCCGCCAGCCGGGGCAATTTTACTACGCTACTAATGAAGTATTAGTCGCGCACCGGCAATGGAGTCTGCGTCGGCAATGGTGGAGAGGCGGTGCGCGACGACGATTGTGGTGCGGCCGACCATGAGGCGGGAGAGGGCGTCCTGCACGATGCGCTCGGACGCGTTGTCGAGGGCGCTGGTGGCCTCGTCCAGCAGCAGCACGCGCGGGTTGCGCAGCAGAGCGCGCGCGATCGCCAGCCGCTGCTTCTGCCCGCCCGACACCTGCACCCCCTTCTCGCCGATCTGCGTCTCATACCTACGATTGCACCACGCGAGCAGCTGAGGCAACTTTCATGCTGCATGCGGCAAGCCGGCACAAGAAGGCTTCCAGTTGGCAGTGTCCTCCAGTGCATGGCATTGTGGCTGTTCCATAGAATGTACAACTTGGCTCAAGCACCTTAAAGTGCAAATGCTACTTTTGCTCGGCTGCGCTTGCTTCCTGAGCAGGCCTCCTGACATTGAAGTGCAGGCATGTCCAGCAGTGGAGGTCTTCCGATTGCATGCATGGAATACAGCAAACCGGTGGGATGACGATGCAGGGGTTTTACCCGTTGGGGAGAGCTGAGATGAAGCCATGCGCATTGGCGGACGCCGCGGCCGCCTCGATCTCGGCGTCGGTGGCGCCCGGCTTGCCATAGGCGATGTTGGCCCGGATGGTGGTCGCGAACAGCGTCGGCTCCTGGCTCACAATGCCCAGCTGCACACAACATCATGCTCACTGACACTGCAGCGCATGCTCTTCCATGCAATTGGAAATGCGCCAAATTGCTTGATGTTTTTTTTTGCACCCAGTGAGGCGTGCTGAGCGAGTGGCGAGTGCGCACCTGCTGCCTGTACCAATTGAGCTGCAGCTGGCGGATGTCACGCCCGTCAATGAAGACCTGCATGGACAGAACTTCTTGTCCTTTGGCTGTGGCAGGATGTATAGATGCTTGAGCATGATGTCATGTTCACAGGCAGGAGATTGCGTCTGACATGAGTATGCAGGGAGTGAGGATGTGTGCGCCTCACCGCGCCCAAGTCAGGGTCATAGAAACGCTCCACCAGTTGGATGACTGTGGACCTGCAAGCAAACAGTCACGCAGTGAAGAGGGCACAGTGGTCACTGAGAGCGGGCACAGTGCGCAGTGAGAGCAAGAGATGATCAATGTCATGTCAATATCCGAGCAGCTCTGGGAGATAGGAACACATGAGCACGCACTTTCCACTGCCGCTCTCCCCGACAAGGGCGACGGTTTTGCCAGCGGGCACGTCGAGGGAGAAGTCCTTGAAGATCTGCAGCTCTGGGCGGGCCGGGTAGTTGAAGTGCACGCCCTTCAGCTCAATGTGGCCCTGCACACTCTCCGGCTGCTCCCCCTCCTCCTGGTCATCGATCTCAGGCTTCCTGCATGAACAATGCCCCTGTAAAGAGGATCCCTGCTTTGAGATCCATCTCTTGCAGTGCCCCACCTGAGGTCAAGCTGGTGCCTCAGGGCCAAGTGGATTGCAATGATTTCTGGTCCTGATGCACGATGCCAGAGCAGTGTTGTGGAGGGACGCAAGATAAACATAGTTTGTTGCTGACATGAGGAGTGTGGGTGTCAGACCTGTTGATCATGCCGAGCACGCGAGCGCCGGCCACCTTGGCGGCAGCGAAGAACTGGATGTTGGGAGCGGCCTGTCCCAGCGCAAAGCCGCCCAGGAGCGCTGCAAATAGGACACTCATGACGTCCCCACCTGCACGTATATATGTGCAGCATTAGGTTTATACTGTTTCGCGTTGCCTAGAGCTCAGCAGGCATATTTTGGGATAGATGCAGGGCATAGAGCTACACTGGCATGCAGCTTTTGCTGCTGAGTGGGGAAAGGCTCCAAAATGGATGACTCACCGTCGTACTTGCCGGCGCGGACGCGCGTGGATCCGTACCAGAAGGCGAGGGCGTAGGAGCAGAGGAAGGTGCAGTTGGTGAAGCCGACGGTGATGCCCTGCATGATGCCCTGCTGCACGCCCATCTTCCTTGGCACCTCCAGAGCCTGCACATGCACGACAGTCAGCCAGAAAATGATATTATGGACAATATGATGGGGAAATCATGGACAAGGCACTGCCAATCATGCGATTTACTCATCAACATGCCACAGATGACATGCATCATCCAACGATGAGCCACACATGACATGCATGCCAGGTGGATGGTCTGCCAGAGGATTGCTGACGTTGTCTGTGTACAAAGCATCTTGGCAGCACTGCAATGCATGCAATGCCAATATTTGGAGTCAGGTGCGCACCCCTTCATAGGCTTTGACGGCCCTGTCTGCGCCGTTGAAGGCCAGGACGGTGCGCACATTTCCCAGGTTCTCTGCCACAATGGAGCTGGCCTTTGCATATGCGTCCGAGGCCTTTTTGCCCAAGTTCGCCATGACTATGCCAATCGCAATGCCCACACCCGCCAGAACTGGCGTTGCTGCCAGGATGACTAGCGTCATGTCCCACCCCTTGTAGAAGGCTGCAGTGCAGCGCCAGCACCAAGTCAAGAACACACACCTCCGGCGATTGAAGTGCTGCTTGGTGAAAATTTCAATTTTCAGGATCATTGAAAGAGGAATTAACCAACTTACCGATGCCCATTCCCACGCCAAAAGTGACCAGCTTGTCTATGAAATTCCCCATCTGCGGCCAACATCCAGGAGTATTTATAGCTGCCAAAGATAAGCCTTGGCGGAGGGTCATCATGATCAAGACATGCCTTTCTTGGCCACAATGCTGCATGGGCAAGACACACGTAACTCAATGTGTGCGCAGACCTTCTCGCCGATGGCGAGCTGAATGGCAGAGGTGTCCTCGTTGAGGCCCTGCAGCAGGTCTCCGCTCCTGGCATGCACGTCAAAGAAGGCCGCGTCCTGCCTGAGCACGGCTTGCATGTACTTCTGCCTCAGCCGCGTGGCCTGCCGAGCTCCTATTGTTCAGCACAGGAATTCCTTAGCATATCCTAGTCCATACCTGGCTATCATTTCCATCTTGAAAATTTCAAACAGCCATGCAGGGAAGAGGTGTTATGCAGCGCACCTGTGAGCATCCACATGGCGATCTCCAGGTAGCAGACCAGAAAGGAGGCAATGGCCAGGTACAGGAAGAACAGTGTGCACTCATTCAGCTGGCTGGTCAGGCCTGCCTGAGGCGCACCATTGCCCAGGGTGTTCACCATCTTGCCGATGACCAGTGCAAAGATGGGCATCGCAGACCCTGCAGAACGTGGACAGATGCTCAATCAGTGTTTGGACACGGGAACTCACGAATTAAACACAATATTCTGCCATTGAGGTCTTTTGCAGATGTGGCAGAGTTACTGGAATTCACCGTTGGCTGCGGATCCAATCGTCCCAAGCACCTGTGTATGGAAGGGAAACACTCAGCTCTTCATGGAAAAAAAGGGTGGGCTGCAAAGTGGCTGCAGCAGAACAGGTCTGCCAACGCGATTGCTCACCATGAGGATGGCATCGCGTCTGTCTGCCGACCTGCACATCAAACGTCACACCTGGGACCTCGATGGGACCTTCTAGAAAAGTATCTTATGCCCACCAACCCAGCTGCTCGGCACCATTGCAAGTCGTGTCCCAACCGTCTTTGCGACATACCTGTACAGACTCCAGAATGACACTGTCTCATCCTCATCATCTTCTTCGAAAGCTCCTTCGTCATCAGGTTCTGTATCTTCGAACGTTCCGTTCTCATATACTTTGGAATTTTTGGACCGATCCATTGGTAGCTCACCTCGGTTTGACCGAGCAGTCGACCAATGCCTGTCCTTTTACTAGTCAGTTGAAATTTTTCCTGATGAAAAAAGGGATGAAATGCACATATGGACTGGATTCAGTGGTCTCCCACAAGGAACTTGGAAAAGTCAACGGGTGACGTCACTTCTAAGACTGTTTGTATTCCGAAAGACAATGGTCACAGACAGGTCAGTTTCACCAGTGCTGCAGGTACTTCATGCGAGGGTGGAACTCACATCGTTCGAAATGGCGCTTCTCCAGGATCTATTCTTGAGCTGGAGCTTTCTGGCGACAGTGTTCGTATCGTTCGTCACGGCATTTGTGGTATGCTGTTCTGCCTCCTGGAAGCGACGTGAAATTCGAACATAATAGTTTTGAATATCTGTTTTACTGTCAGAAGTTGCAAATTCGGATTGGACGGTGAGTACCTGTGATTCGACTGGTCGGCCTTTCTGTCCACCTTAAAAAGCCGCTTAGCACGAATTTTACCAACTGAACAAAACAATTCGCGTTCTGCAGGTGTACGTGTACGGATGCCGACCACTGGACAGGTGGAAGCTCAGGCACATCCCAGGTTCGCCACCGTTGCTCGCAGCTAAGGCATGGCTGCTTTCTCTTGTCAGCCAGGCTCCATTCACATTGCAGGTCTTCAAAGTAATTATTACTGCTTGCAGTCCATGACACCTGCGCAAGCATCCTGTATCTGTGCTGAATAAGAGGCATCTTTTGCTTTATTGCTTTATTTTTGAAATCTGCCTCGGAAAATGTGCAGGCCCGCCGCAGGAGTGGCTGACAGGGAATATCCTGGAGCACATGAAGCTGGGCGGCATATTCAAGGCCCACCAGTTTTACGCACAGAAGTACGGCCCTGTCTTTGTGGCGCGCAATGTGCACACTCCCATCGTCATGGTGGAGTCGCCCGAGCTGGCACGCAAGGTGCTGCAATCTCGTTCCTGCTAAGCTGTGAACATTTTCCAGGATTGGGTGACTGCTAAGTAGCAGCGATATCTATCTCTGGGACCCTGGCTGGGTTCAGGGAATTAGTACATGCATTTTCTCCCAAGAGGCAAGGGGCCCTGCACTCGAGCTGAAGTCGAATGCCGTCAATTCCCTAACCTTTGTTGGACTCGCCAAATAAGAGCAAGATACAATGTACGGTGCTCGGTATTCATACCAGTCCCCGCCAGCCTCGGAAGTGCTCCAGAAATAGGTGATTGCCCAATGGCAGCAGGTTCAAGTTCTCTGGAGCCTTGTTTGGTCTCAGTGAACGAGGTGTAACTCTTAAATTGTGGTGCGGTCGTGTGCTATCGCAGGTACTGCTGCAGAACAACTACCGCTGCGTGTTCCCCAACCTGCTGCACGGCGAGGACGCCAAGTTTGAGGAGTCGACCTACCTGGACACGCGCGGCGACAAGCTCAAGACCGTGCGCGGCGCCTGGCAGCCATTCTTCTTCTCCGGCAGGCGCGCCCCAGCCCCTCCGCTGTGTTGTTTCCATGCACAGACCTTCTGTAACGGTGATGCGCACAAAGACAGGAGGTCACAGTGGAACAAGAGTGGAAGCTGCCTCTTTGCTGTCTCTGCGCATGCACAGAGCTGCCCTCGTCACAGTGATGTGCGCATTTATGAGAGGAGCTTTCGCTCTCCCAAGCGCACACCTTCCCAAACCACAGCGCTGTTTCACAATAATAGAGGGGCCTTCGCTCTCCTTACGCACAGACCTTCCCTTCTCACAGTGATATTCGCACTGGACAGAGGAGCCTCAGCTCTCTCTATGCACAGACCTTCCCTTGTCGCAGTGATGAGGAGAGAACCCAATGGAATGTCCAGAGCATCTACCCTGTTTAGGAGCATCTACTATGTCCACCAAGTGAGTGATTGCAAGGGCCCAGAGCAATTTGAACCTCCCCTTTATATTAATGGGTAAAAAAGCAACTTTTTCATGATGTGTGGAAGTTGGGGTGTCAAAGGTGAGGGTGGTGGGGTGTATGCGCAGCCTGGAGGGCTTCATGGGGCTGATGAAAGAGTCTGCGGACCTTCTGGTGGACAGTGTGGACCTGCATGCCACCAACGGCCAAGTCATGGACATCCACGGCATGATCGGAGCCATGACTGTGCAGGTCGTGGGCACCACTGCCTTCGGGTACACCTCCATCCTCTCCCTGTCCAGATATTTTATTATCATCATTACATGCTATTCTGGCCCCGGCTGGCGGGGGGCGGTACGAATACTGAGCACCGTGCCCACGATTGATTGGGTCTTGCTTGGATCTGGCGAGTCCAACAAGGGGTAGGAATTTGGCAGCCTTTACATGCAGCTTGTCTGCAGACGCACCTTGCCTTCGGCAGGAAAAGCGTGTAATAATAATAATAATTGCATGCTATTGTAGCCTTCCAAGGCGAGGTGCGTTCCAGCAGCACTCTTCCAGAATTCCCTGTCCTTGCATACTCTCCACCAGTCGTCCTGGAGACAGTTATAATTGGCATTTGTGTTGAAAGCTCATGTATAGTACATTGGGCCACAAGGTGCCAGCCAGACCTGCTGAAGATGAAAGCACCTGGTGGAAAGAAGGCAGGCATGCACACAAAACATATAGACGGTTATTTTGACGTCGTGTGCCAGGGGCATGCAGACCAGTTTTGCCAAACGAGAAGCCAGCCTAAAGTTTCTGAGACGGCGCTTGAGAGTACTGAACTGAGTTGTGGATGGATGGCGCGCAGGGTGAACTTCCACACACAGGTGGCCGACAAAGCGAGCGAGAAGAACAGCGACTACGTCAAGCGCCTGCTCAAGGCAGTCTATGATATCATGGCCCCCAAAGGTACCCATTTCTTATTGCCCATGCCCCTTCACATCTGTGTGTAATTTCTCCAGAGCAGCCTTCACCTCTCGTTGCACATGTTGCTGATTGCAAAGCTCAGATTGCACCTGATCTTCATGGAACGAGGGCGTGCAGTATTCCGATGCATGTTGTAAAGTTTGAGGTACACCACACGCATAATGTCAGGCATTCCCAGAGCAAAAAAGAATAGCTCAGTTGGGTCCTCCAAGCCATCCTCTTCATTTAGTGAGGATCAAGCCAATCCTCACTTGATGGAGTGAGTTCAGTGAAGACTCCTCACACCTTTTATCACACACTTGGTCATGGGCTGACAAAGAAGAGAGACTACATCGTCCCAGCGACACAGGGCTGATTAGGTGTCCCACAGCTTCCCAACCGCCAATAGCACGCAAGACATAAAATAAAATGATCTGTCCATGCATGACCAAGGTTGCGTGCATGCAGCGTTCAGCTTCAGCATGTACACGCCGCCACTGATCCTGCTCCCCTTTGCGGCGCCCCTGATAAAGCGGCTGGCGCACCATTTTCCGGACGAGGGCCTGTCGCGCGTCAAGGCCGGCCGCCAGGTCATCATCGACATCGTCAAGGAGCTGCTCGCCGAGCGCCGCCAAGAGCTCGCCATCGAACAGGTGCGCCCAGCGCATGCATGACCATGCCACGACTTAACAGCAGTCTACATCTTGTAATAGACGGTGCAGCAACCCAGCCCCTTGCCCCAAAATAAGATGTATGAGATGTTAGGGCAAGTGAGTGATCTGTAGCACTTTGCCCAAAGTAGACCCGCATGGAGTCCCATAAACCTCAATTTCTTACTGGTGGGCTACACGGCAGAAACGTGAAGAGGGTGTGCCTGTGTCAAAGATCTGAGCGAATTGCATGGGTTTGGCTGCAGAACCGCACGGCCAAGGGCTTGGGCAAGCTGCGGGCGAGCTTTGCTGAGACGACCGGGGAGCGCCGCGGCGTGGCCCCCGGCAGCTTCGTGGACCTTCTGGTGAACGCCACCGACAAGGCCACCGGCACCAGCCTCACCGACCTCGAGCGCACCAACCAGGCACGCCCCATCACACCTGCACACACAGCCACATGCATGCATGCATGCAATTCATCACTTGGGGATTTAGGGTTTGAGAGGGCCTCGTTGAGATGCAGAGTTGCCCGAAGTGCGCCTTATGATGCCTCTAAGCAATGCAAGGAAATTTAGATCTACCTAGCAAATTTGGCACTCAATGTGACAAAAAGCTCTGGGCGGACCAGAACCCCGTCCCAGAACCCACAAGCACAAGCCCACTCCTAGAGGTAATCACCCCTGGGCTCTCAAACCCTGCATGGATGTCTGCTCATGCGTGTGACTTTGCTGCTCGTGGCAATGTCGGGGAACTTATCTATGAATATCATTGAAAACGTGATGGAATATGTTGAGCGCAGGCGTTTGTGATGGTGCTGTCGGCGTACGAGACGACGGCAAATGCGCTGGCGTTCACGATGTACCTTCTCTCCAAGCCGGAGAACGCTGGCAAGCTGGCCAAACTGACGGCCGAGATCGACGCGTTCGGCCGCGAGCGTGTTCCCTCCTTTGAGGAGCTTGACAAATTCCCCTGGCTGGAGGTGCCGCCCCCTGCCAGCTTTTCTCTTGTTCTCACTCCAAATCTGCATTTGTATTGTATATTGCCTTCGCCTGGTGCTCAACCGAATGCTTTCATCCCAACTTGCAGCTGCATAGTATCTTGCCGTTGCCTGGTGCTCAAGCCAAAGCACATGCTGATAGATGTCCTCATCCTCATCCAATGTGCAAACGTACACCATGTTGCCTCTGCCTCAGGCTGGCGCTGAGGCCATAGCACTTTTTTGCTGCACTGTGACGAGCTCGCTATGACCACGGCAGAAAGACTGGGAAAAAGGCAACACTGGAAGCATTTAGCTCTGAGAAGAGACAACTTGCATGACTAGTCCCCACATGAACCATTACTGAGGTTTTCTCACTTCGCTTGGGGTGCAGGCGTGCCTGCGTGAGGGCATGCGCATTTTCCCGCCGGTGCCGACGCTGACGCGCGAGGCGGAGCGCGACATGGACCTGGGCGGCTACCGGGTCGCCAAGGGCCAGATGCTGGGCGTGGCCGTCTACTCCATGCACAACAACCCCGCCTACTGGCAGGTGTGTCAGTCAGTCACATCTCATCTCTTCCAGCCAACTTAGGGCTTATGCAACGCCTGACTGTGATGTTCAGAGTCAGCGCCAGCGTGACGTCTAAGCACTCGCGTGTGTGTGGGGCGATGCTCACCCCTTGCAAAGAAGCGTCTTGTATGCTGCACGCATAGCATGTACGCTGCGTTTCTGCTCACTTGGGCAACCGCTCTGCCTCGATGCCTGCAACTCTCTTCATCTGAAAATGGCTTGATCTCTCAAATCACAGGAGTGCTGCACAGCGGCACAGCGATGCTTGCATGCGAACTAATGTGCGCTTGCGCTGTTGCATGTTTGCGGTAGGGGATGATGTAACGTGTTCTGTGGCGATGTGCTTTGGCATCCAAGATGTGAGAGTTTTTGTGTGGACAGGAGCCTGAAAAGTATCTGCCCGAGCGCTTCATTGAGGGCACGCCCGAGTGCCTGGCCAAGCCTCTGCACGGCTACCTTCCCTTCGGCGACGGCCTGCGCCAGTGCATCGGCCTGCGCTTCGCCATCATGGAGGTGGGCAGCCACGTGATGACGTCATGCTCTACTGCTGTATGTTTGAAGACTTGTCAATGACAGGTTGTCATGCATGCATGCGTCTACTTCTTGCATGTGGCTGAGGAGGGGTGGTGTGGTGTGATGCAGGCAAAGATCACCATGATCCGGCTCTACCAGCGCTTCACTTTTGAGCTGGAAGCTGGGCAGGACACGCTGGAGCTGCGAGAGACCATCACCATCTCGGCTGCAAATGGCGTGCTTGTCAAGGCCGTCCCGCGCCCGCCGCCCAACAACCTGTTCTAGGTGGAGGTATTACGTCACTTGCGCATCTGCAGATATTACGCGTCGGTAGACGGTTACAGGTCGTCAAGTCACACATCCAGAGACCGATCTGAATAATCCAATCTCAACTGCGTAATTTGTAGGCTGAGCTGTGACACCAAATTCCTCTTTGCAGAGAAGTACGATTGCAATAGGCTAGCTGAGATAGATGCTCAGGTTGTAGTGATGAGAACAGGTCCCACTTGCACTCATCAGGAGGTTTCAAGACTCCCAGTCCTTGCCATTGTTTTCAAGAAATGCGGTAGCCCACTTTCAAAAATATGATGCTCGCTGTCCCTTGTTGTCTGCAATGATCTTTCTCTAAACCAGTAAAATGCCCAATGGGGCTACAGGAGAGACTAAACAAAATCACATGTGAAATGAAGAAAATACAGAAAATCTCAAGCCTTGTGCATCTGACGCCTCTCCATCAGTGAGCTCTGACGGACTGAGATGCCGGGAAGCTTGACTGGTATCGCGAGCGCGATTGGTGGTCATCCGCTGGCCTGTTGATGGGGGTCCACACTGGCTCACCCACAAACAGCCGCATCGCCTGCAGCCCACCGCACACCTCTCCTTCCCCCATGCAGCCCTCCCTTGTCTAGGATCAAGGGTTGCCCCCACAGGTCTTCTCAAACGGTGTCTAGCATACATAAATGGACTTGAGAATAAAAGAAAAGAGCACAGCACCTTGATGTAGTTATTGATGTCGAGCGTGAAGCGGTGGTAGATGCCCTCTGGCAGCACGATCATGTCGCCCTTGCGGCAGTCAATCCTGATCCACCTCTCGTCAAAGTCCCTCACGTCAAAGTAGCCTGAATTGCATGCAGATCAGATGTCAAGATTGTCTGGATGTCACCCCATCTGCAGCACTCATAGCATAGACGCAACCTGAAGGAGCCTCACCGCTGCCATCCAGCACAAATCTGATCTCCTCATCAGAGTGGATGTGTTCCTCGAAGAAAGACTTGATCTTCGCCTCATAGTTTGGGAGCTTGTCGGGTGACACTGTGATGACGTCCTGCAGCGCAGTTGCTGGTGAGCATAGTGGACATCTACCCTTTGGCACATTCAGGAACTCTCAGCTAAATTCAAGAGCATGCAGGGTGTCCATCCTGACCTTATAGCTGTACCCTCTGGCGTCCCTGATGGCCTGGAGCTTTGGGTCCTCTTCTCCGTCAACCTTCCAATAAACAACCCCCAACTTCTGCAGGTGCTCCAACGATACTGTTTCGTTTGGCTCTAGCCTGTTACAAGGATCCAATTTCGATGTCAGACCAAATGGAAGCTGCGAATGAAGCTACAGGAATAAAGATGTTTATCTTCTACTGCAGCTGCCAAGCACGCACAGCATCGTCAGATGGGTTACAACACCTGTGGGGAAGCCTTTGATCCTCCGTAGATTCGTCCATGTACCAGGCATCGACGTGGGAGTTCTCGATCGGGTCAGGCTGCAGCATATAGCGACCAGATTCAGGCATCAACATGAAGCAGTATATAAGCTGATCACATGCAAGTTCACTTTTTAAATTCAATCTGATGCAACCAGCTAGCGTTGAAGATTCCAAGGAGGCTTTGCAAACCTGTGCCAACCGTTTGATCTCGTCACTAATGGTAGCCATTGCCACACCACAGGCTTGTGAATTCTCGCACTTCGATAAAGCTCACACCTTTCCTATCCTCTAGAATACTGCACAGATAACCAGATCGTGATATCGCATTCACGAGGAGGCACGAGCATCAAGCATGCGTCAGGGGTATAACGTAATTATGGCGGGAGCCTGCCGGAAGCTGTGTGGCGCCGAAGAACCGGGGGCAAATTGTGTTGTTGTTGCTTGTCGCTCTTTCTGGTGTCGTTTAGTATTGGGACGATGATTGACAGGATCTAGTTTTTATAGTTTGGAAAGTGACGTATATTAGTGCTTTTACTCTAATGATCATGAGGGATTTCTGAAACAGTACAGAGGATGTGTGGATGATGAAACTGACAAGTAGATCACAATATAAGGCAGCCATAATTCGCTTGCTGGCTCTTTATTGCCTCCTTCTGCCCAATTGTGCTGTTCCTCCTCAGGACAATATTGACGCCCCGTGCACGTTACAACAAGAAGAGCCGTCATTGATCCACACCGATACTCTGAAAGAGAAGCCTTACATCGGTACACCGGATGCTGGAAATCCCGAGCGATCCACCGTTTACCAAGCTGATCAGCAAGGCAGCAGCTCGTCAATCCTTCGAGCTCCTGCACCACAACTGCTGGATCCTGGTATAGAGGACACACATGTGCAGCCAAAACTTCAACAGGAGATATCCGGCACAGGTGCTGCAGCTGCAGTTGCCGAGCCTCATTTGACCCTCCATGCTTCAGAAGGTGCGCAGCTCTCAAACCTTGCATGCATGGGCCAAATCATCCAAGCCATCATTCCCGATAGGCTCAATGCTATGTACCCAGAGAAGCGCTGAGTTTAGTTGCGTGCAGGCCTGGTCGAGCCTCCTTCGGTCATCAATGGGACCGCTGTTACCGCTGATAGTCCTGTAATTGTGTCCACACCAGCTGAGGCCCAGCAAGTGCCGGCATCAGAGGACCCTGTTGGGGCACAGACTGCAGCCGCCTCTGACTCCAGCGCGCAGGTCTGTGCTTCTGCAATGGACGGGCCCTTCATTTTCAATCTTTATTCTAGCCAAAGCTTCAAGTGGCGGCAGAGAGTGGTCCTGATGCGCTCATTGTCTTTCCTTGATCATTTAATCTCAATTCTTTGCAGGTGAGTGAGCTTGAAGAGGAGGAGGATCGCCACAACTTTGCGCTGGCCAAGGACGGTGCAAAGATTGTGGCAGCCAACAAGGAGGCGCGCAAGGCCGAGTCCATATTGGACAGCGACGGGGACACCTTCCTCAAAAACGAGTGCAAGGCAGACAAATGGGTGCTAGTGGAGCTCAGCCAGGTCACCAAAGTAGACCTCATAAAACTCAGCCAGGTAGAATCCCTGTGATGTTTTGTCTCAAAGCTTAAATCGTGTTTGTTATGCTACTTGCTTGGGAAATATAATGTGTTGAGGGATTTTCTCGTTGGACTGAACGAGTTGACTGTGGCTGCTTACAGTATGAGCTGTACTCTTCGCGGGTCCGGGACTTTGAGGTATTTGGCCGGCAAAGCAATCCGCGGACAGACGGATCGGACTACGCACGCCATCTGAACTCCAGCTCGTGGCAGCTGCTTGGAAGGTTCACGGCAGGCAACCTGAAGGGCACACAGGTGAGCAGCCTCCTCAGATGTAGTCATTCGCTTCCACGAAGTGCACAATTGTAGCAAACTCTAAAGTGCTCTCCTGGCAGCTTCTTTAAGATAGATACCCATACTTATTCAAGGTGTCTGTCGGGTGCAGGTGTTTCCTGCCCAGCAGCCGGCGTGGGCAAAGTACCTGCAGCTGCGGTTCCTGACGCACTACGGCAGCGAGCCGGTGTGCGCCCTCAACGACGTGCGCGTGTACGGCAAGAGCGCTGTGGAGGATCTGGAGGACCGCCTGGCGCTGGAGGCAGGACAGGACGGCGACGATGAGCAGGAGCAGGCGCAGCAGGAAGCTGTTGACGCTGAGGCTCAGTCAAAGCCGCAGCCAGAGCTGGAGCCGGAGGCGGCAGGGAACGAGGCTGCTGGCGTCAGTCAGCCGCCCAAGCCTGAAGACAATGGCGACGGAACAGCCAGCGATCCTTTATCTACCAGCATGCCTGCGGAAGACCCGACAAAGTCCGTTGCCGGGAGTGATGTGGTAGGACATGGCTCAGCGGCGCAGGCAGGGGCAGAGGTTTCAGCAGGAGCAGCGGATGGGAACAAGCCTGCAGCCGAGACAGAGCATGGGAAGCCGGAGCACGGCAGCGCTGCAGTGTCAGACGCGCAGGGGGCTTCAGGTGACAGGGGGGATGTGGCAGCAGAGGTGCTGGAGGTGCTGAGTGCCGGGCTCAGGCGGCTGATCTCGCCGCCCGGGACAGGCAAGAAGCGGGCCACGTACAGCGGGGTTGCGACCAGCATCGACCGCATGCCTCAGCCAGAGGCCCCCAATGCACCGGAAAGTGCCCTCTCAGGGAACAGCGGCAGCGCAGGGGCGCAGAGGCAGGACACAGGGGGGCGGGAGGGGAGTGGGGACAAGGATGGAGCAGAGGCGGCCCCCAAGGCCTCAGCGAGCAAGAAGGAACTGGTTGGAACAGTCCCTGTTGTGGTGGACACGTCTGGGACGCAGTTGCCTGACATCAGCACCACTGCTGTGGATTCCATGCCAAGTGCGCTCTCTGCATGCAGCTCATCTGCTGCACGTGGCTTGGGCAGACAGAATCACTATCATTCATGCACAGGAATATAATCGAACCAAGCTGACTGACTTTCTGCAGGCACTGTCAGTGAAATAGAGGCGCTTGGTGGAGCAAAAGAGGGGAAGGCCAAGAATGGACAGGCGCTGGAGAAGGAGAAGGAGCTGCTGCTGGCAGCCAACAGCGCTGGCAGCGCCAAAGCGCGCAACGGTGGCACCGTTTACGACATCCTTGTCTCCGAGATAAAGGTGGGCACCTCTTACCATTTGCCAATAAGGGCATGACACAGACTGCTGAGCTTATATCTTTGTCTGAGATAATTGTGGGCATCTCCTAACTTCTCTTCTGTCGCTGTTGGGCATGACACATAACGCTGAATGCACCCTGCTGGAGGTATGACTGAAACTGCATGTTGCATATGGGGCGACAGGCGCTGAAGCTGCAGCAGAAGATGGTGCCCCGGGCGCTGGCCGACTTGCAAAAGAACGTGACCGCGGCCGTGGCCTCGATCGCCGCGGAAATGTCCAGCTTCCACCAGCGCATCGCAGACCTGGAAGCCGCCTCCGACGCGCCCGCCACCTGCACGGCAGCTGAGGCCGACGCTCTGGCGAACAACAGCGGCCTCAGGGGCTCGTCTCACCTGGCGTCCCAGCAGGACTTTGGTGACTCAGCCGGCGACGTGCAGCCTCTTCTTGACATGCAGACGATTGCTCAGGAGCTGGCCGCCCTGCGGAGGGCTGCTGAGCGCGCGAACCGACGCGAATTTGCCATGGTGAGTCTCCTTCATGCACATTCATCCGAGACAAGTCTTTTTGTTCAGGTTCCCGCTTCAGGCCGGGTGCAACATGACACAGGAGACAGCAAAGAGCCAGATGCAGTCAATCCCTGTCCTCTCTGTGTTGGGCACATGCATCTTGCACTCCATTTCGTCAAACAGTAGTAAGCATTGTTCTGGGTGCAGGTGATGGTTATTGCCATGCTGTGTGCGCTGCTGGTGCTCTCCCTCCCGCGCATCGGCAGCCAGAACCCCATCTTCCGCGGAGCAGTGGTCTTGCTGGCACTGGCAAATGGCTGTGTCGGCCTCCTGCTGCATTATGCCAACGCGCTGCCAGCCCTCGAGAAGGGCCGGTTTCAGAGTGTCCAGGGTTTTGTCGGCATCTGATGTGCCATGTGTTAGTGAGAGTTTGTGAGTCATGTAGGGTAGGATTGGCACTGCGTGTCTTGGCACTGTTGATGCTTGAGTCAGCGCTGGCAAGCGACCCTTGCTGTTGCTGGACTGTGGGCCAGCTGCGCACACTCGGTAGATTAGCACCTGTCTCAGTCCTGGTGAGTATTGCCATGCATATGCCATGCATATTCATGGAAGTGTCAGTGTCACTAATGCCAGGAATAATTATTTTGGACATGCCAGGTGCACCGCAGAGAGGAGTCTGGTTTTTGTCAGTGATCAGAGATGTCTTGAGGTCTGATTATGCTTGTGCCACGAGAGGAACCTCAAAATTGAGCATCATCCGAGAATCATGTAGGGTTCGAATTCAGGCGTAGGATTCTGCAAAACTGCTTGAACCATGAGAGCTGGATAGAGACTTCATGTGCACATGCAGTTAGGAAATGTGCGCAAGCCTCTGCACTTGCTAGTGCTTTTGACATCACTGCACATGTAATGAATACAGGAACATCAAGCTTGGTCTCAACTTGCAAGCTTGTGCAATGCTGGCAAGTGCCCTATAATGCATTTATCTAGTAGCAACATTTACATCAGTTGTGATTCATGAGCATTTCCGGAGGGTCTCTCATATGCATACGGCACCATCACTCATGAAGCATTGCATCATATACAACCCGGAATCCTCCAAACGCCACAAGAATTATGACTATATTGCATGCGTTGCGCAACATTAAGATTCGGCTCAATAAGATGGCCCTCGACCCTGAGAGCTCTGAGCAAAATGTCTCAATTGTCCTATCCAACAATTGCCCTGTTAGTGAGTAGACCAGGCACATCAGCTCAAAATCAATATCTGTCTATTCTCTTGAAAGTGCTGTTTCAGCCCGGCATCTCCTCAGCTGCAGCCTAGGATGGCTCCTGCAAGATGCAACTGCCAGCTCCTTCTGCTGAAATATTTCCAGATTCTCCTCTCATCAATATCAGACGTGTGCTAAGACTCGAGTGAGTTCAAAGAAGATGTGGGACTGCCGTTCTGACAGGAAGTGGGGATGTGATGATGTTTCCTCTGACACAGGCATCACGAAACCTCGCCGCCAGACCTAATGTACACGCAAAAATGAAACAGATACTGCTGCAAGCTGCTGACAGGGAGGGACAATCAAGGAAAGAACTACAGCAAGCGCCCCAAGTTCACACCAAGCACGCTCCTAGCAGCCCATAGCTAGCGAATTGCGGCACCCACATCATCTATGGACCCGCCCACATCCATGTGCGAGCTATCAGGACTGTGGCTGTCAGCACCAGAAGTATGCTCAATATCTGAGGTAGCCGCATGAGGTGATGGCACTTCATGAAGTGCCGCAGCAGATTCCTCGCCTGGCGCCGGGGCTCCATTGGAGGATGCAGAGGCAGCAAACTCCGAGTTGGAGCGCTGGGTGGCGTCGGAGAGGCCCATGGCGTCCTCCATGCTGCCGTTGAGGCCTGCCGGGGCGTCGCTGTCCCTCTTGAAGGACTCCCTCAGCTTCTCCCGCTGCAGCACCACGTCCGTTGGCGGCTGCAGGTACGAGTTGCGCGAATCCTCCTGCAGTGCAAATGGGAGTAGAAGTCATACTGTGCAGCATATCACCCATTGATAGAATGCTCTCTCTATGCTACGCAACTGTCACAAGGGAATGAGGCAAATGTGGAAAAGAAATTCCCTCTCCAAGCCTTTGTGTAATTGCTGAGAAACAGAAACATGCATGGCGGTGTATTTCTAAGGTGCTGCTAAGGGGCGCACCGCTGGCGGCAGCAGCTTCTGGTCGACCTTGAAGATGAGGCCGTCCGGGTCTCCAGAGGCGTGCTGGGGCTCGGCCACCAGGTCATCCGCCAGCTCACCCACGCGCGTGTCAACCTGTTTGCGCAGCTCGTTCACCAGCACGCGCACCTGCGCAGTGAACATAGCAACTCCCTTGGCAAAGGTTGCCAGGAACAAAATTAGTTCCATCACGGAACGGCAGCAGCTCCAGAAACAAGTGCTGTGCCAGTAGCTGCTCAACACATTACTGCTAAACTGCACGCATGCAGCTGCCTGCGTTTTCTTCAGGTCACACGGAGATGCATCATAGGGGATGAACAGGGACGGCAGCGTACCCCGTTGGCGTTGGCGCCAAGGCCAAAGAGCAGCTGAGAGCCCATCTCGGTGGCGACCTCGGTGTTGGCCGTGATCACGGTGGACGCGCCGGCCGCCTTGAGCTCGGCGGCGTGCAGGGAGTCGAGAGCGCGCGCGTAGATGGTCACGTCCCTGAAGCCCTCGCGCAGGCTGCGCACGGCCGCCACGCTGCGCGCCCGCGCCGTGTACACCACTGCTATCGCGCGCGGATCCGCTATGCCCGCCGCCTCCAGCACCTGCGCCGCGGCAGGATATCACTCACAGCTTCCTTTGCCTGTATGCCGTCTTTCCAAAAACGAATAAGTTCGAGATCGGGCTGTCCTTTTTTTGCTTTGGCAAACTTCGGGTGGCTCAATGTGACAGCTTGGGGATCTGCTGAGACTATAACATCGAAGGACTGGGTCTGAGGGCATGGTCCTATGGCTCTGAGAGTATGGTCCTATGGGTCGCACTACCAACGGCATCGCATGGCAGAATCCTGTGAGGTTTCTTATTGGTGTGGGAGAGGCACGGCTGGAGCACGTTAAGCCATGAAGCCTGGAGACCATCTTCAAGAGGGAAACACCCCAGACAAGCAGCAACTGTCCCCCTCCCAGGTGAAACACAAGGAGGCAGAGCCAGGAGCAAGCAGCGTCTAGTACAGTTGACGAAGAAGAGAAGTGATAAGAAAGAGAAGTGCCGCTCACTGCAGGGCGGGAGGCGTCGCCGTAGAGTACGTTGAAGCCGGCCTCGCGCGCGCGGCGCAGGCGGCTGGGCTGCAGGTCGAATGCGACGTAGGGGATGACGCCGCGCTCCAGGCTCATGGCCAGGGGCGACTCCAGCATGTTGGCCAGCGTCTGCCCCAGCTCCCCAAACCCGCAGATCACCACTGCCCGGCTGTCCAGCACGCCCGGATCCCCGCCCTCCGATGCCTCACCCGAGTACCCGCTGTCTACGCACGCACCGCACTGTTTTCTCAGAATTCAGGCCGAGCGGCTCAAGCAGCCTTCCCGTTGACTGTCGACGTGTGATTGTCAGCAGGACAGGCAGCATGCCTTGCCGGGCTGCTTACCCACAGCACTACTCAGGATTCAGCTGCTGCATAAGGCCTGGCCAGAAATGACTGGACCACCAAGCTTGCCTCCTCCTCAACAGAGCGGCACCATCAACAATGTAAAGCTTTGCGCTCAATCAGCATTCCTGGTGAGAACGCTGCTGCATCCCAGAACGCATGAGACAGTGTCCTTTATCCTCACATGGTTCAAGCCGGTGCGCATGGTCTGCATACTTAGTAAGCAACTCCTGAGGCGTGCACGCAGGGGCCGCCAGACCCAGGCATGCGCATGGCGAAGAAGTTGGGCGCACCCTTGGAGGCGTCGTCACTGACAGTGGAGTCGGCGAAGCGCTTGCCAGCCTCGGCCAGGAAGGGGGTGAGCGCCATGGACAGGACGACCACGATGATCAGCAGCCGGTTCAGGTCCGTGGGCAGCACCTTGAGCTCATTGGCCAGGCTCAGCAGCACAAACGCAAACTCACCGCCCTGGCTCAGCAAGAAAGCCGTGCGGATGCTCTCCTGCCTGCATACCCAAAATCCCCCAATGATTCAGCGCCAGCGCGTGTATCATGTCATTGCGCATGGGCCTTGTCTGAAAGTATATTGACCTTTATGATGATGGCCACAGCAGAATGTAACCACCCACCGAGCACGAGCACATGCACATTGGAGTCTTCTGTACGGCATGCATGGAGTTAATGTAGTGTGTATTGCATTCAGAGAGAGAGAAGGGCGACCTGCTGAGGCCGAAGAAGGGCGCGAGGGAGCCAATGATGCCGATCTTGACGGCGATGAGACCAACCAGCAGGGAGAGCACGATGTTCCACTCGTGCAGCAGCAGGCTGACGTCCATGCTGGCGCCAGTGGTCACAAAGAACAGGCCCAGCAGCATCCCCCTGAACGGCCTGATGTCCGCCTCCACCTGCCACATCAGCACACCCTCATAACATGTGTGATTTCATGAGTGCCCATCAGGAGGGCACCACAGTCATCCAAATATCGGTGCAGAGCATCACGGGCGCTGCAGTGATGTTTGATGCTCGAGTGCAGGTGCAGGGATCCACCTCAGATCCTTGCAAACACTCTGAAGTTGTGAGGAAGTTCAGAGCAATGCAAGGAGGAAAGGTGAAGGACTGCTGGCCTCCTCACTCATGGTCGCTGGAAGATCGCTGGAGGCAGCGCTACTCGCTGTAGGAACCTTTGCACATGGACATGGTACCTTAATCATCATTTTTATATTACATGGCAACTCCTCTATTGCCTTGTATCATCTGGTTTTGGAGATGGGGGGGCGTGCCTGGGTGCTGTAGTTGGTCTCTGCCAGGAGCACCCCGGCCACAAAAGCGCCCATGGTGTCGGAGAAGCCCAGCTTCTGTGTGAGCAGGCTGGCGCCCGTCACCGTCAGCAGGCACAGAGCCACAAACGTCTCGTCGCTGCGCGCCTCCGCAACCTGTCACGCGCACATTTCAAACTTTCAGGATCATTGAAAACTTTCAAAATTTTGTGTAATTTTTGAATCTTTGTGACCATGACATGATCTCAGAGGCCTGCACAGCCAGCAAACACACCTTGCAATCATGATGATCTGAACACCGTCCGTAGAGTAATATTTTGCAGGAATTGATTTGCTATTTGCTAGGCCCCGGCTGGCGAGGGGCGGTATAAATACTGAGCACCGTGCGCACGGTTGATTGGGTCTTGCTTGTAATCTGGCGAGTGTAATCTGGCGAGTCCAACGAGGGGTGGCCTATTGTTATTATTAATATTTTTCTTCTTCTTACACGCCCCTATTTACAGAGGCAAGGTGCGTCTGCAGGCAGGTTGCAGGTACTGAGCTATTTAGAATAGAAAGGCGCACCAGCTCGAAGATGCGGCGGAGGACGACGCGCCCGCCCAGCAGGAGGGCGCCGAGGCCGAAGACGGTCTGCAGCGCGGTGGGGCCCAGCGAGGCGACCAGCGTCATCGTGCTCTGCCCAGCCTGCCCCACCAGATCGTTGTTCTCCACCAGCGGCAGCAGCACCAGGAAAGGCACCACCGCTATGTCCTGCACACTCATGCAGACACACCTACTCAGCACCGCTCATGCTGCAGAGTGACTCTTTGAAGCGCTGCAAGCAGGCAATGGATTGGCAATTTGTGAGATTGAATGCTGCATTTAAATCGATGTGCAGGCTACTACCCATCGAGACCAGATGCAATGCTGAGTGAATGGTTCAAACTGAGCTTCCGGCCACAGCAGAGGAGCAGAAAAAGAAGAGCAGACAAAGCACGCACCTGCAGGAGCAGGATGCCGAGCGTCGCGGAGCCGAATTTGGTGGCCAGCTCGCCGCGCTCGCTCAGTAGCTGCAGCACAAACGCTGAGCTGGACAGCGATAGCGCCGCGCCAATCACCACCGCCTCGTCCACGCTGCCCACCGCTGCCAGCTTTGGCGATGCATGAAACACCTGCAAGATCGTTGCCCATCTGACCCACAAATCTTCCACTGGCCAATGCAATCAAGACAAGACACTGATACACTCACCATGGTGATTCTGCATGTGCGTGCATGGTATGGGTGCGAGCGAGGAGTGTGTGCTTGCCTTGACGAGGATCTGGGTGCCGATGCCCTTGCCAGGCGGGAGCGACATGAGGGTGAACACCACAGTGCTCGCAAACATCGTGAGGGTGCCAAGCCCAAATGCATACTTTGCCAGCGCCTACATATCAGGCAAGGAGTCAGTGCACGCCGAATTGCTGAGTTCCACTGTAAACTGCATGTAGAGCAATGAGAGTGCGCGACTGGCAGATCAAGCAGATGCAACAACATACCTTCAGCCGATCCAAAGAGAGCTCCAAGCCCATCTCAAAAAGCAAAAACAGGACTCCTAGCTCCGACAGCTTCTCTAATTCTTCTGTATTCCTGAACAGCCTGCATGGCACATTTCCAGCCACGTGAGCAACAATGCATTGACCGACAGCCACTTGCAACGAACAGTCATTTGCAACTTACTGTAAGTGCTTATTCTCATTAGGACAGTTGCTGGCTCAGGGATGAATCCCTTTGGTGCTTCACGAATGTATGGATCTCAGTCCTCACCCCAGCTGTCCCAGCACCAGGCCAGAGAAGAGGAAACCCAGTACAGGGGATGCGTTCACCGACTTGAACACTGGGATGACCAGGACTGTGGCTGCAAGGAATGTAAGAAAATCCAAGCCCAGCGGCAGCAGAGGATCAGGTACTGCACTTGTCACACAGCAGTCTCCTCTCCTTCTGCCACGCAAGTATGTGCTCCAAGGTATCCTGTAAGAGGTAGTAACATGTCATGGGCTTGCTCAATGTGTGCATAAATGCTGCTTTGAGGATGGCAGTGTGCGAGCGACATGCTTTGGAGAATGCCCACTACTACAACCAGACTGTACAACAAGGCACAAATCCCCTTTCCATGAGCTTCATCCACTTTTTTAAAGACAAATGAGCATGTCTGCGCTTAGAACGAATCAGTCCCATATCTTCCATGGAAACATCCATGGAGCAAGAAATGTCCCCGACAGGCATTGCTCACCTGAGTGGCTGGGCATTCTGGAGATAAACTTTGTCTAGGGTGACGCCCGAGTGCCGACTCGGCATACTACAGCTTCTGCTCAGCCTGGCGCTGCAAAAAGGTGCCCAACATCTCCTCGTGTGGAGACTGCTCCGATAGCTATGGAGAGTATTACTGAAACGTGATGCGTGATGCATCATATGTGTGTTAAATGGGCCTCCAGAACTGATCTGCATGGTTCAGCTGGTGCACGAAGGGATTCGGAAAATACTAGTTCAACATTTGGCCGAGTACACGGTCTGCACTCACAAGCTCAAACCTGATCAGGTCAATCTTTTGGTCTAAATAGACATGATAAGATGGTTGTCTTGAGGCTGAGGGTGCAGATGCTTGGTTGTGATATGCATTCACAGAGGCAGTTGGGAACAGCGACACGTCGACTTCAGATGGGATCCTGACTTGGCGCATATTATCCCCTGCATGCATGCAACAGACTTACCTCAATTTTGTTAAGTCATGTGGCCATCGATGAATTCAAGGTTGCTAGTTCCCAGAAAAGCAATTCTTTGCTGTTGTGATGCAGTACCTTAGATCTCCAGCGCTAGCTTGTATTACTCTCTAGCAATTGGCCCCTCGTTTCACTGGTACACCAACTTGGCATTGACTCGACGTTCGGAACGCCGCACAGTGGCAGCAGCTTAGGTAGTACATGCAGTGGAGTGAGCTCTCGAGTGCACAGCTAGCATTCTTGTCAGTGGCACCCAGGAATTAGACAAGGTGACAGCTACTATTCACAATTTTCTTACAAGCAACTTTCTTGTAATAACATCAACCACTCTTCAACAACACAGGCTCATGCGCATGGCCCGTTCTTGACATGCATGGTCGCTTTCAGTATCCAATTTTGCACTACCTAATCTGAAGTTCGGGATACCAAAGAGTCTAAACTGTGCAGGCATGCAATGAAAGCTAGCACTGCCCCTGAATCAATTGAACTGGCGGATTGCACCTCAAGTTGGTGATTGGATCCTCGGGACAGAATCGGCCCATCCGAGCAGCCTAAGTAAATGTACACGTCATCTTGCACTCATTTGTTAAGCATCCTGGTCAAGAGCATTTCAAATACCTTGATTTAAGAGTGTTTTCTCAATGTAAAGCTTGCCGTTTCAGTACAACGTCCATTCAAAGGAGACACATGCGCTGCAAGCAACTCAATGTCGTCACAAGCTCAGCGCATGTGCGCTTTCCTCAGCATAGTATATTGCATGTGAAACTTGCTTGGACTTCAATTCCGGCGATGGAAACACAGGGCCTTTTTTATGCAGGGGGCATGGAGAAGAGCCCACCCTGGTCACACCACACCTATCATCATTCTCCTTTCCAAACCCAAAAAACCCCCTCGGCCCTGAACCCGCTCATGCTCTCCTGGTGTATCTCGCGAGTGCAGCAAACGACGCGCAGTGCAGCAGGAACAGCAGCACAATGAGGCCGCCGAAGCAGCCGGCAAGGCTGAGCTGCATGTCCGTGGACGACAGGATTTCGTCGCACAGTTGTCGGCCGCTCGGCGGCGGCGCGGCCCGGCCGGCGGCAATGGCGGCTGTCTCCTGGGGCGATAAGTGCGGCGCCAGGCCGCAGCCGTCGTCGCGCTCGGCGTACTGCAGGTTGACAAAGGCGTTGATGGTGTAGCGGAAGAATGTCGCGTAGGAGACCACCTTCAGGAAGCCCACCTGCGCGACACAATTCCATGATTTTGGCACTTGAAGAATGTTTGGGCATAGTTTCTTCGTACTCAACCCAGCAACCCACTTTCGTGAAATTTTGCTTTCTATAAGGTTTATACACCGTACTTTTCCTTAATGCACTCGCAGTGGCTTTCATTAATGCATTCCATGTATTGCTTTATTCTTAAAGTCCCACCTTGTGCTCCATAGCTTCACAGCTTCAGCGCTCAAGGCCATGAGGTGGCATGTCACCTAATCAACAAGAGGCCGTGTATTTTTCAGGGCGGCAGCGCATGATGGGCAGCATGTGTGTGTTTTGTGTGCGCACCATGTTGCCGATGTAGACCCAGACGCCGGCGAGGAGGGAGCTGAGGACATCGTAGCTGACGGCAGCAACAAAGGCCAAATCCTGGTTGGGGGTCAGGAACGCGCACAGCACCAGAACTTGCACCGCCACCAGGCTGTGCAGGCAGGCCACCACCGTTGACAGCACCACCGCCTTTGCTGTGAATCTCAGCCCTGCATCACAGCGCCACACTCGGTAGAACAAGTGCTAAGAGAATTTCGAAATTTTATTTATTTAAGAAGTAGGGGTAAGTGTGAACAAATAAAGTTCTGCACTTTTGGGTGCATCACAGCTCTAGGTACAGTGCAAATTAAGCTGCAATTTACCTATTTTATACAGTGCATCAATCAGCTTTTTGGCATTGGATTCCCCTTCCCGCGACACAGTGAAGTTGATACCAGGCCCCATCTTTGGCATGTTAGTGCGGATTTCTGGCCTATAGCTAGATGCGGCAAGTTGCTTGGGGGTCAGCGTGGGTGTAGAGGTTGGTGCGCACCGATCATGCTGTAGAGGATGAGGGTGAGGACAGCGCTGTTGAGCACGGTGACAAAGGCATTTACAGCCATGATGGATACATAGTACACAGCCGTCCTGTACAGCGGCCGCGCCGGATCCACCACAAAGAAATGGCGGTCGGCCACAAACATCGACCTGCACAACAGGTCGCCAATAATTTCTGCAGTGCTGGGGTGAGCGCATCTCCAGCGCATCGCTCAACATTTCAGGGGCTCAATTTCACACAAAGGGATGGCAGGCAAGAAAGTGAGATTGGCACTCGGAGCAAAGGGAAGCGGCGCACATGTAGGTGAAGGGAACAAGAGCCAGCACGAGGGCGGCAAAGAAAATGGCCGAGAGGCTCTGCTGGATGCCGTCATGCCCTGCCATACAGCATGGAAGTCTTGTCAGCCTCCACAAACTTGCTCCAAGCCTATTTGGAGGGCTGTGCAAGCCGGCAAACAAGATCAGTGCTTGATGGAGGACACATCGCATGGGCATGCATTGCTGCGGTGCAAGCCTCAGCCAAGAATGTGGAGTGCTGCACCGTCTGGCTGCTTGTAGAAAACGAGGCCGCCGATGATGCCGATGAACATAGCCATGAGCGTGCGGCCGGCCACGTTGGCGGGGTTGCGCGTGTACGCCTGCAGCGCGCGCCGCTGCAGCACACAGTACTGGTTCCACACATCCGTCGGGAAGGACCTGCGCAGTCGCCACGCTCCCTGCTCAGCCGCTGGCAGACTCTCTTTCTCCAGGGTGATCATGGCAAGCCCTGGGGGCGCGGCTGTTCTGACTCCATTGTGGAGTCAGCAAAGGGGCCTGTGGGAGATCCGTTTGCAAGAGTAGCCCAGCAATTTGAATATGGTTCAAGCAGGGCTCACTGGCATGCTCGCTGACATGCTTGGCAATCGAGTGCCAGGAAGAGCTCAGAGGGGAGAGAGCGATAGCGCTTGATCTGAGGAAGCTCTGAACAACTCATCGTTATCTCCTCTTGCAGAGAACAAGGCGAATTATGTGCGGTGGGAGGGAAGGGCAGCACCTGCTGAAGGCCTCCTCCACGACGCTGGGCTCGGCCTCCTCCTCACGCTGCGTTGCATGCACAGCCACCACCACATCCCGTGCGCCCTTCATGGGCTTCACCGCTGCCTCCAGCGCTGCTGCACTCATGGTCGGGTTCTCCTTGGCAAACTTGGCAGCCGCTGCCTCCACATCCTGTGCAAAAGAACCCGTTGCAGACATCAGCGCGACTACCTTCCTGCTTTTGAGGTGCTGAGGTCTCCAGGAGCACGGTCTAGAGCTTGCCAGAAGACCGTGAGCTTATCAGAAGGAATGCTCGTAGCAAAGGCATTTAGCATCAAGTGCAGGCACCTTGAGGGAGCGCATGCTGCGCTTGAAGAAGCTGGGAGGGTTGGTGAAGGAGATGGAGATGAGGTCGGAGAGCCACTCAGAGCTGTTGCCGTGCACCATCGGGTCGTACTCATAGCCCAGCTTGTCCGTGAACCACTGCGTCACCTGCCAAGCACAAATTCCCCATCTGAGTTTTTGTGCGATCTGCATGCTGCATATATACTGTCAATCCCTCTGTTGGAACATTTGCTTTATGTAAACGTGCTCAAGATGCACGTGCTGCGCAGCATCCATGCACAGAGCTATTTGTGTTCGCTAGTTGTTTCGCTAATTTCAGTCCGTGCTCTACATGCATGCCCTTCTCAGACACAGCAATTTGTCTTGCTGGCATGTTTGCTTCCATGCGTGTTCTTCTGTCGTTGCTCTGCAGCAATCTCGGCTGGAGACTGCATTCGGAAAGCAGGGGGCGCGTACCTGGTCAGTGGGGCCGAAGTAGAGCATGCGGCCCTCTGACAGCACTTGGACCTTGGTAAACAGGTCCCAGATGGCCGCGCGCGGCTGATGAATGGAAGATACCACAATTCGCTGCTGCCCGGCCAGCCGCGCCATGCATTGCATGACCACCAGCGCAGCGTTGGCGTCGAGGCCGCTGGTGGGCTCGTCCAGGGCGATGATGCGCGGTGCTCCGACGCAGCCGCACGCGATGCTCAGCCGCCGCTTCTCCCCGCCGCTGATCCCCCGCACCGTCAGGCCCCCCGGCAGGAGTCCTCCCACCTGCACACATTATTGCATGTTGTGTCAGACCGCCTTGTCCGTACTGTAGCTCTGTGGGATGCTCGGCATTCTCTGCTCTGTCGGATGCGATGGGAGAGACTTCCGTCCCTAGAGTGTGGGCTCTCAATCAAAGCAGCAAGCAAGTTCACAGCCGTCTCTGCCCGCTCAGACCTCCCGTCAAGCTTGTCTCTGCCTTCCCAGCATATTCTGCATTGCCACAGCAGGCTCTTTCCTTCTCTTACAGGGACTCATTGGCGGCTAGCATGCAGGCGGTGAGGAACAACAGTGATGAGGGGCCTCCTGCTAAGGCCCTTAGGTCCAACCCCAATGGACCAGACCTTCTTACTGGTCCATTGGGGTTCCTCTGCAATGCCTTCTGGGCAGGAAGATGTTGTCATGCATCGCAAGAAGAGTGCTGTCAGAGCGCCGCACCTGGCTGTTCTTGACCTTGAGCAGGCCCATGGAGCGCAGGGAGTCCAGCATGAGGGCTTCCTTGTCGGAGGCGCTGAAGGACTGCGGCATGCGCAGATTGGTCGTGATTGCCAACGTCTCCCACACACTCAGCGTTGGCACAAACACATCCTCCTGCGCACGCACACATCCCCCGGCTACCCTTAATTCTCCGCCTACCAATTTCATATCTGCCCGCAGGCCGGCCGGCTGGCTGCCTGCTGCTCGGGTGCAGGTGTTTACACCCCACGTCCTGTCCCTCAACGCTCAAGTGTCTGTAGTGACCCCTTGCCGAGCCAGGCCTGTCCTTTAGGCATCCCTGCTATGCAGGTAATAGGGTGCCCCATCCAGATGTCATCTAGTTTCTGATGACCAGAGGAATACCTGGAATTGCCCCAAATAACTCCTGCAGGAGGACCTTAGGACTCAGGCATGCATCTTGAATTTTACAGCTGTAAAGAGGGCAGGAGGGACGCGCACCTGAGGCACGTATGTAGAGATACTGCGGAATCGCGCTTTGGGCGTCTTGCGGCCATTCACAGTGATGCGGCCGGAGACAGAGCCGCCCGTGAGGCGCATGGCCAGCACATCCAGCAGCGTGCTCTTGCCCGCCCCTGCAGCAATGCCACGCTGTCAGCTGGGCATACCTCGGCTTAGGGATAATAGAATCACTGCAGGTGCTTTGAAACAGACTTGGTCTCAGTGCAGTTGTTGGGCATGCAAAACCCACAGCAACTGAGAACATTGAAGGGACCATAGATGTGGGTGGTGATGAGTACCTGAGGGGCCAATGAGAGCCACTAGGTCTCCTGGCAGAGCAGTGCCAGCGCAGCCCTGCAGGAGGCGCTTGGGCTTGCCAGTGGTCTTGTCGCGCACTGTCACCCCGATCCCTGACCATTGATAGCTGCCCACCGACACACTCTTCGATAAATGGGCTTCCAGTACTGGTGTGGGCGCCTCGCGTGACCTGTCGGTGTCCTGAGCCTCGGGGCATCCTGCCACAATAGTGACAAATAGCCAGCTTCGACAAATACAACGGCCCGAACGTCGCTGAATTGGCCTTCAATGACAACCAGAATACAACTGATAGTATACCATACATCATTCTGCAACGAAAAGATTCATTCTTGCAAGTGCCCCAAATGAATATAATCAAGATGCTCGGGGGCCCTACCAAGGGGACACGATTCCCTTTATATCGATGGTCAAGACAAGGCATTCCGGTTTGTCCCAGGAGAGAGAAATCACCTGAGCTGCTAGGCCTGCGGGGGCTACGCTCGGCTGACACACTTGGGTGAGTGCCTTTCCTTCGGAAAACAGAGATCCGCCGGCCAGCTACCTTTTCAATGCTGTAGATCAAGACGCTGACAGCGAAGGCCAGTGATAGGACCAGTACAGGTAACAACAATGCATATTCCATTGTGACGGTTCGATGTGCCTCCTGGTTGCTCTTATCTGCTCTCTAAGGAGGCGATCCGAGAAAACAGCGTACGGCACCTTGTCCCATAATGCACACCCGAATAGAACGCAGGATCGATTGCTAAATGATTAACGGTTAACCATGCGTATACAATTCACAATACTAGCATGTCCCCATCTCAGCGTTCGAAAGGAGCAATTTCTGATGCAGAAACGAGTCTAGCTGGCCCACGTGCTGATTAGTCATCCCCCAAGTCAAGAAATTTTCAACCCTGCACTGGCAACAGCATGCACTACTGGACTGCCATGCCGTGCTGTCCCATGGCCCTTGTCCTTTTCGATTGCCTTGCCGCGGCTTGGGCAATCCAGCGCCGGATGTTGCTCAGCTGGGTGGCGCGCGTAGCCAAGACACTGGGCGGATCCAGGGGGTGGGAGAACATGAGGTCCAGGTGGTGTGCACCCTCCGGGATGACCACTGCTACAAGGGTGTCTGAGATATTCTTCAATACTCCACCGCCGTGCCTGCATGGCCACATTGGCATGTGTCATGCACCTGGTCCAAACTTCTAAGCCCTGAAACTTCGGCAGATAGCTTGTCTTCAGAGAGATGCAGCAGGAGTGTGGCAAGATGGGGAAGATCTCAGTCCCAGTGCGTTTTGAAATATGGCCGCATACTTGCATGATGTGCAGTGCTCTCATGTCTGCATGAATGGAGCAGCTTCCACACGAGGCTGTGCTCAGCTTCAAGTGCACATCACAAAGATCTGCGTACCAGGGGTCCAGAAGGCCATTTGTGAACACTATGTTGGAGGCGGACTCGATGCGCCGCCCACCCCACTCCACAGTGGCCCACAGCGGCCGCGGTGTCACGCCCCAATTCTCCTGGCACGTCTTGATTGACTCCTCCTCGCTGAAAGGCTGCAACCCGCAGCCCCCACACCACAGTCAGGATTCAGGTGGAACTGCCCTGGCAGCCATTAATATTGGACCACTGCGACTTGGTTCTATCCAACACTCTGCAACAGTGACAGATGCTCTGTGCGGGAGTGATATGTATGAGATGGTACCTGGGCCCAGTACATGTCATGCTTGCCGTCCTTTGAGAAGGGCTGGAACTGCTCTGTGCACCACTGGTAGTCCCAAAACGAGCCGTCCTCGTCGGTTTCTGGGTTCGGACCCGCTCCGAAGTCATAGCATTCCACATCCTGCACCACATAACCAGTGTCTCAAGCATTGCTTTGCATATTCATTTTCTGCCCTTTGTTGTGTTAGGCGCTTAACAGAACGGTACGACAATGATGATGCCAGAAAATTCAGAGGGCCCCAGGATGTGAGCAGCAAACAATACTAAACACAAGCAGGCCTGCAAATGACAATGGGCATCCAATTTGGGCTTGATACTCACCTCTGTGTAATTGTAGAAGACGCCCAGAGCATCGGCAAATGCTGAGAGCAGGTCGCTTCCGGCGAGATCCTCCTGGCGCAGAGACTCACATGCAACACGCACAGGGTAGGCAGGAAGGATGCCGTTGCCATTCAGAATGTAGCTGGAAGGGTACGGGTAATTGCCCCTGCGCATGTCCAAGCAAATTTTCTGCACTGCTTAAGCAAAACAAGTGTTTGAGAGATGCCTGACTACTAATGGTGTTCAGGGGTGGCGGGAAGCTAGAATGCTCACATGGCCATGTAGTCCCAGGCTGAGCTGGCCCAGTCAGCCAGCGCCAAGACATCATCGCTGCTGTTGAGCAGCCTTGGGCAGACCCGCATTGCCGCCTCAATCCTCCCTCGCCCGCTGTCATCCTTCCCCAACTCAAACAATGTCCTCCATGCCTGCAGCATGCATGTTGCTTGTTAAAGTTCCACTCAGGCAGGCCCTGCCTACATATTCTTAGGATCGCCACAAACCCCAGGATCCCTGGTTCCATACCTCGCGGACGTTAGACGCGCATGCAGGCGCTGAGCCTCCTGCTTCTGAGGCATCAGCGGTCACTATCTTGGCGTAGCTGCCGGAGTCATATGCTGGTTCTTCTCCCAGGTAGGACCAGATGGGCGCAGATCCAGCTATGGCACCGTCCAGGATGTGCGGATATTTGATGCGCATCCACGTGGCAAGCATGCCGCCTGGGAGGGAAGCGCAGCGTCAACCAGTGCTGGTTTTTCCAGTTACTTCTTATAAGAACAGCACGTCCAATTGAGCATGCATAGTGTCACAGGCTCACCATAGCTTCCACCAAAGCCAATGACAGCACTGCTTTGCGCGCCCAGGTCTTCCTTGAGCTCCATAATGAGCTCAGCAAAGTCTGCCATTGCCTGCTCTGATGTCAGGTACTGCATGTGGTGGCGCAGCGCCTTCTTAAATGGCTTTGACTCGCCATAGTACCTGTGCTCTGCAAACACAAGCAAAGCTCCAAAGGCTGCTGCATTTTCCCACATCAGCCCGGTGGCATTCAAGTACCTGCACCAGGCATTGAAGCAGGCATCCTTCGGTCTCAACCCTACTGAACCTGCCAGAGCCAGCCAGAGCCTGCAATAGATGAAGAGACATTCTTCGAGAGGTTGTGCACCAACAAAAAGACAAGGAGTGTGTGCAGACTTACAATGTGACGTCAGCTTCGTTGCCAACATAGAAGAAGATCGGCCCCCGAGTCCCATCCTTGTGAGACTTCCAGTGATCATTACACAGGAAGTAACGTTGCTTGAAGGTAGTACGGTTGTCAGGCGGAGTTGCCTACTTCAAACAAATATTCTTCAGATGAACATCAGAATTGCGTGGAGATAAATGCTGAAAAGCTGGACCACCAGATGGGGCAATGATGACCGGCATGTGCAACGAGATAGCGGACTTTACAAGGTCTTCAACTCAATACTTCAACCACATTAAATTTTAAAATGGATTTCTAGTTTGAATACAAGGACTCAATACGTCAAGAGCTATAGGATTGCAAGCGAGGATCGCCCACCCATGAAAAGTGATCGAGGGTTGCATCACGAGTGTAAACTTTGCACTTTGTGATGGGCTCACGCCCGTTTGAGGTGAGTTGAGTCCTAGATGAATTCTTATATGGAATCCTTGGAGGACCTTTGCGCGATCTCCTGACTTGACATTGGCCTCCCGAGAAGGCAGAACAGATGATCAGGCAAAGTACTAAGGGTGTTATGCGTGCCATTGGCCCTGGGGCCTTGCGTATGCTACAGATGTGCTCCTTGTACAGCAAATATGCTCAGCAAACCCAATGTCCTGCGGTTGCAATGTTCATGTGCTCTAAGACTACCACGTGGGCCCACGAGGTACAAACTTCAAGTTGCCTTTGAATTTAGATCCAAACTGTGTTGAAGCACATGCCACATCAAGGCTGCAAATTGGTTCCCTCATTCTGTTGACATCGCTCTAGAAGGTTTGATTGGAGCTTGACAAGTCTGGCATTGCTGTGTTGTCTAATGCAGCTGCCCACACATTCAATTACTGGCAGTCATCATGGCCTCAGCACTCGCCGTGCATGCATAATCTCCACATCACAGCAGTGGCAACTGTTGCATTGGCAATAAACCCAGCAGCCGTCCCACATCGCTGTCATGACATTTCTAGACTAGGCTCTAACCCCGGGCCTGAGTGAGCGCCGAAGAGCCTGCTGCGCTTGCAGAGACGAGGCGACAAAATCTGAGAGCCTAGAGCTCCGCACGCCCTCCACCTCACCCTCAGCATTCAGCCTCTTGCGGAATGTGCGGTCCTGTGACACCAAATAATGGAATTAAATTTTGCCAATGGCTGTGCACAGGATGTCGCCTGCATGCAAACAAGCATGCCACCAAGATACCAAACCATTTTTGTTTAAACATGCTCACCTCAAGATGCCCGTTCTTGTAGGCATGCCTGTACATGCACGAGGTCCCAAACGGGCAGGACCCCTCGCCGAAGGAGAAAAGGCGGCAGTCGATCTGGGACAGTTTGCACTTGTAGGTATCGAGGATGGCGGCCTTGTCCTCTCTGCTGGTTGGCCACGTCATTGAGGGCGTAACAAAGTGCGTTGTCTGCCGACATACTGGGCACGTCCTCAGCGCCTGCAAGCACCAGTCAATTTGCTCAGCCATATACACTCCAATTTTATCTTGAAGTCAGCAAAACATAGGCAGGTCTAAGAATATCTCTATCAATGTCAGCCCCCTCCTCTGCTCGAGCACTCTATCATGCAGCACAAAGTGCCACGCTAAGATTGGCGTGCAATCCAGTGGCGGGCAGGAGCACACACCGTTGACACATCTGCCCCGCTCTCGACATTGTTACGCCAGCTGCGGATGCAGCCGAGGCAGAAGGCGTGGTCGCAGCTCAGCAGCCCAAACTTGCGCTCTGACACCCTGTCCTTGGCCATCACCACCTGCAGCGCATCCGGGCCTGAGGGCCTCAATTTGAGAAGCCTTGCGCCTCAATTAATTGCAATTTTGCAATCACTCATTAGCCCGCCTTAGCTTGCCAAGGGACTCTGGACTGAACACACTTCCATGCAGATGTTGCACTCTACTTCCTGGCTCATGGCCAGCGCCTGGATCCTCTGATGCCTCCTCAGGCACCCCGACCCATGCTCTGCCCGCTGCTCAGGATCTGTGGGGTCCAGCGCAAACTTCTGGCAGGTCTGCACACACACTCCACTCCTCAGGACACTATCAGCAGATGGTGTCCTTCGATTTTGAACTGCGGAACTTCAGCTTACAGGCTTGGCCGCACAGATGCTTGCCTGGCAGTAGACGCCATGAGTCCATTTGCAGCTAGCCCCGCGCGAGCAGAACCCACTGCGGCTGTACTCCGGGCAGATGTCATGCGCCTGCCTGCACCCTCCAAACGCTTGCAGCTGCTGCGTGACTGCATGCACCCCGCTCAAGTCGCTCTCTGCGCTGCTTTCAGGGCTGTCACACTCATCATGACCTGCAGTCCCGGCGTTGATCCCGTGATCTCTGTGGTACCCCAGATGCTTTGTAGCACCATTTCCCCAAGCACTGGGGTCCTGCCCACAATTCTGATCATCATCATCAGATGAGCTAGTGCCCCGCCTGCGACATGCAAACAACCCACAAGTGGCTTACTAGGATGACAGGCACACTGCTTCATCTCGACAACAGTCAATGCGCTCTGCATCCTGCCTCCAGGGCAGGCATAAGCAGAGAGAAGGCTTACCAGGCGTCTCCCAAGTCCGCAGGTAGCGGCAGCCTCGGCTGCTGTGCCCCTTGCTGCTGTGCCTCTTGCTGATGGTCATGCGCTGCCTCGCCAGTACCTTCCTCCGCATCTTGCCAGGGACCATCATGTCCAGAGTCACCTTCTGGCCTGTACTCCCAACTCTCCCCCTCATATGAGTAATCCTGTTCAGCGTATGACTGGTGCGCATCAGCTGGATAGCTGCCCCAAGCAGCCTCATTGTCCTGCCAGGCGGCATCTGCGTGGCCAGAGTATTCATATGGCTGCTGGCTCATGGCGCCCAGCTCCTCAGCATGGGAACCACTGCTGGCCTGCGAGGCTGGCTCTTCTGTGCGAGGAGCCTCAATGTGCTCGCCTGGCAGGGGCGTTCCATCGGGTTGCAGGTGTGCAAAATGACACCGCCTGCCATATGCACAATATCCTGCCAGAAAGTAGCTGCACACCTGCACATGCCAAAAAAATTCTTCATTGAAGGGGCAACAGAAGGTTCAAGAATAAAAGCACACTGGCAACCGTGACAATACATTGAGATATGCATGAATCTCACCTGCGAAGGAACGCTACTCAAATCATGGGAATACCGACAAGACGAGCCATAGCGACAGTTGCCTTGGGTGTGAAAACGGCAGAGTATCCTGGTCCAAGCAAGAACGACAACTGAGGACAAGGATTTGCTGCATGATCTGATTATCAAAATCTATTGTCTGACAAGAATACAGCAAACGGGACGATCTCCCTAGCTACTAAGCTTCCCAAAAATGTTAATGATGGGGATGAGTATAACGACATCGTCTTGTGCTGTGTATTCTCCAGAAAGAACAAAGAACACCAAACATATGAATGGACAGGAAACAATTGCCGGAATCGTGCGCACTTGTCAGACATCTGCGATGCCTTCTGATCTGCTTTCTACACAAGGTACTACACTGGCGTACTACAGCCAATTCTTGAAGCCACTTTGTTATTGTACAATCTTGTTTTAATGGATAGTGAGATCAGCGAACAATGCCGGTAAACAGTGAAATTCTTGTTTGACGGTGTGCACGCACGTGCCGGCAACACGTCCACAGAAGCAGGCAAGCGCATTCCTTCCTGGCCCCAGCCCCAATAACACAGCAGCAGCAAGCCCCTCACCTACCTCAGCGATAAATTCTCGTAATGCTGCTCTGCAAGTGCGGGACAGAGGTGGTATAAAGTCCTAAAAGCACAGCATCGCTTTCTATACCATCAGAATAGACCTTTCCGTCTGACATGCACAATTCTTTATAAGGAACAACGGAATGGCAGCAGATGTGTTATGGGTCAGGCTGAGACATTCCTGGCGAGCTCTCAGCAAAGAACACAGACAAAAAGCCTTGGGGCTTTCTTTCATCGTCATAGTAGCGCTGATATGGGTACGTTCAGTCTTTATAGCCTGAGGAGCATATTTTGAAGCCTTTTTCTTCCCTTTCAAATGCAGACCGTATGGCCTCTAGAACGCGGGACTGACAGAGACATTGAGGGTCTCTCTACACGCAGGTCTTGGCATCCTTCCTGGTGCAAGATCTGGAATCCGAGGGGCTGAACCCGTTCCTCCTCACCTACATCGCAAATTCGCTGTTCATTGTCTACCTCCCGCTTTACTACCTGGCAGTGAGGCTGAAATCAGGCACCCGGGACACAAGGTGAGCTTGTCTCACCCAGCAACACGAGAGAGCTTCTTGCTTACATTTGCAGACAGACTGTCAATGTTGATGCTGTTGCAGGAGCTCGGAAGTAAGAGAGGCCCATGCTCCTGCTGGGCATCACATAATGGCAGACACGGAGAGGACAGAACTAATAGTAGAGCACACAGTTGATGACAGCAACACGATTTCAGCTCTGCGGCGGCGGTTTCGTTGGCCCAAAATGCTGGACAAGAAAGTGCTTGCGGCAGCAGCTGTTGTGAGCACCCTTCCCCCTTTGTTGATTCTGTGCACATGAGCAGGATGCACTGGAGCACATTGGGACAAGAGATGGATGAGCATGTGGGTGCAGGTGGCGCCAATGTGGTTTGCTGCTCAGTACACTTTCAATGTCAGCCTGTCAGAGACGACGGTGACATCCAACACAATACTGGCATCGACTTCATCGCTGTTCACCTATGGACTTGCATGCCTCCTATCCTTGGAGGTCTTTCTTGTCAGCAAGCTGGCCTTCATATTCCTTTGCATGGCAGGTGAGCTCTGATGCTTGCCATTTGTTATTAACGCAGATGGTTTTCCTTGGACAGTTGCATGCTCCCTATCGGAATGCCCCCGGAATTCTGGCTGACTGAGAAGCACAAATTGCCTCGCTGAACAAGCTGCATTTTCTGGCTCCACAGGCACTGCTCTGGTGACAATTGCTGATGCAAGGCGATCAGATGGGGGAAAAACAAGCAGCGTGGGCGGGGATCTGCTCGTGTTGCTGTCAGGCTTCTTGTATGCTGCCTACACGGTGGGCAGTCTGAATTGCATTCTTGGGGATCCCATGCACCCCCCATGCTTTGCAGACAATTAAGACTCAGTGCTGTGACGTCCTGACAGTGTGCCTGGGCCTTGGACAGATCGCCATACGCCAGATGCTCCAGGATGATGACAGCCTGACCATGATGCTGTTCTTTGGCTGCGTGGGGTTCCTGAACGCGGTCTGTCTGGCGCCCGTGCTCATCATTCTTCGCATCAGTGGATTTGTGCAGACAGCCGGCCTGACCCTGCGCATCCTGGGGCTGACTGTCTGCAAAGGTGCGGCTGCTGAGCCCACGCACAATCAGTATGGTGACACTGTCCCCCGATACATGGCATTACTGTACATCATGCATGCAGTTCCCGGTTGCAGGATCCTTCCTCGAATGTTGTGCGAATGTGACGGTGAGATTGCTGTGCAGGTCTCTTTGACAATGTACTATCAGACTACTTGTGGGCCAGGGCGGTGCTCCTTATTGGTAAGCTGCGCTCTCCAGCAACACTGCAGCCTTTCCAAGACAGTTGCTACACTGGAATGATCCATGTGTGTTACTGCACAAAGCGCACGCATAACAATGCTGTAGAACAGTGTAAAGGCTGTGATGCTAAAAGAGTCTTGTGGTGTGCAGGTCCAACTGTGGCCACAGTGGGCCTCTCGATGCAGGTCCCATTCGCGGTCATCATGGACGCCATATTCAAGCAGCCTGCATGGCTCTCCAGCGCGTCCTCAGCTGCTCTGACCTTTGTTGGGGCCGCACTCGTGCTGACTGGATTCTTTGGCGTCAATGTTTCTACTGCCAAAGCAGACGAGGCTTTGCCTACAACTGTCCAGCACTGAGAATGAGGCGAGCGCCATGTAGATGTACATGTACATGAAATCGGGAAGGTACAGCAAAGTAGGATTTGATGCAATGTAGTTTACACAGTACGTTGCAGAGCATGTAGAGTTTCAACCTTTTGCACTACTTCGAAGAACTCTAGCTAGGTACTCACAATCTAAGGGTAATGTTGCTCTTTGTTTGGAAAGGTTTTGCATCGATTCATTGATTCCATAGTTTGCATTCAGGTAGTTGCTGTTCCTTTTCCTTGCAAGTTGTAACTTTCTATTCAGGCCATGTTTCACGACAAATTCCCATTGACAAAATCCCCGGTCTTGGCCTGCCTTTGAAGGTCCTGCAGCTGTAAGAGAGATGCCTGCGCAGCTGTTTTGCAGTTGATGGCAGATGACACTTGCTTCAGCAAGCCCAAAGGAACATCTCTGCCAGCCTCAATATCATTCTCCTCTGTGTCATCAGCTGCTCGGGGCCTGCAAAAAGCAATGCCGGACATGACAACCGGGGCAAGGCTCTGCCCCTAGTGTCTCATTTCTGACGAGAAAATGCATTCCAGGGAAAAGAATGTTTCCGAACCTGCATGCCGAGGAGGACATGTGACTCACCTGGACAGCCGCCGGAGGGTGTCAGACTCCATCTGGGCTGCCCTGACTCCAGCCTGCTTAATCACTGACGGCGGCAGATGCGCCATCCGCGCAACATTGAGCCCTGCACCGCGCCTCACCATCTCAGCCACCTAATTAGTAAATCCCATCAGATACTCACGGATATTGCCACCCTATTTAAAAGCCAAAAGAATGAAATCGCGCTCACCAAAGCTCTTGTCTGCCACGCCGGCCGCAAGCTTATAGAGGAAGACAATGCGCGGCACTGACACAGCCGGTTGGTCTGCGTCGTCTGCAGCTACATCCACACTGGCGCCTGTGGACGGCAGCGCCTGCAGTGCCTGGCGGCCGCGCGCGCCTGCCTTCGGCTGCGGAGAGCTGCCCGGCAGGGGCTGCCCATCATCTGGGTCCTGCTGAATGTAGGACATGTAGAATGTGGACACCAGTGCCGGGTAGTCCTGCTGCAAGCTCGCCACCTGCACAGCCACAGCAAACACCTTTTAAGCCTTTCTGCACATTTCCAGGCAAGTTCCTCCTCCACATGCTTTGACTCAGGTCTTCGAAAGAAAGAGCTGACAGCCTCAGATGTACATCTTTGTGCAACCTCTTTGGAGGAGCTGCGCCATCACAGACACATAAAAAGCGATCAACCCAGACTTGAGAATTAGCGTTGTCGGCTGGCACAGATGTGTTATTTCGCTTCCGTTCTCTATCTCTCCCAGGGCAAGGAGTGGTGTGCGCGCCTTGGGGTAGTGGGTGACAAAGAGGGTGAGGCAGCGAGTGGTGGTGACAAGGTGCTGCAGGGTCGCATGCGCAATGGCAAGGCCATCATGCGTCGCTGTGCCGCGGCCCAACTCGTCTATGATCACCAGCGATCGTGGCGTCGCGTGCGCCAGGATCTCGCTCGTCTCTGACAGCTCCTGCACAGCCCCGTCACACCCGTCATGCAGTGACATGTGTAAGAGCATACCCCTTTTCTAAAGCTATTTGGTCTAATTCATAAATATTTGGCCCATTGGCATTGTCATTGGTGATGACAGTTGTGAGATAGTATGTGCTTTGGCATAATGGACTTGGCCAGGAATAGGGATGTGCAGCGCAGAGCTTTCTGCCACCAAGAGGCAGCTGCCGCATACAGCAGGGCGGGTGCGTCCTACTGCAGGACCGAATCTGAGGTGCATGGGGTGTATGCCAGTGGGCTTGCCTCCAGGAAGGTGGATCGGCCCATGGCGAGGTTGTCCGAGGCGCCCATGCGTGTGTGCACCGAGTCGAAGACATGCATGCGCGCCGACTCGGCAGGCACAAAGGACCCCACCTGCTCAGGCACCAAGTCAGGAGATTTGCGGGTCGGTGGCATATCTCTTTTGGGCAATTTGAGGATCACACCTTGCAACAGTTAGTCTGGTTGAAATGTGCAAGGAGGCCATACATGCTTACCTGGGCCATGATAGCGATCAATGCAGCCTGGCGGATGTAGCAGCTCTTGCCCCTGCCCAGAATCACCAGCTCTCAGGTTCAGCTTGCATCTTCTTACACCACAAATGAACAACTGTTCCTCCAGGGCAGAGCAAATATGACACGGCATCCCCAGTGCAATTGTCTGGGGCGATTTGCAACAGCCCCAGAAGCACACCCCATGTTAGGCCCGGTGATGATGCAGGCGCGCGGTCCGGTGGCGCCCCCCAGGAGTGTGTCATTGGGCACCACCTGCGCCTCTGCCATCATGGCGGCCAGCACCGGGTGGCGCCCACCCCTTATCACCAGCTGCGGCTGCTCCTCCTCCCCCACTATCTCCGGCCGCACATACCTGCACCACACCCACCATCCTTTAGGCTACTTCTTATAGATTGAACCCACTTCACCCCTCTCCAATTCACAGCCTTTTGACTGTGCGAAGGGCCCGCCAGGATGCCAGGAAGAGCACATGGAGCAACTTAGGACAAGCCTTGAGGGGTCAAGAGTGCGCAAGATGCTCTGTTCCTGCTAAAACTGACTTGGTCACTTAATGCGCTTATCTTCACAGGTCTCATCAGGTGCCATTTCTAAGGGACAGAAGCTTGTGCCCTAATTTCACAGCGTGCAAGCGCAGCGCACTCTGGGTCGATGGCGAGGGAGGCCAGAGACTGCAGCGCGTCCAGGGCCGCCAGCGCCTGCACAGCCGAGCGGAAGGGCGAGTAGAGGGAGCCAAAGTCGCGCATGAACGCCTTCCACGCCTGCACAGCACATGCGCTGTGTGGGTGTGGCTGCAAAGGCATGGAAGCTGTCTTCAAGGTGGGTAGAGGGCGTGAAGGGTGTCACTCTGAGAAGCCTGATTCTGCTGCAAGACAAGGCACAGTCCGAGGTCCAAGCAGTCAGCGAGCCATGAGGCGCTTGTCACGCGGGCTTACACAGAGCATGCAAGGAATGGGGCAAATTTGCCAGGATCTAAACACAGAATGATGGGGCTGACCTGGTCGGCGGCCAGCTGCAGGCGCTCGCGGGACAGCTCCAGGGCAGCCAAGGCATTCCGTACCTCTGGCGGCCGGAAGCGGTTCACCTTCTTGGTGCCCGATATCTTCTCCCAATCCTGCCCCCACATCCACAACCTTGCCATCAACACACTTGATCCCCTTTGCAAGAAAATTCTAGGGAATGGATGGGGTAGCAGAGGGACACTTGCACGCTGGCTGCATCAAACCAACAAAAGTGCAGTTCTCCAGCAAAGCACAGCCAGAACAGACATAAGAGGCGTGACACGCACCCTGGGGATGTCTTGGCGGTCGGCGGGGACTTCAATGAGGAAGTCGCCCTGGTTCTGCACGCTCACGTAGTCCAGCCGCGGCAGGCCCAGCGTCTTGCGCAGGACCGGCAGCAGCTTGGCCTACGCACCACAGTGCATGAATTTCGTTCAGACTGCGAAAGTCTTTGCAGAGTGCGTATCGACGCATGCAGATAAAAGTCAAGGGCAGCACTGTTGTGGCAAAGCAGCAGGAGATCCAGGGGCAGCACTATTGTGACAAAGAAGAAGTGTCAAGATGAAAGAGGGCCCCTCACCAGGCCTTCATCTGCATCGGCAACCTCCTGGCGCGCCTCAAATACCTCAGGGAAGCGCTCCTCGCTGATGAACAGGTCGATCTTGTTGTTGGCGGCCGCCGCCTCCTCGTCCATCACCGACAGCATCTCGTACGCAGCCTCTGCCACCTGCAGGCACAACTCTATGATATGAATGCTGCTAGCTTGACCAGACAACAGAAGATTGAGAGGAATGGGAAGTGCTGTGAACAGGATCAGGAGTTGAGGCTGGTGGGAATGTGACCTCTCTGGATGCAGCGGCGCGGAACAGGCGCTGCAGAAGACACGATGATAGGCCCTCCAGAGCGGCATCCGATGACAGATCCGCATCCGCCTGCCAGCACGTCACAAAGTTAGTCTTGTTGCTCATTTCAGCCACCCACATTATCAATTTAGCTTCAGCACTCTTCTCGCGGCGCAGCAGAGTGGCAGCAGCAACCTGCACGCCCAGCTTTGGAGCCACGGTGGAGAGCGCGCGGAGCATCCTGCTGAATTCTGCCGGTGCGGCAGTGCCGTGCAGGCTGCGGGTGATGCCCCGCTCCAGGTCACCCAAGCCGGTCAGTGCCTCCACCACACACCCCGCCGCTCCCTCCATGCCGCCTGCAGCAGCAAGTCACCCTCATTCGCTGATTCAAGTGGACTATGCCAGAGCATAAAAAGCTGTTTCTTGCTGATTGAGAGGGAAAGGCCCGTGAGCACCTCTTGCATGGGAGAGGGACACATGAAAAACATTCCTGATTGCATGGGTCACAGGTTTAAAGTTTGCCATATTCATGCCAGCAATTGCCACTCGCTTGCTCATGCCGGGCACAAAATGCACGGGCACATGCCAGAAGATTGACATTTCGCAGTGCTGGCAGTGGCATATCGTTGCCTCTCATGAAGACAGTGCAGGCACCTATGGCGCGAGCAAGCTCTTCGACGGCGTCCAGGCGCTCGGCGATGCGGTCGGCGTCTCGCAGCGGGTGCGCCACCCAGGAGCGCAGCAGCCGGCTCCCAAACGGCGTCCGCGTGTGGTCCAGCAGCCACAGCAACGACCCCCGCTCCCGCCCATCGTCGTTGTTGTGCAGGATCTCCAGCTGCCTGCACCGTGTCAAGCGCGTTCAACCTCAATTGGCAGTAGTGAAATAAAGCTTGCTGGGCACCATTTTGAAAAGCATGCCCGCAAAGATTTTACACAGGTGGCGAGGACCTGCCATAGCTGTATCCCCTAAAGAGCCAGGATATATGGTACTATAGCTCACTCGAAAAAGATTGGGGAGACTCACGAGAGGGTGTTGGGGGACAGGGACATCTCGTGCTGGGTGTTGAAGGGGCGGAAGGAGGCAGCCACGCGCAGCACTGCCTCCATGCCATAGGGCTTCAGGTAGTCTATTGCAAACGCCAGCGCCTCCACCACCAGGTGCGGCAGCGCCAGCACCGCTTCCAGCGCTCCCTCCGGCACGCCTGCCCAGCAATGGATAACTTATTGCCACAAGCAATATCAAGCAGTTGCCAAGCAACGACGTTGCAGGGCCAATAAATATTGCTACATGCACACACAGCAGTCCATAGAGAGCTGACGAAGGAAATCAGGATGGTGTTTCGAGGGAGTGCAAAGGCACCTGCATGGCAGTGATCCTTGCGTCGCCAGCAACCTATATGACCCATGCGGAGATCATTTATAGTAAATGCATCCACAGCAATCTTCAAGGCTTGCAGGAGGGAGCACAATGGCCTGTGAGCAAGTACCCCGCACATGCAATTGCAAGGGCGAGTTTAAATTCAAACGCACCTGCGTGGGCGTAGAAGGCGGTGACTGCTGCGACGGCGCCGCCGCTGGAGTAGCGGGCGCGGGGGGCGGTCTGCGAGCGCAGGCCGCGCGACTGGCTGGTGAAGGCGCCCAGCAGCCGCTGGCTGGCCGAGCTGATGGGAGTGGCAATCAGCAGCTCGCTGGGCGCAGCAAACACCAGGCGCGCCTCCAGCTCTGTGCGCATCATGCCGTCCCTGCACCCAGCACACCAGCAGCTCATGCTGCCTGTATTTATGCGTTTTCAGCACAAATCTTTTTGTTGCCCCTGCCTGCCCATCCTAGAAGACTGTTGCAGCGATGCATATATGCTTTGCCTCCCGAACACCATCTTGCTGAATAAATTGAGAGCCCAATGGAGGGCTCCTTTAACCCCTTTCGGAGGGGGTTCTAGAGACTGAAAGGGGCTCACTGGTGGTGCCTTTTAAAGCAAAGCAAGCATGTGCAGCAAGGCCTGCATCGTGCTGCCGGAAGGATAGATCAGGATACCTGAACTGGGCATGCAGAACGTCGCCGGTGCTGGTCTCGATGGCCACGATGCCGATGTCTACTGCGCCCTGGGGAGCGTTCTCTGCGGTGCCCTCCACCACGCACACCAGGTAGGAGGAGAGGCCCTCGTTGGTCCAGGACGCCGTGCCAGCCTCGCTGCTGAACGTGCTGCCCCGCCCCTCACCAACATGATCCTTGTCTCCAGCCTGTGGCACAGTTGATGGTGTCATAGCCATTTGTCAATTTGCGAAGAAAATTGGCCTGCTTGCACAAAGGTCAATGAGGCACAAAGAGATCCAATTACCTCCAGGGTGGCCCTTGTGTACAGGGCAGTCAATTGCCGGGTGAAGGGGGCATTGCGATTGTCTCCAGCCTTCTTCAGCGCAGCAGTCTCTGTCTGCCTGACGATCCCAACCTGCCATAGAGCGTGTCCCACATCAGCATGCATTATATGATTGGTGGGTCTGGTCAAATTCCTGACCGGACCAGGGTAATTCTGAATGCATTGAGAGCTTGCTGAGGTATCACCTTGAATCCCGCCTCCACAAGCCGTCTCACATAGACATGGAGACGCGGCACGGGGATGGAGGCAGTCATGAAGTTCCGATCAGGATAGCAGAAAATGTTGCACTCCCGTGCGGCAATCTCTGCGTCCTCCCCGAAGAACCTAAACTTGTAGCCGACCTGCAGCAGCCCCCCCATTGTCTTTTGAGCCTCCATTACACCCGTTACACCAAAAACAAACATGCAGATTACCTGAGAGATATGAAGACACATGAGCATTGGTCAAGTAAGCAGGAACAAGGCGCTTACCTCAATGACCAGTAGCACGCCAGGGTGCTTGCGTTTGAGCTCGTACACCTGCTCCTCTAGAGGGGTGCGCTTCTGGGGGACAATGTCCACTGCGCTGCCTCGTTTCTGCAGGCCCGAGGCCGGGCCGAGCACCAGCTTGTTCTGAAACCTCAAGTGCCGCTTGGCCTGGTCGGCGTCGGACAGAGCAGCGCTCCTGCCGCTGGCTCCTGGCTGTTCCCTGCCTGGGCTCGAACTGCCGAGCAAGTCCACGCTGCAGTGAACGTCTGCATCCCCTCCTGGCGCTCGCCCTTGCTCAGGAGTGCCGTCCTGGAGGCTCACATTGCCCTCCTCGGCTGCCGCTGCCTGCAAGTCTGCTGCAGGTGTGTGCTTGGTCTGCAGGCTGCTGTCCGTTGGCCGCGTGCGCTTCCTTGGAGGCTGCTCACCATTTGGGCCGGCATCTGCCTGGTCTGACTCACGGTGTGAGGAGGGCTGAGCCCTCTTGCATCCCTTGTCCACCGATGCTGTGCTAGGCTGAGACAATGAGCCGTTTCCAGCAGTCTTCTTGTCTGGCTTCACAAAGAAGAAGGACGATATTGGTCTTTGTCCCTTCAACAGCTTATCTTTCGGAGCCATGTCCGATGCGTGTTGACAATGGCAGAATGGTGCTTAGACTCCTGTCATAGTCACATAATCTTCACAGTGGTGGATGGAAAGCCCTCAACGGGAAATCATGGACGTGCGCACTTCGGTGCTTCGCAGAAGGTATATTTAGGACACGCAATATTGACTGATCACAACAACATTGAAAGGATCTGACGAATGCTTAGATCCTTCATTATTTGCTTAAGCCTGTAACAACATAGTATTATGCTTGAATGTTTGATGTCGTAAATAAATATGATCATAATATAACGACGCGGCACATAGATTGCGGATGCTTTGGATTATTTTAATAGAGCGAGTTTACTTTTAGTTTGCACGCATGGGAAAACAGGAGAAGGAAAGGAGGGTGGCCTGCGATGCCTGCTCAGCTGCTGTGTCATTAATGATGACGTCAATAGTTTCCTCCTTTGCAATCCTCTTCTGGTGGAAGAACATGTTGATCTCAGGAGAGTATGACACTACGCTGATGTCAATTACATGAACAAAGGCATTGCACAGTTATACGTCAAGAAGCGCAAATTTGCAGACCAATCTCCTCTCAACCTTGGCATTGACTCCTCCAAGAACGCTGTTACTTCAATAAAGGATTCCATCTTTGTATTATATAGCACCATGTAGATCAGTTGTTGAATTTCCAAGCAGTCACGTGCTCTTTAGTACTTCTTATGCTCCAACACCTTGAGCATGGCCAAGGAACAAAAGCCTTTCCTCTTGGGTCTAACGGGATCAATAGGTGACTTGACCCATCATCATTCACGTTCATAGCAATCATTTAAGTGGCTGCTATGATATTTCTCATCCTGCCTGTCTCTGCTTTCAGGCATGGGGAAGAGCACAGTCAGCTCCATGTTTCGTGAAACTGGCGTTCCAGTCTTTGATGCCGACCAGGTGAGCACTACAGATATGTCGATCAATCATCTGCAGACTGGACCTGCCAAGCTTGGACGTTGAAAATGTTCTTGTCGGTGCAGGTTGTTCACCGATTATATAGTCAGGGAGGAGGCGCAGTCCATTTGATTGGCGAGCACTTCCCACAGGCCATAGTTGATCAAGGTGAGCCAGTAGATCCATGTATGAGCATGGAGCATGCTGCACCACGTCCAAGACGCAAGTCTAAAATCAACCTGTGCTTGTTCTGTACTGCAGCTGTGGACAGGCAACAGCTGAGCAAATGTGTGGTGGGCAACAAGGTAAGACGGCACATTCACATGTGTGATCATGCCTCTGCCGCACAGCATGATTATTGTGACACCATAACTGCGTTGCAATGGGTGTGCTCTTTTGGTGCGTGTATCAGGAAGCTCTGAAACAGCTTGAAGGCATTGTACATCCCCTTGTCTCGGACGAACGGCGCAAGTGGCTGCTGATCAAAAGCAAGGACGGGGGCCACCCAGTGCTGCTTTTGGACATTCCCTTGCTCTTTGAGACAGGAGCAGAGCACATGGTATCTTCATGCCATTGTTTAAGAACACCATGCAGAGACAGACCCCCTGTCCACAAGTCTTAATGTTTCTGCTTGATCAGACGAAGGATGTTGCAGGGAAGATAAGTACCATGTGCTGCTCATCAGGTTGACGCAGTTGCTGTAGTGAGTGCTCCTTTAGACCTTCAATATGCTAGGGTGCTTGCGCGACCAGGCATGACGAAAGGCAAGCAATTGACACTCTCACAATAATCTGCTCAGCAGTATTTGGCCGACAACGGTGGTGCTTATCACAGAAGGCCCCAATACTTGTAAATTTTGCAAGTGCAGTGTTTGGGTCTGATTGTTCCGTTTATAGTGCAGAGACGCTGGAAGCAATCTTAGCGAGACAACTTCCGGATGAGGAGAAACGACGAAGAGCAGATTTTATCATAAACACGGTGAGCTCCTATCATGGACTACACTGAGGTAACAATGTGAATATATGACATCCCGTTGTGGCTGAGGATGCTTATATTCCTGCAGGGAGTATCACTGGATGAGACTAGGGAGCATGTCCGGGCTCTGTTGAAAGGCTTGAGGGGTCGAGAAGGAATTGCATATGACAAGCATTTCAGCGTTTGACAAGATTCGAGTTGTGCACACCCAACCTTCCTCGTTTACAAAAAGTGATTCCTGGGAAATAACGTTAACGCAGAAACGGCGGTGCCATTTAGATCTTGTGATTCTGTACACATGTAAATTGCTGCACCCATGGCTCACGTATCAAGGACAATCTGATATGCTGCGTGCGAAAGTGTCATGGAATAAAGCTGCGCATTCCACTCACATGCCTGTTGCAGTCAGGACCTGTCCAACAGGCTCTCATTTTGATTTAAGAATTGGGCACACCTAGCAGGCATTAGGCGCACAGGAAGAAACACATCAAGGCAGAATGTCAAAGCCTGTATTATTTTCACAATTGTAGAGGTTGCTGGTGATGCATTTGCTGACTCTAAAAATCCTGCAATTCTCTTGCCTTGCCATCACATCAACATCAGCCCTGCAAACCCACTGTGACGGCAGTGGCATCGCTCTCTTCATCCGACTCAGGACATTGTGCATCCTCCTCAGCATTGACATGTCCTCCTTCGCTATCAGCATCCTTGAGCTGCTCTCTGACAGAGCTGCTCTGACTGTACTGCCGCAGCGCCCTGTCCAGCTGCATTCTGGAGCTTGCCACAGAGGCGACTGCTTCAATCGCATCGGAGAACTTTGCCTGTTGGACAGTGACAAAGGTGTCTGCTCAACGATTGAAGAAGACAAATAGTACGTCTCTTGCAACTCAAGCAATACTGCAAAGATGAGTATATAGATTGTTCCACCTGTGCGTCCACGAGATGTGGTGAGACAAGGCTTCCCATCATTTGCATCGGTGTGCGCAGAGGCTGGCTGACTGAGCATGCTGAGTTGTTCCTGCTGCTGTCGCTGTCAAGCACAAATTTATGCTCCAGGTCCGATATTATGCTGCTGTACTGTGAGCTTCCTTCTGCAAGCATGGCAGAGATCATTCATCAGACAGCATGAACAAGTCTAGAATGCAGAACAGATCGCATAGTAGATCCTCAGGGCTTCTGGCTGCTTGTGATACAACAGTACCTATCTCTGGGTGTGTCGTTTCATCTGCAGGTGGGCAGAATGATGTCGCCTTGCATTCCTTCAGGCGCAGCACTGAATACTGCGAACCTTCTGACTCAGGGTTAATGGCTATGAGAGAAGTAGCTGTCATGTGGGCATCGAACTGTGAAACTCCAACCCTGTGGGACCCCATTGCGTAGCGAGCCTTTGCTAAACAGAAGAAAGCCTGAAAAAGCACACTGCATTTCAGGACAGTGAGAGGTCAGGTTTTGGGCCAAGTGAACAGCCAAAAAATGAGGAGATTTCGAAAAATTCCAATAACTTGCCTCTTTCAGCAATGATTGCAACTGCGCATGCTGTGTCAAATACTCATCGGAAGCATCGAGGGCATTGATGAAGGCATCTTCAACTGCTGCTCCTTGAGATTTCATCATGACAGGGTAGATTTCAGCTGCTAATTTGCCTGACGAGTTTCAATGTCCAAATTTCGGCACAAGGCGAAAGACTGATAATGTCATGTCTGTCCAGAGTGGAAGCTATCAACCACGAAGGTGTTCGGATTGTATTTGACAGCAACACCATCAAAGGGTCCAAGGCTATTTTACGTAGACGTGAGACTCCAGTCTCAATCTGCTCGAAGGTGATTGTCAATTTCTCCATGTTATTGGTGTGGAAGCTGCAGGAAGCTGCAGGAAGCTGATGCTACCAAATCCCTACTCTTTCTCTTCTCGGATCAAGCTATGTGTGTACTAACTTTCCCACATGAGAGCTTGTGACGCATCTCATCCTGGAAAAATGAAGGAAATGGTCAGGGCAAGTGTGCCAATCAGTTGGCAGAGGCTGCAGAAGTTGGGGCACCAGAGTCCTAGAGTCTGGGTCCAGCTGGCGGGCATCGATAGAAACATACCTTTCATAGATGGGGCTGTCAATGCACTAGACCCTCCAAGGTGGGTCACAAGGGACAGTGAATCAGTCCGCAATCCCAAACGAGTCTGTGTGATTTGGCCTCAAGAGCCACGTGGTGCACCATGCATGGCGCCCGCCAGATCAGGGGTGCGCATCAGGGGTGTGCGTGCATGCCTAATAATCACAGCCTGAAGCCATTTAAATTCGCTGAAGCTGACTGCTAGCTATTGCAACAAAATTGCCCCTTGGGCTTCAGCATCATGAACTGCCTGCAGCTTCTGCCCTTGGGCATTGAATGGCCATGGCCAATTCTATACACCGCAGCACTTCATAATCAGCAGTACATCATTGCAGTAGCTTGACATGATAACACCATTTCTATGCTCCGTGCATTGTCTCTTCTGGAACACTTCTGTCCACTACAACTGCCGCTGAGACTTTGACATCTAAATAGCTCTCGCTCACAAAATTTTTGGAACTTTGACAAAAGCACCTTCCTTTTCTGGGACTTGGCTCAGCACTGCCTCCCTGCATCAACATCGTTGAAACATTGGTACACTTTCGAGTATCAGCAAAGGAAAAATGCACAAGTTGTATATAAGAAAGAGTTGTTCCTTGAGATCACCTGCCATCATACTCAACAGGGACATCCGGCCTGAGCACGTTCTGGTCTTCCATATCTATCCGTACGGCTGGCGGGACGCCCTCTACATCTACAGCTTGCAGCTGATCAAACCTGAACAGCAGAACACAATGTTGGGTACCGCCATGCGCAGAACAGCCTTTATGAGCTGTACTTGAAGGGGTACCTTACCAGCTGACAATCTGTTGCAATTGAGGCTCCCATTCCTTGACCTGCACCCATCAGACAGCATATTGCTGCCTTCAGAGCATGAAATTTATAAGGAGGTTGGTAGAAAAGCAAGCAAGCCGTGCATCCAGCGCACACCTCCTCTTCAGTGACAGAAATCTGAGCCATCTTTGCGAGCTGCCTTATATCAGGAGGGTCGACGCCCCTATCTCCTTTGGAGGCTTTGCAGGCTGTCTGTGAGTATTTGCATCGAGTGTGCCTTTGTGCTACTAGCAGCCTGCAGCTTGGTCTCAGCTTGCTAAGCATGAGACTAGCCTGTATGCTGTTGCAACAAAATACCGTCTTGATGGCCTGCATTGCCATTAACTGTTCGAATTCAGCCCCAGTACGGTCCAGATCGCAGAGTAATTATCCGAAAGATGCCCTTTGCTGCCACTCACGTACTAGGAGAGAAAAGACCACTGTTGATCTTGCACAACTTTGGTAAGTAATTTCAAACTTGTACTAGCGCATTATTTCCTTGGAACCAACAAGAAAGGGATGTGGAATGCCACCTTAGCGCACGTGATGGCCACGTGAGCACAGCACGCCACGCAGCAAGCAACATTTGTCTTCCTTCTTGTCTTCCCCTGATGAACAGATTATTTTGTGGAGATTAATCTGGGTAAAGGGATCTGGTCATAGGACGCAGCCATCCGAAGCGATGATCTTGATGTGTTGTCTCCAGTATATTTTGAGATGAGTGGTTGATGTTGTACTGAACGCCACATGACGGCACCGAAGCCCAGGATTAATCTTGCTCAGCACCTACAGTGGATTGACAACCATCCAGGATGTCGCGAACAGGGGTTCCTGTACTCCCTGCCCTCTCAGAACAAAGAAGCTGCTGAGCACAGGGTGAAAAGGTGAGAGTTTTGTCTACATTGGTCTGAATATCGTGTCAAGCTCATTGATTGATTACAAAAACCGAGGATGGTGTTTGCGTGACCAGGATCGGTGAGGACTTTCGACTTGACAACTCTAGACCACTCCCAAGTCAGGCTACCCAGGTAAGGGCGATGCTATGATTTGAGATAGAGATTCGAAAGGCCAACAACTAGATATAATGATATATGGCACTGCAGGCCCTTGGGTCTCTGAGACAAGCACCTGCCTCGCTTGCCCCAGCGAGGAACGGGACTGTGCAACAGGAGTTGCGGCACCACACCGGCAATAATGAGCCAGCTCAGGTCCGGAAGATTGCTGTCAATGGTTTGGGATGCACCAATGGTGGACTGCTTGCTTCTAGGTTGCCCAGAGGAACAGCAGATCTATATTGGTGTGTGACAATGGCTCACAGCTGTCGCATGGTGGTGCAGGTCACCAGGCCAGCTCCAGTCCAGTCAGCACCTCCTCCGCTGCCGAACAACCTGGGCAGCATCTTTGCGGACTCGCCAGACTGTCTGGATGACCTGGACATTGACAGCGTTGTCCTGCAGCACAGGCAGCAGACCGCAGCCGCCGCCTCGGCCACTCACCAACAACAGACACCGGTGCCGCATGCAGGGCCTCCTCGGCTGACCACACCTCCGGCTGGAGCAGGGTCAGCGCTGAACACCGCTGGCAGCGACTCACAGGCCGGACGGCATGTGACCCCTCAGAAGCTGGAGGCACGGCAGTGCAGCCACGGCGCGGTGCTGGCGGAGTGCTACCATAGGGAGCAGCACTTGAAGGAGATCAATGCCAGGCTAGTGGATGTCCTGCTGGAGCTGCAGGAGCCAGGGGGGCTGGACCCGAACAGAGACCGGCTGGAGGCCGAGAAGAAGCGCCTTCTGGCTGACAAGAAGGCTCTGGAGGGCGCCAGGCAGGCCAACGCGCCAACTCGGCCGCAGCAGCACCAGTGTTCCACCCCCAGCTCGAGCGGTGAATCGGGCATGTTCGGCACCGCCCCCGAGGCGGCCTCTGCCAGGGCGCCGCAGCAGAGCCGCTTTGCACCAGAACCGTCGTTCCAACGGGGGCCGCCAGATTACGGCCCCGGCACAGCCGCCAGTGGAGGGCCGTCTGGCCCTGACAGATATGCCGGGCCCGCGCATGCAGATGATGGCGTCAGAAGCTGGGACAGAGCACCCGGCAGCTTTGCCGAGCCCGGCCATGCCAGCAACTGGGACAGGGGCCCTGAAAATCTTGCTAGGCCGCTGCACGCCCACAACAGCATGAGCAACTGGGACAGGGGACCTGAAAGACCTGCCGCGCCCCTTCACGCAGCCGCCAGCGCCAGCAACTGGGATAGGGGGCCCATACACAGCGGCTACGAGGATTCAGCTTTCACAGCAGCTGCCCCGGATCCGACGCTGCGGCAGGGCTTTGGCGAGAATGTGGATGAGGTGTTTGACTGCAAGCAGAGCGACGGCAATAAGGACAGCCGGTGGCAGGAGAGGTTTGCATGGACAGATGATCTTGCCATCGCCAATGAGGACTTCTTCGGCAATGCCAGCTTCAGACCCAACCAGTTGGAGGCCATCAATGCCACCATAAAAGGCAATGACTGCTTTGTGCTCATGCCGACTGGAGGAGGTATGCTCCCGTACTTGATGTGATTGGCTGACTCCTTGCTGGGTCTCTGATGTCAGATCAGCCTGACCCAAAACGCTGTTGCAGGCAAAAGTCTCTGCTACCAGCTACCAGCGCTGCTGACCAACGGTGTGACCGTGGTCATAAGTCCTCTGGTGTCTCTCATCCAAGACCAGGTGACACCGCTGCTGCACAGAACATTTCCAGTTTTTTTGCACATCTGTGTCACCCTGCCTTGCTGCATGCATTGTCCTGAGCGCTCACCAGGTGCCTGTGCCCTTGCAGGTGTTTCACTTGCAGCAGGCTGGCATCGCCTGCGGCTACCTCAGTGGCACACAGGACTACGAGGATTCGCGCAGCATCATGCAGAGGCTGCAGCAGACTCCCCCAGACATCAGAGTCCTGTTTGTGACCCCTGAGAAGGTCGCCCGCAGCGACTACCTGATGCGCACACTCGACGTACTGCACAGCCGCAGGCTCTTGGTGAGTCTGTGACGTTGTCGGGCTCACACATAATCAATGCAGCACGTTTTTTACGTTGCAGTGCTTTCTGGGATTGTTGTGCTGAGTGTCATGTGCCATGCACAGGACCGGGTAGCAGTGGATGAGGCGCATTGTGTCAGCCAGTGGGGTCAGTCACCACCTCTCTATGTGCCCTCTGTGCCCTCACACTTTATTTTAATCCGTCTTATTTCAACATGAAAAAATTAGGATTTGAAAGGTTCTTCGCTGGTACAGGACACGACTTCCGGCCCGATTACAAAGGCCTGTCCGTCTTCAAACGCAGGTGAGTTGCATGCATGCATGTACAGCACCAATATCAGGCGCTCGCTCACATCCTGACGATGCAAGGTTAGGTACACTTAGACATAAAATTCCTTCTGTGAGATTTTTGCTGCTGCAGATACCCAATGGTGCCCCTGCTTGCACTGACAGCCACAGCAACTCCCCGAGTGCAGCATGATGTGGTGCAGCAGCTCTCCCTGAAGCACTGCGTCGTGTTCAGATCCAGCTTCAATCGCCAGAACCTGCGGTATGTACTTTCTCAGCAATGCCAGAAATTGCTATGACATAACCCACAGCCGTGGAGATTTTCCTGCTGCCTGTGTTGTGCTTCTGGCCGCGCTCAAAGACTGCTCGCTGCAGGTATGAGATCTGCAAGAAGAAGGGCAAGTTTGATGACGCCATTAAGGAGATGGAGGACAGGATTGCGCGCAACTTCTGCCACCACGGCAGAGTGCAGTGTGGGATTGTCTACTGCCTGTCCAGGAATGACTGCGAGAAGGTGGCTGCAGAACTGCAGGTCAGGCTCGGGATTCCCTCATGACAGGTTTAGTTTGAGGACAACAGTCGCAGAACTCCCATTTGGTGAAACTTCCACAGCTGATGATTTAAGTTTAAAATTGCAATTCAGCTGATGAGGAGCCTGTGCTGCAGAAAAAGCTGACTGCAAGGCTGGGGAACCGAGTGCGCGTCAGGTATGTTCTGAGTCCCCTGTGTGTTCAATTATGCTGAATCCTCATGCGGGAGGAGTACTCAAGAGGATGCGTCTTGTATCTTGCACACCCTGCATGATATTGCAAGGAAGCCCTTTCTCCTCACATGGCGCTCGCACTGCCTTGTTTTTCTCGCAAATACCATTGGCTTAACACAAGTGTATATGCGCAGCCACTACCATGCAGCCTTGACGCAGCAGGAGAGGGAGGAGGTGCAGGCAAACTGGACGCACGACCGCATGCAGATCATCGTCGCCACCATCGCCTTTGGAATGGGTGAGTCTTGCCCTTGGCATCTCAGAGAGGAATGTACACATCAGATGCACGGAGTACATGGGAGCATGGCATGCCTGCATCGAATGAGCCGCTGTGCATGCATGCAGGCATCAACAAGCCGGATGTGCGCTTTGTGATGCACTTCTCCGTGCCAAAATCGCTGGAAGGCTATCACCAGGTAAGAATGCGATCTCACCTGCCCTTGAGCCGCTCATGTATAGCATCAAATGGTTTTAATCAAAACACCAGAGACTTTGCGAGGCAGTTGTCCTGAATACACTCTTTGGAGGCCGCAGAATTCAGTTATGCTCCATGCAATGAGACAGCAGTACATAGGACTTTGGTTGTGCAGGAGACGGGGCGCGGCGGGCGTGATGGCAAGGTGGCGACATGCATCCTGTACTACAGCTACGCGGACGCCGTGCGCATGCGCCACATGCTCAAGCAGAGCGCAGAGGAGCAAAACACGTCCCCGGCGCAGCTGCAGTGCAACATGGACTCCCTCAACCACATGGTGAGCACACACTTGGTCTGCAAGTGTGCATATCAGGCCTGCAGCGCGCCTGCATCATGCCTGACAAAGCCTTAAAGAGTCAATCTTACCTGGCATGAGCCTTTCTTGCTAATATCAACTTGTTTATTCCCATCCCTGTCTTATGCCAAAACATGTACTGAATGCTCCTGCTTGGGGCGAGACAGATCGCCTACTGTGAGGAGCAAGTGGAGTGCCGTCGCTCGGTGCTGCTGGCGCACTTTGGCGAGTCCTTTGATGTCAAGCGCTGCCACGGCACCTGCGACGTCTGCGCATCGCGCAATGGCCAGGAATTCGAGCAGGTGCAGCCCTCAACTTTTACATTCATGTCCTGTGTGCTGCATGGCTGTCCTGTGAGAGTGGGTTTGTTGCACCCCAAAGTCAGGCGCTGTTCACTCATCTAAAAGCTGTCTGGGAAGGTCAGGTGAAGTCGCAAGCTTCACCAACCTGCGACATGTGTTGGAATGGAGCCACCAGGTTCTGCCTGACATGGGTAAACAAGATTGTCTGCAGGGCTCGGCTTCTTCCAGGAATGCATAAGTGCACGGTGTGTAGTAGGAAGTAGTAGTAAGTGGTAGTAAGAAGGTGGGCGGAGACGGATGTGTCCCACTGCAGCGCGATCTGACGGCGGAGGCGCTGGCGGTGGTGCGTCTGGTGCGTGCGGTGAAGCAGCACGGCAGCCTGAGCCATGTGGTGGACGTGTTCCGGGGCGCCAATACGAAGGCCGTCAAGGACCGCGGCCACGCGCAGCTGCCCGACCACGGCGCCGGCAAGGCCCTCAGGTGCCCACATGCCCTCCCCTGCCCCGGCTCTCCCCATGCTTTCTCGTTTTGTGCCCGCACAGCACACCGCTGCCGCCAGCATGCTCCTCATTGCACAGCATGCTCCTCATTGCACAGCTGCAATTGAACTTAAATTCTAGAAGACTGTTACAAAGAAATTTTCACGCTTAGGCATGGAGGCTTCCTTCCATCTTCTGCCTGAGGAACTTGTACTGTTTCTCGACCATCTTCTGACTTGTGCGTCGTGAGGTTGTGGATTATCTAGGTGTCAGGAGTCTAAGGCTTGTGGTGGATCATGCGCGCAGCAAGAACGAGGCACTGCGGCTGCTGCGCAAGATGGTGGTGGTGGGCGTGCTGTCCGAGGAGACCTTCCGCGCTGACAACCAGTACGGGGGCGTCATGTCGCACCTCTCCGTCTGCGAGCCCCTCGCGCGCCGACTAGGCGAGGGTGCCCTGCGCATCCGCATGCCCTTCCTGCTCGCCCGCGAGGCCCCCGCCGACCAGCAGCAACCGCAGCAGCAGCAGCAGCAACCCAAGAAGAAGGCGGCCTTCCCCCGCGCGCGCAAGGCCGCCCGGAACAGCGCCGGGGCCGCGCCGGTGGCCGCCGAGCCCGAGGACGAAGTGGAGATCATCGACGACGATGACGCCGACGACAGCTGCGCCACGCAGGTGAGAGGTCTTGTCATACTGCTGGTGCACAATGTGCTCTGTGCTGGTTGTGACTGGATGGGGAGCAGTGCTAGCTGGCCATACCGCCACATGCTCGGTCACTGGTGAGAGGGAATGGGTAATGAGAGATATCCAGCCAGGGGAAGCAATCCTACTGTTATTTGTGTTTAAAAGATGTCATCAGCTGAGCTAGGCTCCCTGTCTCCAGGCACTTCCAGTGGATGTGGATTTTGGCAGATGCATTGTTGCCGTTCTTGTGCGCAGGAGGAGGTATCTGCCCGTGAGGCCGCGCGGGCGGCGCTGGAGCAGCTGACCGACGTGCTGGGGGCGCGCCACGGGAGCCGTCAGCACCGCATCCTGGAGGGCCCCACCGTAGAGGCCCTGGCACGCGCGCGGCCGGCATCCTTGGCCGCTCTGCGCGCGCTCACGCGCATCCCCCGCTTCTCCAAGAACAAGCGCACCCTCTACGGCGCAGACATCGTCGTCGCCCTGCAGCAGGCACAGCCCCCCTCCCCTTCCTCCTCATGCAGCACTTTCAAGTCATATTTGCACTTTCCCTGCCAGTCTGTTCCACTCTGATCAAGTCTGTTGACAGACCCTGCAGGTGAACTCATCTAATTGCAGCGTACTGCAGGGTGCCAGGGGCATCATGGATGGATTGGCAGTGAGTTCTACTGCGATTTGTAATGTATGCAATCTTGCTGGTTGGGTGGCATCGTGAAAAAACAGTATAATTGGTGGGGCCTGCAGGCGTCTGCATTCATGGAGCAGCAGCGTCTGGGGCTGGCGTCGCAGGCGGACTTCCGGCTGGACACGTCGGCGCTGAGTAAGCGCAAGGCAACCAACGCCGCCATCACGGCCTGGCCCGCCGACGACGATCACTCCGACGACGACTTCGACCTCGCCGCCGCCACGCAGGCACTCCACTCACTTATGCCCTCTTGCCGAATCAATTTTCAGAATCACTGGCCTGGCCTTCGGATGTTCCTTTTTCAACAGTGGCTGAAATACAACCTCCTCACATTATCACATCAATCCTTGTGGAAGAAGCAAAAAATGGAGTGTGTGAAATATTTTGGGCGAGTGCAGGTGCCCGGCCAGGGGAATGGAGCGGCCGCCGCAGCAAAGCGCGCGCGGTCTGACGCGCCCGGTGCAGGCTTCAACCAGTTCCGCTTCTCTGGCGGCGCAGCAGGACCCGCCAGCAGCGGCAGCAAGCTCACCGGCTTGTCTGCTCGGCCCCCGGCACAGGTGTTTTCTCCCACTCTGCCCGGCTCTGAGGACCCGTCAAGCACCTCTTGTCACTCGGACTAACAAGGGGTCCATGGATCTTTCAACTTGGTTGTGAGCGCAGGTCGGGCCAGAGCAGGCTGGTGCAGAAGAAGTGCCAAAGCGGCCGAGCGCGGGTGTCGGGCCATTTGGCGCGCCGCTGCAGCAGATCCCCGCACCCGACGGCGACGACTCTCCCGGGGATGCCATGGGCAGTGACAGCGGCTGGCGCAAGTCCAGCTGGAGGAGCGGGTGACTCATTGCGGATGACGGCTGATGTGCAGCGGATGGTTACAATCACTTGAACTAAATAATCTCTGAGACTCTCAAGTGACCGCCAATGCTCGAAACACAATCCTGGAACTTCCATCAAACCATTCTAATCTACACCACTTCTGCTGAAAATGCTACAGCTATCATATGTTAAGCAACTTGCTCTCCAGCACCACAGTACTGTCTCAATTATCATTTATCAGTGGTGTGCTTGCGGCAATGTGCTTCTGTATCTCCAATCTGTAAACTGGATGATCAGCTGCTTGGGATGATTGCGTTTGCATGCAGCAAGCCTGACTACGGGGTCCAATGACACGTCATTCAAGACATGTAATCATGTAATCATAAATTCGCCTTTTTGCAGACCTGCTCAATTTCGCAAAAATGGGATCACAAATGTCGGCCAAGCACCAAATTGTCGACAGAGGGCGTCAAGTTTCTCTGGATCAACCTTTCCACTGTCGCCTGACAGGCCGAGCTCCTCAGCATGGATGCCCCCAGCCACAAATACAGAGTCACATCCAACAGCTTGAGCCCCTGCAGATCAAATGTTTTAATGTGAGCACACCGGATATTTTCTGATAAGCTGTCGGCGCAGCATATGGTAACACCAGCCCGTTTCTCCTGTCGAGGTTTAACATGACTTGAGATGTACATATGTTGAATATCGAAGTGAAGCAGGGTAAGTGGTCAGTGAAGTTGTCACCTGCAATGTCATGCTCAAGAGAGTCGCCAATGGCAACAAGCTGTTTTGGATCATCAATGTCCAGCAATTGCATTGCTGCCTGGTAAATTGCAGCAGCGGGTTTCCCTAAGAGGATGCACGCCTGCGCACGCAATCTATGACTCATCTTTGGTGTGTGCACATTCTTTGTAAGACCCTCTGAAGACGTTCCAAAAGGGAGTGTCAAATTTCAAGGAATGACATCATCGATAAGATTCATACAAGAGATGCTAGGAAATCGAGTTGCTCTGACTGACCTTGCCACCCATCTCCTTGTACCATTTGCCAAATGTGCCAGGCATGAAGCGCAGATAGCTGGCATCGACTGTCACAACGTCCGGGTTGGCAATCAGCAGCGGAAGATCTTTTGCTGCGGCCACTGCCAAGATTTCTTTGATCTCTTCTAGTGATATGGGAGTGGGTTCCACGCCATCACCACCCCCTAAAGACTCTGTCCCATGGGCCAGCACAAAATCCGCCTCCTCCACATTGCGAACGACCTGGGTGCAATTCATGCATATCATCTCAGACCATCTTCAGCCAATGCATCCAGTGTCATTACGCATGGAATCTGCTGTGGCACATTCTGGCATGGTCAATGATGTACCTGCAGCCCCAGGCCTTCCAAGGAGATGCTACCCCGTTCGCCCCAGGTCAAGTGTATGCATTTGTTGCCAAGTCTCTCCCAGAAGTCGCCCTGCCTGTGAAGCAGCGCATTGTGCGCCACCTCACCGCTGGTAATCGCACCAGCAAAGGCATCTTCTGCAAACCCCATGGCGGCCAACTTGCCCACAACTCCTGATGATCCTGGAGCCATCAAGGCTGAAATGCTCAGTTACCCCTCCAAGAGGCTCTGCAGAAAGGTGCACAATGGAGGCATCCTGATCTACCCTCACAATCTATCAAGGTTCAGACCAATGAAAGGGGGCATTTACGGCGGGAGCTATTGCTGATAATGAGTACTTGGCGTCCACTCTGGGCAAGGGCATGTACCGCCTCTGCTGCTCCAGGGTAGGGATCTCTGCCATCGTGCAGGACACCGAACTGGTCGAGGAGTACAGCCTACACACCAATAAGCTCAATTTGTTAGCCGTACGAGGTGACAAGGCAGGAGGGACCTTCGGATCAACATGCAGATCATTTACTGCACCTTGTACTGGGAGGGAAGGTCGTTGATGTGTGTGATTTGCTTCGGGATATGTGCTGAGCATTTGATCGCGCTCATATGGCGTGGCCTCATTCCATTTGCGGCAGACAGCCCACGCATCGAGAAGACATGCACCATCCAAATATTACGAGCCTCAAATTCGCTGGCATGCTGCAACGTAATTCTCATCCAAAGATTGTTTGAAAGGTTTTTCCATCGATTTGTCCATGTTTCAGGCAAGAACGGGACGGTATGTGTTCATCGATTGCATCACGTGCCAACGTGCAGCTGGCATGCTGCATGCAACAGTGTTAAGAGGTGTAAACTCTCTTGTGGTCAGTAATCAACAAAGCATTCCTTCAAATTCTGTCATGTTCACGCAGATATTGTTTGTCACATCAACTCTAACCAGGAAAAATCAGTGTTATAAGTGCTTCTCATATGGACAGTGATGGCTTCAGACACATTCGTGGGATCTGTGCGTTCTCGTTATGAGCGTGTCTTTACTGTGTTGCAAAACCTCTTTTTGCGCAAAACCTGTGCACTTGATCATGTACCCACCGCATAACGGCTCATGCCTGTGCAGAGAGGAGAGAGACGTTTGCGGCATAAGGAATTTGTTTACCCTGTTGTTGTGGGCACTTGCGCGTTCTACTTAGGCAAAAAGGTGTGCCTAGTGGTCAGTTGTTCCATGATCGCTTTCCTTCCCTGCAAATTGATTTCACTCACATCTTGGCTTAATGTAACTGCAGGCAACAGAGACACAGTCCCACAAATGGTATCTGTACGTCAGAGGAGTAAGTGGGGAAGATATCGGTCACATCGTGAAGAAGGTATCAAAGTGCCGACGATCGGTAGATTTCCTCAACACGTCAGGTTTGATGAGCAGGCATTGACAGGTGCTGAAACGTTTTCTCATTCTCAGGTGGTCTTCAACCTCCACCCAACCTTCCCAAACCCCACCCGGGAGGTTACTGTACATCCCTTTGAGATCGAGGAACACGGCTGGGGCGAGTTTGAACTCAATGTCACGGTGCTAGACCACGCCCCTGTGACAAATCTGATACTTTTCGTTGCTCTCACTGTCTTGCTGGACTGGAGCGTCCGCAGTGCCTAAAACACTGTGTGGTCCCCAAATGCAGCTGCACTTTGCGGATGATGCACAGGAGCAGCCAGTGGAGATTTACCACAAGCTCAAACTTTACTCCGAGGTAGACCCTACCATTCAGAGCACAAAGAAGCCGGTGAGAGCCCATCCTCATACCCTCAGCTTGCTGCATTTCCCGTTACATCCATAATGATGCTGTCATCCATTTCCACACCATCTGGCCTGTTTGCAGGAGTGATCTCAGCTAAATATAAATCGGCTCACTTCTGTAAATGCAGGTTGTCAATGAGCAGTACGAAGAGCTCATCTTCAGTGAGCCTGTCGAGGCGTTTTACCAGCGAGTGTCCAATTACACCCCTCCAGTGGCCTTCCAGCCAGTTATCGCACCGCACTTTCGCACATATGAGCCTGCGGATGATCTCCAGAAGATCAACCATGCCCGGCAGAGAGTGGCGCAGCTGATGGCCACCACGAAACGTCAGTTTGACTCACATGCCTGAAATGCCTTTCAAAGTCTAGAAGGATGCTGTTGAAATTCACGTCATGCAGTGTGCTTCCCTTCCAAAGAATGTATGTTGATCAGAGCTGGTGATGTAGTGAGCTCATCAGGGACAATCATAGCACTAGCAGCATTCTGTGTGCGCATGCACCGTGTTGACGATGGTTGCAGACATACATTCTAGCATTCCAAATGGCCAAACATAGCTGATACATCATTCCTCCAGCACTTGACTTCAGGGGCACTCCAATATTGAAGGTGCTCCAAATACGAATGTGTCCTCTGTGTCCTTCTATCACACACTGCCACCATAAAACAAAAAAATATACTCATCAAGATGTCATCTTACGAGGATTTCCTCAGCTGCAGCATGCTAGAGGCACTGTATTTGAAGACACGGTGTCTTCAGTGACTGTCAATGGCACTCTTTACGCATCAATTCATTGGACTATTCATGGAGCTGATCAATATTCAAGGCCATCAATCTAGTACTGTGTCACGCCAATTGGCCTCTACAATGTGCGATCAAAATTTTCTGTCACTATCTATTTCACTATCTACTCTACAGCTGGCTGGCATGTTGCACGTCCACATGATTATGAAAGCACCGCCACGTCACGTAGCACTGGCTTGGGCCTCTTGTAATTGCGTAGCAGTAGGGATGAGCACACCACGCTCACAGAGCTGAAGACCATCAGCGCTCCGGCCACCCATGGAGGAATCTGCAGCAAAAACAACTATCAGTGAATATCAACGATTGCACCCCTCCCTGAGCCATTGCCAGACGGACTCAGATCTTGATTGATGAGCACAGCAAGGTGCCTGCAGGTCAGGGATGCGGAGAGAAGAAAGGAGGCCTGCCTGCATGTGGGTGCAGGGGTAGAACACCCCGGCGGCAAAGGGGATCATGACGACGTTGTACCCCATGGCCCAGAAGTAGTTTACTCGGATGCGGTTGAAGGTCTTGCGCGACAGGTCGATGGCCACCAGCACGTCCTCCAGGTCATCGCGCATCAGCACATAGTCTGCCGCCTCTATCGCGATGTCCGTGCCCGAGCCCACCGCGATGCCGACATCCGCTGCGGCCAGCGCAGGCGAATCGTTCACGCCATCGCCCACCATCGCCACCACCTTCTTGCTGCCCTGCAGTTGCTGCAGCACACCGGAGGACCCCACTTCAGCCAAAGCCAAAGTCAACTTGCAGCAGACAATTGCAGGAATGGACAAGGCAGCCAGCAAGTACTAATTCTATTTGCAGGGGAAATCAATGTGCCCAAAGATGTTATTTGTTGCCTGAAAAAGTTGAAAAGTAAAGGCTTCAACTCTCCCAAAATGTACACCTTGTGGTCACTACTGCTGTAAGTGAGTTGGAGTGTAAGAGTGGGGCAGTGCGATGTTGAGTCAGGCATGGCGGGAGGGAACGCGCGCGCACCCGGATCTTGTCGACCTTGGCGCCGGGCAGGCACTCGGCGCACACGTTGATGATGGCGAGCTGCTCGGCGATTGCGCGCGCCGTGCGCCAGTTGTCGCCCGTCACCAGGTGCACCGCCAGCCCGCGCCGCGCCAGAGCCGCCACCACACCGCGCGCCTCCGGCTTGAGCGGATCCGTCACCGCCAGCACTGCGACTATAGATCCCGCCAGCGCCACCATCACGCACGTGCAGCACTTTGCCTGCCGCCCAACAATGCACATCAGAGCCGCATGCTTTCTGTGGCGCCGATGTGGTTAAACTGAGACTTTATGTGGGCTGAACTCAAAGTGCCATACAAGATGGCCCCTTGCCTGGTTGTGCATGAGTGCTTGCTGCCTTAGGGCTGTTGAATACACCACTCGTGGGGCGACTCGCTTTCTTGGGCCACGCACATGTGCGACAGCAGTCAAACCAGAAGTAGCCAGTAATGAACCCCACAGCAGCAACAAGATAGAGTTCAGGGCAAGTGCAGACCAGCTACAGGTCGATAGCTCTGACATGCAGGGAAGGAAAAAGCAGAAGGGAGAGATGGGCAGGCTTGGCTGGTTCTTTGAAGGCACACCTCCATGTCGCGCATGTAGTCATCAACGGCTTTGCTGATAGGGATTCCCTCGTCGGCCATCATCTGCTTGTTGCCCAGGATGACCTTGACATCCCTCGGGCCCTCCTTGCCCTTGATGGGAGACCTAGAGATCTCAGGCCCCACTGCCACCCACCCCAACACGCCCTTGCCTGCAGGCCAAGCAAGATAACTCTGAAAATGTGCTGGTACCCGGAATTTTTTTTCAAGGACCACAAGCTTGAAATTGGACCCTGCAGAAGGTCACAGAGAAGCATGCCAGAGTATGGAGATGTAAAGGCCGCTGAACTCACCAGCAACAGAGAGGACGTCCTTTGCAGGTCGCACCCAGTCGAGTCTGCGGGCAGCGGGTGCCCCCTTTGTGCCTGCAGTGACCTTCGCTCCGCCTCCTGACATCACATGCCCCATCTCAAGCAGAGGTGTCAACACGACTGTTGCATCACTACTTTTATATTGGACACCTCTAAGAGAAGAAGGACAAAAAATCCCCACCGACTTGCTGCTGCCCAATGCCCAAGCCTTCTGCTGCAAAGTTGATGACTGCTGATGCCAGAGGGTGCTCGCTCTGCACTTCCAGTGCAGCAGCCAGATGCATGACCTCCTTGAGCGACGCCTGCACACAGAATAATCTCAGATATTGAATTGAAGACCAACACAATAGAGTGAGTTCAAGTCATAGACTAATATGTGTCCTTCCACACCTGAGTGTCATAGAGGCGGACGTCTGTCACGACCGGCTTGCCGCGCGTGAGCGTGCCTGTCTTGTCAAATACAATGGTGCGGATGCGATGGGCCCTCTCCAATGCATCCGCCCCCTGCACAGGTAAACATCAAATAAGCACAGAAAGTGACTGATAATTACCTTTGAACTCTGCAGTCCTCACATACTGCAAGATATGCGAGCACCACAACAGCGCAGGGCTGTCACCTTGATGAGGATGCCATGGGAAGCTGCCACGCCGGTGCCAACCATGACGGCTGTGGGTGTGGCCAGGCCCAGCGCGCAAGGGCAGGCTATGACCAGCACAGCAATCCCAAACAGCAGCGCAAACAAAAAGTGGTTGTGGCCTGCCGGCAGCCACTCCTGTGGGAACCACCCATGCTTCCCAGCCACATACCTGCAGAAACCCATTCTTTCAAATCCCACATGCAAATCACCACCACCAGAGCTAGAGGGTAATGTGCAGGATCTCACATGTTTGGCAGTGTCTTTCAGAACTAGAAGCGCACCAACAAAAGCAAGTGATCATGGCCACGGTGACAACGATGGGCACAAAGATGGACGAGACATAGTCGGCGAAGGCTTGGATGGGCGCCTTGCTCATCTGGGCCGCCTCCACCAGCTGCACAATCTGCGCCAGAGCCGTGTCCTTCCCCACCCGTGTCGCCCTCACCTGCACATCAAAAATATATATCTCCCTGCACAGTTGCAGGTCCTACTCTGATGCAATGCACAGGCTGCAGGACGTATGGAAGGCACGGAAGGAGGGTAGGAGGGCGTCAAACCTGCAGTGCCCCTCCCATGTTCATGGTGCCCCCGATCACAGCGTCTCCCTCAACCTTGAGCACCGGCTCCGCCTCCCCGGTCAGCATGCTCTCATCGGCGTGCGACTTGCCGCTCAGCACCAGCCCATCCACCGGCATGCGGGCGCCAGGCAAAACCTGTAGAACCCAAGCCACCCTTACACTCCCTGACTCCTTTATTAGGACATATATCTCTCAGTACACCCAGGACAACAGCTGCCAGTGCTGCTCGGACAAGAGTAGCAACTCGAGAAGCATTGGCAGGTAAGGATTGACCATAGAAAGCCGACTACGCTTGCCGTGGAGGGCAGCTAGAAGTTGCCCAATTTCCCCAAGCCCAAAGTACCAAGTCTCACCTTGAGCCTGTCTCCGCGGTGGATGAGCGCAGTGGGCACCTCTCTCTCGGCCTCCACCTTGCCGTCTTCACCGCCCTCCAGCAGCACAGCCGTGGGGGGAGTCAGATTCAGCAGCGCGCCGATGGCCTCAGACGTCTTCCCCTTAGCGCTGGCCTCCAGGTACTTGCCCAGCAGAATGAAGGTGATGAGCATGGCGGAGGTCTCAAAGAAGTCCGTGGGGCGGTACATGCCGGTCTTGTGGTGGTTCATGAAGTGGTGGTGCAGAATGGAGATCATGGAGTAGAGGTAAGAGGCGTTAGTGCCCAGAGACACCAGCACATCCATGTTTGCCCTGCAAGAGAACACCATTTCTTTTGGAATATTCTTTTCCTAAATATACAATAATCTATATAATAGTGCCTCTCAGAATATGGAAGCCTAATCAGGGTTCTTGTTGAAGCCATCAGGTGCACTGCAAGGTCATCAGGCATGCATGCGTGCTGAGATGATAGAGTGGTGGACAGATGGGCGGCTCCGCACCTGCCATTGCGGAGGGCGCGCCAAGCGTTGATGTGGAAGCGCCAGCCGATGACAAATTGCACCGGGGTGGCGCAGAGACATTTGATGATCTGGTCCAATGGGAAGTCAAAAATTTGCGCCTCCAGCAGCGGGCGCATAGCAGGGATCATGGGGAACACCATGGCCACCAGGAACACTGGGATTGTGAGGCAGGCGCTGGCAAAGAACAGGTCTCGCAGCTGTTGTAGCTCTGATTTTTGATCGCCGTTTGCTGGCCTGCGACCGTCAAAGAATGCAATGGTGTCAGATGTCCTAATTGTTCTGCATCTCAACCCTGTGAGGAGAATTGAATTGACAGTCAAATTGTAATGAGCAAGTTGATGTACCTGTCACCGCGCAGGAGGTGTGCCTCAAAGCCTGCTTCCTGGACAGCCTGTATGATGTGTCTGGGTCCAGTCACATCAGGGTTGTACTGCACCTCTGCCTTGCCCGCCAGCAGGTTCACGGCAGCCCTCTGCATCGCAAAAACATTTTGTGAATGACTTCTCATTAAAGTTCAGGTAAGATCTGGCTGTGTCAGCATGGCAACTGGTTTCCCATGCCTGCAGCAGTAAGCATGATGAGTGACCGGAAATTAGACCTGCACGCCCTGGTGATTGAGAAGGGCAAGCTCGACTGCGGATGAGCAGGAGCTGCAGGTCATGCCGCTCACTCGCAGGATTGCAGAGTCGGAGTCGGGGACAGCACCCCTACCCACCACCCGGGCCTCAAACCCAGCCTCCTCAATAAGGGCAACCACCTCAGCCTGCAATGAGGTATACAATTTAGAATCAGACAGTGAAATGCCAAAGTGAAATAAACTTGCAAATTAGTCAGAATGACCAGTCTGTAGACCCACCTCATTTACCACCTGTGGGTCATGCGTGACCTCTGCCATTTTGAGGGTGAGAGACACCAGTGCCTTCTGCACACCCTTCTTTTCCCCCAGAGCCGTCTCCACAGCTGTAGAGCAGGCGGAGCAATGCATGCCAAGCACCTCGATCCTCGTGACCTGCTTAGGATGCAGCATTCATGAGCAACCTGCTCATAGCTAAGCAACACGAAATTGACGTTAGCCTCCTAGTGTTCAGCACCCACCCACCTCATGTCTGGTCCTCTCCTCTTGTTTCTGCAGCAACTCCGCCATGAAACCAGCGTCCTGGATCACTTTTAAGATTTCACTGATGGTTATATCCCCGTCATCAAAGACCACCTGCACAGGGCGTGACACGAAAAGACTCAGGGACACTTGCCCTCATATTCACACTTGTGAGGTTTTGTCGAGGCCAAGTTGAGCTATTCTCTGAAAGATCCTATTCTGATGGACCACCTCAGCAGTCTCCTTCAGCAGGGCGACACTCGCTGACAGCACTCCAGGCTGTGATGAGAGGGCGCGCTCGACAGCTGAAGAGCAGGAGGAGCAGTGCATCCCCTTGACAGACACCTGCGCATGATGGCAGGGTCTGCCTAAGCCATCCACCACCAAGAGAGGATTCTATCTGGCTGCCACCTTGGACTGCCAAACGTGCCCTTCCAGAAGCAGATGTGCATGTGGTGGCGTATGTCACCAACTTATTGTGTTGGCATACAATATCTTTACTTACCAAGGCCTTTGCATTGTGTCCAGGGCCTGGAAGCTGCTCAGCATTGCTGGTTGACACAAGAGACTGAAGCTCTGCCTCTGCGACAGGCGCTTCCGTAGTGCGCCACCAACTCATCTAGATGTCAACAACTAATGATCGGAAGTCTGATCTAAAGCTTGCATTGTTCGCTCTGCCGTTCACGCATCAAACCTGGTACGGAAGCCAAACAAGGACAAGCTCTGTCGAGCCACAGTCCTAAAGTATCATCACCAGCTATTAGCAGTCTCACGAAAAGCCTTGCTATGTACAGGATGTACTGCTTAGTAGAGCAGAGCGCCTTTGTCACGCTCGAAATGTTCTCGTGACGAGAGAGTCCTCCGGGAGGACAACTCCGCAAGACAGGAAGCTGAGCTGGTGCTGCACCAGTGGTGCACCATTTTCAGGTATGAAAGCAATCGAGTCTAGAAAAGTCAAAACTCAGCTGGCTCTTCCAAAAATTTCTTAATCGTCCGTCGAAGGCATTTGACCCTCAGACTGATCGCGCCTAGATGCCTGGGGTTGTCCTTCTTCTCCTTGAAATTACCCCAGTTTCTGGCACCTTCTAGATCCTGCAGCACATCGATCAGCTCCGGTGGTATCTGCGGGAGACACTATCAGATTGACCTGTAGTTTGATCAAGAGTGTACAGTAGACAATCTGCGGAAAGAGTGACAAATAGGTATGGTGGACCAAGACTTCAAGGGAGTTTCTGAAAAATTTAGTGTTTCCTTGTTATCCGATGAGGGGCATGGATCAGATCGTGTGGTATGTGAGATCGGCCTCGATGGCCTGCTCATCCTGTCATCTGACGGGCAGAGGGTCCAGAGGAAGTATCCCCTGAAGCACATTAGTCGCTGGGCACTGCGTGGGAACAGCCTTGTCCTCTACACGAAGACGCCAGTGGATGTGGAAGAACGCACGGTGACTCTGCAGTCTGACGATAGAACTATACGTTCAGCGCTGGACACGCTCACCAGCTGCTGCATGCAGTAAGTCCTTTTGGTTCTGAAAAGAGTTGGCTATTGCAAGTTCAGATTTTTCCTCGACAAATTTGTTGTGCTCACTTTTTGAAGCATCTTATCGTAGCTTTCGTTCAGGCTTATTTTGATTGGTCTGTGCAGGATGGTGGAATTGCTGCAGGGGTCTGGGGAAAACAGCCAGACCACAAATTCACTCACCTCCCTCATCAACGGAGGCACATCTAAGAAGGTACAGTCCAACTTGCTCATGCAATGCTCAGCACCATCAGACATAGTGCGCGAGTCTGCAATTACCCTCAGCCATGGGTCTGAGCACCACACAATGCTATGGTCCACCCGGATGGCCCTGCATGGCTGTGCAGGCCTTCTTCATCTGACATGCTTCTGATACAGCCACTTGTATGCCTGCAGCTTCCCTCGGCGGAGGACGTTGAGTTCTGGAGCAACCCAGAGAAGGCAGGCTGGCTCCAGTCCCAGGGCGAGCACATCAAGACCTGGCGCCGCCGCTGGTTTGTGCTGAAGCAGGGCTACCTGTTCCGCTTTGCCGGCCCGGACGTGACCTCCTCCTCCAAGGCGCGCGGCCTGGTGGACCTGTCAAAGGTGACTGATGTCAGCGCGGCGCGCGACGCCACCGGCCGCAACAACTCGCTAATGCTGTCCACGCCCACCGGCCGCGTCCTGTATGTCGCCGACAGCGAGACCGAGCAGGTCGAGTGGCTGTCTGCCCTCGAAGGCTCCGTTGCCAAGATTGTCAGACAGGTGCCACACAATACCTCCTCACATTATGTCATTTTTCTCGTGACGCTGGATGTATGACACTCTTTGCATAGTTGGTGACCTCCAGGCGATGTGTTCTCTGGGCAATGGACTTGCAGTCCAGATGTGGCAAATGTCTGAATATTGGCACTGTACACGCAGGTCGCCGGGGTCGAGGACGAGCCAGCACAGCCGGCTGAGCGGCCGGCGTCTGTGCAGAACAAGTGGACGCAGCAGCTGGAGCAGAACTATGCAGCGGTGGGGGGCACCGGCAGCGGCAGTGGCCGCAGCTCCTCAGCGCGTGACCCCAACGCCATGGTCAAGATTGTCGGGTACAACCAGGAGCCCACTGCGCCGCACAACCGCCCATCGGCCTCCTACGATGCTCCCGACTACAGCACGGGCAACAGCTTCGGCTATGACAACATTGCAGGTACCTTTTATCCCACGTGGACATTGAAGGAGACAGAGGTTGCAGCACTTATGGCGAACACCTGCAGTATGCAGATCTGACAAAGGAAGAGGCTTGCCTTCCTCAACTGCGGACATGTGATTCTTCCTATGCATCGAAGGTATTGTCAGATATCCCACAAATATTCGTGCCGCAGGCATCGCAGGCATCTGCACGAGCGGCTCTGCAGCGCCAAAGCCCAGCTCCAGCTCATCCTTCTCAGACTCCTTTGTCAAGGTGGACTACCCATCTTACCCCGTGCTAGCCGCCACCGCCTCCCACCAAACTCCCACCGCCCAGCCGTCCTACGCTGATCCGGCAGCCGCCGCCGGCAACAGTGGCAGCGGCTATGGCCAGTTCTCTGCGCCGCAGCAGCAGCAGTCATACTCCGGCTACCAGGCTCACGGGCAGCAGGACAGCTATGGCAATCACCAGCAGCAGCCGTACAGCAGCCCCAGCACATACTCCTACCAGCCGCAGGCAGCGCAGGCTCACAGCTATGCACAGCCCGCTCCCGCCCAGCCCTCCTGGCAGGAGCTGCACGCCGACAACGGCCGGCCGTACTACTACAATGCGTCCACTGGGGTCACACAGTGGGAGCAGCCTGCAGGCTTTGTGTGACAGCGCCTGGTTGTGCATCTCTGTGCTGGTGGCGGTTGCTCTCACTCTGAGCATTAAGTGTGCCACAGTGGCTTATACCATGTGGGCAAAGCCAGAACGGATGTGTTGCGATGGTTTAAGGAGGAACTGGTGTCAGGGCAGGCTGACCAGATGGGAGCCTGCCGCTGCGTTGTGCATGTGCATCAAGCATATTGCAAAGCAAGTCATCCATTTGCCTGTGATTGTTGGAACTGTTTCAAACATAGCTGTACAATTGCCCAGGTCTTCTGTTTCACTGCCAATGGCTTTGAGCTGCCAATGGCTTTGAGGAAGATAAAGGATTTCTCTGAGACTGGTGAGCAGCACTGGAAGTTTCATGGCGGTTCTGTGTGCAACAGAGGTGTGTCACCCGGTCAACGGCTGACGGTCAAGGCCTCCCGCGCCCAGCGCTGCTGATTCCTGGGTGCATGCATAAACAAGGAACTCAAAGTCCGACTGAGTCAGTACACTGTAGGCATAGGCAATTCTAGCCTGAAACTTTCATTAGGGATGATCTTGATCGCGGTGGCACCATCAATGGATTGCATGCCATGGTTTGCACGCAGTGCGCATGCGCTTCAGCAAGCCTGAGGGTTATTAAGTTGATGATAACAATGACAGATCTCAGCATTTGGAGTGCACCAGATCATGAAAGCCAAGTGACTCCCCTATCCGATGAGCCGACATGTCGCCGAAGGGGGCCGGCCAGGCGCCCGGGCCCTATCGCGATATATCACGATTAATCTCTAAATCAATATTGTGTGCGCTACTGGTCCTTGAACATTGCATAAAATGCCTTTGCAGGGACATGGTTGGACTTCGTTCACTGCTGTGACTCCAAGCATCAACACACACACAGTCCAGATCACCATTTACACGAATCATTACTACCCGCAAGGCTGCTGACGCAGAAAAAGCGAAGGGAACGTTGCACACCAGCCGGCACTTTTTCGTTGAGGGAGATTTTTACTGGGTTGCTTTATGTGTGAGCTTTTCGGATATCAGTGTTCACCAAGCCGTGTCGAGGTCAAAGGCGCCGCTTTGCTATCCACAGCGCTCACGCAAGTTGTCCTGGCGCACCTCCGCTGGGCACACGGTGCCGATCCGCGCTTGAGATACGCCGCAGCTGCTGTGAACGCGTGAGGCGCTTTCCAGAGATTCCTGATCTGTCGAGCGGCCTAGCTCGGCTCCTCGGCCGGCAAACGATGTGCGCGGTGGCGTCTGCAGGTATTGGGAATATTGCTTGGCTGCTGATGTCAGTGTCTGGCTTGGCCCGTTGGCGAACTGAGCGTCGTTCTCACAGCTACAGCGATGATCCATCTCTGAGAGCCTATTTTAATATTCGGTGATGCACATCTCTGACGTTGTTTGAGATGCACGGCAAGGCGAAATCAAAGCTGGAAGTATCTGTTTTTCAGCCAGGGCAAGCCTGCCACTTCCTGCATGGATCTGCTGCGCACATGCATGAAGTGCTTATTGTTGCCTACTACTGTTTTAAGGGACCCAATCATGCGCCACCAGCATGTATGCTCACCTGTGTCGCTTCTTTTCAGGTTTTGTCTGAAACCCTGAGAAATGAAGAGCCTCTATAACAAATGGACCAAGTCGCGGAGCAAAGGGGAGAAGCACCATGGAACACCGCCAGTATCAGGGCAGCCTGGCAGCAGGGGTGGCAGCATTGGCAGCAGAGGACCGGCTGGGGAGGCAGCGAACGCAGCTGAACCCAGCACACAGCCTCGCAGCAGCAGAGACTCCATCGATGTCAGACCCAAAGACGGCGGTGGAAAGGTGCATCATCGTGACGAGATATTGCACTGACGCTGCATCGTCTTGGCCATTCTCCTGTGATGAAACTCACCTAGTATGTTCGATAATGTTTTCACCCTGGGGGTTCTGTACTGAGGATTCTGCTGGCGCAGATGTCGGATGACAGTGCTTACAGCCACAGCGGCACGCCTGCTGGCGGCAACACAGCCAAGCAGCAGTCTTACTGGTCCAAGAGAGATGCGGCGTCTCTCTGTTGCTCCAACGTGTCATCATCCATTGAGGGCAAGCCTTCGATGGATTCCGTCCTGCGGCCTAAGTTTAAGGAGGGTGAGGCATCCTTTCCTGTATTGTGTTCTATTCTAAGACATGCAACAGAACATTACCATTGATGCTTTACATTGTGTGGACATGGCAGGAGGCAATGGGAAGGAAACCGACCCCACCAAGTCCTTGGCGCAGATGGTGCAAGAGAGGCTGACATTCAACCTGGAAGACAATGAGGGCACCAGGGAGGGCGAGGAATGGCGCGACAGGCTGCAGCCACTAGGTGAGATGCCAGCAATAATGACGAAGCACACCAGATATCCTTACATTCAATTAGGGCTAGGCAGTCCAGGTTGATCCGAGAGGGATGCATTCATGTGAACGCTGTGATCATTCTGGGGGCACATGAGGCATTCTTGGGGTCAAAGTACAGGAGCACTGAAATTGTTCTGTGCAGGTGTGGGCCCCAGCAGCGCAAGGCCGAGCACTGACCAGAGGCGCGCAAGTGGTGAGAGTGCGCGCTCCGCCGGAGGGGAGAGTGGCAGCACGCGCTCGCGGCGGTCCTCTTTTGCGCTTGAGCGCGCATCATTCGACGCAAATCGCTCCTCCCTGGAAGCCTTTGGGCTGCGCAACGGCCACCGCCCCTCTGGCGAACTGGCGGAGGTCTGTCTTGTGCTGTCATTAGCCTCTTGGCCTTAAGATTTACTGATAAAGCTCTTAACAGGTCGCCTCTGCATGGCAAGCTACTTTGATCGGGGACGGTGGCAGAGAAGAAGATTGGTAGGCGTATTTTCAGGCGATGGTGTGCGGATATGCAGGGGCTGCCAAAGCAAGACACTGCGCAAGCCGTCGCAGCACTGTGTGAGCGTGCGGGTTTGCCTAACTCCCTGAAGGATCGCTATGTGGCACTGGGCGTGGTGCCCCCGGACACCCCGCTGCCCATGAACATGCTCACGCGGCTGTGGGGCCTCGAGCAGGAGAGCGACGCAGAGGCCACCGCCAACCTGTTTGAGACCAAGGTGTGGGTTGCTGCTTTTGTCGCGCCACTTTTTTGGCACAACGCCTGCAGAGGAACAGATTTGGGCGACCCTACAAGCTTGCTTGTACTATTTCAGTTAGCATTACTGATCCTGGGTTGTGCAGGGTGTGATGCGCGTGGCCTGCCTGTTTGATGGCACAGCCTGGGGCCTGGTGATGCCGGACCACCTGTTTGCGCTGAGCACCGTCAGCGTCATGGGCAATGAGAAGATTCATGCCACTCTGCTGGACGCTTATCTGGAGAACCACTCGTCCTTCTCCACCATTCCAGACGACGGCTACATCATGCAGGTGGGCATCCCTCTGTGTTTGCCTTCCATTTGCTGTCATGTATGGATGCTCTCACTCCTCTTTGAAGGGTGTCGTGACCAATGTTCAGGTAAAGATTGAGCGCGTTTTGTCTTATGATGTGTTGCGTGTGCTTGGCAGAATGTGGGGCACCACCTGGTGGGAGCTGGGCGGCTGGAGGAGCTGAAGCAGCTGCTGGCGAGCCCTGGATGGCTGGAGCGCAAGCTGCACTCCTATGGCACAGCCTCTGCTGTGGCAGACTTCAGGAGGTGCCACTCCTCTCGCATCTGACGTTGGTGTCTCCTGTGTCACTTTGGAATCTGAGAGTTTCTTGCCAGGCATATTAGGGCAAGCGCAATTGGCCCCACATCCCTTGTGCCTATTGACTTGCTGTGCTGCGCAGGTACTTGATGGTGTCTGGTGACGAGGAGGTGAAGCTGCTGCTGGAGGCTTTCCAGATGAGCGTCAGCGCGTGCCTGAGCCAGCCGTCTACGCCCGTCCTGCGCGCGCAGATGCTCGGCCGCCTCATGTCCGTCCCCCATTCCAGCCTCCTCAAGGTGCCCTTCTCTCACTTCACCGGCATATCAGGAAAATCCTGCCACACATTATTTTTGATCAATCCCATGTCATCACGTTGCTAGAAGTCTCATGGCCTGGAGCTTGTGATCAGTTTAGAATATCATTGCAAGGCCTGGAGCTGTGAATGGGGAAATCGAAGAGTGTGGGCTGGTCGCAGGAGTGGCTTGCGAGGGAGGACGGAGGCGTGGAGGAGGCGGGGCGCCACGCGGCGGCCGCAACACCGTGCATGTTCACGCGCACGCCAAGCCTGGAGCAGGCAGGTGGCCTGCAGCGCATGACCCTGCGCGGCCACACCGGCGGCATCTCCAAGGTCCTGCTCACCCCCGGCGGCATCGACGTCATCACAGGTACACTCTCTCCCTCTAGCATGCTTCTCCCTGATCACACTCGCGAGGGTAGATGGTTCCCTCACATGCGGACTGACAGCTCAGGACTGCATGCAATGCGTAGCACGCCCTGCTCCCGGTTGTGTTATGGAGTTCACCAAGCGGAGATGTGGTGTTGCAGTGTCGGCGGACAACACGGCGCGGGTGTGGGACATGGAAATTGGGGACTGCGTGCTGCTTCTGGGCGGCCACATGGGCCCCATCACCAACGTGGCGGCGGCTGCAGACGGCAGCCTGCTTATCACCACGTCCAGCGACGGCAGCGCCCGAGTGTGGGAGCTCGAGAAGGGCGAGTGCCTCGCCGTGCTTCTCGGCCACACCGCTGCGGTGAGCCTCCTCTTTTTGCGTGCTTGTCTTGTTAGTCAGCTACTCCCTTATTGGTGGAAACCAAAACAATCAATTGCACTTTTAGCACGCTTGGCCATGGTAAATGCTCATCACAGTGGTCAGCTCTAGTGAGATAATTGCAACTTAAGGGATTGGTTACTCAGCCTGTCTCATGTTGCTTCTCAGGTGAATGCGGCAGCAATAGATGCAGAGGGCCGGCTGGCGGTGACGGCGAGCGCGGATGGCACGGGCCGCGTGTGGGATCTGGCAAGCGGCCGCTGCATGCACGTGCTGGCGGGCCACGAGCGCGCCAGCGCAGGCGTGTGGGCCATCGCGCTGACGCCCGACGCGCGCCGCGCCGTGACGGCCGGCGAGGATTTCACCGCCCGCGTCTGGGACACGCTCACCGGGCGCTGCCTTGCCGTACTGCAGGGTCACTCCGGCTGGGTTGTCGATGTTGCCATCACTGCAGACGGCGCCCACGCCATCACTGCCTCCCATGACGGCACCGCCCGGTGCTGCCCTATTTCTCATGTCGTGACACTGAGAACTTCTTCAGATTCTTCTGCATGTTGTATGGATTGCGCGCAGAGTAATCCGCCCCCTGACATGTATTTTCCTTCGCCTATGATGGGTACTTCTTTGGGTGTGCGAAGTGGTTTGCTGATGGCGGTGTGATGTGTGCAGGGTTTGGGACTTGGCGCGCGGCACATGCGAGCGGGTGATGGCAGGCCACGCGGGGCGGCTGAACGCGGTGAAGCTGGGCGCGGGGGGCACCATGGCCCTGACTGTGTCCGATGACTACACCGCCCGCGTCTGGGACCTGCCCTCTGGCCGCTGCGTGCACGTCCTGAAGGGTGCGTGCAATAGCGCTCGATCTCATGCAGGCTACCATTTGCCATGCACGCTCGCACTTCCAGCATGATTTTAGCTTGGGCACGGGGACAGGTGGAGTCTTTTGTAATGGTGGGACCGTGAGATCTGACAATCCTTACTAAAGGGGTTGTCGTTTGGGCAGGCCACGGGGGCTGGTTAACGGACGGAGCGATCTCCTTGAGCGGCGGGCAGGCAGTGACCAGCTCTGGCGACGAGCTTGCTGTTGTCTGGGACCTGCACCAGGGCAGCTGCCTGAACGTTCTGGAGGGGCACTCCGGAGAAGTCCGCTCTGTTGTCCTGACTCGTCGCGGCAGGTGTGCACCACCGTCCCCATAATTATATTTTGGATGGCATTGGCTGTTGTGTCATGCAAGCAGCAGTATGCTTTCTCTTTCGTGCTTTCTCAGGACCCACGTGCGTTCTCAGCAGACCAGCTGTCTGCGTGCAGGTTCGCAGTGACCGGGTCAGCGGACGGCACAGCGCGCGTGTGGGACTTGCATGCTACTGCAGGCCATATGCAGCGCGCCCACAATGGCCGCGTCACCGGCCTTGCAACTCACGGCTCCTCCGCCGTCTCACATGGTGCACACTCTTCACCACAAGCTTTCCCAACCTCCTGAGTAACGCTGTCACCAACATCAAATATTACTGTACGTGCAATGTGCCCATATTGAGGGTTATTGGTCTGTGGTTGCAGGCAGCGACGGGGCCATAGTGTGGGATGCCAGCAACGGCAGCTGTCAGGTGTTCATGCAGGCGCACGACGCCGGCATTCGCTGGGCCGACATGGCAGCAGAGGGCAGCCTGCTGCTGACTGCGTCCGCGGACGGCGAGATCAAAAAGTGGAGCCTTGACACTGCAACCTGTCTGGGCACTCTGCCAGGTCTGCTTCACTCCTTTTGAGCTTGTGGCATAAATACGTTGGACGTTGGTGGTCGTGCAGGTGTTTGTTCGTGCCCCCCGTGCTGTGTGGGTGCTGTGTGGGGATCAGAAGAATAAACTCTTGCGTTGCTGCTGCACAGGCCACCCAGGCAGCCGGGTCAAGTCGTTTGCAGTGTCTGGAAATGGGAAAGTGGCGGTCACGGTCCTGTTTGACAGCAGCATCTCGGTGTGGGATCTTGAGGAGAACAAGGTGGGTCACTGGGCATTATCAGATCTGTGCTGCTCCAGCTTGCGCTGCTCTTCCTTTTTATGAAGTGTTCCTTTCTGATTTTGCACTCTTTGCAATTGCTCACAGGGTTCCATACCGCAGGCGTGACTCCTTTCGTGACGTGCCTAATTGTATCATTCTTGTATTTGCCAGGTGAAATTTGCGCTGCAAAAGCGTGGAGAGCGGGACGCATCACGGGTGCACAGCGGCGGTGTCAATGCGGCCCTGGTGACAGCTGACGGCGCTATGGCTGTGACCCTGTCCAAGGACTGCACCGCCCGCGTGTGGGACCTGCGCTCAGGCAGCTGCATGCATGTGCTCGTGGGTGAGTCAGCGCATATGGTGTCTGCCATGCCCTTGTGTACTTTCTTTGAAAGTGCAGCATCCTGTTTTCATCTTGGCAGGGGTGCATCACGTCTACTGCGCTGTTGACTGAGGCTGGGCCTGTGTGTTGTTTAGGGCACACGGATGGATTAGAGACTGCATCTTTGAGCGCTGATGGGCGCACACTGCTGACAGCCGCCTATGACAGGAGCGCGCGAGTGTGGGACCTGAGGTCTGGGAAGTGCACAGCCATACTTGCTCCAGGAGCCCAGGTGCTGCGCGATACCTTGCTTTTCTGAAACCCATTGTGTAGCTGCACCTGTCCATCCTCACATTGTGATCTCCTGCAGAGACCCCGAAGTTCCAATGCATGAAGGTGAGGGTGCTGCGATCACAGGTTGTGCGGTGTGCGGTGTCCCCCATGGGAGACAAGGCAGTGACAGCGACTGAGGACCATCGGCTGCAGACGTGGGAGCTGCCCTCCGGCCAACAACTCCATGACGTGGCGGTAAGCTTGGATTGGACATAGGCCATTTTGTGCACTTCTCGCCCATTAAAAGCCTCCAGCAATCAAACACCCGATGGTGCACATAAGGGAGGCACATGATCTTGATTTGTGCTTATCGCAGGGGCACACGGATGACATCACGTGCGTCACATTCTCCCCGGACTCCACACTGCTAGCCACCACCTCGCGTGACTGCAGCCTCAGAGTCTGGCAAGTTGACTCAGGTGAGTGCATGCAACCGTTTACCTTCTTGCAGTGTGAAAATCAGCTCTAGGGCAGCAGCCATCAATGCATGCCGGCAAAGAACAGGACATGCAGCAGAGAAAGGACGTGTGCAGACCAGGAGAAGTGTGGCGTAATTGCCGCAAGATGGTGGTGACTCACGTGTGCAGGTCTTTTGCCAGGAAGGAGTTGGTTAGGCAAGAGACTGGCGGATGTTGTGCTGACATTGCTGGTTTCTTCTGTGCAGGCTCTGTGGACGGCCTTTTCATGGCAGACACTGGGCTCACCTGCTGCAGCTTTGCCGGCACACCTGCGCCCGACACTCTGGTGGTGGGCAGCGAGAGCGGTGTTGTGCATTTCCTGGAGCTGCCTATGTAGGCTCCTCTGCTCGCCGTCGGCTCCTCAGAGACAGACGAGCAAACATTAAAAATCAGCCTTCCGATGACGTATGCATGTTTCCTGGTGGATAGAGATTCTCTGCATAAATTACCGTTCTGCAGATCTGTTGCATGCAGAGCAGGAGGCTTTGAGAAATGAAGTGCATGTGTTGAGGGGAAACGTTGATATTGACGCTGTATGAGAGGATTGAAGATCTTTGTATTGCATGTTGGGAAGGCTTGGCAGTGAGTGCCTCGATGAATGTGGGAACTTTGGCCAAAAGGTGGAGGAATCTACAGTGATGGGCCGGGGAGACTTGCTGATCACTGAGACTGTGTCAAGATGAGGGTGACACTGAGGACATTGGAGGGGGGACAATTATGTGTTGACCACCCATCAAGCGCGTTAACTGCAGAACAACTTAGAGATTGAAAGGAACGAAGTGAGATTTTTTGTTATTCTTCTTGAATTCCTTACTTGAAGCTGAGCCCAATTGGGGGTGTCTCCTAAGAGCCTAGGCCTATCAGCCACTCTTGTGACAAGCTTGTGGGCTGGAGACAGCCTGCTGGCAGGTGCCTATATTGGAGTATTGAGGTGTATCTCATCTTGTGACCAAGTCACAAATACAGGATGATCGTGAGATTTGCGTTGATCTAGACAGTTCTTTATGCCTCAAATCGGCTGCAGGTTTACTTTTAAATGCAGGGCTCAAGACAGGGTCTTCAATATAGAATTCTGTGTTGTTCTTCCTGTATCTGGTGGGTAATCTATACTGTCTGGATACGAGTAATGGTAGGGCTTAAGCTTGCATGCGCTGCATGATGCTGTGTGTTGATTTTCGCTGCGAAAGGGAGCTCAAGACTGAAAGCTCGATTAGTGATCACCTATGACAGCACATGATTTTTTTTGTGATGCTATCGTACATCGTTTAAAGCCTTGACATTGAAGGGGAGATGTGCATAGGTATCTAGTCCTTTGCACAGTGTGCTGCCTGGCGGCCAGCCTGGTTGAGTAACTAGAATATCCTAGTGCTTATGCTGTACAACTCTGTAATAATAGCTGTTTAAAGCCTTCCATGTTGCTGATCAAGAGTTGCATGAGTGACCCTCTGAGGATTCTCAAAGCTTGCCGACTTCAAGTCAAGTTGAAGTGCCACTGGCAGCGCTGACCGGACGGTCTATAGATAGCTATCTATATGTTGCATGCATCCTCGAGTCCTTTGCAGTGCACTGACCTGTGTAATACTTAAGGCAGCCTTTACACGCACAAATACATATCGCTTGCATGGGCCCCTTGAGGACAGATGGCCTGTCAGATTAAGACGTGGAAAATGCTAGAACCTCGAGGGTGGAATCCTGGGGTTGCCCTAGCCGGTCAAGGGTTAGGGCACATGTGCATCTCGCCCGACTTGCAATTTTCCTCGAGATATTTGGACTGTTTTCTTGTCTGTAATCTTGGCCATGTTGCCGTCTTGTGGCCGCCCTGGTGCAGCCACCATGGCTTCTGGCACAAGTGCTTTCTTGGGAACACCGTCTGCAGTAGCCCCATTCCAACGACGGCCCTGCCCGCCTCTGGGCCGACGTATGAACACAAAAGCAATCTTGGAGAAAGTTAAAGAGGCAGTGTCGCCTTCAAATGGCGTACCTCTTGACTGGAAGCCCAAAACGGATACAGCAAGTATCGAGGCTGATGTGCTTCAGAACTTGGGTATGCCCAACAACTAATATTCAGAAATGAGCATGCCGAATGGTTTGTCCAATCCATTGCATTGAATAGGAGGCGACATCGGAAAAGAAGAATGGGTGTATAATGCGATTTCCATTCCCAGTTGTTTGCTTCGCAGAGTTCACGGTTGGTGCTCCATCAAGTAAGATCCCGAACGACTTGGACGCCAAAACGGTATATCGCGGTGTGGCTGCGAGTGTGAGGGAACACCTCATCGACGCTTTCAACCGCACCCAGGACTATTGGAGGTAGGCCGTTCATGCTTGGGTTAGAAACGCGCGCCCCCGATGCACAGTTGTCGCAATATTTTTCCATTACAATCTTGCATCCAAAAGTTGGTCTTTGGGAAGACAAGAAGGTAGATGTGCAGACCATAACGTCGAATCGTTGAGTGTGATCGTGGTCTGGATGGGGTGCAGCCAGAGTGCCCTAGAGACATGGGTTTCATGACCCACAGCATACTTCTTCTCATCTCTCTGGCTTCTGCAGGATTAAGCGAAGATCCTATTTTTTTGCTTTTGCTGCAAGGAATGGTGTGATCGAGAGGGCCTGGTATACTGAAGCTCACACAGTTCTTGCCTTGCTGTATGTCGATGGGAAATAAGCGTGTCCATTCTCACACCCCTGAGTGATGCGACCCTATCAGCAGATCACAGACCACCTAGGTGGCCTGCTTTGCCCTTGCATCAAATCGGCAATTCCTTCATGGCTGCAGCAAGGAGGACCCCAAGTTCATCTACTACCTGAGCGCCGAGTTCCTGATGGGCCGCTCGCTGCTGAACGCGGTGATGAACCTGGAGCTGAAGGGGGTCTACAGCGAGGCCCTCCAGAAGCTGGGCTACGACATGGAGGCCCTGGTGGATGCAGAGCAGAACGCCGCTCTCGGCAACGGCGGCCTGGGCCGGCTGGCCGCCTGCTTCATCGATTCCATGGCCACCCTCGACCTGCCCGGCTGGGGCTACGGCATCCGCTACAAGTATGGCATGTTTAAGCAGGTCAGTCCCCGCATGATCTGTTGCATGCCACCCCTCCCATGATCCGTTGCACTGTTGCATGCCACCAGAGACCCATCCAGATGGGGGGCCAAGATGCCTAGCTTCTGCCTCGCGCTCCGTTCTCTTGAATTGTTATAAGAGTTGCAGCATGGGGCAGCCATGCAATTTGCATTCAGATTTATGCAGGGAAGGTCTAGCACGAGAATAAGTTATCAAGGAAGGTCTTTGTTGGGTGCAACAGGCCATCGATGACAAGGGGTACCAGATGGAGCTGCCGGACATCTGGCTGACCAACGGCAACCCCTGGGAGATTGCGCGCCCGGAGATTACCTACAAGATCGGCTTCTACGGCACTGTGGACAACTTCAAGTGGTCGCCCGCCGAGCAGGTGACCCTGCCGCGCTCCCATTCGAAGCAGCCTGACAGACCTCCCAAGCTTTCACTCACTTTACTTTCTTGTCACGCTAAAGCCCTAGCAAAGTCGAAACAGAGCATCCTGGGAAGACCCAAAACAGGGCACGTGTGCAACCCCTCAGCTGGTCTCCAAGAGTCTTGTCAAAGTAATCTGTAGGGTCCAGAGACTGGTGTTGGTAGGAATGCATGCGCTGAGGTGTGTGGCGTGCGCGTCAGGTGATCGCCAAGGCGTACGACAACCCCATCCCGGGCTACAAGACCAGCACGGTCGGCAACCTGCGCCTGTGGGAGGCGCTGCCGCTCAACGAGTTTGACCTGGACGCCTTCAACAGGGGCGAGTACGACAAGGTGCGCGCACCCCTGCACCACCCTCTCAGATGCATCCTAAATGTTGTATCCTGGCTACATGACTGAGAATTTGCACCGGGTCATGCTGCGGATGGCTGCCAGCTCTGTCAAATCGACTCCCTCCGAAATTGCTCCATTGCATCTGACGCACACACCTTCACCTTCCTGCTGCCTGGACCACTTCGCTGCCTGGGGAACTTCATGGAAGATTAGAACTCTCCGAGTGGTGAGTTCTGGGAGCTGGACTGAGGCAGTGGGCGCACTGCAGGCGGTGGAGGACAGGCGGAAGGCGGAGGACATCAGCGCAGTGCTGTACCCCAACGACGCCACCGAGTACGGCAAGGAGCTGCGCCTCAAGCAGCAGTTCTTCTTCGTCTCCGCCTCCATCCAGGTGCCCTGCCACAGCCCTCAACTTATCTCCGTTGGAAATAAGGGCGTTCACATTGTAGCACATTGTCTGGTTGGCGCTGTGCTGTTATATTTGCCATTTGGCTGGTTGGTCCAAGGAATACGGTGCCATTTGTATTGCGCTGCGGAGGCCATTCCTGGGTGTCTGAAACTGATGGGGCACAGCAAGGCTGCCAGTGTTTCAGGTCATGTCGGCGTGGCTGAGTCAAATGGGCGCCAGTGCTTCTGGCTGTGCTGAGAGCCGGCCGGGGTGGGCGTGCAGGATGTGCTGGCGCGGTTCAAGGAGAAGCATGCAGGCGACTGGGGGCTGCTGCCGCAGAAGGCGATCTTCCAGATGAACGACACGCACCCGACCATCGCCGTGGCCGAGCTCATGCGCCTGCTCATCGACCAGGAGGGCCTCGACTGGGACACCGCCTGGGACATCACCAAGCAGGTGCCCTTACCCCCCACTCCACCCCTGCAGCCGCGCACAATACCTAATCGGCGCACTGTGCCAAGCCACCTCTGCATGGGGGCACTTGATAGACTCACTGAAAAGCCTGTCTGTCCGGTGAAAGGCCTTCTTTGTTGAGCCTGGGAATGGCAGTCAGGACAAGGAAGTGCCTGACAATATGGACTTGAATATCTGAGCAAGAGTATGCATTGCTGGATGGGGGTGGAAGCATGAAGGCTGAACGTGGGTGGTGTTGTGGCGCAGACGCTGGCGTTCACAAACCACACAGTGATGCCGGAGGCTCTTGAGAAGTGGCCGGTAGCGGTGCTGGGCAAGCTGCTGCCGCGACACCTGGAGATCATTGACAAGGTCGACACCATCTGGAAGGACTCCCTCAAGGTGCTGCCCTGACTGCTTGCCCTGGATCCTCAGTCCTTGTTGTATTCCCTGCCGACCTGCACGCATGGAGCGTTGCATGTTTCTCCTTCAGACAGTGGTCGCAGTGGCACTTCCTCCCTTCACTGGCTCTCGCTCTGTCTTCATGTCTGCATTCATTCTTAACTTGATGGCAGTGCCCAGAATTTGCAAGAAATAATGTGGGATGTGTGCAATGCGCAGGAGTATGTCCTGGGCCAGATTGAGAAGGAGGCAAAGGCTGCACCGCCCAAGCCAGAGAAGCCGGCCCCCAAGGCCACCAAGGAGGGCGAGGTAGAGGAGGAAGAGGAGGAGGAGGAGGACCCGGTGGAGACTGCCCTGTCAAAATATGGCATCATCACCGAGAACCCCTGGCAGAAGGATGTCAAGTGAGGACCCCTGTCTTGTCGCTTCTTGTCTCTGCCCTGATCGTGCATTGCCGGGATCCTGCTCTAATGTCAGCCACTGTCCCCAGCGCCCAACAGAACTCGCAAGCTGAGGGGGTTGCCGTTGTGGCGCAGGTTAATTAACATGGCTTTCCTGGCGGTGGTGGGCAGCAAGGCCGTCAACGGTGTCGCAGCCATCCACTCCGAGATCATCAAGGACACCATCTTCAAGGTGCCCTGCAAGCCCACCCTGCCCAATCTCTCCAGCATTTCTAGGGCAAAGCCTGCCTGCTTTGCCATGCGCGACCTGCTCTTTTGTCGTGGGTTTCGTGGGTATCTTTACTGACCTGTCCTGCGACGCTTTCCAATATGCATGCAAACCACATGCTCTCGAGCAGTGTGTGAATGCCCTCCCGACACGCACTCAAATATGCGCTGCTCTTAATATCTTTGCTGAGTCAACCCTGGTAAAATTGAGGCGCTGGGGCCTGTGCTGCGCAGGACTTTTACGAGATCATGCCGGAGAAGTTCCAGAACAAGACGAATGGCGTGACCCCCCGGAGGTGGCTGGCCTGGTGCAACCCCAAGCTGGCGGCGCTGATCACTGAGACACTGGGCACGGACGCGTGGATCAACGAGACCACGCTGCTGGCCGGCCTGCGCCAGTACGCCGACGACAAGGCCTTCCAGGCCAAGTGGCGCTCCGTCAAGCACGCCGCCAAGGAGAAGCTGTCCGCCAAGATCAAGGTGCTGCCCGTGCGCTGCCCTGCACACGAGTCCCTTGCACTCCCATCTGTCTAAACCTCAATCTTGTGCTTCAATGGCAACACCTTCTGATTGTTCTCATGAGACCAGCCAGCAACAAGAGCATGAATTCTCCCTAGGCAGCCAGTTGCGCGGATTTATTGTGTGGACAACCTTTGTTGGGAGCTCGGTCACAGCGAAAAGTTAAATGTTCAAAATTGTTATGTTATTTGGGGATAAAAGTAAGTGGTGCGCGCAGGCGCTGATGGGCGTGGATCTGCCGACGGACCCGCTGTACGACGTGCAGATCAAGCGTATCCACGAGTACAAGCGCCAGTACCTCAACATCCTGTCGCTCATCTACCGCTACCACGCCATCAAGACGGCCTCCCCCGAGGAGAGGGCCAAGATGGTGCCCCGCGTCTCCATCTTTGGCGGCAAGGCCGCGTCCGCCTACTACGCCGCCAAGAAGATCGTGCGCCTCATCAACCGCGTCGGCGCCGTCGTCAACTCCGACCCTGACGTCGGCGACCTCCTCAAGGTGACCCAATCCCGCCCCTTCCACCCCTATAATTATGGGGCTTGAGATCTTAGGAGGAATAAAGTACGCTGTCCATGAAAGAATGATCCCAATCAATTATCTGGCCTCTTATTTCCAGAACCGGAACCAGAACCGGAGGTTCTCACAATGAAATGCTGAGCTTCAGAAGGTCTAATATGGTGGGCAAGAGAGGCTGGGGATGGTGAGGTCCTGGTTATGTTCCTAAGAACAAGGTATGGCGGCTGATGCGGGGGGGTGTGCGCGGCGCAGATTGTGTTTGTGCCGGACTACAACGTAGATCTGGCGGAGGTGCTGATCCCGGGCGCGGAGCTGAGCCAGCACATCAGCACTGCGGGCACGGAGGCGTCGGGCACGTCCAACATGAAGTTTGCCATGAATGGCTGCCTCATCATCGGCACCATGGACGGCGCCAACATTGAGATTGCCCAGGTCTGCACCTGCTATCTCTTGCTCATTCCTTTCAGTCATTTATCACCTCTCCTCACAGCTTCATGCATCAGGTCTGCAGCCATGCAGGCCACTTTGCTCTTCTCAATCTTCACTTCCATGCACAGTGATGCCACTGTAATTTTTCTCATCTACATCGCCTGCCATGCATGATGGAGGCTGCAGAGCACTACGAGTGCTGTGACTTTTTGAGAGCTGCATGTGTCCCTCTGGGCTGCTCTGCATGCATGTTTTCTGGGGAGAAGGAGAGGGGGCGGTGAGGGAAGGCTGGGTTGGTGGTGTGGTGCAGGAGACGGGCAAGGAGAACATGTTTGTGTTTGGCATGGATGCGAAGGATGTGCCGGTGTGGCGCGAGGGCAAGAGGAAGGAGTGGAAGGACTACGATCCGCGCTTCGTCAAGGCCCTGGACCTCATCAAGTCCGGCACCTTCGGCGAGGTCGACTACTTCAAGGTGCGCACACATGCATGGCCAGGCCTGCATCGCGCACAGCTCCCCTGTCTCTCCCTGACTGGATTAGGTGTTCAGAGTGTGCGCGCACCCTGTGCATGGAGAAATCCCAGGCACCCCAGCCTCGTGCACAACCTAACTGATCAAGGCTGCGACAGGCTGAGAGTGGCATGTGCTTGTTGATGGCCATCGTGTGGGCTAGCCCTACATTGTGTATGGATTGTTCTTTTTAACAAAAGAAAACTCAGATGCGGTATCTAACATGTTTCGTGTGGGTGCTGTGCAGGACCTGGTGGAGAGCGTCAGCGTCATGAACGACTCGAACAATGACTGGTTCCTGGTGGCGCCAGACTTCACCGACTACATGCGCGCCCAGGCAAGGCCCATCCTTTACCCTGTAGCAGCCACTCCTGACCTGTGTGGAACATCCTATCAGCCCTTAATTCCAAATCCCACTGCCATTGAGGGGTTTATGGATTGCTGATTGTGTATTCCTCTGCACCCTAAGGCCTCTGGTGATCTGCAAACGGGGCAACCTATCGCATGACATGCCAGGCAGGGATGCTTAGAGAGATGCTGTCCATGGTAAGTTTCAGATGGTGAGGGTGTATTCGTGAAGGGTGTTTGTGGGTGTGTGGTGCAGGATGAGGTGGACAAGCTGTACGCTGACCAGGATGAGTGGACGCGGAGATCCATTCTGTACACGGCGGGCTCCGGCTTCTTCTCCTCAGACCGCACCATCGACCAGTACGCCAAGGAGATCTGGGATGTGGTCCCCTGCAAGCAGCCTTGAAGAGGCTTCTCAGGGAGGCACCACCCCTGTTTTGTACACCCTAGGAACGTGGCAGGAGCCCTGTGGGCCCTCCGCCGCGTTTAACAGTATTTTTTGAAGGTTTTTGTCACATGCTCCGGATGTGCACTGATTCCAAAACGCTACGCAATGTTGAATTTATACTTTAGGCAGGGTTTCAGTGCTGCAGACAACTTGTCGTCCTTCAAGGTGCCGAACCACGATGTTGGGATTTGAAAGCTGACCATGCTTCTCCTCTTCCAAGATTGTAGTGAGGTACAGGAGGGTGCCATAGGTGTAGCTGCATTATGTGGCACCCAAGGATGCTGCAGACTGAGTGTCAGAAGTTCAGGAAATTGTGGGGATTGCAGAACATGCTCGGTACACAATGACCGTCTGCATGTTGCAGTCTCTGCTCTGTACACATGTGTACACACTGCAGAAATGTTCTATTGCACAGGGCTGCGTCTAGCATGTGTTGGTAAACAGAAAATGTCATCCTGAGGACGATAGACATGTCCTGATCACGAATTCTGGATTCTCAAAAATGGATGTCTCTGGGCGTTGGGAATGATAACTTTTCTGTCTTTTTCAAAGTGGAATGAGGGTCATTGGAATCATGGCAGCTGCTGCCTCACACTGACTCCTCAAGAATATGATCAAATGATCGCCGGTGGCCATCAAGGGGGCGGCGCGCCGATCGCTGACGGCCGGCGCACTTGCCCGTGCATCAGGACCGTCCTGTGACGTGACGTGACGTCCCGGGTCGACCCGGCCACCTGCGGCAGTGACCATGGCATGCACATAGCATGCATGCGTCGTGCACTAGTAAACAAGCCACCACCATTTTATAGTCTTCAAGTTTCTGTCTTCAAAAAGGAAAACCATCATAATTGGGTGAATCTCTTGGGCATCTCGGAAGGCAGGCTCCAATATTCACAAGCTTTCGGAGCACCGACATGAAGCACAAGAACGAGGCACTTGCAGATCACTGAAGTGTATTAGCTTCAATGCTCGAATGTTCCTATTCAAACAAAATAGGTACAGCAGTCATACTGAATTGAATCTGGATCTTGGGCTCAGATCTCTCTTCGCATGCTCTGCAGCATCCATCGCTTTCTGTTGTCTTCAAGACTGCGATCTTCATATTGTCCGAAGGTTGTTGTATATCACCGACAAAGGCAGAGTCTGAGAAGAGTGACGCCTGACTTCAGACGATTATCTTGTATGGCTCAGTTGCCATTGGCACACCCACCCGTCCTGCAGCGCGATCTCTTCAGCGAGACTCTACATCTGAAGGCTCTGAGAGTTCCAAAGAAGGAGTGCCAGGCTTACATGAAGCTGCTCAACGGGTGGGATGCAGCCCCTCCTATAAGCACTGTGGGGCGTCCTGCTTCACTTGCAGCCTTTGATAAAACTGCATACACTGCACCAGAGCTTCGATAACTCATAAGTTTCCCTCGCTTGAGATGCAGGTACACCTTTGACAAACCCAGGCTGCGCTGCATTTTGCCAGAGGCTGACAGGCCTGACACGCGGCTCCTGCTCCTTGCAGAGAAGGTCCAAGACCAAGGTGTGCGGCGCTTTGCGCCACCGTGGTACCTCTGTTTCGAGTATAGAAGCCATGCTGTGATTAACCAGTGTGTATTCAGCATTGTCAATCATCTGTCAGTGAAGCTGAAGGTTGCAATGCAGAGCTGACAGAGGTAAGGGGCGATGTTCGGGAGAAGGTGATGCAAAGCAATGTTGAGATTGTTACCTATGATCTGACGCTGAACTACAGCTACTGGTCTGCTGAGCATGTACTCAAGGTGATCACACCTTTTCAAACCTTGAAAATATCATCCTCACCGTTCAGCAAACGCCGCATGCATGCTCATTCAAGCACGCACGTTTTTTACCAGTTACACTTCTGCATGCAGAGATTGCTTCCTGAAGGATGTGAGGTGCCAACCTCATTTGAGAGCGTGGGCCATATTGCCCACATGAACTTGCGGGATGAGCTGCTGCCCTTCAAAAACGTCATAGGACAGGTCCTTCTGGACAAAAATCCCTCAATCAGGACCATCGTCAACAAGGTGAGACATTGCCCTTCACCAGGATATTCGTCAGGGATGTACATGAGCTGGTACACGCAAGGAAACAATCTAAGGATGCGGCTAACGAATTGCAGGTTGGGACAATAGAGAACGAATACAGGGTGTTTCGAATGGAGGTGATTGCCGGAGACAGCGACCTGGACACTGAAGTGAAGCAGCACAAGGCACGCTTCCGGCTGAACTATGGAGAAGGTGAGAGCGTAGACTTATGATGCATGCCGGTGCAAGCTAGCAAGTCACGACTGTCTCGCTTTATGTGTCTTGGGGCCTGCGCCTCTCACTCTGACATCCGCAGTAGGACTTGAATCTGACTCAAGTGTTGTGCCATGCAGTTTACTGGAACTCGCGGCTGGAGCAGGAGCACAAGCGGCTGGTGGACACTTTCAGGCCGGGCCAGGTGGTGGTTGACATGATGGCAGGCATTGGGCCCTTCGCCGTCCCTGCTGCTCAGAAGGGATGCAAGGTGAGCATGTGCACCCTCATTTATAACTGGACCGTATTTTCCAGTATGCAGCCCTCACTGTACCAGCGTCTCTATAAATGCATTGAGGCGATAGGTGTGTGGCTTCTGTATGCAGGTATATGCAAATGATCTCAATCCTAGGAGCTATCACTACATGACAGTGAACACCAAGCTCAACAAGGTGAGCTGTCTGGTACATCCCAGCTCTGCATGGTGACTCTCCTGATGGTGAATTGGGATGATCACTGACACGCGTTGAAACCGAATCCTGCCAGCCATGTATGGAAAGGTCTTCCAGCAGCATGAATGCACATTGCTTCAGGTGGAAAATCTTGTGAAAGCCAGCTGCATGGATGCAAGGGAGTTTGTGCGATCGCTATGCAACCCTGACCACAGCACTGCTAGAGACGGTCAGGTAAGCGAGATATGAATTTTTTTGTTTGGCAGTATGCCCCCTAACCTGAGAAGTAGCTTAAGTCGCAAAACTCAAATGCATGCAGGATGCTGCTGAGGCTCCTGTAGAGGGATTGAGCGTGCCAGAGGGTGGCCTTATTTTCCATCACGCCATCTTGAATCTGCCAGCCACCGCTGTAGAATTCCTGGATGTGTTCAACGGATGCTTCAATCAGCAGCGATGGAAGGATGTGCCTCTCCCACATGTTCACTGCTATACATTTGCAAAGAATGAAGAGACTGATGCAGGTAATGCTCCTTCTCTGCTCTTGCACCTTGCACTGGCTGTCCTTTTCATGTGCGCCTGCATCTGCTGATAAAATGCATACCATGGACACTCAGTCCTTGAGGGTATTTTTTGCAATTTTTATCGGAGCTGGATGTCTGTGCTTACTAACAGCTGCTGGTTGTGTGGCAGATATCAAAGCAAGGGCAGAGACAGCGCTGGGAGGTGCCCTCACCAGTGGTTGCCAGGTGCACCTGGTGCGTGATGTGGCACCCAACAAGCGCATGTTCTGCCTGTCCTTTCAGGTACCAGAAGCAATCGCTTTTGGCCAAGGGGATCCCACAGCAGCAGCAGCTACCGAAGTTGATGACAACATCAGCAACGGTGTGAATGGGCATCACAACAAAAAGCAGAAAACTGCAGAGGTCTGCTGAGAGCGATTCAATGTGAGCGGCGCTCATGAAGGCGCTCTGATCAAGCTGAGGCATGGCATCAGAAGAACTGATTCTTCTACATGTCTTCAGCATTGTGTGACCTGCAAATGTGGACTCTGGACATTTGGGACTGCAAATTGGCTAATAAGTCTCGAGTAAGCATGCATGCTGGCACAAGTCCAAAATTGGCCAATGGATGCACAAGAGACTTGGAACCTACACAGCGTCAAGGAAGAGCACTTGGTGACCAGATCTTTATCAACACAACACATTGCTTGATATAACATTGGTCAACTCTTGGGTAACGCACTTCCAGCCTTTGGGAATAAATTCTCATCGTCAGATCAAGCTAGTGAACGTGAACTTCTCGCGAGCAATCTGAGCAGGGACTGCCCATAATAATCAAAAATATTGAGCGTGAAACGCTGACTTATTTTTGCAACAATAGAAACGCTACTCGGAGACTTTGAGCACTGCTCCATGGGAGACGGCGATGCTGCTCCTTCACCTGAAGGACAGGCCAGAAGTGATGACAGGACGCCCTTGCATCTACGGTAATGAATAATTCCAATCTGACTACTCCACTCATATATAAGAGAAGGTGCACTATGCAAAAAAAATGAGGTGATCTGAGGGAGAGGCGTGGACAGAGCTGCAAATTTAGCATTCGCCATAGTATGAGCGCTTAATGATATCTGTATTGAATTTTTTGAAGCACTCATGCCTGTATCATTCCCCAGCTCGGGAACTTCTGGAACTGTCATGTTCAATGCATTGCTTGAGGGCTAGTGTTTGCAGGACATTGACTTGCGAGCGTGGACCCCTCAACCGAGCAGATGGTTCAGCACGGTGGGTCCAGGGAGGCACAAGCATCCTCGCTTCAGTGTATGGGCCTCACTCAACAGCAGCCAGGAAAGAAGACCCAGAAAAGGCTGTTGTTGAGGTGCTCTTCAAGCAGCAGACCCGATCTATAGGTGAGCACACTGCAACTGTTAGCTTACACTGATTTCTCTAAGGCAAGGAGACACACTGTTATGGCATTTCCATTGGCACCTAATGCTCATTCTGCCCGTGGTATTGGCAATCATGATGCAGCTCTTGACCTTGATATGCAGGTTCTGAGCGTGAGCGGCAGTATGAACAGATGATCAGGGGGACAGTGGAAGGCGTGCTGCAAGCAGCGCAGAACCCACGCACAGCCATCAGCATCACTCTCCAAATCATGTCAGATGATGGCGCCGTGCTGGCATGCGCCCTCAACGCCGCCTGCACAGCTCTTGTCGATGCAGCAGTGCCTCTGACCAGCACATTCGGTAAGCACTCAAAACTGTCTCTGCCGTTGCATGCAATCCCGTAGTCCTGTGTGCTCGAATAGTATTTGTGTTGTGGGATGCGCAATTTTTTTTCTCAGGTTGGATGCAGCTCGTATCGATAGTAAGCACCAACACCTTGTTAAGTGTTTGTATGGTCTGCAGTCGCTGCATCTGTGGCTTTGGAGCATGATGGGGGCCTGCTCCTTGATCCCACCAAAGAAGAAGAGCAGGCATGTCTTGCACTTCTACACTGGACATCTTACTGACCGCTGGACATTGATCATGTCATCAGAATACCGTATCTCTTTTTCAGTAGCTCATGAGTCAAAGAGGTGAAGGGGCCTGATTTGACCATGCTGACATGCAGGCGGCGCAGGCAACGGGGTGCTTTGCATTCACTGCCAGTGTAGTGGAGCCAGGGGAGCAGAGCCCAAAAGTGGGCAGTGGGGTGTTGACTTGCTTCAGCACAGGGCTGATGAAGACGAACCAGTACCTCAGCATGATGGACCTGGCGAGCAAGGGGTGTGAAAGAATAGGCGCTTTTGCACATCTCAGCTTACAGAAGGCCTTTGAGAGCAGAGAATGAACATATCCTATGAAGGCCTATATGTTGCAAGGCACAAGCTGAGTTTTTCCATCGTAAAGGCAAGTCCCAATGTTGTATTCAGTCTTGCTGGCCAGGCCTATCGTTCTTCTCCTGTACTTTGATATTTCTGCAGCTCTTGGAGCCTTGCAATTGCTGCAGAGACATTGCAAAAGTTGTTCAATATGGGGAATCCTGATACTCTCAACCTCAACAAAAGCTGGTCTGTCTGACTTAGACCTGAATCAGCACATTGCTGAAGTGCTGCTTGCACTCTGGAGGCCATTGCTCCGATGTCCAAGTCCACATGGCAGGCTGATGACGCATTGCTAACAGCATCAAGAACCTCACTTGATGACAAGCGAGTCTCCAAATTAGCTTGCTCTAGATGCTGACGCACTGCTTCTGAGAGCGTTGCAGTGTCATTTTGCAGTTTCTGAATGAACATTTGCATGGTCGTCTCCACAAATGGAGCATATCTGTCATCATTTGAAGGCCTGCATGCAAGTCGCCAGCCGCTTCTTCATCAGCTTCATTAGATTTCATAAACTACCTCCCACAGGTGAATTTTGTGACGGCCTTTTTCAAAACAACAGAGCTTCACTTGGCATCAAGTGTGGCCTTCACCTGTCCGACAAGCCCACAATGTCCGAAAAATTTCTGCCTCTCCCATCTGGCATGATGGTGGCAATCTCAATAGGTGAACATTTCGGTAGCAACAAATCTAGGATCTCCTTCATTTGATCCTTGGCAGTCATCAGCCCTGTTCCACACCTCTCTGCAAGCCAAAATCCCTTAGTTAAGTTTAGGGCATGCAAACTTCCTGGAGTCCAATGGCAGATGTACGTTTCAGTCTTCTCAACCAGCAATGTCAGACCATCCACAATATGTCATGCAGCACAAATATTACTCACCAACGGCCAGCTGGAAATCGAGAAGAGACTGCAAAAGTGAGCGGGACTGCAGAAGAGCGCTCTCATGCATTTTCCCGGTCAGTATGTACAAGAATTGAGCCGCTTCAAAAGAGCTACCAGACAGTTGCTGAGCCGCGTGAACCAAACTGTACCCTGCCTGCATACACACTTCGCTACTTTTTGCAACTATTCATGGAAAGACTGCGGTTTGCAAAATGTAAACAGACGGATAATGTCAGGAAAAAAGGGGTTAATACCTGAGCAGCACGTGCATGGTGTGAGCTGAGGATAGAGGCTGGAATTGCAGCTGGTGTGCTGCCCTCTCCAGCCGTTGCACTTTGGCTGAGTTGCTCCTGCTCTGCTGAACTCCAGAATTTCTGGTGGAGGAAGGCCTGCAGGCTGATCAGCGCGCCCTGCCTGCCCTCAAGATCAGCCTTGGCTGACCAGATGCTGCTGATCTGTGACAGGAAGTCCTCCCTGCTGATGTCATGCAGTGCAAGGTTCCCAGCCCACCGCAGGAACCTTGGCACGTGCGCATGCAAGCCAAGCCCGCTGACGTAGCTGCACATGGGAGTCACAGCCACACGCAGAGTTATGGGACCTGCTACCGGTATGTCAGGCAGCAGCAGCGCAGCTGCCACCCCCAGCTGCGCCTCGCAGGCGCGCAGCTGCGCGGCAGCTTCATGCCTCTGCTCCGCGAGCTGCGCCGAGTGCCGCTCGGCCAGCGCATCCGCCTGCTTCCTGGCAGCTTCCAGCCTGTCGAGGGCGGCTTGCAGCTGCGAGCCCAGGCTCTTTATCTGCTCCCGAGCGGCCTCGGCTTCCGCAGCTGCTGAGGATTGCATGGCTGCGATCCGGGCCTCCAGTTCTGCGATCTGCTGCTCGGAGGAGGCTGCCTGCTGCTCCAGCTTGGTGCGGGTGAGGCTGAACAGGGCGCGCAGGGCGTTGTCCTCGTTGCGCAGCTTCAGGAGGTCCCTGCGTGATGCCTTCATCTCCTCCTTAGCAGCAGCCGCCTCAACCTGAAAAAACAGGCGCGATTCAGCAATAAATAGTCGATTGACAAGCAAGGCGTGTCTAATTGTTTGTAGGTAAATACTTCAAGTAAGGTCTGCCCAAATCTTGTGGGGCTTGCGGGTGTCAAGCAACCGATCAGTGATGGCAGCGGCATGATGCTGTCTCAAACCTGTGCATCCTTGGCAGCCTGCGCTGCTGAGCTGGCTCGTGCCGCCGCAGCACTCTCATCCTTGCGCATCTGCTCAATCTGAATCTCTGCCTCCTCCACCTTCGCCTCAACTGTTTCATTTTCCGCCTGAACGCCAGTCCTTCCCGCGCTCAGACACACAGCAACACATTGACCTCGCGCTTAAAAAGCAACACACGTGCGGATAACATCACATACCTTGCTCTTCTGCATTGCCGCGCGGAGCCCTTCTGCCTCACGCAGCAGGTGCTCTTTCTCGGTCTCCAGGCGATGCACCACGGCAAAGTAGGGCAGCTGCTTGAGCTGCAGGGAGCCGTCGTCTGATGTGTAGTAGCCGCTGAACACTGCACGGGCCAGCTCTGCGCGTATGCTCTCCAGCGGCCGTGCAAACTGCCGGCATGCTGCCCCAAGCTCCCCCAACAACTGCAATCCATCATGGCTGCATTTTCTCTTGGCTGAGCATCTCATAACCTTTTGGTCTGAAGATCCCAAGGCTGTATGCATGCTTGAGACCTCGCGAAGGCACACTACAGAAGGACTACAGAAGGTCACTTAAATTCTATTGATCCCTTATAAAATCTGATGTTCTGATACCGTTGCAGAACTGTTGATTAGGTGGGGAGTGTCAGCGTGCCTTGCAACTGATGGCTGTCCTCAGTGCATCAGGGCGAAGCTCTCCAGCTTCATCTTGTTCCCTGGGGCCGGCCAAACGGTCACACTCACTGAAAGCTTCAGCCGCACGCACTTCGAATGCTATCGCAAGGGACTTGAAATTCTGTGTGCTTGTACTCCCAAGGGCTTCTGCAGCCTGCTTCTCCCAACTCCTTGCTGAGATTGCGCGCTGTGAGCCACTGTCCCACGAAAAATGGCTCACACAATTGAGATTCTGGAACCATCAGATTCACAGGAAAAGCAGTGTGTGTTATCATGTCCTCTTCTAAATTGTCAAAAACTTGCCCCACTCAAATGAAAAGGGCACACAGCCTTGGACTCACTCGTGCGAAGGCGAAGCAAAGTCGGGATCGTTAAATTCTTGGAGATGAGATTCCAACGCTTCAAGCTTGAACATCAGGAGTAGCTGTGGAAGGAATAAGCACAAAAGCTGCGAGGACAGGTTTCGAAACGACGAACGTGCCCTTAAATAAAAGCAACAAAATCGAAGAGAAAAGGCTCCAGAATTTGAAGTTCTTTTGTAAAGCTCAGCAAAGGATCAACAGAAGAGCATGCAAGTAAGCCGATTGTCCTGGGCCAACGAGAAGACGAGTCGTCCGCATTGTTCCGACACTGGGAGATCATGGTCTGCCATTCCAAGGTTGATCCCTTCACCCATGCAGACTTCTTCTTTTCACACATCTTCGTGCTGATGATGTCCGATGTTTAGAGTAAAAGGAATGCAGAAAGTAGGGCAGACTGAGCGGCAGAAGATGTCCAATGTTTGCAGTTACAGCATGATGCAAAGTGCAAGATGGCAGCGCTGCCAGCAAGTCAGTGACCAGCAATCCATATCTGAGAAAAGGTGCCGGCACGGTGACAGTGATTGTCATGATGATGTCTGATGATGAAGATTGTTATGGCTAAGTCTGTGCAAACATACAGTATGTGAACAAAGAGCAGGACTGCTGGCAGCTGACAGCTCGGTAGGATGCAATCGAGTTGCTCCTGCTATTTCCCAACTCCTGGCAAACATTGTATGACTTCCCTCCTGGTTCACATCGATAAAATTATTCATGCATTATCAATTTGATCAAAGCACACTCATCTGCAGTACCTTGATGCTCCAAGAATGGGATGCAGTTCCTCCAATTTCAAGTTCATTGTTTCTGTGAGTTCCTTAGGAGTCCACTGATGGAAGTCAGTATTCTGGATATGGTTCCTGGTCTCATGCATTATGTGCTGCGTCACAATACTTGCTCCTTGTGGCGAGCCAAAAGATTCAACCGAATTCTCTGTAAATACTGTAATCAAGAGGCGACTCCGGTAGAGCCGTAGCCGCCTGCTCCCCTGAGAGTGGCATCCAGGTCTTCCACTTCCTCCACCTCTGGTGTCATGATGCGCTCCAAGATCAGCTGTGCTACGCGGTCCCCCTTCTTCACTGCACAGAACACCCAACCCAACCCTCAGCAGTCAAACACTTGCAAAGAAATATCGGGTCTTCAGCACGTTTGCCTGAGCCCAAAAGTGTCCAAGCAACAACATTAAAAATTTTACATGTCTTACTCAACTGCATGGTATAAAAGGTTGTCATTAGTCCGCCCAATCTAGAGGCGCCAGCGAAAGTGGGCCCAATTGCCTCAGATGCTCACCTGAGAAGTCTGCATCGCCGTGGTTGAACAGCACCACTCCAACCTCCCCCCTGTAGTCCTCATCCACGACCCCAGCGCCTGTGTCGATGAAATGCTTGACTGCGAGGCCTGAGCGGGGCGCCACCCTGGCATAGGTACCTGCAGGAATGGCTATGGACAGGCCAGTCTTGACGACAGCCTTGCCATGCGCTGGTACAGTGCAGTCATACGCACTGCAAGGTGCACAAACATGTGTATCAGTGTCACATCCAAACCTGCATGTATACTACCCTGCAGGCATGCCCTAGGATGTCTCAGAAGATGCTGTTGATCAGGAAAAGAAAAAGATCGCCACCTTTTCCACTGAGCTTCACAGGACAAGCAAAGTTTTAGAGTTGAGGGGTAATTCTGATCCTGGATCGTCCCTCATCCCCGATCCTCTATATTTTAATTAGGTGTAATAGTTTTGGGATATCACCTGGCCAAGTCATAGCCGGCAGCGCGCTCAGAACCCCTCTTCGGCAGTGTTGCATCAGGAGTCAGCTTCTTCACACGAAGAGTGCTGATCGCCGCTGCAGTAACGGCAGTAGGAGGAGCAGAAATTTTGGCTTTCTTTGCAGGTGATGAGGGGGTGTTCTCGATGTTCGTCAACACGTGGCTTGCAGCATCAATCATCCTGTTGCTAAACAACCTGGCCCTTGGGGCAAGAAGCGCGCGACCCCAGATCTGCTTGTAAGGGGCAAAAAAAGCCGTGATTGCAACTTTTGCTTCCTCACTTTGTTGAGTTTGCGCTTCCCTCCCAATCACTGTCTTTGCAAGCTGCATGCTGCGCCTGCTGAGCCACGTCACGTCCTGTCCGAATCGGACCGCACGTCCTTCAAGCGATTAATGGCCATATCCTGTGATTGACTTCATTGTGTGTAAGGAAGTATCTCATGATTGACAATCTGCGGGCCATGTTGCTGCAAGCTAAGATTCTTCTGTCCATGGCCTGGTCCGTATGGCATGTGGCATGATCTACCTTCTCATGGAGTGGCAAATAGTGTCGGTGCATCAATTAACGTGACTATGAACAGAAAGATGCAGATGTATCCATAGACATGTCCTAATCATAGGCAGATGTTAAGGGTGTCGTGGGCATCCCGGTTGTTGTGGGCTCCCTTTGAGTCTAATGTCTTTTTGCGACGACAGAGGCGCTCTTTATCATCCATATCAGGAGTATGGAATGCTAACACCGCACGCCCAGGTCCAGGATTCCTTCTTACAAAGCAAAACTGTCTCTTGGGCACAATGCTAGTGAGCATGGCATGGGAGTTTGGGTAATCAAATGCGTGATTGTGTGATATGCTTGTTTTGTAGATGTATTAAATCAAATAAGGTCCGCCACGGTTATGCCATCCTGGCCTGTGACCATCAGTGCCCAGCCGTTCAGTCAGCAGACAGGAGTGAGACCTCGAAAGGAGTTGACAGCTGCTGAACTGAGGCATGCTGCCAAAATGGCGCGTCTCAGCGGGCTCTGCTACCGCCCGACTGAAGAGTTGTCAGAGTCACTGGTTCAGGAAGGCTTGCGCCTTATATCTTGCGGCCAGACGCACTTCACAAGGTCTGGAGTCTTGCAGATCACCATGCAGTGTTTGATGCTCCTTCACTTCATTGACTAGCATTAAAATTACAATTTGACATATTTCTGGGCAGATGGTATGTGGCGGATGGTCCTGCTGTCGATTCAAGCAGTGATGGAGCACTAGCACCAGAGGCCAGTACTTCAGGCAGGGAGGAGCAGGCCAGTTCCAACGGAGCAGCCCACGTGACAGCTGTGGAAGGCACCAGCACAAAGTCCAGAACTCAGCGCATTGTCATGATGCGTGGTGTGGTGAGTGCACGCTCACCCAACCATGCCTCAGGACTGCCTCGTGCGTTGGTCTTGCTTTAAGTCCAGTAGATGGACATTTCCACCCACTGATTCAGCGGGTGTGGTAGGTGTGGCGGACAGCCGAGTTTGACACAAGGCTGTGGCAAGCGATGATGAAGTTTTGGCCAGCCACATTTGAGGGAGGCTTGACTCAGCCCCGCGACATATTGGTTGCCCATGCTGGTGCGCTCACAATGAAAAATTCAATTTGTTGCAAACTGCCCTGGTGAGGATGGCTGGCAATGGCTCTCATTGCTGGTGTTGGCGCAGGCATGGGGGATATGGCACAGCTGCTCTTCACAGAACTGAGACCCTTCCTGTTGGAAGCTAGCACAAGGGGACAACCTGTCACCTTTGGTGAGACATCCCCTCTTCACCTTTGCATAATCTTGTGCGGATGTTTATGGTCAGAATGAAGGTTGAAGCCCGCTTCTTCTTGTACATCCTGCAGGTGGGCATTCCTTGGGTGGAGCGTTTGCCCTGCTGATGGCTTCCATGGCCCGCCTCAGGTTTCAGATGCGCTCTGGCGCGATCAGTTGCTATGCATTCGGCGCACCTCCTGTGTTGTCACTCGCTGAGAAGACAGCCGCAGGGAGTGTCATGGAGGTGAAAATTACTTCCAAACCTTTTCTCTCCTTGAGCCTTCTTCCTGCACAAATACTCGTCTTGCTTTGGTAGGCTTGTTCGTCATGTCTGTGGCTTGGCTTGGCAAGACTCACTTTGCTGGGTGTTGCGAATAGGTCGTGGATTTGCCGACCGGCTCTGTGAAAAGCTTTGTGCTGGACAATGACCCAATCCCTCGAGCTATGCTGTCAGTGGATCCCACCTTTGCCCTGCTCAAGCAGAGCACACCGATGTCATTGCTGCTCGAGGCACGGAGGAGGTTGTTTGGGAGCGGGGCATCGTTCACCCCTGAGCGCTTCTTGTACGAGAATGTTGGAGATGTGAGTGGGCTTGCTGGTTGCTGCTTTTTTGAGCTACGCACTTGCCTTTATCAATCTTCCTGATCATTGAATTTTAAGTATTAGCGCTGACGTGTGTCAAATGGCATGCATGATCCAGGTGTACTTGATACGGTGGACAGCAGAGTCTGGGCAAAGGGTGAGCCCAAGTGGCTTTCTGTGCTGGACTCCTCAGCCTCAAAAGTATGCAACTGTGGAGCGTAATTCGTGCCTTATTTGTGCAGGTGTCTCTGTTGGCGCCTTCTGAGATGGAGGAGCAGCTGAAGCTTGCAGTGGAGGAGTTGATGCGAACTCCAGCAGCCCTCATGCAAGCTCTGTTGGACCACTCGCATGGCAGCTACTCCCAGGAGCTGTATGCAGCCGCGCGCCAGTTGGAACAGCGCTAATGTTGCTTAGCGATGGTTGTGCACAGCAAGAGCTCGTTTCGATGATGGTCACGGGTCTGATTGATATGAAGATCGCACGACAGCTCAATTCTAATTTCAACAGGGCTGGCTGAGTTGAGCATTCACTGCTCGATTTCCCTGAGGCTTCTGTAAGTTTATGTACTACTGTAGAGAATGGGCTGTTTCCACTGCCCTTCTTTTGATCCATGCTTTCTGCTCGAGTGCTGGACTAAAATGTGCACCAGATCTGGCCTTAATTAGACTCCCTCTCAATGCACCGTGCTTATATTAACCATGAACACAACTTCAAGAAGCGCCACTCAGGAGACAGCAGGGATGACGGGATGATCTGAGGATGCTCTGCAGAATTTTCTACAATGGAATTCTGCAGAGCCGATCCAAGGATGTACCATCCATCACCTACTTGCACTTGGTTTGTCCAAGGAAAACGTAAAAAATGTAAAAAATGTCGTGCATGAACCGAATCTCGATCTTGAGAAGCTTTATCGGATAGAGATGCATATGCTCGAGTACGACTGTATGCACACCTCTTCTCACAGATCTGATCTAGAGGCTGGTTCCTCAGATCAAACGTGATTAAGCTTCCTGAATGCTCCGAGCATGTAAACATAAATTTATCGCCAAATTTATCACATATGTGACTAGATAGTGAGGATTTACACGCCTGGTGATACTGTACACACGATGATGTGCATGCATAACTGCAGGTCACATTGTTTTGGCGTGAAACAAAGGGTTAATGGAAGTAGAGGGAAACAAGTATCATACAATGTTGCATCAGTCTGAAGCTACTTGCACAAACACACCACGCATGCACAGTGGGGTGTGCAGCGTGTTGTAAAGTCTCCAGCAACTAGCAAATCAGAGCTGTTACAACTCCATTCCGCTGCTGCCATTTTCTCCTGTCTTCAAGCGCTTTGCCAGTGGCGGATGGGCCGAGCCATCTGTGCCTTCACGCTCTCCCCTACCCTCAAGCGCCTGATAAAAACACAGCATGCCCCGGCCCCATTCAATATCCCTCAGCGCTCAAAGGGCTGCCCTGATGCCCGAGGCTCTCTGAGTGATTCTCTCATGACATCAGCGAGGAATTGGAGAACAGCGCAATCTGCATATTTGCAATTTTGCCTCACCTTCTGCCGCTGGGCTGTTGCAGTAGCTTCACTGTGTCCACCAGTATCCTGTTGTGATGCAGAACTGGCTTTGCTCGCAACCGCATGGAAGGCTTTGAGCCTCCTGTCAATCTTCCGTACCTGGACAACCAAATTCTGAAATATTAATGGGCTGCAATGCATCTGTACTCCTACAGGAAATTTAGTTAGAAATTTCAGCCAGCAAGGGCCCAATTTAAAAATTGCTCGTACCTCCTCTGCTTTCACTTGTTGAGATCCCTCTGATCCAAAGCTGTCTATCCTGCCAAATGCTGACTTGAGCTCCTGGACTATGTCTTCTGTGCTGCAGCCTGCGCGCGCTTCCTCCTGAGCTCTGCCGGCCACCCTGGACAAGAAGCTGCCCAAGGGAACCTTCACCTGCACCAAATCACGCCCCATCCTTCTTGATCCACGGTGCCAAAAAACAGCTGCAGCATGACCAAGACATTGCATTCTACTTTCTGAGAAAGTGGATGAGTCCAGTTCTCAATGGCAGTAGTGTCCGCAAGGAACAGTGAAGCTGGCAGAGCAACTCTCGCCAATTCTTGTGTTGCGCAGGACACTGCTGTTGTCTCACCAAATGAAAAAAATGAAAAGGGTTTTTATGGCAGGGAGCCACCTTGTTGCAGCCAGAGCGCATGGCGGCCAGCGCCAGCTGTCCGGGAGGGAATAACAGCGGGGCGTCTGTCAGCATGAGAGCGTCCACTGCCGCCCGAGCAGCTGCGCGCGCCTGCGCCAGCGTGTCACCCCCCAGCTCCTGCAGGGGTGGGTCGATCACACTGCCCTCCTTCTGGCAGTCCTCCAAATCCTGTACAGCGAACCTCCCTGAGTTGCCTGAAAAAGGTATCGTGGTGATCCTCACAGGGTCATGCATGCTGCATTGGGGTTTGAAAATAAAGAACAAGCATAGAAGTTCCATGGATTGGGCTCTGTAAACATGGAGTGAAGCAGAGTGAACATCGAGATGTGAGGGCACAGACTTCTAGCTTGGGAGAGATGTCAGGTGCTCACCGCAAAGTACCCCGAGAGGGAGGTGTAGGGGGAATAGGTGATGAGGTCAAAATTGAGCCCCTGCAGCACGAGCGGCTCTGTGTTGAGCACCACTTCTTCGTCCTGCTGCAGCCGCTTGCAGAACTCCTCCGCCCCAATATACGCCTCCTCCACCTGTAAATTTATTCAGCCACCTTGGCTCAAATTAGAGAAAGAGGTGTGCAGACATCAAGGCAGAGCGAGCGCCAGTAGATAGGAGACAGGGCTGCCTCGCAAGTGCACATCATGCAACAAAAACACATGTTAATCCCCCGGCCAACGAGCACCTTGCCTCAAATATGGTCAATCCGAATATAGATGAGCACCTGAGGGAGGTGGGACAGCCTTGTTATGGCCTGCCCAAAATTCATTTCGGGCTGCAAAACAGGGGCTGGGGAGCTTAAACAACAACAGATTCACAGATATGAAGAGTAGAGACTGGGAATGTTTCAAGCAAGTGCCTGCGTGCGGGCCACTGTAGTTGTGGACATCTGCTTTTGCATGCACTGTTACTTTTTACATCGCGGGGCTTCAATCTGATGGAGTTCTGGTGCAGCAGTACCTTGCCGGCCAGGTAGATGGCTGTGAGGAGGATGTTCTTGGGGTCATGCTGCAGCGTGGAGTAGTGGAGGTAGAAGCGTTTCAGGAACAGCACCGCTGCCGCCTGGACCTTGTTGGGGAAGCCAAACGCACGACACATCTCCTGGATCTTGCCGGAGTAGTACTTGAGGAGCGCGGCCTCCTCTGCTAGGCTGGGAGGCCGGGTCTTCTTGCCTGCAATGAAAGGAGCGCTCAATTCGGGATGTTACTCATAAGGGAGTATATTCTACAGTATTTGCAGAATTGACACAGGTGCATCAAGGGCTCACTCTTTTTCGCGGGCTTGCTATCAATGTCAGTCTGTTGCTGCTGCTGCTGCACCCCCTCAGGCTGTGGGGTTTCCTCCTGAGACAGGCAACTTCTGGTCAGTTACCTCTGGCATACCCAGCAAATTGAAGCCTCGCTTTGCATGCGGTGTTTTTGGTGCGCTACATCGAGGTTTTCAGGCGATCCAGGCACGTTAGTCCCACCTTGGCAACGGCATCTAGACAAGCTTGACGCCTTCTTGTCCGAATTTCCGTCTGCACGTGATTAAAAAGTGATCAAAGCGGTCGTAAACGTCTGACTAGTTACTAACGTCAATTGAGTCAATGTAGATCATGTGTGAGCGAAAGAACTCGCCAGTTCATCGGTTGAGAACAGCCATCTCTTCCTCTGAGACGATCTCTCGAATATCATAAAAAGGGTCAAGCAGCTGGATTCTTTCACAATATAATACTGATCTCAGCAGACGCCTAGAATTTGCTTGGATCTGCTCGTCAAAGGGTCTGAAGGCTAGATCACAAAGGACGTGGATCACCGCAACCTTTACACACAACTTTCTTGAGGCCGCTAGATATCACCAGTGAGCACTGAATTGTCCAATCATTCCTGAAATTGATTGCCACACATCCTGAGTTTCATTTGATCGGCTCCTCTTCCAAGGACAATTCGAGGGTTTTGTGACATCAGGTCCATGTGTAGGGTTTGTGGCGCCCGCCGACAGAAGCACTTCGTACTTGTTCCGGTGAATCCCTTAAGAGAAGAGTTCAAGTTGTTTCGTGGCCTATTTTCTTTGTGTTTCCTGTGTGTGCATAATAAGGATCTAAAGCGGCACACACAACGGAGTTGGTTCACTGGGCAACATTCTGCAAGTACTCAGGGCCTACGTATCAGATTTATAGCTCCTCTGCAGCTTCCTTTTACACACAATGATGGATGTATCTGAGCCAGTCAAGGTCACAGCAGAAAGTCTTGGAGTGTCGCAAGGGTATGCTGCCCACTTTTTTCTCGTACTATACTCTCCCTACGGTAGTTTGGCTTCTTCATTGCTGTCAAGCCCTTTGACACTATTATCCATACCTTTTCAAATGGAAAAGACTTATTTACAGGAATGCATTGCATCGGCGAAGACTATAGGTTCTACTATCACTGATACTAGATGTCCACTTCTGTCGCAGGCAAGAATACGAGGGGCAAATACAGTACGATTTGGGCAACATGATGGCGAGCGATCACGGCCCCATCGATCAGGCTCGATTCAGAGCTGACCCCGATGCAGCCTGCCTTGAAGTCGCCACTCAGATGACACAGAGCCTGGTGGCTCGCCTCTTCGAGCTGCCCAGCGAGGCTGCCCTGGTGCGAGCTTTCGTCCAATTCCTACCAACTTGCCATGACGATCTTTCTCCTCTACACCCTGCTGAACACACTGCTGTGGTTCCATTGTGGTTTGCTTGTTTTGAATTAGAAAATGCACCGTGCGCATCAGCTCGGGAGCAGTGCAAGTGGCTTCAGGAGAGCGCGCATGATTTAACTTGTGTTGCAGGAGGGCCGCGTGGCGCACCTGCCGGAGCCGACGACGGCACTGCCGCGGGCCAAGCCGCTGCCGAAGCCGCGGGAGCCGACAAAGTGGGAGCAATTTGCGCAGCGGAAGGGCATCGTGAAGAAGAAGCGCAGCAAGGAGTTGTGGGACGAGGAGGCCGGCGAGTACCGCCGCCGCTTTGGGTACAAGCGCGCCGGGGACGAGTCTGAGGTGCCCATCATCGAAGCCACGGCCGATGACAAGGTGCGCGCTCTTTCTTGCATTCTTGCATCTCCACAGGGAAATCCCTGACTTTGTCTGTCATCCAGCAATGTGGGGAAACTGCAAGGAGAAGTTGCAAAGATATTGCATGAAAAGCAGCAAACAAAGCAGAGGATGCGCAGAGATCATCAGGCGTCAGGGATATCTTATATTTGAGAATTTTGAGCTGGCAAAGCGCTGTAGGTTGGGAACATTGAGCGGCATCACGATGTGGGTAAGTTGAACATGTGTTCGGCCGTGCAGGTTGGGGAGGACCCCTTTTCAAAGCTGAAGGCGGAGAAGCGCGAGCGCGTGAAGGACCAGCAGAAGCGTCAGCTGCAGAACATCAAGGCCAGCGCCAAGGCCGTCGGGACCTCAGCCGCGCTGCCGCCCACCCTCAAGCTGGCCGCCGCACTCCCTGCCCACGGCAAGGGCAAACCCACCAAGCGCAAGGACATGCATGATGATGTGCGCCCCCCACCGGTAGCATTGTATTCTTATTAGCCACTCTGATCATAGACAAATGAGGAATATAGACATCAAAGCACAGTGAGCGCCAGAAGATACGAGTGAATGGGCTGCCCCGCAAGTGACGTCATGCAACAACAATAGGACAACAGAGTGTGTCTCGTGATTGTTGGAGCAGGGTAGGATAGACGTGGACATGGTTTGGTGGAAAGACATGAAAACGAGAGCATGGATTTGTGGTGCTGTGCAGATCAAGGCGGCGTCCAGGCAAGCGGGAGTGTCAACAGCGTCGATGGGGAAATTTGATGAGAGGCTGCCGGGGGAGAAGGCCGGAGAGCGGGGGACCAGCAGCAAGCGCCAGAAGTTCGACCCCGTGTCTGGCAAGCCTGGCACAGAACTGAAGAAGGTGTGCTCCTCTCTCCTTACCAGGATATCATCCAGGACAATCTGTACGAGGGCCTACTTCGGTGCACGGCAGTGTTTGAAAAATGATGATTAGTGTCATTTCTTATGCGCTGTTCCTGCCAGAGGCAAGCTGCAGGTAACGAATGGCTGCAGACAAGCTTCGGTGTTAAGAGTCACCTGAATTGCAAAGGCAAGAGCGGTGTGTGATGGGGTGGTGCATGCAGGCTGCGGGGCTGGTGGACAGGATCATCCGTGAGCATGCAGACGACATCCTGGACTCGGACAAGGCTGTGCGCCGTGTGGAGGCAGAGCGCCACAGCCAGCTGGCCAGTGCACGGGTGCGCAGCCTGCACTCTGTCACATGCCCTCTCCATTGCGACCGTCTCTCGAGACCCACATTTATCATCATTATTACATTCTTGTCCTGCCAGAGGTCCCACTTGGACATGTTTCAATTGCACTGTTATACCTCTGCTTGTCGCTAAGGCACCGACCTCATGTTGGTGTCCACAGCTGCACATGCAATTCTCAGATTGTCGATGGCTTGCTAACTGTGAAGCTGTGGGTGGATGCAGGCGCAGGACAGCGATGACGAGGGCAAACGGCCGAGCCGGGCAGGGGACAAGGGCAAGAAGGGCAGGGGTGGCAAGGCGACCAGCACAAAGGGGCAGCGCTTCGCTGCGCTCAAGCGCACTGGGGGTGCTGGTGCGGCTGGGGGTATCAGCAAGGGTGGCCGAGGCGCCAGCCGCGGCGGTGGCGGCCGAGGTATGAGCCGGGGTGGGGGCCGGGACGGCGGTAGGGGCGGTGGCAGGGGCGGTGGCAGGGGTGGTGGCAGGGGGGCGAGCAGGGATGGGGGCCGGGGCGGTGGCAGGGGAGGAAGAAGGGGCGGTGGCAGGGGTGGCAAGAGGTAGAAAACACGGAAGTAGATAGGACACAAAGGAGTTATAGTACGGTTTGTTGGTGGGTGTGCATGCTGTGTAAACTTTACAGTTGAATGGGTCATAAGGATTTCAAAAGGCCTGCTACATCATCCAGCAGGACACTTGTTTACATGATGTTTATGGGCAAGGTTCACATCATACGTTGCAAAAAACCTCATAGTGCAAAGTTTGTTGATCTGCTCCATCTGGTGGTCAAAAGCCCCTATCGTCCAGATTGCGGTCCACAAAAGCCTGCAGCCTGCAGGCAGACTCTGTATGTTAGTGTAATTTATCAGTACTAGGAATATTACGGCAGATTCCCTTTTTAAGAGGAGTTTGTTGGTTCCAAGATGAAGAGTATGCTGGCACATACCCCCTCTCAAAGTCCTGTAATGTCAGGCCATTCCGCAGCTGTCGAGCCACAAGTCCAAGGGAGGCAGCAGTTCGCACTCGTGAAGCCGTATCTGCAGTGACAGGAAAGTCTGCAGATCAGCATGCAAATTGCAACATGCATTTAAATGCTCCTGATCTGACGCAATCAGATCCTGTGTGCGCACCGTCAAAGTACAGCATCTGCCCAAAGGATATTCCAAGTGTTCCCTTTGCTTCCCGGAATGTCGCTGACTCATCGTTAGGATTGTGTTGGACCTGCATTGCATTTTGAGCAATCATATCGTTATGCTGATGGGTGCCTCATGCCAATAGTAAGCATCAGAGAGAAGCACGCACTCACTGTGGGCTCAAAGCTCTCAGCGCAGAGCTTCAGTAGCAGAGGCCGGCTCTCTTTCTTGGACATTGTTGCCCCCACACGTATTCCCTTGAATCGAAGAGCTGCCTGTATGCCAGCAGCATCTGGATAGGGAGCTGCTTCTGTGCCTGGTGCAGCGTATTGCCAGAGGACTCCCTCAACATTGAACAGCACTAAAGAAGGCAAGACAGAGAGCTTGCTCAGCAGTGCCACTGCTTTCTCGAAGGATGTAGCTCCTGCTGGTGGAGCAGAAGGCTCGGCCATCGCCAAGAGACAGCGAACTTTTGTCAGATCAAACAATACTTACTTTTAGCTTATCTTACGGTGCAGTGAATTCACATCCAGTACTGCACAGAAGTCCAATCACCTCTTTTCTCCCACAAACAGAGTGTTGCCGGTATTGATCGCCTGCGCAGTAACTCGCCAAGCAAGACAAGGAAGAAGTGCATGCCAACAACACGGCGGCACATGCATGCCATCATCACTCGTCTGCTGACGCGGCCAACATGCCCTGAAAGATCGATCATCGATGCGCCTCATCCACAAGGAGGGACTGCTCCCTATTTCTTGAAGTGAAAGGTTGCTTTCAAATCAAGGCATCGGCGAGCAGAACCCAATGTCAATGGTGTTCAGGTGACTCTTAACTGCGAAGATCCAGTAGGGAATCATAACCACCGGAGCTCGTGATATAGAATTTTGCGATTCGAGATGGCACAGTCGGGTGCAAGTGAGCCAGGTTCAGGCAACGCGACCCCCTTGAGTCCTGGCCTCTCAGCCCTTGCACAAAAGGAGATGGAGTGGGCGAACGCAGGGGAGAAATTAGCGGTCCTGAATTTCAGCGAGAAGGCAAGAACCCGTTATGGTCTGGGGATGAAAGAGCTTTAGCTTACATGCTTGCTGTGACATCAATCAATATCCTGCCCCAGCACACCTACTGTGGGACTTGGGCAATATAACCTAGATCCTGATGCATCTGTCCTGCTGCAGGTCATAGAAGAAAAGGAGAGGCACTTGCGAGAGTGAGTCCCACTTTTATTGATGTGCACTTGCGATGCACAACTGCTTTCGAAGACCAACCAGTCCAAAGCCACTGTGTGACTGAAAAGGACGTGCTGCTCAGGTGTATCGCCAATAACTATACGCGCATTAAAGATGTGGAGCGGGAGCTGGGTGGGCTGCAGATGCAGCTCAAGCTCAGCACAGGACCCAAAAAGTCGGCCCTGATGATGATCAGGAAGAAAATAGAACTGCAGAATGAGCGCGTGCTGGCAGCGAGGGATCGCCAGAGGGCAGCCAAGAAGGTGGGCTACGTTCTGCTGCATGCAGCTTCTATCAACCAGAATCGGATGCTCTTGAATAGGACATCTCAACAAAAGTATGTGCTGCAGGTGTATGAGACAGCAGAGGAGGCCTTGAAGGCAGAGGAGCAGGTGAAGGAGCGCCTGTGCCAGGAGCTGAATCTGCTGGTCCAACAGTCAGCGCATGCACAGCTGGAGAAGCTTGAGCAGGTCAGTCTGCAAGACAGACTCCAAGACCCTTCCTTCTTGCTCAACTTTCGAAACCACTGTTTGATGATGCTGTCAAGTGGGTCTCTGTGTTGGGCCAGCATCCGAGATATTCTCCTTCATCTATCCTGCTGTGCCCACAGCTGACGGAGCGCTTGGAGCGGATGAACCAGTCGGTCGGGCACAGCAGCGACAAGGAGCGACAGCAGGAGGAGGAAGTGACAAACTTAGTCATGGAGTCCCTGCGGAGGGTGCCAGCTCCCCAGCAGCCAACCCCACCCGCAGCTGCCGCAGAGGAAGCCCTGCCAGCGGGCCCCGCAGCAGCGACGGAGCCCCTGGTGGCCACGGCTGGGGATTACACACCGGCCGGCGAACCCGCCGTGTCCAGGGCCGCATCCCCCGCAGCTGGTGCTGCGAGTCAGCTCCCTGCAGGAGCCGACGCGTCGCCGCAGCACAGCAGGCAGGCCAGGCAGCAGCCCCAGCCGCAGCAGAGCACGCCCAGGAAGCCGACGCTGCAGACTGCGGCCGGCAGCGGCAGCGCGGCGGCCAGCCCCGCGCATGCTGCGGCCGCGCGCGCCCGGCATGTGCCGCTAGCTCCGGTTGCCAAAACAGTCGCGGCAGCGCCGGCTGCGGCTGCGGTTGCGCCGCGGCCCCCGCCCAGCTCAGGGTTCCGGGGGTTTGACACCTGAGCAGGGGCTTCGACCTGCAGTGGAGTCATGAGAGGAGAGATGGAACTGTACAGCTGTGTAGAGCGCGTGGACCCAAGTGACAGTTCAGCTTTCTGTTCAGGACCTTGCATATGGAGGACACCTGCAGTGGCAGCCTCCTGCTGTATTTAACTGACATTCAGGAGATATTGAGGACATGTAGTAGGCATCATGCTGTGCTTCTTTTTCTTGCAGCTTTCAGCTACCAGGGGCTTGTCTCAAAGTCCTGCTTTTCAAGATGCGCGCACATTGTGCGATGTTGTTAATTGTTGCGCAGACTGCTCAGCAGTAGGCTATTGACGCCCATCTGCAGTCGTCGGTGGGCCCCAACATGATGTTGAGGTTCTTGTGCAATTTGGTTCACAAATTTATGTGTCGATCAGTGACTGTGCATAACTGTGCAAATTAAACTTATGATCCTCTTGTCCTTGACATTCTGCTGACGTGATTTGTAAACATTGGAGAAGTTAATGAGCAGCCCAGCACTCACTCATGGCATGAGTGGCCACTGGGCCCATGGACCCATGGACCCCGTGGGCCGGGCCAGCCCGAGGCGTTCTGTGTAGGATTTATTTCAAGCTTCTCTCGTGCCATGCATGGCATGCCAGTAGGATCCCAGGGCGTACTACGACCTCTTATTCACATGGGAGCTGCTGTGCCATGCATCAGATCGAAAAAAAGCTGCATGCACTGCACTGCAGCCTGCCAGAGCTGCACAGTGCAGTGCACTGAGTCAGTAGCAGTGCTACTGACTCAGTGGCATAGCCTATTGATCTGAGATGCCATCAGACTCGGAGAACGCATGCATGCAATTTAATAATTACAATCGTCTGGGGAAGCGCTAGCATTGGGTCTGCAGGTACTGAACCTGCATTTCCCGTGTTGTGCTGCAGCTGTGCCTTGCTGTAGGAGTCCCAATACACCCAGCGCATGCGGGCCAATGCAGGAGGTCGTCGCCAGGGTGGAGGGAGCTAGCGTCTTGCGGTTTCGATCTAATCCTATGTGCTTGTCGACATGTAAGGATCATTTTGTCTGGCACTAATGCTATGATGGAGCTTCGAGTGAAGGGCCGGGGATAGCAAGGCCGAGGTTCGACGTCGTGGTCGCTCTGCAGGTTGTGGCAGGGAACCATATGCCCGGCCTGCCACAGCTTCTGGGGCACCCAGAACACGAGGAAGTATAAATCTCAAACATACATCGGCCCTTGGGTCGCTTCTGTTCGCAACATGTTGAGCTTCATGCGATTGCACAGATCAACATCCTCAAATTCGGAAACCAGAGGTGAGCACCCTATTGTCTGAGGGCACGATTTCCAGTCCTTATGCATGTTCGTGATCTCAGCATGATAAATCGTTGAGGAGGTTCGCGTAAGGATCGCCGATAGTTCTTATCACCACTAAGCGAGGGTCTGTTGAGGACAACGCAAGCAGCATGTTTCCAACGAAGAAAGAACTCCCTTTTCATGCTAGTAGAACCCAAGTGCGAATGTCGTATCAGCTGTTTTCCACGTTCCTGATGTATCAGGGACCGTGATTGGAGTAACGTTACATGGGCATGCCCAACAACTAGTGCATTCGACACCTTGCGACGCCTCTTCTGCTGACTGAAAGAGCAGCTATATCATTAACCACCTCTTAAAGACGAGGCCCCCCAACACAGTGTGTCTCCTGGGCTGCAGGTACCCCTTCCATGGCAGCGATGGAGGAGGTGCTGAGCACACCATTGGAGCAGCACCAGCAGCATCAGCAGCAGCAGCCGTCTGAGCGCCGCCGATTCCTGCACCGCTCCGCCACCATCCGCTCGCGGTCGGCTGAGATCCCCCCGGACGCCGGCGGCGCTGCCCCCGGCCGCCTTCACTTCCGAGCGGTGCGCATGCATGCATGTACCTGCGGCTGTCCCCACTCCTGCCTTGACTGCAATGGAAGTTCTGATGCCAGACGCATCCACTGCATGCTAGCTGGCACTCAAAGATCACGTCTGAGGCTCCAGCGAGGCTGAGGGAGGTGCCGGTAGCGTCTGGGTTGGCAGGGCAGGCTTCTTTGCTCATCTTCAGGCACTGAGCAGCAAATCAAGCCAGCAGGTGCAGGCAAGGTGACGGTGTATGACGTGTATGCGTTGTTGCTGAGGAACGATGCAGCCAGCATGTGCAGGCAAGTTGACGGTGCGTGATATGCGCTTGTGCGCAGTCGGTGCTGAGGGCGGGGGGGCTGCTGACGACGCTGGGCGCGCGGCGGCACGTGGTGTATGCGACGCAGGACGGCGCATTCAACTACGAGGCCATGCTGGCGCTGGACGAGGGCAACCCCCGCCGCGGCGTGCGCAGGACAGTCATGGACCAGCTGCCCACGGTGCGCGCTCATTTTTCATCCCCCCCTCCTGCGCTGCTGGCTGCAGAAGTGATTGTGACTTGCTGCACGTGCTTATATATGCTTTCACTCGTTCATACTTTTGCTGGTGCACAGATCTCCCTTGACTCAACCATCATATCAGAGAGCTGCTGGGCATCGACTTGTGCCTGTTGAGCAGAGATTGGCAGGTTTGCATGTGAGGGTGGTCTTCTAGAGGTGGTGATTTGTGTTGCAATGTGTGCCGCGCAGGCATGCGCTGGCAAGGCGGATTTGAGCTGCGAGTGTCACATCTGCATGGACTGCTTTTCAAGGGGGACCCACATGACGCGGCTGCCATGCGAGCACCGTTTCTGCAGCACCTGCATCCGCAAGTGGCTGCACGACCACCGCACCTGCCCCGTGTGCCGCTATGAATTCCCAGACTGCCAGACCATCTTTGTGAAGTAATCCCTGCAGCACTGGTGTCAATGCCCAGTCTGTCAGGGGCCTGACCAGCTGGCCACCTCTCAAGATAAGCAGCCAGGGTTGCCTTTGTAGATCACTCTGTAAAATACCAGCATTCGCTGCCCCCGGGGGGCAGGAAATCTTGCACCGGGGGTCCAGCAAGATATGGGAGATCAGGGATGAATGTCACAGAATGACCCATTTGGGCCATGCATGTGAGCAAGTCGGCAATGGTATTCAATATCCGGAGCTGAATGTGGTAATTGCTTGTATACCGTCATCAGCAGCGCTCAAATTTATTGAGCAAACTCATGGCATGCCTGCCTCCCTTGCGTGAGAATATGTACCTTACATGTGTTTGAAAATGGAGCTTGACTCATAGCTATTGGGAGCATTAGGGTCCGACCGATGAGTCATGAAGATGCCAGACAATTTTTCAGACTGAGTTGACAACCCTCAGTGTACATTTGGTCCCTAGCTTTGCATTGATGCTTGTTCTTGATGAGTCTTGAAAACATGTGTCCCTGCATGTTAGTTGTTCAACTTTATTAGCATGCACAGGTCTTGTGCTGGTCTTGAGTGCATTTGCATGTACAATAGGATAATAGTTTGGGAAGTAAGTTGCAAGGAAGAAGAGAGAATGCCCAGCAGAATACAGCAGGTGCAGAAGCTGCTGCAGTTGGTACTGGGATCATTGTAACATGATCATCCCAAGTGCTCTACATGTTCACATATGTGTATTGTAGTGTGACACTCATATCACACAATCATACTTCAGCACAGCTACATGTGACCTGAAGCCAACTTACCCCAGAGTCTGCAAACCTGAAAGTTTTCCCATACATCGAAAAAGACTTGCATACACTGCACATGCAGTTGCAATCCACAGCATCTCTTCAAGAAGCATCTGAGCTGCAGAAAGATTGACCCAGTCCATTATGGCACATGGAACTATCTTGTTCGCCAGATCTGCATGCATCCATGGCCAGCCAGCAGACTCAGTACTTGAGACATCGTCCCCGCCATTCAATGAGTGAGGGCAATTTCATCAAAGGCCCAGAGACTGTTTCTCATGTCTGATCCATTATTCTGCAAAGTCCTGTGCAAATTCACTCAAGCCTGCAACATCAGCATAACCACTGGCCCCATTTTGTGACTCTCTCCGTCTGTTCAAAGGTGTGCAATGTTGGCGCAGTCTGGACCAGCAAGCCAGCACAACACTGCTGCAGTCCTCACCCTCAAGCAAGAGAATAATCCAGATAAGCAAAAGGACCACAGCCAGCTTTCAGGATTTCATCTTCCTCAAGTCAACCCAGCTCCTTTCAGAGGGCTGCTTGGCTGCATGTTGGGAAGAGCATTGCACTGAGAAAGACCGCCAACATCAGGTGTCTGCTGGGGGCTCTCAGAGACTTTATTGAGTGCATGCATGGCTACAGCTATTTGTTCTGAGCGCTGACTTGCGTGCGAAATTGCCTGAGGACCCTTTGAGCCAGCAGAGACTTGCAGCTGTGACTACGCTGCGAGGGTTAGCGACGAGTCTGCCGTGGCTGCACAGGTGACTACATTGTCGATCACCAGGTCTGACACGCCCTCGGGAACGAACTGCAACGTGTCCACAACACATCCAGGAGGGAACACCACATACTGAGGTGACAGCTGGACCAAGGAAATGGTGCCGACCTCACATGCGCCAACGCGCGCACCCGCCAGGGTCCCAATGATCTGCACCCCGGGTGTATTGCACTGGGTGAGCCGGCGCTTCTGCGGGCCTCCCACAATTGTGACAGCGTTGCCACCACCACAACCAAGGGGGTTGAGCGAGTAAGTGTAGAGGCTGAAGACGCTGAAGGAGCCCGCTGTAGCGCTGAGTGTGAGGGACGACACCGAGGGGTTGGCAGAGTCCACTGTCAGGAGGAGCGAGCTATTGGTGTTGAATGTGGGGCCGCCAGAAAACAGCTGGTCCTTGTCCGTGATGGATGTGGTGCCTTCCAGGGGCGCCAGCTGCAGGCCGTGGTAGGTGTAGCTTGTGGGCAATGCTGGGTCCCTGGATGGACCATCTGCGGCCGCAAGCTTACGGTCCGAGTTGTCGGCGTTGGCGATGGGGTTGGCTCCCTCGGTCTCGTCAAAGCTCAGGTAGACTGGCGGCCCCACGCAGAGAGACCCGTTGGCGCCTGTCGGGCCGGTGGGGCCGGTTGGTCCAAAGCCGCCTGTCGCGCCGGTGGCCGCCTCCCCGGTGGCGCCGGTCGCGCCGTCTTTGCCATCCATGCCACTAGGTCCTGAATGCAGAATACAGTGATAAGTATTGCACTGCTTGAATGCACTGAGGCGGGGCACACGACAGTGCAGCTTGCTCTGCAGCTGTAGCATGCAGTGCCATGCTATTGCATGCTCACCAGAGCGTCCATGAAGAGAACTTTTACTGGCGGTCCCCCGGTTGCTTGTCGATGTTCAGACTGCATCACTCTCAGAAGGCATCGCAATGCAGTATAAGTTACCTGTTGGACCGTCGAGCCCGTTGGTGCCGTTGAACCCCTGTCGTGACAAGCAAGTGCTTCCAAACTCAGTCAGGTGATACTCATGCCTCAGTGGTGTGAGCCCAACACAACAGAGGCCCCATTTAGGACGGCTGCACGATACTGACAACAAGCAGCTGGTCAAAGATCTGTCTCACCGGTGTCAGAGCGTTGACTTTGTCGATGAGGGCCTGATATAAGGCGTTCCTTTTAGCGAATACTGTCCGGACTTCTCCTCGCAACTCCGCAACCTCCGCTTTGCTGGCCGGCAATACCCCGGTGAATTCCTTTCTACTCTCGTTGTACAACTTCTGGATCTCATCTGGTTTGGACAAAGCCTGCTCAGTTTTGTTGTGCCAATCCGGAAGTGCATCTGGCACAACGCCATGGTTCTTGGGACGACCTTCAGCCAGAAAGAACCGAGTCTGAGTATAAGCGCTCTCCAGCAGAATGCTTGGAATGAAAGCATTTGAATAAGTTCGTGAGCAAGGTAGATTTACCTGTGGTCTCCGCACCAGCGCTGGACTTTATTGAAAATAAGAACACTTGGCAGAGCAACTGCACGAGGCCCAGAGCCCTGGAAACTTTGACGTTCCTGCACCATAGAGAAGACTCAGGAAGCTTCGAAATATAATTATTACTTCGGATAGTGGTGAGTAATTGAAGAGGGCTCCCACCTAGCCTTCATGGCGTCAAGCGAAGTCCACCAGAAGATGAGTGAATAAATGGTGCTACGTCGATGATTGCATGCGTGTTATTTCCTCACTGATTGCAGTCTAGGCCATCTCACAAAATATTCACTGCCAACTGGGGAAGTGCCAAGGCAGCTTTGAGCTGTCTCAAGACTTAAAGGTTCCGAAAAACCGAGGCAACAAGGATACGCGCTTTTCTCGGAAGATCTGACATGGCAAAGGGAGGCACAGGCATGCAAAGGGTATGAGTAAGGCCAAAGATCCAATATTATTCCAGTTAATCAGCAAATAGGGAACACAGTCACTTCATCTGTGCTCAATGTGTTCGACTTTCTTAGCTAAGCTTGCAACTGTAACTTATAAGTAATTACTTGAAATATGGGACCTAAATATCTATATTAATATTAATATAGGGCTGATCTGCGGTTCGACCGATCAGCGCGCAATTGCAATGTCATATATGATATGCTAATTTTCTGACTCTCACAGAGCCAGGATATCTGGAGATCGCTCCGGAGATGTCTTGGTAGATGTGGCACATGCAGGGGCCAATCAGCGATTTCAAGCACCAAGGAATCTGATGAGCTCAAGCATTTTGCGCAAGCAACGTAAGCCCTTGGTTTGGATTTTGAGACTGAGCTGGGGTTGAGCTTATTACAATTGTGATCCCCTTGTGAACACCACAGCTGTGATGTCATCAGTATACAAGCCACCCTTCAACAAAGCCAGCGCATGCGCAGGAAGTCTTGAGCATGCCTTGGCAGCAGCATCCTGATCCGGACGTTAAAGTCCTCATACGGTTTGTCTTAAGGTCTTATATAAGCTTATTGGCACCGTGCTCCAAGGACATCATCTTAATAGTGTAGTCCTAAAAAGCTGGGTGCCAGTAGCAGTTTGTCACAAGATCTTGCATGTGACGACATGCAAGGAGCCACCGCTGTCCTTCACCATAGTGCCCAGGTCTGATTGGAGGCTCCAGCCACTTGATCGACGATGACACTTACTCAACTGTGATACAGGAAATGTCGTGTACTATACGATTGACTTAAAATTGCCACCAAGGCACACTGATACCGTAAGTGACATGATCTAGATGGTATCCATATCATGAACAAAAAATATCAACGGCCCTGACTTGGTCGGAACTGTACCGACTTGGTGGCAATTTCAGAATACTGAAGTTGCTGAGATTGGCAATCTAGCCCAGAAACTGGCTAACAAGACTTACACATTCCCTCTGACGCAAAAACCATTTCTTGCACTGATCAAGGTGCAGCTGCAAAAGACATTTGCTCAAAGCTGTGAAGCTCTACATTATTGAATTCACCCTGGTGCGGATGGTAGTCTTGCTTGGTTTGATTCCTGTAAACCCCAGCTGTCAAAGGTTTTATGCTGCCAGTGTCAGCGATGAGTCTGCTGAGGCAGCGCAGGCGACAATGTTGTCAATTGCCAGAGAGAAGACGCCCTTGGGAACGAACTGCAGCGTGTCCAACACACAGCCAGGAGGGAATGTCACATACTGCGGCAATGGCAGGAGCAAGGAAATGGTGCCGACATTGCATGCATCGACGGGAACACCAGCCAGGGTTCCGATGATCTGCACCTCTGCGCCAGGGCAATCAGACTGGGTCAGCCTGCGGCCGCGCGCTAAGCTGACTGGAGATAAACCGCCGCAGGCTAAGGCGTAAGTGTAGAGGCTGAACACGCTAAACGAGCCAGCTGCAGCGCTGATTGTGAGGCTGCCCACAGGAGGATCGATAGAGTCCACAGCCAGAAAAAGGGTGTCGTTGTTGTTGAAGGCAGGCACAAATCCATTAGGGGCATCCACATTGAAGATCCTGCTGGTGCCTCCGAGGGGCGTCAGCTGCAGGCCGTGGTAGGTGAAGCTAGTGGGGAAGGGCGGATCCGCGGATGCACCATCTGCGGCCGCGAGTCGGTGGGTCGAGTGATCGGCGTTGGCGATGGGGTTGGGACCCTCAGTCTCGTCAAAGTCCAAGTACACTGGCGGCTCCACACAGAGCGTGCCATTGGCGCCAGTTGGCCCGGTGGGGCCGGTCGGGCCGGTGCCGCCGGTAGCGCCGGTGGCCGCCTCCCCGATGGTGCCGGTCGCGCCGTCTTTGCCGTCCGCGCCACTGGGCCCTGCGCAGAGTGCAGCAGTGAGACTTTTAGCTGTTTGACTTCACTCTGGCGGGTCTGATATGTTGCAGCATTGTCTGCTAGGTTGTAGGATGAAGGGTGCAGGGCAGGTGTATGCAAAGGAAATGCACCAGTCCTCAGTCAGTTGTCACTATGTGAATGTATGACATGAATGCATCACATCCCAAAAGAATGCAAGGAAGCGGATTGATCAGTACCTGTTGGACCGCCGAGCCCATTCGTGCCATTGAAACCCCCCTGTCGTGACAAGTATGCACTTGTCAGGTGCTATGTGTGAGAGCCAAGAGTACAGCTAAGACTGCTGCACAATACTGATACCAACAACAAGCAGCATACTGAGGAGATCTTACCGGTGTGAATGACTTTATTTTGTCAGTGATGGCCTGCCGAAGGGCCTTCTCTTTGGCAAATTCTGTCCGGATTTCTGCCCGCAAGTCTTCAACCTCCGCTTTGCTGGCGGGGAACACCCCGGTGACATCCTTTGTTGTTTCGTTGTATAACTTCTGGATGTCGCCTGGCTGGGTCATAGCCTTCTCGGTTTTGTTATGCAGCTCCTGAAGTGCGTCTGGCACGAAGCCATTGCTCTGGGAACGACCTTCAGCCAGAAACACCCGCTCAGCATCGTGAGCGCACTGCTACATCAGCTGCAGGCAACACGATGCACACAATACGAGGTATATATACCTGTGGTTTTCGCAGCTGCGCCAGTATTTACTGAGAGTATGAAGATTTGGCAGAGCAACTGCACGATGCTCAGAACCCTCCAAAAATGCACGTCCCTGCACCACAACGAGAGCTTAGGTATCTCCGCCGGCCTTGTGCTTGATATGTTGGTGAGTGAATGTGCGAAGAAATCTAATAGGGCTCCCACCTGGGTGAGCTAGTCTTCATGGCTACATCAGCTCTCCTACAGAAAGTGAGTACAGAAGCGGTGCTCCTCCGATACTCGCATGCGCGGCACTGACTCTCTCTGCTCGCGGCTCTGTCTGCGGCACTGACTATGCTTTTGCATTGCCAAGGCAGTGTTGAGCTGTCCCATTTTTCAAAGGTCTCAGAACCAGAATAGGCAATGTGCACGTGCACGTGTAGGTTACGCTCTTTTCTTGGACGACCAACAAACGCGATCAACTCCTCAACAGAATATATAAATTTTCGCTGCGCTATACATTAATCTATTACTGATTGTGGCTAGTAACCACCATTGGAACGCATTGAAGTCAGCTGGATTTTTCCTTTGAAAATGGACAGATCTGTTCCAGCCTGGGATGTTCCAAAGAAATTCATGGCTCAAGCTTGTTGCGTGAGCAAGGACATGCCTTGAAAATTCCCAGCTCATGCAAGGGACAATGAACTACTTTGAAGCACTAAGGCCTCAGACCAGCATCTCACGTGATTCAGGTTGTCCAATTGTATGGCTCTCGAGCGGTTGAGGTCATGCTGCTCGAGTCTGTGATGATGCCAACGCAGGATGTGCTGAACACACCTTGGCGGGAGCATCAGCAGCCTGTATGCCAAGAGCTAGCAGTGCTGCCACTTGCCCATGGCTTAGCCCCGACCGGATAGACCTCGAGAATAGAGCTCTTTAGACATCGATGGCATGATATCATGCAATGATTGCGCTCAGCAGTGGTGCCCCCGAGCGTGCTTGCGCATTACCAAGCCCTTAGAGATGTGACCAGGTGTGCCTCACAGGTCAATTTATTGGCAGGTGCATGCGGGGAATTCTTGCACCCAAATGCACATGAGGTTGAGCAAGGTTGCGCAGCATGCCCTGACAGACACAACAGGATGTTGCATTAACGGCAATTGTGATGAGCACAACACTCTCCAGGGTAATTCAAATTGCAGCCAGCTTGTGCAGAGATGTAGGCAGAGCATGTGTTGCAGCTGCGCAAAGAGACGGTGCTGCCTGCCGACCAAGAGTGCGGCATAGCAGGGCAGGTGCCTGATGGCAATTGTCTATGGCGCTTCATGCTGCGAGGCCGCTGTGGCCTTGGAGGTGGAACATTCATGCGTGGTGTGCTAGAAATTTGCGGTGGGCCAGCTCATCTGCTTGACCCTAAATGATAATGCAGTCAGCGTGCACCACGGGACAAAGGTGATTTGTAGATGGTGCTAGGGCAGTGCTCAATTGACTACGGATTTGTGGGGAGCTGGGGATTCAAACAGGTCCCTCCTAGTGATAGGCTCAAGAAGCCTTATTGCGACCCAGTCGTGCGCTGGCAAGGTGGACACGAGGTACAAGTGCTGAAGACGTATTTGGACAGCTGGTTCTTTGAGCACGAAACACGCTTGGCACGGCTGTTACCAAGATACGATGTACTTGAGTGCCATACCAGCATCATGATATCAGGCTGCAGCTCTAGACCCAATGCGCTCCTTGGCAGGCGAATTCAGTGAGAATATGCCAATGAGTGCCTGGCTTGCAATCAACTGACATTTTGTCTAAGGGGCAGTGTATAAGGGCCCAGGCTATGCAGGTGCATATGCATGTGTGCAATTGTTGCCTTTGTAACTAGCCACTTCCACTATGGAGGCCACCATGGTACTGGCCACCCATAGTGGAAGTGGTACTATGGAAGCCAGTACTAGCTATAGCCACTTCCAAGCAGTACTGGCTTCCATAAAATGTGGTTGGCTTGAAGCATTCATGCTCAACTGTCACAGATCACAGATGTAATCTGAGATATTACAAGCCAAAAGACTAGCACCAGAACTATATGTACATGCATTGCACGTGACAATACAGTCACCGATGACTACCTCGTCTATGGGAGGCCTGTATAGGCTCAACCAGACAAGACTAGCTCAATCAGCACAAGACAAGATGCCCACAAGCACTAGACCCATACAGCTAGAGTCTCTGATATCAACCTTATTAAGGTCACATGGTGCAGATGGAGCTGGTCCTTCTGGGCTCCAGCTGTCAAAGAATTTATGCCGCCAGGGTCAACGATGAGTCAGCCGTGGCTGCACAGGTGACAATGTTGTCGATCGCCAGATCCTGTACGTTTGTGGGAATGAATTGCAGGGTGTCCACGACACATCCAGGAGCGAAAACCACATATTGCGGGGAGTTGAACGGGGTGAACGAAATGGTGCCAACCTCACATGCATTGACACGAGCACCAGCCAGGGTCCCAAAGATCTCCACCTCTGCACCAGGGCAGAAGCCCTGGGTTAGCTTTCGGGATTGTGAGCCTTGAATGGTGCCGCAGGTGATGGCATATGTGTAGAGGCTAAACACGGTGAAGGAGCCCCTTGCAGCGCTGATTGTGAGGCTGCCCACTGCTGATGGATCAGGGCGGTCGATCGGGACCTCCAGGACCAGAGTGGTGTTAATGTTGAAGGACGGCAGAGGTCCGTATGTGCCGTCGGCCGAGGTGTCCAGAGTAAAAATGTTGGTGGTGCTTCCCAGGGGAGTCAGCTGCAAGCCGTGGTAGGTGTAGTTGGTGGGGAAGTTCATTAATGCGCCAGCTGAATCAGCTAGAACATGGGTCGAGTGATCGGCGTTGGCAATGGGGTTGGGCCCCTCCGTCTCGTCAAAGTTCAAGTACACTGGCGGCCCAACGCAGAGCGAGCCATTGGCGCCAGTGGGTCCGGTGGGGCCGGTTGGGCCAAAGCCGCCGGTTGCGCCGGTGGCGAACTTCCCGGTGGCGCCGGTCGCGCCATCTTTGCCGTCCGCGCCGGTGGGCCCTGTGCAGAGTACAGCAGTGAGACTTTTAGCTGTTTGAATTCACTCTGGATGTCCAGCTTGCTCTGCAGCTGCAGCATACGCAGCATGAATGCCCGGCGGGCGTTCATTGCATGATATAATGACCAATTAAAGAAGTCTGTAAGGCAGTCAGCGGTTGCTTTTATACACTACTTTGCAATCATGGCCTGCATCGCTCTTGGAAGGCATGGCAGGGTAGTAAGAAGGTACCTGTGGGACCATCGAGTCCATTGGTGCCAATGAAGCCCTGTCAGGACAAGCACCCGCTCCCAAGCTCAGCTAAGGCTCAGTCATGTTGTACAGGTGTGAGCCAAGAGAATAGAGGCCCCACAAAGTATTATTGCACGTAAATAATCTCACATCAAGCAGCTTGTTATACAAGTGTCTCACCGGTGTCAGCAGGTTGACTTTGTCGATGAGGGCCTGCAAAAGGATGTTCTCTTCGGCGACTTCTGTCCTGAATTCTTCTCGCAACTCTCCAACCTCTGCTTTGCTGGCTGGGAATACCCCGGCAACATCCTTTCTAGTTTCGTTGTAGAAACTCTGGATATCGTCTGGCACAACGCCATGGCTCTTGGAACGACCTTCAGGCAGAAAGGAAATCCTTGTCAGCATGAATGCAGCGTCATCTTTTTGTTTCTTTATCAAGAACCTGTAATAATGTACGCAAGGTCGATTTACCTGTGGTCTCCGAAGCAGCGCTGGTATTTATTAAGAGTATGAACGCTTGGCAGAACAACTGCACGATGCTCACAGCCCTGCATACTGTCACCTTCCTGGAACAAAACTAGAACTCAGGAAGCTGCAACACCCAGATTTATGATTTTGCAGTGTGCTTAGGAAGTCAAATGGGTTCCAACCTGGTTGAGCTGAACTTCATGGCTACATGCGCTCTTCACCACAAGGTGCATAAAGAAGGAGCGCAGCGCGTTCCCTCGATGCTTCCATGCGTGGTATTCACTCAAAGAAACGTTTCTGGCCAAGGCAGCGTCGCCAAGGCAGCGTTGAGCTGTCTTAAAATTTCAAAGGCCTCCAAGCCAAGATAGGCAACGTAAGACACGCTATTTGTCGGACGACCAATTCTCGATAATTTGACGTCTTTCATCATGCATATGCATGGCCAAGAACTTACTGATGTAAACAACGTTGTCGTCAAAATAAAGACACACATCATGATGCATGCACTGCCAGTGATCAAAACATGAGGCCTCGCAACTCAAAGTCACTTACTGCGGTTGCATTTGCCATCAAGTAAGACACTTACACTACAATACCATCTTGCAGCTTAAACAGCTCAGCACGCTGGCTTGCGCGTGCATTCACAGATCTGTCTAGACAGGACTATCAAAACTCCAGCTGATCTCCAGGACTCCACAGTCATGGGAATGGTGTGCCCAAAGATGAGATATCTCAACCGCCTCACTCACTGTGAGTGAGTACCATATAATGCCTTCTGCCAGAAGAGAGCAGCGCTGGCATGCCATCAGGGAGTCTGTTGCAATTTTACGGCCAAATGCTGTACAGTATATGAAGGTACAAGACCCCCAGGAATGACACGTCAAAGATTGCCTGGGCTAGTGTGTGCCCCTCCTGGACACTGCCGCATGGTGCACAATAAAATTGAGGTGTCTCCATAAAACTACAGAACCATTTCAGAAGCCCCAAGTCTGGAGATACTTTTCTCGCATCCCATGCGCTTGCCAGCTTACTGGTGAATATCAAAGATCCTTGCCAGAGACCTGGCCATACACACCAGAAATGTTGACTCCGAGCAGGAAAAAATTGCATGCAGATTAGACACCACCAATTCAGTTGCTTGCAATGAATCCGGGGCTTTTGTACCTTTCCATCATTCTCCACCATGGCCACAAAACATCTTCTTGCCAGACGAAAGTAATGGGAAGGTATAATAGGATTGACGTCTGGGAAATCTCCCTGCATAGCACACATGGGGCACTCATGCATGCAGAAGCTCGCAAGATACCTTACTTCCCTGAACACCTTTGCATGTCAACCAGCTGTAATCAGGTCATAAGCGCACCTGGTTTGTCAGATAGACACCCAGAGGGATGATCAAGAGCACCGAGCCTGCCTGCACAGCGGAAACCATTCAACAGGGAAGTTCCAGTCAACAATAGGTCTCCATGTGGCTCAAAACCTTGAAGTCATGGGAGTGTCATGGCGTTCTCACCCCCAGGAGTGGGAAGAGGAATCGCAGTTCAGGATGGTGCTCCAGGAAATCCTGCATGCCAGGGAATGATCAGATTGATCTGCCAACTGCCCGGTGTGAGGGCTTCTGCTACACAACGAACGCGTTCCAACACCAGTGATGATGTGCTTACCGCAATACTTGTCACTGAGGCGATCATGGATCCAAAGAAAGTGACCCTGCGAGATAAACGGATGTGTGAGTATTCCAACAGGGCTGGATCTAGTAGGTCTGACATCCAGGAGGGAGAGGTTGACGGGACTTACATCAATATGATTGTCAAAATAGCCCGCACATTATTCGTTCTCTTTTGGGCTTCCGAAATGCCCTTCTTCCCTAGTATCGGAGCTTCTTTTGCCATTCTCAGGGGAGTACCTCACAGGACCACATTCAGGTGAGGGTCACAAACGGCTTATGTGGTGCTAACGCATTCCAAAGGCTTTCCTACTCGATTGTACGAATTGATGAAAGAAGAAGAAGAAGAAGAAAGGAACGCAGAACAGGAGACCCCGGGGGGGACCCCTGCCACGTGCGTACGGGCGCAGCTGGGGGGCTAAGAGATATCTAAATCGATTGCAAGTTTCGCTGCCTAGTCATCGCACGTGGTTGCTGCACACGTGGCACTGATGGACACTGATGAAGCTTGCATGTGACCAAATATGCTGCCAATGAGTTCCATTGTGATTGTGGAACACGAATATACCTCACTATGATGCATCGATATGATCTCATCCATTAAATCAGGTACTGAAATATGAAACATTGTCCTTGTACAAACCATCCCCTTGGAGTAGCTATTCACGCTCGGAGCACCGAAACTTGCACGACTTTGCTTTGAATAAAAATACACGGTATGGGGAAGAAGATCGAAGTGATGCAGCAGAAGAGTCCTGCTGAATTTTTCGCAGAGAACAAAAATATTGCAGGGTTTGACAACGTAAGTTTCGAATTTCTAAACCAGAACACTCGACTGCATGGCAATTTTAAGAGTACATTTCCTGTTCTGATCCGGTGACAGCAGAACCAGTGACATGTATTCGCACATCATGCACATCTTGCTGTCTAAAATCTGAGTGGGTCTCCCTTCAGCCAGGCAAATGCCTTTATACCACCGTCAGGGAGCTGGTTGAGAACTCCCTCGATGCAGCAGAGAGCAGCGGGAACCTGCCAGACGTTGAAGTAACCATGTATGCGCCGAAGCAGAGAGCACGTTGTTCATTGGGAAGTCACTGAATAAAGCAGTCAACCCATTGCCTGAATTCATTTAACGATGTCATTTTGTGTGCTTGCTAGAGAGGAGATTAGCCAAAAACGCATGAACACCATTCGGGGAATCGCAAATCTTGAGCGTGTGGATGAGACCCTGTACCAAGACTTTGAGACAGAGGACCTTAGGAAGGTGTGCCATCGCCAATTCTCCTGCCGACCCAAGCTGATGTAGAGCACACTTGATGGCGTTCGAGTTGAGCATTGTTGCAAGGGAAAAGTGCATGGCTTTGTGTGCATGCAGAAACGCATGGCAAAGGAGGCAAGGGAGCAGGAGAAGCTGATGAAAGCTGCTCAGAAGGTGTGTAGATCTCTATGATCTCATGCATGATGGCCTTTGCATGTAGATCTTCCATGGCTACAATAAAGTTCATGGCATGTGTCAATGGATATGTACAGATGGAATGCTGTCATGCAGAGGGGAGAAAACCCGGAGGCCCTGCCAGGTGTCAAGAAGGAGGCGGAGGTCAAGAGGGCAGCCGCCGCCTCAAAGAGCACCAAGACGTTCTACAAGGTCACTGTGAAGGTGAATGTGGTCTTTGCATGTGCTACACTGCCCCTGCATTTTGCTCCTCTGTGCCTTGGACTGCAAGGCACGGTCCATCACCTGTGCATCACAGAGGTATTGTGATGTCCTCACAGGACAATGGCACAGGGATGCCTCACAAGGACATTCCCAACCTGCTGGGCCGCGTGCTGTCGGGTACCAAGTACGGCCTCCAGCAGACGCGCGGCAAGTTTGGGCTGGGCGCCAAGATGGCCCTGATCTGGTCCAAGATGAGCACTGGGCTGCCCATTGAGGTCTGGAGCGCCAGGCAGGGCCAGAGCTTCATCTCCTACTACAAGCTCGACATTGACATCCACAAGTAAGCCTTCCTCTGCACCTCAGGTTGCATGAGTTGCCCAAATCTGTCTGTGCGAAGTGGGCACACTGCCTTGTTTCGGGAACACTGACACGCCATTGAGATTTGTTCTGAGGTCCAATGTCTCTGCAAACAGCAGTACAATGGACATGCACCAGGGTGACTGACCGGGATGACAGGATCACCGCGGTTCTGCAGGGCTTAGCCAAGCTTTGATGCCATGCAACATAAGGACGAGCCTGCAAATGAGGGTGAGGAGGTTCTTGTGCAATGCTGCGCAGGAATGAGCCGAACGTGCATAAGACTGAGGAGAAGCCAAATCCAGACAGGTGGCATGGCGCAGAGCTGAGCGTCACCATCCTGGGCAACTGGCAGTACTACAGAGCCAAGATCCACAAGTGTGCCTCAAATGCCATCCTCTGAAATCAACAGAAGCATGCAGGTTTGTAAATCACAGTGCTTCAAGGATACTTCTGGGTGGGGAAGTGATGTTGTGGTGCTGCATGCAGGTATCTGAGGCAGATAGCAGTCATCACGCCCTACGCAAAGTTCAGCTTTGCCTATGTGGCCGAGGACGAGAAGAACAGCATCCGCATCAACTTCACAAGGCGCACTGACAAGATGCCTGCTCCCCCCAAGGTAGAGCATCACAACACCATTGCTGATCTGACCATACATCTCTGCACAGCAACACCTGCAAGACGCCAGTTTTTGTACGATTAAAAGCATGCTTGGCAATGTGCAGGAAGTCAAGTACCATCCGGCTTCTGTGGATCTTGAGCTCATCAAGCGCCTCATTGCTGTGACCAAATGCTCAACACTGCGCCAGTTTCTGTACAAGGACTTCTCCTCGATCTCCAAAGACTATGCAGGCATGCCACCCCATCAGCCAAGCAGATTCCCAATGCCATTACACTCTCTTTCACAGCAATGCAAGGGACTGTACATCCTCAGAACAACAACAAAGATTTGCTAAGTGCTAGGGAAGGATTCTAAGGGCGGATCTGACGGTCTGTGAGTGGGCGCTGCAGGGCGGCTGATAGCTGAGATGAGGTGTGGTGTGGACGAGGACACATTCCCTGGAGAGCTGGATGACAAGCAGATAGTCAGCCTGCACCAGCTGCTGCACGAGGCCAAATTCAAGGACCCTGACAAGGACCACCTCAGCCCTGCCGGTGGGCTGCACCCCTTCCCCTGCTTGCATCCTCACTCTACCCTTTCTAGTGCTGGATTCCTGAAAGCAACCAGGGTGAAAAAGATGCTTGCCTGTCGTGCAGGGGAGTACAATCTGCGCCTGGGGATCCTGAAGGAGCTCAACCCTGAGCTTGTAGCCACGCACCAAGGTACGAGGCAGAAACAGCCTGTCTATGCACAATTGGGCAATCCATTGCCCTGACTTGGATGGCTGCCGCTCTTTGCTGACACATGCGTGGCTTTCTGGTCCACCTCATCTTCAGCAAATGTCCTGTGATGTCTCTGAGGTCTGCATCTTTGCAGGGGATGCACGCGTGCTGGAGGGTCATGCATTTGTAGTGGAGGCGGCAGTGAGCGTGGGAGGCCGGGACATCAAGCCCGGCATTAACGTGTACCGCTTTGCCAACAGAATCCCCCTGCTCTTTGAGGTGTGCTCTCATGCCATGTCGAGCGTGATTCAAAGTCTTTGCTGCCCATGTTTCATGCGCTGACAAGGAAACAATTGCATGTACAGGGGGGATCAGACGTCATCACAAGGACGGCTCTGAAGCGGATCAATTGGGCTAACTACAAGATCAACCAGACCAGTGACAAAGTGGGTGTCTTTGTCAGCATTGTGTCCACCAAGATCCCCTACAAGGGGGCAGGCAAGGAGTACATAGGTGCGGCAGATCTGCACATTCTATTCAGACGAGGTTCATCACCTACAAAATATATTCAAGTCAGGTTGCTGATGATGTTAGAGATTGTGCTGCACAGCTGATGACATGGACGAGATGGTGCATGCAGTCAAGCATGCCCTGCAGCAGTGCTGCCTGCAGGTAAAAACAACAGCCTCCCTTTACATTCCTTTCTGTCATCGTAACTTGTGGGATACTAGGATGCAGAATCTCGCCCTGTAACCGCTGCTTGCTTGTGCCCTGCAGCTGAAGGTGAAGATCACAAAGCAGCAGGCCGCGAAGGAGCAGAAGCTGCGCCGCAAGAACCTGATCAAATATGTCCCCAACGCTGCGGCTGCTGTCTTCAAGGTCCTGCAGACCATGTCCGAGACACCTGCGGTACTTACCTCCGGACTTTTTTACCCTTCAGCACTGCATTTCATTGTCTACTTTGCTTGCCACCAGGCCAGCCCTTTGAAATCCATACCCTTTGGCTGCTACACATTCAACCCTCAGATAGAGTGGATGTGCTCTGATCCACTTATCTTCTCTTTTGTCTGCTTCTCTTCATGCCCACTATACGGTGCCTTGGGTCGCGAAGCCTTTTCTATAACGGCTTCATGGGAATGCTACAAAACAATCCTGGATGATCAGGGCATGCGCACTGCAGTGCCACGGGATCCAATATGGTGGATATCTGGCGGATCTGACTGGGGCCATGTCACGTGCAGGTGGGCCCCAAGCGGCGGCGGATGGAGACAGACAATGACATCCTGGGCCCCGTGAAGAGGCGTGAGGTGGAGGAGGGAACGCTGGTGCAGCGCCTGACCGAGTACGTTGAGCGCATCGACACCGACATGGTGCGCCCGCTCGCTGGCGTTGTCACGGCCAGACTCTTCTTGTTTGGGGTTGTGCACATTCCCAGCCCCAGTCGGTCAGGCACATCAGATTGCTTCCAGCCCTTGGAACAGCTGAGGGCTGATGTGATGCCTGATGCTCGTTTCAGAGTCAGCGCTGAGCATGACGAAAAATAGATGCTCACAACGTGAAATTTCAAATATTGACGGAGTCAGCTTGCTAGAAATACTCCTGTGCTAATTTGATGGCTCTTTGGGCCCTTTCTGAGCTGAGCTGAGCTGAATTGTCTTGGCCGTGAGGGTGGTGAGCATTGCATGAGCAGGCGCTGGAGTACCAGATGCAGCAGGGGATGGCGGAGGGCATGCAGCAGCCGCTCTTCCTCATGCCGCAGACGGCGCTGCATAGCTACGGGCCGCCGCTGCAGGGGACTGCATGCACAGTCTGCCTGCTCAGCGTGGGATGAATCAGAAATGCAACCCAGAAGGATTTTTATGAGAAAGAAAGAGAGAAAGAGAGAGGGAGGAAAAGCAACAGAGAGGAGGTCACACAGTTTACTGCCATTGTGCGTTTCTTGTGTGTACTTGCGTATGTATATCTGCCATGGTTTTGTGCTCGTGCATGGGAACTCAGGAATGTACTTGTCTTTAGGGGGTCTGAGTATGGTGCTTCAGCCTCGCTGTTTCAGTAGCCTGCTTCTTAAATGTGCGTGAAGTCTGCACAAAATATTACTTTAGAGGGCTTCCTTGCTAGAGTCGTGCTAGCATCTCACGGAAGTCGTGTCAGCCAAACATATAGCTTGAGCTTGGATATATCATGAAAGGTTTCCTGCGCGGTGTGAAGGAACGTTATGCGATAAAGGCGATAGAGTGACACAAGACGTGGCATCCATTTGTTACAACATGTTCCATCATGTGACAGAACAATAGATCAGCAACACATACTGTACAGCAGTGCTGTAAGAGATGTATAGGGTTCACTCAGTCGTTATACTCCTCCTTAGTGCTCTTCTCTTTGACAGCTCAATTTCAAGCTCAGTCCTGCTCCTTGGGACGCTCTGTGTTGAGCCAGTTGGCCTGCCACTGCTTGTCGTAGAAGGTGGCCTCGTCCAGGAGGTTCTTGAGGGAGGCGAGCGAGTCACTGGAGCGGAAGATCAGGATGGCAAACACAACCAGGTGCAGGGCCAGCTTGCCCAGGAAGCTGTTCTGCTGGTCGTACAGGCCTGCACCCGTCCAGCTGTCCACAAAGTACGCAAGGAAGTATCCCACCATTGCCGCGCGCCCGTTGGCCTTCTCAGCCTGCACATGAGACACGAATGCAGGGGTGTCAAGCAAGTTCTCTTGTCCTCTTTCTTTTGTTTTTTTCAGCACCCTGTCATGCATGGCTGCCATGTGATCAGAACCCCATGCATGCGATTGCCAGGTTGCCAGCTGTATCCAAATGCAAGGCATAGCAGGGCATTGAAGCTGTTAATGTGCTGTGAGAAGCCTATTCATGATATCACAATGACAGAGCATCATGTGTGGGAACTGATCAAGGTATTACTGCTTAGTAAAAGCTCATGAGAGGGCTCTCAAGGCTGGCGCAAGAATCTTGAGGAGAAAAGGCAAAACAGAACACATGGATCATGGAGTGTGGTGAGGCTATGTGCACACCTCTGGCAAGTGGAAGCGCTTGACCCATGCCCACCAGGGGATCTGGGCGGTGTCAAAGAAGACAGGGTCTTCGTTTGTGCTGGGGATGGGGCTGTCTTCTAAGAGCCTCCGGCGGGCCATCTCCGCATCTATAACCTGTCGGCAGAACAGCAAGCATGATCAACGTTTGGCCGATCATCATAAAGGGGATTAAGTGCATTTATTCTACAAATTGTTAGACAGGCCAGTAGTGGTTAGGCAGTCTCACCAGGTCCCAGTTGACCTTCCCATCCTGGGCCTTGAAAGCACTGGACTCAAGGTCCCACGAACCGTTGATCCAGCGGTAGTCGCTATACTTCCCATCGACGATCTGATTAGTTTGCTGACTCGCTGAGCCAGCAGGCACTGCTGATGATGCAGCAGTCGCTGGGGCCTGTGGAAGACAAACACCACCTCACGAAATGCTGTACTCGCTTTCCGGAACCTCGACAATGTATGCTTCAATGATGTGTCAAAAATCAAAATAGCTATTCTGACAACATCAGCCCAGACTACTCCAAGTGTCATAACATCCGTGTCTAGCATTACCTTCGCCTGAGGTGCGGCCGCAGTGGTTGCGGCTCGCATCAATGTCCTGCGAGAAATTGAAACCGTTTAAAAAACTGTATTATTTCCTATAAATCAGAACGCCATCGATATGCTCTAGTGAACAACATTGCAATGGTCAACTTTTACCTTGTACTTCTGCGTCTGCATGTTGTTGCGCGTTGATGGGACAGCGACAAGCATTGCAACTGCCCACCAACTACTGCGAAAGACATCTTGAAATCACTTTTTTGTTTCAACAAGATGGTGCCTAGCTAACTGACAACATTATCCGATCCTCTATCCGATGAGTTTAGCGACCCTTCCCACGTGGCCCTACTGCACGTGCGATCACGCGCCTTAATCTGCCTAGCCCTCAGTGGAACACAGAAGACGATGCAGCATTCGAATTGCAGATCGAATATGATGGCAATATGATACCCTGGAGGAGTGAGGCGCTCTGCACCACTTCCTGATCGATGGTGCGACACCCACAAAAAGGTAACTACGTGCTGCCTAGAGGCAGTTGATCATCCTTAATTATGGCAACTTTGATTAGAAATCTAGAACAAATGTCAAGCCATATGTCGTTGCAGGAAGAGATACGCCGCTGCCAAAAGTATCCAAAAAGGGAGAGCTTTCAGTGACATATCTCAAAGAGAAGGACGTGTTCACAGTGGAAGGCGTCCTGACACCTGAAGAGGCACAGAGGATTGTCGATGCTGCTGAACTGAGGGGGTTTGAGAATCAGGGATCTCGCGGCCCTGCGTTTGGGGAGGTACATGTGGCCAGCGCCCTCTCAGCAAGACTTACTGTCCCAAAGCTTAAAGCAAGATAATGCAATGCTCTAGCTAATATTTTTGGCTGCACATCAAGTGCTGCTCGAGCATAAGAGAACACACTGTAATGCGCAGGCAGTGAGAGACAATGGCAGGATTTCGCTAGAGGACAAGGCGTATGCTGATCATCTGTGGGTAGCCACTGGCTTACAAGCAGTGTTTAGACACGTCCAGGAGGAAGGAAGGCAACCGCTTGGCCTCAATCCCAACATTAGAATCTACAGGTGACCATCCTCTGCCATGTTCGGGAAGGCAAGCCTGATAAATGATTGATTATGGGGGACCTTCTGACACGCAATTCGACACAGGTACACTGCAGGACAGAAGTTTGGCCAGCACTACGATGACTCGGTGTTGTTGGGCGATGGACAGGAAACGGTGTACACTGTCCTCATCTACTTGTCTGGCATGGACAGCCGTGCCCTTGTAGGAGGGGAGACTGTATTCTATGGTGCGAGCACCCTCTCATATATCCTTCCAAAAAAGTTTAGATGCTGCCTTTCTATGAGTACGCTTCACAAGCTGAAACAAGGTGTACTCGGGATGTGCTTGTGCCTGATAAAGTGACAGCGACATAATGTCTCCAATGCTTGCAGGAAAGCGAAGCAAAGTGGTGGCATCTGTTGTGCCCAAGACTGGCATGGCACTCCTGCACAGACATGGGGATGACTGCCTCTTGCATGAGGGCAAAGCAGTGAAGTCTGGCATCAAGTATCTGCTTAGAAGCGATGTGGTCTTTGGATTCACATAGTGCCAGTGATCCGATGCCGCCATGGAAAGCAGGAGCTAAAACATCCCTTGTGATAGACATTGCTCTAGGGCACCCGCAGTGATTGAGAGGTCAAGCACATTGAGATTGTCATGAAGTAGAGTTCTATAAAAGCTGCCAGCCACAGTGTGATCATGACTCATGAGCAATGATTTGATGAAGGGAATACTGCAGAGGCAGACTCAGCCTAGCCAGCTGGCCTGAGAGGCATAAGAGGCTTGAGAGGCTCGCCCAGGTATTTGTACTATCATTTGTAGAGCACCTTTGTGATCGGTATCTGTTCAGCAAGTTGCCAGTGCCACGTGGCGCTTAGAGCATGCTCTGAGGAGTGAGTCACCATGACGGTTGTAGAGATATTCAATGTAACATGCCTGCCAAAGATGCAGTACTGTAAAGAGCATGCTTTGGGGATTCGTGGAGTTTAAATCGAAGTGGAGGTCTCTGCAGAGGCATGCAAAGTCCAGATTGGGATAGCTTCCCCATTGGAGGAAGCTGTCAAAATTCACGAATTGCAAACGGCAAACCACATTTAGGATTTGCCCTGCCTTCATAATCTCGATTCCCCGACTATGTTAGCTTGTAGCAGAACTTTGTAGTTCTTCAGAGAAACGTATCGTGCATACGATTGCAGGCTCTGTTAGGAAGTCGAATTTCTCGTCGAACTCACCGTATGCTCGACCTCTCTTTGCCCTCACCTTGCTCCGGATGTGTGCTTAACATATTGTAATACGGTGGAGGGGATCATTCCTGTGTTAAGACACTACTCCACAGCCATGAAAGGAACTCCTGAAGTGACTGATCTGCTGGGGGGGATCGCAGATAGGCGAGAGCTGTGCACAGTAAGCATGGCAGGTGGTTCAGAGAAAAATCTCAAGGCTGTTCCGGGGAATCACACAGATGTTGACCCAGCTACAAAAGACTTTGTCTTCCAGCAGGTTAGAAGGTCCATCAAGCAGTGCTGCACCAAAAATTTTCTGAATCTCATGTGCCTTCAGTCTCCAGTCTGACATCAATGAGTTTCCATCTTACAGACTATGTACCGTATCAAGGATCCCGAAAGGTCAGTGGACTTCTACACCCGCGTCATTGGCATGCGGTGAGTAAAGGTTGCCTTTGCTTTGATCGAGCTATGCATGAACAGCTGCTCTCAAGAAGGATGCCAGTGCAAATTGTGCTGCTCACAGGTTGCTCACGAAGCTGGACTTTCCTGAGATGAAGTTTTCCCTCTACTTCCTGGGATTTCATTCTGCTGATGCAACCCCTGAGGACCCTGCTGACAGGGTGAGGATTGACTCTCAACCAGCTCTTTGGCTTCTTCGACAGATACTTGCTGGGAAAATATATCTGTGGCCAAATATCCCAGTTCCAAATATACAGGCATTGCTTCTGCAGGAATCGTTTTTGTAAAATTTCTGCAATCTGAAAGCACCATGTTTGGTCCAGGTGGAGTGGATGTTCTCTCAGCCTGCAACTTTGGAGCTGACCCACAACTGGGGGACAGAGAGCGACGATAACTTCAAGGGGTTCCACAGTGGCAACGATGAACCAAAGGGATATGGTGGGCTGCTCCATCTTTGATGATCCTGTGATTGCCAATTCGGTCGAACCTCCGTCCAAAATTGTCCATTCATGCAGTGCATGGCTTTTCTTCTGTTCGATTTCACATGTCCTTCAATAGCCAGGAGATGTTTATGCGTTGTTAATAGCACCAGCCAAGATCACAGAGATCAGCATGAGCTGGTGCGCTTGCAGGTCACATCGGCCTCGCAGTGCCGGATGTTGAGGCGGCATGCAAGCGCTTTGAGGAGTTGGGAGTGGCTTTTGTGAAGAAGCCCAACGACGGCAAGATGAAGCACATTGCCTTCATCAAGGATCCCGATGGTTACTGGATCGAGATCCTCAACCCCAAGAATTCCAGGCAGTTTGCCTAGACACTGGTCCTTGAATTCACTCAAGGAGTGCCTCATTGGTGATCTAAAAATACACTGGACAGATGCCATATGAAAACCTGTTCCTGGTGTCCGTACAGACAGTTGCCGGGTTTAGCTAGGGGCAGAAAAAATATTAGAAAGATATTTTGGTAGCTGACAGCAGGGTAATTCAACTGGCAGGTGTAGCAGTGTAGGTGACGCCAATGCATTTGGCAGCAGTCAGGTTTCTGCAGGCATGACAGTTGCAACCACTGACAGCCTGTCACTGAGCGGCAGTGACTTTCTCTCGGGATGCAGAGTTATTGTTGACTGACACCAGCCTAGCCTACCATGAATTTGATGTTGATCCTTGAGTGCCTATTAGTCATCTTGTCATTACATCCGGTATGAGGTCTCCACATCGCAAGAGGTTGCATGCATGCAGCGCGCCGCGCGCTAGTGCCGCACTCACCATCATGATGCCGCTAGCGGCTAGCGGCATCCGATGAGTCATGATGGTGATCCGATAATGAGTCATGACATTGATGCAAGCAACATTTCATGCAAAAAGCTTGCAATGCTGTTTTTACAGTATTGCATTGTATAGATGAGATGCAAAATCCATCAAACACCTCAACGTAAAATTTGGAAGCTTCCCCTTTAGGGAAGTCATTTTGAAGCTGAGGGATACGCCTGCTTGCCTCTGAATCTGAATCATGTTCATGTAAACTCCTGGCGCGAGAAGCTCGAAGCGTCCAATCCTCCGCCTCTAAATTCGAGTGTAGATTTTGTGGATCAGTTGTTACGTTTGTAAAATTATCCGATAAAGAACAGACGAGATGCGGGTCATCCCAGTGCCAATGCTTTCGGACAACTACTCATACCTGTGAGATCATCTCTCGATAATTTACCATCGGCTTTCTGAACGATTTTTTTAAGTTATAATTTGTGAATGCCTGCATCACAGGTTGGTGGACAGGAATGGAGTCACAGCTGCTGTGGATCCTGTTGAGCCTAGTAAAGTCATTGAGGCTGCCAAGAAGGAGGGACTGCAGATCTCAAGTGTGCTGACAACGCATCACCATTGGTGCGATCTTTGAAGACCTCAATTGCCCCGTGATTTCAGAACTTTTGCATGTAATGTCGACTTCCATAGTAAGTGCACTTACCATTCAAGCGCCTACTTGCTGTGAATTCACAGGGATCATGCTGGTGGTAATGAGGAGATAGCAAAGCTCATTCCTGGCATAGAGATCATAGGGGGAGAGCACGACAATGTCAGCGCTGCTACAAGACAGGTTGCAAACAATGAGGACATTACAGTGGGCGACATCTGCATCAGATGCCTCGAAACACCATTGTACGTGCCCCTTCCTGTGGCACAGCTTTGGACAGACATGACTACCGGAATCTCTTTGAGCATGGCGTGATGGTTCTGACAATATGCTTCCTGTTCCGCAGCCATACCTTGGGGCACATCTGCTACCTGTGCAGTGAAGAGGGTACCTCAGAGCGCAACATTTTCACCGGCGACACTCTCTTCATTGGGGGTTGTGGAAGGTATGGCTCTACATCATGCATCATCTGACTTGGATTGTGTATTACCATCATCATGCCTGCCATGGGAATCTGGTGAGATGCACGAGAGCTGGAACTGAGAGCTGCAGCTGCTGGTGTGACAGGTGCTTTGCTGGGACACCTGAGCAGATGTATCAGTCCCTGATACAGACGCTGTCAAAATTGCCTTCTGACATCAAGGTAAATGTCATACCTTTCTGCATCTTTTCACTTGTGCATGTATGGAGGTACAATGTCGTCCATACATGACCTGGAATTTTCTGCGCAGGTGTGGTGTGGCCATGAGTACACAGTGAAGAATCTGGAGTTTGCTGCAGCTGCAGGTAATTCTGCTTGGTGTTCTGCTCAGAGCTTCGTAATCATGTGATCACCATTCCTGATGCTATTCAGAGTTCCATGTGCGTCACACAGACAAGGACAACAAGGCTGTGGCAGACAAGCTTGAGTGGGCAAAGGCTCAGCGCGCAAAAGGGCTCCCAACAATTCCCTCTACAATAGGGGTATGCCTCTCTGCACCAAAGAAGATTTGCCTCTATTTACACCTCTACAGGAAGCGGCAGATTTCCCCACCAATCTGTATGGTGATCTTGGTGTCAGGGGGAGCTCAGCTACAATCCCTTTTTGAGGTGTTCAGAGCCGGCCATTGCACAATGGTGTGATTTGCCGGGTGCACCGCCAAAGCGAGTGCTTGCCAAGCTTCGCAGCAAAAAGGACTCCTATGGCCTCGGAGCAGCTGCCACCACTCGCGTTTTGTCATTGCTGGCATATTTCCCTCCTGCGCTGCGGCATCTTGGCATCAATCGATGACCTGACTCGGACTTATGCTGAGGATGCAAATCGTCAGGCTAGCAATTTCCAAGGTTTCAATGCTGCCATATTGCTGTCTTAATGCTGAAGAGAACTTCAACATGGTTGATATTCTGCGTTAGGATGTTCTGCATAAATGGTCTGTTGTGGCAAGCATTTAGTATGCAACAAAGGTTCTTCCTTTTTGATTACAAGGATTGCTGCGACGCTGCAGAGCGCCTATGCATGCACCTTTCAGATTGGCAAGCATCTATTGTGCTGACCTGGGGTCTCAATTGTGGTCGCAGGAGGAGCTGGGATTTAATCCTTTCCTGCGCATCTCTCAGCCGCAGATTGTGGCATACTCTGGGGGAAGCTCAGACCCTGTTGAGGTCCTCGCAGCACTACGCCGCAAGAAGGACAAATTTTGAGCCCACAAGACAAGGCCATTCGCAGGTCTAGATCCGATCTTCACTGAGGCATTCAGTGACTCTACTCCAAAGTTTCTCTAAGCCTTGCAAATTGGGATCACTTCGCAGTCTGTAAGTCAAAAACATACCTAGCGTTGATGCCTGGCAAGTTAATGCTGTCGCTTCAGTGTATACAGCTGTCATCAATACTTACTGCATGCCTCTAGCATTATCATCATCATCATGCCACATGGATGATCCACTGGAGATGGTGTGACCATTGATGATTGTAGAGTGTGCTGATTGGTGCTAGCAGCGCCGTTCAGCCATCTGAATATTGAGATGGTGACCAGGTCAGGTGGCAAATATGTCTTTTCTGGTAGATGATCTGTCAGGCTGTCATGCATGCCACACAAACCCATTGGGAAGGATGGTTTCAGGGAAGGGTGCTTTGTTTCTGCTTTGAACACCTTGGATTACTGCTTCCGGAACCCTAATTCTCGGACTGCCCACATCACGACAGCCTCGATCTTGGACGTGCGAAGATCGTAATATGCGTCCTTTTGGCCTGGAAAGCTTTGACCTGTAGGAGCATGATTCAATGGGGGCGTGTACATCCAGACCTCAGGTTGTGCTTACGGAAAGAGGTCGTGACTTAGTTGCAAGCTCCTTGGACCGAGACAATGAGGGCTACGATGACTTTCCTGCTATCGCACCAGTGAGAGTATTCCGAGATGATCAGGTAAAACAGCATATAGAATGTCAGTACCTACCTGCCGGTTGAGAGTTGTGACTGGGAGACCCACGATGAGATCTTGCTTCGGATGATCTGCAGGAAGCGGGAGTAGCTATTACAACCTCACCCAGCGGCACACTGCTTTTTGGAGTTGAAGATGACCTTGAAAAGGCCAAGGCAGCTTCGCTCCTACTTCAGAATTCCCTGAAAGGCCATGAAGCTGAGAAAGAATTGGAGAATTTGGCCCTGCTGCAAAGCATGGGGATAGAGGTATCTCTCATCGTCGCCTCCATTCCAATCGCTTCAAACTTTCTAAATAAGCAAAGTATTCAGTGCTAATCAATTGAGCTGCTTCTGTCAGGTCCGCTACTCCTCATCAACGCCCTTCATTGGCAAGCTCACCCTGAAATTCCTGGAGGTGACCAACACGAAACATGGTGAGACTTTCCCCCTTGTACCCCTACAATCTTCCTTCGTCAATTCCAGTAAAGCTCACACCTGTGGCGCATTGAGGCAGCGGACTCATCTTGCACTGATTGCACCGCAGCCGAGCACACCTATGTCAAGGTGCGGTGTGAGGGGGATCGCGGGCGGCCCATCTACGCCACTGCCAAGAAGGAGGGGCAGGAGGACGCGGCTGTCTTTGAGGACGCGGTCTTCATCTTCATCATTCTGCACAGCAACGCGCACTTGCTGATTAAAGTGCGAGACACCAAGGAGAACGGGTTCTATGGCCAGGTGGGTTCCCCTCTGCTCCATCTGTCCTAAGACTTGACCTCATCTGTGAGTTCCTTCAGTCGTGCTTTTTTGCAGAGAGTTGGCCAAGGAAGAAAAGAGCTGTGCTGACAGCGCAGCTGAAGTCTTGAGGCTGTGATGCATTCCACAGGTCAAAGTGCCCATCAAAGATTTGGAGGAGGGCACACATGTCCGGTCCTTCTCCCTTCTTGCTCCCAGAGACAGCGCCATGACAGTTGCATCGATCACGGTAGGCCTCCTCACAGCCCTTGAAGGATTCATGTGCATGACACATTCTCTGTGCGGTTGCTCTGTGAATTGAAGTCACAATATAAGACAAGATCGCTGTGTAGGCGTCTGTCACCTACGAGTACTTGAGGGGCACCAAGGATGAGGGGTCATACAATGGACCCTCTCGGGTGCTCATCAACAAGCGGCGAATGAGAGACTTCAAGGTATGCATTCTGTGAAGCCAGAATTCTCTTTGTCAAAAGCATGGGCGTGTGCTCAGCTACTGAAGAGGATTGGTTGCTGCAGGAGGGGGGGCCCAAGTCTGCCTTTGAGTACATCAGCCAGCAGAACCACTGGATGCTGTCCCATGACAACGTTTGGAACCCACTGTCAGCAGCGGCTCCTGAAGGTGTGCTGGCAATCTTGCAAGACGCTCTCATGGCGATCCTAAAATGAGCACCTCTAGCTTATATGTACCTGTATAAACATTTATGATTACCTGCCTGACTTGTGGTACTGGATCTCAAGTCCCTTCACTGCTTCCATCATAGATATTGAGGAGTGGTTACCCTGAGGCCCCATATGTTGTAGCAGGCCAGCAGATTGCTGCTATGAGCACCAATAGCACAGCAAGGTCACTGGGGTCACTGACCATGCTGCAAAACTGTCAACAGGGGCAAGGTTGATGGGAGTTGTAATGGTCAACTTCGACGGATGAGATGGTGGTTGCAGGGAGCGGGAATGATGATGACGAGGACCTGTCATCGCCTGTGGCGCGGCGGGGCCCGTCCAGCATGAGCTTCCTGCAGACGCAGAGCGGCAACATGCAGGGCGTGGGAAAGCAGGCTCTATATCGGCGCGCTGTGTCCTCGGCCAAGCGCGAAGACGGCAACGCCGCCATCAACACCCTGACCGAGACCACCCTGCTGGACGCCCTCGCGGCCAAGGTGGGACTGCTTTCATTGGACGGCTCAACTGTTGGGCACATCCCGGGCACTCAAAACGCCATCTTGTGCATGTGCATAAGATGGACTGGGCACATCCCTGTCATCGCACCTTGATAGCGCAGCGAGAGAGAAAGTTGGTCATGTGTGTCTGGAAATGCAGTCCAAAGATACTTCCAAGGAGCCAGCAGGAATGTGATTTGACTCTGTAGGAGCTAGCAGAGTCCCTCACAGGCAAGAGGAGGACCTCTCTGATGCCTGTAATTGCACCGGCTGCATGCTTGGTAAAAGATTGAGCGTGTTATTTTCTAATGGAGCGCAGGAGAATGAGAGGGGGGATGTGAGGGAGCTGAAGCAGGAGCTGTTGGCGCTCATGCTGGCCATGCACCAGCGCATACAGAGCCTGGAGACACTGCAGGACCAGCAGAACTCGGCCATCCAGGTACATCAGTGGCCAGCATGGCCTGGGCCGGAGTATCTCCCAGCAAAGGGGATCTGCTTTGTCATTGAAAAGATGCATGAGCACGGATGTTGGCGCTGCGAGGCATTGCCGGATGGTCTTTGACTCTGGTGTGTGTGATGCTCATGCAGGACTTGATGAAGGGCCTGGCAGCCTCGACAGGCCAGGAAGCCGGCCCTGAAATAGACAGGCAGCCCTTCATCAGCGGCACTTTCGAGTATGGAATGGGCCGGCCGGCAGCAAAGCGGAAGGTGTGCTTCTCAGCTCCTGGCCTGCTTTTCCTCAGAGACACCACAGTCTTTCTTATTACTTGATGCAGAGACACCGCTCGGACTCCGCTCAAAACTATGTGCTTTGATGCAGATATACTTGTTTGCCAACAAAGCGCAAGATCAGGAAGCGCTCACAGCCGCCACGGTGCAGTTCATGGGAGTGTTCAAGTCGGACAAGCGGGTAAGCTATTGCTCTGATGCAAATCACATCACTCTGATGCATGCAGTTTTCCCTCACGACATGGGCTGACCAGTAAGACAATCCCCGTAAATGCAGGGAAAGCTGAACAGTGTGCCGGTGCCGCTCAAGATAGCAAACACGCCTGGGCACTACTCGATCGTGGGTCTGCTCCCAGAAGACCACACCTTCAGCAAGGGGTCCCTCTTCATCCTTGCTCCAGGCACCAAGTGTGTCATCTTCGACCTTGATGGTAAGCATTGCTGGCATACCTGCCGAACAAGGGCACCCTATTTCCTTGCAATGCAGGAACAGGAAGACACATGGACACCGCTGCCCATGAAAATGGTAGATGCATAGATGCCAATATTCTGCATGCATCTTTCTCTGTCCGCACAAACTCAGGTAGTATGATCGTCTGGTTGCGATCTATAGATTGATGGATTTCTTGCACAGGGACGATCACTGTGGGAGATTATGAGGTGGTGACTGTCTTTGCTCTGGACAGCATGGCAGCAGGCACCTCTGCTGCAAACGCACTCAGCCACAAGTATGACGTGAAGGCGCGCATGCATGCACTCCACGCTGTGCGAGCCTGGGCAGCAAAGGGGTACCAACCCATCTACTTGTCAGGGCGCCAGGGGTGAGGACCTCGCTAGTGTAGCACCAATTCTGCTCCCTCTGCTCATTAGCAAACTTGGGATAATATCTTGAAAAAGGACGGCTCCCAACTTCCTTTCTGCATACAAGCAATATGGCAAGACCTGTTAAAAGCGGAGCTGTGATGAAGAATGATGATGTGCAATGCAGGTCATACTACAACTTGACGCTGGAGTGGCTGATCAGACACAACTACCCCCCAGGGCCCATTCACCTGACGAGGACACACATGCCCACTCTTCCAGTCTACTACAGCGTGGGCAACTTCAAGGTGAGACACTCTCCCTTTGTACACTTGATCCTCATGGATTGGAGACAGAGTGAATCACTACTCTGTGCGTCTTGCAGCCTGCACAATAGTCACTCCTGCTGCTGTGTGCAGGTGGCCTACATGGAGTCGCTGAAGGCCAAGGGGCTGGAGCTCTTCGCTGCCTATGGCAACACAGGCACAGACGCCAGAGCCTATGCTGCTGCAGGCATCCCAAAGGTGCTGCACTGCATTTCCCCAGTGACACAGCATTACGGTATGCCTGTATGCCGCAATAGTCAGCACTTGATTTGGATGCAGTGAATTTGCAGGGTGCTGATGTGTGCACATGTCAAACTGATAATCTTGCATTGTTCGGCCCAGGAGCGCACTTTCATGGTGGGGCCGCATGGCGGCAAGTGGGACACTGTCAAAGTGGACAACTTCACAGGTGGGTTCTGTTCACGAGCTTTTTGTTACCCTAAGCTGGCATTCCCTTTGCAGCCTGTCAGCCTCCTGCTTGTACTTGTGCTTGCAGACCACATTCCGGACATCTTCAAGTTCCCAGACGCGGAGGTGCCCATCCCATACACAGAGCTGCTCATCACCGCCGTTCCAGGCTACAAGAAGGTGGCCAAAGGTATGCTTCACCATTGTGAAACTATCCTCCTACGATCCTGCCATCATGGCACAGTGCTTTGGAAGCCTTTCACACTTGGGATTGGGAGGGACTGGCTGGCCATTACTACAAAATGCTACAAAACACTACAAAGAATTCAGTGCCCCCCCAAGAAAATTTAAGGCATTAAGGCAGGGCCATAGGCCAGCATCCTTTTATTTGAAAGACTTCTGGCTTTCACTTGACTCTTCTACATTTGCATGTCCAGCTGAAAGCTTTGCACCTGAATTCTCTGGAGAGGTCTGCTTTGGTCACCAGTCTGCATGGAACAGGGTTTGAACCTACGGCGCTCGTAATCAGGACAGGCTCTGAATTATGAAAATATCTGTCCAACAGGTGAGAGGAAGGGACGCACGTCAAAGAATTTCCAGGAGAGCCTGTCCACGCTGTCAACAGCCACCACAGACTCAGTGGAGGATCCGGACGCCACTCTGAGCGTCAGCGACTCAGCAGACGTCGAGGAAGATGACAACGATGACTCAGATGCTGACGAGGCCACCTCAGGCCCTCCTACAAGTAATGCTCCTCCTGGGAACGTGCACTTGCATGCCTGGCACCGCTCCACTGCGTGGAGCAGTAAATAGTTGGCAGCTGTAAATGTGAAATTTTGTTGCTTGCAAATCCATCTTTTGCACCCTCACCTGGCCCTTGCTTCACGCTGAGAATTTATGTCTGCTATAGAGATGATAGGCCAGAAGTCAAGCTTGTGACTTTGTTTTCTGTAGGCGCAAATGGACGCATCCTGCCAGCTATGGAGAATGGGAGAGGGTTTTCTGCACAGATACAGGACAGCTCTGGCCAACAGTGATTGAAACGTCAAAAGGTCATAGAATGAAGAGGAACAAGAGTCGCCCTAGCTATGGGTCACCAATTAGTGGCCATTTCAACCCAACCCATATTGAACATATTTTTTGAATAGGGCAGAGCCAGCAAGTGAAAGATGGGAATTGAGCTCAACAGCAGTTGAAGGGCATTTTTTGTGAAAACAAGCACTGGCGGATGAAGTCAATCAACAGTCTTGCAATTGCCTTGTGTGTGCGTGTGAGTAAATTTAGGGGCAGCTAAGGGTGCCAGCAAGTTCAAGTTGTTGTTCGGGACCAAGTGAGAATGAGATTTAGGTGTGATGGTGTAGCATACTGATTGAGCTCCGCACCGGCATAGGCGCATATGCATGCATGCGATTGAAATGACTTTATCCTGCTTAGGGCCATGACTTATTTACTCACTTACGGACATTGCATACTGAAGTTGCTCAATCTTTTCAATTAGCGCATGTCAGCGCCGTCTTCATGTTAATCATTTAAAGATGTGCTGAGGAACAGCATGGCGATCATGATATAGGTCCTATATCATGATCATGGCCTCCTGCAGAGCCTGCAGCTCCTGCGGCAGGAGTGGACCCTGGTGTATGCATGTTTCAAGCATATCATGTCACAGTGCAGTCAATACCAGCGTGCGCTTAGGAGCAGCCTGCGCAGGATGAGGCCATGCAGTGCATGCAGGAACTTGAGTGCTGCCCTATCATACTTTCGCAATCCCACATGCTTTGATGAAGGATGCATATGGCTCACCCTTAGTATCACTCCCGTCACGGGAATTCCATATTGCAATTGGGACTAGCTATCACCCTGCGACAAATCGGCACAGTGCATGACGCCGGCCGGCCGTGGCGCCGCGGTGCCAGTGTATTGGTGGAACGAGCTTCCACTACAATAATCTCTGCCTACTGAAGGCAAACACTGCAGATGTGAAAATGATCCGTGGCCCTGCAAGAAAATCAGTGAACAATTTGATGATCCTGCTTCCGTGAAGGAAGGAAGGAAGATTACATCACTCCCAGCCGCCTAGGGCTGATTTGATGAACTGGCAGCATCCAAATAATCAAAACAATCCATCACAAAATGTGCAACACCAACGATGTCCAACTGCCACATGAATTGCTGCATCGTCACAATGTCTGCACCAAACAGCCCAGGATATCTGTCCCGAACAGATTGCAAGGCAGGGCACTCAAACACAAGGTGGCGCTCATCCCCAATAACCTGCTGGGCACAACGCATGCACAAACGCTGGGGCCGGGGAACCCTGGCCCAGCGGCCCGAGACATTGGGCAGACTATGACAACCCATCCTGAACTTCAACAATATACGCAAGCAACGGGCACTCAAAGGCTGCTGTAAGAGCTGGCAAGGGTGGCGCACACAAGCTGGCCTAGTAAACCATCTGTGATATGTACACAAGGTGGCATTGCTGGACGGGCAGGTCCTAGGGCAAATGTCAATGTCATCCCAAACCTGCATTGCTTGCGCATCGAGCAGCTGCATCACAGCAGCAACTTCTACAGGAACAAGGGTGTCAAACCGAATAACAAACTCATACCCAATCCGGCGCAAGCCCCGCATGAAGGCCCAAGCCCAATTCTTAACATTACGGGTTATGGCATCCCAACAATCATCAAGGGCCACCTGCCTGTGAAAATTATTTGCAGGCAAGGCAGCCAAATTGTTCCAGAACTTGATAATGCGCCGCCACCACACACAATCAAGGGTCTGCTGATTCAACTCCTTAAGCAAGATGGCACCATGCACAGAGGTGGGGACGCCAGCAATGTCTCTCAGAATTTTCAGGTGAGAGGAGGCCAAGGCAGCCCGGCCCCGCCGGCTGTCGCCACCAGGAAGGCTGCGCAGGCCCCACACCTCACAACCGTAGGAGGCAGTCGGCGGCACACATGCATCATATAGGCGCAACAACAGGCCAGCTGACATGCTGCCATGCAACTTCCCATATTGCTGCCTGAGCTGTGCCCACGCACCCCACATGTTCCTGTGAAGCTTGCCAAAGGTGAGATTAATGCCTTGGACACCGTCAAAAAGGGCACCCAGGTACTCAAACTGCTGAACCCAATGTAAAGGCGCACCACCACAAAGCCACTGAAAAGGTCCTGGCAAACTGGAAGAGAACACCACAATCTTTGTTTTGTCAACACTTATGACCATTCCCGTTTGTTCACAAAACTCAGCAGCTGCATCAATCAAGCGTTGCAAATGAGCAGGTGTGGTGGCGAGCAAAGCAAAGTCATCAGCATAGCCTAGATCTGGTACACAACTGCCAGTACGCAACTGCGGGCCAACCCCAGGGCACCTCTGCAGCAAGTGCCTGTGCAAGCCATCTGCAAACAAGCCAAACAGCGTGGGGCTAAGGGGGCAACCCTGCTTCAATCCTGTCTCAGAAGGCAAACTAGGACCCTTCTTGCTCCCAATCTTCATGGCAACCGTAGAATTGGCATACAAAGACTGAATGGCAGAGAGCAGGCGGCCATCAATGCCCAGGCGACGCAAACTCTCCCAGAGCAACACCCGATTCACTCTGTCATAAGCACCCTTCAGATTAAGAAAGCAACAATACAAGGGCTGCTTAGCATGGTTTTGCCGGTCGATAAAATGCTGCAAGGTGAATAGCTGGTGGGCCGTAGACAATTTTGGCCTAAAGCCAGCCTGTGTGGCTGCACGCAATCCAGCCCCCTCTGTGTACTTCAGAACACGAGCATTCAATATGCCAGCATACAAGCGCATGATGGGCTCAGTAACGGCAATGGGTCTATAATTGAGCATGTCAAGCTTGCTGCCTTTCTTGTGCACAGGGGTGATCAGGCTACCATTCACAGAGGGTGGCACTTGCCCAGCCACAAATGCAGAGTTCAACACAGCCACCAAAGCAGGCGCCAGGACATTCTCCGGAGGAGGCATGCCTGGCGCCCGCTCATCTTTTGCATACCGAAACAGCTCAGCTGGTAAACCTTGCACTCCGGTGGCACGACCATTGTGTAAACTTTTGAGCCCAGCAAGCACCTCCCCAAGAGAGATGGGTGCATTGAGAGTATCAACATGGGCGACAGGAGCACTGGGCTGGACAGGGAAAGACAAGTGGGGCAGCTCAGCAATGACTGGCAACTGCAAGTTTGCAACCCGCTCAAGATAGCCAGCCCACAATTGCACTGGCTTGAGCTGCTCAGGTATATCAGACTGCTGAGACTTGAGCCGCTTCCAGAAGGCTCGGGGGTCACTGTGCAAATCATCAAGCAGGCGTCGCAATTGCGCGAGCCGGTGAGCGCGCCGTTTGTGGCGGACGGTGTTGTGGTAGGCACGCTCCAGCGCGCGCACTTCGGCAGGATCGCCCCCGCACCGCGCGCGGGCGCGGACGTCCCGTTTAAGCTGGCGGCACTCCGAATCGAAGAAAGGCGCGTCGGCACGCGCCTTGCGCTGATGGCGCCCGGTGCGGGCCGGCATGCTGTTCGCGGCTGCGGCCTCCCGGATCCCCGCCTCCAGGGTCTGAAAGGCTGCATCAAGTTCCCCAGCCACAGCATGGCCTTTGCAGGCGTCAAGGCTTGCACTTGCAACATTGCGCAAAGCAGCAGCATACGCATTTCTAGCACTGGGCTGCCATTTCACTCGTGACAATGGCGCCCCAATACATGGTACGGGAACACTGGCAGCCACATTCACTTGCAATGTCATCTCAATAGGATGATGATCAGAGTCTTTTCTACCAGTGTTCACAACAAGATGAGAAATCAAGGGGAGCGTATCAGCAGACACGAGAACATGATCAGGTCTAGTTGCCTGAGTATGGGTTCTGGCCTTAAAGGTAGGCACTGCTTCAAGGTCTCCTAGCACTCTGCCAGTGCATATGAGCATGTCAGTTTCCTTGCACAAATCTAACAGGCGCAGCCCATGAGCATTGACACCTTCATCAGTGCAGCCTCGGGTATAGCTCTCATCAGCGTCAGGCAAATTTGACACACGAGCATTGAAGTCTCCTGCCAGGATCACATTGCCCTGAGCACGAGCGGCAACAACTTCTGCACATAAGCCCGTAAATCGACTGGTCAGGTCCACAGTCTGCAATTGCCGGGAACCCGCTGGAGGCACATAGCTGGAGCCAATCAGCAGCGGTGTACAGTCCCCCTCAAACTGCACTTTCACCCATAAGGCACTGTCAGTGTCTGACACCCAGTCTTGTGCGTGGTAATCACGTGATGGCTTGCATTTGCCTCTGGGCAGCCCCAGGCAGGTGACTCAGGTGCTGAGTCATCTTGGAGGAGATCCAATATCTCGCTGCCTAACTCACTCCGTTCATTTGCTCCATGCAACAGCATGCAATATGTTGCTATGCTCCATCTATCGTTTTTGGTAGTCACCAAACGATGTTAGTGTAGCCAAAGCGTTCGCTAGCAAGTTTAGTACAGTCCAAGATGCTGAGACTTACTCGGATATCTCCCATTCTGTTTCGACGTGTATTCTCTAGTGGTACATCTAGATTATGCGCTGCAGATGCCGTTCAGGTAGAAGACGACACATTGAAGCACATCCTTGGTACTCAGCTATCCGACATCAAGGCTGCAGGCACCTTCAAGCAAGAATTTGAAATTACCACGCCACAGGGACCTTCCATCAGTACGTTATCATTCGCATAAATGATGCAACTTTCATCATTGTAATCTCATACATTGATCGTGATGAATCTGGTGTAGGTGTGGATGGCATCGAAGGAGTGGTTGTAAATTTCTGCTCCAACAATTATCTGGGGCTCTCCAATCATCCAAGGCTCATTGATGCCGCTCATAAAGCCTTGGACAGCCATGGTTTTGGCCTCTCTTCCGTTCGCTTCATCTGTGGCACACAGGTCGGGTCCAAGCTTTCAAGGTTCCTGCGCAGAAATTGCTCTTCAATTTGAGGCCTGCTGCACATGGTTGTGCACACCACCTAGTATGCTAATACCTGGGCAATCAATGCTGTTCTGTAATCTCAGCCAAATTTTATGTTGTCCAGGATCTGCACAAGCAGCTTGAGCGGAAGATCAGTGATTTTCATGGGACAGCAGACACGATCCTGTATCCTTCCTGCTTTGATGCCAACGCCGGCTTGTTTGAGAGCATTCTGACTGCTGAAGATGCAGTCTTGAGCGACAAGCTGAACCATGCGTCGATCATCGATGGCATAAGGCTGTGCAAAGCGCGCAGATACAGGTGCACATGCTCTTGCAGCTCTGCCTTTGTGAATTTTGAAGAAGTGAAAAGCGTAATGCTTACTGAAACATTGGATAGTACACAAATCCTGTGGTCAAGGAGCTAATTTTGCTCTTGTTGCAGATATGAGCATTTGGACATGGAGGACTTGGAAGGGAAGCTAACGGAAGCCAGCGATGCGCGCATGCGCCTCATCGCCACGGATGGTGATCCCCCTGACCGCCCGTCGAGTCATGCCAAGCGACATAAACGCCTTTTTTGTTACACTTATTTTGTAATTGGAAACTTACCCTGTGTCAACAGGCCAACTTCTGCATTCCACGGTTCTGTTAGTATCTGCCATGCCATGAAATGACTGTGGCTTAATCAATACCATTTTCCAATGAGAGGGCATTTATGCAGGGGTGTTCTCTATGGATGGCCACATTGCGCCGCTGGCAGAAATCTGTGCGCTGGCGAAGAAACACGACGCTCTGGTGTTTGTGGATGACTGCCACGCGACTGGGTTTCTGGGGCGCACGGGACGCGGCACAGATGAGCACTGCGGCGTGGTCGGCCAAGTGGACATCATCAACTCCACCCTCGGCAAGGCCATGGGAGGTGCCACAGGTAGGAACCCATGCTGCACTTCAGGCATCCTCACATTTACGCAGAGGCCGTGTGGGGAGAGCACAAGGTGTACAAGCACGGCAGACAAAATGTGGATCCTGCCATGTGGTTGGGCGTCTGATTGCTGGACCATACAGTTCATACCAGCTTATCAACCCATAGATAGATTAGAAGCAGCGAGTGAATTTTGATGTGGGTTTGGGAAGAGAAAGCTGTTGCTCCATGACTTGTGAAATGGGGACGTATGCTCCCAGGTGGTTACACGACAGGCCGCAAGGAAGTTGTGGACATTCTGAGGCAGCGTGCGCGCCCCTACCTGTTCAGCAACACACTGGCGCCCCCTGTTGCAGCCGCGTCCATCACAGCATTTGACATGGTGCAGGAGTCCACTGGGCTGCGAGATCAGCTCATGGAGAACACAGACTACTTCCGCACCGCCATGACTCAGGTCCTGTCTTCTTGCGAACATGTCAGCAACCAACGTTTCTGCTGAAGTCATGTGTTGCGAATGAAGATGGCTCTCTGCTATATATTGTAGCGTTGATGACCATGAAACGTCCTGCAAACAGGCTGGCTTCGACATCAAGGAGGGGACACACCCGATCGTGCCCATCATGCTGTTTGACGCGGCGCTCGCTGGAGAGATGGCACAGAAGCTTCTGCAGCGGGGCGTGTACCTGACAGCTTTCAGCTACCCTGTTGTGCCCAAGGGCCAAGCCAGAATCAGGGTAAGCAAACCTGCAACAATCACTTTTGCATACAGTAAATCCATGGAACTTGTCACGAGTGGAAGCTGGGCAGCTGTGAAACCACAATGTGTCAATTTGCTGCGCAGGTGCAGCTGTCAGCTGCGCACACCAAAGAGCATCTGGAAAAGGCAATATCGAGCTTCAAGGAAGTTGGAAAGGAGCTTGGTGTAATTGTTTAGTAAGCCAGGGCCGTGTATGCACTGAAAGTTCAGGCATCTCGTGCCTTCACTGTGACAGGCATCTCATGTTGCTCATTGTACATTAGTCTGTAGAGATTTTGTACATGCGCTGTATGCATTGTGAACCATATTTTGATCAGCGCTTCTTATGGATGACCCTATTTTGTGTTTGTAGACTAGATCAAATAGATCAGTGTCCAGATCCCTCATGGTGTGTCTCTTGTGACAGTAAGTAAACCCTCCAGTACCAGCTTCTTGGACAGACCCATGACACTATCCTTTGAGCCTTCAATTGAGGTGATGAGCGGCTCGACAAGGGGATGTTCTATCATGAGCCCTCCAGCACACCGGAAGACTGCTCCCTCCTTGATCAGGTCCTCGATGACTCTGTCTGGGATTACACTGAAGTGAATTCTTGCTGTGTCAACTGCCTCAAAGACTCTTCCGTTGCTGATATTCGTCACCATCACCGATCCTACTGTACTGCTAAAGGACCTGGAATAGCCTTGGATGAAGCTGCGAGCCTGCGCAAGAATGGGAGTGTTAGCCACAACATCCTGCATCATGATTGGCACACACGTAATGTAAGGAGCCAGAGAAGCGGGGCCTCCCCATTGTGTGTCGGCAATGTCAGATTTCGTTTGGTAATGCTTACCTCGTCAGCATTGAGGGGCTTCTCAAGGATGGAGCCACTGCTGGAAACCACAACCTGATCACATGTGATCAAGATATGCTGCATGCCCATGTTCTGCGTTTGTTGAAGCTGCTCGATGAGAGCCTGGGCTTTGGCACTTGCAAGCTGTAACACCAGCTTTTCTGGGTTCCTTGTCCTGTCCCCCAGACCTCTTTCATCAATTTCCGCTGTCAGGATGTCAAAATTAAAGCCATACTCCTCAGATAGCTCTTGAAGCAGCGCTGCGACACATGCATAGAATCCAGCATGTCATTCTGAAAAATTCAGGCGATAAGAGCAATTTACGTTGAATAATGCTGAAAGGTTACCTTTTCGAGAATATGAGGCTGATCCTAGCGTGATCCTTGTGTTTGATCGAAAAAGGGCCCTTAGTTGGCCATCAGTCGATTGAATGCTGCTCATTGCAGAAACAACTGTTGAAGGTCTTCGATATATGAGAGACACTGAGGAACTAATTGGTTTGAGTCCGGGCAGTCGAAACATATCCGTGTCTTGCTGGAGCGATCATGGACCGCACTGTGAGTGTCAAAAAAACGGAATTTGCTCCCACAATGATGTAGCGTAAGAAATTTTCCAAGGTAGAGTGCTGCCTTCCATTGTGCTGGCGCAATTGTGTGTGTCAGTCAGGTAAGCAGGAAAACGGCGCAATTGGGCATCAAGCGGACGTGCCCTTCGCACGTGCTTGCTTCGCGTGCTGCGTGCTGTGCTACGTTCTCTCCTTGCAGCCTGGTTTTCTCCAAATATGATCGCAGGGGACAAAGCTTCAGGAAAAAAGCTGGGTTATAAAGAAGTTGTCGCCTGCTTCAAAGACAGTCATTTGCGTTGCGATACGTTTCATATCCTAAAACACCCATCGCAGTTGTCTTTGGAGACCAAAGCTCATCTTGTGTAAAACAAGGAGACGCAGATAAAATCAGATGTATTATGGGTAATCCAACAGTACTCAGTCACCTGATGGATGTTCACAATCCAACCCTGTTCGAGGTAATCGCCTCGGCAGCCAACTGCGTTCCTTTGGCTTTCTGTCTGATTTTTCATTCTCAAAGTAAGCTTCTGGATAATCTGTGCTTTGACCGCAGGAACTCACATTCACCGTGTCACAAGATGCTGGAGCTCTATTCCGTGGGCTTAATATTTTGAGCTTGATAGGTGAGCAAGCACCTGTTAGCCTCTTTGTCATTCATATCATTTCCTCAACATGATGTATGTGAAAGGATTGTTACACTTCTGTGTGGCACACAGAGTCATGTGGAGGGAGGGTGGTGGAATATGACTGCAGCGAGCGTGGCAGTGCCACTCATGTGCTTGGACGTCACATGTGAGTCCTTTGGTGAATTGAGGGCCAAAAACATGCGTTGTTATGGCAGAGACTTGGAAATGTATGAGGTGAAAGGCGATCAACAGAGAAATCCAATGTCTGATGCTGCAGGCGGCAAGAGTGCTGCATTTGGGGGCAAGAGCAGCGGAAGACTCTGGTCACTCCCTTCTGGGCTTTCGAGTGCAGCGAGGAGAATCGCTTGTTGCCTCTCAATGATCCTGTGAGCCTCATTTTCATCTATCATTTTGACACAGTGTGCTCAGTATGCATCCACTGGAATATTTGACATCTGATCGGCTTTGTTGTGCTGTGCAGCTGTACACGCCGTTTCCATCAGAGGGCATCCCAGGAGCTGCAGGTCCTCCATCCCGAACCTCCTCTTCAATATCCATCGCTTTGCGGTATTCAATGTATCCACCTGCACCTATGGTGGTAGACAAAGCTGACGTATGGATTCTATGTGTCGCAGGTTGTCAGGTTACCTTGACAGGCTTTCAGGTAAGGATGCGCTCAGTCTCAACAACTGAAGAGGCCTTTTTCTCCCATTTTGTTAGAAGCAGGCAGTCACCAGCATCATTCAGCTACGGTGTTTGGCTGCAGGCTCCATTTAGAGGGCATTTGCTGGAGCTGCTAACCAGCACGGGAGTCAATGTCATGCGCCAGATGAATCCCATGACGGTGACGCATGTTGTCACAACAGACGTGAATGAGAACACTGAGAAAGTCAACCGTGCGCGGCAGCACATGTGAGCCCTCGATGCTTTCTTGGGTGCCCTGCTGCATTTCAGTTACTACGTGTTGGGGGGAAAGTACAGGTGGTAATGACTGACATGAAATGTGTGCAGGGTGAGGCGACCAGGGCAGATCTCCATCATCAATTGCTTGTGGATCTACAACAGCCTGCGCTTTTGGGAGCTACAGCCAACAGGTGCTCAGACAGATTTGCTTCAAGGAAATTTGCTGTTTTGAGCATTTTGATGCAAAATACCACAATTCCTCTTTCAGCAATAAACTTCTCCAGGAAGACTAACATATATCTGTGCATGCTGCAGAGCGCTACATTGGCAACCCAGACCCCGAGGAAGATCCGGCGCTGGGTCAGCTTGCCAGCAAATCTCTTCCTTCCCAGCTCGCAGAGGTTCCAAATAGTGAGGATGATGACATGGAGGTGCCTTTGGGCAACTTGCATCCGGCCATGGAGCCTACAGAGGCTGAAAACGGCCCTGAACCCGGTATGTGCCCTTCTCAATGGCAGTCATCTGGGCAATCATCAAGTCTTCAAAGTACAGTCTTGTATCGGCTTTCATGTTGTGCACCTATTTGCACTTCGTTTAAGTGGGCATTGCTTTGCAGCAGGAAGCCCTGAGGCAGAATTTGCCTGCCAAGCCATGCCGAGCAGCGCTGCTGTCAGAGCGGCCAAGGCTGCAGCACCCTCAACCGGCCCTCAGGTGGATGCGAGAGGTGAGCTGCTACAGGGCAAGGCTTATTTCCCATTGCCTCTTGTTCAGAGACTCGTTAAGCCTAATGGGCATCGTGTTTCTAGCCTCCTGACTGATCTCTAGTCTACTGAATATGGTGCAGGTGCCCTGGACAGCAACAGACCTGTGCCCGGCTCTGGCTGGCGCTCTCGCGGCCACACCGGCCAGGCAGCCCCCATGACACCTGCCACTATTGCTGAGCCCAGTCCCGCTACAAAGGAGAACACAGCACCCAGAACCCTGCCCACATGTGCGTTTCTGTGCCTGGGATTTGATAGACTTGCACCAGTGCTCAGCACAATTCACGCAGTCCATGATAAGTGGGTGCTGGCATGAGGCTGTCAGACAAGGGCTGTCTCTGCCATTGTAAAGCTGAGCTGAGGGGTGGTGTCTTTGCAGCTATCGCAGGTCAGCCCAAGGGAGACCAGGCGGAGCCGGCAAGGGCTCAAGAGAGCATGGAACCCAGACGCATGAATACTGGCCCATCAGGGATTGCCAGTGAGAGCCAAGTCCCCGACTACCAGGTGCATAGCAGCTGTGGCCCCATTTCCTCCTCAAACCTCACTGGAGAGCAACCCCAACATTTGATTTATCCAGCATGTTCACAAATGCTGACAGTGTCACTTGAAGACAGGTGGCAGCAGCAAATGCAACAACAGCCAACCTTATCGCGCAGCTGGCCTCGGGATTACCCAGCAGTGAACCGCAGCCACAGCCAGCCCGAGTTTCTATTCTCCACACCGCGGGGAAGAAAGCGGCATGCCAAACCAGGTGTGCCTCGTTAAATCCCTTTCAGCGCCTGAGCAGCTTCCACCAAGGTTTCTGTGATGCGATGAATTCAACCGTCACATTGTGCTCCTGCAGGGAAGCAATATTGCCGCGCGGAGAGGAGATGCCCACGCATGATGAGGCAGCACTTGCTGATGACAATGGGGGAGCAGGTATGTACACCGTCACCCTGTGAGCCAGCTCTTGGGCACAGACATATCATCAGATCATTTGACTTCTGCATGATTGAACACGTTGTGCCTTTTTTGCAGATGATGCTGGTGCTACTCTGGTAGATGACAATGCCGGCAAACCAGATGCAGCAGATGCAGCTCCACAGCAACGTGGAGATGGGAAGCGTGGTCGCCAGCGGAGTTCTACCGCTGCCACTGCACAGGTCCGTTCTGGGAACCTTACTCCAAGATCAAGCAATTTTTATGTCGGCAAATTCGAACAGACAAATATGCATGTGCATGAGTGCGACAGCATTGCTGGTGCTGCAGGCTGCAGAGCCAGACGTGCGGCACACAAAGAAGCGGAAGCTTTTGAGCAAGGCTGACAGCGCTGCCCTCGCCCGTGCCCCAAAAGCAGCAGCAGCTGAGGCGCTGCAGCAAACTCCTGCTGCAGCAGAGGCGCCCACGGGCAAAGCAAAGGGCAAAGGCAGATCCAAAGCCAAAGCCGCAGCTGTCAAGGCAAGGGATGTGCAGCCCACGGTGATGGCCCTTCACTTGTTTCTGCACGATGTGCTGCCCAAGATTGCCTCCAAAACCGCTAGTGGCATTGTCACAAACTGCCATTTGGATGATGCTATGTCTCAAACTCAATAGGTATGTTTTCAATATCAGGAAGCTGCCGAGGAGGAGCAGAAGGAGCTCGCTGGACCCAGCACAGGGCACGCCAGCACATCCCCACCCACTGCGCAGAAGAGAGACATCCAGAAGCGGCCCTTTGTGGCTCTCAGCGGGCTGCACACAAGGGAGATCCTGAAGTTCAGCCCCATGCTGGAGGCCCTGGGCGTCAGCCACACCGACGGCTTGGAGGACCAGCATGTGTGAGTGCCTCTTGACCTGTACACCACTCCTGTCCATCACCTTGTGTCTGCCACAAAAACTGGACCACAGCAATGCAAGCCCAGGTGATCTGGAACCTCTGACTACTACTGTTGAGTGATGGGTTCTTCTTGACAGGATGATGTCATGTTCAGGTGGAATTGTCGGACCACGCACTGGGTGGCGCCCAAGCTGAACCGCACAGCCAAGGCGTTGTCTGCGATGGCAGCTGGGGCCTGGCTGCTCTCCACTTCCTTCATCACGGCATCTGCGGCTGCCCGTGCTCTGGTTGAGCCGGTGAGCTCCTGCCCTGTACACTTTCACTGGTATACTTGCTGCCGGGCCCTTTTTCTGCTCTGCAGAGAGTGGTTTATTTGCTGGCAAGTGATAAGGCGCATTATCCTTTGATAAAGAGCTTTCATGTGCTGGAGATTTTCTACATGCTATCAAGAAGTGGGGCGCGTGATCTGACGGGCAATGTTCTACTGGGTGCAGGAGACACATGAGCTGGATAGCGGGTGCCAACTGGTGGCTGACGGGGCACCGCTGCACTGGCGCATGAGAGCAAAAAGCCTCGACCATGGCGCCTTTCATGGCTTGCGGGTGAAGACTTTCAACTTGCTCTCCTTCCTTCCAATGCAGTTCAAATGCAAAGGTCAAGCGGGCACATCAGGTTCCAGTGGATCTTAAGTGCCTGACGGAGGCAATGGCTGCGCAGGTCCTTGTGCATGGGACTTTCAAGACAAACGTGAAGCCCAACCGCAAGGACATCACATCGATCTTGTCAGCGGGTGGCGCGACGCTGCTGAGCCTGCAGGAGGCTGTTGCCCAGGGAGCTGACCTGGCCATCGTCCCAGAAGGATTTGGCAAGAGTGTGCGCACTTGACTTCCTGCGCTGCTTGCACTCCATCTCTTTCCAGGCAGATGTGCCTGCGCTGTCCAGCACTGTGTAAATGCATGCATGCATGTCATCGAGAATGACGAGGGGCTTGCTGTTGCAGCATGTCAAGGATCTGCTCAAAGCAAAGGTCACCTGCGCGAGACCGCAGTACATAGTGGAGTGGATTGCTCACCCGGATGACAGCCTGGCAGAGCACCTGCTGCATGGCAGTGTGGAGTCTGCAAAGCTTGCAGAGATGACCAAGGAGCGGTCCAGATGCCTGGACGATGCCGAAGAGCAGTCCTGCTCATTCTGAGCCAATGCTGTACATGTGCTGACCCCCCAAAAAAACCTTGACCCCCTCATTGACTTCACTGACTGAATTGCCAGCCTAAGGTTGGGATACGATCCCCTGGTTGGAGGCTGCGTTCCACTGTGTAATTGTACTAGGTGGATATTTCCGTTGCTGAGACAAGCAGACAAGGAAGTTATTGTGTATGTTGATACTCTGCGGTGGAGGGCGTGCATCATGCCTGACATTGAGTCGACGTGCGAAGAAGTGTGCATCGTTTGCAATCTGTCTCTTGACGCTTTTCTGAGTACATAATTGACTACAAATTATGCTGACCATGCTGAGGATGCACTTCTACGTGAACATAACAATAAGCTCTACTGAAACTTGCCAAGTTTGAAGATAACGAGAGACTTTATTGCAATGACAGTATCCCTCATGTTGAAACCATTCCATGTATTGTATGGGCATTCTTGCTGCTCAGGATACAAATGAAGGCGCCCTCCGTAACAGCCTTGACTTAGTCAAGTTGACTAAGGCTGCTCATCATGTGAGCAAAAGAGCTCTCTCAGAACAGAATCAGAACACAAACAACCTCCTTGCAGCGTGTGCAGCGTTTGATGAGCAATTTGACAAAGGTGTGCCCCGAGGCTCTCACTTGTAGCCGGCAACCAACAGATTCTCCCACAGACCTGCTGCTGCAAGGTCGACATTGCCTCCAGACAAGATGATGCCCACATTCTGAAGGCCTCCCTCCTGGCCTCGCAAATATGCTTTAAACTTTGGCGACAAGACTGCTGCCAAGCCCACTGCCCCAGATGGCTCCACCACCAACTGCAGCACAACACTCTTTGTGAATACATTGTCTTCTGGACGTCCTCCTGCAGATCTCTTTACACGTGCGGGCCTCACAGCCTTGCTATGTTGAGGAAAAGTGACAGCCAAAATACAAGCTCTGGCACAGCTGTGGCCTCTCACTTGAGGGGTGTCCGTGTCAGTGACACACCTTCATGCGTTCAAACAGCAACCTCATGGCTGCCACGATCTCCTGCTCTGATACAGTCACCACTTCATCCACCAAGTCTTTGATGATGGGCCAGGTCAGGTCGCCCATGCGACCCCTGAGCCCATCCGCAATTGTGACCGGTCTGGCACATTCCACAATCCTGCCAGCATCCTTTGAAGCAGCTACATCAGCTGCATTGTTCAGCCCTGCAAAGCACAGCATCTGATCTGCAGAGGCAGGCCAATGTCACTGACAAACACAGAGCAGCACTAGCGGCAGTTGTTGCACTGCAGCCATTCCACGGCTCACCTGTAGGTTCAGCTGCAATTATTTTGATGCCAGGCTTTATGCCTTTTGCGACCACGGCTATGCCCGAGGTCATTCCACCGCCACAGATTGGCACGACAATAGCATCTAGTTGAGGCACCTGTGTCAAAAAGATTCCTGTGATACTCATGCATGTTGACCTGCAACACCACGTTGCTCCTGTGATGAGCAGACTAAAGAGTACACAAGGACACATGAAGGAGGGCACCTGTGCAAGAAGCTCCAGGGCCATAGTGCCTTGGCCGCAGATTGTGGGCCCGTAGTTGTAGGGAGGAATCAGCTTGGCACCAGTTCTCTGCTGAATGGATGTTGCAGTGCTCTCCCTCGCATCCACCGTAGCTTCACACCGTGTGATCAGACCGCCATATCCCTCGACTGCGTCCACTTTGCACTGCAACATAGACCCGCGCTTCTATTTATCTTGCACTCTCTATGGGCACCGTAGATATCAAGGTAAGGTATCAGTGCTTCTTTACATGCACTAAGCTAACGGCTGAGGAGCGCAGAGGAGGGTAGATGGATGCCTGTGGTGCGTCAGAAGGTATGACGATGTATGCTGGAATGCCACGGATTCTTGCTGCGCAAGCCAGCGCGGCCGCATGGTTTCCAGAACTGTGTGTCACCACCCCGTGCACAGCTTGTTCGTCGGATAGACTCAATACGGAGTTCATTGCTCCTCTGAATTTGAAGGCGCCACTGCATGAACAGGGAACATATCGACTTATCTCTTGTGCAGGAGGCACCAGCATGCAGTGACAGGTAAGAGGCGTTCGGATAGGACAACAAAGGACAAGTATGCGCACACTCTCTGAAATATCTCGCATTTGAAGTGTAAATAGCAGTCAGCCAGACTGTCCAACGTCTTGCTGGTCATGACCTGGGCAGTCATGGCATATGGTCAGCAGGGCCCAAGTATCACCAGTATACACTAGAGAACTGCAATCTAAAATCGCTTGGAGCTTTTTATATATTAACACATCTACGCAAGCAAGATTAGTCTCGTCAAGTCGCCATCAAAGCGCTGCTAGTCCCCTGTAACAATCCACAGCTTGATGATTCCAGGGACAGATGAGTGCTCACGAGAATGATGCGAACAGGAAGCATTGAATTTCTAGTCATATACGTACCGGCGTTTTGTGGGCAAAGGGCTCGATACGGTTGGCAGCTTCGCGGATCTCCTCCAAGGTTGCCGCATACACATTGACAGCGGGGTGTGCAGGAACCCCTGCTTCCGCGACAGTCATCGTGGAGGCTTTAAAGGAATATCTCAGAGACAATGGGGAAGATCTGCAGTGGTAAATCCTTTTCCGTGAAGCGATCGAGTGATGGGGATCTGCCTGAAGCTGCTCCAGACACATGCAACCACGTGAGAGATAAAACGTGCAGAGAGCTTCAAATTTCTGTGGTTTGAATATCCTGAATTCTCTTTCTAAGTTAAAAACGATGGCGATGGCTGCACTCACCGACCAAATAGCAGTAGTACAGGAGTGCTTTCTTTACAGGCCTTTTATACTGCAAACTCTCACAAGGTGGTCCTCTCCACAAGACGCCAATCTCAATGCACAAGTCCCTCCCTCGCCTCCTTCTGTGGCTTCCTCCTGCGGTACCAGCGTCCAGCACAAGCGACGGATCGCTGCACAGTGCCGTTGATGCAGAGGCGCCGCCCACAACTTGCTCACCCCTGTGCCAAATCAATCAGCCGTCAACAGGAGGTAGGCAATGCCATTGCAGGCCATACGGTACTCACGCAGAACACATGCATGCACTGTCGCTGCAGTCTCAAGCAACCAACCTGTGCATTGTCTAGTGCTGCAGCCTACAGCAGCGCCAGGCTGCCACGTCAGCGACCAGAGCTGCAGGTCACCGCTCTCCAGGCCCACCGCTAGCACATCCCTGCCGCTTCCGCTGCAGCCGCTGCAGGCAGCTGCACTGCGAGGTGCGAAGGCAACGCTGGTGACGGGCGCAGCCATCTGTGGCAGCTTGGCCACCGACACACTGGACAGCTCTGCTGGCGCACACCGCACCCTTCAGCCATTTGAGCAGCAAAAGAAGCCCATGCGATGTTGACTACCCTGCATTGTGTTGAGGCTATCTCTTCATGTTCAATGTATGGACAAACATCCACTGCTGGCAGGTAGCATGGCATGTTGGGGGCCTCACCTTGGCCTGCGGCTGGCAGCGCCCAGACTTTGACAGAGCTGTCGCGGGCACCCGTGGCGAAGTGGAGACCGTCTGGCGCCCAGGAGCAGGCCCAGATGATGCGCGCGTGCGCCTTCATCACCCGACCCAAAAGCCTGAACGGTGACTCTCCCTCCCCTGCTCACCATCAACCCCCCCGACCTCACGCAAGCCTTACATATCATTTGTTCAAGCTTCTGTTCATCAGTGACATGTTGGCACGTTTGGCAGGCACACAAGTAACTACAAGATCCATGCAATGGCCCATCCAGGTCAGGGCAGGACGACGGAGAGGGCATCTTTGCCTGACATTTAAACGAGGGAGTAAAGGCGCACCTTCAGGTAACCGCTCGAAGACGGCAAAGGTGCGGTCCCTGGACACGGTGAGCAGGTGCTGGCCGCTGGGCGAGAAGGCCATCTGGGTGACGGTCAGAGAGTGCGCCTCCAGGGGCGGCCCCACGGGCGTCCACGTGGCCACGTCCCACAGCCACACCGCCGCAAATTGCGCCGCTTGCGCCTGCACACCCCATGTAATTCTTCTTGTTTCCTTTCTAAGAGACATCGAGGCTGCAGCCGGCAGTCGGCACAATGCTTTCAGCCAGGTCTACCAGGCCTACCAGAGAACTTTTATCCTGACAGATGAAGGTGAAGCCAAACCACAAAAGGTGCCTGGTGACAGTGTCCAGAGCTATGGGCTGAGTGAAAAGGCCCGGCAAACGCTGTGCCAAGAGCCGCGGTGATACGGAGCTTGATGGTGAAGCTCAACCACTGTGCAATGCATGGGCTCGATTTAAATTACATTTGAATTTGAGCGAACCTTGCAGGCGGACGCCAGGTAGCGGCCGCGGGGGTCGGCGGCCAGGCAGAAGACATGGTTGGCATGCCCATAGAGCTTCACAATCTCGGGCCACAGCGTGTTCTGCGCCAGGTGCTCCTCCAGCGGGGGGCCCGCGACAGCAGATGGCGTGGGGTTGGGCGCCAGATCAGGCCCCTCGGTGTAATTACCCCCCTCCTCCCCTGATCCTGCCGGCGCATCCCCCGGGTACACTGCCTTGTTTGACAGGCCCAGCGCCGCAATTGAAGCGCCCATTGCCCTCTCGTGCACCTGCGCATGTGGCCCCTCCTCCTTGTTACGACCACTCTAGAAACAATTACCATCATTATTGCATGCTTCCTGCCACGAGGCAAGGTGCGTCTGAAGACATGCTGCAGTCGACAAAGCAACAATGCAGCACCGTTAGCACCAGATCAGATGCAAATGGCTGGGAGCAAGGAGACATCGTCTGTATACCTGTGTCCCAGTGAAGGTGGTGTCCGGGGCATGGCCTCTCGCCAGTGCCAGCGTCTGCTCAAAGGCTTGCGGCGCCTCCAGCACGCGGATGACCTTCTCCTCGGACCCCACCGCGTAGCAGGGTGGAGATGCGCCGGGCAGCACTGCCATGCACGCAAAGTCATGGCCATGGATCTGCACCCATGCACAATGTCTAAGACGTGCCCATCATCTACTTGGTGTCATAAACTGGTGAAACAGGTAGCCAAAAACAAGATGTGCACAAGAATGGCAGGGGGATTGGGCAGACGAGTACAACGTTGCCCATTGATCAGAGCCCACTGATCAGAGCAGGATTGGGAATGAGAGACACCTGCGGACGGGCCACCTCACACCAGTGGCCGTTGCATGTGGTGAAGATGCGTGAGGTCTGGTCTTCGCTCACAGTCTGCAGGCAAGCACCATCCACACCCCAGCTCATGTCCACCACCGCTCCGTAGTGGCCCCCCAGCGTATGCTGGGGTACCCATGCGCCCCTGTCCATACCCTCTGCACTTCCACAGAGATACTGAAAAATAAGATTCCCCGTGCTGCTGGAAAATTTGGTCCATAGAGGACACTCTCCCTCATTGCTACCTCAACCCTGCAGTCTTGCGAAGCGCTGTGTGCAAATGGAACGCCATTAGGGGAGCAATTAAGGGGGAGTTGCGGACCTTCGCGGCGCCAGAGGTGAAGGGCCCCGGTGAAGCCATGCGCCAAAATGGAGCGGCCGTCCGGGCTGAAGCACCCGCCATAGTAGCCCAGGCTGGATGCGCCTGCATCTCCCACGCTCTCTTCACACATCCATAGCCCTGCATGTCCATACGAGGAATTGAACCAAGCACAAATGAAGACTGTGTGTATATCGCCACAGTGATGGTCTGCAGAGCTTCTCCTGCATGCAAAGGCACAGTAGTAAACACGGCGTGATGCACATTGAAACTGTACCTGCAGTAGGCTCAGGGCGCCAGAGCATCATGGTGCGGTCCATGGATGCTGTCAGCAAGCAGGCTGCCTGGCTGCTGCCATCCAGCTGCTGGGGCTGCCACGCGGCTGAGAAGACCCAGTCCTCATGCCCCACCAGCACAGCCTCCATAGACACCGAGATGGTGTTCCCGGCAACAACAAACGTGGGCTGCGGCGCATACCTGTGCCCACAGAACAAATCTACGTTCAATTCAACATTGCATGCTTAAGAAAGTTGCTGAACACAACAGGGCCTGCGGGGAGAAATGGCGGCTACTGGACCCACCTTGCTATGCTCCTAGCTAAATCCCTCTCGGAAGCATGTCCATTTGCCACTCTGCTGCTGTCCTGTGGATGCTGGCCAGCTGCCTGGATGGCCCAAATCCGCACGAGCTTGTCCTGTGAGGCGCTAGCGAGCAGCAGACCGCCCTCTGCAGGCAGTGATCTAGCTATCAAGCCAATACAAAATTGATAAGTGAATAGCAAAACCAATAAAAAAGAGCTTTTGAAGTATGAGACATTGCAGAAACAAAAGCACCGCAAGTATGAGGACCTGCAGTTGAAGTGAAGGCTAGCGAGCGTATCCAGTCAGTATGGCCTTTGAGCCTGCAAACATGCTGGAAGCTCCCTCCCTTTTGTCGCAGCAGCAGCCGAATGCTACTGTCCACACTTCCCATTGCCAGCAGATGCCTGAACACATTCTATCATGTTAAGTTTACCCGCCGAACAAGCACTCACAATCTGACCCTGATTGCTTCTACCTGGCACCAATCTCTCACCCGTCTGGCTCGCTGGGTAGCTGTGTGATGGCCAGGGAGTGCTGCAGCACAGCCCCAGTCTCTATGCTCTGCACCAGACTCCACGAATCTTGTGTGAGCAACCCTTCTGCATCTCCCTTATTCATGGCAGCTGATTCCCAGATTCTCACTGTGTCGTCAGCGGCAGTGCTTGCCAAGAGAAGGCGGTCATCTGGGAGATGCTGCACTGCCAAGCTGGTCACTGGGCCGCTGTGCCCCTGTTGGACCATCAAGTTGCCATCAATGATGCAAGGGACCTTTGTGCAGCAATAGTTCACAGCAGGACCCAAAAGTCTGCCAAAAAAAAGCACATGCCACACCGTGAGCTTAGCAGCTGCGAGCCAGGGATTGTCTGGTTGTCCAGGAAACCACAGCCAAATGATGATGGTGCTGTCTGCCGCTCCTGAAACCAGGGCAGCGGCCCCCCCTGCAATTGAACTTAGGCTTCAGCGCCATGTGTACTGGCTGATACTAATCTCTGCGATGACAGATAGACTCTGACTAGCCGTTTGCTCCTGCTGGCACCTGACAGGGTGATCGGTAACCATTTGACGCAGTCCACTCTCCCTGTGTGTCCCACCAAGGTGGCTACAATCCTGGCCTCCTGCGCAAGAAGTCACCTGTCAACTTGCAATCTTTAAAGAGTATTAGTGACATCTGCAAAACATACACGGGCAAGGCATGCAGGACTCACCCCAACATCGTATATCACCACAAAATGGTGCGCCCCATAAGCAATGAGATTTCCTTCCCCATAATCAAGCGCATTCACCACGCGATTGCATCCGATGCTTGTGAAATCCACTTCAAGATTCATCGCCGCACTTTCTTTTTACTAGCTGTCTCTCGATCTGTTCTGATATCAATTAAATCGATATACATACGGTGAGAGATTTCTTGCGTACCATGTGACTGACAATCTAGAATTATAGTGGATTACAAGTGATGGCAACAAACCTAGACTGTCATGAATCTTGAACTTTGAACATGAGTCTGAATGGCGGGGGAGTTGACATAACGGGAGTAGCAATCGACCCCTCGTCCGTTCGTTCCAGGGGAATTTGAAACCCAAGGTAGAGCGATGTCACTGCACTTGTGAATGTATCTCTTCAGCAAAACTCAAAAGCATTGCAGAATAATGCTGTGACAATTGTTTGACTGACACTTGACTATGGGACGCAAGAAGCGCAGTCCGCTGAAAAACATTGGAGCAGTAGAAACTCGATCAACATATAGGGAAGCTTTAGATCAGCCAATTTCGCATCCAGATGATACTGAAAGTCATCAAAGTGAATCGGATGTTTCTGAAGATGAGGAACATCAAGAACAAGCATGGAAAAGAAGGTGAATCAACCTTGCTTCTATGACGGGGTTGTCCTGAGAGATGACTTGTGTCCTTTGTCTAGCATATTGATGGAACATTAATATGACTGTATGCTAATGTCTGTGCAGACGCCTGACTCATTATGCTGGAGCTTATGAAGAACCAACACATATAGAGATCGTAAAGGACTCGACCAACATAGCACTGGTGCGTTTGGAAGGGATATGTCCACTTGACCAGGTGTAACAAAAAGGTGGGTGTATGAAGCAAATGGTTCTGACTGGCACTCTCCGCAGCCACTATGTGTCATGGAGTTGAAGGCGCCCCAGGCTGGGCAGCAAAGCCTGTCAGGCTTGGGGGACGTCACAGAGCTTCAGCTGGAGCTCCTGCTGCCTTACAGCTGGCAATACGGTGGAGGCGATGCTCTTGATGCCACCCTGTCTGCTACAGATGCAAGCGGAAGGGAAGAAGCTGTGGTAAAGAGCAGCTCTGCATGTTCGGACACACTTGAACAATTATGCTACTGTGCTTTCCAATGGCAAGTGTCCAAACTATTCCAACGTAGTCATGCCAGCTTCTTACCCATTGCTATGATCCTTCAGGGTACGCTTCATGTGCCAAAGCACGTAAGGAGGGAGCTGTGCATGTGTGCTATGGCTGAGCTCATCATGTACCGGCTCCACACACCATTGCAGCCAACTCGTGGAAAGGTCCAGCTGGAGCTCTGCTTGTCACAGGATGCTTTTGCATTCGATGTACGAGGTAAGAGCACCTCCAAAGTGTGATGTCTGGAGTCCAACGATGAGCTGCTTGTGTCCATTGAGCTGTGGGAGGGAGCTGTGGTACTGAGCATGCATGTATGCATGTGTGCAGAACCAGAGGCACGAACTCGCAGTCAGCAGGTGCACAACATCCGCGATGTGCTGTTGTGGCTGTTGCCACAGATATCACCACAGGCGCGCACGTCTGACAACCAGGCAGGCCCTAGCACGCCCAGAAAACCGCGAATTCTGAGCAGCCCTGGCTCGCCCCACAGCCCCAAGGGCGGTGGGTCCAATCAGGTCAGGCCTTCGCACAGAGTTTGAGTAGCGCGTCTGGGGCATGTCCCAAAAGGATCTAGAAAAAATGCAATTCGAGTTGCTCCACGGGGTCTTCACCTTGTCTAATAATGGGTTACAACATGCCCCACGCGTTGCAATTTGCCATGGGCTCTGACATGGAGTCGGTGGCACTTTCAAGCATCTACCCATGGCTCCAAAGCATCTGATCTGCTTGCATCTTCTGATTATGATCGGCTCTGCCTCGTAAAGAGCCATATTGTTGCAGGCCTTTGATGAGGTGGTTGAGGACATAGCAGAGGCGGACGCACTGGAGATATACACGGCTGTCAAGCCCAGCGGCACGGAGAGGGAGCTGGAAGCCACCCTGCCACAGCTGACATCGACGCTGCATCGCCACCAGCGCAGGGCTGCAGCCTGGATGGTGGACAGAGAAATTGCAGCAGAGGTAGCAATTATGACGAATCCTTCGTTATAAGTGCTGCAGACAATAAATAATCATACAATCTCGTTAGTAAGACTTACAGCTGCATGGGGAGGCATTTGCAAGTAATCACCCACCTGTTGATGCTGATGGCCTGAAGAGCAATTAGCTTGATGTTCATAAGCATGCCATCATCTGAGGAAGGCGGCTGACAAAGATGAAATTGACAGGCTCCCAGTGCGTCTGACGAACTGCACCCACTGTGGCGGGAGGTGACCTGTCTGGATGGGCAGCGCTTCTATGTCAACCCATACACTGGGCTGCTCACTCGCACCCGGTTTTCAAAACCCAACCGAGTGCCGGGAGGCATCCTGGCTGATGAAATGGTGGGCTCCCTAAATTTGTCGACCTTTTTTATTTGCATGTCCACACAAAGGAGCCTTGCGGAATTAAACGTGTCTGTAAGTCTGGCATATACAGCTATGATGTCATATCGTGCATGGTGTAAGTCTCAAATTGTCTCTTTGGTACAAGCTGTCCCAAAATTGCACGCAGGGAATGGGGAAGACCGTGGAGCTGCTTGCATGCATCCTTGCTCATCCCTTCCAAGGCCCAGCTGTGCCAGCTGAACTGGTGAGTTATTCAGCGTTTAGAGCATATATTGAAGCGTAATGCGGTCTGTTGCATTGAATGCTGAGCAAGGCCACTTTTGTGCTTTCACCTGCTTTGTGCTGGACACAGGAGAGCGATGCGCGGCCAAAGCATGAGCGCATCGATTGCACCTGCCCTGTCACTGGTGACACGCCTGGGGCAGAGGACTATGCTGGGCTGTGGGTGCAGTGCGATGAGTGCCAGGCATGGCTGCATGGCCACTGTGTTGGCCTCACCAGGGCTCCAAAAGGCAAGACACAGCCCTGGCATCCTATCCCAAGACTCCTTCAGATTTTATTTAAGAAAAGTGGGCTTGTTTAAATGACATTTACAAGGTAGAAAGACTGTGTTGAATTTGTGAGATCTTTCATGTACATGTGCAGGGGCCTATATCTGCCCCAAGTGCATCAGAGCGCATGCAAATGCACTGGTGACGGTGGACTGTGGTGCCACCTTGATTGTGAGCCCGGCTTCCATATTGAAGCAGTGGCAAACCGAGATCACAAAGCACACACATCCAGGTAATTATTTTGCGCCTTCCCAAGATTGAATCATGTCATCTAATCCCGGGAAGGCGCTAATATTCTGCATATGTGGGAGCTTTGATCTAACACATGTGTATGCCATAGGAGCCCTCAAGGTGTTGGTGTACGAGCATGCTGGCTTGGATGCTGAGCGGGGGGCGCCAAGCAAGGGCTTGTCTGCCCGCGATTTTGCTGCGGCCGATGTAGTGCTCACCACCTATGAGACACTGCAGAAGGATGTCAACAGGCAAGGCAATGTGACAACTTACGCCCTGCGCCAGGCAAAAAAGTACGAGGTGAGATCCATCCTCCTGTCCCCAGCCAGACAGTGCTCTTGTCTCCTGCTGATGGTGTCTTTAGCACTCATCTACAAACAGCTTCTGCGCATGCTACTGTGTTACAGTGCATTGGTGCTCAATTCGTTTGAGTGTGGGGTCAGGTGCTACCAACACCGCTGACAAGGCTGCGCTGGTGGCGGGTATGTCTGGACGAAGCCCAGCTCGTGGAGAGCACCACAGCAAAGGCTGCCAAGCTGGCCGTCAACATCCAGGCGCAGCACAGGTGCTAATAGCACAATCCTATGTCAGGCAGCCTGCGCGTCTATCATGTCCTCCTGTTCACAGCTGCAACATGGTGCCAGCAAAACAGGGCTGCACTGTCTTGGGCTCAAGCAGAGCTCCGGATAAGAGAACAGTTCAGGGAAGCTTTTTTAGCATGCAGTGAATGGCTTTTCAATAGAAATTTGCAGTTGCATTGAACCTTGCACTGAAGCAGAGTTTCAAGGATATTGTGTGGCCTGGGCAGGTGGTGTGTGACGGGAACGCCGCTGAGCAGGGGCCTGGAGGACCTGTATGGCCTGTTCTACTTCCTGCATGCGCACCCCTACAGCGACCGTTTCTGGTGGCATGAGGTCCTGCAGAAGCCATACGTGGCCGGCTGCCCTGCAGGTGTCTGGCCCTTTCCCTTACCTTGCAAGAGGCCTGCCACCACTGCTTGGGAATAGCAAGACAGCAGGACAAATGCTCTAAAAAGCAGCGGTATATGGCCTCACGAACGGCATACCCAGCACGCTTGAATCCAGAGGCACAGGCATCGTTGTGCACAGGAAAAGTCTTGTGATATAATATTTTGTGTTCACTGTCAGGTCGGAAACGGCTGATGGCGCAGCTGAAGCCAGCCGAGGGGGGCATATTCTGGCGCACCTCCAAGGCTGACGTGGCGCATGAGCTGGCGCTGCCGCCACAGTCCCACCGCACCACCTTCCTCACCCTCTCCGCCATCGAGCGCCACTTCTACATGCGCCAGCACCAGGCAAACACCCTCCTACATGCTGTCTTTTGCCCTGCCCTTGCAAATTATCGTGTGATTAGTAGCATTGACGCCCCACCGCTGCAAATAGTGCTTGTTATGGTTGCAGAAAGGATGAGTGTTTCTGATCAAGCTCTGTAGTTGAGACGATCCCGAGCTCAAGTGGACCTTCCAGGTTGACATGAAAGACATGTGACAAGTGCCGGGCTGGACAGCTTCAGGGCTGAGCATGGTGTGGGTGTTGGGCAGGATTGTGCAAGCAAGGCGAGGGCGGTGTTGCCGGCAGAGTTGCTGGCAGCGCTGGAGGCCGGCCGCGCGGGTGATGAGGCGTTCCGGCGGCTGACGCGCGCCGAAGAGAAGTCGCTGCTGGGCAATCTGCTGCGCCTGCGCCAAGCCTGCTGCCACCCCCAGGTGCCCACTCCAGATCCCAAGATCAAATTGCAATATGCTGAAAGCCAAGCATGAAATGTGCATTTTATTGTCCACTGATGCACTCGGGCACGTTTGACTCATTGGAATCCGTGATTGCAAGTATTTGCCTGGCTAAGCATTTGCAAATGGGGACATTTACAATTGTGTGTGTGCCTGCAGGTGGGCAGCCGGGGCATCAAAGCGCTGAATGCTGCCAAGACGCCGCTGAGCATGGACTCCATCCTGGAGGTCAGCCTGCCCTCCCCTCATTTGCTGGTGCCTGCCTTGCACAGCTCAAAACATATTGCATACACTTTGAGTTAAGGGTATTTGAATAGCTGTGCTTGGTCCGTGCAGGTGCTGGTTGAGAAGGCGCGGGTGGAGGCAGAGGATGCGCAGCGCATCCTGCTGTCAGCCCTCAACGGCCTCGCTGGCCTCATGCTGATCGAGGATGACAAGACGCAGGCCGTCGCTCTTTACCGCCAGGTGCTCACCAATGCCTCCTATTCTGCCCGTGTACTTGGATTTCTTGCATCAACAACCTTTTGTTTGCCTACCACTCAGCGCTCTGTCAAAAAATAAGGAGTCTACTTCAAAATTAATGGAGACGAGAAGCAGAGTTCAGGCTGTGGCATGACCATGATTGGTATGGGCATGCATGCGAAGGCGGAGTTGTGTGCTTGGGCACTCAGGTGTTGGCGACGGCCGAGGGCAACAAGGCGCTGATTCGGCTGGACCCGCTGCAGAAACTGCACACGCTGTCCAATCTGGCCGAGCTGCTGGGCAGCGGAGTTCCCGGCGTGCCGCATACCCTCAGGGATGACTCGCTGGGGGCAGAAGCCGAGAAAATCCGCGAGGTTTGCCCCCCCTCATGGGAATTAGTGTAATGTGTTGCTTGCTTGTACTTGCTGTGCGAGATCCATTGCTTGACAGTTGCAGACTGTCTCACTCTGATGAGAATCAGCATTTATCTGTTTGATGTCATTCATGTCGTTCGTGTCTGCAAGAGACCGCCTGAAATGAGGGCTGTGCAGCCAATCACACACAACCAAGAACAACTTGCTGGTGTGAATGTGTAGTGCCCTCCACAGGAGTACCTGGTGCAGTGGGTGGCCAAGGTGGCGGCCGCTGAGAAGGACTACAGAGCAGCGCTGGATCACATGGAGCGCCCTGGCGCGGCTGCAGAGCAATCTGAGACGGCTGCATGGTTCAAGGGTCCTGGCAGATCTGGTGCGCTGGCAGACCTCACATGCATCTCAATGCCCATTCCAGTGGTAGACAGCTGTTCTCTGCGTGTGCTGTTACATGTGCTAGTGCATGTGATCCCACTTACAGCTGGCCAGGGGGTGGCACAATGCAGCCTGGTGTACTAAAGTCACATTAGACGTTCCCAGCGCTCATTCTGTCCTGTGCCATTGCCTCCCAGGGGGCGCAGCACCAAGCAGCAGCAGCGCCCCAGCAGCATCAGAGGAGGTGGAGCTCTGGTACCTGGACGCCATCGACCTGATACTGCAGAACAGCGACGACTATGGCGAGCGCGCAGCCTCGGCCATCCGAGACCAGCTCTCTGTCATCGACGAGTGAGTCTTGCCCTTTCTTGTATCGCAGAGTTCGAGCGCATAGCGTCTAACAAATCACACCAGCTCACTTGAGCGTTACATCCTTTGTCAGATCATGCGGTTTCACAAATGCTGCAGCATGAAGACCTCTGAAGTGGCTGCTTATCAGTAAGAGGTTTTTAGGGGGTATTTGCAAGAGTCGTTCTAAAAGAGCATACATCGTGCCATGCAGAATGCGACGGAAGACGGAGAGGAATGCCACAAGCTTGGCGCGGCGAATCACTGGCCTGGCCGGCCTGAAGCTCCTGCTGCGCAACGAGCTCGGGGCCTCGGCGGCCGCGCGCGAAAAGGCGCTGAAGATGCTGCAGGACTTGTCAGACGTCAATCACGCCCGGCCTGACAGCCTGGTGGAGCAGGTATCCATATTTCTGCCTCCTGCGCATATATCTCTACACTCTCGATGAATGTGCATGCTCCTCTAAAAAAGGCTCAACAGCTCTGGTTTGTCTTAAGTATACATGGTGGGCTCCAAAGTGCTATAATCAGAGCGCTGCGCCGTCAAGGGTTATGTGGCAATTTCTCCTCACCTGCATGCAGTCAGCCCAGGCTTTTCATTTAGGTGGTAAGCGTCGCCAGGACCTCACCAAGAGCTTCTGGAGGCATGCACGAAACCGAGCCATGGTTGCACCTTTACACCCCAGTACGCGGAGTACTGAAGTATGAAAAGGCCCTGAGCACCCAAGATTGCTAGCGCCAGTACGTCAGTGTGTCCTTCAGCACGAGTACTGTAGTACTAACTTCCTGAAACATGGAGTACTGGTGCAACCGCGAACAAAGCTAACGTTGGAATGTGTGTGGGGGTCAGGCAGCAACTTGCGGGCGGTGCCGGTCCGAGCTTGGAGAAGCAGGACGAGTGTGCCGCCACTGCAAGATGGATGACGTGTGGCTGGGATGGGAGATGCGCCTGTTCAGGCTGGACACGCGCGCCATGGAGGCCGGCGCCCACGTGTCCCCAGAGGACGCCCTCCGACAGGTGCCCCCAGGCCATCCAGTGACTAATTGCAAATGTCACGGAGAGGTGATGCCAGCAAATCTTTTTTTTTTTCAAACGACCCTGGCTCCTACTTGGGTGTGCCGGCATTCACTAGCTCATCTGACTGCATTGCTGGTGTACTCTTGCGGAGCTTACTTTGGACAAGGGAAGCAGCTGCACAGATCTGGCGGAGAAAGTGCACATTCCTGAAAGTTCAAGGCTAAAATGGATTCGATTGCGTGCAGGCGCAAGCGGCCACGCTGCGGCACATTGGGCGCGGCGGCCTGGATGAGGAAGCGGCCATGCAAGCGGGCGGGGACGGGGCTGCGGGCGCGTCTGACATGGGACGAGAACTGGTATCAACGGTGGAGATTGTGAGGCACCCCAGCGAGGCGGAGCAGGTGCTGCGCATGCTGCCCGGCCAGCTCAGAGGCCTCAAGCACCTCCCTCAGCGCGCAGGTGAACCCCTGCTCCTCCACCCTACCTTTCAGAAGTACTTCGATATTTTGGATGTGTTTCTTGACGTATATGAGTAGTGAGAGGTTGCAAGTCTGGGGCAATGTTTTTGTGCGGACTGCATAGCAGCCATTGTGACATGCTCAGGCAATTCATTAACAACATCAGGTGTGCATTCAAGGGTTGCTTTTGCATGTCATTGATCATGGGGTTGTTTTGATGCAGCTGCGCAGCGGGAGGCGCTGCTGGCGGCGGCCAAGGCAGCGCTGGATCGGCTGGAGGCCGGCCGCCGTGTGTTCCTGCGCGGCCGCGCACTCGCCCTTGCGCAACGCTTCGCGCTCTATGCCCGCGACGAGCTCGCCATGAGCACGCTGCGCATCCGGGTGCGCGCTGGTTTCTTCCTTCCTTCCTTCAACGTTACAACATGTGTGGCTATGCTTGCCAGAAACTACATGTGCATGCATGTGTGACAAGAGTGTGAGAGGGCATTCTTGTGACTGCAGGTGCGGGTATCGGGGGAGTATGTCAAGCCGCACGAGGTACACTTCAAGCTGCATCCTGCCGAGATCCCCGTCAAGAACAAGGTGACAACGCCCTTTTCCTACAGCCTACCCACCAGATTCACCAGAAATTTCTTGCAAGCCAGAGCAGGGCTCAGGTGTTGGGGTCAGCGGTGCATTGGGTGTGTGCTCGGCTGAAAGGGAGTGCGTGGGGGAACAGGAGCTGACAACGGAGCGCATTGTAGCAGAGGCGGACTTGAACAAGCAGCTGGGCACGCTGCGGTACCTGCGCGGCCTGCGCGCTGCACGCCAGCGCATGCAGGCAGGTGCCGAGCGCGCTGAGCAGGCTCCAGACAAGCAGAACAGCGAGCCAGCTGCAGGTCTATTCACGATCAGCTGCCATTGCCTCACCTGCCAAATGCTTGCCCTGCCTGGCCCTCTTCAACCACAGTTGTGGGATGCCAGTGAGGGGCTTCTGGTGCGAGGTAATAATACCCCAGAGACCCCATTCAAACCACGACCATCCAACCCTGTAGGTCAGGGCATCTGCAAGCAAAGTGTATTGCTGGGGGGTGCAGTTAGCAGCGAGGCGGCTGCGGAGGTGGAGGTGTGCCCGGTGTGCCAGGAGCCACTGGGGCAGGAGCTGACGATGCTGCCCTGCGGTCACCAGCTGTGCGTGCGCTGCCACATGGCCATCCTCGACCGCATTCCCCCCTACATCCCCATGGTGCTTACCTCCCCCACCCCTGCTTATGCACACTCTCCTGCCCTGCTCCTCCTGTGCATTTGTCAGCCTGGCCGAGAGACACAAAAGTCGTAGATTTTGACTATTAATGCATGCTGTTCCTGCCGGAGGCAAGGTGCGGCTGCAGACAAGCTGCAGTTGTGGAATTTTGGCGGCTTTATATAGGGAGTGTAATATATGGAGCGGGCAAGACATGGAAGGCAGTTCGAGTGCCAAGCAGGGAGGAGATTGTGAGCATTTATGGCGCAGATGCATGCATGAGAATGAGGAGAATGTGGCTATGCGACAGGTAAACAGGCACATCCACTGCCCAACGTGCCGGGCGCGGACAAAGGTGACGGACATCGCGCTGGTGGACGCCGGCCGCTCGGCAGCCAAGGAGGAGGGACAGAGTGATGCGCTCGCGGATGAGGAGCAGATCGTGGTCAGCGGCAGCTACAGCACCAAGGTGTGCACTTGCTGCCGCAATACCACCCGCCAGAGCACACTGGCTTGGTTATGGTCTGAAGGCTTAAATAGGCTTTTGGCCATGCCAGGCACAGTCTTTTACACAGTTGCTTTTTCTTCTTTCAAAGGCCTTCCCTTTCAATCTTTCCCTTGAACCCACCCTCTTCAGATATTGGGACACTTACCCAAAGTACTTTTTTATTCTTTCGTCTTTTTTGGCCTTTCTGTGGCCCATCACACCTTGGGAGTCTTCATTGCCATAGTACTATAGTTGATATAATCATTGAAAGTCCCTGTATGAAAACAAGGGAAAAAGCGTTCTGCACACTGACACAATCAAATTCACATAATGAACAGCCTCCTATACTATGTGAAAATCCATTACAAAGGGCCAGAAGAATGCCTGAAATTACAGATGCCACCAAGCCAATTACAGACTTGGCTTGGTGGCACAAAATGTTTTTCCTCCTGCTCCTGCTCCTGTCCCTTGGACCTAACTGGAGCACCTGCTGCTCTCACACATCAAGGTTCAAACAAACCCATCATAGCGTCCTCTCCTGTGCTCTCTACTGGCTCTCGGCCCACGCTTGGTGCGGGAAGAGTCTGCTGCGCTGCAAGTGCCACTATGATTCTGTCCTCAAAGGTGACCCAGGACTTGACTGCTTTTGCCGGTCTCTTCCGCTCTGCTGGGGTGCCTTGGGAGGCATTGATTTCCTTATGGCACTAGCTGCCTTATGCACAACTCTCACTCCTCCATCTCAGACTCGAAGGCATCATCCAGAGCGCTCTGGCCGGCCCAGCGCGGCCGCTTGGCGCCGTCATCTTTAGTAACGGGCTCCGCGGGCTTGTGCACGGTGTAGCGCAGCCCGGTCTTGGGATCGGCGTCCGCTATCACTGTGGAGCCCTCTGTAAGCTCGCCGGTGACGATCATGCGCGAGAGGTCGGTGAGGATGTTATGCTCGAGCCAGCGCCGCAGCGGCCGCGCGCCGTAGAGGTGGTCGTAGGACTGCTCGACCGCGTAGTCCAGTGCGGCATCCGTGAGCTCCAGTGTGATCGACTTGTGGATCAGCCGCTGATTCAGCTCCTTTACCTGCACAGCATCGTGGCAGCTGGTATGTCAGCATGCAGCGACTCCCTGTCACTGACAGGTCAGAATGGGCTCGACAACAGAGCAAGAACTGGCAAGCTGCATTCGCTATCAGAAGAGGCTCCGTGTGGGCTGATAAGGACCAGACACAATGCGATCAGCTGCAAGCATGAATGGTTGGGGTTGCTGGCTCGGCGGCCTGGGTGAAGGAAGACTGCCAGGAGTATATTAGAGGGAAATGGGTGTGTCTGAACGAGCGATAGCCTTTGCCTGAAGTAAAGCAGCAAGGGTAAATCGGCACTTTCTCCATCAATAGCACACAAAGCAGATGACAAACAAGTGCCCTCGCTGCGCACCTGGATGGCAGCGATCTTGCGCAGCTGGTCGTGGCCGAGGGGGTCGAAGAGGACGACGTCGTCGAGGCGGTTGAGGAACTCTGGGCGGAAGTGCTGCCTCACGACGCCCATGACCAGGTCCTTGGCGAGCGCGCCATTGCCGTGCTCCAGCAGCAGGTCCGAGCCCAGGTTGGAGGTCAGAATGATGACCGTGTTGGCGAAGGACACCGTTCGGCCCTTCGCGTCCGTCAGCCGCCCGTCGTCCAACACCCCCAGCAGGATGTTCATCACCTGCATGTCCACCCCGAGGATGAGTCAGGTCATGGGTCCACAGGTGTCCCTCTGGGTATTAAGGCACCGAATGGACCTCTAGGTGGGGCAGTCTATAGAATGGCAGTCAAAGCTGGGCTGCAAGGATGTGCTTTTCTGGTTTGATATTGACAGCAGAGAACGGCAGCACGTATGTTGCTGACCATGCCAGCTCAGAGGAGAGAACCGATTGCAGGAAATTGGCAGCGAGATCCAAGATGTCAAATGCTTGTAGCATGCCAAAAGGCGCTTGTTGGGTTGAATGGGAGTGGGAATGCATGTGCGCACCTCGCGGTGGGCCTTCTCGACTTCGTCCAGCAGGACGACGGAGTAGGGGTGGCGCCGCACGGCCTCCGTCAGCTGCCCGCCCTCGTCGTGCCCAATGTAGCCCGGCGGCGCGCCGATCAGCCGCGCAACCGTGTGCTTCTGCGCATTTGCAATCACACCACTGTCAGCCAATTTGTCTATAGAAAAGTATGGGTCATGTGCAGACCCACAGCTCTGCCAGAGTATGAGCAGGAGTACAGTGCCGTCTCGCAGCTTGAGGCAGAAGTCCAGGTGTGATGGTGGGCACCAGAAATAGCAAGTCCCATATGGCCACAGCTTTGTGTCAGGCTCCGCTGGAACTATGCAAGCTGACACAATTACTCTTGAGGCATAAGACGACAGAACACTGATGGCAAAGGGCGTTGGCGCACCTCCATGTACTCGCTCATGTCGAGGCGGATCATCATTTTCTCGTCGTCGAAGAGCAGCTCGGCGAGGGCCTTGGCCAGCTCGGTCTTGCCGACGCCCGTGGGCCCCAGGAAGAGGAAGCTGCTGCCGCGCGACCGCGATGACAGCCCCGCCCGGCTGCGCATCACCGCACTCGCCACCACATCCACCGCCTGGTCCTGCCCTGCACCACATCCAATTTCTGTGGGTCAGCAAAGTTGATGTAAATCAGGACTGCTGCGATTTGACCTGGCAAGGGGCTGTGCTAAGTATAAGGAATCCTATACACTAAATTAGGGCTGCTGTGAACTGACGAGTGAAGGGCTTATGCTACAATTCAGCCATCTGATAGGCACGCAGGGAGGTGTTATAGGATCTGAATGCTGCATGGAGGGACACCGCTGGGACTTAGAGATGGCAAGGCGCACTGCTGCAATCCAGTCAGCTGATAGGCACAAAGGGTGCCGGGCCATTTTGATTAGGCTGCACAAGTAGAAGGGGAAGGGGAAGGCAGTCACCACTATCATTTACACGGGAAAGGGTGGAAGAAAGGGCACGCACCGACGACGCGCTTGTGCAGCTGCTCAGCGAGGTGCAGCAGGCGTTCGCGGTCGCTGGTCTGCAGGCGCGAGACTGGGATGCCAGTCCAGCGGCTGACGACCTGCGCGATGTCCTCGGGGCCCACCTCCTCAGTCAGCATGGGGTCCTTGGGCAGCTGCGCTATCTTGGCCCTTATCCCATCCTCCACCTCCTGCAGCGCCCCATACCTGCACCCGCGCACTCCCCACATGTCATCAAACGTTCCTTGTGTATTCCACTGGGCGCTGAGGTGCCGGCTCGACCTGCTAGACATGGAAGCACCTGGTAGCAAAGGCAGGGGCGCACGAGCTAGGCAAGAGGTGGAAGCAGGGAGCAATCTCAAAAGCTTGGGCTGCCGACATGATTTTTATTTCGTTGTCACCCAAAGTATCCTTGAAGCATTTGCCAGGAGCGGCAAGTACATGGATCAACAGTGGAGCCTTTTTTCGAGTTGTTGGGGAAGTAGTGGGGGCGCACTTGAGGTCGGCGACCATGGCGAGGTCCATGCGGTGCTCAGCCTCGGCCAGCTTGACCTTGAGCTCGTCGCGTTTCTTCTGCAAAGCCCGCAGCTCGTCCAGCGCGCGCTTCTCTGCTGCGTATCGCATCACTAGGGGCTTCAGCTTCTCCTCTATCTCCCCCAGCTCCCTCCTCACCTCCTCCAGCCGCTCCTTGCTCGCCTGCACACCCAACGCCCACCCTCCCATTAGTGTTCAACCTACAGTGGGGTGAGAGTGTGACAAGATGTCTCAGCTTCGTGCTGACCTGTTCACCCGACAGCATGAGCAATCAATCTACTGAGAGTATTGCAAAACTTTTCGTCTCTGCTTCTTGCTGGCCTGTTTACTGAGCAGCCATTGCTGCGTTAGTGGTCAGTATACAGTAAGTGAGAGTGTAACAAGATGTCTCTGCTCTTTAAAAAGCCTGCCGCCATTACAGGCACCTTCTTGTGAATTGAAACTGCCATGACTGAGATTAACTGTGCCAGATGTCTGTGCACATGCTCAGTCTGCAAGAAATACCCCCACTTCACTTTGGGGACTCTGCTAGCGCAGGAATGCTGCAAACACATCTCTGCCAATGCCTGATTATCATTTGACTGCCAGCGCGAGAGTGTTGCATGATTGTCTTTGGTTCCTGCCCCTGCCTGATCTGCAGGAAAGACAGGCAAGGTTGGTGTGAACGGGGTGCATGATCGGGGGCCCACCCACCTTGTCCTTCTCCTTGCTGAGGGCCTTCTCCTCGACCTGCAGCCTGTACTTCTGGCGCTGCATCGCGTCGATGTCCTCGGGCACGCTGTCCAGCTGCACGCGGCTGTTCGCGCACGCCTCGTCCACCAGGTCTATCGCCTTGTCCGGCACTGCACACACCCCCAACACACCCCTCAGCCCACTCCCTCACCGCGTAGCGCTGAGCATTGCAGATTTCTCTTGCAGCAATCTTTGCAGCTCAGTGGCCCTTAACTGTGCCAGGCCTGACTTTACATCCCTGCCTTTAATTCCAGGCAAGGTCAAGCTGGCAATTAGGGTCCAGTGGTATTCATTGGACTTTAAGCACACGGGAGAGTTGAACGGGGTCTAGGACAGCAACAGAAATTTTATAAATCAGCAGAGGTAGCAATGCAGAGGGGCAGCGTTTGTGTGGGTCAGCAAAGGTGGGGAAAGGATACGCACGGAAGCGGCCTTGTATGTAGCGGGCGGACAGCTCTGCGGCTGCCACGAGGGCGCGGTCCTGGATGCGCACGCCGTGGAAGCTGGCGTACTTGTCCGCAATGCCGCGCAGGATCTGGATCGTGTCCTGCACGCTCGGCTCCTCCACTTGCACCTGCACCCCACCCGTCACTTTCTTTTTCAGCAAGGGCACCCTGGAGACTTCTTTCAAGGAGTGGAATCCTGGCCCCTACAAAGGGCAGGTGCTTGCCAGGAGCCAAAAAAGGCATGGTTTGCCGAAACCTGCAAATTTCTCAGATACTTAGATCTTGAACGTGTCGGGCATCAGAGGTATCGTCAGCTAGGAAGGGGGCTATGTGATTGGCATAGGATAGCGTAGGACGTCAGGCATGTGAGATTCCATACAGCTAGACGAGGAACTGGGAGGCTGTGTAGGAAAATGTTCACCTGCTGGAAACGTCGCTCGAACGCGGCGTCCTTCTCCATGTGCTGCCGGTACTCGCCGACCGTGGTGGCGCCGATGCACCGCAGCTCTCCGCGCGCCAGCATCGGCTTGAGCAGATTCGCTGCATCCATCGCGCCGTCCGTCTTGCCTGCCCCAAGCACCTGTTTAGCACCACATGCCCAGCCGCTCAGTCAGCACTTTCTGGGCTTCACTCCTGCTGACAGATGCATTGGCTGGCAGCCTGTTGGTTGTTGAACAGGTAAGTGTACGCTGCTCAGCGTAACATGCATGCGAGCTATGGCAGTCAGATACGGAGCTTGAGTCAGCTAAATGCACATGCAGTGCCCAACAAAGGGGGCTTATGAATGTGTACGCCACTCTTAAATGCATGTGAGCTCAGTGCTTCCCGCTGCTCAGCCAAGTCAGCTTAGTATTTGCGCCAGTGATCCATTACAGAGGAGGCGCACCTTGCCAAATGCCATCGCATGAGTCTATCAAGATTGGAATAGCAACAATTGCCAGCAGGAGCACGCACCAGGTGGATTTCGTCGATGAAGAGGATGACGTTCTGCGCCTGCTGCACCTCGGCCAGCACGGCCTTCAGCCGTTCCTCAAACTCGCCCCGGTACTTGGCGCCGGCCACGAGCGCGCCCATGTCCAGGGATATGACGCGCATGCCCTTCAGCACCTCCGGCACATCCCCCTTTACTATGCGCTGCGCCAGTCCCTCCACTATTGCCGTCTTGCCCACGCCTGCCGACCACATGCGACTCTGCTCAGCCCTCTTCATGTTTTCTTCTTTCTCATTCTCTTTTTGGGAGTCGGTTTTTAACTGCGTGCTGTTCCTGCCAGGAGGCAAGGCGCTTCTGCAAGGCTTCTGGGAGGCAAGGCCCCATTGTTTTTTATCGCCTTTTATTGCTCTCCTCCTTTCAACTCTTTTTTGCTCTTGCTTTTTATTCATGTTATTGCAAGGAGTGCAGAAAGGGGCTCACCGGGGTCGCCAATGAGGACGGGGTTGTTCTTGGTGCGGCGGCACAGAATGCGCACGATGCGGCGGATCTCCTCATCGCGCCCAATGACGGGGTCCAGCTGCGCCGCCTTTGCTGTAAGGTCAGTGCCATATTTCAGCAGCGCCTCGAACTTCTGGTCGCCTGTGTCCGTGTCCACTGTGCCCCCGCTGCCCCGCACATCTGACAGCGCACTCTCCAGCTGCGCCTTGCTCGTGCCTGCATGCACCCCGGTGCTTTCAGTCCTTGCGCCGTGCCATGTGGCAGCCCATGCAATTCATGCATGTTCTGTCTGTTTTCTGCTTGAAAGGAAGCAGTTTGCTAGAATTTTGGAGCATCTGGAAATTTGGGCAAGGTGAGCTGAGCTGGAAAGGGGGGTGCTGGAGCACCTACCTGCTTCGCTTAGTGCAGCAGCCACATCTTTGTTATCCAGGAGAGCCTTGAGCAGAGCGTCCACGCCCATGAAGCTGTCGTTGTTCTGCTTTGCTCGCTTGACGGCGGACTGCAAGACCTTGCGCATCTCATTGCTGAACTCCGCCTGCACAGAAGCACCAATGTTAGTGCCTTCCATCTGCCTGGCTTGCAAAGTCTCCCATTGCGTTCCTTTCTGCTTTCTTTCCTTTCTTCTTGTTATGGCCTTCAATCGTTGTTCTCCTGCCAAGGTCCTTGTGGGCAAGAGTGCTCTGGTCGTTTAAAGGAGTCAGGGTTGTCGTACACCTCTTTAAGTGCAAGTAATTGCTCATGAACATGACAATGGAAGCCTTTACCGATATCATAGGATTTAATCGCGTTTTTACTTGATCCGGCAAGGTGCCATTTGTTCCTGCACTGAACTTTCTGACTCACCTGATCTGGAGGAGGATCGACTGAAGGCAACCGGACCAGTTTCTTGTTGAGCACTCGGAGAATAGATCGCAGCGTTTCCTCATTGCTGTTGCGTAGGATGGCTTGCTTTGCTATGCCTTCCGGGTCCTCAAAGAGCTTGATTGCTGCATGTACCGGCGTGACCTGCTGATGCGCGTTCTCTTGCGCGAGCTCCTGTGCGTTGTTCAACGTCTCGATAGTCTTCTGCGTGAACTTAGATGGATCCATACTGACAAAATTTCTCCTGATCGAATTATTAGGGCAGCGAGACTTAAGATCGATTTTGTATCGGTCTCGGAAACGTTGAGAAACATCTGGAACACCCTGGAAGCTTCCAGATGCTTCCTTCCCAAACCTGCGGGGTCCTGAGGGTTTATGGCCTGCATGCAAGATTTTACATTGAGAGATTTTGCCCCTTGCAGTGAACCCAAAACGATGGCTGGCACAAAATCATGCCACTGGCAGCAGAGCCATGTCTGACATTGGGCTGGTGCGTCCAGATCGAGGCAGTGGTGCGGCGCGTGAAATGGCTGACGCAGCACGACGCCAAAGCCAAGCTGCTGGTCTTCAGCACGTGGGCGGAGGTGTTGTTGCTGCTGGAGCACGCGCTGAAGACCAACAACGTCCCACATGTGCGGCCCACAACGCGCAAGGCCTTCGACGCAGCCCTCGCCACCTTCAAAGAGGCGCCGAGTGAAGGGACGGGGCATGTGCAGACCCTGCTGCTGCTGCTCAAGCAGGGAGCCAACGGCCTCAACCTCACAGGTGCCGCTTTCTAGCTTTCTGTGCCGAGGCATTACCATAGTCAGCACCATATTTCCCGCACCCCTCAAAATGCGCGAAATATTTGGACCTTTTTTTGAGAGTCTTTCCTTTTCTTGAAATGATGTTTCATCATCACCAATGGGTCGGCCTCAGCGAGAGCTTGAGCTCAAAACTGGTCTCAAAATTGTCACAGGGTTCATATTTTGCATCTTAGGGTCTTGATTTTCGGCCCTTTAGAAAAAATTTAATATTTTATGCGGGAAGTATGGTGATGACTACGGTATACTTTGCAGAATCTCCAGCTGGTTTGCATGAAGGCTGACCGCAAACATCACGTCCTACATCAAGCACCCATGCACTGGCTGTGCGAATGAAAATGCCTGCAGGAAATGCCTGCAGGAAATGCCTACAGCTGTAGATGTGGGGGACTTGATATTGCTAAGCAAGCATGCAACACGCTGACATGTGCTTGTGAGCATGCGCAGAGGCTCAGCATGTGCTGCTGGTGGAGCCGGTGCTGGATCCCGCGGTGGAGGAGCAGGCCATTGGCAGGATCCACCGCATCGGGCAGTCGGCCGCCACCACCGTGCACCGCTTTGTGGTCAGCGCCACCGTGGAGGAGAACGTGCACAAGATCTGCTCCGCTCGCGCGGCCGCCATGGACATGCGCGCCGCCGTGCACCGAGTCGAGGCGCCCCTCACCGTCCGGCGCGCACCTTTCTCTAGCCCAGGATTGCAGCATGCAATACTTGTCCCACCGTCTTTGGTGCATCTTTGTACTTTGCTCTGCTCTGTGTGTATTCAGGGCATCCGTTTTACACCTTCTGGGCTGACAGGAGACTGATGCAGGGACATTGACAACGTATACTGGATGGTGCTGGTGGAGACCTGCTGTGTTGATGACATCTGGGCTACTAGCAGGACTGGGGTTGTTTTGTTGAGGTTCGTTGTGGTAGCGCAGGGATGTGTCTCTGCTCTTGGACCAGAGCTGGGGAGTGAAAGAGCCTGCTGAAGGAGAGGCAGGGCCATCAAGCGGCACAGGAGATGACGATGATGTAATTGTGCTCTGATGATCGCTCTCATTTGGCACACATGTGCCCTGTACAGTACAAATTACTTTGTATCACTCGAATTCCTTCTGCCAGTCCTGCATTATCAGGCAAATCGAAGATGTGTTGAGAGGATGTATTTATAGTTGGAGGTCGCGCGGTTGCAATATATTATACCTTGTTATCTTGGATCACGGTTGATGTGCTTCTTCAATATGTTGAGTTGCCCACCGCAGTGTGTGCCAAATATAATTTCAGCGACGGCGAATCGTACCACTGTTTGCCTTGAAGGTATGCCTGGTCCCCAAAATGCAGCTTAAGGCTTCCTCAGGATTCCTGAGTCAGGAACTAGCAGTTCCCAGGAAGCAAGCTGGGGCCCAAGTGCACAGTATTATTGAAAGGGCAGGACATTCCAAGACTGCAGGAAGACATACATTTTCCCGCATAGTTGCACAGTACGGATACGTGTATCAGGACGGATACGCGTACTTGCACGTCCGGGACGCGTCCCACAAAAGTTGGGCACCCGATACGGCACGTGCGCCTATGTAGGCAATATGCATGCAAGCATGTTTTGGGCAATATGCATTCATTGGAAGCCTTGGGAAGTGTGCACAACCCTATTTCTTAAACAGCCTGGACCTTTCAAAGCATTTCCAATGCAGATCGGTGCTATTCTAGCCAATCTAGGCCACCAGACAGGTGATTTGTCATCCTTTTGGGAAGGTATGACTAATATAGCCGTCCTAGGCCGTCTGGAACGCCAATACGTCCCCATGACGTCCAGGACGCGTATTTTGAATATTTTCAGACGTACTGTGCAACTATGTTTTCCCGTTCCCATCAAGTGACATTTAAGGCAGATTGACTCGATCAAGAGGCGTTCCATCCTGTGGCCAACCTTGAGAACCTTGGACGAAGATATCAGATCCCTGATGACTCAGATGGCCATGGTGATGCTCTAGAAAATCAAATCAATTGTTCCTGGTCAATAACTTTCAGCGCAGAAATAGAAATTCTGCAAAAGGCAGCTTGTCCACTGACAAAAGCCCAGGTGATGTTCTGAAAAATGCAGAAGCTCTAATTTGACCAACAACGAGATAGGCACCACAGTATTAACGCAGAAGAAAAACCAGAACATATACGATTTTTCAATATGCACTGCATTGGCTGATCGGGTCGGCAAGCAGTTTAAGGCCATGGGGTGTGATCTGGAATGAGACTAACAGCTATCTGCCGGCGCACAGTCTTGTAAGCACCGCGGAAGCAACATCGAACATTCAAACATCCAGTGCAGAGCTCTGACGCTGCATTGCTCTGTGTTTCAGGACAGGAAGGGCCAGAACACGGTGGTGCAACGTCATGGAGTTCTGATCTCAGAATCAGAGGCACAGCTTATGCCGAATTGAACAGGAGCAGCATGGGAGGCGAATACTTTGACGTGCTGAAGAGCATGCGAGCACGCATGGCCTGCATGCCAGGGCCAACACGGCCAAGTGCAGAGGCTGACGAGCAGCATGGAGCAGTGGAAGTGCCTGTGCATTCGGCACCAGAACCGTTCCTCGATACAGCCGCAGCAGAAGCATTGCCCCAGCCTGTCCCACCCGCGCACAGCACACAGCCAGCAGCAGGCACAATAAAGAGTGGAGAGCTCCGCCACAGGGATGGAAGTCAGCTTGCAGAACATGCTGCCAGCCCCTCTGGTGCTTCAGAGATGAGTTCCCTGTCCAGTCTGCAAGAGCCCCTCCCAGGCCGGGTTGATGACTTTGATGCCACCTTGGAGCTCAGCAGGAGACCCATCCCCGCCCACTCTCCCAAGGAGGCACCCCAGAAAGCCACCAGCAAGCCGGAACAGTCTCATGCTGTGGCTGATGCTCCTGCGGCTGATGCTCCACCTGCGTCTGCGGCTGATGCTGCACCTGCAGCTGCATCTAAGGCCGTGTCGCAGCCAGCACAGGCCGGAGCCATACACGGACTGGGATGGTCGCTTAAGGCCCCGCTGGGATCGGCAGCAGCAAAGCCGAGCTTGTCATCCAAGCAGTGGCACCACGTCAGGATGTGGTCCTTTGGAGACGGCAAGATCAGCGCACGGCGGACTGCCCCAAAACCCAGCGCATCAGCAGCCAAGAAGGCCAGAGTGCCGGCGGTACCAGATGGAGCCACAAAGTCGGCGAACGGGCAAGCTGCAGCAGGGCCACACAAGCTGCCCAGACAGCCCCAGCAACATGGCTTTGTGCCGAGGCCTCAGCAGCCGCCAAACAACGCACAGCACCCGGCGCCTCCCATGCAGCAGCAGCAGCTGCCACCACCAGCATCAGCACCAGGTATGCCTTTGAGCCAGGCTGCGCAGCTGCGCCTGCCCCTGCTCAAGATCCCGCCGCGCTCACAGGCCGCCACCAGCACGGCCATGCGCGTCAAGGTGCCGGCTAGGCCTGGCGCACCAAGACAGGGCCCGAGTTCGGTGGCAGCACCGGCACCCAAGGCAGGCAGCTTAAAGGCACTCGCTGCACACGTGCAGCCGCAGCCATCGGCAATCCAGCAGCAGCAAGATACGAGCGCGGACGAGCCAGGGTTGATGCACCCGAGCTGGATGGATGAGGGCTTGGAAGCTGCAGAGCGCCTGCAGCTGCTGGCCTGCGACGAAGTGCTGCCGGAGACGGATCTGCCGCTGCGGCCGCAGCCGCGCGTCAACCTGGCGCGCAACCTGGGGCTGCTGCGGCCGCCCTCGCTGCTGACGGCCCCATCCGTGACCCAGAAGTTCCAGGAGCGCCTGACCGCAGCCATGTCCAGCCCGGACAGGCACGCCACGGCCTTCCCTCTCGGCACGCCGGGCGCCGGCGGGTCCGCCTTTGCCGACGCGCGGCATGCGGCAAACAATGGAGCACCCTCCGGCAGCAGCTCTGCCTTTGCCAGCGTGTCGCAGCCGCGGCGCAAGTCGGCGTGGGAGGCCGCTCTGGAGGCAGTGATCGAGGAGGAGGGCTTACTCGACTGGCACCCGGACAGTGCCGGTCACCACGCACCGCGCGGCACCAGGGCCGGCAGTCATGAGCAGGAAAGCAATGAACACGGCGGGGCGGCCGCCACCAGGCGCGGTGGTGGGCGGCCAAGGAGGGCGGTGCGTGCGCCAGTGGGATTCTTCGAGGAGCCCGACTTCTCCACCGGCGGCGACACAGAGACGGACTCAGAGGCGCGGCGGCCGCCAATGCGCAGGGCGGCGAAGAGCCGGCGCGTCGGCCGGCCCAGCAAGGCGCCCGCGCAGCCCAGCCTGCCATGCTCACGCGTGGCCACGTTCCAGGATGTGCAGCGCTGGAAACGGGGCCTGCCAAAAGAGCGCAAGCCCGCGCCTGCAAGCAGAGCTGCGCCGTGCCAGTCCCCTAACAGGCAAGCTTCACCCTGCTCTTGCGCCCGGGATCGCTTGCCTGTTTTCCTCTAGTACACATGGTGGCCTTCAGCAGAGTTTTCCTGGACCTTTCTTCTGTCACATTGCTCATTGCTGCATGGGGTCTGAAAGTAGGCGGAAGACAGTGAAGAAGCAGCAGTCCGGGCTGGTGATCATTGGCAGGCGGTCGCTCAACGCGCATGCGGCCGTGATCGCAGCCAAGAAGAAGATGGGCCGCTTCAACATCCGCCGCTCTGACATCAGCGGCCTCGGCGTATTCACCCTGGGTGCGAACCGCACACTTCTCCTGCAAGCATTTTAATCATGCGCTATCTACTTCTAGTGCATCAGAGATCATGCACCCAGGAAGAGCAATGTCTCAAAGGCATCGTTCACCAGAAGAGAACACAATTGTCCCAAACTGTAGGTAATCCAATTATGTGACAAAGACACAACCAAGGGGGGTGGGGGTTGGTTAGAAGATTGCCGCCTTGCCCCAGTCAGACAGCCCAGAAGCAAACACCAATTAATGTTTCAGAGCAACTGGTATGCTGAGCTGCTGTTGGGATAAGTTTGAGGAAATCCGTGTGCCGCGCAGAGTTCTGTGAGGCGGGCGAGCTGCTGATGGAGTGTGTAGGCGAGGTGCTGCGGCGGCCGGTGGCGAGCATGCGCGAGGCTGCAGCTATTGAGCGGGGCATCAACGACGTGGCCTGCTACGTGTTTGCCCTGGATGCAGACCACGTTGTGGACACCACAAGTTCCGGCAACATCGCTCGCTTTGTCAACCACTCCTGCAGGTGCAGCGCTGCTGTGCACCACTGTTTTTTGTGTGATGAGGTGTGGGCAAGATTTACCATGAGGCTTTGTCTGTGTGCTATCTGAGAGAGTTCCCTTGAAGAAGAAAGTACTCTAAGATCTCTTGATTTGAGGTCCCTGATGCGCTGCTGTGCACTTTTGCTAATTTGTGTGATGGCTCATCACTGGTCCATCACTGATGGGGTGCGGGCAAGGGACATGATGAGGCCTCTTCTGTGTGCTATCTCAGAAATCTCTATCGTGAAGAAGAGTGTCACTTTGATGAGATCAGCTATTTGTTGTTGCGTGACAGCCCGAACTGCGTGGCGACGGCAATTGATGTGAAGGGAGCGCGCCACATCTTTCTCATTGCAGCCAGGCAGCTGGCCCCTGGAGAGGAGCTTACGTGAGGCCCTCCCCTAGGATCTGCTCACTGCTCTGCTTAACATTTGTGTGCTTTCTCTTTCATGCAAATTTCTTTCCGTTGGCTGCATGCGGTGAAAGCAAGTGAACCACGTCCTGCATATGGATGCTGCATGTCGATGCTAATTGAATGCGGGTTTGATGCACATGCAGATATGACTACAGCCTTTCTGCCCCTGACACTGGCAGTTCTGCAACTGCGCAGTCCCTGATCCCCTGCAACTGTCAGAGCCCCAACTGCTTTGGGTACATCTAGACGCGCCTGCTAATGCTGCATTGTCCAGCGATTGGCAGAGAAGCTTGGTGCACTTCAGTGCATTTTGTGGTGGCGATAAGAGGAGGTGAAGGATGGTCTAGGCCATCATAGTCACCTGATTGTACTTCATCTGCATGTCATATGATGGTGGAACAGTAATGCTGTATTTTGACATGCCCGTCCAAGTCAATATCTGCTAGCTCTAGCAAATGAGAAGCATTTTGCGTCCTAGGTTGTCTGAACAATATTGGGACTAAGTTACCTCGTAAACTGCCCTGGCTGCAAGTCGCATCAATTTCAAGCAGCACAAAACTTGTAAAATCGTAGGATATTGTACAAGGAAGCGTTCAAAGCAAAACTTCAGAAGTAATGCTTGCTAGATTTGGACCAGTGGCGGATGCACCCACTAGCCCAGTACAGGGTGTACATCAGGAGCAATCTAGCATTCAAGCATACTTTGCGCGCCCTCTCGACCCTTCCAACAAGACAGCGACGGCGACCGATGCACAGAACGCTGCCAGGCCGAACGTCCTCCAGGGCGTTTGATTGTGCTCATACCAATCATTGAGGTCTGGACCTGTCACAAAGATTCCGACCGCCATGTCTGCACCGTTGCATGCGAGCGCGAGGACTGTGCTTGGCAAGATACTGGCTGTCAGGCCGGCACCTGCACAACAGGTATGCAGCTGTGAGCAGCAAGCACGATTTCCATATAGTCCTTGAAAAACACCAACACAACGGACGACCCCTGGCTGGCCGGCACAGGCTCAGCAGCATGTGAGCTCGTGGGCAGCAAAGCTCCAGCAGGAGTCAAGACAGTAAGCTTGTGCAAGTCAGGGTAGAGAGCCGCACCTAGCGAGGCAGCACCGAGGCTCACGCAGCAGCGAGCCGCATTACCGGTGACCTTCTTGGCCAGCAGACCAAAGCGCCAGCTCCACTCTGCCGGGGATCCCTCATCCTTCTCCTCTGGCACTACCAGCGCAGCAGGCTCGCCCTCAGCAGGCGCTGGTGCGTCTGCATCCTCAGCAGCGGGAAGGTCATCTGCATCTGCATCTTCAGCAGCGGCTCCTGCAAGCACATTCCCAGCGGGGGCTGCTGCATCTGCTTCCTCAGCGGGGGGCCCTGCATCTGCATCCAGAGCAGGGGCAGCCGCGGCTGCTTCGTCCAGTGCCGCATTGAGTGGGTTTGGCTCGTGCAGCTGGGCAGGGGGAAAGCCCCACTGGCGCAGACCCAGGCACCGCTGCCAGCTCTCCGGCAGAAAGGGCACCACCAGCAGCCTGCCAGGACAGCATGGTGTGTCTTTGAGTTGCCAAGCATAACAAATTAGAATGCACACACACACTTGCAGTAAGGACATTCTTACACCATGCCTGTCAAGGGAACAGGTGTTAAATAAACAGAGCCCACAACCTTCCTGGGTTTGGCTCATGGAAATTTTGGTGTGTGGCGTTAGGAGACAGAGTGGTGCAAACCTGTAGGCATCCATGGTGGTGCAGAAGATGAAGTCGGCGACCTGCATGAAGACGCCGGAGCGCAGCGTGGTGCGCGCACTCAGCGCCATGGCCACAAAGGGATTGTGTTTCTGCAGCTTCCTCTTGGCAGACGGCGGGAAGTCTGCGATCACAAACCAACTTGCGCCCACGATCCTCTCGACTCCATATTGAAAAGATACATTTGCAGGGATTGGAGCTGAGCAAGTCCCAGCAAACCAGGTTTACAGCAGGTTTGCCATGGAGGTGGACAGTGCAACGGCACCTTTCACAAGCTTCCAAGATATCCGATCGCTCAGCCTGACAGAAAACGCCCATTCCAAGTTGCGCCTGCGCAAGCAATGATACGGAGTCCAGGTCATCCATAGGTTGCCCAGTACAGAGAGCAAGCGATGTATTGGCAGCGTTCATGGGAGAGTCACCGAATGAAAGTCGTCGAGGCCTCGCGAATGCCGCCCCTGACAGAGCAGTTCACAATGCGCTTTGCGTCCTGAAAGGTCACATCTGGCAAGGGGACGTCCAGCTCAATATCGTCTTCAGGTATGCCGTCCAGAAGCGCCTGTTCACAAAGGCGCAGCATCAGCACAGCTTCTCACTCCATGTCTTCAATTGCTCTCAGTGAGCATGCCTACTCTTGCTTCTGCTGCAAACTGTAATTGTGTATGTGGTCTGATAGTGATGTTTTCACCCTTACATTTGGGAGTCTCATATACGTACCTGTTCTCTGGCTTCGTCTTCTGCATCGTTCAACCGCTGTAGCCAGCCTTGGAGGTAGATGGCCGAATATATGCATAAGCTGCGCGACATCTTAGCATTAACCAGCTATTGCACATACTGTGGGACATGCCATGACGAGAGCTCTCTTGTTTTCAAGCATTGGAGAAGCGAGGGTCTGCTTACCTCTTACAGAACGCCCATGCCAGGGACTCAGGTATGAACGCGTCCCAGGGACTCCTCAAGAGGTCCTTAACAGGATATTTCTGCAGGCAGAAAATCAAGTTGTTGCATGCATACAATGACATACATGCAATACGCATGGCCCGTGATAAGTCATCTGCTCCAGACTCTCAGCAAGGCATGGCAACTATACTATATTATTGAAAGGGAGGGCCTCACAACGTCGATGATCCCATCGGGCAGACGTGTGACGATCTTTCCAGATGATCGTCGCACAGGGTATGGCAGGTCCCAGTAATATGCGAAAGCCTGATGCGTCTTGCCATGTGCCACACAACCAGCAGCAAGTCCTGATACTGCAAAGGAGCCTGAGAGCTTTGCAAGACCCCGCAACGCTCTTGATGACGAGAATTCGACCATCCTAGACTGCGAAAGGTCCTGCGATCAAAAGCATTTTGCCAGTGATGCTGCTGCTGCTCGGAAGCTTTCCAGTGGACAAACAAAATATCCTGGAAAATCCCTCTCGTTCGAATGTTCTTATTTTTGCTCTGCAAATAGATTAGGATACTTCGATGTAATGCTTTGACTGCGGAGAATGCATCAACAGCTAAATAAAGGCCTTCCAAGTAGGGTCCCCCACAGAATATGGGGGGGCCAATGGTGGCAATTTCCTTGGACTAGGCAGAAATCCAGGCAGAAATTAACGACAACCTAAATTGGGAAACAAAGCAATTGCGCAGAAAGAAGAAGCATTGAATCTTTAATTTACTTGAGTTGCGCAATGGATGAGCAGCGCGCAAAGAGACTGGAAGAGCAGCAGGCAAAGTATAGCTCCCTGATCAGTGAACGCCTTCAGAGCAGCGGAGATGCGGCTCCTTTCACATCTGTGAAAATAAAAGCAGCCAGATTGATCCACAGCAACCTCTTGGATTACAAGCATAACTCACCCACCAACCTGAAGAAGAGCGTCGAGTTGCTCAAACGCTGTGCAGACAACATACTTCAGCATCCAGAGGAGGCTAAGTACAGAAAGGTAGCTTAGTTACAAATAATCTATACTCTATCTCAATAGCATCAACTTTGCTGTTGTGTCTTAATTGTTTGGCACCAGATCATTACCTTGATGTACCCGAAAACAAGGACAAAGACAATGATGTCAAGAGCCGTTGTGATTGCAGGTGGGAAGTGCTACTGCTGCTTTCCAAAACCATATCGCAGGTTATCCGGCTGCATTGGAGTTGTTGTCCCTCATGGGTTGGCACACGGTCGTCGAGGACCTGAAGAAGTTTTGGGTCTTCGAACACCCGGTCGGCAGCAATCAATTCAAGTAAGAAAGCACCAACCAACTTCAGTACTATTCACCTTCCTGCTATAGTGCATGCATGAGGACAATATGTCAGAAAATTGTCAGCACAGCAGAATGGGGTGTGCAGCAAAGTGATCTATGCATGCAGGGTGCTGCAAGAGTGTTCGTTGGAGCTGCAGAAAGGACTTTCCGAGGTCGAGCACAAGGAGAATGTGCGCAAAAATACACGGCCTGCTCTTGACTGTTCCACTTCAATTCTGTGGACCCCATGTGTGTCACCGTAGGGCATGGCTTCGCTACAAATGGTTGATGTTGTTGGGGTGCTGTGCAGCTGATGCTCGACAAGTCCGACAAGAAGCAGGTGGAACAGCAGCAGCGGGAGGCTGTTCTGAGGCGGATTGAAGAAGACAATCAAGACAGGCAGCGGGCCCAGGCCCGCAAGCGGCAAGCTGAGAGCGCTGCGCCAACATCAAGCTGAGCCCAGGTAGCATAAAGCCATCATTCGGCAAGTCAGTCGCCTCAATGGGCTAATCACAAATTGCAGGCGCCCACAATATGCAGGCGTCCAAGATTGAAAAATGGCATGCTTCAATTGCAATGTCTGCATTGTAGTTCATGGGTTGAAGATGTCATCCGGACGCGTAATTTTGATGATTGAGGAAGGTTTGCATTGAAGCAGTGGCACTTGCTGGTGGCTTTGATTGTGGCCACAAATCTAAAGCCCATTACTCTTCTCCGCCAATTCATTACAATTAACAGAATGAGATGTACTACCAGTGTATCACATTGCAGTGTGCTTGTAAGTACGTGTGGTAGTACTGGGTGAATTACTGGTGCTATTTGCCTCAATTATACGCCAATAAATTAGATGCATTGCAGTTCATGGCTTGAATGCTTGGCTCATAATTCGAGGTGTGAAGTGCTGATAAAAACTCAAAAGCAATGGGTATGACTGATCAGTGTCACATCCAATCATTCTGGCTGCAATACGACCGTTCCAGGACAGTCCCTGAAAACCACCGAAATGTTGCACATGCTTTGCTGTGAAGCAGACACGCACATTAAAATTTATCACTGCACCTTCTTTTCTTCCTTGCTCACTTCTGCAACAACCTTCTTCTTGCCACTTTTTGCAATGGATGATGTCAATAGCCCAGCAAACACCAGCAACACAGCCAGCCACTGCTGAGGCAGCAAGGGATTGCCATTCCAAAGCACGCTCAAAAGAATGTTGAAGAATTTCCGTGTGGTGCAGATGAGCGTGTTGACCAGGGATCCAAATCTCTTTATTGTGCCAAAGATGAAGAGTTGGCCAATAGCGCCACACAGGCAGAACAGCGCGATGTACCACCCAGCCTGCAGACACACCAAGGCTCTTGAGCCTTCGAGACCCAGCAACAAATATAGCAACAATGCGCTGCATGCATGCATGGACATGGCGGCATGTACTTCAGACGATCTCTGTCACAGGACTGGTGTCAGGTTGGAGCAGCACCTCTGGAAAGGCCCTGCAGAAGGTCAGCAGATCCCATCCAGCAGACGTGACAACAAACAGGTAGACGCAATTGTATAAACTGCACCAGAAGTTCATCCAGCACATGCTCCAGAGCGCGCTGGTGTCCTTGTGTTTCTTGTGAATAATATCCTGCGGCACAATCACATGAAGCCACTGCCTCACTTGTCCGTTCACAGGGACCTGCTGCAGCATGCACCAATTACAAACCATGAGCCCCATCACTGTACAGGCAACTTGCATGAGGGCCACACACCTGCATGGCATTGGTGTAGCCGTCGAAAAAGAGGTTGAGACTGCACAGCCCATAGCCCAGGGGCGCGTTGGGCGCCACCAGCTTGCTGATGACTTTGGAGGAGGACTGCTGCGCAAAGATAGAGATGCCGGCCGCAATCATGATGGCGCAGCCATATTCCAGCGATGAGTAGAACTTGCCCCCGATGAGCGTGCCCATCAGCATCACTGGGATCATCTTGCAAGACTTTGCCAACACCTGAATAGTAACAGGCAGCTCACCACAGCCAGAGGGATTGACTTGGACTGCAAATTCTGTTTGCCTGACTGGAAGAAAAGGAGTAGAAGCGGGGTGCTGACCTGAGCTGGGTAGCTGATGTTCTTCAATGCCTCGCTGCCCAGTGCCGGCCCTATGCTGTTAGTCACGCCCGGCTTCCAGTAAGCTGTCCAGGGGGCATACACTGCGCCCTTGGGCCGCTGTGAGAAGGGCAGCAGCAGGAGGGCAGCCGCCCACAGAAAGCATGCAATGCTTTGCACGCCATTGAGAGCCTTCAGGTGGGTGAATGCCCTGCAATCATACACAATCGCATTCAGATACAGCTGCTTCACGTTCAAGCATCCGCATCAACTGCTGTGTTCGAGGTGGGTGATATACTATACCAACAAGTATCCTATACTAACAGAAATTGGGAGGATGGCACTTAGTCTGGACGTGCATGGGGTACCTTTACCTTCCATCAGGGCCAAATTTCTTTGTTGCCAGGACCTCCTGGACCACCCCTTGTGTCAAGTAGGAGGCATAGATGCCGCCAGCACACAAGAGTAAGAGTCCCACTGTCTTCAAGTCAGCCATGTTATATGATCTGATGAAGACTCTCACCACTGCTGCTTTCCTATTTCATTATAATCACGCTTCCTCTTGGGACACAGACTGGCCAGCGTGCACGGCACAACAAGACCGTGTTTATCAGGACGTCGGAAAGGGCAATATATAAGTCAAGTTGATATTGAAATCAGCTTTTCCTTTACATCCAAATGGGCATCACTGATGTAGGCAGCACTGAAATGAAGACCGATCTGGTGATGACAGCCCCAGCAATCAACACAAGGCAGTAAACAAGGACTGCCCTTCACAATTGAAGGGGAGAACACCCAGTAGATATTTTAGATTTATTGTTCTTCGCTGCTCGAAGAACAATCCGTTACTAAGGAGTTCCCTCGCTTTCACTTGGACTCGCCTCGTGTTTGCCGCAAGCTGATTGGCTCCCGAAAATTACTAATAGTTTCCCAGAGGAAGCTGCTACCTTCTGGCTGCAATCTGAAGAATCTGCATCGCGGATCTTGTTTTTAGATGGCTGGATCTGGCTGACCGATATAAGGTGATATTGAAAATTTAACGAAGATAGCGTGTAGGCCCTGTACAGGGCGGCAGCAGCTGCAGTGCGCCTGCAGCGCATGCATCATGCGGCTGGCCACTGGCATATGGTGCATCACGATGTCATGATCATAGCTATAGCGCTAGCAGCTGCAAAGCCTGGGCCTTAGCTTGCCAAGTGCCACAGCTGAGGGAGCACCCTCAAGCAGATGATTATGATACATCTGGTGACCTGCTAGCTGATCATGATGCCCTGCAGCTCCATGTATCTAAATTTACACAATAGGCGCGTGCCGGCAGGCCTGGGGGGCCAATTGGCCAATGGAAGCAGCTGCTGGCAGGCAGTCTGAGTGTGCCTCACCAGCTGGCCATGGTGGCTACAGATGATTCAACTGATGATTCTTGATGAAGAGACTGACCCATACAAGGACAATCTGTTTTGCCTGAAAATGATTCGTATCAATTAGCATTGTCTGAACAAGCATAGGACTTTTCATCAGCTGGGCACTACATCGGCTTCAGCATGGCTCAAGCTTCTCCTTCGGCATCTCTGGCATCACCCTCCATCCCAGAAAAGGATGGATTGAAGAATGTTGTAGAGTCCATGGCACCTGAGAGAAGCACAAGCTGGGTGACTGTGTGCTCAAGTCCACTGAACGTATGCCAAGCAATCAGACAGCAACACGATCAAGGTGGCCTGATCACATAACTCTAATTTTTCCGTGCAGGAGCACAAGATCAATATCTGGCATCACTTAGCACCCTACAACCCTATCTCATTAGAGGACTCACAACCACTCACCGGGAACGCCTGCCGCGGGGCTGAACACGAAGTGGCCCTGGTCCGGTGCGGCGCGGTCGTAGGGGCTGAGCGGGTCGGCGCCCAGAATGCCGGCGCCCAGAGAGGCGGCCAGCGCCAGCGCGCTCTGCAGGGAACGCCGCGGGTTGGCCATCTGCATCAGCAGCGCCTCCGGGGAGGCCGCCGCCACCGGCGCAGGCGCGCTCTCGGCCTCGCCTGGTCCTTCCGCGCTGTCGTCGTCGCCGGGCAGCGCTGAGACGCTGAGTGGGTTGTCCAGCACGATCAGGCGCGGGCTGCCGGCCGCAGGCTGCTCCGGCGCGCTGTCGGCGCGGCCGGGGGAGGACAGCTCCGAGTAGCAGGACAGGGAAGGCGAGCTGGCCGGCGACGCTGTGCTCCCTGCCTCATCTCCAGCATTCTGCTCGCTCTCATATCCATGGTCTGCTGCGCCCAATTTCTTGCTGTTGGGTGCGCCCAAGAGTGTCTGCGCTTCGTCATCAAGGCTGCTGAGCGCAGGAGAGCTGCCTGCAGAGTCCACCTGGGCGAGCGCTTCGTCGAAGATGTGCTGCAGGCCTGCGCTGAGGGCGGGGCTGCCGTCGGCCACGATCGAGAATCCATCGAAGATCACGACGTCCCCATCCTCTTCAGCGGCCCACTCCTGCGGCGGGAGCGGCACCTCGGCGCTGTGCGTGCCCTCAGCTCGCTGGCTGCCGGATGGTCCCACAGCTGTGTCGGAGGGAGGGGCCTCCTGGTTCATTAGTCCGTGAGCCTGCCTGAAGCTGACCCTTCCGGGAACAGGCCTGACAGAGCCCTGGTCGGCCGGCCGCGGCTGGGTTGTCCCAGGCAGGAGGCTGATGCTGCGGATGGCCTCCGCCGGGCCGAAGGTGTGCCGGGTGGAGGACGGCGTACCCTGCGCAGCAGCTACCAGGAAGCTTCCGCGAGAGCCGGCCCCTACGGAGCCGGTGCTGCTGGGGCCGGGCGTGGGCGCCATGTCTCCCGCCTGTGGAGAACTGCTGCCCTGCTGGAGAGCAGCGCTTGGCGGCGGGCAGAAGGGCGGCGTGTCGGCGGGTGTGGCAGCGCATGCCGGCTTGGTGCCGAACGAGACAGAGCCCTCGTCCTGGCCCCAGCTGGCGTCGTCTGCAAAAGCATTGTTTGCGTCTGCGCGACCGAACGCATTTGCGAAGCTGATGGAGCCCTCTGCCTCTGCCCTCTCGAGTTCCCTGTCAGACTGCTGGCCTGCCGCCTCCTCCATGCTGAGGGCCTCCTCTGGCAAGCTGTCAGCGCCGTCTAGGAGCTCTGACATGTGGTCGACGTCCGCAATAGGCGCAGGCTCCGAGTCGCTGACAGCAGCGCCGGTGCCCTCCTCAGCAGCGGCCTCGTCCTGCGACATGCCGGCAGCGTCTGATTCTGGGGGCTCGGCTGCAGAGGACAGCGTTGACGAGGTGCTGCTGTTGCTGCCGGCGTCCCTGGCGTACTGCGCGAGAGCCAGCCCGATGAAGCCGCCGGGTGCCGGGCTGCTGCGGCGGGCCTCTCGGTCACTGTGGCGGCGCTCGATGGAGCGGCGCAGGCTGCTGAGGGGGTTGCCGAGGGCCGCCATGTCCAGGGAGCCGGACAGACGCGGCTGCAGGTTGCTGGGCGTGTTGAGGGCTGCCCAGTTGGGCTGCCCCAGGAACGGAGAGTAGGCTGAGGGCGACGGGGGCAGCGGGCTGTTCATGGAGTCCTCTGTCGTCGCGTACAGGTGCCGCAGAGTGTTCTGCACACGCAACATGCAAAACTCATCTACATGGTTTGCACACGCAACATTCATAACTCATCCACATGGCTTCCCTTACAAACAGCGTTTGAATAGCAGCTAAACAGAGCACGCATGTATAGCTGTGTAGGCATGCTGTGGGGGCATGTTGTGTTGCTCTCTTGACTCAAGAGCAACATTAGGTCATGGTTGGTCAAGAGCAGCAGGCGAGAAGGCTGACCTGCACGTCCTCGTCGAAGGACTCCCAGTACCACTGCTTGAAGAGGCGGAAGGAGATGCGCTGGCGCGTGATGCATGCCTTGAGCCTCGCATAGATGTCCCGCTGCTCCTCGTACACCGCCCGCCACCTGGACGCATGCATCATATGCGTCATCACCCATTATACACCTCCTTGCATGTAAAATTGAACATAGCACACTCCTGCAACTGCAAATCTCTAGAGATGAAGAAAGCGGCAAGCCAGCAATAATGTGAGGGCAAGGACTGGGATGGGGACTACTTGGCGAAGGCGGCGCGTTGGCAGGCGAGGTCGCAGCGCGCGCGGTGGCGGGCCAGGGTGACGGCTTGCACGCGCGCGGCCTCGGTGGCGGCGCGCCACGTCTGCAGCGCGTTCCACTGCAGTCGAGCCACCACCTTGTCCAGGCACCGCGCCAGGATCACCCTGTGCCTGCGCTGCTCCTGCACAGGCCCCATGCAAGTTCTCACTGCTCGGACCTCTACCAAGTACACCTGAGAATCAGCCTGAGATGTCAAGGTTCATCGCATGATCGTACCTTGAACCTGCCAAATCTCATTGTTGCAACATTGTTTCTGAGGTATCCTCTAATTCGCATTTCAACGTCGTCAGGACTTGAGAAAGTAGACAGCTTCTCCATCACACACAAATGTGGGGCTCTCACCTGTCCATACTCACGCCAGGAGGCAAATGTGGATAGAAGCAGAGCGGCAGAGTGAGTTGTGACAGGAGCATGCCCAGAGGGGCGGGCGGCAGTCATGGAAAGTGTCAGCTCCGCTGCGAGGGCACTCAGACGCATTCTGCCAACCTTGCGGCGCTCCATGGCCTCCACCCATGCCTGGTGCAACACAAAGATGAATTCACACACTGATTGTGGAGCAACACCTGTGAGTGCTCTGCTGGGCTAAACATCAGTATGGGCAAAACCTCAGTATAATGATATGCAGGGGATTGAGCACAGCCCTTTAAACTCACCTCAAAGCACATCAGCTGATTCTGTTCACTGAGGCGCTTGGAGACGGCCTGTCCCTGCTGCAGTGCTGCTGATCTGCGCCAGCTGAGGTCATCTGCATGCGCGCACCATGCATGCAGCACTCTGGCCAACGACTTCTGCTGTGTGCAGGCATGCATCTCCTGGGCGAGGGTCCTGCTGGTGCGCCTGGCATCAGCATGCGTGGCCCAAGCACCAAACACCTGCCAACAGAAGGTATGAATGAACAGGCAGCTCAATATGTACGATTGGGGAAACTGTTCTGGATCATGGCCAGGCCGTCACTTTCTGGGTGTCTGTTTGATGATACTGATTGCTCAGAACAGCACAAGATCATGAGACGAGGTTAAAAATCGGGGAAAAGTGTGTTACCTGTGACGCGCGCAGGGACATGAGACGCCGCTGAACATGCGCAGACTGTGCATGCAGCCCCTTCTTGACTGCAGCAACTTGCCGCCAATCCCTCAGAATGGCCTTTGCCTGCATGCACACAAGCAGAACTCTTGCATTCTGCAGGACAAACATTACACTCCTTCCACAAACTCACATCAGACAAATTTGAAACTTCATGCACAGAAGCTCGGCTGCCTCGTTGTCGCACCTGTCTGCTGGTGCACCGGAGGGCAGCCTCTTCTGCCAGAGCGCATGCATGACCCATGTCCTCGGCACGTGCGCGCCACTGCCGCAACGCATGCGCCATCCTCCTGGATCGCACAGCCGCCTGCAGGCGATGCGACCTGCGCCGCACAGCGCGTGCATGTGCCGCCCTGCAGCGCCACGCATGCATGACAGCCGCTGCCTGTGAAGCCGCCATGCGCCTGCCGACCACACACAGCATGATGAAACAAAGCGGCGCTTGGTACTTCCAAATAACGGCAAAGCTCACTTCCATTGGCTCATGTGCAAAGCACACAGTATGCAGGGCTTACAAGATAAGAGCATTGATACATTAGCACAGAGAATAAACGCAGTGGGATACTCAATATACTGTTTTACTATGTAATCCCCTGTGTTGCATTCGAGAAGGGGTAATGGCGCACCCGACAGCCTGCTTCAGGCGAGATTGCAGGGCCGTGCGCTCCTGCACAGCCTGCTGCCAGGCCAGGAGGGCAGCGCTCGCGCGCATGACGGCCAGGCGGTGCACGAGGCGCTGCAGCTGGCGCCGCAGGGCCCCCGCCTTGCTCGCGCGTTCCCTCCAGCCGAGGAAGGCGGCCGCCAGGTGGCGCTGCGACAGCAGCGTGACTGACCGGCAGATGGCGTCCTGCCAACCACAAGGCTTAGTGCAGAGTCAGCCGCACTTTATTTCTTTGCCACACAGACAGATACCCTCTACTCATGAATCCTGCAGACAAAGTGGACCCTAATGTCCCCCGCACATCCAAGCATCTGCCTTCCAAATTGGTGTGACTCCATCGTTGCAAGATGGGCAGGTACATACTGCTCTCAGATCTCAATGGGGAGCATGTGAGTGCATTGCATGAGCCTCACCTGCTGCTGCTGTTGAGCGGCATGGGCGTCGAGCCAGCCTGTGAAGGCTCTGTGCGCCAGCTCAGCATCGGCGCGCTTCCCCATGGCAGTCAGCCGCTCCCGGAAGGCCCGGCGGCCGTCCGCGACACGCTGCCAGCCGGAGAGGGTCGCCGCGAGCAGAGCGCGGCTGCGGTGAGCCACGCAGCGCGCCATCAGCCGGCCCAAGCGATGCCTCTGTTCCACCCTCCCTAGCCAGTGCTGCCAGGCTGCAGGCACACCTGAACTCTCGCAACCTTATCCCTCAACTGAATTTCACGCCTCCACATGCATCATTTTGGAAAGACAGCCAGACAATCCGTATTTAATGCTGGCAAAAGCAGGAGGATTTATCTAGCTAACCAAGTGCCAGGAGTGCTGCCCCCATTTGGCGACGCTGCTGTGCAAAGTGGGAGGCGGCCTCCTCTGCCGCCCTGCTGAGCTCTGCGGCATGCTGCAGTGCAGCCAGTGCCGCAGCAAGGCGCCGCTGGGTCCGTGCCTCTGCGCAGGCCTGCACCAGAGCTGCCCTCTGCTTCTGGTGCTCCACAGCCCGGCACCACGCTGCCAATGCACCCGACTTGACACGCTCACGCTGCCGTTCTTGGCAGATAGCAACCTGCAACGACACACCAGCACAACCACTAGCTCTTATAATTGTTACCTTAATACTCCCAGAGCATGAAGGGAGACATGTAACTAAGCAGGTCACAGATGGAATGCTGGAGTTTACAAGGTGCACCTGATGCTTGTGATCCTCTGCCAGATCCTGCCACGCCCAAAAGCTGCTGCTCAAGAGTGCTCTGGCCGATCGCGCGTTCCTCTGTTGGCCCAGCAGCCTGCAGTGCGATGTCAGCTCGGCTCGGCTGCGCCAGGCGTCAAAGGCTGCCTGTGTTCGCTTGCAGGCCATCCTGCATGCATTGCTCATAGTCATGGCTTCGGAGGAAGTCTCTTCCGCAGTGACCCACATTAGGCACCTGGCAATCAGGAACATTTGACAACTGGCAAAGTAGCCTTCTGTAAGAGATGTACGATTGCTTATGGCCTCACCTCTCCAGAGCCTTCCTGAGCGCCCATCGCCTGCGCCTGGACTGCAGAGTCACTTCCTGCCACCCCTGTAATGCTGCGAAGCATCGCCGGTCGACGGCCCTGTGCAGCGCCTTTGTCAGCAGCCCGCGGAGCCGCTTGCCCTCCGCCGCGGCTCCTGCCCAGCCATGCAGCACGGCCGCCATGTCATCCTGCCGCCGCCGCGCAAATAGGTCCCCAGCAATCGCATCCCTCTCCCTGCACGGCAACATGAGGCTTCACGTCCTCATTCAAGGCTAGAGAACTGCTATTGAAGTGAGCATGTGATGTGCGCTTGTTGGCCCTGCCTATAGTCATTTGGAAATGTACCTTGACTGGTGCACAGCGTCACGCCAAGCAGACGTGGCTTTGGACATGGCTCGCAGTGCCTGCCCCTGCACAGCCCTCGAAAGGAGCTGCCTGATTTGCTGCAGCTCGCTCGCCTGCTGCTGCCAGCTGACAAACACAGCACAGAGATGCAGCTGCTGCAGCCGGGCTGCCATCACATCCGCCAACCGCCGCCTCTCTGCACTGGCCGCTGCGGCCTGAGTCCATCCTTGGAAGGCAGCATGCAGCGCCATTCTTTGCGCCTTGGCTACGGCCTGCGAGAAGATGGAGCAGATCTTTGAATGTTAACACACAAAAAGCAAGCAGCTCTCGCATGAAGCAGTCATTTGCTCATGAGACCAGGCCCCAGAGGTGGCCTGAGGCAGAGAATGCCACCGTGCGGATATTTGCGTTCCGATAGAGCCACACCCGCTGCAGCAGGCCGTCCAGGTGTGAGCGTTGCAGCCGCCGGGCCTCAGCGATTTGCGCCCAGGAGCCAAAGGCGGCGCCGAGCCTGAGCAGCGCGAGGCGGTGCACAGCGGCGCAGAGGCGGTCGCGCATGGCGCGGCTGTGCGCAATGTGCTGCGCCCAGACGGCCAGCGCGGCGCGGCAGCGGCGCTCGTTGGAGCGCGCGTGCTGGCGGACCACGTTCGCCGCGCAGTGCCGCTGGTGCCGCGCGACCTTCCTGCAGGGGGCGCAGCTCCGTATTGAGGGGGCAAAACGACATTTTCTATCATGCACCATGCTTTGAGATGGCATGCAGGGCTGGGGCCGGCATATTAGGTGCTTAGCATGCAGACACAAACATACAAAAAGTGAACATGTGATGGATGCATTCGCTTCCACTATCATATTAGGTGATGCTGGCATATTTCTGATGAATATTGCGAAGACTGCAGGGGATCATGCAAAAGCATGGGAGGATGCAAACTTTACCGCCAAGAGGAGAATACAGTGCGCATGCTGTTGGCGTCCTCAAAGCGCTGCAGCACTCGGACCCCCCAGCGGATGGACTTGGTGAGCCGGGTGTCCGCCTCCGCTGCCTGTGCGGACTGCTGCTGAGCAATGGTGGCCAGCTGGGTCATGTCATTGCGCATGGCCTGCCGGATGGTTTGCACCTGCCACCACAACAGGCTTGATGACCTTCTGCATGACTCCCTGTGCATCTGTCTCCACCATTGCATGCATGTGCCTGCTGGAATGGGGCTCACATGCCGCACTACCGCAGTGGCATGCACAATGATTCTGCAGAGCTGGGTACAGCCACAGCATTGTCAGACCTGTGTGCGTGTCCATGACTCCAGCTGTGTCTTCTCATCCGCCATTTTGTTCACCTTGCCCTCGATGCGAGCCCGTATCTGGAGTAACAAATGTAATGTTCTTAGTTAAATGGACTGCTCCCACTCACATCTGTAGCTATATAAGCAACAAGTGCTGATGAGGTTTCATTCCTGAAAACTTGCTTCTAAATCTGGCCTCATTGAGCGTGGATTGCATGCATATGTCAACTGACCTTCTTCTCTCTTGCCACAAACTGCTTCCACTCTGTGATCATGAGGTGGTTGATCTTCTGCAGCTCAGCAGGCTCTGACAGATCACTCTCTGCTGATGGCATTGTTGGGGCCATGACAGCACTCATGGTCTGAATGCCAATCCGCTGCACATCCGCGGTCAAGATGAACTGCACAAAAACACACTGTGAGAACCCGCCTCTGTGCATCACCATACAAATGTGCATATCCAACAGACCAATGGGCCATGCTGCAGTGCTTCAATTGCCCAGTGTACCTGGGGAAGATTCCTGCTTCTGAAGCTCAGGCGCTGACAGCTCCAGGGCTCAGAGATGCCTCCCTCCACCAGCTCCCACTGTTCCCAGATGCCAAAGTTGCCACTGAAGAACACCATGCGAGAGGAACCCTTGCGGCGGACTTGCAGGAGCCTGCCATTTGCCACGGCTGACCGGAACCCCAACCACCCATCCTGAAGCACACAGCAGTGTTACAAGGGAATGCCAGTATGACAGTCGCACATGCGAACTGACATTGCGTGAAGTATACTGACCTGGTTGATTATTTCCAGGTGGGCAGAAGCAGTATCTGCAGGGTCGCCAAGCTTGAGGTGGATGTGACCACTTCCATCCTCCCCAGCTGTGTGAGGCACCAGCGGCTGTCCCTGTACATCATCAGCCAGGTGCCCAGTATTATTCCTTGACGGCAGGTATGTCCTCATTTGGAACATCAATGCAAGATCGAAATGTCTCACCTCGTGCAAGAATATGATTACGTCCCCAGTCTCAAGCCCAGCCTTGATGGGAGGTTCAGGGGCTGAAACACTCTGATCACCTGCGCTTAATTGATTCTGTAAAAAAAACAAGCCATACAAACAGATTGAAAGATGTCGGCAGTGTGCATTGATCAGGAAAGAAAAGGTGCAACGGAACTGTGCCACAGCAGTGGACGTGCCTTGCTTCTCCTGATTCTCTGCGCTGTATTGAGTTCCAGGCGTTGAGACGTTGACGTTGCTTTCCTCAGAGACAGTTGAAGGCGCAGTGGTGTCAGCTGCATTTTTGCTGACAAGTCCAGGAGCCACCCATTCTTTCTGATTTGTGATAGGTGACAGAGGATTGCGCCTTCTGCCTTGCTGCGACACATCATGCAGTGCAATGCCCGCATCGATAGCCCCTTCCAGCGATGCCATCTATTGTACAGTGACCTGCTTCATTCTGACAAAGTGAGTAGAAAGAAAGCTACACTGGAAGGCGTGGCTGTTCTCGAAGCATGAAACGACTATGGTGACCTCTCTTGATGCTAAACTTTTGCTTGATAACATGTTCCTACTGAGATGGACGAGACATTCTGAACATTGTTCAGTGAACAATCTCAACTCCTTAGCTGTTCTTGCTTTCTTTCAAAAGCAGGGGAGGTCTTGAATTACTCACCGCTGCCATCATCGTGAACGTGGCGTGTCGGAGTTGTCCTTTCCTTCGAAACTAAGCTGAATTCGCCAAGGAGCACTCGCATCCCTTCGATCTGTTGGAGAGAATTCTTTAGTTGGCTTGGAAATCGAGGTGATTTGGCTATGATTGTTGACACCGAAATGTATGCAGATAGTCTTGCTTGATCTGGCGCGCCACAAAGGCGGGCTGAGACAATGTCCCGATTGACATCGTACACACGCCGATGGATATGTGACAATATTTCTAGAAGTCTGTCTGTTGTAGATCTCAGATCTCACATCAGCATTTTTGCACTATCCTCCTCCGTTGCTGCTACAGCGTTGTATACATGCTACCCTCGTGCATCTCTCAATGAGCCTGTGCTGCCTGAAGTGAACGTAACTCAAGATGACAAAGAATTATCACAAGTGGGGACAAGGTCCAAGAATAAGACATATACAGCATACACACACGATGGTAAGCATCTGTGTATGCCTCACTCCCTGAGGCTTGTAGTTGTGCAGAGCTGTATGATTGTGCAGAGCATGCCAACAGACTGGTCATACATGTACTGCAGTGTCATACATGTACTGCAGTGTCATACATGTACTGCAGGGATCAAGACCGGCTTGGCCGACATTGTTAATGCCATGGAAGACGTGGATGTTGTCCTGTTGGGCGAGACACACGATGACAGGATCGCGCACCTCTTGCAGCTGCAGCTTCTCCGAGGCGCGCAGCAACAGAGCAGCAGGTGTGTAGGGGAGGTTTGCGCAGAGCTCAAATTGACAACTGAACAATTCTTGACCGTGGGCACTTGCGCAGGACGGGCCGGCCTGTAGCCCTCAGCCTGGAGATGTTTGAGCGCGACGTGCAGGGCATCATGGATGATTATCTCTCAGGGCTCATCACTGAGCGAGACCTCAAACAGGTTTGCCACTAAGCACCAAAAATGGTGTGCATTACTGATTACACCCTCAGAGGTTGCTTTGAGGAGCTGTGTTTGCTGCAGGATGGCCGGCCATGGCCCAACTATGACACTGACTACCGGCCTCTGGTTGAATTGGCCAAGGCTGAGGGCCTTGCTGTCATCTGTGCAAATGCGCCAAGGCGTTATGTGAGCATGGCTGGACGAAGCGGCAGAGCGTCATTGGAAAAGCTGCCTGCTGCATCCAGACAGTGGCTCCCACCCCTGCCGTACATGCAGCCATCACAGGCACGTCCCTTGGGAGGGCGGCACATTCATGCAATACACGCGTGACAACAAGGCCGACATAGCAGGATCACATTTGAGCACAGGCGTGATCGGGGATGTTCACATGCAGGCATACCTGGACAAGACAAACCAGACCATGCAGGCAGCAGCAGAGCAGATACAGGCTTTCAAGAGCCAGCAGGCGGGCGAAGGGGGGAGCGACAAATCAGCTGGCAAGAAAGAGACCAAAGATGATGGCTTGCCTTTGCCAGCTGACAGTGGTGAGGCAGCAGGTGCTCCATCAGGAGCAACAGGCTCTTTTTCTGCACCACACTCTGATCAGCAGAGCAGCGAGTGCAGAGAGAGAAGCACTGCAGAGACCTCAAGTGCGAGCGGGGGCTGCCCATACATTGGCTTCACGGCTTCCACAAACTTCATGGATGCTCAGACACTGTGGGACGCGAGCATGGCTCACTCCATATCTGCCCATATTCTGAAGGCAGAGCGCGGAGCAAATGCAGCATTGTTGCAAAGAGCAGCGCGCGATGAGGCCACAGGCTTGCAGGCAATCAACTTATCAGAGGAGACATCAAGTGCAACCTCTTCTGCAGTTGAAGCCGCTAATAGTTGGGATGTGAGCAATGTGAGCCGGCCGCTAGTGCTGCATGTGTGTGGGAAGTTTCATTCAGAAGGAGGATTTGGCATTTCTGAGCACCTGCATGCTTACAAGGAGGGATTGCGTCTGTTGGTGGTGACATTTGTGCCCACATTGAACGGAGTAGAAGTGAGCCGAGGTGAATTTTTGGAAGATTGTCTGGACAAGTACGGTGACTATGTCATTTTGACAGACCTCAGCGCTCCTCGGTCATATGCCATAGAGCACCCACTGTGACTTTATATAATTACTGAATGATATTGATATCACCTTTTGAGAGGCAGTCTTATGACCATGCAGTTTCAATCCAAGACAGAATGCGAGTCATAGTACAATGTCTCATTACAGGATCCGCAATTTTAATCAAAAGTTGCGACATTAATGCTTGCTTCACTGATCCATTCGCATGTGGCAGTTTTTAATCCACATTTGACAGCTCAGCCTGAGCTGTATGCATGCCCAATCTACAGGGGATCATTTAACCGTGTCACACAAGGGTATTCAGCCGAGCGCAAAACAGAAAATAAACATGAAGCAGCAAACATTGACGACATGCTTCCTCCTCACGGCCAGCTGCGCATTGAGCTCATACAAGCAGCGGCACATTGTACAGAGGAGCAGGCAAACACTGCTAAGACAGGAAACGTCACTTCAGCGCACAGGCGGCACGGCGGCAGGCGCGGATCCACAACCACTCTCGACAGGGCAGTGCGCTGGCACGGAGCGCCCTAGAAGCGATCCTGGCGAGCATAGGGGCTCTGGTATTCCACCTCTCCTGCGGTGTCAAACCCGCCCGCGCCTGCCGCGCCAAACTCGGCTGGGGCTGCACCGTAGCCGCCGCCGAAACGGTCGTACAGGCCGGCAGAGTCCGTGCGGCCACCGCCACGGCCGCCACGGCCGCCGCCACGGCCGTAGCCATTGTTGTCGCCGTAGCTGGGCGCGGGTGTGTAGCCTCCCTGGCCGTAGCTGTCGTAGCTTCCTGTCTCCTTGTAAGTGCTCCTACGTGTGGACAGACAAAGATAAATATACTTTCCTCCCCTTCAGCTACGAATTATAACTCAATGTGATGGGACAATGCAACGCAGTATTGCAAGAAGTCCGCACAGAAACGTACATGCCGATGCCTTCCTAAAATTTCCTGCTCTAACCCCATAAATTTGATTCAAGATGCTAGACTGGAGCCCTTGATAAAGCCCAAGTGATAAGAAACTGCATGGGAAACAGGGCTCACCCGTAGCTGCCTCCGCCTTCCGCCTGCTGGTACGAGTCATAGCGCCCGAATCCTCCTCCTCCTCCTCGGCCACCTCGCTGACCACCATTGCCATAGTCGTACCCTCCGCGGCCAGCAAATCCACGGCCACCCCCTGAGAAACCCCCACGGCCTTGATTCCCTGAGAAAGGTCAGATGCCAGTTGTGATGCAGTAGCAATTTCTGGACACTGCAACACGTGATGTATCATAGTTCAAGCTTGAGGAATCCAAAACTAGATACTAAACATGCAAGCTTGTACGAACGTAACGTTGCACGCAGTGAGGGATGGGATGGGCAGCAGTGATTTAGCACAACAGAAGTCAGATTTGGAACAAGGTGTCATGGGCATTTGCGACTTGAATGAAAAGCTGCAAGCATGTTCAAAAACATTGCTCTTCGATAGCGAGGGACTTCAGGAATTACCGTAGCCATCGGGACGGCCGCCAGCGAATCCTCCGGCTGCAAGCTGAGCTTCCTCGACTTGGCGGCGTCTCTCTGATGGCCTGACGCCGATTTCCCCGCTCTTGGCACGGTCCACCGCCATTTTCTGGGAACGGAATTATCAGCTAGGTGTTTTTTGGAGACAACTCTACATGGCATGATCTGGCGGAATCACACGTTCGCACCTCGAACTGCTCCATGAGGCCGTCAAGCTTGCTTTCGCGATCCTTCAACTCAACCTGCAGAGCCTCTTTCTTGGTCGCATCATCCTCGACCTCCAGATCCTGCTTAACTTCCTCCACAGCAGCTTCCAGTGCTTTTTTGGCTTCGATTTGGTCTGGCGTCAGGCGAAGCTGCAGAAATGTCGCAAGTCACCTCAGATCATTTAAACAACAATTTCCATCATTAAATACTGAGAATGACAAAGATCAAAGGGATTTCTGAAATGACTCGTTTAGCCCCATCAAATCAGTCAGAGAGGACTTACGGCAAGTTTCTCTTTCAGCACTTCCTCCTTCAAGATGTCCTCCTCCTTCTTGCCCACACGATTGGCCAGGATAGACTCCCTGGGCTTCGCTGCTCCAAAGGGATTCTGCAAGAAAGTTTGCACTGCATCAGAAAGGCTCTCTTGAGTAGGAGTGTGACTCAGGGGTCCTGCTGAGCAGCCCTCACCGATTTGCCACTAGCAGCTCTCTCAATCGTTGCACGCTGTGCAGCGGCTTCATCTCTAGGCTTCAGCTTCAACCTCGGGCGCTCTCTGGGGGGTTCTGCTCCATTCACAGGGCTTGCCATTCAGAGATGCTGAACACAACTCTTACAGGTCCTCGTCTGTCTCCGACGTCTGCGTGTCCTAAGATCACCTTTGATATTTTCCTCAACCTTATTTCTGCGTTCTCTTCTGCGGGCTGTTCTCCCAAACTATTCAATTCCTCATCACTTCATTCGAGGGCTGCTGATCTGTAGAGTGAGTCATCGTCAGCATAAAGCCTATCTAGGCCTGAGCACTCTCTGGAATTCTTGCAGGAGCTACTTTCCTGGTACCCAGCAGCAATTGCATGTACAGGAGAAGTTGCTGAGGCGCATCGCGAATATTTCCCGCGGCGATGGCGCTCAGGATAATTTTTGAAAAGAAAATTGCTGACATCTTATTCTATACATATTAAAAGAGAGCAAAACAGGAACAAAGATGGACATCGACGATTTCCTCGATCTCCAATTCGATTTGGATGAGCAGCAAGAAGAAGTCGATGGACAACAATATGCCTCTGTGGCATCGCCAACCCCAAAGCAGATGCCACAAAGAGTCACACCTGAGCGCAAGGCAGGCCCTGCAAAGACCTCAAAGCGACCTCTCAATGAATTAAGCCTCAACGGAAGTGCGATTGCCGACGTCATCCCAGGTGATCGTTGTACGCTCCCGTCCAGGACTGCAGGCCACACTCATCCTGTCTGACCTTCAGGACCCTATAATTCGAAGGCATGTGGTCTGAGGCTTTCGATACCTCTTGTAGGGAAGAGGCCGCGCACGTCAGAGCCAGCCACAGAAGACTTTGACGAGGATGATGAGCTTGTTGCGCTTGCATACGCTGCACAGCCAGGAAACCAGCTGGAACACGGCAGCAAACTTGAACAGAGGCAGGACCATGGCTCCTCGGTGCAGCCTGACCAGCAAAGTAGCCCCTCCAAAGCGGCCGCTGCATCTACAAGTGGGCAAGTTGGTGCGAGCAGCCGTGCGGGCTTCATGAATGATGGGGGAAAGGGAAAAGAAGGAGAATCAGACGGAGCTCTGCAAGCTGCCGCTGTTTTCCCAGCCCGGAACGCAGCCGACATAGAAGGGGAGTGCATGACAGTGACCAGCAATACAGGGGAGCGCGTCTATTGCGGCCTTGCTGCCCCAGACGCAGGACAACTCCTCAGGCCGCAGCACCACAAGCGGCAGGGGCACTTTCTGGAGAAGCCAATCAGCGTTCTCATGGCTGAGGTAGGAAAGCTCTCCCACATTGCTGCGCTATTTGCGCATCGTGCGGGACATGCATGCACAAATGCAGATGACATTGTCTTCTGCTGTGCAGGTGGAACAGGCCGCTTATGAAAGTGCTCTCAATGCACCCCTCGAGGGTGAGCAACCAGCCTCTGCCAGTGCAGCAGAATCCAAAGCAGAGATGGACCAGGTGGGTGTTCTGACCAGACATAATGTGTCCCTGTCATTCACACCTCTGGAGTCTTCCATTTTGGAGTCTTCTAAGCACCACTGTCCAAATCCAAATCATTGCAGCATGTTTAGGTAATATGTAGCACCTTTTGTGCAGGGAGAGGATTTGTGGGTAGACAGATACGCGCCATGCTCCTTCCTGGAGCTGCTGGGGGACGAAGAGATAAATAGGGAGGTAGTCAGGTGGCTGAAGACCTGGGACAAGTGCGTCTTTGGCATCGACAAGCACAGGCCGAGCAACAAACCGCACAAAGCGGCCGCCGGAAAAGGTCCCGCCACAAAGCAGGGCACTGACGTCAGGCCTCCCCAAAAGATCCTCCTCATCTGCGGCGCACCGGGTGAGCATGCAGCATAAGCTTCTCATTCTCATATGGCCATTTGCCAGACAACGCTGCCATAACCATCGTAGAAGGAGAATGGAAATCTCTCCTCACTTATGCCATGCCTGTATCAACTGTATCTAGTACCTCCACTGGCCCCTTTCTGTGAGAATGTTGGGTAACGACACAGACAAATGTTGCAATTGATGCGAGACACGTGTGCGGCGGGTATCAGGAGCTGACCGACAAGGTCGCGCCCCTCTCGGAGACCAGGGAGCTTGATCGCCCCTGGTGATCTGGATGCTGAGGATTTCTTCAGCTGACGTGGCATCCTATGTGCGCAGGGCTGGGCAAGACAACGCTGGCGCATGTGGTGGCGCGGCACTGCGGCTACCGGACAGTGGAGATCAACGCCAGCGATGAGCGCACGGCGGCCACGCTGCAGGCGCGCATCAGCGACGCGGTGCAGATGCAATCCGTCATGGGCGCCGGCCGCCCCAACTGCGTCATCATTGATGAGATCGACGGCGCCACCGGTGAGGCACCTTCCCCTGGAACATGTACCCCTTCACAAATGCCTTTATTGGACCAGGGTGCACATGTCTGCATGGCCTTGGGCGACCCTGCAAGCAGTAACAAGTTCAGGTGCCTTGAAGCACCAGGGAATGGAACATATCAGGATCTGGTCACTCTTGGAAATCCTTGGGCGGCAGCATGGTGCTCTCTATTCATTCAGCAAGATGGTGGCTTCTGCTGCATGTGACAGGCGGGAGCGAGGGCCGAGGCGCAATCCAGGCTCTGCTGAAGCTTGTGCAGGCCGGTGGCGGCAGAAAAGAGGCGTGTGCTAGCGGAGCAGCAGATGAGGCTGGGGATGCTGACGACGAGAACGCAGCTGGCGGCACGCATGGAAAGAAGCGGAGGAAGGGCGGCCAGCCGCTGTGCCGGCCCCTCATAGCCATCTGCAACGACCTCTACGCGCCAGCGCTGCGGCCTCTGCGCGCCATAGCCAAGATCGTGCACTACAAGAAGCCCACGGCACGCTCGCTGACCCCAGCTACATCTGCTTTCCTGCTCTGCATCACTCACACAGCAATCCCTTGCAGAAATGCTGCATCAGGTTGCATGCTGATGGGCTCATGCCTGTTTGCACAGGTGGAGCGCCTGTCCTCGCGTCTGCGCTTCATCTGCTCATCAGAGGGGCTGTCCGTGGATCGCACGGTGTGCTTCCTCTGCTCTTCCACCTGAGCTTGCAGACTTAACTTGAGCCAGCAAAAGTAACTGTAAGAAGTCATTGCTGCAGCTGCAGCAAGAAGCTCGCATCAAACCTTCGCTGCACATGCTTCTCAGCGAGTTTTGTTGCGCCTAACTTTGATTTTTGCACCACAGGCGCTGACGACGCTTTGCGAGAGGACGGAGCACGACGTGCGGTCGTGCCTGAACACGCTGCAGTTCCTGTCCAAGCGCACGCGCGCCATCCGCAGCTCCCACGTCAGCGGCGTGCAGTGCGCCCAGAAGGACATGGTCAAGTCCGCCTTCGGCATCTGGCAGGAACTCTTCACTGACAAGGTGCGCATCCTCACCACCTGGATTATTTCTCCCTCACCAATGTCATTCCCGAGCTTGCATCAATCCTCAAATATTGTTGATATGCTCTGGCCGCCTGTCCTTGTCACAAGTGGTACTAGCACAGTCCATCAGCATAAATGAGGCAGAAACTCCATACAGAGGCAGCGCCATGCGGCTCGCGCAGGTGGCGGCAGGGCCGGGGCCGAGCGCGCGGGCGAACGGCGGTTTTGAGCGGCTGTACAGCACGCTGGGGGACTTTGGCGACCACGGGCTGGTGCTGGCGGGCCTGCAGGAGAACTTCCCGGCCGCGCGCTACCTGGACAGCCACATGGCGCGCACAGCTGCGCTGGCTGATGCGCTGGCCGACGGCGACCGCCTCCTGCGCGCCGTGCACCGCCGCTCCGACTTTGCCGCGCTCAAATTCGCGCCCGCGCACGCCCTCGCCGTGCGCACCATCGTCGCCGGGCCCCAGAGGTGTGCGTGGCTGCTTTGTCCTATCAGAGGATGAGAAATTTGTGTCAGGATGAACGTGTATCGAGTCGGCAGCGCAGGGTACTGTCAGCATCAAATTGCGTGCCGATCTGGATAGCTGTCTTCCGGCAGCATTTGAGGGCAGGAAGGAATTGCAGCTGATGAATGCACCCTGCCAAAGGCTCTAGGCAGAGTGGTAGAATCTGAATAGCATGGTTGATGCGAACCTGAAATGTGGTGACCCTGCGGAGCTGCAGAAAATTTGCTCCAGCCTGAGGATAACTCCGCATGCAAGGGACACTGAGAGAATATTGTCTCCTTGCTGGATGTATCAGGGAAGCCTTGCTGAGCATTCCTGTCAACCGCGCAGGGTGCAGATGCGGTGGCCGTCCAGCCAGGCTGACATGCACAGGAGGACCGTGGCGCAGAGGGCCATGCTGCAAGGGTGGCTGACCGATGTGCACCCCACCGTGTTCTCCACCCTCTCCACTGCCACGGCTGTGCGGGTGCGCACCATGGTGTTTTATCCTCGTGCACCCACACCTCTCAATGCATTTCTTTCAATCATCATTCCCATCTCGTAGGATGCATCTACTTGGAGAGAGGCACATCATACACATGCTGCAGGGGGCTTGTCTGTAGAGGGTTGTGCACTTACGAGTGATAGCCTGCCTGAAGATTGTGCAGCAAGGGTTCATCAGTACTGGACCCACAAGTAGCAGCATTGATATCTGTCAAGCATACATGCAAGCAAATAAAGCAGATGGCATACAAGTGACCTGGCTCGGTTGTGTGTCTGGCAGGAGGTGCTACCGGCGCTGGTGCGAGTGGTGAACCGTGCGGTTCGGCCAGTGGCGCCGCACCTGTTCACGGCAGAGGAGCGCGCCGCGATGGCCGCCATGGTCGATCTGCTGCTGGCGCACGGCCTCACTCTGTCGCTGTCGCCGCCCTCAGCCCAGCCGGCCGCGCACGGCCATCAGACAGCCCACGCCAATCTGCCCGAGACCACCGCCCTCTCGCCGCCCGTCCACACCCTCGTGCTCTTCCCGGTGCGCCCTTCTCCTTTGCAGGGCCCTCTGCACCTCAAGAGATCCTCCAAGGTTTGAGGCGGCGGTGTTGCTGGGTGTGGTAAACATTCAAGAAGTGGCGGATTGAGGTTTTAAGTGAGGCAATAGAGAGTTGCCTTGCTCAAGGTGGATTTATTAATGGGATGGCTGCAAATGTCATGGATATTGGCAATGCAATACGAAGGGGATGGTGTCGCAGGGTGTGCTGCATAGCGGCAAGGTGATGGCGCTGACCATCCGGCAGATGGTCGTGCAGCAGCTGCAGCTGGAGGCCATCCGCAGGCGTGAGGCGGTGCGTTCCCTCCCTAGCATACACACACTGCCACCAGGGGCAAGCATGAAGACCAGTGCAAGCTCTGCCCATCCTGCAGACGATGCAGGCAGCATGAATTGGAGGAGCTGCAGGCTTGTTGTGTCAATGCGCAGGTGTACGGAGACAGTGGTTCCGGTGCGGCATCGACGACAGAGGCTCTCCCAGAGGATGCTACGGGGACGAGCGAGAGTCAGGGTGCTCAGGAGGGCAGCAGCCAGCGGCCGCCCTCCGGGGAGAAGAGGTACCAGCTCACCGTGGCGCAGCGTGCAAAGGAGGCCGCCGTTACAGGTGCGCACCGATTTCCTGATGTACGTGGCAAAAACAGGGTGGAAGTGTGTGTCTTGAGCGTGCTGTGGGAGCATAGGCCTTGAGGTAAGAGTATTTCTGCAGGCGCCAAGAAGACGGGGCCTGTGCGGAAGGCTAGCTGGCTGGATGCTTTGCGGCAAAAGAGTGAGAAGGCAGGGCAGCACAGGCCGAAGCCTTCAGCAGCTGAGGAAGCTCAGGATATTGGTGCGCCTCTGCCGATTGCTGCTTGTGACCCATTCTCAATCTCTGTTTGTGCTACCATGCAAAATTTTCTGGTTACTAATCAGGCGCTCATGGATGTTCCTGTTCTGTGCAGCTTCAGGCAAGGCTGGGCATGCTATGCGCTACAAATTCCACGAGGGCTTCACGAATGCTGTCAAGCGGCCCGTGCGCATGAAAGATCTGATTTAGAGTCGTGTACGATGTCTGACAAAATGCCAAGCAGAGTGTGTAGTGTAGATTGACAGCCTGAACAAATCAGTGCCCATGCAGATAGAGCTATGAGAGCTGCAACGTGTAACGAAAGAGTATTCCCAAAATTGGTCAATTACAATTTCTCTCTGCCTGAATGCGAGCAGGATGTGCACAAATCAGTGCGTGAATTGCTATACCGATTTTCTGGACAACAGAGAGTGCAGCTCATGCCACATACGGCTTGGACAGACTGCAAAATCTGGCAAACAAGCCTGACTGGTCCCAAAAGGATTTCTTCTCGGTTCTACAACTTTCGCCCTCTCCTGACAATGCTCTACATTTCCCAACACTTCCGGTCGCTGCACCTTCCATGCACGCCACATCCAAGCTTTGAGCTGCTCTGTCAGCGGCTTGCTGCTGCTGTTGGCTGCTTAGCGGGGGGAGACAGTGATGTTGGAGTCCTTCTCTAGCAAAGTGCCCTTCTGCAGCTCGCGAATCACCCTGAAGGGCCAGCCAGCACCCTGGGCTGAAATCTTGAGGGCGAGGGGGACGTCGATGATGTACTCCTTCTCCCTGGGCTTAGCCTCGCCCTTGGAGGCGATCAAGTAGTCCCGGCCGGCTGTGCCGATCCAGCCAGCAATGTACAGGAAGCCCACGGTGGGGATCTGCACCATCAGGCACACACCGACCTCAATCAAGGGCCATCCAAATTTCGGCACAGCTACTAGTCCATGCAACATGACGGGTGCCTGAATCCTTGCCCCTGCCATTGGAAGCTCGCCATATGCATAAACAAAGCCTGCCATTGCACAGGTAACATGCACAACAAGCCCGCTAGGTCTGGCTGGTCCAGTCCCGATCTCCCCTATATTGTAAGCGGGGCGGAACATAATAGAAAATGCTGTTGCTCATAGGCACATGCCAGCAGCGAGACGCACCAGGGTCTCGCCGGCGTGGCCGAAGCGGAGGGCGAGGCCGGGGTCAGAGATGAGGTGGGGCAGGCCGTCTGTGCCGCACAGCAGGCCAGCGTTGCCGTAGTTTGCAAACCTCTTCTCTGTGCGCTCGATGGTCGCCTTCAGGGCCAGAGAGGGTGCGCTGCCCTCCTCGTACTGCACAGCATCACAGTGTCCCTCGGTCATTCTGCGCTCAATAACTTTTGCAACAGTGTGCTGCTGCAAGTGTGTATTCAGAACATAGCAGAGGCCTTGACTGTTGGACATTTAGTCACTGCTCACTGCACATAATGCCATATTAGGGCAGATGCATGCCCTTTGGAGCACTGCATGCTGCTCCCGTTACAGGCCCATCATTTGTATTTGCTGATGGGGCACCCAAGCCCCAAGTTTGTCCTGTGATGTACCTGCTTGAGGCGCTTGGTCAGGGCCTTGATCTCGTTCTTTTGGCGCTTGGCGAAGCCCTTGCTCTCGCTGCAGGGGGTGAGCCCCGAAATGTCAGCCTTGGCAGCGTCCACGGAGCCAAAAGCCAGTGCAGCAGCGAGCGCAGCGGCAGCGACAACCTTGCCGACCTGGACGGGTGCCTGCTCCTGAGCAGAGCAAGACGCTGCACGGGCCACCTGGACGGCCTTGCGAGCCACTGGAGCAGCGCGAAGAGGCTTCACGGAGCTCTTGAAGGACAACTCATGCTGGGGAGCCTGCACATCAAATCGGAGTTGCGTGGGTGTGAAAGCTTGCCCAGGACAGGAATAGGCGTGCCTTTGCTTCAGTGTCAAGGCATGGGATCAATGCCCATCAAGTAAATTCGTGCATGAATTGGCACTTCAAATATCTCCATACTCCACTGTCTGTCCCGATCAGGTGTGCGGGCCGTAGCCTCACCTTTGCGCCCAGACGGGCAGTCATGCAGGAAGTGGCTGCCATGAGGTTTCTCTGTGCGGCAGCTGGTGGGGCTCGTGTATTCCCTCGATGTCCTTCGCAGTGATTTCACCGGGGCCAAGCTTATCCGGGCTGAGATCCTCGATTAGGTTCCTGCCGGGATGGAACCCTAGAAACCCTCCCCGATTGCTATTCCAGGGGTTGGTCAACATCGAGACCCCCAAGCCTGTTTCCAATCCAAGCAGAAACAGGCGAAAAGGATATTGTCTGGGATGGAAGGGATTTGTTAAGTACCCCTGCAAGATTCCGAGCCTTGCAGGCAAATTTTCCAATGCACATGCAGATCTTCCATCCGCATCCAGTCACTGTGACGGGCACGTGGCCACTATGCATGGTTATGATGGTCCTGGACTCCAGAATACTGTATTATTGAAGATCTCACAATCTGTGCATGCACATGATGCCAACATGAACAGCTAAGTGGTTCAGCAGCTCCATGCCCTCAGAAACTTGCAAGTGTCTGTTCTAATTTGTTCTAGGCACGCACTGTCACAGTGCGCGGTGCAGTACTGCACGCAGGGCTCTCACGCTCAGCGTTAGAGGCTGTTAGAGGGGTGCCCACACCGGCACCTCAATGCTTGTCCGGAGGATCCACCCATTTAGGTGAACTCACTTGCTGACAGTGGTGTAATCTACAAGACAAATACACTTCCTAACTTCCTACTGCACTGCAACTCTCAGGATCACGACATCTTGTTCAGGATGCCCTGGTGCAGGGAGTGCAGGTGCTGCGACCACTTGTCAATGGCCTTGTACTTCTGCGTCGTCACCGTCTGCACAGACTCCAGCTCCAGCAGCTGGTTCACCTGCGCGCATGCCACTTACAAGAGTCATGGCTTTTACCTGTTTGCAAGGCAATGGTATCTTGCACATGCCAGAGGAAATTCCACCACTGGGTTGTCAAGGGGAGCACCTGGTCGATGTGGCCCTGGATGCGGCTGTCCAGGATGAGGGCGACCAGCAGCTGCTCCACGTCATACTCGGGGATGTTGAGCTGCTGAGACACAAAGGGGATGCGGATGCGCGTGTACGGCTGTATGAGCTTCAGCACCACCTGGCAACGCACAAGCATCATCAGTGCGATCGACTATGCATGGCATTTGGTGCAGCTGGATCATTATGATTGAAGGGTGGAGGTGACTTTCAAGAAAGGAAATGGAAAGAAGCTGACCTGAGTCCGGATCTTTTTGAGGAGGTCCTCGATGTAGTTGCGGATGAAAGGGTCGTCATAGATGGTGCGCCTGCACAGAGATATCAGTCATCAGTGGAGCACAGCCGCACCTGCCTTGCGCAAGACAGGATGCTGTGACAGGAGCTGCACCCACGAGGCATGCAACCCTGCCCCAGATCACACATGGGTCCCACTACACTGATGTGACTGTGGTGCAAGAGCTTGAGCACCGTGAAAAAGGTGGCGCACTTGTTGGTCTTGAGGATGCGTTCAAAGCCGAGGATGTCGTTCTGCTGGTAGGCTGCGACCAGGTTGGTCATGGCCAGCACTTCTGGGTCCTGCTTGTAGGGGGCGGCCTCCTGCGCGTCGAAGGGGTCCACCGCGCTCTCCATCAGCATCGTCGCCAGCACCAGGTACTTGAGGCACTGTATCCGCCGCACCGCGCCCGCCTCGTCGTAGCTCTTGAAGGCCTGCCGCACACAAAAGCAGAGTTAATGAGCAGGAAAAGGTGTTTCAATACATAGCATGGTGCTACTAATCACCCGAAATAATACAAAAATCTTCATGACACAGATGAATTGCACAGCTTGAATTAGATTGTACTCTTGCTGCAGGAGGCGGGAAGTAAGGCAAAGGGAGAGTATCGAATCCAGACTTCCATGTGTGATATAATCATGTGTCGCATGCCAAGGGGAAATCACACAACAGCATAAGGAGCGCAGACACACCTCAAAAAAGTCGGTGGCTGCGTCGGACCAGCTGCGTTCATGCATGTGCATCTTGCCGCCGCACTCGCGGATGATGCCGAGGATGCGCGGGTGGGGGATGGCGGACTTGATGGTCAGCGCCTTGTTGTACAGCTCCTTCAGCCGCTTGGTGTTCTTCTGCTCCGTGTGCATCTGGATCTCCAGCGCATAGATCTCCAGCAGCTGCGTCCCCTTCTTCAAATCATCTGAGCCATCCTCTGCCTGGCATGCCCTGCGATCCCAGCAAGGCCAGCCTCAGTGGACAAGCACTTTGCAGCTCCTTGGACAGTATTTTCTGGCAACAGTTTGGCCCTGCGTGTGGGTGTTCCCCCCAGTGCAGGCCCGTTGTGTTTGCTGCCACATTCTTGATCATAATTACATGGACACAGCCCAGTTGACAAAGGTGCTGGAGAGATCCTGAGAGATGGCGCACTTGTGCAGTTCCCGTAGGATCTTGGATGCGCGCCCGTACTCCTTGAGCTTGAACCACAGGCCGCACAGCTTGAGCTGTGTCTTGAACCAGAGCCGGTCGTTCTTTGCCTCCACCAGGGCGTCCAGTGTTGTGCCATAAAAGTCCTGCATTCGTAAGATTGGTTGTCACATGCAAAATAGTGGTATTCTTGAGCAAAACGGATGCAGAAACTTGCAATTATACACACATGTCACGAGAGTGCCAACCTGGAGCAGCTTCATATCTGTGGAGGAAGAGACAAAGTCCAAGAGGCTGTTGATCTTCTTCTCGCTGGCATTCCGTGTCACAGCACTCTTCGTGTATGACAGCATCTCTCTGCACTTGCAGCAACAGCTTTCAGTGGTCATAGCTCCTTCACATCACAAATATAAACCCCATGCTGGCACATCAGCGATCGATACCTGTAAGCCTCCAGCATACTGTCTGTGTTTCCCAGTTTGAAGTGGAGCTTTACAATCTGTTTCAACGCCCTGAAACCCCTGGTTGAGCACGCAACTTGTTAAGAGAGCATTCGCTAGCTTTTGTGACCAGCAGGCATGAGATCATCGTCTTACATCTCGTCAGACCCTGCAACATCGTCTTCACAAGGCAACAAAATGTACAGGTGCACACCATTCTCCCTTGTCTTCCTCCATAGAAACAACCTCTTGAAATCCCTTAAGGGCCTCCTGTGGGTCCCCTTCGAGCATCCCTGTTAAAATCCAATGATTAAGCTTACCATCATCGCCTGAAGCGCTAAATGTTGCGAAAGGATGACACACTGAGAGAGATGCAGAAGGTGATCTGGCAGCTCTTGAGTTGCACGAAACAGCTCAAAAGACACAAGAACAGTCTTGGCTTGCCTTTTGAATTGTAGTACTGATTTTCGATGTCCACATCTTCTTCCTGGACATCTTCGTCACTATATTCGAAGCCATAATCTGCACCACATGGTGAAGCGGTCAGCAATGCAGTCTACAGATAAAGTGCTGTCCTCTATGGAAGTGTACGTTTGATCAAAGATTAGATTTACCTTCCATTTCCTCGTCTGACATTGTTGCAATACTTTTACTCAAGCTCTGACGCCTTGGGATTGGTTCACTGAAGTCAACGATCCACCTTAGCAGGTTAAAGCCGGTCGGGCCACACAAATTATGGATATCAGAGGCTTGATGAGCTGAAGCTGAAAGTGCCAGTGTTGCCCAATAAATAGTGATCATGAGAAGCATGCAGTCTCACCATTTGCCTGCCAAATTGCAGAGGAACAGGAACGCCGCCCGCACGCTATGGCAACATATTGCTGCGACATGCATGACCGAGGCACTTTATTCTTGCTTAATTGAGAGTGTCATCTGTTATGTGACCATGATTGAATTGCAAATTACTGTTAGGGAAGTTCTGGTGCTGTATCTGGAGCTGTGCTTGCCTTTGTTGGCGTCGATCTCCGGCGTGAAAATGGTTTCGTTGATTACGATAGGCCTGTAGATGTGACGATGTGCATATGCAATGCATATAATATATCTGCTCAAACACTCTCAAGTCAAGGATCTTTGTTGTCTCCTACAGTGAGTGCCACTCCCTTCGGGACTGGCTATAGGGCTTTCAGATCACATTTATATTGGTCAAGGCATAATGCAGCCCAGGGACATCGTCAGTGCCGACTTTTGCATGTGAAATTAAGATCGAAGTCTGGTGAAGACAAAGATGTGAGCGGGGATCTGCGCAGTGGCGATCATGCATGCAAAGAGAAGCAGACCTCTTCACAAATTCCTAGGCAAATGCCTCGTAATTTACCCGCTGCGATCCAGAACATGCGTCGATGCCTTTACCCTACCTCTGTTCAACATCAGTCTTTTGCTAGGTTTTCAAAGGAGTTACAACGGCTGACCTGGGCTTTGGATGCACTGAACAGGAAAAGCGTGGACGCTGCAATCGCCTCTCTGGCCCTGCCGGTGAGTTGCCAAATCCGCAAATGAAAGCCTCTTCTGCCATCAATGTGACTGCCGCATATCGCCACAATCCCTGCAACTGATTTTCTCCTTGTGACAGGCATTGGCAACACTTGCAGCAGATCCTCTTGCGTCCCTCATTGATATCGCCTATCTTGGACACCTTGGTGCGTCAATGAGGCGCGACTCCAGCTATGCAGATAAGCTTTGAATCCAATAAGAGTTGCGGCATGCTGTTGCCTAAGATTTATTTCGCCTTGCAGGTTCCCTGCAGCTAGCCTCTGTGGGGGTAGCCCTGTCCATATTTGGGACAGTCACCAAGCTGCTGAACATCCCTCTCCTGAGCGTCACGACCAATGTTGTAGCAACGGCTGTAGGGAGCGATGCAGGTTTGCCCAGCGTGCCAATGTACTAGTTGTCAATTATTTCAGTGCTGACCGGAAAAGTAAGTTCGTGATAGCTGGCTATATTCTGTACTGCAGATGACAAGGATGCGCAGATTGGGCTTGCAGCATCCACATCACTGCTCATTGCAGTTCTGGTCAGCCTTGCAGAGGTACAAACCAATCTGGATGTTGAGCAAATATATTGACCCCAGCACTTAGGACACTGGCTTGCTGCACAGTGTTGCGCATGAGCAAGCTCAAAGCCCGAGTCATGCAAGATTGCTTCACAAGGTGAGCGCATTAGATTGGATGCCCCTTTGCAGGGAGCGGCACTGGTGGTGCTGGGTGGGAATGGTCTGTCACTCTGGGGAGTCAGTCCGGGGTCGCCCCTGCGCTATGATGCACTGGACTTCCTGCAGATAAAGGCGCTCGGGGCCCCAGCAACATTGCTTCTTATGGTTGCTCAGGTGACGACCTGCGTTGCTGTACAGTCCTCCGGTGAAGTCAGGGTCTTTTGCATGCTAATCTTGGGTAGTATTATCTGTTGCCAGGCTGCAAACGTTCCCTCAACATTATTTGGAATGTTTTCAGGGCGTGTACAGAGGCTTGGGTGACACCAGAATGCCATTGTGGGGCACAATTGGTTGCAACCTGATCAACGTCATTCTCGACCCTCTGCTCATTTTTGGCCTTGGATGGGGCGTGAGAGGAGCTGCGATTGCAACAGTCGCTGCTGAGGTTCGCTTGCTCCTGCACATATCCACACTTTTGAAAGGGCGGACTCTTCATGAACCAAAAAGCTGGTGGCAGGTGCATATGAACTGCTCCTGCATGCAGGGTGCAGCTGCTCTGTGGCTTATTGCGTCCTTGAGCAGGAAGTATTCCCTTAGTCTTGCCGGCAGATCAGCCATGGCTAGCTTGTCTTCATTTCTGGGACCGACAGGTGCGTCCTGGGAGCCATCGCCGACCCTCCACTCAATCTCTGGAGTGTGACGTTGTGCAATTTTCATACGGTTGTCAACAGTGTCTGGGACTAGAGTGCTGCACATATATGTTGGAATGCGCTTGTTGCAGGGCTGTTAGCATTGCGCACAGTGGCCATATCTGGCACATTTGCGTTGGCCACATCCCTGGCTGCGCGCTCCGACCTGGCTCATGCAGCTGCACACCAGATCTGCCTCCAGCTGTGGCTGGCTTCCTCGCTGCTGGCGGACTCTCTGGCAGTGGCCGCACAGACTCTGCTGGCACAGGGTCTGGCTGCCAACGAGCTGGAGAAAGTGCGCAAGGTGATCTTTTCTCTGCTTATTATTCATTTCCTCTTGCCAGCATTCACTTTATACGTGCAAGATTCTGGCTCACACTTATAAACATGCTCTCAGCCTTTCAGAGACTGAGCAGGCCTCCCATGCAGCAAATAACTTTCAGATGACCAAGTGCGAGCTTGCTGAGCGGGGCTTGTTAATGTGCATGCAGATTGCAGAGAGAACGCTGCAGCTGGGGGTGGCACTGGGTGTGTCTCTGGCGACAGTGCTGGCCCTGACGAGCGGTGCCCTGCCCCAGCTGTTCACGCGCGACCCGGCAGTCATTGCAGCTATCGGCAACATATTCCCCTGGGTCATCCTGTCACAGCCCATCAATGCACTGGCTTTTGTGTGGGACGGCGTTCTGTACGGGGCTGGAGGCTTTGAATATGCCGCCAAGGTGCACCTCCCTCATCCCCTGTACTGCTCAATGTCATTACCTCCCATACATCATGACTTGACTTTGCAATTGCTGGCTGCTTGGGTATTTTGAAAGAGAGAGAGATCTGCCTTAATGAGTGCTGCAGAGTAATTCTGGGGCTAAGTACTTTGCTCAAGTAAATTTCCCAGCCACAAATTGTTCTTCAATTTACTAGCGGACCTGATGCTTGCAGGCAATGGCTGTTTGTGCGACACCCGCGGTGGGCTGCATGCTGTTGGCATTGTTAGCACCTGGAGCGCCAGATTTGGAGCTGGGCGCTGTCTGGCTGGGTCTAATTGTGCTGATGAGCATGCGCTCCATAACCATTTACATCCCTTGGAAGCTGCAGCGGAGTCCCTTTGACAGATTCTTTGGAAAAGCGGTGAGGAACCTGTAGAGTCAGCAGTCCGTATTGTGCTAGGAAGTAAGCTTCACTGAATCAATTCATTCAGAGATCAACAATGATCTCTAAATCGGATTTGTAAACTCAGAGAAACAGGCTTGCTTGACACATTTGTGCGGGCTCAGGCGCAAAATGCAACATCACGCAAATACACGGAGTGTAATCGTAATGTATCTGTGCACTGGCTTGGTATTTTAGCCTGTCAGTGAGTATTCTTACATGCGAGCACTGTACCATTTTTGCACAGCAAATTTGCCCGCTTAAATTTTGATACAATCAGCTTGCTGCAACTGTATTCTTTGCAAAGGAAGGCCAGATCAGCGCCTACTGGACTTCATTTGGCATTGCAACAATTGAGTATCAGAGTTGATTTGGAACTGATCTTGCAAGCGGGAAGGGCATGGCCATGTAAATGAAAAGTAGTCCTCATAATAAGTGAATCCATAATTCAGTACATGGGTCCAGGCTTCTAGACGTAAAAGACAAAATCCTTCAGGCTGACCCTGACATTCTTTGCAATCCTCTCCGCCAGCTCGTCCGAGACATTGCATGCATACTTGGGCTCATCCAGCTCTCCTTCAGCCTGCACATACGTCCCAGACTCTCACCATCAACCAAGGTCACCATGCAGAAGCATGCACAGTCTTTTAATTTGAGTATACCGTATTTACACGTAGAGAGATCCGCATGACGACGCTTGCTTGAAGGATTCAGGGTCTCTAATCTCCATCTATGGGCGAAATTGCTAATGTATAGACTCCCCTGCCCCTCTCTTTGCAGCTAGATTGGATTTGGGCGGGCCATAACAATGATGTCCCAACTCTTTCTCTGGCTCTCCTCTAGATTAGGCAGACTGAAAAAAAGTTGAGAAGAGAAGAGCTGGTTCCACCTGTGACAGGAAGCGCAGGGACACAAGGGAGCTGATCTGCAGGAAGACATCGGCCGACTGCGCGTCCCGGTGCTCCTCAGCGTTGGGGCAGGTGTCCCCCTGAGCATAGCGCAGCTCCCAGTATGTGGCCATCAACCGCTCCAGCGGGAAACTGTGCGGCCCCCGCAGCTTCGCCTCCGCCGCAGACTCCGCCTATGCACACATGACACGGGTGCAGTGGATATTATCAGTTTCAGGCATCATATCCAAGGGCCAATGGGCACAGCAGCACATCCACACTCCCCAACAAGCACATGCATCATCATCATGACTCACCAGTGACGAGTGGTAAGATGATTGAATGGAGAAAGTGTGTCACCTGCTTGTCTGAGGCCATGGCGCCGCGGCGTCGGCCGGCGCGGCTGCTGGGGTCGAACAGGCGCCTGTCGAGGGCGGGCTTGTTGCGCGAGCACACATAGGCAGCCAGCAGCAGGAACTTGCTGGCGAACGGCAGCTCAAAGTCCAAGACATGCTCCTGCACTGCGCTGGTGCCCCTACGCCATGGCAACGCCCTTGATAAAAGCGGCAAAACAGAAACAGCTGTACACTTTGCATGCTATGAAAATCTGAAGGCACAGCTGCTGGTATGCAGCAGCATATAAAAAGTGGGCAACGGAGCACATAGAAATATACCCTCAAGCTCTCTTAATAGAGATGTGTCATATTTGCACCTGCTGGTGACTGCATCAGTGAGCACGAGCTGGTTGTGCAGGCCGCTCTCAAAAGCCGCCCTGGCCGCAGTTGCCTTGTCCTTGAAGGCAGTGTACAGCTGCTGGGATTGGCCTGCCTGGATGCGCCCCTCCCTCACCGGCCTCGAGTACTCCGGATACAGCTGCTGCGTCACTCTCTGGCCCCCACCCCAGCTTCTCGATTGGAAATTTTGCAATAGGTCCTGTACTGCTGAACATTCTGCTGCCCCTGGGAGCTGAATATGCAAGGAAGAAGCATATGTACAGCGCACATATTGAGTTTTGATGGTGCAATTGAGGTTGCTACCTGTAGGTCCTCGATGCGGCTGGAGCAGCGAGCAAACATAGGGCCGATGAAGGTTTGAAGGAACTGGTTGTATAGCCTCACATCCTCTTTTGCTGGGATGGACAGCTCCAGGATCTGCGCAAGCTCAGAGGGCTTATCAGAGCACACGAGCACACAATGCTGCAAGTGTAAATGGACCTACAGCTCCGCATGCAAAGCATTTTGTTAGAGAATAAAGGCACAGAGCAGGTGATGGCAGACCTTGAGGAGATCCTGGATCTTGTAGCCGGGGAAGTGAATCATGTGGGGCCTGCGACACCGCTGCGTGTCAAACTCAAAGGCATTGCAGCCCCATGCCACCTGGCTGATCAGGATGAGCCCAACGTTCGCTCCTGCACCAAGCAGACAACAAACACTGTCAAATCATATCTTCGCATTCCCATACATGTGCTTAGTCACCTCTTTGGCACAGCAATTGAGAAATGGCAAAGCCCGGTCAGAAGAACATGCCTGTGAGCTCCCTCAGGCGCAGCAGAACAGCAAGGATGTCAGACTCTCTGATGCGCTCCACATGGTCCAAGACAATGTACTTCAGAGGTCCCCTTGCCGCACCTGCCCACCCACACCTTCCTCTCAGTGCCTATCCCAACCGAATGAGCAGACCTTAATTTACTTGCAAGTCTCCAGCACAACATGCATGTGTCGACGCACCCTGAAGTTGCACTAGACATTCTGCTATTTGTTCGCTCCTTCCCTCCCCGCAATAGCCGTCTGCGCTCTTTCTTTTCTTGCCCTGCGCAGCATCTCTGTTGTCAACTGGCGGGACAGTCATTCACACGCATCACGCTAGAAAATGGTGAGCTTTGAGGTGAATTATAGGTCAAAGCATCTTGTATCACCTTGAGCCTATTCAAAATGGCTTGCAGAAGAGTTTTTGGCTCATCAAACTCCACACAGCTCACATACCCATACGAATGATTAAGTTCTTTGAATATATCCCTGCAAGCACGGCGGTTGAGATCTGAGGTGATTAGGGGACGGAATCAATCCCAATCAGCATCTTCTGCTGATATCGAGCACAACATGCAGTATTAGCACAAGATCTCATCCTTGTGAAGCAGATATTGCATGCGCTTACCTGACAATAGCGGTCTTTCCTGTAGAGGGACCCCCATATATGAATACAGGCGGCATGAGGGCATTTGACTCCCCAAAGACATCCAGCACGGCACAAATCTGCTCGCGCCTAGCAGGCCACCGGCTGCACAGGCTGCCACAAACATCTGCCTCACTGCTCCTTTGCAATGCCTCAGCAGACATGCCCTACAACATCACAGAGTATCATGAGTCACACAGGGCTTGCAACACGAATTCAGTCATCAAGGTACTTCCTACAGAGAGATGGAAGCGGAATGGATTACCAAACTACTTTCAAAGCTTCCACGCTTGATCTTGTAAGGAGAGGGTTAAGTCCTATCAGCAGTAAGCCGCCATTCCTCTTTGCCCCTATAGATTCAAGTGTAGTGTTTACTAAGCCGATGTGCTTTCACATGCTTTCAGCATATTGATGTGGATGCATATGGATGCAAACTGCCTGAATAACAACATTTGCAAGGATGCAATTACACACGAGATTCAAGCTCTCATTGGTGAAGCTTTCACGTTATATGCACCTTCATCCACAAGGAGTCACGAAGATGGCTGTTAGCCTCTTAATCCTAATCAAAATCCCCTGTTCCAAATTCCGATGGCAGCAATCAGCAGTTGTCTTCAGTAATATCTTAATTTCTTGTGCGAATCTTTGAGAACATAAGGGGCCTCCGTCTTTGTCTGCATCTATATGACAAGATGTCTGGCAGAAGAGGTCAGATGCACATCCTAATCACGACGTGCCTTTGATCAGACTGTTGATGCGCTTCAACTTCTCTTGAGCATATGTATAGGTACCTAGACTGAGGACTCTCACACCTTCAGTGGGAGAGTTAGTGTCACACAAGACGCTGCTAGGTTTCACCCTCGAAGAGCTCCTTCGAGGGAATGGTACTAATATCAGCCTTGGAAAATTGAGGGGAAGTCTCATTGGAATGGGAGCACAGTGGTTCTGTTCTATCCTGCATCAACGTGTACCGATGATTTCTTTGTGCATGTTTGACTGAGAGCCTTGACAGAGACACACCAACCTGGGAAGGGTTCTTTTAGGAAGCACCATTAGAAATGCCGCCTTTTGCTGGCACCAGCTGTCGCGATAGGACTGCAGAATTTCAGTCACTCGTCGACAGACTTCGGAATAGTCAGGTATCTTCAGATCCGTGCGCACCATGATCATTTTCTGTACTTACAGACAGCACACTTGTTTGTGTGTACAGCCAGAGTGCATGCCCAGGCGTAAAGTGATACAATGCATCTGCTGCAGGGTGCCTCTACATCTTCAGTAATCGTTGAAAATGGAGGTGTGTCCCAGTTTTCGACCGACACTTGTGGAAGATCTTACAGCTGGCACTCATCAGTCCTACGTTGGGAACAGTACTTTAACGGATGCATTTACAATCATCTGTCAAAAAGAAGACTCCAACGTCTCATCTCTGTACCTTCGCATTCTGTGTGCATGTCCTAATTCCTTAAGATTACCAGCCTCACGAGGTTAATCTGAAATAAGCAGTGTGGTGCTCCTTGCAGCTTTTGGGCACTCGCTGTCCAGCTCGGGGCCGGCCTCCACGAGCATCCAGCAGCAGTCCGAGTTTGCCAAGCGTGCAGCGCACGTCGGACAGGGCATCCATTCGACCTCCCAGAACCTGCTGAAGCTTGCGCAGCTGGCCAAGCGCACTGGCAAGTTTGATGACCCAGCCGTGGAGATTGCCACCCTCAGCGGGGCCATCAAGGAGGACATACAGGCGCTCAACGTGGCTTTGGTGGACCTTCAGAACCTGTCAGCAGCCTCGCGCACGGCCAACAAGCAGAGCAGCAGCCACTCGCACACCATCGTGGACAACCTGCGGCTGCGCCTGAAGGACACCACGAAGGACTTCCAGAACGTGCTGCAGGTCAGAAAGGAGAACCTGGAAAAAAATAAAGCCCGGCAGCAGCAGTTCTCCTCTGCGCCTGAGAGGCGCACCTTCAACCCAGCACGGCCGGGTGTGCATCCTCTCAGACTGCTGCTCCTCATTGGCAGAAAGCGGGCACTCTGCTAGTCAGGCATCTGGGAGGTGACGAAGCACATTTTCAGCAATGATCTTATGTGGTGCTCAAATGTGCAGGTGGTGGGGGTCAGGGCCCGTCCTTCCTGCCTGCAAATGGCCCCGCCAGCACGGGGTTCAGAGCACCCACATCTTCACAGCAACTCTTTGGGGTGCGCTCACCACCCGCTGCTTGGAGCCTGTCGTGCATAAACGATCTCTAGGCATGTTTACCAGATGATTGCTGACTGCAGGATAATCTCACGGTGTCAGCATTATCGGCAGGGCAGCACGTTGACTCTGGTATTATTTCTGTGTGGTGGCCATGGAGTTTAAATTGTCCAAGTGATGCGCAGGGGCTGCCACCGGGCGAGATGGGCAGCAGTTCGGGGTCCAGGGATCAGTCTTCGGCATCGGAACAGTGCGTCTCCTCCCTGACCCCACCCTCCTCCTCTGCCCTTAGTTCTGCCAAGCAGAGCTTGCGGTATCGCAGCAACAGCACATCTGCCCAGCCTTCTCGCCCCAGTACTGACGAGCAGGAGCTCGTGGAGGAGCAAGCTCATAGGTGGGCCAAAAGCTGCAAGGGGGCAACAATTACTGACTGAGCAAGTGCAGCAAGTCAGCAACTTTGCCTGCTTTTCACCTGAGCTCTCTTGCCAGACCCCGTGTACCAAAACCACATGATCGGGATGAATACTGATCATCTGAGGAGGAAGGGGAAGATGCCCCTGGCTGAGTTGACATGTCACTGTGTTCCAATGGTTCTGGTCGCTCCATGCAGGCATCCACTGCTCCAGCAGGACCAGCAGCTAGTTGTGCGGCAGGACACATACCTTGACAGCAGGGCCGCTGCTCTGCAGAACGTGGAGAGCACCATTCACGAATTGGGTGGCATCTTCCAGCAGCTTGCACACATGGTGCGGCGCTGTTGAAAACTGACATGCACTTGCAAAAACTTTTGCTTGTTGCCAGAAAATTATGTGCAGAAGAGTGAGTCAAGAGGAGGCTTTGTGTAAGTCTGCAACCTGTTGGCTGACTGGACTGCTTTGCAGGTGCAAGAGCAAGGGGAGCTGGCCATTCGCATCGATGAGAATGTAGATGATACACTTGCCAATGTGGACTCAGCGCAGGCTCAGCTGCTCAAGTACCTGAACAGCATCTCCTCCAATCGATGGCTTGTCATGAAGATTTTCATGGTGCTGCTTGTCTTCCTCGTCATCTTTGTGGTCTTCATTGCCTGAAACCGTTCGGCATTTTCATGACGCAATGTACTGCATCGGAAAGTCATCCCTAGGTCAGGTCAGCATTGTATTCCACGCCTAAGCTTCATTGCAAGTGTCTTTATGTGACACATTCCCTATTGTGGGCATCACTAGACATGGCAAGGGATACTATTGGCTTACAGCAGGATGCCATCAGCTTGCAAATGTAATTGTGGCGAGAAATCCATTGATATCTCTAGATTCAATTCTGTGCCTATTAGATTTAATGGGTTGACAGCAGGGAGCTCGACGTGCATGTGGCATGTGCCAATAAGACGCTATTACGGCATTAACTCATTCTTAAATACCTCACGCATTTCAGAATGCCAACTTGGCATGGACTGCAAGATTTATGCTGATCATGTGCAGCACAGACCCAAAGATGTAAAAGGCCCTCTACTGAGCAGTCTTCATGCTCAATAGAAATTTCAGTCATGCAAAGGATGCCTGCGGCATGGCGTCTTTCTTGTCCATTTTTTTTTCATTTTTGGAGGTCACAGCTGGCCTTTGCTGCCTTCAAGAAACTCTGCAATGCTTGCAGGCGTGCATCAATCTCTGCAATCTCTGCGTTTGCTGCGTGAGCATTGCTTACCCCATTGCGAACTGCATTTGCCTCCAGAATGAAATCATCCATCTGCAAGAGCAAAGCCCATTTCTGAATGTTACGAGTGTGTAGCATTCCAAACTTCCAACATCCAGCGCAGAGATCCAGAGATGCATATATCGAGGCAAACAGTCACTGCAGCTCGTCTGCAGGACGCACCTTACCTCTTGGCAGGACAAGCATGTAAAGAAGAAGAAAGAAAATGCCACGATGCATGTAATGTCCAAGAAATACGAGATATCAAACCTGATGATCTGTGTCATGGCTGGTTGGATTACGTGGTCTGGGCCCTTGTGCTGCAGCGAATTGGCTGAGCTTTGCCTTCACATCCTGCAGCGCTCGGCCGGGGGAGGTTGCTCGCTTTGCTGGGGACAAGAATCTTCCCTGAATCCTCAAATTGGGCTCAGCGTTCTCCGTGGTGCCGGTCCGTCCTCTGGGCCTTTCAAGGTCTGCAGCACATTGGACAGCAGATCATGAGGACACATGCCATGGATCCTCAGCTCGGTGAACCCGCAGAAACAAATTTACCGTAAGTAAATTACCTGGACTTCTGCCACGCCATCTTCTCCCACTGGTGTCCCTCTCTCTGGTCTCTCCAGTTGAAGATCTGCTTCGATAGGAACTACCGTCACCTGCATACAGAAGTGCCCATGCCATCCAATGTCATGCACACGCATGGACTTCTCGGTGCTTGTTTTCATGGGCAGCAGCTCAAAAGCCTGGAGATCTACAGCAGATATATTACATCCTGCCTTTCCTACCAGGTGCTTTCCATAGTTAGCAGGTCAAGCTGGCACCTTAGATTCCAGTGGATTACAAATAAGCTCGCACCATTGGATTGGCTCCAGCCGGGCCATCCAGAGGACCTGGGGGAGCGAGGCACGCTCTGGCTGCCGTGCACGCGAGCAGCCGCCAGCCGCTCCCGCTCCTTCTTCTCCCGCACAAACTGCGTCGGATTGAATCGCAGCGGCCGCGCCGGCGCCGAGCGCGGCCGCGAAACGCTCCTGCCGCGGCCTGCATTCAATGTTAAGGCTCTCTCAGTGGTGGGCGCTTTCCACAAGGAGCTTGCCAGCAAAGTGAGAGACCGCTGTGCAAAGATTCAACAGACTTTGGTGGGAAGGAAAAGAGACTCGAGCAAGATGCAGGTCCGCAATGCTGTGTCTGGGAGCTGGGGCATGCCTGGCAGCTGCAGGGACGCTTGGCTGTCTGGCGGCGAAGAGGGCCGCAGCGGGGGCCCGGGGGAATTTCCGCGGCTGGTCGGCATTGATGCAGACGCCGGATGAGCTACCGGGTGGCGCCTCCCATCCCAGGATGCAGCATCGCAGTCAGTGCGTGTGGAGAGCGGCTGCCGTGGCCCCAGCGACAGCCTGCAGCATGTTGACGCTGTCAATGTAATTCCATAAATACGCAGCAACAGAGCCACATGCACAGGTGAGGTGGGTTGGTTGCAATGCGCTTGTCGACTAGACAAATGCTGCTCACTAAGATTGGCATTGAAGACCGCAAGTGGCTTCACTGCAGGTCCAAATGTGCGGAGAAGGATGCAGAGGCAAGGAGTGAGGCTTGCCTGGCGGGAGGCAGACCGCGCTGGCGGGATGAGTCAGCCTGCGCGCATGCTTCTCGGCACCTCACACGCAATTCCCGCACTTGCTCCTTCAGCCGCACCACTTCCTCCTGCCGAAGCACAATGACATGCTTCAGGTGACTTGTCTGACAAACACATGCATTGATTTCTCAGTCTCATGTAGTCCCAAGCGCAGACATTAAAAAGATCAGAAATGCTAGTGCTGCGTGGTAGCCGATGCAATCTTCTAAGGGAGTGCCACCGACAGAGATTGTCGTGCAGAAAGACCGGGGATTTGCTGGGGCGACAACCTGAGTCTCAGCCAGCTCCTTGTTCTTCCTCCGCATGTCTCTGCGGTGTGCGCTGCGCTCCTGTGCCAACTCAGCACCGGCTGCATCCAGCCTCTGCTGCTGGGCTGCGCGCTCTTGCCGCAGCTGCATCATAGCCCACATCGCTCAGCTGCTGCCCTCACCCTTCCGGCATGCTAAGCTTAATGTAAATTAGTACTTCATCCTCAGCAGCCTCAAGCAACAAATGAGGTTGTCTCAGCAGGTTTGGCCACCACTGACAAATAGACTCACCAGCTGGATTTCCCTGATGGCCTCCTGGGCTTGGAAATCTCCTGGCCCTCCACCGGGCTGGGGCGGTCGCACAGCATTGGCTTCTGTCAGCCGCCTCCGCAAGATGCTGTTCTCATCTCGCAGCCTCGTCAGCTCTGACTGGAGCTCTGCGCCATCACCGTTGTCCTGAAAAACAGCTGAACACAGTTAGCCTGGTGAGTGTCACTCTTACTGCACCCCAAAGTGCTGACTTGCGTAATTTTGCACTTGCAAGGGTCTCAGCAGTGCATGCATCCGAAAGCAGACACCGCAAGCAGCCACAATCTTACCCTGTACGCAGGAATGGACTCGGCATGTGAATTGAACTCCTTAAGATGCTGGGGATCTGAGCGCTCCACGTGGGCCAGGGGCAAGGGGTAGTGCGTGCGGTCAAATTCTGAAGTGTACGTGAGGATTAAGTAGCGTTTGTTGCTGGGTGGGACAGCTCGCCCTGCAATGCCATTGCGGACTGGCCCAGGCTGTGCCTGTAGGCTCTCCAGGTCTAATGCAGGACATGACAAAGCATCCGCTCAACATACAATATCGTCTGAACATGAAGTTATTGACACAGTTCCACATTTATGGTGCAGTAAACGAGTGATTATGGACAAGTTGGACAAGTGTGATGGGGAAGAAGCCACCTGAGTATGTCAAGACATCAACATGCACCGCTTTGGATTCTTCGGCCAAGGCGCTCTGCAGCATCTTCAGAAATACTGCAGCCTTTTTCAAGCTGCCAGCTCGGGCTGTGATGTCCTCAATGTCTGCAAGGTATCATCACGATCAGATCGCCTTTTATAGTGGCTAGTAAGAGCTTAGAATCCAAGATTCATGGTCACAGCTGACCTTAAAGAACAGACAGACTTGTTTGTGGAGGGCGTACTTGTCAACGAGAAAGTTCCCCTCCATGCTGAAAGGTCAGCATCTTGCTTCAATTCAATATGTAATCTGTCCTCTTGTTCGCGATATATTGATATGACATAGTTTTGACCACGTCTGCTCAGCTTGGCCTGCAAAACATATAACTGGATGGAGGAGGGTGATGTGTTCATTCTGATTGCATTGGCACCAGGGATGGCTCGAAACCAGGCTTCGTAGCATAATTGAATAGCCGCAAACAAGTCAATCCAAGACATGCTGCATGTAGAGAGATGCTGCAAATCAGGCCAGCATCACTCACTCTGAATAAGAGTTCTAACATCTCGTGTTCCTGAACACGGTTCTGCATATCTACATCGTACGCATATATCAAGCCGCGCGCTTGCTGTGCGTAGATTAACACATCGTTTGGTGTGCGAATAAAGCGGTCAAAGGTTCCTTCATTTTCACATCTCGCGTCCCTTTAACGCCATCAACGGGAGTTGATGCCTTTGACATCGCAAGTATCACTATTTGGGATATGATAGTAAAGAAGATCTGACGATGAATGAATCTCTTTGTCAATCTGATGCTTGCGAGCAGAAGGGCTGAAGAAGCAGTGCATCGTGCCATCATGCCTGTTTAGGCGGATAGCATGTGCATGTAGGCTTGATATAGGCAATGATCCTGTTGACACCAGGATGTTGCAGTTGTGGGTCGAATCATTTACTGTGGAATTCATGTTCAGAAGAGCTGAAGGACAGCTAGCTCCACACTAGTTGTCTTTGGTCACAATCACACGACACTCGAGTCTGATGCATGCCATGCTCGGGCATGCCTTGTTGCACAACGGCGCAGTTGTCACCATGATGGCTGCATACCCGTTACAGAAGCCACTTCCTTGTTATAACAATGTGGCATAGTATGACATACAAATGACAAACATGACATAAGAATCAGCCCCTAGAAGGCCTTCGAGAGCCCTTGTCAACGGCCGGCCTTCTATTGCCAGAAGTACCTACGCGGTGCCGCACCATGCACGTGCACGCGGCGTGAAGTCACACTAGCGCGAGCACTGCAATGTGCAATGTAATGTACAATTAGATCGAGCCACTACTGCTACGAAGAAGAGCCTTTTTCAATGAAAGCTTCTCTCCTTGCAACAATCTCGGCAGCCCAAGACTTCCCTAGCTCCGTTTGAAACTTGCCCTTTGTGGATTCAAAGAATTCCTGGAGATTGATCCCCTGCGCTTTCTCATACTCTTGGGCCTGCAGGATCATCTCAAGCTGCGCACAAAGAAAGAGAGAAGTCATGCTTCGCTGGCAGCTGCTGTTAGGCATTGTTACATGGCAGCTAAAAATCTGCACCCTCATGGCCATGCCGGAGGCACTTACCTTGTCAAAGTCCTTGACAAGGAGTGCCTCAGGCGTCTGCCCTTCTTCGTACTCCTCAAAAAGCTCCTTGACCTGCTGCCCTGATCAATGACAAGAAGTCATATTGAAAGCAGTCACCCTTCAGTATTATTTGCGCATCAGAGCAAGGCCGTGCTCGTGCTGCTGCAAACAGAAGGCAGAGCTCTTATGATCACCTGCAGTACTTCCAGTCCCCAGCATCTCCTGTATCTTCACAATAGCGTCTGCTTCTAATTGTCTCTTCCGCTCTTTGCTGATGCCGTCGTTGGGAGTGATGTCTCCAACAATGGCTGCAGATCCAGGAAAACAGGTGAGCGCAGTGTTTGCAATTTTGTGAGGATGGGAAACAATTAAGTACCCAGTCGAGAAGTACCTTCAGCAACATCGTGCACGATGGAAAGCCTGATGCACCTGCAAAGCAGAAAAAAATGTTGACAAGGAGGACTTTGAAGGTAGGGAAACAAATCAAATACTGATGTCTGGACGGCAAATTGGGTCATGCTGTCACCTGTCGGTGTTCACGCCCACGTCCCCAGCAATGAGACTCATCATTCCCATTCTATACATGTGATCTGCAATGCTCTCGGGACCTTTGACGTTGCACCGAATCCATCCTGTCCGTTTCGTCACCTGGTTGTATGCATTACAAATCAAAGAAGCCCAATTGCTCCGATGAGCTGTAAATGCTGTAGGCTGTGAGGCTCCCTCACCTTCAGGTTCTGTAGAAGGTGGAGGAAGTCTATGGCTTTGGCCGCGGAGGTCCCAGATCTGAGCATGACTGTCTTTCCTTCAATGTAAAAAGATTTGATCGAAAGAATAACAGAATATCAGAGTCTTCTCCTCTATCATCGGAATTCAAACGTTCAATTTAGATTTCAAACTCCCCTCCGACATCAAACGAACGAGGGAAATAACCTCACCACCTCTTGCCGCATTCTGCATCGTCGAGTCTTTAAACTTAAAGAATAATAGGTGAATATAGAAGGAAACATTAGCACTTCTCACCTTTCTTCAGTGTGCAGGATGCAGATCTGTTCCATCATCGAGATCAGAGATGAGGTGGCATGATGGGAAGACGTACAGTATGGAAAACATTCAATCAACCATAGAACAAGCTTGCATTGGACTCTCGGTAAATCTGCTAACATCTTTTCAATTTGTTCTTACTGCTATTCACAAAATTCCTTACGTTGTGGATGTTGGCTTGCAGGTTCCCCATCTGAGAAAGCAGGCTGAGGCCACTTTATTGGACTTTCGCCAATCCCCAAATCCCGTTCATGCCTGCCAGCAATTACTAGAGCATTCGGGGAGCTTATCAGCACGCTTCCAGGTGATGCATTTGCGATTTTAAAAAAAAAGCAGTGACCTTGTCTACCAGATCACATTTATAGTCTGATCACGACATTCATTCTGCACAGGCTGCACTCACCCTCAGAGAGGCCGCCTTGAGGCGATGGGGCATCACATCTGCCGAAGAGAAGCGGCAGCTCCGTTCATACATACTCCACCTCATCATGAGGTGTGGTGGTCTTCATTCGCATGTCCGTGTGGCAAGTTCTAGGTATATGCATGTTGAGTACCAGATTTCACCGGATCTGTTATTCTCCAGGAATGGGAGTACAGCGGACGACATCATCACCTCGCAGCTGACAGCTGCAGTTGCCAGCATGCTGAAGAGGGGGTGGCTGGAAAGCAGCAAAGAGGAGCAGCATGCATTCTTTGCGGAGACAGAGGACATTGCAAAATCACAGGGCACCCCAGGAGCGAGACGAGCCAGCATCAAAGTCCTAGAGGTCCTTGTCTAGCCTTCCCCCACCATGGAGCTATACCCTGTGTGATTTGTGAGGAGCACCCCAGTGCAGGGACCGCTCTTTTCTCATCTTCAATCAATTCGTCATTTGCAGGCTGTGGTGACGGAGTTTTCGCCGGCTACTGCGAGTCCACTGGGCCTTCCTTGGGACTACCATGAGCGGTGCAGATCCAGCCTGGAATCAGATTACCTGCAGTCCTTCTTCGTGCACGCCAGCGGTATTGCGCGAGGATCGGCTGCGGCAGCTGTGGAAGGCAGAGATGAAGGCCTCTGCCAGGCCTGCATGTCTCTGCTCACTGCCATACTGTCGTGGGATTTCAGGTGCGCGCCAGCTGCCTGTCTGATGCTGTTTGTCAAGGCATCCCCGGTTACACTGTCTGCGACGATGTTATTTAGGGGTGTGGCTTGCCCTTCTGCAGGCAAGGGGCCTCCCCTATCCCTGTCTATGGTGATGGAAGGACGACCAACAATAGTATGCTGGTCAAGCCAGATCCTGCTTGGCGCGATACTCTGCTGTCTGCGGAGGCTGTGGACTGGTTAATCGCTTTATTGAACGCTCGAAGGGGACAGCCTGAGTCTCCTCTGGCGGCAGCCTCCCGGCAGTTGCTGGTGAGCACTCTTACCGACTGGGAAATGAAATGGCCAGGGATTTTCCCTGTTATATGGGATGTATGATGCAAGGTTCAGCATGCTGTGCTGTAAGAATGACGTGCAACTTTGTCTGGGCTGCTGTAGGTGATGTTTTGCTCTATCTCTGGGGACATCTTTCCAAAAGCAGCAGAGCAGCAGCGAGCAGAGCTGGGCCTGCAGCACACCACGAGTGCCAAAGATGCCCACCTGCAGCGCATGCTCCCAGCTATTCTGCCCTGCATTGCCCCTCCAGAAGCAGCGCTACACAGAGCTGCAGCAAACAATGAAGCAGAGCTGCTGGATGCATGCAAGTATGGCCTCATGCCTCTTTTCAGCAAATGCATCTTCATATAATTATATGCTGCGCATTCTCATAGACTTTTAGAACGATCAGAATATATAGTATTACAAAAAATATCAAGTTCATGACGATGTGATGTGGCACTGTGTGGTGCAGGGCTTTGGCTGTACTAGCCCAGGTTCACAGAGCAAGCGGCTTTGTCCGGGCAATAGTTGATGACAGGGCAGGGGAGGGCGGGGTCCTATCCATCATTGCTGACCTTGCAAGGGCATGCATATCAGCGGGGGGGATGTCAGAGGCAGCAGAGGGCACCTGGACAGCTGAGGCCACAGACTTGCTGCTGGACACCTGGGTGGAGCTCCTCTATGAGCGTGTTGGCTGCATATCCCAACGGTGATCTTCCAAGATGATCTTCACAACATGACCTTGCATAATACCTTCTGTCTAGAGCGCAAGGCATCCTGCATGCACACTGCCAGGGAACCGGGACAGAGGAAACTACAGATAAACCGCATTGCAGTGTTGCATGACTGACTTTGACCTCTAGATTCGCCCTGCAACAGGTCCGGCGAGGGCCCCTCAGATGCAGAGGCGGCAGCTGCCGCGAAGGTGTTCCAGGCGCTGACAGAGGGGGCGCTGAAGGATGCAGTGGACTGCGCGCACCTGGACGAGGAGGAGGGAGAGGCGGCGGACGATGCAGGCGTCGGAGCCATGGCCGGCCGCGAGGACTGGTTTGCGTGCGCGGCCGCCGTCGGCCGCGCCTCCGCGGCTTTCAGCGCCGGCCTTCTGACCAAGCGCATCCAGCAGAAGCAGCAGCACCTGCAGCACTGTGCTGCCGCAGGTCCTGATCCACCCCACTTTGCATGCCCAACAGATGGCTATGATTCCTCAACCAGTATGAACAATATAAATTGCCATACGGAGCGCCTGGAATCGAGTGCTGAGGAAAACCATGTCCATGTGTCTTGCAGGTCAGGATCCTGCTGAGCCGCTAGAGGAGCTTCACTGGCTAACGCGAATGGCTGCGCACCTGCTTGCGGACTCTGGAGAGGGAGAGACGCCGCTGGTGCCCATGTCAGTGGCGGCCGCGGCTGCGGCGGCCCAGCCGGGGATAGACCCTGTCGAGGGCCTGTCCCATGCCCTGCTCGGCGTCGCTGGGCTGTGCCTGGACGAAAGGGCACGCCCAGTCGTCAGCCCCAGGTACTCAGCCCCTACTGCTGGAAGTGCTTGCTTGACATTTTGCCTGCTCTTGTGAATCTCAAATCTGAAATTTTTCTTGGCAATTGCACTTGTTTGTGACAGCAATGCATCACATGTTCTTATAAGCAGTCCATATTTCATGCATGCAGATTGATGGAGGCGGCAGCGTCTGGGGTGGCACGATGGGCGGACACATATCTCATGGCGGAAGATCCAGCTTCGGCTGGACTGGCCAACGCCTTTGGCCTGCATGGCGGAGGACCTGCCGTGCTGCAAGCACTGGTGCAAATGGCCAACGTCCTGCTCAGCCAGTGCGCCATGCCTCCAATGTCATTTAAATCACTGTCTCCTGCTGCCTGTCTCTACTGCTCAGTCATCATGTGCTCATCCCCGTTGAAGTCTTGGGGTCATGAAAGAATTAGTGGAATAAGGATGGCTATCGCTGCAGGAAAGAAATTGTTGTCAGATGGCTTCCGTTGAGTCACCAGGAGCTACCGCAAGAGGCACTGCAGATGTGTCGTGACAACTGGGCAGGTTTGCTGGGGAGGTGGATCTGCACCGGGTTGTGGCGGCGCGGCTGCTGCCGGTGCTGACGCAGCAGGCCACCATCTGCGGCTGCCTGGCGCACCTGGACGCCTGGCGCGCCCTCGTGCGCGCGTTCGCGGAGCAGGCCGAGCCCATCCGCGCGCTGGCCGGCCCCACCGTGCGAGCCCTCGCCAAGGCCCTGACTGTGGCTGCCGGCGGCCTGCCTGACCAGGCGGCAGCCTGGCAGTACACCACGCACCTCATGCACACCCTCACAGGTCAGCATGCAGCACGCAGTGCCTGGTTTTTGTGTCGTGCCTTTCAGAACTTCCGTTCATTGCTGCTTGCATGCTGGTCATCAGGTTTTTGAGTGCATTGAATGAGATCGAGTGCAGAGTTGCATCTGGGCACAGATGCAGCCCTGTGACTGGGGTTGTATGCATGCAGAGGAGGTGTCCAGCATTGCGGGGCGGCCGGACTTGGCGGGCATTGCCGAGCGGCCGGACATGATGGCGCGCGTTGGGTATCTGCTGGAGGCTCTCCGCGGCAGCGTTCGCGGCACCTGCCCCAAAGCGCAGCCCGCGCTCTTCTCTGTCGCCTCTGCCATCATGAACCCAGTGGTACCGCTCTTCTCCTCTTATATTCTTCTTGCATATTGTCGTTGCGCATGTCCACATGCCTGACCTGCACAGCACCCACACTTGCCATGCCTGATTCTGGGCATAAATCCTGGACAATGGGTCTCTAAGCTCAGTCTGGCTGATGCTGCGGCAGGTGAGCCTGCAGAGGATCTACCACAACCAGCCAGCTATTTCTTGCCAGCTGCTCAAGCTCGCCGCAGACGTGGTGGATGCCCACATCTCCTTTGTCCAGGTAGCGCCTCTGCCTCTGAGAGTCGTGCAACAGCTATCCTAATCATCCTGGATCCAGTCTTCTCAATTCCAATTGCTTCACTAATAACGTGACAAGCAAGCGTCACGCTTGTCTTCCATCATTTGATGCTGGAGGCAAATGTCCTCTTTAAATGTATTTTTTTGGTATAGGTCAAGGATGCAAAGCTACTATGCGAGTGGGTACTGCACTTGCTCCAGCAGTACTCAACTTATAATCTGGGCCAGGTGTCATTGGCAGCTGCCGCGCGACTGCGGGCAGAAGCTGCAGCAGATTCCTATAGGTCTGTATTCGCATCAGGCATGCCTTGTGTAATGTTTCCTGACTTTACTGGCCTGCATTCACTTTATTACCGCGTTCACCTACAGAATCTTCAACATGGTGTGTGCAGGGAAGTTCGAGCATTGATCAAGCTCTTGATGAACCTGACCATCCGTGATGTGGTGGACTTTGGTGGCGATTCTGACCAGCCAGGAGGCCAAGTGAACATTGCTCAGGTGAGCCAGAAATCTTTGTTTATTTACACTTTAGATGTGCACATGCGGGACAGTACTGTTCAGGGTTTACTTTAAACCCTGCACATATGGGACATAAATGTGGTGCAGGACACTGACTCACATGCATGGTGTCAGGCTGTCCAAAGAGTGTGCATTTGCAGGTTGTCTTCCTTGGTCTGGGGCTTGTCATACCCCTGGTGACCGGAGAGTTGTTGCAATTCCCAAAGCTGGTCAGATCATTTTTCAACCTCATGTCTTACATGCTGGAGATATACCCCGACCATGTGGCAGGCCTTCCAGGTAAGCACTGAGCTTCCGCCGAGTCCCCCCTTGCTTTAGGCTGTAGTGCAGCAGAATTCGTGCAGGCTATGAGTCATGCTGAAGGCCATGAGCTGACTGGCTTGGGGTGTCAGCAGAGGCGCAGATGCGGGTGGTGCTATCCACCCTGGAGTTTGGGGTGAATTCCACAGACCTGGAGGTCGTGCAGGGGTCCCTAGAGGCCTTGGCTGCACTCGCCAGCTGTCACCACTCTGCCGTGTCCTCAGGCGCAGATGGCATCGCAGCTCCTCAAGGTGCGCTTCCTACAATGGGTTGTTTTTGCAAATTTTTGATTTTCTGGGCACAGCAAGAATGGTCAATATATGCATGGTTCTCAACACGCACGGATACCACAGGAGGAGGCAGTCTGCTGGGGGGTTTCATGGAGCTGGTGATTCGACGGCTGCTGCTGGAAGACCTGGGAAAGGACACCCTTGAGCTGGCGGCTGATGCTCTGTTCCCCCTCATCCTATCCCACACCGCAGCCTTCCAGTCACTTGGTGAGCATTTCCACTGAACGACATGCCTGCTAGGGGTACTTAATACTTGTTCTTCGGTTGCCCCTATGCCTGCTGGACAGACGTTGCTCTATTGATGTCTCGCAGGGTCCGGTGTGCCTTGAATTGAGCTATCTTGTGAGTGCAGGTGACAAGCTGCTTGCGAGCCAGCAGGATCCTGCCGCACAAAGCGGCCTGATCAGGGCAATGAATGAACTGCTGACAACGAACGGAATCGAGAACTCCACTGACCGCGCTAACAAACGCCGCTTCCGTGCAAATCTGACAAAGTTTGTTGTTGCTGCGAGGTCAATCGTGCGCTTAAGATGACAGCATCATGTGTGGCCATTAGAGTATAATAATGCTGGTGTGTATCTGGATATGTACCTGATAATGCCCATCAGGCTGCATATTCCAACGAGGCAGTTTCATGCATGTAAAGTTGCTCCTAGTGGCCCTCAGCGCTTTGTAATAAAAGTTTCCTGCAGTCAGTGAAGCACGCATGCAAGCATGCTGCATATATTCTCCTTTTCTCGTCAGATTAATCAATTTTACAATTTGTGCACCGATTTGTGCTGAACCTCTTTTTCTGTACACATGTGCTTGTGCTCTTCCTCATGTTGGTTGACAGGATGTGTGCACGTGCCCATCCCCATGCAAAGAGCTTGCCAAATTGGTCTTGGCGAATGTCAACAATTACAGCTGCTGGATGCTTATTGGATCACCGGCTTCCTGCTCACTTCTGCCGATACACGTAATCGAATTGCTCAAAAGGTGCACTGGTGGTACATGCACAAAAAGCAACCAGCGACAGCTCCCAACGTTCAAGGCTATGCTCCTTTGAGTTAGCACGAGGAGATCCAGCAATATCACATAGCATCACGATGCAGATGCAAAGAGATCCACTTTCAGAGACTGGAGAGGTAGGCCTGTTGGTGTGCACCGTCACCATCGTGCATACTTCGGACGTCGAGAACAGTTGCTGACCAACATATGGAGCGTGCAGGCCTCTTTGATGTCACTTTGCAACAGATTTAAAAGCTTATCTACCGATTTTGCCGATCAGCAGAACAGTGAGGCTCAGCTGGAATGGCTTGAAGCTCTGAAGGTCAGTGGGTTGGTGTAGGCATCAAATGCACCGCTGTATCCCTACAAAGTGATTGCTGTTTTTTTTAAATACTCAACTGTCTCGTACGCTCTGACGAAGCTGTCCCTATATCCCCTGATCTACTCTGCATGATATACATAACAAGATGGCCATGCCTGACTTTTTCAGGAGTGCTTTAAAGCCTTGACTCATGGTCTGCATGGCAAGGACTGCATTGAAGGCGCAGAAATGTCAATCAAAGCGGCTGCCAATTTGTTTGCGGAGCACACTGTGGAAGACGGCCAACTCAAGTCTGAAGTACAAGTCCTGTGGCAGGTTGTGTTTGCTCTTCCAATGGACGTTCTTGCTTGTCAAATCTATGAAGCTTACAAAGAAAAAGGCTCCAGTTGTGAGATTTCTTGGCCAATGGCACAGGTCATCAGTTTTGTGAGTGCTGCCCTGGGAGCCTGGGATGCTGACAGCGAGGGGCATTCGCAAGCCCGTGTCACGCTCCATGTAGGGCAAACAGTCTTGATCATGTTCCTCCTGAGCATATACATTGATTTTAAATTCAAGGTAGAGACTTCTCGTCCCGCATTCATATGCATGTCAGCACAAATTATTTTGCAGGCCGGGTTCCACGCTAGCGAAGTTGGAGTGAAGAGATTGGCGGCTCGTCTTATGGCCGACCCCAACCTCATGAGCGCGCTGCTTGAGGACGTACTGCAGACGTGCCAAGCATTCCTAGACCTTGCACATGGGATATTCTTCTCAGAAAGGTAAGCAATATCTTCTCAGAAAGGTAACCTCAATCTTCTGACAATTTTCAGTTTGAAGTGGTCCAAGGTCTCATTGATAAGTGTGTCATTTGCAGGTGGCTGGGATTGAGTGGCAGTGAATTATTTGCAGATATCAGCATGCACTTGCGCAGCCTCTTAAAAGATCATGTTCTACCTCTGATTTGCTCCATCATCACCAACGCCCCAGGTGTCAGATGAAAACCATGTTTCTCTTCTCCTCAGAACCCTTTAACAGCAACCTCCTGTCGTGATTCAGAGCTTTCTGTGCTGCAGAACGCAAACTGAATGATGCATTTGACAATGCACTCAGCGAGGCATTCCAGAAGCTGCTCGCCCTAGGTGAGCTGCCTCTCCGTTTGACATGTTCAATGCATGCCCAATGGGATTGCCAGATGTGACTCCTGTTCCTGGCAATGCAGGCAGGACCATTTCGCAGGTCATTGCAGGAAAGTCACAGCTGTCAAGAGCAAAAGAGTTCAGGAGCTTTGCAACAATGAATGTAGCATGGCTGTGCGTGACCAAGACATTGTCTGTATCCGCATCAAGCCTCACTCAGAGTTCTATGCCGAGAACTGGTACGCTGCTGACATTTAAGCCATATGCCGGCCACCATATGCAAAGTCTGATTGGTGGTCACTCAATAGAAGTGTTGCTACAAGTTGCAACGGAGATTTGAGAGTGTCAGGATTTGGGTGTTTGCAGGTGCTGTGAAAAGAGATGTCCTCTCCGCCTTGATCAGCAGCACAAGGGAAGCCTTCTCAGCATGGTCACTCACCACTGACAGCAACAACTCAAAGGTATACAAGTGAGCCTGTTGTTTTGCTCTGCATGGACATTGCTTCAGTAGGCAGGAATGCTGACGTGTCTACCTATAACTTGTAGGTCCTGCGCTTCTTCCTGCAGCATGTTGCCAAAGTCCTTGCGGCCAACCCCATAGCTATTCGGCCATGCTTGTCAGAGCTGGCGGCCATGCTGGCGGAGATACAGGCTTCCTTCATCAGGTAGGACCCTGCCAAGATGCTATCACCGAATCCCTCAGGACTAAACTATCCCAGCTATCCCTCTGGACTGAGCTATATCTCTGAACTAAGCCAGTACCCTGTTTCTGATTCCATGAGTCAAACATTGCTATGTCTGGTGCAGCTGCATGGATGAGACCGATGCTGCCAGAGCTCAGATCCTTGCAGAGGCGAGGAGTGCTCTTGGCAAAGTCACAGCCGAGCTTTCCACCTGGCTGTTTGCGCAACATGACTGTGCGGTGAGAGTGATGTCATACAACACTATTACTTCGTTCACTAACACAGAAATCATACATAGATCAATGGAGGCATATTTGTTTAACCAATGACTGTGGTGCAGGAGCTCCTGTCAGAAATGGTGTCTGGCCAAGGGCACATGCCTCATGCCTCGGCTGACAGCCGATTGGGACTGATTGTGAGCATCCTCCAGACCTGCTTCAGTGCAGCGGCAGATGTAAGGCTCATGGCGGTCAGGTGCCTGTTGCCATCCCTCTTTGAGCTGGCAGGGCATGACATGCTCCCTCAGAAGGCATGGCGCAGTGTTTGCAGCGCTGTCATGGCCTTCATGATGGTGTGCTGTGCCAAAAGGTGAATCCTTCCTTACCAAGTCTAAGCCTCAGCCTAGGTTTTGACAGCATCTTCTCGTCACAGCATGTCAATGATGTCCATTTGAAGCAGACTGTAATCCGCAGGAAGGAGAACACCATGGCAGGAGATGCATGGATGCACTGCCAGACATTTCTCATGGAACAAGCTTTCGTTGTGCATCCCTTGCGCCTGCAGCTTCTGTCTGAAATTTGGGCCGGCCTGATAAGGTACTGCTGAGATTTTTGCATCCACTCATGGTTGATGACGCGTTGGAGGTGCATCACTTGGGTGATGGCAAGCAATCCACGGAAGTTGTTTCAAGAACGGGTCTTGTCAGCAAGTCTTCATTGACCTGTGTTTTCCTGCAGGCATTCAACCCCTGAACTGGCCAGGGTCCACATCCATGCGATGCTCAGTGCTGCTGTCAACGTAGCAATCCTTGATGGTGCCGATTCGGAATTCCAGTGCCTCGTCTCACCATTGATGGGTCAATTGGTATCCCTTACTGCAGCCCTCATATCTGCCACGCCGGATCAGATGCGCTTCGATATCTGCCAAGAGCTGCTGAAGGTGCGGCAGGCCTGCCAAGGACAATTGTGCCCTTTTTTTCAGTACCTAGCACCTGCAATACATCATTCAAGGAGACAGCAGGATAGTGATTAGCACATCGGGACACCTTTGCCTGCAGGGTGCTGGTGGAGAACAGCTGAACTCATCCCATGCATGCACTGCACTGGCAGTCACAGCTCGTGTTGTGGCCACAGTCTTTGCATCAGCGTCCAGTAGGCCCCATCCATCATGCCAGCCAGACCTCAATTTGCTGTGGCAGCTCCAGGAATACCTGCAAGATCCGCAGGAGCCTCTTTTCCAGTGCAGAGCTTGGTGTGCATGCGAAGCGCTGCTGCAGCTCTGCCTGGCTGCTCACATGCCCATACCTGCAGAGGTACGCAGCACAGAGTCTAAAACCTCCTTACGGTCATTGGAAAGACCTGAGTGTTTTATTATAGCGCCACTTCAAAATTTCGCGCTGGGGCTTGTTACTACCGTACAATTTTCCCTGTGGGTGCTTTTGTTGCAGATGGTGGAATCCCTGGCGTCTGCAGTGGAGGATGCACTGAAACAGGCTTCTGCACAAGCCATTCAGCCACCATGTGTTCTCCCAGCCCTCTGTGTGGCAGAAATGCTTTGTGGACTTCAGGCCAAACGACTGGCGGAAAACATTGTGCAGGTCGTGGAGATCTGCCAAAGGAATTCACAGGTGTGCATGCAAGACAGTCCAAAGCTGCATGTCCCACTGATGCAATTCACATTTCAATATTGTCGCTCTGCTTTGATTTTCGCATACCATATTTTTAGATTTGACCAGTGTAATACGTCATTTTTACAAATCTATCTGCTGAGTACCTTGCTTTCAACACAGGCTGCAGCCCTCACTGCAGCTTTTGCTGCGCACTGCGACGAGATTCAGGCAACCCCAACCAAGCTGTTCAACGCCATGTTGACAGTACGTACCTGGTTCCGCTCTTGTTTCCTCAACTTTGCTTGTTATTCGGGTCTGTGGCCTGCTCGTGTTATTTGCAAGTTCAAGCATGAATCCTTTGAAACGCAGGAGGAACACTGGGCACTGCAGCATGAGGCAATGCTTGCTTTGTTGGGGTTTGCTCGCTCACCATCCACAGACTTCAAGGCTGTGCTCCCTCGCCAGCTGTGTGATGAAGGTACTGGCTCAGTACACCTTGCATTCAAAACCCGAAGCAGTCCCGACATGTTCAGGTTGTCATGTGCGTCAACCAGCTCATGGCAAACACAAATGGCAAATTCTTACAGGTGAAGAACCGAGCGCTGCCTTCGTCCAGCTGCTGATGCAGTACATGCAGCGCGCAAACTCAGGCGACAAAGACACGGATGACCGTCTCAGCACCAGTGCATGCGCTTCTGCACTCAGCACAGCAACCGCTGGCCAGCACACAGCCAGACTCCAGAGCCTTGCTGAGAAGGCTCTCAAGGTATCTGCAAACAGGGAGCAGGACATCATTGCCATGGCCATGGAAGGAGCATGCCAGGTGAGATTGCATTTCTTTCGGCAGGCAAGGTTCCGTACCTAATAATGACTTACAAGTGACTTGATACTACATTTATCCCAGCCTCTCTTGACAATACAAGGGTGAGAGGTCAGAAAGATAGCTGAAGGACCCTTTTCATGGCATTTCCTGGTGTACAGGCGCTTCAAGCTCTTCGCCAGGCTATACAGGACGCCTCTGTTGCCAAGGAGGCCAAATCGGGCGCCCTTTCGAAGATCAGGTCTGCTGGTGGAGGGAGGCTGGACATCATGGAATCAATCATGCAGGAGATCAGAATGCACATGAAATGATTGCTCTTTGGTGCTGCTGAATAAGTGCTGTGGTGGTGACCTGTTGCCCTATTAGGGAGATGGCATATTTGTACTCCTGAAGGGTCCTGATAGGGTTTAGTGGATCACAATCTATAGACCATCGATTGTATTCTACTCAATCGATAGTATTGAAGTCATTAGCTTTACAGGAATAAGTAGAGGAGAGATAGACTGTAATCGTCTGGCACATCAACATCTTATCGCTTTTGGTGTCAAAAAGGATCCGTGGCACGACGTCCTATGTCCTCTACATTACCTCGCTTCTGTAGGACATTGGTCTTACTCTAAAGCAAAATTTTATCTTAGCTGACATTTTCATATCCTACTGATTGAATCTGGGACGACACAAGTCGACCTAATCATGGAAACTTGCTTTCACAAAAATCTTCTTGTACGTTGCTCCTGGTCCCCATCTCGAAATGGACGATGTACGACCCCTCACAAAGACTGTCGAGTCTTAGGAAACTCTGCGAGGCGTCAAAGCTTCACGGACACAAATGTAAGTCTCTGTCTAGGCACAGCTTACTAGACATGGTTGAGCTTGTGCTAACTTTGTGACATCTTGGACAGACCTGAGGTGCATTGTAACCCAACTCAACGGTTATACGCTAGAAGTACAGGGGTCTGACCTGCACCACATTCTTGTTTGTGCCAGGGGAAGTGCCAGAAACAGCAAGCCGCAAGAGCTTTGAAACAGGATAGACCAGAAGCGGATCGCGAGAGCAAGACTGAAAAGGAGGAACTAGAGATGCAGCGGAAAGTGAAAGAGAGGGGCCTAAAGCCCAAACTTACATCGGAAGAGGAGAGAAGAGTGAAAAGCAACTTGAAGCGATATTTCATGATTGAACGGACCATAAAAACACTCACCATGTAGGGTCTCTCATCCTTTGTCCCCTACATCCATGCCGGCGCATTTGTCTGACCTCAAGGATTTGGTCCTTTCACGTCTCACTCAGTGTGTTGGGCTTGCAGATCTCCTGGCTTGACAGGAACCTTGGCTTTGCTGACTGGACATCTGCTACATCTAGATCCCTTTGGTGGCCTGAACTGGGATCAGCATGATGCGTTTGTGGGCCTTCTCTGCATTCTGCCTCTCCTGCTGCTGGGTGATGCCTGCGCCTTCCTACTTTTTGTGTTGTCTTGGTCCGGCATGCTTAGTCTGGCATTTCAATGCATGCTTTGTATTGTTGCTACGTCCATCTGGAGTTCATAATGTCTGATACGTTCATGTTGTTGCCTCGAAGATTCCGCACTCATGCTGCCAGACTTCCATAAGTTGAGATATGGCGAGCCCAAACTCGAGGCGTCGACCAGCAGCAGCTCTCCTTCCTTGAGCAAAGAGAAGCATCTGAGGGCACAGGAATGCCCTGCAGGGCCACAGAGCTCAGGTGAGTGAGAGGAGTAATATCTGGCATACGGAGGGCTGGTATGGAAATGCTGAATGACCATGGCTAGATGTACATGGTGCGAATGGCACTTTTGGGCTCATCCGCAGGTGAGCAGTCGAGTGAGGCGAGTTTCTCGGGGATGAACCCAGCGGCTGCTGCTCTGGCAACTGCAATGTCCCTCAGTAACCGCGCTCAACGCACGCCACTTATGCGCCTGAAAGGTATGCCCGTCTCTTTTTATGTAGCGGTTCCAATGGCTTATGCGATGCTCGCCAGATATCAATCTTGCATAAAGCCTCATACAAGAAATGAATGCGTAGGTAAGGCTTACACAGAATGCTGCTTCTGCACAGGGTCTGTCATGTATGTGCAAGCCTTGCTGCTGCAGCGAAGTAGCAAGGCGGGAGCGATGCCATTGCCGCTGGATCTTTCCTTGCTTGTGACCTCCAAGCTTGGGGTCATGATGCTTCAGTTTGGAGTCTTGCTCGACGGTGAGACCTGCATCCCTCTAATGAGTCTTTACAATCTCCACCACCGAGTTGCTCTTCTGAGCAATGCAGTACATCAGCCCTCACACTGGAAAGTGCTTGGGTGCAGGCCTGGCCAACTGGGAGACAGATCGCCTGTATGAGTCAGGCATGGGGGAGTCGTTTCTGGTCTTGGGCAGGAGCATGTCTTTGCACCAGCTAGGGCAGTGGGCGGCCTTGGGGGCCATGACTGCAGGGCTCCTGGCATTGGCATTGGTAGCCTCTGCCATGCAAGAGAACGTGCGCATTGCTGCTATCTCAAGAAGACGGGTTCTCGCTCTGCAAGGCGCATGCCTGTCAATCTGGTCAACTCATCCTGAGCCGCTGTGTGCTGCCACAGGACATGGCGAAGAAGGGGCAGCTCTTGCGCAAGGAGCTCAGTGAGAAGACTCGCAAGGCCATGGAGTTCAACATTTTCAAGCAGGGGCTGAAGGAGAGCAGTGCCGTGGATGCCAGCCTCAGCCCTGCTCAGGTTGCGGATCAGCTGAAAAAGAGCCTGGCAACCTCCAAGGAGCTGCACACAGCGATGGAGAGTCTGGTGGAGAACAGAAAGAAGGTAAGCTTGACAAATCATGTGTCAGACTTGCTTTCGTATGCACTGGTAGACGGCCAGTATTGATACTGTGGCCAGTTGAAAATTTATTTATGTTCCTTGGCCCCAACCATAACGTGATGCTTGTGGCTTGGTGAACATGCGCTCTTCTGTGCATTGTGCAGGACCGCTCTGCTCAGGATCTTTGGAACGCCGTCCTTGTGACTGCGCGAGAAGTTCTTGGCCTGTGGGGAGTCGGGGCTTCATTCATCCTGACAGGTTCGTTAAGGGAGACGCAAAAAAGGACACTGAGGGAGCTTTCAGCCTGTTGGACACGTGATATTGCATTCAGGAGAGACTCTCAGCAACATTTTCCTGAAACACTCATACCACAGCACTGAAGCATGCGCACTGCCTTTTGTGTGCAGGCAACTTGCTGGCCCCGCTCGCAGCCTCTGTGGCGGCAGGCACGCTGCGCTCTGGGTTCACTCGCGTCCAGGCTCCCAAGATGCGCAGGAGGCGCGCTGAACTCCTGTCAAAGCTGGAGGTACAATCTTCTCGCTGCTAGCCCGGAAGACTTACTGATCAGTTCCCACACATACGCATTGTTCCAATCATGCTACCCTTATACAGTGGCAATCTCCGATGCAAATTTCTGATGATCTCAGTGTGTTGCTGCAGAAGTCCATGGCCCAGAAGGAGAAAGAGATAGCTGCCAAGAAAGATGATCTGAGCAACGATGAAGGAAAGGCTAGCCATGACGAGTGAAGGGCGGTGCTGTGCGTATTGCATAGCAGAGCCATCTGTAGTATCCGTGCATTGATCCGGTTGGGAATGCCATTGTGCAACACCGAGACAGTGGCAGTAGCAGACCACCATAGTATTTGTAAATGTGGTCTTGAACGGCCGTATGTGTTGGACTACTATGCCATGTCCACAAGTGACTGGTGTTGCCATGCAAACGAGAGTGATGCGAGCCATGATGCGTGGAATAGAAGGTCATGTGGATGACTCGATGAAGCTCTGCACTGCAACAATGCTTCGCACTTCTGTGCATCGATGCGCATACTGCGTCTCCTGGCTGCCGGCCAGCCAGCTAGTGGCATGTGTGCCTGATCTGCTATCAGAGTCAGTGATGGTCAGGATAATGCTCAAGTATTTGTAATGCAGCCCAGCTCATCGCTGTGAAAGCACATTGAAGTCAACTGCATGCCAGGTTCGCCAGCAACGGCACCTGTTGCTAGCGCTCTGTATGCATGCGCTGTTTGCTGACACCGGGTGCTCAGCAACATTTTGTAAAATGCGTAGCTCTAGGCCTATAGGCTAACAACAAGTGCAAATGTTATTGCTGCTGCTTATTCCAAGTTCTCTGTTTTTTTTTTGAATTTCTTACTTCATCTGCTCGTCTTCATTTCTCTATAATTGGCTCGACCTTGGAAGTTTGGCTTCACCTTGGCAGAGTGTATCCAGCCAATACAGACTTTGGGGAACGGCTCATGGTGATTTTGCATTCCTACCGCAACTCACTGTCCCTTCAAGGGTGCAGAGCGGCGATACACAAAGTATAGTGAGCACTAAGCGAATATAAGGCTGCAGGTTCAGAATTTACAGCCAGAGAGTCGGTTGCGGTGAAAGCGATCTGGACTTGATGTCAGCTAAAAAATAATGATCCCCAGTTGAGAATGACACGGCTGTTGCGGGTAAGCCAATGTACAAATTGTTTGTCTCATTTAACAGATCTTTGTATATTTCATATCAAGGGATTACTCAAACTTGTTCCCTGAACAGGGCATCAAGACTGAAGGCCTGCGGCTTCGATTAGTGGATGCTCGAGAGCAGGTGGTGGGTCGGTTGGCAAGTCAACTGTCCTTGCTTCTCCAGGTATGCCTGGCGTGTACCTGAGCAGCATGTGAACAGGACTACATTTCCTTGCAACTCCTTTGCCATGCCAGAGACGCCCCTCAGATGTTCAGGATCACCACGTATTCCTTTTATATCTATCAATCGATGTCATACCAGCTGAAAGGTGGGTGCACATGCCTGCAGGGAAAAGACAAACCTACTTACACCCCATGGAAAGAGGAGGGAGACATCTTGGTAGTGACAAATGCCAAGCATGTGGTGTTTACTGGGGAGAAGTGGGACCAGAAATTGTATAGATGGCACACTGGGTACGCTACCCATCGCTTACTGTTGCTTCCGTGTCAAGTGCAATAAAGTCCTGGCAAGAGACCTGTAGCAGTACATCTAATGTGCCGGCTTCAATCCTCCCGTGCATGTGTTGATGCCAACAGATTCCCTGGAGGCCTGAAGGAGCGCCCAGCGAAGAAGGAATTCGAGAGGGATCCCACGTCAATCTTGCGGCGGGCCGTCTATGGCATGCTGCCCAAGAACAAGCTTCGGAAGGTGGGACATCATCAAACTGGAAAGAGACAAATTGTGACTCATCGCCATGCTCTCTATAGAAGAGTGTCTCAATGAGGGTTGCATGGTCCTTGTCACAGGAGCGCGCCAGGAAGCTCAGGATATTCCCTGGCGAGGAGCATCCCTTTGCTGACCACCCTGCCTTGGTCCCCTGGGAGATGCCCCCACGGAAGCGGCGTGTGAGGGAGGCCCTGTTCGAGCTGCCCGAAGGCTACAAGCCGCTCAACCCCACAGTCTACAGGAAGCGCTTTGGGCACATGCTCCCTGATGCGGACATGTCATGCTTGTTTGAGGCCGAGGAAGAGAGCATTATCCCTGCGGCGAAGCCCGCGGAGGATGGTTCTGGCAAGTCATGACTGATATGGGATCAGGGCATTGGGCCAATTGTGAAATGAGCTGGTCTGATCAGGCAGGCATGTACTGGTAACAGGGAAGTCTTCCAGATGAACGGCGCTAAACAGGCACTGAATTGGACTTTTCAAGCAATTCATTTGTACCATTGGCCTCTAAATTCCCCTCAGCAGAGGCTGGGATTGACCGTTCTAGATGATGTAAAGATTACATTGTAAACCAGGGAGAATGCACAGACATGCACTGCATTGTGAGGTGTCTGAACCTATCGCAGTGGTAGCTCTTCATGCAGTCAAGGTATGTCTTAACTGGAACACAAATATTGGTCTGCACAACAGGCATGCTCCTCCATAGCGGAGGTCTTAGCTTCTCCTCTACACATGCAACACATCTTGACAGCGACATCTGACGCTTGGAAAATCTGGCGCTCTCCACTGCATGCTCAGTCTGCCATCCCGGGCTCGTCAGTTGTTGCATCCCTTTGCTGCTGGGGTGCCTGCACATCCATTTGCAAGGTTCTCAGAGCAAAAGAACGTGAATATTGAGACAACATCGCGAAGGTGTTTTTGGTTCATGACTGCATTAGCGCTGCAGCGCATTGGATGCTGGAGCAGGACATAAAAGGGCATCGCTGTGACCGGTAGGGTATGAAACCCACCTCATCTGCTTCCATCTCTGGCTTGAAGCCTGCCTCTGCCAGGGACAGCTCGTACAGTGTGTTCTCCAGCTTCTTGACTGTGTACTTGAGGGAGTCATACTTCTTACGGATGCTCCCATTGCGCAGATCAAACTGCACGCAAATACTGACTCTCGCTTCATGCCTGCCGGCAAGCCCCAGGGGAGTGGCAGGCATTAGGTGAGGTGATATACACATTATCATTATCATTATCATTATCATTATCATTATCATTATCATTATCATTATCATTATCATTATCATTATCATTATCATTATCAGCAAACCCAAAGCCAAAGGCCATAAGGCATACACGCAGGGCGTCTGCAGATGTACGGGGAAATACTGTATGCCATACTCAGTAATGTTAGATACTCACGTGGATCTAGCGCATCAGCACTTGGATGAAGTCTGCGCACCTGGAGAAATTCCCCCATCAGAGCCTCGGCAATGCCTCGACACCGCTTCACCTCATCGATGTCCCGCACTGTCGCCTTCGCTATCGCATACCTGTTCAGCTCCCCCGTGAAATCCAGGACGCCACCCAGGTACCTTCAGTCATGCCAGGCAGATTACTGATCCATCCAGTGACATGGATGCCAGAAGGCATGTACCTTCACAGAGTTCATGCTTTTAATTGCGATCCATGACAGGTATTCCTCGCCGGATGAGACAATCAGCGACTGAAATTCACAAGCCACTGAAATGCTCTCAACGGGACAGCTAGGAAGAGCTCACTCATCACGCTCCACAATGGGCAGCTCTTTCGAAGGGATGACGCGCCCATGCTCCAGGAAGGCTTGGAAGATCTTGGCTTCGGCATACTGCACACGCATGCATAATGCCCTCACTCTCAACAGACAATTCCTCGCAAATGTTGTTGCAGGCTTTGCAAGAGCTTTTTGAACAGGTTCCATTGTATTGGTGATAGGGCACCTCTTCCATTGCGCTGCTGAAGGATCCATGGCGCAGGTCTGGCATGCTTTGGACGAGGGGCAGGAGCTGACCGGCAATATGCTCAGCCTCCGCTGTCTGGCTTAAGCTCTTCTCAAGATCGCTGCGGTGCGCTGCAAAGATCGCCTGCTTCGCCAGCTTCTGGATGTCTGCACGCATTGGAGCCAAAAGTCGGTCCAAATGCCATAGTATTCATCAAGAGCAATGTGTCCAGCAACTTGTACAGCATACCTCGACTGCGCTTAATTACATTTTCTCGTTGAGCATCAAAGCTCTCCATATCTCTCCGCAATGTAGCGAAGTCTTCGCTGTCCACGAAGACTGAGACAGAGCTCTGCATCTGCACAACAGAGTTCGTTGGCATAAGGATAGGATTTGCAAATTCTGAGCATGTAAAACGTGTCAGCCTCTGAACCATACTTGGTTCTGATCAGCAGCAGCGCCAGTTGCACGCTGCCTCTTGGAAGCAGGAGGTACCATGGTGCAGATGCCAAAGCTAGTAGCGTCCAGAGGCCTTGCAGCGCGGAGTAATCTGTGCAAACTCACACTTTGTCTGAAAGCTAGCATAACACCAAGGGACAGGGTGAAAGTCAATCTTGGATTGCGTGTCAATTAACGTTTGAATTCATCAAGTTGTTTTGGTCATTTGGTTCGTCCTTGGACGCGGGAACGTCGTCGGTGACCGAGACCGACCTTTTGAAGGAACCAAATTCTGCAGATGACGTCTTTCTGACTTGCGAATCCCTCTGGCGAAGGGTTCTCCTACTCTGACGGAAGGCATCGGAAAGATGTGCTCTATGCAATTCTAATTAAGGCATTTCAAGGGGGCCCGTCCGTGGCTAGGATTCATGAACCAGCAGCCTACGAGTCTTCCCTTTCACGTCAACTGTCCTTACACGGGGTAACTTTGACACCCTTGATACCTCTGATGATTTTCAGATGCTGCAAGAAGTCTCTGGCAACGTTCATTGCCTGTCGATCGGCCAGATCACTTGGCGAAAAAAGTCGTGCGCACAGTCGGTTGACATGATCAGGCTCTAGCAAAGTAGGAAGAAATAGCGTTTGAAATTTCGCAGAGTGTTAGGCTCGTTTGGACGGGAGCCATACACTGACGTCACAGCCTCACTCTGGACTAGGACACTCTCAGAGTGCAAGACTCGACTAGGGGTTATCTTGTATTACAATCGTCTAGAAAGCAAATAGGTAGCAGCTTGTCTTTACCTGACCTTTCGGGTCCTGATCTCACGCACGCCCATCGTGCTTTTTGACTTTAGCGGTATTTGTTTTGGTGTGCGCAGGCAGGCTACCTGCCAATGTTCCCTGGGCACTCCTTCCTCCGTCGCAGAACAGTCCGGAGAGTACCAGCGACAGGCCACCATGATGCACCGGATGTGGCAGCATCAGAACCAGCTCTTCCCACAAGAGCAGCAGCCACCTGTTGACATTGCACTGCCCCGCCTGCTGCGCCAAACAGTCCCAGACCTCGAGCCGCTCCCACCACAAGGTGCTGCGCTCAGACTCGCCACATGCTGTCAGCATCGATCGCAATTCAGCCGTGATTATCAACTAAATCGATGTTCGAATGCTGATGTAGGGCCCATGGACAGGAAGTCAGCGGAGATCGCCGTGCGGCAGGCCCGCAAGAACGCAGAGGCAGCGCTGGCGGCGGCTGCGAGGAAGGCGGCGGCTGCAGGCAAAGACTTTAACGTCCCACCAGGGTTCCAGGTGGACTTGAGTGGCATTGTCAAGGTCCGCCCAAGCGCGCATGCATGCATGGTGCTCCAAATAGCCTGTGCCTTGGCTTCCTGTTTGTCATTGTCACCAGATGGCTGCAGGCCTCACATCTGACATTTTATAGACAGGGCGCCTAGGTTGTTTACTTTACAGAGAGCTCAAGGACTGTGCTGGCGAGTTCCTTGGTCTGACTGATTCAAGCCAATGTAACAAGGTGTCTGAATGACAAGAGTCATGGACTGTGCAGAATGACACAAGGGAGCTGGAGGCGCGCGCGAGGGCGCTGGAGCACACGCTCGCAGAGAGGCGCGCTCGATCGCAGCAGGCGTCAGCTTCGCACGATTTCCCTGACAGCCGGCAGCCTGCGTTCGCCAGGGATGCCGGCAGGGGAGGACCTCGCGCGTTTCAGCAGCAACAGCAGCAACCAAGTCAGCAGCCACAGCAGTTTGCTGGTGCGGACACTCACAAGCATGTGGCCTCTGACCCTGAGCAAAGAAATTTTCAAGGGGAGCATCCCAATGCTGGCGGCCTCGGATGGCTAGTGTTTGGGTCCTGGCAACATGAAAGGCTTCATGCAGCATGATGGGGGGTGTAAGTGTTTTTGTGAGGGCGTTTGCATTGACACAGGTGGTTGGCCAATCAGCGGTGCTCCCAAACAGAAGCAGAAGCCGGATAGCCGCTCCCAACTCGAGGAGCCTCCTCAGAGACCGCCGCCGCAGAACAACAAGTCCAAAGCAAAGAAGTCCGGGCAGGTAAGCATAGTGACCTTGCTTGCGATGCCTTTCCTGCTAATAAAAGCAGGCTTCCACCTGTTTGCAAGGGCATCATGCTTTTTGCAACAAAAGATTAAGAGAGGCCATGTGTCTCGGTGTTATTTACAGTACTTGTGCGCAATTGACAGGAAGGGTCGGATGCATGGGAGACAACGCCGGACAAGGCGCTGCGGCTGAAGATGAAGGACATCAAGCAGTCGCTGAAGGAGCGCTGGCTGCAGCTGTTCTGGCCCGAGGACGGCCGCTGGTGGCCCGGCCAGGTCACTGAGGTGCACGCCAAGGAGCGCAAGATCTCCCTCCTCTACAAAACAGGTGCTCACCTGGCTGCCCTGCAGAACAGTATGCCACAAGAGTAAAAATCTTCATACGCTTGTATGTTGTATGGCTTGATGGGGTGGCATCTACGTTGACTGCTTTTTTTATCCCTCGCATGTCAGCTGCCCTTGCATGTTTACAAAGGAGCGTGTGATCATATGATAACTCTCAAGGGGCGTCAATGTGAATCGTGCAGGTGAGGAGGAGACAGATCTGGACGTGGGGGAAATGGTGCGGAAGGGCGAAGTGGCCTGGCTGAGTGCCGAGGAGATGAAGGCCGCAGCAGAGCCAATGCCAAGCACTTTTCCTCCACCTGAAAATGGTAAGCTGAGCAGGGGCTATTCAACATCGTATGCTCTTGCATTCTGCCAGTGCGATCGTGCGTCATGCATTGAATAGGACTGCATTCTATGCCCTTCGTATAGCTGCGCTCACAGCGTCTCTTCTCTCTCTGCAGGAGGGTTTGAACGGCATCAGAGCAATCACATGGGCGGTCCGAGGTCTTGGCAGATGCAGTCGCAGCCACTTGATTTCCATCCCGGCCAGCTGGGCAGCATGGATGGCTTGCCTCGCCAGCGTGCCGGGCCCTCCTTTCCCCACAACAACACACCCATGAGTGGTCCGCGAGTGTCCTTTGGCGGCGGGTTTCAGATGATGGGACAGGTGAGCCAGTGTATGTCAATGAATTGGGGAAGGCATGGTACAGAGTAAAAAGCATGTCCCGGCTGGCAGGGGCCGGTATAAATGCTGAGCACTGTGCCATGGTTGATTGAGTCGTGCTTGAATCCGGCAGATCCATCAAGGGGTAGGATGCATGGCAGCCTTTCCCTGCAATGTTTGCGCAAATGCACCTTGCCGCTGGCAGGACCTGATGACTGCCTCTTACAGTCCTTGGTGCGGCATGGACCTACGAGACCGTGAAGCTTGTGTCATTGTAGACAGAGGTGGCAGACAGGAAGCGAGATTGATGGGGTGCCTGTGGTGCAGGCTGATGATGACCCATTTGAGCAGTACGAAAGGCAGCTGCAGGAGCGTCAGCGATCTCAGGGGACCATGCCCAACACCAGTCGCTTTCTTTGACCTTCGACTGACAACCATTCCTGGCTTCTGAACGCGGACATGTACTTGAAGTAATTTGGCGTGCGGCCTACTCTGTGGAGCTGCTTGCAACGGTATTGATGGTTGACCAGATTGACTAGTCTTGTATCTGAAAGCTGTGTTCACTGGGCATTGCATCTTGCGATGAAATTGGTCTCTCCGAGCTAGAGTTGAGGACTTTCCTCTGGGAGCTGCAGGTGGTTTTGTGTGTTTTTGGCAAGGCACTGCCTGGGTCTTGAAGCTACATGAAGTTGGCCAGCTGTGTCAAAGAACCTTTGAATGTGAGATTGAATGAATTGCCCCTGGCAGCATGCAGCTGGACAAACTGTTCAAGTTTTTGACATGCAATATTGCAGTGTGCCATGATGCACGTTATTGGAGTGGTCAAGTTTGTTACCAGGTCTGCGACTGAGTAGGGCTGGCTGTCACCTCTGATGACTCACTCGGAGTGTACTGTTACCCTTCTCTGATTTATTATAAGTGTGCAAGCAAGTCTAGACAGATCTGCAGCTGCTATGCCGCAGCAGCTGCTTGTAAAGTTCATCGCCCAAGTCTGTATCCTGTGTAAGAGCATGGAGCAGCCATTGGGGTTGTCTCATGAGGCAATTTGCACATGCGTTACATTCATGTGCCGCCGACCCTGCGGGGCCGGGCCTGGGTAGCACCAGGTGCTAAGCACTGCTGGGTGGCACCTCCAAGTTCAATTACCAAGTTGGTAGTACCCGGGTCACTCTGGCGGTCGCATGGAATTGTTGGCCACAGGTCTGCATGCAGTCCATCACTGACTGCAACGTCAACCCTTTGCCAAGTAGTGCATGTACATTTTCTTTACCCCCACACTGCTCCGTACTTATTTCCAGCCTGGCAGGTCTGAGGGTCCAGGGCTGACGTGGCATGGAGGGCACGGAGCGTCGCAGATAATCAAGGTGGCATTTGAACAACTCTCGAGGCATTTGCAAGTCATCACGGTGGTAACATTATTTCATCTTCTTCGCAGATCACATTTACAAAGGAGTAGTCCTGCTAACTCGCCGTTATAGATTTACTCTCCTCAGATCCCCTTCGCTGCAGCGAATATATGTCCATTTGACATGAAGGACGTAAGATTACCAGGTATATAAAGTAAATCGGCAGGCGCTTTGACATCCTTCGATGATACAAAATCAAGGCTAAAGCCAGCTATTGGACTTCAGCTTCTTTGCAGCATCATCTGTGAAGGAAGCAGCACGAGCATGCTTTATATCTGGACGTGATATTGTGATGTAAAAACAGCCGCAACACAGATCGAGCGTAGATTTATCATCTGGTAGCTGAGGAGCTGCTACTGCTTTGGCACCAGACACAGCTTCAGTTGGTAAAATTGTAGAATAACCCAGAATCTGGGAGGTTGACTATCAGAGGTTGAAGCCCTGGAGGGCCCCATCTTGCACCCGAGCGGCACGGATCCTCTGGTCCTGTCAGCTGACCAAGCAAAGGGGCTGGCGCTGGCATGCAGCTCTGCAGTGTTCATCGGAACCAGCTTCATCATCAAGAAGAAGGGCCTGAGGGTTGCAGGAGCGAATGGAGTCCGAGCAGGTTGCCATCTCCTTCCTTTCGATTGGCAGCCAGTGCACACAGCCGTTCCTCTGATGCAAAGAATTTGCTGTGACCTGGCTGTCGTGATGTGGTTGCATCGCATGAAGAAGGAGGCCTTCAATTGTAACTGAGCTGAACTGGTGTTCAGGCATCGGCGGCTATTCATATCTTGTAGAGCCCCTATGGTGGGCGGGCATGCTGACCATGGTGGTGGGGGAGGTTGCAAACTTTGCAGCCTATGCCTTTGCTCCTGCCATCCTTGTCACACCCCTTGGAGCGCTCAGCATCATTGTCAGGTAGCCCCCAAAACAGAGAAAAAGTAACCTTCGCAATTTATCACCTGGAGGAAAATCTTGTGATTTGTGTGGTGCACTGACCGCTGTTTACACCGCTGTCTGTGCCCTTGCAGTGCTGTGCTGGCGCACATCATGCTGAATGAGAGGCTCAACATTTTCGGCATCCTCGGCTGCGTGCTGTGCATCGTGGGCAGTATGACGATTGTGCTGCATGCACCAGAGGAGCGAGAAATCACCTCCCTGCTGCAAGTCTGGAATATGGCCCTGAAACCGGGTGGGATGCATAGAGTGTTAAATTGAGGACTTCTTCTCTTGTTTCTTCTTTCAGATTCTTTTTTGAGTTTCTCGGAGGATTACATTGAATTTGGATGTGCGCAGGCTTTCTGCTGTATTGTGTGGCCGCCACTGCGGTCATCTTGTACCTTATAGTCTCAGTTGCTCCCACCCATGGCAACAGCAACATTTTTGTGTACCTGGCGATATGCTCGCTCGTGGGATCATTGTCTGTGATGAGCGTCAAGGTGACCAGACCTGCTCTTTATCCCTGCTTGCCAAGCTGACACCATGGCCAGTGCTCCTGTCTTGCCGCAACATAATAACCATGTTCAGTCAGACACACTTGGCTGACCTGTTGTTTTCCTGCTGTCCAGGCCCTAGGCATTGCCTTGAAGCTCACATTTCAGGGCCAGAATCAATTCCTGTACATAGAGACCTATTTCTGCATTCTGGTGAGTTCTTTCATCTCTGTGTCGGGATCGAGGTCATGTCTGTGTGTCTTTGAGTGGAAATGCAACACAATGCCCAGGTTGGTGACCAGCTACTGATGCTGTTCAGGTGGTGGGAGTGTGTGTGATCACACAAGTAAATTATCTTAACAGAGCGTTGGACATGTTCAATACGGCTATAGTATCGCCGATATACTATGTGATGTTCACACTGTTCACGATCACGGCTTCCCTTATAATGTTTCAGGTACCTCTCTTACTGCAACTTGCCAGCTTTGTGAGCATCCATATATTATCGAGGAGAGTATTAGAGAAACAGGCATGCATGATGACTGGCGCTGTTGTGCTGGATTGCAGGAGCCTCAGACAGGCACTCAGATTATGACAGAAGGCTGTGGATTTACAACCATTGTCATTGGCACCTTTCTGCTGCATTCCACAAGGGAGCTTGATATATCACTGAGTGAGTCCAGCCGCCAGTATATGTCTTTATCTATATCTTGCATGATGCCTTCTGAGGCTTTTGGAAGGCTGCTATGGGGAGTGAGTGTGCCTCTGCAATGCAGGTGATTTGACGCAGTTGCTGAGGGCGCCCCCACCAGGGACTCAGAGTGCAGTGCGCTTCAGTGCCATGGAGATGGGCAGACTGCAGTGAGAGCATTTGCAGGCTGTGGATGAATTAGGCGGGAGGGACAATTGTGCTCCATCCAAGACTGTTCCTCTGGCTAGTGGCTATCCACAGTCTTGAAGTTAGTGGGATATTATTTCTAAGCACTCCTATTTTGAGATCGACAGCAGCGATTTGTGACACGTGCTTTGATATTGACATTTGCAGGCTGCTGATAACCAGTCTGTAGGTGATCATGATCTCATTGGCGCAGCTCTTGCATGCAACTTGATTAACTCATGACTCGGTGTAACTTCTGGATCGAGGAGATTAGGATTTCCATTACAGCTATCTTGATAGCATGCTGACACACACAATTGCCAATGATTTACGAGGCCTTGCCAAGGCTTGCATGCACTCACTGGGCAGGCTGCCACCCTGATTCATGATGTGATGATCTCCGCGATCATTGATCAATGCATGATGGCATGCACAGGTGTCACATGTGTGACTAGCTAGGTATGACAGGCTGCAAGCAATCATGCAGCATGTGCTGCTAATCTTCAAGACTTACCAGTTCGGAATCTATCTTCGATCGAGCGCAAGATTTGATGGGCAGAACAAGACAGATCTCCAACGTTCGAAGCCAACACTGCAGTGTCAGGGGTCCAGTATGCCATGATCACCCGGTGTGTGTGGGGGTGGCAGCTCCATCTTTTCACAAGCCAGACTCTGACTCTTTGGCACCATAACCCATAGCACCAGTACAAACGTGCAAGCGTGTTCATATGCCAAAGGAGCAAGGACAATCTGCAATTTGTGTGCCTTCCTGAACTGCCCTTGGTGCTCGAACGTCAGCGAGGCACCATAAGCGCCCGGCACAAGTGCACGATTTACATTTTGCAAGGGGCGCTTGCCAGCAGAACTTCTGACGATGTGCAAAACTGAAACCCTCATGTACATTCTTTCAATGAGATGGCTCCTTGAAAAGCTGGCAGGTGTTACCTATAGCTGTAATGTCCTTAGGGGTGCTGTGTCAAAATCTGCTCTTGAACGTCTGTCTCCAAACAGTAACTCCGGCGCCACAACATGAAACAAAACGTGAGGCACAAGGTTTCTGATCTTGCCAATTATCAAACAACGATGCTTGCTGCAAGTGTGTCAGCTCCCATTAACATCCATAAGCCCTGTCGGGCAGTCCACAGTCCTGGTAAAAACAGTCTCATATGCTGGCAGTAGCAGGGCAGCAAAGGCCCCAGAGCTTGCAGGGTCCCTCAAAAGCGGTACTATACAATCATTGGCACAAGTCATCTGGTGGCTCCTCTCAGACTCTCAGAACAGGTCATCCTGCCTGGTGGGCAGCCCGCGGCGACCAGGGAAGTCTGAATCTTCGTTTCTATCAGGCTCTGCCCAGAACGAAGGACCAGCGCCATACATGCTCCCATGAGCGCCATGCTGGTAGTAGGAGCTTCCGTAAGCGGTGTGGGGCCCCTCTAGATACATCGCCCTCGGAGCTGTCTGGACCGCATGGGACAGCAGCGGGTTTTCCCCGGTGAGGTACGTGGCAGCGGCAGGAGAATTGTCTCCCTGACGGCCGCGGCGGCTGCCCACGGTCTGCCACTCAGTCTCCTCCTGCCGGCACCCACAGAGGCGGCCCTCACACTTTGCTGCAGGTCAAGGTCTCAGAGCTCAGAGATGGGCAGCAGCCGAAATGCAAGTCTTCCATCCAGTGCAGAGCAATCAGGGATGCAATGATGGTACAACAAGAAGGCTAGCTTGGAGCGCCTGGTGCACAACAAATTTGCGCAGGGCTGGCGGCGCGGTGGCGGCCGCCGGCTGCGCCAGGAGCGGGGCTGCAGGCAATCCCAGATCCGCAGCAATAGGATCCACACCTCGTTCCTGCACAATGTTCCTGCTTAGATGAGATGCCTCAGAGAAGAGATGGGAGGGCGCCATTGTTGTGAGGGTAGCAGTAGTGCCATGGGGGCTGCATAGCGTGAGCAACGCAAGCTACCTTCAAGATGTCCTCACGCAGCCGAGTCGCGCCGAAGATGCTGGAGTTGCGCCCTTGCTGGTCGCTCAGCGGCTTGCTGCGAGGCTGCAGTTGCAGGCGCGGCCTGTGCCCACCTGCTTCCGCCGCAGGCTGACTGCCGGAGCCCTCGGGCAGCGGCTTTGATCGCGGCTTCAAGTTCAGACGCGGCCGCTCTGTGCTGACCGGTATCGCACCTCCTGAACCAACCAAATGCAGTCAATCATAACATGTGCAGGTCTTCTTGCACTGGACCATTTGACATAGTATAGTATTGACATCCTGAAGGGGGCGTGAAAGGATCTGCTCTGTGCGCACCGTATGTGGCTGATGGGCGCCAACTCTGCCCAGGCGAGTCTGGCTGCGCAGCCTGTGCGGGCTTCTCAGGAGGGGTAGGAGGTGCCAGCTGCCTGACATCATAGTGAAAGCTGTCCTCCTCTCGCGCATCTTTGGCCAGCGCGTCCTGGACATCAGGCTTCCTGCAGGAACAAGAAGTCAAAGTTTTGAAGACAAACCAGAACCGATGCCTGCAATCCTGCGCCACGTGCCCCATTCAAGCTGGCTTGCTACAGATGTGGTAAGCTCAATGACTGACTGCACACCTGGGATGCCCTGATTGCTCACTCCAGCCCTGCAGCGCCTGCCCTGCGGCAGCAATCATGCTAGGCGGATTGCGCGGTGGCGGTGGAGGCTGCCTATACGCTGCGTAGCCTGAGGCTCGCGTATCGCCAGAGCCCATTGAGCCGAAGCTGCTGCTGGGCGAGTGCCTCCACCCTTGCCCAGCATAGTCATCATGGAAGCCACCCTTCGGCTGCTGGGGCAGCCATATGCTGCGCTCAGAGCCTCCGAGCCCCATTGGCCCAGGCGAGTGGAGCATAGGCTGCGAGGGAAAGCCGTTCCCCTTGAAAGGAGAGCCATTCGTGGAGTCATAGCCAGGCCCCAGCGACATGTCAGAGAAGCGGCTCTCCACTGACTCCACATCGGTGCTGTCAAGGCATCCTCTGCATTTTTGCAAAGGTAACGTGATCCTCAGCCACCCTAGATCAGTGCCGGTAAGCGCGTCTACCAACAGACAGCACTATTTTGTCCCTGCTGGAAGCGTACCCATTCTTTGTCATTCCAGGCTTGCTCGGCAGACGGTTCTCAAAAGGTGCCTGTCCTGGGGCTTTGTCGTAGAAGTCCTTCAGAGTCATTGATGTGTTCTTCACCCTCTTGGCCATATCCTGCGACACCCACAAGTGCTCTAGGAAAGCATAGAGCAAAACCGAAAGTGGGACACCAACAAGCAACCACTTGTTGATCTGACATGGTCGTAAGAATACTAACAGCAAAGGAAACATCTCTGTCCCAGAAATGCTGAATAAATGTCGTCGTGTTTAGCTGTTTCTTTCCCTCCTAAATGCGAGTGATTTTTGCATTCGATGCCAGGTCCCATGCGAGGGTAGATCGACGTATATATGATCAACGAAGCACATTTCTACCTGAATTAAGTGAAGAGGACTTAGAGGCTATCTTGTGAAAGTCAACCCCTGTCCCGCAAGAATGGCGGGTATCGGGAATAAGCTTGCGACAGAACGAGAAACTTGAGATACGCGATCAAAGTAGAGTTTCGCTACAATATAAACGCGAGAACCTGTTGATCTCCAAAAGCACTGCAAATTTGCCGGGAACCACACTTCTGAATGGATCTGGCACAGCTCACCTTGCTTGGGCTTGATCTGGGCTCGGCGACGCGTGTACGCGTGATCCCGCAGGAAGATTGATCTTTGGAAGGTTGTCGGGGGAGTAAGCTCTGTTTCGGAGTGCATCAAAGCAGAGCTCCCTCGACGTGCTTCGTAGGATTCACCACCCTGGAGATATTAAACCTGCAGGCCCTAGGCCTAGGGAGATGATGATGATAATTAAACGAAGCACAGCACTCAGTCAGAATTCCTCGGATAGAACAGATTCTTCCCCGGGGACCCACAAAAGTGGGTTTTGGCACACATTGCGTGTATTATACGATTTCTGGAAGGACAGAATCTGTGATGGACAAGTCGGTGCCTTCTGAGTATCTTGCATAAATCCAGTAGCTGAAGATACGGGCAGAATGGGAGGCAGAAAGAGGAAAGTGGCGGTGGACGATGAGGACTGGCTGGAAAATCTTGAAGCCGTTGACGAAGCTGCAGCAAGCCAGAGCAAGAAGAAGAGGGGGTCCAAGAAAGACAAGAAAGAGAGTGCTGTAGAAAAGAGAATGGATGCATTTGGCAACACTGTACGTTACTCAGCATCTGCCAACCAAAAGATAAGAGACAGGATATTCCGCGCTCTTCCAGGTACATTTCAGCTCCCTCTGGTGCATGGTCTCTCCTAGCTTTGCTAGTACCGTGCTTCTCCCTTAACAAGATCATCCCCGAAATCAGACATGCCAATGAAGCAGCTGTGCTCGCTACTGACGTGACGTTGTCTTACTTCCATGCAGGATCCGGGCACCGCATGTTCATGCTGGATCGGAAGACCATTGCTCCTCTGGGCAGCGAGGGTGGCCCGATAGAAGAATTTGCCGTTCTGGGAGCGACCGCCAATGGTGCAGTGCTCCCTCATCTGAATATAAATTCCGTATACAAAAAAGTCATGCAGGTGTTGGACCTGAAGCCCTCCCACTGTACTCATTGGGGCGTTGTTGGACGCAGTGTATCAAGTGCGCGTGGGCCGGCACCCTCACTGCACCTGTCCAGACGCCGTCAAGGGCAACTTGTGCAAGCACTACTTGTACGTGATGATCCGAGTGCTGCGCCTGGACCAGAATGACCCCCTTGTCTGGCAGCGCGCCCTGCTCACCTCGGAAGCCAATGAGGTGGCTATCTGCTCTCCAATTAAGCATCTTACCTGGAAAACTAGTGCTCCAGCGTGTACTTGTTCAAGAGCACTTCTACACGGAAGAGGAAGCATTATCTTTGTTGCAGTCCCAGGGCATCATCCTGCTCCAGCACCATATTTGTCTTGAGCGGAGCTTAGATTGCTCAAGTTAGTGTGCCATCCAGGTGCTGAGCGGGGCAAGGAGCACAAACAGGGTGGATGGCGTGATGGCAGCGGCGGCGGTGTGCACGGCGTACAAACGCGCCGCCGTTGGGAGCGCCGGCGAGGAGCCGGAGGCGGCATCAGCGCCGCCCGCTGGTCGGCCCATTGAGGGCGACTGCCCCATCTGTTTCGACGATTTGCAGCCTGGCGGCACTACCCCAGCGGTGAGCCAGACACCACTGTATACCTGTCTCTGTTGCCCTACTTCTCATCTGATTCCCTTCAATGCTACCCCAGCTCGAGGCCCAGAGCGCCACATTATTACTAATGGGCAGCAGCAATGCCCAGAGGGAGACATAAAGAGACAACCTACATTGTATAAAAAAGAGGGAGGCGCAGAGAGACACATTACATGCTCAGAGTGGTAGTGACGGGGTGTGCTATGCGCAGACGAGGGTGGTGACATGCGACACATGCGGCAACCACGCGCACGAGGAGTGCTTCCGGAAGTGGACAGCGCAGAAGAAGGCGGCCCACCAGAGCGTCACCTGCGTCTACTGCAGGGCGCCCTGGCCGGAGCCGCCCGCAGCTGCCGGCACTGACAGCGGCGCCTACATCAACCTCAAGGCACTCTCTGCGGTACGACCATCCCCATCATGTCCCCTGTTGGACATAGGATTGCCTGTACCAGCTGGCAAATTGTCTCTCCAATTTTGCTTGGACGAGGTTGCTTTTTCTGAGCCCTGTGATGTGGTGGACAGGAGCACAGAGGCGTGGACACCTCCTTGGAGGGCCTGTATGGAGAGACTGCCCGATGGATCCGATACAGATCTTCCTGAGCAGGCGCCTGAGAAAACGGCAGGTTTTGGAGGGTGCACATAGGATGGCTGCAGGTTGGACACCTTTGGCACCGTTCATGTCATGGCAGTCTCACTTATTGTTGCAGGCGTTGAATGCTTGACTTGCCGCTGTGGCCATGCCTCGCCATCATGATGACCAATGACCACATGGCGAGATGGTCAGCTATTGAGAGCCGTGGAAAGAGCTGACCATCTGTCCAACTGGATGAGTGTACATGACATTCTCAGTGTACATAATTGTAGATGTCAGTGTAGACCTTGTTCATTGCTATCAGCGCATCCACACCTGCAAGCAAGGTTGCAACCAAATTGGCACGTTTTGCACATTCAGTTAGAATTTGAGTCATCACTTGAGCCTCAGTGAGTTCAAATTCTACCTATCTGCAAGCGGCAGTATGACGCATGCGCAACAGGAACTGTGGATGTAGAGAAGTCACCATGACCGGCCTGGGTGAACGTTATTCGCACGTGAGACCTGCAGGATTGTGAATACGGTAGAGCGATTGACATTCCCCAGCTGCAGCCAACGTATTTTTTGTAAGCATGCTGCCGCATGCGCCATCAACGATTGCGCCCGGCGGCATTGATATTGCGGCCGCCGCATGCCATGCATTACAATTGTTTCTTCACCCTGCAAAATATCTGGAAACCCACTGTAAAATTCTGTGGGAGTTTAAAGCACTCAATAAGGAGCATGTCCTGCTCAAATTCCTGCACAACACCTTTCCAGCACCATGCCGGGCAGCTCTCAGGGCATCCTAGGCCTTGCTGCATACTTGGACCTAGGAAGCATGCCTGGTCAGCCACGTGTTCTAGGGCTTTCCACGCTGGCTTTTGGGCTAGGACGATCTGGGATGTCAATGCCATCAAACTCACGTTCTGGACGACACCTTTGGCTGTCTGACTCGTTGTCGTGATGGATCAGCTGGATCACGCAACTGCAACAAATATTTTTGTCAATGTCGAACCTGCAGATGTCGCAAGAATGAGGGCAGTATGTCGTGGTTGGGCAGAAGTCATCCAACAGGCACAGGTGTGAGATGAAAGATGTCATTGCCCGCCTCACGATCTGGGCAACTTCTCTGATCGCTATCGGTACTGAAATGACACTGGTGATGGTCAGGTGGCAAGAGCAGTGATGAAGAAAACATGGGGCATTTCTGACCTTCTGGGTGTGCCAAGAAATCTAAACATGTACCTGGTGAGCGTCACAAACAGTATCACTTCCACAACCACCTCTGGTCACAGCAACGTCCTGGGCATCAGGCTGGAGCTTATTCATGGTTGAGTTTACAAAGCCTCCTTATTTTAGGGATGTCGTGCCATGACACATCTGTGGTGAGCTTATGTGTGTTCCTTCGTGTCGCAGATAGCTGGATTGTCTCACTTTGCAATCCAGCACAGGTGTCGGCACTGGGAATCACTGACCAGCGTTGCAGTGCAATACAACGTGGAGGTCACAGCGATCAGAGTCCTGAACAACTTTATCACTGAGCACTCATTGCGTTCGAGGCAGTTTGTATATGTCCCAGGTGAGGCTTCGATCATCATGACATCACACTCTCTACTGTCTTGAAAGAGGTACTAGAAATGCCAGGGATATTGTGCATGCAACTGCTGACATTGCTCAACCTTGATCCTTGGTGCCTGCAGTTCAGCAGCATCAGATACACGGCAAGGCCGCGCGCTTCATCTATGACAGAATTGTGGACAGGGATCTCATAATCATCGCAGATGACATAAATTCATTGCCGGCAGAGGCACCACAGTCTGAGAAGCGCCAAGTTGCCAACACGGAGGACGCTGTTCACAAGATGAGCCAGTTACTGGGCAGAGGTGAGGCATGGCATGTGGCAATTGTGAGAATCAAAGGCAGTCTCCAGGTGCTGAGCGCAAAATTATGGGGCGTGACCTTAAGCTCTCTTCTTTGTGCCTGGTGTTAGGGCTGCGCATTGATGAGAACACAGCCAAATATTACTTGGCAGATGCGGGCGGCGACCTGAAAAAGGCAATCAAGCTGTTTGGTGAGCACGCCATCGTCCTGCTGGAGGACACACCCTGAAATCATGCATAAAGGATGCTGGGCCCCCTGGCCTGATCAAGGCCTGTCTTCGTCCCTGCTCAGGGCGCGCCACTTAGAGATCATCTGGTCCTGAAGGTTGCTGGTATCTTGTAGAGGCATGATGCTTTAGAACCACACATGCTCGCTCTACTAAATTTCCGACCTATTTCTAGGTCTGCGACAGTCCCACCAAGCAATCTTGGAATGCTTGGGTGCAGAGGAGGACAAACGATGGGAGCACTATGGACGTTGAGCATACTTTTAGGAGCTGAGCAGCAACGGTATTCTTTGCAGAAGTCATCTCAACCATCACCGGAGTCACGTCACTTGACATTCGTGCTGGCTGAGGACGACTGACTTGATGTTGCTATTCTTTCATGTACACTAACAACAATGCAACACATGCTGGGTGAGAGCTCTCGATTGCGGCAATACCTTCTTTGATCTAGTGTCCCTCTCTTCGGTTGCAGAAATCTTAGAGGAGGGACGCAGTGTTAACCTGTAGAATGTATCATTTGTATACTAAAAGCTGTGTTTGGCGCGGGAATTCGACCAGGCAGATTTTACCATCACTGTTGCGAGAAGCACAAGCAGCGCCATTGAGGCAGGGGTGTCCACATGTTGTCTGAGAGTTGGTACTGCATCCCTTTGATGCACACCAGATGTATATTGCTTCTCATAATCACGAAAAGATTGGTATAGTTGAGGTTGGAGGCCTACAGCGCTAGCTAGGCTGTAGCAAAGATTGTTTAGGGAAGGTATGATTGTTATACGCATGGCCAATTTTGAAGCACTACGGTACATCAATACTTCCCAGAGGCATCAGAACCGTGACTTTTGCCACTCGCGCTGGCGTGCCTCCATTATGCAGGCTGCCACGTGACGGCCCAGGACCCTGTACAGATAACATGTGGGCCCTGCACACAGCTTCAAGTTGGCTTCAATTGAGGCTTTGCAAAATGGGAACTTCCTTAGGATGCTTCATGAAGGGAACGGTGCCGATATCATGAGCTCAGCTCAGCTACCTCGAATACATGCATGCATCACTGTGCAGGATAAACAGAGGAGGTGAGAAATCACCAATCCACTGCTTGATTATTCATTTCTGCCACAGACGCTCCTCATGGCACCTTCCCAATTAACCCCATCACATGGCAGGCCAGAATCACATGTCACATGTGTGCCCGTGCAGGCCCAAAAAGAATACACCTTTTCCTAGTAAGCCTCTGTTGCAGGTCTTTTCTTACGGCTTTGTTGCAGAGAAAAGCGTGTCATATCAGAGACACGATCGCGCGAGGCACCTTTTTTAGGTTGTTTGGAAGTGAACATAATTGAGCTTACGATAGGTGGGGCAGGCATTCATGCCACTCATTTTTTCCGGGGATCTTAACTTTTAGGGCATCACCTGCTGTTACGAGTGGCTTAAGCCCCAGTCCACAGCCTTGAAGGAGCAGGGGCTAGTCGTTTTCCGGGGTTGTGGGGCTGGAGACAAGGAAGACTTTGCAGGTTGCGGGTAGAGGTGAGCGATTAGACACATCAATTATAGGAATTGATTTGCCAGACTATGCTGGTGAAGGTCATCTTCTATGGTGCCGAGCCACGTCTTGTTCATTTGGCTGCTTTGGTTACACTTCCCCTGTGCAGCCAACACATGCAGTAAAATGTGCGCAGGGCTCGTGGAGTGAAGAAGACAGAATTACTGAAGCCATCCACGTGCTGATTTTGACGGCCAAGGAAAAGCAGACATGGAAAGGTTGACTAAGCTCTGATTCCTCTAATCTGGAGGAACGCGCTGAATATCTTTTGGCGTGGAGGAATGGTGCCTGACTAACCTGGTGAGAACATTTGTTGAAGAGTGAGGACGACATGTGGAGAATAGTGTATCCGTGGCACGTAAAACACACGACCTTTTGTTTCCTGCTGAGTGAGTATTTGTGCCTGCAGCCCTTCTCCTAATCTTCCTGATTGATGCAGGCACGTCCATTATGCAACCATGGTGCACAGCAAGGAGAAATTGGCTCCTTTGCTACTGCTCTCTGATCACACTAAGCCTTCTGTCAGACGCTGAAGCTACACGGGCACATGGGAGGCGGCAGTTGGATGGTAAGTTTGATATCTGCTTCACCTACATCACTCCATACGTCAGGGCTATCCTGAACTGGCTTGGTGACCATTTGTGTGCAGACGCCATTCAAATGGTCAAAGGGAGTGGATCGTTGTCTGCCTCCGGAGTGACCAGGGCCTACTTGAAAAATTTGACGGCTGCATCTGAAATTCCAATTATATATGTGTATGATGCCGTTGGAGATACTCAAGGTGAGCAGATCTTGATCAAGGCTGTGCTGTTCAAATAACTGTTTGCATAACTTATGATGTTCCTCGGAGGCCAGCAGGATGTTTGGTGGAAGAGGGGTGTTTGGTGGAAGACTTCTTTCCTGCAAATGACATAAGGCTGAGCAGGTGAAAATTGTGTGCAGGTCAGGAGAATTTTGTTGCAAAAACATACGATTATGTGGTATCTGATATGGCCCTCACGTATGCCCAATATAAGGCTTGCAACAGGTGCGGCTGGCCATAGAACTTCCATGTGTCTCTCTCTGACCTTGTCATCTGTCAAGAGTTTCGTGTTAGCTGGTCATAGAGCTGAGCCCAAATATCTGCTGTTGCAGGCCAGTCATGCAGGTACCTTTTGCCGTGAATGCACTGGGAGCAGCTCATACGATACCTGGTGACTCTTCCACTCTTGGACCAGCCGAGTTTCAGCGGGCAGTGAATGCTCATTGATGAACAGATTGTGCACCTATCAAAAGTTTGTTGTGACACCTTGAATGACATGCCGGCGTGTTTGACATGGCAGGTATTGCAAACGGTGATTTGCACTTGGATGCCTTGACTCTTGCTGGCATGTGGCAGTGCAACATCACAAGATGGGATGACCCGGCTATTGTGGCATTGAACCCAAACTTGACGTGAGCCGCTGCACTGCCGCCAAACTGCTGTGCATGCTTGTGCTGAGGAGCCAGCTGGCCTGTAAAGTAGCAGTGCAACAACTAACAGTAGGTCCATCCTCATAATGCGATTAGTTGGACCTCAAATGGGTGTTCTGGTGCTTGCAGAATGCCTCCAATGCCCATTAAGCAGGTCGCCCGTGGTGATCGAGCCACTGCCACTTGGCTTCTTACTTCCTTTCTGGACGCGGCGCAAGTTGGCTGGGCTTTAGGGGTCGCTAAAGCAGTCAACTGGCCCCCATGTGTCCATCGGGTGAAGGGAGTGCAGGAGGTCCTGGACTATCTAAATGCCACTGAATACGCAGCTGGGTAAGTGCAGCCATGCCTTGGCAGTACTGTATCTGCTTAAGTTAATCCCTACTTGCAAATATTTGGGTGCCTGCAGGTACATCACAATCTGTAAGCTGTGGGTTGTGCAATGTGACCTGGCCTGATTTGTTGTCCCTGGTGCAGGATGGTCCAATACGTCCTTGCAGAGAATCAGCAAACTCCGTACGCAACTATTCTGAACAAGGCTGGCTCATGGATTTTGCCAAGCCAAGCCAATTTTAGGGATGCATCATCGGAGATGCAGTTCCCAACTACTACTCTCAGCCCTGACTGGGTCAAGGTTGTCTTGGGAAACTCATGTAAGTCTGACGTGCTTGACTTTATCTGAGTGAGGTCTCCCATGAATGCACACTTGGCATAATTATATCTCCTTATTGTCTGGGACTTTGTGCATCAATCCATAGGCAACGCAATTATCTTCAGAACTCTTTTGAACAAGTGTGCATTTTGTGCTGCAGTGGATCCGCATGCCTATCCATTGTCAGGCCTGGAGTTCATCGTTGTCAGCCAGAACGCCAAGTACATGGGTGTGTTTACAGTCACTTCCCTTCTGTGCTCCACATTCCTTGATGTACCTGCATCCGCATTGAGCTGTGCCAGTAGCGTCTGGCTGATACGTGTAATCTTCCTTCTGCCTGCAGGGTTTCCAGAGGGACGACTTCTGAGGGACTTGACATTCAACATGCTCACCCCCGGATTCCAGGACTTGCTTCGTAAATATCGCTATGCGCCAATTCCCCTGGGGGTAAGACAGATTTAGAGCCGCTGTGGACTTCAAAAGCTTATTTTTTTTGTGTTGCTGTGACCTGCTCATTACCTCCTTTCTTTGCATCACTATAATTTGGCTTCGGGGATTGTCCTTTCTAATCTGTGGAGCTCGTGGTGCAGTTGAGATCCCTATACGGCGAATCGAACCTCATGATGACAGCTGCAAACGAGAACGACACTGGACTGGATGCTAATGGAAGTAAGGACTCTGGGAATCTCTCAGACCCAGGATGATATTCTCAATCTTAACATGTAGCACAGCACCAGGCCTGGAAAGTTGGCTTGTGCGCACTGCATCATCTGACATCCCACATGCGCCTGTGCAGATCCCCTCCCTGTGGGTGGTGCACCGGGTGCTGCATCGGCGGGGAGCTCTAGGTTCAAGTGGTGGATGGGCCTGATCATCGCTCTGGTTGTGGCCGCGGCGCTGCTGGCTCTTGGGACGTACCTGATCATGAGCCGCAGAAGGAAGAAGCTGCAGGCAGCTCAGGTGAGTCCCTGCTGTCGGCATGGCACGGGTCCTGCTCTGACATCCCTTTCAAATGTGTGCAAGATGAGTAACTATACTGCACACCTGCATGCATACGTGTGGCAGTTTCGGTTCCAGATCAGAGTGCTGAATAGCATGTGTTGGGAGCAGGGGAAGCACCGCGATCTTGACAGTGCAGGGAATGGCTGCCTCAATGGGGGCTCAAGCCTCCAGAATGGCACGGTGAGCTCTGCGTGATATATGCCTGCTGACGGAATCAGACACGCTGTATCTTCCGAATGGTACCTGGGATTTTCAAATTAAATTGTTTGATCAGTGAAGGTGTCTTTATTGCAGGGGTCATCTGGCAGGCAGAGAGGCACGGTGGGCTCCCTGGAGAGTGCGGAGCTCATATCTGAGCAGGCGGACAAGAAGGATGACACGCCCAGCACGCAGGAGCTGGACCTGTCAGCCCCCAACAGCGCCAGCGGCTCAGGCAGCAGGGAAGGAGTGGATAGGCTGGCGTCTAGGGGAACACCGGGCACAGGTAAGGCTGCTCACCAGCCACTCAAATTGATCCACTTTTTCCAGCCCTGATCTGCCAAACCTACGATTCAAATACTGCCATGTGCAGAACTTGGCAGGGTGCATTGGTGGAGGCTGATGAGGACACGTTAAGCAAGGGTTCACTTGCATGCGCAATCAATCGTGGTCTGACGTTTCTCTTGCTTGGTGTCAGGGACTCCCGGGACGCGGAGTGCAGGGAAGGAGAGCGCGCTGCTGGGAATCCAGGACCTGCTGCGGCATCGCTCTGAGGTGGGGCTGGAGGCGCTGGAGCTGGGGCCCCTCATAGGCCGGGGGTCCTTTGGACGCGTGTACAAAGGTAGGGGCTGCTTTGCCATGTCATCTGTGCACACCTGCTTTTGCAAGCAAAGTCATCTCAACAAGTCTGCACGGATTGCTCATGCTCGGGAATGCAGTCCCAAGATCTCATGAGTATGAACGATATTGATGGTGCCTGCAGGGCGGTGGAGAGCTGGAACCGTGGCTGTCAAAGTCATCAACCATGACAAGCACGTGGGCAACAACTTTGACGCCCTGCGCGAGTCGGTGCTCTGCTCCAACATCCAGCATCCCAATGTGGTCATGACCTACAAGGTCAGCACATGGAGCGCGTCGAGTCTCCTTTTTCATCTGTAAGTGCTGCAGCAAGTCCCTTCCCTCTGCCCTCATCACTCAGTACCAACACTACCGTCTGGAGTGCAGGTGCACACCGTCACACAGAACCAGACAGAGGCGGTGCACAACAGCGTAGGCCTAGCCAACCGCCCGTCTGGCTCAGGCAGCAGCTCTCCGGCTGTGGTCCTGACAATCAACAGTGCGGATGGCGAGCGGGTGCTGGCTGACCAGCTGCTGGAGACATGGATGCTTCTAGAGTACTGTGACCAGGGCAACTTGGAGGCTGCTGCCAGAGAGTCGCGCTTCAAGAACGATTTTGTGAGCTGCTTGCCCAAAGAAGCAGATGACCTTTGTGTACATGAAAAGAAACCACAGTCTCTTCATTCAAAGTGCCATCAACGTGCCAGCTTGAGCTCCTTTTGGGCATGCCATGTTCCATGCGCCTCAACAGTTTGTTATTCTTCTGCATCCCAGGGCAGCTTATCAGCGATGAAGAGTGTTCTTTGCTCTGCAGGCGTCCATATACTTGTGCCTGATGGACATAGCGAGCGGCATGGACTACCTGCACTCCCTTGGGGTGTTGCATGGGGATGTGAAGGGTGCCAATGTGCTCCTAAAGACCACTGCGCCCACCGCATACGATCCGCGCGGTTTTGTGTGCAAGGTGGCTCGCCTGACAATGCCTGTCATATCGAGAAAGAAGTGCTGAAGCATTTTGGATGCAGCCTGCTCTGACCATCTTCTGAATGCTTGCACGCTGTTGTGCAGATGGCGGACTTTGGCCTGTCGCGCGTCTTGGAGAGCGATGCCACTCATGTGTCTACCTTCACCTATGGTGCGCTCCATGACTCTGCTGAAAGCTTGGCGCTTCCTGTCCCATCTTTGCCTCACTTCCGGGAGTCGATTGTGCAAGAATTGCATTTGTGTTTTCACAAACATAAGTTCTGTTTAAATGAGTGCCTGCCTTCATTACAGGGACTGCAGCCTACATGGCTCCAGAGCTGCTGCAGAAGGGCAAGATGACGAGGGCTGCAGATGTGTACAGCTTTGCCATGATCATGGTGGAGCTGTTCACGTGCAAGCGGCTGTTTGAGGGTCTCGCGCAGCAGCAGGTACACAGCCCACCCAGCACCATTTCTACTTACAGTCATTGTCTGGTCACCAGCATGTGTCTTGACAGTGCGGCAAACCTCGATTGGCCTGTACCTTTTTATCCGGCCAAAGTTGAGCAGTACCTTTCCCCTGGTCTGGGAGCACCTTTCTGCCTGGTCCATGGGAGTGGAGTACCTCTCCCACTCTCTGACTGGTTGATGGGAGGTTGTTTGATCTCAATGGGAATGCGGTACCTCGCTGACGCTTTGACTGGTCGCTGGGAGCTGGGAGGTGTTTGATCTGGTGCATGTGGCGGTGCAGATCATGTACCAGGTATTTTCGGGGCAGAAGCCGCCGCTGAATAAGGACGGCATGCCCAAGGCATATGAGGCCTTGATCGAGGACTGCTGGCACGACAGCCCCGACGAGCGGCCGACCTTTGCAGCCATCCTGCAGCGCCTACGGGAGATGTATGCGCAGGAGCGCCAGCGGCTTTTTTCTCTCAGTCAGTCCAATGGAGCAGCCGCCAGTTAGCAGGCGTCGCCCTGAGCCCCTAGCCACGCTCTAGAGGGACCCACATTTATGCTAGCTCGCTGCATGCACCGCTCTACGGTGTGAGAGATGCGCGTGTCCGCTGTGCTGGACAGTTATTACTCTGGAGGGTCGTTCTTGGATTGGATGTCACAGGCGGTGGAAAGTGTATTTTTAGCAGCCAATTTTCTTAAGAGGGACCTGACTTTCGGCAGATCATGAGGTGCCGTCAATATCTATCTAGTCGTGGTCATATGCTGCGAACAGGGTGCTTGCCATCTGTGTTCCCGGCCTAGCATCTGCGACTCAGCGTTGTGTGTATGGAAGTTGTAGTGCGCGGATAGCACGGGTCGACCTGGGCAATCTGATCTCCAGGCGAGGCGTTGGGTGGGTTCCTGCAAGTGGATGGTGTCGGATCCTTCTGATTGTAGGACTTTCTTGAGAGGCATGCCATCACCTGAAGCATTTGATTCTCGCAGTCACGGCAGTGCAGGATTCTTTTCGGAGTCTGATCATACAGATGAATTGTGTATTGTGATAGACATCATGCAATGCAGTGCCTGTTCTTTCTTCATTTGTGGCATTGGTGTTGAATTTTTCCTGGAAGGCTTGTGCTCAAGTTGGGTGCCCGTGTCTTCTCATGTCTTCATAAGCGGATGTTGTGGGCACTGGCATCCGCCATATCCTCTCTGGGCTTCTTGTGAAGTTCCACCGACCACCACATATTGACACTCTGTGTTCTAGAGACTTCTTTTCCTTTATTGCAGCGTTAATGCGGATGCCTCAGTTTCTGAGTCATTCAATCAGCAGGCATCAAATGAGTGAAGACCTTCTCCTATGGAAGCTTCAGTGTGCGACTGCTTTTACAATGACAATTATAATTATTAGATGTGACATCCGAATGCAAATTCAACTTGAATTTGGTGGTGCACACTCTGCTCGGAGCACTCAGTGCTCGATAGAGGGCTCCATAGGGAGGCTGGACTTCTGAGAGGCCGCAGTATCCCATGCAGCTCTTGATCTGGACACAGGCCACCAGATCGCGATGGTGTGCATGTGTGCCATCAAAGTGTAATGTGATTCCGGAAGATGACCCCTGTAGGCTTTCAGTACCAGCTGACATCTGCTAATTAACATTGTGTCTAGAATCTAGATCTAGAGCAGTGATGGCAGCGCAAGTATCGCTCGCAAATTTGCACGTGCGCAATCCCCTGAGAGCAGGCCTCAGGCACATCACTGCCGCATCATGCCGCATGTAGATCTCTGAAGCTCAATGACCCTCCGTGACTCCCGGAGACCTAGTATGCCATAGTATGCCGCATGTTTCAGCATGAGGCAGCAAATTCACTACTGCATGAATAAGCTTCTTCTGATATTGTTGAATCCTCCTACCGCCCCTGCTCCAGTATTTCCCAGTAGAAATGACTCGCTGGTATCACTTGTTTCTCCTGCAGGCCCTGGGCATGCAAGGGTGCAAGCCCTGAGGGTGCATTTGCGAGTTGACAAGGCTGCAAGCCTGTGCATATCGACCCCGGGTTCCGGCTGCAGACGGACCTGTGTATGCCCTATGGCCCTCTGGGCTCTGGGTTCGCCACTCATAAAGATTATTATTTACTATTATGCATCTCAAAATGGCACGTGGCTGCTTCAAGACCACGTGCACCTTGATATTATGTAATCCTATTGAGCACTGACCTTTGAGGTCTCCTTAGATCGGTGCTCTCACAACCGATTCTGAGGCTGTTGATTGCAAGAAAATAATATTCTCTTATCCTTCATAGACCTCCAGGTGGAGCTAGGTGCAGTGTTGCCTCTATCTCATGGAAGAACGGCAGAGTGATCAAGTGAAACGGTATCGGCGTGATGGGGATGCCGATGACGGAGAGCTGGATGTTGCAGAAATAGATGACGAGTAAGTGTACACGAATATTTTGATGATTGAACAAGCTCTATCTGCACACGTAGTTTTCACACAGAACGAGCCAAGGCCACTGGAGGCTTTCCATTCAATTAAAGCGAATACAAAACTAGGGAAGCAATGTCAGCCTGCTCATAGTTGCTTGTTTTGTGCAGTTACGAGGAGTACGTTCCCTTGAAGAAGCGTCGTCAGTTGGAAGAGGATGGACGACGTGCAAGACTGACAAAGGTCATCTTTTCTCCGCTAGAGCACATATTATGGACTCTTTAGCTTGACGGAATCTCGAAGTAATGTCTGTATTGGTGGATCGAGCATTTTTTTGGTCATGCAGGGGGGTGCACAATTGCCTTTGCCAAACCCAGACAGCACTCCTGCAGTGCCAGTGTCAGGCCACAGCGCAAATGGAGCAGCACCAGGGCCAGTGGTGCAGGCAAAGGAGAGTCTGCTGGCAGCAGCTGCCAAGGCACGCAAGGAAAAGCCCGCAGAGACGGAGGCAGAGAAGATGCTCAGAGAGGAGCAAGAAATCATGCGCAACATCACCAGCCGCAAGGCGCTCAAGTCCGTCATGGAGAACGCTCAGGTGAGGAGTGGTCCACCAGCCTGTCATCCCACACAGATCCTCACATCTGTATCCTTATTGCAGCCTTTCTTTGTGGCGGAGGGGTTGTGGCAACCATCTTTTCCAAACCGCCTGTGCGTCCGAAGCCCCGGTAAACGGCGGCCGTATGTGTCTGTATTGTGAGCAGCAATTGCTTGAAGCTTGCTGTGTGGTGTCTGGAGCCGCCACAGTCTGTTCTGTGTGCCACTGCCAAAGACTCATTGGTCGCATTTGGTGCTGATCTTTCCTGTCTCTTGCAGGGCATATCATACACGCGCAACCTCAAAACTGGGTGGAAGCCACCCTTGAAGGTGCGGCAGCTGTCGGAGGACCAGGCCCAGGATCTGAGGGACCGTTTCCACATCATTGTGGAGGGAGAAAACTTGCTGCCGCCCATCCTGGACTTCAAGGACATGAAGTTCCCTGCTCCAGTGCTCCGCCAGTTGGCCAGCAAGAACATCTCTCGGCCCACGCCCATCCAGATGCAGGTGTGCTGCCAGGCCTTGCAAGGCTCTCTGTCACCCTTGGTGGCAGTCTGCAATCTACCTTCCCAAATGGTCTACTTGATAGCAGCCATTCTATGTAGCCTGCTCCTGATTCCAGCAACCTATAAGCACTCTGCCTGCAATGAGTGTTTCCACAGGGTTTGAGGACTCCTTATCAGCTGACGCAATTAGTACAGAATATCCAACTCCATGATGTGACATTGTGTGTACAGGGCTTGCCAGTGATCTTGGCTGGGCGCGACATGATCGGCGTGGCATTCACTGGCAGTGGGAAGACTCTGGTGTTCGCTCTGCCGCTGCTCATGCTATCCCTGCAGGAAGAGGTCCGCATGCCTCTTGAAGGAGGTAAGGGTCCGTGCTTGGTGTCTGCGCTGCATTGAGTATGCAACCAGGTTCCTGATACAAAATATGCAAGTAACTGCAACACACACTGATGGCCTTGGTGCAATTTCAGCATATGAACAAGAAGGGGCTGGCTTGAGATAGAGTCAATGCCTTCTTGCCTCTGCACATGTGCCTCAATGAAAGGTGTTGTGTATTGTGTGAGGTCATGCTAGCGCTTGTGACATTTTTCACGCGCTGCAGGGGAGGGGCCGGTGGGCATGATAGTGTGTCCCTCACGGGAGCTGGCGCGGCAGACGCACGAAGTCATCCAGGGTTACATAACCGCCATGAAGGAGGACGGCCTGCCCGAGCTGCGCTCGCTGCTGGTCATGGGCGGCATCGACATGAGGACGCAGGTTGGCATCTCACCCCGATCCTCTGCCATCTCAGCTTCTCCAAGTTTTCCCCACCTCATTAGACTCTGCAGTGCACTGATCGGCTTCGACATGGGAGGCACTTACACAGATGTGTCGCGCTTTGCCGGCTCGTATGAGCACGTACGTGAAATTGCCCCCTAATTGACCTCAATTGCCTCTGCTCAACCAGAGTGCAGCAGTCAGCGCAGGGGACTCCATTCCGACTGCTTCAAGAGTCCCCTGGTCAGTGGTTGGCCCTGTCGGCTTCCTGCATATTAGCAGTCATCTGAATGGCAGGGAACGCTGCGCAGACGGACGCGCTGCGGCGGGGGGTGCATGTGATAGTGGCGACGCCGGGGCGGCTGAAGGACCTGCTGCACAAGAAGCGCATGAACCTGGACGTGTGCAAATTCCTGTGCCTGGACGAGGCGGACCGCATGGTGGACATGGGATTCGAGGAGGACATCCGCGAGGTGCTGTCCTACTTCAAGGCGCAGCGCCAGACGCTCATGTTCTCCGCCACCATGCCCATGAAGATCAAGGCCTTCGCCGAGTCAGCCCTCGTCGATCCCGTCACCGTCAACGTCGGCCGCGCCGGTGCCGCCAACCTCGACGTCATCCAGGTGTGACCCGCTATGACGCGTCCTTGAACACTCCCGAAGACTCGCAGTCATGTATAAAAGAGGTGGCAGAAAGTTGAAATCGGGAAGTCTGATCCCCTGATTCGGCAGGGGCTGCCGAGCCAGTTTGACCGCACCTTTGGCACTGACTTCTAAAGCCACAGGGGTTGCCTTTTTAAGTCTACAAGATGTTGCCCCCAGTTTGCCAGGCCAGATAGTGGTGAGGCAAGGGTCGGAAGTCATGATGCCATGCCATTCACTGACTGATTGCTGGGAAGTACATTGAAGCTGCTGAATGAGCATGGGTGACGTGGGTGACCACGCATGCTGAGCTATTGCTGGAATGTCCGCCCAGGATGTGCTTGCCGAGCAACCGTATGTTGCGCTGTGACAGGAGGTGGAATACGTGAAGCAGGAGGCCAAGCTGGTGTACCTGCTGGAGTGCCTGCAGAAGACGGCGCCGCCTGTGCTGGTGTTTGCCGAGAAGACGGCTGACGTGGACGACATTCACGAGTACCTGCTGGTCAAGGGTGTCGAGGCAGTCGCAGTGCATGGCGGCAAGGACCAGGAGGAGCGGGAGGCCGCCATCGACGAATTCAAGGTACTGCCTCCAGCCCAGCCGATTCTGTCAGTGTCACCTTGGTTTGGAACAGCAGCGGCAGCAGTGGGTTGAAGTGCACTGCATGGATCTACGAGTTCAACGTACTGCCTCCAGCCCCGCCGATTCGCCAGTGTTACTTTGGCCTAGGACGGCCACGGGAGCAATGGGTGGGGATGCACTGCATGCATGCTTTCGCAGTGTTTGGGGTCTGTTGCCTGACATACCTGTCGCTGCACTGGGATGAGCATCTGCGACGTCAGTAAATGGACGCCAGAGAATGCCTATATACCTCACCAGATCTCTCAGTTTAGCCTTGTGGGACATCAGCGGCAGTATTCAGCGGCAGTATTGGCTTTGAGAGCCACTGTGTGCAGCAATTGGGAGGGAGCAAAGTTGATGGAGGACGCCCTCTTCAGCATGCTGGTGCTGATAATTTTTAGCTTGAGCACCTGGAAGAGCATTTGCAAGCTGTGGCAGTCTCCCGAGCGTGAAGTTGCTCTGTATGCAGCCATCCTGAAATGGCATGCAATGTGCACGTGCAGGCAGGCAAAAAGGACGTGCTGGTTGCAACGGATGTGGCGAGCAAGGGGCTGGACTTCCCAGACATCCAGCACGTGATCAATTACGACATGCCGGACGAGATCGAGAACTACGTGCATCGCATCGGGCGCACGGGGCGCTGCGGCAAGACTGGCATCGCCACATCCTTCATCAACAAGAACCAGTCCGAGTCCATCCTGCTGGACCTCAAGCACCTTCTGCAGGAGGCCAAGCAGCGCATCCCCCCTGTGCTCACAGTAAGTCCCTAGACTTCCCTTCTTTCCTCCTCATCGATTGTAATGTAGGGTGTATGTGGGGGTACTCCTAGCCCCCATTGTTGCATGCTGGCCATCCTGGTGCATGCTTCATTGTTCACCTGCATCCGTTTGGCTGCCTTGTTCTGCCAGGCAAATGTGTGGGAGCCCTACGCAGGCATCACATCTTATGGTACCAGTTGCCATTGGGATTTGGTGTGGCATTGAGCACTTTGGTGTGACAATTGACAATATAAAGTATATCATGTGTGACTGTATCGCTTTGGGCTCATTCAAATGATGTCATCTGTGGCCTGGAGCATCACCGCGCTGGTGGGTTGGTGTGCAGGTGCTGGAGGATCCGCTGGAGGAGCTGAGGGAGCTGGAGAAAGCGAGTGGCACTCGAGGCTGCACCTACTGCGGCGGGCTGGGGCACAGGATTGGAGACTGCCCCAAGCTCAGGTCGCAGAACCGCGAGCAGCAGCGCAACACCAAGGACTACTTCGGCTCTGGCGGCTTCGGCGGGGAGACTTGATTCGATCTCACATTCGACTTGTCAGCGCTGCAGTCCTGTTGCTGTCTGCATGGTTGTGGGGCTTTGCAGCTGTGCAGTGCAGCATCTGAGAATGCTGAGTGCCTGTAGGATTGTAGCAAAGTGAGGGGAGTGTGTCAATATATGAGTGTGAGTGCGCAGAGCATCGTGATGAAGGGCTCTGTAAAATTTGAGTGATCACATCATGAATCTGGATGTTGAGACGTACCCCACTGCCAGTGGCCATTGCAAGCTGTGTTCTGGCTGGCGATTGCATCATGCATGATACCATGCAGGGCAGTTACGCAATGACAAGCACGGTCAATGAGGCCTGTCTGATGAAGCATTAGTACCACCGTCCTGACCTTGCGGGCTACCTGCAGCCACTGCGGCACCCTGCCTGGCCAGCACTGACCACATGATGCCTTGACCATGGCATGCATGATTTATCACATGATTTATGCACATGCATTCAACCCATGCTCTTCTCTCAAATAAGATTGTCTGTTGGACCTACTGTAGACGAAGTTCACATTGTCCCGGGTGCAATGCAAGTGCAGCTGCAATTCTTCTGCTCAGCCTCACTGCAGCAAAAGCCTCACCGGCATGCTGCCCTTGTCTGGGCAATCTGAACGCTTCAGGCTGAAATACCTCATCACCTCATTCCTCGGCAGGTCAGCATTGGTCTGGGCAGTTGGCACCCAGCTGAACGTGCTGTCTTTCTATGTAAAGGGTCTGACTCCACACGCTTTCTAAGCTGAAGTTCGCATCTGTTCTCACAAAAGCAAGGCATGAATTGAGTCCAACCCAGAGAGAGTTGCAGTAAGAAATACACACACGCAATTCTGTTCAACGCTCCTCTGGTCTTGAAATCGCCTCATAGGTCTCGCAAGTTATTTCGCATCGAGGTAGAGGAGTGACTGCGGTGCAAACGATATGTCTTACGCGTGAGTTTCTCGCTCCCTCCAGTTGTATTATGTTCTTAGCGTTGCTTCAATATGAAATCACTTCATACTTTTATGGATCTTTCAGCTTTCATCTAAAAATTGAGTGTTTTGGACTGCAGATATCTCTTCAAGTACATTATAATTGGCGATACAGGTACGACCTTTGTTTTGGTCAGGTTCCGATCTTGTTGGGTAGTGGCCAACGCTACTGGGTTGTCAAGAACCAAAAGACCTTGGTATGGAGATTTTCTGCGACAAATGCTCACTCTGATCACCTGCAGGAGTGGGAAAGTCATGCCTCCTGCTGCAGTTCACAGACAAGCGCTTCCAGCCAGTGCACGACCTCACCATTGGCGTGGAGTTTGGGGCACGAATGATCAACATTGATGGGAAGCAGATCAAGCTGCAAATCTGGGACACGGTAAGGCCTGCATGAACACAATACAATATATACTGTCAGTGGATTGGCAAATTTTCCTTCCGAGCAAACTCAAACAAAACTCCTGGTGATCACAGGCTGGTCAAGAGTCATTCCGATCCATCACACGGTCCTACTATAGGGGAGCTGCTGGTGCACTGCTGGTGTATGACATCACCAGGTGGGCCCTCATGCCAGCTTACAATGGGTCACCCCAGCGCCAGGGAAGCCTAGGGATTGTGCTGTATGCATGCATGGAATTGCTGAAATCACTCTGGAACAGGCCTGAAAACTTGTGAGGAATCAACCCAGGAACTGGTCATCAGCAGCCCGAACACAAGGGGTCCTCTCAACATTGCATGAATTCTTTTCATATGGCATGACATTGTAAATGTCTTTGTGCCCTGCTTTTTGCATGACAGGCGGGAGACATTCAACCACCTGGCCAGCTGGTTGGAGGATGCTCGGCAGCATGCCAACCCCAACATGACCATCATGCTCATCGGCAACAAGAGCGACCTCACTGTACGCTGCTGCTTGCCCACTCTGATTTTTAGCCATTCACTGCCATGCAATGTGCTGTTCAGACTCATCAGGGGGACTGAAAAATTGTGTGGTCATTACTGCAGCACCGGCGCGCTGTCACCACAGAGGAGGGTGAGCAATTTGCCAAGGAGCACGGGCTTGTATTCCTGGAGACATCTGCCAAGACTGCACACAATGTTGAAGAGGTCAGTGCTTTCTCTCTCATATTACCGCCATGATTGTTGGCACCTCCCTCACAACACTTGTCAGGCAAATTAAGATGCAGACACACCTTTCTTATGCCAGGAGCAGTATGTAATGAGGATTATAAATGAATCAAGTCTGGTGTTGACCCCAGGCTTTCATCAACACAGCACGCAAAATCTATGAGAAGATAGAGCAGGGCGTCTTCGATGTCTCCAACGAGGTGAGGGCCCCTGCTGCATGTGCCGGGTTGCCTCATTAGACATCAGAAGAGCGCTCCTAAATGCCCCTGTGGGGAACTTCCTGCACCTGCCTGAAGTTTGAATATATATAAGGAAGCAAGGTAGAATGCAAGACATGCAAGGCAGTGCGAGCGCCGAAAGAAGGGAGGAAGGGCAGTACCGTATATGGGACTGAAGCTCGTGGTGGTTGGGTGTGCAGTCTTATGGCATCAAGGTGGGCTATGGCGCTGGCGGTAGCGCTGGCGGCACAGTGCGCCCCGGAGACCCGGCCCCTGCAAAGAGCAGCTCCTGCTGCTGAATGCAGTCCCTGCTCCCTCTGCGGCGCTTGCCCCTTCTGCCGCAAAGCACATGAAATTGCCAAGTAGAATGGTGCACAGGTGCTTGTCAGCGACAGCTCAAATTCCTGGCGACAGGCAGAGCAGCAAAAGGAAGGGACCCCATACAGGAACTTCCTTGAAGCAAGGAAGCTTGAAGCAAGGAAGCATCAATCAATCTGTACATTACATCACATCAGCAATGATCCAGAGCTAGCTGGGATGAGGCATGGGGTAGGCTGGATGACCTTGATCACTAAGATCGAAGAGAAATCTCAGAGCATGGCACCCTGTATGATTGGAAGGAAAGGCTCAAGCAGTGCTCTTGTTCTATGGTTTTATTTCTGGTGAACGTGGTCGTCTGAGATGTGCTTTGTTAGCATGCTGTGCAGGAATAACAAGAGACATGCCATATGCTACCAGTGATATTAAACGGGCAAGATGAAGAAGCAGGCACAAAAGTCATGTGGGAGGAGAAGTTAAAACTTGGCTTAATGATGGTTTGTTTGGGCATGTGTGCAACATCAATCAAAGCTCATGCAGTGCAGATGTTGGGGCCATGACCCCAAGTCAAAGCCGCAATGAATGCAATAATACAATTCCATTACACCTAGCACTGCACTAGCCTTGCGGCAAGGCTACGCCTTATGAACTGAATACGAGCGCATGTCAAAAAGGCAAACATGCTGAATTAGCAGTAATTATGTCACGCTCAATTAAAAGGTCTCTGCAGCATTCCCTGTCGCAATCCTCATTTTTGCATGCATGCAAAGCTAATTAGAGCTTATAAGAGCATCCTGACACATCACGTTAAACATGTCCAGAATCCTATAAAAACTTCCACCCGTCTTGGGAGGCAACAAAAACGGCAGTAGACAACAAAACCTCTCAAGACTAATATCTTCACAGCTGGACCAAATCCCTCTACCTCATACAAGGATTGTTTCCAGTTGGCTCGGCGACACCGCGTCTGCTGGAATCATATAGCAGATGCAGCTGTCGTCGGCTGTTTAACTTTCTAATATGCAATAGATTACTGCTTGATTCACAGCACTGAAGCAACAAGCGATGAAGCCAAGATCGTTTCGGAGTTAACGGCGCAGAAGGCTACGAACAGGTTCAGATGGCAGCAGCAATTCCGCCACCTTCTGTCAACTCTGCACCCTGTGACCAGACTAAACCACGTGGTCAAATTTCTGTGGGGAAGTGCCCGGCAAGCTCATGGAGCTGCTCTCCGGACACTCCTGACCCAGAGGTCGAATACACCAGAATCAATCGCCAGCAGCCAATTTTTGGAAATCCAATCTACAGAATGTAGCAGTGCTGTCATTGTCAAAGTGGCCTGGCTGCCACAGCATTCAGCCCCGGCTGTGGGGCGTTCGTGCCACAGCGCTTTGCCAAAAATGCGCCCGGGGAACGGCCGTCGCTGCACAAAGCATATGCAGCCTGCATTTGATGTCGTCATTGTCAAGGACCGGAGTCATGCGAAGCAGGGCAGCTGGAGACTTAAGCAGAGGTCTTCAGGCCGTTGGCAACGCCGTTGGCAAGCTTGGCCACCTTGGCGGCTGCCTTGCTGGCAAAGCCCTCGTCGCCGTCGGCCTGCCTCAAGGTGCCGAGCTCCTTGGGGGCGCTGGTCTGCACGATGGTGGACGAGGCGTACACCGACGCATCTGTGCCCGCCTCCTGCGCAGCGCAAGCAGAGAAAGCAGTCAGCAACCATCCACCAAGAACACGTGAGCCATACCTGGACCACGATGACATTGGCAAGACAAGTGTCCCGGTCTCTAGACAAGCAGACATGCAGCCCTGAAGACCGTGCAGGTAGAGCAGATGCCCACAGGAAAGGGAGTCAGGTAATGAAGGGCAGCCTGCACGGTTTCCTATATGATCAGCTGCTAGATCTCGCAGTTGGGCAAGTGGGTGCTATGCACAAGGACTGAGCAGATAGGCAGAAAGGGCAGACCTCCTCGAGCTGGGACTTGATCCAGGTGTAGGTGACGCGGAGGCCGTCTGCCAGCTTGATGGTGGGCTCCCAGCCGATCTTCTCCAGGATGAGGGCGTTGTCGCTGTTGCGGCCGCGCACACCCTCGGGGCCCGGGATGTGGCGGATCGGCAGATCCTTCGCCTCAAAGCCCTTGATCGTCTCCATCATCTCGTTCATGCTCACCTGCACCACACACCTCATCCCTGAATCACACCACTCGGAATTTCAATCTGTCCCCAGGCACGCCAGCTGTCAAATCTAACATTCTTAACACGCCACCTGCTGTACTCTTGGCGCTGAACAGCCACACAGCCGGTCAGCACATATCACACGGCACAATAAGCTGCAGCACATATAGCACATATGTCTGCAATCTGCATCTTCTCATGCAAATTCCCAGGTTCAAGGTGGGGCGCACCATCTCGGAGCTGCCCAGGTTGAGGGGCTCCTTGTAGTCGGACTTGGTGATGCGCAGGATACCCTCCACGCAGTCATCGATGAAGGTGAAGCTGCGCGTCTGGAGGCCGTCGCCCCACATCTCAATGTCCTTCGGGGAGGTCAGCACCTGCGCGCAGCAAGCAGAAGTGTCAGCGCACAGCACATCAGAGCTTCCAGCTTCAAGTATTCTACGAATATGACCAGGAGGGGTGCTGCCAGGGGCTAGCCAGACAGAGGATGCTTTCACTCCTCACTGCAGAAATCTGAATAAAGAGCCTGATGATCAGGGAACGTGGAGCAGCGCCTCTGTCTCACACAAAGTGATGGCTCTCCTGAGGTAACCACCAGAGAGTGGCCACCGAATACCTATGGGACATTATCAGTGCAATGTCTCCACACCGTAAATAAGTAAAATCGCACCTTTCTGCAGAAAGCAGCCGGGGCCTTCTCGCGGCCTCCCTTCCAGGTGCCATAAGGTCCGTAGATGTTGTGGAAGCGGGCGATTCTGCACTCGATGCCGAAGTCCTTGTCGTAGTGCATGGCGAGCTCCTCCGATGCAAGCTTCTCCAGACCGTAAGCGTCTTGAGGCTGCAAGAAATAATCCACATGTCAGCGTTGCCTCCTGCCAAAAGTAAGGTTTGAGCGCAACCGTACGGAGGTCGTCATCGCACCTGTGCAGGCCAGGCAGTGTCCTCCTTCAGGCCACCGCCTTCGATCTCTGTCTCCAGCTGCCTGTTCTCGGGGTAGATGCAGGCGCTGGAGGCATAGAAGAACCTGCATGCGCGGAAAGGCGTTTTACTAGGCTGAACACGATTGCACAGGCTCCAGTCAGCAGCTTCTTGCAAATGAAAGAGCAGCACACCTCTTGATGCCCTCAATGCGAGCCACCTCCATCATGTTGAAGCTGATCATGGTGTTGTTGTACATGATGACGGAGTGGTTGGACTGGATGAAGCCCATACCTGGCCAGCCACCAGAGCCAATTCAGCAACTAGACACCAGAAAAAAATGGAACCCAACCACAAACAAATGCATAAAATGAGTAAATGAAAGATCAAAATGGGTTTATCCATGCGCACTTCGGTTAAGGGCAACACACAGACCCACCTCCCATGTCAGCTGCAAGGTTGAAGACGTGGTCGCAGCCTTTCACAACCTTCTTGCAGTTGTCGTAGACGCGGAGATCCACCAGGTGGAACTCATCGCAAAACGCCTCCTCCTGCGCAAGCGAGCCAGATCGGTTGGGTTCGCGATCTAGCTACTCTGTTGAGGTTTGTGTCTCGTGAAGAGCACATCACCCGTTGGCTGACTTCCAAACCAAAGGGCCGACGATCCCTCAATGAAATAGCAGTGCAAGACAATTGAAGCGTCAGTCACACAGCAGAACCAGCAGGCGAAGGCAGCGCGTAAGCTCCACAAAGACACGGAGATGACGCTCAGTTTTATATACTTTTCTAGGAACGGGTCTGCGCACCGGCATGAAGCTGTTGCGCTTCCAGTCTGCACAGACCAGGTAGTGTCCTTCGGACTTCAGACGCTTTGCCAGGTGGGATGCGATGAACCCGCCAGCGCCTGTCACGCAAATCTTGAGCTTCTGCTCGGGCCAGTACGGCTCAAATGGGAACTTGGCGAGCTTGCTGGACTCATAGTACTCAGAGTTGAGTGTGTTGGTGGCCATCGCTGCAACCTTATGCTTTCAGCTGGTTTAAGTGATCAACCGCAGGATAGATGCCTAAATCTTTGTTTCGTTGGCCTGCGTTTGCGACGGAATGCTATGTGATCGTTTCATAACCCCCCGGGAAGGTGACCGATGACTGATGACCCTTGAATTTCCCTGTGACGCGCCTTGTTCGTCACCCAGCGGTCGGGTTTGGAGGAAGACAGCTGCATCCCATTCTTGCTTGAAAAGCCAGGGTGGACACTGTTGTGACCCACAGGTGAGGTAGGTATTCCTCCTGCAGCCTCACCCTGTCAAAACAATTATTAGCTAACTCTCTCATATGAGGAGCCAAGCCAGGCAGCTGGCAACCAGTGGTGGCGCCCGGCCGCCGGCGGGCCTGCCCGCTAGCCTAGCCTGCCCGCTGAGCCCACTGGGCAGTGGGTGCATGCAGACCCTGAAGTCGCTCCCGGGGCCATCATCATGATGACGCATGATGGCTCACCGGATGACCATGAGCTTTAGCAGGTTTCTAGTTGAACTAAATATAGTTTATTATCATAATGATTATGGCTTTCAAATGCTGGATCATCCTGATGCAAGCGGTCTCAAGCATGTTGCGGTTGCGACGTTGACTGCGGCAGTGCTAGCACACGCGCACCGCCTCAACTTGGAAGTACAGTAGCTATAACGGAAGCCTTCTAATAGTACCAAACTGGACTCCCATTTGCACGACTGAGCTTCAAGCTTCAGAATTTCTGAGCTAAGAATGTTCATGGTCCAACATGCATCGTCAAGTGACATAGATCACAATCCCTGGTCTGCCAACTGGATTCATGACCAGACCCCTTAGCAACAGCCATGGACTACTCCACACTCAACGCGAACTGGCTGCAGAACGCCACTAGCCTGTCATTTACCCTGAACTAAAAGCCTCTACCGGTCTACCCTGTAAAGCTCTATCATTCCAAGCAGCTGACGAGCGTGCCAGCGCTTGTCACAAGCAGCTCTCTTATCCACTGACAAGATGCCGCAGACAGAAAAAATTCAATGATCTCTCCAAGAGGCTGCACAGCGAACGGCAAGCCTGTCATCACAAGACTGCTGATGCTGCAAAACCTCTGTTGAGATTTCCTGGCTGTGAGCCTCCCAAAGATGGCGGCAGATCTGATGGTCTCTGCTCTGCTTCCTTGGCAGCTGCTTCTGCATCGTACACCCTCTCTCGCCGTAGAATGTCAGTCATTCGCCAGGTCTTGTTTTTGCTGAGAGGCCTGCAATGCAGAGCAGCAAATCTATCAGCCGCTAGCGCTGAACAGCAAGGAAACAAGCAATGAGTGGTCAAATTCATTTGCATCAAATTGGAGTCTAGCGCCACCCCTCTTGGTTAGTGCAAACCTTGATATGTGTATCCGCACAATGTCTCCCATGCGGCAGTCATTGTTCTCATCATGCGCCATGAATTTTGAAGTGCGCTTGATCTTTACTTTGTACTTGGGCACTATCATCCATCGATCCACGGCCACCAGGATTGTTTTGTTGGCCTTGTCAGATATGACCTGTGAAAGGCAAGCAGTCCAGAAAATGAGCGCCAGCACGTCAGGCCCTCTGATCTTTGCAAGGATCCCATAGGCGGAACAATTGTATGTAATGATGTGACGAGAACAATCGGAGGGCATATCAATTCACCTTGCCAACATATGTCTTCATACCAAAGTGCTGCCTTACTGATTCAGCTCCACTAAATGTCTGCAGTCTTCATCGATCGACACCTCAAAGAGCAGAATTTCCGAAACTTGAACTGTGGGAACAGCCTGAACAAGTTGGGAACAAGTTGTCTCGGACCGCAGATCACCACTGTACCAAAGTTTTGATTGAGGTGAGTGATGTGCCTACAGAGACGCACTGCACGAGCGACAGAATGTAAAATGACGCTGATGCAATCCTCAACAGCTTCCTTGCTTCGAATATTGAAGGAAGCCCAAGGCATGAGGAGAGTTCTGCAGAAAGGAACGCCTCATGCCTGACCGACTTCCATTTTCTGTTTTTGTGATTCAATGTGCTTCTGAGGAGGAAAAATTGTTCGCTGTTCTGAAGTGATTGATTATAGATGCAGGAAGGACTCTGACATATTCCGATGTCCCAAGATGATGGACACGGTGATTACAACAACACCAGACACACTGCTGTGGACCCAGCTGCCCATGACTTTTCCTTGTCCGGTCTTCTGCAGGGACTGACGAGTTCCATCCTTCAAGGACGAAGTGCAGGTGCCGTGCATGCCAATGCTTGCTTGTGTCTGTATTGTTGGCACCGTGAAATGGTGACTGAAGGCATACATCTACTAGACTCATTTGTAAGTACCTAAGCAAAATCGTTTGCACGAACAGCCAAATTAAAAACAACTTTCATTATTGCTCAGGACAAAGGACTGCTGGAACCAGCAATTTGCAAGTGTCTCTGCGTTTGTCAGGCAATAATGGCACTCTGTCAGCGTCGACAGGGACTAGGCCTAGAGACTCTGCCGAGAGAATCTCACAGCGGCCTGTCATGCCAAGCAGACAGGCCTCGAGGCCCTTGTCACAGGTTTCAGTGACGTCTGATGAAAGCAGTGAAGCAGAGAGTACGACGTCAGAAGAAAGTGAAACCACCTTGGCTGCAGCCAGGCAGGGGGATCCATCGATCTCAGGAATTGATGTCCAGGTGAGAGCGTGGCTTGCATACTCATTTCCTGGTCTCAAAATCTGCTGCTTTGTGTTGACAAGGGATACCTGTACTCACTTGCTTAGTGCTGTGCAGGCTGTCACTGCATGGTGTGAACAGGCTGTACCATTTGGCGCATTGCTGGCGATTATCTTTTTGCGTCAACACATTGTTGGTGAGGTCACTTCAGCATTCCTGCCCTCAATTTTGTGCATGGTCATGGCATGGCATCTCTTATAAGACGCTTATGGAGATGATTGGTGCACAGGCATTGTTATCATGGTATATTTGACTTCATGCATACACAAATTCAACGGAGTGATGAGGAAGGAGGTCGCCCTGAAAGAGGAGTCCTCACGCTGGGTGTGCTGGGCGCTTGCTGCTTTCGCTGCCTTCCAGGCTGCAGGGACTGTGTTGCTTCTCTATCAGCAGCAGCTTTGGACGAACTTCTATCTGATGCCAGGTGGCGTGGACGGGGTAAGTTTCACTTCATGTCCATTTGGACTCCCCATGTGGACGCAAAATAGACTTATCAATAGGCTGGATGTAATGACCCAAATGCTCTGTGCAGCTGTGGACCTGTGTGTTCAAAGTGGCGATTGTGGATGCGCTCATACGCATTTTGGGCTTCACTCTCAAGAGCATGGTCCTTGTGCTGCACCCAGCACAGCCAGAAGAGAACAATCGCCGACGCTCACAGGTTGTTTCTCACCCTTCAGTTGTGAGTATCCTGGCTGTGTCAGCTCATATATTCCTGCAATGTTCGGTTCACAAGGGTCAGCATTATTGAGCGTGTCTGATGGGCAGGTGCTGGCGTTCCTGGAACAGCTGGTGCTGATGTATCGGACAATTGCGGCAGTCCCCTGTTGGCTGCTGTACTATGACAGCCTCAGCATGGGAGCCTTCTGGACTTCCAGCATGCATGGCGAGTCTCACTCCTTGTACCCTTTATCAAAGGCATTCACAGAGATTTCCATTTTTGCTGGGATATTTGTTTGCTGGGAGTGAGCCATTTGGACCAGGAAATATGCTGGCTGGCAGCTCTTTTAACCTTCTGGGTGGTTGCTGTGTGCAGGTCTGTATCTGTGGTTCAAGGCCAGGAATTTGTTCACGGAGCTGATGTCAGCGTGGGCATGTGGGAAAGCGCTGGTGCGAAGGGAGTTTGTGTATGGCCACCTGGTGCATCCAGCAGACCCCCAGTTGATGGAGGGCGGAAGCACATGCCCCATCTGCCAGGTGAGTCCTGGTGCATTCTCAACTCCTTGTTGCTATATCAGAAACAAGCAGAGACTTCGCAGCAGAGGACACAGTATAGCATGCATCAGACGGTACAGCTGATTCAAGCATGTGAAATTGAGCGGTATGGGGAAGTACAGTACTTCCAAAAGGACAAGTTGAGTGCTTGGCTGATGGGGTTGAGGGTATGATTGTGCAGGACACGATGAAGACGCCCATCAAGCTGACATGCAGCCACATGTTCTGTGACAGATGCATAAGCATTTGGTTGGGGAGGGAGAGGACATGCCCCCTCTGCCGGACCATTGTGCGCCCTGCCGGGACCATGGGCTGCACAGATGGCTCCACGCCCTTGGCACCTCTGGTCTTCTAGGCCTGCAATGCATGCTAGCTTTCTTTTCTCATTTTTGTGTTATGCTGCCCACTTTAAGTTTGGGTCGCTTTCCAGCAGTGCTTGTGCTCGGGTCCTGCAGGCATGCTGATGGCACCACTACCCAGACAGGTTATCAGTTCAAACCTTTGTACTATTTATGTGACAAAATGTGCCACTACATGGGTTCTGGCTGCTTCTCAATGAAGGAATGTTGCAGCTCGTTTCGTCGCATACTTGTCATGGTGTAGGCGAGCCATCATAGGGTCTAAGTATCAACTCCCTGCGATAGGCAGCCTCTGCCAGCTGTAGAGGCTCTGTGTCAGTCGTATTCGGTGGGTGTTGGCAGTGGCGATGCTCCTTGCCACCATGCTCTGGTGGTATGCTATGACATGTATTAGAGACAACCTGTCATCATGATGTCAGCTGGACCATCCTTGGATTGTAATTTGCAAATGAGGGCAACATTAGTTACTGTAGTCCCTGAATGTCCCATCCGATGGAGCACTGCAGTCTGCAGAGTTGATGCCTGGAATTTGGCACTCAAGTAAAAGTCCAACAACTGTTGCAATATCCATGTCATCAGTGATGCCACCGTCCCAGTGGCGGCATCGGCAGCCTGCATATGCACTGATCACTTCTGAGTGCGCAGTAGTGCCGTAGTACAGTACTGCCCGCCAGCCTGCAGGAGGCATGCGCACCACTGCATGATGCATGCATGCGAACACTGCTTCCCGAAGAGCACCTCCGCAGATCCCCACTGTCAAATGCCTTTGTTCGACTCTTCGCCATGTACGCATGTATTTTCTCTGGACCCCCAACCCCCTTGCATCTGGGGAGGCAGAGTAGTGCACGTGTCGTGTCTGACTCAGACTCGCTGAAAACTTTCAGCCATCCAGAATCCAAGGATTGACCGCGCACAGCAATGAGATATCATGTATTAATATTGACTGCCATTGTAAAATTGCGGAAGCAGTGCCTGATAAGATGAGCTAGACGGATGTGGCGAAGCACAATTTGGCAAGATGATGACTGTGAGAATCGGTGTCCTAGCGATTTGTATGCTTGTTACAGGTGATGTCCTTTTCACTTCTCCTGGTCCTTTACATGATAAGCACTCATTCGAACGGCCGGAAATTCGACGAAGCAAGATTGCAGTACTTGACCACGCTCCTTTCTGCATTTTGCAGGCACAGTAAATACAATATCCACCAAGTATCAGGTGAGACTATGTTTCTGAACACACAATAGGCTTTGGGCTCTTTTCACACAACCGGCTTTGGACGATCCCGGTGTTGTATCGGCACGTGGTTCTGTGATGAATCCTTCCGCCCACAAGGGACAGATCGACAACTTGTTATGTACATTGTTGCAGGATATCACTGTGGTTGGGTATGACAAGTCTGGTCATGAGCTTTCATTCAAGCACCCAGCAGTGCAGAGCGCCTTCATGTTTCTCGGAGAATTCTTGTGCCTCATCCCATTCCTTCTCCATACCTGGCACAAGAAGAGCGTGCAGAAGGGGGATGTGCCGGCGAGAGGCTTCCATACAGAAAGCGCTGCCCACAAATTCAAGACGCTGCTGACCTTCGGTCTCCCTACTCTGTGTGACGCTGCAGCCACTACTATGCTCAATATAGGGCTGTTCTACACGTAAGCATTCTTTCTTGTTCTTTGCCATCATTTCTGCAATGTCACATGCACTGAAGTTTTTGCATTCAAGCTGGCAAGGTCAGGAAATGAGTAGGGGGCTGTGTGGTGACATCACGCGCAGGTATGCATCGACATTCCAGATGCTGCGTGGGACTATGGTTGTCTTTGCGGGCTTCCTGACCATTGTGCTGCTGAGAAGGAGGCTGCATCTGCACCATTGGATGGGCATTATCCTGATCACGGCTGGTGCGGCTATGGTGGGGGCATCAAGGTAATGACAGGGACTTGGCTCATGGCACATTTGCAATTGATCTAGTCAATGCCGAAGTTGATGATGGATGACGCGTGACTGCCACCGGTCACATGTTCAGATCTTGCCAATATAAATTTTGTGTGGCGTGCAGTATCATATATGACAACGGAGCGCTCTCAGGCCGGCGATTACTGTTTCAAGATGTGAGTTGCCCAATGAAGCTGATGGGGCATCTAAAGTACAAATTTGCATGTTTGACTTGGACTTACAGCAGATTCCTCTTGTCCTTTAAACTCTGTTGGCGCATCATTTGATGTCTTGCTGGACTTGCAACACAGGGTGCAGCCCTGCTGGGGGCAAACAGTGCGGCTGCGGCAAGTAATCCTTTGCTTGGCGACATCATGATCGTGGCCGCTCAAGTGTTGGCTGCAACGCAGTTCATTGTTGAGGAGAAGTACCTTGCCAGGTGAGACTCCCTGCTGATGCCTCCACACCATGCAGTGACTCGTTGAAGACACCCCTCCCATCAGATATGACTGTCTACTTGGCCCCCAATCCCAAGTGAGCATTCCGCTGATTCTGGCAGAGCGTGGCACCTTATTGGATGTGTTCGAGGGAGCAGGTACCGGGTGCCTGCATTGTTGGCGGTTGGGCTGGAGGGGTTTTGGGGGCTGGTGCTGTCAGCCATAGCCCTGCCAATCTTAGGCGTGGTCAGAGGAACTGATGGCCTACCACTGGACAGCGCCACTCAGGCCTTCCAGGTCAGCCTTCCTCTGCTTTTAAGAGCTGACAAGTGCTCAGCACAGCATAGCGTGCCCTCTACTGGGGCTCTGGGCCTGACCAATGGCTGAGAGATTTAATGAGCCTGCAAAGCTGTTGACATGCAGGAGATTGCGGCTTCTCGGCAGCTGCAGATCACCACGGCAGGCTGCATCATATCCATCGCGTTCTTCAACTTCTTTGGGATCAGCGTGACCAAGAAGCTGAGCGGCGCATCACGGTGCACGATAGACGCGTGCCGGACGCTGTTTGTGTGGGCCTTCAGTATGTGGGCTGGCTGGGAGAATTTCCACACCCTGCAGGTGGGTGCCCCTTCTTTCCTTGTACCCTTTCTTCTCCCTGAAGCAAGTGGCAGTTGCCCTGAATGTACTCAGGCCAATGCGGCTTTGTGAATTCGCCGTGATGCAGGCTCTGACCGGCTGGAGGGCTTGTGTGTGTACAGGTGGTTGGATTCCTGGTGCTGGTGTCGGGCACGTCTCTGTACAACGAGCTCATGCGATCCTGCCTGCCGCGGATGTACGACACGCACGTTGACAGCGATGCAGAGGCACGCTCATTCTGCCTAGCTGCACTCTGTGTCCTCCTTCCTACTTGCACCCGTATTTGAGGCTCCCCCTGATAGGCCTGCCAAGAATTTGCTTGGAGCAGCGTCTGATGCCTGGCGCTGTGGAGCTGCAATGGTGGTGAAAAGGTGAGCTGCATGTGTGGGTTTGTTGTGCAGGAGCCTCTTCTGGCGGCGTCGCCGGGGGACAGCGGAGTGGGGGCGGTGGGGGCGCAGCAGGGGGGCGCAAGGCAGATCAGGGGAATGGCCAAGCCCCGGTCCATCGCAGGGTCCATGTACACGCTCGCGCGCTCCATGCGCATCTTCCCCACAGCCCTCTCGCCACACAGGTGCCTGCCTGGCTTTCCCTATTGCTCCTGCGCTGTAGCTGTATAAGCACAGCTTTTGCCTGGATATGAGGAGAACGTTGAGGAGTGTGTGATTGATATGTCTTCGTGTGGCTTGCAGTCTGGCGTCCCCAGCTGTGCACGGGTTAGGAGGAGAGGGGAACTATCCTTCGTATGACTCGCTGCTGTCCGAGACCCCCGACCACCTGAATGGCACATCCCTCCTTCCCGACGAGGAGGCAAACGGGGTCCAGGATGGAGAAGCGGCCCTGCTTGCTGCGCAAGGGCGAAATTGAGATTGATGAACTCGTTCTAGCGTGATTTTTAGTTGCTCCTTTGCTTGCCAGACCTGCCGTTTGCTGTCAGTCGCCATGTTTGCTTGGAGTGTCGGAGTGTAGTTCGATGTGCTTGTTGAACGAAGTCATAGACCCACTGGACTTCTGGCCTCGCCGTGAGCTTTTATAAATGCCTGAAGCTTCTGTCCATGTTGTCCTCGTTGCTATGATTTCTGCTAGAATCTAAATTGACTTGGAATACTTCATCGTGCCGCAAGCCTATGGGCCCTAGCTAGCTGTCAAATTCCATTTCAAATTTGAGCACGAACAAACGAACTTCCAAAAAGTACTGGAATGACTAGCCTGGGTCCTACGATACTACACATCGGGCTCGACTCCTCTTTGTCGAGAGTTCGAGGGCCAATAGTCTTCACAAGAACATGTGGCTTTCAAGCGAAGCTCTGCACAGCCGCAACCTCACGGGCTGCGGCGATGACTCCGACACACGGAAGCACTCGGTTGACGAAGGAAGAAAAAGGTTCTTCACCATTTTTGACAGCTTTATAGAGTTCAGTAAGCTGGCACAGAAGGTCACTCGAGGATGCACGTGCGTATATTGGGGCAGCTGAGGCACATGGCGTCGTACCTGCAGTGAACTATAATCTCTCTCGTTAAAATTTTGCAGAGGAAAGCAAGCATGCACGAGCCACGAGAGAACGAGAACGCCTATATGCTTGAGAATTGACAGGGCAATTATATGCCAAATTAGCCAGAAGTCTCGAGCATGGGGACCTTGGGATTGTTCAGCAGCACCCATAAGAATGTTCTTATGTAAAGGATTTTCAGACTTACTGACGTGCTTTGTAGCAAGAAGCACTTCCTTGGTGTGCTCAGGCACATGGCAGCTAGTCCTTGACAATTTGGTAGCCTGTCCTCTTGCTCAGCAGACTGTGTGTGCTGCCAACCCGCAGGTTCTGCGAGTAGATGAGAAGAGCTGCCGTAGCGGCGGCGGTGCGGCATGAGAATGTTGCTGCCGCCGTCGCTGCACCGCCGGTGCCGATGCCGCCGGTGGCGCCGCCCCCCGGGGTGGCAGAGGCCGCGCAGGCCGCTGTGCAGGTGGCTGCAACTGTGTCGCAGCAGGTGCCGCTCTTTCAACACCTAGCGCACCTGCTGCTCAGCATGAGTGCCCCTGCAATTGCAGGAGAGAACATGCACTGCGTGCACCGACCTTGCATGCATGTGTCCTGGAGATGCACACATTGCCAGAAGAAGTGGCGAAAGCCCCACCCTGGTAGCGGGAGGGGGGACTGGCAAGCCTCAACCTTAAGAAAGGTAACAGAGGGAGCTGACAGGGCGGGGATTAAGTAAGAGCTGCCTGGCGCGACAGGTGATGAGCGTGATGATGCTGGCAATGGTGGCGACGGCTGTTGTCTCAACGGTGTCCATGTCAGCGCTCATGGTGAAGCGTGCCCAGGAGGCCGCCCCAACACCTGCGGCGCAGCTGGCAGCACTGCTCAACCCTCCCACTCCGACCTACAGGTGTTCCTATAGCCTTCAGCTCCTGTAGCCAAACTACTAGACCACTGACAGATTTTCTCTGTTCACCAAAAAGCATCCAGTGATCTTGCTTGTTGTGCAGATTGCTTGCGCACACCAAAAGGCAGGGTGTTAGGGGAGGGTCCTCCCCTTTTCACATTATTTCACGCCCTGTAGGCCACGACTCTGAAGCCCTGGAAACAAAGCTGACTAGAGCAGGCAGGGGTTCTGAGATTGTCTCTGTGCTCATCTGGGCTCAGCGGAGGGTGGTGGGTGTGGCAGGCCGACAGTGGCTCGGAGGGATCGGGCGCCGCCTGTGCAGCAGATAGTGGAGGAGTCTGTGTCGCGGAGCATACAGTGGGCACCCTCGCCGCCCCTGCAGCCGAGTTTCACCCCAGAGGTTGGCCGCGGGGTGCCCCAGACCGACGGCGAACATCAGCCCCACACCCCGACGCTCTACATCCCCGCTCCCTTCACCACGCCCGCCCCCATCCTGGTGCGCCCTACCCCGCCTCCCAACCCCTCAAGGCTGAATCACTTGTCTGCCTGCCTCTTTACACCCCCAAATATCCGTGCTAATTGATGCTCTAGTTTCACAGCATATCCCCTGCTGCATGGACATACCTGCTACATATAGGCATCTGTATAATAGATGAGCATTCTACAAATGCATTTCCAACACACCTAGCCACCCGGCTTGAAAAGTCAGTAGTTCCATGCATGCCTTATTGTGCTCAAACCGATTCCTGGTGCACCTTCCTCAGGCACCACCGCCAGTGGTGGAGGCCGGCCCCCCGGCGTGCAACGTGACCTACACCAAGACGGTAAAGACGATCACGATGGAGCCCACGGGCAATGTGACACACGTGGAGACCTTTACCTACATGATCCCCTGCGCGGAAGCGCCGGCGCTGCCGCCGGCCGGCGCGCCCGACAGCGCCGAGCCGACCGTGACCCGCACGACGCGCACGCTGCCGCAAGGCGGCAGCGCCGGCCAGACCGGCGGCCCGGACGCCGACGCCGCGTCCCCCGACGGCGCTCAGCCGCCCGGCTACAATCCGGAGGTGCCTTGCCTGGCATGCAGTTTGAGTGCTCGCAACTCTCCTCCTTATTCTGTTTGGCTTTCCAAGGTCTGGGGTACCTGCTACTGGAAGGGCTCTGCGACCTATTATCAACCCAGAGGCGTGCCCTCAGCCAAGCACTGCAATTGAGAAGACATCTCTCATATCTGAGTTTTGTTTGGCTCTCAAGATTAAGCCCCACCTGGACTGAGAAGCACCAAGGCTCACAAAAGATTGCGCACAGGGTGGTGCAGGCAGCAATTGTGTTTGATTCAAGGAGGGAGTCTCAAAGGTGCACAGGCAGCATTGGAAAAATCTGTTTCGTGTGTCTCGGTAGGAATTTGCGGCGCCTGCGCCGGCGCCGGTCGGCGCGGAGTCGGACCGGCTGGCGGCGCTTCTGGCTGCGGACCCCACGCTGGCCGCACAGCTGGCGTTGCTGTCACCGGGGGAGGCCCCAACCGGAGGCCCCTCACGCCTCGCCGCGCTGCTGGCCGCCAACCCCTCGCTGCGCGATTTATTGCCCCCCGCGCCGGGAGAGGGCCCCGCGGACAGGGCCACGGCGGACGGTGGCACCAACCCAGACGATGCCAAAGTTCGCGCATCTCCTTCCTCCCCACCTGTGCTCCCTAGATGTGAACATGCCTTTCACCAAGTCCATGATGCCGTGCATCGCCTTGAATGGTGAGGGGAGTACCTCTAATTCTTGTCCAGGGTGCTGCCTAGATGGGGACATGCCTGTCATCAAGCCAGGATGACATGCCTCCCACGTTGCCCTCAAGGATTACGAGCCATTGGCAGAGACTGGGCCAGGCACAATATACTCGAACACTCGATGACAATGCTCCTTTCTTAATGCTTGCAATCCACCTTGGATGTCTTCAGACTGGCCCATCTTCTCCGACAAGGTCCAAATCTTGAGTCCCTTTGCTTGGACCGGTGTCTGACAGATGATGGCATTGCAAGCAGGTGTCGTATGATGTGTGGGGCCGGCCGGTGAGCGACCCGGAGGCGGAGCGTGCGGCTGACGCGGCCGAGAACGCGCAGCCGCTCGCGACGACGCGGCGGGACGCGGCCGGCACGGCGGCGGCGCGGGAGGAGGAGGTGGCGCGGCTGCGCGCGGAGCAGCGAGCCTGGTGGGACGCCGAGCTGGCCAAGGCCCGCGAGCAGACCCACGGCCACGCCGCTCGCCCGGTGAGCCGCCCGCCCTCCTCCTTGTGCTCCCAGGCTCCAGCTTGGCATCAATTTTGAAGTTTACCTCCTAGTGGATGAGTCCTTAAACACCGAGCTCTGGCAGTCGTGGGCTGGCCACACTGTGGCATTTACTGTGCTGATCCTCAATGTTGCTTAATTCAGGCAGCTGTCGCAGAGCAGAGGGGCAGAGTGTGCTGCATTGCGCGTGCGCAGGTGGACTTTTCGCACAAGCCGGGGGAGGGGGTGGAGGGGGAGGCACACCCGGTGGAGCACAGGGTGGCGGTTGACATGGCAGGGGAGCGGCTGCGGCCGGAGGCGGACACACGGTGGGACATGAGTGACGAGATCGCCGACTACCGCGAGCGCATGGAGTGGAAGCACCACTTCACCATCGGCCGCCCCGCTCGCAGGTGATCCCCGCCCTAGCTTATTGTAAATAATCTGAGTCTTGTAGGGGTAGTTGATATACTAACAAGCCAGGCTTGCGCCGTGTCCTCTCACATGGAACGAGTGAAGTTTGAAATTCAAAGCCCTTCTATGTACCTCCCCCGCCTTGTACCGGCCCCGCCAGTGTGGAATCTGGAACATTGGGTTCGCCGAATCTAATGCCTCCACCTCTGCACGCAGCTCAAGGGCCAGACTTAGCCGATTCCTTGCGTCCCTCAAATCATGTCTTGGACACCAACAAAATTTTGGGGCGCAGCAGTGTTGCACTCTTGTCGTCCACAGCGAGATGCAGCTGTGGCCAACTCTGCGGCAGAGAGGCTGCGTGAAGCCCTGCATGTGCTCTGAGGTTTCTGAGGTGGTCTGTTGTCACTGTGCCCTGCAGATTCCTGAGGGAGGCGGCGGAGGCGAGTGGCAAGTGGAGGGTGTGGCGGGGGATACTGTCATCTCTGGTGAGGGCTGTGGTCAGGTGGCTGCACAGCGGCAGGAAGGTGCCGCTTGCAATTTGAGGCCAAGTGCATCGAGAGGCAGGAGAGGGGACAAGGACAGCGGTCTGTCTCTGGGAATTTGTTCTTGGCTGTAGCACAGGAGGCGCTGATTTTGAATGAGTATCTCTCCCTGGCAGCTGGAGCAATGGTTTTTGCAGCCAGTGATATTTGGGACTTGGATATTTGGGCCTTTGAGGCAGCTGCAACGGAGGACTGGTTGGCCTGCACAGACGCAGACGAATTTCAAGCAGTTTGGGGTCTTATCTTCTCAGCCGCTCAGGCATGGCGGCTGATGGTATGGGCCAGAATGCTACAATATGAGGGCAGATCAGATCAAAAGTTTCTGTGCTTCCTGTGTTTCGTTTCGTTTTGTTTCGTTTCCTTCTGGGCTGACAGACACTGATATTGCTTTCCTAGCTGTTATGCAAGGTGACAGCGCTTATTGAGGACTTGATATCATCCGGCTAATTCAAGGCCTGCTCTGCCTAAGAAGCCGACTCATTCATTGCCCGCATCTGATTTGCTCATGGTTTTCTTCTGCTATATCTGCCCTTGGGAGCTGAATATCAATATTACTCAACATGCTTGACATGAATTGGCATGCCTGACAGTACTTCCACTGATGGGCCCAAGATTGTCAGTTTTTTAGGAGCATGACTTGTCACACCCCAAGCACTTCTTGGCAGGATGCATCACATCTGTAAAGAGGTTGACTTTGCAGTGCAGAGCAACACGCCCAGTACTGCAGTAACCTTTGAATTGGGTCTTTGAAGAGATGAGTCTTCGTGTAGCCGCATTGCGAGCACAACTGAAGCTCATGAGGAAATCTGTGCAGGGACACACTCGTAGTCTCATGTTCATGAACTGAGGCATGTACCATGTTGCATCCATATAATATGATATTGCATGAAGCAGGAAGCCCTGAGGCAGACAAGCGTAGGCTTTTAAATTCATGCAACTGCCTCACAACGCTAAATGCTGCCTGCCATGATGACAAAGGATTCAAACATGCACGCCATGCAAAAGACAGTAGTAACTACATGCACGCCTTATTACATTGAATGAAATGTCTGAAATAATCTAGACCGTGCATCTAGATCAAGGATGCCAGTATGCTGCAATGTTGCTGTGACCGATAAGAAGAGCAGCCAGACAGACAATCGATCTTGCTGGAATCTCGGCAAGAAATCTGTTCTGAGATGCTCTGTAGAACAAGCGCATGCATAGGCGCTCAAATTCTACAACATAACGTCTATATACATTTAGTCATAGCGCCCTCCCAGTCTGCAAGGTCGCCGCAAAAGTATACCACGGATGGGAGCATTTTGGCTTTGCGACCCTTGCAAGACAAGCCTTCCTAGAAAAAAAATTGGTCTGCTGACACAAACATTGTGACAGGACACCAAGCTTCGAAATCCCTGTGCCGCAGAGACCCTGCGGCACCCTCCCAAAAGCCCTCTAATGGGGGAGAAATTCAGGTTGAATGCAGTACCAAATTCCTGGCCAGAAGTTTCACTTTTTGCTTCTGGCTCATCACGCAACCGTGAGGCGAGGACATGCATTTCTGGCAGAATGGGTCAACAGCACAAAAAGCACAGGGTCTGACCAGTCATGGTCCTGAAATAAAGATAATCCTGCCCCGCTCCTGAAGACAGGAGCGCCCGGCTGCAGTGTGAGCAGGCCTGACAGATTGCCACGCCAACGCCAGCCGAAAGGAATTAAGCCAAAGATATAAAAAGTCAGGTTGCTCTCTGTCACCACTCGTGCGACCGAAAAATTGCCAGCATACCACATGCCGTTCACCAGGTGCAGCAGAAAGCAGCCTGGAGTGACACTTACAACATCACACTTATAACGAAATCCCCTCAGTACTTGAGCCATTCTGCGGTCTTGGTGCTCTCCTGGCTGCGCCGCGCCTGCGCAGCCCGGAACAGCTGCTGCGCCAGCTCCTCATCGGCGCGCTCTGCCTCCAGCGATCTCCCCTCCTCCTGAATCCGCACCTTCACGGGCGGCAGGACCGAGTTGAAGGGGCTGAGCACCGAGCTGCCGACGCTGCCCTCTCGGCTGACCCCTGCCAGGGTGTCCAGCGAGGGGTGCAGAGATCCCGAGGAGCCGATGCCGCTGCCGGGCGCCGATCGGTCCGCGGCTGCGCGCGCAGCGCTCACAGTGTGGCCCCGGGGGTCGGAGGAGCGCCTGCGCATGCTGTCGGCCGCGGACTTTGCCGGCACGGAGCTCGCGGCGGCGAGGACCGGCTGCGGGTGGGTGCTGCGGCGGCCGAGGCCGGCGTCGCTGGCGCGCACCCAGAACGACCGCGTTGCTCCGGCCGATGTGCGGCGGTGGGCGACAGGGGACGCCCCTTGTGGGGACGCCTCCTGTGGGCTGTCCGGCTGCCCGTCATGCGGTGGCGATGACCCCCTCAGCGCGGCCTGGCTCGCTCGCTGCCACAGAGCCTGCGCAGCCATGAGCGGCTCAGTGGCTGCTCTTCCGTGCTGCCAAGATCTCTTCAGCAAATGGGCATGGCAGCTCAGCAAGTTTCTCGTGAATTTAAGGTCCTCTGATGTTGAGCATGGGGCTGTCATGCACCAGAGGTGACCAGCAATGCGTGCACAGAGGTGCCACGGCGCAGGAGGATCCATGCGCGCACCCTGCCGTTGGCCGACGTGCCGCCGAGCCGGCCGGAGCCGCCGTCGGAGCTGTCGGTGGCGGCGCGGAGGGCGGAGGAGCGGATGGATGCGGAGGAGCTGAGGGGCACATTGCCGGCTTTGACCATGGCGAGCGAGGTGTTGCGCACGGCCGCCGCCTGCCGCAGCCGCACCGCTGCCAGCCGCGCCGACTGCTGCTTCCCGGCAGCCGCCAGGCCCGAGCCCCGCGCCGCCTCCCGCTCCTTCTGCGCTGGGGCGGGCTCGTCCGCCTCTGCGCCGTGCCCTGTGCGGCCGCCGCTGTGCTGCCTCCCTGACTCGCCGTGCCCGTCTAGCGCTGAAGCTTGCATGCCTTCGTGGCCCCCTGAGTCACTCCTCCCTGAGTCGCCGTACGCGTCCTGCGCGGCCGCCTGCCAGAAGCGGTTGGCCGCCAGGTTGGTGCTGGGCGTTGGCGCCTGTGTGGGGCGGATCTCTGCGAGCTCGGCTTTCGGCGGCGGGGCCGCGCGCTGCTCGGTGATCTTCGCCGGCGCGCTCCTGGGCTTGTGGTCCTCGTCAGCGGACGTGCTTGCGGCGGTGCGCCAGAAGTCCATGGCGGCGGCGTGGATGGGCGGAGGCGCCGCGCTGGGCACCTTGGTCACCTCCACGGTCTTGGAGGGCGTTCCCGAGGCTGCCGGCCCCTTCTGCTGAGCGGCTGGCGCAACCGCCTCCTTGGACGGGGCGGGCTGTGCCTTCTGGCCGTCCTCGCTCGTCTCCGAGCCCAGGCTGGACTCAAATCCGCGGCTGGCCGCCGCCTCCCAGAAGTTGCTGACCAGCGCCTGCACAAACCATGAATTTAAATTCCAGTACCGCAGCCTGACGCAGCATCTTGCCCTTCGTGCAAAGAGTGACCACTTCTTAGTGAGCTGTCAGACGACTTCAGGGATTCGAGTTGAGAGGCATGCCTGCGTGGGGTCCTTCTTCGTCTCTTCCTTCTTTCCTGGCGCTCCCTGCACGCCATTTCCCTCTGCAGGGGCGCGCCTGGGTGCGTTCAAGGCTGCTGCGTCATGTTCTGCAGGCGGTGGCTGCTGGGCGGCCGCGGCCGCGGAGTGCTTGAGGGCGCCGCGGGTGGGTCGGCGGGGCACGCGCGCCGGCGCAGGCGCGGCCGAGAGCTCCGCGCTTGCCAGGTAGCCGGACGGCTGCGTCTGGCGCGAGGACCTCGGCGACAGCTCGCGCGGCCCCTCGTCATCGACCACCTGGGAGCTGCGCGCAGAGTAATGCAGAAACAAATCAGAAAGATGTGAATGTCTCAGACGCCAGAGGACAACCTCACAACACCAGAGACTGTGCAGACACACTAAACACTCCATGCTTGCTTTTAGATGCCTGCATCCTCAAACTACTTGCACCAACCTACGATTCCGCCCTTATTTTTGGCAATAGCTATCTCTCTGCGCTACGGATCATTTGTGGCTGACCGGATCGGCTGCAGATGCGTTCAATGCAATTTCAGGGCTGACAGGAGGGTGTGAAAGAGAAAAAGAGAGAGGAAATATCGCGGTGAGAGCACCTGAAGCGGACGCGTGAGGGGGCCGGGGATGGGGCGGGGGAGTCTGCTACAGAGGACACGGATCCACTGGTGGTGGACAGCTTGGAGCGCGCGAATGCCGGGCGCGTCTCCATCTGCCCCGCGGGCGTCGCCGGCTCTGCCAGCTTGGGCCGCTGCGGCAGGGCCGCCGATGGCATCGGCCCGACATCCCGCCCGCTGTCATCCTCCTCCCTGTAATACAACCTCGTCAGTCTTTCATCGCTGTTTGCTTCATGCAAGCAAGTTCCGTGAGTCAGTGCGCAGCTTGTATCTCTCAATGACTGCAATGATGAGATGGTGGATGCAGAAGGGTCCCAGCAAAGGGTTTGGAAAGAGAGAGGAGTGGTTTGAGGTGTTCAAACTTGCTGCAGGGCCACAAAGAGCAGATACGCACTCGTCGGAGTCATCCTTGGGCAGGCCCAGAGAGGGGCCGCCCATGAAGGAGGCGCGCAGGCTGCCCATGCCGGGCAGCATGCCCCTTCTTTCCCCAGGCGCCGCGCCCCCGGAGGCGGTCGCGCTGCGCTGGCCGTCCCGCCGGGGCAGCAGGCTCGCCAGCCGCGTCAGCCCCTTGCTGAAAGCCGGCGCCAGCACGCTGCCCTGCTTCTTCAAACCCCCTCCACCACCTCTGCGCCGGCTGGACCCCCCGCCCCTGCTTTCCTCTTCTCTATCAATGTCATCGTCCAGGTCCTCTCCGTGGGCGGCCACCGCGAGCGCGAGGGCCTCGGAGGAGGCGTCGCTGGCGGTGCTGGATGAGTCATCGTCCGACTCAGCGTCCTCATCAGCATCGCTGGAGATCCCCCCGCGCTCGATCTCCTCCTCAATGATTGCGTCTGCCGCGCGCAGCAGCCGCCGATGCTCCTCCTCCGCCTCGAGCTCCTCGCTCTCCTGTATGCAGGAATGGTCAGGTTGAGAGGCGAGTATTAGTATCTAATACCGGCAAATGTTGCTCCCCACACCTTCTTCCCGCTCTCGTTACTCGGTTCTGGCAGGACGGCTGCCGGCAGGCGCATCAACTCTTGGGACTGCCTCAGGCTAGCAAGAGTGAGAGGCTTCCGAGGAGCCTTGCCTGGATGCTCTCCAGCGACGTCCCGGGCGACAGGTTGCGCGGCGCGGCCGGCGGCTTGGCCTCAGCCGCGGCCGGCGACATCGGCGCCGCCGCCGCACTGCTCGACGGCCCCTCAGACGCTTCCGTTTCAAATTGCTCCTCCGCGGACTCGTCGAGGCCCTCGCTGACGACGTACAGGTCGGTGGAGAGCGAGTGCTCGGTCAAAGCGGCGCGCTCGGTGTCGCTGGACGCGCGGCCGGACTGGCGGCCCCAGCTGTCCACGTTTGCTGTGTCCGCGCTCCAATCGGAACCCGCGCTGATGAACCGGTCCTGTGCAAACATCCAGAATTTCAGTAAAGATCCATTTTTGTCGTCAGTTTATATGTATTGCACACTGACTGGCACCCAAGCTCATGGGGATGACCTAGAGCGTTTGTCGATGCCATGTGAGCAGGGCAATGTGAAGCAAGGTCCATGAAGCATGGCAGAGCAAGGGGACTGTTGGTGAGCCGTGCCTGCAGGGTGGAAGTGGGGCTGTGGGAGAGCACGTCTGAGCAGTCGGTCTTGGGCTCGCCGCTCTTGAAGTCCTTGCTGTTCCATGGCCCAGACTGCAAGCTGCCGGCGTTGGCTGTGGAGGGCAGGTCATCACGGTCTGCATGCATAGCAGTGTGGAAGGTGGTCTCGCCAGAGCCGGATGGCCCCACGTCTGCCAGGGCAAGCGCCGCTGCGTACGCTTCGGGGTTGGCCACTTGCTCCATGGCCTCCTCCACAGTTACCGGGCTGCGACAACAGAACACACCAACTCAGCACCTCCCAATGCGCACCAATACAGGCTTTCAAGGATACACAGACTTCCAGAAGCAACCATGGATTATGCAGGTCTGGTATACAGGCAGAGGCAATGCTGCTTAGTTATTGTTTCCAGCAGCTGCTGATGCCGGTGGGAAATTGGCATGCTGAGGCAGAGCTAGGCCTGTGTTTGCATCCCTACCATTCCTATCAAGGCCTTCATGACTAGTATGCCAAGCTGACTCATTCGAGTCCAGTGGGCTTCAGAGAACAGGGGAACTACAGATACAGATCCCCCTGCAAACTGAAAGGGGGTGCTTTGTAGAAGTGAAGCTGTGTTTTGTGAGTGCACCAACCGCGCAGGTTTGTGAATGCACCAATGCTTCCGGAGGACCTTTCAGTGCGCGCACCTGGCCATGAGGCGGTCGTAAATGACAGAGGCGGTGGGCCGTTTGTCGGGCAGGTTGGCTTCCAGGCAGTCCTCGATGAGGCGCGCCACGTCGGGCGGGCACTCCTCGGGCACACGCACCGGCCGCAGGTTGCCGCGCGCCGGAGTCATCAGCGTCACCAGCTCCCACAGAATAATCCCAAAGCTGTATATGTCCACCTGCGCATGCCCAGCAGCCAATCCCCGCTCACCAACAATGGCTTGTTTCTCCAAAGCTTCTCCCAACACACACCGCAGCTGGCCAATTTGCAGCAAATGTGATTTAACTGCACCCTTAGGCACCAGCTTGAGCTCAGATGGGGCAAATCAGGACGTGCGTTTAAAGGTGCATATCCTAGGTGTAGCCTTTCTGGCAGCACGGAGGGTACATGCAGCTCAATCCCTATATTGCAGCAGAACCGACAAAAGGACACAGCCCACACAAAAGATTCTAGCAGCGCCTGCAGGCTGTTGACAGTGCAAAAGATCGGGGACAGCAGCATGGGCGTGTTGGAAGTTGTCAGTTGCAAGGAGGCACCTTGTGGTCGGAGCGCTTGCCCAGGAGCAGCTCTGGGGCGGCGTAGACGAATGTGCCCATGGGCAGAGATTTGGTGTCCATGTGTGTGTGTGCCATGAAGCGTGCCAGGCCCACGTCCGCTATCTTGGCCGTCATGCGTCCCGCCGACAGCAGAATGTTCTTCGTCTTCATGTCCGCGTGCACCACCTGCTCATGCACATGTCAGCGGTCACACTCCTTCCAGTCCTGCATGCACGGGGTCCCGTCTTGATTACAGATCAGCATCACATGATCACGGCTAGACCAGCTCTGCTGGGAAGAGGTTTCCCTCACTGCCAACAATGTGATGCAGTGAAGTGACCCTGCAGAGAGCGCGCCTTGTGCTCGTGCAGGAAGTGGAGGCCGCGGGCCACGTCGAGCGCGAGGGCGCGGCCCTTGTTGTACCACTGCAGCTCGTCCCGCGAGTCTCCGCGCAGAGCCGACCACATGTCCCCGCCCTGCCGCACACAGCTGACCCCCTCAGCACCCCCTCAAATCCCAATGTGCGTCTCATGGCATATGCACAAGAACTCAATTTCAAAGGCATGCAGGCTATTTTGGAATTAGTGTGCAGACATGGAGCGCACCTCCATGAATTCAAGGACCAGCATTGGCGGGCTGACGCAGAACCCTGCGCAGTGAAACACACAATTGTCACAGATGGCATGAGAGGGCAAATTGGTCAGGATTGAGCAAGAGCGATGAAAGGATAGATAAGGAGGGGATAGGGAAATCACCGTAGAATTGCACGATGTTCCTGTCAAAGCTGCACTGCTGCATGATGTACACTTCCTGCGCAGTCAGCCACAGCAGCTTAGTCCACAAAACTGGCGATGCACGTATAATTCTGTTCTGCAGTCTGGCAACAAACCAGCAAAAGGCTTCAAGATGCACATAGCACACAGAGGGAAAGAAGAATCAGAATCACACCCGCTGGAAGCTGAGCAGCTCGTCATCGTTGATGCACTTGAGCACCTTCACTGCACACTCCTGCACGTGCCTCCTCATGGCCTTGTACACCTGCACAACAGTCAGCCCGGTCCGATGGCACAACATTTTGCAGCCCTGCAACTTGCAATCTCAGGTTTTGCATGCATGGGATTGCAGCAATGGAGAGCAAAATGTCAGCGCTGTTGGACAGCAGGAGACCTACCGCGCCAAAGGTGCCTTGACCAAGCAGCCAGTCGGAGCCGTCCCTCTTCTTGCAGATGGTCAGGTCCTGAGGCGCTATGATGGACGCTGCCGGTGTGTAGCCTGCTCAACACACGTTACCAATAGGCCACCTCACCGCTGCAACATGCCTGCTTCTGCAAAGCCTCCACAGGATGGAAGGGAACATGCAATGAAGCTTACATAATGATCAGATGCCCAGGAGTGGACCTGAGGAGGGCTGATCCAGGAGGTGGTACTTGTATAATTGGCGTGGAGTATAAACGAATGATAATCTGCCTAGAACACGTGCAGCAGAAAGGGGATCAGTAGGCAGAATGTAGGCAATGGGTTACAATGGAGAGAAAAGTCCCCTAGATCGGGCAAGCACAGGGGATTGCAAAGAAGGGGAAAGGGGGAACACACCTGGAGGGGGCTTCATGGCGTCGCTGGAGCCACTCCCGGAGCTGGCTGTGCGGCCGCCGGCAAGCAGGCTGGTGCCCAGGCCGGAGCTCCTGCTGCTGCTGCCGCCCGCGCCGAGGGAGCCGTCCCCGCTGAAGGGGCCGCCCCGGCTGCTGCGGCGGCTCTCCAGGAACGGGTAGTTGAGGCTGCTGCTGTCAAACCTGCACCACAGCAGTCGTCGTTTCCTCTCTCAAGAAACCCCTTTAATCCCAATCCAGCGGATCCTTGGGCACCAGTCTGACCCCCGAATCGGGCAATCTACTCATGGCACTCAGGCCAGGAAGTGTGTCGCCATGAGACCTTGATGCTAGAAATATGAAGAGCATGCATGCATGCAGAAGACACATAGTGCTGTTTCTCATGTAAGTTCAGGGTAAGAGGACGGTGAGGAGTTGCAGCGCACCCGCCGTTGCTCTTAGGTGCGCTGTCCGTTGTCTTGTTGCTGTTCAGGTTGAGGCCATGGTAAGGGTCCAGGTTGTTGTTGATGTTGACCTCATTCATAGCTGCATCCTCCTTTCTTTGCTTGCGCCTGCCATGACAATCCCACAATCATTCATACAAGTCCTTCACGGAGACTCTGAAGGAACTTGTCTACGAAACAACTAGCTGTCAGATGCTCAACAGGGTCGAGAGATGTGCTCACCTCCTGTGCATGAAGATGCCAACAGCCAGGCACGCAAGCGCAAGTGCAGCTACAACGCCCGCAGCTAACCCGGCAATGAGCCCCAACGGCATTTTGCCCCCTTCGCCATGGCGTCCCGGCTCAGCACTGTTCCCACCTGCAAGGCAAGCCTGTTCTGTCAGGAAAAAGGGCCCAGGCTTGCATGACAGAAAGGTGTCTCAAACCAGCATTGTTCCTTATGCACAAGCTGGTGAAGGCCAGGAAAAGCTATCATAAATTTACAAGCTGCAATCTACCTGCGGGTGCCGGGATTGCGGACGGTGTTGCTGGAACGGCAGTGGCGGCAGCAGCTGCAGGGCTCTGGGGGCTCCTTGGCGTGGCGGCAGCCTGCTGCGGCGGGCTCTGGACTGCCATAGGAGCACCTGTGATAAGGGCAATGGCAGACATGTAATATCACAACCGTGGCATACTTGATTCTGCCTCAAGATGGCCAAATCTGCCGATTGGTCATGTGTTGGTAAGTCCAAACATGCACATACGCCTGCTTCTGACTGATATTGTTGATTTTGCCTTGCGGTGCATGCCTTGTAGTTTTCAGGCTGATGTATCTCACCTGGCGCGGTCGAGGGTGAGTAACCCAGGGCCTGCAGCGTCTTGGACATGGAGTCCGTGAGGGCCTTGGTCAGGTCGACGGCGGCCGCAACCGAGTTAGTCAGCGCTTTGTCAGCGTCCGATTGGCCCGGCGGAGGCGGCGTCGCCGCCGCTGCCGCTTGCGCCGCAATAAGATCAGCTGGCGTCGTGAAGTTTACTGCACCCACAGCAAACACTTGTGAGCTCATCAGGTGGGGTACATAGATATGCCGGAGTGGTTGCATTGGCAAGAGGTAGCTTGTCCTTAAGAAGCGGACATTGCTCGTTCTTACCTGACACAACCTGCACAGCATCTACTGGCACCCCTGCCAGCTGGAGGCTCTTCAGGAGCTGCGGAGACAGCACCTGCCAATCCTGCAGCACACACAAGCATGCGTCTCATGGATGTCACCACACTCCTTGAAGCCTGTAAATCTGCGAGCTGCGCAAAAAAGGAAGGCTAGGTTGGAGCATACCGCCACTGTTGTGGGCAGAGAGAGGCTGGCAAAGCAGTCAAAGTCGTATGTGATGTTGACGTAGGGCACAGCCCTCGACGCCAGCAGCTTGCGCCCAGGAGCTGCAAAGCAGCAGACACCCACTGTCAGAACTCGTAATCGACCCCAGCTCTAATAACTCTGAGGTTCTCTAGACACAAATGGAGTGCTTTGCTGCTGAACGCCCACTGAGAAGGACTGTAAATTGGCAGGTACTGCAAGGAGAATGCAGGATCACCTGCGGTTGAGGGGATGGCAGCGCTCAGGGAGACGAATATGGCAACGTTGGAGAGCGTGCTTTTGATGGCCCCCAAGGTGGCCTGCTCCTGGTAGGCTGGGAAGGGCAGGATCTGATTTCCCTGCAGCTGGGCGGTGATGGTTCGGGTGCGCGTGGGGATGGGCGACCAAAAGGAAAAAATAGGCTGCAGCAGTGGCGGGTGCAGAACGTCTGCCTGTGCCACTTCCTGCATGCGCACACGGCACTCGGACATTGCAAATGGGTGGAGCATTGAATTAGTGCCCTTTCATCTGATTGAAGTTGGCAGCGCAGCCTGAAGTGGCTCGTCCCGGGTGCGGCCAGAAAGGGGTGCGTGTCAAAGGCAGCAAGCCAAGGATTGGGGCACTCACCTGCCATTCAAGAAGACCCCCGACTCGCGAGAACATCTCAGTAAACACCCAGGACATCGTGTTTTTTGCCGCTGCTTTCCCAGCAGCCACATCCTGCACATGCATCCACCACCCTTAAGAGCCACTGATGTTCACATGCATGGAGAAAGCTGCCCAACTGAGGATCGCGAGAGGGATGCATGTGTAGATTGAGCGCACCACATTGTTAAGGGACGACATGACAAACGGCGTCCGGGTGTCATCCAGCAAGAGCACCAGCATGCTGACACAGACGCCCATCTTCCCATTCGCGCGCGGGATTGTGCAATCAACCATTGAATCATTGGAATTTGCGGGCACCATGGACAGCACCTGCAGGGTATACACGCATTTGCGCATGCAGCAAGAGGAACTTGTTCGAGATATTTCCATAGCCCCTGAGCATGCAGGCACTCAACAGCCGCGCCCCTTTCAGGGTGGGAGAGCAGCATTATTGGTAAGTGGAGGCTCACCTCAAAGAGGATGCCCTGGGGATAGTAAAGCTGCCCCAGCAGATTCACCAGGTCGCTCAACGTGCTGACATTGACTGCGAAGTTGCTGGCCGGCCCATCAGCATAAGCGCTGACTGTGACATTGACAAAGGCCCGGAAATTTGAGACGTTGTATGCAGGCCCCAGTGGCAGAGGCAGCGGCAGCACGCTAGCACCGCCGGGAAACAGTGCATTTGTTGCAGCAGTGTGCAGCTGGCTGTTGTCCCCTTCGGCAGGAGCCCCACTCCCTGTGCAGTGCAAGACAGCAGGCATGGGACTTGAACCTCGATAATAGAATGTGGTGTGACCTTTGAGACGCAGAACAACCTACTTCAGCAATTGAGCTATATCACCCCACGTCATAACGATCGGTACCAAAGTTTGCTGGTGTGTACTGGCAAAGCACGCCCTGACAAACAAGGAAATCGAACGGCACACTATTTTTTGCAAAAATAACTTGTGTTGTGTACAATTTGCCACCCCCAACAAGGTATAGCTCCATTTTGCAAGCATTTTGCTAGTGTCTCAAGCATCCAAACCGTCGCATTGACCGGCTTTGGGTTGCAATAGAACTGCACCAATACGTTCAGAGCTCCCATTCGATTGCCTTGTGCAGATTGTACTTAGAAGCAAAACATTTGACAAGGACTGAAGATTCCCCCTGTCAGGTCTGAGCTGATCCAGATGGTTTGCCGTACAATCCCTGCTCACCTGTTCTTATGCAGCCGATGACAAGTATCGCGGCAACCTGACGCCACATTATTTTTTGGTGCATTTTTAAGCTCCAATTGGTGTAGTCCGATCCAACGATGCATTGGAAGCCCAGTATCTGACGGCGGGTTCTGAGTCGGAAATGCTGTTCATATTTCTTTGGGAAGCGCACGGGTCTTTCTTGCACGCTAGTCCGCTTCAAGTGTGCTGTTGCAGCAGAACCTCGGCATCGAGGAGCAATCCGCCAGAGACCGTTGCACCACCGCGCTGCAAGTTTCAGCTTGCGAACTTCCCGACATCGCTGACGTCACTGTGACTAACAGGCATATGACTCCACGGAACTTTAGCTTAGGGTTTAAAACTTAGGGTTTAGGGTAGGGGCCTTTATAGCAATAATGTTCCCCATATGACTCTGCGGAAGCCAAACTTGGCTTCAGGCAAGCAAGCCCCTGTCCATGACGGCGACTTCTTTGTTGGAGGCATCGGTGGAAGGATTGCGAAGGAATCGAATACGTCAAACAGAAATCGATTGAAGAAAAGTGTAGAATCGTTTCAACAAAGGAGCTCATCAGACGTATAGTCGAAATTATACTTGCCCATACGCGTTATTACGAGACTGCAACTTGAGAAATAAGGCACTTGCTTGCAAAGAGATATATTTGTTTTCATCTTATATATCCTACAAATTATCAGGGGTCTCCCAGAATGTGTGAATCAAGGGTACAGGTTGAGGCCTCAAACGGCCAAGACCGTCCAGTGAAAGCAAAGAAAGTGAAGAAAGGGCTGGAGCCCGTGAGCGCAGAGGGAGAGGGTGGGGGTAATTGCAAGTTTGCAAGAGCTCTGGGATCGGTGGATTGGCACACCCGAGAGCAGGGCCTGCAGGCTTTGACCATCTGGCTTACTAGAACCACTCCTTCCGAGTCTGATCTCACGAAGATCTGGAAGGCGCTCTTCTTTTGTTTCTGGCATTCAGACAAGGCTCATGTCCAGGTATGGTGTCTGCCTGCTTGAACCTCACGTGATCTTCTTTGTGGAGGTCAAGAAAGTAGTGTGCAATACATTTGCATGACTTTGCTGGTGTCTTTCACACAGGCAGAGCTTGCAGAGCGCTTAGCAGCCGTCCTTCCATTGTTGAGTGCCGAGGTGAGCCCCAGATCCCTTCTCAGCAGCCAGCCTTGAGCATTTTGCGTGACCAAGGCAAAGCTACTGTGTTTGCCTCAAGTGTCTAAGGAAGCCAGGGAATTCGCAGGGAGCGCTGCTGTACTTCAAGGTGTTTGCCAAGACGATGCAGCGGGAGTGGTTTGGCATCGACAAGCTCCGCCTGGACAAGTTCATGATGCTCGTGCGCAAGTTCCTGCACCAGCTCTTCGTCCACCTGCAGGAGGGTGGCTGGTGCGCATGTCCTCCTGCCAATAACCACTGCTCTACATTGTCTTGAAGGCATTTCACTCATCCAGTCAGCTTCCTCATAGATCAGTGATCAAAGCAAAGCTCACGGCGCGCAGAGTGGCTCAACTGCACTTTTTCGTGGTGGCAGGGACAGCGAAAGGACGGCGGCATACTGCGCGTTCCTGTCAGAGGAGGTATTCCTGATGAGCGACCGGGAGCCGTCGGCTGGTTTTAGCCTGCACCTGGCGGACATTGCTGTTTCAGAGCTGTGCGCAGCCTGTGATGAGGCGGGCCCTGTGCCCAGAGATGCGCTGGAGGTCAGCTCCGCTTTTGCAGTGCTATTGTCCCTTTCACTGATATTAAGAGATCAGAGTTGCAAGACATGCAAGGCAGTGCCGAATGGGGAGAAAAGCTGCTTTGTGGTGAACTTACAGTGCTAGTGACATAAAAGACACCTCCTGTGGATTGAATTGGGTAATTTGAGCTTGATGCATGCGTGGGGCCGAGATGAAGCATCAGGTTTTCACGCATGCAGGCATTGCTGGAGCCGTTCTGTCTCGCTGCAGCGCGCACAAAGAGGCCGGCGCTGATGGCAAGGCTGCAGGACGGAGTCTTTGGAGAGCTGCTGGAGATGGGCAGTAATGGAGCACTGGCCAACATGGACATGCAGACCATGGGTGCCAGGCTCTTTGACCTCGGTGAGGTTCTGGAGCCTCGCTGTTTGGCATCACAGTGTGCTCCAACGACATAGGATCGTCCGTGCTCCTGCTGTAGCTTCCACATCAATGGTGAGAGGGAGAGTGTAACTGATATGTTGACTGGGTTGTCTGCAGGTGCGCAATCGGAAGTCAGGGCCAGGAATAGGGAGGTGCTGTATGCTCTCAGCAAGCTCTTCGAGCGCGCGGAAGCCAAGCGGCAGAAGAAACTAAACGAACCTGCGCGTCCGCCGGCTCCAGCCTCTGGCGCTGGCTCTGGTGCACCTCCAGCGGCGGCAGGGAGTCGCGGTGCTGGCACAGAGGCCCCTGTGAAGCAGAGCGGCAAGAAGCAGAGGGCAGCTGAAGCGCCCTGTGCCAGCGACCTGGCAGGGGCATGCGAGGGGGAGCTGCCGGCTCCCAGCACTCCCCTCACAACGCAGGGTGCAGCAGCAGCTGCACCAGCAAAACAGAGTGGGAAAAAGCGGAAACAGACAGTAGATCTGCCTGGTGCGGTCCTCGCCTCAGCAGCACCAAGCAGCCAAGCAGGTCGCATGCAGGAAGCAGCTTTATCTGAGCCCAGTACTGCGCCTCCAGCAACGCAGCTGAATGGTCAGTCGGGCGCGCAGTCCACTGGGAAGAAGAGGAAGAAGTCCATGGCGGCCCTGGTGGCTGAAGCTGCCGCCATGAAGGCTGGCAGGTCCGCAGGTGGCGCGCAGCCGGTGGCTGCCTCCACACCCGATGCAGCCACCCCCTCAGGGCGGCCACCTACCACTCCATCGTCAGCCATTGCCGCGGCTGCAAAGCTCACAGAGTCCCAGCGCAAGAAGCAGGTGTGCATGCATTCTTCTCTTGAAGCAATGCCCTCCACCTTACCTTGCGTGTAGATGGTGAATCGGAGGATATTAAACAGGTTTCAGCAGGTTGGTGTTTTCTGTGAGAAGGTTTGAAACATGAGGCGTGGCGTTTGAATGGGTGCTGTGTGCTGGGTGCAGGTCAAGTTTCAGATGAAGAACAATCTGTACTTTGAAAAGGGCGGGCCGGTGCCCCCAGCAGAGGTGCGGACGCCGCCGACGGCAAAGCCAAAGGGCAGCGCCCTCAAGAAGACGTCATCTGTGGCGCCCAGACCCAAGAGCCCCAGGATGCAGGGAAGCGGGCTGAAGAGGAAGACCAAGGCGGCCCTCTTCTTCTGACAGAGTGTAGGAGGTCCATAGGAGACCGTTGAATTTTGAGCTATAGTTTAGACAAGATTTTGAGACCTAATCCTTGCAACCCTCACTTGTTCTGAGCTGACATGATGCAATGATGATAGCTTTATGTTTGGTTTGAGCCCACCAGCACACATGTGCTTGTGAGTGATAGGAATTGAAGGATGCCATGCCCATTTGTGGTTGTATTGAGGCACCACATGGAGCAATGAGCATCAGAAGAATGTGCTTTGAAAAAATCGATTATTATGCACCAAGCTCCATGCAAGATTACACCTCATCGTTTGCTCAGCAACCAACCGCCTGAGGCACCTAGCATGCGCCACCATGGCCTAGACACTATCACGAATCCAGCATCGTTAGGAGCAGTGCAATCCCCTCAACAAGAGCTATCCGGTATACCCAGCACCGCCGGTAGTGGCTGTGCCAGAAGTTGTGCCAACATCATAGCCACCGACGCGGTAGTGCCGAAGGTGCTCGATGGGGAACCCTTCTGTCACCTTCTTGGGCACCACCTCCAGGTCAGCATAGGTCAGCACATTGGGAGGCAGCACGTGGTCCTGTGTCATCTCCTCAATGTAGTCCGCAGTGAACATGGTGTTCACAGGGATCGGGAACTGCGCACCACACAGCAGCCAAATCTCAATGTGCTGGAGACGCAGAAAACTGCAGACCACCCCTCAACAACAATCAATCAGTAGATATGCTGCAGACGAGGGGTTGTTGAGCTGCAAGGGAAGACCTGCAGACAGTGCGTAGTGAGAAGCTTGCATGCTCTGGAGGTGCACCTACCATTTTGAAAAGCTTCTCGCGCGGGACCGCCAGCAACCTGGCCACTGGCAGGGGCAGGTTGAAAGTGCTGATGGGCTCCCGGATGGTCGTGTACACCAATTCCACAATCTGCTTCACCCTGTGGTGGCCAATATATCTTCAGCACTTTGCCCCTCTGCCGCCCACTCTGCCATAACACTGAGCAGTGCAGATCTTCAGCTTGCAGGCTGCATTCGTAAGCTTTTGCTGGGCAAGATTGTGCTGATACACCAAGCAAAGAACACCCCTCAGGATGGCCCTGACGGATGTGGGCACATGAAGGAGTGGAGCATTATGCTCTGCCGGGGTTTGGCAGCAGCATACAGTCCCAAGTCCTACAAGTGCAACATCTGCTAGTGACCAGCTGGCGCATATGTTGGTGCAAAAGCCACGCGTTAAGGGCCCACTAGTGTAATGACCAACAGCTTTGGACAGGCACAGGCGAGGGGAGTGTGGCTCACGTGAGGACTTCAGGCCCGGCCAGGAAGTACTCCTTGCCCAGGGCCTCCTTGGTCTTCAGGGAGTGGATCACTGCGTCGGCCACATCGCGCACATAAGTGGGCTGCAGCTTTGTCTCGCCGCCGCCCACCAGAGGGATGAAGGGGACCTGCTTTGCCATGGTCGCATAGATGTTGTACATCCGATCCTCTGTGCCCACCACATGGCCCGGCTTGAAGACCGTCGCGTACGGCAGAATCGACCGCACCGCCGCATCCCCAGCCGCCTGCATTGTAGCCAGATAATACCCATTTCAATGAGTAATCCTCACAGTGGCCGCATTGGAGCAGCCGTGTCTCACCATTCCACAAAATTAAAATGAAGTTATAGATGAGGGGCCTCGCAAGGGATGGTTGAAGGGGTTGGCGGCAGACCTTTGTGCGCAGCCGTCTGGAGGCTGCGTTTTCAGAGGCGCCAATGCAGCTGAATTGCACAAAGCGCTCAGTCAGGGGGTTGTCAGCAGCTGCCTGGGCGATGCGCGTCGCCGCGTCGATGTGCACGTCCTCGAAGCTGAAGTTCCAGGTCTCCTTGTCCAGGCCGGTCAGGTTGATGATCACATTCGAGCGCTTGATGGCATCCTTTATGTGCGAGTCGTCCCGGATGTTGAAATCCTTCCATTGGTATATCTGCAAGCAGGCAGACATCACGTTTGAATGCCCGACTGTACCTGCAGGCAGCCTGACAGCAGGCCTTGCAATGCATAAACGAGAAGACTGGTCGCTGGGCAATGCAATCAGTGGGAGATGGGGCGCAGTTGCACCTGTCCAAGGTCTCCCATCTGCCGAAGATACTGGACGTCCAATTCGTCACGGCGGTAGGGCACAACCACCTGGGTCCCCTGCCTCGCCAGGGCATTTACAATGTAGCGGCCCAGGAACCCAGAACACCCAAACACTGTCGCTGTCACCCCGCTGATCTGCAGAGTGGCACAACCGGCTATGAGTAGACGTTATATCCACCGACAGCAAGAGCATCAAGCATGATCCCTTCCACATGAAAAGCATGATCACACAAGTGCCTCACCGAGGATCTGCCACCAGGGCCAGCTTTGAGCCCTTTGTTCTTCACAGCAAACTGAGCAAGGTCCGCTGTAGCATACTCCCGAGTAGAAAAGGCTGCGCCTGCAGAACATTCGGGTCATGAAAGATATCTTGGAGATTTATTTGAGATGAAAGGCAGTACAGAAGTGACAAGTTCACAGAAAACGTGCAAGATAGGTCAAGGCAGCTCAAGCTTTGTGGAGAAGAACAGAACATCAAACACCATCAAGACATCACATCCACAACAAGTGATTTGAGAATGCCTTGTATCCATTATAATATTATTTTAGCCTTAAAGCTCTCACAGCATGAAGGCTTCATTACCTGGGGCGAGCCTTGTTGCCATAGAGCTGCACGCCTGGACAGCATCCCTGCACTGCCGCAGAATCATTTCGCGGCAGACAAACAACCCCTTTCAAGATGCTGATCTCCTGTATTCCCTATCTTCTCCCTTTGTGTGAGAAGTTCAAGTGGGCAACGCATCCATGCTATTGCCACCAATGCATTGCGATCCTGTTTCTCTATAGTGTCTTGCGTCCTGCACACTGGCCGGAGAGATCACCAGGATAGGTCCAGTCCCGAGGAGAGCACTTTGCTCGTCGGACACCCCAGTTAGTCATCTGTACTAATCTTCACGTGACAAGCCTAGACAGGCGCACCAGGGGAGACTCTACTGCCCTGCGCCTTCTGCCAATGCAGGGTGGATTTCTTGCGATCTAGATCAACGTTGCCGCAAACGTTGGGCCCTCTGACAGGAGTGGCAAGCGTGAACGCAAACATGAAAATCTCTGCCCGACGGGCCTTCTTTCAGGTGAAGTGCCCCCATATTGGCAATGCTACTGTGGGTTTCTACAGCAGTCAGAATCCCATGCTGATGCGGCTGCGTCTTGTGCAGGCTCGGCGAGGCCTGTTCGAAGGGAGGTTATGGGAGGGACCTCGCTTCGCATCGAGTATCGCGGGAGCAGAGAAGGTGGCTGTTTTGGAGGTTTAGGTTTATTGTGTTCTCCCCTTGGTCAAGTTTCTCTCGCTCTGCGAGGCCACAACCTGAAATTATTTTTGTTGAAGTTTTGATTGGAGTTCACCGATGTGTAGGCGCCCCTTAGTCGGGTGGAGCCAGACCAGTTCCTCAACGACCGGTATGCAGCCATGGAGGAGCGGCTTGCGGTAGGTTTTTCACTCAATTGTTATTGGTGTTTCTATCGTTGCATTTGCATTTGCAACGGTCTCACGCTTCAAAACTTGTCTCCAGGTGGTCCGCAAGAGACTCAACCGCCCTCTCAACTTTGCAGAGAAGGTGCGCTCGTGCTGTTTCTGCTCCCTGCCAGAATTCAGGACATTTGATAATACATTGAGGTATTTTCAAATAATTAATCCGCGCCATGTGGCGCCTGAGATCACGCTGCTAAGCACAGAAGGCAACCCTAGAGGCAGCAAGATCGAGGGTCGATTACCTCAATGAGAATTTCCTTGTGAAACTTGACAACCTTGATCACAGGTCGTCTATGGTCATTTGGACGACCCTGAAGGCCAGGAGATTGAGCGCGGGGTCAGCTACCTGCGTCTGAGGCCAGGTGGGTGGTATGGCTGCTGTGCATGGGAGTGCAGTCTCATTATGTGACGCCTCCAGTGCAATATTCTGAAGCATGTTTGCAATGATGTGCAGATCGGGTGGCGATGCAAGACGCCACAGCGCAGATGGCTGTGCTGCAGTTCATCTCCTCCGGCCTGCCCACCACAGCCGTGCCCTCCACCATTCACTGCGACCATCTGATCGAGGGAACTACTGCTCCTCAGGAAGACAGGTGCGCTATTCACCAGACACCATATTGAATCACCGCAATCCTGCGCAGAACTGAAATACACTGCTGGGGGTCGGAGTTGACGGGGCTGTCAACATTGCACAGGGACAACTCGTTTGGTGGGCCAGCTGACCTAGCGCATGCCATCAAAACAAACAAGGAAGTGTACGACTTCCTGTCCTCTGCCGGAGCAAAGTACGGCATCGGCTTCTGGAAGCCAGGGTCCGGAATCATCCATCAGGTGAGAGGCTTACACTTGCAACAGACACACAAATACCCGTCTGGCTCTGTCATTGTGCAACCTTGAAGCATTGTCATGTGAGCCCAAAGCAGGGGAATAAGTGTTGATTGAGGTGTAACTGTGCAGATTGTGCTGGAGAATTACGCCTTCCCTGGTGGCATGATGATTGGTACCGACTCGCACACGCCCAACGCCGGCGGCCTAGGCATGTGCGCTGTGGGCGTGGGAGGAGCTGACGCCGTGGATGTGATGGCTGGCCTGCCCTGGGAGCTCAAGGCCCCCAAGGTGAGGCCCCCTTGCTTCACGCCAACTACAATTATGAGTTGCTGACCAGAACCTTGCGTGTGGCAAAAAGGATGTGGATTCTGAGTATTGGGTGAAGATTAGCATGTTGGGGTGACAGGTTATCGGAGTGAAGCTCACCGGCAAGCTGTCCAAGTGGAACTCCCCCAAGGACATTATTTGCAAGGTGGCGGGCATCCTCACTGTCAAGGGTGGCACTGGTGCCATTGTGGAGTACTTTGGATCCGGTGTAGACAACATCTCATGCACAGGTGAGGCCCACAATCATCCTACCAGCACCTGCAGGACAAACAGCTGGCATCAGGGGGTCCAATCAGGCTGCTTGGATTGGCGGTTGCGATACAGTAATGACTGCCTGAGCCGCCACATGCATGCAGGGCGAATCATTCATCTCTTTGGCTTTCCGCTCAGTTCATTACATGTGAACCATGCCATACGCGCTTGTCATGCCCACAAAGTGATGAAGTTGTTCGTGTGCTCACACCAGGCATGGGCACCATCTGCAACATGGGCGCTGAGATCGGCGCAACCACCTCCATGTTCCCCTACAACAAGCGCCAGTACGACTATCTGGTCGCCACCGGCCGCGAGCCGGCCGCCAAGCTGGCCGACTCCTTCCGGGAGCACCTGCGCGCTGACGAGGGCGCCGAGTACGACCAGGTCATTGAGCTCAACCTCAACGAGCTGGAACCCCAGGTGCCGCCCTTTCTTCTGCACACAGCCCTCGACTGCTGTATTGCAACATGTTGCATGCGCCCTTGCAAGTAGGAGGCATTATTTCTGACTACAACAAGTTTCTGGCTGCACTGGGAAGTGGCCTTGTGTGGCCAAGCTGCAGAGCAAACACAGAGTGGCCAGAGGACTAAGGCAGACAGAACTTTGCTTTCCACTTGCAACTTGGCAGACTCTTAAGCAATTGCTATTTTGTGAGTGCGTGCCTTTAATACAAGCAGTACTCGTTTCCAGACACAAAAAGGGATATAGTTTGGCAAATTTTCTGAGAGGATTTGGCGCCTGCACAGATCAATGGCCCGTTCACGCCCGATCTGGCGCACACGCTGTCGGAGTTTGCGGAGGCGCTGAAGACCAACAAGTGGCCCACAGAGCTAAAGGCGGGCCTCATCGGCTCCTGCACCAACTCCAGCTACGAGGACATGCAGCGCGCCGCCAGCGTCGCCCGCCAGGCCCTCGACGCCGGCATCAAGGCCAAGGTGCGCTTTTTTTGGGGGGCTTCTTGCACTATGTTTATCTAATAATTTCTGTCCCAGTATGGGCTGGTGCGCGCACAGACATTGATCCTGGTCACAAATCACATGGCTTGGACTTTTGCGGCTGCAGGCAGGTAGCTGCTGTTTTGGACATTGTTCTTTATGGCACGGATTAGAATGGCCTGCGCATGTGATGCACCGAGCGGTCACTTGTGATTCATAGTCGGCTGAAGATGACATGCGTGATTGTGCCAGGTGCCCTTCACGATCACCCCGGGCAGTGAGCAGATCCGCGCCACCATCGAGCGCGACGGCCTCATCGACATCTTCAACAAGGTCGGCGGCACCGTGCTGGCCAACGCCTGCGGCCCCTGCATCGGCCAGTGGAAGCGCACAGAGGTCAAGAAGGGTGTGTTCTTGTTCCAACTCTACCAAAGCACCGGCACTTCTCCCCAGCACATTGTTCTGCTTAGCAATCCAAGCAGGAAGATGAGCTTGTCATGCTTGTGCTCTTGCCCAGCACGACGTTCTGATGAGCATCCGAGCTCAAAGACATGCTTGTCATTCTGGGGTACCTGCTATTGTTCTTGAAGACAACAATTTTGCAGGTGAGGCCAACTCGATCATCACCTCCTACAACCGCAATTTTGCCGCTCGCAATGATGGCAACCCGGCCACGCACGCGTTTGTCACCTCCCCGGAGCTGGTCACTGCCTTTGCCATCGCGGGCGATTTGACCTTCAACCCCGAGAAGGACACCCTGGTCGGCGCCGACGGCAAGGAGATCAAGCTGCAGCCCCCCACCGGCGACGAGCTCCCCGCCAGGGGCTTTGACGCAGGTTTGCTCCCACCCATCACCTGCATTGGCTTGGCCTGAAATGTACCTGTCTGTTCAGGTGACCTGCCTTTGCTGAGCCTGAAAGTTGACGGTGCGTAGGTGAGTACCTGTGGCTGTCATGTGGATTACATTGGTTCTGGTGCGTCTATTGTGTTGGGGTGTACAGCATGCGGCATCGGAAAGGCCACAGGCAGGAAGTGGTCGCTGTTGTGTCGATTGCAAGGGTTGATGGGGTGTGCAGGTGAGGAAACCTACCAGGCGCCTGCCCCCGGACAGGTGGATGTCAAGGTGGACCCCGAGAGCTCGCGCCTGCAGATCCTGGAGCCCTTCAAGGCATGGGACGGCAAGGATGTCAAGGCACGCACCTTTGATCACTCTCTGCTGCTCTTGGCAATGCATCCAACATGCAAACTGGGACGCTGATGTCTGGCCCAATATAGGTGTCCCTCCTCTGATGACAAGACATGTGACGTTGCTGCAGGACGCCCTGGTGCTGATCAAGGTGAAGGGCAAATGCACGACTGACCACATCTCCATGGCCGGCCCCTGGCTCAAGTACCGCGGCCACCTGGACAACATCTCCAACAACATGCTCATCGGCGCCCTCAATATTGAGAACGAGCAGGTCAACAGCGTCAAGAACCAGGTGCTGCGGGGTCACTGCCTCCCGGCATATCCCAACCTGATTGTGCTCTGTTACTTCATCTTTCCACCCGTTTTCTGTCTGGTCACTCCATCCATCAGGCGTGACCAGTGTGCATCCCCACAGGGGATGGTTGTGCCGATGCATGACAAGTGCTGATGGTCATGTTATGGTCCATTGATGGAGCGGATAAAAAAATGTGCGCAGGTGACTGGTGAGTACGGCGCGGTGCCGGCGGTTGCGCGCGACTACAAGGCACGCGGCCTGGAGTGGGTCGTGGTCGGCGACGAGAACTACGGCGAGGGCAGCAGCCGCGAGCACGCCGCGCTGGAGCCGCGCCACCTGGGCGCTCGCGCGGTGCTGGTCAAGTCCTTCGCCCGCATCCACGAGACCAACCTCAAGAAGCAGGGCCTACTGCCCATCACCTTCGCCAACCCCGCTGACTACGACAAGGTGCCCTGCCCTCCCCTCGTCTTGCAGAGTATCCACAGCAGGTCTCAGTAGACTGCAATAGTCGAGCTCTGTTCAATGCCTCTTTTGTAAAAATAGGCCTTTTTTCCTTTCATAACACAAAGCCAGACCTAAGCTGCGCAAAATCTGGGAATGAGACGTGAAGAGTCCAGATGATGAGCAGTGCGGGTGGCGGGATGCAGGTGGGACCCTTTGACAAGATCAGCATCAAGGGCCTGACAGACTTCCAGCCCGGCAAGCCGCTGACAGTGGTGGGCAAGAAGCCAGACGGCGAGACCTACGAGTTCCCAGTCAACCAGACTTTCAACGAGAACCAGATCGAGTGGTTCAAGGCTGGCTCAGCCCTCAACGCCATGGCCGCTGCCAAGAAGTGAGAGGGTTGTGCTTTGCGCTGAGGCCTCGGAGTCCTGTCAGCTGCTATTCGCTTCGTGTGACCCCCTCCGCTGGATTTCTGGCCTTTCATGAGACGCTTTTTAGGCAGATAATATGAGAGGACAGGTTCATTGCGAGGTGTTATTTGCTGTGTCTCAATTCTGGATTGGAAGTGGGGCATGTGTTGCTTACGTGGGGTCAATCATGCTTGAGCCTTGACAAGCATGGCTGTTCTGCTGTATAGGTTTGTACTCTTAGTTGCATGCCTTGCCTTCGCCCTCGGGGGAGGGCATTGCTCGAGTGTCTCTGCCATAGCAGTGCATATTGTAACAGGTGTCCAGGAGTGGAAGTTGCACATTATGCAATCGACCAGCCTGCATGCAGATTTATTAGGGATGTCCGGCAGTGTGTCATGGCCGGACCTATTCCAGGGACTGCTCGGCACAAAGTCTGCATTCGGTGTTTGGTAGGTTCTTTACGAAAGCAAGCAGTAGTTGATGCATCGTATTTCGGCCGGCGCGCGCTAGCTTTGGGCAACGGCACGCCAATTTGAATGGCTTGTATGCAGCTACTAACATAAAGTATTGGCCTGTAATATCTTGCCATGCAGAAATGTTCGAGATTTGACTGGCTTTAACCAACCCAGTATGTATTCATGCTGCCACCGTAATCACCGTGATGTTGATGGTAGCGCTGGCCATGGCTATGCCGCTGGCCATGCCTTGCTGGCTAGCTGGCCATGATGCATCCATATATGGCCGCTCGCGGTGGCTAGCCACTTGCAATATTGGTGGCAATATATTAATGCTGCCGCATGCGGCCGCAATCTGTTTGCAATTGTGCACTGCTAAAGTTGCTATTGGCATTGTGAGCCAGCATTAAATGAGTGCAGCTTTCACTAAGCTGCATTTGCTCAGCACCAGTCGACCCCGTCAATGTAGGTAGGGGGCAAAAAGGGAGGCAAAACCACGTCCAACATGAGAAAAGCCGAGTGAAAACTACGCCAAACGATATGATTCGGCTGTTCGTGATGCATGGTGAACTCTGGTCATTCTGATTTATGTAGAGTAGCTCCATATGCCTGTTCCCATCCAATACCAGCAACATCGGAACTGTCTTGTGTCATCTGTCGACAGGGGATGTTTCTGGCGCAATCACAGTAGACAAATCCTGCAAGCTGGGCTGGTGTAGAAGACTAGGATAGCGCAGAGTGATTTCGTCTGCAGTTAGGTACAACATCGATGTAGTTTGCAAGCCCTCATCAAGAGGTGAACTCTTCTATCATCATTATAATGTTAGCAATAAGAAGGGAAGTGGTAGATTATGGGGCTATACCGCTGTCATCTTGGCTGCCACACGGCGACAGCACGGCAGCAATTCAGAATTGGCTCAGGCACAGCAGCGAGATTGCAAGGGTGGACGGCACGCATCGTAAGGACGCCACCCCTCACGACCGTACCCTGTTCCAAGATTGCCCTGACTGATGTTTACAGAGGACAGATGCTATCGGCGATGTAGTTTGCTTTTTGGGGTTTACACTCGTTGTTTTCACCATGCCTCTTGCAATCGCTGTTGTGAATCTGATATTTATCACCAGCCTCTCGTCCCAGTCTTATCAGCTCAGGTCAGGCGAAAGTTTTCAAGCTTCATCGATCGCAATTGACGGTTTATTGTAGGCTGGGTGGATGTGGACGCTCTAGCAAAGAGCCTGAACGTTCCTCAGCAACACGCTCAGGTAATCTGCAGTGGTGTGCTGCTCAGCCTTTGATATCAAGCCATCTGTGCTGCCGGTTCGCAAGAGACAGGCTTACAGCACAGTTTGTACTAAAGAGGTCACGCATTTGATTGTCTATGATGGTGGATCAATGGGACGTGTGCTCAAGAGTGCTGTCATATCGCAGATCCTCATAGACACTATTGATGCCCTGGCGGAGGCGCCACAGGAAGTTGTGCAACGGCCAGAAGGTATCAGTGAAGCCAACACAGTCGATGCCTGCACCGTGGCTCTGTACATGTTTGGCCAACTGTACATTCGACAGGCCCAGCGCGCAGATGCAATGGATGTGTGGCCCAGCTCGTCGCCACAGGCCGCTGCTGCTGGATTAACGGTGAGCTGCATGCAAATAACAGCAGAGCGGGGACAGTGGACGGTTGCAGTGAAAGAAATTGGTAGATCATGCCTATAAGCTATATGGCTATTACCTCTAATGGTACCCTGCACAAGTTGACAGAGGCATGCTTTATTTGTTGATGGCAGGGCAGCGCGTTTTCGCAGGCTTTGCCCTTTGCTGAGCTGAGCGGCAGCTTCAGTGGGTTTGGGTCAGGAGGCTTTGGGCCTGCAGAGCCCATCTCACCCACACGATCTGGATCCTCAACTTCATCCCCATCCAGATCAGGCTCAGGGCCTGTTTCACCCTCAGGTCAGTCTTCAGTACCCCTGAATATCCGGTGACTATGCTGAAGCAGCTTAATTATCCTGTGCAGCGGCGTTCTGCTGCAAGTGCTGGATACTGACTTGATTCAGATGGCGTGCAGTGCACTTCCAGCAGCAGAAGAGCAACCATCTTGTGCGGAAAGAGCTCCAGGCACACCTTTTTGCGCATCAGCAGCTGCTTGCAGGGTACACGGATCACATCAAACGGCACACGCACGCGCTTCTTCAGCTGGTGCTGAACAATCCGCAGGTAGGCAACATTTGCCAGTGGACGGACCTCATACTGTGACAGGGTGTACAGGTGGCAGCATCCACTTTGAGCCTTGGTAGATGATGAGGCATGCAGCTGTTGGTTGGGATCCACAGTTCTGTGCTGGGTTGCAGAAGGCGGACAGCAGCCTGCATAACGGCACCATTAGCGCTGCAGAGTTTGACCGCTTGGGCTTCCTTTTGAGAGGCTCGGCTGAGAGCAGTCCAACGCAGGATGGCAGCCCCATGGATGTCAGCCCATCACCCTTCCAAGGTGCGGTGCATGCGCACCAGCTCCTCTCCAGCATGCTCTTTGCTCCAGGATGCAAGACAAGCCTGAAACTTCATGGATGCTGGCCAAAAATAAAGTGCTGAATGTTTCATTTGCTGTAGCAGAGGACGGGTGGCGCTTGAGTGCTCATGTCCCACAGTTTCAAAATAGATCCCAGGGTTCTCCTATTAGTCTTGTTGCCGTAGCCGATTGGATGTCAGAAAACATCTTCGATGAATTGGAACCGGCAGGTAAGCATTGCCCGTGTAAGCTGGTGATAGAGTGACGATTCTCTTTTGGCGCATCCTGTGAACCCCACAGACGAGCAAAGCCAGTGTTATGTTGCCGATGGGGTGAGGATTGGCGCTGCCTGTGCAGATGCCATGGTCGGCAGCCCACCCAAAGGGGGCAGAAGAGGGGATTTAGCTCCAGCTGGTATCGTGCAAGGTGAGACAGCCGACCCACAAGCTTGCACATTCATACCAAGACCCAAGTGCCGGGGTGTGCTATCAGTACTCAGCCCTCAACGAGTGCCATTAATCACCCCTACAAACACGTGCGCAGGGGGCAGCGTGGACATTCAGGGCGTGTGCAAGTCGACGGTGGTGCGGGGGGAGGACAACTTCCCTGCGGGCATCCTGCGGGTCACAGACTGCCATGACACGGTCGTCTACGCGCTCGCACCCCTGCACTATGCCAAGATCGCAGCCTGCAGCGACTGCACGGTGTGCCTCCTCCCCACCCACCCTGCCTTGCCTGCTTGCACTCGGTGATCCTGATAAGTGGGGTTATGAAGAGCTTGCGGAAGCAGCTTTACAAGAAGTGGACACTAATTGGTGGCCCTGGTGTGCATGCATCTTGTGCGTGGGATGGTAAGGTGATCACGGGGGCCGGTTGCTTCCTGGCGTCGCAGGGAAACAAGAGGATGGGTCCTTCACAAATTTTGTATACAAGAGGTTCAGCAAGAGGAAATATAATCCAAGGCCTATTGCAGAATTGACATGGTGAACCAGGATTACTTGGAGATGTAGTTCGTTGTGACCAGACCTCGAGCAGTATCTGGCTAAGAATAATGTTGAGGTTTTACAAATCACCCAGGGGAATGAAATGTGGTGTGGTGTCTTGCAGATCATGATTGGGGCGGTGGGGCGAGTGCTGAAGGTGGAGCGGTGCGAGAGGGTGCAGCTGGTCGCATCGGCGGTGCGCCTGAGCATCGCGTCATGCCACGACTGCGTCTTCTACCTCGGTGTCAACCGCCCGCCTCTCCTGCTCGGCGACAACCGCTTCCTCCAGGTGCTTCTCACTCTTGTACATGCTGCGTGCCGTTTCTTCTCATCAAGCCATCGAGAAGCAATGAAGATTGTGCCAACTGATCCTTTCACGACCTGCATTGGGGTAGCAGAGAACCCCATTATTTCGCTTGCCTTGACTTCACTCAAATGCCTTATCACCGCCCTGTTTCAGCTGTTTCAAAGATACGCAATGCACATTGATGTAGACCAGAGAATCTATCTGTACTTTGCTGAGAGGTTTGTTGCGGGTCGGCTGCAGATGGCGCCGTACAACACGCAGTATGAGCGGCTGCCGGTGCACATGGCCAAGGCGGGCGTGACGGCGGAGCCCAACCTGTGGGACCGCCCGGTCAGCCTGGGCCGCGAGCACCGGCCGGCCACGCCCGACTCCGACAGCGCCACATCGGCCGCCGGCAAGGCGCGCATGCCCTTCACGCTGCTGCCGCCCGACAAGCTGCTGCCGCTCATGGTGCCCTTCAAGGGCGGGCCCGGGCCCCTCTGCGGCGGCGCAGCCTCCAGTGGCGGATCCAGGTTGGCAGTCTCTGTCTCCTCCCATTTGATATCTGTGGAATTATTGGACCCTGGATCTGGAAGCATTTCCTGAGTCATGGTGACAAAGTCAAGGGATCAGGAGATTTATTCCAGCCCGGGCTATTGTAAGGCCCGGCCATTACATCAGCCGGCCTTTACATCAGCTGGCCTGCAGTTTGGCTTTCTGCGGCTGCCTTTACAAGACATTGCCGTATTTCAAGAATTGCAGATTGTGAATGACTTAAGCGAGCATGTGGTGTCACAGGATGTCGGCGGATGTGGGGAGTTTTGTGGGGCTGGGGGACAGCGGCCAGGGGGGGTCGGGGCCTCTGGCGCCCAGCCCATTCCGGCTGCCCGCCGTGTACGAGGAGGCCAAGGAGCGCAAGGTGTCCGCCGTGTCAGACCTGCGCAACGCTGTCAAAGCGGTGCGCGACCAATCCCGACCCTGCCATGACTGCATCTTGCTGTGTCCCTTCATAATTGTGTCAAAATGAGTTGGAGGGACACCTGATAAGTTTCATATTGTACTCTTTCGTACAACTATCTGGGATGCACCTGCTTCTATGTATTGGACAAAGCAAATAATAGCAATATTAATATATTTCATGCCGCACATGTGTGTTTCTGAAACGTCAACACTCCGAGTGAGCCTGCGCTGAATCTTTTGTATGTGCAGGCCTCCCTGGACGATGGCAAGAAGCGGGAGCTGCAGGCGGTGATCCAGTCCTATTTCAAGGACTGGCTGATGACGTCGGGCAACATGCGGCAGGTGTATGACCTGGCGCGCATGGAGCGCGAGGAAGCCTCCAGCAGCATGCCCGACAACAGCAACAACCTGGGCCCAGACGGCCCCATGAACATGTCCACGGACCCTTCCTTGTGACCACCTCATGTCTGACACACTCCTGCAGCTTGTGCAGCTGCAGGAGCGTAATGGCATGTAGTTTTACTAGGGGAGCTCCTCAGTTGATGCCGGCAGTGCGCCTGGCAGCAGTTGAGGAGTGGGCTAGTCAGAAAGGCTTGTTGGCTTGTGCTCTGCCAGGCCAGGGGATCTCCTTGCTTGCAGAATATGTCTGCATCGAGCAGATTGAAGGCATTGCTAGGCTGTTAACGTCACGTTGTAGGAGAAGAAAATTAGGAGTGCTTTGACCCTGTTGGACCTGTGCATGCGGGCATTGTGACTGCAAGCGGAGCAGGCAGCTCATGATTGCATTGTTGCAATGTTGACAATGACTCTACTGTCTGTTAATAACGTTGGTGACCTGTTGCGCAGCTCTGTCACATGGTAATGATAGTGATTGCAGTGGTCGTTGAGATCAGCAGAGTGACGTTGTGGTGCACCCGGAAATGTGCCCATTGACTCTCATCTGCCATGTGCCTTCAGATGATCAATTGCACATGAGGCATCACATGAGCTTTGCGCTCATGATCAGTGGATTCGCTTGCATTCGCTTGTTGAGTGGCATATGCATGTGTTGCACGCAGATGAGAGTTGCCATGCCCATGTAAGCATGTGTATGGCGTAGCTTGCACATGTTCCAGCACGCTAAACCCCATGCACATCAAAGAGGATGAAATTCTGAAAGTGCTGCCACAAGGCGCGGCATGAAGTTGCAGTGTACCTTCCACTTGTCACCGTCAGCACATGCCAGCCTGCGGGTCATCTGATCGTACCAGCGGCCAGGATTGCCCCACATCCACCCGTCGTCCCAGGCAGCTGCGATCAATCCAGGGGTTTTCATGTGCATTGCTGTAGTAAAGAAGTGTCATGTGGCGAAATTTGAGCAACCCTCCAAGTCTCCCAGTGAGGAGGTGGAAGATATCAGATGTGATACATAAGCACTTTCCCCAATGACCCGCACGTGATATACCGCTGTGCGATTCCTCAGATGTTGTATTGAAAATCAAGGTGATGTACCCAGCAATTAACCGTTGGTCAAGGCCTTTAAATTCTGACTTCCAACTGCCGAATCGTCAGTGCATGATTGACTATGACCTTTTGCAATCTGATCCTGCCCATTGTTAGCTTGCTTCTGTGGTCAAGCACTTAGCCATAAGGAGACATCAATTTTAAGCTCTGAATTTTGGAACAGAGGACCTTGTGAAAATCAACGTGGGCCAGAAGAAGAAGCCATTGCACACTGTGTGAAACAACACTCTGGCAACCTAATTTACCTCATTTTGCTCAGGCGTGAGGGCGAAGATGGAGATGGGTCAAGTAGCACTCCAAATCAGGAGTCCTGTGCTAAGGAAGCAGGGCGGTGCCCGCCCTCTGGCTCTGTTCTCCTCCCTTGAGGTGCATTCCAGAAAGAAGCCCAGCTTGAGTAGACCGCCTTGCGCACGGTCTTTTTGGACGAGGATAGAGGCAGCCAGCTCTCTTGGCAGCACCTCCAGCATAGACTTCGAGGAGGATGAGCTGCTCGCCAGGACTCTGCCAGAGGCCTCAGACGACCCGGCGAGCACCTCCGGGCAGGGAGGACACAACGGGACAGCCGAAAGCGCCGCAGCAAGCAGCAGCTCAATGGAGGGTGCTCACAGCACAGCACCGCCACCACCTCGCTTACAGTACGGCGACGGTGCATGGAAGCTGCGCTTCCCGCTGTCGCGCTGGAAGCAGAAGAAGCCGGCCCGCCTGGTCAGGCAGGCAGTGCGGCTGCCGCCGCCGCCGGTGTTGCCCGGGACGCGGCAGCAGCCGAAAGCCGCGCCGCCGCCGCGGCCGGCGGTGACTCGCTCGCTTAGTCGCGCGCAGTCATCGTCCTTCAGGAAGGCGTCCGGCTGGGGCCCGCTGGCCTGGCTGCAGCAGCGGTTTGGGCAGGAGTCGACGACAGACTATGTGAGGATAGACTTCCGGGCAGCCTCCAAACAGATGGTCAACCCCTTCCAGCCGTCCTCGTGGCCCAAGCTGGATGTGGATGTGGGCACCTTCTGGGGCCTGCTCGTGCTCAGCCTCGCCTACGTGCACCACTCCACCACAGGGTCAGGCCACTGTATTAGCTTTATCATCCGCACGATGTTGACATACCCATGCAAGACTCTTCATGGAACCGGCGCTGCAAGGCTGAGGCTGTGTGCTGCCGCAGGTTCGCGCTGCCAGCGCTGCTGCCGCTGATCAGCCCCGACTTGCATCTATCAGACAGCGAGGGGGCTTTGCTCACAGTCGGATACACGGTGAGCGCCTTGGTTCCACTGTCACCATGTAAATCTCCTGCGGTCCTTTTCTTCCATCCTTCCCAGCCTTTTTCTTCTGGCAAGACTGATCGAGAGCCTGGGCTGCGCAGTTGCTGTATGCGCTGGCCCTCATCCCAGCAGGCTACCTGGCTGACAAAGCAGACAGGCCGCGCCTGCTGGCGGCCGGCCTCGCTCTCTGGAGCGTCCTCACCATGGCAGCCTCCAAGGTGATCAATTACAACTCCACACTCCTTGGAGACAAGAGCTTTGTCCAGGAACCACCTGCACTTGCAGGCCCTCAAGCAGAAGCACAATCTTTCAACTGAAGCCCCGTCAAGCACATTTGCGTGCTTTGAATGGCGCCAAGATGGATCCACTGCTGAATTGTGTGCTACGCGCGCCGCAGGTGACGACGTTCCAGGAGCTGCTGCTGCTGCGCGTGGGCTTTGCGGCGGCGCAAGCGACGCAGAACCCGATCTGCTTCTCGCTCATCCCGGAGCTGTTCCCGCGCGAGCGCACGACTGCGATGGCGGCCTACAACAGCGCCATCTACATGGGCCGCGCACTCTCCTTCGCCGCCGTCATCATCGCCGGCCAGCTTGGCGTCACCCACTCCACGACCGAATCCGTCGGCGTCCAGCTGGCGCGTAATCTCTTCCTTGCCGTAAAAATCTTATGGGACAATTTTCTTTTTCTCCTTCCAAGCACATGCCATCCTTGCTCATCAACTTACTGCTGTGGTGAAGGAGCCGTAAGCAGTTATCACATCCTTCTCTTGCACATCAATGTTGGGAGCGGGCTGGTTGTTTCCTATGTAATGCATCCTGCTGGGGCGATAGGCGGAGGAGAGGGCATTTTTTTACTATCTTGGAGGAGCAGGTGCTGATTGGTGACTGCACGTGTGCAGGTGCCATTGGATGCGGTGGACCTGTCGCATGTGAGCATCCTTTACACGCAGGGCGAGATGGCCGCCATCACACCCATCTACGACTACAATTTCCAGGTGCGCCTGCGCACCCGCCATTTCTTTGCATCCCCCAGCTTGACCCCTCGTTCCTGCATAGTCCTCACATAGTCACGCAGGGGGAGCGGCAATCACTGCCCTGTGTGGGGCAGTAAATGCTGTATGATGATCAGGGTGGTCTATCTATTTGGGACAGATTGCTGAGACCTTCAAGCAGCACACATGGCCCCCAAGCTACCCCCTGCCTGCCCAGTCCCTCACCACATCAGTGGGGACTCATTTTGGCACTCATTTTGCCACTCAATGCCACCTCGGGCTCGCCAGAAACGTCACCAATGGACATTGCCGAGAGGGGTGAAGCGGTCATTAAGCTGCTCCTCGTGCGCAGGTGGTGTTTACAAAGCTGGCGGAGTCGTCGTGGCGCACCCTGCTGTTCTGGCTGGGCCCCCCGGGGCTGGTGATAGCGGGACTGGCGCTTCTGACACTGGCGGAGCCGCGCAAGGCGCAGGGCAACCCGCTCGCCTCGCTGCTGGCATACTTCCGGCCGGCGCAGCTCGCGCAGCAGACCATCGAGGAACTCAGCGCGCAGCAGTACGCCAAGGTGGGCTTCGGGTCGCCTCTTGCATGCACAATATACAGCAGACTGAGACTGAGGTTGTACGGCAAGTCAACTTTGGGTCACGTTTGCACCGCGTAAAGCAGATTCTGCTGGGAACAAGTAACCTGGCAGAGGCGTGCTCTTCTTATGCATGTTTTGTGCTGTATTTTTCATTGCTAGAATGCACTGTCAGTGGATTCTGGTTGAGGGCTAGTGTATGGTCAGGAAATGCACTGTCAGAGGAGATTGATCCATGGCCGGTTGGGTGGGATGCGGATAAACATGATGTGAGTGGCATTAATCTATTCAAAGTCCTGAGGGGGGGTGTGCTGGCGCTTGCAGACGCTGACGGCGGCTCAGGCACGCGCAGAGCGGAAGGCGGCGATGCTGAAGAAGGCGGAGGAGGAGGAGAAGCGCAACAGTGACATGTGGGCCTCCGTGCGCAAACTCGTCAAGCTGCCCTCCTTCCAGGCGCGCGCCAAATCCCCTTGCAACAACTCTCTGAAATAGGTGGCTTCCATGAACCTGATAGTCTGCATGTCACAGCCATATCCCTACATTTAGTTGCATTTGTTTGCATTCAGTACACACTCAAACTAATCAAATTTGAATTGCTATTAGATTGTGCATGGTTGGGTGCTCTGTCTCCGAGCAGTCTGTCACTGCCAAATGATTTAAGGGTGTGACAGCGATGGGTATGGGGATCTTGTGCAGGCGGTGACGGCTGCGGCGGCGATGAACGACGTGGGCAGCTGGGCGCTGGTGAGTTTCCAGGCGACGTTCTATTCGCGCGTCTATGATTTGAGCCCGGACGTGTACGCGCCCGCGCTCGCCGCAGTGCTGCCCATCGGCGGCATCATCGGCGGCGTCACCGGCGGCCTTGCCGGCGACTGGCTCTCACGCCGCGGCGGCCGCCAGTGGCTCACTGCAGGTCCGCCCATGTCCCTAGCTCGCTGCTGATGGCATGTTTTGCTGGCAGTATACTGCCCCACTTGCCTGCTATGCGTATCTTTGGCACCGCACCTCCCTCCCCTGAACAGGTGTGACACACTCTTCCGGGACCGATGGCTCAGCGCATGTTTGCTCTCCCCCTGCCGGCTGCCGAGGGTATTTTTTTGCTAGCAATGTACCTTTTTCCCTGACAGGAGGATCTTGACATGTGACATGCTCTTCATATGCCCGTGATTCAGCGCTGCAGGCCGGCCCCGCTTGGTTGTACTGGAGACTCTCGGAACTCGCAGTTCTTGTCTGCTTCATACTTTTCGTGCGTTCAAAATCTTGAGGAGCATGTCTTGTTGAGGCTGCTATTGCAGTCTTCACGACGAAAAGGGCAAAAGTTCTTGCACATTCATGAGTTGTGCTTGGGGCGCAGGCGCGACGATCGCGGCGGCTCCGGTGCTGGTGGCCAACCTGATGGCGCCGGACTACCACCAGTCGCTGGCGGCGCTGCTGGTCGGCTTTGCGCTGAGCGAGATGTGGCGCGCGCCGGCCGCCATCATGATCCGCGACGTGTCCCCGCCCAACCTCGGCTCCACCGGCTCAGCCGTCCACCTCTGTGCCCGCAACCTCATCGGCGGCCTTGGGCCCCTCGGTAAACAGCCCCTCGCTTCCTCCCTGACCCCTTTTCACGCAATTGCATGCATGTAGCTCAATTAGCCAGGCACGTCTGTGCATCCCTGCATTGAATGTCATGTGAAGGATTGTCCCACCCAGAGGACCAGCTGGTGCTTAAGGGTCCAATGAATCACATATACTGCCATTAGAGTTGTGGTTTGAGGCTGAAGGATAGTACAGATTCTGAGCAAGGTTGTGGGGTGATTGCAGCGGTTGCGGGGCTGGAGGAGAAGGTGGGGCTGCAGCAGGCGCTGCTGATTGTGCCTATTATGTACCTGCTGTCCGGCATCGGCTTCTACTTTGCTGAGAAGATCGTCGCCTCTGAGAATGCGGAAGCGAAGGCCGCGGACCCCTTTGCTGCGCGCTAAAGGCACCAGCTTTGAGAGTGCCATCTGGAGCGCCGGAGTTTAGGCAGCTGCTAATAGAGTGAGGGTAGACGTAGGAATGGGGAGGCCTCAATGGGTGGCATGGAGGCAAGGCCTATCAGCCAGTCGTCCTTTCATGTTCCTTCTTTTGCCATGAGCCTACGTTGAAAGTGCATGGAGCATGCAGAGGAGTATGGGCTACACTTCAAGAACTGACAGTGATTATTGTAGGGTGAGCGAGTGTGAGCGATATGTAAACTGAAATTCTTTAATGGCCAAAGTCAGGAAGCCCTGGAGTGAGTAATATATGACAAATATCTTTCAGGAAGTTTTAGTTCGGTGTACCAGCGATTGTACAGGGGATTTACACACTGCCCTTCTTTCGGAAACTGACACGCCGTCATGAATGTACCATACTATGTAAAGAACAAAATGCAGAACCTCAAAATTAGACAGTCGCAATTTTCATCTCCTATTTGGAGCCCATGCAACCTACACCGATCAAATCTAGAGGCTTCTTGGACCTTGAATTCAACTGTCTGGAATAGATACAAGCTACTGGCTAAGATATATCTATAGATGTATCTATGGATGTATATACAGCGTCGCCCAAAAGCTTCCCCCGGGGACGATAACATGCAATGTACATCGCACTGAATGCAGGTCAGTGCTCCTTTATACAACCCGTAAGCCAAACACCTCAATTTTCGCAGCTATCCTCACCTAGCCACAGTGCTGAGCCACTGCCAGCCACACAAGAAGAAGTTATTCCGCCCTCTGCCCAGCTGCCTTGAACCCATCACCTGCCCGTCCAGTCATCCTTGGTGACCGTTCTGGGGGTGGCGAGGGTGGATGATGCGAGCGAGGCGCCCAGGGTGCGCTCCGGGTGACTCATGGCGCCCGGCAGCTCGTGCAGTGCGAGGCCGCCCTCCTGCCGCGTGATCATCCACGACGTGCACCACTTGAGGTTGGTCAGCATGTACTTCATCGCCTTGGTCCACCTCGTGTCCTGCACAGTCCCACATTCTCCCTTGTCCCCACACTTACTCCTCCATTTTCAGTCCAAGTGCACAATTGTGTCCCTGGCCATTCACATGTGGGACCATTCGAACCAAAGTGCAATCAGCAATACCACTGATTGGAGGATAATATATCCGCGCAAAAGCCAGGGTGCATTTTTTGCATGCATGATGTGAATGGGTGAGCAACAAAGCAGGGGACTCGTAAATGGACTTGACTTGAGTTGATTCAGACTCCCCTGTGCAAAGCGGGGACGAGAGCAAAGACATGGGGCGGGCCGCACCTTGTTGAAGGTGAGCTTGACGGTGAGGCCGCCGATGCGGTCGCCATCGATCGCGTACGGCAGCTCCAGCGGCGTGCGCCCGGGAATGGCCTCCGACGCGTCTCGCGCCCCCGCAAACTCCGCAAACTCCTGCCGCCCCGCCAGCCATTTCTTTGCTTAGTTGCTATTACACTTCCTCATACTATTGTCCTTCGAAGGAGGAAATCAACTCCTCTTATTCTCTTTGGCAGAGGACAGAACACGTCGCTTGTGAGCGGCCTCCAGATGCAGGGTGCCCCCACAGAAGCGAGTGAAGAGCTGAAAATTAAAAGAGAATGCAGGAGGCACCTTGAGGCAGGCGAGGTAGAGGCACACGGCGCGGTCAAAGTCGGCGCAGTATATCTTGCTGGCGGGGCCGAACAGGTCGTGGCTGCCCTTCTTGTCGCAGACGCGCGGGTAGCTGCCCATCGGCTGCAGCTGGCAGCTGGAAAACACCAGCTTGCATGCCTGCACCACCGCCACACGCGTATCAGAGATAAACCAGCATCAATAAAGCAAAGCGCGATGCTAAACCAACGCCACAGCAGCTCTGACGCCCATGCCTGGCAAGCCTTGAACCACCCCACAACACAAGAGGCAACTGCCAAGACACATACGGCATATGCGGTGATTGCTGCACCAGGGCTACAGGCATGCCATGCCCTTTGGCTCGTCCGACACTAGAAACGAGCATGCAAAAAGGAAGACATATGGAAGGGGCGTGCCTGCGCGAGGGTGTGCAGCAGGAGGACAGCCTGTCCCCAGGCGGCGTTGATCTCGTCCCACTCCACGGGCACCGCGCTGGTGCGGCCCAGGCGGAAGCCCGAGATGGTGGCAAAGGGGCCGTCGTGCCAAATGTGGAAAGCGTCATTGATCACGTTGGTGCGCCGCAGCCGGTCCAGGTGCGCGGACGTCCGGTCGATCTGTGGCGCAACAATCCGACTCAAACACCTAGCACTTGCCCATGTTTTGCCCAGTAGCAGCTTTCTGCAGTTCTGCAGTTCTGCACAAAGCTTCTTCAAATGAGCGCGTGACGGCCTAAAACTGCTCACGCCACATGCGCTTTACACAGCACAGGTGCCCGTGAAGCCGTCTCTGATTGTGCAGCAAGATCAGGAGCCCCACTTCGGCTGACAGCCATCAGCCAAGATCAAGACATTCTGCATGGGCCTCTTAAAAGCACAATCTGCTCCCCTCGCACTGACAATGAAGGCGCTCATGTTGGCAGAGGTGCCTCAAAAACCACCAGTACCGAGCCAGGTACTGCAGCCTCTACAGGTGGGCTCACAGGGCAATATTAATGGAGGCACCCTGTGATCCACTAGACCCTGACCCAATAAACTTCTTGGTAGGGCAGTGTGTAACATGACAGTCAAAGCAGGGCAGCACCTTGCGCAGGAGGACGTCGCGTTCATCGACGTGGGCGCGCAGCTGCAGCTGGAAGTCGTTGAAGTCGTGCCAGTAGCGCGCCTCCATCTCCCCCAGCTCCGCCGCGCGCCGTCGGGCCGCCTCCATCTCGCGCCGCGCCACCGCCAGCGCAGCCTCCGCCGACTCCGCCCGCAACGCCTCCGCGCGCTCACCCTCCTCCGCAGCCGCCATCTCTACCGCAAACTCCTGCGCGCATGCGGGTGGCTTGTTCGAGATTGGGTCCTCCAGTGAGGAAGCCCTCTTGCGTTGGCGTACTTCTGATCTTTGGCGGTGTCCACTTGAATGTGTCTTCTCAGTCTTGAGACTTTCTGTGATTTTGAGCGTGCACCATTGCGGCGAGCCGTCACGCGGCGGGCAGGGGCTACAAAATGGCGCACGAAAGCACAGGACTGCATGATTCCGAATGGGCCTGTGCCTCCAACAGAGGCAGCCGAGCTGCGTTCGGTGCTACGATTGGCAGCTAGGTGGTGAGCATGCGCAACAGCTGCAGACGCAGTGCTAAGCTGTTGCTGTACTATGAGAGTGGTGTCGAATGCAGTGCATGGACGCACTTTCTCTGAGAGCGGCTTGGCGTCCTCGACCGCCAGGTTCTGCAGGGCGGCCTCGTAGGCCTCACACTCGGCCTCCATCTCTGTCACGGCCGCGTCCATCTCCTCTCGTACCCGCGTCGCGCACTCCAGGCACAGCGGCTGATCCACCTGAGCCCAACATCAATCGCAGCACAATGACATTCGTGCCGTGCCTGGTATGCTTTCTTGGCCTTTGCGCATCAGCAATCCAGTCCTGATCCATTGAGGGATTGCACAGTGACCACCTTGCATCTGTGCTTTAGCAGAAACCAGAAACCTGAACCACATGTGTGCCTGAACAAGGAAGGGAGACACAGTTGTGTATGGTTCTTGAAGTGAGTGGCTAGGATGTGGTAAGTGCGGGGAGAGGCTCACTGCAGTCTCTCCCGATGCGATCTCGAAAGTGCGGGCCAGCTGCGCAAAGTGGTCGTCCAGCGCCTGCAAGGGGACGCCGTGGTTGGACGCGCGCAGGTGCCCCCCATGGCCCTGGTGCAGGACTGATGCGGAGCCCGCCAGCATCACAAAGGACTCGTCGAGATTGCGGCCTGCATGAAAAGATTTATGCACGCCTTGAGATGACGTTCTTGCCAATGTGATCATGAGTAGGAAGGCCTGACGATGACAAGGAGACAAAGCTTGCCTGGGTGAGGTTGGTGTGGGTCCTGTGCAGCCTGGCCCCGCTTGGACGCGTCAAGGAGCACAAAAGACTCATCCACTTTTGTACCGCCGAACAAGCTGCCATTCATCAACACCGATTGTTTGCCCGATGGCCCTGCCTGATCCAGAGTGTCCAGGTCTGTGATGTTCAACCGACATCTGCAGGACTGGCAGCAGAAGGCCTGCTCGCTGGGACCAGTCATATCTGGATAGTCACTCAGCGGTCGTTATGCCTCGTGAATCGATCAGGTGGCGAGTATGAGGCGTAAAGCCATCCCCACTGCCACAAGGCAGGTGTCTATTCACCGAGCATTCCCGCTTAAGAGCGGCAGGAATTACTGCAACTTATTTATCGCGTCAGAATGCGAACTCTAATTCTTGATCAAGGGAGAATTGACTGTCAAACAGACTTGTCAATACAAACCAATGTCGAGATACTTTCTCCAGCTATCCAAAGGGTCAGGTACATCAGCGTTGGCTCAAAGCGATAAACCAGAGATTGCATCCTTGTTGCGTTTCCGAGGCGATTAATGGCGGTAGTCTAGAACTGAAGAAGGTCTGTGCGTTTGTCGGCCACGCCCAAGAAAAACCATGCATGCGAGGATACGCGTTCCGAGACTTGCGGTCAATCTAGAAGGACACCATATCATCTCACTTCCTTCATCATTTCGAAGGTTCATTTATATTGACACTTAATCACCTGAAGTCATGAGCAACGTCTTTGTTTATGGCACCTTGATGTCAGAAGAAGTGGTGGCAGCTCTGATCAGAAGAGCACCGAGGCAGCAACCTGGTAGGATACACATTAAGATATGAGTAAAATCAAGAAACGAAGCCCTCTAGACAAGGCCTGAGTTGTGTGCCTTTCTCGCAGCTAAAATCAGAGGGTACAGGAGGCATCGCATCAAGGGTTTCATTTTTCCAGCGATAGTTCCTGCAGAAGAATCTGACGAAGTCAACGGCCTAGTAAGTATATGATCAAATGGTTGCATCAGGCAGTTCTGCCTCCTTCTGCAGGTGAGCTCATTAATAAAGGCAATTGTGATCTGATGTTTCTTGTGTGCCCCCGCAGGTACTCTATGGCTTGAATTGTGAGGAAATGGAGGTTTTTGACGGTACATTCGTCGCCCATGCAGTGATAATAGTCATGTCCAGTATTGAATAACGCGTTTGGTATGCCTACAAGCATCTTGAAGTGTCCTGTATCTGAAGAGTTTGAGGGCGAAGAGTACTACAAGACAGATGCAACGCCGATCTTGGCTGATGGCAGTCAGGTGGACGCCAGTGTGTACGTGTGGCAGGACAGTGCCAGGTGATCTCAAATCTTCCTGGTAGTACTTGTGTGCAAGAATAGTGAAAGTCCAGGCCTTCCTCTGAGACGGATGGGATTTATGCAGGCACCTCCTCTATGGCAAATGGGACTATCAAGAATGGAGAAGGAAGCATCTGGAAAACTACGTGAAGATGTGCACCATATTTAAGGAGGAACTGGAGCTGACAAACACCTCAAACAATAGGCCATACAACCATCCGGAGCCCGTTGAGAGCACATGATGAGAATTGCAGCGCGCTTTATGGCCGATAGCTGCTTAGATGTCTCTGTTGGTATTTGAGAATAGGTGACAGACCCATTGTCTGTTCGTTAAGCTCTTCTGATACAACACAGGCAATAAACCTGGCAATGTCCAACATTGAATGACTCTTTGTTATCAGCGCTGCTAGCTGCACCGGTGCCAATTTTTGTTACACAACTTCTTTCAAGAGCAGGGCGCTGGGGTATTATCATGTAGTGTGTACAGCTTCAATAGGCTGGCCAGTGGTGTGATGTACGAACATCAGCGTCATGCTCAACTTGAAAGCGTTTTAACAGCTCTTCTATTATACATTGTGCTATGCCAGGCTCAAGCTGCACATATGTCTAGTAATGCTCGACCTTCTTATAAATCTAATTCAGCAACAAATACAGCAATATTACAGCTTTGAGGCCATCTCAGCATGGCACTGTGATGTGGTCGTTACAGCTCTGTGTTTGGGTTTGCCCTGAAGCGTGGGGCTGCTGTGTACCCAACAGCTCGGGTCAGCCTGATGAACAGGACCACACCAGCAAAGGACAAGCAGACGCCAAGTATGATGAAGCACGTCAGCCAAAAGCTCCTTTTGCCCCTACAGAACAGGCCAAGCTCGTCAAACGATTTGGTATAGGACATAAAGCTATCGTGTGATAGTTCCAGACATCTATTGTCCATGGTCAGCTCTAGATGCCAAGCTTGAAGTTTGAGCAACACACACAAGGTATTAAATTATATCACTAATTGTGAAGCATGTCTGGCAATCTACAAAGAGTAAAGAAAGCTGACCTTGTGTGCTCCTCCTTTGCCCGTTTCACGCTCTTCTGCGCTGAAGCCAGATTCCTTTCTATGCTCTCATCGGTCTCTTCCAGCAATACGCCTCGCTGTGTGACAGACTGCTGCATGGCCTGTGCATTGCGCTTCAGCCCAGCTGCCAACTCCACCATCTCATCCGTTAGATCATCCTGCAATTTGCAAAGCATGCATCTTGAGCACCTGCCAGAGAGAGAATAATGATGCAGCAGAGCTCGCAGTCATGCAAAGGAAAGTGATGCCTTGAGAAACTTTAACAGGCAATCTTGCAGGAAAACACCTGCAAATTCTGCTGCCGATCAATGACTTCCTTTGTGTCCGAGGTCAAGTTTCCCAGGGCTGGCCGCTGATTGAGTGCAGCCCTCTCCTTGACCCCCTCAGACTGCGGCGCTTGTGCAGCTGATCCATGCTCCCCAGCAACAGCACCTGCTCAAAGTATTGAGATCTCCAATCAGTTCCACCACTTCCCTTGCCTTGCAAGGCGCCATAAACTCTTGAAAATGGAATGGAGCAGACCTCCTGCAGGACTATTGCTATTGCCCTCCTTCATTCCTGAGGGAGGGGTGGCCTTCGTGCCACTGGCAGGGGGTCTGCAGTATGAGGGCAGCTTGGCAGGACCAAGTTGCCTCGAAATATTATCCACATGCTGCTCATACTGGTCAAGAAGATCGCTGGGTATCCTGCAAAAGAAACACCAAGTTCAAGCGTACAGAGGAACTACAAAAACTTCACAGATGTTCCAAGAAGTTTACATCTAGTTTACTGTCGGAAATCGCGCCAAGGAAAGTGCACTTGTACCTTTTGGCGCCTGCTGATCTGAGGTCTGCGAGCTGTTCTTGGAGGGTTTCCACGTACTGCATATGGTCAAAGTATACATTTCAAATATTTCAAATTGTGCAAAGATATTTTCAGGAACACAGGTGGACAAAAGAAATGATCTAAAAGCAGTTTTAATGTGCTTACATGGTGAAATACGGGACTCGATCGCCAATCTTGGAAGTCTTCTCTCCCCTTATTGTCTCCTTCAATAATCTCTTCGCAGCTCTTAAGAAGTCTCCTGAAGCTTACTTCCAGAAACAAACCAGATGTTGGACTTGGCAGTGAGAGCATTCGTTCAAGATCTATCGTCCAGAGCTTTACAAGTTGCTATTATGTGTTAGTAGGAGGACATTCAAAGTTCTTGTGTCAAATACGCTTCTGAAAGGCGTCTCATCTGAAATGACGACTTGCTGGGCATGTAGCGTAGCTTGCCAAGTCGGGCGAGGTGATGTGTCCTCATGCAAGCGACTATTGGGACTATAGTGGGAAGTTCAGGGTGAAATGCGCATCATGGATCAGGAGCAGAGAGTTCCCTCTTGGAGTGCTTGAGAACTTCAAGCTTATCCTGGTGAGAGGGTGTCGTCATTGAATTTGTATGCATGCCATGCGTGTGTGCTGCAGCTGCTCAGTGAGCAATTGCAATCATGATCAGCCCAGTGCCGCCCCAGTCACTGTGGGCCTGCCACGCCATGCCACTGGCTGCTGGCCAGTCCATGGTTATGGTCTCAGAACTTTTCTTCAGAAGGGCCAGCATAATCTAATCAGACACAGATCCATTTGCTTCATCACATGCCTGTCACTTTGATATATATACAAGCCTTTCTGTCACTCGCTCTTTCATACTTATAGACTTGTACAATTTACATGTACCATATCTGCCTATGGAACAGACAACATTCTCAAGAAAGCAAGCTGCCATAATCCAGCAACATGCTTCATTAGAGCAGTCAATGTAAGTACACGAGTGTCCAACAACGAAGATTAAATAATATCAGTGTGGAAACCCACATGCATTGCTGTTCTTAGAGGACATTGACGGGCTGCAAGGACTGAGTCGTGCATACCCTGGTATTGCACAGACCCGGCCTGATCAACTTTTTTCTGAAGCTCACCCAGGCTGACAACGTTGCAACGTTATGGGTGCAGCTGCAGCTCTCATGGCCTCATCTGCTGGCCTGGCGACCTGCGCAGCCATGTGGGCCAGCGGATGGCGCTGCTGGCCGGCCGAGGCTGCACCGGCTGAGCAGAAGGGCCAGGTCTGTGCGCTGATTGCTATTCAGGGTCTAGCAAACCCCGCACCTCTGTCTTTTGCCGCCTGTAGTGCTTTGCCTGCATGGCACCACACATGATGGTTCCTTCAACCACACGCTCACCATCAGAGACCTGTCGGCCTCAAAACTTGCTAGATACAACAGCAACAACAGAACAATATGCTTTGCCCAATCACAGAAAAGGGTGGTGATCTTGCACAATTCACAGCCGGCTGGCCAGGTGCTGCGCAGCGCCTGCAGGCTCACCTGGCAGAAGATGAGGACGTCCAGGGAGACAGTGCCGAGGCTGCCGAGGATCCAGGGGGTGGACGCGCGCAGGTCGGCCCATGTGTAGGTGCGCAACAGAATGCCGCTGCCGTAGGTGACATTGGCCGCTATCGCGCACCCAAACATGGCCAGGCTCAGCCCCTCCGCGCTGTGCCGCCGCCAATTGCGCACGATCTGTGAAACTCGGGATCCCAGGTAGAAGCCCGACGAGGCATACCCCAGCACCTGCCCAAACGTCCTGCAGCCAGCGGCATGCACCCCATCAGCTATGTGCCCTCACGACACCAAAAATAATGGGACCACTCCCCACATGAAATGGCATCTTTCAACCGGCTAGCAGAGCCTCCTTGGGTGTGACAAGGGCAGTGTCTGGCTCATCTTCAAAGCGAAGTACTCTATAATCTGGTTCATAAGAGGGTAAATATCGACAGAGATTCACACCTGGCCCACTCAGGCATTTGGCCGCCCTTCCAGAACGTGGCCACAAAACTCGGCTCCCACAGGAGCTGCCGGCTGCCAGCGCCGCTATCGCGTTGCTGCCAGGTGAGGGGCTGCCCCCGGTCGACGCCCCAGGCCGAGCCCTGCCACTGCAGCATCATCATGAAGCAGCAGCACGCCAGCAGCCGCACCTTCTGCTGCTGCCCGGCCAACAGCGGCTCCTGCTGCTCTGCCACTGCAGAGCTGCCACCCGCCTCTGGCTGCCCCACCGCCACTATTGTGATTTGACCATCCTGCGCCCATGTGAACGCTGTCATGATGATCCCCTTCATCATATTAACAGACGCATTGAGACAGCGCCTAGTACAGATAAACAGGGCAATTACAACCTGGTAATCTGCACAAGTCAAGACCATATGGTTGCAGCTTGAGAGACAAGGCCAGAGAGGACTCACATGCGTGTGATGCATGTGCCTGGAATGCCTCTGGCGCAGGCTCTTGCGCATGGCTCTCAGCCTCTGCCGCCGCCTCTGCAGCGTGGTGTAGTAGATGTATTGCACAACAAGCACCACATCGGCGCAGACAAAATACCTGCGCATCAATGACACGTTGGTGAAGACTGCAATCAAATGATATTGACGATGACAGCCGATGACAGGACCAGTCAGAGGAGGAGGGGAGGGGCCTGCTTACATGGCTGTATACACTTGTGTAGCCAGCTGACTGCCAGTCAGCAAGCACCCTAAAAGATTACAAGTGTCCCCCTGCAAAGCACCAGGTTCAGTTGCGCTGCATAGCTACTATTTGGAACTCTGGCGACTATCTTGATTTAGAGACGGGCGCGCACCAGTAACCATTCCGCTAGGAACCAGGGACTGAGCGCCTCGGCGCTTTTATTCCGATAATTGCTGATTATCTGCGGCAACTGGGCGACCAGCCAACATGCAATGGACGACATGCCCAAAATGAAACCTGCAAGGTCCCGATAGCTGCAGACAGCACACAGGAGCTTCTCAGCTTGATCCCATGCTGCTCTGTTCATTGTAATCCGAGATCTCGACACTTCTAAGTGTTGAGTCCAGGAGTCAGAGAATGCCACGCTGTATTAGACGTCCCATGCTCACCAGCAAAGACAAGCATCCAGGATATACAAGCTTCAGCAAGTGCTAAAAATTAACCCATTATAAATATCAACGCACGAGTTGCAAGTACCAGTACACTTGAGGATCATGTTGGTCTGAAAGGACCATGCTGACATAGCAACTAAGGTGTTCAATCACACCGAGGGCGCCGCACCTGTACACACAGTCCCTAAAATAGACCTCGATCCAATCGTACGCTCCATCCTTACACAAGCCCATAGTGATTGCGGCCAGTTCTTGATCAGATCATCAATTATTGTAGGTAGCAACAACAACAAGAACAGGTGCGACAGAAGTTTCGTGTTGAGCAATAGCTCACTGCGGGATGGAGCCCCCGTGTTTGCATCAACTTCATCCCACAGCTACTTGGATGACCACTATGAAATATATTGAACGCTTGAGTAGCAGCTTCTATCTTGACCTCTTCGGAAAGCAAGAGTCCATCATGTGGACCCATGTGATTGAATGAAATTGACCGTCCAATGAATGATTTTTGTTTTCGCCAAGATCAGCCAGCCAGATCACCAGATATATCAGAGAATTGCCTGTTTTTACGGACTCATTCCAGAAATCTCATGCCATGGCATGCAAGGGTCAATGATGCACACCACCAACATATCACAGCACTGCAATCTGTGTCAGTGCCTCATCATGTTTGGGAGCCTTCATGCTTGCCAGGTCGCAGATGAAATTGCACACGACCTCAGCTTGCGCCAGCAAGCCAATGCCGGCTGAATGCTTCACGCATGAGCAGCCTTGGACCCGGTGGTACAGGTTTTCAATTGTCATGCAGAGCTGCAATGGCACGCACAGAGTACTATTGGAGTCTTTTGACCGCTCGAGCAACTTGCATTGCTCATGCCAGATCAACTGCAGGACTGGGAACTTCCTTTGCTTGAAGCTTTGTTCAAAGAACTTGGCAAGTAAGTCCAGACAGAAAAGGAAGGGGCCTCGGCCTAGTGGTTTATAGACGAGCTGCAGATCACTGACAGGATGATAAATTATATTGGGATGCCGATGGACGGGAGTGACATGCACCTGGCCATGCTCCGATGTCTTCTGTGTCGCAGCAGCCAAGATAGCGTCTTTGCCATTCTCGAGAGCCAGTATCTCTTGGGACACAAGGTCAATATCTCTCCTCGTTCCTTGCACTATGTTGTTCAGTGCCAACACCTTCAAGGCTTTCGCTTTGCAAACCCCTTGCAGCTCTGCTCTGCAACTCACACAAATATCAGTTGCATGTTATTTCAAATTGTCAACGATCTCAGATATTTTTCAAACCAGGAGATAATGCTTCCACCCCAGATGTCCTCTGTACGTGTGAGAAGGCAAGAGAAGTGTCCGATTGAGTAGAAGCTTTCAGTGCCCACCTCTTCTGCTCTGCAAGATCGCTGACTCTCTGTTGCTGCTCCATAAGGTCGCTGTTTGTGGCTTGGAGGGTTGCATGCCGGGACATGATATCCTCTATCTCATGAAACTCCTCCGTCGTGTCTAGGATGCTCTCTAGATACTCCTCATACCTGGTCAGCAAATCTGCATGTCAGGCATATATAATCAGGCCTTGGCCTCGTGTATCACTAATGAATATCCAGCATATTGTAAGACCTTGCAGCCTACAAATTCGAATTTGTAAATTGTCTGGCCGATGCGATACGCTTCTTCAATTTGAAAGGCAGGGCTGCCGACCTCAGGTAGCGTTTGAGTGCCTCCCTCGTCTTCTCTGTCAGCAGCTTCACATTGTTGAGGCTGCCTTGCTGCACTAGGAACACCACTGTAAAGTTAACAGCGCTGCAGCGCTTCCCTGGAAAAATGGCCCCTCATCCATCTGTGAAGACAGCATTGCTCGCAAGTATGCGGATGTTGGGAACAATCCTGGGGCACAGAGAAGAGGAGCACGCACCACTTGTTCTATCTCAAGCTCTTTGCTCTCCTTCATTTTCCTCTCATCCGCCACCTTCTTGATTGCTCGCACCCGTTTTGCTTCATTGTCTTGCAAGAACTTGCTGAAGCGTATCATGGAATCCTGGAGCTCCAAATCCCTGCTTTTGAGGCTCTCCTCCCGCCTCCTAAATTCCTCTTCCTGGACAGTACACTCAGCACCTTGCTATTCTTGACAGAGTAGACCTCTGAGAGATGAAGTATTGCAGTGTTGTATGATGGAGGACTGCCCTTGCCATATCGGAAATTGATTGGATGGTGTCAAGATAGCGTACCTTTCGTGCAAATTCCTGCTTTTGTTTCTCCAGAGCTTCCTGAATCTCAAAGGTCTCGCGCCGTTTCTCGAGCAGGCGTGTTGCGGGTGACACATGACTGGGTAAGAGGGAGCTCGATGGCAACCTGTCGCACGATAAATTAAATCTGTCATACCAGAACAGCGCACAAAACTTTCACATTTGCCAATTGTGAACAAAAACAACCAGAAGCAAGCACACCTCTCACGTGGGGCATGCTGCATTAACTGGATCGACTCCATCTGCTTGCAAGAGAGCAGGTCAACAGTTGCAACACAAAGATATCGTAAGAGAAATCGAGATCTTTTTATGGGATATGTTTTCAATCTGTAGCTTTGGAGATCGCCTTGTCAAGACAGATCTAATTTTAGCCAAATTCTTGGAAGCGCCGTCGAACCAGGATAGTGAATGGAGGTGGAAGCTGAAAAAATTCAGGTTAGGTACCAGCACGCTAATATTACTGCTCTAGATTCCACCTATCTTCTGAACTTACCAGATATGGATAAAGACTTAAAAAGGGCCGCCTGTATGCATGTCAGGTAGGTGCAGCTGTTTATAAATGGCCATAGGTCCAGGGAGTCATGATAGTGTGTGCACAGCTGTGGTTAAAGACTTGCGCTGTATGGTGACGAAGTGACAACACTATGATGTCCAGGCACAGCAGCTCACTGTCGTGTGTTGGAGTTGGCCTCGGCAAGCCTTGACCAGTTTATGCACATTTTAGATTACATCGGACATCAAACTTACATCATAAATCTCAGAACCAATGATCTAGTAGGAGTGTCAGCACCCCACAAGGCCAACTTCACTTTGCCCCAGCCTATTCAAAGCCTGCATGTCCTCGTCTGTGAGGGAGATCTCTGCTTGGGCATGAATGCTGGCAGACTGCCGTGCCAGCTCGCAGAAGAGACCCACGTTCTCCTCGGGAGTTCCCTGAGCCACTCCATGCCCTACGTTCAGGATGTGCTTCCTGGGGCCCGCGGCGTGCAGCACCTTGGTCACCTCTCTCCGCAGAACGTCCTGCAAGCACAGGAGGTGTTCAATAAATACTTCACCATCTGTAGCCATGCCATGTCCCGATGAGGTTTACGCACACCCTAACAGACCAGGCAGCTGTGACCCTTGCTTGGCCAAAAGGAGAATCACGCTGCTCAGCAGGCAACAGCAGCTGTGCCAGCCTTTTGCCCCACATTTGCCCCCTTAGATGCCAGCACTGGCTCAGAAGGCAACAGCAGCCATGACAGCCTTTTGCCCCACAGAGGTGTGCACATACTGCTCAGCAGGCAGCAACAGCACGCTAGGGCGACCACGGACGGGGCAGCACCTTGTAAAAGATACTACTTTACTGCTAAAATGCTCAGATCATGCTTGAACAGTAATTTGCTTCAGCACACACCTGTGGAGCAAACAGCAGCATGGGGTCCATGTTGCCCTGCAGCACACGCCCTGCGCCCAGCTGCCGGCGCGCGTCGGCCATGTCTGTGTGCCAGTCCAGGCCAATCACATCCGCGCTGCACTGCGCCACCTTGTCCAGCTTCCCCGTGCCTGCACAGCGCCGCGGCACAAATCTTGCTTTTTCCGCAATGGCGCCTCACAACACAGGCAGCCCCATCCTGAACCATTAATTTGAGTGCCATTTGTGTCGTCCTGGCCTGTGATTCACTTACTTCCAACCTCATCCTTCCTTTCTTCGTTTGAGCATCAACTCTGCAGGTGCTATTGGGAGCTTATTCCTTCAAACATGCAGACAAGATCCCCAGTGCCAGGGTGCTCTCACAACAGCAGCGCTGTGGTGTGTGCCTGCCTGGCTATCATATTGGGGAAGGCAGCAGCCAGAGAACACACCTCCATTGGCGTGGAAGATGAGGGGTGTGTCCGGCCGCTGGGCGCGCACACCATCGATCACGCGCTGCGCATAGGGCAGGCTGAACTCTGCAAACTGCGCTGGCGACAGCAGGCCTGCCCAGGAGTCAAATAGTTGCACCACCTGCCGCCATGCAGCAACCATGTCTCTGTCAGCAATCGTGCTTTCCTGCCTTGCGGAGTTGAGTCAGCCATGTGTCGGGCATCCAGTAAGCAACTGCGTCGACAAATAGGTGACAGGCATTTCAGTGCATCCTAACTTCCGCTAAGTTGGCCATGGGTTGAGTCGCACCTGTGCCCCGCTGTCAATCTGATGGCAGACATAGACTATGAGGGCCTCAGTCAGGTGGTCCAGAAGCGCGTGCAGCACAGCAGGCTGCGCTGTCATGATCTTCTTCGTGGCCATGCACTGCCTGCAGCACACAACAGAACACCTCTTTATGATCTAAATCCCCCATTTTCCCATTGAGTATTGAAAAGCTACATCTTTGTCACGCTGGACCTGGGTGTAGCTCATTGATGCTACACCACACGGGCTTTGATCAAATTGAGGTGAGGTGCAGGCGCACTTTTGGAAGGTGCCCTCCATGGAGTAGGCTGCCAGGGTCCAAGGGGCGCCGACAAAGCCGAGCACTGTGGAGGCATTGCCCACCTCCGAGCGCAGGTTTGTGAGGATCTGCCTGATGAAGGGCAGGCTGCTGTCTGGGTCCTCCATCGGCCGCAGCGCCCTCACTTGCTCCATGCTGCACCAGCAGAGCCCAGCTCTCACACACTCAGCGGCCAAACCTTGTCGGTGCTTGAAATTTGGCAGGATCTCTGTTGGCTTGAACCATCAGTGCAGTGGGCTCCCTTGCACAATGCTGTCATGCTGCCAGGCATGACACTGTCTCTTCATGAATGGGAAGAAGGCACACGTTCTGATGGGAATGGAGATGGCTGGTCCCTTGCCCCTCACAATGTCGAATTCTATGCCCAGCACAGGGAGTGGGGTCAGGATGTCGCTGAACATGATGACCCCGTCTGGCTGGAAAGCCCTCCAGGGCTGCAGCGATAGCTCTGTGGCTATCTCTGCGTTCTCAGACCTTTCCCTGAAGGGCAAGCGGTCTGAGTACCTGCGTGAGCAGAGCACATCTAGATGCCTGAAAATCGGATCAAGGTGCTTCTCATCCACAGATTTTTGGACGTTCAGTGCCGCTGTATAGGAGGATTTGGATCTTACTTCCTAAATTCCGCCATGTATCTGCCTGCTTGCCTCATCAGCCAGACAGGTGTCCTTTCTGCATCTGCTCGGACATCAAAAGGAGGTGGATATTTGCTCAAATGACCAAAATGCCTACTAGGATGAAGAAATTCAAACAGTGCTCCATAAATGAGCATCATTCGGCGCACCTTCTCCCCTAGCCACCCTTAGTAGCAAAGGATCCTCTGCCGAACAACGCACGATGTTGTGGGCGTTCAGACGTCTTGATGTGTGGCAACATGACGGTCTTCTCGTCGTAAATGTGCTTGTTATGCCCTGAAACTGGGCATGCAACTGTGTCTGCATTGTGCAATTGCGTCTTACGCAATATAAAAAGTTAGGAATTCAAAATCAAGGGGTACTTTTCATCGATATTCCAAACTTCGGAGAAATGAAATGTTAGTATCTTGTTGAATTTGGATCATGAAGAAAGAGCTTGAATTTTGAAGAGAAAGCGACACAGCAAATCTTATCTCGGACCAAGTTTCGCCTTGTCCACGTGATTTCGCCCGAAAGGAAGAAGTTGAATTGCCTGATTCTATCTAGTTGATTGTCAAAGACATGAACAATTATTTGTCTGTGACTGAACATTAATCCAGCACTGTCAGTTGCCATGCTCTTGGCCTTCGCTGCCGCGCGCTTTTGAGCCACAGACGGCATTCAATGCAAAATTCTGCCCGTTCCGGTATACCGGAGCCTTCCCGGCCCGGGAGTGAGTTCCTGGGGACTCCTACCTCAGGTAGGCTGTCAGACAGCCATGCATGGTTTGCGCAGAGTGCGCTGCATGCTGTGGACACTCATAGCAGGCGCATACATCCGCTGCTACGCAAACGCCTCGGGCTGCTTTGTGAGCTCAAGAAAACTTGGCCTCCTGATTTGCTTTTGGTACCCCAGAGAGCAAAAGTACCTAAGAGCAGTATTTTGGTTACACTTGCCCGAGTATTGATCCAAGAAAAAGGTTATAACACTGGTGACAGGCCCAAGCAAGGCTCATATTCTGGAGGCTTCTTGTAAGAGTGTTACCGGTCCTCAATTCATGTAAGAGCATCCTCATCCTACCACACAATCCTGTATCATCGGCGCCCCTTATGAGGGTCACTTCTGGTAGTAAAGCAAAATGTCTTCTGGGGATTTTTTCTCGTTCAAATACGAATTAAAATATGACACGCAATGTCTAATTATCCCATTATTCTGTAATGAAATAAAAAACTTGCTGTTCTGGCAGCTGCCTCAGTTGAAGCAGGAGTAGGCTTTGGACATCATACAAGCCACTATCTACAAAAGAAAAAAATCATACTAGGTGCTGACGCCTCGATCGCAGAAAGTGCAGGTCATCAAGTCCTAATATTGCAGATGCTGGGTTTGCTGCCTTGCAATTGTGTAGTTCAGAAAATGGCTGCATACATCTAGATATATTCCGAGCAGAGTCTGCCCTGACACCCCAGGCAAAGCTAGCTGCATACAACAAGCTGAAGGGAAAAGCTTTGGCACATGGTCCATGTGCCAATGCGTCACATGTTCCTCCATCATATCTGGTCAAATGTGACCCACAACTTCAGCTATGCAAGTCACTGGACGGACTGATGCGAAATGATAAAGGAGGGGAATCGTGAGCTAAGTACAGTGTCAAAGGTACCAGCACAGATTTCTTAGTGGCTATATGCGCGACTCCTCTAGACCAGGACTTCACTGGACACGACCTTCTCTGTTCTACAGCCCACAGCTCTGCGACCAATCAGCCCAGGCAAGACATCTCTGTGCCCCAAGGGCAACCCATTCCATCTCTGACCCCACTGTGTCTATCTGAACAGACCTGTTGACTTGGCAGCATTCGCCAGACTACTCTGACTACACCGACTGTGGCAGGCAGACACCCTACTGGCTTGACAACACGTGACTTTCATTCTCTCTCGCTTGGTCCTCCATTGTTGTAGCATCTGATGGACCCTATGCAAGCAGCAGCCCCGGATGCCTCCGGGCCTCAGCTGCATTCAGGGTCCTTGCACATTCCATCTGATCTGGCGCAGGAAGATTGCCTCTAATCTTGGCTGACACTGACCAGATCTCCTAACACAATCGTCTGCAGATTACCAGCTGGAACTCAGCACCTGCAGCAGCTTTGTTCCGCGTATCAGGTGCACCACCTCGCACCACACACCACTTATCCATCTGGGTGGCGGGGCGGACCTCTTTGTGTGACTCTCTCGGTAAAGCAGGGGTTGTTAGGGACTGTAAGGGTAAGTGTGCTTATCCCCCCTGAGGGATTTCATGGGGAGTCACGCAAGGCGCTGGAGCGGCCGTCGGTCTTTTCATTGTCGGCGGGGCGCTCCTCGGACTCGTCCACGCTGGGAAGCTGGAGGGGGCTGCGGCCGCCGCGCCCCGGCGTCGCCGTGTCGCCCTCCCACAACGGTGGCGTGGCCCGAGGGTCGCGCCGCGCCGACGGCGGCAGCGGCGGCGTCCGCCGAGCGCTGCGCTGGCCGCTGGAGGATGGATCCAGGCCCTACAAGGCGGTATCAGGCTCAGCTGCTTCCACCCTCAGACCAATAAAGGCTCATTGCTCAGTCAAGAGTGATAAAAGGAGTGATGCCCATGGTGTGTGGGCAATCCACCAGTATCCACAGAAATGACTGCTCATAGCAGCAGCAGGACTTCTGATTGGGAGGCAGAGCCCACCTGTGCAGAGGATGTGCTGTCCAGCGGCTGCCCAGAAGCGCGGAACTTGGGCAAGGTCATTGGGGTCTTCTTCGGCGGGCGCTCATCCACCAATCCCTGCAGAAGTAAAATTTTCATTCTCACATCCATTCATTATCCCAGCCATCTGCCTCAACTCACTGTAAACAAAAGCACTCCGGCTATTTCACTTGCATATGAAGAGCCTGCCCTTCAGCGTAGCTTTGGACAAGCAGCACGGCAGTTTCTGCACCTGGCTGCCTGAGTCCTCCTGGCCGCCGGAGGCTGGGCCGGCTGCCGATCGCAGCGCGCCGCGCAGGTCCCCAGAAGCTGCCGGCAGGCTAGTGAAGGCGCGGGCGCGCCGACGGTCGTCTGCGTACTCGAGAGTTTGCGTGCCAAGCTGCGCGCGCGACACCACGGCGCTGCCGGTCTTGCGGTACTCGCGGCTCAGCTCTGCGCGCGACTGCGACGTGCGCGCCGTGTCCCGGCTCACGTCGAACGCCGCGCCTGCACGGGTGCCACATCCGCCCAGGAGGCTCTTACAAGATCTCTGGCTTACAGGAACATAAGCTACAGAGCTCGCAGTGAGTCCACACTCCCCAAAGATCTTGACGCCTTGGCTAAATTTCCCTTGACCAGAGCCTCTGCCGAGGACGAATCAGCGCTCAACCACATGTAGGGAGGGAAACGGCAGCAGTGTCGCTCCCATGTGTTCCAGTGCGCACATGCAGGAAGCTTCCTATTATAGACCTGAGGATCTGAGGCACGCTCATGCCAGTGACCATTGGGTGATCTGAAAGGGGAGATCGGCACGAAGAGCGGGTGTGCACCGGCAAAGACGGCGAGTGGGTTGAGCTGGGAGGCTGGCTTGTTGGCGGGGTTGAGCAGGCCCCGGATGGCCTCGCGGCCGAGTGTGGCCAGGTCCAGGCTGAAGTAGCGATCGCTCAGCTCCTCTCCACGCAGCTCCCGCCGAATCGACACGTTGCGCCGCTGCGTAGGGGAAATACGTGCATCAGCTCGAGCAAAGCATCGGTTGCAGGAGATGAGAGACCCGGCATACGGTAAGATTTACACCCCCTGTACTGGACCTTGGAAGGGGCGACATGCAATTGTGCATTCACTGGACCCTAAGGTGCCAGCTTGCAATTGGTGTATACATAGCCTTCAGGGACAGGTGGCACGGTGTCAAGATATAAACAGCCTTGCACTGCTTGTCTTTATCATGCCAGCCGGTGGCAAATTTAATAACTCGGGCTGTGAAGCTTCAAAGTGTGCATTTCTCAGTCAGAGCACAGCGCACCAGGGTAGGTGCCCGCTCCAGGCCTGCCGGCGCATTGTCATCGTCCATGTCTTTCTTGGTCTTGGATGCCTCCAAATCGGCCCCCTCTACCGCCTGCTCCTCCTCCTCCACTTCTTCCTCAAAGAGCTCCTCCACTCTGTCCCTCGGCAGCGTCCAGTACAAGCCCTGCAGCCAGCCAGCCATCGAGCGCCTTCCAATGATGTTTGCTCACTGAGTTCTGGAAAATGCCACCATTCCCAGTGAACGTGGTTTGCATTTGTGTGCAACCACATGCTTGACGGTGCTGGGCTCCCTCACAAGGCAAGCATGCAGCCCATCAAGATCCGCTGCTGCGAGCACGTGCAAGCAACGACAGCTACAGTCTGCAGAGGGGTTTGCAATTTAGCCAAATGGGAGGGTACCCCGTAGGTGATGATCTTGAGGATCATGGGAATGACGGTCATCCACAGGAGGCCGTTCTCAATCGCGCGCGCATTGTTGACGTTGTTGGCGGCCACGCCTGGAGTGACCACGCCTCCGTGAGCCTTGGCTCCGCTGCCGTGGCTGTCTCCCAGACTCTGCACATCAAGACTGCCCTCAGCACGCCATTCATCAGGAGGAACATGCTGTCTGCCTATAGAGCCTGCCCTGCTTGGCAGTGGCAGAAGGAAGGGACTCCAAGTACACATCAGATAAATTATCTGCGGCTTCTCAAGAATGTTACACAGGCAAAAGGAGTGGCAGCTGAGCTGTGGGATTCAATTTGCGCAACGCTGACATGGCAGAGTAGGCAGAGAGGCAGTTCACCCCCTTGAAGCCAAACACGCGCTCCGCCAGGATGCCAATGAGCGGAGCGCCCAGCGCGCCAATGGCTCCAGCCACGCACTTGTCAAACGCATACACAGACGTCCGGATTCCTTCAGGCACCACCTACAGAAGTCATCAGCCTTGTGGACCCATGCCGTATGGGCTGAAAAATTTGGGCATGCGCACCATACACAGAATTGTGTTTGCTCTTTAGAATCTGATCGCAGGTAAGTGCAACGAGGGAATGGCCCACCTCTGCAAAGATGGCTGCATTGTTGGAGGCTGGCCAGGTGCCAAAGAAGGCGATGAAGAAGAGCACAAAGCCATATAGCGCAGCATAATGGTCCAGGCTGTGCGGGTAGCCGGACGCATAGCGTGAGGAGCCTGCAAGAAAACAATGCTCCTCAGAACCCAGAAGAATTAAGCAGACCCACCTGTTCTGTTGCACGATTGCTTGAACAACTTATCAAACAACCACAGCTACAAGAGCATCAATCCTGCACATGGGGCCGCTCAGCTCGGCTCTGAAGATGAGGGCAATGAAGGAGAGCTTGAGGTCTTAATGACGTGAAGAGCGCGCCAAGCATGCGGTGCAAAAGTTCATGGAAAAAATGAGACAGACACACAATGAGGGAAGCATTGATCTCACCCGGGAGGCCCTTGAGCAGGGCGACGTAGAGGGGCCCGGCCAGCACTTGGCTGATCTGGTTGACGGCGGGGCGGGCTGTGTTGGGGAAGCGCATGGACAGGTAGTCACCCGCGCCGCCGCCCAGCAGGAAGCCCACGGCCGCACCGATCGATGCGCACACCGCCATGCCGCCCGTCGCCAGATCAGAGAAACCAAGCAGCTGCAGCAGAAGTAAACAATTGATGCTCAGTGGTCCTCTGATCAGCAGGCAGCAAAGCAGCAAACCCTAGCTTGAAGCATTGGCAGGAGAGAGGGCAACATCAACGGTTGAACGACCAGTAAGCATTAAATACTGTCCTGAATATAGCAGATACGGAGACAGTACAGCTGAGCTTGGTTGCAAACATGCGCACGTGGTTGTCATGCAATGGATGGAGGATTGCATTTAAAAATTGGTGGGCGCCAGGCTGCAGGATATGGGGCTGTTCAGAAAAGGGATGCGCACCTGGAAGTAGAGGATCTTGTAGCCCATGCTGAGGCCGACTGGTGCCTATGATATTCCCCAGCAGGATGAGCAGGAAGGAGGGCGTCTTGAACACCCTCCAGGCCCCCTCCATTATCACCACCAGCCTGCCCCACATCCGCCACAGCACCGCCTTTGTACACCCCTTCTGCTCCCCTCCCCCGGCACCTGCCTCCTTGCCGTCCGCCACCTGGCCGCAGCACAGGTGCTCCATTGTCCCTTGAGCGAACATAGAGCAGTGCCCACGGTTGACTTGGTTTTGTTGGATCTGGCGAGTCCAACATGGCGGCTGTGACTTGTTGTGGAATTCATCTGGCTCAAAGTGAGTCAAGCTAGGGAAAGGGCGGCACAAAAGAAGCTGCTGTTGCCGCGCGTGAAGAATCTGCAGTGTGGGGACAAGCACTGCCTGAAGCAAGAGCTCACCTGCTTGTTAATCGACCGGGGTTCCACTGCCATAGTCAGGATGATGACGCAAGTAATGAGGGAAATGCCTGCCATCGCCCAAAAGAGGACCCTCCAAACCTGCACACCAGTGATCCTCAGTAGATGTCTTGGTAGTCCTTCCATCTTTATGCGCGGGACAAGATCAATCGCAGGGAGCAAACGTGATATGCAACGCACCTCCACCCCATGTACTGCCCTGTTCCCAAATGAAATTGCGCAGAAGGTTCCAATAACACCACCTGCATGCCACAGGTAGCACATAGCACTCCTGCTCTCTTGATGACAGGGCACTTGCACGGTATTGCCTGCAAGGCATAAGCTTACGGCGTGCAGAATATGATGGCAAGATGGCTCACCCAGGGCAGAGACGGTGAAGAGGAAGCCAAAGGCGCGGCCCCTCTCAAAGGCGGTGTAGAGCTCTGCAATGATGGCTTGCACGCAGGGCAAAACCAGGGCCAACCCCACTCCGGAGAGAGCAGCCCAGATGGTGGCCTGTGCAGCAGTGCGATCAGAGCCCAGGCATGCACATACGCTTCAAAGCTTGGAGATAATTCAGGCGGTGATCTTTTGTAGCGTGCAAACAATGGCGAGTGTGAGCACACCTCTTGGAAGCGGTGAGCAAAGCCAAAGCCGATCGACATGCCGCCCCACCAAAGGCTGCCGATTGCAATGAGAAAGATCCTGTTGCACTCATTGCCCAGGATGCCCACAAAGGGGATAAAGATGGCCTGCACGTCACCGGAAAGCTTGTCAGAAAGGTTGTCAGACATAATCGATGACACATACTTCCACGCAATTGCTCCTCACTATTGATGAGGGTAAGGTCGTGCTCCTAGTCATTGATGGACAATCCCCGCTCTCAATGACTTTGGGGAGAGTTTCACCTGTACAAGGGCGCGGTACATTGTCAGCTGACCCAGCTGTGATGGCAAAGCTTTCAGCGAGCTGCCGATGGCTAGGTACATGGAGGTCAGAAGGACTTTGTCCGCCTCCTCGGCTGTGAAGGCCACAGCACAGGCCAGCGTGGTTCGCCGACGCGCCCATACTGTGACTTTGCTGCTTGAGGCCTTTGGCACGCGTTTCATGCCTCCAGTCCTGCATGCAGGAGTGCGCAAGATTCTAAATTTCTACAGACTCGCGGGATTTGGATGTCTTGCTGGTGGGCTCTTGCTTTGCTAGGGCAGAGCTGCTGTACAGCTTCCATCAGTTGGAGCTGGTTGATGGCGGTTGTAGGATGAAAAGAGATATTCAAGCTGACTTCATGTTCCATCCTTTATGAGGTTGATCTCCATGTCATAAATGCCATACGCGTCATGAGCATCAGTCATCACTTACACATGCATCGCTTTGAGAATGCAGAAGGCAGACGTTCCAATCGGCACATATGACGGTCATTCGCAGGACGGCATCATGCATGTTTATCACCATCATTCTTTATGCAACATCGGCTCCGCTATATCGCGAGCTGTACTGAGGAGTCTCGTGATCTGGGCAAGAGCCGATTCTTGCGTGTGAGTGCCCGGCATAGAGGAGGAAAGGCAAGTAGTTGCAGCTCACCTCGTTTTATGTAGCTAACTTGTTCTCAACTGCTTGCAAATATGATGACAATAGACACGCACAGGCACACTCTCCCAAAACCCTCGTTATTCGGGGTCAGACGAACACTGGACCAGAATTGCAGCACAGGGACGACTTTGCCAAGACATCATTAAGTTTGATCGCCCCAGCTGACAAACAAAGGTGATCAACAGGACACTGCCTCGCAAGAGGCGACATCACGCAAATATGCTTTCCGGAACGTCATGAGTCACCTGAGTGACGGCATCTTTTTTTGAACCGATTCAAAGACAGCTGACTTCACCTTCATTCTCTCTCCTTCTCTTAGAAACTTGACCTATCACATTTTGTTGCGAGTGGGTCCCGTATCTAGAACTGGCCGTTGCTGATGTCTCGGATGCTTTACAGCTGTTAGGTCTGCAGGCTGATCAAGGTCAAGCAAGTTAGTGATCTCATCGAAACATTGAATATTTAATACACTGCAGCTGCTCGGGCAGAGCAGGTCTTGTCAATGCTCAGCAAGTGCCAAGCAACTGGGTGAGACGTGCCACATGTACAGAGCAACGGCCCACAGCATCTATTTTATCACAACCACCTCCTTCTACCTCCGGCTCGAACTGAAAAGAAGTGCTGGCCTTTGCCAGAGTGCTCTCAAGACTGGCTATCTTGCGAAGTGCTCCCTTGACCTGCGAAACAGCGCAAGAACCACTGAGCAGCATTGGCGGACAGTCATTGTTGTCAATGTACAGATTAAGAATTACTTGCAAAGTCTGTCCACTTTGCAAAATATGAGTCGAGGTAGGGAGTAAAATAATCCCGGCCGCGGCTCCAAAGGAATCGAGGAACCACCTTCTGGCAGTTGTAAGTCAGGGCCCAGAGCGCTGATGCAGCGTACGATGCGCACTCTCTGTTGCTATCAGCCGCGCCGAGGCACGCTACTAGGCATGGCAGCATCGGTGAATATGCCAGGAAGTGTGTACCGGCTTCTGGCGCATGTGCCAGCACATGCAATACTAGCACGGCTGCTGTGCTTGTCTGCTGGTGCTGTGCTTGCGCCAAAGTCACCAGCAAATCCAACAAACCTGCTCAGCACAAAGTCCAATTTTGATGCTGTACGAAGACTCACTTGCCTGAGAACAGCAAAGCAATCGTGATCGATTGGTAGGACGATGCACACCCGAAGGCTCTGCCAATTTGAGGAGCGCTCGCTGCCCCTCTCTGGAAGCTGCAACATTTGCCAGCACAGCCAGGACAGCTGGGAGCTTGCACCACTGCTTCTTGCGCGAGAGCTCTTGCGTGATGCGCATCACTTCAGGCAGCAGGGACGCCTGCTTGAGCAATGCCACGATCCCATGGTGACTCGCAGCCATGTTGCTCAACACAGCCCAAGACGAGATCCAAGTGCTCGAGTCCACATTTTGGCTGTTTACAAGCTTCACCAAGCGCTCCAGCATGCCCTGGAAGAACACAACCACCTCTGAAGGCTCTGGGCATTGTTGCTTGCGATGCACACACTGTTGTGCCGTGAGAACATGTAGGCACAAGTGTTCATATCTATTCAATATGTATTTCGCAAACTTGGACACGAGACAAGCAAGTGCAGCAATTTAGGCACCTGTGAGAAGAATGTCCGCTGCGCAGTGGTGCTGTCCGCCACCAGATTCCCCGACAGCCCCAGCAGGTCTTGCAGTAGCTCTGGCTCTCCCAAGGCGAAGTCCCATAAACGAGCGAGCACAGAAATGCCACCAGCCTCTGCTACAGACGCCTGCACAAGGGAAGAATTCGGATCACTTCCAGACCTCAGATGCAGGGAACTTGCTGACATGGCGCCATATGCAAGTGGCTGATGATTGCCATTGCAACCTCTTTGCATCACTAATGATGTGTGCATTAATGCTCGGCGACTTGCGCACCCTACCTGAGACACTGGGCAGTCCAGCACAAGGTGCTTCAGCAGCAGCAGCACCCAGTGCAGCTGCTGCCATGCTGTGCTCTGCTGCAGGCCGACACTCCCACTGCCTCTGTGAGCAGTCCTGGTCTGCTCTGCAGTGTGCGCTGCTCTGGCTCTGCGCTGATTGGCCAGAGCTGAAAGTGCTGCCTGTCTCCTGGCTGCACCAGCTGACTTCTGTGAATCGCAGTGGCCATCTTTGGGTCCTGAGCGGGCTTTGGGAGTCAACAGCGCATGAGCGCTCTCCGCAGCTCTGATCAAGGACACGTGCAGCCTGGCCTCCAAAGCAGAGTCCTGCATATATGCCGAAAAGTAATCGGGTGCGCTGTTGCTGCTGCTGCAGTTTTGTTTTCATCAAAGTTTCAATACCGGTGTGTGGAGATGTATGCAGCAAGATGCTTGCTCAAACCTTGGCTGACGAGCTGAAGGCAAGTACGGCACACAGCGCAGCGGCAACAGTGCTCCGTTGTGGGTCTGTTGCATTTCCGCTCTCAGAAGGCAAAGGCCAGGACCACATGCTCCTCAAGCTCATACAGAGACTTGCCCCAACACAAATACCTTTACCCTCAATGCCCGGAAGCTTCCATTCCTCTCCTGCACCAACAACAGCCACTTGGATCCTTATTTCAGCCATGTCATCCAGATGCCACCTCCTGCATGCATGCGCTGACCTCTGCATTCATATTGTGATTGTGGCAGTCATGATGGGATCGCAATCCTTCAAATGGCACACCCGTGGGATCCAAGAAGAGGGCCTGGGTGGCTTCTCTGGGAGAGAGCAGAGCAGTCAGGAGATGGCAGGTCGCCAGCTTTGTTTGCATGGGCACAGTGATTGCATCAGATGCCATCAGTAGTAGTGCTGCAGACATGGTCACTGCTTCTGCTTCATCTTGAAGCACGCAGATGAGATCCTCTGCTGCCAGATAGGCCCTCTGCGCAGACATCAGGGCATTTTACACCTTCCAATCCTGTGCATTCAAGAGCAGATCTGGTGTGTCACAGACACTTCGACGCCAAAATCACAGCCATGATTTCAAAAGGAGTAAGATTCTGCAGCGTTGACATAGGTTTGCAGACTTACCGATGAGAGGGCAGCAGCAGCTTGGGCAACATGCTGCAGCATGAACATCCGCCTCCAATGCAAGTGCCAATCCGAGCAATCAGTGTTCTTTGCGGCTGCACCGTAGCAATGCAGCAGAGCATGCAGATGTGCGGGACATGTGGAAAAAGCGGCTGCGGCTGGAGACGAAGACTGTACCAGCACAGTCATGAGCTGCGCCACATTGGCGGCAGAATCTGGCAAAAAGAAGACATTCAGCCGCCATGCTTGAAGCTCTGTGCAGACAGTATCTACCTACTTTATTGCATGTCAGAATTGACATTAAAGAAATGAATGGGTTGCAAGGAAGGTGCCCACCTGCCCACATGGCAGCTCCATTTGGCCTCAGCTCGAGCTCATAACAATTCGCTTTGTCTAGGCGTTGCGACATTCTGGAAGATTGTGAAAGAGGCTTGACATGTTCAAAGATGCGCAGGATATCAGGCCAGCATTCCGCCTGCTGGAGGAGATCGTGCACATTGGCTGCATCTGCCAGGGAGGCTTGCAGGAGGAGGCCTGTCAGTGCCCTTGCCATGTGTGGATCTTCAAGGCCGTCCTGCAGGCCACATCATTTGTAATTTCCTCTCGAGCACTCCATGTCACCCTTCTCATTCTCCTAGAAGATTGCGAGGACCGCGCATTTGATAATCACCTGCTTGTCTGGGTCATAGCAGGTCAGCATTTTGCATCAGTTGAATTAAGAAGCTGAAATGGTTGTGTTACTGGGCTCACCTTGAGCAGCGCAGGCATGAAGTCCCATAGGCAATGACCTTGCTGCTGTTTGAGAGACGTCTGGCAAAAAGAAACCTGGGTGACCGTGCAGCAGGCATCTGATGGGCTGACAACGTCCAAGGCAGCTCTCTGTTCTGGGTTGTCAGCGTGCTGAGCTGTCCTTTGCTGCCCAGCATTGCTGGCTGCGCGCTCTGTCTTTGTGGCTGCTGCTGCTGCTGCTGGAATTGTGGCTGAGCTTTGGCATGACGGCTGGGGAGCTTTCCCGGACCACGTGTCAAGAGTTGCTGTCAGGAAGGATACCGCTGCTGCCCGTATTTGCTTGTTTTCTTGAGCGTCCTGTGCCATCTGTCACCCAGTCTCACATCTCAGGATCAGCAGGCACCAAAGCAGCTTTACTACCGCACTTCATGATCTGGCTAATCGATGGCATGATCTACTAGATCACATTTCTTGCGTGACACCTCTTTATCTCTTCAAGGCAACATAGAGTCTGTTGGGCAGCCTCATTAATCGTGCTTCCAGCAGAGCATAAGCTTTAGGTCCTTTGATGAAGATTTGCCTCACCTGTGTTGCAATGGCCGGTCCATCGCGCCAGGCCTGCATGAGCATGCGCCGTGTGGCAGGCGCTGCAGGTGACGCCAGCCTGGCGAGCAACCCCAGGGCACATGCGCGCACCTGCCACTGCTCATCCCTCCGCGCCAGATTTGTGAGCCAGTAGGTGCCACCCACCTGCGCATCAGCGGCACCCTCATTTGGATTTATCATGAATAGCAGATCACACCATTCACATGCAGGTCCAATTTGCACATTAGTTTTGCTGCATGTGTGGTCTGAAGAGCCTTGCATGTCATTTTATTACTGCATTATGATATAATCAAATGGGAGCATGGGCCGAGCACCTGCTGCCATGCAGGAGCCCATATGCTGGCAGGCAGCGACCTGGTGATCTCAGTCAGGCAATGCAGCGCCTGCCTCAGCAGTGCCTTGCCCTGGAGGCTGCCCGGTGGGCGTCTGTGCCAGCTGGAGCAGACCTGCCTTATGATGGGCTCAAGGCAGCCCGCCAGCGCACTGTCCCATTGAGCGCCGGGGTCGCTCCAAGCATAGCGCCAAGTGTCACCCACGCAACGCACCTGCATTAGGTACATGCTACACGCTGATTATTTCATGCATCCACTGTGCTTGCAGACCTGCATGGCATACGTTTGGACATGCAAATGAAACACATTGTTGCAGGGCAGCTGACAGATTTGAATGGCACGCACCAGCCAAGTCAGGACCAGCATGGCTCTGTATCGGGCGCCGTATGATGCTGTGTCATTGGCAATGAAGAGCGAGAGGAGCGCAGGAATGAGACTGTCAGCATCCAGGGCTTGCAGTGTCTCTGCACACAGTGTGCCGCTGCATGATTCATGGGCTGCGTGTAGCAATTGCGCCAAGAGGTCCAGCAAAGCCTGCAGCAGAGAGGAAAAATAGGAGGCTGTGCCTGGAAACCACATATCAACGTGGCACAATAGGAAAGTGCAAGAAACATTACCCTGAGAGTTTGGGATCATGGTTGCAGACTCAGAGTAGACCCAGAGATAATAGGTGAAACAGGTGCATACCATGGCCAATGCCGTGGCCTGTGAGCCCTCCAGCGTTGCTTCATACAACACTGCTGTATAGGGATCCATGTTGTGATCAGCCAAGGAAAGCGGCAGCTGCCGTGTGCCAGTAGTATGAGCCTCGGTGGCCAGCCTAGAGATCATGGGGACCATGACCGTGCCACATTGGCACGCCAGTGCCATTAGCTGCTCTGCTAGGACCTTATCAGTCGCTAGTAGGCCTTGCAGGATGTGTGACATCAGGAGCCAGAGCTGACGGTCATCCCTTGTAGATGGGCATGCGCTCAAGAGGTGCCGGGATGCACCTGCATTGTCACAATGACTAATCTTTTCCTTGACCTGCAATCCATGCCACATAATCTTGAAGTCCCGGGCCAACAACAACAACAGAAAGAAAATTAGTAATCACCTAGCCAGTCAGCTTTTGCTGCTGCATGCGCGCCCCTTGGCGTGCTGATGAGCCTGTGCAAGTCTTCAAGAGCGCGAAGGCAGCCAGCATGATCAGTGGCGGATTCTAGGCATGCCATCAATCTGTCTGCTTCCGCAAGACTTTCCATGCAAGTTTCGAATGTCCGGCCTGTGGGTCGCTCTGCAGAGGAGGAGGATTTGTGAACTTGGCTAGCATCTGCTCTGATTTCATTTGGTGAGTTCAGGCGCATTGCAAGGGCCTGCTTAGCTGCCACTGTTGCAAAGTGCAAAGCGTTGCTAGTTTCCGCATGCGTCAAGACACTTCCCAGTTCTGCAATTAGGTGGGAGTGCTCCTGAAGCACTTCCAATGGTGTATCCAAGATGTAGTCATAGAGCTCCTGCATACATTGAATATCAGTTTTCCTGCATCAAGATCGATTTGCAGTTGCATGTGATCGTATTAGGCTCCCACCTGGACTGTCTGCAACAAGACTGCAGAGTTTCTGCTGTGCGTCAGTCTGAAGCTCATGTCAAGTAATGCATGATGAGCTGGGCTTCCTGCACATTGCACCTTCTGGTCAATTTACAACATGGGCGGGCTCTGCCACCTAATTTGTTCAGGCTTGAATAAGAAGCAGATCTTCTGTGTACTCCAAGAATGTCACGTGCTTGCTTACCATGTGATGATGGAAGACAAGGGAACATGCTGTTGCGACTGGCGCTGGTTGATCTGAGGGTTTCCTGGTGCTCATGGGTATGCTCCACGCTGTACGCATACAGATCAGGGACTCTGCATGGGTCTCGTTTGGTAGGCCTTGTCTGCTGCTCGCTGGAAGTGCTGCATGCAGTGTGGTCTCCCGAGGAGTGAATCTCTTTGCGCTCTGCGCTGGCTGTATCAGCATGTCTGCTGGAGTGTCCTTGCAGATTTTCTGCGAGGAGGTCAGGGCTGCAAGCAGCATTGTGCAGCTTAGCTGTTCCGCTCTGCCCTGGTAGCTGTTCCACCGGCATGTGGACGCCCATTCTATTTGCGCCTGCCCCTGTCCCCAGCACCCAAACACTTCAAAGCCTTCATTCTGATGAACCGACCGTTAGGAAGTGCAGGCATCTACATCTTGCAATGAGGAATGTGGGTGATCAGGCATTTCTGGAGAAAAGCACCTGCCAACAGAGCCTGGTCACAACCTCCTTGGTGAAGTTCTCCAACTGGCCCACTTGCACCTTGGATGTAGATTTTTGAAATCGGTTACCTTCAATTTCCTTACCTGACTGTGCCGCCCATTATGTAAGGCTTTTAAAGACACGAGTCGATGCAAGGCAACTGATCAGTCACAGTACACCAGTAAAGCTTCCCACATAACCAAAAATTTCCTTGTCAAAGAACACGATCAGTTCTCAGTCAGATTGTTTGTCAGATCATTCATCAGATGTCTTCACTTCGTGTATACCAGCACAATATATGCATATGCCAACAACATCCAGTTATATAGATTAGGAACAGACAGCCTTGCGGCGCATTTGATCACGCACGATGCAGAAAGCTATTGCTACACTATAACCTGCGACAAATAAATTTCTATCCTGTTGAGAGAATCGCCTAGAGAGCCCAAGAAGGAAGCGTTCACGAAAGGCCACGAGAAGCCAAATTTGGCAGCAACGTTGGTCGAGCAAGTGCACGTGGGGAGAACAGGCTGCATGCATGCCAACCTCCGACAGATGGGCCACTTTAAGCAGATTCTTCTTACATTTTAATCGCGCATGTCCCGCGTCCTCCCTAGCTATAGAATGCCAGCGCTGCAGCTCTGATCAGCTGAGAACTTTTTTGATTGATTGAATCTGCAGGCTACAGTCACCGTTACGGTGGTGCCCAGCTTTTTGGTCATTCGCCATAAGGCGAATGTCCTTTACTATCGGTCAACCTGGTACGGATTATCTCTATCTTTTGCCCCCTCCCTATGCCATGTGGCTGCTCACCAGGCAGCCACGGCAGTTGAACGGAACGCGAGGCGCAGTTTAGAGGCCTTTCCAGGGGGATTGCCCCGTTTTTGGCCCTAGATTATCTCTAAATATCTCCCTGGCGATTGGCTTTACGGGCCTGCGACTGGTTCTGCCCCCCAGCTCGCGTATGACCTCGTGGCCGCCCGCGGGCGCTCCCACTTGTTATTTTATTTTGCCAGTGGCAGATCATTTGCTGTACAATTGAGCCGCTAGCCTAGTGAAGGTACCATCACAGAGCATGGCATTAATGCAATGTTGCTGTGACGCGATGAGCCCCAGCTATTAGCTCGAGCTCTTTGTGAAGGTCAGCAAGGTGCACCGTGCTGTGACTGCAGGATGCACCTTGCACTGCAAGTCAAGTCAAGACGTTCCAAGAATGATATATAATAGATCCCAACCTCAAAAATTCAGCAAGCCTCAGCTGGAACGAAGGCACTGACCATAGAAAATAAACTTGGCACACTGCTGGCAGCTAACTTGACTTCATGGTCATCCGAAAGCACACTCCATAATTTTCCTTCGGCTTGCATGCCCTCTTTAGGCAGCCATGCCAGCCGCTTCAAGAATTGTGTTGGTACTTGTACCTGCAAGCCATCAGCAATCACTCAGTCACTGTCCAATCATTGCCATTGTGTGGTTGGGGATGCATATTTGACATCCACCGAAAGATCCCCATCAGAAAGACTACAAGATAACAGTGCAAGAACTTGGAAGGGTCAGGCAGCGGGTTCACCCGCAGTTTGGGCACTCGTAAAATATTGTCTGTCCTTCATCAGCAGAGCGTAGCTGGCGGGTGTAGTACTCCATTCCGTGATTGCCGCACTTGGGACAATCATCATCCACCTGTTAAAGCAGCGGTTCAAAGCTGTGCAGCCTCACACAAGCAGCAATGAGCATGTCTTGTTGCATCCAAACGTTGCGAATATTGCAACATCACGGCCGTACCGTTGCTCTGGTTCGGCCCTGCTGCTCTAAAAATTCATCTTCTTTCTTCTTTTCCTTCACAAGGGGCTCCAGATTGAATCGCCTCCTGTAATCCTGCACAACCATCAAACAATGTAAGTGGTACCTCAATATTGACCAGTTGTAGAAGCTTGCTGTAATTCCCAGACGCTGCAGTGCATCTTGTACAGGTTTTCTCACCTGAATGTTGCTTTTGCTCACCGTCACGCTTCCATCCAAGTCTGCACAACGCACTCAGCAAGGTCATGTTCATGTCAATGAGTACGATATACAGGAAAGAAACATTTAAGGCTCAGTGCCATGACAAGGATGATGTACCTTCTAGCTTGCGTTGCCACCCCGAGATGGGACATTTCGCCACTCCAGATGTCGCGTCTAATGTCAGCAGAGATCCAGTCAAAGGACAGAACATCCATTCCTTCGATGCTGACATTATGCTTGCTACATTGTCAGAGAAACCACATCACGCTATTTTAGATCTCCAATATGATCTGGAGGGTGTCTGTGCTTTTGAGCAACAAAGCACCTTCACAGAAATTCAGAAACAGACCCAATAATAATCTCACGAATTTCGGCGAAGACGAAAGCGCTCACAAACATCTAAATTCGTCCCATGCAACTGTTCCGGCTCTGAGAAGATCACGTGACGGTGAGTCATCAAGTCCTCGAATTCAAGCAACTCTCCGCCAGTTGAAGTTAGTGTTGCTACAAAACACAATTAGAAACGTGCATGCAGCAATGTCATTCGGATCACTCCACAACCGTCTCACGACAGACGTCGCATGCACCTGTTCGAGTCCCAGATCACACGTATTAGGACGTAGCTACAAAGTATCTGAACGAGGGATCAGACAGCACTGGCGAATCAAGGCTACATCTTTGAGACAATTTAATGGGGATGGCTCCTTGACCAGTGTCACGACACCTCACAGCGGCTACCACTTCGATGGGTCCAGGGATCGCTTCTTTGAGGGGTGGTATTGGAAGGTATTTGCCAATTCAACCATTGGATTAATGCAGCAAAGGGCTCATGTAATTGTAAGCTACTGTAGATTACAAGCGAAGGCCACGTGGCCGAGTTTCGAGGTGCATATTGGACACTGTCACTGCCCCATACTTCAATATATCAGAGGAGGTCTACCAGGGTGTGACTGTGCTCAGGTGTCACTTGGAGGACCGGGAGAAAGTTTTGCTTTCATATATTCGATCGAAGACCCAAAGGGAAATACCCAGACCGGAGGCGTCGGAGCTCAGGCATGTACAAGTGTGCCCTGGCTCACCTTGCTGTAGAGAAAGCATGAGATATGGGATGATCAAGAAAGGCACATGCGCAGATAATGGGTCCGGGAGATTCCTATCTGCTGCAGTACTCGAATAATGTGGGTGCATTCTGGGCTGACCAGCACAGCTTGGCTCTGGGAGCGAGATTCAGAGCTCCAAATGGTCAGGCACTGCGAGTGGCGCCGCAATCAATCCTTCCACAGGTTTGACTCTAATATCTCGTGCTCGACCCCCTCGACAAGAAAAGTCTGCATTGCATCGCCATTTCTACTTCAGGCTCTCTTGATGGACGGCGTTCCTGAGTCTGAATGGATGTCCAGGATGCCTTCGACAGAAGTGTGGACCAGGGGTATCAGGCAAGCCAGACCTGGCATCAGGGTGAGACTGAATTTTGCTGCCCCCTTGAAAGCATCAAAATACAATAAAGAGAGATTCTTAGATGGCTTCCGCACAAAGTCATTGCACAAGCATGGCACAATGCAAGCGCAGGAAGCTTGGTGGCGGATGAGGCTGGCGCGAGAGGAGACCTCAGATCCACGGTGCCCTCAGCACAGTGGGCATTCTCGGTGACGCCCATTGACGGCTGGGGCCCACGGGCTGGAAAGCAACAGGCCACGGCTGGCTGGCTCGCTGCACTCCCAGTCTTCGAGCCACACTGGCAGGTATTCTCAGGGTGCCAAGATGGATGCATGCATCAGTCATGCGGAACGTCCCTGGAATAACAATGTCTATAGTCGCCCATCATTCTGGAAATTCTGGTCTTCTTTCCTAGCTGACTCTTGCCGACAGCTCAGCTCCAAATCTAAAAGTGGCACTGTGCAGATCTTGATGGCGCGGGGGACTGCAAGCGGGTGGGTACAGTGGGGGAATCGCCGCTATGAATTCACAGACGCACCAGCATACGCAGAGAAGAACTGGGGGGCCGGGTTCCCCAAGAAGTGGTTCTGGGTGGTCGCCACCGGCTTTGAGGGCGAGCCTGACGCCAGCCTGACAGCTGTGGGTGCGTGCCCTGATGCTTTGAGCAACCAATCATGAGCACATGTTTTGGCTGGGAGCCTGTCAAACGTAGCCATGCAGACTGTCTGTCGAGTTCGACTTCAACACCAGACTGACTTGATCAGTGTGCCTGCACGTCCTGAGCGTAGAGGGGTAAGTGATGTAAAATTCAGTGTCTTGTGTGGCTCAGGTGCGAGAAGGGGCCTACTGCAGCTGCCAGGGGTGGAGGAGGATGTAGGAATGGTGGGCATCCATTGGAAGGGCCAGTTCATAGAGATGGTGCCCTGGAATGGCGACGTGCAGGTGAGCGCCGCACATCACATACCGGTATTGACAGCATGCTTCCATGACCTTCAGATGTCCCAGCCTGTAGCGCCTTTACTGTGGGGATCTCTGCTGCTTGGGTTGCTGTGATACACTGAGCTCTCCGCAATCACAGTGCGGCATGTATTGGAACGAAGCTGATTGCAATTCCAGTGCGGTATTAGTGCAATGAAGCAGAATTGGGGTATAAAGGAGGCTGGCTGCAACTGGTGCAGTGGGAAGTTGAGCCCTGGGGCCGCTGGCGCATCTATGCGAAGAACAGCCAGTATGAGGCGCTGGTGGAAGCTGGCTGCAGCTCCCCGGGGACCCCCCTGCGCGCCCCCACAGCTGACCGCGGCCTGGATGTCTTCTGCCGGGACTCCTTCCACGGCGAGGTGCTCTCAATAACAGCCTAATTGAGCGATGTCATACTAAATGCAGTGTAAATTGAGCCTAATGGTGGAGCATGAGATCTACATTTATAATGGATACCTCAAACAATACAATTACTGGTATTGCGTGGTAAGATGAAAGTGAGACTTGTATGCAAACAGGGGTTGTGGTGAGTGAAGGTGAGGCTGCGAGTGTGGCGCCGAGACAGTGCGGGAGTGAGGAGAACTGAGCCTCTGATTGATCTGCACACCAACGATGGGGCAGTTGAGGTGGGCGGCGGCCCTTGGTGGAGCACCTGGCAAGCTCAGGTGTGAGATAACATCCTAATGCACCTTGTGGCAGCCGGACCCTTGACATCAGAGATTCACTGCCATTTCACTGCCTTGTGGAGAACACAAGGTTCTGTGGTGCCTGAAGTGAGTTTGGGTGGTTGTGGTGTTGCAGGCGGAGATGCAGCAGCCGCTGAAGTCCATTGTGGGCCTGCCAGTGGACGTGGAGAGTGTTGTAGCGGCTCTTCCGCAGGCATTGCGCCCTCCTGGCTTGTAGCCAGCTTTCGGGGAAGTTCAGAACAGTATACGGGACTATATAGTCAAGGGTGGATAATAAGAGATAGGGAGGGGGCAAGACGGGAGGGCAGCCAAAATATTTCATTATACTGACAAATCCTTGGGAGAACAAATTCTTTTAAATATATACGTGGCCATGGAGGAATTCGGACCACGGCAGACTGCTTTCAGCGATAAGTATCGAATTAGCACAAAGTGTCTTTTCATCATTTATGTTTGGAAACGGTCATGAGTTTCTGAATATCAACATCAAAGACAGTACATGTGTCTAATCTAAAAAATTCTGCTGGCCCTCTGCAATCGACTCAACCGTAGCATCTCAACACTAGCTAGCTTTTCAAAGTTCTTTGGTGATAACAAGAGCATCCTTCAGTTTTTGGATGACCTCGGTCAGTGCCCGCTTCCGCAGCATCCTGTACTTGACAAACATGCGTTCCAATGGCGTTTGGATGCTTCGGCCCCCTAGAAGACCTGCCCAGCCCCCATTTTTCCCTGCAAAGTACCCAACATTCTTTAAGCTGCCTCAAATTGGTGACAAATGTCATCATGCATGTGTACACATCAGGTGAGAAATGCATACCTTCAAGAAGTTTGGCATCCTCTGCTTCTGTGGTGGGGAAAGAGCTCAGAATGGCCTCTAGGCGCGCCAACTCAGCCTTGTTCACGAGCCTACCCCCGAACTCTGCAGCAGAAAAGATAGTCTCGTTGCACGTTCTGGCAGATTGACTGTAGCTCAAGATTCGGGTGCATGAAAGCATTCACTCGAAGAGAAGACTCTTTCAAATCTTCCATCAAAATGCCCACCATTCAGGCCACTCTTTCCTTGTTGCTTTCATCTGGACACAAAGAGAGTCAGGTGTTCACCATAGTCTTCTTCAGAGTATGCTGCTGGCTCATACAGGTTGCCTGCCGGCAGGTCTTGCGCAATCAGCCTTGGAGGGTCATGCTCGCGAATGAAACCATAGTGGAAAAGCGACTGATCATTCCTCCTGATACCGGTGTTGTACTCATGGAACAACTGCACAACACACACATATTCATCTTTACAGCCATGAACTCTCTACAGATATATTCAAGGGGTGAGGCATGCCAGTTCATGCAGCTGAAACCATACAGCCCATGCAGTAATGACAGGCTGGAGAGATCAACACACCTCTTCTCCCTTATCAATGTCTCGCAGAGTGTAGGCATAGAAGTCCCCGTTGTCAGCCTGCATGATCTCCAGATTGTGCTCTGTGCCGTCTGCATGGTTGAGCATGTCCATCACAGGCAGCAGCATCCTCTTGGCCACGCCCTCCTCATTCGGAAACAAGAACGCGTACGAAGCAACCTGCAGTAAGCATGACTGCAAGTCAGCCGTGTGGTGTGCAGATCACATGGAGTCAAGTGAAGATTTGTGAGTTTACAGCATCTCACACCAGCTTGAATCAGATGATTTTCCCGGTCTGTCCTTGGAAACATCTCATGCTAAAGCCGGGGCGTGGAGTGAGACTAGTGATCGTACCACTGATGTTATGTGGCTGAAGTCCACGTAGCTCACGCCAGGGAACTCCTCTTGGAAGCTCTCAATCAGAGCTGGCTTGCCGCCATCATATACATTCTTGGTGTAGGCGCTGTGGACAACGATCGAAGCTTCAAGGATCCTGTCTTGCAGGAGATCTAGCGGCTCCGCAGGATATGTTTGCTTTGTCATCGAGGTCCCTGCTTGTGGCAGGGATTCCCAGTATGGCAGCATTGACTCGTTCCATGCTGAATTCTCCTTTTTCAATCTAAAAAGCTTTACTGTGTTCTCCTGCGATTGACAGCACAACAACATTGAATTCCGTGTGTGCTTTTATACGTTTCACAGGCGCATGCCCATCATGTGTTTCTGATGTCCTCCCTACAGAGCGCACAGGGACCTCGAAATGCGACATGAACATTTGCAAGATCCTGTGATGTTGAGGAGCTGTCGTCTTCACCTCTGATGTGACGTGGCCCTCTCCAAGCTCAACTGCTATGTGCGCAGGCAGGTGAACAGCGATCTGACTTTTGTTCATGTCCCGGACAGCCACCGCTCCTCTGAGCCCCTCATCACTCACGTTTGTGATTTCAAGATCAACCTGTGCAGTTTTTTGCTTGGATTTTAGTACTTTTGAACAAACATCTTGTTCTATACAACAGTGCAATGGAACATTTGATTGCCGAAGTATATAATCTGTAGACTGGATCCTATTAAATGTTCACTGACCGTTCCACCACATCTTCTGATCCATCTTATAAGCTTCTCCTCTGCCGTGATGGACCCATATGAGCACTGAGAGAATATGCCCAGGAAGGCCACGAGAATCAATGCCGCTCTCATCGCTATATCGAAGTGCCCAAATTGAAAATTTCAATATCTGCGGCAGCTAAGAATAGCTAATTTGTACTTCAATAGTCACTCAGAGATGGGCTAGTTCCTTTCTTTCCCCAAGTTTATCGTCCACCTATATACCTTGGCTGGTGCCAGCTTTTTTGATGAGAGGATGTTCAATGTCAATGACATTCTAGCATCATCGACTTTGACGGGATCACGGTCCATTTGAACTCCTCCAAAATTGCTGTGCTGCCAGCACGTGGATGACTCATCCCATGCAGGTCTCTAGTAGAGACTCTCTACTCTTTACCGGCAGTCTTCCCTTTCTCTTTGGCTTCCATCGACCAAAATGAGCGTCACTGGTTCACTCCGTGCTGTTGGTGCTGCGCCTTCGACCACAGATCCTCCCCAATCGACGCGCTTAATAGCCATGCCTCCATGCTGAAGTTGTCTTCAACAAGAGAATCTCAGCCTTATGACTTGCTAAAGTCTTAAATACACATCAATATCATGACGGCATAATTCTGGCACGATAGCGTCCCCAAAGAAATGGCCGAGGCAGAAGAGCATCGACAAGGCCAGCAGGTCATCCTTGCTGTGCAAGCCCTCTACGCACCAACAGCATCTTCAGCAGACAGAAAAGCGGCTGATGAGTATCTGATTGAGTTCCAACGTCATCCATCAGCCTGGAAGGTGGGCAGAATCCATGTCCTAGTACAGGGGAAACGTGGAGCTCTGGCTCAGCCAAAACAACTATAGTGCCCGCGCAGGTGATCATTTCCTTGATATGTTCTCCAAGCACGCCACCTGATGCTGTCCTTCTCGGCGCGCAAAGCTTGCGCAGAAAGGTGCGGGTCCTCACCAATGTTAGGTGCCAACATGCCCTGCGCGGTATTGATTGCTGACATATGTGCATAAATTCTTGCATTCGGTGCCACTAATCATCTTGTCTGTCTGAAGTAGTCACCTGTGAGCTTGTCCAGGTGCAGCGCCAGCTGACCACAATAGAAGCTGGCTTTTATCCAGACCTGCTGCAGAGGCTGATTGATTGCACCATCTCCGCATCGAACAATGCAGCTGCAGCAGTACCGTACCTTGTGGCCGCCCTGGCAGCTCTCGCAGTGCAATGGATGGACTGGGTCAATCCTGTGGATACTCTCTGTGAGTGCCTCAGAAATCGGCATCCCATATCCTCGCTGCCATTTGTCATGGCATGCGTGTATCATGGCCTGATTCTTTTGCACTGCATACATCACAACATGCCAGAGGGCATGTAGCTGTGCTTCCATTTTGTGTACAAGGATGAGAACAAAGCCATGCGGTCGTGCAGGTTCTAGAATTCCAAATGCGGCCCTGATGGAGTTTTTGAAGGCACTGCCAGTCGAATCCACAGACACGCGCTATGCTGCGTGGGCAGCTGCCGGTACCTCTGCATCTGCCACGCAAGAACATATTGATGACATGAGGAACAGGGTGCGCTATATCTCCGCTTGCACAGCCATGCATCAGTGTTACTGAGGACGTTTGTGAGCCAGCATTGTATTGATGTAATCACATTTCCTGCTGTGTGATGAAGGCCTTGAAGTACAGCGGCAAGGTTGGTCACATTCTGCTTGGAGCCCTTAGTGGCCGGGATCCGGCATGGGCCCTCCCAGCACCCCAGGTTCTGGATTGCCTGGATGCCTGGGTGCGGCTGGGCTTCCTATATAGTGCCAATGAGCATGATGGCGTTCTCCCGGAGAGTGAGCAAGATGCAAGACTGACTAGGGCTGCCATCACAGACATGTTCAACCTTGCAGCCAATGCCATGCATTCAAATGTCCCAGGTAGGACATTACTCACTCATGGTCACACCCATTGCCTTACAATCACGGCCTGTCTTCAGAGTTGTACTGTCTGATTGTGAAGCTTCCAAGCCAGTCTTCAATTCACACAGCTCATGCATTATGTGGCTGGCTGCAGAGGTGGTCATGAGCGCTGCTACCGTTGTTGCTAGTATGGTGGAGCATGCACCTGAGGACATGCTAAACTCCTTTGTAGAGCCCATTCTCGCACTGCCAACAGCCGCCCAGAAGGTATCTCTTCAGTGCAGTGTAAGCACAGATGGATTCATGTTATCTGAGGTCGGTGCTTTCATGCTTCATTGTAGATAATGTTTGCAGCAGCTGCTGTGATGTGGCATGCGTGAGCAGGCCCTAGCTATGTCAGATGTGGACCGCGCCGCAATGATGTGCCTCACATTTGCTGCATACTGCAGCTCCAACCTAGCTGGCTTTTACTCCAGGGCAGAACAGGTGGGGCTGCTGCTCTTCATGCTCATACTCTCATCGCAAGCACAACATTGCCTGACTACCTCTTGCACTTAATTTACAAGCATAAGTTCAACAGTTCTGTTGTACAGGGCAAGCAACTGCGGCGTGGCCTTTTGGACTGCACACTCTTGGAATCAGATGATCTCCCGGCGAGTTCCATTCTTTGCTCTTTGCAAACTCCTGTTTGCAATGCCCCTTTGGTGAATTATTATATAATAAAAGTCAGGCTGCCATCAGATACTGATGAGGAGAGTGCTTTCCATATCTCTGTCCCTTGGATTGTTGATCAGTATGTGAGATTGATAGTATTTTGCTGATGTGGGCAGGAGTCTGGCGAGCCTCTGGCATACTTGCCCATGATAGCATGGTCAGACATTGCTGATTCCCTCCTGCGAGCAAGAGAGGACGGCATGGACTTCTGTGACCCTGGGTGACTCCCCAAATTCATTCTTTCCTGTTCCTGTGCCTCGTCTGTACTGCGACTGATCATCAAGCGCACCATAGAGAGTAAGGAGAGAGACCGTTTCTTGCGGCTGAGCAGGTTTCTCAGCTGGCAGGAAATCCAGGAGTGGTACTCTCGGGTGGTGATTGGAGTCGTTTCGCGCTTTGCCAAGGCTTCATACAATGGTGAGAGCAACGACGGCGTGGTGGGCATTGTGCCCCTAGCAGAAGCAGCCTATGACACCCTGCAAAAATGCTGCATTGTCTTGTCGCCAAGCGCATACCTCAATATCCTGAAGGACGCTAGCAGAGCTCCAGCGGATGCCACTCCCTGCCAGCTGATGGAGGTGCGTTCTTTTATAGTTATGCAAGCTACTGACTGCTATGTAATGCATGACGGTCGTCAATCCCACACTAACAATGCAATTATTCATTGTAGGCTTTTGTCCTAGAACATGCCAGGCAGGAACCCTGTCCCTGTTGCTCTATACAATATTCAATACATGGGCAAACTGCTCTTTTCAATTCATGGGCAGACGAACTGACATCTATGCTGTGCAGGGGATCATGTTTGGGCTGCAAGCAGCAGAGGAGGAGATAGGGCAGTACTTGACAGACGAAGAAGGCTCCCTCCCAGAGCAGGCAGCTCAGGTGCTGCGGCAGCTGCTGAATGACTGCGTCAGCACCTGGGCAAGCTGTGCCCCGGAGTCCATTGCAGCGCGCCGACTAGTGTCTGCAATCTTGGAACCCCTGTCGCGGCTGGTCTCACCGCTGCTCGCCACCTTGAAGGAGAAGCCATCAGATGCACAGGTAAGTGACCCGGCGTTGGAGCAGAGCAGCAGCGCAGAAAGTACTGCAATTTGTCTGTCATGGCAATCAGGGAGGCTCTGCCATTCATGACAGCATCCCATGTGCGTGGTGACGGACAAGATGGATGCTCTAGCGCCTCTGTTGTGTGACAATGTTCTTCAGCAACTCATGCACTGTGTGGCCCCGGCTGGCGGGGGGCGGCATGAATGCTGAGCAGCGTGCCCACGATTGCTGGCATCTGGCGAGTCCAACAAGGGTTAGGATTTGTGGCAGCCTTACCTGCAGCTTGTTTGTAGACGCACCTTCCCACTGGCGTGTATAATGATATTGATACAGTGTGTGAGGATGCGCAGGCGCTGCTGCTGTCCACGCTGCAACTGGCTGCACAGTGCTTGGCAGATCCCCAGGTGGGGCGCTCGGCTTCTTCATGCGTGCTGCAGGCCTGTGAAGGCGCGCTGAGCGCCGACATGAACATACCTGAGACCATCGCGTCCGGCCTTCTCTCTGCCGTCCAGACAACTCAGGACCCCGAGGTGAGCCCACCAGGGTCCCCTTTTGTAGATTCTTATCAGCATCTTAAATGAGCTTCGTCTCAGCATAACGAGGGACATCTGCTGTGGCAAACATTGCTGCATCCCGTTCAGGAGCTCCAATGCGACAACAGGCTGCACGCCAGCTGCATGCCAATCACAGGCTGCTTGGCTGCACACGTGACGAGGTGCACTGCTTCTGATTGTCTAAACAGGTGGAGCAGGACCTCGTCGCTGCTCTGGCTCACAGCATCAGCGTCGGAGCCAATGCCGCTCATCAGGAGGCGGTGGTTTCCCAAGTCCTGCAGACCGCGCATCATGCACTTGAGGCCCTCAGCAGACAGCAAAATGCAGGTGGGGCCATTCTCAATGGGCACGTCATCTCTTGTGCATATCACTGCTGGTTCTGCGTACTGCTGGTTCTGCAGAGAAGGATTCTGCACCTCTCGCAAGATCCGTCAGGGTGTGGTGTGCACAGGTGGCACGGTGAGCGCTGACAGTGGCAGCACAGCGAGTATGGAGAGCGCTGCAACGCGAACGCTGCGGCAGACGTCCTGGCTGCTGCAGCAGGCTGGCACGTTCAATGGGCAAGGCCGACCGCCGCCCAAGGCTGAGGAGGACACTGGAGAGCTCCAAAGAGCTGCAGGTGATCCTACGCCCTCTCTGTATCCCCTCCCCAATTATGCATATCCTGCTTCACCTGGAAACCTGTCTTGACACGGGCTTGCTTGACACCAGTATGTTCTGGATAAAAGCCACATTGATCGCATGTTCTTTTCTGGCCGACAGGAGCCCATGCCTACAGCATGAGGTGATCTTGGGTAGCACACTGCTGAACTTAGCGACATATTTAGTAGTTTCTTACGTTTTATCACAGCATTCTTCAGGCTGGCAAGATAACAGCACCTGCTGCCATGCAGAGGGCTCCATGGCGGCCACGGTGGTGCGCGGCTTTGTGCAGCTGTGGCCGGGCGTCTGCGAGGCGGCCAGCCGGCAGCTGCCGGGCGCGGCCCCGCTGGGGCCGGCGCTGCCAGGAGCGGCCAAGCCGGGCGAGCTGCGGCGGCTGGCCGCGCGTTGCGCCGCGCTGGCGATGCAGGCAAGCGCGGCCGACTCCCTGCCGATCCTGCCGGGCTTGGCGGCGGCTGCGGCGGCGGCTTTTGCGCTGCCGGGCGGCGATAGGTTCTCCTCGCCGCTGGCCGTCGCGCTGCAGCTGTACGGCTCCCAGCCGGGCTCCCTCGCGCCGGTCTTGGCGGCCCTTGCAGGCATCGCTGCCCTGCCCGATGTCGCCGCTCTGCGCTGCTGGGCCGCCGGCGATCGCAACCCCGACCTGGCCCTGGTATGAGGACGCTACAAGTCCCTGCTCAGGTTCTTGAAGAACTGTACCCTGCGCTGATGCTGCAGCCCATCGCACTTGCCTTTTCTATTCCATCTCCGCGTGAGTCCAGGCCTCTTGTGAAATTTGCAAGCAATTCAGGCGGCATGGTTGAAGAGTGGGGTAAATGGGCAATGGGTTGCATGCCTGCAGGCGGTGCTGACACTCAGCACGACGGCAGCGAGGTGGTGCAACAGCCTCGGCAACAACTCGCTGCTGCCGCCATTCCTCTGTCATGGGCTGGCATGCGCGGTCGCCAACATCCCCTGCCACAACAAAGAAGTGTTTGCAGCTGCCCTTAGTTGCGCCGATGCACTCGTTGGTGCGCTGCATAGCCCGTCCGACGATTCCCATACCTGCTCTCCTCAGACCTGCCAATTGATTGCAGACAGAGTCAGTGATCCAACAGATTTCGTTGACGGGTTGCCCTGAGGCAAGTCTGGAGATGTATTCTTCATATTGATACTTGCCGAATACTGCCCTCACAATGCAAAGGAGTGAGTCTGTTTTCTGCTGTGCAGAGGCATGCAAGATCACGTCTCCGGGGAACCTGGAACTGAGAAAGGCGGTCGATGAGTGTGGTTCTGAGCTGCTCGTCGCTCTGGTGACCGGCCTGGCAGGGACCTCTGGGCTGCCTCGCGTGCACAAGACAGCCAGCATCTTGTGCAACCTCATGGAGGTCATGGCGCCAGGTGCTCCTCGTGGGAATCATGCTTCTGTATCTCATATCCACACACCTGATCATGCATGTGCTTCATGCATGTGATCATGCATGATGCAATATGTAAGCTTGCACTTTCCTGATTTGGACCCCCAGCACCACTGCCAGCACCTGCAGCAATATTCTTTACACATGCACTTGCAGTACTATCATGTTTCTGGTGTTCAATCTCAATCTAAGGCAGTGCAAACGCATCTGCGCCGCGCAGCCGGGCACCCGGACCCGCGAGCGCAGCTGCTGCGGCTCCGCGCATATCTGGCGGAGGCAGCAGAGGGCTTGGCAGCAGAGGGCGCCATTCTGCCGGCCGATGCGCAGCTATTGCACAGCAGAGTGGGCGCACTGATAGAGTCTGCGCACAAAGCCATGGAACCTCCGGAGCACGGGCGCGGGTTGCTGGGCTCAGAGGTCGGCCGGCGCATGAAGGCAGAGCTGCGCGCATTTGTGGACGTGCATCAGTCTCACCAGTTCTAGGGACCATCTTTCTTAGCGCGTTTCGGTGGCAGGGAAAAGATCAGGTTTAAATTGTACAAGGCGGTTTGATGTGGACGCGCTCCATAATTGGATGTGTTGGGCCTTGTGGCAATTGACGGTGGACTTCATCAGTGATTTATGTCCTACTGGTGCTGAAGAGAAGATGCATCATGTATTTGGTCAAAGTCTGGTATCTGTTTTTAAATTTAAACACGGGCAAGGTGAAACACTTGAAAACCTTACGAGCGTCGGAGACGGATGTCACAAGCCTCACGAGCACCGGATATTACAAACTACCTGCACATTTCTGCAGATAAAGTTCCAAAGCATGGTTCTTCTTAGACTGACTAGCAAAGGACCACAGAGAGGATTTTTCTCCCTTGTTATTTTTATATTGCAATGACTAAGTGAATATCGTCTGGAGAATTCGATAGAGCTAGCCGAACGAGTGATGTTATGGCGTTATGAGTTTCAATAGATGCGCGCGCACTCACTGCAGGTGGCTGAGCGGCAGGCCGGCCTCTTTCCTGACGGCCAGCGAAAGGCTGCTCCAGTCCAGACCGGCCCCGCCCATGTTCTTGACCTGCTGCATGTGCTCCTGCACAATGTCTGCGACAGGCAGCGGCGCTCCAGACTCGCGGCCCAGCCGCTGCATGTGGCCCACGTCCTTCATGCCCCCCTCCAGGTTGAAGCCGGGATCCTCTGGCGTCGGCGTGAACTTGTCTGCCACCAGCGCCTTTGCGTACCCTGCATGACCCCACCCATGACATACCCCTGTCGCAATTGTGGGTGGTCATTTAATCAAGGTAGGACGCATGACATACAAGGCAGTGCGAGCGCAAAGAAGGGAGGAAAGGCTGCTTCCCTCCCTGAGTACTCTTCTGATCATCACCTGGACAATCCCTGCCAGGCTTGCAGCCCACATGTGCTGGGTGCTTGCTGGTGTAGGATGGTCATTAGCAGCAAGTCTGCCATCAGCATAAAGATGCGCAATGCCACCAAAAGTAGCCATTTCAGGTGGACCTGATATCTCTTGGCAAAGTACCTGGGAACGAACAACTCCTTCTTTACAGGCTGTGAGTGTTGGGATGAGTACAGGGATAGAGAGGCGGTAGCAGTCGGGGGCCGTGCCTGTCGTAATGAAGCCCGGGAAGAGGCGGGTGATGAAGTCGAGGACGGTCTCCCGGGCAACGCCGTTCTTCTCGCCCAGGGTCATGCCCTCCGCGGCCAGCTCGATCCAGGAAGAGATGAAAAAGTTTCCAACCAGCTTCATGGCGCTCCCCGCACGCGGGTCATCCCCACAGTCCAGAATGCCCTGGCCTATCGCCTCCAGCAGCGGCCTCACCTGCAGCAGGGGTCTCTAAATTTAATCAGTGCTGCAGAAGAACATCTCAACCCGTTAATCCGGACTCTAAGGCAATCTTAGAGTCCCCTGCCTACACGGCTGACAGACCTGACTGTCACCGCTGGCATACTTCACTTCTGCAGGCCAAAGCAAAACACTTAATAAAGACTGCACTTTGAGCAACAATGCAAAGAACCTGCCATGGGAGATTGGACAGGATCTGCTGAGCATCGCACCCGTTCTCTGGCGGCAGGGTCCCCGGCAGAGACCAGGAGCCCTCTGTGCGCCAACACAGCGTCTGGCCGGCCAAAGATAGGGGAGGTCAGATACAACACCCCCTTCTCAGCCGCCTTATGGGACAGATCTTCGGAAAGATTGGGATAGACGGTGCTGCAGTCAACAAAAACTGTGCCAGGCTTTGGATCTGCTGACAAGAAGGCTTCCACGGTGGATGTCACGGCTGCATCATTCAGCAGCATGGAGAACACTATTGTGCATGCGCTCGCGAGATCTGCAGAACAACAATGCAGGTTAGTACTATCTGTAGATGGAAGCAGGAATCGTGATCATGTGTGGCATTGGGAACGTGAAAGGGCTGTACCGGCGACGCTGGGGGCAAGAACAGCGCCCTGGCTGACCAGCTTGTCAGTCTTTGACTGGGTACGGTTATGGACGTGTAGCTGTCGTTCGAAAGGGTCATCAGGTGACAATTTGCTGAGGAATTCCAGCAGGTTTGTTGCCATGGATGTTCCCATGTTTCCCAATCCTGCACACGACGTAGATGTTCACTCGCTCTCAAAGACGCCAAGGTTGCCGTTCGGAATAGTGGCATCATGTAGCAAGAGTCAGCGCTCCCACCTGCAAATCCTACGACTTCTTTCTGCCCCATGGTTCGACGCTTGGATCGGCACGATCTGAATTCTGGCTTGCCAAGTCCAATTGATAGAAGAGTCACAGATCTGAAGAATTCAATTTTTTTGAAGACAGAAGCAGTGCTCCTCACAATAGGCCTGAAATCACAACACAGGACCCAGCTTCCCGAATACCAGCTTCCCAGCATGGGGAAGCCACACCCAGATGAGTCATTGTCCAATCATCACAGCGTTTCTCCCCCGACGTGCCTTTCTACTCTCTAACTTTCTATTGCAAAGGTGTATTCCAATTCAATATGTCCTTGCAAGTCTGGCCATGATGTCAGACAGCTAGCCAACTGCAGCATCATGCCTTATTGTAGCCATACACCTCCGTTGGCGTGCATGCATTGAGACTACCGAATGAATTATGCCTTGCAAGGCCAACAAATGATTTATCCAGATTTCTTATTCTGTGGGTCACCCGCCAAGGCCAAATCTCCCATTGCATGCTAAGGGTACTCCTGAGGCTCACAGAGGCCGCAAGTGCGCCGGCAATTGTAAGGGTCCTCCACGCAATCACATGCCTCCTGCACATCACCACATTTCCCCAATTCCACGAATAAATGAGCAAGTGTAGCTGAAAATGATGACAAGTTGACTTACTCCCATTTCACTGCTGAGGGGTGCGGCACCTGTTGATATGCATCAATGCAGAAGAGATCCCCCTTCAGCTCACTCTTCAGCCCCGCCCACCTACCCTCCAGCTCATCCATGATCTCATCCGCCTGCGGTGAACACAAGACATACACGTCAACGGTGGAAGCTACGCAAGACTCCTTGTAACATCGGCAATATGAAACGTGGAGGCTCAACGGCTGCACAGAGGTGCGTACCAGGCCACACTGCTCCAGGAGCTCCTCACTGTGCGGGCAGACCTTGAGGTGGTGCAGGTGGCACAGCCCTTGGTTGAGCGTCGCCACGATCTCAATGTTCAACAGGACCCTCGCAAGCTCCCCTCCCTACACCTCCAAGTACAAGTCAAGTTCAAAACCTTGGCCCAGCACATAGCCTGCCTTCCTGCCACCGTCCGTGGCGACAGGCATGTCACAGCCCACGAGCTACATTTGAATTTCCAGCAGCATGCCAGCTGCATCTCTTCGGATTGAAATCAGCACGCGCCCACAGAAGCCTATCTAGGCGCTGTGCAAAGCCGAAGTACCAGCGATCAAAACAGAGGCCAAAACGTCCAGACACACAGTGCGTGGTTCCTGACATGCGGGAGGAGCAAAGCTCGCCTTGCTGGTGAGCAGCGAGGGCCGGGGTGGGTGCGGGAAGAGTCCGCCGGTGCTCTTGCGGGCGTTGCTCCAGGGCGGGCACGCATTGAGGTCGAAGTTGTGGTTGTCGTGCTTGTACCAGCGGTACCCAAACTCCTCCACCTCCACCGCCCAAGGGTAGTGCAGCGCATTCGGAGCCGCTGCGCATGCCATGCACAGCGCTGTCACAAATGGCGGTTGAAGGAGTAGTATAAGGCACATTACAGGGATTGACGATCCCTTTGGGGTATGAAGCGGAGCATTGGTGCCGATCTGTGACAGCCAGCATGGCTGCATACGTCATGCTAGACTTCATTGGGTCAGTAGTAAAAGAATATGCATGTGCATTGCCTTTGAGCATCAGCATTGCCACGGGCATCCAGCTGTGGCATGACGGGCGGAACGAAGCTTTATGGAAGGCGAAGTGTTTGTAGGCTGTTGTAGGACTGGAAGGGTCTCACCGTCGTAGATGGGGTGTGCCGTGTGGAACATGCTGTTGTTGAAGCCCCGGTGGCGGACGCCCAGTGCGGCGGCTGCAGCCGGGTATGCCAGCGTCTCGGCTACCCAACTGTCACCCGTCGTCTTGTTCCTTCTCTGCGCATCAGGGGACACCAAAGGTGGATGTAGTTTGCAGAATTTTTGCATTCAGCTGACACCAGAAGAGTTGCTGACCGACAGCAAGAAAACCTTTGTTGGTGGGCCATAAAGGTGCAATCTGCAATTCAGAGCATGCCAAAGGAGGGCAGATCAGCTTACAAGCCTGCCCTCTTCAGAAGGGTCGACCATGAACTTCCTGATGGGCAGTGTGTACTCCCAGTACAGATCTGCCACTCGCGCTGCATCTTCCCTGGACAGCACACAATTTACCGATGTCACATAGCATTGATACCATGATCTGTATTGCGCATGACGATACTTCTGTGATGGCATAGCTTCCAAAATGCGCAGCTGGTCATACCTGTGGAGGAAGTAGAATTCTGCAACTTCATCTGCCACGCGGCCAGGCCCAGGGTGGGCGATCCAGTCATCAAACTGGTTTGTTAGATGGGGAAAGAGCTCCTCAGCCAGGACATTGTTTAGGTCCTGCAGGTACCATATGTTTTCCGCCGCAGCCCAGCCTGCTTGCACATGCATCATTGAGTGCTGCAGTGAACCCATTTGTTCAAGACCCACATATTCCAGTGACACTAGCATTCTGAATTGCCAGAGTCTCGCAACAATCTCGGGCCCTGGTGAGAACATATGTTGAGAAGAATTTTGGCACCTGGCCCAACTTGAAACTGGGCAGGCAGGAAGGGCCTGTGGATTGTCATATCAGAGTCCAAGACCAGGAAGTACTCCTGCACTGGCTTGGCCTCCTTGAACCACTGCTTCAGCACCCAGGGCTTGTTGTATATGAGGTAGCTGCGCAGCAGACGTGTTTTTGTCAGTGCTGTCCACATGTCCAGTACAGAGCAGACTGGTCATGAGCTTTGCTCCGTCAGCTCATAATGATGGGCAGGAGCTCCCTAGCATCAGCAGACCGACATTCATTGCTTTTCAAGGGGTATGTCAGATATTGCAGGGAGACAAGGTGCGCACTCATCATCGCCAACCCTCTGCACCCCTGGGGTGACCCAGGTCGGCATGACCCAGAACACCTTGCGGTGGATGAGATCCCTCTGGAAGTCACAGCCAATCAGGCGCGTGATCTCGCCAGGCTGCCCAGATCTGCAAGCACACACCCTCAGCTACCACTGTTTGCACAGCATGCAGATGAGACATCTGAGGAGGCTGACACAAATGTTGTGATGTGAGACCCCCTGCACCTGATGAAACTCCAGTACAATCCAATTGCCTCCCAATCCTGCATCATGGACACGTAAGGGTCCGTTTACATGCACAATAATTACTCTTTACAAGCACTTTGACGATGTGCAGCCACAGGGATCAGTTGATGAATTCAATCAATTGCTTACCTGCCATTTATCACACCCGGACATGAAGACAGTATGCATGCTAATGCCCCCTTCATCACCATTACGCGCATGCCTGATCTGTTTTGTACTGTGCAGCATTACATTGTTCTGAGAGGCTGATGTCCTGAACGACTGGCTGTATAGAACTCTCATGCTTGTAGATTGCTCTGTGTCAGTAGCCCAGTGACCCACAGAGTACCCAAGCACAAACACTGTTGCTGCACTGGCCAGGACGACCGTCCATCTGATGTATCTGTTAAACATGCTAGCCGTATACAATTGATTCCTGGGGTTGCCTAAATGTAATTTACTCAGCTGGCTTGCTTGCCAGAACCATCATCTTGTTCTATAGCATTGGACACCAGACTGTCATGCGATGGACCTTTGCATCAGGAGACTAACCAAATTGTGTTGCAAGAGACACTTCGATGCCTGGAAGGTATATCGTGCAATGCTGGTGGCCTGATATTAGAAGAAAGGTCTGTAAAGAAACCCAGCTGAGGTGGTGCCTCTCCCCAACCACATTTATCATGCGGGTCTCCTAGTGGGCGCAAGTTTTTCAGGCAAATTCGATTCACATATCAAGACTGTAATAGAATCTTTAACTTGGGTGATTTGTATCTAGTCAACCTGCGCATCTCCAATTATTGTTTGGCACTTATCGTTTATCTCCATCTGATATCATAGCAGGAGAAGTTGTTTCACATTTAAGCTTTTGAGGTCCGAGATGGAGTGCAGCAGTTGATAGCCACTTGTGATCAATCAATTTGGATGTCCAATTTTTGAGATACCCTGTTCCAAGAAAATATATGTCCGCCCGGTTCCCCCGCTTCATCCTAGGGGCCACAGCAGCAACCAACGCCTGACATGGACTTCAATCTCCTGATTCGTCTTGCAGGTCAAGAGTGTTGCCTGTGTAGGATACTCAAATGCCCTTCATAACCGCATGCAACGCCTCCAGTGAAGCGGCTGTGGCGCGCCATGGCATCCATTATGCCGGTACCAAATTGTATTATATATAGTGGATTAGTGGATGCCCCGGCTGGCGGGGGGCGGTATAAATACTGAGCACCGTGCCCACGGTGGATTGGGTCTTGCTAGCATCTGGCGAGTCCATCAAGGGGTAGAATTGTGGCAGCCTTTAATTGCAGGCTATCTGCAGGACTTACCTTGCCTCTTGGTAGGAAAAGCGTGTAACAATAATAATAATATTAGTGGATTACAAATGTAAGCTTGAGGGTGGTGTCAAGGCTGTCTTCTGAAGTCAAAGCCCGCTGCGCAGGATGACACCACGCATGTGCATAACGTCATCATCCCTATTTGGTCTGGGTGGTTTAGCATATGCATTTATGCATCTCTCTCTACTGTTAGATGATCTACAAATGTATCTGAAAGGGCTGCCTCACTCACACTAGAGGCATTCCGTAAGGTGCAGTGCTAAGTGTTTAAATCCTAGAAGCATAATTTATTGTACATGACCTGATTCCATGCATGCAGCACATTGCTGCACCAATGGCGGCAATCACTCTGTCTTCCAACTTTGGCCTTGAAACCCATCGATCCTGCCACCATCACAGCATCCAATCAGACAGGAGCCATGGCATGCTGGCAAAAATTGACTAGAACACAGGTTCGTCAGAAAATGGACACAATATGGCAACATTTGTTGGCGCACCAAGATGGGAATCGTGCTTGGTCAGGGACATTTGGAAGATGGGCAGCATGTGCACACGATCGCATTTGGCGCCACAAGACTTCAGGTACTCGACCACCCACTGGTCATACCACACTTCTCCAAGGGGCCCAGGCTTGCAACCCTCCTGCGCTCCAGGCATACACACCTCACTTCAAAAGGGTGCTCAGCCTGCTTGCAATTGCAGAGGGATTTTTGTTAGCCTTTTAACCTTTGAGGATGATGTGGCATCGCTGATGGACATCCTATGGCCCTCACCTCATAGCCCTCCCCAGACACATACGCCCCAGACTCTCCACCAAAGTGCGTTGGAGCATAGCTGCGCCAAAGTATCTGGGCTGGAGTGCCCCTGAGAACCCGCATGAGATCCGCCATGTCCCGCTCAAATCTCCTGTATGTGCTGCTCACAACCACCTCTCCATCCTGTAGTTTGCAAAGAATCACTGTCTGGGCTCTGCAATGCAGCATGCAGGGTGGCCATTTAAGCATCTAGTTGCAAGTGATGTGGCCACAGTGATTATTTGAAAGTGGCTTCATCCTGTAATGTGCCCACCTGCTTCACAAAGCGAGGGTACCAGGCTCCAAAATTGGTGACAATGACGTCATGTTCAGTCAGGGGCGCCAGCTCAGTCAACAGGTCCTCTAGTAGGACCCCGCTGAAGCTGCCAAAGATGCGCGCATGCACGCTTGCTCCCCTCGCAAGAGCAAGGTCTCCCCAGAACTGCTTGCTGACATACTTGCCAAGGTAACCTGGCATTGGGTAATCAAGTCCCCCTGCAACAGCTAACAGGCTTGAAGACCGCCACACTGCATGTCAGCACGCACAGGGTAGAACTAGCAACTTCACCTAGAGACCTACAGACTAACAAAAGCATGGCAAATTCTATTAATATCACCTGTGGCACTCGTGGAGCTCCAATTTGATGCGTACTCGCTGACTGTGACAGGAGCCAGCAAGCATGCCAGTGACTGGAACATTTGGCGCATCAATGAGTCACCAATAAGGATAATTTTCCTATCTGCCAGACAACTGTCAAAGCCATGCACGTCCCAGGAATGCAGCTCACATGCATGCGGCTGGTACACCTGCGCAGCCAGCTGAGTGCAGTAGGCACATTGCCGAGTGCAGGACATTCCCGGCTGACACGGGCCATCGAAGCTATCTTTACATTCCTTATGCATCAACAGTCCTGTTTCAGAGGCCACAAGTCCCAGGGCCAGATGGTCCCGTTGTTCATGCAGTACCTGTTGATCTACTTCACGCATCCCGTCATGATTTTGTGCACAATTGATCTCCTCTGCCCAGGCAGGGCAGTGCACCTGCACAACAGCCGCTTCACGTTTGAGTACGTTCCTGCAAGCAGCACTGAAAATTTGCATCCTTCATGAGTGCCAGTTCAGAGGCAAAGAAACAAGCTGACCTGACCCGATGGAGCTGCTGAGCGCGTCCACTTCCCATGCAGTTCCTCCACCCTCCCCAAGTTGCTGCAATGCTGCCGGTCAGCACCTTGTGACAGGTGTTGCACAGAGTTTGTGTATGGAGCGCGCAGATTGCGCTTGGCATGCGCAGGAGTCCATCTACGGCGCTGGGGAACTGGGGCCGGGCTGGCCAGTTCTAGGATCCCCACCAGATAGAGGATTGCCAACGCAATTTGCTGTGATCTCATAGCATTGCTGAGAGATGATACTAATTAATCGTTCTAGGGCCGGACTGGAGCTAGCAATCTGTCCCAAGGAAGACACTTGATATTCAGGTATGCGAACTTAGAGAGTATCATTAGTCCACCACTTTTACATTTACTCATCTCCTTGGTCATTTAAATAAATCAGAAACAGTTGTCACAGTCAAGATTTAGCTGTTCCCAAAGAATGGGTGGCATTGTATATTGAAAGATTGGCATGGTTGATGCCATCAACGTATCGTCTAAAAGTATCTGATTACTCACTATCCATATCATGATCACCAAATTTACGATCGCAAAAAATTAGATCCTAGCAACTCCTGGATCTCTGGACAGGGAATCCGAGTATCCCGGTGCAAGCATAGCACGTGCTGCCGATATGCTGTCTTTCTCTTTGTTCAGGAGAGATTCTGACTGTCAGAATCTGACAACAATTGAACCCATCACAATATTGGGAAATATATCCTAGAGGCAAATGCACAGAGTCTCGAAGGCTGTGATCTTCTGATGCCCAGAGTAAGCAAGTAAGCTCCTGCTCGTCACATGAACAGATTTGAAGACTCATGTTTTCTTGGGATCATCGGCCTGGATGTGTCGGGATCAGGACCATAAAAATCATACGTCTTATCGATCATGGTATGGCCATTTTTCTCGAATAGAAGATGGAACAGCCCTGGACAGTCTTTTACTTGCACAAGTAAATGTTGCTGCACCCCTCAGAAAGATCACATCTCAACATTTTTGATTCGCCTTGTGTTGCATCAGGTGACGATGGGTGAAGTCTTTGTGCTCCTACCCTGTGGCATCTTCTGTGCAGCTAGCAGCATGTATCCCTCTTGAAGAAAATCCTATGACGCATGCCCTTCTTGGGATCCTCCTCGTCAGCCTTCTCCGTCTCACTGCGGCAACATCGCTGCAGAGCTTAGCTGCGCACATCAGCGCGGTACAGGTCGTGCCCACATTAGACCTTGTGAAGGAGGTGCCTCGGACGGATGATGACGAGCTACTTGCACAGATCACCGGCCCATCCAGCATCAGAGTCCGGGTGCATGGCCACGGAGATGACTGGATGGATCCGAAGCTGTACTCAAGCAGCTTGAGGAGCGTGATTGTGAGCGCTGTGAAGAGCGTGGAAGGCCCAAAGATCTGCGTGCTCATGGCAGACAGCAGGCACTCTCTGTGGGATGACAGCAGACAAGGGCATGCTATGTTTGAGGAGGCAGGCAGCCGGCGGTATGCCATGTGGCTGCTGCCGGCCTTGATAAACCTTGTGCATGCGGTGCAGCATGGGTATGATTTTGCGCACATGCAGATGCCGTTCAAGCACGTGTCGCGTCACCCGGCTTGGCTGAAGCTTGTTGCCATGCGAATGATCTTGCCGCGGTACGAGTATGTGTTGTACTTGGACTCGGATGCTTTCTTTCGGCAGCCTGGCACCCCACAGGTGGTTGAGAAGATGATTCTGGAGGGACAGCTAAGCAGGGGCAAAATTATGGCCCTCACCAAGGAAGACGTGAGTTACCCAGACATTGCAAACACCGGCGTCCTCACATTGAGAAACAGCGAGGAGACACTGAAGATGCTGCACGACTGGTGGTACTCGATTGTGCAGCACAAGCAGTACATGATGTACAAGAGAGCATGGTCGTTTGAGCAGGCCGCATTCACCTGGATTGTATATCCAGCATACAATGAGAGCGTGAGTCTGCTGACTTTGGAGGACTGGAACTCTCCAGAGGGCAAGCATATACGGCACATCTGGAGCGTGCTCAGCGAGGATGAGCGTGAGCAGATTTTCCTAGATGCTGCAGCTCTGAGTTTGAGGCACTTGGAAGAATCAAGTCACAGAACCCAAGCCGAACCAATTGCTGCAGCTGCGGAATTGGTAGACTTGGTTGATGAAGTACTGGCGCATAAGCTGCATTGATGTATTATGTATGCAAATTCAGATGAATAGAGAAGGAAGGAAGGAAGGAAGATTACATCACTCCAGCCGCCTAGGGCTGATTGGATGAACTGGCAGCATCCAAATAATCAAAACAATCCATCACAAAATGTGCAACACCAACAATGTCCAACTGCCACATGAATTGCTGCATCGTCACAATGGCTGCACCAAACAGCCCAGGATATCTGTCCCGAACAGATTGCAAGGCAGGGCACTCAAACACAAGGTGGCGCTCATCCCCAATAACCTGCTGGGCACAACGCATGCACAAACGCTGGGGCCGGGGAATCCTTGCCCAGCGGCCCGAGACATTGGGCAGACTATGACAACCCATCCTGAACTTCAACAGTATACGCAAGCAACGGGCACTCAAAGGCTGCTGTAAGAGCTGGCAAGGGTGGCGCACACAAGCTGGCCTAGCAAACCATCTGTGATATGTACACAAGGTGGCATTGCTGGACGGGCAGGTCCTAGGGCAAATGTCAATGTCATCCCAAACCTGCAGTGCTTGCGCATCTAGCAGCTGCATCACAGCATCAACTTCCACAGGAACAAGGGTGTCAAACCGAATAACAAACTCATACCCAATCCGGCGCAAGCCCCGCATGAAGGCCCAAGCCCAATTCTTAACAGTACGGGTTATGGCATCCCAACAATCATCAAGGGCCACTTGCCTGTGAAAATTATTTGCAGGCAAGGCAGCCAAATTGTTCCAGAACTTGATAATGCGCCGCCACCACACACAATCAAGGGTCTGCTGATTCAACTCCTTAAGCAAGATGGCACCATGCACAGAGGTGGGGACGCCAGCAATGTCTCTCAGAATTTTCAGGTGAGAGGAGGCCAAGGCAGCCCGGCCCCGCCGGCTGTCGCCACCAGGAAGGCTGCGCAGGCCCCACACCTCACAACCGTAGGAGGCAGTCGGCGGCACACATGCATCATATAGGCGCAACAACAGGCCAGCTGACATGCTGCAATGCAACTTCCCATATTGCTGCCTGAGCTGTGCCCACGCACCCCACATGTTCCTGTGAAGCTTGCCAAAGGTGAGATTAATGCCTTGGGCACCATCAAAAAGGGCACCCAGGTACTCAAACTGCTGAACCCAATGTAAAGGCGCACCACCACAAAGCCATTGAAAAGGTCCTGGCAAACTTGAAGAGAAAACCACAATCTTTGTTTTGTCAACACTGATGACCATTCCCGTTTGTTCACAAAACTCAGCAGCTGCATCAATCAAGCGTTGCAAATGAGCAGGTGTGGTGGCGAGCAAAGCAAAGTCATCGGCATAGCCTAGATCTGGTACACAACTGCCAGGACGCAACTGCGGGCCAACCCCAGGGCACCTCTGCAGCAAGTGCCTGTGCAGGCCATCTGCAAACAAGCCAAACAGCGTTGGGCTAAGGGGGCAACCCTGCTTCAATCCTGTCTCAGAGGGCAAACTAGGACCCTTCCTGCTCCCAATCTTAATGGCAACCGTAGAATTGGCATACAAAGACTGAATGGCAGAGAGCAGGCGGCCATCAATGCCCAGGCGACGCAGACTCTCCCAGAGCAACACCCGATTCACTCTGTCATAAGCACCCTTCAGATCAAGAAAGCAACAATACAAGGGCTGCTTAGCATGGTTTTGCCGGTCGATAAAATGCTGCAAGGTGAATAGCTGGTGGGCCGTAGACAGTTTTGGCCTAAAGCCAGCCTGTGTGGCTGCACGCAATCCAGCCCCCTCTGTGTACTTCAGAATACGAGAATTCAATATGCCAGCATACAAGCGCATGATGGGCTCAGTAACGGCAATGGGTCTATAATTGAGCATGTCAAGCTTGCTGCCTTTCTTGTGCACAGGGGTGATCAGGCTACCATTCACAGAGGGTGGCACTTGCCCAGCCACAAATGCAGAGTTCAGCACAGCCACCAAAGCAGGCGCCAGGACATTTTCCGGAGGAGGCATGCCTGGCGCCCGCTCATCTTTTGCATACCGAAACAGCTCAGCTGGTAAACCTTGCACTCCGGTGGCACGACCATTGTGTAAACTTTTGAGCCCAGCAAGCACCTCCCCAAGAGAGATGGGTGCATTGAGAGCATCAACATGGGCAACAGGAGCACTGGGCTGGACAGGGAAAGACAAGTGGGGCAGCTCAGCAATGAGTGGCAACTGCAAGTTTGCAACCCGCTTGAGATAGCCAGCCCACAATTGCACTGGCTTGAGCTGCTCAGGTATATCAGACTGCTGAGACTTGAGCCGCTTCCAGAAGGCTCGGGGGTCACTGTGCAAATCATCAAGCAGGCGGCGCAGTTGTGCGAGCCGGTGAGCGCGCCGTTTGTGGCGGACGGTGTTGTGGTAGGCACGCTCCAGCGCGCGCACTTCGGCTGGATCGCCCCCGCACCGCGCGCGGGCGCGGACGTCCCGTTTAAGCTGGCGGCACTCCGAATCGAAGAAGGGCGCGTCGGCACGCGCCTTGCGCTGATGGCGCCCGGTGCGGGCCGGCATGCTGTTCGCGGCTGCGGCCTCCCGGATCCCCGCCTCCAGGGTCTGAAAGGCTGCATCAAGTTCCCCAGCCACAGCATGGCCTGTGCAGGCGTCAAGACTTGCACTGGCAACATTGCGCAAAGCAGCAGCATACGCATTCCTAGCACTGGGCTGCCATTTCACTCGTGACAATGGCGCCCCAATACATGGTAAGGGAACACTGGCAGCCACATTCACTTGCAACGTCATCTCAATAGGATGATGATCAGAGTCTTTTCTACCAGTATTCACAACAAGATGAGAAATCAAGGGGAGCGCATCAGCGGAAACGAGAACATGATCAGGTCTAGTTGCCTGAGTATGGGTTCTGGCCTTAAAGGTAGGCACTGCTTCAAGGTCTCCTAGCACTCTGCCAGAGCATATGAGCATGTCAGTTTCCTTGCAAAAATCTAACAGGCGCAGCCCATGAGCATTGACACCTTCATCAGTGCAGCCTCGAGTATTGCTGTCATCAGCGTCGGGCAAATTTGACACACGAGCATTGAAGTCTCCTGCCAGGATCACATTGCCCTGAGCACGAGCGGCAACAACTTCTGCACATAAGCCCGTAAATCGACTGGTCAGGTCCACAGTCTGCAATTGCCGGGAACCCGCTGGAGGCACATAGCTGGAGCCAATCAGCAGCGGTGTAGAGTCCCCCTCAAACTGCACTTTCACCCATAAGGCACTGTCAGTGTCTGACACCCAGTCTTGTGCGTGGTAATCACGGTGCTTCCGAACCGCAACAACAATGCCTTCACCCGCCTTGCCCTCTTCACTAGCAGCCGTGAAAGTCACAGAGTGGTGAGGCAAGATCGAGTCATCCCAGGTCAAGCAACGGGCCTCAGTCAGAAGTACAATATCGAACTGGTCAAGATAGGCTGCCGTGTCCCACAAGGATATTTTGCTAGCATGTAAGCCATTGACATTCCAGGACAATATACGCAGCGATAGGCGGCTGGAGACTTCCTAGCGGCGCACTGCTTCGGCGTAGGAGTCGGCGCGGCCGGGGGAGGAAGGCGCGGCCTGAGAGGGCCCGGCAGTGGCAGCACCCGGGGCGGCAGCGGCGCCCGGCGCGGCAGCCGGGGGAGGCCCAGGCACAGGCATGTGCTCACGCACGCGGTCGCCCTCCCGGACGAAGAGGCGCTCCTCGCGCCAGAAGGGCTGCTTGCCGGCTGTCTTCAGGGCGACATAGTGTGGGCGCATGCTGACGCGGATGCGCTGCTGCTGCGGGGTGAGGTCGGGATCCAGGAAAATCTGGCGCTGGCGCAGGGCTTTGCTGTGCTTGAGGGCAGCGTGCTTGGCTGCCACGCCGCTGAAGCTGATGAGCACGGGGCGCGGCTTGGTGAGCGTGGCGCTGGGGGCACCGAGGCGGCGAGCTTCGCTGACAACAGCAGGGGGGCCGCTGTTGCTGTCAAACAGCGCTGCCACGCGGGCTGAGACATTCTCTGTGTTGTCCTCTGCCAGACCATGGCAGATCAGGTTGGCACTCCTGGCTTGGCGGGCCTGAGACTCCACCACAGACTCCAGATGGTGCACTTTGTTCACCACTGCTTCATCGTTGGAGGCGGCTCTGGTCTGCGTGTCCTTGGCCAGCTCAGCGCGCAGGAGAGGCAGCAGCTCTGCCTTCAGCTCAGCCACCACCTCATCCTTCAGCTCGGTTTTCAGCTCTGCCTTGAGCTCTGCCTTCAGCTGAGGGAAGAGGGCCCCAAATTTCTCGTCCAGCTTACTGTCAAGCTTGCTTTCCAGGCCGTGGATCATAGACTCGACCTTTGCAAGAAGGAGATCGTGGAGGGGCGGCTCCATCTCCTCATCTGACTGCCCTGGGCTGCCCTGCGCTGGGCGCTTCGACTGACTTCTGGTTCCCTGACTCATCGCAGCAAGATGTTCAGGAACCCAGTGTTCTGCTTGATCATGACCTCAGGTTTTGGCGTCAGCTGTCGTTGACCAAATTTGAATTTGTGTCCTGGGGCAAAGCTCGAAAACCAGCAGAATCAGCTCAGGCAGTGTGCTCTGGGATTATGTCTCATGTGTAAAGATGATGAATTGGATGTAAATGAGAAGAAATTGTTGTGAAGGCTCTCCTGTGTTGGGGTAGTGACGTTTGATTCGAAATGCCAGTGTCTTGGGCAAACCCATTCATCAACAAATGGAAGCCTTTTACCGCGTCCAAAGCCCCTAGAATTTGCAGTGTCCCATACAGAATACTTTCGGCAAACAAAAATTGCTGGTCGTCGACGAAAGACGGAAGTTTAGCTGTTGATCAAGTTCCAGATCACCACGGTTCAGAGTCGAAGGAGGCGCCAGAGCTGCATTGCAACAGACGTCGGTGGCTACTGTTGGCCTCAGGTAGCGCAGCTCTCGCTGAAGCTGATGCGAAAGAAGCTGCTGCTCAGCAACTGGGCAGTCTACTACAAGAGCCCACAATAAAAGAAACGAGGAGCTTAAAAGCATATAATACAACAATATCCACTGGGATCCAAGCTGTGAGGACACCATCAATAAATAGGTGCGTTTTCGAGATCCTATTCTCTTGCATGCTTACCCACTGTCAGTGTCATCAGGCTGTTGAAGGTACTTCTGGATCTTTGAACATGAACATTTCATTCATTCATGATACAGGGGCCTAGCAACCGAGGATGCGGTAAGGACAAATCTGCACATGCAGGGCCTTATCCCACCTGGCCGTACTGATCTGCAGTGTGAGATTGATCGGGCTCATGCCGCACTTTCCAAATGCTGCTCGCCGCTTGAGAAATATCAGGTGTGCAGGCCCTGTTTGCAGGGGGGCTGACTGCCATGCAGTGTCTTGAGCATATCTGCCAGAGGTGGTCTTGTGAGAACGAGGTACATTGAAGATTCATAGATACAATAGTGCTCATGCTGCAGGCGGTGATGACCCTGAAGGAGACCAATGGAGACTGCTTCTATGGCTTGATGACACAGCATTTGAATGATTATCTGCCAGTCATTTACACCCCGTGAGTAAGAATACGACTGCAAAATTTTGAATTGTCTCCTTTCCATTTTCCGCTGCACAATCTGCATTGATCAGCTTGGTTCATCTGTGCAGGACTGTTGGGGAAGCATGCCAACAGTGGTCTTCCCTGCTTGCCCGGCCGCAGGGCCTGTACATCTCAATCTCTGACCTGGTACAGCCCGGTCTGTCATTGTAATACATTCCATTCTGCCGTCCCAGCCACGACAGGCGATTGGTGCTGACCCTTATCTCTGGACTCATGCACAGGGGCAGGTAACGAACATCCTGAGCAACTGGCCAGAAGATGAAGTAAAGGTCGCCATTCTAACTGACGGGGAAAGAATCCTGGGCTTGGGAGATCTGGGCTGCAATGGCATGGGCATTCCTGTCGGTGAACACCTCCGCCGCTGCGTTGTATTCGATGGTTGATGAATTGCCGCATCTGCAGGCGTGCGTGACTAATGCAAGCTTGTGAATGCTGGCTTCCCAGGCAAGGCCGCAGTACACACAGCAGCAGGCGGCATACATCCGCGCTACACACTGCCCATCACCTTAGATGTAGGATGCAATAGAAAGAGCATTCGGGAGGACCCATTCTACATAGGCCTGAGACAGGTGCACATCTGCTGCACCCTTTCTTCTGCTTGTGATGTGGTCAGCAGATGTGCAGAGAGGCAGGTTTACAGTGTGGGTCTCATTTGATGCAGGAGAGAGTGCGAGGGGAGAAGTATTACCAGCTGGTGGAAGAGGTAGTGGAGTCTCTTAGGCAGCGCTATGGGCCATCTCTCGTTATCCATTGGGAGGACTTTGCAGCCTCCAACGGTTTCAGCCTGCTGTCAAAGTACCGCGAAAGGGTGCGCTCCAGAGTCTAACAATAAGCAAATTACTCTTGCATTGCCAAGAACACCTCAGTACAGTATAGACCCATCTGAAGAGCCTGTCTTGCAATATTGCTGTAATGCACTGCCCAAGCCCAAGGGGTACCGAAGACTCCTTCAGTAAGGTACTTCCCAGCAAGCCTGCCTCTGGGGTTGATTTGTTATTTGCTTTGCAGGGATATGCCACGTTCAACGACGACATCCAGGCCACAGCAGCAGTGACACTTGGAGCGCTGATGGGCGCGCAGCGGCTGCCCGGGGTGCCGCCCCTGAGGCAGCAGACATTCCTGTTCTTTGGGGCCGGCCAGGCCAACTTAGGCGCTGCGCAGCTGCTGGTCAGAGCCCTGGCAGATGAAGGGGTCTCTGAGGAGGATGCCAAGCGCCAAATCTGGCTCATGGACTCCCAGGTATGCCAAATTCATCTCTCCTTTCCTCAGATTTTGCCTGTCTACCAGGCATGTTACAAGCCAGATTACTGCTGCGCATGCGTAGAGGGTTTCTCTAATGCAAGGGGGCTCGACAGGGGATTGTGCATGATGGGAGGAAAGGGCGGCCGCTGACGCCACAGAAGGCGACCTTCGCGCGAAGCCGGGCGGACGCGGGCCTAGCAGAGCAGGTGGGCAAGGACCTCAGCAGAGCCGTGTGGCTCGTGAAACCTGCCACATTGATCGGGGCCGCCGCGCAGGGCGGTGCATTCTCTGAGAACATTGTCAGGGCCTTGAAACAGGTGACAGGCTTCACCTAGTCTGCTTCAGAACCCACTATTCAGCTTCATATCATCTCAGGCTCCCGACTAAGAGGACCAAGACCTGCCAGGCTTTGCTGAGGCAATTATAACATTATGAAGGGGGTCAACTATCGAACACAGCAAAGGTCAACGGAGTTATCTGATGTGCTAGACTGATGCGTTGGCCCCTTCTTTCTTTTAGGTGACTCAGGAGACTTACGGGGGCGATGCTCGCCCGGCAGTATTTGCGCTCTCAAACCCAGTGGAGGAGGCTGAGTGCACGGCGCAGCAAGCCTATGACTGGACGGACGGCGCAGCTGTGTTTGCGAGCGGTACCGCCTTTGCCCCAGTCCGCCGGAAGGACGGCAGCACCTTTCTCCCCGGGCAGTGCAACAACTGCCTCGTCTTCCCTGGCAAGTACTCACAAATTGCAACCTGCATGGAGTTTCACCATGCACCTGTTGATCGGGCATGTCTGCTTATAATATGTAGACACCTTGCTTTCTGTAGATTCATCCATGGAGGCATGGAGGGATATGCATTTTTGTGGCATACAAGTTGATAGTACGATATACTCTACCACTGGATGTACTATGAATCCTGGCTCAACTTACAGCCTGTGAGAGGCTCTGACATGTTGACACGACTGGAGAAACCAAGTGGGGCTCAATGTGTGGCAGGCATTGCGCTGGGGTGCGTTGCTGCGGGGGCGACAGAGGTCACAGACAGCATGATGCTGGCGGCTGCGCGTGGAATCAGTCACAAGCTGACAGCGGAGGAGCTGCAGCGCGAATCTGTGCTGCCTCGCATCGAGCGCCTCAGGTGCAGCTTCAGCTTAGCAGCTGCTGATGCCCATCTCTGATTCTCATGACTAAACGCAATAAAGAATGAGTCATGCGACCTTTTGTACCTGCTGGTTGGTTGTAAGGCATCGCCTGCACATGTTAGCACTGGAGGGCACATGCTGGTGCACATTCACATGAGAGTTACGTTTGGCATTTGCAGTGAGACTGCACGCACGGTGGGAGCAGCGGTGGCACTGGAGGCCATAGCCAGCAACAAAGCATCGCCCTCTGGGCTGAGCGCCCTGGATGGCCTGCAGCAGATGATTGGCAGTGATTATGCTAGAGCTCTGCAGCTGGCAGAAAATGCCATCAGGCAGATGCAGTATGATCCATTTGTGCCTGGCAGTGGCCTGGGAAGGGCTTCATATTTGTCGCAAGGCACTGGCATTTGATCCTTGTAAAAGACGATTTCAAGAAATTTGTCATGCCACAACACTGCCACACTGATCACAGGCACCAGCAAGCAACGCAATTTGTACAGATGCTTGTCCTTACAATTCATGCCGCAGTGCTGTGCCACCTTGTCCTGCCACTGTCAACAGTACAAGACATGGCTTGCAAGTCCTTTCTGTGAGGCAAGGTCCAAAGTAACAAAGGAATGTACAGTCTTGGTTGCAATGTGCAATCAGAAGGTTTTTCTCTTGCAAGTTTTCCTTGCAGAACAGCCGCCACCATTCACCCCGTCAATGAATGTATCAGGCCCTGCAGGTTTCATTACAATTTCTCCAGTGCCAACGGCCAAATAATTGATTGCATGCATTGGACGCCTCTGCACATCTTAATGGCGCTGATATGGTGCTGCTGGAGCCCCATTGCCTACTCAGCACTGCAGCGCCTCTTTAGCTGGCTTGATGAACAGCTCCGTGCATTGCTGGACAGTATCAACTGGACTGGTGACTGTGTGGCCCTTGGTCTTCTCGGACATGAAGATCTCGTAGTCATTGCCACCCTGCGCGTGATTCATCACAGTCATATCTTCTCCGTTCTCAAGACTTGTGCGCAAACCATGACTACTTTGAGAAACTTGACAGAAGCACATGAAGCGCGCCGCACCTCGAAAGTCTTGTCTCCAAAGAAGTGGATGTCTGAGAACTCCTCTTCCACAAAGCGCAGGCAGTAAGTCTTGTCCCAGCCCTGTAAGCACATCAGAGGCCAATGTAAGGCAATGCAGAGTATCTGCAATATAATATTTGCAGTAGGGACCACAGCCGTGGTCCTCTGTATTTTTGCACATGCTTTTCATGAAAGGTACTTGCACTGGGCTGCGTGTCACCTCAGGGAAGACATCAAAGCTGATCTGGCCCCCAATGGAGTACACCAGGTTCAGGTGAGCGAATTTTTCCCTCAAGATGCCCACAAACTTTTTCCTGCACCCACGCAAGAAATCCCATCAGATACCCCGTTGCGCAGCGCATGCAAGGTTTTCACTTTAAGTTCTTTGCATCAAGATCTTCTGCTGCAGCACTCTCATCCTAGTGTCATTGGACAGAATGCAGAGGAGGTCGGTGCTTGTGAATGCCTCAGCCTTGGGGCTCTGCTCGTGCGCACCTGATGCCCGTTTTGAGGTCAAACTCCTCAAACTCGTCCCGCTCCTCCTGGCTGCAGTTGCGGCCGATGGGGGACACGTTGAGCATGCCATTACGGAACTCGATGAAGGTGCCACGCTTGATGGGGATGTCCAGGTCAGCGATGTAGTGCAGCACAAAGTTGATCAGCTCCTTGAGCTTGGCCTCGCCCAAATGCTTCTTGAGGCTCTGGATGGCTAGCACCTCGCCCTCCTTGTATGCCACCAGGCCATTCTCCGAGAACAGGTAGTCATACTCGATGGGAGCTGCATGGTGCACAGAATGGGAGTCTGCGTGCTGGTCTGGCAATTTTAAACTAGCTGCGCTGTGCCTCATTGAATTTCTTGTGTTCCATGCTGCAGCAACCTATCACTGTTGGAAAAGCCGAGAGGCTGAAGCAAGTCTTTAGAATACAGCACGCACCATTGGGTCCGAGCTGCTCGCAGATTTTGATCTGATCTGAGCCCCCCACGATGCCCACTCTGACGTACTGTGGTCACAGGACGCGAATTTAGACGCGGTAGAGCGGACAGAGGATTCAACCAACCTTACATGCCTTTGAATTAGCACATGCCTTGTCCAAGTGGACAAGGATTGCACGCACCTTTCGCAACTCCTGTAGAAAGTCAAGAGTTGACTGATCTGCTTTCTGCATGATCACACATGCATCAGCATTGAGCTACAAGAAATGACAGGTGAGGCCAAGGCCGTGAACCCCACGGATGCAGGTGACGTACGCAGGGAGTACACGAGCTTCCAGATTCCCACCATACAGTCACATGAAATTGTCTCACAATGCGAATCGATCTAATGTCTCAAGGCAGAAGCAGAGGTCCACCTTGCGAGGCACCAACAAGGTGCCATCCATGTCGAACAGAGCTATCGTCTTGTGATGAGGCTTGGCTCCATCGCTCGCAACCATTGTAGATCACCACTGTTTTCAGAAAATTGATGAGTGTCGCAGTGATTTGCAAGGAAATGAAGCACCAGAAGTTTGGTGCGGGGGACTTTAGAATGGAGTATGTTTCTCGGGGCGTCTTGCGAGACGTCTAGGGTCGACCCTGCAGCTGCCCTTTTCCTCTATTTCCCCGGCACCGTTTCAGGATAACCGCACCCAAATTTCAACCCCGACCATCTAGCTACCAAACAGGGATGTTGAGCTTTCAAGTATCGAACTGACATCGGGCGCAGTACGCCAGGGCAAGGTCAGGTTGGTTCGTGTCAAAACCGCCTGCAGCAGATTACTGGCAGTGATTATGCTAGACCTCTGCAGCTGGCAAAAAATGCCATCAGGCAGATGCGGTATGATCCATTTGTGCCTGGCAGTGGCCTGGGAAAGGCTTGATATTTGTCGCATAGCACTGGCATTTGATCCTTGTAAAGACGCTTTCAAGAAAATTCTGTCATGCCACAATACTGCCACACTGATCACAGGCACCAGCAAGCAACGCAATTTGTACAGATGCTTGTCCTTACAATTCATGCCGCAGTGCTGTGCCACCTTGTCCTGCCACTGTCAACAGTACAAGACATGGCTTGCAAGTCCTTTCTGTGAGGCAAGGTCCAAAGTAACAAAGGAATGTACAGTCTTGGTTGCAATGTGCAATCAGAAGGTTTTTCTCCTGCAAGTTTTCCTTGCAGAACAGCCGCCACCATTCACCCGGTCAATGAATGTATCAGGCCCTGCAGGTTTCATTACAATTTCTCCAGTGCCGACGGCCAAATAATTGATTGCATGCATTGGACGCCTCTGCACATCTTAATGGCGCTGATATGGTGCTGCTGGAGCCCCATTGCCTACTCAGCACTGCAGCGCCTCTTTAGCTGGCTTGATGAACAGCTCCGTGCATTGCTGGACAGTATCAACTGGACTGGTGACTGTGTGGCCCTTGGTCTTCTCGGACATGAAGATCTCGTAGTCATTGCCACCCTGCGCGTGATTCATCACAGTCATATCTTCTCCGTTCTCAAGACTTGTGCGCAAACCATGACTACTTTGAGAAACTTGACAGAAGCACATGAAGCGCGCCGCACCTCGAAAGTCTTGTCTCCAAAGAAGTGGATGTCTGAGAACTCCTCTTCCACAAAGCGCAGGCAGTAAGTCTTGTCCCAGCCCTGTAAGCACATCAGAGGCCAATGTAAGGCAATGCAGAGTATCTGCAATATAATATTTGCAGTAGGGACCACAGCCGTGGTCCTCTGTATTTTTGCACATGCTTTTCATGAAAGGTACTTGCACTGGGCTGCGTGTCACCTCAGGGAAGACATCAAAGCTGATCTGGCCCCCAATGGAGTACACCAGGTTCAGGTGAGCGAATTTTTCCCTCAAGATGCCCACAAACTTTTTCCTGCACCCACGCAAGAAATCCCATCAGATACCCCGTTGCGCAGCGCATGCAAGGTTTTCACTTTAAGTTCTTTGCATCAAGATCTTCTGCTGCAGCACTCTCATCCTAGTGTCATTGGACAGAATGCAGAGGAGGTCGGTGCTTGTGAATGCCTCAGCCTTGGGGCTCTGCTCGTGCGCACCTGATGCCCGTTTTGAGGTCAAACTCCTCAAACTCGTCCCGCTCCTCCTGGCTGCAGTTGCGGCCGATGGGGGACACGTTGAGCATGCCATTACGGAACTCGATGAAGGTGCCACGCTTGATGGGGATGTCCAGGTCAGCGATGTAGTGCAGCACAAAGTTGATCAGCTCCTTGAGCTTGGCCTCGCCCAAATGCTTCTTGAGGCTCTGGATGGCTAGCACCTCGCCCTCCTTGTATGCCACCAGGCCATTCTCCGAGAACAGGTAGTCATACTCGATGGGAGCTGCATGGTGCACAGAATGGGAGTCTGCGTGCTGGTCTGGCAATAATTAAACTAGCTGTTTTCACTGTTGGAAAAGCCTAGAGGCTGAAGCAGTTCTTCAGAATACAGCACGCACCTTTGGGTCCGAGCTGCTCGCAGATTTTGATCTGATCTGAGCCTCCCACGATGCCCACTTTGACGTACTATGGTCACAGGACGCTAAGTTAGACGCGATAGGGCGGACAGAGGAATCAACCAAAATTACATGCCTTTGAAAAAGCATATGCCTTGTCCAAGTGGACAAGGATTGGACGCACCTTTCGCAACTCCTGTAGAAAGTCAAGAGTTGACTGATCTGCTTTCTGCATGATCACACATGCATCAACATTGAGCTACGAGAAATGACAAGTGAGGCCAAGGCCGTGACCCCCACGGATGCAGGTGATGTGTGCAGGGAGTACACGAGCTTCCAGAATTCACACCATACAGGCACATGAAATTGTATCACAATACTAATCAATCTAATGTCTCACGGCAGGAGCAGAGGTCCACCTTGCGAGGCACCGTCAAGGTGCCATCCACGTCGAACAGAGCTATCGTCTTGTAGTGAGGCTTGGCTCCATCGCTCGCAACCATTTTTAGATCACAACTGTTTTCAGAAAATTGATGAGTGTCGCAAAGATCTGCAAGGAAATGAAGCACCAGAAGTTCTGGTGAGGGGGACTTTAGAATGGAGTAGGTTTCTCGGGGCGTCTTGCGAGGGTCGACCCTGCCCTTTTCCTCTATTTCCCCGGCACCGTTTCAGGATAACCGCACCCAGGTTTCAACCCCGACCATCAGCTAGCTACCAACAGGGATGTTGAGCTTTCAAGTATCGAACTGACATCGGGCGCAGTACGCCAGGGCAAGGTCAGGTTGGTTCTCGTCAAAACCGATGGCTTCCGACAACGAACCTGGTATCTGAGTCTGTGGTCTTAAGAAAGCCACTGCAAACAATCGGAGACTTATAGTGCAGTGTTTATATTTCAGTTAGCTGTTTCCAAACCTTCCTTTCTCTTGAGAGAGTAAAAAGCGTCAAAAGCAGGTGTTGTTGTATCAGGGCCAACGACATGGCCGTGCAGCTGTACACGACTGTCAGTCTGAGCAGCAAGGGTGTGCAGAACCCCAAGCTTGCAAGGAATGCATCAGTCGCTGTTCCCAGCCCAGTGTTGCGCACCCTTACAAACACCAAAGCCCTCAACTCAGCACTGTCTACAGCCAAGACAGCAGACTTTGTGGACATCACATTCAGGTCTCGTCAGCAAACTTCCATGATAAGGTCACGGTCCTATAACTATATTCCAGTTGACCTTCTGAGAACCATCCTTTCCCTGACTAGTGTCAGTATCTGTGGTAGGCTGTACACAAATGAAGATGGCCACCTCAAATCTGTCAGCCTTCCAGAGAGCACCATTGCGAAGTCGCTGTCAGAGGTGAGCTCATCCATCCCCATCACGTATCATCATTATCCAGTAGGTCCTCTGCTTCTATAAGACATTGCTGGGAATCCATCGTGCAAGATGGCTCAGATTTGCGCACACCGCATCCAGGTGCACAACAAGCAGTGGGATACCGTGCTCGACCCAGCAACTCTGCCCAGCGACAGAGATGCCGGGCTGTCAAACTTGCTGGGGCTTCCCACAGGTGCAAACCCGCCCTCAACTCACTGACATCATCCAATGTCCTCTCACATATCTTAGCAGCAAGGAACCCACCAGCGCTCTGCCACGGTGTGTTGATGCAAAGTTTCTTCAAGTTACAGAATCACAGAAGGGGACATCTGGGTCTCAGACTCTGCAGCGGTATGCGAGCGTGCTCCTTATGAGCCCCAGCCGTGGGAGCGAGGATGACCTCATCTCTGCGCTCAAGCTAGGGGAGCCCAAGTACACATCGCGCGCCGAAGGAGAGCCTGGTACTCTGGGCTTCCGCGCCTTCCTGCAGGCAAGCATCTCTGATCAATGCACACCTTGCTCCCTTAAAGTTGCATGCAAATTTTCTTGATTTGCCTGTGATGTCACTGTGAAGCAAATCAGTGCTGGGGTGGCTTGCAGGAACAAGGTGCAGATGTGTCCCCCTGGCATGATGTGGCCCTGCGCAATGAAGACGGCACCCTCAACTTCGTGTGCGAGATCCCCAAGGACACCTCAGCCAAATTTGAAGTCGCCACGGTACCCACCTGTATCCTTCCACACCTCAGTGCAAGCTTGATTGTTACTCCGCAACACAGCCAAAGTTATTTTGTGCTCCAAAAAGGTGGCAATCTGGTGAGTCATGGAAGGTGACAGTCCGCACGTGTGTGCCAGGGCGAGGAGAGGAACCCCATCAAGCAGGATGTGAAGAAGGGTGTGCCACGCTTCTACCCCTACACTATCCCCTGGAATTATGGCATGCTGCCCCAGACCTGGGAGGACCCTCAAGCAGCCCACGCCGACATCCCAGGCGTAGGGGTAATGCTCACCTGACACACCCTGGCCACTTGTAGTACACTTGCCTGACGTCAACACAGTCTGAATGCACCTTCATGCTTGGTTGCATGGCGGTTATTGCAGTATTTTCGATTACAGAGGGGGTCTCATAGACATTACAAGTTAGTCATAGAAAATTCACAACACAGGGGGACAATGATCCAGTGGACGTGGTGGAGATTGGAGGTACGCCCCTAGAGACGGCCGGCGTGTACACTGTCAAAGCTCTGGGCGCTTATGCAATGATCGACAGCGGCGAGCTGGACTGGAAGATCATCTGCATCCGCAGCGACCACCCGCTCGCTCCCAAGCTCAATGACATCACCGACGTCGAACGGTGGGGCGCTCTTAGCATTGCATGAAATTCCCATGTATGCTCTTTTTATTGCTATCTGGCATTTGGCACTTTGAAGCTTCAAAATTGAGGAGGGGACTGTGAGGCAAAGTGACTCCTTAATATTTTTGTGTCAGGGATTTGCATTCTTGACCAAACTGATGTCAGAGACCCACCAGGGGTAGTATTAACATTGCCATGATTGCATGAAAGTGTGCATGCAGGGAGCTGCCCGGAGAGCTGGAGAAGATCATGATGTGGTTCCGTGACTATAAGATCCCAGATGGGAAGCCGCCCAATGCATTCGGCTTTGACAGCAAGCCGGTCAATGAGAGCTATGCCCAGGCGGTTGTTGAGGAGACGCACCAGGCTTACAGCCAGCTGCACAGTGGGGCGCGGCCTAACGATGGCGAGCTGAGCCTGCGATGAGCTTTGCTACCTTTTACAGATCTGCTCTCTTTGACTGTCCATCCATGCATGGAAGAGTAGCATGCGCCCACGTGACGGGCACTATCCCCGCACATCACCTGGTTTTGTCTAGCGCGCCTGAAAATTATACCAGGCTTGGGAAGTAGACAAGGACAATATTTTAGACTGTCAGTGCCACTTCATCTGTACAGTAATGCGCCAGCCTGACACTGTCATCAAATTGTTATCTTCTGCACATGGCGATGCACCCTGATCAACGATGATCATCGTGATGATGTTGCATGCATATGCCGATACCGATGGTGCGTGCAAAAAACTATCCTGACTTGGCATGCCACACCACGAACGGCTGCAAGGACCACTGCCAAACAAAGTCAAATGCATGTCAGAATAATGCTGAGTAGAAGACCGAAGCTGAGGCAAGGCTTAGGCTTGCAGGTGCCACGTGGCAGCTGGCTTCCTGCAGTGGGGCAGCTATCTCATGCGCTTTGCTCGGAAAATTAATGTTGACTGACATAGGTTCCTGAAGTTTCAGGATGGTTGAATAGGATTGTTGGAGTGTCCTGGTATTACGGTATTACAGTATTTTAGTCGTTAAATATATTACAGATCACAGCTGACCATGACGCCTTCAAATTAATAATAGGAAGATGACGGGAGAGCAATCAGAGAGAATACCACTGCTCGTGCTCTTCGGTTCGCAGACTGGGAGTGCTCAGGTACTGGCTCATCTTCTGTGTTTCGTTGCTGGACTTGTATTTATGAAGATGTCCCTTGATGGTCACTTCCATCACTGCAGGATGTGGCTGAGAGGATTGGCAGAGAGGCGAAGCTGAGACAGTACGCACCAAGAGTCATGGCCATGGACGCCTTTGATGTCAGGCTTCTGCCAGAGGAGTCACTGGTGATCTTTGTGACTTCAACAACCGGCCAGGTAATTCCTCCCGTGATACTCAGAAGAAGACAGCTTTCAGCATTGAAACCTCCAGGAGTGCATCAGGGCTGCAAGTTATGGGGCTCTCATGCGCAGGGAGAGCTGCCATCCAACATGAAGCAGTCCTGGCGTTTCCTGCTGAGGAAAAACTTGCCAGCCGACTCTCTGGCCGGCCTCGCGCATGCTGTCTTTGGTCTGGGCGACTCAGGTAGCGTCCCTTTCGTCTGTGTTTCTCTATGTCGCCACAAGTGCAAGATCGTGTGTGCTCTGTTCATTGATTTGTTCAAATTAATGAGAACTTGTATATGCAAGTGGTGCCAGACCAGATGAATCAAGGCCTTGCTGTGCTGCTGCAGGCTATGTGCAGTACAACGTGGTTGCCAAGAAGCTGACGAGGCGGCTGGCAGCACTGGGCGGCCGGGCAGTCATCGAGCAGGGCTTGGGAGATGATCAGCACCCTCACGGCTATGAGGCTGCACTGGACCCCTGGCTTGCCTGCCTGTGGGCCGCCCTGCGCACAGAATATCCCCTGCCCCCTGGCGTGATTGAGGCATGCACCCGCCTGCTCTCCTGCACCTTGACTCACTGTTTACACAGCTATCTGGCTTGCACGATCCGATTGTTGTGGACGCTTACAATGGACCCTCTGACATAACACCCTCTCGGAAGGAGACCGATTGTGGAGCCCTCAATGAAATGTCCAATTTTTTTATGCCTGCAGCCGGCGCCGGGAGAGACAGGAACGCCCCTGGAGCCCAAGTACTCAGTAACTATGCTGGGGAAGAGGGCGCGGCCGGCAGCTGATGGCGATCCGGTGACGGAGCTGGAGGAAGCCGCGTCAGCAGCCAGGCTGTTTGGCCAGGTGGAGGCCGCCGTAGCCGGCACTTCCAGCCGCGACGCGCTGCAGAACGGGCTCGAGCCAGGCAAGCAGCCACGCACTACTCTCTCCTGTCCTGATACCCGCCTGTGCATTTATAGCTCCGTGCCAAAGTGACCATTTTGTTGGGACTGTAATACTCCTACCGAGGCGGGTTGACTCAGCCTTTTCCTGCGCTTGTGACAGAGGGGTCTTCCACGTGTGCAGGGTATGGCCCCTGGCGCCCCTACATGGCGAGAGTGTTGAAGAACGAGCGGATAACAGCGGAGGATCACTTCCAGGACACGCGCCACATAGAGGTGGATCTGGGCGACTCTGGCCTGGCCTACCAGCCGGGCGACCTGCTGGCAGTGTTCCCACAGCAGCGGGAGTCGGCCCTGCAGGACTTCCTGCACCGCACGCGCCTCGACCCGGATGACTGGGTCCGCATACAGCCGGCCGACCCAGCTGCCAGGGTGGCCAGCGCCGATGTTGAGGTGGGACAATTGTTTCTCTCTGTACAACCTTCCTTGTTCACGTCATTTGCAAGTTGATCCCGGTGAGAGCTGTGGAGCAAGTGTGTATTATCCTGGGGGTGAGAGCGTCAGAGTTTCAGAGTGGTGAGAGACAACTTGATCGACAAGGCAGATTTGAGCGCATTGAGCATGTGGAGATTGTCCTGTTGTTTGAGGTCCTGGGTGTGATTGGGTGTGTAGGTGAGGGTTGCTGCGCTGGTGGCGGGTGTGATGGATGTGGCGGGGGCGTCCCCGCGCCGCTTCTTCTTCGAGGTGCTGCGCTGCTTCACGCGCGACCGCGCCCAGGCGGAGCGGCTGGCATACTTCGCGTCCCCGGCCGGCCGCGAGGACCTCAGCAAGTATAACGAGCGCGAAGGTGCATATCCACCCATCAGTCAGCATCAAAACCCATTCAACTGCTTGTTCCGGCGGTATCAGACGTACGGCGCAAATGCTGAGCCAGAACCCATGTGGCTGCATCAGGGCCTGTGCTGCACAAGGGCATGCGGGTGCATGCGGTCGAGGTGTGTTGAAAGCCTGGCAGGACCGTGATAATGGCGGCTTATACGGCGCTCTCATAATTTCCTTTCATCGCAGTAGCGCAGTCAGACCTCATGCCGCCACACAGGGCCTGTTTCACACGAGGGCATGCAGCAGCATGCTGCCTAAATGGGAAACTGCATTGAACCGTTGAGCGCACTACAAGAGCGCAATACTGGCGACTGACACAGTGGGTCGCAGGGCGGACGGCGCTGGAGGTTCTGCAGGACTTTGAGGATGCGACGCCGCCGCTGGAGTGGCTGCTGCAGGCCATGCCGCGCCTCAAGCCGCGCTACTTCTCCATCGCATCGTCTCCCCGCGCCCACCCCGGCCAGGCACACATCACCGCTGCCGTGGTGGAGTATGCCACGCCCCACCGGCGACGCAAACTCGGTGTCGCCACCTCCTGGCTTGCTGGCCTGCAGCCAGGCTCCCCTGAAGCCAGGGTGTGCGCCCCTCTATTTGATTCATGCCATCCGGAGACATCTGCTGCACTTGATGACCATGCCTGGCCTGTCTTTGCACCCCTGCTCTGGATATCCTGCAATAAGATAGCCCCACCTAGAGGTCAGGCTCTGCCTTGGGGTCCAACAGAATACATCAGGATGGCACATTGTCAGTCATTACTGTACGACAGAGGGAGCTGTTCGGGAGGGCGCGCAAGTGGGAACCCTCGATGGAGGGTGTGTAGGGGTCCCATGAGAGCGTGCTGCATGCTTGTGTCTACTTGGTCTATGGGAGCTACAGTATGCTTGCGAGGGACAATCGTGAGGCTGTCTACAGTCCTTGTTAGTGTTGACACTGTTGGGTTCATGACGGACCGAAAATTGCAGGTGCCGGTGTGGGTGGAGCCGGGCGTGATGCGGCCGCCGGACTCAGACAGGCCGATGGTTCTGATCGGACCAGGCACGGGCGTGGCGCCCTTCCGAGCCTTCCTCGAGGACCGCCTCGCAGCCTCGGCCCAAGGTGTGTCCGCCCCTCCCACTTTCAACACCCAATATGTGCATGTTATTTACCCCTCAACACAGGGGTGGATGTATGCCTTCCCGCGCATCAATGCTGTCCTCGGACCCGATTAATCCGACAAACTCTGGAAAGGGGGCTGAGCGGATGCTGCATCTGGTGAATTGCAGAGGGTGCCGCCCCGGTGGCACCGAGCTACCTGTACTTTGGCTGCCGTAACGAGGCCAAGGACTTCTACTACCGTTCCTTCTGGGAGCTGTCCCAGCGCTCGGGCGTTCTGGCCGACCCAGGCGGCCTGGTGACGGCGTTCTCGCGCGACCAAGCCTCCAAGGTGTATGTGTCCCACCGCGTCCGTGAGACCTCCGCCCAGCTCTGGGCAGCCCTGCAGCAGGTGCCCACCCCTGACTGGCACTCTGGTCTGCTGGTCTTTGAAAGGAACAAATGCTTCCTTGACTCATTCTCACCTCGCGTTCGTTTGTTTGTGTCAAAGACACATATCTAACGTTCAGAAGTGCAGGGATTGCTGATGTAGATTTACTTGAAATTGGGCGCTTGATCTGAGGAAGGCATCGTGTTCCCTTTTGACAGGGGGCAGTCGTCTTTGTGTGTGGCTCGGCTAAGAAGATGCCGCAGGACATTGCAGCAGCGTTTGAGAGGGTGTGCATGCAAGAAGGGGGCATGACAAAGGCAGAAGCAGCTAAATATATGAAGCAGCTCGAGATGAAGGGGCGCTATATTGTGGAAGCGTGGTCATGACTGAGGAGTGCCTGCCATGCAACCGCATGTGTGATGTACTGTGAGATGCGCATGCTTCAACTTGAGTTCAGGATGCTGTGGCGCATGCGCAAGTATATAATGTTCCCTGTAATTACCTTAGTTATAACACCTACCGGGAAGTTCGGGACAGCTTGTGAATCTTATATTTAATTAACACTTACATTTAGATTACCATATGTTTATGTAGTGACCCATCAAGCCTGTGAACATCGTGATGCGCATCCCTAGGAGTCTCACTTATCAGTAAGGGGATCTCACGAAATAGAGAACCAGTCATTTGACTTTGCCAAGTTCGCTATCCCATTGTTTGCGGACGAAGTGCATACAATGCGGCTACCGCAGATATGTTCATCACTGGTGCGCCTGGAGAGATCTCTAGAGTCTGGTACCTGTAAGGTTTCAAGCAGGGGCAGCATCCATGTCTTTGCATACTTACTTTGGATGCCCTCTCAACATAATATAAACCTTGTCAAGTCAGACCAGCGTTAAAGGTCTGACAAGTACACCAGTGGTACCTTCATATAAGCGGCTAACTCCTTCCTGGAAAGATACACATATACCACAATCTAATCGAGCCGTCTAGCTAGGTCTACAGATATAGCGAAGCAAATAGCGCCCAATTCCAAGTCAGAGCCATGATTCGACCTCAAAAGAGATCTTCACACCCGCAAGCGTTGATGAACATGACAAGGAAATTCCCAGGCAAGCACGCGCCGGACACAAAGTCTCTTACTCATAGCTAGAGCCAAGCGCTTGCGCGAAATTCCACACATGAGCGCTGACTATAAAATACTGCTCCTCCACTTAGAAGTGCTGCGATTGCTGCTGCTGCTGGACAGCCAGGTCAGGCAACTGCGCGCCTGGCGCATCGGGCCGCTGAGGGAGCCCCTCATTTCTGGGCCGCTCGGCCGCGCTCGGAGGATGCGCGCCCGGATGGCCGGGGGCGGCCATCGGCGCATCGACGCCCTGGTCGGCCAGCGCGAGCTGCTCCATGAAGCTCGGCTGCGCCTGCGGCCGCGGCGCCGCCGCCGCCGCGCTCTCTGCGGCGCGCGCCATATTGGCCGCTGCGACCGCCTCTGCGGGCAGCCGCCCCCAGTCGAGCGCCGCCTGCTCCGCCGGCAGCGGATGCAGTTGCGGCTGCGGCTGTGGCGCGGCATCGGGCCGGGGCGGCGGCTGCTGCAGCTGGCGCTGCGGCGGCGGAGCGGCGATGGGCACGGACGCCTGCGCCAGCTGCACTGTCACCGTCGCCGGCGAAGAGGTCTTCCGCGGCCCCTGGTACTCCTGAACCGCAGCCACATCCCCACGCACGTGAGCATCCCTGTGCATGGCGACAAGGGCATGCAGCAGGCCACCCCTGACTATCCACAAACATGTTCCTGGGGTTGCTGCAAGTCGTCCACCTGTACAAACGCGGGGCACCCTGCCGGGAGCATGTGCAGCAACCCGTGATCAGAAGACAGCTCGTGCTGCAGAGAGGGCACCTGGGCGGGGACGGGAAGGGGGGCGTCGAGGAAGGGGGCGCTGATGCGGAAGGCGGGCTGGTCCAGGCGGTGCTGGGGGACGCCGCTGGTGATGGGCCCCGGCCGCGCGGGAGCGCCGCTGGACGTCGCGCGCTCAAAGTCCGGCCGCTCCCCGGTCTGCACCACCGCCTTTGCCACGCGCTGCTGCGCCGCCAGCCCCAGTCGCTCCGACCCCTGCACCTGCAGTCGGCATCCCCCCTCAGCCCAGCTCTAGACTTGCGGCTGCACACCTGCTGTGCTAAATCATATGCGGAGGACTTGCACGTAGACATCAGGTGTGCACGTACGTATGCGCCTCTTGCGCCAGTGGTGGATTTTTAACAAGAGTAACAGGGTGAAGAACAGAGAAATGCAGGAGGGACAAGACAGACACCTGCTGGGCAGAAGGGGAGGGTGAGCGCGAGTTTGCCATGCTGGGGCTGCCGGCCATCTGCGCAGCGCTCTCCATCTGCAGCGCCGCCGCCAGCGCTGGGTTCGTGCCCATCCGCGGCTGCTGCTGCTGCTGGGGCAGGCCAGCCGGCGGCGCAGCGGCTTTCCAGCCGTCGTAGGCTCCGCCAGCAAAGGCGGCTGCGACGGCGTCACGCGAGGTTGCAGAGTCGCGCGCCGTTGCGCTGTGCGGAGAGAACTCGCCGGCGCCGTCCATCCTGCCACGCATGGGTCCCCTCGCGCCTGCAGCACCACAGTGCATGCTACTAAGTTAACATTTTGCACTTTTACTAGCCGTATTGGTACTCTATACTTGCTGTGGAGCCCCCAAGTGCGCAGACTGCTCCAAATCAAGCGCGAAAGGACAAGGCAATCTGACAACAATGTCCTTCAGCTGTGTGCAGCCGAATCCCTCAGGCAAACTCTGTTGAAGGGTAGCCTGGGCAGATGTAGAAATGAGGGCGGGCGCACCGGTGGCGATGGGCTTGGGGTGGGGGACGGGGCCCGGGTGGGTTCGGCCGCGGTGGGCGCCCGGGTCGGCATGCAGGTGGCCGCCGGCGCCGCGCATTATGCCTGACTGCAGCATCGCCGACGGCTGGTTCCGCGGCATGCGCGCCCCAAAGCTGCCCTTCGCCGTCGCCTCCAGCAGCACCTGCCGCAGTGGTCATGCACCTTTTGATCACCCCTCCGCCACTGCCTCACAACCTTTGCCACCTCAAGTTGCCCTCCATGTCACAGATGAGCAGGTATGCTTCCTTTTCGGGCCTAAAACAACCATCACATACCAAGACATGCTTACCTGGACTATTCAAGCCGCCCGTTCTGACAGTCCACGCTTCTGACATGAGGCCTGCGGGAACAGCAGAGACAGTGGAGCAGAGATTGAAGCGCACCTGGTGCTCCTTGTCGATGGAGGTGGGGCGGCCGAGGGGGTCCACACGAACGTTGGACTGGTCGCCTGTGGGGGGCGTGGCCAGGGCAGAGCCGTTGCTGCTGGCCGCCTGCTGCTGGCCTGGCAGCATCACAGACTGGGGGGCCATCGGCCGCGCACTAGGACCCGCCATGCTGGCCGCCAGCGCCTGTGCGTTCGACCAGTATTGTTCATAGCGATGCTCAATGTCAAATTTACTGGGCGGCAAGGGGGCACAAAGAGCAGGCTTGATCGCTCACACGATGACAAACAGACGCCCGAGCATGTGCACATGTCTGAAAGTGCAAGCAACTATTAAATACCACCAGTGAAGGGAGAGAACACTACTAAGCCGCAAATTGAAACCAGGTCCTGCTAGGGTCAAAATGTGTACCTGGCTCGTGGCCATGCCGGCGTACAGGGCGGCCATTGCCTGGGACTCCTGGGCCGAGGAGGCAGCCAGGGCACCCAACTGCTGCTGGTGCTGCTGTTGCTGCAGAGGCTGCTGCTGGACAGGGGGAGCAGCTGCCGATGCAGGCTTGACAGCTATCCTGCTGAGCGATGCCAGGTCCAGGCCGGTGCTGCCGGACAGCGCTGCATCCTTTGCCGCCTGGCTCTCCTGCTGCTGCTGCGCCTCCTGCTGTGCACCAAATGCCGCTGAGGAATACTCAATACTCGTCTCTGCCCTACACCTGCTTGAGGCTATCCCCTACGGGGGATATTTTCAGGCAGCTGTGCATGTTTTAAAAAACAAACAATGGCCTCTAATGTAGAGGTACTTCCCCTGCTGAGGTGCAGCACACAGAAGTCTGGGAGGAGTTGGGCTCACCTGGGCCTGTGCATGCAGCTGCGAGAGGTTACCAAAGCCGAAGCGGGGGTCTGCGGCGGGCCGGGCTGCAGCGCTGTCTATGAGCTGGTTGTAGCCCTGTATCCACGACTGCTCCGGCGTGCTCAGGCCGCCACCTGCGCCCGTCTGCACGCTGTTCGGGGCCCCCTGCACCCACCGCACAGATAAGCTCAACAGCATTTCTATGTTGCTGGACGATGACTGGATCAAGGCCAGGTCACGCAGAAAACCTTGCGTTCGCGCAGCACCTACGAGTTAGCTTTTTAAATGCTGCGAAGATACTTCAGACTACCCAGAAACCCACCTGGCGTTGGCGCTGGTGGTGGTCCTGGACCTGCAGCTGCAGCTGCTGCATCTGCTCCGACGTCAGCCGCTGCAGGGGCAGCTGCGACGGCTGGTTCGCCAGCTGTCGCGCCAGCACCACCTGTTGCATGACAAGTTGGCTTCAGCTGCCATGAAGTTAGCTTGCTTGTCCTGACGATCCTGCATGCATGCGATCATAGCAGAGACAAGGTCAAGATACAACTTTAGCCAAAAAAACGTTCAGCCTTCTGTGTGAATTTGACACGGGAGGAAGCACATTTGCGAGCACCTGCTGCTGCAGAGGGGCGGCGGAGGGCGGCTGCAGGAAATTCTGATGGCTGCCGAAGCCGGAGGTGCCAGAGAGCGGCGTGGAGAATGGCGGAAACGACCAGCCGGGGCCGCCTCCCACCGCCCCCGTCGTCGGGCCCTTCGCCGGCGCCCCGGCTACCTGCACAAACATAAGATTAATCTTTAAGATGCAATCTTACTCACCCAAAATGTGCCAATGATGTTGCATGTTTTGAGGACATGATTCTTGCAGGCATGAAGGTCTTGTGCGTTGGGAATCTTGGAGCACAGGGCGCGGTCGTTGGTGGGAGGAGAGGCAAAGGTTCACCTGGCCCTGAGGTTTGGCCTGGGCAGGCAGGGGGGCCCGGAAGGTGGGGGACCGTTGGCTGCCGGCCGCCACCGCCGTGCTGGTCGCGAGGCCCTGGCCGCCCGCAAAGCCGCCCGCCTGCGTCGTCGCGTCCGCCATTCCACCTGACTTGGCCACCAGCGGCGCCCAGTACTGCGCCAGCAGAAACGATTCCATCTCAAGATCAGGCATATTTTCAGAATGTTATTTTCCTATTCATCACTGTCTGCCTTGCCAAAGGAAGGGACCTGTCAGACGGTGACAGTCAACCCGATGGAAATTCCTCCTTGCAGAACAATGAATATGGTTGTTTAAGAGGGGAGAGAAGAGCGGTACACACCTGCTGCGGGTTGAGGCCGGCGAGGTTGGTGACCTGGCGCGCAGCGTCCTCCTCAGCCCGTTGAAGCTGCCCCACCCCTGCGCTGTAGGACGGCATGGCACCTGCCTTGTCTGCGCCGGCATCCCCTGCGCCCTCTCCTGCCACCGCGCCGTTGGCTGCCTCTCCTGGCCGACCCTGTTCACACCAAACCCTTAGTATCCCAACAGTACAACTTCTCCTGCAAACACTAGATCACCATCATCGAGAAAGGGATGCACCTGCCAGAGCTCAGCCAAAGGAGTCCAAACATGGTGCTGGCAGTGAAACAAGCCGGTAAGACATAATACGTTCAAGCTTGCGAAGTTGTCGGGTGTCAGCGCCATGTTGAACCCGTGTAAGAATGAACTTAGACAAGGGGCGAGGGCGAGTGCCAGAGGCCAAATGAGCCGTGCGGCGTCTATGCAGGCCTCTCACCAGCACCTGCATGGCGAAGAATCGGGACTGGAGGTAGTGGATGGCGTTGTCGAGGGTGTGGGTGGCGTCCTGGCGCAGCGCCTGGAACAGCGCGTTGGCCTGGTCTATGGCGCCTTGCGCCGTCGCGCGCACGCCCTCCATGTACGCCTGGTACTCCTCCTGTATCTGCTTCACCTGCACCACACCCCAGCACCCCGCTCACGCTCGGATAACTTCCCACCAGGCTTGCTGTCATCCAGGCTGCCTCGTTCATCTGCTGATGGACCGCACGCACAGCGGCACGCGCAGTCCTGATCAGAATAAATCACCATCAACCTTCCCCATGTCTCAGGAAGATTAAACGTGATGCATGACAGGCTGGCAGAAACGGAAGGTGGAGGGGATGCTAGATGATGAGTCAGCAAGGGGATGAGAAAAAGGAGAGGGGCGCACCTTGATGGAGTGGATGCGGTCGAGGAGGGCGACCTGGTGGCAGGACTGGCGGATCTGCCGCGCCACCGACTCGTACTCGCCCAGCAGCGCCGCACTCCGCTCCACGTGCGGCGGCGGCAGCGGCAGCATCGGCACCTGCACGCCCACGCACCACGTCAGCAAGTAGCGCAGAAGTCCCAAAAGATCTTACTATTTACAAACACTTGTAATCTTCAGAGTATGCGGTGCACCTTCAAGCACTTCAGCCGTTGATCATTGTAAAGATGATATTGAAGCAAGGCACTGTTGTTGTTGCTCCCTTGAGCCAGGCCTGACGCTGGTGCAGGAAAGGTGCTCGTCACATGCAGCAGATTTGAGCAAATTTTGTAGCAGGCTTACCTGGCCGGCAATGTCGAGCGGCCCGGCGGCGAGCGCGAGCTCGGTGTAGTCGGCGTTGACGATGGTCTTCAGCTTCAGGTTGAATGTGTCCTCTGAGTTGCGCGGGTCGTGGGCCGCGTCTGCGCCATAGCCGTCCCGGCCCAGCCCCTGTGCAAGGTGCTTCTTTGCTTCAGACATCACAAGGAAGCACATGTCGTATTCAGAACCACCAAACGCATACGCATTTGCCACAAGGGGCTTCTTCTTGCTTCAAACAATTGCAATAAACCCTCCCAATCGCACAGACTGCGCAAATGTCACGAGGGGCATCCTGGCATGAACAATTGGGACCCTCGTCAGTGTCTGCCCAGAAGGAGGAGCGCTGACCTGGGCGCTGGCCGGCAGGTGGGAGGCGAGCAAGTCGTGGTGCGCGTGCAGGTCCGGAGCCGGCTGGCCGCTGCGCATGAGCGCAGCCACGTCCATGTACATGTTGCGGTACTTGGCCAGGCTCTGCATGATGTAGTCGTACACCTGCCGCCAGCCATTACACTCTCAGCTACACTTACACTTTCTCAAAGGAACAGCAAGGATTGCGGATCTGCTTTGTTCAGCCCATGAGGACTCGACCGCTCTCAGCCTGCAACAAAGTACACATGCATGGCCCATACTTCATAAGGCAGATTGCTTGCGCAGCCACGCATTGCAACACCTTTCCAGGCCCAAAATGGTCGGCATCCACATCGGGTCCTTGTCAACGTGGACTCAAGATGGTAAGGACGATGTTGTCAAAATTCAGCAAAAGAAACAGCAGTGGTTGGCCAGGCTGACCTGCTGCAGCACGTCAAGGTCCTGCTTGTAGTAGCGGGCCATCGCGGGCAGGGAGGCGGTCTCTGCGGCCACGCCGCCGGCCAGGTGGGCGGCCAGGGAGAAGAGCGCCACGAGCGTGTACTCCTGGAAGTCGCTCGAGGCCTCCCCCTCCGGCCGCATCATCAGCAGCACCTCTGCCGCCTGCAGACACCAGACAGACCTCCTCAAACATCTTGTCTCTCACACGCCAGAGCCAGACATGTGCTTGGAAAGACATTCGGCAGGCAACTCTCCAGTGCAAAAGGATGGCTGCCCACCATTCTGACCAACACTACACCATACAGTGACCCCCCTTAACAAATCGCCCCGCGTCGCCCATAGCCACATGCATGTTTAAAGGACAAATCTATCGGGCAATTTCTCAATGCAGAAGGATGGCTGGCCAAGGCCTCTGGCCTATACTGACAGAAGTCCGGTAGTGTTTGGATGTCATAGCTTAAAACTACCGGGGGTCAGATTTCTGCCAGTATAGGCCAAGGGGTGCCTATGCAGCAGGCAGGGCAGAAGCTGCCTTCCCATCTCTAATTATACTTAAATTACATACGGCAGGACAGACAGGAGGCAGAGAGAGACCTGGTTGGCAAGCTCCACGACGCCCATGGAGGAGAGCTTAAGGTCGGCGGCGAGCTGGGCGAGGCGCTTGTGGGCGCGCTTGGCGACGTAGGACTCAGGAGTAGAGGGGTCGCCGATGGCGCCCAGCATGCCCTCGTACCGCGCCCACTCCCGCTTCATCAGCCGCGCCTCCGCACCGCCGACCACCGCCGTCGGCGTCTCCATGCCTGTGTTGCACATGTGTACTCATGTTCTGCGCCACTAAACCTCTCCCTGACCATGCTTGCATCACAAGAATTTGGCGCCTAAAGACAGATGCAGGTGCAGGGTGATGATATATCAAAACACCGAAAAAGCCCATCGGACCTGAGACACCCACAAAATGACACTTTTCAAAGAGGCCAATATAGGACCCAACAAAGATGCCCTGTGCCTCGACCTGTTCTTCAACACATGCCTCAACAAATCATGCAAATACAATGGACACTCTCTGCTTCACATATTCCTTTACAACAAACTTGCTTGATCCAGCCAATGGCCAGAGTAGGCGGAAGCCTTGCTGAGGCATGTGTCAGAGGCAAGAAAAAGGCACAGGGCAGACATTGGCGCTACACCAAAAGTGCCACACTGAGACACTGCATGTGCACACCTGCGCGGCGGCGCTTCTTGGTGGCCTCGGGGGGTTCGTCGAGGGAGTTGAGGTCGTCCTCGTCAGCGTCGTCCATGCGCCGCTTGCGCCGCTCGCGTTTGCCCAGCAGCTCACCTCGCCGGCTCGGCAGCCGCCCGCGCCCCACGCTTGGCACCTCCTCCGACCCCCGTGCGCTGCCCAGGTCCAGCCCTGCCGTGGCATCCAGCGTTCCATCCTCGCCCTCCTCCCCATAGCTCTGCGCGCTGCTCTCTGTGCCACCAGTCCCACACCACCGCTTAACTATGATGCCTCATAAAGCAGAGTCCTTTTGGCGCTCCTTGTTCTCAGAATATAAAGCATGCAAAGAATCAGGCCATCAAATGTGCCCTAACGAGCGCACAAGCAGGCTGCTGCAATTCCCAAATCGAGAAAGTGAGAGTAGTCTCCGGCAAGAGAGTAGGTTCCGGCAAGGGAGAGTAAAGTAAAAGGAATCACATTGGTGCATATACAAAAAAACGAAATACAGCAGGGGTGATAACAGCAGTGGGCTTACCCAGCCGCCCCTGGGCAGCGCCCTCCTCCTTCTCCAGCTGCTCCCAGTGCTGCCGCAGCAGCGCGTCCCAGTAGGTGGCCGCGGACGCCGCGCCGGTATAGCGCGTGGCATCCCCGTCATCAGTCTCGCCGTCATCCTCCTCATCCTCGTCTGCACAACACACATGTTCCCCTTCAGGACTCCCCCTTTTTCACATTTTCAATTACCCGCAGCAAAGCTTCCTGAGGGCATGACCAATAGAGTCTGTAGATCACGCAGTACTTTTGATTCGAAACTTTCGAATATGAAGTCTATGGAATGGGGCAGCACAGGACATGCGAGGCACCTTCGCCTGCTGAGCCGTAGGACGAGGTGTCCTGGCTGCTCCACTGCCGGACGACCACTTCCTCCAGCCCGGGACCTGACAGTGTGCTGGGGGCTGCCTGAGGCTCTGCCTTGCCATCAGTAGAGCTCTGCTCTGATTTGCCTGCCACATCCGCCTTATCGGAGGAGCCTGTGAGCAACAAGCAGAGCCGCCGTTAGCCACCAAACCTGAATGGAAGCTTGTTGACACACTGGCCACGCCATGCTTTCCCACATCAAAATGCCTCCACAGTCACAGCAAGGCTCCAGCCTTAGGGTCAACAGCAAGGGCCCCACCTGAGCTGGCGTCCTCGCCTGCTGCGCAGGTTCCCCAGCGGATGAGGGCATCCAGCGCTTTATCGGTGTACGCCGCAGCCTCGTTCATCACTGGGGCCGGCTCCTCCTTACTGCTTTGCCCTGCCTCCGGGGTGCTATCTGCATTGCTGCCCTTGTCTCCTTCGGCGGCTCGGTCAGCTGGCTTTGCTTCCCCGTCAGTCTCCATTGCAGCAGGCTGTTCTGCAGCTCCTGACTCTGGCTTGGGGTCAGGCTTGGGCGCCTCCCCTGGAGGAGGATGATTGTCCTGGGAATGGTGCGGGGGATGCGCTGGGTGTGGGTTGAAGAGCGTCGATGTGCCCCATCGCAAGATTTCTTCCAGTAGCCATGGTCCCCTCGCAGAAGCCCCGTTCCTGACATGGGAGTCACATCAGGCTCACCTCTGTACAGAGTATTCACAAGAAGAAAAACAGCACAGTACAATTGCCTGGACTATCCCGAGGATGAGACCATCTTCCCACTGCCTTGTCAGTCAGGATCATGACTCTATAATGTTCTTGTGCAGTCAGAAGCACTCTATATTCCTGGACAAACTTCAAAGGGCTGCAGATTTGCCTGCGCAAAACAACAAATTAAGTGGCGCACCCGCCGGCAGAGCCGGGCCGGAAGGCGGCGGCGATGCCGCCCTTGCGCTCGGCCAGGGTGAGGATCTTCTCCTCAACGCTGTTGCGCATGAACAGGCGCAGCAGCCGCAAGGGTCCGCCCGCGCCGGCCGGGGGACCCAGCAGGTGCGCGCGGCTGAGCGCCTGCACGTCCGCCTTGGCATTCCAGTCGGAATCCAGGATGATGATCGCGCTGATTGTGGGCAGGTCTATGCCAAGGCCGCACGCGCGCGCCGACAGCAGGAACAGAAACGCTTTGCTGCAAGCGCAGAACACATATATCTCAGCGTTCCTGCTTGTCTTCAAGGTTGAAGAAGTCTGGACGGCATGACATCTTACCATTACTAACAAGAGAACAATGTAAGGTCCAGCGGTGGCGGTCGCACCTGCCCTCCTCATTGAACCGCTGCACGGTTGCGTGGCGCTGCGCGGCTGGCACGCTGTTGTCTATCCTCTCGTAGCACTCCGCGCCCCACTTTGCCGTCGCCCACTCCTGCACAGTCAAGACCCACCGCATCAAAACATGTTGCACCTTGCACAGGTCACACTTGCAGCACCCATACTGTATGAGCCAGCCACAGACCCTGACGCGTCAGATGTAATTTGTTTTCAGCCCTGTACTGTGGCGGTGAGGCACGTGGCCAGGGCCAATGGCTGAGACAAGCAGATTGAGAGGTGCACCTGGACGAGGTCGAGGGCCTTGGGGCTCTGGGAGAGGAGCACGATGCGGTGGGAGCGCGCATGCAGGCGCGGCACGAGGCGGTCCAGCAGCTGCCACTTGGTGGAGACGCCCACCACCTCGCAGTCCTCCTCCTCCTCCGGCCGCGTGTGGTGCAGCAGGTACGGGTGGTTGCACACCTGCGCCAACACATGCACTCGTCACACTTCAGCTTCAAGGTTGCAGTCAAGCATGCTTCCAAACATCTGTGTGGCAGCATGCGTCCCCCTTGGAAGTTGAGAGACTCGACAATGCGAGTCAGCCATACAGCACATCTTTGGAGATGCTGCCAGCCGAGCCATCCTACACTAGAGAGCTACAGATCCGCAGCATCATGTCCCTTTGAGCAAATACATTGCTCCACCTCGCGAGTCAGAACAGCATCACAGGGCCAAGAGAAACGCGCTGCAGAGAGACTCCGGCCATGGCAGAAAACACAAGAAGCATGGTGCAGGTGCAAACCTTGCGCAGCTCGGCGCAGAGGGCGCGCATTTCAGAGGTGCGCTGCGCAGAGTGCCGCGGCCGCTTCGGGTCGGCTAGAACGTCGAAACGGCGCGCGAGGACGTCGCGGTAGCACTCCAGCTGCGCCTCCGACAGCTGCAGCGGCACGCGCGCCTCGCAGCCGCCGCGCACCGCCAGGCCGGCATCCGCCTTGCTGCGGCTCAGCGCCCGCCCGCGCACCCACCCCCGCAGCAGCTCCACCTGCGGGCGCATCAGACACCCCCGCTCAGCACAAGAACAAATCTTTCCCACTCATCCGCTCATTTGCATGCTCAGCACCGGGCAACACACTAGCCAACTCTGCCACATGTCACAGCCGTCGCCCCTCCTTGACTATATAGGCCTCTGCAGGGGCTTTACACACGCCACAGGTCCTTGCAGCCGATCACGAGCAGAGCAGTAAGCGCAGCATGCTTCCTTTGTTGCATGGATTGTGTAAGCATGCGATGTTCCGTGCTTACAGTGACAGTGGATGGACAGCAAACCTGCTGCATCTCCTCCATTTCGTCAAAGTCGGCGTCCAGCAGCTCGCCGACGTCCTGCGCATCCTCCAGGAAGCCCACTGCCTGCTTCAGCTTTTCCACAGACCCCTGCCGACCACAGCATGTCAACCATTCACTCTCAACCTTCACGTTTCCTCTGTCCCAATAGGACAGCAGCACACATCAGGCTGCTCGTTATGGAAAGAGGACGCCGAAAGGTAATCTGATAGCCTTGTCATGCAGGACCGCTTGTAGCAGCCTGGGTGCAGTAAGCATGGCGGCTGGACTTCAATACACATTCTCTTGTATTGATTTAGAAGAAAAGCAAGCATTGAAGACGTCAGGACGTTTGATGCCGATATTCACTTAACATAGAAGTCACTTGAGGAACAGCGACTCGCGGGAAGCACAAAAATTACAGTGTTATCTGGGAGTTGCGTGTTTGAGTAAATTCTTTGCAAAACACTGATTGGGCCCATGCTTCCAGACCAGACTCTGCAATATTCTTTCTTCCTTTTTGAAAAAATCTGGCGGCGCGGGTGGTGCAGGGCGCACCGAGTTGAGGAGGCTGGGGTGGGCGACGATGGCGCGGGAGCGGGAGTCGAAGGCGGAGAGGGCCTGGTATGCGCGCAGCAGCGTGGACTGCTGCCGCGTGCGCTCGTCGATGGCGATCACGTCCCACGGCAGTGCCCGCAGCGACGCCGCGTCGCTCACCAGCGCCTCGTAGCTCGCCACCACCACGTCCGGCTTGGCCACCTGCACCCATGCACAGACCTCAATTGACCGATCCCATATATGCTGTGTTGCCACAATTGCCAGCCTTTCTAAAGTGTTGCCACACTTGCCAGTCCCTCTGCATTCCATCAAGTAATTTGAAGAGCAGATTCAGAGGTGGAGACAGCAGAGTCGGATGACTCCGGGAACAGCTTAAGAGCAACCCCACTGGTCTCAAGCCATGTCAAGAACGGCAGAGGAAATAAGGTGCATGCATGCTTGTTCATTGCAATCGCGGGTGGGGCTCACCCTGGAGGGCAGGCCCTGCTTGAGCCAGAAGCTGGACTTGCTGTCCAGCGACTCGGGCGACAGCCACAGCTCGTGGTCGTGGATGAGCGTGCGCGCGGCCGACATGCCCATGTAGGACACCACGTTGGTGCCCGGCTCCGCCCAGAACTCCCAGTTGCTCGCCCAGTTGTCCACGTGGCTCGACGGCGCCACCACCAGCACCGGTCCTGCCTGCTTCAGCTCCCGCCTGCACCGCCACCCCAAAGGCTCAGCGCTGTGCACGTCACTGGCGCGCAGAAAAAAATTCATGCACCCGTGGAACTATCACACTTTTGGCTTGAAGAGCAATGTGGAGTAAGGGAGGCAAGCAAGGCGGCAAGAGACTAAATGGCGCACCGCAGGGACTGAATAAAGGCGATGAAGGAGGTGCTCTTGCCCAGTCCCGAGTCATCCGCAAGCAGCAGGGTGCCGGCCCCCGCCCAGCGCTGGCGCAGCGTGTTGACAGCCGCCAGCTGGTGCTTGTGCAGGCGCCCTCCACACACCTGATCGCCGAGAGTTTAGCCATCAGCAACTACCTCCCGCACATTGCTTGCAGATTTATTTATGGTCTTGGGGGCACCGGGAACAGTGACAGATGGACAGCCAATATGATAAGAGGGGCAGAGAGGCACCCAGGAGGGCTGGTCGGGAAAATCTTGGAGGTCCTTGGCGGCGGCTTCGCGCGCCTCGGCCGCGGCGGCGGTGGCGGCTGGCGAGGCCCGCTCCAGCGCCGCGCTTTGGCGCGACCATAGCCCCTGGTGCAGCGGCTGGTACTCCGGAAGCAACAAAACGCCCTCTCCCTCCGCCTGCACCCGCCAAACACCTTTTTTAAACCATATACGGCTTCGCAATCCCACCCAGCTTATGCCAATGCTCCCCTCAGCAAATCCCGGCGTTCTGGCCTAGGACTCGCCTGCCCTTGGGTTGGGAAAGATGCTAAGGGGGTATGGGGTAGTTAAATACTGGGACAGGGAAGGAGCAGGGTGTGCACCTCCCAGGTGCTGTGCTCGTAGCCGAGGCCGGTCCATTTGGCGAGGACCTCCCAGCCGGGGCCGACTGGGGAGGGACGCCGTGCGACGAGGCGCTCGGGGATGGACCAGCAGTCCTCGGCCAGGCAGCAGGGCTGCGCGCCGTGGCGGCGCTTGAAGTTGGCCAGCTTGCGCTTGGCCAGCCGCGCCAGCACCGACTCAGCCACCCACTCGTTGTGCGCGTGTGACTTGCCCACCCACTTTACCAGGAAATCCGCCTCCCGCACTGGCTCTGCTGACACACCCATGAGCGCTGCATCAATACGGCTGCCTCAGAGCAGACGATTTGTTTAGTCTGCAAGCACCTGATTGCAATTGCCCTGATTGTGTCCTCCTACTTGCCAGCATTCGCCACCGGGGACCATTGGACACAACTGACTGTAACAGTGTGGGTGAATTAGCGAAACTTCTTGGAGTCCTCACCTGGAGGTGACTGGTCATCTGCGTCCGCAGCCGCCTCGCTGCGGATGTCACCTGATGCGGCAGCCATGAGCGCTGCAACGGCGTCGGCCTCCTCCTGCGCCATGTCCTGTGCAAGCACAGACCAGTGCATAAATAGTCTGCCCATGAGACTCATCCAGAAAGAAGGTCCACAATTGAATAAAGGAAACAAGCTGTCCTGCTTGCTGATGTGTGCAAATAAGTTGGAGAGCGCACCTCATCTTCGTCCCTGGACTGAGGCTCCTCCTCGGTGGGGCCCTCGCGCTGTGGTGTGCCGCCAGCCTCCCCGTCTCCCGCCCTGTCCGGCTCTTCAGACAGCCGGCGCGAGCCTGCCAGTAGCATGAGCTCGTCCAGGCCGCTCTCATTGCCATCCCCCTCCTCCTGCTTCTCCTCGGCCTTAGGCTCCTCGTCACCCTGCTCCTCCTTCGGCCTGCTGCATGACCACAACACGAATGAGCCCTCCATCCTGCACCATCATGCATGGGGGCCAAGAAAGCCGTGCTTATATGCTGATGTATGCAGGACATCAGGGCTTGCAAATCCCACAATTGGCGCCAAGGAACTGCACTTATATGCTGTGATCCTGGCATTAGGGCTGCAGTAGATCGGGGCACAGAGAGTACAATGCGTGCCTGTCGGGAGCGGGCTCCTCTGCGGCCGGCCATCTCCAGCCGTAGATCTGCTCGACGCTCATCTTCAGAGGTGCGGCGGCCTGGCCCGGCAGGGCATCGGCAGCGCCTGTCTGGTAAGGATCGCCCTGCTGCGAGGCCGGCAGGTCCGACTCGGAGCCACTGCCGTCGTCGTCAAAGCCGCGCGAGCCGCGCCGGCTGCCCCGGCCGCCCCGCCGTCCGCCGCGCCCCCGTCCCCGCCGACCGCGGCCGCCGCGACCCCGGCTGCGAGTTGCCGCCGACTCAATCTGTCTAGGAGGACCTCCCCAGCCTGCAGTGACATGACTGAGTTACAAATATGCCAGGACTCAAGACCGACAGAGTCCCAATGGCAGAGTTAATTGCTTTGGCCCCAGGGAAAACACCAAAAGGTCAGCTACATGCATGGCTTGCTAGGCTTGAGCAGAGTGTGGCAGGTCACCTCCGTCAGAGTCGCTCTCGGCAGTGCTGTCCGGCTCGTCCTCATCAGGTCCCCGCGCCTCGGCTCGCCTGTACTGCAGCTCCAGGATGCTGGCCAGCGCCCTTTCGGCAGCTGCCACGCAGGCGCTCAGGTTCACATCCTCGCCGGTCTGACCCTCCCGGACGGCGTGCTTGGCTGCGTCGCCCTTCTCAAAGGGCTTCAGGCAGTAGATGGGGAGCCACGCATACTCGGCTTCCTCTGTGTCCACGCCTGTGCACCAAAATGTATATTAACCATGCTTCAGCCAACTCTTGTTTGCCCCTGGCACACCTCACATTATTTGAGCCAGTGCTTACAATACTATAGAACACATGTCTGAGCCCACAAGGCTAGGTGCCTTGCAGCAACTTCTTGTCACTTCCTCCACCAATGGCCTGCAATGATAGCACGCAAAAGCAATGTTGAGAGGACAGACCTGCCGGGTTGCCTCTGAGCTTGTGTGCGTCATCGCCCACTTCGCCGGGAATGCCCTTGGCTGTAAAGAAGACGACGGGGATGTGGGTGCGCACACGCGAGGGGCCCCCGGGCGGGGGCCCAACCTCGCGCGGCACGGCTCTGCGCCGGACGACGCGTGCTGGCCACCAGTCGTGCCCCTCCACCTTGGCCCAGATCACTCGCCCCGGCCGGAAGGACCCGGCAGGATACGCGCTGGCGGGCTCCACTGCGTACATCGCGTCGTCGTCCTCGGAAATCACCACATCCTGTGCGTGCAGGAGCAGGCACTGTCAGCCCTGCTGCCTTCTCTCAGAGTGGAGTGAGTTCCTGCAGCCCTGCCAGTGGCTGTGTTCACATGCATGCACACTAAATGCATGTGCAAGTCTTGGCAAGGAAAGCAGAATATGATAATGGAGGTGTCGCTGACCGTCATGGCCTCATCTTGATCGTACTCGCCGCCCATGCCCAGCAGCGCCTCAGCAGCTTGGCTGAGGCCCCGGCCGATGCGGCCGCGCGCACGGCCGGCGCCCCGCCCGCGATTGCCGCCCCGACCCCGGCCCGCCAATTGGGCGCTGCCCACAGGCCTCTGGTTAGTGCGCCGTCGGCCCCCGCGGCCGCCATTGCCGTTGCTGATGGCGTCCATGCCTGGTCCATAGCCACCCCCGTCGCTTTCGCCGCCGCTGCTGTCGCCATTGCTCGGCCGCTTGCCACGGCCGCGCGAGCGGTTGGCCCCGCGCATGGGCACGCGGTTGTTGGCACGGCCTCCGCCCCTGCGGAAGAAGGCGTTCCCGCGGCTGCCCCGTGGTGTGGACGAGCCCGGATAGGCCATCTTGCCACCCAGTGTGTAGTCCTCATCGCCGTAGGCCTCATCTACTGGGCTGGCCTTTGCTTCATATGCCACTTCCATGGCCCTGCTCGCCAAAGCAAAAATCCTCACTAAAATTTTGGCAGATGGCAGTGTGATGAAGTACTCTTTCAAGGGAGATTTGTTGGGCTGAGGCCAAGGAGCACAGGCTGGCCACTCACACTTCTGCTGGAAGATGGTTGGTGACCGGCATCGCAGCAGCTTCTGCTGCATCATACACGGCTTCCTGCAATACGGAACGACAATTCAATCGCTCTGTGCAAAGCAAAAGATAATGCACGCTTGGCAACTTGTCACGACTCCATCGAACAATGCTGAAGAACAGGAGTATGCACCTGCAGGGCCAGAATTTCATCGATCTCCTCGTCAGTAAGAGCTTGTGGAACACTACAGGAAGCGTGATCGCTGTCCCAGATGTTCTGGGAACAAGACCAGTCGTCTGGGATGTCCTCATCTCGCAGCTTGAAAGGCACCTGCACACGAGCGGATACCCCGTCGTCCAAGCGATCCTCATATACGATGATTGCAAATGTTTATTGACATGAAACACATTTTTATGCTTTTCCCTGCAAACGATTTGGCAGAACTGCCACCCTGCTAAAGGGCAGAATCCTTGTCAAAAGCGGCACACTAAGCCATCATCAAGCTTATGAAAAATAAAATTCTTCAGCCTCAGACGTCTCCGATCCTTCCGTAAATCATACTTGCATGCTATTTACAAAATAATGGGGTGAAATGCGAACAGCTTTCGAAGAAGCGACTCTGTAGTTATACAACCTGGGAGCCAGCACTGACAAAGTGGGTCAGAGATTTCTGTTGGACTTACTTTGCGCCACAGGCTACACTTTGCGCACTGCACCCATTTTTGCGGCTCGTCCTCCGGTTTCAACGCTGGGCGCGCGGTTGGCAAGATCCCTGAAGCATATCCTTGCAAATCTCCAGGTGTAGGATTGGGGCTGCCACCTGCCTGCATGTTCGCGAGTAAGGCAGCATCTTTTATGTCAACTTGTACATCCATGGCTTTTATTCTGGCCTTAGCCGCTGCCCATTCATTGTCTTTCGCTAGGAAGTCAAATCATCCAGTGGAAGCGAACTACATCTCTTTTTCTGCGAGGATTTCTGCTGCACCAAATAACTGTGATGGCCACGTCGAACCTATGGCAATCTATATATACACCACATGGCAGAATAACCTGACACACGCAAAAACATGGCCCAGTGATCAGGGGTGGAACAGAAAACTCAGAACAGGTGACGCATCGGGGAATGTAAACGCGTGCACGCGGCGTTCCTGCTTTCAGGAAGTTTCTTGGCTACTCAGATCTGAAACAAGGTTGAGAGAATATCGAGGTCACAGATCTATTCACTGGACATCGATGGTATCGCATTAATAAAGGAGCAAAGCTAGAGATACATAAACAGAGCTCTTGTTTCCATTGAAACGTGGTCTCTATCACCGGTCCTGGATCGTGGCACATCCTTTCAGAGGAATATTGCTGACATCAATCTCCGATTTGCCATGATTGATGGTGGAGGGAGCTGATGTTTGCTCAAAGGGCTAGCAACTGAAATCACAGGATGTCAGCTTTGTTCGACTTTAAGGCCTTCTTGACCGTCGTGCTTTTGACGATATGCACTTGTACATACATCAAAGGAAAGTTCCCAAGCCTGCTGAACGATCGGACAGGTTTCAGGGGGCTCTTTTGGAAAGCAGCTCGAATTGGTGCGTCTCAATGTCCCAGCATGAGTTTTGCATGTTTGCCAAGAACCATGGTCTTGGTGACTGGTGATGTATCTTGAGTTTGATCAAAAACTCTTGCAGGGGAACGACTCAGTCCTTGGGTGGCCATCAGTTGCATCTTTATGGGCTTCACCACTGTCTTCGCCTGACGTGAGGAGCACTTTCATTGTTGTATTCTTCTGGCCGCGCATTGGTGCAGAATTTTTGATCTTCTTCGCTGGATTCGATCGGGTACTCTAGAAGAGTCCCTGCACAGGTAGGCAGAGGGAGACTTTGCCGCATTGGGAGCAGAACCGCATGCCATGAAGCCGCCAAATCAGCTGTAAACGGGGTATTGGCGTCGCTCTGAGAAGTTTATCAGCATGATGCACTTCCATGAACGGCCCATTGTTGGAGGATGTGGAAAGACAATACTGTTGAATCAGGAATGCGTGATCTGCCGTGCCTGCGGTTGCTGGAAAGCCTGCACCTTTGCCATTTTCTTCGAGGCCTAGAAGGCGCTGTACATCTTATTCTACATAGGACATGGCATGTTGTTGAAAACAGCCATTGATCTGCTGCACAGCCACTAGTACTGGTGCCGTTGTGAATGAAGAACACCTTGGACAGTAGTGAGTGATGATATCGAATACCCAGCCTGAGCTGCACTGTATGCGCCAGTTTTCTTATCCTTATGACATTTCAACGTCGACCAGTACTGGACATGCATGCCATTGTGAAGCTATCACGCCGCATAGGTCATCATCACGATCTGCACTATGACAACTTTCAAGGGAATTCCCAGGCTTAATCCAATGAGCTCAAGCTGTCTGTCTCTGTCACGCATGGTGCCCCGTTGAAATTGCAGCACCATGGCTATTGTGTTGTGCACACATGATGCCCACATGATAGAGCGGGCTGGGCGGCCACCGCGGTGACCATTAGCAGATATCAGATCCCTAAGCTAGATCTAGAGTCGCTTGTACGGCGTAGTACGGTTTGGTAGACTTCGCACGCGCTGCCAGCGGGCGGCCCCAGTGGCACTGGCCCCGGGGGCCGCCCAAGATGCATCATGCAGATGATCAACAATGTGCATGCAAGGTAATTCCCGTAGTCAGCACTTGTCAAGTCAACCTCTCATAGCATTGTGCTTGAAGCTTTCAGGCACTCTGCTGATCTTCTTTCCAGGGGTTGAATTCCTCCTGCTGCCATGCCAGCTGCAGTATAGGATAACGGGGTGTTCCCTTTTCTCCGACACCAATCCAATGTTTTCCGACATCCACTTCCTGCTCGTTTGCAATTCCATCGCTTCACAGAAGCCAACATGGACTTGTAGATATGATCTTTCAATAGATCGGAGCCCATGGTGGCTGGCTTGCTGCAAGGCAGGGGCTTGGTGCAGCCTTTGCTCAAAGCACACTTCTGTCTACTGCAGTTTCGTCGCAGCAATAATAGAGTAGTACGGAGATGTCAGTCAGCATGGTATCTGCGAAAGAGATTGTTCCATGCACGGCCGGCATGCGCTGCTGGTGTGGATGTGCAGAGCAGTCCAAGCCTCTCATCACAGGCGCACAACCTCGGCAAGATGAGTTGGGAGGGCAGGGACAGAGGTTGTGGAACGCTGAGAGAGGATGACGTTGGCTATTCCTTAACGCTGTGTGGTTGGGTTCATAGGCAAAGGAATATGGGAGGTGAGTTCAGACATTCAGCTTTCACAATGCTGCTGGCACAACTGCAATAAAAATCTGATGCCTCAGCTTGATGCGTTATGAATCTGCAGGTGTGTGCTTTACGGATATAAGGGACTCTTCAGGCACAGTACAGGTGTGCTCAGTCCTCATGTGAACCAGCATTCATTGTGAAACCAGTCATGTCAAGGGCGCATGCACACTGACGGCATGCTGCGCTCAGGTTGTGAGCCAAGACGACAGCGTTGGGCTCGATCAGCTGCGCGCGGAGTACGTGGTGCGCATCAAAGGGCAACTGCGCATGAGGAAAGATCCCAATGAACGATTGCCCACTGGCAAGGTGGAGCTTGTCGCAGAGGAGGTGAGCTGCCCCAGCTGTCATCTCTCCTGCTTGATCCAGGCTCTCCAGGGGTCCCCAAACTTTGACTCACCCACTCTTACTGAGGAAGATTCTTGAAGCAGGTCACCATTCTCAATACTGTCAATGTCAAGCTGCCATTCCTCCCCTCGGACGAAGAGCTTGATGTGAAGGAGGAAGTGCGGCTGAGAACCCGGGTGCTGGACCTTAGGTGATCCTGCAGCCACCTGTTCCATGCACCTGTCATAACTTCATCACACTACAGCCTTAGAATTTTGTGAATAGAAGATTGAGGAGAGTCGCCTGAATGCGCAGGCGGCCGCGCATGACAAAGAACCTCAAGCTGAGGCACCGCATGCTGCGCGCGATCCGAAACTTTCTGGACGATCGGGAGTTTCTGGAGGTGGAAACGCCGCTGCTGTGCCGATCCACCCCAGAGGGCGCCCGAGATTTCCTGGTGCCCTCCAGAATGCAGCCGGGGTCCTTCTATGCACTCCCACAAAGCCCGCAGCTGGTGAGCCTGCGACTCTGCATCGAGCTGCTCTCACTGGCATGATTTTCTGCGATTCAAGAGAGCCTAATTGCTGTGGAGTGAAGGGGAGTACTGTGTTGTCAATGCAGTTCAAGCAGATGCTCTGCTGCGCTGGGGTGGAGAGATACTACCAGATTGCTCGGTGCTTTCGGGACGAGGACCTACGATCAGACAGGTGAGTCTGCTTCGTCAGATGGAGTGCGATCCCTTGCAGTGAGTGCTTGGGATAGAACATGCTTCAGCACAGAAGAATTGAGGTGTTGTTTGGTCTTGCAGGCAGCCAGAGTTCTCTCAGCTGGATATGGAGATGACATTCATGGACCAGAATGCCATCATGTCTCTAGTGGAGGAGATGGTCCTTGCTGTCTTTAATGAGGTCCACAATTACCTTCTCCTCTTGAGCTCCCAGCATCCTGTCAGGGAATTGGCTGAGATGCCACACAGTCAGCTTCTTTTCGGAACAACTTTTGAGCTCATTCTTGTGTGGCAGGTGTTGGGCATGCCTGTGCAGCGTCCCTTCAGGCGGATGACATATGCAGAGGCAATGACCAGCTACGGCTGCGACAAGCCGGACCTGCGATATGGGCTGGAACACTATGATGTCTCCAGTGCTGTCCAGGGCTGCACTTTCAGGTCAGCTGGCTATCTTGCGCTCACCTTCTTGAGGACAATAAGTCTTGCATGTGCTCACAGAAAAATGTAGACTCTTGCAGCCTTCCAATGTCTACATGTGCCATCAGGGTATTCAGCAGTGCATTGGAGGGCGAAGGCATTGTGAAGGCAATGCGCGTGCCAGATGGGAAGCGGATATCCAACTCCCGATTAAAGCCCAAGGGAGACATTTCTGGTGCGCCCAGTGATGATGGAGGGTGTTTGCCAACATACTCTCTGACATTTTATTTCTTACTGGACACAAATAGAGGTTCAACTTAGCGATGGGGTGTTGGTAAACTGCAGGGGAGGCGGTGGCAGCAGGAGCTGGAGGGTTGGTATACATCAGGGTGGGAGAGGGGGCAGAGATTGACGCTGCCAAGCCAGTGAAGGAGGGCCTGTCCGAGGAGCAATGCCACGCCCTGCTCTCCAGCACTGGAGCGCAGCCGGTGTGTAGGCCATCCCTCTGACACTGCTGCCTTTTCATTCAACACCATTAAGAAATGCAACTGTCTCTCTGCGAGCTTGTGCTGTTCACTGAGCGGTGCTGCCCCCACAAAGGCTTGCTGCTGGGATACAGACAAGCTTGATAAAGATATTTAAGTGTGGTGGTCTCATTCAGGGAGACTTGCTGCTGCTGGCTGCGGGGGAGCCTGCAGTGGTGCACAAGGCGCTGGACCGCGTGCGCCAGTATGTGGCGGCAGATCTCGGCGAAATCGATGAGAGCAAGCATGCCCTGCTCTGGGTCACAGGTGCGCCCTTGCCCAGCATTCCTCCCGTGCTGCACTTGGCTCTGACATGCCATCTTAAGCGTACATATGAAGCCACAAATGCAGGCACCTTTTTGAAAGAGCAGTGAGACATGGTTTAACAATGGCAATGTTGACGCGCTTCGCAGATTTCCCCATGTTTGAGTGGAACGAGGAGGAGGATCGGCTGGAGGCGGTGCACCACCCTTTCACTGCCCCCAACCCCGATGATCTGGAGGGGAATGGGGCTGGCCTGCGCGGCGCGCGTGCCCTGGCCTATGACCTTGTCTACAACGGCGTAGAGGTGGCAGGTGTGCTTCCGCGCTTCAAGAAACAGTCCTTCAAGCCCTTGAGTTGCCTGTGTCTCTCTCCTCGTCTACCTCTTCTATGCATGTGTTCATGTGGCTTACTGTTGTTTTTATTATTACATGCATGCATGGGTCAGCCCGGCTGGTACAAATACCAAGCATCATACCCAGGGTTGCTTGCATCTTGCTTTGATCTGGCAGAGTCCAACAGGGGGTTGAATTTTGGCAGCCTTTACATGCACCTTGCCCGAGGAAGGAAAAGCATGCACAGAGAGCACCACAGTGAAAAAGTGCACGATGTGCAAGATAAAAAAAAATTCCCTTGCGCAGGCGGGAGCCTGCGCACGTACCGAAGGGATGTGCTGGAGAGGGTGTTTGATGCGATCGGTCTGTCCCGGGAGGAGGCCAAGGCGCAGTTTGGCTACCTGCTGAACGCCTTTGACGTGGGCGCGCCTCCCCATGGCGGCATCGCGTTCGGCCTGGACCGGCTCTGCATGCTGCTTGCCAGGGAGTCCTCCATCCGCGACGTCATTGCATTCCCCAAAACAGCCCAGGCAAGCGCCTCTACTAAGCTAAGATCTACTCTGCACAATTCACCCTTCGCTGGGTGGAATGCCTGATGCCTACTTGTGGATCCTGAAGTGCTGTGAATGGGTGGGCTGTGTATGTCATGTGCCGCTGAAGATTGCGTTGTGCAGTTTGGGGTGTGAGGGCCGCATTCTGTGCCGCAGGGTCAGTGCTTGCTTACTGAGGCGCCTTCCAAAGCGAATACCCAGCAGCTCAAGGATATCCACATAGCCGTCTTGAGCGAGGACAAGGAGTAGCAGTAAGACTTGATGAGCCAGTACATTGGTATTTGAATGCCATACGGAGCCCTATATCACCATGGTCGTCATTTGTAAGAACTGCCAGAACTACAGTGTAAGCCTCCATGGAGTTGGAAACTGTTGGAGTCCAACATCATGATGACCCAGGCGCGCTACGAGGCGAGCTCGTCATGATGATATCTATAGCAATGCTGGCGCCCAATTGCAATGCATATGCTGTACACAGCACATGTCTGGCAGAGGTTGTCACACAGTTGCGATCAAAGTCCAGTGTTGCTAATGATTCCTTCCATGCCCTCTTGAAAGATGTTCTGCCCAAGGGGACCTGCCCAAAAGCCCGACTTCTGCGGCGAAGCGTTCGTCACCCGGTTCCAGATTGAACTTTCTCTCTTATGCCGACTTCAAGAAGGGCGTTCAGACACGTCCGACAACATGAGAATTTCTCACTACCCCCAGAGTGAATGGATCTCCGAGAGTACAGCACAAGAAGAAGTCCGCCGCAGTACATCGGTCTAGTTTTTCGAGACTAACAATCAAAGAATGGTTTGCGTCAAATCATGGACCGTACTGCTGTTTTTTCTTGTCATTAATTTGTTAACGTCGAATAACCTTCTTGCCGAAGCCATCACAGCGACGTCGGGTGGGCAACATCTTCCCTTCACATTCCTTTCCGCTCATTTTGAAACCGGGATCTTTCTAAGCTTAGTATTCAAAGTGCTGCGATCACTTTATCCCGATGAGCAATTCAAGCAGGTGGCGCTTTTTCGCACGTTGAACAGTGCTTCCGAAAGTGCCAAGTACACCCATAGTCAGCAGTTTATCAGTAGAGTATGCAAGCTCCCAGGGTCCTGTCAACGCAGCTGAGTATTCACGTTGCATGTCTCCGCAGACGCGACTCCGGCAAGCTGGGCCGTGGCGAGAGAGCTCCTCAAAGGGGACACTTCACTGGATGTCATCGACTTAAAGTTGCCTCTGGCAGACGTGGATGCGCTGCTCGACGATCACGAGGAACATTTGGGTCTGCACCTGCGGAATACACGATATTTATCTCCAAAGGTCTGGATACAAGCACTTCCGTGCTTGCCTCATACCTCCAATGCACTTGCTTCCAGCAAAGAAGCAAGCTCTGATGCAATCATGCATACACTGCAGGGGATCAGCGAGTTTGATGCATTTGAAAAGGGGACTTGGGTACACTTGCCCCAAGGGGGGCTGCTATGGACTCTTCGCATGCAGTCAGAGGGTGCCTTGGCGCACATGATTCTGTTCAGGTGTGCTGAAGACTCCCTTGGCCACAGATCTGCTTGCCAAGACCAGCAAGGTCTGACTCCCTGGGCACCTGATAGGGGCTGGATGTGTGCTGCAGCAAAGTGCAGCTGGCGCGAGGAAGCGAGCTTGTGATATTCTCGCCAAGCGCTGTTTCCAATTACACGGTCTGCCAGCACAGCTGCATGCGACGGACACATGCAGACGTGCCTGCTTTCGGGAAACTCACAACAGTGCCCATAGAGGGTAAGACTTATCAGCCTTCTACTGTACCCTCTGTTTCAATGCAAGCTTGCCCTTGGCTCGGGAGGGTCGATGACAAGTTCAATCTCTTGACAGGGGAGGAAATCATGCTGATGTACTATCAGCCAGAAGGGACAGTCCCAGAGTCACAGCTCCACGTGCTCAACATTATGCAGGTAGCAGTTGCTGTTCTCTCCTGGAAGACTCATGCAACTGTCATGCCTGACGTATGCGTTACAGGAAGGACTCCAGAGGAGCCTCAATCCGTGGCTGTGCATGCAGGATGTGAGCGTCAGGTTGGCCTCCTCAGTGCACGCCAAAAAAACCAGACGGAGGCTTTTGCAGGAACGCGTCACCACTCTGCCGGTGGGTGTCTATATACCCTTGTAGCTGAGACAGGCCTGATAAGTTTGCCATGCAAGGCCAGTTGAAGTGTCGCTACTGGAGAGAGCCACATGTATATCAGCTTGCATGGGGCGCTGGGATGATGAAGGGCTACTGCATGTTGACAGATCGGGACGCAGCTGCCTGTGCCCTTGTTTCAGCAGAACGGCTCTTCCATCTTTGGGTGCACACCCAGCGTGGAGTGTGGCCCCCAGTACAAAAGCTTGGCAGCTGGTGTCGTGACCATCTACGCTGTGGATCCTATGTCTAAGACAGTCGGCCTCTGTACAGGTAATGAGGCTGCCATAGGCCTAGCTCTTCTTGCCTGACATGATGAGGTGGCCTCATCGCAAAGTGCTCGCCATTTGTAAGCCAGCACACGGATTCAGGTTCTATCGATTGATATTTATGCTGCAGGGTCCATTGTGAATGCACCACGGGACAACCGCTACCTCCTCACTGCTGATCACTGCATCAGAGGCGAGACATCCGCACCCATATCCCTTACCAACTTCCTTGTGTGCTGTAAAATGTCTGATTGTGAGCTTGCATAGAAATATCACCCCCTGCTGCAACTGACAATTCCCTGCCGGTGTATTGCAGACAAGGGTCAGCTGCAGGGATTTGAGTACTGGCTGGTCATCTTTAACTACAATGCTCCCTGCAACTACACACAAGCGCCGCCCATCCGCGATTTGATCCAGGTGCAAGCACCACCCATGCCACCCATCCACACGGTCTTTATTGTCTTTAGGATCAATTAGTGTGGAGTATGGAGTATAAGAGATGCATTCTCTCTTGTCATGCATCTTTGCTCGTGGTTGTTGGGTGATTCCCGAATGGCCCAGAAACTGACATGCATCTGTGCGTTGGACAGGGAGTGAGTTTGAGCTTCTACGACAGCGCTGCTGACGTCCTGCTGATGGCAATCCCAAACCTGATCCCCAACAACTTCCACACCTTTGTGCTGGGATTCAACGCCTCTGACATGGATATCCCTGAAGAGGCCATCGCAATACATCACCCTGGTGGAGCCCCTGCAGCCATCTCCACTGTGCAGGGCAGGTGTGTCAAAGCACTCTCAAACTTTTATGACTTCTTCATGTCAAGGTGCGACGAGCAATTTTACACGTGGCTCGTCTGTAATTTTCTGCTTTTTTGAATGGCATGCAAGAAGCACAAAAAAAAAACGAAACGAGATTTGATGTGTGCTTGCGCAGTGGCATATCCTTAAACTTCCCAAAGCCAAACTTCCCACCCAGTGAGGTCCAGCCTTCCGATGAGACACATTTCCAGGTACTGCTCAGATCTCCCCATGCAATAATCAATTTTGAATGGCAAGTACGTCTTGAGCTACTACCACTCTTACTAGCATGCCTCTTACCGTGGAAAGCTTTTGATGTCACATTTCAAGGATGCAACTCTCTTCTATTTCAGGTGACATGGACCACTGGTGCGACCATTGGAGGGTCATCTGGGTCTCCGCTGATTGACGTGGCCACCAACAGGATTGTGGGTGTGCTGACTGGAGGCTACTCAAACTGCCAAGACAGGACCCAGCCAGATTACTATGGACGCCTCTCTGTGGTGCACTGCACACTTCTCTCCACTTGCTTGCTTCAGAATCTCATTTTATACAGTGAGGGTCTCTTTTGTGACCCAAGCAGCAGGAGAATAACACATTTGTGTGCTGTTTTTTTCAGTGAGGATTGACTCGAGCCAGTTGAGAATTGTCAGATTTCTCTGTTACAGAGATGTGGGGCTGAGATCAGCTGTGTGAGATCATGGCAGGCATGGAAGCATGGGCTGTACCAGTACCTGTCAAGTGTGGTGGTGCTGGACAAGGGAACCTCCTTTGCCAGGAAGTCCACTGTGGCAGTCATGCAAGCCAATGACACCCTTCCCGGCCGACCTGTACAACACTCCAGGCTGGGTGAGCCACCCTTCGTGCAACTCTTCTCTTTTTATATGCAACAGATATTGTGTATGCAGCTTGTCAGACAAATGTTGTGAGCAATTGAGTGGCTTGCCAGTTGTGGACTGAAGGCAAAGTTCATTGTCTGCGCAGCTTTAGGGATGTATCCAAACGTGCTGCACTTCCTTCCCAACATTACCTCACAGACCCTCACCTACTAGTGCGCCCCCAAATCGCACCTGTGCCTTGGCTTGCCTCATCCCTTGTGCTCATTGCTTTATTGATAGCATGCATGTGATAATGAATTTGCTATAAGGATGCTCCATGAGCTGTCCTGAGCGTAGTCATGGTGTCTTGCAGCCTCCTAGATCCGCCCCTGCAGAACGAGACAGTGGTAACAACCGCGGAGATTGTGAGCTTGCGAGGGAACAGCATCGATGTGACACCCTATGTCACCTTGCAGAATGCCCACCAGAACTTCACCCTGGCAGATTTCGGGACCCAGTTTGTCACCCAGGTCAACACAACTGGTGGGTTGATTTTTGCTCACGAGCATGCCAAGGATGAAGATGCCTGTTCCAGGCTGGAGCCGGCATTAAAAGCCTGTCTATGCGATTCCCTTTTCTTTCCCTCATAAGAAAGCATGACTGCTGGCTTATATGGTTGTGCCATTCACAGGGCTGACTGATATTGTCCCCGGGGGTCTGCTTCGGTTCTTACTTCTTGTCAACATCTCCAGTGATCTCTTTCCGGACGACTTTAAGCTGATGGCAGTGAAGGTGGGCTGGCATTCTCAAGATGACCTGTTGCTTTTGAGCCAGAACGAAGTGCTCCTACCCTTTCCAGTGATAATTGCCTGGTAAAGATTGATGGCATCTCTTCGGTGTGTCAGGGCATAATCCAGCAAGCACCCGAGACATGGCAACAGCATGAGCCAATTGTCATCTCATCCCTCCCGTATTTCGCAAAGTTTCCGGTGAGATTCCTGGGTGCCACATCCCCCCATGCCTGGGGCATGATGCAACTATTGGCTCAGCTTTGATGCTGTGCAATGTAATGGACGGGCAAACCACGTGGGGCACCAAGAAATTGCTGCATAAGCCTAACGCAGGGTGCTGCTGTGAGTGCAGATACAATCTCCATCCGGGAGGGCAGTTTTCAGGGTTGAAAGCAGCGCATTCCCCAACAGTGCAAGGGTTTTGGATGTGGTGATATGCTCCTTCCCGCAGACAAGTGGAATCAAGGATGGATCAGGGGCAACCACAGCCTACGATAATGGCACATTTACCTGGACCCTGACCCCATACAATGACCCTTTTGGCTTCAGGTGAGTGCAACACGATTTACTGAAGTGCACACACACACACACACACAAACACAATTTTCAACAGCCTTTTTTAGGACTACGTTTGAGCTTTCACTAGAGATCACTGAGTTGCGGCATCGGTGGTACTAATCTTGACATTGCTGGCTGCAGGAATTGCATGTTTGTTCCTAGTTGGAGTTCTCACTGGAATGACGTGTATGACATCGTCGTGAGTGATCAGGCGAGCAAATCTCACATGACGGAATCCATGTACTCTTTGACCTCAAGAGATAATACTTTTTCAGAGAGTGATGAGAGTGTGTTGACGCCGTGGTGCAACGCAGGATGATTTCAACGCTGTCATTCAAACCTCTGAGCTGGAAACAGTGTTTATCGGGTACTCCAACGGAAGTTTTGCATCGACTCTGGTCTGAGGATAAGCTGCCCAACCTGGATTTGATGCAACCCATGAGGTTTCTGATGGATTGCATTGCACCTTGTGGGAGCTTTCAACGGGAGCAAGCACACCAATCAGAATTGCAGATATCCTTTGTGGTATTCGCGAGGCATGAGTCAGCTCTGCAGCAAGCCAGTGACTGCTGCAGAGCCTCGTCTGCTGCTTTCGTGTCCTGGCGTTGGCGTCAGAACAGGAGTTTTTTGTTCACTCAAGACATTCCTGCAAATTGCCACTCTTTCTGGCTCCTCCAAGTCTGGCACACCTGTGTATATAGATGACTGATCAGTACAGGCATGTGATGCAATGCATTTAATTTGCACTGGTATTACTGAGTCATCATGATATGTACAGAAACCATGATTGTACAGCTGAAAAACTGATTCGTTCTCTGACCTTGCTCTGTAGATGCAGATCTGTATAGCTGTTGACCTCCTCGAATACAAAATGATGTGACAGTGGATTGAATAGGAGAATGTGGATGTGCCCTTCATTGCAGATTTAAAACTCTATTTCCTATTGAATATCCATTAGAAGTACGGTGCACGTGCCAAGAACTTATCAACATGTACATGATGTTCCCTTCGGAATTCTGAATTTAAAAAATTTATGAGCGGAATATTAATCGGACTGTAATAACTCTTGGACCATCCAAGATGGATGCTTTGCAACTGGGGTGTTCATTAACAAAGCCGGTGCGCATGTTGATAGCTTCCCTGCCGGACAACAATTTATAACCCAACAGACCGAATTCTCTCAATAGGTACAACAGACTCCAATCGATAATGTACAAGGCAATGGGATAATCCCTGGGACCAGGATCTGTGCAAAAGCAAATCGCGGTATAAGCGCAACAACAACACTTTCATTCCAATCAGATTGCATTAAACCCCCCTACACATAGACAGCCAGAGCAGCCCTGTCCTCACCTTCCGTCCAACAATGCAGTCTGAACCTAACTGGAGCAGTCTTGTGACACCATCATCTCTAAAGTCTCACTCTGCCAAGGCGTCAGTGAAATCGCCGGCGTTTGGAGCCAGGCAGCTCCTCTTCCTGGCTGAGTGCAGATGCTGCTGGGGCTGCGCGCTCCCTGTGGTGCGCCATGTGCCATGCTTTGGCGCGCTGCTCCAGCACAGCCACCGACGGAGAGGCTGGGCTCCTGGCCCATGATGGCTGCAGCCCTGGCTGCACTCCCGAGTGTGCCGGCTCCTCACCTCTGTGTGGAGTCCCCTGTTGACACCCGCACAGCACCCAAATGAGCTACTGTACAGATGTGAGTCCAAAGAGCAGACTCAGCCCCGCAAGACAGCTGCCATGTCCAAGACCTCCAGGAATGTGATATTGGCAGAAAAACAGAATGGCTGCAAGGCTGCTATTACCTCTTGCTTGACCATCACAGGCTGGCCCTGCATGCTGCTGAGGCTTGGCTCCTGTTTGACAGGAATTGTGGCGGAGACTGCCGAGTCAACCTTGAACCAGAACAGCGTGCCTCGGAATAGATTAATAATTCTGACGCCTCGCAGCGCCCCACTGCCCTCTGTCCTGACTGCCAGAGACCCATGCTGCCCCTGCGCACACACAAGTCAAGGATGTCACACCAAACTCCGGCTGCACCCTCAGCGCCGTTCAGATCCATTTTCCACGCTGCTGCACAAGGTTGGAGCAGTGTCGGGACCACAGTAAACGCCTGGCAGCACTGAAGATAGAAGGTCAAGGGGCGCACCCTTATTTTGGTCTCAATGACAGTCAGGACGCCTGCGCCGCCTTTGGCAGGCAGCCCATTGCCGTGAAGCGCTGGCAGTGTTGCAAGTGTTACCAGCGGGGCAAAGAGGTGGTTCAAGCCTGTGCCTGTGCACCGCAAGCTGCACCCCTGCGAAACAGACCAGCGCCAAATTATTAATGCCAAGATTCTGCCCGGCAGCGGCTTCCTTTAACTCAGCAAAATTGCCTGGGAAGACTCTCCCCTCAACATTGGGCATGGAGTCAAGCTTCCTACCTCGACAGTCAGAGCCCCTTGCCGGTGAGTGATGCACGCGTTAGCCTTGCTCTGGATAGTCAAGTTTTGCACCTTCCCTGACGCCCTGCGATCAGTGATCAATCATTAAATATGTTTACCAACATGTCCTCAGCTTACATTGATATTGAACGCATTGTCTCACCACAATCGAGTAATCCCAAGATCTAGCCATCAAGTAATGCAGCTCATACCTGAAATCAAGGACACCGTCCCTGCTTTTGGAGCAGCGCAGGACAGTGTCATCTGCAGTAATCCCTCCGCCGACCAAGTGCAGCGGCCAGGAGATGTGGACATCTGCCACATCATGCTCGCCAGGCTCTAATACAATCCGATCCCCAGGCCTGCGTAATATCGGAGTTGAGACGCACTTGCAAGATTGCACGATGGGAAAAACTCATATTTGAACAAGGCTACAGGGCATATGAGTCAACAAACAGCGTTCCATATTAGAGTTTACAGTAGAGGAAGCTGCCTTTTTAAGCAAGTGGCGCTACCTGCTTCCCTCCACAGCATCCCTCAGCGAGTGGTAAGCGTGGCGACAGTTACGGGTCTTTGCAGCTCGACGAGCCGTCTCTGCTGTCATCTCATCGCTGGAGTTGGCTGATGGTAGCACCAACAACCTCATCCGACCGTCCCCAGTCAAGCTCTTGAACCTCTGCACAGGCAAGGGACAGCTTTGAGAGACCCGACCTGCTCCTCCACAGCGCTCTCAACAGCTCACAAGCGCATATTAGGGAAGTGATTTAAAAAACGAATATGATCTAGTCGGGTAACACTGCAGAAGCAGAGGAAAAAAGGTTGTTCACTTGCAGGAACTCGAGTGCGGAAAGGCAGCCCAATGCAGGTATGGGGATACGAAACACACCCTGCATGCTTTTGAGAGGGAGATGAGGTCCGGTAGGGGTGAGAGAAAGGAGAATATGCTCAGAAGACAGTCGTCGTCCAGCTGAGTAAGCTCCTGCTCAAGCATTTCCAAAGCTTGGTCAGTGCTGGCTTGCCTTTCACACTATTCAGCAAAACATATCATAGCGATAACAAGAGAACAGGGTCATAGAAGGTTGCTTTTGGGGGACCAGGCCTGAAGGACTCACCATAGAAGGCCTTTTCGAGAGCGAATCAGGGTCTCTGACACTCCAACCTCGCAGCTGTGCTAAATAAAAAGCACTCGTTTATTCTATGGAACTACTTGCAGGAAATCGCCGGAAGTCTTGACCCAAAGAGCCACGTTCTTAGCGTTTTGTGGGCACGTGAGACGCACGTGGTACAACTCTGATTCGAAGGTCGTTTCGGGACATTCTAGTGGTTTTTCGAGCCATTCCTTGGGCCGTCAACCTAGACAACGTTCAAAGTGCACTTATACCGCGATTTTCTTCAGAAGGCTCAGTGCATGTTCAGTAGGGTTCAATCTTTCTCCAAAACCCTAGCATGCAGCATTTGATGAGAAGCTGCGTTGGTCCCAGTACCAATCTCAAATTATCAAAGTTCCTCCACCTCCTGTGAAAGAAATTGTTATTTCTGTTTGTGTCGCACCTCAGCTTGATGCGTGCACATGAATGTGGTTGAGTGCTGCTCCACGGGCTATCTCACTAGACAGACATGATAGAGAATGTAGAGGAAGCCTTTGAAAATCAGAGATACTTCGGGCCTGTTGGCTGGTAAATGCTAATTTTACATGCCTTTGAGAACCACCTGTGATCGCCTCAACCAGCCCTCTGTTTATAAGCGAATTGTTGACCAAGATGCAGCTGATTGCTCTTACTTTAAGGTCTTCTAACACATCTCACTTTGGTGGTGTTCTGTAGGCAAGCCCCTGGATTACTGGATCGGTCAGCTTGGACCGATGACGAGGGAAAACCAGTGAACGCCGAGCCCATCCCGTCCGATCTCAGCAGCAACGTGTGGGATCTGGTATTGGATCATAGCACTGACGCAGAGGGATGGGTGTACGGTTCTGTATTCAAGTGAGTCCATCCGTAAATTCTATTATGTTCACGTGGGTGTCATGCGAGATTCGATTTACTGCTCAGCGTAGACAGGATGTTTACTGATAAATGCCTTGGAACAGGCACCTGGAGTACCCTCGGCCAGGGGGTCGGTCGTCACAGCGGGTAGGAGATTTTGTCAGGAGGAGATTGTGGCGCCGTCTAGCAAGCTCATCAGCCTCAGGTGCGAACGATGCATATCAATTCACCAAGCCAAATGCTCAGTGCTTTACCCCAGTCAATTATAATTGCACGTGTTGTTAGAACGTCTGGTCACGCTCCATCCACAGACCCACAGCTGAGAGTGTGCTTTCACAGGCGTGGCAACAGAAAAGGAATTCATACAAGATGGAAAGGCAGGTGGCGCAGCAGCAGCGCTCAGAAGCCTTGTCAGCCCAGTGCTGTCCATGCAGGGCGTCAGGTATACGTCAACAAATCTCCTTGTCACATGCGTACTTGTTCAATAGTACTTTCTCCGCAGATCTCTTGATGCCCATGCATCTCTTGATGCTCAAGACTCCATCTACATGCTCCCACACTGCCATGATTGTTTGTTCGAGTCCAGTCTCCACGCAATCTGCTATATGCGGTACAATTAAGTCAGCGCACCAGCTTCAAAAGCAGGCAGAGGCATGCATGCATACCAGACGCATCTCACAGCTTGAGCACCCATGCATGCATCTCCTCACTGACTCCCATGTGCTGTGATTGGCCAGGGTGCGCAAGCGTACAGAGCTTGAGAAGCGCAAGGCAGCTGTGATGAAGCTGGTGGGATTGATGACGTCCATGTTCAGGCGGCGCCACTTCTATGAGGTGCTGCCCATGGACCCGGTCGCCTGGCCGCTGCTGCTGGCTGCCCACAGAGAGGCCCTGCGCACGTCCATGGCCGAGCAAGCTGTGCTCAGCCGCATAGACCCCTCCACCATGCAGCCGCCTGCAGCAAAGGCAAGCTTCTCACCTCCTGCCTGTTCCGGTGTCTGGTTGAAGTCCTCAGGACAGCGTTCACAGGGCCCGAGGCGCCCTCTCTACAGCTTCAAGACACACTGTGTCTACAAGACACCATGGCTCTGGCTACAAGACAGAAGGGTTGTGACTACAAAAGACACAAAGACACCGTGTAAACTGGGTGTCCTTGAGATTCCATGCAGCAAAGGACTAGGCATTATGTGGTGCCCTATCTGCATTCTTTCAGGTCGCTGGTCAAGAGGAATCTGTAGGCTAGGGCACTGATCTTCAGTCTCCCTTTACAGGGTGTGCTTGGCAGGGGATTAGGAGTAGGCCTGGCTAATGCATAGAGTGACTATCGTGCTGCGCAGGAACTGAGTGAGCAGGGTGCCCCTCAGACTCTGCTCCAGGCTCTGCTGTGCGGCGCAATGCACTCACGGGCCGCGTACGGCTATGCCATGGCTGCAGGCCACCTGTCGTCCCTGCTCAACTTTGCACTCCTGCAGACGGTGAGCGCCCTTGCCTCCCATCAAGGGAAACCCAACAGATTGTGCTTGAAATTGCCACCACACTCTTCTGCTATGTTGGCCACTTGTGCAGCACCCACATTGAGGGATTGAGGGGTCCTCAACTGTTTCCCACGTTCTCCTTGAAACTGCCACCCCAGTCTTCTTCTATGCTTGTCGGCCACTTGTGCAGAACCCACTGTCTCCCCACATTGATGGGTCTTCAACTCTAAACCATCATCGCTTATGCTTAGTACTACCACCTAGGTCTTCTGCTCCGTTGGCCACTCATGCTATGGTTCAAGGCCGCATGTATTGAATAGAATACATGCACAGGTGCATCAATTCGACTTCTGTGCGGCCGGGGGCGCGTCAGGCGAGGCGAACAATGAAGCGGTGTTGAAGCTGGCGGGCGTGAGGCCGGGGCATCTGCTGTTGGCGGAGTGGAACAACAGCATCGGCCGCCCCTGCCACTATGTGGCCGCAGACCTGGCCAATCACTGCATCGTTGTGGCCATCAGGTGCGCTCATCCCAGCAAATTTGTAGGATGGAGCACGTGCGTCACTTAATCAGTGAGTTTCATGGCATGCCCAGAATGCCATTGAAGTTGCTGATGTGATGTGAAGTGAAGCATGTCATACACAAAAGTGGCCATTGTTGGCATGGACGTATCAATAATGTAGTACATGCAGTATCGTTGCTATGGTCTAGGTGATTCACCAAAACAGTAATGTGCCGTATCCAACCACACCATAGCCATAAGAGGTTCTGATGTTGACCCGAGAAGCGATTGCAGGCACGTGCAGCATTGCTAGAATGGTGTTAAGAGAGGTTTTCAAGGTGTAGCTTCGGTGGTGAGTCTGGCATGCATGCACAGGGGCTCTTTGGAGGTGGGCGACATGCTGTCAGATGTCACTGCGGCACCCATGGAAATGACCCTGCTAGGCGTGCAAGGCAAGGTGTGCAGAAAGCATACAGCCTTCACACTGTATTACCTGTACACTGTTACTTCTTGCCGCGTAGCTGTGAAGTCTGGTTCTGTTATGGTGCATACAACATGGCAACAAACTGCTGTATACGACAAGCATAGCAACGCCATTCTCTATTACTATGCATCCTTGTGTGAGAACTGCCATTGGCGTAACGATGTTTGCTACGACTCAGAAGATAACAGTCCAGCTGTCAAGTTGTGCTGCTGATGCTCACAATGCAGCCTGTCATACTGCAGGTGCACGAGGGCATGATGGCTGCTGCCACATTTGTACACTGCAACACTGCCGAGGCGTTGGAGGCGGCTGCGCAGCAGTTTCCCGGCTGGCCTGTGCTGGTCACCGGCCACTCCTATGGCGGTGCGGCAACAGTCTGAGCCTGCCTTGCTGGTTGTGTGCTGAGTCCCAGGCTCTCTGGGTATTCTTTAGTACATCATAGAAAGTACAAGCTACGCTATGGTCAGCTTTGTCTTGAGCTTAACTGTAATCCTGTGAGAGAATTCTTGAAGACAGGCACAATAAAAATTCTCACAGGAGTCTGGCCAAGTTCATCATGCAAGGCTGCCATAACAAGTGCCCATACCAGATCTAGCAGTGCAGCCCTTGCATGTGTTATAGCGCCAATTATGTTGGTGGAACAGGAGCCCTTGCATGTGCGAACGCGCCGATTGTGTGGGAGGAACAGGTGCCCCTTGCATGTGAGAAAGCGAGGAGAAAGCGAGGAACAACCACAGTAAAGAAAATAGTTTCTATGACAAGCAACGAGACCCTTATCTGTTTGCCTTTCTAAGCTACCTGTGTTGGTGTGACAGGTGGCGTGGCGGCTATTTTGGCGGCACTGCTGAGGGACGGCGGCGCTCCTCCTGGGCTGGGCCCCATCTCCTGCATCGCGCTCGGCTGCGCGGCCGTCTTCAGCCTGGAGCTGGCCAAGATGGTCACGCCATTCACCACATCTGTCGTCTACGGGTGCGCTTTTGCCCTCGATAGCTTTGCCCATATGCCTATCCGTGTCAAGTCATTCATCCAGTCTGGGGAATGCGACCTTCACTGCTGAGTCATGCCTTGTCAGCTTGCCGCTGCCTTTGATATCAATAGATCTGTGTACTACAGAGGTGTTGAGCCACAGCAGTGCAGTAAAGACACATGTCAAGCAGCAGGTCGATTTGTCTTGCAGGGCGGATGTGGTGCCGAGGCTGAGTGCTGCGAGCGTGGAGGGCGCCTTTTTAGAGCTGGCCGCTGCATCTCCTGTGCGCACCGCCGCCGCCAAGTTCGGCCGCCAGGTCACCTCCACGCTGGAGGGCCTGAAGGTCAGCTGCCCCCTCAATCCTCTTTCCCATCACCTGCAGCGAGTTGCTAACATTTCAAGAATATTGCTGAAGTGTGCCGCCGCACTCCAGTGGTTTCCTAGTCATTTGGATCAGAGGGAAGGTTATGGCACCCCAGCACATCATTTGGCCGCTGTGGAAATGTGCTGGGGCGCCGCTACTCTATCCCTGAGCTGAATGACTGAAAAGTACTGTTGAGAGCCGTTTTCTACCATGTCTCAGGGCAGCCAGTAGCATCTGACGTTTGGGGGATTGCAGGTTGACTGGAAGGTGGCGACGAAGGGGCCGAAATTCGCCGGAGACAGGTTCCCGGGGCAGAGGGGACTGACCTCGTTGCTGACGATGGCTGAGAACAGCGACGCGTACAGCGCCGCCGCCCAGACCGCCCTGGCGGCCGCCCGCTTTGCTGGCTACCGCACCACAGAGGACGCAGAAACAGGTGCTGCAACGTTGCCTGTAACATGCCATGCACAGATGTCCACACTCAGATGTATTGCATCCTTATAAGGCCCCATATTTTGCTGAAGCAGTCCATGCACCGCCTGCAGTTCAAGGTGTATGCATAATACTGAGTGAAATTGAAGACTCTACTTACATAGATGATATGTTTCAGGCACACGTGCGCATGCAACAAAATAATGGCGTACCCTGATATGCCCTCGTGCCAAGCGCAGGTGGTGATGGGGTTGAGCTCAGTAACATAAATGGTGGTGCGGCCACTCCGCAGCCCCCTGCCACGCCGTCACTCGCGCCAGGGGCGGTGGTCAGCGCCGGGGATTTTGCGCAGCACGAGCGCGACAGGGGAGGCGAGGCTGAGAGCTACCCTGCTGCGGATGGGGTCATGGACGGCGCAACGCGTTCGCCCACAGACAGGGCGGTGCATCGACTGCAGCTGCTTAGAGCTGTGAGTTGCCCGGGCACTGCCTTCTTGACTGTGCTTGTAGCCGAGTACTGATCTAGCGCATTAGTTCTTCTCTGATGCGACCTGATGCTGTGTCCATCATGTACAAGAGGTGTTGAAGGTTTTTGTGACTACGGGCATCTTAGTTGACCAGTCGCGATAGACGGTGCTGACATATTCCCCCTGCGTGTGCAGGGCACTGATCTCCACCAAAGTCAAAGTGATGCAATTCCTGGAGATGTTGATGTTGAAGATAGAAACGAAATGCATGCAGGTGAGGACATTTGTCATGCACCAGTCTGCAGGCTAAAGCTCTGAAATGTCAGATCCATTGTGCTATGATTTGCAGCTTATGTGCGAGCGTTCAGCGTCTTGTTTCCCTAACTGCAGAGAGATACATTCCCGGAAGCAGCCCTGGTCCCAAGGGGCACCCAATCCAGGTGGGCACGTCAGAGAGCGGGGATGATGACCAGCACCTAGTGACTAGCGAGGAGGTCGCGGACGCTAGGGCCCAAGCGGCTGTAGCGGCCGCCAAGTATGGGGGCAGCGAGCACCCGGAGCCCCTGTTTATGCCAGGGCAGGTGCTGCCCTGGGATTGTGTTGTGTGTCCTTTTGTTAGCATGAGACTTTGAGCTTTGGGTAAACGTCTGAATGAGATGGGTAGGTGTGACAGGCTTCATTGGAATGCATTGGAAGTAGTGTTGATGAAGGGTGAATATGAGCACTACAGGGGGGGGTGGTAATGAAGTTTTCTTCGCACAGGTGCTGTGGGTGATTCCACCAGAAGAGGCCACAGAGGACGCGCTCAGTTCCACCGATGAAGAAGCTAGCCCTGGCCCAGTCATGGGCCCTGCTTTTGAGGTCCGCTGCCCTTTGCTCTGCAGCTGACCACCTTCTCTGAGCTGCACTCAATATCAGAGCTGTGGAGTATCAGGGATTGTGCAGGAGATGAGTGCTGAGTTGGCAGTGGGTTATTTGGGACATCAGGGAGGTTTATCAGTAAGGGATGCAAAGCTTGGATAATCTGGATGACAAAGCAACCATGCAGCCTATGGTCCTTCATAGCCAGATGACTTTAAGGCGGGGCAACATATTACGTCATGCAGAGCGTGATTGTGCCATGTGCCTGCAGGTGACGATGCAGTCAGTGGAGGAGCAGGCACGCCTCAATGCGGACGCCATGCAGGCGGCTGCGCGCGCCGGCCAGGCGGCCGATGCGCTCGGCCCCGGCCGGCGCGCATCGGGCAGCCCCAGTGCGTCAACGCCAAATGCTGCCATGTGCAGTGACAACAGCCCAGAACAGAGCAATCCAGAGGCTTTGGGATCGAGTGTAGCAGCCGAGCAGCGGGGCCGGAAGAGCAGCCTCGACAGGAAGACTGTGCGGCAGCCGGAGCTGCAGCCGTTCTGCTCCCCCAGAAAGGCTGCGCGGCAGCGGCTGAGCGAGCGGTCTGCGGCCTGCGCACGGGCGGAGCTCGTCAGGGGCCAGAACGCAGAAGACCCTGACTTGCATGCGGAGGATGAGGCTGCAGCGCGGCTGCTGGAAGAGGAGTGGACAGGCAAGGGTCGGGCGCAGGGGAGCGAAGGGGGGTCTAGGGCGGACAAGCGGCGGCCTGTTCTGGCGCAGGTGGATAGGAGGCTGTTTGGGCGCATCCTGTTCAGTTTTGACACGATGCCCCACCACCTGCCGGACACCTATCTCACCGCTCTTCAGGAGCTGTGACAGGGCAATTTGTCATGTTGGAGAGCGCTTTCCTGCTCTAGGAAGATATTGTATCTATGAGCACTGCCAGTGCAGTGTGCAACCTGACCAGCAAGAACATGCGGAACATAGCACACCGTTAAAAGAACTCAATGCTTTGAAGTGTCACAAAGTATCAAGGTTTGAACTCTTTCAAGTGGATGTGCAAAATCGTGATGGGTAGGATCATTACACAGAATGTATATCGCGGCTGGTCGGTCAGCCTCAGCTGTTTGTCAGTATGGAGAGCAGAGAAACCTAGAATAGGCAACGCTCCGAATTTGTGAAATATTAATAATATACATGCAACGCCGCGAACAGCAGTCAGGTGTTGCATTAGCAATGAGAATCAAATGTTGAAGTAGGAGACAGAGTGGACCATCTCAACTCTTCCAGGGGTCCTATGTGGCCCCTGTGCACACATGATCCTGCCCTGTACTATACCTACTTGTATCCTGTAGGTGCAAAGGTCCCATTCGTGTGTGTACTGCTAAAACCCTCTGCTGCCTCCTGAGAGCCCAGAATATTCTTGATTGCATCTAGTGCGCGCTGGCAGTCCTTGAAGCTCACAACAAGTGCCTATTCTCTTGCCTTGTCTATTTTCGATTTAGATGTACACTTAGAAACCGAGCCAGGTTGTTATTGCTGTGCATTGCATGCACCACACGTACCTCCCTCTCTCCTGCACTTCTCTACACCCCCGTGATTATAGACTTACTCCTGTGGTGGGTTTGCTAGTCCAGGGTTCACTCGTTTATACAAGTGGTGTGCCCTTGCTACGCACCCATGTGGGAGCAAGAAAAGGGTGAAACCCCGCATTTTTTACCCTCTCCACCGTAACGCCGTCAACAGCCGTTAAAACTCCGACACCCGTAAAGTCATATCTCGGCTTTCGGTTTCCACCCACTCCAATCCCGTAGTATTCCTTTTTTACTCCATAAAAAATGAACACATTTACTTCACTTATCACCAACAGTAGTTTCCGCCGCATCACCACGATGGTTAATTCCAAGGGGATACGTGGCGATAAACTGATATGGTGAGGCGCTGATCGCTGTCGAGATTTGCTATCTGAGGGAGCGCAAAAGCTTACAACTCTCATTCATTTCTGATTTTTAAAGAACAACTTAAATAGCACATTTCCAATTGTGATGGTGAGGCTGTTAGAGTCCAAGCCTTTCAGTGAAACCCTAATGAGTGAGATCCTGGATGGTGATGGATGGCTTGTGATACGACAGCTTGGGCAAAAATTACCTCGAGCATGCCAAGGAGCTTGGGGATGCAGTCCCAGACAAGCCCGTAATATTCCTGAAGCCTCCTAGCTCTGCGATCGTAGCTTCTGCACAGCCTGGTCCAGTTGCGGTCCAGTTGCCTCGAAACAGGTTTGGACTTTCACCCATCCATCAGCTTAGCAAGATGTGAAGAATGTATACAGTGAATGTGGCATTCAGTGAACCTAATTCCCAACATACCAGGCTTCCTGGCATTGCCTTACGTAGTGCTATTGATTTACATTCAGGGGAGGTGTACATTATGAAGCCGAGATGCTTCTGCGTCTGAACGACGATCTGGAGGTGGATGCTGTCTCGTTGGGCCTCGACCTGACGCTTCGAGACCTCCAGAGCGAGCTGAAGAAGAAGGGGCATCCCTGGGAGATTGCCAAGGTTCGATCACTGTCATTCAATCCAATGCGAGCTGATACCACACAAATAGACCTGGAGTCATGCTGCTGCGAATTGTCGAAATATCGCTCATCAAGGTTGTCAATGCTGCTTGCAGGCTTTCCCAAACTCCGCTGTGATCGGGCCCTGGGTTGATGTGGCGAGTTTCCCAGACTACATCACCACAGAGTTCTCCTTTGAGCTTGATGGAGAGGAGAGGCAACGTGGTGCAGCCAGCCAGATGATGACTGGCGTGCCAGAGGCTCTAAAGTATGTCAAGGAGTGCTTTACACTAGTCCCAGGAGATGTCATATTCACCGGCACGCCCAAGGGCGTGGGCCCTCTCAAAAGCGGCCAAGTCGGCAAGCTCATATGGGGGGACAAGCTGTCATATGAGGTGTCCTTTACAGATTAAAAATATGTTTTTACAGAATTTACTGATAAGCATTCAATTTTCATTCTGACAATGCACACTTTACAGTACCTCGGCAGTTCTGTCTGGTTCCAGATATTGTAATGTTCAACTTGTAGTTCACTGTAAAGTTCCTTCCTGGGGTTTCTACAGGACTGTACTATAGACTCAGAACAGCTACTTCCTACTCAATCCAAAATTGCCAGTGCGGCATGGGGAAACCAAACACCACAAGCATGCCAGCCAAATTTAGTGCATTTGTCACCGGAGCCAGGGGTCTAGGTGGGCACGCTTGTTGGCAGGCGGCCTGGGCCTGGGCGCAGAGCCGGGAGGCAGCCCCTGCGGCGTCGTGTGCGTTGTCACAGCCGCACTCACCGGCGTCAGCTTCCTGTCCGTTCCCAGCACGCCCTGCATGCGCACACCACACATCTGAGATCCAGCCCTGCAGCATCAATGCCCACAAAGCTGGCATATTATTTGTTATTACGTGTGTTTTTCCTGATGGTGCGTCAGCAGACAAGCTGCATGTAAAGGCTGCCACATAACCGACCCTTTGATGGACTTGCCAAGTCCAAGCCAGACCCAATCAACCGTACGCACGGTGCTCAGTGTTCATACCGCCCCCCGCCAGCCGCTGCCCAGCTTACACATGCATCAAAAAGTTTGCGCCTCAAGTACAGCCCAATTAGTGCTGCAGCTGGGCAGAGAAGGTGCAGGAGCCCTCACAGCAGGCGTGGCATTGCGCGATGGGGCCAGGCGGGCTTGAGGGGCGTCGAAGGTGTTGAGCGGGGCTCGAGGAGGCATGCTGGCCCCTGCCCCTGCTGGCCCGCTCTTGCTGCGCCTGGGATACTGCACCAGCAGCCGCCCGTTGTGCATGAAGGCATTCTTCCCGGGCTGAGGCTCCTGCACAAGCCATATACACATTTTCCTCTGCATGATTTATTAGATGCATGGAGTGTGAATACTTTTCATTGCAACTGCATTATAGAGAAGCCTCCGGCTGGAATTGAGTCCCATATCATGCAATCCTGAAATGGCAGAAATGGGTGCAGCCATCACCTCTTTAAAGTAGGGGTGCTGCAATGTATCAGCGGCGGAGATGCGGTCTTCTGGGTTGTACGCCAGCATCCTGGACAGCAGGTCGTACAGCGCCCCCCCATGCTGAGCGCTGGGGTTGGATCCGCCGCCCGCAGCCAGGGCGCTGCAAGCAACAAGGGTCCCTGTCAGAATTGTGAAGTCCCCCACGGGCCACCCACATGGGAGTGTAATCGGCCACCGAGCTGACATGTTTTCTCAGAATATAAAAAGCAAACAAATTCCAAACTGCCATGTGATATGAAAAGGATACTGTAGTGACATGCAGAGCACCCAAAACAAATGGAAATTGGAAATTTGTCAAATGAATGAGAAATACTTCAAGTTACCTGTACTCGGCAATGATTTCGGCCAGGCGGCTCTTGGCCGGGTACTCGAGTTTCTGCGCGCGCACGTTCTCGGTGTTGTCGCGCCAATGCGGCAGGTGCTCCAGGGCAGGCCACGAGCTCACGCTGGGCAGCCCCAGCACGCGGAAGATCCTGCGCAACGCCCTCCAACCAGCTCACCCCCTATAAACCCACTGTCATGCTCTTGAGTTTAGGTTCACAGTCAAAGCATACACTGATAAATCCCTCACCTGATTCGTGTTCAAGGTAGCACCATATGCTGTGTGCAATAAAATAATAATAGGCTACTGTGGGGTGTGGGGTCCTGTCTTCCCCCAAAGTGACATGATAGATACGCGCATGGCTGTGCTGGCGAGGGAAGTAGAGCGCACTTGTCGCACTGGTCGGCCTGGAAGGCAGAGGCGGGGCTCTTTCGCTCATTGCCCTGGAACAGCGGCCTCAGGGCCAGCATCTCCACCAGGATGCAGCCGGCCGCCCACACGTCGGCCGCAGGCGTGTAGTGGCGCGCGCCAAGCAGCAGCTCCGGTGCGCGGTACCATATTGTCACCACCACTCCGTTGTCCGACAGCGGCCGCAGCGGGCACGCGTATATCCTGCGCCAAGCTCACCATCAGGCGCGGGCCTGATAGTACGTCACCACATGCGTTCTAACCAGCCTCTTCGCTTGTGCTGTGGTGCATTGTGCAGGTGCATGAGACATCCGCATGGGGAGCTACAAAACTTTTGTAAGCAGAGTCGGGATGTGCTGCGCACCTCGCAAGCCCGAAGTCGCCGATCTTCACCCGCCCCTGCTCTTCGCCGTCCCCCACAACAAGGATGTTGGACGGCTTCAGATCCCTGCAGCAACAATGAGAGAACTCCCTACGTTGTGTTCCACAGAAACTTCATCAAAAAGCTTCATATGTCCTTGTCTCTGCCTCACAGAAAGGGGTGGGGTCAGCAGGCACCGGTGCATGATCCAGTTGGAGTGCAGGTAGTGGAGGCCATCCAGCAGCTGCCACATGAGCGACTTGAGGGTGTAAGCTTCCAGCACCGGTCCCATGCCGCGCTCCCTGTGGAACCTCAGCATCTCGTACAGATCGCGCTCCGCGTAGTCAAAGGCCAGGGACAAGCTCGGCTCCTGCACGCCAGTACCCCTCCAGCCATGCATGCATCAATGGACATGATGCATAATGCACATGACATTCGGTGTCAGATCTGCATCTAGCAAGGTCTTCTTACACTGCAGGAAAGGGAGGTACCGGCCGGTGTAGATGGACAGCTTCCAGGTGGACGATGTGGTCATGTTTGAGCTCCCTCAACAGCATGATCTCCCGGATTGCAGTAGGCGAAATGCCATCCCCCTCCTGGCAGCCAAAGAGAGCAGCGCTAGCTGATCAGGCACTCTGTGCCACATTTAGTATGCTGGCCATTTCTGCCATGCAGGGTGCAGTATTGGCCGACGTACCTTGCCAGGCTTGAATGTTTTGATTGCCACCATGCGAGAGTGCTGGTCCTTGGTTCTGGCCAAGTACACCACCCCATAAGTTCCCTCCCCAATTTTGTCGATGATGACATAATGTTGCGATAGGTAAGATGGTACTGCTGCTAAGGGATCCTGTGGTGGGGTGCTTGGTGCAGTGTCCTGCAAGGGCAAAATAACCAATATGAGCGCTTGGCACTCTTGTCCAGGGAGAGGAAGGAATTGCAGCGACCTGCCACGATGAGAGCTGATACTGGACGCTGTTTCGTCTGTGGGTCAGACATGTCATTACACTTGTTGATCTGCACTGGATGTGGCCCAGATCTGTTCACCTTTTGAGGAACGGGATATTTGGCACGATTCTGCATGATCATAATACCCCGTCACGGATAATTCTGATATGCATGCTGTCGCACGTATGAAGCTGTTTAAGAGGGGACCGTTTCCTGAAGTTTACAACAGATGTCGACCAATGGCACCGAAAGGTCGAGAAGTGCTAGAATTGTTTGTAACAAATCAACGGATCCTAACAAATACTCAATCTTGCAGGACTTCTGTTGCACTTCAGGATAATGATGCTTTCGAAGAAATGTTAGACATGACCTTGCTTTGGGCTGCCAGGCAAGTGGATGAGTCATTCTTGGACTTTCTTCTTTAGAGAAAGAGGTATGCAGACATCAAGGCTTCTTTCCCTCATTTACAGGAGTCAACTGTAGAACCCTGGAGATAAAGCATCAGTCAACCATCAATCTAATAATAAAAGTAAACCAACAATAAGTATTTGCCGCAGCATGACTGAGTTCAGCAAGGCACATAACAACGATCCATCACAGGGAGCTCCTCTCGTCAACTCGAGTCAATGATTCTGGAACTCGAGTCAATGATTCTGGTCACACCATACGGTACCGGTATGAAAACCCTCACAAACTCTAAAGGCACTGACTGAAAGTTTTGCTTCATGTCAAACCGGTCTTCATGGTCAAAAGCTGTGATAATCACGACTCGAATCACATAATGTACAAGAACACTTCCTAGTAATTGGGAGTCAGGCTGTCATACTTCAAGAAAATTTCCCTTATCAAAAGAACAGTCAGACTTCTCCAAGCATCTTTTGAAAAGCACCAAACTCTCCCTGAATATTTTCCAGCCTGCAGGGTAGAGATCAGAGGAATTCCCTGTCCGGGAATAATGTTGGTGCAACCAGCATCCAGCAGTAGGTGGCTGCGGTGGCCCACTGTGTGACAAACTTGACCCACACAGAGAACCAGCCCACATCAATCAGATCCCGCTCCTCAGCACCAGTGCCCCAACCTGTGCATAACACAATGGCGTTATTGAATCACTTTCCCAAAAGGCTCACCACTCTTCAGCACATCCAATTGCTTCGCTGGACAGGCTAAACGCATCAATAAGCTTAAACAACCTGCCAGTGCCTCGAACATCACAAGGAGACAGGAGGGCTCACCTGTCATGAGCATGGCCAGGTACATGCTGGCCACAGCAAAGATGAAGTGGAAGAATGCGTAGTTGTACGTGACCGGTGTGAATTCGTCCGCCGTCTGCTTTGCACGCTCTGCCTCGTCAGCGGTGCGCGCCGTCCTGCTCATGCCCACCTCTCCATCCAGCCCTGCCGATGTTCCCTCCTCCTGCAGTGCTGGAGATCAGTACCTCCGCTGAAAGCCTTTATGATCCCCACAGGGCAGGAAACAAAGATAACACCCTAACATGAACGAAAGGAGCAAGTACAGTAGGAGTTTGGGATTCCTCTGATGGCAGGATTTTGTGAGGACAAGCCTGAACAAAATAAAGAAAAGCATAACAATCAAAGAGAAGGATAAGAATGTGCAAGGAGGTGGCGTGTGGAGGCATAAGGAGAGGGGTGATCAGCACTCACCGCAATGTAGGCCCTGCCCTTGTCATCATCCAGCAGGGGCTGCTCCACAGGATCGGAGTCCTCCTCAGAGTTCAGCCGGAACAGCGCCGTGTTGGAGCCTGCCCGCAGCGCCGAGTAGACCACGGATACCAGCGTGAGCAGCATGCCGGTGGCCAGCGTGGTGGCGGAGGCAGCATTTAGGCGCTGGCCCAGGCCGTTGCACTGGTAGTCGTGGGGCTCTGACACCAGCGCAGAGTAGCACAGGTACGTGCAGTAGAATGTGAAGATGGCCGATGGAAACAGGCTGCCGTTCTTGGCCTACGCGCACATAGATGGTTGAAGAATTGTTTCCAGCTGTGCAGCTGGATTCTTTTGAGCATGGCATGGCACTGCTGAAGACACCTGTTCTCAACTTCGTGCACAAATGTGTGGCCATTCCCATCTTTTGGTTTTGATTGCTGTGTTTGCACCGAGACAGCAAGCAAAAGCCCTGTCTTCTGGTGCCTCGCTTCCAGCACCTTCTGCTCCACCATCAGTGCTCTCTCCCTGCATCAGTAATTGCAGGGAAAGCAAGAGAGCAGGATGGAGGGTGGGATGGTGGCACGCACCAGGCTGGACATGGAGACACCCGAGATGATAATGCCAATGATCAGTGTGAAGGTGATCATGGACACATTGAAGGAGCATTCGTCAGCTCCCACAGGTGTGAAAAAGTAGAACAGGATGCCCGCCAATCCAAAAGTGCCGAGATAGGAGACACATGTCACCGTCAGCAATGCCCATAGATACCTGCACGCCATGACAGAACAGCATCATCAGAGCCCGCAAAGTGGCCATTCACTTTGACACACGTCCCAAGATCAGCATGCAAAGTCCCATAAGAGGGATGGTTCAAGGCCCTGCACATGTGGTGATAAATCTGCACAAACAGTCTGTTTATGGAGCTTTACAAATCGCATATGAGAGCAGCACTAGGACGTACCTCTCATCCTCTTTGTCAACCCAGGTGTCATTCCATTTGGTGACAAAATCAAGGAGCATCAAAATCTGGACGCACAAGAAGCAAGCTGACCCCACGCGAGCCACCCAACCTGTGTGATGACCAGACAATATATTAAGGCCAGCAAGGGTATGCCAAAATATGGGGTAAACGTAGCAACAAGAAGCAGCAATCCTTCAAACGCATGCTGTCACAATATGGAATGCGTCCGCACCGTAGCCATTCACAAAGCTGACGGGGAAGAAGAATGGTAGGATGTTGAAGAGAAGCCACAATGCCACCTTCAAGAACCAACCACCGTGCTGCAAGTACTGATCCCGCTTGTCACTCTTGTACTTGACGCCCACCATTGCCAGTGACATAAGCCCGAAGAAAATCTGCAAGTAACACCCCAATATATTCTTAAGCCCCTCATGACTGCATCACTCATTGAGCAGTGACATATCCTCCGATTTAGCGTGGACTAGGTGGTCATCGAGAGGCTCACAAAGTTGCCCATGCTGACGCGGTACACTGCTTGCTGACCATACCACTTTGCGCTGGGTTCACCATGCCCCATCGCATGAATGATCCCTGCAAAATCACGGCTTCCCTCAGCGTTATTCACACCTGGGACTAGGCATGCCTCAGGCACTCCAATACCCCAGTGAGACCTCAGACTGCTGTTGTAAACTCTTGCAATATCATCGAAAAATCCTTTCTTGAGGGCAGATGCGCACACAAAGGCGAGCTCTTCGGACATCCACGTACTAGGCAATTATCACGTGACTCAAAGGTGTCAGGTTTCTTGGCATGCTCTCACATGGCAGCTTGTCGATTATGGGTTTAGCGAAGTCGCGCAGTATCCATGCCAGAACCATCGCCAAGGTGAAAAGGATGCAGTAGGCAAGGCGTGCAGACTTCCTCATAGCTGCCCTTGACGCCATGCTGCAAGCGTTGCATGCGCATGTCGCTGCGCAGGAAGCAAGAGCACTTCCTACCCATCCAAACATAAACATCGTGCCTGAGATTTTCACGGAAAAGGGGCTTTTCCCTGACTCGACAATAAGACACCTTGGTCAAGGTGACCTCCCTCACGTGTTTTGTCTCATATAGTGACCATTCAAGTTTTCGCCTCCCACGCACCAAAATTCATCGAGATCGGGCCAGGATGAATGCGGTCATGCGACAATTTGGGATTCTTGGTACTGTGACCCTCTTCGCTTTCGACCCGTAACGAAGACCGTAATCACTTGAAAATCCGTAAACTCATGAGTGATTTCTTGGAAATGTTACAGCGCGGTCTGAGACCTGCCACGAAACGTCTGAAGGCTCTGTAGCTGTTCTGATATATCAGTGCAACAGCTGATCCCAGAGCACCTGTGCAGAGCTGCCCGTGAGTTGTTTGACCGAATTGTCAAACTTTTGCATTTTGATGGGTCACTACAGAAGATTGTGATCCAATGCGATCTTCCTGGTCTGATTAGAAACGCAAATATGACCATACAATTTGTTTTGCTGGTTAATAAACAAGGCCAGACACGGCTTGCAAAGTATACCGATCAGAGCTTGTCAGTGGAGGAAAGAAGAGCTTTGGAGGGCGAGATTGTCAGGAAGTGCTTGGCTAGATCTGAGAAGCAGGTAACATATACTTTGTTGGTTGCTTTGTGACCCAAATTGTGAGGCATTTACCGCATGTCCCCGAAACTCTTTCTCTACGCTGCCTCAGTACTTGGCTGTCACAATTTAGGAGTTCGCCATCTGAAATCGTGGTGTAAACCTGCTTTCATTGCATATCCTACAGCTGACATTGCTTATGTTCTGCCATGCAGTGTTCATTCACACAGCAAAGGAACTTCAAGGTTGTATACAGGAGATATGCCTCTCTCTTCTTCATCGTGGGGATTGACAATGAAGAGGTCTGGTGACATTGCCGGTGGCCAGCAAATAATATCGTCCAAGATGCACGTTATGAGCATTGCCAGGGTGAGGATGACAAGATTCTGACAGGGAGAGCTGGTGTTTGCAGAACGAGCTTGCGATTCTGGAGTTCATCCACTGTCTGGTGGAGACTCTCGACCGGTACTTCAGCAATGTCTGCGAACTGGATCTGATGTTCAACCTTGAGATGGTGTGCACCCACCTGTCCTGCAACTGTCTTCTGAAAGCTTGCTGCCATGCACATCCTTTCAAAATGTCTGGGTGAACTGCCGCAGGCGCACTTCATCGTGGATGAGATGCTCATGAATGGCTGCATAGTGGAGACCAACAAGCAGAATATTCTGGCTCCCATCCAGCTTCTAGAGAAGGCTGCCTGAAATTTAAAAAAGCAGGGCACTCAGTACTTTGCACAATGCACTAATGCGGCAAAGGGCAGCTTTATGCATATGGCATGATTGTGACAAGTGCACTGATTGCAATGTCTTCTGCTCGGCACCGCTTAAAGCACTAGTGCAATTGTGTCACTTTATTACAGGGCTATTGTGAAATCCTTATCTGAATCAAAAGGATGCTAACCCTCAGGGCTCGAACAATGCGTATATTTTATGGTGTGGCAATGGTCCTCGGTTAGGAGTCACATCTCCCATTGAGAAGTTCAGTCCAAGTACGGGTAAATGGTCATCAGGCCTATTGCAGGTAATGTTTCTGATACAGCGCTCTAGCTGGAACCATAAATACAAGGAAAGGCTCAACAGGAAGACTCGACATCACCACCGCACAGGTCTTGAAGTAATTACGACTCCACTCTTCTTGATCCACTCATGAGCTCATAATTGGTCTGTCACGTTGCGGCAACCATGAACTTCCATCATTCTCTCTTGAGCTCACATGCTCATCTACAGAGCTCTCGAAAACTGGACTGCATCCCCTCAAATCGGGGTGTGAAACAACTGGCAATCTGCAAACAGCGCGATTGATACAGCCCGTCTCTTGACTGCGAGTGGCTCTTGTCATGAAAGCAGAAGAACGAGAGCCCCTTGTCAGTACAGTAAATCAATTCAAATTTGAATTGTTCAGCGGCTTGCACAAGCAGACACTTCTGCATTTCAAGATGATTAGGGCCACCCTTGAAGTGTCTGGGTGCCGCATTCAGTAGAGCCCATGGCGGCTCATGCCCTCAAGGATACCCCTCGCAATCTCAGCAGACGTGAATACTATCCGGTCATTCTGAGGCTGCACCACCAGCCAGTCCACAAGCGTAGGCTGCGCATTCCCGACCACAATTGCTGGGTTTGCTCCTGCATGCACATCACCCTATCCTCAGCTCCAACGCAGCCGTTCCAGTACCGAAAATCCCACATCTTGCTCTGTGCATTTACCACTTGCGAGGGCGTCTTTGGCATCCAGTGACCATAGCAGTAGCGCAGTAGCAGTGACCAAGCTGATGTGTCTGAGACCCCAACCCATGGACGACAGAGTTGACGGCGCAAGTGCGTGGCAGGATGCTCTTGACAGAGGCAACACATTGCGAGCACTTCTGTAAGACGTTGGGGAAGGCTGCAGTGTAGCGCGTGGCGGCTCTTTTCTCGCGGGCGCACCTTCGAGCATGAGGATGTCGTTTCCGGAGTCGCCGGCGGCCACGCAGCGGTCGCGAGGGACGCTGAAGAGCGTGCGCACCCGCTCCAGCGCCTCCAGCTTGCCTCCTCGGATGCTCACGCAGTCCATGTACCGCCAGTCGCCTGTCCCGCTCACAATGATGCGCACCTGCACAGCACCATTCTCATCTGTCAGCTCACGCATCGCCAATATGCCTTGCATGCCTCCCTTCTGCGCTTTCCGACCAGGCAGCCATGCACCAATGCCAAGCATAAGATAGGTGAATGCCAAATTTCTTGCACCCGCAGGTTGCCTGCTGTGCATCCAGGTGAAGGCCAGTCTGGTATGGTGAGGAAGTAGTGAGATTAGGATTAATGTCAAGGTGCATGCCTGCACATCCCGCTGGAGGAAGCCCTCCTTCAGCCGCTCACTGACTTCGTGCACCCTGTCCTGGCGCACAGACAGCGCAATGCGGTGCGGGTGCTCCGACCCGTCATCCAGCCACTGCGCACAGCTCGGCCCCACTGCCCCAATGGTCTCCTCTGCTACCTGCATGGGATTGCCATTTAAATGCTCACAAATTGTTTTTAATGCATGCAAGAGAATATCATTATTAGAGGCTTGACTGGAAGAGGCAGGATATGCCGAGGTGCAGAATGAAATAATACCTGCTTTACGCGGCCCAGATCCCAACCCTCGTCCAGGATGCGCGCCCATTGCGTGTCTTGCTTCCACATCTGCCCATCTGCTCGGCTTCGGTCTTGGAGCTTCACATCCAATAGGAAGATCTGCGCACCACAACACAGCACAGCCTTTTGACACCGACATCATCAAGCATCGCACAGGGCTTCTGTTGGGCTGCATGGAGTGGAGAAGGATGGTAAGTTTTACTGCAACTTGTAAACCCATGCCTGTTGGTGCTTGGCTCATGTGGCCAGCGAAAGTTACCTTTGTGCCGACTGCGGTGATGAGGACGTCAGGCAGTGCGAGGGCGCCGGCTTTGGACTGCCAGAGGCCCAGGAACTGGCCGAGGCTTCGGCCCGTGTTGTACACAAGCACGCCCCCCGACAGGGCCGCGTTGTCCTCCCAGTACGCGCAGAACTCCAGCGTGGCCGCATCAGCCTCTGCCCCGTCCCCCACCATTGTTCCATCCAGGTCGCTCACCTGGCGACACAGCGCGCACCTCAGCTCTGAGCACTCATTGTTACCAAGGAGAGCCACAGGAAATGTCCAATTCCATGCAGCTCTTCTCCAAGGGCGCGCCATACATCATACGTAGTAGCTGCCTCTAATCAGTCATTGCATGCTGGTGGGAAGATGTGGCACTTTTCATCACACAGAATCAGTCTCAAGCGGCAGAACTCCAGACACGTGTAGGAGAGATGGAGGACCTTACACAGAACAATACAGGATAGCACTTTCAAAAGACAGAAGTTAAGTGGGGCTCCAGATGCGCATGGGGCGTGCCAGCATGGTGGGTGCTGCGCGCGCGCGGGGGAAGGGGCGCAGGCGGCCATGCTGCAGCTTGAAGCCGCCGGGGCAGGAGCAGCGGTAGGTGTCGCCGGCCGCCGGCGAGTCCACCTCATCACCTGACCCGTTGCTGACGTAGAACTCCAGCTGGGGCGTTCCCTCCGCGAGGTCCCCCCTGGCAGGGATCACCGCCGTCTTCCACCAGCCTCCGCTCGGACGCGCCCGGCTTGCAGTGTTCTGCATCGGCACCTCCCTCCACCCCTGGCAAAATAGAGCGGCCTTCATGTAGTGCAGGTGACAGTGCTTGTGGTTGTACTCGTGGCCTTCCACAAGCAACTTTGCGGGCAAGGTGAGAGCCATGTTGGTCCGTCGTTGTCGAGTGTTTAGCTCTGACAGGCATGTATTTGGTGGACAGCTATCCACTCGACACTCTCTTGATGTGATGGGGGAAGGAGTTACCGGGGTCTGCGGCGAGCCATCGGCATTGAGGGCGCGCATGTGCAGGATGGGGATCTCCCAGCCGGTCGCATAGAATATGTGGAAAGCTGGCGGCAGCTCCACGGTCATCTGCAGGCGCCACAGAGTTATGTCAGAGCGCGAGCTCCTCAAGCAGAGAAATTTCAGCGTAACATGCTCTATTTGATATCATGGCTGGCCCCAGTCACCTTGTTGCAGAGGTGGCCATCGTCGTCTGGCCCAACAGGGGCATCGGGTGATGTCATCCATGTTCCATCCACTAGATACTGATAGCTGTACGTCCCAGGCTGCAAAAGGCATTCAGCTGTGGTCACGTGGACAAAATATTAGCCACAAGCTCCAATGATCCATCCATCATAGCAGTTGGGCAGTGTGGCAAAGGCAGCGGACTCTCACCGGCAGGCCGCACGACAGCTGGAAATCGCCAGATTCAGGGCTCAGCCGCAGCGGTATCAGCTCCTGCACACATGCATCATCCTTCATAAGAGCTTCAATGAGAGTAGAAGCAGGATTGGGGATTGACGCTGCATCGTACTGATCTAATGCAGCTTAATTGATTTGTGAGGCACACACCGCCCATGCAGTGAAATCCCCGGTCACGAATACTTCGGTCCCACCCCACGCCGCCTTCCACTTGAAGCTGGCAGATGGCGCGACCAGCCTTTGGTTATTGAACGATTCCTAGCACGGAGCAAGCAAGCTTCAGCGTTGGGCGATCACTTGCATTGCTTTGCACTGTAATCACTGATGAACAGCGACTGCCCCTTACTGCAGCCTTACCTTTCCATCTCCCGTGATAGGCTCAACTGGTGAAGTCGCCCACTGTCCATCCACCAGGAACTTGAACTGCAAGAAGATGCCAGATTCAGATGCAGGCATTTCAAGGGCTTCCATACTTTTCCGTGCATTTCATCAAACATTATGGGCTGGTCGAGTGCATGCGCACCTGATACGTGCCAGGCTGAAGCGCAAGTGTGCGAACAAAGTCTTTGGTCTCTGAGCTGCTCCTCAAGGCTATGGGCGTCTGCCAATCTGTGAATGATCCTGAAGGGGGTACAGACATGCTCAACCATGTGCGGAGGTGGGCTCATGAACCCTGGACAGTGGCCCAGGGGGAGAATACAGCCTGACAGCACATTCAACAGCGCCAGTCTTCATTTTTTACAGAGTGAGAATGTTTCTGGATTTAGCTGAGGTCTTGATGTATCAGTCTCACCGACCACGCTGACATCCTGTCCTCCCAAAGCTGCTGGCCATCTGAACGTGGTAACGACACGATCGTCATCGTCTTCCTCATTCAAGACTCCTGGTGGTGAGTACACAGATGTTTCTGTTTCTCTTTCGAGCGTAGGCACTGCTCTGAGCCCCTCCGAAGCTGAGTTCGCAAGTCCATCAATAGCCAATCTTCCCAATGTGCGTGTGCGTCTAGAGGATCTCAATTGCAGTTGACAGCCGATAAAAGAAGGCCTGATGGGATGTAGCCCTGTCGAAATCCGCTGCGCAGAAGCTTGAGCTGGTGAAGGACCAACTGGAAGGCATGCCACCTTCAAAGCCATTATTCCCTCGACACGAGAACCCTCATCTTTATTGTTGAGGTGTTGCAGAACAAACAGGATACTTTCTTACTTCAATCAACATTGTAATTTCAACCACCACCTCATTCAAAACCACTGTCGGTTCGCAAGTATCTTCGCCAGAAAGTATCACATGGCTTAGTAATCGCGCTTTTATCTTTTGCATGGGTATATCCATTGGGCATGCCGAAGACAAACCTGAGGAAAATTTCTGCTTCTTGCTGTGACATCACCTTGACTCCCACGCTTGGAGAAAAGGGGTACCAGAATTTCCGATGGCTAGGGAAAGATCAAGAGAGCGATCGCGGGACAATAAGCACAAGAGCTCCAAGCGGCGATCGAGGAGCAGAAGCCGTTCCAGAGACCGCAAAAGTCGGAAGCACAGCAGCCGGGACCGCAGCAGGGACCGAAGGTCTGGAAAAGGGGAAATCCATGGAGTCTATCAAAGTTTAACACCCGCCAGGTCCTCCCAATTATTCACTTTCAGTTAGCAAATAATTCAGAGACGTGCTTATGGCTGTGACTGTGTGAATGCAGCCCTGGCCGCCGGAGGGACAGGAAGAGCAGCTTCAGTGATGCAGAGCAGGTGCAGCAGGTGCGGGGCTAGGGCGTTCCGCACGGTTACCACACACTTGCATCATAGATTCATGTCGTGCCTTGCATCTTGAATTGTTCTGAAGCTCAGTGTAGAGGAGAATCCTGACTGTGCTTTCCAGTACCAGGCGCAAATGGCGATCCAGCAGCAGCAGCTCCAGCAACAGATGATGTCACAGCAGCTTCTCCTCCAGCAGCAGGTGATTTTCTGGTAGTGATCGGAGCTTCTGCTGCTGCTAGTGCAATTTTTGGGATCCAAATCTGATGGATGGGAGCAACCCCAGTGATAGGTTTCTGGGGTGGACAGGCACTGATGGGTGGTGCCGCCAGCGGCAAGAAGCAGCGCGAGGTGTATGTGGGCAACCTGACCATTGGAGCAGTCACGGATGTGATGCTGCGGGAGCTGTTCAATGGTGCCCTGGCACACCTCATGCCAGACCCACAGCTCAACCCTCCTGTCATCAACGTGGGCATGGACCCCTCAGGTGGCCACACAATCACATTGGAATATCGGTGATATATCTTCAAAAGGAGGAATGTGAGCCTGACTCCGTGACATGTATGGTGCGTGATGGAGGAATACAATGTGCTGATGCCAACAGCTCAATTTAATCTGTGTCATCGGGGATTTGTGCAGGGCGCTTTGGCTTTGTGGAGATGCGCACGGAGGAGCTGGCGACGAGCGGCATGGCACTGGACAAGGTGGAGCTGTGCGGTCGCAACATCAACGTCGGGCGGCCCAAGGGCTATGTTGAGCCCCCACAGGTCAGAGCTCTGTGCATCTCTTGAATCCGTCATCACCCAGTGCACTGCGAGCGCCGACTGCCATGGGTGTGCAGTCCCACAACCTCTCATCTCATAGCATGCAAGCATGTTCAGCCCCCTTTGGATGAGTTGGGTCCGGTGTGTTTCCAGGGGCACGCGCCACCGGCGCAGCTTGCGTCTGCGCAGATGTTTGCGGCCAGGCTGGGCACCGGGCCCACGCGCGTGGTGCTGCTGAAGAACATGCTCAAGGCGCTGCAGCTGCTCGACGAGGCCGAACGCACAGATGCAAGCGTCTGTCTTCCCTGCATGCGAGCTCTGCGTATATTGAATGCGTCAATCTAAGTGGCACACCTGAAATGCACGCATGCATGCCTCTGCCAACGCTTGGTTCTGCATGATTCATCATGCTTCTTGCACAGCCCAGGCTGGCAAGTTGCATCTCCCACCCAGCCTGGCTGGGCGAAGGCAAGGAAGGTGGGTTTGCAGCATGGATAATTGGGCCGTGCAAGTGTTGCAAGAGGGCTTAAGTGTGGCCTCGACTGCGCAGCTGATGGAGGACGTTAAGGAGGAGTGCGGCAAGTACGGCACGGTGGAAGGCATCGCGGTGCCACGGCCGCCGCCGACGGTGGCCGCAGACGAGCCGAGCCGGGTGTATGTCAAGTTTGGCACGCCGGATGAGAGCAGCCGCGTCAAGGAGGCCTTCAACGGCCGCCAATTTGACGGCAACTCAATCACGGCCGCCTTTGCCAGCGAGGACGACTTTAACCAGGCGGCTGCCGGCAAGTGGACCGGGGCCGCTCCGCAGGCGCCGGCCGCCGGCTTCATGGGATCCCCGATTGGTGCGCGCACAACCGGCTTCCGTTCCCAAGGGCATGCCTAGAGACAGAAGGATAACTTGCATGCCCCTGTTCACCTGCGTGCACGTCATCCCCACCGTCGACAGACATGCCCTTGGCTTGCACTACACCTGTACGCACACGCGAGCGGCACAGCCGGCCCTGGCCAGAAGCGTCCGTTGCTACAGAGCTTTCACCGGGATTGCATTACCTCCTCGTTCTCAAGGCAGAAACCGTTCAAATGTGCACGACTGGGGCGTGCAGGAGGCCCAGCCCCGCTGCCGGCAGGCATCAGCGGCATTGCAGCGCTGAACCCGGCGACCGGGGGCATGGTGAACCCCAACATGGCGCCCGTGCTGGACCCGGCCACGGTGCCCTTCCAGGAGGGCTGGATCAAGCTGCGCGGCATCCCTTTCACCATCACCAAGCCGGACATCTGCTCCTTCTTCTCGGTGCGCGAACCCCTGCCCTCCCACACCCCAGAGTCCTATGCCTGACGTCATTTGGGTGTGCGCTGTGTTTCTGTGTCCAGCACTCTCGAGCTTTTAGCTGTGTTTGAGCCAAGAATTCTCCGCACCTCCGTTGTATGTCATTGGGGCACTCGTGCGGTGTCAGCTCATCATGCTGTGGGCACTCCAAGCACAACGGGAGCAGTGCACTCCTATATTAGGATTTAGATATAGGAGGAGGGCAGGCAACTCGGAGAGGTGGCAGATTTCAGATACTCCTTCGATACTACATCCTAACATATTTTCAATGCATGCAAAAATCTTGCTGTTCAATGAACAGACGCCATGCCCCATGCTGGTGCAGACGTGCGGGCAGATGAGCGAGGACAAGGTGAAGCTGGTGGTGGGCCCGGACGGGCGGCCGACCGGGGAGGCCTACGTGGAGATCAGCGGCGCGGGCGCCAAGCTGCGCCTGGCGCTGGCCAAGGACCGCCAGATCATGCCGGGCTCCTCGCGCTACATCGAGATCTTCACCTCCACTCGCGATGAAGTTGACCGCCGCGCCCTCACCGGCGTCATGCTCGTGTAATCAACCCCAGGTACATGCGCATGCGCGTCCGATTACTCCCCTTTGTCCGATCCTGGGCCGCGAAGGTGCATGGGGGTATCAAGTACTGCTGGCCCTGTGATCTAGTACCTACTGGGTGCATGCTATCTGTGCCATGTGTGCAGCTGCTCAGAAGTCCTGCTGCGGGCTCTTGGATGAGGCAGCTCAAGGAGTTTGATTGCATCTTCATTTGAGCTTTTTAGTCCCATGATCCACCTTCAGGTTATGTGTTCAGCACAGCCTGGCCTGCTTTGAGGAAATTTCCACCAGAGCTGATCGTGCCTTCTGCTTGTGCAGTGTATACGACTCAATGCTGACGTGATTGAACGCTTGTGTGCCCGTGTGGTGTGGTGTGCCTGGTGTGTGGGTGTGTGTGTTGGGTATGTTCAGAATGAGGTCACCTTCAAGGTGTGCAAAGCCAAGCCTTCTCACCAAACGGCTCGCTGGCTGCAAGATGATATTCTTTTGCATATGTCGGCCTGCAAGTCACCCCTTTACCAGCAATCCAAGTGCATCTTGCAAAATAGAGTCGTATCACATCTGATCATGCCTCTTCAACCTTCAGGGGGCGTGTGGCATGTGCGGGGGGAGTGAACAGGATTGCATGGTGTGGCATGAGACAGGGAGAAAGACATACAAGCCATACAGTGGACATGAGCTGCTAGGAGACCATATATCATGCTGGGTAAGTAGCTAATTTTCTGCCCGTGTAAGCTTCTGCTTTGGGCCACCAATGGGCTTTTGCTTGAACATGTGATCATCTTTCTGGCATCTGGGGCTTTGTCATGATATGTGAATTTTGCAGTACTTGTCCCGAATCTTCAAGTGCCATGCTGTGCGCCAGACAGATTCACTTTCAAAGTGTGATGCTGTGAGGAAATGACAGTTTGCCGTTATGATGTCATGTCTCACTGTGTCTGATTTGCAGACCGAAGTGACTACCACCTTTTTGAATGATCGCGATAAATCACAATGAGCCATCTGTAAGCCACAGTGTGTCTAGACAAGCTCGCAATATCAATATCGCGAGGGCAACCATGCATGGTAAGTTGCAAATGTGCAGTCTGACGAGACACCTCGAATCTTTGCGTCAACCATTCAAAGAGAGACTCTGCAATAGTAGGTTCCCTCTGAAATTTACAAGGTGATAGGACATAGCTACTGCACACGCTTGCAAATAATCGCCCATCGGCCATTGATTGAAATGCTTGGTACAATTGCAAGCAGACAAAAATTCACCAATAACATATTTCTTTTGGCAGACATACACCTCCACAGCTTGAGACACACATTACCTGGGCAGGGTCCCTGCTTGCTAAGCACTTCATCCATGAGAACGCACACACAGCAGCATTTGCAAGCAGTTGACTTGATCCGCACCATCAGGACAACAGGAAGAAGTCCAAAGCAAAGCACTTCTGAATGCACCACACGGAGGCTAGCGTGCCATCTACAATGAACATGCTGGCTTCGACACCCAGGCCTTCTGCTGAAACCTGATGGATTAAAAAGAGCAGTTCATCTACTACAGCCATACGCAATCCCAGGTGCTGCAAAGACAAGCAAGCTGGAAGGGACAGTCAGTATCTGTGCTCTCAGGGCAAATTACCTGGCAGCAATTTTGTTCCTGCCTGTGCCATGCGTCAACTGTACATTGCTTGATGTAGAACAGCAACCCCATGCGTGTTCCTTACTACCCCACAATGGAACTTTAACAAATGGCCGCAGATGTCCATCAGGCTGCAAGCCTGAATCCTAGGTTGCTTGTGAGGCGATGAACAGCTGCTTAGAGGCAGGCACCCTAGGTGGACACGAATTGTTGCCCAAGAAAAAGCTCGATCATGAAATCAAGTCAGAGCTGGAAAAGATCCCGAGCAGCATAAAGCAGGGATTATGCACAGCCATCTGCGCATCTAGCAGCAGTGACTAACCCTGCTCGGACAACATGTCCTGTGAACCACCGAATATTACCCCAAGATATTTGCTTATAGACTGTCTCTTCCTGGGCACGGCAGCCTTCAATCGGACACACAGATACACCACCAAGTCATTACCACAATCACCTCATTTTACCCACACCAAATAGAGCATGATGGACGCTAGATCACTGCTGGACACTGCTGATCAGGCAGGGATCCCCCCAACAATGGAGAGCCACCCGCTCTTCTCTCCACACATGCTCAACTGCATGGCAGACCCTGTTTAGCCAGGCAGTCTACGGCTGCAGTACTCTGGGGCGACACATCCAAGGAGCACCAAGGATGGAGGCTACCACGAACCCCGTCAAAAAAGACGTGCGCTCCCGCTTTTATTTCTTCGCACAGAAGTGTGCTTGTAGACCAGACGAAGAAACGTTCAGGTGCCGAGTCCCTATGCCGGCATTGGTGAGCAAAAGACATCAACAGATCTAGGCACACCACAGAATAATGCTGGTGTCCTCTACTACCTCACCCTCGCTCAAAAGTGAATCTGCATCTTATGGCTCCGCCTCCTGGAGCCTCTGATGCTTGAAATTCCTGAGCGCCTGATCCAAGGCTGCAATACTGAGCGCCTGTTACACTGTCAATAAATTGAGAGTCTTGAGCCCAATGGAATGTTCCGCCACGTGTTATCCTGAGGAGGCAGCCCTCACGGCACAATGCTGGCATGTGTGCTGTTCTTTCCTGGCTTTAAACCATCTGCGGTGAGCTGGAGGCGCTTAGGGCAAGCGGGGGCAAGATGCTGGCACGGGGGAAAATTGGCTGACAAAGCTGTTTCATCCAAGTGAAACAGGGCTGTCAGAGCTTGGCTTGCTTCAGTATTATTCAGGTGTCCCACAGGTGGCCGAAGACGTCGCCGCCGGTGCGCGAGGGCGGCCCAGCCGGGGCAGACGGGCACTGTCGGGCGTCGGCAGCGCTGGTGCGCATGTTGTACAGGTTGAGCATGCTTTGCGATGGTCCCAGGCTCCCTCCTGCACCACACACTCCCACGTCTTTTTAATCGCACATTACTCATGCATGTGGCACGCCCCTAAACCCAGCATGCACCTTCCTTGGGCCCAGCAACGCCAGGAGGCATTCTTCAGTGGGGCCCAAAATTGCAAGTTAATTTCAAACCTGGCCTGTGTTGGGCCAGGAATATTCTATCTCAAGAGGGTCCTGGAGAGGCTGACGGGGACCGACAGGAGGGTGGGATGGCTGCGCACCGGCCGAGGCGGCGCGGAGCAGGGCGGCGGCGTCGTGGGAGATGAGGAGGTCATTGGCGCTGGAGTGGCTGCTGTCCTCGCTGGTGGAGTAGATAAGCTCGCGCAGGGCGGCCGCCGTCCCCTCCGATGCGCGCGGCGTCGTCATCGGGGTCAGCCGCGGCGATGCGCGGCCCGATCCCGTCGTCGCGCCGCTGAGCGCGCCGCTGAGCTGGCTGATCAAGCCCTATGAACACCAGACAATAAATGCTTAACGCGCAGGGCTGAGCTTGATTGAACATGTCAACTTTGCTTGCTTGCTCTCAGTGTCAGGCACCACCGCGGCACCGAGCTGTCTGCGCAAGAGGGAAACATCAAAGGGGGAGGGCATGTGCTCATGCGGGCACGCATGCATGTCCTGCAAAATAGAAGTAGTCCGCGGGGAATCATGCGAGCGCACCTGCATGTCCTGTGTGCCGTTGGGGGTGTAGATGGTGCTAGCAAGGCTGCTGTTGCCGCTGAGGAAGGGGTCCTGCAAGAAGAAGGCGCTGTGGGGCAGGCTGCTGGCGCCGTGCACCAGCTGCCCGCTGGCTGCCAGGCGCACGCTGGCCGCCAGGTCAGCGCTCGTGGGCACGTAGGCGGCCGAGGGCACCGGCATGCCCGCCGCTGCATTGGCGGCCGCCTGGATCCTGGCCTTGCTGATGGCTGCCGCCCTGGACATGGGCAACGGCGCTGACATGGGCGCACCCGGGGCCGGCTTGCGTGTGGGCTGCAGCAGTGGCTGCGGACGGTTGGGGAGAAACACGCCCGTGCCTCCAGAGATGGCGGCCGCTGCACAGCAGAGCAGACACTTCCGCTGGCAACAGAGTTTTAATGGTGGAGCTGATGGCAAGGCACAACCCCCATCGCAGACATCGGTTGAAAGGAGAAACATGGGGAGGGCAGCACCTGCGATCTGCTGCTCAGCCGCCGTTTCAGGGGCCGGGGAGGGACCTGGCGCCTGGGCAGGTTGGCCCTGCGGCCTTGGCCCATTGGGGCGATTGGCGAAGGCTTGACCGTTCCTGTAGGCGTGCTGCCTGACCCCTCCACGGCGGCCTCTCCTGCAGAAGTCAAAAGCAACGTCTTTTGTACAAGCTGCTCTTGCATTGGGGATAGTTATACCCAAGCCAGCCTGATCAAGGCACATGGCGCACAAGTCAATGAATTGGGAGATGGTGGGCCATGTGGGTCAGGCGGTGCACCTTCTTTGCTGCGGCTGCTGCTGCGGCTGCGGCCTCAGCGCTGCCAACTGCTGGGGCAGATAAAGTTGCGCTGCCTGGCCCTCTGCCTGCAGTGGACCCAAGGGGGCGTTCCACAGGGGCAGAGAGGCAAGAAGCGCCTGGCGATCGTCCTGGACCTGGTGGGTGCGAAGGTTGTGAAGCGCCGCTTCATACAGCACTTCAGCCTCCAGGTACTGCTGCTGCGCCGGCGTGAGACCCTGTCAACCCCAACGGGCAACGCTCAGGTTTCCGCATTGGCGTCAAAGGAGACACGGACGCATACATGTCGAGACCAGTCCAACACCAGGTAAGAGATCCGTATTGCCATTCAATTGGCATTGCGAATCAGGCACCATGAATGCTGATCTCATGGTGGGGCTTTGATCCAGTCCACTGTAGACACAGCGCATCTGGACAAAACACTGATAGACAAACCACTGATCAAGGTCTTTTCGGTTACAAAGCAAGGGTGGAGGCCATTTGGTTCAGCCAAGGTGTGCGAGAAGAACGGGCAAGCACGCACCCCTCCGTTGCAGTCGCTCTGCAGCGCAGTGTTTACAAAACCATTATTGAAACGCGATGGAAAGTCGTGCGGGTTGACGAGCCCGCTCTGTAGAGGGACACTGGAGGCCTGGTGGAGGGCAGGATGGACGCCAAGGGCAGCGAGCGCCTGGTCGTGCGGATTCGCCACGGTCCTGAGAGCCGTCTCAGCCATGGCGGCCTGCATGTAGGCGTCGTGCAGGGAGGATGGCATTTTAGCCCCCGCTGGAGCAGCCTGGAATTTTTTTTTGGCCGCAACCCGCACGGCGTGGGCGACTTGGCGAACCAAAAACCAACCGTAATACGATACCACAATCCTTCCTTCTATTCTAACCACCTAGAATGCCAAACGATACTGCCTTAAAAATACGACAGTCTCCTCCGTACGGGGTTGGACACTTCAGCAGCAGTCGCCACAGGGCCTATCAGGCACGGGAACCGCTCTGTGACAACCAGGACAGGTACGACCGAGACTGGGTGTGGCGCACTCGCCGATCTGAGCGACTGCGAGCGCAGATGCCGATCGGGTTCTGAGCCCTGCGCATCATCTAGGGAGTCCGTGGACTGTTTGTAATGGCCGTGTATAATACAGGGGTACTGGGATGGGGCTCAGCAAGAAAGAAGAAAACCTGCAAGGACCAGTTCTGTTGATGGAGGTGCCACTAGCTTTTTGGTAATTTGCTTACTTTGACATCTGAAGAGCTTGCTACTTTGAATTGAATTGATGCGCATGCACATACCTATGACCCAGAGAACGCATTAACCGTCTATGGCAAATCTTGATGCAATTTTTAAAATTTAGTAAAGAGAGGAAACTGCTTGACATTCAGCAAAATCACGATCACCATATTGTGATCAAGAGAGTGATCGTCCACTCCATTGTCTGTGCCACAACGGCTAGTTTCGTGACGATAGAACTTCCTGCGCGTCCTGCAATTGAACTTGTCTGTGCCACAAGTCTGATGGCGTGTCTGCGTGTCTGCGCCACGCCATCAGACGATGCATCAGTTGCCCGCGGTCGCGATGCTGTACAGCTGCGTCTGCAGGCTGCCCGCGGGGGCGCCCTGCGCGGAGTAGGCCTGGCATTCCAGCGAGATGTCCAGGCAGCGGTGCTTGTCGCTCCGCCCGAAGCTCAGCCGGCCGCGCAGGCTCGCCGCACCGCCCTCTGCTGCTGCGGCTTGGGTCTGCAGGAGCACAGGCTCGCGCAGGGTGAGGATGGTCTGCGCCCAGTGCGTCTGCTGGGTGAGCGGTGAGGTGGACAGCAGCCCCGGCTGCTCCTTGCAGAACCTCGCGCTGAACTCCGTGTCAAACCACAGCACCAGCGCGTGGCACTCTGCGGCCGCCCCCGTCGCCTGCGCATTTGCACACATGTACATGTCAACATCGAGCTGCTCTGCGCACACAGACAAAGGCACCTGCTCCAAGACAGTCAACAGCCAAGGACAACTTCAACACTGCGAATGGAGATGCTGAAGGGGTCATCAGGCCTCAGTGACAAGCCTAATCTGGGCCGCTCACCGACGGCGCTGCCTCGAGCACAAACTCTGTGCTGAACTCGGTGTCGGCGGCGCTCATGGTGGCAATGTCAAACGAGCGCAGGCAGCAGGGGGCCGTCAGCAGGTGCCGCGCGTCCACAGGCGCCACAATGGCGTCCTTAAGAGAGGCCTCAAGCAGCAGGTTCTGCACAGGGCGGTAGCTGAAGCCGTAGACATCGTTCCAGAATTCCAGATCCAGCGCGCCTGCGCCGGCACCTGCCATGTGGATGGACGCCAGGTCTGGCAGCACGGCTCCCCCGGGCTTCAACCACCTGCATTGCCGCCCAGCCATTAGTGCAGAACCTTACACTCTCTAAGCCTGATGCCTAAAACTGCACAATTCAGCTGTGCAGCCACTTGAAACTGAAAAGGCAGCTAAATGTTGGTCCGCTGCCTCAGGGAGCAGCCCACCTGTCGCGAGCGTAAATGACAGAGTCCAACATGGACTCGAAGAAGAGCGCGTAGCCCATCCACTCTGACACAATGACGTCCACCTGCAACAAGTTCATGAACGTCTTACAAGCGAAAAGTGTGCACGTGCTGGAAAGTCATTGCACTGCTGTCAACTCAGCCATATGCATGCCAAAATCTAGGTGGCTTGTGTGCGTCTCGCCTGCGGCAGGGAGTCCACGTCTTCCATGCGCGCAGACACAATTGTGATGGGGCCCCCGCTGGCGCTGTCCAACTTGTTCTCAGCCACAATGCTGCGCGCTTGCTCGGCCATGCGCTTGCTGCCCTCCACAGCTGCAGCACATCCACCACACCCTCCCATAAGCTCTCCTGACAAATTACATCACTATGCTTTGAACAAGACGAGCGTTCAGAAGTGTCACAAGTGCAGCACCGTGAGTAAAGTGCCTGTTACCTGTGATCTGGGCAGCCCCGCCGCGCGCAGCAAACATGGAGAGGATGCCTGTGCCGCAGCCCACGTCCAGCACTGCAGCACCCTTCATGAGCATTGGATTGCCCTCGAGTGCCCGCTGATACGCGTCCGTCCGGACCTGTCATTGCAATCAAACGTTCGTACAATACAGTTGAAGAGGCCACACAGCAGGCCCCAATCTGCCCTTCTGCTTCCAGCAGTGAGAGAGTTGTCATAAAATGCCATGCATTTGTCATGTGCTGAAATGCTTGTCATGCGTTGTCCTGCACATGTGATGCAGGTTTTATGCGGAATTTGGGCAGCAAGCGCGCCTTGTCGGAGATCATGGTGCGGTGGATGTCAAAGTGGCCGTAGGAGTCAAAGTAGCTCTCATCGGCACGCTCCACGCGCGCGTCCCGCATCGAGCGCGGCCGGCCGCCCCTCGTACGCATGCTGATGTGAGTGCCTGTGGTGCTTGCACCGCCATTTGTCTTCGCGGCCCCTCTGTCACCCAAGTCCATGTCCCCCAGAGCCTCCAGGCCTGCGCCCCCCTGCAGCAGCCTGGCCCAGCCTCAGACAGTCTTGCTCATGCCCACCCAAACGCTGTTGCATGCTGCGGCGGCTCACAGCAGTCAAGAGTGAGGGGACGGTGAGAGGACATGCCTGCAGCTCATCGGCCACCTCGGGGGCCATGTCTGCCAGGCACGCCTGCTGAAGAGCAGTGCGCAGGGCTGCATTCTCCTGCTTGAGCTGTTCAAGCTCCACATTTGTGTCGGTTGTACCTTTTGAAGGCGCCGCCGGCTCTGGCATTCTCTGCCTGCAATTTGAGAAACGGGTATTCTTCTCACACAATGCACAACTCAACCAGATGCCCCAGGCATTGTCACAGCAGCGCGTTGAATGGGTGCATATGAATCCAATTTTGCGAAAGCAAAGCATGTCGAATTTCTCACTGCGAAGGATCCTCTGAGGTGTTGAATTCATGGCACAACAGGCTGTCGTTCTGGAGTACTGGAAAGAGGTATTTGTCATCGTCCCAAGGCTTCTCAGGAGTGCTCAATGCCGCTGCAAGGTCGCTGCGTGGATCGTGTTTCTGCTCAACAGCTGCTCTTATGAAGTTGACACATTTGATGACGCCGTAATCATCCAGTCTTGCCTGCAGAGGAGCATTTGCTCAGGTAGTACTAGACACGTAAAAGGAGACACATGCAAAATCGCGGGGTGTTGCACAGCCATTCCAATCTGTAAATCGTCACGGCAAAGCCTTGCCTTCTTCACATATCGATGAAAGTCGAAGCCAAAGTGCGTGGCATCGTGCTCCAGTGCAGCCGTCACGCTAGGCAGCAGATCGTCACTGAACAAGCACTTTGCGGCCTGCTCCTCCTCGATTTCATCGCCTGAATCTGTCTCCCAATCCCCCTCGCTGTCGGCACCCTCGTGCTGTGCCATCTCGTAGTCTTGTACAGACGCCATTGGTGAACGTATTTCACAACTTTCTCTTTGAGCACTTTCAAGCCTGGATTTCTTTCAAATTGACATGCATCACACCGTTACTGAGACTAGAAATGATTGGTTGGACAAAATCTTCAGTTCAGAGGAGTCGTCCGAGGAACTGTAAAGAATTTGCACGTGCGCACGCGCATGCGGGCATGTTGCTGACGTTCCAATATTGACAAGCGAATTGGGAGCTCAGGAGCAAATTGATCAGAATAATTCAGAGAAAAATCGTCTAAGAAATATTTTCTTTGACCATTTGTGCCTGAAGTCTAGAGAGCTCCTTTCTCGGCCTTTTACGCATCTTAGGAAAACAAGATGAACAAAGCAGATATAGCAGCACTGACCTCCTCTGTTCAAAGGTGTTGACAGCTTGATACATTATGTTGAGCGCTTTCCACTTTGCAAGGTGGTTGTGATGTGGCTGGTACTCTCCCTCAGCATCACGGATTGTGCTCATCTCGATGCTCGTGAACGAGGTTCTGGAGTTTCAATCGCTGGGACATGAGCTCCCAAACAATCATCAGGACAATTCATCAATTCATAGTTGAGAAACTGAGCAGACGTCATGTGAAGCATATGCAAAGCTGAGGAACGATGAGTGACTATGGGCAACCTTTGGCCCGTTCATCACGAAAGGCTCCTCCCCTGGGAAGCAACCGGCCTGACAGGGACAATGGCAGCGCATCCACCTCAGGCCAGCCACTTGAGCAGGACATTCCAAGGGGACAGCCCCTTTCGAGGGACAGCAAGAGGGGCACACCTCTGGCGAGAGACAGCCAGGCAGGGGCGCCAATGAGGAGTACTGTGCGAGGCAGGGACGCCTCCGAAGCTGCATCGCCTATGATGAGAGGCCAGGCACTTGCGAGGGAATCTTCGGGCGGGCAGCCTCTGGCGCAGGACTTTCCACGCCGCGGGCAGGCACTCACAAGGGAGCCCCCAGCAGGGCAGTCTCTTGGGCAGGAGAGTACTCGCAGGGGCCAGCCGCTGGGAAGGGACACCTCTGGGGGACAGGCACTCTCAATGGAAGGCCCACGCAGGAGCCAGGTGCTGCAGCGTAATAGCCAGGATGGGCCGCTCTCGGGGCAGTCGCTTGGGCAGGATCTGAAACGGGGGCAGCCCCTTGCCAGGGATTTGTCAGGGCGGCAGCAGCTGGGTCAGCAGCGTGGGCAGCAGCTGACGCCCAGCGCAGGCCAAGCACTACAGCGCAAGGCGCAGCAGAGGCAGACGCTCGCCAACGGCCGCGGCGAGCAGCTCAGCGAGCTGTCCTTCGCCTCGCCTAGCCAGGGCCAAGCTCTTTCCAGGGAGGTCACTCGCCAGCAGGCACGCTTCTGCCCTCCGTCCTCCTTCCCATCCATTCCCTTGCTCAAGAATCTGGCTTAGTAATGTACCAAGAAGGTGCCGCTGGCTCCCCCAAGCCTGGACTATGCTGAATGCTCCACTGTGACTCTGTGCCTGGTTACCCCTGGGAAGTAATATACTGGACCCTGGAGCACAATGACGAGCTTGACTTATTACACATCAAGGGACACGAAAAAGATGTGATGCTGCTGCGCTGGCAGGAGCCGACCTCGGAGCAGATGAGCAAGCAGGCGATGGCGATGGGGGGGCAGCTGATGATGCGAGCCGCGGCAGCGCAGCAGACGAAGATGGGCGGGCGCCCGGGAGCCGACCGCGCGCTGCTGCCGACGGCGGCCGTCACACTGGACACCTTCCTGCACGACTTCAGCGTGGGCAAGCTCATCAACAAGCTGGCTGACCTGGAGCAGCACAACCTGCGCGCCCAGATCGCCGCTGTGTCGCGGCCGCAGGCGCAGCCGTCCGCCTCGCAGGCCGCCGCCAAGCCGCCGACCCCCGCCGCGCTCGTGGCCGAGCTGCAGGTTGTCGACAAGCTCCTCGTCAACTTCCAGCGGTGCGCCCCAGCTCCGCTCCGCCTCATTCGAGGAATTCCACTTTCTCTTATGCGCAACAGGAATGTTGCGGAGGCGTTGCGGCGTTGTGTTGGTCAGTGCAGTATCAGCCAATTTTTGCAGGCTTTCACCGTCTGGTAGGGCACTTGGCAGTTTGCTTCACCTGCATTTTCTGCCTTCATGCAGCCCAGCTGAGCAAATTGCTGGTGGCGCAATGAAATGAAGCTGCTGTCTGGGATTGTGCAGGGCGGAGAAGGAGATGGGTGATCTGGAGAAGATGGTGGACCAGAAAGTGCAGGCGCTGCACGAGAAGTTACGCGGCAAAGAAGAGGAGTTCCAGGTGTGCCACTGACTCGTCCTATGAGCTGGCACTCTGCACATATTGGGCTGAAGCCATCTGCACATGCCAAGATCGCTGAAGACCACAGTGTTTGGGGTGGAGTTGTCTGTGCTTGTCGGTTGTGATAGGGCAATGAGTGACAAGGATGTATGGCTGCAGGAACAACTGGAGGCGATGGAGGTGGGGCTGGAGAAGGCGCAGAGCACGTTCTCACAGCTGGACGCGCAGATGAGCCAGAGCAGCCAGACGGCCGCCAAGATTGGCGACCGATTGCATGTGCGTGTCTCAACCTCCCGTGCTTTGTACTCTAATTCATTCTAAGGCTCCAGCTTGACCACTAGAACTGGCAACCATTTATCACAAGTTGACCGCATCAGGGAAGCAAAGACATGCCTGGTTTGGTAGAAGGTCACTGTGACAGACAAGAATTGCAAACGCACGTCCACCCCGTCCCTAGTTTTTTTGTAGAAAACATAGATGATCTGAAGATTGGAGGATATGGGGCATTTGATGGGCGCTGACGCATGCTGTGGGTTGTGTGTCAGAATGCGGAGGGGTTCAGGAAGCGGGCGCTGGAGGGCGTCAAGGTGGTGACCTACCTGCAGGAGTTTGCCAACGTGGCCCAGCTGTCCGAGCTGTCCGAGCTGTTCCAGGACGACAACCGCCTGGCAGAGGCTGCGGTGCGCGCTCTGGGACGGTCCACACACCTTAATGCATATCTGTCATGTGGGAGGAGCATGTTCAGGATAATGGCATTGCCGACACCTGCCCGGTGTTGGAAGGCAGGTCCTCCAAACGATGAACATGAAAGCCGGGGACCACTGAACGTCTAATCTTCTGATGACCATGGGGTATGTTGGGCATGCAGGCTGTGACGCGGCACATCCTGACGATTGGGCAGGAGCTCACTTTTGCAAAGGAGAGGGTGGCCCTCCTGGACGAGGCCCCCCGCAGCAGCGGGCCGGGCACGCCTCAACCGGTGCGCCGCTTGGGGTTCTCTCACAGTTGCAATGCTGAGCTGGAGCATGCAGTGTCCAGCTCTGTCCCCTCTACTGGCCCCCTGATCAGCGCATGACCTCCAAGTAGATGTTGGGAACCAGCCTTCTCGTGCGGTGCCCGGAATCTCTACTATGGCTGATGTCTTTATTTTAAAGGAATATCCCAGAACTGTTCCAGGATTGCACAACTACAAATGACTGGCAGGGGCTTGACAGACACGGCACGTTTGTCAGAATCTTGCAACAATACAGGGCCTCTACCTGCAAAATCAACAGTGTGTCTGGCGCGTGCAGGGGAGCATAGAGCAGGCGGTGGCGCAGGTGGAGGCGTTCCGGGGCCTGCTGGAGCACCGCGTCATTGCGCGCTTCGACGCGGCCGTGGCGGCTGGCGACCTGGGCGGCATGGCCGAGTGCGCGCGCATCATGGCCGAGTTCCGCCAGGGCGAATCCCAGCTCGTGCAGGTGTTCACCGTTAATATCCTCCTTCACACGACTCTGCAGGCGTCTTTCAGCCGCTCTGACGGCTTTTTTGAGGGATTTCACCCACACCAGTGCCTGTGGTGGTGCATGGCCAGAGCACCCTGACGTGCCTGTGCCTGCCAAGCTGTCTGCGGCTAAAAATGAATCAAGGTCTGCGGCTTCATGCTTATGATAGAGTTCTGCGCCTTCATATTGAGCGTTTTATTGGCAATGCAAACATGAGTGGCCCCGCCAGGATGTGACGGCCCCTGCTCTTGTGTGCGCAGCGGTACATATCGACGCGGCCGATGTTCATAGACGTGCGGGAGCTGTCGGCGGGCGCGGCTGGCGCGCAGGTGACGGACGCGACGACGGCCGGCATCGCCGTGCGCGACCTGGGGCAGCTCTACAAGGGCCTCTTGGCGGCCGTGAAGGAGGAGGCGCTGGTGATGGAGCAGGTCTTCCCCTCCCCGCGCACCGCCCTCATCATCTTCCTCCAGCGCGTTTTCGAGCAGCGCGTCCAGGTCTGTACCCTGCCTTTCCTTTCCTTTTTATGTGTTGAGGATTTAAATACAGACCTGGCAGTCGCATGCACAAGTGCTTTAATCCTTTTGCATGAAAGCTCTCGATATAAAGAAGCCATTGCATGCACAAGCGGTTGGATGCTTGGAGATGGACGCACTCAATCATAAAATTGCGGTTGCATGCACAAGTGCATGGATGCTTTTGCACAAAGCACTCGATATAAGAAAGTTGCTGTTGGATGCACACAAGTGCTTGGATGCTTTTACTGGGAAGCAATGAGATGTCCCCGGCTTCTGTGCACTCTTGGCAAAGACAGTCAGGACAATGTAAGTGAGCGGGCAGTCCCTGAAGTAAATTGTCACTGTTTTCACATTATGAGGGACAACAATTTTGTGGATGAGCAGGCGGCTGTGGACCGCATGCTGGTGGTGCATGCGCCCAACGCGTCGGCCGAGGCGCGGCAGCAGCACCTCAAGCTGCTGGTGGAGGTCTACAAGCGCACGCACGCCCTTGCAGAACAGCTCCAGGTGCTAGTCCCTGCCATCTTGTTTGTGCCCTGGCTGCCCTGGCTGCCCTGCATCACTCACGATGGCTCCAGTTATTCCTTTTCTCCTCTTCACATGAATGGCATTACAGCGCCCCATCACTTGGCCATATGGTGGCCCGGGAGACGTTTGCATTGTGTGTCACCGGTGTATCTCCGGGGTGGGTCAGGAGGTGGTGGGGGATGGCACGGACGTGATGGAGATGTCGGAGGGCGTCTTTGCGGAGGCGCTGGCCGACTACCCGGGCATGGAGCTGGCCTGGCTGCAGCTGCTCTACGACAAGGCTGCGCAGCAGGCCGAGGCAACGCCTACAACGCTCTCCATGCCCTCCGTCCTCCTCTCTGGCTTCCGCTCCAAGGTACTTGGCTGATGAGTGCATGCAAGCTCACCCAACAGCTGTCATTTCACCCATGCTGGCGTGCAATGAATTAGGGGTCCCCTACCTGCAAGCACAGCGGCCCTTTTATGATCTGGGCGTTGCTGCATTATCAGTGTGAATATTTATAAAGTGCAGTCCGGGATGGCAGGGAGTGAACCCCTCATGGGCTGCACTGATTAAAATGTTGCAAAAGTGGGACTTGACTGGAACCTGCATGTGGGTGCAGACGCAGAGCCAGGGGGTGTCGCCGGAGCTGGTGAAACAGTTCCTGGACTGGAATGCGGAGGCGGCCACGCGGTGCGAGGTGCTCAGCCCCGCGGGCGCCGCCCCTGCCAACGTGCGAGCGCTGTTCCACTCGTCCACCGTGCAGCGCGCCTGCTCCGGCTGCCTCCTCGAGCAGGTCACGCCTACCCCATCCCAAACATGTCAGGCTGTTTACTCTTTTCCTTCCCCTACTATGGCCATGTCTTCTCCACAAGGCATCACGTTCCTTCTGTCATGGTTGAGGCCCTTTTCGCTGCATCACATATGGATTCACTTGCGACAGTACTCCCCTTTTCCTGTTGGTTGAGTTCTCCCAATTGGTTGAAGTCTTATGAATTCAAGTCTGTGCTTCGAGCCTCTGGCTGCCTCACGCCTGAGATATGTCTGCGTGCTGCAGGTGGCGAGCCACCTGATATCGGGGCTGTCGCAGGCGGTGCAGGCGTGTGCGGCAGCCAACAGCGCGACCTACGGCATGCAGTCCATCACCGCCCCCTCCCGCATTGCCATCACCAAGGCCGCCTACGCGGTGCGCCCCCTTAGACCTTGCAGTTCACATCGCCGCGGCAACATGCAGCTGGCTCCTCACACTCTGTAATCGTGCATGCCTGCACTCTTGGTGGAAAGCGGGGCTGTCCCAACTGCCAGACACACGCCCGCTGGACCCCTGAAGACTCCTGGAAGCCGCATAGCTGCATGCATGGAGACGGCCTCAGTGGCGATGGTGGGGATTAAAGGCGGCTGGACAATGGATGAACAAAAGAGTTCAGATCTTTAAAGGGACAAGAAGTGCCCCCAGGACTGTCTTCAAGCATCCCTGCTTTTGATGTTATGCAATAGGGTGCCCTACTTGGAGGTCATCCAAATGCTCAGGGTTTAGAGGAAACTAGAGGTAACTAAAGATCCTCATCCTGCCTGGTTGCTTGTTTATGTCCTGTTCACTGGTATGAGCAGGTGGTGGAGGGGAGCGTGGGCCGCGTGCTGGAGGCGGTGGGGGCGGCGACGGGGATAATCCGGGCGCTGCAGCAGCACTACGCTCGCGAGATTGAGCCGCGAGTGGAGCCTGCGCCCGTGGAGGCGACCGCGTGCGCCACCGGCCTGGCCGCCCTCGTGCGCGCCGTTGAGCGCCAGGTCCTCAACGCCCTCCAGGCCGCCCTCACCTCCTTCTTCCAGCAGGCGTGCCCCGCCACCTTCCCTCCTGCCCACCTGCAGACTTGACATGTTCAATCCACATGGCTGTGCTGCTGGTGTGCCGGTTCATTAAAAGCCATCTGCCGCGCTGTGCCGCGCTGTGCAATTCTGCTACTGCTCCTGCCATGCTGAGCCATGCTGTGCATCAACTGCCACGGACCACAGTGAACCTTTGCCCGGGCACGCCAAAAAAGCCGCTCAACCAAGTTCTTTAAGGGGGTGCGAAAGTGCGGCGCGCTCGTCTGTGAGTGGTGGGAGTTTTGTCAGGATCATATGCATTGTGAAGGTAGTGGATTGCGGAGGGTTAGATTAGGCGCAGGGTGTGTGAGAGGGTATTGCCTGCGCAGGCGGATCGGACGCTGGTGGCGGAGCAGCGGCGCACGGACTTCCGGCCGCCGGAGGACGGGGACACGCCGCAGCTGGACCGTCCGACGGAGGCGTGCGCGCTCGTGGCAGCTCTGCTCTCCGCGCTCCTGCGCCTGGCCGCGCAATCCCTGCAGGCCTCCAACCTCGCCTCCTTCGACACCGAGGCGCGCCCCTTCGCCACCCTTGTGGCTGTCTTATTTGTCAGAATCTCCGAATGGTCTACAGCTTCTAATCTGTATGTGCGTGTATGCAAATTTTTGCAGTCTGCGGGAAGGGCATGCGGCCGCCTGCAGTCTGAATATCTTCAGGGCGGTCACGTGCAGTGGAGTAACCTGTTGCGCTGCATGCGGCTGTGGTTGCCTCGTGATCCGTGCAGCAATGGTGAGAGTGGGGATGGTGTGGGGCTGCAGGTGGGCAGGCGGGCGCACGCGTTGCTGGTGGGGCACATGCAGCGGTACGTGTACAGCGCGATGGGCGCCCTGCGGTGGAAGCGGGACGTGACCGAGTACGCCGACATCCTGCGCAACTCCCACTCCCCCACCACCAACGCCCAGGCGCGCCGCAAGCCCGGCCTTCACCAACATCACAGTCCCCGGTCCATTCTTAGAACAATTATTGCGCCCTCTCCGTTTCTCTTGGCTGCTAGTGCTTTTGCAACCTCTCTGGTACTGATCATCTTCTATACCACCTGTCGCTTGGACAGCTGTCGGTTTGAGGGATCAAGTAACTAGCGTCCCTCAAGGTCAAGCACAAGTGCTCAAGGTGGTGCTCTGTTATGCCTGACTCCTGAGGGGTAAACGCGTGGTTGCTGCGCAGATGGAGGACTTGGCGGCGCTGGTGAACATTCTGCTGGTGTCGCCGGACAGCCTGATCGGGCTGGTGCAGACGTCGCTGCACATGTCGCACAAGCAGGCGCTGCAGTACATCCGCCTGCGCGAAGACTTCGCCACCGCCAAGGTCGACGGCGTGCCTCTCGCCAAGATCTTCTCTCACGAGTGATCATGGCACCTCCTGGCAGCACAATCGCCATGATGCTGACACACATGGAGTTGACCTCATGACGTGACACTGTGGCAGTGCTAGCATTGAGGGTCACTGAGCAGTGGACAAAACTATCTCTTGTCAAAACTCAAACAATTTGTCCAAACAAGCTCCCTGCCAATGTCTGTTTGATCAGTCAATGTTTACTGGGCCACGGGCAGCTACAAGTAAGATTGTAGTCTTGCATAAATAGATAATTGTCTTGCAAGGCAGGTGTTCTTTGGTTGCCGTTCAGGAATTGTGACTCAGTTCAGAACTCTAAGGCAGAAGGTTGAGAGCAAGGTTGAGTTTAATTTGTACCATGTGCCTGGATAACGACAAAGAAGAGTTGAGATCAAGAGGGTTGCAAAGACAGTGTCTTTTGATTGATAGAATGCCAATTTGATTGATGTGAGTCGCTGCTGTAATCGCTCTCTACTTTTAAGGTATCGACAAACGGAGATATGTTTGCTGAAGCCCGGCGATCAAATGTTGTCCATTCCCTACAAACAAAAGGCTTTCTTCTCTTCTAGCTATAGATAGAGCAGCTCTTCAAACCATTTCCTAAATGTCCATTCATGTCTAAAGTTCCAGCTTCTTCTCTACGGGTTCATAGGATTGGGTTCTGAGGTTCAATTGACCAGGCAAATCATGTACACCCTGGTAAGGGGAGAAGGTCAGACAACAAAAAAATGACCCAGATCAAGCAAAGCAGGCCCACACCAGCAGTGTGACACTACGCAGGTCAGCACAGTGACCAGCAAATTAATGCCAGCAGGCAACTTTAAACCAGGAGAGAAAATGCAAATGTACAGCGGCGGCTGAGAGCGTGCAGCATCAGCCCTTGATGACGGCGATGGGTCGCAGGCGCACAGTCTTCTTGGAGATGCCGGCTTCGTGGCAGGTGTCCACAACAGCGCTGACATCCTTGTAGGACTCCGGCGCCTCCTCCATCACCAGCTTGGGCGACGCCACGCGGATCGAGATGCCCTTGGTCTTCAGATTGTCAAGCACCTGCGCGCAGACCCAATCCCCTTGCTCTCCACACTCTGAGCAGGGACTGCCCTGCTACCCACTGCTCAACGCTCCTGCAATGAATCCAACAGACTCCACATCGCAGCCAAAGGTACAGGATGCCTGAGCCAGTGGCATGGCATGCATGGGGGCCTAATGTGCATATATTAGTGAGCATGTGAGTATAAAAGTGTGCAGTCAGCCAAGAAGGTGCGCATGCCTGTGTGTAGTCCAGTGTGCGCCTGGAGCTGTTGCGGCTGGCCGCCCTTCCCGCGCCGTGGCACGTGCTGCCAAACGTCTCCGCCATGCCCCTCTCCGTGCCTGCGCCAACCCAGCCCACATCATCTCAGAGTGTCCCCACCATGACGCCCACTTCATGCATGCCTGTGAGACCATTTTCATACTCTGCAGGCTAGTAACAGTGCTGCAAAACACAAAACAATCACACAATCAGTTAAGCATCCTTTGGAGAAGAGGCGGAAACTATGGGCACAGGTATGAAGACGGGTGAAAGGCAGGGGGGCAATGCCTGTCAGGACGTAGGAGTGGGTGCCCATGGTGCCGCCGATCAGGACGGGCTGGCCAATCATCTGGTAGTCAACGGGGATGAGCGGGTGGTGCGGAGGGAACGCGCGCGTGCTGCCCTTGCGGTGCACCAGCAGCCTCTTGGGCACGCCGTTCACCAAGTGCTCCTCCACCTGCGAAAAAATCACGCTATCATCAAATCTTCAGATGTCCATCCCCCACAATATTTGTTAATGCCACGTTTGACTCCTTTGGTCTCCTGCACTGCCCATGGTTCAAAACGTTGAAGTTGCCTCTAGGTGGCCCTCTCGATATATATAAGAATGAAGCCTTGTCTCAGCAGCTCTTCAGGTATGTATCGACAGTGTGAGAGGGCATGGATCTATCAACCCTCATTGGGAAGCAAATGTGGGATAGCAGAAGAAGAGCGCACCTTGGCGATGTTGTGGGAGACGTCGTAGACGACGTGCATGTCCAGGTCGTCGGCCTGCTGCTTGAAGATCTTCTGGAAGGCCTGTCGCACCAGGAAGGTCATGGACGAGCGGTTCACCCAGGCAAAGTTGGCCGCGCACGCCATCCCCGCCAGATAGTCCTGCCCCTCCTGCATCACACACCCATAGCCATCAGCCGTCAGCACAAGCTGTAGCATTGTCCACTCTGCTGCACTACAGTAGCCATCAGCTCCCATCCTTTTGATTGACCTTCATGCCTCCTGATGAACACAATACTCCAGAGTGCTCTTTTCTGTCCGAGGGGCTTCGGCTTCCTCCGCTATGCATCATGCTGCTAGACAGCTGCTGGTCACATGCTATCGCTCACTGTTTGTGTATGTGTGTGGGTGGGTGGGTATGAGGGAGCTATCATCTACCTTGGAGTTGATGCGGGTGCAGGCGAGCTGGCGGTCGTTGACTATGATGCCGTCGCGTGACATGGCCTTGTCCATGGTCGTCAGCGCGTCCGTGGCCACCTGGTGGCCCAGTCCCCTGCTGCCGCTGTGCAGCATTATGCACACCTGTGCGCACATGCCGCCACATCAGCCCCTCCTCAAGCATCAGAGCGTGCAGCAGTGACAGCTCGCATAGAGGCAAGCAGCATGTGGCCAGCACAGGGACATGCATGCATTATATGTATGCATGGATGTTGCATTTGGGACTTCTGAAACCTGACACCATACACGCAAGAGTCGTGCGGCCTGGCAGGACGCGAGCATGCATGCATGCATGCGAGATTGCACATGACACATATGAAGCTGCAGGGAAGGAGAATGGCATGCGCAGCACCTGGCCCTCCTGGTCGATGCCCATCTTGCGCGCAGCCACCTCATCAAATACCTTGTCGATGACCTGGATCTCCGCATAGTGGTTCCCGCCGCCCAAGGTCCCCATCTGCGCAGCAGGCCCACCATGTCACGCTTCATGCATGCATGGTGTGTCTTGCTGCTAGCACAAGCACGATGCCCTGCTTATTGTCCAGCTTGCAAAATTAGCCAAAATGAGGTGACAGCTGAGATGCTGGAGCGGTGTGTTCACCTGCGGCAGGCCGCGTTTCTTGGCGCGCTGGCTGACTTTGGAGGGATCGGCGGACAGCATGCGCCCATGCTCCTCGCAGTGGTCCTTGTCCTCCGCCCAGGAATAGCCCTGCACGCCCATAGCCGCTCACACGCTGCACATAGCACGCCTCCTGTCCACTGCATGCCTTCACAACCCTGCCGAGCTCCAACATACACACTTGACTGGACTACAGAAATGCATGCTTCTGCTGAGAGTGTTATGGTGAGGACACTAGGAGCAGGGGAGTGGAGCACCTCGCGCACAGAGTAGTCCATGCCCATCTCGAGGATGGTGTCCAGGTCCTTGGTGTTGGTGGCGATGATGCCCTGGGAGCCCACACCCACTGGAATATGGTCAAACAGCGCCTGTGCCAGCTCCTCCTTCTTGTCTGCCACATCCGCCTCCGTCTGCCAGCCATGCACCGAGCTTTCAGACCTTTATCTTCCTGCTAGAGTGGTCTGCATGTGCCTGGTGGGCATGCACGGTGACTGATAAACTGAAGCATGCATGTGATCAAGGCGCACCAACTTGGTTCGTATGAGGCGCACGCCACAGTTGATGTCAAAGCCGACGCCCCCTGGTGACACCACTGCCTCCGGGTCGGACATGTCGAATGCTGCCACGTTGCCAATGGCAAATCCGTATCCCGAGTGCATGTCCGGCAGCGCAATGGACCTCTGCAGAGCAATAGGAAACTTCATGAGGCTGCTTCAAATGCACCAAAGTATGCACAAGACATGTCAGATTAGCACACCGTTGCTGCAAGGCTCATGCAGGTGCAAACGTACCTGGACGATTCCTGGCATTGCCGCCACGTTTGCCATCTGCTTGACAGCAGGGAGGAAGCCTCCTTGGCCTCCAGAGCTGGAATAGGCTTTGAGCTCGTCGAAAAGCAGTCCCTCCAAAGCACTGTTGACGTAGCAAATGCCTGGCACCCTCATATTGGGCACAAACCCCATGGCGATCTCATACTGCGTGGGGTTGATGCGCTTGATGAATGTCATTTCCTGCACATGACATGCCGGGTTGGAGTCAGGCGGAAGCTTTGGATCAACCTCAGTGAGGAAGGAATGGTGAGTCCAGGAATGACCCTGACACTGATGCCACAAGCCACGGCCAGATAAGCTGGCGATACCAGCTCTAGAGTGGAGCTTCGTCGGTATGCATGAATTAATAGCATCACACTTGATCCCTTCAATGATCGAGCTTCCAGCAGGCAGACCAAACACTAGTGGTGAAGCTTCAGCTCACCTCGTGAAATCTGCGCCGCTTGTCACCCATGCTCGGCAACCTCCTCTCCTATCCGATGAAACTGATAGGTAAGAAAAATAAACCTTGTTATCACGCTGAATTTTGTTAAGAAAGTGGCGACTTCTCGCCTGGGACAATGGAATGGCGAAGCTGCCGGCAACTGCCTTCCATAGACGCTGAGATCCGTAAAAGCTCTCTGTTCCACGGCGTTCCTTGCAAGAAAATCTGTTGCAGATAAAGCCTCTCGGTTTCAATTTGACCGGGCTCGCTTGCAACTGGATCCCTTTTTGAGCTCGGATCGCAACTCCTGACCTGACTGGGACCTGTTGTCTATTCGCGAAAAAGTTGCACAATGTCACTCGCGCAGTCGAGCAGAATCTGCCTAGCTTCCTCGGGCGTTCGCGCCAACTCAGCCCAGCTGAGGAGCAGCGTTTCCCGCATCAATGTGGCTTTCTCCGGCAGGTCTGCATTGCCGCAGAGGAGGAACGCAAAGCTGGGTGGGTGCTTCCTGTCCACACGGTGTGGCATTGCGCATCCATCTCGTCCGAGAGTCCTTCACTGTTAGGGGCATAGAGATAGTGCCTCATACAAATGTTGCAAACGCGTCAGAAATTCCCCATGTGTTCCCATTAATTAAGGGGGTTGACTCGAGCTTTATCAACTCGTCGTTGAGCTTGAAATCACTGGTTCGTGTATTCATCACTTTGATCCTTTGAGCATCGGACGAGACATTCATTATAATAAAGCTTTCATTCTGTGTACTTGGGTCTTTATATATATTCCGGTCGTCCCTATGCACAATGGAAAGACATTCAGACGCCCGTCCTTTCTTGTTGTAGGTAGCAGGCTGATCACTCGCGCTGAAACGAAAGACGTGGACTTTGACAGCCTGCTCTCTGGCTTGGCTGACAAGGTATGTATTTGTAGATTTGTCGAGCTCTCGCGCATACATTTACCGCATGAAGTGCAAGACGTCTGAGGAAGCTGTGTGTGACTGTCCCAGTTCGAGAAGAGTGACAAGAAGGCGGCAATCGTGGGCTGGACAGCTGCTGGCGTTGGAGCCTTCTTCATCACAGAGTGGCTGCTGCACCTGCCTCTCCTGGATGCGGTGTGTTGCTTTGTTTGAATGCTGGACAAGGCATGCACTGCAGTAGACGCAGCTGCAGGACAAGCTATGTCAGCCGGTGTGAATTGCTGCATGTGCTTATTTTGTGGAGATCTGACAAGCAGTGTGTGCGTTGCATAGCTGCTGGGCTTCCCAGTGCAGCTGATTGGCGTGGCTGCTCTGCCATACTTCTACGTGAAGTATGCTGTTGAGGGTGACAGCATCGTGGATGACTTGGGAGCTGCTGCGGTGCGTTCCAATAAGGATTCTATCTGTTTATTACACCCTGAAAAGTACCTCTAGATGACTGTAGCTGCTGCATACCATGCGCGTTGCATGCAGCTGGCAAATGAGGCAGGCACTGATCTTCGTTCGCATGCCTTTCCTTCATCCGATCATGAGTCATCAACAGCTTCTGATGGGCACTGCAGAAAAAGGTGACCAAGGAGCTACCTGGGCTGGAGTGAAAATTTCAGCGCTGTCATCTATATGAACGTTCAGACACAATATTGGAGTTAAAATACATTTTTGGAAAGGTGTGGTGAGCGAGACTTGCATGGATATGAGAGGAAATATCACAACAGTGTAGCATTGTGCTGGGAGAGAAAATGAGCAGAGAGCATCTGGAATACATATCAACCATTTTTTGACACATTAGAAGTAGTCAAGTCCTGCATGATTGCTTGCAATTGGCAAGGGTATGAGAAGAAATTTGTGGACATGTTACTGCCATGGTAATGTCACAGCCATGTTGGCTGGTAATCTGTAATAGCTAATGCGCTTTTTAATTCAAGATACAGTGCTTCAGCAAAAGAGTAGTGAGTCTGACGGCCGTACCATCAAAGCCTCTGCCTTACAGCTATGAACATGAGCTCATCAGCAGCTCACAATAAAATATAAAGGGACTCCTTGACAGCATCTTGTTCCCAGCACTTGGCTCACAAGAACGCTGTCAAGCATAAACTTCATCAAGATACAAAGACTAGGCACAAAAGACAAGCAACAGCTCGACAAAATACATTCTTCTCATCAGTCAAAGCGTATCTAGTCAAAGATGTCACATGTCATGATCCAAAGGGCCCCATACGATCAGACAAAGGAGGCAGAGTTAAGTCAGAATTCTTGCAGCCCTCTGATTGTGCAGAGAACACAGCTAATACATTCTGTTACAAGGGCAGCTGTGCGGCCACTTGCGAAGCCTTGCAGGGAAAGACCCATCATCCACGAGCACCCAATCTGCATCCACCTAATCTAGTGGTGCCCATTCTGCTGCATTCCCCGGATCTAGTGAAGCCCAACATGCAGCAAGCCCTGTCACTTCTTGCCCACGGCGTTGGCGGGGACGTAGGGGGTCCAGTGCAAGCGCGAGACATCAATGCCCATGACCTTCTTCTTGTCCAGGATGCGCAGGTGCTCCTCGATGACTCGCTGGGTGACGCTAATGATGTGATCGCCCTTCCAGTACTTGATCAGGTTGAGCACCTCCAGCGCGCGCACGATGTCATCCGTGCGGATGGCCGTCCTGTCGCTGATGTCCTTGATGCTGAGCTGGCCGCGGTGGGTGTACAGCAGCTCCAGCACGCTGCGCTGCCAGTACGACCGGTACGACACCTGCGCGGACATGCCGCCGCCCCGTCAGCTTGCTGGCGCTTTCAACCTCTGCAGGGCTTGTGCACACAGCAAGCAGAAGCAAGCTGCAAGGATGAGTCTGGCAACTGTGGGACTGAGCATATCTCATGGCCAACTCGTGGCCACATCCAAGCAGGCAGAAGGCATCAGTATAAAGGCAGCAACAGTCCCTTGGAAGAGCCTGGGAAACGAGTCTGGAGGGCTGTTGTCACGCTGGGGGGCACCTGGCCGAGGTCTGACAGGGGCCGCTCGGGGGTGCCCACTTTGCACTCCTTCTTGGAGAGCTCGTAGGAGAAGGCAATGAGGAAGCGGCCATAGCCCTTGCGCTGGTACGGCGGCAGCGTCAGGATGCAGGCCAGGTTGTACCCCTCCACGCTGCACTTCTCCTTCGAGAAGTAGCCAACGATGTGGTACCTGCCACACCAGAAATATTTGTTCAGCACAAGTCCCAGGAGGTTTTGGTAGAGAAGTGGACGGTCAAGGGCTTGAGGAACATCAGCGCTGAAGGCAGGAAACATGCTTGTGCTCACCCTTGCTGGTCGCGCTCGCAAAGGATGTAGAAGAGGAAGGGGTCCACGTCATAGTAGAGCGTCTTGTGGTCCAGGAAGAGCTTGGATAGCAAGCACAGGCTCTGGCAGTACACCTGCAGGCAACACGTGTCAGATTGAACTCCAGCTCCTCTCAGTATGAATCAATGCCCGGGCAGTGCCATTTCCCCCCGACCAGTGTCTCATTGGCATGCCTGATGTCTTGCATTCGCCCAGTACCAAGGCTGCTAGAATACATTTTCTCATGCGCAGCAGATACAGGTCATCCGGATGGCGCTATGTAATGTATCTTTTCCTGGCTGCCCACAGCTGTGATTGACACGCAGCACAGAGGCACTGCGCGCACCTTGTTGCGCTTGCCGTCGACCTCGAAGACGGCGATGGTGGGGCTGGTGGCTGCGCTGGAGGGCGGCTGGCCGCGCTCGCCCCCCGGCGGGGGGGACCGGTAGATCTCGTCGCCGGGCGGGTGGCGCAGGTCGCACTTGGCGCTGTGTCGCAGCAGCGTCTTCTTCTTGCCAAAGTACTTGAGGCAGTACTCGCACAGGTACAGCTTCTCCAGGCTGTTGTACGGCTCCGGGTAGGGCGAGTAGTACCACGTGTCCATCTGTAGCAAGCCAGGTGGGACATTTCAATGTGATGACAGCAAAGGGCGTGGCACTGATGTGCATAGTGCGTTTATGCCCCTCCTCCCCACCAGGTGCTCTCCTAGAGATGATACCAGAACGCCTATCTCTCAGAGAAGCAAAGCACGTTTATCCCAATGTTGACTTCAAAAGATCTTAGAAGGACATGAGCTCACCTCGTACTTGCCGACCTCCACTGCCTGGATGTTCTTCACCTTGGTCTTCTCCTGGTGCTCCTTCTCCAAGTGCTGATCGATGGGAGCCAGGTCGTTGATGTCCTGGCTGACATGGTTTTGCTCATCATACCGCCGCTTCAGCCTTCGAGTCAACTTCTGATCTGCTCCCAGCTCCCTGCAATAGATCCATTCTCTTCAATCTGTACAGTGCTTTGTGTGCTGTCAACAAGCACTTTGCCAGCCTTTTCCACAGGTATGGCTTGTCATGGACAGCGGATTCTCACGTGGTCAATGATGCCATAGATGAGAGCCGTGGAGTGAGGACATCCATTTGATCGACCAGTTTGTTGACGAGGGGAGCCAATCTGCTCTGCTGCACCCACTCATCAAGCCGCTTGTCACCTGGTTTTCAGCACAACAACAATTGAGCTGCTGGCATCTGATGCCTGAGGCAGTGCATAAGATTCAGCAGAAGCCCTGTAAAACAGTGGGAAGAAGTCCTACAGTCGATATAGTGTACATAATAGGACGTTGAGCCATCCTGCCCTGCCTTCTGCTCTATTACCTCTGCTGGACCTGCAGGACAAGCAGAGCACTTGTGACGCAACACAACCATGTACAACAACAAAAAACACCATTGCTGCATATCTTCCAGTGCAAGCTACGTGAAGACGCACGCTGTGTGTCATCAAAGGAGGCTTGGCACAAAACGGTGCTTCCAACAGCAAACTCCCCCTGCAGAAAGAAGGAACACTCCTCAGACTAGGGAACTTTGCAGAAAACACTCAGATGCCTGTGAATCACTTGTGTACTCCCACTGCTGAAGCCCGTGCACCGAGCGAGAAAGGGAAAAGAGTGAGCGAGAACAGCAGCGCGCAAAGGTCACAGTGCTCACCTTGCGCTGAACCCTCGTTCCATTTCTATCCAGACCACTTGATCCGCCGATGTCTCCTCGCGCCATCTATCGGAAGAAAGCAAAGAAAGAAGAGAGATGAAGGGTGGGACACTGCCCTCAACTTGGCTGATTACCAGCTCATCAGCCCGCAAGTCTCGCTGCCAGCGCACTCATCCGTGCACGCAACCGATCAGTCTCAGCACGATCATGATACTGTCTATCTTTAGTCGGTTACTTGTGACTCTGTTGGAAGAGCCCTCAGCGGAAACTTACAGCTCCTGCATGCAAGTGTACGTAAGCGCTTAGTCACTATAGAGGACTTGAAGCCAAGCTCGTCACTGTTGAGGTCTTTCAACGAATTTCGAATCAGCTGAAAGCGATTGCAATTCATCGTGGCATCATGCCCTCGTTCAACATGAAGCATGTAGTGTCTCTTTAGGAAATGTTCAAGCTGTGATGGACACTATACTTGGCTATGAGATTCCACTGCCAGCAGGGGATGTGTATATTTCGATACTCACAGTGATGTCTTTTCTACCTGCTGTATTCATTGTTCACAGGCTAACCGCATTCGTGATCAGCATGCTGCCAAAACGACGTAAAATGTGAAGATGAACTTGAGGTGATTCTAGGAGGAACCCAGCAAAGACAATGATTTCGCAATTTTTCATATTGTCACCAAGAGGTGACACGATCATCATGCGAGACTACCTGGGCAATGTGCCCAAAGTGGGTTCCTCCCCAAGCCTGATCATCATTGGACTCAGTGATTTGCATTTGCATTCCCCTAGCAACCTGATTGCAGCATGCCTGCTAGGCCATTTTGGTAACAGATGTCCCAAAGCTAACATTTGATATCACCACAGGCCAGTTCAGAAGTCTTCTTCAGGAAAGTCAACTTTTGGGACAAAGGAGGTCGTGATGCTCCACCTGTGTTCAATGTGGATGGTGTAAGCTATCTCTACGTCAAGGTAGCTCTCTTCCTTATGTTTACTTCGGTGTTGTTCTCGGGATCCATTTGTGTGCCACCCCTCCATTCCTTTTGGATGAGCAGATCCTTGAAACCACCTCTTGCCATGATGCAGGATGGAGGAGTTTTCCTGGTTGCTACCACAAGGGAAAATGTCTCCCCTTCCCTTGTGCTGGAGCTGTTGAAGCGCATCGGGGGAATCATCAAGGTGGGGCCATAGCCTCTCTCTCATGGATAATTTTGGCTGCAGCTCTGATCAGAACCTCAACTAGCTTTGACTGGTAGCATGCAACAAATGATTTCATCGCTGCAGGACTACTGTGGACTGCTTAGCGAGGAGGCTGTGCGCAAGAACTTTGTTCTTTTGTACGAGCTCCTTGATGAAGTCATTGACTATGGCTACCCCCAGAACTCGTCCTCAGAAGCCCTGAAGGAGTTTGTCCTGAACGAGCCCACCATGCTGAAGCCTTCGGTGCGCCTTCCCTTTGCACAATATTATTGCCACATACTATTCAACCGTCCAAGCAACACATCATCAACGATGAACTGGCCAGGTACCCTACCCTAGAAATCTTGCCATAGAGGATTGGCGTCGGATTACCTGATCATCGGTGATGACTGTTTGAATGGTGGGGGTTTTGCAGAAGAGCAAAGGCGATGGCATATTCCCGGGGGTGGGCAAGGGGCCCACGGGGGTCATCAAGTCCATTCTGGACACCAGCAGGACGGAGGGAAAGGCAAGGGAAGAAATCTTTGTGGACATCGTGGAGAAAATCTCATGCACGTTCAGCTCAAGCGGCAATGTGCAGACATCCCAGATTGATGGAGCTATTCAGGTGAGCAGTCTGCCGACTGCATTGCTTTTCACTCTCTCAAGAGTCGTAATTGCCTGTCATCACATTGCTTGACGCCGACAGCATGACTGCATGGTAGTATCGCCAATGCACAAACTTTCACCCACCTGTCTGGAAGAATGTAAAAGATAGCCAAGTCAGCCCGCGTGCCCAGATGAGGCTGCGAGCAATGCAGGCAGGCAATGCAGTGTGCCACGCTGGCGTGCAATTGTCATGCGGCATCGCGTGCAGGTGAAGAGCTATCTGACGGGCAACCCGGCAATAGCGATCGCGCTGAACGACAACCTGGTGATCGGGCGGAGGGAGACGTCGGGGGCGGTGGAGTACGGGGGCTACGGGCGCGGCAGCGACACCGTGATGCTGGACGACTGCAACTTCCACCAGAGCGTGTCGCTGGACCGGTTCGAGACGGAGCGCACTCTGCAGCTGGTGCCGCCGGACGGCGAGTTTGCGGTCATGAACTACCGCTCTACCTACCCCTTCAAGCCACCCTTTCGCGTCAGCACCACCGTCGACGAGGACCCCAACTCCGCCCTCAAGGTGCGCTTTCTTTTCCTGTCCTTCCTGGTTCCCTTACACTTGAGATAAGGTGTCCTGTTTATGACATTGCGGCTATCATAGACAGGGAATCATGCTTGAATTTCTAGCTTTTTAGTCATCATACAGCACCTTGTGCGGCGGGCATGATCCGAGGGGGACCCTTTCATGCAATTACCGTGCACCCCTGTCCATGGTCTCTGAAAGAGGTGCCTGCTGACAGCTGAAATATGCTGATGCGGTGGGGCTGCGGCAGGCGATAATCAACATCCGGATATCGCCGGATTTCAGCGGGGACAAGGCGGCGAGCGGGCTGGAGGTGGTGGTTCCAATGCCGCGCGAAGTTGCGCGCGTGCACTGCGAGCTTGGCCGCGACGCCAAGACCGGCGCGGGCGGCCAGTCCTGGGACTGGCAGGAGCGCGCCCGCCGCCTCGTCTGGAAGTTTAAGCGCGTCATGGGCGGCGTCGAGCACACCCTGCGAGTACGCATCTTGGCCTCGCCTGAGTTCTTCTCCCGGCATCACTTGTGCGCTGCACTTTGCTGCTGCAAAGCCATAACGCCCAGGGACCTGGCCATTTTTATTGTATCATTGAAAGATATCTTGCAGCCATGGCGATTATGTGTATGGGTATGGCATGCATTACTGGAAACAGCAATGTCAACATTCTATTCATGCTGATTACTGAAGGAGATGCGCATGGGGCCTCCGTAGGATGCGCTCTTGTCAGACAGGGCATGCTTGCGGTGTTTTAGAAGCATGCGATATGTGCAGGTGAGGGCAACGCTGTCAGATGGCTGGGGAGCAGGGATCAAGAAGAGCATTGGCCCCATCAACCTGCAATTCACCATCCCCATGTACTGCGCATCACGCCTGCAAGTGCGCTACCTGCAGATCCTGAAAGACCAGAAGAACCACCAACCCTACCGCTGGGTCAGATATGTGACGCTGTCCAACTCATATGTGGTCCGCACCTGAGCAGCGTTCTCACAGTTGCGGACGAGAGCCAAGTACTGAGTGGAAGACTTTGCTTCCAACTTCTAGCGAAAGAGCGCAGAGGGCAACTGCACCCCTCTGCTTTCCATTCCGTGGATGGCTTCCTTCGTCATGGAGACATTCACAATAGCAAATAGAAGGACTGCTCTTGTCAAATACGGGGTGTGTCATGTGAGCACTGCGGTCAATACAATCATGAGATTCTCAAGGCACAAATATCAAGGGGACGAACGTGTAACATCAAATCTGTGCCAATGGCAAATTACTCAATAAACAGCGGCATACACAGACGGTGGCAAGCGAATTTTTCATACTTTGCACGCATAAGAGAGCAGTGGTTCTCACTAATACAAGCAGGGCAGGGCACAGACATGCATGGACTGGCTTAGCCAACACAGGCAGTGACCCCACAGCCCACACACATTCTGACTGCAGCTCGTTTGCTGCTTTTCACCAAACACGTTCAAGCATTGTTCTTCTCGACAGCAACCACACCCTCACCCCTTGATATGCTCACCCATAGTGTCCTAAAGCAAGGACACATATAAATTCCGTGCAAATTCCATCTTCAAATCCCAAGTGAAAGGGGTGAACAAAAGGAATCCCGCCTTTGCCGTGAAGACGTCAAAACTAGACCAGGGAAACGATCATCTTGCTATCGATCTTGAAGGCCTTGCTGTCGTCTATGAACTTCTTCAGCTTGGGCACGCTGGGCGGGCGCTTGACTGCACTGCCCAGCTGCGCAATGCTCATGGGCCCCTTCGCCAGTGCAGCCTTCAGGCCGGCCTCGAAGTCTGCCGCACCATCGCCGCCCTTACCTGGTGTCATCCATGCCGGCACCATCAACGGCATGTGCTGACTAAGCAAAATATGCCATTAGGGACACCCTCATTGCTTGTGACTCGTTCATCGAGCAAGGGTGTTGGATGTGTGCATATCCCGGATTGCAAAGGACTTTGGTAGATGCAGCACGAGTACAAAGGTCATGCCAAAGTTCTCACCTTTGCCCTGCACCTTGGCGGGCGCGCTCTTGGGCGCCTTGAGCTCCACCTTGGCCTTCTTCTGGGGCTGGGGTGTCTTGGGCGCAGCAGCCGCCTGCCGCTTGCCATTCTGCGCCCGTCACATAAACAAATTGTCAGCTTGCGGTGCAGACCTGACGCACTGTGGCTGCCTCGTACCTTGTGTAGATTCACACTCTGACACTTGTAATGAAAGTGCAAGCAGATCGGAACGCCGTCTTGGAACCTCAATGCAGATCTGGGACATGTTTCCAACAGGTGTAAGGACAGGCCAAACAGATCGGCACCTTGGGGGTGACAGCCTCCTCTTCCTCGTCATCTTCATCCTCCTCCTCCTCATCTGCGAATCATCAAACCCACCAAGTTTGAAAATCTCCATCATGTAAACCACCCAGCATCGGTATTGCATTTACAGCAATGCCAAGGAGGTTCAATTTAACCACGCCTGTGTGGCGGCAGTGCTGAGGGCCAGGGCCTCTGGAACAATAGCTGAAGCTGTTGTCAAAGCACCGGTATTGAGAAGGGCACTCACAAGCGGAATGCTCGGACGGAATGCTTGGATCTCATCACCAGCACAAGGGGCATTGGTTGACATTCTGCATGCCACTGTCTACACAAGGTTCCTGTCAGCGCTGAGCTCACCCTCCTCGTCATCGTCCTCATCAGCTGCAGCTGCCAGCCGCCCATTGATGGCCTCCACCTCATCATCCTCGTCATCATCTTCCTCGTCATCATCCTCCTCGTCATCATCGTCCTCGTCAGCCTCATCATCCACAACCGCCGCTGCCTTCAGCGGGATGGAGGACCGCGCCGCTGTGAGGTCATCGTCATCCTGCACAGCAATGCATGCATGCATGCAGTCAGATGATTGCAACATCCTACAAGAGCGGTGAAACAGGAGCCCTGTGCCGCGCTGTGACGGCTGGTGAAGATTCTGAAGGAGCGCAGAGGAGGAAAGACCCCTGAGAGGGCAGGGGCACTGGCAGTTAAGGGGGACTTGTGTGTTTCAATGCTCAGTGCAGGAGGTCGGCGATGAGAGAGAATGCTCACATCCTCCTCATCGTCGTCCTCATCATCATCATCCATGTCTGAGAACTCCTGCCCCCTCAGGATGTCTTCCTCTTCGCTCTCTTCCTCATCAAACTCATCGTCATCATCGTCATCATCCTCTGACACTGGAGCAAAGAAGTCTGCTGCTCTGGGACCCTGGCAATGGCACCAGGGACTTCGAACCTTCGGTCATACGCTCGTTGCAATATTCACCTTTTAAATCATCGAAGTGTCACAGAATGGTGTCAAGCAGCTCTCAACCCAAATTAGCCTAATATTTGATCTAGATCCTAGAAGAACAGGAAACCGGTCCACACGCACATACAACTTAGCCAAAAAAGACGCCTGCACCAGCAAACAAAATCAGGTAATTCACTGATTTCGTAAAGGGCATACCTTCACCTTCCTTCGCCTCAGGGGTACACCCTCTGGTGCCTCATCATCATCGTCCTCGTCGTCGTCCATCTCGTCCTCACCCATGATCATGCCCTCATCATCGTCGGACAGGAAGACGGACTGCGTCTTGTAGCCCGTGATGAAGACGTCTGAGCTGCCAGTGTGGGAGAAGGTGAGTTCTTCAGCCGCCCCAGCCATGAAGTCGATCGAGAACTGCTCACACTTCCCCTTTTCGAGCGTCCCGATTGCATACTTCCCACTGCTCGTAGTAACGAACACAGTGTGCCGGCCAGGTGCAGGGGCCTCCCCAAAGGCCACCTGTGTTGTGTGGAAGGTCTGCAGAACATCATCATCTTCCTGCTGAGAGACACTGACCTCCTCCTTTGCCCCAATCTTCCAGCCCACAAATTCCACGTTGGCCTCCATGATGGATCAACTAATGTGTTCTTTCCAGAGCGAACTTTCTTGGGAGCATAAATGTTGGCATCTCGGAAATCAAGCGCCCTCCAGCTCCAGCTTGGGAGCCAAATCAGGCGTCTCGGAGCTGGAATGTCTACCCAGCCAGCTGCCAATAGCTCGGCCCCTTCCCAGAAGGGCTCTGGCAACATATCAAGATCCAGAAGACATTGAATATTTGAGATCTTGCAGAGAGGAAGTGCGTGTCCTACTGGTTGCCTGTGTACGCTTGAACGAATATTGATCTCTGGGGTGGTAGGCAAGGATACTGACTCATCAAGTCTTGAAATGGGAAAGAGAAGGCATGGAGGTGGTGACGGTGACGGTTCCAACAAGAAAAAACACGGCTACTTCACCACAGTGCGATCCTCATTCTTTGGTGGCAGGCAACGAGTTGCTGAGTATGGCAACTGTATGGAAAATCAGAAGCTCCAGCATGATTTGATCTCCTGGGTTTGACCTACTTAGATTGTACCTGAACAATATCCAGCCACCGAATTTGTACCTTCAATACTCACTGAAATCTTGTGTGCCCCTGTAGAACGCAAAGGCTTCGCTGCCAACTGGTTCCCGCGGTTTCCTCATATCTTGTTTGGGAGGAAAGGAGCCACAGGCTGCCAGAGAGGCCTCCAACGTCCTCACAGAGGTAGAGCCGTGTTCCAATACACATCCCAGGTCCCAGAGCGCAGATGCGCACAGCAGATATGCTCAAATGTGTAGGCTGTGACTGCGCAGTTCTATGACAAGCTCAGACCAGGCAAAGGCGAGACGAGTGAAGCAGCAGGCGGCGATGCAACAGACATTGCTGCTGCGATAGCAGATGAGGTGGCCGAGCTCAAGGACCAGGGCAACCGCCTCTTTGTGTACCATAAAACCAACGTCAATGGCCTTGCGTACCTCAGCATGAAGGCTGATGCTGGTAATGCCCGTGAAGTTCTGGTCTTCAAGGCTAACAAGCATGCAGTTGTTCGTGACATTGCCGTGATTGTGAATAAATGCTGCAGACATCTGCTACATGGAACCTTGATCAAGGTGTCGATGTCTTTGCCTTGCAGAGGGACCTGGCCCTGTGGAGCTTGCATCAGCTCTTGCACAGGAGGTCAAGCAGACAAGACAGTGCCGTACAAGGTACTGCTGTCACACCATCCCTGTCATACACCTTCAAGCAAATATGGCAGGGTGTCAGACAACAGCCAGCTTATGTAGATTGTGATCATCATGCACTGCATGACATGAGTGTGGTCCTTGTGCAGGCTGTGCATCAGGTTCCTGCCAGTGGAGAAGGTGTGCCGCGCGGATGTGGCAGAGATTGGGAGGACAGCCAAGGAGCTGACGGCTGTGCACTTCCCAGCTGGGGAGGGGGCCACCCCTGTGCGCTTTGCCGTGGCCTATGAGCACCGCGCCAGCAAGGATCTGGACCGCATGGCTGTCATCAACTCCGTTGTAGACCAGATTCCCCAGGTGATCATTTTCATGATGTTATCTGACACTCCCTCAGCACTCATGGGCGCTCTGTGTGCAGCAGACACTTCTCTCCTGGCTGTTTTCTTGCGCTCGTTGCTGAACAGCACTGTGCCGGGTGGGTGGTGGTGCTCTGTCACAAGGCTGACAAGGGTGTATTGTGTGTGCAGCCGCCGCACAAGGTGGACTTGACGAATGCGGACAAGACCATCTTGGTGCAGCTGCTGAAGAGCAACGCAGCGCTCAGCGTGGTGTCCAACTACAAGCAGCTCTCCAAGTTCAACGTGCGCGAACTCAGCACCTCGGATGAGGAGCAGCAGCAGGCCGTCAAAGCTGCAGCCGCCGCCAAGAAGGAGGCTGCAGACAAAGCAGCAGCGGCCCCTGCTCCTGCTGCTGCAGGTGAGCCAGCAGCAGAGGCACAGGAAGCCGGTGAGAAGGCAGAGGAAGCTGCACATGCGCAGCCTGCCAATGGGGAAGGGGAGGAAGCTGCCAAGGAGCAAGATGGCAGCGTGCAAGGCTTTGTGGGCGCTGGCATAGCCATGGTTGCTGATGACGAAGACTCTGACGCTGCCGCCCCCTGACGCTCAGCGAAGCTAGGAATTCACTGCCACATAATAACTTGGACGTCAGAAGTCATGACGCAAGGTCACACTCATGAGCAGTGTGGCTCTGTATCTTATGACAACCGGCTGTTGGGGACTTGAACTTGTATCCAGTCCCACAAGATAATTTGTGCGCTGTTTTAAGAGTGGATGTTTACATGTGAACCCTCCCTGGTTTTATCGGAACTTCATTGAACGCTCTCTTGCGAAGTGCTTCAAATCTATGGGTTGCACTAGGCTTGTTTGATTACTGCTTGTTCCCAATGAGCGCTATAAGCGATGGACTGACATGACAGAATTAGAACCACTTCCTAGCTGCAAGCTGTAATGAATAAGAGGCAAGCTTCTTTGAAATCTGTCTGCACAGGAGCGAACACAAGGAGCTAATGTCTACTAGTACTAAAGCACAGCCGAAGCAGCAAACCCTCTAAACAACCCAAATCCACCAAAAAGGCTGCGCTGAGCTCTCCTAAGCCACGGTCCCTGTGCTTCCCTGTATCCACATGGGTGGGCTGCAGTGCTGTAATGCCTTTGCAGGGCCGAGGGGAAGTCTCCCTCTGTGTAGGTCTGCTTCAGCGCCTCTGCAGCCGGGGTGTCTCTGCTGCCTGTTCATGCAGGAATGGGGTAATTAGGTGACAATCAAAAGCAACAGAGATGCGTGGCCATCCTGAAGGCCAAAACTTTGTCTTGACAACCATTGCAGGAGCATACAGGTGCTGCCGGTTGGAATATAATACTTCCCGCCAGGTCCATTTCCGGCACCAGAGGCGCAGGGAGCATGGCTCACCTATCAAAGGAAGGGGCACTCTCCGCTGTTTCAGTATCTCTGGGCGAGGCACGACTGAATTTGAAGCAAGCTTCCCCTTGGTCACCCTCACCTGCAACAGACCAGCAGCCTGAAAAGTTGAGAGGCATTGCTGAGTCTTATTGTGAGGCGGCAACATGGTCACGTCACCTGTTTGAGGTAATCACAGGAATGTGAATATTGCTGCAAATTGTGGCGCAAGGGATTGCACCTTAGTGCCATCTTCCAGATATCTCCATGTCGTTCTCACTGGCCCACCGGTGACCGGATCTGCTATCATGACGTTGGAATAGTGGATGGGCGACTGCGATGCATAATAGACATTCATTACAAGGACACCTTGTCTGAGTTCAGTCTGCGTGAGCACATTCATAGCTTCGAAATTGGCGGCCCTGAGGACTGACAGGCCCTGCGCATGAGTTCTCACCTCTACACTGACCAAACCACCTGGATTGTCCGCTGTTCGCTTGATCGCCCTTTTGTTCTGCAGGCAGTAGCTGGGGGTGAGTAAACTTGGGGCCCTTGCAAAGGTGCACAGAGCGCGAGCAGGACAGTGAAATAGCAGTCAACACAGGTGTTTTGGGGTGAAATGCTGCGGACCAGGTTACGGCCTTCCACGATCACCCTGGGGATCTTCTCATCTCTTATGACTTTGCTGACGATCCCAGTCTGCCCTTTATCCTTTCCAGCTGTTATGACCACCTTGTCTCCACGAAGGATCTTGTACTTTCCGCTAGGAAACATACTCTTGATCGCTCTTTTCTTGATGCTCATCCTTTCAAGCTTTGTGCAACCAAAATGTGCACCACTTCTTTCCTCTTCTGTGCCGCCCTTCTTTGAAGGTCTCTGACTTCTGCAGTATTACTAGCAATAATGGGAGGATCCAGGCATGAGCTGGGGCGATCTCATGACTTCCTGGAAGTAGTACAAACTGCTTCCTTTGTGAGCTCTAGCAGAATTACACAGCGATCCCTGAGTGGCCTTCAGGGAGCTTGGCGCCTCTTGAATTACAAGAATGAGACACAGAGATTTGTGATATATCCTTGCTTATAGTTGGGCTAAGCTCAAGAATCGAAGAAATGCTGCTATGAGAAGGAAAGGAGCTCCTCGAGGGCTTCTGATCACGGCGAAGTTGATCATGATCAGAACCCTGCCATGAAATGCGTGCTGTGGCCTCTCCGATCTAATTGTTGAATGCATGATTGTCAGTAAAATAATGATCTCTAACAAACCTGGGCACTCAGTTTTCTTCTCGAAAAACAGAACGACTCAATTTGACGGCTAGGCAATGCTTGCAGGTTGACAGATGTTGGCAGACAGATTCAAATTTTGCCTTACGAATCTTGTTGCTGTCGCATAGTTAGACTATAATCTTCTTCCTGTTTGATGTGCCGTCTTTGAATGATGAGCTTTCCGTAAGAACGAACAGCCAAATGAGCACCCATAGTGTGCGTCATCCTACCCAAGGACAGCTCAGTGACCAGGATCGCGCGTCTACAGATGCCAAAACACCATGCAAGGAGAACTTGGAACAAGCAGCAAAGATGTGCAGCCAAGACAGCGAGAGCCTCCAGCGTCCTGCTCTGCAGGAGAATGCATTCCAGCCCCTGCTGACTCCAGGCGGCCCGTTGGCCCTCAGCCCCCCTCGCACTCTCAGATCTTCCCAAAAATGGGGATCTCTGTCTGCTTCACGCATCCTGGGTTTGTCCCCAAATGGTTCCCGCCTGCGAGGCAAGTCCCTGGTGCTGTCACCCATGTGCTCCCGGGCAGCTCCAGCCTCTCAAGGCCACCCACCACAGACAGGTGTGCGTCATTTTGCAGCCTCTACAATCACAGAATTGTCATATTTGTTTTGCACTGCTAATTGGGCAACTTGCAGATCCACCTCATGGTATACACAGCCATGATCATGCGTGAATCACTTGTCTGCATGTGAAGCAGGTGTGGAAGGTGCGCAGCCGAGAGAGCAGTTGCAGGACTCCAGTTCGCATGACTTTGTGCCGCCAGCAGGGGCAGCGCCACCGGGCCGCATGTGCCACAGTCAGCCCTGCCCGCTCAGCAGGCCCTGGCCAGATGACAGCGGGAGGGCAGAGAACCCCAGCACGCCAGCCAGAAGAACAGAGACCCCTGATCTGGGCAGCCCTGGGAAGGACAGGGCGGTGCTTGTCGAGCTGGATGCAAGCGGTGCCGGGGCAGGGACAGCGATGGGTGAATGTGATGGGAGGCATGCGGATGTCAGGCCTGCGAAGGACCAGCCAGGAGGCTCAGAGCTGCCCTCTTCTGCTGAGCCAGGTCTTCAGTCGAGGGAGCAGGCAGATGATCATATACTGGCACCGGCGAGGCACCACAGCAATGCTGCAGCAGCAGATGCAGCCCTTGCAGCTCCAGGGACAGGAGATATGGGAGCTGCAGGCAGCATGGGCCCATCCCAGATGGGAGGCACCCTTGACAGTGGCTACAGCTTGCAGCTGAACCTGTCTTTGGGCAGCCAGGACGATCGCATCCTTCCCACTGAGGTGGAGCCAAGGAGCACAGAGGTGACTGCCAGGCAGGTGCTGGCCACGGAGATGCAGCTCACTGGTGGCTTCTTTTCTGAAACCCAGGTGGAAGCTGCGCTCCCGGCAGGAGACATATGCGTGCCCTTGCCGGCAGAGCTAGCCGCCAACCCCGGCACTTCAGCGGAACATCCCGCCTTCTGTCCAGAGACTCAGATCCTGGATTGCTCCACCCCTCCGCCAGCTCCTCTCAGTGCGTCTACTCCGGCAGCCCAGCTGGTAGCTCCACCCACTCAGCAGAAGAGTGACATTGCTGAGGCGCTGCCTGCGCAACAGGCTGCTGCCACGGAGGTGCAGCTGGAGTCTGGGCTAGCCATTGCAGCAGGTGATAACACACCAGCAGAGGCGCCACAGGTCAGCGGAGCGCTTGCTTGCAGTGCAGCAGCACAGGACAGGCAAGAGCACTTGCCAGTGCCTGTGAGCCCTGAGCCTGCTGCTGCTGTAGCCACTGCGAATGGAGCCATCCCGGTCCAGCCCAGGCTAGAGGTCAGGCTAGAGGTCATGGCTGAACAGACATACAGTCCTCAAATGGGAGCCAGGGAGCAGGCACACGGACAAACTTTGCTCGAGACACCAGAGCCATCAACGGGAGGGGCGTGCCCAGCCAGGACGCCTGCCAGCAGAGGGCCCACCATGAGCCTGGGACTGCTGTCAGAGGACTTCATCTCAGAGTCAGAAGGCACCCAGCGCGCAGTGATGGCAGCCAAGATCATTGACGAGTGAGGCTCCCCTATTTACCGTCCCCATCTCAGTGTCATGTGTCTGCGCCAATGCAGCGAAGTGCTGCATTGCAAGCTGCCAAGCCCAGGCCCTCCACTTTTTGCTGTCTCAGTGAACTGTTTCCTTTCACATTCAGAGGAGATGCACATGACGGCAGCACTGAGAGACTCTTGGCTCGTCCAGGTACAACCTCAAGTTTCATCGTGGTGTTTCTGATGGCGCGGTATTCAACTTCGTTCTGACGACAGACATGGAGACCGTTGCCGCATGCATAGCCACGAAGCCTGCGCTCATACCAGCTGAGGTAATGCATGTTCTTCAGTCTGGCAAACCCAGTGGGCATGGGTGGGCTTCGTGTCTGCCATGCATTACTTTTCAAGGAGGCAGCAGGCAGTAGTTGTACTTCTTCATTAGGGCCTACACTGGAGGCTCAGAGATGAATAGTTGCTGGGAATGCAGGAGTATTCAATGTGGGAGAGGCGGCTGGTGGAGGCAAGGAGGGATCAGGAAATGCTGGATTGGGATGTGGAGGGGACTGGAGAGCCAGGAATTACAGAGGAGCTGGGTGGGCTCACGCAGGAGGCTGTTGCACTGCTGTGCACAGAGGATGAGATCGCCAGTCGCCGGGAGGAGCTGGGGGCGACAGGGAGAGTCAAGAAAAGGGAGCTGACTCGTGAGCCCGTGCAGGTGGGAGACCGGTCTTCTCATTGTTGGTACTTGAGGATTCTCATTTTGTTTCACAGACCTTGGGCAAGACCTTGGTCATCCTTCTTTACTGATCTTATGTGGTGATTTGTTAAGATGATAGCCTTTGTGAAAGATGGTCTTGTGTGACTGTTGCAGGTCATGAAATCAATTACAGCGGAGGCCTTTTGCTCAGCATCGGAAGCTCAGCCCAGCAGTGCCGCCAACTCTGAAAGCCAATGTCAGCTTCCACCTCCACTGCCACCTCGTCCCGAAAACAACAGCACAGGCGGACAGCTGCACACAAGCAGCTTCCTGGTGAACAGCTCTGTTGCCGCTGCTGGGAGCGTGGCGACTGGCAGTGCAGCGGAGCTTAGGATTGAGGCTGTTGATCTTCCACTCAGCGAGCGCGACGTGAATGAAGCTGTCCAAGGGGTGATGGACAGTCTCCTGGCAGCGGTGATCCAGCCTCCAGCTGCTCTCTGCGACCATGCTTCTGGCTATGCAGCAGCAGCAGACGAGCCTGATGCAGCAGCGGAGCCAGACGCCAGCTGTGCTGCCATGGATATTGACACTGGGGAGGGCGGCGGCGCGCACGCAGCTGAACAGCCTAAAGAAGCAGCCCTTGAGCCTGCCCCTAAGGCACAGCAGCAGGCGGCCGCAGCAGCTGTGGCGGCAGTGCCGGCACGCGAGCATGCGCCAGCAGGGGCCGCAGATGATGAGGATGACTTTTCCTCGCTCCCGCTGATGCTGCTTCTGGACACGCAGTACCCAGAGTCCCAGCGGCTTGCTGCAGCGGCGCAGCTATCCGACAACGCCCTGGATAGGACAGCAAGTGGCCAGGCGGCAGAAGCACATGCACTTCCTGCCTCTGTGCCGGAGAGCGATGCCGTGCAGTTCCAGCACAGAGAGCCCTCGGCTGCAGCCGGGGCACCAGAAGCAGAGGCGGCTGTGTCTGCCGGGCCAAGCCAGGCAGCAAAGGGCCCATCCGCTCGCTCCCAGGATGACGTCTGGGGCACAATCTTGTCGACCAACACACAGCCCAGCGGCAGTGGGCCGCCTGCGCACAAGACTCCTGCGTGGCAGGCCAGTTCGGGCCTTGCTGTCGGCATTGGTGCGCGTCAAGTGCCCCATCCTGTCAACAATCCCATCCAGAAGCATTTCATGCGCCCTACGACTGTTTATTGCTAGCAAATGTGCCTTGAAGGACTGTGCTTCACTTCATCTCTCAACCAAGATCTGGGTGTCTGCAGGTGGTAAGCAGCCGAATCAGTCGCAGCCAAGCCCAGGCAGCCGCGGCTGGCAGCGAGAGGTGGGCAGCACCGGCCTGCGTCTGAGGCCGGTCTGGGGGTTGGCGCCAGCTTCCCGGGAGGCAACGCCCCTGACCGGAGACAGCCTGCTCACGCCCCCCAAGCGCGTCGTGGGGCCCCCCTCCGCCGAGGCCGCACGCACTGGCGGCCTGCCCGGCTCTCCCGAGACGCCGTCACAGATCGCGGCCACCGCGGACGTCCTGCAGCTGTACAGCCGCCCGCAGCAGGACATCCGCACGCCCGGGTCGGGAGACAAGCGGCAGCGGCCCTGCGCGCGCGAGAGCCCTGAGAGCTCGGGCATCGAGCCAACACGCAAACCGGACGTGGGCGGTCACGCCGAGGCAGGCGGTGCATCTGAGCACGTGCCGGCAGCGGCGGGGGCGTCGCCGCTGTCATCCGAGCCACCGGGCTCCTTTGTTCCGGACACATACCCGGGCATCGGAGCAAACACAGGTTCCCCTGCGCACCCTGCCGACCACGGCACAGCGGAGGAGCATGCAGTTGCGCAGGAGCACGTGGACGAGTGCCTGCAGGATGACAGAGCGGCAGAAGTGCCGCCGCCAAAACGAAGGCGGCTGTCGCTGGAGGGCGGCAGGGGCCAGAAGGGCTCTGATCACTTGCAGGCTCGTGCGGCACAGGCTGGCGGCAAGGACTCGCCCAGGAAGGGGCTGCACGCCATGGGCGCTCATCCGCGCGGCATGCGAGCGGCAGGAGCTATGCCTGTCACCCGAGCGCTGGCCAGCGAGATCGGCAGAGATGCAGCGCCAAGAATGACCAGGTGCTGCAACTGAATCCCCTTTGTTCCCTGTAATGCCAAATATCTGGTAATCTATCTGTCTTGGAGCAGGCCACACTCATGACTCCGGCGCTTTCAAACTACACTCAAGGATCGAGCAATTGACATCTGGTGTTGCAGGCAGCAGGCGCAGGTGGCCAAGCAGCAGAGGAAGGGCGCGCTGGTGAGGGCTGGAGTTCTGCGGCGTGCAGGGCAGATCAGACAGCCCGTTAGACCGTCTTCTGCTGGCAGGCGGTGGGCCGGCACATTTGGGAAGCTGCCTGCACAGCCTGCGCAGCCGACCCTGAAACGCAGACGCACTGCCACCCCCGGTGGCGAGGCGAGGGTTGATGGAAGGCAGCTGGAGGACAGGAAGGCTCATGCAGCTGAGCAGGATGAGGAAGTGAGTTCACCTGAGCCCGAGCTGGCAGGTCAGGATACAGAAGCGCGCGGAAAGCAGGCAGATGTGCGGCTTGGTGTGACATCAGCCACTGCACTGCCGGTCGTGAGGAGAGCAGAGCAGCAGCAGCAGGGTCTGCCGGGCGGCTTGCGTTCTGGCAAACTCAGAGACCCTTACAGGTAGGTTTTCAAGAAGACATGCATGGTAAAGCAGTTTTTATGGTATTTTTCTGAAAGTTGTCTCCCCTGCCATATGCAAGACTCCCTGCTCTATGTCAGCAACGTGCTGGCAAGCATCACATATACTACATAACACCTCTCACGTCGACTTTCAATACCTTGTGTGTGCTGTGGCAGCTTTCCTGAGAGCCAAGATGTCCGGCTGGAGAACCCAGCCAGGAGCAGGGCAGGCCTGGCCCCTCGAGTTCATTTTGCTCACATCTCACGGCGCTCACACGCTCAGGCCCAGCCGCCAGTGAAAGGTGTGCCATGCAGCGCTGAGGATATTTGAAGGCCGTCTGCCCTTTTTGCTTGTAGCATTGTGTGATATCTATTGCGTCTCCGATGGTGCTTTCTGCTGATGGTGCGTTCTGGACATGCAGGACTGGCTGGCTCAACTCTGCAGCATGGGACAAGGAGGGATGCTGCGCAGGATGCTGTGGACACCAGCAGAGTGAGCGCCCTGGCTGCCTGAACTCTCTGTATAAGGCCTCTTGCCACTAGAGCAGATGGATCTAGTCACCAACTTCATGCAGAGTGTGGCATGACGCCATGCACAGATAATGAGGCTGGCAGTGCACTGAGGCAGCCTAGCATGACAACTGGGCAGGGGGTTCGAACAAGGAGGACTGGTGTGGAGGCCAGAAACGCTGACCCAGAGCCTGCGGGCTGCCACGAGAGGCCGCAGCGCGCAAAACGCCAGCCGTTGAGGCTGGAGGACTACCAGCAGGGAACGCTGGCACAAGCCACCCAGCCTGTGCGCGTGTCCCCCCTGCGGGCCGGCCGGAAGGGGGGCGCCGGGGAGGAAGCTTCCGGGAAGGCGGCGGGCGGTCCCCGGCGCCAACTGGTGAGCTTCAGGGAGCTTGAGAGGCGGCAGCAGATGAGAGCAGCCGTATGCGCACCGCCAGAGGATCAAGGGGTTGAGGAGAGTGGAGACAGTGGCGCTGTGTCTGCACGGGCAAATGGCGATGACGAGCCAATCATGCAATTGGCAGAGGCTGCAAGCGAAGACATGGCAGAATCTGCGCAGCCTGCCGAGCAGGAAGCAGCTGAGGTGGGTCATAATTAGCACAAGACGTTGGTCTAGCACACCATTATGCACTTTTATGTGCTCCTTCTGCAGCTAATTTTCGCTGGTTCAAGCATGCTTCACTGCTCTCTTGGGCTGCAGTGTGCATCAAGCGGCAGGGCTGCAGAGCAGCAGGAGCCTGTGCATAAAGCTGTGGAGAAGCCGCCTGGTCCCCAGAAGCTGGGCTGCTCAAAGTGCAGGCACTCCAAGAACGGCTGCCGCGCATGCCGACCTGCCGCTGCAGGGGCTGCTTCCCCAGCTGCATCCCCCAAGAGGTGAAACCCCCAATTTCCATGACGCCTCTCTTTCTGTCCATTTCTGTCTGGCTAGAACGTTTCCATTTGATGGGATGTATGCAGCAGGGAGCCACTCTGCGGACCATTTGAACGCAAAATCGATCAGAATTTCTCCGATTTTCTAGGCGCCTGAAGATCACATGCTGTCATTGCAGGGTGCCGCCACAGAAGCGCAAGCGCAGAGCATCGCTGCCAGAAGAGCCACCCAGTCTTCAGGACAACTCTGCTGGGGCGCAGCACAGAAGGCAATCTGCAGCCAGGCGCAAATCCGAGCCTGCCGCAGTCTTTGATGCCAAATCCGGCGCATTTGGCGGGAAGGCTTTCCTGGTGACAGGCTTTAAGGATGCCAGGGAGCGGCGCCGCATCACCAAGCTCATCACAGACCATGGTGGCAGTGTCATTGACAGCATCCCTTTGCCCGAGGTGCTTCCAAACCTCGACCACCGTTGCAACCATCCTTGCATCTATGGTGCCAATTCTGAATTGCTAGTCTGCTGTGCTACTTGTGTAAGAATGTCGAGTAAACACTCCGTATTCAACTAGTCTTGAGAGTGTTAAGTTGTGCAATTGCAGGAGCAGAAGACAGTGCATGGCGTGGTGGCTGGCAGGGCGTGCGACAGGCGAACCAAATACCTCTTCTCCTACGTGTCTGGCGCCCCATCCATCAAGCCAATTTTCTTGGAGAGGCGCGCACCGGCTGAGATCCTGAATTCATTGTCATGCACAGGTCACAAAGTAGACCATTTGGCTCCCTCCGTTCACAGGAAAGAAGACTGTTATATCCCCAATTTGCTGAACTTTTTTGGGTGCGCACAGGTGTGTGAGGGCCGGCGAGTGGCTGTCGCTGCGAGCTGCGGATGCATGGCGGCCCGCTAAATCCCCCTGCAAGGTGTTTCAGGGCTACCGGGTGTACCTGGACGGCACTGACACCTTCAGGCAGCAGTTCGGTGCCATCCTGCCGCATGCAGGCAAGCCCCTCTCTCATGAACTGTTCTGGCGGGAAGGAGGTCAAATAAAGCTGAGACGCCCATCACCAATTACTAGTTATAAGCCGCTGGTCGATAGATTCCCGTCTGCTTGGATCTTTGATTCTTCAGACTGTTGTTTGAATGCAGATGTTACCTGTACCACTGTCTCTGCTGTGATGTGATGTTTGTGAGGGGACCGAGGGTTCCCATGTATGGCAGGGGCAGTGGTTATGGCCGAGATGGAAACAGCGCGAAACAGCCCCGCACAGAAGCGACGGCGGCTGTCGCTCGCTGCCAGCATCAGCCAGCCGGCCTGCGACCTCGTCATCTCTGACAAGGCACATCCGCTGACCTGCCACGCAGACCTGCGTGACCTCCTGCGCCAGGTACACCAACATGGGCCAGCTGAGATTGAGTCCTAAGAGAACGGCTCTTATGACTGAAAAAACGGCCCTGACAACCACTAACCTGTCCCTATTCATGAAGGTTGACAAACAGTGATGCATGTGCTCATGCACTACAAGTTCACAGTCGTGATACTGTAATTTCTTGTGTGCCTGCAGGCGCGGCGGCTGGCAATACCAGTGAAGCCGCTGGACTGGATGTATGCAGCGCTGATGAGCGGGCGCCTGCCAGACCCCATTCAGATCCAGGCGCCCTCAGAGGAGCCCAGCAGCGCGCCCGGTCCCCAGGCCGCACCGGATGCGACGCGAAACAGCAGCCCAGATGGTGGTGCTGCGGGGGCACAGGAGGCGGCGCAGCAGGCAGAGGCCACACATGCCGACGAGGGGGAACTGGTTGAAGACAGCGAGTCATTTGGGGAAATGCCTCTGGAGATCCGCCCCTCTGCTGCCAGCGTCAGCTTTGGAGGTGCAGCTGCTGCAGGTTGGTATTGTTCCATCAAAGGTGCTTCAGTACATGCATTCTGCGACAGCTTGCTCAGACTTGGTGGCCCCATGTGCGTGAGAGGTGCAAGCAATTATGGTTTGTATATTGCAGGTCTAAGGAGCCCGCGAAGAGCCGCGCGAGTGCAGCCACGTCAGTGTGATCGGCCAGTGCCCAACCCCAGAAATCCGGCTGCTGCCGCCAGGAGACTGTCAGCTGCTGCAGCTGAGCTGGCCTGGGTAGGGGATGCCAGCAAGGTTCCCCCAGCAGGCCTCAGCATGCAAGCCTCCCAGCACAGGAAATTCTATGGCGCCATTGCCAGGGTAAGTCTCTCTTGACCACTTGACGACTCGCAGGGCTGTGGAGGGCTTGCACCCAAGATTTCAACAGGTGAGAGGAGGGATTATTATCACATGATACAGGCCTTTCGTTCCAATAATTATGTGTTGCCTGCAGGGTTCGGAACTGATGGCGGTGGGCGATGACGTGGAGGTTGAGGTGCTGGGAGAGCAGCTGCCGCGGGTGGCGCGCATCGAAGCGCTGTGGAGTGAGCGGCCGGTGGATGGCACTGAGCGCATGCTAGCGCGCTGCCGCTTCTACTATCGCCCTCAGGTGCACCCCACTCTATTGCATGCCCGTCGGCATGCTCCAGCTCTTGGACTTGGCATAATGGCCAAGGAATTGCCAAACTTTCATGTGTTGTTCTGGCAGCCTTCAACAAGTTGTTGAACAAGGATCGTTGGCTGCAGGAGACCATGTTCATGAGCAGCGGCAAGCCGGATGAGCTGTTTGCATCTGATCATGTGGAGCAGCGGGTGTCTGCCTCAACCCTGCTGCGGAAGTGCACGGTGGTTTCCGGCCACCCGAGCAACAGAACAGCCATGTTGGACCGGCGCGCCAGCTTAGGACCGCAGAGCTACTTCTGCATGTACCATTATGACTACCAGGGCGAGGCCCTGAAGCCTGTGCCTGCAAGCTGAATGCATGTTGAGCGCAGTGATTGATCAGCACACATCCTCATCATCTTGACTCGTATTCTCCGATACCATGTGAGTCACCACCGTGATCACCACAGAGACTGCATCCTGTCACAATTTGACACAGCTTGAAGCGGCCACTGCCGTGCGCACACGCCAGAACTATGATGTTGAATAGTAGAGCGCATTTGGCCCTAGGGACGGACACTGTGAATGCTATCTTGGAACTACTTGTTGAAGGAAGGAAGGAAGGAAATTACACATGTACATCAACTCTAGCCGCCCAGGGCTGATTGGATGTACTGACAGCATCCAAGTGATCAAAACAATCCATGACAAAATGTGCGACACTGACAATATCCAAATGCCACATGAACTGTTGCATGGTCTTAATAGCACTTACAATTGTTGAACTGCACATGAGAGAGAGAGAGAGAGAGAGAAACATTACATCGTGCCAGCCAACAAGACTGATTAGTTGACATGATCAGCTGTTTCACTTTCTTCATTTGCACATGCGTATCCTTTATTATTTCGAGGCGGAAGGGCTATTTCTACCCTGATTCCAAGATTTACACCCTGTCGCAATTCGCAAACTTTTCTTAGCTCTTCCACCATCGATGCTCCCAGCACTCTGTAATTTCTCAATAGGCTTGGCAGTTGTGCAACACCTCCACTCCTTTCACTGGCAAGCAGGATGACTTTTGCATGCATTCTGACATGCTGACAATCATGATCAGTGGCATAGAGATTCAAGCTGCATGTGCGCTGGGGCAGGATGAGTGGGTGCAAGTGGATTCCAGCAGAGAGGAAGATGATTTGGAAGCTGGCGCCCAAATGCCGACTGCTGAGCTGGCCTGGGTGGGGGAGTCCAGCAAGGAACCTCCTGCAGGCATGAGCATGCACGCCTCCCAGCACAGGAACTTTTATGGCGCCGTCAGAGAGGCAGGCCCCGCCCTCTGTGTTTGATCTGCCTCCTTAATATGTTGGATGGTGTTGTTGGGGTGCTGGCCAGTACTTGTGACACGCCTGCATGTCTGTGAGCACTGCAGGAGTGTCCTGTAGCAGTACGGAGGTCCCGTGGTGATTTCTGACACACAGACGCCTGCAGGGCGAAGAAGTGATGGCTGTGGGGGACGACGTGGAGATGGAAGTGTCGGGTGAGCAGCTGCCGAGGGTGGCGCGCACTGAGGCGCTGTGGAGTGAGCGGCCAGTGGACGGCACTGAGCGCATGCTTGCCCGCTGCCGCTTGTGTTATCGCCCCCAGATTCCCCACTTATTCTGCTGCCTGGCCCGTCAACATCTGCAAACCGCTCCAGGGCTCAGAATGGAGCAGACTTGGTGTGGTCAGATTGAACTGGATACTCGATTTATGCATCCGCCACCGGTTTCATGTACCGAAAGCAACACAGGGAGAGTTGCAGCATCTTTGAGATGTGCGCTGGAGTCACTGGTGCATCATGCTGACCTCAGGAGACCACCTTCTTGAGCAGCAGCAAGTCAGAGGAGCTGTTTGCCTCTGATCATGTGGAGCAACGGGTGGCTGCCTCAGCACTGCTGCGCAAGTGCACAGTCGTGACCGGCCACCCCGGCGATATGGCGGCCATCATGAACCGCTGTGCCAGCCTGGCTGAGCTGAGCTTGGGATCACACAGCTACTTCTGCATGTACACCTATGACCACCAGGGCGAGAGCTTGCTCTAGCAGCTTGCTGAGTGCATGCTGAGGCCCCACTCGATGTCGATCACGCATTGCTGGCTCATGTCGCTCACCATTACTGGTGTGATTATCATGATTACAGCGGACGTCCATCGACATCGGTGCACTTGTTGACGGTTTGACTTGCGCCAGTGGCCATGCAATTAATGTGCAGAACATGTACATGCACACGCCAGAAGTGAATTGGTTGATATCATATGATGATAATGTGTGGAGATACAGTTGAGTGCCATCCTGTAAGAACTGCCTGGTTACTTTTTTAATTATCCTTCCCCGTATCGAAAGATCCGCAATTGGCTGGCAACCAATCAAGGAACTACGGGGCGTTGTCACGCTGCACTGTACTTAAACCCGTTATAGTGCAGCAACTTGTCCTCAAGCTACATGTATCCAGTGAATGAAATCAAAGGAGCTCCAAGCAGTACAATTTATGTATTTTGCAGTGGAATGTGCCTCGGTTTACTCAATGCAAAGAGGTCAGATCAGACTAGACTATATTCAGACACCTTCAGCGCTGGAGACTACCCCTGGTGATCAATTCATCCTTGTTGCTGATGTGAAATGTCACACGCATGTGTCAGCCTGTTTGGCCCGATGCCCAAACGCAAAGGGTCGAACGAGGTGGTGTGGGGCAGCGATGGCGTTCCATTACCTGAGCCAGATCAGGATGATGATGGACGGAACAGCCATGCTTTCGAAGAAGGCAAATTTCGGATTGAAAACCTGGATAGATCGCTGCGATGCCTCACTATGGCAGGTGACAAGGTGATGGAACAACTGGTCTTGGATCTGATCAACCCTGGGACACGTGAAAACGCTCTTTTGGAACTCAGCAAGAGGAGAGAAAGCTTTCCAGAGCTCGCACCAGTCCTGTGGCACAGCTTTGGCACAGTCGCGGCGCTCATACAAGAAGTAGTGTCAATCTATCCAGTCTTGTCTCCGCCCGTTTTATCTGCGCACGCTTCAAATAGAGTCTGCAACGCGCTGGCTCTCTTGCAGTGTCTGGCCTCCCATCAGGACACTCGCAGCCTCTTCCTGAAAGGTAACCTTTTCTTTTACTTATAGCAATGTCGGGAGATTGATTTGGCATCGCTTTCCGATTTGGTACTGCTTTCATAGTTGCTTTGAAGATCAAACTGACTCTGTTTCACTTGTTGCTGCAGCACACGTGCCCTTGTTCCTGTACCCCTTTCTCAATACCACAAGTAAGACTCGACCGTTTGAGTATCTCAGACTCACAAGCTTGGGAGTGATTGGTGCTATCGTGAAGGTACGATCTTTGGTTCAGCTTGCTCCACCCAGTGCAAGATTGACCACGATGTACCGTTCGCAATCATTACCTCGTGTATCTCTTGATGTCCAGCCTTCTCAGGGAGTATTGAAACATGATGCAGGCAAGATCTCCACGAGTGGTGCTTTTACACTGATAAATGCATGCTTCTGTCTCAGGTCGATGACACAGAGATCATCAACTTCCTGCTGACCACGGAGATCATCCCACTATGCCTAAAAACCATGGAGATGGGCAGTGAGCTGTCCAAGACCGTGGCGACCTTCATTGTCCAGAAGATACTTCTCGACAATGTGCGCCCCTTCCACCTTGGGCATGTCACAGCGACCCAAATGGGGCATTGCAATCTGGATTTTTGCATGTCGCAATCATTTCACTGCAGCTCAAGTGTGAGGGAGGGCCAGAGGCAGCATCTTACTGCTAAAAGCACTTGTGGAAAGCAGCCAGCCTGTCTGGAGGCTCAGCTAATTTCCTATGGTGGACAATAATAGCCTGTGTGATGGCCATATGTTGTCATTGCGCAGGTGGGGCTGGGGTATGTGGTGCAGACCGCAGAGCGGTTCTTCGCGGTGAGCGCAGTGCTGAACAACATGGTTCTGGCGCTGCCGGAACAGCCGAGCGTGCGCCTGCTGAAGCACATCATTCGCTGCTACCTGCGCCTGTCGGACAACTCCCGCGCGCGTGAGGCCCTGCGCCAGTGCCTGCCCAAGCTGCTCACCGACCAAACCTTCACCATTTGCCTGGCAGAGGACGGCCAGACCCGCGGGTACGTGCTGCTTGAAACCACTTCTGCACATACCATCCCTCTCTTGCTCGTGGCAGGGTAGGGTACCGTGTGTCTCACAGAGACATACGGTACCAATGGTGGCCCTCCAAACAGGTTGGAATGAAGGGGTCACGTGTTGCTGGCTGCTTGGCCTTTGTTTGTTCTGCTTGGGGCCAGCAATGATGATGATCGTTCAATCATCTTGGAATAATGCGTATGCAACATCCACTTCATTGTGAGGCAAGTATTATTTAGGATATTGGCTGATCTGGAATTTTGCATACAGGTGGCTGGCGCAGCTGCTGGTGAATGTGGGGCACGGGCACTCAGACCAGCAATTCCCAAAGATCATGGACCCCACTGCCTGTGTTGCGTGAGAGCAGTCATGGAAAGGAACAGAGCATGCTGATCCCTGCACCTGGTGCATTGCTGGACTTGCTCCATGCCTTTACCAAGATGTGACGGCTTTGTTGAGGCTGGTACTGTACTGGCATGAGGAGTGTCAAACAGCCAAGCACTACGACCTTGTGGAGATGTCTGGTCAAAGGATCTGGGATTTGCTTGCCATGCATAGTGCATGCATGCGCACAGTAGATGCTGGAGAGCTGCATAGGTTTGATGTCACATATTGCAATGGCTGAGAGAGTTTATGTGCAGATGTGTTACGTGTTGCGACTGCTGATGCTGCAGCTCCTGAAAGCACCTTTGAAGGCATTTCAGAAAATGACAATACACACTGCGCCTATTTGATCAGGTCACCATTGTTACAGATGATTCCTGACTGTGCCAGTGACAGTGCAATTGTGAACCATTGCTGTATTACATTTACAATCGTGAACCATACCTTCTTCTAATTGTGAACCATTCCCGCATATTGCTGATCCGTAAATGTATCAACAAGACAATATACAGCAGACGCAGACATTTGTTCTTTATGTCAGACGCCCCATCTCTCTCTCATCTCTCTTCTCTCTTCTCAAGTAGCCCATTTTTGCAGACACATTCATTGGCAGTACTGAAAGCAGGCTTCATCATGGCTTGCCTTGCAACCTGCTTTGATGCGTTTTTACTGTGGCTCACACTTGGATGTTTGTGACGCTGTGCTTCTTGTCGATGCGCTTCAGAATTCCTGCAATGACCTTGTTGGGTCCAATCTCAAAGCTCCTTTCAAGGCCCTTCTCCAACATGGTCTGCATGCTCTTCTCCCACTGCACAGGGGATGTCAACTGCAGGACACCAAAGAAGCCTCTCAGTCACCATCTGCATCCCAACATCTGATGGGCAGAAGTATAATATAGATGTGCTTGAGACTTTGGCGGTTATGCATAAAAGGTACTGCTGAAGATACTGTTGGCATGTACATGGCAATTAAGACTGACCTGGCGGGCAAGGATATCCTTGATCACATCAGGATCAGAGTGCGGCTGTGCATCCACATTAGATACCACAGGGATGCGAGGGACGACAATCTCTGTTGACGCCAGTGCTTCCCTGAGGCACACAACACTCTTGCATCTCTCGGAACACATACCGTGGCATTTGATAACACAGGAACCCTTCAACTGTAAGCACCTGAGTTTTTCCTCTGCTGGCTGCATGTAGGCGGTGTGGAATGCACCAGCCACAGCCAGTCGCACAGTCATCCTTGCCTTGAAGCTCTTTGCCAGCTTCTCAACTGCCTGTGTGTTCAGCACACATATTCGGTGAGAAACTGGACTTCACCATCCCCTCCTTCACTGCCAGTGCTCTCCTTCTTGCATGATATCCAAGTTGATGTGGCCAACTTAGAGACCCTACCTCGCAGCCTGGCAGGCCCCCACTGACAGCGTAGTTCCCATTGCACAGGAAATTTGCAATCCGCACACCCTCATCCGCTCCTACCTCCTTGTTGGCTGCTTCGCACAGCTCCTCTACCTGCATCCAGGAGACACCAATTGACTCAGCTGCCTGATCCTGAAGGGCAATAATACGGTGTTCTGGATCGTGTTTGGAAGGGTACGCATCTACACATGTTTAGGGCAGATGCAGTATTTTAAGCACCTTGTCTGCAGCCAGGCCGATGACAGAGACCATGGCAGAGGGACGAGCATCAGCCGCTGCCTGCATGCTCTCCCCCCGAATCTTCACCAACCTCACACCGTCCTCAAACCTGAGGGAGCAACAGCGCTTGATTCATTTGGCTGAGTCCCCCCTCCAACATAATCTCGATAGATTTGACTGGAAATTTCGATTTGCTTACTTAAGTGCGCCTGCGAAAGTCAGTGCAGTGTACTCTCCAAGGCTCAACCCAGCAGCAACATCCGCTGCTTGCACAGCCTCCTGCAGGGCAGCAAAGTGAACGGCATGAGGAATTTCCAGTAGGTTGAGGTAGTGATAAGTCTTATATCACAAATAACCTTGATTTGAATTTGTGCGGGGCTACCAACCTCTCCTTCTGTCAGGCGCAGCTTCTCAACTGCTGCCAAGCTGGCAACATAAATCGCAGGCTGGCTGATGACAGTTGAATCCAGTCTTTCCTTTGGGCCTGCACAGCAGCGGCGGTTACATGCAAGTTATGACACGTGACAAACAGGTGGGCAAAGCAGGAATGCGGGAGGGGGTGGAGGATCGAGGTAACAGGCGTACCCTCGACGCAGAGCTTCAGAAGGTCGTATCCCAGAATCTCAGATGCCCTATCAAATAAGTCCTTTGCGGCTGGGACCTCCTCGACAACGTCCTGAATGAGCATGAATAGAATTCCAGGTTCATTTGCCCACGAACCATCAAGGGGTCAAGGACAGACCAACAGCAGGTGTTTCCAGGGCAATTGCACAGCATACCTTGGCCATGCCCACAGTCTGAGCGCCTTGTCCTGGGAAGAGAAAAGCTGTACCAGGGGTGTACTGGGCAAATTTTGTGTCTGAAGTTTTCTGCAGCACAGTACACATCGCAGGATCGATCAGTTAAATGACGCATCTTGGCCGATAGTAAAGGGCAAACTGAAAGACAGAATGCAATATTAGAGCGGACAACAATAGATAAGTAACTCGATTCACGTTGTGGGGCGCCAAGGCTTGAATGTTTGTACTTGCCTCGGCCACAGACGCAGTAGCCTTCGGTCTCACAGTCTGCGATCGTGTCGGCTTTGCTACCGAAGTCCGGGAGAAGATCCTGTGCAAAGTATATGTCAGTTTGTCGTTCTGGAAGCGACAGTAGTTTGCACGAAGTAGACATGAACGTGGGTGCATCATCACCTCTTAGTGCCCAGCACGCTTCGCAAATTGACTGACATTGGTGATGCCTTCAATGCCATATTTCCAATGTCCTACAATAATTTGATGGGAATTTACAAATAACAATCGCAAACGCAGTGTTGATCAACACTGTCGCATCCCTTGGCCCCAGAAGTTCAGTTTCCAGATTTGGCTGATTGCTGAGCTCAGCATGCGCAAGCATGCATCAATTATGTGACTATGACTCATCACCTGATAGAATTTTACAGAATTCTTCACCTAGTCTATGATGGCATATATCTGGCGGTGAAAGTAGCAATGTTGTCTCTTATCACAGGATCGCATCTTGTGCTTTATTTTTGTGCTAGATTTTGATTCGAAAATATTTTCTGACTGTAAGAATGTTTCCAGGGTCTTTCTCGGGAGTTCGTGCTGTAGATCGCGCTCAGAAGGTGCCCCAGTCATAAGGTTTTCCACCAGCAATCCATCGATGTTAGGGCAGGCGTGCGGCACCAGTCGCCCATGACACCTTTAGCCGGACGCGTTGTGGGAGCACTGGCCTTTCTGCTTCTTGTTGGAGCTGCTCTGTACGTGCCTGCAGAGCAGATCCGAGTACAGACCAAACGCCAGCTTCAGAATCAGCAGGCAGATCATGACCCACCAACTTTGAGATGGAGTTCTGATGACAACATCGCTTCTACTGATACGAGAAGTGAGGGCGTAATATCGCTGCTGAACATTGATTGATGTTACCCCAATGGGCCTGCACTAATTTGGCACGCGGTAACGTGGAGTCGCTGTAGCAAGATGTGAAGCGTGTGCGTTCAGAAGAGGAGGATGGGGGCAGGCTAGGCAGCGCGCATAGGAGCCTGCTTCAGCGAAGAAGGAGGCGGAGGGGGAAGGGTCAGGATGAAGCATGGTTGCAGCATCACCAGCAGCTGGTGAAGGAAGTTGAGGAAGCTGACAAGGGGAATGGGATTGATGTAGTTTTTTATGGAGACTCCATCATGGAGAGCACCAGGTACTCCCCACCAGACAGCCTGGCGTGTAGCTCATCATTGACTGGCCTTATTTGTGGCTTGACATCTGAGCTCTGGGGATGTTCAGAGGGACATACATGGGGAGCTCTTGGTCAGACTTTGGGCCTGTGAGGGACGTATGGGTCGAGGCTTTCGGCACAAAACCATATGTTGTGCACACACTGGCCATTGCAGGTGCGCTTCTACAAACCTGGGCTTGGCTTTGTGCTGTCACTCTCTAAAAAGCTCTAATCGGCAATCACTGATCTCTGCAATGTACATGCTGGTGTGGTTTGGGCTGTACCAGCAATAACAGAGAGTAGATGAAGCTATCATTGTGCGAATGCAGGTGACACAGTGCAGCGCCTATTGTGGCGGCTCAAGAACGGCGAGCTGCCGAGGAAGAAGCATCCTCGTGTTGCTGTGGTTCTGATCGGCTCAAATGACTTGGCCAGCCCCGAGTGCTCCACTTCTGGTGCCGCCAATCGCACAGCTGCTGAGCTGCGAGGCTTGCTGGTCTACATGCACAGGCAGGCCCTCTCCTATCCTGGCATTGCTCTGCTGAAATTACAAGCCGATTCAATTGCCTTGAACATACATCGTTACATATATCCATTATGCCATCCTTTTCAACATCCTGTCAATCAAGCATGCAACGCAGGAAAGAATATAGAAAGTCGGTTGGTCACTTGGAAATCATGTTGATACCGCAGGCGAATGCCCACAACCCAGATAGTGGGAATGGCGGTGCTGCCAAAGGGAGAGACGTGGCCGAACACATGCAGCAAAGCAATCACTGCTGCCAATGCACGGCTGAAGGCTTATGCAAGGGCCAACAGCCTGTGGCTGCACTATCTTGACGTGGGAGACAAGTTTCTGACCCATGTGGACAATGGGAATGGGCAGCAGGACATTGTCCCCTCTCTGCTCACCGCTGACACAGTCAGCCCCAGTTTTTATGGGATGCGAGTCATTGTGAAAGAGCTTGTCCCCCTGATCGACGTCCTCATTGCACAAAAGCCCAGCAAGCCCAAGACCGCCCAGGACGGCAGCAAAATCCACAGAGGTGAAAGGAGAAAAGTGACAAGGCTGGAACGCGCCGGCAGGCGGAAAAGCATGAGGGACAAAGCATCTGCCCAAAGGAAAGAGGAACTGGACAGCGCATATTAATGGCGCTCAAACGAGTTTTTGGGCTTTTGCCCTTGTTCTGGAGTTTTCTCGTGCTTGTTGTCAAGATACACTTGAGACATGCGCAGGTGCCTCCATGTGCGTTATGGTTAGCTGCTTACATGTGCAGCCATTGAGATGCACGATCAATTTTGAGCTGTACAAATTTATGAGCTGCAGGAGCATGCAGTCTTGTTGTCATGGTGTCCCCTTTGAAAGCAAAATAATATTTGCCCCTCAGCCCAGTCTGCTTGTACTTTGTGGCAGCCTGCAGGTTGCAGCCTGCACATCTGGCATCTTTTGACGGTCAAAACTTGACCCGATTTGGTTGCGTATGCCAGTGCTCGGAGGTTAAGGTTGAGAGACGGCCCAATAATTATGGGAAGACACATCACTTGCTTTTGACCAGTTAGCCTCAAATAAGGAGTTCAATAAAATGGTGTGTGCATGTATATGTCAGTCCCTTCTTTGCAAGTTATAGTCATATTAATCAAAAAGGAGGCGTTGCCCTCTAACTTACATGTATGACATGTCAATCCAGATTACGGTGCAATGAATGATCACTTGGGGAATGGAAATGGTACTGCACGTATATTACATTCACTGTGCAAAACACAACAGTTTGACGCGTCGCAGACTCTGACGAAGGACAACTAAACATTCACTGTGCAGCTACATTGCATAACTTACTGCAGCAGAAAAGCGCTAAATTGGATGCTGCTCATGACAAGTCCTGTTCACACAACTCACTCTCATCACGCATTATCACCTGTGGTTGCATCCCAAACGTGTAACAACAGAACCTCATTCTATAATACACTTGACAGTCAGAATTTGTTTCAGCACAGCACAACACAATCATGACCATGCCAATGTAGTGACCTATAAAATAGGCAAGAGGATCTCCTTGCGCCAAGCAATCCTCCACATCTTCTCCAGCAGCGCTAGTTCCTGAACTGCCGGTACTCAGCCTCAGCCGAGTATGGCGTCCACACAATCTTGCTAGGATCCACCTGTGCGCATTCCCAGCATCTCTCACACCACGAGCTCAGCTATTCACCCCGCAAGATCATTCATGGCTGCAAAAGGAGTTGCAGCATTCCGGCGCACAGGAGCGCCACAGAGGTCTGATGTACCAATCTGGTGCGGGTGGCTCGATTTATCAATAATTTGAGATAGGAAGACCCTCGACATCTGATCAGCCTTCTTGGTGTGCAAAGATGTCATGTGTTCTTGCTCTCACTCTCCTCACTAGGCTCTTGCGCGCTCTCTCCCTCCCTATCTCATCTGGTAATGTTCTTGGCAGAGGATGGGAGGCGCACTTCGAGGCCAGGAGAGCCGGCGGCTTTGAGGGTGCGATCGATGACGGATGGCGCGGCGCAGATGACGTGCTGCCCCTTCTGGTACTGGATGAGGTTGAGGTGCTGCAGGGTGCTGATGATGTCATCCGTCTTGATGGCGGTGATGTCACTCAGCTCCTTGATGGACACGCTGCCCTCGCGCACCTGCAGCACCTGCAGTGCAGCGCAGGCCAGAGCTAAGTATATGATAGAAGACGTGGTACTCCCTGGTCTTCAGTAAGTTCCGCCCCTCTACTAGCCATTACTGACCTCTTGCTTGCAAGGTGGCCGAATTAGTTCCTGCATGTTGCTTGTTGGAGGCCCCAAATAAAAATTGGAGGCAGCCCTTTCTCCCTTTCCAAGCTTGCTCTGCCTTGCATGTATCGTATACCTACTTGGTTATCTTGATCCTGGCATCTTACATCGAAAACATGCAAGATATTGCATGAAGGTGAAACAGGCAAAGCAACAGCGTCCCCGGCTTTGCTTGCGGATGGCAAGGGGAGGTCACCTTGAGCAGCTCGCGAGTCCAGTACCCTCTGTAGGACACGTTGCCCAGGTCAGACAGGGGCCGCTCAGGCGTGCCCACTTTGCCCTCAATCTTGGACAGCTCATAGCTCATCGCGATCAGAAACTTGCCGTAGCCCTTGCGCTGATATGATGGCAGCGTCAGGATGCAAGCCAGATTGTAGCCTTCCTCGCTGCACTTCTCCTTTGAGAAGTACCTGATGCACAGCCAAACCCACATGATTCAGAGTAATGGCCGCAAAGCATCTTTCAAGCCTCAAAATGCAGTTTCAACCATGAAATTCAACAGAGGTACAGGAAGCCTTGTACAGCCATCAAGACAATGATAATGAATTGACCTGCATGCATTGACAACAATCATTGAAGAGTGCTCACCCAACGATGTGGGATCCCCTCTCATCGTTCTCACAGAGGACATAGAACAGAAAAAGGTCCACGTCGTAGTAGAGCGTCTTGTGGTCCAGGAACAGCTTTGCCAGGTAGCACAGGTTCTGGCAGTACTGCTTCTCCTTCTTGCCATCCACCTGCTCAGAAGTCAGCTGAGTCAGCTCAATGATTTGCAGGACAGGGCCACAGTGTGCACAGCGCCGAACTCTCTGCGTTCAGGACAGTCAAATGAATGTGATGGGCAGAAGGGGTCGTGCCTCAAACATGGACACATTACGGCTGGTGTTGTTGCGATAGATCTCATCGCCGGGAGGGTGCTGCAGCTTGCACTTGCGCAGGTGGCGAATCATCTCGTCCCGGGTCTTGAAGAACGCCAGATCATACTCCGCAAAGTACAGACACTGCATGCAGCGCACACTTTGTCAAATTCGGTGTGACTGAGTCTTAATGAATACTGCTGTCAAGCCACATGTACATTGGCATGTGCAAGGGACGCAATCAGCTGGCACAGGCAAGAGGGACGGAGTTGACCTTGCAGTTGTTGTACTCGGGCGGGAGTGGTGAGAAGTACCACGTCTCCAGCTCATACCGCCCAAGCTCGATCTTGTCAACGTTCTTCACCTTAGTGAACTCCTCGTGCTGCCTCAGCTCGTTGGGATCAAAGTCGCCGTGGTGCTCATCCTCCAACTCATCCCCTGCCCTGCGCTTCTTTGACCTGCACACAACGATGTCCTCAATCTTCTCCCCATCCTCTTTTCCATTGTTGAATTTTATATCCCTGTGTGCAAAGGTGTTGCAGGTGCCCTGTTGGTTGAGCCTGTCCCATCTTCTATTGATGCGCTTGCCAGTAATGCATTGTTTTCATCATGACCAGTGTAACAGGCCAAGCAGCAGTGCCATGCTTGCTTGATGCACACGTAAGCTTGGGGACTGGATGGGGATTGGCCCAGCAAGGAAGCAGGAGGTTGTAGCAGCTCTCACCCTTTGTTGTCTGGGCCCTCAATGTCTGCCACGTCCACTGTGTTCAAATTCAAGTTCTCCAGCTTCACCCACTCATCCATCCTTCTGTTGACTGCAATGCCATGCAACATGTGTCACTGTGGCATCTGTGTAAGCTCCAAGGCAGGGACACTGAAAGCTGAAACTACCTCCTGAATTGATCCTCAATGTGGGCATGACACCTCCCTAAACAAGTAGTGACCTCCACGTCATGTCAAATTTATGAAAGTGCCACAGATGGGTGCACGCACATTTGAGGTAGTGCACATAGTACTCATGGACCTCAGAGCCATCCAACAGCCGCCTCTCCACCACCCTTGCTGTGTAGTACTCCCCATCTCGCCATCTGCAATCCACTCGCGTGCCAATTTGCAGCGGGAGTTGCACCTGCATGCGGATGCTTCATGAGTCATCATTTGACGCACTCCTGGAGCAGAGCAATCCGGCACACCATCAGGCCAGGCAGGCGCACATCTGCTAGGGCGAGAATCTCAGAGCGCCTGTCTACATCCGCCTCTGCAGCCTCGCCCTCCATGCTGACAGCCATGTCGCGCTGGTCCACCAACTGCTCAAGTTTGAGCTCTGCCTGGTCTGCAGCTGGCTGGGGAACACCTCCCATCACCCTCTTCCCCTTTCCAGCCCCCTGAGACCCGCAATAGTTGGGCATCAGAGATGAACTCTGTAGACCAAAGGACTGGTGGAGACTTGGGAAGGCACTGTGTTCTGAGAGTTGCACATACGTGGCTGGTAAGATGTGCCCCATCCAGCTCCATCTTGACCAAGGTGGCATCGATGCCTTGCTTATTGACAACGCCCGGCATTGGATTCCTATTCAGTCGTTCGCCGAAGTCTCTTTCTCCTTGCTAGTGTACAAGTGAGCGATCCAGGTATTGGTGATCCACCAAAACTGGACTTATTTCAAGTTTTGAACGTACGGAAAGAGCAATGGAGTCCCTGTAGAGCAACACGAGCAGCTATGGGCAAGAAAAACAGGAAGTCATCTCCTGGAGTCAGCTGCACCCTTCCCAGGATTGGAAGACATCGACCTCACGACAAGTCTTCTTATTTCCAAGTATTCAATTGGCCATCAGAGATACATCCCTGACACAGCAGAGCAGAAAGGAAAGAGTATTAAGCACGTGACTGAAATTAGTAATATATCATTCGCACTTCATCGTTTGGCCTTCTGGAACGCTCTTGAACAGAGACCAAGTCCTCAAGGGCCCAAAATACTGTACTATAACGTCAACTTCTGGTATACCCTGCGCAAAGGGCCCTCGACGCTGTCTGCCTCGATTGCACATCCTTGTTGAGACACATAAACCCATTGTATTCAGCACATATATTCTCGAGGGCAGACATGGCAGATCTCGTGCGAGCTGAATTTTGGGTGATCGAAGAGACTGACATGGAGATGCATCCATTCACGGTACTCATCATGTCCTACCTCTGCCAATCAGCGTCGCTGTGTCCATCCCTGCCAACAAGAGCTGCAGTCCAAATACTATGTGTCAAAATAAGGTGTTCTGTGATCTGCTTTTGCTGTCCTGTAAGGTATTATTTATTCGAGACTCAGCATGCCTTCTTGAAGAAGGGTTATCACAACATGCAGCAGGCAATCCCGCTCTTACGATTCATTATCATCGGTCGCAGGGCCTTGTGGATGCTGTGCGGCAAAACGATCTGGGTCGTGTGCGTGGCATCTTGAGCAGTGGCGTCGGGCTGGATAGTGCACCGCAACCACTCCCTCCAATGACACCTCCCCTGATCGAGGCAGTCTGTGCGGGCCACCGCGACATGGTGGAGATGTTCCTGGACGGGAAGGCCAGCTTGAACGCCCGCGATGTGGCTCTCGGTAGGATCACAGATCTGTGCATGTTCTTGGATAGCTTTTTTGGGATCCTATCTATAGATGCTCAACTTGAGCAGACCAGTGCGTTTTCCACAGGTGGCACAGCGCTGCATTGGGCAGCCGCGACAGGCAACAAGGAACTCCTGGCCATTCTGATGGAGCGCGCCGTGGATGTGAACAGCCCCTGCTATTCTGGGCAGACTCCCCTGCATGTGGCTGCTGCATGCGGCCATGACCACATCGTCCGCCTGCTGCTGTCCGACAATGCACAGCCAGACATCGGTGCGAATTTTGTCACAGTCATCTCATTCACTCTCTCTGCGCTTACATCCCGATGACCACCTTGTCCTAGCAGGGTTCTGACAACAGGGAAGGGTGATGCCCTTAATTGCTGATGAAGTCATGATGTTGGTGGGTGCGCAGTTGATCTGAGGGGAGACACGCCGCTGCATGAGGCTGCTGGAGCGGGGCATGTGCCTGTCTGCGACTCGCTGCTGTCTGGCCGAGCCAACCCCAATGTGGCCAACCTGGATGCCGAAACCCCTCTGCATGTGGCAGCCCGACGCGGCTACTCTGGCGTTGTGGAGGTGCAACCCCCACCTGCTTCCTCTCGTTCCATACTGTGTCATTCTGGGCACTTGTAGACGATTGATTACAGGACAATGGCAATTCATTTGCAAGGCATCATGGGAAACAGTTTGCCAAACGTAGCGAACGCACACTCATTCTTGATGTGCAATCTTCTTCACTTCTCTGCCACAATACGCCTCATGCAGTGTACACTGGGGAGGCCCCGGATTTGTTTAGGGCCAGTGTGGACACATGCAGGTCCTGCTGGCGCGAGGAGCATCCCTTGATGCAGCGAACAGTGCGGGCATCACAGCTCTGATCAACGCCGCCTTCTTTGGCCACGATCCAGTCGTCCAGCTGCTGCTGCAGCGTGGCGCCAACGCTCGTGCAGTCGACCAAAAGCGCCGCGCGGCTCTGCACTGGGCCGCCCTCAACGACAACGATGCGGTGCGCACCATCTCTGTGCTTCTGTGCTTGGCTGGGGGAAGAGTTTGAGTCCTGCTTTCCATGCTGTGACAAGCACAAGGCTCTGGGGTTGATGGTCTATAATCACTTGTGGTTGTGTGTATGCAACTTCAATTATAAGTTTCCTTTGAGCCAGGGGATCATGCTAGTGTTGCGAGGCAGCCCTTCCCTTCATTCACTCGCTCTTCCAATATGTCTGTGAATCCTTGTTTGTTATAAAGGATGTGGTTCTGATGGCGGTGTATCTGTGCAGACGGTGAGGAGCCTGCTTGGCTGGGCGGCGGATTCGGTGCGGCTGCTGGATGAGGGCGGTGCCAGCCCTCTGGATCTTGCCATGCAGGCAGACGCTGCACGTGTCATCAGCATCCTTCGCAGCCTGCACTAGCACCTCACTCAGAAGGGACTCTACATTTTACACTGCTTCCTGCATGATGCATTACCGTCCCTACAAAGGGACTCAGCAATTTGGCTTCAAGGCTTGCCACACCGATGCAGGTCTGTGTCTTGGTCTAGCTGCATGCATGTGCTCAACAGTGCCACTGCAGTGCTCCTGCAGGCTGCGCAGCTGCAGCTGGCGCTAGAGTACCTTGTGACGTGTGATTGTTGACTGGTGTGACAGTCATTATCGCAATGTTGTGGATGTCTATAAACTTTGTGTTTGTCTGGTAGAACAGATCTGCTGTGCTTTGCAGTCCATGTGCATGCTAATGGGACTTACGTTACCACCTTCCTTTAGAAAGGAACCTGTGTTCTTCTCTCCTTTGTTCAGGTACATTTGCAGTCTTGTAAATTACAGCTTCTTGTTAACGTGGCAAATTGAACATAACAATTCCACATTGTTGCACGCTACATGCGCATATGCTCTTCACGCACCATACTGTCCTGGAGACATGTGGAGAACTTTGATCCCGACTTTACCTAAAGAAGGAACTCGCTTATGACCTGCGATGCACCATTAGGAAGAGCATTGTTTCTGACTTTCATCCGCGCTTACAGTGGACTGCATCTTGCCATCACAGATAAGAAGCCAGAGAAAAGGTGACGCACTACAGGCCAGCACTGGGTTCGTTTTACACCTGTGGCGGGTGAAACTACTACTGTGAAGAGAAATTTAAAGCATCTCACAACTCTGAAGTGTCATCATCGACATGTAGCATCCTGTCGTGGCCCCATTGCTCAGGTAGATCTCCATTCTATACAGGCACAGAACAAGTGCAGCCACATGGCAGATGGAGCTCCAATACAGCCACGAAAAAGGAGACTTCCGGGTTCTATGCAGCCAAAGCCACCAGCTCCTGAGCCAGAGATCCCTGCCAAGTCCAAGAAAAAGAAAACCAGCGAGGCACCTGCCAAAGCAGATTCCCCGGACAGGAAGAGCCCAAAGCAGGTCCAGACAAGGCTGACATTCCAAAAGAAGCCTGTGGAAGACCGTTCATATGCCTTTGCTGTCAAGCCTGAGCCGCCCAGGCTACCATTGCCGCCCAAGCTACCACTGCCACCAGTCTCCCAAAGCGGACGGCCTGTCAGGTAAAGAGACATACTCCAACATGCTACAAATCATCTATTCTTTGGGTTGAGGTCACATTGGCAAGCGCAGGCTTTTGAACTTGCTCTTGATATCGTAGAGCATTGAAGGGACTGTCTGTCTCAACCATCACATGCGCATGCAGGTGTAGCCCTCAGGCAATGCTGGACATCACGGATGAGCAGCTGCTGAGTCAGTGCCATGCTTGGGCAGAACCCAATGCCTCCCAAGATGCCCCAGCAGAGCGGAAGAGACCGACAAAAGCAGTCATTCCCCAGGTCGCTATTGAGGACAGAAATACAGTGGGACTTGCAGCGCAGCAGACTCTGCCCGCCGCAACTGTGAGGCGAGAGCCAGCAGAAAGCACAGTGCCCATAGCCTCATCTCAACATGTGGAAGCAGTCCCTTCAGGACAGGGTGGTGCTGATGAGGGGGCAAGGGTCATGGCAGGGTCCACGAGTGAAGCACAGCCGTCTGCTCCAAATGACTTTTGCAGGAGCCTGTTGGCTGATCTGCTGGGAGAACCCCCCTCAGTTGTCAGTGCAGCGCCTGCTGCGATCAGCGGACAGCCGCATGACAGACTTGCACCGGAAGCAGGGCCTTCAGACACTGGCGCGTGCAGGAGCAACCATGCTAGCGCAAATGACAATGGCAGCACGGCGAATGGCGAGAGATGTCCAGCTGAAATCAGTGCGACTCAGAAAGAAAGCCACTCATTGCCTGCAGCAGATGCACAGGATTCTACCCTTGGCAGAGGTTCCTTGCCTCGCGTGGATCTGGGCCCATCGTTGCCGTTTTCAGTGAGCGCAGGCAGTGCAAGGATGGGTGCTGGCAAGAAGCTGTCGCTCCGGGAACGCATGAAGTTGCTGCAGAGCCAGTGAGGATATCAATGCGCAGGTTGTGACAATCGATTTAATTTTCTGGCGATGTTTGGACTATGGATGAGGTACTGCATGTATTTTATGACTGTGCACCAAGATTGTGTCTCTATTGACGACACCTGTATTCTGCTGGACTGCAAGGCACTCCGTGCTGTCAGCGGTCGGCCAAATTGAACTCTAGAGGTCTTATGCATGCTGGCATCATGATCATGCATATGACTCATCGGATGATCATGATCATGATGATCGGGCAACCTCAGGGCACTTGTATGCATTAGTGGCACTTGAATTTGCTTCTGTAAACATGTCGCCCTCACACACTGTGATTCCCATCTGCCCAATCGCTATTCCACGTTGGTGCCTCGTGCTCAGTCTTCCGAGGGCAAGGAAGATGAGTTGATGGCGTTACGCCCCCTCAAAAGGTTATGTAACCGTAACCTTGGCTGTGCTCAAAATTGAGCTCAGGCCATTAGCGTTGTGAGCTTTCGTCCAGACAAGCACACAATAAGTGAGCATTACGTCCTCAAGGAACGTGATTGGGGGACGAAAGAAGCAGGGTGTCTGAACGAAGGACAGTACGTCGGTTGCCTCCTTGGGAAGGCAGTGGGGCACGCATGCGCCCATAATCAAGCGCATGGGAAGTCAGACAATTCCGAAGAACATTTACGCATCAGGGTGAGAGAATATGTACGTCGATGAATTGAGCACTTGCGATGTTGCAGACAGTCGACTGAAAGGTGCCTTCCTGAATCTCACGCTGTGGATTTATGCCCAAAGAAACAAGCACGCGGACCAATCTGAGGAGAAGAGAAATTGGGATGCGGATGCGGATGACAAAATTCGGGAAATCCTCACAGAAAATCCTGGAAGGAAACCCAGATGGAGCGATGACAGGTTGCAACAGGCAAGCCCTACCCATCTAAATCTCCTCTTTGATCCGAATCTTTTCAATGCGAAATATGAGGAAGGTTTATTAATTCACTGCCATTGACGCTCTGCTTGCACTCCAATCCGCAGATGGACAGGATAGCACTGGAACAGCGCAAGCGATGTATCATGTGGGACGATGAGGGGGCTGGATTCTACCTGGTAGGACTCAAATAACTGAAGATTGAGATCCATTCGTGAAGCCAGATGGCATGCCTGTCATTTGACACAGTACCCTGAACGCCTCAGTGCTCTAACAATAGAAGGTGGAATTGTGCAGATGATGAATTGGGATTGGCTCAGAAATTGCCCTGCAAAGATGCCAAAGGACAGAGCATCAGAGCCAGGCTGGTACGAACCTACCTTCAGCCCTTGTCGCCTATCACAGGCGACTGTTGTGTCTTGTGAAACCTCTGGCTTGGACTAAAAGTGTGCTGCCCATTGTGGGCTTGGACACCTTGCAATAACATCTTGCAATGCAGGTATGAAGTGGTGAAGACTATGCTGAAGCCACCTCTACTTGACTCAAACGTTTCTGAGGACAAGCTTGCTGACTGGATCGATACGCACACAATGCGGGTGCATGGGTTCCTAGACAGATTGCAACAGGTAACTGCTTTTTTCACCGGGCTATAAACCCGCGGCCGAAAAACACACACTGCAGTCATCAGCTGATTAATGCAAGCAAAAATTTGCTGATTTACCATAAAGGACCTTACAGTGTGATTTTCGAGACTACATCATGATCATGAGCATCAAATCAATTGATCGTGTGGCCATGCAGGTGAAAGAGGATAGCAAGGGAGGCTTTTTCATCACACCATAAATTTCACATGGGAGATTTGGTAGTTTGTCGGCTGCAAAACATAGGGGAAAATATAAGTGCTGTTGTTAGAAAGTATTACATTACGCTCAGTTGATGTCAAGAAATTGATGGTCTAAGCCTTTCTTGGGTCACAATTTGTGCACAATGAGTTGGCCCAGTGGGAATACTGCCATGCATATTTTATGTCATCAAGGGTATGGCATTGTTTACTTTGCAAAGCAGGCACATTCTACCTATCGATACAAAGTACAAAAGAAGTCTGCTGGTCTTATTCAGAAGCCCACAAACATTGCTTGCTCGTTCATGGAGAGCTCAAAGTCGTGTTTCAGAGGGCCCAGCGACGAGTAGTCATCAAAATTAGATCTGTCATCAGCAGCCTTCACCACAGGCCTGCATGCCAGCCCATGCATCAGCCAAATCAGACGGTCCTTTCAGTAAGAGGCAGGTCCCAGATTCCAAATTGTCAACAGAAGTGTTGTCATGCACACGAATGTGAGCTCGTTAGGCAGGAAACATTACATAGAAACATTACAAAAGACACCTGATGGGCGGCGTCTCCTCTCTCCTGGCCACCTTATTCCAGTCCAGACCCTTGAACCAGGGGTGATTCTTGATGTCATTCGTTCCAGCAGCCAAACACCCATACCTCTTTGACAAATCAGCCTGCGTGCCATGTCAATTGAGCACACTTCACCCACTCTGTTACACAATATTTTGCTCGCATCCTCGTTCCTAGAGGAGCTTTGTAACATCGATGGAAGCTAGCCCGCACTGATGGAGCGGCGACATTGAAATGAGTTTCTGCCTCCAATGCTGGCTCCGTTGGCACCATGCCAACTTGCTTACCAATAGATAATTGCTACGGCCTCAAGACGCCCCTGTTGATCTGTGTTGCAGGGCTTTTATGTGTTCATCAGAGCAATCGTGCTCTATTGATCCCACTTACCCTGATCCTGCACGCTGCATGGTTCCTTTGCTGCTCAACAGCAGGGACAAGGCAGAGTCTGCAAGAGCATGGATAGCCACGAATGTAAAAATCGAGTTGGGGCTCTTAAAAACCAGCTGAAATTCTCGGAGCTTGAAGCAAAGTTGAGAGAATTTTTTGCACCTGTAAGAGCTTCCGGATGAGGTCGCGAGCGTTCACAGAGAAGTGGGCGGGGAACCCGAAGCGGCCGCTGAGGATCTTCTTGTAGGTGTTGGTGACGTCCTCATCATAAAAGGGCGGGAAGCCGGCCATCATCTCATACAGGAACACCCCAAACGCCCACCAGTCCACTGCCATGCCATGCCCCTACGGATCAGTCATGTTACATCCCTTACAGTTCACTCAGTGAGTCAGACGGTTTGTCACGTCACATTGCTTTCAGCCTACTCAGGGTTGTTTCAAAGCCTAAATCGAGATCTACATAAGTTTTCAGAGTTAGCGCCCACCATGACATCATGTGAAAAAAAATCCACATCACAGCCCCACGTCCTGAGAAAATAAGGACATGCAGAGTACCCGCTGGTGAATTACTTATACAGCAGCTAGAGTGAGTCTCTCGTACAGTAGGATGACTCTAGAAGTATCCACAAAGAGTGTGGGCAGTTCACCTTGTTGAGGATGATTTCTGGGGCGAGGTAGTCTGGCGTGCCGCACAGGGTATATGTGCGCTTGCCGCTGCCGACAATCTTGGCAAAGCCCAGATCTGTCACCTTGATGTGCCCCTTGCTGTCCAGCAACAAGTTCTCCGGCTGCAGACGACACAGCTCCCCTCATGCTGTGATCTGCCCATGCTTGTTTATTATATTGATTTTCATTCTCGCGGCATCCCTACCAGCGGCAAGGTGTGTGCACAAACATTGCAGGTAATGGCTGCCATATTTCCTACCCCTTGATGGACGTGCCAGATCCAAGCAAGACCAATCAACTGTGGCAAGGTGCTCAGCATTTATACCAGCCCCTTCCAGCCGAGACATGCTTTTCACCCTGCAACGATTACTTTCATGGGCCTGCTGTACATTTGGTGCTCACCTTCAGATCACGGTAGACAATGTCATTGCTGTGGAGGTACTCAAATGCATCCAGCACCTCGGCTGCGTAGAATCTGGCATGGTCTTCTGGCAACCTGCACATCAGTAAGGGGTTTGTCATTCTTTATGCAAGGTAGAATGCGAGACATGCAAGGCAGCGCGAGCGACGAGAAGGGAGGAAGGGCTGCCTCGCAGGTTACTTGAAGAACACATTGCCATGACCCTGAATATTTGTAGACAATTTCTGCATAGCGTGGAATTTGCAGCGACACTAAAGAGCAGAGTGTGGCCTCACTTCTCTTTCGCTTTGAGGTGCCTGAAGAATTCACCGCCGCAGACATACTCCATAACAAAGTAGACGCAGTTGTCGTCCTGGAACCCGCCCAGAAAGTTGACCAGGCCCGGGTGATTCACCATCCTCAACACATCCCGCTCCGCCCTCAGATGTATGATCTGCGAGGCGTAGTAAAGTTCAGCCCAGATCGTGAAAAAGGTATGATCATGATCACAGGCTGATCCTGCCAGAGGCAAAGTGCATCTGGCAGATGCCATCTGCTGGAAAGCTGCAGGTCAAGGCTGCCACATATCCTACCCCCTGATCAACAATATAGAACGGTACTGATCTGCACAGAAAGAATGTCCAGCACGTTGGCTAGCAAATTTTGAACGTGTGACATTATCTCTTAAATTCTTACACGCTGTGCCTGCTAAGAGGCAAGGTGCATCTGCAAGCTGAATGTAGGTGCTGGTGTGCCCTTATATTTCTCAAGCCCCTTCTCTTGAAGTCAATGTGAGGGGGGCCCTGCCTGCTGGTTCTTGACCAGGTGGGCCTTTGAGAGTGCCTTGATGGCGCAGACCTCCCTGCTGGCCTTGGTGTGCACCAGCAGCACGCGCCCAAAGCTGCCCGTGCCCAGAATGGGCCCCTGCTCAAAGTCACTGATGGTGCAGGAGTCATATTTGCTCTTCTGTCCGCTGCCGGACCTGCCCACCAGAACCTGGACCTGCACCTGCGTGGTTGTTGGGCCCTGCACGCGCCAAAATGGCAAAATCAGAGAGAAGCTACGCAGCTGATAACATCAAGGTCCCTTTGCATCTGGAGCACGCTTGCCCCGGTCAGTCCTTCTTCTCTGTCAAGGCTGTCATGCAGTGTCAGGGTCCGTCTGATTGAGATTGTGGAATCGATTGTTTACATACAGCCTTTTTGCACGGCTGAGCTACCTTGGTTTCCCGTGGCGTGGACTTCCCTGACTCTTTCGTGCCTGCGCTTCTTGCTTGGCAGCTCGTCTGTTTGCGCTCCTTTGCGACGTCCTTTTCACAATTTTCTTTTGTGCTCTTCTCCTGGATTCACCAGACATACATCACCAATATTAAATGCTGCCATAAGGAGCCTTTCCCTTCAACACTTCTTCACGGAGAAAAGCCTTCTGCTAGCGTAAGAACGGAATGAAGATGGCTTGCTGATGTCAAGCGTCCGAATAGGTGCGATTAATGTCTTGTTTCAAGATTACCTTCAATTTTTCCTTCAGCTGCAAAGAGAAATTGCTCGGGAAAATGCTTTTCATCGCACTGCCGAGACCTCCTCTAACGACTGCACGATCACCATCACCCTTGCCTTAAGATCTGAACAGCTTCCGAAGCATTCTGCACTTCGGAGGCCTTGATATCATAATGATGTGCACCCGAGCTGCATCCGGTACATTCGTTCCAACGTTCCCAGTGGGGCTAAATATAGAAAGCCAAAAGAGGAGACTGGGAAGCTGGCAGGTCAAGCATGGAAGTCAACCCACCTCCACTTCATTCCTTCCTTCAATTCACATCCTCAACATTACATTCTTCACGATGTCTCACATCTCAAGTGCTCGTCAGCTTGAGTGTGTTCTACATTATTGAATAGTTATATTACAGGCCCTAAAAGTTGAGTCATAGATGAGGTGCACCGTGCAACGCACTCGGTATTCGTGAATATCACCTCCAAAGATCATGGCTGCCAGTATCATCTTGACATCCCTGTTCCTCAGCCAATACTCATCCACACCATTGCATTCTAGAGCCAGTCAACAGAGTCATGATGACAGCAGCATGAGCATGCCGCTGATGAGGACCCCTGTCAAGCCCAGCAAAATCCCAGCAGACAACAGCACATCCACAGCCTGACCGCTCCATGCTGAGCTGCCATTGCACTGCAACGCTGTTCCCTGCAAGCTACCCTGCTCTGTCATCGCCTTGCCCTTGCTCGGCACAGCGCAGACTTTCAGCGCCCCGCTGCTGCGGCGTGGAGCCAACACAGACTGCTTCGTGTCTGCAATGCTGCTAGCGACGGAGTGGCCGGCGCCCTTCCTGGGAGCACCAGAAAGCTGCTTTTCTGGGCTGGTCGCAGCTGCATGAGGAGGAACATGCGTCGCTGCTTTAGTTGCATGTGCTGTGGCTGGGGATTGGAGCCCCCTTGCAGGGTCCACTGCTGAAGGGCGGTTCTTCATGTGACCAGCTGACGAGGCATGCTGTCTCTGCCCTATGTCATTGGCATCTGAGCTGCTGGCAGCAGGCGCATTCACGCTGCCATTGCTGTTGGATGCTAAGGGTTGTGCAGACCCATGCTGAAGTGCATCGCGGGGTTCCTTGTGGCGGCTTGTGTCACTCCTGTCTGATCCTGCGGAGTGGCAGCTGCTGTGGCTGTGGCCGGCCTTGCCGCCAGCGCTGCTATCTGTAGCCACTGGCTCCCGCTGACAGCAGCTGTTTGCTGCACAGCCGCAGCCTGCTGATTGGACTGCATCATCCTCCCTGCCACAAGATGATGCCCCAGACTCTGCTTTTTTGTTCTGTGTCAAGCCGCCTCCTCTGATGCAATTCACCCGCCCTTCATCCCCATTGCCTGCTGCAGCCCCTGTCGCTCCGTCAGCGAAGCGATCGTTCCTGGTTTGGCTGCTTGCTTCTGAGGCGGCCTCTCCATTGCTCCTCACGCTCGCTGCTTCACTGCTGCCGGAGCGCTGTGACTGCGGTGCTCGGGAAGGGGATGAGCGGGACTGGGGCTCCCTGTGCTGCCGCGGGTGCACCTCCCCTGCCGAGGTGGCGGCGCCGTTGGGTATGTCGGGGGTGCATCGAACGGGTGGGGCGCCGGGCGGCTGGAACACGACCGACACTATATCGCCAGTGACGTTCCACCGCGAGGCGGCTGTGACGCGCACAGTCACCACACTGCCCATGAGGCCCTCCTGCGGCTCCAGCAGCACCTGCAGTGCACAAAGCTTGCACTTCATGACACTCGCCACTCAGCATATATAAAACATTCCATTCCTCTCTGGTCTCTGCGCTCCCCTGCGGCCAGTTATGGAATGCTTGCACCTTGCGAAACACCAGCACTGGCTGTCAGATCAGGAGGGATCAGCTGGCAAGTGGCACAGGCCAGCAGCACCCTGACGAGGACTTAGCAGGAAGGATAAAGGGGTTGCCCAGCAGGAATAGGTGCTTGCCTGGATGTAGCTCTTGGTGTGGCCGACGAGGTGGCGGCCGTCGGCGGCGAGTTCCACGACGCAGACGCGCTGCAGGCTGCCCACCAGGCGCTGGTAGCAGTCGCCAAAACCGTCCACGAGCGCCGTCAGAGCGCGGCTGCGTGCCTTTGCCACCCCATTGGGCAGCTGCACGCACAATGAGCCAATTGTGAATGCAATACGTACAAGCAGTGCGTGCAGCAATGTAAGGAGAATTGGATCCTGCGTGGTATATACACAATGCGTGCAACATACAAGACACCTACATCACAGGAACATTTGTCTGCATGTGAGGTCATCCATGACGAACCAGCATCAAAGCACTATGCACTATACTGAGAAAAGCACTGGATCGTGAGGTGGTGAATTTTACAAGGGCTGAAGATGTACAGGACAATTTTGCACCGCAGAGGAAAACTGTGGCGCTTGTTCACCTTTTTCATGCGTGCGGCCGGGGTGCCAGGGCGCGGATAGAACTGGCTGATGTGGGTGTGGGGGAACCGGTACTGCCGCACGAGCGCCATCGTGGCCTCAAAATCCTCGTCGGTCTCGCCCGGGAATCCACAGATGATGTCTGTGGCAAGCTCCAGGCCAGGCACCAGCTCCAGCAGCGTGTCTGCCACTCTGCATAACCCCACACATCGTCTTAACAGCAGACACACCATCTTGCACGCTTTACAATACATGGCATACTGACCAATTTTGCATGGTGTGCCCCTTCTGTCTCTCCTCGACGAATCTGTCAGGATGCAGGACGCCCCAAATACCCATAGATTACATTTTGCATGCAATCGCAAAAATGGCAATGCGCAGCGGCCCCCGGCGTTATCTGCGGGCACAGAGGATCATGACATGCAGCACGGGTGCTGCTGGGGTGAAGAGGGTGTGAGGAGGGGAGGTGCAGAGTGATATATTGAACGGGTGCATACCTGCGGAACTCGGCGGAGGTGTACTCACGGTTCATGGCGGCCAGGACTGCGTCCGAGCCGGACTGCACGGGCACGTGCAGGTAGGAGAACACACAGGGGTGATTCAGTGCCTGCGCATTAGCAGCACAATCAGTCCCTCAGCTGCCAAAAATGCCCAAATTATCCGCACCCCTGCCGCGCACATGCTAACATATACAGGAGCTGCACTACTCTGCAGCTGCCTGATATGGCATAATTATCGAGACTTTTGAGACCTTGAGCCCCTGCAAAAATATTGCACAGCCACAGGCAGAGTCACGCAATTCCTTTGTGAAGCACTGCAGATGCACTTTGCCACAATCTGCCGGACACCTCATGAAGCATGGGCAAGCGGAGAGGCACGCAGGCAGAAGTGTCTCAAGAGAGCCGTGGGAGTGCACATACCTCCGCGATGTCGGGGAGGTGCTCCAGGATGAAGGGCGGGTTGGTCATGCCGATGCGCAGTATGGTGCGGCCGTCGCTCGGCAGTGCGGCCGTGAGCGCTCGCAGCAGATCTGGCAGAGAGGTGTCCAGGTCGCGGCCGTACGCGCCCGTGTCCTCGCTGCTCAGCCACACCTCCCTCACCTGCCAGATTTATTCAGCCTCAGCCGCAGACTTCCCTTGAATAACAATAAACATCGCATCTACCTTTGAAGACGGCTTTTGATACAGCAGATGAAACTTACGTCGTGGTTGAATTGCCTTGATGAGGTATCTGCGTCTTGGTACAGGGGAGCCAAATCAGAGCATGCAATACGTCCACCTTTGACAAGTGACATTCCAATGTCTGCAGCAGTGTGCAATGCCCACAACGTTCCTTCGCTGAAATGGACGTATTGCACACTCTGCAGCACTTCTTGAGCTTCATCCCTATGGTGACAGAACTACTAACAAGGCGCCCCGAAGTCTTGTCATTCGCTAATTCAATCATGCGCAGTACAACTCATCAAGGGTGTGCTGGGGTGGCAAAGAACAGCACCAGCGGGTCGACAGCAGCGGCAGCCGCTCGGTGCACAAGGGCGCTGAGTTCGTAGGAGCCGAGCTGGCCGCGCGCATGCTTTGTCTTGCAGTACGTGCACGCCCCCAGGCAGCCCGTCGACAGCGGCAGAATCTCCACATGCGCATTTCTCCGCACCTGCACACCAGCACTGTGAAAGTTGCCTCTGCCATGCTGATTTATTTTTAATGAGCCAATGATTCCTGTGCGCTGAAGGAGAGGTCCCATCACAGGCCCTTGTCATGCATGGCTCTTGCAATGTAGGTTATGCACATGGCAGATTTGCACGGTGGTGGTTTGGTGGTGCATTGCATGCAAGGACTTGAAGGAGGCTACTTTGGGCAGGTCCAAGCGCGGCAGCTTCTTCTTGGCTAGCATGTGCACCACATTGCCCCTGAGTGTCTCCTCCACCGCCTCCACCACCCTGTCGATCTGCGTGACCCCTGCAGGCATCGGCATATTTCCCTGTCATGTCAGCGCCCACTGGGAGCGGCTAGGAAGACATCATGAACATTGCAGTGCGCACTTGCTGGGAATCTCAAGGAAGCTTTCATCGTGGGTGGGTGTAACGTGGAGAGGGGAGGAGTGCTCACCCAGCAGGCTCAGGTCTTGCAGCTCAGGCACCTTCTTGTCTCCTTGGGGCACGCAGCCGCAGACCACCAGCTTCTTGTTCAGGGCTTTGCCACGCGCCACTAGCGTGCTCATGGCCGCCTGGCTGGGATTCTTGACGGTGCAGGTGTTGACTAGCCATAGATCCGCTGCATCCTGCTTGTCATCGGCCAACAGCCTGCCCAGTACAGTCTACCTCAGCTGTAGCAGAAATTGAAGCTTGAGCCCACAACATATTGAATAGATCTTAGTGGCTGGTATAGCCTACTCCTTATATTAGCAATAGAAGCTGACGTGCTCCAAAGGCAAAGCATGGAGGCTTGCCTGTAGCCGTAGTCCTGTAGCTGTCCCATCATATACTCGCTATCTGACATGTTGTGAGCACAACCAAATGTCTTGACCCAGATGCCATATTTCTCTGGCAGATCAGCACCACTGCGGTCTGTCTGAGGCTGGGGATCATCCGTGTTTCTAAGATGTCGCAACACCTGGCCCTTTCCAACAGGCTGCCTCACCCCTTCAAACGAACCTGCGTCAAAATCCTCCAGATCCTGCATTGCGCTGATGAAGAACAAGACTTTGCTTCACAGAAGGAGGAGCATTTAACCCGAGCACTGCATGCAAGAGCAAACCCCTTGTTTTCGTCTGTTCCCTTGCGAAAACCTGGCTAGGGTTCGAAGCAGGGGACGATCTCGGAAAGCTCAAGAAGACCCCTGTTTGGGAGGCGTACCGAGTTACTTTGCCAGGAGGAGGCCTTCAGCCAGGTATTCTTTTCATATTTGCAGTTGGGGATCCAGATTGTGCTGCGACTGGACAGCCAGCTCAGACACTGAGGTGTAGATTCGGCCCCTGGCGTCTCAGTAGCGCAGCTCAGCAGCCATGGGATCGTACGCTGACTGTGGACAGGTGGGCGTCATATTTAAAGCAGGTTTCCTACTGCCAGGAGTCCCTTGCGTGAGGAAGGAATCCGAACAACCTCACTGTGCTGGCCAGGCCGTGGAAATCATCGCTGGACGTCTGACGTTTCTAGCCGTGCGAAGCTTCGAGGCATTCAACAGCAATCAGGATGTACAGTCTTCGTTGAGATACTGCATCGACAGGGAGCTGGTGAGCCACCTCCCTACAGCCAAGTCGTCAGAGCCGAGGGCTTTTGCCCAATCTGCCCTATCCACTCACTAACCTCTGGTCATGGCTGCAGATCTACTATCCCTTCTTCAAAGATTTTGGACCATTAGATCTGGGCCTAGCGTTCCGATTCTGCAGAAAGACCGCCCAGCTACTTCAGGTGTGTCACCGATCTTGTACTATGTGAATCTGGAAAGCAGATCCTAGCTTCTTATCAAGATGCTAGGGCGCTGCCCGCTCTTGTTCACTTACACACATATCGATGAAAAATCATCTACTTTTGCAGGAAGCAGAAAGCCAGGGGAAGCACCTCATCTTTTTTACAGGACCTTCCCCACAGTACAAAGCCAACGCTGCTGTCCTGGTGAGTCAACCCTGTCAGCAAATTGGCAGCCTCTGCCAGGAAAGTTTCACCACATAAAAGCCCATCAGCCCACATGTAAAATTTACATGGCACACAGGAGAATTTAAAAAGAGCCCATGTGTGATGGCACATCAGGTGGGCATTTTCCAGGTGATGCTACTGCAGCGCTCAGCAGAGAGAGTCTGCAGCCTCCTGCAGACGATGGAGCCGTTTCTTCCATTCAGAGATCCCTCTCGGGGCCCCTCCTGCTTCGACCTGCAAGTCTATGACTGCGTTCGGGTGAGCAGCCATGCCCGCACCTCTGCAGTCTTGTTACTGTTATATAGAGAGGCTGACTGGACCTGCTCCGGCAAATGCCCCAGATGTATAATCAAGCTCCCACAGGCGGAGCATCTAATAATATTCTTATAGTGCACCATGCTAAAGCAAAAATAAAGAGTGATAATCTGAGTATTGGCTGAAAAGATCAGATACGAGCACACTTCTGGGGGCTGCAGGGCATTGCAAAAGCGAAGGAGGTGGGCTTTCTGGACTGGCACCTGCCAGAGAGCTCCTTCAACCTGGCAGAGTATGAGCACTATGAACAGGTCGAGAATGGCGACCTCAACTGGATTGTCCCAGGTGAGAGACCTCACCTTGCCAGCTTGCTTGCTCCGTTGACCTTGCTTGCTTGGTCAAGTGCTTCAGCACTCAATAGGCCTGCACGGCGCTTGTTTCAGCGAAAGAGAGGTGGGTGGCTTTGGGAGGCAGTGACTGGCCTTGCCTGACAGTGACTGGGGCTGTCAAGTGCGTCAGGAATTAATAAACCTTCGCACCATAAGCACAGCAGAAGAGCAAGTCAAAATGGGGGCTGTGAGTGGTATGACATGACGATGAACACGATGTTTCAGGGAAGCTGCTGGCGTTTTCGGGGCCATCTGCTTCACCGTATATGATAGGCACGTATACCACGCACACGCCGGAAGACTACCACAAGTATTTCTCGCACAAGGGCATCACAGCCGTCGTGCGCCTGAACAACAAGGTGTGCACCCTCTGAGCAGAACTAAAGTGCAGATCACTGCTGCATGCGGTAATAACGCTTGTCACAGACCACCTGCGTCCGTTGTTTCTGAGGTTTCACTCAGGTCATCCCTCTCTATTCAACCCTTTCACTGTCAATGTTTACGTCGTTCCAGTGAAGAGGCAAGGTGCATGTACTGACAGGCTGCAGGTACAGGCAGCCACGGTTGCTTGTTGTTGTGGGCCTCACCAGATGAATAAAGTCAATAGGCACGGTGCCTTGCCTGAGTCTCATGACTAAGATGGCATTGTGCTGCAGCTGTATGATGGGGAGCGGTTCACGAGCGCGGGCTTCAACATGCACGAGCTGTTCTTCTCCGATGGCAGCTGCCCCTCCGAGAAGATCCTGCAGACCTTCCTGCACATCGCTGAGACCGAAAATGGTGCGCTATCTTACTTCAGCTCCCCAGTGCAGTCCGCAGCTTTCTGACCCATCGTAATCCCAGATCCCCACATGCGACACAGACTGGAGCATCAGGCCCAGTTGCTATGAAGGCTGTGCTCCGGTCACTTTCTTGATGACCATATCATGCAATGTGATATCTTTACAGCTGGCCACCGCAGGCGGCCATGTCATGCAATGTGATGCAGATAATGGTTCTGCTTATGTAACGGCATTGCGCAGACCAAGCATTGTTCGGGCCCAATATGCAGCCAGCATCTGGAACCCGAAATTGCCATGTCTGCATGCTAATTCCTGCATGGGCTTGTTGTTACAGTTGCACCTTCTTAAAGGGATGGCAGCACACAGGAAGCATGGAGACTGCTCAAATCCTCGCGTGATCTGAGATATTTTGATGTGCAGGCGCGTTGGCGGTGCACTGCAAGGCGGGGCTGGGCCGCACGGGGGTGCTGATCTGCGCGTACATGATGAAGCACTACGGGTTCACGCCGGAGGAGGCCATGGGCTACATCCGCATCTGCCGCCCCGGGAGCGTCATCGGCCCCCAGCAGAACTTCCTGATCGCCAAGGCCAAACAGCTGCAGCAGGAGGGCCGCGCCTTCAGAGAAGCCAGACGGGTGCGCAGCAGCAGGCTCCTGTACCGCACAAGCCATAGATATCCACGAGATTAAACATACCGTGCCAGTGGCAGCAAGCAGAGCACTCTTGAAGTAACACTTGAAACCATTACCTGATACCACACCTACAAAATGAAGCATTGTCTGTATGGTTCTCTGGGTTTTTAAAATCACAAGGCTGCCTGCCGGGTCTTGGATCAGGGATTTTATATCGGCAGCAAGGTGTTGATGGGCTGTGTTTGCTGCTTCAGGCGGAGGCTGCAGAAGAGGCCAGGCGAGCGCGTGCTGCTTCTGCATATGCGGCAAAGCCAGGTGTGCTCCACAGACCCTCGCCACATAGTTGATATCTACCGGCCATCTCGCATGAGACTTCATGCTGCCATGAACTTGCCATGGCTGTGTCATTGGTGGACAGGGAGCAATTCAATTCAATTTTATATTCGAATTTGGTTTGAAATTCGAATTCGCACCTCTGCAGGCCGGCAGTCTATCTCCATCAGTGCTACCTGCATATCCAGCCAGCCACTGGCGCCGCCGGCCCCGATTTCCGTATCCCTCGCTAGGCCGGGACCTCCTGCAAAGCCGCAGCAGCAGCAGCAGCAGCAGCAGCAGCAGCAGCAGCAGATACCGCGGCTGGCGCGCATGTCATCTGGGGGCACTAAGGACATGTCCCTGGACGGCGGCTGTGCCTCAGAGGATTCCTGCGGCCCCTGCCCTTCCACCACCAACAGCACAGCCACCTCTGGCAGGTGCGACTCCTTCTCTCTGAAATGAAGAGAGACTGTCCATATCAACTGGCACTTTGACAGCACTGCAAGGAACATCATCATCTGGGCACTGCGATTCTGCTATTGACACTCCTGCCATTCATACACTCCACTTTTGGGGCTAGCAAGCTGTTTGGTATTCCGCTATGATTAGCGAAAGACATGCTGAAAGATTGCAAGGAGTCTTATGACCGGCTAGGCGGTGTGCATTGGTGTAACATTGTATGCCAAAGGCGGCCTCTGCATGCGGGGGACGGTCTTGATATCAGTTTGTGGGTTTCGCTAGTGTTCCTGGCAGACCTCCTCAGCTCTGCGACTGATGCTATGGCATGCATGCGCAGGATCAGCAATTTCCTGCGGGGCAGGGCGGCGAGCCTGCGGGTGACCACCGGCCGGCCGACACCGCCGGCCGCCTCCCGGACGCGCAGCCAATCGGGCGCGTCTCAGGCGGCGTGTGTGAAGCCCGGCAGCGCTGCCACCACGCCCACGCGGCGAAAGGCATCCGAGGCCGCTCTGCTGCAGGCAGAGGGCATGCAGCTCAAGGTGCGCCCCTGCTTCGACTTCGACCACATGCAGCTGTATGATGTCTCATCCACAGCCTTTGCATTGATTGTACAGCTCTGTACCTTGTGGAGCCTGCATGGTGACCCCTTGCATCCTGGCAAAATATTCCTTCTCAGGGAATGTTTGTTGGGGTATTTCCTGCATTTGGCGTACTCGTGGGATGTCAAGTAGACATAGCATGTCTTGACAGCACTGGGTGCAGGGATGTTGTCATGCAGGTGCTGTGATCATCAATGACTCAACAGGTGACTGATGTGGGTTATTCCAATTTTCGCAGGGGGTGCAGAAGGGCGTGGCGCGCATGCTGGCGCCGAATGGGCAGCCGCGAAAACTGCCGGCGGCAATTCTGGCGGCCGGCAACGCGGAAGCGCTGCGGCACTTCACCGAGGAGGAGGAGGCAGGGAACACTGCAGACCGGCACGGCTGGACCATCAGCAGCGCCGCGCGCTCCAGCCTCGCCTCCCAGACCTCCATCGACCGCCCCTAGGGAAATAAAACGTCCCTAGGGGAATACACCTTCCTAGGGGAATGTTTCCCAGAAGCTATGGAGTCCAGAGTCTGGACCTGGCATCCAGATGGGCAGGGGTATTGAATCTGATTTAGAATTGTATCTTAGTTAGATACTGTACCCCCTGAGATGAGCCTTACATCTGGAGCATGTCATCAAAACAGGGGTTCAAAAGGGAAATTGAAGCAAGGGGAATAGCACGTACGCAGAGAGCGCGTTGTTGTGACTCGGCTGTACAGCCTCTAGAGGGGAAGCGAGGGGTCATTGACCACAGCTGACCACAATATTTTTTTCCATCAGGCCCGCCTGTCTGGGTCCCAAATGGGCTGGCAGGCAGGGTATATTCTGCACTGGAGAGAGCCTCCATAGAATCTCATGCATATTTGGGAGGGCTTCTAGCCTTAAGGGAAGTGGGCAGCTGATGCTCATGCAAAGGGCTGAGAAAGGAGGACACAGCTGTCTGCAGAGCGCGTTGCTGAGGATGGCAGCATTTGAAGCCCAGCTGCAAAGTTGTCACTGAAGTAAGAGGGCACCACGGTACCAGGTCTGAATTTGCCAACGTAGCATGACTACTTTTCTGAGTCTGATGCTGGTCATTGGTAGGGAGACACACCAATTAGTCTCAGATTTTCACCAATTTGGTGAAAAGGCACAGCTGACAGGATTACTGACTGCACTATTTGCATGGTGGAATTACAGCTGTGAGCACGACTTCAAAGGATCAAAGGTATCTGCTGATGACGATGTGAGCCTGCTGATGCATCAATGGCACTCTTAACAATATACATCCAAGTTTGCCATGAGGGCGTGTACCATATAAATTCTCTCTAGCCTCAGGCATTTGGTGTGGCAACAGCGATGACACGACTTTACAGTTTTTTTCTTTGTTTCATTGGCAAAGCTGTACCGTCTCCCGTAGGAGAAGCCCTGCAGATGCCAAATTGCCAGCACCTAGGTAGTAGTAGTGGCACACACCACTGCATTACAGATGTGCAGTAAGAATGAGAGCGCCCAGAGAGTGAGGGCTCTTGTGTCTCATTACCGCTAGCACATTCTTGACCAGGCGATGTGACCATTGGACCTGACATATTAATCTGCACGCTGTTTGAAGGAGCATCATGAGATGTACAGATCTCACCTCCTTCAAGCTGACCTTTGTTGCTGTATGCGAATGCGGATAGATTCCCCATATATGTGACGAGGAATATTGATCTACAACCATCTACTAGGGTCCAAATTTAAAGCTTCTGCTTGTTCAGTCTGGGTAGTTGTAGCAGGCTAAATTGCCTGAGCCATTTTGCAGCAGATTTAAGTTGATTTATACATTGAAAGCTTCAGGGGATTGTCTGGAGTGCGTGGCTCAATACATGATAAGGCAAAATTAATGTAAAGTGTTGGTCACTGCGATACCACTGAACAGTGCATGCCAGCACAATGCGGTCAATGTCCACAGTACAAAATAATGACCAGCTTGTACAATACAAACTACACAATATCGATACAGTACTGCAGTTCACATGTTCTCTGCGCTCTCATGATCATAAGCTGCAGCTGCATTAGACATCAGGTCAAGCCTTGAGGGGTCATCTCATCTGATCCCCCTCCAGAGCACAAGGGTGGTCTGGTGCAGATCAGAATAATCTGAATGGCGGCCATGTCTCCTTCTGATTGCCGCATTGACCAGAGGCCATTTGCCACTTGGAACATGGACCTCTATTGTGCCTCCAGATGAGAACGCCCTCGGACGCCTGCCAGGCAACAAGCTCCGCCAAAGCCCCTGAGCAGCTTGCATGGGTGCTTGATCGCTGCGGCTCACATCCTGTCCCAGCAAAAGTCAGCATTTCAATGTCAATTGCTCCTTAAAAAAATGAGGCATTTCCTGTTACAGAACAACATTTGCATTGCTCAGGCAAGAAGGAGAGTGTCATGGAGACAAAGTGGTCGCTATGAAATGAGCTGCCACAATGTTAAAACCCATCTGAAGAGGCAGGGATTCACCTGTAATACAGCGGCTAGGGCGCGCACTGCAACCCCTTTGCTGCTGCTCAAGACAGTCGCAGTGTCGACAAAGCACTCCGACCAGTCTTCTGTAGCATCGCTAGCAGCAGCCCTGCGCAGTGCATTGGCACTAGCAGACAAAATTGCACTTGCCTCACTGCAAGCGCCCACCAGCCTCAGGACATCTGCAGTAATGGCAAGCTCACTGTTCTGCTCTGCTTGTCCTCTTTCATCTGGATTGCATGTACCATCCAAGCTCTGCATATCATTCCCCGGTAGTCCATCTAAACACATGCTTCTTCCATCTCCTGGACACGACATGTCTAAATCAGGCTGCGCTGCACCAGCTGCTTTGAGCTCTCTTGTCCTCGAGCATTCACTCCTGCTGTTTTTGACGTCGCCCTTTTGCTGGTGCAGCGCTAGAGCGCTTTGCTCAGACTGCGCCCAAGAAAGCACTGCCCGCATCTTGTTTCTGGCGTAGGCGGTGTTGGCATTTGTGGGGTCCTCTGCCCAGGGAAGCCCGGCAGATCTGCAGACTTCCGTAAGATCCGCCTTGTGCAGAGATAGCAATGGCCTCAGGATCCTGCCATGCATGCCACCTGCAAGCACCCATGGAGATATAATTCATTGATCACTCAAGGATTACAGCTTTCGCCCCTCATCGTGAGAGAGAGGACTTACAGTTCAGATAATCACTGCGCAGTGCCTCAGAAAACATCAGAATCGGAGGGAAGATTTCTGATTCCAGTAGCAGTTCATGACAGGTCTGCATGCGCACCTGCCACAAAGGGAACCAAGCTCCTCATGCCCTGCAGCCCATCAATGCCGGAGCCTCTTGCCAGTCGCAGCAGGAAGGTCTCCGCCTGGTCATCTGCCACAGGAGTCCTCTTACCATCGTAGGACTCCTGACTACAGGCGTTGTACTGATGTACTAAAACACAGTTATTTGCTGCAAATGATTCACACGAGGACTTGAGCACAAGCGCTGGTTCTTGATAGAGATCGGCACCTGCATGGTGGCCTGTAAGGAGGCAGGGGATGTCCAAGCTTGCACATGCGCCTGTCATGAGGCGATACCGCTCCTGCCTGGACTGGGGCATGAGCTGCCCCTGGGAGGGCCTGCCCTGGGGCCATTCAGCCTTCAGTAGCACGGGTTTAAGGCCCAGACTTGATGCTGTCTCCAAAGCCTGCTCTGCTTCTGCTGCACTCTCAGGGCGCAGGCAATGATCCACCACCAGGGCTGTAGGAACTGTTGCTGATTCACTAACACTGGGGTGCGTTGACCCTGTAGTTTAGAGAAGCAGCTCTCAGACCATAGGAAATCGATGCAGAGTTGGCAGGTCCTACTCAATGCTTAGTCTGGATCTGCTGAAGAAACAAATACCAGAAGGTTCGCGCTGACAACCGCCCCAGATTGAGGTCAACAATAACAAAGCTGTGCTGTCGGGGCCCCCTGAAAACGCAACAGCAACCGGCGTCGACCGTTGCACTCCCAGCAAAGCAAGTTGATCAGAAAATAGCTTGAGCGCTGGGAGACTTCTGGACATCCCAATTGATCAGACCATCATGATGAGTTCTGAGATACAATATCAAATTTTCGATCCTTAAAACTCTGGTTTTGTGATCAACAATGCAGTTGAGCACAAGCATGTCTCCGGGGGTGATGGGAAATCTCCAAAAATAGAATGGCGCAAACCAACCAACAAGGTTACCAAAGCAAGTCGAGGTGGACTGCATTTTCCAATGTTATGTCTCTCAAGGCACAAGAAGACAATCTGAATCAGAGCTCGGCAACAACCCGAGGAAGTAGGCAATGGTGAGCACCCTTTTCTGTGTGTGTTGCAGGATCCCTTGGAACGTCTATCTACAAATTCCACCACACAATAATTCCGCTGGATGTACAGAAGATTGAATAATATTTACTTGAATATGACTGCTGGCAACGATCATTGTTGCAACAGGGGGAAGCCATGCTGTCGGATGATTTCAGCGTGAGCACCTCAACGGCCACCACGAGCAACGCACTGCAGTGGCGAACTTCTCTGCCTGTACCACAGCAGAATATCGCGAGTCAAAGAAATCTCCAGCACCAGGGCAGCTCGGACGCTGACTGGGCACAGAGGAGCAGCAGGCCCAGTTACCTTGCAGAGGAGGACCAGGATGAGGGCCATGTGCACTGGGCTACTGCACGGTTGAGCCACCATCAGCATGATGAGCTCGCTGAAGAGGCACACCACCGCGCACTGGGAATGAGCAGAAGAGGGTCATTCTTCCCGGGGCACAGCGCTGCAGACGACCATTTGAGGCACTCTGGACATTCTGGGAGAGAGGAAGACCGCAGAAGCCAGTCCAGCATCCATGATCAGGGCCATGCGTCAGCCTCAGGAAGGTCAAGTGGAAGCGCGAGTGATGGGGTCAAGTCGAGGTCCCATGGCATGGCAAGCAGGTCCCTAGGCTACGAGCCTTACTCCCTGAAAGACTATCGCGACAACGACTACGACCCAAAGCAGAGGTCCTACTGGATGCTGGGTACGTTGGGCAAAGACCCCGACACAACAGAAATGCAGGTGAATATACAATGTCCTGCTATTCAAGCTGCCAGTACATCTGACATTTGAGTGAGCTGCAAGGTGCACGCTATCCGAGAGCAGACAGACCAATTCGAATGTTAGGAGTGATATTGCTTGAGCTGATGGAGTGAGCATGCATGCAGCGGAAGAAGGAGAATGCAGAGAGGGTACGCGACTTGTCCCAGGCCATCCGCGTACAGAACCTGGCTACAAGGTCATCTTCGCCGCCCCGGCCTCACCGACAGCAGCCGCAGCAGGAGCAGAAGCAGCAGAGCACACGCGAGCGCGCTCACGAGTACGCCAGGTGTGACACTGCCACCTGCTGAAGATACAGGCAATGACATCCCATCCATATCTGGCAATCTACGGCCTGCATTACAGGAGTGCCTGACAATGCAGCTGTCGACCAGCAGGTGTCTCAATGCTTGCAAGACTGAGTGACCCAAGATCGAGTTAGGCCTGTATGTGCATCCCTGCTTTTCCTACCAGGTGCCTTCATGTTTAGCAGGTCAAGCTGGCATGTTAGGTGGAGTGCATTACACACAAAAGTACCCCCTTGTTCCCTGGAGGGAGAAGAAACTGCACGACAAGAGATATGGCGTCAATGTCATCATGAGCCCTGTGCAGTTCCTGCACCAGGAGTCTTTCCCGGGCCCCATCGCCGAGCAAGCGGCGAAGGAGCCGCGGAGAGGGCTCTCAGGAGGGCAGCAAGCTGGACCAAGCTCAGAGCGGCTCTACAGCAGAGCAGCAAGTTGAGTCGCGTCCTCTGCCGGCACCGTCTATGTCGCTGCTAATGGACATAGAGCAGCTGGAGACGCTGCATGGCAAGCAGCAGAAGCAGGTCGAGCAGCTGTACAAGGAGTTTGGCAGGGGCCTGGCGCACTGAGGCCCTCCAGTAGTACTTCGCACGGATCAATACTTGTGTGGAATTACACCATTGGCATACGTTCGTAAAACCAAGTATGTTGAAAGTTGAAAGCGTTGTAAGACTCCGCATCAATATGTGTTGGGGAATCTACAGTCATATTAGCAAATTCTGGCTAGATCTGACTCGCATCAATGTATCATATCAAAACAAAACATAGCTATAGCATCTACTGATCAACGCCCAACAATATTCATTGCAGCTAGCCTTCACTACAACAGAAATACAGACTACTGTGTTCTACGCTAGAATAATAGGGCATGCGATACGACCTGTCAATTTATGTTCTGCACACATGTGCTGAGACCAATGCGGGTCACATGTCCTCAGAGAGAAACAGCTGCAGGGATTGGCGCCATTTGAAACACTTCTCAGTCGTGGTCCATCATCTTATCGATGAAAGCCGAGAACGCAGCAAAGGTAACGCAGCCAGCACACATGGCTTTGGGTCCGGCGCTGCTAGCCAGCACACCCCCAGCAGCACAGCCAGCATACACAGCGTTGTAGATGTCGTGCTTGGCTCGGATCTGCACAAGAAGCAGCCATCCTCAGCACAGCTAAAGTATCAGGCTGGACACCTAACACTGACCCACTTGGAAAGCATTAAGCTCTACAGACTCCTGCAATTCAGATCAAGCTGCTGCTTCCAAAGTCGGCATTACCTTCTCAATGACGCACTCAGATCCAGCAAACAGCGCGCCCACAGCTCCGAATCCCTTTGCATATGATCTGCACGAATAAAGCAGGGACACTGAGCGTGTTATTGCATCCGTATATGTTGATCACGAGAGGGAGAATATGCAATGGGATGATTGACAGCGAGAAGGTAGAGGGACTTGCACGCTTCTTTGCCCCGTCGTCTTCAGCATCTGCTTGATGACCTCCCGTGTGCTCTGCTTCGGAGCGCCTGCAGCTGATCCGTCCATTGCTGGGGTCTGTCGACCACAAACTTGTGTAAGATCACCATTGCCGGCCTTTCAGGGAACATGGTACAGACGGCTGTGTGCCACTTGCACACCGCATGCACGGTAATTAGTCAGCATATACAGCTGCCACCTTGAGCACACAACCTCAATGAGCATTATTGAAAGCATGCGGCTTTGCTGTCTGCCTGTATGCCTAGTAAATGAGTGGCGCACCGCACTGTCCATGGCTCCCATGAAAACGCCAAAGGCCGCGCCAAGGACTGAGCCCATGACGCCTGATACGACCGTCTTCACTGCACAGTTGTTCATGAGGTCTTCCTGTGCAAGCTGCTCTGGAGATGTTGGCTCTAATTTCTGATACTCCTTTTTCTTCTTTTGTTGTGTCGGCTGCGAGCCGCTGCTTGACGGCTGCTGATCTGATCCTGGTGCAGGAACCTGTGCATCGTCATTTCCCATGCAGTGTCTGTGGTTTCAAACGCAGTAGCAGAGCTAGATCGCCTCGGATGTTGGTAGCAGCTTCCTGAGCGTTCTGCCTAAATGCTACCACACTTCTCACGTCACAGAGCAGTATAAATCGCAGAAAACAGTTTCTACAATATGCCTTGGATGATTAGATGCCAGGCAGCCGCTGAGGAGACAAGAAAGCTTCAGAGTAGGCACGTGACTTGCATGTGCCAACATTCTTATAGATCTGCTGCAGCCAAGCTTTCCAACCTAATCCATTACATTAAAGTATCGCGTGCAAAAGAATTTGCTGCATGTTGTGTTCCTATCGGCCCACGATTCTCCTGGGTATCAGGTTGGGTGCTATTGAGTTTCCTTGAGATCCCTGCTCTCCATAGTACAATGCTCTTCGGACGCACTGCGAGTATTGTATCCTTGCTGAATATTCCGTTCAAGACATCTGCAAGCATAGCGGCCTGGACGCCATCTAGAGGTGTGTCAAGCAACTGCTGCCCTTCTTGTTCTCGAAATTGCATAGGGCGATCGAGAATACTTTTCCACATTACCCAGAGGTGAAAATTCATTGATGCCACACCGTTACAAATGCTTGTTCTCACGTTAATTGCCCGTGTGCAGGAGCTGGCACTCTTTCAGCAACCACAGCTACTGGAGTGAACTACTTCAAGAAGGGGGAGGATCCTCCATTGAAAGACGACAGCGAGTATCCTGATTGGCTCTGGAATATACATGAGCCACCAGCAACATTGTACGGCCTGCAGAAGAAGGCCGCTGGTCGAACCAACCTAGAGAGCGGGGAGCTGAGCGCAACGGAGGTATGTTGAAGAGTGCTGGTCATTAATGTTTTGCATTGCAGGGCAGTCCTTTTCCAGGCCATTGCACTGTAGTGGTGTCTAGGTGTGATCATGCGCGGATATGCATGCGTAGGTGAAGAGGCTCATCAAATTGGAGACAAATCGCACCATAAAGGACAGGAACTTCGTCAAGGCCAAGCAGTAACTGTACCCCACGGAGGAGCTTATGACAATACACAGCAGAAATATTGCTTTTAAAAGAAATCTCGGTTGCTTTCGGGCCAGACCAGCTATCCCATTAATTCAATTTCTATCGTGAGCCATTAGGTCAGAATTAGCAAGTAAGCTTCTGAATTAACTGAGTAGATATTTTGCAGTTCTTTGGACGAGCACAACTATGACGGACAGGAATTAGCACATAAACAGAACTTGTACTGAACCACCAAAATTTTTGGTGGTCCAATACTGTGAGTGCCTGGACAAGTCCTCTAGTGTCCTGCTTCAATGCCAGCACGCACAACCATTGTGAACGTGGGTGAGCAGTAACGGAGAACTGGTCATGTCTTTGTGAAGAATTTGGCGCGCTGATATTGCAATGCAATTCCGCTCACGGGCGCTTGTAGTTTGCCACCGAGGGAGCCACTTCAATGCCAGGCGCCAGCAGGGGGTCTGGCTGTGGTTGCCCAATGCCTGTGAGGCTGCCAAATGGCAGGACTCCCGCCCAAACAGGCAGCAACATGTCTGCCTTGTCATCGATCGGGGGCCCAGAGCGGCACTTGGCAGAAACTTCCGACAGGATCAGCGAAACCACTGATGTCGCTGTGAGCTCTGGTCCCGTGGCACCGCGAGCCTGCGCACATATGCATGCATGCAATGACTCATCGTCATGGGAGTGGAACATGGAGCCTTGGCGCGACGTACTACAGAGTCTCCACATGTGGTGCACTCTTGAAAATTGCTCTAATGTATCAGGACCCAACATTGGAATGCAGCACAGCGAATGCTTAGCTACATCTAGGGGGCAGCGCTCACCTCTGCGCTCCTGCCCGGAACAATGTGTTCCACAATGGCCTCGAGGGCGGTGTTCTTCTCTGCTGCATCGGTCACGGCCTCAGCGGTGCCCAGGATCACGACGGAGCGGTAGTTCATGGAGTGGTGGAATGTGCTCCTGGCCAGGACGAGGCCGTCCAGGATGGTGATCGTCACGCACACAGGCGCTCCAGTCTGCGACAATTGCACATCATGTTTTGATGATCATGATGTAGTTCAAGCCGAATTCGTAATGGGAACAGATAGTGCACTAAGGGGTCCCTGTACTATGGGTGCAGAGCTGAGCTTGATACCCATCATAGCAGGCCTACTGTCACAATAACACTGACATTCACTTAAATATGTCTGTATGGATACTACCACAGGGACCCATCGTGCGCTTGCCTTCATGGTTTTCAGTAAGTAGTTTGATGCATGGCCATGCAGGTAGATTTTCTCTCCAACTCTTGCATACGCTGTTGGTATGACAAACGGATGCCCGTCCTTGCCAACGTAGCCGACATGGCACAGGAACGCTTCGTCCAGGATGCTGTGGACTGTGTCCTTGTCATAAGCACCGCGGCCTGGCTTCCTTTTCACTCTAGTCTTGTCTGATACGGGGTAAGCATCGTCACCTGATATAAAACAAGGACTGGATCGTCAAGATAGGAAGAGCAAAGTAATATAAAGCTTCGACCTAGCAGACGTCCAAGTCTGAAATTACAACTAAGCCGGAAAGGGGTCGCAAACACCAAAATCTCTGCACAAAAGGCAGGTTGTTAAGCAGAAGTAATGGTGCATTCTTTCAAGCTGGGTGGCATTGGAACACAAACCTGGCATTCGGCAAACTCGGGATGCAGACCTCAAGGCACAAGCAGGCCACGCTGACCACACGCGATGACCACGTGCCTGGGATCTCTGCGGTGCGCAAGACGCAATGGGGTCAAAGGAGGTGCAATTCGGAAAGGAAAACAAAACGTATTGATATCACAAGATGGTGTAGGTGGAGGAAGCTGGGAGGTTTGCTCCGTAGCCGTGTCATGTGCGTCCACCGTGATCCGTAGGAAACTTGCACGAGGCCACTGGCGGAAGCGTTGCCAGAGCACAACTTGTGCTCCGCACAAGATGGAACGCACCAACGTCATGGACGTCAGCGGTTTCAAGGAGACCCTGTCGAGTCCTGATGGCACCCCTCCCTCAAACGGCCTGGCCGAGGAGGCTTTCCGCAGCGCCACCCCTGGTTACTATAGGAGAGGGGTGCAGCAGGGATGGCTGGGCACGGATTACGTGCCGGAAGCCAGACCAGCAAAAACCATTGGAGCGTTTGCTGAGGCTGGCGGCAACGGCAACAGTGAAACCACCGAGGGCTCCGATATCGTTGGCTTGATGGAGGCAGTTTGGTACGTCCCTGCCTCTCCAGCCTGCCTCCGATCTTCCTTTCGTGGTTTTATGTGGAACATTGCATATTTGTAGCTATTGATCTGGCGAAGCCGCTTCCTTCAACCCCATGCAGGCTTTGACAAAGTGGGAATGTGCCAAAAGTGAGCTGAGCAGGCAGTGTATTTTGAAAGTCATGTGGCAATCAGAGGTCTTTTGTCTGACCCTGCTACTTCATTCCCTTATGTTTATGGGAATTAGGCTGGTCCCATTGGCCGGTCCAGTAAAGATAGGCGTGCACACATACTTCGTCCGAACTTTCTCTGTGGAATGTCTTTCTGAATGTCACAGCTGTGCTTTCAATCTACATCATTGTGATTTTACAATCTGAAGAGTTCAATGAATTCATCGCTGCACAGACCATTGCAGTGGTGCACCCCTTCTAAGACTGGGCTCCAGCCTGGTAAATCTCCCTGCTGCACCTGTGGCAGGTTTGGGCCGCAGTCAAGCAGCTATGGCACCTCGGGCAGCAGCGGCTTCTCAGGCTTCCATGATAGCGCGACAAGCATGTCCAATGGGAGGGGTGGCCGTACGCGCGCTGTGGACAAGGGTCTTGTGGGGAACAGCGAAAGCAACCACAGCAGCAATCGCAGCAGGAACAGCAATGGCAGCGCTGCCAGCACCGGCCACACAGCTGACGCTGACCAGCAGCAACCGGCAGGAGAGCCCCATGCAAGGAGCGCGCATGACAATGGGAAGAAGCTCACCGCTCTGCAGGAGGCGTCCACTGCGGCCGCCAATTCGCAACAGCAGGTATGTTGCTGCCGTGGGGTCAGCGGTTGGGCAGTGGATGCATGCAAAGGCCGCTCGCTGCATACATTGAATCTAAGGGTGAAGCTCTTTTGGTGGATGAGGGGACTGGAATGGCAACCTATAATCTCAAGCTATGCATATGCAGGAGGATAGAGCGCAGAGCTGCAAGGCAGCCAGCACGAGGGGGGCGCAGGGCGGGGAGAAGGGCAATGATTGGTTGGGAACGTGGGCCAAGAGGCAGGTCCACTACAAGCAGCCGCCGCCGCCCTCACTGCCAGCTCACATCCCCGGCACGCCGCAGCCGTCAGACCGGACCGTCAGGCGAAGGGCGCCCGGGCGAGAGGGCGGCGGCAGCGGCGACAGCGCCAAAAGGAAGAACAGTGGGGAGGGCGCCACGCGCATGGACAGCGATGCCTGCAACGGCGCAGATGACGGTGCAGGTACTGCACCACGCCCCATCCTTGCTCCTTGGCAGGTTGATCCAGCTACTGTTGTTATGTTCACACACTATTTCCTGCCACCAGGCAAATTTTGTCAGCAGACAAGCTGCAGGTGAAGGCTCCAGGACTGCAGATCATGAAAATATGACTGGGTCCGTCAGGATGAAGCCTCACTTCAGAGCGAGGTTTGAGAAAATAAAGCGGCTGCGAGCAGGGGCAGCGAAGGGGGAGGATGAGGCAGGAGCGGATCAGCCGACGGGGCGATCAGAGGAGTCTGACACGCTGGGGGACGACGACGAGAAGCTGCGGCAGGCGGCGTGGCGCTGGCGCTTCAACCGGCGCTGGGCGCAGGAGCAGGCGCGGCAGATGGACCCCGAGTATGGCCTCCAGGTCCGGCCTCAGCGGTCATTGGTATTCTATTTGGTCGCTGCAGTGGCGCGCTTGTCATATGGTCGTTTCTGGATCGTGCCTTCATGGTGGTCCTACTTCAGGACAGAGTCCAAGGATATCCTGTAGTATGACCACCGTGAGCCACGCATCCAGATACGCCCCCACTGCTTGCCGTTTCTCTACAGCTCAGACCTCTGTTGCTGCAGCGGTGCGCTTGCGTCATGCATCCCTTGTGAATTAGTGGCGCCCTGCAGCCGCTTTACAGGACAAAGCTTTAGAATTCCCCCAAAGTGTGACTGTGGTGTGCTGGGGCTCCACTATCACACGAGCATTGTACAACTGACACATGTGCCTGAAGACAAGCTACAATGTCTTGAAGGACAGGCTGGTATCTATCTAAGCGCCAAAGCGATCAGTTCCAGAGTGGCAAACAGCGGTGCGGTGCACAGGCCGGGGACGAGGACGGCTGGGACGAGGCGCTGGGCTACATGGACGCGTGCGGGCCCGGGTGGCACCTGCAGATTGCGCGCACCACGTCCGACGACGGCCTGGCCAACAGCAGCCTCATCAGCCACGCCAGCGGCCTCTCCAACTGCTTCCTCGGCGACTCCCAGCGCTCGGTGCGAACACCCACCCAGTTCCCTTGCTGTAACATCCGTGTGAAAGGAGGCACCCTGTGCAGCATGCATGCAGAGAGCAGACAATACCATGTCGCAAGGTAGCTGGCCACACCTCCCAATCACTCCTGTCTGCTGTCCTATTCAAGCAGTGGTCAACTAAGTAGTTGTGCAAATGCTATATCCGTCTGGATTACCTCTTTGACACCAATGTGAGACACTTATGATGCAAGCAGTCACGTGAGTGCATGGTGGGTGCTCGTTTTGCAATGATGCAGTTCTAGGAATTGGGGGCTCGCTGGTGTCAATGGTGATCTGACAGATCTGTGTGGTGGGTTAAGCAGAGGACGCTGGCGGCGACTGGGGATGGCTCGGGCATGGGCGAGGCAACAAAGGGGATCGTGCAGGTTGCGCGCAAGGCCGCCAACCTGTACGAGCACCAGCAGGCCATCGAGGACCAGGTCCGCGAACGGTAAGTCACCCCTCTTGTCATCTGCCCACTGCCTCCCAACCGGCATGCCTTCACTCTCCCGTGCCCCCCCCAGTGGTCACCATCCCCAACCCCTATTGAGCAATCTGCGCAACTGGGAAGGGCCACAGAAGATGTTCTCTCGCACTTGTCAGATTGAGAGACATGATGATGCTAATCTCATCTCTGCCACCTAACAAGGCCGGTCGGATGAGCAGCTGTGCTAGAAGATAAAGCAATGACTGCTGAGATGACAGCAATGACTGCTGGATTTAGTCATGGTGACTAAGGGGTGCCCATGCAATGTGCAGGTGGGACTCGGCGTCGCATGCGGGCATGAGCTGGGCGGGGCAGGAGCTGCCGGCGGTGCAGATCGACAAATTCGGCAAGTTCCCGTTCGTGCTGGTTAAGCTGAGCGACCGCCTCGCCGGCAGCAAGCTGCTCGTGCGCGGCAAGAACGGCCGCTCCGAAATGCAGCTCGTGTCTACCGTCACCAAAGAGGTGCGCGCGTGCACTTTGTTCTCCGCTGACATCAGCACAAGTAGTCAATTATTCACAAGACACAAAGCCCAGCTATCTTTGGCAAAATAAATGGGAGAGTCTTGGGCAAGAGCTCAGGGTGCATCTCTCTGGTCGTCATGCCTTGCCGGCTTCTGCATTGGCTTGCCAAGCGCAAGAGCAACGTTGTTGCCATGATATACCTTGCACAGAGCACCGCTGTGGACTGACTGAGCTGGCATTGCTATGACAGTTGTGTCATTGTGTGCATGGGACGGTGCGTTTTGCTAAGTGCCATCAGTGTGTATACGTGGGCTATTGGAGCATCTACAGCTAAAACTGCTGCCGGTGTGGCGCTGGCCTGCGATGCAGCAATGCTAAGATAGGTTTGTGGTTGCTGGTTGCAGGTGCTGGGGGTGACATCACGTGGGCGGCTGCCTCAGGCGTCGGTAACGCTCATGGGCAGCGGATCCATGGAGTGGAGCAGAGAGCGCGACCGCGTCATCAACGTCAGCGCAGGTGCGCCCTCCTCCCTCCCTCGCGCAGCACAATCCCATGCATGCATGCACCATGATGACACCTGCGTTTGTTGTTTAATAGGCCCAAGCCCAGGGGTGGCATCAATGCGTGCTTGTTGCAAGGCAGCCCCTTTGCCGAGCGCTTTGCCTGCCTACCTGCATCTATCTTGATCTAGAAGTGCGGCTGTCGGCGCCAAAATCACAAATTATACTGCCACCGTGCCCTCCTTGGCCGCGCTTGAGCATCCAGTAGCTAAAAGTGCCATGTGGGTTGGAGCAGGCAAGGTGGTGTCTGGTCTGGACGGCAGCATCCATTCCAAGGAGGACGTGGCGCGGCTGACTGCGGCTCTGACTCGAGCCTCGCTGCCCATGCACTACCGGGTCAACATAGAGGGCGAGAAGGCGGCCTGAGCCAGGACCCCCACCTTTCCTGGGGGGCTCCTGTCCTCCCCCCTCGCGCTGGGACTGGTCTCGCATGCCGCTGGGACACAGAGGGAGAGAGAAATGCCCGTCAAGTTTTGCATGTTGTCCTAGGGCGCCATAGCCACAGCTGTCATACAGTCCAAGTGCTCCTAGTACTGGTACAGCTGCGTGAGAGCAGGATGTGTGCAGGACAGAATTTCGTGTGCCAGGTGCTGTCCCAAGCTGGTGTGAGCGCAGGTGGTGTCCTCATCTGAGTTGCAAGCTGTGAGGAAGACTGTTTCGAATTTGACTGGCCCATGATCTGAATTTCGATCGGCCCTGCATGCTCACCACATAGTAAATGAACTGATTCACTCCTCCAGGTGACAGAGACATGACAGTGAGGGACCTTTCTGACTGCAACAAGCGAGCGATTTTGTTTGCATTTATTTGCACTTTCCTGGCAACGGCTGGTCTGATGTTCATGCTCTTTTTTATTGGGTTTGTTAGAATCAGGTAGGATGCAGTTGTCCCAGAATACATCTGTGGAACGCACAAGGTATAAACAGTGATGGGATTGCACTGGAGGAATAATGTATGTCCCAATAGAGACCTCTAGTCTGTAGGGTGCAGCGGCAATGCTTGATGTTCCTGGGCTTAACATAATGATTTGAGAATATTCAGGCTTGGCCACGATCTCATGCAGCTGTCTGATCAGCTAAGGTGCTTTAGAGTCATGTTCTTGCGGTCAGTGACTTACAGATTGTGTGCAGGTTATAGATTTGCCAGACTTGTCAAGTCTTGCTGTCACCGTCAAGTGTCAAGATGCTGTCTTGAGTGTTCTACAGGCGATGAGTGACCCAAGTGACTTCTGGTAGGACAGATCAGCAAAATTGCCTTTGCAGACTGATACCTGATCAGCTCAGGACAACAAGCTCAATTTGATCCTGATGAGATGATGAGAAATATTTCTGAAATCCATTTCAATGCGCAATTACATTTGATTTTGTTGAATCCCGCGACACGAGCGCTCAAGAAGTATTCATTCATTTGCAATTGGCATAGTTTTGGAGCAGTGCATTCCAAAAGAGCAAGTGCTCTCCAATAAGACCCATACCATAAATATAAATGCCATTTTTCGCAACAGTGCTCAAAGCGTTAAGACTTCCATGTGGTCAAATTAGGACTCTTGTTAATAGCAGTCCTCAGTCATGGAATGCAGCCTGGTTTGCACAGCTAAGCATGCGACCTCACAAAACATTAGAGGATGCAGCCAATCCGCTATCTCACACCGATGGTGTTTGCCCACGCATCTGTACACCACAAGGAATCAATCACAAACTGCTCCTCTGAGGAATGCACCAGTCAGCAGCACCAGAAAAGCCTGGAGGCCCCATCATCCCTCCATGCACTCATTTGCCACCACGCTCGCCAGGCTGCCATCACACTCTATAGAGAAAGAGGTATGCAGACATCAGAGCGCCAGGGACGAGAGGAAGGGCTGCCTTGCAAGTGAAGGTTACGCAGCAACAATACAATGATGCCTGGCCCAGGAACAATTGCAAGATAATCAAAGACTTTGTTTCTGGCTGTATGAAGGGGCTCACCACAGCATCTCGCAACACCATGACCTGCGCCTGCTGCTCGGGTGGCAGCCCAGCAACCTGCTCCGGTGTCAGCTGCATCACCTGCTGGATGAGTGCTGCTAGGCGCCACACAAACACTCCCTTCAAGCCGCCATGCCCAAGAAAAAATATCATGCTATTTCTCATGTTTGCTGCCAGCATGACACTCCCAACACAAAAGCTGCAAGTGCGTTGGCAGGACATTTCAACACTGGTGACGACACGGCTTGCTACTTGTCTCATGAACCCATCTGATAGCCAAGGTGGCTGTCGAATCAACAAGGCAGAACAACAGGGCACAGAGCTTGCAGCGAGATTGAGCAGTGGAGCATGGGAGTGGGACTTGCCGTGCTTAGTGTCCTCGTCCATGCCGGGCGGCAGGCCCATCTGTTCGGCTGGTGGCATCTGCTGATCGGGCTGGTGCGGCTGTGGCTGCTGCATGTACTGCGGCTGCGGCTGGGGCATGCCGTACTGCTGCCCCTCCAACTGCTGCTGCTGCGGCGGCGGGTGCTGCGCAGGGTACCCCTGCCCCTGTGTAGGCCCCTGCATCCACAACATCGCAGTCACTCTTTAATTCAAAGGGAAGCAAAAACAACCACTAGGCACCTACCTTCGGGCAGCCCCAGCTACTTGTTGCTGATGGCAAAAACAGAGCCCCAACAAGAGAGACAAGCTGTGCAGAAAGAAAGACAGATAGCCACTCCAGCGACATAAAAGGGAATATCATACTGGGCAGCCGGCGCCTCACCTGGCCCCCGTTCCAGGCGTCCATGGGCTGCGAGTGCTGCGCGGCGCGGGGGTCCATGGGCGCGCTCATCTGCGCGGCCGGCGGCGCGCGCGGATCCATCGGTTGCGGGCCGGACGCCGCCGGCGCGGGAACGCCCCCGTACGCCTGCGGCGCGTAGCTGCCGTTGGGGATCGCGCCATGCTGCGCAGGCGGCTGGTGATAGGGACCCGGCCCCGGCTGCGGCTGCTGCGGCGGCGGCAGCGGCTGCGGCGCATAGTGCTGAGGGTGCTGCACTGGCGGGGAGGGGTGCTGCGGCGCGTAGTGCTGCTGCTGCTGCGGAGGATGCTGCACGACAGGCTGCTGCTGCTGCGGAGGATGCTGCACGACAGGCTGCGGCTGTTGCTGCTGCTGCGGCTGGGGCGCTGGTGACGGGTGGCTAGGAGCCTGCGCACGCTCAATATCTTTGGTACATGCATGCGGCTTCTTGCACTGCTTGTTTCATGCATCTGGTAAGATAATGGCATTAGTTGGCAGGCCTCTTCAGCAGCAAGACTGAAGACTGAACACCAGCCAACGATGCACATAGCGGCCCTGCCACAATGCTTAAAACAGTTAGCTTGTAATAAAGGCCAGGAAGAGGGCGCAAGGGGGCGGACCGGCAGGGGCACGACGGGGGCGCCCTTGACCATGCCCAGCATGATCTCGGCCTGGAACAGCGCCTTGGTGAGCTGCGCGTTCTGCACCAGGATCTGGCGCGCCTGCTCCGGGTTCTGCTGCACCAGCGACCTCATCTGGGCCATGATCTCGTACAGCTCCGCGCGCGTCTTGGTGCCCAGCGCTGAGCTGATCAGCTCCCCGCTGCCCCCCGGCACCGGCGGGGGGCTCCCCACCAGCGATGCCACCGAGTGGCTGGCCGACCTGGCAGCCTCCACCCCGATCGGCTGCCAAAACGCCCCGCACACAGCTGGTTAGTGTCCTCGCAGAAACTTGTTTCTCCAGGTATGGAATTGTTTGCAGCCCATGAAAGGTGTTGTATTGCTTGCGAGTAATGAGCGGAACTGAGCTAGCATGCAAGGGCTACAGATGTGATCCTGACCAAAGTAATAGTGCCACCGGGGTGGATGGAAGGTGTTGTGGGGCAGTGCATACCTTTGGCTTCATGCTGGCCTTGTTGCCACGGTTCTGTCCATCTGCACAATGCACAGTCCGTGCATTTGAGACTCGCTTCACATTAATTTGCACTGTGCTTTAGAATGCACCTCAGAATGATAGTAAGCTGCATGATCACTGGTGGATTGCAAGGGTTCAATAGAAGAATGGCACCTCTGCCAGGCCGCGCTGTCGAGTCGTGGTCCTTCTCAGCAAACTTGACGATGACCTTTCTCCCATTCAGGTCGTATCCATCAAGGTTTCTGATAGCACTCTGCGCTGTTTGCCAGTCATAGTATTCGATGAAAGCAAAGCCCTTCTGCCTCCCTGTATCTCGATCGGTCACAATCCTGCGTACGAGGTGCCAGATCATGTGCACATTTGATCCTTTTGTATCTTTTCACCAGCCATGTGAAAATGGCAGTCGTTACAAGAGGGAAATAGGACTGATCAGGTGCTCATTGGCACTGTGAAGAATGCATATGCAGTCTGTCCGCACTCTTACAAACATCAGGGTCCATGTAATTGTGAATGGAAGTGATTCGGAAGAGAAGTCACCTCACAGACTTTACAGGACCTACTTCTTTAAACACTTCTATTAGATTTTCTTCTGTGACTCCATAGGGCAGATTTGTCACTGCGACATCACAAGATCAACGTCAATACGCAAGTAACTAAAGATAGCAGAGTCATATTCGAATCATCGCCAACATGAAAGGGAAGGCTGTGGGCATCTACCAAAACATGTGTGTGTCGGCGCCTTGTTTGCCATCTCTATTCTAAAAATCTGGGCGTGCGTGGAGTGATGCTATCCTTTACATCAAATTGAACTCTTTCAAATGGCCAAAGGCATCGTATGTATGGCTGGTTCTGCTGTTGCGCAGGTTTGCATTGCCGATGGTTACCTGATTAGGCAATTGCTAGCGCTGCAAAACTTTTCGCTGAGCGAAATTCGCTCCCAAACCGATGCACCTCATTGCGTTTGACACTCTTTCACCGAGAAGTTCCCTTTCGAAACACTGCACTATCACGCACCGGTCACATTGCAGAGGTATCCTCTTAGCTACCTTGTGGACTTCCATCAGTCACTCTCGGCATCCAAGGCGACACTGATCTGTTTCCTAACCGACAATCCTGTTCCTGAGGGCTGTATTAATACAGTTGGATCGCATTCTCTGGTTCTGAATCACGAGGTCCAGGCCAGGAAATTTGGGGGGGATTTCTTGGACATCTGGTGTCAAACGCCTGCTTTGACGTGTTCGTGTGGAGCACAAGTACGCTTTCACTACACATTGGTGAAGCTTAACAACTCAATGGCATGTGGATGATGTTGTGCACGATTCTTTTCTCGTTTTTGATGGGGTGGTGCTTCTCTTCAGGAATATGGATTTCTTCCTTCGTAATCTCGAGCAGGCTCAGACTCAAGCCAAAGCTGCAGCCTTGAACGCTCAGAAATCTGCTCAGAGCCTTGCACAGCAAGTGCAGGAACATGGCAAGGTCCTTGCTGAGCAAGTCACGGAAAACACAAAGCTGCTTGCAGAGCAGGTGGGCACCCCCTTGATTCTTTGGATTACGCAGATGTTGTCTTGGTAATCACTATGACTATGACGTGATGTGCTTCTTCTGTCACGGTCTGCTCAAGCAAGGTGTATTCTGCTCAGGCCTCTACGCTGTCAAACACTGCAGCTGAGTCAGCATCCCAGCGTCTCAGGTCCATAGAGGGCTTCCAGCCCAAGATGGGGTCCTTGGGAAAGCAGGCAGAGGAAAAGATGCCGTCACCAGCTGAGCTGGCAGAGTTTGGGATCACAGACGAGTTCTTGGACTTTGTCCGTTCACTCACCTACAGCACGTTCAGAGACTTCCCAGCAGATGCGCTGCCATCTCCCACAAAGGTGTGCCCCTTCCTTTCCTCTGTATATTTTGCACCACCTTGGTCAGTCTTGTGGGATGAATACCTTGAGGCTTTTGGACTAAATAGCTGGAAACAGACTAGTGCGATTTGAGGAATGTAACCTGACAACCAGCAAGAATAGTGTGAATTTGTCTATACAGGTGGAGGATGAGAAGTCAATGGACCAGATCAAGTACCTGACGCCCTGGCAGGTGGGTCTTCTGCTCATTGCTAAGTTAGACACCTACTCACAGCATCCTGTCATAACCCCTGTTGACACGAACTGACAGTCGGCGGGCTGCTTGCAGGAACATCATGCGATGCTGGTGGTCCAAGTGGCGAAAGAGATCAACGAGCTGCGCTATGTGCTCTGCCCCAAGCGCATGACGGATGCCCAGTTCTGGCAGATCTACTTCCAGCTGGCCAAGAAGTACTTGCCTGCCGAGGCCTTTGACACCTCGTTCGTGCCACCAAAGTCAAGCACACAAGCACTCACCTTTGCAGACCTGCAGGTACCACCCTTCACACATGCTTTGCCCCACAAGCTGCATGATGGAATGTCTACTGTAGTCCCCCTTTTGGGACTTTGCTAGTCAATGACGCTCTCGAGTTTCTTAGAAGACGACACCCTGCTTGTTGCTGTCCTCCTCACCAAAGCAGGACTTGACTTTACTGTACGTTTGCAGGTCCGCCTTGCGCAGCTGTCCACATCAGCCAAGCAGTGGAGCTCGCAGACGCAGGCGCAGCTGCGCAGCGTGGCGGCCGGCCACTTCGGGACGCCGGGGGAGGCTCCCTCCAGCGCGCTGCATGAGATCGCCGCTGCCCGGGGATCCGGCGCCGCTGCCGGCTCGGCCGCAGCGGCCTCCTCCAGCAGCAGCAGGGAGCCGGATGCCTCAGCGGCGCCGGAGGGAGAGCTGGATGCAGACCAGGAGCTGGAAGCTTACCTCAGGGTGCGCGATCTTTCTTTAAATCTTCTGTCTATTGTTGTCAGGGGATTCTACATGGATGGTTGATTTATATTCCCCTGTTGTCGTAACATACTGGAACTGTCAGGCACCAGGCTCTGGAGCACCGGCTTTTCTAGAGACCTGCAATTGTAATGTGTGCATGTTGAGTTCAAGGGGACCCTAGTTTACAGACTGCAGCAGTGGTCTGTGCAGCTTGAAAGTTTTGAGCATTGAGCATTCATGCCAATGCAGGATGTCATGCAGAACGAGGACGGCAAGGAGGCGGATGCAGGAGAGAAGCCGTCAGGGGCCAAGCAGAGTGGAGCCGGGGATGGGGCGCTCGGTGGCAGCGCAGCCGGCCACCTGTCTGAGACATTTGTGGACGCCCCAGAAAGCACCGGGGACGATGAAGATGATGATGATGATGACGACTTTGAGAAGTACCTGAATGAGCTTAGCGACTCAGAAGATGCTGAGCTGGTGGAAGGGCATGCCGGCAAGGATGAGGAGGCTGACCCAGCCAAGGATGAGTACGAGAGCGGAGAAGACCTTGACCTGGACGACTACATGCGCGTGCTGGCAGACGAAGACAAGTAAAGCGGACATGCAATGGGCAGAGCCACAAATGTACAGTAGACACTGCAGATGTATTGCCAAACGCTGAATGCCTCTGAGGACCAAGCGTTTGTTTTTAGATTTCTTTCTCTGATGGAAAGCAGCTTTGCTATTTCATGGAAGAAGTTGCCATTAAGGGATGTGCATCCCTTTTAAAATCATCAGTGCTCTGGAGACATCCTTTGAGGAGTCTTTAAGTCAGGCTAGCTCTGGCAGTGACGTGCGCATAAGTGGTGCCGGCATGCCTGCAAGTTGCGCACCAGCGGCATATCTAATACACGAGTTTTGTTGTAATTCTAAAACGTTATCGATGTTCCATTGAACTTTTTTGACTTGGGACGTTGGCAACATTGTGAATTTGGTTCAGAGGATATCCTCAAAAGCTTCCAAGAAAGTGGGCAAGGGTTGCAATTTGGCCATGCAAGATGCCAGTTTTGGCAGCGCCCTGCACAAAATAGCACAGTGCTAGGGAGTCTCAGACAATTGTTCCAAAAAATGCGCTCTACAAGTCATTAGGTTGCAAGGGTTTCGTTCTGTCTGATCTTTATGACAGTGCACTTTTAAGTGGGGCAAACCTTAGCTGTGGGTGAAACCGTGTTGGGTGTCCTAGTGTCTAGCTTTTCTTCCTGTCAAGCGTACGATTGCTTGTGCTTGTATGTTACTGTAAAACGATATATAAAGGTCTGCTCACATGGCTGATGATAATCAGCTCGCGGAGGCTACCCAACCTCTTAGCTTCGCAGAATTCCTGGAACGTATGAAAGAACCTGCGGCCGCAGACCTCGTCAGGAGTATAAAGAAGTGCGTATAAAGGATTCGCTTTGATTCCTGCATTCACAGCCATGTGTTGTCCGATCCAAGGCTCCTTCAGTGCTGATCGATGCTTCTTTTCTCATGTCTTGCAGCTTCATAAAGACATTCGAAGACCGTAAACCAGATCCCGAGCGGGACAGCGCATTTGTCCAGGTGAGGATATTCGGCTCCCGTGCCCCTTCAATCTACATGTATGCATATTTAGTTTGAAATGGACTGGACTAAATCTGTTGCTTGCAAATGCAACATCTGTCGTCAGGCAAAGCACTTACTCGACCCTTCCTGCATAACCATTCAGAGCTTCCTGACCAAGTCTGAGGCGGCATTCAAGCAGCATCCTGTATGGGCGAGTGCTCCACCTGCGCACAAAGCACAAGCTGTCGAGGTGAATTCCCTGCCTTCCTGGCATTTATGACAATATACGAGTCCCTGCCTAACCTCATTGCGCATCGCCAGCACCCTCTGCAGAAATCACAACAATCATCCAAGCACCTTTTGGCAGCACAGGTGGTGTACAAGGCTTCCCTCAGGATTGGCTGAAGCTCTGTGAACTGCCTTTGCAGGGTCTGGAGAAGTATCTGATGACGAAGATATACCACAAGACGTTTGGGGTGAGTGAGCTGGACAGGGAGCGAGATGAGGCCCTGCATGTGCGCATGCGAGCCCTGAACTTCATCAAGCCATCGCACCTGGACATCCCTGAGCTCTACAGGGATGAGAAGGCCTGGATCCTTGCCATGAAGGAGCTGCACAAAATCAACAATTACAAGGTATGCTTTCTTCTCCAGAGCTCTCAGAATTGGACCTTCATGCATGCACGAGGCGCTGCAAACAAAGGCTCAATAAGGGGCCTCATCCTTGATCCGAGGGCATGTGGTGTTGGCGCGCAGGCGCCTCGTGATAAGCTGGTGTGCATCCTCAATTGCTGCCGGGTCATCAACAACCTGCTGCATGTCCAAGTGCAGCAAGGGGAGGCTCGAGGTAGGGCAGGCCTACTTGAGAGATGCTTGTGTACATGCAATCTTTATACTGACGTGCAATGTGCAAGCTTTCAAAATGAGTCCATGAGCATAGCAATCAGTGGAAGGGCCTGGTCGCAGGTGCTGATGACTTCCTGCCAGTGCTCATCTACGTAGTGATTCATGCCAACCCTCCTCAGCTAGCCTCCAACCTGGAGTACATCCAGCGCTTCCGCATGCACTCGCGCATGGCCTCTGAGTCAGCCTACTTCTTCACGCAGCTGGTGAGCCCGTTGCCCTTCATCCTTCCACGGCCTTGATACACCGTGTCAAGCACATCATCCATTGTCATTCTGGGCCATGTTGTGAGTGTTATACCACCATGCCTCGGTGTTGCTTTTCAATACACTGGCAACAGTTGAGGTAAGTGCTGCATCTGGCTGTGCAGTACTCTGCGGCGTCCTTCATAGAGACGGTGAACGCGACATCGCTGTCGATGGACCCGGACGAGTTCATGGCGCGCATGATGGCGGCCGGCGTCCCCGACATGCAGCTGGCACCCAGCCAGGACGGCGCGATCAACACTGCTCCGCCGCCCGAAAAACCACCCGCCTTCGAAACCGCACCACCCACCCCGGAGGCCACCACCGCTCCTTTGCCCCCGGAGAATGCCGGGGGCCTCCCAGCGGACCAGCTGCTGATGGGGGCCGCGCCGCTGACCCCAACTGTGCCGCTGCCGGCGGTGACGGCTGCCGGCATGCTGCTGCCGATGCACAGCGCGCCGATTGGTGGCGGGCAGGCAGTGGTGCCCGATGCGGGCACGCTGCTGCCCAATGCGGCCCCCGCTCAGTTCGTCGCTCCGGCGGTGCCGTCTCCAGGTGCGACCGCGCTGGCGGACCAGGGCGGCGCAGCGCTGCAAGGGGGTGCGGACATCTGGGGGAGGGCTCCGACAGTGGAGGAGCTGGAGAGGGCAGGAGTCAGCCTCGTGCTGGAGGCGGAGGCTGCCGGTCGCCTGAAGCAGGACCATCGATTCCTCTATGCGGCCGCAGGGGACCTGCTCATCACCGACATTCCCGAGCTGCTCTCTTCCTACAAGGTTCGCTCTCGGTGAAGCATCCTATCGTGGCGTTGTTTCTCCCATAGAAATGCAGCTGTGTGCTGTGTGGTCGACACGATGTCTCTTAATATTCTTGAAAATCCAAGTTTCCCGTATCAAGTTCTTATATGTGTTGTGCAGGAGCTGGTCTTGCGCTATGAGTCCCTGTCACTGGCGGTGGCTGCCGTGGCGGCTGGGTCGGCCGCGCTGCCTGCCGCCACGCATCCGCAGATCGGCGCGCACCAGGCGGGGTTGCCAGTGCCTCAGACGGCTTTCGCCCACCTTCTCTCAGGCGGCCACCCAGCCGCCCACTCGCAGGCGGCGGCTGTTGCGCAGCTGCCTGTGGGAAGGCCCCTGGAGACAGCGCCCACGCCGGGCACGGCCCTGGCGCTGGACGAAGCTTCCGAGACGGCGCAGGATGCGGCTGAGAAAGTCCTCAAGCCGAGCACCTCCGCTGGCCTCTATGATGATCCACGCCTGCAGCTGCCGGACCAGGCTGGCCCGCCCTCTGCCAGCACAGCCGGGGACCTGCCGGCCTCTGCTGCCGCGCCCCTGCATGCCAATGAGGCGGGCAGTGAAAGGGGAGGCAAAGCCGTCGAGGCAGAATTCGTGCAGGCGATGGCGCTGCAGGACGACGATCGGTTCCTCTCCCTAGCCACCGGGGAGGCGCAGGCCGACGCGGAGGACGTGGGCACTCCCGACGCGGGTGCCACCGCTGCGGCCGATTTCTCAGCGGCGGGTGGTCACATGCAGCTGCCCACGCTGCAGGAGGTCAACGACCCCATCACCGGCCAGGAAGCTGGCAAGGACGCTGAGCAGGGGGACCACCCAGCCAGTCACGAGGAGGATGATGATGTTGAGGAGGTGGACGTTCCTGGTGTGAGCGATGAGGACAGGGCCGGCTCTCACGAGGCGGCGGCAGAGGAGCCGACAGCAGCAACGCAGCCGCAGTGGGAAGCGGGAGGTGCAGCTGAGCATCCCAGCTCGGCAGGGGAGCCCATTGGGGACTTTGTGCCCGGGCTCGGAGGGATCCAGTCCCGGATGAGCATCTCTTCCACGGCAGCCACGGTGGGCGACAGGGCGTCCATGGACATCAGCCGCCTGGACTCCAACCCGGCCGGCTCCTCCTCAGTCAAATCAGACGCAGGCGCGAGCTCCGTAGCGGCAACAGAGCCTGCCGAGAGTCCCGGCCGGGCGCCTGACGCGGCGGGATTCCCTTCAGCCAATCAGAGGACACACAGCAGAGCCTTTGATGAGGGCGTGCCAGCCACCTCCAGCGATGGAGACCCGTTCTATGCCACCGACCTTGCACTTAAAGTCAGCACAGCCCAGACAGAGGTGGGAAGATCCCTGCTCCTGCTCACCTGCTATAAGACATGCCTGCGCAACTTGCCGGTCAATTTTTCCAGATACTGAGCTGCTCTGTGATGCTGTGCAGAAATTAGCGGGATCAGCCGGATCTCCAAAGCAGCTGGCACTGGCGGAAAACAACAAGCATGATGCAGCGGATGCCGCAGCAGATGATCTGTTTGGGGGCTTGAGTGTTGCGCATGCGCCTGCTGAGGGCCAACATGAGCCTGCCTCCACATCGCTCATCTAGGTGGAAGTCAGTGTAGATGTGGTGAAGGGCATGTGCTGTCTTGAGCCTTGACTTCTTGGGGAGAAAATGGCATTGGCCAGGACAGCCAAACTTGGCCACATCAACCTGTGCATGCAAGATATCCTCACAGATCGAAACATTTTGATGGCAAAACATTGGCGAGACAGAAATATGCAGCTGCAAAGAGTATGTAATATCTACAAAAGACCTGACACTGGATTGGGACGACCCTACTGTCTCCAACTGAACCACGGGGTACTAGGTAATCTGACTGGCATCTCTCGCCAGCGCTGTCGAGATTGTCAGGAGATATGGCGAGACTGCATTCGCGATTAATACAAGATAATTGAAAGTGAGTTTCTGACACCCATCCAATCGTAGACAAACCTGTGGATCTCCGCGTCTTGGCGGAGACAGCGTGCAAGGAAACACGTCGGGTCTTGCTCGGGATTTCAGAGAACGTGTCTGAAACTTGGATATCTCAATTATGCTTCCTCTTTCTTTATTATTAGTGGGTGGTGTTCCAACAATTCGATTGATCTTCACGACTTTTGTGCACCAGCATGTCTTCTGTCAGTGCTAAATAGTCTGCACAGCTCAGCGATATCTCACTCACTAAAAGCAGATCTTGCAAAAATGATTGTTTTTTGATGATGCCGAGGTATGCAAATCGCAGATACTGGGACCACAAGGGCGTCTTGTTGCTGATTCCAGGATGCTATCACCTACACTGCACAGCGATCTGGTCAGGACTCAGTTCGCCCTACACCAGAGTCTCCTCTTCCGTGCAGCCAAGGGGCTCTCTAGAAAGCGGCTCTTCACAGCTTCCCCAGTCCAGGCAGCCAAGCGGGGCAAGGGGGACTCAGGCAGTGGTGGCGGTCGCAGCAGCGGTCCCCTCTACATCACTGTGGAGAAGGATGGATCGGACATCTGGAGGCTAGACCCTGTCATCAAGATGCTCAAGGAGGGCGCAGTGAGTCCCTGCCCTGTCCCTCTGCTCAGTCAGCCACATGACCTTGGAAACTCTTAGCCTTCCAAACACCAACACACATGGCATTATATGGGCCAGTTTTGACTTTATTGGGATCCCAGCCATTTGTGTAGGTCCCATGCTCAACAAGACGTTGGCCTCGATCCTGCAATTCTGGCCTGTCATCATTGTTGATGAAGTGCCTCGTGACGCCCACTGGTTTGTGCACGTCTCATTCCTGCTATCTGTGCAGATGGGCATTTTACCAACGGACACCTACCCGGCGCTAGTGTGCGACATAGAGGCGCGCAAGGCAGTGGAGAGGCTGTACGCAGCCAAGGACATGGAGCCCACCAAGCAGCTGTCCATTCTAGTGAGAAATTACGCCGACATAAACACCTACACACTCGGCTTCCCCTCAACTGAACTGGGCCAGGACACCTTCAGGCTGGCTCGTCGAGCGCTCCCCGGCCCGGTAATGGCCCACCACTTTCGGTGTGTGCACGTTGATAGCCATGTTCTGCGGTGGAGGTGGCATAAATTAACAAGGAGGTTTGATGGTAAGGGCAGGCACATGGCAAGCAGGCACTTTGGAGGCAGGCAGGCAGGCATAATGGAGGCTATGGGAAGTCAAAGTCCGTGCAGGTCATGCGCCGGGGAGTTGTGGGCCTGCGTTCCCAAAGCACTGGCTGTATCAAGGTCACTCGGCTGTTGTGTGAAATGTTGCCTGCAGTTAAGTCCTCATCTCCTGCCACACCCATCTGATCTTGATACGTCAGGATTCTGATGCACTTGTGTGGGGATGCAGTACACGCTGATCCTGCACGCGAGCAAGGCGATGCCCAAGCAGTGCGTGGACTTCCTCACCGGAAAGTCCAAACCGCGCCGCACCGTCGGCGTTCGCATGCCAGGGGACACCCTCTGTCAGGTGCCCCATCTTATTTTTGCCTCCCCTTCCCATCATCACGCTCACCCCTCCAATCAATGATCTTGTCACCGCTGCAGCCCCAATGCAGATCAAGAATATAGCAGTGCAGGTGAGGGCATACTAGAATGCCTCCATGAATCAAAACGGTGAGCATTCGGTGTCGGTGAGCTGTTCATGCATATCACGTGCTGTTCAGACTGTCCTCCCTTAATGGGGAGCGAATGCATGAAACAAATAAATCTGCCTTAAAAGTGAGTGGTTCGCTGGAGGCTTGACTGGTTTGTGGGGGGCAGGCGGTGTTGCAGGAGCTGGAGCGGCCGCTGCTGAGCACGAGTGTGCACGTGGAGGCGGAGGGGGAGCTGGAGATCCCAGAGGGCGCGGTGATGATGGACATGTTTGCCGGCCGCGGCCTCGACTTCGTGGTTGACTGCGGCACCCGGGTGCGCCGCTGTAATTTGCAGTGTAGACCAAGTCAGATGATGAGTCAGGTGCATGAATGCTCAGTTGAAAGGAATGCGAGGGTCAGTGTTGAGTGTGTGTCAGTGTTGAATCTGGGTGCAGACATGTTGTTCTTCATGACTTGTGTTTGCATCCAGACACTTCAGCAAAAAATAAGATATCTGAGATGTTGACGCTGTGCTGATACTGATGCTGGGATGTGCTTCTTGTGTGAGCAGATAGCGGAGGGATCTACAATTATAGACTTGACCGAAAGGGAGCCCACCCTCATTCGGCAGGGCAAGGGAGATCCCTCAATTTTTGTCTCTGACTATGCTTATGCCTAATTTTGGGGACATCCTGGTTTGCTGCTGGTCCACTCACAGTGGAAGTACTCAGTGGATGTACTATAAGGGGAAATTGTAGACATTTTGGGATTTCCCCCTTGACATAAATGGCTCGAGTGTGCTTTTAGTGTTATTTGCATATTGAGTCAATCACAAACGTATGTTAAAATGTCTGCTTGCGTGCTAATGTCCATGCGGTCATGTGGGCCTCTTATGTATCAGTGCATGCCTCAGCTATTTTTGCATTATTACAAAGATCGTACGATGCTGTACCACACAGAAGACGGTTTTGATGACCACTACTCACTAACAAGGGTGAGTTATTCTCAGTCTTGCAAAACACAAGTGTAAAGAAGAAATCATGAGGCAGTGGCTAAACAAGACCTTGAGGGCTGCAGGATTTTTATTAGTATCTCACACGGTCACCACCCGATCAGAACACTACCATACCAACTCTATCCTGACACCAATTGTCAGAGCACGTATGTTTAAGTTTGCAAGGCAAAACAGAGTGTCAATCTGCTGGGTTCGGTGCCTAACGCCAAGTTCCTGATATACAAGCAGCGGCACGCAACTCCGGGGTTCGTAAGAATATGGAAAAGGCTGGCTGAGCACAAACTGTGTCATCTCATCAAGTGATATCGTCACCACCAAGGGACTAATATGCACCATTCCCTGATCAAGACTAACATTTTGTTCCATCCATTTCTTTTCCAGAATGCCCACGGCAGAAAAATAGCGACTGGCAGATCCCAATCACCTCTTAAAACTTGCAACTTGCCCAGACTGTCCTCCTGTGTACACGCAGCCAACCTGTGCTGTTCTCAGCGCATTACAGGACTCCAGTGCTCAAGGCTCTCCTGACGAAGCACGACTTTCCCTCGTGGGGACAATTCGCGGACATTCTTGGCTGCTAATCTGCAGCACAAGCTTTGCACATACGGATGCTGGCCTTATGTACAGCCGCAAGATCAGCTTATGGGCTGTTGAGCACCAGTGTTGCTGCAAAGGGTCATAAATAATAAGCCCCTCTGGGCTGGAAGAATAAAAGTTCCCTAGAGTCATAAAGAACCCGAGGGACAGAATAGAAAAGACAGCTGAAGGCGGCCTGGTGCATGCTCTGACTGCACGCCAACCTCTGCTTTGACTGCTCACCCAAGCTCAAGATGATAGGGCTCAAAACACGATGGAATCCCTGATCAGGGATTGCAAGAGGCAAGCAGCTCTGCAGCATTGTGCTGCACACCTGGCAACGGCAAGCTGCCCCCTTCCTCACAATCCCCTCACTCAGAGGACATCTGAGTCCTTACGTTCCAGAGTGCACGTCAACTACCCCAGGGAAGCTATGCCCAGGGGAGCTGAGCCAATGGAGCCAATCTAGCGGCGCTGGTAGTTGATGAATTTGAGGGAGAGGATGGCGAGCGCTCCAAAGAAGACCATGAAGGCAACGAGGATGCCGACCACGTTGCCAATCCAGCTGTGCTGGTAGCTGAAGGTCGTTTCCAGGTAGCCCCTGATCGTTGTGGTGCCCCCTCCTGGGATGGTCACCTGCACAGATTACCACACAGGCCTCTTAATTTCCTTCCTCTCTGCTGCGACTCTGCAACGCCCGCTCTTCCCGAAGGCTTTTCAGCACTGCATTACCATTGCAATTAATAAAACAGTGCAAGTTCGTTTTACGTTTCACTTCAAAAAAATGTATGTACAGCAGGGTTGAGGTACTCACGACGGTATCGTCCTCGCCAAGCTGGGTGACAATGATGCCATACAGCGTCCTGATGCCATACAGCGTCCATGATATCGGGTTGACATACCTGGACAACACCACAATTCATCTCTTGTCAGCTCACCACGAACACAGACCACAGAACATGACCCAAATGCACTTATGGACAAGCATGCCCTTAGCGAAGGATGATGTGTATAATAGCGTAGCAAAGCAGCTGCATGCACAGGGATGTACAGGAGCTGGGAAGACTACAGAGAGGAGGGGGGTGCTCACCAGTACCACTTCCACCAGGGCACCATCTGGTTGACGCCGATGAGGAAGCCGGCAAACAGGTTCCAGAAGCTGTAGAAGAAGCCGGAGATCACGCTGCCAAAGGCCAGGTCGGGGGTGATGTACACCGCCATCACACCATAGAACCTGCAATCAATTTAAGTCAAACTTGCATCACACCCTCGGCTGCAGAGCAGGTATTTGCATGACCCAGGACAGATCAACAATGAACATAACAAAAAAGAGGGCAAAGGCAGTTCCAATTGGAGGGGAAGTGCGGACTCACGTCATGAGGTTGAGCGTCAGGAAGACGATGAGCACATACCAGAAGAACTTGGCTACAGCACAGCACACAACACATAAACATCATAATAAACGACACATTTGCTTTGCATGCCAGGTATGCAATGCCAGTGATTTAATGATTGAAGCTTTCAACTGAAAGGGCGTGAAGGTACAGCAACAGAGAGGGGCAGGCACAGGAGGAAGGGCTCACCAGCGGTGTGGTCAAAGCCGAGCATGAAGTAGGAGATGCAGGAGAAGAGCATGGCCTGCGCGAGATTGTAGGGCACCTCTATCAGGCATTGCGCCGCCCCAAACGGCAGCTCGCTGTACATCCCAGCAGCCCGCTCCCTGTACATCACCTGCACAGACATATTATTATGATTATTACACGACGTTCCAATCCATGAGGATCAGGTGCATCGAACAGACTTATAAACAGTGTGAAACATGTTCCTGACAATTGCTGCATGTGACTTTGTGCGATCGTGAGGCTTTGTCATCCTTCACAATCAAGGAACACAAGCGGTGCCTCTGAAAATGCACTACACAGAACATGAACGCAATCTTGCCCAGACTGCTGACACCTGGGGGTGTGTTCCACGTCACAGATACCGATGAAAATGTAATGTGATCTCAGCAGAAGGCTTAAATGCCTGCAGGTTGAATAATTGCAGTGGAGATGCAAGACTCACCGCGCGCTCATTGGACGCGACCGGCTGGATCGTGCGCGAGTTGATGATGCCCAGGAACAGCATGGACAGGTAGAGCGAGCCCAGAATGTTGCCCACGTCCTGGATCGTCCGCCTGAGCAGCCACCACACCACTGCCTTCAACAATCAATCCCCATAAACTATGATAGGAGGGCCTTGACTTGCCACTGACAGGTGTCACCTGCAGGCTTCGCACCGCTGCATGCCTGTGCACAGAAGGAACACACACGAGCAAGAGATCTGCGCAAGAGGACCTGGGGGAGAGTGAGAAATGAAAGAAGACACGGGAAGGGGAGAGGTCAGGGGCGCACTTCTTGTGGTTGACGTTGAGCAGGATGAGGCCGAAGAGGACTGCCAGCACGCCGGCAAACACAAAGCGAGTGCCATTGTAGGGCACGTCCCGCAGGTAGCTCTGCCAGAACCTGCAACACATAAACTTCAGCGCCCACCCTTCTGCATTATTGTTATCATTATTATTGCACCTTTCCTAAGGACCAGGTCCGTCAAGCAACACCTGTTTTATTGCTTTCTACTCTCCTCGGTTCTTGCATCTTCTCGAATCATAGGCATGACCAATGGCATTCAGATCTTCTCAAACATATAACATCCCATCTGCATACAGTATATGCAATGGGCTGTGGGCCAGGCTTTGATGGAGATTATGTGCCAGTCAGAAGCCAACAGAGACCAATGAAAGGAACTAAAAGTCATGGTGAGAGTCAGGGAGCGGCGCACTTCCAGAAGATGAGCTTGAATTGGGAGAGGGCGTTCTGCGCGTATTTGGTCTCAAAGTGCAGAGGCTCAATGCCCGGCGGAGGGATGCTCAGCTCCTCAATCAGCTTCTCGTTCTGCCTGCAGCAGCACAATCGGTGCAACTTCAGGCTGATAGTTGCTCTGTTTCTGTCAGTCAAGATTCATGCATAGGAGCACAGCAACTCAGGTGAGCGGCCTGCAAGGTATGCATCAATGACTGCCCAAAACTAAATCAATATTCATTTCAGATCTGTAGAAGGGGCGTGAGGGGATGGCGCACTTGTGGAGGTCGCTGCTGCGGTAGATCTCTGCAAAGTCGACGCCAATGGTGGACTCCATGCCGGGCGTGGACACTTGCAGCATCCAGGTCGCCGGGTTCAGGCCCTCCATCAGCCTCGGCACTTTAGGGATCGCCTGCAGCACACATCCCAGCCACACACTCAGCAACAGCAGTTGCACATTGGTCGTCATCATTGCGAATGGGGCGCTGTGGTGGTAAAACAGATCCTGGGGGAGCCATGTGCATGTGGGTGAACGAATGGGACAGGGGCAAGCACCTCGAAGTAATTGATGAGGTTCTTGGAGCGTTTGCCCAGGGATCCGTGGTAGATGACATTGCCGCCCGACTTGAGCAGCAGCAGGTCGTCAAACGCCTGCGCCAGTCAGCACATGAAATCACTTGTCGCCTCAAAAGCAAAGTGATAATTCACCCACATGGCAGCCAAGATAAAGAGTGCCACAAAGAGTGCCACACAGTCTGAATGCAAAAGCCACTCGGCCTACCTTTCACTCAATAGCATGCATGCAGAGACTCCATCCTCTGCCTTAACCATACTTGATGAATCGCTTGCAATGTGGGCAGAGGGCAGCGCCAGAGGAATAGCAGGGACATTAGCGCCGTGGCTGGCCACACCTCAAAGATGTCGATGGATGGCTGGTGGATGGTGCAGACGACGGTGCGGCCAGTGTTGACAGTGTTTCGCACCGTACGCATCACGATTGCGGCCGCGCGCGCATCCAGCCCAGACGTTGGCTCATCCTGCCACACACGCGCAAAACCCCTCATATCATCTGATCAAAATACCCCTCGAAGGTGTCTGCAAAGATGGTGCTTCTCTGAGTGGAGCATGGTAATCTGAAGCGGCAAACAGGCATTTGACGCTCCTGGATGCCATGCATGCCATTTTGCTGGACGATCAAGGACGCGGGCGCACCATGAAGATGATGGAGGGGTTGGCGACGAGTTCGACGGCGATGGTGAGGCGCTTGCGCTGCTCCACGGAGAGGCCGCTGACGCCCGGCTTGCCCACCAGCGCCTGCGACAGAGACTCCAGCTCCACCAGCTCCATCACCTGCATTTTGGATGCACACATGCCTCCTTCATCAGCTGCCTCATTTAGAGATACAACTTTCACATTTTGTCAAAAGCAGGCAGGTCCAGGGCTGGTATCATGTGTGTCTTTCAGGGTGTGGAAGAACTGCAAGGTCCACACGCCAGCCTGAGTCTGGGAACCACCTTCAGATGTGGAAAGGCTGGGACATGGACAATGCAGTCGCTTACACACTCTGACAGGAAAGGTGGGGGGAAGTAGTCCTGCCCACCTCCTGGACGAAGGCGTAGACAACGTGACGCTCCACCTCCTTCCCAAAGCGCAGCCGCGCACTGTACACCAGCGACTCCAGGATGGTGATCTGCCGCCAACAAAAATGCGAGTCAATCCCTCTGCACACTTTGCACAGGATTGCTTCTGCACTCGCTTGCAGCATGGACAGCCACCACAGGAGGCTCAGCCAGGAAAAGGCCCTAGTGAGAAACAGAGGAGAGCATTGGGCATATCCACAATGCGCAGCATGCAAGGGTGAGCGATGGGGATTTACGCACGTTGGGGGAGTGGATGTCGCTCTGCTCCACATAGCCCATGATGCGCGCAAACGTCTCCTGCACCTTGGGGTGGCCCGACACGCGCACGTCGCCTTCGATGATGCCAGCTGCGCGGCACCAGTAGAGTGGTTTTGGAAACACGCCCATGCACTACTTCTTCTTTTTGCTGGAATGACAAGTAATGCCTTACACCCCAGCAGGCATTGAGTGTGTCGCAAGCCGCCGTGCATGACGGCATGCAAGGGGCCAATCATAATTGGGTAATATTGCCGCAGTGCTTGACAGTGACAAACACCATGGAGTGGCAAATCGCAACAAAGACCGCGACACCGTCACCCAAGTTGTCAGGGCTCGCAGCCGCCTGAACACATGGACAGACAGGGCATTTGTTTCATCTGCTATGCTGCTGAATGCCTGCTTGACAGGATAGCGGGTAGTTACACTGCTGGTCCTAAATTGCTCCGGTTGTTCTTGGCAGGGTATTATGCAAACAAAGGGGAATTGCGAGGTGCACGTACTGGTCTTACGGCCGGCGAGGACATCCATGAGGGTGGTCTTGCCAGCGCCAGAGGAGCCGACGAGCGCGGTCAGGATGCCCGGCCGGAACGCGCCGCTGCAGTCGTTCAGCAGCTGCAGCATCTTCTTGCCGCCCACCTCCGCTATGCGCGGGCCAGCCTTGTCCGGATCCGTCGAGACTCCCTGAAGCATGTATGCATGCAGTGCATCAGAAGCACTCCACATAGCTGCAAAAGGGTTGATATGGACACAGTAAGGCCTGAAAAGTCCCTCTTGTGTACAACAATACCTTGCGCAGCTGGCACACAAGAATGCAGAGGGGCAGCTGGCACACAAGAGACAGAGACAGCCATCACAGGGAAGACCTCTGACAGAAATGAGAGGTGGCTTGACGGTGGGGAACTTGGTTGTTGGGGGCAGCACCTTGGGGACGTCGACGTAGTAGTTGAGGTGGTGGAAGGTGAGCGACAGCGGCGTGAATGGCAGCACCATGCCCTTGCCCTCCTTCATCCCCGGCATCGCCGCGCTGCCAAAGCTGCCCCGGCTCTCCCTGCGCCCCGCAAACCTTACCCCTCAGATTTTGTCATTTGTTATCTTCCAACATTGGCGATACGGCCGAGCAACCAGAGCTATGACACCACAGGCTATGCAGAACATTCAAGGCTATATCATGTGTAAAATTCTTTCATGCAACTGGCGCTCACCGTACAATGCTGCTGAGGTCGCGACGGCTGCCGGTGGATGGGCGGCGTGCAGGCGTGGCCGGTGTCATCATCTCCACATCCCCACCTGCCATCACACGATACCATCAGCTGAGATTCTGCACTCCAATCATGGCGTGGGGCGGCAAGAGGTAAGATGACAGCACTGCTCCCAACAGCAGGCCAGAGAATGCCCAACAGGCAGAAAACGTGACAGAGAAGACGAACATGACATATCAAGGAATCCACAACAGGCAGGGAATGTGAAAGAGAAGACGAACATCACAGATTAAAGAACCCACGTCAGGCAAGAATGGCGACAGAGAAGACGAATGTGACAGGTCAAGAAGGAACCCACAACAGGCAGGACCTATGACTCAGAAGACAAACATGACAGGTCAATGATGCAGCGAGAGGGCGCACCGTTGGCGTGGCCGTTGGTCAGGCCGCTGGCGGCTCCATTGAGGCGGCCGCTCTTCGCTGAGAGAGCGCCGCTATTCATGGAGATGGGCAGCTGCTTCTGGCTGGCCTTGCCCCTGTTGGAAGCCTCGGCCTTCTCAGCCTTCTCCCTGGCCAGTTCCTCCCTGATGTCCTCCCTCAACGAGGCAGTCGGCTGGTCCAGTGCTGCAAATATCGAACACCCAGAGCTCACACCAGCATCTCAATCCCCAGCACTCCGGCGTGCCTAAACTCAAAATTGTTCCTGCTGTGCTTGTCCAGGGCATTGGCATGCTGACAGCAGGGAGCATCTGCTCGCGCGGAGACCTTGGTACTGGTTCAGCATGCAAGGCAGGCAACTTCAAGGGACAGCACGAGGACAACCAGAAGGAGGAGATGAAGATAGGAGCTCACGATCAAGGTATGCATGGTTGAACCAGTTGCCGATTTGGAAGAGCACCCATGCGATGGCGATGACTCCCACACCCAGCCAGATCCACCACTCATCGTTGGGGATGCCACGCTGCGACAGCACAACATCGCCCACCGACTGCCCGTCCGGCAGCTTCAGCGCCTTCCAGCGCGGCGCGGCAAACTCGTTGATCGCGATCGCCCTCTGCGCGTACGAGATGGGGTCGATCCAGTAGAACCTGCGATTCAAGTGACATCATATTTGCTCTGAGGACCCGGTGGGGATTACAGACACTACTGATACGCGGCAGGTACCTTTTTTATTCCCTTGATGGCAAGGCAGTGAGACAGTTGTGCTGCAGTCTTGGCGTGGCCCTTCTTCAGACTTCTCCCACTTTTCCAGACAGAAGTGAAGGGATGACTGGCGCCAAATCACATGCAGGCATGTGATTGTGTGTACAAGGGCAGAGCAATTGCGGCTTCCATCAGGAGGCAGACAAGGGGATGTCTCGCACCAGATCCACCAGGGGGGGATGTCATTCTTGGCGAGCAGGAAGCCGCCGAGCAGCAGGAGGACGAGGAAGAGGAAGGCGCCGCCCGTGGAGGCAATGTTCTCGTTGCGGCAGAGGCTGCCGTTGAAGCGGAAGAGGCTGATGCCCATGTTGTGCAGCATCGCCAGCAGCAGGATCAGCGTGAAGAACCTGCGCGGTTATACCCACAATGAGCCCCTTTGATTCTTCATTGGCGAATACGCGCACAGGAGTAGAGAGCTGCTGCGAGCACAGAACCAAGACCAGTCACTCTCAGGGCTACCTGACCCATCAATGCTCCTCTGATACCGTACTTTATTGAGCACAAAAGTAACTGAGATCATTTCCTTGTTGAGGCCCGGGCACATTCAACCTGCAGATTGCGCATCAGTGAAACACAAGGGCAAAGCAGGGAAGGGGGCACACCTGCCGGGCTCAGGGGCGAGGCCGACGGGGTAGTAGACGATGGAGCACCAGAGGACGGCGGCCAGGATGGAGTAGGGGATGCGCAAGATGGTGGTGGGCAGGATGTAGGCCCACGCCGGGTACATCTTGTTATCACGCTGCTTGTACCAGCCCTCCAGTCGCGCCACCTGCACCCAAATTCATACTTACGCCAGAACCTGTGATTTAAAATTGAATCCCACACCTAAAGTTTACTCTCAAGGAAAACTTCCAGCCTACTGCGGCTCCAATAGACCATCTGGGGCGACTCTAACAGTTGCATTGACTCTACTTCGAGACTGCTTCTAGATGCTAACGCGTTCTCAGCATGATCTTCAATAAGAGTATACTTACTTGACATTATTCCATGCATGCATGCATGCATGGTGTGAACATGCAAGCGGGCTGGCAGCGCACCGTGAGGGTTTCCTCGGCAAATCCGTCAAACATGAGGGAGATGAGGGAGAAGAAGATGACTGAGAAGTAGAGGTTGCCGCTCTCCACGCCGTCCGGGTGCAGGTTGGTGCGCAGGAAAAGCGTCGCAGTCACCAGCGCCATCAGCATTGTCACAAAAAACCTGCGCAGAATTGCATGCATGCATTTCAGATTGCTGCTCCATGCATCCAGTACAAACAGGACCGGCAAGCAGACATTCTGCGCCAGAGAGGATAGACACCACACGAAACAGCACAGGCGTGTGGAGTGCTGCTGCATGCCTCTGATAAAACCAGGACTGGCAAAAAAGGCCTTTTACAGAAGAAAAGACATGCATGTCTTGAAAGTGGCAAATTCTGGCAGGAGTGTGTCTGGTACAGTACCTGAAGCCGTAGAGGAAGAGGTTGCGGGACACCAGGATGAGCTCGCGCTGCACCGCACAGGACAAGGCGTCAGCATTACACATTGCAGTTAGCATATTCTACATTTTCTACACCTTGGCAAATCAGGAGTCCTGAGAGAAAAAAAGCCATGGAGTCCAAGTGTGGCAATAAGAGCAACATGAGCCTCACCCTCCAGCAGGCCTTGAAGAGCTCCCAGCCAGACAGCGCATACCTCTTCCTCACCAGCACACCCTGCATGATAGCAGCAACTGTCCTGATCATTTACTCAAGGATATGTTTCCGCCGGGCCAGCTAGTACTTCGTCCTGTTGCAGGACGAAGCCTACAGGCTGAAGGCCTGCACCCTTGGCTTTGTTAGGCATATAGGTAGGCATATTGTTCACAAACACACAAGGTGAGAAAGCACATGCACTACAGAAAAAATGGTGGCTCATGCAAGAGGCAGGGGATTGGCATACATCTGGATCGTGCTTTCCAGTGCCGCCCAGGGGGCATGTGGGGGGCGGCGAGGCCAGGTCTGCTGCAATCTGGCGGCCCACGCTGAAGCTCTTGAAGTGCTCCGCAAACTGAGCCACGCTCACAAAGGTGTAGGGCTTGCTGGGGTCCGACCAGTATTGCTGCACGCACACACAGATTCAAAGTGACACTCTCACCCATCTTTTCTTTCGACCTGTGTCGTCATTGGTGGCTTTAGACCCCCAACAAGCAGCCGGGCAATGCAGTTTTCAGTTTGGTCAGAGCAGAGACCAGATGTATTTCAGAGACAAATTGCAGGATTAAAAAGCTGGATCACCTGCTGGTCCTTGCGCGAGGTGACCTCCTGCAAGAAGTCAGCAACACCCTTGCGCTCGGGGCACCTGAAGCCCAGCGGCTCGAAGAAGTCCAGCACGCTCTCGCGCGGACCGTGGTACACCAGGTAGCCTGCATGAAATTTATTCTCTTTCACAAACCAGCCCTCACACTGTATGACAGCTTGCAAGACCTTTGATGACATGCATGCATCCCCCGTTCCCCATGGTATGGTACAGAAGTGACAAGGGGTGATGTCAGCGCGGCGCACCTTCGGCGATGAGGATGATGTCATCGAAGAGGTCATAGGTCTCAGGCGCCGGCTGCAGCAGGGCGATGGCGGTGGTGTAGCGCAGGTTGTGGGTCGCGTCGCGCAGGTATTTGATGATGGCAAATGTGGTCGAGGAGTCCAACCCCGTGGATATCTCGTCCATGAACAGCACGCGCTTGGGGCCCACGATCATCTCGCCTGCGCCACCATTCAAACAGCTGATTTTTATTCTTTTGCTCGAGTGCTTTTCTAGCATAGAGTCACCACGGGTGGCTTCATGCATTGCATGGCATCAATTCCCCAGCAACTCTATGCAGAGGATTCTGAATGATAAGGGGAAGCACCCAGCTCTGCTTCAATGATTGCCGAGGCACAGAAGGACGAGCCCTACAAAAGGACCCTTAAGTGGCACAGGCTTTTGCATGCAGCCCCATCAGGACGATCCATACCTAATCTGGAAGAACCTTACAATAGATCCCTTCCTGGCAAAGGGGCCATGATCAAAAGAGTCAGGGATGTGCGCACCGGAGGTGACGCGCTTCTTCTGGCCGCCGGAGACACCGCGCGTCATGGCGTTGCCGACGATAGTGTCCGCGCAGATGTCCAGGCCCAGCATCTTGATGATGAACTCGGTCGACACGCTGTGCTCCGCGCCCTCGATCGTGCCAGCCTTCATCATTGCGTTGACTGCCCAGTCAGCCTCCACTCCCAGCTCCTTCTCCCGCCTCCGCAGCTCCGCCAGCAGCTCTGCGCAATCGCACGCATGCAGATTACTCAGTGCAATGCAGGCAGGCATGCATTCATTCATGCAGGAGCTGCCCCTTAGCTTTTGCCCGCCACATGTCACTCATTGCACGTGATTGCTGGAGGACTTGCCCTTCCGCTTTTCTCCCCGCATGGGACTCCCAAAGAACTCCCACACAGGTGAGAAAAATTACACCCTCAGTCTGTCCTTATCAAGTTTCAATCAAGCATGGCACCCCTCTGGCAAACACCCCTTTGGCAAACCCAAACAGTGGCATACTGGAGATCCATTGGGTTCCTCTGTGTTATGCTGCATGCAGCAACTGTATGGCAGAATTATAAAAGAAAGTGTTGCAAAGGAATTGTACCTGTCGACTCCAGGTCCAGGAAGGTATGATGATACAAAACGGCATGTCAATGTCAAATAGCAGCGCACCTGCGTTGCTGCCGACGCCCTGACAGCGCGCGGAGAAGTTCATGGTCTCGCGCACGGTCAGCTCGGGCATGTGCTGGTCCTCCTGCTCCACGTACACCGCCGTGCGCTCCGGCAGAAACTCGCTCAGCTCGTGCCCGTTGTAGCTCACCCGCCCGCTCACCTGCAGCAGCGTTCATATCTCTCGGCCACCAGCTGCTCACATGACACATGCACTGCAACCTCCCATGTGCACTTGGTGGCCGCCATGTCTTGATGCGCGGCTCAAGAGGATGGGATGCATTTTTCCGTTCAGCAGATCACCCTTGATGACATTTAATGGTGATACTGGACGTGGCAGTCTAAAGCACACACATTCTGCTGTCCAAACATAGGAAAAATACCGCAGCACAGGACTGAAGGGACAGGGAAGTTAAAGCACAGGCAGCCTGCTGTCCAAAGGCAAGACATGCATTGAAAAGAAGGGATGGAGGGGCGCCCACCTGGAGGTTGTGGTGGCTGAGCTTGCCGGCCATGGCCTTGAGCAGGGAGCTCTTGCCGCCGCCGGGGGGTCCCAGCACCAGCGTGGCGCGCCCGGGCTTCAACACAGTGCTGACGTGGTCCAGGATCGCCATACGGATCTTCTTCATGCGAATGATGTGCATGCGTATGAGCACGTACTGCACAGCCACCAGATCAGTGAGCATCACCCTCAGTCACACATCTTGCTTGCTCTTGAGAGCCATGCGCAAGAGGACATGCCAGCTGCACCTTTGCATGCTCCATAAGAGGGGAGCCAGAAGCCAGGTGCTATTACTCAAAGCAAGCATGGCAGAAATATACTAAAATGATGGGTGGCTGCAGTGGGGACTAGACGGGAAGAGGCCGCACCTCCAGTCCGGAGCGCATGGCATTCAGCAGGGAGGGCAGCTGGCGGTCTGTCTCTGCATACACCTCTGTCTCGATGTGCAGGTCCTCCACTCTGACCTCCACAGTGGGCAAGTCCAGGTTGACTCTGTTGCACACAGCTTATCATGAGTACAAGACCATGCTGCCTGCATCGAGATTCCTGGGCATTGGGTGCATGCAGACAGCTACTTTCAACTCTATTCCATACAGCGTTTTGTCTGCACAACACCATGCGACGCGCATTGACAATGCACGACATAGTGAACATGTGGACAGCTAATGTGATCACAGCACTTGTGTTGAGAGCACAGCAGGCAGAGCACACCTGTCAAACCTGGCGCGTGAGCGCTCAAGATAGTCCTCAGCATCTTGCTGATCTGTGTTGAGAGCTCGCGTGACAATGAGTTGGCGATCTTCCAGAGATATGTGCTGATCAAGGCGGATCTCCCGGGCAGAAGCTGATTTCTCCTGCGGCTGTAAGCACACAACCCTATTTGTAACTCATTCTCTCACAGAGATGTGGATCAGACCTGGATGTGCCATGACAGCTCATGCAGACGGACTTTTTGGTAATGAGATGCCCTGCCACTTTGACAACCCACTTCACCATCACAAGCTGGGGTCCCTGATGCTGAGATTGGTGTTTGCAGTGCATACCGCAAATCCAGGGGGGGTCCTATGCATATCAGTAAATCAACCAAAGTAGCGTTCAAACTCATCTGAGCCTCAAAGTCTCCTCTGACACCAATGATAAATACTGCTACACTCCACATTCGTGTTCCGACATATTCACTGTCTTGCACACACTCTCTGCCAGTATGTGCTCCCCCTTCTCTTACCTCTGGGTGTATCGCACGATTAGACAAGGCAGCAAACATCAGCTCCTGCCCCACCACCGGGAGTTCACGTGATTTCCTTGACGTCTTTGCGGCACCTTCCCGCAGACTCTTCTCTGAAGGATGCGTCGGGCCCTCAGCATTGACGAACAGGGCATCTTCTGCCTCACCCGCCTCGAGCGGGATGCTCTGCATCGCCTTCTTGGTCAAGAGTACGCACAGGCCTGCTATTCAACGCCACAATCTTGCAAACTATCGGATTGTACTGGGACAAGCTGCAGCGCTGTGACGACTGCTGGACGACACACACACACTGCAATCTAGAGCTAAACGATTGAAGAAAGAATCCTGCAGGACTGATGGTCTTCCTGCTTCCACCACCAAACGCTGCGATGGTGTGAACCTCTCGTCATCAGGTTGACTCCATCGGCCTCCAAACCAATGGAAGCTGCGCGCTGACCGGAAGCTGTTGTGCATTGAATTGATCCCAGAGCTCTGCTCCAATCGGGGCACCCCTGAGTTCATGGGGAAAAGGTGTGCAGTGGCAATTGCGAAGCCTAGGAGCATCATGGACGATATGATCATAGAATGCCTTGCATGCGTTCAATCAAGGATATCCACGCATGTCTAGCTGAAGCTCTGATCAATCATGACCTCCAGTATGATGCCACTGGCCGCTTGCACGATTCATGCATCATGATTGATCAGTTCAAGTGAAGCAATTGATGCGCTGATCCACAGTATGATTGATCCAGATGTTATTATTAATATTATACACAAATGATCGGATGGTGTACAAATATAAATAGTTTGAAAGATGCAAGGACTAATTGTCACGAAAGCGAAATGTAACAGTGCCAAGGCAACTAATCATGGAAAGCAGGCCCTGGTTGGCTATCGATTCAAGAGCACCAAGACAAATACAGGTACAAGATCTGACAAAAGACTTAACACCGGACATACTGGTTTGTGTAGGGTTCCACATGTCGTTGGCAGACAGTTCACAGTGTGAACTGCGTGTGAATTTCACACGCAGCCGAGCCACAAACATATAGAGCAGGCTGCAGCTGTTTGCATGTCAGCATGGATGTTATAGACCGAGCTAGACCAGCCGTCCAACGCGTGAGCATGCAACGCTTGTCTTGAAACCAGACATCTTTTTAGCTGCCAATACCGAGCAAGTAGCGATCTACAGATGGAACTGGATGGTGTACTTTGAAGAACCACACACATATCTAAAGTTGTGAAGACATCGTGCGTTTCGCTGACAATGCGTCGGCGGAATATATCCTAGGAAGTCATGGGCCAATGCTGGCGCGTAGGCATGCAAAATTGTCACTGAAATTTCTTCTACCGCCCCTCCCCTAGACTGCAGCAAGCAAACCCATCTTGTCCCTTGGAGAAGATCGACTATGTCAACAGTACTATGCCTAATGGGCGCACATTTTGGCAATCCCCCGGCTCCCAGGGGCCTGCCAAACCCTTTGCACAAGGGTCAGCCAAACCCCCTATGCCCGCTTGCCAGCCTCTAATGCTTCTGCCAGGGATCTGCTGAACCCCTTCCTCAAGGGTGTAAATCAGCCAGAAACCCCAAAGCCTCAGAAGGGCCACTTGCGAGGCGTTTGATGTCCCTCCTCCCAGGCACCTGCCAAACTCAATTCTCAAGGGTGAACATCAGTCAAGGGTGCTTCAGAAGGGCCGCTTGCGGGGCACAACAAGGCGGTCGATGATACGTGCGTCGCCCTCGGAGGGTGAGACGGTGTCGGGACCGGCCCAGTATTCGCGGCGGCGCGGCAGCCAGCGCGATGGGTAGTCGGCCAGGTGCGCCGGGCGCCGCCGGCTGCCGCCGCCGCTCTGGCCGCGCCACCGCGGATCCTCGCGCCACTGGCACGGCACCTGCGCGCAGGCGCATGCACCACGCTCAGCAGCTTTCCTCGTGCTTCGCTGCACTGATATCCATTTGATGCAGTGAACTGCAACAATTGCACCATGCAGCCGCTGTAACAAGATTCACAGTGTCTGTGACATCGTCACAGGCAGAACAAGCCCCCACGCAGTCTTTACTGGTGGTCTCATGCCACATTTCCTTGGGCAAACTAGTGGGATATCGTCCTGATTGAGCAGTCTCAACAGACAGTGTATTCTCCTCAGGGAGCCCCTCCTAGAGGCTGCTAGAAATTGCCGCAGGTGCCAGACGTTCTCCCTTCTGGGGCACCAGGTCCCCCAACATCCAAGCTATGCATGCTGTACATGGTAGCCCCACCCGGAAGCCATTTGGTTGCTAAAGATCAAGGGAATACAAGCCAAGCCACGGACCTGGTCGATGGCGAGGCCGTAGACGTGGAGGTCTCCTTCAGGGGTGACGTGGATGCGCGAGAAGCCCTTGTGGTGGGGGATCTGCAGCGAGGAGAAGGCCTCGTCGTAGTGCACGTGGAATAGGTTGACCGACAGGTACAGGTAGCCGCCAAAGATAAAGGCCACGCTGGGCGTCACCAGCACCCAGTAGTATGCCAGCATGCCCAAATAGTACGCCGCTCCCTGTGCGCACGGGGAACGAAACCACTTATCCCTGCTTGCTTGCATGGCAAAGGTGCTGCAAGAAATGTATATTATACAGGCAATGTACAACAGCGTGGACACCGCAATGGGTGATACACAGGACATCTCTGCCCTGGAAGAGAATTTAGCAGAGCAGGCCATTGTTGGGACCATCTTGCATGCTAGCTCTTTCGCTGCAACAATTCAACAGGTTTGCAATTGTTACGGGCTCTGCTGTCAGCGGAGACACACAGGCTTGCGTGGCGCTGCTGCGGAGACACCGCACCACTGAACAACCTGCATCAGTTGTGGCAGTTCTTTGGGGGTGAAATGCCCACCTGGAAGCGCGAGAGGGGGGCAGTAGTTGCGGAGCACATGGCGGTGCGAGTGACAGCAATCGCCTCTGGCACGTCGAAGAGCGCCATGGCCGCCTGCACCACGCCCGGGTACGCATGCAGTGTGTACCGCGCCACCTGTCGCACAACATACGGAAAGCTCAGTCGTGCTCCTGGGCCGGAAGTTCCGACTTTGTCTCGCGTGCACAATGATAAAAACCCCTATGGTAACAACACTGCAAGGCAGCCCTTTCTCCGTACTCCCTCATGCTCGATCTGCTTTTATGTCTGCACATCTGCACTTTCTCTCAAACAAGCAAAAGCTTGTGGATGGTGTAGGCAGAGGAATGTCCAGAAGTCAACACTGCTGTCATGGTTGGATCACAATCAGGTGGGATTTGAGAGAGTTGAGAGGCACCGTATCGCGCAGGCCGGCCGGGTCTGGGAAGTGCTGCGCCTCAAAACGCTGGTACCAGCGGTACAGCGAGTGGAACCCCTCTGCCCCAAGCTCCTCATACCTGCTCGCACAATCCTCCCTCTTGAGCTCAAGAAGCTGTACGTTTCAGGCCCCACTTCTGGACGAACATGAAGTCTTTCAAGCCCCCTCTCTCAAGACCTCAGTACAGCATGAGGTCCTTCAAGTGCATCTTCTAGACGTCACTTGCACAAGCTTTATGCCAAAGCAGCTCGAGAAACAAACAGGCAGCTCTGTTGCCGCCATGGTTGAGTGAATACTTGTCCATCCTGTGTGTTTAGAATGTGCAATGAGGAAGTAGCAGAGACGTGGGCGCAGAGATACAAGCAGGTGGTTGGGCCTACCTGATGCAGGTTTCCACGCCCAGCTCCAGCAGCACGAGCGACAGGATGGCGGCTGTCAGGTGCGCGCTGGCATGTGCGAGGGCGGCGATCATCTGCGTGCTAAGTCCCCCGGTACGGCCACTGCGCACATTGGCGCAACTCAGCAACAACTCTCAGGGCTGCAAAAGTCCTTACAACAACATTTGCAGGCGGCACAGACGGTGTGGTGCAATTCGATTTGACCTCCAGCAAAACGGAACATATAGTCGCACAGCAAGTTCACATGATGAGGCGCCCCACAATCGGATGCCATTCAGGGCATTCAGTTGTGGATCCCCTCCTCAACTGCACTTCCCATGCAATCAAGGGATGTTCTCATAAGAAATGTCCCGCTAACGAGCAGGGACTTGCATCGGGACAACGGCACGCTGTATGGCACTGCATGCGTGTGACAGTAGGACGCGCACCGCAGGGCCATGGACTCCCAGAAGGATTCGCGCTTGCCAGGCGGCGGCTGCGGCGCGGGGCCGGGGATGGTCCCGTAGCCGCCGGACTTGGCCATGCACCAGCACAGCATGTACAGGCACAGCACCGCGATCAGCGACAGGTACGACTCCGTAAAAATTGCCGCCAGCGCATCAGCGGCCGCCAACACCAAGTAGCCCAGCGCCTCCAGCAGTGTGTGCGCGTCCAGGATGTCCGTCACCCGGCTGCAGCGCGGCAGCACGCTCACCTGGAAAAACAAAGAAATCCACGTCAGGAACAATTGCAAGTGCTTGTATAGCCCTGACATCCGCAGACATGCATGCATGCCTCTCAAAACTCCCGCAATTGGGAGCGACTTCCAGGGAGGATGCAGTGTGCGCACAATTCAGGCACCTCGCATGCATGCATTTGAACTGTGCTGGGAACCAACTTCCAGAAGGAGTGATATGTGAGCAGGTCTCAAGAGTACAGTGTAGGATTGGGCAGGCAACCTTGAGGCATACAGGAAAGGGGAAAAGGGGGCAGGGCCTGACCACCATGAGGAAGTAGAAAGCGCCGCCGATGACATCAAAGCGGGTATTTTTGAAGCGGAAGAGGTGCAAGTTCTGGCGTCCCAGCTGCAGCGACTGCTCCGGGGTCGGGTATACCGCCGCGCACTGAAACTCGCCCCCACCCCCGGCCACCGCCCCGCCATTCACCTCCAGCTTGCCAATTGGCAGCTCACCTACAAGAGCACCAGTCCCTGAACGCTTGTGCCATTGACAGCCCGGCCTGCCAACCCCTCTCCAAAGACATGTCATAGATTGCCCCACCTAGAGGTCAAGCTGGTGCCGCTGCGTTCAGTGGGATACAGGACCGAGATGGTACCCCGGATTATTGAGAAGGCTAGAGCATGCATTCAGAGTGGGCAAGTCCTTAAATGAACATGGCTGCGGGAGGACTATTTGGAAGGGAGCAGGTAGGAAAGCAGGCGAGTATTGCCCTTTCAGGTGGTTCTGCAACTGTTCAGTATAGCAGCGCAGTACTGGATGTCTGCTTGGAAGCCACAGATTGGCCTTGAAAAATAATTTCACATCCGGGCAAAAGCCACATCTTGCCTTGTCTCAGCTGGAACGCCCAAAAACCAACAGTGTGAGCAAAAAATTCCTCAAATCCCTAGCGTCTGCAATTTATGGTGGCTTCCGACAGAACTGCACCGATGAAGCTGCCGTGGCGGCTGAGGGTACGGCGGGGGGAGGTCCCGGAGGGCGAGATCCCCCGCGGTGGGCTGGCACCGCTGGGGGACCTCCCCATCGGGCTGCGGCCGCGCGGCGACAGCCCCGCCTCGAACAGATCGTCGGCCGCGGGATCCGGCACCGATGCGAAGCGCGCCGGCGCGAAAACGTGCGTCGGGTGCAGGAACGCGCCGCCCAGGCCGTTCACTATCAGGTGCTCCGGGTCGAAGGGGTGCAGATTCGCAATTGTTGCCGCCGTCGCGGCACTACCGCCCACCGCCTGGCTGTTTGCCGCTTGCGCTGCGCACAGACCAACTTTTCGAGTCAGGCGCTGCAATATAGACGCCCATTGGTCTCCTAACGAAAGCTAAGCAAAGACCAACACCATACATTATCAATGGTCCTGGCTGAGCCCCGAGACAGGGCCATCTCCTGGGGAGCAGGCTGCATGGTGGTGCTGCACTTCTCGTTGCCACATGACATCTACCAGAGACTCTGGTCAGATAGCAAGAAAGGCCGCAGAAGATAAATGCAACAATGAATGAGAATCGCACCTCGGTTGACGAAGCTGGCGAGGTCTTGGTAGATGTCCCGGCCCATCTCCACCTCGTCAGCCTCACTCGAGGCGACGGAGGAGGCAGAGCCGGCCTTCCCGCCGGAGGCAACGCCCTTGCCGCCCCCGCCGCCGCAGCCCAACATGGCGGCGGCGGCGGCCACCTTGGAGGCGAGCGCCTTGGCAGGGGCCGCATCGGCGAGCGGGTTGAGCAGGCCCCGGACGTCGCCCTTGGCCGCGCTGCGCGGCGCCGGCGGCGCGGCTGGCTCCGGGGGCGGCGCCGGCTGGAAGGAGTGCCGCATATAGAAGTGCAGGTCGCCTGTGCACACAACACACCGGTTATCATGTAATTTCCGAGCTACAATAGTGCAAGCGGTCCTCGGCATTGGGAATATTAAGGCCCACAAAAGCTGCAGCCTGTGCGGCACACTCAAGGCTCCTGTCAAGGAACTCTGTGTCCTAATGAAAATATTCTGCTTGGGAGACGGCGATACCGGTGAGACAGCGCAGGCAAGGGGTGAGTCAGTGGCGAGTCACCTGCGAGGTGGAGGCGCGCCCGGCCGCGCAGGTGGCCGCGCACGAGCTGGCGCAGGTTGAGGGCGGCGGCCTCCTCGTGGAACCAGTCTACCAGCCACCCCGGCTGGTGCGTCACCAGGATGGCTTGGTCCTCCGGCCCCATGCGCTCATCCGCTATGCGCGCAAAATACCTGCCCAAACGAACTTCTTTCAGTTCTTCCAGCCTTGTGAATGCCAACCTATTTCTGACGTTTCAGCTGATTAAACCCCATTTTCTGCCCACGCATAGACACATGCATGCCTCCGGGAGTGAAATGCAAAGTGAGATGCATTCTTCAAAAGCACATGACATGAGAAGGCGGTGCTGAGTGTCAGCAAACAGCTGGAGGGACGACATGCGTAGTGCATCTCAGTAGGAAGCCCAGGCGAAGACAAGCGCCCTCAGGCCTTTTAGACTCTTGACCACAGCTAGACGCACGCTTTGAAAGGGCAAAAGCCCACCCCAGGGATGAGTGCACACCATTTTCCCAGGCTATTGGTCACAGCAACACAAGGTCTTTGATTGGTGGGAAGCCACTGAAAGATGAGTGCACGCAGTCAATTGGCCACAGCTAGACTAGCGGTTTGGCAGGTGGGAGCAGGAGGGGTTTTGCAGTCCACCTGTACTGGCACATGTCGATGTCGTCCACGAGCGCCAGGTCGAGGCCGAACAGCCACCAGCCGTGGGGCAGCCGCAGCGCAAAGTAGGACTTCTCCTGCGGCAGCAGCCAGCCGCCCAGCCACCCGCGGTGGTGAATAAAGCGCTGGAACGTCTCCAGGCCGTCGATCCAGTCGTGGTTGCCGGGAATTGCAAACGCCGTCGGGCCGTCGTACCTGCGCAGCGTCTCGGACGCCGCGCACGCCCTGCAAGCCACCAGGACTTGACTTTAAATTTGCAATGCTTATTAAGTATCTTATTGACATCCACAAAATAGGGGGCAATTACTGTACGAGAGGAAGACTTGGGGAATGAATAAATTCAGCTTCTAATATTGATGCAGCCAAGGCAAGCACTGTATGAGATTAAGTCCAGAAACCTTGCTCAGGTGAGATTGCTTGGCAGCCAAGCAGGGAAACGGGGTGTTGCCGTCAGACGAGCAGAGGTATGTAGGTCACACATGCAGCATGCATGCCATGGGACAGCTGGGGTGTGCGCACACCTGCAGTGGGGGCCTGTGCTGTGGGGGGACCTTGCCATGTCAGCATGCATGGCACAGCTGGATGGGGGATCCGAGCACCGCATTGGCCGACGGCCGTCTGACACCATGGGCAGATCGGGTTTGTTCACCACCAGCCTGCCTGGGTGTACACCCTGCACACAACACCACAGAGGCTTGGCACCCGTTTGTATAAAGCATGCCGGCCTGCGCCCCTCTACACTTTGTTGCGGATTGTGAGCCTCAGAAGACAGAGGCTCAGAATCTGCATTGAATCCCTTGGGCATCGCGGAGCAGGAGGTTTGGTGTGCTGAAATTGCGACAAGAGCCATACAGAAAGAAATCATCAATGCATGCCTTGTGGAGAAAAGTGCAGCTTACTGGGGGAGGCGGCAGAGCAGTCTCAAATGGGCCCACGAAGCGCAGCTCGTAGGTCTCAGTGGAGGGGTTGGGGTAGGCCAGGTCGCCCCCCAGGATCAGCACATCGCCCCTGGGCAGCAGCTTGCCCCTGGCATACACCCTCCCTGATGTCGATGCCTGCCCGTTGCCTGCACACAGGCACCATGCTCACTGCTCATCCACCGCCTGAGTGGGCCTCACTCCCACCCGCACCTTGTTCCAATGAGACATGCGCCCATTTCGTGCACGCCAGTCTGCCTTCAGTTGATGGAGCAAGCTTCAGCTCCCATGTGGGCAAAATATTGGTCTTGCATGGCTTGACAGTCATGACATTGGCAAGCGAAGTGGGCTGCCTCAGGCGGGCTCACTTCTGTTGCCTTCGATGGGGGTGTCCAGCCCGGACGAGCTGTCGCTGTAAGTGCTGCGCGGCGATTCTGGCTCCTCCTGGAATGTCTCGTCCAAACTATCCCCTGTCCTGCCGCCGCTGCTCTTGGCAGATGTGCCGGAAACTTTGCTGGAGGACATGTCCATGGCATGCAGCACCGGCGCGGCCATTGCCCTTGCCACTGCATACGTGGGGTCCCTGAGAAGCACAGACCTTAGGTATGAAAGGACCTGATATCTGAATAGTGCTGCCCTTCCTTCGTCATCTGGACCAGCCTCTGGAGGACACAAGAGGGCTGCATTGTAGGGTCCAGTTGATTACATTGTGTCACAAGAGGTATGAAATGTAAGAAAAATCTAATAACAAGGGAGCCGAGAGCCGCGCACCCGCCGTCGCCAGTGTCGGCGCAGAAGTCTATCCAGAGCTCCCGCTTGTCAGCCTCGTGCTCAAAGGTGAAGCCGTCACCCTCACGTGGGGGCCCGCTGCCACCCCCGGGGGGACCCACCCCCGTCGCTGCCTGCACACATGCAAACACATGTCAATGCAGTCGTTTGTGCATGCTGTGCAGAAGAATACGGTGAGTGCCGGCAAGCGAGTTGTCATTTAAGGGCAAGCGGTGTTTTGAGCTAAGTCACCTGCATGGTGCGCATGTCAAAGCGGCCCAAGAAAAGCTTGAGGGAGACGATGAGGCCGAAGATGGTGCGGTACATGTCGGCCGACGTGCCGCTGTACCAAGGGAACATTGGCAGGAAGTCGGGCTGCTCATCACTCGACGCGCCCTCTTCCTCCTCCCTGTGTCAACCACCAATAATGATTCTACCAGAGAAGATCGGTCCCCAGGCTCATCGAAAGCTCCGCTGGTCAACCTTCATAGCAGGATATGTGTCATCCTGTCAAGGCTTTGCAGATGTATCCAAGGCGCAGCGCATGAGCCTCCACTTGCTCGGGGAGTCCAATTGGCATCACTGGACACCAAGGCAAAGCTGTGCATCATGTGCAGGCACAGTAGTTGCCCAACAGGATAGCAACAATTGGGTGATTGGCATCACTGGACACTAAGGCAAATCCACGCATAATGGGCATGTATAGTGATTGCCCAACAGACTAGCAGTACTGTGGTGGGGCAAGGAGAAGAAAAAGTCACGGCTCGGGGTCGATCTTGGAGAAGGGGGTGCAGGAGGGGTCGCCGGGGCGCCATGCGCGCGCGGTCTGGGGCACCGACGGCGTGCGGTGCTGCTGCGCCAGAAGGTGCCCGGGCAGGCCCGCCAGCAACGTGTCCGGCAGGTTGGCCGAGAAGTTGCGCAGCAGGCCGCTCACCGCGCGCACCGTCGCGCTGTCCATCATCTCGCTCGCCGACCGCTGCATCATCTGCGCCACCCCCAAAATACACGCACATTCTGTTCAGCAACTTGCGCCCGGCACACAACCTTGTACTGCCATGCATGGCATGCTTGCACGCTGCTTGGGGTGTAATTTCAAGGACAAGACAGTGACAAGCAGCCAGGCCATCCTTCATGCTCTTGTGCAATGCGCATTTCGATGCACAAGCCAATCACGGTCATCATCACTCCGATGGCCACAGATGCAATACAGAGCGGCACTTGCCACAGCTAGCACCGACAAAGACAAGAGGCGATGTAAACAACTTCTGGTTATCATACGTATATAGATTGTGTAGGAATCAGGCTTATGAGACCAGGGCCAGGGGACTGACATCAAGGGACTGGCGGCCGATGCCGGACAGGTTGTGGCGGTGGCGGCGGGAGAAGTCGGCGCTGTGGCGGCGGCGGTGCACGGGACGGCCGGAGCGCCAATCCTTGCTGCCGGCCCGGCCGTGCCCCGCAGTCAGCACGCTCTGCAGCGCCCCGGCCGCGCTGTAGTCCGCCAGGCTGTTCACTGGACAGCCCCAACAGCAAATATGGTTTCATACTGGAATTCGAAGGATGAAATATAAATTTGACTTAAGTGACCCAAGCACACACATGCGCAGACTCCCAAAAATCTGTTAAAGTAAAGAAAACTCATCACAGCTTCCTACCTTGGAATACGGACTCCATGCGGACTTTAGAATGAATATGCAGAGTGAGCTGCTGGCTAGCAGCAAGAAGACTGCATTCAGCTGTTGAATTTTAAGAGAGAAAGGTGCATGGTATGCACCCATGTACATGATGACGAGGGTGATCCACAGTGTGAAGACGGGCGAGATGATCTCGGCGGCCGGGATGCTGATCAGGCCGATGCCGTCCAGGGGAATGTCCACGTTCAGATAGGCGTTCGTAAAGGCATTGGACGCGTCTGATGCCAGACTCGCCACCCCAGCTCCCTCCCCTGTACAGACATGGAGCACATAAAAAGCCAGCATCCTCCTGCCATCGGGCCTCTATTTTGCCCAAAGGTGGTAAGGCAGAGCCCCAAGGGGGCCTTTGCTGATGACAATGGTATCTATGCCCATGTCCTCTCCTTCAGTACTCAAAGGAATGTGGTGCCCCTTTGCCCGAGCTAGGCTTGCCGTTGCACATACCTGCCATGCATGCTGTGATATCCACCCCACCTGGAGGTCATCTGGGTACTAAAGGCTAGAAAACTCAGGTGAAGGGGGGAAGCCCCACCATAGATGACCCAGGAGGAGAAGGCAGGGTGCTCGCGCATGTCTATTGGGCGGAGCCACTTGGTGCACACAGCCGCCCTGAACCCACCCACGGCACCACCCCCCTTTGCATCTGCCCCGACTGCCGCCGCGTTCCCGCAGAAGCTATAGTACGTGCTGCAAGCCACCAATATGGTCTTAATTACACTCTGAAAATGCAAATCAGCATGAAGACCGCTTGCCAAGATCTCTCTTCCTGACAACTGTTTGTGATGTGTGAAGATAACCTGCTGATCAATGGCGCTTTCCCTTAAACAACTTATGTTCAATCATCTCTGAAATGGACACAGAACTTTACTCAGGCTTTAAGCAGGCTGCCATGCTCTACATCCCTGAATGGACACAAAAAATTGAGAGGTGTGAAGCAAGCTGCCAAGGCACAGCTGTTGGGACATGTCACACCTGCATGCGACAGCAAGGTTCATGGCGTTGAGCAAAATGATGGAGGTGGTCCCAGACAGTGCCCCCGTGACAACCTGCAGCCGCGGCCGCAGCACATGGAAGAATATGCACAGGGAGTGAATCGCGTGCAGAGCGCCCAGCACCTGCAACATGACAAAACTTCATCTCATTTTATGGTTCTCTTCTTTGGTTCATCTCTTTCTGGTTTAACCCGCTCGTCTGCAGCCTCACACCCCGGGTGATCAAGCAGTATGGCCTTGCATTTGCAAGCAGACCACACATAAGTGAAGGATGAGAAGCAAATGTCCTTGGGATAAGAGTCCAGATGGCATAATTGGCACGAGTCTGCTCACCAGGCAGGACAGGAGGAATATGGTGAGGAGCATGGAGACATCTGTGCGGACATCGAAGCCAAGCGCCTTGAAACTGGGCAGGTGCAGGAAGACAGCGCTGCAGAGCCATCCGATGTACAGGGAATAGAAGTTAATGTATCCCCTGCGGGACACATGTGGAGATCAGCGAGCAAGCTCCCCTTTCTCGCCAATGGCAGCTGAGGTCCAGACAGCTTCCCCTCTGAGCTCCAGGCCTGCAGGCTCTGCAGAGAAGCCTGGACATAAGTTGTGAATTAGTGATTAAATGTCCGTGAGTTGGACTCCGCACCTTGAGGCTGAGCCAAAACGCCGACGAATCAGTGGCCGCAAGTACAGGTAAGCGAAGAACGATGTCGCTCCTGCTCGCAAAAGCACAGCAGATCACGTTGGGATTTTGCATGCAACAGTTTTGTGACTGAAAAGTCCATGGGTGATCTTTGTGTTGGGAGAGAGTTCGCCCATAGAGACTCATTGAAAACTACGTGAGTGACTAGGCACCAATAAGCTACTCACCACCTGAACAATTATGAAGTAACAGCTCCTAGGTCATCAAAACACCTCAGCTGGAGGGAGATAGGACCAAACAAGCAATCTCCCATTTTTGTACATGTCAAGCATTCTGTCAGGACGTTATATGGTGCTGCAAGCGAAATTTGAGTGCATGTGACTCATACATGCCAAGAGACAAACGCACCATACAGGTAGAACCACTTCCGGTTGAGCTCGTATTTCTGGACAATACCCTGCAGGCACAGAATTTTGTCAGATAGCACTGAGAAGACTATGTGTTAAAGAAAGCACAAGCAGTTAGAGGCATGTCCCAAGGTTGAACTTATTACCTGTGTGCTATCATAGAAGAGACATGCGATGGCGAAAAACCCCACGAGATATACGGCGATGTGAGTATGTTGATAGACATGGGCAAGATTGGTCGCCGGTTTTTTAGTGCCCATCAGAATATTCTTAGATTGAACATCCACTCTGCTGTCCACAGGAGCCTTGCACCACGTCCATGTTCTTCACCCAGATTCAGGGTGAAGAGAACAGGAATCGAAATACCTTGCAACAAAGTGGAATCGGGGAGAGTACGCCAAGACCCAGGATCGAACGAGACACTCCCCTTGAGTGCCACGTTGGTCCTTATTCACACATTAGTAAAGCTACTGTCATGGTGAGTCGGCGATCGTTGGTTCAAGCCATGACGGCCAAGTGAGCTGTCCTTGAGCTGGACTCAATAATAATAATAATAATCTTTATGAGTGGCGAACCCAGAGCCCAGAGGGCCATAGGGCATATATACACAGGTCGACCTGCGGACGTCTGCATGCAATGCGCAGTGCATGCAGACTCTGAGTCTGCAGCCGGAACCCGGGGCCGATATGCACAGGCTTGCAGCATTGTCAACTCGCAAATGCACCCTTGCAGCCTACAGGTCTACAATTCCTTCTTACACGAATGCTGAGGGGCCGTCCCTAGCAAACCGCTCGAAATGCAGGAACGCATGCATTCATGCATGTGCTGCACAGACCTGTCCTCAGCTAGGCCTAGGCCTAGGCGGGTCACACGGTGTCACGTGACAACTCAGTTGGAGGCTCCCTGGGTGTCACGGTGACCGCCAGTGCCAGTGGACATGTCATAATCAGTTGTCACATGATGTGGACCTGGTTTGTCCCTGGCACGCGCACGGCATCAGCATAACGGTTACAACAGCAAGGCACCATATGCATGCATGACAAACATGCAGGCAACCTTCCCGAGCAACAACCAATGATATCAACTTCAAAATTGAATTCAAACTTACGCATCATGCATGACGGACGCAGCCTAGGCCAGCAGGACCAAGCAGCGAGATTCCATGGCCAACAAAAGATTCCCTGCAACTGCAGCACACTGCAGCGGCACGTGCACATTTACAAACAATAATATTCATATAGTCATTGTTCATCTACCATGATACTTGTCTGACATCATGTCTATTGAGACGCAGTTTCGCATAAAAAGACATCTCCAACGCATCAATAGCAACACCATTTGCAGTGCAAGAAGATTGCCCCTGCAAGGCCTCCTAACCTCATAGCAATCCACCATCACTATTGCAATGAAAAAGAGCATCCAATTACTCCGGCAAACACCAGACCTGCAAAATAGACGACCTTTCACTTGGACACATACAAAGTCAATACATACAAAGTGTGCTCCCAAAGGTAGCAGTGTAGCAGCCAATGGGACTTATCTTCTCAAAGCAACCATAAAACATGCATAAGCGATGTTTCCCCCATGCAACTGCTTCTTATTAGTCATGGCAATGAGGGAATGCATCCCTCAAGCTGCAGCTGTTTGCTCAGACCCCAGAGATGCATAGATCAGGTGGCCATCACCCAGATGCAGGGACTCGGGAGTTTGAGCATCCTCAATTTGGGCGCCGTCCTGCCCACCCAGCCAGAATCAGCATCAGTTATTACTCTGCCCAGGACAAAAACCTACTTGCTCCTGCTGCGCACAAGACAAAGCAAGCAGAAAGACATTCTGTTCTCGGCATAAAGATTGGCTGATACCGGAAACTTGGAAAGAACACTGACATGCAGATCATGAGATAAGTCGGGGTGCTAGTGAGGTCAGAAGCCACAGAGACTGGGCACACACCTTCATGAGGCTGAGGAACCAATCCTGGCCCATTGGCGCTGTCACAAAGTTGTGCATGCTCTGCCGCACAGCCTCGACGGCCATGTCAGAGTTGACCCAGATGTGAAGCATAGGGCCTGTGGAAGGTGTGTCTTCCTCTGCCACCCTCCCTTCCTTGCTCGGCTGCACCGGCTCAACCGCATACTCACCTGGACACAAAGACCACAGCAGCAATGTTGATTCCTGCGGCTCTTCCGGGCTTATCTGGCTCTGAGGCACATGCCAAACCTCTGCTTCCAGACATCTTGAGGATGCTGGGGTTATACCAGGCATCACATTGAGGACTCGCATAATGTGCGCGAGTAGTTTGCAGATACATGCCAAACCTCTGCTTCCAGTCATCTTGAGGATGCTGGAGGTATGCCAGGTATCACATTGAGGACTCGCATATGTGAGTAGATTGCAGATACAACAGACTGAGCATGTCAAGTGTGTGCTCTTGATGCCCAGGCAACTCTTTGTGTGCCCACCTGGCAGGGCAATGCGAAGGTGCAGCGAGCGAGACTCTCTGCGCTCCACAGGCACAATCGATCTCAGCAGGTTCAGCTGCATGATGAGGTTGCTATTGAGCGCAGTCAGCATGCAGTTCCTCGAGTGCAGGGCTGCCATCAGCCTGCGCTGCTCTTCCAGCTGCCGCTCCTGTAGCCTGTAGTCTGCGCAACAGGTCCGTCTCGTCAGAACTGATTCTCCAAGCAGGCCACTTTCAAATCCCTTGAAGTGATAGCACTGCATCTTTTAACGCTCCAGTAAGAAACCCTGGCGAGGAACCAGTTGCATCAGTTTGGTCCTGCGAAGTGGGAGACCTTTCGGTGGGCACGCACCTGCACAACCGGAACAGCCTTCTTCCTCGGCCTCTTCCTCGCAGGAATGATCGCAGCTCCCCTCGCAGTGGCTGCCGCTGTCATTTCGCCTTTCTGAGAGGGCTATCGGATCCTCAACCGTCCTCCTGCACACACAACAGGGCGTGTCGGCAGATTGCGACTTCAGCTCCCAGGATCCAAGTCTCAGGAGGATCGAAATCGGTGCCCCAGTCTCGACCCTCTGCAAGGTGGGTGGTAAGTTCTATACTTCAACAAACGGAGGGAGCGTTCACCCTTGCAGCTCAGCATCCTCGCGGGGAACTGCAATGCCGGAGGTGTGCTCTGCGACTGCGCACACTGGGAGATCAAACGCCGGCATTTGGAACCCCAAAGCGTCTTGCCTTGGCCGGCTACCGGCAGGGTTTGGCTCCTCGCACGCCTGTTCTCCGCGGGCACGCTTCATTCTTTCAACGCTTGGTGCTCATTCCGTTGACGCCTGCGGGATAAACAAAGGAAGGATGGTCCTATATATTTCTGGGACACTGACTGTGAGGTTGTCCTCCCTTTTCACCCACAGTCGACGCCTGATCCAAAACTGGTGGCTCTCGTCTTTTAGGCGCACGTGGGTCAGGTGACGGTGGACGCTGATGTGGCAAGCCGTATGGCGCGGAATCTCATTGAAATGATGTCAATGAAATCTCATTTCGGAACTGCATCTGTAGAGAGAGAGAGGTATGTGTTTGCCATGGTGTTATCGAACGATACAGATGCTGTAGAGTTATGCACAGTGCGTTCTGACTGAAGCCAGGGGCCAGGGTGCTGAGAAGCAGTACCAATGCAGCAAAAGGACAGACAAGCCCTCGCAGCAGCCGCCTGCGGTGCTGCTTTCATGGGAGTTGTCTACCTTGCCAGGCGCGAATTTAGGCGATGGCAGCTTCTGCACTCACACATGGCGCAGGTACAGTCACCGGCCGCACGCTAGACTGCTGACAATATCTGAAGCAGAGCACAGCAGCCCGTACCTGTAAAATGCCGTCTCGATTTTAATCGACTTTCATACATACAATTAGTAATGGCGACATGTTGTGAAAGTAACAGTAACCGGCCCTGCCATAAATTTGATGCCATCGACCACAATCAGTGGTGATCTCGCTGATTTGTCGTGCAGTATCGTAGCAGCCTCCTCCTGGGACATGACAGGCTGTTGAAGATCAAGGACGACTTCATCAAGGAGGTGTGTCCTCACCTGGGTTGCACTGTCTTACCTTTAGACGTCCGGTCACTGCTCAGGCGCAACAATGCTCTGACGCTTGACAACTCAATCATGACCTGCAGGCGCAAGCTGGTTTGCGAGGACAGAAGAGCTCCTGCTTGATGATGCCCAGCATGATGGACGTCCTCCCAAACGGGTGCGTGCCATGACAGAATGGTTGCTTTGATGCATTATGTAGGTTTCCTGCTGCCCTGTCATTTTCGAATTACAAGGACACTCACTCTGTAGAGATGCCCTGTATAGGGAGGAGACAGGGGACTTCTTTGCTGTGGACATTGGTGGCACAAACTTCCGCGTGATACTTGTGAGCCTGTCTGAAAAAAGGGGAGAAGTGGTGAGCCCTGCATTCACTTGCTACCGCATGCCCTGCAGCAGCCGCATGCACCAGATGCTTGACACACCTGTCTTGGCAATGCATTCAGGCGCGGTTTGAGATGGAGGAGTTTGCCATTCCAGAGGAATACTTCAGCTGCCATGCAGACCGGCTGTTCGACCTGCTTGCGGACTCGCTCGTGACATTTGCCAAGCGCTATGGCTTCAGGTGGGCCCCTGCCCCTGCCCTTCATGGCGCGAAAGGCTTCCAAGACAGAACCAGCCATAGCACGGCCGTTTTGTGTATCATGGACAGGCTCTCGTGCAAGCACGGGCACAAAGACCGGACTTTTGAAATTTACGTACATATGAAGAAGCTTGCCTGCATGCAGCGGGAACCGGACGGCTCCGGTCGGCTTCTGCTTCAGCTTCCCCGTGGATCAGACGGCTGTAGATGCGGGGACCATGATCAAGCTGACCAAGAAGTTTGACAACGAGGGCTTCGTGGGCTCTGACCCTGTGCAGATGCTGCAGCGGGCCATCCTGCGCTTCAAAGCCCCTGTGAGCCTACCGAGCCATCCGCATGCATGCTTGCTCCTTCCGCCAGATCACATGCCCTGCTGACCTCGAAGCCCACATCACTGCATCTAACACTGCAAGTGTCCAATTCAGGAGCACTTGCATAGCTTAATATCCTATAGACCCCGAGACAAATTGATCGCTGAAGCTGGGTGCTATCAAAGTTCTCCTGCCATGCTATGCTCAAATCCTCTCGTGCTGAACATCGCATGCTGTACAGCAGTGCCAGCACTTTGAATCAGAGGGATCACAAGAACTATGAGGGAGGAAGAGTCAATAAACATACCTTCTGCGCGCAGTTCAAGGTGGTGGCGCTTCTGAATGACTCAGTGGGCACGCTGGCGGGGGCCTGCTATGAGGACCCCAACGCCAAAGTGGGCGTCATCTTGGGCACGGGCACAAATGCCTGCTACGTGGAACAGGTTGCGAATATTGCCACTCTGGCCAAGGGCTCCACGAAGCGGCAGACCATGGTCGTCAACACCGAGTGGGGCAACTTCACCGCCGCCTCGCTGCCCATCACAGAGGCATGCCAAACGATATTGCATTTTTTTATTATTTTTGGGGGGCGCTTTTGAAGTGCATGAATGGCTGCGTACACTACCAGTAATTGGTCTTTCTCAGTTTGCCACTACTTGGAAAGTCATGTGGGCAGAGCGCAGCATGCATGGTCCAGCATATTGCCTAGCATGAGGTCAGCGTTCGCCACATGGATCGCTGCTGCATGCAACATGCGGAACCACCCATGCGGCAAGGCTTGACCTCGTTTAAGAAAGAGTAACGAGAATCTGCAGAAAGCCAGAGCAGCAGGTGTAATCCAGTGTTTCGATTAGTGGCCGTAGGCGGCCATTGGCTGATTCGAATAGATTGCTGGCTGCTGGGTGGCGATTTGCTTCTTATTTTGGGCATCCGCAGCGGCCACCGGGAGGCTGTCGGAAATTACAGACGCTGGCCAAAAAGTCAATCTCCTTAGGGGAGGTAACGGATTAATGGCAAAATGGGCAAGTAGTAAAAAAATAGTCATGATGTGGCTGCTGGCTTCCCTGCGGGGCTGGCCAAACAGCCATTAATTTATTTTCGCCAATTCCTTAATCGAAACAGTGGAGTAATCCCTTACACCTAGTGACTGCGCCCGGAAAGGGGGTTTATAAACTTCTGCGTGCGTGAGGTGGTGTGTGGCAACAGGTGGACAGGGAGATGGATGAGACCACCCCCAACGCTGGGGAGTACCACTTTGAGAAGATGGTGTCGGGGATGTACATGGGGGAGGTGGCACGGCGCATCATCCTGCGACTAGCGGTGCGCTCCAAGCACCGACCACAAGTGCAATGTCACTTGCCACCCCGCAATGCACCCGCGCAGGACTCGACCCGCCCCAATGCAAATGCATGCGGATCTCCACGGCAAAGATACACCAGCGAAAGAACTTCAAAAATGCTGGAGGGCATTGTGCAGTGCTGATGCAAGGCGGAGAGGTGCAGAGCCAGCTGGGGGAGAGACTTTGGCTCAGCAGAGGGTTTAGCTCATCGGCAGGCGGCTGTTTGAAGCTGTTCAGAAATTTCCATAATTGTTTTGAAAAAATTTCCAATTCACCAGAAATTGAAATTAAATTTGAGAAAACTTGAAATTTTGGGGTTGTTGGGCGCAGGAGGAGGCACAGCTGTTTGGGCCGTCGGTGCCGGACGAGCTGCGGGTTGAGTGGGCGCTGAGCACGCCCGCCATGTCCAAGATCGTGGAGGACGGGTCGTGGACGCTCTCGCGCACTGCGCAGATCCTGGCCGAGACGCTGCACCTGCCGCCCTCGCGCTGCACCTACTCAGCCTGCTCCACAGTGCGCGCTGCAACTCTGTTCATCTCTGTCACCCTGCCAGTGCGGGCTTCGCCTCAATTTTTCTGTATGACCCTGCCAGTGTAGGAGGCCTAGGGGACGCTGTGAAACGCATCAAGAGACAGTGGCCAGCCCGTCAGGAAGACCTGCATCATGGGGACCAGATTGTGCTTGTGTCCTGGCTGGTCCCTCCTGCTCGGCCCTGTGCATGGGGGCATCAAGCATGTGTTCCGCAGCCCACAACACGCCTTGGTCCAGGATGTCTGCTTGCCCGGTCTGTCACAAGGCAGGAGTCTTACCTATCGGCCATGCTTTTGCCCTGCAGTCCTGGGCCGAGAAGACGTGTTGAGCTGCACATCTTGAGCCAGCGAGTCCGCTCTTCCTTATTGTACAGAGATGGCAGTGCAAAGCGAAAGGCACTCTTACAAGAGTGTGTGACTGCGGTGCAGGTGAAGGCGGTGTGCCTGATGGTGTCGCGGCGCAGCGCTGCGCTCGTGGCCGCCTGCCTGGCCGGCCTTCTGTGCCACATCGGACGCGACGGCAGGTGCGGGCATGTGCCGTTCTTTGTTGGAACGGTGACTACCAAAAACGGTCGCTAAAATCTTCACCCCTGTCATTGCGTCCCATGGTTGCGGGAGCCGCTGCTGGCTGGCCTTAAGAGCGCGGAAGGCAATGCGTTGTGTGCTGTGCTGCGCAGCAACGGAGCCATGCAGGAGACGACGGTGGCAATCGACGGCGGGCTGTTTGAGCATTTTGATGCTTACCGAGAATTCCTGAGCGAGTACATGGAGCAGATGCTGGGGCCGGAGGTCAGCAAATCCTCATAATTACACATCTTATCTTACATGTTGATAGCTTTGCATGCTGGCTCAAGGTGACGGACACCTGCACCATCATCTGCTGGGTGTTTTCTGGACTCTGATCATCTGATCCATCTGAAGCGCAAGGCTGCACCCAATTCATGGCTCGACGAGCCGCGGACGTCCTTCTTGGGCACGGCATGGCTTCAGAACTACTGGAATCACGGCTTGATGATATAGTCAGTAACCCCTCTGTCGTGCTGGCTGGGTAAGTAGTGTTGAGTGGCGGGTTTTGTGCGGTGGACAGGTGGCGGCCAAAGTGCAGCTAAAGCGCATTCGCGACGCCTCGTCAATGGGATCTGCTTACCTGGCTGCCGCCGTCACTGCTTCTTCAGAGTGATGGGACCTCCCGCTGTTTTTTATGCGGGTCACAAAGCATCTTCTCTGACGTTCAGAAGACCCCATTCATGCGGAGTGCGCAGGGATGAAAGTTCCTGGGAACCACCTGCCACTGGGCAAAGCCCCAAATGACATACTGTCTTTTGTTGCTGAACCCTGGAAAGCTTGTGAAGTGCACAGCAAGACACTTGCTGGAGCTGGAAACTTTCTGCTTAAAGTTTGCTGGTACCTTTTCAACTTGCCTCTGGATGACCCTTTTCTTGTGACTCTGTGGGCATCAGTGGGGGCTGATCCATGTTTGGCCCTGGCTGAATGAAGTGAGGATGTGAGATCCCACTGGATGGCACGCAAGCGCCTCTTGCATGCAATCTGATATAGCTCCTGGCCAGGCTATTGCAAGCGCCACAAAAACATGGGCACGTGCATGATCATGATGTCAACATCACACGATCAATTGATGTAATAACGCAGTGGACTGTGGCGTGGTCTTCATGAAGTGCTGCACGTGAAGTGCTTCAGCAAGGTGACATACAAGAATGAGGCTTCCTACAGCGATGTTACAAACTATCCAGAGCCAAAGAAAAAAGAGTGTAATCCCATACAAAACCATCCATACAGTCGTCTGTCTGGCTGCCGTGCAGTCCCGCAGGGTGCAAGATAACCCACGGTGTGCACCCATCTAAATCAGGAGAAAGAAGGAGCTTTGCGCCTGCACAGCAGATCTGCTGGCAGGGCCACAAACATGAATCCGAGAATATCCCAGAGCAGCAAAACAATAGATTGTGTGGCGGCTCAAACCCCGCTAGAACTACCACAACATTACGGTGTGCATACCAAGTGCAGGCGTCACTAGGAGTCAGTTTGCTGACATCAGACGACGCAATTACTTGACCACTGCCACCTCCTCGCCCACAAGACATGCAAAAGTTTGAGCTACCTTTGCAAGGGCACCCCACTTGAAGCTATAAACAGACCACACTCGCACCTGTGCCCGGGATAGGACACCTGCAGGCGCTCACTCGCCTAGGAAAGCTTCAAGACATCTTGTGCACTTGTGAGCAAAACAGGAACAGCATCTATGACAAGTCCCCACAAAACCAATCGCGTCCCTCAACCCAATTTAACTACTTGTAACACAATTCATGCAAAGGAAGGGCAATGCACCAAACGACCCATGCCAGACAAGTTTTCCCCCTCGACAAGGTCTCAGTAACAGCCTGGAAGGCTCATAAGCACGCAATGCTAGAATATTTACTCCTAGCTACTGCAGGTGTCTGATGATGCTGCAAACAGTAGGACACAACTTGGCAACTGAAACGTAATATTGCATGTGTGGGGCCCCCCTCCCACCCTATATGCAGGCAAGCTGACACGGCTACTAGCAACGGGAAGGGGGTGAACTTGCAATCTCAAATTTGTCCTGCAACAGGGAACATTGTGGGCAACGATCCCGGCTCTGACCAGCAGAAGACCCACTCCTAGGGTGACAGCAATGCGGGTGACTCATTCTGGCAACCAGGAACGCTCAGCGGGGAGGAGCAAAAGTTTTGGAGAAGCTGCGGCCCTCCAGCCTTCCCGCCGCCTGAAATGCAAGCTGAGAACGCAAAGAGGCCGGCAGAGCGCATCGGCCCAGCAGCCGAGCGCGCCGCCTGCCGGGGGAAAAGCGCGCAGAGAGCCCATGCAACAGCAGACTAGAGGCCTCCATCCAAAATTGCAATGGGGTGCACGGGTGGGGTGCGGCGTTTGGCGGGAGCCGCGCCGTTCAGAAATGTTGGTGTACAAAGACTGCGCTGCCTGACACCGCAAACTCATCTGCAGACGCAGCAAGGACGTCAAACCAGCGTAAGCAGAATAGGTGCTTGCCCCCATCAGCGAGTGTACATCAATTTTTTCAACCTCTTGTAGCCCCTTGCGGAGCGTGCATGACAGGGAGGGTACCCTATTTGTAATCCTTGCTCGATGCAAGCTGCACTCCTGCCGCATCCTTACCGGCCGCGCCTTGGCCCTTCTTTCAGCAGCTCTGAGCAGATTTGCATTACGGGTCGAGCAGTTGCGCCACGGTCCTCTCTGCCTCAAGGACTCGCACAAATCATGCACCTTCGCATCCAACACGCTGGGGGGAGGGGCGGGGGGGTCCGCAACTTCCTACGCCGCGCGAAACTGACTGCCTGCCTCTGCTACCGATGGGACGCCTATAAATATCTCCTAAGAACAGCTAGGAAAACACAAGGTGCAGAGCTGTCACGCTCTGGGGCTGCCTCCGGCCGCAGCGACTTGCAGTTTGGCGTCTGAGAGAGCAGTGTGGGCTCCGGCGCTGGCAGGGGGAGACCCCCCCCTGGCGGGGGCGGCGGCACCCCCAAGCGGTGGCGACCCCACTCCACCCAGGGGCTCGGATGGGGGGCCCCCGGGAGATGCAAGCACCGCCGCAGCGATCTCGCTCACTGGCGGCAGCATCTCTGGATCCACTGGCACAGCCGCCGCTGGCCGCTCCCGGTGCTGCCCCTCTGCAGCAGCATGCGTGTATCGGGGTCATGCATAGGACACATACCATAAACAGAAACGATGCTGCACTGAGAGCTTTTTAGAGCTGAATTGTGTGAGAAAGAAGGGGCTTGGCCTCCCATACAGATGCCTTAAGAAAGGGACAACAGCAGCAATGTGAATGGCCATACTTGTATTCCTCTGGAGTTTTGAGGTTTTGACCGTGCTTTTCCTACATGGTGTCAGGGGCCTGAGAGAACTTGTCGCACCGTAGAATGGCATTGCAGCGGAGTGACCAGACATCATGCTTGCCCCGGCCTGCGTGTATGGAGCGCCGGACGACACAAGCCCGCCTGCAACAGACGCACAAAACACAGGGCCCAATCAGCGCTTTGGCAAGGTCTGCTCATATATGCTGCAAGCAGTCACAACCCTTTGGAGTAGCACAGGAGTAGATCGGACACACAGGATGAATATCGAATGGTGATACTATCGTCGCTTATGCACGGCAGGGCATGAGCACAGCGGTGAGAGGACAGGCGTCATGAGAAACTTCATTGTTCAGCAAGGAGTCGCAATGTCAGTGTCAAGTGGACGGTGCTGCTCACCTTGTACGCCATACCAAGAAGGGCTGGACGGTGGGCCCTGTACTCCCAGCTGTGCCTCTGAGTACACCGGGGCCCAGCCTCCCGACAGATACTGCAGCACACCAAAATTCTCAGTTCATCTGATACTACAACCTCCACACCGTGCAATTGAGGCCCAGCCTCTCCTGTTTTGGCTACTTGCAGATGTGATGCACAGTGAAGGCACTGTAGCGAGAGAGCAATGACACACCCGCTGGTGCTGCTGCTGCAGCATGTGCTGGTGCATAATGTACTGCTGCTGCAGGAGCATCTGCTGGTGCTGCTGCGCCGCCGCCTGCTGAGCCCCATAGTCCCCCGTCGCCACGCGCAGCTGCGGCCGCGCCATGCCGCCCACTCCCCTCGGACCCGCCTGCCAACACCGCCATTTACAAGGCTTACACCATATTCTTTCTTGTCGCAAAATTAAGGGATCCTCTTTTTTACCCTGTCTGCTTCGACACATGGGACAGGGCATGGTGCAAGAGCGAGCAAAGGTATCAAATTTACTTGTGATGGTCAGAAGGGGTGTACGTGAGTACCTGGGTTTGGTACCCTCGGCCGGCGCGGGGGCTTGGCGTCTGCACAGCGTAGGGCGGCGGCGGGGCCTGCCCCGGCGGCCGCCCGGGCGGCTGGGCGGGCGGCCACGTGACGGGCCGGCCGCCACGGCTGCCGGCGCTGCCGCGCGCGTGGCCGGGGGCCGCGCCGACGCCGCGGCCGGGCCGGCCCGGCCCGGCTCTCAGCGCGCCCTGCTGCGCCGCATACAGGCGGGCATCCTCGTAGGCCTGCTGCTGCGGCTGCGGCGGCATGCCTCGTCCGAGCGAGCCGATCGGCGCGTACGGCCGCTGCGCGGCGAGCATGCCGGACGGGTACTGGCCGAGCGCAAAGTGCGGCGGCGGCGCAGGGACGTGGGGCGGGCTGGTGTAGTGGGAGGCCGTGAAGGGCAGGCACTCGATGTAGCGGGCGCCCATCTGCGCGCGGTGCCGTTCCTTGCGCGCCCGCTCGGCCTCCTCTGGGTTCCCGAAGCGCACGTATGCGACGCCCGTCCCCAGCTGGTTGCCCTCCTTGTCCGGCTTGGTCACCACCTGGATGCCGTCTGACGCCAGGCTGAATCCTGCACCCGTCCACCATCCTCTCAGTCCCTGACGGGCCCCTCATCACTCTTACATCGCTTGCCATTCACCCCAGCCATTGTTACCACGAAGGAGCATGCATCTTTGAGCTGCACTGGCAGTGCATGAACAGCCTCACAGCCAGTCAAGTATGGGGGAACCTTGGACAGTACCTGCAAAGAATGAGGTGATCTCATCAATGCCAGCTGAGTAGGGCAGGCCCCTCAGGCGCAGGGTGGATCCGTCAGCGCTGACTACGGACTGCATGGGAGCTCCCTGCCCGTAGGGGGCGTGGCCGTACGGGGCTCCAAAGCTTGCGAGGGGCCCGTGCAGCGGCAGAGGGGGCAGCGGATGAGGTAGCAGGGATGGTCCCATGGCATGCTGCGACTGACCCAAGTAGTAGTTGCTCTGCTGCACCGCCTGTGCATTGCAAGCACATATCTCATGTTCAGGGTGAGAGACATCTGCTTGGCATTGCAAGATGAACGAGCGCTGTTCTCTAGTTGCACAAAGGTGAGAGATACCTGCTTGCAATCGCAAGATGAACAAGCCCTATCCTCTACAAGTGTGTTGCACACTGCCAGGATGGGCTGCAGCCAGAGTACGCTGCAGCTTGAGCTCGCAACAGGGAAGATGTCAGTGGCCGACCTCTCTGTGGTGACAGAAAGATCATATGGTGTCCCAGGCAGGCGCACCTGGATCATGTTGGCCTTTGAAGACACAAACAGCTCTATGTAGCGGTCTCCAATTTCGTTCTTGTGGCGTTTGAGCGCTTCCTTCTGGGCATCCTCTGAGGGGAACTCAACATACGCCTCGCCCTTTGGCCTGCCGTCCGGGGTGCACGTGAATGCGATCCCTGCTGAGCCCCTCTCTATCTCAATCCCCTCGAAGAAATGAACCTGCGCAACGCACAGTGACCCCGATGAACCACCATGGCCGCTCAAATGCAGGCGCAGACTCCTGTGCAGTTCCTGCGACGATTCAAGCACTGGTTTCCCTCAAAGCACCATTGTGGGCCCATGCACTGGGCGTGGTGGCTGCAAAAATAGACGCCTGGACCAAGCATGCCCTTGTGAGGCAGTTTCAGAGCATGCGAGGGCCCCCACCACATCCTCAGCAGTGGCGCCGTATGGAAGTCCCCGCATCCGCAGCACCCATCCTGGAAAGGGATCCACCAGCCCTTGTGCTTGCTTGATGTGCTGCACGTTCTTCTCAGGAATCTCGAATATCCTGCGATGGAGTGCATGAAACCTGCCTGTCAGCTAAGACTAATTTTTGAAGATTGCTGGGTCAAAAGCACTCCACTTGTGTCGCTGTGGACAATTGCTGCGTTCCAGAGATCAGATTTTGGAGGGTGATTTCTACCAAGCGATCAGCAAGATGGCCAGAGGCCTTGAAGACAGCACGTCGCCACGGAGAGACACGTTCCTAACTTGTTCAACCTAGCACTGTCCGCACTGCTTAATCACGCACGCATCGACATTGAAATACATTGGTCGTAGAAAACTCTTCCATGAGAGATGTTCCTCGTGCAGAGCACCCATAGTCGTGTCTGTGTCTTGCCGTAATCCCGCTGCCAACGTGAGATGTCTCGCTATTTGCGCTCTGCCCTGTAAGTGAACATGGGATGCGCTCCGCCTTCTGTGCGGGAGTATTGCAGTACGTGCCATATCACCCACAAGGAAGTCGATGCAGAGTCAGCGACGCACTCCAAGTATCTGTGCCGGAGCACTTGCTGGTTTCGAGCCTTTGAAGCCTCCTCAGCGATCGCAGCTGATTTGAACTCCACATATGCCTCGCCCGTGGCTCTGCCTGTTTCCTCCCAGAATCATCAAAGATCTTCAGCCAGCTGTGCAATGCACGAATTGCTGCGCGCTCTTTCCAAAACTAAACGCATGGGCAAACGGCCGCGCACCGTCCCTCCTGCAGATATGAATCAAGGACGTCTCGAAGCCTTGGAAAAATTCTTTTATTTCGTCCTCTGTGGCATCGTATGGTAGGCCACGAATCTTCGTGAGGCTGGATCTGGGCTCCCCCATCTGTCAATGGGCATCGAAAACCCTCAATATTTTGCCCGCTATAATCGGAAGCGTAGGTCGTCTTCATCTGTTGCAGTCTGCATCCTGCAGCGCCCTACACCCTTACACACGCCCACGCTCACATCTGGGGCGCCAGAAGCGCAAGATGAATTGCAAAATGTCCATAAAAAGGGGAAGAGGCTCCACACAGATCTCATGGCGATAGTCTCTGGCGAAAAGAAGAAAATCTGTCAGCGAGTTTTGACACGTACACGGGGGTTCATGTAAGGGGTGGCTTTACCGCATCATATCCTGGCCGTGCCTGCATGTGCGTCATGCGGCCGGATTGATCCAGCTCGCCGCTTGAGGAATGGCTTGCTCAGGATAATGGCTCAGGCTGGATAATGTGTTATCTTCCTTCCCTCCTTCCTGCAGGCCGCCGGCGCTCAGGAATAAATACTACAATTTCTGGTTGGAGGTACTTGCGATGCCACTGGCAGTGGCCTTTTGACATGTAGGACAGCAAAATGCCTGCACACGTCACACGGTGTGTTTATGACCGTCACACAGTCAATGTGACTGTCACGATGACCGTGTGATGACATCCCATGGGGCCACTGGCAACCACTGCGCAATCCACACCGCCGCTGTGTGATGACCATCGCTATTGCATCATAATGATCATCATGATGGTCTACGCATGGCAGCAGGTACTTGGTGCACTGCGCAATGCACAATGCTGCACAGCTGCGCAGCCTGATGTCATGATGGTGACTCACGTCTGATAGTTGGACTATCCGATAGTCACATAGGCAATGCCTCAGAGAGTTCTAAGCCCTGCGCATTCCTCAGTGAAGGCGAATTCCCTTTGTGTTCAAGGCATCATTTACATTAGCATCCAGATGCATCCAGTATACCGTAGGCTCTATGTAGACTCCATAGATCGGATCCTTCTATCTGGTGGTCACAACATGATAAGGTCAGGTCCCACAGCGCAAAATTAAGCCTGCCGTTCAAAGCTTAATCGCAGCAAGGCTACTCACAAGGGCACAGCGACATGCCGCTGCTTCATGCACACCCTACAACAATGTCTCCTGTCTCCGTGAGAACATGCGTACTGCAAAGGCTCCCTTTTCGCATTGTGCAGTGGCACCACAATGGGCTACACATAGCCTCTGCAATCTACACAGCCATTGCATCGCGTCACTGTGCAACACGGACAGCCAACAAGCAATTCACTACTCACTGCCGTTCCCACCCCGCTCTCAGTGAGAGCCTCTCACTTTCTGCTCTTCCCCTTGCGTACGCTGGGCTGCCGCTGCAGCGGCGCCGGGTCTGTGGCTGCCTGCCCGAACAGCCCGGGCGTGCCGGGAGCGGCCGACCCAAAAATGCCGCCGCCGCCGCCAAACAGGCCGGGAGAAGCCGCCGGTACGGGGGCGGCCGGCTGCGCGCCGAAGAAGCCGGTGGCCGCCGGCGCCGGCGACGAGGCCGAGGCTGGGGGCGGCCCGAGCGCCAAGAACGGTGAGGCCGCTGTGGGTACCGCTTGCGCCTGCAAATAGGAGGGCAAGCTCAAATATTGCCTGACATCTGCAGACATCGTGCTCATCTGGCCTTCATGTCCACGCAAGATTGCTTGGAAGGTTGCCGGTGCATCTGCTGATGTCATGCTCATGAGGAGCTTCCAAGTAAAATAGGCGTTCTTGAAGTAGGATTAGAATGCGCAGGCAAGAAAGAGACAGGGGGGCCGTCAAACACCTGCGGAGCTGGTTGAGAAGATAATGATGGGGCAGTGAGCCGCCTCTTGAGATCCTGGGACCTCCTCCTCTCCCGCTCCTCCGCCTCTACGAACGGGTCCCTGTCATCCCCTTCCTGCACATGTCACCGCCCATCGATTCAGGTGCACAGACCGTCGGCACAATTATGTTGCACGGCATGACATGCTCTACACAGACTAAATAGCACGGGTACAGAGAACTGCGTCTAGACCTTTGAGCAGCCTTGCAAAATTCGTGAGGCAAGTGACAAATCGCTGCAAATGCCCAGAATGGCTCGAGTGGACTGGGTGACGCTAAGGACCACGCACTGAAAGGATGGCCTGCATCCTTTGCGTTTATGCAAGCGCCTGTGGGGGGCACAGCACAGCGCGCTCTGACTGGAGTGACACACATGTAGATGGATGGAGCCCTTTTTCCCCATATAGTAATCTGCCGTGGATAGCCATGCAGCCTCCAGTTGGGCGCCTCACCACGGCGAGCTGGTCGAGGTGGGCCTGCTTGGAGTCGGCAAGGCCGTCGTGGAGGCCGTCGAGGCGCGCGGCCACGTGCATGAGCAGGCCGTGCAGATTGGCCAGCGCCCCCGGCAGCGCCGCGAGCGCATCTTCGCCGCCCGGCCGGCCCCGGCCCGTTGCGCTGGCCGCCGGCAGCACCCGCTCCAGATCCGCCGCTATCGCTGCGTACTGCGCCACGCCCTCCTGCCGCATTTGCAGTTTTCCATAAGGGGCAGCTTCTAGTGGTGTTTAAAGCCCACAGCATATTCACTGCGTATCAGATTGCCCACAATTGATGCACAGGGACACAATCATCAGAGTGGCATTCTTCAGCATAGAGCAATGTGGAGGTGGTCCTCAGAGCTCATGTTCAATGCATGAGACACCAAATGATAGATGCAGGAGAAGCATGTCGGCTGCAGCTTGACTGTTGCTGCACAGAAGCTAAAGGGGATGCAGAAGGTTTATCCAATGGCGCCCCACCTGGAAGGAGGGGATGGTGTCCCGCAGGAAGAGGGAGGGCAGCACCACGGCGCCACTCAGCTGTTCCCTCACAGCCGGTGGCAGTACCTGGCCTTGGCTGGCCTGCATCGCAAACTGAGTGTATCACGACAGGACATATGTCAGATGTGCTTGTTGGTGACACTGACGCTCGATTCCATGCGGTTGAGAGGAATGGCTTGTGAACAAGTGCAATTACCTTGGCTGCTTCCCGCCATTTCTGGGACCTCTGGAATGCGCGCACGCCTGTTTCGGTGTCCCTCAGCAATTGAAGGACCCTCTGCACCCACAGCATGGTGTGATTACCATTTACCAGGGTAATTGCATGTTTATCACAGAGTCACTAGCATACAAGGGGCATTCTCGTGGGAATCAAGAACCACACGCACCTCCCTAAACGCAGCTATTGTATCACTGCTTACTCTCAAGTCATTCTCAAACGTCTGCAACAGCTGCTTCACAGCCCGCTCGTCCTGTTTCAATCCCTGCGTTCAGAATGAAACTACAGGATCACCCAAGGGACTTCCTCCTTGATCTCCTTGTGCAATTGGAGTAAACGCCATCTCTCAGGGGTGGGTGATCTTGAACCTGTTTCAGCTGCCTGCTGTCTTTCAGCCGCTCACATTCATCAAGCTGCCTGGACTCCTCTCTGTACTGCAACACCTGCTTCCTGCATAAGGTTATCGGCAGGGTCAGAATTGCTTTGCAGGCAGCACGCAGGAAAATAGAAATGATGGCCAGCAAGCATCATTAGTGCAGCATAGGAAGGCAGGGTGCGCACTCCAACTCGAGCAGGTATCTCTGTCCCTCTGGGTGGATGTCATCCCAGGCTGTGCTGTGCAATATAGGCTTGTTATCCTTGGTCACAAGCACTTGGTACTGGGCCGGAGCCTGCTGCTGTTGTGCCTGTGGCGCTGCTGTGAGCGCAAAGGTATTGGGTTGTGCCGGCGTCTGCTGCTGAGCAAAGAAGCCACCGCCACCCTGCCAGACGTGCAGGACGTTCAGGGTTGCATTCTTTTTAAATCCAGTATCATCTAGCAGAAGAAATAAGGATCTGAGCTGCTCACCCCTCCAAATGCCTGTGTGGTGGATGCAAAAAGGCTGCTCCCAGTGTTCGCAAACGAGAAGGCTGAGGATGATGCTGGAGCGGCTGATCCAAAAGCGGGGGTTGACTGGCCTCCAAATACAGAGGAGGTCGCCCCAAAGGCAGGAGCTGATTGTGCACCAAAAATGCTGGGAGTTGCTGCTGGCTGACTGGCTCCAAACGCTGGGGTGGAGCTTGCAAAAGAAAACGAAGACGACTGTGCACCAAAGGCTGTGCTTGTCCCGCCGAAGGGAGATGGTGTCGCTCCAAAAGCTGGGGCTGATGTTGAGGCTGCTCCAAAGCTGAAAACCATCTCACAAGGCTTTGATCGATCTAATGCAGGTTCCTGAATTCCATGCTGGGCTTTGCTGAATTAAATTAATGCTCACACGCCAGCTGATTTGTACTTTCGAGAAGGATGCCCTTCATCAATCTCAAGAGATGGCTATAAGTTTGGTCAGGACATGGTGCCAACTTTTGGAAAGTCAATTTTGATTGCAAGAATTTCAATGATTGATCCACCTCTAAGCAAGAACAACCTGCGAGATAGATCTCAAAATTGTCCAATTGCAGGGCCGTTGCTGGTGACTGTTTGCCAATTCAGGAATAGATTCGCATCGCCCCAATGTCTGGCTAGTAATGCAATCGTACAATACAATCATCGCTGTATTCACATGAGTAATAGGTAGCTGCTAGAGCAAGTTCTGTACTCATGCCAAGGCATCCACTCTCAACATCGTCTTAGATTGTGTTGATGGGTGCTTGAGCAGACCAAGTGTACCCACGAATATCGTAAAGCAACGAGTAACTGACAATCAATACAATTTATAGGACGTCTGGGGATTCCAGCAAGCATCGGGACCCATTGGTCTCGTCTGGTTCTGGAACACATGTCAGGCATGGGAAGCGCTGTTGCACCATCCAACATCCGATGACACCTGTCTACTGCTCAGTATGCTTTAAAACAGGCACTGACCGAGTATAGCCTGCGCTGTCTGTCGCCTAGGGCACAGTGCAGCCAGTCGAGTGTCAAAGCCATGTTGTTTCTACAAGCTCTCACACCTCCTCTGGCGGTGTCGAAAGGATTGACACATGTGCGTCAACGCCAGCTCGGCCAGCGCATTTCTCTCAATGGCCGTGATTGCCAGGCAGCCTCAGGCGTGCGCGCAAAGCTCTGCAGAACACCTCAGGCTGTATCAGAGGGCGTCTCAGATACCCCTGTGGCGTCTGCGGACCCTGCTTCAGAGCAGGAGGCTCTTGAGTCGCAACTGGGTGACCTCGCAAGCGGGCCTGGGGGAAGCTTTGACACCGCTATCGGGGAGCCAGCAGGAGAGGAGACCTTCGAGACTCGAGTGGGAATAGTGGAGCCTGTGGAAGAGGATGAAGCAGAGGTACCCCCAATTCCCTTCCTAGATGGCCGTGGCATGTACTCCTATGCCGTTATGAGAGTCTCAGGTCATCGAAGCAGCTGAGTGTGTGCGCGCCATGCAGATCGATTTCCTTGGAGAACCAACGACAGGGAATCTGCACCTGGTGCAACGAGTTGCCTCAGAAGGGCTGGCCAATGTGCTGGGCCTCAAGCACTTCGATGACATCTTCAGCGTGCCCTACAGGGAACTCCGGCAAAACCAGCAGGTTGTTACTTTGTTATCGCTCATTGATTGCAATGCAATTGTTCAGATGATATTGATACTGATCAGGCAGAGGGAGGCATGCAGGAGCTGCTCCGGCAGATGGGTCTTTCTCCCTCGTCCTATCCGCAGGGCTTGGCGCACAGAGCAATTTACTGCAGCAGAACTTTGAACCTCCGCTCCATCCAGGTGTTGTGCGCTTCCACCCTCAGCACTTCTTTCTCCATTCTGTGTATTGATATTAGCTGCCATCAGGATGTGCAAGTCAAGCTGACGCTGTGACTCTGTGTTGCAGGCAATCGGATATGACATGGTACGAACAACCAAATTCTGAACCTCGTGGCGCTATAAGTGTCGGGCTTGTAGCTCTTCCTGCAGTGACCTTGCAGTCAACATGACTTGACAAGGTCATGCTGCAGACTGCATGTGCATGCAAAGAACTAGCAAGGTGTTATGTCCGTGAACACTGTGGTGCGCATGCAGGACTACACGCTGATCCACTATGATGTGAACGCGTGGGAGGGGAAGGCGTACGCGTACGGGCTGCAGTGGCTGCGAGAGGCGGGCTGCCCCGTCGAAGGCCTCAAATTTGACCCTGACCTAGTCATTCGCGGCCTCATTGTGGACAAGCAGCTGGGCAACCTGGTCAAAGTGGACCGCTTCGGGTATGAGTCCACCTCCTGCAACAATTTCATTGGGAACAGTTCTTAAGGCGAGCCGTGACTCCATGCACTCACTCTTCTAGCTAGAGAGGCCCTATTGCGCCCCGCACCAGCCCTCAGCCTCTGCAGCTTCCTGCTACAGCTGTGGCAATGTGGCACCTTGCCATATCTTATGTATCTGGTGGGGTGCTTGCACCTGGCCAGTCCCAAAAGAAACGGGGATGCTTGCACTCTTATTTTGTGCATGATACCATAAGAGTGGATGCATGCCCGTCCCAAGACTGCCATGTGACCAATTTTCAATGTAGCCCATGCGGACCCTGCGACTTTGTTGTCCTGGAAATCAGATTGCTAAGAAGCACTTGTGGCTGCAGATACGTTAAGAGGGCGATGCATGGGACACGGCTGCTGTCGTGGTCCGAGCTGCGGGAGACTTATGGGCGCGAGCTGGTCAACCTAAAGAATGAAGCGCGCTATGGGTTCCTGAACACCCTCTTCTCCGTCTCGGAGGCTGTCATGTACATGCAGGTGACTCTCACATCCCCGGCCTGCCTATCCTCGCTCCTCCAGACTTTGCTGCTGCACAATTTGCTTGGCTTGCTCTTGTACCCGCAGTCATCAGAGCCAACTGAACCTTCATTCCTTTGTCACTGTTATTACAATGGCAAGTATTAAAGGTACAACTGAGGGCACTTCGACCTGGCTTCCGGATTAAGAATGCGATGTCGCAAGTAGCGCTTACATCAGGTACGTACTAAGGATGACTGTGCGCGGTGCAGATGGTGGACCGCATGGACACCGGGGAGATCCCTCCGCAGGTGGTGGCTGCCTCCTACGAGGCCCTGTGGACGTTGGTGTCCAAGGCACTCTACAGGACACACGTGGAGGGCAAGCTCAAGGTGTCACCCCTCACCTCTGCCAGAGCTCCATTCCTGACCTTTGTCTGCACTAGCATGGGCCCCAGGCCTCTGGACCAGAGCTTCTGGCACACCAGGAGATCTATCATGTCGCTGGCCAGGTTGGCGGCATGGTGTTGCCAGCCTAGACATGCAGATGTTGTCCAGGCATTTGGAGTTCACATGCAGGACACCTTCACACCTTGTACAACGTGCATGTGCAATGTTGGTGAAGCATGGATGGTTGCTGGTCAGGCGGAGATCATCCAGGATCCCTCCTCCTATGTGGAGCTTGACCCTGACATGGCCCAGACTCTGCTCGACCAGAAGAGAGCGGTGCGCCATTCCTCCCTCGCCTTCACCCTCACCCATGCATGTCTCTTATCCACTAATTGACCGCTGACATTTGCACAATCTTCCTGATTGAAGCCTCACTCATGCTTGTCTTTGAGCATTGTCAAAGGCTCACATCCAGGAAGTCTCAGGAAGGAAAGGGTTGTTATGGGAGTCTGAGGGGGAGGGATAAATTGTACGGCAGGGGAAGACGCTGATGCTGATCACCAATTCGGACTACCAGTACACGGACCGCATGATGAGCCACGCCTACGACCGCTACCTGGAAGCTGAAGGCATGACCTGGCGCGACATCTTCGACATGGTGTGTGATGGCCCCCCTTCTCTTGCCCCCCTACCCACCGCACCTGTTCCTTCCAGACCTTGCCTGACTCAACAAATATATCTGCGGTGCTCTAGCGAGCACTTTAGTGTTTTGTCTGCAAATTCTCAGCGGTGCAAGAGCATGCAAAAAAGGGACAGTAAGCAGCTGCGGAGCACTGCTGACACCCCAGGCCCACCTGATCTGGCTTGGCACAGCAAGACAGGGAAGCGCTGGGCTCCGGAAAGTCCCGTAATCAACATGACAGATGTGCAATGCAACCACAGTCGCTCTGTCGCACACTGTGATTGCAACTGCATTCACATACGGAAAGCTATGCAGCTGTAGAGCACTGCCGCTACCCCATCCACTGCTTCATCTGGTGTATAGTGGTGAACCTGGAGGTAACACTCACCGCTGAACAGCAGGCTCAGGCACAAATGACTACTCCACTGTGCTAAAATGATGCACTGCAATTGCGCGCGCAGGTGATAGTGCAGGCGCGCAAGCCGGACTTCTTCAGCTACAATCAGAGCCTGTACGAGGTGGTGACGCCCGACGGTCTCATGCGGCCGGTCATGCGCGCGGCCAAGGGGGGCCTCTTCTGCGGGGGGTCCGCGCGCATGGTGGAAGCTGCGCTGGGCATGGAGGGGGACGACATATTGTATGTGGGGGACCACATCTACACCGACGCGGCCCTCGCCAAGATCCACTTCCGATGGCGCACCGCCCTCATTGTGCGTCTGCGACCCTTTCCTGTTTGTGCTTAGCCTGAGCCAGGCCAGTCGCTGCACCCTGCCTTTACGTGTAGCAGGTCAGGCTACAACCTTGGACCTCAGTAGAATTCAATTTCTTGACTCGTGACGAGAAAAATCCTGTGATGCCTGCGCGTCCCTGTGCTGACCGCCTGAAAGAGCAGACGCTGGCTTGGGAACATAATGCTTGGTTGGCAGGTGCCAGCTCCTTACTTTTACAAGACGCGCTAGGGCTGGCTGCACTGCCTTATGCTGCTGCTGAAATACGCGGGGGCTCATGCGAGCGGCACTGAATGTTCACTCCTCTGGTTTGGCAGGGGGCACAGAGGGGATCGTTAGTAATCTCTAGGGGTGTTGGATAGCAGGGGTGATTTTATTTATTGGGGCGCAGGTGCGGGAGCTGGAGGATGAGATAGAGGCACTGGCTGCTGGCCGCGAACACCGGCGCAAGCTCAAGGAGCTCATGAACAAGAAGGAGTTGGTGGGGGATCTTTTCAACAATCTACGTCTGGCGCGCCAGCGCTTAGTCGCTGCCGACGGCGTCAATGACTCACCCGCTGACTCGCTGCGGCGCGACGAGTCGTCCATTAATGCCACCCTCGCCCAGCTGCTCATGGTCATGGAGCGCCTCGATGCCAAAATAGGTGCGCTGCACACCTGCTCACTGAAGGTATTTCGAATTGATTTTTTCGAGTTTTTTCCTATTAAGGCTACCTATCAAAATTGTTCACCGGCAGAAAATCACATGGTATCCTTCTCCTATTGCCTGGGGCTGGCTCAGGCCTGTCCAGACGTGTCTGCCCACATGACCTTTCATGAAACACAGGAGTAAAACTCTGCAACTTTTTGTCGGTCACCAGAGCTAAGGACCAGTGATACGGCACGCATGGATGTCAGGACAAGCCGGCAGGGCACATTCCGCTGCACATGGGTGTATGGAAGTATGCCATCACAGTGAAACCGGCTGACTTGGCGCCGTGCGCATGCAGAGCACACTATGACACAATGGGACGTGAGGTGGCCTTTCTCCTCGCGCATCCTCATGCATGCTACATGTCTATGCCTGATTTGGCCGCATGCGTGCATGCAGGGCCGATGCTGGAGAGGGACGGGCGCGAGTTCAACGAGCGGTGGGGCTACCTGTCGCGCGCGGGGCTCAATGACAAGTCGCAGTTCACGCGCCAGATCGAAAAGTACGCCGACATCTACACCAGCCGAGTCTCCAACTTCCTGCGCTACACCCCCTACTCCTACTTCAGGTGACATTTACTAATACCTACTTCAGGAGCCCCTACCCCCCCAAACCCCCTTATTCCCTTGCCGACACCATCAAATCCCTGCCATTGCTGCTCCGCATCCATCTCCTGTGCTTGGTAGGTGGCCATAAAGATTGGGGTTCTGGGCAGCAATCTTGCACGCTCTGGAAGTGAGGGTATCTCCGTGGAGCTTGTCCATGCATACGACATCTGCATGCCATGCTGCCTCCAGTGGAGGAATAAGTGCTCGTTTATCAGAGAGGGTCAGCTTTTCCCCTGCAAACTTTTGCAGCAGCAGTTTGCAGAGTGCTCAAATTGAGTGTGGTGGGGGCAGGTCGCCCTCGCAGAGTCTGGCGCATGACCGAAACGTCAGCCCCCGCTCTGCGCTCACTCTCTACGATGACAACGGCTGCGAATCCAGCGGCAGCTTCGATGCCAACGAGTACACCGAGTACTAGCCAATGGAGCTTTACAACGCTGTTTGCAGTGCACATCATTTTGTTAGAATGTGCTTTCTAGGGTGCCCGGGAGCGTGAATTTTTTTTTTGTGTGATGGCCTGATAGGTTTCTTTGTCCATGTTCTTAGCAAGTTGTGATTATTCTGAGCAAACACACAGGATCTATCTGGTCCTGTCTGTACTTTATCAATTTCTGGCGAGTGCGTACATATTTGCGGGCAATTGAGGGCTTTGTGATTTACAAGGTGGAAGTTTCTCTGTTACAGACTAAGTCTGGAAGCCTGCTGTTAGATTGGTCTGCCCTGGAACGCCATAATCCAATGATGCATATTCAAGGTTTGAGAAACACAAGGATGTCATCAAGTACTTGTTGCTGGGAAGATACTGCAATTAACTGTCTTTCTGGGACTGACAATATATCTTCATGCATCACACGCTTGTAACATCTCTTTGAGAAATCAAACTGCATCGTCTCTGTAATTTGGCGAGACTGCTGAACCATCAGATGCATACAGCTGTATGCAATTTAGTAAAACCCAACCGCAAGCAGTTTAAACAGCATTGCCCTCTGATGTCACTCGCTCGAGCGCTCTCTCGACCTTGTAATTGTCCAAAAGCATGATCAGCATGTCAGCGGTGAAGCTGCCAAGTACATCTGTGCCAAATTCCTGCATCCTAGTGCTTGCAATTAAAGTGTTGCCTTGCCATATGGCTGTTGCTCCCATCGCCTGATCAGGTCATCTTCTCTCTCAATCTCAAATTGCCTGAACTTCGGTGAAGGTAAGTGCAATTAATTCTGCTTGCAAGGCTGTCAAAATCTGGAATTTGCGCAGAGATTCCAAGGACTGCATGCAGATATTTGCAGTCTTGTCTGCCCAAGCTTGCTCCCTACCAGCATCAGGCATGCTCCCTGTCAAGATCTGGATATCAACAGTGCCTGCCTTCCCAAAAGAGGCTCTCCAATTGAGCTTCTCTCGAGGACAGGTCAGACCGATGCTACGTTTGGTGCTGGCTCAATCGTCTTGGGATTCAGCCTCCACCAAACAGATTCTGCATCGGGACGCGGCCGATCGCCAAAGAGATGCTTCAAGGTTTCCACAAGCTGTTGTGGCGCATTGTCATTGGACGGCTGGACCCTTGTGAGCTTGTCATCGGCCGGACCAGCGCGCTTCAGTGATGCAGACCCCTTCCCGTTGAGCACCTGCGGCCAGGGGTGTGATTATGGGGACAGAAGAAAGGAAGGGAATTTCACATCAACTCCATATTCGCCGCCCGGGGCTGACAGAAGTGATCCATGCCAAAATTCTACTTGCCAATGCGCCACACAAAGCTCAAAACTCCAGGAAATCACTGCTTGCTGCTGCTCAGTTCTCACATTGCAAGATGTTCTCTCTGTTCATATATCTGTTCACTTTTTCTCTTGTCTAAAAACTGCTATATAGAATCCTCGGGAGGATGCTGCACAGCTGTTTGCCCTTTTAGGTATGTGTGTATGATAACAATGACGGTTAGGATATTTCCAAGAATGTTAATGATCCTGACTGTTTTGTTGGCGGGGGTAGCTACCTGTGCAATGTCAGAAATGACTGGTTTCTGTGCAAAATAACCGTGCGAGTCGAGGCCAGGATTCCCGATTCTTGCATCTGCAGCCAGCAGAAAGAGATCTTGATACATAATGGCGCGGCGTTCATGCATTAGGGAAGATTTGATGGGAGGCTGACTTTTTCATAGCCTCAAGGCATCTTGCTGCCAGCAAAATCTCACTATCATAATGATCCAGAAGCCAGGCTTCAAGCAAGTTGCCATTTGCACATACCTGCTACGCATGCTGCAATGAGTAAGCCCAGATAGAGGTCATCTGGTTACAAAGAAACACATTTTATAAGGATATCGAATTAAGCACCTGTGCAATCGATGGTATCCAGTCCATTGACAAGGACGTAAGGCCTGCGCGATTGGTAGGGCAGGCTGTCTCCCCCCAAAAGCACCTTTGGCCACACTTGCCCCGCCCGGTCGTCGTGGTGCAGACGAGCTGAGGCCCAAAGGGCTCCATCCTGGCAGCTCGCATACAGAGTCCTGCCCTCACCTGTGAACACAATGTACAGCAGTAATCATTAGACACATTTAGACTCTTTGTTCGGTTTGGACACCACTAGACGCCCTCGACAAAATGCAGGGGTCCTGCCCTCACCTGTGAACACAATTCACAGCAGTAATCATTAGAAATGATAAGACATCGCTATTGGGTTTGGACACCACTAGACGCCATCTCAACAAATTCGTGTATTCTTAGAGTGAAAACCATTATGTGATGATTACTGAAGGCAGGTCCTTCGGGATTTGAGTGTGCTCCCCAGCAAGAAGGTCAGACAGATACGGTAAATCACTCATGTAATGCCTTCCATGCAGTGAAGCTGAGGAAAAGGTGGAAAAACTGCCAATTTTGGGACATTGCTAGAAATCTGACCATGTGTTTGTCCAATCTGTCTACACCACTCCAGCGGACTGAACACTGTTATACTTGGCCCTCTTGTAATCACAAAACTCAGGTTCCTTACCTAGGTTTGCTCGAACGAGGTGCGTCATGATGCGTGTGAACACATCGCTGTCTTCGTCTGCAGCTGCAAAAATCAGCTGGCCGAAAGGCAGGGTGACCGGTGCTGAGGAGCTGACCAGCGTTGCCAGAGCCTGCAGAGCGATCCGATTGCCCATGCTGTGCGCCAGAATGTGGATCTTGGCCGCACCCTGCATGATCACCACATAACGGACCTCTCAGCAATTCTAGTGTTGTGTCCAGGTCTGTCTGCCCGTGCATAGCACAGCCGCAAGTGGGGACAATCTGTGATCCTTCTCCGCTCTTCCTTTTACACATTTGTGGCAGCTACAAATCTGTTGGAACCTCACCTTCAAGAGGCCCAGAAGCTTCAGGAATGGTTCGATGGACCATCCTTGTATCACCCCGTCTTCAATGTACTTCTCACCCTTGCCCCAGGAAGCCCAAGAGAAGGCCACCACAGGACCTTCCTTGAAAGGAATGTCCACCTGGAGGCGGGCAGCCCCTTGAACTGCACTGGTGAATGTGTTGCTGTAGCCATGCACAAACACGAGGACGTCCTTGCCCTGGACATCGCTTGTCCAATCTCCCTCATTGACCCCCTGAGGCAGGCCGGCGCCTGATAATCCGGGACCCCCGACCAAGGAAATGCTGCAAGATCCTAGGAGCAACTCTCCAGTCCTGCCGTTTGCTGCGTATATCTCTGCAGATCCCACCGGAAGCCTGATTCTGTTGGTGGCATACAACACTCGAATGTTAGCAGCTGCCGTGCTCGCCATGCTTCACACCTGCACATAAACATGTGTATTGTCAGATGAACATCTAATCCAGATTTTAAAGTGAAGCAGGGAAAGACGTCGGAAATATCGTACACATGAGATCGTGAGGTCAACCTCTGGGCGTCAACAGTGAATTTGGAAGCACACCAGACCAATAAAACTATTTTCATCACGATCTATCATACTCTCACTTGAAAAGTAGAACACTTAGTTGCCTGCAGTACGAATACCTTATCTTCCCGACTGTCAGCTAGATCGGAGTTGCTTTCCGAGTCTTTACGTAACTATCTCTCATGAAGGAGACAGAACCTTGCATATAGTGCTTCCGACACCCTCTACGTGTCCTGAAGACAATCTGCCCGTATCCGAGATAGCACACTCTGCTCATGTCACCCGTCGTATTTTCCAATGGAAAGAAGCAAGCCTCGAAAGAACGCAAACAACGCAAGCAATGTTGATCCAACATATCCCGTAGTTACTCAAATGATTTATCTGGGAAGCACTTCAAACGTCCATTTGTCTCTCGAAAGTCGATAGAAGGAAGCTGACGGACAGCAGCGATGCGTACCTGGTACTTTCAGAGTACCCTCAAATGATAGCTCGCCTCCGATGCAGACTTTTCGATGCCAGAGGTCTCGCTCAAGTGATTCCACAGGACTTTGCAAGAGAAGGCAGGAAGGATCGTCTTGTCTGAGATCCGTTAATAACCCTACCTAGCTGACCACATCAGCAGGGCATTGCCTCTCTGGGCAAGAGTGGTCTGCATATTGGTGCCAACATGCCAGCACGTGCTTGAAAATCCCTAGTGTCTAATCTGCATCCATCTGTGAGGCAATTTGGAGCCCCCCAGTCCCTGCTCTTGCTCGCTTTGGATTCCGGCAGGCCAACACAACAGTGTCCCACCTTTCTCATTTGTTTCTCTACTAGATTGGGCGGATTGATTTCATGCGCATGATAGTAGGGGTGCATAATAGTGCCATGCAGGAGGGCAGGGCAACTCGATGATGTCATTGCTACATCACTGTTACAATTTACTTCCTACAAGCATCCCTTTTGCCCAGCTTGCAAATGCTAGCAAGCGCGCATGGTTCTTAGTTTTGCTCGTCAGCAGACCGCACCAAGCATTGGGGAATTACTGCCAGCAACTGTTGCTCATTACTGCGTGCTAGCTCCTACAGTCAGTACGGTGTCTAGCAGCGCCTTGAGAAATCTACAGTGCTGACAACTAGAGGTCCCTGATGTAGGCAAGGATCACAGAAGAGTGGAACATGCAGGTGCAGCAGAAACGCTCGCGGCCCACAGCATTTTTGTGCCAGTTCCTGGCAGCCGGCTCAAGAGTGTGCTACAATGATAGATCAGCAGCAAGCAACAACTTCAACTCACACAGACTATTATGGCTTTTACATTTTTTTGAAAGAGCATGTCAGGTAATTCGTGGTTGCATCTCAACGGTGAAGCCTTCCATCACTGAAGAGCGCACTGCGTTGGCAACTGTTGGGCTTTCCCGTTTACAATTACTACTGTCGAGCTTTCTTGGCAGGTGCTTTCTTCTTGGGTCCTGCTCTCACAAACTGCGTGCCTTGATCTCTTTGCGTTTCAGCTGAAACATGCCCACAGTATCGATACTGTGATATCACTTCCGTACAGACAGCCTCACTGTCACTCTAACCGTACAAATTACCAAACTTCACCGGTTTCCCATTTTCCTCAGACTTGCTCTACCAGGGACACCACTTCTCGTTCCAACTCAGCAGTCCGACTCTTGAACCCTTTCTTACATGCAAACTCAACGGTTCGAGAAGTCTCTCATTGGCCCGCAGCTTCAGTCGCCGCAGCTTCACAACAGAGCCCCCTATCTGCTACATCGCATCAGAATAGTCTTCTCTTGAGGGTGCAACCACTCAGTGGTGGCCGTTGGCTGCGCCGTTGGTCGCAGCTCTCTTCTCAGCGGCGGTGGTCGGCAGCTGCCTGGCCACTCGCTTCTGGTTCCACGGCCAGTTTGGCACCCTGTATGCATGCAAGCATCACACATCAACCCATGTTCAAATCCTCAAATTCTCTGCTCACATCCCGCTTTGTGCCACACTCATGCAAGAGCACAACATGCCGGCATGCAGACACCCAAGTAACTGCAAAAAAAAAAGTGCATGGTGCACGGGCAGGGGTGAAGGGTGTCAATGCATGCACAAGGGTGAATATACAAAGATAGATGAGAAGGAGGGAATGCGTACGTAGCCCATGCGTCCATCACGTTCTCCACAGCGATGCCCTTGGTCTCCGGCAGGCACAAGGCGACCCACGTGGTCATGATGAGAACCCAGCCGGCGAAGAAGAGGAACACTCCGTACTCCATGGAGCACATCATTTGGTTGAAGCACTGCCCAATGATAAAACTGGCAATGAAGTTGACAAAGACGGTGGTACACATCCCCGCCGTGCGGGTCTGGTTGGTGTGGATCTCGGAGGGCACCTGCCCGCATGCAAAGCACCGTTAGTCACCAGCTGACTCATCGGGCATCTGATCATCGCAGAGCAAATGCTTCTCACTGAAACAAACAAGTGCCTCGGACAAAATCTCTCCGCAGCACTCTGCATGTCCACGAAGATTCGTTGCAAGGTAGACACACTCAGCATGGTCAGGGAATGAGTACACCCTGATGAAGATGACACATCAGTTACTAAAGGTCAGGGAGAGCAAAGAGGGAACGCCACGCACCAGCCAGCCCAGGGGACCCCAGGAGAAGGAGAAGCAGGCCACGAAGATGCAAATGCAGGTCAGCATGCCGTTGGCGATCTGGGCCGGGATGGAGCCATTCTTGAAATTCACGGCTGCGATGGCGCCGGTGGCAATCTGCATGCCAAACATGATGGCGCCCGCCACATAGAACAGCCACTTGCGGCCGGTCCTGCACGCAACAGGGCTTTCCTTTCAGAGCCGTCAAACACCAACCTTGCACTCAAAAGGTAGACACAGTCAAGGCGACAATGTCTGTGATGAGAAACCCCTGAGAACAGTCAGTCACTGCTGGCTAACCCGTGAGTAACGGTCAGCATGGCAGCAAACATGCAGGCAGCTGCAGGGTGGTTCTCAGTGGGCTGCGCACCAGTCAACCAGTCCGATGGCCACGAAGGTGAAGACCAGGTTGACTGTGTTGGTGATCACCGAGTTCATCAGCGAGGCCTTCACTCCAAAGCCCAGCACCTGGAAGAGCTGCGGTGCTGCAGTCACACAAGCACACTTCCCTTCAGCCAACGCTTCTGTCATCTTCTCCCTTCTCAACAAACGAACCATGCACAAGTCCTTTCCAAGCCCGCCTGTGACATGCAGGTTTCAGCACCTAGCAAGTCAAGCTCAAGAGGACCAACAAGAGCATGCATGCAAAGCGTCAGGGAAAAGCAGACTTTGCAGGCAGCAAGGGAGAAGGAAGACAAGGGGCAGCTCACCGTAGAACATGATGGCGTTCATTCCAGTGAATTGCTGGAAGAAGGGGATGAAGAGGGCTGCCATGGCCTGCTTGTAGTGCCCCCTGCTGTACAGTGTGGTGACAGAGGCCCAGAAGGACTCCTCACTCGTCTCCTTGGCATTTCTTTGAATGTCCATGAGCTCCTCCTGGATGTCATGGCCCTCCGGGCGCATCTTCACCAGCACCTGCATGCACGGCGGAGGCAACGACGTCAGGGACCAGTAATTTTACTAACTCAGCCAAAACAGGCAGAGGTGTGGCAGGTACACCGCGTTGGACATGCATGTGGCCCACGGAGGCAACGCTGCCGCAGACGGGAGCAACACCCACATGGGCATGACTCACGCGAGCCAAGACAGGCCACAGGACAACCTTGATGCTAGGTTAGGCGCACGCCTCACTTTCCAGCTGCGGCACAGCTCTTCCAGGTCACATGTACAGGGCTTGAACAACGTGGCAGATTCAAGGGGCCTCACCGCCTCGGCCTTGGCGAGGTTGTCAGGGTCGTGCTCCAGCACCGAGTTGGGGGTGTCGGGGCAGAGAGCCACTCCGATGGTGAACACGAGCGCCGGCACCAGAGCAATGCCGAGTGACCAGCGCCAGCCGTCTGCGTGGGCCTCCAGCCCTGCACAGCACGCATCACTAAATCAGTCACCATCACTACAGCATGATTAGAATATGGGATTTTTAACTTCTGCTCGCTGTGCGCACACTGGCAATCAGGAAAGCTGCTGCAGCAGAGCATGTAAGACTGTTTTTGTCACAGTGCTGCTGGCCTTGCTGCAGTGACGTACAAGGGGCTTCCTGGCTGTCTCTCAACAGGGTAAGGGCTGAGAGTGACACAAGACCAGCGCTTGAAATATAATTTTTCAGGCTCTGTACAACACACCAATGTAAGGGATAGGGGCAGACCCCAGTTGATGAGGGATGCAACGAAGATGCCGATGGTCGTCGCCAGCTGGAACAGGATGTTGAGGCCTCCGCGCATTGAGGGGGGCGCCATCTCTGAGATGTAGGGGGGCACGGCCTGCACAATCAGCAAAAACACTTGTGTCAGCGCTGCAGTGATTTTAAAACAGAAAGACAGCCGCAGCTGCAGTTGAACACATGCACTGACGGCTGCAGGATGCCTGCTGCGCTGCCACATATTCCCCTGCACAAGAAAGGAACAAACATCCGCTGTATGCATAGTGTGCGGGCACATGTGAGCAGCTGCTGCAGGTTCATGCCTCTTGCAAAGGGGCCCACCTCGTTGGCAAAGCCGATGCCCACTCCCAGGAAGATGCGGCCGGCAATGAGCATGCCGATGTTTTGCGCGAGCGCCTGCAGCAGCGCTCCAATGAGGAAGGCAATGCCTCCAGTCACCATGATACCGCGGCGGCCCAGGCCGCCGAAGGGCAGGCTGCGATTAGAGAGGAGGAGCACCACAATACCTGCACGCACAAACCAGAGCTTCAGTTCTGTGATCTCTCACAGCAGTGGCCGAGCTTGGATCGCTGTGGTACACATTTAAAAAGATCAGGCAATCCGAGGGCGCACACAGCAGCGCAGACAGAGGTGTCCTCTGAGGTGACAGGGAAGGCAATGGGGGTTTGCTGTTGCGACAAGTGAAAGAAGAGGAAGGGGAGAAGCGCACTTGCGCCGGCGCCGGCCAAGAACATGGAAGATGTCCACAGCGTCAGGAGGTGATCGTTAAATGCGCAGTAGGCAGACGAGGTAGACAGTTTCTGGTTTATCAGCACATGCGGATAGAATTTCTGCGTTGTAAACGAAATACGTCAGAAAACGGAGTGCAGATGTAAAAGCATTGGCCGAAGGTAAGGAGTGACAGCGACGGGATGAACTGCGAAACGGAGCACAGGAAGGCGGCTGACCTCCAGGAACGTGGGCATGCCGGTGACGCCCCCAGTGACTCCTGCAACTCGGCACCAACCCAGTCATGCACCGATCAACCCTGATTCTGCACCGACTTTTCTCTTTCCGCACAGCTGAAAGCAGCCGGCCATCACAGTGCTACAGCAAACCCCAATTAATTATGAAAAATATTGAGGACTGTGAAGGCGGCGCACCAAGGTCATAACCGAACAGCAGACCACCGCACGCCGCCGCAGCGCAGACGAGGAGGATTCGGGGCTTTCGCCAGAGCAAGACAACGTTCTCGCGGACACCGAGCTTGGATGCGGCAACCTGCAACAGCGACAGAGATAACAATTAGTGGGTTTTGTGAAGATATCGGCTCCTGTGGAAGCATGTTGAGGTTGCACGACTTGGCGGTTCAGAGATCGGGTTTGCAAATTCAAGACCTTTGCATGACATCGGCTGACAGAAATATATGCAAGTGATTGATAAGGATGCATGAACCCACAGAACTCAGGGATCTACATTGGCAAACACGCCAAAAACCCGCAACTTACCATTGGGCTTAGTTGATGGGGACGAGCGGCAACGGAGGCAGAAGATGCTTTACTTTACGACGCTTCGCTGAAGACGACGACTGTTGAGAACGATACTGAGCTACATGCGATGCAGAAAGATCATTGAATTGATTTGTGGAGACAGCCGGCTGTTGTTTTGGACGTTGAGCAGGGAACGGTTGCCTCTACAGGACGTGTGCCTCTTTTGCCACCTTCTAGAAGGTTCCTTCGCCATATTCGCTACATTTTCTCCCTTGCATTACTGTGGTGATTTGAAACCGCATAGAGTTGCACACCAAGCGGGCTACTTGAAACGAAATGGATCATATATGTAGAAGACTTGCCAAGCTTGCTTAAACAGCGCCGCACATCGGCTGCAGCTGTGCAAGGCTGCAGCTGTGCAAGGCAGCGCTGAGCTCAACACTGTTTCCTGGCAGGCTTGTTTCCATAAAGTTGTGCGGGAATCAAGTGACATCGGTATGCTGATGGGATCAGCAAGACAGCCTGTGACGCATGAGTCTGGATAAGTGATACCTCGCACTGCGACTGGCAGCGCGACAGCCTGAGATCCATAATGTATCACAGCCACGGTGGCCACGGACAACAGGACTCCAATGCTATCATCGGATAATCATCACATGCATGGCAGGTTGGTCCAACCACAGCACTGTGAAGGCTGCAGCCAACTGCAGTGGATGGTGCCATATTCTGGCGAGAGTGGTCCGCAATTCGCATGTAGGCACTTATTTGAAAATTACGAGTCTCTAATCTTCATCCATCTGTGAAGTTGTTTGGAGCCCCCCAGTCCCTGCTCGCTATGAATTCCGGCAGGCCATAACACGACTGTCCCACCTTTCTGAGATGCTCCTATAGACTGGGCGGAATAACGAAGGTGCAACTCTAGACATGTTGCGGTGCATTGCAGATGGATCTTGAACCATGCATTTACGCATCTGTCCATGCTGAAGAAAATTTTGTGGTGCTATTGACAATGCTGTGAGGCGCCCCCACGGTGTTTGCATGCACCACATGGGTACCTTTAAAAATCAATCCGGAAATTTCTATAATGATATGAGGCTGGACCAACAGACCACTCTTGCACATGCACTGTAAATACAAAGCCCTCCCGTGCTTCGTGCACTGGTCAGATCGCCCCGGGAAGCACGTGTCATCGTGATCATCACACAGCTCAGTCTGGCCCCTTTCCTCCTCGCTCTTTTCCTATTTCTTTGCAGCTGTGATGAGTGTCCCCTTATGTCCTCTGACAATGTCAACAGCATCTTGCATGGCGCCAATGCCTGCAGGACGTCCCGTCTCCTCCACAAATTTGCATGCTGCTTGCACCTGCATAGCGAGGTCAAAGGATTTTTCTTTTCATTACTACACGCTTTTCCTGCCGGAGGCAAGGTGCGTCTGCAGACAAGCTGCATGTAAAAGGATGAGAACCTAATGATTGCGGCATAATTACTTTGAACACGATGCTGGAAGTGTGCTGCTCACACTCCTGTGCTGGAAGAGTTTACTTGTGAGAGGTCTAAGTGCACCAGAAATGGGCGGCTGCTTGCAGCAGGACAGATGGCGTGATGTGCAGAGCAATAAGGATGCACTCATTTAGCCCATTCTTGAGCGCTCCTTCTCAACACCCGTCGGAAAATCTGGATGAGACAGCAGCGCACCTTTGGCCCCATGGATCCTCCAGCAAAATCGCCCAGTCGAAGCAGGTCCTCAGGAGTGATGGGAGATGAAACCGGCGCCTTCTCCTTGGGCCATTTCTGTGGATTGAACACTGCCGGGGCATCTGTCAGCAGCAGCAGGATGTCTGCCTTGATCTGCGCTGCCAGCAGTGCAGAAGCCGCATCCTGTTTTGGCACACACCCGCTGCATCAAGGCTGCCCATCAGGTTCAATGGATGTGTAATCACACGGTTTCCTGCCAGAAGCAAGATGCGTCTGCAGACAAGCCGCAGGCAAAGGCTCCCACAACCAGACTCGCCAGATCCAAGCCAGACCCGAGCAAATTTGGGCACGGTGCTTACAATATAAACCGTCCCTCGCAAGCCGGGGCAAATGGATGGCTAGGTACTCACGAAGCATTGGAACATTTGCAAGCGGGTGGTCCACACAGTACGAACTGCAGAGCTTCTTGTCAACTGCAGAATGATAGACAGAATATATGTGGGTGTCGGTGTGGAGCTACCTTGTCTATGACAGCTTCCACTCCATGCCTGCGCCAGGTGGACCCCCCATCCTGCTGCTCCATGGCCACTGGGATGCCGCCTCCCCCAGCACAGATGCAGATGATGCCCTCCTTCACCAGCACCTGCCAAGCCACAAACAACACCATCGCCCATTCTCCTCCTATCTGCAGTGTTTTATTGGGGCCAAAATGGCTTTCGTCAGCCACCTGTGGTCTGGTGAATCGCGTCCCAATTCCTCTACACCTCTACATGCACACCAGCTGGGAAAGTCCGTCCATTCATTGAAGCAAGTTGTTTCCTTCCTAGATAACATGCAAAGGGTATCATCTCTCCCAAGGCGGGAGAGATGAAAAGGATGAAGGCCCACCTGAATAGCTCTGGCCTCCAACACCTGTTTTGGCGCTGGGGAGGCCACAACGCGCCTGTAGCCCTTGTCGCCGTCCGGCTTCACATCAAATCCCTTCTCTTTTGCAAACCTGCAACAGGGATTTAAGTATCTTAACTCCACCGACTCCACAGCTGACTCAGCAGAAATATCGCAGGGTGGCGGGTCAATTGCAAGGCTCTTTGGAGTCCTGATTTGCAGCCAGAGCTTACTTTTCAGCCTCGTCCTTGCTGTACATTGGCCCGATGAACTTGGAGGGCGATTCAAAGGCTGCAAACAGCTGTAGATTTTTAAATACACAATACGATGGCACATGCAGGCTTGACCCATGAAATTAAAGGAACGCAACGCAACACTGTACCTGGATCATTCGCATCAACAAGAACTTGGGTGAGCATGGACACCACCTGCACACAGTGAGGGTCACTTCATGAGCCACCTGCATTAACCTTGGCAGGAAAGTCCTATTTAATTGGGAAGTGTTATATGTAGTATACTCTGCTCTCAGTCTTTGTGTGAGAGTTAATTGGTAAAAAGACTTTTATGGCGCACCTCAGCATCTGGCAGCGCGCCAGCAAGCTCGGTTTCTAGCAGATACCCAATCTGCCCCTCTGACTCGGCTCCCAAAACATCCAGATGTTCCTCTGGTGCCTGCAGCCATTGCTGTGCTTATGTAGCACCGAACAAATACCATGCTGGAGTGTTTTCCACATACATGTGATGACTCCAACATGGTCTACCTTGAGAGCCAGGAGGCCAATCTGGGGGCCATTGCCATGAGTCACACAGAGGCTGTAGCCTTCCTCCTGCACAAGAGCCGCCAGAGCTGTCGCTGCCTCCCGTGCGTGCTTAGCCTGTGAGGAGGCAGTAAAGCAGTGCTTTGAGTCAGTCTCTGCAACAGCGTTTCAGCCTAGATTCAACGGCCTGTCCAGAGCCTGCAGTGCCTTCATGTCCATTGTCGTCTGCTGCTTGGCATGCTGCAGGAAAGGTGTCACATCAGCCTTTGCCTTGCCTGATTTTCGGCTGTCGGATCCTCCCCTCGTTGCAGCAGCGCATTCCCACCAAGCGCAACCAGTGCAACCTTTCTGGTTTCATTGGTCTCCTCCTTCATTGCAGCTACCTGCACCTTCATGGAACAGCTCAATCCTGATGATGTGCTTACAGACATCTGAAGAAGTACTTGATTTTATTTAGGAGAATTTTTCCCACATGATGGAATCGATGCTTAGTATTGCTTGACTTTTGCTGAATGCGACACGTCCCCTTTTGCTGGTGATAATGTCTGAGAAGCACGCCTGGTGTTGCATATGGCTGGCTGAATACTTGATGTGAAATGTCATTCATCCAAGATCACTAAACAGATCTGATGTGACAAAGCAATGAGAATTGGCCAGAAGCAAAGGGTGGGGCAGTCAACTAAATTTATATCTTTCTCAGTGAAATCGCACTTGATGAAGACCCGGAATGCGTTTTGGAATTGCCAACCAGAACGTGACCAGGCCAGAATCCGAAGAAGAGGATCCGTCTGCGGCAGCTGCCCCAGAAAGGCCGGAAGCTGCCTGCATTACAGTGAACGTGAGATTAGAATTTTAAGGAGGAAGAAGAGAAAGGGAAAGCAGATCACTTTGATGAACAGGAGCAGTGTTGAAGTGGTAATCTGAAGCTTGATTAGATGCTAGCTTGAACATCTGCTGTCAAGGTTGACCCACCCAAGAACTGTGCATCGAGAACCCATGCCAACAAGTTGTTATAAACCAATGCAAGCATGGCAGCTTTCATGCAACCTACCATAGTAGCACTAAATCTGTCTTGTGCCAATCGCAGCACAACAGGAGACGAAAGAGGACGCCAAGGCTGTGCACTGCAACATGTCCACCAAGGGAAGCAGCGGGGCGAAGTCAGGCACACAGAAAGATATCTCGCTCGCGTATGTCCTGGCTGGAGGAATACTAGGCTGGCTGTTAGGACAGGGTGTATGGCCTGGGTCCGTGATAAGTCCCCTAGCTACAAGCATCCCATACTTCGATGGCTTGACCGGCTCCCTGCTGGCCAAATACAACGTGCCGTGGGGCTTGAACCCCTCACCACGCATTAGCAGCGCAGCCAATGCTCTTCCATCAAATGTCTGCGATGTGTCACCGGCCACTCTGGCAGTTATATCAGAGCCCTTCGAGAGGGATGCGCTGCAGCCCCTGCGAACCACAAAGGTGGCGCCGAATTGGCAGGAGCTCCAAGCCACCAGCGCTGGAGGAAAGCTGAAAGACTGCGTCTTTGCTGCGCACGACAGCGCATTCCATGGCCTGATAGGACCCGACCCCACAGTCAAGCTACTAGCACAGAAGGACTACACCTTTGCCCACGAGGTGTGCATCTCCTGAAGGCTGTCTTCTGCCTGTGTCACGTTATGCTTGCATTCTGGTCAACCTCAGCAAACATCCAGGAGCACTTCAAACAACTATCCAGTGTAGTGATGGTGCACATGATGCAGCAGCTTCACAGTTTGAGAATTACCCCAATGGGTGATGGGAGGTGTGCCACTGTCGCAGGGTCCGGTATGGCTGCCAGCCATTGGGAAGCTCTTCTTCGTGTCCAACCGCCTGGGAGACACAGGGGGGACAGACCAGTATGCGGAGCTGTGGCTGCTTGACCCTGAGACCCTGGAGACGTCCCAAGTGCGGCCCAGAGTGCCCATCATCATGGGGAATGGCGCCACCAACTGGTCACCCAGCGAGGTTCTCATCACGTCACAGGTGACTGGCCCTACAGAATCGTTCTGCTTGTTTGAGGGTCTTTGAGGGTCATCGCCCGTCAGCTTGTCCTTCTGTATACGCATGTCCCTTCCTCAGAGTTGTGCCACAGCTGCTGGGTTCCAGGTAGCTGAAATAGCACCCGAGGCGATACTCTTAAAGAGCATCAGAAGCAGCAATTACAGAAAAGAGATACTGAGAGGAAATGGAGGGGCTTGAAGGCTGTGCTGAGTGCCTGCACAGGGCGGCAACAACACAGGCGGGGCTCTCTTTGTCTTGGATGTTGTGAGCGGAGCTGCGCGGAAGCTGCTGGACAACTTCCAGGGTCTGCAGTTCAACAGCCCCAACGATGTGGTGGTCTCTCGCGACGGCGTTATCTACTTTACGGACCCCTCCTACGGCCTGCAGCAGAAGTTCCGGACCATGACGCAAGTGGGCGACTATGTGTGGCGCTTCAATGCTCGCACCGGGGACACCGCAATCGTGGACGAGAAATTCCTGCAGGTCCGCCTCTCTCTGCCAACACTCTTGATCCTGTTCATGCGCACATTTGCTCTGCTGAGTGGAGATTAATCTGACAGATTGTTGCATGCTCATACCCTACATGTAGATCCCCCTGTATGCAAGATGCTGATGGGGTGTGTACCATGCAAGTGGGCACTCCAATGATGTGCTCATCACTTTGAACGGCAGCTGACAAGGCCTGTGTCTGTGCTGTGTCAGCCCAATGGAGTGGTGCTGTCCCCGGACGGCAGGGTCGCGTACATCACTGACACCGGCTGCAAGCATGCGAATACATCTGATGGCGGCCAGTGCACCGCCCCCAACACACCCCGCTCCATCTATGCCTTTGACATTCTCAAGAGCAGGTTCGCTGCCCACAACCCACCATGCATGGCACTCGAGCTGACCTTTGTGAACTTGAGCTAATACCAGTGCATGCCAATTCATGCATGGTGGTGCGTATGACAGTGACTGCTGGTTTCTTCTCTCAAATTGCTGGATGAAACGCGACAAGCAGTATGGTGGTGATGGGATAGTTTTCACAGGTGATGCCTTGGCAGGATGTGCCTGGGCCTTCTGTGACATGCTGACAGCGCCTGAGGACCTGTGCTTTCCATGGTCATCAGGGATGGGGCGAGCTTGCTGGCCAACAAGCGCCTGTTTGCGGTACCGGATGTGGGCGCGCCGGACGGCATCAAGGTGGACCTGCAGGGCAACGTATGGACCGGCGTTGGCGACGGCGTCGCTGTCTTCAGCCCCAGTGCGCCGCTCTGCCAGCTCACTGCTCTGCCAGCTGCTCTCACCTACAGACTGCTGCATAGCTGACTCCCTCAACTTTCTTGGGAAACCTGGCACCCTCATATGCTTGTGTTGACATTACCAACGCTGGGCTGCCAGGGTGTATTACGACGCAATGCAATGTATGATGTCAGTCAGCCAGTTAGTCACACTTCATGATGTGCACAATGCACAGGTAATTGGTTGTTCTGGGTTCCAGATCTTTGTTCCCGGAGGCGGTCAAATGGCTGACATGGCATTGCAACGGCATGTCTAGAATCACACTCACTGACACAAGAGAGGCAGCAAAAAGGTGAGTTGGGTGGTGATTGTTGGCGGTGTTTCTGCAGGCGGGAAGCTGCTGGGCAAGATTCTGGTCGGGGAGGTGTCCAACATTGTGTTTGCCGGTGATGTGCTGGTCATGATGAAGGAGACTGAGGTGCTGGCCGTGAAGCTGGCGGCAAGGGGCGTTGTCCTGCCAGGCATGCTGGCTCCAGCAATTGCTTAAGAACTGATATACCGATTCATGAACTGCCTTCCACCTCTTATGTTCTGAGCATTGTGTACACATGTTCCTGGCGGTTGATCCATCTAGCAGCACTGTTGAGGTTGATCTGTGGCTTCCATGCATCAACCTCATATGGACACCCCGGGCTCTTTGAGGCTCAAACTGAGATGGTGAAGTATAATTCGTAGCGGACTAGGCTGACCTTGTCAGATTTGGGATGAGTAGACCAGTTCTTGACAGCACTGATAGAGGCACGTTGGTTGAGGCAGATTGGCTCTGGAGACAATAGGCTTCAAATTTACCCTTGATATGTGGTGACATATCTGCGGGTGGGCCGCTCTCCGAATGCAACAGAAGTACCTTGAAGGTGTCGCACACTATTGTACACATTCCAAGCGCATTTGTTCATTATTCAGTGCGCTACCGACATAGTCGATTCCCTGTTGCTTGCAAAGATTATTGCTCCTATTTAGATGCAGATAGACATCGTGTCTGTGACAGCAGGTGGTGTGGATCAATATCCATTAAAAATATTTTTATTTATTTGCAACGCTGATGGTCTTACATTCCGTGTTCATCCAGTCTGCCCATAGAAGGTGCCATCAGGGTGACAGAACCAGTGAGATTTATGCATCTGCCATAGGTGTACTGTAGCTCTTTCTCAAAGCACCATGCTCCAAATAGCACAGGACTCTACCCAAAGAACACTGCCCCGCTGACATGGTCCTGTGGATGTCATCTTGCCATAATCCCATGGCAAGCTGACTTTCCTAGGTCATCACACACAGCATGCAGGTGCCAATTTGTAAGGCTAGTCAACAGCTATAGTCACACCTACATGGCAAGATCGCGCTTGAGGCATCCTATGATCGTGATGAAATGATGCTGTCTGTGCAGCACAAAAGGAGTTCATAGCAAATTTGTGCATGTGTTGGAAGAGCTGAGTTGTGTTGGGAGAGCTGAATCTGCTGTCCCAACATAGGGAGGCCAAACCCCACCAAGTGGGAATAAACTCTTTAGGATCTGAAGAGCAATTCTGTGGCACGTGCTGCCTTTGGAGTTGCCCTGATCAGGAACATCACCATTGACTGCATCGATCACATCACAACAAGCTGACAATCTCCTAGATTGCAGGGCCTAAATCCTGCCTGAACCTCTGCTGATCAGAACATCCTCTAACACCCCTGAGCCCGCCATTTGCTCTGCCTCGCAAGCGCATTACACGGATATGGCTAGACTGGAATTGCTCCCATATCGCCAGAGCTGTTGTACTTAGTTCTCTGCGGTTTTACTGTTCTGGTCAGGCTGCAGGAGGCTGGAGACAGAGAGGGAGGCGTCCCTCCAGGCAGTGCTGACGCTGTGGGCTGTTATGCTCTCCAGGCTCTTCTGGAAGTAGCGCTGGAAGGAGGCATCGCCCTCCGCCTGCCAGGTCGCCCCTACCACAATCTGCTCCAGATCCTGCCCTGGCACCTGTAAAAAGACACAGAGAGCGAGCATTACTGGCAAACTACATCTTTGCCAGCCAACGAGGCTGATTGATCAATTGGGTGCCGCATCCCGTGTGTACCCTTCCTGACGAATCGCAAAAAAAGGGCTACGTGCACAAGGTTGTCCTAGCACAAAAGCTGTCAGAACCTGGCTGCGTCATGGCAAGGTTTTGAATGACCGCATGCATGCTACTTTTGTTTTTACATGTTCCTGCCAGGAGGCAATGTACGTCTGCAGACAAGCTGCAGGTAAAGGCTGCTGCACGTCCTACCATTTGTCGGACTCGCCAGATCCCAGCAGCAACCAATCAAGCATGGGCACGGTGCTCAAGATTCATTTCACCCCCTGCCAGCCGGGGCCGGCATGCATGTGCAGAGGTACTAAGGTGCCAGGGATTGTCCTTCTGGCGTTTCATAAAGCAGAAACAAGGCCCCGGGATGCTGCAGGAAAGTAGGTGTGCTGCGGCTGACCTTGGGCAGCCTGTAGATGTGCTGCATGATGTTGAGAGCCTTCACGGCTGTGCGCTGTGCATGCTTCTTGGCCGCTGCATGGCTGCTGCGTCCGTTCTCATTGATGTGCGACTGAAATGCAATGTCCACGCTGGGAAGATCAACAGTCAGCGGCTGCAGTGTGACCACCTGCATGTGATGCTCTCTTAGCCAAGTGATCAGTGTTGCTTCTCACTATCGCATTTTCATGCAATTGTTGCAAGCTGATCAGTCATGACTGCTCAGATCTTTCGCTTGAAAGAGGTGTGTGTCTAGGACATGGATGCTCACCTGCCTGCCAATTATAGCAGTATACTTGTAGCGCAGATCGACAAAGATGACTCTTGCTGCCACAAGGCCCACAACTTTCCTCTGCTCCCTGGAAATGCTGCCATGGGGTGCTGTCACCACCAGCTCAATATCTGCACTGCCTAGGAGTCCAGCATGGTATCTGTGCAGCACCATACACTACGTCAAAGCCACTGCACCAATTTCTACAAGGCCGCAAGAAAAGGAGTCGTGCCGTTTTACTGAATTCCCACTATTGTAGAGCATTGTGACCCCATGCATTTTCTTGCCATCAGGACAAAGCTTTTTCGATGCACTAAATACAGAAGTGTATTGACTAACAGTCCTTTCGACAAGAGGAAGCGATCAGCAACCGTGCGTCTTGCGCCAGCGCCACAGATGCCATATCGCCCAGGATCTGATTGACAGCACCTCCAATGCAACATATATAAGCTTTCACGATGGGACTGTCCTTGAAGGTGCTCAATTCTGTCACGTAGCGGTCCAAATTCGCTCCACCATTCCGACTCGCATCCTCGAAACGGGACCTCTGAGCTTCCATGCTCAGCTCGCTCTTCCGATGATGATCCGAAAACATCTGCGAGAGGTCTTGGAATTTGTGGTGCAGTCATTAATTGCAGTGACGTACAAAGGCAAGCAGATTCAGCGTTGGGTCCTGCGTTGGAGAAAACCTTGGACGCAGCGACGCCAGAGTGCTCAGCCGATACATTTAGATAGCACCATCATATACAAGTTCAATCTTTGATGTCAGCATACGAATTTCTCTGATCTAGCCAGAGACCTGGGATTTTTGTAGCCACCAGCAGAGCGTGTGCAACAAAGCGAATGCACCCCTCCAGGTGCTGTGGCCACTTGTGTTGGATTGTGATCCATGCACATGTGTGAGATGCATATGGTGCTTCAAAGGAGACATCGTCCGACAGAGTCTGCTTCAACTTCTTCATTTACAGCATATCTCCGCACAAAATTCTTCTCGTGTTGCACCAGCAATAGACTTGCTTGTAAGGCATCACATCATGGTACATTGATGAATGTATACACCTCACAAAGAATGGATCAATTCTTTCCTCACATGCAAAACCAAAAACCCTCAGACCAGGGCGTCAGAAGACAGGGACGGTTCAGACAAAACAGCTGCATGACAAAACCTCTCAGAGAGTCCAGTCAGCCGCTTATGAGGGCACGAACTTGGTGGCGGCGGCAAAGCCGTTGTTCACAGAGGGGTTGGCCAAGTGGTCGGCCAGGTTCTCAATGGGGCCCTGCAGCCAGCAAACCAGAAAGAGGTCAGACACAAGACAGTGCAGAAGAAATCAATTCGACAGCTGACGGGTGCCTGGGCATTGAAAGCAAGACAAGATGCACAATATCAGGCGCGCAGAGGAAATCACCGAGACTGCTGTGCTGACACTTGCCTGGACATTTCAATCATTAAGTAGATAGCAGGGTGAGGCTCGGCTTTCACTTGCGCAGATGAAAGCATGACAGAGAGAGGGCTAAACATTTGCTGGGAGGACATTCAGAAGAGGTGTCAGGGATCAGATATAGCAGGAAGCAGCCCCACCTTGCCGGTGACGATGGCCTGCACGAAGAATCCGAACATGGAGAACATGGCGAGACGGCCGTTCTTGATCTCCTTGACCTGCGCACACACCAGGCAACAAACACTCAGCCCTCCCGCATAACACACTGGCAAACCCACAGAGCTGCCTTCGCAGACCCACGCAGAGCAGCACTTGTTTGATCCTAGGCAATATTACCCCTCATGCACCTTGAGTCCTACAAGAGACCTTGAGTCCTACATGACCCCTGCTGGGTACCCAAACAGAGCAGCAACTCTATGATCCCAGGCGAAGCAACCTCTTTAGTGCACCTGCTTGCAGCACCAGCTGAGCTGCAAAAGGCAACAGTGAGCAGGGCATGCGCAGGAGGAAGGACAGCGGCGCACCCTGAGCTCGGCGAAGGTGTCGGGGTCGTCGGCGAGTCCGAGGGGGTCGAATGCCTCACCAGGGTAGAGCGCGTCCAGACCCTCACCGGCCGGGCCGCCGTTCACACGGTATCCCTCGATCAGACCCATCAGCAGCACCTGGGCGTACGCCAAATGATCTCAGAACAGGATGCACTCTGCGACACTCTTACAGCAGGGCTGATGGCCCTGCGCTTGCTGGTGCAAGAGATTGCTCAGATATTGTCTCTAAATCAGAAGCAGGATCAGACGCGTGTCTGTTGAGCAGCCCATACACACAAGCATGCGACCATCCTGCCTGTGCAGTCTCAAGGAGCATGATCTGACACGCTGCAGGCCAAGGCAGGAGCAGGCCAAAGGCACAAGGTCGGAACAGGCTTGCACAAAAATGCCTGATCTCTCAATGTATACATATACAACCCCCAGCTTCCCTCAATCCTTTTCAGGGGCTCCTTGATAGTGGCCTGGTGCCTGAAGTTACACATAAGGAAGGCAAAAGCATCAAAAGATGGGGCAGTGGGCTTGCCTGGGAGAAGACGATGGCGATGATGGACTGGGCGTGGATGAGGGAGGGGTTGCCGAGGTAGTCCAGGCCACCAGGGGCGAAGATCTGGGAGCCAGCCTTCCACCAGACGGCCTCGCCAAAGGAGACGCCGTTCTTGGCCAGCAGCTCTGGGGTCACGCAGCCCAGGGCTCCGAGCATGGCCCACCGCGCGTGGATCACCTCGATCTCGCGATACCTGCACACAGCAGCACGGCGCTGGTCAGTACATGACGACCACAGGCCAGCAAAGTATACAGCGCAAGTACTTGGGTTGGGTGGCAGGACACAGATTGGATGATGCATGTTGCTGACGGGCAGGCGAGGCTCAGTCCCATACACACATAGTGGGTGGGAAGCTACAGCAGAGGTGAATGCCGGATGAACACACTCCAGGCAATGCATGCGATCGTGCGCAAGCGGCTACAGCTTCACACAGTGTGGGGCTGAAGAGGCTGCAGGCACTGGAGATGCTAGTGTACAAGTAGCTGCAGCTGCTGCAAGGCAGGGGAAATACAAAAATGCTGACCTGGCGAAGGTCTCGGGATCGGCTGAGAGGCCGGCTGTGTCCCAGCCGTAGTCACCGGGGTACTCGCCGTTGAGGTATGAGGGAGACTTGGTGAAGGGGCCCAGGTACTGCGCAGGCACAGGGAGCAGCTCAGCAAAGATATTTTGATCCGAACCGCGCAAAAGGGCGCTGCCTTATCCTCCAAGATATGCTTGGGGATGGGGGACAGAAATCTAGCCCTTTGAGTAGTATAAACCAGCAAGACTTTACTTTGCAATCTAATCAGCGACTATAGCCATGATGTGCAGGCAAAGCTTGGGTGTTTGGTCCCCAATTTGATGTATCAGCAAGGCGAGAGAAAGACAGATGGATCCACGATTCGGTCTCCAAACTCACCCCAGCGCGGTTGGGTCCTGTTACAAACAAACACAAAGGATATCAGCGACAGGATCGTGATAGTAAAATCGTGAATTACACGCATTCGTATGAAATGACGGCGATTGTGCACCAAGTAACACGGCAATTAATCAATCCGAAACCACTGGCTCGGGTTGCATTGGCCTCAGTGAAAAGAATCATGACATCAATTGACTGTCCTAGTGATCATCAAAGCGCTCTGAGCAACCAAGTTCACTCTCGGAGAGCCGCGCATTGCACCGAGCCCCACTGCACTTCCGATGAGGATCGGGCGAATGGAACGTAAACCAGAGGCAAATTGTAATCTAAATTGAACGAAAGACTCACCGTAGAACTCGATGGCGGCGCGGGTCACCTGCTTGGTGCCCTGCACAACGCAGCAGCGAAGCCATCAGTGCACCCGTCAAGAATGAAAAGATTTCTGCCATTCAGGTTCAAAGACATCAGCAAATGTTGAAAATTAGGACCAATAGAATGCTGGTGCAGCAAAGTAATTGCAGCAATTTCCAGGAACACAACGGAAAACAAGTTGCATGGGTCTCCAGCAAAAGGCGCGCAGCAACGTAGTGAAAGATGCCTCATCACGCCAATGGCTGATAATGATCACAGTTGCAAACATAAACGGTTGCATCCGAGCGAAGCGTCACTACAAAATGTCCAACTCAGACGAGGAGCTCCACACACCTTGCCGGAGGTGGGCACAGCCTTTGCGAGGCTGGCGCCGAGGAAGGTCTTCGCCATCATGGTGGAGGCCATTGCTGCGGACAGTTTCTTTGCTGGTCGAGATTCCTGGTTCTGGATTGAAGAAACTTGTGAAGACTGAGGGAGAGGCTTACCGGCTGTTTAACCTGCAACACCGGGACCTCATTGGCTGAGCAGGGTGAGATGGAGATTCTCGGCCATCCGACGGCGTTCCCACGACCTTCACTTTTCAGCCCAATAGATTCGGGCGAGGAGGTGGCACTTGCTGAGGCTGGCAGGCTGGTTCTGATCTTCATCTGGATGACTCCGAGACAAAAACTGACAACGCCTGAATTGCATGGGATCACCCTGATCCATGTGCATGCTGCATTTTGTCAAGGCCCATGAGCTCTAGATCTGATCATGATCAGCTACTGATCTCGAGCACATTGCTCGACATGATGCCACCGTGGTCGGTGACCGGACCACAATCAGGACCGTAACCGCCGCGGCACCATGCAGTGACCGTGATTGCTAGCCTGCTGGCGCCTGAGTGCACTGAGTACATGTACAACATGATGCACTGGATGCAATATTGTGAATACTGTTAGTCACTGCATGGCCATGGTGCAGTGCACTGCGGTAGTGGAGGTTATCGGAGCTCTTACACTGTATTGGCAATTCAGTAACTCACTGAGAAGACTCGGAGTCTTCTAAATCCGTTAGTGATCCATTGACTTCATCGCATTCTCCGCAGATTTGGCCACATGATATTTCAAAGCTGGCCCACTCGAAGAGGTCACTGGCAGGTTGAGATTACACCATCAAGAGAACCCAATAGACTCTGCTCGGAGCTTTAAATTCAATCACATTCAATGTATTCGTGTTCAGTTCCTGTGAAGAATTTCAAGAGTTCCCACACACAAAGGGATGCTTTGCAAATGGGCACTACTTAGGTCACTACATTAGTTCAAATCTCATCTCAGTTCCAAGCAAATTCAACGCGTACTGCACTTCATTCCTGCTGCTGTTACAGAAACAGCAAGCGAGCGGCAAGCCATGTCCTGCAGCTGCAGACCTGCGCAACGCATCAGGCGACAGATCCATCCCATCAGACGGCAGGCGCGTGAGAGTTTTGCCCCGGGACGCCCATTTTAATGGTTTCCTCTCTCCCTCTCTCTCAGCGGAGCAGTCTTTACTTCCATGCCGCGGCTGCGTCAGAGGGGAAGCCCCGGAGCTGCTCATAGCTGGCCAAGATGTTACTATTCCCTTTCTCTCCCTCCCTCCTCTCGCTCTCTCAGCGGAGCAGCCCTGACTGTCAGGCAAGCGCCACGACACAGGGAGGCCCAAAGGCCGCTCATGGCTGGCAGTATGGTAATACATCCCAATGTCTCCCTCTCTTTCTCAGCGGGACCACATGCACTGTCAGCGGAGGGCCGCGTCAGAGGGAGGCCCCGGTGCCGCTCATGGCATTGGCCTGGGCCTCGGTGAGCAGGGACTTGCCGATGGCGAGGCCGTCGTAGGGCTGGGCCATGGCGCGCATGAACTCGCGCGCGATGTGCATGAGCATGTCCGTGGACAAATTGAGGTGCGCGTCCTTCAGGTGCGTCGTGATCCAGCCCGGCAACTTGTCCCGCTTGTCCGCGCGCTGGTACCGCTTGTCCGCAAACACCTGCGCCGCACAGCAGAGCCTTACCTCTCACTTCCCTCCCTGCCTTCCCAGATACTTCAAATGAGTTGCAAACTGCCTTCCTGCTGCAAGCCCATGTCGGCGCACTCACAATTTACAACATACGCTTTATAACACTTTTCAAGAGCGCCAAATTCTGTGAGCCCAGAAAGCTTGTCGCAAGGCTTCCAACTCACATGTGGAGGGGGCCCTTCAAATAATAACAAGAAGACTGAGGTATGCCCTATTTCTCCTGGCCTACTTCACATGCAATTACATGATGTCTTGGCAGCAAGTCATGAGGATGTGCACCGAGGTATAAGGTGGTTTATTGAGGAGAGAGCCCCACACCATCAGGCCATAGTCTGCTTTGGAGCGGATGACACGGCCGACGCACTGCGCAGCCTGCCGCACTGCATCGAACGAGAGGTAATCGCTCTCCTTTATCTGGAAGGTCTCCCTCAGATACTCCAGCCTCGCCCTAATATCATGCACCCCACAGCACACCAGTCAAATCAAGGTGCATCACTTTTGCTCTGCTGTCTCTTGGCACTAGCAATCAAGCACGGCGCTGAGCAAGAGAGCAGGGGTGAATTGCACGAGGGAATCACCTCAGGATGCGGCTGAGGGTGTATTGGTAGGGCACGCCAAACATCACCACGCAGCGCCCGTAGTGCCGGTCAAAATCGATCCCCTCCGCCACCTGCGCAAAGGCATGAACACCCATCCAGCCCCAACTCTGCTGCACTGAAAAGAATGACACCGCCACGTACAAAATTATACTTGATTGAATGCAAGAGACTGGGAGGTGCCTGCACATTTGAGCGAGTGGAGGCGCAATCTGCGGCTCAGATCGCACCTTGCCGCGCGCAACAGAGAGGAACACAGCGCCGCGGCCGCAGTCGCAGGCGCGCCGGAAGTTGTCCAGGGCGAGCGTCGTCTCTACCACGTCCACCGTCTCTATGAACACCAGCTTGTGCGCCATCAGGTCCTGCGATAGTCAACTTCACCCGCTCAGGCGCCACGCACCCAGCATATCGGCAAGGTCTTCACCAAGCTCTTTTTGACACAAGCTGTGCATCAGTATTCCCAAGTCATCGCAGAGCAAACCTGAAAGCCAATATACCGGAACCCATGTGTTGAGAGAAATGGATCCCCAGCGCTTGCAAAGTCTTGATATTTTTAATTGCTGCTGTATCTTCCCACGAACTGGCAAGCGTCAGGGAAATCGCTATGTGATGGGTGTGCCACCCACCTGCAGGATGCCCATGTCGTTCCACTTGGACACGATCTTGTCCATGTAGGAGTAGGACACGAAGAAGCACACGATGCCATCCGGGATGGCAGCCGCCAGCTCCACCAGCATGCGCCCATAGTTACGGATCACATTCTCGTCCTCGCGCATGTCGAACGCGGTGCTCACAGCCGCCTGGTCCGCGCCCCGCGTCAGCACCACTGGGCACATGCAATCCCTGCGCGCCAAATGTCTTACTCAAGCATGCAACTCGACATCCCCTTTTTGCGCCTCACTATCGTCTCAGGCCTATCCCAATAAGCAAGGAGTATGCCCGGAACACCAAAACACAAGACAGAACACCCCTGAAAGTCCCGGGGTCCAGGTGATTCCTACAGATCTCCTATTTTCTAGAGAGAGAGAAAAACACCAGTAAGGTGTGGTTGGAGCAGGGGAATCGCGCACCTGGTGAGGGTCATGGCGAAGGACTGGATGGCGACGGGGTTGAAGTTGAGGATGCGCGGGTACAGGTCGATGGGCGACAGCGTGCCGCTAGTGATCACCACCGTCTGAAACTTCTGGAACACCGGCCGCACTGCCAGGCTCGCGTCTAGGCAGCTCAGCTGTGCATCAGCCCAACACACAGCGTCACTCTGTCTTTTTACACATGCATACATGGTGTCGGCTGGCGGGGGGCGGTATACATACTGAGCACCGTGCCCACGGTTGGATGGGTCTTGCTTGGATCTGGCCAGTCCAACAAGGGGTAGGATTATGGCAGCCCTTAACTGCAGCTTGTCTGCAGGACGCACGCTGCCTCTTAGCAGGACAAGCGTGCTGGACAACAACAGTATTACTTGGTGAAGGAGGCACGAAATTGAAACTCGAGCCAAACAAGACGGCCAGTCAGCCTCTCATGTGCTCTGGGAACCTAGAGAATATAATAAGCTAGCTGGCAACTTGAAGAGCCCGCCCTTGCCTGACTGAGACTCTCTTCCTGTAAATGCGCAGGGCAGTGCCAGGGGAGGGAAGCATGCTCATTGGACACCAAGGCGGGATATGCTGCGACGAGAAAAGGGGCTGACCTGGATGACAGGGTCGGGGACGGAGGGCAGGCGGTCGTCATAGGGTTCGACGATGATGGCAAACCCCTTGGCGTAGGTCCCCACAAGGGTGGCGAAGTCGGCGACAAGGTGGATGGGCGTGAAGTCGTCCATGTCGGTGATCTCCAGCGTCTTCAGCAGCGATGACAGCCGGTCGTAGCAGAAGCGCAGCGTCTTGCCTGCAGCACACCACACATTGTTTCTTTTATCACAGAAAATGAAAGAACGCTCATCCCGCACATGCAGAACATAGGGTGCCAGTCCTTTCAAATCTTCCAAGATTAGCTCTGTACATGCAGGAGATGCCTGCAGGTTCATTGGTGAGATACTAGCACGAGTACAAAAAAGCTATCTACTGACCTTAACATGAATGACTCGGCGAGATGCGGTAAAAGGCTGTGCAAAGAGGAAGAAAGTGGGCGCACCGTCGACGGCCATGGACTCCTGGAGGGTGGCCAGGAAGGTGGTGCAGGACTCCTGCTCCACAGCCTGCACGCTGATGCGGCCCTTCAGGTGCTCCACCAGCCGCTTCAGGAACGCGCAGAAGTGCTCCGCTCGCCGGATGTTGCCCGGCACCTGCACGCACGCAACCTTGCAGTCTTATTCTTTTCATATTGGGTGGATTGACATGCGCTGCGGTTGCCAGCATCACCGCATGCATGCAGACAGGCAATGATCAGCCTGCTTGAGACAACAACGCCTTAAATTTCCTGCGCATGTCGCACAATCGCCCACAGACTGGGAAAGAGTCATTTATTGACACGGCAGTTGAATCAATGTTCTGCAATCCGGTAAGACAGAGGAGGCACGCACAGCTTCTCGCAGGATGTCCTCTGGCAGGGCTGGGTTGGCCAGCCAGTCCTCTCCACCTGGTGTGGGCCTCCCCCGGGGCAGCGCTCCCCTCTCCTGCAGATTTTCACACACATCATTAGACAAATACAAGCATGTAAAGAAGCTGCTTCAGGCTTGTCGTGTTCCTGGACTCGCGATATGGATATCTGATGTTTTGTTAATCGGAGAGTTCAGGAGGATAGGGTGGGCATGATAAGGGCTGAATGAATTACTGGGCAAGATAGGTGGACAAGGATTCCCAAACCTGCAAGCCTCCAATGAGCCGCTGGTACTCGGCTTTGAGCCGCTGCTCGTCTGTGGCCTTGCACTTGTCCACCGCAGCCTTCAGCTTCCCCACATTCCTCATCGCACTGTCCAGCGTCTGTCTCCTTAATGTCACACTCAGCGCCTGCAGAGATAATTGCATGTGATCAACAACCTCCCAACCATTCCAGAAAATACATATGACCGCATTTGTAATGCTCTTTCCTCAACGGCAGCCAGCTGAAGAAGAGCGCACCTCTATGCAGACATTGTCTATGTTGTGAGCCTCATCAAAGACCACCACACACTCCTTCTCAAGCTCCCGCGACACCATGTTTGACACCTGCAGTGTGACTGAGATTTAAGCTCGGGGGCACCTCACGTATGTATCAAGAGGCTGCTCAGGACCTTGATCAGACATTGATAAGACATTGAACAGAAAACTTTGGCTGCAATTGATGCAATTAAGTTGTTCCAATCAGCAACAGGGGGCAGGGTGGCGGCATTGCTTGCCTTGGGGTCAAGCATGTACTGGTAATTATAGACCATGACATTGGCAAAGGCTAGCATGTGCCGCGCTGTGAAGTAGGGACACCATCCCTTCTTCCGCCCATACTCTCGCATGTCCTGCAGAGTATACCTGTACATGCACAACCCTTGTCATGCATGCAGCCTTGTCCGAGATGTGCAACCTACGAAGCGATATTTTCTACAGGGAAGGAACAAAGTGAGCTTGTGAATCTGGGGACAAGGTGCTCACACGCCAGGCTCCATGACACCCTCGGCGCCTGCTGCCTCCAGACCTTCATAGAAAGTGCAGGTCTCGATGTCTGGGTTGGTTACATGCGCCTCGCGCACCCAGGAGGCTGTCAGCTTCCTGCACTGCGAATCGCAGCTCTCCCTAGAACCCTCCTCTGCAACCCAGGTCAGACAAGCCGCTCAGCAAACAGGTGGTATAATCATGAAGCCATCCCGGACAGCTCCTTAGCCTGGCTGTAAGCAAAATTGCATGAATTCATCCAGCAAACACGACAGCCATCTTTGCTGACATCATCTTGCAGGCTGGCAGACCTGAGACGCGTGGGTGCACACACAGGTTCTTCCTTGAACTCAGGCCCAGAGCCAGAATTTTAGGCGGCTCCATGCCAGGTTCATGGAAATACCTGCAACAGTCCTCAGCTATCAGCCTTCCTTCTTCCTTGTTGCAGGTGTTTGGGCAAAATTGGACTGAGTAATGGTAGTCCACTTCATGCAAGTGGATTGTGTCTCATGGCGCCACAGGCGATGCACCTATCTCGGTAGTGTACCAGCTCCTTCAGCTCGGCCAGCACTTTCTCCATCTCTGGCACTGTTCGCGTGCAGTATATGAGCTTGCCCACCTCTGGGTGCGCCAGCTGATAAGATGTGATGAGGGACAGCAGGGTAATGGTCTTCCCAGTGCCTGTTGGCATCTACAAGAAGCACACAAGTACTGGTCATTTCGATGATGGAGATCCGAATTTCCAGATGCTCCGAATGCTTTATTCCGCGACACAAGAGATAATCAGATATCAATTGCTTCCGAGATATTGAAAGAGGCAAGTTGATCTGGTTTGTCAGTGCACAGATCACGGACCTCCAGCAAGCAATGTCCCTTTGCATCCAACGCATGTTTCAGCTCCAGCATATATTGGAACTGTTCTGGATATATGTAATCATATGGGAAGTACACAGTCAGTCCCTCAATCACGAAGCGCATGGTGAACGTCTCTTGTTGTTTGCTACTCTCCTGTTCCTGACGTCCCTGATCTAAGCGAAATATCAAACTTTTTAACGAATTTTCAGGATTATAGTGAACTAGCAGTATGAGCAATAGGGGGAACTATATTCATGTTTACTAGGTGCAAAGGGATGGCACTGCCAACGTTTGATAACATGATCTGAGCATCAGCTGTATATCAGCAAAGATCCCGCAAATTTGCCAGTCCACATTCACTTGAGATCTAGATGTGCACACGGAAGATGGAGCAAGATGTCTTCCAGACCAAAGCACAGCAGGAGCAGGCTCTCCTCGTCCACGTGTGTACATTAAATACGCCGTCTGCCTCAGCTTGAATCAAACTGAGAAGGACATCACGGACAGTCAACAGATTGCAACATGGCGCAGTCAGGAGTGTCTCAGATGTCCACATGTCCTGCAAAGTGTCCGCAAAAACAGGTCCTCACACTGCCAGCAAGATTTCCAGGAAGAGTCACAGGAGGTAAGATATCTGTTTGGATTCGAACTTGGCTGCTCTGGAGGTTCGTTACGTCGAGACCTTGAATTTCTGTCGCGCGTCACCTTTCCTTTCATGCAGGTAAGCCTGGAAGGAGGATATGTGCTCACAGATCACTTGAGATCAGGAGCCCTAGAAGAGCAACGAGATGCACAGCAACAGCATCGGTGAGCAGATTGCAAGAAGACTACCTATTCCTCGTAATCTGGTTGTGTCGCAAGCCGTGGAGCAGCACGATTTCCATTCTGATAGGCGTTATTGCTGGTCCACAGGTGGCCACAGAAAGCGCACCAGGGACAAAAACAGCAAGCCCCCCACTCAAAGTCATGATAGCAGGTGCTCCTGCAGCTGGGAAGGGCACACAGTGTGAGAAAATTGTAAAAAAGGTGCGCTGTCAGTGAACTTGACGAGTCATGATATGCAGTGACAACGTGCTGATCACTTAACTTTGCGAAAAGGGGCCATTCCAAGAACAAGCAGGGACCCATTCAAGGACTACATCGATTCGTAAAAGCTGCTGTACCAAAAGGGGGTTGTGCTGCTATCCAGTTTGGACTCGTCCACATCTCTGCTGGAGACCTCTTGCGAGCTGAGGTGTCGTCGGGTTCTGAGGCAGGCAAAAAGGCAGAGTCTTTCATGAGCCAGGGGTACCTCGTCCCAAATGAGCTGGTGATTTCCAGTGTATCCCGTGCTGGGCTCAAATGCATCCTCTCAGAAAAGGAAACCTTGCATTATCAAACTATCTCCAGTTGTCAAGCATGCTGTCACCAAGAACCATTCTATGTCCCTCTGTCAAGGAGGATCCTGATGGAATGATTGCTCCTTACAGGTGGTGGAGATGGTGAAGAACAGGCTGAGCCAGCAGGACGCGCAGGAATCTGGATGGCTCTTGGATGGGTATCCGCGCAGCGCTGAGCAGGCCGAGGCTATCCAGGAGGCAGGCATCAGGCCAGACGTCTTCATCCTCATAGATGTGCGATCCTCTGAGACCCCTCAAAAGAAAGGGGTCCGGCAGATCTGCAGATCTAGTCGCGATAGTCAAGCATGCATGTCATGGAACAATAAATATATCCTTTCTATAATGATGCAAGCATATACCATGTGTTTATTGTGTCTCCCTTAGGCACGCTTTGGCACATTGGCCTGTTTCAGAAATGATCCTATGCCTATCATCAACTGGTCTGCTCTTGAAAGTCCTTTTTCAGGTGAGCACAAGAGTATGTATGGACACCTTTTTTGTGAGCGCAGGTGTCAGATGATGAGCTGGTGGAGAGGGTGACAGGGCGGCGGCTGGACCCAGAGACCAACACGATCTACCACATGAAGTTCAAGCCGCCCCCGGACGCCATTGTGCACCGGCTGGTGCAGCGGAGCGATGACACTGAGGACAAGCTGCGCAACCGGCTGGCCACCCACCACAAAAACGTGGAGGCGGTCGTCGGGTACTATAAGGACATGCTGGTGGAGGTGTGCACCCACGACCATGCCCATCTGCTGAGCTTATGAGTGAGCCTTTTCCGGCAAGCAGACAATCCACAACTGCTTCAGAAAGGGTAGTGGCAAACTCTCAGCCACTTGAGACCAGTCATGTCTTCGGAGAGCTCGACTCGGATAAACAACGTGCCACTTGAGTTTGCTTTGGAAATGTGCAGTGGGCGTCATGTCCGCGTGCTGAGAGTGAGAGGCTCAGGATGCGTGCCTATCTTTGTGCTATTGGTGATGGAGAAAGTATGGGGCGCAGGTGAACGGGCAGAGGTCAATGGATGAGGTATTTGCAGAGATTGGTGGCGTGCTGAGCGCGTTCACAGAAGACGAGTCACCGGCACAACAGAGATGACATGTTAGTGGGAATGCAATAAGTTGCTGCGCAGCATTTGGCTTTTGTCCTTAATTAGCGCTTGTGCAGTCATGGAACAGTGAGAGACACATGTCACAGTTGATATACAATGCGAAGTTTATCTCCATTGAAGAGCACTAAGACATATGCCAATTTTTCACCGATGGGGGTGCCATCGGGGAGTAACTTGGAGAAGTGATTTTTGCAGGTCTGCACTGCTAGGGGTTATTACAATCATGCCGTGCCAGAGAAGTAATTAAGTACGATTTAAAACACTTGTCTTCCATTGTGTTCTAGCGTATACATGATTTGAAGCTGCAGGCACCTCTTGCCCTTGACAGCAAAACATGTATAGGCAGCATCAGATTTATCAGTGGACAGTCTGCAATAACAAGCCCAGCTGCGCCATGTCAATCCTGCAGGGCACAAAATTAATGCTCAGGCAATTAAGAGTGTACACACAAGGCCAGGGCCACCATCCCAAGGAACCACTGTCAGACTCATGGTGCAGAGCATTATCAGAGATACTTACTTCATGCCACCCTGTGCTGTGCCCTGAGTCCTGACTGCACTTTGCTCACTGCGCAGAGAAGGTTCCACTTAGTTGGGTGCACCATGTAGGGAGGCCCACTATTCACAAGATAGTGACAAGTGAAGCACAGCGACAGCATCTCTAGAAAATCACAGAGCAGAAGTTTACATTCTTGGGAAGAGTACGATCTCGCGTCCATTCTGCGCCTTTGTTTCCGTCCAGCCCTTCTTTTCCTGAATCTGATCAACACACAACATCGGAATGTGAAGGCTTGCCATTACCAATAAAAGGCTTCCAGGCTGGGGTTCAAGAAGAGCGCAATTGTGCACAAACCAGCAATGCTGCTTACCAGCTTGGTGATAGCTGGTCCGTCCAGCATGAGGCACTCTCCCAGCAGCTGTTTGCTGAATTTCTGGCATGTGCTGCTGATGGCCAGGGCGATGTATGCCCTGATGGCATCCTGGTAACCCGGCACAGAGGACAAGATGTCTCTGCAGCTGTCTGCTGCCTGCCAGTAGGCCTGGAATCTGGCGCCTTCCAAGTGCTGCGTGAGAGCTATCAAGGCTGCCACAGGCTGCTCCTCCTGCATGCAGATATTCTCGCCATTCAATAGGGAGGCACAGGTTCTCAGGACAGTTCAGCACGGAATGTGAAGCGGGACAACACGCCGGCATTGGATTTTTCCTTGGTGCAACATGGTAGGTTTTGCGGTGAGCATGTTGGCCAGACTGGAATTTGAGGATGAGAATGTACCTGAAGGCGTTCTGGTATCAAGTGCAGCAGCTGCGCAAAGTCATGGTTTGGCAACTGCATCTGGGCCTTGATCAGCACGGTGGCCATTGCCTGGATGTTCGCCTTCTCTGGCGCGAAGTTGTACAGGCGGAATAGGGCCAGATTGGCATTCACGTCGTAAGTTCCCTTCTTCACCTGCAGCACCAGAGCACCGTCCAGCTAAGGTCGACAAGCAGTGCTGCAAACTTCGCACAGCCAACAAAAGGAAATATGCATTGGCATCAAATGCGGCTATGTCACACCTGGTCCGACACATTCTCCTCCAGCTGCGCTAGGCGGTTCGGATCATACCTGCATGCAATAAAGTCCAGCAACCTCGGATCATTCTCCAAATCAGACACATCAGAAATCTAATTTCTCCAGATCAATGCAAGATAAAGTATTATGGTGATGCTTCTTCAACATACCCTGCAGCTCCAGTATATGTGGCCTGTGCATCCGCACCCATCGTTATTGCTCTGTCTCTGACTCTACTGATACTAGATGTACGTAAGATGCTTGAATGCCAGGATTTAAATTAACTCAATACTTTACTAGGAAAGTACATTTAATGCATTGAGAGGAAAGTAGCAAGCCGCAATGGTGGAGCGTATCCTGTCCAACTCGGCAGCTGGGGACGCATGATGAACATGTTGATATTTCTCACGATCCTCAATACCACGATGTGTTATCAGAGAGCAACACCAACCATCGTAAACGTCTTCTGACGCAGCAAATATATAGGCGAGGGAGCTGGTCAATGTCCAGCTCCACCACCTTCTGGGGCTGGTCCCCATGCGCTTCAAAGGTCCTAGGATCGCGAGGGTACAAGGAAAGACATGTTTTCAGAGTTGCTGGATGCCCTCAGTATCAGTTCTTGCGGTCCCACAACTGGCAGCCACGGGCGGTGAAGGTGCAAGCCATCTCAGAGGAGTTGCTAGCCAGGGAGGAGGAGGACAACTTCCGTTTTAACGGTGTCCAGATAGACAGTACACAGATATACGGAGAGCGGCCAGTAAGCCAAGAAACTCTCAGCGTACACGGTGGGGAGAGGGAAGGCAGACCAAGGGTGTCTGACTCTTTGACCACTCCCATCGTTCAGACAGCTACCTACACCTTCAGGAACACAGCAGAACTGATCGCGTACCAAGAAGGACGCTATGGATCGTACGAATACGGGCGCTACGGGAATCCCACCACGCGGACTTGCGAGGAGAAGATCAGGATCCTGGAGGGTGCTGAGGATTGCCTGGTATCAAGTGAGTTCCTTGCAGCAATGCTCTTCAGAAGTTCACTGAGGTGCCTTAGTGCAACAAGAGGTGTAGAGCTCTTCTGATTTATGTCGATTTATTTTGAAAGTCTATTTGATGAGCGGCCCCTTCTCTGTGCGCTGAAGGCCCACGCTTGTACTATGCCTTGCTTGAATCTTGTGTTCTGCGTGATTTAGGTTTTGTATGTTTATAATGAGGATCATGAGATTCCCTGATGAATGTTTTGTGTTTGCCAGCAACCGGGATGAATGCGGCAACTACCATGCTGCTTGCGCTGGTGCCTGCTGGGGGCCACATCATCACCACTACAGACTGCTACCGGCGCACGCGCCAGTTCATCCAGACTGTGCTGCCGAAGATGGGCATCACTGCCACTGTGATCGACCCTTCTGATATGGAGGTGAAAATCCTGCTTGCTCAGAATCCCAGTTTGGTGCATGCGGCCACCTTGTAGTCCTTTCTAGATTGCAGCTCAGACAGCAGTCTTCTCCAACGTGGTATTTAAATTGGCCTCTCTCAGAGAGCTTTACTCCGCACTCGTGCTGAACGGGGAAATGGAGCTTGCATGCTACGCAAGGATCTGCGCACATTTTTTCTTGGAAATGGTGGCAGTCATTTGCCTGACCTGCACACACCTGCAACAAAATCCCACCCGCAAGGTGTGTGACATCAGATTGGCTGATGAGCCCTGCACGTCCCTATGCAGCGGCAAATCATGCCCCAGTAGTTCAGCACAACATTGCCTGTGGTGAGATGAGGGGCTGCAGGCACCGGCTGATTAATCTTGGCAGGGCAAGTTGTTCAGCAAGCACGTGTTGTGCAGGGGTTGGAGCGGGCGCTGAAGGCGCAGAAGGTGAGCCTGTTCTTCTCGGAGTCGCCCACAAACCCGTACCTGCGCTGCGTGGACGTGCCGACCATTTCGCGGCTGTGCCACGCTGCGGGCGCGCTGGTGTGCATCGACTCCACATTCGCCACGCCCATCAATCAGCGCGCCATCACCCTCGGCGCTGACATCGTCATCCACTCCGCCACCAAATACCTGGCAGGCCACAACGACGTCATGGCAGGTGGGGCTTGGCAGCTTCCCCTGCCTTCCACCAATCAGCAGCAGCAGCATGCACGCTCTCAGCCCACACTTCATCTGCACTGGGCAATTGCATTTTTTGTAGAAATCTTTTGCTCCCGATTGAAAACGAGACCAAATTATTAGAGTGGCCTGCTGGCATGAGGGTTGCTCTCGTCTTCAGCTAGCATTGATTGCATGCAATGTGTCAGAAATGACTTGAGGGCACGGCTCAGAATTGAGTTGCGGGCGCATGAAACAGGCGCGCTGGCTGGCAAGGCGGACGTTGTGGCGGCAGTGCGCTCCATGCACAATGTGTTGGGGGGGACCATCGACCCCCATGCGGCCTACCTCCTCCTGCGCGGCATGAAGACCCTGGACGTCCGAGTGCAGCGCCAGAACACGGTGCGCACAGCTCACCCGCCAAGTCTCCACTGCGCCAAAAATGTCCCATTCCTGCTACTCTGAAAGGGATGAAGAATGGCTTGCATGACCAAGCATCGCGAGAAATGGTGCCATGCAGCACCAAGCAATGATTCTTGCCTTACCCTTGTGTCCAGCCTGCCTTGTATCCAGCCTGCGCCGGCCCCTGCGCATGTCTTGTGTTTTGGCTAGTGCATGGAGGAGCTTCACGAAGGTTTTGAGGTATCCGCACCATCAAATCTGTTTATCTGGCTGGGTGCAGACGGCGATGGAGCTGGCGCGGCGGCTAGAGGAGCATCCGCGCATAACGCGTGTGCACTACCCGGGCCTGCCCTCCCACCCCGACCATCACATCGCCGTCGACCAGATGCTCGGCGGCTTTGGCGGCGTCGTCAGCTTTGAGGTGCTCATCCTGACCTTTGACAGCCCTACCAGTAAATTGCCACCGGTCTTCCCTTTGTATGGCAAAGCCAGTGAACAATAGCCACACATGACATGCACTGGGAAGTCTCAATGGTTGAATTAATTTTGGCGGTGGCGTGTGCAGGTGGATGCAGACTTGTGGGGCACTGCCAAGTTTGTGGACTCTGTGCGGCTGCCATACATAGCGCCTTCCTTGGGCGGTGTTGACTCGCTCATCGAGCAACCCACCGTCATCTCCTACTGGGATCAGGTCTGTCTTCCTCATGCCCATGTGGGTGCATCCAACGCCCTAGAATACTGGCATCCCCATTGACTCCTGCTGCTTTCTGAGCGGAATTCAGGAGGGGCGTTTGCCTAGGCGCGCTGTCTATGAGGCGTTCGCAGGACAGCTGTGTGGAGAGGTTGTGGGTGTTTGTGATATCGCTGCTGGGTTGGACGAAAAGATGCCCGCTTACCTTTTGGTGTGGTGGCACAGGGTCCGGAGAAGCGGGCAGAGTACGGCATAAAAGACAATCTGATCCGGTTCAGCTGCGGCATAGAAAGCATGGAGGACATCTGGCAGGACCTGCTGCAGGCCCTGGCCAAGATCTGAGCGCCTCGTGCTCCGCTGTATCTGCACCAGCATAAGTCTCTGTGCAGCAGTGATGAATGTACGAAGGCCGCTGCAGCGGCTTTGTCTTCCAGCAAGCCATGTGGACTGGAGGGCTACAATGAGAAAAAGTGCAATTCACTGGTGTGTTACTGTGGTAGCCTGCTATGCGTCACAGCACAGGACCTCGGAAATTTGCATGCAAAGGAGAGGCAGCAGTGTGCCTCTGTCGAGCATTTCAAGCCGAACAGAATTGATTTAGATTTCATAGATTGGGATGTCTGTCATTGAGCTTTGTTGGGCGCGGCAGGAGCAGTATGCGATGCCAGAAAAATATCTTGCAGGCAGCAATTGGGAGTTGCAAGGAACATCCCACGAATACGGTAGTAGACGTCAGCAATGTAGAGTCCAAAAGTTTGCACATTGTTTGTGCTGTGTCTTACAGCGCCGTGCAAGCTTAATGGGTGCAGACAATCAAAGTTTCTATATATTCTTCACGCAAGGCTGCACATGTGCCCTTGACTGTCTGCCTCAATTTTCTGACACATTCCTGCGGAAAATCTTGAATGCGCATAAGCTACATAAATGCATGCCTTGCAGTAACGGGCTGGCATTGCTCATACTTGCTCCTGCTGGATAACAGCTAGACAACGGTACTTCACTACCAGTGCACAATATCTTCGATCATCTCTTTCCTCTCAATCTCGCAAATAGCACTCTTAACGTTATCCTTGTTGAGTGTCAGGTAGTATCGTACATGTGACAATCTCCCAATCTTCTCTTCTACAATATTCTGCAGCACTCACTTGCTTTGCGCCGCTTGCTACACAGCAAGTGGCAGCAACCCACATCTCACCACACGTCACTTTTTCAACCCAAGAAAGCCCTTCCATACATCGGAGTTCTTCTGCTGTGGCTTGTCCCAGCCATCTTTGCCGCCGCCCAGGTCAATGACCACCACGGACACATTGTCCTCCGTGCGCCTCTGGATCGCCGTCTTTGTGAGCCTCTCTGCAATCTGCTGCGCACTCCTCCTCTTCTTGAAGTCGCTCCGCGCCATGCTGACAGCATCATGGCTCGACACCACATCCCTGTCAGGAAACAGTCATCTTGACACATGACCTGTCTCTCACATGGTGGCCTTGCATGACACATGTAACTCGGTACAGTATGCAAAACACATCTTCTGTGATGTTCCAGCAGCAGGCATACAAATACAACAACTTGCAGGCTGAGCATGCATGCACCAAGACAGGCTAGACAGAAGCAGCACCATTTGCGGCCTGTGAAGAGTTTTTGCAGCAACGAAACATTCTTCTATCAAAGGTGAGCTAGTCACTCACCACAGCCCGTCAGTGGCGAGGATGAGAAACTCGTCGTCTTCATGCACGGGTGCCTCAACGACATCTGGCGTGGCCACGAGCAGGTCCTGCGTCAAGTGCTTGGAGTCTGCAAACGCCTGATCCCACCACTCCTCGCTGCACGCACAGCCCACACGGGGTCAACATGCCCCGCCTTGACACCCAGATGCTGGTGTCGTCTTGCACTGGGCGTTGTTATTTCCAGTCACTCACACTGTTACTTGCGAAGTCACACTCCTCAGGCATGCATCATCGCAGAGCAGGCAGAAATCACAAGGTCCTCTTGAAAAACAGGGCACTATTTTGTACACCAGTTTCTTCGCTATTTGCTGAAAACAGTGTTGCTGTGGGTCCACACGGTAGACGGCTGGAGGAGACTGTGGTAAAGACATTCACAACGCACTCACAAGCATAATAGTAATGCTCAGTCCTTCGCAAAAGGCAACACGCATGCGCGCACCTGACGCCTTTCTGCAGCATGCCGGTCATGCCGTCACCCTTGAATTCCTGGTCCCCAAACGCGCGCGACACCGCGATGACGTCGCACACGCGCCCGTCCGCGATCCAGCCGCCGGCCGCCGTGACGCGTGCCACCTCAGCCTCCACCACGGGGCCGCCCCCCGACACCCGGTGCTCCATCGTCAGATCCACCGCCTGCGCCCTGCACCAGCAGGGGGTGCACAATTTAATAAACTCAGGGATTTCAAGGTACTTCAGGGCTGTGTTGTGCATAATCCCCTGGGCCGTAAGGTGCCAGGCTGACCTGTGTTCCTCTGGTCATTACGTTGTACATGGAGGATTGCAGAGTGCTAGGAAAGTATACGGTATCATCTAGTACGCCCTGGCGACTGCATTTGGCGTGTCCCTATGACAGGACGATGTCTGCTTTGAACAACAGAACAGGTAATCATCCCGTACTGTGCCCTTCTTTCAGCCTGTCAAGGCGCCTGCAGGCGCCTCAGTCCCCAGAGCAGCCCTGGCACAGAATCGCTAGTAGAGCCTGGACCTGGCATGTGATGCCAGGTGCGGCTGGCCCCAATGGTGCAGAGAAAGTCAAAAAACCCATATTGATGGTCTACACAGTCGGGGAGTTCCAACAGAAGTCTCACCGCCGGGACAGCACTGCTCGCGAGTCGCCCACATTTGCAACCACCAGCTTGTCTTTCCTCGCCAGCACGACAGTGGCGGTTGCCCCAGAATTCCTCTCGTCCTCATCTTCATGGCCTGGGCATGCCACAGTATGTCTTGAAACTCAACCAATCAGCGACCTTCATCACAACAATTTCGCAGGTCCTCATGCACAAATCCACAATATTATTCAATGCATCACTTGCTCATTGAGCAGGCTGTGAAGATGCACAGCCCAACTGAAACTGCCCAGGCTGAGGCAAGGCGTACTGCGAAGCCATTGCAAGAGCTCCTCGTCTGTCCGCTTGAAACTGTCGGCAAGCACTGAACGCAATTCCACAGGGCAACACATGCCACTCACGTCCCGGTCTGCATGCCACATGACACATCTCCAGAGGATAATAATTCAGCTCTCGTCCAACTTCTGCTGAGAGATCACTGGTGGTACTGCATCAGGCCCCAGTGATGTGCATACCTGATACAGAGCACTCCTGGCCATATGTGTTGTCATTGATGGCATCAGAAATCACTCCATACAGGTGATCTGTAAGGTACTCTGCTGTGCTGAAGCCGCTGTGCCCATCAAAAACAGCTGCACAAAGAGCACCTTTTTGTTCTCAGCAAAAGACTTGGTGCATGCCTACAAGCTTCTTGACAGTCCAAGCAACCATAACAAAGGTCAGAAAGTCTGCATAAGACATGCCCTTTCTGACAGGGAATTGATGCCTGTAGCGCACCTGCAAAGAGGAAGCCGCATCGGGCACGTGGAACCACATAGGCGCAGTCCTCCATAGACTCCCTGGGACCTTGCAGGGAACTGACCCCAAAGTCCAGCTGGCCAAATCTGTCGGAGTATTTCTCGTCCCAAACACTGTCATCGATTGTGGCGAAAGGCGAGTCCTGAATACCATGCACCAGAGAGAACAAATCAATAAGAACACACCTACTATAATGAAAACTGCGGTATAGAAACTGTTCTATCGAGTTTCCACAAGCGTCACGGTTCCCCACCTTTGTCTCAATCGCTTCCTTCACAGCGGCGCTCCTCGTAAAGAATGGTCGTGTACTCTGCTTTGAAGCAAAAGGGCCCTGATGGGCATGCCAACTCTGCTTCTTTTCTCTGCATCTGCACAGATTTGGACTGACACTTGAATAAACAGCCGTCTGCATAGTGCCCCCTTTGAGGCTAGTTGTCTATGAACGCCCTTCTCTGGCCTCCTGAGCTGCAGGAGGAGAGTGTGATGTTTGTAACTGCATTCAACATACGTCCTATGGAGCTGACAATTGACACCACATGGATGCAAAGAAGATACTGCAATGCCGAGACGCAATTGAGATTGTCAGAGTACGGGAATGAATGAAGTTGTTCGGGAAATCCTTTAAATCCTTGGACAACGATAGGACTTTATTATCTTCCTTCCCTTGCCTGGGTCAGCATGGACACAGAAAGCCATGATCTTTCGATCTGTCCTCGAGTCTGTCAGATCATCATCATGTACAGGCCAACCTCTCTATGAAAGGCATCAATTGCGCCAAGCATGGCCAGATTGCATCCATCTCAAGAGTGACGACCACCAGCGCATGCGATGACGGGGATGGAGCCAAATTTGGAGTCGCCACCGCAGCCTTCTAGTTGCTTGAGACAAGAAATTATTCGATTGCTGAATCTTCCTTCAAAATCGCAATTTTTTCCCTGGTCCTGAATGCTTTCTAAGAGGGGATTTGCTAAATGATCACTTGCAGAAACAAAATAGAGGAATCCGCCTAGTACATTTCTTGCCAGTCTTTCTTTGGATCCTTAATAGGAAGTAATCATGGGCGGGGGGAACGCACAAAAGTCTGCAACTTCAAGAGCTAGAAACGCGGAGAAGATGGCGAAGGCTAAGAAGGGCGGAAGTGCGTCGAGTTCCTACTCATCGTCGCTCTTGTAGTACTAATATCGTTTGCCTGCGAGGAAGAATGTAAATCGTATGTAATACTGCATGATGTGCGTTATCTTTCAATCTGAAGGTTGCACAGTTTTCTCAGTGGAGGTTGTGTGACTGCTGTGCAGCAAGTCAGCTGAAGCAGAATTCGGCAGCCCAAAGCTACCTTGTGAGTTCCTCACATCCTTCCAGAAGCTTCTTATGCATTCCTCAGTGTGCCAAGATGCTTGCACCCGTGTATTGCGCTCTTTACCAGAAACCGTTGTTTCTTGGAGTTGCTGGAACAGCCTGAAACAGGACTCTCACCTGAACCTGTTTTCGTTTTGCAACAGTGCAGCATCTGCCGCACAGCATTTGTCTGCACCATGAGCAAGGCAGCCTTGGAGCAGCACGTCGCGGGGAAGCATGAGAAGTCCACCTTTCAAGTGCGCGCTCGTGAAGACCTCAAGTCCTGTCTGTGCTCGCTGGCCCAGCATGCTGGCTTGTTTGGTGGTTTGGCTGCAAGCAGGGTTCTCTTTCCTCTGCTCTATCAATGAGGCTGGAGTTATGGCTTCACCACATAATGCAGGGTGCACTCGATAGCCCAGATCTGATGCGAGCTTACAACCATGTGCCATTGCAGGCGTGTTTTCCTGACTACAAAAATTAGATGCCGTATTATGGTCAGCATGTCTACTGCCACGTCTGGAGGCGTGATGAATGGGCGGGCATGCGCATCTACATGGTCAGGCTTGGAAGCAGCTAGATAGAAAGCCACTGGCATAGCGCTACGCTAGCTAGGTCATGTTCTGCAGATTATATCAGATATGTACCAGCGGCTGGCCCTTTACAAATGCAGACATGTCTGGTATCTTCAGCAAATAAAGAGAGGAATGTAGCGAAGGGTGCCATAGCCTACTCTGCAGATATTCGTTAGTGGGTTCGTGGTTCTGACGGCATGGAATCATATGACTTCCGCTTCCTTACACAGGAAGCACAAAACATGTGTGATTTTGTGGAAAGACTGTGCAGGCGTGAAGAGTGCCCAAGTACCTGTACGCACGAGTGCTTTTGTGAGTCATGTCTCGAGATCCTGAAAGCTTTCAATATATATAAGAGATCTTGATTTTACACATCTTAGCTTCAGGGCGGGCATCTCTTAGTACTAGTCTGACGATTTTCTCGAAGCCTCCACACACAGGCATGCACATGTACACCTCTATCCTTAATACTGAGAAAAGTGGCAACTGCATTCCAACATGGTATTCACAAAGAGAACGGGCTTGTCTTGATCACCAAATGAAAGAGTCTTATCAGTGGATTGCCCAGAATCAGACATCTCACAGAGTACTCCCGCCATAAGAAACTAGGACGTCAAGTGACTCCTCAAAATGATACTTCACAAAATAGTTCAGAATGCTTTCATAGTCTAGGCAGCATTTGCATTGTGCTAGCTTCAATTTCGACAGAGACCAGAATGCCTGGACAAAGTTGCACAAATCGTCCAAGCCAGCAATGCACAGCATAGCGCGATGCTTTAGAAAACCTGCAGCAAGCCAAAGTGCACAGAGGCAGTGCTGAGAGTAGGTGTTATGGCAACGACAGCAGAAACCCATCCGGATAAAGCAACCATCTGGTGTTGAAGGGCACAGCAAGAAATCCCCGCAGAAGCAATGGGAACACAAAATGGAAATTGTTCTGTTTCTGATGCGACTCCATTCAATCAGTTGTCCTGTTGCTCTTCCATATTCGCACCTCGGACTCTCCAAGTGACACTTGGCCCATCCAATCAGCGAGCAGCCCACGACAGATACCTACTCGTGGCTCCAGACGCACACATGCCTCGTGCAATGTCCAGCTGGCAGGCATCCCTTGGGTCAGACCAAGCTGCCAGGGCAACAAGGGCAGAGGTAACGCGTGGCCGGTCTTTATTACCCCATGAACAAGGGGGCGCAAGGGGGCGTCAATCAAAGTGGAAGTCGTGGATGGAGATGTGCGGTGGCAGGTGTTCAAAGGGGTCATCCCCAAAGCGCATCGGCTTGGCCTTGCCAGTGCCCTGGGTCTCCCGGCGCGCCTGCAGAGCCTCCTGCCACTCCCTCAGCCGCTCCATGCTCATCCTCTCTGCATTCTCCTGCTCCGCCTGCTCCATCTCCACCGCTACCCGCGCCGCAGCCTGCTGACACATCAAGAGTGATCAAGAGTGTTGAAATCAACAGCAACTCTCAGCCGGATTGTAGTAAAGCACCGCGATCTGCCCTCCCTGACCAATCAGCTTGGTTTTGCCTTGCTGACTGGAGGTTCAGCGCACAGGGATTAGTCATGCAGATCCACAAATGAGTCTCTGCCTGAAAGCAGTTCATCTGGCAGTGTCTTTGATGATGCATGGGCACGGGACGGTCACCATCTGCACGAACAGACAGCAAGCTGATGCAGTTCTTTGGTCAGAGTGCTTGAGTCAGGCAAGCACCTTTTTGTGCTGGGCCTCGCGGGTCTTCATGGCGAGCTTGTAGGCCTGGCTGCTGAGGGCGGAATCCCGGTAGGCAAAGGTGAACAGGAGGAAGAGGGCGCCAAAGAAAAGCGCGAAGCCGAGCGCGCGCTTGAGCATTCGGCGCATGCGCTTGGGGATCACAGGCGTGCGCTTGCTGCGCAGCTGCTGCTCCACCTGCTTCCGACCCAACGCCGCCTTCGCCTCTGCAGCACGGACAAAGCCAGCGCGTCAGGGAAGGCACACCCTGTTTCGGCTCAATCCAGGCAGAAAGACACTGGACAGGCTCCCTGTAAAGTTTCCATCAAGCTACTGGTGAAATGTGCTCTGGCAACCTGCAGAAAATTGCCCCAAGGAGGAGATTGCCTCATGCCTGCGAGGTTCTCCCATGTCGCACGCCTCTGAGGAGAGCATGCAACAAAACGACAGGGAGACACTAAGCACAATAAAATTGTACACAATTGAATTGCTGTACTTCATATCCCCCGGCAAGCGAGGGTGCCAGGAGGAAACGCACTGGTCTTGGGGTCTGCAAGGGCCAGCTCGCGCTCCGCGGCCAACTTCTTGGCTTTGCGCCGTTTCGGCGTGGCGCCGTCGGAGTCGGCCGCCGCTGCAGCGCCGCTGGCTGCGGCAACTGCCAGCTGTGCGCGCTCGCCAGGAGTTGCCGCGCTGACCGGCTCGCTCCATGCGCTGTGCCCCGCGCCATCCACACCCACACTCCGTGCCCGGACCTGCACACCGCCTATTTCTCACACTCCCGAGATAGCGTGTTGTTGCGCCCATCAGCAAGGAGCAACCCCATACCACCGGTCGAGGAGCAAACAAGAACAGGGCGGCAAGGAGCTTTCGACAGAAGTGTGGCTGCTTGTTGTGACACAGTGGGCTGCACAGGGATTGTCCGGACAGTAAATGGGATAGGGCCATGCCTGGTAGAGCGTGCCGGGATTCAGGCCAGTCAAGGTGCACTCAGCTGCCTTGCCGGGCGCGGTTTGCCTGCTGCTGTGGCCGCTGTCCTCGCATGCCTCCACCTCGTGGCTGACCGCGTCCGCATGCGTGCCACACCGCTCCTCAAGCTCCCACCGCACCACAAACCCAAGCGGCCTGCATCTCATCAAGCCACATTGGCAGAAGGGTCACACAGTCACAGAGTGAGGCGGATCCAGTCTGCGTGCACATGACGAGTAATCTCTTTCAGGCGCTCCTTGTGTGGCGACAGAAGTGCAGGTATTGTGTTTCTGTCTGCTTAGCTGAAATCTGCGTTGCACTCATTAGTGCTGACCGAGCCGCGTAGGCACTCCTCATAATTCGCCAGCAGGACAGGGCACGAAGAGCAGCAGAACACAAGCAGGTTGCGCACTCAAGGGTGGGCTGCAGGTGGAGGTTGCGCGGCGGCTGCGGCGGCTGCAGCAGGGTGCGCGCGGCAGTGGGCCGGCTGAATTGTCCTTCGCCGACGGCGCTGCTGGCAGCCACGCGGAAGCTGTACTGCCTGCCTGCCGCCAGGTCCCCCACCCTGGCCACCGTGCCGGTCCCCCTCCAGGCCTCCACCCACTCCCCATCCTCCTCCGCCATCTCCAGCCTGCACCCGCCATGCTGCCGCTTAGCACACAGCAATAAGTCTATTGTAAAGTTACTGAAGCTTGATGAGGCTTGATACCGTGAGAGTAAGCATTACTGCGTCACGCAGCACGTCGATGATGCATTCCATACATTGCTATATCTGTGAGCGACTTGGCACGTAGTAATTAAGGTGTCAGGATCCATTTCTTTTGGGGCATTGCAGGGGGGCAGAGGGGGGAACCTGTAGTGCAGCACAGCGGCGCCGTTGTCTTCCGCAGGGGCGTCCCAGCGGCAGCGCAGCCAGGAGGCAGTGCGCTGGCTAACTACGGGCGCAGAGGGCGCGGCGGGCGGCGCCGGCAGTGTCTCGGCAGAGACGGGTGTGCTCCAGGGGCCCTGCCCCCGGCTGTTGCATGCCCTCACCCGCACCACATACTCCCGCCCTGGCCGCAGTCCTTCCACCTGTAAGCAATTGAAAAACCCATTCAATTTTGGGTGTCCTAGAACAACATTCAATTTTGGCAAATATTCCGAGGAACATGAAGACTGAAAGGACAGAGGCCAGCAAAGCTCAGCTGAGCCGGGATTGCAAACTGCAGCCGTGCTATCTCGAACGTCCTGCATTTGGTATCAACCAAAGACAGGGGGTCAGGAGGGCTTGCCTCGCAGGAGAGGCCCATGCCGCTCCAGGCTCGCTGCCAGGAGAGCGCAGATCGCATGCGCTGCGCGGCTGGGCTGCAGTCTACCTGGTAGCAGGTGATGGGCGCGCCATAATCCTGCTCAGGCTCGCTCCAGCCGGCCACTATGCTCGAGCAAGACGACCCTGCAAAGAGGCATTTGTGAAGTTGAGCGTCATTGGAAAAAGCAAGATAATTATGGCGAAGCTAGGCAGAGAGTGTACTAGTTACTCAAACAACTTAATTTGCTCATTGTCTTCCTGCCATGAAGCATAGGTTCTTTGGGCACGATGGTCCAGAGGGAGATTCCTTACCGTCAGCTGTGACTGATAAGGGGCCGGTGGGAGGCCCCGAAGCCGTCCGCAGAGTGACCGGGGGGCTCCAGCCGCTGCGGCCAGCGCTGTTCGACGCCCGTAGTCTGAACGCGTACTCTGTGAAGGGATCCAAACCTGCACTTGTACATGAGCTTGATCACGCACAGCAATTGATTATCAAGTGAACTTTCAACCCTTCCATCCCTTGTTGAGTCGTGCATCTTGAATATTGTAAACATCCAACAGGTGGTTGCCTGTCGGTGTGAGGGCACGTACATGGACAAAGGGGGACGGACAGAGAAGCGGCGCACCCTCGACTCTGTAGGAGGTTTCAGGCCCCGAGTAGACTGCGGAGTAGGGGTTGCTGCGACGGCCGCCGCGCTGCCTGGGCGGGCGGGGGGCCTGGTCGGACGTGGAGGCGACGTCCTCGCCATCGGCGGATGACGCTGCCGAGGAGGCCGCGTAGCCGGCAGCCGCCGGCCCGCCGCTCCCTGCGCTCACGCAGTCCTGGTCCCCAGCGCTCTCCTGCACACCAGCACTAGACTTTGTTTTTGGCCGCCACAGCATTGTCTTTTGGCTAAATGCCTCGGCACGGACAACCCAGCTACCAAAGACTTAAAGGCTTGACAGGGGGCCAACATTCCTCCACATTTGATGTCTGTGGCTCAGGCTGACTGAGTCCTTGCTAGCGCCATGCACGAGCAGGGAGGGAGGCTGTGCAAAAATTCTGGCGAATGGCTCCAGGCAGCGGGTAGACGGCCAATACATTGTTAGGCAGGCACTTGCTGCTTGCCGCGCTACGCATACTGCTGACCGCGGGCACACCTGGGTAGGGGCAGGGCCGGATGCAGGCTGCAGCGTGTCGGCGCGCGCCATGTCGAGGGTGTAGCCGGTGACAGGGGCGCCGTTGGCCCAGGGCGCGCTCCAAGCCAGCTGTAGCGCATTGGCCGCCGCCGCCTGCACACCCATGTGCGGCGGATCCGGCGCCACCGGCGGCGCAGCCTTTGTGCACAGCTTGCCTGCAGCGGAAGGCCAACACCAACGATTATGCAACGCTCTCTGTATTTGATTTCATGCCACGCACAACATAGAAGACATCACACTCTGCCAGCCCATGCATGCAGACTATCCTAACCTTCCAGACAGGTGAAAAAAATTTCTGATATGGCTTTGTCCTCACTGCGTGATATGAAGTTCAGAGCATGTACTGAAGGAACATGACACGATAATGCATAGGCAACATACCCACAGCAGAAGGCAGAGATGAGCCCTCCCCATTGGTGGCAAACACGCGGAGGAGGTACTCATTGCCGGGGTCGAGCGAGTCGATCTCTGCGCTTCGCCCAAGGCCCCCATCCTCCAGGGGCACACTCGAGAACCGCTGCTCCCCGTTTCGCTTTCCCTTGCTCGCACCCGAGTCCCAGACATCCGTCGGGCCGACTGCGCACCACAGCGCAACTTAGCTGGCGCTAACTTCCCATGCTGCCACTTACATGCCCACAAGGTGTTGTCTCGGAATTCATTGCATCCGTATGTAGTTCTCTGGCCTTGATGATCAGATGACCTCTAGTTGGAATTGCCCTCTACAGCATGCAGATACATGCAGATACATATGTCCACATTGCACGTACACGCCAGGCAGCACAGAAGTCTTATAGGCTATGCAGCTGATAGGAACACACAAGTATGTGTGGAGGTGCAGGCCATGCACGGACCTCTGCAAAGCTCCAGCCTGTAGGAGGTGATGCGAGAGCCGCCGTCGTAGTCAGGGGCGTCCCAGGTGACTGACAGGGCATCGGACGAGGCTGACTCAGCGTGCGGCGCCGGCGGCGGCTCCGGGATGTCCGCCGAGGTGCGCACATCTGCCGGCAGCGAGTACGGGCCGAAGCCCTCTCCGTTTTTCGCGCGCACCCGCACCCTGTATAAGCAGCCCGCGCGCAAATTCCCCACCTGGCACGTCTTTGCGCTCCCCTGCAACAGCACAGCCCCCACCATTGACCCATAACTTCACTACTGTTATGGCTTGGACCGGCCGGCGGCTACGGCCACCCTTCATGCCCAAACATCACCCACACAAACACTAGGATGGTGCGCTGTTGAAGGTTTCCAAATATGTCAAATGATTGCCATCGCCCTCCAGGAGAGCACTATACAGGGTTCTCACCACAGGAGAGGCAAGCTGGAAGCACCCACCTGGTACACAATACTCCACTCGTCTTCCATGCCGCCCTCGATGGCCGCCCTGCACTTGGGCTGCAGCTCTGCCTCGTAGCTCTCGATGGGGCTCCCGCCGTCGTCCTCTGGTTCTTCCCAGCAGAGGCTCGCGGACGTGCGGTTGTTGCCCATGACTGTGGGCACCCCGGGAGCACGCGCCGTGGTGCTGGTTGTCTTTATGCACGCGACCGCGCTCGGCAGACTCTTTCCCGCCTGGTGTGAGACCCCACAGAGGCGTGTCATGAGAACCCTTCACTGTACAAGTGTTGCATTGTCATGATATGCTTCCATCTATGCGGGCCAGCAAAGGCCTCAACGCACGCCTTGAAGGTTGTTTTTGTCGTCCGCCGTTGTTATGAGATACTGACATCTGCTTCGTCCTCATGCAGATGGCGGGCCAGCAAGATCTACAGCAGATGCCTGGTTACTTCAGAGATTGGTGGCTGAAAATAGCTGCTCTGGGAACATAGCCCTGGAGCAGGCAGAGACCGCACCTCATTGTGTGCTTCCACCCTGAAACGGTATGCGGTTGCGCTGCGCAGTCCAGACACCTCCACAAGCTGCATGGGCCCTCGGTATGCCACTTGCCACTCCCCCTCGTCCCTGCTCACATGACAATTACCCCTCACCTGACCGCCCCCTTTATGAGCTCCATCATACACCATGAGTGAGCAACCTCAATAAGAGATATTGCACTGTAATTGCCCTGCCAGCACCCACCAAGATCTTGCATGCTAAAGCTCGATTATCAGCATCAACTATAAAGGATTGCATGAAGTGCAGCAGCACTCACCCATTGTCACGTTCCAGAAGGTACTGTTCGATCTCGGATCCATTGTGGCTGGGGGCAGGCCAGTGCAGCGTGACTAAAGTGGGCCCTGCAGACAGCAGATTTGGCGCATCGGGTTGATCTGGCACCGTTGCCTTTGTCCTGATCCTTGCCTCCTCGCTCCAGTCCGAGTCCCCCTCACTGTTGATTGCCTGCACCCCGAGCACCTTGCTTTTGCATCTCCTCCAAACCACAATTGGGACTCTGCTTTGTACCTGTGCTTTAGTAAGTAACAAAGCACTCAAGCTATTTTGAAGCTTGAAAAGATTACTGTTTGATGGATGGTCCTTCAGATTCGCCTTAAGGGTCCGCACGGTGAGCGCAGGGAGAGCAGTCAGAGCACAGCCCGCTACCACAGCAGGCCAAGGGCCTGGGGCAACAGGTGAGCAACAGCTGCCTGCCCTGCTGCTAAGTCTACTAAAGCTCTCATCATAAGGACCATGTACAGCTCCTAAAGACGTCTTTTGCCATCTGGAAAGCTTGCCACGTCCAGTGACAAGGCATCACACCCAGCAACAGCTTATTGCCAGGGCAGATCAGGGAGTAAGGCAGTCCTAGGACACCTTTCTAGATGAGAAAACGGATCACACCTTCACGCGGAAGGTGTACTCTGTGGCTGGCTGCAACTGTGGGAATCGCTGCTTCATCTCTTTCCCTTTGTAGACTTCCACAAATGCCTGCTTTGACAAGTTGGGCTGTATCTCAGTCTGGCAGTCTTCCCGACGACACGACTGGCGAAACATGCACACATAACTCTCTGCATGCATGCAGGAGGTAAGAAGCCAGACGCTGTCACCTCTGGCTGTGCAGCTGACGGCCTCATCTGCACTTGGAACTCTGTGATATCTCGGCCCCCAGTCTCTTTAGGCTCAATCCACTTCACCTGCATGGAGCATCAGCACTCCATATTTGACATAGACCTGATTGAGGAACATGCTGAACACTCATCATCTCTATTTTAGAATTTCCAGAGGCATGCATGGGACAGTGAAGTACCATCAGTGCAGTGCGTTCTTTTCTGGTGGGCTCTGGCGGTGGAGGAAGTGCGGGCACTGTGGGCACTGTCTCAAATACCACCACAGTCGAAGGGGGCTGTGCTGGCGGCTGCCCATATGGTGGCACCACCACAGCGTGCACCACGACTCGAAAAGCATACTTCCGCCCTGGCCGGAGGTCGCGCACCTGCGCAAGGGCCCCTCGTTGATCTCCCCACCACCAACGCAGTGACATCCTGGAGTGCTTATGATCGCCCTTACTGGGGCTACCGTTCTCATTTGGATCGTGCATTCGGACCATTGACCATATGTGAAACCCAATGCGGCAGGTGAGACGAGCACCTGGGTGACAATATCCTTGCCACGGTAGCAGATCTGCCAGGGTGCTTGACTTGCACCAGACGGCCCTGCCCCGCTTGACTCCTGCAACAAATGCAAATCCCAGCCTTCAATGCATTTACTGTGACTTTCGCGCACAGAAATTCCAGCTTCTGGAGTGGCTACTTGCACATCAACTCTTCATCAATAGGCACCATTTAGCATTCGTCCGGCTCACCAGGCGCGTCTCGAGGCAGTACTCCACGCCGCATTTTGGAAGATCTGTGCCGCTGGAAGGAACCCCAGGCAATCCAGGTGGCATCTCAGAGGACAGCTGGCGCACTGGGTCCCATTGGAGCTGCATAGAGGTGGTGTCCACAGCGATCGTGATTGGCGGATTGGCTGCCTCGAAGATCGGTATTGGTGGTGGAATTTCCTGTTGCTCTTCATCAGGATCGGCTGGGGCAGATCCATTTGCTTTTGGCTTCTCTCCTTTACCATCAATATGCCTGGCCACCTCAGCAGCCCTCGCCGAAGGAGGAACAGAGCTGTGGGACACTGCCGTCACGTCGTGTCTAATCCTTCCATCTTTTTTGTTCAGAAAACCCGCTTTCATCGCAGGCCCGGGCCTTGCCCTTCTGGTTCCACTTTGGGGAATCACGGCAACCCCTCCCCCTCCCTGCGAATTCATCTGGGATGCAAAGCGATCTGATCGTGAATCAACCTGGACCCTTCAGCATGCCGAAGATTTCTTTGTCGCGCTGAGATCGCCGATCTTGAAGTGCTCGCGAAGTGAGACCACCTCGAGAGCCAATTCCCGCTCAACGTATACGCGCGCCAATTGGTGTCCACCTCGGCATTTAATCGCCACTCCATCCCTTCCTTCTTCCCGACATGAACATCGAAATTGATCAATTCAAGAAGCAGGGGTTGCGAGGACAAACATTATCTTGGTAAGTTGATTAAGTCTTTTATATTGGATATACTGCGCAAGCTGCACCTAGCTAGGTGGTACCTAAAGTGGTGCAGCTTTAGACTATTTTTTGGAAGGTGAGCAGGGACAGCGACAAATTGTTGGCATTTTGGGGCTTGAAGAATTGCAAAAGTATATGCAGCAGCATCGGCACACAGGCTTGGGCCCTGTCTGCTCCATAGATGGCAAAACTTTGCATCTCACAAGGTGCGGACGAATGATGGGTGGCCTGAGCAATTTCTTTTGATACAGGATGGACAAGTATTGCATGGCAGTCTTTGCCATATAAAGGACGTCAAGATTGAATTCTTGCTGCAATCACCAGGTCGTCCTTCAGGCCACTGTTGAACTTTCCTCTGCAACGGCAGAGGTCCAGCAATCGACCAGCATATTTCAGTGTACATGCATTTCGAAATGATGTGAAGCCGGCGTACAACAAGTACAGGTGAGTTCCCATTTTCCTGGAGACCTTGGCCACCTGGACCCCTAGTAAAGCGCACACCACATAATATTGTGTGTTGCGTCCAATTATCAGGAGCCGGAGCGATGTGGAGAAGGATTACATAAAGCAGTGGAAGATTACAACGGCTAGGGATGGCAGCATCAAGCCTCGCACCTTCTGGTCCACCATATTCTTCGTGCCGCTGTGGTTCAAATATGAGGTTGTGCCAGAGATCGTGCGATATGCCTGGTTCATCGTGTGGTCCGCTGCCAAGGCTCTGCACTACAAGTACCACAAGTGGGCCGTGCTGCAAGGTACACCCGGCTCTTGAGGCATTGCAGATGCTTTGCATCATATTGATCATTAACCTGCTTTAGGGATCATCCCTATCGCCCCATCCGCACAAATCTGAGGATGCATGAGTCATTGGCAGAGCATCCCTTGCACAAGATGGCTGCACGAGAGGCAGTACTTCAGGCGCCTGTTTGGGGCAGGACTAGGCTTCATCCTCCAGAGTGTGGTTGAATTTTTGCACAGCCATGGGATCTTGATAAGGAAGAATCTGGTATGTGTTCAGGTGCAAAGCTAGATTTGGAGCTGGCCCGGAAGGGCAATGTGCCCATGCAGACCTTTTCACGCCGTTTGGTCCTTGAGCGATTCCACAAGAAAGTGGGCTTTAGGGAAAATATAAGCATGAGATATGGACTGCTGAAGGTGTGCTTCTTCCGCCAATGCTACCCTTCAAGGTTGACTTTTCTTTATCAGATTGATGACGTCGTCTTTGGGCTCACCTTACTAAGTATATATGCATGTGGCATGCAGGGACGGCAATATACTGAGAGGCCTACATCGCGGCAAATACAGATGGCGTGACATCATGCAGTACCTCAGCCTGAAGTACTGCACCCCTGAGGGGTGTGGCATCACTAAAAAATATGGTCAGAAAAGGCAGCTTGGGAGCTGTAGCTAATTGTGTTGGAGAGTTGTCTCGGTTACAGACTCGCGCTTTTGCAGTCATGTCCTGTAACAAATATTCTTGTCCATGAGCTCTCATAGCCAGGGCCCAAGAGCAGCCCTGTTTGAAAAAAAGGCTGGACCTCCAAACATTTTGGATAGCATGTTACTAACTAGTACTAGTAGTGGGTCTAGAAACAAGGCAGTGTGCACAGTTCGCACAGACAGTTTTGTCAACTGCACTCAAATGAATGTCACATAAAAATGAATGTCACATAAAAGCATGGCAGTACACAGATGTGGCACTAGATAACAGAACCTCCAGCTGGGAGGTGCAATCCAGTCATGACTTGTCCACTCACGGTGCCATCCACTCATAATCATTGGTCAATGCACAGCTTGTGCTGACTGCAGAACGCCGCCGGCAGCTGAGCATTGTTATGATGAGTCATTCACATGTAAGTATTCACCTATGCACAGCTTTTCAATGCTCAACCTTGTCCAGTGCAGTTTGGCCTCCACATGGGCAACAACATATATGTATATACTGATCTGCCGCAAGCCACCGCTCTTTGCTACCTAGTGTCACTACACGTCTCACTGTCACCACTCAAAGCTACCTAGAGTCCTGCTTGCTTCTTTTGGAGCATCCTGAGTATCACTGGCTTGGCATTGGCAGCAGATGATAACTCAGACATTGTGCTAGTCAATTTGGCACTTGCATGCGGATGCAGCGAGTCAATAAAATAAGTCGAAAACTTGCCGCTAGTGATACATCAACATTTTCACAAACCACTATGACTCCCAATCTGCACTCAGTAGAATAAGTTCTAACCCGACACACTTCAATTAGAATTGCAGTGGCTTGTAAGCACAAGCTGTGGCATTGTTCGCGCTGCCCTGGAGACACCTCAGCTGCAGCATGGTCAGCACAGCTGACGAGGACGTCCCTATGGCAAACCTGTAGGAGACAGAGAAATTTGCTGGCGGGGGATTGGCCACAGTCTCCCACCCACTGCCGCTCTTTGCGCGCTGCACTGGCTGGTACAGGTAGTCTGAGTTGGCCCTCACAAGCACGTATGGCACCTCTGCATTGCCTGCGCCGCACTTGCCATCTGTCAGTGCCAGCCCCCTGATGTACTGCAGCACTGTGCAAGTAAGTGGCCTATCAATCCTTCCTGTTGCAAGCAGCAAATTTTCCCCAAAGCTTGCTCATGGCAATGTTCTCAGCTCATCCTGTCACAAGTGCTGTCCTTTATTTTGAGTGGGTCAAAAAGGTCGCACATGCTTCAGGTCAAGGGGTGCCTGGGCAGCGCGCTGTGCTTGCCTGAGATCTGGTTGTGAATGTTGATGGCGGGCGCAACTCCTATGGCCTCCATGGCAGACACAGCAATGACATCATACTGCGTCAGCGACTTGCCCGTGGCCAGATTCAAAGTCTGGGCAGTGTAATTTCGTGCCACCTGTCAAGCACATGCACCACTCATCAGCTTGCTGCTCAGACAAGACAGCAGCCTTGAGGTGGGAGATTCAACAATACACAAAGTGGCTGTTTGGAGCTGTCCCTTACCATATCCCAGGGCACTCCACTGTAGAAGAACTGCGCATCAATCTCAGCTGCAACATTGTAGTCCCAGACTCTCGGGCCCATCCACTTTGGCAGGATGTACTGATGCCCCGTTCCTGAGACAACGATATAGTTATAAAACCCAAATGAATTGAGACTGTGCCCATGGAAAATCTAGCATGAGCTGTAAGGAGGCAATCAATTAGCTGAATCCCGCTGATACATGCTTGTTGTGTAGATCCGAATAAGGACGGTACCCACCGTTGGACATGGCAGCAAAGTATGCCGACTCATATGGAGCGATCCTCTCCTCGAAATCTGCGGAGAGCGAGGCAACGTTGGCAGCAAAGAGAGGGGTTTTGGTGGCAGAGATCAGCTCATTCGCCAGGTCAAGCGCAGCCTTGCTGCTTTTTGTGAACACGCAGTCCCCATACAGCCTCCTGCACATGCAGCCAATCAGACTCTTCTCAGGCGTGACACGATCTGCTCCCCGCGCGGTAGAAGGAGCGTTCTAGCAAGCAAGATTCTGCTGACATACAGTACATGAGACTTACGCTTCCTGGGGCCCAAAGAATTCCTCTGGATAGGAGCAGAGATTTGGTGCTCCCTTGCACTGCCCACTGTAGTCTGCAAGCTTGCAGGCCCAGTTGACAGCGTAGGGCGTCACAGCGATGTCCCCAATCCTTGCCAGGTCCCTCGGCAAATTGGCCTCTCCACACGAGCCAGGCGCATTAAGAACTCCGCCCAGCTGCTTGCCACAGATGCCCAAACATAAAAGACAACATTGGTCCCAACATCCAACACCGGACATCGGATACCTTTCTGTCACCTTTCAGCATCAGGATGCTCTTGTATGACAACCTTAAGGGCACTTGGGGGTGAGACGGACCTGGGAGCTCCAGCCTGATGTTCCCACATAGATGAAGTCCTTGATGAGTGAGGAGCATTGAAGCATCTCCATGGTGCACATTGCTGCTGCCACCGGGCCTATGCCTGGTCACATCGCAATGATCTGCTCTCAGGTGCACTGCGGAGGATGCAATGGCAGCATTCAGGAATCCTTGCCGCCAAACTAAAAATTGGTGGTGAGGAAGCAAACTATGATGAAGTGTAGCAGCTCACCAGAAGTGGCAACCACCACTGGCTGGTTCAGAATGGTGCCAGTCAGCAAGTCGCTGCAGCTAGTGATGTTGGCCGGAACCTCGTTCTTGTTCTGTACTGCTCCCACGTAGAAAGAAGACTCCGGTGTGCCAGTAAATGTTCCCGGATCTGCAAATTGTGAAATGCACTCGGGTCAATACTAAAATGGCTTATTTGTGCCTCAAACCCTGAAAATGAAGGAATGAGATTCCCAGGCAACTTCATCACCTGCCACCATGATGAAGGTGACTTTTTGCGATGATCCAAAGCGCTGAGTGCATCTCAAAGCGTCCTGGCCAGGCTGCCACACCGCCTGCGTTCACAGCCGGTGTTCATGCCAAGAGGATTGGCGCAGGTACTAGGTCCTTGTACAGATCGAGACTTACCTTGATAGAGCTCGCGTCATCTGCAGACAATGTGAGAGCCTCTTCCACGCGCAAGACTATCGCAAAGATCAAGCCCGCCCTCAACACTGCTCTCTGAAACGAGAGCATTTTAATCCCGTTGCGGACGCTATGGTGTCAACAGCACATCGCACGCCTCGTGTGAAACAATTAGTGTGTCAGAGATCAACAATAAAGAAAATCTATTTAAAGCCTCAAGACGAGTTTTGAGAGGCTTTATCGCGGAATAAAACAATTCATCAGCTCCATCACATCTATCCAGCTTCCCAGCTGAAGGAAGCTGCTGACTGCAGGGAAGCTATGACCTGCAACATGGGGCCAAATTTAAGAACGTGATTCAATCACCATGCTCTCCTGCCAATCTAAAAAGGCTCTACTGCTGTTGATGCTGCGCCTTGAGGCCAAGGGATTCACCCTAGATTTCAAGTTGCATGTTGCTGCTGGTGCGGCGGCGCCGGCGGCCGGCACCAACTCCGAGTCGGTTTGAAACTCCCGAAGCCAGCCGATCGCGCCGGCCAGCCGGCCGCGGCATGCCTGATACATCATCGAGCGCGGTGCTAACATATGACATCATAGGCGGTGCCAGGCATCCTATGGGATCACATGCCTGCTATTACCCAATTGTTGCCAGGCATTGGAGGCATGCATCATGATGCATGCATATAAAGTCAGTGGTTGCAATCTGCAATCATTGGTGGAGGCATGCATGCAACATGATGATGCCTGTGCATGCTGCGCAGCCTGCGAACTATAGAGCTAGCACTGCAGCCCGGGATGGCGCAGGCCCATATATGGCGCGCAGTGCATGCAGCTGCCATAGTGATTTCCATAGCAATTACGAATTTTACAACCATTTGCATACGAAAAGTAAGGACAGTAATGCTCTTTCAAGTACACATTATGCACCTGCATGTGGCAAATTAGATGTCCAAGGGTGCACCTACCAGTCTGAGACCCCGGGTCTCAATCAAGATCAGTATCGAGACAGAGCATCATGGTGATTATTTAAGTTTACTTCAATGTGATCCTCCAATTGGGAGGTCTCCCGGGGTCTCTGACAGAGTGAATATTGTGCTATTGACTTCATCCTATTATCACTTCAGGTCACATCAGGAGGGCTTTTCTTTGTGCAGGGCAATTTGCTAAAAGCTGCCCTTGGTAAGTCCTGCCAGTGTAAGCTAGGCATCCAGCTTCGACTTGTTCACTCTGAAATCAGGAATTTCGGCAACTCAAGCCCTTCATGCTGACAAGGATCCCACACGATCGCAAAGTGGAAAATCTAGAAACAAAATCTGGGAGACTTTTGAGCAGCCGCGATGGGATCATCCTATCTAGAGCCTGCAGCCTGTCTAAAGCTGATCAGCGCAGCTACAAAAGACCTCCCAAACCTTGTGTATTTTGGATAAAAGACACTGGCATACTAGGGTACACTGGCAGATCCCTGGATACCTGCAAATCTATTACATTCCTGACATTCCTGGCGTTCGTGACTAGTATATTTTTCATACTTCTGCTCCAATTTGCTCGCTCTCTCAATCTCTAGGCAGGCTGCACTAGCTTGCACTCTGGAAATTTCTGCTCGGGTGGAATCTTCCAAGCAAACCTCTCCTGCAAGAACTTGCGCTTTGCGTCATCGCCTGTCCGGTAATTCGCGTGGATAACGGCAGGCAGCACAGCCCCGGGGTTCTGTGCTTGACTGCGGCTAAAATCTACTTTGACCTGGTCCAGAAGGGCTCCTGAGGGGAACAGCTGCCAGGGCATGATGTACCAGAACACCTTCTTCTTGAGCTCACCAGACGCCCACATCTCCTGCAGAGTCCTCTGGTCATCCACTGTGCTGTCGATGCACTTCTGGTGCCAGTCTCGCAGCGCCTGCCGGGCCGGCACCGTCGGCGTCCAGAAAGTCATGCAGCCACATATCTTGTTCTCCTCTTCCTCGTCGTGCCCAAAGCGGAAGCGATCTCCCGTGCCCACGAAATCAAACCCCCTTGGGATTATCTTGCTGGCATCTTGCAGCCACACTGTGTCCATGTCGGTCCACAGGAATGAGAAGCCCAAGTCCAGGACCCGCCTCTGAATGCCCAAGCGGTCGCACATCATGTTGTTGAAATCCAGGGAATCGTAGCGCATGAGCGGCTTGGGCATGTGCTTTGACCCCTTGGAGATCACTGACGGATGGACCGTGTGGCCCGGAAACTTGCTGTCAAGGTATTTGAAGGCCACATCGTCGTCCATCAGGATCAGGTAGTTTGTGATCCCCAAGCGCTCCACATGGAGGATCCAGTTCTCAGCAAAGTCCAGGTATGGGCAAGACGCCTGCGTGGAAAAGGACTGAACGCAATACAAAGGAGTTCCTTTGAAGGGATGACGCTTGCTGGGGGCTCTCGCATCGCAATAAAGGGACAAGAATTTAGGAGGAGGAAATATAGCAAAAGGACTGGCAGTCGTTGGGCCATCCGCACCTGTGTGAGGATGACCGTCTTATCGACGGCGATGCGCTCCAAAATAGGGCGCAAGGGATCACGCCCGCTGTGGGCTCTGGCGTTGCACTGAAGGATCAAGCAGGAGGCCACCAGAAATACAACAGGCAGCCACCGAGCCATCCGCACCTGGGAAACGCAGAAACCTCAGAACTTTTCTTTCACAACAAAGACAATGACAAGTGCCAGATGATGGGGAACGCTTCTTCATCCAGAATTTATCAGGATAGTGTTGACTAAGAATTGCTTCTATGGTGGGTCACGCAAGGTTGAGCAGCTTGGTTATCCGTCATGCAATCGCACAATAGAAACTTCGATTCGGATGTGACAGACAGGGATGAATTGGTCTTTGGGGATACTCACCGCCGAAAATTCTGGGTATCGGAAGTCTAGATCCTTGCTGACTCTCGGTTCGTGCACCATGGATCATCTGACATGCCGTAGCTGGTGAGAGTGCTCACTCAAGTAGAACATGGAAATTCAAGCTAGGTGTGATTCCCATTGCTGTTCGTGTGAGTTATCGAGATCAAAAGTTTGCCGGTTGATCGGTTACTTACTCCGAAAGGTGACAGAAGTGCCTATACAGGAATACTGTATTGCCGACATCCCACCATGCGCCTCCCAGGAGGCCAATGCATTGTGTTCACTTCAATGCCACCGGTGGTACCATGCTGCGACCGTGGTGACTCACTCATCATGATGGCCATGAGGTCTGCCTGAGTAAAATTGGATTCCAGAACCGCTATCGGGCCATTGCCACAGCAGAGAATCACTGATGAATCACTGATGAATGGCATTCAGTATGATACCAATCAATGAGCTGGCAGCGGCCCATAAGAAGCAGAAGCTTGAATTTCTTGATGGCATGCCCATCATTCAGATAGCCTTTCAAATTTGATAGCCTGCTCTTGTAGTTGTACAACATGTTTTTAATCCAGTCGGACTTGCTTACTTAGAACCTTGAAAGCTCACAACAATCCCAGCCGGTCCGGCGCAGTACAGGGCCAAACTAGACAATGCATTATGCGTACACTGCTTGTGCACCTAGCTGTGCGCCAGTTTTATCTGCTCGAGCCTGGAGGACTTCTGGTAGGCCGCCCTGCCAGCATGCGCTGAGCCAAGGAGGCGCCTTCTGTGGCCGCCTGCTGCAGCCAGCTGGCTCCCACTGCCATCCGCTGCTCTGCCGTGGGCTGCCGGTACAGGTACGCCGCCCTGCGCATGGCTCCTGCCAACGGCCCTTCCACTGTTACCCCCTGCCCATCCACATCGCTCCCCACCCTGTGCACACACATTCACACCGGTCAACCTTGTGCCACCTCTGCACCAGCTGGTTAACCCAGGACACTGTATCTGATGAACAGTGACAATCAGTAGATACTCATAATCGAGCAGGAATCTAGCTGCTTCTGGGCATGTTATCAATGACACCATTTCTTCAGTAGTGAACAACGTGAATTTGGGGCATGTAAATTTGAGCAGCCGTATGAGCTGCTTGGAAGCCTTGAAAATGAAAAAGATAACAGTGGTTGGGGGTGGGGAATGTGCGCGCACTTGATGCCGCTAAGGCTGAGCAGGGAGCCAATGACGCCGCCATTGAGGGCCTGGCGCAGCGGGGGAGCCAGCGGCACCGGCAACGTTACAGCACCACGCGCGCGGCCGAGCGACATCATCTCCCCCAGGTGCTGATACTTGAAAGGCAGCAGGGGGCGGCGGTTGATGGAGGCCCACAGGTTCCAGGCCACATAGTCCGCCTGCTGAAACGCCACCTGCGCTTGCACTTCCTCTGCTCAACATATTGTTGCACCACCGATTACAGACACAAGTCGGTTTTGGAGCCCCCTCTTCGGCTATCTGCTCTTCCCGATGCAGCTCCCCGCCCAATTTCAACAGCTATCCACAACAAGAGACCTCAGACAGACGCACTGAAGTACGTTGAGCATATTATGCTGGAGTTTCACAGCCCTATGCTCGAATAGTGGCAGCAGAGCATTCCCTCTCTGTTGATTTGGAAGCAGCAATCAGCAGTTCTTTGCAAGGTTGTGCAGAGGAGGGTCCAGCAGCGACGTGCCTGGGCTGTGGGTGCAAGGGTGGGCGCAGAAGTGGAGGCCTCACAGTCACAGCCGGACACATCGCCCAGGGCAAAAACCCTGGGGTGATCCACCACTCGCAGCGTCGCGTCCGTCCGCACCGCGCCCTTGTTGTTGGCCGGGAAGGGCAGCTTCAGGGCGCTTTCGCCCACCCCTTCCTTTGACACTGGCCCGCTTCCTGCTGTCCAGAGCACCAAATCCGCCTCTAATACCTGTAGCACACCACCATGACCATGTCAATCTGCCAGTCACAAGCTGCATGCCCATCATTCGGTGCAAATTACCAAACACAGCTGAAACTTCAAGCGCAGGTCTGCACCTCCACTGCGCCATTACCTTGCTTCTGGGCTCTTCCCAAATGCTCATGTAGTGCAATGCAACTTGTGAGGAACAGCCCTATTAGAGGGCATTTGGTGCTTGCCTGCGACTGTTCGCCGGGCAGCTTGAGGTGCACCACCCTTCTGCCCGAGTCTGATGAGGACGCCTCTGCTACGGGCGGCTGCTCTCCAGCTTCCACCCGGGTGACGAACGCGTTGGCAATGATGTCAATCCCCTGATCCTGCAGCGTGCGCCTGGCAGCCTCCCTCTGACCCAGCGGGCTGCTCTCCAAAATGTCCTCCCCTACAATCATACCAGAGGATTACCTTCCTCCCACATTCTCTGCAACATCAACCAAGAGAGCCTCCCAGGGTGATGCACAGAATTGGATCTAAATCTAGCCCTTTGACCTGACATTGGCTGGCTGCACATGCAACCCAGTCACCAGCCGGGAAGAACATGATTGGCAGTTCAACTGCAATGCCACAGAGAGGCTACCTCCAGTGATCAAGTGCACGCGGCCGCTGCCCTGCATCCGCTCAGCCACTGTAGTTGCAAGCTCAATGCCGCAGTATCCGCCTCCCACCACTACTACATCTGCCACGCCCGGCAGTTGTTCCAACATTCGCAGCCGTCTGTCCACCTGCAAATGAAGCCATGATGACAATTTCAGCTAGCCCAGTATCCCTCATTGGTGATGCCATGCACTGCCTGCTCTGCAAGACGGACACTACCAAACCAGTCTTGAGCTCACGCACGACTGAGCCCAGACTGGGATTTGAAGACACACGCTTACCCGCATGGCATCGCTGTAGGTGTTGAAGGGGAGGCAGAGCTCCTTGACACCCTCAATGCCGAAAAAGACAGAGTCTGATCCCAATGCCAAGACCAGCCAATCATACTCCACAGCTGAGCCGTTCTCCAGCATCACTCGCCCACCTGCGCCAGGACCCCGTGCCTTGACAGCCTGCCCTGCGCGGCCGCTGGTACAGTCATAGAGTCGACTGCAAAAGGGCAACCTTTGTGTCACAGCATCTCGCTCCGACAAAACAGAAGCAAGCTTACCTGAGCTGTCTCCCTGTGCCCCTGCACCTTCCAGCTCCACAGAACTGACGCCGCCCTGCAGCCACATCCAGCACCCTTCACAGAGGGCCCTTAAGATATCCATCCAGGACCACAAGGTTGTCAACCAGGCAATTTATGCCGTCTCCGGGGGTCCTGCAACTCAATGAAGCAGTCTGAAGAGGGACAGTAAAGACCTGGATAAAGTTGATGGAGTAGGGGGCCAGCAGCTGGCTGAAGGGAGGCGCCACCTCATCTTGAGTGGCGCCCCCATTGAGCAGCTCATATAGCAGCGGCTTGAATACAAAGCGGGAACTGCGGTCGATGAGCGTCACTTGTGGCTTGCTGCCCTGTGGCCACAGCAGGCTGTCCAGCCGCAGCGCTGTGTACAGGCCGCCAAAGCCCCCTCCCAGTATGCACACCCGGGGCCCATGCATGCTGCGCTGACCTGTACGGAACAGTGCAGTGAGTGCATGCAAAACAAGTGTGTGTACACATTATCTGCATCCCCAGCAGGCAAAAAAGAGATCTCAACCAAAGATGCTAATCTCCTTTGAAAGAGCAAACGAGAGGCAGCCTGTGCTTGGCATGTAATTGTATGAAAAAGATGCTCGATGTGTCTCTTAAGAGGCATGCATGCAAGTGCACACCTGCAGCCATGGACGGAGCAGTGCCAGCTGCTGCAGAAAACGATGCAGCTGCACAGATTCCACCTGAATGTCCTCTGTCAGCTCCTCTGCTGGACCCTCCAACACCTGCAGGGAATCGTGCCTGTCACCGCTAGGGTGCTGACCTGATGACCTCACGGTCATTTAAAAAGTTGCACATTTGGTCAAGGGATCATACATGGCGCGTATAATTAAGTGATACCTTTGCAGGGCACTAGGCCACGTCAAGGTGAAAGGTGATCCTGGTCATGCACAGAAGCACCAGATGCACGAAAGTAACAACTTGCTTACCATTTGCTCTATGGGAACCTTTACCAAAGCCCAGACTTCGCAAGAGCCATCCTCCAGTTCGCCAGGTTGATCTCAACATCGAAATACCTTTGCTTGGGACTTGCTCGGAAGCTCTCACACGGTGTTTGCTGCCTAAAATGGACTGGGCATGTACCATTTCGACTATAAGATAATGGTAAGATAATTCGAAGTGCCAACCATCAAAGAATGCAGTCAAGTCGTGGCACATAAGAGGAGCTTGGTCAGTGCTGAGTAAGATGACGTGGGTGCACCCTCCTGAAATTTGAATTTTAAAGTGACACAATCCTTCTATTCAAGTGTCCTCAGCAAACACACCGTGCGTCACCATGTTCAGTACGCTCATCATGGTCCCAGATGGTACTATGTGCCAGTGGCATGCGCATGCACAGGGTCGGACAAAGTCAACTCGAAGTGCACCACGTGCACGTGGCAACTTGCCAAAAATTGAGTTTTTTTGCCGCAAGTAGACTACACCTGTAGGGTCAATGGCCCTGATAAAACAAAATATTGGAAAGCTTAGAAAGCCTGCACACTTGCTTAGATTCACGCGGCGCGCACACGTATCCGATGTGAGTCACAGTCTTCACAAGCTACTGATCAGCACAAGGGCGTCACAGTGACTGACACACACTGTGGCACATGGCATGGTGCCACTTTGCTGACTGCGTTATCTTGAAATACAAGGCACACTAGTATGTCTTCTGCACAAAGTCCCTTCTGCAAGGTATCCTTTAAAATGGAGGACTGCAGTGAATCAACACTTGTGCTCATGAGTGCATTAACACTTGTGATCACTGAAACCTACAGGCCCTTAAAAATACATCGGACTTTGGTAGCTAGGACTGGCCCGCCCATGTCACAAGGGCATCTTCTTGCCCATGACAAGCTCTGCCTCCTCTTTCCTGATGATGTGGTACGTAACTGCCCCGATGATGATTGAAATGACCGCAAATGCTCCCACAGCGATCCCAATGACGGCGCCATTTGTCAGAACTATTCCACTCCCTTCACCTGCGCACATGTGGTGCGAATCAGCTGCAGCAAACACCATCAACTTGCCGCATCTTGCGCAGTTTTTCCGGAAGTCGATCACAGCAACAAATAATAGATCCGATCTGTGAGTCACCTTGCCTCTCAAACGTATGATAGGTCCATGCATGTGATCTCACCTGATGATGATGCCTGAGACACAGTCGACGAGAGGGAAGAAGAAGACCCCTCAGACGGCAATAGCGGCCGCATGGGCACGCCATTGGCCAGTGTGTACCCCCCACTGCCCACCGCCGGCCCCTCCGGTGTTTCCGGGGGTCCGTAGGTCCCCCCGCCGCCCCCACCACTGTATGCAGGCCTCCATTGCCGGCTCGAGTCCCCCAGCTGAGGCAGGCCGTTCTGGCTGTTGGGCGTGTCCCACTGTGTCTGACCCTGCGACGCGTCTGCTGGCGTCATCTGCCCGGCCTGTGGCGCGCGCGCGGCAGAGCCCTGCCGACCGCCGGCCTGCACTGGTGCCAGCGCCTGCTGCGCTCCTGCTGGCGCCAGAGGGGGGAACCAGGTGGAGGAACCTCCTGCAACCAGCAGAGCCAAGCTAATCACTCATTCCGCTGTGCTCTTTTGCACCATCACATGGCCGGCACCATCCACAGAATTGAGATAAATTGTGCTGCGCTACCTCACCTTTGATTTCTGGGCTCACTGGTGGCGCGCTCTTTTCTATGTTGCTGGGCAGATCACTAAAGATCAGAACATGCATGGATGATGTAAGCAGCTGAGAATTTACCTGCCGATGGGGCACTGGCTGGGACAGCAGCAGGGGAAAAGGAGGGGGAGGCAGGGATGCCAACGAGTGCATTCATGGCACACACTGGCAGGTTGTCCCCATCCACATCTGCGATTGTCATGTAGCGCGCAGCCATTGGCTGTGTGCAGTTGACTATGGTGTTGAACTTGTCGGGTGTCAGTTTGAAGGCTACGCACAGCGGGTTGCTGCCTGACCAGGTCGAAAGCTCTGCTGTGGTCTTTGCTGCGCGAACCTCAAGGTTGACACCTGCAGAACAACACAATGTCTTGTTGCTTCGACACTGCCAAATGGCACCATAAAGCAGGTGCGCGATACTGGCTTTTGTCAGGTGAATATAATAGGATTGGCTTTGCTGAAGTGGGGGTCCGGGAGTGAGCTCACCTTCTGTGGGTATTGTAAGAGCATCGAAAGAGATGCCACGAAGGACATAGACCTGGGCAAGGTCAATGTTCCAAGACTGCAGCGGCACTGCAGGAGCATTGCAGCCATAGGGATTCACCGTCACTACGGCAAAACCGCTTGTTCCTATTGGTTTCACACTCCCAGGTTTTGTTCCTGCAAGATAAATGCCGTATGAGTTCAGTAATTGTTGGACATGAAAGCCAGTCCATACCTCGTGAGATTACAGTGAAAGTGAGGCACTGAGTCCGATTAGCTGATTGCTAGCGTCTGAATAAATCTGTCAGGTGAGTAAGCCCATCACAATTTCTGTACCCATTCTCAGAACTTACGTCTGCGACCCCCAGGTAGATCTAGTAGACAACAATAACCGAGTCTATGGCAAAAGCAATGGCAGACTCGATTGTGCTACATAAGGTGTCGTAAGTAATTAATCGATCAGCTCTAAATTGTTTCGGGCCGAGTTTGTCTGGCGTTCCGGAAACAGTTTGATGAGCGCCAATCGTTCTGGGCATCGCACCGCTTGTTATCGAATTAACCAGCCCCGTCGCAAGTCCAGGAAGTGCAGGAAGATCGGATAATCCTGGGATCGTGAAGGCTTGACCATGACTGCTGCGCAAGATTCCCAGACAAATCAGCCAAGCAAGAGCACGACGCAGCACCGTCTTCCTCGCTGTAATCATGCGAATGCGCATTGTCAATGGTGCGCGTGGGTTCCAGAAACATCGCGAGACATATCCTCATACCCTAAAAGACCGAAGCAACGCTCGATCATCGCCACACATCGCAGCCAAGCACGTTGGAAATTGCACATCGGGCGTCTCGGAAAGTGCTTGGTCGTGGTGCCTAGTCAGGCTCAGATTTTAAAATTTGGTTTTAAGCTGACTGGTCCCATAGATAGCTAAAGTACAGTGATCAGATTGATCGCATCATTTGTCCTTCCTCCTTACTTCCTTTCGTCCCATGGACACTCTGCGATGCGCTCACAACTTCTCTCACATCACCATGCATGGCCCGGGCCACAGCAACCCCCCAGTACTGCCCACCCAGTACTTCCAATAAATTCGACTAAAATTTCGGAGATAGCAACTCAAATTAAAGTTCAATTTTGCTCATGCCTTCCCATGGGCAGTGCTACCAGTGGCCCACCGGTTACTACGTATACCCATAGTACCGGGTGTACGGGACCCGGATCCAGAGCAACTTGAAGCCAGCCACGGCAGCTGTGGCCCATAGGCCCGGACCGGCTCGCGATGGCCACATTTTACCGTACGGCGTTAGAACCCTAGGCCGTCGGCAGAGATCCAGCGGCGTCCCCACGATGCAACACTACCAGTCAAAGCGCAGCACTGGTGCATGCATATAGGTGCACTCAGCTGTGCCTGCGCCTGCGGCAGGCACATGGAGCGAGGGCGCCTCGACCCAGGATATGGACAGTCAACCCAGGGGCTCAGCCTTGCTTGTACAAGGTTGATGGTAGGCCCACCCAACAGGGACGTGCCATCAAGGGTCTTTCTTCAGCTAATCAATCTGAGGTAGTGTACATGCCCCGAGAATTCCCTCCTCAGAGCTCCTTAGAGCTCTGAGCTTTACAGCTTTATATGCATCTGCAGATCTGCAAGTCAATTTTCGGGGAATTGAGGTGCCACCTGCAGCACGGCGCTTGCAAACTTAGACTTGCTTAAAGCTTTCCCAGCGGACAATCGTCAATGTTGAGGGCAACAGCCATGAAAGAGTCCCTGGCTTTAAAATTTATTGAGGAGAATTACCGTGTTCAGGGTCGAGTACACCAGTCTGGCAAATTCTGCTATTGTTGATGGACTTTCTAGTCTACCTGCAACCAGAAGGTGGCTCAGTTGATCCATTGGCACAGCCGTGCCATACACTTGATAGAAGATGTGGGCATGATGCTAAGTGACAGCAGCGCACCTGTTGTTGCTGACACTTCTAATTGGAGGCGGTCAATAGGGTACCAGGCCATTCGTTTCTCAAAGTATGCGCTGAGAATCAGGCTCACAAAACCACGCCACAGATTCAGTGTGGCATCCGTCACCGGTACCCCTGTAGGACAGAATTACACACTGATTGAAGCATTAAAGGCCTGAGTTCCTGCACTGAGACTAAGGCATGTGGGTGCATTGCACGAGTCGCACCCTTGGTTGCCCATCGAACCACTGTCCTGGAGGGGGCGAGCATGAGAGTGATCCATACAACGCAGGCATATAGCAAGCACTCCTCATGGTTCAGATTCTGTGCGCGCACATTACTCAATGTCAGGGCACCGCCCCCACATGCGTTATTGTTGCTGTACAATGCTAAGGTGTTGTTATGAGCTGTGAAACACAAGTTAGTGCAAGATGAAAGATTGTTTGCACCTCTACGGTTGCTGATGCCATCTCCTGCCGCACTGTATCCTCTGTGTAGCCGCATTCATACAGCAGGATTGCCAGACTGGTGAAATCCTGGTGAACACACGGACTATTGCACCTGGAACAGGTCCCGGACAGCACACCGATGTGCCATTTGCGAAGGCATCAGCTTACCTTCATTGCTGTAGAGTACCTGATATTATGCTGAGCTGGTTCCTGCAGTATTGTATATTGCAGGGCCAACTTGTGAGCAAGTATTAAGTGTGACTCTTCAAGCTTCGGGTCTGGCAGGCACATCATCACCTACAGCAGATGATTTCATCATTGTCAATCATCTCTGGCAGGGGCTTCTGTGGAGGGATTTGGCCAATGCGCAAGGAGATGCAAGTAATTTCAGGTACATGTCAACTCAATATGAGGACTTCGTTGCAGGAATGTCAGGTCAATGTCAGGCCAGTTACCCTGTGTGAATTGGTCCTAAGTTTTATACATGATGCATGGTGTGGATGAAATTGTGACTGCCAGGTGCGCTCCAGACGACAGGGCCCAAACATCCTGAAATGTCGTTTGCTACTTTTCACATCACATGTGTCCCTGCCTCTGAAATCTCGCCAAGTGAATGGTAGCTTCTCGATCTGTCGGGCTTGAATGTCTGCTGCGTGATCGTGCAAACGTTCTGCGCGCAAAGAGCTTTCCAACCGCAAGACGTCCCACGTGACCGCATGTGACTCTTGCACTTTTGCCTTTTTGCACAGAGCACGAATGGGCTCGAAAAGATGCTTTGAGAGACGAAAAAGCGTGCTAGACCTGTTCAGCGTGCTATGCTTGCCATGGGAGTTGACACCGTGCGTGTTGAGACAGATTGGTCCATGACTTAGGAAGTCGATGATGAGCACTACCTTTGCCCCTACTGCCAGACTTTTGGCGTCAGAATCAATCTTCCAGCCTTTGAAGTCTACATCTTGCAATTATCGCAGGTAAGAGAGACATTAACGGCACAGCCTCGATACGATTGTGATCAGGAGATCTGTAGCAGTTGGCACCCCACGACTGGCAAATGGCCTTAGCCTGGCAATCACGTGTTAATGCCAATGTTGATATAGGAATGAGCACCTTTGCTTATCTTTTGTTGGGAATCCACTGCTTATATGTGAAGGGGCCATCTGTTGATACAGGAGAAGGGCATCATTCATCCCCTGTGCTAGCAGCGGTTCAGCAACTGTCACTAAAAAAGCGCCCATAAAAGTTGCGACAAGGCCTCTACCCACACCCGCAAGACGGGAGCTTGGACCTAACAGGTGACTGCCCGGCCGAGCTGTTGGGCTGAAGGACAAGGAGCTTGACGTGACAACTGCCTATGATGTATCCGCATGCATGGTTCATATTGCCTACTTGATGATCAGGTCTGCATGGACTGCGCCGTCTGGACAGCCAGATGGACCGTCATTTGGAGCTGCCCTAAGGGGCAAGCCCGAGCCCATGGGTGCCACCCTTGTTGATGAGCAGGTAAGCCAATCCTTCTCAGGACATGGGAGGTAGCTTTTTACCACTAAATGGGTGTCTGGCTGATTGCATTTATGCTGCAAGACTTGCAACAGTCCAGCATCTCTCAGATTGATACGTCTTGATGCAGGGTGCCATCAACTTTGCAATCTATGCAAGCAGCGCATCCTCGGTCTCTCTCGTTCTTTTCTCAGAGGATGACCTGCAAGCTGGCCGCACAACGCATAAGATTGAGCTCGACCCAGAGCTCAATCGTACTGGCAGCGTGTGGCACATCATGCTGCCAAAGCTTGACACCACACTCCTGTATGGTGCGTGCCACACATCCCCAAGCGTTCTGTGTGTGTCAGTGAGGTTGCAAAAATGGGAGTTGGGTTCTCCCAAAATGGGAGTGGGAGCACAAACGGCAGCTATGGTCGCCTGACATGTGTGCATGGCATGCAGGCTTCTGCATGGGCGGTAGACATCAGGATAAGGATATAGATGCGCCGGGCGCTGCTGGCCACCGATATGATGAGGTGATTTCTGGCTCCTGCGCTTCTAACAGCACATAATATCTCTGAACTCTTGTCTGGAGTAGTACTAAAGAGCGTGGTTGCATCCCTGGCTCAAGCGGTGTGTGAGAGTGCTTGTGAACCATGCTGTTGCAGGGTTCTGTTCTGCTGGACCCCTATGCCACCGCCATCATCGGCCGCAGGGTGTTCGGGCAGCTAGGGCCGGTGCCTCCTCTTTCCATCTGATGCCTGGATTATCTGTTGTCCCTCTTCATTGCATCTCTTGACAGGCACTTGTATAAAGATGACATGCAGGCAGGAATATGCAGGCATGTGAGCGCACTGCTGTGCGCACCACAGGATATGCAGTATGGACCGGGTGGCGCGCTTGGGCTTGCGCGCACATGGCCGCAGGCTGCATGCGTGCTGCCGACACCAGGCACAGCATTCGACTGGGAGGGCGACAGGCCGCTGAACCTGCCCCTGGAGGATTTGGTGATCTATGAGATGCATGTGCGCGGCTTCACCTGGGATGCATCCTCCAAGGTTTCCTCCCCAGGTGTGAGCACTGCAGCCGGCCCCACACTTCATGCTATCTGCTGTTGTGAGCAAGGGATGTTGAGAAGCCCAGCTGTGCATCTGCAGGTACGTTTGCTGGGATGACAGAGAGGTTGGATTACCTCACCACCTTGGGCATCAATGCAATTGAATTGCAGCCGGTGCACGAGTTCAACGAGCTGGAGTACTACCAGGTCAGTCTCTGACTTGTATTTCGTAATCCAACTCCTCTCAGACATGATTATTCATGCCTGACTCCCACTCTTTGAGCATTAGCAGTGACGCTGGCAACAGCACACCCAAGTGCACATACATGCCAAGATGCAGCCCTTCAGACGCTTTATAATTTGTGTCTGCGCCACCAGATCATCCCAGGAACAGACGAGTACCGGTACAACTACTGGGGGTACTCCACTGTGGGCTTCTTTGCGCCAATGGCCCGCTACAGTGCGGCCGCAGCCGCCGGCCGGCCCGGCGCGGACATCGTGAACGAATTCAAGACGCTCGTCAAGGAGTGCCACCGCCGCGGCATCGAGGTCATCCTGGATGTTGTCTTCAACCACACCGCAGAAGGCAATGAGAATGGGCCCTCAATTTCCTTCAGGTACTTTCTTCTGTTACCCTCCTCACATGAGCCTTCATCCTTTCCGCTTTTTCTAGCTAATGAGATCCTTCGCACCTGGGAAGGCCGCATATGATGTTGGTGTACCTCTAGATCCTAAGACCTCAGATGACCTCTAGATGTGGCAATGTGTTCCCCTCTTACATGATATGCAAAGCAGGGATGCTTGAAGATGCTCCTGGCTCGGTCGGAAGAAAATTTTTTACTGTTGCACATGCTTGTCTTGTCTCATGGGCATGGGGTTATTGCAACGATGCAGGGGGCTGGACAATAGGGTGTATTACATGCTGGCACCCGAGGGGCAGTACTACAACTACTCGGGCTGCGGCAACACACTCAATTGCAACCACCCCGTCGTACGCAAGTTTGTGCTGGACGCGCTGCGCTACTGGGTGGTGGAGATGCATGTGGACGGCTTCAGGTTCGACCTGGGCTCCATCATGACCCGTGCCCATTCTCTCTGGCACCCCAGCCTACCTGGCGACGACCCCACCCTCACCCCACAAGGTGCCACCAAATTTTTTCACTTTCCTCCTGTATCCTTCCCTCAAGCCATTATGCGAGTTTTGAATCTATGTCTAGACTCCTGCACCGACCTCATACCTCTTTACCAATAGAAAGGGTGGATGATTTGAATGTTGACATGATCTTCCTGCATCATGTAATGCTATCAGCATGATATTGTGCATGGATTTGAGCATTTAATTGCCATCGGGCATGCAGGCATCATTCCGGACGGCAGCGGCGTGCCAACAGGGACCCCCCTGTCGGACCCCCCGCTGGTGGAGATGATCAGCGAGGACCCTGTGCTGCGCAACACCAAGCTCATCGCCGAGGCCTGGGACTGCGACGGCCTGTTCCAGGTGCATAATTGCTCCTAATCGACAGTCACCTTTTACACCAATGACTGCTAATTTGCCTCTGCACGGTGCTCCTATTCATACATGAAGTCTGAAAGGACTCCTCCACCTGGAAGGACATCTCAAAGTTGGATGGAACCCAGATCAGGACACCACTGTTTCCTAGCCGCATGAGTGTGAGGTCAGATAGGTGTTTCAGGGCAACCTGGGTTGAGAGGAACCTGCAGCAAAAGGTGCATGCGTGGTGGGCAGGTGGGGGCGTTCCCACACTATGGCGGCAGGTGGGCAGAGTGGAACGGCAGCTTCCGGGACACGGTGCGCCAGTTCATCAAGGGCACCGAGGGACCCTTCGCCTCCGCATTTGCCTCGGCCGTGTGCGGCTCCCCGACCATCTATGCAGAAGCCGAGCCAGGCGAAGGTGCGTCAAAACACACCTTCCATTGTGCTCTTGCAGCACATTTCTGCGCTCCTTGGTGCCCTGTCTTGCTCACTGCCTGCACCCCAAGGCCAGTATGGTACTCCTTGTAGCGCCGCCGTATTAAAGATGATGCAGCAGCGGGCAGAAGGTGGATCAAGGTGGTACAAATGCCAGGTGACTGGTGGGGCAACAATGGAGGGCGGCAGTGGAGGGGCGGTCGGGGCCCCCAGCACAGCATAAACTTCATCACCGCCCACGACGGCTTCACCCTGGCGGACCTGGTAGCCTTCAACGAGAAGAAAAACCAGCGCAACGGCGAAGGCAACAGGTGGCGCCCCCGGCCCAATCGTATGGCATGCGTCCCCTCCCGCATCTTGCCACTCAAACTTGTCATTTGCTGCCAATTTCAAGTCAGCATTCTCCTGCATGAATTCTGCAGGAGCCAACAAGTTCTCTGGACGCTCAAACCACATTTTTCATATGTTGCATCATGATGGGCGCTGACAGAGGCAAGACATTGTGTGGGAGCAGGGATGGGGAGAACCACAACCTGAGCTGGAACTGCGGGGTGGAGGGTGACACGCGCAAGCCGAGCGTGGTGCGGCTGCGCGCGCGGCAGATGCGCAACCTGGCTGCTGCGCTGCTGCTGTCCCACGGCACCCCCATGATCCTTATGGGCGACGAGTACGGCCACTCCAAGGTGCAATCCATGCTGTACATGCTTCTTTCTATGTTGTGATGGCAAGCCACCCGTGTTGTCTATGTTTGAACTGGCCCTTCTACTGGTAGTGCAAGTGTGGAAAGAGATTGTATGTGCAAGGATTGAGATAGGGTCTGCTTGCAGGGGGGCAACAACAATACGTACTGCCACGACTCCGCTCTGAACTGGTTCAGCTGGGACCAGGCTGCCACGGATCCCACCGGTTACGCGCGCTACTTCAGGCACCTCGTGCACTTCAGGTGGACCAACCATTTCACCCACCACTTGCACCCAAGCATGCATGCATGCATGCATGCAGGCGGTAATGCAGTCCCTCCGACAGGATGTCCTGGAGGATGAAACTACACATTGTCTGACTGCTGGTTCCTGGTTGATGTTTAGGAGGACGCATGCAGAGCTTCGCCGCAGCTCATTTGTGCATGCCGGCGCAATCGCATGGCACGGCAAATTGCCCAATGAGCCTGACTGGACAGAGGAGTCCAGGCTGGTGGCTTACACGCTGAGCAACAGCTCCGGCGGGGGCCTGTACATCGCCTTCAACACCTCCCACAAGGGCCAGATTGTGCAGCTGCCTTTGTGGCCCAACCGCACCTGGCAGCTCATCTCTGACTCTGGCCAGGTTTGTGAAAGCGGTCTTGATCTGGCATAATCCTCCTAAAATTAATGCTGTAGAGTCCTCCTGGACGTGGCTCAGCCTCGTTATTTCTAAGAGCAATTCAGAGAACCAGTGTGCAGTGGTGGTGGGGGGGCCAAAATCTTGATATTGGAGGGTGCCAATGCTGACTCACTTGTTTGATGTGCTGCAGATTGCGCCGTTTGATTTCCTGGTGCCAGACGAGATTCTATCAGAGGAGGAGGTGGCCACTGCGCGGCAGAAGGTCAGCATGTGGCTGTCTGATGGCATGTACGCAATGCTCCCCTACAGCTCCCTCCTGCTGGAGTCCGTGCCTGACCTGGACACCATGCCGACATCCAGACGCGCCACAGCCTTCTCTGCTGCAGCCCCCGCCGTCACTGCCAGGTTTGCAGATGCGCAATCCACAGGAGACCATCCTCTGATCACAGCACAACTCTATTGCTACACATGATGTCCTGCACTTGATGTCACTGCACATGATGTCAGCCTTGCATTGTGTGCTTCACACTGTATTAAGCGTAGACTTCTCCTGCTCTCTCTGCTGGACATGACACAATAATTGTGTGCATGCCTGCAGGTCTAATGGGAAGGCGGGCAGTGGGGTGCCACCCCAGACAACCACAGCAGCCGCATCCTCGCCGCCTCCAAGCTTTTCCCAGGGGCCTCAATCCGGGCCCAGCACAGACTCTGTAGTGTCAGCAGCAGGCAGCTCAAAGGCATCTCATGTGCAGTCGACCGCAGCGTCTGTGCTGTCCAATGCCAAAGCTCTCGCAGCAAAGATTAGCGGGTCCCCAGCGCAACCGTCGCTGGAGGCCAGTTCTTAGAGTGGCCCGAGCTGAGGTCAGGATGCTGTATATGCACACTTTCCAAGGTGACAATCACTGCGTTGCGGCATCTGATACCCATCACTTCAACGCTGGGCACACATATCAGCGCTTTGATGGTGACTATTGAGCAACTGCTGGGAAATGCGACAAAAGCGAGGGTAGTTTGAGGTCCATATGTTGGTCTCTGTCAGGGGCCACAGGCTATTCGCCTGCAGGTCCTACAATTCTTTCAGCATTGATGCATTCGCCTGGCTCACCCCAGGCAAGGCATGGAGAGACTGAAGTTTAGTGAGGGCATAGCAATTTGAATTCGAAATTTAAACTCTGATTACCAACTTCAAAAGCTTTCCTAGAGTGCTTATTCTGGTTTGCCTCCGTTTTGTGGCCATGGCAGTTAGCCAGGCGCTCCAAGAGTATCAGCAAATTAAAGTGGCACCACCTGTATGACTCATTGACTTGGAATCAGACCTGCTTTCACTGATCACGGGCCCGAGCCGGTCGCGGCTGACTTATCTGCTCGCCGAGCTGCAGGTGTTTCACATTTTGTTGAAATCGGATAGACATGCGCACCCATGCTAGTAGAAATTCTGATGCTGCCATCCTATGCTTACAATGAGGAGATTCTTTTAGATTCTGAGGCATCACAGCTGCATGATTGGGGCTGACAACACGTGCACCCACCTGCATGGGCACAGTCATATGACTGCCTAATCAAGACGTCCCAGGAGGTCATAAGCCAGCATTTGGGTAGATCTTCGTGAGGAAGAACACTTTGATCCCGGGCATTCCTCTGGCAGAGACTCCACGAAGCTCCTGCACACTCGTCTAGGGCTCCTACTTCGTCGTCGTCTCGCTCTCAGGCCTATGCCTCAAGAAAATAGGAAACGCAACAGGGTGCCTGTTGTCAGCCTGCTGTCGCCTGACCCTGACACGGACATCGGCCGCCCCCTGAAGCGTCCCCAGCGTGATATGTCGGTGCGCAGCCAGAATACCCTGCCTGTCATGGCAATAACAAGCGGTGCCCTGCCTTGGAGAAAGTGTGCTAATAGCAGGGTACCCACGGCCCCTGGAAGAGCATCATAGCAAGCACGTCAATCTCGTTATCTGCCATTTATATCTGGCAATTGAGCTAGGATGATATCGATTACGGTTTGCGCTATTTCCTGCCACCACTGTCGCTTGGACCCTCCATTGAAGGGAGGCTGCGACCTTAGCACCCATGCAGCTTCACGGTGCTGCCGTGATCGTACCATCAATGTGACAGTGGTCTACCTGCGTGCAGTTTGATTTGCAGGACGTCGCAGTCTTGCTTCGTGCCTGAGCCAGGTGTATATGTGGCCTAGTCCTACATGTCTGTGAATAAGTCCCTAGTCTCTCTCGAAGAGCATGGTCCCTGCACATCAGGTATCGCTAGGTAAAATTGATTGTTTAATTCCACAAGACCCTCTGCTTTGCCGAAGGGGCATTAAGGCAGGTGTCTCCACAGTTCTGGGGTGAAGCACACGCAGGCTGGGAGGTTGCCGCAAAGGCAGCCCTTGTGTATCCTCCCTGTGTGTGGACTGGAAGGACGGATCGTATTTCTGGCCGGCTTTCAACGTTATATTCGAGTGGAGCCTGTACTACAATGTATTTTCTTAGGTGTCTTGTGTGTCGCAGGCTCCAGAAGCGCATGGAATGCCTATTACTGATGTGGTTGATCTCAGTGGAGACTCTCCTCAGTCAGGTATGTATAACGATTGGGTGCTTCCTTCTTTACGGTCTGGTCTCTCTATCTGTGCCCCCAAGATGTGCATCCTCATGCAAACACTCCTCTGTTGTGCTTACGATTATCAACTGCACCATACATCTTGCAGCAAAGTACTATTTGTCATGTTTCCAAAGCATTCTCATGCGTGCCCGGGTGACCTGACCCACGGGTCAGGTGCCATGTATTTTCTGAACTCAAGCTGTGTCTGAGCATTTCGTGGCGTTGCAGAGAAAGCGGCTGCATGCGGGTCACCGTTCCAGGAGGCTGACATGGACGAGGGGCATGCGCTCTGGGGCGAGTTGGATGAGTCGCCGCCTCGCTGGCGACAGGTGCGCCGCCGGACGCAGGCGCCCCGCGGAGAGCAGCACTTCCAGCCGCCGCCTCCGCCACCGCCACCACCTGTCTCCCGAGGGCTCCCCACCCGCCCCACTGCCTGGCGTGCCAGGTGACCCTCCCCTCAACCTTGTAGGTTGTGCATGCAAGTTTGAGCCTCTGCTCGAGTCCACAATGGACCTTAATGAATTTTGCTAAGGAATGTGGCCAGGAAAGGCTGATCAGGATATGGTTGGGGTTGTGTAAATGTGTGCATGTAGCTGCATTCATGGAACTGTATATGTGTGGTCAAGTTGTAGGGTGGTGCGTGCAGGGCGTCTGGTGCGGGGGGTCGCATGCACTCACCATCTGGCAGGCCGGTGGGGATGCCGGGCGCTGCAGCGGCGTTGCGTGCTTCAGGCGGAGACCGGCTGCGCACGAGGTCACAGAGCCGGCACGATTCCGATGAAGACTTAGATGATCCCACCAGGGCAATGGACGACTTTGTTGCACAGAGGTGTCCCCTCACCCTCTGTTTGCCTTGTAACCTCCTTTTCAGTCAGAACGTGGCGCCTTTCTTCCTTGGTGAGCTCTGCATGGTGAGCATCCTATTAGGTCCAGTGCTTAGGCTGAGCGGACAGATGTTGATGCAAATTGTTGCTGGCTTATCAGGCGGGCAGAGCTGGAGGCGCTGAGGGCGGATGAGGCTCTGGCGCAGCGCATGGATGAGCTGGAAGCGATGGAGATGTGGGCCAATGGGGATCCGGCCCCGGAGTGGCACGGCTGGCGCGCGCGCAGTGGCGCTGCGGCGGCCCGGCCGCGTGGCCAGCCGCACTTCGCGGGTCCTCAGCCGCCCCCGCCCCCGGGCCGGGGCCGCCGCCGCGGCTGGGCCAATGCAGCCTCCATCGCGGAGGTCGTCATGGGCATGTTTGCTGGCGCTGGACCCCTGGCTGGTAAGCCTTCTGCATGTCTGGTCTATATTTGCACCTTGCCTCACTGTTGACCAGGTGATAGTCTCCCCTGGCATTTTCATATCATGAATATTTGTGGGACTTTTGCAGTTGTGAAAATGGTTGCCTCTTTGAAGGGTTTCTGCAATTGTCAGGTCCTTTCACCGGCCTGGACGGTCCCTCGGGTGGCCACTGGAGCGCAATGCGCGAGGCATTCGCGGGCATGAGCCAGTCCCGGCTGCCACCGCACCTGCTTTTCACCGAGCGGGACTTTGACGAGAACGACTATGAGGCCCTGCTGGCCCTGGACGAGGCTGTGGAGAGCCGCAAAGGTGGCTTGCTTGTACCCTTGTGTATGCTCAGCTTGTGCCTGCTATGTCCAGGAGGAAGGAAATGTCAGGGTACTTGTTTGCAATCTATGTATTGAAGCCTGCTTGTAGCGCTCTGGGTGTACTTGCTTCTCATGTCTGACTTCTTCATCTGGACACTCAGAAAACAGCACTGGCTGTAAAGTGTATTCTTGTTCGTGCTGTGCCTGCATCTTCCAACAATGACAAGTTGCAGTATTTCTATTGCTAATCTTACCTCACTGTTTTACCAACAGGGGCAAGCGCGCAGCAGATTGAGCACCTGCCGACTGTCATTGTGGGCGCGTCGGGCGTGGGCCCAGACAAGGAGTGCAAATGTCCCATCTGCCTGGAGGACTTTTCACCTGGGGCTGTGCTGCACCGCCTGCCATGCACCCACCAGTTCCACCGAGACTGCGTAGATAAGTGGCTCACGCAGAAAGCTACCTGCCCAATCTGCCAGCAGTGTCTGTGAGGGATTGCGGTGATCGCTACACATGCATTTCATGTATCAGAGCATGCATTCCAGTATGTACAATCTTTTCATGAGTATGCACAGGCATACTGCTTGGCGCATCGTTGTGTCACAGGCAATCCGGGCTGGTTCGCCTGAGCCCCATGGTAACTAGAGTCACTTCATCTGTAAAGCAGTAGGAGAAGTACTTAGAAGGTGGTAGGGAAGGGTTGTGTGCTGCATGCCTGATGGAGGATGGCAATTGAAGCATTGTCCTGCACTGTATAGAATCCCAATCCTATTGTGAGATGTCTTTGTGGACTCCATGGTGCAGTTGGCACTTGCAACGGCTCAATGCCAGCGCTATCTCTGCTCACATATGAGTTTTGGTGCGTCTTTATTCTTTTACTCAGCTGGGACATTGATTTGTCTTGCAGCGGAACAGAAAGTGCTAGCAAGAAGTGTATCATTTTGTACCATAAGAAGGGATGCACATTCATTGAGGTTAATGCTCGTGAAGGATGTGTGTGCCGGTTTGCCTGGGTTTGCTTTGCATTACTTTATGATCATGAGCTGATGATATCGGTGAGATACATGTCATCAGGAGTGGATCTTAACAAGCAAGGCTTGGCTGGATGCATGCAATCCTGTAGCTATGTAGCTGTACTACATGTTCCTGAGGCTGTAGATATATTCACGACATCCTGAACCTTACTTGCATCATGCTGTGCGGGCCTACATGTAAATGTTTGCCTGAAATGGCATTGTTCCTGTGTCCATTCTATCAAGGCTGTCATGCAGGCAATGTTTCTGAGCATGCATTGATAACATCTTATGAGACATGTTGATGTCAACATCAATTCTACACACATAATCATCGTCTGAGGCAATGCAACACCAACACAGTTACGTCGTTGCTTATCAGCTGAAGCGCCTCCAAAGCTGCATTTCACCATCACAACAACACGGTGTTTGAATCATCCACGCCTGTCTGAAATGAAATAGAGGATGAGCTAGCACTACAAAAGAATTTCCAACTGTACATCGTCCAGCCTATGGGCCTGCTACCTACTACACCTGTCATGCCGGCATGTGTCAAGAGCAGGCCACTATACATAACCTTTGCAAAGCACCCACGGGCCATCAAGGGACTGAGTAGCCCCTCAGTCCCTTGGCAGCGTCAGCAGGAGTTCCTCCTCAGGCGTGAGCTCAGGGTCCTTGATGCCCTCCACAACGCTGATAAGCTTGCTGCGCATCGCCTGCAGAATGACCACCGCCGTGGCTATGCGGAACGCTCTGGGGCTGATCCCCGCCCACAAGCTGGTCACCCCGTTCGTCTGCACCAAGTGCCTGAGCGTGGATCGCAGCGTGGCATACTCTGGGTGTACCTGCGCCCCAAAGCACTCTCCTTTACAGTTCCAGACGCTTGCCCTTTCAACAAGATTACGCGGCTGCGTCATGCATGCTTTGGGCTGCATAGTGGGTCTAGCAACAGTCTGGGGGAGTCAGAGAGGAAGACCTTCGAATCTAGGAAGGCCTGCTGCCTGGTCTTGGCAGTGTCTATGGGCTGCGTGGCGAAAGCTGCAAAGAGGCCTGCAGTGATGCCTGACAGCACGAGGGAGCTGCTGGCAGGGTAGTCCTGCAGCAGATCCCTATCGTCCAGGTAGCCCTTCAACACAGGGCACAGCCCCAAGTAGCTCCCGGTGTAAACGCTCTCGCGTATTGTCATTGCAGTCTGCAACCCACACATCCCCAAGTATTCAGACACTCAGCAGAGCTGACTTACAGTATTCATATTTATGCGACTGCCAGAAATACAGCAGAATATGAACGCGCGGGAGTGTCAATCACATCTGAGATGCAGGGCGCACCAGGCCGCGGTAGAGGCCGAGCGTCCCTAACTGGAAGACAATTCTGCGGGCTTCAGCCAGGAGTGGCCGCCCCGACTTCTGCTGCTGTATCATGAGCAGCTCTGCAGGGCAGCCCACCAGTGCTGAAGCTGCCCCGGCACCTGCTGCAGCACCTGTTGCATGCACGCCAGCTTTTAGCACATGGTTTCTACTGCCATGGGTGGTTGATCCAGGGCCAGGACAGCTCCGATTACACCAGACTAGAACAGAGGAATTGGTCCAGAAACAAGTAGCTCACCTACTTTGCCAAGTTCTGAAACGTCCTCGCCCAAAGCCCTCTCCAATAATCTATGGGTGCCGAACTGGTGCAAGAACGGCACACAAAACCATTGGTAAACAGAGTTCTTCCTGTCCCATCAACTGTGATTGCTCATGACAAAGCATGATATGGACATTGACCATATGCATCATGCTTCATCACCGCTCACCTGGATGGCCGTGATTGGCGCAATGCTCGCAGCATTCACCTGGGAGCAATTACAGGGTCAGGTGGCAGGTGTATTTTTGGCATAATACTGCAAATATGCGCAGCAGCAGCAACCTCACCGCAAGTCCTCTGTAGAGCGCCCGCGGGTGCCAAGGAATTGGCCGTCCTTCTTGTAGAGCATTCTTTATTGCAATGGTAGGCTGCAAAGATCACGTTTGAAGGGTCAGTCAACAAACGAACTTCGCGCCTCGGCCATTTACTGCACCTCAGCAACATAGCAACGAAGTGCCAAGGAGCACTTCGAGCTGTGGCTTGCCAGTGGGCCCCTTTAGATTGCATTCTTCGGAACCTTAAGCGGCCTGTAGCATTCTGCGGTGTTCACCTGCATAATGAGGACCTCTGAGACCCCAGCTACGGCCCCAATGGCAGTCATCTCTGGGGCACTGAGGGTGGTCATTTTGATGATCCGATGTCTGAGATCCAGGTATAATTCTTGACCTTGTTCTGCAATTAGTATAGAAATTAATCCTTCAGATGGAGGGGACCATTAAGACTTTATTTCCCAGTATGTTCCAGGTGCAATCAGTAAAATTCCCTCACTAGCCATCGATTCTGCTGAGGACACCTTCCAGACGATGTCAAGAATTAGAAGTAGTTCGATTTTTATAATTAAAAATTTTCTCTCTCTTCTAAAGCGCAAATAGAAGACAGCTGCAGAAGGAAGGCAGGCAATGACGTCACGCCACATCAGCAAACTTCCGAGATTTCTGAACTTCCCTCGTTCCGGAATAGGAACAGCAATCAACGCAGGGATCTAATTGCACACGTCCAGGTTCCGTTAAGACCTGGCCGCAATACCACAATCCAAATGCTGTGAAGTGCAGAGGACCCTGAGCCATGACTCTGCTCGTTGTTGCTGCAGTCCTTAGTCTTGCGGCCGTTCACGTCGTACCGGGTTCAGCGCAGTCCACCGTTATCGGCCAATTCAATGCGAAGAGTCTCACATGGGATGATGTTACTCCAAACCCATGTTTAGAATCAGGCGCAACAGATGAGGTGGGCCCCCGTGTCGCCGACAGAGTTCACAAAGCAAACGATCTCCGGAACCTCTAGTCTTTTTGAAGAATAGTTCTTGTTGCACTGCCTCATTGTCAATTTGTCTAAAGATACATTCGTTTCACCACTCTCGTAATGGCTGCATACTTTGTGAGATCGAGGGCACCAACGTCTCCTGCTTGTTTTACCCATCTTGCCTAGCCAGTTCTTTGTGTGACTTTTTGAGGTGTATGCATTCAGGTTTGCACGCTATTAAGGAAGGGTGGCCCCAATAATGCAACCTACGTGGCAGGGTTCACCATTCTTGACAGGGAACACGTTATAAACGTTGGTATTGCAGATATTGGCACACAGCTCGAAGGTAAGAATTTCTGCAGGGCAAGATCGCCATTTGCAGTAAACTTAAATCTTTAAATTTCAGCCTTACTATTCCCTTTTACTTGTAAGGATATTTATTTTTCCTGTGGCGTGCTGCAGTTGAAGTGGATGGCCGAAAGCTGTGGCTGGACGAGACTGTGCAGATGACAAATCTTATGCAGAGTTGGCACTTCCCATCGAGCGATGGCAACGTGCTGAACGTCTCATGGGAGCGTTACAACAACTATCACGCCGCCCCGAGCGTCAACTTCACAGCAAGCAAGTTCCCTGTCACAGCACCACCACATGCATGTGAAACTGCAAACTCTCACAAAGAAAAGCTGCTTGCATGCATTACTTCGACATGCATTGTCTGACGTGCCTATTTTCTTGCAGAGGCTGCGACGTACACGGTGTGGCTCAACTATGAGCAGCAGGGCAGGCCGCCTCGCTTGGCAAAGTCTGATGACAGCCCCAAATTCGTGACCGGACCTGCAGACCGAGTGGTAACCTCCCAAGCTGCCCCACAGGCCCACACTCGATTAACACCAAAAATATTGGGGCACTTGAATTATTTGAAACTTGTGGGTGCTGAGGATCTGCTATTGTGGGGACAGAACCCCACGGCGACGGGATTTGCAGGCCGCGAATTTGAGGTGTCTGACTTGGACTCGGGTTCCATCTACTGCCTCCTCACATCTCCCTTCCACCAGGCAAGCTGTTCACATTGAGACCCTCCTTGCTTTTCAATATTAGCAAAGAACTGCACCAAATGGGCTTTATACTGTGTAGGATAACACACCAGGGAGGGTGCTCACTGGCTGGGGTGAAATCTGCAGGTGGGGGCAAAGATTGTGAAAGGGGGTCCCACAAACACAACAGTGTACATGACTGGCTTCTCCTTCATCTACAAGGAGCACCAGATCCTGGTGGAGGTCAGCAATGATGGGTCAGGAATTGTTGGTGCGCATTTCGAAGTATCACCCCCTATTTCAGCCCAAGCAAATGAAGAGATGCGACCACTTGTGCTCTGCTGAGTTCTGGCCAGGTTGCCTGGTCGGTCACATAAGACTTGTAATGCCCAAATCTGATGTTGTGAGTAAAGGCTGATTGGTTTTATGTGCTGCCACACAGCGAGTGTGGATGGGCAGGAGCTGAGGCTGGATAATGGGTGGTATGAGGACAGCTGGTCTTACCTCTGCTCCACGGGAGGCAGTGTGTCTGTTCTGTGGCAGCTCTACAGACCGCTCCTGGGCAACACTGTGGAGATTTCGACAGGTGAGCTCCCTTCCTTGACTGCAGGAGGGTCTCAAGTCGATGGAGTACATGGAACATTCTCATGCTACCTACCACTGCTTTCTGCAATAACTATGACTCTGCGGGATGTTGACAAAGGCTTTTGTCGATTGCAGACGTGCTAAGGATGATGATCTGGCTGGTGCCTGCCAGAAGCGAGAACCTGAATGTCAATGTGCCGCCCTACCTGAATGCGGAGACCACAGTGCTGCAGGACATCAATGACACAGGGTACTTCCAGGTTAGGACACAGCTAAATTTTCTGACCCATTTTCTGTCTATTTTTCCTAGCCATGGCACCCAGTCCTTGACCAACAGAAGAACAGATTCTTGCCTTCATACAAGAACATCATCCATGCAATTCTCCGATGCCGGATCTTTTCCTTTTGCGAGCATAATCAATTGAGCCTCCGTGAGATTGTCTGCAGGGCATGCTGGGAGAGACATATGACAGGTTCATTGCTGGAGACGCCATCAAATCAACAGTAAACCCCATGCACCTGCCCGACGACAACAAGTTCCACGGCCTGGGCACCCGATCTCAGTACAAGATGGACAGCTACTGGGACACCAACCATGTGCGAACCAACTCACCCAGCATGAGAGATTCCTGCTGAGCAAAAAGTGCACTCGCAACTGAAAAATCGGCTGTAGTTATGGCTGCATGTGCACTAAGCTGCATCAGTGTGTGAGAGCTGAACGCTGGAGTTTTTTCAGTGTCCTGAGCGCTGAAATATAATGCCTGCAGACTTTCAACCTGTACAATGCGACCAGCTACCCCGACGAGGTCCTGAAGCTGCGCGAGCAGAAGCACTTCCCCATGCCGTCCGCCACAGTCTTCCAGGACGCTCTGAATTACACCAACACTTACCCGCCCCAAGAGCTCAAGTGAGCCACAGCCTTTACTCCCCTGCCAGGATGCTAGGGTCGACATACGATGGCATTTACCTGTCCAGGAAACAAAAGTGTGTTTTTTAGGAAGGGCCGGTTTGAATGAAGGTGGTCAGACACCAGAATGGATGGGTGATGCTGTGTTGCTTGCTTGCAGGCAAATAGATGCTCGGAGGCTGGCCATTGTGCTGGGAGTGCTGCTGTCTGCCCTGCTGCTTTCATCTTGCCTGTGCTTTGTGGTGGGATACCACCGCCACAACATCCGCAAGGCCTTCCACCTGCCGAGGCAGCTCAGCGCTTCTCTGAAACTTCCGCTGCACTATGAGCGCCACCATGATGATGCGTCCAAGAAATAGGGCTGCTGGGCACCTGCATGCGTGCACGTCCAGCTTTTGTGCGCACAGCGTTTATGCTGAGCTGCTTTCTGCAATTTGAAATGCATCCCTTTAAGGTGCCATTACTTCAAGATCTTCTAGATTACTGATCAGGACTGCTTACGTTGGGAGAATTTTGTACAGCTTCTTTCCTTGATGTACTCTATGCTTTTTGGAGGAAGACGCGGCTTTGCAAGACCAAAAGCTCAGCCCCTCCAGGATATGCACCAACAGCATGCGAGAATGAAGTGTGGGCACACATGCTGTGTGCATGAGAATTGCCTTTTCAGCTATGTTGTACTATTTTCAAGATGGGAAAGTCAAGACCATGCTTTGCAGAGAAGTCTGGCAATAAGAGTGGTTAAATTTAGGTCCTCAAAGGCAGAACCTGTCTGCCAGGATGCCTGACTGTCAATCGTTAAGGCGCACGTGCATTAGCACCCAGTGGTGGCTCCCGTAGAAGCTCCCGTGGTACATGTAAGAAGCGACTTTTGGCTCAATATCCCAAGACTCATGATTCCCATCAGGAACATAATTATGTTCCTATGTTTATAAAGATCGAAAACAACAAACAGCTACAAATCCACAAGAATACACGATATTTTGAACATCAGAATGTGTCACCTGTTCAGAATAACAGGCAGCGCAGACATGCATTTGCAGGTGCACTAAAAGGCTTCTGGTCAATGGAGCATCTCAAACTAATATACCTACATTAAGACCTATACGGTAGTACCCAAGGTTGAATGAACACAGGGGCAATCATTGCTAATTTCCTTACAAGGGCGGCACAAGCCACATGATGGTTTTATACAACAAACGGTCCTTCATCACTATGGGCATGCCGCACGCGGTTCAGCACCCCAAACTGCCACAGGCTGCCACTATCATGCTGCTGCCGCGTAGAAGGACCGGCCAGCAGCTGTTCTAGAGGCGCGCGCGGGGGGTCAGGCGGGGCTTGAGGACGCTGTGCCAGGCGGGGCCCTCCTCAGTCTCGTTCAGCGGCGACGCCTGCGCGGCCGCCAGCAGCGCGCGGTACACGTCCCCGTCGGCGCGGCCCAGCGCGCTGTTGAGCAAGTAGTCGCTCAGCCCAAACGCATCCGCCAGCCCCACCGCGTCCGGCCGCAGCGCACGCAGCACGCCATAGTACTGCCGCCGCGCCCACTCCACCTGCACCAATACCCCGCTCCCGTCAATAAGAAGCAGTCAATAAGAAGCAAAGAGAGAGGGTCTTCGCCCAAAAGGAGGCAGTATCGGCGGATCGCACTGTGTGCGCCGTTAAGCCGGGTGGGAAGCAAACAAGCATCTCCCGCTTCAGGCCCACAGTGGTCCCTGCAGACTTGCGTGCATCTTCCCAAGGATATTTTCAGGCTTCAGACTGCTGACAGGGGGGTGCAAATCCTTGCACTCTAGGCAGGGAGGACAGAAGGATGGCGGGCAGGAGCGGCAGGAGCGTGCCTGCTGGCCGGTCATGTAGCCATCCTCCAGGAAGTCGCCGGCCTCGCGGCTCAGCGTGCTCAGCGCAAACAGGCTCACCAGCTTGGACAGCGCCGCAATTGTCGGCGCAGGCAGCGTCCCCTGCACACAACCCAGATAAATGGTCGTGCTGGATCAGCAAGTACAGGCAGGAAAGCAAATTTAAGAACACCCAAGCATGTAAGAATGCCCCAGATGGCTGCCAATCTGATTAGCCAGAAAAAGGAACTGTCAGATGGACACGGGCAGGTGTGCCACCTCGTCACTGAGGCGCTGGACGCTGTCGGCAAAGGTGCTGTGCAGGACGAAGAAGCAGTGTGCGCGCGAGAGCCTGATCAGGTCAACTGTGTTGCCGTTCCAAGCCTGCCCCTCAAATGCAACCTGCCCACCGCTGGCAGACGCGAGCAGATCTGTGGCCGCCACACACAGGCGCGCAGAGCGGTGCCTGCCCCACATCCTCACATCTCTTCACAACACCGATTAAGACCCCGGCACTGCTGCTGCCCAGATCACAAAATAGCTAGAAAACAGTTTATTCCGAAGCATTTCTGTGCAGGGGGTTGCATGCTTTTACCCCGCTAAGAAGCCACAGCATTATATTGTCAGACACCAAATTCTTTAATGACTACAGCCAAACGGGAGCAGCAAGCGCTTGAGGGGAGCTGGGCTGATCAAGCATGGGGAGGAGGGCACCTGAAGGCGGCGGACTGGACTGCGGGGTCCAGCCAGTCGCGGGAGCTGGCGACAGGGCATCGCTGGCGCAGCTCGGCCTCTGCATTATTGGTGTAATCCGCGCTGCCCACCCCGCCCGCCTTGCCTGCCCTTGCCGCCAGCAGCTGCTTCACCAGGTACCGCGCCGTCTGCGCACACACTCACACATCACTATCCACGAGTCTTTGCAAACCTCTTCCATGCTCTAGTAGGCGTACATAGACAATGAAGGCAGGAGAGATCCTCCTGATAATGTGCAATCGCCCAAGCATCAGCACCCAATGGTGTTGATATGGACCTCCATACACAAATAGACTTGCAAGAGAATGCATTGGCGCTGTGAACAGGAGATGCTACTTCCGTAGAGGCCACATCGCCAGGTTTGTGGGAACGTGTGGCGCATCAAGGGGTGCTGGATAGGCAGATAGAGCGCTGCGAGATGTAAGGTGTGAGAGCAGTGCCTGCAGTAGCATGACATTGTTGTCGCCTTCCCATGTGACGTTCTGCACGTAGTGGGTGAAGGTGGTGGGCAGCCCAGACAGCAAGCTGTAGCCGTGGCCGCCGCATGCCCTCCTGGCAGCCTCCATGCCGTCACTCGCAATTGTGGTGCTCACAGCCTGCATGCACAGAGCAATGCCTCCTCTTCCAACACTGAGAGCTGTTTGTTGATGTCACCTCTCCATGTTGGGGCTGTGCATGCCAGAAGAGGGAATAAAAAGCAAATGTGTAGGTACAAGCAAAAACATGTTCTATAAGGACAGTACCGACCTTCATGCCAGAGAGGACCGCATGCAGCTCAGGAAGTTTGTCAAAATTGCCACGGTCCCTGTCTGCCTCAAACTCTGAGTACATGGCCATGCCAGCCTTGCCCTGTCACCCACCACACCCAGCTTTCAAGGCAAATTCCTTACATGTCTGCAAAGTCACTGTGCTCGGAGGGTGGCAGAACATTGTCTTGAAATGTGGCGGGAGGGCAGGGTGATCAAAAAGCAGCGCACCATGAAGATGAGGGCGTAGGAGGATGCGAGCAGGGGCAGCAGGTCAGCAGCAGTGTTCTGGTAGTCCAGCACCTGCACCTCCAGCTCCCCAGCATGCGCAGCAGTCTGCCGCCGCACAGCAGCGTAGCGCACCTGCACACAGCAACACCTCTTTTCCTGGCCAGTGCAGAAGATATAACACACATGGCGCTTGACAGACAGCTCCGCCTGATCACCCTTAATCTGAGAGATTCGTTATTGTGATTGGGTGACGTTAAGAGATCAGAGAGCAGCCTTATTTGCGGCAAGAGGCACCCACCGCAATGGTGACAGAGCGTGCCAGTGCCCATCCAGCCCCCTCCACGATGGTGGCACGCACGTACACCATCGTTGCATATGAGGCTTTCTGGTTTGACGGCGGCGGCGGAACATACTTTCCCTCTGGAGTCACCTGTGCAAAGTGCAGCATCATGTCAGTCAGTAGCACAGAACTCGATGCCATGATGCCATGCTCGAGCCCACATCATCTTATACGTGTCCATGCAGTTCTTTGATTCTTCAGAGCTGTACGATACACAGGTAGACTTGCACACGACACATATAGAGTCCCACCTTTGAGAAGCGCATCAGCATGTTATCTAGGGGGACGCGGACATGGTTGAAGCTTAGGTATCCGTTGTCCACGCCATTGTAGCCAAACTTGGGGCCAATGTCGCCCACTTTGATGCCTGGCAGAGGAAGGTGAGTGGCCATGTCTCGGATGGGCACCACAAAAGAATGTGGCCCGTAGTCTTTGCCCTTGATGAACAGCCGCGCCATTGCAACCTGCACTTTGCAACTTGTCAGCCTTGAATTCTTGTAGACCTGTGTGTTGGGTCATGTGACTGCATGTCAATGCTCAGACACCACAGGGGTGCTGCTCTGCATTCCTTCCAAATCTGCATGCATGTCAGGTGATGTCCTGTTGGAAAACAAGTGGAAAACAAGAATCAAGTAGAAGTACTGTGCCTCACCACATGTGTTGATGTCTTGCCCAGGCCCCCTGGCCACCACTTGGTGGCTGTGAGCGTGGGTGTGTGGATGACAAATTCCTGTGACTGCGGGTCATACGTTGCATTGGTCTGTAAGCCGCGCACAAAGGTGCCATGCCCCAGCTCTGTCTGGGCATATGTCCCAATCAGCTTCAGGCCAAGTGCCTTTGGCAGCCACTCTGCTTGCTGGTCGGGGCTGGCTTGTGACAGCAGCGTCGGAATGAACATCTGCACACAAGACACCCCATGTATCACTGCACTAAGCTTGCATCAGCAGCACATGCAACCATCTCACTTGGCATGGTCAACAGCCCAAGACAAAAGCGACATGCTACAATGAGACGGGGCTCTGATACACACCCCAATGTGCAGCTCCAAGCCTCCTGGAAAATCCACAAGTTTCCTTGCCTCCATGGCATCTTCCATGGTAATGACTTTCTTCCTTATCAAGTCCCTTCAGTCAGCCACAGCATGCCTCACATGAGAACTGACTGCCTTCGTGCGAATGGCCCATTGACATCATCAAGTGAGATGGTATATTTTAATGAATAGTTAGGACTCACCAGATACCCAGCGCTGCCTTCAGAGCACTTTCATAAGTGTCCTGCCTGTTCTGGTAGTACCGCTGAGACTTGTTACCCCAGTCTTGCTGATGAAGCAAGTCAGCAAGCTCTCCTCTGTGTAAACAACACCAAGAGCATTGTGAGAACAAGGATTGGGATATTATATCAGTTGCAAGATAGCCAGTGACGTGCAGGACAAAGGGAGATGGGTACTCGTGGAGCGTACAATCTTTGAAGCTTCTCTTTTCCGCCATTCAGGTACTCAGCCAATCCCTTCGTGTCAAAAGAGGCACGATTCCTTTCTGTGATCATGTCCTGTGTTGGCTCTACGTGGGTCGCCAAAACTACATCGGAACTCTGTTGGACTAGCGCCTTGGTCCTATCGTCCACCATCCTTTCACTTTGATAAAGTTTTGTGTCCATAATGTCTAAAGCACAGAACAATGTATGCAAAGGAATGGAAATTGCCTTAATAAGGCTTTGCTGATGTCACGGACAAGGCTACTTTGCGAGCACAAAAGTACAATATATAGCAAATTGCGCACAAGTACAGATGCTGGCCTTCTTTTGCTACGATGTATGCTACAAATGCTTTGTACTGTTCTTCCAGCTGGAGCAAAATAAACGATAACTCAACACGTCACCTTCACCTGAAGTCCTGTCGGCAAGCGAGTAAACGTTTAGATAGATATCGACCCTCGGTTTGTTCGTCTTCAGTGGAATGTTCACATTTCAACAGAGATGCTGCACAGCAGAAGGATTTACAATTGGAAAATGAATCATTTCACCCCTTAGAAACAATTTCAGCTTAATAATAGTCCCAAAAAGTAAAAATCTCAATGCATGCATGCCGCTAAATAATTGTAATTATCCAACCAACGTTGCGCAAATGCAGGCAAACTGCATGAAATGCATCAATTTGATATTGACATATAGCGAGCCGCTAGATCAGCAGCTCAGGCTACATTAGGGCATTTTCAAGCACAGCTTCGCCCTCTGCCTGGGCCAGTAATGGCCAGAACATACCAAATCAATCCCATCTCAATTGATCAAGTGGGTGAGTGCGGACATGACATCAATCTACATGCCTATCGCATGGCCTGAAGGCAAATGAACAAAATAGACAAGTTCCACGCTAGTACATACTCGAGACAATCTGTATGAGATAGCCATTGCGGCCAATTCAACGACACAGTGCTTCAATTGTTTGCACATTGACAAAACAATACTCAACGCATACCGCAATTTATTTTCAGCTAATACAATGAACAAACTTGGGCAAAGGGTGCTTGATCACTGGCCAGCTTGTTGTTGCTGGATGGAGAACCTCCATGCATAATGACTGGCACAGCGCAAGGACTCAAGACATCTTCTGAAGTCAACCATGTCAAACAAATTGCAGTACTTGTCACGGTGCTTGTGCTGCCAGAGGACTGTTCACACTTCCCCTGCCCGCACCTGCACCTTGGGCCAAATACAAGGTCTCTACTGCTTGTCGCACAGTCTCGGTGTCCACAGGCTTACTGCTGGTGTGACTAACCTGCGGAGGCGACGCCATTGCCACTTCATTATCGCTTGGTCCAGCGTTTGCCAAGTACAGGCTTTCCACTGCTCCCCGAACAGTCTCGGAGTCTACGGGCTGACTGCTGGTATAAACAGACGGTGCCACTGCAACGCCAACATTGCTTGGCGCAGTCCAGGGTTCATCGAGCTGACTCATGGGTGCCTGTGAAGCGGCATCGGTAGGCCCCATGCTGTCGCCTGGAGTTTGAGCACCTGCCGAACTCTGCAAGTCTGCTCCCGGCACTGTCGCAAGCGGCGCTGTCCGCCAATAGTGATCCAGTGCAGGTCCAGCTTCTTGATAAGGAGCCTCAAACTGCCATGCAAGCTCCTCGCTTACAGCAGCTGTACTTGGTGCCTCAGCCACGAGCACTGCTGCGGCCCTCTGATGCAGAGCCACGTCTGGTGCCTCTGCAGGGCCGATGAGCTCCATAAGGCCGTCTGCGGATTTAGGCGCCGTCGCTGCGCGGAATGATATGAAAGGCAGCTTGAAGCCCCACGGTCCGTTTGTGCCGGTGCTGCCGCCAGACTCTGGCTGCTGCCCAAAGGATGGCAGTCTGGGAAAGCTCCAGCCCAGTCCCGTGTCGGGCTTTGCTTCCTCTTTGGGCACCTCCTGAGCCACTGCTCCTGCTTGCAGCGGGGATTGCTGCCCGGTCATGGGCAGCTTGGGCAGCTGAAAGAGGCCCGGCGGTGGTGTTGGCGTCGGTGTTGGCCCCACTTGTGTAGGCTGCACATCTTTGGCATCTGGCGATAACTGGCCGACCGGTGATGGAGACAGCTGCGGCGTGGTCGCGCCAAAGCTCGGCAGCTTCGGGAGCTGCACTCCGAACAGAATTGGCGAGTCTGCCCCCAAGGGCTTGGCATTTGATGCCACCCGCTGACCAGTCAGCGCCGGCGGAGGGGCAAGCACTACAATTGGGGTTGTGGCCGGTGGTGGGGCGGGGCCAGAGTTCCCAATGGGCCAGGTCAGCACATCGGAGGAGGCGGCAGCTGGCACAGTGCGTGCAACTGTTGGGGCAACCTCCATGAGCTCAGTGGTGGGGGCAGATGCTGCGGCTGCCGTGCCAGAGGCTGCCAGCGCGGCCGGCTGAGGTGCGATGCTGGATGGCACACGAGAGGCCCCCTGCGTCGCAACAGCTGCTGATGCTGTGGGGGTGGCAGCTGTGGCCTGTGCACACGGCACAGATTGATTATGTCTTGGAAGAACAGGTGCGCTGTTGTTGGACTGGAACAGAGCAAAGGGCCTGCTGTCATGCTCATGACGTTTCACCCTGTCAATAAGGACAAGAGAACATGAAACAAAGGTCTGGTCTCGCGAACACAACAAGCTGCTTCACACCTGGTTAAGAAACCGTGTGATGGTGGTTCGGACTAAAGTGCAGGAGGTGGCAGAAGAGCAGCCGGAATCCTGCTTATGTGCTTCCCCACTCATCATCCAGAAAGTCCCATCGCTGTCCACACCTGCCAGACACACAAGCACATAGATCTGATGCGTCAGGATCACCAGAAACTCCACCCGTATTAATAGACATGTGTTGCCTTCACAATTTCCTCAGTGGGCATCAGAACTGGCCAGCACCGGGCATCGCTTGCGACTACTGTATACACTTGGACACGAGAGCACCTGCACGTGCAGCAATTGGGATGGAGCCGCCATCAGCGCCTTGTCGTGTGACTGTATACACAACGGCTCCGGGTCCTGCAAGACAATCAACTTCTGTACTGCAGTACTGTGCTTGGTAGAACCCTTGAATACAGAGGATACAGAAAACACCGCCCGGCATGGCATTTCACGCATGTGACCGTTAGGGTCTGTGCACATGGATTTAAGGTGACTGGCTAGGAGCTCACCCAGCTTCAGGCTCACAGGGGTATAGGCCTGCGCTAGGGCAGTGGCAGGGCTGTGTGCCAGACCAAAGAGGCGCGCAAATTGGCTAGCATTCACTGTAATCACTGGGCTTAAGAATGCTGCTCCAGCTGATGCTCCATAGTATGTTGTGTACCTGCATTACCACTCCAGATCATGCAAGAGATAAGGGCCTGACATAGGTGCTCTGCCAGTCAATCGCGTGCATTTGCTGAAGTACCAGAGGGATAGGCATGATTAGTGGGCTGAATCCCTTTGTTGCACGTACCCCTGCGTAACGAGATTGATCTCAAATTCCCCATTGACAATATCAGGCTTTATCACAAAGTAGGCAGCCCCAGCCCTCGCTTGCTCCCCATTGACGGTGATTGCAGTGGGAGCAGCTGCAACATCCATGCATGTCAGGCAAAGATTAGTACAAGGGGGAGTAATTTTACTCACAAAACAATCTGAAACCGCACACAACGCTCACTAAATTGGCGATTTTGTGGTCGTAGCATGGAGCAAGGGTGAAATGCACCTGTCCACAGGTATCCAGTGTTATGATCAAAAGTCACATGAGACAGGTCAGTGAATCCCAACTCCGGCGGAAGTGCACTGTGAGAATCTTGGAAAAATAAGCCAGTAAAGGACCCGGGCGCTGCTACTGGATATGTTGAGACTGCATTCATCTCTGAGACAAGTGGGAGCGATGTGTCATCCCCAAGAGCCTGAACAAAGCAGTCATCTCCCTTTGTATCCATCTAATTCACTGGTGATCACAACAAAACTTGGTCGCGCAAAAGGTGTGCTTGTCACTGGAAATGTCAGGACCTTCCCACACTGCAAGTGTGATCATGACAAACATGCAGAGTTTTACAACCTACCAGATCCTTGAGACTTGCTGTGTTTGTGACGGCCCAAACAAAGATGCTGCTGTTGGCAAAGTAACTAGCCAGCACAAATAGAGTGCCCTTCTCAGCAGAAGCATGGGAGCCGTCAGCCTGCAGTCAAAAGAATATTCAGCATAAGCAGCTAAAGCGCGATGGCGTCTGTTGCTGCCATTGCTGTTCCTCAACATGATGTGCCAGCCAGGTACCCATCCTTTTGGCCCCTCATGAGCGTGCTCACACCTGTGCATGGCTCAAGTGTAGGTCAGTCGCAAAGGAACCATCGGGGATTGCCCAACTGCTGTAAGTAACATAGGGAGGGATATAGCGGCTGCCAGGCATCAAAGAATCCTTTGGGATGCCGATGAGAAGGCTTCCCTTTACACATGCACTTGTGTCAACCAACTGGACCGTAAACCTGCAGCAGCCACGTGAAATCCAGTGGGTCAAAATGCATGCTTGAGGCGGACATGTGCAAGCATGTTAGATGCAAACCAGCGAACTTACCATAATCCGTACCCATCGACGCTGACCTGCAAGAACATTAACAGGCTGAGGCTTATGGCTCTTGAGGACCACTGACACCAGCCTAGAAAGGCAAGGAAAGTCATGGCATCTGTGCACGGGCCGAGGACGTCTGATGGGGGTTGTCATTGAAGAGAATTTACCTCCAATTTGGAGGCTTGACAACTTGCTCCGGGGTCAGCAAGGCAGTCTGCATGACCCGGAAGGGCTTGACCAGGACTTTGGGGGTTGAGGCCATTCGCTTGAACGACAAACGGCCCCACAAACTTGGCAGTGGGATCTACAGATACAGCTACAAATACATGGCTCCCATTGGTGGCTGCAAGGTAGAATTTGCTGGTTGCAGGGTCATAGATGCACTCTGTGCTGATCAAAGAGAAATTTACAGCAGCAGAGAAATTGAATGGTGGACTGGCACTCAGCCCTGTGGTTGCGTCCAAAACCAAAACAACCTGCGCAGCAGACTTGACAGTTGAAGTTCTCAGAGCGCAATGCAACTACGATAGGGGGTTGCCTGCGCACGTAGTGTGGAAGTAGGCGCTTACCGGACCCAAGACATTAATAATGACGCCTTTTCCGAGGCAGAATGACGCTTCAGGCAAACCAACTCCGTCAACAACTGCAGAGAGGCCTGCATAGCTCTGCGCCTTCTCTGGACCCACACTTTTGGTCTCCTGAGACACAGGCACATCTGGAGGCACCTGCAAGCAAACGCAGATCCAGTCATCGCAGCTAATAGCATGCGCCGTCTGATAGGTGCAATGTACTTTTGTATCTGGGAACGGCAATAGCAGTTTAAGTCACCTGACCAGCTGGTATCAGAGCGCAAGGGCTTATTCCTGCTGGCACAACAAGGTGTGCAAATGTCCATAGTGCCGACTGTGGGGTGAATGAGCGGACTTTATGCCTGTTCTCGCCAGCGAAGCTTGCTACGCTTTTTGCTCCTCTTGATTGTGATACAACCACAAAGTCTGCCAGTGGCACTGTCTGTTGTGCTGTTGCATACTGTGACAATAGGACAACGAGCAGTGCAAGCAGACGGCTGAGTGGCATCTCATACTATCACATCAACTCATCATGCCACAAATTGCAGAGCGATGCTGCACTGGTGCTTGGAAAACTATATTTTAAGATGAAAGCAGCCCAGCCTGTATAGCGGGCTGATCAAGGATTGTTCTCAGACCTCGCCTCTGCAGCAGATCCATTATTTTAAGATTTCAATGGATGCCCTTCACATCCATAGATTTATTGTTGCCTTCAAAGTCGTGAAGGCGTTTTGAGGATTGAACTCTGGGTGCACTACTGAAGATCTCAACTCTTCGTGGGCTTTGTAGACCTCCGATCAGGCGATTTCAAGTCTTGTAAACGCTTCACGGCTTTTGGGCATCATGCATTCTGCAGGAACAGAACATAAATGTCGGTGAACCCTTGGCGAGAAGGGAACACGACAAGTGTGCTGCCCTCAGCAGATCGATGCGATCTCTATCCCGAAGAGTGTACATGCATTCTGGATATTCGAGACATCCGCCTGAAAGCTAGCTCTGTTCGAGAGGTTGAAATATCGGTCACGTGCAGCTTCCAAACCGCGCAACTGCCGCAGGTTCCCTTACGAAAGCGACAAGAAGGAGATGCTTGCATATGAAATGTGTAACGCAAGAACAATACATCCCCACAAGTACAGTTTCCTTTCAGAAGATGACTCCTTAAGCTTCCAGGGCAACACATGTTCCCATCCAGAACAGGCGTAATCTTCGCTGCAACGCTCTCGTTCGCCACGCTATTCAGCTTTTTCTGTCCTCAGTGGTGGACTGTTCGGCCTGTCGTGCTTCTTGCAAGTATATTTCTCGCGGTGGTAAGTATCTTCCTCCTGCAGGCCTACGTGCAAGCCTGTGCCTTGTCAAAATTCCTGATTTTGATCATTGAGTGCTTGCTTGCCTTCCAGGGCTTTCTCGTGCAAGTGCTGATGCAAGATCAGCAGCTGAAAAGCGAACAGCGGCAACACATGTTGACAGTGCGCAGAATGAAGGCTCAGCAGAATGACATGCTTCAGAGAGTCTTGCAGCTGGAGCAGAGCATCTGACCTGCCTTCCAAGGCTACTATAGGACCCTGATTAATTTCTGCCTGTTTCACAGCGCTCTTGCGTGCAGCCTGGAGAATTACAATGTTGCCAGACCCGTACTGTGCTTTAACACCCATCAATCGTCACTTGTAGAAGGAGAACATGTTGTGCGATTGCAATGTAGGCTTAAGTAGATTTAACTGATGTCAACAGAAGCCGCTTACATCAGGTTGCTTGTAAAAGCCAGATCTGCTTGTGACGAGGCAGCATCAATTGTTCAACAAAGATCATCAACAATGCAACCGGCTGGGCTACAGTGGCCAGCTCTCCCATCCCATTCATTTCAACTTGTATTTGTAGCAACAGCAGATTAATCCATAATGTTCAGCGCAGCTTTCTCCGTCTGACAGATGACCATGTAGTACAGCTTGTGCACGAAAGGCTGCGTCTCATTGTCCATGACACTGGAGAGCGTCTCGATCATCTTCACAGGCTGCAAACAACACACAGATTGGATCATTACCTGACAATATTGAGCATCGTCTCACACACCGCCCTCTTGGGCAAGGAAGGCGCACTACAGCAGCCAGTGCAGCGATAGAAGGGCAGATTCAGCAAGCATAGCACAGTGGGACCCCGCCTTACCTGGACATGCTCCTTCAGCATGTTCATGACGTACTCCACCATGCTGAGCTCCTCCTCACCCAGCAGCTCTGCTGTCTTCTTCAAAACCCACTGTGACAGCTTGGGAGCCATGCTGAAGCTGTACTTATCGTACACATCCCACTTAATGGGGTAGGCAAAGACTGCGTCCTTGTCTGTGGGGATGTTCTTCATCAGCTTTTTGAGAGTTGCCTTGTTGTCTGCGGGCTTCTCCGCAGAAGGAACAGCCTGATGGCCAGACAAACAGTTGTGAAGTACCCCTGGCATCTCCAGCACTTCTTAAGTTGCACTTACAAAACAGCATGCCGTTGACAGGACACAAAACCGGCCGCTCCATCGCATGTATGTCGGACAGTGGAGGAAACATGCCTGTGTCTCCTGCATGGCTTGTTTCTCCTCCTCGGTGTAGGTGAGAGGGATGAGCTTCCTCTTGGGCTTGTCTTCCTCCTCATCGCCACCAAACACTGACAGAAGAGGCCTGCATGAAACAAACAATGCTCCTTGGTCTGGTCCTGCAGACAGAACTTGAGCACATAGGTAGGACAAACACAGTAATTGCATGGTTGCAACGCGAAGCAGTCCTTACTTGCTTGGTGGCCTGCTGGGGCGCTGTGAAGAGGTGTCTTGTGAGCTGTCAGGAGCAGGCGAAGGTCGAGCGGCAGTCCGTCTGCTGCTCTCCGCCTGCTGCCGAGCCTGCTCCTTCTCCAGTTGTTCTGCACTTATCTGAGGCGGAGGCGGCAGCGCAACAGGCTTTGGCTGCTCTTTAGCTGCTGCTACCATGGCCTGCAACAATTGCAAGTATGACAAAATTGGCGCTTGAAGTGAAAGGCAAGCAGCAACTCCTTGGACAGTAACATGAAGAGAAGGAATCCAAAAGCCATGTCTCCGAGATCCAACACACAATATAATATTTGAGGTCGATTGCAGTGCTCGCCTGGTAGATGGGATCATTGACGTCCACATGCATATTCTCATCTCCGGAGGTTGAGGGATGAGATGCCCCATTCTCTTGGTAGCTGTGATCCCCTACAAGACACGAGACATCACGCTCACCACGCCAGTAGACACGCCTCGCAACAAAAGAACAGTCAACCCTTCTGACGGGCAGCCAGCATAGCAGAAAACACAAGCACCAGATTGCATCTGCTGTCAAGGTTGTTTAATGTCTCACCATCCATGGACTCCCCTCGCTGTGCCTTGGCTGCTCTCTCATATGTCTCAGCAATGCGATCCGATGCATCCTCCTCTTCTTCCTTCTCCCTCAAACGTTTTCTGGCCTGTGCCCTTTGACTGCAAACCCAGCGCCAATGCATCAGCTACCAAAATCCAACCAACACTCATAGACCCTTGATCGTGAACAGACTTCACCATCACCTTGCAGGCAGAGAAAGAACACTTTGAAACAGTGACAATCATTGTTAGGCATACAAGTGGAGATTGCAGCCTACCTGGATGCAATGGGCTTGCGTGCCCAAGGCTCATCCTCACCATCGCTGTCAGCATACTCCAAACTTGCACGAGATCTCCTTGCGCGCTCCTTGTAAGCTGCCCTCTCCAGCTCCTGCTCTTTTTCGGCCCTTGCCTTGGCATCCCTGCCGATGCCAGAGCAAACAGTCCGTCAGCAGAGACCAAATGCCGGTGTGCAGCACAAAATTAGAAAGTTCTGGATCAACACAATGTATCAGGACAAGGATGCACAAGGCCAATTCTGGCACACAATTTCGCAATCGAGTTTGCAATATGCTGACAGGTCAACAGCAGGTTGTCACAACTTCGCAAACCATGATGAAGAGCTGAGGGAGGCAAGCTTGATCATGTGAGAGTCAGCATATCTGTAGGTTTAGCTTGGAGGCCTCAATTGAGTCAAGTGATGTCGTCTGCTATACATCCCTGGCGCTCATGTGGGCGCCAAGCTTGCTACACAGGTCAGCAAGCAATAATCCAGGACAGATATGACAATACATCAGGGGATATCATCCCGTAGACATCCTTGACAGGCTCAGTGAAGTGCAGATCCTGCAGTGCCATATACAGTCAGAGGTTCACAGCTTACCACACTTGGCGCTGCTAAGAAACAACTCCATGTCCTAGGCAAGCAGCCAGCGTCTGTGGACAGACCACAGGTTTGTGTCAATGGGGCAGCTGATGCACTCACAAACCCACATGCTGGAAGGAGCGGCCTGGTAGGTTCAGCTGGCCAAGGGGGCAGGGGCGGGATATGCCACAGTCGAGGGGCGGGACGTGGACCCGATTGTACCCCACAGATTTTCAAGGAGTCGCGCACCTCTCGTGCTTCAACCAGGACCGCTCCCGCTCCTCGTAGGCGCGCTGCAGCTCCATGTGGCGGCTCTTCTCGCGCTCCTTCTCCCGCGCAAACTCGGCCTCCATCTGCCGCTCGGACGCGCGCTCGGCACCGTCCCGGGACGGCCGGGCGCGGCGGTCGTCGTCGCGGCGGCGGCCGCGGTCGTCCCTCATGCTGCTGAGGAACTGGTCCGCGGCCTTGTACGCCGAGGCTTTGGACGCCTGCTCGCTCACGATGGCCATGATCTTCTCTAGGATGGCATTCTCCCTGCTGGCCTCCGCGTCTTCGCCCTCCTCGGCGGCACCATCTGACCCGCCATCCTCCGCCCCACTCCCTGCCGTGGCTGGCTCACCCTTGGCCTTGGCTGCCGCGGCATCCCTTTCCTTCCTGGCCTGCAGCTCCTCAATGTATTTCTCAGTGGCTGTGTTCCACTTGAGCAGCAGCTCCTGGCCGTCCAGCGACAGCTTGTTGAGCAGCTGCAGCGCCTTGAGCACTCCGTCCGCCTCCTCATACTCGCAGAACCCAAAGCCCTTGGGCTGCTGTGTTTCCGGGTCCTGCACCCTCTTCCAGGATTTGATCGGACCGCAGGCCTCCAGCAATGCTCTGATGACGCTGTCATCCACCGTGGGCGCAATCTTGCCCACGTACAGCGTGGTGCTCTTTGGCGGCATCACACCGGACACTGGCCTCGGTGATGGAGCCACTATGACAGGTGCGCCTGCATCAAATCACACCTCCTCAGGATTTCCACTATTCGTCAATTTCTGCAAAGCAGTGCTAGCAAAGTGGTGTTGATCAAAGGGAGAGACGCTGCAACACCTGTAGGGGCTGGGAGCACAGGCGGTCGGCTTAGAATGCTGGGTCTCATTGTCTGTGGTCTTTGCAAGGGCATCACTGGTGGCATCATTCCTGGTGGCCGAAACGCTGCACCTACAAAACAATCGGACCCATCAGTATGGTTTGGTAGGTGTCCAGGAGGTTGCGCGCTCTCCAACGATGTCCGAAATAGAATGCTTTGTACAAGTTTGAGATGTGTTGGCGACAGGCCTGCACACTCTCGCGATCGGACTGGGCACAGACCTGGAGGCATCATAACAGGTACGCCAGGCGGGCCGGAGAATGGCATGCCAGGCGGTGGGAGCCCGTATGGAAATAAGTTTGGGGGAGGATTCATAGGTGATCTACTCCACAAGGTACTTTGTCCGACGCCAAGTTTGTTTTCTCTTCTACTGGGTGCTTTGTCAGTCCCCAGTCTCTGTTCCTGAATGGCATGCCTTAGAGGTCATTCTACGAGCTTGTGTTCCCGAACGGTACCGGTTAGATGTACTGCCTCCAAATGGACCCATCGCAATGGCATGGCAGTGGGTCAACCGCCTTCCTGTCTAGGGCCAATACACAGGGGTAGTTGAAGCAAGACCCTTTCAATTCCTGACGCCTGTGGAACATCGACTTTCACTCAAGCATTGCAGGTTTACATAATCGAATACGCATTCTGTGTAACTCAAGTTGAGCATTGTTTGCAATAGACTGAGTGTCGGTGTCTTTGTCGAAATACGCGGGGAAATTCAGTAGTTTTCCGATCTGTGGAGCGATCTGGCCGCTTTGCTGAGTATGCAAGTCATCGGAGGTCACAAAGGCATATAAAAGTAAGCTAGATGGTGGATGATCGTGATAGGCAGCAGGAAGCCTCGACCTCGGACCGGAAGCCAGGCACCAGGGTGAAAGGAAAGGTGTGCTGGAGTAGTAAAGCGAAATAATGAACTATAAGGTTATATTGTGTGCAGATGATAATGTCTTATGCACATTGGTTGCGTTCACTGGCTGAAATCAGAACCGAGACAGTTTGCTGCAGTTTAATTCTATGTGTGCCTGGCTTAACATCATTTTTTCTATGTATGCCTGACTTGCAGCATGACAAACCCAAGCCCTGGGATCATGACGGAATCAATCATTGGGAGGTATCGAAATTCTCCAAAGAAGATAATCCTTATGGTCTCCTGGAAGAGAGTTCTTTTGCAATACTGTTCCCTAAATACAGGGGTGAGCGCTCAGCGACTCTGTCCTAGTTGATTTGCTCACGTACCTTTGAAGTGATGTCGTGCTGAAGCTCAATGTGCTACTGTACAGAGCGGTACCTGAGAGAGATATGGCCAGCGGCGACCAAGGCACTGAAGGAGGTCGGCATTGGCTGCGAGCTGAACTTAGTGAGCATGCGCAGAACTCCCTAGTGATCCTGGACCGTGCAAAGTACGTCAGTATTGTGATGCTCAATCTTTTGTGCATCCTGATCTTCAACGCTTATGTTTTGATTAGGTGGAAGGCTCCATGACTGTACGCACCACAAGGAAGACATGGGACCCATACATCATCATGAAAGCTCGAGATCTGCTGAAACTTCTGGCGCGCAGTGTGCCATACCCCCAGGCATGCAACCCTGCAAATGCTCTGACCTCGCTGGCCTGATCTTTTACGGCTGTCTTCTCTGCTGTGGTGATTTGTGCAAGAGATACCATTACAACATTGTTTGTGCCTTCTGCAGGCTGTCAAGGTCCTGAACGATGACATGCAGTGCGACATCATCAAAATTGGGGGACTTGTACGCAACAAGGTGTGCTTGGTTACTGCATTGTGATTGCTGCAGCAAGGCTGTATTTAACTGATAGGAAACTACAACATTATGGGGTTGCTGCAATGCAGGAAAAATTTGTGAAGCGGCGGCAGAGACTGCTGGGACCAAACGGTGCCACATTGAAGGCCCTGGAGCTCCTGACGAACTGCTACATCCTTGTCCAAGGCAACACTGTGTCTGCCATGGGTCCTTTCCAGGGTCTCAAACAGGTGTGAATCTTACCGAAGAGCATGACTCATGTTTGGTTGTCTGTGATGCTGTTCTAAAAGTCAACATCCTTGCGTGGGGGTGTTATTGAATATGGACCTGCTTCTGCAGGTCCGGCGTGTGGTTGAGGACTGCATAAAGAACGTGCACCCCATCTACCACATCAAAACGCTCATGATCAAGCGGGAGCTGGCCAAGGACCCCGCCCTGAAGGAGGAGAACTGGGAGCGCTTCCTGCCCAAGTTCAAGAAGAAGAACGTCAAGCGCAAAAAGCCAGTGGTCACCAAGAAGAAGGATTACACCCCCTTCCCGCCTCCGCAGCAGCCCAGAAAGGTGTGATCACCTGCCAAACCTCACCTTCTGTCTTTGCTTGTTCACACCTTGCTTGTAGAGCACGGGACGCACTGTACTCTCGCTGCGCACTGTGCTCTGGTCGTCATGTGAATGTCATGCTCATGTGTGTGTGGGGGGTAAGATTGGCAATAGAGGAGCTGGGGATCTGTTCAAGCGCTGGGAGTGAGGTGCTGAGCACCGCCTCATTTCTGTTCGCAGGAAGACTTGGAGCTGGAGAGCGGAGAGTACTTTCTGGCGCAGCAGGAGAAGGCCAAGCGCAAGAAGGCAGTAGAGCAGGCACAGCAGGCGGAGCGCGTCGCTGAAAAGAAGCGCAGGCGCCAGGATGCTTTTGTGCCTCCACAGGTGCCTACTACTTATCTTATGTTAATGGATCACACCGACGTCCATGATCCTTGCCTGTGACATGGCAGAACCCTTGTAGAAGCGTCCTGTCAATCAATGAATTGACCACCATATAAACGTGGAGCTTGGGTAGAGTTAATGAGTGACAATGACGGGCGCGCCTTTTTTGTCCAGGCTTCTCCAGCCCAGCCTGTGGTCCAGGAAGTGAGGAGCGCGAATGCTGACCTGGCAGAAATGACACAGTCATTGAAGAAGAAAGCAAAGAAGAGTGCGCTCTCTCCCTCTCTGCTCTCCTGCACATACAGCTGCCTCCTGACCAGTCAGCATAGTCAAGGACCAGGCTGTTCTTTGGGCATGCGTCCAACCATTCTTCCCACGTACTGTAACTTAGATATCACAGATAAGAGGCTTACTGATCTCCTTTCGGCTTGTCTGGCAGGCCTGAAGCGAGATCATGGGGACGAAGGTGGTCTGGACCAGTTCTTGGCTGTCCCCTCAGAGCAGAACGCTGACGCAAGTGGGAAGAAGAAGAAAAAGAAGAAGCTTGCTGGCTAAGGACCCCAGTGGAGCCCTCATGCCGTGGGGAGATGTTTGAAATCACCGACAAAGTTGTGCATAAATAAAATTGAATGCCACAGTGGCAGGGTGTTGATACATGTGTTTGGACGCCTGAATTCTGGCGCAAACATGAGCCACTGACAAGTTGACTGTAATTGAGTTCTGTGCATCCAAGTCCTTCCTGTCTGAGTGTGAAAGCGTGTCTAATGATGTTTGCACAGCATCATGGTTATATTACAAATATAGTAGTACTTGTGTACACCCACCAATCACTGAAAGCAGTACTGCATGCTGATGCCATCATTCCCTCAGGGCAGTCTAAAGCTACACTGCCCCTGGGCCAGCTGGTGTAAGTAGTCTCTGGTGACACACAAGCATGACCATTCTATTCAACTTTTTCTTCTACAAATTCTAAGAGGATAAGATCAATTCTCAGCACCAATCAAAATTTAAGCGCCATAAGGTCATTCCCTGTGTCCTCTCCCATTTTGCACAGCTCAGCAGCTGCCGGTGGGTTCATGCAAAAATGATCAAACCGTCTATTCTGTACCTAGCTATCATGGCTTGTGAGTCATGCACTAGCTGGATTGAAGGCAAACTGGCAACTCATGACTGCCTTGCAATCGTTCGGTAACATGAGAAACTTGTCCAGTAAGACATCCTTTGTGGGATCCAAACGCGCCACTCCCACCAGTCTGCGAACAAGGGACAAGGATCTCAGGTTAGAGCTATGTCAACACTTGCTGCAGTGATGCAGGCCATGCTGAAGTGCTATGCTCATCAGCAAGATACAGTATGAAAAGATCAGGCTGGCATCAGAAAATAACTTACTTAGCATAGCCATCCTCATTCATTCGTTGGCCTGTTCCCCCTTGAACATCGCCTTGTACGCTCTCAGTTGTCAGCAATGTTGTGACAACCAAGGGTGGTGCCTGCATATATCAGCAGTATACATCTTTTCAGTTCCAAAGTAGCAGCGCAGCACCACAATATAATTGCCCCCTTGACACAACACGTTGCTCATTGTCCAGACATCGATTTACATGGGGATATGAGTTCACCTTATACAGGGGGCCCGCTGTGAAGAGGAAGTCAGCCAAGAATGTGAGCTCGGCTTTTCCAGTTTTTCTGTCCACAAATCCCTGCAGCAGAGCACGGCACAAGTGAGCCCGCTAGCAGCGACCGATTTGGGAACCAGCTCATCTGCAGAAGTTTCCTCTCAGGGGACTGGACCAGAAGTTACCTCCAACTTCCTAGGCTGGACAGCGATGCTGAAGGGCGGAGCCATAGGTACACCTGCACCCCAACAAAGGTGGGGTTGTGAAGCACTTATGCCTCAAACACTGTGCCAGGGGATGGTAGCTATACCTTAAAAGATACAAGAACTCAACATTCATCCATCAAACTTGGTGTTGGATGCATCGAGTGGAAGCCCTTGGTCCATCGGCCATTTTGGAACCCTTAGGATGCTATCTCATCTGTCCACTATGTTCAAAACTGATCGAGCGTTGTGGTCCACGTGGCCTTGAGTGCTTTGGCATTCAAACCCAAACCATACCCATGAATGTTGTGTTCCGGTAGTTGACGTCAGGAATGTTCAGAGTGGCCGGGTCAAAAGTCAAGTGCACGATGTCGCCGTCCTGCGTTGCCTTCGCCAGTCCTCCGCCGCCCAAAGCGTTGTAAGTGAATGTAGGATAGATGGCGACCGCTAGCTCACTGTCATGCAGTGTCCTCATTGATGCCTGAGCACACATTTCCATGCTTGGAGTCAATGTGCAATTACTTAGGCAATTCTAGCATGCTATACTGAATCTCCTTCTGTGGGGGCCACATTACTTGTCTTCTTATATGGACATGTGTTGATCATGATCTGGATGCAGTATCGAGGAGCTACTGTGGACCTGGCCAGGTGGAGGTAGTGGCAGTTCTGCTGGGGCTGCTTCTGCGCTTCCAGGCCACCTAAGCTGCAGAAGAGGTGCAAGTATCGTGCCTGTGAACGCCACGCATCAAAGTGCTGAGCTGATAGAGGAAGATGAGTAGAAGATGAAAGAAGCTGAGTGAAGCTGTGCATACCTGATATTGCCCGCACAATGCGACCCCTGCCGATGCCAGCTGCAGACTGATTGGTCTCTGGTGACGTTGCAGACTGCTGGCATTGCGTTCGACCGCTGAACGCCCTGCGAGATTGTCGACCTCTGACAAAATTACATGTGGATAATAGGAACAGGCTTGTCGACGAGATACCACGCCTAGTACAATGCTTCACAGGCAATGCTGTGAGAGATTGCTGATATGAACACCCTGCCATTTGGATATCTGCTTGAGGCACCATAATATGTCAAGAAGTCACAATTAGCGATCTTACAACCACAAAGAGGATGAAATTGACCTGCTCAATTTGAGGGCATCAAGAACAGGCGATCCAGGATTAAATGCACTCCTCACTGCAGGGAAGGATCCACGTTGGCTCCCACGTTAGCTTATGGCCGATTGAGATTGAGTCACCTAAGCATTTCGTGCGAGCAACCTACAGTTCAGATCATCTGTCGCCTCCTTGGTGTGATGACATCAATATTGTGATGACTGCTGCCCCTATAAGATCATAGGGTGGTTGTGAGTGCTCTGATAAATGCCACCCATTCCAGTGCGCGGTCCTGCGAAAAAGGCAGCTGCACCACTCGCTGCACAAGCCAAATTTCTCCTTGAGGCAGCTAGAGAATCTGCGAGCACTTGTCCAGGGCTTGCTAGTCAGCTTGGACGGGCAGCCTTAAACGTGAGTAGTAGTACTGTGCAAAGTGTACACTGGCTGCCAGACATTGGCAGATACTTATCAAAAGTTTGCAATCACAGTCTTTGTATGATTGCAGTGTGCACAGAAGCAGCCGAATGCACTGCCAAAAGGAGCTGTGCAGACACTCTGCCCCAAGTGTGGCTGCCCTCAGGAGCCTGATAGTGAAGGCAGGTATGGAACGGCTTATTGGAAGATAAGCGAGCCACAAAGTTGTTCTTTGGGAAGCCCAGCACTTGCAGAAGTAAAACCTCCAGTACATGCAGGCGCAGATTAAAGCCAATGAAGATGCATCGTCGGAGGCGCAAAGCACTGAAGAAGAGGTGTGTCTGTCGCTGGTGTTGGATGGCAGTGATCTAGGAAGTCTGGTGGGCAAGCTGGTGCGACGCCATAAGTTTGCCTTGCAGGCAGCCCGGGAGTCAGTCAAACTCCACAATGTGTGTATATTCCTGCCGCGCATGCAGAGGTGACATCATCCTGCCTGCCCCATCGCGAGCTATGGCGCCACGGGTGAGTTGACCAGGCAATTGTGGGATGCTCATTGTGCGGGTGTCTGGGCCTCATCTTTTGACTGTGACTTATTTGTGAGTGCGTGCGCCCAGGTGGTGGCAGGATCGGGGCAGGGAAGCCCACAGCTGCTTGGGACACCGCTACTGAGTACTGGAGTGTTGGCGGGGTTGATGCCTTGATGGCGAGTAAGCTGGCAATTTGGCATAGACTTGTGTGCAGGTTAGACATTCACGGAGTTTCTTTTGATGGCTAGACAGTTTGTCGGTCATTATTGGAGTCTTGTGTGGAAGACTGACGAGATTGAGCTGTTGGAATCTGCGCAGGTCAGTGGATTGTTTTGGGTGCATGACTGCAAAGAGGAAGAGGCTGTCACATACGAAAGAATGCCAGCTGACCTGGACAGCCCAACTTGGCATGAAAGCCGCCCAGAGCAGATGTGGGCACTGTAAGTTCCAATGTCTATTCCTTCTGCACATGCTTGCAATCTGTGCCTGTCTCAATACTTGCATGCATTCAGTACCTCAACAATGTGATGCACCACAATTCATCTTGATCAGAAATGCGAGCGTTGATGACAGAAAGTGACCTCTGTGTTCCCCCTCAGGCGGCCTGCACTGATCATGAGGCCACACCTGCCGCAGCACTTCTCATTCTATACGCTGCAGCGGACTTGGAGCATTCCATCAGGAGGACGTTCACCAGACTGATGAATTGTGATCATGACATCATTGCCCAATAATGACGATGCATCCCGTGCAAGCTGGATTCTGCAGCTGCAGAGCTGCAGCTGCCAGCGTCTGCCACAATGTGACGCTGGGAGCGCTCTTGCAGAGCTCACAGGCTACCGCAGGAGTGGCAAGAGCGTGCATTGGATCGTGTGCATAGGGGTCATATTGGAGAGAAAATCTTTTTGGCAATTCTTCCCTTTTCGTTATAGGCGCGCTCCTGTCCGAGTCGGAGCTGCGCCGCGGCGGCGTCCAGAATCTTGAACCCTCAAAATGGGATGATGGAATAAACTGCAAGGGGATAAAGGGAGTGCAATTGCCTGATATCTAGATATCTAGAGAGTATTATTTTTGCATACGCTTTTTTTAAAGCGAATCCTTAGCATTTGGTTCTCGATGACCAACCGATTGCCTCGGCGAGGGTTGTTATTTCTATTATCAAGATTTCTTGCATCCGTACATTCTTCTTCCCATAATTTGTTAGAACGGCGAGGTCTTCTCCATCTCTTTCAATATTTCACGACTCATTACTCGGTGGTCGGTTCGTCAATTTTGGTTGTCTATACACACCAAATTGCAACTTCGACTTCAGGGGTCAAGAAAGACGCCTCGTCCTAAGCGTATCCAGTCCCAAAATTCTGGGACTTGTTGAGTCACCGTCTTGCATGTCTTGCAACCCTGCCCTTACACGTGCCAATCAACCCTGCACCATCATGCCATGCAAGAGCTGAGAAGTGTGGCCCAAATGTAGATTCTGGATGTCCTCGTGCAACTATCGACTAGATACTGAAAGCTCATATATTTCTCTATTCAATTAAAAAGGATTTGCACAAGCTTGTGAGTACAGTTTTAAAAGTTCGAAACAGATGTCAGGTCAGGGCGGCAGCAAGGAATTCTCCTCGCTGCTCTTCACACCCCGAACAGGCAAGTAACTGTGATAAGATAATTGCTCAAGTGCTGTAAGTACGCGGAATCTAGCACAAGGTTCTCAACTGGAGGCATCATGGTTCCTCCTGCACAGCACAGAACATGAGAGCTTCTCTTATCAAGATGTGAATAATATTGGAAGACGTATGCTAACCCATTTTTGACAATAAAAAATGTTGACAGGGGACAAGCAAGGGCTGCCAGACTATCGCTCCCCCCGCCCCACTCGCTCTCCATCAACTCAGGGCTATGGGCGCACCAGGAGCCATGCTGAGGGATCCACACCCCGCCGCCGCAGCTTGACACCAACAGGCAGCATGAAGGACAGCTTGCCACCGCCACCACCCTCCCAGAGCATGTTGGATGCCCCTGCAGGTGACCTCCTTGCCCATGCAACTTCCCTTGCATCACTTCCCAATATCACTTCCTAAAATTAAGTTCTGCTCATGTTTTCATGCAAGTGTAGGCACACCTTCTGCGCCTGCAGTCCAGCCAGACACCAGTGCAGTGAGCGAGCAATCAGGTTACTGGGCGCTGGCTCCTGCCAGGGACCAAGCTGCCCACCGTTTAGGCGCCTATGCCTTGGTAAGAAAGATCTCGCAATATTTTTGCATTCCATGGGCTTCACAGGCTGGACTTTAACCGCTGCTTGCAAGCCCATGATTCCAGATACATCTTGTCTTTTACACAGGAGGACACCGATGTGTGGGTGACTATCTTTGGATTCCAACCGAGCCAACTGCCTCTTGTAATGCGAGACTTTGCAAAGTGCGGAGATATCGCCCAATTTGGCAATGGACGAGAAGAAAATGCCAACTGGGTGCATATCAAGTATGTGGTAAGGTCTGCTTGATTGACACTAGCACAACATCACAACCAGATTGCATGCATCTACCTGCTCGTGCCATGCAATGATGGTGCCCTTTCTGCCTGTATGCATCGTGCAATAGCCTCTGCAAAGTGCGGGCCGAAGCTCTGAAGAGATGGTGCGATGATGCTTGCTGCAGAACAAGTATGGAGCCCAGCGTGCATTGCAGCGTAATGGGGAGCTGGTGAGCCGGCAACTCATGGTGGGCGTGCAGCTGCTGGACCCAAGAATGCGCTCTGCTGCACTGGAGCTCACAGATGGTGCCAGCAGCAGCATTGGACCAGTCAGCCTTCCACGACCGCAGCCAATGCGGCCCCACCGGATAGATGCATCAGCTAGCCAGGTCTGCGCTGAATACTATTCTGCATAGTATGTCCTTTTGCACATAGGTTTCATGCGTACTGTTCAAATGAAAGAGCCGTCTATGGTTGAGATCCGTGTTTTACAGTCAGGGTGTTGTGCTGCAGGGACCGCTGCCGCAGGCCGAGCGCTCCACATTAGCCAAAGTCAGGGAGTTTGTGCTTGGTTTGTGAAATCAATAGCATGCGTCTTAGCTGATTTAACATCTCCAGTCAGATGCACTATAGACACAGCCTTATCGAGCATATGAAGACAGAAGACAGGTGACAAGAGTCTCTTCACATTACGAACTAGGCCACCACGGGATCTGAACATTGTCAGCTTACTACAAGATCTGATACTGAAATCTTGGCACTGCCTGATGGCATCTGTTCCTGTTTGATGCCAGTGCTGAGTAATGTTAAGACTTAATAAATTCGCGCATGCTTGTAACATAGCTAAACTGCCAAAAGCTAGCGCATCACTGTGCAAGTAAAGCATTGATTTCATGCATGTTCCATATGTGCCATGTTCCTAGTCTAGACCAGATCTGTGTTTGCATGCTCTGCAGATGTTCTCTACATATCTAAAGCCATGACTATGATCTAATCCACCACCAGAAGCCGATCAGCAGACAGCTGACCAGGAACATGCCCCCATATGTAATCCATTTGTCCATGCGTTGCCTCCTCTCGATCACCCGCAACAAGGAATCTGACAGCCCCACACTATTCAGCAGGTCCAACATCTTACGCTGCGCTGACTGCACCAAGACACAACAACATGGTGTCAGCCAGTAATTTTCATGTACATTTAGAAACGTCCTCAGCAGTTGGTTCCCCAAATAACGGAAAGATGAACTCAAGGCTAGAATCAGATCACATGGCCTGCTGCCCGGAATGGGCGATACAGCAGTTGTTCAAGTGGTCAGTGCCTTGCGATACCTGCTGCTCCCACAGGCACAACACAACAGATGGAAGCAGGTGAGCATACCTTCAAGCGCTCTCGCTGTCCAGCCATGTTGGTGAGGATGGCTGTGCCAGTCTGAAAGGCTTCCTCAAGAGCGCGCTTGCTGTTCTGGACGTAACCCATTGCTTGTGCATCATCATCAAAGGTTGATCTCCATCCACCAGGGCCATTTGCATCTGATCGGGAAAGTAGGTCCGCCCTCTCTGCTTCCTCAACACGCCGCCTGCAGGCGCATCGACATGAAAGCATAGGTGAATATTTTTCAGATTTCCAGGAGGCAAGACAGGACACGCAGAGGTAGAACATGAATGAAGGCGACAAGTCTCCACATGCACAAAAATTCACAAATTAGCACACCTTCGCTCCTTGTGTGTGTGCTTCTCCAGGGCTGTACGCAGGGCATCTGTCTCTTCTGACACCTGCTCCACCTTCAGCTTCCACAGGTCCCTCTTAGTGTTGCTTTCTCGCAGCACCTGCATTCGCCATATGCTGTCCATCTGCTGGCTGATGCGCTGCAGCTCCCCCAACTTACCATCCAGCTGCTGAGCAAGGCCTGTGGCCTGGCCATACTGTTGATGTACCTGCTCAACTCAACATGTATCTGTCACAACGAAGGTGCCAAACGAAGGTCTGGGCTGCTGTGATTAAGGCATGGCCCGTTGAGTAGCAAATTAGATGCGTGTTGCAATCAGAAGAGCATTAGCAGCCGTCTCACAAGCTCGAAACAAGGGGGCAGGACTGCATGTGCACCTGATCTCCTTTCTCGAGATGCTCGAGGCCCTCCCGAAGTGACAGTATAAGAGTGCGTGCTGATCTGTGTAGAGTCTGCAGATCGCTCATGCGATATCAGAGGAGTGTTGCAGAGTTCCGCAAGAATACACCAATTTTCAATCAAAGATTTAGATCAAGTTGGCAAGCCTCAACATGGTCCAAAATTCCGACAGGTTCACACACAAACAATTGATATTGATATGGCTTTTTCATGTGCAGCTGTAAATCTGTGCGAGCTCACATTGAAGAAGGCCTGAAGAGGAAGGTGAAGCGCACAGTTGGAAGCTGGCCTGATATGCGCCAACCCTCAGGGGTTAGGTTCCGGCCAGGGTCGATGACCTGTTTAATGCGAACACGTGATTTCACATGCAGCATGCGCATGCACGCGCGATGGAATCTTTCCCTTGGGCCGTGCAGTGCTTTGTGCGAGCAATCAAGATCACAAGCAAGTTGTGTTCGGCTAACACTTCCCGTAGGTCTGAAATCATGGCGACTGTCGACGAAGCTAAGTCGCTGATCAGCGAGATGTGTCAGAACTTTTATCAACAGGGCTGGGTGTCTGGCACTGGAGGTGGCATGTCCATCAAGGTTGCGGATCGTATTGTCATGGCTCCTTCTGGTGTTCAGAAAGAGAGGATGGTTCCCGAGGACATGTTTGTGCTAAATTCTTCTGGAGAAGTCCTTGAGACTCCGCGTGCAAGGCCTGCCCCTTACAGACCACCAAAGCTCAGCGAGTGCTCGCCACTGTTTATGGCGGTATGTACAGCAGAACTTGGCCAGGAAGCTTCCTGCTGAGCATGGAATGAGGTATCTAATATTTCCAAGGGGCCTCCTTCCATTGATTACTTGTGATCTGCGCACTGATAGCAGATATGCTTCCGTGCACAGGCATATGAATTGCGAGATGCAGGGGCTGTGCTGCACAGCCACTCCTTGAATGCTGTGTTGGCCACTTTGATTGACGAGTCAGCCAAAGAATTCACAGTCACACACTTGGAAATGATCAAGGTGCGTAGGCAGGGTCTCTGTACGAATAAGTGTGCTTACAAAGCTACCTTACTTGAAGGAGTTAGCACCCGGTAGATTGCAATTGAGCTCAACTTCCTTTTGGTGATGCGTAACCAGGGCATTGCTGGACATGGGTACTATGGCAACTGTGTGGTGCCGATCATTGAGAACACAGCCAGAGAATGCGAGCTGACCGGTAGGCTTGATACACTTGCTTCAATACATCAGTATTGCGGAGATAATCTGGTTCTCCCACCACACCATGAGTTTGCAAATTGCAGACTGTGCATGCTCTGGGTATGAGATCCAAGCTCTGTGCTCACACTCGTAGAGATGTTCTTTTTATCTAAAAGGGATGCCATTGCAGGACGGCTGCGACAGGCAATACAGGATTACCCCGAGTCCAACGCTGTGCTGGTGCGGCGACATGGCGTGTATGTGTGGGGCAAAGACTGGATTCAGGCCAAGACTCAAGCGGAATGCTACGACTACTTGTTTGAGGCTGCGCTGCGCATTCGCTCCATTGGCATCAATGCGAGCCTTCCTCCAACGCCCACCCCCCTGCAGAACGGACATGCCCACACAAGTGAGTACATTGCTTGTGTTCTCAAACACTGCTTCCACTCCTAGCCTGGGCGACACATATTTTTTAGATCCATGTGCCATTCAAGTTGGACAGAAGGGTCCGAGCTACTTTTTGTCTGAGCAAGCCTGCTATGCCACAGATGCTGAGCATACAAGCAAGAAGGCGAAGGTGGCAGTGGCAGCCAAGCAGCCAAAAGCCATCGTGCTGGATATAGAGGGCACTGTGGCGCCCATCTCCTTTGTGACTGAGACGCTGTTCCCCTATGCGCGCCAGCGCGTCAGGGAGCATCTCAGCAGCACATATGACAGTGAGGAGACGCAGGCTGACATTGCTCTTCTCAAAGATCAGGTGCATCCCTGCGCTGTATTTCGTTCGTCCCTGTTCCAGATGCTGCTTTGCATGCTTGTTGAAAAGTGATGTACCGTATTGCATCCCTTTATGATGTGGCAAGCTCAGGTTTGGTGCACGTGATGCAGAGCGAGGAGGATGTGAAGGCTGGCAAAGCGAGCACTTTAATTCCAGCTGGCAGTGAAGGGAAGGATGCCGTCTTGGAGGCGGCTGTGGCCAGTGTCTTCGCTCAGATGGACGAGGACAGGAAGACCACTGCCCTCAAAAGCCTGCAGGTGAGGCTCCACCATTCTACTCTGCACTTGCTCCATCGCCGAGCACTTTGATTGATTGCTGTCATTCTCTTCTTGTCGGCTCCTGCGAGCAGGTCATCTGCTGTGTTCAGGGACACATCTGGAGAGCGGGGTTCCGGCAGGGCGCCATCAAGGCAGAGCTGTTCAGGGATGTGCCAGACAGCCTGGTGAGCTGGCGCGACATGGGCATCAAGACCTACATCTACTCCAGCGGCAGCCGCGAGGCCCAGAGGAACCTGTTTGGGCACACAGCTGCGGGGGACCTGCGCCCCTACCTCAGCGGCTTTTTTGACACACGCGTTGGAGCCAAGGTCAGCTGCCTTTACAACTGTCTTGCACTGGTATAAGCATGGGTGGCTTGATGGTAAGAGAGTTGGCAGATGAAGCGCCATGCAGTTGCACACGCCACTTTTCAATTAGCTGTGTGGTCTTGCAGGTTGAGGCACAGAGCTACAAGGAGATTGAGCTTTCACTCGGGGTGGATGAGCCGTCTCAGATCATGTTTGCTACCGATGTATACGGAGAGGCTGTTGCTGCCAGTGAAGCTGGTTGGGAGGCTGTTCTGGTGGTGCGCCCTGGAAACAAGCCGCTGCCTTCTGATGCCGCTGCTCGTTTCAGGATAGTCGAGTCTATGGAAGAGCTGCTTGAGTGAGGCAAATCAGTAGAAACCTTGTGAACTGATGCGCTGTTTACAATGACATGACTTGTGTTTGTTTGGAGCAACAACTGTGTCAACAGAGCCTTCGCTCATTGACCCTGAAGACATCATTGCACCAGGGAACAAAAAGGTGACAATTTTGAGGTAGACTGCCAGCTTCAGGCAGAAACTTCAGAAGTGACAAGTCCTCTAAACATTTGATATACATCTTCACTGTATCAGCATGTTTTGTACAAGCAATGGCAGTTGCTCAGTGGTCCAGCTGCAGATAGCTGGCCAACAAGTATTCAACGCCTTAGAAAACCTCACTTTCATCTCACTGCTGCCAAAAGCTGCATCCGTTCTTGCATTGCAACCTTGCATGTCAATGTCACACAGTGCCTAGGTAGATCTCCAGAACGGTGGCACAAAAAGTTGCGATTGAATTTGCTTCCCTGTGAGACTCACAGTCGGAACATTCATTGCCATACTTTGTGGTACTTCCAAAAACCCAATCTGATGTTTGTGGTCCTCTACAGCATCTTATCAGGCACCCGCACTTCTTGAGGCCTCCTTTCGCAACTTTGCATCTGCTCTTTGCCGAGTCTCCAATTTTTCCTTTGCTGCCTGGAACACAACATCCCGTTGGAGGAATGTCCTTTGGACACAACAACAAACAGTTCACAAAAGTGTACCCTTGAGACACCCAGAAGCATGCTGGTGTGACTGCAGTACCTGGGCAATCTGCCAGTTTGGTGCCTCTTCCAAGAGGCACTGCAAATCTTCTCTGAATCTGCTGTCTGAAGGCAGTGGCATGGAGCTTGGATGCCACCTGTCAGCATTGTCCTCCGCCAATGTCCAGTACCTGGAACATAGTCATGCACTTCAATTAGGAACTCCTGCTGCTGCATCCCGATACTTCACTTATCAAAACCTTCATCTTGAGAAATGGCCAATAGGAGCGCACCTTTCGCCTTCCCAATCCAAATGTGACAGCCAGTTCCCGGAGCATGATGCCACCTCTTCTTGTCGGTAGAAATTATTCTCTGGCTGGTGCACAGATGAGGAGGACAGCACGCTGTGAAAAGCATTGGCCAGCCCTGACAGACTCTTCCTTGACTTGAGCTCCCTCTTCTGCTGCAGCAACAGCAAAGTAATAATACATGGAATGCAATGGATATTTGCTAGCATCCTCTCTTAGGGGGCACGAAAATAGCTGTCCAAGCCATGGCAAATTGATGAACCAGCAGAGGCACACCAAGCCATTGGCTGCAAGGTTTGGGGCCGTGCTGTAGCGAAAGATGGACCCTGAGAGGGCATCGGGCCTCTGCAGCAGATGGTCTGTCGAATCTGCCACTTTTCCAAAAATGACATCGCAGCACAGCCCATTTTTTGCATCCACAAAACGAGCCTGTCCTCCGATGTCACCTCGAGGCCTACTTGTGTACAGAATGCCTGCAAATGAAAGCGCGCTGTTCAGAAGTCCTGTCACACATCAGAAACTCTTGCCAGAACTGGAGTGGGCTTCAAGGGCTTTGTCACCTCTCAGGTAGTATTTGGGGTAGGTTATCTCGACGACAGTGCCATCTGCAAACGTCACCCTTCGCTTCCCTCTCGCTGTCGTCTTGACTGCATTGCCCTTGTACTGCACTTCTGGCTGAGAGTACCCCGCAAACTCAAAACTGTTGCCTGCACCAAGTTTGAATGCCTTCAGTTAAAGAAGGGCCCGCACTGCACTTTTGCCAATGTGGCAGAAACATGTTTTCGTCTCTGGCTCATTTTTTTGGATGAGAACGGTCCACAAGAGAGACTATGTGGGGGGCCGTCGAGCACCTGGGCCAATCATTTGAAATGCAGATACAGGCGGATGGTGAGTGAGCTGCTCGAAGAACACTGTGACGCCATCGTCCAGCGTAGCCTGCCAAGTCTCCCCCAATATGGGATTGAATGGTTTGCGCCAAGACTGGAAAACATGCTGCAGCCCCGCCACAAACCTGGAAGCAACACGCCAGTGCAGTCTCATCCCTCCTGATGCTGCTCACAATCCCATGAAGCTGCCCCACAATATCCACTGCCTCTTTCTTCTGCAAAGCGCTTACCATGTGATCAGCCACTTCATGCGAAGCACGGGGTCGTCGCAGGCAGCGGCTCGTGTCAGAATCCGTGAGTGCACCCAGACATCCGACAGCTTCTCCAGGTAGGAACGGGGCTCAAACATTTTCACAGGCATGGACAAATTGACCAGATTTATATGGCCAGTCAGTAGCTGTTTTCCCATGTCTCTGATTAGCTCGAAGATTGCTCCTCGCTGCTGTTCCAGCAGGGCCCTGTTGTTCATGGCGAGGCCTCCCTCCTCATGTGCATCTGGATGCATCAGTGTCTGCAATTAAATGCACCAGTGAGTATCCTGTGCTTTACTGATCAACATGACCTTAAGAATATATGCATGGCGACGCAGACTGAAGGGCCTGGGAAGCCTCTAGAGGCAGTCGGGTTGTCACATCAGCATATGCTAAGAGATATTCCCTCGCATGAAAGAGAGAGTTGGGGCAGCTGCTGACGCCTAGAATATATCCAAACGGATGCAACACTGTAACATGTGGTTTGCTCGGCGTGTTCCGGGACTTGAGGCTAGAAAAGCACGTCAGGATTTTGTGACAACCATGGAAGCCCTGTTACATTGACGGGACCACCCAAGCGGTACAAATGCTCTAAAATGTCTTAATGACATATATGAAACAGGACAGCATTAAGCCTCTTATTCATTTGTCTTTTCTCTGCAATCAACGGCTGCCTAAGTTTTGTCACCTAACCTGCAGGAGGCCTGTGACACGCACCTCGGCAGCATCCTCGAATGAGTCTTCGTCCGACTTCAACCCATTTTCTGCAGAGAGCGACCGATGCATTGTGTTGCAAATGCCTGAAGACAAACTTTCCCTGAATACCTCCTTCGTTGGGAGCCCGCTCCCGAAACTGCTCCCTCTGAACAACTTAGCCATTCTGAACCTTTTCACACAGTATACTTCGTTCTCGAGTCTCTTATCATCATGCAATAGCTGCACAGAACACACTGCACAAAGACGCAAATGCAATCTCACTGCGGAATTGAATGAGATTCAGACCCGGCCGGGGGGCCCCCAGCTTCCCCGAGCCGCGAAGCTAATCCCTTCCCTCTGCCCCCCACAGAAGAAGAAGGAAAGGATGAAGTTGTGTAAGAGTCAAATTTGATTTAAGTATCGATCAGGGAGAAATTGACAATGTTGAAAGGGGTGACATCTATGGCGCGGGCCCTACGAACACGCCCATCAATTTCGCAAACAGTACAGGCTCTAGCAAATCAAGAGACGGAACGGTATGGGGAGACAAAGAATCCATTCATCGATTTTATTGTCGGTTCATTTATGCTTGTTGACATCACAGGCCTGAACACCATCTTGTTGGACTCTAGGTGGGCATGTGCACGCTACGATCTGGCAGTGCAGCCTGAGCTCAAGCAGTATTGGGCACTGCTGCATGCTGCTAATTTCTCTGCGGCAAAGAAAGGTAATATTGTTTGGGCAGGCGCTCTGCATTAATCCGAGGTGTGGTACTGATCTAAGCATCTGCTTGAGGTAGCATGAGCAAACGTGCAGCATGCTGAAACAGGCAAAAAGCAGTCAGTGGCAGTAGTGAGTGGTCCAGAAGCTGTCGACCTGCAGGATACCAAAAGGTGCATGCGCACCTGTACATTTATGTCGACATTCTCAAATTCACATCACAAGTCGAATGAAAACTTCTAGCGTCTACATTTCACTCGACATTAATATGATTCTGCAGGGGCATGGAGGCTTCAGTGGAGAGGTTGCAGGGTATCCTTGGCAGTCTGAGGGCTGGAAGGGCCTCACCAGGTGCGGCAAAGCATTCACCCCTGCTGGGATCCTCAGGTCTCATGTGGCGTCCTTGACTCTCTTCCTTGCGCAGGCATGCTGGATAATTTGAAGGTGGATGTGTATGGAGACAGAATGTCCTTAAAAAGCATCGGATCTGTGTCCGTGCGGGACAGTCAAATGCTAGTGGTATCACCTTTTGATCCTCAGGTACGACCATCTTTGCATTGCACATGCATGTTGCTCTATGCTAGATATTTGGAAGCTTGTCACCACAGCATTGTTGCTGAGGGCGCTGCAGCACTCGTTGAAAAAGCTGCAGCATGGACTGAAGACCTGCTTTCCTGCTGCAGACAGTGCAAAACATTGAAAAAGCAATCAGGGAGGCACCGCTGCAACTTTATCCTAAAATTGAAGGGCAAGAGGTGCTGGTACCTGTGCCCAGGTAGGGCATTGGATATTCCTGCTGTCTGATTGAGGGGATTCCGCTTTCAGACATAGTTCTAGAAGATGTGCTCCAGTTGATTTTTGCAATCACACTTGGTGTGCATGTCCACAGACCAACTGCCGAAAGGATAAAAGCCATGGGCAAGATGGTGAAACAAGAGGGCGAGTCTACAAGAGTGGCTGTGCGCAATACTAGAAAATCAGTGATGGAGCAGGTCAAAAAGCTGACCAGTGAAGACTCAAGACGCACTGAAGAGAAGAAGGCAAGTAAACGCATGGGCCATATCCTGCAGCCAGCCCTTTCCTTAGAGCTTTAGTGTCAAGGAACGCTTGCTGAATTCTTTGACAGAGGTCTACACATATTATGTGTGAAGAAGCCCTGCCATGTATAGTAAATTGACGCATCACTACGACCCTGCAGGTGCAGAAGCTCACAGATGATTTCATCGAGGAGATTAATGCCATGTGTGAGAACAAGGAGAAAGAATTGGCGGCAGTTACATGATGTCTGTTGGGACTATTAAGCATGAAAACTATTTTGTGGGCACCTTGACTAGTCCTAGAGTACTCCTTGCATTGATGCCGAATGTTAGAATCACCCTTCCAAAATTGCAGCAATACTGCAAGTTTTTGGCCAGCAAACATAATACTCATGCACAAGACCTTCATGATCGCGTCATGATCAGCCTTAGACCCTACAACCCGGGGTTGTAGCACCGCTTGCAGTCTGCTTCCAGGAGCACCTCAAACTCAGCTGCTGGGTTTACAAGCAAAATGAGTCATTGATGCACCTTCAAAAATAAAGGAAATATCAGAGATGTGTGTCGGGACCTTTATAAATCCGAGGCTATAAGATCCAATGAAGAGCTTTCTGTACAGTTTACAACATCTGAAGTGGTGCAGTGACAGCACGTTATTGTCTGCATAGAATGCAACTGCGGTTTTCAGGGATGTGCCAACCATGTGGTCAGACAAAAGCGCTCGAGGTGCTTCACACAGCAATTTCACAACCGAGAAAGTTGCCAGGTAGGCCTCCAGGAATTCCAGTCTCAAGAGACATCCAGGGTTGTTGCTGCTGCTGCTGATCCTCATGATTATGAAGTCATACGCTTCCGCTCTGCATCAAGCTGCATAATGGCACAGTGGAAAAATTCAGAGGACCCCTCCATCCAAGAAGCACATTGTGCTGGGTGAAGCTGTCAAGTGATATACTGTGCGGCCTACTGGGACGCACCACTTTCTTTACACGCTCCACAATTGCTGCTCCATTGTCTGGGTGTGTGGAAGACACACTGGCAAGGTCATATGGCTCCTTGATGCTCACCTGGCAGCAGGCAGGAAATGTTCCTTAAATCCACCCCACCCACTGGGAGACAGTGCATCATGCAGCTGTCAATTTCTCTGCAGGGATCCTACCTCGCCAAGCACAACAATGGTTTTTCCTTGCCATTTGCAAGGCATCGTCTTTGACAGAGCATCAAATATACGCTGCGCCTCCTCGGTCACACCCAGCCCTTTCCTGGCTGCTTCAAATTCTGCGGCCTGCGGTAAACAAAATGCCACCCCCAATGAACATATGTGGTAGGATCATTTCTGTATCCAGAAGGATGCATACATAATCATTGAACGGCTCTTCTCAAAGAACTCTGTCGGGAAGTAGGCCTGCAACAGCTCCCACCTGAACAGCCTTCGCTTCCCGATCTAAGCACTTGCTGATATCTACATGTGGAAGCTTGGCAACCACATAATCTTTTGGTATTTTGGATGAGACTACTTTCTGCGAACGAAATGAAATAGTCAGCCTTATGACTGCAATCTGCAGTTCCCACCTCCAGCAAGCAAATGCCAGGAGCATCATGGATCAGGACTCTTCAACACACCTTTATGAAGTCTTCCTTCAGCACACGCAGGTTGCACTTAGCCGCTCCTTCGGTGGGTTCACGCAAGATTATACACTTCGTCCCTCTATCTTGTGCAAAAACCTCCCCCTTCACCACCTGCGACTGACAAGACATGACTGATACACCGAAATTCATCATCGTGCATGTGCATGAAAGGATGCATATCAAGTCCACTATTAACAGACCTCTCCAATGAGCGTCTCGAGAACGATGCTTGAGCCGACACTGTATTGATGATCAGGCTCCTGCTGTGCATTCATGACTTTGAATTGTGGCTACATCGCCGTTACAGCGGTGTGCAATAGGATTGAAGATTGTGCTCAGAGAACATCCTTGCAGGTCCCCCCAGCGGGTCCAGCAGTGGCAGCAGTGGAGCTGGGGTCCCCCTGAACGCCAGGGATCTTTGTGTGTCTGTCTCTGATTTCTCCTTTTAGCTGATATTGACAAGGTCGTAGGAATCTTTTGAAACCATTGAACAAGACTTGATAATCATTAATGAGCGCTCATTAACAAGTTCGAGCTGACACGCTGTCACACGGTCATGGCCACGGTGGCTGATGCATCATATGACAACCGTCATCATGATCATCATGATGATGCCATGTTGCTGTAATCCGGGTGCTACCAATCATATCGCTGAGACTCTCATGTCGGAGCATTCTATGCTGCGCAGCGGCTGCAGTGTGCACAGCTGAAGAACAGGTGGTCAGCCTCATGCACTGCAGCAAGAAAGACCACAAAGGCCAAGATCCAAAACTTGTGGAAGGATAAGCGTGCTGGCCTCCGCCAAAGCAGCCCTCAACACTCAGTGTACATAAAAATCTCCCCATATGGAATAGTTGTGTTCCATATTCGCACATTACATTCATGCATTCCGCTGTCAGAGCAGCGCTTTCGCAACCATTCCGATGTTGTCTCCTGCCACACAAGCCATACACAGTGCTCAAACAAGCGGAACAACCAGGACGATGCAAATGTCACACAGAAAGCAGAGAAGCAAACAGCGAAGATATGTAGCAGTGCATTGAAGCAACGCGCACCATCGAGGTTGAAACCATTCTGCTCCAGAATCAGCAGGCGGTTGTCGCCCAGCTCAGCAGCGGCCTGTGCTAATCTGGGCAGCCGCTCCAAGACAGCCCCCACAACAAGCAGGTTTTGCTCCTGCGCCGCCGCCTTGGCGACCTGTGAATACCACGGAACGCATAACATACATGCGACAATAGCACCAGCTCAAGTGAGCAACAGGAGAGGAGCAGCCAATCCTTCATTCTTGCAGTCCAAGACATGCAGTCTGTGGCGAGTGGTGGATCATGCAATGGGCAGCAGACGTACCAAGGCCCAGTCACCGAGTGAGGGCGAGCTGCCGAGCGACTCGACCAGCAGAGCGATCTGCACGGCAAGCTCTCCCGGGGACTTGTCCTGGGGCCACCAGGGCTGGCCGGCTGACATGTCCGCGCCCATGAACCGAGTGCGCAGAGCGTCCAGGTCGTCGTCATCCCCCACCTCCTGGTACATCCGGTCCACCGCCTGCCTCGACTTGCGCGCCGCCTGCACAGCCACACAGCACCCTCCATCACGCTCGATGCACCTTGGGACTCCTTCAGCATTCCGTCGCTACGCTCCGGCCGCCATTGCGCGACTCACTCTTCTGCTCTTCGTGCCAGGCGCATGTGCACATAACACGCCTGTATGATGCCTGACGCACTACAGAGGGAGTGAGATGAGTGTGACCTGCTCGTCATCGTCCCACTCGGAGTCGTCCTCGTCCCCATCTTCCTCTGTCTCAACGACATCGTCCTCGCTGACCAGCTCCCCGCCCTTCCAGTGCTCCACGCGCCACACCACGTCCCGCTTCTGTCGCTCCTTCTGCACCTTGGCCTTCATGCTGGCCTCCTCACGCACCTGCTTGTCCCGCTTGCGCTTCTCCTGCAGCCGCACCTCGTCCGCCACCTCGCGCGGCGCTGTGCTCCTCGCGGCCTGCACAGCCACTCTGCATACCTCAAGAGCCAGCCTCCAACCAGAGACACGATCGCTCCAGCCTTGCTCAACCTTGGGCCTGTTGACGCATGGATAGTCTCTTCAGGCTGTAGATCAGCTCGAGAGGGGGAAGGCCACCACCTGCACACGCCGGTACAGCTCCTGGCGCCTGCCGTCTGTGGACAGGCCGCGCGCTGCCAGCTCTCCACGCAGCTGTCCCACTGTGAGCTTTGAGGCGGAGATGACTGCGCCGTCCTCGGTGACGGCAAAGCCGCCAGGCCCAATGAGGACGCCCTCAACCTCTTGCAAGTCGACCTCGTCATCCTCCTCCGACTGCTTCTTCGTCAACCCTGCATGCGAGGGCCCGGCTATCAGGGTGAGGATCACCCAGCGCGTCTTGCTGGAAATTCTGCGACAAAACTGCTACAAGAGTGCACGCAGAGTTACCCTCCACACAGCAGGAAACATTGTCCACGTGACAGCACAAAAGCTTGCACCTTCAACGCTGCGCATGCTGCGAGCACTGTCCAGCGCAGCTGGCAACCAGGATGAGATGAATGAGCCGCCAGCGCTGCCTATGGGCTGCATGGCATCATCAGGCAGCTGCCTGCTGTCTTCTTGTGCCACCGTCAGGACTCGCAGAATGTCGGCGGGCTGGTTATCGCGCGCCAGGGACATCAGTAGGTGCATGAAGACTCCGTCGGACAGGTATTGTGTAGCGGTTCCCGGCAGTGACAGCTTCACCATGTCCTCAAAGGCCATCATGGCAAACTGCAACACATGCAGCCAGTCTGCTTAGCAAAGCATGCCAGGCAATTTAGGTAGAAATCCTATGTGAGATCATCAACAGGCTCATGGGTAGCAACCAGCAGACAATTGTTGCTCGGTGAGAAACAGCTAGGTAAGCTTTCCCATGGGGTAAAATCCTGCCTATGCCAGATGCGCGCATGCCTAGCTCACCTCTGTGTTGCACTCCAGCAAGTGCACATCCACAAAGAGGGCGTGCGTCCTCTTGTTCCATTTCAGCCCTGCCTTGATCATGTCACCCTTTACCTCCTGAAGTGTCTCAACAACAGCGTTGCCCCCTTCTCTTCTCAAGGCCCATATGCAACCCTGTGATACATTGGCCACTGTTGTTTGAAGGCTCCCCTGAGAGAAAGTCGCATCAGGAAAATAATTTTCACATGGCTGCAAAACACCACATGGCATCTCAGCACCTGTGTGATGGCATTGTATGTGTCGGCATTGGGCCTGCACCCAACCCCCAGCCTGCCCTCTTGCATCTCCTTCAGTGGGCCGCTCATTGCTGTGTGCACCGACACGTTCCTAGCCTCAGCAAAGACGAGGGGATTGGCATGCCGCGCCTCTGGCTGTATGCCCGCTTCCTGCACATCAGCAGTGCTGCACTGTCAAATGAGCGCAGGCCTCGTTTGTCTTGAGTTTTATCAGATTAAATCCACAGCACGCCCCCTCTGCTTGCATCACGGAGTCATTACCTGCAGCTCTTGCCGCACGATCTGCTCGGCCTCATCAACCAGGTCGTCTTGTGTGCACATCCAGGCTAAAAGATTTTCGTAGAGATCGGCATCTGGGTACCAGCCATCTAAGCGCCCCTTTTGCACCAATTGATATGCATCGTCGGGGTACCTGGACCACAATGAACAAGATCTAAGCAACATTGCAGAAATTAGGTACAGTGGACTGGCACGTATCTGACAGGTGATGGGTTTGCAGTGCTTACTACTGCAATACTGAGGTCTAGATTTATAGTTTCTCACCCAAATTTGAAGTAGTCTTTGCAAAGAAGGAGCCATCCTCTTCGAGCATCAATCCCAGCAGACAACATGCTCTGGAACACCTTGAAGGCGGCGGTCTTGTCGCCATCCACCATTTGAGCATGCATCAGCACAAGATATGTCTCCGCAATGGGCTGCAGTCCTGTCGAGAGGGAAGCACCCCATTGTGTATAATGTCAAATTGAGGAGGGACATGTGTCCCTCACAGGATTGAAAGGCAGAAGGCACAATGCTTGTGCAGACAGGGCAGCGAATGCCCACCTTCCTTCACTGCTCTACGCACTGCTGAGAGAGCACCCTGGGAGTTCCGCGACCTGCAATAGGCGCAGATGAGGCCATGGTAGGCACGCGGTCCAGGCTCGAGGCCAACCATTGCCATCTCTCGCAAAGCTGTCTCAGCGTCATCCGACCTCCCATCCTTTGCTGCTGCCAATATTCTCCTGGGGGCATGGTCATGGGATGGTTTGAAAAAAGGCAGAAACAAGGTAGCAACAGGTGTATTGGGGAATTGGACACGACCAAGCAAGCCAGGACAGCGTGCCCACCTGTGATATGGACCCCGCTCTTCCGCGTTCTCATTCATCTCTGTTTTGTGAGAATGCAAAGACAACGACTGTGCTGGCCGCTGATGTGTCCCACTGCTGGTCGTCTGCTGCGTCTCTGAAGCTTCCTGATCAGATTTTTCTGATCTCTGTGATACATCATCTGCAGGACAGCAAGCCTGGTACTTCAGTTAGGGAATTCAAGCATACTATTCAGCATAGGCAAATGTGCTGCACCCATGCAGTTGTAGTGGGCACTGCTGTGACAGGAAACAAGATCATGGATCGCGGAGATACCCCACTGGAAATAATCTTGCACGGGAAACCCAAGTTTATATTCCAGGGACACTATGTGGGCTTCAGTATGTCTTCAGTGTCAGCTTGTCAGCAGCTAGCCATACCTGCTACAACGGACTCCCGTGTCTGTGCAGCGTGTAACCGTGGGCAAATGAATAGTCTGTCGGTTGCATCGCCTTTCTTCCCGTGCATACCGTGCTGAGCCAACCTTGCACGACTGACAGAAAATTTTCTCGTCCCAAACAACGGACAGAGACCGCCTCCAACGTGCCTGGTGTGATAGGCTTTCATTCTAGCCCTTGTGTTCCTTCAGCAACTTCCAAAGTTTGATTTCACATCAATCGTACAATATCTTAGGCCAATTCAGTGTCTGCCAACGTCAGTGTCTGAGCCAATATGACTCCTGAAAACTAGCAACAGGCCTTGATTATGTGCGGGATGCCATAAAACTTCAGACGTGATGAATACCAAGATACCACCTTCTATAGAAGTACCTTGCAATTAGGAAGTAAGTCGCAGCCTTGCCAGCAGTCCTCGGATAAAGACGCCGCCCTAGACTGGGGCAAACTCATTGGATCACTTGCAGACGACCATCATGCCCATTCAAGGCACTGTGAAATAGCAGGGATGCTTTCAGAATGCGGGCAGTCCCGCTTCGCACTGCTCGGGAGCCCTTCAATGTGGCGGGCTTCCGCACCTCTCCTAGCACACTTCTCCAAGGACGTTGGCTTTGCTTGTTCTCGTCCTCGCCTGCATTCTAGGTGAGCATCATGTTATTTTGTTTCGTTGTGCTGAGATTGCCCCATGTCCAGCATGCAAACCTGTCAGCCTTGTGTAAGCCTCCCAGATCGCATGCCCACCATGGGCAGATCGCAGTCTTTGCTTGATTTGATCCAGGTAAACGAGTCCACTGCATCCGTTACAAATCTGATATTAAGCAATGCAATGAATATGGTGTTATTTCATTCAGGCATTGGAGTCCAGGGCACTGCAGAAAGTGGCAGTGTGGTGTGTCTACAGTTCCACGGGACACAGACAGCAGTAGAACAAGCATTGCCAGCCCAGAACTACCTGTGTCCACAGCGTATCCATTCACAGAGCTGGAGGCCAAATGGCAGGACTTCTGGCTTCGCAACAAGACCTTCAGAACTCCAGACATCGGCGAGCTGGACACATCGAAACCCAAGGCCTACATTTTAGACATGTTCCCATATCCCAGCGGTGCAGGACTTCACGTTGGGCACCCAGGTTGGGCCCTTCACACTTGCATTGCTATTTCGATGCTTGCTGCCACTGCAAACGTGCTGAAGGAAATGTGTTGCAATGCAGCTGGTTACACAGCGACAGACATCCTGGCAAGGTTGAAGCGCATGCAGGTATAGAAAATCCATTCATTTGTGGTCACATCTCGAGCTGCCAAAGACATCCATGGCAATTTAAAAGTCATGGGCAAAAATTGGCGAATGACTAAAAATCAGTGTGTAGGGAGCAAACGTGCTGCATCCAATCGGATGGGATGCTTTTGGTCTGCCAGCCGAGCAGTATGCCCTCCAGACTGGGACACATCCGCGAGTCACCACAGAGCGAAACGTCAATCGCTTCCGGCAACAGCTGCAGTCACTGGGTGAGTTGCTGGAACTTCTGCAGGAAGCAGAGTGTGCCATTGCCAGAACTGACATGGTAGGAGGGCTTCTAACATCTGTCTGCATGTCCGAGGTGGGCACATGCTGTGCAGGGTTCTCGTATGACTGGGACAGGGAGGTGTCGACGACAGATCCAGAGTATTACAAATGGACCCAATGGATCTTCCTGCAACTCTTCAATAAGGGGCTGGCCTACCAGGCGGAGGTGCCTGTCAACTGGTGCCCTGCTCTTGGCACTGTGCTGGCCAATGAGGAGGTCATCGATGGCAAGAGTGAGCGGGGTGACCACCCGGTTGTACGCCTGCCCATGAAGCAGGTACGAGGATGTTCTGCTAAAGATGGCCCATGGACTTTCAGGCAAGCAGGAGGGAGTCTTCGCCTGTATCCAATTTTACCAGTCTTTTTTGTGTGGGCTGAGTTAGGATTGTGATTCTGTACAGTGGATGCTGCGGATCACCCAGTATGCACAGCGCCTGCTGGATGATTTGGATGAGCTGGACTGGCCAGACAGCATCAAGGACATGCAGCGCAACTGGATTGGGCGCTCTGAGGGCGCAACCATCACCTTTGGCTTGCAAGGTGCATTGTCTGCAGTGCAACTTGAAAAGCACAGAGATTGCATGCCTCCCGGTGGTAACTGTGAAATCTTGATATGCAGGAGGCGATGGGACTTCTTTACCTGATGGCTGTCAATTGTCAGTGTACACCACCCGACCAGACACCATCTTTGGGGCCACCTACATGGTCCTCGCGCCAGAGCACCCACTGCTGGATAGCCTGACAACAGCAGAACAGAAGATAGATGTCAATAAGTACGTGAGAAAGGCAGCCCTGAAATCAGATCTGGAGCGCACAGAGCTGCAGAAAGTGAAGACCGGCGTCTTCACAGGTAATCTATTCAAAGAGAAAGCTGTGGTCTCGGGCATTGTGCTGCTAGAAGGTTGTGCATTCGATGCATGGAGGTGCCAACACTTAGAAGGGTAATTTGTGTGCAGGCAGTCATGCAATCAACCCTGCCACCGGTAAAGCTGTGCCCATTTGGGTGGCTGACTACGTGCTGGGTAGCTATGGCAGCGGTGCCATAATGGCTGTGCCAGCTCACGACACCCGGGACTATGAGTTTGCCACGCAGTATCAGCTCCCGGTGGTGAGGGTGGTGCAGGGGCCCAGCGGCGAGGACAATGAGCTGCCCTTCACAGGTACATTCTCTGCGCACATTGAGCGCTCACTCATATACAGATCAGGCGAAGCGGGGCATGGAGCAGGCAATGTCTTGAGTCCTATCTGGGGTTGCAGGGAAGGGAACAGCAACAAGCTCCAGCTGTGCGGCCGCGGGGCTGAGCTTGGATGGGCAGGGGACAGCGGAAGCAGCAGCGTCGGTGGTCAGGTGGCTTGAGCAGCAGGGTAAAGGCGCCGCACAGATTAACTTCAAGCTGCGGGACTGGCTCTTTGCGAGGCAGCGGTACTGGGGCGAGCCCTTCCCCATCGTCTATGCTGAGGGATCCGATGTGCGCTGCCAATCCTTTCAATTCCCGCCCGAGACATCGTCAGTGCTGCCATTATTGGATGCAGTTTATTTGCAGAGGAAAAGGCAGCCATTTGCACACAATGATGCATGCCTTGGTTTGCAGGAGCCTGAGGGCATCAGCGAGGAAGATCTTCCTTTGACCCTGCCTGAGACTGACAACTTCAGGCCCAGCGGCACTCCCGAGTCACCACTGGCGAACATCACGGAATGGGTACACTTTGTGGATCCGAAGACAGGTGTGCCAGCACAATGTCTTGGGTAGCAACGAGCACTAGTCCTGATGCAGAACATGGCGTCATACAACGCATCCAAAAATCTCATCGAGGCTATAGAAGTACTCTTGTGATGCGCCTCTGGTTGTGTTCAGGCAAGCGGTACAGGCGAGAAACGTCGACAATGCCGCAGTGGGCTGGATCTTGCTGGTACTACCTGCGGTACTTGCAGCCATGGAACACTGATCGCGCCATAGATCCAGAGGTGGAGAAGTACTGGCTTCCAGTCGACCTGTATGTCGGTGAGTTCCAAGCATTGTTAAATCTTTATCTTTCCATGATTGTGCAGCATGCCTCGTCTGTCAAAATAGCAGCAATCCTAGTGAGGCTCAATTTCTGTCACGACAGGTGGTGCGGAGCATGCTGTGCTGCACCTGTTGTATGCCAGGTTTTGGCACAAGGTGCTGTTCGATCTGGGTGTGGTGTCCACCAAGGAGCCCTTCCGGCGGCTAGTGAGCCAGGGCATGATCCTCGGAGAAGTGAGAGGCTCCCCTTTGGATTTGTGCTCTTTGAAAAGCTAAAATTGTGGCAGAGGCTTATCTGTGCATATCATTTAACAGTGACATGCTTGATTCAGGTGGAGTACACCGCGTACAAGGACGCTCAGGGGCAGTATGTTGACGAGAATCATCCTGAGGCAACTGCAGTCAGGTTTGCCCCAATCTGGTCAACATGCGTTGATGCATGATCCTGAAAGTGTGCAGGGCACAGCTTTCTAAGTCTGAGGAGGTGGTGATGACATGCGCAGGGTTGAGGAGGGGCAGGTCGACAAAAAGGGGAACGGTTTTGTGCTGCGCTCTGACCCATCAGTGAGAGTGTCCACGCGGGCCCACAAGATGAGCAAGAGCCGCGGGAATGTGGTGAATCCGGATGATGTGGTCACCATGTATGGGGCAGACAGCCTACGACTCTATGAGATGTTCATGGGCCCCATTAGGGAAACCAAGGTAACCTTACTTGGCAGCATGTGCGGCACAGAATCACGCCACCGATGTGGAGAGCGGGCTTGGTGCTGTTTGAGCTCCTGTGCTTTTTAAATGCTGGCGGCTGTCGATGTCTTAGTGACAGGAGGAGGTTTATGTCTGCAGGTGTGGAGCACAAAATCTGTTGAGGGTGTGCACAGATTCCTTGCCCGCTCGTACAGGCTTGTGACAGGCAGCAACGTGGCGGACGTGGAGCCTACCAAGGACCAGCTCCGCTTGCTGCATGCCACCATCAAACGGGTGTGGCTGCTTGAAGAGCATATTGCAGGATGCAATGACTATAGCTTTGCTGTGCTGGTTTCCAGTGACCGAAATGCAGTGGCATTGCATGAATTATTCCTTGCACTGTTGCACAGGTGACTGAGGAGACAGAGGAGTTGCGATTCAACACGGGGATCTCAGCCTTGATGGAGTTTGTGAATAGTGCATTCAAGTGGGAAGAAGTGCCTCGGAGTGTGCTGGAGCCCTTTGTCCTCTTGCTGGCGCCGTACGCTCCTCATATTGCAGAGGAGCTCTGGCAGGTAAGGAGCAGGCTAGAAATTCTTTTGACCATTGTATAAACCTATAGTGTGGGATCTGATTGTACTGGCCTGCTTGTTGCAGGTGCTGGGTCATTCAGACACCTTGACGTATGAGCCCTGGCCCACATACAACGAGGAGCTTCTCGTCAGCGACACTTTCAACTTGCCCGTGCAGGTGGGTTTTCACATTTGTTGCATCTGACAGCCTCTACACCATCTCTATTAGACGCCCCATCTGATTTATCATTATTAGTATTACGCGCTTTTCCTGCCAAGCGGCAAGGTGCGTCTGAATGGCAGTGCAGTAAAGGGCTAATCTGGGAAACTCATGTGCAGGTGAATGGCAAGCTGCGCGGGACTGTAGAAGTTTCCAAGCAAATATCTCAGGCAGATGCAGAGGTGGCAGGGCGCAGCATAACATCTGTGTCAAAATTCTTGGAGGGCAAGCCATTGAAGAAGGTCATTTTTGTGCCTGGACGCATTGTCAATTTTATCGTGGGAAAGTAGTCCTGGCAGCATGCTGTGTACGTATAGGTTAGAGGAGCTACATGGATCATCCATAATTGATGGACATTTATTTTACAGACCGGCGTCATTAAGACTTGTCGGTACATACAGCCATATATAAAGTTAATTCTGAGAATGACAAAAGAAGATTTTTTTTCTTCCAGCAATTCTTCCTGGTAATGCTTGCCAGTTAGTGCTCAAAATCCTGCAAATGTTTGTGTTCAGCAGTGCGACAACAATTTAAGGTACAGCACATGCGAGGGAATGCAGTGCGCTCAATATCAAAATCATTCAATACATCTGTTGCTTCCTGCTTCTGGTATATGGCACTTGCGCATGCATCATGATGCAGGGCGGACGATAAGCTGCTGAAACCGCTTCCTCAGCTGCCGCACAAACTGACTGAAGTTGTTGGAACTGTTCAGCTCCCCAAGCATTGGATCCAGTCCCTCCAGGGCTGGCTCACACCTGGTGACTGCAGACACAGCAGTGCGATTTACAGTACGGTACAGCAGCTCACAGCATCTCTCTCAAATAACATTCTGCACCTGCGCTGGACATGGGCTTGCAGATGTACTCACTGCTGTAGGTGTTGTCGGCATGGACGTGGACCCCCAGCATGAACTCCCGCAGATGGCTGCTTGGGTCAATGTGGGTGAAGATCAGGAGCAGCTCGTCCGTATGGTCTGTGGAATCCAGATAGAACGCTTCAAGATTGCAACCCTCCATCAACTGCATCAGGTGAACTCTGAGAGCAGAGAGGCTGTTAAGCTGATAGATTTATTACACGCAATAACAGAGAGCAGAGACTGCACCTTTGCGAAATTGTAGCCCCAGACGTGCGCGATAAAGATCCAAGGCTTGCCTCAGAGACCGAAGCTTCCCCTCCCGTAAAGACTCCTTATCTGCCAAAGCTACAGCAAAGCATTTCCTTTTATGGATGTCCCGCAAAATGCACGAAGCTTGCCTCCTGTCCAACATCGCCACATGTTCCTTATGGAGGATGCACAAGGACAGGATAGTGGAACGGGTACTGACCTGATTCCTGCCGCTGCAGCTCTGCTGTTTCTCGGTCCAAGGCTGTCTTGATATCATGGATTTCCTTTGGAAGAGCATCAGATTCCTCCTCAGCTGCCCTGAGCTGTGCCTTCACTTGCTCCTCTTCTTCGCTCTCATGCTGAAGTCCTGCAAGTCACGCCTGCCTTTGTTGCTATCTGATCATCGCGAAACAATTGTCACGAAGGTTCACCTTGCAGGAAGCGAGGCTGTAAGTACTTGCACAGTGTCAAAGCAAGAAGCATGGGGATATATACACAGAGTCTTTAATCCCTGAACATCTTAATATAGGGGACTTACTCTGCTTCAGCTCCTCCACTTCCTGCTCGCGTTTTGCTTTGTTGTTCTGCAGTGTTACTATCTTGCCTGCAACACGGCAAGGGGTTGGGCACTCAAGCTGATGCTATTCTGCCTGTAGGCTGAGCACGTGCAGAAAGAGGGGAGCATTTGCACATGGCATGTATTCTCACATTTCAAGTCTTTGACGGATGTCAGGTGCTGCTCCCGGAGCTTATCGGCGGCATTGATTTTGGTTTGAGCCCAACCTTCCACTTTTGCTCTGCTGGCACTAAGGTCTCGGTTCAGCTCATCCAGCACTATCCTGTGATTCATGGCTTGAAGCAGTAGCTGATATCGCGTTGAGCATCGGCACAAGAAGTGTTGTGTATGCTTTGGCAAATTCATTTAACAGTCATGTAGGGTTTTATTGGGACCTGTCATAATTCCCTGTTGTTAGCTCAGGGTACCAAGTGCCATGGCCCCATTCAATTGTGAAATGGACAGCCCATGCCTTGAATGAAAGGACCTCCGCATTTGGTATTTTCGCTAATGATGGGATTTTTGAACATCGTTAAATTGCGTGATTGATACTGCTGATGCCCAGGATCTTCGAGTTTCTGCACTGCTCTGCTCTTGTTGAATGACAGCTTATCAGCTCAATGATTGCGAGACGAAGCGGCGCAGAGAAGAGTAAGCCACGGAAAGTAGGCACACGTTTAGGTGCTGTACGGCTTGCCTCGGTTGATGGGGATGTCACAGGTGAGCGTTCGTGCAGGTTCTAATACTGGAGGTTGGACAGATGCACCAACGAGGCACGTGGCTAACACTAGGAAATGGTGTGCCTTGCAGACGTCCCGCACACGAAGGCCAACGTTTCCATCCCATCGCGACAGCATGTGAGTTCCTCCCCAGGTTGATCTTTGTAAGCAGCGCACTGTTGACAACTGTCCTCACTTTGGGGTGAGCTTGCCAGGCGCAGGTGGCGATGGAATCGTCGAATTGCAATGTGATGCAATGTGTTCCGGAGAGTCTCGACAGCTCAATATCAGGTTGGTGAAATTATAGTTCGCCAGAGGGTGTTCTTGTCCTGCATCCTCACCCAAACCATGACAAGTGTTTGTTTTGGACCGCAGCAGCTTGTGTAAGCGCAGCAGATGAAGGTCAAGAGACACCGTGGGACTTCGTGCAAGATGCATTTAGGAGGCTGGCGGATGGCAAAATGGACCCCACTTCCCCTCTGAACCTCGACTCTCTGGTGCCACTGAGGCCAGCCTTATTGGACAAGGTCAACAGAGCAGACCCCTTGTAATTGCTAGAAAACTTGCATGACCTTCGCATTATCCCGGGCGCCTGTCTGATAGGTATGCAGATAAAACATCAGCATTTTTTCTTTCTGTTGTGACTCTGCACCAATATATTATAGGTCTCTTATGTGCTTAATGGTAGGGGTTGGGAGCCATCAACGCCATGGGGAAGGCAGCGGTTCAGGTTGCCAACTCGCTGGACCATGCAGTTGAGCATCTGTTTGAGGGCTGGAGTGTCTCTCCTCCGGCTGAAAAGCGGTCCTCCGCAGGCGTGAAAGGGGTGCGACAATTTCTTGGGCTGCAAACATAACTTCTCTTCAGCTTGAACAAAAACGAAAAGGGCCTTTAGGACCAGGCATTGGCCCAAATTTATTGCAGCTGGAAAGAGAAAGCTTTGCTCCGTTGCAGGAGCGGCAAACAGGGTTGGGGCTGCAACGCAAAGCGCAAACAAGGGGACTTATTCAGCCACAGGCCTCCCCATGCGAAACTGACGAGAGCAAACCTGCTCTGCAGAATGGAACGGCAGGCTCGAGAGTGTGTGACACACGGCAGCAGAAGCAGCAGAGGATTAGAAAGCTCAGGTTGATCTCTTAAAATATTCAAGCAAGATCTTATGCTGTTGTGCTCCTTATCAATGAGGTGCTTTGCAAAGCCTTGGCATCTATCTCCGTCATGCTGTGCAGAGTTGGGGACGATCCCAACAAGGAGAATTCCTGCTCCACGAGGGAAAATGGTGAGCAGAAGAAAGAGACCAGTGCTCAATGTGACCGCGGTAAGCTACTGGCTTTTTAATATTACACACTGTGTCAATAGAGTTCACATGCTTTTGAACAAGGTAGAAAGACTTTTGCAAACCTTCCATATTGCTGGTGCCTCATGGGGTGCACGATTTCGTGCAGAGGGCTTGACGGAGTGGAGAGTGAAGCAGCTGCAGGAAGAGCTTCAGAACCTGCGTACGACGCAAAATGAGTACCTCTTGATGAGGTGAAGTGTGCAACTTTCTGCTCACACTTGTTTTGAGTTGCTGTCAACGACTTTGCCTTGGAGTTGCAAGATTGTACTGACAAGGAAATGCCTGCCCTGCAGGGAGCAGTTGAACAAAGTGCAGGCTGAGCTCACATATACCTCCAACAAGTGCAGCGCACTCAGTCAAGAAAATGAACTGCTGAGAGGGCAGCCCCGCGTGCACCCCTGTCCTGCTGAGCAGGCTGACCCACTGGCAGAACAGGTGACGATCATTTGTATCGACGGTGATTGAAGCAGGCATGCTGTTCTGGCAAATCTTGACATTGGTGATATCTGCAGGTTGCTGCCCAGCTGCAGGCACTCCTTGACGAGAAGGCAAAGCTGGCATCCGATAATGCTAGGCTTGCCTTTGAGAACAGCAGCCTCCAGGTGCAACAGCCATAGGCATAATTTTCCCTGTCATTGCTTGAAGAGATGGGAACATGAATTACAGTATTTATTAGTACCTTAATGACCTGGGGTGGCTGATGCATCCTGCCTACCCTGCAGGAGCTTCTCGAGTACACTGTGTCAGCTGTTGGCGACGATCCATGCTATGAGGACAGCAGTTGCCATATGAGCACAGAGGGCGAATGGGAAGCTCCACCAGAGCACATGGACTTCGTCGATGACCACAAGGAAGACTGCGCAAGCGAGTAGACGACTCAGCATATATCAAATACTCAGCATCTGCCATAGCTCAAGATTGAGTGACCTGCTTAACTCAGAATTGCATGAAACATGACACTGATGTACCATGAGAAGTACCATTTGGTCGTTTATTTTTGGGTTTCAGGCAGCTTATCTATTCAATATTATACTCAAGGTAAAAGCCCATAAAAAATGGGTTGATGATGCAAAGAAGTTGCTTGAATCCCCATGGATCTCTGGAGTGTACACATGTGCAGGCTAGACCAGATAAAAATGCACTTTCTGGCACCAGAATTGACGGTAGTACAGAGATTCTGAGCGGTCACAGATTAATAGAGAATCTGGGATTGGAAGACCTTGCAACCTGTGCGGAGGCCACAAGCAGTATCATACAATTAGTGTAGGCTATAATTTCATCTTAAATTTTGATCAGCTCCACTCCAAACAACCGACTTCACAGAAATATGTACGGAGTGAACGCAGTCTTTCAGCAGGCTCCCGATGCAATGTAGCAGCGCCATCAATACTGACATGTGCAGTACCACATACTCTGCAAGGCTGATAGCCCCTCCTCCCACATCTCTCTATCTGGCAGGAACCTCGAGCACAGATCTGACTACACCAACACATCCTTTGCAAATTGACTAGAATTGCAATGGCTGTAGTGAATGTCCAAAGTGACAGTGTGCACATAAAAGAAGTGGTGCCTTGCAATTGCAAGCTACAGCGATACGCATGAGGTTCATCCTCCACCGCGACATCGACAAGCACTCTTGAAAGGTCACTCCAGCATATGGGCTTGTGCCACGGTTGTCTGGCCGCTCAACTGCACCAAAACCTCCTTACCGGCCCGGATTTGCGCAGCCCTGCGTGTACTCAACATGCGAAGATGTGAGTGGGAGCTGCTGCTGTCAAATTCTTGTAAGAGGACAGAGAGCACATATTGGTGCTGTTCTACCACAGTTCCTGGTGCTTGTGGCCCCTGCCTGACCAGGCCATGAACTATTCGCTGGGATCGAGATAGAGTCTGATCACCTGGATTTCTTAGCGTGGCTGCCATCGCAATTTGGAGGCTTCCTTGTCTTTCCACATGTGCACTTGGCCTCCTGAACAACAGCCACACTTCTACTATGCCATACAGTTGTGTGCGATACGAGCCATTGATGCCGCGATGGCCGCGTTGGGAGGGTACCTGTTTGCATGTTGTCTCCTGTGTTTGTATAACGGTGTTCGATTGTGAGGTCCCACAGTGGATTGCGTGAACTTGCTGCGCTTGCCTAGAACGAAGTGCTGTTCGCTGCTGGCAAACAAGCAAGGATGAAGACAAGGCGCTCGTTTGAGCGAACATCCTTGCGATACTCCTGTTGCTCAGCGTGAAAGGCAGCACCTTGGCAGATGCGGTTCGGAGCCTATGATACAACAATGATGTGGCCAGTCGTCGCGTATCCGCCTTTCTATTGCCTCGTCAAGAAATGGAGTCTTTGGATTTTGGTGTTTTCTTCCTCGGTAGGCGCCAGAATGTGAGCAGGAAAGGCTGTTTGTGTAAAGTTCGCACTCAGCAAGTACCATAGAAATTATTTTATCCCTACATAAAGATTGTGGGAAGCACTTTGAGATCTGATGGAATAGCTGGCTGCTTATAAAAGGTAGAATTTGCGAGCTACATCAATTTCTACAGCAATCATGGAAGCCCGCGTTGCAGAGCTTGAGGCACAGTTGCTCGAGGCGCAAGCCCAGGTGAACCATGCCCCACATTGGACGCCAAAAACCATCTGCTTCTCGATGTTCCAGCGGTGGGCAGCAATTTACACCATTGGTTCTAAATGTTTACATGCTTCACGCAGGCTCACGCTGCGGCCATCAACTCTGAGCATGCTGGTCAGGTAAGGATTGTCGCGAGTGATCAACAAGAACAGGTTTTACGCTTTGCTGCTTCTTACATCTGTCGCTTTCTGTTATGTATGACCAGATTCCTCTCCCAATAATCGTGCAGGCTATGGAGCGGCGGTACACAGCCCTGGCGGAAGACCAGGGAAAACTGGCTGCTGAGAGGGAGAAGCTGCTGGCAGAGAATTCAAAGCTGAAGGAGGTGAGTTGTAATGTTCCCTCGATTCCAAGCACAGCGGGGTTTCTGTACTTCCTAGAATTTGCCCGCGAGCATTGTTGTGTGTTGCTCAGGAGCTTCAAGCAGCACAAGCAGAGAACAGCAGGTTGCAAGCTGTTGTCTTTGAGAAGGATGCCATCATACAGAGGAAAGATGTCGAGGTATGCTGCGGTCGATCATGGTATTGTAACAGAAGCTGCATGCATGGCACCTCTTGCGTCATTGGATTGCCTTGTGACACATTCGTCGTGTGTTTGTAGATTGAGGCTCTACACTCCGACAAGCGCACTCTTGCAAAATTGCTGGAACAGCGTGAGGCTGAGCTTGACGATGCCCACAACCGACACAGGCAGTCCTTGGTGAATTCAAGCCTCCATTGTGACTAAAATTGAAGTTCTCACGTCCAATACATTATCACAATGCCTGATATTGTTGACTTGGCAGGCTGTCAACAATCCTTTCTGTGTATTCACTATGTCCTGCTTGGTTCATGCAGGACAAGATTGTTGTGCTGTCCAACACGAATGCCACCCTGGATGCTGAGGCCCATGAGGCGCGCGCGGCAAAGAATCGGCTGCAGCAGGACGTCCTGAAGATGGAGCAGCATGTGGAAGTGTTGGAGAGCCACACCAAGTGGCTGGAGGATGAGGTGGCCAGCAAGATTGACGCCGCCCAGCAGGAGCGCCGCACTGTGTCGACGCAGGTAAGCCTCTCAGCTCGCTGATTTGAGGCTGATGCATGTATAACATATGATGGTTGCTGCAGATTCTGATGTGTGCTATCCTGGAAGTGCAGGTGGTTCAGCTGCAGCAGACTATCACTGAAGCTGAGGACAAGGCGCAGCAGCTCGAGCGTTCTGAGCGGCGCTTGAAGGAGCGGGTCGCAGAACTAGAGCGTGCCGCAGAGGTACATATACCGTAATCTCTAAAAGTCATTTTGCCTGGTTGAGTGCAAGCATTTCTGTGCAGGGGGAAGCCAATGCCTATTTGTCCATGCAGACTGCTCAGCAGGACCTGAAGGTGGCCAAGGATGAGGGAGACAGCAAAGAGCACATCTTCAACAAAGAAATGGCGACGGCTCAAAAGCTGTACACCCTCTACAAGGACGCAAGCGAGGAGCGCAGCAGGAAGGTCACGGAGCTGGAGGGCATCATACGGGAACTTCAGAAGCACCTGGAGGTGGCAGTTTTCTCACTGAAGGAGGCATGGTGCACAAAAAACTCATTGTGCTCCTGCTCGGTCACAATGTCTTGCAATGGGAGTGCCTGACCATCCTCTTGCTGAATCCGCAGGAGGCAGATGCGGCACAGAGGGACGTGTTGGAACGTGCAGAAGCTCGCGTGTTGGCTGCAGAGAAGGAGGCAGCAACAGAGAGGGAGCAGCGATGCCGCGTCATGGAGGCTGCTGCCAATGGCAATCTGCCTCTTGTCAGCACTCCTGGTGGGATGGACTTGCAGCAAGTTCTCATGCGCAATGTTGAATGAGATCGCATTGCACGAGGGGTTGTTGCCATGGGAGTACCCTGACAGCTGCAATCGCAGTCAACAGACACTGACCCTTGACTCCTTCCTGTGCAGGTGACACCCCTGTGTCACCAAATGGGGAGATCTTCAGCCACACCGAGCTCTACATGAAGTATGTGGAGGCCACCACCCAGTGCCGTCATGAGCGCCTGGCCAAGAGGCAGATTGAGATCATGCTGGAGCAGGTCAGTCCTCCCCATCTCACAGGAGTTTTGCGGACGTGGCACATGACTAGTTTGACAGGCTGCTGTTGAATATAGCCCGACGCCTGCAATTGTCCTGTAGGTGATGGGCGAGATTGAGGCAAAGTCCGAGATTGTGAGAGAGCAGGGCAGGGAGTACGGTAGGGTGCAGGCAGCACACGAGCAGATCGCCGCCAGCCTGGCAATTGCTCAATCTGAGAATCGCCAATATACTACCCGTATCAACCAGCTGGAGGCAGAGGCCCGCCGAGATGCCAACAACCGCAGGTGCACGCTGCCCTCCATATTTTCTGTGTCGCGGGGTTTATTGGACTTCAAACCAGGCAAAAATGTAATAAACATCTTAGCTGGTGCTTCAATGTGTGCATGTGCTCACAATTACTGCTGGTCTGCAGGCTGTTAGAGCAACAGATCAGGGATCTTGCGCAGCAGGTCACGGTGCTGCTCAACCAGGTGCAGACGCTACAGGGTGGCCGAGCCAATAGACCGCAAGCTGCTTCAACTCCTTCGTCCTCCACCGCCGTCATCACCTCCGATGACATCATCTCCGAGCGTCTGTTGTCCTTCCTGGACATTCAGGTACCTATTCTTAGGTTTCATATAGAAGCTCTGGGTATGTTGGTTTTACGGTCTCATGTGTATTCACCAATTATGTGGTTCCATCCTGGCGTTCTATATGTGCAGGGCTTGCAACAGAAGAACATGGAGTTGTTGACGGTGGTGCGGCAGCTTGGTGCTGAGAAGGACCAGGAGCGAGCAGTCCTCGAGCAGGACAAGGCCAAAGACAGGGAGACACTGGATGAAGAGAAGAAGGTCCTCTATGCCGAGCGCGCCAAACAGCAGGCATTCTCCCAAAGCTGCTCACCCTGCCGATCTTTGCAGATTGCAGCTCTTGACCCTTGCAGCAACAGTCTCCTGTTCCTGCTCAAGGACCTCACTTCCATATGTGATTGCAGGAGCTTTTTGAACAAATTGTGCGCCAGCGGGACATGTTCAAAAAGCTCTTCCAGGACGCCTCGTCAAACCATGGCACCCCGCATGCAGATGCTTCCAGACTGATGCTGCCGCCTCCTGGAGCTGCACCAGACTCCAATGGACATGCACAGGTGGGAGCATGTCACAAAATCAATAAGATACTGCCGTTTTCTTTTCCAATGATAATCTGTGAGTTGCTCACCTAAAATCATGACGTGACGGGTTTCATGATTGGTGACAAAGGAAGGAGGTTGCCCAAGATTGAATGTCCTTTTGCCATCAGGATGAGCCTGACTACAAGGCCATGCACCGCGACCTGGAGAAGGAGTTGGAGCATGTGCGCAAGGAGGGCGAGGAACACTGCCGCCTGCTGAACCAGGAAGGCGCCAAGGCAAAGGAGGCGGCCTCTGCGGCTCGCGCTGAGGCGGCCAGAATGCGCAACGAGGCTGAGTTCGAGCGTGAGCGTGGCCAGCGTCTGCAAGAACAGCTGCGCGACCTGCACCAGCAAGTGGAAGCACTCACGCAGAGCAACACCAAGTACCAGGTCTGTCCCGGATTGAGCATCGTCTGGGGCACCCTGATACCCTGAAGATGCTTGTCAGTGCATGGGCACACTATTTTCAGGCACTGGTGTGGTGCCTGAACATTTGAGGGTGCGCTGCATTCAGGTGCTTGTCATCGAGCTGCAGCAGCGGCTGAGCAACCTGGACACAGAGGTCGGGAACCTGCGCGACAAGGCTCGCCAGATGGAAGCTCGCACCAATTTCCTGGAGAACGAGAAGGCGCTGCTGGCCGCGGCGGAGCAGCGCCTGGTCCGCACGGTTGAAGGCCTTAGCACCGAGAAGCACAAGCTCTCTGCGCAGCTGCAAGTGGAGCAGAAGGTGCGCATATCTTCCAAGCAACATTGAAGAGCAGCAGGCTGACAATGGGGTGTGGTGTGTGATAATGAGGATGAATGTGCACTTGCAGGCGTCTGCGGACAACGAGGCTGAGTATGTGGCTGAGCGAGGACGCCTGACTGGCGAGGTTGCCCGGCTGCAACGTGACCTTGCGCTTGCCCAGAAGACAAGCGCAGATGAGGAGCGCCACCTGAAAGCTGCTGCCCTGGATGGCCAAGCTGCGGCCCAGCGTGCTGAAAACAGGTAGGGCGCAGGCTGGCGGTGCAAGTGTGATCATGCTTGATTGCGTAGTTTCCCATCTTGCGCTGGACTCCTTTCTCAGCTGGACGTGCATTGGTATCCAGGGCTAAGGTGGCAGAGGAAGCTACCCAGCAGCTCCGCAATGAGGCGGCGCAGGCTGCACAGCGCGCCATCAGTGCCGAGGTGAAGGTGGAGGTGTTGCAGAAGGCCGTGCAGCAGGCTGAAGAGCGCGTCGCCACGCTGGAAATGCAGGTATTGCCTTCGTTTACTGGCAGATGTGATAAAAAGCTTGTGGAAAGGAATGAAAGCAGGTCAAGGCTGACCGAATACGTGTACCATCGCAGATGCAGTCAAGGTCTGGCATGGTAGAGGAGAGTGGGGAGGGAGGCGGCAGCCAGGCGCCTGCCGGTTCTCGGGAGGCCGACCTCACCAACCAGATCAAGC